CATCATCAGTAGGGACTTCCTTTTCTTGGTTGTTACCATCATCAGTGGGAACTTTGTTCTCGTCCTTATTACCATCATCAGTAGGGACTTCCTTTTCTTGGTTGTTACCATCATCAGTAAGGACTTCCTTTTCTTGGTTGTTACCATCATCAGTGGGAACTTTATTCTCGTCCTTATTACCATCATCAGTAGGGACTTCCTTTTCTTGGTTGTTACCATCGCCATTACCATCTCCAGTAGGGACTTCCTTTTCTTGGTTGTTACCATCGCCAGTAGGGACTTCCTTTTCTTGGTTGTTACCATCATCAATAGGGACTTCCTTGTCAACTGGAATTATTTGTTCTGGTTCTGGTTCAGGATGTGGTATCGCTCCGGATGGAAATATTCTACAATCTGGATAACTTAAAGCAGGCATTTTGCCCGTATATCTTAAGCCATCTTGATAGATTTTAAATGATCCCTCATCATATCCTGAACCAAGGACAATTGTTCCAGTGGTCTTTTGGTAGTATAATGTTAATACCCCAGTATCAGATCTATATGAAAACCTTAGTAAATATTTTGATTGGATTATGTTTCCTGGAGCAAAATTCATAAACTTGAAAGAAAAGTTTTTCACGGAATTGTTAATGACTATGGTGGATTGTTCTCCAAAAACAAACGTTTGCAAGTTAGCAGCATTATTTGTATCAAGCTCGAGTAAGGACTTATTTTCAAGGTAAATACAACCACCGCCTACTATTGGCCAATTCCCTTGTTTGAAATTCTGAAAGTATAATTCGATGGTACCAGCATTAGAGAACTCAACCGCTGGTTTTGTACTTCCCCACAGACCTCCTATACCACTAGTAGTTTTCAAATTTATTTGAAAAGTACCTCTGTTCACTCCTTGATTCTTAATTATAATTATCCCTTTGTTTTTCAATGAGCTTGCCTCGATTAAACTATTCTGTGTGCCGCTTCTTGACCCAGATTCGATTTTCATGTAACCATTATCTTCATTGGTAAATTGGTTAACCTTGATTAAAAACTCAGTTGCTTGTGCCATGTCAGACGTGATGGCGGTAAATGTTCCTTTATTGAGGAATTTTCCAGATGTGTACTGAAATTTCAATGAAAGCTTTTGTAATTGTTCAGTACTCACAGAAAATGTCCCCTGGTTTTCAAAATTTCTCAGGAACGTAATTGTTGGTGTTTGCATAAATACATATTTACCTTGAGGGCTAATTATAATATCTTGGGACTGAGATGCCTGAGATTTAGATGTAGTTATCACCTCATTGTTAATGGTTAAGGCCGAAATGATCTTTAACAATAGAAATATCCAAATTTTCCACATTTTGTTGGTATATGAGCAAAATATTACAATTCAAAGGGGTTGATGATAGGTTTTTATATTGCAATACCTGGTTATATCATATAATTTTATGCAACATAAACTCTCTGAGGTGCTTGCCAGTGAATGAATGCCGTGTTGGGTCTTTTTCTTGTTCACATAAATGTTTTAAATCTTGGCTGTATCATCTTGAGATGCAAGAGGTATTATTAATTATCATATAATTAATCAATTGTACTCACCAGTTTTTCATCAATTCAGAAAGGAAATACTTCTAGAACTATTGACCTTTTGAAATCCGATGGTATGACATTCCAACTTCCAAACTTTGTTCAATCTTAATCTATCCAGGAATTAAAGGAAATCAAGAAAGTCAAATAATTTGACGGCATCTCATGATATGTGGCACTTTTCTGTCATTCAATGAAGGATAAATAAAAGCTTAACAGGGTGCTAATAAAGGGTACCCAGTGCCAAGATCTGGGAACAAAATGTCCAATAAATTAAAAAATGGGAAATCTTCTTCATTGTCATAAACAAAACATAAGACTATTTTTATATATTTCAGTGGATGGAATTGGAGAATGAAAGTATCACCATGGTAAGTATAGCTAACATATCTTAATCAAATAAAGAGTTGACAATTGATTATAGTAGGCTCTTTTTTTTTTTGTTCTTTCGTGCTGGTATGCAGGAAAATGACTTCCTCACTTTATATTTTTTTAGTGTGTTAAATAGAATTGATTTTAGATCAACCAGATATAATCATTTTCTATTTTTTATTATCATACGATAATACTTTAAATTAAAGTTAAAAGTATAATGACCGAGGAAAATACTTATGCAACCTAACTTGTTGAGAGAGGCGACGTTGCAAATTTGAATTTTTTTTTTTCTTGGTGGTTTTCTGGCAACACCGAATTTTTTTTTTTATTGTCCACATGTAATATAAAGCTATGTAATAAAACAAGGACAAGAAAACATAATATTATTGAACACTTTGTGGACTGATTTAACTATAGTTATATATGCAAATCCTGCATCCTGCTGTGTATCTACTTTTTTTTTTTAATTGGCAAAGCTTTGGGATGTATATTTAGGGGGAAAAAATCCTATATCTAAGCGGTGACATTAGATAATTTGGCTCATTAATCCTATAGATACGATTTCGTAGCAGTGAGTAGATTCCTTTAAATATAAAATTCAAATCAAAAAGAACTAAATAAACAAATACTACTTTTGTTAGATCTATTGCATGAATATATCACATAAAAAAACTAGGCTTTATTACCACATAAAGTATTTTGGTTAACCTAATTTCAGTCTTGGATTATAGAAAGATTTATACATTTATAGTTTAACGAAATGAGATAGAATTGTGGCTCATTCTAAATTAACCTTTGAAGATATATAATCGTCTATTTGTTGTACTTTAAACTTAGAATATACTTTTTAGATCATGAAATCATCTTTGTAATTACAAATCATAATTTCAATAATTATTAATTTTTTGCAAGAATTTTTGAAAAATTCAAGCAAATTTACATCATAAAAACATTAAACAAAACAAGAGGATTCATGCACCCAGGTGGAATGTTCAACCATTTGAGCTTAGAATTACCCTGTTAAGGAGAAGACACTGAAAATATCAACTCTAGAACGTTTTATTTGGGTCTATAGATCGAATTAAAATCTCTAACATTCTAGAATAGCATAAAATTGAGTTGATTTTGAAAAATGAGTATTCTCTTGTTCGTAATATATGCCAGACACGATACCATCGTATATTGCAAACCAATATGAAATACATGTCAATAATCTCAATATGACAAACGCAACGTTTCCCTTCTAAAAAAGAAGAACTGAGCAATAATGCTGAGGAGCATACCCTGATATGTTTACCCGAATTAAAGATCCTCGTAAAATCATGTAGTTCGTGATTCACACATTCTTACAATTAACGATATATTATTTAAATAAAAAAAAATTACAATTTTATTAAAATACAAGCAGCATAGTAGATAATTTAACAACTCAATGAGAGATGAAAACAAACATCACATTCCTAAAACAAGTACGGCAATTGCCAAGAAAGTGGGTGAAATTTGGAATGTAATAAAGCTTCCATTTGGGTATCCAAAGCTGACACGACCGTTCTGGTCATTGTGTCTTTGCTTAAAGTCAGTGAGATAATACTAGAACTAACATCATACATATAACCTGACATAGTTTGAAATGTTTCAATATTATCTTCAGACTTGCGTTTATTAAGTCACCGCTATGGTCTTGAGTACTAGATTGTTTAGATACACTAGAATATTGACAAGTTTGCGGAATTTCGTGCTCAAATCGACTAGAGCAGACTTCTTGCTTACTAGTAACTAGATCCGGTTCATTGGTTTCGATTGCATTCTCAAAATAACTAGTAGTAGTTTCGAAATCCTCTTCACTAGTAGATTCATCTAATTCTCTAGTCTCATCTTCAACATCCGTTGTGGTATCCTTTTCCTCTGCTGTGGTAGATTCATATAATTCACTAGTCTCATCTTCAAAATCCGTAGTGGTATCCATTTCTTCTATTGTGGTAGATTCATCTAATTCACTGGTTTTAGCCGTCTCAATATTACTAGTTGATTCTGATTCAAAATCATCAAATGGAAAATCTTTACAATCTCCCACCATATAAGCAGGTGCATCCCTATCATATGTAACATATGTGTCAGTTAAATCGAGTTCTGAATATCCTTTCCCAATGATAAACCGTTGAATACTGTGGAGACTTTTTAAAATTAAAATACCATCATAACCATACGTCATCTGATGCAAAAAACCATCTAATCCAATTCGATTTCCCATGCTAAAATTCATAACTTTGTATTCGTTGGTAGGGCCATTTTCCGTGACGAAAAGTGTGCTATTTTCTCCCATTACAAAAGTTTGACCAGCTGAAGAGAACTCTGAATTGAGCTCTACATTGGTATTTTCTTCAAGAAATATACACCCTTCTCCCAGGATCTCTCCTAATCCTTGTTTATAATTTTGATTATATAATTCAATCATACCATTGTTAGTAATATTACAGGGCCCCATATCGAGTATCCCCTGGTTTTCAGCTTGGTTGTTAATTTTAATTGTTCCTTGATTATCCCACACTTTATGTGCCATAATACGACTATATGGATCGCCACTAGTAGCCTTGCTAGAGACCGAGATTATTCCAATATTAGTAAATGATTCAACATCGATTTCAAAACTGGTTGCTACATCACTGGATGCTTGAACATTAAATAATCCACCATTCAAAAAGATCCCATTAAGATTATCCACCTTTACAACAAATTCTCTATCGAATCCAGTTTTGGTTATTAAAACTTGCCCATAATTCACAAGATCTTCATTGAATTGAACATGTTCTAGTTGCTCTAACATCAAACTTCCTTGCTCGGTAATATAATATGGTATACCGAAAAAAACGGTTATATCGGGGGGATTAGTAATGATCTCAGAATAATTAATAGTTATTGCGACTGCAGTTTGCAATAATATAAGAAAACGAATAATCCACATTTTAGTCGTGGTGATTGCCTAATCTAAAGTTTTGGAACATTGTTGGCACTTTTTATACTTATTTGAATAATGTTTATAATGTCAATACTTTTATTTTGATTTTTCCAATCAATGGCATGGTTTGTAGATTTTGATTTATATAACCATTTTGGCAGGTGATGAGAAACGTAAACAACTTGCAAAGTAACTCTAAGATTTTGAAAATAGTTTAATTGACTATTGCTGGATATTTAATTAATACAAGTAAAGTTTTGTATAAATCGTTCACAAAGTGGTTAAACCCCACAAGTCTGCCAGTTTTGGGCCAAACTATAGCCGACTAATGCGAGTTCTATATGGACATCAATCAAAGATTAGTAACTGATATATTTTCCAACCTATAGTTGTATCTTCTCATGGTTTCAAACTTGTAATTATGGTTATGATATTATGTTTTTGGAAACGAGGTGATGTGAAGTAAACAAAAAAAAATTTGGTGACTGGAAGGAGTACACGCCAAAAATTTTTCGTAAATTGGAATTGCAATTGTTTTCAAAAAAGTTGCAATCATCAATAATCACAGTTCTTGTTCGAGAAGGTGTAACTTATACTCTCTGAATTAAAAATATAACCCTTTTTTTGCCTGCTTCAATACTACATAAGCTCAAAATTTCGTCTTTTTTTTGAATTCCTCCAATTTATCAAACTACATAGCAATCTTTGATTTCATTGAATTTCAAACTATAACCAACTTCTACTTTATTTATATACAATAACTTGTTTTCCACCTTTGGTTTTGGCAATGGCTTGAAGAACAGCCAACTTCAAGTCATCATTTCTCGAGTAGACAACTTTATCAAATGGAACATCTTTGATCTTGTTTTGCTTGTACAATTCAACTAATTTTCCAATGGTTTCAACCTTAGATTGTGGGTTACGCTTGGTATTTGCAGTAAGCCAATAAGCAGTGGTAGTGATATTCTTAAATAATTGAATTCTTCCATCATAAACAATGTCTGTACCAGCAACAATTCCATAGGTGACCAAAAATCCATTAACTGATAAACTTTTAACCAAAGCACCAACTGAATCTCCACCGAGACTGTTCAATGCAAGTCTAACATTACCATTATCGGTTACTTTTGTAATATCAAAGGTTTCTGATAAGAATTCGGATTCTTTAATGACTTTGGTAGCACCTAAATCATATAATTCATCAATTACATCTTGTGATTTGTCATCTCTAATAACGGAAACCACCTTAAGTCCTCTTAATCTTGCCAATTGAGTTAAATACTTACTAACTTGAGAGTTTCCAGCATTTTGAACAATCCAATCACCGGCTTGCCAATCCTTGACATATTGCTCAAGAATTTGATAAGCAGTCGATGGGTTAATGGAGATAGTAGCAGCTTGTTCTAAAGTCAACCCATTAACCTTGACAAATGGTTTCTCATCACCTTCAATAGTAACCAATACATCAGTTCTCCATGTTCCAAATCCAGGAAGGAGTGGAATGACATGATCGCCCACTTCATACCCTTGAACTGATTTTCCAACCTCAACCACTTCATAAACTCCTTCATTACCACCAACATGCAATGGTTCATTAGGTGTACTTCCTAAATCAGTAATGTTTCTTGCAACATTGTAACCACCGAAAATCTGATGAATGTCTGAAGGATTAATTGGTGTGGCTAAAGTACGGAGAAGGACTTGGTTAGCTTGAATTGGAGTAGTAATAGTAAATGAGGTATCATTGAGGACTGTAGCTAAGTCCTTACCATGCTCAGCGTATGTAACTGCTTTTCCTTGAACCATCTTTGAATTTTTGTTGTTGTCGTTGTTGTTGTTGTTGTTTCTGAAAAGTTAGATTGAGAAACTGTGTAATTCGTTTGCTACTTATAGTTTTAAATTGTGGGGCTCAATTACTATGGCTCTTTTTTTTTCCTTCTTTTGGCTTCCATGCCGGAAGCCCTTACCACGCATAATTATCCGATCCGCGACTTTAGCGACAACACAGCAAGCGAAGTGCGTATTCACATCTCTCCGGTGATTAGTAAGATGTCTATCTCCGGTTACTGCTTGTCGGAATATCTAATCAAACTAACGATTATCCGATCCGTACCACCTTTAAAGACAAAACAGCAATGGAAACTTCTATTACAAAGCTGTTTGCTGATTAATATGTTAATTTTTATCTCCGGATCGTGCATATCGGAATATCTAGATATGTTAATCATTATCCGATCCGCGTATCTAAATACATTATTTAAGTCATAAAGCTCATATTCAAAGTTATATGCTTACTAATAAGATTGTATTTCTCTCAATCACGATAAATTAACCTCGGATATCTGAAAATTTTTAGTTAGATCAACCTGTCTTGTTTCTTTTTTTTCGCAGTAAAATTATAATTACAAATCGTGAATTAAAAAAACGTCAATCAATTTTTTTTTCTTTACAAAAAAAAAGATCTATAAACGCTAAAACATATATCCTGAAGACACTCTGACACTTGTGTTAATGGTGTACTAGAAAGTGAGGTCAAGAAACTAAGCATATAAATTTGTACAATTTATTTGCTCGTCTTATCAATTTAAAATTCGAGGTAACTTCAAAAAACAATAGTTTGTATACTTTATTTGGGTTCTTGCAGCTTCACAATAGTTGAGCCAGATTCCATGTTAAATATAGTTTTGGTTAAAATATCATATCTCTGTTGTAGTATTCTCTTCGGTGTGAATATCAAATTGAGATACCTATCATCAATGTAAGTTCAATCTAATTGTATCAGCCGTTCAACTAATGGTCATTATCTGGATTTTTTTGCCAACCTCATTGTGAATTTTTTTTTGAACAAGTTTGGTGAGCATTATAAAACAAATTTAAATCAGCAGTTCCAAAATTAGTATCAATTAAATCTATCTTTTGGTACTAATTTCTATTATACTTTCTTCAGCTTGCTAAAGTGGTTGAATGTTCTTGGTTCATTTGCAGCAATTTTACCTTTCGAATCTTCAATAATGGAACCTGGTCCTTATGTATGGTCGCGTATACCGAATTGATTCCGCTGGATCGCATATGTAGACTTCCTTAGTGTAGATATCTATAATATCATAATTTGCAGTCAATTGTTATTCACTGAACCTCTTCTGCTAAGTTATCAATCTGTTTATGGAATAATCACTCTAATAGATTAATTCCTATGGTTTATATTCCATTACTTCTCTCAATCAAACTAATCATGTTTCAAGTTTCGGAAACTGCGGGGGGTAAAGAGATGAGAACTTCAATTTGGGGTATAGCAGCGGAAAAGTATATTAATATCTAATTACTAATCTTGCTTTCCCCGGGATTCATTGAGACAACAAAAATTTCGTTTATCCAGGAAATCCGCCTCATCAAAAAAAATATCGGCTATAAAATTAAGGAACAATAACGGAAGTACAAAAAGATACTTTGTTCTGTCTATTTTTAGTCCGGTATTGTGCAAGTTTTAAGAAACTACTATCGGTGATAAATGCAAGGAGTAATGCAAGTGAGCTTTATACCACCAAAGTCCACGGGGCTGTGGCTATTGATTCTATTGGCAGTGTAAATTACGGATAATCTGGAAAGGTAATCTTTTCGTCTTTTTTTTTTATTATTTTTTTTTTTGTTCTATTTCGCGCTTTAGCCGTCGCCAAGAATTGTTGCAAAAATACCGTAGCAAAAAAAAAAAGGGAACATCGGCTCAACAAACAGTGATCATTCAGATGAGAACATTACAATTATACCAGTCTTATTACCAATGATATTAACATTTAACAAACAACTATTACTGAAAAACCTCCTCTACACTACTCATATCTATTGAGTTCAATTGAAGGAAAACTAGGATCATCCAGCTCTTCCCCACAACGGTAACTCTGGAATTCTATACATGGAATTCCTCCTTCGTTTGCTAGTGGGGTCCGCGAAAGAACAAAAAAAAAAAAAGTCTGAACTTGTCAAAATGCAATATGAATGATTTCATCAATATCAGACAACACTTACGAATCTCAAAGCCAGATATTCAATTTACGTATTCCAAAGCCACAAATTTGGAACCTTTTAGTAAGCATCTGCAACTAATGTTTTTGTATTTACAATTACTGCTTATCTGAGTAAAAACAACTTTTTTTTTAATCGGCGAAAAAAAAAAATGTGTGTAGATCTTCTGCCGGTCAATAAATCCCTCATCGCATTTAGATCCAAAAAGAAAAAACGAAAATTCAAAATTATTTTTTTCCATTGTTTTCGGTCACACATTAGTAGGGCTGAACATGTTATTTTGGCTGGACAGGGAAGGATATGCGTGATACAATCACCTATCTTGGATTTCTTTTCGACATCATCGCTTCACGACAAAATTCAAATTCAGATCCAAGTGGGGCAAAAATATTCGAAAAGATAGCAATTGCTGGGAACACACCCCCACCCCCCTTCAACCTTTATCAAAGTATTATTATGTATGCCAAAGTGATTGCTATAGCACGGCAATGCGTACCGTAATTGCCGACACTCCAGGAATTGCCTATTTCGGTGGAGCTATATATCTGACCCAAATAGAAATCTGACTGACAAATAGACATATATGCAGTCACCATTGTTGCTGTCATTTGCGCACCAAAATAACGGCAGATAAAATTTTTTTTTCCAACCGATATTTTTATTATTTACCTCACAACAGACATAATTCCAGAGCAGTCAAGATGTCCCTCACTGGTTATAAATACATCCAGATGTCCCGCTTGCTAATTACAACTTTAATTCAATTTAATTTTTTTTTTCTATTCTGTACAATCATTACATTATGGATTCCCGTACATCAAATTCAGATACATTAGATAATGCTAGTGTTGATTCAGAAAAAGTCAGATCCTTCGGAGATGCTTTGGCTGAACAACAACAACAGCAACAACACAACCGCTTGAGTTTACATAGAACTAGAAGTATTATAGAAAGAATCCGTTCTCACGAGTCTACAGAAGACCAAGAAGAATTAAAGAGATTGGTCACCAACAATAAAGGTGTGGAAAGAATAATTTCCGAATTACAAGAAGGTGTTGGTGCTTTAGGTCCTCTTGAACAACCATATGATATCAAAAGAGTTGAAACACATGCTGACCCACATTCCGACTTCAATGAAGCTGATCCATGGAAATATCCCCTTGATCAAGAAACTGGATTAAGAATTGTTGAATGGGTTGATAAGGATCCAAAGAATCCAAAGAATATATCCAAGGCTTTGAAATGGACCTATACCATGTTATTGGGTTCTATCTGTTTCGTTGTCGCCTTAGGTTCAGCTATTGTTACTGGTGATTTAGATAGACCAGCTGAATTCTTTGGTGTTTCTGAGGAAGTTATTATTTTAGCATCGGTTACTGTTTTCGTTATTGGTTTTGGTGTTGGTCCATTAGTTTTTGCTCCAATGTCGGAAGAAGTTGGTAGAAAGCCAATTTATGTCGTTACCTTAGCTGTTGCCCTTGTTTTCATTGTTCCTTGTGGTGCTGCCCAAAACATTGGTACTTTAATTATTTCCCGTTTAATTGATGGTATTGCCTTTAGTGCTCCAATGACACTTATTGGTGGTTCCTTGGCTGATATTTGGGAAGGTCCAGAACGTGGTACTGCCATGGCTATTTTCTCCGCCGCTCCATTCTTGGGTCCAGTTTGTGGTCCAATCTTTGGTGGTCTTTTAGCTGATCATGCTCCAACTTGGAGATGGATTTATTGGACTTTCTTGATCATTGCCGGTGCTTTCTACGCTGTTTTCATTGTCATTGTTCCAGAAACTCATCATGGTATATTATTAAAGAAGAGAGCTAAGAAGTTGAGAAAGGAAACTGGTGATTCAAGATACAGAACCTTCAGTGAATTACAAGTAAGAACTTTTGGTCAAGTTGCCAAGACTTCCCTTTTAAGACCATTTGTTTTATTAAGTGAATTAATTGTTTTCTTAATGACCATGTACATGGCTGTTGTTTACGGTTTACTTTACATGTTCTTCTTTGCATACCCAATGGTCTTCATGGAAGGTAAAGGTTTTTCTGCTTCATTGACTGGTGTTATGTTTATTCCAATTGGTGTTGGTGTGATTATTGCTACTTTCTGTGCTCCATACTTCAACAAAGACTACAACAAGAGAGCTCAAAAGTATAGAGACAGAGGTGAATTACCACCAGCAGAATTAAGATTGATTCCAATGATGATTTCATGTTGGTTTGTTCCAGCTTCTCTTTTCGCTTTTGCTTGGTCTTCCTACCCAACTATTTCTTGGGCTGGTCCATGTTTTGCCGGTTTAGGTGCTGGTTTCGGTTTCTGTTGTTTATATAATCCTGCTAACAACTATATTGTTGATTCTTATCAACATTATGCTGCATCTGCCTTGGCTGCCAAGACATTTGTCAGATCTATTTGGGGTGCTTGTGTTCCATTATTTACCATTCAAATGTACCACAGATTAGGTTACGAATGGGCTTCATCCTTAATGGCTTTCATTTCATTAGCTTGTTGTGCTATTCCATTCTTATTCTTTAAGTTTGGTGCAAGAATTAGAAGTTACTCCAAGTATGCTTACTCTCCAAACTTAGATGCTAAGCAAGGAGATGCTGAAAACCAAAAGGAACAAGATTTTGGACATTAAATTATAGAACTTAATACCCTATTTCATTCATTGCATTTTAGGCTTGTGCCGATTATTTATTTTTATTTAGTGTAAATATAATAATAATTTAGAAAAAAAAAAAAAAAAAAACGAATATTTAACTTGTGCAGTAAACATAATTCCATCCATTACACGTTTTATTAAGGGGGTGAAATTATGCCAACAAAATAATTTATACCGCTATGCTTTCTTTGTCCATTTTCCAATAGTTCCGGTTCTTGTTAAACTTTTACAATTTCCTCTTCCCTTTTAAAGCATAATTTGCCAAAAAAAAAATTCTTTATATATAACGAAAAAAACTATATAAATTAATCTGACAATTCTATGAAAACACCATCTTGATGTCTTGCAGTCAATTGACAATTTATTCTTGGTGGGTATGGTCTAAAATCTTTGGTGTTCAAAGTAGGGAATAGTTGTGCCAATCTAACTATAACGTAAGCAGTTTCGGTCAAGGCAAATTGTTGACCTAAACAAATTCTAGGACCACCATTAAATGGCAAATAAGCCCATCCAAGTTTGTCAAGACTTTCCCATCTTTCTGGTCTGAACTCTTTAGCATCTTTACCATAGTATTTTGGATCTCTATGAGTGATATAATAACAATACGCTACTGTGGTACCCTTTGGAACAAATACTGGGGAAGAACCATTTGGTCCACCACCCACTGGCAAAGTAGTATCCTTGGCGGCAACTCTGAAGTTAGCAGAAACTGAAGGATATAATCTTAAAGTTTCATTGATAACCCATTTCAAGTATTCACACAGCTTCAATGACTCAAAAGTAATTTGAGACGCATCATATTCTTCACCAAAATGTTGATAAATCTCTGAACGTAACTTTTGCCAAATTTCTGGGTTTCTAGCCAATTCAAAGAAGCAGAATGATAAGGTACCAGCAGTAGTGTCTCTACCAGCAAGCAAGATATTAAGTAATTGATCTTGTAAAACCTTTGGATCTTTGGTATACTTGACCAATTCATATAAAAATGTATAACCATCCTTTGATTTTTCTTCAAGTACTTCAGGAGTCATGGTAAGAGCCTTTCTCACAAATATTTGTGCCAATTTATGAACACCCTTAATAGATCTTCTAAATTCAAAACCATCTACAAAGAAATAAGCAGCTTGAGTGTAAACTCTTGAACCAAGATATTTTTGAGCAGTGTCGAAATTATGAGCAAATCCAGCAACTTCTTCAGAAGTTGTCAATCCAATCGATTCATCATATAAAGAATGTACAGATTCACCAAATAAAAATTCAGTAGCAGTATCCATAGTCAATCTAAAGAATAATTCTTGAATATCAAATCCTGTACCTTTATTCTTTCTAATATGTTTAGCAAGAATTTGAATATGAGGTTCAAGCTTTTGTACATGAGCAACTTGTTCACGAGCAAATTGAGGTCTTAACAATTGACGAGAATGTTTCCACCCTTCACTATCCAAAGTAAAAATACCATCTCCTAATAAAGGTTTAAGATGAGGATTTCTTCCAAGACCGAAATCATTGAATTGAGTAGCTAACATAGCCTTAATATTTTCTGGTTCACCAGTTACTAACACAGTCAAACCAAATAATTGGGCCTTCATGGTCCAGCCATACTTTTCGATAATTCGAACACCATAATCAAGTAACTCTCCAGTACTCTTGTACTTCAACAAGGTATAAGCCAAATACAATCCAAATAGACCGCCTTCTCGGAAGGATGGTGGTTCTTTTGTTCCATGTTGCCTTCTAAATCTTTCTCTCTTTATGTAAATTGCTAAAGAATAAATAAGTATACTACTGGCAAGAATTCCATACCAGCTAGTTAAAAACTTGATAAAAACAGTATAATAATCAATAGGTTGCATTATATCACGTTAATCTCAATTGAATAGTCTACATGATCTTGCAAATTGGGATATCTACCAAGTATATATATATATGACCAAAAAACAAAAGGTTGCAAATTTGACTGCTTCTCCACCTTGCCCAACAACGAGATGCGTGTTCCTTAACTTAGATTTGCCTGATGCATGTGGAATTTGCAGCTCAGAGTAGAGACATATTGTGGTGCTGCGGGGCTCAATCAGTATGCTGCCACTAGTATAACACCCCCACAACAAAAAAAAGTCTATACGAAATTGCCACAAAAACATAGATCTCCGTGATCAGTCTACATAATGGCAGGGCGTTTGACGTTTTGTTGTTGCTTTGCCTACTAACAAATTTTGTTGGGTTGTCATCATGACGAAATTTTCACATGTGATTCAAGTTGTAGTAACAATATTTCATCATCGCGGAGTAGTTTACAATGGCACACTTCCTAAAAGGGTAAAACGTTGATTGTTCCTGTCAAAAAAAGATTTAACTAGCAATCTGTTTCATATGAAACCACTTTTTATCATGTGAAGCTACTACATACAATCCGTACACACACCAATTTCAAGTTTGTGTTATTAAATCCTTACACTAGCGATTATGTCATATTTTTGTTTGCAATTTTTTCCCCGTTCAAATTTTATTCTTAGGCGTTGGTTATCTCTTTTCAATTATTGGATAACATCATATGCATGTTATTTGAATATCCGTTAATTATCCCCGGATAATTCAATGTAGTTTGGAAAAGCCTTTCGGAATCATGGAAGACTTGTTGGAGTATTCACCAAAGGAGAACCCTTTAACTTCATATGCATTAACTTTTCAACTGGAAGTTTATCACCAGTAGCAACTTGTCCAAAATGGACTTTTCTGTTATGGCAGGATCTGGCATATTGTAGAAGTATCTTCACCTTGAATTTACAAGATCCCTCCACACAAAGATTTGTCTCCAATTTTCAACTCCGGTTTTTTTTGTTTGTTTTGCCTAATGGCGCAATCTCGCAGGAACTAAGCGAGACGAGCAGATACAAAGTCAACTCATTATAATTTGCTCCTGCATCCTTATGTCAACATTCATTGTCCAAACTTAGCCCCACCAAATTCTACAAACATTTAAAAATACTCAGTATATTAAAAAAAACTATACAAAACTTACAAGACAGCAGAAATCTTTTCATCTCTAGCAATCTTGGTTTCCAATTTAACATCAGAAGATTTAATTTCATTACCCAATTTGTAAATCTTTTGGACATAACCAGCTTTATCCAAAACCACGAAATCAGCATCACAGCCAATATTCAAGAATCCACGTTCCTTCTGTAAACCTAAGGAAACAGCAGCATTATTAGTGACAGTCTTAACTGCTTGTGGTAATGAAATCTTGGACCATTGAATTAAATTACGAACACATTGTGGTAAGGTAGTGGCAGCACCAGCTAAGGTATCAGTATTTTCCAAGTATAATCTATCACCAGTCTTGACAATGACTTGGGCATCCCACTTATAAGTACCATCTGGTAATCCCATCAAGTGCATGGCATCAGTAACCAAGACACACTTGTTTGGATTTGATCTATATGCTAAGTTGGCCATTGCAGGATCAACATGAACACCATCACAAATTATACCGAAATATGGAGTCTTGTCATCACCAACAACAGGGGAATTGATTAAACCAACAACACCTGCATCACGATGATGTGGTTGTGGCATGGCATTGTACAAATGGGTGATCATGGTAGCACCATTGTCAATAGCTTTGCAACCAGTTTTATAATCAGACATGGTGTGACCAATAGAGAATATAATGTTTCTTTCAACAATGGAAGGAATAACATCTAATATTCCTGGAATTTCTGGGGCACCAGTGATTATACAGACATTTTCTAACAAGGATGCATCACCACCATAAATTTCAATTAATTTGCTTTCACCGTCCTTAGCATCAACAAAAGTTTCAACTGGATGACAACCCTTCTTCTTAATATTAATGAATGGACCTTCCAAGTGAGCACCTAAGGAATCAGTTTGATTGTCTAATCTTGATTTCTTATAAAATGGTAAAACCTTTTCATAAACTTGTGGGAAGTTGGAGGTAACGGTTGGACAAGTGGCAGTAACACCCGTGGTTAAGTACTTAGCCATGGCGTCTTGATAGAAGTTCTTGAATTCTTGAATATCCTTTTCCGTGTATCCACCATTCAAGTTGGAATAGTTCAATCCGTAGATACCGTTATTTTGAATATCAATATAACCAGGAGCAAGGATTTGTTCATGCAAATCAATTGTTTGAGTGACTAATTGAGGGTTTGAAGGTGGATGTGATATCTTCTTGGTTTGATTATTGTAATAAAGATCGGTGAATTCGTACAATTGACCATTATCAATCAAATGACAGTTTGTGAATCTGGTATAAGTGGCAGTCATTGTATGTGTATATGTGTATAAAATCTATTAGTGTATCTGGGGTATAAAGTGAAATATAAAGAAAATGATGATTGCAATTGAAAGTTGAAACGGGAAATCGGGAAAACGATGTGCTTATATATTTTAGAATCAATATGTGGAATGATGGATAATTGCGCAATGGGTTAGATGTTCCATTTTTTTTAAGCACAGCTTAAAAGCGTTTTTGTGTGTGGTTCAGAAAAGGTAATTGTTCTGTGGTGGCAATTTAGGCGACATAGGTAATGGGCCATCAGGATACACGCTCTCTCCACTACAACATTAAAACTTCAGATTGGGTTCTGCGGATGTAAAAAAAAATTACTTTTTTTTATTTTATCATGTATTTTCCGCATAGAATAATGTGAAATGCACAATGAAATATTGCAAAAATTAAAAAGAAAGGCAAAAAAGTTAAAAAATAATTTAATCTATCGCAACCCTTCACTGCGAAAAACGTGAACCCCGATGGAAATGTAACATTGATTCTCAACGTTGCATCGTCTATCGAGGTTACATTTTTTTATTTTATATGAGCAACTGTACAAAATATGGGGGGACATACAAATTTATACCCGATGGTGGAATCTAACACATAAATTTTCAAGTACAACCTAATTGCTACAATACATAAACTACACAGAACCGATCAAGGTTGTAATTTTACACTTTTTTTTAAGTAAATGATTGCCTTTTGAATCAGTTGATACCATCGCGATTTTTCATTATATAACCGAGTCGGATTTCTCGATTTTATCAAAACCATTTACATTATCCATCCATACATCATCCATCCATACACTAATTACATACAACACATACACAATGAGACAAGCTACTTTCTCCTCTGCCGAAGATGCTTCTGAATACTTAGCTAATTACATCATCTCCAAAGTCAACAATTTCCAACCAACTCCATCCAAACCATTTGTTCTCGGTTTACCAACTGGTTCTTCTCCAGAAGGTGTTTACGCTAGATTGATCAAGGCTAACAAGGCTGGTAAGGTTACTTTCAAGAACGTCGTTACTTTCAATATGGATGAATACTTGGGATTAAAACCAACCGACAAACAATCATACCATTACTTTATGTATGACAAATTCTTCAACCATGTTGACATTCCCAGAGAAAATATCAATATCTTAAACGGATTAGCTACTGACATTGACAAAGAGTGTGCCAATTACGAAGCCAAGATCAAGAAATATGGTAGAATTCACTTATTTATGGGTGGTTTAGGTCCAGAAGGTCATTTAGCCTTCAATGAAGCTGGTTCTTCTAGAGACTCAATTACTAGAAGAGTTAGTTTAGTTCCTTCTACTATCAAGGCCAACTGTAGATTCTTTGAAAATGATGAATCTAAGGTTCCAAGATATGCCTTGAGTGTTGGTATTTCTACTATTTTAGACAATTCCGATGAAGTTGCATTGATTGTTTTAGGTGAAGCTAAGGCTGCTGCTTTAGAAAAGACTATTCACGGTAAAAAGAATGATGCTCAATTCCCATCAAGTTATTTGCAAGATCATCCAAATGCCTTGATTGTTTGTGATAATGCTGCTGCTGGCTTGAAGTCAAAATTATAAGCGTATACCATTTATCTTTCTTCTTTATAGAGTTTAATACAAAATTTTTCTAGGTCTAAATACTTCATATATCCCCACATACTAAAATGTAAATGTCACACACCTCAGTTTCCAACAGAAATTCAAAAAGCTGCAAAACGTCAAAAAAAAAAAGAACATTTCGGTTGCATTTGAAATTTCTTTTCAGGGAAGTACATTATCCCAGGGGTTACCCCTTTAATCAAGACATAAAATTGATAGTAACGTGAAAAGTGTTAGATTAAAAAGAAACAAACTAGATAATTTCAGTATTAATCTGGTGATGTCGGAACATTAAAATTGTTATATACCTTAACCCCTCGGAGAACCTTTCCCACTTTATGTTGCTTGTAAAAAAATTCACAACCATCCGCAATCCCCGTAGATGATACTCTGTGATTAGTCAACTCCCAGGTTGTGCTTGCAAATTTCAGTCAATTCACATTTCCCACTTTCTAGCTTTACATATGCTACAAGTCTCAATCATTAATACTGTTTATAAATTAACAAATATAAATATACGTCTACGTATAAAAGAAAATAAAAGTCAATCTTTAAAATATCCCAAATTTTGATTTCTAAGAATAATAAGCAGCTCCAATGGCAGCTCCAATAATCGAACTATTGTCGATTAATTTCAAATCAACCTTTAAACCCAACTTCTTTGCATCTTCATTATCATTAATCAATTGTTTAACCAATTTTCTATAACTGTTAAAATAATATAATACTGATCCAACATATCCAATTGTAACTTCGGATAAATCTTCATTGGCGTTGTGTTCGTGTAATAACTTAACAAAGGAAACTATAGTGTAGGCAACGATGAATGCTGCTCTGTGGATTATAGCATTAGTAACATTCTTCAATATGGTAATTTCTTCTTGAGAAATTCCGGTTTTCCAGTTATATCTTTCAGAAACCTTCTTGTTGATGGCTTCAAAATCATCTGATTCGTTAATAAAACACATTAATTCACCATCAAACCCATCGTATTCATTAGTCAAGATTTCAGTAAGTTCATATTGGCTACGGTCAACAAAGATCTCTTGAGCCTCGATTAAATCAACCAAGACTAATCTGGTCAATTCTGGTAAGTATCTCCCACTGGCCATCAATTCATGTGGTTGGAAAATCGTACCAGTGTTTGGATCGACAGTCATGAATGATTGGAAATGTTGGTTGAAAATTCCAAATCTGGAATCAATATGAGAATCATATTTAGTAACAAAGTTTGGAGTCACCAAGTTTTGACCGAAAAGTGATAATTCAGTATTGTAAAGAATTCTGTCATGACCATTCAAAACCTTGTCTGGGTGGACCTTGCTGGAACTATCCAAGGAACAACAAACATTCAATCCAGTTCCCAAGACTAAAGCCAATTTGGTATTCTTATCAATAAAGGCACCAGCAGCATAAACAGCAAGGGAATCATTGAAAATGATTCTGATATCAATATCAATAGCATATTCGTCCTTTAACACCAGCTCCAAGATAACTTTTAAATCTTTGCCAAAGATGTCTGGGTGAATTGTGTAACCTTTAGAAACATGAACAATTCTTCCGTGGTTGTAATCGGTGGTTTCCAATGGGAAGGACCAAGTGATACCAGTCTTGACAATAGAGTTGATATCCAAAACTTCTTGCAATTCCAAAACCAGTTTAATCTTAGCACCAATAAACTTGAAGAATTCCCAGTCAATAACTTTGAAATCGTTTGGAATAATCCAACTTTTTTCAATAACTGTTTGAATACGAGAAGATCTATCTGTTTCTTCGGCATCAACTGGCTGGTCAATGTTCACCACAGCTATTCTTAAAGTAGATCCACCCAAGTCAATAACCAAGAATTGACCATGTTCTTGTCCAGTAGGTTGAATATTGTAATTAGGCAACATAGTGATGTTGGAATTGTCAGATAAAGCAGAATCAAAATCAGCGTGTAACAAGTCTGATTGGGAACTTAAATTCTCGTTAGTTAAAGTTTGAGTAAAAGATTTAACAATTGACGACAATAACGATTCCATCTTGGAATCAGACCCAGCTTGAGAAGTGAGTGGAGATTCCAGTTCTTCTGAGCAGGCAGAAACACTCGAGTTAGAAGGAGATTCTTCTAATGTGAACTCGCCAATGTTTAAGCCAAGTCCCTCCACTTCCTTCATTGATGGAGTTATCGATATAGCGGCAGGAGTAGTGTTGGTCGTCATGTAATATATAAAGAGGGGGGTATAGTAATATAAAGTAAGGGTGATGATCAGTAATAGTATGAATAACTTGATATCGGGATGCAAAACGAAGGAAACTTGTAGTGATATAAATAATTGGAAATTTTATAAATGTAAAAGTTGGTTATAAATAATTTAGTACGTGGGTGTAAAAAAAATTTTGACTGTAACCCCAAGGTAGTAAAATGCAAAAAAAAAGTAAACGACTGAGGGAAAGTGTGGGACAGTCGGGTGGTGGTTCAAAAACAAAGGATCTTGGTGTAACTTGTGTGTAGAATACGGAGTATACGGGGCAAGGAGCAGGGAAAATGTAAGTGAGCTTTTTCTGGTTGTGTGCCTGTGTAGTGTTGTGGTGGGATGATTGAATGAGGCAATTGGGGCGGGTTAAGGGTGCATTAAACTAATAATAAGTTGATTCCTCGCAGAAAGAAAGTAGGGCGTGGTGGTATTAGATCATGGATACAAGCAAGTTTGGACGAAATGTGTTGTGGTGGTAATAATCACTATCCAATTTTTGATGTTACATTAGCACAGTTTAAATTTTTTTTTTTTTTTTTTGAGCACAGAAATCAAAAAATGGAACTCCATTGCAATTTCAATTTTGTGCAATAAATTGTTTTTTTGTTTGTCGGTTGTTATTTTTAAACTTCTAGAAATCACAACGAGTGTACCCCACCAAGGACCCCACTATTTCTTTTAGCTAAGATTTTACTAGATATGAAGTATAATATCAAGAGGTGGGTATTTACAAACTCTAGTCATTAAACAATTTCCCCATGGTGGTGATATCTTTTACGCATTTGATTAACATGGCGATATTGGCGCTATTTATCAGTAGAAAGTTTACATTCGCACACGATGCAATGCAACGTTACATGTACCTGCAAATGAACTATGTATTGATTGTTAACGAGCAACATTGTTTAGCCCTATAGTGAACCGTTTTGCTGGTTTATTTGTAGCAAGTAAAAGTCCCAGACCTGCGTGAGCTCATTGCATTGCCACAAAATTCAATTAAGGGCATTATTTTGTCGTTGCAATGCAATATTCATAGATACGCTTTTGTAACTCGCACAAATTTATGTCAGGGCTTACACCCCTCCAATATGTCACCTCGTCACAATCACCGCTGCCCTTACTTCGGATGGTTTGTAATTAAGCGAAGGATGAACTCTTGGCGTCAAGTTAATCCGGTTGTAACCTTCTTGGCAAAATTCGTCACATCTGAATGTGTAGATATATCCGTCACATGAGAATGTGTGTGTTCCCCAAGATATCACCTGAATACAGTTTTATCCCCATGGTGTGTACTCCTTTTAAGAAATATTACAATTTAGTACCCCGAACTAATTGCGGAATATTACCACGCAAACACACACACGTATACACGGTTTTTCCGGAAATAAACCAAGTGTGCCTCTAATCGTTTCACATTTAAAGTGGCTTTTCTACAACGTTGCATAAAAAAAAAGAATCCAATATTAGTTCTACTTAACATACGATTATTCTTTACTCAAATCATCCAATTCAATCTCTTCAGTTATTTCCTCTTTGGTGGCAACCCGACTAGGTAGTGGAGGTTCGTCAATTAATACCTGTCTTAATTTTTCCTTGGCAAGGACAATTACTTCATCAGTCATTCTTTGGGCAACAATCATGGCTGGTTTCAACAAGTTCATAGTATACATTGCATATAACGCACTTCCAAAAACAAGACACAAGGCAAAGAATAATGGGTTTCTAATCACTGCCAAGAACTCATTCCATCCCAAAACTAAAATTATTATGTAGATATAGTAGGGGATTTGAGTAACCAGCTGGACAATTGCTCGTTTGTTTTCAACAAATTTAGCATCGATCTCCTTCTTAAATTTAGCTAAAAGCTCGGCTTTTTCACCTTCACTCATAATTTCTGCAAAACATGTGTGCTCTTCATCTTCTTCATCATCGTCATCATCGTCATGGGCTGATTCTCCAAGATATTTTTCTCGCAAATCATAATCGAAAATATCAACTTCGGGTAAGATCTCACTATCATTACTTAATTTGGCAAGACTTAAAATAGGCACAATTGAAACTGCATGCATCTTTGCAACTTGGAAAGAGTCTTCCAAATCACGCTCATTAAAATAAAGTTTAGGAATACCATTGGAATCATATCTAAACTTATCATCAAATCTATCTTGTAAAATAATTAACAACTTATCCTTGGAAATCAACTTCGAGAGAGTGTCATGAAATTGAGACCATGATTTGAATTTGAAAGTTTCTTGAGCAGTCTTATTTTGCTCATCAGTAGTGCCAAGGTCAAACTCGGGAAGTACTGAAAGTTTCTTGAATGCAGCAAGAATTCTGTCCCAAGTTTCATCGTCTGCATTAGCAAGCTCTTGTTGAACAGCTTTGGAAATACCACTAGATAATTTCTTTACTGATTTGTTAACAATGGAGTTTAATTCCGTGGCTCGTTGTTTGGAAACAATATTGTCAACTTCAGCATCAAATGAAGAAATTGATTCATTCACAGGAATATCCCCATTCAACGAAATATAACCAAGGCTAGTGGCAACTAATTCACAAACATCTTTAGATAATTCTTCACTCTTGGATTTAAAATTCTTTCCTTTCAAGCTGATTAAATCTTTTTGGAATTTACTCAAGGTGTCACTGATTAACTTTTGAGATTGTTTTTCAAATAATTGTTTATAATAAACATGTAACTTTTCACACAATTCATATTTCTTTTCTTCATATACTGATTTATTATACCTTGAAGCAGATTGATCGAAATTTTCTACGCTATCATCATACAAATCGGACATTACCTTACCCAATTCTTCGAAATCAGTAAATTCCTTGTTACCGAATAATTCATTGAACTTGAGTTTGAATTCATCGACAACTTCCTTGATAATTTCATCACATCTAAATTTTGCAACTAAGATTTGCTCCATAGGCAAATCCAAATCTTTATTATTTTCAATTCTTTCCCAGCAGTTTTCAGCATACATGGTCCAACCATCAATTGGAATGTTATGATGATACTCGGCTTTAAACAAGTCATCCTTGACAATAAGACGATCACCTAGCCTGGCAATACCGGCAGAAAATTGTTCGGGTTGAAAAAGCTTGTGATTCAAGGTATGGAAGTCAATATCGAAGAAATCGGAAAATTTCAATTCAGTCATATCGGCAGGTTTAGCCAAATCGTTCCACATCTTCTTCAAATCTTCGGTGACGGTATCTGCCAAGTTTTCTACCGGTGTTATTCCAGCATAATCACGAATCACAATCAATAATAAAATCCTGTGGTCATTATCATTCTTTTTATCCAACTTCAGTTTCCCAAACAACGACAAATTAACTTCAAATACAGTTTTCAATAATCCTAAATTGGCCCCCTGATATAACCCAACTTGAGTTTCCCAAATATTAATAATTAAAATTTCGGAAGTGGCAATGGCAAATAATGCTGCTTTCCGTTCAAAATCTTTGTCTTCACCGTGTTCTCTCCCATCAGTACCTTCAACATCCATGACAAAGATATCTGATTGGGGACGTTCATGTTCACCATCAGTGATGGTCACTCTAGGCGAATGGGCCATCCAAATCCCTTTTGTAGTTTGTTGCCTACGTTGGGTCTCGTCCATGACATCGAAATTAGTATGGAATAAACGATTCAACAAAGTAGACTTACCAGTGGATTGAGATCCAAACACAGAAATAATGTGATAATTGTTTCCAATTGATGTATTACTAGCAGTAGCTTCGACATAGTTCAAAATGGAAGGGTTAAATTGTTTATGTTCGTCAATTATTTGTATGGCGTCTTGAATCCCAGAATTACTGGCCACATTTGGACTGACCGGAACAAATGAAGAACTGGATGAAGTCTTGGAAAGCGGCCCTTCACTGATATCTTCAGGATGATCGGATGACATTGCAACTTTGTCTTCTTATGGTTAGATTAACTGGTTGTAGTCAATTGGATTTTGCTGTCCCCAACAAAATCACAGGTTTTTTTTTTTTGAACACAGTGACCAGAAAGCAACCCCAACCTTTTTTTGTTGTATCGGTGGCTACCATGTGCCTTGTTTCTAAATTAGGAAAGCTGAATATGGCGGAGACCCGAGTGGCAGATTGGGGCATTCAATAGTTGGATCGGGAATTCCGTGATGGAGAGAATACACTCTAGGTACCAGATTTTATTTAAATTTGTTGTAGCGGGTACCAGAGTTTAAACCGAGGATAAAAATGCTAGCGCTATGCTCACTAATGTATATAGACCCGGTGCAAACATACTATTCAGTTTCTGCTTGATGACCTATGTACTCTCCCGTAACCATAACGGTGAGTGATAATATATGCATGTTTAATTATGCAAACTTGGTGTATAATGGTTCACTCAGTTCATGTGAAAATATTTTGGTTTTTGGTTTTTTTTTTGCAACTATTCTACAAAATCTTACAAAAATTACAGTCTCTTATTTTCTTATTTACAACTTCTTAGTTAATTCAGGAATAACTTCATTAAGATCACCAACCAATCCAATATCAGCAACATTGAAAATAGGGGCATCTGGGTCTTTGTTAATAGCAACAATGGTTTTGGAATCCTTCATACCAGCCAAATGTTGAATGGCACCAGAAATACCGACACCAATGTATAATTCAGGAGCGATGATTTTCCCAGTTTGACCAATTTGCAAAGAGTTATCACAGAATCCAGAATCAACAGCGGCTCTCAGGGCACCAATTGCTGCTTTCAATTTGGATGCTAATGGGTTCATTAATTCATCAAAGGTTGCCTTATTTTTTAACCCACGACCACCAGCAACGACTATTTTCGACAGCGATAAGTCGAATCCGTCGCTGACTAATTCTTCAGAAACAAATTCGGTTCTGTTGTCGGTATCAACGGTGGAAACTTCTTCAATTGGAGCAGCAGAGCCGGATGTTGCAACTGGAGCAAACGCAGAAGCTCTAACTGAAGCAAGAATAATACTGTCCTTAGACTTGACAGTAGCTAATGCATTCCCAGCATAGATTGGACGAACAAATGTGTTTTCATTGACGATTTTGACAATATCGGAAATTGGTTGAACATCTAATGATGCGGCTACTCTAGGAAGCACAGATTTACCTACTGATGAAGCAGGAGTTATGAAATGGGTGTATCCGGATTCTTTAATTATATTTTCCACCAATGGGGCAACTTCTTCTGCCAAATAATGGTCGTATTTGGCATCTTTGGCAACTAAAACCTTTGAAACACCGGCTTTGGAGGCCTGTGGGGCAATTGAATCGGCATTACTTCCCACAACCAAGGCAGTAACTGGCTTACCTAATTGTGTAGCAGCAGTAATTGCAGACAAAGAAGCTGGGGTAGTAGCTCCTGAAGCATTGCTTTCTATAAATACAAGAGTATTTAATGCAGATTTACTGCTGGAGAAGTATCTTCTAGCAATGAGTGACAATGACATGGTTGGATAGTTAACTAATCACTATTGCTCTGGTTTTACAACACTGAAAAAAAAATGAGCTACGAGCGGAGGGTGATTCATATTTTTTTTTGTGAGTATTCGCACGACCTCCGGTTTTCGGAGGCAGCAAAACAGCGACAGATTGTGTAATCACCATGGGTAAACATACTGATCTTCAGTATACTTTACAAGAAAATTTAAGTGCTCTTTTATATGTGAATTTAACTAATTCGACAAAATTTGCTTAATCTCACATTTGTAAGCTTATTATTAAATATATAATGCAAAATCAGATATGTTCCAGAATTATATGAGACCGTATTCAATGTATACCCCATGTTTAAACAGAAACATTTGCAAACTGATGTGCAATAAACGAATTGTACAACACGCTAAAACACCCATGAATTGTAAAAATTCGGATATTTGCCAATTTCAGAACCATTCACAACTCGCTAATAAGATATAATCCATGCAATAAATAAAGCTTGAACCAATGTGCTATTCACGAATTGCACCTGCCATTTGCAAGGAGAACAACTTGAAAAATAATTATACTACTATATTGACCGTCGATTCTATTGCCCAAATTTACAATTAATTGCAATATTTTTATACTTTCTTTGTATGAATGTCTATATGCATAGCAATCTCAAGTTCTTGGGTGCAAATATTGCGAAAAAAAAATAAAGGTTCGATATATGGCTGACTACTACAAATACATTAACTGATTAAGGAGAGTCCATTGAACAATATCATTATAGGCCCTATCTAATAGTGAATGTATGTCACTTTTGTTATGTAACTTCAATGCTACGTTCATTTGTTAAAGCTTAACTGTTGATCACTTTTGCGGTATATTTCTCAAATAGGGCGGGCCGAAACTACGCAGCGGTTTGTTATTCAATGTGCAATCTTTCCATTTTGGGTATCAAGAAACTAAAGCTTTTATTGAAAATATGATCACAATTCACCCAAAAAGAACAAGAATATAGAGTTGCAAATAAGCATATAATCCATCATCATTATCAGCCTATTCATCATCGTAATCTTCTTTGGAATAGCCTTTGTTAGGATAATTTTCTTCACTTGATTCACTGTAAATGGTGACACTATTGGATACAAGACAACCAGTTAATTTAGTTCGTTTTAAAATAGTACATTTGTTAGCGATGATTCTAGTTTTAACATTTGTCTTTTCACCCAAGGTAGTTTCTTTTCTAACGAAAGAGTCGATACCAATATAAGTTTCTATCTTGTTTGCTTGTTTCATTCGTTGACCCTTGTATTTGGCTTGCTCCTCTTAACGAAATATCTTTTGGATTCCATGAGAACACACAAGTTGCTACATCTAAAGAAAGTAGCTTGGTTATGCAAGATTAAAAAACCGATGGTTTCTTTGGTGCTTGAATGCTTCCATGATCTTCTTTCCAAATCAAGAATAACCTTAGAGGCAGATGTTGCTTAGAAATAAGTCTCGGTAAACCTATCTGGATTCTGTTTGAAGATTTCAAATATGGAAGTGGATGCTCCAAATATACAACTGTTGAGAAACTTGGTGCTTATTACGATATCTCCAAAACATCTGGGATCTAATTCGTGAGAATTAGTGAAATTAGATATCTTGCTGGTTGTAAATGTGTAACGAGGTACAATTGTCACATTCTCCAAATATATAGTGTAAATGTTTTAAGAAATATATTACTTTTCTTGTCTTCGATATTCAATTAGTTTTTAGTAATGTGCAACTAATCACATATCAGTATCTTATTTATTTCTATAAGCTTGAATTACAAGTTGTGGAGATAAATTGGTAATAAAATTACAAGGTGAAATCACAAAATTATCCATGAATCTAACGGAAGCATTTTTGAGCAATTCAAACAAAATTAGACCAGGGTAATCAACATGAAATGTATAGTCGATCTAAGTGTAAGTTTAAGCAATATGTCACTATAAACAAAGAGCAAACGCTGAATGACAAATTTGAATTTTGTTATTGGTGAATTTGAAATTGCCATCCAAAACGTTTTCTCTAGAAAGCAAAAATAAAACGAGTCTAATTAAACCGAGCTATATCTAAAAATAAAAATCGTGGCTGATCTCCAATCGAAGTAGAGGGCGGAGAAACAAAAAAGCGAAGATCCACGTTGAAATTGTAACATTGATAACACAGGGAAATTTCACTCACATTTACACAATCTAGCAAGTTATCGACATGCCAGCATCGCCTCCAATCACCTCTCCCAAGAGAGGAGAGAGTGCACGAAGAGTACAAAGCCCATCACCCAGCATCAGGCTAATTTCGAACCGACGGGTGAATCAAGAACGACTGCCATTATTGGAGAGATCTCACGATAGCGATTATGCAACTACTAATACCCATCACGTCCCCCCACACATTCCTTCATATCTTCAAAATGAAGTTCTTCCAAAACCAGATACTTCTGATGTTGAATCGTTTGTTTACCAACCACAACCAACTGGTATAGAGCATAGACTTGAAGGACAATATATGCCTACCAGCACTCAAAAAGCAGAGAACCTAGCATGGAGTGATATCCTTCCATATTATCTCCCGTGTCTTTCGTGGATGGGTAAATACAACCTTCTGTTCTTCATTGGTGATTTGATCGGTGGATTAACATTAGTGTTCTTCCAATTACCATTATCACTATCATATGCAACTACTTTAGCCCATGTGCCTGTCGTTTCCGGGTTATATTCACTCGGAATTTCACCATTGATATACATGATTTTCGGAAGTGTCCCCCAGATGATTGTCGGTCCCGAGGCACCAATATCTCTCATTGTGGGACAAGCAGTTGAACCATTGTTACATCATGCCAAAAAGGAAGTTGATCCTATGGAATATGTAGCAGCAATTACATTTTTGAGCGGGGCTACGTTGCTAGGATTTGGATTGGGAAGATTTGGATTCTTGGATAATGTATTGAGTCCAAGTTTATTGAAGGGTTTTATTGGCAGTGTTGGGATTGTTATGAATATCAATGCATTGATTAGTTGTTTAGGATTGGAAGAGTTGATGAAAGAAATTTCTAACGATCCTAATGAAATGGATATTCATTCTCCATTTGATAAAATGAATTTTCTTGTGCATAACTTAGGCAAACTGAACGGGTTAAGTCTTTGTATAAGTTTAATTGGATGGAGTGTAATAATAGCCGTGAGAATGTTCAAGAAATATAGTCATAACAAAACTCATAGTCGATTTTATAAAAATGTGGCATATATTCCTGAGATATTGATTGTTGTAGCAGGATCAACTATCCTTTGTGAATACTTTCGTTGGGATTTACATCATATTGAAGTCATCGGTAAGGTCAAGCACGATGGAGAAATTCATTTTTATAACCCATTATCTAAATGGAGCTTAGTTAAACAATTCAGTACTCTGGGATTCTTGTGTGCTATGTTAGGTTTCTTTGAATCGACCACTGCATCAAAGTCGCTTGGAACCATGTTTGACTTACCTATTAGTTCCAATCGTGAATTAATTGCCTTGGGTTCTCTAAACTTTGTGGGATCTGTGTTTGGTGCATTGCCTTCATTTGGAGGTTATGGAAGAAGTAAAGTGAATGCCATGTCGGCAAAAACTACCATGCTGGGAGCAATAATGGGATTTTTCACTTTGATCACAGTAGTATTTTTACTTGACTATTTATACTTTGTTCCTGTGTGCATGCTTAGTGTGGTTACTTCTGTGATTGGTATTCTGTTAATTGAAGAAGCACCTTATGAATTATACTTCCACTGGATGAGTAAAGGATACAATGAATTGATTACATTTACATTAACTGTTTTGATTACCTTGTTCTTTTCCATGGAAGGTGGGATTGCCGTAGGGTTGATTTACCTGTTGATTCGAGTAATCAAGAATTCTACCGAATCAAGAATTCAAATTTTGGGAAGATACCCAAACACCAACATTTTTGTTGACGCAGATATCCCTACTTATTCAGATATGACTCATGAACACAAGTCTTCTATCAATGTGTTTGATGATTTTAATCAAACCCAGTTGAATCAGCAGGTTATTGAAGAAGTTGAAGGCTGTTTAATTGTGAAGATTCCAGAACCATTGACATTTACTAATTCCAGTGATTTACAGAGTAGATTGAAGCGTGTGGAAATGTATGGGTCTACCCGGGCCCATCCTGCCTCCAAACGTAGCCGAGACGAGTCTATGACTAAATATATCATTTTTGACTTGAATGGAATGACAGAAATTGATTCCTCGGCGGCGAAAATCTTACGGGAGTTGATTTGCAGGTATAGGAGCCGTAATATCAGGACATTATTTGTGCGCGTGGCCAACTATCCTAAAGTCAGACAGAGATTAATTGATTCGGGGATTGCCGATTTGCTTTATGAAGACCTTGTCGATTTGAGGTATTTTACCATGCAAGATTTGGCCTTAAGGTACATTAATTCGCGTGGAAGGAATTTGCAAGAGTTTGAAGAAATGAGTAGCAGTTCTGAGATAGAAACGCTCATGAACTGTTTTGAATTGATTGAGAATGAAGAGGAACCATATTTCAAACATATTAGAGACTCTTTAAAGGTTATTGATTGTTTTGAAGTTAGTAGATCATTATTAGACCGGAATGTATAGGACAATATAGATTAGCATAGCACCAAAGAAAAATAAAACTGTGTGTGTAAATTACGCGCGGGTTATTTTTCGAATTTGTCAAAACTAATCTGTTTACTTTCTGCACGTGTAAAACAACCATGTCTGAATCTATCGGTGAACACCAACTAGACAACGGAGAGAATCCCGAAGAATCGGGAGAATTGACCATAAAACAAGAATATCAATTATGGAGAAAGAATTGTCGATACATGTATGAATTCGTCAGTGAAACTGCCTTGACTTGGCCATCGCTCTCCATCCAATGGTTGCCAGAATATACCACCACCGACGGAATAATCGATGCAAAGTTACTCATTGGAACTAACACATCTGGTGAAGATAAGAATTATCTTAAAGTTGCCACTACCCAGCTTCCGGAGAATAGTGAGGTCAAAGTTAGTTCTCGACTCAAGATTGTGCAGAAATTTGAAAATAATGCAGAAATTTGTCGGGCAAGATATATGCCTCAGCAATCTAACGTCGTAGCTACCATTAACGGAGTGGGTGAAGTTGATTTGTACGATTTGAACCATGAGTCCAAACAGGCTATTTCTCATAATGCCACTCATTCAGAGAACGGGTATGGACTTGCTTGGAGTAATTTCACCAAGGGCTACTTGTTGACTGGTGCTGATGACAAGTTCTCCTGTATTACAGACACCAATACAAATAAGGTTATATTTAAGAGTGATGTGCAACAAGATATTGTCAATGATGTCAAATGGCATAATTTCGATGAGAATTTGTTTGCCAGTGTCTCGGAAGATTCTCATGTATATGTATTTGATATCAGAACTAAGGAAGTAGTGTCAAGATTCTATGCAAAGGAATCCAATGGGATTAACACCCTTGCCTTCTCGCCGTTTTCAAGAAATCTATTCAGTATCGGAAATACAAACTCTAATATCAATTTGTTGGATATGAGGAAGTTGTCAAATGACGCGAAAAGTACCTCGGGACTTTTACATACCATGATGGGACATGGAGATCCAATAACCAGTATGGAATTCGATCCACACCACGATGGAATATTAGCTACAGGTGCGCAAGATAGACGAGTTATAATTTGGGATTTGTCTAAAATAGGTGAGGAACAACAGCAAGAAGACGCTGAAGACGGATGTCCTGAGTTATTCATGATGCATGCTGGTCATACTGGATCTGTAACCGATTTGAATTGGTGTCCATTCAAACCATGGACTTTAGGAACAGTTGCAGATGACAATATAGTTCATCTATGGGAAGTTGGCAAGAATTTACTAAACACAGAAGAGAATAGCGAGATAGCGGCTAGCGAGTTAGAGTAGACGTGTATTAAGTAAGTATGTAAACCAGTCGTGTGATTCTTTCAAATTTGACTTTTTTACCCTTTCGCATTTTTTTGGCTGACTGTACAAAAAAAAAAAAAAGAAGAAGTTCCCCGAAGTAAATTCTGTTTACCAGACTTTGTATTTTTCAACACTGTGGCGAAGAGTTACAACCAAAACAATCATGTCTGACTTTCCTCCTAATTTATCCATCAGACCATTGACTATAGAAGACCTCGATCAATGTATCGAACTTGAAAAGAAAGGGTTTCCTGAAGATGAACGTGCATCTCCAGAAAAGCTTAAATATAGGTTGACTGTATGTCCGGAATTATGTTCGGGATTGTTTATAAGGGAATATATATATAAGTACAATGCTATTAACTTACCAGACGTTGCTGAATCCCTTGAAAAAGAGCATGAGCACGCTGATGGCAAAGAAGATAAGTCCGAACACGAAGAAGATTCAGACGATGAAGACTATCCTTCTAAATCTTCAGTTACCAAGGAAATCCTTGTTGGTCACATTATTGGTACCAAGATTGCTGGAGAAAGAATTACAAATGAGAGTATGGAATTACCGTCATCAGATATCCCTGGATCAGGACACATTGAAAGCTCAAGACATATCGGGATCCACTCTGTGGTGGTTGACCCTAAATGGCAAGGTAAGAACTTGGGTGCTTTGTTATTACATGATTATATTCAAAAATTATCAAATCAAGATTTGGGTGATCAAATTTTCATAATTGTTCATGAAGATTTAATTCCATTTTATGAGAAGATTGGGTTCAATAATTTGGGTGAAAGTAAATGTAAATTCGCTGGTGTTGCTTGGTATGATATGTCAATTGATTTGGTAGCTGTTGATGATCTTTAGTCATGTTGTATATTAGGAATGTAAAACATTATGTGCAACTATCTTTCTTGTGCTATCAGGCGCAAGATAATGCTTGTAGGTCTCGTACCTCTATCTCGTACTACAATTTAGTGCGAGCTCGGCCTACTCGGCCTGCGCCTCCCGCTCCTCCCCCCTGGTTGTAAATTTTCCTCGAGGCGACCTTTCGCGCGTAGGGATACCCCTCTCTATTTTCCATCGCCAATTGTTGCACCAACTACTACTGTGTATTTTTTTTTTTGCCCAGTAAATCTAAACTTTCAGTTCTACTTGTAATCACCACCAAATGTTGCAAGTTCCACAAACAATCAAAACATTCTTTGATGCAGTCCCAGTAAAGAACATATCTAACGACCACACTAAACTAGATGATATAAATATCTACCATTTCCAGGGAACTTCCAACTCACAAGCCAAATTTACATTAGCGGTGTTCAATACTACCCAAGAAGGTGACTTAATAATCCCTACGGACCCAATATCGTTGGGCTACACGTTAATCTTGTCACATAAATCAAAATTCACGCTTCCAAAAGAGAATGGATCGAGTAATTGCGGAATAATGGCCATGTCCCATTTAGGTTCTCCCAACAATGTCTTGCCTGTCCTTATTGAAGATGATAATTTGAGAAACATCAAAACGTTGGATAGTATTAATCATGATCTTATTGAGAATAATTTCGACAGCCATGAAGCCAAGCTTGTTAATCTGTTGGTTGATAGTAAGTTTTATGACGTTTGGGTACAATGTATATTAAATGAGGACTTGCCATACAAAGTGTTATCCGAGTTATTTGGATTGGATGAGACAATTGAAGGTAATGTGGTGTTGAGGGAGACGCAAAAGTATGAGTTTTTAACACAAGTGGCCAATTGGAACTCATTCAAGCTTCGTCATCCTACATTGTTTGAACAATGGACTAGAACAAACTATTTAAAGAATTACTATGAATCACAAATAGGCGAATTTGCCAAGGATTTACAGTTGATAATTGAATACTTAAACAACAACTCCGATGAGCAAAGCACGTTGATAAAACATAAAGTCGCAGGATACATGATAAGCATAGACAAGTTCCTTAAATCTACAAAATTAGGAGATGTGGTAGTATCTCAAGGTGAATTCCTTCATCAATGTTATGATTTATTAGTCTAGTCTTTTCCACACTTGTATATAATTATCGTCAAGGAATAATAATTCTGAACTCACTGGCTTAACTTGTAGATCTTTTATAGAGATCCAGTTATTTTTCCTTTGCAAGGATATACTCCATTGGTTATCTTGTCTGATGGTAGAGACAAGTTTGTAGTTTATTTCTTTGTCCGATTTTGTATATTTGTTCATGTTCAAAATCTCTGGAAACTTAACCACGGTTGAGTTGCTTGTTTTCTCAAACAGGATAATCAAGTATGGCGGTAATGGTTCCAACACCTTGTATGTTCTTACCTCATTTTCATTGACCTGTGTTTGAGTAGTACCATTATACTTTTCCAACAAAGCTTCGATCTCCACTTCCTCGATTTTATCAAGTTGGGCGGTTAGCAAAGGGTTATGAGGAATATCCAACGAAAGTAACCAAAACTTAGACTCGACAGTCTTCAGTTTTGACTCAATTGTTGTGAACTCAACTCGAGATTTGACTTCTTGGGATATTATTGGGATCGTTGTGATTTCAATCTTTCCTTGTAAGTTCTGGCTGAATGTTGTGTGTTTTGACTTTGTAGTTTTCACAAGTTGGGAATGTAAGGTGTTGACAAGCCATATGAGAAAGTTCTTTGGTGGTTGTTCATGCTCAATTGTGAATTTCTTGTTTGATATCTCGGAAATGCAATTTATGAGTTCATGAGGAGCAATATGACTTTTAAACAAGTGTGGTGACCAAATCTTACGAACCAATAAACTTAACTTGTCATTGATGGGTGATTTTCTAGTAATTGTCTCATAATGCTTGTGTTTTGGGAGTAAAAGGTAAAAATCTCGTATTGGTTCGATATGAGCGAGACAATGTAGTACTACATTAATATAACTATTCAGTTTGAAATTGTTCAATCCAACGTATCCAACCAAGTATTTCTCGTTATTCAAGTCAAGTGCAGTTTCAGGTGATTCTTCGATGCTTTGTTTCGTATACTGTGGATCCAAATAGTAAATAATATCCTGAACAGACAGGATACCCTCCCATTCTGTATTTTCGGGTAAGACAAAAAACTTATGATTGGTTAGATTAAGATACTTGGTGTGTCCTGAGGTAATTGAATGATTGTATGCTGGCGATGATGGAGAATTGCCTTGAAAATATTTTCCACATGTCAAACAACAATTGATGTTATTAGAAGAAAGTGTAACCAGACAGGTTTTCTCAAAATCAAAGTCAAGTAGCTTCCTGTTGATTTGGTTGTCAAGTTTCCGCTTCTTTAGTGGTTGTGTCATTGTGATGAAGGGAAGAGACATCTAAAAACACTGTTTGGCTATTTTGGCGCAATACATATAATGAAGTTTATGTGCAGGAAATATAAAACACCCACCTTATAGGTGTCGTCAAATGTGAAACTTAGGATGATAAAGCCAAGAACATTAGTAATGGCGATTTACTCAATATGAATGAGGAGGTAATTGAAGATTGCAAAGTCATTAGAAGAGTGCAACTTCGTTCAAATCAAAGGTGAGATTTGTTTGTCTCGGTTTTAATATTTAGCATGTAGTTATACGATTTAATATTATGCCAAGTATCGACGTATATTACATTTATTTGTGTATTATCTATTGAATAGCTACAGCATCAATACTACTAGTAAGTAAAGAAGAGACATTATTTTCAATCAACTTCTCAGCAGTATCCGATAAATGCTTCTTTGGGTCTTGTTTACCAACATATCTTGTCTTTAATTGGTCTTCAGTCAATTCTTTTTCTTCAAGGACTCGTTGATTATACAACTTGGAGATCTTAACCATTTCTTCAACATTGGTCAAGTTTTCACATTCTTTATGGTTATAGTCAACAAGCTTCAATCCTGATTGCCAATTCTTCTTGTGTAAATTCAACAACATATTTGTTTCATAACTTGTCTTGTGGTAATCGATATTCAATGAATAATAATGACGATTCAATCCGTGAATCAATGCTTGGATAGATGGTTTGTTTAAATGACCGACATTAGAAGTAGATTGACGTGGTTCTTGACCCATCATCAATGTGGTTGTATCGATTGTTCTAAATGCATCAATGACGACTTTCCCCTTGACCGATTGGATTGGATCTATAACTACAGCCACGGCTCTTTTATTCAATTGTTCAAAAGATTGTTGGGTGTTTACATCAACAGAAGATAACCAACATCCGAAACCTGGATGGGAATGGTACCAACCCACAACCATTTGATCTCTCCCGGTTTGTCTCAACATATCCATCATTTTGGTTTGGAATACATCGTCAACGGCTTCGACGGAAACACCAGTACCGGATTGCGGCATGGCAAATACATCAAACACGTGTATGGTGAATTCATCCACAAATTCTCCCAACATTAACCCCATAACTTCCATGGGTACCCCTGCTCTACCATGTTTTAACATTTTCAATAAAGCCAATGAGGATATGTAAACGGTTTCGGCGTTATCTATAGCTGGTCCGTCGGTTTGTGGTGGAGCTCCACCACCTAATCCTGCACCAGATCCTAAAAGTCTTTGCAATCTTTCCATGGTATTTGTGTGTGTGTATTATATTTCAATTGAATGTAGGTTGTCTGGTGGCAACAGTTTTGTTTGAAAATTTGGTGGGCAAAAAAATGAAAACAGGTGGAACGCATTATGCAGGAAAACAAGCTATGTCGTAAAAAAATCCACTTCTTGCGACAATGACATGGGTTTTTGCGACATTGACGTTACCCCCCATCGCTATTGCCTTGCAGCGTATGTGTATTACAATAATCGGATTAGATAGTGTTGCGTATACCGGTTTGAGCTGTCATATACCTAGAGTTGCTTTTTAAAAGTAAGTGTAAATGTTTAATCTAAGTGTTCATTACACTCTTTCGGACAAGATTTGTACAAATTTTTTTATAAATTTCTATAAATTGCACATCAAAGACAAGAAATTACTTGTAATCTATATGACATTCTCAGAGTAAACATAAGCCTGGCTATCTAAAGTAAACATGATTAACTTAAATTTTGCAACATAAAAAGGCTGAGAAAATAAAACAAAAAAAAAAAATGCCGTATGTGTAAGAAAAGGTCAAGAAAAAACTTAGCAAACCTTATACCCATGGGGCATCAAATTTTGATATATAATATCTACAGTTCCTTTTCCTACCCTACACTTGTATCATTTATCAGACCAACATGACTTCCGGTCCTAAATCCTTAGAAGGCAAGAAATATCCTGCCAAACAACACGCCAGAAACGTGGCAAATCATTTCAAAACCAAAGCTGCCAGTAAATCAAAAGATGCCTACTACTTTATAAGCGGAGAAGATTATGAATTATACAAGTATTGTGATCAAACTAAACCAATCAGACAAAACAGATACTTTTTCTACTTGACTGGATGCAACATCCCTGGATCTCACGTATTGTATGATTCCGCCAGGGACAAGCTTGTTCTTTACTTGCCTAATGTTGACAAGGAAGATATCATGTGGAGTGGATTGCCATTATCCCAAGAAGACGCATTGAAGAAGTACGACGTTGATGAAGTCAAGTTTGCTGCTGATGTCCAACAAGATTTACATGCTGCGGGCAAGGCATTCACCACTGATATCAACCAATTCAATGAAAAATACAAAGCCTACCTTGTTGAATCCGATGAAGACTTTTTTTACGCTTTGGATGAATCCAGATTAATCAAGGATGAATATGAGATTGAATTGATGAAGCATGCTTCTGCAATCACTGATAATTGTCATTTAGCAGTGATGTCGGCCGTTCCTATTGAAACCAACGAGACTCACATCCACGCTGAATTCACTTATCATGCCATTAGACAAGGGGCCAAGAATCAAAGTTATGATCCTATCTGTTGTAGTGGAGAGTCATGTTCTACTTTGCATTGGGTCAAGAATGATGGCGAAATCACCGAGGATAAGAAGTCCGTGTTGATTGACGCCGGTGCCGAATGGGAATGCTATGCTAGTGATGTCACTAGATGTTTCCCAATAAATGGTGACTGGACTAAAGAACATTTGGAAATTTATAACTTGGTCTTGAAAATGCAAACTGAAGCCTATAAATTGATTAGACCAGGTGTTGATTGGGAAGATGCTCATTTGAAAGCGCATAAAGTATTAATTGAAGAATTCTTAAAGCTCGGAATCTTCAAATCGGAATATTCCGTTGAAGAATTGTTCAAGGCCAAGGCAAGTGCCAAGTTCTTCCCTCACGGGTTAGGTCATTTATTAGGTATGGATACTCATGATGTTGGTGGATATGCCAATTATTCCGATCCAGATCCATTGTTATGTTATTTAAGAATCAGAAGAAAGTTGCAAGAAGGTATGGTTGTGACCAATGAACCTGGTTGTTACTTCTCTCCATTCTTGTTAGAAGAAACTTTAGAAGATCCAGAAAAGAGCAAGTACATCAACAGAGACGTTTTGGATAAATACTGGTATGTTGGTGGTGTTAGAATCGAAGACGATGTGTTGATCACTAAAGATGGCCACGAAGTGTTTACCAAGATTACTAAAGATCCAAAGGAGATTTCTGCCATAGTAAAAGCAGGATTAGCCAAGGGTAAAGAAGGTTTCCATATTGTCGTATAAGTAGTAGTAGTCGTCGTAATTTTATATGCAGTACACATTCCAGATTCTTTTTTTTGGATTTGATCTTTCTGGGTTTGCTCCCACGCATTCCGAATTTTACACATTGACCCCCCCTCATTTTGATTGTTGATTTACTCGTCATCAATCAATTGAACAGCGACGAAATGGACGAAAACTACGACGTTATTGTATTAGGTACTGGATTGACCGAATGTATCCTTTCTGGGATTCTTTCTGTTGAAGGTAAAAAGGTGTTGCATATCGATCGTCAAGATTTTTACGGCGGGGAATCGACTTCGTTGAACATCTCTCAATTGTATTCCAAATTCAAACCCAACGGCCAAAAACCAGAACTCAAAGGAAGAGACCGTGATTGGTGCATTGACTTGATTCCCAAGTTTCTCATGGCCAATGGGGAATTGACCAATATCTTGGTGCACACTGACGTCACTAGATATATCGAATTCAAGCAAATTGCCGGTAGTTATGTTTACAGAAATGGAAGAATTGCTAAAGTTCCAGCCAATGAAATGGAAGCAGTGCGTTCTTCCTTGATGGGGATTTTTGAAAAGAGAAGAATGAAGCAATTTTTGCAATTTATTCAAAACTATGACGATGAGGATCCAAAGACTCATCACGGGTTTGACTTGGATAAAAACACCATGAATGAGATTTACACTTATTATGGATTGGAAAATGGTACCAAGGATTTTATTGGTCACGCCATGGCTTTATGGCATACTGATGATTACTTGAACGAAGTTGCTAGACCAACTTATGAACGTATTATCTTGTATGTTCAATCAGTGGCCAAGTACGGTAAGTCCCCATATATTTATCCATTGTATGGATTAGGTGAATTGCCACAAGGTTTTGCTAGATTATCTGCCATTTACGGAGGTACCTACATGTTGGATACTCCAATTGATGAAGTGTTGTACGAGGGCGAAGGCGAAGACAAGAAATTTGCTGGTGTAGTTACTAAAGAAGGTACTGCCAAGGCACCAATTGTCATTGCTGATCCAACCTATTTCCCTGAATTGGTCAAGAAGGTAGGTGAAAAGGTTATTCGTGCCATTTGTCTCTTGGACCACCCAGTTCCAGGAGTTGATTTAGATTCTTTGCAGTTGATCATTCCTCAAAACCAAGTTGGCAGGAAACATGATATTTACGTGGCTGTCTTGTCCGACGTTCATTGTGTTGTTCCAAAGGGTTATTACCTCGCCATCATTTCCACTATTATTGAAACTGATCAACCACACATTGAATTAGAACCAGCATTTAAATTGTTGGGTCCAAGAATTGATACCTTGATGGGAATTGCCGAATTGTATGAACCAATCAATGATGGAACTAAGAATGGAATTTACATTTCCAAGAGTTATGACTCCTCGTCTCATTTCGAACAAACTACTGATGATGTTAAAGATATTTATTTCAGAATTACAGGTAAGCCTTTGGAATTGAAGAAGAGACCAACTGCCGAAGAGGAAGAACAACTCCAAGGGTTGTAAATTGTTTAGCATTGTTTTTAGTATTGAATAAACGTAATTCTAAATCAATATAAGCATATGATGCTACCAAAATCTTTGTTCCATGTAATTTTTTTTTTTTCATGTTATCTTCAGAAAGGTATACAATTTGTGAGGTCCAAAACAAAATTATTCTTCTGTTGATATCTTTTCAATCTCGGGTCATGATACCCGTATGATTTAATTGTTTACTTTGGGATCTACAATAGAGGGGGGTTCTCATATCTTTCATGCATTCAATCCAACGGGAACTTTCAAGTTATGTCCGATTGCACCTCCACCACAGTAGTGTTCGTCTTTTTTTGTTTTTCCTTTCCCGCCCGCCTGCCCGCCACCACAAAATTATCAATCTCATTGTTTGCCCATAAGCCGACAATGATGCCGTAGTAAACGGGATACTAATTCCTTATCTGTGGATTGACACAACGGACATGGTAACCGAATGTTTCTAAAATATTTAATCTCGAATCTTTCTTCTATTTTTCAGTTTTTTTTTGTTTTTGTTTTTGACACTCTAATCTTCACCATGACTACCGCTAAACTTTTTTACGACGCTTTCAAGACCAAATCTGGCAAGACTATTACTATTGGTACTGGTACCGGTACAAAGTGGAAGCGTAACCCAGCTGACAAACAAATCAATCAAGAATTGGTTGATCAAATCGTGTCTACCATTAACTTGGGGTTTAACCATATTGACACAGCACAAGTATACAACACCCATGAAGAAGTTGGTGCTGCGTTAAAGAAAAGCGGAATTGCCAGAGAAGATTTGTGGATCACTGATAAATACTGTCCAGGAAGAAGTGATGAAACACCAACTGATATTATTGATTTAGCGTTGGAACAATTTGGTACTAGTTACATCGACTTATTTTTAATTCATCATCCTTTCTTCGATGAAGATAATTCAGTCACTTTAGAACAAGCCTGGACTGAATTAATTCAAGCCAAGAAAGATGGCAAGGTTCGAGAAATCGGGGTGTCCAATTTTGCTTCTGTTCACTTGGAAAAATTATTTGCAATTTCGGAAAAGTATGGTAAGGAGTATGTACCACGGGTTAATCAAATTGAATTCCACCCCTTTTTACAGAATCAATCCAAGGATATCGTCAAGTATTGTCATGACCATAACATTCTCGTTGAAGCTTACAGTCCACTAGCTCCTTTGTCTCGAGTAGGCAATAACAACCCATTAATTCAATACTTGAAGCCATTAGAGGAGAAATATGGGAAGACTGCATCGCAAATCTTGCTTAGATACACTTTACAAAAACAGATTCTTCCAATCACGACGTCATCCCAACAATCTCGAATGAAACAATCCTTGAACATTTACGACTTTGAATTAAATGACGCGGAAATTAATGAAATCGACACCATAGGTCAAGCTAATCCATATAGAGCCTTCTTTAAACAATACGATCATGTGTTATAGACAATAAAATCGACATGACTCAATAACGTGACCACCTGATTTTTTTTTTTTGTTTTATTTATTTATTTTTTTTTAATTTTCTTCTCTGCTAGATTTTTTTTTTTTGGCTCACCCGCATTTTCTCTAACTTTGTGTAAAACTTGGCTGCGGATTCATCACGCATTTTCTCTGGGGGTGATCACATTCTGTGCTGCCATTTCAAAATTACACTTCAGTATAAATTGGAGATCCTTGCCCAGGAAACGTATACTAAAATCAAGTCGCCTCACCAATTGCATTACTACACTATCTTGCTATGATTACAGAATTGAAAACAGTTTCAGGAGACCCAATTACCGTGGGATTTGGTACTGGCACGGTGGTGAAACACTTGAAAGACCCACATGATCATACTGCGACTCTGGACGAAATTGTCAAATTGCTTACATATGCCATAAGTATTGGATACAACCACATTGACACAGCTGCGGTGTACTATACCCAACCTGAAGTCGGTAAAGCATTTTATGAAAGTGGAATTGAAAGAGAGAAGGTATTTCTTTCCACCAAGTTCAGTGTGTTCAAAGATGAGGAAGAAAAGAGTACAATTACAGCTACGGAATTCGTTGAAAAAACATTGAAGGAGCTACGTACTGATTATATTGACTTGCTTTTAATCCACCATCCATTCTTTGAACCAGACCATTCGGAAAGTAAATATACTTTGCATTCACTTTGGTCGGAGTTCATCAAGATTAAACAATCAGGAAAGGTGAGATACATTGGTGTGTCCAACTTTTCAATTTCACATTTAAGTTCAGTTATTGCTGTGAGTAAACCATTTGGAAGAGAATACTTCCCTGTGGTTAACCAAATTGAGTTCCATGCATGTTTACAAAACCAATCGCCCGATATCGTGTCCTTCTGTCAAATCAATGGGATTTTAGTTCATGGATATCTGCCATTGACTCCCTTGTTTAGATTGCAAGAAGGAAATGTCTATCTCCATCGATTACTCATGGATTTGGAAACAAAGTACAAGAAAACGAGAGCACAAATATTATTAAGATACTGTTTGGATAAGAAGATTGTTCCAATTACTACATCTTGTCAAGAAACCAGACTAAAGGAATGTATCGACGTTTATGACTTCAATTTGGAAGAACAAGATATCAAAAAGATTGACAAAGAAGGGGCAAAATCTCCTCATCAGACTTATTTCGCTGGCAAATACTAGCCCATTAGATATGCAAAAAAAAAAAAATAAAAAAGTTTTTATGCATTAATACACTTTGATTCTTTTTATATATTAATATACGCTATGGCACAATATGCTTGGACAAGTCTTGTTTGGGTGCCTCGGCTTCAGACAAGAACTTTGCCTCAAGGTGTTTGCCAATAATTAAAACATCCCTTTCTAAGTCGATAACACATCGATGTCTTCTCAACATGTCCAACCCGAATAAAATACCAGTCGACGTATTAACCACATGGAATGAACACGGTAATTCAATATTGGAATCACCTATGGTGATAGGGACACTATGGATCTTGCCACCAATCTTTTGTGACCCTACACCTACAGCATGTCCTTGAAATCGAGTATCTATTAACCTAGTAATACCGACTTTTTCAGCAATCTCTTCACTTATTGTAGTCATAGCGGCACCAGAGTCTACCAATGCAGTCACTTCCACGCCGTTAATCTTCAATTTAATGTAGAGCATATTGACCGAGGTGAAACTTTCAGGAGAGATTTCCCACGCCAAGTTCATGTTCTCTTCAATTTGCTCCTGCCTGATTAGTTCCAAGATTCTAGCCTGGTTTTCAGGATCATCAGGGTCAGCTTGGAGTCGTTGCAATTCCTGCTGGGCTTCAAGGTTACGTTGATTGGTTTGTTGAATTTGTTGGAGGATAACATTACGAAATTGTTCGGGGTTGTTTAATGCTGCGTGGAGGTCTGGTTGTTGGAATCTTATTTGTTCGGCAATGTTGGGGTCATTCAACATTTGTTGCCTGGATAATTCGATACGTTGGTAGAGTTCTTGTTCTGGCAGGGCAACATTGGCAGGAGCGGTGGCAGTGCTGCTGGCACTTGTAGCAGGTACTTGTTGTCTCTTAGTTAAAATTAACAAATCATCATTCTTAAAGCCAAGTTCTCCCAATTGTTTCGAGTCGCCCGTGACTTGTCTTCCATCTAATATCAAAACCTGACTGCTTGGTTCCAAATCAGTTTCGGCTTGTAAGTATACTTTGAAATCGGCGAGAGTGAGAGATTCCAGGATCTCGATGGAGAAGATATCGCCGGTATCTTCACGGGAAATTGTAAGTTGCATGGTAATGTCAAGTCTGTATCGTGGAGAAGAAGTGGTTGTAAATAATGCGACTATTTATAAACGCTGGTTGAAAAATAGATTTGCCTTCACAGTGGCGAATTGACACACAATTATAAAAAGAAAACAATGAAATATCTAATTCATGGAACATCTTAGAAACATAATCTACACTTGCAGTTCAACATAATGTCAAAATTCATATTCTATCTACTATAATACATAAACCGTGGGAGGGTATACCAGCACCCTTACGCAACCACATCAGGAATAATCATAGCAACGTGACCACCATTTAATAACATCTTCTTGACAGGGTCAGACTTGGTTCCTTCATTATCGATTTCTACAACGTCTTCCAATACCATGTTTACGTAATCATCAAATCCAATTAATTTCCCGTAGAATTCCTTGTCCGAGGTCATAAGCACCTTGACCTTGTTGCCTACTGATTTATCAATTATTTCCAATGGTAAGATTGGTTGTTCAACTATTTCTTCTGACATGATGTATATCTGTTGTAGATGTATGGTTTTTACGGACAGTTCATATGAAGTTGAGAAGATCTGTTGATGGTGTTAATTTTTATTTTTATTTTTTTTTGTTCACCTCATTCGCAGGGTTACCCTACTTTTTTCCAAAGACCAACATTTCGAGTTTTCCATCCTTCGAAATCAATCAAGGCTTGCATGCACCCCCATTCGGTAATTTTATCCTGTAACCAGACTAAATTGACCGGCTTGGTTAAATAATCATTACACCCGGCAGTAAGTGCGTTTTTTCTATCGATTGAACTATTGGAAGACGCAGTCAAAGCCACAATAATCACGGGTGATCGAAACACATTCAAATCAAGCTTGTCTTCCGGCTTCAACTCTTCGTTATTCTTAATCATACTGAGTTCATTAGGATCAAACACACCAATCTTGTTAAGTTTCTCTAAATGACGAATCTCTTTTGTGGCCTCAATCCCAGATTTCACGGGAAGTTGGATATCCATGAGGACCAAATGGAACCCTCCGCTTCTCCATTTATCGATTGCTTCTTGTCCATTCTTGGCAATCTGGTAGTGGATTTTCCGTTTACGTAAGAATGCACCTAAAATGGCTTGATTAATGGCGTTATCTTCGACAATGAGGACGGAGATGGATGGCAAGACTTTGTCCTTGGCAGCATCGGGTTTGGCCTTCTCTTTTTCCTTTTTCGTTTCAATTTGTTCTTTAGAAGGTGATCTACTAGTCTTGGGTCGTTCTTCTTTTTGTTCATATACCTCTTTTTCATCATCGGGTTTTTCTTCCGGTGGTTCCAACATTGACTGATTTGGTTTAATATCATCATCAGTTTTAATCTCCGATCCGAAATTATCATACAATGATTGATTTCGCTTCTTATTATTCCCACCGCCAGTTGAACCACCCGCCAACGAGAAATTCTTGGGCAATAAAAGAACAGCCTTGGGATTCTCGGTCTCAGTGCTGTTCACAGGCGCGGACAATGGTGATTGCAAGGGGTTTGACTGTGATCTTCTGTGGTTAGGTAAATTCCTGAGCATGCTTGAAGGAGACACCGATTTCTCTCTAACGCTATATGGGTAATTCTTGGGATATTTTTGTTGGTATGGGTTCAGGTATATTTGCAGGGGAGATTGTTTTATTGGAATTGGCTGTGGATGTTTAACATTGTGGTTGTGAATTTTGAGGAATTGCGGATCCCTAGGTGAGTTGTTGCCCATGGAATAATGTGGTTCCGAGTATCGTGCTTGTGGAGGAGGTGGAAAGTTCAGGGGGAGTCTGTCAGTTGCAACGTCAATAATGAGTGCATCTTGCAAGGTCATACCCAGGGGGAAGTATGTATCAAGTATACTCCATACGTTCTTATCTGGTTCTAATTTTATCGGGGCGCTCTTCAATGTTGGGCGGTTTGACACGGAACTTGGTGATATAGTTGAAGATTGATCAATCAACAATTGGATGTCTGCCGCATCAGCAAAGCTGGCGATACTGTTGGGGTACTTCTGAATTATTGATGTTTTTAAGTCGTCGACTATATTTTGCTGGTAGGCAATTACTGTTGTGGGTGTTCCGTGGGCTAGCTTTACCCATACCCTTCGAGGTGGTGAGTTCAGGCGCAGGTGCAGCAAATGTTGTTGTGGGTGTCTTCTTGGATCAACGGACAGTTCAGAAGAAGAAACAGACAATTTGGTTGAGTCTTCGGTCTTTAACTTCTGTTTCTTGTCTCCTTCTGCCGGCGGATACTTTGCAGTGGTTGGAAAGACGTTTTTGATTGCTCCTGTTGCCAAGGTGGATATTGTATTGGTGAGTGAATGGTCAGTGTATTGATTCATTGTGGATAGACTCCTAAGTGGAGATTATATTAAGTATTAGTTTGATTTATACGTGATAATAAGTGGTGAATTGTTTGTCAGTTGATTAATTTCAAGGCGGGTCCGTTTGTGGTCACCCACAGCTATATATAGATTTTTTTTTAGGTGCGGAAATTTTACGAGGCAAACACATAAAACTATTAAAGGCTAACAGATACGTATACAAATTATTCCCAGTCATCGTCTTCTTCTTCGGAATCGGCGTCTTCAGGCTCAGATTTGGCTGCTGGATTGGATTCAGTCTTCTGGGCTGGCTTGGTCGGTGTCGTTATTTTCGTGTCTTCTGGTTCAACCTTGACAGGCGACTCCTTAAGTTTATCATCAGCTTCTTCAAAATCTTCATCGTCATCCCAGGTGAATTCTTCATCCTCCTCTTCATCTTTGTCTTCCGACAATTCAACTTCTTCTTCCTTCAACAAAGCCTTTCTCTTTTGTTCCAAGTCTTTAAGCTTGTCTTCATTCTTGAAATATCTGTACCAAAACAAATTATACGAGATTTCCACAGGAACTAGCTCATTCATGGTTTTAGTTAATGTGTTGGGATATTTCTCCAACAAATCCGATATTACTTTTGTCTTTTCGTCGGCTTTGAATTTCTCAATTTCGGCCGCCTTGTCAAGTTCATTACTAAGGAAGTACTGTTTAGACGTGTGCAACTTGAACAAATCATTGTCATATCTGGAAGTACCATAATTATTGGTCAAAGGAGAACTAAACAACACTTCTTCCTTAGCTGGCTCTGGCTGTGGAGTAGTCTCGGGAGTTATACTTATAACATTCTTTGTAAAGTAAGAAGCAAACGAACTAAGGTACTTACCAGCAACATTTTCAACTTTCTCCAACTGGGAATCTAACGCATCCAACGCATGATTAGCCTGGGTAGACAAAACATCCAATTCCTGTTTCACGCCATCCAATTTAATATTCTTGACTTGTTCCTCAATCGACTTCAAGTTTTCACTAATGGCGGCAGAAGGTGTAGAACCCTTGATGCTTTCTCTAGTAGTATTCAATTGATTGATCAAGTTTTGCTTATACTCGTCAAGTTTATACTTTTCTTGTATTTCACCGGCTGATTTTGCAGTGGTGCTCCATAATCCTTGGAATTTGTCCTGGATTGAATTGTATACTTTATCAATGTCTTCCTGTAATTTCTCAATCGCTTCTTCAGTCTTGGACTCAACATGTTCGTTTGATTCCTCTTGAGAGGGTTCTTCAGGCACAAGGGCATCAAATGTGTACATTGTTGGTGGGGAGTGGTGTGGTACAATGTATCAGTCTTTGTTTCCTTAATTTTTTTTTTTTTGCGTGATAAATTTGTGGAGCGTGTGAAAGGTCATTTAATGGCGTGGTATAGATATAGCCGTTTGATAGTTATGAGAATACATGTGCCATTGGTTGCAATTTCACCAATCAATCGCGATATAAAGCTAATACTATGATTAAACAAAGTAGGTAATGACAAATAAAAGCTTCGTGTATGGCACCAGCCTAGCGCCTCCCCTGTCCCCCTTTTCCCCCGCCGGTCCGCCCTGGGTTTTCGCACACCGGTCCGTTCGTCCTGATCCGATATTTCAAATTTCAAAATTTACATCTTTACTCATCATCCCTTGTAACATCATCATCTTAAACCAATGACGAAACCAGCACTTAAGAATTGTCTATTGGCAATTCAAAACGCAAAGTTCAAAAAAGATACTCTCTTGAAAACTCCCTTCTTGTTTACCAACCCAATTAAGAATTTCAATATATTCCGTCCTAGCTCTGAAGATGCTACTTCCCTATGGACTATCACTGGTCCATCAAAGACTCTATTCTTGAAGGTCTTGGCTGGTGAGTACATATCTCATCCTCCGTTATCAAGAAGTTACCCATTGTTAACTGACACTTCCCAATTGAAGTTCCTCAACTTTAGAGATAATTCCGGTTTAGACAAGGTACATATGTCTGCGAGATATGAGACTTATTCGTACCGGGGAGAAATGGATTGGAGCGATGATGTCAACTCAGTGGTGAATTACGTTACCGGATTAAACAATTTTAACAACAAGGACAAGGAAGTCAATGAGGAATACGTGGATGTTTTGTTGGACTTGTTCAATTTAAAGCATTTACGTTCCAAATGGATCAACACATTGAGTAACGGACAATTACGTCGTGCAAGAATCGCTAAATCCCTTATTGAAAAGCCAAGCTTGTTAATCATTGATGATCCATTTTTAGGTTTGGATCCAACAAATACGTTATCTGTCAGTGAAGCATTGAATAATGTGAGTAAGACCTTGGATATTAGTATTGTGCTCGGATTGAGAGTTCAGGATGATATTCCTTCTTGGATCAACAGTTTGGGGTATGTTGACGACACTGGGTTGAAAGTAGGTGGGTTAATCCTGGAGGTCGCTGACGAATATCACAAACACGCGGGACAATTAGAGAATATTCATCATGAGCATGAAAAGTTCCATACGCTCAAAAAACCACAGTTGGAACCAATTACCAGCAAAGATTTGCAGGAGCCGATTCATATTGAATTTAACAATGCCGCTGTATCCTACAAGGGATTAGTCATTTTGAAAGACTTTAACTGGAAGATTCCTCAGGGAAGCAAATGGAGAATTCTCGGTAACAATGGAACAGGAAAGACTACCATCCTTTCATTGATCACAGGTGACCATCCTCAATCGTGGAAATCTGTAATCAAAGTCAATGGCCAGTTAAGAAAAACTGGCTGTGGTGTTGGGTTCTTTGATGTTAACAACCACATTGGTATCTCGTCACCTGAATTACATGCCTTGGTTCCACAGCATAGCCAGAGTATGTTGGATGTGATTTACAATGGACTTGCTAAGGACGTTGGTAACTCCAACTTTTTATATAGGGGCAAGCCCGAGAGTATCCCTGAGGAATCCAAGAAATACCTCGCACAATTCCAAGATAGATTAGAAAAATTCGGTAACACCAAGTTCATTGATCTTAGTATGACTGATCAGAAACTTGCATTATTCTTACGAGCAATCGTCAAACAACCAACGGTGCTAATCCTCGATGAAGCATTTTCATGTATGGAAGATGAAGAAGTCATGATGAAATGCCATGATATTATAGAAAACGACTTGCCAGAAACAACTACTGTATTATCTATTGGACACTTGGATTGGGAAGTACCTAAATGTGACTACATGATCAAACTCCATGGTGATGACGCTAGAACCTACTCTTTGTATAAATATGTATAGGATGCAAACGCCGAGTCGTGTGTGAACCCATAAAATAAAAAAATTGCAACCGATTACATAACGCGTAATAAAAATATGCCGCGGTGAACAAACCCAAAAAAAGAAACGGAAAACGAAAAAATAATAAAAAAAAAAAAAAAAAAAGAAAAAGCAAAGCGAAAAAAAAAAAAAATTTTATCGTTTTCCCGCCAGACAAACACACAACAAAAAAAAAGACAACCAAGCATTGCACGCACGACCTGCCCACCTTTTTTACTACCATACGCCACTCACGTCACAACTACTATATAGCAAGCAAATATACAAGTCAGCCTTGTAAGTATAACCGAGCTATAGTAATCATTACCACCTGACTGTTTCACAAGTCGTACACAACTGTCCTCCCACCAGCCATTCGCTCATTTTTTTTTTACCCCTTTTTTTTTTTACAACACTTTTACAACATTACACCTGTTTCATAGATTAATACATTCGCTAATAGAATATGCAAGACAAACACTATACTAAAGACATCCCCAATGCTCCCCCTGACGATAGACCCAAGGAGGTCCTTGCCGACTTGGAATACGGTAAGTTGACTTCCCATGACTACTTGTACGTTTCCAAACATCCCGTAGGTGAACCGTTGCCCATGCCGATCGACGATGAACCACCATACATTATCTACATCGCCACATATATAAGTTACTTAATCCTTATTATAATTGGTCATATTCGAGATTTCTTTGGTAAGATCTTTAAACCTAAGGAGTACGAAGATTTGATTGAAAAGAATGGATATGCTCCTTGGTATGACGGGTTTGAAAGTTTCTATGTTCGTCGTTTAAAGACTAGAATTGATGATTGTTTCGCAAGACCTATCCATGGTGCTCCTGGTAGATATATCAAGTGTTTTAATAGGATTAGAGAGGGGAAAACGGGATACCTCTACGATGGTACCTCCAAAGAATGTCTCAATTTGTCGTCATACAATTACCTTGGATTCGCACAATCCTCCGGTGTTTGTACTGATTATGCTTTGAAAATTACTGAAGAATACGGTACTTCTGGTTGTTCGCCAAGAACTTATTGTGGAACCACTGATTTACATAAACGTTGTGAAAAGATTATTGCCGATTTTGCCGGTAAGGAAGACGCGATTATTGTCTCTCAAGGTTACGGAACCAATGCCAATTTATTTGCCTCGTTGGCTGATTCAAAGACCTTGGTGATTAGTGATGAATTGAATCATGCTTCTATTCGTTTTGGTATTAGATTGTCAGGTGCATTAGTCAAGGTGTTCAAACATAATGACATGAATGATTTGGAAAAGTTGCTTCGTAATCAAATTTCTCAAGGTCAACCTAAAACCCACAGACCTTGGAAAAAAATCATTATTGCTGTGGAAGGATTGTATTCTATGGAAGGTAACATGTGTAATTTACCCAAGCTTGTTGAATTGAAGGAAAAGTACAAGTGTTATTTGTTTGTTGATGAAGCTCATTCTATTGGTGCCTTGGGTCCTGAAGGTAGAGGTGTTTGTGATTATTTCTCGATTGACCCTGCCAGAATAGATTTATTAATGGGAACATTCACCAAGTCCTTTGGGGCTACCGGTGGGTACATTGCTGCTGACAAGGCCATTATTGAAAAATTGAGAATCAACTATATTACCCAATCATATTCTGAGGTCGTCCCCCCTCCAGTGTTGGCTCAAATCATTTCCTCATTGAAGATCATCAAGGGAGAATTGAACCCAGGAGAAGGACAAGAAAGATTACAAAGAATTGCATTCAACTCCCGTTATCTTAGACTTGGATTAAAGAAATTAGGATTTATTGTTTATGGAGCTGATGATTCTCCAGTTATCCCTGTGTTATTGTTCTTACCAGCCAAAATGCCTGCCGTTTCCAGAATGCTTTATGAGATGGGTATCGCAGTTGTCATTGTTAGTTACCCAGCCACTCCATTAATCAGTGCCCGTGCCAGATTATGTGTCAGTTCCGCCTTGACTAAGGAAGATTTAGACTATGTCTTGACTAAATTTAACGAAATTGGTGATTTAATTTTCTTGAAGTTTAGTAGTGGTATTGCTGGGGGTAGTAAGGAAAAGGGTGTTCCTCCCAGATGGTCGATTGAAGATGTGTTGGCTACTAATGTTGAAGATTGTAAAAAGCCAAAGTTGATGTAAAAGCTTAAGCACCATTCTTAATAATTAAAACTCTTGTATAGGTGCGTATAATAAATATAGAATCTGACTTTTTTTTTTATTATTTTTTTTTTTTTATCAGACAGACAATTTGAGAGTACCACAGCATTCTTTCAGCAAGCATTTACCACAACCATATATAGATAGATCATGTCACTAATACCGGAACCATTGATTCCACCACTTAGGTTCAACTCAATAGAAGCAAACTTATACAGAGGAGCATACCCACGAGAAGTCAACCTCCCATTCCTCGAAACCCTCCAGCTCAAAACGATCATTTCCCTCACCCCAAACCCAATCACCTTAGAAACCGACGCAAAACTCTACCAATTCGCCCATGAACACAAGATCCGTCTTGTCCATTTGGAATGTGCGCCTGCCGGTAAGGGCAAAAAAAGAGGAGTACCGTTGGAATATCATACCATTTTAACGGCAATCAATTTCATGATACACAAAAAACACCAGCCAGTTTACATCCATTGTTTGAATGGAGGCCAGGTTACTAGTTTAGTCGTTGCTTGTTTGCGAAAACTTCAATTTTGGTCGTTAATTTCGATCTTTAACGAGTTTATTAATTTCACTACCAATATCACCGTGAATGATCGGAGTTTTGTCGAGGGGTTTAAAGGGGAGATTAATATTGATCCCGATGATAAAGTGGATTGGCTTTGGGTCGGGGTGAGTAAGCATGTGATTGGAACTCATCCAAAGTTAAAGGTTATCGAAGCAAAGTCATTTCAGGATGTGACTATATAGAGTGAACGAACTAACAAAGCTAGTGGGATGGATAACCTATAGTATTTCTATATAAGTCTATACTCTCTGAAAGAACAAACAATAGGCATTCTTATTCAACACTTTATCCGTGGAACACTTGTATGTAATCTTTGAATCATCAAAATAACACCAGCCACGACCATGTTTCTTGACATACGAAGTGTAATGTCCCGTGGTCAAATTCCCAAAATGATTAGCCACTCCAAACAATTGATACTTGAATGGCGGAACTTGATTACGCACGGGGAACGTCTTTAACATTTCTCGTTCCTTGTCAACACTCATTACGCTAGGAAGCGATGGGTTTATGGATGTGCCTACATCCGGCCAATACTTGGTTAGGTCTAGTTCTTCAGAAACAGGATATGTCACAAATGTCTCGAGCTTGTTGAATCTTCCGTCGGGAGTCATTTTAAATCGTGTGAAATTTATAATTAACACTTGTGGTAATCGTGTAATTGCAATCTTTTTAGTCAGCTTCGTGAATCGCTTACATTTCGGACAATGCCATTTGTTATTATCATCCAACAACTCAATAGTAGTAAACTCCTCCAAACAATCCTGCAACAGTACCTTGGTCGACTTGTTAAGCTTCTCAGGAATCGGTAACGAAAGAATGGAAAATGAATTATAAGTTGTACTGGTGAACCCACACTCCAAACACTTCAACTGCGAAAGCAACTGTCCCTGGAAATAATCCACAATGACCGAAAAATTCAACTTGAGGTACCGTTCCCATTCAATAGTAGATGCTAACCTTATTGGCAACGTCTCCCTGCTCTTCTCCTGTTCCGGTGTTAATTCTGAAATCATCTTCTTTTCCTGGGGGTCTAGAATTGCCATTTGGTTAAGATCTTCGTGGAGTGTATCCAACAAGAATATCAAAAATTCAATACAATCTTGTTGATCATATGTTGCAAACTGACGTGATGGAGACAAAGATCCCATTATTTTCTTGAATTTACTAGGATTAAATACTTTTCCATTACTACTGAACATGTTCGATAGCAATTCTGCAAATTGAACAGTTAATATCCCCTTGGATCCTAGCTTGTTATTAGTGTTGATATGCTGTTTAAATTGTGGATTAGATAAATCACTGCTTGAGGGAAAGAAGAAAGTTGTTAGTTGAGGTGTTGCTCCAAGACATTGCAATACACAATTCATATAACATGAATTACCCAAGTTGACTAACCCAGTAGTGTACAGATCAAGAAAATCAGATTTCTTGGCAGGCACTGGAGAGGAAGAAGCGGGTACTTGTTGTATAGAATACGCCGGTGGCTTTTCGGGTAATGCAGGTGGTGTGTATGGTACCATTCCTTGAACAGTTGGTATTTTGGCTGGCAATGCCGGTGGGCGACTAGGTTCAGATTGTGAAAATTGTTGTTGTGGTAATGGTGCAGTGACTGCTGTGGTTGCTGTAGTATGGGTTGGTGCTGTGATTGGTATAGCTGGAGCAGTATGAGTTGGTGTACTCTCTCTTGATCTTGGAGTTGGCGGGAAAACTGGTTCTGGCTTTGGTACAATCTTTACTGGTTCTGGAACATATTGATTACCATTTCTTCTATGCATTGGTTTAATATATGGAACAGGCTCATTCTTGACCTCCTTGTTTGTCGATATATAGTCCCCAAAACTAGTCAAATAATTATCCAGTTTATGATTCTCTTCTCTCTTGTTGCCATTCTCTACTGGTGATCGTGCTATCGATTCGTCTCCAAATTGTTTATGCCAATTCAATATCCCACCAGCAAGATAGCACGGTAATATCTTGGGTCGAGAACTAATATACTTATTTCTAAACATGAGAATATCAATAAATTCAAGAAAGGGGTTGGGTTGTTCATCAGCTAGGTTGGAAAATCTGTCTCCGCCGTATTTGAAATCATATACCACAATCAAGTCATACTTGTGTCTATTTTGAAATTTATCAAATTGATCAGAAGGTAAACTATCCTTTAGTATCTGTTCCAATTCCAAATCCGTATCTTCTGAAGTTAAACTTTGTACTTGTTTGGGTTGTACAAGTACGATATCTTCGTAGTTTATATGATTGTGAAGGAAATCTTTCTTGGGACGGTAGTCAATAAGAAGAACTCTACTCTTCAGATTGAATAATTCGTGTAATTCCTGGGGTGTTATTTGATCTCTATATTTGAAATGGGTTAATGAGTTCCCATTCATGTGTGTTTCCGGTTTTCCTTGCAATTCCATAAATCTATGCAAGAGTGGATCGGCTCCTCCAGTAGGGGTAAGAACTTGATTCAGAATGAATGTTTCCACTTCTCCAAATTGCTGTTTCTTATTAGCTAATGCCGTTTCAATCTGTTCAAAAATTTCCCTGTTTTTATCGTTTACAAATCGTTTGGTCATACTTAAAAGTTGGGACGCAGTTAAATAAACTACATACGTAACCTCGTAATCGCAATATCCTATTCTTGAAAGGTTCTTAATTTGATGGTTGAATATCTGTAGTAATGTAATTTGAGCATTGGTTAATTGAGAGAACCCCTTGGCATGACCAATGGTATCTTTTACCAAATTTGAACTTATTGATTTAAGTTCCGCTATTGTTTTCATTGTGAGTTATGCCTATATGTGGATAATACTGATTCTAATTGTACATCTATGGTGGTGGATTCTTGTTGTGTTGCCACTTACTGTTTTACTAATTGCCTTTATCGGAAATCTGGGTCAGTGGAAAATCGAGGGTCGTGCGAAATGGTCAAATCTGTAATGACTGCAAAAACCAAACACATATATTTGAAATAAAACTAACTAACAAACTAACTACAATGAGTGTAATATCCAGCTAACCCCTGATCGAACCCCAGTTCCCATTCCCAAAGAAAGTTCAGCTTACCTTTTGCATGAACGTGTTCTTGCAATCTTGCTTGTTTCCAAGCTTGTTTTCTCCCGATTCTAGACCCATGGAATTTAGCAAACGCATCAGCATCAGCCCAAGCAGTAGTGAACCCATCCTTAAATCTATCATGATCATATTTTTCTTTAGGATTAGCAGAATGCCAATAGTTCTTATGCCCTTCAAAAGCTGATTCTAAAGCCTGATCGAATTCGGATTGGCCTGGGGCGTGTTCTATTTTTGGCGGTGGGGACAATGCACCTTTTTCAGTCATGGTTTTAAAATCCCATTCACCACCATTACCAGATTGGAATTTGAATGTCCAGAAATAAGTACCACAGGTACGTTCTTGCATTAAATCACCTTGACGTCTTCCGTAATCACATACTAATCCGTCTCTGTTATGGTTACCGATCTTATCCCAGGAGGCAGTGTCAAGTACGCAGGAATATTCCCCAACCATGATATCAACATATTTACCACCTTCTGACAAGTTTGTCAAGAGATCATTCTGTAAATCATTGATGATCTGCTGTGGTTCCTTCAGTTTATCCTTATCATCAAAACATCTATAACAATGGTGGTCAATCACTACACCAATATTTTGGCCCAAGTCATTCTGTTGCTCTTGAACCCATTTAACCCATTGGTCAGTCCACCAACCATCAGAAATAACAATGGGGACTTTCTTGTCATGAGAACGGATTTCGTTAATAGCAGCAGAATAATACTTGGATCTTTTCTTAGTAGAATCGGTAAAATCTGCTTCATTTACAATTTGAATGCCAGCAATATTTTCATACTTGCTTAAATCTTGAGCAACAAATCCTACCGCTTTAGCCATTTGGAGCTGAGCTGATTCACTATCCCAAAACTTACTTTCCCCTGGTTCGCCTGAATGATCAGATTTGTTGGCACCGTATGGTAAACCATGGATATCTACAATTACAGAAATGTTGTGCTTTGCAGCTACTTCAATGTACTTCTCCTTGATGATTGACCAGGCATTGGCATACACGTGCTTATACTTTTCAAACTTAAACCCACTAGTATATGCACCACCGTCAATATCCCAATATCCAATGGGCAACCTAATTGAATTAGCTCCATGATCGACTAACCAGTTCCAATCATCGTCATTGGCGTATTCATTCCAATGATTCTCAAACCTGTTTCTTGCTTCTTCTTCTCCATACTTATCCACTAAATCCTTGACTGCTTTCAATTCACAATCAACACCGCTATCGTTGATAAATAAATCGTGGTAAATCCATTTTTCCAACACAAAGCAAGCACCGAAATTAACACCATAGTTCTTTCTTGATTGGTAGATTTGACTGGTGGATGGTGGTTGTCCAGGAGTAGCTGCTGGATCAGCAGCCTCCACTTTGCCTCCCTTGTGTGAAAGTTTCAATTTCGAGAACATGTCTTGCCTGCTTGAAGAAAAAGATGAATTGATCAAAATCTGAGATCTTTGAATCAGACAGCAACAATTGCGTATTTATGCGCCTCCTTATATTTCTTTCGTTCCACACACCCCCCATCGAATATTACTATACCCGAAAAATAGTTTGGATTGCTTTGGTTTGCTCTTTGTTGTCAACACAATGATATGAATCAATCTTCAGTATCCATTCCATCCGAATGGCCCCCGTTTTTCACCCGTCTAGCACAAATATTCTTCCAGATCAATACGCATCTAACGTTCCTATCTTCACATTCACGTAATATCATCCCATCCATTGAACTACTCCAGAAATTAAACAATACAATCATACCCCTCGATCTAGTCATCATCAAACTGATATTCCCACCAGGTGAAATCTTTTTTGACTATGTTGATGAAAACCAAGTGCAATTGTCATTCATAGAAGAAGTCAAGATTGATCCATATAAAGGATACCAGCAGACACCCATAGCCGACAAACTCCCTGATGAACATGAACATCATTCTAAGCATATCCTAATTTTCGATTTCCAAGATGCAAAGCTACATAGTATAGCTGCAGCAGTGAAGGGCAAAAAGAGGGTGAGGTATGAACAAGGGGTCGATTTTGACCATGATCAACGTAGGGAGTTTTTCCTTTCTAGTTCTGCTTACAATTTGACACCACTTACTCATTCACAACTTATTCACTTGATTAATAGTAGAAATGGAAAGTTTATTGAACTTATTAAGGAATACATTGATCAATTTCATGGTCAACTGAAGTATTCTCTTGCTGAAGAGAAGTTGCTCGCCAAAGCAAATAAACTCATTCCTGAACCACCTCATTTGACAGATATAATAGAAGACGTTCAAGAAAAAGACGAGATCATCCAAGAACTGACAATGGACTTATCTTCAGATGAAATGATTCAAGCTTTAAAAGATTCTCGTATTTATCAAGATCAAATTGCAATTGTACAGACGTTAGATCAAGCAAAGGGACCAGAATATAATCAATTGTCTGCACGAGTATCAGATACTATTCATCCTGATCTTAAACAAGCGTTACTCGCTGCCAAAGGCATTTCCATAGATGAAGGACTTTATACGCATCAAACAATGGCTTTAGAAAATCTTCTATCTAATGATTCTCATGTCATTGTAAGTACACCCACGGCATCAGGTAAATCTTTAATTTATCAAATCCCTATGCTTAACGCTATACTATGGGATATCCAATCGGGGCTAAAAACGCGATACTCCACAGCATTCTTTATTTTCCCCACCAAGGCCCTAGCACAAGATCAATTACGACATCTCCGCGATTTTATCAAGTATATCCCCAACCTTAAGCGACCCATTACAGTCAATGCATACGATGGAGACACACCATTTAAAGAACGAGAGCAAATCATGAAGGAATCGGACATCCTATTTACGAATCCCGACACAATCCACGCATCGATTCTCCCCAAGAATCACTATGGTCCATGGAAGGAATTCCTCACTCAGTTGAAGTTTGTCGTCATGGATGAATTGCATGTATATCGCGGTACTTTTGGGATTAATGTTAGTTTTGTCATGGGGAGATTACAAAGAATCAACCACATGTTGAGTCCTGGCGATAAACCAGTTCGGTTTGTTTCGTGTTCGGCTACCATTCAGAATCCCGTGTCTCATTTTCGAGCAGTTTGCTCATTGAGTCAAGAGGACACTGTGGTTCATGTCGCTCAAGATGGAAGTCCGCATTGTGAAAAGAAATTAGTGGTATGGAATCCTCCATTACTAATGAATAAGCGAGGTGATAAACAAAAGACAGACAGTAATAGTCCAATGGCTCCTCGAGTAGGTATGATTGCAGAACTGGCAAAAGTATTGCTAAGTTTATTATCGGCATATAAAGAGATCAAGGCTATTGTATTCTGTCCCATTCGAGTGGTATGTGAAATGTTAATGAAGGAAGTACGGTATCTACTTCAAAACACTTCTTTCTCAAAATCAGGAATAGATCAAAGTGACATATTGGCATATCGTGGAGGGTATAGCAAATCTGATCGTCGAATCATTGAACGAAAAATGTTTGATGGACAATTACGGGCTATCATCGCCACTAATGCATTAGAATTAGGGATTGATTTATCTGATTTGGATGTGGTTATATGTTGTGGGTTCCCCATGCTGAAACTGAACTTGCATCAACAGTTTGGACGGGCAGGGAGGGGTCACCGAACCAGTGGAAGTCTTGCGATTTTCGTGCCTGGTCGTAATCCCTTGGATCAGTATTATCTAGATAACCCATTGGAACTTGTTGATCGAACATATGAAGAATTATGTGTACAGGGGTTAAGAAATATGGATTCAAGTTCGTTAATCTTGGAACGGCATTTGCAATGTGCGGCATATGAAGAAGCTATTGATTTACAAAACGACTTCAAGTGGATCCTCCCAGGTGGTTCTTTCAAAATGTATTCCCAACTCGTAGAGTCGCATTTACTATTAGATAATGATGGAAAATACAAGCCACATCCACTGTTCTTGCCTAAACCTCATAACCTTGTGCAAATTCGGGCGGTGGAAGAAGTTCAATTTGCCGTGGTTGATATTACAAACAATCGAAACATAATAATTGAAGAAGTTGAAGCGTCAAGAACAAGTTTCACGCTTTATGAAGGCGGTATTTTCCTCCATCAAGGACAGCAATACCTCGTTAAAGAATTCAACCACAAGGATCACTATGCCAAAGTCGAGCGGGTTAATGTTGATTGGACGACCCTGCAGCGAGACTTCACCGACATAGACCCAGAAGAAGTCGAGCTGGTTAAACCATTATACCCTATGGAACATCCACAACCATTAGACATCCCGGCATTTTTTGGCAAAATCAAAATCACCATGAAAGTGTTTGGATTTTTCAAAGTGAATCGTCGTGAAGAGATAATTGAGGCTGTGGAAGTCAAGAACCCACCAGTTATAATGCATGCCAAAGGGTTTTGGATCAATGTTCCTCGTCAAGTGTTGAAAATCCTTGAAGGTAAACAATTGTCGGCAGCCGGTGCCGTGCATGCCTCCGAACATGCCATCATGAACATGCTTCCTATTTTCATCAATGGATCTCCTGACAAAGGAGCTACTATTGGCACATTGGAACTTGCAACTGAATGCAAAGCGCCAACTAAAGAATTCTCGGGTCGGGAATCTTCCAGGAAACGTCCAGCACGATTGATCTTTTATGATACGAAAGGGGGGAAATTGGGATCAGGAATCTCGTATAAATCATATGAATGTATTGATGCTATACTACATGCTACGTTTAAACGAGTCAAGAATTGTCTTTGTGAATGGGGGTGTCCCCTTTGTATCATAAGTAGTGATTGTCGAGAGCAAATGAAAGTCATTTCGAAACCAGGCGCTATTCTTGTTCTTGGATCCATCCTAGGCAAAGATTTGGACATACTTAAGGACGAGGTTCCTGATGGACCCGAGTTTAATATGCCCGATGTGAACACGGATACAATTGTTGAAAGCTCATCCAACGTGAAGTTCTCGCCCGATGTGAAAATCCTACAAGTCACGAGAAACAGAAGGTGTTTTACAGGAGTATAATATTTATTTAGGACTTGCTAGACATTCTAGTTCGTATAAATGATGCACGCTTAGATAATCTCTTTGCCAAATTGTCCTTTCTAACCGGCGATTCGTTGGCCTCTATCGATAAACTTCTCATTGATTGCGAAACATTGTCACTGTTTGATCGTCTATATGATTTTCGTCTCATCAAATCCACGGCGGGTGAGCTTGCCCTCAGAGTAGTGCTTCCCGTGTGTTCCCCGTTTTCTTTTGGTTTGTTTCGAACTCTTGGCTGAAGTGTAGGGCCCGGTGGTAGTTGTTTTCTTTTCGACATTCGGAAAACACTTTGCACTGGTTTTAAATAGATAGATGCCAATGAACCAATATTCAATTCTAATTCATCAAGAATCTCAGGGTTGATGTTGTCGTTATCGGAAGAAATTATAGGATTGCTGTTTAATATCACTTTCTTGGTGTTTTCTTGGAATTCTCCATTAGGTCCACTGGCATATTCGGAAGACAAGAGTCGCCAGTATATGTATCCTCTATCTCTAATGTCTGGATTGTTGACTTCTTCCGTGGCCCATTTTAACACTTGTAAAACAATTGATTCTCCCTTGGTTGGAAATTTCAAGTAATACTTTGTTGCCGTGGTCAAGGTTGCATATTGAACTTCTTCAGGATCATCTTTGAATGTAGATATGAAATCCTGTAAAATAGATTCTGGATCAGCGATATTCTCACAATATTGACCTACAATCCAAATTAAGGAAGTTTTTGCATCAGGTTCATCAATCAAGTGATGGTGTTTGATTAATTCCTCGATGGCAAACTCGAATCGGCCCGGATACTTTCTTAAAATGTTCTTTATGACAATCGCAGCCTCTTGAACAATGTATGATACTCCATGGGACACAATATCACAAATGACCTCGACACATAAATCGGCCGCATTTTCTAGTTTGATTGCTAAATTCCCAAATGCACGTATCGCCTTTCTGGCCATAGGCACATCGATTTCAGTGGCGTATTCTTCAAGTTCACGAAGAACCAGACCAACATTGGATTCATTGGCCAACAAGTATATGATTTCTAATTTGGTATCTTTGACGTATATTGGATCGTCAAATCGACAATAAAACATTTCCACGTCTAGATAGACTAGGTCTTTCCTTCCTAAAAGTAACAAGATAACGTTTCGCAACACGACAAACTGTGTTTCATCTGGCTTGGATAATAATGATACTAAAGAAGTTCCTAACCTCTTGGGCAATACTGGTAAATGTAATTCGGGATTCTTGGCGTAATTGCAGTAGTAGATGATAGCTTTGATTGCATTCAAAACCACTGATGAATTCTCATGCTGTAAAGAAGGAAGGATGGCTTCAACCATATCAATAGCTTCATCTTCGCTCTGCGGGACATATGACATTAGTGAATTTATCAAATATATTTGGTTCCATTCATTTGCTGATGCAAGTAGAGATACCAAAGTAAGTGCATGAGATTTGTCAATGGTTAAATTCAAGGATTTGCTTACGTCAGTGACGGAATTCAATGCTGCCAATGCATTCGAAACGACCGTCTGGTTATTATCATAAAGCAAATGGTTTAATTTCTCCACTAGGTTTGCCTTTTCAGTTGCTGCTGGATCATGGCGATACAATCTGGCCACAGCATACGCGGCAATCTTACGGACATGAGGATCAGGATCTTGCAACAGATCATCTAGTGACTCAATAGTCAAGTTTATAAACTCTTTTTTGTTTATACTGGACATGGTCTTTAATGCTAAGCCACGTAGAATAGGGGATGTGTCATGTTTGAAGCGATCCAAGTACGGAATGGAATTCACGGAATCTTCGCTGACAGGAGCATATGTAACAATATACTCCAAACATAGCTTCCGTATTTCTAGATCCTCGTATTTCAAAAGGGGGACTATGTCGGGCATCAAATTGACAATCTCCTGGTTGTTCAAGATTATATTGGCCAACACCTTGCGTAGGGTGCTCTTGATCCGAGTTATTGGTTTGGACTTTTTGAAAGCCTGATCCAACTCAGCACGCAACTCTGCACTTTTGGACTTTGAGAATAGCTTACCGTCGCTCATGGTACTGGTGGGTTCGGTTGGGGTATGTTGGCATAAAGTGGTGCCTACAATTTGCGGATCATTTTTTTCAAGCAAAGCGCGTAATGTCGGCAATTAAATCAACAAACTACACATAGTGAAAAAGAAGCTTTAACCAACTACAAAGACAACATCCTTATACCGACATGTATGAAACTAAAACAAAACTGAAGACTAAACCTAAAGCTATCAACATTTTGTATCTCCTAAATCATAAATAAACCTATCATAAACTCATAACTGAACGTAACCAGAAGCATAAGAAACACTACTCTCACCACTTCTTCTCACAGGATTACTCTGGGAATACCCAATCCAATTGAAAACTCCATCCACAGGAGAAGAACGAGGCGCCTTCTTGTGATACTCTTCAACTAACCTTAACACAATTGAAATCGGCTTTTGGCCACAGATGGTATTGCCTGTGATCTTTATATACTCTTGCCAATCCCTGGATGACCCCTTGGTAGCAATATCAAGCGCCATTCTATCCAACAATTCAATAGACTTGTAAATTTCCAACTCCTTGGGTTTGTTGAATGTCCCCAACAGGTACAAATCATGGCCCACGGTTTTCAAACTAGTGTCTTCTGTATTCAAGTACTTGGTATATGAAAATCGTGACCCCCAATGACAAAAGTCGGAACTAATGATGAAATGGTTTTCTTCGTGGTCCATATATGGAAGTAAACACTCGACTATATCTTCATTCAACTTCTCATCCATGCCACTAATCATAATAGGTATGATCTTGGGCATCCCCAATGGAGCTTTCTCGCCTCGATAGTGAATAAAAGGGGCGTGCATCTCGAATGAATGTTCATCCTCGTCAACTTCTTCAGACATCAACTTAAACACGGCATCGCGACTGTCAAACTTGGATTCCTTCCTGAGAAGCTTGGATATGGTTTCTTTATCCACGGGAATCTCTCCAAATGGCGTTGCATAACTGTCAAAAGATGACACCAAGGCGTAATTTCTGAAATAGACGTGGTGGGAAGGACCCAATAAAAACACCCGCTTCACTTTGGATGTATCCCATGCAGTAAATGTTTCTGCTAATCGCTCACCGGAATATGCATACCCGGCATGAGGGCCAATAAGAATCCGAGCTCCAGGAATGCTGTCATTTGCTATTGGTCCATGTATCGTCTTTTCATTTCTCTTTGCCTTTTCGAAAAATGAATCCAACTGGGCTCTTAGTTTAGTGGGGCTGTTGGTATACCATGAACCAGCATGTGTAGCTGATCTTACATTCATTGTAATATTCTTCAAGATTTTAGGTTCACTTCTACCAGCTAACACAAAAGGAGACTATATGCGGTGTAATTTAGGGAGGCAACGGATTTCACTTTCGTCATCACCAAAAAGGGAAATCACCGCACCATTCCGCAACCTTGCTGAAAGCGGTAATACCAAAAAAAAAAAAGCCTCCTCAAAATCAGGCTTGTCAGCAGTCATCGTCATAGTGACGTAGGTCAACATAATTAGCTTTCAAGTTAACAAGGCTATCATCTCCTCCTCCCTCCTCTGCCAACTTTAATTTAAAGAATATTGTGATTTATGGTGTTTATGCACGAAAGGTAATATATTTGTCTAATAGTTTGACAGATTATAACTCCGGTAGTTTACGAGATACTATTACGAATAATTCAACTAAAACAAGATACTGCAACAAAAAGATTTCTCTAATACATGGACATCGGAAGATCTTTGCCAGTGTTGTTTCCAATGTGACTCAGTTATTCCTTAATTAGGAAACATTTTCCTTGACACAAAGATGTGGCATTGTTTAATTGTTAGAAAATATATGTTGGACTCGGCAAGCTTATGTACAATGTGGGGAAAAAAAGTCTAAGTTGCATTTATCATAAAAACTTTATATTCAAGAAAAGACATAGAAAACGGGTATCACATCTATATAAAACGCCTATTTAACAATTTCAAGAGTCCAGTCGTTGGAAACTAACATTTCGTCACCAGCATAATAGGTGGAGTTGGCACCGTAGTGACCTCTCAGGAAGAACCCACCTGGACTATCATCTTCTGGGAACTTCTTAACATACACTTCATCTCCTGGTTCATAACTACCAATTTCAACTTCTCTAGTTCTAACAGTAATTCCAGCCTTCTTAACCACTTGGATATATCTAAAGTTCTCAAGTTTTCTATTCATAATCACGAAATGCATTTCCATAATATACTTCTTACCACCTGGGATCTTAATGTGAATGCTATCAACATCTTTTACCGGCACATCAACTGGGTCCTGACCTTCGACCTTTAAGACGAATTTAATAATCTCGAAATCTGGATGTCTTTTAAGAACCATTCTTGCTATGTTGTGTTGTGTTGTGCTGATTTCTGAAACCAAAAGTACAACTTTCCAGACTTATCGATCGCTATTTATACTGTAGTTTTCTTTGTTAGATCAGGCATTATGCAACCAAATGTTATTATTTAAACAATAACCGGACCTGACCCATTTTCATCATGTGATTGCTCTTTTTTTTTGTACTAATTAACATCCTATTCCCAGTGTGTGCACATGATAAATTGCTTCATGTTGCAAAACTTAAAATTACTTTTTCTTGGGTTATGGGTTTCTCTATCCGTCAAGTCCGACCTTGCAAGTATCTTTGAAATGCTTAACTTCGAGCTCTAACAAGTCCTTTAGTTGTGAAATATTGTTGGCACGCCCTTCAAAACTAAAATCAAACAATTCCTTAGATACAGGTTCGTCCGAGGCATTTCTCGTATTTCTGAAAAATGCATGGCCGAGGATTTGCTCCACCTCTAATCTTTTTTTGTAATCCCATTGTAATAACTTTTCTAACAAATTAATTGCCTCATGCGGAGCAAACGGGTATAAGCTTTTCCACTTTACAGGTTTGTACTTAACCCAGAGCAACCCCTCCACTTTCCAGTTGTATTTTTTAACCGTATCCAATGGAGGATTGCCCAAGATCTTGAACAACTCATGGATTTGTTCATTCAGATTCTTGCCGGGAAATAATGGTCGTCTCCCAAACAATTCTCCAAGAATACACCCAGCCGCCCAGATATCAACCGCTTTTGTGTAATTCTTGGTTGACAAGATTAATTCGGGTGCCCGATACCATCTCGTAGCAACATAGTTCGTGATTGTAGCAGAACGATTCTTGAAGTATTTTGGATTAATTCCTCGTGCCAATCCAAAATCACAAATCTTGAGAATCCCCTGTGTAGTCACTAATATATTACCGGGTTTTAAATCTCGATGTATGACATCGGCTGAATGAATGTATTTGATTCCACACATGATTTGGTACATAAAATTTTGAATATGAAACTCGGAGAATTGAACATTGGAATACAACACTCTTGCCAAATCCAAATCTGCCAACTCTTGAAAGCAGTATAATCCATCATACGGTTTGACGTACACAACATCCAAGTCGATCAAAGTCGAAATCTAATTCCATGTTAGTAATATAGTTCCCCTTTTTTTGTGTGTGACAACCACGCTAGTACTTACATTTTTATGACCTCGAAAGAACTTCATGAATTTAAGCTCTCTGATAGCTCTAATTAATAGTATATCCTTGTTGAAGATCTTTGTCACTTTTTTGATAGCAATCTTGTGTTCATGACCGGAATTCAAACTCTTGGCGTCTATAGCTAAACAAACAACTCCATATGAACCTTTACCTAATACTTTAATGATTTCATAGCGGGAATCAACAAGGAAATGGTTTTCATTGTCAGTGTAAGTTGAACAAGACATCATATAACCGTTCCTATTCTTGACTGAAGACATTGTATTGGTGTTTTAAGGAGTAGTATGTCGGTTGCAAACAGGTGTTTGTTTTTCGTCCCGCCACTTTTTTTGATCGAAAAATCTGAGCCAGAATTATGTTACAGAATATTAGGGGAGAGGGGGGAGCAGGTGGCACTCTCTTACAACAGAGCAATATAACATATTCTAGTAATCAACATTTAGCTCTCTGAGTTGGCAAGGTATTTCTTATTCCTTTATTTGACTTTCTGGTCTCTCCGACACGAAACAATTCAAATAAAGGAAAATGAAAGTTGATATTCCGCTTGAACCCCTTTAATAACTATCATGGAAGTATATTTGGTCTCTTGATATATATTTTATTGGTTTTGGACTACATATTGAAGAATTTGTTTTGTTAGTTTGAGAATATTTGCTCAAATTTGGGCCAGAATCCTCCATAAATTAATAAACCCGGCACATTAAAAATTGAGACGAAACAGACACAGTATTGAAGTACAAAGGTTATATACTGTGTTAAACATCACACTAGCTCGTAAAATGCTTTATAAAAGACCAAACTCAAACTTGAAATCTGTACTCATTTCATTCTCACCAGACATGCAGTAGGATCGGATGGTTTCATCGTAAAGGTCCCTTGGCCCAGTTGGTTAAGGCGTGGTGCTAATAACGCCAAGATCAGCAGTTCGATCCTGCTAGGGACCATTTCTTTTTGCTCTGTCCACTTCTTTCATCTTGGTGTTCAACAATATATCTTGTATGATTTGGAAAAATTAAGTTTTCACTTGAACGGAGCTGCAAATATTTTTTTGTCTGTTTAAAGTAAAATGTGCGAGATTTTTGGGGGATGCTTATTTTCAGGTACATTTTTTTTTTCTTCCAGAGATAAGCTATGGAAGTTAAGCCACTTTTTTTTTTTTGCCTCAACACGTATACTATTGTTTCAAATGGTTTATATTCATTTATGTACTTCTTATCGAATAGCGCTACGATGCCATACAGGTGACTGTTGTTACTTATTCTTGATGTGCTTACTGCAAGCTCGTGTCATGGGAGAGGGGGAGAGGACTACCCCACAATTTCCCATAGTACATGCAGGACAAAAAATGGTAGCTATTGCTACAGCACTTGAATAAGTGTTCACCTATAAACTTGCGATTGTAATTAATTAATTGTTAGTTTCGCCGAAATTGATCACGTACAGCCATTACATAAGAAGTTATTTAAACACAAAACGTTGATATCTAAGTTGCTATATTGGGTAATTATAAACCTTAAAGCATGACAAGGCGAAGTTTAAGAAAGGCACAAGAGTGGGGAATATTCCTAAAGTTTGTGTCAAAGATGACCACCACATCTAGGATATATTCCTTCGAACCTAGTTTGTATTTGAAATCTACGGCAAACTCAAATTAGGAAACATGTAAAAGCCGTAAGCGGCTATCATTGAATTCAATTCATTCATTATTCTTTCAAGTGTATTAATATTTTTTTTTTTGAGCATTGATGAATGTACCTGAAACCTACTGCATTAGCTGATGTAACAACAAGAGTTGGCTGGAAAATCAAAGAAAAAAAATAATAATCAGCCAAGTGGTCACTGATGTATCTTGAATATTCAAGATTTATATCAGCTAAGTTCAGCCAGAACCTGCAACAATATGCAGCCGTTTATTTTTCTTATCAAGGCGATACTGTTAATGATTTGATAGCAAAACTTCCAAACATTCTGATAGCCCCATCACTATCTCGTAACTTTTCAAACAAATCAGACAATGCTCGCTTGAGATTAACCACCGAGTAAAAAAAAAAGCTCGCTCGCTTTTCTTTTCCGTGAGAAACTAAAAACGCAATGTGAGGGGGTAATTATGTAAATACAAAGAATCGTTTCATCATCTGCCCCTCTTCAAAATAGTATCGTACCTCATCGAGAAGTTATCTGAACTGAAAGATATGAAGTAGGCAAGCCTTAATCTAATTTTTTTTTAGGTGGACACACAAAGACGAGATTTCTAGACCGTATTTTGTAAACTGGTTGGACCTTGTCTCAATCGTCGATTCTTAAATGGGTAGTTAAGGCAATTAGCCTCGACCTAGTTACGTTTGCCGGAATCATAATCGCCGTGGTGTTACATAAAGAGAAACCGTTAATTTTTTTTTAAATACGCATTAAAGTTGCAAAGTATTTTTTAACAAATTATTTTCTTTATCCAAAAAATTTGTATTCTTTTTTTTTTTTGAATTCATACGGCGTTTGAAACTTAAATTTCATTGTCACTGACATTCACATTTACAAATTCCAAGACAAACACCGCGTAAAAAGAGGTTCATATGATTGGGTGACAAGGATACCAGGGCTAATGGATCTGATCCCTACCACAAAATACGAAAAGGTGGAGAAGTTGGGGTATTTCAAAATATCCAGGCCTACAAGACATTTTCTGCTTTTCGCAGACTTGTTCTCAGAGTAATGATTGGCGACGTTATCTCGGATTAATCTTGAGACACTAAATTGCTACACTAAATTCCTATACTAAACTCCTTATCTAAAAATTGTGCAATGCTACTATCAAATCTAGATCATATCTATAGTTGTACCATATCTATTAGTCACATCAGGTTCAAACTCCCTTATTAAGAACAATGATCTCAAGTAAATAATATCTCACATCGGAGTAGGGCATTTTCGTTTTGCCACACATTCAGATAAGAAACGACAATACATTTGGGGTAGCATAAAAAAAATTAAGCGTTTATTTTCTTATTTCTTTTTTTTTTTATTAATATTTTTTACGTTTCTCTCTTCCATTTAGTAACTGTACTTTAAAATAATCTTTGGTAAAAAAAATATCTCTCGCTGCATAATTTCTCTATGCATAATTTCTGGATCATACTTAATCACTAGTACAATGGGTGGGACTCTGAAGGAATTGTTCCAACATTTTTTGGGTACACGATATAAATACCCCCCAGACTTTCCCCAGTCTGTTTCAATTTCAAATTCCTTCTATTTCTTTTTCATTAGTTACATCTCTCATAATTAGCTGCTAATTTCACCAAGATGGCTTCTCCACATCATATGAGTATCGTCAGAGGGAACGACGTTAATCTCTCCATATCCATTTCAAACTCAAGGGTGGTTGACGTCGATGAAAAAGCGGGAAATATACATGAAATCATATCATCAGGATCCGGTTCTGATCTCGAGTACCAAGAAAAGACGCTTGAAAGAGGATTAAAGTCTAGACACGTCCAATTGATTGCTATTGGTGGTGCCATTGGTACTGGTTTATTTGTTGGTTCTTCTGTGGTGTTGACCAGCTGTGGTCCTGCTTCTTTATTCCTTGCCTATTGTATTATGTCTACAGTTATCTATTTCGTCATGCAGATGTTGGCGGAAATGACTACTTTCTTGCCTTTGCCCGGTAATGGTCCCCAAGCATTTGTTAATGATTATTTGTCTCACTCATTTGGGTTTGCTATCGGTTACAACTACTGGTATGCATTCAGTATATTGGTTGCTGCTGAAATCACAGCTGCTGCTTTGGTTATCCAATACTGGACCACAAAGGTTAATATTGCGGTATGGATCACCATTTTGTTAGCCCTTATGATTTCCCTTAATCTTATCTCGGTTAAGTTTTTTGGGGAATCTGAATTCTGGTTTGCATCTATTAAGTTGTTTGCATTAATGGGATTGATTATCTTGGGTGTTGTTCTTTTCTTTGGTGGTGGTCCAAACCACGACCGTTTAGGGTTCAGATACTGGAAGCACGATGCATTCAAGGAACATCTTGTTAAGGGCTCCACAGGTAGATTCTTGGGTTTCTGGACTGCGTTGATTAAATCTGGGTTTGCATTCATTTGTTCTCCAGAATTGGTTTCTACTGCTGGTGGTGAATGTTATAAACCAAGAAGAAACTTGCCAAAGGCTGCTCGTAGATTTATTTACAGATTGGCCTTCTTCTACGTGCTTGGTACGTTGATCATCGGGGTTATTGTCAGTTCTAATGACAAGAAGTTGATCAATGCCGGTACTAATGATGCTTCTGGTTCTCCATTTGTCATTGGTATTCAAAATGCCGGTATTCCAGTGTTGAACCATATTATTAACGCTGTCATTTTGACTTCTGCTACTTCGGCTGGTAACTCGTTCTTGTACTCGTCTTCCAGAGCGTTATTCTCCATTGCCCAAAGAGGGTCGGCTCCAAGGATCTTCACCACGGTTAACAGATTTGGTGTTCCATACTATGCCGTGGCTGCTTCGTCTTCATTTGGATTCCTTTCCTATTTGAACTGTTCATCTGCTGCTGCTACAGTTTTCACCTGGTTTTCCAACATTTCTACCATGTCTGGTTTCATTTCCTGGCTTACAGTTACTTGGGCTTACTTGAGATGGAGAAAGGCAATTGATCACCATAATCTCCACGACAGAGTTACATTCAGGACTCCATTGCAGCCATATGGTGCTTATTATGTTTTGTTCGTCATTTCGCTTATCACGATAACCAACGGGTATGCCGTATTCCTTGATTTCAACATTGGGGACTTCTTGGCAGCCTATATTACGTTTCCAATCATTCTTGTTTTGTATTTCGGACACAGAATTTATGAATACAAGGTGCATAATATCAAAAATTGGTTTATACCCATTGAAAAAATTGATTTAGTTACTGGGTTAGATTTGGTTGAAGAAGAAGATGCAACTTCGCCCGAACCAATACCTAGGAATTTTATTGAGAAGATCTGGTACTGGATTGCTTAGATTCTTCTTTTTATTTATGTTTATAGTTTAATGACTGTTTTAATATATACACTCTACATTTGCCCACGAGTACATTTGTCATTTGACTAGCATCAAACGCTACTGAGAGTTGTAATGCATGTGTGATCAATGTGAATGCAATATGTTTTGCAACTAAATCCTGGTTATGAAAAAGTCGCCACATGGTAGCACGGTCATTTTCTGGCTGAGCCGCAAGGGCATCTCGTATGGCGACATTTTTTTTTTTCCATTCAAGAAATCATATTTACTTCTTGTTCTGTTGCAAGAAGAACAACATAACTCAGTTAAGCAAGATGTCGAGTTTATCTTCGCAGTTAAAGTCTATCAGCGAGAAGACCGCTTCCGTTTCTCTCGATAGAAAAGCCCGTTCGAAGATCCATTCTCGTTCGCTTCTATTTGAACCTAAAGTTGCATCTACTCAAGACTATGAATATATTCATCAGATTGCTTACGAAGGATTGGAAGAATTATCTGAGTTAGATTCCAGGTTTAACAAGTTCAAGCAGACTCTCTTCTCAGACACGTCTATTAATTTAGACAGAAATGTCCAAACCAAGGATATAGTTGACCAATTAAACCGAAATATCGAAGCGTTCTTAACCTTGGTTGGTCCTTACTACAACCTTGTACCAGCAATTAAGGCCACCGAATGGTTGATTAGAAGATTCCATGCCAACATCCACAATGCAGAATTATTGATCTTGACTTCGTTGCCATATTATCAACAACCAGTGTTTGTCAAGATCTTGAATGTTATTCCCAAGAACCAATTCCCCAAGATCTTTGAATGGGTTGTCGGTTACAAGGATTTGTTGAAAGCTCCTCCTGCTTCCTCAATCCTTAAAGCATTCTACAACGACTTTGATTTGGTCAAGTTCTACAGTATGTTCTTGAATGAACAAATCAAGAACCACACAATATACAAAGAACAACTAGTTTTCTACTTGTCTAACATTGTGCAAGTCCTTGCCTCTTTGTCCAAGAATATTCCCGAATTGAATGAGAAACACATGCCTGTTGTGTTGGAAACTGTTGGTTTAATGTTGTTGCCTCAAAAGGAGTCCAAGTATTCTTATTCTATCAACACTGATTTGAAGTTGACTGCTTACTCAATCACCTCAGTTCTTTGTTCAATTGTTCCATTGACTTCTGATTTGATCAAATCATTGACTGAATCTATTTTGCAAGACCCACAATCAGTTGCCGGAACAAACTTGAGATCTACCTTGATTGTGTTGTTACAATTATGGAACTCTTACCAAGGTGGAATTGAGCCTGTGGATTGTTTCAGGAATTTGAAAATTGAAAACGTCGTTTCTCATTTAAGTGAATTGAAGAGTGAAGGATTCAATTTAAACAAGTTCTTGACATTTTATTTCGTGTCTACTTTTCCAAATGCAGAATCATCTAAATTGGTTGAATATATTGATCTTTCCAACAAGGCCAGCTACACCAGTATTGCTAATTTAGTATTTAAAAACTCAACCACTCCTGATGAAAGTGTAAGATCTAGTTTGATCAAGACTTCGCAAGCACTTTTGAAGGCTGATGCTGATTTATTTACTACTCAATTGAAATTACAAGATTTAAGCATTGATGACTTGGAATTAAGATTCATGACTGTTATCGGCGAAAAGAAGGAAGATGATGATCTAGTCTTTGATGCTGAAGACGAAGATAGTCTGATTAATGAAGAAGAAGTTGATTCAACCTTCGATCTCTCCACTGTCACTGTTAAAGCCACTTCATATTTCAATACTGACAACGAGGAAGAATTCAATAGTTTACTTGCTACATTAAGCCGCTTATTAACATCAACAAATGTCAAAATTCAAAAGAATACCATCTTCCATTTCTGCAGCAAAGTGTTCAAATCGTCCGAAGTGGCATTGTCGTTTATCATTAGAACTTCATTGACTCCAGCTGTGCCATTATTCATCAGATTATCAGCAATTAGATACCTTAGAATAAGAATTAAGGATCTTGCTAACGGTTCAACTGACTTTTATTTATTGCTTCCAATTATCGCCTTGGCATTATCAGATGACTCCAAACCAATCAGAGAAGGATACGCCCAGATATTAAGAGTTATTTCCGACATTACTTCTAAATTACATTCTGGCAAGAGCAAGACCAAAACTACTTTATTCTTGGAAGAACAAATTTACGGCAACACCAAAGCGGATAAAAGAGCCATTCTCCCACCTAATTTTGGATTATTCCTTTGTGAGATTTTTGCCAAAGATGATACAGTTAAGGATATGACTTTGGATGCTTCCCGTGTCAACAAGGTCTTGTTTGGAACTGTATTCAATGTCAATAAGTCCGGACAAAAGAAGTTTGGTCAAGTTGTGCTCAAGACTTTCTTCTTGAACCAGTGGTCCTTGACATTCTGGCCACTTGTGCTTAAATGGAGAGCATGGAAGATTGTTGCTGCTGAAAATAAGGTAGGTAACGATGATAGATTTTTCTTCTTGGATGGCGATATCGATGGTTATTTGAACAAGAGAAGTCAATGGCTCGAACAGGCAAATGTCGCCAAGGTTGACTTTTTCGATAACTTTGAAACCTCAATTGTTGGATTGGTTGGTGGAGCTAGTTCCCAAGAAAAGAACACCGGTAAGGAAATCGAATGGCTTTGTCATGGGTTGGAATCAACTTCAGGTAATTTACAAATTGCCGTTAATAATAGAATCCTTGAAATCTTTAACAAGTTCAAGTCGGTGGATGCTAGATTGAAGATTATGAGTAAATTGGTGGAATTGTTACTTGGTGATGACAATGTTGAATTTGACCCCATGGCCACTTTACAAGAACTTGAGATTGATCATGATTTGTTCCTTCACGCTTTGGCCAATGTGCAAATTGTCGACCAGATGCCGGAACAGGGTATTGCCAAAAGAAGAAGAAGATCTTCTAATTCTGCCAAACAGGCTATGGCAAAGGATGATATCAACACCATGGCTTCTACACATTTAAAGAAGTTGACAGTTGTTTTAGAAGTTTTGGAATCTAAATTGAGAAAAGATGTTGACATTTCCCGTCCTGATTTATTAAAGGTATTGTTCAAGATTTTGACTGATTTGGACTACTTAGGAAACGATGGTAATTTGCCAGTGTTGTACTCGCAAGAAACTTTGGCTTCATGTATGTTGTTGAGTATCATCAAGATGAAGGAAAGTCAACAAGAATTCAAGTTTGATTCGAACTCGATCAGAGCCGATTTGATTGTCAACTCGATCAGATCTTCCCAATCACCACAAGTTCAAAACAGATTGTTATTGGTGATTTCTGAATTAGCATCACTTGCACCCGAGATCATTTTACATTCAGTCATGCCAATCTTTACATTTATGGGGGCCCATACCATCAGACAAGATGACGAATTCTCCAACTCAGCCTTGCAACAAACTGTGGCCAAGGTCATTCCAGCTATTGCTGCCAATGGGTCTACTTCCATCAGCAACGAGATTGAATTCTTGTTGACCAGTTTCGTGACTGCGTTTGAACATATCCCAAGACACAGACGTGTCAAGTTGTTCACCTCGTTGACCAAGACCTTGGACAGTGCCCAATCCATGCACATTCTTTTGTTTTTGATTGCCCAGCAATACGCTGCTAACATCGGCAAGGGGAAGGTTGGTGAAGCCGAGACTGTTTTAGAATTCACTAATGCTTATTTGAAGGGATTCACTGCTGACGAACAATTGCATGGTATTTATGAATTCACCAAGTTCTGGAACCAAATCCCAGTTACTCCATTGGAAGTCAATTCCGACGAGTATCAAAAGTTGAGTTCCAGACCAATTTTCGGGGCTTCTATTGTTTCACTCACTTCTGAAGAATTAGCCAAATTAAAACATCAATTATTGAGTTTCTTGATTTCGGTATTGGAGGCTGATTCCGGCTATGACGCATCTTCATTAAAGACTAAGGTTGCTGTTGTTGTCTTAGACTCTAATATTGCCAATGACAATAAGGAATCTGTTTTGAACAAGTTTAGAAATATTACTTCATTTGCATTGGCTGGTTTGGATAATTTCACTAATTTGAGTAAGAACAAGGATATTTGTATCAAGTTGTATGAAATGTTGGCCAAGTTGTTGGATTTATTACCTTTGAATTACTTTGTCGATGCTATCATTGACTCATTGGACATTGACAACTTGTCAGATACGTTATCAATCAAGGTTGCCAGAAATTATGCTATTTTGGCTGGTAGAAAGTTTGAATCGGAATTGAGTGCTGCTAATATTGATGAATCTGTTCAAGACTCAGTGCTTAGCAAGTTGTTACCGGTTTTAATTAAGGGAATTAACCAGAATATCGATGTGGAATTACAACAAGCCTATTTGGATACGTTCTCCACTATCGTTAGCAAGTTTAGTCCTTCCAATTCGACCTATTTCGCTGCTCATTCCAAGGTTTTGATCGAATCATTATCTATTATCGCTTCTGATCGTGGGTTATTGAACGAACAACCAGAAATCATTATTTCCTCGATCAATGCCATCACCAGTGTGATCAACCTCATGGGTGTCAAGACCCTTGGGTTATTCCCCAAAATTGTTCCACCTGCACTTAAGATCTGGGAAAATACCACCACTGCTGAAGACGAAACCAGTGCCAAGTTATTGCAAGCTTCTATTTTAGTGTTGTTGTCCAGTTACATCAAAAAAATCCCTGCATTTATGACCACCACCTTGGATTCTGTTCTTATCACTGTGTTGTCTAGTGACTTGATTGAAAATGAAATTAGGTCTAGTGTATTGCAATTGATTGTGGACCACATGGATCTTGGGCAAGTATTGAAGTCATTATGTACTATTTGGACCAGCAAGAACTTTTACCAAAATGACAATTCTGGTAATCTTGGTTTGTACTTGAACGCTATGCAATCCACCATTGACAAGATTGACAAGAAGTCGGCCACAGCACAATCCACTTTGTTCATGAGATGGTTAATTAGTGCTTTTGAATTTAGACAATACTCGGAGCAAAACGACAACAAGTTTGATAATAACACCGTTCACAGATTAGAGAGTTCTGTGCATACCTGTTCTATTCAATTTGTGATGAAGTTAAACGACAAAAGTTTCCGTCCATTGTTTGCTAATTTGGTAAGATGGGCTGTTTCCGGTGAAGGGGCTACATTTGCCGGTAATACTGAGATTTCCAGATTGATGGCGTTCTTCAGATTCTTCAACAAGTTGCAAGAACAATTAAAGAGTATTATTACTTCCTACTATTCGTATTTGTTAGATCCAGTTTCCAGCATTTTGAAGAGATTTGCCAGTGGAGACATCGTTGCTACCAATTTGAGAAGAATTATGTTCATTTCCTTGACTTCTTCATTCAAGTACGATCAAGATGACTACTGGTCTCAACAAGGTAGATTTGAAAGCATCTGCAATCCATTGTTGGAGCAATTGGTCAATGTGGAAGATTCTATTGGAAAGTATTTGGTCAAGGCTATCAGTACATTTGTGACTAATGTCAGTTCGGAAGAGTACAATGAAATTTTGGTTCACGGATTGATCAAGTTTGTGTCTAATGAAAACGAAACTAGTTCATCAACCAAGATCTGGACCATTAGAACATTCAAGACTATCTTCCAAAAGATGGGTGAACAATGGTTGTCGTTCTTGCCTACTTTGGTGCCATACATTGCTGAATTATTGGAAAGCGATGATGAAGAGGTTGAGTTGGAAGTCAGAGGTGGTTTGGTTCGTGTTATTGAAAATGTGTTGGGTGAACCATTAGATAGATATTTGAATTAGTGTATAAAAATGTATTAAATAGCTGCAAAAAAAAAAAAAGTGTTTATACTTAAAATTATTTCCACGGAAAAACAAAAAAATGTCTGCATCAAAAACCAAAAACAAAAAGAAGTCGTGCGCTTTGTTCAAACCGCCAGAGAATTTTCTATGTGCTTCTATGTAGTGGAAAAAAAATTTCAATTTAAATACGTTCTCCCCCAGGTTCTACCATTTCCACTTAATCAAACAATCAGCAGTAACATCCACAATGGTATGTACAGTGATCTACTCCGTGTGGATATCAGCGAGATGGGAAATACTAACTTTTTTCTAGTCCTTCTTAAAGAACGCTTCCTCCTTAAAGCCATTATTCGACAGGGTCTTAGTCCAAAGACTTAAGCCAGCTACCAAGACTGCCACTGGTATTTACATTCCAGAAAAGAACCAAGAAAAGTTGAACCAAGCTACTGTCATTGCTGCTGGTCCAGGTATCACCAACACCACCACTGGTCAAGTCATTCCAACCTCCGTCAAGGCTGGTGACAAGGTCTTATTACCAAACTTTGGTGGTAACCCAGTTAAGATTGGTGAAGAAGAATACTTGTTGTACACCGACAAGGAAATCTTGGCCAAGATTGAAGATTAAGTTGGTTGTACTTAGTTTGTAACATCATATCTTGTAAATATAAAGACAATAAATAATATTGCATAACCAAGCGAGCTGTAGCAGCTAAACATGCTCAGTCTGTGCAACACTTTTTTGACGAACGTAGAAACACCGAGTTATTGCACCGGTGTATTGTGAAATGCACGCAAGTTGGACAACGCCCCCTAACACCTCAGTCATGCTGAAAGCTGAACTCCATACTGCAAACGCCAACTACCACAAAATGCAAGTTTTGATACACGTTGACAGGAATCTCTATACTTCCTCATGAAGAAGAATCAGGTCAAACTGCACTGCCTAAATCTGTGGTCCTGCATACAAACCGACTGTCTATTTTTTTTTTTGTATGGCAATCTCAACAAATGTAACGATCAAACCCGACCTCACTTTTTGCCCTTGATAGTGACAACGTTTTATCTTTAGAGTACCCAAAACATATAGATAACGATCTACGTCGTCACACAAATCAATCAAGACTTAATCAGATTAGTCAAGCACAAAAGTACTATTTCCGGTTTATCCATTTATATTCTTTGTTTATCATATTATCAAACCATTCCGATAATAAAATAATAATATTATTATTACTACTACTATCATCATCATGTCAGCACCAGCCACATCTCGATTCGCTCAGTTCAAACTCGTTCTCTTGGGTGAGAGTGCCGTTGGTAAGTCATCCATCGTGCACAGATTCGTCAAAAACACCTTTGATGAATTAAGGGAATCCACCATAGGTGCAGCATTCTTGACCCAGACTATCACCATACCTGAAACCGACACCACTATTAAGTTTGAAATATGGGATACTGCCGGACAGGAAAGATATAAATCACTTGCTCCTATGTATTATAGAAATGCCAATGCTGCTCTTTGTGTGTATGATATAACAAGCCGGGTATCCTTTAATAGAGCCCAAGACTGGATTAAGGAATTGAGAAAGCAAGCACCAGAGGGGATTGTCATTGCATTAGTCGGTAATAAGTCTGATTTATCTGATAATAGAGAAGTAGAACTTAGCGAAGTGGAAGAGTATGTCGAACAATACAATAGTGAGGCCACTGGTGGTGGTTCTACCATCATCATTGCTGAATGTTCTGCCAAGACTGGTGATGGTGTTTTGGAAGTGTTTAATAGAATAGGAAGAGCTTTACCTGTTGAAGAAGCTATCAATGCTGCTGGAGGCAGAGCTAGACAAGCCGGTGGAAGAAGAGCTGGCGGTGTGGATTTGAATAGACCTAGAGCACAAGCACAACAAGGTGGTTCATGTTGTTGAATAGTTAGAGCCAGTGCTGTTATTCATTTGGATCGAGCTTTGATAGAGTTAGACCAAGTCTCTACATATCTTTTTGTTTCACAATTGAGGTTGAAAGTGATGTGTGAAGCTATATCCATCTGCTCCTTGTTCGGCACCTTGTCCACCACCACCACCACATACTTGCTTTGGCCAGCTTCTCAATAAAGTCAAATTTGGTTCAGTTTCAAGTCAATTTCAGTTCATAATTTGCATTTTACCCCATTTGTGTAGTTACTGTTTATACTATAACAGATTCTTATCTTTGAGCTACCGAGTATTACTTGGTTATATGCAGTACGATCCGGGTAACATCTTTGTAGAAAAGTTGAAGTTCAAAAAGACCTAAAACTTTTGACTTTCGCACGACCTTGAAAATTTTTTCAACCCTTCACACAAACACTATAGAAGAAAAATTTTTCAGTACAATTAATCTCTTCTTCTTCTTCTTCTTTCTTCATCATTATTATACATATTGTTAACGATGTCTGCTCGTCCACAAGTTTCTGTTATCTCCGCTCAAGGTGAACAAACCTCCACTCAATTACCATTACCAGCTGTCTTCTCTGCTCCAGTCAGACCAGATATTGTCCACTCTGTTTTTGTTAGAGTCAACAAGAACAAGAGACAAGCTTACGCTGTCGCTGAAAACGCCGGTCACCAAACCTCCGCTGAATCCTGGGGTACCGGTAGAGCTGTTGCCAGAATTCCAAGAGTTGGTGGTGGTGGTACCCACCGTTCTGGTCAAGCTGCTTTCGGTAACATGTGTCGTGGTGGTCGTATGTTTGCTCCAACCAAGACTTGGAGAAAGTGGCACGTCAAGGTTAACCACAACGAAAAGCGTTATGCTACTGCTTCCGCTATCGCTGCTTCCGCCGTTACTTCTTTAGTCTTGGCTAGAGGTCACAGAGTTGAACAAGTTAAGGAATTACCATTAGTTGTTTCTAACGACTTCGAATCCGTTACCAAGACCAAGGAAGCTGTCGCTGTCTTGAAGGCTGTTGGTGCCCACAAGGATGTCATCAAGGTCATCAAGTCCAAGAAGTTGAGAGCTGGTAAGGGTAAGTTGAGAGGTAGAAGATTCACTCAAAGAAGAGGTCCATTAGTTGTCTATGCTCAAGACAACGGTATCGTCAAGGCCTTGAGAAACGTTCCAGGTGTCGAAACCGCTTCCGTCAAGCACTTAGGTTTATTACAATTAGCCCCAGGTGCTCACTTAGGTAGATTCATCATCTGGACCCAAGGTGCTTTCGAATCCTTGGACTCCGTCTACGGTTCTGACTCCACCAAGTCCATCAAGACTGGTTACGCTTTACCATCCAACATCATCTCCAACACTGATGTCACCAGATTGATCAACTCTGCTGAAGTCCAAGCTGTCGTCAGACCAGCTGGTCAAGCCACCCAAAAGAGAACTCACGTCTTGAAGAAGAACCCATTGAAGAACAAGCAAGTCTTATTAAGATTAAACCCTTACGCTAAGGCTTACAATGGTTCTGTCAAGGTTGAAAAGGCCGCTGCCAAGCCATCCAAGGGTCAATTCGCTGAAGTTTTAAAGAACTAAGTGTAGAAGCTAGTTGAAAATATTTATTTTTCAATTGTAATTTAGTTAAATCATTTGTTTAGTTTTATTATTATTTTGAAAAATATACACTTTTAATTACTTTTATAACAAAAAAAGATCTAATATTGTAATTTATGGATTAAGCAATGGCAACACATTCACTTCAAGATATGTCTGTCCTGTACTGGTTACTCCAATGAGATTTCCTCTAGTCTTGGAGTATTCACAGATGGTATATTGTCTCCACGCATTACTACACATGATTCTAGCACAACCGACCTGGGTAGTGTCCTTCCATACTACTTGAGTGAAATGTCCCGTATCTGCGTTGATTTCCGGATTGCTGTAATCGTAATTCTTGATTTCGTCATACCAAGCATCAAGGGGTGCTTTACCACCTACGTAACCAGCAGCCAAGTTTTCTCCGTAAGGACCACCAGAATGGACAAGTTGTAAATTGTTGCAATCTAATACTCGTTGCCCGTACTCAAGTCCGAATTGAGCAAGGGAATTGTTCCATTGTAATGGGTTTACACCGTGGAGTGCCCGCACTCTATTGTGTTCACTGAGGATATCTTGGGCAAATTCAACGTCGCTGGTTATAGCGCTGTCGTCGTCTTGGGTTGAAGTAGCAGTTTCACTAGAAGATGTAGAACTTGAAGTTGTACTGGAGGTTGTACTGGAAGTTGTACTGGAGGTTGTACTGGAGGTTGTACTGGAGGTTGTACTGGAAGTTGTACTGGAGGTTGTACTGGAGGTTGTACTGGAAGTTGTACTGGAAGTTGTACTGGAAGTTGTACTGGAAGTTGTACTGGAAGTTGTACTGGAAGTTGTTTCCTCGGTAGTGGATGGAGTTGGTGTAACTGATGATGTTGAAGAGTCTTCTTGTGAAGTGGAAGAAGTTGTTGTTGTAGTGGCTGTTGTAACCTGTGATGATGATGTAGTAGTGGGCATGATAGAGGATGGAGAAGTAGTTGGATCCTCTATAGAAGTCGTCGATGTATCTGGATCATCATTTTGGATAGAGCTGGAGGTAGTGGCTGTAGTAACAGATGATTCTGTTTGTGCTGGTGGAGGCGCATGAACAGTTGTGAATAAATGATAATTTGTCTTTGTAGCTATAACAGTTGACCATACGGTAACAACTGGTGCCGTTACTGTTATAGTGAGGATTGGTGCTGCATCTAGAATAGCTGCAAGAGTGAAAGTTGGAAGTATAATTTTGGAAATCTTCATTTTTAATTACAGAAGAAAAGATAGACTAAATTAAAACCGACTAAAAGGACGTCTTGAACTATTTATATAGACATTTTCCCAGAATTGTGGATCGACTGATCGAGCTACAACAATAGAGATTATCATATTGTTGGTGCGCGATCGATCCAAGAATATTTTATTTTGCAAGCGTTTCCAAATATTTTTTTTCTTTGACTTCCGAAAATGGTTAATGCTGCAAGTTCTGCGTATTGGGAACAATAAGATTTTTTTTTTTGAAAACCGTTAATGAGGTAATTCACTGTTGCTATACTTCCGTATTGGTAATATTGTGATGCTGGGATGTGTACCTTAAGAGCTGATTTCCGTGATTGTCCAGCTGGTGGGAACACTGATGTCGTTTATAGCCGAGGAAACTAAGGCGAACCAGATCATGGACAAGCAAAAAAATATCTGATTTGCATGTAACGTGTGTGTTTGCAGCCAAGACTTTGAAGTACGCGTAATCAATCACTTCAGTTAGCAGAAATTAGCTTGGAAAACCAATTTACCTAGAAATGGAAATACCTCCTTTCAATATAATCTGATATAGGGTGATTCAGCCTTGCTTTAGCAAATGCAACTGCCGTGATTTTCTTGGTCGGCCAGCGAACTTCCTCCATTTAGCAGACAACAACTGCTAAGGAGAATTTATCTTAACCAATAACTAAAAACAAAGTTCTTCTTGAGCCTCCTTATGCTGATATGAACAATATCAAAAGAAATCGGATAATTTTGTAAACTGGATTCATGATTATCCGGCTCTTACAGGCCTAAGAAATACCCGGCTATCGATAACCGGGTATTCATTGTATAAGAGTTGGAGATAATTAAACATATAAAATGATCTGATTCCTAGTGAGCAATATCTAATTCAAATATTGTTCCTGTGAAGATAATAACCAACACCAGTTTCAAAGCATTATGAAGTAATGGTTTGACATATGTCACCTCACATTTTTAGCGAAAACAAAAGTTGCTTGTACTGTTACTGGGCAAATCTGCAAAAAAATGTACTTGCAAAATTAACCAGAAACTGCAAACAAAACAAAAAACAAAACTAAAAATTTTTACAAGTTAATTTTCATTCCTGTGAAAAGGTAGGCTTATCTCCTATTAGGGTAACAAAATAAAATAGGGGTAACCACTTTGACAAGAAGTGGATATACTAATGAAATATCACCTTAGATATACCTATCTATCCACAAGAAGTATAAAGTATAGACAGAAATGTTCGTAACCTCACAACGAAAAAAAAAAAAACACAATCGCTTACAACCCCATACCTAAACTTTGACAGATTTGAACGAGATAATTTTATTTTCTTTTTTTTTTTGTCTCCATTCAACCTATTTTTTTTTTTACAGCCAGCTTTTTACAAACTTAAACCTGTTTTGGGTTAAACGTGCTGGACTTTACGAAATTTACGTTGTTTGATGGTTTTAACATCACTTTGATATATATTCAATCCACCCCTCTTTGAATTTAACTGCTTATCGTTTAGATACGTTTTAGGGTCCTCCATTGCAATTACAATCACAATCAAGATGTGTGGATGGTTTGATGAATTGACTCCTGCACACAGCCATCTCCAAAAAGAAACAAAAAAACCGCAAATTAATTAAATTATAGATTAGCACCTGGTGCCGACTGGCCGACATAGGTTTACTAGAGAACTGTAAATTGGGATGAAAGATTCATGAATGTTTGGTTTTAAAGGATCTGGGTTTGAGCAATCGATATGGGGTAAGATCTATATTGTATGTTTTGTTTCCAAGGGGAATTTGGGCGTAGATTTATTTTTAGTTACACATACATGAAACATTACTGCGGTTTAAATTTTTTTTTTCTTTTTAAATTTTTTTTGTCTGTGTTGCTGATGCGGTGTTCTCCTATTGTTTACGGTTTACACTAATTTAATTTTCAACCGACGGTGCCAGGAAGTGGAGTTGGCCACAAATCAAAAGACACGACCAGATTTCTGCCCCTTTAACTTGTGGATCTAACCTTAGTCACCACTTTTCTTTCTTAATTCATCAAAACAGTTGTTACAATTTTATTGTTGACTATTTAAAGATTTTTGTCTGCTAGCAACCGTTGAGTTTATTTTTACAACCAAATCCTACTCACCCCCCCTCCCCTCCTTGTCCACGCTTACCTGCCACGGTTACATATTTTTGGATTTCCCACACATCATCAACCCCATCTTATCACTTGACACAGCACCATGCTTAAAGGATTAAGGAAGAAAGCGCTGATCTTGTCATTAGGTTCAGTGTCCCTGCTGACCAGTCTGTCCCCAGTTGCTAACGAAGCCAACTATGAAAAAGTCTTGACCCAGGTGCACGATTTTGAAATCGCCCTCAAGGCCATGGATTACCTCTTAGATGACCACACTGAACAAGGGATTGCTCTTTTAAATAAAGAAGCGGCCAAGACAACCTCGTCAGATCAACCACATGCTATTTTCCCGTTGGCCCTCGGTGTTATTGAGTTTATTGAAGCCACCCTTGGGTTTGAGCCTGAGGTTATGGCTAAGGCCCACAAGACATTGAGTGAAGCTGAAAACGCCAGTTTGAACAATAGTAAGTACAATATCAAGCATCAGATGGCCACTTCGAATATATACCCTCCAGGAACCGAGTTCCAGGTCACGTATGCTGAATCGACATTGTTGAATGCATTGTTGATGTTGTTAACCGAGAATAACGGTATTGTTGAAGGTGCCAAGGCATTGTACAAATTAAGAAGAGCATACCAGACCTTGGATGCAGTTTACAAGAGAATCAAGGATCTGGAACCGATCTTTAACAAGAATTTACAGAAATTGAAAAAGGAGGCTGCCAGCATTGCTGCCGCCAATTCCGTCGCGGGATCGAGAAATGGCAACGGTATCAATGGTTCGTTGGCGTCGTTGAACCGATCAATTAGTACTGTTGATTTGCCAGGATTCTCTAGTGCCAATTCGTCCTCAGCGAACTTGCCTCAAGATTTGAAATTGATCAAGGATTTAGAAAAGATCTACTCTATGAGAAAAGCCAGAGTCGAGGGGTCTAATTTACCTAATAATGGACAACAAATGAACTTGTTCCATGGTATTGGCAGCCTGGTATCTTCCGTCACATTAACCAAGGGTTGCGGTGATGTTTCCAAATTAACTACCCCGCCATCCACCTCCGCTTCTTCCGAAGTTGATGAGAATGACCAAGATGATGATGACGATGATGATGAATTCTCCGATGCATTAGAAGATGTGCCACCTTTGAATGGCATGGATAATCTGAACATTCTTGGATCCAGTGCCGAGTCATTTGTATCATCAATGGAAAGTTCCGATGTCATCAACGATCTGTCCGATACCCACATGCATGTCTCAACTGTTGACGAATTCATTCATTCCGGTGTGCAATTATGTTTTGGGATTTTGCAGGTTGTGCTATCATTGATCCCTCCAGCCATTGGTAAGGTGCTTTCCATCGTTGGGTTCAAAGGTGATCGAGACACCGGGTTGAAGTTGCTTTGGAGAACTGCCATCACTTGCAGAAACATCCATGGTGAATTAGCCTTGCTTTGTTTGTTAGTTTTTTATGATGGTCCTGTTCAATTTGTCGACGTTGGGTTTCAATTGCCTGGTAATGAAGACTCCAGTATCAAGAATGTTATCCCTCTCGATAATAAAGTGACCATTACCGATGCTGAATTAGAGACCATCTTGAAGAATCCTGCGTTATACACCAATCAAATCTTATTCAAAGCCAGAAAGTTCTTCCCCCATAATGCATTATGGCTCTTGCAAGAAGGAAGAATCTTGGCTGCGCAGGGACAAATCGCCAAGGCTACTGAATTAATGCAGAACTTCACCGATGATAAACTGAACAAGATCCAAATGCAGCAAGTTGAAGCATTGTTGATATTTGACCGTGCCATGGCATACATGTTCCAACACGAGTTCGACAACGCTGCCCGGGATATGATTTACCTTATTGAGATCAATTCCTGGTCTAAAGCTGTGTATTTGTTCATGGCTAGTGCCTGCTATTTGGAAAAGTATAGATTTATCAAAATGGGCATGATTGAAGTTGAAGATAAGGAAGCTGAAATGTTGAAATACTCCAAGTTGTTTGACAAGTACTTGGATTTAGCATTAAGTTATGTTCCTGGCCACGGTATCAACGCTGCCGCTAAAAAGGGTGGTATTGGAGGAAGCGGCAAGCAAATGCCATTTGACAAGTTCTTGCTCAGAAAACACAAGCATTTAGAAGCAAGAAAGAGACAGTATCCTAAATTAGCCAGTGTGGATTTAGTGGGTACTTCATTAGTTCACGAATTGGTATATTTCTGGAATGGGTACAATAGAATGTCGCAAACCAATTTGCAGGATGCATTAAAGGCATTAGGATACTCTGGTGCCATTGATGCCGAGTATTCCGCCAATACAGGAACTTCCAAATACTCGCTTGTTGAAGAAACTGAGGATGAAGCCATGATCAGATACTTTTTGCAAGCCATCTGTCTTAGACTGTTGGATAAACCCCAGGATGGATTAGCCCTTTTAGACAATCATGTACTTGCCAAGTACATTATTTCCGATACCCCACAATTCAAGTTCCAGAAAATGACATACAGTCCCTACCTTTATCCTACGGCGTTGTACGAAAAGACCATGTTTGTGTGGATATTACGCACCAAAGCATCGACCAAGAAGATCGATGTTACTGCAGCCGTGGCTGAAAGTAAGAGTTGGTTAAAGAAGGCCGAGTTGGTCGGTGAAGGTGACTACGAGTTGAGTAATAGAACTGGAATGAGAATTAAAGCAGCTGGTGATAGACTAGACCAATTGGGTACCAGTGTATAGACCATTATAGTATTATTATTATTATTATTATTATTATTATATTTACGAGAAAACGTAATCTAATTAAAGTATGTATCTACCATGATGTCGGCAACATTGAAGCGGAAGACGATGGTTATTAACCATCCAATTGCCAATAAGGGTAATATCCCGGCAATCACAATCAATTGGAGCAATTTGGCCGGTGAGGAAGTAACACCAAGGCCAGCCACGGAGTTCTTGGTCATGCTGAGGTTGGAAATGAATGGTAATGAATTGAATCCGTAGAATGTGACAATGAAGTAGTACCCGATACTCCCGAAGTATAAAGAGTTACCCAAAATCAAGGCAATGATAGACTGCTTGATTCTGATAATTGGCAATAATATAAATTGAACCACATATAGCAAACACCAAATTATTAAGAATGAATTACAATGAATATCAAAACAGAACCCCCATTCGATATAGTTGACATTGTATTGACTCATACCGAGTGACCCGGTATTAAACAACCTATTGGTGACAACCCATGTGACTGTAGCAATGATGATACCCGTCAAGTAAAAGTCGATAAACACCATATAGACTATCAACTTGAAGATATCCACTACCGAAGGCGAATACGCTAACCCCCAGGCCACGGCACTGATCGACAAGAACCCCGTTAGTAAAATCAAAAAAGATGGGTCATCCCTGGTATAGGATGACTTGTTACCCTGTTGTTGTTTGTAAAAGTAGTGGGACCGGTACATCTTTCGTGGGTTTATGATAAGGTGGAAAATCTCCCATATGGCCGTCTCGAAGTCTAAGGTTGCCGGCTTGAACAATCGCTTAGTCATGACTTTTATATTCTTGAAGTGGCTGCTTAAACCTGAAGTATGTGATGAGATGCCTAGTGTGGGCGTATAGTTCATACGTGGTGTAAATATTGAAGATGTTCCGGTTCCAGAGACTATGGAACCAGCGGTGGTGCTGCCACCGCCGCCGCCAAACCCAAACCTCAGGGTCGAAGGTGTCGCCACTGATTGTGGAAATAAGTCTTGGGTGGTGTATGGCAAATTGACTCTCTTGCTCATACTAGATTATATTGTAGTGAATGTTGCTTTAGTGATAAAGTTTATATTGGAAAAGTGTCAATGTACGTGTTTTATTCTCAAGAATCAAAAAAAAAAATGGTGGTCGGGATTTAAGGTTTGGTTCACGTGACTTGTCTATTTTTGATATATAGTAGTTGACCAAGTGGTTGGAATTGGCATATACAGACATAAAACAAAGTGAATTTGAAGATGCGGTGTTAGAGACAGTTGGGGAATTCCATAGGTGGTGGTTTTGTATTGTTGCAAGACTTGCTTGATATTTCGCATACTTTTTGCTAAAAATCTGTCGTAGTTTAAGTAGCGCAAACAAAATTTCGTACTAAAAATCATATACGGTGCCCATCTTCCCTAGCTATTTGAGTGTTATCTTGTTACATCACTACCGTAATGGCTTTCCCATCGTGTAGTTTGGTATACTATGTTAGCTGCAACTATGATGTCTCTGCGGCTCTGCCTAAAACTGAATCTACGGAGTTTGCTAACAGGCAAAAAAATAAAGTCTCATGATTACTGGCCTATTTATTCAGTGCCAAAATTTAAGTGACTCAATTTATATTCATTACTCAGCAGTAACTTCTATTATATAACACGCACATACCCATAAATACAGACTAAAACACACGCACCCACACAAACACACACATACAAGCAATGCAACACGCACCCGTACCCACAGAGAGTTCCTCCTCGATAACGCTAACTGAACTAGCCCGTCCTATACTACACTTGCACGCCGAAAACACTAGAGCCCAACCACCTCAAGTCACCTGGGACCAGCAAGTTGTCGACAATGAACATCTAAACAGAAAGAAAACCAAAATATGCTGCATATTCCACCCCACTCGAGAGTTTGGTGAAGACTCCAGTGATTCGTCTAGTGATTCATCCAGTGATTCTTCTGATGAGTCCGACTCAGGAATGCCTAATGGGTTTCCCAAGAGAGATGAACACAACAACAACGACAATAACAAGAACGACGACGATATAGAGAAGTCAGGAGATGAAGAAGAGTTGGAGATTTGTGCCCATCATTTAAAGAAATTACGCAAGAAAAAGAAGAAGGAAGCAAAAGCGAATGCATATGAGAAACAACCTCATTATAAAAACAAATCAAAACTACCCGAACAAAAAGAAACGGGAAAATAGTGTCTATAGTTATTTATTAATGAACATTACGAACGTCCGAATTTGACCGACTTGGCTAAATTAGACATATCCACAAGTTTATCCTGGTTGTAGATTCCCACTTCGGAACTAATGCTCTTGACATCATCGTTAGTTTTCTCTTCAATGGTTTCGTGATTTGTGTCGACAAAACAATTGTAATATTCATCATCCCATATCTTTTGTAAAAACATATCCTTATTCTCTAGCGTCACTTCATTATTCTTATTTTCCAGCCCCAACCCAAAGTTCTTTGCTCTATTTACAAACCCCAATACTCCCGTATCCGTCTTTACCATATGTTTCTTGCTTGACATGATCTCGTGCGAGGAAAACCGGAGTCTGATCGAAGTATACTGTGATAATATAGTTTCATTCTGGATCTTCAACTCATACGAAGACAATCCAGGTTTGCTGACTTCTTCATACTCATACAATTGCTTATAATCAAGTATCCTCTGTTGAGTTCTGTTCAACCCGATTACATCACTGTGATTGACATTTTTATCCACGAAATTGCCATGAAACTCGTTAATTTCATCAAGTATCTGAGCCAAACTGTCAGTGTTTACCGGTTGGAGTGCCGGTGGAGACTTCCACAGTTCGATAGTATACTGGGTGTCTGTGTTATTAGCACGGACCACTTCCTCTTCCAGGTCGCTTGAATCGGATGATTCTGATCGAGTATCAGATGCAGAACCCGATTGTGGATTCTTGAGTGATAACGGAACAAGTGAGCCCACACTGTTTTGCGCGCGAATGATTAGCTTACTCATCTTTTCATACAAACTTGTCCCTCTTGGTGCTTCTTCCGGGATCTCAATCTCCAGCGTTGGCGAAGGTTCCTCTAATGCTTTGAATAAATTATCAGTGCTGGAATTAGGAACATTCGAGTTCCAACTGTAATGAGGCAACTGTCTCGTATCATATCTGTCTTCAATCACAGAAAACACACTACTATCTCTAGGTATCATCATCTCCCTATCTGGCCCATGAAATGAGTTCCATTTCTTAACCTGGGGTCGGCTGCGTCTCTCTTCTTCCATGGGGATGTTCTTGTTAAACGTGTGTTCAGAGACTGATCGGCTTGACCGCACAGCGTGGTTCTGGTTGACGGAGTGGGTCCTCCGTACTTGTGGTCGTCTTGTTGATTCTGAGCGTGGTATGGCGGACGCATCGTTCATGCGTAATCTTGCATGGTGCGATTTCCGAGTCTGGGCCCGCCCGCGATCATCTTGGAATTGTAGCGTATAGTCGGAACGAGCTGATTTACTCCGTGGTATCTCTGGTAATCGTTGTATTCGCACCTGACTCATTTGTGTGATATATATATATATATCTATATGTATGTATGAACTTATGTATGGTTTGTTCTGGGTGTATATAATCTTATGAAAATAAAGGAAAAAAGGAATAAAACTAGTCAGGAATCGTAAAATATATACCTATTATATCTTTAGATCAACGAAATCTCAAATCTTACTGGGTTGTGTTTATCAATAAGACAATAAAGAAGTAATTTCTTTATCTAAAATTATTTCCATAACACAAAACCAGAAAATTTCATTAGCCTCATAAATGAAATCAAGCACAGACTAAAAGTTATGAACTAAAATTCATAAACTGAGCTTATAAACTAAGCATGGGGTATCGTATGATTCTATTACTATGACATAGATAGTGTGGTACAAAAGCTATATTACACCCGGGCTAGAGTTATAGATATATGTTAGGCTATAGATATGCTAGTTTTCTAGCTATGTCATCAAGCCTCATGACTTTCCAGTTTACGTCATCACCTACTGCAAATTTTTTTTTTATACTACAGTCTGCAAAGAACGTCATTCAGCTCCTTACGATATAACCGGGAATAATTTTATTTACAATTACATACCTTACTCAATATACTCCACCAAGGGGGATCCCATTAATAAACTAATTTATTAATTTACGCTTATCTCCACGTGACCTCCAGCCAATCAAATTTCGTTATCAAACCAAAGAAGGCCATCATCAAGATTGGCCCTGGCACCATTAATCAACATATTTTTCCTCGAATTAACCAATTCACTTAAGTTCCTCAACTTGGTCTTATTCTTCAAAATCATCCCCACTTTATCGGGATTCTTTTTACTCATAATTTGTTCAAACACCTCGGACAAATCCTCTACAGTTTTATTAAGAAAATCCTGGTTCCCTTCAAATATAGTTGCAAAATTTGATTTCCCCAAATAGTATGCAAAACAATAGGTCCACTTCAACGCCTTTCTCCCATTCTGAAGTGCTCGCATAGCCGTGGGCAAAAACTGGATATCATTCCACGACAAGTTCTTCTTCCCTTGGTCCCGCAAATCCTCCATGTATAATCGTGTGTATGTATCAATCTGGGCCATGGTTTTCAAATCCCCCTTCATCGAGTTTTCATGAATGGCAAATCTCTTATAGAAATGTAAGTACCTCTCCAAACTCTGTTTACTTCGGTTCTTTCGTTGTTCATCTTCTTGTCTTTCGTTTCGGTATTTATTACAAGAATAATAATCATTACGATGCTTCTTCCAATCTTCAAAACAAATCCAACAAAACTCAAACTTGCACTTTTTACATGTCATGTGGTTACATCCACCATTCTTTTCAATCGCCGATTGACACTGGGGACATCCGTGTGTATTTGCATCTATCCAATTAGCCGTCTCAGAATCGTCATTACATTTTTTAATCCACTTTTTAACAATCCAACAGGGACAGGGCAAGTGATTTTCATAATTGCAATCAAAGCAAAATTCGTGATTTTCCGAACACGTCACTATAGGAACTTTGGAAATATCAACTGATTCCTTTGCACTGCTTAGACTTTCGACAGAGTCATTGACATTGCCCACCAACTCAGCAAACCCGTTACAATCAGTAGCGGGACACCACTTGTATTTCCGTTTCGAATTTATCATTGCCTTGGTGTTCGCTACCAACAACGGATTCTCTACCATGCTTTTAATTGTTGTAACCCCACCATGGTTCGTCTTATTCACAATGTCAAAAATATCAGTCACATCCCGATATGGAATGGTATACTTGCAATCAGGTTCAATACACGTTATAGGCCCTCCATTGGCAAGCTCATTGGAAATGTACAGATAGTAGCAATTTATGCAATAGGTATGACCACAAGTCAACGAATAAACATATGTTTCCGAGTAGTCTTCACAACAAACAAAACATGAGTAGTTCTTTATCTTCTTCAATGTGTTCCTCATAGGAACACCAACGGGCAACCCACACGCTTCATACAACTTATCACGATTGTCAAAATAATCATTCAAGACTTCGTCCTCTTGCCATCCTTTCACTTGCAACATGATCAATAATTCATCAATCGAACAAGCAGTCAACGTCCCATTAGCCAACTTGTCAAGCTTGGCAAGGAGTTTGTTCTCGATAAACTGCTCCACATTCCAGGGATAGTACAACGTCCCATTGGCACCGACATTAGCCAACGTGTCCAGAATTTTCGTCTGCGGCGTATCGGAATTCTCGCCATCAACGTCAAACATAACATCGTCTTCGCCATCGCTGCTGAAGCAAAAGGACGACTCGTCCAAGTCATCTTCCTGGTCGTACTCGTATTCAAAGAAGATATCCAGATCGTCGTCGGACATGTCTATTCTCTTATATTAAAACTCAACGGTTGATTTATCCTTCTAGGGTAGGAAAAAGGTGTTTTAAAGAGAGAGTTGATCTAATTTAAACAAAGTTCGCGCCTCCTTATCGCGCTGTAGTTGCCTTAACAGTTTGTGTGTTTTTTTTTTTTCTGTTGACTCACCAGAAGGTTTAACACAAGCAGAAAAGGTTAATAATTTTTTTTTGTTATGGTAAACTGTATATCTATGAACTATGTATAAACTTTTGCAAAATGCGAATTTCTTGAGATTTCATCGAATCAATCAATTGTTCATGTTTACTCAAAGTTAGGGCGGGGTAACGGTCAATTCTCGCTTGACACCAAGCGCTTACTCGTTTATTGTATGTTGCCAATTCTTGGGGACTATGAGTCAAGAGGAGCTTCTTGATTCTCGGAATCAATTTCCGTTCTTTTGTGGTTGACAAGAGTTTATATTTGAAATGAACATATTTCAATTCAAGGAGTTTTAAAATGGCGTATGTTTGAGGTGTGCATTCACCATTGAAGTTGATGCGAATACTTAATGGCCATGATTCGGGGAATTCTTGAGGTTGGCAACAATCGTCTTGACAGTCATCTTCACATTCATCATCGTGATCGTGATCGTGACCATGACCATGACCATGACCATGTTCGTGCTCATGCTCTCTATCATGATCACCTGCAAGGATCTGATTAATGAGATCATACCCCAACTTCTCCAACCACTCGATCTTCTCTTCAATTTCTCTCCGCTTTTCAGTATTTAGCTTTTCCTTTAAACTTTTAATCTGTTTAAAGAATTGCACAGAGAGTATACAACTGTCGTTGACATTCTCCTTGCTTATAAATCCATACTTTTGCAACAAGTACGCATTGGAGAGTTCATTTCCATAAGAATTGAATAATTCTGTAGATGCCTCAGGACGACGCACCAATACAACATCACAACATTTGGATGCGTCAGAAAGTTCTTGGGCCAAATCGGCCATTCTTCCATTGTCTACTTGGATTTCTTCATCAGATACAGTGGACACTTCTTCCGGGTCAAGGTCGGTGTCTACTTCATTAAATAGTTCTTCTTCAAGTTCGTAAATATGTTCCATCGTAAGTTCTTTGATTGGTTCTTCTTCTTCTTCTTCTTCTTCTTCTTCTTCTTCTTCTTCTTCTTCTTCTTCTTCTTCTTCTTCTTCTTCCTCTTCTTCTTCTTCCGAATGAGCCAAGTGTTCTTCCCCGTTATCAGAATCATCTTCCGCTGACTCTTCACTAGACAACTCACCTTCACCAGCTGAACTATCTTGGACATCGCCATTCTCGTATTCCATATCCTCTTCCATGTCATTATTCTCAATATCCTCGTCATCACTATCCTCATGATCACATGCCAGCTCCCCACAAATCCCACAAACACTCTCATCGCAGACAAAATGAATATCCTCTCTCCCCTTGACTTTACCATTCACCAATTCCGGTTCAATATGATTGAAAATATCCGCAGCAGGAACCAAAGCCAATCCATAATAATTATCAACTTCAAACGCCCGCGAAATGGCAGTCTGAAGGAATTTCCCAAATAATACCAACTTGTCCTTGTGCTTTTCGAGAATATCCACATGTGAAAAGTGCTCAGTAGGAATATCCAACACTTGAGGAATAACAACGAACGTCTTGTTAACATCGGCAAAATGCAATACTTCAATGTAAAAATCAATCAACTCCTTAGGATCTAACATATTCAAAAGATCAACTTCGGTATTGGCTAAATTGGCCTTATCAGCTTCATCCCAAAGACAAATCGGTATTTCTGACAGTTTAATATCCATAGATTCAATATACTCGAACCAGGGTGAATTATGCTTGATTGAATGCTCATAGATGAAACTCACAACTAATGCGTACACACCTTCGGAAATTACTAGTTCAGGATTGACAGGCTCGTATTCTTCAAGCAAGTTATATATGAATGAGTTCTTGGGTGCCAACAAGTTGGTCTTAGGTATTCTAAGAAGTAATGGATCAAACTCTTCTTCGGGCTGTTCCAGGTAAAACACACCTAATCCGCCATACTGTGACTCTTTTATAATGAGATCTTCTCTCCAATGGGAATTGGTATCTAACCATTCCACAAGAGAATCTACTTTGGTAGCTAAAGTTGAGGACATTGTAGTATAATAGTGACACTTGCAAGATGTTTACCCATCTCATATTTCAAATATAATATGCAGTCTTGCTGCAGATCTCTGCTGCCCTTACCAGTAACAATCCGGGTAACGACATCACTGTTGAAAATTTTTTTCGGCTGGTGGCCACCATGCAGTACCACCTGATTACTATAAATACCAGGCATTCCCCTAGTCTCCCTTTTTCTGAACCCCAATCATCAGTAGTGGTTATACTATATCTATATATATATATAACTTCTATTTTTATAAAGGCTTACTAATAGGCATGATTGTATAGCGTGGATGTATACGGTCATTGTTTTATTATTCAATTCACCCAATAGCTAAGTATTATGATTGACCTTACTAACAATAGGGCCACAGTCAATACTTCGTTTCGGTCTTTTAGATTATTACATTTGTTTACGGCATTTACATGTGTTTTTGAACAAGTTCTGATGATTTACGGTGCTGTCTTTACGATGGCATGATGATTATTCAGATGAAAGCATGGTGCTACATATTACTCAGTTCTCAAACGAGCTGCGATGTAGAAATCTTCGTTCTATTTACTCTGTTTCTGTGATCAGCGTTTAATGAAATCTGCTAACACTTTCGTTTCAGATTCCCTTTACACTATATCAACTCTATGTTTAAACCCCATATTGGTGCTATAACCTGCCAATATGTTTCCAATATGGTCGTGCACAGGTCTCGAAAAAAAAGTAAGAGGAAAATTTTGCCTACGTGAAAATTCATCACCTTAAACAGAAACTAGACATTGTGCCTATCACTTGATCACCCCATAGCATAACCCTATTTATTTTAACATACGAGAATGGCCCACAGATTAATAGTGAACGTCATCATGACCGGTGCATCCGTGTTTGGACGTGCCTTCACAGAAGCATACAAGCAGGCGGCTAAGGCCTCTGCTGCCGGTGCTGCCGCGGGAGGACCAGCCAAGGCCAGCTCTGCCGGTGGGATCTCCGTAGAGGAATCGATGAAGATCTTGAATGTCGAACCAGCTGAGTTGTCCTTGGATAAAGTAGAGGAAAAGTATAATTATTTATTCGACGTCAACTCCAAGGAGAAGGGGAACTCGTTCTACTTGCAAAGTAAAGTATACTATGCCATGGATGCATTAAAGAAAGAACTAGAGTACTTGGAGAAGAAGAAGGCGGCGTCGTCGTCGGCGAGTGAATGAGGAATGAGGCGTGAGGCGGTCTAGATGATACATTAGCATAGTTGGTTCGGTTAAAGTAAGGTGATTAAAGCAGATGACGAGCGTGTATGCATGTGAGGCAAAACCACCATTGTATTACTATGTTGTGTTGGTGATGTTTATTTTCTGGAGAATCTCAACATAGTTGTGCATACCTTTGTTTCGTTTTGCTGTCAGTTGACAATGCGTTGACAATGGCGTGGAGTAAATAAATCATGATATTTGTATATAGAAATTGATGTGAACGATATAGATGAAATGTGTAGGTTTACTTCGTAAACTGGTGTTCAAGTCAAACGACCACACTTTTGCTAAACAATGTTTCACATATTTGCTCGTAGCCGCTCGCAGGTATCTGCTCGTACAGCATTAAACGACCGTTTAGGTGAAACGAACCCAAAAAAAAAAAACGAAAACTAATATGGAGAAAAAAAAAAGATGACAGCGACTTTCCTACCCTAAAAATAAACAAACCAAGACAGTGTGAAATTTCTTTCTTGCGTAAATTTTCTTAGGTCGATATTCCTTTAAAAGTCATAAGAACTGTTTTTGATCTGACCCGTTTATTATTACAGTGTTGAATTACACTAGTACACGAGGATTATTTCAACAGGTTAAGATGACTAATAAAGAGGAAGAGCAGCTTCTCCAGGATGCATCAACCTTGCTCATGTTTGCCAATGTAGCAGCAAAACAGCAAAATCAACACACGATACGACAAGTGTCACCACCACCACAGGCATCATATCCGCAGCAACAACAGCAACTTCAACAACAACAACAACAACAACAACCCCAACCCCAACCCCAACCAGTTCAATCTCAACAAAAGCAGCCACAACAGAGCCCCATGGCTACATTCTCCGAACCAGTTCCAGCTTCAGCCCACTATCCACAACAACCACAACAACAGCCTGTTCGCCCACATATACGAGAGTCACCACCATCTCAGCATAACCAGTTTCCCCTCCCGCAGTATACTTTCCCAGTGATGTATGCTGGTCCGCGACCTCCATACAGTTTGCCACAGCCACAACAACTGCAAATTGCACAGCCTCCAATACAAATTCTCCAACCCCAAAAACCACCCACACAAGATGCTGCAGTAAGAAAACATTCTCATCCTGAACAAACGATTCATGATGTCACTCCCAGACAACCACATCGAAGCTCCATAAGTATATTGATGAATACCCCTGAACCAAATACTGAAGTGAAACAACAAGTTCCTCCACAAACACAACCACAAGTTCAAACCAATGCCCCAGGTTTATCACAAACCGAGCAGAAGCAACCACCACAAATGCAACCGTTCACCCATATCAAATCCAAATCACAATCACCCATGAGCCAAGTGAATCAAAATACGCCCGCGCCCACCAGCGCAGCTTCACGCAAGTCAGTGTCCCCTCCTTCTAAATTGCCCAAACAAGGAAATTTCAAACCGACACATGAACGATCTCGATCCACGCCTGAATCCAATGCCACTATAAAGTTCCGTCATTTACAAGTATCCCCCACTGGCAATAAATTTGCCCGCGGCATAGATTTGGAAACTGGCGAACGAAACACCACTAATGCCGTGATTGCTGCTGCGGCATTGACTGCTGCTGCTGACGTCCCGCTTCCTTTGAAACACGGTGATGGGAAACGCAATAGTCTGAGTGCATCTTCTTCGCCAATTTTGGCTACTTCCAAGGCCACGGTGGTAAAGCTTGAAGCTCTACCCAGTGAGAAAAAGGAGGAAGATCAATTGACTGAACCCGAGCCTGAAACTGAAAAAACTGACGATGAGAAAACCGAGGATGAAACTGCAGCTAAACTAAGCAAGGGTTCTTCATCTTCACCTCCAGCACAACAAAAAATTAAAGATGAAAATACAGTCTCGCCAGCAACGAAATTCCAAGCACCACCATTGTCAACATACCAAGTCGACCCCGATTCTGGATTGATTGGATGTATTTGTGGAATTGAAGATGATGATGGATTCACTATCCAATGTGACGTGTGTTATAGATGGCAACATTGTCTATGCATGGGGTTCCAATCAGCTGACGAAGTTCCTGAAGACGAGTACAAGTGTTACTATTGTGATGAGCTGACCTGGGGTAAATTTGACCCTGAACTTTGTCGTCAACAAACTTTGGCTCGTTTACAAAATGAACGGATGACTTCGTCGTCGCAAGATCGGTCTGAATACTCGAATAATAACGTGGCTCCACAGCAAACTGAGCAGAATAATGCTCCACCTAGTAACAAACGAAGACAGTCTGGACCCGAGAAACAGGCGGAAAAGAAGAAGAAACTCGACGAAAAGAAGGATACGGCACCAGGTACGACCACAGCCCAACAAGCTAAGTCGCCAAGTCAACCCCTCGAACAATCCCATGAAGATGAAACACTACCCAACAAAGACAATGAGTTATTAGAGGATGGAATCACGGCGGAATCATACCAGTCGGTATATTACAAGCTCAAGCAGAATGACTATAAGAAACAATCGATTAAGGAGTTTATTGAGCATGTGGGACACGAGTTTTACCAAGGGTATTTAAGTTTACCTAAAGCTGATCAACAAAAGAAGGTAGTGAACAATGTAGAAATCATGACGTTTAACCAATTCAAGGCATTGAAAATGAGCAAGGTTCACCTCCCTAACCATCGCAAGTATCTTCAAGAACATCATAAATTTTCCAAGAAAAAGAATTTTAACAAGACTACTATCCAAGTGAAGCCATATTCTGATAATCAAAAACAGAAATTCAATGGTATTTCAAGATTGTCGTTGTTTATTAGTGGTAGCAACGGCGGTTCCTCTCCTGTCAATGGTGCCAGTGAAGCAATTGTGATTCCGGAAAATACCCCTGTTATTGAATACTTGGGAGAAATTGATTTATTTAAGAATTACAGAAACGATTCCACTAATCAATATACTAGTTGGGGTACTACAAAACCTAAAGTGTTGAAGACAGCAATTCCTAGCAAAGATGGTGAAGTTAGTCTTGTCTTGGATTCACGGTTTGTTGGTAATGAAAGTCGATTTATTCGAAAATCATGTCCTTCTTCAGCCAACTGTCGGATTCAACCTGTGTACATCCCTGAGAAGAACACGTTTAAGTTCATGGTGCTCACTTCTAAACCAATAACATTAAAGGCTGAAAGTCATGATGAAGAATTACGATTGCCCTGGGAATGGGATGTTGAACATCCAATTTTGAAATTGTATGAGAATAACCACAGTGAAAAATTTGAAAATTTAACCAATGTGGAAAAATCAGCCTTGATCACTTATATTGACAACATTCTTAACTTTGTCGAGTGTGGTTGTTCATCTTCAAATAATCTTTCCACATGTGCCATATTCAAAATCAAAAAGGCCACTTCTTATTTGTTAAGATCTACCAGGAAGGCAAATTCAATCAGCAATGTGAATTTAATGAAGTCGAAGGATGAGTTGATTTTACCTCGTCCTTCAAAAGAATATATCTCATGGGAAGAGCGGTTGATTAAACGGGATTTAGAATTACAATCGAAATTCTTAGGCGCTTCTGCTGAGTTATTGGATCAGACATTAGTGAATAACATAGAAGAGCAGGAAAGTGCTGTTGACAAACCACCAATGTTGTTCAAGATTCCTTTCAAGCAACAGTTGATTACTAGAATCAAGGTTCTGCCTGAGGAATTAGCTCCGGAAGCAGATCCAGATGCTATGAAAGAAGATCAAGAAGAGCATGAAGAATCGAATGAAGATATTCCATTTCCTGTGGTACCTGATTTGGTTATAAGTATAGACAGAACCATTGAAGAGAACTTGAAACCAATCGTGAAAGAAGTGGAAACCAAGGCATTGCAACCATTGGTTGATGAACCTGATTTGTTGGATACAAAGAGTGAAGTTGAAATTATACAAAAGGTTGTGGCAGCAACTGTTAATCCAGTTGCTGAGCCTGTTCCGGAAGTTGTGGTGAGCAAGAAAATAGCCGAGTTGAAGGAGACAGTGGCACCTACTGCCCCTAAGGTTGTTAAAAAGTTATCATTTGCGGATTATAAAAAGAAGATGAAGTAGAGTGATGTAAGTATTTTTATTTAGTTTGTTATTTCTTATCATGTATTATAAATATAGAAAATTATGTAAACAATGTTAAAAGTTAGACAATCCAGTAGCCTAACGCCTCAATGAAGAGCTAAAACTACTAGGAGTAAATTAATTAAAATTAGTTTCCCGTTCATTAAATATATATAAAAATAAAACAAAAAATAGAAATACAACCCCCAATAAAGTAATATATAAAAAAAATAGAAAGGTACCCGTCATCAAAGCCAATTACCCGTAAACAAATACTTGCAACCAACTCTAACAACTAGAAATGACTCGACTTAAAAAATTACAAAAAAAATTATTAAAAAGTTCTTAATCTAGAGTAAACGTTCGAAAATTCAATTGGCAAAACACTTATTTATATGTGTGTGTGTGTGTGTGAAAATAATAAGTGAATCCCCAACATAAGTTTTCAGAACTTACTTTGGATCAAGGAACTGTTTGGTATCCTCAGCATTAACTTCAGTTTCGGCGACCTCAGCACCAAACTTTTGTTGTTTGACTTGGTGGAACAATTCTTCCTTTTCAACAGCGGTTAATTCAGACTTCTTCTTTCCCTTAATGTGGTATAATGGGTTTAATTGACGTAAGGTCAAGTTCTTGCAGAATGGCAAGTGACCAGTTCTTTCTTCGAAAAGCATTAAAAGAATAACGGAGATCATGAAAAGCCAGTAAATATTGTAGGAGATAACGGAACCATAAGTGGCAGAATTTTGCCATCCCAACAAAGCATTGAAAATATCCCAACCGTGGTTAATTTCTGGGTTACAACAGTTAACGTGCCAGACAGATTTAGCAATATCATAAGAACCTGGACCGGAACCGTTTTCAGAAGCATCACCACCAGTCTTCCTGTTGAAACTATTGGTTTCAAAACTCCAGACACCTCTAGAGAATAAACCGGCAGCAATCAAGTATAAGATACAAGTGGAAATGATCAAGAAGATTTGCATGGAAGCGTTGGTACCAAAGTAATACAATAAACCACCAACGAAGACACCGGCAATCAAACCAACAACAACTGGAAGAGGGAAAGAGGAAGCTGGTTGATTCAAGGAGACACCCCCAACGAAGACAACAGCTTCTAAACCTTCTCTTAAAGTGGTAATGAATGGTAAGATAAACATGGCGTACTTCTTGGCCCAGTGACCAATACGGAACTTACCCATCTTACCATCCTTTGGATCCTTGACTAAGGCTTGAGCCAACTTAATTCTCCACTTTTCCTTCATCTTGTTGATTCTTAACATTGGCATACCCATTAAAGAAATAATGACAGCCGCAATAATACAGAAAATACCTTCCCATAAATCTTCCGATTTACCCCAGATATCTTTACCTAAACCGTAGAAAGCACCAATGAAACCACCACCGATAATCAAACAAATGAGCACCCCAGATAGCGCCCCAAACCAGACTTGTCTCACCAATTGTTTATAAACCTTTGGGTCTTGACTTGCACCACCTAAACCTTGCTTCAAGAATGCCAAAAGAACCGAAACCACAATAATGGCTTCTAATGATTCTCTAAACACAATGAAGAAAACTTGCACGTTAAATACGTTAGCCATTTTTCTATTCTTCCTTGTGGCCTGTTAAAATTAATTTGTTAATCTTTCTTGTCGGAGTCGAAGAGAGAAAAAAAATAGAAAGGGGAAATTAATTTGGGTAAAGGTTAAATATAACTTTTTCCTTACCTTGGCGTTGTAGTAGAGATTAGATCTAAAGAGAGAGGAAAAATATAATTGTGAAAAAAAAAACTTTTTCTGAAGGAGATTGGCATCATTTATACACTGGGAATGAAGGGGGGGGGTGAAAGAAAAAGTTTTTGGGATTGAGAAAAAGTTTATTTTTTGCGCATGCCAAGAAAAAATAATTAGTATATGAAGGTTTAGCCTGACCATTAAATTTTTATCTTCTTGATAATTTTTTTTTTTCAAATTTTAAGCCTTCAATTGAAGTAATTTGATTTCAAATCTCAAGGTTGCTAATATGTAGAGTGTAGATAAAAAGCACTATGGTCTAACTGATATTATAACAATGCTGAAAACAAAGATGTGAATCCAACTTAATAACCGGAAATTGATTTTTCTGATGGAAAAGATAATTTTGATCATTTTTTTTCCACAAAACCGCATAACAGTCTAACATGTAAATCTGGAACAACGAATGATTTTTCCCGCATGGCCAATTACATCAAAGCTTGTAACTAAAAAATACCGGTAACCTGTAAAATCACAGTATCTTTCCCATCTAAAAAATATTTATTGTTCTTAATCCGTGTACGTTTTAAGTTTGTTCGCACCCGGTAATTGGCTGAAATTTATTCTGCTTACGAAAAATATTTTGAACAAAGTCACCCGATGAGGTAAGGGCCCCAGCCTTTCCGCGGTAGCATGATTCATGTGTAAACATAAATCTATTGCTCGTCGCGTATCTTTCACTTTAAATTACAAGCTCAATATCTCCTTGTACCTCTGTGAAAAAATGGACTTGTTTTAAGCATAGATAAACTAATGAGGTTAAGCATCAAGCTAAGAAATTAAATCGCTTGTCCTCGTACTATTCGTCAATTTCTTGGCTCATGAAACGGCTACTAATAAAACAATTATTTTATTACATACAAATAACTATACAGATCCCGGTTTCGGAATTTTGCTTCGTTTTTTAAACTTCTATTTCTTCTTGGATAGTTTCAGGTTGCTGCTCGTCAGCTATTGTAGCCAACTCGGATTCTGGTTCCGGTTGCAATTGCTGCTTCTCTTTTATTTTCGCAATATGTTCATCTTGTCTGGTTATAATTGTACCGAATATTCCTCCCAACTTATCAGCATTCAATCTTATTCTTGAATATATGTCATCATGCAATAACAGAAGATTAACCAAAGATATCAACTTGAGTGAATATACAGATAATTCTTTTTCATAGAGCCATGCTCGTTCGGCATTCTGAGCCGTCGAAGGTCGAGAACTACCTTCACTTTCAAGTGCAGCATTCTCTTCATCAAAAATACTAACTTCAATTTCCAGAGGCGGTAATTCGAGGTAATCGTCGTAGTTCACATCTTCTTCGTCGCCTCTATCCAAATCAACGTTCAATTCATGTGCTAATCTGACTTCTTTAATCAAGAACAACTCCAATAATTCATTTTGTAAATCTCGTCTAATCATTAAAAGTTGAAGGTTACTGCTGTAAAACGATTGAAAATTCTCAAATTGATTATCCTGATTGAATTTCACATAGAAAATTCTAAAGAAAGTTAATAAATCAACGTATTTGATGGCCAATAATGTCTTCAAGTCAACCAAATTCACATCCTTGCATTCATAAATCAATCTAATCATTTGATTAACCATATCAATAATACTATCAAATTCAGCTTCAATATCTTTATGATGTTGATGTTCACTTGGCAACTCCATCAACTTTTCAAATTTCCATGACAATACAATCAATAACAAATCAATCAATTTTTGCATGCTCTGGATGAAATCAGGCAATTTTTGCAAAAAGTTATACTTCCATTCTGCCATGATGATAGCAAGATCTAACTTGCGCAAAACCTTCTTGACTAGTGTTTCATTCAAATCTTCAATTCTTTCTAAATTGGAGATATTAATATGATCACCTAGCTGTCTAAGCTTCATCAAGGCTGGAGATATAATTGAAATCTTTCGAATCAACAGTCTCTGAATGGTAAGTTCTGAATTATCATCTACAAATGAAAGATCTTCCTCTTGTTCGGTGATGGCGTCATTAATTTCCGCCACTAACTCCAGCAAGATGCTTTGAACGTAAGATCTATTGGCAGAAGTTAACGCATTGGATTCGAATAACTTTTGGAAATAAGCATCAAATTCTTCAACTAAATCAGCTTCTTTATAGAATTTCAAAATTGACTCAGTTGAATCATCATACACATCTGTTCTATCCAATTTTGTAAACAAATTGAATATGTTAATGGCATCCTTTGGTTCTGAAATCAAACCAGTCCAAATAGATAAAAATACAGAAAACAATGCAGGCACTTTGATCAGTTTTGATTGCAAGTTGGGCAAATAATCAACCAACCTAACCAACAAATTAGAAGTTTCTTCTTCATCCTTTGGTGATTTTACGGCAGCAGTCATGTGAACCAATGCACCTTGAACAAATTTCAACAAGTAAACTCTGTCAGAATCGGACAAGTCAATGAATTGTCTAAACTCCTCTATTTCCTCGTTATCAACTTCTTCCTGTTCAGTATCCTCCTCTTTTGTCTTAGACTTGAATTTAACCAGTGATATATCCACAAGGAAATATTTGATCAAGAATTCCCAGCATTCGGCATAATACGGGATATGGCACAATGCACTATACAAACCAGCAATATCGCCATCAATTGAAGATGTTAATTCAATTAATCCCTTTATTTTCAAACAGTCTTCCAATTGATCTTCAAATTGGTCCGACTGGTACGTTTCCAAGAAAAGATTATACTTTTCCTGTAAATCTTGTAAACTCTTTTCATTCAAAGAATGGATAAACTTGGCATATTCATGTTGCAACTTTGGTAAATGAGCCTTTGATACTTTATCGAATTTATAAGTCTTTATTATTTCTGTAACATCTTCATCTTCCAAAAATCCTAACCTGAACAATTCGGAACAAATACCAAGGGAATAAGTTCGAACTTGAGCATCCAGATCAATTTTACTCATTTTAATTAATTGCAATTTAAACTTCTCGGTAAAGAGTCTTAAAATCGGGGTACTATCGGAAAATGTTAAGTTCTTGTATAATTTCAATAAAACTCGGCAATTTTCAGTCCTGACTGAACCAACTGGGTCTGATAACAACCATCCAAAATATTTCAAATAGGTATCTTTGCAAAAATGTTCCGGGTAAATTGACATACATTCACTCAAATGTTTTAAGCACAACAATCTAATTTGTGGATCAGGATCTCTATATCTAATCAGAACCACGATTCTTCCAATGTCATCAAAATATTCAGTTATGGTATTCTTTTGGTTTTCATAATTACTGACAGTTCTGCTAACTGTGGCTTGCTTGGACTTGTTCTTGATCTTGGTCAATTGTTTCTTTTGCTTGTCAAGGTTTGAATTGACATTCTTGATGATTCGACACAATTGGACTTGAATAGCAAATATAGTGTCTGTAGTTGTGAATCTAAGTGGTCTGATTTTACTTGTAGTTAAGGAAGTGATCCAAGTAAGAAGATATTGCATCAATGGAGATGCCATTGAGTCTTCCTCATTCTCGCGAGTAGCATCAGCATTATACAACAATCCTTTATCATGAGCGATTTGAATAACCTTTTCAAAAAATTCCAAAACATTGCTCTTGAATGTAGCAACAGCCTTGAACGGATATCTGTGGGCTGTTTGCTCTTCAAACGCCATTGTCATTTCAGCAACGGTCTGGGCACAAGATTCCAAGTTAACCAAGTCATGAGGTTGGAACAACAGAACGGAACCACAACTTCTCAATAAAAGATTTATCAACATAGTTATAGCTTCTTGAGTATCATTTTCTTGGTCTTCTTCATATGATTCAATCCATTCCATGGCGGTATCAGACACCTCCACATTGGCATGACTCAAAACCTGGTAAAGGTAGTTCTCTTCAAGCTCACTTTCTAAAGCTTCTAAGGATTTTCTAGACTGCTTCTTTTGTCTTTTCGTAGTTTTACCCTTTGGGCTTTTGGTTGTACGTTTTCTTGTTTTGGTAACAGGTTCTGGCTCTACTTCATAGTCACTTTCTTCGGCATTTGAAATATCAGATTCACTTTCACTGCTACTGACATCCTTATATGTCTTTGGATTACTTCTGCTACGTGTCAGTCTTCTGACCATTATGAATAATACTAGATTTCGGTGTGGCAAAGTCTATTCCTTGTGGTTGTAAAACCAAATCAAAAAAAGAAAAACAAGACGCGTCAACAAATAACTGGCAATGTCGTGTAGAGACATTTGTTGTACAGCGACATTTTATATTGTGGTTGTTTGAGTCGCACACGCAACAAAAGATTTTTTTTTTTTGCTTCGTTACTTCCAACAAAACTGCTGCTTATTTCAGCAACCAGTTTTGAAATCCACAACAACAAAAGCACCAATCCATCAGTTGAATCAATCCATAGTGAGAAATGTCTTCGATTGATCCAGAAAGCACCCCAGCTGTAGACACTCCCCCAAGAGCAGCCACTGAAGAGCCTGTCGCATCATCTGTGGATGAAGTCACCCCAGCTGCTTCTTCATTAGGTGGAGGTGAACAATCAATCAAAGATGGTGTCCAATTTAGACAAGAAGCTCCATCAGAAGAACCCAAAGTTGATATTGATGTTGAAAAATTGAAGGCGGAATTTCAGGAAAGGGCCAAGACTTATTTGGCTGAACAAACTTCCCATGTTGTCATTCCTTCGTTTGCCAAATGGTTTGATTTGAACACGGTCCATACCATTGAAAAGAAAGCATTCCCAGACTTTTTTAGCACTGATCCTAAGAACGTTTACAAGACCCCTCAATCCTACAAGTACATCCGTGATTTCCTTGTTAACACGTTTAGATTGAACCCAAAGGAGTATTTGACCATAACAGCTGCCCGCAGAAACTTGGCCGGCGATGTTACCAACATTATCAGAATTCACCAATTTTTAGAGAAATGGGGAATAATCAACTATCAAATTGATCCAAGATCTAAGCCAAGTATTGTTGGTCCTCAATATACTGGCCATTTCCAACTCACTTTAGATACACCACAAGGATTGGTTCCATACGTGCCGGAAAATGCTGTTCTTATAAAATCGGAACCTGAAGAAGGTGAAGTAACAAACAAAGAAATAGAAACATCAACTAAACCAGCTCAACCTTCTGAAGTTTCAATCAAGGATGAATTAGATTTGAATTTGGAAATCAGACGAAATGTATTTGGTACTGGTGAAAAGAAATCCAATTTCAAAACCAACAACCTTGTGCAATATGCTTGTAGTGTTTGTGGAAAGGATGCTACTGAGGTTAGATATCATAATTTGAAAATCAAAACCTACACTTACAATCCAAGTTCAACCATAAACAATGCTAGTATATTATGTACTCTCTGTTATGAGCAAGGATTATTCCCACTGAACTTCCAATCTTCCGATTTCATTCAATTGAAAAAGAACCAAGAAGCTGAAGAGTGGACTGAGCAAGAAATATTGTTATTATTGGAAGGAATTGAAATGTTTGGTAGTTTTGATTTACCCAATATAAATGGTAATATCCATGCCAATGCCAATTCCCAATGGGAAAAGATTAGCGAACATGTTGGTACTAAAACTAGAGAACAATGTATTATCAAATTTATTCAATTACCAATTGAAGACAAGTTTTTGACCAAATTAATCAAGGGTAATGACGAAGACAATGCTGATGATGTTACAACAAAAGAAACTTTGGTTCAAGAGGTTGTGCAAAAGTTAATTGAAACCAAACCAGGACAAGATTTACTTAAACATAATTCTAACCAAAATTTGCAAGAGTCCATTTTAGAAGAAGCAAATTTGATAAATCAAGTTATTGAATTAAGTTTAGAAAAATTCAATCTCAAATTAAATAAGCTTGACAAATTACAAGAAAGCTTGATCAATATAGAAAATCAATTAAACTTAGAAAGAAAACAAGTATTGATTGAAAGATGGGTGCAATTCCAAAAGATTCAAACTTTGAAACGAGAAAAGCCAGAATTGGCAGACATATTGGATGACTTGATCCAACCGGTCAGAGTCAATGAAATAAACAAATCTCTCAACCCAATCAAGAACAGCGAAAAGAATGATGATATGCAAATTGATCAAAATGAAACCAAAGAAAATGACGATGATAAGTTGCCAATAAGTGTTAGTCAACCAAAGACTTACCAATACTGGTCTGGTTAGATCTCTGTAATTTTATATAATTTTTTACAATTTTGTACATTAAATAAATTCATTATTCATTATAATAAATAAACTACTTTGCTCTCCCTCTTGAATTCAGACGGGAAATCTTTAAGTTTTCTAGTTTCTGATGCAGGGAAAGAGATTCGTTGCTTGGTTTGATGTCGGTGTTTGTGATTAATACAGGTATGGAACTTGGAATAAATTCAGCTCCCATGGTAGGAAATTGTTCAGTAGGGCTAATCACCTTGGCCTTCTGGTTAGGAATGGCATTTAATGTCACCTCGCTGCCATTTTTATTGGAGTAGAAGCCATCTTTGGAAGCCATTAACACATCGTCTGAATGAGATTTAATTGGTTTTGGACAAGCTCTATTTCTTGCCGCTTGCTTTAAATTCATGATTGAACTTGAAGAGATAACTTTTGGAATAGCAGCTATTCCATTGATTGTATTTTGAGGATTCAATGTACTGGTAGTAACTTTCATACCAGTGGATAATATATCTCTTATTTGCTTTGAAGGGTCCAAAACTTGGGAGGGACTCAAGCTTCGAACTGCCATTGCCCCTATTTGATTAAAGCCATCAATTGGTGTGTTTGGATAACTTGTTTTGGTACTAGATTGGCAACGTTTGTAACAATCAACAAATTTCTTTCGGTATTCACGAGAAGAATCTTGTCTAAACACACGTATCAAACCAAACTGATCGGTGGTGACAACTATATGACCCATACGTAAGTCAGGATCGTTTGTTTTATCCTTGTGTATTGTCTTACTTTCCCCTTCATGAATTGCACTTTCAAATTTACACCTGTCTCCTCGTTTTTCCAAGTCATAGATAATGTCATCCGAAGATTGCAAGATCTTTCTCGTATTTTCAGGAGCAAATATCGCAACATTACACTTGGAATGATGAGCATGGAAACAAGAATAACTGTTGTTTTCATTGGCGATGAATTCGTTCTTATCTTCATCTAAAAGTTTTCTTATATGGGCGGGGATTATCTTATTGATCTTGGTATGTAAATCAGTGGCATGCTGGGTGCGGTCGATCAAGTCTGCTAAAGACTGCTTCAATTTGTTATTTATGATACTGCTGTTGTTTTCCCAAATGTAGCAATAGTGGTCTTCAGAACCGGCAATAATATATTTACCATCTTCTGAACTTGATGCTTGGATCGATGAGGAATTGTTGGTTAAACCCTTGAATCTGGTGATTAACTTTTTCAGGGTGGTACTAATCATACGAACTTTGGAATCATTGGTAGTAATTAAAACTGCCCATTTATCAATCTCACTTACTTTAGGAAGTTGTCCCTCGATATAAAATGGGTTTACAAACACTTTGATCCCCGTTATTTTGTTACCAGTTTTCAGATGGAAGGCATTTACTAATGATCTTTCCTTGACTTCAAATCTTTTTAAGACAAACAATCCTTTTGTTTCCATTACGAAAACAGATCCATTAAATCCACCAACCACACATAGATTTCCATCGGGAGTAAATTCAAGCGCGGTAATCAATACATCCTCTCCTAAGTTCTTGGTATATGATATGGATTTCTCTAGAATAGACCAGAGTCTGACATGGTTATCTAAAGAACCACTTAAGAAAAACCGGTCGTCAAGGGGATGGAACTTGACTGAGGTTACAAAATCTTCATGTTGAAAAACTTGTAAACATTTAGGTCGATCTACATGCCAAAGTCTTACCGTTTTATCCATACTTCCGGAAATTAAAAAGTTATTTTTACTCCATGCCAAAGATAACACATTTTGGGTGTGTCCTTTAAAAATGCGAACCGGCAGTTGGTGGAAAACTGGGGCAGAGTGGAACACTGGGTCTCGTTTGTTACTTTGCGGAGGTACACCTTCCTGCTTCATTTTATGCGAATATTCAAGTCTCCCCAATGGAGACGAAATAACCTTCCAGATTTTAATGGCAGAATCTCTCCCCGCTGCTGCTAAATATTTCCCATCTTTACTAAATTCCATGACAAATATTTCATTATTCAGGCATTTCAATCCGTCATCCTCTTCCAGTAACTTCCCGTCAATTGATCCTAGTTCTTCATCCAGCACACTTCCCTCGCGTGATCGAGAACCTGGGTCGTGATGTTCCATATTTAATTCTTGGGCAAGAAATAAATTATTCAATACTCGCGGGCTCTGCTTGTGTCTTCGTGATACTTTGACGTATTTTGGGTTTATGAAGGATTCAAATGTTATTCCTGACCATGGTGGTTCCTCATCTTTTTCCTTCCAACCTTCAGGAAAGTATGTCTCTATATTTGGGAACTTGACTTGTTCACTGGCGAGGTGGTTATCGAATGTTAGACTTTGGGGAGGTTTTTGGAATGTGGGTACCCCAGTTGCAAAAGATTGATCAAATGATTCAACCAGAGATTCGTCAGTACTTACTATAGTACTTGATTCTAATTCATCTTCGTTATACAAACTAAACTCGTCATTGTCGACATAGCTGTTTCTGTTTAGAGTCAGGTTACTTCGGTTTCTGCCTCTGTTGGTAGACTTACTTCTTGCAACAACAAGTTTTCGGTCCTTGTTTGGCCTGTTGCTATCGCTCAGTTGTCGAGATAAACCTTTTGATCCATCTTTCTTGACGTTCTTTCGCTTTATTAACTTATTAAAGAATCCTCGTTTCGGAGGGGTAGGTGACGGAGAACGAGGTGGTGCTGTTACTTGTCCCGTGGCCATGGTTTTTTTTCTCTCTTCGCCTTAAATAATATTCCTCTTTGTCTAGTGATACTGGTTGGATTAGTAATAAAGATTAAGGTGAATTACGGATCACTTTAAGTATTATGGGCACTGCTGATGGAATTTCTAATGGATGACTAAGAATTAGCTTTTCTCGCAAGCCAAGTTTTTAATCCCGTCCCGTATTGTCTCTGGATTACCGTAATTGCCGCAGCGCATCCCACAGCAAAGAAAAATTCTGGCCCGTGACCGAACGGGACTCGGCTATCAGTAAATTGTCACTACAACTTAGAGGAATTCTTAGCAAAGATTAAGATTTGTTATATAATTATAAAACTAATATACATTGGTGATGATAAAGGAAAGTATATTCTAAGTGGTCTTCTTCTTTTTGGACCATTCCAATCTCAAAATCAAAGAATGGTAACCCTTACCATTGAACAAATCTAATGCCTTTTGAGCAATTTCTTCAGTGGCAAATGAAACGTATGCAAATCCTCTGGATTCTCCAGTTTCTCTATTTCTAACCACAGTGACTCTTTCTAATGGTCCGAATCTTGCAAACAATTCGTTTCTTAACATATCTTCATCAACAAATGTATTCAATTGAGAAACCTTCAAAGTAGTAGAATCGTCTCTGGCTTCTCTGGTAGGTATGTTACCGTTAGCATCAGCTCTCAAATGTCTTGGAACGTATCTACCACCAGTAGCAGTTTCAGCTGGTTGTTCGGTAGTCTCAGAAGAAGTAGTACCAGCAGCAGCACCCAAAGTATCCTTGAATGGACACTTGGAAGTATAATGGTCACCTCCACAAGTTCTACATTTAATAGTTTGAACAACGTGAGCTCTGGCTTGGGCCTTTTCGGAAGCTTCGTCCTTTTCAGCTTGTTTCCAGGCAAGACCTAACTTCAATTCAACCTTTTCACCAAGTTGGGTAGTACTGGTATCTGGACCTGGAGGGGAATTCTTTTCTTTACCGAATTTGTGCCAGTTCTTACGTTGAGCGATTAATGGATGGACTTTTTCCTGTACTTTGACTTCTCTTATCCTTTGAGTAACCTTGACCTTCTTACCATCTTGGTTTGTTCTGAAAGTGATGACGGTCTTGGTTCCATCTGGGTTTGTTATAACATCAGCTGGAGCAGAGTATTCATCTCCGGCATCTGCCCATGATTCTAAAACGGTAGCCATCTTGGTATGTTCTAGTATTTATGTGTGGATTAGTTGATCTGTTCTATTAAAACGCACTTAACTTTAGTTAATGTGCATGGAAAATTTTTTTGAACTCTTTGTAAAATTGGAAATGTGACACGACCAATTTTTTTTGGTTACAGCCCATTCAAAACTAGCCAACACATACTTATACTACAATAAACCACTAACAATTTAGTCCAGATTGCTGTTATGCTTTCAAGGATTGCTACTTTTAGATATAATGGCGGACCTAGTTTTAGGTATAGAAGAACAGCAAGTAGTTTTGAGCAAATTTGGTCATCAATTTTGACAAATTTTCATCTGTGTGGCCTGCTTGGAAATGTGTTCAGTACTTTACGACAACATCTATGCATAAACTCTATATCTAAGCTAAACTTAAAAGGTTATTAAGCTCTTCTGTTAATCCTTTTCTATATACTTGTTCATGTTCTCCAAAATTTTCAAATCTTACCGTAACTGGCTGACCTCTTGCAGTAAGATAATCAACAAACAACTGTGTTTGTCTACAAGATAAGAGTTCGTCTTGTAATGATTGAATGACAATAAATTGTGTTTTATCATGGACAAACTCAAATGGTAGGTTCTTGGCTATAGAAATCTGGGTGGCGTCTGCGATAGCAAGCTTGGAAACGAATGCTTCATTAACAAATACCGAATAGGAAGGATATTCCTTTAATAAGCTAACCACGTCGTAAATTCCATCAAGAAATACCAAATGATCGAACTTAATACCAACACTTTTAACTTCCTCCTGGTTCAGTTCCTGCAAATACAGTAACCCCCTTTGGATAATTTCTTTGCTATTAAGCAATTGAAGCATAAGAGTAGCACCTATGGAATGTCCCACAATCAGAGTCCGTTCAACCTTGTACACTTCTTCTATTTTTTTTAATGCTGACAAAACATCAATCAAATGCATTGGGTGCTTCACTTCAGGAGATAAACGATAGTTTATGCTAAAGAAATTGCAACTTTGCCCGATGCCAAGATTCAATTGTGCTTGTACAAGTTCTTGGAAATCATCAAATGTATTGTTTGGGTCTCTCCATCCACCTCCATGAAGATAAATTACGGTTTTTTCATTCTTCTTATCATAATTGAAAACCTTAACTTTTTGGAGACGATGTTCTCCATAGCTGATTATGAGGTTAGTTGCACTATTCAGCATATCAACTGCTCGTTTATTAAATTCAACTACTGTCTACAATTCCTCACAAATTTCAAATCTCTATATTGACATATGCGTTATATACAGGATCTATCAAAAACTCATTACCTCATAAAATCGTTAAACCCGAGACATTGTCTATTTGCCCCTTTCAAACTAATCATAACATCGTCATAAAGTCCATTATCAGTACAATACAAACTCGGTCTAGAAGTCTTCACTATTCCTCAGACATAGGGTACAATTTAGAACATGAATGAAGATATGCTAGGCAATGCTTCATTCTTTGCTTGCTTGGGTCAAAAAATAAATAAAACTCTTTAAAATGATCATTTAGTCAATCGATTCAAAACAATTCTTTGTCAATTGAATAATTTTTTTTTCCAAAACTTTACAATAATACATTTCTTCAAATAAAAAATACACTAAAACATAAAAAACTTGATTCGTTATAACAATAAGGTAATCACGCTCCCGTTGTTAATTTACTCTCCTTCTTCTTCTCCTCAACAATATATAGAAAATAATAACATCTTTTTGTTCAAATGGATTCATGTGATTTTCCCTTGGTTAATTTGCAACATCCTCTTAGAAACGAGTTGGAGATCTTTCACGAACATAAGAATCTCTTTCTTCTCTGCGGTAGTCTCCACGGTCATCACCTCTATCGTATCCACCACGACCACCTCTGAAGCCACCACGACCGCCTCTGAATCCACCATCATAACCACCACGACCACCTCTGAATCCACCACGGTCAAAACCACGGTCGTAACCACCACGGCCACCTCTGAATCCACCACGGTCAAAACCACGGTCGTAACCACCACGGCCACCTCTGAATCCACCACGGTCAAAACCACGGTCGTATCCGCCACGGCCACCTCTGAAGCCACCACGACCACCTCTGAATCCACCTCTTCTTGGTGGAGGTGGAATGAATGGAGAAGTATCTTCTTCGGCACCGATAACAACACCTCTGAATTCAGCCTTGTCCAATAATGGAATGGCCTTTTCCAATTCTTCAGCAGATGAGAATTCTAAAGCACCAACAATTTCATTAGTGTCGTAGTTTCTGAAAACCTTAACATAACTTGGTTCACTATCGGTTTTGTCTCTAACAAAATCCTTAATATCTTGCCATGCGGTACCATCTTCCAAGTTGGTAAGCTTAACACGGTATTTACCTCTGGTGTCTTCCTTTCTTTCCTTAGCGTATTCAACTAATAATCTTTGACCGTCAAATTCACTGTCGTTTAAAGTTTCAACGGCTCTGGTAGCATCTTCTTCATTATCAAATCTGACAAAGGCAAATCCTCTCATGAGTTGGACATCAACAACGTGACCAGCAGGGGCGAAATGTTCTTCTAATTGTTCTCTAGGAACATCAAAACCGATTGGTCTGACAAACAACTGAGTTGATACTTCTACAGCTGGAGCTGGAGCTGGGGCTTGTTCATCCATGATTGATTATATATATTTATATATTTTTGTGTTGAATATTACAAAAGAAACAGAAAAGAAAAAGTAGCTCTTCCCATTTCAAATTTGGAAAACTTTTCGTTCCTTTTATTTTATTTTTTTTTTTCCACATGTGGGTTTATTTGGATTTTGTGCACGACCTTTTTATCAGACATACCCCAGTACATAGATAATGCAAGCCACACCTCCTTTCACAGCAACAATGGTACTATAACAGAGAACTCCCCCCCCCCCTCCCCTTGAGTGTTGCGCATTCTACAAAATATTCTTTTCAATATATATATTAAAATCAACAAGTAAGATTAAAAGGGTTGAGAGTCAATAACTAAGATTAAATAAAACAAATAAAGTGAAGTAAACAATTTAAACTAATTGTGAAATGAACTATTCAAGCAGTGTCTGAAGTGCTGGTACAACTCAAACAAAAATTAGATTAAATGTAATGAGAAAATGTCTAATGCACAACTCTTTTCGCGAGTGTGTTATTCAGTGTTCTGTTCTGTTCTATTCACTAGGTTGCAAAATATGCCTTTATCAGTGAATGAATGGTGCAAAGATTAATCTTAAAATCTAAGAGAAGACCTTCTTTAAGAATCTTCTGAATCCCCCCTTCTTCTTTTCTTCTTTGGCAACTTCCTTCTTGGAAGCTTCATTGACAGCCTTCTTGGCAGTTGATTCAGCCTTTTTGGCTGCAGTTTCTGCAGTTTCCTTGGCACCTTCAGCGTCCTTGGCACCATTTACAACACCAGCCAACTTGGCCTTTTGTTCTTCAGTTGGTTCAACTTCTTCAAGAGTGTGACCGGCAGCAATAGCAGCAGCAATAGCATCCTTGTCACCTTCGGCAATTATGATTTCTTCTTCGTCTTCAACAGTCTTTGGTGCTTCGTCCTTGACAACTGGAGAAGCATCAACTTCTTTCCCTTCAGCTGGCTCAGTAGCCTTTGGGTCTAAAGTTTTGATTTGGTCACCAGCAGAGGCAACGGCACCAGAAGTTTCAGAAACAACAGCTTCCTTAACACCTTCTGGTTCAGCAGCCTTGACAGCAGCAGAAGTTTCAGAAACAACAGCTTCCTTGACTCCTTCTGGTTCAGCAGCCTTGACAGCAACAGAAGTTTCAGAAACAACAGCTTCCTTGATTCCTTCTGGTTCAGCAGCTTTGACAGCAGAAGTTTCGGAGATAACAGCATCCTTAACTCCTTCTGGTTCAGCAGCTTGGACAGCGGCAGAAGTTTCGGAAACGACGGCTTCCTTGACACCTTCCGGTTCAACGGCCTTAACAGTTGTAGAAGATTCAGAAACTACGGCATTCTTGGCTTCTTCAAATTTAGAAGCAGGTTCAGAAACAACAGCTTTGGCTTCTTGGGTAACTTGGTTAATTCCTGCTGGGACGGCAGCTTCAACTGGAGCAGCCAATGGTTCTGGAGTTTGTTCCTTTTCGGTGTCTTCTTCAGTTGAGGCTTCAGCACCACCTTCAGCAGCCTTCTTCTTCTTCTTGGCCTTGTATTGAGTTCTCTTAACCTTCTTCTTCAACTTCTTTCTTTCTTCTGCAGTCAATTCAGAAGTGGCTGGAGATTCTTCCTTGTTCAAAGTGGCTGGGTCAACATCTCTAACTTCGTTAAATGCAGCTAAAGCTTCTGGTTGTGTTGGAATTTGAATACCTGGTTCACCAGCAACAGAAACTTGCTTCAATTCTTCCTTTGGCAAAACGGTGGTAGATAATTCAGGTTGAGTGACAGATAAACCAGATTCAGGAATAATAGACTTGGCCTTGGTCAGAAGGGCCTTCAAGTCATCAACATCCAAGATATTGTTTTCAATTCCGGAGTCATCCTTGGTGATTTTTTCATCTTGCGATGCTTGCCATACACCATCGACAACATACTTGTATAAGATTGGTTCGGTAGAAGAAGCAAATGGAACTTCCAACAGGAAAGAACCATCAGCTTGCTTAACCAATGGGATATTTTCAGTCCAGTTCACAAAGGAACCAGTGACAACAACGTCTTGAGGACCAGAAGGCCTATAATAAAATGTTAGTAACGCATATTCATAATAAATACTTAAGTGCAAGTGTATTTTAAGTGTGTGACAATTTGTGATACAACGAAAGGCGTTATCACCGAAAAAAAAAATACAAGGGAGACTTCTTCCTGCACGCCATCCGCTGGTTGCTGTATGCAGAATTGATGTTTACTAATGCATGTTTCCAATCGTTATTCGATATGCCAGTGTAATCAATTGATATGCCGTATCGGAGAAACATACTCCCAGACGCAGTTGCTGGGAAAATTCCTTCCGAACCCGTACAATTCCCCCATACAAATTAAAAAAAAAGGGTTTGTGGAATGTGGTGCTGGTAGGTCACACCTTTGCTATTGCTTATTTCTATCTTGCGCTTTTTCTAAAACTTGGTTCAATTGGGAACATACCATTTGAATGTATAGGACATAATTAAATTAGTAGTACAGTGATCAATTAGTGAAGTAGTAACTCTTTGAGTAAATTAAAAGTTGTCCTTCCAGTGAGTAACACACCAAATCCAAAAGGGAAAAAGAAAGAAAGGCTATAGAAGAAAAAAATTTTGTTAGACGAAAAAAAACACAAGCACCAAGATTTCTCTATAAATGTTAAACGCTAAAAATAAAACAAAAAAAAAAATAGTGTTTGTGAAAGTTTCAGTTTGAATAAAAAAAATGGGTCACTTCCAAATGGAAAAACAAAGAAACATTCCTGTATACAGTTGTTCGGTCTTTGCCTGAATACGACCAGGAATTGTCCCAACTAGGAAAAACCGAACAAGCCAGCCCAATCTATACAAACAGCCTGTTTCAATTAATAATAGAAATATTGGAGTAAGGGCAGATAATTAAATTATATATGCGGAGAACTATTAACCGTACACAATCGACCAAGTAAAAAAAAAAAAAACTAAAAAAGACTAGGAATATGCACATTTCTGTGATTACCCCAGCTCTCTATTCAAGATCTATCACTATCGTCAGGGAAATCAATATACGCATCAGCTTCAGCTTCATAGTTTGCTCTAATTTCCGTAACTCTCGTTTTTGGTCGCTGATCATCACCAAAAAAGCTCAATAATATCGGAAGTAAACAAAGTGAATGGGTTGCAGCAATTAAAATCAAAGCAAACCACATTCTAAAATAGTAAATTTCAAATATCTTTGATCTTGTGAACGCCAACACGGAAATACCAATAAACTTGGTCAAGGTAATACCGGCAATCATTGAACCTCCAACGCTGCTGAGTGCGTTGTAAGCCTTGACATTTCTAATATTTTCTGATAATCCATATAGATTAGCTGTAGAATCAACTGACATGAAATTATTATACAACGTTTCGTCGTTTTCTTCGTCAAATATTGATGCTTTACTAATACAATATGCTCTTGTCAAATGAATAGTAAATTCAACTGCTAACCCAGCACAAATTATCAAGTTAACCAAACTGACTGCATTTAACGAGACTCCCCAAATGGCGAGAACACCTCCGATATTGATCAAGATGGAAATAATAGTAACTGTCATAACCGCAGCTGATCTCACTGAACCCAATAACACTGAGCTTACTATCCAAATAATCCCCATGGCGGCACCCAATAATCCAAAAGTCAACTCCAAGATGGTTCTATACTGCACAAAGAAAATATAGAATGGTGACCACACAAAGATATCTATATCTTTAATAAATGATTTGATCTCATTGACTATTCTCAACGCATGACCATAAGCATGGATGAAATCATCCTGTGACCTCAATGCAACGTGTGAAGTTCTGAAATAACTAGCGCTGATACCTGACTTACTGTGAGCAATACTGTTACCATAGGGTGCCTTCCCACCTAATGGACAAGGATCGCTAGGTTCTTCAATCCATTGATTAAAATAAAACATGAAATTGTCACCTTCAGGGAATCCATCCATACTAGCATCATAAGGAGGACTGTGGTTGAGATAACATGGCTGGCATTGACGTTCCGGGGCATGTGGAGTGCAAAATTCTCCGCGATTGTCTTCAAATACTGAACTCTTTTTAAATCGACAACATTGATCCAAATCAGGATTCAACCAACTCAAGAAATCATCCAACCAACTGGTTGCAGGTTCGGCCATCATTGATTTCTTAGGTCTCTTGAACTCTTGTTCGAGTATATTCGACAATGAATATTCATTGCATGTGGAAAACCTACCACATATCTTCTGCTGGTTGGTTCTATTTGTAACATCCAAATCCTTAACCACAAAGAACATCGGTGGACCCGCATTGAAGTAGTCATACACTGAATTGAAATAATTAATCAAGTACGAATCCGAAGGAATGGCGACTCTTTGGTCAAGTCCAAATTTAATCTCAGGGAATAAACTTAAAGATATGCCTAACCACAATACAAAGAATGTTAAAATCTTGGGTTTGGCTGTGCGTGCCAAAATCACAGGTGCGTAGTACTTACTGACCCAATGAGAAAAGTTGTACTCCAAATGCTTAACGTCTTCTTCATTAGCCTGTTCTTGTATTTCTTGTTCTTCTATTTCACCCTCTGGTAATTCCACAGGAGCAATGGTAATCCAAGGAACACAATCCACGCGATTATCCTCCAATCGTCTCTGGTCTAATGTAAGCAATCCAATAAAACACGTCATCTGAAGAATGAAATTGATAAACACAGCGCCAGCACTATAAAAAGCAAAGTTCTTAACGGCAGGCATATCGACTGCAGTGGCTAATAGGAACATAGAAACTTGCAAAATGGCACTGATAAAACACGAGGGACCAATGTTGCCCAATGACATGGCTATTCTTTGCTCAAGTGATAGATCGGGATTCTCCTCGGTAGCCAAATGAAGCTCATGGACAATCAAGAAAATATTATCTATACCAATTGCTAAAATCAAAAATGGAATGACTTCAGCAATAATCAATGTTGATTTCAATCCGATAATGGAAAAGAATCCCACAGATGCTGTCACTGATAATAAAATAATTAAAATTCCACATAATCCCAACATAAATCTCGTCTTCACTAATGAATAGATGTTTGTGTTGGGTAATTTCCCTCCTAATGCAAGGGAAGCATAAATAAACATGGCCAAGTAGGAAATTACAATGATTCTTATATCTGTATTTGTAGACTTGTTAAGTTCTTCTGTTAATGATACCTCGGTACTAAATGCAATGTTCAAGTTGGGATTATTTGCTTGTAAATCCTGTACCCAGTTCTGGAACAGATGTTCATAGTTTACAGTTGATTCCGTGAGTTCAGTACTGGATGAATTGCTATTAATTAAAACTGTTACTGTGAATGCCTTGGCTTTTGAAATATCATTATTATTAAACAACAAATTAGGTTTCAATGGCTGTTCAAACGCGGGCAAACAATTAACTGGGGAATCGACGCAATTCTGTAACTTTTCCTGCCAGTTGTTTTCATTGATTGCATTTATGTCTCCGTAAAAGTATTGGGCAAATGATTCTATAGCGCATGCATCGTCAAGCGGCTTAAAGCAAATGTCTGACAACTCAACTTCTTTGTTTATCTCGTATAATTCAAGCTCTTTGGAGAACCACCATTGGACGGTTTCCCAGTTTAAGACTGGCTCGTCTGTCTTTGAACTTATGATTATTTGCTCAATTCTAAACCATTCCCCAAAACTAGATTCAAAAAATTGCTGATTTTTTAAAGCAGGTTCCTGTGGACTTACCCACAAGTTAATGGGGTTTGTTTCCAAATCCAATTTAAATAAACCAAGCGAAAGCAATACTGTGATTAATAAAGTTGATCCGATCGTGATACCTGGAAATGTTGAACAAAAGAATCCAATACTGCTAAAGAGATCCAGAATCTTCCAATTTAATTTTTGCAGTAAATCCTTAACCCCTGGTTGTCTCAATGTGACATAACTCAATGGACTAATTACATTATTATAATAATTATCTTCTTCCACAATTGAAGGGTGTCTTGGTCGTTTCTTCAACCTTGCCAAATAAACATGATACCCACCTAATAGAATCACTAAACACAACCAAATAATCAATATAGCAAATGAAAAACAAGGCATAATCCCCACTTTACATTTCTTTTCTAAAGATCTGGCATGGGGTAACTTAGGACATGAACTTGCGCAATCGGTACATGCACACTTGTATTCTTTATCGGAACATTTCCTTACAGGGTCATTTCTCAATTGAATACCAGCACTTTTTTGTTCTTCGGTCATCTCATACTCAAAATTGATTTGATAAGGTGATCCGCCCAATAATGGTTTTTCATCACCCAAAAATTTAAGAAACAGTTGATAAGTTTTAGCACCACCCCCAATTAAATCCATGGCGAATCCATTCGTGGCTGAAAACTTAACATTCTTGCACGATTCGAAAAACTCACTGGCCATTGCTGGATTAACAAATTGACTAATTTCAGTAACGATCTCTTTCCCGGTATCCTTGGCGATTTGCGACTTGGTGATATTTACAAATGTGGATTCGTTCGGTGAACATGTGAATTTGCAAAAGAAGTCGTAAAAGTTCTTCCGGCACGCTGGACACGAGGAGATAATTGGGTCAACTCGCTTCAAATTTGATTCTAATGCGTCAATCTGCTCTGGCGAACAACATACTAAGTTGTAGTCCGACTCTTGTCCGCCACATATTGATACTAGTCTTGCCTTGGACTCAGAACTTGGTTCCACGGCAGGAATGAAGTTCACACACGGCAATTCACTTCCAAATACTGATTTTCTTCCACAATTGCCATAGGTGTTACAGTATCCTGGTTTGTGGGTTGATTGGGCAGTTAGTAGTAGTGCTTGGAGTAAAAGCAATAGAAGCGATAAGGCTGTCATTTTTTTTGGTTGCCTTTTCGGTATGTGTTATATTTGAAATAGCAAGCTTAAAACTTTTTTTAGGTTAGTAGTTGAATTTATATCCAATCTTATGCTAGTGATAGCCAATTAAATTAATATAGTCTTTGTAGATGGGTAGCACAAACTAATGAAACTTGAATGACTGGTGAATTTTCTGGGGCAAAATAGCCTGATTAGAAAAGGGGAGGAAGGAAAAAATAGGGAACGTGAGAAGGTGTTGCAAATCGGAAACAGCTGCTCGCCCGAAAAATGAAAAAATGAAAATGGTTCTAAATTTTATTTTAGGGCGAGCTAGCTACAAATTTTAGTTCAAACTTTCGCGAAGTCGGCCTACACACTTTTTTTTTACTTGTTTACCCCAACTTACTAATGCGAGAATATTTTGCATCAATGGAAAAAAAAATTTACGCGTAATTTTTACAACAAATCAAGATCAGACAACACTAAGCTATCTCTAAGCCAGCAAAAAAGGATATGTTGATTGGTATATCAGGAACATTGAGTTCAGGTAAAACAGAAGTAGCCCGGTACTTAACCTTTCAAGGTTTCAAGTTGATTTCATTAAGCAAGCCAGGAGATCCAATTACTTCACTTGTTGATTCCAGCGATTCATTGCCTGAACTGGATTCAGATACCCTCAATGAAAAACTTGATACCCTCGTTATATCAAATGGAAATGTGTCGTCATACTACTCGAAAATGGAAGTTCACAAAAAATTTGACGATTTAGAAGACTTGCTTGATTTTGTTACTGTCAACTGGAGAGAAAACTATGTCTTGTCACACATGAACGACATGCAAATGCTAGTCAGTTTACAAAAGAGGCCATTTTTCCTTCATATTTCTATTGATGCGCCTATTGGTCTTCGTTATCAACGTTATCTCCTCAAGGTAGCATCACATGCGTCTCGTTTGTCATTGGAAGACTTTGTCGTCAAGAATGACGAGTTGCTATTCAATGTGGATAATCCACTCATTGAGATCAACAACCAAGCAAGAATCAAAATCATCAATACTTCAGCATCGATTAAAGACCTTTACATCAAACTATCCGAATTAAACTTGTTAGATTTTTCCAGATTGCGCCCTACGTGGGATTCTTATTTCATGAGATTGGCCGATTTGGCAGCATTACGTTCCAATTGTATGAAAAGAAGAGTTGGCTGTGTTATTGTCAGAGACTACAGGGTCATTGCCACTGGTTATAATGGAACTCCTCGTCATTTGACAAACTGTAATGAAGGTGGATGTCCTCGTTGTAACAAAGGCCATGGCAGTGGTGCTTCCTTGTCAACCTGTCTTTGTTTGCATGCAGAAGAAAATGCATTACTTGAGGCCGGAAGAGATAGAATAAGAGGAGATAGTGTATTGTACTGTAACACCTGTCCATGTTTAACCTGCTCGATCAAGATTGTTCAAAGTGGAATTAAAGAGGTGGTGTATGCTCAAAATTATTCCATGGATTCATACAGTCATAAAGTGATGAGTGAAGCCAACATAATATTGAGACAGTACCAACCCCCTGTGGATGGGATCTTCATTTAGACTGAAATAGATGTGTATTTTGTATAAACTTAAGTTTCCTTGTATTCGTAAGGTCCTGGTTTTTGTTCAGCGTCCAACTTGATTTCTTCAATGATTTCGTCATTGTACTTGAGATAAGCTTCAATCTTGTCTCCTGGAGAAATTTGGCCAACACCCTTTGGAGTACCGGTCAAGATCAAGTCACCTTTTTCCAAAGTCATAATGGAGGACATGTGACTCAAGATCTTGTGGATTGGGAACAACATCAAGTCAGTCTTGTCTTGTTGTCTAACTTCACCATTGACTTTCAAGATCAATTCCACATTGTATGGATCAGGGATCTTTTCCTTGGCAATGAAATTGGAAACAGGCAAGAAAGTATCAAACCCCTTACCAATGGACCAAGGCAAGCCCTTCTTCTTGGCTTCATCTTGGACATTACGGGCGGTCATATCGATAGTTAAAGCATACCCTTCAATGCTGGCCAAAGCTTCCTCGGGACTGAATGATTCAGGTAAATTCTTCAAATCACGGTTCAAAGTGAATGCTAGTTCCACTTCGTGATGGACAACAACGCCTTTGGGGACCAAGAATGGACCTGCGTTGGGTTTTAAGATCGATGAAGATGGTTTCAAGAAGAAGAATGGTTGTTGTGGCTTAGCATTGTTCAATTCCTTAATGTGGGCAGCATAGTTACGACCTATGCATAAGATCTTTCTTGCATTATCCAAGTACTTCAATGACATGATTTCTGGTGACAGAAAGGGAAAGAATAAGAATAAGAATAAAGGGAAAACTTGGGGAAGGCAAAAAAAAAAAAATCAGTAGCGGAAATATTACTCGCCAGTTCCAAAATTGGCGCGATTTTCTCAATTGAGTTAATTGACGCCATGGAGCTGGTTAAATAGGCAATAGCTTATATTCAGTTACCATTGAAGGAAATGTTATATTTACGAAGGGCGTACCTTAAATGAAAAAAAAAGTTTGCCTCTGGGTAGAACTTCTCTTTGGTTCAAGATTTGCAAGTCAGATCTATAAAAGTTGCAAACTACAATTACCAGGAAGGATTAAAAGCTGACAAACTAGAAATCTTCCTCTAGCAAGATAAACGTGGCTCTGGAAACACTTGTTATTGTGATTATGATCTCTGTATGTTCATGATTGGAGTTGTTGTTTGGCGTTATCCTCTTGTGCATGCTCTTGTGCTTCATCGTGCAAAATGTTTTTCGCTTAAATTTCTTTTCAGTTTTGTCTGCTTACATATCAATACTGCTCAGATTCAACTTGCACATATAATACCTAATGAGGATTCTACTAAGTCGAGCTTGTGCTCCGACTCGACATTTGCATGCTGCCATACCCTCTCTTGGCATGTGCTATTCAACTGCAGTCCCTACATCAAGGGAAACCCCTATACCATATTATAGACCAACTAAAACAACGCCCACCATTACAACACCAGAGCCAACCAACATAATAGACCCTATAGAATATACCCAAATGGAACCACATCCAGACGATCACATCATCGTAGCCATGAGCTCAGGTGTAGATTCAGCCGTAAGTGCTGCGCTCTATGCTCACAAGTACAAAAACGTGCATGGAATATACATGGCCAACTGGTCCCAAACCGCCACATGCACAGAACGCGACTGGAATGACGTGCAACAGTTGTGTCATGATTTGAAAATCTCGTGTGAACGAGTGAATTTCGAGAGGGACTACTGGCAAACTGTGTTTCAACCCATGATTGACAAATATGCTCGCGGATTGACTCCTAACCCGGACACTGGATGCAATAAACATGTTAAATTCGGTAAGTTGGCAAATTACTTGGAGAGTAAATATCACAGCAAGAGGTGGTGGTTAGTAACTGGACATTATGCCCGGATAATGAAACATAATCCATCAGGGGAAACGCACTTATTACGAGGGCATTCTTCCAAAAAGGACCAATCGTACTACTTGTCGTCTATCCCTCCTTCCATAATGCCCAAAGTTCTCTTGCCAATAGGTCATTACATTAAACCAGAAATCAGAGAGCTCGGCAAACAATTTGGCTTGCATGTTGCATCCAAACCTGACTCTCAAGGGTTATGTTTTGTTAGCCCCGATCAAAACAACTTCCGCGACTTTCTCAATAACTATCTCGAACCTAATCCAGGTGACATTGTTTCTCAAGACGGCAAGGTCTGGGGCCATCATCAGGGACTTTGGCATGCCACTATTGGCCAGAGATCAACGGTATCTATGCCCCAAGGGGATCCTAATTTCAAGGGAACGTGGTATGTAAGTGCTAAGGACCCCGTCAAGAATCAGTTGATAATTGTGAGAGGATGGGACCACCCAAGTTTATTCAAGGATCAAGCTAACTTGTACGAACTAGACTGGTTATATCCCCAGGAAAAAGTGTTGGCTATCCCACCTCAAGAATTACAATTTCAATTTCATTCATTAGGAAAACGATACAACATCAAGTCGATTGACTTAACCAATGACAAATTGTCAGTAAATATTCACCCCAAGGCAAGAGCAATGGCTCCAGGACAAATTGGAGTTATTTATCGAGGAAACCAAGTGTTGGCTTCGGGGATAATTATGTAAATAGTTTAAATATTAATAAAACGATTCAACTATAAAACTATAACTAACTAATTAATAAAAATAAAAAAACATAGAAATGAACACATAAAAGGCAAGCAAAAATATATCACATAAAACAACAAATTAACGTAAAATCTCAAAAAGCGGTAATAGTAGGATACAAGTTATTCGATTGGGCATTCAAATTAACCCCTTTCGGCTGTTCTTGTTTCTGGCTTTGTTCCTGGTCGGCAATCTTTGCCCTCAAATAACCAAGTACAAGCAGAATCATTTGTCTATGCTTAGCAACATCCTGCAAATTGTATCCATCAACAACAATAGGCTCGTCATCTTCTTCTTCCTCTTCGTCCTCGTCATCTTCTTCAACATCACTAAGACCCAACTTATCAAACAAATCATCAAGTTCATCTTCTGAACTAACCGAACTATGACCTTCTTCTTCATCCTCGTCATACAATGGTTGTGCAGACTTTTGGAAGGTAGAGACACCACCAAATTCTAATGCAGTAGGATGTTGTTGCTGCTGCTGTTGTCCACTGTATGGCAAGACATATCCCAATGGCCTTTGTGGATATGCTGGCAAGAACCCTTGGTGATTGTTAGCCATGTATTCCTTGTTAGAAGTATTCAGTGAAGTATTATTAGAAATAGTAGGCAATGAAGGATAAAGTGATTGGTTAGCTTGTTGTGGTTGCACGCGCACAGCTGTTACTTGAACTTGTGGTTGTTGTTGTTGTTGTTGTTGGTATTGAGAGTACAAGTTCAGGTATTGAGAATCAAGTGAGTTTGATAATGAATTGAAAAACTTTTCAGCTTCATAAATGTTTCCATTGCCACTAGTGGTGGTGGCCACTGCTGTAGCTGGTGTGCCATTGCTATTATCAAACATAGTGGACTCTCCATTTGCTGGAGGATGTTGTGGTTGCTGCTGTTGTTGAGAGTGGAGAATGTGGGCTTGTTGCTGTTGTTGCTGTGACATATGTTCATCCAAATGGTTCAATTTGTTGAAGACTTCCAAATTATATTGAGGATTATCTTGCTTCAATCTCTTGACTGGATATTCAGTAACTTGAACCGGTTGAACTTGTTGAACTTGTGGTTGGTATGGTTGTTGGAAATGTTGGGCTTGTTGTTGAGCTTGAAGTTGTTGTTGTTGTTGTTGAACATTTTGGAAATTGAAATCGCTCAAAATACTATTGACAACATACATACTTTGTTGGTTATTGTCAAATCTTCTCTTTCTGCTAGCATCGTCATAACTCAAACCATCGAGTTGACTAACACCACCATAGTAATTAAAGTTAGGTTGCAAATCACCTCCGAGCTTCTTATTAGCCAATTTTTGCCTTTGCTTGGCTTCCTTTTGCTGTTGTTTTAATAATTGTCTTTGTGCCTTCTTTAATTTCTTCGGGTGATCCTCAGCATGGATCTTAGAATGCTTCTTCAAATCCTGTGGTCTCTTGAATGACTTGGTACATAAATCACAATGGAATGGCTTCAATGGAACATGTACTCTTAAATGAGAAGTGATATGGTCTCTCTTGACAGTAGTAGTGCCACAATTCTCCCAGTAACAAGTCAACGATAAGTTATTCGACAGTTTTCTTCCGACATGATCATCACATAAATGGTCATACAACAACTCTGGTGTTTCAAAAATAATGTTACAATCACCCCATGCACACTTGAATGGACCCCGCAAATCTTCCTCTCTAATCTTTTTATAAGTCTTCTTTGGTGGTTTCATGATATCACCAACCATACCGGCAGGCACAGCCACAGGAACAGGCATGGCCATTGGCATATGAGGTAAGTTCTTACGAAGACCCAAGTCAATATTATTGCCATAGTATCCTTCAGGTTGAGGTTGCTGTTGTTCAAGGTGGGGATAAAGGTAGGCTTGTGGGTAATATGAAGGTTGGGTGTTGTAAGTTTGGTTGAGATTTGGGTGTAACTGAGTTGGTTGTTGTTGTGATGGAACTGTTGGTGGTTGCAAGGGCTGAACAGAATGTAGTTGTTGCACTGGTGGTGCTACCTGAACACCAACCTGTTGTTGTTGTTGTTGCTGTTGCTGTTGTTGTTGCTGCTGCTCTGCATGAGGCAGTTGCTTTTGTTGTGGAATTTCAGTTTGATGTTGTACTGTTACTTGTGCTGATGGTTGTTTAACATCGTGAACTGGAGAGTTTCCAGTTGATTGAGAGGTAAATGACGAATGTGGGCTGCCATTATGTGATGTTGTTGTTGAGGAAGGAGAGGTGACATTGTCAATTTCAATGTCTATTCCTTCGCTATTCTTAGAACTAGTAGTAGTGGTCGTGGTGGTACCTGTAGTACTAGTATTAGTTGTTGCGGTGCTCCCAGTGACTGACAAAGGCCTAGCTGAGGGTACACTAGGTATAGTAGGTGGGCTTGGCTGGGCTTGGCCATTTACTGCAGTGGTTGTATTGTTGTTGCTATTAGCATTCAAATACGTGACTGGGTGTATATTGTAATTCATCGTGATTATTTTGCAAGCTTATTTGGTTATGAGATTATGGTTTGTTTCTTTGTTCAATATGTAGATTTATTAATGCTTGATATGAATATAGTCAGAAAAATCCCTTTGATATTGGAATGGTTATGTGAAAGTTAAAAGGCGTCAAATGTCAATCAGAAAAAAAAGTCTCACTTTCTTATTTAAACTTTTTTTTTGCTTGGGAATCACTTTAAATAAAAAGTCACTGCAGAAAATTCACAAAGGGGAAAGAATGCAGAAAAAAATGGAGAGATTGAACTGCAACAGGCTCAGCCAAATAGGGAGAGACACATTGATCGATAAATATATAATAAATTGTTTCTTTTTTCTCCTTGTTGTTCTTTTCTTTTTTTTAATCCCGGCCAAGAAAAAAACAAGGTTTTTCTCAGTTTTTTCTTGTCGGTCGTGTCTCTTGGTAATATTTTTTTTTCTTTTTTTTGCAGTTGAAAAAAAAAAAAATAAGTTAAGTTCCAAGGAAAATTTGTGCACTCACATCCAAGAAAACCCACACCAATCTTGTTTCTTTAGCTTAAAACCTGTCACTATAATTAACTAAATGAGGTGACAAATCAACAAATCGGGAATCTTCGTAGTTCTAACCGTGTACATAACTCTATTAAGTTTAAAAAAAACTTGGCTGTGACCTTTTTTTTCACATGTTTTATTAACATTTCTTTAGTAACTTTAAACAAAGGCCCACGAAAAGAACCCTTTGTTGTGTGAGCAACTTTGCTTTATCAATAACTCAGCCCGGTTTCTTCTCAATAATGAGATCGCCCAAGAGTGCATAATATCTGGGTTTATTTATGATGACATAATTGTTCAAAAAAGTCGTTGTCGCAAATTTCCCTAGCGGCTTAGCTGTGGAATTAGTGAAATAATAAAAATATGCGAGTTCAACTTTCTCAAATTTATTTTTTGAACTGGTTTATTTTTTATATTGCGCACTTTATATTTACACTAGTTTGGCCGTATTGGCGACCGTAACTATTCCTGCCCCACTTATGATTAATTACTACAACTTCCACTGCGTTTGCAAAGAATTAATATACTTACACCTTTATTTCTAAAATAAATGTCTTTCTCCACCTTCCATATCTTCTCTACCTTCTGAACATTTGCGAACTACTGTTGTATTTGCTTACCATGAATTGTGACTCGATTTTTTCCTTGGCATTTTTCAAAAGATTTTTAATTTTCGCCTTGATGTCCCATGCCGCCTGATTCCGTCTCTAATACGTTTCTATCTCATGTAGGATTACTTATCCCAATACAAAATAGAAAATATAAATAATTTTAACCGAAACACATATGGATGCATGGCCAGGGGATTAAGTCTACGTATTTTGTATCTGTCAACTATAAGATTTACTGCATGCAACTATGGTTTCGTATCATGCACTAAAAAAATTGACACTAATATTATAAAATGTCTCTGGCTCTGATCTTTACCAGATAGGGCGTGTGAAAAAGCCTCGTGTAAAAACAATAGGGAAAACGATCGTATGGGATTTATACTAACTTCTTTTCATAGTTCCTAACCAAAACGGACTCGCTTATTTGGGTTTAATGATCTCTTGTTCTATTGTGTTTGCATTCCTTTTCGTATATTTACATCTCTCCACTTTGTTCTATTTTTGTCTTTCAAGACCTTTCGTTGTTGAATTTGCTTGACCAAGAAATTTAAAATTGTGATGATTTATAGTTGTCAGTTGTATCAATGTGAGTTTATGCAACCAAATAATTCTCGTTTTCGCGTGCATAAGGTTGCTTCTTCATACAGAAGTGGTAATTCGGAATAAATGCAGGCAGACTCCGTGGATAACGTCATTGGTTAATCTTTTTAGGTCTATCGCGTAAAAAATTATGATATCATTAATATCGTACTAGCTACTCCCCGCATTTTCGATAGATATAGATCATACACGCATGATCAGATCATTTACATTAGCAGTGAAAATCAAGGATTTCGGATTGCCAGTTCCTTCATCCACTCATATCTATGGCAAAACAACATACAAAGTTTAAATCATGTCATTTTATTCTTTTCTTTGCTAGCCTAGAACAAGAAAAAAAATTGTTGCAAATAAACATGTTACTTTTTTTTTCGTAATCATAGAGAAGAAAAAAAATTCTACCATGATAAAAATAACACCTAATGACGTCGTTGTCTTTTTACCTCACCTTATACCAATCAACCAGTAAAATTGTAACCCCTCAAATTCCTATTTACGCGGTATAAGCGAATCGCTGATCGCGCGTCTTAATTATATTGGATTTGAAAAGTACACGTAAGCGCTTTACAACCTAACCTGATCAATAAAGTTAAACTTTTGAAGAAACGGATGGTTGTGCAAAAGCACATACTGCACAAAATAGCAGAATCTTACACCCGATGAATCTTGTTCTGGGTCATGCTCTAGTCTTTAACATACTTGGGTGAAGTATATTATTTCGGGGTTTGATCTTTAATTGTAACAGCACGTTCAATTTTAATCGTGATGCACATCTGACCACTCTAACTGATTATTCTTGCTAATTTGGTTATACGAAATTACCTGACTGATTTTCAACTGAAATTTTTCAACTAATCTAATTCCTTAGACTTAACTTTTTCTGGTCTTCGAGTTGTATAGATAAGCAAGTTCACTAATTCCATTTCATGGTTGCAAAAATAAAAGGCTTAGATAAAGTAGAAAAAATAAATAAAAAAATAAATGCCTTCAGCCAGATTCGAACTGACGATCTCCTCATTACTAGTGAGGTGCCTTACCAACTTGGCCATAAAGGCTCTTTTTGTTTTTTTTCAAAATTACTAGCCATTTGATTCTATCATGTTACCTAAAAGATCTTAAGTTAATTCGAAAATAGTATTGTTTACTTTAACGCATAGGATTCTGGTTGCCCTTTATGTCACTAATCATCTGAAATGAGAAGAAAGGATAAATATGAAGTGTGATAATGAAATCGAGAAAAGGAGATAAAAGGAATTACTTCGAAATATGATTATGCAGATAAACAAAAAGTATATAAAAGAATTCTGAGACCAGAGTCTACAATTTATTCATGGATGCTCTTCAAACTAAGTACAAGGAAGACAAATCCAAATCTGGATTAGCGTTACAAGTTGGGTTTTTTTTCGCAAAAAGGAGGATCGTTCGTTGCCTAATTCCAGAAATTTAAACAAATTTTAGCAAATACCTTCCCCGGAATATTTTAGAGCGGGAATCTTTCATTGTTACCCTGTTTAGAAGAAATACAAACCTCAAATATCAACCCGTAACTGCTAATATGAAGACTTATATGACCATTGACAAGATCATCCCTCGTCCAGAACTTGAAGCCATTCAAACTAGATTGTCCTACCACAGAATCCCATTCAGTTACAACTGCAGAAATGGCCATCGTTGTGAAAACAACAATACTAAGTACAACAACAAGAAGAACAACATATGAGTATTGCCACAGTTGTAGTGCCCATTCTCGTTATACTAACGAATACAGTTCAATGAACAACAACAATAATAATAACAACAGAAGGAAAAATTCTCTTGATCCAACTACTAACAACTCTCTAAAGCCAAAGAAAACTAACTTAGTCCTGGGAAGACCCTAGAATCGTCGTTTTATTTTCTAATACCAGTTTGAAATTGAATTAAATGTAAAAGTGTCGAAAGTGAAAAGGCTTTGGGTCACTTTGGAAGGCATTTAGATAGAATCAAACCTAATAATTATTACCATCTGTTATTAAATGTGGTAGTGGAAGCTCAAGTAATTTGATCTATTTGTATTTTGTACCTTATGACTATTATACCATTAATAGAGTATCAGATCTGATAAGTGAAAAAAAAAAAGTAATAATTTATCAGAACTAAATCCAAAGGTGGATATCCAACTAGTATTTATATTACAATATTCTGCTTCTCGTTTAGCTTCACATACTTTATCCCTCCTTACCTTCTTGCAGTTTAAAGACACTCTACAACTTGTCTGAGGAACTGATTTCTCTTTTCAAAAAAAATACTATTTAACTTTCATTGTTACTGTGAACTGATGTATTATTATTTCTCTTAATGTATTTCTAATATTGGTATTTCTGCATAATAGGGACACTTCATAAATTGTCCCTAATCTATCATTGGTAACAAACTAGGTCTTGATTAATTACTATGTCATTCGGTTATAATTGATTAGAAATCCATTGTATCAACGATGGTGTAACTACGGCATTTTTCAATTATGTAATTACGATCGTTAAGTGTCCAAGTTAATTCGACGAGTGTATAAAGTATCAAGTAAATAAGATTGTGAGTGGTAATCTCGCTTATGTGTGGTTGTGAACACAATATCAATTTCGGTTTCGCTCAGGTCTGATTGGTCAGGTGCTAGACCTAAAGAGTTGCTCATAGTATTAACCTTCAATTTTATCAAATCGTGAAGCGCTCGTGATGAAAACCTTGCATTTTTCACTAAAAACTGAAATTGGGTAATTTAGCAGCTATTTTACAAGTTCGAAAGGTTATGGAATAATAGCAATTACAGCCATTTATCATTTGAATAAATATAAGTATTATGGAATTTTTTGTCTTGCCGTAAAATAACGCTTTAATGCTGGGACCAATTTAATCTCATTTATTAGCAGCAAAGATTTGCTAATATTTGAGATAGTTTACACATTCAAACGAGCAATGTACCTAGTTCATCGTGGCTTGAAGACCATTTACGACTGATAGTTGCCTTGAGATTCCAATGGATGGAGTTGCTCTAATAAATTTCAAGCTATCTTGAATTTGTAGAACACTTGTTGTGAAACTACCAACTAAAACTACCCAATATTGAACTCTTTTAGCTAAATAAAAATATTGTTAAGTCGATTTCATAGAAATAGAGCAGAGAACATTGAGAGCAACATGAGTGTAATTCTTTTTGCAACTTTGCTAGATATGGCAACTTCCAACAACCCATGTAATATGTTCCTAAATTGCTGTGGATGATATATGTATATATATTGTTCCAAATTACTTTAATTGGAAAAACTCATGTCAATAATACTTGCATATTTGGTTTTGTGACGTTCAATAAATTTTTACTTAAAGTTTACTAATTATTACTTATAATTTACATTTACAGGCTCAGTCAAACTGATAATATTTCTGGATTATGGTAAAACACGTTGTAGTTCAATTCGCAACTTGTCCTATCTTCTTGCTCGACGGATAGATCGGTATCAATTGAAGCCAATCTAGGAGATTTCGATTTCACATGAGATCCTGCTTTTCCCTCGTAATTAACATCCGGGTTTATTTTTTAATATTTTTTAGCATTGTTTATTGTCTTCTGCGACCGGTGGTAGTCAACAATCTAAATCAGAAACAAACCCTCCCATATCGGGCTAATTATCTAGCGTTCAGGGATGCGATAACAATTAGCTAGAGATCTTGTATAAGAATAGAAGATTTCTTGTAATTTTGGAAATAAGGGGGTGTGGTGGTGGTGGGGGTGAATAATATGATTCAAGGATTTTCTGGAGTAAAATACAAGCATCCCTTTGAGTGATTTAACCCCCTTAAATGATATTAAATAATACGATTTGAGGGGAATTTAGTTGGATCTACAACAGTTTTTTGTAAGTTTTAGAGAACTAAAATAGCAAGTGCTGCTGCGTAGTTGATGGCCCTTGTCCACACACCCCCTACTCCGTATGTGGAACGGTTTGCAACTCAGCCATATCGAGACACTTTTTGTTTGATTCAGGAACCTTGCTTTTATATTCCTATGGAATTTATTGTTCAATTCTGTGACTGGTTTTAGAACTGAATTAAATGATACATAGCATTGCTCTATTCCTGTATATATATTTCTAGTAGTACTTCTGCCTAGTGAGACAAGCCACAAAAACCAGTAACAAAAAAAAAAAGAGGACAATTATTAAATTTGACATATACATGTATTTACATTATCTAGTTATTTTATACCGAATCAGGAACTAATCAAATCCTAACAAGCCGGTCACCTGATAGTTTGCACTTTATAGAGACAGATTTATGCATTAAACTGAACTTTGGTTTTAGTATTCCGCTTTATCCCATCCGCATCATGTCTAACAATAGCTCCAGAACAGAACTAACGCCTGTGAGCGAACAGCCAGTATTAAGGCTTCGACCACTGAACAAACAGAACAATGAAGAAACAAAGGAAGGAACATCGTCATCGTCCCCAAAGAAAATGCGCAAGAAGAAAAAGAAGGCCAGAGTGCAATGGACAGAAGATGTGGTGGACAATGAGAATATGAATAAGAAAAAGACCAAGATCTGCTGCATCTTTCATCCAAATCGAACATTTGACGAAGAAGTGGAACATGATCATAGTCATTCCGACCCTTCTTCTTCTTCTTCCTCTGATGAAAGTGATTTGAGTGAAGGAGAAGGGGGAGGTGGTGGAGATAATGAAGTGAAACCAAATGCATACGAACATCAACCAGTTTATGAAAATCAATCCAAAATTCCACCTTCTTCAAAGTAAGTACTACATTATGATCAAATTTTAGAATTGCTATTTACGTAATTGTTCATTTGTACCAAAAAAATTAAAAACAAACTATATAAACCTGGAAAGATTTGACATATATACCATTATATATCCAACCTAGATGCAAACAAATTAGAAATCCATAAAAATAAACATTAAAAACGGGCATTAAAAAGAAAACACAAACAATAGTAAGCTAGCAATTACCTCCACCTCTAAACCTCTTTCGCTGAAATCTCTGGGTTTATAATCTTCAACTTTCTCGAATAATCTTTTTCATCGCCCAAAGATTGCTTGGAAAGATTTGTATTCAAAAACATTGTATATGGATCCAATCTGGCATCAACCTCATTTATAGGGAACATGATAATAGAACCACCTGCGCTTGCATTAGCATCTTCAGGAATGTTAGGATTAGGGGAGTTTTTACTCATAAGTTTCTTTCTTGACGAGCTTCTATTCACACTATCCTTCTCTCCTGTAAATAGCTTGAATACTGACTTGTGTGAACTATTTCTTTTTACAGAATGTGAAGGTGTAGATAATTGCGTGCCAGCTTGCTTTTCATGATCAATTGACAATTCATCACCACTGGATTGACTTTCCTCGTCGGTGTAATCACCATTGTGATGATTGCGTGATCCAGCACAACAGCAATATAATATACCTGAAACTAATCCAAGCACCACAACTCCAACAGCAGTGAATGTGCCTGCAACTTTAGCGGTATCGTCAAAGAAAGTTGATTTGTTTTGATCAGCCTTTTCTTTAGCGTCAGTATCACTTGTGGTTGTCGGAGCACCTTCACGGTCATTTACATTGGATGAAACGGCCAATGAGTCTGATGGGTCGGTTGAAGATGTCTCAGCAGTAACTTGCGTAATATATAGGGTCTTGATTTCTTGGCTTAGAGTACCATTGATTGTGACATAAGAAAAAACAGTGGATGGCTGCATGGATGCTTGGGAGGAGTCGGAGTTGACTTTGCTAACGGTGGTAGTCACCTTTACTATATCACTATCTTGTTGGGTTTGGGTTATTTCTGTGGTTTGTGTAATCATGGTAGTTCCTGGTTGATCAGCAGATGGTTGGTCGCTAGATGGTTCGTTAGAAGGTTGATTGTTGTCAGTAGGCTGCGTCTTCTTGTTTGTACTCGGTGCCGTGGAGGGAGTAGGTGACTGTTTGGTTACTGTTGAGGATGGGCCATTTATAATCAAGTATCCAAAGTAGCCATTTCCAGCACAATTTTCTTGGTCCTTGTATCCTGGACAGCCAATTGCACATTTTGAAAGATCAACAGTATCGGCAGGAACGTTATCAGTACAATAACAATTTGTTCCCAGTAAAATAGCAACACCTTTCCCTTGGTTTAAACAAGTGTTCTGGCATAGACCATTGGACATATATATACTGTTGGAAGGACTGCTATCACCAGCCAAATTTGTTGTTGAGCAAAGGTTTAATGTCAAGCCCGAGGTGACCGGAAGTAGAGCGAGTAAAATCGCTACTACCCATGCATAATTTCTAAGCTGTAGTAGGGAGCCCAGTTGCTGTTGTCCCATGGTGGAACTCTCAGTCTTGTGTGTATGGTAGGAGAGTTGCTTTCCCCTTAGCTGAGGAAAAAGGTTGTAAGTGTTGGGAACGATGTGTGAAAATTCTTGAGAATGAAATAGGAAATAAGGTTGGTTTAAAATAGAAAATTATTTTTTATCCTTATTTTCCTTAATTAATTTTTATTTTCTTTTTTGGGTTGGAAGAATATATGCGGCGTGAAATCTCTTGGATGACACAAAAGGTGATGGATTATGTCTTAAATGGGGTCTTAGGGGGAGGAGGTGAATTCTTCTATGATTGGGTGCTAAAGGAAGCTCTTCTATTTTGCAAAAGTGTAAATATTTACAATTGTAGTCCTTTAAATTGCAATGTAAACGATAAGGGGTGTGGTTCAGTTTATATTTTTTCTTCTCTATATTTAGGAACTGAAAAAAAAAAAAAATAAACCCACAACAACACAAAAATAGAAACTCTTTGATTACTATTACGCAACCTTCTTTGCTAGTTTAGAATATCTTCGTAGAATGGATGATTAAGTATGGTTCGCTAACAGAATTGCTTCTATGGTGGGTATCAACACCAAATTTGTAAACAATTATCCTCAAGTCTATGGTTGAATAAAAAAAAACGCAAAATGTGTCTTCTGTATCAGGAATTTGACAAATTCTCAAAATAAGGATATTATAACTGGATTTATATATTTCGGTATTCCGGTTATGAGGGATAACAGAAATTTATTATAGGCATTAAATTTGCTATTTCTGTTGTAGGAAACCCACATTTGATATTTGACAATAGAATTATTTTTTAGGACGATTTATTCTTTTCATGTCAGATGGGTAATTTTTTATGCGAATAATTGCAAATTTCAAATTTTTTGCAGGAAATCGATAAAATTTCCATGCATATGATTAAAAAATAAAACCGGAATTCAATCATCAGCCTTCGAATTAAATCCAGCTATCTAAATCTCATTTACCTGTTTGAAGTTTTATAAGTTTTGCATTTGATGTTGGTTAGTTTGCGAAAACGATGGTTACTTCCGATGGCCAGGCGGGAATTTAGCAATTAAATGCTACGCGAAATTTTGGCGAATATTTCCATACATGAGCCATACGCATATTAGCCCGCCGTGCATTAGCATCTGAGATTTGTTACATCACCGCGGAAATCGGGATCTCTTTTTAATTTTTTTTTTTTGCTGTTCGCTCACTCTAAAATAACAGGCTATTGTCATTATGTCATCGAAAGGATTGCAAAACCGTTCATGAAATAGCACAAACCTTAAATATCGGTTCAAAACCTGGAAACCGATGTTTGAGCTCTGGTATGAACGCCAAAATAAAAAATGAACAGGAAATGATCGTGATACCTCTTGCTCCTTACTTACCAAAGTTTGTTGCCAAGGAGAAAGCGGGCTTAGTTTGTTATAGTTGACAAGAGATGGATAACTGCATCGCCCACAGTTAATTTTAATGCATGTTTCCAAAAGTTTAAATTTAGTCTTTTTTTTTTTGCTAATATTTATATCTTGGCACTAGGGATGTGGCTAGTATAATAAGATTCTCTACAGTCTTGGCAGATCGTATAGATTAGAATTGTGCTTCTTTCTACAATTTCAGCTAACCAGAATTCGAACAGAAAGCAATTTATTGTACTGGAGTTAACACAAGGAAACCCGATCTGCATCTATCTCGTCAAAGCTTTTGTTATAAGGCGGATCCGGCTATGACAGATCAAGGTTCAATTATTCTTGGCACTAAAATCTTGTTCCTGACGTTACTCCGCCTTTATAAAACTTTAGCCATTTGCTCGTTTCAACTACAAATATTCTCTTTGCAACCGTCAGCTGATAACGGGAGGCATTCTATCGTCTATAATTTTATCTAACTATTTACAATTTTATTTACAAATGCATGGTCATGATATCGTTAAATATATTATGTAGATTGGCCGGAATTTTTCATTAATCCCCGCTCAACCATTTGTCTTTTCGTATACTCATCCGAACCTTCATCTATCCTTAATATACGCTCTCTGTTTCTATGAGCACTGATCTTAGCGGCCGTATGTGACAAAATTTGTTGAATCAGTTCATGTGGAAGTTCAACTGCCGCCCCGTTTGGTAGCTGACCACTCCTGATGACTTTGAAAAGAAGGAGGTCCTCTTTTTTGTTTGAGTTTGGCTGCTCCAATTCTAATTTTAAATGATTCCATATTTCAATTTCCTGATCATCCAACAAGACAGACGTGGGCTTAATAGATACATCCTTCAAATTTTCATTTACGTACGTTATCTTTGCATCTACTTCTTGTAGGGCCCTGCCTACTATTCTTGATACAATTTTATAATTCTCGGGTAATGATCTTTTGCCATTCCCATAATCTATGACTTCAATCGGAAGATTTAATTTCTGAGTTGCTTCGTATATGATACAACGTAACAAATACGATAATGTCTCTATTTTCCTAACATCCTTCAAATCGGTAATCAATTGACGAGAGATTAACTGAAATATTCTTGGTATCTTGGTAAAATCTCTTCCAGATTCTTTCAGAAACTCTACATAGATCCTGATCATGGAGAATGCTTTGTCTTGCAATTCTACATTTCTTTGAATTCCCAGAAATAAGTTTAACAAAGTGTACTCGTCAATATTGAATTTTTCTAGTTCAGCATCATTTGCATTTGCATGTAAGGCTTGACTGTAGATTACCTTATTCAGAAACTTGCTATCAATAGCCCACGTTTCATATCCCAAATCTTTTTCTATGAAGTTAATCACCTCGTGGTAATCGGTGGTTGTTTTGGCAAAATCATCCAAGACTTTTACCATCATTGACTTTGGAATGGGAATGCCATGATCTTGCATCTTTTTAAGGAAATTTTCTTTGAGATGGATGTTCTTGATAGTGCTATAAATATAGCTGTATGTTCCCAAGTTGATTTCGATATTCAACCTAGCACTTAATTGCAAATACTTTAAAACTAGTCCAAATGTACTGGTGTTTCCTCTGATATTAGCATGGGTTGATAGCATTTTGATCATTGAATTTATAGTATCAACGTTGTACGCATGACCATCATTCTTCATAACTAGTAATAACTCTCTAGCGAAGGTGCTTTGATTCTTTAAAGAACCAAAATAATGGATTAGACAGTTATATGTATGTGTTGATCTATACTCTTTGAACTCGTGTGTTGTTAACTTATGTGTATATAACAAGATTTGGGGAATTATTCCTGATTGCAAAGACAGTGAGTTTTTATAATGATAGTTCGTGTGTGTGAGTTGGTAAATATATTCATAGAAATTCTCTCGTGTAAGTGGGGAGGGCATTATCGGTATTTCATGAAAATTATGTGCAGGTACCTGAAGTTTATATTCACTGGCTATTTGATCTTGTTGTAGTATAACATTGTTTAATACAGCTGGGTTGTTATGGTCAATATCCTTCAAATGAGATGGTGTAAGGTCTATTAAAGTAGACATCATAATTTCAAACATTCGCCTGTCTTCCATGTACTGTTCAAGAATAGCACGAGGGTTTTTAGATGTTTTCTTTGTCCAAGCTTGTTTTGCCAGTCGGATATCATATTCGGTTTTCTCACTGAATGTCTTTAGCGTTGGCATATCTAAAGGCTCCAAGAACTCTCGGTATGTTTTCCTTTGGAAATCCTGATACAACGGTTTAAATTTCTTGACGTCATCAGGTTGCAAGTTTTTGTATATTGATTGTATGACCTTCGGTGAATATGAATTGGTTGTCGATTGCGGGTTGACTTTCAGATTTGAACTATTCTTTACTATTGCTTTATTCTCAGAATCTTTCAAGATCTGGCTATGTCGTATTACTCTTCCTATTCGAGAGATTGTATCTTTTATTGATAACATGACATGAGGACTGGATAAAGAGTGTGGTTTCAACGGTAGTCATTAAAAGCGTTGGATCGATTTTATTGAATATAGAAAAAAAAAAATTTCCAAATAGTCACGTGAATAAAATAATCCGAAAAAAAAAACTACTTAGAAAATGTCATCGAGAAAATTCAAACTATCAATTACAAATCACGTAACCCAAACCAACTCAGAAACAACTAAATAAAATGGCCTCCCCACAAAGAGAAGGGTTCAGTATCCCATCATCAATCTCCCATGCTGCTTTAGGTCAAGTTACCAGCAAGTCCTTAGGTGTTAAGTACAACTGTGCCCAATGTGCTGCCTCCTTTTCCTTGAGCAAAAACGACGCCATCAGATGTAAGGAATGTGGTCATAGAGTTATTTACAAGTCTAGAACCAGAAGAATGGTGCAATTTGAAGCTCGTTAAATGTTGTGGAAATGGAGTAATCATTTGAATAACTTCTAAAAACTAATGTTAAGAATGATTAGAAAGTTATAACCTATGGCATAGCAAAAAATTCACATAAGTTTAGTTCAAGCTTTTATATCTCTTTGATAATATTGTATTATAGTTTAATGAAAATCGGTAATTGGAAATACTGGCGTAGTGCACTTGAGTTCAGGATATGAGTCTGTTGTAGTTTAAGAAGGCTCGTATTGTTTAAGTATACTCTTGTGAAACTAATAATTCAACTTACACTACTTTCTCTCACGCTACTATAAGAAGTTTGTGTACTGACGAAGTCCTTTTTGTGTGAGTTATTTTTCCAACTTCTTAAAACTATACTCGCCCATGATCTTATTCTTTGAGATAGTATTTTCCCTGATCCAACTGGATAATTAATAGATAGTGTCAGTTTTTAGGTGCCGTCAGTATCTCGAGCTTGCTCTGGGTATATTATTTTTCCTAAAATTTGAGAAATTGGTTCCTTCTAATTTCCTACTAATTCGAGGAAAGCATTCTTTTGATATTTCCATCTTATAATTCTGTTGTTGATCATTTAATTTACAGTATTTTCTGTTTGCATAGTATGGCATTACACTTTTTCAAAAATTCAGCATTGATTCTTGCATATGTTCCTTATGATTTCCTTGGATTCTAATAATTTTTTCTCAAAAATGTACCAAAAACTTCAAAAATCGATTGGATCAATTATTTCTACACAAAAAGTTAGTCAAATAGATCAAATAAAGACATAATTCTACAGTTTGATGAGTATTCTCCTTCCTAGATGTTTATCAAAACTATTTTGAGAACAATAAACATCATTTTAAGTGGGATATTTCAATCAAACTAAGTTATCCTGATAGTATAGACTTTCCCGATTAGACAAACTTTTGTCCCGATAGAACAAGTTTTTGAATCTCGTTAAGCGAGGTTTAAGCTTGCACCGGACAAAACCAAGAAAAAAATGAAATGTTACAAGCGTGACTGATGAAGGTAGATAATAAAGCTAACGTAGTAACTTTACAGTGGAAGCGTCTTTATAATAGTTCTGTACGAATGAAAGTGGAGGAGTCTATTCTCTAACTAAGCTATCTATAAATAGAATATGATACTTCGAGAACTTGATACTTAATAATTCATTACTTTTTTCCGAGAGTCTATTAATACTTATTCAACTGGGAATCCAATCAAATTTATATTTCATTTTCTTCAAGCTATTCATCTCTAGCTTTTCCGATCAGACCATGTTTGGTGTCGACACTTCAACTATCCTTTTCCTCAGGCCATAATATTAAGATCAGCTCATTTATCCCAAGCTTATTCTCCTCAGGGGTATTTTAATGTTTTCCCTTCTTAATATCTTTTCTTGGCTTTCTGATTTTATTGGTTAGTATAGTGAACATGTTTGATTGGTTGCTTCCTGGATCCCGTGCTCTCTATCTCACAATACCATCTTTATCATTACACAGAATCTCTAGGATCACGTGCTAGATTTAAGAGTTCATACTCTAACATGAAAATATGAAAAGGTCCCTTGGCCCAGTTGGTTAAGGCGTGGTGCTAATAACGCCAAGATCAGCAGTTCGATCCTGCTAGGGACCATTTCCTCTTTAGGGCGTGTGGCGTAGTTGGTAGCGCGTTCGCTTAGCATGCGAAAGGTCTCCGGTTCGACTCCGGACTCGTCCATTGATTTTTTTGCACTTTTGGACAGCAGCAGTTGTTAGTAATATAAACAGCTTGAAAATTCGCACACCATAGACTACAATCATTCTAGATACTATTTAATTGTTCGGGTGCAAAACTATTTAAATTCCGAAAGAAAAAGTTATTTTTTTTGTTCAAGACCTTTCAACAAAATTCAACTTCGAGAACATGAAACAATAAAATGGATTTATCCAAATTGGTATATTAAGGTTGACCATGTAATTGAAACAGAAATAAAAGCTTCGAAACACTATGCCAAGCAAATTTTACATTTACTGGGGCACTTTGGTAATTATCACTCTATTTAATTGTAGCAAGAGGCACAATGGACGGTCTACCGTGTGCACATTGAAACGGTAGATTGCACTCACTCAACCTTATGAGCAAGTCATTCATTTCTTCCATCGTTAATTCATCGCCAAACATAATTGCTGATCGACATGCATTGGAACTTATGATTTCAATTAATACTCGAGGAAGAAAGTGGGATGCCTCCCACCAATTGTTAAGATCTACCTTTGTATTTTTAACATGGTTCATCAAATCGTAGCAATGTTGCAACAAGGAGTTCTTTAGGAAATGAACATCATCATTGATCTTATTCAAGAGGATAGATGGAAGATTGGTGATCAAGATTTCTGACTCATTCCTGAGTTCATATGTTATTGCAAACAAGTCAAAGTTTTGCTTATATTCGTTAAAGATGTCAAGTTCTTGGGAGGTTAGAGATATAATATACTCACAAGGTACTTTAGAACCAGGTGCTAACAACAATGACACAAACTCTTTAAATAACTGTTCAACACGAACTCTTTCATCACTTGCATGTTGATCTAAAACAACCAATCTTGTTAAACCACCAACGTTTTCCAAGTTGACAAGAATAAACTTTTTATCAATCTGTTTAATAATCCTGAAATTTCCAGGCTTTAGGTGATCTCTAGAAAAACTTACCCTTTCATTAAAGTTATGATTTTGACAGCGTGGGATGGACACACTTTCAACAGAAGGTGCTATAGGCAAAAGATTAATCTTTGGCCTAGTTGGCTTTTGGGCTATTTCTTTTGAATCTACAAAGTCCTTGGTTTCTCTATTTCTTAAATAGTCCAACTTATTATTTGAGTTTAGTAGAAAATTAGACTCACTATTGATCTTCTTGGTTGGACTTTGGAAAGGTGACGGCGATGGCAATTTTGACTTGCTTCTCTGAGTACGACCATGAGATCCTAGAAAACGAATAAATATCTTTTCTAGGATCTTATACACCGTAGACCAAGTATTAGCATAATACAATGATTTAGAAGGATCTTGAAATAATAATTCTGCTTTCATGGGACATTTGATTGTTATTAAAAACATCGGAAACCTATAGAATGGTCGTCCAGTAGTCTTTGTAGGGCTCATTATGCTATCAATACCCATTCTGTTTTCACAAAATCCCGAATTAGTAAACAAGCCGTTGATTTGCTTAATATCTTCTTTATCTGGAATGAATGGACGACCATTTAGAAATATATATTGATGAGATTTCGAATTAATACTGTTTATGCCTATAATTCCATCAACTTCAAAATCCTTAAATCTAGCACTAATCGTTTCACATTTGATCTTCATTCCAAATATACAAAATAATAAGTTGGAATATAGCATTTTCATATTTTTGCCTTTAGTTTTGTTGTTGAGGCTAATAATCTCCTCTAATTTCATTTTATCTTGATTAATAACAAAAAGTTTTAAGTTTATTCTAGGATGTTTAACTAATGACTGAAGTATGGCCAACCTTATTTCGTTCAAAATTCTTTGCCTAGATACAGCAAGTATTTGTTCTCTCCGGATAGGCATATTCGAAAAGATATTAGTGGCAATTACAAAAGTACCAGATTCTTCAAAACTATCCACAGAAAAGAAATTCAGTTCTGTATTACTTTCTTTGGCATCAAATATTTGTACCAAGGATCTTGAATCAGTAAACTGGATTCGAAAAGGACTATTGTAGTTCTTGCACTTAGATACAATTGTTAGTCTACTCATGGAACGTAAGGAATACAATGCTTCACCTTTAAATCCAAAAGTTGAGATTGAGTTAAGATCAGCCAATTTGGTTAACTTGGATGTAGAATTCCTGGAAGCAACTTGCTCCAAATCATCGGGAGCTATTCCAATACCATTATCTTTAACAAGAACACTAAGAGATTTCAAGTCCAATTTTATGAGGATTTCATCAGCCGATGCATCTAAACTATTTTGTAATAACTCTTTTATGGCTGCATCTATAGAGGTGATTTGTGTTTGTGCTTTGATTTGACTTAGGATTGACTCATCCAATTTATGAATATTTCCATCATTTGAATGCATAGAAGGTGCATGGTTGAGTGTATTGTTATAGATGTTGCCATTGTAGATTTTCACTAAGGAAAAAAAAGGAATCACAAGGTCGTGTAAAAGTACCAAAAGTGAAAGTTGCAGCAATTCTTACAAGGGGTTTGGGAAGCAGAATGCCCTAAATGGATGGATATATCGGAGTCAAAAGCCAAGTTAACCGACTATAAGCTAATTCTAAACTGAATACTCAACCAATTAAGATACTCTCGTTATTTAGCATTGTGTCATATCCATTTCCATGAAATATCAACGTAGGTTGCTAGCAAGCTCTCCCATTAAATGAAAATAGTAGGATAATGATCTCAATGCTGTATGGTATGTCTCTATTTTGATACAAACTTAGTATTACTGATTCATATTCAATGACTAATCGTATGAAACTGGAACTTTCGGTACGTATTCATGATTTCATCGTACGGAACTGGAACCATCGGTTCTTTCTTAGCTTGCTACAAAACCAAACCTGCATATAACTATTCAGGTTGCAACCATACCCCTTCAACCAAGACGATAATAGATGTGTCTTTTACTCTTACTTCTTCATATCTTCGTTACTCATTTCCATAAAACGGTTGTAGTATATATAAGTTAAGTGTAGCGATGTGACGTTAAAACGATCCAACGCAAAAATCATATGACCAGTAGTCATATGACCCCAGGTTTTTTGTTCATCCCCTAAACTCCCCACAACGGGAAAGAAGGTTCTGGAATTTTCGAGCTTACTCCTTAAATTGAAAAATTTACCCATTCACCCCTCTTACTCATACTATACGAAAAACTTGCTACAAGAACTTGCCATAATATAAATATACACTCAATTCGCCATAACCTTTTTTTTTATAAAACGTATACTTTTTGTTTTTTTTCTTTGTTTTGTTTATTAATCAATTGATTATATATCAAATATTAAATCATGTCTAAAGCTGTTGGAATTGATTTAGGGACTACCTATTCCTGTGTAGCCCACTTTACAAATGATAGAGTTGAAATTATCGCCAATGACCAAGGTAATAGAACTACTCCCTCTTTTGTTGCTTTTACCGATACTGAAAGATTAATTGGTGACGCAGCCAAGAATCAAGCAGCCATGAATCCCGCAAATACCGTTTTCGATGCTAAGCGTTTAATTGGGAGAAAGTTTGACGATCCTGAAGTTCAGACTGATAAGAAACACTTCCCATTTAAGATTATTAACAAAGGTGGCAAGCCTGCAATTGAAGTTGAATTCAAGGGAGAAACCAAGGTTTTCACTCCAGAAGAAATTTCTTCTATGGTTTTGACCAAGATGAAGGAAACCGCTGAAAGTTATCTTGGAGAAAAGATTTCCGATGCTGTTGTCACTGTTCCTGCTTATTTCAATGATTCCCAAAGACAAGCTACCAAAGATGCTGGTTTAATCGCTGGTTTGAATGTGTTGAGAATTATTAACGAACCAACTGCAGCAGCAATTGCTTATGGTTTGGATAAGAAGGGTTCTAAGGAAGAACATAATGTCTTGATTTTCGATTTGGGTGGTGGTACTTTTGATGTTTCGTTATTGGCTATTGATGAAGGTATTTTTGAAGTCAAGGCTACTGCCGGTGATACTCACTTGGGTGGTGAAGATTTCGATAATAGATTGGTTAACTTCTTTGCCCAAGAATTCAAGCGTAAGAACAAGAAGGACTTGACGGGAAACCAAAGAGCTTTGAGAAGATTAAGAACCGCTTGTGAACGTGCCAAGAGAACTTTGTCATCTTCTGCACAAACTTCCATTGAAATTGATTCGTTGTATGAAGGTATTGATTTCTACACTTCAATTACCAGAGCTAGATTCGAAGAATTGAACGCTGATTTATTTAGATCTACTTTGGATCCAGTTGAAAAGGTGCTTAAAGATGCCAAGATTGACAAGTCTCAAGTTGGTGAACTTGTTCTTGTTGGTGGTTCAACCAGAATTCCAAAGATTCAAAAGTTGGTTTCTGATTTCTTCAATGGTAAGGAATTGAACAAGTCCATTAATCCAGATGAAGCTGTTGCTTATGGTGCTGCTGTCCAAGCCGCTATCTTAACTGGTGATACTTCTTCCAAGACTCAAGATTTGTTATTATTGGATGTTGCACCATTATCCTTGGGTATTGAAACTGCCGGTGGTATCATGACCAAGTTGATCCCAAGAAATGCCACTATCCCTACCAAGAAGTCAGAAATTTTCTCAACCTATGCTGATAACCAACCTGGTGTTTTGATTCAAGTTTATGAAGGTGAACGTGCCAAGACCAGAGACAATAACTTGTTGGGTAAGTTCGAATTATCAGGTATTCCACCTGCCCCAAGAGGTGTTCCACAAATTGAAGTTACTTTTGATATTGATGCCAATGGTATTTTGAATGTTTCTGCCTTGGAAAAGGGTACTGGTAAGTCTCAAAAGATTACCATTACCAACGATAAGGGTAGATTATCTAAGGAAGATATTGAAAGAATGGTCAGTGAAGCTGAGAAGTTTAAGGAAGATGATGAAAAGGAAGCTGCAAGAGTCCAAGCTAAGAATGGGTTGGAATCTTATGCTTACTCTTTGAAGAATACCATTAATGATGGAGAAATGAAGGATAAGATTCCTGAAGCTGATAAGGAAAAGTTGACTAAGGCAATTGATGACACTATTTCTTGGTTAGATGCTTCACAAGCGGCCTCTACTGAAGAATATGGTGACAAGCATAAGGAATTGGAGTCTGTTGCTAATCCAATCATTACTGCTGCTTACTCTGCTGGTGGAGCTCCACCTCCAGGTGGTGCTGGTGGCTTCCCAGGTGCCGGAGGTGCCGGTGGATTCCCAGGAGGGGCTCCAGGCGGTGGCGCTGAATCCAGTGGTCCAACCGTTGAAGAGGTTGATTAAAAGAGTTGTGTGTACGTTTTCTAGTGTTTGTATATCTTTGTTTATAAAAAATTAAGTAATTTGTTTGAAAAACCTAATTATGTAGATTTTTAAAGAAACTCACTGATTATACAGAGAGTTGTTGCAATGACCCAGTTCAATATCAATATCTTCCCAATAGTTTTATCTAAAATCCAATTATTTTTTGGGATGATGATTACAAGAAATATCAAATTGACAATCAATGCACCAGAGGTAATAGCTAACGTTCTTGTCATTGCTAGTTCATATACGTTCCCTTGTAATTTAGGAATTGTGATTAATCCAGTTAACCCCAATGAACAAAGAGCTAAAAGGGGACCACCAAAACATGCTGCAAATGCCATCATAGGCATGCCCATTTTCGCAATGGTATAATTTGAAATAAAGTCTCCAATCGAGTTACCCAATGCAAACACAGTGATACCCAATATATCGTCACTAAGATTATATATGACTGATATTGTCTTAAGAATGTTGATGATTTCACCTGCAAATATTGATATCCATGAAATTGAAACTATGAATCCTAGAAATGAAGCAAAGTAATTTATTGCCTTGATACGGGAAGCAAATCTTACTGAAATTGGTCCAAAGGGGTACACAAGTTTGACAAGATACGTCAAGGCCATAGATGAAACAATCCCAAGGGGCAAGTGTATTGCCCAGAAATGCAGCATTGAACTGGTGAAATTTATAGTTAGGAATACAAGCCCTGCGGCTGTCTGAATAAGGAGGAATCGTTTATCTTGTTCGTAATCAAACAGTGGAACATTGTTATCAGTTCCCAAGGTTCGTACCTGTTGATTAAGTTCTTCTATAGTTGCACGGTTTCTCACAGGATTGGTTAGATGAAGCAATGTATTCACCGGAAGCGAGAATATCGTCAAGATTTTATCATATATGTTTAACTGTTTAAATCTTGAAAGCTGAGGAAATAAAAACGAGACAACTTCGCGATCAGGCTTGTATCCAAATATATTGAGATCTTCATCTTCAAAGTTGTCTAGATCTCCTATCTCTATATCATCATTGGTGGTGGTGGTAGATGTCAATGGACGTTCCCTTGACAACTGGATACCCCCCCGCGAAACACTAGAATGATCAGATAAATCCTTCAATAACATACGAAGACCATATGTCCCTGCAGAAGATGTCATCGATTTAGAAATCGAGTCATGCGGCATATCTTGAAATGTTAAATATTCATTCATTGAATCATCATTTACTTGGAAATGGTCAATTGTAGGTAATCTTGCAAAATTATCAAGATAAATTTCATCAATATCTTCTATATTATCCTGTATTGTATCTGAAAACGCATTTCTTGATCTTTGATCTCTTAATAGTTGTGCAACTTTTGCTTTGTAACGAGAATGTCTATATACTGCTGCGCCAACATATAACACGTAGGCAACCACCAATACTAAACTTGTGAATATCAGGAGGGAACCAATAAGAAGGGAAATTATTACCACGAGAACAATAAATATATACATGGTTGCGTCTCTAATAAATATATTTTGAGGAACTTCGAATGGATGTAATACTGCAATTGTGCCAACTACCACGGTCACAATAAACAAGGAAGCACCAATCAATTCCGCAATAGCTAAACTTCCAGAATCCCACGAGAATGCTTGTAAGGTACTAAACACATCCGGGGCACCATTTCCAAATGCTAGTAATGTCAATCCTGCAAGATTATCTGACAATTGAAGGAATTTAGAAATTGTATCTAAATTTGGACATAAAAAGTCAGATGCAGTTACTCCTAAGGATAAGAACATAACAAATAGACATAGTGACAATGGAATGATGGCAAATGTTTTCAAAAATCCAAACTTACAATAGTAGAAACTGAAATAGTTGACTAGTCCTTCAAGATCTTGACAGTTTGACTTTATGAATTCACATCTTTGTTGCGGTGCTATCAAAAGAAGTTGTGATGAACATGTGTCATTGTCCCTTTTAATCAAGAGGGGACCTCTCAGATGACCTATTGAAGTAGTAGACTCGATTGCTAGTATTGAAATGGACCATATGAGTATCAATTGGGGATAGACTTTCATTCTAACATTGCTTATAATGTTAGTTGTACGTTGCAGTTTTTTCTGACTGTCAAAAATTATAGGCGCATATGTTAGTCAACTCAAACCACGCTAGGTAACTTTGTAGCGCTTTTTAAACGACAAGTCAATACTCAGATATACAGAAATATGTTTTCAAGGAAAGCAATTAGGGCTACAATAAACTACGAAAGACTTTAAACATGTGAATACAGAGGCTTTAAAAAAAAAAAGAAGTGATCGGCTCTATTTCTGATGACCACAAGACCAACTCATAAAATAGTTTACAATAATATAAAATGTCCAGTCAATCCTTGCAGCAAACCCCATACGGGCACACGAAGGTAAACCCTTAGAAATAAACAAGTTATTCAACAGATGGAATGCTGCACCCAAGATCAACTCATTTCATTCTCCAGTCCATCGAAACCAGAAAAAAAAATTCCACGACAACAATATTCCGATGGTCATGGGCCAGAACGCCGTAATGGGTTCAACCTCAAGGGAATGCTTTAACGTTGTTAATGGCTGTGAAATTTGCGTTAAAGAAGAAAAGAAGTAAACTTTAAAAAAAATTTTCAAACTTCTGATGACATTTATACTGTGCGAATATCCGGGTAATACTATACTATGCTATTTATTTGCCCTATAAACATCTATTCTAATGTTTATTTAACCAATGTCTCATTTGTATCGTATCTTTGCATCCCATTAGACATTTTGTCATTATTGTCTTGTTCTAGTCTTTCAATCACTTTCACAAACACATCTTCATAGACATCATTTCCCCATAAAGTATCCATATGTTCATATTCTGGGCATAGTATCACCTCCAACTTTTCTCTCATATTGTCATTATTGTCTACAATTAAACTCTTGGTTTTATTAATATCCACCAAAATATCACTATCTCCATAGAATAAGAGCATGGGAACATTTAAGTGGTCAGCAATAGGAAATGGTGCTACTAAATGACTCTTTTTCTGCAGGGTTCGTGATAAGGAAGATAACCTAGTAAGTCCGAAATCACCAGTTTCATTAAACATTTGAAATCTTTTTGCACCTATAATTTGAAACCAATGAACCAAAGATTTCACGGAACTATTGGAAAACATATGTGGATATCCTATTTCCCTTTGAAACTGACTGATGTTCTTACAATCCCATCCAAATAGTAACGACAAGGATTTATCAACTACTCTTTCATAAAGTCTAGGACCTAATATAGTTGACCAGAATGAAACTGAAGGTAGGATTGCCCGTTTACCAAACAAGCTATAAAGGAAAGCATTATCTGATGCAGTTTGTCTCACTATCAATTTAAATAAAGGATGATTTAAATTCTGTGGAATAATGGCAGGTGATAATCCTACAAAGAGTTTAATACTTGAGTTTAAGGCAGGATTCAAACTTAAACTGGCAAATAATTGGGAGCACCCTTGGGAAAATCCAATATAAGTTATCTTAACATCTTGCGATGAGGGATAATTATTCTTGATATAGGTGATTGTATCTGGGATATCAAAGTATGAAAACTCATCCAACGAGAAATCCCAAAATGTTGGATCAGACACCGAAAGTTTAAGATGTTTTCTCGAGTACTTATTACCACGATTGTTTCCTAACCAAACATCATAACCCAAATCTGCTAATAAATATGGAAGGGTTTTTTCCTTGGTGGATCCTAACAAGAATAACTCAGAACTTGTCATTAATCCATGGTGGAAATAAACAATCTTGTTAGTTAAACATTTAGTGCTTGGGGATAAACGAGGATTCTCTAATTTGTGAACCACTAACAAGTATCCGTCTCTTGTAGTAATAACATGTTCTCGTATAACATATCCGCTGATAGCGGCTACTTCGGATATGTTTTTGGCATTGATAACACATAGTTTAAAGGCATCGTTCTCTCCGTGGGCTACTTCTTCTGCTCGGGTAACCTTATGTTCTTTATGATCTTGCTTGTTATAACCTGTCAACTCTTGACAATACATAACTATTAGTTTAAATAATAGGATGCAAACATTAACGAATGTGGTTGAAAGGGATATCCCCTGTGGAGCAGGCATTCTCTTGGAAGATATTAATGTGCCTTAAGGAAGAATGCCTAAATGAAAATGTAAGAACTTTTTCAGGGTAAAAATTGGAATTTTCTCTAAACGAAGGTGATGTCTATACGACTGTATTTTTGCAGTGGTAGTAGATTATATGCATTGGTTACGCAAGGCGCGCGCGCTTTGCTACAGGAGAGTTTTTTTTTTTTCACAACCCATGTGATGATTTAGGGAAAAGTGGTTGCTTTCTATGTTTCATTTTAAAATATACACGCATTTTATATACAAGAGTGTTAAAATATACCAAGCCATTTCTTCCTAGGTTTTCTGGTGGCATCTAGTAATTCTTGAGGTTGTTCTTCGTTGACAATTGGATTTTTCTGCATATATTCTTGCAAATACTTTTCATGATAATCCAATTCTTTCAACATTCTTTCTTCTTCTTGTTGCTGTATTCTTTCGGCTTCCAATATATGTTTTTCCGAAGGTCTACTCAATACCAAGTCATTCTCAGGAGTTTTTCTCAAAGAATCAGGAATATATTGACTATCTTTAACACCTTTAATTCTAACACCAGAATCTTTCTGATGATACAAATCATCATGCTCTTCTTCATTCAATCCCACATATTTCTCTTTCAATCTTAATCTTGATCTGTAGAACTCAGAAAACACATTTTCTGAACCTCCATTCCATCTATAAAAGAATGCAGCGTATGTAAAAGCAGAAACAGTTATAAATAATCCAAAATATCTTGATCCCAAATATAACCTACGATTGGTATCGACTCTTCTCAACACCTTATATTGACCAGGATATAAGTCAGACATTGGACGAGGGGAATAATTCAATCTATTCATAGTGTCATTAACTTTCCCATATTGAGTGTTTTCAGCAGGTACGGAGGAAAATCCCTTAGGAGATTTACGTGGTGCATTGAACTCAGAAGGGTATCCTTCAGGTGGTCTAATGTCCCATGGATCATATGGATTATACGGAGCTCTTGGTGGTACCCAACCTTTTGGATTTGGTCTTCTTTGGATATCCAAGTCTTTTTCACTGGGTTCAGACATGATCTAGACTGAGCTTCTACAGTGATGAATTTCTCTATGGTAAAAATTTCTATCAAAATTTTAATTTATTTTTTTTTTTTTGTTCGTAGAAATTTATGTCACACCTTGGAAACAAAGATTGTTTACAACACTATCCAAACATATACACTTTGCAATCATAGGCCATGTCAGTTCTTGGTCAAATGCGAAATTTCTTTGCATTAGAAACATTAGATACCTCAATAGGTCCCAATACCAACCCAACCAAGCGTCAAGCCATAATCAAGCGAGCATCCCCACATTCGAGATGGTCCACTTTAGAGTTTAAAATATACATGGTAATTTTTGCCATAGTAATACCATTGATGGTTAAGACAACCATGGATGCATCCAATGAGACCAACCCAAATTATCCTATATTTTCTCGTCTATTGAGCCAGGGATGGATGTTGGGTAGGAAGGTTGATAATTCAGACCAACAATATCGCTTTTTCAGAAACAATTTCCCCTTGCTTTGTCTTTTAATAACTGCTCATGTTGTCATGAGAAGATTAACTAATTTGATTGTTCCTAAATCCAGTTCTAAAAGGTCATATTTTGATTTTGCATTTGGAATTGTGTTCTTGATCGGTGCCCATGGTGTTAATTTGCTTCGAATTTTGGTCCATGTGTCTATAAATTACGCCATTGGAAAATATGTAAAGGATAGAAGAACAGTTATCGGGTTGACATGGATATATGGGGTTCTGTCATTGTTTGTGAATCATTATGTGGGACAAGTTCCATTTGGAATAGGTTTTCTTGATCATGGATTCAAGGGGATTATTGCTCGATGGGACGTGTTTTACAACTTGACTTTGCTTAGGATGATTTCATTTAATCTTGATTATATAGAAAGAACTAAAGCAATTCAAGATTCGGCGACGGAAAAGGAAACCCCTGAAAAGCAGATTCAAGAACCAAAATTAAAAGACCTTGATTATAGAGCAAGATTAACTGCTCCACTTCCAATTAGTGAATATAATGTTCTTAATTACATTGCATATATCAGTTATGCACCATTGTTTATTGCTGGTCCGATAATCACTTTTAATGACTACCTTTACCAATCAAACTATGAGCAACTTGAAAGTGTCAAGAATTATAAGAGAACATTCATTTACTTTTTGAGATTTTTGTTTTGTATGTTTGTCATGGAATTCTTATTACATTTTACCTATGTTGTTGCCGTGTCCAAAACAAAGGCATGGGAGGGAGATACCCCGTTTCAACTTTCAATGCTTGGCTTCTTCAATTTAATTATCATTTGGTTGAAATTATTAATCCCATGGAGACTTTTCCGATTCTGGAGTTTGTTAGATGGAATTGACCCACCTGAGAATATGATCAGATGTATGGCTAATAATTATAGTGCACTTGCATTTTGGCGTGCATGGCATAGATCTTACAATAAATGGGTGATTCGCTATATTTACATTCCAATGGGTGGGGGTGGCAAGTATAGAATCATCAACAGTCTTTTGGTGTTCAGTTTTGTGGCAATTTGGCATGATATTGAATTGAAATTGTTAATGTGGGGTTGGTTAATCGTGATATTTTTAATGCCCGAGATAATTGCCACACTTGTGTTCAAGAGATTCAGCGAAAATTGGTGGTTTAGATATTTATGTGGGGTAGGTGCAGTGATAAATATTTGGATGATGATGATTGCAAATTTGGTTGGATTTTGTTTGGGTAAAGATGGGACCTTGAAATTGTTGCATGATTTGTTTAATACAGTTGAAGGGTTTGAATTTTTTGTATTATCATCAATTGCACTTTTTGTTGGTGTTCAAGCCATGTTTGAGTTTAGAGAAGCCGAAAAGCGAAAGGGAATAGATGTTAGGTGTTAGTTATAGTAATACAAAATTATCGTTTGACTAAGAAAATGTAGAATCTTTTTTTGTTGCGCAAATGAGTCTTTGATCATGGAAATCCCAGTAAACGAATAACGTTTTCACCAATCGACACACCGGAACACACCATGGCACCACCAATACCTGTATATTCAGCCAATGAAATCAAGGGTCAATATTCTGAACAACTTAATAATCCCGAAAAGTATGAATGTCAACTAAAATCACTAACACAGCATGAATGCACATTTCGTCCGGCTTCCTTGGATGGCTCAAGACCATTGGAAATAATATGTCTACCCTTTAAACGTATATTCCAAAGATGTTTAATACCCAAAACAATTAAAAAGGATGGACAGAAAGTGGTAGTGAAAAACTGGGTAAATATTGAAATAACGAACAGTGAAACTAATCAAGATTTGTTTGATCCAAATTCAAAATATGCTGGTGATGTCAAAGATTTCATGAGTACTGAACATGAACTTAAAAAGTTTTTAGAGCAAGAAGCAGAAGGGCATTTATAGATTTATATACATATATATATATATAAATATTTATTAAAAGATTGTTGAGAGGGGAAACAGGTAGAGATGAATACTCTATAGAAACACTAAGGTTAAATCAAATGCAAATTAGTAGGTTGAACCTTCAGGAGGCTGACTTAACTTCTTGTTAGCAGGCAGGGCCATACTCTTTCTTAATTCAAGTAACACAGTTTCCATGGTGTATGATCTTTTCCAATTCTTTAAGGTATCGAACTCGTCCGTAATTACATTACCTTGTGAATCAACGCACGGTAAATTGATCTTAGATACAAATGTAACTTTCGGAGGCTTATCAGGATAACTTTCATCACAAATAATACGTAAGGAATAAATTCTATTCTCATGGCTTGAATGTGGGGGACCCAAGATTGTACCGTTCCAGTATGTCATGGTGATATCATCTTGATTAGTCAACCCATATGAAATTGATTCGGCTCCTAAACCCTTTTCACCTTTTTCTAACTCTTCCAATAATTTGAAATTTCTGGGACTAGAAAAACAATACAGTTAGCAAAATTGAACAATTCACGACAAACAACAGGAGAATTGACATACATTTTCGACATTGTTTCTATGTGTTAATTAGCACTTGCACGAATTGTACAATTAAACACAAAGTTTTCGCCTTATCCAGATTTTGAATCCGCGGAAACCTTGAGGGTTTGACACATCGGGTAACTCTTGCGTCGCACTGTATGAAGAAAAACAACAACAACAAAAAAAAAAGTAGCAACCAAACTCTAAACAATACAATATAGACAGCCAAAAGCAGCCAGTGTACAGACTGACAATGTCAACAGGCTCATCACCGTTTGTGTCCAATCCTTCGCGTACATCATTCATAGAAGATGGAAACACATTTGACCAAAAGCAGACGATTTCCAAATTCAAATTCCAAATCGACTCTTTAACCACGGAGAAGGAAATATTGAAACAAGAAAAAGAATCAATAATACGTGACTATGAAGCTCTATTAACTAAGAAATCAGAAGAATACTCAAAATTAAAAGCAAATTTTGATTTCACATATGAAGAAAAGAAGCAATTGGAGTCGAAGCTAGTGAATCAATCCCAAGTTGAAAAGGGTACTAGTCACTCCTTGCGAAAAGAAATAGATCAATTAAGAACAAAAAATCAAACTCTTTCGAGCGAATATCGAGATTTAGAAACTAAATATGATAGACTACAAAGAAAACATCAACAGGTTAGTTCAAACTGGAATCAGGAATTGATCATCAAGAATGAATTAAGAGATGGTATCACGGAAAAAGAACAAATCATCCAGCAATTACAACTGAAAAATGATGAATTGATTAAACAAATGAAGAGCTACTCAGATATTTTAAACAACAAAGACTCCTTATCCAATATAAACCAAAGCTTGCTTAATAAAAATGCAAGCTTACAAAAAATTAATAACCAATTACAATCAAAGTATGATAAATTGTTACAAACACAGATCTCAAATGAAGTTTTAAAAGAGAAGAATACCACTTTAACTAATAAACTTATACATTTACAAGGTGTTGAAGAAAAATGCCAACAATTGGACATTGAAAAATCCGAAATACAAGCAAAATTCAATGATTTGTTTAGAATTTTGAATGAGTCAATCCAAAGCTCTGACCAAAAGGACGAAGAAACCAATACAATCAAAATAAAGAATTTCATTCAAATGTTTAAAGAACTGCAAGCCAGGACTTTAACTCTTCAAGAGAAGTTGGACGACAAAACACGAGAAGTGAATGAATTAAGAGAGTGTTTAGAAGAAAACATGCAGCTTATAGAAGAAGAATACCTTCCAACCATAGAAAGTTTAGAATCCAACAGCAAATCTCTAGTTGAGCAAAATGAACAATTGGAAAGAGCAAAAAACTTGAATTCTCGTGAAATTGTGTTTTTGAGAAATCTGTTGAAAGAATTGGAAGAAATTCAAGCAAAGAAACAAGAGAGTGAAAACAAGACCTATGATAAGGCGACTGATCAATACCTAACCAATTTAGAGAAACTAGTTGGAGAATATAAACAAGAAATTGAGAAATTACAAGCTCAAGTTAATCATCCTAACCAGCCAAGCATTGGTAATAAACGGCCACATCCAGATGATGCAAACAAAAGACTTAGCTTTAAATCTCAAGTTTCCGATTTAGAAAGGGAAAATGTTAAACTTTTAACCAAGATTAAACAATTGGAGTCTACTGTGCAAGAATTAACAAACAAATTAAGGGACACCAATTCCTTAAATGAAAAACGGAAAGACCTTCAAATTTTACAATTAAAAAATAATTTAGTTGCTAAAGATCAAGCAATTAAGAAAGAAACTTTAGATGCATTGAGGAATGAAAATCAATGTCTAATCGACAAGTACATAAACAATAAAGAAGTCGATTCTATCCCCAGGGCAGTTTTTGAAAGACAAGAAAATGACAAGTCGTTGCTTCAAAATAAAATTAACGAATTGAATAGAAGAATTACCCGATTCAAAGAAGTGTACTCGAAAAAGAGTAAAGATATTTTAACAATAATATCTAAATATTTCGGATTTACAATTGAATTTCTTCCTAGTGTCACAAATCCTAATGAATTATCATCGAGATTAAAATTAGTTTCTAAATATCTACCACCAAAAGAAAAATCCTATTTAGTTATTGATTTTGAAACTAAAGCCTTGAAGGCATATGGTAGTTTTGAATTCAAATCAATGTGTGAAGAAATGGCCGAGAAATGGGTCAAAGAACAACAAGGTCAATTTCCTTGTCTTTTAAGTGCATTGAATCTTAAAATGTATGAATTATATCGTCTGTAATCCCACCCCCTTATTTAATAGACATAATGACACAAATTTTAGAATTTCAGCAGGTTTCTTGTCAAAATTCTTTATATCCTTTTTGATGGAACAGAAACGATCGCCTGTATTAATATCATCATAACTCTCTTCAAATTGACTCAAGAACTTATTAACCTCGTCTTCAGAACCGTACTTTTGCAAATAATTATAAGACCAACCCCAAATATCACCATTTTTCCGATCAGCTTTCAACGCACGATCAAACCAAGCTTTTGCCTTTTGATGATTTCCATCAACCCAGAAAAACACTCCAACTCCAAGCAATATAATTGGTGAATTTTCAGTTTTCTTCATGGCATCCAAGAATGATGTTTTTCTGTGGGACATTTTCGGAATAAGAGAAAGGTAAACCATCCATACTGATGGTGAATTAGGAAACAACTTCAATGCTTTATTGGCAAGTTGTCTAGCAGCAATCATGTCTTGTTGTCGTATTTCAAATTGTACCTTTGCAACTAAAAGTTCATCACTTTTTGGGTTTTGTAAAATTGCCATATCTAAATCAGACCTTGCCCTGATAGTTACATTCAAATACTTTTCGTCTATAAGTGATAACATCTTCCAAACTGGAATTGAATTAGCACACTGCTTAACCGCTTGAGATGCTACTTCTCTCGCAACTTTTGGATTGTTGGAATCATACAAAAGAATTTGGATATTTTGGATCCAAAGTTTCCAAGAGGTAGGGAATATATTCTTGGCTTTATTTGAAAACTGTAAAGCTGTATCCCTGTGCAAACAGCGTAAGATATGAATATACTTGTACCAGTACTTATCTGAAGCAATTGGGTTCTTTTCTATTAAGTCAGTAGCAAATGATTCTGCTTTATCGAAATTGCCAGTTTGCATCTCTAATTTAAGAATAGCCAAATTAATAGATTGGTCATTGAGTGAAGTTTGAGCTTTCACAAGAATTTTTCTAGCTCTATTAATATCACCAGCAAGTTTCCACAAATCCTTAGCATACATCAAATAGAATAAAACAACTTTTGGATTCAATTCAATGGCACGGTCATAAAATTTGAATAGGGTGTCCAAGTTTTCTCCCAGTTGTTTCACTGATGCAAACAACATCGTCCAACAATCTATATCATTAGGATGAACATTTATAATAAATTGCAAGATCGAATTACCTGTGATGGTACTTCCCGAGTTGAACATAGTATTAGCATCATTTAACAATTGTTTAAAGTCAGAATGTTTAACTGAGTCAAGGTATCCATGAATTATTGCCTTACAAGTACCAGCAAAACCTTCGGTTTCCGAATCTTCAGCATGCTTGAACCAGACTTCCTTATCTTGCTTCAGTTCAGAAATTGCTTTTGAAATCAATTTAACTAATTTCTGTTGTGGAATATCAGGATTTTCTCGTTCTTCTAATTTACATGCAGCAATCCATACTCGAAGATCACCAGCAATTGCCTTCCTGGCTTTGTTTAAGTAGACCTTTGCATCTTGATAACTTGAAACATTCACAAGTCCGGTCCAAAGATCCCATTCTTGCGGACATAGTTCAACCGCCTTAGATAATAGTTTTGTTACAGCATTAGAATCTTGTTCCAATTCAATAATTTGTTTCCACAAAGTTGGATTGTTTGGTAATTCTTGCAATGCTTTCATAATTACTCGTTTTTGTGAATTTCTATCATTCTCAAGTTCTACTGCTTTTAACCACAACTTTTCTGACTTCCTATTATGACCTAATGCATCAGCTATGATGATTTTACATGATTTTATATCACTCTGGTGTAGTCGAATATTTTCAAGCCAAATATCTTCGTTTGAAGGTACTTTTCGACACCCTTCTTTGATAAACAGTTTTGCTTGATTTAAATTATTTGCTTGCTCTTCCAATCTGGCTGACAGAATCCACGAACTGGCTTTGAAAGGCTCGGTTTTTCTTAGTGAAGTTAATATTATTCTACCTTTGTTTATATCGGCAATTTTAACGTCTTGCTCTGCACCAGACATGTTTAAAATCTGATTTTCCAACTCAAAGTCAACTTTAGTAGTTGGTAATAAACTATCCAAAGAAGACCCAAGCAATTTATCTCGAGATTCAGAAATAGATTTAAAGTTGGTTTTAGCCCCAGTAGCACCAGCAATAATTATATCAGGCACAGCATAAGTTCTTTGTTGTTGCTGTTCTAGAATACGTAATCGCTTGTTTCTTCTTGTGATATCACCAGCTTCTGGTAATAATTCCCACTGCTCTTCAGAAACTCTGGCTAAATCTCGTTTTAAATCGGTGAAATTGACTTTGTTATCTTTTTCGACAGTAGTAATCTCTTGCTTTTGCTTAGATTGCAATCTTTGGTCAATCTGTTCATAAATTCGATCAGCTTCTTCATCATCGGCATCTTGACGAGTTGTGGCAAGAATTCCTTCTTCATTTGCTCCATTGCTGTCGTAAACCTCTTCCTCGTCTTCTTCAGCTTGGGTAACGGCGAGACCCTTATTGAAAGTATCAACACTAGTAACAAATCCAACTGCTCCTCGACCTATCCCGGGTATATACCCTGGTGGGGGTTCCTGATCTAAGAATGCTTTCCTCGACATGGACCGTTGTATGTGAGCTCAACTAAGTGTTACAATTGAGCAGTTGTTTTCGTGTTTGTGTGCATCACTTTCCCTAATATGTAAGTATGGATGTTGGATACCCACGCGATGCAAGCCAGCTCTGCTCGAAGACCTTAAAAAAAAACTTTTGAAAAATTTATTAAAACCCTTTAGATCTAGAAGTTTAAATCAACCAACAATGTCAAAGCGTGGTGCATCTGATGACTTAGAAAGTCATAACAAGAAGACCCCAAATGATCCTGCTCCAATTACGGAAGAAAATGACCTTGATGTAGGTGAATTTGAAGATCCTTATGGGGATGAATTTGAAAGTGATGGAGAAATTATTGAATTAGATGATAATGAAGATGAGGAAATGGATGAAGAAGCCGCCAATGAAAAGATTGAAAAATTGGAACAAATGGAAGAACAAGAAGAATCATCGATATATTTGCCACATAGATCAAAACCATTAGGACCAGATGAAGTTTTAGAAGCTGATCCATCAGTTTATGAAATGTTACATAATATTAATTTGCCATGGCCATGTTTAACTGTTGATATATTACCAGATAACTTAGGTGATGAAAGAAGATCATTCCCTGCTTCAGTGTATATGGCAACTGCTACTCAAGCATCTAAGGCAAAGGACAATGAATTAATAGTAATGAAGGCATCCTCTTTAGCTAAAACCTTAGTTAAGGATGAAGACGAAGACGACGAGGAAGATGAAGACGAAGATGTTGATTCTGATCCTATTTTAGACAGTGAAACCATTCCGTTAAGACATACTACTAATAGAATTAGAGTATCACCACACGCACAACAAACAGGAGAATATTTAACTGCAACCATGTCAGAAAATGGTGAAGCATATATTTTTGATTTATCTGCACAATATAAAGCATTTGACACACCAGGTTACATGATTCCTAAATCTTCCAAAAGACCAATCCACACCATCAGAGCCCATGGTAATGTCGAAGGGTACGGTTTAGATTGGTCACCATTGATAAATACTGGAGCTTTATTAACTGGTGATGTATCAGGTAGAGTACATTTAACTTCAAGAACTACTTCCAATTGGGTCACTGACAAAACACCATTTTTTGCATCCCAACATTCAATTGAAGATATTCAATGGTCAACTGGTGAAAACACTGTTTTTGCTACAGCAGATACTGAAGGATATGTTCGTATTTGGGATACCAGATCTAAAAAGCATAAACCAGCTATTTCAGTAAAGGCTTCTAATACTGATGTTAACGTTATTTCATGGTGTAACAAGATTAACCACTTATTAGCTTCCGGTCATGATGATGGTTCATGGAGTGTTTGGGATTTAAGAAACTTTACTGCCAAGACCAACCCAACTCCAGTTGCTAACTATGATTTCCATAAATCAGCGGTTACTTCTATTTCATTTAACCCATTGGATGAATCCATCATTGCTGTTTCTTCAGAAGATAACACTGTTACGTTATGGGATTTAGCAGTTGAAGCTGACGATGAAGAAATCTCCACCCAAAGAAAAGAAATAAAAGAATTGAATGATATTCCACCTCAATTGTTATTTGTCCATTGGCAAAGGGATGTTAAGGATGTCAGATGGCACAAGCAAATACCTGGTTGTTTGATATCCACTGGTGGTGATGGTTTAAATATTTGGAAGACAATTTCTGTATAGTATTAGTACTTGTTCTTTTGAGCTTGTATAGTTTCAATATGATTAATCTTAGACTCAAGTTGAGATAACATTTCTTCGAATTGTAGCCACTTCTTGTTTTCCTTGATCATTAATTGGACATATTCCTCATAGACAATCATATTCTTCATAATAAGCATAGTCATTAACTCATTTATACGGAAAATATCGTCCTTGTATGTGGATAATAGTAGTTTGCTACTGCTAATGTCAGTAGTTTGAATGTCGGTATTTAATTTGTCAATAACAGTGGTTGAGTTTAGAGATGACAATTCAGCAAGATTGGAAGTTATTTCTTTGAGTGTGGAATAATTGAATACGATGAATTCTTGTTTCATTTCTCTGCTAACATCTTCTTCACTTGAATCTTGTTTCTTTAAGGCATCCCATAACTTTAGATCTGTTAAAATTTGGTTGAACTTAACCAATTCTGGATGTTCTTTGTATACCGTAGCTAGTTGTTGCTTTAACGATTCAACTTGGAAAAGTTTGGAGTGATTTTGGTTCGTATGATTCAAAAGTAACTCCAAGTTGCCAATTCTATTAGACAATTCAGTCAATGCTTTATCCATGTTGGGATTGTTTGGGTGATATATTGTTGGTTGTAAAAAAAAAAACAAACAAAACTTACAACCAAAAATATTTACATCCAGCTTGTTTTTACAACCACACAAATACTACAGTATGGCAAGCACAGAAAATGTCACAGAGCCAGTAAGAAAGAAAAAGAAAACAGTCAAGTCTATTCCAACATACTCTTCTTCATATACCAATGAGTCACAGATTACCTCCCTTGTTACTAACCAATCTTTAGTTGTCACTGGACTTGCAGATGGTGGGATCAAATTCTGGAAACAAAACAAAGACAGTAAAAACAGCAAAGACAATAAAGGCAACAAAGAGAACGAAATATCCTTGAAATGCATCAAGAAATTCATGGCACATTCTGGACATTCTATATCTCAATTATTGCTTAATCGTGATGGTCTGAAGCTTGTAACTATAGCTAAAGATGACAATCACATTAAGATATTCGATTTAACTACATTAGATATGATGCAAGCTATAAAATTACCTTTTGTTCCAAACACAGTTACTTCTCATTGCAATCTGTGGTTTACAATTGATGGTGTTGATACGATTTTAATTAGTGACCAAGATACAAATAATGTGTTTTGGATTGTTTCTGAAGAAGAAGTCCAAGAGCAGACATTAGTAGCCAAAGAAAGTCCTCATAAACGTCCTATTAGAAGCATTGTATATAGTTACAAGTATGAATGTTTTATATCTTGTGATGAAAAAGGATTAGTTGAGTATTGGCATCCAAAACTGTTACAATTACCTCTCGGGCTCGAATTTAAAATTAAATCACAAACAGACATGTTCAAATTAATAAAGACCAAAACAATCCCAAATAATATACTAATAAGTCAGAATAGTGAATATTTCATCGTACAATCTGACAAAATGATCCATAGATTTTGCTTCAAAACAGGAAAAATTGTTCAAACCATACAAGAAGAACACATATCAAGTGCTTACCTTGACGGAAACAGCATTCTCTACTCAACGAAAGAAGAAATATTAGCATATGATTTCATTCAACAACAGGAAATAGCAAATTATGGAACAAATGACAATGTAAAATATAATTTTGTTGCATTGGCCAGTGAAACTCAAACAACTCCAATTTCAAGTGAGATGATCACCTCAAAGAATTCACTAGTTAATTCAAAATTGAATAAGCAACAATTACTTGTAGCGACCACTGCTAATAAATTAATGGTATTTGATTCGGAAGACAAACCTCATGGCAACGCTGGTAAAACTAAACAACCAAAGGTAACGTTACATACAACATTCGGAGATATTAAGCTTGAATTATTTGATAAACTTGCACCAAAAACAGCTGAAAATTTTATCACGTTATGTAAGAGAAAATATTATAATAATGTAATATTTCACCGAGTTATTAAATCATTCATGATTCAAACAGGTGATCCAAAAGGTGATGGAACAGGAGGAGAATCATGTTGGGGAGGTCATTTCCCTGATGAGTTTAATAACCAACTAAACCATAAACAACCATTCATGGTGAGTATGGCAAATGCAGGGCCAAATACTAATGGATCTCAATTTTTCATTACCACTGACGAAGCGTCATTCTTAGATAATAAACATACTGTATTTGGCAAAGTTATACTGGGAATTGATACGGTTAAACAAATTGAAGATGCTGAAACGGATGAAAACGACAAGCCAATAGAGCAGATTGCAATTATTTCAACAACATTAGAAATATAGTTAATATCCTGTATTAAATACTTACTCTTCTTCGCTACTACTTAAATCATCGTCTTTTCCACCACCTACCAAATCACGCAAACTCATTGGTTTGATTCCTGATTTTCTATTAGAAAACACGTCATTCAATTTGTTTGTTGAAGAAGCCCCCTCATCTATTTTTATGCCTGTAAAGTGGAAATCATCAACATCGCTTTCATCAGAATCAACATCGATTGGAGGTTCCAGTTGAGGTTCCTCTTGTTCAAGAACTTCTTGAAGTTGATCTTCTAAATCTTTGAAATCATCATCTAAATCTATACTCTTGTCTGGCTCTACCTTAGTTGCTTCTGACTTATTTGGTTCAGGTGGTTTCTTTACGTCTTTCTTAATAGCCCTTTTAGGAGCAGGCTGTTTCTTTTGTACAACTGGTTGGACTGTTGGAGCGGGTGGTGCAGGTGGTTTAACTGGTTGTTTTTCCTGGGCAGGTTGTGTATCTTCTATAGTAATTACTGGAAATCCGTCACCATCACTCTCATCTAAATCATCAAAGTCAGATTCACTGATTATAGGTTCGTCATTATCATGGTCTAGTTTTCTATTAGGTGTAGTGGAAGCAGATGGTGGACGTTTAGATGCAGTTCTAGGAGTTAATGGTTTTGGAGGAAGAACATTTCCCTTTTTGGGACTAGTTGCTTTTCTAGGACTTGTCTTTGGAGGAGAATTCTCTCGTAAACTAGCTTGCTTCTCCCATTGGCTAATCTTTGTACTTAATTTGCTAACATTTCTTGATTTGTTAAATCGAATTGTTGTTCCTAATTTCTTCAACTCAACAGCGTTGGGCCTTTCAGGAATATAACTTAAATAGTATGAATCATTAGCTGTACCACTCTTATGTCTCTGAGGTACACCTTCAAACAATATCGGTTTGTTATCACCATCAGTTGTTTCAAGTATACATTCATCTTTATTTTGATATAATTTTATTGGTTTGGTCTGGTCCATTGAGTCAGGAATGAACCCATATCGTATGGCCACATTGTTGTTATCGTCCGATATGGGTGGTAGATCTAGTAGAGCTGATAGATCTATTTCGTATTCTCCATCTGCCAACGACATTGTGCTTAACAATAGCTAGATATTTAGTGTATTGTTTGACGGATCGAAGTAATAAAGGTTAGTGGATTAACCAAAAAAGCAGCCAAAAATAGTAATGATTGGTAATAAATTTGATAGTGGAAGTTTGACAAATTCTTGACTGTGATCTTACTCGTGGTAGCAAGTTGACTAATTACACCCTATTATGGTCCAGTGGTAGGGTTAATATAAAAAGGAAGGAACTAGTGTGACTAGTATGTGCTAACGAAGAACTCTAGTGGTAGTAGAGAAAGACAGTAGTGTGGTGCGGTGGCAGCGAGGGGAACAGAGGCCCAGAAATTTTGGTGTGGTGCGAATCGCCGAACAGTTGCTACATAATTTCGCATTAATTTTTATTGTGGAAATTTACAGATTGACAACAAAGTAAAAGAGAGCTATGGAGAATCAATTAAACAGTTCGCTTGATGGAACTTCCTCGTTTCTTTTCAGGAAAAGACTTCTCTGGTTTATAATTCCTAGGTTTAATAAGAATACTACCAAATTTTCTTTCTACTTTGTTATGGCATTCAGCAAGGATAATATATGACGTAATTTAGGATACTTTTCAATATCATTATCTTTTGTTTTACAAGCTTTGGCCTCAGCAGTTATATCCTGGAATAATTTATCAAGCATTTCCTCATAGCTTTTCCAGTGTTCTTCGTCTCTATTTGGAGGTTTACAAATACGGTCAAAATCAATAAAGTTATTTGAACGAGAAACATGCCGAGATATGGCGAACTGCTCTATTGATTGTTCCTGATTTGAAAATGTCTTTTGTAGCGAATATGCAACAAGTATACGACAGCAATCCCAAAATAAACATTGACAACGTATTGGACGTTATAAACGGAAGTATACCAGTTATTGTTTTGAACTTGGTTCTCATACTTAAATGCTTTAACTTCAGCAACATACTGGAATAGCCATTTGGATTGATCTACGAGTAATGGGTTCTGTGAATTCAGTATTAGTTCAAAGGAGGTCATTTCATTTAATTTAAATAAAATATCTAAATCTTGATAGTTGAGCAATACTATGTCGTCGTGTTCTAAAGATAAATCTTTCATACTTATATAGTAGTTTAACAAAAAAAGTAAATACCGATAGTATACCCTTATTTATTTGTCTAGTTGTAAATGAGTTAAATGCTTTAAAGTAAGAAAGTAATGAACCCAATAGTAGAACACCCTTAGCAAATGGTTCAATAATTAAACTAATAATTGAATAATTCTCTCTTCCCTAACAACCATGACTAATCTGACTACCCTGTACATTGGTCGCTTTTAACCTACCTAGATCCAAAGATCCCTTCATATATTCATACATTATCTGGATATGTGAATGATTATCTTGTATGTACTGAACGGATTTACAATTTGTCGAACATAAGCTAACATTTTGGTTCAATCGAGAAGTTTATGGAAACACTTCTCTGAATTGACAATGCTATATTTGCAATTAAAAGAGTTGTACGTGTAAGTATCTAAGACTAAAGGGGGGGGGGGGGGGGTTACAAATATGTTACATTGTTTAAGCACAGGTAGCGATTTAATCTTCTTACAGCTTTTGAATACAATTGTTTGTTCACTAAAGCCAATGCAAGTATCTGTTTTTGGTTGATATTATCTAAGAATAATTCTATGACATGCGCAGGGGAGACTCCAGGAGCGGACATTTCTCTTGTTTACTTGATTTAGATTTCACAGCCATTTCGGTTATTTAGTTTATGAAGTTTAAGTCCCCTTCCTTCCCCCCCACATTTTCATATATTCTATCTGGTTTCATATACAGGAACAATATATTGGTAACTAATAAAGTACCAAATTGAAACCAACTTAAAGAACAGTCAAGCAATTTCAAAGTACTTCATGGGTTAAACAATTGAAGTCACACATAGACACACATATGCAAATTCTATTATTGGTTGTTACTTGATGACTGTGGTTGTCCTATCGACTGGTCTTAAAATGGCCACTTTATATTTTTTTTTTTTGCTTTTCACTCTCACTAAAGATATCGCAATGTTTTCAGTTGTGATCTGACGTGCTGCGAGCATTAGTACTAACAACACCGCAACCATGGCACCAGTCACCAATACACCACCAGAGGTATCAATATTACATCCAAAGGTTTTATTATTTACAGCAGGACTCACAACATCGATATTCCTTCTGTACAGATTCTACAAACGATACATTCGACGAATTAGAAACTATCTCGATCTAACATCGTCAATACTAAACAATAGACAGTCATTATATGGATACGTCACTTCAGTGCCTGATGGTGACAATTTCCGATTCTATCATACTCCAGGTGGAAGATTATTAGGATGGGGTTGGCTACGCTCAATACCCACTACTCGTGCGGCATTAAAAGACGAAACTTTAATGATTAGATTGTGTGGAGTTGATGCACCTGAATGTTCGCACTTTGGAAAGCCAGCACAACCATATTCCCAGGAAGCATTGCAATGGTTAAGAGAATATATTAATGGGAGATATGTTACAATCACTCCATACTCTATAGACCAGTATAAACGAGTTGTGGCAAGGGCTCAAATATGGAAATGGAATGGTAGGAAAGATGTTTCTGCTGAAATGCTTAAACGAGGTATTGCTGTGGTGTACGAAGGCAAAGTAGGTGCCGAGTTTGGTGATAATGAAAGTTGGTATAGAAAATTAGAAGCAAAAGCTAAAAAACTAAAACGGGGTATGTGGTCGTTGGGCAAGAAATTACAAACACCATCTGCATACAAGAAATTGTATGTTAATAATTAATATATAATCTACTTTACTAAATCAGCAACAGCTTTGGCTAAAGCTTCCACATTGTCCTTGGTATCTGCTTCAGCATAAACTCTAACAGCATCTTCTGTACCGGAAGCTCTAACAAAAGATCTACCGTGGTTATATTTAGCAACTTCGGCATCTATTTTGTCTTGTAACCCAGTAGGTTCAACCAATGTTCTTTCAGCATTTGTGGTTTTAAAAACCAGTCTATCAGGAACAATAACCTTGACTAATTTGTTAGGCAAGTCATTGTAACATTTGTTCCAGTCGCGTGGTGTCAATTGCAAGTAATGAACAATAATTAAAACGGCAAGTAAGTCAGAAATAGCATCACCAACAGTTTGGTTAATCAATTTGCTGAATTCTTGCAATACTTGAATAGACTTGACTTCTTCTGCATTGACTGGATCAGCCTTATATTCAAAGATCTTTTGTTCAGCTTCTGGCTTGAAAATAACAGTACCATGTCCATTAGCTTCGAAATAAACCCCAATATCGAAATTTTCAGCTTCATGGTGCAAATGTTTGACACCAGTTGGGGTACAACGAACAGGAATCTTTAAAACGTCTTCAACGTACTTGGTAGAAGAACCATTGGCATAAGCAGTTTGAACAACACCAATATCGAGCTTCAATTTAGCAGAGTCAATATGTTTGAACAATTGCTGTAAGAATAAAGCAATTAAAGTAGATAACTTGTCACCATCAAGTAATCTGAATTCAGGATCAATATAGTAGCAAATCAATCTGTCAGCATCACCATCAAATGAAGCATATAATTTATTAGGAGTTGGGGTGACATTCTTTGGTAACTTTTGGTTAGTCTTGACATAATCAGCACCACAATCAAAGTTCAATAATTGAGGAGAGTTGTAGTTGCCATTGACTAAGTTGAATGTAATCTGTTCAGACAAGTAAGTAGCCAATAATTCTTTAATTTTTGGAGCACCTACACCATTAGCAGCATCAATTGTAATGTCAATCTTTTCCGAGTTACCCGACAAAGCAAAAATCTTCTTGAATGATTCGGCCATTTTGGCATAGTATCCTTCTTCAGAAGTAGCTCCAAATGCTGGATCATTAATGGTTCTTGTAACATAGTGTAATTGAGGTGTAGTAAATAATCCAAAGTCTTGATATTTAGTATTTGGAACGGATTTGAAACCGTCAATGGTAGCATTGCTCAATCTTTCACTTGATTCACGTGAATCTCTAGCAATGACGACACTAGCAGGTGCACTCAAATCAATTCCCAAATCCTCAACAAGTTTGGAGATATTGCCCAACAATTCTTCGTGAGTGGAATTAGCCAAGGTGGTAGCATAGGCTTCCCAAGAGGTTTGTAACATGCTGCCCAAGGGATCAACAACCTTAACACCATTATCTTCAGGAGGGTTATGAGAGGCAGTAATCATAACACCTACAGTTTGTCCCTGAAGGAACTTGGATCTAAGGGCAGCAATTATCCCAGTGGTGTAATTGACATAGTCCAAATTGACAGCCTTCATACGGAACCCAGCAGTACCATAAGTGAATTTTAATCCATCTGGCTTAGGATGGGATGGTAAGTATTGACCTAAAGTTTGTTCAATTGACATTGTTGATAGGGAAAAGAACGTAATGTTGAACAAAGTGTTTCAATACTCGACGAAGTTATTTTTAGTAAGGTTGCATCAGATTTTTCAAAACACAAAGCGTGTGGTTTTGGATCCACCACACAAGGAAAGCGCCGCAACCAAATCAGGAAATCAACAAGATTGCAACCAACATACAAATTTCAGTAAACTACCAAAACAATACAATAGTTTACACGCACTAGCTTTAAAATACAACTTAAATATATATATAAAAAAATGATAATAAAGGTATAAAAGATTAACTTCTCTCCTTAAATTTTAGCTTGTATCTTCAACTCCTTAGCGATGTTTAATCCAATGTATCTGGCCAATGTATAGGTAGTAATCATTGGGTTTACTCCACTGGAAGTAGGCATAACACTAGCATCAGCTACAAAAACATTACCACACTCAAATAATCTACCCTTTTCATCGCACGCACCGTACTCTGGTCCTTTTCCTGACATGCGACAACTAGCCATTTGGTGAGCAGAACCAAAGGAAGTACTATAGGGATAAAATGACATCGTTGACACAGAATTTCTCCACGCAACATAATCTTCATCTTTAATTGACCTCTCTTCTTTCTGTTTATCACTTTCAAAAACAGGAACCGATGGTTGAGGGCTTATAATTTTCTTTGCTCCTTGAATATATAATATATCTGCCGTAGTTACAAGTGCCTTCATAAGAGATTGTCTATCGAATTTATTCACTTGGTAGTCAATATAGTATGAATCTGGTCTTTCTGGATCACTTCTGATTGAACCACTGGAAGTATCTCTAGCTAGAAGCAACATAGCCGTCATATTATTATAACGCAACATGTGTCTTCTAGCAGCATCACTTCCAAACCAAGGTAAATGGGCATTTTGAAAAAGTGGAGCATTCAAAATGGTTTCAATTTTTGCACCATGGGCATTTCCATCCAAATCATCCACTTCGGTACATACCGAAGTCATGATTGAATCGGCATAAGCTTTGGTTCTGACCTCATTACCAAAATCCCCAAATATGGCTGTAGCAGGATGCAATTTTAAATTGCTTCCAATGTTTTTATTTCTGAAACCAGAGTCTTGCAAGATAACCGGGGTATTTAAACTACCGCCAGAAGTAATATATACCCTAGGCCCGGTGATTTTGAATTTAACACCAGTCACTGTATCTTGACAAACCACACCTTGAGCATAACCATTGTGATGTATTATTTCCAATACTTTAACCTGCTCCATAAATTTAGATCCAGTAGCTGCCGGTTCTCTAAACCAATTATTCGGAGTGCTTTGTTTGATAGCAAACTTGCAGCCTAGATGGCAAAACCCGCACCTATGTTGAGGGTGTCCTCCGGTATTTTGGTCAATTACTTTCGCATTATAGCCCAACTTTTCACAACCTTCTAATAACATGTTATTGGCATAGGAATGGTGAATCCCTTCAGTACTTGTTCCCATTTTATTCCAAACATATTCTTGACATTTATCATAAGTATCAGTGGCTACAAAATCAAGACCAAACTCATCATACCATTCTTTTCTAACCTTGAAAGGCGTCTTGATACTTGCTGACCAATTGACTGTTGACCCACCTCCAAAATTAGATCCAGCCAAAATGAAAAGTTCTTGGTCATTGGTAGATATCGGACCACCGCTTTGAAACAAGTTTGAAACTCCCTCCAAGTCAGAAAAGTTAAGCTGAGAAGTAGAGAAATATTTTCCTTTTTCAAGAATGAGTGATTTAAATCCGCTTTCAGCTAAAGTGTGGGCAACGGCACCGGCTCCACAACCAGAACCAATGATTACAGCTTCAATATCAGGCAAATACAATTCTGCGCCTTCTGTCGTTGGTCTCTCCATGAATTCATAGCTAAAGTCGTCAACAATTTGGTTTTTATATGCTTCATCTCTCAATTCTTTTCCAGGATAGCCACAAGCTTGTAAATGTAAATCATCAGCCAAAAGAACACACCCAGACATAGTAATAGAATATACCAGCCTAAATAACTTCCTCATTAAAGGAACTTTGGAATCTCTCCATGAAAGCAAAAGTTTTTCACGTTCTTTCAAAGTCATGTCGTGAATCAATGTGTTAGAGCCAGTGAACTCCTTTGCAAGCTTCATGGAGCTCAAAGCTTCCATGACAAGTACAAAATCTTTTACTGCCTCCAAATTACTTTTGTTCAAAGTATCCAAAACGACATCTCTAAATTCAGGGATCTTGGAGGGACGTGTACAGCTATTTACATACTCATTTAATTTTTCTTGAGGGAAATCAGGAGCAATTGAATCTCTGACATTGTCAAGTGTGGTTTCGTGAATAATACCATCGGCTAATGCAATGAATGTGTCAATATGCCTGTCTTCTACTGACTCCATCTTTTTATCAATTTGTTCAAATTTCTGTTTTAAAAGAATAAGTATCAATTTCTAAGTATTATAAGCCAAGTCTTTGTATTTTTATAATTGTTGGTCTTCATAACGATTACCCCATATTGGTGGGGGGTTTTAACACACACACACATACGTATCGAGGAGAATAATAGTGCAGAAAACACAATTTCCCCGCACTACGCTAGTAGAACCTCAACCTCGACCCCCCTCCGTCTCCCCCTCCTTCTTTACAACTACAATAATGATTAACAATTGTCTTTTCTCGAAATTGATTCAAGTACGATAGTGGGGTTTTGACGTGGATGCAAATTTGTGGGGAACGGAATAATGGCGGAAAAATATTAAGCCGAAATTTAGCTATTGCGTTCAGAAAATATCGGAGTCTCTTCCGATAGTTGATCTCCACCTTTGGCAGAAAATTGAAAACTCACAGGAAAGAACTCTCCGTCTGAAGCATTTGTCAGTTGTGAAACCAACTCATACTCTAGGTTAGAACAAAGATGTTCGTAAAATAGGAATTAAAGAAATTCGTTCTGGTAACAGTCGTCGGTGTACCAAACAAGGAATGCGCCGCACAAACCGATGTCAACCACGCACTACTAAAAAAAAAATTGTAGAGAATTCTAACATTACCTTACTTCACCATCACATACAGTAAGACATGGCAGCAGAAGAACCACAACCACCTCGCACAGCCAAGGAATTAAAGTCAACTATAAAAATCCAACCAGCTGTAGGAATCCCTGGGGTTCTAGCTGGGCCAAAGCCCCATGTTGATTCACCCTTTGTACAACATTTAATAACTACAGGTAAACCAAATTGGAAGCTAGCCACACCAGAAATGAAAACTAAATATCGTGCTTATCAAAAGATCCTAATTGGTATTCCTGTATTGTTTATCTGTTCTTATGTGTTGGTTAGACGTTTGAATGGTGAATCTACTAAACAAATGCAAAAGGGTGAGATCGCTGAAGATGGTACTCTTATTTATTGGGACGAGAACAAGATTATGGAAGTTGAAAGGAATACTTGGTCTTATAAACTATTCGGACCTGATTACTTCCAAGAGGGTCGTACTAGCAGAACCATAGGGAAACCTCTTGCAATCAAACCCGATGATGATGATTAGATAAATAAATAGTTTTTATTGTCTACTTGTATATACACTAATATTTACGATTTACGTTTTAGAAAATCACTTACACGACTGTGCATTAATTGTCTTTCAGATATCATTGAAACTGGCCGTTTCGGTGAAGTATATTTCTCAAACGCCAAGTCTGGTTTATCTTGATTTAAGGAGAATTTGGTACCAGTTGGAAGCAGGCTTATCGCACTAACTGGTCTTGCACGAGTGGGAGATTCAAAATCATAAGCTTCCTTGTTTCTTTCTGGAGAATTAAACACTGGGTGGGTAAAGTTGATTTCTGGAATTTTGCAATTTGGATTGATCTTCTTTTTAATAATAGGGAACCCTAACCTATGATAATTGGGCGCTATTTTGGGGATCTTTGATTCAAATTTAGCAGTGGATGACAAAATTTGGTTAAAGAAATTTGTATAGTTAAATTCAGGTACACTCGTTTCTGTTTCTTCAAATACATTCTTCAACTTGTATTCCAAGTTCTTCCCATTTACTTCACTATTGTTAAAGCTCTTAATTCTATCCGGTTTCTCAACACTCAACGGGACAGCGGTATTTTCAACATCAAGTCCAATATCAATCCCACCCAACCAACTGTTCAATTTTGCACCATCATATGAATGGCGAGACCCAGTTTGGAAAGATTTCAACCCAGCAGCAACAGATGGCTTGAAAACAGGCAAGGATCTATGACGACTGGACTTGGAATCCTGAATCAAATCACACACTTGTTTCCACTTGGGAAGTAGTTTATTGTTAAACTGTTCAGCCAACGCTTCATCATGTATTATTTGCTCATTAAATGCTTTTGTAATCATGGTGATTGAATTTGCACATTGTTTATAAGCAATTGCAATTTCATCAGTTATTAGTGATGAAGTCAGACTACTGGCGGTGGAAGGGGAACTAGACAAACTAGAACATGTAGAAGTTGGAATTTCTTCAATCATAAAATCACACTGATCCGCAATTTCTTCAATCAAATATTTGAAGATTTCGTTCCACTTTACATCAATAGTATCATGTTTAAGCAATGCCATTTCTCGATGTAAATATTGCCATTTTTCACACATTGATTCATAACCAGCTAATATTTCTTCTCGTTCGTGCTTATAAGCACTTGAACACATGTTATTAAACTCATCAATCTTGATTGGAACAATATTTAATGATATCTTCAACGGATTAATCTTCAGTTCAATTTCAAGATATTCACAGTATAATTTTTCATCAGTGTCGTTAAAGGTGGGCAATCTGATCGTCTTCATCGAGACCCCCCCTGCTGTCGCCGTAAAATCATTAATCTTCATCTTACGAGTTATATCATTCAAATTAAATTTAGGCAAGACTCGCTTTGGACTTGCTATTTTCAACTCTCGCAATTTGAATATACTTTTAATACAATCTTCAATTTCTGTAATCAAAGCTTTTATTATCCCTTGGTTGATTTCTTGATAATTTATAGCAATATCCAAGCTCCGCTTGACCAAAATCATATACTTCTTAACCTCAAGCAAAACATCATTGGCATTATCGAAGCTGGTCACTAATTCCAGAGGAATGTGTTCATCTTCATCAGACTCAAACACGAGTATTAGCTGGTTGAGAATAGATTCAATACTGTCTATGGTCCTTACTATGTCAAACAAAGCTTCTTTTCCTTCCAAATACCAATCAAGAACATTGGCGTGTATATGCTCGTTCGAAACTTCGCTGACAAACTTCAAAATTTTAATCAAGTCTAGCAAATAGCTTTGAATGTCTTGCAATAGCTTGCCACTACGGAAAATGTCGTGTTTGAGCAACTTCAGCCCAGGTTGGGGAATGTTAATTAGTTCATCAAAAAATGAAAAATTAGGAGCTGTGGATAATACCTCGGAAAGAGCAGTTACATCAGGTCGTAGACTTTGACGATACGCACTCTCTCTGAACTTGTATGGTGATCCATATAAACTGTGCCGATTGCTCATGGTGTACGCCAAACATATACCTTCTAGGGCCTTGTGATTGTAATATAAAGCAGTCGGTGGTGGTGCTGTTAGGTATACCGAGCTAAAGAAGTTGATACTCGAGGAATGAAAAGAACAAAAATAGACTGAGTGAATAATGGCGATGGATTCAGCCTTTTTTATACAGTAGTTGTTGTAAATTGCGGTTTCAGAATTTGTTATGGTCTCTGTGATTTTTTGATTTGTTATGTTTGGTGTCGCCAAAACATTTGGAGCGGCTGAGCCGCATAGTAAAAATATTCCTAATTTGGCTAAATCAAAAAAAAGCAAAAAAAAAAAATTATTCAGAAATATTCCTGAGATGAGTATTACTAAAACAAGTAGACATAGTTAATAGAACCTAGAGAATGGCCAAGGCACCAAAGAAGAAGTTCACTACAGCATCCAACCCTACTGGGGCTACTGTTTCCGCTGAAAAGCATTTAAACTCAGTTTTCAAGTTCAACACAAATTTAGGTCAACATATTTTGAAGAATCCTTTGGTTGCCCAAGGTATTGTCGATAAAGCTCAAATCAGACCAAGTGATGTTGTATTGGAAGTTGGACCAGGTACTGGTAATTTAACTGTCCGTATATTAGAACAAGCCAAGAAGGTCATTGCAGTCGAAATGGACCCAAGAATGGCAGCCGAATTAACCAAAAGAGTTCACGGAACCCCTCAACAGAAGAAGTTGGAAATCTTGTTGGGAGATTTTATGAAAACTGAATTACCATACTTTGATATCTGTATTTCAAATACTCCTTACCAAATTTCATCGCCGCTAGTATTTAAATTGTTAAACCAACCAAGACCTCCAAGAGTTTCCATATTGATGTTCCAACGTGAGTTTGCATTAAGATTGTTAGCAAGACCAGGTGATGCTTTGTACTGTAGATTATCAGCCAATGTACAAATGTGGGCAAATGTCACTCATATCATGAAGGTTGGCAAGAATAACTTTAGACCTCCTCCACAAGTTGAATCTTCTGTGGTCAGAATTGAAATCAAAAACCCAAGACCAAATATCGATTTCAACGAATGGGACGGGTTATTAAGAATTTGTTTTGTTAGAAAGAACAAGACCATTGCTGCCGGTTTTAAATCTTCGAATGTTATTGAAATTTTGGAAAAGAATTACAAAACCTATTTAGCCACTACTAATACTATGATTGATGATAATGCTAATATGACTGATGTTGTTAAACAAAAGATTGAAACTGTTTTAACTGAAACAGAGTTCTCCGACAAGAGAGCTTCAAAATTAGATCAAACTGATTTCTTGAAATTGTTGTATGCATTCCATCAAGTTGGTATTCATTTTGCATAGACTTTCATTTCATTTTGTACATTAGGGGTTTTAATATATACATACATCTATCGTGGTAATAATATCTATCTTCTCTTGGTGACCTTACTTGCGTCCCTTTCGATAATTTCAGCGACACCTCCTAATTCTTCCATATTGTCTTCAGAAACGGAAACCGCTTCTCTTCTTTCCCAGAATCTATCTTCACACAAATCAAATGCAGCTTTCTTCAAATCTTTACCTCTATTAAATTTGTTATTTGAAATAGCCCATTCTAAGAATTGGGCACCTGAACGAACATAGAATGCACGCAATGTTTCAAATGGTTTAGGATGAGGCAACCAAGGTCTTGGATCTGGGAATTCTTCTTCAACTTCCTCAGCTTCTTCCTCTTCCTCTTCTTCAATGTCCTCGTCCTCGTCCTCAAGCTTGGCATCTTCTCCCTCCTCCTCGTCTTCGTCATCTTCATCATCTTCGTCATCTTCTTCGTCCTCGGAGTTAACTTCACTCTTTTCCAATTCAGATAAATCTTCCCAAAGAACCTTGACTCCATCTAATTTACCCAAATCAATAGCATACATGGAATCCAAATTGAATTCTTGTTCTCCTCTTTCAAAAATACCACCATAAATGTATAAAGTATCATCAACAACACAAGTGGTAGCATTGAATCTTGCATGAGGTAATTGATTCATGACTGGATATTCCACAGTTTCCTTTTCATCATCATCTTGTTCTTCTTGGACGGAGCCTTCCTTCTTAAACTCTTCCTCCTCTTCGTCGTTCAAATTAGCTTTAGCTAAAATCGAATTCAAAATATCTTCCAAATCTTCATCTCTAGTCTTCTCCTTAACTTGTTCCTTTCTTTTCCTCTGTGGTTTCAAACTTAAATTATACCATCTATTACTTTCAACTTGATAGCAATATAAACTATTGTAAAATTCAGATTCCAATTGTTCTTCACTTTCTTCAAAATCATAAACTCCTCCAAACATGATCCCTCTATTCTTATGATAAACCAAAGAACAACCAACTCTTGGACTTGGAACGAAACCTTGTTTACGCTTTCGTTCAAATCTAATAGCATTAGGTTCACTTTTCATTTTTAATATCCAACAATCATTCAATACTTTACCCTTTTGCAAACCCTTTCTAGCCTTGACTTTAGTATAACCACCATAAATAATGGCACCATCAGCACAGGGTAACAACGAATGACCAGATCTTGCATCAGGGATAGTATGTGTTGGCGGGAATTCAACTTGGGTCCATTTATAGTCGGTGATATCAAATAACCAAACATCATTTAAATAAGTGGTCATAGTACCTAAATCTCTAAACCCACCATGCATAATAATGTAGTTTTTCCAAACGGCTAATCTATGACCTGATCTTGCAGAAGGGCCCTTTTTAACATCAATCTTAGACCACTCTTTACTATCTGCATCAAGAATCCAGGTATCACCATAATGATAGAAAGTTGATTGCTTGGGCGATGAGAACTCACCACCAAACATAAGTGCTATACCGGAAGGATGAGAACACATAGCATGAGAGGATCTTGGTAATGGTGAGTTCTTGGAAGTATATTTTCTCCAAGTGTCATTGTCGATAGTATAAGTGTATAATTCATTATAAAAATGTGAAACACCATTTTCAGTTGATTCACCTCCAAATAGAATCAATTCACGTTTCCCAGAAGTAGGTGAAGCAATCATACTAGGATTGAGTCTCTTACTTGGTGGTTTATCACAAATTTCAACTTTTACTTCAACCAATTCTTCTTGTTCACGATTATATTGTTCTAAAATTGCATCAATATCTTGGTCATCATCATCTTCTCCCAACTTCTTAGCAAGCTTCTTATTCTTGGACTCTGCTTTAGAAGTTTGCTTCTTTTGCTTCTCAGCTGCACGAGCCTTCTTTGCGTCCTTAGACTTCTTATCTTTCTTGGCCATTGCTGAAGTAGTGAATCTGAAATGAAAAATTTTGAAAAAAAAATAAAAAAATAAAAAAACTCAAGTTATACTTTTTTTTTTGCCTTCTCTTGCCAGATTAAACTCACCTGGATCACTGATTAGCCAAATCACCCATCGGATTAGTTTAAGTGTTATGATTTAACAATAAGTGCATAGTTAATCAACTAATAGGGTCATAAATGTTGACTAACAGCTTTATTCTCAGTATATCCTGTTTATATTCGTACCAGTGACGTAGATAAGAACATGCTTGTAACTCACTGTTGTAGTAGAGCTCCACAAACAAGCAATTTAAAAATCCTAATAAAGGATTGAATTGTAAAACATCAAAGTTACTGAACACTCTCAAAAAGGTTTTAATATGATAATATGCAAGCGTAGACTTGTCTGTGATCATAAAGAAACATTTCAATAGTTGCAACCAAATTACTCCTAAAAGAAAAAAAAATACACGCAAAACTAAAATCAAAACAAAATTGAAAATACCAACTACTGCTCTTCACTAGACAACGTTTTCACATACACATACATATACACACACAATGTCCCGACCAACAACAAGCGGTAACCCATTACAACCATCTACAACATCAGATTTCGAGAAACAACGAAGTTTATTAATCCAACAAATAGCCAATGAACTCAGCAATTTAAATACAAATATAGAAACATTGAATAGAGTATTTGATCAGTCATTGCTGATTGGTAAAGAGTTTGATGACCTTGGAAGATTATGGAGTAAATTCTATGCTGGAGTAGACGAATTAAAACAGCGCAGAGAAGCACAACAACGTGAAAATGTTGGCCCTGTCACGCCAGGAGCGATTCCTCCTTCAGAATAAATAAGTTGACCCTCACCTGCTATCAGCTTACTTTGCTGTTATTAACCTAACCGTCATGAAACATATTTAAACTACATAGTAATATATCTATCAATGATTCATTTGTATTTTAAACTATAAGATTCACTGTAGAAAAAAAAAAGAGTAATTTTTCAAAAAGACAAAGATTTATGTAAAAACTTTCTTATACAACACAATACTAACAAAAGAGAAATGTTTGAACAAGAATACGCGTCTAGAAACACTTGTGGTGAACAATGGATGGTCCAGATTCGTCGTATTCTTGTTTTGAGATCCACATTTGTTGGAAAGTAGATAAAGAAGCCAAGATAGAACCACCGATCCAGACAGAGTACTTTCTTTCTGGTGGAGCAATAATCTTAACCTTCATAGAAGATGGAGCCAAAGCAGTAATTTCCTTTTGCATACGTTCAGCAATACCTGGGAACATAGTAGTACCACCAGACATAACAATGTTACCGTATAATTCCTTTCTGACATCAACATCACACTTCATGATAGAGTTGAAGGTGGTTTGGTCAATACCAGCAGCTTCCAAACCTAAATCAGCTGGACGGAACAAAGCTTCTGGAGCTCTGAATCTTTCATTACCAATAGTAATAACTTGACCATCTGGTAATTCATAAGACTTTTCAATAGCAGAAGATTGAGAAGAAGTTTGCATTTCTTGTTCGAAGTCTAAAGCAACGTAACATAATTTTTCCTTGATATCTCTGACGATTTCTCTTTCAGCAGTAGTGGAGAAAGTGTAACCACGTTCAGATAAGATCTTCATCAAGTAGTCAGTCAAATCTCTACCAGCCAAGTCAATTCTCAAGATACCGTGTGGTAAGGAGAAACCGGCGTAAATTGGGACAACGTGGGTAACACCATCACCAGAATCTAAAACAATACCGGTGGTTCTACCAGAAGAGTATAATGACAAAACAGCTTGGATAGAAACGTAGAAAGCTGGAACGTTGAAAGTTTCAAACATAATTTGAGTCATCTTTTCTCTGTTAGATTTAGGATTCATTGGAGCTTCAGTCAATAAAACTGGGTGTTCTTCTGGGGCAACTCTTAATTCATTGTAGAAGGTGTGGTGCCAGATCTTTTCCATATCATCCCAGTTGGAAACGATACCGTGTTCAATTGGGTATCTCAAAGTTAAAATACCTCTCTTGGATTGAGCTTCATCACCGACGTAAGAATCCTTTTGACCCATACCGACCATGATACCTTGATGTCTTGGTCTACCAACGATAGATGGGAAGACAGCTCTTGGAGCATCATCACCGGCGAAACCGGCCTTACACATACCGGAACCGTTATCAATAACTAAAGCAGCAACTTCTTCTATAATAGGGAGTTAGTAAAAGGATTCATTGTGAATTCTAAATTGTCTATGATTGTCAAGTTTTGAAAAATAATTTGAAACATTAACGTTTTTTTTTCTCGTTGCGCCGGTTATTTTTTGCGTGAAATTTGTGTGAGTGGTGCGTGGAAAAAAGTCGGAAACGACGATAATGGAATCCAAGATACCGTGATCGTCCAACTCCCCTCAACTAGCACATTGGGAATCAATCAATCAATCAAATGAAAGCAAGTATAGAGATCTTGTCACTGTAGTAGAAATTCCATGAATTGACCTGTAAAACTAAGACAATTGCATTATTTGAAATGAACCCTTCGCCACTCGTCCCAAAATCCAGATGATGACGATCCAAGCCTCCGTTGGCAGTATCTCCTATAATTGGTAGCTAAATAGGTATGTTACATATAAGGGATGTTGCTGGATCTACTAGTGACTTCTTGTAATTGAATGATTGACTAAATTTTTGTGTTGAGTTTTTTTTGACAACTTGTCAACTTCCAAATGAAATTTCAAAACTTTAAAACCAACATTTGACCAAAATTGATCAATTGGGACAATCGAATGTATTAAACCGTCGTTACATACCACCGTCCATTTTGACTTGATTTTTATAAATATTATTCTATAGTAATAAAATACAGAAATCTACTAAAGAAAGAGAAAGAAAAAGAGTAGAAAAAAAAAGGAGTGAAACTGAATTCTGGCTGGACATGAAAAAAAAGGGCCAAACTAAAGTGTTGATTTGTTGTGTATTTTCGACGCCTAATAAATTGGTAAGCACACGCTTTACACATCAAAGACAAGAACAAGTTGTTTGATTCTCGGTTATTACACGAACACACATATAGACGATGGTTACAATAAAATTGCAAGGTTACAAATAAGATTAATGTGGTAACGTAGTAGTAGGTGGGGATTTCTCCCAATGCTCAGAACCAATAATTATAGTTCAATTGATGTATTGAATGATCTTTTTATGTAGACTACCTTAACATAATAGAGTAACGCATGTGAATGGTAATTTGAAGATGTTACTAAAATTACAATTACGAGTACAATGGCACTTATCGGGAATTTTCTTGAACGATTTTGCAGATCAGATGTGTAGAAAGCTGCTCACATTTTTCCGAGTCTAAATTGAACTATACCCACATTTATATACTGGAAATCCTTCCATCACATTTAGCGGTTGTGTGAATAGGGAGAGCCGGAAGAGAATACATATTACATAAGGGATTAGTGATCAGATTAGTTATAACATAATGAATAATCTAATTGCCGCCATATCTCCTAACTATGATCCGCACTGTAAATCCGTACAGCCTCTAATTAGGGTCATGTAATTTGGTAAGGAGGCTAAGTAAAAGCTAGCGCTAACAATAACAAAAAAAATTTCCTGTTTTGTGCGAGTTTTCGGCCCAAACTTGTGCAGCACAAAACACTTTAGTCTATTTTCGGCAAGCGGTTAAAACAATTATTCCGAATGCAGATAATATACTGAGGAATGCAAAAATTGACATCACCTAGAGGTTAAGACTTGTGTCAGTATCTCTAATGGCGCTGACTACAAATCTAACGTGAACTAAATTAGATTCTAGAATGTCAGTGTACACTTTAAATAGAACTATTTTTAGTCCATCACATTGTTAAATCCGAGCTCTAAGATTTTGTATGTTTCTTAGCAGATGCAAATATAATCAGAAATAAAACTATGCCTAAACCTTGTAAATAATATTATACAGAGAGTTGAATCTTTACTAGCTACTACGTTATGACCCTAAAATGTAATACGATTATCTCTGGCTTTTCTTCATATTTGTACCAACCTGTAAAATTGCCTAATATCAAAAGAAATAATTCACGACAGTAAAAAGAATCGATAGTCGGTTTGTGGGTTTGTTTACCGATCACCCCGATCTTCCTTCAGTGCAGAATGGGGGAGTAGTTAACATCCAATCTTCAATATTATGACCGTGTGAAACTTTAAATCATTTTTTTTTTTCTCTCGCAGGCAAAAAAGAAAGTTAAATATTCTATATTGTCCAGGTAATCAAATCATAACAGCACCACTACGTTTTTGACCATCAATCAAACAATACGTAGTTCAAACTAATCATCCCATTTTAGAGAAATATCCATCAACAAACAAGCATTTAACTGACCTACGTTTGAAAGATCATTATTTTAATTTCTGCATCAACGTGATCAATCCCTCCCCCCCCCATTTTTTCAATCTTAAATATCAACTAATACAATGTCTTCCTCAGTCCCATATGATCCATACATCCCTAACCAGACTACTGGTGATCAATCGAATTCTAGAACTGCTGCTATACAAGCTGTATGTATATTTGATTTCCTATTATTTCCTTGTTTTTCAGAGATATACTAACAAACAACACTTTAGCAAATCGATGATACTGTTGGAATTATGAGAGATAACATCAACAAAGTCGCTGAAAGAGGTGAAAGATTAGATTCTATAGAAAACAAGACTGACAATTTGGCTATCAGTGCACAAGGTTTTAGAAGAGGTGCCAACAGAGTTAGAAAAGATATGTGGTGGAAAGACTTTAAAATGAGAATGTGCCTCATTTTTGGTATAATCATTGTTATTATTGTGATTGTCGTTCCAATTGCTGTTCATTTCAGTTAGGTGGTATAACTATCTGGTTGATTTAATTTTATTCTTACTTCTAATTTTGGAAATTTGTTTTTCCATTTATTCATCTTCTTTCTTGTTTTGTTCTATTTTTTATACTCTCAATCAGGAATATACTAAGTGTTATAATAAATGAATATATACATTCTCATGGTTGTTATTACTTGAATATTGTAATATGAACGATACTCTGTGTGATTAGTAAGCACCATCGTGGCATAATGCTATATATTTGACTTGTAGTGTCTACGTTGACATGGCAAATGTTTCTTTCTACCAGGGATCATATTTAGAACAACATATGCATGCTATTGTTCAATCATGTTCCTATGATTATATGCTCTTTGGCTGATATATTTCCAATAAAGCTTTTGAAACATTTGGTTCTGTCTTGAAGTATACCAGCTATTAATACATACCTGCTATATATAATCTTGCTTTGGACTACTGTTGATCGAATAGATCTGAAAACTGATGAGATAACTTCTAATAATAGTTGTTGGGGTGCTACCAACCATCCGTTGTAAGTGCAGGAAGTGGTTGCGTTCACTACTGATAGATACTTCTGCATAGTATGGGAAATCGCTTAATTATTTATAGTTTGAGACGGCGGGCATTTTCATCTCCATCCTGGTGATTAGTTTATATTTAGTAAAAATTTGCATACATTTTCAAAAAAGAATAATGCAAATTTACTATAAGTAACTAAATTTAAACCTGTTTAAATGCCTGCAAATGCTATTACATACATTATCACAAAAAACTGGTATTTCGAATCCTACAATTAAGATCCGACATCTTCAAATCTATTTTAAACCGAGTCATCGCTTTGATCTATATCTATAGATCAATAAACAATAGAGCAACAACGCCGCATAGTTGCATCTAACGTCTAAGCCAATGGGGTCGTGTATGCCGAACGTTCTTAGCGAAGTCAAACTGAACACGCGCTGGTTTTAACTCTGCCCGCACCGAAGTCAAATTTAGCACCCATACATCAATACAATTCATCAGCCCATAAAATTTTAGGCGTTTTTTTTTCCTTTCGTTTTCAATTTTGTAATTTTATTGATGCCATTCCATCATAAATAGCCAATTCTTTTCCCTTGTCGTTAGTTTGGTTTCTTTCTTTCAATTGATACATCCAATTCGACTTACCTTTAGTCCTTTTCACTGCTTTTTTTTTCATATTCATTGCCTGGCGCATTATATAAACAAGTTACAATGTTCAAGTCCTTATTGAGAACCACCCCCGCATTAAGAAGAGTAGCCTTCAACGCCGCTCCAAGAGTCACCAGAACTGCTCTCTTCTCCACAACTAGAGTCACCATGAACACAATCAGTTACAAGTTGAACAAGGGTTCTCACGTATACAAATACTTGAGTGGTGATGGTCCGGAATACGTTAAATATACCCCTGAACATGAATGGTTAGCTGTTTTCCCAGACACTTCTGCTTTTGTTGGTATTACTGATTACGCTTCTGAAGCTCTTGGGGATGTTACTTATGTTGAATTACCAGAAGTTGGTGATAAAGTTGAAGTTGGAGATGTTATTGGTTCCGTTGAATCCGTCAAATCAGCTTCTGAAATTTACTCTCCAGTTGCCGGTGAAATTGTTGCTGTTAACACCGATTTAAACAGTAACCCAACCATCCTTAACATTGACCCAATGGGTAATGGTTGGATTGCTCACATTAAGCTTGATGACCCTGAAGCTGTCAAAGAAAGCGCAGAATTAATGGGCATCGAAGAATACACTGCTTCCCTTGCTGAAGAAAGTTAAGTAGAATCATTAACATTAAATCCATCATAATTAAATATTGATCATTTATAGTTATTTATTCAATTTACACAGAAATTTTACGTTTACATGGCTGCAATATTCCACGGAGAATTGCATGTAATTGACTGCACTAAATATTTAGACAAGGGGTTTCTCCTTTCAATCTTCCCAATACATGACTTGCAACATACTTTGGGATGACATTGTCTTCATGTAACATTGCAAAACTTTCAGAAGCATCTTTTCCAGCAAAGTTAAGGATTGATTCAGCACCACCAGGATGATATTTCAAGAATGGGGTACAATCGAGAACGACATTCTTGACAATGCACCAACAGTCATCAGCAGTGTTGTGTTTAGCAACTTCTTCAGCTGTAAATTCACGTTCTGGAACTGAAAACGGCTTTTTAGGTTCTGGCTTAGACGCGGGTTTAGTTGCTGCTGGTGCTGGTGTAAGTTCAGCTGGCTGGACTTGTCCTGGACTTACCTCGTTTACTTGGGAAGTTACACCAGTTTTATTAGCAGACAATTCAATAACAATCTTACCGTTAGGATCAATATGTAAACCAATCATATTCAATCTACTGTTAGCTGTAGTGGCACCAATTGAATTAGTAGAGGAACCAGAAACAACACCAGTACTGAGCTTCCGCAAACTGTAACTGCAAGCTTGGTCAGCTGCCAATCTACCATAAACGACACATGCCAATAAGGAAGATCCACCTAATCTGTTGTGTCCATGGACACCACCTGCAACTTCTCCAGCAGCATATAATCCTTCAAAGGGTTTATCTGATTCTGTTAACACTTGAGCCTTGTCATTAATTTTAACCCCACCCATAGTGAAGTGTAACACTCGAGTAACAAAAGCAACATGATATTTTGCATTGGGATCATATTCAAATGGAGTTTCTGGGAAATATTTCTTTCCAAAAGGATCAGGACTCTCACCTCTCAAAGCTTTGTTATAAGTGTCACATTGCTGTTTGAATGATTCTTCAGTACAACCCAATTCAGCCACTAATTCCTTACCAGTGATAGTTCTCATCAAATTTCTCAGGGAATAGTGCTTAACATGGAATTCCAAATTCTTACCAGACGCTTCATTCAACACCAACCTAATAGGACCATTTCCCTGCTTGAATTGCTTTTCCATTTCTCCAGAAACCCAGTCTCTAGTTCCTAATTCATCAACAAACCTTTCTCCTTTAGAATTGAATAAAACCCCACCTTCACCACGCAAAGCTTCAGCACCAAGGAATAAAAATCTAGGAGTTTTCTTGCCCATAACCACATCAGTATCACGGTAGTCAATAAGACCAGTAGGATGGACTTGGACTTTATCCATATCAATACCCACACCATGATTCTTCATGATTATCTTTTGACCATCCCCCGTAGCATGATTACCATTAGTTGAAGGAAGATCAATGATATCGGGACGATACTTTCTTAACAAACTGTTCTTGGTGAAATCAGCAGCATAGCCACCAGTCAGCATGATTACAGGACCATGAACTTCATTCTTGGATTTGTCCTGAAGGTTCTTATACTTAACACCAACAACTTTTCCTTTGTCATTATCGTCAATTAACAAGTCTATAACCTGACAATGTTTTAAGATTTGAACACGATCAGGCTCTGTTTCACTTAAACTTTCCAATCTTTCCAAAAGTCTGTAAGTTATAGCCATACCAGGGAACTTCGAGTCGTGACCACGGTGGGTTCTTGGTTGAGAAGCACCACCAAGCCTAGAAACAACACTTAGGTCCAATTCGAAAACATCTTGAAGCCAATGGACGGCATCCGCGGAATCATAAGTTAAAACCCGAATCAAATCAGGATTTGCTCTATCTTTGGCTGCCTTCAAGGTATCATTATAAAACTGCTCAACCGAATCCTTAATACCTAATTGGACTTGGGTACGTGTAAGAGCACCATTAATACCTGAAGTTGCTTTACCACTGTTACCACTAAGAAAGCCCTGCTTGTCAAGAAGGACAACATTTGCACCACGAAGGTAAGCTTGATGTGCAGCGGAAAGACCAGCAAGACCACCACCAACGATGATTATTGGATTAGAAGGTTCAGACATTTTACTGTTTGGTTGATAACTGCAAAGAAAGTTTACTGTTGTTATTTCCTATTTCCTGGAGTTTCGTGCAGATATATATCTCCGCCTGTGATTTTGAATCAATCGGAGTTTTTCCATTTCTAATGCGGGGGTTAAAAAAGAAACAATGTGGTGGAGGGACTAAGATTAGTTTGCCTCGCGCATTATTCACCAAGGTACAACAAAGTGTGGGTTCCTGAGCGGATAAAAGTACCCGATTACCTGTTATGCACGAAGAATGTTGATATCGTATGATTAACACATCGTCATAATCTTATTGTAGTCGATGAGCTTCAATACAAAGGGAACATGAACCCGTTGGAAGGGGGGAGGGAGGAGTGAAAAATGGAGCGGGTGACCAACTGTATCAAACGCTAATGACGGATCTGTAACCCCGAAAACAAAACTCATTCAGGTTAAAATGAAAAATCTTGCAACCATATTCTGTTTAAGGTTTTAATGCAGCAGTGAATAAACATTAATCCAATTTCCTGAATGTAAAAGATTTTTGACTCGTACCGGATAACCTTGCAAGTCATTAGCATGTGAGGAGACACCGGGTTTTAATGCTAGTATATTATTCTATATATATATATCTATTACAAATGCGATATATACTGAAAAGCAAAGGAAATATCATTGAATTGCGACTCATTTGCAATCAATGAATCTTGATTATTAGCTAAAGAAGCATGATTTAAATGGTTCCAAGTAGTGGCATCTCCGTACAACATAGCTGGTGGTTTTAGAAATTGGCCCTTCTCCAATGAACAACGTTTGCAATGGAAAGTGTCATGTGTATCACATATTGTATCTGGTGCGTATAGAAATAATTGCCTCAAATTATCAGCACTAAATAATCTTTCAACATCTTCTTTTTCATCAACCACACAACTTGAGAGTGATAATTTCATGGATTGTCTCTGGAAAATCTTCTCTTCAATTGTACCTGTTGATATGAATCTATAAATAAAACAATCCTTCTTTTGTCCATCTCTCCATACTCTAGCTAAAGCTTGTTGATCCAGAGCTGGATTCCAATCTGGATCAATCAATACTAATCTGTTGGCACCAATTAAATTAATACCACAACCACCTGCTTTTGAAGATAACAAGAAGATGAATTCTGAACCATCTGGATCATTAAATTTGTCCACCAACTTCTGACGTTTATTGATATTCATAGTACCATCTAATCTAAGAACACCATATTTCTTATAACGACACATTTTCTCAATAAGATCAAGAGTTTGTGTGTAATTTGAAATAAGAACAATCTTATCATTGGTTTCTGTATTTATTTGATGCAAGAATCTTTCCAAAATCATAAACTTACCACTGAACCAAGTTTGAATCTCTCTGTTTCTTCCACTGGCCCCTATGGAGGAAGAATAATCTTCGGGGATTAATTCTTCACAACCTTCAATATCGTCGGGGAGGTTTAATAAATCTGGATGATTGCAAAGTTTCTTCAATAAACCAATTGCTTTCAATGGCTGTGATCCTGTACCTCGAAGAAGTTTCTTGATTTCTGGAGATGTAATGAAATAGTTATATAGAGCACTTTGCATGGGTGATAACCCTGTGAATAAAACATATTCGTATTTGACCGGTAAATATTTTGACAAAATATCATTGGTTCTTCTAATAATGAACTTGGATACCATTTGTGATAACTCTGTCAATTTTTCATCACTCTTGGCTCGTTCTTTATCAGTAGCGTCGGCATCTCTTCCCCGAAGAATAACATTTTCAAAATTACGTTTGAAGTCATTTCTTGTACCTAAATAACCTGGGTTGGCAAAGTTTAACAACGAAAAATATTCGGATAAATCATTTTGGATTGGGGTCCCTGATAAAATAACTCTTCTTTCACATTTTAACGAGTTTAATGCTGTAAATGTTAACGAATCACCATTCTTTAATCTATGCCCTTCATCAGCTAACATTAGCCCAACTTCTGTACCGGCCAACTTATCAACATTTCTTCGTAAAGTTTCGTAAGAAACAATTAACACTGGACGGACAACGTTTCTACCAGTAGCTGTTGACCATTGTTGTAATGCTAAACCTAGATCATTTGATTTGGTTGATTTCCCATCAACTGCCAAGGGGGTCAATACGCCTTCTCCTAGCCATTTAACAATTTCATTGGCCCAATTACGAACCAAAGAAGAGGGACATACAATAATACACTTTTCAATTGTACGTTTTCCTCGAGGAGATTGACGAAGTAATGTCCACATAAGAGCAAGGCATTGTAATGTTTTCCCCAACCCCATCTCATCTGCCATGATACATCCCTTTGCTCGTGGATCAATTAATCCAGCAGTACATCTATATAAAAACTTAACCCCGGCAACTTGATGCGGACGAAGAATCTTTGCTAGTTTAGGATCAATAACAACGGGAACATCGGGATACTTGGCAAGTGCTGCTTCTGGATCTGTTACAATACCCAAGATTTCAGCAAGTGATTTGTGAACTCTTCTTTTTTTAGCTTGTGGTTCTTGCGGTTCTGGTGTAGGCAGTTCTTGTTTCTCTTCTTTCTCATCATCTGCCTTTGGAATAATATCCACAGTAGGGTCATACAACACTACTGCAAACTCACTGGTAGGATCATAAAGCGGTCTTGGTGGGAGTATAGGCCGAATTTTTGTTCCTAATGGTGGTGGTGGGCCCCGTATGATATCTCCTTCTTTTATATTTTCCTTCTTGAAGGGCACTGTAAAAGATCGCTTTAGTTTATTTTCATTATTAGTCAAGTTGTGACCGTTTAGAATAGCTCGCGGCATAAGAGCTCCAAATCTTTTTTGATGGATTACTTCGCCTTCAGAATCAACCGGTAAATCTTCTTCAGTCATAACACCATCTGCATAAGTTGTAACTTTCCGTCGGGCATCACGAATAGGACGTCCTCGCGTCGTTGCAGTACCACCATGACCACTTTGGCCACGCGAGGCAAATGGAACTTTAAAAGGTCGAGCCAAACGCGTGGCCGAGTCAGTGACTTTTGGTGGTCTTTTCTCCTTGGGTACTCCAGCACCGGAACCCAAGGGAGTAGTAAATTGCTTCAAAGGTTTCCTCACTGCCATTTCTTGTTGTTGTGTTTTGGTGTTAGTAAGCAAAGAGATAGCTTTGTAAACAAAAACAACGCGCCCGTTTCCAGTTCTATGGAACCTTCTTTTTTTCTTTTCTTTTTTTTTGGCAGCACAAACAAGGGAGCTATCGCCACACAAAAAGATTTCCAGTGTTATCAGTGCTTTAATCAATATGGATGAAATCTTTGCAAAAGCAAGTAATCAAGCAGTGAGCTTTGCTATCAGATCAGGGATCTCTCTTGCTTCAGGATTTGCCATTAAAACAATTACCAGTTTCATTTCTCAAATCCCAAAACTGGCACAACAATTGCGGATCGAAAAGCAACGACGTAAGTTACACTTAAAAATTGAGATACTAACACCTACAATCGAACTTATAAAACTTGCCAATGCACGTTCCAGTTCGATCCTTGATTCAACCATTGAGTTAATTGATGAGTTACATGCTCAATTCACAGAATTTGACGACCATTTGAGTGAGATACTTACAGGGCTAAATAGCAAGAACGAAGTTGAAGCTACTGAAAAGGTTGAGAAATATATGAATAGGCTTTTACAAGATATAAATGAAGCTATCCCCGTTCTTAATTTGGCATTACTTACTCTGGGTGTGAACTTTTCAGGACAAACCAATTCCAAGAATGTATCACCAGGTAGATTGCTTCAAGCTGCCAATTATTTAAATAACAGCAAGGGCGACCAGATTGGGCCCGGCTTTGATTTGGTGATGTACACTATATTTTACAATCCAAGTAGATTGAAATATGTTGAAGGGGAGGAATTTGACGACTTGAAATCTATAAGTTGGAAAGAAACATATGCTAGAAGTCTGGTTAAAATTGTTAAGGGGAAGGGGAAGTTCGAATACAAGTTGCAAATAATCGAGGATTTTAATGATGGAAGATATCATGAAGATGACGACAAGCCCCTGAAGAGAGAGTTTGATTTGAAGTTAATTGAGCGGATGTTCTTTACCGGTTCAGGAAAGCTATTGCGTCTTGAAGAAAGAAATTCGCCTGTGTTAATTATTAAGTTGGTTGACCAAGAAGAAGAAGAATGGATAGCATTAGGCGAATTAAACAAAGGTGAATTTGATGACGACGATGAAGACGACGACGACGAGGAGGAGGAAGACCAGAAGGAAACCGCGGAGAAGGAAATTAACGTTAAAGCAAGTAATCCACTTTCCCTTTTAGAATATATTCTTCGACTTGCTAGACTTCAAGAAATGCAATCTAAATCAATTCTTGAAATACCAGATGAAATATTATCGATATACTTACATGATGAGCCTGCTGAGCCTCATATACAAAAACAACCAACTAATACCACAAGTGCCCTTACGATGGATTCAAATATCACGCGATTACAAAATTTGCAAATAGATGCAGAATCGAAAAAATCTATTAATAAATAATATATAGCTTTAATACACAAGAAAAGAATATATCGCGAGATGTTTTTATATTTTATAGGTTTTCATAACTAAGTGATAACTTTTATGGTTGGGCTTGTTGGCCTTGTGGGGATTGTTTTAGTGGAGATGACTTTGCTTGTGAAGTTATGGGCAGTTGTTTTTGTTGGTGCAGTTGATCCTTATAATCATTAAATTGATCAAATACATACGGTTTTGATCCCATTATTGGGGTAAACATTTCTTGATACAATGGTATATCATATTCCAAGGGATTGGTAGGAACTGATGAAGCCTTGTCATATCCAAAGTCAGATACTGAATCGTTATTATTGGCAAATGTCAAATCAGGAACAGAGCCATTGGCAGGAGCACTATCTTGTACACCATAAAAATTAGGTACTGAAGACGATGCTGACAAATTAGGTTGATTAATGTTAACACTATCCATATTTTCATCAAAGAAGCTCTCCGTGTACAATTCCGATTCAATTTTAGTCAATTGGGTTCCAATATTGCTTGTTGACCCTAATCCAGTTCTACCAAAATGGTGCAGATGGTGCCCAAAGTTGTCGTCATTGCTATTTGAATTATTGAATGCATCTGAAGGAGGGAATGCAGCTGATGTTGAAGACATGGGTAAGCTTCCACTTATAAATGTTCCTTGGTTATAAGCTGTTGGATTGCCAACAACATCATACGATCGTGAGGAAGAATTTGAAGTTATAGACAAAACACTTTCAGGACGTTTGAGTCGTACTGATGTGAATTGATTATGATTCCCAGTTGTGCTTGTCGAAGTTGCTACACTGTTGATGGAATTAACTGATGATGCCATACCATTTTGAAGACTGCTGCTATGAGTCATGACCGTAGGTCGCATTGGTTTTGGTTGTTGTGGAGGTGGAGGCTTGCTTGGTTTGATAATCTCTTGAGGAATAGTCAGTAATGGTTGATTTTCACTCTCAAAACTTTGATTTCCAACCAAGGGAAATAATGGAAACATATGATCCACCAAATCTATTTCAGTGGGACTCAAGTGATTCGTTATTCCTTTATTTGGAGAAAAATCATCTTGCAGTCTGTCCGTGTTATTGTTGTTATTGTTATTGTTGCTATTGGTGTCTATACTATTGCTTTTGGCGATATTTGTGTTACTATTGGTTGGTTGGTTGATTGCATCAAGATTATATTGGGAATTAGTATCATCATTAAAGTCGTTATTCGTACTAGGAGTATTATTTTGTTCATGCTTAATAGAAGATCCATTTTGAAGAATTTGTTGAGATGGGGTTGACCGTTGCGAATTATAATCAGTTAAGTTACCATCGGAATGATGAGAAAACAAGTCAAATAATCCATTACCAACATCAAAAGGAATGACAATATCGTCAATAACAAAATTCAGATTTGGATTTGAATATGAAGAATACGATGGAGTTTCTGGTTGCAGTTGTTCTTGATTTAGATTCTGACTCTGTTGACTTTGAGGAGAGTCGCTAGGAGTAAAGTTTGTCTCTGAAGCCTTCTTTTTAATATCAGCATTTGCAGCATTAATTAAAGATTTCTTCTTTGCACGTTCCGAAGCGGACATATGATGTATATTACCATTAATAGTGCCAGTCTTTTTCAGGGTTTGGTTACAAGTACAATGTGAATTTTTATGGCAAGCACACGAAGCCAAATGAGTTCCTGGAGGTTTCCCTTTTTTACCACATGTGCAAGAAGTATGTAAGTTCTTCATTTTCCGTTGATCTCGACAGTGTTGACATTGTGTAGCTGGTCTACCCTTTGGTTTGATCATAGTTAAGGGTTGATCTGTGTGGGTGCATGTTGTGACCCTATGACCTCGTATGCACCTCTCACAAGCATACTTCACCCCATTAATAAGCACCATCGTACAAGGGATATGCGTTTAAATTTTGGGAAAAACAAAAAGAAATGACTGAAAATGACTTTATGCAAAATGTTAACCTTTAAAATGGACAATGTAGAATATATTCGATGGATTTTCTTATTGTTATTAAGGAAAGTGTTATTGAACAACGTAGGTGAGGGGGCGGCGGCGGTAGCTGGCTGTTAACTTGTCCCTTTTTTTTCCCTTTTTCTTTTTTCTTTTTTTTTACAAAAACATCCAAAACGCAACTGTATAAGAAAAAATAGCTAGAGGAAACAACGGCTGAGGTGAAACAAAAAAAAATTTTAAAAAGGAGAAAATAAAAAGGGCGCGGAATGCACTCAAAAAAATTTTTTTTAGGTTTTTTTTTTCCCCTGTGGTGTCTAAATTTTACTACTATGACGTAAGCTTCAGTACATTGTACTTTAATTTGATGGGTAGACAACGTAGACTAAAGCCAAGAAACCCCCGCTTCTACGTCAGGTTTAAGACGATCTAAAATTACGTAGTCAAGTTGGTTTTTAGTCACTGGATATCATTTGCTGCTGTCTTTATTGGTCGCGTATTGTCCAGCGTAGCAACCTTTTTGATCCGTTCTCCACCATTTCCGAATTCATCTTATTTTCTTTTTTTTTTGACTTTTTTTCTTTTTCTTTTAGAGCTCGAAATTCGAGATGTGTATGTCTAATTCAGATGAACATTGTTAGTTGTAATCGGATAGAATTATTTCATTGTTCTTGTTCCGAACATGTGCTATTTTACCGAGATTAGCTTATCATTACCCGGCAATCAAATCTCGTCAAATTATTTAGCATCTTCCGACTCTTGTTTACCCACGGCATTTCCTGGTTAGTAACCTATTACGAGATATGTAAATCTCGAGCCGTCCAAGCATATTCCTGCAGAAAATCATATAGTGCTAAAGGCACGCTTACATAGTTTCATTACATGTTATAATAAGTTTTCTTAGTAGTATCTATTGTATAAACCTCTAGTCTCTACAACTTGGAGTCCTTAAAGGCTGGTGCAGCCAAAGGTTCGTATACACTACCAAACAATTTGTCTTGGGACACTACGCGGTTGGTAATGTTTCTTACATCCACATAGCTTTCATTTAATTGATCAATGGAGGTAACTCCCAATAATCTCATATTCATAACCATTTCATCTTTTAAGATTTGAATAGCTTTAGTTACACCTTCATCTCCATAGGTTGACATAGCATAAAGAAATGGTCGACCTATTCCCACACCTTTAGCACCTAAACACATTGCCTTAAGAATATCAGTAGCTCTTCTAACTCCACCATCAATATAAACTTCGAAATTCTTATCCAACCCTTGTTGTCTTAAAACTGGCATTAATTCAATCAAGACTTCCAAAGGAGGTCTGGAAAATTCCAACTGTCTACCACCATGATTACTTAAAACTACACCTTGACATCCTAATTTAGCGGCAATAATTGCATCTTCCACACATTGAACTCCCTTAAGAATAATAGGCATCTTGGTAACCGATTTAAACCATTTCAAATCGTCCCATTTCAAGGAAGTGTCAATAAACGAACTGATGGCTCTTGCTGCACCCTGACTTCTATCAACATCTGCATCATCACCTTGAACATGACTTATATCTTCAATTTGTTTAGATCTCATATCCTTTTCACGACGACCCAATTGTGGGGCATCCACGGTAATGAATAGTCCTTTCATACCTCTCTCCTCAGCATGTTCAATAATCTCTTTACATATTTCACGATCAGAATTAACATATAACTGGAACCATTGCGTTTGCTTGTCAGTAGCCTCATCGACAATTTCATCAAATGAACAGGAAGCAAGGGTAGGAATCATTTGAATGATACCTTGTTTTGCAGCACTTCTAGTAAGCACTTTTTCTCCATCTGGATGACCTAATCTACCCAATGCAGTGGCAGTAATATAAAATGGCAGTGCTACCTTGGCCCCTAACATAGTTGTACTAAGATCAATATTAGTAACATCAACCATAACTCTAGGCTTAAAGAAGATTCTGTGGTAACTAAGATGATTTTCTCTCAAAGTAATTTCATCATCACATCCTGAAGAATAATAAGCCCATGCAGTATGTTCCATGGTGTGACGAGCAACAAATTCAAAATCATTAAGATTGTAGATTTGAGAAAGATCGGGTTTATTCTTGATATTCTTACGACGTTCGATTTCACGAGGATCATTATCTTCATCGTCGTCATCATCTTCTTCATATGCATCAGCGGCTGCAGATACAGTAGCAGAAATTGGCAATTTACCTTCTTGTTCATCATATTCAACATCATACTCGTCAACCACGGTATCACTTGAACTGGATACTTCAACTTCTGGCTCAGGCTTAGGTTTGACTGATTTCTTCTTTTTCTCAACCTCACCTTTATGGTATTCTGGTTTCAAATATTTAACTAAAGTATCACCAGGATGAACTGGATCAAATGCTTTGGTTGCATCTTTACCAGCATATTTCAAAATAATAGCCAGACCACCCGGATGTTCCATCACAAAATCAGATACATCATATGCCTTATCATGAATGATAACCCAGCAATCTTTTTGTGTGTTATGTTTAGCTACTTCTTCTAATGTAAGGACCATCTTTACTAGTTTGATTCAAGATAGGAGATAACGGCGAATGTGAAAAAAAAAATCATCTGGAAAAAAAAAAGCGTAGGGCCCGATTATATAAGTAAGCAATGTGGGGTAAAATTCGGAGTCATATGTGTTTGTCGGTAATTAGTAAAATTAAAGCGGGAGAAATCCCAAAGAAGAAAAATTCATTCACAAATAAAGCGGAATGTACTAAAAAAACAAAGAGTAGGCCAATTGTTCCACTTTAATTTCAAATTGTATTGTTAACTGTGGAGGATGGTGGAGGGAGTCTGTTGTCTTTTTTTTGGGGTGCGCTAAATATAATTCCACGAGCAAACACGGGAACAGCGATCCGCCATCATTACGTAATTTAACCACTTTTGCAGCCTTGTTAATGAAAGTTATTGATGAAGTGTCCCCACAACTTTTGAATAACTAGGTTAGCACTGGTTGAGGTCTATGTCGAGGCGAATGAGAAACTCCGAACCTTCACAGTGATTCCTGAATTATAACATTTTGGGGGTAAGTTGATGATGGTTTGTTTCTGCAGGTAGAATTAGAATGTACTATTGTAAAAGATTATAGAGCATTTACGATTGAACTTTTAATTGAATTTGTAACTTTATTCAAATCTTTGAAGGAAATTATAAGATTGTTGCAAAAAAAATTGCCAAAATATAAACAAAATAAATAGAAACAAGGTTGAGAAACCTAATCCCCATATTTTTAATCTTTTGAATAATTCAAACCTTAACTTTAGATTCTAGCGAGAAACATTCCACTTCTTGCGGAAGGTTTTTAGTTATCGTGCAAGCAGATTAGTAGAACTCAACTGGATGATGTATTCGCAGTTTTGACAACTCTCACGTGATACAAAAATATCAACACAAGCCACTATAGCTTCAATTTGACGACATAGAAAAATCAAAGAAGGCGATATGCTTCGAGATTTAGATTGTTCCTGAACTATAACCTTCTTTATGTATAGTTCCTTACTTTACTAAAATTAGACTAAAACTACAAAGCAAAAAGATTGGCATATGCTAGTGAATACTGTTGACAAACTCACGTCTAAATCAGATATGTGTAATGTCTCAAATGTTAACTTCTTCCTTCTTTTCTGCCTGTGTTATTTAGTGCTGCATTGCCACATCAAGATATAAACACTTGGTCTTTTCTAATTATAGAATGTAAGGGCGGAATAAACGAACACCCTCGTCAAACAAAAGAAATGTGGTGAGAGATATTATTTTGCAATAAAATAATGAGGGAGGTCTAAACTGCAACCCCCCTACGGGTGAGATTGTGTTGCACAGTATTCCTTGCAGGTTAGTTCTAACCACAACTTTCCTTACAGGAACAGTAACACATTTTGTTGGCATATGAAAATAACCTGTAAAAAATTTCAATGGCAATTTACAGATTAGGAGATTACGTGTTTGTTTTGTTTAATTCAAAAAAAAAAATTTTTTGGGTTTCTTTTTTAATACGGGCTTTTTTTTTACCGTTCACAAAATTTACAACCCAATCTTATAACCAATTTTACAACCAACTTTCTAACTTATTGCTTTATTTTACCACAATACCATTAGCGATAGTTAAGAAATCAACCAAGCCACCACCATTTCTATACCTACACTACATACCCACCCCTCTAAATTAGAATTATCAAACAAACCCTGTTTGACATTAGAGGGCAAAAGATTGTTTTTGTTGATAATATAATTTCCTTGTGATATTCACCCACCCTTTGACATACCCCTGAATTTATACCTTTACTGCTTGATATTCAAGAATATATTGGACCGTTTGACATTCTTATCCAGCAACACTTGTTAAATTCACACGACCTCACCCACTCAAGAATTCAAACACGTCAACTTTATTGTAAACTTACACAAAACATTCCACAAAACAAAGGAAAAAAAAAAACTTGATTCGGGAAACTGAAACCAACACTTGGATTTTTTTTTTTGATTTGATTTATTTATTTATTATTACCTATTGATTCAAATTCACAAAGTTTGTTTTTAGTTCATACCAATATGGTTTCCTTATATGACGTGGGCACTCGTTGTTGGTATCCAGATGAGAAACTAGGCTGGGTAGGAACAACGGTTAAATCAAATACCCAAGACAATAATAAATATATTATAGAACTTACATTAGAGGATGATGAATCTCAGATATTCACTATTGAAACCGAGAATTTGTCAGAAGATAATCCAGAATTACCTCCTTTACGAAATCCTCCAATTTTAGAAGCTGCTGAAGATTTGACAAGTTTATCATATTTGAATGAACCTGCCGTTTTACAAGCCATCAAGTTAAGATATTCACAGTTAAACATTTATACTTATTCCGGTATTGTTTTGATTGCTACTAATCCTTTCCAAAGAGTTGATCAATACTATTCTCATGATATAGTTCAAGCTTATTCTGGCAAGAGAAGAGGTGAATTAGATCCCCATCTTTTTGCTATCGCTGAAGAAGCATTTAGATGTATGAAGGATGATGGCGAAAATCAAACCATTGTTGTTAGTGGTGAATCAGGTGCTGGTAAAACTGTTTCTGCCAAGTATATTATGAGATATTTTGCTACTGTCGAAGAAGATTTCCAAGGAAGTACTATTGATCATAAAGCTGATATGTCTGATGTTGAAAAACAAATTTTAGCCACAAATCCAATTATGGAAGCTTTCGGTAATGCTAAAACTACCAGAAATGATAATTCTTCGAGATTTGGTAAATATTTGGAAATCTTATTTGATACCGATGTTTCCATTATTGGGGCAAGAATTAGAACTTATTTATTAGAACGTTCAAGATTGGTTTTCCAACCACAATCAGAAAGAAATTATCATATTTTCTATCAATTATTGGCTGGTATGTCTGAGGATGAAAAGCAAACCTTGGGATTAACCAAACCCGAAGATTTTAAATATACTAATCAAGGTGGGGCACCACAAATTGATGGTGTTGATGATGCTGCTGAATTTTCCATCACTAGGGATGCATTACAATTGATTGGAATTGATTCAGATAAACAATTTGAAATTTTTAAGATTTTGGCAGGTCTTTTACATATTGGTAACATTGATATCGCTGCTACCAGAAATGATGCATATTTATCGGCAGATGAACCAAACCTTGTCAAGGCTTGTGACTTATTAGGTATTGATGCTAATGCATTTGCTAAATGGTGTGTTAAGAAACAAATCACCACTAGATCAGAAAAAATCATTAGTAATTTAAGTCACCAACAGGCCTTGGTTGCTAGGGATTCCTTCACAAAGTATATTTACTCCCTGATGTTTGATTGGTTAGTTGATTATGTCAATAACGATTTATGCCCAGATGAAGTAACGGCTAAGATTAATTCATTTATTGGAGTCTTGGATATTTATGGGTTTGAACATTTTGAAAAAAATTCGTTCGAGCAATTTTGTATTAATTATGCTAATGAAAAATTACAACAAGAATTTAACCAACATGTGTTCAAATTAGAACAAGAAGAATATATCAAGGAAGAAATTGAATGGTCTTTTATTGAATTTAGTGATAATCAACCATGTATTGACCTTATTGAAAACAAGTTAGGTATATTGGCACTTTTAGATGAAGAATCTCGTTTACCTTCTGGTAATGACCAATCCTGGATTGAGAAAATGTATCAGAATTTGAATAAAGAACCAACCAACAAGGTATTTAAAAAGCCAAGATTTGGGCAATCTAAGTTTATTGTTAGTCATTATGCCTTGGATGTTTCTTATGATAGTGAAGGTTTTATTGAAAAGAATAGAGATACTGTTGGTGAGGGACATTTGGATGTTATGAAGAATACTACAAATCCATTATTACAGGATATTTTGTCCATTGTTGAAAAGAATGCCGCTGCTGCTCTTACTGCCAGCGCTTCTTCAGCTGAATCTGAAAGATCCAGACCAACCAAGACTGCCAATAAGAAGATCACTTTAGGTTCCATGTTTAAGAATTCCTTAATTGATTTGATGAAGACCATACATTCCACAAATGTCCATTACATTCGATGCATCAAGCCCAATGAACACAAGACGGCATGGGAATTTGATTCTCTTATGGTTTTATCTCAATTGCGGGCTTGTGGGGTTTTAGAAACCATTCGTATCTCATGTGCCGGTTATCCAAGTAGATGGACCTATAGTGAATTTGCTGATAGATATCATATTCTTCTTCCATCTAAAGATTGGATTAAAGTTATGAGTGGTGAAACAACAAGTGATGAAGCCATTAATGAATTATGTAACCAAATTTTGGACAAGTACATTGAAGATAAATTGAAGTATCAGTTGGGTAATTCCAAAATTTTCTTCAAGGCTGGTATGTTGGCTCATTTCGAAAAATTGAGATCTGATAAATTATACCAATCTGCCGTTATGATTCAAAAGCATTTGAGAGGAAGATATTACCGTAAGCAATACATTATGACACGTCAATCTCACATCAGATTACAATCATTAATCAGAGGTTACATGGTTAGAGATCGGGTTGAAAAGGAACGTCAATGTAATGCTGCAACCAAGATTCAAACTTTGATTAGAGCTTATTTGGCAAGAAAGCAGTACGTCAATACTGTGAATTCTGTTATTACTTTACAAAAATCTATTCGTGGTTTGCAAGCAAGAAGAAATTATCTTTCCTTGCGTACCGAAGCATCTACAATTACTATTCAAAATGCTTGGAGAGGTTACCAAGAACGTACCAAATACAACAAGCTCAAGAAGTCTACCGTTGTTGTTCAATCTGCTATTAGAAGACAATATGCTATTCGTCAATTAAAGGAATTGAAAGTTGAAGCTAAGTCAGTTCATAAATTGCAAGAAGTTTCTTATCAATTAGAAAATAAGGTTATTGATTTAACTCAATCCTTAACAAGCAAGATTCAAGAAAATAAGAAATTATTGGAAGAAATCGAACAATTGAAATCATTGATGGTCCAACATGATGAAGCTCAAGAATCGCTCAAGACCAGAGAATTAGAATATCAACAACAAGTTGATTCTTTGAATGGTGAACACTTACAAGAGATCTCTAACTTGAAACAAGAATTGGCCAATATCAACTCCGAATATGCATCCGCTGAAGCTAAGATCAAGCAATTATCTCAAGAACAAGCAGATTTAAGAGAAGAAGTTCACCGTACCATTGAAGAATTGAACAAGGCCAAGGAAGATTTGGTTAAACGTGATACAATTGAAGTTGATCTCAAGACTCATATTGAACAATTGAAGAGTGAATTAGCACAATTACAACTGCAACAACAAGTTTCTAAATCCAGAAATGGTTCTGCTGCAGTAATTAATAATCCCAAAACTAGAACTGCAGTTAACAACAAACGGTACAGCAGTGCCAGTGCCTGGAGTACTAACAATAATCTTGATAATGTCAATAGACCAGTATCAGTCATTGCCGTGTCCAACGATGATTATGCCGATATTGATGATATTAATGATGAGTTGTTTAGATTATTAAGAGATTCACGTCACTTGCATAGAGAAATTGTCGATGGGTTATTAAAGGGATTGAAGATTCCTGATGCTAGTATCGCTGCTGATTTAACCAGAAAGGAAGTTTTGTTCCCATCAAGAATTATTATTATTATCTTGTCTGATATGTGGAGATTAGGCTTAACTAAAGAAAGCGAAGAATTCCTTGGTGAAGTATTACTGTCCATTCAACATATTGTTTCATTGTTGAAAGATGATGATGTTATTCCTAATGGTGCTTTCTGGTTATCTAATACCCATGAGTTATACTCATTTGTTTCATATGCTCAACAAACCATTATTGATAATGATACTTTATCTCACGAAATGAGCGAGGAAGAATTTGAAGAATATTTGAAGTTGGTTGCTGTTGTTAAGGAAGATTTTGAATCGCTTTCTTATAATATTTATAACATGTGGATGAAGAAGATGGAAAAGGAATTGGAAAAGAAAGCAATTTCAGCAGTTGTTTTATCACAAAGTTTACCTGGGTTTATGGCTCCAGAAAACTCACCATTCTTGTCTAAAGTTTTCTCATCTGGTACTCAATATAAGATGGATGATATTTTAAGTCTTTTCAACCTGGTTTATTGGGCAATGAAGTCTTATTTCATTGAACATGAAGTTATCAATGAAGTTATTATTGAATTATTAAGATTCCTTGATGGTTTGTGTTTCAATGATTTAATAATGAGAAGAAATTTCTTATCTTGGAAACGTGGTTTACAATTAAATTACAATGTTACCAGATTAGAAGAATGGTGTAAATCTCATGAGATTCAAGAAGGATCAGTTTATCTTTCCCATTTATTACAAGCTGCAAAATTATTACAGTTAAGAAAGAATACCCCTGAAGATATTGGTATCATTTATGAGATTTGTTATACATTGAAGCCAATTCAGATTCAAAAATTAATTTCCCAATATCTTGTTGCTGATTATGAAACTCCAATTGCTCCAAATGTATTGCAATTGGTTGCTGATAGAGTTCGTGAATCCAATGGCAACTCTGATGAATTATTTGAAATGGTTAATACCGATGGTCATTTCAATGATCCATTTAGAACGATTGATTTGAGACCATTTTCAAGAGTTGAAGCTTATGTTCCTGCATGGTTGAATTTACCAGTTATCAGACGAATAGTTGAACTTGTGGCTAAGAATGCTTCTGTACAGGAGACTCAAAGTTTGCAACAACAACTCGAAGAAGAAGATGAGTATCACGAACAACCACAAACTGTGATGGTTAACAGCAGTTAAATTATATAAACTTCCAATTGTAAATTTTCTTTTATTACTTATATAGTCTTATTAATTTCCAGTTCAGTTTTAGTACGAAGTTGTAACGCGTGAACACCCTTGTGCTTAATTTCATCGTCTAATAAGTTATAAACCAATCTGTGTCTAGTAGGCAAGGTCTTTCCTTCGAATATTGAACTGACAATTTCAATATTAAAATGGGACTCCGTGGTGTTTGTTGCCCCTCTTATCCCAGCATGATGAGCATGTTTATATGAATCATTAACAATTTTCAAGTATGTAGGCAGAAACGAATCTTGAATTTTAGTCAATATCAGAATTTCAATAGGACCAGGAGTTTCTGAATGGATCAATTTAGCAGTAGTTGTCATTGTCCTTAATAATTGTTTGAACATGGTACGAGAACGTAGACATCGATTGTATTTTTTTTTTTTCAAGCTTGAATTTTTATAGGCTTCAGCGATTCGCAATAAACGTTCACACACCCTAGATACTTACTATCACTTTTTGGGATCATAGTTCAATATATAACTTGGCTAGATTATCTTAAAGGGCACAAGTAACGATATATGAAACATTTTGTATTAAAATCTTGATATAATAGTGTATCTAGCGTAAAGTTGCTAGTTTAGAACATTTTCGTTGATGTTGCAAATTCAATAGCTCAAGGTAATCAAGCATGATCAATGTTTTTCATTCTCCCAGGAACTCTAAAGTATTATACGTTATAACATGAGAGTACAAATTATACAATCCAATGGAAAGAAACCCAGTGCCCCTTTTGAGTGGTTGTGAATTATCACAGAAGAAATCGTTATCTGTAGATACTAGAAAACCAGAGAACATAAAGAAAGGGCATTTCCTAATACAATGAATTTTCAAACAACCATTATAGATGATAATAAAATATTTTCTTAAGATGTATCTGAGGTGCCATCTGAGTTGTCTAGCACCAACTCAAATTTCTTATCTATGCAATCACAAGTTACGAGCAGAAATCCGGAATTGTTAAACGAATGTAGAAATATGTGGAGTTTTATGTGCCCACCCTTTGTCATACACTCTGATGCAAGTTATAAGCTGTGGTAATGGTTGTTGTTAATTAGTGTCAAATATTTACAATATTTTCCCACTGTACATAAACACCTTGGCCTAAAAAAAAAGCAAGAGACCTTTTGATCCCACCATCGCTTCCTGCATATTTGGGATTTAGTGCATAACAAGTTTACGATAGCAAGTTACAACAAATCCAAAAGAAAACTTGAATAAGACATAACATGATGTAAAATGCATTACTATTGTACATAATAGATAAATTTACTGGAAGTAAAGATTACTCTCGTAATATTAACATTTATTAATAAGCGGGGCTACAAAGCCTCTTAAATTTTCGTTTCCTTAAACGATCAGTTACATTAAAACAGCGTTACCAGCTAGCATATAGTTTTAGCGCCTAGCCGATACCATCATTGGACAATAAAAATTTGGTTGATAAATTTTATTTTATGCAATGGGCCTCTTCCTCTATATATGGAGTATGCTGCAAAGTTTTCTACTAAAGGGAGGGAATAAGATTTACTAGGTTAAGAGAACTTAAAGGAAAGCTACCTACTATTTTTTCAAAACCCTAATCAACTACTTTCAGCTATTGTATCTTTTTAAAACCTATCAAAGTAAAGAGTTTTCAAAACTTACCCAACAATGCAAAGACAAGGTGGCCCCATTTTATTGGTCTTTACCGTGCAACCCAAGGAACCTTGGTAGAGGTGATGCAAACTGCAAGCAGTGAAAACTATTTAGGGGTTGAGGAGAGAAGGGATCACTAGATGTAAACAGTATTCTGGGAGAAATTGCTTTTTATGGTTAATGATATTTTGTAAAAATTCTTCCTAAACAATCGAAATAATTACCCCATTGACTCTTTTTTTGATCCCATACTTTTAGTTCGAAACCTAAATTATTTGCCAATTATCAACCCCTAGTATTTGCAACTGATGAAAAATGGAGTAAGAAAGCCTCTTTAACTCTTCGAGCTTCACTTTGATTTATATCACCTTCTCACCGTTGTGAACCACAAAACTAAGTAATGCAACAATGGTCTAACTACTAACCCCCCCCCCACACACACACATCTACGTAGTTGTAGTAATCAATGTATAATGTTAGTAGTACGAAGTATAATTGGGGCGTATGGAACAAAAGCCCCTTACTAATCCTGCTTAGGTATATAAAGACCATAAATATTCCTCTTTAATCAGTCTTTCATTTTGAACTTTGTATCATCAACACATTCTCTAATATGTTGCCAATCAAATTATTAGCAACACTCGCTCTTTCTATTTTCGCCATTGGTGAAACTCCACCTTCTTTTCCAGATTATAATACTGAATCCAACCCTCAATTACCACCAATCACTTTCCAAGCCGTTCACTTTTCTTTCCCGGATTGTCAAAATGGTCCATTGAAGGACAATGATGTTTGTAATCCATATCTCCCAAATAACCAGAGAGCCAAAGCTGTGGTTGATTTATTCACCGTTGATGAATTGATCGCTAACATGGGTAACACATCTCCAGGTGTTGAACGTTTAGGTCTTCCACCATACCAATGGTGGAGTGAAGGTTTACACGGTATTGCTAGATCCAACTTTACTGCTTCTGGTGAATACTCCCATGCTACTTCTTTCCCTCAACCAATCTTGATGGGTGGTGCTTTCAACAGTGACTTATATAAACAAGTTGGTAATGTTATTGGTACTGAAGCTAGAGCTTTCAACAACGTTGGAAGAGCTGGTTTAGATTACTACTCACCAAATATCAACCCATTCAAAGATCCTAGATGGGGTCGTGGTCAAGAAGTTGCTTCTGAATCTCCAGTTTTAGTTGGTAACTATGCTTTAAACTACGTTCAAGGTTTACAAGGAGGTATTGATTCTAATCCAAACGATGACACTTTACAAGTTGCTGCTACTTGCAAGCATTTTGCTGGTTACGATATGGAATCCTGGAAACAACATTCTAGATTAGGTTACAATGCCATTATTAGTGATCAAGATCTTGCTGATTACTACTTTCCAACTTTCCAAAGTTGTGTTAGAGATGCCAAGGCTGCTGGTGCTATGTGTTCTTATAATGCTATCAACGGCATTCCAGTTTGTGCTTCTGAATTCTTCCTTGGTACTGTTATAAGAGAGGGATTTGACTTCCAAAACGGTGTTATTCACTCTGATTGTGATTCCCTTTACAGCATTTGGAATCCCCACTTGTATGTTCAAGATTTAGGAGCTGCTGCTGCTGATGGTATCAAGGCTGGTGTTGATGTTAACTGTGGTGACACTTACCAAAACAACCTTGGTTATGCTTTAGGAAACAAGACCATTAATGAAGATCAAATTAGAGCTTCAGTTACTCGTCAATACTCCAACTTGATTAGATTAGGTTACTTTGATTCTCCACAAACCAACAAGTACAGAACATACAATTGGAGTGACGTTTCTACTTCGCAAGCAAATCAATTAGCTTACCAAGCTGCTGTTGAAGGGATTACTTTATTGAAGAACGACGGTACTTTGCCATTCAATAAGGATAAGGTCAAAAACGTAGCTGTAATTGGTCCATGGGCTAATGCTACTACAGATATGCTTGGTGATTATGCTGGCACTCCACCATACTTGATCTCTCCATTGCAAGGGGCTCAAGACAGCGGTTTTAAAGTTCAATATGCCTATGGTACTCAAATCAACACAACTCTTACTACTAATTATACCGCTGCTCTTAATGCTGCCAAAGGAGCAGACGCGATTGTTTACTTTGGTGGTATTGATAACTCCATTGAAAATGAAGCTCTTGATAGAGAATCTTTAGCTTGGCCAGGAAACCAATTAGACTTAGTTAGCAAGCTTTCTGGTTTGAATAAGCCATTGGTTGTTGTACAATTTGGAGCTGGTCAAGTAGATGACACTGAAATTAAGAACAACAATAATGTTAACTCAATTGTTTACGCTGGTTACCCAGGTCAGAGTGGTGGTACTGCAATTTGGGATGTTTTAAACGGTATCTATGCTCCAGCTGGTCGTTTGAGTACTACTCAATACCCAGCTTCTTATGCTGATCAGGTTCCAATGACTGATATGACCTTAAGACCAAGAGATGGCTACCCAGGTAGAACCTTCATGTGGTACAATGGTGAACCAGTTTATGAATTCGGTTATGGTTTACATTACACAACCTTCTCTGTTTCCCTTGCTAACGCTCCTCCAAAAGGTGCCCCACAATCTTTCAACATTGACCAATTTATTGCTGCCAAGAGTAGTCAATACGTCGACACAAGTCTCATTACTACGTTTGATGTGAACATCAAGAACACTGGTAAGGTTACATCTGATTACGCTGCATTATTATATTCAAACACAACGTCTGGTCCAGGTCCCCATCCAAACAAAATTTTGGTTTCTTTTGACAAGTTACACCAAATCCACCCTGGTCAAATACAAACAGCTAGTTTGCCAGTTACTATTGGATCCTTACTTCAAACTGATACCAATGGTAACAAGTGGTTATACCCGGGTGCTTACACTTTCTTTGTTGATAATGACATGAAGGCTCAATGGGAAATCACTCTTACAGGCCAAGCTGCACTTGTCCAAAACTATCCATCTCAATCATAAGCTAGAGACATGTTGTTCATGTGGTCGTTGGAATAAGTTTTTGTTTTTGTTACATGACTCTCTAGATTGTGTCTACTCTTTTATAACACCCTTTCCATTTATTTTGTTTTCGAATATAAAATTGATGTTTGCAATTGATGTAGAATAATTAAATTGTAAGTGTTCTTTGCGAATTCCTTTCTATCACTGCATTTCAATTACAGTAAAGAGAGGAATACATAAACAACTGACCAATTTCTATAGATTAAAGTAGGTAGTGCAACCAGAGATATCCCCACAGTAACTTTCGAATATTTGGGTGAAAACAATCAATATTTAATTGTAATTTTTGAATAAACCAAAACTTCTTCTTTTATACATTGGATAGCTAGGCATTTAGTACCACTTATGTATTTACTAGTACACATTAATACCATATTTAGAACTGTAATTCTTCGATATTAAAAAAAAATATTCATACATTAAACCTTATTAATACATATATATACCATTACTTTCTCTTTATGTAGTCATTATAAACCCCCCTAGCTACTTTAGCCATTGAATGTCTTCCAGTAATAAATGGACCAAGACCAATCAATATAAGGGTAGAATATAACCAGATCAAACCAACTGTTACATATCCCTTAAAGTAGCTTCTACTGAAGATCCATTCACGGTACAATGGTAATGGCCAAAGAACCCATGTTACTAGTAAAATGAATACTGCAGCACCAGTGGCAAGCTTGATGTAAAAATTTAATTCTTTAGGGGATAATGGTTCTGGACCAGCAATTACTGGTTGTTGTTTTTCTTGATCTTGTTCAGTCACTACAACATCATCAGATTTGATATCGGAGTTCTTTTCATTAGAAAGTGATTCAATGGCAGTTGCAGTTTCTGAACTATCTTCATCTTCTTCTTTAACCAACAAGTCTGCTTCTTGTAAGACAGACCAGTCAAACTTATGTGGCTTAATAGTGAATGAAAGGATAATACTTGTAATACCAGGTAATAACAATGCAGTCAACGAACCGAAAAGAGCAGGTAATTGTCCACCAGTGGACACAATAGTAACTTCCCCATAATAATGTTTAGCAGTAGTTAACCAAACTGTAATACCGAAAATTAAACCGACAATGGGAGAAACTGCGGCTGCCAATGCAGTTTGACGATCCCAAGTAATGGTAAAAATCAAAGGAATAACACCAGGACAAATAATCATTGGATAGAAGTATCCGTACCAAGTCATGTTAACACCGACGTAATGTAACATAACACTGAATGCAGCACAGCCAATACCGAAAATAACACAACCATAATGAGAAACTCTGATCATAGATTTGTTCTGAGCTGAAGGATGGATATATTTCTTGTAAATATCGAATGAAAGAATTGAAGAAACTGAAACCATTTGAGCAGAAACAGTGGATGTAACAGCAAGATAGATAATCAATAATAATGCACCAACACCTCCATTACCAACAACTGCTTTCAAAACATATGGTAAGACAAAACCAGAGTCAATTTCAAAGGTGGTCAAAGCACGAGGGTAAGTTGGGAAAGATTTAGTCTTTTCTAAAACAATAGAAGCACCACCAATAATTGTACCTAATGGCCAGACATTGGAAAAAATCAAGAATGCAGCTAATAAATAAGCTGGAACCATAGCTTTTGGACTGGCTGAGAAGGTCTTTTGCCAGAAGGAAGAATCTAAAACAGTTAAACCAAAGTTACCACAAGTTAAAATTAAACCAAAGAATAAGGCACCTTGGGATTTACCGGTCATAATTGATCCATTATAGTTACCTTCAACGTATCTTGCACCTGAGTTGTCAAAGTTAATCAACAAGTCATATAATCCGTCTAAACCACCAATTTGGTCGGAAGTTAATACAGCAGTGTTTAAGTAACACAAGACAGTTAAAAGAATTAAAGTATGGACAAAATCAGTTAAAAAGGTTGCCTTTAAACCACCAACAATGGTATATAATAAGACCCCAAATGGAATCAACATGGTGGATGCAACAATATGTAAATTACCAGCAATAATGGAAATGGCTCCACTTGCACCTAAAATCATAGAAGAACATGATAATAAGTTGTTGGCCAATGCAAGAAACAAATATAACAAATGGTTTACTTTACCATATCTTAATTCAACAATTTCCAAAGATGTATGTGCTTTAGGAGCCTTCTTCTTGGCATGAATACCAATACATGACATGACGGCAATTTGAACAGCTAAACCGGCACCATAGTAGTAACTGGCTTGAATACCATAATTGTAAACCATGGTAGAGACCCATAAGAATTCAGTAGCCCAAGACCATGATGAATAAACGGCAGATGCTGATAAGAAGGTACCAACACTTCTATTTGCAACCGAGAAAGTTTCGGTACTATTGGCATTTTCATGTAAATATTTTTGAAGTAATTTGGTAGTTAAAATCATACCTCCGGCAAACAAGGCACCTACACCAACCAAGATACCATAACCTGATCCTTGTCCTAATAAGTGAACTGTAGATGTAGCTTCAGACATTATTAATTATTGAACAGTTGTTGATTTAGAATTACGAACTGAAATTATCAGGAATTAGTCTTTGCTTTTATATATTTTAAAATCATGCTGCGAAATAATGATAAATAATAAAACGGCTAGTATACATGAATAATTAATCTAGGTTGCATTAGTGCACGTGATAAGTCACAAAACCTGAAACAGACCAGTTAAGAAGGCCGATTAATTTTCCACATGGTTATCTTGGCTTATTTTTAAATAATTTTAAACTGTGGAAATCATCGTTATTGTTGAAAACAATTCGACAGCCGAATTCGTAAAAATTTGTGGCACAATCATACATTGCACGTGACCTACAGCGAAAAAAAAGGTTTACGATGTAGTCAAAAAGTGTGTAAAAGATATCAACCTAGCCATAGTTATGGCTGATAGAACGATTGGAATATGCCATACCACATTGTTCATGTTTGGAACATTCTAAGCATTGTGGGGTACATACAAAGAAACGGTTTTTATAACTGCTTGTCTTTCAGTTTAGATATTTCAGGTTGGTACGAACTGGAGTAAGTTTAGGCTAACATGTCAAACTTTTAGCAGATGTGCATATTGGTTCTGTGGCTCAATTTTTTTCGACGTGGGGCGGATCTGGGCACCGAAACAATTTAGCACCACAGTCCCTGACTAAACCCACAGTTTTTGTTTTTTTGCGATAAGTTGCTCATTGGCCAGTTTGAGCAATCTTAGTCTAATTGTGGTAATTAATCTTAATTTCCATGAGTCATCGTCTAGACAATCAGATAAGTGTGGATTTCGCCTATATGCGATGGAAGAGCAAGCCGAAATAATTAGACGTTGCTTTTTAATCAATTTGAATCAAGGGGCGAAGGTAAAGGCTAAAATTACTTCTAGATAACGGGGGCGGGGGGATTGGGGATATTTCAGCATTTTATGCTGCCATTCCAGCAACTAGAAGTTGATTCTCAACAACATCGGGTTAAAAAGTAACAGAGTTACTATTAACATTTTTCCTGGTATCTATTCTACTACCAAATATAAGTATAATTGAATAAACTCTTAAACAAAAGTTCTTCCTCTGGAACTTAAAACAATCTCAGAAATGATAAAACCTACATATACTAAAATGAGTTTCAGAACTCTGGTTCCAATTCATCAGGATCATGGATGCAAAATATGTCTCCTAGATGACCAGAATACCTTGATTTGAAATAGCATTTCTCACATAGTATAACCTGTATAAAATCGGAACAGCCAAATTTTAACAACTTGTGAATGTTGTTTGGATCTGATTTTTTTTTTAATTGCTCTGTGGTTAGAGACCACTAGACCAAAATAATAAGAGTTCATGTAGATTCGGTCATACTATTGCAATCTAGTACAATATTTTGCAATGAACGTAATTGATACTAAAACGTACCCTCTCAAAAGAATTTGCTTCACCTTTCAAGATTTCCTCTATTTTAAATAGTTCTCATTGCATTTTTTTGGTTCATAAGACACCATTCGTAAATGCAAACCAGTCAAAGAATTTCGTTACAAAGTTCCAACTAGCGTGACAAAGTTAGGATTTTGTGACGTTAATGATATCTGTGTTAGATTGGTTGCTAGGAGGAAGCCTTCCAACAAATCTGGTTTGAAAGTCGAGGCAATCAACTCATGGAGGCAAAAATGAAGTTCCAAAGATTTTTCATTTATTCGACTTGAACATGTATTTCAAATGTTTGATACATCCTACTTTTATTACTTGTTGCCGATATATAATCAACAGCATAACCTGTAACCCACCAAGCTGATTGAATTTATAAAATTCATTAATTATATCAAATGCTTCACGAAACTTTAGTATTTTAAGATTTTCAAACCTCAGAATCATTCCCAAGTTCTTGTTACAATTTGTATTGTTTATGGCATTCAATTCACCCACAAGTACTACGTCAAGATTGTATCTTTGGAAAATGGGTGAATTATTGAATGTAAATTGACAAAGTCTACCTATCTACTTGATTTATAAATACGTATCCTGCGCACCGGGCCATGGGGTTTTCTATAATAATTTTAATTTAAGGATAAGAAACCATCAACCCCTCAAAGCAGCTCCTTAGCCTTTAAAACATCGACAGAAAATACAATTGTATCAACACCTCAGAATCTGGAATCTTTATACAAGTTCTCTTGAATCTTTCCAATTTTGTTAATGTGTGATTGATATGAAAACAAATATGAAATTTACTAGATAAGTTATATGGGTCTCCGACATTCACCTAAATATATTTGAATACTACCTTTTCTCCAACATTTAGAAGTGTGATTACAGAGAGAACCTCTATTTGGTTGATATTACTAATTATCGAGGAAAGAATTACTGCTAATAATGATAAAATCGATGGGGAGTATGGTTGCGATTCAGAATCAATTTCTTGTTCTGATTCAAACCCCGTGTTAATACTGATCATATTATCCCGTTTGTGTTAACCCCGATAGAACAAAAATATAAGTGTTATAATTACAAACAACACCACAAGTGTCAAAGATATTAAATAAGTTTTTACTATCAAGCAAACTATACGTCTAATAATTCATTTGTTCCATAAGTTTATAGTTCAAAGAAGAAGTACCAAACACTCAAAAGATTTTGCTATACCTTGAATGTATGCATATTACAAAGTATATCAACTTCCATTTTCTTATTTGCCAAAGAAGAACGACTCAAGATCTGGGATAATAATAAACGTAAGGAAATATTAATCGAGAAATGAAATTGCCCCAAAAATCTGAACATAATTTACTAAATTCCAAATTTATCTGTACAGCAAATAGGATTAGTATTCATAAATAGATGGAATACCATGAGCAAATATTTCACAATGTTCAGCAAAGAGTTTTATCAGAAAGAAAACTAAATTTAGAATCAATTGAAACTGTGTTGCGCCTGGTACTTGCAGTACCTTTATTACTAATTGATCTCTTGTTCGTATATGATACAAGACTTGAACTTAATGATAGGCAGAATGAGCCTGAACAAAGTAAACCAACTTAAATTCCTAAAACAGCAAGAATATTTAAATACATACATGAAAAGAAAGAATTTCACGGTTTCAGAGAATTGCAAATCAGACACTATTATCAATATTTGCACTACGGGATAAAATTCCAGGATTTATATTTGATCATCTTAAGCAATTCATCACAGTTCTGGTCAAATTAAGTAATTCAAAGTTGTTCCAATTGGCCACCAGGAAACTTTATAGAAACATAGAAACGTATAAGTGAATAATAAGGCGTCCAAGATCCTGATAACAAGCAAAATTCATACTGCATTCATTTTACGTGAATTTCACAACAATCAACAATTCCACCGCAAAAATCCGCAGTTAGTCTAAAAAACAACAACTAACAATTACTGGTGACTGCGAAATTGATTTGGGATTTATAGCACACTTTTCCGGTCACACAACCCTTAAAATAACCTCAAACAAGTATTGAGATATTCAGAAAGCTAGCAACTGCAGAAAAGGTTTACACGCTTAAAAGCTGGTACATTTTCTTGCTCGAGATAATTAATATTTCAATTTTAAAAGAATTGTTTCAATTAGATGTAACTTCGATCTTAAAAGCAACAAAGCGCTCTTTTATAACCTCAAAATTGAGTCTGACTTGAAATATTTACTTAGTCAAATGTTGAAACTTAAGCATTAGGTATTGCCGTGCTCCTTACATGTGGATTGTGCAAATTCTGCTAGAAAATTAGAAGCATACTCGTTTCCAACTTTAGGTTTAGAAATCCTCTCTTCCTGGCTTGGGTATTGATTTACTGGTACTAAAGCTCAAATGAATTAGCAGCCAATTACAAGATTGTGTTGATCTGCCAATTTCAGATCTGGTTTTTATTTGGAATTTTAGAAATTAGACTGATTTACAAGAGCAAATAATCAAATGGGATGAAAAGAAATATTTGCACAACTTCAATTGTTGGTTTCCTAACGGGCATGTCGTAACTTGCATCAATTCATTCTAAATGAAAATTTCTATTATGTTGATAAGTTACAAAATGGAACTATTGAATGCATTTTGGATAAGTGATGACAAAAGAAAATTTAAATCTAAATTATTTACTACTACAGATTTGGACAAAAAGTCGATCCAACTGAATGCAAGATCTAAAATGTTCGGACATAATCTAAATATCTACATGGGTGATCTATTCTATGTTGTTATTTTTAGCAGGTTCGGGTTCGTATGGAGTCGAAAAACCGTCAATGCAAAAAAACAATCGACTGATAGTAAAATATTTCTTTCATCCCCTCATTATTACCCCTCTATTCGTTGGAAACGACTCATCATGAACTTGACTATCCTGCAACGTCTATTACGTCATTTGATGTAAAGTTTAAAATGTTACTGGGTTTCTTGCATGTAATTTGTACTAAATCTAGACGGATCTATCGATTATCCATGGAATTGCCAATTCCCCGGATTTTGATTTAGCCAGAATGTATAATTAAACAATAAAGTATTACTTTTTATATTTATTTTTCGTATGCATAAATATTTGCTCCATTGTTATATTTTCTGTCTGGGCAAAGAATGTGTAACTTTTAATCTCCACCATTTTTGTTGGGCTTTTTTTTCTTCCTTGATTCTCGGAGTTGACCCCAGAAAAAAAAACAGAACACTGACTAGCAACAATTAAAAATCTTCTTTCTGATTTCCTGTTTGGGTGGTGGGGGAGAGAGTTGATTCAAATGAATATTTACCGACTAATAGGCACTGGCAAGAAATATTCATATAAAAATGAAAATTTTTTCCTTATTCCAAACACGTATCGACTAAAATCTGCATATTGTGTACATTTGCCTCTTCAGACACTTTTTTTTCGTACTGAACGTCTTTGTTCGCAAGATCTGAAAACCTGGGGGAAGAATTCGGAAATAAACAAGTACCTGCATACAACCTGGGCGAGGTGGCGGACAGGAAACAATACTCCGAAGCGCTTGTCTTAAAAAATATGCAAGAATTAAATTACACACACGCAAAAAGACAAAGGGAAAAAAGGATTTTTCTCATTTGATCAGACATTTTTTAAAAGTAACAAAAAGATTGTATTGTTTTTTTATGCCGCTTGTTAATAATTTCTTAAAAAGAACGGAAAAAAAAAGTTTCCCCGACATTTTTTTTTTTCTCTTCATTAAAATTTACATAACATTTACCAAAAAAACAGGCAACCAAAATTTAATTTCCTCTCTTTTCCTTAACATTTACTTTGGCTGTAAGTCTCTTAAAGAAAAGCTATATATGTACCATGCAAGCATCGGTGTCTCAGAAATCGTCGATTTCATCTACTTCTCCTGTCGACACTGTAACACCTACCCCAACTCAGCCAATTCCGAAGAAATCGCAACAGATTAAAACAGATAAACCACGACCCCATGTTTGTAACTTGTGTACCAGAGCATTTGCCCGATTGGAACATTTGAAGCGACACGAACGTTCCCACACCAATGAGAAACCGTTCCAATGTGGTGCTTGTGGTAGATGTTTTGCCAGACGTGACTTGGTCTTAAGGCATCAACAAAAATTACATTCCAATTTGCCAAATATTTTAATGATGAATAACAGGCGACATTCAAGTGTTGGTAGTGTGTCTAAGGATAATGACGAGCATATAATTGTGTTGCCAAACAATACAAGTGCAACTGCTCCCTTGCCTTCGGACAGACAACAACAACAACCAGTACCCCAGTTTAATACAAATTTGTTTGACCAATCACCATCAACAAGTCATACCAGTGTTACACCCTCCGGATCAATTCTGCCCCCAGAAACAACAACTGCACAAACATCAGCAACAGTCCAGCCATCTAATTCTTCACCAAATCCAACTGTAACTAGCCAAGACTCCCCACAAACAAGAGTCAATATAACCTTACACAGTAGTCACCATAGAAATAGTGTATCATTTGGACCACCTCTGAAGCAGAAGCCAAAACTGTCAAGTCAACATCCTTCGCCTAATTCCGAAAAGCAACTGGCCAAAACCACACCACTACCTAATCATTTGGCAAACAACCATCATTATCGTCATGTCCTGTTTTCAGCTACTTCAGGTACTTCTTATACAAATCACAGGGACGAGATAGACATTCAAGAACATCAAATTAACCTTAATGATTCTGCACCTTTACAAGTAGAATTTGCTACGCCTCAATTGCACCCTCAAGACGAAGATGACAATGGAGAAGACTATCATAAGATTTTGGACTTGCATAATTTTGAATTAATGGATTGGAATTTAAACAAACCAAAAGATAAGCTTGTAAACCAACATCACAACAATGCGACATCTAGCCATATGAATCATTCACAAAGTATGCCAGGTGCAATCGGCTTAACTCCGTTTGAATTTAATATCCACCCTCCCAATGATATTAATATGATTCAGCATTTGTTTGATGAAAATAGCACAACCAGTTCATTGCCCTTGGACTGGAAGAATGTCAAGAAGGAAGTTTCTGATAAACCTATACCTGACAGCAAGTCCAATAAATCAACCAAGAAACAAAAAGCAAATAATGGTATGCCTATAAATATACCTAATAATGACAATGATTGGGTGAAACAGTTGATTACCACTCCATATCCTGAAGAAGATATACCATTTAGCAGTATTCCTGGTAGCTTGGACGATTTGCAAGGTGTGTTTGGCTCAACCAGTTTAGTGGATTCCAATATACCCAAGGCAAATGCAGTCAGTTCGATGTTTACAAAGAGACAACATGAATTAATGCACCAATTAATGAAGACTGATTCAGCCCATGATCCTGCTCCCAAACAGGATGGTAATAATACAAACGTTGAATATTCCGTTAGTTTACCTTCGACATTTTTCTTGAATCAAGCCAATTTTATAACTTTTGAATTAAGAAAACGCATGATTAGTGGATACACTGGGGGATCTATTGACGTTGAGAAATTCCCTAGCGTGTCTGATTTGAACCATTATATTCAATTGTATGAATATGGATTTAACAAGTATTATCCATTCATTCATTTGCCTTCTTTGAAGAATCCTATGGTCAATAATAGTGAAAATATTCCCTTGCTTTTGTCAATTGCAGCCATTGGAGCATTGTACGCTTATAATGATTCGGATACATTGATACTTTTTAATCTATCTAAATTCCACATTCAGCTGTTTTTCGAGCGTGAAATCACATTGAATAACTTGCATTTTAAAAAGGTTCCACTTATGGCCCATCAATGTCTTGTATTGCATATTTTCATATCATTATTTTTGAATGAACTGAATATGATTGATATAACTTCGAGACAAATTAAATCGATGATTGGGTTGATCAAATCGACAAATTTCAATGAACCATTGGAGCAATTATTAATACCACCACCCGAAGCACAAGCTGACAAGACCCAGCTCATTCAAAATAATTTTGATTATTTCATTATGGCCCAATCCAGAATCAGAACATTACAGGTTTTCTATCTGTTACAAACTTTCCGATCTACTTTAATTGGGGTCCCAATTTACCTCAATTCATCATTATTGAAGAGTGGGAATTATTGTAATAATGAAAAACTATGGTGGTGTGAAACTTCGTTGGACTGGTTTAATGAACGGAAAAAGTCAAATTTAAGTTTAATTGAAATGAGCAATGGTATCAATATGGATCAGCTTATTAGTTGTATCAATAACAATACAACTGCTCCCGAAGTTAAATTATCATACAATAATTTGCTTACTTTGTTATTTTACATTAGTGAACGAATTGAAGCCGTCAGACCACAACCATTTAGTTATATTCAATGGCAGAATAAAGTTAAACCTGACATGGTTAAACTTGTTTCAAACTGGGAACTTAAATATTACCAGAATCATGGTACAACATCATTGAATATTACAACATACAATAGAAATTTACTTAATGCTCAACATGAGCTTAAGTTAGTGGTGCCATTGCTTTTAATGATTAAAATCAAACTTGAATTGTATTCATTGACCTCGTTGGTTTCACCTGTATTGCATAAGGACTGGCAAGAAATGAACAAAGCTTGGGACAAGTTGCACTATGAAGAATCAAATTATGGTGTATTAACCAATACGTTGCCCCATTCCAGAGATTTAATCCAATTATGGGTATACAATATTGAAACTATAAATTATGATGTCAGACAAACTTCATTACGTACACCAGTATTATTCTGTGTGGGATTATTTGTTAGCATCATTATTTTAACGACATATTTGGATTATATTGAAAAGAATTGTGAACATCGTGATATTTCCAATATGGAATTGGTGCATTGGTTCAAGTGTCATGATATTTTAAACAAGGTAGATAAAGTGTTGAGTCCAAGTTTGAAGAGTTCATATTCAGAATTGCTTACTAATCAAGTTAAGGAAATTATAATTGATGAATCTGCAATCACTAAACTTATGGAGTTAACTCAAGAAAGGGAACATTGTGATGATGCTTTGTCTCAAGGTATAAATATTGAAGAAAACACCGAGAAAGTCCATGAATTGAACCAATTGATTCGTGATGAGATTGTGAAGTGTCAACTTTCAATCAAGGTTATTAATTTGGGGATTAGGATCTTGGCTGATGCGCCAGTCTGGCCAGTTTCTATGGGATTTGCAGAGGCGTTAAAATTCAGAGCTATTTATTTAAGAGAGTAAACTTACAATTATTTATTCAAAATAAAACAAATTTGTATTATATAAATTCAACGACTATAATAAGATGAAAACTTAAAGGCAAACATTAATTATTCTAAAAATCTAAAAACTCTACTCTAAGCATTGAAAATTTGATCAACTGTATCAAATATAGATTCTTCAAGAGTTATATAGTCAAACCCAAGAATCTTATTGGTTCTGGAATTGTCAAATTTTTGAATCGACCTATTGATCTCTTCATTTCTAGATTCATCACCTCTTGGAACTGTAGTATTAGGAAATCTACTGTTAATGATGTTGGCAATTGTATCAAGAGTGTAGCTTGAAGATGCAGTGAATAATCTTTGCAGTACAGCTTCGTCATTTTCGAATGCAACTAAATGAGCACGAGCTACATCTCTAACATCAACGAAAACACTACCGTCAGCGGGAATAGGATCACCTTTAGTTAACTTAACAACAGAGTTCACAACTTCATTAGAAAGGTTTAAGTTAGCCTTATCTTTAACGACATAAGCTTGAGGACCAAACACAAAAGGTGGAGTAACAAACGAAATATCAAAATTGACATTTTCCTTAGTAGCAAAAGCTTGAGCAGCCAATTCGGCATACTTCTTAGAACCAAGGTAACCGAAAAATGGATTTTCTAAACTTTCTTCATAGGTAATTGGGTTCCAATCATCTTCCGTATAAACTTGTTCTCCATCGAAATAAGGACCAAAGCCAAAAATATTAACGGCAGAAGCAGTAATGACTACCTTTTTTATTTGAGGACCATAACGCTTAATAGCATTAAGAGCGTTGACTGTACCTACAATTGCAGGCTTCAATAAATCTTTTTCAATGTCTTCAACTGCGAATGTAACTGGAGAAGCAGTATGCAAGAAAACAGTAACCTCGGGGTGCTTCTTAAGAACTTCATCGAAAGCATTTTTTTCAGTAAGCGAGGCAACAATTTCAAAGGAGAACTTATCATTTTGGATTAATGATTTCAATTGTTCACCTTTTTGATGCGATCTGACTGAACCAATAACAGTGTATCCCTTAGCAAGCAATTGTTTAATTATATGTTGGGCAATGAAACCATTAGCACCAGAAACGAAAACAGAAGTAGAAGTCATTTTCAATTTGATTGTGTAATGTTGTTGTAATTAAGTGTATTTATCTTAATGATAATAAAACAAATTCAAACAGGATTAGACGTAGATGATTCAACTCATATTTATAGTTTACACATAGGTATTGGCTTACAAATGTTGGTAATTACATTTTGCAGCAAACGGGGTTGATAACTCCGTTCCAGTACCCCTCATTTGTGTGATTAATTACTAAAAAAATAAAATGTATTACAAATCATTTTATTTTTTTTTTTTGCACCCGGAAATAAACATAAGGAGATAGCAACAATCTCGTAATTAGGTGATAATTAACAGTTATCTCCACGAAAGCCTTGATATCGAAGTTTCTTTCATTAATCTCTGCTTACAAAATATTTCATCATAATAGCAATGTGTATGGATCTGCCAACAAATAATGTCGTATTAATAATCAATTCTTGAAATGGCATGTGTCGAATTAAGTTTGTGACCCTTAAATAAGATGACTTGGGAGAAACAAGAGTTGAGAACATGCCATTGAGAAAAGTTAGCAAGGTGATGTAATAGAAAAATAATGAAATATCAGTGTAGAATAGTCCCGCAAGCACGGGTCATCAGATGATATTGTTTTACAACTATACTATGAAAGATTACAATTTTAAGATTGAAATGTTACCTTCCATTTGAACAAGTCGTATGAAAGGAAACACACATTGAAATACTCCATGCAAATGTAGCATTTAAGCATGATCCGCCTAAAGTCATTCTCCTGATCTGCCCTTAGGATTTTCTGGCTGCAAATTTGCCAAGAAAAAAAAAAAGAAGGCACCTGAATATGATTTTACACTACGTTAACTATGTTAACAATCAAGTCTATAATAATTAATAAAATAACTTAAACATTAATACAAATCTAACTAAATGTTGGTTGATGATAGCTCAATCTATGTACATTCACTAGTAGAAACCTTGTTGTTTTAAATAATTAACGATTTCATCAATAACAACAACCAAATCTTGTTGTCCCAAATTAAATTCACCTTGTTTAGCATCCCCGTTACCATAGTTAACGACAAGAGAGTTACCATTACCAACAACATCAACAATAGACTTGGCGTTACCGGTTGGGATAATAACACCACTACCGGCCTTTACTAATTCGCCAATAATGTTAACATCATTAATTTGAGAATCGTTAATGGTGGTAATTCTTCTGTCGCCTGGGAATTGGTTCAAGGTAGCTTGTAAAGCGTGAGTTAAGTATTCACCTAATTTTTGTGAGTTATCAATAACAATGGCAAAACCTTGTCTTGATCTTGGTGGGTTGGTAGCTCTTAAAATCTTAACGACTTCAGGGTATGAGAACCAAGCTGGGATTTCATCACCAGTACGCAATCTGTTTCTTAATTCAGTACCAGAGATATTGGCAGTCTTGACCTTGGTAGTGTCAATAGTGTCAATTGGAGCATATCTGTCTTCTTCAGGTAAGTAAGTGACCATTCTGAATGGAACAATCTTGATGTTTAATTCATCATCATATTTAGCCAATAATTCTTGAGCATCATATGGACCGTAGAAATCAACACCAGCAGAATTCTTACCTGGACCAGCATGATCTCTACCAACAATGAAGTGGTCAACACCATAGTTTGTTCTGATCAATGCATGCCATAAAGCTTCTCTGTCACCACCCATTCTCATAGCCAATGGCAATAAGGACATGGTAGCAACACCTTCTGGAAACTTCTTCAAGATTTCACGGTAAACCTTGACTCTGGTGTGATGGTCAATATCACCTGGCTTGGTTAAACCAACAACTGGGTGGATTAAGATGTGGGCAGAATCACCAATATCTTGAGCAGCACGGATAGTTAATTCTCTGTGAGCACGGTGCATTGGGTTTCTGGTTTGGAAAGCAACAATGTTTTGTTGACTCCAGCCGGATTGTTCGAATTCAGCTCTTAATTCAGTTGGGGTCTTTCTGGATTCAACGTAGTCGTAATGTCTTGGATAGTTGATACCTTGTAAGCTACCACCAATATAGTAATCACCAGCAGTTTCGATTAAATACTTAACAGCAGGATGTTCTGGGTCACCTCTGAAAACCTTTTCAGCTTCAACAGCTTTGTTTGGTTTATAGATAGATTCCACAGTTAAAATAGCTAATGGGGTTTCATCACGTAAATCTCTCAACACGATTCTGGAGCCATTAGCGTAACTGGAAGCAGTTTGTTCATTAACATCCAAAGTGATTGGAATTGGCCAAAGAAGACCCTTACCGTTAGCACCTTTGACACTGGACAAACGCAAATCATTAACAACACTAGTGTAATCATCTTCGTTGAGGAAACCAGCTAATGGAGAGAACCCCCCGTTAAGGATCAACTCCAAATCACATAACTGTCTTGCAGTCAATGTGATTGATGGTAAGGTTGCAGATTCTTGCAACAAGTTTTGTTTAATGTGAGCATCACGAATGATAAGGTCGTTAAGTTGACCACCGTGTGGAGTAGGGATAGGCATGTTGAAATTTGATCTTACCAATAAGAAAGAAGAAGAAACTAATAATTATCAACAAAGATGCAAAAAAAGAAACTGATATATAAGTAATTGAAAAATTTTATATCACAATCGCACGTGACCTAACGGAAAACGTTTTTGTGTTAATCGGAGTATTGTTATTGAAATCTGTTGGGGAAATTAACTGATTAGGTAATGCGCCGCAAGGGGACACACACATGGCACCGACGGTGGGTTAGGTCCGGAACGTGCTCAAATATCTTTATTAGCAAATATAAATACGGTGCAACTTATCTGTGCTTGATCTTGCAGCTAAGTATATTGCCAAGGTAACTGTGGAAAACTGAGGGAATCAAAGATTCAAATTTAAGCTTTCTTGGCAACATAGCCACAGTGGAGTACTAAAACAATGTTGTCGTCATTTATAATTCTATGGTGATACTCTTGTGTACGACTAAAGTAGTTCTCAATAGCGAGGAAGAAGAATCCCATACTTGTAAGTAAATGCTGCTTAGTCCGGAATAACTAGCTAGCAATGATTTGCTCTGACTTCACGTGAAATGTATATGTATTACGTAGTTTCTAGTAGAACAGCTCATCTGCTTTCTTGCTTTAGTAGAGGAAATAGCAACCTTAAGTATATGAAGCTAATAAGAAACTTACCCACGTCAAATTTTTCTATGGAGGAATAATTACCAAATTTAGAAACATCTCCCTACAATATGGAAACAAACGAGATACACTTTATACTCCGAAAAAAAAAGGTACGAACTAGACATCCCCGTGTTTACTCAAACTAAAAGAAGACATATACTCCTTTAGGTAACGTTTGTGGGACTTTCGGAGTGTGTGTGGGGGATCAATATATTTGGGGGGGATTGGGGGGACGGCGTGGGGGAACACACGGTTATTACTAACAACTTTACTGGTAGTAGCATAGAAGAGTGGGGGAAACGCTATAGAACACACACACACATGTTACAAAAATAGAGATCTGGTTTCGGAGATTGCAATCGACCTTGGAGGTATTTTTTGCTATTTCCATATTAGTACTTTTTCCAGAAGGTGGGGAAAGGGTTCGCCGGGCCCAGTGGTAGAATAAAGAGGAATTGATGTAGAATCATGCAACATCTATACTGTTTCGGGATCTATATCCGGAGTAGTTGAGGCAAAATTTATACGCGAAGATTCCGCTGTTGCTGTGCAGAAGATTCAGGAAAATCTAGCTGTTGAGGGCTAGATTTGTGTGAAGGTCAAGGAGTAAGGTAAGACGCACAAAAAAAAAAAAAAAAAGAAAAAAAGAAATTAGCCTGTAGCCGGAAATTCCAGCACCGATAATCGGCGAGGAGTTATAAATAGGGTTTAGTAGCAATGTAAGGAATATACATATACGAAATCTCCATTACTAATTACTTAGTTTTTAGTAATAAATAAGTAAAAATTTCATATTTCCATCCCTTCCAATTGGTGTTGGTGCTTTCTTTTTTTTATTTGCTTCTTCTTAACCAAGTCGATGTTAAACACAATTAATCCGTTTATGCGTTTGATTGTTATCTAGTTGATGACCTGCATGTAATGCCCCCCTCCATTAGTAATTTAAAAGTAAAAATATTTTACAGAGGGAAGGTTGAATAATAATATTGTACTAAACTACACATTACCAAATTAATCACGCATTGATTACTTCTAACACACGTAAGCACAATATTAACAATTCGCCTTCACGTAAATTTTCCAAAACCCCGTTGTAGTAAGAGTGTTTTTTTTTTCAACGAAATTTCGTTCTGTCATTTTTTTTATTTTTTTATTTTTTTTTTTCAACAACGTTATAAATATTCAACAAAATCTCCCTGCCCTAGAATTTTTCAACGATCCCTTTTCTTTCTTCTCCTTTTCTTTCTTTGATATCAATTGTATCAATATTAATATATATATATAAACAATGTCTGCTCCAAAGTATGTATTTACTTCTGTCTCAGTTTGGCAAACGTTACCACATCAATTGTGCTCGTGCACGTTTTTAAGTTCCCCTCCCCAATCCATTTGAAATTATTTTACATTCTCCACTCAATTCATCAATTGCCAACTCAATTCCAGTTTGTATACTTTGCAAGGTCTCATTGCATGTATATACTGCAATATTATCCCAATATCATGCCATTTGGGAGGTGACGTTCTGTAACTGGAAATCTCCAATCTTGAAAATTCTTCAATTGACATTACAAACAGTGAAATAGGAGAAATCTACTCTGCAATATCTATTTTGTTTGATTAGCAGAAGTACAATTCTTCAAATTTTCACATCTTTGGGTGTGTCATAGTCAAGCTTAGAACACCAGTTGAAAAACGGAAATAGTAGCTTGACATGAAAAAAAGCCGTACCGCGGTATATCAAGTCAGCGAAAAATAATATAAATAGGTGCAAAAGTCACTATGAGGGGAAATGGGAAATTCAATTGAAGTAACTATGTCTGCAATTTCTAGACTATCAGTTATATCTCGTCATATCAGCAATACTAACAAGTTACCTAGGGGTGATTTAGGTTTGATCGGTTTGGCTGTTATGGGTCAAAACTTGATTCTTAACGCTGCTGACCACGGTTACACTGTTGTTGCTTACAACAGAACCACTTCCAAGGTTGACCACTTCTTAGCTAACGAAGCTAAGGGTAAGTCCATCATTGGTGCTCACTCCATCAAGGAATTGGTTGACAACTTAAAGAGACCAAGAAGAGTTATGCTTTTAGTCAAGGCTGGTAAGCCAGTTGATGATTTCATTGACCAATTATTACCATACTTGGAAGAAGGTGATATCATCATTGATGGTGGTAACTCTCACTTCCCAGACACCAACAGAAGATACGACGAATTAAAGGGTAAGGGTATCTTATTTGTCGGTTCCGGTGTTTCCGGTGGTGAAGAAGGTGCCAGAACTGGTCCATCCTTGATGCCAGGTGGTCACCCAGAAGCTTGGCCACACATCAAGGATATCTTCCAAGATATCGCTGCCAAGTCTGATGGTGAACCATGTTGTGACTGGGTTGGTGAAGCCGGTGCTGGTCACTACGTCAAGATGGTCCACAACGGTATTGAATATGGTGATATGCAATTGATTTGTGAAGCTTATGACCTTATGAAGCGTGTTGGTAAGTTCACTGACAAGGAAATTGGTGATGTTTTCACTCAATGGAACAAGGGTGTCTTGGACTCTTTCTTGATTGAAATCACCAAGGATATCTTGTACTACAATGACCCAACCGACGGTAAGCCATTGGTTGAAAAGATTTTAGATACTGCTGGTCAAAAGGGTACTGGTAAGTGGACTGCTGTCAATGCCTTGGACTTGGGTATGCCAGTTACTTTAATTGGTGAAGCTGTCTTCTCCAGATGTCTTTCTGCCTTAAAGGAAGAACGTGTTGCCGCTTCTAAGGTTTTGGTTGGTCCAACCGTTGAAGATGGTGCTTCTCCAATCACCGACAGAAAGAAGTTTGTTGATGACTTGGAACAAGCTTTATATGCTTCCAAGATTATCTCTTATGCTCAAGGTTTCATGTTGATGAACGAAGCTGCTAAGGAATATGGTTGGAAGTTGAACAATGCCGGTATTGCTTTGATGTGGAGAGGTGGTTGTATCATCAGATCTGTTTTCCTTGGTGAAATCACTGCTGCTTACAGAGAAAACCCAGAATTGGAAAACTTGTTGTTCCACCCATTCTTCAACAAGGCTATCACCAAGGCTCAATCCGGATGGAGAGCTTCTATTGCCAAGGCTGTTGAATACGGTGTCCCAGCTCCAGCTTTCTCTACTGCTTTAGCTTTCTACGATGGTTTAAGATCTGCCAGGTTACCAGCTAACTTGTTGCAAGCTCAAAGAGATTACTTCGGTGCCCACACTTTCCAAGTATTGCCAGGTCAAGAAAATGACTTATTGAAGAAGGGTGAATGGATCCACATCAACTGGACCGGTAGAGGTGGTAATGTTCACGCTACTACTTACGATGCTTAAACTAAGTATGTTTATATTGAGTAAAAACTAATAATAATAACGTTTATTGATTTGATTTGCGTATACTAAGTCTTAGCGAAGCATCTTGAAAATTGGCTATGGTGGGGAACTTAGTAAACTGATATTCCAACAGCATATACAGTAGTAAATCATTTCTATATTTTTCATTAATCTGCCATTTGGCGAGAGTCTTGTCACTGGGGTTTTCATTGACTGATTCAAATGCCTTGTTGGTATTGAGGGTATGGGCAATTGATTTATGTAGTGACGTAGTTGTTCGTGTACATTCATAATAAGGATAGTGATTTAGTATCCACGAGTATATCTTATCAAATGGTAACAATCCCTCTTGATCTGCCAAGATTGCTTGAGCGATCATTGTGGTGTATGTGTAAGGTGGTGGGGTATCATCTTTCAACAACACTGATTTTCTATTTATCAGTTCAACCAAAGCCGCAAATCTCGGCAGGATAGTAATGTTTGAATTAGCTTCAATGAACATTATCTCTGTTCCCATGATATTTATAACACATCCTGACCTTAGGGCCACTACACTAGTACTATTCTTATGTCCGTCCACCTTAATTCCGTTTCGGCCCACCACTTTCAATTCCCAACATCGAACATGGAGGTTATAACTGATAATTGCGTGTTGTCGAGAAACCGCCGGATTCGGATACAAGTCTATATCCACATTGTCCTGTTTGGGGCCATCATGGGGCAGTGATCGGCCTATGTTTATACTTAGTTTCTTGATGTAGTAAGTCCAATCACTCCCAGCAAGTTTGGCGTACGCTTTCACTTCTGCATCGATAATTTTGGAATTGGCGTATTTGTCAGCCACAAGCGTGCGCTGTTCTGGTTCTTGGAGGATTTCAAGTATGGAATCGACAGAACCTGGGTCTATTCGTGTATTTGTGTGGTTTAGTCTAGGTACTGTTGGCATGGTTGTTCAGTGTTTATACTGCAAAAGGTTGTTTTTCTTTTTTTGTTTTTGCGAGATCTGCGAGATTTTAATCTGATTGTTTAATTTGCGTATAGCAACTATCCTTTTATTTTTCAGAATTGTAGCCTTGTATTCTTCCCTTTCACTCCCTATTGGATATTCGATGTGCTTGCGTGCACAAAGTGAGATGATAAACAGGAAGGAAACATACTCAATGTGATCCTGTATGGAACTCTAGTCGCGTTGATATGATCGGACGCGCCACAATTAATCAAAGTTGACATGTCAAGATTTACGAAAACTAATTATAAATGAGTATATATTCTAATAACACGTCTCTATTAAACCAGAATACGAAACCAAAGAAATAAATAAATAAATAATAAACTAACATGCAAAAAAATCATAATGGAACATCATATCCAAGGAACAAACTTCCAATCAAATACAAATTCAACACTGTAATGAACCCCCAAATCAAAACCGCAAGGAATGCTGTCGTAGGGCCATTACTAAAGTCTTTGTATCCTTGAATACGATACACTTCATGATCGTCATTTTCAAAGATTTCAATTGGAAGTGAGGTATTGTTGTTATCATTGGAAATGGTGGTGGTTACAGGGATGCTGACTGATCCAGTCTTCATCATTGAATGTGATTGTGAATATGCAGCTTCGGAGGCGGCAGTTTCAATTAATCTTCTCTCCTCGTCGTGCTGTTGATGTTCATGGTCTAATTCATCATCTTCCCATCCGGCACAAGGATGTGAGTTTCTTAAATCTTGAAGTAAAATCGCAGAATCGGAACTCTTGAATCGCTTTTGTGGAGTTTGTTTCAACGCCACTGGTCTATTTTCAACCCGTTCTTCATCAACTGTGCCCGCTTCAAAAATAACATCTTCATCGCCATCCTTAGTGTATACTGGCACTCTCATAATCTCTTTACTACAGGTAAAATAAATCAATGGTGCAGTAACCACAGGCAACAAAAACGATAATACAACTTGACTGGCATTTAAAGTTCTTGCAAGACCATCACGTCCAGACATGCTCACAACAATTAAACAAGGGGCAATAGCCAATGCACGAGTAATCAATCTACGAACAACTGGCGACATACTCCAATTCAAAAACCCTTCAGAAACCATTTGACCCGCTAATGTACAAACAACACCGGCACTTTGACCAGAACATAACAATGCCAAAGCAAATACAAACCCAGCAGTTGGCGACAAATGACGAGAAAGCAAGTGATAAATTGTAAACAAGTCGGCATTCCCATAATCGGTGTTCTCGCCATCACTGTCGCTATCGGAATCACTATCATTTCCATCGCTGTGCTCGTCTCGACGGAACATCAGGTGTCCAGGAATCTTATCACTGTCAAGGGTAGCCCCTGCTACAATCAAAATCGCAGCATTGACAAAAAGGGCAACTGTAAATAATGAAATCACCAATTCGATAATTGTATAACTCATGGTATGGTCAATGGCTTGAACTGAAGGACGATAACCTTCGTCATCGTCTTCTTCTACATTCAAAGTCAGCTCATCTTCTTTTTCGTACTGGTCTTGAATATATGGAGTAGCCAATGGTGTTAAATCGTATTCATCTTCACCGTTAACTTCTGTAGATGAAGAAACTATACTATCAGGTCGAGTTTGTTCAGATGGTTCAAATCCAACCTTCAATGGTTTGAACAATCCATTTTTGACGTCGAAATCCTTTAATCTTGCTTGAACCAACCCTGATCCAAGATATAATGAATGTGGCATAACTGTAGCTCCCATAATGGCCAAACTAAGGAATAATCCATTGCCTCCTTTTCTATCTGACATATCAACCACGTCTGGATTTGGTAGGAAACCTTTAAGTACTTCTGAGACGGAAAAATGTATTGATGAATCGTGAGTAACTTGATACAACTCAATAGCAAAACAAACCACTGTTGCAGCCACTAAAAGTGAAACAAATGATTCAAAAATTCGAATGAATAGCAATGGTCCCTTGGGACGGTATGCCATCAAGACAATCAAGACATCTATAACTGTAATCAATACTCCTAGGAAAAGTGGAATTTTGAAAAGAATATTTAATGCAATAGCTGTACCCACTACTTCGGCTAAATCTGTCGCAATAATGGCAATTTCTGTCAAGATATAAAGGAACAAGTTTGTTCTGAATGAGAAATTGGCCTTACAATTAGCCGCAAGATCCAACCCCGTAACAGCACCCAATTTGGCCGCCAATATTTGAAGGAAAATAGCTAAACAATTGGATAGGAAAATCAGAAATAGCAAATTGTACTTGTATGCTGAACCTGCGGCAACTGCGGTGGAATAGTTCCCTGGATCCATATATGCCACAGACACCATTAGTCCTGGACCAATGAATTTCCCATATGTTTTTAGTATGCCTAGTACCTTCTTCATCTTGAGCTTATTCGCTAGTGTTGATATGAACGATTGTGATTGTAATGTAGGCATGGCTGGTTTTGATTGTGTCTATGTTGTGTTGTAAACTTTGTTGCTATTTTTGAGGTTAAAAAAAGAAAACCTAACAGTGTATGTGAATGTAGGTAAGATGTGCTAATAAATAAAATATTGTGTTGATGTGGTAGTTATCAGTGTCTTCCTTTGTACTATGAGGGACTTTTGATCTATGCTATCTGTATCCTGGTTAATATTTTACACCAGTGTGGTTACGGTGGTGGTTGTTTCTTTTTCTGGTTTTTTCTTTTGTGGAAATTTGAAACTACCAGGAGAAATTTTTTAGCTTTGGTTCTTTTCGTGTCTTCCGGCAAATTCACGACAACGTCACTCAGGTTTTGACAACTCAAAAAGACAGTGAATAAACGATAGGATTAATTGAATAGGAGCGAAAGTATATAGACGAACTATCTCTTGTAGCAATTGCGTAAAATTTTTTCCAGCTTGTGATGTATGGACTCTTAAAATGGAAACTGAGTCTTGTGGTGGGTCTAGCGGTTCCTTTATATGATATAATCCTATAAATAGCAGTGTCAAAACTAAACCTCTTGGAAACAAATAACAACTGTGGAAAAGAAGAGATGTGGTAAATGTTTTTGTTTGATATGTGGAGGAGGGGTCTAGTCTGTTTTCTTGTTACGTGGAAATACCCCAATCATGACGATTGCAAAATTCCTTAGCTCCTTTTATCCTGAAATCTCCGGGATTCTCCTGCCACATTCTTGGTCCAAAAATTACCAAGTGTGACCCAAGCGAAAAAAAAAAAATTAGAATGTCGAACGCGTGCGTGATACATTTTCACGTGAGCTACATACATGTGATACTATCCACGTGATCAAATCTCGCGGAAATGTTGTGTCCGTAGATTACACTCGGTGGTATTGTTCCGAAGCATTAAGCTTGTCAATTCATTGAAAAAAACCCAATCCAAAATTTTGACAGCCAAGGGTACCGATCAATTATTCACCACACAACTCTACATACAATGCTTAGAGCAGTCACTTTAAAGAGGACAATCATCCAAACATTGTCCAAGAGACAATTTACCGGTACCTCCCTTTTAAGAGATGCATCCGTGTTCAAAATGCCTGCGATGTCACCAACCATGACCGAAGGTGGTATTGTATCTTGGAAGTTCAAACCAGGAGACTCTTTCAATTCCGGTGATGTTTTGTTGGAAGTTGAAACCGACAAGGCCAATATCGATGTCGAAGCCGTCGATGATGGGAAATTATGGGAAATTCTTGTTCCAGAAGGAGCCAAGGGTATTCCTGTAGGACAAGCAATTGCATTCATTGCTGAACCAGAAGATGACTTGAGTAGTTTGACCAAACCTACTATTGAAGAACCAGCAGCTGCAGAAACACCAGCAAAGGAAGAACCTGCTATTGAAACTACCAAATCTTCTTCTGCTCCGGCAGCACCCTCTGCAACTGAAGCTAAAGCAGATTCAACTGGTGTTCTCAAATCAGCTAACCCAAATCAAAAAATATCACCAGCCGTAGAGTTATTATTACACGAACATGGTATTTCTAATGAGGAAGCATTGGCCAAGATCCCAGCCCTGGGTCCTAAAGGTAGATTATTAAAGGGTGATGTATTGGCCCACATTGGATCAATTGACATCAACTCTGTCGTCAAGCTTACCGAGTTCTTAAACAACAAACAACACTTGGATTTATCTAACATTGTCCCAGCTCCACCAAAGGAAGAAGCATCTGCTAAATCCGCAGAAACTGCCACTCCAGCAGCACCACCAAAGCCAAAGAATATTCTCACTATAGAATTAACTTCTGAATTAGGCGAGGACGTATCACAAGCCAAGTTCAGATTTGCATTTGAGAAATCATTATCCAACGCCATCAAGCAAACTTATGCTGCAAGATTCCCAGAATACGCCGAATCCCCAACCCCATCTTCATTAGTTTCAATTTCTTCGGACGATATATTTGAAGACTTGGTAAGTGCGCCTGTCACCAAAAACAGATTTGAGGTGTACGATATCAACTATAAATTTTTGTCCAAACCAACCTCCACTCCTTCATTTTCCGCCCCAGCAGATGACTTTGATGAATTGCTTGGTCTTGGAACTAAAGAAACTGAAAGCCACAGCTATGACACATCCAAGGTTAATGTTGAGTTTAAAATTAAGTTTGATGAACAAGTCACTGATTCTAAGCAATTTGTGGAATATTTCCAAGACTCCTTGCTTTCTCAAATACCAGCTAATCAATTAACTATTAGTAACTAAGGGTGTGTATAGTTTATAAATGTAGTATATACAGAAATACAAACAAATAAGTAAATGTGATGAACTGTAGTTTGTAATTGAGGTTAAGGAACCTTAATATAACTAGTGCAAGGTTTAAGTTTTCTTTTTTTTTTTGGAATATCGGGAAAATTAATCATGCAAGTCAACGTCAAATTGGTGGCTAAGCAAATCAGAACAAACTAATCGCAAATCTGACGTTGATTAACTATACAGTTTCTGCCAGCATATTGTCAACCATATGACTAGTTCGGTTAAATGGAAAAAGAATGGGCCCCACAAAACCGTATTATAAAACCAATTGCAAAAAAAAAAAGACGAGCTAAGAAAATTGAAATGGTTGCAATAATGAATAAAAATTATATAAATAAAAATTATATAAATAAAAAAAATTAAAATAAAAAAAAAAGCTAAAAAAACTAAATTTCCTCACATACCACGAATAAAACACGAACAAGAAATTTCCAGATATACGATGATGGAAGAAATCGAAGTCATTTGGAAATAGTCCCCCTGAGTGTCTGCCAAGAAGTTTGTGATTTTCTTTACTGGTAGACAAGAAGTAAATTTTTAAAATCCCACACATTTGGGTATTTTTAGAAAGCGTGGGGTAGATTTAATTTGTCCTTTGAAGCAGCAGTTTAAATTGTAGATTTCCCGATAGAGTAAATATACTTTGGTTTTGCAAGAAAGTTTGGAAGTGGTCTGTACGATATATTTCATCCTTGCATAACGTCATAACAAGTTTACCTTTATTGAATATTTTCTAGAGAATTTGCAAAAAATACCATATTCAGCAAATTCTAGTAAAAATTAAACAGAAAACGTCTCAGGTAAATTGAACTGACAACACCACTCACGTCAACATCAAGATCCAACACGCACCTCACCACCTTTGTTCTCTAGCCATCATATTTGAAGGGTGAATTGGCAGGTCCTTTTTTTTATTTTCATTTTTATTTTTATTTCACAAGGCTTTATTTTTTTGTTTCCAATTATCCGCATAAAAAATAATTTCCTATTATGTTATGACTACAAAAGTTTACCATGTTGACGGTGAGACAAAAGGGAATGCTATTTTCCAAACGTTGCACAAACCAGATATACACACTGTGTATTCTGCTTGGATTGTAAGCACCTCTCCCTCCGTACATAAATTCAATTGATAAGTAATCCAGCTGAGGTTCACAACCTATAAACAAATTTAACTATCAACCAAAAAAAAAATCAATCCAATGAAATTAAAACCTTTTTTTTTTTAAGTTTTTATTTTATTTATTTTTTTTTTTTTCAGAATTGGACGAGTGAGGGAAAATCAAAAAAAAAAAGAAGTGACCAAACTTTTCCGTCAAAGGTCTCCCCTATCTGTTCTCAAACTACCAACGAGCAATAAATTGCTTACTTGTGTATAATCTAGAAAATCTACTCTAACTACAAAATCTGAAATGTAATTACTCCGCATAGTGACGTGTACCTGTGAAGTTTTTTTTTTTATTTTTACGAAAATATTTATTGTTGAGATTTGAGCAACAAAATAACCATAAAAATAAAACTAAAAACAATAATTCCTTTTTTTTTTTCTTTGGACCACTAATATTTCTTTGGCTCATCAAAAAGAAAAAAATTTATTTTAGGTGATGTTTTTATTCTGCTCTTTTTTTTTTTTATATTTTTTTTTTCTCAACTTTTTTTTTTTTACTGTTCTGATAGTACAACTCCAGCACCAGGTTTGGTTAGTGATACACGGTCTGCTTAATCTATCAAGTCAGTTGAGTTTAACTTGAGGAAAGTGTCGAATAATCAAATAAGATGTACAACTACAGCAGTGCGTATCAAGGGTATAATTTGAACCCACCCACGTCAAACGCGGCCAGCAATAATGGCAATCTCCAAAACAACAACAATAACAATGGTAACAGCAATAATAATTCCAACGCCGGGACCAACCCTCAACAAGGACAAGGCGTAGGTGTAGGAGTTGTTCCATCAGCCACGAACCCTATGTTATCGGATAGAGGCAAGAATATTCGTCACAATATGTTGCAGAACACTGCGCCATACTATTCGCGGACTTCTCCAGTACCACCATTGAGCCACCAGATGCACCACCAACCACACACTAGCCACAGATCGGCATTGGGCACGGGGGTTCCCAACATGGGCTTGCCATCGGTCCAGCAGATCCGTCATATCCAACCACAACAAACCCAACACGCACAACAACAGGGACAAAATCAATCTCAAAATCAACAATATACCCAGTATCAACAACAACAACAACAACAACAAACCTCGCCTCAACCAACTACACAACAGATTTTTGCTTCCCAATTGACCAATGACCACCAACCTCAACAATTGGACCCAAGCCAACTTCTGGCTTTCACCCCTCAACAACAGCAACAATACCAACAGCTGATTATGCAACAACAATATTTGCAACAACACCAACAGCAGCAACACCAACAGCCACAAGTTGTCCAACCACAACAGGTTCAGCCTAGACAATACCTGACGGTGCAAATGCAACAAATCCACCAACAGGGACACATGCTGCTCCAACAACCTCAACAACAGCAACAACAACAGCAAGCTCCTACTGGATCGATCTCACCGGAACAACAACAACAACAGCCACCACAAAAGAAACCCAGAAAGCAACGTGTTACCAAGAAACAACTCGAACAACAAAAAGAACTTGAGCAAGAGCAAAGGAGACAACAACAGGAACAACAAGAATTGTTGAAAGTGCAACAACAGTACCAATTAACTGCTGATGGTAAGAAGAAGAGAGGACGTCCCAAGAAGTTGATCCATGATCCAACTACCAACACATTCATTGACTCTAGCCACCCACATTTCAAAGCATTGAACAAGACCATGAAGGAAGCTGCTGCCGCGACTGCCCATGTCGATGGTTCAAACGGAAACCTTGTACAAACTCAAAATTTGCAACAACAGCAACAACCACAACAACAACTGCCACCACAACAAACCCAACCTAAAAAGAAACAACGTCGTACTAATGACGCTGCAAGATCTGCCAAGAATGAAAACTTGTCGCCTTCGTTGTCGAGATTATTCAACCAACCACCTTCCATGCGAACATTAGACGATGAAGCCGTGCAGCAATTGCTTCAAAAGAAGGATAAGAGAGGAAGACCTAGAAAATTTCCTGTGGAAGAAACTGGTATTACCATTAAGGGAATTAGAGTTAATGGTAATGTCAAGCATAGAGTCCAAAAGAGTTGAATCCCAAAAAATACTTTTGCTGTATTATTAACATGAAGAAGATATCCTTGTCTATGTTTTGTTTTGCCTAATTTGTTCATTGTTAATTACATTTTGTTTATTTTTTAAAATCGTGTGATAATTAGTTAGTTTGTGTATGTCTTTGTTTCTTTACCTTTTGTACTTTATATATATATACCTACTTGTTTCTATATAATCTTATTCATGAACCGCCCAATGGCAATCATAGGTGCACAGAATGCCTTGATCATCATACACAAGGCATCAATTAACCGACTCAATTCAAACAAGATCCACATGAATATTCCCAATTCGAGAAATATCACCAAGGTTTGGGCTTGAGGAAACCATTCGCCCATGATATCAATGGGTGAGAACACACGCCTCATAATGTCAATTTTCTTGATCAAACTGACAAAGTTGGACACTACCGCAAGCGGTGTATGAGGGTCAAGGGTAAAGAATCTTCCTGCTAGCGACCGGGCATGGGTCATGGTTTGATACATTAATGGAAGTCTATGAACAGATGCCGCTTCTGAATCCGAATCAACATCATCCACTTCCATTGATGACAGCGATGTTGGCGGTGTTGGTTCGAGTTGTTTCGTTATTGGGTTATAGTAAAGTTCCTCAGCTATATCTTCATCTGAATTGTCACTATCACATTCAATGACAAATTCTTTACTTTCGACATCGTCGTCACCTTCTTCGTTGGAGTGGACGCTCTTGCTGTGAATACTCTTACTGTGGATACTCTTGCTGTGTATGCTCTTACTATGAACACTTTTTGCCTTTACACTTGCTGGTTTTAAAACCTTTTTCTTGTCGGTCTTGGCTAACTCGCCAGTCAACACATTTGCAACAGGTTGATTCCAATTTCCAAATATTATCTTGGAGTTCTTAGTGAATCCCTTGAGATTTTTCTTGATTATTCTCGTGTTCTTGGTGTATGGAGATTCCATGACCGGAGCAGGTTTGGGTTTGGGCTTAGGCGCTTCCTTTTCCTCTTTTTCCTTGTTGGGTTCAGTTGGTCTGTCGTATTTCACAAGAGAAAGAAGATAGTTCCAGCCAGGACTGAATTTGTCATCTGCTTTCTTGTGTTCTTCCTTCTTTTCCTCTTTCTTCTCTTCTTTCTTCTCCTCTTTCTTCTCTTCTTTCTTCTCCTCTTTCTTGTCTTCCTTCTTTTCCTCTTTCTCTTGGTCTTTTGCTTCTTCTTTTTTATCTTCTTTCTTGCCCTTTTTGGCAGCCTTCTCCTTCTCCTTAGCCTCTTTCTTTGCCGCCTTCTCTTTTTCTTTCTTCTCCTTCAATTCATGCTCAATTTCGTTCTGCTTGATGGCAAACTTATCAAAATCTCGACCCAACTCCTTCTTTGCCTTAGCAATTTTCTTTTTCCACGCCTTTTTCAAAGTTGAATTCTTCTTAATCATCTTTCTTTGCTCTTCATTCAAGAAAGTTTCCTGGTCGATAGACTCGATATCACTATCGTCATCTTCAACATCACTGACGAAAACTTCCTTAACGGGACTCTTTTTCTTCTTTTCTTTCGTCTTGTGATCATAGTAATTGTAGTCATTATAATCATCCTTTTTCAAAATTGTCTGAACATTCTTCAAGAATTTGTTCCCGTTTGCATTGGCGTCTCTCCCCTCAAACACCAAATCCATGGGGTTATACCGGTCCAATTTCTCATCCTTGTTGATAAACACATCCTTGAATGTCTTGTGGGAGTAAAGTCGTGGTTTCATATCTCCTGATGCTTTATCGTACTTTTTTTGTTGGTTGATGTAATAGTCTCCGTTCTTGTTGGGTCGCACTCGTGGTGGACGAGCAACATAGTGTATTTGTTGAACGGGGGAAAGAGGTTGGGGTTGGTAAGGATCGCGTCGGGACGGACGATACGGTACGTATTGTGGTTGGGTAGCTAAGTAATTGAGATGGGCGGGTGTGAGTTCTTCTGCTAGTCTGTCAGGGTCGTCTGATTCTTCTTCTGATTCTAGTTCGTCATCATCATCAGCAACAAACATTTCACTGGTTCCCAATGAGGAATCCGAGGAGTATGCAGATATGGTTGGACGCGATGACTTGGAAGATGATGGTGGAGATGACGACTGGCTATATAATGATGTTTTGGAGGGGACTCTTGGTTTTTCGGAGACGGCCCTGGACTTGGGAGACGATAGGATGGTTTTTATCTCTTCATCCCTGATGGAGTTATCTTCTATGTCATTGTGGTAGTACGACGAGTAGTATTGGTCATAGGGAATGTGTTGTCGTCTTTTGCTCATTTGCTGATTTAGATACAGCGACGTATAATATCCGGTACTGGTGACGTTCATTTCGGGAGAATTCACAAAGTTTATATGTAGGAGATAAGCTTTTTGCACAGGGTGGGTCGTATGACGAGCTTGATTCAAACGAGAATTTTTGTAAACAACAACTTTACAACGTTATTTATAAAAACAATTGATCCGATGCCGAAAAGCCTATCTGTTGGAATCACAATATGTAACTTGCAATTTATAATGTGCATGAGTTTCGTTTTCGTCTCGCATGGCTGGCTGATGGCTGCATTAGGTCGCAACCTGCAGGACAACCCCCCGCCTCCCCCTTTCCTCGGAGACACAAAAAATAAACAATTATCTTACTCCATTAGGTAAGACGTCGGCAGCCGCACAGACATAACCATGAAATTAAATGGCTTGGGTTAACTTGTTCAATCTTAGCCTCGTCGTTCCCAACCTACATGTACGTACATAACCATAGCGATGTCACCGATTAGATCTTACATCAATCCAGGAGTGGGCCTGTTGCCCACCCAACCACCAAAGTTAGCAATCAACGTGCTTGACTTATTCTCACTCAAGGGGAAAGTAGCCACCGTTACTGGCTCGTCCCAGGGGATAGGTTTAGCTGTAGCTGAAGCGTTTGCCCAGGCAGGGGCCGACATTGCCATCTGGTATAACTCGAATGCTGACGCTGTTGCCAAAGCAGATGAATTCGCCAAGAAATATGGTGTTCGTGCCAAGGCATACAAATGCCACATAGGCGTTGCTGCCGAGGTTGAGAAGGTGATTGGGGAAATTGAGCATGATTTCGGCACAATTGATATCTTTGTCGCCAATGCTGGTATTACCTGGACACAAGGTCCTGTTCTTGATGTTGACGGGTACGATACTTGGCAAGAATTGATTGATTTGAATTACAGTGGTGTTTATTACTGTGCTCATGCAGTGGGGAAAATCTTTAGAAAAAACGGCAAGGGATCCTTGATCTTCACCAGTTCAATTTCCGCCAGCATTGTTAATGTACCTCAATCACAGACGCCGTATAATGTCACCAAGGCTGCGGTTAAGCATTTGGCAAAATCGCTTGCTGTTGAATGGGCGCCTTTTGCAAGAGTGAATACTGTTTCTCCAGGTTATATTATTACTAGCATTACTGATTTCGTCGATCCCGAAACGAGAGAAAAATGGTGGCAGTTTACTCCTATGGGCAGAGAGGGAATTACCCAAGAAGTTGTTGGTGCATTCTTATACTTGGCATCTGATGCATCCACATATACTACTGGTAGTGACATTGTTGTTGACGGTGGATATACTTGTCCTTAGGTTAGAACATACATATATAGTCATCCTGCATGTAAAATCATTCGATAATTGTCCGTTGGACCGTATCTAAAAAAGATGAGTCGTGTGGAAACCAGCAGGATATCAAGTTATCGCCGCTTTCCACCACCCCTCTTTAAAATCAAAATCAGACAGCCTCATGAGACTTATCACCGTAGAGACTATAGTATACATAGAAACCTAAATGATAAATCGATCAACAAAATTAAGCACACGCCGAGCAGCATACAATGCTGGATTAATTCTAGCTTGTAGGTACCTGACCAACACCCCAATAACCCACCATTCTTATATCCACGGAGATTTTATGTCATCATACAGCAAAGAAGAAATCGCCAAACACTTAAAGAATCTCGGTCCATTTCCCACATACTCCAACATTCTAAACCCGCAACATTTCTATCAAAATCAAGTGTTGTTGGAATACCTGAAGAAACTCCCCCATCCCGTGTCGCTTCGACAATTGGCAGGGTATGGAAACACATTAACCAAGCAAAAAATCATAAACAGTGCCAATTTCGTTAGAATAGAAATTCCCATCAGATTAGCCATGAGAATTAGAGATTTGCAGACGTTGCCATTTGGGGTGGTTAATAATTTCCACTTGGCGCAAATTTACGAAAGTTACTACCATTCATTTAATGCGTTTCGAAAAATCTCCAAGATTGAAACAATTGAGCAAAATAACCGATTCTGCGAAACTGTATCTAAGTTGTTGGATGATCATGTTTTTAACTTGTCTCATTTGATGATGGGGGCATTGGAAGTTTCCATTGCCCAAAGTTTGCCTCAAGAGGATTTAGACAAGTTTATGAGTGTAATGTTACGATCAAGAATCAGTAGAAGAGTTATCGCCGAAGAACATTTATCACTTAGTGAAAACTACAATAAGAACCCATACGATAAGAAACCCCCACATTATCTCGGTGAAATTTTCAACCAATGTAATGCCGTGGACCATTTCAATATTGTCGCCAATATGGTTAAATCCTCCATGGCACCAAGTTTCCCAGAAATTGAACGATTACCCGATTTAGAGATCGATGGAGATTTAGACGCAACTTTCCAATTTATGGTGCCTCATTTACATTATATGTTGCATGAAATACTCCGAAACTCATTTGAAGCAACCATCAAGACTCATTCGAAGAAGACATCCAAGATTTTACCTCCCGTTAAGGTGACCATTGTTAACCTGGATAAGCATGTGTTGTTCAGAATTTCTGATCAAGGAGGAGGAATTGCTCATGATAAACTCAAAAAGATTTGGTCGTTTGGAAAGAGTCCCGACCAGGCCCGGAAAAGTTTGGCTAATTTCCACACTATACCGGGATTACAACTTTACTCCAACTTGAAGGTCACTGCTGCTGGGTCATCCATTGTAACTACCGAAGCTACAGATGCACTACACGCATCCTCACTTAGTGAACAAACTGGAAGAAAGAAGTCAACCTTAGAACATTTCATGGCTAGACCATATGAATTGTTCTTGGGTATGGGTCTTCCTATGTGTCACGTATACGTGGATTATTGGAATGGAGAGTTACTGATGAACTCACTAGAAGGATATGGATGCGATACCTCGTTGACTTTGAGTAAATTGGGATACCACAGTACCCAGACTCAATTGGATAGAGCGTGAGTGTTTCTTTTGTGTGTATGCGTGTGTGTCACAAGGCGCGCGCAAGTATGGCGTGTAAGTGCACAACGTACACTAAACTTTATACATAGAAATTGTAAATAAATTTCAACCGGCGAAAATCAAAATCTCATGGGAGGAAATATAGTGCGATTTTACTGTGACCAGGTAACGCTGGAAAATGGGCGAAGGCGAAAACATAACATTTCCCCTACACCACATATAGCTTTTCTATTACACTGCAAATATATATGTATATATATATACTAAAGTTGACTTCATAATAAGATAAAACACCAACAGAATGGCCCAGAGTAATGGCAATGTGCCTATATCTTCCTTGCTAGATTCAAATTCCAACCAGGAGGACAACAATAACAGTATGTCGGGTTCTGTACCGTTACTGCAACCTCAAGGCAAACAACCTACGACCAATTCTCATCCATCTAAAAACACATCATTGCTGAGTCTTGTATCACGATACCAAACCACATTCAACTTTTCAAGCACCCCGACCCCTGAACCCGAGGATGATGAACTTATTATACTAGACAAATTACCCACCCTTGCCAAAAAGAGTAAACCTCAATCCAAGAATGCATCAAATAAATCCAGTCCTAAACCACAGACAGCGGCAACTACATCTTCTTCACGACAGTCCTCATCGTTGCCGGTACTCATGCCTAAACCTTCCTCGGATCAACAGTCTAAGAATTTCAACTATAGTGACCAAATCAAGAAGTTCCAAACCAATATCCAATTTGGCCCTGCTGCCAGTACTTCTACAGGAGGTGCATTCCACAGCAAGACATCGATCAACTCAATCATCAACTTGGATGACGAATCAGACTCGCCCAAACCACAGACTCCTACACCCACACCGGCTGCTGCAACTGCTACAACGACCACTTCAGGCCCACCAAGAAAGAAACGTCCTCCTCCAAAGAAAGTAGCTTCTCCAAAAGCCGACTCGGTTTCAAAACCAAAGAAAAAGAGCCCAGAATCAACCACTCTGCTGGCACTTGCTAATGTCACCAGTGCTGCTCCCGCGCCAGTCAAGAAACCGTTGCATGCAGGTATGATCACAGAACGATCCCTGGTTAGTGCTGGTGCTGCCCCTGTTAAATTGGGAGCTCCTTCATTTGTCGATTTGTTGAACTCGGATCATGAGTCGGATAAGGTTGAAGAAATACAGAATGAGGTGAAGGAAGAGGATAAGACCAAGCTGGAGGATAAGACTAAACAGGAAGATAAGTCTAAGGAGAAGGAGAAGGAAAAGCCAGAACCTCCTATAATCGCATTAAATATCCCCTTACTTGACCCTAAGGACCCGAAACCAGGCAAAGCAGAAGTAGTAATCAATGTTTTACGATTAGCTGAGGAGAAGTATGGATGGTCTGTTGTTCATCCCAAGGCAAAATCAGCCATTGATATCATGGACGACATGATGGATGAAGACGACGAAGGAATGGATGATGATGACGAAGAAGATGTGATTGTCGATGAAGAGAAACTGGCACAGCCACCACCACCACCACCACCTGCTGCTGCTGCTGCCAAAGATAAGGAATTGACAGAACAACAACTAGTTAGACAACATGAAATCAGAATGATTCGTAAAGTTGGTAAATACGATTATGAAGATCCATTCATAGATGATGAGGAGTTGCAAATGGAAGAAGAAATCACCACTACCAAAGAAGGATTCTTTGTCTATTGGGGGCCGTTAGTTGATGACAGAAACATTTCCAACAAAAAAGGCTCTTCGAAAAAGCGATAAACAATAATACAATGTTATAGGATTATATATATACATACATACACAAAAAAAAGCTAATCTTTAAATCTTTCAATTGTAAGTTCAAGCATTCCAGCAGCATTAAATTCAAATTGGTTTGCCTCAGGGTTATTCTTGTGTTTTGTCTGGACGGCATCAATATTGTTTTCGACAACTCTAAGAACTCGGTCCAATTTGTCTTTATTCTCAAGCAATATCTTGTCCTTTTTCAAGACGATAAGTAAATTCAAGTATGCCGCCAACGTGGATAACGTAGCTGGATCAATAGAAACAGATTTGTCTTCGTTAGCAATAAATGTACTTGATTGGGCAAATAAAATCAAGGTTAGTAAATCATCAAGTCTTTCCTCGGTAAAAGTAAAAAATTTATGTGATTTCCCAGTTGATCTACGTGGCAACGGAGGTGGTACGATTGGTTTATCCTCTTTTTTGTCTCCATTTTGCTCCTTGTCATTTTCCCTATTCTTATCGTCCAAGGAAGCCTTCAGAAATTCCTCTTCAAGGTTATCCACCGGCTCAAACTTATCCTTAAGAAGAAGTTCCTTATATACCCCAATAACTGGAGCCTTTGTTGCTTCATAAGGACAATTTTCCAACGTGTCCTTAATGAATTCATACCCAGTATTCTCAGGAGCAAGACATAATATCTTGGATAACAACGTAAACAACATAAATCTATGGTTTGGTTGTTCTTTACAATGGATTATGGTAAACAAAATACTTTGCATGTAGAGCCTCAACAACAATTTAGGAATTGCGGCAAATTCAACCTCAGGTTTCTTACGTTTTAACCCAGTTTGATATATGGCATACCAGGACCAAAACACGGCAACATCAAATGCACCACGGTTGACAAAACTTGGCTGGACCATTTGCGGAATGAGTATTCTTAAACCCATGACGACGGCATCATAAATGGAAACATCAACATGGTCAAATGATTTCTTGGTACATACAACATGAGTGTGCAAGATCAATTCACCGATAATTGAATCATTTATACTTTTAGAGTCACTATCAATAATACTGGTGAATAGATTCTTTTGATAATCAACCACTAATCTTTCAAATATTTCACCACTCAAGTCATCCTCATCGGTATCATCTTTAAATTCAAACTCTTTGAAAATAGCATTAGAATCAGCGATAAACTTTTTAAAGTCATCACGCAAGGGGATGTCATAGGAATAAGCCAATTCTACAAGACGATCATATAAAACTGGATCGATTTGAAAGTGGAATGTGAGTTTGGATTTCTTGCTCTTGTTTTGTAACCAACTGAACATATCAATGGAATAACCTTCAGCGCCAAGCTTGCTGGTGTACGACACCAACTGGGTCAAAAACCCAGTCAACAATTTCCGCTGTAAGTATTCCTCATCCTCTGTAATTTTGGCTAATTCTTCTTTGGTTAATTCTGGATCAATTTGATCTGGTAATGGCGGGTTTATATAATTTCTAGCAAAACTATAAGCCCGTTTCAAAATAAAGTGGGCATTAGTAGCAGACCATTGTCCCCTGACCAAATTGACATAAGCTAAGTTTATATACGAAGTTACCGTCATGGATAAGAACCTGGAAGGATACAATGTTTGAATTCTCTTGAGACATGCATCAATCAATTCAAAAATACAATACAACTTGATATCAAAAAAGTTTTCTTGAAATTCAGGTTTGATAGTTGATGGACTATCAGTAACTTTAATAGTTGATAATAATTCACAGCACTTTAAAAACAATTCTTTGGGATTACCATGGCGGGCCAAACACTCAAACAGTTTCAAGATCTTGTATACGCAAGGAGAGTTTCTTATCCCTTTATTAAACTGATAATCGGAGTCGACATAGGGAAGTAACAAGCTGGGCAAATCCCATCCAATTTTGTATGTCAAGTCAGGGTGTTCTTGTAAAATATCCAAGATAGACTGCAATAACTTTTCCTTTTCCTCATTGGTATATTTCAGGGGTTCACTTAAATAGATATCCAAGAGGGTACTATAGGACAAGTAATCCTTAGTGGCAATAGCATCGCGACAGCCAGCTTCCAAGTTTTCTAATACCTTTTCAAACACAAAGGGTTCAATGGTTGTATCGCTTGACACATCAGTTTCAGACATTGTGGGTAAAGCGGGACCTTCTTCGATTTGTTAAACTATATTGGTGAGTAGGTAAAAAGAAATTGACACAGAATAAAAGACGTGAAGAATTGTGAGTAATTTCTGGATGGAACTTTTTTTTTTTGCCTGTTTTGTTTAGTGGGGAGGGGGGGACCCGCAAAGTGTAGAAAGGATAAGGTACCACCGAAGTAAGTTAAACATAAAAAGTCTAAATAAACGTACCTCAAACTTAATGTCTACTACATTGCATTCAGAATCAGACGATTCTTCTTCATATTCCTCTTCAGAGTATGAGGAGCAAATAGACGATGATAAACTTCAACCAAAGATACCGTTGTCTACGTCTGTGTTTCTTGAGAAACTACCTAAGGAGCAATACCAACAATTGAACAAGACGATACTAGATCATGAGAACCAAGAATTACAACCGTCAACATCAAAGCAAGATCAGGCCCGCCCGGATTTGGTATCTCCACGGCAACATACACAACCTGACTCAGCACAAATACAAAAGATAACCATTAGATTCCAATCAATTGGATCTACACCATCAATCAATCCTAAAGTATTTAAAATATCATCCTCACAAACAATATCTACATTACTGAGGTTTCTATCTCAACGGTTAAAACACAAAGGCTTGTTGTACTTGTATGTTCAAAATTCATTTCTGCCTAATCCAGATGAAACAATTGGTGATTTGTTTAATCTGTTTAAGACGAACAACGAATTGATAATTAGTTACTGTTACTCTGTTGCATTTGGTTAAAAAGATAATTTTAAAAGTAATTTTCAAATTGAAGTATACAAATATAAATACAAATCTATCTAATTGGTATCAAGAAATCTAGAAAAATGAACTGGCGATCAAAAGTTGATCTTAACTAATATATAGATGTATTAGTATGTACAATAGCAAACCAGCAAAACGCATCCAAAGAAAAAGTATAATAAACCCAAACAGAAAAAGAGATCAAACTAAACAAAAAAAAAATTTTTTTAATATCAAAAAGCAATTGTTCTAAGATTCAAAAAGGTACTTAGTAGAAAACAAACTTGGCGTTACCGGAGTTAACAGTAACAGTACATCCATCAGAGCCAGCACCATTGTATTGGCCGTTTTCATACTGACAACTACCGTTAACGTCGTCACCAACGATCTTGATATTATAGTTTGGTTGATCCTTATTGTTTGGGTTTGGAATCAAAGATAAGTAAGTCTTGCCACCAGTAGTACCAGCACCAAGAACGACTGGGGCCCAGTTACCAACACCGGAACCATCAGTACCCCAGATACAACCATCTTCAACAGAAACACCAGCATTGTTAACATAGTATTGAGTAGAAGTCTTACCACCGTTCCAAGTGTAGTAAGTATCGGAGTCAACAACGGAGACTGGAGCACTACCACCAGCAGATAATAAGGTTGGAATGTTCATGTTTTCAGAACCTGGGTAATCAGTTCTACAGATGGCAACATCCTTGGAAATTTCAGATTCAAAGTTAACATTGTTGGCACCCCATTCACACAAGTAGTCAGAGTCTGGGTTAGATCTGTATAACTTACCACCCTTACATAATAAACCACCAACGGAAATACCAGAAGCTGGTTGGGAAGATGGCCATTGGGTCTTGGACATACCGGCTTGACAACCGTAAGAACAGTAGAATCCATCGGAACAAGTGGAAGAAGTGTCACCATTGGCATTCATAATAGTGGACCAACCACCGGTTAAACCAGAAATCCAATCAATGGCAATAACACCTTGACCGGTTGGAACAGAAGAACAGTCGTAAACACCATCTTCAAACTTTTGGTTTGGACCAGAAAAGGACTTCAAGTCACCTTGGATACCACCTTGGGAAGAAGATGAAGAAGATGAAGAAGATGAAGAAGGAGCTGAGGATGGGGCAGCAGCGGACTTAGTTGGAGAGGCAGCTTGGGTAGTTTCAGCTGGAGTGGCAACAGCAGTAGAAGTTGCAACAGAGTCAGCAGAGTTGGTGGCTGGAGCTTGTGGGGCAGCAATGGTGTTACCTTGAGAGTCAACGTAAACAATCTTGGTGACAATATCTCTCTTTTCAGCGTGTTCATGATGTTGGTGGTGTTGATGTTGCATTGGAGCTGCTAAAGCAGTGGTGGCAACAGCTAATAAAGCAATAGTAGAATATTTCATTGTTCAAAACTTTTTGATTTAATATAAAACGAGTAGTAGTAGTAGTTGGAAATAGTAGTTTAAGGAAAGACTATAGTTGGTGAAAACTTAATAAACACACGAAAATAAAAAGGAATGTAGATGTGTGGGTAAAAAATCAAATTGTTTTGGCAACAATTATATCCCAGATCAATCGAGTTTTGGGACTGACTATGTTTATATAATATGTGGGATGTTGTTGTTTTAGGCTGTAAAAAAAAATTTCTGCAAAGATGTGTGAAGTGGTAAATAATAATGGCAAAGTGTAAACAAAAAAAAATTTAATATTATTTTTTTAATTAATTGCTATAAAAAATATTAGCGCAATAATAGTTCAATGCAGGATTGTATTTCTTTTCTTTCTCTCTTCATTGTTAATCTTCTTTAATTGGTCTCAAAGTGGACGTTTTTGATTCCTCAATTCTAAAGTGCGTCCAGATTCGGAAACCTGCATAAATCTCATTTATCTAAATTGAGTGAAATTATATTGTTCTCAAGGCACATGAAATTGGCTTTTGGTTGCACCAAAGTCAAACATTCCGAAGTAAGTAAACATTGTGTCAGCTCCAATTGGCAACGAAAGGAGGTTATAAGATGACGTATGCCAGTTTGTGAGATCTTGTGGACTTTACTAATAAGATTATCTACACAAACTAATCCCTTTGAACACAACACACAAAACTTTTTCCGCGGGCTGTGTTCACTTTACAACATATAGTTAGTCAATCAGATTAGAGATTGTACAGATCGCACATGAAACCCTGCATCAACGGGCGCAACCCGTGCAGGAAAAACAAAAAAAAAGATCATGGATCAATTTTACTGCAGTTCTAGGTCTAGATAGGTCGTGTCAGTGCTAAGTACTACCTAATTAGGAATTCGGAAGAATACAACTTAAAAAGAGTTTGTGATTTTTTTTTGTTTCGTTGGCTGTGTAAATCTACCCACAGCAAGCAACAAATTTCATGTCGTTCTGAAACAACGTCGCGAAAATTGAGCTATAGCAATATGTGGTTCGTGTCAGCTATGTGGTATATTCGATCAATGCCTGGTTACCACTATTGCCATTTGATTGTATAAGCATTTTTTTTTTTCTCAAGAATTCTTGGAACCAATGGTTAGACAATTTTTGGCTACTCTTTTCTTTTTTCCCACTATTGTTTTTTAGAGACTGCACATACTAAGTTCTAGACCTTTTTTGAAAAAGTGGGAGCGCTTAAATTAAGCTTAATATTATTTGTCCTATTTGCCGCCTAACTCGTTGGCGAAGAAAATTGGATGGGATATTATCCATTAGAATCATCGCACGAGGGTAATCAGGCGCTGATTTGGCTTTAATACTATTGAGCTTGTATTTTGAAAATGAAAAGAAAAGATAAAACACACAACCACCTTGTAAAATATTTAATCTTTCTACTACTTTTTGCATGTTTTCGGTCAGTATTTCTTTGACATCAGCTCATTAATCAGTTGATGACTCTTGGTAATGGAAAGGGTGGGGAATTAACTCCCCGAAAGACCTCCGACGGCGTTTGCTGTCCTTACAAGCCATATTATTGCTATCGTAATATTCGACATAAACCAACAACCAAATCTAAAAGAAATAATAGCAAAAGAAACGACTACCGATCTAGACTCGACGCAGTTCGTAAGCAGTACCAGAAAATAATCTAAATTGATCTGAAATAAATGACTCAAGCAATCCTCGGATGGAACGAACAAATAGTCGCCATTGGATAAACTGCAAATTAAATCGGTTCCATACGACTAGAATCAAAAGCAATTCAAATATTACTCATTACAAGCGAGGTAGTTGCATTAGTTCTCGACAATTTTTCACAGGCTAGATTGGTTCATTGTAGATTTTACAATTGTAAATAATAAAAAAAAATATCTGAGAAGCGGTTACATTTTGAAATTAACTTAATAAGACTTCCTGTTTAGGAAGTAATTAATGGTAAAAAATAACAATATCTTTGTTCTACCAAATCTGCGTGGATTATTAATTAGCTAGATCTATTGTTATTTTGTGCATTCATTCTCAATGAAATAAACCTCATCGGCCAAATCCCCGAGGATCTTTCCCCCAATCATCTGGACCTTCCTTGGAGAAGATATCTGAAAATTCCAAATTAGTTTGAAACTTGGGGTGCCCAGTAAGAAAAAAAAAATGACTCAACAGTTAATCGACCCATACTTACATTCTAGTGGAATTCTTTTTCATAAATAGGGATTGGGTTAAAATTTTGAATTATTATAACGCTTTTGTAGATCACCAGTTGGGACTGGGTTAATCTAAAACTGAATGTAAAAAAAAATTTTTTTGAAACATAAAATCTTTACACAAGGCACGAGTCTGCATACGATATACAATTTGGATTCTGATTTAGATCCAGTTCAGGGTTGGAATATGGGGTTCTCTATTTCAACACTATTCTTCTGGTTATGACATTACTTGTTTTGATGGCTTGCAGTAGGATTAATTGTTACTGCAACTACTTCAAGCAACTAAATGTTCTAACTAAATCCCCTGGAAGAATATTATTGAAACATTTCCAACATCTGTGTAGTAATGCGGGGGGATTTTGTGCAGGTTCTTACCTCAGGATGCATTGGGGTTATGCGGTGCGCTTTTGCCTCGGAATATCTGGTATATTAAAAGATCTTGCTGTAAACTTTCTTCCATTTGCACGAAGCAAGTTGATCAGTATATCTCTTTTTTTTGCAGTGAAATTTTCACCTTAGAGATTTTAGTTTTAAAGATATAAATTAAAAAAATAAAAAACTGCACACCAAATGATTTTTTCAAAAGATAATGACAGAATTTCTTAAGAGCACAAGCCCATAACTTGGAACACATTTACCGGGGTAAAATTATCTTTCAACTTAGAATAATAACTATTCTAAAATTGAATGACTGTTTAAATCTTCTTGTTTAGATTGATGCCAAATTAACCATTCTAATATCCATACAACCAGCGACAATGGAAATGATAAATCGTAATCAGCTAACTGGTGTGCCATCTACAACCAGCACTCTTACCTTACATAACGGTATATACTCTGAACTCCAGTTGTGTTGGTCTCCCAAAAAAAAAGAAAGGTCGTGCTAAACACAATGCCTTAGTTGCAAAATAGCCGGGTCAAATTAGCCAAGCAAATTTAAACCTCAAAGATTTTAAGGTTGGAACTACTTTAACAGTAAACAATCAACCTATCAAAATGTACCAAATACACTAAATGTTCTTGCTTTTTTTTAGTTTACTTTCCCCTGTTTATATTTAGTATGGGAATAGGTCCCACCGCTCTTGATTTCAATAATGGAGTCGTTTGCAGACCTGTGGTTCAATCTGAATCTAGGAAGGCACATATTCACGTATATGTTGACGCTATCGACATCAAAGATAAGTCGTTCATTGATAGTTTAAAACTCCCTGTATTGATATTCCGGGCTCCATATATATTCAATTTTTCCAATATTCCATCGCCTGACCTGTATTATGATTTATATGCTGCAAACAAGAAGATATTATATGGGGATATTATTGATACAGAAAGGATTAAATTTAAGCTAGAACCATATGACACATATAACATTGATCATGATAAAATTTGGAATGATTTTATCACTTTAGACCGTAAGGATCAAGAAGGGCATAAGCATGCTGGTGTGAACTTTACAGTTCCCGAATCCGGTATTTATTGTGTCTATATTGCTCCTCCTGATAATCAAGGAATTATCAATATTCGTGTCCCTGTTAAATTCGAGAATGAGTATGGAAATTTGCCATACTTGTACTATAAACAAAAGTATGATCTAAATTGGCCAGTTGCAATTGGAATATTGTTATTATTCAAATTATCTAGGTATATCAGGAAAGTTACAGGTAAAGATTTCAAGAATGTGAGTCAATTATCAATGGTTTCCTGGATCATTTTGATTTACATTTTAATTCCGTTTATTGCTATTGTTATTTTCCAGAAACTTTGCTTGGATCTTTCAAATATTATTAGTTGTTCGTCTCTAAATTCAATTTTACTTCGAATCGTAGAACTTATTGAGGTTTGGTTCTTCACCTGGGTTGGGTTTATATTTGCACTTTTCTCAATTGGTTTAGGGGTGTTTTTCAATTCTGAACACCTAGATAGAATATTGACTCGAGAAGCAGAAGATGAAGAAGAACCGAAAATATCGATGCTAGTTTTGTTCTTCCTTGTGAATTTGATTGTGGATTTCCTAGTTGTTATCATACAATCAAGTCCACCTAAATTTCCATTTTACCTAGGCCTCGTAACAGAATTTGAAAAATCCCGTGGTTCATGGACAGCTTTAATGGTCGCCACCTTAGATTTTATTTATTTGTGTTTTAGGGTTGTTTGGTGGATTTTACCAGCAGGTTATCTTTTGAAAATTAAATTACTAATTCCCTCTATCCCACCATCAAGTAAACTTGACTTTGATTCCTACCAACAATCACTGAAATTGCTAAGACTCACAGTATGGATAGTTATGTTGCTTCCCGTTACAATTGGACTGTTGTTGTTAGCTTTCGATAGCTATAATAGATCGACACTAGAAATGTCCATACCTAAATTACCACAACCTGGGTCAGAGTCACGCAAAATTGTTTATGATTTAGCAATCAAGTTTTGGAAGCAAGAAATTGACCAGTTGTCGCCTGGAGTGAATGATGGCGATCCTTGGTATTTTTGGATATACATGATTGTTTTTGTTATAACTTTCTTGCTCATTTGGATAAAGAATAATAAAGGTGTTGCTCTTGGTCAAGACGATGATGATTCTATTGAATATAACGAATTTAGTGGCAAATATAACCAACTGATCAGACTTTGTGATTTGTCTTAATCTTCTTGTATTAAAGGCTAATGGATCATCTAAATGGTCATCAAAGAGCCGCTTACGCTTCACACTCCAAATCTAGATGATTCCAGCAACTGTTGTTTATTACAACAATAGATATATAAACAAAGATATTTAACCAATTACAAATGTAAAAATAAAATGTATAAATATAACTCAAAATAAGAAAACAAGTAAAACGAAAGAACTGAAAAACTTAATAACGTAGCCTAAAAAAACAAGAACTAAATTAATCTCCAATAAAACCCAAACCAAAAAGAAACATCTGTCTGTATTACAAGTGAGCGTGCCAGTGAGGAAATCTATAACGTACCTTCGTCTTCAATTCCCAAATTAAACCAAGGATGGTTCAAAGCTTCAATAGCTTCGATTCTGTCCTCAGGGTTTATTATGAACAATTTCCTCAACAAATCAATAAAGAACCACCAAAAAGTGAAATTTCCAAAATTAATAACACCTTTATTTTTTTCGTAGTTCGCCGATAACGAGTAATCAAAATCTATAGCTAGTCCAATTCTTGAACTTATGAATAAATCTATGCGAGATAATTCTTCGACACTATTGATAAACTTTTGTGGGGTGGAACTAGTCGGGAACTTTAACACCAACGAATTTTGATAAGTTGATTCATGATCTAAAATCAAATCATCGTCATCATCACTACTATTTTCACTATCATCAGACAGGTTTTCACTTCGATCATCATCGTCTATAAATTCATTTGTGAAATATTCCAATCCACACTCATTCTCCTTCTTCTTGGAAAGTTTCACCATGCTCTTGTCTATTCTATAACCACACACCTTCTCAATCATCGCCAAATGTTCCAAGTTGTCATGGGTTTTGAATAATGGCTCTCCAATAATCAACTCAACCAAAATACACCCAATTGACCACATATCACAAGGAAATGACCAACCGGTACCCAAGACAATCTCAGGAGCACGATAATGCCTGGTCGAGACTATCAGGGAATGATATTCATCATTAAATATAGCACTTCCAAAATCAATCACTTGAATTAAGGGGTCCTTTAGTATCTTCAGGTATTTGGGTACTTTCTTTGTGTTTGAATTGCCCAATTTCATATAAGCTGATATTATGGTGGAGGTTAATAAATTCTTCTTGGAATAATTATCATCATGCAATAATATATTCTCGGGCTTTAAGTCAGTATGGATTAAGTTCAAGTCGTGTAAGAAGGTAACCGAGCGAATTAATTGCTTTGAAATTGCTTGAATATGACTTCCTGGAAATGGAATAAACTTGTTATTTTCCAAGAAATCATATAATGAAATCTTCAACAAGTCAGTGACAATACAAATATGACCTCTATAATCAAAGCATTCCCGTAAGTGAATACAATGGTTGGCATTTTTGTTGTCAAACTTCTTCAACGTAGACAAGATACGTAATTCAATCTTGGCAGCATCTCGGTACTTTTGAATATTACGAATAATCTTAATAGCAACATGTTCACGATTAACTTTGTCGAAACATTGGACAACTTTACCAAAAGTTCCTTGTCCTAATAACTTTATAATTATGAATCGATTAGCAAAAGGTTCGTTGATCTTTATTATATAATGTCCATTTTCATCATCACATGGTGGAAGGTTCAGTTGGTGGGGTATTACATTAGTCTTTATATTACCCAATTTTGGTGTCTGCAAAATATAATTGTTGGGCAATTTATTATAGAAACATTTAGCCTGAGGTAATTGAGGCAACGAGCTCGTTCTTTGCTTCTTTATTGGGTTATTCTTGCCAATTTCAAATGTAGGAGCTTGATTGTTCACATTAAACATGTTATAAGCAACCAAAGCATCTTGATCGAAAACTGGATCACTATTGTTACGCTTAGCCTTGGGTATCAAATCACGTTCTTCTAAGATTATCAAATCATCGTCATCTTCATCGTCAACATTTTGTTCATGATCTTCCATTTCCAACTCATCTTCATCTTCTTCAGCAATAAACACCTCTTCCGCTGCTGCCGCGGCAGCTTCTTCCGCCAGCAAAAATGGATTAGTAAAAGCATGCTGTTTGGGCTTACTGATAGCACCACTGCTATACCTTCTAGTCAAAGGCGAAATTCTATAAGAGTTACCAAAGAGCAAGTTGGTATTCAAACCAGTATCACTGTCACTGTTTATGAATGATCGATGTTGTTGCTGTTGTTGTTGCTGTTGCACGTGGGACGCATGATACAACGGAGGCGACGTATTAATTGAATTTGACGATAAATTCGAATCAGATATAGTTGGATCAAAGTTCAAATGTATGGTTTTGGCCTGTTGAGCAGCCAGGTCCATATCGGTGGTATTGGAGACCACTACACCTCCAGTGGACTTTGGTTTTGTAGTTGCTGAATCAAATGCCTCACTAAAACCTCTGGGCCTCTTTCGGTTTGTTATCAATGACATTGTTTGCATTTGGAAGAGGGTGTCAATTTCTTTATGTTCGTAAAGCTTGAGAAACAGACTGTTATTGCTAGCTTCCTTATGGTTCTGTAGTGTAATAGGTTCTCCTATTTTGACTGTTTTAAAACAAGACTTTAACGTAATTTTACAGTGGCTGTATCCTAGTTAAAGTGTAGTTAATTATACACTAAGGCCACGGTAATAGTAGCAGGTTTTTGTTTGGTAATAAAGCTTGGTAGTATCGTGATGAAATATGAAAATTCACTGGGTCTGGATATTATTAGTTATTATATTTCTATATGTGGGACGTAGGGAAATTTTGATGATTGAGGCACAAAAGGGAAAAAACAATGACGGGCGAAAATTGATAAGGGGGGAGAAAATTGAGACAAACCAGACAGACAAAAATAAATTTAATTCAAGTGACAGCAAAAGCAGTATTTTTAGCGCTCTAGACTTTTTTTTTTTTTAGTATTTTCACTTTATTTTTCCACTTTTCTTTTTATGTTGGGAGAAAATTCCCAGACACACAGGGAAAAAAATCAGACAAAAATTTGAAATTGGATAACGTGGGGCTGGTCTGGTATAGACAAAAATTTGTTCCGTGGAGCTTGTACTACTCTTTGGTTTTATTTGGCTGATTGAAGAACAGTTGAAGTCTAAAAAAAAGTGGATACTGATTACTACACGTGCAAATTGAACAAATCGTCTATGTACTATTTGTAAACTGGTCTCTCGTTAGATTTGTGTGATGCAGGATTACAAATTCTTTTTTTTTTTTGATTCATTGCTGACGGGGAAGTAAGACAAAGAGGGGGGGGAGAGAACAAGACCGCACGCTAAAATAATACTATTATGCATAACAACCAGTTTACAATCCTTTGTAACTATTACTTCTAGTACTTTTATTAGCATTAACATGGATATTCCCCTAGGCAATAACATAAATTGAAATTAAATTAACTTGTTCTCAGCCTCATTCATAGAACGTTTCCCCAAAGTGGTGTCATCCGCCTGCATATAGGAACTACCAGAAAATGAAATGAACACAACACTAAAAAATAATCTGGCTTCAAGAATTTTTCAATTTGATGACCCCCCCTCACTAGCTAAGTAGTCTTGCCAGTAACCACTTCAGTTATAGTAAAATTGATAAATGCGCTTGGAAAGATCTTGCATATCTGGACTACAATCTTGCTTCTTCAACATATTTCTATTTCTGTTTGTACTTCAATTAATCTTCCTTCAGCAATCATGTTATTCTATGTATTACATATTTTTACTCACCATCCCACTGTGCGTACTACTACTGATTATACAATAGAAGGAGTTTTGTGCTCCGCACGCAGTTTGTAAACCAGACAATATTTCGTTACCCCCCTAATAATAATTCAAATGTATTGCAAAAATAAAAAAAAAATATAGAATTCGTAGGTGTAGACTAATGTGTACGTGGTGTGACGTGTGTTGGGTTCGGTAAAACATGAACTAGACTTTTGAACTTGAGACCCCACCGAGCCCCCATTGAAAATTCTTTCTGGTCACCACGCCCCCCTCTCCCCACGCAGTATGGGTCACGTGGTGGTTCTATTAGTATTCGTTGCATTGAATAAACCAATTTGTTATGTTAGTATTTTCTAGTTATGTCTTTAAAGAATTATATAATTCAGAAATATAATGTTCGGTTATATTTCATGTATGTTAGACAACGGTATAACTAAGCAATAGGCAAGTGTCAAATGCTAACCTTCATATTTATAACATTTGAAAACAGCAAGTGGTAAGTATTATGCCTATAGAAGGTGAATTTCTATTCTAATTAAAGTTCTACACACAAAATTATAATAAATGTGGACATTATGCTTCTTTCGCAATAAACAATTATAACATCCAACTTAATCTAGAACCATGGACGGAAATGTAAGCTGATAATATGAGAAAAGTGAACTGGCCGTCTTGCGTTTTTAAAAACATATTATTTAATCTCAACTTGTATCTAATTCTCTTGTGTACAATTGTTTGCAATTGTTTGCTATTTCATGATATATAGTGGGGCTACAATGTATTGTCTAGAAGAGTACTATTCTTAGACTTGTCTTGGATACTCTCGTTTGGCTGCGAAAAATTAAATAAGTTTTAGAATCTCCACTATTGTTGATTACACCACATTAATTGTCCCAATTTCGGATATTTGTAGATACTGATGTTGAAGAAATGAAAGGTTTGGAATCTTTTCATTTTATGCATGAATTGGGTTTTCTGGTCAATTCTGATATTCCTTAACTGAAGTTTTGCTGAGTTGAAAGAAATCAGAATCTTGCTATTAAAACTGGCATCATATCAAGGTGCGATTGTTTGCAAGAAACAGGCAACTATACCCACAAGTTCAAACTAATTATTGTGGGGTCAATTACAATCAAGGCAACTTAGCTTCCTAACAACGTCAAAGCCAGTTAACTACGATCGAAACACTTGATTTTGTGTTACAATCTAATTCTCGTCAAAATAAATTAAACCTCAAAGTTTACACATTTTAATTTGTTTGGTCGTTCTGGAATTTCTTAACTTTTTAACTAATCACTAAGAAAATCGTTATTTTGAATAAGAAATTTTGGTGAGTTCCAAGGCAGAAAGTAAGCCCAAATAGCCTTTACGTATAAATTTGAATGAGCTCAAAGTCCCCTTTTGGAAGTATGTGAACGGTTATTTATTTAAACTAGTAACCTATTTCATTTTTCAAAAAAAAAAAAATAGAACAAACAAACTTCACTTTCGTACACAGGAAATGGACGGTATAGTTTCAGTTCAAAATCCGTAACAGGAGACTTCTAAAGACAATGTTATATCCTTTTAATTTTAATTTCTTTCCAATCAGTCATCCGAATATTTAAATTTTTAAGCAACTTCAGCCTTCATTTTAATGGATTGCCAAATTAATACGCTAACTTCGAACTTCTAAGAATGAAGTGTAGACTCTCAGAAACATACCTTAGCTATCCAATTATGACGATCACTTCCCGATGAACATAACCAGCTAAAGTTGCTTCTCAAACACGAAAATTAATTGGTTTTGTGTATGTTCAGGGAGTTTCAAATCTGGGTAAAAGAAACCCTATTTTGGTTTGTTTAACCTTATTTCATTAAAACCTTAATCTCACTTGTATTGATCAGCTGGGAAATATCGGGAGTGTCATACTTGGCGTACCAATTTGGGACATTTCATAGGCTAAGAACTAAGAAATTTCTGATCTCAGTTTGTTTGAGACACAATTGTGTGTTAGTATTTTATCGCAGCCAAATTTTCGTAATTGTGATTTCTTACGTTACACAAAATAATTTTTTTTTGTTCGGGGAGACATGATGGGCAGCAGTGCATTTGCACTAATTTATGCACATACTCGCCTGAATTGCAACAATCAAGTAGTATAATTCGTTGATTACGAGAATATCTATTGGATTAAAAATTAAATCTACTAACATTAAGCTAAGTGGGATTTATCCTACTCCATATATTTCACAAGATACAATTAAATATGGTTCAGTTGGAACTAAATCTCATCCGGTATATGATTTCTTTCCCCCATCGCTTTAAACTTTATTTTTCAAAGATAAGAGATGTGTAACACCATGATGGTGGCCACCACTTATAAAAAGATCATTATGTCTGGTCATGCAAGAGTTTGCATTTTTGTCTGGGCCAATGCTCTGCCAACGCCACGTAGGAGAAACTAAGTAAACCTCCGCATGAAAAAAAACCCTATGTTACTTCAAACTTTTAGTGAAGAAAATTTCTAGTTTGCCTAATTAGAATAGACGTGATCGAAAATTTTCAAGCAATGAATTTTACCTTTCACATACACACACCACTTGAACAAGAAAAGTAAGAAAAAAAAAAGAGTGTTTAAGAATATCTTGGGAATAAAATAGCGTTTGTTTTGCCTTGTGACTTAGCCTCATGTACATTGTTTTGTTCTTTCAAGTTAATTGAAGCATATGCAAGTATCAACTTGAAGAAACTTTGTGGAGAGGGGAGAACTCTGAATCGCGTTATCAAATTGCAATAACACCATAGCGCTCCATTGACAACATAATACAAAATCGAATGAAAATTGTTCTGTTTTATTTTTTATGATTTCTTTTTTTGTACTACACTAAAAATAATTTTTAAGTATTAAAAAATATATGCTAGGTAGAAAATATTAATTCGACTGACCTTAATCAACTTACTCACATAAGAAATTTAATACAGCAAAAGAGGCAGACAGAAAAAAAAATGCACACTTTCTATACATAAATTCAAATAAATAAGCAAATACAAGTCCATTAATTTTCTAAAATACACCATCACACTCATTTCGTTTTTTAAGATTCAAACCTTGCACCACAAACAACAAACAATAGATTTGCATTGGTTCTAAAACCTTTCACTGATTATAATTTTGTCATTATAAAACCATCCACGGATTTTTATTGATCATACAGTATTGACATTGAATTGACACAAATACTATACTCTATTCCAAATTGAAATGGGGTTTGAACTTCCTGGTGATCGTTCCCGAATATTTGAAGGTAGCAGCCAATCCCAACCGCGTCCAGAATTGGAACCTTCGTCCTCACCACGTCCAACTTTACCACCAATACAACAACTAACCAGTGGATATCCGATAGCACCCATATATGCAGTGTTAGATGGTACACCTAGTAATGAAACTAGTCAACCATCAGGAAATGTTCATTCTTGCGAATCTACTCCTGTTCCAACTGGACACACTCCAGAAGCTTCCATTTCAGATGCAACAAAGCCCAGTCTACCCAAAAAGTACTTTTGCAAAATTTGTAAACAAGGATTTACGAGGAAACATAATATGGTAAGTCATGAGTTGATCCATTCTTCTTTGAAGCCGCATATCTGTGCTGTTTGCAATTTAAAATTTAGACGAATCCACGATTTGAAAAGGCATGAGAAACTTCACATGGGTGAGAAGCCATATGCTTGTGATAGATGCTCACGACGGTTTGCAAGAGCCGACGCATTAACTAGACATCAAAATTCGGTCAATGCGTGTTCTGGTTCATTATCTAAGGGTAAGAGGCATTTAGTAGATGGGCAAGCAAGTAGATATGTTGATGGAAAAGATATTGACGGTAGTGCAAGAAGTGGAGGAGATTATATTCAAGAACCAAACAACAAACTGACTTCGCCAGTAATAACTCCTATACATGGTGCATCTTCGGTATCGTTGATGAATGGGGAATCGTCAAGCATTCACTTATCAAACCAAGGAACTACTTTCCATCATTCAAGAGAAGAAGAGGGAAAACCACAGCTTCCGCATTATCATCAGCCCCCAAATCAACTACCAGTACCTAATAATATTTCCTATCCATCCGGCAGTGGACATTCATTACCAGTCCAACATGTTGCTGGGCCTATTCCTATGCATCCGTCACAATATTACAATCCTCCTATTTACAATTCATATACAATCCCCCAGATGAATAATTCAGGGCAAATAAATAGTGCTCCATTCATGAACAGTGGACCCCATATGAATAATGTTCCTCATATTAACAATGTATCCCACATGAATAATATCTCACATATGAATAATCTCCCACATCTCAATAATGTTCCTCATATGAACAATGTAGTTCAAGGGGATGGTTCACCTATGAATAATGTGATATTAAGTGGTAGACCCATATCACCAACAATGCAGTCAGACCATCCTGGTTCTCCAGGGGTAACATTCCCTCACAAACATCAATTACCGATACAATCCCATGTTCAACCAGGGACAGTTACAAGGGTACTTTCCTTGCCACCACCGTCCCAACTAGCTGTCATACCGTCTCCTACGCATCCAAGCCAATTCTTTAATGCTTCTCAACAGCACCAACACATGAATGGATTCATCCCATCTCAGCCAGTTCACTCAGGACTGCAACTGCAACTGCAGCTGCACCCAGGAGATAGTGCTAATTTAGCTGTTGGAGAATCCGAAGTTAGAGATGGTGTATATATTCCCTACTCCAGATATCAAGATCTAGTAAGTCATGCTCAAACTTTGCAAGATGAATTATTCAGAATGAATAATAGAATTAGTCATTTAGAGAAGGATACGAAGGATAATCCTAAATGAAGGGTGTTTTTGCAGTTAGTTCTTGAGAAGCGGCTATAAAACTTAACAACATTGAAGAATCAGAATTAATTAGTCATGCAAACCGTTCTATGTATTATTAAGTGAATGAAATAATTTTTTTTCCATTAATTTACCATATTTGTTTATTCAAGATCACAATTTGCAGTAATTCTTTAAGATAGTTAGGTCTAAGTTGAAACTAAAGCTTTGGATATGCATTAGTGTAGAAACCACGTTCTATTGAATGTAAGATATCCGTTGCCAATAACTTTCATGCAATTACATTAAGCGTGCCTCTAAATTGTAACATAATTTCACTTCGCGCACATTCAATCACGAAATTTGTTTTTTTTTGTGCATTGTGCATTGGAGGATCTTCTATTTTTTTTCTTTATTTTTTTTGTCATGCACTATACTAACCATTGTTTGGATTTTAGCGAACTGCATGACTACGCAGCTCGTTTATGCTTGGAACAAACGAGATTTTACGAGTTTGATAGAAAATATCAGCCCAAAAAAAATTCAAATGAAGGGAACTTCGTCATTACTTATAATCAATTATTTGCCTATAGAACTACTCTTGTACTCAACTCAATAAAAGTTAAAGTGTATCTATAGAGATTCTTTTTCCTAGTTTCTTGGGGCTTATAACTGTATTGTATGTTTTCGATATACTTATACAAAGTTTTTTTCCCTAATTTATTAGAAAATTTAGAATAATATAATAAAAGGTAAACATAGGTTTTGATTGATTTGTTCCAACCATGAATGTTGTTACTGCTCTGATTCTTTCCAAATTCGATTATTAGAATAATGTTTCTGAGACCTGTTGTTTCATTCTTGATAGAATATCTTGGTCTTTTCTCAAAAGGAAGAGTCTAAGCATAAAGGGAAAAAAACCATTCTCTTTGTCTATTTCTTTGTATGCAGTTCTCATGTCTTCTAATTACTTTATCGTAAACAAAGAATTAGACGCTAATTGATCTAAGAGACCTCTCATTGGTGAGAAACTAGAAACCATCAAATAGGTTCCATATGTAACTATATGCAGGAAACCAAGATAGTTTAAATAACAAACTAACAACATTTAAAAGATACTCAAGAAAAGAACAAAAAAATATTTTTGTCTTGTTTGCTCATATTGACGAATTCTTGGTGATTTCTAATAATAAGATCAATCTTAAAACAGATAGAAAATCCTTTTCTTTACGGGGGAGCAATTGTTGATTATTAATTCCGGATTTATTTTTTTGAAATTGCAACAGATAATTATATTTAGGATCTGAGTTCATGGTAGACTATGAATTTTGGAATATCTAACTCAACTCATAACTTAACTTTTTGACATAGAAAATCAAAAACCTCAAAAATGAAAAGACCTGATGCTGTTAGCTATCTCCACCATTCTATTTTTATTTTGAATGTTGTAATTATGGTAGGTCATAAACAACGAACTCAAGAATCAGAACTAACCAAAAATTCTTCAGGGCCAAGAACCACTCTCATCACATAAGAACATTTCACTTCTATTTAGCTATAAAAAAGAACTCCATAAAATACCTGAAAAAGTTGGTTCGTTAGATATATCAACTGCATTCATTGTTGGTATTGCTTATCAGTCCCAAGCAAAAAAGAAAATAAAAATTTTTTTTGTGGGGTCGAGACTGCACTTTGTTTAAGTTAAGACAGGATAATACACCTATTCATTAATTGACTACCACACTCCCTTTACATTATTTCTTTTATCATTTATCATGTTCTTTGTGTATATTAACCACATATTGTAGTTTTACATTCTTTGTCATTGTTGTACTAATGAGTAACTAACTAGGAACGTTTGCTCGTGACCTGTCACACAAAAAAAAACCTGAGTCCTTATCTAAATCCCTCATTAATTTTTTTTTTTGCCGCCCTTAACCCCCCCTTTTTTGCCTTTGAGTTTCCCTACCAGGTTTCCTTAACGTTTCCTTTTGTTACCATTAGTTCTTTCACAATTTAGCATTACAATTTGCTTTAAGTTTATATATTGATTAATAACGGTTATCCATATTTAAGAGCACAATCGGAGCCTAAATCAACTACATTAATGTCAGGCCAAGGTGAATCAACTTTATCTCCTCACGAGGAAGACTGGTCTATAATCTCTTCTTGTTCTGACAATGAAGATGATCCCTCAACTGCTGGGTTTCCTGACCAAGATTTAGATTATTCCTTATCATTGAGTGACAGAATCAAGACCAATCACGTTAGCGATTCGGTTTCTAATTCCATACTACAAGTTCCAGAACTTATCACTTCAACGGAGCTGTCAAAAGCTACTGTTAAGATAAATGAGAGTGAAATTCATGACTATGTCGAGTCAAGAGAAGACGACGATGCTGCTGTTGCTACTGATGCTGAAATTGTCGAAGATGACGAATCTCAGTTTACTCCCTCCAGTAGTTCGGACATCAAATCCCAAATTAGTATTGGTTCTGACCAGTACATCAATGTTGCCCCAAAAATAAATTTCTATGAAAATTTAAGCAAATTTAACGATTCAATTAAACAAAAGTCGAATGAATTTTATTCCAATTATGCCAAAGTCAAGATGGATCAATTAAATAATTACCTAGCAGATCAACACCCCGAGGAAATACACGAAGGTGAAATTGATCCAACCTTGAACCAGAGTGAATTGAAGATTGAGGCCGAAGATTCACCTGGATTTGAATCGAGCGCAGTGTCCACTCCTTCTTCGACTCCAGTAGCACCACCTACAATTGTCTTACCTTATTGGAAACGTTGCTTGCTTAGAGGAATAGATTATGTTAAGGATGTTTTGGACTGTAACTCGGATTATCTTTATTACTACTTTGTTGGAATAACTATTGGGATTTTTTCACTTGGTTTTGGAGTACGTTATCTCTGGCCAGCTCCTGTAATTGATCATCCAATGACCACCATGGAAAAAGTTAACCAGTTTTGGGATAGTATAATATATGAAGAAGAAGTTATACCAGGAAATATCTTCCTGTTTTCTAAAAAGAAGCAAAAGATTAATAAATGGGTTAAATATAGTCTGGAGTTTGAAATTAGTGTTTTCGATGCCACTGATAAGATTTTTAAGAATGTTTGGGACAAGAAATCTTTTAGAGAATTCTCTATTCGGATGAATGAATTTTATATTTCTACTAATCATACATTATATCCTCTTGTGGCAAAAGCTTGGGAAAATGCTAAAGTTATGAGACAAGAGGCTAGAGATAATTTAGAAGAATGGGGCAAAGTTGGATTTGAGAATTTAGATAAATATAGCAGAATAGGTATCGGGAATTTGGATAAATATGGTAGGTTAGGTTGGATTAAATTTAGAGAAAATGGAAATAACTATATGGAATTGGTTAAAGAATATGGAATAAAGGGCTGGGTAAGAGCTGATGAATACAGTGCTATTGGGTACAAATATGTTGTGCGTGGTACTGAGAGATTGTTGACACATTCTGCACGTGCATCGAATAAACTTGTGGTCTTTATGGAATCTTTTGTGTCTAGTGGTGCAGAAATAGGAGGTAATTATGTGGAAAAGACACGGAAGGCGGTTAAAGCATTGTTGGATTCGGATGCCAATACTAGATTGAAGAATTCGGTGGGGAATGAACTAAACTTGGTGATGGCTGAAGGCAAACAAGCAGCTAGATTGGTGCGGAAACAGTCAGAATTACTATTTAATGAATTATTTGGCAAGAATTGAGCGGAACATGTAATAAAGGTACTTACCTCTTTCATCGGAAGTTTTTTGGTTTTTGTTTGATGTTTGTTGATTATTTCTTTTATTATGTGTTTGGATGGAACTATGGATGAAGCTTAGATATGTGGTAAATACTATCTCTGTATATAAGTGATTGCAATTTTGAAACTGGAAGATTATAAAATGACTGCAAAATGCCTGTTTGTCAAGAAAAGAATTTGCGACACAACGAATTTTTTTTTTTGGCAAGTCATAGTAGGGTCGTGCGCATTTGCCAACTTCACCAACCAAAACAAAATCGTTGAAAAAAATGCTTTCGAAATTCGGGCGATCTACGCTGGCTAATTAAACTCCTGAAACTGCAAAACATTCTTTTCTACAGATTTGTACATTGTTTTAATTCATCAAATTTGCTAGATATATACACAAAGAATTCATAGATTTGATTTACAGATCCTAATTCTTAGCATTATAGAAAAGACACTTGACACTAAGTAGCAACATTTTGGCAACACCATGGGTATGTTCAGTTTTATTCCTCAAATACCAGTTTAAATTCAGTACTAACTTATCTATCTAGGTATTCCAAAGTTTTTTAGATTTATTTCTGAAAGATGGCCCCTAATTTCCCAATTAATTGGGGCTGATCAGATTCAGGAATTTGACAATTTATATCTCGATATGAACTCAATTTTGCATACATGTACCCATTCGAATGATGGTAGTATAAGCAGGTTAACTGATGATCAGATGTATGCTGCGATCTTCAACTACATTGAACATTTATTTCAAATTATAAAACCAAAAAAGACGTTTTATATGGCTATTGACGGGGTTGCACCTCGAGCTAAAATGAATCAACAACGTGCCAGAAGATTTAGAACTGCTTATGAAGCGGAAATAAATTTGAAAAAAGCCATTGAAAATGGCGAAGACATTCCTAAGGAGGATCCATTTGATACAAATGCGATTACTCCAGGTACAGAGTTTATGGCTGCATTGACCAACAACTTGAAATATTTCATTCACAAGAAAATAACTGAAGATTCAAGCTGGGCCAATATTGAAATCATTTTGAGTGGTCATGAAGTTCCGGGTGAAGGTGAACATAAGATTATGGAATACATTCGAACAGTTAGATCTCAAGATGGTTATGATCCAAATTTAAGACATTGTATTTATGGTTTAGATGCTGATTTGATTATGTTGAGTTTAGTCAGTCATGAACCTCATTTTGCACTTTTAAGAGAAGAAGTTACATTTGGTCCCCAAAGAGGTTCCAAGAGTAAAGATTTGAATGATCAGAAATTCTATTTGTTGCAAATATCATTAGTTAGGGAGTACTTGGCATTGGAATTCCAAGAATTAGAAGGACAATTATCATTTGACTTTGATTTAGAGAGAATCTTGGACGATTTCATTTTGATTATGTATGTTATTGGTAATGATTTCTTGCCCAATTTACCAGATTTGTTTATCAACAAGGGTGCTTTCCCGCTTTTGATTGCTGCTTTCAAGCACTCTTTGCAACAATCTGATGGATATGTTAACGAAGATGGTAAAATCAATTTGAAGAGATTAAGTATTTGGTTTGACTTTTTGGCTGAGTTTGAAGTTGAAAATTTCGAAAAGCAAGAAGTTGATGTTGAATGGTTCAATAAAAAGCTTGATGATATTTCTTTAACTGGTGAAAGAAAAAGAAAGAGAATAGGTAAATTGTTAATTTTGAAAGACCAAAAGAAGTTGGTAGGTTTTATCAAACCATGGTTAATGGAAATCTCTTCAAAGCCAATCTCCGAAATCGTCGAATTAACAAATGAGGACAAATTACCTACTTTATCTTTGAATAAAGAAGAAGCTGAAAAGAATTTGGATTTCCTTAGAGAATTTGCATTGGAAGTTGGTATTTTAATCATTCATTCTAAATCTCAAGATACTTATGTTGCAAAATTAGACGTTGATGGATTATCACCAGAAGAAACGGAAGAAGAATACGAAGAGAGATTGACTGAATTGAGAAAATCTATCAAAAAGTACCAATCAGCTAATTTGGTGGAAACCGATGATTTATTGAAAGAAACTAAGGATATTTATGACACTAAATTTATTGCTTGGAAAAATGATTACTATCAGAGTAAGTTACACTTCTCTTATGACGACAAGGACAAGTTGAACGATCTTACTGAACATTATATTGAAGGTTTGCAATGGGTTTTGTATTATTATTACCGAGGTGTTCCATCTTGGAATTGGTTCTACAGATATCATTATGCTCCGCGTATTTCTGATATTTCAATTGGATTAAAGTACTTGATTGAAAAGGGAGAAGATCTCAAGTTTGAACAATCCCATCCTTTCAAACCATTTGAACAATTGATGGCAGTTTTGCCTGCCAGATCAAGAAAATTGATGCCGGTTGAATATAGAAATTTAATGACTGATGAAAAATCTCCAATTATTAGCTTTTATCCTAATGAAGTTGACATTGATATGAATGGAAAGACAGCAACTTGGGAAGCGGTTGTTTTGTTAGATTTTGTTGATGAAAACAAATTGCTTGATACTTTGAAACCAATTGAAGCTAAATTAACTCCTGAAGAAACAAAGAGAAATTCCTATGGTCATGCAATTATATTCATTCATAATCCTCAAATTGATAATGTTTATCCAACACCATTGCCCGGGTTCTTCCATTCTATTGAACATGATAAATGTTATGAAGAAGAATTCAAATTACCCCCAGCACCAGAATACAAGATTGGTTTACTCGAAGGTGCAAAGACAGGAACTGAATTGTTAGCTGGTTTCCCTACTCTTAACACCATCCGTTTCCAAGCTGAATTAGCCTTGAATGAAGTTAAAGTTTTTAACTTCCCATCTAGATCGGAATCTATGGTTTTGAATATTGAAAATCCATGGGATGATTTGACTGTTCATCAATTTGCTGAGCAATTTGTTGGAAAGTTGGTTTATTCAAGATGGCCCTTCTTAAGAGAATGTAAGGTTGTTAAAGTTATGGATAACGAAAACAAATATGAATTAATCAGAACCCAATCTGGATCTAAGAAACTTGTCACAAATGAATTAGACAATGACGATCGTAAAACATTCAAATCTGAAAGCTCGTATCTTAGACTTGTATGGGATAAGACCAAGGGGGTTAAATTGGGAGAGATTGAAGGGTTAGCATTTGTTCAACCAGTTACTGGTTTAATTAGAAACGCTAAGGGGGCTTATGTCAAGACCTTCTCTCGTGAAGTTGAAGTATATCCATTGCAATTGATTGTTAAGGAAGTCACCAATGTTGATCCAAGATTTGCTTCTAGACCACCATTACCAATTGAAGAAGAATTCCCATTAGACTCTCAAGTTATCTTTTTGGGTGATATGGGTTATGGATCTCCTGCCAAGGTTGTTGGTTATAATAACAATGATTTAAGTATCAAGATCTTTAAGATTCCATCGATGGCCGAACCTAATATTGGTAAAAAGAGATTATCAATTGAGAAAAAGGAGATCAGATATTATCCTTCATTCGAAGTTAGTAAGACCCTTAAACTCTCTCCATTATTATTATCAAGAATCACAAGTCAATTTATGGTTCAGGATAAGAACTCAAAGATTAATATTGGTTTAGAATTGAAGTTTGAAACCAAGAGAGAAAAGGTATTGGGTTACACTAGAAAGCTGAATAACGGTAAATTCTGGGAATTTTCACCTTTGGCAATTACTTTGATCAATTCTTACAAGACTAAGTTCCCACAATTATTTGCTAAATTATCAGCATTGAGCTCCAAGGATATTCCTAAAGTGGCTGAAATTCTGAGTAGTGAAGAAATTAAGGAGGTTAGAAGTTGGCTTAAAGAAGCTAAAGCTGATTTGATTCCCGTTTCTTTAGAAAGTGAATCGTTGACCAAGTTTAGTTTCAGAGCAATTGAACAATATATGGAAACATATATTTTAGATCAAGTTCCTACTGTTGATAGAGCCATCAGAGGTGTTCCTCGTGATGCTATCTTGAATGCTAGTGAATCCTATCAATTATTAGGTGACCAACGTTTTGAATTGGGTGACCGTATTGTTTATGTTCAAGATTTTGGGAAAGTTCCAATTATGTCTAAGGGTACAGTTGCTTCTATTTTAACGGTTGGATCCAAGACTTCTTTGGGAGTTATCTTTGATCATCCATTATTGGGTGGTAGTGATATGAATGGCAAGTTGACTTCTAAACGTGGTTTGGTTATTGATTCTTCTTTGGTTTTGAATTTAACTAATCGTCAATATGTTTACCATTCTCGTGCCTCCAAGAGTAGAAAACCATTAACACCAGAGCAACAGGCTGCTCGAGTAAAAGCTGTTGAGCATAAGAAGGTTGAACAAGACCACAAGAGGGTCGAGCAAGAACAAAAGAGAATTGAACAGGATCAAAAGAAAAGTGAACAAGATAAGGAGAAGCAGAATTTAATCAAGCAAGAATCTCAAAAACAAACCCATGAATTATTGTCATTATTAAAGATTAAATCTGATTCTAAAGCTGCTGAACATGAGCAATCTAGTGGAGACAAGGATGAACAAGCAGTTACTAATCCAAATGCAATCAAGCATATTTATGGACAAATTTATTCTTCTGTGATGAACCAAGGAGCTGCACCACCTCAACCAATGCCATTACCACCGCAGCCACCCGTAGGAATGCCAATACCTATTCCTCGTGGTAATGGAATGGGAATGCCATATGGTTATATTCCTGCTGTTCCTGGCATTCCAATCCCGCCTCAATTTTTGCAACAACAACAACAACAGCAGCAGCAACCATCACAAGTTGTCAATCCAAACGGTGAAGATCAACAAGCAATCAACCAGCAAGAAAAGGGTGAATCTCAGGAACACAGAGGCAGTGAAGGTCAAAGAAGAGGAAGAGGAGGTCATAGAGTAGCCCACAGAGGAAGAGGAGCCCATAGAGGTGCTGTTCACTCCAGAGGCGGGCATTCCAGAGGCCGAGGTGGCAAGGGTAAGCCTAAATCTGAATCGGACCCAGAAAAGAACTGATCGGATATTTTACAATTTTGTATTTTCGTAGTTTATTATATAGCATAAAATGTATTATTTGTATGTATTATACCTGTGAAGATGGTTTTACGTATACTCTTTCTATTACAATGTTTTCAGAATTTTTTTTAGCAACTATATACAAGTGGTTAAAATTTTTAAATCTATTTATCTTTCTTCTCATCGGATTTCAACTTATCTTTATTTGTTTTGCTTTTCAATAATTGATCATGAGTAATACCAGCTTCACCAGGTAAATTGACCAACCCAAGAGAATCCCAATCGGATTGTTCCATTAATTGATGATCCATTCTACATTTCAAATAATCTTTAGCTAAAATACGGCAATTTGGTGCGTTTTTGTTTTCTGTGAATTTCATGCATTCAAGATACTTGAACATTTGTGATGAACATTCATGATCGTGATCTAACGGGAACGAACCTCTTTCTGGAGGTGTTGGTGTCCAACTTCGAAAGTTTCCTCCTATAAATGATGTTAGGATGTTATTTACTTATATAACTAGTTAGATATAAACATACCTGGTGCTCCTGAAGCCATTTTTATTGTCTAAACTATGATAACAGTATGGTGCAACTCATGTCTAGGTCGTTTTTTTTTTCAGCTTGGATGTGATTTATGGGATTTGAATTTTCGGAAAAGGAAACTCGGTCACGTGTTAAGAATTTGGAAGGAACCTGGCTGTAATGGTACGGTCACACGAGATAGTTGTAGATATGACAGCAGAAACCAAAACTAATCAAAGTAGCTGGTATTCCGAACTTGTTTTAATTATGGCCCATTGTGAAAAATAGGATAATTTACAGCCAATAACACAAGCTGTATTTAGATAAACTTTTACGATGCAACCACACCTAACTGAAAGGTACAGATAAGATAGCAATCAAGTGTATAGCCAATATCCGAGGGATTTCTGACTTTAAACTCCATCATGCATTTGACAAGTGGAACAATATTCGGGCTTATGAATCAAGCAACTGCGAGGTTGCTAAACTCCATATAATATTTTTGGTAGAACTCGGTTTAAAAGGCGCGAAAAAAAAACTTTCAAAACAAGCAAAAAAAAAGGCGCTGGGTGGGGTAATAAACGTACCAACAATGAGATTTTTGTTTCATTTCTAACCGAAATATGTACTACCCCTCCGACTTTGTTTTCACGGACTTTCAAGAGGAAGGTGAAGACAATATTTACACACAATACTTACACATATATGTGGATCAGTGTTTCCTCCCTCCTTCCTCAAGATATGATCTAACCATTCAGTATTCAATCTAATGTGGAACCAAACCAATAAAACCGAAGACAACAACCACATTTAAAAGGGTTGAAGTACATGTTCAACTTAAATATTTGGGGGGGAAATTTCATTTTGTTTTGACACAAAGAACACATACTACGGATGTTAGAACCTAAAACAGAAATGCCAGAATAGGGACCTAAATTGTATTGTTTTGTGGGGTGCATATGGCCTAATGATTTTCTTTTTTTTTGCGACTCCTCGGTATGTTATCGTTGCGATATTGTACCATACGGAACTACGCTGAGCTACAATTTCTGGGGTAATAGGGAAATGCATTTAGTAACGAATTACTGTGTCTCTGATTCAATCTTGAATGTTACATTTTGCTATGATTAACTTTTTATGCTTGAATCGAATGGCTCCATTTACACTATAGTGGGGAGAAAATCAGTGCCACATATGCGCATATTATTTTTCCACCTGCTAAAATTTTTCTTCCGAAATTTTCCATATGACAGACAAAAGAAAAAAAAAAGAAAAAGAAAATACATCCATTTGTCCATGGCTCTTCGCATACGACTCATTCCCCCTCCTATACCCCCCTCCACATAAAAAAAAATAATGTTTCTAAATTCCTGCTTAACCACCCACTATAACCAAGTAAATGGTTTATGTTCTATCTAAAAGAAAGCAAAATTTATACATGTCAAAAACAAATATATGTATCATAAATAAGAAGCAATAGAATGGAAGTATGTAAACTTAAAATAAAAGAAAAAGAAACACTGAGTCATCTTGTGAGTACGCATTCAATTGCCCCTCCCCATTTGCTGCCATCAATGAGGCAGATTTACATCCATTCATCAATAATGGAAAAATAAAATTTTAACGGCGCTTGGACACAAAAAAAGAAATTTAGACAACAACAACAACAAAAAAAAAAATCTCACTCGTTGGCGCTTCCGCTTTAGGACCGAAATTTTTCACAGTGAAGGGAAAGGTCGACGAGTCGGACACCGACGACGAATATAAAGAAGGTCAAAAATATCAAACCCACATTTTTTTTTATAAAAATAAAATTTTTAGTTCTTTCTCTTAAGGGTTTCTCCTCCGTTTCAACAACACTCTTCTGTTCCTCGCATTTTAGCATTCCGGTTGTTAATTACTACCAATCGAAATTACGTTTTCTGATATCCACCGAGTCCGGAAACACTCACAATCTACCATAAGAAAACTATTCATCCTGCTTATTTAAGATTCGTTTGTCTACAAGTTACTAGTTATCATGTCCACTGAAATAAAAGCTAGAGAAATTTTTAATCAGTTTGCAACAGCTGGTACAAATGCTGATGAAAAAATTTTGACTTTACCTGACTTTGTCAACATTTTATCCCCATTCCAAACCGATGTTCCAAAGCAAACCTTTTCTTTGTTATACTTGGTTGCAGACACTGAAAAGAAGGGTTATTTGACTGAAAATAATTGGTTAGATTTTATCCAAACAATCACTTCTACTGATGGTGATTTTAAGATCTTGTACAAGTTCCTTTCGCAATCTAGTGATACAAAGTCAAAAATCACCTATAATGAATGTGTTGACATTTTAAACAAAATCAATACCTCCATAGATCCAAAATATCAACAAAAATTGATGAAAATGAACTGGTCATATTTTCCAAGGTTTTTCGAACCAAGCGGATCTATAGAGTACAACGACTTTGTTACTTTAATTAGTTTCTTGCCAGTGACAAAATTGATTGGTAACTTTGAGGTTATTGCCTCAAAGAAAAAGACCATTACTGGTGACCAATTAATTGATTTGTTAACAACCACTTTAAATCATAAAATTTCAAATAAATTAAAGGCTAATTTGAGTCATGTGACTGAATTTTTTGGTAACAAGAAGGAATTCACTTTGGCCAATTTGTTGTTTATTTACGATAGTATTACCAAAGTTGACTTGATTAATGAAGTTATTGTTAATACTCCACCAACCACTCAAGATAAGGATGATATTCATATCAACAAAAAAGATTTGTACGCCCATTTGAACGACCCATTATTAAAATCTTCTAATTTCAAACCTATTTCTACCCGAGAAATCGATTTATTGTTTTATTTAATTAATAAGGAAAATGATGACAATATTTCTCGTAAGGAAATGGTCTCATTCTTAAACCCAAATGTTAACAACAACTTGGCTTCATTACCAAAGATTTTTGAACATCCACAATCTCGTCATTCAATTCGTGAGACTGATAATTTTTCATTATGGCCAATTTATGATTCCTTGTATTCATTCTTTTTAGGATCAATCGCAGGGTGTATTGGTGCAACTGTGGTTTATCCTATTGATTTGGTTAAAACAAGAATGCAAGCTCAAAAGCACAAAGCATTATATGACAATTCTATCGATTGTTTCAAGAAAATTATTAAAAATGAAGGGTTTAGAGGTTTGTACTCGGGTTTAGGTGCTCAATTAGTTGGTGTTGCTCCTGAAAAGGCTATCAAGTTAACTGTTAATGATTTGGTTCGTAAAATTGGTACTAAGGAAGATGGTTCTATTGAAATGAAGTGGGAAATTTTGGCTGGTATGTCTGCTGGTGCTTGTCAAGTTATTTTCACCAATCCTTTGGAAATTGTCAAGATCAGATTGCAAATGCAAGGTAATACAAAGATTTTAACTCATCCAGGAGAAATTCCTCACAAGCATTTAAATGCTTCCCAAATCGTTAGACAATTGGGTTTGAAAGGGTTGTATAAAGGGGCCAGTGCATGTTTGTTGAGAGATGTTCCCTTCTCGGCTATTTATTTCCCAGTTTATGCTAATTTAAAGAAGCATTTGTTTGGATTTGACCCACAAGATTCTACCAAGAAGAAAAAACTTTCCAGTTGGCAATTATTAATTGCTGGTGCCATGGCTGGTGCACCATCTGCATTCTTCACTACCCCGGCTGATGTTATTAAGACAAGATTACAAGTTGCTGCAAAATCAACTGATGTTAAATATAGAGGTATTTTAGATTGTGGTGCTACAATCTTGAAGGAAGAAGGTTTCAGTGCTTTCTTTAAAGGTTCTTTGGCTCGTGTTTTCAGATCATCCCCACAATTTGGTTTCACCTTAGCTTCTTATGAATTATTACAAAGCTTATTCCCATTAACTCCTCCAGTTACTAGAACTTCTAACTTCAAGGCGATTAGTGGATATCCTGGTGTTTACAACTTAACCAATGATCAAGTTTATAATTCCCAAGAGAAGAACGATAGAATAATCTATATGAACAAATCTGAAATTTGTCCAAACACACAAAATGATGCATTAGTTAAGTTGCCTGCTGAATATGTTTACAAGGCACGTGATACTATAAAATTATTGTTGGATATGGATCATAAGTTTGGTAATTTCAGTTACGATTCTTACTTAAATTATATCCAAAAGAAATAATAGAGAAAATTATTATGTAATGACTTTTTTATCCTAGATTTTTGTATATGCTATTAATAAAATTATAGATTCATTTAGTATTTATTGACTCATGTAAACTGTGAAGAAATGTGTAGAACAAAAGCAGGGACTTTGATGAATAGGTAAGGGGCATTGGAGGGGCGTGCCCTTGCTGTAAAGCAAGGATACAGTACCAAAAATTTTTAAAGTAGAAATTGCATGACCATTGGATATATAAATGAATGCACGCAATTTAGTAGCGGCAGTTGCATAAAAAAAAGTAATCGGAGTTATATCAAGAACTCCATGTAAATGACGTTTGACGAAGCTTTCTTTTTTTTGTTTTTCCTTTTTTTTTTTAGAAATATTTTCTATAATTAATAGTATTTTTTTTAATCTCGAATGGTCACGCAGAAAAAACAATGACGTCGTTAATCGTTTTATTAATTCAACTTTTGGGTTCTACTGCGGAATTAGCATGATACCGATGACTTCAACTCATTGAAGTGGCATCTGCATGAACAGTTATGTCAATCAAATTGGTGGTTTTGAGGTTCAGCTTGCAAAATAATCTTCTGATTTATTTGATGTTATCATGATTGCTCCGTTCCCCACCCACAACTCAGGATCTAAAGCTGACAGTGACTAAGATCCTAGTCAGATTGGATAATCCAACTTAATAGGATTTAGAATTTAGTAAAATGAATGCTTTAATCTTCGAACACTTTGTAATAACCGGATTTATCCCAATCCCAGCCTCATGCCATAATGTCAAGGCTGTACTATAAATATTTTTTTATTCAAATACAGAAATCTTCTAGAACTATTTTTTTTTGGCCAAGAATTAGATTAAAAAATACAGATTGATCTTTTTTTTTTTGATGTTTCTGGATATATATTTTCTAAATGCATATTGAATTATTCACCCCCACCGGTGCTTGGATTTAAATGAATCCCTCTTTGGCTTGGCATCACATCTGAGATACTTTGAATTAAACCAGCAATTTGTAGCTCGAAAACTTATAATAATGAATATGAGATGGTGATATTACTTTATTGTATTTAAAAAAAGCCTCATTAAATGGTTGTTTTTCCGTGAGGCGTTATCATGAGTTAAACTAAGACCATTACAAATTTTAAGCCTCATAATTATTCTGTTCTAGTTTTGGGGTCATTTCTAATTTGTTTCTTTTTTTGCCTGTTCCTAATCGACTGATGTTTTAAATTATTCTGTAAAATATGTCAATGTACAATGAAGCCATTTCTTAGATTCGAATATTTTTATCTTGATTTAGATCACGGAATCATTCCGCGGAAATTGCCGTATAACTAGTTTTAATACATTATGCATGGTAATGACGTTTGAAATAATAAACTTCAAAATGAGTGGTTATTTGCAACCAGGCGTGATCAGAAACAATTATGCACCATATTATCATTATCTCTGCGACAATTATGATCATTTGATTCATTATTTCTAATCTATAAGTATCTTCATTTGCTTCCCATTCTTTGAAATTACTGCTTTCTCGCTTTCTCACTATATTAACATTTTTTTACAGCAAAATCTACTATACAATGCTACTAAATTATTTGCTTTGCTATATACTACTACAGTTTCTGGGTGTCCATGCGGCCGACTGGATCATTGGACCTATACTACCTGGAGGCATTCACAAACCTTCAGCCACTATAGAATGGTTGCCTTCGACCCCTTATACAACTATACCTTGTCCTACTCCTACTCAGTGGTCTAAATTTTCATGTACTCCAGCCGAAAAGCGCTCCGAGGATGACGAATATGCTTCTCTGGACGACGAATACCCTCCCGTTGTCACCTTTGAATTCAAGAACATTGCAAAGGTTGTTGATTATTACGATGTGTATGAGGTAGTGCTTGAATTTGAAATTGACGCTTCCATGCATGCTAATGATAAGTTGTCAGGTATTACCTTTTATTATCTCTGGACTCCTGAAGACTACCTTCCCGAAGAGCAACATGTTTCTTCAGACCTTATACAATCGGATGATTTCAATCCTTACCACTTCTTTGTTAAGTGGTTAATGAGAGCTCTGATGTACAACGATATACAGCATACAAGTTCTTTTACTATTGGTTATGACTGGGTTATAGAGGATGATGAGACATTACCTATAGATGTAAAGAAGCGAAATTATGAGGTATCTGCTTACTATTCTCATGATTGTGACTCTAACTATTCTCCTCTCCAACAGTGGGCGTCTGCACAATGTGATCTATATGAACTGGATGATGAGGATGAATCCGCTTCCCAAATTGAAACAGAAGATGTTAGTGCAATAGAACCTTCCGATGCAACTGCAGTTGGAACTTCTGTTGAAACTGAGTTTGAATCTTCTGATGCAACTGAAGTTGAAACTACTCGTGAAGCTTCTGAACCCTCCACCATTGATTGGCGTCCTGAGGATTCGTATGAAACAGAAGAATGTCCTACTATTTGGGAAGACGGGTGTCCAGCAGGAGATGACTATTATAGACCCGAGTGGGCTCCTGAAATTGACATTTTTGAATACATTTACATTCGTCATATTGTTGGTACTGCTAGTTTGTATGAAGTGATGGTTGAATTTAAACTCGATACCAGCTCACTCCCAGACAACGAGTTACTAGCTATGTACTTCAGGTATTTAAATGAACGTGATGAATACAATCCAGAATATGAGGTTGACCTTGCAAACTTCCTTATGGAAGACCATACTTATATTCGATCCTCATCACCTTATCACTTTTATTTCAAATGGGTTATGAATGCTGTGAATAATGGCAATCGAGTATGTACCGATCCTTTCAGATTTGAATATCAGTGGAGACATGTCTATACACCCGTTAATAAGCGAGCTGCCCCTGTGGCCGTTGATATTGCAAACTATTATCATCAATGTGAACAGGATTATCCTATCCAATGTTGGGTTCCTACGTGTGGTGATATTAGTATTACATCTGAAGTGGAATCTTCTGAAATTGAATCACTTGAACCAGAAAGCACTGAAATTGAAAGTACTGAAATTGAATCACTTGAACCAGAAACCACTGAGGTAGAACCATCAGAAATTGAATCACCTGAACCAGAAACTACTGAAATTGAATCATCTGAAGTGGAATCACCTGAACCAGAAACCACTGAGGTAGAACCATCTGAGATGGAAACCACTGAAATTGAAAGTACTGAACTTGAAAGTACTGAAATGGAATCATCTCAAATTGAAACTACCGAACCAGAAATTACAGCTCTTCCAGCTACATTAGAGTTACCAAATGAACTGTTGCCAACCGCAAACACTGATTGTCCAACGACTTGGTCAGATTACTGTTCTGTTCCTCCAGTCCAAACTGGTGGTTTTGGTCCAACTATGGAAAAGTTTGAATTCATTGAAATTAACCTGATTGTTGATGACTACTATGAAGTATTGGTGGAAATAGAAATCAACCCTTCTGTATTCCCAGTTGCTAATTTAGAATATATTTCCTTAAAGGATCTTACTACTGCCGGTGATTACCTTACAAACCCATACCTTATTTATGATTGGTCGACTGATGAAAATGTCCTTGCTGATTCACCATACCATTTCTTTGTTCGTTGGGCTATGCAAACTCAGATGCTCAATGGCCAAGTTTGTACAACACCATTCCTGATTGAATTTAGTTGGAAAGATGGTTCAAGACCGGCTCAAGCTAGATCGGCAGCCAGTATCAAGGCTAGTTTCATCCATGATTGTAACAGTAATGATCCTCATGATTATCCACTTCAATGTTGGGCTCCTGAATGTAATGATGCTGAACCTTCGACTATTGAAACTTTACCCGAAGGAACTGGTGAACCCACTGAATGTCCAACCCATTTTGAACCTGTTTATAGTTGTGATTACCAATTTGGGTTAAGCAGCTTACAAAATGATGAATTCCCAGCCTTGAATACCTTTAACTTTGAATATATTAAGATGGTAGACGATGATTTATATGAGGTAATGGTTGAATTTGAAATTGATCCAAACAAGTATCCTATGAGAACAATCGACCTGATTGTTGTTGAAGGTCTCAACACCCGTGATTCATATGTCAGCGATCCTCTTGTTCTTTTCCAGAGAGATAATACAGACAAGGTTGGCGATTCGCCTTATCACTTCTTTGTTAACTGGGTCATGAGGACTCAGAATATAAACAACTTGGCATGCACTACTCCATTTAAAGTGGTGTATAGCTGGGATAACTCTGTTGTTGCTCCTTATGGTCATGGATGTCCTGGTGATAACGGTGGTGTTTATGACTATCCAATGCAATGCTGGCTGAATGATTGTAGTGAAGATCCTGAACCTGTCACTATTAATCCAGATAGACCAGAATTACCAGAACCTACCAGTTGTCCTTCTCATATTTCTTCAGATGCCATGTGTGTAGTTGATGATGTTGGTCAAGCCTCACGTGATAATGGTTATCCAATGGTACAAAGATTTGATGTCCAAAGTATATTTTACGTTGATGAAGATTTGTATGAAGTAACTATTGAGTTCCAGATCGACAGTACTGCTCATCCAAAATGGGATTTGGAATCGGTTTATATTACTGGTCTTGATTCCGCTTACGATTATCTCAACGAACTTGAAATTTACCGTCAGGGTGCAGTCGAAAACCTTGCTGGAGACTCACCATACCATTTCTACTTTGTGTGGGTAATGAGAACACAAATCTGGGATCTGTATACATGTACCACACCATTCAGAATTCAATACAATTGGGGTGAAGGTTCTGCCACTTATCAACACGGTTGTGACAACGGTGGTTATGGAATGGACTCTCCTCTTCATTGTTGGCAAGATATTTGTGCCGAGGTACCTGTACCTGAAACCATTATTCCAGAAAGACCTCCATTACCTTCTGCATCAGCATGCCCAGAACAATGGGATGGTGATAAATGGTGTCCTTCGGTCCAGGGAGAACGTTCCTCGCTGTATGGATTCCCAGAACTACAAAGTTTTGAATTCCATTCTATTAGACACATCGATGAAGACTTGTATGAGGTGTTGATTGAATTTGAAATTGATAGAGCAGTTCATCCAAAGCGTGAATTGCAATCAATTGAAATCTCATTCCTTGAAACACCCCAAAACTACCTCGATACACTAGTGATTTACAACCGTGATTACGACATTAATCTTGCTGGAAATTCACCATACCATTTCTACTTTAGTTGGGTAATGAAAAGTCAATATTTGGAAAGATACACCTGTACTACTCCTTTTGTCATTTCATACAATTGGGATTCTGCCTCTGCAGAATATGGACATGGCTGTCGTAACACTTATCCATTATATGAGCTATTAACTGACTCCCCGCTTCAATGTTGGGAAGATGAATGTAACCAGGAACCTGAAGGTGAACCATCTACCATCATATCAACAAAGGATGATATGCCAACTCCAATAGCATGTCCTGAATCAAGTGGTCATTATGAGTGTGATTTTGATGTTGGCCAATATTCTAGAGAACAAGATTATCCAACTATTTTGAAGTTTGATTTTGTTTCCATTGAAAATGTTGGTGAAGATGATTATGAGGTAATGATTGAGGTTGAGATTGAAAAAACCATTCCAAAACGTTTGTTACAAATCATTTCCATAAACCACATAATGACACCTGGTACGTACATAGATGGTGTTCTATTGTATCACAGAGGCTATGAAATAGATCTCACAGGTGATTCGCCATATCATTTCTTCTTCAAGTGGACAATGTCGGCTGATTATTATTCTGGTTCCCGCACTTGTACCTCACCATTTTATATTTCATACCAATGGGATTACAATTATGCTGACTATCGTCATGGATGCAATTATGCAGATTCACCTCTTGTATGTTGGGATGAAATATGTAATGAAGAACCAACTGGAGAGCCATCCACTATAACATCCACAATACCAGATTTACCAGAGCCAACTGAATGTCCTGACAACTTTGACGAGCTATATTGCTCACACCCATTTGGACAAAATTCTGACCGTTATAATCTTGGATTACAGACCTTCAATTTCATTTACATTAAACTGATACAAGACAACTTATATGAAGTGATGCTTGAATTTGAAATAGATGGTTCATTGGCACCAAGACGTGATCTTCAGAAGATATACGTTCTGGGACTAGGAGTCTTTGATGATGTAGTACTTTATAACTACAACAACGATCTTGTTGGTGATTCACCATATCACTTTTACTTGGTATTTACTATGCCATCTCAAAGTATAATGTCATATACATGTACAAGCCCATTCGAAGTACAATATGAATGGTCAAATACTGGTGCCACTTATGGACATGGATGCAGTTACTACGATGATTATCCACTTCAATGTTGGGAAGATATTTGTATACCACAATCAACTGAACCTGACCCTGATCCAGAACCTACACCTGATCCTGATCCAGAACCTACACCTGATCCTGATCCAGAACCTACACCTGATCCAGATCCAGAACCTTCTACTGAACCTGATCCAGAACCTTCTACTGAACCTGAACCTGAACCTTCTACGGAACCTGATCCAGAACCAACACCTGATCCTGATCCTGAACTTACTACTGAAGATCCAGTTCCTCCAATAACAAGAGATCCAATGGATCCAGGTGAGGATGAATCGACCGCCTCAGCTCCTGATGAACCAACCCAAGATCCTGAACCAACCCAAGATCCTGAACCAACCGAAGATCCTGAACCAACCCAAGATCCTGAACCAACCCAAGATCCTGAACCAACCCAAGATCCTGAACCAACCGAAGATCCTGAACCAACCCAAGATCCTGAACCAACCCAAGATCCTGAACCAACCGAAGATCCTGAACCAACCGAAGATCCTGAACCAACCCAAGATCCTGAACCAACCGAAGATCCTGAACCAACCGAAGATCCTGAACCAACCCAAGATCCTGAACCTACTGAATTACCTACTGAATTACCTACCGAGGAACCTACTGAATTACCTACTGAATTACCTACTGAATTACCTACCGAGGAACCAACTGAAGTGCCAACTGAAGTTCCAACTCAAGATCCTGAACCAACTGAATTACCAACTGAATTACCAACTCAAGATCCTGAACCAACTGATGAACCTACTGAATTACCTACCGAGGAACCAACTGAAGTGCCAACTGAAGTTCCAACTCAAGATCCTGAACCAACTGAATTGCCAACTGAATTACCAACTCAAGATCCTGAACCTACTGAATTACCAACTGAATTACCAACTCAAGATCCTGAACCAACTGATGAACCTACTGAATTACCAACCCAAGATCCTGAACCAACTGGAGTCCCAACTGAAGATCCTGAACCTACTGAATTACCAACTCAAGATCCTGAACCTACTGAACCTGTTACTGAAGATACTACTGTTCCACCTACAGAACAACCAACCGGACCAGAAGAAACTACTGGCCCACTCACTGAAGAAGTTACTGAAACTGAAACAACTGTTCCATCACCTCCTCCACCTCCTCCACCTCCACCACCACCTGTAAATAGTACTGTAACTGAAAGGACTACCAACACTAATGTGGAACCAACTACAACTAGAACTTTCACTGAAACTGTTACCTACGTTACTGTTGATCCAAGCAATCCAGATGAATCTACAACTTTGACTTTGACAGTGACAACTACTTCTGTTGGTCCACCTCCAGTTGTAGTTACTACTACAGTTTCAAGTCCAGATACTACCTATGTGACAACTATCACTGAACCATACAACCCACCAGTAGTTACTTCCACAGTTTCAAGACCAGACACTACCTATGTGACAACTATCACTGAACCATACAACCCACCAGTAGTTACTTCCACAGTAACTAGACCAGACACTACTTATGTTACTACTATTACTGAACCATATAACCCACCTGTCACAGTTACTGTTTCAAACCCTGATACTACTTATGTCACCACCGTCACTAACCCATACTATCCACCACCTACTGTCACTACAATTGTAAACTCTGACACCACCTATGTTGTCACAGTTACTCCACCATATGTTCCACCAGGTGTTGTTACTACAATTACAAACCCATACACTAGTTATGTCACCACTGGACCATACAACCCACCAGGTGTGGTTACTACAATTGTATATCCTGACACTACTTTAGTAACTACAGTTACAGGACCATTCGTTCCTCCACCATTTGTTACTACAGTTACTGGTGCTAACACTGTCTATGTTACCACAGTTACTTATCCTACAGTTTACCCACCAGTCCCAACCGGTTCTCAACCAGGGGGAACTACTCCAGGAAATGTTAACCCTGAACAAGAAGAAGAACTTGAAATTCCATATCCAGGTAATCCAAGTGATCCATCCAATCCTAATGTTCCAGGTGGTAATCCAAATGATCCTTCTAACCCTAACGTTCCAGGTGGTAATCCAAATGATCCATCCAATCCTAATGTTCCAGGTGGTAATCCAAATGATCCATTCAATCCTAATGTTCCAGGTGGTAACCCAAGTGATCCATCTAATCCTAGTGTTCCCGCTAACCCTAACTACCCAGGTGTTGTTCCAGAACAAGAAGAAGAACTCCAAGTTCAATACCCAGGTGGCAATCCTAATGTTCCAGGTGGTAATCCAAGTGATCCTTCCAACCCTAATGATCCTTCCAACCCTAATTATCCAGGTGTTACTCCAGAGCAAGAAGAAGAGCTTCAAGTGCAATACCCTGGTGGAGGTTCCAATACTCCAGCTAATCCTGATGGCCCAGCCGGTAATCCAAACACCCCAGCTAATCCAAATGATCCAGCTGGTAATGGAAACACTCAACCTGGCATCAATCCAGATCAAGAAGAAGAACTCCAAGTTCCATCTGCTGGTGGTAATCCAAACGCCCCAGTCAACCCTAATGATCCTTCCGGTAATCCAAACAGTTCTTCCGGTAATCCAAATAGTCCTGCTGGTAATCCAAATAGTTCTTCCGGTAATTCCAATGATCCTTCCTTGGAACAAGATCAAGAAGAACTCCTCCAAGATCCTAACGTGTTTACATACACTAGTGCTGTTCCAACCACCTTTGTATCTGATGGACAAACCTATCAAACCGTGGTTCCTGTCGTGTACACTACTGCTGTTCCTGATGATGGTGTTCCTGAAGTTATGGTTTCACCTAACAGTAATCCAGCATCAGGTGGTTTCGATAATAATCTTGAACCAGATCTTGAAGAATTACTTGAAGACTATGAAGGTTCTGCCTCGGGTATTAACTCTAATGTCTTTATGTTATGTTTATGTTTGATTTCTACTATGATGTTTGTTTAAATAGTTTGATTCTATGTGTATTATAATCAAATTTATGTTTATTTATAAAATTGTACCTAATGGAGAGAGATAAAAGGCTAACTTATGTAGTATAGCCTCGTTTGAAGCGTTTACATTTGTAATCGACATGATCAAGGTAATTGGTACAGCTCAAATATAGTAGTATAATCTTCCTGATTATAGAAAGTCAATCCAATTCTTAGTCTTGTTGTGGGACTAATCATTTCAACCATACCTGATAATCGAAAATCTTTGAAATAGCCACATTTTGAAAAATTAAACACAATATCAAAGCAATTCTTGTTATTTTCACTTCTATTTAAGTTGATCATATGAAACTTGTTTCCTTCATTATATATCAAATGATTTTGAATAATTTCAATTTGTTGACAAGTGTCATTCTTGTGATCATATTTGGTGATAAGATGTTTCATGGAGTTATTCCAGTAATATATTTCATCACGAGATATAACTAAAAGTAAATCAGGTCTTAATGCAAATATTTTCCTTAGACCAAGCAACTTTTTTGGAGTGATACTTGGTAGTGATGAACTTCCAAACAAGGGGAGATCAGAATCAAGTTTGAATAGTGATTCTCCCATGCTTACGTATAACTTATCCTCACAAGGATGGATTTGTCCAATGTGACTATTACTGTTGAGTTTCGTATAATACAAATTGGTAAACTTAATTTCTGGATCTTTAGTGAATGTAATTTTGATAATATGACCACCGACTCCTACTAAGTATAATGAATCGTGATGAAAACAACCAGCAATCAAATGACGTTGATTTGCTAGTCTATTATCTTCATTATACGTTATTCTCCAGCCATTATTACTCATTTTCAGGTTTATAAATTGGTCAATATCAGCCTGAATCTTTGATTTCCTAGCTGGGGAAATATCCAGTTGTAGTTCTAATAATTTACTATTTATTTCTTGAATAGATTTAGATTTATAGTCAGACTTGCAAAGTAAATTAATTCCAAATAATTCATTGATAATTTTCTTCATTGGAGTGCCAACCTTTTTGGTCTGTTCCTGGATAAATAGTAGCAAATCTTCGGTATAATCATGAAAATCTATTCCTTCACACCTATTAAACTTTATGAATGAACCAGTGGCATTTTCTAGTGTTATTACTTGTAACAAATTTGCGTGGGAACACCCTGGTTTTATATCATGGATAACAAAATCTTGGTCTATGTATACTTGGTTTCTATGCAAATAGTCAACAAGGTTACCATTGCGAAACTTCCAGTGTTCTGGAATATTGTAAACTACTCCAGTTGTTTTATTGTGAAGGGCAAGGTATTTCGGTACTTGGATTATTCGAGAACGTTTGATAACGGGAATATTTATTCGATGAACCACAACCAAATCTTGTGTCAATTGGCCAAGTATTTCACCTCGGGGAACGATTTCAGGAATAAACTTTGGTGTGTTTAATGCTTCAATTTGATCATGTTTGTAATAATGGGAAGTTAGGCTGATTTCTCCTGATCTTATATATAGTAATCCATCGATGTCAAATGCAGATGGTATCAAAGTTGGTTTTAATATCTTAGCTTTCCTTTCAGATGATATGTTCTTTAAGAACGGATTACTTATAATCTGATAATTTTTATGCTTAGACGCTCCTTTCGATTTGGAGATATTGTGGCTTCTTCTTTCACTCTGGATTGCATTATTGTGATATCGCTTGGTGCTGTCAACTGACGTTGCTCCGTTGACTATTTTGAAGTACTTATTCTTCTCATAATCATAGTAGTATCCTGGTATCTGGCGAATAGACGACATGTGAGTTTATACTTTGTTGTATTCAGTGTATGCCATCTCACATCACTTGGAGGGGGGTTGACATGATGGTAATTTTTTTTCTTTTTTGGTTGCTACTTTTTTATATTCCCATGTGGTTGTCTGGTACCTATATAATATATTACACTACTTTATACAATGGATTTACACTAGCGATAGCTCTCATTTAAATGTATATCTACTCGAGGTCAAAATCATATTCTTCATTATTTGCCGATTCAATCTTGTTATAACTTTGTTCCGTTTGTTTCCTCATGATTAACTCTTCAAATCCATTTGATCGATCAATGCCATCCCAAAAATATCCTGGTGGTATATCAAATCTATTCACAGTGGTTTTAGTACCCTGGTATACATATTTGCTCACACTTGTATCTTCTTGTTCTTGTTTGTACGACAACATTGGATCTTCAAAATTGGAGGTTTTTGGTTTGAATATTTCTTGTTCTTGTCGTTGTAACTCTTTTGAGTCTGTTCGTAGTATAGTCACCTCTGGTTTCTGTTTACTTGCTTCATATTCGTGCTTTTTCTGGTTAATGTCGATAATTCGGCCTGATGAGTCTCTATATATAGTAGCTTGTTGTTGTGGTAGTGGTGCTGATGGTTGGTGTTGTTGTTGTACTTGCGCTTGTTTTGTTACTGTCTTTCCGTCATCAATTCTCTTAAATCCTTTGTTTGGTGTTACTTTAGCAGTAACTTTAACTGGAGCATCTTCGTGCTCCTCTTGTTCTTGTTCTTGTTCTTGTGCTAGTAATTCTTCGTTTGGTTGGTCATAATTTGTTTTCTCAATTATTATATTGCTTGACGGTACTGTTCTCTTCTTTTTGTGTTTCTTCTTGTGTGTCTCCTTGGCTGGCTCCTTTGCTGCAAGGTATTTCGACAAGTAATCTGCTTTTGACATGGTTACTGATGCATCCAACAGGAGTATAAGAATTATTTATTTTTCTTCAGTTGTACATTTACAATGCGCGATGATGCGCATACACACTATTTAGTTATTCTATTTACTTGATTATGCAATTGGGCTAAAGTCTCACATAATTCCATAAACAACCCGTATTGAGCTTTAATAACATCAACAATATTAAACAAATTACCAAATCCTTCATTACAACTTTTCTCTAACCCACTTAAAATTGTATCTAATTCACTCACCATCTTTTCATACAGAGTCAATATTTCATGATACTTTTTGATCTTCTTGATGAAAAATTCATTCAATTGAAACGAACTTGACAATTTCGTTCCTGGTGTACTTAATTGCAATATTAAATGCATAATGTTATTAATATCCTCGGTTAACTCATTGTTCAACTCCTTTAGTTGAAGTAATTGGTTTGAATCGAATTTAAGTGCTTGTTTAGTCGATAAAAGCTTGTTTTGTAAATAATTTATATCCTTTGGTATCGAGTTTATCAAATTGTCGTGTTTAGAGTAGTCGGAATTTAATGTGGTGGCAATCAAATGTTGTGTGTTTATATATTTATCAAATTGTTCCAATTCAGATTTGATATTGGTAGGAAGGTCACCTACACGCGTCATGGCTGTTAATTGAAGTTGCTGTGCTTGTGCTTGTGGTTGCTGTTGCTGCTGCTGTTGCTGCTGTTGTCCGAATAAGCCACCGGTAGTGCTGCTACCACCAAATAATCCACCAGAAGTAGTGCTACTTTGTTGTGGTTGGGACAGCCCAAACAATCCTCCACTTGTAGCAGTAGACGGTTGAGATTGTCCAAATAACCCACCGCTAGGCTTGTTACCAAACAATCCACCACTAGCAGTTGATTGTTGTTGCCCACCAAATAACCCCCCTGTAGAAGCAGGTTGGTTTGTTTGTGTCTGTCCAAACAAACCTCCAGTGGAAGCAGGTTGTTGTTGCTGTTGTTGTGGTTGACCGAATAACCCAGTTCCTGAAGTGGTACCACTAGATTGATTTTGTCCAAATAATCCGGTACTTGGTTGGTTTTGTTGTTGTTGTTGTTGTTGTCCAAATAATCCACCAGTAGTACCAGATTGTTGTTGATTCAGTTGGCCAAACAACCCACCAGTAGTACCTGATTGTTGTGGTTGATTCAGTCCAAACAACCCACCAGTAGTATTTCCAGTGCTAGGCTGTTGTTGTTGGCCAAACATACCGGTAGTTGTCGTTGCAGGTTTACTGCCAAATAATCCTCCTCCTTGTTGTGATTGTGGCTGGTTTGATGCACCGAAAAGACCAGCTGAACCAGCTGGTTTGGAACCAAATCCTGTGTTGGTGTTAGCAGAAGATGATCCAAATCCACCAAAACCAGTGGATGTGCTTGATTGTCCGAACATTTGTCCAATTGAGTGTTTACGATCTGGTGTTGCCAAAGGTTTTCCTCTTTTTCAATACCTTTTTTTTTCCTTTGATGAGTTTGTATTATTGAACTGTTGGCGAAAGGCAAACAATTGGAGTTAACTATGAAGAAAAGAGGGCAAGGATGATACGACATGAATTCAGTAACAAATTACTTGAGTTATTCCATGATGAGTTGTCAGAGTTAAGAAAACAAGATCAAGAAAAAATCCAAGCATTACAAGTGAAAATCAACAAGCTTACCCGTACTATAACTGAGAAAGATCAAGAAATTGCCCAGCTCAAGGCACAACTTAAACCGACTAGAAGACTCAGTGTTTCGTCGTTTATTAAACCTGACCATGATATAAGTCCTACAAAGGAGGAGGAATTTATTTCTCCAGCAAGGAAACCCCAATTCATGGTCTCAGACAGGTCCATTCTAGCCACTCAATATTCAGATGATGATGAAGAGGTAGACACGTCGTCTAAAAAGAAATCACCATTCAAAAGAAAATTGAGCTCTTCCCAAGGCTCAATTATTATAAGTCCTAGAAAATCAACCACTTCTTTAGGTCCCCCTGAAAAAATCCCACGACTAAATGCTACTTTCGAATTAGATGAATTCAGTCCAGTGAAACCCACCCAGTATTCTTCAAGTTCATCCCATTCTTCACAAGTTCATGAAGAAGTGGAAGATTCTGAAGATGAAGTTGTTGAGATTTTGCAATTTCCAATAATATCCATACCAAAGAACGTAACTACAATCTTACAAAAACGAAAATACTTGTTAAATTACTATACCGATAGGTTTCACAACGATATTGAATTCAAGATAAACTTAATTAGACATCCAATAAATGAGATAAATTGGGACTTTGCTGACTTTAAAGCAAACCCAAATTACAAGCAATCCAAATCGCTTATTCATAATCACAAGATAATCAACCAGAAACAATATAACAAAGTCAAAGCTTTCTACCAGGCAGCTAATATAAACAACGATGAATTCAATGACAGTTTTGAAGATAAACTTAGTCAGATATTTGATAAATTTGCATCTCCTCCTGGATTCATGAATAGTGAGTTTCCAGATACTCAGGAACAACAAGCAAGAAGAGAACTTTTAAAGAAAAGGCAAAATAAGAGATTAGCTAGAAGAATCAAAGAATGTACTAGTGTGGATAGAGGGAAACAAATAGGAGAGTTTATGTTTGTTGTTGATATACTTAACATGTATGTTGTTTCTGATAGGTGGTTTATCAAATAATAGTCGGATAAAGCTTCACTTTTAAGAATAACTATATATTCTAAACTCGTTTGTCCACATAGAGCTCTCCCATTGGAATCTGGTGTATGGAATTGTTATAATTCTTGTCTTGAAAGACCCCTAGAATCATATTTATATGCTATGAGATGTTGAATAGTATTACTCTTTGATTTAAAGAAGAGGCACCATGCCTTTAAAGATTAATTTAGATGGGGAGAATTCTATTTCTAACTGCTGAGAAAACAATATGCTAGTGATAATCTTAGTTTCATTTCAAATTGCATTATTTTTAGTTGTCCCCCACAACCAAAACCGATTTGAAGAAAAGGTACAACAATCATATGGCCAGAGATTAAATCCTGTCCGATGCTGGACCCGAAAATTCAGATTATATTGAACCAATTCTTATACCTGAACCTGTTCCTATACTTAAACCATTGGCAATTATGAAATTATCTCACATTATACTTTCATTAATATTCTCACATCTCAATCAAATAGAAGTATTGCAAGTTATGAGAACTCGTTCGAGATTCTATCAACTGGCAAAACAGAAGTTGTTCAAATATTGTCATGTATGTCATGAGCAGGAACTTGAAGTATCTGGTGATATTCAAACTTCTTTCCATATTAATTTTACCGTTATTGACAAGGTAAAACAGTTTGAAAACCCGACCAATGAACTCAAATTTAATTTTGTCAAAAAGATTGTATTCGCCCTGAACTTGGGCTTCAGTAGTTGTGTTAGCTGGTGTCATAATCTATTGTACTTGGACCCATCACTAATAATAACGATCGAAAATTCATATCGTAGCCATGAATGATTTTATTTATCTGGAGGCAAATCAGATTGATCAAATTCATCGGTTTGCTTTTTTGATAAGTCACTTATATTTTAAGAATGTAATTATGGTCCATTCCTAGGAGAATGATGTAACTATAACGTGTTTAAAAGCTATTTATATAGTTTCATCCACAGATTCGAATTTCTCATTTATATAGCTTGTGAAGAATGTTCACAAGCTTTCTTTTCCATATTTCTTTTCCAAGGTTCGTATCCTGGCTAGGACTCTAATGCAAGGTTGTTATAGCATTTAATTATAACTTTGTCTTCTTATTCATTTTAATATTTCTCTCTAAGTTTTCTTGTTCTTTATCATTGACATAGGGTATTACAAGGAAAAGAATTGAAATCCAACGTATATTTCAACTAGCAGGTGAGATTAGCTTTTTAAAGCAGTAGTATCCAAGTCCCAGTGTGATTATAGCAATGAAAAGGTTCTGCCAGCCCTTAAGCATTTCTATTATTTTCGGAACTTTAAACTATGGACTGAGTAAATGACTTTCGTAAATATTTTTTTTGAACCCTAGAGAAATTCAATTCTTATTTCATTGCAAAGTCAAGATCAGTTTCTAGAGCAATTGTATATATATTACCCTTGTGAAACCCCTTTCTTTTTAACAGTAAAGTTCTTAATGTTACAGCAAAAGAATTGATTCGGGGTCTCTTTATAAGTTTTTTAACGGTTCTATATATTTGGTAGTTGTATATTAACCATCTTTAAATCAACCACGTCCGGGTCTCAATTGGTGACTCTCAAGTTCTAAGAAGATAGCACTTTCAAAATGAGATTTGAATAATGTATGGATACAAACTGACTAATCAACATTCTTATAACATCGTTCAATAGCACGGTGTATGGTGTTCTCTAAATGTAAAGACCTGGCCAAATGTAGTTCTCTCTCTTTTACAAAAGAAGTACAAACATTCTCTTGCCTCGTACCCCATGTTACCAAGAGGATCTAATAGCTTCCGATCAAGGAACTTTTGAAATCAGTTTTCTTTGAGAGGTTAGAAAACTGATTTCTCGTTTCTGTTGGTATAAACTGTTTTCTAAACTGGTATCGTATGGTTTATGTGGTCTGGTTGTTTTATAGGTGCTTGTTCTAATATTATATAGCTTGAAAGGCATGACTTTTAGGATTATTTGAAAACCCCTGTTTAAGATACGCAAAAAATTGGCTGTAATTCTCTCATGTTTTAGTGATGACAATGATCCCACCTAGTTAGTAGTAATGGATATACCAACAGGTGTAATATGATGGAAATGGGGTCATTCTTAGTATTGGTAGGAATTTTAGATGATAAAGAAATGTTTTTTGTTAGTTTGATTTAGGAATTGCAAAATAACCACTTTTTCGCACCCAGTGCACCCAATACCATTTGAGAATTTTGTTGAGAATCCTATCTCTTCCGGGTAACATGCAACCTATTCCGACGTAACAGGTATAGGAGAAAAGAAGGGAACTTACTTATTATTAAGTTTACTAGATAAATGAATATAGTAACTATGTTAAACTAAAGGTTCCAAAGAATAGTCCTGGATTATAATCATACCATAGTGATCAAGACTGTTCTTAGGTTTACTTGATTAATGTCTAACAGCCCATGAAAGCGCCATATCCAATTTATATTAAACCATTTAAGAGTCACCTTCATTGAAATAAAGAGTTCCAAGGACTTTTGGTCAGTTGAAAAATGTTTATGAATTGATTTATAATTTAGCCCCAATTTCATTTTACGTCTCCAACCTTTGGAATATTTGACTCTTCATAAATCATATAGGTGGGTTGAATTCAACTGTCTACTATTAGTACATCTTGGTTACAAGGTATCAACTATGACCATATTCTAGAGAAACTTAAATTACTACTTAATCGTTGAATTTACGAACAATCTTTGGACTCTTGTACGAACTTTGTGTTTGTTTGACTCAAGTTTTACTAAACGAATACTGTCACTTATTTTTTTCTCTAGATATCCAAATATACTCCCTTAATAAGTTGTACACATGAACTAGAAGGTACTTGAAAGATCTATTCATGGAGCATGGTTTTACTCGTGCATATATTATAACGCCCTATTCTCCTTTAGTAAAATGATGAACTAAATAACCACTGATACTATAAAAGCCTCTCTCCCTCTCTCTCTCTCTTGATATCTTCTTCTCAGGGTTAGTAAGTCAATTGCAGGTTTTGTAGTAAAAAAAAAAAGGTGTAGTTTTCTACTGAGTTTAGAATAATGTCCGTAATATCATCACTTCCTTTAGGGGGCAATTGATAACAAAGAGTGGAGTCTAAGCCTGGTGATCAATTGAAAGGATATAGTCCCCTCAATAATTGCCACATACGAACACTACTTTGTGTTTGCCACTATCTTTTTATGTGTAGTTATTTGCAGTTGTATAAAGTCTAAATTTGGAATAATAATTACAAATTGTGAAATTTTACAGTTATTGCGCACAATTTCCAAATTGTGACCAGTAAATAAAATTGTACAGTGTGTTGCAGATGACAATTTCAAAAAATAATTCACAAGATACCACCGAGGGTGATTCTACCAATCATCGTGTGGCATGATCAAACTCACACAACCCTCGTTACGCTCGGGATTAACAGATTGAGCAAGTAAATGTATAATTTAAAGATAAATAGGTCGTAAGAAAATTAACTAATGATAGTAATCATAGCCCGAGTTGCAGTTTTTCTAAAATTGGATAGTAGTGGCACACACATGTGGAGAACTGAATTGAAGGGTGTTTGAAAAAAATGTCTATCCCAAAAAAAAAAAACCATATAATATATGGATATGTCGGCACAAGAAATTTTTACATGTTTTTACACGAACAAAAGCAGGCTGTTTTCTTTTTTTTTGGGAGGGGCAAGAGAAACAACAATAATAAACTTCAAATTTCTTGATTGTCATAATTAATCTACTCCCCTGATTGGACTATAATTTGTGACTCTTGTTTATCTGTAGTGTGTGTAGTATTGATTGCATATTCCCTTTCAATCGGTTACAACATTATATAATTTATGAAATAGGATGTTTTTGATAACCAACAAAAAAAAAAGTAAAAAATGCAAAACGCAAAACGGAAAACGGAAAAATTACAAAGCTCAAATTTGAAAGTCTAGACGAAGCTATCAGTTTCAAGTGTGCGTTTGAGCCATTCCTTATTTTGCTTGAGTAACCCGGGATGTTTGTTCGTAAGGGGGGAGTACTCCTTGAAAAGATTTAGTCATCACCACATCTACAATATGGTAATTACAAGTTACGAGTTGTTGTGCTTACAAGAACTTACAGCTTAGACAAAAAAAAAATACGGAATTTGTATTTATTATTTATTTTTTATGTATCAGCGCTGGTGACAAAAATCGGTTCTCGAATGATCATGGTCCAACTGAAAGATTTATGGCCATCAATCTTCATACAGCCTTCATGCTAGAAATTTCGGACAACTAACCCCAAAAAGTTGTGTATTCTGACCGTTAAGTATTTGTAAAACTACTGGAAACGACTACAAGTTGGCAGCATTTATGTAATTAATCATATAAATTAAATACAGATAATTGCTATTGTTCAAGCTTGTTTTTCTTTTATTTGGTTGCTTAGAAATATCCAAAGTTCTTCATCAATCGGTAAAATCAGCAAGTACAATAAGCATATATAAGTAATAACTATTAAACCTTAGTATTAGCTTCCTCCTTTTTCTATTGTTTTTTTTTTTCCTCAAAATAGAGCATGTAAAAAAAAATTTATCTAACTACAGTTTGTATCCAGACAGCAATTTTTACCTTTTTTTTTGTTTTTGTTTCATTATTGTGGACACACTTTGGAATTTAACCCCAAACCTACCATGTATTGCTCTGATTTATCATATTTGAATTTCTTGCTTCTATTCTAGCTCGTAAGGAATGTTATGAAATGCAACTTTTAACACTGATGTTCAATTTGTAGTCATCATATCCTCCCCGAAGTACTTTAATAATGGCACCTCTTGAAATCAGGATGCTAAACAATTGAATAGTAGAAAATATTTTTTAAACTTGTTTATAGAATAATAAAAAATTCTGATAAACGATGATTTCTAAAAAAAAAAGAATTGACACGGACCCACTGATTTATACACAGTAACAAAGTTTAAGGCACACAGACAGACAGACAAAAAAAATTATCTCTTACAAGAAAAATGAGAGAGGGTAACTTAGCAGGTAAAGGTTAGCTTTTACTATAAAAGTGAAAATAAAATTTAATTCTTTTCTGCTTTTTGTTCTCCCTTTTTCTTCACTTTCTCCCACCTACAACTCCAAAACTATTCCCAACTACTCTCCTACTACCAATCAAACTAGTTGATTCATCCTTTTGAAAGAGACTTTTTTTTTGGTAACATTCTCCCTCCCATCGGAAGTTGCTTTTGCTTGAGGTTGGCAATTCAATTGAGTATTCCAGTTATAGAGCAAATCTTTGGGTTTGGAATTGAAAAGGATTAAAAACAGAGTTTATATAAGCAAAGTCATACCATCCGGCTAATATATTGCTGTGTATATCACGGAAGTACTTTCACGTTGTCTGGTTTACCCGCTGCTTAAATTTTGATTCCCCAAATTTTTTTTTTTTTTGTATTGTTAACCAAAGAAGAAAAAAGAAAAAGGAACTTTCATCCCTAAGAAAAAGAGTGTTGTGGTGGATCTACTAATTTGGAAACTGAAACTTATTTAAACATCTGCAAGAAGTCATCCCTACAACCGAAGTAAGAAACACACATATTGATCCTTGCATAAGGATATCATTCATCCTTATTTATAATTGGCTGCAGTTTACAATCCCACTATCTCCTTCCTTAGAAATCACTTCCCCCTTCGCCTCACCCGATATGTCCCACAATCATAATATTTCCATAAATTCAATAACATCAATCATAGAACCAACTACTCCCCCAAACCTTTCTTCTCATCAACATACCCCAACTACATCATCCTGTTCTACTTCATCTGGAAATTTTCAAGCTCAAAAGTTATTTAGTAAGCCTGGTACTAAAACAAATATTTGGGATACTTCAAATAAATTGAATCATAATTTGAACTTACCAAGTTTTGCTATTGATAATGAAGTTTTGTCTACTCCGTTAATTATGCCTTCTGGTGGTGGTGCCGGTGGTGGTGCCGCCAAAGCTGGATCTATTTCATCTGCCACTACTACTACAAGCTCATCACAAACTTCACTTAGGAAATTGTCTGTTGATACTAATAACGTGTCTCAGCTGGCATTCGAAACTGGTCATTCTGATATGGTAGCTGCTGGTGGTAATAATAACTTGGTAGATTCTTTTAATGTTGCTTATGGTGTATCTAATGTTGGTGATAACAAAGAAAATATGATTTCTAAATTGACAATTAGTAGTGATGATGCTACTCCTTCATCGATGGTTTCTACCCCTCCAAGTTGTTCTACTCCATCAATCAAAATTCCTCAAAAGATTGATAAGGAATATCTTGCTTCAATCAACAAGTTACCATTAATTCAATTAAAACTGGAAATTTTGAAACTTTCCAAAGATCAATATGGGTGCCGGTTTTTACAAAAGAAGATTGATGAAAACTTAATTCCAAATTATCAAGTTAGACATGCCAATTTTGAGATTATTTTCAAGCAAATTTATCCTTATATGTATGATTTAATAATTGATCCATTTGGGAATTATTTGATTCAAAAATTGATTATTTATTGTAATGAGGCCAATTTGAACCTTTTATTGGAAATATTGCAAGAGAATTTGTTTCAAATTTCAATTAGTCAACATGGAACAAGAGCATTGCAAAAGATTATTGATAATTTGAATAATTCATATCAATTAGAATTGTTAATCAAAGGGTTGAAGCCATATATAATAGATTTGATTAAAGATTTGAATGGAAATCATGTTATTCAAAAGATTTTGAATAAGTATCAACCACAAGATTGTCAATTTATATATGATTCAATCATTGATGATTTATATATTGTTGCTACTCATAAACATGGATGTTGTGTTTTACAAAAGTGTCTCAATCATGTTACACCAGCACAGTTGCAACAATTTTCGGCGGCTATATTAAGATTTGATAATTTTAAATTGTTAATTAATGATCAATTTGGTAATTATGTTTTACAATATTTGATTTCCATCAACTCATTTGAAATGAATTATAAGATTTTTGAAAACTTTGTTCAATTTAATATTGGGAACTTGTGCAATTTGAAATTCAGTTCAAATGTCGTTGAAAAATTCTTAAAGAATTGCTTCAATAATGAAACCATGGATATGTCTTTTTCAAACTTAAAATTTGAATTAATCTATAATATTTTAATTAATGATTTGAATAAGTTGATTAATGATCCATATGGAAATTATGTTATTCAAACATTGATTGACATCTTGATTAATCCTCATGTTGACAACAATCAAGTTGAGAAATTATCTTTGGTTTTACCGGATAAGCAACAACAGCAATCCCATGAATTGGAACAGAATTCCTTGCAAATTATGATTATCAAGTACTGGTTTCAAAATTGCAAGATTGTTTCTAGCTTTGGTAAACGTATCCAGTCGAAGATTAATACGATTTTAAACAATAATTCTTCAACTACTACTTCTTCATCATCACCTGCCACCAATTTCCTTTTTTCACATCAACCAAACATGTTGAATAATAATAACAAAAAGAGTCAAATGAATGCCAATGGCGAATTTATTGTTAATGACTCATTTTATCTTCCTAAACAACAATCACTTGGTTTTAGAAGCAGCTCTTCACCAATTGGTATTATTGGTACAAATAACGAACAATCACCTGCTTACTTCAATGGTCATTCCCTTCAAAAGGTCAATAATATGCCACAATCCCATCAAAATAGAAATTTTTCATTGCCTACAAACTTGTATGCTAATATCCCTACTAATGTCAAAAATAATGGTAATATTAATAATGGTACTAATAATAATTGTAATGCTAATAATGTATCACCTCCAATTCAAGGTTCTACATTTAGACCCCCTTATCATCATGAATCTGCATCAAATACTCCTATTGGTATGAATCCACAATCAGGCTTTGCTCAAAATGATTATATGGTTAATGAATATTCATATGCCGGTCATCATCATAATCATGCGCAACAACAACAACAACAACCAATTATGTCATTGCAACATCAATCTCAACATATGGTTAAACAACCAATCCCATTGGATACCCATTATAATGCAAATCAACCCTCATATTATCCAAATCATAAAATGACAATGTCTGATTATTCTAACATTCCAAATGCATCCCAAGCCCAATCAGTACCTCACTATACCACAACCAATATTAATTATGGTAACTATACTCCACCACTTCCTCAAGGTATGACTGGACCCCCTGATCTTCACCAGTATTACAGTCAACCACAAATGTCTCAGCAACAACTTTCCCAAGGAAACCAAGGAAGTTTCCTTCCACCACCTCCACCACAGCAGCAACAACAACAACAACAACAACAACAACTACACCAACAGCAATATTATAATAACTTGCAAAATACAGTTGTAAATGGTCCTGTGCATGGTCATAGTCCTTCTTGGTCTTCTGGAAATGGGCCTTTGTTTGGTTCTATAACTCCAAAGTGGTAAACATTGGGTACTAATTGTGTTTGGTTTTTTTTTATCTGTTTTATTTACTTGTTTCAGTTTTTTTACAAGGTATAGTTTCTGCTTTTAACTATGCTGCTATATATTATACATTTATATCCCTGCTGGTTCTGAGAGAGTTTTGTCATTGGTTTCTTCACATTTCACATGAAAGATTATGAAGAATGTTTAAAAAACCCTTTGTTTTTAAAGAATATCGTTTGTATGTATATATGTTTTGTGTTATTATCATTATGTTCTGTTTGCTTTATTTGTTTAAATTATATAGTTATTAAATACGTTTTTAAATTAATGTTCATTTTCTTGCCGTCTCATTTCTTATCCGTCACTCCAAAAAAAAAAAAAATTTTTTTACCTTTCTCGTAAATGTAAACAGAATCATAAACAATTGTTGCTAAAAAAAATTAATCTGAATTTTTTTTTGCAGTTTTTTTCCTTTTACATTTTGCAATAATTCGTACCTGTCTAAAGCAGCCAACGCTTAGTATGTGTCCGGAAATGAAAGGTGTCGCACGATCACATTCCTGCATAATGTCGATCTTTTTCTTCGTTTGTTGTCATATGGTAGCTTATTTGATTTTTTTACATCTGCGAAAAAAAATTTCTTTGATCTAGCCGAGGATCGAACTCGGGGCCTTTTCGGTACTTACTGTGCATAACACTTGTAAACGAAACGTGATAGCCGCTACACCACTAAACCAATTTTCTAGAACTCGAATTTTGAAATTGCCAGGCGATTGTGACGAACATTGGTTTTATATTTTTAATGATTTTTGCCATCATTTTGGGCACATTCAAAGGTTTAAAGTAGTTTTATTGGTTTAATACATAGTTAATGAGCTTTTAAATTGTTTTCAACTGGTTTGGAGATGAAATGGTAGAAAATTGCCCGGTTTAAGTGTGTAATAGGACTATTTGTTATGGTGATTCTTTGGAAACGATTTTTAATTCAAGTTCTCAGAATACAATAACAAAACTTGCATAATATGGCTACAAGAACTATAACTGTAATTTATTGATGTTATTGGGGATTGTTTGAAGAAATTAAGCTGATTTATGAAGTTTTCAATTTTGTACAATATTTGTCAATATTTGCCCATATTTTATTAAATTTGATAAACTTTTTTTGGAGAATATCATACATAATTCAAAATCATTAAAAATAAAGATCTATTGAAACTCAACATTTACATCTTGGTTCTTTTCCTTAACATATATGAACTTCTGAAGCTCATTTAATCACCCAATGGTATAAAACTTTTGCAACTTTCCGGCTTAACTTTTTACTTCAGGTTTTTGTAGGTCGTGCACTTCCCAAAAAGACAACGAGAAAAAAATAACCACCCCGAATCTGAGATCACCAAAGAAATTCATATCTAGTTGCCCACACTACATCAAAGTTGCTTTGATATATCTACAAATACTGCTTACAAAATTCTTAATAGATTTCTGTTTCATAAATTGACTGAAAGGATGGAGAAATTTGGATTTCAAAAAGTTTCAAACAATCCTTCTCAACCTGGACAACCATCAATTACTCACAACATACGAATCCCTCATCCGCAAACTCCGCCAGCCCAAATGCAGCCATTACGTGAATCATTTAGAAAACAGTTAATGGTAGACAATGCACCAGGTAATGATGTTGTTGTTGCCAACTGTGTTGCTGTTAACCCTGCGGACTTTGCTCAAGTACCTGATCGTGCCCCAGTAATTTTGGATGGCAATTTTGTTTATTCAATTGCTAAAGATGAACGAACTAAACCAGGTACTATTGGTTTGGCAGGTAATATGAGAACCTGGGGGAAATGGTCTCTTGGACAACCTGTTACAATCGAGAATTATAATATTTTTCAAAATGGACAACAACAACAATATCTCGGTGCAGTTGACCTTTTTATTGATTTTAAATCTAGAAGCAGAGCCAATTCAAATCCAATAAATCATGATCAATTAGTTGATTTATTCTTAAAAAAGTATGAAAATCAAATTTTACAACCTACTCAAGTTATTTATATGGAATTTAATGGGGCATATTTTAGTGTTTTAGTAAATAGCGTTCAAGTGATTGATGTTAATACTAAAGATCATTTACCTAGTTTTAAGGATTCTGATGATTTATCCACCAAAGGTATTTTGCTTAAACTGACTGATGTCTTGTTCTATCCAGCAGAAGGATCCGTAATCAATTTGACAAAGAATAAATCATTAAAGTCTCGTATTTTTGGGGGATCGTCGAATGTTCACCATCGTCCTCACGCAAGAAAGCAAATTATCAATCCTGATTTTAAATTAGAAGATTTAGGTATTGGTGGGTTAGATGCCGAATTTCAAGATATTTTCAGACGTGCATTTAATTCAAGAATTTTACCTCCTGATATTGCTGAAAAATTGGACTATAAGCATTGTAAAGGTTTATTATTGTATGGACCTCCAGGTACTGGTAAAACTTTGATTGCTCGTAAATTATCCAAAATGCTTAATGGGAAAGAACCAAAGATTGTTAATGGTCCCGAAATGTTGAGCAAATATGTCGGTGCCTCGGAAGAAAATATCCGTAATTTGTTCAAAGATGCCGAAGCTGAATACAAGCAAAAGGGAGAAGACTCTGATTTACATGTGATTATTTTTGATGAATTGGATTCTGTTTTCAAGCAAAGAGGTTCTGCAAGATCAGATGGAACTGGAGTTGGTGATAATGTTGTTAACCAATTATTGTCAAAAATGGATGGTGTGGATCAGTTAAATAATATTTTGGTTATTGGTATGACTAACAGATTGGATTTGATTGATACCGCCTTATTAAGACCCGGTAGATTTGAAATTCAAATTGAAATTGCTCTTCCGGATGAAAAGGGTAGAAAAGATATTTTCTTAATTCATACTAAAAAATTACGTGAAAATGACATTTTAACTCCGGATGTTAATTTTGATGAATTGAGTATTTTAACTAAGAATTTCACTGGGGCTGAGATTGAAGGGTTATGTAATTCTGCAAAGTCATATGCAATTTCTCGTCATACCAAAAAAGGATCATTAGCCCAAATTGATCCGGAAACTATTGCAAACTTGAAAATCACCCGTAATGACTTCTTGTTGGCTTTGAATGATATTAGACCAGCATTCGGAACTGATGAGGAAGATTTATCACAACAAGCAAAGCATGGAATTATCCAATTCAACGAAGCTATTAGACATGTATTTGAAAAGGGTCAGTCTATAGTCGATGTTGTTAGATCCAGTGAAACAGAAACTTTAAGAAGTATTTTATTATATGGAGCAGCTGGTGTAGGTAAAACTGCTATTGCGACTACATTGGCATTAAATTCCGACTTCCCATTTATTAAGATGTTATCAGCGGAGACTTTGGTAGGAATGGGCGAAGCCCGTAAGATCCAAGAGATTGACACTGTGTTTAGAGATGTGCACAAGTCTCCTCTTAATGTTCTTGTTATTGACAAGATTGAAAATATCATCAATTATAATCCTATTGGTCCAAGATTCTCCAACGATATCTTGCAAGTTTTAATGGTTTATTTGACAAAGAAACCGCCCAAGGGAAGAAGATTGTTGATAATTGGTACTACCTCGCAATATTCGGTTTTCAAGCACATGAATTTGGTTGATGCTTTCACTGATACTATCCCCATTCCACCTATTAAGAAGGTAGAAGAAATTGGAAGAGTTTTAGAGAAATTAGGATTCATGACCGAAAGAGATCGAGAAGAAATCTTACACCAATTGTCACAATATGAAATCAATATAGGCGTGAAGGGGTTGATTGATGTGTTGATGGTTAGTAAATATTCTAAAGACAATGTTGATGAGGTTGTAGCTAACATTGTTGAAAAAATGAATGCTCTTTAACGGAAAAGTAGGAAATTGCCCAGAACCTGAAATTTTTATTTCATTATCACTTATTTTGTATAGAAATAGAAATTAATTTTTTTTTTTTTTTGTGTTTTAATTTGGAAACGCCAAAAAATCGTACCAGAATTGAAACAACGGATCAATAATAATGTCAACGGTTAAAGGCTTAGTATATCTCCACTTTTTCTTGACAACGCCTTGGTTGCCTAGGTAGTTTGTTTTCTATTAATTAATGCGAGAGAGAAAACAAAAAGTTTTAAAATTTGTAGGATTAGGTTTGTGTCATTTTTTGCCAAGAAAACAAGAACTTCGTATTATTAAGTTACCATCTACTGCCAATTGTAAGAATGTAAAAAAAAAAAAATTGGATAAGCCGACAAAAAAATGCGAAGGAAAGTCAACCAATAGGGGCTGAAATGGAACAACCAATTAGGGCAGTCCACAACAACATCTACACTCCTTATTATATGTAGTATGACCAAATAACTATTAGATACGTGTGGCATAAATGATTGGGAATTGAAATGCACAGAATTGGGGTGTTCCATCTTAGGTTTTTGTTCTTTGGAAAAAAAACATCGTTGGCTATTCAATTGTGGCCTAGAAGATATATGATTAACCCGTTATGGTTAGTTACGATAGATCTATTATATCTTGCGAGTAGATACGAAATATTACCTCTCGTGCTTGTAAAACGGAGTATGTAACGAAGATGCCGTATTATTATTATTTTTTAGATTAATTGGGCGCGTATTGCAACCATTTCTTAATAAAAAAAACTTTTTTGTAAAAAAAAAAAACATGTCATGTTTATATTTAGTTCGGAATGTGGAAGCTTTTTCGTATTGTGAGCTCATAAATTTCTTCCAAGCGCAAATGGGTTAATAATTTCTCCGGTCACGGACCCCATTATCCAACTACATTTTGGCAGTGAATTAAGAGATCGTGTTGAAGAAGCGAAAAATTTTGAAGCACTTAGAGCTAATGTAGAAATGGATCTAATGCACTACAATCTAATCAAATTTTCTGCGTACATGTCACAAGAGAAAGACCGAGCTTAAAGTGTTCACTACATTTGAAACATGTGTTTACGAGCACACAAAACCATCTGAGCGCATAAATATTTTTTATGAATAGGTGCCCGTAGCCGGGTCCACAAAGGATTTTTTTCGATTTTGTTTTGTATTTTTTAAATATTTCTCGCCATGTTTCTTTAATAATAATGGATCAAGTAATTTAGTGAATCACATTAAAAAATAATTTGGTTGCCAGTTGATACTGCAATGCTGAAGTTACCCAAAAACGGCTATCTACCCGGGTATAGCTTTGGCTTCAAGCGGGGCTAAATGATGGCCCAATTAGAATAATTTTTATCACTTGAGTTTAAAGTGGCTCTGAAATTATATGGAACAAGATAAATATTTTTTAGGGGAAGGAAGCTTATAAACCAAACGTTTGACTGAAAAGAAAAATAACTCAAATAAATCAAGTTGAAGTAAGAAAACAGCCCTTTTATTCAAGAATAGGTGGTCGTAATCGATCGTTGATGCAAAAGATACTAAATTTTAGTAGCGAACATTGCCCGGGCATACAAGGTGATAGCAAACAAACAATTTCCTGTAGTTAAACACCTGGTATGTATTTTTTTTCATTACTCCAGTAACCAAATTTCTATGTTAATTTTGAAAAATATTTTTTGTTTCTATTTTTTCACACCCCTTTTGGATGACTAGGCATAAAACTTTGCAGGTTCATCAGCAGGGGGGAGATGAGAGGGGACTAACAAAACCAGAGATATCCTGCATCCGGCTGGCCACATGTCACATGGTTTTCGAAATCAGGGCGATTACTTGCTTGCGTTTCATATTTTCAGGCGAAACTTCCCGCCTTGTTAAGGCTTGACAGATTGCCTTAATAGCTCTTTCACATGAGGGAGGTTGAACCCTAACTCCCTTGTTAATATTATATAGCAAATTAACAAAACTAACTACAGACACGTGAAGAATCTTTTGATACGTAATTGTAAATCCGCTGGAAAAATACAGTAAAGTTTGATTCTTGAGTACAAAAGAAGAAAGAATGAATTGTATAAAAAATAAAGGTACATTTGGTGAGACTAAATTAGTTCTTGCATGAATAATACTCTATTTCGTAACTCAAAATAGAATTTTCCGGTAGCACCAAAAACAGCATTTACAACAGTAGTTCCAATATCGTCATGATGACAAGCAAGACACTCAAAACAAAAAGCTATGCAAAGGGTTAAAATTGCGCTTAGCGAACAAACCTATAGAAGATCTTATAAATGCAAGATCGTTCAGGGAATACGAACGCTCATAACCTTACATAATTTTTCCGCCAACAAAAAAAAAAAACAATTTATTTTGTGAATAAAGCGGAATAAATGATAGAATATTAATCAGTATACTACCTACCTTAGGGTCTATTTGTGATACCCCTCTATGTTATATGAACGTACGAAAAAGTTTCTATTGACCGTTGGAAGTATATTTCCATTCTAATAGGAGAAAAAAAAAAAAAACTTTATAAAAGTAAATTGCAGAAAAAATAATGCCAGTTGTGAAAAAATATATCAAACAATGCTACAGTAAGGAACAATATGCCGTAACCATAGTTTCAATGATCTCGAATGGGATGGATTATGTAAGCATTTTTTTTTGCTTGAGCCTGCATTGCCCAGTCTGCCACAGTTAACAATCACGTATTGCATATAAGATTTAGCAAAAAAATAATATATTTGAAGTATCTTAAGATTGAAACACATCTGCTCAGATATATACCCAGTAAGCGTAACTGACAGATATATTCCAAAAAGTAGAAATTGGCCAAAGTCTTTTCGCCGGTATTTTCGAATTACAGCCACTGTCATCTGGTTTATACCCGACGTCAAACAATAAAACAAGAGAAAGATTTTAAACAATATATTTAGATGCATTAATCGACATACTGTTGGGGTACAAAATCTGACATCTTTCCTAAAACAGAAAAGTGTCTACTAGTTGCTCTAGCAATTTTGCATCAAAAAGAAATAATTATGCGAAAACTGCATATTTAAACGAATTTATCACAATTCCTAATAGATAACAATTTGTACAACCCACGGTTTCTCACATTCCAACCAATATTTCTTTCGATTGACACATACCATATGCAGAGTTCGGACCACATTCCCTTCCTTTCTTATCACCACCTCAACCACGGCAACAACACAAATAAAGGTAACACATATCCAATTTTGTTTCCCTCCCTCTTTTTTTTTTGATTCCTACACCTTCATTCTGTTTAGGTTGCCACTTGGTTAATTGGTTGGTTCTTCTTTTTAATAAACATTCTCTAGCTAGTAGTGGCAGCAAATACTTGGTTTATTATTATTATTATTTCTTGTTTTAGGCAATTAACTAAATTCTGACAGGAAAATGTCAACATCTAGACATTCTCATTCTAAAGAAGAGTTCACTGGCTCTGCTAAATTGGATTTCAGTCAATATCTTGCTAGTTGCTGCTTTGAAGAAGACGACAAGACTCACAGCAATAATCTATCAATTCATGAGATATTCACCCCTACTGATTCACAAACAAATATGTTCCATGGTCCTTTCGTTGGTGCCACCGAATATCAAGACTGTGAACATGATCAATCATCAATCACTTCTGCATCCACATATACTGGTCAAATCCATAGATCAAATTCTGTGACTACTACTGCCACAACGTACAATTCACCTAACAGCGCTACTGCTGGCTGCAGTGTTCCCACAACTCAATACATACATCAACCAATCAGATTTTGCCAACTGCAGCCACTCCAAACTAAGCAATCGCCACCATCGTTACAAAAGCAACAGCCTCATACTCAGCAGTTGCCTTCCGGTAATACGTTGGATCCCTTGTTAGTAACATTTAACGAGGACGAGGTTAGTGATATTGAATCTGATAATTTTCTAGAACTTCTTTCTCAACCAAACACTCCTCCTGGCGGTGGTATATCAATCTTTGTCAATGAAAATCAGGAATTGATCATGTCATTTGAATCAGACGCTGAAACTATTACCAGACCGCCATCACCTGCAGGGTCAGAAGATCACCAAACACTGGCATTACCTTCGTCCCCTCCTGAATACTTTCATTACTCCCAGGTCAACCATTCTGATTTTGTTACACAGAGGTACCCACAACAACATTTATTCACTCCCACTTCAGGTCCGGCTTTGTTCACTACTCCTGCTACTGCACCAGTGAACTCATCTACTGCTATCATGTCCGGTTTACCACAAATTCCAGCTCCTGCATCTGCCCATTGGTCTGATGGTGGTGCTTCCTCCAGAGTTGGTACTGCCATTCAATATCAACGTCCACTGCTGCAACCCTCGTATTCATACAACATGATTTTGAACACAAACAGTGATTTCAATGCATTTCATTCAAACTCATCAGACAAAATTCATCAATTAAAAGAGAACTTAAACTTATTGCCTGCATTTGAGTATCAAGAACCCACTCCTACTTTGAAAACTCAGAATCACTCCAATTTCGGTATTGTTCATCAATTCAACGATAACTATGGAAACCCAACTATATCGTCTCGATCAGCGTCATCTCTGTCTATGCAAGTCAAGTCCAATCCTGCTCAGACTATATCAACTATCAACCAAACTCCTAAACACAGCAGAGGTCAATTGCCTCCATCCTCTCCTTTAAGTTTCATGGTCAGTGTCAAACATCCTCCTTCTCTTTGTTCACAGGTTCCTGTCAAAGCACCTACCCTTGCCACCCAAGCTCTCAAAGGAAGAAAAACCAGAAAACCATCACAAAAGACTAGTTTAATCAGCAGTTCAACCAGATTCGCTAGTGAGTATTCGTTGACATTTGTATTCAAGAAAAGAAAGACTGAGTTTATTGACCTTATAAAAAGAAATGAAGGATACTCGTTAATGCATAATTATCTTGGATCAGGAGATTCTTCTAAAAAAGGTTGTAATAAGAATGATGCTGATTATTTGAATTATGAACAAGATCAAGACGAGAAAGAAAGGGCTTTGACAAATTTGCGATCTGATATCTATAGCATTGGACCGAAAATTCTACCATTGCCATTTTCGCGAGAATTTATGAACTTAAAGTATACAAAATTCGTACCACTAGCTCAATGTAAATTGGATCCCAAATATGCATTACGAGGTGGAGCCAGAACCAACTACAATACTACAAAAAGATTTGACATACATCAACCAACTGAACCTGATGATGAAGCTAAACTTGGTCTTTGTCGCTTGAAGTATGAGTCTGGAAGTGAATTTTTATGTTTAGATACCGAGACTGACGTTGACGCCGAGAAAACCAAACATAAAAGCCGTTCTAGAAGATCAAAGAAAGAGATGAAGGAGATTGAAAAGTTGGCCGAGGTTCGTACTGATAGGTATTATTCTCGGTTAAATATCTATGAATTATCCAAAATTTTAGAGCTTGATGGATTCCATATTTCTCTCACTAAAGAGATTGAGTTGAAGATCTTGGAGTTATTTGGTAATTACTGTGATTTCAGACTAGGATACCAGACATGGATTAGAGATACAAACAGAGCAAAGAGGAACGATTTGATTAACCAATTATATTCGTACAGCTCGGTATTTTATCCAGAAATTGATAAATTTAAACTAGAAGTAATAGTTAGACGAGGAAGTTACAGCTTAATGCAAACAAGATTAAGAAGGGAACGTCGTATGTCCAAGCATATCAATCGTTCCAGGTACAAGTCCTCATAGATTTGCATTTTACATTCACTTACGTTTCAACCACCATATTTATAAAAAGGTTATATTCGTTCATTCATTTCGTTAAAAGAGGATTTCATCCTTGATTTCTCTATACTATTGTTTTCGTTGCTTGCTTTTATTTTTTATTAGTTTAAGGTGGATTTGCTAGTTTGACTAGGTTTATATTGGGGGGAAGAGGTACCAAAACATTATAAACCGAAAAAAAATAAACTTCTTACCTGGTTGAAGGTCACTTTTCAATATGTTCATTCCATATATAGTTCGTTTGTTTTACCGTCATATACTTTTTGATTTTTAAAAAAATAGTCTTTTTAGCAACAGTAGTATGTTCGAATGTAGTTTAATTATAATTCGAAATTTAGATGCAATAATTTACATGCGGTAAGACCATATGCAGGACCAAAACTCATAGACCTTCTTAGTGATGGCTAGTATCTCGGGCCACAAGGTTACCACGCCCATGTGAATAAGAACTAAAAATAATACTGTGATATTGCTTCTAAAATTGACGAGGTCTAGAAATATAACTACATACCAATGCCCATAAACGCAACTACTAAAAAATCTATTTCGAATATCTTCACTCTACACTCAGTTGTTATCAGCTGGTGAGTACATAATCTGAGTTACAAACTTTCCCGAGTACCTGGTGATACATGCCACTGTCAACACATCATTGCGAATACTTGTTGTCATCAAATGGTTCAAAATGACATGATTAGGTATACTACTTTCTTTGCTGGATGCATAATAGGAACTATCGGCTCTTCTAAGGGGAGGTCTATTGTGGAAACTTCCTGCACTAGTAGTACTCATGGTTGAATTAGATGGCTGCATATAAGTTGGTTGTGGAATCAAGGAGGATGAATGGGTTGGTGTAAGTGGTGGAGGGTGTCCTTGAGGTTGCATCTTGTTGAGAAGAACATTGTTCAAATGAGGTGGGAGATGGGGTGGTTCTGCAAGTTCGTAATCGGGCGCCTTCTGTTTAAAATAGTCATAGTTTACAAACATCTCGGGTATTTCGCTCGAGTATTCTAGTTGAGGCTGAGAAATACGGGAGTCTTGTTTGAACAAGGACGTTGAACTCGTCAGCATGTCATAAGGCATATCGTAAGAGTTTGGGTAAACATAGTGCTGCTCGTGGTCTTGATCATGATCTTGTTCTTCTTGTTCAGCATGTTCAACATGCTCCACATTAGAATTCTCTTTGGAAAGCCTCTGCAAGAAACTATTGCTCTTCTCTTTGATTCTTTCAACTTCCAGTTTTCCTGCTATAATATTGGCATCATAATCAGTGCTGGCTCCAACATGATTTGGCTGATTAGAGGAATGATTAAACAAATGGGTATCGTCAATAACTTCGAACCAATTAAAAAAAATCCCTTCCTGGTCAGTAGCAGTAGGTAATTGGTCACTAACACGGTATTCATTGTTGATAATATATAGTAATTTATGAACACCTAGTGGTAGGTTGATGTTGGTAACATATTCATTATCGTGCTTGGGCAGAGGACTGAGTTTGATAACATCACGCCAAGCTGAAAATGACCCAATTATTGAAATTTTGGAAATAGGTTCTCTTGATGTATTGACCCACTTGATTTCTACTGGTATAAGTAACAGATTTGTATTAGATTTAAATCGTTTCTGATGGAATTGCTGATTTATATGTTGCTGCTGTTGTTGTTGTTGTTGTTCTGGGTTAGGTGATGGAGAATGAGCATTGCGTGCTTGCTGAGCAGCCGATATTGTACTTTGTGGAGCAGATGGAGGAAATGAAGGTGGGTGTGCAGAAAGTGGTAAGGAAATATCTCCATGGGTACCGTTACTAACTTTGGTAAACTTGACCTTGCTCAAATCAGGAGGAGGAGAGTATATATTATGCTCGATTGGATGTTCTTCATGAACAACATCCATGACTTCACTTTGCTCTTCATCAGGGAGAATATTCCTCAGTACCGAAGTATCGTCAGTTTCCATCAAGACGTCATCCAATTCATTAAACTCATCTTCAATCAAATCATTAGTGAAGTTGTTGTATTCAGCAGATTGTTCAGATTCGTTCAGATGGCCACTTTCCATAGGGCCAGAACTAACCAGATTAGGATTGAAAAGTCTTATTTGCTGAGGAACATGATACGGTTGCTGTTTCAGCAGGGGATGCGCAATCAGCAGTTGTGAATGCGCAACCAGAGAATGACCAAGCCCCCCTTGATTCTGCATGAGCGTGCTTTGAGAACTATGAACATAACCGTGTTGTGAAATGCTAGTAGATTGTGAACTTGTAGGCTTCACCTGATGTAAAATTAAATCACTGAATTCTTCATCCAATGAAGTTACTTTATGACTGGCGGTTGATTTCCGGACGTCACTGTTGGTGGACTCTTTCCGAGCGGATGATTTTCGCGAACCACTACTTAGTCCAACGCCATTACTGGCATGGTTATTACTGGACGAAGATGTGGTGTTTCCCATTTGGTTACTGGGGGCTAGCGGGAAGTAGTATCGTAATGTGATATATGGTTGTCTATCTGAGTTTGTGACTTTTGACAAAGAAAGCAACTTTTAAACTTTTATGTGGGTGCCGCTTCCGTGGGTGTAGAAAAAAAAAAATAAATAAAAAGATTCGGCCGTACAAACAATAAGCTTAATATCGTAATTCCCACACACAACCAGATTTATAGAGTGGTTTAGAGATTTATAAGAGAAAAAAATAAACATTGTATTATGCTACAATTCGTAAGTATTAAACCTCAGATTTGACTGAATCAGGCATAGTGGTTCTAGAAGATGACTACGGAGACTGGTTGCTCGTTGACATCTCAGGGTTCATGTGTGTTAGCCGGAAGGGTCGTGCGGATGCACTCAAAAAAACCACATTTAAATGGAGACAATGAAGCTATGATGTAATTGATGCAGGTTTTTCTGTATACAACGCTATCTTCATGCACGAGCAAACGATCAAAACCCCCCACTCTTATGGTATGAGTATGCTTAGGTATGTCCTCTCCACACACTTTTACGAGTTGTCCTTTGGATGATTTTACTGTTTTCGTAATCAAAATTTTGAGTTGCCTATTTTTATGGTTCCAATCTTTGGATTTTGAAAAATGGGAAGATAGCGCAGTATGCAGGATAAACACTAGGAATGTAACAGGTAGGAATTTTAAAGTTTAGTCTGTATCCTATTCTGGAAAGAAACAGCCATGGCAATTCTAGAATTCGATATTGAATGCGAAAGATAAGAGATGGCTATTGAGGTAGAGGTGGCAATAGCAAAAAGGTGTTGGATTGCGTGTTTGCCTGTCCTATGTAGAATATAAAGTATCCCATTATTTGGTAAAAACTAACTAATCAGTCGGGGGTCATTCTCAACACAAAACAAACAACAAAGAAGCTGAAACGTAAATAATCGTATTAATTGAATACCCCGTCAAGATTGAATTTGAATGGCCATTCAAAACACAAGGCTGACATGCACAGATGAATCACAATGAAATAAGTGTATGGCACCACCCTTCTAATTTACGAAGTTTGTCTCCAAGAATTCTAGTTTTCCCAGGCATAGTTCCGATGATATTTTGAATCTGTCCATTTGAAATGAATCGAAACATGAAATTATCTAAAGTTTGATCATTTCCATTTGAAGCTCTTTTAGTTATATCATCTCGTGTACCAAAGGGGGGAGTTGATAATACTTCCTGATTCAAAATTAGGGTTCCATTCTAATAACCTTAGAATCATGTTGGTGTTGCAGTATAGGTATTTATAATATTGGTTTGTTACACTCGACTGTGATCGAACGAAACATTTTCTTGGACCAACCTCCCCAGCAACCACACAAGTCCATTTTCCTTATATCTTCATAGATCCATATTAGCCATCAACCAAGATACTTAATTACATTCTACAACTCTTGCAGGGTAAGCAAGATCCCACCCAGTTAATTTGTTAGTCCATTACAGTGCCTTGCCACTTCTCGTATAAAAGATAAGCTCTGACATGTGTGTCAAGTTGGAATCAAATCTGGGGCGATTGTGAAATGAAAGATAACGTGATATAATGTTTCAAGGATTATCATGAGCTGATCCGAATACTTCTATATTTAAGTAAATCATGTTACTTATCCCAATTCTTAGCAATGTGGTAACATCAAGATTACGCTAGCCACTAGTGTGGATCCCAATAATAATAATAAAACCTTTGCACACATGGTAGCACCAGAACAAGAAATATCAAAAAAATAAAATAAAATAAAAAAAAACAAGAAAAGTACTTGTCTGCATGTTTTATGTGGTCTTGCTAAAGGATCTTCTTATTCACCACAATCTTAGCCTGAAAAGAAAACATGTCAAATAACTCTAATCAAGAGCTTACGAAATATTCGTACTTGGTGCACGGACTTGGTGTTAATTTGGAACAAGATGTGTCTCATGCATAAGAATGATTCACTCTACATCGACGATCTAATCTATTTTTATTAATTTAGTCTCTTGCATGCAACACCAGATATATCCCCAGTATCGAATCTAGATGTACACGTTTTTTCACACAAAAAGACCGCCACATGAATTAGACAAAATTTAAACTAAAACTAAATGCATCATTCGGAATATTCCGAGAAAAATTATTAAATACCGAACTAAAAGACAATTATTTTGTGTCATTAAACACCCAAGCCGTGGGTACAAAATCTTCCCTCACACTTTTAAAAATCCACAACCAAAGAAGCTTTTTAGATTTGTGCCAAAAGCTGTCTCTAAATTAGTCATATTCTGAAACTTATAGTCTGTTTGAACTAGTCTCGTCTTTCATGTATGGAAGTTTCGGAATATGCGCAGGTTGCTGTATCAGGGCTTATAACCTCAAGCATAATTGTTTATCCGCCGTTGCTCATTTCTCTTTTGGGTTTGTGTAATGTTTTTCTTCTTCTTCGCATGTGTGGTGGGCTCTTTCATTTTTTTTTTTTTTTTTTAAATATTGGTGTTGCATCAGGCGTAATCATCACATAATTAATGATGGAGACCATCGTAACTTAACATTCTATTTTCCACACATATTAACCAGATCAAATAAGTATCTTTTGTCATTACTAGAAAAGAATTTCAGATACATATCATTATAAGCTATGGTGAAGGAATCTACTCGAAAACGACAATCGACATCGTGCAACCTATGTCGTACGATTAAACGAAAGTGTGATGGTGGGTTCCCGTGTTCTAATTGTACCAAACGAAATCACATATGCACTTATCCTAATATAGACCATAGAAAACACCGATATTCAAGTGAATACATTACACAGTTAGAAATGGTGAACCGTCAGACCCAAGAATGTTTGAGCGAGTTGATACGAATCAAAGATGATCCTCAAGAATTAGCCCGAAGAATTCGAAATTTACTGCAAGGTCAATATGGCGTTAATAATAACAACATCAACAACACTAATAATATTAATACATCTATGGAGGAATACAACCATACAAGACCAAGACAAAACTCAGTATCAGTATCACCGTATTCAAATGGTTCTACGCCACAAGTTCAAACACCACAAGTTCAGGCATCACAATCATATCCTCAACTTACAAAAATTCATCAAGGATATGCTCCACAATATCAACAGCAATTCCAACAAACCAACCAGTTCTCTAATACTACAATTGTAGCTTCTGAAGTTCCTCCACCTCGACCTGGAGCAGTTGTAGGACCAACACAAATACCCGCGGGTACTCCAATAGAAGCACAAACAGCCACAATGCAACAACCATACCACCAATGGCCACCAACTCTTCCACCAACTCGATCAAATTCTACCCCAAATAACATTCATCTTCCACCAATACCGTTAAACCCATCCCATCCAAACTTGCCTCCACCACCAGTGATTATCCCAGGAGCCAGTGTTCCTGGCCGAAGGACCAATCACAGCTTAGATTTAACCAGCAAGTACTTCAGAGGTCCTGATGGCAGAAATGGATATTTCATGGGGGCCACTTCTGTATATGACGAAAGTATGCTTGTAAATTCGTCTTCGCGTCCATCAATTCCCAAGCTCGATAGTGTAAAGCAAGAAGGCGACAATAATGATGGGTACACCAACGGGAATGAGAACAGCGAAACCTTAATAGGTGAAGTCAAGGTTGATTTGCAGGTGCTAACTTCACAAAAAGTATCAGATTTGATAAATATTGCACTCACGTATTTTGACCACCAAATCTTATGCTATATTTTAAACACAAGAAAGACACAAGAGTTATTTGAAGATTTGCGAGCCCATGTAGATGAGATAGGTTACGCCGAACAGATATTTTGCACATATCCCAACAATACTTACATCTCACCAGAATTGATTTACTCACTCAGTGTCATTGGCTCAATATATCGAGATGATCTTCCCGGTGCACTCTTCTACTACGAGCTTTCGCAACGCATAATCTTTCACAACTATACATTGAGCAAATCGTCCTATCCAAAATTGGTGGCATTGGTACTCAATGCGTTTTTCGAACTTAATCGTGGGGAATTATCGCTGGCATGGCAATTATCGGGGATGTCGTTCCGCATGGGGTTTGATCTTGGACTCCACGACTCAACCAAAGAGGAGCCGGATGAAGCAATGAACAATTTAAAAAACTTGACATATTGGGGGACATTCATAATTGATAATTATGCAGGGTACATCTTTGGTAGACCCAAGATGTTAATGTATGATTGTGATTATCCAATTTTCAATAATGGATTGAATGATATAAAGTTGCCTCATATTGTTGGTTTATTAGCCATGGGGGATCCCATGATTACTTCAATTTATCAAATAATGCCATTCAAAGATGCCGAGGAGTTTAAAAGAACATTCATTGTTAAATACAATCAATTGCGCGAGTACAATAACCGGTTAATTCAATGGAGAAACGCCTTACCCAAGGAACTAGTATGGAACATGTCTAGTCTTAAACGAAGTGCACGAATCACCGACCATCTGTTTAAATTTGCATTCTATTTAATGTTTATAATCTTGAACAAGCCGTTTTTGTTGTTGCCGATAGGAAGTGATATTCTGATGTTTACCGTGATATGTCAAGAAATGGAAATAATATTCAGAAACGTGGAGGATCCATGCTATTTGAAAAACATTGTGGTGCTATACGTGATGATTCTTGTGTGTAAATTAATGTTGATACAGCTATTGAACCGCAACTCGAAAAAGATTGACGAACAATTTGAAAGATTGGAGTTCTTTATCAGTTATATAAAAGTCGTGTTTAAAGCCGATGTGTGGATCCTTGCTAAGTATCCATTGGCTATGTTGGAATCAAGGGTAATGGTATTGAAAAAAGAATTGAAGCAGCACGAGCAAGTGAATAGCCAATCCACTCCGGCCATAACTTCAACTCCATCGGATGCAAATGCCGTACAGGTAAAAATTACTGGCACGTCGATTTCTTCATCATCAAGCTCGGGACGTTCAAACAGTATAGTGGATCCAATGATCCCATACACAGATGAAAACATGTCGCAAAATGTTGGTTTCCTTAAGATGGTAGATGCCTTGTTTAGCCAGGGGACAATTACACCTACTCAGGGAATGTTTCCTGTGCTGACCGCAGGTACCCCAACAGCTGCTCAAGAGCAAATTGATAATAGTCTTCATATCAGTAATAATGGAGCAACTGGAGCGACTGTTCAAGGGTCAAGTGAGACATTTAATAATATTTTCAGCTTTGATTTGTTAGATCTTGACGCCTATATGCAGCAGTAAGTACAAGTGGTTATATAACAGCTATAAAAATATTCCGTAAGGTAAAAACTTAGTTTACAATCACTGTAGTTTGATTGCAGATTATAGCAATATAGTCGAACCCGTGTGGTATCCTTAACAAGAGGATTGAGGTCGTTTGGAAATTAGATTAGAAGTTTGTTGCCAACTTATCATACCAAAATAGAGCGGCATCCAAACTTACATATGATTTGTGCTTGTCGGTACGCCGGCTAAAAAAACACTAGGGAGTTGTTCCATTTATTCCGATTTACCACAAAAAAAATCACAGTCACTTTACAACACATCTTTCTTTCCTAACACTGCCCGCTATGTCATGGATCGGGATTAAGAAAGCTATTAATAGAGCGGGCACGCAAGTGATGCTCAAAACAGGACACATAGAGCAGACCATCGATAAGGATTACGACTTTGAAGAGAAACGATATCGTACTTTGGAAGCCAGTTCTTTGAAATTACAAAAACAATTACGCAACTATCTGGAATGCTTGAAGTTAGTCACCAATTCGCAAATCAATGTTGCTGAAGCATTGAGTTCCTTCTATGGAACAACCGCCTCCACCGCCAAACCCAAAGAAGCAAATGGCACTGGTGAGGAAGACAACCAAGAACAACAACAACAACAACAACAAGAAGAAGCTGCCAAGTTTGAATCACTTTCACAAGAATACTATCACACCCTTTTGAAATTGAATTCCGATTGTGTTGCCAACTTTGAACAACCTTATAACCAAACTGTTCTTAACCCAATAGCAAGATTCAATTCCTACTATATTGAAATAAATGATGCCATTAAAAGAAGAACCAACAAACAATTGGATTATGATGCTATGAAGAACAAACTCAAGAAATTAATGGAGAAGCCCCAATTAGACCCTTCCTTTGATCAAAAAGTGTCAGAAACAGCTTCCGAAGCTGATGAAGCTGAACGAGCATACCTGGAGATCAACGACCAATTGAAACGAGAATTACCTAAGTTGGTTAGTTTACGGGTTCCATATTTTGATCCTTCATTTGAAGCATTTGTCAAGATTCAAACTAGGTTTTTCGGGGAAAGTTATAGAGTATTGAATGGATTGCAAGGGAAATTGGATGCTAGAACAAGAGAGGATTATGTTAGTGGGAAATTGGATAAACGGGTAGACGAAGTCTTGGACAAGATGAGAGCATTAGAGTTGTAGCATTAATAGTAAACACACATAGTAAACACACATATCTCTATTTGACTGTAGGTGTATCGGGTAACATCCACTTGCTACCCAATGGGGAAGTCATTTTTTTTTGGGTAATCTCCCCGCCCGTGCAGTGCCGCCTCGTAAAAACGCAATTAAAGTTTTGTTGTGCCTGATGCATGAATGAGTACGAGCCACGACCTTCGAAATCAACACATCAACATAAATCATACTCTTTCCTCTTGACACAATAAGCTTTAGACATAGAGAAGGTCGTATAAAAAAGAAAACATATACTGCATATAATAATATCGTACTATTTACAAATCTACACATAGCCAAGACCGCATAATAGACATTTTTTGCATAACCCACCTCCACCTCCATAGCATACACATCATCAGCACTCCATGCTCCGTCGATTCAAATCAAATGATCCATCACGAATCTTCCCGGATTCCTTTTGGCTATGGTACATGGACTCCTACGCCAAGGTTGATCGCGAAACCACGATAAAGCACACCCCGTTTTCTCCGATACGATATAACGACAAGTCGCACCTGGTGACCACAATCATAAAGGGATTCAAGCACTTGTCCCTCCCTGTGCCCAGCGTGAATGCCATCATTGCATTGTTGCGGTCTCCCTTCACTCGTGGTGATGTCATCAAGACGTTCCATCTCCTTCGTGTGTTCCAGTTGAGTGAACAAGGGTTGTTTTTGACCAATTCTGGCGTGGACAAATTCGGGTGTACGATCCGATATATGGGTGCTGAGAACTGGGACAATGTCATGTGTTATATGGATGCATTGTTGTTTTCCATGTTTGCCAACTTGGAATCATTTGAACCGATTTTATTTATTTCCAATAGTCATAATCCCGACATTGACAAACTAAGAGCATTACTTCGAGCATATGTTACACTTTTACGATCTGGGAACTTGATCACTACCGATATTACGGTTAGGTTGTGTGAATTATTGGCGAAATTGGGGTTTAAGGAAGCCATGAGTCATAAACAGCAGGATGCTGCTGCATTATTCGAATTCTTGACTGAGTGTTTAAGCATGCCTTTATTAACATTTAAAATTGATATTAAGCATGGCGGGAAGTATAGCCAGACGGACGATGAGAAGTTTTCTAGAGAACGGATCTTGTTTGTTAGTATACCTGAAGAAGAAGAAGAAGAAGAAGAGTCAACCAAGCCGGGTCTGAGTTCAGTTTCCCAAAATTCCCAAATTAGTAAACCTTTGTCTGAAAATTCCGAGTCCAGCAAACCCGTGTCTGAAACGCCTGAGTCTAAGCTGGAACTGAAATTAGATTCTACTCCTCTTTCAATGGATGGGCCAGACAAGAAATCCAAAGACAAATCTGATGAGAAGTCTGGCACCAAAGAACCAGAATCACTGAATCTGTCTAGTTCTGGATGCGACGAAATTCTTCTTGAAGAATGCCTTGAGCATTATTTCAACAATACAATCAACGTTGAACGAGAACTCGAACGAGAATTAGAACGTCGTGCATCCATCCTATCATTTAACCTGCCCTTGCCTACTCTTGGTGAAGTCACATATTCCATTCCCGAAGATGAAACCGTTATTTCCAAACCCACCAATGAACACGTGGAAAACATCGAAGAAGCAGCCAGAGTCCGCCGTTCAGACAGCATCAAGAGTGATCATATTCGTACTTCTGTTCGTCATCGTTCATCTACCCTTTCAATCTGGAGTTTAGCCGAGGAGCCCAAACAAGTCAGTTTACCAGCATGGATGTTTCTCCGGTTATTACCCTTTTATACTGATGACAATCCAATTAAAGATAGCGTGAATATTGCTAACAACTCGCGCGATTTCGCCAACCGGAAACCCATATTGCCCATCTGTCTCAAACGATACGAATTCAACAATTCCACCGCGATCCGGTCCCTGAAACGTATCATTATCCCACCAGTCATCAACTTGCCCAATTTCGTTGTGGATGATATCGACGATGATACTGCTGGATTCAAGCTTATTCTCGAGAGTGCAATTTGTCACCGGGGGAACCTGATCAGCCTGGGTCATTTCATAAGTGTGGTGCGTAAGGACCTGGACACCATGTTGGATGTGAGTGAAGAAGAAGCTTACGCAGCCAAGTGGTATTTGTACGATGATATGAGAAAGTTGCATCGGGTAGTGGAGAAGTCGTTTAGCGAGGTGTTTTCTACAGAGTGGCCGTACATGTTGTTTTACAGACTTGTGGCGATTGAAAAGGACAAGAATCCATTTGCAGGCGCCATGAGTGAGAACCCATTTGTTCCTAAAGGTGCCCAAGGCGGGTATTGGGATGAATCTTTGTCGGTTACTGCATCTGCTGAGTCAGTACCAGCACATACTACAGCACATACCAATTTTAGTATTCCAATTCCTGATGTTCCTGCTACTGATCCAAAGTTTGTTGATGTGAGGGACAAATACTACTGGTATGTTTTGGATGGTGATAAGAATTATTATAAGGAAGAGTTGACGTCAGAGAAAGGCTCCAGCAGTATTGGATTGAGTCCACAATTTAGAAGAAACAGTCAATGGAGTACCAACTCCAATATCAGCAGCATCAAACTTGATAAGGTTGATGAGGAGAAGGAGAAGGAGAATTTAGAGGCATTCCCTGTGATTAACCTGAACAATTCCGATGAAACCATTTGGCAAAAGATTAAACGGACTGGCGCCAGCACTAAGGTTGATTCTACAGAGTCCTTAGGAGAGATTGTGTCAGAAAAGACGGGGTCGCAAGTTGCATTTACCGAGTTGGCAGACAATGGTGACACTGATCGCAAGAAGAAACGACATTTCCATCATCGAGACCGCAAGAAGAGTGTCAGTTATCAAAAGGAAAAATGTGTAATTGTATAGGTTAGTTAATCACATATATAAACTTCACCTGACTCTCCACCAACATAAACCATACTCTTTTGTTTCGGGTGCATGACAATACATTTAACTACTTTATCGCTGCATTTTATACGATTGACCAAATTGCCAGTTTTCCAATCCCAGAAATAGGCATACCCCTTGGAATCCCCGCTCATTATGATTCTTCCGTCTTGAGAAATGGCGATGTCGATACCATACCCGGAACAATGGTGCCCTGTAAATGTCTTGCTCTTTTTGTACTTGTATTTACCCGTGGAATGGATCACCCGTATGGTATTGTCCATGGATTGTAGTGCGATGTAGTTGGCTGTGGGGTGGACTGCTCCTGCCGGCATGGCATGTTGGAGATGGGAAGAGATGGTTTTGATCGGGATGTTTATGCCATAATTCCACATTCGCACTGTTTTGTCATCTGAGGTGGACATGAATATGTTATTGGTGATATGGACAAGGGTGTTTATCCCACCTTGATGGTGGTCATATGTTTGGAGTAGGGTTCCTTGCAAGTTGTAATGCTCGATTTTGTTATTGGAAAGTCCAACTAAGAATTCTTGGCCATGAAATAAGAGCGCTTGTGGGAGCGAACTCAATTTGAATGAATGTAGTATTTCACCTGTTTCGGTGTTCCACAAGTTGACGAGTCTATCGTAACCGCAACTCAAGAATTTAGAACCGTCAAAGTTGAAAACTATGTCCTTGACCGAAGCGCTGTGGCCCATGAATATACGAAGGAGTTGGTGGGTTTCCACCAGCCAGAGTTTGATTAAACTATCGTTACCACAGCTTAGAAGCAAGTGACCAGACTTGGGGAGTAATGCGAGTTTGTTTATACCGTGGTCATGAGCTGCAAATGAGTGAATGATTGTCTTTGGAGTGAAACAGGTGGTTGGTGTGGGGAGGCTAGGGGCGTGCATGTATGTTCTACCAAGGTAGTCGAATTGGTTGGGACCAACAAATTTGGTTGTAACTGTGGATGGTTCTTCTTGTGTTGGAGCTGGTTCTGGTTCTGGCTCTGACTCTGACTCTGACTCTGGCTCTTCTTGATGTTCTTGCTCTTCCTCGTCATCGGAGTACCCGCCCCAAGGACCCCCTTTCCGCTTCTTCTTTAACTCCTTAGCTCGTTGTTTTGCGGATGCATTGACTCGTCGTTCTTGCGACAACAAGTTGTAGTTGAATGTAGTTTCATCGATGTGCAATTTTTTACCCGAGTCTATCCTCTGTTTCTTTGTTACTACAGCCTCGACATCTGAATGATTCGAGTTGTCACTGTCTGATTCGTAATTGACAATGGCCATTGGTTGTAAACTCAGTGGTGATAGCTACAATAAAAAAAAATAAAAAAATAAAGTACATCTCTCTGCCAGTCTCATCTCATCACACACAATGGCCAAGAGGAAACAGGAGCAAGATTCAGATTCAGACATCGACGTCAGCTCAACTGACGACGAATACGAACAAGAACCACAACAACAGCAAGAAGGAGCAGAAGAGGAAGAAGCAGAAGAAACAGTCAATGTCGATTTCGATTTCTTTGATTTGAACCCCGATGTCGATTTCCACGCTTTGAAAAACTTTCTCCGTCAGTTATTCGGCGATGACGCTTCTCAATTCGACATTTCTGGATTGGCAGATTTGATCTTGACCAAACATTCCATCGGAACCACTATAAAGACCGAAGGTACCGAAAGTGACCCATTTGCTATTCTTTCCGTAGTCAATTTGAATGAACATCGTGGTAGCCCCAGCATCAAAAAGTTGATTGAATATGTGTTGAGCAAAACCAAAGACAGAACCCAGTTCAACCTTATTTTAAAGAAATTGTTACATGGGAAATCCCAATTGAAAACGGGGTTGATTGTAAGCGAAAGATTAATCAATATGCCTATAGAAGTTGTGCCACCAATGTACAATATGTTACTTGATGAAATGAGCAAGGCCGAAGACAGTCATGAAAAGTACGAATTTGACTATTTCTTAGTCGTGAGTAAAGTGTACCAATTGGTCAGTGCCAATGAAACCGAAGAAGAAACCGAAACCAAGAGCAAAAAGAAGAAGATTGCCAGCAATGAACCCAAGCCTGTGGAAATGGACTATTTCCATTACGAGGATATGGTGTTGGAAGAACACGCAAGTTACAAAGGGATATTCAACTACAGTGAACAGAAACAAGAAACTGATTCAAGAAGAGTGTTTACCGAGTATGGTATTGACCCTAAGTTGAGTTTGTTGTTGTTGGATAAAGCCCAGATGAAGAAGGCGGTAGAAGACATGCAAGTGAAGTTTCCTGCTCCAGGAGCATAAATTGAGTATAACTGATATTAGTACGTATTAATATATGTAACACATCTTAATCCATGTAGCACGCATTGTAGCGGTTGCTAGACAGTTGCTAGAAAGTTGCTAGAAATTTGTAGATAGGTGCTAGATCGTTGCTAGATACTTGCCGCACACAACAGATGCGATAGCCTCTTGTAACAGCACCAAATGAGTGCAGGGGGACACGTTAAAGGTGGTGTATCCCCATGTCATTGCTATAGGTGCAAATTTTTCAGTCACCGCACGACCTTTCCATTGATAGTGAAAATTTTTCCTACACAATTTTCTTTAACTACGGCCATTTCAGATCTGCTGTCTCTACACAACAACAACAACCAAGACTTTATACAATGGCACCACCACATAAGAGTCATGCATTCCGTCCTGAGAACGTTCTTAAGCGTGCTGAGGATTTGATTGCAGTTGGAGAGCACGAAGCCGCCCTCGACACCCTTTACGAACTCATAACTGCAAAGCGTATCCGTTATTTGGCCGTCGAAGACCTTCAACCAATCGCTTTGCTTTTGATTAAACTCGCCGTTGATTTACGCAAAGGTAAGTTAGCTAAAGATGCCTTACATCAGTACAAGAAGAACGTGCAAATGTCTGAAAACGGGTTGGAATCCGTTCAAGTCATCGTCACCAAGTTCATTGAATTGTCCGAAGCTAAGTTAGACGAAGCTCAAGCCAAGGCCGACATCAAAATTGACCAAGAAGAACACGACCATGATGACGATTTGGAAGTTGCTTCTACTCCAGAAACCATTCTTTTAAGTGCCGTTTCAAACACCGATTCTGCCGACCGTACTGAACGTGAATTGGTTACTCCTTGGTTAAGGTTCCTTTGGGAAGCCTTTAGAGCTGTTTTGGATATCTTGAGAAACAACTCCAAGTTGGAAGTTACCTATTCCGCCATTGTCAACCAAGCTTTCAAGTTTTGTTTGAACTACAAGAGAAAGGCTGAATTTAGAAGATTATGTGAATTGTTGAGAACTCACATGCAAAGTGTTACCGGTACCGGTGCTCCAGGTGCCACCACTACCGCCACCACTTCTTCTTATTCTACCTATGCTATCGATTTGTCCGATTCAGAAACCGTTCAACGTTATTTGGAACAAAGATTCTCTCAATTGAACATTGCCGTTAAGCTTGAACTTTGGCAAGAATCTTTCCGTTCTGTCGATGATGTCCATACTTTGCTCACTGCCTCCAAGAAGGCTCCAAAGCCAACCATGATGGCCAACTACTACGAAAACGTTGCACGTATCTTTGCTGTTTCCGACAACTCTTTATTCCACGCTGCTGCCTGGAACAAGTTCTTCAACTTGTACTCCCAAAGTCCAAATGCCACTGACGATGAATTGAAGAGATACGCTTCCATCTTGGTTTTGTCCACTTTGTCCATCCCACAAAAGGCTGTTCATGCCGATGATGAATTCAAGACCAAGAACTCCAAGCTTTCTTCCTTGTTGAACTTGAACCAAGTCCCAACTAGAGATGGCCTTATCAAGTCTATTGTTTCTAGAGCTATCTTGAGATATGTTGATGAACCAATTGCCACTTTGTTCCAATTGTTGGAAGGGGGTGATTTCCATCCATTATCCATCAAGGACAAGGTCACTTCTATTTTCCAATTAATTGAACAAGACAAGGATTACAAAAAGTACATTGCTACCTTGACTGAAGTTGTTGCCCTCAGAGTTTTCCAACAAGTTTCTCAAGTTTACGAATCCGTCAAGCTCGACTTTTTGATTTCCCTTGCTATCTTCCCAGATTTGACCCACAGTTTGACCCCACTTGAAGTTGAAGATCTCATTGTCAACGCTGCCAAGGACGGCCAACTCAACTTGACCATTGATCACGAAACTGATGTTGTTTCATTCAAGCAAAATCCATTTGAAGAAACCTACCAAGACTACCCAACCGGTAAGCTCCAAGTTTCCCCATCTGAACTCATTCGTTTCCAAATCTCGAAATTGGCCCGCACTTTATACGAAAGTGTCAAGATTGTTGATCCAAACTACGAGCTTGCCCAACAACAAGCTGCCGAATCTGCCTCTGCCCGTGCTTTACAATCTATGGTTGACGAACAAGCCGCTTTAGCTGACCGTGTCCGTATCATGGAGGAACGTAAGGCTTTGATTGAGAAGCGTAAGCGTGAAGAAGAAGAGATCGCTGCTAGACTCAAGGCTGAAAAGCTTGTTGCCGAACAAAAGGCCGAACAAGAAAGACTTCTCCTTGAAGCCGAACGTAAGAAGGCTGAGAAGCTCGAAAAGGAACGTTTACGTATCCAACTCAGTGAAAAGCGTAAGGTTGCCGAGGAAATCAATGCCAAGGGTATCATCAAGATTGATTTGGACAAATTGGAAGAATTGGACACTGACAAGTTGAAGTTGATGCAAATTGAACAATTGAACAAGGATAAGCGTGAATTAGAGGAAAAACTCTCTCAAACCGCCAAAAAGGTCGATTACCTCGAACGTGCCTTCCGTAGAGCTGAACTCAAGCATTTGGAAGAAGATGAAATTCACGAAAGACAAGTTGAATTGGACAACTACAATGCTATCAAGCAAACCAAGATCGCTCGTGCCAAGAAGGAATACGATGAATCTGTTGGTTTAAAGACCCGTCTTGAAAGAATTGTTCCTGATTACTCTGACTTCAAGAAGATCATCGATGCCAAGAATGCTGCTAAGGTTGCCCAATTGAAGCAAGAAGCTGCTGCCAAGTTTGAACAAGCTAAGTTGGAAAGAATTGAAGAAATCAAGAAGAAGCGTATTGAAGAATTGAAGGTCAGAAAGGATAGAGAACGCAAGGCTGCCGCTGAAGAAGCCGCTAAGCATAAGAAGGAAGCTGAAATGGCTAGATTCAAGGAAGAATTGCGTGTTCAAAGAGAAAAGGATGAGGCTTTGGCTAAAAAGAGAGCCGAAATTGAAGCTCAAGTTGCCAAGGAAGTTGCTCCTGAACCTAAGCCTGCTCCAAAGATGTCTTTTGCTGAAAGAATGAGATTAAAGAGAGAAGGTAAGTTGCCATAGACAGTTCTTTATAGTTTAATTGCATTATTTTAGTGTATTCCACATCGTTAACCGTTGATGTTGTAGAAATTGCCAAGTGCCTTACACACGGCTCTACGCATGGTAGCACCAACTATACTTAGACATAAAACCCCCCGAGTTTTTTGCCGCATGGGAAACCTCGAACAAGTTCCAACACGCTACACCACCATGCCAATAATCACTGTCATCGGGTCATTAAACTATGATATAGTGACATATACTCCGATTGTTCCCAATGCAGGGCAAACAGTCCAAGCCAACTCATTTGAGACTCATCCAGGAGGTAAGGGACTCAATGAAGCCCTTGCCTGTGCTCGACTTTCTGAATCTGACAACATCATTCGCATGATTGGAAACATTGGTGATGATTCCTTTGGGAGTCAATTGAAGCTGATCTTGGTCAAGAATGATGTTGATGTAAATTGGGTCAAAACTGTTCCTGGATCCTCGGGTGTTGCCGTTATTCTCGTGGAGGAGAATGCCGGTGGTGAGAATCGAATCTTGATTACTCCCGGTGCCAATGGAGAGTTGAAACCTACTGAACAAGAGTACCAGGTTTATTTCCCCAAGAGTGAAGATTGCACATTTGTGGTTCTTCAGAATGAATACCCTGATACCATCAAGTCAATTAAGTGGATCAAGTCAAACCGTCCAAGTATCAACATTGCATATAACCCTTCACCATTCAGACCAGAGTTGATCACATTGGAAATGTTGGGCATGTTGGATTTATTGATTGTAAATGAAGGCGAAGCTCTCGATGTTGCTCAAGCTGTACTTCCGGAAAACGAGTACAAGAACTTCTTGACGAAAACCAACAACAAGGATGGATTTGTTGAGTTATGCATCAAACTTCAATCATTGATCAACAAAGATAATATCAATTGTGTGATTATTACTATGGGTAGTAAAGGAGCTGTGTATGTCACTTCAGAATTAGCAAGTCCGAAATTCCAAGAGGCTAAGAAGGTGGCTAACCCGGTGGATACCACTGGCGCAGGAGATACATTTTTTGGAGCTGTTGTCCTGCAATTAAGTTCAGGTAATACTATTGAGAACGCCGTCAAATTCGCTACTGCTGCAAGTAGTTTAGCAGTTCAGAAGCGAGGGGCAGCTGAGAGTATACCTACATATGACGATGTTGTAAAGATTGTATAGAAACATTGCTGGTTTCTTGATTGCTAGTGTATATATATTCCTTAACATGCATTACTCCAAAACATCTTTATATAAGTGATGAGCATTATTTCAGTAAAACTTGCAATTCTTGATAGAACGTGCACCATTTAGCATATCCATAAGAGGTAAAACCAAAACAATAGGACCGCAACCAATGACACTGTTATCCAAAAAACAGTAGACCTATTGATACTCCAATCTCTTCTCTTAATTTCATTTTCAAAGTATAGTTTAGTCCGCTCATTATACTCATTCTCAATGTAACTCAACTGTGATTCAGTAAACTTTGGTAAAATATCATTGGAAGGACCAACTCGTAGTAAACTCAAACCGTGAGACTTGGCAGATTGGAACAGCAGACTGAGCCAACTCCTGGTTACTTCGTTTTGAAATCTAATCTTGAAAGCTTCAAACATGGTTTCAACAACAAATTCTGGAGTTAAGTTTTGAACAACTGTACAAAAGTACATCCAACATAATATATAAATCTCACCACTATTGACAAATACAATTCCAAAACATTTATAACACATGAGAAGAAAATTGTAGTAAATATTGGGCCAAACGGGATTCAACTTGGGATTATATCTATCAAGAATCTTATGTTTGAACTTGAGGATGGTTTCTTCAGCTAATCTTGTAACTCCCGCAGACGAGGACTGTGAACTTTCTATGGTATCTCCAGAAGTGTCAGGATTGAAAGGACCTTCGTTTGTTGTGGACATTGGTAAATTTTAAAGAAGAGAATAAATCATAAGCGCTTATTTGCAGCCACACGGAACATTTAGTATTGGCTTTACAAATAATATACAGGAACTACGATGTGATACATATAGAGAAGCTTATAAAACACGAACTATATCTTTCAAATTCATATGTGGAGCATATGAAATATGGTAATATCGCCTATCAAATACAACCTGTCTGAGCTTGAGATATCCAGATTGCAATACCTTTCTAATTGCACCTTCGTCCTTGTTTTTGTAATACATGTATCTATCATTGGTAGAACAAGCTTTCACATTCTTATAAAATCGGTCCCACTCTAACAATTGAGACAGGCATTCGCATTTTTCAATCAAGTCGTTAATACTAACTCGTTCAACGGATTCTTGTTGTCTATTTAATACTTTTCTTATGTCAAACTCATACCCAAGTAATCTAAACCTTCTTTCCCACACAATTCCCACATGAAAACTTGTTAATGTGTTTGGTTTTAACATCCCTATGGCTTCAGCAAAGTTGATATGCTGGCAGGTTAATGATAGTTGTGTTAGATTAGTTGTTCGAGTCAACATTTGCTGCAAGTCAGATTCATAACTTGGCAGTACCTCGTTATCCATACAGAAATGAAGCTCGAGTGATTCTAACAGACTCAAGTTAAACATATATTTCAAATCTGTGATATATTCTGGAAGTAAATCCTGTTTCCAAAATATACTCAATTCTTCAATGTGCAATTTTTTCCAATTACCAAATCTGAATGCATGATGGACAACATCAAGCATATCACGAATCCGTAATACCCTGAGATTTGGCAAATACTGAAGCACCTTCAAATCTGGATTGCATCGTGGAATCTTGAGGACATTCAATTCCTCCACAAATAATCTGTTTTCATTTTGATAGTCTTGAAAAATAATTGATTGATCCAAGACAAACCGACGGAGGCGGCCAATCTGATTATTCTGTAGGTACTCAAGCTGCTCTTTGTAATGTGGCAATTCTACAAAAAAATTAATATGAGGGTACACCTTCATTGTATTTTTGAACCAGTCGGTATAACCATAGTGTTGATCGAATACAATTTTTTTAACAAGATCTAATGGTCTGAAACGAATACAGTCAAATGCTGATGCTCCGATAACAGTGAAATTGGTGTAGAATGGAGTATAAAAATTGGAGGATACAACTAGTTGCGTATCATGGGATGTTACATAAATGTAACGGAATAGTTTTCGCTGTCCAACTTCCCGAAACCTCGAATGTGTTGCTAAAACCGAGCATGTGTCTAATTGGTTTATGTGTGCTAGTATTATTGAAAGAAGTTCGTCTGGCAAGGATAAAACAGACAACGGGTCTGGGTGTGCAGACCTATCCTCACATGAAGGTGGTGATGGTGTAGGTCCAACTGCAACCGAGACTAATTCTGCTATATTTCTCATTGGCTGAATATCTAGATTAATAGAGATGGTTAATTGCATTATATTTGATTGTGATCAGCAGGCTTTTGATTTAGTTGGTGAACTGCAAATCGCAGCTTCAAAATACTGTTGTTCAATCTGTTGTATTTTTGATATGCGTTGTAAATGCACGATCATATCAAATAATTTGATCACTGTTATATATTTACCACAAAGTCAACTTGTTTGCAAAATCAGATATAGACAATATCCCGTTGTATTAAACGCTGGAAAAGGTATGGATATATTAGGCATGTAAAGTCTAGGACATCTGTCCATAGAACATTCAGCTAGATCACGACACATCTATAAATGGTTATTTCAAATGAAAAGAGTATTCCCAAAGCAAAAGTAGATTTGTTTGTTACGGATAACTGCAATTTTGCAAGAGTAGGATTTTGTGGCCAATAGTTGCAAAAAAAAAAATAAAATCCGTTCCAAGAATATGAAACACAATCACCTGTGCTATTGTATTGTACAAAGACGACTAGGAATCAATATAAATAGATAACTATAACCCCACAGATTCCAGTACGAAATATAATTTACAATATCAATATAGGTATCACTCACCAAGCAAGTACCCAAGAAATCATTGGATAATTGAACAAATTCCTAGCACTAAACTTCATCCAAGAATCCAATCAACAGTTGAATCAATTCCTAGCATCAACCATCATCAACATTTTGGTCGAATTAGACAAGGATCCAGAATGAGTGTCAAACTAGTCTTTAATAACAAGAACAAAACTAAATTCAACTGTAGGTTACCACAGTTGAATGAAATGAATGAGGAGGATGAACAAGATAAATATATCGAAGGCCTTAAGAATTCATCAAATGATTCAAATATGAGTCTTTATTTCATAGTTGGAGATGAAGAAACCACAAAAATCAGAGCACTTGAAGAATTCAAGTTCAAGTATGATGAATTTCTTAGACATGAATTAACACATCCAGACTTGGAGTTTTGGAATAAAGTCAGACGTTTTTCTCAGGAATGCTTCCAAAAGTATGAGGCTTTTATGCATCGTTCAGCTCAAAGAGTGGATCTTTATGTGCAAGCATTTTCCTTACTCAAAAGTGGATTTGAAAACTACTTAACAGAAGAACGGGTACAAAAGTTGATTAAGGGTTACTTCAAACGAAATATCGTGGACAACGAATCCGGACTAGTGAAATCAGGCAGTTCAAAAAATATACGTGAAATTGGAAGATCATTCACTTTAGAGTATATTAAAGTACTCGAAAATATTTCCTCTAATCCTCAGATTTATGGAAACCCAGTAACAATTCATCAAATGTTTGGATTATACGATCTTGATGTTGGCCCATTAGATAATACAAAAATATTGAAACTTGCTGCAATTGGTTCTTTTAAACCATGGTTTGATAGTCATTACAAGGGATTTTTTAAAGAATTCAATGAAAGTTACAAAAAACAAAAGACAGCTTTGGAGCTGATCCTACCATGGAAGGGGTTAATAAGTGCTGTTGTTGGTGTTGGAATTTGTTGTACGTTCTGCTTTGGATTATGCAAATACACCAGCTACGAATTGGAAGAGCTAGCCAAAGCGGTTATTGCTAATGTTACTGCTGCTACTGCTAATACTATTACTACAGATATTTAAACTTTATATCACTATATAGACAAAACTCAATAATATTTCTCTGAAAGAACCTGTTATTGTACACCTATATAGAATTTGCAAGAAATCACCGGAATCTAGCTAAAGCAAGTTGTCATGGCTGCAATTTTTCCAACCACATCTTTTCTTTTTATAATGACGTAATTTCGAGGTACGATGTCAATCAAACCTCCTATCTACCTGCACCTGGAATAAATTAAAAACCAAATAGTATAGACATAGCACAAATCATATCACTATATAGTAAAAGATTTGTTGATGACTGCTGTACTAGTCACGGGAGCCAATGGATACATTTCACAGCACATAATCCAACTACTTCTCCAACAAAACTATACTGTAGTGGGAACAGTTCGGTCAGTCGCCAAAAAAGAAAAATACGCTGCCCTCTTTAGCTCCTGCAATCTTACTATTGAAGTAGTACCTAAACTCGACACACCTCATGCCTTTGACTTTGTGTTTGGAAAACATCGCGATATCACCGTTGTTCTTCATGTTGCAACACCAGTGAAACTGTATGCTGTCAATTATGATAGCGAGATAATCAGTCCTGCCATAAATGGAACTACATACCTTCTCGAATCAATCAGGGATGTTGCGCCACAAGTCACACGGGTGGTGTATACTTCATCGGTTGCAGCTTTAGCTCATCCTAGTGTGATTTATTCTACACGTGGGACATTCTCGGAACGTGATTGGAATCAAGTAACGTATGAGCAATCTAAGGAGTCACCACGACTAGCATATTACTATGCTAAGAGAATAGCAGAACAAACTGCTTGGGAATTTGCAAACTCCAGGGTGAATTTCAGTCTAAGTACAGTATTACCGGGTGGGACATTTGGCCCATTGGTGTTTGATAGCGATGTAGCCGATCCAATGCCTTCTACGTCCGATTACCCTATTCGTCTACTTAAATTACGCAGGGATGATCCGATTCCGGAATTTGGCGCAGGGTTCATTGATGTACGTGATTTGGCCCAGGCTCATATCTTGGTGATGGAGAGTGAAGCTGCTAGAGGCAAACGTGTCGTTGTCGAAGCTGAAATGGTTGATAATCATATCATGCTTGATATTATCCGGCGAAATTTCCCCCAGTTTAGAGATAAGTTGCCGGAGTGTAACCCAGATAGCTCCCAATTCATCGAGCCAGATATTGCACAAAGTCGTAAGATCTTACTGGGGTTGGAATTTACTCCGATTCTGAAAACGGTGGTGGATGCCGTTACTCAAGTACTACGAGCCCGCGAGTCTGACGATTAAGCATTAATTAATTAATTGTGTATACAATCTATAGAAAGCGGAAACAAAAAAAAAATAACTGTACAAGATTTGACAAAACTCTACTTTCTTTCCTTGAGTCCTTCTGGCTTTGGAGTGTCACTTCTTCCAGTGACATAGACATATTCGTTAACTTGAGCAGCAACACCACCTTTGACTGACTTGACAATCTTGGCCTTCTTGGAACCCTTTCTCTTGTAGACATCAATGTAGAATGCAATGAACAACACCAAGTAGGACGACAAAATAGCACATCCAGAATAAGCAGCCAACATAGTACCGGCACAGTCACCACACACAGGCAACACATTCAAGTATTGTTGGAAATAGGTGTAGACAATCTTGTTGTAGGTGGCGAAATAAACAAAACCCAAGTCAAGAACAAATTGGATGATTTGGAATCTAGTGACCCATTCCTTCCACCAAACTCTAATACCTCTGGCTGCAAGGAAATAGTACCAGTACATAACGACATGGACACCCAAGTTCAAGACAATAGGAACCCAGGAGATTGGAGTAAGACCGATTAATTGGGTGTAACATAACAAAGCGGTGGCTCCGTGATGGTAAGTGTGTAAAAATGTCAACTTCTTTTGCTTAACCACGAGGAACAAAGTGTCAATGAATTCGGTGAATTTACACAAGTAGTTCAAATAGTACAAACAAACTAATTCTTGGGACCAAGCATTTGGGTGACAGATGGCGTAGTATAAACCATGGTGGTAAATCATAGGAACTAATTGTTCAACCATCAATACTAACAAAAGAAGAGATACACTGGTTAAGAACAAGTTGTGGATTTGGAATAAACCATTCAAGACGAATGGCTTGATTTGGAACTTCTTAAAGATGAAGTCACCACCGAAAATAACAACATAGTAAGTGGTGATACCAGTGACAACAGCAGGCAAGGTGGATAATGGTAATCTGGTGTCGAATGTGAATTGGGATGGAACAAAAGAATTATGGGTTAATGAAGCAACCAAGGTATCGAAAATAGGCCATAATTTAACTCCAAAGGGAGTGTCCCAAGTAGGTGCGGGAATAGCAGACATGTTACAACGGGTAGTTAATTTAAAAAAAGAAGGTAGGTAGTTGGAAAGGTTGATTGGTAATCAAAGAAAAGAGGGTGAATTTACTGGCAACTACAAAACCATTTAACGTGTAAATATAGTAAATCTGAAAAAAAAAAAAGTCACCAAAAAAAAATCAACAAAAAGAAATTAAAATATTTTTTTTGGCGCATTTTGCAGTTTATGTTTACAAGTAAGCGCGTAATGTTGAATTATGCAGAAAACCACTCAAAATTACACCAATTTGGAATGACAATATGGACTACCACCCCCCAAAGATGGCATCAGTTAACGCGGGGTATACCTGTTCAAAATGAGAGAATTGAAAGTAGGTCTGAATAACATATTATCAGTAGAATGTCTTAAGATCTTAGCTATCACGTAATTATGCTATCATGCTACCGTGTTACCACGCACACTTTTATTCTCCAAGGAATAAAGGGTAATCTAACAAATGTATACAAAGGCTGAGTTAGCAATTCAGACTAACACGTATTTGTGCTCGGTCACAATTGAACCAGCAATGTTTGTTTATTCACATGTAATTGTCGCATTAAAATTTCTAGCCGAGGGGAACGTTCGGCTTTTAATAAGATTTACAGGTTGAGTTTTACTAAGCCAATACAACGTACAGTATTACCAACAGAATTCGTTTGCTTTATGTTTGCGGTCCCAACATTTACCGACAATATAAACGTGTTTGGTTCTATCGTTGAGGTTTTCTTGATAAGAGGAATTGTTTAGATGGAGGTATTATCAGCAACGTTAATCTGCATAAACATCTGTAAATAGATGCATTCTTCCTAAGCCGACATTTTGGGGGGAGAGGAAAGAGGAGGCGCGCTACGATTTACTAAAATCGTTTGTTTTCGGGGGCCGGAAGATCAGCGAACGTCATATTCAATAATTTTATTCCAATATTTTTGCAATGTTTTGGCAATATTTTTGGAAAATTACCACCAATATCAGTTTATTGGTTATTAAAATTCTTTGCTAACAAACAATAATCTTGGCTATATACCGCAAGAAGCCAATTGCATGTTACATTTAGAGCATTTGTTTGCACAACAAATGTTGGTGGCATGTTGGTCTAGCCAAGATTTCGCAGTCTTTTAACGTTGCGCACGCAGCACTAAATCGAAGTCTCCGATTTTTCAGCTACCACCTCTTCTTCCTCTGCATGCATTAGCCAGACAGCCGCACGGAAAATGTCAAGTGACGAAGCATCATCACCTTACGACTCAGACTCATCGGAGTCATCGTCATCAGAAGAAGAACAGCAACAAATTGCAAAGCCAGTATTCATTTCCAAGAAAAATCGAACGGAATCACCACATCAAGCAAGCACCGAAGATGAAGATAAGCGAAAGCGAGAAGTGCTTTTGTCTAAACTATCAACTGATCAAACGATTACATCTGAAGGGGAGACAAATAAACCTTCAAATGAAGATTTTGATGGCATTGATGATACCGATGACTTGAATCCTGAAGAAGAGTACAATGCTTGGAAACAACGGGAGGTGATGAGATTTAATCGTGATCAACAGTTGATTATCGAAAAGGAAATTCTCAAAGAAGAAGCGTTGCAACGTGCAAAGAAGTAAAAAGGCTATGTTGGTGAAAGTCACCACCACCATCATCATATTATGTATATCGCCCTGTCCAAGACAAAACCAAAAAAAGATTTAATTTTCACAATCGTTCTTCCTTGAACACACACCAACAATGTCTGAACTAATTCCTCTACCACAAACACTAATTCCGTTCCTAGAACCATACTTTCCCAATGAATCAAACACCAATCACCCCAAAAAGCCATTTGTCACCCTCACCTATGCCCAATCATTAGATTCAAGAATCTCAGCTAAACCAGGAACCCAAACCAAATTGTCCCACCTCGAAACGAAAACAATGACCCACTACATACGCACACGCCATGATGCTATTTTAGTAGGAATAGGAACAATTCTTGCCGATGATCCCAAATTGAATTGTCGTTACCCAGAAACAAAGTCGCAACCGCGCCCAGTCATAATTGATCCTAATGCCAAATGGAAATACCAAGATTCGACATTACGCAAGATTTGCGCCGAGGGGAAGGGATTGGCCCCTTTTATAATCGTTGACGAGTCGGCTGGGATTGATTCTGAATCTCACAATTGTGTCTTGGAACAAGGTGGGAAATACGTAAGCTTACCTTTAATTGGAAACACTTCCAACTGGGCTATTATCCTTGATTCCTTGAGACAATTGGGTATAAAGTCGGTCATGATCGAAGGAGGAGCAAGAGTCATTAATGATCTACTCGATTTTAACAAATTTTCAGAGAAACCTATAATCGATTCAATAATCATTACTATCGCACCAGTATATTTAGGAATTGAAGGAGTACAAGTGAGTCCGTCACTGAGAGTAGACATTACAGATGTAAAATGGTGGCAGGGGGAACAAGATAGTGTACTTTGTGGAAGACCATTACAATAAACATATATATTAATTAATCTTTTTGCGTTTTCTTTTTCTTTCTTATAATACACAGAACACACCGATTACAAACAAATTCTATAAGATGCATATCTTCCAGAAGTCTCTGATCTTCTAATAATCTTGACAACCTCTCCTCTCTTCAATCCCAAGTATCTAGCCACTGGATCCTCTCTTTGGATTCTTGGCAATTGTGATTCCTTTAATCTATATCTTTCCAACAATTCCTTCTTTTCGTCTTTGCTCAACTTGATGTGTTTAGGCACCAATTCGTGATGGGTGATATTCACTACTAAATCACCTTCTTGGAATGTTTCAATGGAGGCTGGGGAAACAGTAGGAATCAACTTGTTGGCACTTGGAGTAATGGAGTTTTGGTAAATGAACAACCCAGTACTGAAGTTCTTTTCAGTAATGTGAATACAGAAATTACGCATGGTCTTGATCCCGACACTAGCTTCGTCACAGAATTCAACCCATAATGCTCCTAAATCAGGAAACTTCTCCAACGATTCACCGGTAGGCTGGGCTTGGAAACACATTAGTTTACGTTGAGGAACACCCATGGAGTCACAAACTTTAGCTCTGAATTCATCAAGAGTCATATCGATTTCTTCTTGGGTGATGTAGTATCCCTAAACGAGTGTTAGTATAACCTGTAACCATCAACAACACTGAGTGTAGATGACATACTCTATCTCTGACCATTTCCTTGACGGTCTTGAACGATCTGAATAATCGTGAAATAACTCTATCGTTGTCGTCCATTATGTATGATATATGCTATATGTAAGTGGGAGGATGAGCTGGATTGACAATGTTGTTATAAGCTGGAATAGAATTTTCAATCCTCACGGGTCTCATCGACAGTAAGGCAAAAAAAAAAAAAAAAAAAAAAAATTGGGACGTTTCCAAATTGGGAAACCCCATCACGTGACCATTTTTATAGACTGCAAAATTTCACTACTGCAAAATTCCACTACAATACATATATGGAATGGGGAGCGTCTACAAAGGTAATCTAATAATATCACATCATACATGCAACTCTCTATACATCAAACTTCCTACGATACCTTAATTCAACATCACTACTACTCTTCCAAATCTTGGTCTTGATAGTTTGCAACGTCATGTTGTAAGGCAACTGCTGTCCCTTACATTCCAACACCAACCAATCCCAAGCATACTTGGCATTATCATCGCGCTTATCCTTCTCCTTCATCTCAGAAGTCTTGGAATCAAACTTTTCTACCAAGTATCCCAATATTTTACTCACTCGCAACATGTTATGCGATGTCAACTTATTCGACCCTTCGATTGCTGGTAACTTCTTGATCTTCTTTTGCGACTTGCCGCCGATTTTAACCGTCGGTGGAAGCTTCGAGTAATCAAATTCCACAAGAGTAAATGCAACTTTTGGAGCCTCCTTGACAGGATACTTATTGTAAATAATAGGTTGCGCCAACCATCGAGGTAAATAGAACCGTAAATCCTTGATAAATTGGGTATCCAAACTTTCATCGTCACGGCTCAACTTGTCCACATCACAAAACAGAAAACTAAACAAGTCTCGATAGTTACCCAATTCCGGCGAGTGCTCAAAGATAATAAGCAACAAGTCCGACGGGAACCGTTTCGAGTTTATCACGGGATGATACTGCACTTCCCCCTTCAGATCCTCTTCATCGACCGCAGGATGAATCTTATTGACACCCATAACGGTTTCCAACTTCTTATTGTTATAAGTAGGAGCATTAAGACGATCAGAATATAATCTTCGGTTGGTTTGTAATAGCTTCATCAACGAGGTGTCAAACTCACTGTGAGACTTATGATTGCCTTCGATAAACTCATTCATGGGATAGTTGGGGTTGACATTCAAATCACTGACACTGACATTGGCCGACGCCGTGGGTGTACCCGAGCGAGACACAGTGGCAAGATTACTCTTGGAGGATATCCTTCCGAGTTTCTTCAATAGCCTTAAACTACCGGTGATTGACCCGGTGTCACTGTCAGTACTGCCATTGGTTTTATGAGCCGTGCGCAATTCTTCACGTAGCAAAACGTCGAATTTCCATTCATAAATGGCAAACCCGTAAAAGAATGAATTCAACAAAATAGAAGCAATCTGAAATCGATCATCCGAAGCAACCTTTACCTTGCGAACTTCTTTAAACCTCTTGGCCTGATCAGGATGAGAAACTTCAAGGTATGGATATTCACTACACAATTCATCGTAATAAATCTCAGCATTCATAAATGAGCTTTCCATAAGGGTAACCAATATCTTCCCAGCTTTAATCTCAACCTCACACCAATTATTCAACGTATCATTTGTTTGATACTTTTGGAATATTTCATCCATTTCCTTGACCCGGTCTTCAAGCTCCTTATGACTCAACATCACATCATTCTTTTTCCCTGGGAAATAATGGAGCTCTTTACACACCAACAAGTCCCAGATCTTCAAGTCACCATTGGCATAACAAACCATTAAATGTCGCTTGTTGTCAAACACACGTTTGGAAACCACACTTTTCGGATGAAGACAAACTTGGGCAAGCGGTTTGATATTAAATGGAACCAACGTTATCTGATCTGATCCAACTGGATTAAGTAAAATCTCCACGGGAGTCACATCAACAAACTCATTAGTCTGGGCGGTTGAAACTGAAGCCAGCTCAGTCGATGAACTCATCATCGCAGCAGCAGGCGGTGGGGGAGTTGTCGTCATGGTATCGAGAGCGCTGTTGGTCGCCTTCATCAACGTCACATGGATGTTTGGAGCTGATCCCTCACCCGTATGTATATTCATCCCGTCAAACTCAAATTCCTCCTTGAATGCATTGATAAACTCTCGCGATGGGCCACCATTGACATTCAAAAACATTGAATTGTATTCTTCATCCTTGTTTCCATCTTGGCCATCCTCATCATCATCACCATTATTATCGTGACGAGCAAGTAAGGGCGTTCCTGGACCAGATGAAGACGCACTATCGGCGAAATGATTATGGTGTGAAAAGGTGGATTGAATTTCTGTGGTATCCATTGACAAATGACTAATCAAATCATAAAAATCCGAATTCAAATCATCACTTTGTGGACCCTGTCCCGTGTGCACGGTGGCATTATCGGAAACCAATCCACTAGCTAATTCATCCTTGAGTTGATTTTCTCGGTTGATGGAGTAATCAATGTAGCTGCGCATGTATTGGTATTGAGAAAGCTGTGAAGTGTTTGGATCAACATATCTGTTTAATGATTCATAATTCGAACTGAATAAAGTAGATTCTTTGGTCTCGGCACATAAAGACAAGATCGGAGTATCGCTTTTCGCAACCACCGTTGACACACCCAATTTCTCATCAAGCAATGCTTGCTCACTTGAAGAAAACATATCGTAATTGAAGATTTCATCGGGTTTAATGTGTGTGGACAAACATGACAAGTCAGTCTTTATTATATTACCACCTTTATCCCCAGAATAAAATCGCGAGAATCCACTGGCAGTAGGATCCACAGCCATGGCCCATACGGGATACTCATGAATATCAAAATTCTTGTAAACTTTAAATGTTCGTAAATCCCACAATTTGATAGTGGTATCTGAAGATCCGCTCAATATAAAATGGTCATTCATCAACAAACATCTAATGTTATCTTGGTGACCAATCAACTTTCTAATGAATGGATTTTGCAATCTTGGATCAAATACATTAATAGTGTTATTTGGCCCTCCCGTAGTGATGATATGGGCATTGTCATTAGCAAGGGAATAAATTGAACTAGGTAAGTTACCAATTGCTGTATTTTCAAAATGTTGAATCGGAGTATATTGAGTCAAATCCCAAATGACAACTCTTCCATCTAAACCACCACTAATTATATGATTTGATTGGTTATCTGAATATGAAAGTTTCTTGATATAGTCGGTATGAACGTTAGGAAACTTATGAATTGACGAGGAATTGTTACTCAAATGGTATGCATGGGTATTGTGGCTTTCACAATTCAAATCAATAATCTTGATAGACAAGTCTGCTGAACAAGAAACAAGATTCTGATCATGGTTAATCAACTTTATATCGTTGATCCAGTCAAAGTGATGGTTGAAACTATTGACAATTGAAAATGTTGTTGATAATGAATGTGAGTTGTACGGCAACGGGTGGGAAGAAATGGCCGTTTCTAGTCGCAACAACCTCTCGTCCAAATCTTGGTACTCCACATCTTCACCATTGTCATCACTACTGCTATAGCTGGTAGAAAACTCAACGGGTATGCCTCCATTGTTGTTGGTGGTGGTGGTGGTGGTGGTGGTGGAGGCAGTGCCATGTTCCCATACTTTTACTGTACCATCCCGTCCTGCCGTAAACAACTGATTGGTTTGTGAAGAATACTGTATTGCATTGATAGGAAGAATATGATTATCTTTATTGCTAGTGTTTCCAATCACATAAGACAATCCCTTTTTAGTACGGACATTGGGGATTTTAGTGCCACTGGTTTTGGTACTGGTTTGGTCAATGGCGGCTGAGCCAACACTTTTCAAGGACGGATTGCGACTGGGTGTTTGCTGAACAGGGCTGCTCACTGACATCTAGTATATTATATGATCAAGTCTATCAAAGTAAGTTCTATTATGTATGTAGGTAGGGAGTTATACAATCATATAATGGCGAAGCAGAGAAAAAAGATGTGTGGAGTGGGTTGTAACTTTGTGTGATGTATGTGTATGCAAAGGGTTCAACTGACTGTGGGATTTTGTCTTTTTTTTTTCTTATACTGGTGGTAAATTTCAATCTACTATGACGAAACAAAAAGTTTACCCCTTTTGCCTTTCAAAGTTTTTGATAACAAGGGAAAGTCGGCAATACAAAAAAAGACCAAGTAATAAAGTAGGTAAATTGATGTGGGTGGCAATTGGGGGGTGGGGGATCAATTCAGAGACTGAGCTGAACTGAAACAACAACGTTGCGCAACTAACCCAACCGAATTTCGTAGCGGTTCCGGAAAACAATGGCGATTCAAAATTTCACTTTTTCTGTTGGGGTGGCATAGAACTTACACAATCTCGTAAATTAAAACAATCCTGGGACTAAAATTAGAATGTAATCACATTCTGATTTGGTAAATATACGGTTGGCCCTTGAAGGTTTATCGAATTTTGCAAAATCTAACAGGTTATCTGAGAGGTGAATGTAGGCTAACAATGTGGAACTATTTTTTTCCTACTTATAGCTTCTCTCATTCACGACATATCAAAATTATAACCAACATTTACCCTTGCCCTAGCTTATATATACTACTTATTTAATCGAACTTGTATAATTCTTTTCAAATGAATTGAGGATGTGTCCACAAGAAGCCTTGTGGTGAATGAATACACAGTTTTTGCATCATTTTCTATTTAGAGCAATGTGCCTTTCACATGTACTATCAACGACTACTAATGGAATGAGACGTTATAAAGCAAAAAAAAAATAATCAATAACAAGAAGAAAATAGATCCTTAAAAGCAGCCAAACAAGGATATGAATACTAAACAATGTGTTCGATTACAGACACGATTTTCAATTTAAACACTTTTAGACCAAGCTCACCTATTCCACCAATTTCGGGAATCTCATTTTAAAGATCAAATTTCCGAGCTCTATGCTTTCTGCATAATCATTAGCTATGATAATCACTCATGCTAAATACATTGTACCTACGAGTTTCTTTAGATATAATATATTTTCTGATGGTAGCACAGCATAAGATCTTCAACTTGGGGAAGGTGGTGGTAAGGGTTTAGCGTCAAGACGTGGTATGCAGGATCAAAAAATTGACTTTTCAAGAAAAACAAGCTAGACGTAATTTTACGCGTACAAGTCAGCACCCAAACAAACCTACGACGACGCTGACACAGTAAACCATGGCAAAACAAACCAAGGAGCAGATTGCAGTTCAGTTGAAAGCAGCTATATATTTGCATGTGGCCAAGATAGTCGAAGATCAATTGAAAACCATGGGAGAAACAAACTCCGAAGAGGAAAGTTCCGTGTTTGCAACGCCAATTTTTATTTCTTCCTTGGTTGAATTAGTATATAATCAGATAATTTTATTGGGAAAAGATCTTGAAATGTTTGCTGAACATGCAGGAAGAGATGTGATCAACCCCCTGGATCTTTTCATGGTTACGAGAAAGAATCCTACGTTGCAACAATATTTGAAAGATATTTTGGAAAAGAGAAGTTAATCCGGAATATCCAGAGACATGCATGTAAACAACAGATACACGAGCGAAAAATCTCGAGATTAGTTCAGATTTGGTGACTGAATATCATGTTAATGATATCATTTGGCTTGAAGGAAGGTGAAGCATGATCCACGGGTTCCACAATAGAGGAGGAGATCTCGGATTAGTTGTGTTGAGGGGCGGGCGAAGTAAGTTTATTATTAGCGGGAATAAACAACATGCCAGGGGAACAGACACACACACAACACGGGGAAATGTGGATAAATAAACTTGTGCATATTAAAAAAATAATATGTGAATAAACAAATTTAGTCCGTGCAAAAATCTATTAGAGCAAAAAAAAAAAATAAATAAATAATGATGTAATCGGAATTATAGTACTAATCTTCGATAAAGAACCCCACTTGATTTTTGCTGATACAGTCGCCAGCGCTATAGAACTTTACATAGTATGGCCGAATAAATTCTATAAGCAATATATACAATACGTATAATGTATATATCTAATATAAAACCGTTATAAGGGGGAGGTGCTTGAAAACGTAAACATTAAAAATCTTACGAGTGGGATGACTTGGTAAAAACCTGGAATAATTTTTGATCCACACCACCAAGTGATTATCAGCAATTAATCCGAAGAATCATAGCACCATAACCTTTTACACAAAACCAGGGTTCATAGATATTCATATGTAATCATACATCAGGTCATCGCTGATTCATATTATCTAGTCATATGTTTATATGTTGTGCCAACGGTAAGCAGTCCGATTCATGTGAGCGTCACTCAAATTTTGGTTTTGTGATAAATTTTGCCCAGCCAAAAAAAAGGGGGAAGACGAAAGGCAAAAGAAAAAAAAAAATTAACTGTAGTGTGAACTAAATAAAAATATTTAAATTTCTTTTTTGTGGGGTGATCTCTTTTTTAGATCACTTGAATTTTGTTTCCCAAGCTGGAACTATGAAATTTAGCTTGTAGTTGTTACCATACACAATTACGTATGACCTCTCCTCACCGCTTCCGGGAACCATTCACCCTCTCCCCCACCAATTATTATTGGTTATTTTTTATAACATCCATACATGCATAGATTTTCTATTCTTTGTCGACTCAAAAAAATGAGTAATTTTTACAACCACCACACTAGTTCTCTGATACCCCCCACCACCCACCAAAAATTCAACTATAAATATTTGGAAATTCCCCCACCTGGTTTTCAAAACTTTCTCTTTCCTTTTCTTCTTCATAGATCCTTGTATTTAATACACCGAACTAAAAAGACTTCCACACAAACACTATAATATTAAGTATTTCCAAGATGAGCTACCAAGATGCTTACCTTCAAGACAAGAGACGTAAATTATCTCAGGAACTTGAATCTGATGAAATGAAGGATAAACTCTCTTACTTGACGGATGAGCAAAAACACGATGTTGAAGCTGTTATGGCTGATGACGAAGACATGGAAGATGAAGGTGAAAAGGTTCTTAGCGTTGATGATTTAGAAAGAAAGAATCGCGCTTTGACTGTTATTGAAGAATTCTTACAAAGTGAGAATGGTCAATTAAGAAAATCTCTTAGAGAAATGCAAAAGGAAAACGAAGAATTGAAGAATGTTTTGAGAAAAGACTTTCAAGTTAATTACAAGTCTGGTGTTCAATACAAGGCTTAGATAGCGCTTGTGCCTTGAACCGCTTGTAATTTTGACTGAGCATTTTTTTTTTTAGGAAAGAGATTTTGAACCATTCCCAATGCATTTATCTACAATTTACTACTGCATTACATTATGTACACTACGCTTATGATTATGAAAGAGGATTTATTTTTATGTTTTATGAATAACGAATGATTTGACGACGACGACTACTACTATTGTAAATATTTGGGTTTGGCTGAAATTTTATTACTAAAAGTGTTTTTTAGAATTACAAAAGGTTTTTATGATGCAACATTAGAACGCATCAACATTTTATAGCAAGTTACAAAAACCACAAAAAAAAAATGTTATAAACCTTATAAAAGCTCTTAAAAAAAAGATTTCACCAAGTATTAAAGTATATATTATTATATATTGCTATAAAATTAATGAAATATGTTATCATGTTTAAATATTTGAAATTGATGTCGTGAAGTCGTTTGTAGTTTGTTGACCCCTTTTTTTTTTGAGATAACCCCTCTCATTCCAGAGCCCCCACAATTTTTTATTTTTTTGACCATCCAAGTGCAATTGCAACCGATTCCGGACATTTACTCCAGTGGGGCATTTCCGTTTCGGGCTACGAGTAGATAAGATTGAACAAATCTTTGAACATTAAAACAAGACGGTTTGTTACATTAACAATAAGCTCTTTATTCCTATTCAACGAAACAATGAGGACCAGAGAGGGATTTAAACATAAGAAAGGTGAGTAAACAGAGACTGTACACCTTGGAAGATAGCCCAATGGTATGCTTCCCAAACTTTCTAAACAGCTATTATTGTCAAGAAGTTGCAACCAAATCCAATACCTTTCCTCCATGAAACTTTCCAATTTCGAGTTTGCATCTTACAAATTCTTTGAAGTGACAGGCAAGGCAAGTATAAAAATAGGAGGAGCAAATAATGGAATGAAATTCAGTTAATACCGACTTTCTTGAGCCGATCTCAGATTTGCCGTATAAAATATGTGGCGAGCAACCTTGTACCGTAAAACAAAGAATTCACAGTAATATTATCCGGTTGATCCTAAAGGAGATGAGATTTGTTTATTTGCTAGAAACTAGAAAGGTTGGCAATAGCATGAGTAATATTTTTACTCCAATGTTGTAAATCTCTCATGGTTTCACAGATCTATAACCCCATTCTTCTATTTACAAAAGCAACGCTGCACACTTATGCAACAGACGACACAACTAGGGTAGAAGCCACAAAAGCACGCCCAGAAATTGTTGCTCCTGTTCTGTGTAACATTCCTAAGCGACATTTAGATCCAGCCGCAACGGCCTCGTGGGAGCAAAAATAAATTGTGCTAATTTATTTTTAATGCGCCTATTTACCGACCCTGAATTTTATATGCTGCCAATATATATATATATGTAACAGGAAATTTTTCATAAGGTGATTTGCAAGGGGGTTCTTATGACTCTGGTATAGATAACTATGCAAATGAAAAGGGTTTTAATGTACTTGATGAAATGTGAGGTTCCAACTGCAGAGGACATATTTGGGCCCTATCCTTTCAGTGCTGACATTGAACAATACAATCGTTATGATTTTGTGAAAGTTAATAACGACGAAGAAATAATGATTGATTTAATTCACCGATCACGCACCATATACAATGTATTATACCTAATCAAATTAAATGAAAAAGACCAATATACTTATAAACTAAAAGATGAACCTTGGGATAAAGACAACGGCGATTTTTCTGCTAGTTTCATACGAGAGTATTTAGAATACTACAAAGAAGAAGAGTCCAATAAGGAGTTACTAGACAATATAATTTCGTTCTACATACCTATAGATTTGAACTTTCAAGTGCCTGATTGGATAGACCGAACTTGGTTCGATATAATACCAATAGAGAACGACATCGAACTTATGAAACATGAAGTAAGAATAGCTGATGGGAAAAGGCAACATTATTTACAACTCACAAATGAAGGAATTTTAATACTTCGACAAACCATGAAAAGTTTCGACGATATTCAAGTTTTTGAATTTTCAAGCCAAAACATCCAGAAAGTAATGGATATAATAAAGATGGGCATATTGGAAAGGTTAGATTGTATGGTATTGTCTAATTGTGACAAATGCTTACGTAGTCCAGTTCTAAGTTCTATTTTTAAAAATATGGACAAAAGAGAAGTCAGTCAATATTTCCCAACTCCAGTTGTATACGAAGAGAAGTTGGTTACTCCATTCTACGTATCTGATATCGAATTATTCAATTCATTGAAAACCAAAGCAAATATAGATATTGATGAATCAATTTTTGAATTCATAGTACTTAAAGAGAATGATGTTAAACGTGAAGCGGCTCAGAGAAGACGTATGGATTGGTATATGGAATATTATGTGCATTTAACAGAAAGGGGGAAGTTGCGGTTAGGTCGGGTTTATCGCGGGGAGAGAATATTTGACTTTAATAATGAGAATCTAGAAATAATTATTCAAACAATAAAGTCAGATTATGATCGAAGAGTATCAGCATTGCCTAAAACTGTACTTATGTCTCTGAAAGCTATTTCAACATCAAAGCAAGTTTAGATATAGTCTTCAGCTAGTTGTAACCACCAAGAATACCAAGGATGTTATATCTAGAGTGTTTATAGGATCGCATTTAACATTTCTACCGGTCTATATGATGTAGAAATCATTTTTTTTTTATAATTAGAAAATCTGCCTAATGATTGACTAGTCACGCTAGACGGTGAAATAGCTTTTGCCAGATGTTGCGAAACAATAAACGCAACTATTTACTACCTATTTTTTTTTTTGAATCGCTATTCTTCTTAAATTACTTGCACAAACTGTGAACTGCAAACTTCGACTCAGTCTTCTAGAATGACGAATCTACACAGCCTAAGATATCACGTTATTATAATAAACAAAAGATTTTGATGAGTTTGCAAAGGGGCGCTATTACCTTTCCCAATTGGGAAAAATTAAACGTAAATTTTATGCATGCATAAAAAAATAAAATAAAAATTTGTACGCGTACAATTTACAACTTTTCGTGTCTTCATTTTCCTGACACAATGACACGAAATGAGCTAAGGGTATTATAAAGATGAATTGATCCCCTTCTTTCTGATTTATCGATTCTATTTCCACATAGCAACAATGATTTCTCCAGCTAGAACACCAAGAAAGAGAACGATCAGGGATATCACCAACCATCAATTGGATACTCCTGAAAAAACCCCAGGCAAGCGAGCCAAACGTGATATCTCGATAAAACCCGAGGGTGTCACTAAATTATTTCAACCACTTGTGCCTGCTACTTCTATATATTCCCGTGCAAAAGCTTTATTCCAACGTGGTTACAACTCAAACAATACTGGTGATTGTTTAGTCAGTCGTGACGTTGAAGGAAAATATTTACATGATTTCATAAGCAATAGCTTGAACAAACATGTCTGCAACAGCTTGTATATCTCCGGACCTCCAGGTACTGGTAAAACTGAACAAGTCAACTTGACTCTTAAAAAAGTTGTTGAGGAAAATATCAGCATTGTCAATATAAATTGTATGACATTGAATAATCCCGAACATATTTTTCACGAAATAGCCCGGGACCTTTATGGAACTTTACACATTGGGCACAAGAAAATGGACAGTGAGCTATTTTTTAATTTATTGAACAAGCAAGATAAATTCAAGAGTATTATTGTGATTCTTGATGAATTAGACTCGTTAATCACTCGAGATCAACAGGTTTTGTTTGAATTATTCCAAGCATCAAACATCATCAATTCTCATCGTTTAAAGACCAAGTTAGTTTTAATTGGTATTTCAAACACACTTGACTTGACTGATAAGTTTTTACCTCGTTTGATACGAAACAACTTGAGTCCAGAGACATTACAATTCCTACCTTACACTGCAGATCAAATTAAAGCTATTATAATATCACGGTTGAGAAGTTTGACTGGAAATGATTCAGAATCAGAAATTCCTATATTCCACCCGCTGGCCATTCAATTGTGTTCCAGGAAAAGTGCAAGCATATCAGGAGATTTAAGAAAAGCATTTGATATTTGTTACAAAAGTATAGAATTGGTGGAACGTAACCTTCCGCCATTTCAAACATTTACTGATTTCAATTCTACCAATTATCCAAAAGTAATGATTCCTCATGTCGCAAAAGTTTGTACATTGTCGTTTGACAACAATTCGATTGGAAATTTGAATCTTTTACAAAAAGCACTTTTGTGTCATTTATTCAATTATCAATTGGAGAATTTGGGACTGAGTGATTTGTCTGTGAACTCATTCTATGACTACTATAGAAAACAATTAAACACCAATAACCTATTAGGATTGTTAAAGATCGGTGAGTTCATTGAAATTATATCCGCATTGGAGAGTTCTGGTTGTATTGTAGTCAATGACAAAAGGAAAGGTGGTAGTGGCATGGGCAATAAAATACTCAAGTTAAATGTTGGTTATGATGACATTGTGAAGAGCATTGAGGATGTTGGATTGTTGAAAAAGTTGTTAAAAAGTAGTAATTAGAGGTAATAGAATATTTATAGAGATAGTGTATTAGTAAACGATTAATAAACAAACACATAGACTTGATTGGACCTAACTAAAGTACTGTTTAACCAACGGATGTTGTTGAAAAGCCTCCTCCCTATATTTAACGAATGGCAGCCAAGGCGCAAAGGAAAAATTAAACTTTATGAAAACACTCACTAATAGATAGACAAACAGTCGGATTGGGCGGTGCAATCAATTGCAAGAATGTAAACTATTTCTTATTTCACACTGACAACAGTTTTCACGGAATGTATAAATCTGTCCCTAGACTATTTGGTATGTAGTGACCTTCCCAGTTTCCCTGTAATTATACCCACTTCCAAAACAATCACACGGGTCCTAATTAATTTTTTCCCGAAATTGTGCAGGTGCACGCCCTAACTAAAACAAAGAACAAAGTGAAAATGGCCAGCCAGATTTTTTTTTTTTTAACCCAAAAAAAAATAGTCATACAAACAAAAAAATTTGGTTAGGGAAAAAAAAAGATTTTTTTTTTTGAAACCAAACAAATGGCAATTCATACATTTTTATCCCGTTTTAATAGCTACGTCATACTCAACGTGTAATCAATACATCTTCATCCAAGTTTAGTGCCTGGTATTTATACTTACTCAGATAACATCTACTACGTTATCCAGTCTACTTATACTGAAAGAATACTACCAAGTCAGTAAAGAGTTAGTGTAATAAGTATAGGAAAAAAAAACTTACAACCAAATTCATCTTTAAATGAACAAACAACACTAGAAACATTCTAAGCAACTACTAATCTATTTGTTATTATTAGAATTATCTGAAGAGGAAGTTATTACTGGTCAATCAGTTAGCTTGTTTTTGTTTTTTTTTATTGTGTTGTTCTTTTCCTGTTTGTTTTACTAATCTATTCAATTCTCTTTTTGCCTTTACGACTACCATTGTACATAACACGAAAGTAAGGCAATAGAAGAGGTTTATTATATTTATAATTCCATTAATATTCATTATATCAACCATCACATCATTCAGCCATTCAAGATTAAATAATGTCGTCCTCTAATCCGCGAGGACACCCCCCAAATTCACGATATAATGATAGGAACGAATACACAGACTACGGAAAATCACGAAGGAAAAATTTTTACTCCCTTTCTAATTCAAATACTACTGCTACCTCAGCGTCCACACCAGTTGTGAACAATCAATCTGCTGCTCCTAATTCCTCATTGTCAAGGCGAGATTACAAGAGCAATGGTCCTGGTTCATCCTCTTTAACACATTCAAAGGATTACAATATACCGACAACATCATCTGCATCTGCATCACACAAATCTTTTGGAAGACGAAGTCTAAGTGGTAGACCGAATATACCGCCTAATGGAGCCAATGCAGCTGGTACCGGTGAATCTGGTGCTTATTCTGCCTCGTCATCATCATACTACTATCCCGGTTATGGAAACTACTCAAATGACTACTATCGAGGTGATAGTTGGAGAAGTGAACGTAAGTCTAGCGGGGATTCCCGTGTGTCTACTTCCAACAAACCTATTTCAGCAGGAGGCCAGGCGTCTCTTTCTGGCTCGGGGCCTAATTCATCCTACTACCAACAATATCATAGAGTATCAAATGGTTCCGAATTTCGAAGTAGTAAAGATAGATACGATTCATATGTTCAAGACCAATCACATTCACCCACTTCATCAATATCCTCCTCATCGATAAACACCAGCAAGTGGAAAACTAATAGAAGTTCATTAACCAATTCCTTAAGATATAGTTCAAAGGATAGAATACGAGGAAGTGGTAGTGGTAGTGGTGCCGTTAATGCTTTTGGAACCGTATCTGGTAGTAATAGTGTGCCTATTGGTTCAGGTAAGTCAACTCGGGCAAGTGGAGGTCCTACTGCTGCTGATACGTATTATCCATCCCGTTATTCCTCGGTTTCATCATTATATTCCAATCCTAAATTAGTCGACCGTTATTCTTCCTTAAAGAGAAGTTATCATGATTACTCTAAACCACGAGATGATAAACGTAGGTTTAGTCTGAAGTATGAATCAAGAAAAGATATTGGTCCTGGTAATAGAGCAAGTCTTTCCAATGTTTCTACATCATATCCATTGAAAGAGGAAAATATTACCAAAGAAGAAGAAGAACAACAACTGCCTGATTCAGTGTCCCAAGCGGAGCCTGAGCAGCATGAAGAAGACATGGAAGATAAGGACGAAGAAGAACTTGATGAAGACCTTGATGAAGAAGACAATGAGGAAAACGACGAAGAAGACTATTCATTTGAACCAACTGATTTGAAATTGAATGAAGGTAAACCTGATGTCGATAACGAACTGATTTTGGAGATTGAAGTTTCTACAAAAGTTGAACCTACACCTAAAGTTGAAGAAATCAAGGTTGAAACCAAATCTGAACCGGTTATTATTCCACCGCAGCCTGAGGATGAAGACTATTATCCAGATGGATGCAGATACCCCTTGAACAAACTCGAGACTGAATATGAGGCATTAAAGAAGAAGTATGAACAGGAAACGCTAGCGTATTCAAAGAATGGAATGTCATACTTAAAATATTCTTTGGCTAAACCTATAAGTAATCTTGAAGATTTCCCCTTTTTCCGTGATAATTTCAAAGTATTTATCCAAGTCAAAGGTAGATTAATTGATAGTCTCAAGGATAAGAATGCCAAGATTCACAAAAAGAGATTAGCATTATGGATTGAATATTCTCGTGGGTTAGAATTATGGGAACAAGAAAGAATCAAGATGGACCAACAATTGCGTGTGTTACATCCCTCTGATGATGAAATGAGACGAGAAATAGATTCTGGTGATTTGAGAAAGCAGAACCAGTTACAGCTTCAACAGCAGCAGCAGCAACAACAACAACAGTTTCATGAAGGAACTTTGGATTTGCCTACTGTTTCATCAAGAAGAAGTCGGCGCCATGGAGATTTGGTCACGACTGAAGCTGAATTTCAAGAAATTTTGTTGTCATTGGGTCAAGAAGAAGATGAACATCCTTTGGTTAAGGCTGAGCGTGTTGCAGCTCCAATTCCTGATTTGATATTGGATCCTATCGAACGTCGTGAAATTAAGTTTATGGATTCCAATAATATCGTTCATGATAAGGCTCAATGGGCACAACGTTTACATACTTCGTTCCTTTCCAATTTCTCGGAGCGTGAACATGAATTATTCTGTGAGGGGTTCTGTATGTATCCTAAACGATTTGGTGCAATATCTCGTCATATGGGTGGTATAAGAACGTCTTCTGAATGTGTCGATCACTATTATATTACTAAGAAATCAGTGAATTATAAACAATTGTTGATTCAATTTAAGAAGAGATCATCGAAGAAAAGAAGAGGCAAATCTGTTCGTTCCAGAAATGTGTCACAAACTCCCGCGTCAACACCAATCAATGAAGAATCTTCTACGCTTGAACAACCGACTGATGAGACGGCTTCTGAATTCGAAAATACTACTATTCCCGAAGTTACACCACCAGTTATAGTTCCGCCTGAAATAGGACGAAATGAACAATATAGCGAAGAGGAATTATTTACTGAGACTGGAAGAAGGAAACGTGCTGCTGCACCGGTATTTGACAAATCCAAAGACAAACAACAACCAGCTGTTGATGGCCCAAGCAAAAAGAAGCAAAGAAGTGTTTCAAGAAGAGATGAACCAATTCCACCAAATGGATCAATAGATACTGAAAACACAGAACTTTCTCCTGAACTTACCAACCCAGCTATTCCTACTTTGAGTCAAGGATCTGATTATAGCGGAGCAGACAATCGCCGTAAGATCATTTCCAGTTATTGGAGTATCACTGAAAAGAATGCATTTCCTAAACTTTTAGAAGAACACGGGACAAAATGGACAACGATTGCTGATCACTTGACCACTAAAACTGCCACCATGGTTCGTAATTATTATCAAAGAAAAGCGGAAAAGAATGGATGGAATGTTATCGCTGAAGAGGCTAATAAAAGGTTAGCTGCTAAATTTGCTGCTGTTTTAAATGCTGGGGGTGATGAAGCCCAGAAACCTTCTGTGCAACTGATTCCTGTTCATTCGATGTATCATGCAAATGATATTCAAGGTCCTGGTATGATACAACCACAGCAACAACCGCAGATTTCAACAGGCACATTTCAACATATTATTCCGTCTATTGCCAATGTTGTACAACAACCAATTCAACACCACCATGAAGTTCCAAAGCACGTTGGTCCTTCGATTAGTAATTTGCTTGCAGATGATTCTGCCCCATATCAATCTCCAATCCAATTGCAAACACCGCATCAACGTAGTTCTATTATGAATCTTTTGAATAATGATTCTAGTCCAGTCAAGGTTGAACCACAACAAGAACAAATGATTCCAACTCCAGCACCACCAGCACCACCACATAGGGCAATGACTAATTTACGAGATTTATTGAATGCTCCTTCGTCACCAGCTGAACCCCAGGCTGAACTGAACATTAAACGAGGAGGCATTGCCAATTTACTATCTGCAGATCCCCAGCTGCAGTAAACAGGTCAAGAAATGAAAAATAATGTTATCAATGTAATTTTTTCCGTGTATTTCTATAATGGGTTTGTCCTGTACTTGTATTATATATATATATATTATAATTTTTATGAGGTGGAGATGTAGTCAATAGACGCGTGTCTGTGCCCTTTAACTAGAGATTGATACAAACAGGAGATATTTCTAGCAACACTGGGCACACTCGCAATTACAGTTCTACAAAGCTACAATTAGTTTTTTAAAAAAAAGCTTGAATTAAAACATATAATGAAAGCTAAAAGATTAAAATCAAAATCAACCCAGTATCAACTTCCATGATTCAAAATCAACAAGTAACCTTGTCAACGGGGGTATACGCAGAACACTTGTAGTAATAATACAAAAACAACAGTTCAATAACTAATAACATTTAGATTATTCGTGACCTTGTTCTTCAGATTCAGCATCTTCAGCTTGTTCTGGCCTTCTGCCAAATCTAAGAACATCGTAACTACGTTGGACGTAATTGGTATGAAACAGAGCTTTGTTGTCTTCGTCAATAAGCTTGGTAGTTTGGATATGAGCTTCTACGTGCATCAAGTTACCTGGTCTCAACACCTTTTCTAAGCTATCTACACGGTCAAATGCAGTAATATTGAACCATTCGGTTTCTGGTTCTCTGTCTTTTGGGTATCTGTGGACAGCAAGGGAGTATTTGGCGTATTTCACACCTTTTTCGGAAGTCTTAATTTCAGAATGACCTACTGTTCCAACAAAGCTAGCTCTAGCAAAGTTAAATCTTGGAGCGGTTGATGAAAGCGAACGGGTAAATGATCTCAACATGATTGACTTGTATAAATACTTCAATTGGTATAAAGAGAGAATATATCTAGAACGAAGGCGAATAATTTTAAGACAAGTTTTATTTTTGTTTGAGAAAACAAAACAAGCTTTTGTGGGTGTTGGCTGGCTAGAGGCGCGAGGGCGTGCGCCTTGGCCAATTTCCAAACATGGTAGCACCAGACACCGGTCGTGCGAAATCAACAAAAAGTTTTTCTTTGAAAAAAAAAAATTTCTTTGACTTTAACGAAAGGTTTAGACACTAGACAGTGAAGCACTTGAAAACAGATGTCGTTGAGAGGTCTTACTATGATAAAGGGACTTCCAGTCTCCCAAACCAGAGGGTTCATGACATCTTGCATAAGATTGAACCAAGCTGCCGCCGAACAACCACAACCGCAACAACAAGAACAGGGTCCCCGTAAATCATTTAGAGACCAATACAAGAAAGTGCAAACTCCAAAATTGGATTTGTCAAAAGCACGAGAATTTGAAAGATTGAGAGTTGTTCCTGCTTATCCTGCATTTTATGGTGGTAATCCTATACACGATGCCAATATCGTCAAGTTGAAAGAAGTATTGGCCAAAGTGAGCAGCATACCTACTCGTAGAGTACCTCATGACGAAATACAGAATGAAAGATTCATTTCCTTTGACACCTATGCCGAGAGATGTAATTCCGGAACAAGAGTCAGAAGACGTGATTTTGATGAAGTTCTTGAACTTTTGAACAGATTGAGAAGTATCGATTTACAATTAATGCCCCAATTAGTCATTGAAACTTTGAATGAATACCGTGTTGACAGTCTCCGTGCATTATTAAGCCAAAGTCAAAGAAGAAGAAAAGAGTTGGATGAATTTGGTAGAGCTTTTGGTAAAGCCAAGAGAAAGAATTCCAGAGCTCAAGTTTACGTTGTCAAAGGTGAAGGTTCCATCCTCGTTAACGGTAAATCTTTGAATGAGTACTTTAGTAGTGAAGTTGAGCGTGAAAAGATTGTATACCCATTCCAAGTTATTGAACAAATGGCCAAATACAACGTATTTGCCAAAGTTAGTGGTGGTGGTGTTACTGGACAATCTGAATCTATCATGTACGCTATTTCCAAGGCATTAATTGTTTTCAACCCATTGTTGAAGAGTAGATTATCCAAGGCTGGATTAATGACCAGTGATTCTAGAGTTGTTGAAAGAAAGAAACCAGGTAAGGTCAAGTCTAGAAAGTCCCCAACCTGGGTCAAACGTTAGATGTCTATATTCTATTGTATATTTACAACTTATTATATCATGTACATATTTAATAAAAAGGCTTAATCACAAATAGTGTTCAAGTATAATAACACTGACTCTAATTCTCCCTTTTCATATTTAGGAATCTTACCTTGGAATGAAGCACCTTTTCCTCCACCTTTCAATTGTGTCAATCTTTGTTTCAATTCTGATTGGATTTCTTCGGCCTTTGGCCCCATGACCTTGACCATACCACCAGTACCTGAAGGGTAGTCACCATTAATCAAAACAAGAGTCTGCTTAGAACTCAAATCAACATTTAAACCTTTGCTGTTGTTGATTAAAGTAGAAATTTCTTTTTGAACCGAGGTTAAATATTCAGGATTGTTATCAGCACGGTATACATAACCAACTGACTGTTCGTCCTTTTGGAACTTGGTAAAAAGTCTTGCAGCTTCCATACCAGCAATTTCCTTGAGTAAACCAGATACAGTTGAGTTTGCCTTACGGTAGTTTTTGTTTAATTGTGCGACCTTATCGACAACTTCTTCAATTTGGCAAGATAATTGGCTTCCAGACACATCTTTCAATATCTCGTGCTCTTTTCTTAAGTAGTTTGAAACTCTGTTCCCACAAGTAAAATACAAACGAGAATGGCCACCTCTTACACTAACTTGATGCAAAAGAGCAATAGATTGAATTTGGCCAGTTGAAGTCAAGTGCGTACCACAACAAGGATTAGCATCCAATTCACCAATCTTAACAATACGAATAATACCCTTGGACAAATCATAGTCGTCTGGTAAATGACTGACATCGACTTCATGACCGTGTTGATCAGGAGTAACAACTTTGATCTCGTGATTTTCCAAGATTAACTCGTTGACTTTGGTGTTAACTTCAGCTACAATTTCTTCCGATACTTTTTCTGGTAATTCAATATAATTTATAACATCACCCATGGACCAACTCAAGGTTTCAAGATTGTAGGTGTCAAATACAGCAGAAAGTAAGTGTTGGCCGGTGTGTTGCTGCATGATATCGATTCTTCTGTTCCAGTCCACCTTCAATGTAACTTCGGTTCCTGGTTCAATCAATTCATTAGTAATATGAATAGCCTTTAACTTGTCACGAATAACAGATTTGACAGTGATTTCCTTATTGTCCGGTAAAGTTATGGTTCCCTTATCGAAAGGTTGACCACCACCTTCAGGGAACAAAATCGTGTCCTTTAACTCAACTCCATACTCGGTCTGTTTGACTTCTGGTGAGGATGATTTCTTATTCTTGTTTTGCTTGTCTCTTGGAGTTGGTGGAGGAACAAACTCAAAACTGGAGACTACGGTGGTGTTGAATACTTTTAAGAATGAATTCTTCTGACAGGCTAATGCCCCAACAATCGCAGTTGTCATGGTGTTATATTATTACAAAGCAAGAGTTCACTATTGGTTGATCTAAGTTGAGTGCAAAAAAAGAAAATACAAGAAAATTTTTGGCAGGGTTCGCACTTGGCGGGTTCCCATTCCCGAAAACTAGCCAATATCATTACAATAAACACTAAATAAATATATAAATATATATATATAAACTACTTCACTTTCTACGAAGGACAAAGCCAATGATAGCAGAAGAAGCCACGACAGTCAACACACCTGAAATGAGCATCTCATTGGATACACCTGGGATTATGGTTGTCTTGGCTGGCTTCTTGATTGGTTCAACCGGTTTGACTTTTTCAACCAATACTGGGTCGTTTAAATTATGAATGTATAAATCAGCCTTATCATTCTGCAACTTTTGATTTATACGAATACACTCGGCCAAATCATCGTTGGATGTAATGGAAACCACATCACCTTCGTCATCAACATAACTGACTGCGTAAACAGTATCATCCAATTGACAGGTGTTTGATGATGTGACAGATTTAGCCGAGGATGACTCAACCGGTCTTTCAATTTTCAAAGCGGTAAAATCCTTTTCAATTAGCTTCTGTTCAATTAATCCACGTAATTTGTCAACCCCGTCACTAGGACGCACGGTAATTCTATTAACTCTGCCTTCAATACCGGGAGATTTGAACTTGAATGTGAATGGGGTATCTTCTTCAGCAAGGGTGGTTGTAGTAGTTCCAGTGACGGCTACACCTAAATCGCGGGTTTCTGACTTGCTATCAACGTGAGAAACCGAGTCTGATGGTTCAATCTCAAACGAGTGGATTTCAGAAGCAGTAACATCTGGTGGTGGAAGGGTATGATGCCCTCTCTCTTTACCACCGCCTGCTCCCAAGCTTCCAGAGATTGTATCTGAATGAACAGAATCATTATCATCAAGAAGCTGATGATCAAATGTAGTCCAAAACTTGTTCCAGGCTGGCCCAGAACCTTGCAGGACATTTGCATTTCCTGATTCCTTGGATTGGGAAGGCGTCATGGGTAAATCTTTAGTTTCAACCAGTTTGATTTGGCTCAATGTTACATAGGTCAATTTCAAAACATCAACAATACCAATGATTTCTTGATCCTCTCCAATCACAGGTAAATTTAAATAGTGACCTTCAAGCATTTGACGAAGTGCTTGTTGAACTGGAAGATTAACATTAGCCACATCAGGATGTGGGGTCATAACTCTCACAATGGAGCATGTTTTGGGGTCTAATCCAGCAGCTATAACACGTAAAACCACATCCTTAGAGGTAAAAATACCAGCAACTTCATCATTGGTATCTTTGATTAATACTGCGGTTGTTCTATTCTCCTTCATTAAAATAGTGGCTTCGTATACCGAAGCTTTGACATTAGTAAAAACTGGGCCAGTGGTAAAATCAAGAACACTTTCCAAAGTAGGACTATTCATCTTTTGTTTCAAAGTTTCAAAATATTCAAATACTTGAGCAGGATGTTCATCAATTCCAATTTCACTATGGATTGAATTCAAAGCATCATCCAACTTGCTTGAAGATGAATGCATTCTTTCCAATTTCTCCATTTGTTGTTCATAACATTTGGTAATATCCAAAACACCGAGGATTTGATTAGTTTCTTCGTCCAACACCGGCAAGTGTCTGAATCCCTTTTCCACCATTAAAGTTAACGCTTCAGAAGCAGGTTGGTTGGCAAAAGCACAAATAGGATTCGGAGTCATAATTTGATCAATAGTTATAGATGATGCATTTAACCCAGCGCCAACAACTCTAAATGCCAAATCTTTGGCAGTGAAAATACCCATCAATTCTCCAGCCTCATTAATCACAAGAATACAATTTTCACGCTTTGCAGTCATGAGTTGGGAGATTTCATAGACTGTACTGGAAGCTTTACAGGCAATAGGATCATTGGGCCTGAGTGACATGACTGTTCCTGCTTTAAATGATCTTCTCTTTCTTGATGATCCCGAGCCGCCTTTCTTCTTTTTGTTCAAATCATGTTCTATTCTTCTTCTTATAGCGTCGTCCCTTTTAGATTGTCTCTTTCTTGATTCAGACGCACTGGAGTTAGCTGAATGTATAGATTCATTAGAAGTAAGGCTGGTGTCGGTAATTCTGCTGGAATTCATGCTGAGGTTAGCTTTGTTCTGATTAGAAGTAGATTTCTTCACGGGGGATGTTGAAGAACTTGTTGTAGGAATAGAAGAATTTGATGACGACTTTAACATTCTAAGCCGCTTTTTGATACCCTGATTAAACCGTTGGATGCTCGGTCTTTTATTTACCTTCTTGGCTAAAGGAGCTGTATCGGTATCCTGATCTGCCAGTGAATGTAAGATCGACATAACAAAGAAATTTTGTTGTAAATTGATTTAGGCAAAAAGGTAAACAAACAATGATTGGGGAGGTCGTGCGAGCACCGCAATTATATTGTACTAAGGATTTAGTATGTTAGGTAATATAATAGTAACGACTAAGGTTCTCGCTAAAAGTACAAAATAGACCCGTTAAGTGATAAAAGACAGGGAAGACACTCTAAAGGATATCGAACGAATCGTGTTAAACGCCAAAGCTTAAAACTTAGTAATTATGTACCCCAATTTTTCAAAGAATTAGGGATGGATGGGGTTTTATAATAAACTTAAACATGCAGTCCAAATCGTTCCAAATCAGATCACTAAATGAACATGACAAATATGTGATTGTGGTTCGATAAACCTAAAACACTCGAGTCTTTGTTCTCGGCTTAATTTTGGCAACAGCGTTTTTTTTCTTTTTTTTTTTATCTGGGGAAAATCAAACGACTTTTCAATTTGGCTCCCGGGTAATTCCGACGTGCTGGGGAGTATGGAAGATGCTTGTTCAAGCTAATTCCAATGATACCTGGTATAATCATGTGCTGCAACATTACGTCGACAAGCAGAAAATCAACTGAAGTAAACGCAGTTTCGTAAATAATAATTTGCTCTTTGTTCTATTTGGGGTGGGTTCTGGTTGAAGATGCGACAATACTTATTTCGTAACAAATACTGCATTGGGCTTGAGTCAAACCTGTTTATTTTTGGGTAGTATTTTCAACCTAGTTTGTCGTCTTTCGTATTTGCATTTGACTTATTACTCCACTTTTAGAGGCTGGTGTCCGGCACTTCTCGTTTCTCTCCGGAATTCCCTGCAAATTCCCGTACTAGGGAAAATGTCACCTCTCACAAAAAAATTCTCGGGACCACTGTTGCACAGGAAGCGGCATACCTTTCGACAAACTTACTACCAGTGATTTTCATCATCAAGTTAAAGGTCACGCAAATATATCAGGTGAAGACCATTTCTAGACAATGACCAGATATCAAACAACCCCTGCATTTAAGGAACTAATAGAATCAGCCTCCAATATACCATCATCCTTGAAAAGTAGATTACTTCATCTGGATTCGTTAGTTACCCATACTGACTTAATTGAATTTTACAAAACATGCAAACCAACTGATACATTATTGGATCTTATAAAACTTACCAAGTTGGACATACCGAACAAGAATATATCTCCAAACAAACCCAAAACCAAGGAATACTTGGCCTTGATGGAGAGGCTAAGATTAGAAGAAAAGGAACGCGAATACAAAAGATTAATTACTCCCTCCCCAGAATATGAGACATTGTACGATAATACCTTGATGGGAGACGAAGAACAAATGAGTGTGGCACAAATGCATAAAGAATTAAAACATCAACTAACCACCATCGTCAATATATTGATTAGTGTGGGTAGCGTAGCTTATGCAATTTGGTATTGGACAGAATCGTCGTGGGGGTTACCTGTGAGTTATCGTCTATTACTATCAATTTTCTTTGGGTTGTTAGTATTGATTGCTGAAGTGGTTGTGTATATGGGATATTTGAACAAGATTGAAGACGCAAGGGTTAGAGAAAGGAAGAAGAAGGAAGTGAAAAAAGTCATTCGAACCGTTGATTTGAAGAAGGAATAGTAGATAAAACTCCGTTTATAGCATTACACACGATTTAAACAAACAAATCTCTCACGGTCTTCAACTTGCAACAAAAAATGTTGATTTGCCTCAGAAAATCTACCTCCCGCCTCCCCCCCTCTCTCTCTCTTTTTTTTTGGTTGTGAAACTTTACAACCAACTTTACTCTCTTCTTAAGTCAAGGCAAAGGCTCTTGAATCAATTGCAATGGCTTCGGCTAACTTCTTCCCTTATTCAGTAAACTCTTTAGTTCGTTTAATTGTCCAATTCCCATTGTTTGCCTATATTGTTGGTTTCTTGGAAGATTTCGTAATTGGGATCATGAGAACTGGCCCGATCCCAAAACATATAGCATTGATAATGGATGGAAACCGTACTTATGCCAAGAATCATCGTCTTCCTTTGAAAGATGGTCATTTTGCAGGTGCTAATGCTTTGGTTAAAGTTTGTAATACCGCTTGCCACTAAGAGGCTTTTATTTACTAACCTACCTTCAGGTTCTTGAAGTTTGTTACAAGGTTGGAATAGATCAAGTTACCATCTATGCGTTTTCCCTTGAAAATTTTAATAGGTCAAAAGAAGAAGTTGATACCTTGTTTGGAATGCTTCGTGATAAACTTAAGTTGATTTCTGAAAATGAAGAATCTTATGCTAGATACAACAAAGTTCGTATCAAAGTCATTGGAAACCGCTCGTTTATCCCTGATGATATTTTAAAAGATTTAGAGTACATTGAACAGATAACTAAAGAAAAATCATCACGCAAAACCTTACATGTTTGCTTCCCTTATACTGCTCGTGATGAAATCACCCATTCAATTAAGTCTATCGTTCAGAAACGGGTTCTTGGTGAAATTGAATCCCAAGATGATATTACAGCTGCTACCATTGAAGAAAACTTCTATTTTGGCAAGGATGTGTATCCTTTGGATATATTGGTTAGAACAAGTGGACATACTAGATTAAGTGATTTCATGCTCTGGCAATGTAATGAAGGTTGTACCATTGAGTTTCCTGACGTGTTATGGCCAGATTTTGGGTTTTTATGTATTGTCTCGGTTTTGTTCAAGTGGAGTTATTATAAGACTATACAATTAGAAGAAGAAGCAATCCAAGGTAAAAAACCTAACCTTAAGGAAGTTATTCCTCCTGTATTGCTTCATGAATTACCTTCACCTCCACCAGCAGCATCAGTTTCTCGAAAGTAGGTATAATGCACCTACAAGATTGCTACTATTTTATTTTGCTAATTATTAGATTAATATATACAAGTGTTCTATTTACCTAAGCTTGAGTTGCTTGAACTTCAGCAGTTGATTCTTCTCTAGCTTTTCTAACGAGTTCAGCAAGTTTTCTTTGCTTTTGCTTGTCACTTCTTTCTTGGTTCAAGTAAATGTTGGAAGATTTGAAATCTTCAGGTCTTAATACGATAGCACTTGGGTTTCTTTCATTCTTCCATCTCTTATTTACAACCCCTTCGATTTCTTCGTATAATGCTTGCAAAGTATGACATTTCGAAACTTGATAATCGTTTAATTCAAATCCTAAAACAGATTGTAATTCCTTAACCAACTTGAATCTGAATTTCAAATCGTGTAATTCAGCTTTGTCGAACTTGTTGACTTCTTTATCACCGGAAGCTTCACGATAAACACCAGCAACCAAGTTTCTCAACTCTTCCTTGTCAGAATAAGTGTTTTCGAGATCTTGAGAAAGAACTTCATTCTTCTTCCACTGGTTAATCTTGAAATCAGGTAAATCTTTTTCCATGTCGAATTTGACATAATTTGGTGAATTTTTTTCATTTAAGATGGTTATCTTCCCAGTCTTTTCGTCAAGCAATTCATCTTGTTGTGCAACTATTTCCTTCTTGTCTTTCTTTTGATATTTAGGTTCGAGTTCAGCTGGCTTCTTTTTCCCAAATATATCACCTATCCACGAGCGAGCAACTGGTGTGGCGTGAAATGACCTTATTACGGCTCGTTGTCTGAGAACTGATGCTAACATTGCTAGAGATTGATCCTTGGTGACGATTCTATATTGGTCTCACTAGTTGAAAAATTTTTAGTATTCTTTTTTTTTGATAATCAAAAATTCTGGGATTACCCGGATCTAAGGAAGAATTTTGCAGTAATATAGATTGTACCGACTGATGTATTCAGTTAGAATACTTTTCAAGCAATACAAGAAGGAATTTTATTTATGTATCAATATAGTATGTATGAGATTAACTAATATGCACCATAAAGAATCTGAATTTCGATTGTTCTACATATTTGAATAAATTTGTGAGAAATTTACAGAATATTTGGTAGTGAGCTTCGGCATATATACACCAAACAACCTAACTGACGGATTTAAAATTCATGTTTCCATTTGCCGTTGTCACTGTAAAATAATGCATCTGATCTAACACAATTTGTTTCAAACATGGGAGTCTTTTTCGACTTGATACTTCTCTCCTAAGTTTATTTAATACTCTTTCTAACCTATGTTGTCCATACTGCACTCGGAAAACTTCTTCAAACACTTCAAACCCATGGGCATTGAAATTTTTGCCATAGAATATTCTTGTCAATGTTAATTGTTGTTCATGTAGTATCTTTAATAGCTTCTTTGGACTGTGACTGAATTCGTGGCCATACCATGGTTCCAAGTACAATGTATTTAACGTATTTTTCCTTATTGCCCGCAAGACTTTCATATAATTGATTGGGGCCGAGTTCAGCAATCCAAAATTACGAACATTGATGGTTTGGGAAAGTAAATGGATAATCTCAGGCACAACAAACGTAGGAAGAAATTTGTAGTAGCCTTGTGGAATACGAATGTATAACGATGTAACGTTACATAAGTCAAATAGTGTTACCAATGCCGAAACGTTAATACCTAACAAATTCCGAAAATTCAATGATAATTGTTCAATGTGTAACTTTTCAGGAAGTTTGTACCTTAGTAATTTGAGCGTGTCTTTTGTTTGAATAGTTAAACTTAGTTTTTTAAGCGACTTTAGACGATACACAAAAGATAAATCTTGATTGTAATCTTGATTAGGTGTTGACGCGAGAAGGGTTAATGATTGAATTGAATAATTATCCTCATCAAATATGAACTGATTATCTCTAATAATTACCAAATTGCGATATAAATAAGGTTCTCGAGAATACACTTCTCCCATAGAATTGTAACAAAGGTAAATATTAACCCCATCTAAAAAATCTCGCATAGCCCGAGATAACCCCATTGCAATCCCATTATCATCTCCGTGGAATAATATTTCTCGCAAAAACCGCAAACTGTATGTATGTTTCATCAAAGATATAAGCTTTTCACGACCATTAACAAGGGTGTAGTTGATATGAAGCGGAGTGTTAACGTAGTCACCTACTACTAGCTGGCGGACAGAACTAGTCTGCACGTATATACGAGAATAAAGCTTTCGAAAAGCTACATCACGTAGTAATTTGTTAATCAACAGAACCTGTAATAAATTGCATTGATTAAGATAACAAACTATCTCATAGAGGATTTCAACGGGTAAACATAAAAGCGAAGATTTTCCGCTCTGAGGGGAAGAGTCCATTGGAGATTGCATTTCATTGTACTGCCCAACCTTTCGTAAACTCCGTTGCATGGTACTATTAATAATGCGTGTTTGCTATCTCAGGGAACTAAATTTGAAATCTGATGCTTTGATCTGCACCCCCCTTGAATTGCAAAATAAAAAAAAAAAATAAAAGGAAAAATAACAATGGCTGCATCCAACCTATGTTCGATTAACCCCCACTCAAAAACAATATACACACGGGGTTAAAGTTTGAAACAGATTAACACATTAGTAAGCTTTTCTCCGAGGTTGAAATCACGTTGTTGTAATCAAAACCTAACCAAAACCTAACCAAAACCCAACCTGGTACTTATATCATTGAGTATAACTAGATTTTCATGGCACGCGATCGCCTAGAAACGCCCCATGTTAAATTCTGCCTGAATAAGTATGTGTGTCTGCATGGATGCTAGATGTCAATTGAATCATTCCAGAATCATAAACACCTCCCTGATCCTTTTATCAAGGAGTAACGGACCCCACTCCCCCCCTCCCCCCTTCAAAATAGACTTTAACATATATCAAATCTCGGGTAATTAGAAAAAAAAGTTTTTCCGCTTTTCATCGAGGAATGCATTAGTGAATTTCAGGTTTCGGAATCGTTTAAGATATTATCCATCACCATTCCCAGGCCAAGTGTTCTGGTTATCAACCTAATCGTAATGGTAGCTGCCCCAGTTTAAAATGTTTCTAGCGAGAATCACAAACATGGATCGAATCCATTGAAAAAATTAAGCCTCGAATGATGCCGTGTGAAATACGTTTTGTTAATAATTATATACAATCGGCTGTACCAGGAATCTGGCCCACATTACCTCATGTGAATTATGCAGAACAATGTCGGATGATCAGATATCCGATTACCTAAAAAAAGAAATGACCGTAAATGTAACAACCAGACATTTCTTTTTGTTTTCGATGGATCTATGTCATTTGTGCGCGAAATTTTTGGCTGCGGAAAGGCGGTGAACACAAAAAGAAACCAGTTCCAAAACGGGGAAAATTTTAGATCGTACATATTAAGATGTTGTGCGTCATTAGTTTCACTTTTGTTTAATTAAAACGGGGTCATGGAAAAAACAAAGATCTATTGATAAAATTTTTCAAAGTCTTACTGTGAAGGGGACTCGAGTTCAGTTTTGCGGGGTGGGGTTATCTAAATTCATGATCACGGTATAGGGTGCTTTTAAAAGTTTAAATCCAAACCCTTCGTTAATTCTTGTAGATGGAGTAACTTTACCCAGACAATAATACTTGCTATTCCGGAAAAATCATGCATAATTACATATGCATACTTCTTCTTGTGCCAAGCATAGTGGAAAAATCAGCCAACTGCTCCTTTACACGGCTTTGAGAGACGGCGGCTTTGAAACAAAAACAGGAATGGGAACAATGATATTTTCTCATTGCTGGAAAAATCCAAGCACGCTATAAAAAAAAATATTTTGTGGAAATTCACCCCGAAACAATGGGGAATTGGGAGCAAAAAAATAATTGTGCGTGCGCCCAGCCTTACCCCAGAGACAAGTTTAGCCAACCCACGGAGAAACTCAGTGGGAAAACTCCACGGATATTTACCCTTTGTGCATACAGGAAAAATTTTTCTTTGTATGCAAGCAAGAAAAATATGAAATGTATAATAATAATAATAATAATAATAAAAAAAATAAATGCAAATCTGGAGGTAAAAACCGCAATGCGGGATGACACCTACGACTAGCTAGAGGGTCACTTGTAGTTGGGATTTCTAGTATAAAAGCGGACCATATTCCCCGAATTTCAAGTCATTCTCGGATTCTTATTTTCTCTTACTTCATTATAATATCCAAGTAGTAATATAAACTACAAAAAAATGCCTTCTAAACTTGATGTATACTGTGCAAAGCCCGCTTTGCAAGTGAGGACTTTCTTAGACAAGTTCCCAAAGATCTACAATGTCTACTTCATTGCCATGATTTCTACCATTGCTGGTATGATGTTTGGTTTTGATATTTCTTCCATGTCTGCCTTCATTGGTACTGAGAGTTATATCAATTTCTTTGACAACCCTGGTTCTACCATTCAAGGTTTCATTACTTCTTGTATGGCTTTAGGTTCATTCTTTGGTTCCATTGCTTCTTCGTTCATTTCCGAACCATTCGGTAGAAGATTATCTTTGATGGTTTGTTCCTTCCTTTGGATGGTCGGTGCTGCTATTCAATCTTCATCGCAAAACCGTGCTCAATTAATTATTGGTCGTATTATCTCTGGTGTCGGTGTTGGTTTCGGTTCTTCTGTGGCTCCAATTTACGGTGCTGAATTAGCTCCAAGAAAGATCAGAGGTTTAATTGGTGGTCTTTTCCAATTCTCCGTCACTTTAGGTATTTTGATTATGTTCTACCTTTCTTACGGGTTGGGTCATATTCATGGTGTTGCTTCCTTCAGAATTTCCTGGGGTTTGCAAATTGTTCCAGGTTTACTTATGTTCTTTGGTGTCTTTATCATTCCAGAATCTCCACGTTGGTTGGCCAAGCAAGACTTGTGGGACCAAGCTGAAGATATTGTTGCTAGAATCCAAGCCAAGGGTGATAAGGAACATCCAGATGTCTTGGTTGAAATTGGTGAAATTAAGGAACAACTTTTGATTGAAGAAAGTGCCAAGTCTATTGGTTACGCTACCTTATTCAGAAAGAAGTATCTCAGAAGAACTTTGACTGCTATCTTTGCTCAAATCTGGCAACAATTAACTGGTATGAACGTTATGATGTACTATATCGTTTATATTTTCCAAATGGCTGGTTACTCTGGTAATGCTAACTTGGTTGCTTCTTCCATTCAATACGTTTTAAACACCGCAACTACTGTTCCTGCCTTATTCTTGTTTGATAGAATTGGTAGAAGACCATTATTGGTTGGTGGTGCTATTTTCATGATGATTTTCCAATTCGGTGTTGCTGGTATCTTAGCTACTTACTCTGTTCCATGGCCAGATTCAGGTAATGAATCCGTTACCATTAGAATCCCTGAAGACAACAAGACTGCTTCCAGAGGTGTTATTGCTTGTTGTTACTTGTTTGTGTGTTCGTTTGCTTCCACCTGGGGTGTGGGTATCTGGGTCTACTGTTCTGAAGTTTGGGGTGATTCCAGAATCTCACAAAGAGGTAACGCTTTATCTACTGCTGCTAACTGGATCATTAACTTTGCTATTGCCATGTACACTCCATCTGGATTCAAGAACATCTCATGGAAGACTTATATTATCTACGGTGTCTTTTGTATTGTCATGGCCATCCACGTCTTCTTCGGATTCCCAGAAACTAGAGGTAAGAGATTGGAAGAAATCGGAGAAATGTGGGACTCCAATGTTCCAGCTTGGAGATCTGGTTCTTGGGAACCACACATTCCTGCTACTTCAGATGCTGAAATTGCTAGAAAGTTGAGTCTTGAACACAAAGAAGGAGGATTAATGGAAGACTCAAACTCATCTGCTGATAGAGTCTAATCCTCTCTTTTTTTTTGTTTGTTTGCGTAATGTGATACGATAATATTAATGTGTATAGTATTGTTAAATTAATGATTTTTCTATTAGGTCATGTAATTTACTATTATTTTTAACCAACACAGTCATCCATATAATTATCATCAACACTTGGCACGTGCAAACCGTTTCAGTGTAGATTATTTTCAACACCCACCATGTAATTCCGGAGGGGGAGAAGGAGGGGTGGGGGCTTACTCTAAGCCCAGTTTCAATTAATCCATTTCTCCTCAGCTAATTGTGAACACATTTCCATTCTACATGTTAAAAATTTCCTCAATTAACTGAGGGTAGCTATCTTCACGAACATTACTATCATTACATTATATATAAAAAAAAACAATTCTAAAATTTTTACTCTAAATAACCTTCTTCCTCTTTAAAAACCCAAATGTAAACATGGCAATAATCATATAAATCCCAATTCCAATACCAACACCCTGCTGATGTACAAATCCATCACCAGGATCAATCTGGTTACGAGGAACAACAGGCAGTGCCTGGAATACATCATAATTAGCATTAACATCTCGCTTGTGGCCACTAGAATTCTCAATACTTGAAGGTAAACTATCACCAGAGGTGAGAACGGTAGTTATTGTTTTTTGAACCATGGAAGTTTCCGGTGTTTCTGTTGGTGTAGGTGTGGCAGTTGCGGTTCCCGTGGGGCTATTAACTTCTGACACAGTAACTTGTCCCACATCACACCAGCCATGCACTGGGATACAGTTGATATATTTACACCAATGACAGGTGTCTCCACGGTCAATGCCGCTCTTGAAGAAGTTCTTAATCAACACGGCAAAATATACAATGGCAAGGGCAAATGCCACAACTCTAGCACCAATCCATATATAGAATCGGGTCCGTATCTTGTCTTCAATCGCGTACATTGGATTCCAATGATCGATAAATTGTTGTAAAGTATCACGCCCTTTTCGATAGACAATTATTCCATCGACATAAACCCAATATGGATCTTTCAAAAAGACAATCGCCATGAGAATCCCCATAGCAAATCCTCCAATATGACTGAAATTATCCAACCCGGGTAAAAGTCCCAATACAAATGACACGACAATCTCCCCAATCATGATGAATATAAAAAGAGTGTAGTGTTTTGTACCGTACATGTTTGTATTCTTCTTTCCAGTGTAAACAAACAAGATCATATTTGTAGCTACTATCCCGAAAAGCGCTCCCAGGGCACCAGTAGAGGCAATACCTACCGGGGTAAAGTTTGCCCCTAAAAGAAACCCAGCTATACCACTAGCAATGTAAATAATGGCATATTTTAAAATTCCAATATTACGCTCAATTGAACCTCCCATAGTCACTTGTAATAACAAGTTAAAGATAATATGCAAGAACCCAGCATGAAGGAAAATTGGAATAAAGATTCTATACCATTGATCAGGAATAAATGCATTTTTCTCAATTGGTATCCCTGAAAGACCGCATAATTCAGCAAGGTTACATACATAAGTATCAACTGTAGTGGAATTAGCACAGGGGAATGAAATTGTAGTATCGTTAGTTATCCCCAATACTTGATGCATGCAAGGTACATATCTTGCACCCATGTTAATCAACAAATATGTTGATGGACCCAACATGGGATTGAAGTATGGTTGGGTTTGAAATGCTGATCCCGTTAAAATTCTCATCCGTACCAACTCCACAATGAATACAATAACCTGAATCAAGGTAACAACAATGGTGAAATAAGGAAGACGGGTATAATGGAATCGAGGTTTGCTTCTTAATGTACGTATTCGATTCTTTTCATTTCTTCTAAATCTGTCCTCTACACTTTCAAAATCTTGATCACTACTACTTTCATTAGATGTTTCAGTTGGTTTATCGTGATTACTGAATGGATTGGAATAGTTCTGTTCAGTATCAAGAGAAACCATATCGAAATTTCTAGGGTTGTGGGAATTGTTATCTCTGAATGGGTCATGCTCACCTGGACTATTGGAATCAACTGGTATTGGTGGCAAGTCACGATTTACCAATGTTGACATTTCGTATTCGTCAGTAGTGTTAGATGTAGTTTTTCTTGCGATTCGATCAGTTGGATATTGGCTTTGATATTGAATGTAAGGATTTCTCAGTTGTTGTGACGTGACATACCGGGGAGAACCAGTCAATGAACGGTCTTGATAGGGGTGGCTATGTTCAGGCGCATCGAGAGGCTGGGTAGGATTTTGTTGAAATTGGCGTGGAGCTAATTGTTTCTTTGGAAGTAGAGGAAGTGATGCTTGACTATTTACCTCTGAAGTTTTCTTGCCAGCTAATTTATTCAACGTTGTTTCTGAACGTGAAGATTGGGGGAGATCGAGTACCGAACTTGGATGTTGTGGCTGCTGATTATGATACGGGGAGTGTGATTGCAGATGGTTGCTGTATTGCTGCTCTAATGGAGACGTTGGTGTGAAATCAAACGAATCGTCCATGGAATCGCGGTATTCTCGTTGTCTGGATTGTAGTCGTGGATTTGACTGGTAACTGCTCCCATCAGTGTCTATGGGGTATGGTAATCTACTCATAGTGAAGTCAACTGTGTATTACAAGTGAATGCGACTGTGTTTCGCACGATTATCTGATGTATGCAACTAGTAGCAGGACGTCCTATCAGAGAATGAAGATCTTGTGTTATTTATTTTTTTGTATCAAACCATCTAGCTTAGTTAAAAACTAAACTTTTGTAAGAGGGCAAAAAAAAAAAAAGAAGGAGACAGAAAGAGAGAGGACGTGTTGGGGTTTATAAAGTTGACATAAGCTTTCTCTTTTTTGTTTTTGTAGATTGCCCTGTTTGTGGTTACAACGCACAATGTAGCATATCTACTTGCGAACTGACAAAGCCTTGGGCAAAAAAGAAAGAAGATCTAATTGTTAACTAGACAATAGAGTCCCTAATGTGACAAATCTGCTGATTAAATTTAGGAAAACAGGAAATTTTTAAGTTTCTAAAATTAACTTTTCTTTTTCTACTGTTTGGGAAAATTGGCAAAAATTGTGTCTCGCGCGTACAGTGCTTCATCTTGCGTAGAATGATGTGGGCTCATGCAAAGCATGGCCTATTACGTCAGTGCATGTCGCTTCGTGCACTGGACATTTACACAATCGGGCAAATTACATTTTAGTATTAGCTAAATGTCGTACTAATTATTATTTAAGCATTCTCGTCAGATGCAATCTTCGTCCATTGTCTGTACCGAAACATTCCCCTGTAAAACTGTCAAAATAACACGATTAGCTATTCAATTACACTGCTTATTATAGAAACGTCATAATCCTCCCTTAACAAGCAACACAATAACAAAGTCTTAGCAAGTCTACAAGAAATTTTTACGTTTTTTTATTTTTTTGTTTTTAAAAAAAATTATGCCATTTCGCATTTGCACTACCATATTATCTCAAACTCTATCTTGTATTAACTATTTAAATAATGCATCGTTAGATAATGGATCAGCTTCCAATACTTGGTTTCTCTTCTTGATCTTTCTTTCCAATGCTTGTTCGGCTCTAGCCATGGCTTGCTTAGCTGCTTGTTGTTTAACTTGGGCTCTAACAAAGTTTGGAGAAACATATTCCTTGTTTTCATAAATCTTTGGTCCACCAAATGACCCTTCCAAAATGGTAATTAAAGTTAACACTAATCTTGGTCCAATTTCAACCAAACTTAATTCTTCAGGGTTGATATCGTTAGATTCGTTGTCTTTAACATCAACGGTTTCGTTGATCTGGTAGTTTCTGATCCAGATCTTACCATCAACAATCGAGAAAGTCATGACATGATCAATGAATGGCTTTGATTTTCTAGCATTTGGTGGCACCCCAAAAGTATGGGTAAACATTTCTTTCAACAATTTAAAATGGTCGTTTTCTAAAAATGACTTGTCAAAACTTAAAATTGGTCTGGATCCCTTTAAACAGTTCCCAGTGAAATTTAATTCATTTAAAGTATGTAAATTTTGAATATGGAATTTAAGAGTTGGTCCATTAGGTGGCTTGGTAATCCAAAGGTATAAATCTTGATGTTTTCTGCATTCAAAAAAGAAAATGTTATTACAATTGTATAATTCAGCAACTTCGTTTAATTGATGCAAGTTCTTTTTGGAATCGAATTTTGGTTCTTTACGGGCATGTGGTAACAAATTCATTAAATCGGAAATCAAATGACGATGTCTATAAGTGATACCACGAGAGGAAATCACCAAAACTCTTTGTCGGTTTATATGTTTGGTTTTTTCCGATGTTTCCTTTGATGATTTGGATTGTAAAGCCTTGTAGATTGCTGACATTATTGAGTGTTTGTACCGATTCAAAAGATATTAACCTAGGTTATAGATTTGAAATTTTTTTAGTGCAGAGCATCGCAAGTAAGTTTTTCTGGAAAAATAACGTGTTACCCGGAACCTTTCCATATGGTAGCATTAAATTGAATAAGACTACAATGATAGATACGATTCTAGCGAAGGATACTACTTTCGAACTCAACTATATGCTGATGACATCCCTGCTATGGATGTTTTGACAAGCCGCACTGAACAAACTTGTAGCAAGTTAGTGTCCGAAATAGTGGCTACTGGCAGTATTGCACTTACTACTTCAAACCACAAACTTGTGGAAAGGATATATGGTGGGATATATGCACCTTGGTGTATATGTCGACTATATGTACATATATTGATAAAAGATTTATAAAAGGAACTAAAGGTATGTATCAAAGCAAGATTTTAGTCTAACTCACAAATCTAAAGATGGACACAATTTCAAACAAAATAAAACAACTCTTAACTATGGACATACATCTATAACCAATATCCAAATTATTAACCATTTGTTGTAATCATTCCTTCCTCACTTTGATGGTCTAACATTTGAAAAATAAATAATTTAAATCACACTTATAAAAAAACTATATTCCTCTAATGCTTTTCTTCAGCAGTATGCTTGGCTAACCATTCCTTGACAAACTTTTCTTCTTCTGGAGAAGAAGCGTTGATGGCTGGTCCAGCAGAGACTTCCTTAGCAGCCCATGGCTTTGGGGCAACCAAGTAGACAACAGCACCTAAAGTGGCAATAGCTAATTGATGTGGTTGGAAAGTTCTACCAAGAATAGTGTAAGCAGCACCCATTGTATCTTTAAGTTATGAATTATTAAGTAAGTGGTGTTAAAGAGAGACTATGTCTTTTGTGATTAATACTCGGATTGAATCGAGAAAGTGAGTGAAAAATTTGTTTGGTTTTGCCAGTTTTAATTGGACAGCAGTAGGTCACGTGAATAACAAGTGGTAGCGTTTTATTGAGTTGCGAAAAGAATAACACAATTCTAGACCAGCGTTTGTAAACTTATTTCGAATGGTCTGAAGAATTTTGGCATATCTTTAAGGTTATTTTGGTGTTAGATTGAATATTGAATTGGTGTTAATATGAACGGTTCAATTAATATAAATTCAAATAGTATTGATCTATCTACCTTGGAAGAACTAAGAGATCCGAATCTAATAAGTCGATACCCACCATTGTACAACCGGAAACAAAACCTAATCAATATTGAAGGTCGACATCAGATTATAAACAGATCCTCTCCCACTAAACTAGGAAGTACAAATACAGTGCCAGGAAGAATACCCCAGCTACAACCTTTTAAAACTCAGGATTCGTTTGACTCATACAAATCACCCAAGAAAAGGCATCGATTCATGAATTTTTTTAAAGGATTTACAAAACACAGCTCAAAACTATCCAAACTGGAGCTATTAAAACAATCTATCAGCAAACCTTTGATGACAGGTGCGACTGCAGTATCATCACATGAGTCTCTGGACTCGATATATATGAACAGTTTATATCCCACCAGAAAGTCAAACTCCATCAAAATCAAACGGGATTCATTTGAACAAATGGCGTATGTTAGAAATCAAGATTCAATCAAGAGAAGAGAAATGTATTTGTCAAAATTGAAATTCCAACCATTGTCGCCTCCAATGGGAACGTCGGCCATTCAAAGCATAGTTATTCCACCAATAGGATCAAACTTTACTCTTGATCATCTGGAAGTTCCTCGATTCACTAATAGAATTGTACATCCTAATTTACAACTGCCCTCACCAAGAACTGAAAGAAATACTGGACGGTCGAGCAGAAGAAGAAGAAAGAGAGACCAAGAACAGGAAATCCTTATGGATTCACCAACTTTTGCGAGATACGATTTGATGAATTTGAATAGTTCCAATAATGGATTTTCGCCAATTGAAGACTATGATATGGCTGGTCCTCATACAAGTTCCCCTTATTTAATTACATCTTCATTTGTGCCACTTAGTGAAACTAGTGATTCTGATGAAAGTTATTATAGTTTTGCCAAATCAGATGAAGACGTTGAAGTTAAACGTGTGAATTCTAGTACCAGTAAAGTGAGAGATAGAAAAGTTTCTTCACCAATTTATCGGATCACTCACAACTCACCAACTCGTGCATTTACTTCATTTAACGATAAATTGAACGAACAATCCAGAAAACATCTTTCAAGGAATAGACGGTGAATAATGTTTGCAGTCAATATCAGTTGATTATATGCAGTACGTTTATTTTGCTCTCTAACAAAATTTTGTTTGGTAAAAAAAAATAGATGAGATGGATTTACAACCAAACTTTACAGCCGCCATTCACAGTTCATGATTACTAATAGAAAGAGATTGTCTAGTGGATTGAGTGTCACATCTAAAGTGTTTGTCCGTTCAAGAAACGGAAACGCACTTAAGATTGTTCGTGAACACTATTTGAGAAACGATATCCCTTGCTATTCCCACGCCTGTCACAAATGTCAAGAAATAGTCAAGCCGGATGCTCAGGGACAACTTCCTAAATTCATCTTATCATCTTCTCCAACCAAAACCAAAGATGGCGTGAGTCATTATGTGGTGATTGATACCAATATCATCCTTCATGCCATTGACTTGTTGGAAAACACACAGTGTTTCTACGATGTCATTGTCCCACAAACTGTGTTGGAAGAAGTTAGAAACCGGTCGTTCCCAATATATCAAAGATTAAGAAACTTGGTGAAATCAGAAGACAAGAGGTTTGTCGTGTTCCATAATGAGTACAACGAGGCAACCTATGTCAATCGAGAAAAGGGTCAATCCATCAATGATAGAAATGACCATGCCATCAGAAAAGTAGCCAGTTGGTTCAACTCACATTTAAATACCGAGAATTCACCTACTCCTATTCATATTATTTTTATTTGTAATGACGTTGACAACTGTACCAAAGCCAAACAAGAAGGAATCGATGCTAGATCCTTGGTGGATTACATTGATAGTTTACCTAATGGGGAAGATTTGCGTGATTTGATTCCTAGTGATATTGTCCTTCCCGGGAACTTTGAAGGGGACCAAAATGAAACTGTATTCCCAGAATATTACTCAAACGCAAGAATCATGGCCGGTATAAAAAATGGTACTTTGTACCAAGGTATGTTGAACATTTCGTCTTATAACTACCTTCAAGGGACAGTACTGGTACCTGCATTCAAGAAACCTTTGTTGATTATTGGATCCAAGAACCTTAACAGAGCATTCAATTCAGATTCAGTGATTGTGGAATTGTTACCTAAGGATAAGTGGAAGGAACCTTCTAGTACCATTATTGAAGAAGGCTCTATCGGAGCCGATGACAATGCCGGTGATGATGAGGATGATTTAGGTGAAGAAACCGGAGGTGTTGTTCTGGACAAGGAACGAGTATTCTTAGCACAAGAAGCCATGAAGGCTACCTCATCTAAAACTAACGAACTGCGTCTTCAACCTACTGCCAAGATTGTTGGAGTTGTGAGAAGATCATGGAGATACTATGTTGGTCAAATTGCCCCTAGTTCTGTAAGTGAAGAAACTGGACACTCATCAAGATCTTGCTTTGTTATTTTAATGGATAAACTCTTGCCCAAGGTCCGTATCAGAACCCGTAAGGCTAAGGAATACTTGGGTCAACGTATTGTTATTGTGGTGGATTCATGGCCATCAAACTCTCGCTATCCAAATGGTCATTTTGTGAGAACTTTAGGTGAAATTGAAAGTGCTGAGGCTGAAACTGAAGCATTATTATTGGAACATGATGTTGAATACCGTCCATTCTCCAAGAATGTGTTAGACTGTTTACCTAAAGAGGGAGATAACTGGGTTGTTCCCGATATGACTGATCCACAAGATCCTCAGTTGAAAAAGAGAGTTGATTTAAGAGATAGATTGGTATGTTCCATTGATCCACCCGGATGTGTTGATATCGATGATGCATTGCATGCTAGAGTGTTACCTAACGGGAACTATGAAGTGGGTGTTCATATTGCTGATGTAACGCATTTTGTTAAACCAAACACTGCGTTGGATCAAGAAGGTGCCTCGAGAGGTACTTCCGTTTATTTAGTGGATAAACGTATTGATATGTTGCCTATGCTTTTAGGTACTAATTTATGTTCCTTAAAACCATTTGTTGATAGATTTGCTTTTAGTGTTATCTGGGAGTTGGATGAAAATGCCAATATTCTCAAGGTTGATTATATGAAATCGGTGATTAAATCGAGACAAGCATTTTCATATGAACAAGCACAGTTGAGAATTGATGATCCTACACAAACCGACGAATTGACAAATTCCATGAGAGTTTTATTGAAACTCTCCAAGAAATTAAAACAAGGAAGAATGGATGCCGGTGCTTTGAATTTAGCCTCGCCGGAAGTTAAGGTTCATATGGATAGTGAAACTTCTGATCCACAAGAGGTTGAAATCAAGAAATTATTAGAAACAAATTCCTTGGTTGAAGAATTCATGTTGTTTGCCAACATTTCCGTAGCCAGAAAGATTTACGATTCATACCCACAAACAGCCATGTTGAGAAGACACGCACCTCCACCCGCCACCAACTTTGAAACCTTGAATGATATGTTGAATGTACGCAAGAATGGAATGTCAATTTCTTTGGAGTCTTCAAAGGCACTTGCTGATTCTCTTGATAGAATCGTTGATCCAAACGATCCATATTTCAATACATTGATAAGAATTATGTCTACTAGATGTATGATGGCTGCCGAATATTTCCCCTCTGGTTCCTACGGATACCCTGAGTTCAGACATTATGGTTTAGCCGTGGATATATATACCCATTTCACATCTCCTATCCGTAGATATTGTGATGTTGTTGTACATAGACAATTGGCTGGTGCTATAGGATACGAAAACCTTGATTTAAGTCATCGTGATAAACAAAGAATGGAAATGATTGTCAAGAATATCAATAAACGTCATAGAAACGCCCAATTTGCTGGAAGATCCAGTATCGAATACTATGTCGGCCAAGTAATGAGAAATAATGAGGCTGAGCATGAAGGGTATGTCATCAAGTGTTTCAATAATGGTATTGTTGTGCTAGTACCGAAATTTGGGGTTGAAGGTTTGATTAAGTTGGAAACCATGGGTGACTTGGCCACTGCTAACTACAATGAAGACAAGTATGAATTGACATTTACTGATTTGAAAGGTGCACAACGTACAGTTGCTATGTTTGACAAGGTTACTGTTGATGTTAAATCAGTCAAGGATGAAGTTAGTGGTAAGAGAAGAGCACAACTTATGCTTAGGTAGGAAATTGTATATTATTAGTTTTTATACCATTTATAAATAATTCTTTGTACAAATTGTATGCTTTATTTTTTTTTTTCTATTAAGAATCTTCTGGTTTATATTGTTTAATTATCTTTAATGATGTGGCCCTCCATGCATTCAATTGATGTAATCGACTAATTGTTTAATGTTGATGATTTTGATCTTGTGATCAGCACTGAACTTTATACAGTCATCCAATCTCATCATTAAACCATCTTCATCTCGCACCAATTCACAAATAACTGCAGCTGGTTGCAATCCGGTCAATTCACACAATTGCACGGCTGCTTCAGTGTGTCCTCTTCTTTCCTTTAATAAACCAGGAACGGCTCTTAAAGGTAAAACATGGCCTGGTCTGATAAAGTCTTCTGGTTTAGACTTGGCAAATGCCAATTTATTGGCAGTAAGAGCACGATCATGAGCACTGATACCAGTGGTTGTTCCTTCAGCAACATCACAAGTTACAGTATAAGCAGTGCCGTGTCTATCAGACTTACCTTTTATCATAGGTTGTAAATCTAAAGCATCAGCTCTGGCGGTGGATAATGGGACACAGACATATCCAGAAGAGTAACGAACAAGAAAAGCCATCTTCTCTTGGGTTATTAATTCGGCAGCTATAATTAAATCCCCCTCATTTTCCCGGTCTTCGTCATCCATGACTACCAAGAATTCTCCGTTTTTAAACGCATCTAATGCTTCTGGGATTGGTGTAAAAATTTTACTCATGTTTGTCTTAATTGTTTGTAGTTACTTGGTAATTTTAAATTGGACGATTTGTAATAAAAGCTTAGTAAAACCACGAAATAAAGCTAATTCTTTCTTTTTGAAAACAAAAAAAAAAATACTCAATGACTAATTTAAAAATAGTTACAAATTGCAAACGTGAGTTCGTGAAGCTAATCTTGTTTCAGGGTAATGTAACCTTTAAAGTATCAACAAATATCAATGGTGTCTGTAAACAAAGAGAGTTTAAATGATTCATAAATTTGAAAATTTCCTCTGGGGTTTTCGTTGGCAATTTGTGCGATGATGGCGGGTAGCCCTCGGCATTTTTTTCCGATTTTGTCATCAAAATGATTACGCCATATTACGTTTTTCGTGCGGGCCAAATTAGTAATAGTTGACATACGACGCTATTTTCTTTTGTCAGCACGTCCATCAGTGCGGCGAAAGAATCATGCCACCAGAAAAGATCACGTTGCCGTCTAGTATTCTAACCGATTATTGTTGTTGTTATTATTCTTCTTGTGATAATTAAACTTTTAGATTCTTATACCTCCAGCCATGACCGTGTCGTTCTGGTTTAGTTTCATTGTACGAGCGTTTGAAGAAGAAGAAGAAGTTGTAGTTGTAGTAATAGGAATGCAGAAGTAAATGTATGAAATATAACCAATTATTCAACCAGGACATTTTCGTAGCACAGGTGCACTTACTGACCATCTTCGTTCCGAATCATTTAGTGCCTAAAGTGTCTGTGATATTTAATTATTACAAACATGAATTAGCAGCCAATTATTATTGTTTGTCTATTAATAGTTCAAGCAATGAAAATCATATGGGTTTCTCCAACCTGAACTTTATCTACAATTGTCTGCAAGCGTACATACACTTTATTCTATGATCTCTTAAACAAACCAAAACAAAAAAAAAGTTTATTATATTAAATCAATCAACCAATCCATCCATCCAATTGGATCTGATAACTCATAACCTAAAAATATTGGTCTATTTTAGTCTAACCTTTTAAGAATTGTTTTGGAAACAACAAAACGCGAAATAACTTGGCAATTCACGTTGTTTGGATTTTTGTTATAGTCGTAGACTCTTTAAAATAACATTACTTTCTTGGTTTCTAATTTATTACCAGATCGTTTTGTAAAGTTTATCCTACAATATCAAAGGGTGTTGGTCGTAGTGATAAAAACTATCCTCGCGTTACCTTCCATGGTCAAAAACATAGAGAAAGGAATGGGATGTTATCAATGTTTGTAAATATAGGCTGGTTCTTGCAGAAAACCTTAATCTAAACCCGCGCTGGATCGGTGTTTCTGGTTGCAAATCTCAAACTTAAAATATGGTTTCATATTTCACGTAAGTTGCAAACTTTATTTGGTCATTTTTAAAAATAGTAAACTTAGAAAGGATCAAGTATAAAATGACATTGAAGTGACTTGATTCTTTTAACATTTTACAAAGTCATTCATTTCTTTTCAAAATATCAAAGATTTAATTACTGCAATGAAACTTATTCAAATTTTGGCTTTGGCTGGTTTATCTTTAGCCTTCGTTTCAAAAAGGGCTGACCCAGACCCATGTGAGCTGCAATGTATGCTTACTGTCGAAGCGCAGTTGCCCAAATGTGGTGGATACTCATCAGAAGAAACTGTCACCCGTTGCCTTTGTGGTTTAGGTGAGGATTACTGGACTCTCTTATGGACTTGCGTTCACAAAACTTGTGATTCTTATATTGGTTTACCGGATGTGGGGTGGGAATTTGCCAAATCCACCAAATGTTCGTCAATTGATGAAATACTTCCAGAAAAACCTTTTCCTGACATTGTTAATGATAAATGCGTCTATGATTGCATCATCTTTGTTGAAGTTTTCAATTTCAGATGCTTTGGTGCACTTGATATAATGGACTGCGTTTGTGCTATTGAAGATGAAGATTATTGGTACCCATTATGGCAATGTGCTAGCTTATGTCCAGCTTACGTGGAAACTCGTGTTGTAGAATGGATAGAGGGTAAAAAAAGGATTTGCGGAGATACACCAGAGGATACAACCACTGAACTGGAACCAACTTTTATTTCAGACTCAATCACTGTTCCTGATACAGATTCAGCTACTATTCCTGACCCAACCACTGAAACAGACTTAACCACTGTTCCAGACCCCGATTCATCTGACTCTACCGCAGAAGTACCAGAGCCAAGCACAGTTCCCGATCCAAGTACAGTTCCGGAACCAAGCACAGATCTAGAGTCAAGCACAGATCTAGAGCCAAGCACAGATCTAGAGCCAAGCACAGTCTCTGATTCAACAGATCCTAGCACCAAACCAACAACTGGACCCACAGCTGGTAATTCCACCTCAACTATTACCGAATCTCGCACTGTAACATATACCATATGTGATGAAACAACTAATTGTGTTACAATTACCACTGGCATTACTGGTTCTAAAGCTCCAAACCCACCCCAAACTACATCTAAAAATCCTTCTCCTGGTTCAATCACCAAACATGAAGGTTCTGCTGTTGCTTTAGCTGTTGGTTCGGTTGCGTACTTGATTGGTCTTGCTTTTCTTTAATATTCTCTACTTTCTACATTAATTTTTATGGTCTAATTAATATTTCGTTATGTCGTACTAAAGTCGTTTTTAATTTCATTACATTAAAACTATGCTCTATAATATGTGAGTGCATAGGTTTCACCATATACTCTTTGGCAGATTCAACAATGTTTAGATTATATTTTTTTCACAAATAACGTTTCTCTTACATGAATACAGGTGTAAATTTTGGGAAGAACGTGTCATAAGATGCAGATATATGTTTGAGTATGCTTCAAATACTTCTAATATAAACTAATTAAACAAATATAAAATTTGAAAACAAATACAAAACCACTAATAAGCAGTTTGTTGATATAGCAGAAGCGGAACCTTCAAACATTTCAACTGAGTTGGCATTAAGTGTATTGGTCGAATTTCCAGGAATAGGTATATAATCGGCCATAGTTTTAGAAGCATTATTTGAGGTAATTGAAGTATAGACAGATTCAACTAAAGTTGGATATGCTCCTTCATCAGAAGTAATAATGTTTACATCGCTTGCAACTGAATCATTGCTGCTTGGTTGACAATCAGAACTACACACAGTTGCTGTAACGTATGTAGTGGTTGTTCTTGTGACTGTAGTTATGATTTCAAAGTTTGGTTCTATAGTCGATTCATCATTAACGGGCGTGGCTGTGCCATCAACTGTAGGTGTATCCTTCTCTTCAGTATCTGATATAGTTGAGTCGGGAGTAGAAATTTCTTGTTCGATAATTTCTGTTTCAATAGAGATTGCCAGCAAACTAATAGTTTCCTCTTCAAGGTCATGACTAATTCCAAGTTCTGGTTTTGAAGTAGTTTGAATTTCATTTTTGGTGCTAGATGGAGCTTTTGAATCACTAGTGCTGGGATTCTGCATACTAGTGCTCACATGAGAGTGTTCACTGCTAGTTCCAACTGGCTGTTGAGTATTTATTTGAACTTTTGTTTCAATTATGGATTGATTTCCTGGTTTTGTGGTGCTTTTAGATTCTTGTTCTGTTGTACTTTTATACTTCAGTTCAGATGATGCTCCAACATTAGTATTAGTTCCTACTTTGGAAGTTTCTTTAGTGGGTGTTGTCTTTGATTCTGAACTAGTTTTAGTATCCAGTTGAGAAACACCCTGAACAAAGTTTTTCGCATTCCAACATTGAGCTGGTAAATCAGTTAATTGATCAGAAAAACAGCCATGTTGATAAGTAGCGTAATAAGTATCCCAATCATAATAAACTTGGAATGGGGTTGTGCAAGTTAATTGATTAATATTTTCGGCTTCCATCACCCAAGAAAAATAGAAATGGAATGGAGAATTGCCGAGAAGGTTTTGTTGCCACGAGGTAGCAAAAAGTTCAACACTTCCAAGATAGTCATTTGGAGTTTGTAGGGAAAAGATATAAATTGCACGCAATTCAGATTCTGTGTAAGCTTTACTGTCAATTTCAAATTCAATCATTACTTCATAGAAATTATCCTCGATCCACTTGATAGACTTAAATTCAAATATCTTTAGTTTTGGTTCATTATTTTGTTTGGAAAGCGCTCCAAGACTGGAGCTACAGATACTGTTTCCATTCCACAGAGTTGGATAATTTGCCGTTGGCTTGGGTAAATTGGTGTATGGACGACTGACAGTCACTGGTCCTGACAAGGTAGTTGTAGCTGCATTAGCCGGAACTAGCATTTGTAATAACAAATACCAAAGGAATAAAGTTTGTAGCATTGTAAAATAATATGTTTGCTGCAATATTCGAAAGAAGTATGAAAAGATTGAGTGAAACTTAAAAATGAGGCAATAGCTAGGCAAGTTATATATATATAAGATTTGAAGTGGAATCATTTCCAACAAACCGGAAACACTGTTATCTTCGTCAATTCGAGAATGGGTGCAATATTCCCAGTAATTTTTCTTAGTCCGCCATTTATTTTTTAACTGCACAAGGTATTTTAGACGAGTAGGCTAGATCTAGAAATGGGGCAACCCCTACCAGGTACAGTGAGAAATATTTTTTTTGTGCAGGCTTTTCTAGACGGAACCAAAGCAAGATCTTGTAGAGAGGGCTTTGATATATGTTCTTGAACTACTTGGATTGAGGTCAATATTACCAATATCGGAAATGTCTCGTTTGTTTGTTGTTAACTCTTTATATCTAGTTTTTGACTTGTTATCAGAAAAGCTTTGTACATCTAGGTGATATTTGTCAATATGCAACACCCGGCTGCAAAAAAAAATAAAAAAAAGACGCACAATTATTGAAATGAATATATTACTAATTTCTTGGCAATATTTACACTCTGTAAAAAAATACCTCACATATCTGTCTTCGTATCTTAAACTAGGCACTATTGTAAACGGGTAATTCTTGACATGCAGTATATTGCATGAACCAGTGATGTAATCCCAATTAAATCAATTATAGTTAAAACTATTGTCCCGGATATGCAACTCTATGCATAGACTGCAAACCATAACAATCTCGAGGACCTTTAAATCTCTCGCTTATAATAGTATTGGTATAATAGGGCTGATAATTATTTAATTCATAATTAATGGAGTAGAGGTACCGGTTTGAATTTCAAGTTCTACAATCTTGAGAAGAACTGTTACTCAAAAGTAGCAGGTTAAATAGAAATGAGAGATCTAGTTTCACTTATAATTGAATCAGATAACGAAAACATGAATACACATGTGCAATAATAATTGAAGACTATGTTTTATTTTCTCTTTTTCAAGACAATGATAAATAAAGAGTATTTTTCACCGTATATGATAACCAAGAAACAAAGTATTGTTCATAAACAATATGTAAAGTATGGTGAGATCTTTGGTAATAAGTTGAGTTAGATATGTGTTTTCTTAGTTATAATTCTATTGGTTATAAACTTCTACAAGAAATTATACCCCAATCTAAAGTACTTGGTTTCTAGAAATTTATGTTTTGATAACAAACTTTGATACTTTTTACGGCTCTATTGTATGAGTTTCGCTGTGATAAATATCAAATTAACTATTTATCTACATTTATTCTAACTGTTGTATACAATATACAAGTCATTAATTTGCGTCAAAGTAACACATTTTGGTAAATAGAACTTTGATTAAATAAACAAAATTGTAGAAATCAATAATAAAAATACCGAAAAGATATTTGCTGTCAGAACTGAAGCTGAACCCACAAACTCCTCAAAGTCAAGGTTTTCATCAAGGGTAGGATCAGAACCATTAATAACTGAAGAAGTGGTGGCAACTATACCTTGAGGAACATTGTCTGGTAATACAGAGGTATATATAAATTCAATTGATGTTTGGTAAGTTTTACCATCAGACACAATAGTCGTGGGTAATGCACTAGTAAATGTAAACACCTCGATATTTTCAGCCAACATGGTATCAAGTGTATTGCCAACCACATTATCATTCAAGCCATTATTATTTCCAGGAGATGATGGGTTACCTGCACTAATACCCAGACCTTGGTTCAGTCCCGGATTGGAATTTTCTTGGTTTGCACCTTGACCATTATTACTTTGTTGCAGCCCTGTATTATACGTGATTGGTGTAGTAGATGTTACTGGTATATTATTACCCACTGTATTAGGGGGTTGTCCGGTAGAAGTAGTTGTCACTATTAATGTTAAAGTAGTTGATATATCTGGGTTGGATGGATCAATTCTAACTGTTGTGATTGTCATAGTTAAGGAGTTCTCTTCTGGTGGATCTGCTGTTATGTATGTCACTGTATTGGTTATGGTTCTGGTGATAGTAGGATCAACTGATGTTGTGGTAATAGTTTCAATTACAGTTCTTGAAGTAGCAATTGTTGGTGGTATTGATTGATTTCCTGTAGCTGAATCCGTTGAAGTTTCTGTATTACGGTTGGATGGATCATTGGTTTTTGTTTCAGTTTCTCTATTAGTGGAAACATTGGTAGTGAATGCGCTAGCCAGGCCAGGATTACTAGATTCCTCGGTAGGAGCTCCTGTAGCTTGATGGGAAGCTGAATATGTTGAGCTTTCAGTTCCAGATTGAGCTGGTGTTTGGGTAGGAGATTCACTTGGTTCATCAGACTGTGTCATGGTCGATTCTTGTGAGACAAGGATAGTTGTTTCGCTACTTGAACTTTTAGTTTCTTCTTCTGCTGGTGATTTTACTGGATCTTCAGTATTCTCAGATGTTGGTTCTGTTGTTTTTTCAATGGACCCTGGATTACTCGATGGGACTAGTTCTGTAGTAGATTCAATTTGTAAATTACTAGACGACACTAGTGGGATAGAGGTAGTCTCGTGTTCTGATTCACTTATTACATCATCTTGTGGGTCACTACTAGTTTCATCTTGAGGGTCGCTAGTGGTTTCAACTTGGGTATCACTAGTAGTTTCATCTTGTGTAACAATGGTGGGTTCATCTTGTGGGTCACTACTAGTTACTTGTGTATCACTGGTAGTTTCATCTTGTGGGTCACTACTAGTTTCATCTTGTGGGTCACTACTAGTTACTTGGGTATCACTGGTAGTTTCATCTTGTGGGTCACTACTAGTTTCATCTTGTGGGTCACTACTAGTTACTTGTGTATCACTGGTAGTTTCATCTTGTGGGTCACTACTAGTTACTTGGGTATCACTGGTAGTTTCATCTTGTGGGTCACTACTAGTTTCATCTTGTGGGTCACTACTAGTTACTTGTGTATCACTGGTAGTTTCATCTTGTGGGTCACTACTAGTTTCATCTTGTGGGTCACTACTAGTTACTTGGGTATCACTGGTAGTTTCATCTTGTGGGTCACTGACAGTTTCATCTTGGGTATCACTAGTAGTTTCAGCTTCGGTTTGAGTGGTAGATGGTTCAATTGATGTGTTAGACTCTTCTTCAGTGGTAGTTTGCTCAACTCGTTCACAAATCTCTTCCCAACACAAAAGTGGTAAGTCTCCAACTCCATCTAAGAAATCGCATCCATGATCATACGTAGCTCCTGCTTCTTGCCAAAGATATGAAATCTCAAATGGTGTGGTACATGTAAACTCGTTGATCTGTTGCATCTCCATCACCCACGAGAAATAAAAATGGAAAGGTGAGTTTCCAAGAAGATTGATACCATCATCTTGTTGTGGATTATAGAGGTACTCGCCAAAACTGTAACCACCTGGCATACGAAGGTTTCCCACGTATACATTTTTCAAATGGTCTTCGGGATATACACTACCATCAACTTTGAATTCAAAAAGAACTTGGTACAAATCATCAGTCAAATATTGGATAGATTTGAATTCAAATATTTGCACTTCTGGATAATTTGCATTTCTTGCGTGTTCTCCAACATCATACTCACAAACACTGTTATCATTCCACAGGCTTGGGCAATCCATTAGAGATGGCAATACAGGTAAGTCAGTTCTTGTTGGTTCAATGGTGCTGGGATCTGCAGTCACCACCAGTAAAATTTGTAGTACCAAATAGGTAAAGAATAATATTTGCTGCATTATAAACTAAAAGTCTATTGAGAAAACTTTAAAATGTGGAAGCAAATCCTTGAGACAATTTGAAAGACTGAATAAAACTGGTTATATTTATATTCAAGAAATTTAATAAAAGAACCAAGTCATTAAAGTGGGGAGTTACTAATATTCGTATTGGTTACAATATTCTAAAAGGTTATACCTGCATAGTGCTTTGCTACCCCCAATTGAGATTTTGGTGTATTTGGAAATAATTACCGACATGGTCAGCAAACAACACATGTTCTGCAACATAAATAAGCGCAAAATGGTTCGATTCGACTTTGGTCAATTTATATTATTTTTCAATTTTGTGTTGGGATTGTTTCTAGAAGAGACACAAACCAAGAGCTAATAATTTCGTTTCGTGAAACTCAAATTTGCAACTGATAGAAATCGAAACTCACTTAATGATAAGATCACTGTTCATTCTTACAAAGAAGTTATTATTACCAGCACATGCTGTTTAACTCACTCATTATTGTAATTCCACAACGATAAAACACTCTTAGGGCGCTTGTAATGCTAGATTAATAGGGTGCTAAAAAATAATTAACATGGAACATTGAAAAATTAATTTTGGGGTTTCTAAATTCTTAGCACATTTCTTGGAATGATCACCGAAGCAATTAATATACAAAAAAATTTCTTTTGTATTATCGCTAAACCAGTATATTGGAAATGAGGCGGGAACCAACCCCAGGCGTGAAAATATTCACTAATTTAAGTTAATTAACAAGAAGTCTTTCGTATAATTAAACTCAATGTATGAAATATCGTGACCAATAGAGTGAATTTCATTCATAAACATCTATATTTGGCACTTATTGTCGAAAACATGGTTCATATTAGAACTTAAATAGCGTTGCTACTAATATCTGTTATGAAATTGGTGAATTAAATCCAAGAGATGATATCCTTTGAATTTACCACTTCCAAATTATTGCAATACTAAACGTAGGAACCAAACAAATAAATTGCGCCTCTGATATACGAATCATCAACAATGCACGTTTATGCATTCTACAGTAGCAATCTTAAAGTAGTGTGTTTTTTTTTCCTTTTTCTTAGATCGAAGAAAAAGTTAATTTGCCACAACCCTAAGTTAGCTGCACGGCAAAATGAAAGATGTCTCTTGGCAAATTGGAAAGCCGCATCTTCTGAGAAGTATTTATCGGTCATCTTCTTTTAGATCTAGACGTCTATTGGATGTATTTTTATTGATGATAGATTAAAGAAAACTTACAATATATGGTCTGATGGTAAATATTTTTGGTCGTGGAAAAGTCAAGAATAAACGAACCATCGGAATCAATTTATTACTTTCTTTTTGTTTGGTGCTTGTTGCCTGATGAAGTTTATTGCATCGCTTAATTATTAATGCACAGTCTGTAGAAATTCGAAACTAGATTAGAAATCGTTTGGTATATTTGTTAAATTCAACCTTGAAGTAAAATAGTGAGAGATGTATGTAAGATAGAATCTCGATATTCCTTTGAAATAGAAGTTATATTACTTTTGGCTTTAACTCGCTAGTCGTTTCAAATTAATATTCTGCACTTGTTTTCACCTTTTAGATTATACGAGTAAAGTCCATATTGTATAAAATACACTCAAAATTGAACCTCGACAGCTAATGATCAAGTCGAAAAACAATACAAAACATTCATTAGAAGTAAACTAGAGTAAAGCAGTTACTCTGTGTGTATTTAATGACGTATATTTCTATGCTAAATCAAAGGAAAGAAGTACGGACGATGATATTGAAATAGTGGAACTAAGAATGATGGGTTATATTGGATATAAACAAGAAATATTTGAGCGAAACTGATAATAATGTATAAAGGAAAATACAAATCCTACAAGGTAACACACATCGATGGTAATATAATAGTACATAACACAATCAACAACAAAGTAACTTGAAAAAAAGAACTGGAAATGTTGGAAAATTCATAGCCTTTGGAAATACTTCAATTTCTTTCCTTGTATCAATTATTGGCTACGATCGGCTGTCATTTGAATAAATAATTGTTGTTTGTATCATTTAGCCTTACCTTGATAATAAACTCGTGTCAAATATTAGAACCATTGCATTTTTCAGTGTCCTTGCGCAACATGATGCCTGAAAATAGACGAAATCTCGTTGCAGAATAAATTGAATTCAATTCGTTTGCAGTCCTCAAAAAAGTCGTCCAAACAATGATCTTAAAGTTTAAGATCTAAGTAATTGCACTGAATTTCAATAAGCACAAAAATCGTAAGATTATCTTGAAAAGTATGTTTGACTTATTGTGTAGGTATCACTAATGCAATAATGCAACAAAAAAAATACAAACACTCTACATGTGTGTATATGAATAATGAATAAGCGCAGAATGTTCCGTTGTTCGTTTTTTCTATTTTTAATATTCGCTTTTCTGTTCTATGCGCAAGGAGACCAGGCGGCTAGGAGGCGACGTAGATATGCAACTATATGTGGGGAGATTCCATCCAGACTATTGCACAACAAAGTAAACTAATATTTTTTTCGTAATATTGTATCTAGAAAAAAGAAACAATGCAAGATCGCTATGGTCATTATTTTGGGAGGGGGTATTAGTTTCGCAGAGATCTGGAATCAACACAATTAAACAGAACTAGGATTGGGTCGTATTGACCTTGAGTGCGGGATTAGTATTATCACATTTCTTCCAGAACTCATTATCAAAGCTTTTTTGCATCATATATGCGATAAATGAAAAGTAGAAACTGGGAGGGGGGGGGAATAATAATCTTTAAACTACTAGAAAATAATGCAAATATTCTTGTATTGAAAATTCTTGGCAACATGTGGCGAGTGCTTCCAAAAATATCTGTTTGCTTGTACAGAAAATACTTTATACCCCTAACGGTCTGCTTCTATCTAAAATTGTAATGAAGAGCTACTGTGCAAGAACAAAAAACGAGAGATATACGTTGCCTAGAAAAATATGTGGTGGAAGGAAAGTATGTTTAAGCAGCCAAGAAATCAATACCTATAACACGTTCTCCCATCTCATTTTCTCGGCCATAATCAATCTGAACGTAAATCTGAATAATCATGGATAGTGTTGGGGATGACTCCAATAATAACATTTCTAATATTGTACTTAAGTTCAACAAATGGTCTCGAGTTTAAATTATTATCCCCACAAAGAATATGAGTTTGTTAGGGCAACTTTTCATTTTTGTCTCATGGAAAACGTTCAGCGCTTAATCTAATTGGATATCCATGTTTTACTAGGCAAAAAAATATTTACCGACTTGTGTCAGTGTTTTCTGGTGTCACGATAGAGCTTAATTGTAGATATAACTTATTAATAACGTAAAGTCACTAAACCAGCGATTTATCACGTGTATTTCTTTAGTTGCAAAAGACAGGGGTTTAAGGAACTTCAACAGAAAGGTCTTAATAATTAACGCACGAAATATGTTGTTCGGTATTTATTTTCTCCGGGTAACCTTTTTGATATAATCTACTTCAAATGTAATTTTCTTTTTGATCTACACGTTACATGTAGGTATCCATTTCTCTAGTTACTGCTATTAGTGAATTATTGTAGTTATTATCTGTGGCTTTAATATTCAAAGAGAGTACTGTTCTTGTTAATATTAGTTAGATTTGGTGAAAATTTCGCAGCAATAGCAAATAGAACGTAGTGTATCAAGAAAATAAAAGTAAATACCTATGTCGAAACAATTTCAAGGATGAGTAAACTGAATTTGACATATTTTCCAATTTAGATAGCTATTAGGTTTGTTATTACAAGCAATAGAAATTGGTTCCGACTACATATCGAAACATTGGTTGAAAATACAAAGAAAAATATGTTGCTTAAAATTAGGATGTTTTTTTTTTTCATAGCACTTCAAGGGCACCGCTGCCACCACCACCACGGAAATGACAATCACAGAAGATCCAACAGGATTCAGCAAATCCTTTATAGCACACTTTAATGACAATGACAAGACAGAATTCTTTTTTCACAAACTCACATTAGCCGATCAACAAATCATAAATGTCCAAATGGACGGCGTAATGGACACAACATTTGACATACCCATGACAACCCAGGCAAGTATAAATTATGCCAGTTCAATGGAGATAGACGGTAACACACTAGGCGTTCCTGAGCCTGTTCTTATGATTGGTGATCATGCCAATATGAAAATTCTGATTGTCGCCAGCCAGATTGCCAAATTAATTGCCTTACGAAGTCCGCGTCATACTTGTTTGTCAATTGGATCTAGATGGTTTGGAACCGGAGATGAAGTTCAGGATGGTGATTTCGAAAAGTTGATGTTTATAATAGAGAACATAAAGAAGCTTTTATAAATGTGAATTAATATATATTTATCTATTTCTTAGCTGGTCTTTCTTTGGCAGGGACTAATCTTTCCTTTTGACCAAATACTAACTTGTGAGGTTTCATAAAAGAGTCAAGAACTTGTTGGTCAACCTTACTTCTTCTTTCTTGATAAGCAGCAACAAACTCTTGCAATACACCAATACATTCCTTCTTCATTTCCCCAGACAAGATTTCACCACTTCTGTAACCTTGTTCTAATTTGGCTAAATGTTCATCGTCATAACTAAAGAATGACAAGTACTGGAATGCAACATCAACATCAGGATTACCACCTAATTCTCTATGTTCTTCCATGGTAGCTCTACCACCACTGAAAGCATACTTGTTAATCTTCTTTTGAATCAACTTAGGAGTGTCATCCATAAAGATGGAACTGGTTTGGTCAGAAGCAGACATCTTGGTTGATGCACCTTGTAAAGCAGGGAAGAACTTGGCATGAATCAAGGCTGGCTTGGAAAATTTCAACTTATCAGCAACATCTCTACATACTCTAAAGTAAGGATCTTGATCAATTGCACAAGGAATCAAACATGGAGTCTTGGCAGGAAGACCCAATACATCAGGGAATGACGATGGGAATGCAGTAGCGATTTGAATACTGGCGAAATGAATCTTACCAATACAATCAGAATCTTGGAATCCGAAAACAGCTTTAGCGGTAGAAGTAGTGATTTGTCTCGATGTTCTCACGACATTTTCGTAAAAGGCACCCCCCATGTATTGTAAATCGGAGAATATGAATGTGTTTTCTGGCTTGAACCCAACGGCAATGACATCTTTACAGTTTTCAATGGCAAAATTCTTGACATCTTCAATGGTGAGCTTTGGTTTAAAGAGGAACTTCTCATCATCGGTCAATTCAATAACTAATGGAACGTCAAATACTTCTTGCAACCACTTGGTAAACACAAATGGAATCATATGGCCCAAGTGCATGGATCCAGAAGAAGGACCTCTTCCGGTATATAAAAAGAATGGTTCGCCGTGTTCATACAAGTCCAAGATCTTGGTCAAATCACGTTCGGAGAAGAAAACACCTCTTTTCAAGAATGGATGTGGTTCTTGGCCAGTGACTTGTGTGAATCTGGCCAAGGTTTCGTTAGTGATGGCTTTGGTACCGAATTGTTGAATCAACTTGTCATAGTCAATACCTTGGGCTTTACCGTCAACAACAGCACCTTCAACTTCCCATGGTGTGATTTTCTGCTCGTGTTCTTTGGAATCTAACTTTAGTTTGGCAACGCCTTCTTCTACTGACATTATCGATGGTTTGTTGTATGGGTAAGTTTTGTCTGACTCAACGTTTTCCTTTTCTGTCTGAAAATTTTCAAAAAAAATAAATGATAACCGATTTTTCAGACACTAAAATGCCATCTACACTTTGGGGCTATTACGTACAACTTTGATGTTTATTTGTAAACTGTTAAATATACATAGTTAGATTACACTTATCATTTTACTTAGATCGTAAATTATTATTTGTTAAACCCAACAAGAACGAGAGAAAAACCACACTATATAAACTAATTAAGAACCCAATTTTAATTCAAAACTTTATTTAAAAGTGTAACTTTTGGAAAAACCACTTGTTCTTACCAGCTTGGTTCTTTTCTTCCAAAGCCTTCTTGACAACCTTCTTGGCTTCTTCTCTTTGTGATGGTTCTTCTAAAGCTTCAGAGGTGACAGCACTCTTGAAACTTTCGACATCTAAAGAGTATCTGGTTGGCATTAAATGGTTGTAGTTAACCAACTTAACGAATGGCTTGACCTTGGTTCTCTTGGCAGTCTTCTTAGCACCCAAGTTCTTGGTGACCTTTAATGGGTTTCTTTCAACACCAACAACAATGGCGTGTGGGAATGGGTGGGACTTGGTACCTTCGTCGTGTGGCTTGACGATGACAACCTTCTTACCGGCGAAACGACCACGAACGACAATAGCTAGAATAGATGTTAGTATAGGTGTCTTTTGAACAATTTCCAAATAAACGAGGTGTGGGCGGTTGTCTAACTGGGTTTAGTAATAAATGATTGGTGCTTGTTGTGGTGTGTGGGTGTAGAGCGTGGGTGTAGTAGTAGTTGTAGTTGTTGTAGTTGTTGTGGTAGTAGTAGCTGCTGCTGTTGTTGTTGCTTTCAAAGTGTAGAGTGCGCTGGTAAAACTTTTTATCTCTTCTCCATAATCTATCTATCGTGTGCAGATGTACATATGATTCCTTGAATATGTTGAATACTCAGTATAATACATTTACATTAGATCATTGAACATATCCTAGCAGTGGCGGTTGATTTTGATTTATTTAGTTGCTGTCGAATTCTTGTGGTTTGAATTAGACATGGTTATATTTTACTTCAATTTTCAGACTGACAATTCTTGTATCCTGTGTTACGTTAAACTCCCTTTCATTCTCCTCTCTTTGCTCGTTGATTTAGTTGATGGATCTAGTTCATGCGATACATACCAACTTTACCTGATTTAATGAATTTAGCCATTTTTTATGATGTGTGATGTTATGAACTGTACGGTACTGTTGTAGCTATGATTGAAATTTTTTTTTTTCTTTCTTGCTTTGGTGCTTTGAAAAAACTTCGTTTGGTAGTGCGCGCAAAACCGGACGGAAAATTCCACTGCGGGCATCGTCTGCAATTTTTTGGTCTGCGCACGCCAGAAGTTTTTTCGTGCATATAAGGAAAAGCTAGGGCTGCAGCCCTAATGTTGTGATGTTGTCATGTGCCACGGCCGATCTAGTCACATGCAATAGTGGTGGTGGTAGAAGAGGTACAAGTAGAAGTAGAAGAAGTAGAAGCAGAAGAAGTAGAAGCAGAAGAAGTAGAAGTAGAAGAGGTAGTAGTGGTAGCAGCACCAGCACCAGCACCAGCAGTACAAACCTTCAGTAAATAGATATGTTCTCTATTATACGTGAGTGTGCTATATATTTTATTCTATTTCTTACGGTTACTTCTAGCCAATAGCTTCGAATTCAACGAAGTAATAGCCGGTTTAGGCCCACCATTACCACTCGCACCACCACTGGTAGTTCTAATGACCTTGGCTCGCGCAGAACCCTCATCTTTACTAAAACTAGTCCTTCTATGCTCTTGCGATTGTGGCGCTTGGTTAGATACCGCTATTTGTGCCGCCTGTAACCAGCCACTATCAGTGGAATTTCGAGGAAGACCTGTATGCATATTTAATTCGCTCGGAAGTGGAGGGCTCGATGGCGGTGGTTTCCTATGTGCCTGTGAATGCGAGTGGTGGAGTGGTGGAGGAGGAGGCGGTGGAGGAGATGCTACCGGTGATTGTGGCCGTTTCTGCGTGGATGATCGTTTCGACGATGGATTACTAGATTCCGGTTGTTCTGGAGTGTTTGCCTGCGAGGGACTATTCCTAAATGCTTCAAACTCCACCTTCTCTCTTTCAATCTCATTCAACTTCGCTTTCGTCAATGCTTCAGTCCATTGATTCAATTCTTGGGATTCTACTTCAAATATAAACGATGTTTGCAAGGAACTAATCACAAACGTCCCCGTAGTTGGCAATGCTTGCGAAAACTTATTGGAGCTGCTTCTATTCACCAACTCTTGAAAATGAATGAATGGATACTTCAACTTAATCTCATAAATAAGCGCATACTCAGAAGTTTCTTCTTGTCGGTGACAAATCAAGCATCGGCCATGGGTAGTGATCACCATCGTGCATGTCTGTGGCTTTTCCAACATCGTGCTGGAAAACACATTATCCAGCCCTCCTCCGGTAGTTTCCTTATCTTTACCAAACCCAAATCTTTTAAGAAGCGACGACTTCTTGCTCTGGGTCGAGCTTCGGGTATCAGAACGCGATAACCCCTTGGCATGGTCAAAAATGGCAACTCCTTCATTTCGATACTGACTATTGGCACCGCCATTGCCATTGTTAGCCGATTCTCCATTCACCATTTGTGACAATAAACTCATTCCTCTTGGTTTGGAGGCCGCCATACTCAATGGCAGGGCATGGAGTAACCCCTTATTATGTCTTTCAAAACTATCAGTTGCTTCAACATGTGCAATAACTGGACCAATCCGAAGCACACGCTCGTCGTTATGATTGAGAAATGAGAGCCAAGCAATGTCAAGTGGTGTAAGTGTGGTGACTTCCAACACCTTTGATGCTCGAGTACTTGCAGAAGAACTTGATTTCGGAATGTTGGTAACAGATGTACTTGATGTAGATGGAGTGGGTCTAGTTCGTTGCTGCTGTTGCTGTTGTTGTTGTTGTGACAGTTGCGACGACTGTTGACGTGAACTACTAGCCCGGGTGAATGCTGTACGTACTTGAGGACGAAGAATGTTGGTTCCTGGAATGTAATCTGGTGTGGACGCCTTTTTGGTTTCCTGAGGTGAAGGACTTGGTTTCGCAGTTGTATCATCATTGGGTTGTGATTTGTTAAGTACAAATGCAGCTACACTGGCGGCATTGACTGAATCAGTAGTCAATCTAGTTGGATTAGGTGGTCTTTCTACTGGGCTTGCAGTTCCAGTGGTTTTCTTGACCTTGGGTTTCTTTGGTTTAGTAACTGTGATTGAACTGGTGGTGATTTCTGGAATTTTCATCATTGACTCAGCACTCATCTTGTATGGGCCCAATTCTGGTGGATCCTTCCAAATCAGATCAAAATCATTGAAATTGACTTGACGGAAGAAGTAATGATTTTTAATCTCGGATATTGTCGCTCTTTTAGATGGCTGCAACACTAAAATCTTCTTGATTAAATCTCTGATAACCGAAGGGAACCCAGCACTAAATGCATATTGCAACTTGGTAATCTTTTGAAATGTCAAATATTCATTGGTGGCTTTAAACGGCGGTTTACCAGCAATCATCTGATATATGATACATCCAAAGGCCCAAATATCACCTGGTTTACCACAGTATTTGTTTTCAAGCAACTCTGGACTAACATATTCAGCCGTGCCGACAAAGGATTTGGCACGCACATCAAGAGGGTAATCCTCGCTGTCATCATCCTTTTTCTCCAATAAACGGGCTGTTCCAAAATCAGTAATTCGGATTCTCATATTGTCATCAAGCAAAATATTCTCGGGCTTAATATCACGATGGATTACTCCATTATCATGCATATATTGGATCGCATCAAGGATCTGGGCCCCGAAATGGCGAGTACATTCTTCATTCAAAGTGTTGTACTTTTTAATCAACGATAGCAACTCACCATTGGATGCATAATCAAGCACGAAATAAAGCGAATTGACGTCCTGAAATGTGAAGTAAAGTGAAATGATCCCCATTCGGTTGGTCAATCTGTTCAAGGCATGTTTTTCAATATTGACATATTTGACCTTCTTCTCCTTGATGATGTGACGTTTATCCAAGATCTTAATCGCATACTGTTTTGAAGTGTTCTTGTCGACCGCGAGCACCACAGTTGAATACGACCCTTCACCAATCAATTTACCAAACTTGAAATCCTTAACGGTGCGTCGGATAAGCTTCACCTCACCAGACTCGGTGGTTATTTGTTTTGATGCACTGCCACGTTCTTGCCATTCTTTATCTTCCTTTTGTTTTTGCAAGGCCATTTCTGGACTAAGGGGTATTCCATCAGCTTCGTCGTTGACGTTGTCACCGTCGTCGTCAACAGTTGATACATCGCCATGTTTTGCCTTATTTGCTTGTAATCGACGATCCACCATCCTAGTGAAATCGTCATCATAAACATCATTAGAGTCTATCAACACATTCAAACTGGAATTGGTGGTAGCCTTGGGCTGTAAATTATGCCGAGGGTTGAAATCAAAAGAGTCCTCCCCTGACTTGGGAGTCATAGGTGCGCTCTTGGCTCTTCGGTAATCGTCATCATCAACCCCTAGACTGGAAAGTCGAGATGAAATGTGAACGTCTGGAAGTCGATTCTTGTGACTGTTGCTGTTGGTGTGCGGTTCGTCCTCAAGGGTGGATATGCTGCCGCTGCTCCCATTGGACATGACGTAACCACGATAGATATCATCTAGGGATTCGTGTAGATCAGCTAGACTATTGTCGGTTCCATTCATTTTGTGGATGGTTTAATATTTCATAGACGGTTGGTATGTGGGAAAAGGGGGAATTGGGATAATTGTGCCACTTGCTTTGTTGTTGGTGTATGGCGTATATAAAATAGGTAAAGACTGCTATTGTGTAAGATCAAGTTGTGGATTGATTTTCAATAAGAAAAATGTTGAAACCCCCTCCCTTTTTGAGAAATAATAACAAACTTGTTGGTTCCCTATTGTTCATTGTTTTTGTATTGGTGGAGATATGGTTGCTTGTAATTATACTGAAATTTTATACGTCACATGACTGTTGTCATGTGGTGTATATCACATGATGTGTGTCATGTGGTACGCATCACGTGTATTATCTACCCCCCTCCCACCCTCTACAACTACCTTGGGTTACATAGTTTACAACCATTAAACAGTTCACGTAAGTCACAAGTACTGTTCAAGATAATCAATCAAACTCTATCATGGCATTTCCATTGGACCAACCACATCTACTAAAACATCTACGTACTTCTTTCATATCGTTATCCAATGATCCCGAATACTCCAACAAGATAATCAAACCATGTCTCAATATTGACACACCAACAATAGAGTCTACGTCACCGCCAATAACATTTCAAATGGCACGACATTTGAAGAACCGAATAGAGAAACCCAGAATAATAAGCACTTCCAATAGGACTAAGAAGAAAAAGAAGAGGAGGACGCGTAAGAAGGAAGCGGAAGAACCGCAAGATATACAGGACCAAATCAGCGATTATTCGAGTGACGAAGCAAACTATACCGGCACCATGCTTCACCCAATTGATGATGCCGTTGAACAAGATCTCGTGCTGCAGAAGCTGAAGAAGCGAAAGTCGCGGAATCCACTTGTTCTGTTCTTTCAATCCAAGGAATCAGATGATTCTAGTGACGATAGTGACCAGCCACGAATATACGAACAAGAACAACAAGAGCACGAGTTGGAAACCCCAGTAAATACTGAAGAAGATGAGGAAGGATACACCACCGAAAAACAGGAGGAGGATGTTGTTACTATAGATAGTGATTTTGGAGTGCCTGTCAATGCCCTGGGACATGTTGTACAGAACTATCATGAAATATCGGAAGAAGAAGGTGTTGATGCCGACAATGATGATGACGACGAAAACGATGAGTATGACGATGACTATACAAACACAGAAATAGATAATCTTGATGAAGATGAGGATTTTGACTCGGAGTATGATTTTGAAAGTGAGGATTCCGCATTCACAGATCTAGATAACGAATCTATGTCCCTTCTTGACTCATACACCGATCCAGATGGTGGACAAAGCGTGTCATTCAATCATCAAAGCAGTACTGATGGAAGAGGAGAACCAAGCAGTAGTGGAGCAGGAGGCATGGAAGAGAAACGAAAAAAACCCAAGAAGGTTGGAGATTCACTTGAACAACATACTGTTCCTCGAACTATTCTTGGATCACTACGACTTACTCCTGCTAAATCTGCAATTCTTTTGAAAAAGCAACAACAATCACAATTGCAATTTGAGAAAGTTAATCCACAAACCATGCACCCACCTACCACGTCCAATCTAAGTTCCTTGGTCCAATCGAAACATAAATCGGCTAATGTCAATCCATTGCAATTCTTTGCCTTTGCCAACGGTGATATTAATACGTCTCAACAACGAACATCTTTGAACATATTTGTACCCCCAAGCACCACCGCGAGTATCAATAACCTTCTGATTGTGACTTCGATTTCAATATTCGACATGATAGGATACATTCTCCTTCAGCTATACAAACTCCCTGGGCAATTCACCGAGTTACATTATTTGAATCCCAATGCATGGCGACTTGAACTCGTGGATGAAGATGGGGAGAATTATGGTCTGTTTGGGGTCCTTGATCGAACCCGTCTTCTTTCTTCGTACAATGTTTCTCATTTGGCTATTGTTAGATGCAGCGATAAGGAAGAAGCCGATAATGAAAGACTTAGTCCACTTCCTCGAGAATTCGAAGTTGCATTGCATGCTTTCCAAAATAAACGTTCCAGCATTGCTCATATCTTGACTAGTGATGTGTCCAGTGAAGAAATAGAGTTTGAAATAATGATCACTGAATATGAAGGAAGTTTGCAAGAGAAAACCAGTATCAAAGTTCCTGGAAATTATACTATGGGACAAGTTTTGAAACAAGTGTGCTCAATCCAAGGGTTGTCTTCATCCAAATATAGGTTTAAAAGCCAGCAAGAAGATGTTAGAAACTATGAACATGCTGCCAATTTGAAACTGAATGCATTGCAATTGGTTCCTATTACTTCAAGTTTATTACCTTCAGTGCCAGCGTTTGAGTCCGGTATCACACCTCTTGATTCGATACCCATGATAACACCAGGAGATAATCCGTTTGAGGAGAAAATGAATAATTTATCATTGGAAGAAAAACCAAAGCCAGTCAAACAGGATAATACTTCCGAAAAACGTAAATCAAGACCAGAACCAGCCAACAAATACTTGGACGATATTCTTCGTGGTAACAATCCTCAACTTCCAACTAGTATCAACACTATATATTTCAAGTGGAAGGTGCTCAAGAACAATTCCAAGATGAAAATAAAGAACTTCTCCGAAAAGAATTTCATCATTGATGGGGATTACATCCATCTTACCCCACCTGATGACGTTGATTTAGGCAATATTGAAGAAAATGCTGCCACACAACACCACCATTATAATTACTTGGGGCATCATGGAAGTAAAGCTAGTTCAAAAACTTATTCATTTCATATTACTCAGATAACAAAAACCAAGCAGTATACTAAACCACTGAATTACTTTAGATTAGTGGTAAACCAGGGTCGATCTACTGGGAAGGAAGAGTTGGTGAAAAAGTTTTATTTAGTGGCAAGTACAGAAAAAGAATGTCATGAGATTTTAGATAAGTTGAAGTGGGTGTTGCAAGTGTATCTTAGTAATGTATAGCTATGTACTTGTATAGTAGTACTTGTTACACCGCTACTTTTGGTTCTGCCCTAATCAATAGAAAATAAATGTCTATATATATATATCAGATATCGGGATATGGTAGCGCTTACTTACTAGAAAAAGAAAAAGAAATATTTCGTGCATCGCATCGCTTTATCTGCAACTAGTGGTTCTTTAAACAAGCTTATATACATAGACAACATGGCCGAACTCTCCCTGAATTGGAAGAAGTTAAGTTCCAAGATCAGTAAACCTAAAACAAAGAAGAAAACGACAACTAAACTTACATCCAATGCAAAGAAGGTGATATCTAAACCAACCAAAGTAGAAACTACACCAAAACAAATAGAACCAAAGTCTGATACAGTAACTAATACTGTCAGCCCTATAGAATATGCCCTTTGGACAAAAGAACACATCACTAAAGAAGATCTTCCGTCTGCACCTGTTGCATTAACACATACCCCTTCATCAGCACGAAGGAAACAAGAACCAGGTAAGTACATTGCCATTGATTGTGAGTTTGTTGGAGTAGGAGATGATGGGGAACGGTCTGTGCTTGCCCGTGTGTCAATTGTTAATTTCTATGGGCATATCCTTATAGACGAGTTTGTAAAACCTCGAGAACGAGTAACTGATTGGAGAACTTGGGTTAGTGGAGTTACTTCAAAACACATGCATGATGCTATTACTTTTGAAGAAGCGCAAAAACGAGTAGCCGATTTGATCAAAGACAAAATTGTGGTTGGGCATGCTGTGCATCATGATTTGGATTCCTTGTTGTTAAGTCATCCTGGCTGGTTAATTAGAGATACTACTTCATATCCTGCATTTAGAAAGATTGCAAATGGTAGAAGCCCAAGCTTGAAAAAGTTAACTGGGCATTTCTTGGGGGTGGATATCCAACAGCTGAGTCACAGTTCAGTAGAAGATGCTAGAGCAACAATGTTGTTATTCCGCTTACATAAAAAGGACTTTGAGCAACATTTAAGAAACAGACATAGAAAGGTTTCAAATAAGTAAATAGATATTTTAGCATGTATATTAATAGAGTAGAGAGCACAAGTTGCGAAAGTATCCTACTATCTAATGAGATAATATTTCAGCGTATTTTGCTCCTACAGCATTTAACTAGATTACAAATGATTTAAAAGTGTATAATTAAACTATCTAATCTTCTAACTTCAATCCTTCAACGTATACGCAAGCTGATCTGTAAAGCATAGTTTGAATGATCTTAATATCAGTGAAGAAATCAAGTCTGAATCCAGGTTTACTATTGTTAACGATATCATCGGCATTCTTCATAGCTCTCGAGCTTCTCAATGCTTCAATTTTATTACGAACTAATATTTCCTCAACCTCCTTGGTGTATTTTTCAGGAACATAATCGTCACACATTGACACTTCGGTAATAATATTAGAAATTGAATCAACGACATCTATACTCGTTGTGGTGACCAAATCATTATTCAATGCTGGCTTAAGAATATCATAAATCAAAAATCCATTTTCGCGATTCAATTCAAATAAATGATGGTACAAGATTAAAAACTTGGATTTAAACTCGCCATCAATTATTTTGATATCATTAAAGAAAAAACCGGCATGGATTAATGTAACTTTACTTGCCTCTGTTCCTTGACTCAAGAAATCAATAATAACCTTGGGGATTCGACATGATCCAATTTGAACATAGTCTGTGGCCAACTCAATCTCTTCAACATATTTTTCAAACTCAGCTTGTTCACTACACAAGTATGTGAAAACAAGATATGGATAAGCATTATTGGAAATGAATGCGCCATCCATCACTGTCCTATCGCGGTATTGGTATCTAGTTGTAAAGTACTCTTTAATGCATGATAAACTCAATGATTTGAATTGTGAGAATCTTAACCCTTGTGTCAATACAAAGAATATATGAGCACCAAAGTTTGTCGGTGTGATATGGAACCCATGTCTCTTTTCAAATTCACTCAAATGGGGTTCAAGTAATTGTCTCTGCTGGTATGAATGTTGAATATAATCAGGTCCAACTCTAATCATTTTGAGAACTGATGTGGTAATATTTTGAATTGATGCTTGATACAACACCGTATAATTTAGTAATCCGAAACAAAATTGGGGCCAAATAAGAATTGGCGGCAATATTGATGTATCTGGTAAACCCATTAAAATTCGACTAGTGGCCACAGATATGCAAATAACAAAATCTAAATTAGGTAATTCTCCATTTGCAACCAATTTAATCGTACGACATGCAGTTGAATCACTAATACCAGACTTAGAAAGGATCCCCACGATTAAAATTGCCCGATCTTGAAACAATGAATCTTTGCTAAATGCAACATCAATAGCATTTGAACACCAACGACTTTTCCAATTGGTCTTATCGTCGGTTGAACTTATAGCACTAATAAATTCATTTAAATAGTCACATAATACTTCAAAATTGGTAATTCTGTTAAAACTTTGACTAATATCTAAACTTGAATTTGAATCTCTGGTCATTCCAAATAACATCTTGGCACGCAAAGTACTGAAATATTCAATTGTGTCATCCACGAGCTTCTGTTCAGCTTCTGTTAAATCCGGCTTATGTAAAAACGACTGAATCAAACCAATAATCAATTTTTGTAAATCACTACCAATATCCAAATTCGAATTATCAATAAATAATGATACGAAAAAGACCAAATCTGCCAAATATAATCGGGCAAGTGTGTATGAATTGAAAAATAAGGAACTGCAAATCTTGATCAATACCTTAATTTCAAATATCTTCGATTGACTCACAATTGCCGAATCGTTAGTTCTTGCGCGATTAATACAACTGATCAACCTGTTAATAACCTCTCCACAAACTTCAATCAGTGGGATAATGATAGCAATAATAAATGTCCACTGTGGACCTTCATTCTTGTTATCTATAGCAAATGCAACAACTTCATCAACCAAAACCAGGATTAATCTTGTTTCCAGGAATAGTTTCTTCCAAATATAATCAATAATAATGGCAATGTGATCTTTATTCATGGCTGAAAGTCGACAAAATTGACGAATCAAATCCGCAACTCTTTCAGGTCCATTTTCATCCGTCAGTAAATAAACATAATCATAAACATTTTCAATCCAAGGTGAAATATACAATATACTTGTCAATCTATTGGCAGGAGGGATCTTGTCATAATTATCAAAGAACGATTTGAAGAATCGATATGTCATATGTGAAAGCGAACTTGCAAGGTGGTCACTTACTGACACAACAAAATCAGCTGTATTTGCTGGGAAACTAACGCTTTTAGCGTGATTCTCTTTAATACCAAAATCAATATCAAAATAGGAGGATAAAGATCCAAATAATAACGCAGCTGCAGATTTAACTTCATCATCATTAGTTAACAACCCTTGGAATACAATATTATATAATCTGCCAAACCAATGCATTGTATGACGTTCATTTTGATAATCTTTATCTGGGTCGATATACTTAGTTTCGGCTGGTAATCTTGAAGTTGTATAATACAAGAATCTTAAAATCTCAAGCCTATCTGCTGATCTAAATGTAACGGTGGTTCCTAAACTCAAGTATATGGTAAATTCATCATCATGTTCAGTAATTCTGCTAACTTCACATTTAACAAAATCCAGTAATCTATAAATTTCGACTGGAGTAAAACCTTTAGTTACTATATCATCACCCAGGAATAAAACTCGGTCATCAAAACAAATTTGAAGGAATTTTCTACCTATCTTAATTGTGGCTCCAACAAACTTATTGTTTCTTGGATCATAAACTTGGACATTCTTAAACTTGACCTTGTTATCCTTAGATATTGCCATTGTTTCTCGATCCAAGCACAATCTGTTGATAATTTCATCACTGTCAACTTGTGAATATGTGTATAATTTAGTACCATATTCTAAACTTCTAGCTCTTGACCTCATAATCACATCAGTAATGGTAGCAAACCCAGTACGAGGAATGTTATAGTAATAAACACGAGCACAATTCTTGAAAAATTGATCTGTCAGGAAATTGTTAACAAGTTTCACATAGCCTTCTCCTCCAGCCCACTCTTGGGTCATGTGGTTCAAATTAAATTCAGTGAAATCAATAACCATATAAAATCGGTTATCCCAAACTTGACTGGCTGTCTCAAATAACTTGTAAACTAAATAATCCGTATCGTCAGGCCTATGTTTCATCTTCTTGAAATTAACCACAACTACTGGTGTACCATCTTTGAAAATTGATGAATGGATTACATCACCCGAAGTATCACCAACTTCAGCATACTTCAAACTCATTTTTGTCATGAAATCATTAAATTTAATACTACTTTCCCCATTGGCAGTGTTTGGATCTAACATTTTAAGAGTTGAATTGATTTGAAGTTTAACACTTGGTTTAGGTTGACCTAATTTCATACACGTTTTATCAAAGGCTTTGAATTTTTCCGCTCTATCATGTAATGTTTTGACCATGAATGAACTTTTAGCTAAAATGAACTGGATCCTGATTTGAACAAAATAACAATAGATGAATTTATGCAAATATCTTAATTCAGCCACTGGCCTTTCCATCAGACGTTGGAATGGATATTCTGAAGTACTTACACTGCTTACTCTTGATAAAAAGTCATAGATTTTTGTGTTTATGGTTAATAGTTCATCCATTCTTGCCGTTAATGCTGGCCACTTAATCAGTGAAATTGTTCCATTGGCCATATTTTGTAATACTTTAACCAATTGCATAAGACTTCTCTTAACTTTGACATGATTGATTGGAATTTTAAAGAATTGCTCTGGGGAGATAATTGCTGGGCACAAGTATCTTAAAAACATAAAGCTACCGACGGCGATAATTGAAGCATCTTTAAATTTTTCACCCACAGCACAAGCAATTTCTCCACATACAAATTTAAAACTAGCAGGTAATTGGTCTTCAGAACTAACAATCAGGTCAACAAGTTTGTTGAAATATTGGAAAAACAAATCAGGATTAATGGTTTCTGATTTTTCAACCTCAAATATAACTTGGTTATCCACAAGTTCCTCAATAATCGGTCTTAATGTTGCATTCAAATAATCCATTCCATAATCTTGAGTGAAATTGAAAAGCAATCTAGTCAATGTAGAATTACGTCTGAATAAATCAGTACTTCTAGTCAAGTGGGAAATCTCATCAACCAATAAAACGTTAAATAACTCATCTAATCTTCCGCTATAGCAGAAAATTCCAAATAATGAACTTGCAAGTAAATTATGTTCTAAACTTGAAGCACTTTCAGCAATGGCTCCAAATATTTCTGTTTGACTGGTTAATTCCTCAATTATTTCATCAGGATATTCTTGTCTAGTTCCACGCATGGTTTTACTTGATAACATATTAGCAAATACATTCAAGAAAATTGCTCTGACTTTGGCAGTTTCATGATAGCCCATAGGTAAAACAAATTGCATTCCAATATCAGAATCATATTGAAGAAGGTTTGTAATACAAGCTAAAATATTTTCACTGATCTGGTTCAATTTGTGCTTGGATTTGTTCGCTGACAAATTCATTTTGGAATACTTTTGAATAATCTTGTAAAATAATGAAAAGTAATTTCCAAATGCCAAATCCTTGTACTTGTTTATATCACTGTCTCTTATTCCTTCGGGTATTTCCAATACTAAATTTTCAAGCTGACCACGTAAGCACCTTGAACTTTGCACTGCTAAATCCATATTCAAATAAGCAATTTCGGATTCCTTGACCACGACTGAATCACTATCATGTTCAACATCGCGCTTTTCATCGTAAAACACGGCATCTTCAAGCCATTCACATGATGCTTTCGCATAAAAGTTTCGAAGTTTATAAGCACCATTGAGTCCAGTGCTTGTTCTATCCTGTTCCAATGTGGTTCCCAATTTACAAAATCTAAGCTTTAACCGTAATTTGTCAGTTAAGTTATCGACTTTGTTCACAAACCTAATAAAAAATTCACAAATATTAGGTAACAAGGCTGATAAAAGTAATGTTCCGTCATTACGTACCTGGACCATCAGTGACATTATAACCATTGCTTGTTCAACAAATACAACACCTTCATCAGTAACCTGTTGTCTTTCGGCATAATTATTAGCCATAGTCATAAGCTTAGTTGCAATCAAATGGTAAACATCAGAATGTGATTCATTAGATAAAGTATCCTTAATAATTACTCGCACCACTAAATCCAGCGAATTCAATAAACCCACACATTTATCAAAGAATTCCGACATGTATGCTGGTGATTTTTCAGCAATTTCTTTATCCTTGAATCCTGCATTACTCATAAAACATCCTGAAGTAGAAACGAGGAATCCTGTAAAATGTCTAAAAATTAAATTTTCTTCATTGATAATACTTGGCTTGTTCTCAAGAATCATCAACCATCTATAATAAATTAATACCCAAACCTGAAATAATGATTTGGTCGGCTTTGCCTCACGAAGTATGGTGCGATGACGTTTATGCAACGATATAAACCCGGTGAATACGGAAACATCTTGCGAAAGATTGACAAATGTTTCCAATAAATTCTCATCAACACCAATATTCCTATATAATTGGTGGTGAATTGTCATCTCGTTAATGTACCATTTCATTCCTTCTTTTGCGTAATTATAAAATTGAATATCATGAGTACAAACACTGAGTAATAAAACCTTCTCCACTGCATGGATAACTTCACCAAATGACAGAAACAGCTCTTTCCTGGCTTGGTCATTAATCACTTTATTTGAGGCAAGAATATAAGTAAATTGATTTCGTTGAATAAGAACATCATTAAGAAACAAGAAGCATGCCTTGAATTTAGGATCAGTAAGTGATAAACTTAAACATGTTTCACAGATCGATTGAACAATACAATTAACAATGAAAAAGTTGGCAAACGCGGATAATGTGGTATAATTAGATTCAATTTTGGTGTTTTTGGATACCAATTTTAAACTCAATTCTCGGGCTGAATCAAATAATCTGGTATTTCCCTGGATATAACATTTTCCTCTGAATGCATAACGTAATGGAATTTCCATTTGATAACAAAATTCCATAATTTCCTTAATTAATTGATCGTAATCACGAATTTCCAAGTTCTTATCATCCATTAGTACCATATCGTTAAAATATAATTCAGGAGCTGCACAAAATATCCTAAAAATGTCAGATAATAATTCTTCAGCACCAACAACTAATCTAAATTTATAAGCTGAATGGGTTGACATTGAACTAGTGCTGTGGGCAAGTTTAATTGATTTGCTAGCTGTTGTGTTTGTATTTGTGGTGGATGATGCCGATGATTCGTTACTTGTTGAATGTTCCACAAGTACTTCGTGAACATAATGATCAAGATTAGTCTTCCTAGTTGAAAATGTATGGTTTGTGATTTTTTGTAGCGATTGTCCACATTCTATTGACGCTACGTCTGAGAATAAACTTTGATCAGTAACTGGAGTTGGATAAGAACAATGTTGTTGATGCTGAGGATGAGTTAAATCGTATTGATGCATCATTTTAAGTGATCCATACATTAATGATACCAATTGATTAAGCATTTGATTAATTAAGTTGTAGAAAATCTCTTGTGCAGTTTCAATTTCTGATAATCCCTTTATGATTTTAACCAATATTTTAGCTTCCCGTAATTCTTCTTGGTTTGAATTAAAGTTTTGAATAATAATTTTGGTGTATCTTTCAGGACGAAGTATTATGGCAGCAATGTAGAAGTTGACCGTTAAATATTCAAACTTGACTAATAGTTCATCATCAGTAATTAAATCATCACGGTGATTGTCCCCAAATTTAAGTAAATTTCTATAAGTTTGATCGAGGAATTTGTTGCTGAATATTAAAACTGGATGATTGGTTATATTGTGTGCATTCAATCTTGTTCCTAAATGGAAAATGCTAATCAAGGCATCAAAACTTTCTAAGTTTGTGCAATTTGCTGAGTCTCGTAATATAGACATGAGATATCTCACCCGCTTATTAAATGTTAATTTCAACTTATTGATTGGTCTTCCTGTGTTTATCTCGACAAAATCATCAAGACACAATACCAAAAACCAAGTAAGCACAAATGATGCACATGTAACAGAAGTAATTGAATCATCAAATGCAGTTCCGGCAGTATCAAATAAAGATTTGAGATTGTTGGCATACCTGGTATTTTTCGGATCCACTATACCTTCATAATCTTTGGTTCTTGAGAAAGTTTGATCCTTGACACTGTACGACAAAAAGAATAGGAAAACCTGTCTCCAGGTATTTGATTTTATGAAAGGTATGGCATTTATAACATCTTCGGTTATTCGTTCCGAATTTTCTTGGCTGAAAAACATAAATTTAATTAGTGGGGAATATTTCTGTAATATGGGCAAGGGGATAATTTCATCATTGCGTGAGTATCGGAACAATTTGTCGTAAATATAATCATAATAATCATCAGGATTAGCGGTTGAGATATATCGTAATATGGTTTCAATATATGAGTCAATATCTACAATTGAAGAAGCTATCAATTCTTCATCAGTCATTGGTTGGTCTTCTCGTTGAATATCTTGTTCGTCTTTGGCTGTGGCCATACTGGCCATTGATTGTTCATTTCTAACCAACAGAAGCACCTTTTTAACCACGCCAGAACTAAGTAAGTTGGAAAACGTATCAAGCAAAAGGGTTATTATGTCTTTATCTAATGCTTTGGGTTCGTCATAGTAGTAAAATCTAGAATAATTGCTTAAAGAATCCTTATCATCGATGACACCACGACGGTTCCACTTGGTTTGCAAGATTTCCAGGAGCAATTTGCAAACAAGTAAGGTACTTCCTCTACTCTTGTCGTCTCTGAATCTTAGCTTGGTATGTTGACTTTCTTCATTGATGTTTTCCAATACTGTGGCGAAACTGGTGAATATGAACGTTATAATATGAGGATATCGTTTGTACTTATCTAGAAGGATCTTGCGTGTGACAATGAATTGGCTGTTTAATTCAACCTCTTGAGTCAGATGCCCGGTTCTATTAGGTAGAAGGGATTCAATCCTTTTAGCAAGGGATTGAATAAAGAGTTTCTGGTGGTCGTTTGGGTTACTCATATTGTGGCAGCCAACGGTGGTGGTAAAAGTAGTAGCAGGTAGTAGTGAGCAAGTGAGTGAGCAAGTGAGTGAATGAGATGGGGGTGGTGATTGATTGATTGATGTAGCAGTTGTTGGATGTATTTATACAGTCTATATGGTGTAATCAATTAACCTTCAAACACTTTCACTTTGCTTTACTGATGGTCTCCCCTTTTTTGGTTGTCAAAATCTGGTTGTAAGAAAAGAAAAAAGCGAGTCAATTCTTTTTTTTTTTTTGCTGTGTCTGTTTTCTTTTTTTTTTTCTCAAATTCAAAAGTGGATTTTTTTAGGGAAAGTGCAGACAATGCAAAAATAAGAAAAGAGGCACAGAATGACTTTAAAAAAAAATATGAACAATGGTTGATTTGTATTAATTACCGGCTCAACCTGTAAACGCTTTATCAACGTGTAAAAATACTATGGGGGAGGAGGAAGGTGGGGATTGGCGTCATAAGTGGTAATTACTAATTACTAATTACTAATCACCACCACAATCAAAAAAAAGACGTTCACGCAGACAGACACAGTTAGACACAATCAAACCAGATACGAACTGTCAATCAGATACAAAAGTTGTTAAAACCTGGTAATATACTTGGTGGTGTGATTTTCAGGTTTTGTCTACGGGTTGTTCTGCCACCCCCAGATTCATACCCACATTTAACCCCTCTCTGTCAAAAATAACATAAACATGTAATAAAAAAATAATTGCTTCCCCCCTGGCCAAACCCGCAATTTTTTTCCTGTCTGATTAAAAAAACGTTTTTGCCCCGGAAATAGAAATCTCGCAGATTAAAAAACTTAACCCCCCCCCCCCCCCCAGTATGGTGTTCATATGTGAGGGGGAGGTTATACTCTTTGTCATATGATATCCCTGGGTTGTGATCTCCTGTTCAAACATGTGTTTTGGCTATTTCAAGCTTTGAGTGTTTGAGTTTAGCAATTGTTTTGGTTTTGAATTAACTTTGAAAGGGATAAATGTAAGCGTATGTGGTTTTGATATGGTTTTGATGTGGTTAGCTGTCGTTCACTGTAGATCTGTGAAAAAGAAAGAAAAAAAAAAGTATGTTGCATTTGTAAATTTAGGCTCGTTTTTGCAACTTTAAACAAAACATAACATATCCACAACAAACATAACCAAATGAATAGCAACAACAAGATTGTATATCAGCCTGATGAATTGATAAAGCTTCGTCATTGCAAAAGACTCAATATTTTCATTAGGGATTTACAACCAAATGTTCACAAACATTATCACAATCACTACCATACCCAACAATTGCGTTGCCAACCACAATTGCAATATTACAAGAATATCCACCACCATCACTATTATAATACTAATTACCCAACTAATTATCCACGGAACGCCCAAGATCACAGCAATGAACATGAACAAACAGTACCTTTCCCATATCAAACGATATACGCGCCACCACCAGTCAACATCTATCTTCCAATACTTAAAATTGAGCCAGGAATGAGTATCCCACAAGGTGGAATTCAGATCTATATCAGCTCACCGTCTCCACCTGGTAGTCCGCGAGCAATACCTATAGTTGCTCCTGTTATCGGACCTACTGCTAAACCTGTTGGCATTCGTTCTAATACTACTACTGCTACTACTACTACTACAACAACCGCCCACCGAAAATCTTTTTATCTGGCCAAGTATGTGAGCAATGCCAAGCAATTTATTCCTACTGGCAGTACAGTCTTGCCAGATGTACCCGAAGAAAGACCCAGTTTAAGTTCATCCTCCAGTGACGTTGTTATCCAAATTTGATCATGTCTATTGTCACGTGATTGGGTTTGCCTCTTTTGCACACTCCGGATTTTTTTCACAGTATTGAGATGCTTGTTTAGTTGTGTAGGTGTATATAGATCAATGAATGATATAGCAGTAACTACCGAGAAAGCAGATAGGATATGGTACTATCTAAACCTTCAGATGTAAGTGACTAGTTTCACCGATTGATTAGAGATCTTTTACTAACTATGTCAAGCCAACCGGAACCAATATCTGATTCTAATCTTGTCCAAGCTTACAATGCTGTTGCAATTGACTTGATCACTTGGAGACTCTTTATATCCACAGCGTTGAACAAGCTATATGGATTGATAGGCGAGTCCACTCCTTATGACATAATAGCGACACCTACTGACAAGTCAATTATAATAAGAACATACTACGAAGACATCGATAAGTTTGTTACAGCATTGATGGCATACACTTTTAACTTGGGAAAAGATACTCAAGTTGATATTAATTGTTATATTAAAGTTAGTAAACGAGGTGAGTTTATAGGTTTGGTTGTATAGGTTTTAATACTATTGTTCTATATTGGCATAGCATGTTTGCTTGCTTAATCGCGTACGGCTCACACTTTCCTATTTAGGAAAGCCCACTTTTTGGTTTGTCCACTTCTCCCCTTTTCTGTCAAACTCAGATTTTTACAACCAACTCACCTGGTTTTTACAACCACTTGGACTACACATCAACACACGCACGCACACAGCTCAATGTTACTATCAAACTTAGTGATATTCCTATCGCTACTCATAGCATCAGTGCGAGGCGACACCAGCTACACTCCAGATATAACAACTGTCACCAGCGACCATGTCGCTAGGGAAATTAGATACTTTGATGATTCGTCAAACGTACTTTTACTTCGTCAAACAACACTTTCGATAAGTTTTGATGATGGTAAGCTGTTTGAAAAAGTGAAAACTATATCTGAGCCCGTTGTGTATTTCCAGATGGATCCATTTAACCGGAATCGTGCCTTTGCCTTCACCTTGTCTGAGAATCAATACGTTACCGAAGATAAAGGTCGGAATTGGAGAAAGTTTAAAGCTGACCTTCATATTGATGAAAACTCAAACTCATTCCCTCAAATTTCATTCAATGTTGCTAACCCTGATTATTTGATGATTTCAAGCTACAAGTGTCCTCCTCAGGAACCTTTTACTTTTAGATGTAAGCAAACTTATTATTATACTAAGGACGGCTTCAAATCTGTTAAGAAGCTCCCACTTGATGGTGCTCATATTTGTAAGTTTGTTAAATCCACAAAGACGTTTAAAGCAGATAAGGATGAAACTATCTTGTGTATTACTAATGATATAAACTCCTTTGGTCATGTTGTTGCGTCACATTTATACAAATCAGACAACTTCTTTAGTGATAAGCAAGAGATAACCCTTGGCAAACAATCCGATTCGGGGATTATTATTGATATTAAAGTTGAAGAAACTTTCATCATTGCCATTGTCAACTTAGATAAGTTCAATGAAAAATCACGAGTTCATTTGTATATTTCTAAAGATGGACAAACTTTTGCTAAAGCAGATTTAGAGATTGATGTCAAATATGGTGTTATGTCGTTCTTACCTTCGTCCGCATCATCCCTTTTCTTTCAAATTTTACAATATTCAAATGACAAGTTCCAAGCTTCAAAGTTGTATTCCTCCGATTCATTTGGTTTGCATTATACTACTGATTTGGAACAAATCGCCGGTGGAAACATTCAGAAGGTTGAAAACATCGATGGAGCGTGGATTGCAAACGTTGGTGTTGACAAGAGTGACAACAATGACGATGAATCACTGGGTAAATCTGTTTTAGATTACCTTGTCGGTGGAATATTCTCAAAGAATATAATTACCAAATACTCATTTAATGATGGTCGTGAATGGAACCTTTTAAAGTCCACTAATGAAGACTGTAAAATCAGTTCCGGGTGTTCTGTACATCTTTGGGAATACTCTGAGCTTGACGGTGAAGGAAAATTCGTTACTGGCCCAACCCCGGGTATATTAATGGGGGTTGGTAACACCGGTAGTCATTTAAACAAGGATTTCCTGAAATTAAGAACATTTGTATCTCGTGATGGTGGTGCTTCTTGGACTCAAGTTCTTGATTTCCCTACAATTTTTTCGTTTGGGGATCAAGGAAACGTTATTGTTGCTATTCCTTTCGGAGGTAAAGGCAGAATGAAACCTAGTGACAAAGTTTACTATTCGTTAGATCAAGGTAAGTCATGGAACAACGTTGATTTGAAAAATCCAATTTACCCATTGGCTGTATTGACTACTATTGATGGTACCTCCCGTAATTTCCTTCTTGCTGGTGCTACCTCCGAGCGTACTGAAGTAATTTATACTCTTGATTTTACAAAAGCATATGATGGGGTTACTTGTAAAGATGATGCATATGAAGAATATTATGCCAGAAGCATTGCCGATAATCCTCCATTGTGTATTTATGGACACCGAGAAAAGTTTAGAAGAAGAAAACAAGATCAAGCATGTTTTGTCAACAAATTGTTTGAAGATGTTAAAGTTATCGATGAACCTTGTCCATGCATTGACTTGGATTTTGAATGTGCTCTTGGTTTTAAACTGTCTCCAAAGGATCAGCATATTTGTATTCCTGATCCTGCTCAACTTGCCAATATGTGCAAAGGTCAGAAAGAACTCAAGCTTGAAGACAAAGTATTGATTGATGGTGACAAGTGTGATTTAGGTAAGAAAAAGCTCTCTGATTTCATAGTTAAAGAAACCATTGATTGTACAAAGTACAATAATGATAAGGAAAAGCCAGGAAATACACATGATATTGTGGTCAATGTCAATGAAATTGAAGGTGAACTTGTTCAGTACGCTTATATTGATGAATCCAAACAGTTTGGTGCTGATAATATCGTATTGAAGTCAAGTGACAATCACGTATATGTGTCAAATAGTGGAGGAGTTTCGTTTGTTAGAGTACCTATTCCAGATAAGATTGTTGCATTCTACACGGGTCCTATTCCTGGACAAGTTATTCTCATTACCGAATCTAAATTAATTTATGTTTCTCGTGATGGGGGGGCCACATTTATTAAACAACAAGCTCCAACACCTCCACATCCATTGGTTCCACGAGCTGTTGCTTTCCATACTTCAAATCCTGACAAATTTATTTGGTTTGGTGGAGATTGTGAACTGCAAAGTGATTGTCCTGTCACTGCATATATTACTGACAATTCAGGACTGGATTTCTTTAAAGTGCCATTGAAAAATGTCCAAACGTGTGATTTTGTCGGTGCAGTATTTGAAAATCCAGTTGAAGACTTACTTTTCTGTGCAAGCAGAGATGGTGATAATAAATTGAAATTAGTTTCCTTAACTGCTGGTTCAAATGAAGAGCCTAAAGTGTTGTACCCTCATATTGTTGGTTATGCCATTACTGGTAACTATGTTGTGGTTGCTACTGTCAACCAAAAAGATGATAAGAGGACCACTCTTGAAGCAAAGGTCACAGTCGACGGGAAAGTCTTTGCTGATGCTGATTTCCCTCATGATTTCCAACTTGATTCTCAACAAGCTTACACAATTCTTGATTCTAAAACCAAAGCGATTTTCTTGCACATGACTACAAGCCTTGAACCTAATTTTGAATATGGTGCTATTCTTAAATCTAATTCAAACGGTACTTCATATGCTCTTGTTTTGGATGCAGTTAATAGAAACCGTGAAGGATATGTAGATTATGATAGGATCGACGATGGCTTAGAAGGAGTGATTATCAGTAATATTGTAGCCAATCCCGGGGCTAAGAATAGCAAGAAACAGATACAAACTATGATCACACATAATGATGGTGGTGAATGGAATTTCTTGTTGCCACCAGCTGTTGACTCAAAGAATCAAAAATACAAATGTCAAGGAAGTAAATGTCATTTGCACCTTCATGGATTCACAGAACGGGCAGATTACAGAGACACATACTCTTCAGGATCGGCAACTGGATTCTTGATTGGTGCTGGAAATGTGGGTGAATATTTGGAAGATTATGATAAATCATCTACTTTTATGAGTAAAGATGGAGGTGTAACCTGGAAGGAAATAAAACAAGGAAATTACATGTGGGAATATGGAGACCATGGAACCATTTTAGTATTGGTCAGCAACTACGAAGAAACCAATACCTTGTTGTACTCCTTAGATGAAGGTGAATCGTGGATTGAATATAAGTTTGCCGATAGTAAAGTCAGAGTGCTTGATTTGGCCACTGTTCCAACTGATACCTCGAGAAAGTTTGTAATTTTTGCTAAAGATGGAGATCAAAGAAAGACACTAGCATACTCGATAGATTTCACAAATATTCATCCTCGTCAATGTCAATTGGACCTTGATCATCCAGACAAGGATGATTATGAATATTGGTCACCTATGAACCCAAGTAGCCTTGATGTTGAAGAACCTAAATGTTTGTTTGGACATGAAGCCAAATATTTACGTCGTGCCAAAGGTCATTATGATTGTTTTATTGGAAGTGCACCAGTAAAGGATGGTTTCAAAGTTATTAGAAATTGTTCCTGTACCCGTCGTGATTATGAATGTGATTACAACTACTACAGGGATACTGATAACACGTGTAAATTGGTTAAGGGGTTAACTCCAGAAGATAAGAAAAAGGAAATGTGTGAGAAACCAGGAGCATTTGAATATTTTGTATCTACTGGATATAGAAAAATTCCATTAACTACCTGTGAAGGTGGGAAACAATTTGATAGCTGGAATCCACTTCCATGTCCAGGCAAGCAAAAGGAATTCAACCATCATTATGGAACTGAAGTTACTGGTCATAAGCTTTTCTTGCTTTTGTTTGTTCCTCTTGTGATTTTCCTCGGTGCATTTTGGTTTGTTTATGATCGTGGTATCCGTAGAAATGGAGGTTTTAAAAGGTTGGGACAAATCAGATTGGATGATGACGAAAATGGATTTGATCCAATTGAGAACAATCAAGTGGATGTAATTGTTAATCGTGTTGTCAAGGGTGGTATATTTGCAGTAGCTATTACTGTAGCTACATTCAAGACTATTATCAAAATTGATAAGATGATATTTGAGAGAATGACACTGGTGTTCTTAGGTCGTGCTCCAGGAAGAAGAAATTATGTCAATGTGCCAGATGAATTTGAAGATGAAGAAGCTGCATTGTTTGGGGACTATGATGATGATGAAGAAGAATTACAAGATGACACCAGGTTGAGTGAACAAACCTTTAGGGATGATGATATTGTTGATATTGAACAACATGATCAACAGGAACAAGTACCTGCAGATGAAAGACTTTTTGATATTGAATCAGAAGACGATCTTCCTATAGTAACTCCTGAGGAGTAGTTTCTAATAGATTTAAAAATATACATTGTTATTACGAAAAGAAAAAGAAAATGAAGTAATTTAACTACTTTATTTTACTTGCAATTTTATAAATAAAAAAAAAATGGAAAAAAAAGAAACTGACACGGACAGGACTCGAACCTGCAACCGTTGGATTTGGAATCCAAAACTCTACCAATTGAGCCACCGCATCCAATTTATAAAATTTTGTTCTCTCACCAGAAACTGAACAGGTTTTTATCACGTGCCCTTTCTGTCACTTGACCTGTCGAATATCACTAGTTTTCACAACCATTCAGGAAGCATTAAGATGGAAAGGTATATTTTGACCTAATTACAGCCTGATTTTCACGGTTTTAGAGTGTTCAGAGTTATATCACATTTTATCTAAATGTAAATAAAGTATCAAAATTGTCAAGAAATTTTTATGAAAATGAAAATACCTTGTGCAAAACTTTCACCAAAATTAAAAGAAATATAACACATAACGAAGTTCATAATTTTGAATAGATGTTTATTAGTTACAGAGAGACAGATATTAAAGAAGCATAACTAATAATCAACCAAGAGACTTCAACTAAAAACAAAATTAGAAGAAGGTTAAGCAAGACCTGTATTAGATTATCCAAATTATGAACTTGAACCTCAGTAACAGATGGAACTAAGTCAGTCAGTTTCGAAGTTTCCAGAGACCAATTGTCTTTGAAAATATGGAAGCTTCTATCAAGGGCTATTCTCATATTTGCATTATTATAGCAATTGAAAGCACTATGTGTATTTTTATCATCCTCAAGTATATATGCTGTGCCCAACTTACAGCCTCTGATTTTCTCGTTCACTATCTGCTCAAGAACCGACTTAAGTAATATTAAACCAAGAAAAGATCCAGGTGTTTCCAAACAAACAATAATCTCACATACTAATATCAAAGTTGAATAGGTTAGGTTTTCGGGTTCTAATTCATCAAATGAAGCAATGAATGGATTGTTGCTAATTCTTTGTGGCATCACTTCTTGGATTTCTAGTTTCTAGAAAGAGCGCGTCTTTCTCTGGCTAGTTACTCCAATATCAGAAGCCTTCTGCAGTTTTCAGATAAGATTTACGAGAACCACATGAGGGAAGAAAGTTGTAAATTTATTGTTCTGATATAATGTATCAAAAATTAGGAATGCTGGGTATCTTAGGTTACTTCTAGTGTAGCATTTCAACTAACATAGTTCCCATATCATACTTGTTCTGACTACATTGTGTTTCTATATTGAAGAGTTGAATTTGAACATTAAAAAGTTATTCTTATTAACACATCAAAGTCATCTATATAACCGACGTTGTATTTGGAAAGAAGATAACGATTAATATATGCATTACACTGTACAGGCTAACAATATACCAAATATTAGAGTCAAGGATAGCATATAAGAAGTTCTGGTTTTTTTCTTATCTAATATACTATCATAGTTTGGTTTCTATCTTTAGCTTTTTGGTCAATTTGATTCCAGTAAAGCACCTAGATTAGAAACTTTACTTTGATCTAGAGTAACCTCAAACAATTAGAGTAAATTAATTTCCAAGTCAACCCTTTCAAGCGCCTGGAGAAAGAATGTCCAGGAAAATAATCTTTTGATACAATTTGAATTAATCATGGAGTATCATAAAGATGAAATTGAGGCAAACTTTGGATTTCAGGAAATAACTTAGGATAAATATCAACTATACAAGCGCTCTCTATCATTCCAAAAATTGATTCATTATTATTCAGGATATATTTCTTGGAGTCTCCAATAAGCGATAACAGTAATATCTAATCCATCTTTAAACTTTATTCTCAAAGAAACATAAATCAAAACCCTACAGATAACAGTGTATTTTTCATTAATTAAACCTAACAGACAGTGATAGAAGTTACTACATCATTCCCACACCGGTTCAAACACCTGCTTCCAAGCATCATCCCAAAGATAAACATCCACCATTGTGTTTATTACTATGACACTTACGTGACACTTAAATGCTTCATAGTCAGTACTCGCTAGTAACACGGCCTGCAAATGTGTGAAAAATTCAGTTTTGATTTGTGAAATGTCTTCAATAGAGTGTTCAAGATTATTACTCACTTCAATGTGATCATCAGTTGCGGGTTCTAAACCCAACTTCCTGAACAACGATTCAGCTTCATATTCTTCTAAGTTTTCATAGACTTGGAAAGAGTCGTCGTGTAAATTTGCGACGAAATTCATGTCTACAGGAAAGAAACCTTAGTACAAGATATTTTTCTTTCGAAGAACCAGATTATTTTATCCATTTTGCAACCAACTTTATTATTTTCCATATGCAGGAAGAAATAACAAAGTTCCAGCAAGAATAATAACGGCAATAGAGTATATATTTGATGTAAAATTATCTATAAAACATACCTAGGTCCTTATTATTTTGTTTATCAAGAAGCGATATATTTAAATCAACAACCAAAAACCACACAAACAAAGACCATATAAAGCACTGTTATTGAAAAAATCAAGATCCGATTCAAACCTACATTAAATTCATGATCACTAAAGAAACCAAAATTATCATATGTATTTGTACCCTCTTCTTTTAATTCCATCTTTAACCACTGACTAGCATTCACTCTAAAGTTTAATTTCATATAGATCCATTTCCACCAATGAACATCAATTGTGCCAGTTAATAATGTCACCGAACAGGAAAAAACATCTGCTGGAAAGTAACTTTCAAGAACAATATCAGATAATTGAGAAACATGTAACTTTGGTAAACTCTGCAAGTCAATGAAAAGGTCGGGATAAGTTAAAAATATATTGTCATTCTCATATAGCATTGTGAGAAGAAATTCAGTATTTTCATGGATGTGTCGTTTAAATCGTTTATAAGTAATGATAGAAACATTGGATACTTTGTTCAAAACACCTGAAAATGTATAAAATATCCAAATCCAACATACAGTATTGTGTTCTTGATTGATTGATTCTAACCGCCAACCGTAGAATGCACAGCAACATTCCAAAACTTGTTCAAATGACTTCTTCCAAACATCATTCCAAAGATAGGTTCCAAGAATACATTCATAAATAATAACAAAGATATCTTTCTTCAACTTAGAATACTCAACAGTTCCCTTTTCAAGAATGTCTAGTTTGGCAATTACATTTGATCCCATATTTTCAACAATGGTTTCTTCTTCAGCGGTAATCAGATTTGCATCATGGGAAGGTTCTAAATAATCTAACTTCTGGAACATCGACTCAACATCTTCTTTATCTAAATCACCTTGAACTATGTCAGAGCTGCCTTCTGACCCCTTTGAATTTGGAACTAAAGTCATGGTTGTAGAAGAAATAAAACTTTCAGATAGTTTTTGTAAACTGGGCTTTTTTGTTTGGTTTTTTTGCAGCAGTTATTCCAACTGTGCACCATGTGCAGGAACAATGCTAGTTTACTTATTTCGCAGTTACCTTGACTACAAAAGGAGTAGATGAATCAACGCCAGAGAAGATTCTTCTAGAACAGAGACCCATATACGGGCAGAAACACCAATTCAAAAAAAAAATAGCATGCCATAATATTAAACTTTTGAGGAAGAACGATAAATATATAAAAAAAAAGATCTAACTAAATACGCCTTTGAACATCAATTTCATGCAACAAATCTTCAGGGTTAACTGCGTCCAACATATCCTTTTCATGTATTCTCATTCCTTCAGCTCGTTCAAACTGCCCATGACTTTCCTTCTTTTTGAACAAGACAAAATAAGGAATAATATACAATAATGCCAACACCACTGTGGACCCAACCGCCGCAGCAAATGATATACCTACCACTTTGCCTCTCGATAAAAGCTTAGGCGTTAAATCTTGTGACGATTGGAATCGATATGAGTCTTGAATAAGCAATGATTGGATGTTTCCTAACTTATTAGTTTGGGTACTGGTAAAGATATAAGGAATCCATGAAGTTCCATTGAAAAATGCTGCATTAACTGGTCCATATTGTTTAAGCGAGAACGTTCCTGCAAGAATTAAAATTTGATTATTATTGAAATAAGTTTGGTTATAATCGGTTGACTTTTCCACGGTTAAGAGCTTGACATCAGTGAATTTAGCAGATTGAGAATAATCAATATCAGAATCAATTGTATTCCATTTACTTCCATCAAATCCAGCCACGAAATCTTTACCCACAGTAATCATCCTCCCATTCAAGTCTGCATTTGAGGTGTCGGTAATTATAAATTTCTCAACCGGTCTTCCAGAATTCAATGAATCTTTTGTGCTAAACACACCGGTATCGAAATTGTAAATCAAGAAATCAACATTTGCGTCGCCTAATTTCAAATCTTTACCAGAAATCAACACTTGATCACTCTTGAAAAATTTCATATCGGTAATTTCTCCCACAACGTTTGGACTCAGTTGGTCAGAAGTTGGATTTACCCATCTTGTATTATCAATATCATAAACACATAAGGCGACACAATTTAACGAACCTGCCTGATCGAACTTCCCACCAACTAACAACTTTCTTGCCTTGTCATACATAACCATTGCATTGACTTGAATATTATCATCATCTCGTTTTGTACTGGAAGTACTAAGAGTTGCAGGTTGAACCAGAGCAAAAGTTCCATTTTGTAATGAGTACACAAGCATTCCGGTAATATTATTCAGTTCTAGTTGGACAGGTCCATTAACACCAATAAACAAATAATCATGGTTATTATCAACATATAATGATTGAATCTGACTGTCTCCCCAAGAAGGCTCCGGGCCAGCCAATGATTGAAGCGGAGTATTTGGATAAGAATTGTTAACAAGCCCAATATTGGTTGTATTTCCCGCAGTGAATGTACCTCCAATTACACTTAATGTTGAATTGACATAGAACGAATTGGTGATTGAAGATGATTTATCGGTGGTGAAATTAAAACGCCCAAACGCTGATGATGCATATGCTTGATTAGACGAGGTAAAGTTCATAATGTTGAAGTTGCTACCCACAAGGAGTTGTTGGTCAGTTGAAAGTTTTGCTGATTGAGTAAGGTTGAACTTAGGTGATACCCATGTACTATTGGTATTATCCCAATTCCAGAATTGGTTGTTGCCATCCGAGAAGACATAGTATTCGGTGCCGCTAATAGTGACATTTGCAAATGTTGATAGGGTACTATCAAATTTATTATTTCCAAATGTATTCAATTGATTACCTTCATATTTTGCCACGTTATAACCCGAAGATGCAGACTTGTTGTTTGATAAATTATTCAAATCTCCCAGAAGACTAAAGTTTCCAACAAAGATTAACCCAGTGTCAGTATCAAACATATTTGTAATCGAATTATTAAAAGGGATTGTGTCAATTGAAGATATAACGGTTTCATTCGCAGATGTATCATAGGAATCAATTTTCAATTGAGTTAAATTGTTATTACCTAAAACAAATAATGAATTGTCAAAGACCTTCACTTGGTCAATAAGCACATTTTTGTTTAAACTAGCCCCAAAAGAGTTTATACTTGAATTTCCAACGGCCTTCAGAACATTAACATTCAAATCTGTGAAATTACCAATAGAGTATTCAAATATTCCATTTAAGGGAAATTCTTTAGTAATTGGGTCTAACCCAAGTAAATCAACAGTGATTTTATCAACAACCATCCATGGGGCTTGCCCTTGGTCTTCTGCAATGAAACTACCAAATGATACTTCAATAGTGACATCATCATCTTTATCGAAGTGTCCCGTGTATAAATGGTCATACTTGTTGTTTTCATTATTCTGGAAAATTAACTCGTTGGAAACAACTTCTTTCCCATCATGGACCACAGCATTCACGATTCCTCTTATTGAACATGAATTATCTTGGACACATCCTGGGGTATAGATATCAATGGAGTAGTTTCCTGAATAAGTAATGTTTGGAGTGAATACAATTGTTGCGTTTCTGTCTTGAGATATCAAGTAATCATAGGAAATACCGGCAGTTAGATCCTGGACGGATTCAAAAGTTCCAGAAGTTATACTAGAAGAACTCACTCTCGCACCGTCACAGTTTGCTTCATTTAGCAAGTCATTTCCATAAACAATAATCGAGTCCAGATATAATTGAAATCCCGCTAATGAACCTTGGGAGCCATACCAGTCAAGAACAGTAATGGTTAATTTATCCATTGGTACACTATTCACAAAGGCAAACTCTTGGAAATTAGTACCATAGCCCAAGGTATTTGTCAATGAGTCATCCATATACTTGAAGAAACTACCATTGTCAGCAAATGTGTCATTGTTACTTGTAGGTTGTTGTGAAGTTGCAATTTCATTCAAATTGGTGAAACTAGTCAATGGACACCAAGCATCACAGAAGGCTAATTCGTTTGTTTCGGGATCAATATAACTAAGGTTCATAATACCATTTGCGGGGAATGAATAGATTCTAAATAATTTAACTGAGTTCTCGGTGGTGGGGATATACAATCTTGCCTTGGTTGGATTTATACCTTGCATTTCTTGAGGAAATTCAACAGACCATTCGGCACCTTGATCAGGAACTACATTCCAGACATTGGTCAAAGGGCATATTAAAACGGATCCATCTTGAGTTTGGGCATTTACATTGGTGAAGGATGCATGTTTGAGGGAGACAATTTGTTCCGCTTGGATTAATCCTGTGGTATTACTTGTGTTTAAAGATATTCCTAACTTGTTAAACTGTCCTGCAAATATAATAGACCCGTTGTTGTGGTCACCAGGTATTTTATCTATCGAAGTGATGGTTGAGTTCTTTCCAAATCCTTTGAATGGCGTTATGGCTAGTTGTTTGTTGGTTATATCGTAGATTGCACTTGAATAAGTGTGATTGAATTCAAAATCACCACCAAGGTAAATCAAATTGGCGTCGACATACACTGTGTTGACATTTCCGTCAACATCTTTATTCAATATTTCCACAATATCTCCGCTGTCAATATTATATATGATGGGAGTTTTACTTATGGTGTGATTGTTAATTTTGGAGAAATTTCCCGATATCACTACCGATGATGACGATATCGGGATAAGCTGATCAACTGCTCCATTTAAATCAGCAATTTTCTTTTGGAAGTTATTAGGAATATCGTGTACAAACAACGACGACGTGTGACTATGATTATTCTGTATTAGATTTGCTGATGCATTTACAAATGTGTAGAAGGATAATTGGTCAAAGTCGCCAAATAGCCCTATTCTGTCGCCGAACTGGTTATATTTCAACTGTGGGAGATCAACAGGGGTAAATAGTTCCTGTGCTATCACTATGGAGCAAAGCCATAGGAAGGATACGTATGCAGATCGCACAATCATTAGATGTGTGGTGGTGTGTATGCAGGGCGGTGATGATGCTACGCGTAGGCGATGAACTTATTATTGATATGGTATCAAGGAGTGGCTGTATTTCTGACTCCAATAGGACCCTTTGTTTATCTTGGCAGTATTAAGAAGTTGCCGGTAGTAGGTAGTAAAGAAAGTGGGTTGTAAAACTGTTGTAAAAAAAAAAAAATTGGTGTTGTTGATTGTTTGACGAATCTGGCAAGTTAGAGAAAAACGAAAAACGAAAACAAAAGAAAAAAAAAGAAAGACGAAAAAAAAATTTTTAGAGCTTAAGCTTTTGATCTAAGCGAGAGGCGGTTAACCGAAAAGGAGGAGGAAGGGGGAGGAAGGGGAGGGGAATGTCAGGCTGAGTTTATAGCACAAAAGTAACCAGGTAGAAGATATAAGATGAAACTAACCTGTCACAGCTTGGATAATCTGGAGATATGATGGGATTGCCATGTTCTTAAGGCAAGCATGATGTAACTACTGTGGCTGCAAAAGGGACTATTACTGCAAAAAAAACAAAGAAACTATAACATCAGCTATTCCCCAATCGGTAACCAAAACAAACAGAATAGGCAGGCACCTAATAAGATTATGTTAGATCCTGTGCTCAAGTGCTAACGAAATCGTAGGATCAAGTAATCACAACAAACCAAGTTGCGAATAACATTACTTTGGCATGCAGATAAAGGCGGGAACGCGCATTTTGGCATGACGATCGATCCCAAGTCATTTCTCAACTTTCAATGTAGCACAGGCACATATCAAATGGGCAATCAACAAGACCATCTCATATAGCGTAGAGACTAACTTGGATTTCATAATGGTGCATTCTAAAGCACGCAACACGGTTAGTATTCTTGGTCCGACAAGAAGTTTACCTATGTAAGAAACACAAAATTGGCTCTTAACCAACCCAAGAGCTTAACATAGCCCAAGAGCTACTAAATTCTAGATAAAATTGACACATGATACGCTAGTTTGACTTAGATATGTCAAACTAGAGACTAACCGCCTGAAATTTCTGATTTATAGCAATTTCATCAACGTTGTTTTACCCGGGAATGTTAGAACCAAACTATGCTTCTAGAAACCAAAAAAAAGAGCATTCACTTGGGTTCCACCAATGCTGTAAACCTTTCATTGCATGGGTTAGTCGATTGAATGGAACAGCAGAGGAAAGGTAAAGCCCCGTCAAGCCTGATTACCCACTCCAGTGTTTCTGTTATAGCACGCCAAAAAAAGCTTCTTTGAGTATTAATTAGTACATTTCTGTATGGAACAGCTTTTGCACATTTAAACCAAGGAAAGTCTAAGGCTGATGTGAATCCTTGAACAGCCCCGGACATTGCGCACGCTTATTTTGTAATTACATCCCTTGTTACTCCCTCAAGGAAACTCTTGGTTTCTGGGTTGTGTTTACAGGTTGTATACTTAACATGTAATAATTCGCATTTACAGGTTACCCGCACTATCCACCCACACCAAAAAATCTACTTCGTCAGCCAAACTTTAGACAACACCAAACCTGCAGCCAAACCACCCAGAACTACCCTACGGCATGTCGATCAAGGCAATGACACCGCCAATAGGGATAAGCCCCTTTGATACCCGGACAACCCTAACAAACCATCGATTTTCGCCCGTGATTTCCCTCGAATCAACCAGTTTTGCCACGGAGTTAATACAACAACAATATAGCACTAGCATACTTGATTTGTTTAATTTATATGGAGATAATTTCAAGTATGAAATTCCTAACCAACAGTTTCGCATAGTTAACAATCAATTAATCACCCGGAACTATTCGTCGTTTCCCATTAGATTTATAGATTTGGAAAGTGTGCTTAGTGGCGGTGGTGTCGCCGGATTAAGTGAAGTTGAAAAGAAGCTATACGAGAGCTGCAAAGACACAGGGGTAACTGAAGAGTTATACCGCGATATGTTTGGGCATATGGTTGGTAATGACGATTTGCTACTTCCATTTGAAACGTTTAACCATCCAATAAGTCAGGTTTTCGTCATCAGTATGCAAGATTCAATTGACGAATTACGAAATATGATTGTCAAGTTTAGAAACCACAATTACCCCTTATACTTTCAAATGAATGATTTGTTATTTCATGTTGTTATTCTCTACCAAGAAGATTCTAATGACGTTATCTCTTTCCAAAATGAAATCAAAAGCAAGCTTAATTTGAATAGTACAGTCATACCAATAGAAACCACTGTTGATACAACCATACGGTACAAACTCAATGAATTCATAGTGAAGAATTTAATTCCACACATTCAAATGAAGATTAGATTATGGGACGACCAATATTTACAACCCAAGAAATCCATCACCAATAGATTTATATCGGTATCCAAGCGATTCTTCAATAACAACAGTGATTCACAATTAGCATCGTCCACATCCACAGCAAGCACAGCCAGTCCGTTCAATTATAACGAAAACTACTACTATAAAGGCTCGTCACAGCAAGTGTTACGAAAACTAGCTGATTGGTCATTAATGATTAATGATTTCAAATATGCATACACCATCTACGACCTAATCAAGAAAGATTACTCCCAAGACAAGGCCTGGATTTACGTGGCATCTACGCAAGAAATGTGCATTGTAAGTTTACTACTTGCACAAACTGATCAACTGAGCATTTCTGGACCCGACAAGAACACGCTTCGAAAGATTCGTCATGATATCATTGAACCGTTTATGGATAATTTGACATATACTTATAAATCGCGATTCAATTATACACACTTGAATAGGAAATGTTTAATAATTGTCATTGAATTGTTGTTATGCATGAACAAACTATATAACTTGTCCTACTGGTGGATTGATTTGATTGAATTGTATTTGTTACAGTTGGTCGATGATATAGAGCATGAAACTCAGGGACAACATCTGATCATCAAAGCATTGTTTTACGAGAGATTGGGATATAGTTTTGGGCATTACTACATTCCACCAATTGTCGATAAATCTGAAGAAGAAAACGAAGTGGACGAGGAAGAGGACGTGAATCCAAATAAATTAGTACCACCAGTAAACAACTCTGTTATTGGCTTAACCAGATTCAGAAAATCAAGCTTATGGTATTTGCTAAGCATACGAGAATGGTTGGGTATCTTGGATAAACTGAAGTTAACTTTTGTAATTGACAATATTAATGTAGAATATCAAGTCCATGATCTGGTGATAAAGGAGATCTTGCAGGGGTAAGCTAGTACAGTGGAAGCGGTATATATATATATGGAGGTATGTTAGATTTTATAGAACATAGATAATTTACAATTTTCATTCTACTCCTAGATCAAGCTGTGTAATATCTATTGATGCATATTCTATCAAAGTCTATTAATGATCAATTTCTTTCAATGCCATTTTCCTCCGTTTATCCATAGTATTATTAATCCCCGTAGACCCACTTGAACTGAACCAATGGAAAACCTTGGAAATGTTCAACACACCAACGTCTTTAACACCTTTCAATGAAGATACGGCGAATAGCTTACTATTAAACTGTTCATCTAACCCTGAACTCAACGTATGTTCTTTCCCTGAGATCAACTTATACTTGATTGCCAATTTGAACCCAATTGAAGATACAAGTTGAATTATGGTTGATAAAGGATATGGGAAGAATGTATGTAATGCAAATTGGTCTGATTGTTTTGCTTCCTCTTCCTTTGGTTCGATTGGACTTGTCTTTGAGAATGGAATCAAGTACGATTGTCCTTCATTTAAACTTGTCTTGACAAACCTGAGGTAGAACCATGATATGATAAATCCATAACAGCACATTAAGTAGGTGATGTAATATTCTGAATTCAAAAAGGCCAATACAAGACTTAGGATGATGAGTATGAATGACATGTACTTTACTTTGATCCGTAAGTTCCCCTTGAATAGTATGAAGAAGTGATTAGGGATACGTTGTTTGATTGCCACAATGAAACCCATAATTATACCCATACTACTCAAAACCACCGGCACTTCCGACTCTATAAACCAGCTCTTGAAGGAATAGTACAAATATAACAAGGAATTAGTCACAATAACGTTAAACATGACAAATTTCAAGAATTCAGGACTTGACCATACGTTTTCAAGGTACCTCCCCAAATAAAACATACCAACAATACTAACAAACAACCCAATGAACGTTTCCTCAACAAAACTTGCTGTCACTAGAACCCAAGGGTATGCCAACACTGTAGACTTTGAAGGAATGAATGTGAGTAAAGGAACAAACAACTCATGAGGATGTGGTATGCTTGTCAGTTCTGGTGTGTCGGGGTTAGGTGTGGACTTGGAAGATGCAACTATTAATACAAAATACGTGTAATATTTCAAGATGAAATTAAGGAGGGTTAATGTTATTAGTATCACCAATAGGATACTTGTGACTTTGGGAACTGCCATTGTATGTGAAGCGAGTTCTTCTCTGGTGATTCTTGAGTGGTTGTAAAGTTGTTGATTTATGAAAAATGTACTGCCACGAAAAAACGTTTTATCAAGAGGAGAAACAAACCAGTTGGTTGTAAATATATTGTGTTGACCAAATCATAATTACAACGTACAAAAAAAAAAAAAGTTTGCTTGAACAAAGGATAATAGACAAAGGGAACCAGTTTGACAAAATGTTTAGATTAGTCAGACAAAGAACGACAGGGAATGCATGTAGATACCAATCAACTACTGCATCTCGTTACATCCGTGCCAAACCGAGGGCAATAGATATGTTTCGTACACCAACATTCAAATCAATAGTGCTTACCCTTGTATTCTGCTCTATTGTTGTCGATGTGACTAAAACAAGAAAGGAGTTGGAAGGGTTGAACAACTCGTACAACTCCAAATTTGAATTGTTAAATGATATAATTGACAAATTAAATGCTAATCAACCTATCGATTTAGCCAAAGAGTTGAAAATGGCTAATTTATTGACTAAGCACAAGTACAAGTCAGTGGTTGATATTGAACTTGACGAGCAGTTGGAAGATATGTTCAAGGAGTTGCAAGAAGAAGCAGAGCAAGAGCCAGTGCAACAGCAGGCACCAGAACAAGAGCAACAGCAACCCGAAGGTAAACCAAAGAAGAATACAAACAAATTCTTATAATACTTGTACATAAAACTAATAATACACACTACTTACACAATAGCAATCTTTCTAATGGTTCTTCTATGACCATCACCAGTTTCAATAACCTTCCCACCTTGAACCAATCTCTTCACCGCATCAACAACCTCTTGGTTTTCAATTCTCGTAGAGCTTTGTTCATTCAATTTCAAAATCAATTCACTGAATCTAATTAAATTATTATGGTCCTCAACAATATGCAAGATTTCATTCATCAAATCTTGTTGGATTCTTCTTTGGGCAAAAGTAGTACCAGTTTGAACCATATCCATATCAATTCTACCAGTAATTGGATCAGTAGCATATTCCTTAATGGCACTCTTTATTAGTCTAACTGATTCCTTGACATCAATAAGTTCGACATGGTGACTTAACCTCATCTTAGCATGGGCTTCACTTAATCTGATCATACTTTCCAATTGACGAGTAGTGGCTGTTATTCTCTTTTCATTGGTTCTTACATCTTCCCCTTGTTTTCTCATTTCAACATAACTTCTGACCAATTCAGATTTAGCTTCCACAGTCAATGTAGGATTATAGTTTTCTTTAGCATATTGGATATATCCACTCAATAACTCAATTGGTAAGACGTATCCTTCATTGACAGTTTCAGGTCTATCTTCCAAGTACATGCTGGTTAAATGCTTAGCTAATTGACGATCAATACCTTCATCCACTTTATCTAAAATCAAATAAATTAAATCAAATCTTGATAATAATGGGGGTGGTAAATCAATATTACCAGTAACTGGTAGGTTAGGGTCGTATCTAGAATTTATAGGGTTAGCTGAGGCTAAAATACTGGTTCTGGCGTTCAAAGTAGTGATGATACCTGCCTTGGCAATGGAAATAGTTTGTTGTTCCATGACCTCATGAAGCACAGATCTGGTAGAATCACTCATCTTGTCAAATTCATCGATACAACAAACACCACCATCAGATAAGACTAAAGCACCAGATTCCAACACTAATTGCTTGGTATCCACATCTCTAGTAATATAAGCAGTTAAACCTACGGCAGAAGAACCTTTACCCGAGGTGTAAACCCCACGAGGAGCGATCTTGTGCACATATTGTAATAATTGAGATTTAGAAGTAGATGGATCACCACAAAGCAAAATATTAATATCACCTCTGTAACGTCCACCCTTTTTGAAGGTCTTATTGGTACCCCCAAATAATTGAAGCAAAATCCCCTTCTTCACGTCATCCATTTCATAAATGGAAGGAGCTAAAGATCTCGCCAAAACTTCATATAAATCATCACGTTGACTAATTTCTTTGATTTGTTCAACTTCATGGGCAGAGATTTGTCTCACTTGTTCAACTTCTTCTTGTTGTTCGATTTCATGTTGTAATGTAGAAATATCAGCACCTAATCTCTTGGTGTCGACTTTCTTAATATGGACAACATCAAGATATGTCTTGTACAAGCTCTTCAAAGCTCTTTGTCTAGAATTGACTCTTACTGGGATTGATCTGAAAATACCACAAACCTCAATACGGTCACCAGCTCTACATCCATCAACTAAATCATCATAAACACACAAGTTGATAGAATGTGGAGTTTGTCCATCTGGAACCAAATCAGGGGTTTCTTGCAACTTTATAACTTGCTTATCAGCAAAGGAACTACGGTTGTGAATCAACACCATAGAGTTGGTTTGGCCACAAATTTCACGAGGACATTTAGTAGGCTCAGAAATAACCCCTCTGTCAATTTCAACCCCCAAAGTATGACCACAGGCATTACATTTGAAAAAGGCAATTTTCATATCGGGGATAATTGATGTAGATCTGATAGTTAAACCCTTTATACTTACCAATTTATCAATATCGTTAGGGTTTAATTCACGAATACCTCTTGGAACAAGGTTAACATTGTATGGACGGATGGTATACACTTTTCCTTCAATTTCATCAAGGTCTTCATTAGCATCATTGGCTAATTGGAGTAAACTATCTTTTAAAGTGTGATCCATAATTGGAATAATTTCTTGCGGATAATTTATCAATTGGTAGTAAAGTTTCTTGGTATTATTGTTGAAACTTAACAAGTTACGTGCGTCCAAATTCATATTGGTCACACCAGCACGTCTAATTTCATTCAATTGTTGCACATAGTACAATTCGCTATCTTCAGGTTCAACATCACGCTCGTCCAACAATTTTCTATATCTCATTTTAAAATTCAACAAGAAATCGCGGAAAACATTGGAGCATTCTTGAATGGACACATTTGTACCCCAAATAACTCTTACTGGCTCCTCAGGGTCAACCTGATCGGAGCTAGTACCACTGAATAGTCTAGGTGAAGAAACATCAACAATATCACTTCTTAAACGAGTTCTGGCAACATGTTGACTACTGCCAATGTCGGAACCGTGAACGGATGAAGTATAGTGCAAAGGCGAAGAAATGTCATGCACTTGAGAATAACGGACTTGTGAGGAGGGATGTGGTTGTGCATCAGAAGGTGGGTTTGAACTAGCAAAGAATAATGGTGACGAAGGAACTATCGGCTGTTGTGATTGAGAAATTGATTCGGATGGGGTGTTACCTGTAGCACCTGTAGCTGGAACGCCTGATGGAGCACTTGATTGACGTGGTGGCGAAGATGACATTTTCTAGTGTTTAAAAGAATAAGTAACCAGAGAAAGAAGAACGGTTGTTGAAGTTTTGAAGTTGTGGGTTATTTAAATTATGAAAAAAAAATATCGACGCGTCGTTTTTTTTTAATTACCATTAGATTTCCTAATTGGGATTAATTGGTCAATTTGTATACCGAACGAGAACATTGTTATAAATTCAACACAAAACACAAACAGACTTATATTTGAAGTATTCTTTCTTTCTTTCACATAGTTTGAGTCTTATTGAAATGTTCAGCATAACCTATGGTTTTTATTTTATCTCTTGCAACCAGCGATTATCTATCCTGTCTGCCACATGGAAGTCTCTGGACAGTAACAAATTCTGATTCATTAACGTTGGCATCAAGAAAGATATTTAGTTCTTCACGCTGATAGTACTAAATAATCTTTTTTGATATGCAAGGTGATCACCACAAATGGAGATGGGTTTTGATCAGTTCTCATGCATGTTGCAAAAAATGGTTAATAAAATACAATAACACCAACTTTGAGTTTCTTGGTATTTACGAGAATTCCCATGCAAATCAGATACTTTGAATTATTAAATCTAGAAAGAAAGAGAGAATGTGCGTATGTGTCATTGCGTCAATGACCTCACTACAGCTACATATTGTAACAAGAACCAAAAACAACTACAGCTTGGTCCGATGTGACTCTATTGTTTGGTTATCATTCTGTAAATGCATTGGTAGTCCCTTACACGAATCCCTTTATCTTGAATAGATTGTTAGTGCCATTCGAGTAACATTTCATTTGTTCGATATAAACAATATTAGATTACCAAACAAATGGAAACAATCATCAACAGCATTACAAGATACATTTGTAGTTTCTACTAAATTTTTTTCTTATATTGAAACTGATTCGTGCTGCTATTTTCAACTCATCTAGAATTCTTCATCTCTTATTGAAAATGAGTATATTCAGATGAGAAGGTAATTCTACCATCTGGTCGATTGACATGTTGAAATCATGCAATTACTGCAGAAAAGAATATTTTATAAGATTAACATTATAATGATAACTTCACATCTTTTCAAAATGCCAGGATGCTAATGAACTAATACTCACATTACAAATATCCCTTAAAGCTAAAGTTTTACAGCCAAAAAATTTACAACCCACTTTTTTTTTTTCCTTCTCTCTCCCTTTTATATTGTTTACATTTTCTCCATGTTTACAACTGAGCCACATGAATCGAACAACCATACCCAACCTAGACCCAAACAGATCACCAACACGTCGATCGCTCATTAACACTTCCTCACCAACTAGAACGAATGGTTCACCAATAAGAAACAGTGGTTCACCTGAACGTCGTCAGCAGATATCAGAGATGGAACAACAACGCAAGCTGCACCAAGAGGGCAGCAAGAAACGGGCTCGAGAACCAGCAGTTGCAGAATACTCCAAACGTGTTCATTTTAATGAAAAAGTGCTTGAAGTAGACACTCGATCTGCCAGTCCCTTGAAAGAAAGCAAGGAGGTGTTTTGGCAAAAATTAGACAATATTGAATCAATGCTATTACAAATGAATGAAAGATTATTTGACATTCACAAATTACAAGAAAAGATTTACGCAAAATTGGATAATGCTGACCCCGAAGTAGTAGAACAGGTTGAACAATTAGGAAAATCTATAGATGAGACACTTAAAAAGGTTTAATACACACTGATTTAAAAGTCAATATTCTTTGTAGTTTGGGCATCTTTTTCATCCTTGCCATCATCTTCAACAGGGATCCCCCATTCTTCAATCTCAAACTTCTTTCTACCATTCTTGAACGCATATTCACCATCATGAATCATCATGAGGCCTTTCTCAGACAATACAGGCACCTTAATAATGTTAACTAATCCTTGTTGAATCTTACTAGGTTCATTTTTGTATGCTTTTTCTATCAATTGACTCATTTCTTGATTGAATGGCTGGAGGTGAATAACTGAATCAAATACATTTTCGAAAAGCCCAGTTACATTGGAATCTCGAGGATATAAATCAAGTGCCAAGGAAGCAATAACCAGCAAATTACTCGAATATTGACGTAACAACCCACGCAAGGCATGAACTAAAGGGAAAATAAACGTAGGGGAAGCAGTTGCTGGTGGATATATTGAAGGATTAAGAATTCCCGGTATCACAACTCTTAAAATTTTGCCAGGATTAGATTTAACTTGATTTTTAACAATGGCTGAAACTTGTTGAACTATTTGGGCGTAATTATTTACTATTGGGATATAGGATATATCTTGAGCATTTGGACCAGGGGTTAATTTCTGGGTAAGATCAAATTGATGGTTGTAATGTTCATATGTGGCTGTACTATCAGAGCCATTACTTTCCTCTTCAGGCTTCTTATTCAAACCATATCTCCATGCAATTTTCAAATCTGGAGCAGCAGCTCGTACATTTGGTCCTGATGATGCTTGGGCAAGATTAGTCACACTAACTTTTGATTCCTGTTCTTTAATCCTAGCCTTTTTTTGCTCTCTTGAAGAACCCTTGTATAATCCTGGAAGATCACTAGACCATTGGGGAGATAATCCAACAACAATTACATGGCAATTGACATCGTTAGTTATTCGATTATGCATGATACCTTGTGATGCAAAAGCTCTAATCAAGACAGAAGCAAAATCAGTAGTTCCTGATTCTTCAACTAACAATGAATGACCAATTGGTAATCCTTGGTGTAATAAAATCTTATCAAGATCAGCAGTACCGGTAGATATGGTTGGTTGAGATGTGATAACTGATGGCCTAACACCAGGGTTTTTCATGATCAAGTTAGTGGTATCTTGAGTAGCTGGTGATGCTCTTGTTATTGGCAGTCTGGTTGGAGTTATACCTGCAGATCTTCCCATCAATGGATTTTCTCTTCCTGGGATAACAGGCACTGGAGTTCTTCCCGGGATGGCATTGGAAGTTGCTCCTGGAACTCTATTCGGGTTTCCTCCAATGATTTCACCTCTCTTTCTAAATGACATTGTGTATCTATTGTCTAACAATAGGAGTGAGGATGGGACAAAGTCTTGCAAAAAGGAGTTCAATCAGTATAAAACAGGATGAACCAGATCTTCACTTTTTTTGTAGCATCTACGATGAGACGGAAGTACCAGTGCGAACAAACAGTGGCGTTAACAAACTAAGGAAACAAAAGGAGTGAGAGTGGGAGAGTCAACCAGAGTAAACACCAGAAAAAATTCATGACACTTTAATCTAGTAACTACCACTCCAGAAAAACACGAAACAGAATCAGACATACACCAATTACTTCAGCTATATAATGGGTGCAGCAATATCTTTACCATTGATGCCGATCAATGCACTCGCTTCCTGCTGTGGAGCAGCAGCCTGTTCGGCATTATGTACTTCAATAGGAGGAACTTTCAAATCTTCCATAATGACCAGAATAACATATGCATTTATCCTATTAGTTAATTCATTACTATCATGGATCGCCCTATCACCATTTATAATCCATAAACTTGAAAAGGCAACGTTTGGATATATCAATAATAGATGTGGTCCAGATGGGAATCAATGTATAAGTTTCACCTCGGTGTACCGAATCAATTTCGCTCTTGGGGTGTTACATCTTGTATTAGCCGCATTGTTACTTAATGTTCAATCAACGGCTAATCCTCGTGCCATGATCCAGAATGGGTGTTGGAAAATGAAGATATTTGCGTGGATATGTTTGATATTTGTCAATTTCGTGCTTATTCCAGACAACTTCTTTGTGTTTTATGGTAATAATATAGCCATTATATTCTCGACTATTTTCTTGGGGATCGGTCTTATATTGTTGGTAGATTTTGCTCATGCATGGGCTGAGAAATGTTTAGAGAAGATTGAATTGGAGGAATTGACTGGTGAAGGGGACGCAGGGTTTTGGAAGAAGTTATTGATTGGTGGTACATTGACCATGTACATTTCCAGTATAGTATTAACTGTGATTATGTATTGGTTCTTTGCTGGCAGTGGATGCTCCATGAACAAGACAGCCATTACTTTAAACTTGATATTTTCAATAATTATCTCAGCAATGTCGATCAATACCACAATTCAAGAATATAATCCTCATGCTGGTTTAGCCCAATCGTCCATGGTTGTATTTTATTGTACTTATCTCGTCATGAGCGCAGTTGCTTCTGAACCAGACGACAAATACTGCAATCCATTGGTTAGATCAAAGGGTACAAGAACTGCAAGTGTGGTATTAGGTGCCATGTTTACCTTTATCGCAATTGCTTACACCACAACAAGAGCAGCTGCAAACTCGGCATTCAGTTCAGACTCCAATCAAGAATTTTTAGTGGGTGCTTCAACTACTACAACCCAACCAGCTGCTAGAAATGAAATGAGATACCAAGCTATAAAGCAAGCAGTAGACGAAGGAAGTTTACCAGAAAGTGCATTAACTCAAATGGACTTGTATAATGACGATGAAGAAGGAGCTACTCCTGATGAAGAACGTCAATCAGTCCAATACAACTATTCGTTATTCCACATAATCTTCTTTTTAGCAACACAATATGTTGCTACCTTGTTGACCATAAATGTTAAACAAGATGATCTTGGTGATTTCGTGCCTGTTGGTAGAACTTATTTTGCAAGTTGGGTTAAGATTGTAAGCGCTTGGGTATGTTTTGTGTTGTATGGATGGAGTTTAGTGGCCCCAGTAATTTGGCCAGATAGATTTGGTATACAAATATAATCAATAAATATAGTTTGTTTTCTGATACTTCCGAATTAGGAAGTCGACTTTGTAATTGCACTTCTTATTGGTTGAAAAAATTTTGGCTGAAAAAATGGAGGAAAAATTATTAGTTGAAAAAAACTCATTGATATTCGTACAAACACCTACACATATAAATCACTAATCCACTATGTCTGCTATTGTCTCTAAGGTCACTGGTTTCGTCAACTGTGCTATCCAAAAGTCTACCCAACTCACTAATTGTGCTGTTTACTGGGGTAAAGTCGGTGGTGAATTAGCCAAGGCTGTTTACAAAAAGGAAGGTTTAGCTCCACCATCAGTCCAAGAATTCCAAAACTTCTACGCTAACATCTTCAAGACCATCAAGAGCTCATCTCAAAGAGAAGCTATTGCCAATAAGGTTTTCAACTTCCAACCAGGTCCACAATGTGCCGTCAAGGCCGGTGTTTACGGTATTCAATTATTAGCTTTCTTCTCCGTCGGTGAAATCATTGGTAGAAGACAATTAGTTGGTTACCCACACTTTGGTGAAGAAGAACACCACCATTAAGCAAAGAAGGGAGTGAAATCTTAGTTTGTACAATATCATAAACATACATATAGAAATGCTTTATCATTTTACTTTACACTACTAGTTCAATTTTTGGGGATCTAAAGAGTGTTTATTTATTTCTTTAAATACATATTCATCGAGCAGTTTTTACAATAAATTATTTGCTGTCAGTATCTTGCTTTCTCTTTTTTGGAAGCTTCTATCATTTGTTGTCTTTGTTTCCTCTTTTGTTTCATCACTTTAGGAACAGTACTAATTTGTTTTCTAGTGACTTCGTGGGTCTTGAGTTTCTGTTTATCCTTCTTAGATAACTTACCCATATCTTCCATCCATTCACTGTATCCCAGTTCACATCCAGATTGTTTCATAACATTAATAATCGGTTTAACTAATTGATCATCTTCTTTGGTGAAAAAGGTAACTGCGGTACCCGTCTTACCACCTCTACCAGTTCTCCCAATTCTATGAACATAGGCTTGTGCAGTTTGAGGAACATCGTAGTTAATAACCATATTCACACCTTTGAAATCAACACCTCGGGCAAGAACATCGGTGGTAATCAATACCCAAATATCACCGCTCTTGAATCTATTAATGACCTCTTCTCTTTGCTTAGGAGTTCTTTCTGCATGAATGACATCTACATTCAACCTATCGTATAATAACTCATGAAACAATGCTTTAGCTCTGGTAATCGATTGTAAAAAGATTATAATTGGCGGCTTGAATTGCCCTTGTTGGATCATTTGTCTAATGGCCAACAATTTCCCTTGCTCGTTACCAGTAAATACTAATTTCTGATCAATAGTAACATTAGCAGCTTCCTTATGGCCAATAATTACTCTTATAGGGTCCTTCATGATGGAGTGGGCCATTTCTTCAACACCAGAAGGAATGGTTGCCGAAAACATGGATTTTTGAATGTGGGGGAAAGTACAATGGGTCAAAATCTCATCGGTTTGTTCGGCGAATCCATGGTCGAATAATTTATCGGCTTCATCGATGATTAAATTGGATACTTTAGAAAGGTCAATTGCTTGATTATGAACAATATCAATCAAACGTAATGGAGTGGTCACTATGATATCGTATTTGCTCAGATTGATGATTTTATTATTCAATTTGTTGGCTAATTGCTTGGATAAGATTGCACAGTTTAATCGTTTACTGTATCCTTTAGTTATTGCTTCTAATTGATTGAAGATTTGATGAGCTAATTCATTGGTTGGAGATATAATTAAACCTCTAATTCCATGGTTCTTTCCTACTGGCTCAGTAATGATCTTTTGAATTAATGGGATTAAAAATGCTAATGTTTTACCTGACCCGGTAGGAGCACATGCGATTAAGTCACGATTGGATAAGCTTATAGCAATAGATTCACACTGGATGGCAGTAGGTTCCACAAATTCAGCAGCTAGTAGGTTGGTTAAAAGCTTCTTGTCGATGTTGAATCTACCAATCATATCTTGAAAGGAACCAATTGGTAATGGGATGTCATCACCAGTGACTTTTGATTTATGCAGTTTTCTAAACTTTTGAGCGTCTTCTTCGGAATTTATTTCTAAAAGCGGAGTTTCATCTTCATCTTCCTTTTCTTCTGTTGTTTCTTGTTTGTTCTCTTCTTCTGGTTTACTGTGTTTTCTAGTATGGAAGAAGTCGGTTTCTCTTTCAACTTGATTATGTAAAGTTTCTTCCTTGTGTTTTTCGTGGGAATTCTTGGTGTTTTTAGGAAGTGTATGGTCAGTCGTGACATTTTTCTTCTTATTGAGTGAAGCACCTCTAGTTAAGATCCTGAAAATGTCCATAGTTGCTAGTTAGCTTCAGATAGATGATGTGCATGGAAACGTTTCTAGCGATGATCTTCATAGTAATTTTTTTTCTTCTAGCCACTCCGAAATATATCACGTGATTGATTTTGCTTTTTTTGGATTTTTTTTTTTGGCACTGAAAATTTTTTTACATCAAACGACAATCCAACAGGATTTAGCAGGTTAACTAGTTGGAACTTCGGCGACAAGAACAGCATAGAAATATACCAGGAAATAGTCGTTGATCATGTATATACGACAACTAGTCACCGGGACTTTCAGGACCGTGAAATTAACCCCAAAGTTATCACCACTCACAACCACTCGTTCCATCTACTTACATAAAGGTCCTCGTGTGGCTGGACTTAAAAGAGATCCTCAAGAAGCCTTGGTGAATCTGCAAGGATTGAAATATGAATTAACCGACGACAATATAAAACACATCAAAACTTACTTGGGAGACAAGTATTCCATACCTGATGATATTGTATTACAAGTCCTTACCCATAAATCATTTGGAAACGGGATTAAACCATATAATGAGAAATTAGCCGCTATGGGATCTAAACTCTTACTGTTCTATTTGGCGAAGCATGTCACCAAATCAGCTAACAAGGATTCATTTGCTATAAACGGTCGTAATTTGGATGTTTTGGGTTCCCCAATTTCTAGAGAGTTAGGAGGATTATTCACCTTGGGTGTGTTTGCCAAACAACAAGGATTAAATCAAGTCATGTTTTGGACCACCAGAAATGCCAATTTGGGATTTGAAAGTAGTGGGGAGTTAAGAATCAGTGCACAAATGATGTATGCTTTAATTGGGGCCGTTAATTTCTATCATGGTAAGGAAGTTGCCGAATTATTTATTCAAGAAAGATTGATTGATCAATTGGAAAAAATCACCGTTGATCTTGTATCTGGTAAGGCAGAATAGATTGATTGACATTCAGGGACTCATCTTGTATATAGAGCAAAACATCAGAAGGACTAACTAGCATCTTCGTGTATAAAATATTGTATATACACTCACATTGTATATATTACCATAATATCATATAAAAAGAAGAATAGTTGTTGAAAACAAAATTCTGCAACCAAATTGTTCAATTTTCTATTTGCTTTCGTAAACTCGTGCGGGTCTATATCTTGAAATTATGACCTTGTTCATAACGCCTGACTAGGTTATTTTAGTCTCCTAGACTAAGAAGCTGTTGTTGTATAAAATGGAGATACGAGAATGCTAGCAATTCTGGGAAGCAACACAGTAACTAGTGAAGATTTAGAACAACAGTATTAATTCTGGTCAGATTTTGCCCAAAATTTAGCGAAAATCAGCCACAAAATAGAGGCCCCGAAAATGTTTATTAAACACAATATTAGGATTTAGGCCAAAATAAATTCAAACAGAGCTACAGAACTATATATTACCTCTCTTGGATGGAACCGGCAGTCTTATATATTAAATATGGGTCAAAATCAAAGGGAGGACTACTCTTACGCGTAACCCAAGCTATTTTTCGTTGACGAGACGGTCCAAATACAGTCAATACAAAAATCATTTGTTAAAGATCAATTTGATAAATTTATATTAAGAAAATATGTAACCGAGATAGATGTCTATTGTCAGAAGACGAAATGTCGTCATGAGTTGAAATCGAGAATGCAATCAAATTATAAACCTGTGCTCGACTTTGAATAGCAATCGTTATAACGAAGTGCAATGAAATTGATTTGGACTGCTAGTTAGATTTACCTGTTAAAATAACTTTCTATGTATTGCGTGTATCTGATAGCGGCATCTGTTGCCTTACTTTTGTACATAACCACTTGAACGTGCAGATGCTTGCATTTTTTCCCATCCCTAGTTTATAGTTTATAGTTTATATTGTTCAGCCTAATCCCAAGTTTTACAAGAGAAATAGGCTATGGAAATAACAAGCGATCAAATTTTCAAACTACAAGAGAAGTGAATATCTATACAGACTTATGAGAAATGTCTGCAACAACCTAAATAAGGTGGAAACGACTTTAAAACAACTTTCATTCCCGGAAGAACTGTATTAACAAGAGTTGGTTTTTTTTTGTTTCTTGGAAAATGGCGGTGCTCTGCATGGTTCAAGATGTTTAAATTTCGACTATCGCTTTGGCTACTAGCTTTCTGGTGGCCAAGCTTGGTTCACAACCCTGCATTTTTTGATGTGATTTCAACACGCGTTTTTCACGTTCACTTGATATGAATTTTCTTAAACAGTTGCAACGTAAACAAATGTCAAGAAAAGGGAAAGAATTGAGAAGTAAACATAAACAATTATACTATACACCATGCATCATTTCTAAGTTGAATCTGACATGAGGTTATCCCGCGCAGGTCACATTAAAATGCAAGCAAGTTTTCTCCTATATTTCATACAACCCAGTTGAATTGACAAAGAATAAAAAAAAGAATTAAAACCTAATTTGTTCCAAAAAAAAAAATACGCGCTGTATGTAAAAAAAAAAAATGAAATTCAAAAAAATAAAATTACGTTACGGTTGGAGGATTCTCTTTTTTTTTTTCTCTCCTACAGATCAAACAGAATCTGGCAACATAAATCACCCGCCCATATTTACAATCGCCAACAACAAAAAGGGAAAGTTCCAGAAAATCAGTCAATATATCTCCGTCAGCACGTGTCCATATAGATTATTCCTTCTAATACAATCTTTTGTTAATTAATTCTATTTATCCGCCATGTCAGATCGTGATTTGGCACACCACTATAAAGTCTTGAAACAGTTTTTGGATATTTCAGATGACCAAACAAGTAGATCCAGAGCACACTCTTCTCGAGCAGAGAGGGCAAGGGAAAAGTTATTGAAGTTATCATATACCCAATTTAAAGAATTGAGTACCGATGTTTATGATGAATTGAAGAGAAGAATTGACGAATCAAAGGGGGAGCCAGATTACCTTTTACCTAAAAATACTTTCCATCCAAAAAGAAACCAGGCGAGACAAAAATTGGCTAGTTTGCCTCAGAACAGATTTAAAGATTTGGTTAGTGATATCTCCTATGAACTTGAACGTAGAGATTTACATAAAGAAAGAAATGGAAGTACAACAAGCAGCAGTTTCCACCAACACACCAGACTGAATTCTACTAATTTGTTACAAAAACAGCTGCTGCATCCACAACCACCATATCATCCAGACTCATACTATCCTAATGAAGATCATTACCACCACCATCCAGTAAACAATAAACTGATCCTGCTGCTGCTGACTCACAGAGATACTGTTGAGGAACAACCGATTGAGGAAGAAGAGGAGGAACCAAAACAATTACAATTGCCTGGTCTTATTCATTCCGAAACCTCCCATTCATTACAGGCCACTAAAGTAGTACCTACCAAGGCCAATCTTGAATGGTCTAGTGATGAAGAGGAAGAAGAACACGAACAAGTGCAGGAAGAAAGCCACCGATATTCTTTTGAAAAGAATTCTCAAAGTTCAGAGCACCTTGAAAAACTGTTTGAAGCAGTGCCTCAAGAACAGCATAAAGAGCAGACCGTGGAAGAACCAAAAGAAGTAGTTCCAGTTGAGGAGAATGTCCATAAAGTTGATAGTGCTGAATTACTTCAGCTTCAATCTCGACTTGAAGATATCCAACAACAATTAAGTCAATCTCACAAAGAAAAAGAAGAGCTTCAAAACCAGCTTGAATCAGTTCGAGGTGATCATGATTATTCAGTTACACAAAACAAATCGCTTTCTGAAGAACTTGAAAATATAGGTCAAGAGAAACAAGCTTGGAGTAGTAAAATTAGTGACTTGGAACAAGAACTAGAAAAAGTTAAAAGTGCAAACGCCTCACTTAGATTAGAGAACCAATCCATTAAAAATCAACCCCATGGTAATTCTAATGGCTCATCTTCACCACAAAAGAAATCAATTAATCGGGATATCGACCTATTCTTGGAAAAATTAGAGAATTTGGATATAAATAAAGCAAATTCACCTACTAGTTCTATTTCCAGCGCTGCTACTATTACACCGCTTGCTACCGATTTAAGAAATCAAGTTAAACTTTGGCAAAGAAGGTATGAAGAACTTCGATCGAGCAATATCGCCAAGGAAATTAAGAAGTCAAGTATAAATAAACCAGAGTTGAAACCATATGTATCGCCACAAGGGTTGATTTCAATCCGATTAGTAAGTGATGTTTATGCCTTGATTGATTCATTTTTCATATACATCAATCAGCCTAATTTTGATTCAGATATTTTATTTGAAAAGATATCTAAGATCTCCATCGTGATTAATGAAATTGCCAACCAAGGTGAATGCAACCACTTGAACACTAATGAACATTCAATGTTATTAAGAGAAGCTGTCACCCATGCTCTTACAGCCACTAGATATCATGCTACCTATAAAAACTTGTTACCTAAATTTGTGGTTGAAAAAGCAATTAATGAGTTGGTATTCTTGGTTTGTGATTTGATTGCCGTGTGTAAATTGAATGAAAATTCTGCCAATATGAGAATACTTGAACCGCAATCTGGAGAAAAGGCCAAAACTCATCAAAAGCAATCACTGTTAAATGAAGATTTCGGAGTAAGACCTTTAAGGATGGCAAATAAGTTGAAGCAACTGAGATCTCCAACCCACGAAACGGCCACATTAGTAAGTGATGCCTTACCAGTAGCTAACAAGAATTCACAACCATCACCTTTTGTTGAAGCTGAACAAACCATGAATGAAGCAGAATCATCCCCATTTCTTGAAAAGAAGAAGTCTTTATCTCCTGAGCGTATTAGATTACCTGAAAAGAAGGAGCCTGAACGAGCTCTGACTGAAGAAGAATCGTCCCCATTCCTTGAGAAGAAGAAATCCTTATCTCCTGAACGTGTTAGATTACCTGAAAAGAATACTACCCCAGAAAGACAAATCAAGAATGGCTCTTCATCTTTGAATTCTCCATTACGTAGTGTCAACAAATTAGCTTCCAAATTCGAGAATACAAAAACAACTCCTACTTCATCACCTCAACAATCCCTTCCTTATTCCAAAGATAGATCAACTCCATCTCCTAGCAATGGTGTTCGTGAATTAGCTCAAAGACTCACCACAAGTGCTGAAGGGGTAGAAAAGAACGAAACACCAAGTAGGACACCTAAGAAGAGTATTCTTGATAAAGTGAGACAATTTGAAATCAGTCCTCAATTACAAAGAAGAACAGAAAGTCCACCAAGAGAAACATCTGAATCAAATGGCTCCACTTCTTACACCGGCAATGATACATCTAGAGAAGTAGTGAACAATGAGCCTATTGCGAAGAAAGCTGAAGAAGTCCCACGTTCTGTCAGCGGCGGTAGCAGGGGTCTTTTACAATCTTTAAGAGCCCGTGTTAATGATGCTGATAAAGTCTCGACTGACGGTGAAGGTGATGCAGGCGCCATAAATAAATCGGATACAACCACCTCTGATAACGAATTGGATAACACTTCAACCGCTGAAACTACCCCGAGTGAAGAAACTGATGAACATGAACTGCATGATGACGACTATGAAAAGAGTCCTAATGTCAGTACTGTTGTTCCAGAGAACAAATCTCTCCCTGTTTCTCAAGAAACTTTACCAGCATCAGAACCTGAAGAGGAAGAAGTCAATGTCCCAGTTGCTGTTTCTAAACGAGATGTCTCATTCGGTGAACCAAGAGGCGATTTCAAGGCCAAGGAAATGGAAAAGAAACCTAGCAAATCAGTCACCATACAGGAACCAGAACAAGATTCAGAAGATGAAGATGAAGATGATGCTGAAATGGAAAAAGCAAGACAACGACAAGAAGCTCGTAAATCAATGGCTGCTGCCCATTTCAACATCGACTTGTTTGATATTGATGATCCTGATAACACCTTGACTCAAGTGCTTCTCTATTTAGAACATCAAACTGTGGAAGTTATAAACACAATTCAATCACTTCTTGTTGCCATTAAAAAGCCTGAAGTTACCAGAGGAGAATTGAGAATAAAGTCAAGTGCTATCACTAAGGTTATCACCCAAATGACTGAAGCTACTAGAACATCTATGAACCAAACTCGTAATTATGCTTTAAAGGAGCATGGTAGTTGGGTCGTCCAGTCTCTTGAAGATTGTACACATAGAATGCTAGTTTTATGTAAGCCTAGGGAAGATAAGTCTGATTCTCAATTTGGAGATAAGAATTTCAAACAAAGATTGGCTGGTATTTCATTTGATATTGCTAAATGTATTAAGGAGTTAGTTAAGAGTGTGGAAGAAGCAAGTTTGAAAGAAGATATTGCCCAGCTTGAAACCAGATTAAGTCATATTGATGATTTGAACTAGTGTGAGTATTTTTTATATGTTAGATTGCTAAGTTTGTATTTTAAAATAAAAGAAAGTTTACGGATTAAAAATATGTATTTTAGTTACCAAGAACCTACTTGTGCTATAAATTATCCGAGGAAACCGTTAGAATAAACGAGATTTTGTCTAACAACCCAATCTATCTATAATGGGAACATAACACAAACTTTATCAAGTTGTTAGTTTGTCAAAATATAAGATAATAACGATTACGAACTCTAAGTTTCCATATGTTATACATTTTTGCTGATATATAGCTTTTCGAAATGGCAATTGACAGTCTTGAGAAATTTGGGTTAGATTATCGAACATATTTTGAAAGGAACTTTTTATGAAATTCAGAATCAATAGTACTGTCAGAGGTATTTGTCTGAGTTTCTTCTGCTTGCTTCTTTTTGTTTGAGAATGTAGACAGCCTCCAACTTTTTTTGACAGGTTTGTTATCTTGGGCAGTATCTTCCAACAGATTGTTTACTTTTGGTTTCTCTTTTTCAGATCTTTCTTTTCGTATTTTTGCAATTTCTGCCATTAGTAAAGCTTCCTCATCATCACTATCAGGATCATCATCATCATCGTCGTCGTCGTCGTCGTCGTTTTCTTCATCTTGATCTTCTGCGTCTTCTTCCTTCTTATCAACATTTTCAGAATCGGTCTTCTCTGTATTTACCAGTTTACTAACCAATTTCTCTTCATTTCTGAACGTTTCTTTATCAACGAATTTTGTTATTTCATCCTGTTTCCATTTTTTCTTAGCATTACCTTCAAGCTGTAGTAGCTCTCGCTTTAATTCCTTTACACCATCTTCAAATTTCACGCTAGGTATATCAGTTCTGTACTTAAGTGAACCCAGCTGAGGCAAGGCTCGAGCATGTACGATTGAATCATTTATGCTTTTGACTTTTCCTCGTTTGCTTTCTAATGTCGGTCTATGATTTGTTGTCATTGTGTAATGATTGATGTAGTGTTGCGATGGTTTAGATTTTGATAAGATTTCTTTGAGTATTTAATTTTTTTTTTTTTGGTTGAACTTGGGATGTGATAAGACACTACAAGGTACACCCGAGGAGAACTAAGCTGAGTAAATATTTGTAATCTATTAAAAGTTCCCTTTAGGAGATATCATAGAATAGACCACAACCAACCAACTAACCAACCTATAATAATACAAATCTAAGAAAAGGAAAGGAAATGAATAGATTTACAACACCACTGGAAATATCATACTAAAGTTTTGGTTGCAAACTGATATAACCTAGAAAAACAAGTGTAAAGTTACATCGTGTCCAAGCACATCCCATATAACGTACGTATATATCGCTAGAACCAACCCAACATTTTCTGATTGGAAGATGTTGGCACCGGAAATTTACTTATTGCTTACTTAATCAAATTCCTATAAGTTCATGCATATAAATCTTTGCTAGTTGTGGGCGGAACTGCGTTATCGGGCGCCTGAAAGATGTACCCCACTTCAAGAATACTTTAGATAATAAAGCTCAGTCATCCAATCAGAACTTATACTTGCTAATTCTATTTTTCGTCCTTTTCAACGTTTTTGATCCTCCATTTACTCCAGTTCAGGAACAATAAGAAACTTCTATCTAAAATATGATTCAAATTTTTTCGTGTAGATTGAAAATTCTCGGCTAGACGGCAAGCTACAAGATCTTAGTCGTTATCAGGAAACATTACCTGATAAGTGGTGTTTCTATCGGGATTTGCCTTCTATCTTGTTGTCTATTTACAACACAACACAACACAAAAAAAAAGTCGGCTAAATAATATTTCATAAACAAGGGAAACATCTTATTTTTTGGCTATTTGTTGGGATCGTTTATGAAAGGGATATTCGGATATTTATCTCCATTACGTGATAAACCTGCACAAACTTGAGCCACTCTATGTTTCGAAATTTAAATTGTGTTGATTTGGAAATACCCCACCCTTTCTCTTATTCTCGAGGTTCCCTTTGTCAGTGCCGAGAATCCCCAGTGTGATAACAGGGCTAAGCCAGACCTCAACGTGACTACGTCATTATCGCTATCGTTATTCTTGATTGTTTCTGGGATAATGTTAGGTTCGGTTCTCCTCTATATTGTTAAATTTTTTTTATTCAAAGGTTTGCTGATCCGTGGAATAAGGTTGCTAATTCCTTATAAGTTAACGAGATCGGGTTTATTTTAATGTACGTCGAAAAATAATAACGCTTGAGAGTGTGTAGTCCAGTCGCAATTCAAGTGATGTTGCATTTACGATGAAACTCCCACATGTCTTTTATCTTTAGTTCGAGGCTTAAGTGTTTGCAGTATTGTGTAGACACCGATCGCAGTATTACCCAATTAGGAACGCTTGCCGGGCCATAAAGAATCTCGCAGAAATTCCAAGGGCGCATTTTTCCGAGACTTTTTGTTAGTAGGATTGGATCCATCCCCACATAAATAAAATATACCCCTCTTCTTAGACACGTCAAGTTTGACAAAGGGCAACGATATTACAAAGGGGGGTTCTAATATAGTGGTCATGGATAATTTGTAACCGGTACATGCCCCACCTAAAGATGCAACAAACTTAATCACGGATAAAACCTGATCACGGAATAAAACCTAAATTGTGTTTGATACCCAAGTACGGCACCATTTTATCCGTACAATGAAAAAAAAACAAGACTAAGTGTCCCCCCAATTTGATTCTTCCTTACGTCTCACCACTGCTTAATAATGTATTTGTTATTTTTAATAATTGCAATCCTGCATGAGATTGACGCATAACCTCCACTTTTATTTTTAGAGTAAATTAGTTTGATATTTGGTAGCAGCCATACATAGAAAAATTAATTTAAAACCAAAATTATCAAAAAAAAAAATAAAAGAAAGGAAAAAAAAAAATTTGGTGCAGCTAAAGTATTAATACTGCAAACCACCCAAACACCCCCAAGGCTTTTTTTTTTGACAGCTTATATATGACATTTACGTAAAAGACCTTTATTAGTTTCTTTCTTTCGTTCTTTGTTTCTTTATATCTCACTTGACTTTCTATTTAGTTCATATTCTGGCATTAACCAGTTCAACTGTCATCAAGTCATGTTTGTGTTTCCTGCATTTGATACAAATTATAAAACAAGAAAGAGAACATTTAAATGTTGCCAAAATTGTCGAATCAAACGAACAAAATGTGAAATAACTTCCACTGATTATGAAGCTTTGGGGTGTCTCAACTGTAGAAGACACAAGTTCAAATGCTCCTTAATAAAGAAGAAGGCCCATCCAACTGACGAGCCTCAGACCCAACCTCAACAACAACCACTACAACAAGTGCCACAATCCCAATCACAACCACAATTGCAATACCAACAAATATCCCAATCACCTGTAGATGATGGAAATGTCTCATATTCAATGCATCCGCCTGCTTCAAAAGGACCAAGCTCTGTTAACATGATACAACAACCAATGTCTCAATTTGGAGAACCGGAAATGTCTATAAATACACCTCCTCAATTAGCACAACTTATGAATCAAACCCCATCACAAGAGTATATCCACCCACAAACACCCACATACCACCAGGCACAACCACCAAAGTATCATCAACCGCAAGCACCACAATCACACGGACCGCCACCTCCTGGCCCACATGCTGTTAGAGCTGCATCTATCTCCGATATTTCGCATGCTGCTAAATCCAGCACTTCAATGACATCAGCATATACTACCAACTCCTCTGCCATTACCACACCAAGTTCCAGCATTAACCAAGCATCACCAGCTGCCAATCCGCCAGCACCACATTTAGCACCAAGAAGTTTTAGCTCAGTATCTTCCTTCCATTCTGTTCCTCCTCCTGCTGCTATAGACATGACGCAAATAACTCCACAATACCTTCATGATACATTTAACTTCAATACTTCTACTCGACTGGACACCACGTTCCAATATTTGTTCCATGGGCATCCAAAGGTTATTATATCCTCTCAAGATAAAGACCAAACTATTTACCATGAATCGGGTGTGTATGTTAAAACAAAGAAGGAAGATGATAAGAAATCATACAAAATCAAACATTTTGGGTCTGATACTGAGAAGCATTTCAATATAAAGAGTGAAAAAGTGTACCAATTCTTATTATCCATCAATGCATTTACTTTAAGTAGTCCAGATTACCCAATTAGTAAAGAAGATGAAGTCAGTTTATTGAAGTTATATTTCTACAAAACGAACTCCATATTTCCTTTGGTTCAAGAAAACTTCTTTTGGAAAGAGTATAATGAAAACAAGGCACAAAACACATTAATTTACGGTATGGTGTTGGCAATTTCCCGTGATAAACTTGCTGAACCAATTTTAAAGCGAATATTCCTGCTTGGATCAATTGCACGTACTGGTCATCCAATCCTTGAGATGAACCAAGAACAGTACAATACTGAGCTCGTCAAGTTCATGTCTGATTTAGAATTCAAAATCCGTCAACTAATGCTTATCCTCGTACAATTGGGAGATGAAGATAAGTTTAGTCGTATTGCCGTGCATTTGCTTCTCCTGTTACATTTCGGTTATGACAGATTAGGTAACGAACAAAGTGCCCATGATTTAATGGATGCGATTGGTATCGGTACTGCTATTGGGATTCATATGAAACGCTTACCACAAAGGTCCGCGGAATTCATTGAATATTCAACCAATCTTTGGTGGTGTTGTTATGTTTTTGACAGATTCAATGGTTTGGTTAATGCTCGACCATGTTTTATCAAGCTGGAGGATTTCAATGTTGATTTGCCATATAGTAATATAACCTTGCTTAAAATGGTGCAAATTGCTCGCAATTTGGAAAATATGTTTTTTGCAGTGTTTCAACCATTTAATAATAACAATATCCCAACCAACAATTCCATGGCCAGATATTCCAAGTTTAACATTGATGAGTTCCAAAAGATTGAATTTGAATTGTGCGAGCAGGAAAGAAGCAGCGGTCGACAAATTTACTCCATTGGCAAAACCAGCGATAAGCACCAAGATTATATTCTTGATTCTACTCATTTGCTTACTCGAGTAGTTAATAATGTTGTTATTCTTGCTTCTCAAAAGGGGAAATACGATAATCCAGAAATTCCTAATCATATCCCAGAGGCAATTGCTCTTCGTGCTAGTCTGAATATGTTGTGGTATTTATCAAACATGCCAGACGAGTATTTAATTCAATTACCTATGATTCCATGGTGTATGTCACTTGGAATGGCAGTTGCATTAAAGAAATATGCAAGACAACATGTTACAAAGTATAATTTCTCGGAATATGATCAATATCATGACGAATATGAATTTGAAAGTTATGTTTCGTATTTGGAAAAGTTTTCGGCTACTTGGTATGTGGTTGATGAAATATGTCGATTAACTCGAGATTTCACTGATAAATTAGAAAAGAAGATGTTGAGGAAAAAGAAGCGGGATGCCGCCAGAGCAAAGGAAGAAGCCACCATCAAAAAGGCTAAGAAGGAAGGAGAAAATTCACAATCACCACAATCAACCAACAGACTTAGTGTGGTGCCAGAACAAGACCAACTTCAAACTAGTTCTACCGTTCCACCAATTCCAATAATCCATACAAATTCTTCAAACGTTTCTGCAGGGGTAGATTCAAATATTGGGGAATCTCCATTCATGCACCCTGATGCACCATTTGATCCAGCATCTACCGGGTCAGTAGGGTCAATTAGTTCCGATACTTTGGATCAATATGATCAATACTTTGAATCTATGCAAATTGATATTTTTAATAATGATTTCTTTAAAGATGTTCCTAACGTGATTAATTTGTTGAATTAGTTTATAAAAAGAAAATAGAAAAAGTTTTAATGATTAGTGTGATGACTATAATATTTAGGTTGTTTATATTTTTGGTTTCTATATAAAAATAAAAACTGTATTATTTTGGTGAATAGAAAGAGGTTTCTTTGGCTTAATGTGGAATAGAAGAAACATACATCTGAAAAGAAGAGAATTTAGTAAGTAATTTCTCGTTAAAGATAAGGAAGAGCATATCCTTGATCTAAGATATAATTGCACAAGAGCAGTTAGTAGAAAAGACTGGAACCATATAATTGTGATTACCGAGCACTCCTTTCGATAGGTTGTACCATACTGTGGGTTTATTGTTAAATGTACCAGATTTAAGAGAGATAGATCTCCATGACCATTGAAGTACACTATTTTATATTATTTGTCTATAAAAATAACTATTCTTCATCGGATTGAATTTCGTCTTCCCAACCTTCTTCCTCATCATCCCCTCTTCTAGGCATCAATTCACTCATAACCGGACCACCCAACTCTTTCAACAATTCGTTCACTTGTTCAACCAATCCAAGGTCACAATCTTCAACAGCATCACTATTAATAATCTTATATCCTTGAGTAAGTGTACTTTTAGCTTCATTTAATATGGCAGTTATTTCGGGATTGTCTGATTGTTTTAATGTGTTGATATCAATATCTCTATAATCTTCTTCTTCCAGACCATTGAACAACAATTGCTTGGCTTTGAATAAACCGGCCAATGCTTCGATATAGTATGAATCCAAGATAGAATCATTGATGTCCTGAACACTTGAAGCAATCACTGCGGCACGATCGTAAAGTTCCAATTCCGTGGCGAATCGGGAAAGTGTGAGTAATGGTTGGATTAATTCAACATATTCCATCCCAATTTCAAATGCATTGTTATCATTAGCTTCGGCAGCATCATTGGCAGCTTGTTCGAGCTTAGTTTTCTTTGCTTGGAATAGTTCCCAGGATTTTTCCAATGCAACCACAGCATCAGGGTTACGTTGTTGAGAAATTCGAATAGAGGCAAGTAAGGAGTATGCTTCAGGGTTAGCATCATCCAATTTCAAAGAATGTTGAATTAATTCTTCACACTTTGATTCCGCCTCTGGCTCCATACATAAATCAGTCATCCAAACTTCAATCTCACCAAAGATCCCGGAGTTCAATTTTTCGATAATCCAATGACGTAACTTAGATACATCATTTCCACTACCACCATACATCGTCAATAATCCTTGATCAACATTACCATTATTTAAATCTTCTAAATATGCACTTAATTTGTTCAATGCTATATTGACATAATTAAGCCCATCGGCACCACCGATGATTTGACCCAAGTAAAGAAACTTTTCCACACCTTCATTAGCTTCAGGGTCCATTTCACATGCTTTGGATAACACCTGGTATGCTTGTTCCAATTGATTGGTTTCTAAAAGAGTTTCACCATATACCAGGAGAAATTGGGTAGAATCAACATGAGAATTGAGATGTTTGGTTAGGAGCTCAAGTGCTTGGTCTGGCTGAGATGTTTCAAGAAGGGCCCTTGCCTGTGATATTATCTCTGTTGTTGACATTGTCGTTGTTTAGTGTCCGATGAGCAGCAGCGCAGATATTGAAAAGTTGAAATTTTTTATTTTCGCACTGATTGTGGTTTTACTTGATATCAACACTCATAAGCAAGAAATGAACCACGCAACATACAAGGGACTAACTAACGAATATGAAATCGTGGCACTACTACATCATCGGTCCAAAAACCAACATCGTCAAGCAGATTGGTTCATGCATTTGAATATAACGTATAGACATCTTAGACGGATCCTCAAGTTACAGATCGACATTAATCGACTACAACCTAAACCCAAGAAGAACCAGCTGAAAATCTTGTATAAAACAAATGAAATAGTGAAGTTAAGTCAGGGGTTAATCAAAAGGAGCAAACTGGCTTATTATTCGTATAATTCTATCTTGTGTTTGGGACAGTTTATCACATTAGGATTTGCACTTCTTGCATCGCTAGCCAAAATCAATAGATTATTACTTGAGATACCGAGTGTGGCTAACAGTGCAACGACTAGGATAGTCGAGAGCAATGCGACAGGTGTTGCGCAAACAGAGGATGATTTAGGTGTTGAGTTCATACCTGAAGTTGTAAAAGATGTTCCAGAACAAAGCGAGCCAAGCCAAGAGCCAAGTCTAAGCATCGATGACATATTTGATACGAAACCTAAAAAGAAGAAAAAGAAATCACGATCAGCTACTCCATCAACAATAGACGATATCAAACAAACTGGTTCAGATAAACCAAAGAAGAAAAAGAAAAAAAAGAGTGCTATAGACGACATATTTGGATAATAAATACTCTTTTATTAATAAAACAAACTAAACATAAAAACACAATATAAAACTTAAAAACAAAACCCTATCCCCTTTTAAAAATCGTAGCTAATTAATTAATACATAAACCTGTCCATATGGTACATTATTATCGTCAGTAACTTTTTTTTCATAAGCATATCTTGTACATTCCTTTAATATTGATACATCATTACTGGCTGCTGTGGTACTTGTTGCTGTTGCTGCGATTGAGAATCGGGGGATTGTGACATGGCGTAAGGGGAAGGGATAGGGTATTGTTGCTGTTGTTGTTGTTGTAACGATTGTTGAAGTTGTTGTTGATTCAATTTAACATAATTCACAATTTCATTGAAATTATTAAAGGTGGCATTGTTCAATTGATCGATATCAAGGCAGAATTCATCATCATATTCTCCTATGCTGTCCAAAGAATTACGTATTTGAGTATTGGTAAATTGATCAAACTGCGGAATATCTCTTTGTTGGTTGAAGTCTTGTTGTAAGTGTGGTTGTAATTGTTGTTGGTCGAAATATGCCGTGTTATTCACTGGTGGATTTTGCAATGTCATATAACTCAATGGTGAACGCATTATAGAAGTTGGGGTGTTGTAACTGCCTGGAGATTCTCCATATGGAGTATCCATAGAACCAGGAGTTTCTTCCATATCTGATTTACGGTTAACTTCACCAATAACTCTGGAAGCATATGGTAATAAGTCAGGATCGACATCCTTATTCTTTTCCAATTGTTTTCTTAATCTATTCTTTATTCTTGACTTGCCTTTGAATCCAGCAGGCAAGTACTTACATTCACCACCTTCGACATGTAATTCACACCATATTTCGGCATTGGGGAAGAATTCTCCACACATGGAACATGAACCACTAGAAGTAGCTCTTTGTTTGGTTTTAGTACCCTTTGGATATTTGAAATGTCTTGACTTTAAATGGGTTTTGTATGTATCTCTTCTCGAGAACCCACCGTTAGGATGACACTTGTGAGTGATGTTATTTTCGTCAATATAGATACTGACTTTGTGGAATGGACATGTGTATGCTTTATTCACAGCATGCTTCTTTAAATGTCTGGTTAAATATCCCCTGATTTTAAAAGTAGCATCACAATGAGGACAGTGATGGATTTTACCTTCAGCATCAGGACTTTCGGCTGATTGTTCACCTTGAGAAGATACAGAACTCTTGTCATCATCTACATCTGGTGTGAATGGAGAAGTAGTGTTAGTTGTGGTTGGAGTTGCAGAGTTTTCTTTGCGAATCTTTTGTGATAAAGTACTGGAATTACTGGTGTTGGAAATGGTTGGAGACAAGTCATGATGCTTGATGTCATTTGAGTTTACTGGTTGTTTATCCATTCTGAATGCATCTAATTCATGACCTGGTGTAATTACATCATCAGTAAATGTCCATTCAATTTCACCTTTATCATTTTTAAAGGGTAATAAACGAGTGGTTAATCCAGTAGAACATGAAATAGGAGTGTGTAAATTTTCAGAACGTTCTGTGTGTTTACGAAGTTCATTTTCAGTTAATTTAGATTCTTCCTTAGTTGTATTTCTTTGAGTTAATATGGTGGCGTCTTCACTAATAGAAGGGAATAAAGTTGGTGGCTTTTTTGTCTTTTTTGTCTTGGTGATAGCTTTATCTGATGGCCCAGTCTTTGGAACATCTTCAGGTATCACTGGTAATGGTAATATGAAATGATAAATAGCATTTATTATGTGCAATACTGTACTTACAACAAATGTGTAAATATTTGACAACATTGAATACTGTTGTGGAGCTTGTGCTTGAATGGTCATGTTGAATGATTTTTTTTGTTGTTGTTATCTAGTTGTAAAGAAGTAGTTAATGTAGTTATTTGTGCAATAGCTTATGTTGTTGACTTTGTTGTTGTTGTTGTCGTCGTCGTCGTTAAAATTTGTAATCTATTTCAGAAAGAAAAAACCATACGATGTTCGGTTTGTTCGGTGTTTGATTGGATTTTTATCACGTGAGTGGCGAAGTTGCTTAGTTTTACTAATAATTTGGGCAAAATAAGTGACAGGGTTAAACTAGTTAAGTAATGCGGTTGGTTGTAAACGTTAAACAAAGAAACAAAAAAACTAAATGGTTAGTTGCTGTAGTTATATGAAAAGGAAAAAGTTTTTTTAATATTTTTGTCTGTCACCTCCTCCTATTCGAAAAATCTTAGTTAAGGGCGAGACCAGAAATTTTGAGGATCATTTAAAATGGGCAAAGCAAAAAAAGACAAAAAATTATTTTGCTAAAAATAAAAGAAAAAAAAGGAGTTCGAAAAAAAAAGTCAGAAATAAAAAAAAAAAAACTTAAGATTTAGCGGGTACATTAGAGAATGCCGCGGTAATTATAGTACCACTCCATACAAAATTAAAACAATCCGGATAAAAATAAAAATAAAAAAAAAATAACTCAACAAGTAAATAAAAAAAAAGAAACTTCTCCAAGTGTGTATCGCCTTAAAATTGAAGATACTCAATTGTGCAGATAAACGTATTACACAAACCATCTTTCTAAACCGCCGTGACTCGGTCATTCAAAATCGGCATATGTTTAGATTACTAAAAAAAGCATGATCCCCTGACTACAGTTAGATGTCATCACTGGAGTCATAATGCCCTGACACGAGTTGTCAAAGTCAATGAGGGGTATACTGAAGGTGGGTGCGTCTGCAAGATGCCTTAATTCTCTGCATACAAAACAGTTGTTTGTCACTTTTGTGTCTCTTTAGTATGCATTAAATTTGTTCACTCGCCATTTATTTCCATTTTTTATTTCTGATGGTTTTATTAAGGGAGAAAAATAATTTGAGATTTTACCTAGTGCTGTAATTAACTTAGACCAGGGTAATTTTAGTCACGCTCATAAACTTTAAAGTATGTCTCTTGGCAGTCTTGTGATAATTGCTTGGTTAGATTATCTTGAACTACTCATAGATTGATAGAAATATCGACCAGAATTCCTAATACTGGAAAGCTCGTTAATGTTATAATTGAGGGGAACATTACTTCGGTAATTCACTGCGGCTAAAGTTTACCATAGTAAATTTCATGCACGCGAGTAGATAGATTTTTTTTTCGATAAAGAAGATCTCGATCTAACCCCATATATGATGTAATAATAGAACATGTGAACACATAGATCTTAATATATGACATCAACACCCATATCACAGCATGTTGCATCTTATTTCTCCGAGATTAATTATTTAGCACAAACCCTAACTCTATTTAAATTTCAACATAGTGTGTACTGACAACCGGTTTTTCTTCTAGCTTTGTGTGGATAAACTTGAAAAAAAAAAGAATTAAAAAATTAAAAAAATTTTCTATAGCGAACCATCTCTTTCTCGGCGCATCACACCATATTAACATATAGATCATGACTCACATAGAGAATATTCCCGAGGTGAACCTTGCAACACTTACTCATCCATGTATTTCCAACCAAAATGGGACGTACTGGTTTTATGAAAAGTCAGCAGAATCATTCCCTGGTCAAGCATTTGCATTAGAGATAAATAAGATCTTGTACCATACAAAGACAATCTACCAAGATATTCTTATATTTGAATCAAAAACCTTTGGCAATGTGCTTGTTCTTAATGGAATTATTCAATGTACCGAGAAGGACGAATTTGCATATCAAGAGTTGATAACTCATGTGCCAATAATGGCCCATCCAAACCCTAAGAAGGTATTGGTTATTGGTGGTGGAGACTGTGGTGTTATTCGAGAGTTGATAAAACACGTTGAAGATGATACCGTGGAAGAAATCACTATGGTAGAAATTGACGATATGGTAATTCAATTACTGTGCAAGTTCTTACCATCCATGGCATACCAAATCCGTCACCCCAAGGTCAACTTGATTATTGATGATGGGTTTAAATATTTAAAGGAAACAACCAAGAAGTTTGATGTTATAATCACCGACTCGTCTGATCCTGAAGGACCAGCGGAAGAATTTTTCCAGATTAACTATTTTAAATTATTATTAAATGCATTGAGTATAAATGGTATTGTGATTATGCAATCCCTGGAAAATATATGGTTAAATTTAGCATACCTCAAGGATTTAATCTACAAGGCAAAACAAGTGTTTAACAATGTGCAATATTGTCAATGTTATATGCCCAGTTATACTTCAGGACAATTAGGATTGATTATAGCTTCAAACAGTGAAGGTGATTTAACCAACCCTGTAAGAAGGTTTGACTTGGAAAAAGAAAGTAAAATGTTCAAGTATTATAATCAACAAATCCACCACAGTTCCTTTGTGTTGCCAACTTGGGCAAGTAATTATTTACGTGGGTAAGCAAAAAAAGGTTTAGCATGCATTAGATTAGTAAACATATAGAATACGGTAATAAAATAACACTTTGGGAATACTATCCCGATTCTATTTATAGACACAGCTAGCAGAATATGTATACATTGGCTTATCCACTTTGGTTGCAAATTCAAGACACACATTATTGTACACGCTCAAAATGAATTGTTCTCCTTGTTGTCATTTTGAACACAATGCACGACCGCCTCGTGGAAATGCCATATTCTTTTTTTTATTTATTTTTATTCTTTTTTTTTGTGTTGACGATGACAAGGAGAAAAAGAAGGAGGAAAATTTTTATCCTCATTTGCACTACTACCAAAGAACACGACCTTGACTGTATTTACACCTTTCGCTGGTACAACCAAACCCATCAACCAAAAACAATCAAAGGGTGTGTCTGAGTTACCAAATTTTTAGTAAATAAGTTGCAACCAAAAAAAATTGTGAACCCACTGATAACCACAACAACCAACGGCAAACAGTGATAAACCCACAACAATCTAGATACACAGAAGAATATAACAATTTCAATCGTTAATTCTTTTTTAAAAAGATCAAACTTCTACACTCATTTAAAATGTCTACTGGTGACGCAACTGAAGATGACTACAGCACTAACATTGATGAACAATTGTTAGCAGCTGTGGGAAAAGCCACAACCACAAACGAATCAAATGATGATGCCAATGATATGACAAGAATCAAATTGGAACAAATTGCAGCCCATGCAACCACCAGTAAAAGCAAGAAGGCGCGTCAATCACAACAGCACACTCCACAACCGGAGAATGAAGAGGACCAATTGAAAAAGTACCAACAAATGCAACAGCAACAGGAACAACAACAGCACCATCACCACCACCACCAACAACAACAACAACAGCAGCACCATCATCAACAATTGGCAGCTGCAGCAGCTGCGGCCGCCGCAGCAGGTATACATCAGCTGCAAGCTCACCACTTGGGTGATTTAAGCAATGCCTCGACTACAGATGAACTTTCTGAATACAATATTCAAATTCCTGAACCAATCATAGACTCCAAACTGAAAATATACCCTGTGATTGAAAACACCATCACTGCAAACGGTAATTTAATCACAAGGCCATATCCAGAACAAATATTTCACAATCGTGATGATTTGAATGATTTCATTCAAGAGTTTGCAAGAGATAACGGATTTGGCGTCGTGATTGCCCATTCTAACAAGAAGGCTATTTATTATACTTGTGAATTAGGAGGAAGGTATCGTCAAAAGAAATCCAAAAAGGATCAAGAAGAAGAAGAGCCTGTGGATGAATCACATCATATTGATGTCGGTGATGGATACATGTTGGATCCAAACACCAAGACCAAGAAATTGAAATGCCCATTTTCTATGACTGCGCTGTTCAAGAAGTCTACTGGAGTGTGGACATTAAGAACCACTTGTAATGAACATAACCATCCACAATTGGATCCATTGAGTAATCATCCTATGTTGCGTAAACGCAGCGATGAATTAAACTTGTTGATTTTGGATTTGTATAAAGTTGGAACTAAACCGCTGCATATTGAAGCTAAGATCAAGGAACAATATCCTGATGTATTAATCAAACGAGAAGATATCTATAATGAAATCAGAGGATACAAACGTAAACTCAAGAAGCAAACTGCCAGATTTGGACAAATCTCATCGGCTAGATTGTCGAACTATAGAAGGCGTACCCAACAATTATCACTGCAACAAGGTCAACCTCAGGGTGATGATGCCGCTGCCGTGGCTGCTGTTGCCGCCGCTGCTGCTAATGCCAATGCATTCTTGCATCAAGATGAAGGGTCGGAAGTATTGTATGATATACCCCACCACCAAATCCATCATCAAGTACATCACCCTTCACAACAACAACTTCACCAATTGCAACAACAGCAACAGCACGCACAACAACATCAACATTCACAACAGCACTCGGATGAGTTCCAAAGACAATTTAATGAAGCCTCGGCTGCAGTTGAATCACAATATCAACAATACCAATATGATGGAGAAGGGAATAATAATAGTGGAAGTTCATCTTCTGCAGTTGCCATTGCTGCTGTGGCCAATGCTGCTCGAGCTGCTGCCGGTGGATCCAACGGACAACAGCATTATAACAATGATGATGAATTGTCTATTGATAATATCGATAGCCGGTTAGTTGGGGAATAAGAGATGTTTTTTATCAGTTTATTGTTTAATTTTGTATATTATTTGTTTTATTTACATTCCTTTGAGTATTTCCAATCCTTCACTTCTTTCTTCGAATAATCTAGCTAATTCACTAACTTTACGTCCGCGTATTACTGGTTTCTTTACGGGCGTTTGTGGTATTATATCTTGTTCAACTGAAGACTCTTTTTTCAATTTGGGTATATTTGAAAATTTATACTTTTGGGGTGGGAATTGTAATTCAACCTTTAGGGTTTCTTGAGATGAAATCGCCAGTTTGTAGGAAGGAGAATCTTTGAATATTGTATCGGTTGACGAGTTAGTTGACGAAGTATCATCAATTGTTAAATCGTAGTTTTGGTCATACGAAGTGTCTGGCAAGTACTGGCTGGGTGGCGGTAATTGAGTAGTGCTGGGGATTGCAGTGGGTATTGGTGCTTTGGTCTGTGTGCTTCCTGAGATTGTTTCTGTAATGGTGTGTATGTGATAATCATTTCTAATGCTTGACCAATCCTCCAATACATTCTTTATAAATCTCTTGACAATTTGCACGTTGTTCTGGTTTGTAGATATCAATTCGTGACTTAAACAATGGGCAAGACAATTTGATAAAGTCACCGGGGTATGCTTTGTGATCTCTGTTTGAATTAGCTTATAACAGGTGTTGAACAATTGAAGGAGTAATTGATCATAATTTCTGGTTTCTTCGTTGGATTTCAATTGTTGTATTATATTAGCTAGTGTTTGTTTCGTGTATGATGTATTATCTTGAATTGGTAGTGTGATTGAAGCAACTTGTAATAAAGGATATGGCAACTCCAGGAGTAATTTCTTGAAGGTTCCCGATATACAATACAAGTCAAAGTCGTTAATCCAAATCAACTGATTTCTCATTATACATTTAAAAAATATCTCAGTTGCTTGTTTGTTACCTGGTTTGTGGAAAATTAGCTCTACCTTGTCACCATTTTCATCAATGATATTGAAGATTTGATATAAATGATGGTGGAAAGTCTCATGGGTATGCCTGTCAAGTCTTACCAACGGGTTAATCACGGGAGTATATCTCATAGCTAATTCAACCCCACTTGGTTCTAATTGTAAGTCGTGTTTATAAACATTCAATGATATTTTTAATCTTGTGATATCCAAATAATGACTAAGTTTGTTCAAGTTGTCGCAGTGAATAACCTGAGTATTATCATTGGACTTTGTGCTGATATCAAACATGTTAAGCAATTTGTTAAATTGCTCCAAGTTTTTTTTGGTTGAGTTGAAATTATAAACGATTTCAGTTATGGATTTGATAAACCAACTGTCATGAACAGCAAAGATCTTGATGACATTATTAAGGTTGTGGTTGTCACTGTCAACAAACGACTTTAGGAATTTGATACCCCATACCCAACTGATCTTGTTTAAACCGCAGTTAAACATAATCAAGATATATGGCTGGGTTGGAACATGATTCATTAGTGTTAGGATGAATTCATCGTAGTTTATAATGTCGGGTGAGGGTAGGTATGACGTATCGAATATATAGATTGGGTAATTAGTTATAGGATCTCGTACGAGTGTTTTATAGAAGATTCTGTCCATGTCTGTGAGTATATGTTGTAAACGGGTAAATAAATAATGATAAATTTCTAAGTTGGATAGTATTACGAATAGATACGGTTGTGCTGGAAGTATAACAGACGCCTTCACTTAATAATGTGTGGGACAACCTTAAAGGGGGTTTAAATATTTTCTTTAGTTTTTTTGCTGTTTGTTTTTTTTTATTTTTTTCATATAAACAAAAAAATAGCGCGCGCGTTGTGAGTCTGTTTTCGGTAGAAGCCGATTTCTAAATTTACTTTGATTAATCCCGGCTTCTTAATATAGAATGATTCTCTGGGAGTTGCTTTCGGGTCATTGGTTGCCCTTGTTTGCAACCGTATTTGATATATCGTTCCGTAATGTTACAAAATGTTCCTATATACTGAAGAATATCTTGATGTGATTTCACTGCTACATCTAGAAGCGATGTACCAGATTATATGGGCCAGTTAGGTTAATCATTCTCTGAAGATTTCCAACCTGGTGATATCCAGGTTTTTATCAGGCTGCAAATACTACTGTAGAAACTAAAACAAACAAACAAACAAACAAACAAACGTGCCTTGAACGTCTCAATGAACTGCCAAAATACTAAATCTACAAGCCGAAACCCATAGCGGTATTGACAAATAGATCTACGTTTTTCTCTACTGCTCCAATGACTACATTGCATTTCTTTACATGCACTTCGCATTGCTCCCGTCATAGCACTGCTTGCTTATATAACATGTATCTGGTAGCACCAGTAACTGCTGTTGTTATATGCACTCCTCAGATTTGCCATCCAAAATTTTCAACAGCAAAAACACAACCAGAAAAAAAGAGGCAACAAATAGCCACTCCAGTTTACAACCAACTTCACCACCAAAAGCTAATTATTGTGTCAATTTCATATCCACCTTATAGAACTTTGAACAATCATGGCGCCCGCTCAACAAGATACTTCTTCAACTCAACAGCAACCTGCTGCAGTTGAAGAAGCAGCAACTACCACCACCACCAAGAAACCAGTATTGCCAGAAGAAGAATTATCTGAAGAAGATCAAAAATTGAAGGACGAATTGGAGTTGTTAGTTGAAAGATTAAATGAACCAAACCAACAAGTTGAATTGTACGGTAAGTACTTGGATGCCTTAAAGACCTTTATCAAGGAATCCACCACTTCAATGACTGCTGTTCCTAAACCTTTGAAGTTTTTAAGACCACACTACCCTTCATTGACTGATTTATATACTCAATGGAGTAGTGAAACCTACCTGGCCACTGAAGAAATTGTCGTTAAATTGGCCGATATCTTATCTGTGTTAGCCATGACTTATTCTGACGATGGTAAGCGTGAATCTTTAAAGTATAGATTGTTGTCCCAAAAGGAATCCTTGCCAGACTGGGGTCATGAATATATGCGCCATTTAGCATTGGAAATTGGTGAAGCTTATCAAGAATATTTAGGTAGTGCCGATGATGAAGTTGAAAAGTTAGTTAAATTATCTTTACAGATTGTTCCATTCTTTTTAAAACACAATGCCGAAGCTGATGCTGTTGACTTGTTATTGGAAATTGAAAGTATTGACAAATTACCTCAATTCGTCGATGATAACACATTTGCCCGTGTTTGTCTTTATATGGTCAGCTGTGTTCCATTATTGGCTCCACCTGATGATGTATCCTTTTTAAACACCGCCTTTGCCATTTATTTGGCCCATGGTCAATTAACTCAAGCCTTAACCTTGGCTATCAAATTGGATGACGAAGAATTAATCAAGCAAGTGTTCAATTCAACCAATGATGAATTAATCCACAAACAATTGGGTTTTATCTTGTCTCAACAAAACAACAGTTTTAAATACCCTGGTGAAAATCCTGAAGTTCAAGAAACAATTTCCAACGTTAAGTTGGCAGAGTATTTCAAATATTTAATTAAAGAATTAAATTTATTAGAACCTAAGGTTCCTGAAGATATTTACAAGTCACATTTGGAAAATACCAAGTTTGGCTTGGGTACTTCCGGGTCAATTGATTCTGCTAAACAAAATTTAGCAGCTGCATTTGTAAATTCTTTCCTTAACTTGGGTTTTGGTAATGATAAATTAATCCAAACTTCAGATGATAACAAATCTTGGATTTATAGAACCAAAGGGTCAGGAATGTCTTCCACAACTGCTTCTTTAGGTTCAATTCACCAATGGGATATCAATGAAGGTTTACAAGTTTTGGACAAGTATACTTATTCCGATGATCCTGAAATTAAAGCTGGTGCTTTATTAGGTACCGGTATTGTTTCTTCCAATGTCCATGATGAAGTTGAAGCTGCATTTGCATTATTACAAGAATATGTAACTGATCCAAATAAACTTTACCAGACTTCGGCTATCAACGGGTTAGGTATTGCTTTTGCTGGGTCTGCTAATGAAGAAGTTTTGAACTTGTTATTACCATTAGTATCGGACTTGGAAATCTCTTTAGAAATTTCCTGTCTTGCTGCGTTAGCTTTAGGTCATGTCTTTGTTGGTACTTGCCATGGAGATATTACATCTACTATTTTGCAAACCTTATTGGAACGCGATTTTACCCAATTGACCAATAAATTCATCAAATTTATGGCCCTTGGATTGGGTTTATTATACATGGGTAAGACTGAACAGGTTGAAGATGTCTTGGAAACCATTGATGCCATTGAACATCCAATTAGCAAGACTTTGAAAGTATTGGTTAATATTTGTGCTTATGCCGGTACAGGAAACGTTTTACAAATCCAAGCATTATTACAAATGTGTACTGCCAAACCTAAAGAACAGGCTGAAGAAGAAAAGAAGTTGGAACAATCTGAAGAAGACCAACAAAAGGAAGAAGAAGAAGCCAAGAAAGAACACGCAGACACTACCGGTGATGTTGAGATGGAAGATGCTTCTGAAGTCAAACCAGAAACTGAAGCCAAGGCAGAAGTTAAAGATGAAGATGTCACTGCTGAAGAAGATGAAGATGCTGAAGAACAAGAGGAACTCTATCAAGGTATTGCTGTTTTAGGGTTAGCTTGCATTGCCATGGGTGAAGACATTGGACAAGATATGTCCTTGAGACATTTCGGTCATTTAATGCATTATGGTAATTCGTTGATTAAACGGGCAGTTCCGTTGGCAATGGGATTGGTTTCTGTATCCAACCCACAAATGAAGGTATTTGAAACCTTGTCAAGATACTCTCATGATGCTGATTTAGAAGTTGCTCAAAATGCCATTTACTCTATGGGTTTGGTTGGTGCCGGTACCAATAACGCTAGATTGGCCCAATTATTAAGACAGTTGGCTTCATATTATATTAAGTCTCCAGAGTCTTTGTTCATGGTTAGAATTGCCCAAGGTATTTTACATTTAGGTAAAGGTACCCTAACATTGACCCCATTTAACTCGGAACGTACCATAATTTCCAAGGTTTCCTTAGCCTCGTTGTTGACGATCGCCATGGCATTATTAGATCCACGAGAATTCATTTTGAATGATTCAAGTACAGAAACTACACATCAATTGTTATACTACTTGACTCCGGCCATAAAACCAAGAATGTTAATCACAGTCGATGAAAACTTGAACCCACTTAAAGTCAATGTAAGAGTTGGTCAAGCGGTTGATGTTGTTGGTCAAGCAGGTAAACCAAAGACCATTACTGGTTGGGTCACTCAATCTACTCCCGTATTATTGAATTATGGTGAGCGTGCTGAGTTGGAAAATACTGATGAATGGATAAGTTTGAGTCATTCCTTGGATGGTATTGTTATCTTGAAGAAGAATCCTGAATATATGGAAGTTGATAATTAGAGTGTATACTTAAGAATTTTTGAATTTACTAATAATAGATCTTGATATTTGTAGCAAATCTTACTTCTGAGTTTACTTTGTGTTGCCAATTTACTTGTTGAAAGAAGAAAAATTTGAAACTTTATCGTTTATTGTAATGTTACTATGTATATATGCGAAAGTATATCAGATTTACTTAAATTCTTGGGCCTTACCAGTCATTAATAATCCGACAATCAATCCAAACAAACCCAAGACTGATCCAAAGATTTCCACCACTAAAATCTTGACGAAAAGGGAAGAATCAGCAGCATCACTGATAGCAGCAGTAGATCCAGTTATCCCCACGGCAACACCACAAATTAAATTAGATACACCAACAGTTAAACCGGCCCAAAACAAAGAGTACCCAGTGTACAAATTTTCTTTGGTATACAAGGTCAATGAACCCACACTGGTCAACTTGGCAGAAAAGACAATGGCCATAATCAATCCATAAATAGCCACAACTTCACAGAAAATAATCGAGATTAAATTCTTGGTAGTTATACGAGGGGCCTTGACACCAGCACCCAAGATAGAAGAGCCGGTAATGAAAATCCCCCAGGCAGCACCAACGACGGAGAGCCCGATACAACAACCAATTCCTAAACACGCCCACATATATGGTGATGTGGTCTCTAAGAATTCTCCAACATTGAAGGATTCCCCGGACCCAGTGAATAACATATATCCACCCACAGTTAATAATGATGTTATAATGAGTGAAGTCGTTGTGTATGACATGGTGGAGTGCAATTGATTGATGAATGTCTACAGACAACGTTTATGATGGAACTTGAGTATTTCAAAAAAAATGTGAGCAAGAAGATTTCTGAGGAAAAACTGTAAATTTATTTTTACAGGTTGGGAGTTTTACATATTTTTTTTTGGGTTAAACTGTGGAATAGTCTAATCCCCCCATAAACAATATCTGAGACTCCAGGAGTCTATAGAAACTCTGCTCGATTAGATCCAGTCTACTTCTCATTGAGAAATCAAAGGTTTTATTCTCAAAAACAATGTATATGGGTGATCTCAATGAATTAAATATATTTTTAATATGAAAAATATATTAATATTCCATTTTCTTTTATAGAGGTATGTAGAGTATTATGATTCCTTAGATGATGGAATAGAGGAACTTCTTACTAAATCTCCAAACCTCCGCCATCTCTCCTTAATATCCCAGAGTATCAGATTTTCTAAATTATTCAATCAATTGAAATCCAAGCCCATAAATTTATTGTATTTGAAGATTATGGAGATTAATGGCTCCTTGAACAACTTCCTGGTTCAGGATATTTTGAGAACTCAACAATAATCAATAAGAAAATTATACATGAGTGATAACGACTGGATAATTAAATGAAAACTACATGAAATTCAGGAATTTTATAGAATTTACAACCCCAAAGACGGAGTTATAACTATGCAAGAGCTAACTTCTCAAAACAATTCAAATTAGAAGTATGTTAGAAGGTCAAAAGTATCCTTCATTTCGATCAAATTCTATTGAATGAGAACTGCTACTTTATCAAAAGGACATTTAGAAATGATATTGATATAAATTCGAGTATAGTCATGTGTGGTTGGATATGGAACGAGAAGATTCATCGGATGATCTTTTGGATGATTAATCTAGTAATTCTCTCTTTTCAATATGTTATACCTAGGATTTCTTTTATTCGGTATACAATGACTGAATTCACTAGTTGATTTTAAGAACATATGTAGATTGACATAGAACATTTTACTTCAATAGACTGAATGTAATGATATACATTTGTTATTAAAGTATGCTGATTTCCTTCCTGTTTTATTTGTCTGTTGATATTAAGGGTATGCTTCCTGTGCCATTTTGTTATGGGTGCAAAAAAAAAAAACATTCACCGTCAAAAATATGAGATTTATATAATGGCGCTTATTTTCCATGTCAGCCAACCACAAACTATTTCACCTTTTACATCCTGGCAAATAAAGTCATACAAAATGCACATTTGGTCCCTTGTAATGGCATTAGCCTATATCCCTTTTCTCGTACAGGGTAAAAATCGAGACGAATCTACTCGTAAGTTTGATTAACCATTTATTGTAGAAGATTACTTTACTAACTTTGAATTACAAGAATATATAATCCTGCAACAAGAATTGGTTCCTGTTAACACAACTTCTCCGAGTGAATCCATACCACAACTTGATAACCCACCTCGTGATTTACAGTCACTACTTGATGAAATCGAAGCAGAAATTCCTAGTTCTTGTCATCAAAATGAATTCAACATTCAATCTCCAGAAGACCTTGAAAACATTATCGACTGTAATATCCTTGTTGGTAACATTGTCATTTCTGATTATAATTACCCTATTATTACATTTTCTAAGCTTGAAAAAGTTCTTGGTAATTTGACAATATTGAAATCTCCAGAATTAGTTCGAATTGAAGCACCAACTTTAGAATATATCAGTTCAAGGTTTATCTTGACTGAATTGACTTCATTATCACTCATTTCTTTCCCGCTGATCAAGTACATCAACGTTTTAGATTGGAGTATTTTACCAATATTAAGCAATGTCCATTTAAATCATGAAATTCAAGGAATTGAGAGCATTAGAGTATCAGACACTTCATTGACTGGGTTTTCGGGGTTTATTGCTGATAAGTTGGATATTTTGGATATAAATAACAACAGATTCTTGGATACCATTGAATGTAATGTTGAGCATATCTATGGAAAGTTGCATATTGCAGCCAATGCAATTGATGTTAAAGTATCATTACCAAAATTGAGACAAGTTAGTAACTTAAGTATTAACAATGTGGAACGATTAAACTTAGATCAATTGGAAACTGTGGATAACTCATTGAGCTTAAGTAATAACTATTTCCAACAATTGAGATTCCCCCAATTGGAAACTATTGGTGGAACATTGAGCCTTTTGCAAAATGAACAAGTCAATCATCTTGAATTTCCCTCACTTAACGAGATTGGTGGTGGATTAATGTTGGTTAACAATACCAAAGTTGACAAGATTAATTTCTTCCCAAAATTAAAAATTATTGGTGGTGCTCTTGAGTTGGTAGGTCCTATAAAGGAGATTGTATTTAGACAATTGAAATTGGTCAAGGGTAGTGCCATTGTTAAATCTACGTCGCAACAATTTGATTGTACTAAATGGTCAACGAGTGATATCTTGTTGGTTGTTAGAGGCGGTAAGATTGAGTGTACGAATTATAAAAATGAAAAGTTCACATCTAGAACAAGAAAGGAAGGACATAGCCAAGGACTACATTCAAATAGTTCGGCTTCTGGTGCTTCTGCCAGTCATAAAGAAGCATCTGCTGGTTTCAAGTTGAAAATTTCAACTTGGTTAATAATTTTAGCTGTTGCTTTAATTTATCGATTCATCCTATAGTTTTATTTCTTTAAGTACTTTTATATAAGTCATTGTTTACAATAAAGTCACGAATTTCCGGTACAACTTTAGATTTCCAATCATCATTGCCTTGCGAAATTTGTAATCTGATTTCTGAAGAACTAATATTGGCGATATCATCGCCGAAGTTCTTAACTAAGAATATATTTTCGCCCCAATGGGAAGGAATATCTTCATGTCTACCACCTCGGATCTCTTCAAGATAATTGTTTTGTTCATCATTGGTGATGTCTTTATCAACACGTGTAAGACAAAATAAATCGGTAGATTTCATAAATTGTTCTAAGGAAGTTGATAATTTATCCGGTAAGTAATATTTGGGGTTAAGAATTCGTACTAAGGTATCAAATCCAACCAAGAAAGTCAATTTCAATGTGCTGGAAGGTTTAATAAAGTTTAAACAAGATACCGATTTATCAACAAATTTGGCATGTTTGGTAACACCTATAGACACGGAAATGTTCCACTTTTTGGATATATCATTGGCCATCAAATACATCATTTGTAACCTATGTTCTAACGATTCAGGTTTAGGAGCAGCTTTATCAGCATTCTTGATTGACAATAATAGCAAGACAATCTTGTTATCATTGCTCTGGCCGACGGAACCAAAGGTGTTCTTGAGAGATTCTTCAACCAAGGCATAATGACCCAAATGTGGTGGGTTAAATGAGGAATCCAAAACACATATTCTTTGAGTAGCTGGCGTGATGAATTCCGGGGATGTATGGTAAAGTACACTAAAATCAGATTTGGATGCTATAAATTCTTGAAGTGGTTTAATAAATTTCAGTTTCATTTTCGTGGGGTAAGGGTTAGTTGTGGAGTTTGTGTAAGCTTTGCAAGTGTGTGGAGATGTAAGTTTGAGTGACCAGTTTGCAATTGAATTTGAATTGAATCAATTGATATCAAATCTTAATAAGAAGTAGCAATTCACTGTGGAAAAACTTAATTTGACTGACCCTAATACTATCCCCTAAAATGGCAAGTTTGTAAAATTCCGGAAAAGCAAAAAATGATTAAGAAAAAAAAAAAAAAAAAAAACCAACCCACAAAGTTTGCAGCTGGCGATACTTGGCGAAATATATACCATGATACCTTACGTAAGGAGGGGTTCTGAAATATCAATTCAAGTTGATTACACGGTCTGTTCTCTTACAACAGTGGCATAGATAGTTTACTATATAAAAATAGCTAGATTAATGGTCTGTGTGTTTTATAGGTAATATCTCTAGACAACCATTTTACAATTCATCCTTTTCAGGTTGAGTTTCTTCACTAACATCAACACCTGCAATGTCAAATAATTCAGCCTTGAAAATCAAAGCAGAGTTTGGTGGAATTGGTCCAATTCCTCTTTCACCATAAGCAACATTTGGATGACACCATAATTCTCTAACTTCCCCTTTACACATATCTAATAAACCTTCATCCCAACACTTAATCACTTGTCCTTGACCAAGATTGAATGGTAAAGCAACACCACGATTGTATGAAGAATCGAATACAGTTCCATCTTCAAGTTTACCTTCATAGTGAACACTTATATAGTCACCAGCTCTAGTTTTACGATGACATTCAACTGGAGTGATAACCTCTGTTGCAAGTTAGTATTAAGATACTGTTTCACTCCTTAAAATTACACTCTGTACATACTGATTTTCAATTCATCTGGAGATGCAGCTGACACGACACCTAATGCAGATAACAAGACGGTAGACAAGATAGAAGCTTTCATTTTCGATTATTTCTTAAAATATGTTGAAAATTAATGGTTGCTGATCCCCCCTTTTTTTTGTTTGAGTGTGTGCGTTTTTTTTTTATCGTCGAGCCTTTACGTGTTCGTTCCTCGTACAAGCCCTTCTAGAACAATGCAACTCTGAACTTTGTTCCTACACTTTTTAGTCTACAAAACTCTTTTCTTCATAAGAATTCATCTATTATACAAGACTGACTAAAACTATTTGTATAAACCTTAAAAAAAAGAAAAATGATTTAATCAAAGAACCATCATAATATATTTTACAATAACAAAAACAAAACTAAAAAAGTTTCATTGATAACCCAACAAAAGGTATAAACCCCTTGCATTTAAAAATAAACCCATTTAAACATAACAATAAACCTAATAAAAGCAAAATCAAAACATCAATAGTATAAAAAAAACATATTCCTCTTCTAAACTGTACAAAGGGTAAGCTGAAACTTCCCCTGAAGATGATTCTTCTTCCTTCATCTTCTTCCTTTTTTCTAATTTACAAATAATCGGCCAGCTTCTAATTCATCGATTGTGGATTCGATAATCTCATCATCGTCATCATCTTCAACCAATTCTATAGTGGCATATTTAATCATATCCCAACGTTTCCAAAATGATGCAACTTCATCATAATCATCGGAATCAACCAAATCCTGTAAATAATACTTGGCTTTGGTCAATCTATTCTTCAATTCTTGTAATTGGCATGATGATGGGTCGTCTTTAGATGACATGGAACTTGCAGAAGACATCCGCCTCCTGAATGATGGTTGTTGTTGTTGTAACAAAGTTGGTGGTACTTGCTGTTGTTGTGCAAGTGGTTGTTGTTGTGATTGTGGTTTTTCGTGATTGTTTTCAAAATCTGAATCTTCATACTCAGTCATATCAGTAGTATTATCAAAGAAATTATCTTCTTCATCAGTAGCAACTGATCTAGGAGTATCATATCCATAGACTTCATCTTCAACGTGAGTGGTAGCATCACAGTATCTTGCCCACGCTTCATCTATTGCACCAACTAAATATTCAAAACAGCGAGATCTAGATGTTTTATCAGATGTTGGAATGTTACATTTTCCATCAACATCTTCATCGACAACAACATTGCGATCACCGCCATGAATATTCAATGAAATACTACTAGAAATTGGAGTGTTCCCACTCAATAACTTGCAATCTAAATTGTCAGCTTCTTCATCATCCTCATCGTCGGAAACCATCATCTTGGTAACCTTCATAGAATCAGCAGAAATACGACGACAATGTTGATAACTTTTCTTTGGCTCGTCTTTATCACATTCATCTTCTTCTTCATCATCACTGTATTGAGAAACAGCCTTGGAGATATCTTTATTCAAAGAAAAAGAAATCCGAGACGAAGCTCTTCTCTTAGCTCTAACTTGATCAGCATTATAACAAGATTGTTCATCAGCAGAATCTTCATCTTCCTCAGATGATGATGAGTAAATACAAACCGACTTCTTGGGACTATGACTATATGAAGAACTTATACCAACAAAATCAACTGAGGATGTGATGGAAGGGAATCTGGATAAGCACATCCTCTTTTTGGATGATGTATGGACCTTGCTTTGGCAACTACGCTTAGTAGGACCATTGAATGCTTGTGAACATAAAGCCATTTTCGGTTGTACGACTTTAATTATAATCTATATGAATCCAAAAAAAAATAATTAAAATGAATCACGTGCTTTTTGGTTGTGTATGAAGGAACCAAAAAAAAAGTGAGAATCAAGTAGCTCGGCACAAGGGTGAAATTCAAACGTTTGAATTTGAGTGCTTGTGCGAAAAAAAATCTGGTGGTGTTTCTGAAATCAACCAATCAAGGTGTCAGAATTCAACTATATGCAGGAAAATTGGTTTTTGTTCACGAAAATGTGGAAAAAAATCACAACTTTTCTCTCTTTTTGGGGGGCAAAAAAAACCAACGAACTGTCCTAACCGTAAACTATAGTATTAGTCTTAGGAAACACCTGCTAATGTGTAGTAAGCTTGCTGGTGTAGGTAGTAGTAGGAATGTAGAAGGTACTGAAGTATGTATAAGGAAAATTCTTTGGGGTGGTTTTCACTTATATAAACTTTGCTCTCTTCCTTAAGAATTTTAATTTTTCCTTTCTAAGAAAAATGTATGGATGTCGAAAAGAAAGAAAGAAAGGAAAAAAAAAAGACAAAAAATTGATTGTTGGTTGCGTGATGTGGTTAAAAAGCAAAAATTTTAAAAACAAAAAAAAATTTGAGAATTTGATTTTTTTTTATAACTGAATTTTAAAGTGACTGGACAACGCACAAAAAATTGAATACAATCGATTTTCTTGTGCAAGTACACGCACATCAATATTTTTCGCCATTTTTCCGTCAGATCAAACAATAGAATAAGGAAAAAATAAAAAAATAAATTCTATTGTTCCTCCTATTTTTTCTGCTGCGCTTCCTAAATGGGAAAAATTCTATAATTTTCCATGGCCACAAAGCCATTTGATTGGTCGGCTCCGATTTTTACTGTCTTTGCGTCCAGTTCTATGCATGTGCCTGAAATCAATCCACTGCAGCAGTGAGAGGATTTTCAACATGAAACTGTTAGAGGGGAAAGTAGTAGATAGATCAAGGTAGAAATCCTCGAATGTTGTAACTCAGATTTATACTACAGCGACAAGAATAATTTCTCAATTTGGAAAATAATCCATACATCATTTAATCTTGGATAGTGACGTGACTGAGTCACCGAAAATGCGACATTCGAAATTTATAATTGCAGCAAAACTCTTCGTATATGGTTGCCAAGTCAAATTCAGATAACAATTTATGTTATTCATTAGTTTTGTGTTACGGATCTCTTGTTTGATTTTTCACGTCTTAGTTGGGGGGGAAGAGGTAGGTAGCTCAAATACTTGTTTTGTGTTGAAAGGAACAATTCAATCAAAAACATATAATCTTGAATATACAATTACTCGAGATAATCAGAGTTTCTCATCATTTGTGCACTATATACATCATGATATGGAATCAGTTGGTTCTCAAGTTATTGATAAATCTTGTTATCTCATTTTGCAACTACAACTATCGATTTTTTGCGTTTTCTTGGTTATTTTCAGTCTTGTCGTAAAAATCATCTTTGTATTTTCGAAAACTAACTACATAGCGATAAGGGAGGAGGAGGAGGAGCATGGTTTCGCTTCATGTTGCAATTTGAGCGCCATAGCGGGAATATGGTGTGGATTCAGTCCGAGTTACAAAATCATTGTATAATTTGTTTGTTTGTTTATCAGTGAAGAAAATAATTGATATGCCGAGGAGAGAAAATGAAACTAGTACAGCTTCAATTGCAATAAAAACCTTTGCTGAAGAAGAGGTTTCATATGCTTATGTATACGCTTGATCTCATTATATTTTCTAAAATTAGTAAATTCTTAAGTTCATTTTTATCACATTTTGGTAAGATTTTTAGACCAGTTCACCTAAATTTAAATGTTGCAAGAAATATCTTCCTGAAACCCGAATTTAGCGTGCCGTCCAAAATGACACAACAGACACGGTTTTACATTTGCATCTATTACACAAGATTCTCTCTCTCCTTTCAAACATATTAAATAGCGCAGATTGTTCTTTTGTTGTGTAGCAAGTGTCAACCGTCAAAGTATACTTACCAAATTTAGACATTTACGAGATATCGCACACTAAAAAAAATAAAAAGTACAAAAAATATTTTAAGCCGTTGGGATAACAACAATATACTTTCGATAAGACAAAGACCCCTTAAACGTTAACTGATAAAACGTGTTTTTTCAAAAAAAAGGCACATGCATATATTCTACAAATTACAGTTTACTATTGAACTAAATAATATTAAAAAAGCTAAATAACTATAGCTACGAAAGGTTAAACAAGTAACGTAAATAAGAGCAAAAGTCAATTCGAAAACGTGAATACAAGCATCAAATGCTTAATGCAAAAGTCAAAATTAAAACCCCTTTCAGTTTTTAAAGTTTAACGAAAGGTAAAATATAAAAATTTTTTTTTGGGGAATTATCCCTTAAAAACCACTTTACGCTTCACACATTTGCAATCTTTTCAGTTATCTATAAACGAAAAGCAAAATGCAACAATCCAGCACTGTCTTCGGAAAGATAAGGATTGAAGTGATTTAAGCGTACGAGGCACAACTTTTGTATCCTGAAACTGAAGAAGTTTCACTTCCACTGGTGCTGTTACCTCGCCTATCAAATAGATGACTATTTCTGGATGTATTTGGTTTAGGTGTAGTAGATCTCGGTGTAGGATTTTTTGATCTTCCGCTGTAGTACATATTATATTTTGGATTCTTTTCATAGGAAGATTTATCTTCTCGGCTCATTCTGTTGATGAAGAATTCAACCATACCCTTCTTTATTGAATCGTCTTTGCTGATATATTTGTCCATGACCTTACTTGGATCAAATAACTCTCCTGCATAATTGGTAAAGTCTTTGTATATTTGTTCCATTTGTTCCTCGGATTTAATATAGTCATGTTGAGAAATTTTATCAATGATATCTTCATTATTATTCAATTTGGTGTCCAAATAGTTCATTAATTTAAGGATGTAATCGATTAATTTATCAGCATTCTTGCTATTGAGCAAGTAGAATTGATTATGTTGAAATTTATGATAGACATATTTGGTCAATGGAACTATTAATTTCAATCCCGTCATAAACAACTTTATTGATATAATAAGAAATAGTTGAACCTTGTCAATGACCGATTTATTCTTTTTAGAAAACATATCGTTGCCATCTTGGAGTTGTAGATCTCGCCTGAGCAGGTTATACAAATTAAGCTTGGTTTGATATTCAAGGGAATCAAGGAAAATGTCTATCTTTATATCATCATTCAAATCAAATAATAGCTGGTCAAGCTCTTCGTCATCATCGTCTTCTTCTTCGTAGCCACTATCAATATTCTCCAGAGAGCTTTCGGCCAAGAATGCTTCTTCCAACTTTTGATCCCTATTATCGTGAGTTGGCATCAGGTTCCTCCTGAAAAGCAGAGGCACACGAGGTAAACGAGAAGTCATTTGTTCACTCAAAGCTGATAATATGGCACCTTTGTTATTGTAAATCATGCTAATTATCTCCCGATTTGGAGTAGGTTTATCACCATTCAAAACGACATCTATGTTGTTGTTTATTAACTCATCAAATTTAGTGTTCTGATCTTCAACATATTGTCTCTCTGTTGCAGTTTCTGTATATGAACAGAAGGTGCTGGAGGAACTAGCCATAGAAGATCCCGGGCAGGACGAGTCAACCAAGGTACAACTCTCGGACTGGAATTCCTGGGTGCATTCATCACCGATATCCTTCATCAGGTATGCAGTTCGGTTGTAATATACTCCTTCTTCCGGGTAATATTGCTCCAATACTATGCCACTTCCCTGTATATTACTGACTGGTCTTGTATGTATAATTCCATCTTGTGATCCGCATTGGCAATCAAAATGCTCTGAATTGTCATAAATCTCAACCTGAGACAGCGTTGTAGTATTAATCTGTGTAATCACTTCTCCTTCATCATGTGCTCTTTTAACCACGGGTATGTATTGCGAAAAGGGAACCTTTCTAATGGTTGCCTTGACAAAAGAACGGACCGCCATTGTTTGTGTGTATGTATGTGTTATTGCAAACTGGATTAAAAAATTATAATTGGAACGAACGGAATGTAAACAACTGGTAGATTATATAGCAGATCCTGTGAACATCAAGTGACAGTTATCTTGGGGGGATGACATACAATAACTATTTCTTTTTAAATTTCTATTTTGCAAGTGTTTTCAAATATTTCTTTGCATTTGTTTAACTTCCACAACACTAAATTAAACAATGCAATTACCACTTGCGGGAAATGAACGATTTCACATGCAGATCTGCCATTGTTTTTTTTCTTGACCGAAAAAGAAAGAGCCAAAAAAATAGAACGTAGTTAAACCCAACCGAAAAATTACATCTGACTCGCACTGGTCGCCACAACCAAGTTGCAAAATATCACCAGGTTATCCGATTGCTAGTTTTTCTATGCAGTATGCCGTAACCTTGTAATTTTAAAAGTTGCTACCAGACTAAAATTTGCTAGGTTATATTATCAGATGTGATTTATTGTTTCCCAACTATTTCTGGGCGAGATTTTCCTTGCAATCCAATCTTTTTGAATTAAGAACAATATTTTTATCTTTTGTATTGTGTATCAAAAGTCCCATGATTTCTAGAATTTTATACTATGTTATCCCTCGGGTGTCCAAAAACTTTGAATGGACCAAGCTCGGAATGGAAGATCCGTATTTCGAACACATCCCGGTTGTTACCGATACATATGGCAATGTGAGAAAATACAGAAGGATTAAACGAAGGATTCCGGAGGGAATCTCAGAGAATGACCTGAGAATATTGCAGTCATTCAGACAACAGGCTTATCGATACGATTATTGGTTTTCTATTTGGCGGATATCATTTGGTTGGAATAGTCTTGCCAGGTTTATACCCATGTTAGGTCCCTTCATCACTGCATACTGGTCGTTATCGTTACTATTATCCACCTGGAAGTTGGATGGTGGGTTTCCTTGGCAAATGCAACTTTTGTTTGTTGTTAATTTCGCTATTGATTTTTTCATTGGATCAATTCCCTTTGTCGGATTGGTATTTGAAATCGGATATAAGGCTAATTCTCGGAATTGTCTTCTTTTGGAAAAGCATTTGATAAAGGTGGGCCAAAGGAACCAGAACATGACAATAGAAGATGAAAGTGAAGACGAGCGGGAATGGCAGGAACTTCGGATTTTAGAGAACCTAGAAAACGAAAACGCAATCAACACCATAGAATCAGAACAGCATCCAAAAAGCTCTATCGCAATTGATGAACAAACATCAGAACATGTATTGGATCTACTTCACAAAGGCACTCCTTCCAGGGAAACAGAGACATCAACTATTGCGTCTTCAGTAACAGCTCCTTCAACGGCAATTGACACTTCCGTGGCCACCGTTCCTTCAATAACTGTTACCTCCCTGGTCGCTTTAGATGAGCCAGAGCCCGACAGCCTCAGAAAGAGAGGAGAACAACCCTCAAAGGTTCTAAATGATGTTTGATTCCATTGAATTGAACAGAATCCAAAAACAAAAACAAAAGAAACCTCCGATTCCCAAAAAAGGGTGGTGGGTCAACCACCACCATTCTAGAGACTTTGGTCGTAAAATACTTGCATTATGGAAATATATAGTAACATGTAGAATATATCTACCTAATCATTCAAATGATCCTTCTTTAAATCACTTGTACTCCAATTTGGGTGTTATACCTACATATTTATAAAGGATTGGCGTCATTTAATACGCAAAATCAAGCATAGCCCTGTTCGTGCGATTACCGCACGGAATTAACCAATTTGGTGGTTGAGAAATTTTGACAGTATTTTTTCCTTTCTTCACTATCTACTAACCAAACAGTTGAAGATACAACAAGTGCATGGGATAGTAAAATGACGCCATCACATGACGTTGCAGATGACATTTCCATCAATATAGAATCAGAACAAAAATTGTTTGTCGGTAAAGAGGAGATTGCAACCAACGCCGAGCCAACTGCTCAAGTGGTTGAACAGATTGAATCAATCAACCTGGCAGATTTCGGAAGCGACGATTCTGATGGTAAAATTACCCATGATTCTAACGGAAATTCTCCAATTGAAAGTGATGACTCCACTTTTCATACATTGGCAAACCAAGATGGCAAGCAGAACAAAATCGAGCCAGTGGTTGAAGAAGAAATTACTGATCAGATATTACCCGAGAATGATAAATCAGAAACTTCAGCATCTGCACCCAAAGAGATATTTGAAAGAGTATCTGATAGCAAAGGAATAGATATAGAGTTGGCCACCATTAATCTAGAAGAAGATCACGATAAAGTAAAGGAAGTTAAACATCATGAACACGAAGAGTTATATCTGGACATAGCATCACTTAAATCTACAGATGCGATATTAGAAACAGCAACTTCTGAACTTGACGTCGATAAGCATGATTCCGAAACAGATTCTACTTCTCCAGTAGTGCAACAACCTTCTGAAATGGAACTCAATCCCGCATTAGCTCAATTCATGAGCAGTTGTCAAGAAGGAAACCTACCTGGTGTTGAAGAATTAATCAAATCCAAGCAAATCCAACCTAATGACACTTTCAGTGATGGTATAACTGGGTTACACTGGGCATGTATTAACAACCGATTGACCCTTGTGAAGTTCTTGCTTCAAAATGGCGCAGATCCTAACAAATTGGGAGGTGAACTAGTAGCTAGCCCTTTGCATTGGGCATGCAGGAATGGTCTAGTTTACATTGTTGATTGTTTATTGACTTATTCTGATGCTGATCCTACTATACGAGACTCGCAATCATACAATTGTTTACATTTGGCCGTGCATAGTTCCAATATTACCTTGGTGATTTATTTGTTATTAAGTTGTTGTGATGCAAACTCGACGAAAAAGATGTATGTGGATGAGCCTGATGGGTTTAACCGTACTGCTTTGCATTGGGCCGCATACCAAGGGGATACATTTACTGTTAATGCATTATTGAAATTTGGAGCTGATGTGTCGAAAGTGGATAACACATTGTTTATTCCAATCCATTGGGCCTTCATGAAAGGCTATAAGGTTGTTCTTAAAACCTTGCTCAAGGCAGGTTCGGATATTCACTTCAAGAATGACCAAGGTAAAGATACGTTTGAAATTGCCAAGGATATGAATTGTGTTCTGACATGGACAAAAGTGTTGACAGAATGTGATAGAGATCCAAAGAATAACTGGGCACCCAGAAAACGATTCATAAATCCAAAAGTAGGGAAACTAATTACATTCTTTACCCCTTATGTTATCCTCCCAATTGTCCTCAATATATGTTCTGTTTCCGCTGGGTTTGGGATTCCTAAGTTATTTTTAGGATTCGGAATTATAGCAGTTGCAGTGTTCACATTGAACAAGCTCGTTGTACCAACTTATTTGATTGATGATAAAGCAATTCAGAAATCACCAATTTTCGCTGGGATATTCTCAGCAACTGCATTTTGGGCCGTTATGGTGTGGACTTATGCAATGTTGCCCATCACATTCCTCAATCACTTTTTCTTGAATATATTCCTTGGTGGTTGTATTGGTTTATTTTCATGGGCATTCTTTAAATCTATGTTTATAAATCCCGGGTTTGTTCCCACTCCAGCCGACAATTCTGTTATTTTATCGCAGGTCAGGGATTTAATGGCCGAAGGGAAATTCGATACTGATCATTTCTGTGTAAATACATTTGTCAGAAAACCATTACGTTCCAAATATTCCCGTCATAACAACAAATTGATTGCCAGGTTTGACCACTATTGTCCATGGGTGTATAATGATATTGGGGTGAGGAACCACAAATTGTTTATGACATTTGTGTATGCCTTGAACTTGGCCATAGTTTTCTTTACTTGGTTGTCTATTGAATACTTTGATCAATTGAAAGATGCATATGAGTCCGATGATGAAGATTCAAGTATTGTCTGTGCATTAGTGGGCGATGATTTATGTTATGGATACAAGAACCATCATTTCCATTACAATTTGATCATGTGGTGTTGGTTGCAGTATATTTGGATTGTGTTTTTGTGTTTGGTGCAAACATTCCAAATATTGAAAGGGGTAACCACCTGGGAATTCAGCAATCTTAATAACAAAATCCAATCAAGCAGATTCAACCATTCGACCGTTCCTCGCGATTTTGGAATCGACACCGCTCCAGCTGTTCAGCAACAACCTCCAAATGGTCGTGAGACTGGGTACAATACTTGCATGCAATTGTTGGGGATCGATCAGTTTGTACTTACTTTGAAACTAAGCACCACGTCTTTTTTTGCCAAATCCGGTTCTTCAACTGCAAATGAAACCCTTAGAACCGTTGATATCCCTACTGATTATGGATTCAAACAGAATTGGTTGGACTTTTGGATTATTGGTGAACCAAATTGGAGAAATGTGTTTTATTTGCCTATAAAGGGAGAGAACAACTTGAATGGTGAAGTGGTTGATTATTACAAGTTGTACGAATACCCAGCAAAGTCTGCCACTCAAGTAGTTTAGTCTATAATGCATATTACATTAAAAGTTGCAACATATTGATCGTAGACACAAGAGATACACATAACTACAGTAAATAATTTAATGTGAAAAAAAAACCCTTTATTAAGTTAAAAAAAAATACACAATATACAAGTTATCCTTTCTCTGAAGACAACTTCTTGGGTCGACCCACAACATAAGGTTAACTATAGTCACTAAATTCTAAACACTAGAATAAAGTAACTTGTCAGACAGCCACTCATACCCACCCAATCCACAGTCCTCCGAAAAGGCATAGTGAAAAGGGTAAAGATCATCGCTCCTTTTAACGTATTCATAATAATCTTTGCAGACAATACAAACACTAACAAAAGGCAAACAAGTAGATGACCAGATTGCAAAGAATCACAGTCAAGCTAAACTAAATTCTCACTTTGAGGGTATAAGGGTATCTCACTCATCAACCAAGTTGGATTCAGTGGCTCTTTTGAAGAGTCAAAGAGGGACGTGACCTATAGAAATGATCCTATGAAGTACGTCGACAGAGAAAAGAAAAAGAAAGGGAAGAAAAATGTTAAAGAAATTTTCCAGTCTCGATGAGCATTTATAGACGACCGTTGTGCGGGTAACTTGTTTTTCTGGTTGCGACAAAATTTATAGGGCAATATCAAACTGTTGCCAATACTCCAAAAATAGCAATATAGTTAATGTTGGACCCAAGCTATTTCAAACAATTTGAATGTCCATCTATCAAAGAGAACAGAAAATGCGACAAGCCTGATTGTATATTTGCACATCCCAAGAAAGGAGATAACCCCAATGTCTTGACTACCAAGAACCAAGGTTCCAGTCTTTTGCAAACGACTCATAATCCTACAACCCTGCACAGTGATGTTTCATCTACACTGGAGAAGCTGGAACCAAATGCGAAAGTATCAAAAGCACCTCATCTGGTTGAAATTGTTCAAACCATCAGAGAACCAGAAGCTCCACGTGTCCCCACACCAGAAGCAGAAATGGCAAGTAAAGATAGTCAGCCCAAGAAGATATATCCAAAGGAAAAACATCATAAGGTGCTATTGAAGGATTCAGAAATAGTAAAGGAAGTTCAGTTGGATGCAGAAGACTCGACTGAATATACATACCTGCCGGATCCAGGTTCAGGAGAAGCTATTTACAAAAAGAGAAAAGCAACTGACGAAATTAAACAGGACATAAAGAAACAACAGATTGTTACCCCCACTTCACGCGATGGAACTTCTAGAGTAGATCAACCAAGGCGTGAGATAAAACCCAAAATGCCCAGTATGGCCTCAACAGAACCAATAGCCACGTCAAATATAAGACCAAAAACGGAGATAGACAAACCACAAGACGGCCTTAAACCCACAAATTTGGATATTACAAACAAAGAAAGACTCGCCAATGTCGAATCGTTCTTAAAGTTTTTAAAACAGAATCGTCAACTTGCACTTGAAAAAGAACACAAAATTGTACAGTCATGTAAGTCTGTAGACGAATATCGAGCAAGAGTGAAAAACTTGGTCTCACCACAAGATGCCAAGTTTATTCTGCCTATACCCGTGATGCCTAATTCCCCTGCCCCATTGCAAGAAAGGAAACGGTTTATAGAACATATTGTCACGGTGTTGTTGAAGGCCAATGCTAGACTTAGGACTCCCAAGAAAAAAGCAATGCAAATAGAACATGAAGTGGCCAAGACTGCTACTTCTTCGACATATGGAACCTTAATCAGACAAAGAATTCACAAACTTTCCCATCCCGAGAAGTATAAGCCGAAACCAAAGACCCCATCCAAGCAAGAACAATTGGAGATCTTGAGAAAATGGTCGATATCAACAGAAAAGTTAAGCAAGTTCGGATTTGTGATGGATATTCCTAAAGTGGAAGATTCTGAAGAATCGCTTTCAAGAAAGTGTAGTCGATGTGGTACTCAATTTCAAACAAGTGAGCAGTTACAACCAATTGAATGCCATTATCATTGTGGCAAGATTCGACGCAAGCAAGATCGTCTGAGATATCATGAATGTTGTATGGCTGAAGAAAACCAAAACCCTTGCTCGGTTGCCAAACATCATGTATATTTATTGGATACTGTGGAAGAGAAACAAAAGTCAATTCCGTATCAGTTCACCCGAGACTTGTTTAAAGAAACTAGAGAGGAGTATCCTGTTCTTGGAATTGATTGTGAGATGGGATTCACTACGAAAGGGTTCGAGCTAATGAGAATTACTGCTGTAGATTTCTTTACTAACGCCACAGTATTGGACGTATATGTACTTCCCTTTGGTGAAGTGGTTGACTTGAATACGAGATTTTCCGGTATTTCCGAGATCAACGACAAGTTTGTTCTGTTTGACGAGCTGCTTAGGCAATTGGGACAAGTAATGGATCTGAATACGATATTAATAGGCCATGGATTAGAAAATGATATGAATGCAATGAGGTTAATCCACGACAAAATAATCGATACCAGTATATTATATCCAAAGTTTCAACCTAGTCCTACGTTTCGATGGAGTCTTAAAGACTTAGCATTCAAATTTCTAAGCCGAAACATTCAAATTGGTGAGCATGATAGTGCTGAGGATTCTATTGCTGCTATCGACATAGTCAAGCATTTCATGAATAAGGAATTAGCACTTGGTTGAAATATTTCTTGGTTTTGTGACTATGAATATTTTGTGGGGCAATTGGGGGATGAGTTTTTCGGTGCATTGTTCTCCCACTAAAACAGGGGGGATGGCAATCATGCGAAATTAGAAACCCGATTTCTTTGCTCTTCTCTTTAGTTTCTCTATAGAAGTAATACAGTAATAATGGCATTGAAAGTTCTTATTTTAGTCGGTGGTGAAACCACTGGTACCAGATTCAGACCTCTTTCCATGGAAGGGCCCAAATTGTTATTTCCAATTTGCGGTAAACCTTTAATCACCCATATAATTGATAGTTTAGTTGAGCAATTGAGTGACGAAATCTCAGAAATCTTATTGATTGGTTTCTTCAAAGACAGTCTGGTGTTTCAAAATTACATCAAGCAAGTCAATTCGGTCTATCCAAAGTTGAAAATCAAGTATTTGACCGAACCTAAACCATTGGGAACTGCTGGTGGTCTCTACCATTTTAGAGAAGAAATTTTCACGTCCCAAGATTGTAAATTGCTTATGATTCACGGTGATGTCATTTGTGATTACCCCTTCAAGAAAATGTTGGAATCGTATGACAAAGAAAAGTCGAACATCACTCTTTTCGGTCTTGATCCAGTCACATTTACCAAGAAATCAAGCGCCCTTCTGAATGCCTCAGGTGAAGTGCCTGATGATGAATTCATTTTACAAAACTACGGTGCTATTGTTGCTAAAAGATCTACTTCTGATATCATTCATTATGTGGAAAAGCCAAGTTCAACCATTTCCATGTTTAGACAGGATACCAAGTATCGTATTTTGTTGAACGGAGGTATCTACATATTTGACCGTTCGATTGTGGATTTGTTACAAGAAGCAAAGATCAAAAAGGAAACTTCAAATCAACTTGTAGACGACGTGGATTTGGAAGACTCAAAGAGTAACGTTCTTTCATTAGAATTGGATGTGTTCAAAACCTTACCTCAGGTTCCAGAGACAAAATTCACCGTGTATCAATCTGATGATTTCTGGTATCAATTAAAATCACCAGTGTCGGCATTGCTTGCAAATAATTTCTTCCTTGCTAAAGGTGCATGCAATACAAGTGTAAGCACCACTGTTGAAATCTTGAAACCGGTGCAAATTCTTGATTCAGATTTATCACAAGCTGGTTCCAGCAAGATTGGTCCTAATGTTTCTATTGGAAAAAATGTCACTATTGGTTCTGGTGTTAGATTAGCCAATTGTATTATTGCCGATGACGTGTCTATTGGCGACAACACCATTATCAAAAATGCTATTGTTTCCAGCGGCGCCAAGATTGGTAAATGGTGTAGAATCGAAGGTACCATTACCTCACAAACTCTTGCAGAGAATGCCAACCCTAATGCGTCAGAAGGATACTTGAAGTTACTTAATAATATTGTGATATTGTGTCAAGGAACTGTGGTCAAGAGTCAAGTATTTGTCTACAATTCTGTGGTGTTGCCACATAAGGAGTTGAAAAACGACATCAAATATGAAATTATCATGTAAACAAAATAATTATATAAATATTATTTCAATCAGGAAGTTTATACCTTGAGCCTTTATATTCAGCAATTGCTCGATTACATGTAGAGGATTTACCTCGATGACAGTAGAATGTACCATTCACTGGAAGTTGAACGATGTCACTATCCTTATAATATCCGGGAAATTGGTTATTCAACTGGTTGAATCCGCATGACTCATGTACATCAATCTTTCTCTCCAATGTAACTTCAATTATTGTTTCTTTGAATTGAACCTGCATTATTTCCTGATAATCTATAACGCATTGCAAATCATAATTCAAATTACCAAAATCATTAAATTTGTACTCTTTGAACTGTGAATACAAACTGAATTCATCCAACAAGTTAATCTTTAACTGAGTGTCTATGGCATCTTTATTAGAAAGGAATAGTAAGTGGATATTCGGCGTTGGTTCAAGCACAGCTTGGAAATTTGCATTCAAGTTAATTCTGCATTCACTTGCCTCCAAGTTTTTGTCAGTCAATTCAATTTTCAGAATGTAATACTTTATAGAAGATCCCTCAATACATGTTCTATCATCTTCACCATTCCATAATTGAAAACGGGCAGAATTATCGGGCCTTAATGTGATTTTATCGGCTACATCTTGTAACGTTTGGATTATAAGATGTTTATCATGGGTTCTTGTTGACACTTTAAGTATAGACCTATCAACTTCATTATGATCTGGAAGTACCCCCAGGACACTTGTTATAAGTAATATGATTACTAGGACAATCTTGAACATGATTAAGTTTGATTAGACGCTGAAGGTTGCAAAACTGTGCAAAAAAAAAAAATTACTTAACCTGGAACCTGAGCCGCACATTGTCCGATAGTTCCTTAGACATGAAGAAGTAGATATGAATGATAATTACTACAGAGATAGTTCATTAGGATCTAGACTTAGTCGGAGTCAGAAACAGTGTTAGTTTTAATACGGTGGAAACGAACAAACAGTTATCTCCACTCTGGAGATAGTCGCGTCTAGTGGATTATCATATACTTTGTTTATAATCTCTTTCCCATCACAAAATAATTATACATTCTAACCCTATCTATCTCCAATCTTATACACTAGATAATTCAACCAGGGTTACCTGTATACAAGTAATAGAATCATATAAGAGATATACTCGTCTAGCGCAATTTTACTATTTGCAACACAAAATCGCACGCCAGAAAAGAAACACGCGTCTGGAGAAAATATGCGTTATTTATAATAACAATAACACCAAAATTTCATATTTGTTTTCTCCTTTTTCCTACTGTTACTACCAATTCTTTAAAGGAAAACATGTCTGATCCTAAAAAGAAACCAACGACACCGTTAAAACCCACAAAGACCAATGCAGGCGGAGGAAGTACCGGATCTCAGAAGAAACAATCTTCATTGATGGCATTCTTCAAACCTGTTGCCAAATCAGATTCTAAAGCTCCAGTTCCACCACCCCAATTGCAAAACAAGCAACCACAATTACCTTCTTCTTCTCCTTTGAAGAGCAAATCTGTCAAGAATGAGATATTAAGCGACAAGGAGAACGAACAGGAATCTACTAGTGCAAATACCTCGTTTAATGCCCCTGACAGTCTGTTTACTAGTTATTCTCTGAAAAAGGAAAAGATGGCGGATGCTGATGAAATCTCTCAAGTTAAAGTTGCAAAGACTCATTTGAATAAAGCTGCTACCAATTTAAACTCTAGTCCTGTGACTAAGCGTGGACGTGGTACCAAGAATATCAGCTATGCCGAATCATCAGATGAGGAAGAAGAAGAAGACGACATTAAAGTTGGCAAAAAAAGAAGGAAAGTGATTGCTGATGATAGTGATAACGACGATGAGTTCACACCAGCTGGAGAAGAACCATCTGATGATGACATGAGTGATTTCATAGTTGATGATGATAAAGACGAAGACAGCCCAGTCGAAGAAGAAGGAGAGGAGGAAGAAGATAATGACGACGATGTCCCTCTCAGAACTAAACAGCCTAAGAAAGCAACTAAGTCAATGACTCCAACAAAGAGAGCTCTTGATAAAAAATTCAACGCTAAATCAGCCTATTCTCCTTCAAATTATACCCCTGTCAAATCTAGTCCTTCGACCAAGGTTACCCCAGTCAAGAAATCGTTTGCAAAGGAAAACGAAGAAAGATACCAATGGTTAGTCAACATCAAAGATGCAGAAAAGAGAACTCCTGATGATCCAGAATATGATTCTCGTACCTTATACATCCCCCAAGCTGCCTGGTCTAAATTCACTGCATTTGAGAAACAATATTGGGAAATTAAATCGAAAATGTGGACTACTGTGGTTTTCTTTAAGAAAGGGAAGTTTTATGAATTATATGAAAATGATGCTATTATTGCCAACACTGAATTTGATTTAAAGATTGCTGGAGGTGGAAGAGCCAATATGAAATTGGCTGGTATCCCTGAAATGTCGTTTGAATATTGGGCCAAGGAGTTTATTAGTCATGGTTATAAAGTTGCCAAAGTTGACCAAAAGGAATCCTTATTGGCTAAGGAAATGAGAGGTGGATCTACCAAAGAAGAAAAGATTATCAAGAGAGAATTGACTGGGATTTTAACCGGAGGTACTTTGACTGATTTGGATATGATTAGTGATGATATGTCAACTTACTGTTTAAGTATTAAGGAGGAAGAAAAAGACGATGGTTCCAAGATATTTGGAGTTGCATTTGTAGACACCTCGACCTCAGAATTGAATTTGATTGAACTTGAAGATGATCCAGAATGTACCAAGTTAGACACTTTGATAACTCAAGTAAAACCCAAAGAAATCATTTGTGAAAAGGGAAATTTGTGTGGTATTGCCAACAAAATCTTGAAGTTCTGTGCCCACAACAACCATCAAATTTGGAATCAATTGAATCCAATTACCGAGTTTTGGGATTATGATGTCACAGTAGAGAATTTAGTGACTTCAAAGTACTACCCAGCCGAAGACTTAGATGATTTTTCACAATACCCTGTGGTTTTAACCAGCTTTAAAGAAAAGCATCAAGTTGCATTCAATGCATTTGGTGGGTTATTGTATTATTTGAAAACGTTGAAGTTGGACTCTAGTATTATGAGTCTTGGTAATATCCACGAATACAGAATTTCTCGTAATGAAGCTTCTCATTTGATTTTGGATGGTATTACCTTGAACAACTTGGAAATTTTGAACAATTCCACCGATGGTGGTGATAAAGGTACTCTTTTTAAATTGTTAAATAGAGCCACTACTCCATTTGGTAAGAGACAATTGAAAAAATGGATATTGTACCCATTGATGAAAATCAATGAGATCAATCAAAGGTATGATGCTGTTGACTATTTAATGAATGATGGTTTAGAAATTCGCTCAATCGTAGAATCATGCTTGAATGAATTACCTGATTTAGAAAGACTATTAGCCAGAATTCATGCTGGTAATCTCAGATTTAGAGACTTTTTGAAAGTGGTTGAAAGTTTTGAAAGTATTGCCAAATGTTTGAATCAATTGGGCGAATTTACCAATGTCGAATCGGGAGCTTTTTACAAATACATTCGGGAATTCCCGCAAGAAATAGCTCGGTTAATTACCGAATGGGAAGATGCATTTGACAGAGAACAAGCCAAGAACGATGTCATTATCCCTGCCAAGGGTATTGATGAACAATTCGATGAATCTCAAGCAATAATAGATGATTTGCAAGGACAACTTGATCAGCATCTTAAAGAATACAAGAAAAGATTCAAATCTCATGAAATTTGCTACCGTGATTCCGGTAAAGAGATTTATTTGATTGAATTCCCTGTCAAATTGGTCAAACAAATCCCTAATGATTGGCAACAAATGGGTGCTACTTCTAAAGTCAAGAGATTCTGGTCACCAGAAGTAAGGAAATTAGTTCGTGAATTGCTTGAACAACGTGAAAGACACAAGATGGTATGTGATACGTTGAGAAACAGAATGTATTCGAAGTTCGATAGTCACTACAATATCTGGATGAAGGTAATTGCTACAATTTCTAAAATTGATTGTTTGTTAGCTTTAGCTAAAGTATCTGGCACTATTGGATATCCTTCTTGTCGTCCAAAGTTTGTTGATTCAGATAGAGGATATATCAATTTCCAAGAATTGAGACATCCATGCTTTATCAGTACACGTGAATTTATCCCTAATGATGTCATGTTAGGAGGCGATCAACCCCATTTTGGTTTACTTACCGGTGCTAATGCTGCTGGTAAATCTACATTGATGAGAACAACCGCGTTAGCAGTAATTCTCAGTCAAATTGGTTGCTATATACCTGCACAGCTGGCCGAATTGACTCCAGTAGATAGAATAATGACCAGATTGGGTGCAAATGATAATATATTACAAGGTAAATCAACATTTTTCGTGGAATTATCTGAAACGAAAAAGATCTTGAGTAATGCTACACCTAGGTCATTGGTTATTTTAGATGAATTAGGAAGAGGTGGTTCTAGTAGTGATGGATTTGCCATTGCCGAAGCGGTATTATACCACTTAGCAACACATTTGCAGTCATTGGGATTCTTTGCTACTCACTATGGTACATTGGGTGCATCTTTCAAAACCCATCCCCAAATTAAACCACTCCGCATGGGTATCATTGTTGATAGCAACACGCGTAATATTACCTTTTTGTACAAATTAGAAGAAGGTGCCGCCTCAGGGTCGTTTGGGATGAATGTTGCATCCATGTGTGGAATTTCAGATGAAATTGTGGTGAATGCAGAAATGGCTGCTAAAAATTACGAACAAACATCCAAATCTAAAAAGTCAAATCTTCCCAAGATTGAAGATGGACTAAGCTTGGGATTACAGAGTGATTTTGCCTGGATAGCAAAGGAACAATGGGGTGTATTGAGTAAAGATATTTTGAATTATGAAGAACCAGTTAAGCAACATGCATTGGAAAACATATTCACCATGATTGACCAGTTAAGTGTATAGTATAGTTAGTTGTCAGGTGGCGTTACTTTGTCCCACCGATATCTCCGTTAATACATGTGAGACGAAATTAAAAAGGATCATACAAATTCTCTTTTTGGCTGTAATTGATGAAGTCAAGAACATACAGAACTAATATTATGCCACGGAGAATAGAATTGCTACATTGCTCTTTTAGATGTATGGTGTCGGTTAATGCAATTTTTGTCCAATAAGGTGTTATGAGTTTTTCATTACAAATGGTGCGATATAAGCGAGACTGTTTACTTTAGTTGCAGAAATAGGGAGTAGGAAAAAAATTATGCGGAGCAAACCCAAATGCAATAAAAACATTAGAGTTGCCACTCAATATTCCTTTTCTCTTTCTTTTTCTTTAGCTAATTAATCAAAGCTTGTAATCAACACATATAATTCTATAATCAATTCACCATGTCTATCATCAATCAATTGGGATTAAACACAAAGGTTCCTTATCATTTCTTATTGTACTCCTTCACCTTTGGAGGTACCGCGTTTTACTCATGGGTCGTGTCACCAATTGTCTTTAAGAGGTTACCATTGGAAGAATTTTCCAACTTGCAAAACCATGTATTCCCTTGTTACTTTGGAGTACAAACATTTGCTCCCATCGTCTTGGGATTGACTACCCCATTGAAGTTTTGTCCCTTCACCGGAGGTTTATTAGCCGTATCTGCTGTTGGTGGTTTGATTAACCTTGTAGGTTTGTTACCTGTCTGCAGAGGTCTTAAAGAAAAGAAAAATAAGTTGATTGCTGATAAGCAAGACAAGGGACCAGATGGCCAACCAACTGCTGAGTTCACTGCCTTATCAAAGAAGTTTGGTGCCTACCATGGTCTTTCTATGTTGGTTAATGTCATTTCAATTTTATCCCTCGGTGTTTACGGTACTGCTTTAGCCAAGGGTTTAGCAAAGTTGTAAGCTAATTTTTTATGACAATCAAGTTTGTTCTTTTTTTTTTCTTTTTCACCCCGTTTTTAAGGATTATATCATCATGTATATTGCTTTGTACAGCTCTTATACAGTTATACATATTATGAGTACAGTTAAGTTATTTACTATTGTTCTATTGATTCTTTCTTGACTTTATTTCCGCGTCCTTTTTTCTAAGTTCTTCCAACTCTGCTTGTTCCTCTGCAATCTCTTCAGCGTAGACAACTGGATAGTATTTGAATAAATAGAAGTAAATCAGAACAAACACATGGAGGAAAAAACCAGCAAAGTGAATTGCGAGCTTGGTATTCTCCATGTATGGATTCATGAGCCATTCCTTCATTATATACGCATAATGGAAGATCCCCACACACATTCCCAAAAACCCGACCAAACCAAAACTAAGATCCTTCTTTAACTTTGGTGTAACGTATGGCTTAATGTAGACTTCATATGGAGATTGTTGTTTAACTCTTCTAGTTCTTGGAACTGGGGTTGTTTGTTCTGACATTATTTCAAGTTTGTGAGATGTAGCACTTATCAGAGGGGAAGATAATCTTAATGGCAAATATTAGTGGAGATGACTAGTCATCTTTTGTCGCTGGTCGATCCAAGATAAAAAAAAAAAGTTGAGCCTCGCGAGAAAGTGGTGAGAAAATTTGTCACATAATCTTACATCGAAAGATTGGAGTAATAGCTTTCGTTATACGCAGGTACAATGGTCATTGAACCATATTCTTTCCAAAGTCATCAAATACATACTTAAAAATAAATGGAGGCTTTTAAAACTAAAACAGAAAAAGAAAGAACAAGAGAAACGGGGGTAGGAGAAAATGTAACATGGATAACCGTTGCAATTTCAGATCTTTTAATTTACTAGAGGTAACAAATTTCAAAGAATGATGTAACCACCTATTCTAGAATTCGCAAATTCGAATGAGCGCAACAGGGTCAGACCAGAACCAAGACTTTTATTTTAACTAGTGAACTCATTCCAGCCATAATGTAATTTTCACAAGATAAATGAAGAGACTAATTACCCATTTATTACCACTCTTCTCTAGCAACACACAAGAATCCCTGATTAATATCCTTGGCGACTGCAAATAAGAACTTCAATTACCATGGCCAGCATATTCCCGAGAATTCCCCAATAATACAGGACACGTATTTCATGTGAGTTTCATGCAATTGTATCAAAAAAAAAAAACAGCCCCATTCAAATCGCAGGAAATGTTAAGAAATTATTAGAATGACACGGAGTAATGTGGGTATTATTTCCGCCACCCGAAATTTTGCTTCCCATCCCCTCTGGTCGCAGAAATTGATACAACCTCGAAACTTCAAACATGAAATAGAATGACTCCCCGCGTCTCCACAACTTCAAGGTATTTTAGTAGATTTGGTTGCAATTATGTCATAGAACACCTTGATAGTATGTTCCAAACGTAGATGTGGAACTTTCACAACTGGAATTCTCTCCTAAAGTTACGCGTTTACGAATTATAATGTAGCCGAAAGTGCCAAGACCAAATCTAATTTTCCGAACTAAAGCTACTCGGAAAAATTAGTATTGGACTTGCAAAAATCAACAAAAAAATATCGAGATTACGAAAAAATAATCACCTCATTTGAATTTTTCTGGACAAAGCCAAGATGTGTAACTTAAATTTTCTAACCATTGTTTATTCTCGCTTGATTAGAGAATTAGCTGTTTCATCATGCATGCGCATGCAAGGTGCCCGAAACTTCTTTGTCTAAATTCAGAAACATGAGATTCTTAGTTTGAGTTTGTTGGTATTTGGCTTGTTTCTTTTTTATTTCTTGAGGGAACGTTTTTGGTTTTAAATCCTATTGCAAAGTGTAACCTTGTATCTAATCTTCAGACAATTGGATTGTACCCCTATTTAAAGGAATAGGTTTGACCTTAAGTTGTAATGGCTACCGTTCGAATGTTTTGAATTTCTATCTTTACTTTTCATCAATTCTCCCTGAATAAATTAACTTGTATTTACCTAATGGATTACAAATTCAATAATATTTCGCCACCGATGCACTATCACACAAATTATAACTTAGGCTTCATGAACCATGAATGCTATTCCGTTCCTTTATCCCCTGTCAATAACAGCAATGAACCCAATGAATGGATGGATGATTTTTTGATCAACTCAGCGCCAATGACAACTGTCAACAGTGGATCTGGACTTAACAACACACCATTACAACCTAGTAATTTAGGAAATCAACCTATAAACTTTACCCAATATTTTGAAGAAGGAAGTATTTTCCATCCGGTAAGTTCATCTGCAGAAACTTCGTATGCCAATAGCCCAGAAAACGTGTATCCCGAAAAGGTTGATACAAAGACCAACAACAACATTTCAGAACCTAAAAGAAATAAACAAAATTTGAACCTCGAGACGTTAGAGGTGTTGTTTAATACCAAAGACATATTGAAGCAAGAGCCAACTGATACCTTGCTTCCGAAGAGAAAAAGGAATGCTACCCCGGTTGAATCTAGCGTACCCGTTTCTAGCAATGAATCGTCACCCATGTTGAGCAAAACCAATACCATTTCTCTTTCTCCAGCCTCGTCTATGGGTTCCTCGACTTCCAGTAGTGAGAAAATTGAAGAATCTATTAAGACTGAAAAGAAATCACAACCAAGAACACCCAAGAAGAGAGCACCTAGAAAGAAGCTAACTGATCTGCAAAAGAAAGCTCATAATAAGATTGAAAAGAGGTATAGAATTAACATCAATGCTAAAATTGCCGGTATACAAAAGATTATCCCATGGGTTGCTTACGAAAAGACCGCATTTGAGACCGGTGAACAGGCTAGTGACATTGATGCCAATTGTGCCAGACTTAACAAATCAATGATTTTAGAAAAGGCCACTGATTATATTCTTTACCTACAACAAAAGGAAATTCAAATGACGGAAGAAAACAAGAGGCTAAAAGAGCAAGTGCTTTCTTTGGGTGGTATTATATAGTATGTTTTTCAGCTATAGTTACATTTAGATGATTCTATAGATTTGTTTTGTGTTTCTATGTTTTTAATCGTTTTGATATTTATTTAATGCACAGCGGACTTAATTCGATTTTTTTTTTAGTCGATCGTTTTCGAACAAAACGGATTTATCACAGGAAGATTCATTTTTTTATAAGCCGTTAGATCGTTTATCGAAAAACAGAAGACTTTTATTAATCATGTTACCGCCTTATCCTGACTCATTGTTAAAAGAAATTGCATGTTTCTAAATATTTTTATTGATATTTTTCATACTGTGCCTTATCCTGATATCCGCCTCGCACGGAATAATTTTTCCGAAAACTCACATGAGCCGGATATTTCCTTCCTAGCAAGGAAAAAGGTTCGGATTTTCATCCCCGGTGTTGTCGCAATTGCCGTATAAAATTTTTCTTCGTTTCTTTTTGATCTGCATGAAACAATGGATTTCCTTGCAATTGCCGAAATAATAATTTTCAGGATCATTGTTCAAACGGCGGGAAATGCCCTTTAGTTTGAAAATGCCATAGCGGAAAAGTTTGAATTGAGATGCCTAAGATAAAAAATATCCTTTAAAATACCTTTAATGGAACGAGATGGAGTTTTTCAATTCTTTCTCTTGCTGTTAGCGGTAGTAACTCAGTGAATAACAACCATTTACATTACAGATCCAGGTTGCAATGGCATCAACTACAGAATCTAAAAAGGAAGATAATTATTCTTTGTCAAGTTTTAAGGTGCAAAAATCTGAATCCACCGCACACACAAGCAAGGATGAAGGAATAGAGAAGAGTTCAACAGGTCCAATTAAGGGTTGGCTTGACTCATTCAAGCTTGACTTAGAGGGTGCATCAGCAGATGATGTCGTGACTCCAGAAGATGGATTGAGAGAATATCAAGTTAAGTTAATTGCCCTTGCATCATGTATTGGGTCGGGGTTATTCATTAGTAGTGGAGCTGTTATATCTAGTGCAGGAGCAGCTGGTTCAGTTATTGGGTATGTGATTGTCGCTATTTTGATTTTCTTTGTTGTTCAAGCATTGGGTGAATTGACCAGCTCTTACCCAGTTCGTGGTAACTTTTTGATTTACAATTCGAGATTCATTGATGAGTCATGGGCATTTTCAATGGGTTGGAATTACTTTTTGCAATGGATTGTTACCATTCCATTCTCGTTGGTTTCGGCTGCTATGACAATTGAATACTGGAACAAGGATATCAATTCAGCTGTTTGGGTGTCTATATTTTTCGTTGTAATTTGTGCAATTAACATATTTGGTGTTAAAGGGTACGGTTATGGTGAATCTATGTTTTCAGTTATCAAAGTGATTGCAATTATTGGGTTCTGTATCTTGGCTGTTATTCTTATTGCCGGAGGAGGTAATCAAGGTTATATTGGAGGAGCAAACTGGCACCCACCTTTTGTAAACGGGTTTAAGGGAACTTGTAACACTTTGGTTAACGCCGGGTTCAGTTTCGCCGGTACCGAATTGGTTGCTCTTGCAGCTGCAGAATCTCCAAACCCTCGTCGAGCCATGAAGAAGGCTATCAAACAAGTGTTTTGGAGAATTGCCATTTTCTACTTACTTACCATTATCTTACTTTGTTTTTTGGTTAGATACGACGATCCAAATTTAATTGGTAATTCTAGTTCATCTGCTTCACCATTTGTTGTTGCTATCTCCAATGGTGGTATTAAGGTTTTGCCTTCAATTTTCAATGTTGTTATCCTTTTGGCAGTTTTGTCGGTTGCCAACGCCAGTGTTTTTGCATCATATAAGCCTTTGGTTGCCTTGGGTGAATGTGGATACGGTCCTAAATTCTTGACATATGTTGACAAAAAGGGAAGACCAATGATTTCTATTCTTATTTGCTTAGCATTTGGATTGATTGGATTTATTGGTGCTTCCAAGAATCAAGAGACTGTGTTCATTTGGTTATTGTCCTTGAGTGGGTTGGCCTGTATTTTCATTTGGTTTTCTATCTCATTGGCACAAGTTAGAGTTAATTATGCATGTAAGGTACAAGGTATTTCTCGTGACAATATGCCATTCAAGTCATTTGGTGGTGATTACGGTGCTTACTTTTGTATGTTCCTCAATGTTTTGATTTTACTTGCTCAATTTTACATTGCATTGTATCCAATTGGCGCTGAACCATTACAAGTCTCAACCTTCTTCCAAGCTTATCTTGCTGCTCCAATTGTCTTGGTTATGTACATTGGTCACAAAATCTGGACTAGAAACTGGAGCTTGTACATCAAGGCCGAAGATATGGATGTTACTACCGGTAGAGTTGTTGTAGATACCGAACTTTTGGCACAAGAAGAATTTGAAGCCGCTGAAGCTTGGAAAGCCAAACCCTTGTATCATAGAATCTTCCATACTTGGTGTTAAAGTATGAAATCTGTTTTTCTTTTTATTTAGAAGTTTAATATTTAATGCATTAATGAGTTGAAAAGGGTATATGTATATCATGAGCAATACCGGGGACCGGATGTACTAAATTCTCACCACAATAATATCGAACCACGTGACCCCACCTCCGATTGAAAATGTGTTTTCATTTTTGTTTTGCCAAGTTGTCTACGTATTCGCTTCTACCTGGTCGTCGTCCAATACAGTTTCCATCATGAGCAGTATTCATCTGCTAATCGGAGAGCTTACAAACCTCTCCACTGAATCTAAACGTCGATTCACCGAAACAAGACATGCTTGTGATAAAGCAGTAGCAGCACTTAAATCGTATCCTAGTTGGGACATACAAATCAAGGATATTTCACAACCTCAACATAAACAAGAAATAACGCGGCCGGTCATATTGGCTTGCAAATCAGGAAATGCAAAACTCACCACGATTTCCCTTTCTATCATTCACAAATTGATTATGGCGCAATTGATCCCCATTGACACGTTAAAAGAATTGTTGAATGCACTTCTAGAAGCTTCTCATTTGGCTATTGATATTCAATTGAGGATCTTACAATGTTTGCCCAGTTTCATGCAGAGTTACAGTGAACAATTTACTGGTGAATTGTTGTTGATCCTATTGGAAATTTGTTCCAGCTTGACGGCCAACAATAAGAGTACAGTTGTTATAAACACTGCCTCAGCAACTTTACAACAATTGTTTAGTAATATCTATGACAAGATTAAGGAATTGCCTGAGGGCGTTGCAGGAACTCATCAAATCAAGATTGACAATGATGAGATTGTAACTGTGGATGACTTGTCTAATGAAGGCTACCTTATCTTTCAAGACTTGTGTCACTTTATAGAGAATGAAAAACCGACATACTTGAAGGAATCCATTCATATCAAACTATTGTCAGTATTGGAAATAGTGGAAAATATAATCGCCAGTCATACCACCATTTTTCTCAAACACCAGGAATTGGCGTACCTTTTACGAGTCAAAGTGGTTCCATCAATGCTTCGAATTTTGAATTCCCCACTTAAGCCGTTCCCACTCGTAGATAGAACCATGAGGATTATTTACGTGTTGTTATCTACTCAATTGGAGAACCTTGAAATTGAAAGTGAAGTAGTATTATCGTTCCTTAACCATCTTCTTCTTGATGGTAGTGGAAATACTGCTGCTGGGGAATTTGTCGAACCAGATTGGGAAAAGGTATTAGTCTTGGAACTATTCAAGGGGTTATTTTCAGATTTCCAAGTCATGAAAAGTATCTATACAAAGTTTGATTACAATAAAGATAAAAAGAATGTGGTTTTGGAACTATTGACTATTCTTGGTACTTACCTCTCCAACAATTCACAATTACTTCAAGAAGAAATAAGGCCAATCCCTAAATCATGGAGTGTTTCCTCAGACCAGCAGCATGTTTACCTTTCAAAGTCAACATCCGGCTTAAAGACTCTGATACTCGATCATTTGGACAAGTCAGAACCACCCACGGGAATCCCTCCTACATACACAATATACTTGATTCATACCATTCTTACTCTGTTTTGCGAAGGTATCGCAAATTTCGTGGCCAGTTTGTCAGAGGGCCCCGGTGCTGCCGATTTAGAGGAAGATGTTCAATTGATAAATGCACTTATTTCCAGAACTGCCAAGGAAATCACCGGGTTGTATCACCGATTCATTTACACCATCATGGATGAAGAATGTTTCCATTTGTTAATTAGATCAATGCAAAGGTTTACCCATACTACTGGATTACTTGGTTTGGTCGAAATTCGTGATGATTTATTACTCACGTTATCCCGAGCAATCATAAATAACATACCTCATAAAGAAGTGGGTAGATCGCCTACACCTGAAACAGGAAAGCAGCCATTTGGGTTTGGATTTGTTGAAACAATTAGTTCCAGTTTGAATGATGCAAATGGTGCTGTTGTGAAAGAAGAGACTGACATTAGTACTTCCCTGGTTCATTCTCGTTACTTCAATTCCCGTCATATAACTTGTATTAGAGCCTTGGCAAACTTGGCAATTTCACTTGGATCTACTTTGAAGTCGTCGTGGACGATTATTTGGGTCACTTTCCAATGGTGTGATTATTTCATTAATGGTCATGATGAATTCTTTGGGTATATCAGAGGTAAAGTGAAAATGGCCGGCCCTGATGGAAAGAAACCCGATTTATCCAATGCTGATATAGTTAATGTTCAAACGTCTATGAAAAAATTGCTTGAGAGTATTGGTGATTATAACGTGGATTCATATTATGATGTTGTTGATTCATTGACTAGTTTGTCTAATCGAGAAATTGGCGAAGGCAAACAAGAGGAAGAAGATACCGATTTGCATACATGCCCCTATAACAAGAGTTATTTTTTGAACAAGTTGGTTCAAGTTTGTGAGATTAATGGGAAGAAGTTTTTAATTGAAGATAATAAATCGTGGGAGTTGATTCAAGGCTATTTTATTGAATTGGGTTCTTGTCGCACCTTGCATTCCAACGTTAGGATTTCCATCACAGAAGCATTCACTAATGTTATTAAAACAGTATCACATGATGGTTTTGAACAACAAGATGATGAAGAAACCATTCATATTACTTCAGAGAAATCATTGGAAAGTCTTGGTAAGTATTTGAATAGTTTGGTTACTTTAGGTCTTGCCCAGGAGTTACTTGTTTTGAATTGTGAAACTGACATTTATTTGACTATTTTGACTACTTTGCATGAATTAATTGACAAGTATGATACATTCTACCAGAAATCATGGAATAAAGTGTTTCATATTCTTAATTTACCCTTCACAATTAGTGGGAATGGAGCAACTGCTGATAAGTTTAGATTATTGGTTGAAAAATCGTATGATACGCTTAAATTAATCTTGGATGAGTTCTTATCATCACTTCCATTTGACCAATACAAATTGTTGATTGATACATTGGGTAACTTTGTTGATCAAAAATATGATTTAAACATCTCATTCAGTTCCGTGAGCTACTTCTGGCTCATTAGTGATTCGTTGAAATCAAGAATCGTCATGTTTAGTACAGAACGAACCAAACAACACATTCCAGAATCGGTAGTTCTGGATGCGGAGTTGGTTGAGTTTATCACCAGCCTGCCCGAATCGCTTGATTTGTATACTTGTCTTGATATTTACTTGTTGAGCAGTCTTACCAAGATATCACAAGTTGAAGAACGGGCTCAAGTAAAGAATGGGTCAATTCAAACTTTTTTCCAAATTATTGATGTCCACGGAAGTCTTCTTGGTAATTGTTGGGATTTGATTTATGAAATTGTATTGCCTAAGCTATTTAGTATGATCCCTAAACCAGACGAATTTGGGAAAGTAGGCGATAAAACAGTACTTGAAAGTTATAATTTGATGTTGGATGGTTTTACTTCCTTGTACAACAAATTCATGAGGAATAAGGAAATTGAAGGAATTGTTGTTAAATGGCAAGCTTTGATTGATTATCTCAAGAGATTATTGTCATCAAACTCTGTTGATTTAAAATTACAAGTATTTAAGTCATTCCATGATCTTTTAGTAAGTGTTTATGAACTTAGTGGTAGTTTGACGGAGATTAGAAACATGGTGTTTAGGTTGTGGGTTGAAGTTCCTGTTGAGTATGACTTTATCAATATAAAGTACCAGGAATGTTTGGTAGAGTTGATGAAATGTTTCCCTGACTTGTACAAGATTATCATTTCTAAGTTAACTTTGGATGAGGCCAATACAATTATAAACATGTTTAACAAATGTGCAAGGTATCCTATTCTTCCTACCAATCAATTGGACGATGTTAAGCCAACTAGTTTACAAGCGTCTGTTATTGAAAATTTGAATCTTATCGATGTTAAAGAAAGTCCAGCAATTCAATCATTAGTAATTCAGCAATTGGGTGTTATGATCATTTATCCTTTTGGTATTAGAAGCAGAATTGAATCGAAGCTAACCAGCAACAAGCTCATCACTGATAAATTCAAATTACCTACATTTGTTGCCTTGGGACATGTTTCTCTTGAGATTTTATTGGAAAAGTTAAATCTGTTTGAAGATTCCCAATTCCTGGTATTGATTCAAGATCGCGGTGCTCTTAAGTGCTTGAAATCGTTTATTGAAATAATTGATAATCACGCAGAAGGAGTAAAGTCACGAGAAAAGCCTGCTTGGATTTTGGCTAATCAGGGTATTTACTTCATCATAAAACAATTGCTTGCACATGACTCTAGTGTACAAGATGACGAGATGTGGAAATTGATTATCCAAGATATAAAACTTTGTTTCCAATCGACACAAGAAAACCAAGATGTGAAGATCGAACAATATAAGGAACTAAGTGAATTAATATTGCCTAATTTGTTAGCGCGTACTAAAAATGACTCAACTGAATTGCTTTCTGAGTATGTTGAGATTCTTTATGATAATTCCTTTTTGTATGAGTTTAACGAATGGGAAAAAACGGTATTTGATCAATATAAGAACAACAATTCCAGTGACGAATTGATTGAACAACTTACAAACTACCCATTTGAAGAAGTATTTGGCACGACAACCCCATTGGTAAAGTATGACAATTACAAGTCGAGAATTACATGTTTGCAAGAATTGATTAAGTTCTCAAAACCGTCATTTTCAGGAACAACCAGAGAGTTGCAGACTATTAGTCAGAAATTTTTGGTGGCCAGGGCCAGTTTCTGCCTGAGAAGATTTATTAGCGATCAACGATTGTTGTACAAATGTCCTATACCGATTGTTCAACAACGAGAGTTAATGATTATCTTGAATGGATTAGGTGAATTGCGTGGAGAACATGACAACAAAACTAACCAAACAAAATTGTATCGATTATTAATCAAGTTGATACCTTATGCTACCAGGATAGATGGGGCTGGCTATAAGTTGACTAAGGTATTAGATACACTTGTTGTATAGAGACATTTATAAGTAATGATAGAGGTATTTTTTTAGGTCGATAATTAAGCGACATTTTTCTTTTTTATTTTTTTTTATTTTCGCAGCCACTTTGCATCGTGATTTTTTCCCAATTGAGTTAATTGACCTCGAAGGAGAACAATGGGGGCTTTCGGTGTTGTTGATTCGACAATTATACGAATTTGTTCCTGTTTTATAAAGAAAATGAAGTTATTAAGAACTTCTGTGGCTGGAAATAAATAGTCTACACGTTTCATCTGATTCCTGTAAAATGTAATCTTGTTTGAACTTAAATTATCATGCTTAAGTGGGTGACACCGGCGCGTAAAGTTGGTCGTGCACTGGTGTCAAAAAGGAGGTGGTGAAATAATTTGGTTGAGACACGCAATCATCTGGGTTCTGATTTTGTGTACATACCTGAAACTTAGTGCGACATTGTAACAACCCACACACATGTCGTTGTCAAGATTATTTACAAGGTAACATTCCTTGACACATGTGGTGACACAGTGGACTAATCGGGATAAAAGTCTGTTAGTTACCGACGTTATCATTTGTGTAACAACTGTCACATTCCTATTTGAAATTTCTATTTATATGTCGTGCAGTGCCACCTCATTTCATGGTTAAACCGGAGCAAATTATGCGCCCTGTGTTTCTATTTATAACTTTTGTAGTAGCCACTTTTTTTTTTAATAAGCAAAGAAAAAAAACTGCAGTGTTTATTGTCTTAACGCTTTATTGATCTATGGAAAGAAAAAGAAAAAGAAAAAGAAATCCCATACAAATCTTTTACAACCAACAATCTTGCTTTCCTTTTATTGTATTGTTTCCTTTTTCTAGAGTGAATTCATCCAAACCAATCTATTAGATTCTTCTAATCAGTCGAAAGTATAGATCTAGATACTTTCAGCACACATCTATACCTGCAAGGCAACAAGAATTAAACTGTCTTATCGTTTAGGGCAAAACAAGAATTGTTTCACAACATTCCGTCAATAAAAACCACGCTACACCACAATCAATCAAACGTGTGGTGGCTACAACTCATTTGAAAGAGATTACAAACTATTATTTTGGTTAATCTTCGCTTACAGCACCAGAAATTAGGTTGTAATTATTGGTTGTTTTAATTATAGATCCCTATTACATACAAAGAATTATTTTTAGGATTCACTAAGACAAAAAAAAAAAAGTTTATTTTTGATCTACGTGATTTTTTATTTTTTTTTGTTTTTTATTTTTTTTTTTGGTGTTGTGCTATTCCAAGTGTACTCGCTAAGAATTCTTTTTTTGGGTTTTATTAATTTAGAAAAATTTTCCCCTTTGGTTGTTCCTTTTGTTTATTAACAAACCATTCGTTAGTTCACTACTGCTTTAGTTTCCGGTTCTGACTAGTTTCAACTACTACGAATCAAACATTTAAACAATGTCCTACAATAATTCTGGTCCTCAGGGTTATAGGGAATTTGATCCCGAATCAGGCGACGGACTTGGAAGAAAGAAGTCCCTTATCAGACCTGAAAGAACACGTATTAACCAAAACCACCCTCGATATCATTACACCCAGGTCACCAATCAAGAGTCCCATCATATCAAAGTATTACCTTCTTCTACCGGTTTGGACCCTATAATTTCCAATGAGGTAAGTCGGTCTAGATCTCTCAGACAACAACAACTGGTTCGCGAGGATGAGGATGAAGGCATACCTCTTATGGATATCCATAATGCTTCTCCTGATGTGAGCGCTGGCACTCCAGTGCCCAGTCAACGAGAACGAGAATCTTCAACCACTCGTACCACAAGTAACGATGACTTGAAAGGTGGGCGCGAAGTGTATGGTTTGAATGATGAATTTAAAGGCAAACACAAAAACAACGTTATTGTTTCTTCGAAAAAATTAGCTACCGATGATGACGATTCCAACGCCAAAAAGAGCAATATTTACTTTTGGAAGGTTTATTGTTATGCTATTACCTTTTGGGCTCCTCCTCCATTGATGAGGCTCTTTGGGTTAAAAACAAAAGAACGTCAGTTTGCTTGGAGAGAAAAAATGGGATTGATTTCCTGTATCATTTATGTTGGTGCTTTTGTTGCTTACTTAACTTTTGGTTTCACCAGAACTGTATGTTCTGGTCAACAAGTTAGAACTAGAATTAATGAGGTTAGTTCTGGTTCTTTAATTATCAATGGTAGATCCTTTGATTTGACCCATTCTAGACATCCTCCTGCTGCCAATATACCTGCTGGGTCGAATATTTTGTACCCACCAACTAATGCTGGTGGTATGGATGCGTCTATGCTTTTCCAAAATGTCAATGGAAATTGTAAGAATTTGATTGTTCCTCGTGATAACTGTACTATTCCTCATGATGATGATAATAACTTGGCTTGGTATATGCCATGTCGTCTTTTTGATCAAGATGGTTCTACTGCTCCAAATATGACTGAAGAATATTATGCTGGTTACGCATGTCACACCAGTCCAACTGCTCGTCAAGCTTATTATAATTTAAAAGTAGCCGGTGATGTGTATTTCACTTGGGATGATATTAGAAACTCTTCAAGAAATTTGGTTGTCTATTCTGGAAATGTTTTGGATCTTAATTTATTGGATTGGATTCAAAGTGATGATGTTACTTACCCAGATTTATTTACTAAATTGAGAAATGATAACACTTATCAAGGGTTGGATATTTCTTTAGTTTTAACTGACGCACATGAACGTCAAGCTGCAAGATGTTTATCGGAAATTATCAAAGTTGGAACCGTTGACTCTGATACTATTGGATGTATTGCATCTCAAATTGTGTTGTATGTTTCTTTGGTTTTCATTTTATCGGTTGTTTTTGTCAAGTTCGTTATGGCCTTGTGGTTTAGATGGGTTACTTCCCAAAAGCAGGGTGCTACTGAATACGATAAAAGATCTATGGCTTCAAGAAACAAGGATATTGAAAATTGGACACGTAATGATAACATGGCCATTGGTGATCAAATCAAAACTGTCCCTGTTAAAGCTCGTGCAAATTATCGTGCTGCTAAAACAAATAGACAAAATGTGTTTAACCGTGCTCAAAAGTTATCCCTTGCTCCTACCAGTGATTTATCCCAATATTATGATAACCCAGAAGCTCTTTCTAAAACATTTAGATACACAACCATGTCCACTCAAGCGGCACTTTTAGGTCGTCAAGGTTATAAAAAGGGTGGTCATAATACTAGAAAGCAATCTACTCTTTATTTGACCGACCAAGGATCATCTACTGATTTGTTGAATAGACCAATGAGTACTTTCAATCCATTTGACGGAATGGATGGTTATCCTATCCATGGGTTATCTCCTGATATTATCCATCCTGATATTATTCCTCAACCACCTGTTGAATATCAGCCATTTGCATATCCTCTTGTTCACACTATGACTTTAGTTACATGTTATTCTGAAGATGAAGAAGGTATTAGAACTACCTTGGATTCTATTGCTACTACTGATTATCCAAATTCTCACAAGTTGATTGTGGTTATTTGTGATGGTATTATTAAGGGTTCTGGAAATGATGAAACTACCCCAGATATTGTATTGGGAATGATGCAAGATTTGACTATCCCCAAGGATGAAGTTAAGGCTTATTCTTATGTTGCTGTTGCTCAAGGTAGTAAGCGTCATAATATGGCCAAGGTTTATGCTGGTTTCTACAAGTACGATGACGATACTATTCCTCAAGATAAACAACAACGTGTTCCTATGATTACTATTGTTAAATGTGGTGCTCCTGAAGAAGCCGGTGCTGCCAAGCCTGGTAACAGAGGTAAGCGTGATTCTCAAATTATTTTGATGTCATTTTTACAAAAGGTTGTATTTGATGAAAGAATGACTAGTTTGGAATACGAAATTTTACAAAATATTTGGCGAGTCACTGGGTTGATGACAGAATTTTATGAAATTGTTCTAATGGTTGATGCCGATACTCGAGTTTATCCTGATTCTTTAACTCATATGGTTGCTGAAATGGTTAAGGATCCTCTGATTATGGGATTGTGTGGTGAAACAAAGATTTCCAACAAGCTTCAATCGTGGGTTACTGCCATTCAAGTTTTTGAATATTATATTTCACATCATCAAGCCAAGGCGTTTGAATCTATCTTTGGTGGGGTTACTTGTTTACCAGGTTGTTTCTGTATGTATAGAATCAAGGCTCCAAAGGGTTCAGATGGGTATTGGGTTCCTATTTTGGCCAATCCTGATATTGTGGAAAGATATTCTGATAACGTTGTTGATACTTTGCATAGAAAGAATTTGTTGTTGTTGGGTGAAGATCGTTATCTTTCATCATTGATGTTGCGTACTTTCCCCAAGAGAAAGCAAGTTTTCGTACCCAAGGCTGCATGTAAGACTATTGTTCCTGATAAGTTTAAGGTGTTGTTATCCCAACGTCGTAGATGGATTAACTCCACTGTGCATAATTTAATGGAATTGGTTTTGGTTAATGATTTATGTGGTACATTCTGTTTCTCGATGCAATTTGTTATTTTTATTGAATTGGTGGGTACTTTGGTTTTACCAGCTGCTATTACGTTTACCTTTTATGTTGTTGTGGTTGCAATTATATCCAAGCCTACTCCAATTATGTCCCTTGTCTTATTGGGTGTTATTTTTGGTCTACCTGGGTTACTTATTGTGATTACAATTTCTTCATTGTCATACATTTTTTACTTTTTCGTTTATCTTTTTGCCTTGCCAATTTGGAACTTTGTTTTGCCAAGTTATGCCTTCTGGAAGTTTGATGATTTCAGTTGGGGTGAAACCAGAACTGTTGCTGGTGGTGATAAAGGAGACCATTCTACCGTGGAAGGTAAGTTTGATCCAAGTAAGATTGTTATGAAGAGATGGCGTGAATGGGAACGTGATCGTCGTAATGATGAAAGCAGAATGTTGGCAGGAGCAGTGGGGAATAATTTGAGTATTCCTTCGGCTGCCTGGAATCCTGCAAATTCAAATGCAGACCAAGTTAAGGAAGATTATTCACAATATTCTTCATCGGGATCAAATTAAGGTTAGTTTGTTTTATTTTTATTAGACTATTCTTCATGTATACTTTATATATATATATATATATATATATCAAAATAAAGGTTGTAATATTTGAAGTATTCAGATGTAAGCTATGAATTCTGTACTTAGCTCAAAGAAAAAGTTGTGTTTAAGTTATTAAGAATTTATAAACTATTTAACTTTATTGGAACAAATAAATGTGGTAATAATCCTGGGTTATGCACGATGCTTGTCCACAACTATTGCATTCTACAGTTATCTAGTATTTTCATAAATCAGTAAACAATTAAAATTAAAAATAAATACCTAAAGAAATCATAGCTAGTATCGAAGTATATAACGCGGGTATGTTTAGACGAAGGTTTAGTAAAGTTGTCTCTTCTTTTGACCGTACTTAGCAGCCAATGAGGAAAGGACTGGGTCCGAACCGGTACCGGAAGCAGTAGCAGCGGTTGTAGTGGTTGCAGCTGCTGGTTGTGCAGAAGCAGCTTGTTGAAGATCACTTTGAGTGACGGTACCGTTCTTGAGGGCTTCGCTAAGCCAGTTACCGAGATATCCAGCCCAAGTTCCACCGTTAGCCTTGATGTAGTTCAACATGCTGTCCAAGACACCACTTTCCTTACTCCAGTTGTAGACTTCAGTGGCAGCAACAGTACCAGTCTTGAATGCCCAGGTCAAGAAGTCGATAGTTTGTTGTGGATTGTCAAACACCTTTTGAATCAATTGTTGGACGAGACCAGAACTCTTGACGGCATTAACAATCAATCCAATTACATCAGCGAGGTCTCTCTTGTCGAGGTATTCACCTTCTGGGAGGGTAATTTCCTTAAGTTCTTCTCTCTTGAATTCAAACTTGACTTCTTCTCTCTTACTAGAACCTGCTGCTGGGGCAGCAGATGGGAAGAAAATGGCAGATGCGTTAGACAAGAATCCCTTAATAAGATCTAAGAAGGCACCCTTTATACCTTGGTCATTAACAATCTTGTTGAAGATATCACCCAATAATCCGGAGTTGTACAAAGCTTTGGCTAAAGCAACACCTTGGACGGCGGCAGTTTTGAAAGCAGCTTGAACAACACCCTTGATGACATTGATAATGGTTGGGTCACTAATCAATTTGTTGAAGACATCCTTGATAAGACCAGAATTAAGTATACTAGAAATCAAATCACTGAAAGCAGAACCTTCACGCTTGAGTAATTCCATCAATTCTTCTTCATTGTCGGTGACATCTCTCTTAGCCTTGAAGTTTTGAATCTCTTGGAGGATTTCCAAAATTTCATTGACTTGTTCTCTCTTAACCAAGGTTTGATCGGAACCAAAAGAGTTCATGTCCAATGGGGCAGCAGAAACACAGGCACTAGAGGCCAAGACAGCTAAGGCAGCGGTGGTTGAAAACTTCATTTTTTTTATTGTTGATAAGGGGAGATTGTTTGATGTAAGGTGTTGTAATAGATAATTAAAAAAGAACATAATTAAATCTAAACTAGGATTTCTAGTGTATATTTATAGCAGAAGAAACCCAAGGGAGGGTTAATTAGGAATTACCATTAAGGAATCAATTCAGTAAAGTTATTGCCTTAGTTAGGAAAGTATTGCCTTGGTGTTGTAAGCTTATTACTACAATGACCGCAAAATCTAAGGGAGTTCTACGATTGACGAACAAACTTCTTTTCCAAATCTGGAAATCGGAATGTTGCAGCCACTCACTTTCCGGAATAGGAAGTTTTTGCTTAATTTTTTTTTTCTTCGGCTCACCCAAAAAAACTCAATTTCGCAACTTCTAATTGAGACAATAGTATTCCAATTGAGTCAAAACGCTTGTAATTGTGCTCAACTCATCATATGTCGAAATAATAATGGTTGAGCCGCAATTGCTTTCGTATTCTGGGAAAACAAAATGGATATACCAGGCTTGGTTTTACCGGATCGGGGAAATTAATAACCATTGTTTCCTCCCTTATAAACATTTAGTTACTTAGATCGTGGAATCAGGCAAGCCCCCTTCCTCGCAAAAAGTTGTTCTAGGATAGAAACAATTGTTTGAAATTGACTTCGTACTGTCAAAAAAAAAATAAACAAAACTACTTTAGGCTTGTTTTTGCTTGACTGAGCCTCAAATCGTTATCAATAGCGTTATTTTTTTGGCCAAGTATAGTACTTTTGTGTTTCAAGATGGAATATGACGAGCTTAATCCAAGAGATTGATTACGTCAATTTTGATGGTTACAGTTTCATAAGCAGTATAAGCTGCATCTCCGTTATTCCATCATAATGTGTGGAAGCCAATATGGAAATTCAAATTGAAAATGCAGATCGGGTAAAAAAATGTTTTACTTAAGTTGGATAAATCAATGTTAGGATGGGATTGCTATTTGGTTTTCCTGCTTCCCCAAGGAAACAATGAAGGATTACAGAAGATGCAGTCAGGCGGTTTGTTTACGTTCGTATTCTATTAATAGAAATATGGGTGCTATATTGGGTAATAAGTTTTACGGTAACAACGCTGGATTCTACTTGTCAGGGATGGGTTATAATAGGAAGAGAAGAAATTACCTATTCGTAGAGAACCAGTAGAACAATGAACAAAATTTATCCCATATTGGGCAAATATATTTAGCATGTAATTGTCCCAAAACAATACTGCATTTCTAGCAAACTCCTTACGAGGAGTTGAGCTCGGCTATTACTTGGTCAGTTCATCGCTGTATCACATGGTTTTGACTAAAAGGGAAAGGTGTCTGCTGTTGCCAATTGGGAAGCTAATTTTGATCGTTCGCTAAGTATGAGTGGCTTAGGTGATTAGATATCTTTTGGCTTACCAAAGGGAAAAAAAAAAAAACTATTGTAAGCATGAATACGCAACAACCACAGTTTATGCACAACAAGGTGGAGGCTCGTCGATCTAACACAATCTGACATCTATATGTTGAATCAATACTCATTGCTGGAGATATAATTAAGCATTGTAGATACCATTTCGAAGCTTTATTATAAAGCTGGTAATAAACATAGCTAATACTGTTAGTTACGATTTCATTATCAGTATTCTGTGTACGTCCTGACCATGTGTTTTAATATTTTGCATTGTAGACAGAAATATGTAATTGAATTAAAATGTGATGTGTGTGTGTGTCTTTTTTATTGTTTATTCTACAAATAATATTACCATGTGAAGATTCAATTGATGTCAGATTTTAGATTTAGATTTTTGCAATTTGGTTGCGAAAAATGGAAGAAACCACAATGGTGAAATGAATTGTAGAAAATCATGCCTGATTTCAATTCAATGTTCCATTGAGAAAAGTGTCCAACCAGTACGCCAGATCAAACAGATATGCTGTAGCGGTGCTACTGCTACAAACAGACGACCAGTAAGAGCCAAGGCGGGATCAATGAAATTCTTGATCATTGTCCGATATTTTTGAACCGCGCACGACACATTTTTATTTGATACGACATTGATTAATAAATTGCACCACAATTTCATAATAATTTAGTTCAAGATCGGCGTTGCAGTGGAGTTCGCTCTTTTAGGAGAGTATGTCCGTGGCCAGCCGGTTAAAAGTCTATGTTGCGGCGGCTGACAGATCCATTCCCCCGTGGAGTTGGATTGTGCCCGGAGATCAACCGTTGTGAGCCATTGCATTTTTACGAAAAAAAGAAATTTAACTGGCCATAAAATATTTTTTTGCAATTTTTTTTTCCTTAGCTCAACGTTGACCGCGTATGCACTACCAGATATCACACATACAAAACAAACCCCATCGGGAGTTTGATGTAAAAGTTCTTTTTCAGATATTCTTTTCTTACTCTTCACTTGGTATTCAAGAACTAAGTGAACTTTAACCACCATGAGTGCCCCTATTTCTACTGGTGTTGCAACCACTTTTGCAACTGACTCATCTGATACCACCACCAAGGTGAACAGACAAGGAAACATTTCTTCATTCGCTACCAACACCGTTAGCAGTAACTTGACTGCTATTGATACCAATGGAGATGTTTTCAAAGTCCCAGATTACACCATCAAGGACATCTTATCTGCTATTCCAAAGCACTGCTACGAGAGATCTTTGATTAGATCAATGGGTTATGTTGTTCGTGACATTACCATGATGGTTATCATTGGTACTGTTGCCAAGAAGTATATCCCATTAGTTGATATCGCCGGCTACCCAGATGCTTCCTACTACATCAGAGGCGCCCTTTGGATGTTGCAGTCATATTTGATTGGTTTATTTGGTTTCGGGTTATGGATCTTGGCTCACGAATGTGGCCACGGAGCATTCTCTGATTACCAAGGTATTAACGACGTCATCGGTTGGGTGTTGCACAGTTATTTGATCGTTCCTTATTTCTCATGGAAGTTCACTCACTCTAAACATCACAAGGCCACTGGTCATTTAACCAAGGATATGGTGTTTATTCCTTACACCAAGGAAGAATTCAAGGAAAAGCACGGAGTTGAAAAGATTAGCGATATTATGGAAGAATCCCCAATCTGGTCATTCTTGGTCTTGGTTTTCCAACAGGTAGGTGGTTTACAATTGCACTTGGCCACCAATGCTACTGGTCAACCTTATCCTGTTTCTAAAATTGCCAAATCGCATTATGCTCCTAAGGCACCAATGTTTGATGCTAACCAATACTGGTTCATTATCTTATCAGACATTGGTATCATTGCTGCTTTCACCATGGTGTACCAATGGTACAAGCATTACGGTTTGTTCAACATGATGGTATACTGGTTTGTTCCATGGTTGTGGGTCAACCATTGGTTAGTCTTTGTCACCTTTTTACAACACACCGACCCAACCATGCCTCATTATCGTGCTGAAGAATGGACCTTTGCCAGAGGTGCCGCTGCCACCATCGACCGTGAGTTTGGTTTTGTCGGCAAACACATCTTCCACGATATCATCGAAACCCATGTTTTGCACCATTATGTTTCTAGAATTCCGTTCTACCATGCTAGAGAAGCTTCCGAAGCTATCAAGAAGGTCATGGGTGAACACTACCGTTATGAGGGTGAAAATATGTGGTACTCCTTGTGGAAGTGTCTTAGAATGTGTCAATTTGTTGACGATGATAAGGAGGATGCCAAGGGTGTTTTGATGTTTAGAAACGTGAATGGTTTAGGTGTCAAGCCAAAGGATTAAGCAGATCAGAGGTGAATATGCAACTCATTGATTAGATTTTCATTTGTAAATAGAAGCTTCTTTTATATGAATCAAGTAATAGAAATGAATTTTGTATGCGACCAATGTTGTTCCAGTTTTTTGCAAGCATATAAGCAAAAAAAAAATTGCACCCTAAAATTTTTTTGCGACGGTTTTGACCGAAGGGTAAAAAAAAATTTCCAACTGATTCAAACAATTTACAACCACGTTTCTACTACCCAGTTTATCATGACTAGTGTACTTCGTGGAGTTCTTAGGAATGCCATGTCCAGACCTATAACTGGCATGGCATTCAGACCTATAGCTACTACTTCTGTAAAATCATTTTCTACTACTAGATTTGCCCAATCAGAATACAAGGCCCCAGAAACATACGATGAAGAAAAAGTAATCATTGATCAAATCAACAATGGGTTATCCGAGCAAGATCTCGCCGCCGGTGCCAGAATGAGAAATATCGGTATCTCTGCCCATATCGATTCCGGTAAAACCACATTTACCGAACGTGTCTTGTATTATACTGGTCGTATTAAGGCTATTCACGAAGTCCGTGGCCGTGACAATGTTGGGGCCAAGATGGACTCTATGGACTTGGAAAGAGAAAAGGGTATCACGATTCAATCTGCCGCCACCTACTGCTCTTGGGACAAGGAAGGAACCAACTACCATTTCAACTTGATCGACACTCCAGGTCACATTGATTTCACCATTGAAGTCGAACGTGCATTGAGAGTTTTGGATGGGGCTGTTTTGGTTGTATGTGCCGTTGCCGGTGTCCAATCTCAAACAGTCACCGTCGACAGACAAATGAGAAGATACAATGTTCCAAGAATCACCTTTATCAACAAGATGGACAGAATGGGTGCTAATCCATTCAGAGCTATTCAACAAATTAACCAAAAGTTGAAGACCCCAGCTGCTGCCATTCAAGTTCCAATTGGTGCTGAAGACGAACTCAAGGGTGTTGTCAATATCATTGACCGTGTTGCTCTTTATAACGAAGGCTCTCAAGGTGAAACCATCAGAAAGGCTGAAATTCCAGAAGACTTGGTTGATCTCGTCGAAGAAAAGAGAGCTTTGTTGATTGAAACTTTGGCTGATGTCGACGAGGAAATGGCTGATATCTATTTGGAAGGTGAAGAACCAACGGTCGAACAAATCAAGGGCGCTATTAGACGTGCTACCATTGGTAGAAAGTTCACTCCAGTCTTGATGGGTTCTGCTTTAGCCAACAAGGGTATTCAGCCTGTATTGGATGCCGTTGTAGACTACTTACCTCAACCAAACGAAGTCTTGAACACCGGTTTGGAAATTGCCAAGGACGGAACTGAAACTCCAATTAACTTGATTCCTTCAAGTACCACCCCATTTGTTGGGTTGGCTTTCAAATTGGAAGAAGGCCAATACGGTCAATTAACTTATATTCGTGTCTACCAAGGTAAGCTTAAGAAAGGTGCCATGATGACTCATGTCAAGACTGGTAAGAAGGTTAAGGTTTCTAGATTAGTGAGAATGCATTCCAACGATATGGAAGATGTCGATGAAGTTGGAGCTGGTGAAATCTGTGCTACTTTTGGTATTGACTGTGCCTCGGGTGATACCTTTATTGGTACCAACTCCGACAAGGAAATTGCCATGAGTTCTATGTTTGTTCCTGAAGCTGTCATTTCCCTTTCTATTGCTCCTAAATCCAAGGACAATGGTGCATTCTCCAAAGCCATGAACAGATTCCAAAAGGAAGATCCTACATTTAGAGTTAAATACGACGAAGAATCCAAGGAAACCATCATTTCCGGTATGGGTGAATTACATTTAGAAATCTATGTTGAAAGAATCAAGCGTGAATACGGTGTTGAGTGTGTCACTGGTAAGCCACAAGTTTCTTACCGTGAATCCATTACTGTTCCAGCTACCTTTGACTACACCCACAGAAAACAAAGTGGTGGTGCTGGTCAATATGGTAAGGTTATTGGTGAAATGCTTCCACTTGAAAGTGAAAACAAGTTTAGTGAATCTATTGTTGGTGGTAAGATTTCTGAAAAGTTCTTGCTTGCTGTCAAGAAAGGGTTTGAAGATAGTTTGGAAAAGGGTCCATTGATTGGACACAAGGTTTTGGGTGTTCACATGCATGTTACTGATGGTGCTACCCATGTTGTCGATTCTTCAGAATTGGCGTTCAGATTAGCTTCCAAGGGTGCTTTCCAACAAGGGTTCTTGGCTGCTAACCCAGTTATCTTGGAGCCTATCATGTCTGTTGATGTCACTGCTCCAGTTGAATTCCAAGGTGCTGTTGTTGGTTTAGTCAACAAATTAGGTGGGTTGATTTTGGAAACCGAAACTGGAGAGGATGAAATTACCGTTGAAGCTCAATGTTCATTGAACTCTTTGTTTGGGTTCTCCACCTCATTGAGAGCTTGTACCCAAGGTAAGGGTGAGTTCTCAATGGAGTTCTGTAAATATACCCAAACTGCTCCTCAAGTTCAAAAACAATTGATTGCCGACTATCAAAAGTCATTAAAGGAAAAGAAATAGATAGTTAGTCTTGTATATAGGATTACATATATATAGTTTTAGTGTTTAATCTACATTGAAAACAAGTCACAAATTAATCTTGTATTTATATATATTTAAAATGATCTCCTATAAAAGAAAAGGAATGAAACTTATGATATTGGTTGGTTGGTTGGTTTCGTCTTGCATTTTCTAATCAAATATACAAAACACATTTTGGAAAGACGTAAACATTAAAAAAACCCCGACTATGATTATATACCCTGAAAAATTAGGGAAGCTAAGAATACACACATTATGAATTTGATTTTTTTAAAACATTTAAGCCTTGGCTAAAGCCTTCTTGGTAGCAAATCTCTTTTGCTTCTTTAAAACCAAAACTTGGAATCTTTCAAAGTCAGATAATTGAGCTCTTCTTTCCTTAGCAGCTAACTTCTTAGCCCAGGTGGTGGCAGACCACTTAGAGTCAATTTCACCAGCAGACCACTTCTTGGTAACGGTAGCGGTTCTGGCACCTCTTGGCAAGTTTGGTAAGACGATTGGGGTCAATACAACCTTAGCTAAAGAGATAGCTTGTCTTTGGATCTTTGGACCATCAATCAAAACCTAGATAAATGTTAGTATAAATGAACATAATGTAAACAAATGTGATCAGGAAACAACAAATTAGAATCTGTGAATGACTGGCGGTGTACTTATTCCTTTTTTTTTGATACGACTGTGTTTTCTTGGAGTGGTTGTTGCTTATAAATCTCCTCGACGATTTCACGCTGAAGGTGAAGATTTTCACTTTACTCTGTTGAGCTTTCGATATCAGCTTTCAACAGTAACGTTTCTTATTCCTGATTACTTTAGTCATGAAATTCACTCTTCTTCCTTGTTGTATTTCCTCATCCTTGACAAATTTTCAATGTCTATTACATACTCTCTTGTTATCGATAATTTGAACAATGGTGGCTAAGTCCTTGTTGTCAACTAAGACAATACGACCTAATTCAACTAATCTCCAGTTGGCAGCTTTAACAGTGGTGTGTGCAGACATCTTTAGTTATTGTTGTATATGAGTAGGTTAAATGAACTAGTATGAAAATTCAACTTAAAATTTTTTTTGAGTTTTTCGTTCTTGCGTATACTGCGAAAGATTTTGTTAGTGGGTTTCGGTTTTTTGGTGCATGCGAAATTTTTCGGTGCTGTGCGCAAGTGCAGTGTGCACTGCATGCAGGACACGCACAATATGATTCTTAGTAGAAAAAACCAATATGCTACCATTTGCACACACCAGAAAAAATGCTGGTACTGTTTGTTTCTGCGACTGTATATTAGGCAAGGGAAAGAAGGTCACATGACATACGATCCTGCTAGGGTTGTAGCCCTAAGTCGCCATCTTGCTACACCCACACACCGAATCATCATCTTTACTCGCAGAAATTAAATGCACCTGTGTGTATTTTACAAGCATGCGTGTCACTATCACCACCACAACTACAACAGCAACAAGCGATATCATTGCATTGTATATTGGTTCATCATTATGATCTAATGAGTATGTTATTCACATCAATTGCTTAATACAACAACACCCATCTTTTTTTTATGATGATTTATAATTTGCGTTCTAGAGTATTATATTCGAAACACGCCTAGTTTCATTTATGGATATACATACATCATGCGACCAACCTTTTGTCTGATATATATCTTGTTCCTTGACAAGGTAGTTCAATCGGAGTTGTCTTATTGTTTTGCTTTTTTTTTGCTACAAAGAACTTACCAATACTAACAATACACTAGGCTAATCATATATACTACAGCTAATAAACATACCTAACGACAATCAATTACTTTGTAAATACTTACTGTAGGCTTTTGCCACTGCTTCGTGCACGTGTCAGTTGTATTCCTCTTACTCCTTTGTCGTTTCCATGACTCAATAGAAGTAAAGCTCAGGCTTCCTGTGTTGCCAAACCCACGAAAAAAAAATGTGTTGTCTCTTCACATAATTGTTGGACCATCAGGCAATTCCTAGTCCGTGCCCAACTATATATGAATTTTCGCCTATTCAGTAAACGATTACTATCAATGGCCACCCCTATCAAGAAAACCCCAGTAAAGCAACCTGAATGGTTCGCACCTGTTAACAAGAATGACCAAAAACCAACGTTAAAAATATACAACTCATTAACTCGTTCCAAGGAAGATTTCCACACTATTCGTCCAGGTCACATATCATGGTATAGTTGTGGTCCAACTGTATATGACCATTCTCATATGGGCCATGCTAGAAATTACGTTTCTACTGATATTTGTAGAAGAATCTTGCAAGACTATTTTGGTTACAATATCAAGTTTGTTCAAAATGTTACTGATATCGACGATAAAATTATAATTGCAGCACGTCAACAATACTTGTTCGAACAGAAAGTATCCAATGTCTACACCCAATTGAATGACGAACTTTTACAAAACTCTAAAAGGTTCTTGTCCAGTTATATTGAAAAGAACTTGCCAGAATTTACCGGGTCAATTGAATCTGAATTTGATCAATGGAGCAAGACTATCAACACCCAATCAAACTATGAAACCCTTGTCAAGGAGAAGCCAAAGTTGCCAATGTATGTCAAAGCAGCCACTGTAGCCCACCAAGCAGTATACTCCAAGGCACCCGGCTCGATTGAAGAGTTTTTGGCTGCTATTAAAGATACTGCCATGCCATATTTGGATTCCCAATATGGTTCGACTGTAACCGATCCAGAAATCTTCCGTAAGTTGCCAGCATACTGGGAAAAAAGATATAACGAAGATATGGCAAGATTAAACGTATTACCACCAACTGTCACCACCAGAGTATCAGAATACATTCCTGATATTGTTGCTTATGTTGACAGAATCATTGAAAATGGATATGGTTATCGTACTGACGATGGATCAGTATATTTTGATACTGCCAAATATGAACATTCTCACCATGATTATGCAAAATTACAACCTTGGAACAAAGGTGATATGAGTTTAATCAATGATGGTGAAGGTAGTTTAACTGCTGGTAATGCCAAGAAGAACCCTTCCGATTTCGCACTTTGGAAAGCCTCAAAGCCAGGAGAACCATCATGGGAATCCAAATGGGGTAAAGGTAGACCAGGTTGGCATATTGAATGTTCAGTTATGGCCTCCGATATCACTGGCGAACAAATGGATATTCATTCAGGTGGTATTGATTTATGTTTCCCTCATCACGATAATGAATTGGCCCAATCAGAAGCTTATTATGACAATAGACAATGGGTTAATTATTTTATGCACAATGGTCATTTACACATTCAAGGACAAAAAATGTCTAAATCTTTGAAAAATTTTATCACTATTGATGAAGCTTTGCGTGATTTCTCAAGTAGACAATTACGTTTGGTATTTGCCTTGAGTCCATGGGATAAACCACTTGATTTTAAGGATTCTTTAATTAACGAAGTCAAGAGTATCGAATCTAGTTTTTCCAAGTTCTTCACCAATGTCCGTGCCTTGGATTCAGACTATAAGCATACCGTAGAAGAAGGTGGGTTTGTATCTAGAAAAATCACCGAGGTTGAAAAACAACTTTATGATGATTTAGCTATCGCTCAGGATGAGGTTGATACTGCATTTAATGATAATTTATCCAGTGGTCAAGCCCTCAGAGCTATTCAAGAACTTATTTCCAAAGCCAACAACTATATTCAACTTGCTACTTTAAACAAGGTTGAGTTGAGAATCGAAGTATTGTTAGCAATCACCAATTGGATTGTCAAGATTTTGAATATTTTAGGGTTTGAAACAAGACCAGATAGATTAGGCTGGAATGATTCAACTGGGGGCAACAATGGTGATGCCGCTAGCACTGAAGATATCGCTTTACCTTACGTCAAAGCACTTTCTCAATTCAGAGATTCTGTTCGTGGATTAGCTATCGCCAAGGCTGATATGAAGGAGATTTTAAATGCGTGTGATTCCATTAGATCCCAATTGGTCAACTTGGGTGTGTCATTGGATGATAGACCAAATGGGTCTGCTTTGGTCAAGTTCTTGAACGAACAAGAAAAGCAACAGTTGATTGAGCAACAAGAAGCCAAGGCAAAAGCTATTGCTGAAAAGGAAAGAAAGAAGCAAGAACAAGCTCTTGCACAAGCCAAGAAGGAACAGGAAAGATTGGAAAAAATGAAGACTCCGCCATCTGAATTATTCAAGGATTCATCATTGTACTCAGAATGGGACCAAGACGGTATCCCTGTAACGGATGCTAAGGGAGAGAAAATCAGTAATAGTATGAGGAAAAAGTTGACCAAACAATTTGAAAAGCAAAAAGCCCTCTATGACGAGTATTTGAAAAGTCAACAGTAAATAATAATAGATAGAACTAAATAGTAATTATACAATATGTACATATGGTGTATGTGAGATAGTACGCTCTTCTTGGTGTGAGGATTGTTATCTCGCTAATAAAATGTGACAACTTCAAATGCAAAATATGATTAGCTAATTGGAAAATTTGGCAAAAATTACGAGAACCAAGTTAATTGCAAGTATTTATACGGATGACTGTACCAGACACCCTTATCTAGCTAGTATATGGCCAGACTATATCTCGTACTGCGAAGTAGACAACGCTAGTTGAGTACTGTCGCGCTACCATATACACGGCTTTGGTTCTGTTTGACCAAAAAAAAATAAAAATAAACTTTGAACACGTTAACCTGTTGCTACTTATACGAATCAAACCTTTCATAGAAACAATGTTCAATTTGGTTACACGAGTGCAGACAGCGGGAAATCAGGCATTGACCGCGTCAATGGTTGTCACAGGATTTGTTATATTACTAACACTTCTTCAATTAGCTCAAGATAATGTATGGGGCATTTCCACAACTTCAATCACCAATATTCAACCAACATCTTCAATTAAGCGGTCCTCGCAATACGGATCAGTCAATCGTAAGCCAAAAGAGAATTCCAAGATTCAATTTGATTTAGATGCCGATTTGACCCCATTGTTTAATTGGAATACTAAACAAGTATTTGTATATTTAACTGCCGAATACCCTGGTAAGAGTGAAGGCTCTTCCAACAAGGTGACTTATTGGGATAAGATAATTAAATCTAAGGACGAAGCCAAACTTCATTATGTTAACCAAAGAAGTAAATATTCTGTATGGGATGTTGAAAAGTCGTTTAGAGGAAGAAATGCTACTGTTAGATTAGAGTGGAATATTCAACCTCATGTTGGACCCTTGATTTATGGACTGACTGAAACAACAGGAAATTTTCAGTTTTTGCGTAATGAGTGAGTTTGTCATGTTCATAAGTTGTTGTTGTTTTATTTTTTGGTTTGTACTATTTGCTAATAAATAATTATATATACAAGTAAATAAATGCAAATGAGGTTCTAGCCATATGTACAGTTTACCATTGACCTCAAAAAAAGAAAACAGGCCCAACTTGTGGGACTGTTTCAGTCTCTCTCTATATATATATTTTGGATATGCAGTGTATTCTTGACCGTCTTGGATTATTGAGTTTCGTCCGAGTCAGGTTTAGTTGGTTTCTTTATATCTACGCTATGGTGATTTCGGTAATATCCTTTCTTCCTAGTGGTCGCCCGAGCTCTTGTCATCTCTATGGCCCGTGATCTCTGAGTACTTGGATATAAACGTGAATAAAATTTGACACTCCGATCAATTTTATGGTATGGACCTTGTTGCTTCAATCCCAACAGCTTAAAGATTCGATGTTCTAGTCGATCCACTTGTCTAATCAATCGGCCGAGCCTACTTCGAAATCTCAATAGGTTAAGATCGGAAAAGGTTTTAACTTGTGAATAATCTTGTCCTATGCTATTAAGCCTTTTGTTGATTTTATTGAACTCTTCCTTGAATTCTTTTAACTTCATACGCTGATCTTTCTCAATATTGGACTTGGGAACAGGGGGCGTATCAACACCAATTGTAAATTGCCTACCTTCAAACAACCTCTTAAATTCCTTAATAGTTGTATAAATCCGCTTATCAAGAGTGCCACCATAGTGAAGACCGGTAATGTTTTTGAAATTTCCTCTGAAATCTGACAATCTGGTCCCTAAAGAGTTATACTTAATGATGTAGTTCACCGTATCCGGGAATCTCTCTCGAAAATTATCCCACATATGTGCGTTTGTATTGCAATAACGGGTTACTTCTTCATATAAGCGACGGGTGGTGTGTGGATTAATCCAAGTTTCGAAAGATTTATAAAATTGTTCTGGGTGAAAATACTCAACAAATTGGGATGAATTCATTGTGGCATATGGGTATACTGGAGCATCATCCAAATCAAATAATCTCCCTGAACTACTTCTCATAAAATTATTAAAATTCTTTGGTTTAGGATCAAGAGTATCAAGATCTTGTCTGGCTTGGGCAATAGATTCAATTTCGTAAAAATCTAAGAACATTTTAAACTTAGACTCAATTTCTTCAGCAGAGTATTCGTCGCCAAGATGGCATATACACATCTTGAAGCACAATTTTTTTGCTTCATATTCTTTGATGAACCTCCAAGATCCTTTAATCATGTGTTTCTCGCAAATGTCAAGGGCATTCGTTAAATATTCAAAGTTTGGAGCTTCAAGAAGTTTTAAAATTATTAAATTTAAATTCGTGGAACCGCCAATTACCTGTTCAGAGATTGCTGATTCAATAGCATATTCAACGTTTCGCGCACGATCAGGACCAACAATTCCTTTAGATGCTTTCTCAGGATTATCTTTGCCAATCATTTCTTCTCTCTTTTTCATCAGAGTTCTTAATTCTGAAACCAAAATATTTCCAAATTGCTCTTGCAAAGTTGGGACCATGATGCGCTTTCCTTCAAAAGGATATTCTGATATGAATCGATAGGTCAAAGTCCGATAATCCTTATACATAATTTCATTCAATTGATTTAATTTATCTGGTTGTCTTTTGAAATGATACTTCATAAACTCATGAATAATTGATCTTATCTCAAATGGAATAGTTCCATTGAATTCCCGCTTCATCTTGGTTACCACCATGTTTAACACTGTGATATCGCGAATTTTACGATATGCTAAGAAATCTATCACCGCTTGACAAATGTGATATGCATCACGTTTAAAATTCAATACCGCATAAGGTAGTCCCAGATCTGTAACTCCATAAACAGAAAGCATTCGTATCACTTTTACATCAGGATACCCTGTAATTCTTGATGCCCGAACTGCAAGAGAATATGTTCTAGCTGTTTGTGTTATATTCTCTTCTCTCATCATAATAAGAAGCTCTTCAAATTTTTCACAGTCACGATTTTGATCCACGTAATATTCCAATAATGGGTAATAATCATCTTCGGTTAATATGAATCTCTTTCTAGCACTCTCAAATATTGTTGTGGCTAACTCTTCATTCCCATATTCAAGGTTCAATTTAATTAAGTGCGGAATAAAATCTCGATAATCGTCCAACTTTTCAATTATTGAAGGTTGTATGAGAAGGTCTAGTAACAATGCTATCATTTTCTTGTTATATGCTACTATTGATTCATCGTTGGTCCTTTTAAGCCAAGCCTGATGGTTTCTGAGCTGACTCACAAAAATTCCTGGATCTGATAATGGAATTCTAGATATTTTATGAGCCTGATATACCGTTTTATCTGCAACTTCATATTGTCCAAGGTAAGTATAAGCCTCAATTAACCCCGAATAAGCTTCAGGCAGAAATTTATTATATTGTTGAACCAACTCATGTATCTTTTTCACACTAGACAATGAAAAATTCTTGGAAACAAACTCAAGACATGACTTAATATCCTTAGGTTGAACCAAATATAGATTATACCGTTGTTCAAAACGAAGATAATGTGCTAGAATAGTGACGAGATTTTGTATATCTGATGGTTGCATAAACAAAGGCAAGAACATTGATAACAATTTCTCACTTCCACTCGGATCAGATTTACCAAATGATACCAGCTTAATGTATCTATCATATGTTCTTAATGCCCTAGAATTACTACCTCGTTTGATTAAACCCCAGATTATAGCCGAGCACATCAAGGAGGTCCTGGTAATACGATTTGCTGCAGAGTATCTCTCCATCTTCCGAATTCTTCTGTATCCACCTGGGAGCCACAGGTTGGAATACCCCTTCATGGTTATTCCCACATTAGAACTGTGATCCATATTTTCATTGGAAAGTTCTCCAGCCCCATACTTTGCAGGGGAAATTTTATCAGCTTCGGTAGGGAATACGACAAATTGTCGACCATAATATTTTGCAAATCTTTCTTGCAATGAAAACCAATTGTTCGATGCTAAACTGATTCTTAATAATATAGTCACATGGTCAGGGGATTGTAATTCAGGGAATCTTATATATAATTCATAAGATCGTCTTGGTTCGTGTATATTGGCAATCATGGCATATAATAAATCATCGGAAGAGAGTATAGTGTTTGATGGCAAGTTTTGCTCGTCAATTAAACATAACTTGAATTTGAAATATTTCATACAAATAATTGGATCCAGCTCTGACATTGCTCCCATTATTCTTGTTATGATAGTAATGGATTCCATATCATCAAGATATCTCCCTTTAATCACTTCCAACAATTTTGTAGCATACGTCGAGAATTCAACTTGAGAAGGTGGTTTACCAATAATTCGAAGTACCTTGTCATAAGTTTGATCAATGCTGGGATCAAAAATCCAATCGTTATTCTCAAACATATTTCTTAATTCAAAGAATGTATCAATATATTTCAATTTTTGTTCCATGTCTTCGGCAACAAATTTCAATACTGTTGATGCCAATATTATTAGGTAATCCTTTTTCAATTCTAAGCTATTCTCTTCATCTTCGAGAAACTGTTCTATTTCTTCTCGATTGATTTGGATTTTTCCATTCGAATCTGCTTGTAGTTGGAGTAATTGTATACAACTGTCTAGTAAAGTAGGACTCGAATATTGTTCCACCAATGGCTCTATGCATTCCCAATACGTTTTATAATCAGCTTTTCTGAGAAGCAATTTGCATAGCGCCAGTCGTGACTCAAGTATAGTTATTCGTAATTCTGATATTGACGGATCTGACTTTGTTCCATTATAGAAAATAGCGTGCCAAAATTCTCGAAAGAAATCCCAGCCGCATTCATGATGCAACACATCAACTAGTCTTTGATAATCTTGTAGTATTTCCTGTATTTCTTCGGGTGTAAAAGAGCTTGCAGCTCTGAGATGTGTCAAATATTTGGTTCTTTGTTGATTATCTGAAAGTAAACCTCTAATTTTACTATACTCATGATTCAAATAGTCAGTTATGGGCATTGAATTTGCGTTTGCTTCCTTAAGAATGGTAGTATTGTAACATCGCTGTATCTGAATTCCTCGCAGTATTAGATTAGAATGGCTTACTAACGGGTTATAGGTGGTTTGATTAGGAAATCGGACTTTGAATTGAGGTAGTATCGAGAAGTTTCGAGTACTATTTCGTAGTACCAACTTCAAAGACTGGATATTTCGTAGTAGTCCCATCACACCTCCTCTTCTATATGTTCACCTCTTCCTATGTACAATTGCTGGTGTTGTTGTTTAAGTTCTGATTTAGACAATCATGGTCTTTTTACTAGAGAAATATTTTTCATTTTTCTCAACCTTAAAATATTGAGGGGGTGCACGACCTGCCATCAAAACCGTACCACTTTCTAGAAGGCCAAATATTCAATTGCTAGTTGGGTGTTTTGACTACATTGAATGGCAAATAAGACGTGTAGACACAGTTAGGCAAAGAGATAATCGTAGACGATGTAATTTAGAGGTAGTGCAATTGAGGCTAGAGCCTAGACAGCCATAACGTCAATTGAACGCGTGGGGTGAGGCACTGGATGCTTGTGTCAGCCACTATACAAATACACCAATAAAAGTATCAGCTAGTGCATGAAATGAATTTACAAAGAGTTGAGCCTGTATTGTGCCTTGCAGTAACTTAGCATTTTCTTCTTATTCTGTATTCTTCAGAGTCATTAAATCAGTTTTTTGTTGATGTAGTCAGGGAAGTTGTTAAACTTCTCGTACAGTGTGAATATAAAAAAATCATCACCAAAATACAAAACCAAAAGAAAATACCAAGGTGTCTTCGAAGCACAATCGCATTATCCAAACATGCTTATCAAAATGCTTGAAATGAACTGTAAACAAAGTTAGTAAAAGCTAAATATATATATATAATTTTTCATATTAAACTTCTTGAAGAAGAATACATTGAAATCAGTAAATGACCTTTCATCAACTCTCTCCAGCCAACACTTCAAAAATTTGTACACTGAAATGTCTGCTCCTTTTCCCTATTTGTACAAGAAAAGGGACTAGAAATGTGTTATGTCCGCCCGGTCACAGGTATCATCACTAAAACATATACTTCCAGATAACGATATTACATACATTTGTTTCTGTAATGATGTTAGTAAAACGATGCTAAACTTTTTGTTAAAGTTTATTTGTGAAGGCTCATACAAGGCTGAAACTTAACGATAATGCATTTGTCAACCCGGAAAATTCAGTTGGAACAATTGGTAAAATGCAAATAATCACTGCCAAAAATAAACTAACTAGTTTAAGAACATACTCATTCCAAGTTCATCCTGATATTCATGTTTGGACAGGGACTAATGAGGAATTGGTCTATCAAATAAAAAGAAGAGACAGCCATGAAAAGAAAAAAAAATTTTTTTTTGGCTGTCAATTTATAGTCTAGGCTGCTTTGACAAATTGTTCCATGCACTACCTACTATCTATTAGGGTTAATTATATATTAGATATTATACTTTAATACCAAAGAAACTAATTTTAACCAATACAGTAAATAACAAATGTGCCACAGCCAATGCTCCAACAATAGTATAATACAACCTGTTTGCACCTGAAGAATCACCTTCATGAATGATCAAACTATTCTTCTTTATGATCGGAGTTAACTTGGCTAAATTACTCAATCCAGTAACTATTCCGCTTATAACCACGATTATCCATTCAAAAAGATTCAACATTAAATGGTGATTCTGATTATTTATCAATACAACAATGAGAACATTGACTATGGTAATTGGAAACCACAAAACATTGGTGTACCCGTAAATTGAGATAACTTTACTTAATGAAAGTCCATACGGAAATTTATAAAAAAAGGTGGTTATTAAATATAACAACCCAGGGGCAATAATATTGTATCCGTAGAATAACGAAATTGATTTAGTTAGTAAATCAAAGCTATACTCGTATTTCTTTTTCGATGCGTCTCCATATAACCATTGTGCAAGTAGATTTGAACCTGTGGAACTTACAAACATCAAAAAGATTAATGTTCCTGTGATCCAAAAGAATCCATACAATTCTGCTGGTTGGTTCAGATTCTCTTCTTCATTTGGTTCTCCGAATGACGTAGCAAACGGGTTTAATGCTCTTTGAATTTTGTAAAAAAACATATCACTATCTAAGTCAAAGTATGGTCTGTAAAAATTAATTTGAAACATATGTGACTTGGTTGAAGTTGTTGTTGATGCTGCTGCTGCTGCTGCCGGGGCAGGAGCTGGGGTCATTGTACCTTGAATGTAACCAGGAGGTGGTTGTTGTGGTACATCGTTAAAAGGTGATTCTATAAAGTGTTAGTATTTGTATTGCGTTGTTGTCTAAAAAAAAAGGACATACCATCTGGTTGAATGTATCCCCCACTTAAAAAATCTTGCTATAAAGGGTTAGTATGAAGGTAACAAATGTTCATAGAAACAATTGAACATACCTCTGAATTCAGAAGCTTCCCATAAGCTTGTGACATGATGAATTAGTTTAATATTTACACCGTGGCGGTATTATAATCGGATATCTTTTTCTGAGTGTGGGAGAAAAAAAAAGCAAAAGAATCGGTTGTATATTTGGCGCTACCGTCTGCCATTGTGGGTGCTAGATTATTTTTAAACTCCATTGCAATTATATGTTTATACAGTTTGTTATTTTTATGTAGATTCTAAACTAGCAGGAGAATAAGATTGACTTGTACCCTCTTCCTCTTCAGAACTTGCTCCGGTTGTTTGGTTTTCTTTGTTTTCAGATTCCCCTTGGATTTGCACTATTTCATTCACTCTTTTCGATCCTAAACTGGCATTCTTACTTCCAAATCTATTGATAGTATTGTGACGATACGTTGATATCGCCCGATTGGCTTGCACTTTTTCAATAGGTTGTGCAAATCTTGGTAATTCTTTTTGAATGCTCTTGGTTGGAGAAAGTTGGAGTATTGACTTGGAATCCAATACAAAGTCTGAATCAAGCCCCGACTTCCCTTTAGTTTCTGCTAATTTAATTGAAAACCCTAGTCCAACAATGCAAATAATTGATATTACAAGAAATAACCATTCATTCAAGATTTGTAATAAAAATGGAAATACAAGAGATGTTATAGTTTCAAGTATCCAAAATATACATGTTGAAACTACCCATCCTTGGATTCTTGAGGAACTTGAAAAGGTCTCAATTGTAAGTAACCAACATGATGGAAGTAATATTGAAGTATATATCACATCTGCCAACACAGTCAACGCTAACAAAAATGAAGCTGTTTGGTCAAAGAATACTCGCTGCAATTGCCAGTTTATCCTCGCAGCCGAAGTCTTGTAAGAAAAGAATAAGAATAATATAGTAAATCCTATCATAATCCCTGTAGTTATGATAACTGCAAATACAAGGATATCTTTTCTTCTTAATATATCTAGCACCACAATGGGGAAACATGCAAACAATATTCTCATTGAAATATCAAATAAATTAGCAAGCTTGGTATCAACAGTTAACAATTGACATGCATTGCAAATACAATCAAATGATTCCTGCAATTTTGTTATAAATGTAAATACTAGGAAGAATTGGATTAGGATTGCTGTGACCAACTCTTTAATATATTTCTTGCCAAATAATCGATTGAGTGAACAACTCTTGACACATACACCTGAGGTATACTCCTTGATCACAAAATGTTTATCTCCGAGTTTGATCCTTTCATCTTTAGTTTTGCTTTCTAGTCCTGATGAATTTTTCAATTGAATACTTTGTAAAACATCTGCTGCTGTTTCCCATTTGGAATTTGTCGCTAACCATTTAGGAGATTCTGGAATTAAAAAAGTGAATCCAAAGGATATAACCACCGGAACAACTCCAAAGCTCCAGTATAGCCTGGTCCAAATCGGTGCAATTTCCTTAACAAACTCTTCTATGAGATTATAAATTGAGAATGTGATTAAATTTCCTGAAGCACCACAGAATATACCGATTGATAAGACTCTTCCTCGGCTATTCGGTGGAATAGTTTCATAAATATAGATTGGAACACTGGCATAAGTAAACCCAATTGCAACTCCTTTTACTACTCTTGCGATAATCAATAACCATGTTGTAGACAGGAAGAACGCGATTATGATTCCAATTATCCAAAGCAAACATATTACTTGAAATCCTCGAATGAATCCAAATTTATGACATATTTGACCACATATTATACTTCCGACTATAACTGTTAGTACTAATTCTGTCTATAGTGGTAATATTCACATACATATTGCGCCTAGAGGGTTACTTGTGCTTAGTATTGTATCCTCAATCTTTGATGGATTTGTGAAAATTGCTGCAAAAAGCTTGGAACTTTTAGCAGTTAAGTAAGTTTGCATTTCCATTCCACATGTTAAACAAAAGGTTGATATTGAAACCCCGATAGCATATGAATTGTATATTTTGTTTTTCATATTCAGTTATACTGTTGTGGAATGGCTGTGATAGTAGTTTGTAGTTAGCCGCTAAGCAAATCTCATGAACAAAGAAAATCGCAGATCTATGCGCACAACTGTTGGTGTTTCCTTTTTTTTTAACCTTCCTTTGATAATACCCCAAGAAAACTAGACAACATCAAACACAAGCTAGCTAGCTATCATGGAAATAGACAATGAGTATCCTGATTATAGTAATATTGGAATTGACATACAATCATCAGAGTCCCAAGACAACAATGAAATATTTATTCGCCAGACATTGTTAAGTTCTCCCCTAATTACAAACATTATCCCTAATTTTAAGGTTCAAACTAATAAACCTTTCAAAGGAGTCACCAGTAACTTGTTCAATGATGAAGAATTTCAAGTATTGATACCGAGAGAAGAACCAGATTCTCAATTGGATGCATTCAGCGATAGCGAAGAAGATTTAATCTTGCATGGTGAAGATGACATTCCCATGGCAACTCAACAGACACGACAACAGCAAACCAATATACAGCACGTTCAAGTTATAATACGACATCTGTCTTTACTTATAGATGGAATAGAGTTCTCGGCAAAGACCGAAATTAGATCTTCTTGTGTTATAAAGGGTGCTACTGACGAGGAGGATTTGCTATTTATATCACTCAAATCAAATTACTTACTCCTAATCCGATTATATTACGTTCCCAGACATTACAAAGACGACGACTATCATTTTCAGTCTCTTTCACATGTTAAAGACGAAGGTAACTCGATTTTCAAACCTTTTGTTATACAATGGTGGGAGACTTCAAGTTTTAACAATTCTCCGGATTCCTGTTCTGGGTACATGTTACGGTCATCGCCCTCGGGATTATCGACGGTTTCTTGTTCCAGTTCGAATTCATTCAGGTTATATTTGACCCTGCATTCCAAAAATGGCACTATGTTAAAGAATCATGTAAATATTGAAACTCAAGGAACGCTACTTGATGCCTGTTTTATACAACTTGACAGTCCAACGGATATGTTTATGACATTGATATTTACTGAACAAAGAAGACTAATTATAAATTTATTTTCTTGGTTAAATTATGAAGGGTTAACGCAAAGTTTTTCGAAATCTACCTTACCTTTGGATAATACTTTTGAAATACCAGTTTTTGTAATACCCTTAAAGAATAATGGAAGTTTCCTATTTGTATCACAAACAAAATTCACAATAGTGACCATTCATGATATCATTTCGGCGGAATATAGCTTTAATTCAATAGCTACTAAATGGGAATCGTGCTTTCCTACCAGTTTTTATGTGCCAGAAATCAAGATAACACTTTTTGAACTAGATAAATTAGATGAAGTGTTGATTTCAACTGACAGTGGTGTGATTTTTTCAATAGTTATAGCTGATAATAAGTTCATTGCCCAGGATCCAATTGCTAGAGTGTCAGATAATATTTCCGTCTTTTCATTGGAACCAGAAACCAACCACACATATAGACTAATCTTTGCTAGCGATAATGGTTCAAGCAAGGAAGTGGTATTATCAGGTACATTCACTAAGGAATATTTGTATGAAGTCAACAATCTCAGTAAAATTGGTTATAGCAATTTCAAATTGATTAAAGATTTCAAAAATTGGGCACCACTAATGGACATAGCAATAATTGAAACTTATAACCGACCACGGAATTCTCAATTACCCTCAAGACAAGAAATTTGGGGTATAAGTGGAACTCCCAAGAAATCTAAGCTTAGTCAATTTCGTCATGGTTATTCTGCAACAAAGATTACAGGCACCTTTGAAAAACTTCGGAAAGCTGATAAATTGTTTGTTTTCACATATAATGAAGTTCCTTATTTGCTTTGCTCTTTGCCATTTGAATCTATACTTTTAGAGACTCCCCAACACGACAATGACGCTTTTGCTGAAATCTCAAATCCTATCATCACCATTCAAGAACAAACCATTTTTGCTACCGATATTATTACAAGTAGCGGTTCTGTTATTTTACAAGTCTGTCCTTCTCATATGAGAATAACAAATTTGATAGATACATACTCAACCAAACAATTTCCGTACCGAGTCTTTGAATGTGGGTTCCATGGAGGATTACTAATAATGTTGGCTGAAACAACCAACAATATAATTCAATGCGTTATTTGGAAATTAGAACTGGACATTGATCGTACGTTTGAATCACTAGAACCCATACTTGTGAAACCCATTCCTCATGAACCATCAGCCATGAAACTCCTCTCTGCTGAAAATAACACCTATATAATTATTGGGACATTCGAAGGTCAGTTGGTGACATATTGTCTTCAAGGTGGCGATATCCAGGAAGTATATAACTTTCAGTTAAGTGATATCTGTCCCTACAATCCTATGGATATTATTTCCTTAGAATTAATCATTCCTAATGATTTTCACATAGTGAATAATTCCTTGTTTATCGGTACAAAGGAAGGATATTTGATTCGTTTAGAAATGAATCATAAGTTCTCTTTAACTCAGTTTCTACGAATTGGTGAATCAAATGTCAAATTTTGTCCCCTGGGAGATAATAATTTTTTGTTTATTCAATGTAAAGGATTATGGTTACTAAATCAATATGAATCAGTGTACCCTAAACTTGTTCATTTTGATGATACATTTGAAAGAACAATTAGTGCCCTGGTGGAACTATCTTCATCAGATACGAATAAACGAAAGCTTGTTTTAGTTCGAGACAATGGACTTGTCCTTACCAAAGTCTCCACTTTTACTGAATCGGCGATTAAGCAGATTTCAATCACTGAAAATGCAAAGAAATTGATTTATGTGGCACATATTTCCATGTTCTTGGTTCTTTGCAAATCAAAATCTAGCAAAAATAGAATTAGGTGTGTTGATAGAAAATCGGTGAGGATAATGACCCACAGAGAATCAACTTTAAAGAGTAAGAACACTGAAGATCAAATCTTTGCCAAGAACGAGTTTCCAGTATGTGGGTGTGTTTGGGAAGTTGTCAGAGGTAAACTGAAAATATCAAGAAAGATACTTGTTGGGTGTTCCATCACCGCTGAAACAGGTAATGAGCATGGTTCAGTAAAAGTTCTTGATTTTAAAAAGGCTAAATTACAGGATGGATCAACGATAATGTCGGTTGTAGAATTGACTACATTTGAACATGATTCGCCAATTACAAATATCCAACAACTGGAACAATTGATCTTGTTCACTAGCGGCAAGAACATCTACTATACAGGTTATGATGAGAATGAGAAGCGATTCACACCAGTAAAACTTCTTGAAGTTTTACCAAGTACAATTGTTTCCTTGAATATATCCAATGATAAATTGTTCATTGCGACTAGATTTGATTCAATTTATCAATTTAAAGCACCCAAGTCAGGTATGCCAATCTCATATGTGGCGGGCGACCCATTGCCTAATCACTTCATAAATCAAATTGAATATAAATCGAAAATCATAGCCAGTGATAAACTTTATGGAGCAGTTTCTATTATTGATGTTAATGATAAGAAATATTCCGCGGAAAGAATGTCCTATAAGTTGTCAAATATCCCTCGGGTTTACCTTGCTAATTTGAATAATAATTGGAATCAAGATAATACGTGTACGATTCTTTGTATTGGGATAAATGGAGAAATTATAAGTTTGAGGTCTGTCCCTAAAAAGGGTAAGGAATTGACTGAGTTGAACAATAGGTTGAGACAGGATTCAACTAGTATTGTCACCTGGGAAAAGGTGATTGAAAAGTTATCCATACCATTTGCCAATAAAGTAGGTGGTACTGGGTTATTCTCTTTGAACAAACCTATATTTGACTACAATGAAAACAGAGGAAAATTCATCGATTACGATTTATTGGATATTTCTACCATTAGCACATCCAAAATAAGTTTATAAATATTATATTACCCTATAGAAATGAAAATATATAACAACACTCGTCTAATTAACTACTCCCGTTGTTATTATCTGACTCCAAGTCTAAATCTCCAACAGCAGTAAGTTTCTTTCGTAACCTTTCTTGCCTAAATTTCTGAGCTGACGAGATTTTCTCATCAAGGTGTTCATCACTTCCTCCTCTAAGTTCTTGTAATAAATTCTTGGCTCTTGCTCCAAATTCTACATCGCTAGGTGACACTTCACCATCTCTCTTCTTAATAGGCGAAGACCTATTGCTACCATCATCCTCATTCAGATCATCACCATTTCTAGCCGGTGAAGCAGGAGATTTGGAATCTTCAGCAAGATGCTTTCTCATTAACGCCCTTCTTCGAGCTGATATTGCTTCTCCCTTTGGTGGACCAGTTGCTTTCAACTTCTCTAAAAGTGAATCCATGACATCATTATCATCGCCATCGTCATTGGAATCACCGTCAGTGCCATTTGCTGAAGATGATGCCTTTCTTGGAGCTTCAAGTAATTTCTTTCTTTGTTCATAAATACGAATTTCTTCTTCACGCTTCAAGTTTTCAGTTTGCACTCGCTTGAAATCCTTGATGAAATTAGCAAATTTAGACATGAATGAATTCTTTACAAATTGATCACTTGGATCTTCACCGAAATAAATCATTAAATCGTCAAACTCTTTCAAGGTATAGTTTGATTGGTCAATTAACAATTCTCCCTTTTTCTTGGCTCTAGGTAAAACTGGTAAAATCACCTTCAAAATACGATCAAGTGGATGGAATTTGGATATATCGCTGAGATTACCAACATCAATTGAACTTTGAACATTCTTCATGGATTGATTATATTCAGTACAATCGGACTTGATGTTTTCAATTGAGAATTTTGAAACCTCGATACACTTGCTTAATTCTTCCATAAATTCCAATAATTCAGGATACTGAGTTCTAATAATCTTTTCAACGTAATGCAAGAACGTCATACTATTCTTGTCATCCTTCATGAAACTTAATCGTTGTAAAGAACTCAACTTAAAACCTTGAGCTTGTTTAGATGAATCATTCATATAATTACCAACAGTCAAAATAATTTCAAACACTTGCTTCAAGTGCTTGGATTCTTTTATACCTTGTACTGCATCACCAATCAACCTCAACTTAGAAACCAAATCTTCATAATCTTTTTCATAATTAGTAATAACTTTCAAAGCTCTCATTCTTGATTTCCAATAGTGTTGTAAGTTATAAATTAATTCCAAATATATTCTCTCGGGTCTTTCTAATTCATTAGGATCTTTATCAGGTTTGGAAACTTCGTCAACGGTGTAATCAGTTGAATATGGTTCGAGGTTTCTAGCTAAACTATTAGATACTTCCACAATTTCGTCCTTGGAAAAGAATTCTAAAACTGCTTGGTTGTGTAAAACATCTCTGTCACATCTCAATATCTTAGTAACCAACTCTTCATCTGACAATGAACTGAATGCATGCAAATTAATGCTAAACTGTTGAGCAATATCACGAGGCATAAATGAAACCTTCTCAGTCTCGTCTTTCTTCTTGGTTGCCAATTTCTTGACTTCCTTAGCCGCAAAAATCAATTCTATCTCATCAAACACTCCTCTTTCCATTAAATCAGATGCAAGTGTATGAACATTAGGATCTTTCCAGAATGAATTCTTGGCTTGTCCATCGTCTAATTTCTCCCAGTGTAATTGTTTCAATTTCTTCTTTGGTCGAGGAATATTGTCAAATAAGGAATTATGTCGAGAAGCAATTGGATCAGGGATATTTTTAGGCAGATTTGGAAGTGGAAGTGGTGGTGCTGGTGGAATGGCTCCATTGAAGAGTCCTGGTGGAGGAGGTGGTGGTGGTGGTGGAGCAGGAGAAGTCTTGCCACTCAAAAGTGCTTCTGGAGCTGGTGGAGGTGGTGGAGGTGGTGGAGGCGGTGGAGGAGGAGGAGGAGGCGGTGGTGGTGATTTCGAAGTAACACTATCTGAACCTTGGAACATATCTGGCAATGGTGGTGGAGGAGGTGGTGGTGGTGGAGGCGGTGATGCAGCCAGTGAAACTGAAGTTTCATTGGATGGTTTCCCAGAGGGTGATGCTGGAAGTGGCTTATTCTTATTATCATTAGTTTGGTGTTGAACTGCATCGACAAATCCTTCATGTGAATCTTCTGGTTCATCTTTACCATCAATCGGTTCTACTCTTCCAACCTTTGAACTCAATTCTTTCAAGAATACTGGATCCATAGCACCAATAGTAGTCATTCTATGAGCACGTTTGTTCTCAGTCGTTGTAGAAGCACGAACAATATCAGCAGTTGATTCATTCTTGATCTTACCTCTGACATATTTCTCTTCAATCCTGGCCAAAGTATCTTTGTTAGATTTTGGTTTAGTAGACTTCTTCTTGGTTTCTGCGTCTGCTAATTTACGTTTTAATTCCAATTTTAATCTTGCAATTTCTTCCCATTCTTCCTTTATCTTGTCTTTGATTGAAGGATCCACTCTTTCAGGACTGGAAAAATGTTCATGCAAGTTATCTTGGTCATCAACTGAAAAGTCAATATTGAAATCCTTGAAATTTTCTTCCAAATCTCGAAGTCTTTCCATAGCCAAGAATTTTTGTCTATTAAACATGGAGCTATTATTAAATTTCATAATATCGTTAGATTCGGTTTGTAAACTGGCCAATTTCTTTCTTAATTTATCCAATTTCGCCAAATCGTCACTGCGAACACCTCGTTTTGGACCTGTAGGAGTCTCGGGCTCTTCGAGTGACTCTTCCACTTCATCTTCTTCCTCGTCTGACTCAGCTTCTTCGGGGATTTCTTCTGGTACCAGCTCCTCAGTGAGTATGTCATCGTCAAATTCACTCATCTCCAATTCCCTTGCTTCATTTCCGAGAGTGTCCATCATATCTCTTAACGATTGTAACCTTGTCAGGGGTTCCACCAGAGTACCACCAAAGTTTCTATTGTCTAACCTATACTCAGCTTGACGACGATGGATATTTTTTCGAATTGTCTTAGCCAATTCTTCACTTGTGGTCTTTATAGCAACTGTAGTCTTACCTTTCTTTTCTCTCTTGGTTTCAATCTCTGTATCAAAATCTTTACTATTAAGCAAGATCAACAATTCTCTCATTTCTAACTCCTGTTCTTGCTTCTCTTGCAAATGCTTTCTCTTAAGTTGATTTAATTCTTGAGTCAATTCTTCAACCAATCGTCTTGTTCTTGTTAACACAATATCTTGTTCTCGGACGTCATTTTGTAAATTGGTGATTAATCCGTCAGCGCCCATGGATAATTGTCTTGACATTTCATCTCGCTCAGCAGTAGCTTCTTCTGCAAGTCTCTTATAGACTTTGACTTCCTCCAATGCCTTTCTATACATGTCATCAGTGCTCATATTGGCAAACAATCTATTGATTGCTATTCCCACTGCAGATTCGTCATTGGTAGTATGAGCCGTGGCTATATTTTGAATTAATCCATCCAAAAGTCGCAAACTTCTTCCCATTTCCTCGACATTATTTCTCTTCTCACTTTGGTTCAAGTATAAATGTTGAATGGCACTTAAAAAGTAACCTTGGGCTTCCGAGTTCTTGACATTATCCCAAAGCGCATTCACTAAGTCAACAGGGTTATTAAAATCAAGGTTTTCATCAATATGCTCACTTGTCTTTAATTCTTCTTCGTCGAGTTGAGACATTTGAATATACTTCATGCATTGCTGATTAAGACTGTCATACCCCAATTCTTGGAATTTGGCAATTAACCGATCTAATCCAGCAGCATTGAATTGAGCACGTAAACGGATTCTAATTCGATAATCAGCACCATATTCCACTATAGTGTTGATTAATAACATAGTTCCGAGACAATATTCCACTAAATGATTCTCCAAACTTGCAGCCGTGGTAGTGCCCGAAGTTCCCGCATGAGCAGATTTCAATTCTTCACTGGCTCCGACTAACGAGTTCATATATTTCCCCTTTCCATCAACGGTTCTTTCAACTAATCTTAACCATAGTTCAAAACGTTTGTACTTCTCTGGTGATGGGGGTTTCCTAACAAGTCGTCCCGCACCAGCTGTCCTTTGATCATTGAGTTGTTCAAATTCAAAATGTGGCTTTTGAGGTATGGAATCAAGAGCGTGTAAGATTTTATGATATTTTCCACTATCGACATTGTGGTGGCTGTAATAGGCAATCATGAATGTCAACGCCTCGGCGGCTATTTTTCGGGTAATTATCCTTGGCGATAACAAAGATCCAGATATTGCATTGACATAAAGGTTTGCATCTGTCCTGACTCTTTCTGCTCCTAGCTTCTGGTTCATCATACATTTCAATGCTTTCAAGGTATTGAATTCTCGATCAAACTTCTCATCATTAATATCATGAATATCTGCCAGACTTATTTCATCCTGAACCATTTTCAAATAGGCCGACAATGCGGCATCACCTTGACAATCATATATGAATCTTCTTACCCAGTCGATTGGTTCTGTTCTCAAAGACACCCAAAGGTCTTTTAGTTCTTTTGCAGTGATTTTTTTCGATAATAATAACTTGGCATAATATTGAGGACTTGCTGTGTTTTCAATTTGGCCAGTTTTAGTTGATCGGGAATTACGTTCCTGTCGAGTGTGTTCGGCGTATGCGTCTTGGTAAATCAACATCCACTTCTTGTCGTGGGAATAATTCAACATTTCTTGTTTTGCTTGTGTAGGTAACGATTTAAAATCTCGTTTTTCCATCAAATCTTTAAACATGCGATCAATCTCATAAATCGAATCGGGCCGCTCCAACACAAACCCACCGGATTGGGGTAAAGACAAATCGTTGGAAGTTTTGGACGGCCTGGATATTATCGGTGTAGCCATGGAGTTTGTGGTTGATTTTCTGCTTAGGGTGGATTTGAGTGATTTTGAAGGTTGGGGTGGGGAAGTATTATTAATTGTTGATATGCTAAACGTAGATGCTTGACGATTATGTTGGGATTGTACCACTTGATTTGTGGGGACTATGCTGGTGTTTGCTGATGTGCTTGATCTATTTGTTGCTGTCTTTGACAACGCTAGACTGCTTTGTCTCCTAGTGAACGAAGGTTGGGTACTAGCTGACAAAATGCTGGCTGAATCATTGGACGACAAATCACTATTGCTATCATTAGGGTGTTTATCTTTGGTTTTCCGGATGCTAAATATAGAACTGGTTGATATTCGGTGGTTAGGGGTTTGAGGACCCGTGTTGTTCATGGTGGTGGTGGTGGTGGTGGTAGTTGTGGTGCGGTGGTGGTAGGGTATATTTTTGTTTGGTTCTATATTTGCTGCCTAGCAGTGTGTAGTGGGTAGAAAAGTGCTTGTAAATTTTGAAGCAGGGGAGACAATGATTTGTGTTTGCTTTCTTCTGATAAGTCTAAATTCTATATACACAGGGGATGATTGGGTGGTGTGATGGTTGAAGAAAGGTATAGCATTAGCTGGCTAATGTTTGACACAATTGGTAAATATTTTTTTTGTTGTTTGGTTTACGTGGGAATTAAAGGAGGGAAGCCGGGGGGGTGTGTGGGAAAAGTAAAAGACCGCAAAAAAAAGTAGGAAGAAAATTTTTGACTTAGCCAGCTGCAAGATTAGACAAATTATAGACTGGCATATGGCTAGGTCGACTAGAATGTATATGTATAACGTCAAATATTAGAAGATTAGTTGAGATTAATAGTTGCTAGGGGAGCTTACCTTACGATTGTTGTAGAGCAAGTGGAGTAATCAGATTACTCCATACGATTTTGAAACATTACAGTTTCATTTTAAAAGTTTGAATTCAGACAGGCGGGAACGGTGGAGGCAAAGTATAATTGCAGAATTTTCTACACAACTTTCTTTCTCAATTACGTGTCTCTGATTACATTCCTAGAAGCACAATTTTAGTAATGGTATTGAGCTCCGTGTTGCTACAAATAGCTGGTTCGGTTGCTAAGAAATAATGCGGTAATAAAAAAAAATAAAGAAAATTCGTATTTTCAAGTCGGGGAACTTAAAACTTTTATGATGCAATCTTGTACTCGTCTCGCTAATAAACAATCGGTGCCCTTGGCATGCATCGCTTCGTGCAGATGCAAGGAACAAAGTTCTTGATCGACTCATCACTTTCAATTTATATATATATATATGTGTGTGTGTGTGTTAAATATAGATAACTAGCCATACCAGATCCCAGTCAAACTTCCAATAGATTTATACAAGAATAGAAATTTCTTTCTCCAAGTTTATATTTAGATCAAGGATCCAGTCAATGAACTGCACACAAACATTGTGGTCCAATAACTGACTTGATTTTTACTTCGGCTATCAGTACCTTATCCCCCCGTCAAGTTTATTTTTCCCGTTTTTGTCACTTTTTTTTTGCGCCCCATACGAGGCATGTCGCGTTATTTATCCACACCATTTTTTACCCTGTTTGGTCTTGCTTTATTTTGCACCACTATTTTTTTTGTAATGTTGCTGTTTCATATTGTGTTCTACCGTTAGATATTTCTAAATATCGCGTCTGGTTTGATCCGTATCTAACCAACATTAACTTTATGTTTTTTTTTGATCGCCATCAATGTATTTATATTTTATATGCGTGCTCGGTAGTAAATTCCTTTCAAAAGTATGTGGTTGCCTACGAAGAATGCATCCAAACCTTATTTATAAATTACATGAGCAAAAAGAACTAAACGAAGAAAAGTATCCTTTTTCTATCTACATTGGAAAAGAAATTTTGCGCCATTGCCACTTCTCATATGCTGGCAAACGTATCGCTCGGCAATAGACACGAAACCCCCCCCTCTTCATGTGACACACAAGATCTAACCCCGATTAATTGTCGCATATCTAGTAAAAGCCCTTACTCGACAGTGTTTACTTCAATATTTTCAGCCAACATCTCTAACGTGTGATCTAGATCGCTGTCCATTTTGGCTCTAAATTTCTTCGAATTAGAACGGTACATTTCAGTTGCCCCAGGCTCCCCTTCGTCTCTTTCCTGTTGTGTCTCTTGTGTATCTTGGCTTTCGCTAGATTCAACTGGCTCCAGTTCTTCTTCGGGCTTTGTTTCTTGTTCGTGGCTATTCTCATTATTTGCTGGCGGTGCTTGCTCAGCGTGTTCGTCCACAGTACTTTGTTCGAATTTATCTTGCGTATCAATAAATTCTTCGGCATCAGATCTAGAATCATCATGAGCACCAGCATCCACATCTTCAGTTTCCCCCTTAGCAGTTTCAGATGCGACCTTGGCCCCCTGCTCTTCCTCCTGCTCTCCTTCATTTTTGTCAGCTGTACTTGCCCTTGATTCCAGTTTAGGAATTAAATATTCAAAGGTTTCATAATGAATCTCATCCAAATTAATCTCACTAATTCGGTCAACATTATCCCAAAATCCAATCTTACTCCAAAATATCTTTAACCGTACCAATAGTACCATCATGTATAACTTAATCAACTTCGATTCTTCAACTTTATCCAATTCAATCTGTTGAACTTGACTATTCATTAATGTTTCTGTCGAGGATAGAGTTGTAACTGGAGATTCATCTCCATTCTTTGGAATTGAACCGCTGGTTGATCGCTTAAATTGCCCAAATGTATTTGTTGTGGTTGCTATATCATCAAATGCTGAGTTTGGTTTAAGTTTAAACACATTAGACTTGATAACTCGTAATTTAGCAAACAAATCACACACATTACGCAACTTGATCAAACAATAATTACATAATGGATATGATGCAATCACATCATCGCCAATTGGCTCCAATATCTTGAAATAATGCATTCGAGCATGTTCCAAATTATCATTCCGAGATTCACCACAGAATGAACAAGAGTCCCGGATGGCTACAGGGGTTACATGAGACATACTTCCCCTGTAAGCTAATTTAAAACTTTCGTTTGTTCCCTTCACTGGCTCAATTGATACTCGTCCTTCGCATACAGAACTCCAGAAATTCTTACCCTTTTGCCATCTGTTCAAAAATGTAGATGTGCTAGGTAAAGCAGGAATTGTGGGTATGGCTGTTTCCATTTCGTCATGCCAAATTTTCTTAAAGAATGGTAATGCTTTCAAGTGAACTAAATCAAATTGGAAATCTGGTTTTATCAAGGCATACACAAACGTCTTGAAATCTTTATTGTAATTATTTAAATCAAACCGTATGGCAGTGATCATCGGGGAATATACAACTGCTTGTAATTGTTGCCAATGATAAATCTCATCATTGGCGAGGGGTGTTTCCCCCGTAGTGATTTCCCCGGTGTTACTGATGATTCTACCGAGAGGTGCTGTGGCTTCGGTAATTGTTGATATTTGGTCGAAAATTTCTGGCTGTTCTACTTTAGGAGTATTACTCATGGACAATACCCGATGGTGTTCTTCAATTCGAATAACCATTTCCTTGAGGTCTCGTAATTGCTCTTGTAAATCTGTGATTATGATGTCTTTTTCCTCAAGCTCTTCGTACAATTTCCTATTTTTTACTTTGAAATTATGAGTTTCTCTCAGGGCATTACTGACCATAGTATTTGCCTCGTCGAAAAGTGATGCTGTCAATTCTTCCACTTCACTTTGTAATTTAGAATTTTCTTTTTCAGCCACTTCTCGCTTTTCATCAGATTCTTTGTATTCTTGTTGGAGTTGGGTATATTTGGGTAAAAGTTCACGATATTTTTGATCATTTTCCGAAAAAGTAGCATTCTGGTCTCGTAATGCCAGAAGTTGTTTCCTCAAACTAAGCACAGTTTCTTCTAACTCGACTTGCTTATTAACGGCCGTGACAAGTTTGGTTGATAAGTGGCCAACTTCTTCTGCCAATCTCTGACTGATATCCTCCTCTTCACTCATATTTCTCAATTGATGTATGTATTGTTGAAGGGAATAACGAAGGGCAGCGATAGGGTAGAACACGTAGTTTGATAAACGTTGGCTTTTTTTTTTGGTTTTTTTTTTTTTTTCTGGTGTGTCTTACTTATTGTTTATGCTTTGACTTTTGTGGTTCTTGTCTCTGGATCGTTAACTTACAACACTCGCTTAAAATGTGTATGATTATTCTGGTATGCTTGGGAAGCTCGCATTTGTTGATTCTCGCTGGATGCATCTATTCATATTGGTAGTTGCACTAATTTATTTATAGTTACTCGTCCTCCCTTCGGTTCTGCCCTCCCCCGCATTAAGCCTTATCCGCCAAATCTCTTTTTTTCCCCCCTCTCTCCTTATAAAGCGGTTGTCTGATGACCTTTATCTTTCGTTGCTTGCTTTGGTTCCACCAATGACTAGGAATACACATATGTGGAGCACTCTGAATCAGTCGATGATCAGACTGCCCCTGCCGCGGTTGGTGACTGGTCCGGTATGTGTAAGTTCTCTGCCTAGAGGTTTGGCAATGTCAACACCAAGACTGTTCTCCTTGTTTGATGCAACATCAACAACGCCAATCACCTTCGATAAGCTTCCCATTGAATTACGGATTAAAATAAGTCTGTACCTTTCTCAGTTCGATTGTCTTAACTTGTTGGTGGTCAATAAAGCCTGTTATATCCTGTCTTTGCCCCGGCTATATCTGTCCGTTGTCATTGATTCTAAATTCAATTTCTGTGATACCAATGAAATATACCAATCTGGTAGAACATACATTAACAGTGCATACAACTTGAAGCGATTTATCAAGGTGGTCCATTCAGGCAAGGAAACCGATCCTTATATTACTGAACTTCAGTGTATCAACTTGCCTGATTCATTTGATATTTATGACTATACGTGGAATACTGAATTAATATTGTTTTTTCAGAAATTGCGTCATTTAAATAAGTTGATTTGGATTAATGATAATTTTAGATTGCAATTTTTAAGTAATTTACCCAATAAGGAATCATTGACTACATTGGTACTCAATATCAAGTTCAGTAATTATTTAAACGATTGTGACGAAGTCAGTCAATGGGATTATTTTTATCAGAATTTGAAGTTCCCAAACATCACTAATTTTCAAATCATGCCATTTCACGATCTGTTGCGAGTTAGGAAAATTATCAATAATCTCCTCATAAATAAGAATGACGAACTGGTAGTTAGTAAACGCTTAAAGTGCTTAGTTTTGAAGAAACAATGCGAAGGAGATTACAATTTGATTGAAAATGACCCATCTAGTAGTATCTGCAATATCTTCACCAAGAGTAAATTAGAATATCTTGAGGGTTTGTCAAGGTTGAGTTTGATTGATATTAATGTAAGTAGTAGTGATGGTTATATCCTAAAGAATTCGATTAATATGAAGAAGTTACGGTCATTAAGCTTGACTGGTTTAATTGAAGATAATGTTGATAAATCGTCATTTATTTTGCCATTTGCATTGGAATTGACCAATTTACGTCAATTATCGTTAGATATACGACAAACTTATGATTACATACCTGATTTTCTTGAGGCAATCCCTCATTTACATGCATTAGACATAACTATACACCTATATGACGATTGGGAACAAATGACGGAAAAATACGTGTTTGCAATTACGAATTTTACCAAATTAACAAAGCTATCCCTTGATGTGATTCAGGAAAGCACATTTGTGCGCACCGGTCGCGTACCTCAATCACTATATAGTGGAATATCTCAACTTGCTAACTTGACCAGTTTACGAGTGTGGTTCGGTGGGTCCAGTCATGATGATCTTCCCCATCTAGTGGGCAAGCTTCCCAATTTGAAGTACTTGGACATCCCTCGAATAACCACGTCTCTACCTCCCTTCCTTCAATACAATCGAATGATACCAGGGGTATATTTTGATGATATGTATGAACTTCGTTCGAATGCATTGTATTTGTTCAAGAGTAACGCCAGTATTAAATTTGTCAGAATCAATCTGAGTATATTTGAATGTTGCGATGGAGCAAATGTGGTTTCGAGGGATGGAATAAGTCGCTGGTTCGACGAAAGAGTAAGATATATTAGTGAGCTAGGGGTGTAAAAATTGGAGTGGGTGCAAATTGTGGAGATTTACAGTGTGTGTGGTGACATCACTAGAAGCAATCGCCGAATGGTGGAGAACTAAGGTGGGGGGAGAGTGTGACTGATAAGATTTACATCAAGAAAATAATGATATCAAGCAATACCGTAAACGCCGAACTCCCCATGGGATGTGTGTTTGTTTTGACAAGAGGCTATGCCCGGTTTATTCCACTAAATGCCATTTGGTTTAGTTCCATTCATCCAGAATGGAACATTCAAAAAAAAAATATTTTTTTGCGTTCGTGCGAGAAGCATCAAGCGATGGTAAGAAAAACAAGAAAAAAAAAAAGAAAAGGGGAGTGGAAAATTGCCTAAAAAGAAAAGACCAATTCGCTTTCGCTGTTAAGAACTCAGTGTGAAACTCGCCAAGGTAAAAAGAAATCCCCATATACCTCTCTGCATTGTATAGAATTGGGTAGCGTTATTCTGTAAACTTGCACATCAAATTTGTGTATCAATACCACATGAGATAAAAGCTAATAATTTGAAAATTAGATGTGACTCTTATTGGCTCGATTTCTCAATCGGTGCAAACGGTGCAAACGTGTCGGACTCGTGTGGGTTCAGAAATTAAGCGAATAACCATAGTTAAAAAAAAAAAAAAAGGTAGTACAATGCACAATAATATTTTAAATTAGAGTAAACAAAGAAATCCCGATTTCTGTAGTAAGGTTGAAGAGGTGACGAATTTAATGTATGCAAGTTGACTCATTCGGATCGTAAGATGTCTGATTTCCACACCGCTATATGTCGGAAATCTAAGGAATGCATCTTGCAACATGCATTAGCTCATACAAATTTTCTCGGGCCAAAGGGGAGCTAATGCCCGAAAAGGAAGTGATCGGATTAATTAGCGGACGAATGCAAGAAAAAAGAAATTTTTTTTTGTTGTTTCTCTCTCTGAAATTGTGTCAAGCCTTGACTATTATTAGAAAGAGAACGCCTCGCGAATAACAAACAAAAAAAAAGAAATTTCTTGTACTTTTCTAACCCCTCTTCATCATCACCATTAGTCCGAACAGAGGTGATTGCAAAAAAATGACGCATCCGTGAGTGATTTAAATTTTTCAAGTTTAATATAAATATCAGAATTAATTCCTGTTTTCAATTTCTGAATTCCTTCTTTCTTCTATCATCAGTTTTACATTACTCGATATCTTAAACATATACACACATTACAATGCCAGCTCAACAAGTTAACAAGATGACCGCTGCTGAAAAGGAAGCTCAAATCATGGCTGAAATCAGAAGTAACGCTAAGCAATTCGAATCTAAGTTCCAAGGTTCTTTCTTTGGTGATTTCTTCAGCTTCTCCGTTAGAAAGTAAACATGCTGCAAACTTGCTACAACTTACTACGTTACTTTTATTTTTGTTTAGGGTTTATTTAATAGATTATAATTCAGTTCTTGGTTAATAGTTAATACTACATTTCTTTATGTTTGAATTTCAATTACCTGTAGATTTTTCAATTGCTGTAGATTTCAAATTCGTTCCCAATGGGTTGTAAAAGTCCGAAACCTGGTTTGTTTTATTACTACACAAAAACGCAAAAAGAAGGTCGAATAAAAATTTTTACAGGTAACGCATCGTTTTTTCTGAACACTAAAAAAAATATGAACAATCGGTTTCCATTGTTCTAATGTATTGTATGATCGTACCACATTTCGTGTACAGATAGGTTCCTGGAAAAAAATTCGGTGGAATGGAACCGTTGTCAACAACTACATTGGGGTGATTCACCGAGTAGTTCTCCGGTCTTATCTAAGTGGTATCTAAGCTTAGGTATGAACATGCTAAAGTAGAATTCGGGTGAGTGGATCCGGATCAATGGCCAGAAGTCCAAAATTTATTTGTGAGATATACCTAAATTATTTCTAGTAACATTTGAACAAATTTTGCGCCAAAACATTAGAAAATTTGATTCGCCTAGAACCAGAATTGCTGACAAGCAAAAAAAACCACCTAGTTTCTATACCCACTCACTTTGCTGTTAATCAAATTACATGTCACACATGTCACACATGTCACGTCAAGCATTAGTTATAACATGTTCACTGTTGTTAAATTTAATGTCAACCCCAACTGCACCCCTCGCAGACTGTTCTAGAATTTGACAATAATTTGAAATCATGCGCGCAAACTTCTATGCACGTCAAACGTTTTATCTATCGTACCAAGCCACAATGTTCCCCGCTTTGCAATGGCTGCAACTCTGATGACGCTCCATAACCAAACATGCTAAATTTAAAATACATTACTAATTAATCTATTAAATCTAGATTGAACTAAAATTAAAAAAAACAAAACAAAACAAAATCAAAAATCATGAAAAACCAACTATAAACAAGATCACCCATTATTTACCATTTAACCCCAGTGTAAAGCATACTTAGATCTAGCTCTCAACTTTGGACCATTCAAGTAGAACAAAACAGGAATGGCAATCATACCAAGCGCAATAAATGCTAAAAGCGATGCACCCCAGGCCACGGGGAATTCCTTAGTGGCTAAGTTGTTATACAATGGTCTTCCAAACAATGGGAAACAACCAGCGGTAATTGATCTGAACAAATTGTTACCAGCGAAAATCGAACCAACGTATTGGAAAGAACCGGCAATGAAACAAAACAAGGTTTGGAAAATCATAAACCCACCAGCAGCGAAAATAGCACCCCCAATAATTGGACCAATCCAATGGGTATGACGAGTAGCAGACCAGCCAAAAATGAATAACCCAATTGGCATACAGATGGAACCAGCAATTGCCAATGGCATGAATACTTCTGGTTGGATACCTTCACCTCTAAGAAGTCTCTTTGTAAATACTTGACGAACAATAGGGATGTAGATAGCAGCGGCAATCCAAATACCAATGATAGTACCGAAATAAGTCAACCCTAATTCAATTAAAGTGAATCCTCTGATTTCTTGGAAGAAGATTGGGTAAACTTCAAAGAAAAGATAAAAGATACTATAGACCAAAGCAATGTAAATGTTAATCATAAGGATAACTGGTTCCATGATAAAGATTTCAATTGGTCTCCATAAAGTGTCAATGGCAATTTCATGGATGGTCATGCTTCTATTTTCAATTTCACCTTCAGAAATCAATCTTTGATTACCAGTAATACCTCTTAATCTCTTGGCCTTACGGTATAACAAAGTCTTACCATAAGTTTCTGGGAAGGACCAAGACAAGAAGAAAAGAGAGAAACCAGCAAGAATACACATAAACCAGAAAGTCCATCTCCAACTTGCCTTGGTAACCAAGATAGCACCAAAGAATGGACCAAATGAAGGACCACAAACAGCACCTAAAGCCCATGAGGCTAATCCAACAGGAATATATGGAGGTGTCAAGACATCAGCAACAGTAGCACCACCAGTGGCTAAACATGGAGAAGCAAAAACCCCAGCCAAGAATCTCAAGACACATAATCCAGCAATATTGTGCACCAATGCAGTTGGTATTTGTAAAATAACAAACATGGCCAAGGTTAAGATATAAATCGAAGTTCTTCCAAAAACGGCATTTTCGGAAAGTGGACTGAACACCAATGGACCAACAGCATAACCAAGAACGAAAAGGGTTAATGGTAATGTAGCAACAGTAACACTAATGTTAAACTCTTGCATGATTTCTTCAATACCAGGGGTGTAAACGGCAGAACCCATGTAAACCGAAGTAGTCAAAAATGAAACTTGGAAAATTACAAATGCCTTCTTGGCAATTGGCCAATTCAAGGGGTTTTCGGGATCATCATCACTTTCCCAAGTGACAATTATATCATCATTTGGTTGTTTAGTACCTTCACTGTCAACTGAAGAATTTGAAGGAGCATTGGCATCGACCTCAATTGCTTCTTTGTCAAAGTTAGATTCAGGTTTGGATTCTGCCAAATACTTTTCAGGAACAATGTACCCTGGTTGTTCTTCAGGATAGTTGAAGTACTTGTGACTTGTCAAGTGATAGATTAGTCTTCCTACAAAGGAATCTCTGATTAATCTAGGAGCCATTTTATCAGCGTCTAATAAACCTTATTTAAATGTGTAATATTTGTAAAATATATCTGTTTCTTTGACTTAAAAAAAAAATCAAAAAAGACTATAGTGGATGAATCTAGGAATCGAGGAAAGGAGGAGAGAGAATTGCAAGGATATTTATATTAGGAATTCAAGCGGCGATAAAGTTTTTACAACTTTATTCAAGAGCAAATGTTGGCAACTTTGCCCTGGCGAAAATATTATTTTTTACACCCACAAGGTCAAGCACGGAATAACTTTTGTAGGTGCTCAAACCGGACAATGCCCTATTGGGAAATTCGGATGTATCTTTTTTTTTTTTAATTGGTTATCAAGTATCCACAATTTCAAGTGATTGATTACTAACCCTACAAAGTTTGGTAATCATAAAAGCCGAAACAAAGCTGGGGGTTTACTGTGGTACTAACTACTTATCTGATCGGGTGTAAAAGTTTGAGCTCTTTGATCAACGACTACATTTTGACATCGTGTTGGCTCATCTCTTTATTATTTGTTTGTTTGTTTTGAATTCAGAAAGTGAGTCATACATAGTTAGAACCGCCAAAACAACATCTCTGTTAAACCACTACAACTCTGTCCAATGGGCAAAAAACACCAAATAACGACCAGCAAAGCTATTCTTGGTACTTCAGATAAAGTGAGCAAAGAAATAAAAATGATGATGAAATATACGGTACATTTCCATCGCCATCAAAAATTGCACCCATTAAATTTTTTTGTTGAGGGATAAAAAAAAAAAATTAGTAATCTATTTTCAGCCACCCCAAAAAAATAAATTGGTTCCAGTTACGGCTGAATCATCACTGTCAAACGTTCGGCCGAACTTTAGCCCCCCTCGCATATGACGTTCTATGGCATAGCTGGTGAACACGTCTCTTGCATATCACGTTTAATATAATAGTTTTCTATACTACGTCCTCAATCATGCCTTGGACAGCCCATTCGATCTGTAACACTTCTGATGAGCTACTATTTATCTCCGACGGACAAAAGGCCTTTACCGAGCACAATTTCTTCAGCGACACAGAAAAAATAGTAAGTCGAAAGTTAATCACCGAGGTCTTATTGTTTTAGTCGGTTAACGTTTGTAAGGTACCTAAAAATAATCGGGCGGAGTAAACGTTTATATCCTAAGTCCTTCCCGCACTTCTGACAAATACGGAATTACATGATGTAGAGACTAGGTTTATTTCTAGTCTTGCCGTATATGGAAGACTCGGTAAGTACTTTGATCGTTGCCGTACAGAAATCAGCAATTGTTCCTATACTGGAAAATCCTATTTTAAATCACGTTTTACAAACTCTAATATGTTCAATCAAGTGGCGATGCCAGATTAAGTACGTGTCAAGTTGTCTATTCAAAGGAATAAGCACTTACGAAATGAAAGTAATCTAACAGTTTCCATGGCATCCGAACGTGTTCCCGAATCTCCCCGTGAACAAGGCTGAACCAATGCTTAGGAATTTTTCAGATAAGCATTTCATGTGCTTAGTTAATTCTGGTAATATTTTCTAATGATATCATAATCACAGGTGTTGAATAATTCAATAAAACTAAATAGCTAAATAACCGAGCATTGGATCATACCATAACTCCAATTCGTCCAACCAACAGTCACATGAATTTATCAGGAACATCAAGCCCAGATACATGTCACAAGTTGCATTATATGTGATACCACGGATGCAAAATAAGGAGCTCAAATCTTGATGTCAATTACGATTTACTAAAATAAACTTCACAATATGGGGTATTGTTTAAATTAGTGCCCTAGGCTTAGTAAATGCTTAGTAAGGGGGCACCGAAGGTTGCTTAGGAGGACCCAGTTTGTTAAATCCGTCCCATAATGGTCATTCACAACCTAAATGTAAACACTTGATTTATTTAAAGAACAGACACAGGCGCAATCGAATTTAAGCCAATTTGCGCCCCACTAACTTGGCAGGATATACTAGCATATTCTACAAGTAAAGTCCATAAATATGTTTAATACTATAAATAAATAACAATTGATAAAAAACAAAATGATAACCAGCTAGAGTCCAGCCCTAATCATTTACAATCTTTCAGCAGGAACAGATCTACCGATAGTAGTAACTTCATCATAAATCAATGTGGTGAGGAAATCAGAATATCTTTCAGCAAGAGCTTCAGGAGCAAAGTATTCATAAGCTCTCTTAAGCTTGTTTCCTGGTCTAGCATTCTTAACCAACTTGGCGTATTCTTCTTCCAACAATTGCTTGACATATTGCTTGGTAACGGTCTTACCAGCGTCAGTCTTGGCACCGTGAGTGACCCATTGGTAAATTTGCGAACGGGAAACTTCAGCAGTGGCGGCGTCTTCCATCAAGAAATTTATAGGAACACAACCAACGTGTCTTAACCAAGCTTCAATGTAGAGAATACCAATGACAATGTTGGTTCTGATACCTTGTTCGGTAATCTTGGCATCCTTGACAAATGGACTCAATAAGTCACGTTGGGTAATCTTCTTGTATGGTTCTCTTGGTGGCAAGTCAATTTGGTTTGGACCCTTCATGTGTTCGTTGAAAACCTTCAAAACAACAGGAACCAAAGCTGGATGGGCAACCCAACAGGAATCACACCCACGTTGAACTTCTCTCAACTTGTCCTTGGCGACATTTTCCAAAGCAATTCTGTTTCTTTCTGGGTCTTCCTTGATTGGAATTTGAGCAGCCATACCACCTAAAGCGTGAACCTTTCTTTTGTGGGTGGTGTGAACTAATAACTTAACGTAGGAAGCCATGAATGGGGAGGCCATGTTGACTTGAGATCTATCTGGCAAGATAAATTCTGGGTGGTTTCTCAAGGATTTAATGTAGGAGAAGATGTAATCCCATCTACCACAGTTCAAACCAGCAATGTGGTCTCTCAATTGGTAAATGATTTCATCCATTTGGAAAGCAGCAGGTAAAGTTTCAATCAAAACAGAAGCTCTAATGGTACCTCTTGGAATACCAACGTAGTTTTGGGCATGGTTGAAGATATCATTCCATAACTTGGCTTCCAAGTGGTGTTCCATCTTTGGCAAGTAAAAGTAAGGACCAAAGCCTTGATTCAAACTTTCCTTGGCATTATTGTAAAAGTAAATGGCGAAATCGAAAATACCACCAGAAACAGGTTTACCATCAACCAAAACGTGCTTTTCGGTCAAGTGCCATCCTCTTGGTCTGACAATCAAAGTTGGAATACGTCTTCCTGGGTCCAAGTTCAAAGCGTATGGTTTTCCGTTAATGTTAGCGGTTAAATTTCTACGGACAGCATCGTAAAGGTTGACTTGACCATCAACCAAATTGTGCCAAGTTGGAGCCAACGAGTCTTCAAAATCAGCCATATAAGTAGCAACACCCGAGTTCAAAGCATTGATAACCATCTTACGGTCGGTTGGACCGGTGATTTCCACACGTCTGTCTTCCAAGCATGGGGCTAATGGAGGACCAGTCCAGGTTGCGTCGTCTCTGATGTAGGCGGTTTCTGGTAAAAAGTCTGGCAAGTAACCTTCATCTCTTAATCTTTGTTGGTTCTTTCTGGCAGCCAACAATTCTTGTCTAGTGGCTTCGAACGAACGATGTAAAGTAGCAACAAGAGCGAGAGCTTCTGGGTTAAGAATGTGTCTGGCTTCAGATGGAACAGCACCTAAGATTTGAACACCTTTTAATTTATCGGCAGTTTTTGGGAATGGAGAAGACATGATTATCTGAAGATGTAAAGAAAAGAAAGAGGATAAGAAAATTTGAAAAAAGGAAGAAGCTTTAAAGACACATGGGAATTACTCTGAATTTATAGTTTCCCAATCCCAAGTCAAAAAAAATTTAAGCAACCAACCATTATCGACATGAAAAAAAAAGCGCAGACATTAAAAATTACCCCAGAATATTTTTTTTAAACTATGTGGGTTTATGGGTAGATAAACGGGTTTGTATGCAGTATTCGTGCTAACGGAAGACATAAAATAATTGACTCCTGCCGGGGTATTCTATGCGAGTCATATGAAAAATAATTCTTGCATGAAACTCCGTGGCTCGGCACCGGCAAAACACCTCCAAACTGCAATACTAATTACAGAAAAACTTCAATCGAATGATTAAACTGGAATCCGCGGTTAAATTGTGGGGTGCTTGCATTGAGGCAGTAACCTCTCTCTATTTTTTTTTTTTTGATTTCTTTTTCCTATCTTTTAGCATTAGTGAAATTTACACTACTCGGACTCAGACTCCGGATTAGTGAAATTTATACTGAAGGTGTGTGCGTGTGTATTTGTTTGTGTATGGAGCAGGTGTCTTGACATGCTGGTATTTCACGGGCATTGAAGAAGATCTCTGCTAGATTACGATTGCTACAGGATCTCGAATAATCCGGTTATCCGCTCGACCTTGAGTCACAAAGGTACGAGTCAATATATGGAATTCACCTGTGATATCCATTCACCATCCCCATTGTTCCGCTCTATCTTTCTAAAATAAGGAATTTCTGGTTGGAGATGAAACCCCGAGTAACTTGGGAAACTCCGAGGATAATCTCAGAAAATATTTTTTTTTTAAAAAGTTTAGGTGAGATTTTGTTCCATACACGTTTTAATTGGTTTGCAGCAATACGATTAATCTATACACTTACATATAAATGGAGTTACTTCTGCAACAAAGAACATTATTGTCTTTTCTTTTACAATCGTCTATGGGATTTGAACTTTCAAATACCGATTAATAGAAATTATTGTATTCTTTGGCCCATTGAGTACCTTCTTGAACTGGAGCCAATAATCCCTTTTGTTTAGGAATATAGTTAACTCTTCTATAAGAGTTCAAATTCTTTCTCAAAACAAATTGGTAACAAGTAGCAGTACCGTTTCTGGAAGCCACAGTGGAGGAGGCTAAAAAGAATTCCCAAATTCTATACCATTTGACACCATACTTGTTAACAACCTTATCCTTGTTACCAATCCAGTTTCTGTACCATCTCCATAAGGTGGCAGAGTAGTGAACACCGATGTTGTCAACAGACACAATTTCAAAACCAACGGATTCCAAACAAGAAGCAACAAAACTCAATGGAGTAGAGGCATCAGCACCAGGGAAAATGTACTTGTTCATGAATAAACCCCAGTTCAAGTCTTCATATTGCCAGTTCTTTCTCAATCCGGCGTATTGTAAGTAGAATAACCCATCATCTTCTAAAGAGTCGCTGACTTGTTGTAAGAAAGCAGTGAATCTTCTGATACCAACGTGTTCAGCCATTTCTAAACAAGTGATCTTGTCATACTTACCATTGGCCTTGGAAGACTTTGGAGCATCACGATAATCAACACAGACAATACGAGATTGGTCAGAATCAACACCATAGTCCTTCAACAAGGTGGTACCCCACTTGGTTTGGTTCTTACCTAAAGTAATACCAGTGACCTTGGCACCATATTGGGAGGAAGCGTAGGTAGCCCAAGTACCCCAACCACAACCCAAATCTAAAACATGTTCACCTTCTTTCAAGTCAATCTTGTCAGCAACAATCTTCAACTTGTTGTCTTGCAATTGCTCAAGAGATTCTTCCTTGGTGATGTCACTAATGACACCAGAAGTGTAGATCATTCTTGGACCGAGGAACCAAGTGTAGAAATCGTCACCACGGTCGTAATGTTCTCTAACTTGTTCTTCATCTTGGGACTTGGAATGCATGATGACTTCAGGAATCATACCCAAGAGGAAGAATCTAAACAAGGACAAGGTGAATTGGAAAGTGGCCCAATCGTGCTTGTATTCCAACACATCCAAACAATCACCCTTGAAACTGACCTTACCTTCAAAGAACAATTCTTGGAAAGTTTCAATTGGGATTTTCTTACCCTTACCACCATTTGAGGTTTCGTACTTGGCCTTTAATTCATCGGTGTGGTACTCCAAGTAGTAGGAGATTGGACGGTTTGGGTACTTGACCTTTTCATTGATACGGGGGGAGTAAGTAGACAACACAGTCCAGTAGGCCATCAAGATAGGAACGGCCAACAACAAGGCAAGCACGACCCAGGACTTGAATCCTAATCCGATTTTGCGGACGATGTATGCTGGGATAAGGGTTAAGAAACCCAACAAGGCGAGGTTGGAGAAATGGGTGGATCCAGGACCATCCGCTGGCAAGGGAGCGTTGTGGATGGAGGGAGAATCACTGGTCCAAACACCACATTCATTTGAAGCGGCCGGTTGAGGCTTGGCTTCAGGGGTGGTAATAAACTGAACGTCTTGTAACATTGATTCAATTGATTTAAGAGAAGAAGAGTCAATTGATCAGGGAACTTTTTTGGAAGGACAAGCAACGTTTTTTTAATTTAATTTTTTTTTTTTGTTGTTGAGATTTTTCAGCAACAAAGCGCCAGACAGACAGACAGACAAACAAGACACTTACACGTTAATCCAAGAAAAATTTAATCTCGAGAGTAATTTTTTCAGACAATACAACTCGGGCGAATTATTTTTTTTTTATCACCATACGCTTACTGCGCCCATGAGCCGCAGCGACAGACACACATGTAACCACTTGCACACTAACTACCAACTTACAGTCAATTGATTTCAACATTTAAGCTCTTGTGACGTTAGCCAATGATGGTCTTGGGATTTGCTTTGTGGATTGCTCTAGCAATCAACTTCAGACCAAAGAGGGGAGACGATAATAATTTTTATCATCTGAAACAAATTCAGCGCCGCGTGTTTACATTTACAGTTTTGTGTTACCAATTAAGTAGACTACTACCTACCACGACTAAGAGAACACAATACAAAAGTTAACCATACTAGGGCAATTCTAGACTTTGCAAGTATGAATATTGCTGTGAGTTGGGAACGTTGCTTTTTGTGTGCCGTTGCTTATCTTACACTGACCACTAAACACGTGTTATTATACCTTTACTCTAAACCCTTCTCTAACGTACTGACAGCACCAGCAGGACTGTTGGATTAAATCTACAAACAGACAAGTTGTGCCTGTCGCCCCTTGTCAACTACTGTGGCAAGTTTGGCACTATTTCGAAAATTGGTAAATGTGCACGACCAATCATTTTTGACTTTCGCAAATTTGGAGTGACTGGACCGACTGACTGTTTTGAGAAAAAGATATACCCACATAAATCTAAACCTTCTCAATAATAATTAAATTGCAAAAAAAATAACCCCACCAAGGTGAATCAAGAGTGGAATTATAATTCCGGATTGGCTTTTTTTAATATATATATATAGCATTGTTTAATAGACGTTATACAGTTGATGATGGCCAGCAATGATATCATTCTTATAGACTCCGATGACGAAACCCCACCAAACAAACGACACAAATCAGAACCACTACCAGAACCACCAACCCACAAAAATAATCTCGCCCCGTTCCAAGATGTTTCTTCGTCGTCCTCATCCGACGAACATTCTACGCCATCAGGGGAACGCAAGCAACATCCGCATTTGATGCAATTACCCCAGTTCCCCACAGATCGAGAAAAAGAGCACTACTATCATGATGAGCTCGATGAAGAAATTGAGGCATTGAGTATGCCCTCATCGAGAGCAATCAACGGTGAACCCACCTCTGATGCCAGTAGCGATGCCGATGGCGAAAGGGACGATAGTGGTAGTGATGACGACGACGACGATGACGACAACGATGACGACAACGATTCCAGCGCGTCTACTGACTCCGAATTTGATCTGGTCTCCATCACCGATAGTGTACCGCATCAATTAGTGGTGGAGACGAGAAATTACCTCAAGACCCAGGGTAATTTGAAGTTTTTGGAAAAGTATTTGCCTACAGCTGCTTCAGCCGAGGATATAATCAAACTTATAGTACAGCTCGGTTTCATTCCTAGAAAACTTCCCAAACCCAACAATTCCAACATATGGGAGTTCATCAACGTACTCAACCATGCCATGATGAAAGTGAAATCCATACGGTCGCGACTAGAAAACGTGACTACCGTCACCGATGTGGTGAACTTGATCCAGAACAGTGATAAAATTATGGTCATTACCGGTGCCGGGATTTCTACCAGTCTCGGCATACCGGACTTCCGGTCCTCACAAGGGTTCTACTCCATGGTACAACACTTGGGGTTGAGTGACCCTCAGGAAGTATTTGATTTACGATTATTTCATGCTGATCCCAGTTTATTCTATTCCATCGCATACATGATTTTACCCCCGGAAAACATCTACAGTCCCTTACATTCATTCATCCAGGTATTACAGTCCAAGGGGAAATTATTACGGAATTACACGCAAAACATTGACAATTTAGAGAGTTATGCAGGAATCAACCCCGACAAGCTCGTGCAATGCCATGGATCATTCGCCACAGCGACATGTGTCACATGTGGGGTGACTGTTCCTGGGGAAACCATTTTCCCTGAAATCCGAGCCAAGGAAATACCGTACTGTCCTCCATGCACGAAAAAGAAGAACGCGATTCTTAGAAAAGATGACGACCATTACTTTCCCGAAAGTTTCGGGGTGTATAAGCCGGATATAACCTTCTTTGGCGAGCCCTTGCCCAAGCTCTTCCACGACCGGATCAACCACGATATTCAACAGTGTGATTTGTTGATTAGTATAGGTACGTCATTGAAAGTTGCCCCTGTTGCTGATATAGTGGATAAACTTCCGCAAACCACTCCACAGATTTTGATTAATAAAGATCCAATAGATCATTGTAATTTTGATGTTAGTTTGTTAGGATATTGTGACGATGTTGCAAGCTACCTCCTGAACGAGCTAGGCGAGAGCTGGAAGTTACCTCACAGGGATTATGAAGCGATACGAGGATTCAAGGGCAGTAATTTGGAGTGCAGGTTGGAAGATGAGGATTTGCGCGAGTATCAAATTGTCAACCGGAAAAACCTTGCTGTGCATGATTTGACCGAGAGTGAGTTGGTCACGGTGGAGAATACACCGTTGTATGAAGATCCACCGCTGACTTATGAGAATACACCGCCACCAACAAATTCTGACTCTACATAGTAGTTTTGTATGTTGTATATTTAGTGTATACAAAAAAAAAGTGTGAAGATGACTCTCCTTCCTTTAATTTTTTTACGGCCAAGAGTTGGGAAATTGTTTACATTTTACTTTCATGAATTTCTCAAAATCCACCTTGTGATTATTACCTGTACATTTCAATAATGGTTAGTGATCATGTCAATTCAAACGAGAAATACAATATTAGCATCGTATAAGTAATTAGAACTAAAATAACGATGACTAGTAATGTCTAATTTAGATCATTCGATTCAGATCTTCTAGAAAATATGTCTTGTTTCTTTTTCTGCAACAATGACGCATATCTCCATCGAAAAAAAAATAATAATTTGCCATACATAATTAAAAATTACGTCAACAGGTCAGACCATTTCCATATCTGCATATGGCTTTTCACCTCTCGGTAGCCTTCCCCGGGTGGTTTGCTATTGCCGTGTGAAGTCGCCTCGTTCAGTATTTTTTATTTTTATTTTTGCAATTAATAAAAGTGACGTTTGAAACACTACGTTATCACATAGACTTGTGACCATGAACGAAGCTGTAAACATTGATGATCATCATATTCGTAGGCACACTTGCATATTCGATGCATACAACGAAGATGACCCACCTCCATTCAGGTGTATAAGTAGTAACCACATCTCTTTCTTTCTTTTCATATGGTTGTTCAAATCTTTCTTCCCATATTTTTAATTTTATTTATTTGTTTTTTTTTGCAACAAAAAAATAAAAACATTACCATTTACAATGCAACAAATTTTGTTCCATTTTTATTTACTACTACTACAGCTACTATCACTAGTGGGTGCAATTTCCACTGTGAGTTTGTTACCACCAAATGGTTACTATCAGCCACTGGTTTGTGGTCCTGATAAGATCGAGCAGTGCGATGCAGAATTAAGTGATAGCTACCCTCAAGTATATACCTTTAAGTACCAGTCCATTAATAATATCCCTGGTACTGAGGATATGTACGAAGTCACAGTTGAGCTTGAAATTGATCCTTCACCACATAAGGGTGATATTTTACAAGAAATAATCATTTACGGACTCAAAACCAATTACCTTTCTGACCCAGTGGAACTTCCGGTACTGGAGCTTGATAATCCTTACCATATTTTTGTCACATGGTTGATGCAAGCAAACGTAGATGGAAATACAGCGTGTTCAATCCCCTTCCTGATTTATTATACTTGGAAACTGAACAATATTGTAATATCAAAGAGAGGAACAACAACAGCTAAATATATTCATGATTGCCCTGGTCAGTTACCTCTTTTGTGTTGGGATGCGTGTATTGAAGACATTGACTATCAACCAGAAGATGTAGAAGAAGGAGGTGAAGAAGAAGGTGAACCAGAAGAAGGTGAAGAAGAAGTCACCGAAGAGGATGATGAAGGTACTTCCGAACTTGAGATCTCTACCCAAGAACTGGACGAATCTATAGACGATATTGAAACTTCTTTCGAAGACACCACTACTATTGAACCAGTCACACCTTCCACTAAAGTTTTCGAGCCAGATTGGGGTTTTGAACCCATATTGTTAGACTGTCCTACTGAATGGGAAGACTATTGTGAATATGACATGGGGGAAAATTCTTCAAAGGATGAAAATATGCCCCAGCTCGACATTTTTGAAATCAAAAATATTCTGTACGCTGTTGGCGGTGGTGACACGATATATGAAATCACTCTTGAGTTTAAGCTCGAAGATGGCTTTGATCCAGATCTTATTAATTTAATTGCGTTCCAAGATCTTTCCACCCCTGATGATTATCTTGATAGTGAAACTATAATATATCAAAGAACTCCGATTGATCAAAGACCATATCACAAACGTTTTGGATATGTATCTGAAGATGAAGATGAGGACGAAAACGAAAACAAGGAGTTTACTCCAACACATTTCGTTGTCAAATGGATGATGACACCTAGTCGAAAAAGTGCTAGAGTGATGTGTACTTCTCCATTTAAGATCGTGATTGATGTAGATTTCCCATCTGCTTCTAAAAGAGATGATGATTCATCCGAAAGGTTTGTGTATTATCATGATTGTGATACTGGTGATTATCCAATTCAATGTTGGGTTCCAGATTGTATTGGAGTTATTTGGGAACTGTTTACTGACACTGACGAATATACTGACACTGACGAATATACTGAGATGGAAACATCTGAAGTGGAAACATCTGAAGTGGAAACATCTGAAGTGGAAACATCTGAAGTGCAATCATCTGAAGTGCAATCATCTGAAGTGCAATCGTCTGAAGTGCAATCATCTGAAGCTAGCTCATCTGAAACTAGCTCATCTGAAATTAGCTCATCTGAACCAGAAACCACTGAAATTGAAAGTACTGAACTTGAAAGTACTGAGATGGAAACCACTGAAATGGAATCATCTCAAATTGAAACTACTGAACCAGAAATTACAGCTCCTCCAGCTACATTAGAGTTACCAAATGAACTGTTGCCAACCGCAAACACTGATTGTCCAACTACTTGGTCGGATTACTGTTCTGTTCCTCCAGTCCAAACTGGAGGTTTTGGTCCAACTATGAAAAAGTTTGAATTCATTGAAATTAACCTGATTGTTGATGACTACTATGAAGTATTGGTGGAAATAGAAATCAACCCTTCTGTATTCCCAGTTGCTAATTTAGAATATATTTCCTTAAAGGATCTTACTACTGCCGGTGATTACCTTACAAACCCATACCTTATTTATGATTGGTCGACTGATGAAAATGTCCTTGCTGATTCACCATACCATTTCTTTGTTCGTTGGGCTATGCAAACTCAGATGCTCAATGGACAAGTTTGTACAACACCATTCCTGATTGAATTTAGTTGGAAAGATGGTTCAAGACCGGCTCAAGCTAGATCGGCAGCCAGTATCAAAGCTAGTTTCATCCATGATTGTAACAGTAATGACCCTCACGACTATCCACTTCAATGTTGGGCTCCTGAATGTAATGATGCTGAACCTTCGACTATTGAAACGTTACCCGAAGGAACTGGTGAACCCACTGAATGTCCAACCCATTTTGAACCTGTTTATAGTTGTGATTACCAATTTGGGTTAAGCAGCTTACAAAATGATGAATTCCCAGCCTTGAATACCTTTAACTTTGAATACATTAAGATGGTAGACGATGATTTATATGAGGTAATGGTCGAATTTGAAATTGATCCAAACAAGTATCCTATGAGAACAATCGAACTGATTGTTGTTGAAGGTCTCAACACCCGTGATTCATATGTCAGTGATCCTCTTGTTCTTTTCCAGAGAGATAATACAGACAAGGTTGGCGATTCTCCTTATCACTTCTTTGTTAACTGGGTCATGAGGACTCAGAATATAAACAACTTGGCATGCACTACTCCATTTAAAGTGGTGTATAGCTGGGATAACTCTGTTGTTGCTCCTTATGGTCATGGATGTCCTGGTGATAACGGTGGTGTTTATGACTATCCAATGCAATGCTGGCTGAATGATTGTAGTGAAGATCCTGAACCTGTCACTATTAATCCAGATAGACCAGAATTACCAGAACCTACCAGTTGTCCTTCTCATATTTCTTCAGATGCCATGTGTGTAGTTGATGATGTTGGTCAAGCCTCACGTGATAATGGTTATCCAATGGTACAAAGATTTGATGTCCAAAGTATATTTTACGTTGATGAAGATTTGTATGAAGTAACTATTGAGTTCCAGATCGACAGTACTGCTCATCCAAAATGGGATTTGGAATCGGTTTATATTTCTGGCCTTGATTCCGCCTACGATTATCTCAACGAACTTGAAATTTACCGTCAGGGTGCAGTCGAAAACCTTGCTGGAGACTCACCTTACCATTTCTACTTTGTGTGGGTAATGAGAACACAAATCTGGGAACTGTTTACATGTACCACACCATTCAGAATTCAATACAATTGGGGTGAAGGTTCAGCCACTTATCAACACGGTTGTGACAACGGTGGTTATGGAATGGACTCTCCTCTTCATTGTTGGGAAGATATTTGTGCCGAGGTACCTGTACCTGAAACCATTATTCCAGAAAGACCTCCATTACCTTCTGCATCAGCATGCCCAGAACAATGGGATGGTGATAAATGGTGTCCTTCGGCCCAGGGAGAACGTTCCTCGCTGTATGAATACCCAGAACTACAAAGTTTTGAATTCCATTCTATTAGACACATCGATGAAGACTTGTATGAGGTGTTGATTGAATTTGAAATTGATAGAACAGTTCATCCAAAGCGTGAATTGCATTCAATTGAAATCTCAAACCTTCAAACACCCGAAAACTATCTCGATACACTAGTGATTTACAACCGTGATTACGACATTAATCTTGCTGGAAATTCACCATACCATTTCTACTTTAGTTGGGTAATGAAAAGTCAATATTTGGAAAGATACACCTGTACTACTCCTTTTGTCATTTCATACAATTGGGATTCTGCCTCTGCAGAATATGGACATGGCTGTCCTGACACTTATCCATTATATGAGCTATTAACTGACTCCCCCCTTCAATGTTGGGAAGATGAATGTTACCAGGAGCCTGAAGGTGAACCATCTTTTATCATATCAACAAAGGAGGATATGCCAACTCCAATAGCATGTCCTGAATCAGTTGATTCGGGATGTGGTTATGAGGTTGGTCAACATGGTAAAGGTCAAGGTTATCCAGATGTTTTGTTCTTTGATTTTGTTTCCATTGTAAATGTTGGCGAAGATTATTATAAGGTAATGATTGAGTTTAAGATTGCAAGTACCATTCCAAAACGTTTGTTACGAAGCATTTCCATAAACAACTTAAGGACACCTGGTAATTACCTAGATAGTCTTTGGTTGTATAACAGAGATTTTGAAACAGACCTTACAGGTGATTCGCCATATCATTTCTTCTTCAAATGGACAATGTCAGCTGATTCTTATCCCGGTTTCCTCACTTGCACATCAGAATTCAATATTGTATACGAATGGGAAAACGATTATGCCGAGTATCATCATTGTTGCCAAGATTATTCAGATTCACCTCTTGTATGTTGGGATGAAATATGTTATGAAGAACCAACTGGAGAGCCATCCACTATAACATCCACAATACCAGATTTACCAGAGCCAACTGAATGTCCTGACAACTTTGACGAGTTGTATTGCTCCTATCAATTTGGACAAAATTCTGACCGTTATAATCTTGGATTACAGACCTTCAATTTCATTTACATTAAACTGATACAAGACAACTTATATGAAGTGATGCTTGAATTTGAAATAGATGGTTCATTGGCACCAAGACGTGATCTTCAGAGCATATACGTTCTGGGACCAGGAGACTTGGATGATGTGGTACTTTATAACTACAATAACGATCTTGTTGGTGATTCACCATATCACTTTTACTTGGTATTTACTATGCCATCTCAAAGTATAATGTCATATACATGTACAAGCCCATTCGAAGTACAATATGTATGGACTTTTAATTCTGCCACTTATGGACATGGATGCAGTTACTACGATGATTATCCACTTCAATGTTGGGAAGATATTTGTATACCACAATCAACTGAACCTGACCCTGACCCAGAACCTACACCTGATCCAGAACCTACACCTGATCCTGAACCTACACCTGATCCTGATCCAGAACCTTCTACGGAACCTGAACCTGAACCTTCTACGGAACCTGAACCTGAACCTTCTACCGAGCCAGAACCTGAACCTTCTACCGAGCCAGAACCTGAACCTTCTACGGAACCTGAACCTGAACCTTCTACAGAACCTGAACCTGAACTTACTACTGAAGATCCAGTTCCTCCGATAACAAGAGATCCAATGGATCCAGGTGACGATGAACCAACTGATGAACCAACCCAAGATCCTGAACCTACTGAAGATCCTGAACCTACTGAAGATCCTGAACCTACTGAAGATCCTGAACCTACTGAAGATCCTGAACCTACTGAAGATCCTGAACCAACTGAAAATCCTGAACCAACTGAAAATCCTGAACCAACTGAAAACCCTGAACCAACTGAAAATCCTGAACCTACTGATGAACCTACTGGTGAACCAACTGAATTACCAACACAAGATCCTAATCCAACTGAGGAACCTGAACCAACTGGTGAACCAACTGAAGTACCAACTGAAGATCCTGAACCTACTGATGAACCTACTGGTGAACCAACTGAATTACCAACCCAAGATCCTGAACCCACTGAAGATCTCACTGAAGATCCTGAACCTACTGAAGATCCTGAACCTACTGAAGATCCTACTGAAGATCCTGAACCTACTGAAGATCCTGAACCTACTGAAGATCCTACTGAAGATCCTGAACCTACTGAATTACCTACTGAATTACCTACTGAATTACCTACTGAGGAACCAACTCAAGATCCTGAACCTACTGAAGTACCAACTCAATTACCTACTGAGGAACCAACTGAGGAACCAACTGAGGAACCAACTGAGGAACCAACTGAGGAACCAACTGAGGAACCAACTGAAGAAGCTACTGAACCAGTTACTGAAGATACTACTGTTCCACCTACAGAACAACCAACCGGACCAGAAGAAACTACTGGCCCACTCACTGAAGAAGTTACTGAAACTGAAACAACTGTACCATCACCTCCTCCTCCACCTCCTCCACCTCCACCACCTGTAAATAGTACTGAAACTGAAAGGACTACCAACACTAATGTGGAACCAACTACAACTAGAACTTTCACTGAAACTGTTACCTACGTTACTGTTGATCCAAGCAATCCAGATGAATCTACAACTTTGACTTTGACAGTGACAACTACTTCTGTTGGTCCACCTCCAGTTGTAGTTACTACTACAGTTTCAAGTCCAGATACTACCTATGTGACAACTATCACTGAACCATTCAACCCACCAGTAGTTACTTCCACAGTAACTAGACCAGACACTACATATGTCACAACAGTTACTGAACCATATAATCCTCCAGTAGTTACTTCCACAGTTTCAAGACCAGACACTACATATGTGACAACTATTACTGAACCATACAACCCACCAGTAGTTACTTCCACAGTAACTAGACCAGATACTACTTATGTTACTACTATTACTGAACCATACAACCCTCCAGTCACAGTTACTGTTTCAAACCCTGACACTACTTATGTCACCACAGTTACCAATCCATACTATCCACCACCTACTGTCACTACAATTGTGAACTCTGACACTACTTATGTTGTCACAGTTACTCCACCATACGTTCCACCAGGTGTTGTTACTACCATTACAAACCCATACACTAGTTATGTCACTACTGGCCCATATAACCCACCAGGTGTGGTTACTACAATTGTATATCCTGACACTACTTTAGTAACTACAGTTACAGGACCATACGTTCCTCCACCATTTGTTACTACAGTTACAGGTGCTAACACTGTCTATGTTACCACGGTTACTTATCCTACAGTTTACCCACCAGTCCCAACCGGTTCTCAACCAGGAGGAACTACTCCAGGAAATGTTAATCCCGAACAAGAAGAAGAACTTGAAATTCCATATCCAGGTAACCCAAGTGATCCATCTAATCCTAACGTTCCAGGTGGTAACCCAAGTGATCCATCCAACCCTAACGTTCCAGGTGGTAATCCAAATGATCCATCCAATCCTAATGTTCCAGGTGGTAATCCAAATGATCCATCCAATCCTAATGTTCCAAGTGGTAATCCAAATGATCCATCCAATCCTAATGATCCTTCCAACCCTAATGTTCCAGGTGTTGTTCCAGAACAAGAAGAAGAACTCCAAGTTCAATACCCAGGTGGCAATCCAAATGCCCCAGTCAATCCAAATGATCCAGCTAATCCTAATGCTCCAGTGAATCCTGATTATCCAGGTGTTACTCCAGAGCAAGAAGAAGAGCTTCAAGTGCAATACCCTGGTGGAGGTTCCAATACTCCAGCTAACCCTGATGGTCCAGCCGGTAATCCAAACACCCCAGCTAATCCAAATGATCCAGCTGGTAATGGAAACACTCAACCTGGCATCAATCCAGATCAAGAAGAAGAACTCCAAGTTCCATCTGCTGGTGGTAATCCAAACGCCCCAGTCAACCCTAATGATCCTTCTGGTAATCCAAACAGTTCTTCCGGTAATCCAAATAGTTCTTCCGGTAATTCCAATGATCCTTCCTTGGATCAAGAGCAAGAAGAACTCCTCCAAGATCCTAACGTGTTTACATACACCAGTGCTGTTCCAACCACCTTTGTATCTGATGGACAAACCTATCAAACCGTGGTTCCTGTCGTGTACACTACTGCTGTTCCTGATGATGGTGTTCCTGAAGTTATGGTTTCACCTAACGGTAATCCAGCATCAGGTGGTTTCGATAATAATCTTGAACCAGATCTTGAAGAGTTACTTGAAGACTATGAAGGTTCTGCCTCGGGTATCAACTCGAATGTCTTTATGTTATGTTTATGTTTGATTTCTACTATGATTTTTGTTTAAATAGTTTGATTCTATGTGTTTTCTAATCAAATTTATGTTTGTTATAATCTAATGTAGCTAGCAACCTTAGTAATTAAGTTGGACTCTACGTAGTTTGCCATTGTTGATGTTAGTGCAGTTGCAAAAAAAATAATTGTGCAGTTCGGACAATCACTGAAAAAAATTACAGGGCATCTCCAGTGGCTCCTTAGTACTAGTAGACTCCAACCATGAAGAGAATAGCACCATTAATCTGGCAGTCGGGTAGAATACTACTACCACATACATCAAGAATACCTAGACGCAACCTATTCATTTCTCCTAGGCTATCCAACATTTCTAAGGATGACCTGAAAGATACAAACAAACAGGATGCCCCAGAAATGCCTAGCTGGGGAGACCTCTTTCTGGACTTGGAAACAGAAGGAGTAAAGCAGTCAGACAAAGATTTAGTTAACGATGTTGACGGATTTGAATATATTAACGAAAACTGCGAAGAAGGCGTCCCTGTTTCTAAACATGAACAAGAATTATTTGAACTTGAAGATGAAGCTGCTACGGAATTGAATGAAGGAAACGCGAAGGCTTCTAGTCCATTTGAACAATTGTTTTCCAATATAGAAACTGTAAATCAGGACCGTGACGCCAAGTTGAATTCATTGTTGGATATGGACATGGCCCAAACGAAATCTGATGAAAAGTTGAACTCATTACTTGACATGGACATGTTTCTCAGTGAGGACACAGCGCTAGAGAACGCCACAAAGACGAGATTGGTGGATGAAGAGAACTATCCGATTTTTCAAAACTTGCTCAAACCGCAGTTTTCGCTCGCGAGAGACTTGGGGAAGTTCACCAAAGATGCGTATGATGAAGTTGAGCCTGTAAATGCCGACTATGTGAGGAAAAAGTTGGATACTGAGAGTTCCTTGGCTAGTAAACGAATCACGATTTTGAATTTGGACTTTAGGTTAAGACAAGACTTGTTTGAAAAGACGGCAAGTGCATTGGCACCCACGCTTGGTATCATGAACAATTCGGAGACAAGCGAGCAGTTGTACAACTTTATCGCACCTTTGTTAACGGATGTATCCCACCAGTTGAAATCGAACGCTAATGACATTTACTTGAGAGATATCTTTGTTGATAAGAATAAGCATCGATGGTGTGATGCCCATGAAGAGTTGATGAAGAGTATCGCCAAGTCATCCAAAGAGTCTCCCTCTAAACCAATGGTCAACGTATTGACCATCCCTACTATTCTCAACCACGCTCTCAAACTATTAACTTTCAAATTCCACAATGGTCAATTGGCACTTGCCCTCTTCAACATGCTCAAGAAGGACCCTCAATTATATAATTTCTCATGCAACCAAGGAACATACAACGAAATCCTTCGTATTCACTGGGTCTACTTTGGTCATTTGGACTTGCGTGAATTCGAAAAGACTATAGTGGAGATGAACTTGCTTGGATACAAGGGCGACTTTGTAACTTACAACATTTTACGAACCGTTATTAACGAATATACGGCCATGCGCAATGGACACCTGGACTACAACGAGTATTCCAGTTTATTCACCCTCGAAGACAATATGCGAATCAATGAATTCAAAAACAAGTTTTACGAGCTTAGAACGATGCTACTGTCGGTAGAACCTAAGCGAGACCCGTACCAATCTACTGATACTACTGCTGGTCCCATGGCTGGTTACTTTAACTTGTAGCTGTATCTATGTATATATATAATAGTCCTGTATATAAGATTTATGAAATTGTGCATTGGCGCACGACCCGAGGTACAAATTGTCTGAGTACGTTTTAGGAAGTTTAACCAGGGGGAGTGCAGAGTAACCTTTACAGCAACACACACGCCATGGCACAGTTTGGAGGTTTCAAAGAGTCATTTCTCAAGTCGTCAGATGTCAATAACTCTGATACGGTTTCTGGATCCGATTCATCCAGTCCAGCTTCAAATGAACAACAACAACAACAACTGCTGCTGCTGCAGGGTGGTATTCCTACCATTGCAGTCAAGCAAGAGAACATTGATCACCTATTAAGCTCTCCCGGAAACTCCCTTGATATCAAGAAACAACTTTCACAATCGCTACAGGGGATAGGCGGCAGTCACAACACCGGAGGTATAAGCAAGCCCCGGTCGAGGAGAAACAGTGCGATCATCAAGTCGAACCAAGGAAGTGATAATGAAGATGACAAGTTTGATCAAGGGAATGAACGCAAGCGTCGAGATAACATAAATGAAAAGATCCAGGAGTTACTGACTTTAATACCTGCAGAATTCTTCCAGGATACCACAAAAGCTGGACTGCCTGATGTTACCAAGGAAGGATCTGAGGGGATGGGAGATACCGAAGAAGATGTGAATAACGCAGTAAAGATTGCTGGTACCAAAGACGGCAAGCCTAACAAGGGGCAAATCTTGACCAAGTCAGTGGAGTATTTGCAATACTTGCAGAGTTTAATTGATGAGAACAATCGTAAGGAAGTAGAGTTGATATTGAAGTTGCGCACACTTGAGCTTAAAAAGAATAATCACTCGCTGGATGTACCAATTAGGATCGGATACACCAGTGCTGAACGGGCACTTGGTGAGATTGGAGTTGGGCCATGTTCCGAAGAGTATTTCCGGAATGTGTTGGTGAATAGTGCAAACTCAAACAAGAGAAGAGGCAGTAGTGCCAATTAGTAGTAGTATTATCTATTAATATATATATATGTATATTACTTTTTGTTTCTTCCTAATCTTTCCCTCTCGTCGGCGTGTTCTGTGAGCATATACGCAGGCAAGTACTTGTCTGTACCTTCGATCTTGAGATATGGGTTGGGCACAGTTGCGTTTATGCCACCTAAACTGGTATACCCCCAATCGTACATTTTGCAATAGTCCAAGTCACATCCAATAAGAAAGTCCCATATGTCGACGTAATTCCAGTGCAAGATCGGATGTATACGTAAAAACTTGGGCCAATCGTGATCAGTAGGCTGTTCATAGTGGAGGGTACTCCCATAGGGGTCGGAATATCTTATTCCCACAATAACTGACTTTACCTTTGTGTTCATGTTGTTGAGATAGTATTCAAAGCCGTCCTTGAGGGACGACTTTATGATTATGGGGTTGAGATGGTAGTAGTCTGTACTTTGTTCTATGAACTGAAGCAAGTCGGGGAATTGTGGTTCGGCGTTGATGAATATCGAATCGAGCTTGTAATCTCGGGGCAACATGTTGTAACTGGGGTTTTCAAAGTTTGAAGAGGCGAATTTTTTGTGGATGGTAGCGAGGAGTAATATAAGCATCACGAGACAGTCCTTGCCTCCGTTGTAACTAATAGCGATCTCCTCAAGTCTGGTTTAATGTTAGTACGATATTCGAAGAAGTGATTAAATAGTAGTCAAGTCAGTTTTACATACCCGTGTAAATCAATAGACATTTCCAACTTGTCCATGCTCAACAAAACCTTGTCCTTGACTTGTTGTCGCAACACGTGGTTGTATTTGAAGCCGTGTTTGGTGGTGGGCACCGGTGACCACGGTAATGTGTCATGGAGGAATCCCTGGACCAAATCGTAAGCTTGTTCACAGCGTTGCAAGAATCCATGCTGGATGTCTCGTTTGTCTTGGGTAGTCATTAGAAGGAAAATGACTAGGAGATGGAGGATGTATGAGCGTATTGTGGATAATTAGTAGAATCTCCTCCTCGGGTGGAATCAGTTTTGTGGAGAATTTGCTAGAAGGTGAAATGAAAATTTTCGGTTAGCATTTCCGGTTTTTTCTTTTGTGCATTGTTTGATACTGTCGGAGATACAACTTACATATGATATTCTATATATACAGGCGTGACACGGCGTGGTATCGTATGACATATACGACATGGTGTCACTAAGCAACACTATGTCTCGGTCTTGTACATAAACTGCAAATAAAACTCCTTTATATCGTTATCCCAAAACCACCAATACTTTTCGTTCATGCCGTCATTCGGCTTGTCAATCTCTTTGTCCGGGATCGCAATAGCAATATTCTCATACGGTTCACCAGAAACCACCAAATACTGACAACTTTCTGCCGCTTCGTCTGGGTCTTCGTCTTCGTCTAGTTTGCGTATAAACTCGCTTGACATGACTTGGTTCTTGGAGGTTAGCTCATAGTAAGACATTATTCTGAAAAAGGGCTCGGTTACTGTAATTTTGGGATACTTGATATTGACTAGTAGCCCTAGCTGTAATGTCTCTGGATGCCTTATTTTCGTCACTTTAAACTCGGGTTTGCCAATCTTTTTCCATTTCCGTTTCTCGATGTTGCTGATACTGACAATATCCCCCACCTGGCTTACCTGCGTCTTGTTTTGCTTCTCGTCGAGAATCCTTCGTCTTTCCAAGTTGAGTCTGTGCTTCTGTCCTCCGAGATGTGAGATGTATGACGACTCGCTGACGTGTGTGGTCAAACAGAGCTTGCACTCGAGGAACCCCAAGTGGTTTCGAAACACGTAGGGATCGTTGTCTAGATCGAGTATGTGTGTGGCTAGTAATTCCTGGATTCGCTTCTTTCGATGCACGTTTTCCTCCTCGGAGGATGCGATTGCACCAGCGCCCTTCTTTGAATTGACTCTGCCTGAGTAGTCCATGTGGTGTGCTGTTTCTTGGCTGTGTGCTGATCAGGGGGGACAGATGGAGGAGATGGAGGAGATGGAGGAAGAGGCAGCAGCTGTAAAAATATTGCACTTTGGAACGGGAAAAGTGCAGGTTGTGTCAAACAAACTTTTGCAGGTTGGACGTGTTCTGAAATTACACGTTCCCAACAATCGTCGCTAACTTCTACTCAGGAAAATTTACCCTTTTCTACCACTTTGTAAGGTAAAACATACCATATATATTTCATAGCATACATCATGGACTCACCAATACATATCGGTGACTTAACCACAAACTCAATCCAGCACAAGTTAGATGGTACCCATTTGTCAACAACAATACGATCATACACCCTGACGTTACACTCAACCGTGTACTCCTCCATCAAACTCATACAGCTTACTCTCAACTTAAGCGTCGACCACGACGTTGAATTAATCGTGTTAAGGCGCGTGCAGGACTCGTTCGTCAATGTCAGCCAGTTATTAGATATTCTCATCCAGTTGCGCTACTTTAGTTCCGAGCAATTGAAGAACTTTTTGAGCAATGAGGTGTTGGACAACATCGAGTACTACGGCACCAGCGATTCCCCCCAGTACTTGGACTGGCGCGACAACGACGAGGCGGCGTTGCGTGGAGTGTGGGTTCCCTATGACAAAGCCGTCAGTCTTGCTTTGAAATTCGACATTTACGAACTCGTCAAGAAGTTGTTCTTGGTCGACGTGCACGAGTTTGAAAATTTGCCCAAAGCCAACAAGAGAGTGCTTGACGAGGTCAATGGAGTAGGCTCCCCCGTCAAGAAACAAAAAGTGGTAAAGGAAGAAGTTAGGTACGACTTGAACAATCCCAACTATCCAATGACATTACCTCCCAAAGAGACCTCAGGCGAGATTATCAATGAGCTCAAGGTAAAACTCGGGGAGATTTTCAAACGAGATGACCAACAGGAGCTCACAGTCCAAGATGTGAAAAACACCCTTGAGCCCATATTATCGAAGTCTAGTCCTGATGAAATATCAGACGTTCAATTGGATCCCAAGGGACAAACGAGTTTGCATTTCGCTGCAACCCTTGCATCGGTCAATTTAGTCACTGCTTTTATTGAACTTGGCATAAACTCACCCATTCGCGGAAACAGTCTTGGTGAATCACCCTTGATCAGCACCATCCAAGTGACAAACTCTATGGAAAAGGGCAATTTCAGCGAGTTGTTAACCAAGCTCTATCCTGACATTTGGTTGTTTGATAACAATAAATGTTCCGTGTTGCACCACTTGACGGCCCAGCTAGATAAGAAAGCCGAAAGTAGCAAGTTCTACACCAAGAAGATTATTGAATACTTGATTCATAATGACAAGCACTTGTTTGACTTTAGAAAGAATATCGTGAATGCCCAGGATGTAGAGGGAAACACAGCATTGCATGTTGCTGTTGAGAAGGAAAACAAGTGGTTTATCAAATTGTTACTTGAGCTCGGCGCCGATATTACTCTCGCCAATAAACTAGGCGTTTCCCCATCTGATTTTGAGATTGTCAAGGAGTTGGTCAAGGACAGTGAGGATGTAGAAGATGGGCAGGTTTTCGAATTGATTCGAACCGCCATTGAATTCTTGAATAAACGATTAGAAATAAATTCTAGTTTGCCCGAGTTGGAACAGCCAACCACCACCACCACCACCACCATAAAGGAAGAGCCAGGCAATTCCTCAGCTAAGATATTTCAGAGCATTCAGCAATTGTTGAGCAACACCAACACAGAGTATGAAACCATTTTGAATTCAAAACGGGAACAAATAAAGACGTTGGATAAAGTGCTCCATGACGCCACTATCATCACTGCCAATAATAAATTCATCACCAAGAAAATCAAGAGCAAGCTTGTGCAATTGGATAATTTAAAGTTACAAATTGCCAACATCACTGATAAATTGGCTGTTGCCAAACAGGAACTTCCCGAAGACAATGAAGACCACGAGTACAATGCCGAAGAGCCATTTATAATAAAACCCTTGTATGATAGACTACTCAATAATGAACCGGTTGACGATTTAAGGGACAATCCTGAGCTTCTCAGTCAATTGGAAACGCCTATTCTTAAAGCACGAGTCAATGCTTATAAACAAGTGAATGAAAAGTTGGAGCAGGAATTGGCTGCGTTGGTTGATTACAACGAACTCACTTCCAAGTTCAAGAAGGTGGTTAGCATTTGTACTGGAGTTGATATTAACGAAGTGGATGAGCTCTTGGATGGTTTACTTGAAGCTGTTGAGGGACAGCAATAATAATTTGTGTATTTTATGTAAGTTATATAATGTAATTGTAGCTATAAAACCTATGACCTATACCAACCCTTCGTAGCTGTTTAGCGAATTCAATATCGACGGGTCCAATCTCAGCAACTGTTTGAACTCGGACAAGTTTATCGTGTCCAGTTTAGATTTCCCCAACAACGTAAAGAACTTTTCCGTGCGGGCCTCGGGGGTCTTTTCGTCATCGGGCAAGGCCACCATAGGTCCAATCATCTTGTATATTGCCTCGATGATGGGCAACAAGTCGTTGTAACTTATACTTCCTGCCTTCTTGTAGTCGTACAACTTGAAAGTCCAGTTCAATTTCTGCTCCTCAGTGCCTCGGCTAGTTATGCTCAAGGCGATGATAAACTCTTTGAAATCAATGTATTTAGAGTTGTCCATGTCGAACACGCGGAACAAGTAGTGGCAGTAGTCGGTGGGGTCGCCAAAGGGGAAGAATTGCTTGTAAACTTTGACGAATTCTTCTTCAGAGAGCTGACCCAGGGGACAGTCCCTGAGGAACCCTTTGTACCATTGTTGTAATTCTCGCTTGTCGAAATAGGTTGCTTGTCGGAGCGATTTGAGTTCGTCTTTGGATAATTTGGATACTGCTTTTCCCATGGGTGTGTGTGTGTGTGGATATATATGTGTGTGTTTACGTCAATGTATTATGACAAGCTATTAGCTCAGTGTACTATTTCAATGTATTAGCGCAATGTATTGGCTCGGTAGATCGGCTCAACGTATTATTTCAATGTATTAGCTCAGTGGATCAGCTCAGTATATTACTTCGATGTATTATTTCGATGTATCACGTGTATGTATCTAGTCGTCTAGAACTAACGGGCTACGTGGATTCAGATGTTTTCACGGTGTGTATATAAAAATGTTGTTGGAGGTGGTGATCCCTGCACTACCGTTTTGTTCTCGCTGCTCCCCGGAAGGAACTGAAAATTTCTCCAACTCAACGCAACTTGTCATTAAACAATAGAACCAATCAATACAAGATGATCAGAATTAACAAAAGATACTTGTCAAACGGCAGAAAATGCCTCGCCAACTTCGGAAAACCACAAAACCCACCTATTGACCCAACCCTTCATATGAAGATCCAACCTATCGTCCGTACAGGTGAGACCATCGATATCAAACGTGCTAGATTGGTATATCAATCACGTAAGCGAGGCATATTGGAAAGTGACTTGTTGTTGAGCAGATTTGCCAGCAAGTACTTGAACAAGTTTACCATGGAAGAGTTAGACGAGTATGACAAGTTGCTTGATGAGGCTGATTGGGATATCTACTACTGGGCAACCAAGAACTTTGATGTGACTCCCTTGCCTGACAAATGGAAGGACTCCAAGATATTGAAGTTGTTGCAGGAGTCTGCTGAGAATAAAGAGAAGGAGATCTTGACAATGCCTGAATTGGACTTGTCTGATAAACAGCTTCAATAGTTTTGTATATATTTATTGTTAAGTGTATTTATTTGTCAACCCCCCCCCTGCTCTTGTAGTACAATTTTGGTATCCGTTTTTTTTCTGCAAACTGGAACTACAATTTCGTTCCACCACCACCACCATCACCACCACATAATATCCAACACTACAATGATCAATCTCGAATCAATTCCAGAAGAACTCAAATCAGACAAGTCAATCACGCCCTTCATCGCGCGCGCACTAGAACTAGCCACCGTCAACCCCGTGGTGAGCTACTACTGCAAGTTCTACGTGTTGGACCACATCCTCACCAACAAACTCCACACCAAGTCCAAAGACATTGAATCATTCACCATTGAATTGCTCGACGACACCGAACAAATCAAAAAATCCACCGACGACGAAAACTTGCACAAGGTATTGCAAGATAAGAACTTGTCCATCACTGTCGTGTTGACGTTTGCCTATAAGCTCTTTAATTCATGTCTTGAAAGTTTGAATGGATTGACGAGAGCTAACAAAGCAGCTACTATACAGAAGTTTAGAGCCACATTGACATTCTTGCAGGTGTTGTCTATTTTCAATTCTGAAGAGATTGAATGGAGTAAATTGACCGGTGGCAAGGCTGACAGTTTTGCTGAATTTGATGGATTAAACAAGGAGAAAATTAAAGTTATAAAGTATCATTTGTCGAGGTTGATCAAGGATGAGGTGGTTTACACTGATGAACCTAATGATGAGGAATTGGAACAGGAATTGGAAGATTTAACCAAGGGCGAATTAGATTTAGACGAACCAGAGGAAGCACAAGAAAAAGAACAAATAGATAAATCAGAAGAACCCACTCCAGAGAAAGACGACCTTGTCAACCTTGACAACTTTGACGACGACAAAGAAAAAGACACCAATGAAGTCAGTTTACCTGGAGTCCCTCACATTCCCCCACAAGACAGTGACGATGATCAAGTCAAATTACCCGGAGCACCCACATATTTACCTGATGACGACATCACCCACATAAACAAAGATTCTTCTATTCACGTGTTTCCTCCAAGTCCGCCGGCGAAGCACGTACCAACCGTCAGGAAAGCATCTGCTTCATCTATCCACACGAATGTCAGTCATGCACCAATCACTAAAGAAACCATCAAACAAATCTTGAATAGAGATGATACAATTACCCAAGTGCAAAAACATGCCAAGTTTTCCATATCGGCATTACAATTTGAAGACTTTGATGAAGCTGAAAAGCAATTGAAGCAAGGATTGGAGTTGTTGCAAATTTTAAAGAAACAGGAAGAACATTCTTAGTAGCTAGATAGTTTATTGCCCAATCGGGATATAATACACAGAACGCATGGGCTATGCTGCAACATTATGTAGACACCTTTTTTTAAAAAAAAAGATGTTTGCCGAATTATAAACTCATACATGTCTGTAACTTTCATTATCAACCATGTTGTGGAGCAATGTGATTTTGTAACTCGCTAGATTTCGTATCTGAAGACCCTATGGTATTTGCAGAGTAAAGCTGGTTCATGCTACCAGTTGGTCTGGTGATGATTAGCCAACATGCATACGAAAATACGATTTTTGGCAAGTATTACGGAAATTGACCGAGATACATGCGCAATTTTGCAGATACATATAATTACACGTCCGCTATACGCTATTGGATATACATGGATCTACATGTTTGTTCTGTTAAGATTCAAAATTCCTCGCCTCCTATTTTTTTTTCTTGCCTCTACCGTAAAAGCCGATGATTATTTTTTGTTTTTGCTGTGGTTACAAACACGGAAATTAAAAAGCCACTTCATTTTGAACAACAATTGGATTACCCCAAGCTGTGATTGCCGAGGTGAGGTGAGGAAGGTCCTACAAGTGTGTAAGTTGTTACAAACAGCGCCTCGTTACGAGGGGAACCACGAGGTGGGCCAGTGGGTTACTTTGTTACGAAGACTATATATAGTGCGTCGTAATCTATGCACATGCAAAGTGTAAACAACTACTGTTGCTTTGTGGCAAACGCACTAAATTCTTGTGACTCCAACGTAAATTTCTTGGATCTGCAAATCGCGACAATCAACAACAAAGAAAAATAAAAAATTATTAAATAATTGGTAAAAAAAACAAAAAAAAACACAACAACAGACAGACAAAAAAAAAATTGTGGGTGTGACATTTTAGCGCACCAAAATCATCATCCCCAAAAAAACACCTACCCTCCCCCCCTACCCCCAAATTTGTAACTATATCGAAACAGACTTCTTTACAACTGGTCCACTCCTACTATCACTCTATACCAGCTCAGCCATGAATGCAGTCAAGAAAAGGTTCTCTTCTGGCCTGAGCACGTCCAAATCAACCTCCCCCAAGCTCCCCATATCTCCTACCAACCCGGATAGTATGGATGGCCTCTCCCCCGAACTTATCCCCATAGTCACTCTCTTATCGTCTCAATCCCACCGTCGATACCAGGAAGGTATCTTCATGTTGTACTACGACTTGAACGGGGACGGGAAACCCGCTGATCGTGAATGGAAAGAAGTATATGGGATATTAACAGGTAATCAATTGGCCTATTGGGATGCTGCCTTTCTCAACCAGTTCAAGAACAACCCCGACGCCTTGTTCCAAACCAGTACCAAACCGGCATACTTGAACTTCACCGACTCCGTGTACAATGCCATGAAATCTTTACCTGCTGCTAAACAGAACTTGGATAATGTCATTATCGTGTCGACAACCTTAAAGAATAGATATATTTTACAGTTTAAGTCGTACAAGGATTTAAGTGTGTGGTATTCAGCATTACGATTGTCCAATTATGAATATTCATCCTTGCAAGAAGCATACACTGGAGCATTACTTTCCGCTCGTGGTTCCAGATTATCTGATATCAGGACAGTGTTGGCTGAGAAACGTTTCGACCATGAAGATTGGGTCAGTATAAGATATGGCAGTGGTATGGCCTGGAAAAGGTGCTTTGCTGTGGTTGAGCCATCGCAAACAAAACGAAAGTCTTTCACTCCGGGACGAATCCTCTTTTTTGAAAACGACCAAAAGAAGAAGAAACTGTTGATGGCAGTGGTCACTAACTGTACCTCGGTCACAGCAATCTACCCGGAATCCCCCGCCCTCATTGACCATTCAACCATGTTAAAATTGGAAGGGTACATAAACTTTAGCAGTCCAAGTTTATCCACGAAAGTGTCCAAGAAAGAAGCCGGTGATTTCAAACACACGTCAATCTTTCTTATGCCGGAACAACACTCGTCGGTTCCTGGATTTGACACCTTGATCAGGTTCTTGATCCCATTGTTTGACTCGTTTGGATTGTATGGAAGACCCAAGAAGTTAAAAGCCAATAGAACCGACCCGGAATCGTTATTATTTGGATTGCCTACGTTGCCAAGAGTGCATTATTTAGAACTAGAAGACATTTCCCAACTCACCAACTCTGATTTCTTATCGTGGGATAACAAGGGATGGACAAACCGAATCAAGCAAATTATGAAGTCAAAGTTGGATCGCGGGTATGAAGGATGTGGAAGTAGACGTGGCTACTCGGGTGCATTAAACTCATTGAATTCTCCACTTTCCTCACCAAGAGTCATGTCCAGTCCTAAGATGACTCCTAAGTCCCAGTTCTCCAGAGTTTCTCCTCCTCCGGGCTCCAATTTGCGTCAAGAGCTGTCCCTGACACCACCACCGCCACCATCAGGACCAATGCCGGTTGCCGCTGGTCGTGGACTCGATAAGAATGTCAAAGACTTGTCTATTGGTGGACCTGCCCAGATTCCTCGCTTGCATATTGATGATAAACACGGTTCGGTACAATTGGCCGATATTTATCAAAAGTACCATGAGATGCATTTACCAGACCATGTAGTCAATGACAGAAAGAACTTACTTAATGGAGGAACTGTAGAATTAATTGAAGAAGAACTCCCTGCTGGATTTAGACAATTGGATCTTAACAAGAACGTGTACCCAGCCAACGATAATGAACTCTTTAGTGAAGAAGAAGAAGAAGAAGACGATGATGATGATGATAAAATTGACGTTTCCAGAATCGGTATGTCGTCCAAGGAAACTGTGTCTTCTGATCCAATTGTTGCTCCTGCTCGTTTATCCGTACCGCAAAATTATGATCTTAGAAGTGCTAGTAACTCATCAGTGATTTCCCCCATGGCCCAATTCGACGATCTTAAAGAACAGTACAAACAGGTTGAAAGAGCACCATATCTTGTTGACAGTCCAGAACCTTCACCTTCTCCGCCACCAGTTCCACCGCACACTGCCAAACTCTCTCATTTGTCAGAAACAATCAGCAATGTAAATCAAGGAACTACAACTACCGAACAGACATCTATTCATTCACATGCTGGGAGAGTAAGCCAAATATCATCCAGCGAATCTCAAGAGTCATTCACTAAGGAAGAGGAAGTTCTCAATCCATACCCTGTTGTCCCACCAGCCCAATACAAGCCAAGACACATTTCATCACCAAACACATCTCAGAACCAATCTCCTCGTTTCTCCCCGGAATTGAAACATGCCGATCCCGTCTATCCTGTTTCTCCACCATTGGACGATATTGTTCTTCCTAGCTTACCTGACCAGGCTTCTCCTCAACGTATACAAACATCACCACAACACTCGATGCCAAAACAACGTGCAGCATACCCTACTACATCACCACAGCAGACATACCCTGTAACGTCACCTCAACAAAGAGGTCCACTTCCTCCACAACAACAAGTCCGTCAACAAATCCCTGCAGGTTTCCAACCTGCACAACCTGCCTATGGTAAACAACCAAGGATGGCTACCCCTCCTCAAAACTATCCTCCGCCACAACATAAACGTCAACCACCACCTCCACAACAACAATATCAGAACCCACATCAATATTTGCAAGACGTGCTTTCACAACCAGGACCTAGTCAACAAAGACCACCTCCACAAAATTACCCACAGCAGCGTCTGCAACAAAGTATTCCTCAACAACGTCCACCACCTCAAAATTACCCACCTCAACAAAGACAACCACCACCACAACAACAGCAGCAGCAGCAGCAACAACAACATCACCATCATCATCAAAGCTTGAATGCTCCACCACCGCAACAACGTCAACCATCTCGGGAATACCCACCGGTGTCAACGAGAGGATTCCCACCTAGAAGCAATGACACACTGCCGGCCTCTCCAGCTGATCTTCGTGGATATGGACTTCCCACACAACAGCAGTATAGTTATCAACCACAAGTGCAGCCGCAACCTCATCATGCCCATAGAAAACCTCCACCTAACATCCCTCGTGATCTGTATGACGATCCCTACGGAAGCACTGCAAGACGTTACTAGACAATTGAAGCGCAAACCATTACTAGGTATCAGTGCAGAAGCTGTGTGTATTTGTATATATGTATATTTATGTATATTTATGTATATTAGAGGTTAAATTTTCTGTAAACAAATCTTGGGGACCAATCCCATAGCTTCATCGTCGATATGTCGATAGTCCTGACTTGTCTGCACTATTCTTACATGACACCAGCCGTCAGAGTACATTTTTAGGATCTCGACCTTATCACCAATTTTGATTGTTAGCTCGTCCGGTAGTTGTTTAGTGTAGGACCTTTTCACTAAGTATGGGCTTTGTGTAGGGTTTATCCTGCTCTTGGCGGAGTCCAAAGTCTTGCCGATACGGAGATTGGGAAATAGTGGGTTGTTCTTGGGCACTTCATGCACAGTAGCTGTTGGAGGTTCGATGTCTTTCTTTTGTAGGTTGAACTTGCGCAAGAACATCGGTGTCATCATCGACATCCGTTTCATAAACGTGTTATCAGTTTCCTCATCGTTGACATCTCCCATGGATATCACTCGGCTTAATCTAGTCTTCCATTTATACCTGAACGACTCGGGATCAAGCTGTTTCTCCGCGCCGGGGTTGATGTGTAGTGTAGACGACGAGTCCAAGTATGGATTTGCTTTTAGTTCATTGTCGATACTTGCCAATGTGTTATCACCACTTGTTTCTTCCTTATCGAATATCTTGGTTTTGGGAATGCGGGAATGAAAGTAGTACCATACACCCAAAATCAAAAAGAACGCTGAGAATAAAGCAATGGGAATTCCAATGGCGACACCGACTTTGATGCCGCTGCTATTCTGGCCTGGTTGTCTTCCCTGTGGTTCTGGAGTAAGTGACGATTCGGGTTTTGACGTGAATGTGGGCATGTCCTGGGGCTTGATTGTGATTGTCTTTTGTGCGGGTTTGGAAGTGGGGTTTGGGGTTGGTTTGGTATTAATTACTTGCACCGGCACTTTAGTAAGTATTGGTCTATAAGTTGTTTTCTCAATGTAGGATATCTCTGTTTCCTTGTCTGGTTCGTTGGTTGCATCTGGTAACGTGTATGTTGATGTAAGAGTTAAATAGACGACTGATTCCTCGTCATCGACAATAGCTTTCTTCATAAATGACATTCTGCTAGTTAATTATTATCTCTAACAAAAAAAAAGACGTTCTCTGATGAAATGTATTTATATTATATCTTATATGTCTTGTATACAACGTACATGAAACATGTTTGTTTGAATGGGACGTCTTTGCAATAACTCGTTTCAAATTTATTGCAAAACCTAATGGAGTTATTTTTTTTTTTGCATCTTATTGTTACAAATCTGAAACAAAAATGTTGCAAAAACTACGGCCAGCTTAAAAGTGCTCTTACATTATACTATACACTTAAACAGGTAATATCGACTCTTCTTCATCATCACCACGGGGAATTTCCGAAATTTTGGAAACCAAACTGTTAAAGTATCGATGGTATGACCAACTGGCAAACCCAATCCCCAACAAACTCCCCAATATGATATCCTCAAAATGGTGTCTATAATCCTGTGTTCTGCTCAAAGCAACATAGCACGACAATACCAAGGGCAAAACTGCCAATATGTACTTGTATAAATGATGAGGCTTACTATATAACAATTTAAACTGTCCAAGCAACCACAAGGTCAAATACAAGAATCCGCTGAAACTGATGGACGAATGGCCCGAGGGAGTGGATCTCATTCCATCGGTCAATACTGATAACCCGTAGGGTGCAGTACACACGCTGATGTCGACTAATTGATTATATGGTGTTTCAGCCGTAGCACCACACCGGGCCAAAAAGTCAGGCCTTGGTCTCGCGATCCAGTTCTTGAGCATGTCAGTGACGATTCCATTGACGGTCATGGACACAAGCAATCCCAATACACTGATTTGCACGCAGTGCAAAGTGTCATGTGGGGAGCTGAACGCGCCCTGGTTGTTTTTCACTAAGGAAACCAAGAATATGGTGATGAGCGGGATGAAAGTGGCAAGCAAAATGCATTCAATGCCACTGACACGCTCATCCGTGGTGAAGGGATGGGATATTGTCAAGTCACTCAAGGAGAATTGTCGTTGGAAAGGCTGGGCATGTTCAGCCACTAGAAAGAAATAGACAATGAGAAAGAACGTCACAGCCCAGTCTGGTCGATGTTTCTTGAACGTGTCTGTTTGCAAGTACTGGAGTATCGCGCTTGGTTGTAGAAACGCAGGCACCAAGGGCATAACGAACGTTTTGTGGTTGTGGTTGCGATTGCTGTGGTTAGCACTACGTGTCCAAAGTGTGATTAATTTCCTCAAATGGACTTTTTTTTGTCTGGTGCAGCTCTCGTTTGTGTCACTCGTAAATTTTCGAACATTCTATGACTATGTTGCAAATTACTATTCTATCTACTTCTAACCATGTCTATCTCTGGTATAAATATAGAACAAGACAAGGATCATGGCAAACAGACATAATCCAGAAGTAATCACAAACGTAAGACGATAACACCCTGACCCCTTGGCACACACATAATCCTCGCCATCCCAAAATGTCGAGTTCAAATCATAGACATGTCCAAACACCTTGGTCATGACCAGAAGACCCAATGCAGTCGCCGAATATGTGGTGCCCCAAATCAGGGAGTAATGCTTCATATTGAAAATATCCGAGACTATGGCCGGGTAACTCGTGAAACTGAACCCATAGGCGTACCCCACAAGACCGGAGATGATCGACATGTACAAGTTGACACTGTCAAAAGTCCACGATGATAGGTTTGTAGATAGCATGATGTGTCCCAGTAACATAAACACCAACCCTAAAATTAACACCCAGTGTCTTTGAGAATTTAATTTGTGAACCAAATAATCGGAGGTGGGGCCCGAGCTTAATCTTCCGAGGAAGGAAGCAACAGCAATAATGGAAACATGAAGTGCCTGCAAGTGGTGCAATGGAGTCACTGTTTCTAGTTGGTTCTGGCTGAAATAATAGTGAAGAGCTTTTAGAATGAAACCAACTGAATAGATATACATTTGCCCTAATCCTTGGACAATTGCAAAAAGAAAATAATGATACCAAAATACGGGATGCAAAAGTGTGGCGCGTAAATTGCTGTGTTTTAAATCATGTTCCTTCGCGGATTCAACACCTGATGTTGAGTCGACTTCACTTAACAAACTGGTCAGTTCTGAAATCGCTTCACTGGTCTGCTTGGCTTCATCGATATGACCTTCAACTCGAATAAACACAAACCCTATGAAAATCATTAATCCGCAAGAGTTGGCCAAAAAACGAAGAAACCTTTCTGCATCACCGTGGAAAACACGGGTATTGATTACCAGGTATACTAACGAAGATATCGCAAACGAGGCAATTGTAATGCTTTGCGCTGTGGCTTTGAATGTGGGAAAACTAACTGTGACGGCTTTGATGGCGCTGAAATACCCGGCAACTGATCCCACACCAACGAGAAACATAGCTAAAAGTAATTGCAAAACACTACTGCCTGCACCTAATTGGTATTGCCGGTACACCCATTGGTACCCAACAGCAATACTGACCGAACTGATAAGCATGGGAATTTGAGTCCCATATACATCAGTTACATAACCTCCTAATATAGCACCAATGGCTGTTCCTAATGTGGCACTGATGTTTAAATTGGCTGCTTGGGCAGCTTCCAATTTACATTTATCAGCAAGCTGGGTGCCATATATGGAGTAAACAAAAAGAGTTCCAGTTGAAAGGGCGACTGGGATTGACGAAAACAAGATCAACCATTGGTTAGTAGTTGGCAAGTACTTATTAATGCGGTCTATACCCTCGTGTAAGAACCTCATCTCGGATAGTGTTGATATTCGAGCCTAAAGGAACAATTTTCTTTAATTTTCCTTGTCCATTGTTGGATGTAGTTAGTTATGGCTTTTATGGCCCGGATTCTAAATTAGATTGATTTAGCAATCATTTCACGTGCTGGTTATATGCAGTACTTGGTTTTTCAAGTCTTGCATTCTCTATCTCGCGGGTCGTGTGATTTGTTCAAGTTTTTTTTTTTGTCGAACGGCAAGTTGGACGAAATTTTTCAACCTCTTGCACAAATTTTTCTAACAGGTTTTCCAATCCGTTACGACTATTACTATACAGAAAATGCCAGTTGATCCAGAAAAGTTAGCTAAATTGCAAAAGGCTACCGCCAAGAAGGTCGGTGGTTCCAGAATTAAGGCCAAGAAGAACGTCAAGACTGAACAAGACGACACCAAGTTACTTGAAGCCTTAGGTAAATTAAAGGCTACCAAGATTGAAGGTATTGAAGAAGCCAATTTCTTCAGAGACGACGGTAAGGTCTTGCACTTCAACCGTGTTGGTGTCCAAGGTGCTCCAGCTTCCAACACCTTTGCCTTCACTGGTTACCCTCAAGAAAAGAACATTACTCAATTGATTCCACAAATCTTACCTCAATTGGGTGCTGAAAACTTGGAAATCTTGAGACAATTGGCTGAACAAATTCAAGCCGGTAAGACCCCAAGAGATTTCAACACTGGTGCCGAAGCCGCTGAAGCCGCTGAAGCTGAAGCTGACATCCCAGACTTGGTTGAAGGTCAAAACTTTGACGACGTCGAATAAATTATACCATGAGTCATGAATGGACGGTGATCATCTACATCTATATAAATTTGGAATCCTATAAGTTTGATCTTGTAGTGCGATAGATTTTATGTACTTAATGTAATAAATAATAAAAACCGAACATGCGACTGTAGATTGTATATGAATGGTTAGTTTCGATCTAATATGCATCTGTCTATTTGTACCGTGAAATTAGGCAATCCTGCCATATAAGTAACAATATAAGTAGTATTGCTCCAATTGGGTAGCAATCGTAACTTGTTATGCCCAAAAGTCTACTCTATTGGAGGTTGGTAGAAACCAGCTAAGTGCTGTGGGAAATATAAGTGTGTGGTTCAATTAGAATTGATCCATATTTTACTTGTCAATGCAAACTCATTGTTATATGCTGTCTGGTGTATGTCTAGTTCTCCCCTCCCCCCACATTTCCCAAATGCTAAGAAAAATGTGGCTTGGTGGAACTGTATTTTTTTTTTTAGTTACTGAATTATAAAACTAATGGTTGTAAATGTTGTGAATAGCTGCTAAGAAGAGTGCTAACTTTTATTATTTGAGCTCTGAAGACGACATGCATTCAGGTGTGAATTCAGCAAAACATTTGATGATTTTAGCCGCCTTGTAATTCAAGGATGGTTTCACAAGGCTCCTAACTACCTCTCCCTAAGAAAAAAAATTTTATATGTGCAATTTGCAACACATATGGTCGTTCCACGAAAAGAGGTTGACCTAGATCCAGATTAAAAGAAAATGAGTTAGTTAGCTCGAATAATGTCTTGCAATTCTCTTGAGATGAATATAAAAATGAGATACTAGTCTTAAAATTACACTTGAATATGACATATTAAGTGGAATTCTGAGATTACTGAAGCTGGCAGATCCATTTTCTTGGTATTACTAGAAAAGCCGACTTCTGCCTCTCTAACTCCGATGATTCCTTTTACAATAGAGAGATTATAACTATTAATCATATAGGAAAATCAGCACCACCCATCCATATGAATTTTAGGAGATAGGAAAATCGAGGGGTGATCGAAGTTAATGATTAGACTCCTTTTCAAGGGGGTTTTACACTCGGCGAATCGCCGAATAAGCTATCCAGCCAACACATTCAATCAAAGTCCATCTTTACCTACGGCAAAGGCTGTATCTACTTAGGTTAATAATGTATTGCTGAAGATTACAATCAATACTCCAGTCAAAATCATGTACTAGGTCGTTTTTTTTTGGTATCCTGTTTAATTCCTATGGCACTACCATGATTACAGAAGTAGCTATTAGTACCAATTCAGTTGCGCTGTGATATACTTCTATGCATACGTTGGAATTCACCTCATATACTAGAGAAGCCACTAATTATCATGTAAACGTTCATCTATTGGTTGTCATTAAATGCTTTAGCCACAATTTTCCACTTTAAGCAGGTGCTGTCATGCACGAATGCTAAATATCTAAGATGCTATATTCTTGCAACTTAGTTACGACTTGCAATTGATGGTATTCCCTATCCCATAATAATCTGGTACCAATATCTTGACAATGATCTGGTGGTGTTTCTCCAACGTGCGTGAAAGCACATGGCACAAATTTCAGTCCTGAATGTAACTTGTTTTAGACTATTGACCTAAGCCTTGTATCATAACACTTTCTCCCTAATTCCCTTGCGACAATTTTTTTTAAAAAAAATACATTTATTGTTGCTTGGGGTTAATTGCTCCTTATGGCAAATAAATCATTATGTCATTGTTCTCAAAAATATATAAATCCCTTGAAATTTCGTTAATTTTATTTTCAAAAATGATAATTACAACCACAATTGTCCAGAATGGTCTTGACTAAACATATTGATGCCTATAATTTGGAGTATGAACTCCTTAAGAAACAACCCAAGGTCAAATTGACCAATAGGGAAGAATACATCAATGTCTATGATGCTGAGTCTTACATTCCATTGTACGATATCCCTGAGCAATCCTCTAATGAAGAATTGATTTGTACACAACTTGCTGAAAAGCTTGCTCTTGATGGTAACCCCACATTGAACTTGGCCTCGTTTGTCAATACTCACATCAGTGATAGTTCTTTGAAGTTGATTACGGAAAACATCACCAAGAATTTGGCTGATAATGACGAGTATCCTTCTTTGATTGATATTCAAACCAGATGTATTTCGATTCTTTCCAATTTGTGGAATGCACCATCCAATGTTCATCCAGAGACTGGGAACAAAGTCACAAACAGTATCGGTACTGCCACTACCGGGTCTTCCGAAGCGATCATGTTGGCAGGATTGGCATTGAAGAAGAGATGGCAAGAAAAGAGAAAAGCTGAGGGAAAGTCCATTGCTGAACCAAATATTATCATGGCTACCTGTGCTCAAGTTGCTCTTGAGAAATTTGCCAGGTACTTTGATGTTGAAAATAGGTTGATTCCTGTAACCGCTGAATCAGGACATGTAATTGACCTTTCCAAGATTAAGGAGAATATTGACGAGAATACCATTGGTATATTCGTGATTATGGGATCTACATTCACCGGTGCCTTTGAACCAGTCGAAGCAATTTCTAATTTGTTGGATGAAGTGGAAAAAGAAACTGGTCTTGATATTAGGATCCATGTCGATGGTGCTAGTGGTGCGTTTGTTGCACCATTTGTGTTTTCTCATTTAAAATGGGATTTCCTGATTCCTCGTGTTGATTCCATAAACACTTCTGGCCATAAGTTTGGGTTGACTCTGTGTGGGTTAGGTTGGGTGATTTGGAAAGATGCAAATTTGTTGCCGCAATCGTTGAAATTCAATCTTGATTATTTAGGTGGTGTTGAAGAAACATTTGGTTTGAATTTCTCAAGACCAGGGTTCCCAGTTATCACCCAATACTACAACTTTTTAACATTGGGTAGAGAAGGGTATAGAAAAGTGTTTGATGGTTGCTTATCCAATGCCCGTCTCTTGTCCAATTTTTTGGAAGGTTCAAAATATTTTGATGTTGTTTCTGTAATCCATCACACTTTAACTGCTGAAGAACAAAAAAAGACTTATACCAAACATGACGGAGAAGATTTCCAAGTCAATGAACAATACAAGCCAGGATTACCCGTGGTTGCATTTACTTTCTCTCAAGAAGTTCAAGAAAAGTATCCTGAACTTCCCCAATCAATCTTCTCCCTGCTTTTGAGAAGAAGAGGATACATTGTTCCTAACTATCACTTGCCTCCTGATGAAAACGACAAGGAAATTTTAAGAGTTGTCATTCGTACTTCCATGTCGTTGGGTTTGTTAGAAAAATTATTGCAAGATTGTGTCGAAACCATGGAATTGTTGATTGATGCTGCTGAAAAAGTCAGAGAGATTACCTCGGAAGATAATGTTAAAGGTGAAGTTGCTAATAGACAAGCAGTTCACGATTTGTTGGTGGCTATTGCTTCTGGTGGTGAAGCTACTGTTCGTTCTGCTCAATTGGAAAAGGTGGAAAAGACAGGTGATAGCGCTGGAAAAGAAAAGAACTCCTATCGTGGTACATGTTAAATCTTAAATAGTTAACGGTGATTTTACGTTTATGTGCAGTGTTGTAGATTTTGCAGCTAAGACCAACAATCGTAGTTTGGTGTAATTATGCGATGGACTTGGTTTATAGCTAAGAATAATTGTTTGGTTGCATTTGCATAGATCATTAACGAAAGAACTAAGCCTCTGTAAAGGGATAGGTTCACTAAATCATACGATGGCCCCACCGATCATCGGGTTATTCTTGTACTTCCCCCCCTCTCTCTGTCTTCGGCGGCGGCTATCATCGGGCCACAAAAAAAAAAATACAATAAAACAATTAAAAAAAATAAACTCTAACCCTTGCTAGCTAATTCAGGTTGTCAAGGTTGCTACTAGTCATACATTTTTTAGAACTTTATATTTATAAATCAGGTAATTCTTTACAAATTCTTACACTATTCTTCTTCTACTTCTAGGTATCAGCAACAATGGCACATACTGCAAACGAATTAAAGACTTACCAAGGGGTAACTATAGTTACCTTGTTGTTTTCTATTTATGGTAACTTGGATTATTATTACCACAGCAAGCATATTGCTACTCCATTCACGGCTAGTTTCTGGATGTTGTTTGCATTTTGGGTGGTTCTTTATCTTAAACAAATTTTATTCACCCTCTTCACATTTGTCCAAGACGATGACAGATTAAGAACTATTCTCGATTTAGGCTGGCATTTCCCTGTTTTCAATGTCTTGATTTACTTTTGGGCAGAATTGTTTATTCACAAACACTACTTTTGGAGTGAAGTGGTTCTAATTATCAATCTTTTCAATGTGTCATACTTGTACACCAAGCACAAGTCATATTCCATCAAGCCAATAACCCGCTTTGGTTTGATTCATGTTTCGGTGGCAGCAATGCCATTCAGTTGGTTGCTCTATGCTGTATTCTGGAATGGAGCACTCATGTTCCACGTCAGGGAAAAGCTTTGGACTAGAATTTTAGCCAACATTTTCATTTGGAACTTTTTGGGTATTGGATCCTTGTTGGTCTACGCGTTCGACGACTGTGCAGTTGGGTTCAGTCTCTCTTATTTGATGTTCGCATTGATGGTTGGTCAATTGACAATTAAGGTGTTTGCACTCCAATGGATCTTTGCCCTTGCCATTGCTGTAGTGTTGTTCCTTGTCAGTTCTGGTGCATTGGTTAATAGATTGCGTGGAGAATCAGGACAGCCACTGGAAGCTGCTCCATTGTTGCCAGAGCAAGTTTAATTTTAATTTTTTGATGCATTGGTTTTGTTTATTTTCTTGATTAGCTCTTGTTTAAGTAAATGTGGATGTTGGTTAAGGACAATTGAATTGTATAGCAAAAGTTGAGAGTGATGGGCTAATGACGATATAGTGTCTTTATGAATATTTGTTAAAAATTCCGTTGTATCTGTAGTATCTGGGTTTCCAATAGAGCCATACTTGGATTTGAGTAAATTGTATTGATTCTTTTCTCTTAACTTATCTGCCATTTTGATTGCTATGTTTATTTACAACCAAAAAGAAACAGTTGTACAAAAATTTACAAAACTTCACTAGAAAAAGAAGGAAAAAAAAATAAACAAAGATGCGATTTAAGAAATTAAATTAATGCAAGGGGTGATTGTTGATAATTGCCTAATTTGGAAGTCTACGGTGTGTTATTTTTTGCACTTTTGTACTCATTTTGAAATGCCCTGAGGTGTGTCAAATAGATATTAAAGCTGCCATGTATTTTTACGCCCGATCGTCCATTGTCAATAAAAGTGGAGTAACGGATATGTGTAACTCCGTGAAGTGAAGAATCTTAACATTAAGCATTTCTTGTAAATAACTTAGTACGTGCAGACATAATAGACTCTCCGGCTGCTTAAGGTTTTTCCTTGGTTACGAGCGTGCTACCAAATAAATTGTTTAATCCCGAGAAGAAAGGATCTGGTTGTATGGTTCCCCGCGTTCATCCCTGTTGCCTGCTTTGCTATTCCCCGGATTTTTTTCTCTCGGGCCTTGGCTCAGTAAAAAAATTTAAGTATTAAGGCTAAGTGGAGAATGTATGGCGGCTGTGCATTTCTGTAGAGTTAACTCGTCTTGCATTAATACACTCCGTCCCCTCCATACTAAAATTTAAGTGGGAAGCAGTCAAAAAAAATATTTTTTTTGATCGAGTGTAATAATTAAAATCAAAAAAAAGAAAAGGTTTGAACACAAAATAAACGTTAGCAAAAATATTAAGATTTTATTGCTGTTCATCGTCCAATAATTTTCCACATATACCTAAAGAGGAGAAGAAGTTAACGACAGCACAGAAACAAGCGAAATATGTAACTATTCAATGTCATAATTTGTGTGTCCCTTTTTTTTGTCAAATTTTAATTTACTATTGTCTTCGAATAAATTAAGCCAAATAATTGTCTCCGCAGAGAGGGTACACTAAATTGCGTTTGTAACTGAAAAAATAAAGAGAAAAAATCGAGAACGTCCCTCACGTTGTTTTTTGCCTATAGTTTCTTTTTTTTTTCTGTCTGTCTTTTTCTCCACCACCAAATAATTAACAAAGCCATTTTTTTTTTTGCTTGGTCTTTTTTTATTTACAGCTAAACGGGGCCCTTTATTTGCTCATACTGAACACATCAAATCAGTCAGATTCGTTACGTGCATAGATCTGAAGCTCATTTCTTATCGTATTTTTTACCTTACACTGGAGTTAATCAGACAGTCATAAGGCAAAAAAAAAAATAAAATAAAATAAAACTTTTTAAATGCCCCCATACATGAACATGAACAAATCAGAGTCAATCATTTCCTCCACGTCAGTGGCCTCGTCAGTGTTGTCTAAGACAGGTACCACTCCACCAGAATCAACATCGTCTATATTCCCACCTACAGACCTTTCCCCTACCTCAAATCTAGGCAAGCTTCAACAACAGCAGCAGCAACAACGTCAGGGACTGATTGAGGCTGCGTCTGCTGTCACAATGGAATCAACCGCCATGACTAATCAAGGTCAGTATCAAGCACCATCTATGCAACAGCTGCATCTGCAACCACAGCCAGCACCCACTGACTTAATACCTGATCACAACAACCTGGGCATGTATAAAATGTACCAACACAAGAATAATTACCTACCCCATAATCAACGTATATCTAATATAGCATGGAGGATGCAAAATAAAAAGATGATGAACCAACCAGCGATAAATAATGGAACCGGCGGTGGTATTACCAAACCAATAGTTCGATCAAACTCTTCCAGCGGCCGATTCGGTGCTCGATCTAACTCCTTGTCCCGTGTGATTAGTAATACCTCCACGGCAAAGAAAAATGCAAGTGTCGCTAGTGCCAACAGTGATAATGATCCAACTTTGGACACTTTTGATTATGTCGATCACATCAGACGTATAAGTCAAGAAGAGTATGGTGGAACCTCGGAATTTCCGGACACAACCACCATGCCTGCTATGGGCCGAGCCATGTCCATTCCTGCTGATCTGAAAAATAGTTCATTTGCCATTGCTGCGGGTGCAAAATCAGATTATAAGTTCAGAATAAAGTCTCCTTCTCCAACCAATTCCAAAAAGGTGTTGCAATGTACAAACTGCCAAACTAAAACTACTCCTCTCTGGAGAAAGGCTAATAACGGAGATTTGTTGTGTAATGCATGTGGGTTGTTTTATAAGTTGCATGGAGTTTTAAGACCACTTAATTCCTCGCTTGATACTAAGGAGCAAAAGAAGATGAACAAGAAGAAGATTAACAAGAACGATCAAAATATTCTGAATACAAATACTAACTTGTTTGCTGGATTGAATCAAGCCCAATTTGTGAACAATGATAATCTTAATAAAATCCCAACCGAGGATGTCAATTTGGATTCTTTCTTGGATTTCAATGTTACTGCCAACAATATGAATAACTCTGAACCAGCACAAACTCCAGTAGGATTGTCAAGCAGTTTACCCGATAGAATAACCTCACAACAGCAACCACAATTACCCCTGCAAGAACAACAACAGCAGCAGCAGCAACAACAGCAACAGCAACCCCCACCACAGCCTCAACAACTCAATGGTGCTAATTTTGACGATTTTGAAAAGTTTTTAGGTGTCAACTTATATCCTGATTTCAACCAACGGCAATTTTTTGAAATGGAGCATCCCATGGGAATCCCACCAGATTCTCAATTACCACAAGGTTCATCTGCATACCCTCAACAGCAACCACCACAACCACAAAACTCTCAGTATCCAGCACAACCAGTACAACAAGCTCCAGACATGACCATGTTGGATCCAGCCATGGCTAATAATGTGAACTACAACTATACCAACAATACTAATGGAAATAACGGTAGTTGGAACTGGTTAGATTTCAGTCCAGCTACTTCTTAATGTATATTTATTTTAAAAAAGTGATATTTTAAGTTTAATGTATAGGTTAATTATACCGTAACGTCTTTTACAATAATTTTGCAACTTGTATCTATATCTGTGTACATTGAACAGTTTCTCGCTTTTGCGAGGTCTGAAGTGTGCACTATTGTGTGGGGTTATATTTACAAAGTATAACTCTGATTGACAAAGTTCGTAACCTTTATATTTACGGTTTTGTGCACTTGTCTAACAGGAACAGTAATTCTGTACAATATGTACATCACACAATACCCCACAAACAAAAGATCAGCGCCTTTGGAGTCATACGATTGTGGTTGGCAATACAACCGAGTAATCTACCTTCACGGCTAAAAGTTATCGTGCCGTGACTGCAAAAAAAAAATTAGTATCCCTGAATAGGCCAATTTTTACTTATACCTATTTAACTATACCATAGACTCTATTCTTTACGCATTATCATAATATTCATTTAGCAAAGGGTAATATTGCGGCCAGCGCATTAAAGAGGCAATTGGAATTCCAATTCATTAATCCAAAGATTCAAGGCTAACGAAAAAACGCATACCTTGACATCATATTCGTCAATCTTGCATGAAAACTCTTGCAGAATTTTATGTGACAATGCCCACCTAAAATCGTCATCCATGCGACTTTCATCCAACCAATCGTTAGATTGAAGCAAAGAGAGAATCAATGGACTCTCATAGCTTGTCTTTACAAGTTTTATCAAACGAGGGCGTAAATTGGGAATACTACGGATCCAGTCATTGTGTCTGATTTCATAAACTACCTTCTCAACTTCATCGGGAGTGTGATGAAGAAATTCCACAAATTGGTCAATACCTGAGGTTCCGGAAAGAACTGCGCCGGTGAAATTGGACGCTAATGACGACATATGTAGCCCGAGGTTGAAGCGAATGACCCGTGTGTAGATATCATAGATATCCTTCAAATTGTTCTTGTTGGAGAGTTCCACATCGGGTACGGGTGCGGTAATATTTCTTGCGGCCGATTGAATATCAATTTTATGGGAAAGTTGAGGGTATTCTATAGTGGTTTCAACCATATTCTATATTTCTATAGGGAAGGCTTTCAGTACTGAAGAACTTGAATAATTTTGCAGGAAATTTGGCAAGTTATATCTTGCTAGGGGATGAAAGGCGGTTCTTAGTAATACACAAGGATTATTCCGAATATTTTCCAATTTTTACACCCAATACGTTCGGGTGCATATCCTTGTATGGATTAAGGGAAAAATAAAAACTTATGGCAAGCTTATCACTCCACCCCCCCCCCCCCCCCCCATTATTGTACTCCACTGTGGTGAAAAAAAAAAACGTTTGAAGCTTATGAGTCCGTTTTATTTTTATCATTCACTCCCCTCTACTCCTCCTAAATGTGGTCCAACATTTAATGGTCTTATGCCCTGTTCCAATGTTAACGTCTTATTTTAACATTTGTGCAAGATTTCTTGCAAAGTTAAATTCGTAAGGTGCTGGCAAAACTTAATTTGGCATCGTTAAGCAGTTGCTAGAAGCTTAAAATTTCCTTTTTACATAGACGCATATATCGAACTATATTTGGTTCTGGAAGCGCAGTAATTCGCAATTCTTTCCTATGATCATTCAACAATTGATTATTCTTTGGTGGTTATGACAACTTAGTCAATCTTGCATCTAGGGAACAAAAAAAGTTATTCCTTATCAAAGTCCGAGTGGTATCTGCCTCTGTGTAGTTGGATAACGACCAGCTTGTTCTACAACAAAAGCTCTTGCTCTGGAATAAGGCGCTGGGTAGTCAAGCGTGTGCTGGTGCCCCGAGATTGCCCCACTGCTTGCTATACAAACAAACCAATTGCATTGTGTGGTTCGTGGAGTGTAGAAGAGACCAAGTAATAATCTACAAGGATGCATCCAATGGAAATTTTACACGATCGAATCGAGAAGTGAGATAGCTACTAATGAATCCTGGGCTTACATTTAGTTATATTTTTTATGTAGTACCCCAAAACATTGTGTGAAATTTATAAAATAAAACACCGCTTGAAATTTCTTGTGGTTTTAGTTGTGGTTTTATTGTAGGGTCTCAATTTGGGGTAACACGTGAAAGGGATGAAATGGCTGGTCAAATATCTACTCTCCATTGTGTATTTGCTTCTATTTGTGGAGGTGGTATATAATAGATTCTATTGTTTCATGTAAGTAATTAAGAAAAAAATATTGTTAAATTTTCTTGTTCTATTTTAAATTCAGATCTTCGATGAACAAAATTTTAAATGTGGGTTTCCACATAGAAAATCAGTTACTTTGTGAAGGATCCAGTGAATCATTCTCATATTGTGTCATCATTCCTTCAAAATTATAAACCTTGGCTTATGCAGTGAAAGAAATATTTGCCACTCGGTGTAGAATGTGTCTTACGTAATTAGGCAGGAATAGTCGATGGATGAAAAGAAAAGAAAAAAATAATCTTGTGGCTCCTCACCCTTGAACTATTTCAGCAAAGAATTTTCCCAAAAGAATCAAATTAAGGGGATTTTGTTTACGAAATAGGATCTCCTTGTCGAGGAATACGAGCAGCGAGGGGCATTTGTGACCCTCCATTGTTTCTTGCCACATCACTTTTTCTGCACCCCCCCCCCCCCCCTACCATTTTCATATTCTTACTTGGCCATTCTCTTTGTTGCATTTGACATCTAGCATAAGAATTTTTCACAATAGCGTGGGGAGGGAGAGGGAGAGAAAGAGGTCAGCTAAGGATATATCTAACTGAAATTTCGAAAGTAATAGATATACACCCCCGAGTTAAGGATATAGACGAGAGTAACACAATTTCTGATTATTTTGTTGCATAGGCTGCTACTAATTAGCAACTATATTGATCTGAAAATGGACAGTACTAAATCAGCCGAAAATTTACCCTCGAGAAGACGGATAATGCGGAAATAGAAAATTTCATAGCTTTAGAACATGTCTAGTTTCTAAAAGAAAAACCTCTACAGTCAATCAGTGGGTATCCTAACCATAGGTTTATCGCAAGGCTGAAGTCGCTGGAATCTCCGTATATGGATAGAAATAATACAACTTGAGATGCTTAACTTGCTGCGGTTAAGTCTATTTTTTATTTCTATTTTTTTATATGAATTCTTTTTTTTTTTTTGCAATCATATGCTACATATTGGGATGTCTGTATAACACATTGATTGTTTTTCTAGGGATAGGAGGGGCAAGTAAAGAAATTTCAAGTAATTTTCTTTTTTCAATTTGCTTTGTTTACACATGTGTTGGTTTTATATATAAAATGTCAACAATAACACCATGATGTAATTAGACAAGGATCTAAACTTTTCTTTTTCTTCGGTGCTGTGGTTGTCGATGTGTATGGGGGCTATAATTTTTTTTTTTTTTTTTTGGGCGGCACTATTTTTAGAAACTGATGCAAGGTGTCAGTTTGAAAAATAAAAAAAAACCCCCTTTAAACTACGTTCTAAAAAATAAACCTCTTCTGAACAAATAATTTAATTAATTAAGCTCGAAAACAATAAGATATACATGTGGTTTGTAGAAAATATTGCCAGTACGATGAGAATAAACTTGTAAAAAGAGCTGGTTCTCTATGGTTAGTAGAAGAGCTGTAGTACATATACCAACTTGGGTAGGAGAAATGGCATATGCTATTCAACTTGTGTAAAATACTAAGATGTAACCTTTCCATCAATGGGTACAATCACACTAGGTAATGCAAGTAATTTTCTGCCTGTTTACTTTTTAGCCAAATCGGGAATTTTAGTGCAGAATCACTAAAAAAATGAGGACGGCCGATCCCATAGTAACGTGAAAATGTCAAGAATTTGTTAGAGATTTATTGTAACCGAATGCTAAAAAGTGAAAAGGTATAAGATCCGATTGCATATTGTTCACCTGGAATTGGAATTACCTTCTAACAATATGATTTACACAACTTAAAATGTGCTAGTTGTTTCGTGAGAGATGACGAATTTTTAGTCGAAATCTTTTTTTAGAATCTTTTTCGGCTGTTGCATACACACCAGAGTATCACATCAGAATTAATAATACGGTAGCAAATCAAACCAAAAGCAAGGGTGGGTTCTGACATGATATGTGTTAAGCCATATAATTCCACCCTGGCCCTGGTTCCATTCCATTTTATTGTTGAAACCCAGCAATAATTGTAACCCTCCCCCCCTCTTGTATGGTGGAAGTTTATTAAAAATAAATAACTTATAGAGGGAATAAAAAAAAAAAATAAATCTCAATAAAATAAAATATGCAAAAAATAAAATAATCAGAAAAAAAAAAAAAATAATAAATTAAGAAATCACCCATACACTATTCCTGGCCCACCACTCACTCACAAAGTTAATTGTGACTTTTTGTTTTTTAATTTACCGAAATTCCCTTCTTCTTCTTCCTCTCTTCCTCTTCTTCTTCACCCTTTCAAACACTACCACTTTTTTCTTTTTATCAACCTATCAATTAACTTTTTTTCATCAACAAATCTACCCTTGTTGCTAATTTTACCATAATTGTTTGTAAGGAGTGGAAATGGGACTCTTCTCAAGGTTTAGATCCAGTCATTCTCGTGATCTGAGCGTCAAGCTGGCGCTGAAGGACCACATGAGAACTGACTCATTCAATGGAAGTGTCTTTCTGTCTGCTACATCAGACTCATCATCAACATCAGCCGAGTCCATGGCATACAACAAGCATAATCAACTCAAGCCCAAGAGAAGTGCCGGCCTACTTTCAAAGAGTAACGCCAATTCAGCCGCTTCCAGTGCTTGGAAATCGAGACCTAAAAGTGTGTTCGCGGGACCTTCCGACAAGACTGCAAAGCCTAGACCACTTTCTTCCATCAATCTCGATACTGCTAGTTCGCATCAACTGTCCCTGCGTCTGGCCCTGCCTCGTCGAACAAGAGATTCTACTTTGCTCACCGCTCGTAAGCCACCACCAGCAGACAACATTGAGCCTTTACCACCACATCAACTGTTGGATCCAAAGGCCAGATCACGATCCAGATCGCCTGGTAGAACCTTGGAATTTGAAACACCACAAAAACAAATTATCGCCCAAACAATAGATGTGCCGGCTGGCAATAATATTCCAAGAAAAAGTTCGCCATTGGCAAAAGTAGTATACTCACCATCCCCAGTTATACCACCACCTGTAGTATCACAAAAGGAAGGTCTGTTATCACCTATGAGTCCAGGACAACCAATTGGCGGTGGCGTGAATGACTCGCAATTACTGCTCATGCTTCTGCCAGTGTCAGAATCAGTCACATCCATGAGTGATCCGCCACTTGGCAATAACAATCAATTCAACTTCAATCAACCAGCTTATGTATATCATAAACCACTGACTACCACTCAAGATAGTTATGAAGCTGATGAAGAAAGAGCCAGTTCAACTTCCACTGTTCCCCCAACTCAACATCCATACTACGAACAATGGAAGCAATATTACGAGCAATTAACATTACATCAACAACAATATATGAATAGTAATCCGTCATTACAAGGCAACGCCTCTCCTCAAGATGCAAATTTTAATCCCATGATGTTTATGAATCCAATGAATATGCCACCATATTTCTATAATCCATTCATGCAAATGCAGCCTCCACCATCTCCAACCGCTAGTAACAATGCATCGTTCCCACAGTTGCCTTTGAATTATCTGAATTCGCATTTATTTGATCCATACATGTTACAAATGCAACAACAGCAACAGCAACAGCAACAGCAACAGCAACAGCAACAGCAACAACATCATCATCATTATCAACAGAAGCCTGGTATGCCAGGCAGATCTAGTTCTGCAGGTAATCTTGTATTAGAACACGATGACAACACTGAAGCTCAACATGATTATTTAAGTCAATATAAGAAAACCAGAAATATGAAGAATGAATTGATTTCTGAAGATAACAGTTTAGTATCCAATTCCAGAAAATCAACCCTTAAGTCAAACAGATATCCATCTGCGCCATTCCAATCTAGGAATGTTGTTAGTGAATCAAGAGGAAGAGTAGCCTCCGTAGATACTAATTTCAAACTAAATGAATTCCATATTTATGAAGAAGATGAAGAAGATTCCAAGAATACTACTGAAGCTAGTATTCCTGCTGCCAACACCAAGTCAAGTCCATTAAAGAGTGTGGAAGACAGAAGAAGAGATCTTTCTAGACATATTTCTGACTATAATAAGTTCTTATTTGGAAATGAAGAAGACGAGGAAAATGATAGCGAAGAAGAGGAAGCTGAACCAAAGAAAGATATGGAAAAGGTCACTTCGGTTGATCATCAATTGCCAACTCCAACTTCTGAAGATGGATTAAGCAGAAACGACTCTGAATCCTCGGCCACTTCCTCTTGTGATTCTATTCAAGATTCTATTCAAAGCAATGGATCTAAAAAATTTATTGTTGGTGATTTGAAATCCAAGAAATCCGCTACTTCAGTTATTCCACGTGAAACGAGTGCTTCTCCTGACGGTAAGAGCAAGAAGAAGGTATCGCCAGTTTCAACCCAACTGTTCCCACTTCAAAACTCGTCATCCAGATCAGATTTAAACTCGGGTGCACCTTCACCACGTCCACTTTCCATGATGCCCTCGAGATCTGACTTGACTGGAACTGTCACTCCTACACCACGTCCACTTTCTATGATGCCACAAATTTCAAGATCAATGGAACCAATGTATAATTCACCATATTCGAACCCTGTACTTACTCAAAACACCGAGTATAGTGGCAGTTCAGTCAGCTTGGGCCACAACAGAAGACAAAGTATCGCTACTGCTGAAGCCAAGAGAAGATCAATGGCCTTCAATCCAAACATGTTTAGAGATCCAAACATGGGTGGTAACAAGAGAAACAGTGTAGCTGTGTTTGGATCTTATAGTCCACCACATCAACAGCAACAACATCATCAATTACAAGCTCCAGCAAAAATCAATGATGTCACCATCAGCAAAAAGATTGAACAATTCATCAAATTAAGAAAGAAGATCGCTTCAGGACAAAAATCGCTTGAATATAGATTGTATTGGGTTAAAATGTTGATTGATGCTACTAATTTCAAATTATATGCATATATTAATATTAAGGGAGACCCAGTTTCTCCTGAACAAATCCCAAATAACAAGCTTTTGTTTATGAAATCTTCTGAAACTCATTTGAATAAATTGATGAAGGAATTAGAAGCTGATGTGATTGAAAGAGAAGGAATCAAGTCTGAGGTATATTACATCTACGGTTCATTATTCAAGCAAGATTATCTCAACTTGTACAATCAAGATTTTGGCATTGAGAAGGATGTTGAAAGTGCCATTATGTATTTTGAAAAAGTGTTGGAAATTAACCCCAAGGATTTCCGTGCATTATATAAATTGGGTGAAATTTATGAATTTGACCTTGAAAATGAGTTTGACCGTGGTGTGCAATATTATACCGAAGCCGCTAAGCTTGGATATAATCGTGCCATTTTCAAAATGTCCATGCTTTATTTACATATCCCTCAACTCAGATCGGTTAAGTACTTGAAGTATTTGCACAATTTAGCCAATATTGAATTACGTGATGTTCGTTTGGATGAAGAAGATCTTGATGAGATGGAAGAAATAATTGGGTTGGCCAGTTATGAATTGGGGAGAATTTACGAAGGGATATATCCTGGTGATTTATCCATGGATGATGACTTTATTAAGGATTCAGTTGAATTAGCCCCAGTTAATTATGCCAAGAGTTTGACTTATTATAACAAATCAGCCAGATTGAACTGCTTATTGGCCCAAGTTAGATTAGGTATAGTTTATGAAAAGGGAGAATTAAATCGTCAGCAGAATCCAAACAAGTCAATTCAGTGGTTCATTAAAGCTTCTTCGTCGCCATTGTCATTCAGAAGACATCCAGAAGCAATGGTTGGATTAGCAAGATGGTATTTACGTGGTACTGATGGTCTGAGTAAATACGTACCAATTGCATCTCCCGAAAAAGCAGTTATGTGGTGCGATCGGGCAATCAAAGAGTTCAATTCTCCTGATGCGTTGTTCATGATGGGAGAATTGTCAGAAAGAAGATACACTAATTCTAATCCACAATTGTGGTATAAAAAGGCATACGAGTTAGGGTCAGAAGCAGCTGGAGAAAAGTTGGGTTATGTTTAAAGGTAAAGGATACAATAAATATTACAAAAAGAGTTTACAGATATAGTAAAAGAAAAAGAGGAAAAGACCAAAAAAAAGAATCTCATACACATGAAGCATCACTCCCATATAAAGCGCATAGTTCAGGATAAGACATTTCTTCAACCACAACCACAACCACCACAACCACAACCACAACCACAACCACAACCACAACCACAACCACAACCACATCCACATCCACATCCGCAACCACAACCAACGGGTCACGGTTTTCAAGTTTTTTTAGAAGGTTAATTATTCGAGCATTGCCTGTTCAATTGCTTAGTCATTATAGTTAGTTTAGTTTGTTTGATTTTGTTGCGATAAGGTTGTGTTTGCCTACATTTTTATTCATTATTTATTTATAAATAGTTTTACATCGTTATTTAGTTTTAATTTTAATAAATTGCAATTGTTTAAACTAGTTGATCATAACCAGAAGTAGTTATGTGAAATTTTGCACCCGGCGAGGGGAAGGGTGGAGAGAGAGAGAGAGGCAGAGATATATATACATATAGTACTATTGCCGTATGGTTTAGGGCGAAAGGTAGTGTTCTTGTAAATTTTGTGGCCTCAGATATGAGCCCACTCACCAATGGCGCGACAGCCGTCGCCCCGAAATGAAACGCAATTTATTTTTCTCTTCCCCTAATTTCTCTGTTATCTTTTTTTTTGCCCTGCGCCGCCGGGACAACACAGCTTGTGCCTCTCTTATCTGACAGTACCTGCACAGTTACGTTACCACTGCAACCAGAAAGTAACCTATTGTTGTGGTATCAATATTTACACATCCAGATTGCTGCCACTACTCCTTTCGGCTCATCATATAAATCTAACTGAATATAACCAAATAGTATACAAACAGTAGTTCACAACTTTCCTTTTGGTTACACACACTAGCATAACATGACCGAGCCTCAAAATATAGAATCTTCTAAACGAAGAAGATCTATCGCATTGTTGACAAAACCCCCCTTATCACAATCACCATACTCCTCATCGCCATATTCGCCATCGCCACCACCCCACAGAGGATCGATGTCCGTGAGCAACTCCTATGTTGCTAATGCCCAGTTCATGCGTGGGGGCAGTGGGGGGGACGACACCGACTCCGTGGCCATGGAAATAGACTCTTCTAAATCTTCCTCGCACACAAACATCGCCATACCACTGAATGATCTGTTAGTGCCACCACAGCCAGAGTTGGAATCGGTTGATTTCAAAGCGGGGATTGACGATCCTAATTTGATCAAGCGAGTATCTAAACATTTACCCCAGGACGATTCGTTATCACAAGAAGGGGCCGACATAACTCGAGATTTATACAAGATTAGTCATGGCCAACCCAAGTTGAAGCGATCCCAAAGTTATGGCTCGATGCTGTCTCGTAGATCAAGTGCTAGCTCGTTCAATGTGCCTGGGGGTTTCAGAAGAGAATTTCTATTACAACAAAGTGCCAAGGAGGAATCGTTACGAACTAGAACCCCCAACTTCTTAACGAGAAATTTCATTGAATTCTTGAGTATCTATGGACATTTTGCTGGTGAAGACTTAGAAGATGATGAAAACATCGCTAATCATTACAAGTATTTACTTCCTCTGGAGGAGTTACCTTTGATTGATGAAAATATCAACCCCAAGGGAACAGCCACGGATAAAAAGGCATATTTATTGTTATTAAAGGCGTTTGTTGGCACTGGGGTTCTTTTCCTCCCCAAGGCATTTGCAAATGGTGGATTGCTATTTTCAATTTTAACCTTGGTATTTTTCGCAGCCCTTTCATATTGGTGTTATTTGATCTTGGTGTATACTAAAATTGCAACCAAGCTTTCGAGTTTCGCAGAAATTGGGTTGAAGTTATACGGTAATTGGTTGCAAAGGTTGATTTTATTTTCAATTGTCATATCTCAAATTGGATTTGTTGCTGCTTATATTGTATTCACATCGCAGAATCTACGAGCATTTATATCAAATGTGTCCCTGTTTAACATGGAAGATTTGAACATGTTATGGTTTATCCTCTTTCAGTTGGCTATAATTGTTCCCTTGTCGTTGATTAGAGATATCACCAAATTGTCATTGCTGGCAACATTGGCTAATTTCTTTATTTTTTCGGGATTGTTAACCATATTGTATTTCATCGTATATCAATTGTTCATGGAGGGGACAGGTGAAAATATTGAATACATGTTCAACCAAAGCGAATTCTCGTTATTCATCGGTACCGCTATCTTTGCATTTGAAGGAATTGGATTAATTATTCCCATTCAAGAATCAATGATTTATCCCAACAATTTCCCCAAAGTTTTAGCCCAAGTAATTGCAACAATCGCCTTGATTTTTATCGTCATTGGTACTTTGGGTTATATGACTTTTGGCGACCAAATTCAAACCGTGATTTTGTTGAACTTGCCTCAGGATTCACCCATGATTATCATGACTCAATTGTTGTATTCATTTGCGATATTATTATCTACACCTTTACAGTTGTTCCCAGCCATCAGATTAGTAGAGTCAAAGTTATTCTTCACCAGTGGGAAACGGTCGGTTGGGGTGAAATGGTTAAAGAATTTGTTTAGAACCTTGTTTGTGGTGTTGACGGCATACATTGCCCTCATCGGTGGTAAGAACTTGGATAAGTTTGTTTCATTTGTTGGTTGTTTTGCGTGTATTCCCTTGGTTTACATGTATCCGCCAATCCTACATTTAAAAAGTTGCTGTAAAATTCATAACGGGTTACTGGAAGCAGAAAAGAGGTCAAGATACTGGTTGGCCGTGCTTGATTACATTTTGGTCTTTATTGGTGGTGTAGCGATGATCTATACAACTTATCAAATATTAGCATAAAAATACACATTTTGCATTTTCCTTATGGTAAGTTATCCTTAATGAACTTTCTAATATCGTGAATACCGGATTCAAGAGAATCTCTAGCCTTGACTGAGTTTTCATCTAAATCTTGCTTGAGCTTTTGATATTGGACAATCAACTCTTGTCTTTGTTTGGCAACTTCGGGAAGCTTGTCCTGTTCTAACCTTTCATATTTCACGCCAATGGCTTGGTAAGTCTTTGGCATGTAGTAGCTTAAAGCGCCAGTTCCAATTGCAGTAGGAACAATGAATCTGATAGGCAACGCTCTATTTCTCACCAATATGCTTCCGGTCAATGCACCAGTCAAGATATAAATTAAACCAGGCAATACCGGGTCTTGCACTACGGTATGGATTTCCAGTTTTAAACAGGTGACTTCGTTGTGAAAGGCCGATTTCAAATTGGACAATTCGGCGTCGAACAACGAGAACTTGTGATGCAAGTAATGTCTCACTTTATTGGCGTATTCCTCAAATATTGGTGTGGTTCTAATGGTCATACCGTCCACGAATTTGACATCTTCTCCTCCGCTAGGAAGTTGTTGTTGTTTTAACTCAGGTGAAATTTCAACATTGACGCCTGGCTTGTTTATTATCAACTCGTCATCTTCATAAAAGGATCTTTTACCCATCTTGTACTGTACTTCTATGTCTGTTAAGTATGACCATTGTGGTCAAGCCTATTTTTTTTTCGTCCAGCCAATAAATTGACTTGGAAAATTGTGAGACTGTTGAGCCGAATGCGGTGCGGCTCAACGAATTGCAACAATGGTGTATAGACGTGGTCTAGCATTGCTCTAGGAGTGCTCTAGTGGAGACACGGTTAACAGGTAAGTTGTCTTTATTAATCCTTCTATAAAATATACAAGAAACAAAAATAAATAGAGAAGGTGTCATTAATTATCGTCCAAAGATTCCCTTCTTTTTCTTCTTAAGTTTATCCCCTCCAGGCATATTTGACTGCGAAATGCCCCCTAAGGGCTTTGCATTCAAATCGTTAATTGAGGGAGAAGTGGGAATATTGTCATTACTTCCATTAGAAGTACCACTTGATGAAGACTGGGAATAATTTTGCGAGCCATGATGGTGATGAGGATTGTTCCCATCGCTTGATGATTGCGAATAAGACCCGTTAGGGTGAGTAGTGGACAAGTTCATGGTCGTGGTTGATCGTTTTGTCATGCTTGTAGGAGAATTCAATTGCTGACTACTGAATGACTTTCGCGCAGTTGGAGCAGCACCGGGCATGCCACCTCTGCCACCCATATCAATTCCCTCCATATTCAACCCCATGTTTGATCTTCGATTTTGTTTCTTGGGGTTTTGCTTAAATCTATGTTCAAGGTATGGATCAATCGGAGCACCATTGTCATAGCCACTTGGTGGTGCTGGTTGTTGTTGTGGTTGTGGTGGTGGAGGTTGTTGATAAGGTGGGTATTGTTGTGGATGATCATAGTATGCGGTGTTGGTGCTTGAACTTACACGTCTAGGCTGGGGTGGTGGTGGATGGTGGTATCCATTCATGGATCCTGCACCGGGAGCCATAGGGTATGACTGCTTATTTGGAGGATATCCCTGTTTCAATGGCAACGAGGTGACAGACATACCATTTGGTGGTAAGCCATGTGGAGGTTGTTGATAATAAGATCTTTGTTGGTGTGGTGCTGGTGGAACCGATCCAGGCATAGGGCCAGGGCCATGGGTAGGTCCAGGTGCATAATATTGTTGGTCATAATATGGCTGTTGGGGGTAATGTGGTTGTTGTTGTTGCTGCTGCTGTTGTTCTCTCATAGCTAATGCTTGTTCTCTTCTTTGTAATTCAAGCTCCTTTTGTACTACGTGAGGTGGTAATGATACACTTGGGGCATCGACATAGCGATCTGGGGAGACATTTCTCGGAGCAGCTACAGCGTCACCAGGAATGGTTTGTGGCACTTCCGATGGTTGATGCTCTCCGTTTAATGCCATTCCATATTGTACAATATCGGCTAAATCGGTTAAATTATTGGTCACTACCGAATCTCTATTTGTCAGATGGTCATCTGTTCCTGGAGTTGGTTGTTGCAAGGGTATAGAAACATCTGAAGAAGTAGAAGATTGGGCTTTCTGATACTTTTCATTCAATTGTTTCAACTTCTTGTCATAGTCAATCTGTAAAATTTGTAATTTTTTATCAAATTCATATTGAACTGTAGATAATTTTGATTCATTCTCGATAGTTTGTTGTTTAAGTGTTTTCAAACTATGTTCTTGCTTGATGATATCATTATCTAAATTGATCTTGTTTCTTTCCAATTCTTTAATCGATCCTTCTAATTGGCTTAATTGATATGTCTTTTGTTTTAAATCTTCATCAAGAGAAAGATATTGGTCAAACTTGGCAGAATCTTTCCTGACAAAGAATATCGAATCATTGGAGTTGATTTTATGATATTGACACATTATTGAATACAAGTTTTCCAAATATGGGGATTTCAATTTGTGATCGTCGCTTAATAAAATCGGTTGCAATAATAACAAATCTAGCTCCAAGTCATAATGATTGTAGTAATTATACACCAAGCTTGGTGAATTCACAAACTTATCACTGGACTTTTTAGGGTAACTCTCGGATAACCCTTTCAACAAGTTTAATTCATTCTCAAACCCTTTAACTAATTTACAATTCATCTTCTTTATAAGTTTAAATAACTCATTGATCAATCCGGTTATCAATGGCTTACTCAAGATTTGGGTTTGTAAATCTTGGGGGAACTCGGTTTCGAAAATAACCATTAATGGCGAAAATATAATTCTCGGTAATGCCAATTTCCATTGATATGTCATGAATTCTGTGGGAGTTAACGATTTCAATAATGAAATATGATTATTTGAATCTTCTTGTATTGTTTGCAACAATTTGTAAATGCGGTGATAGTTCATATTGGAACTTATACTCTTCAGGCCTAATGCAGAACCAAAATAAATTCTGGTGTCTTTGTTTCTCACTTCATGAGAATACACATTCTTGGAAACTCGCTTAACGTCACTTTCATTCATAATGGACAAAACTTGGGCTTTGGTACTTACAAATGGCTCAAGGTTTATGTATCCAGTCAGTTCAATCACTATAATGGAGTCTCGATCGATAAAGGGCACTATTTCATTGGATACGTTTTGGAAATCTTGCAAGGATGAGCAACTTAATAGAAATATGTCGTATTTATTGTCGGGGACTTGGGTTAAACTGTTATAGATACGATGGGGTGTGTATTGGGAGTTCCCAAATACAGAAGATTTCCATGAGACTGGGGCTGTGGGGTTTAATTCATTATTCACGATTGTTATTTCAACGGCATTGGTCTGGTGAAATTGCCATGCATAAAATGCGATATTGGGGTTTGAACCAACTAGAACGTTTGTTAGTAACTTTGTTCGGGGCGGAGTAGGATGGGGCATCCGACGACATTCGCATAGATCCTGGGCCAGCTGGAGAAGATTGCGCGTGAGTAACTCCCTATAGGAACAGTTGGGAACAGTTGGGAACAGTTGGGAACAGTTGGCAACAGGAACTTGACTGAGCCTCTTTTCCAGGATCATCAAGTTCCAGTTCCACAGCAAGAACACTTCTGATTACACAGCATGACACATCACATACCAACCTATCCCCTTTGGAATCGTGTCACTGCTGACACCTTGTCCGGGCAATATCCGATGAATCTCAATAATACATACTGGTAAGGACCTGAACTTTTGACATTTGACAGGTTGAAAATTGTTAAAATGAATGAAAATAAATAGTAGGAGAAACGAGTAGATGAACTTATAGATTGATTCGTCCTTCTCTTTTTGAAACGAAAGTGATATAAACTGGACGATTGGCGTGGTAGTATACGTTTCTAAAAGTTTTTTGGTTGTAAGAATTTTTATGTGTGTCAGAGATTAAATTATTTTTTTTTTTGTTGGCTATATATAAAATAAAATTTTTTTGAGGGGGGCAGGCCACTGAGTCGAGAACAGGAAAAAATTCTATGCAGTCTTTTTTCGCTGGCGGTTTAAAGTGAACAATTGAGGCTTACAATGATAAAAAATAATACAAATTCTAAGTACCGACGTACACAAAACAAGTATCGAGTGGAAGAGCCGGGTATGTTCTGCCTTGCTGTAATAGCTTGCTACTGTTGATTATGGAGATCTAATTGGCGTCAGACACGATCCCTCGCTTTTCTAGATCGGCGTTGTTCAATTTCAGTGGGAACACATTCTGCGGTAGTTCGTTCTTCCTGTAGGTTTAGATCGTGCGTTTATCTGCCTGGGCATACTTGGTTTTACCACATTTTTTACCCTTGATCTCCCTCTCATTGGAGCGCTGCTGTATAATTCCGAAATGCACAGTTCATCCAACACCATGTTGACCTCTTTCTGGTTTACCCCAGTAGTGTGCCTCACCAGTGTATGTGAAAGATCCCATAAAATCTCGTATAAAAATATTTTATTTTTTACGAGTGAGAAATCATATGAATTCAGAAATCAAACATTCGGAGAGACAGGAGAGTTAGGTACATGGATTGCCAAATGCTGACCCAATACTTTGTAATTATACATTATGTGATCGTTTACCTGGTGAAACGATCCATATTTTGTGTGTTACAGTGACAATATGTATGGTTTTTCAGATGTGGAACAAACCCACTTTGTCCAACAATGGCAATTTAATTTCTTAAATAGGATGTGCCATAAAGTTTTTTTTCTTTTTTTTTTTTTTTTTTTTGCTTTTAAGATACTTCTAAATTTGGAAGTCCTGCGTATTAGATCGCGTCAAATCTTACCTAGTTGCTGACAAGGCTTATCACCAATTGAAACACAATTGTATTTAAATTGCTACGGCCGTTGTCGATGTATTGTGATTCGTCGCTTCTGACGTCGGCATCCACAAAAGCTTGTGGTTTTTGCCTGGGCAGTTCACCAAACACATTCTTTGACAATTTTGTTCACCGAGTCTTGTGGAAAATCTGGTCACGTGACTGGTTTGCTGCCATCACCAACTGAAGAGAAAAATTTTCTGGTCAAACGTACAACACAGGTTTGCTTCTTTCTTTACCGTAATCCATCCCAATGGCGTCGTTTTTTAGTATACGCAGTCTAATTAACTTGATAGCCGTTGGTATGTCTATCGCGTTCACTGTGAAGGGGTTTATTCTGCTTGCAGGTACTCTTTTGTGTGAACAAGGGATCTTTTTCCCTTAGGTGGAAATATGATGGTTATTATAGAAGAAGCAAAAAAAGGGTGTATCTCCGGTTGATGAAGCAATAATGAGTCTCTCGGTCATGATCCCTTTTACATTTTTAACCTTTGTAAATTTGACGTGTCATCTCTTAATTAAACTATACGAATCTTTTCTGGTTTAGGTATAATACGAGAGAGAGAGACAGATCCAGCTAACGCGTCTGGTTTTTTCCGTCTCTGGTATTTACCTTTTTTCACAAGTATCTTGTTGTCGACACATTCCATTAGGAAACTACATCGTCATGCCCCGTGGACAATTGATTCTCATTGAAGGATTGGATAGATCGGGTAAATCAACCCAAGCATCGTACCTCACTTCAAAATTATCCCCGTCTAAACTAATCAAATTTCCGGATAGAACTACCCCAATAGGGAAACTCATAAATGAATACTTAACCAACAAATCATTCGCACTTAATGATCAATCTGCACACTTGTTGTTCCTGGCCAATAGGTGGGAATTGAATGAAGAAATTCACCTGTTGTTGAACCAGGGTTACTTTATTGTTTTGGATAGGTATATCTATTCAGGATTGGCATATACCCTTGCAAAACATGATTTCCAAGGTGAAGGAGTTTCGTCGGGTGGCAGCAAAAAACAATTAGGTGACATTGATTGGTTACTTGGACCAGATAAGGGGTTACCCAAGCCGGATTTGACCTTGTTTTTGACATTGGATTTGCAAGAAATTAGTAAAAGGAAAGGATTTGGCGATGAACGGTACGAAATGGAACAATTTCAAGCAAGAGTCAAGCAATGCTTTTTAAAAGTGTTGCCTAAGGAAGACAACGTCCAAATTGTCGATGTTGGCGGGAAAACTATAGAGCAAGTTTCGGAAGAACTTTGGAACTTGATTGTATCTAAACTGAAACATATACAGACTAACAACCCTATAGAACTAATCTAGTTTATCTAATACAGCTAACCTATTCAATATCTTTGACTTCAGTATCTGTTGTATCTCTCCTCCGAGGTATAGTTCGTCGATTATAAAGTACAACTTGTAAAAATTAAACACAAGATCGACCTCGCAGACATTATTGAAATAATCGTCGAGTATTTCCACCAAGAAATGCAAACTCTCCAAATAACTTAATTCTGAATCGTTTAAATCAACGAGACAGACGAAATATAGCCCAGCATATCTTCTGTAAACTAATTTGTTTTGATAAAACTCGACAAAATTCGATTGGTGTTTTGAATCTCGACTATTTATCAATCTATGGATCTCTTGAATATATTGCTGTTTTGTTTGGGTCGTGTATGTGTTGTTGAACCATTTCACTAATCGGGTCTTGCCCTGTCGATTTAAAATAAGGAGAAAGTGTATGGCCATTTGTGTGATCTGTGGTTGCTATCGTCACAGACATTTTTTTCAGTACACTTTGTTTTCTGTCTGTCTCCTTCCCCCGCCAGACATACAAACCAAATTATCGCGTAATAAAAGCTCCACGTCTAGTACTCCACACTAGCCATGGAATCCGACACAGAAGAAGACGATAAACAGTATCAACAGTATGAGATTAGAGATGGGATACTCTTTCTTATTGAAATCACCCCTGATTTATTAAAATCAGACAGCAATCTCGGATCCCATTCGCAATTGTATGAAATTTTATCCAGTATAAATGACTTGATGTCAGAACTAATAATCACGATGAAAAACACCGGAATTGGGATATACTTCTACAATTGTCTGCCGTCTCCAGTGTTGAAACCCATGAATCAACCTCCTGGATTCTACAAGCTTTTCCGATTGAATGTGCTCAATTTGCAAAATATGAAACGATTAAACGACATAATTCAAGATCTGGCAATCAACCCCGTGGAGGGATTATTCAAGTACAAACGCATGGAAGATGAGAATCATTTGTCTGTGGTGTTGAACAAAATAATTGACGAATTTTCCAGCAAGACTGAATTCAATAGGAAGAAACTCATTTGGATCACCAATAATGATAAACCATACACTGAAACAACAACCAAGGACAATTTATGGAGAATAGTCAATGATTTTTACAACTACAAGCTCTTCATAGACCCCATGTTTCTTTCCTCGGGTGGCAAAAGATTCGATACTGAACTATATAAAGATATTTTCCTAAATACCAATTTCCTAAAGCCGACCCAGTCACAACATGACAATGAGCCAACATCCAAGGATTCACCTGTGAAATCCCTCCTTTCCAGTCAGATTAGGCAATCAATCTTTCGTATCAAAGAAGTCCGTCGTATTCAATTCTCGTGTGACTTGATACTCAGCGATGACGGGTCTGTGGGAGGTAACTTTGGATGTTCAATTAAAGGGTATACCCTTTACAGCCATGAAAGATACAAAAAGGACTTGTTGTTGTATACAAAAGAAGAATCAATCAAAAAAGTCCATTCAAGTTCAGAAATAATATCTGACTCTGGAAAAATTAACTTACCTAAAGACAAGGCCAAATCACTTCAAGAAAGTAAAGAAGCAGCCGGTATTAGAAAAGGGTACGAAATCGGTGGAGGACAAGATGTAATCTTCTTAAATAAAGAACAGGTTGACTTTATAAACAATTATGCTTTTGATCACAGATTAATTGAGAAAGATGAAGATGGCGACGAAGATGATGATGATGATGATGAGGATAAAACTTATATCGCTACTTCAAAACCACCTTATTTGAAATTGCTTGGATTTCGCGATATACAAAACTTTAATCCGGTTTATTCATGTGGTTCACCAATATTTATAACTAGTGATATAACAACATCCACTGGTTATAGCAATTCGCTCGAAACTTTAGCATCGTTGTATCGTTCATGCATGAAGCTTCAGCAGTATGCTATTGTGTTTGGGTGTATTAAGCGGAATTCACTGCCTTATTTATACGCATTGTATCCTACCCAGACCATGAATTCAACGAAATTGGTTGAAGGAGAAGAGTTTCCCCAGGGATTCCTTTTGATTAAATTACCTTGGATTGAGGATGTGCGTTCATTGCCTCAAGATTTCATCAAAGAAATACATGAAGAACCTGATGCGACATTGGTTGACCAATTCAAATCACTATTCAAGAAGTATGAACTTGATAGTTATGACCCCAAACAATTCCCGAACCCTTCACTTAATTACTTCTACAAAGTTTTAAAATATGAAATTTTACAAATGGAATTATTACCCGGTGAAAGAAACTTATCTTCAAATGACGTTACTATACAAAGATTAATGGAATTGAAACAAAAATTTGACTCGGATGATTCTGCTCAATATATTCTTAATCAGATAAACTCAAGGTTGAGTGAGTTGGAAGAAAGAATACCAAAAAGAGTGATTTCCGAGGATAAACCAGTCAAGAAGGCAAAAGTGGTGGAATTGGATGAGCTGGCTGTATTGGTTAAATGGAACCAAGGTAAATTGAACGATTTTACCATGGAACAATTGAAGACATTTGTCAAGAAATATCCTCAGATTAAAGTGGGATCTAGAAAATCAGAAACAATTGAAAATATTTCGAGATTCTTGGAATCAAGAGAACATAAGTAGTGTAATATATGGTGTTCTGTTTTGTAAGTTATTTTCTAAGGTTTTCAAACCTTCTTTCTAAACTCGTAGCATTAGGAAATTGCACCTGAAAAATGGTTGCAAAAAAATTTTCCCTTGTACTTACTTCGAATTTGTTAACCTAAACATTTAGAATATGTTGATTATTTTATTATTAGGTCCCTTTTCATGAGAATCAACAACAAATCAAGAGTGGTCTATTGTTGTTGTTGTTGCTTTTTGAGCACACACTTTTGGTTCAAGACGGGTGTATTTCGCTCAATAATTTGACTTTTACGTTTACTATATTTTCATTTCTGATTGGCAATATACACTAAGAAGTTCTTAGACAGGTTAGACCGGATGTTTCCTTTGTGACACCCAAATATATAGATTCAGTCAGACATTCACCTCCCTGAATTACAAAGGTATATAGTTTTGGTTTTTAGAATTTCCAGAGAAAAATTTACAAAATTTATCAAAATTTATCCAAATTTAGAACATACAAATTGACCCTATAAACTTATTTTCTTTACTTTAAAAGTATACAAACACATTTGTTTGTTTCTGTAATATCTATTAATAGTAATTTTAATTCCCTTTCAGAAGTGGAAGGATGACTTTTTACAACATTTTAAATAATTCAAAGAATTCAAAACATGACTTCTCAAGGAACAAAATTCAAAATCCGATTTTGAAAATCTCTCCTGGTAGCTTAGTTGGTTTAAAGCGCGAGACTGTAATGAGTACCTCAAAGTAATCTTGAGATCGGGTGTTCGACTCACCCCCGGGAGAATTTTTTCTTCGAGTATCAACTTTTTTTTTATTTTCTTTTTTCGCGACCTCAAATTTGAGTTTCGGCAAATTTGACAATTTCCGCGCGGGACTATTATCCACTATGAAATTCGCAAAAATTACATTCATACTTAACTCCGCAAACATTATTTTTATCCCGGCCGTTGAAGTTGCAACCACAGTCTGGTGATTTCCACTAAAGAGTATTTACAAAGTTATCATCAATCAAAAGTTTTATGTTTTGTTAAACTTTTAGATTGAATCTTGCCAGCTCGCTTGGAACAAGTAAACGTCGTGTGACGATTAAATTCCAAAGTGATGCCAAGTGTAATTGTGTGGTAATTAATCAGCTGTGCAATGTGTTAAATGGACTTGGCATTTAAAGTCCCCGAGAGTTTTTTTCTGTCTGATCTATTTTTACGCTGGTCATGCTTTTCGCGTTTACAGGGATCCGGTTGGCAATAGCCATATCCGAATATTCCACTATTGTTCTGGAGTTAACGGTTATAGCTCCGATAAATGGCGATTTATATTTTGACAGATTTTCATGATCATATCGGAACAAAAAATATCGACGTGTTTTGTACTAAATTATGTGCGAAACTTTAAAATTTTTTTCTTTTCTTGGGCCCATTAAGTCATTTCGAGGCAGAGATTTAGACCAAAACCTGAAATTTACAACGGTCGAAATGTCGAAATTTGCATTTAGGGCCCCCCTCCCCTTTTTATTTATTTCCGATAAACCGGTTATATCGCAGCAAATAATTCAAACCATGTTTGAAGTAGCATGAGTATGCATGGAAATATCGGCGCCTTCCGATTTATGTTTGCTAGTTGCTCTTAATGTTGTCTAGGCGCAACCATCTCCCCTCTATATCATCTTATTGTTTGCCGAGCCCATACATTGTTTTCCCGCAGTGGGAATTTTTTGCCGTGATCAAGCGCACAAAAACCTCATACAAAAAATCATCCGACCCCCGCTTATCCCCCCACATATTCCAGCTAAATTATTTTACACATTTTCTCTTTATTTTTTTGAGTGATTATAAATGTTTAAAACCTCTGACGTAAATATATAAACACGTCAAATTCCCACTTGTTACCAAACTTGTATTGCTTACCCATAGTTTAATGCGTTTTGATTTGAGTGATCATATAAATTTTCTGTGTTGTCCCAGTATCAGTAAAGACCGTTGCCACTTATAGATAAACCCATTTGTTGTTGTTGTTGTCGTCGTCGTCGTCGTTCCCCCCCTATTTCACAGTATGTCATCCCTAGAATCTAATAGTTCACTGGCTGAATTACCTAAGTATTCTACCCTTGATGAAAGCCTTCCGTCTTACTGTCCCTCATTGAATTTCTATGGAGTCGCATTAATTAAAACCGAATTCAACTCCCCATATCATTATAATAATGGACCAAGGACGTGGAAACCAGTTCTACTCCATATAAACTCCACCCAGTTGAATATTTACAATTTGAACCTAGACAAAAAGGTCCATGATTTGCTAGTTTCGCTTTATTCGGAGTTAAACTCGTTAAATGACCTCGCCCTGCAGATAAACGCCGATTATAAAAAGAGCAGTCAGTCGCATTCAAATTCCAGCGACAGCGTGCTTGATGATGATATGTTTGGTTCTGATGCATATGGCGGTAACTATTCCCGTAAATCCTTAGTTGATGAATCCCCATTTTCAAAGTTTAAAACCAGAAGACAAGCTCAGAAACAACAAAAGTGTTTGTCCAGCTTGGGAAACTACTATCACTTATTTAAAGATAACAGGTTCTTATTTGAACCAACCCATTTAGAATCAGAATACCAGAAATTTAGAGGATATCAAGGAGAATTAATAAACTCGTACTCGTTAGCTCATTTACAAATCGGAGAAGCTCCCTCATTGAATCACCTTATATCCGCCATGTTCAAAGAAGAAAACATTTATCTGGATTTTATGAATGATGCTTGTTTGGTGAAATACAAGAATGTGTTGCGGCTCAGAATAGAATATAAACAGTTGTTGTTTCAATTTTGGTCATTCCATGGTATGATTCATTGGTTTAGAAACCTTTCGATCGGGAAAGATTTAAGTGTTCCAATTGAGAGCAGAACAATCACCAAGTTAAAATCCATACCTTCTAGAAATTCCAGACGAATGAATGAGTTAATAATAGCATCCGCTGCAGCTGTGGAGTACGGTGGACACGCTGATGCAATATCAGAGTCGGAGTTACCGTTGAGGCTATTCACCAGACCTCAATCAATTAGCGAAAAAGACGAAAGTTTGTACGACGTTTCGTCCTCAAATTCTTCAGATCAGGAATCTACAGTTTTTGAAAATGGAAGAAGAGGTTCCAACCTGACATCTATATCGTCGGTTGGCTCTTCGTTGCTTAATATGGGAAATTTCAGTTCTACCGTCACGGTGCAGAATTTCGAGTTTTACTCACGTGATGGGTTTTATACGACTTTGGAAAAACAGTACATTTCCAACTGTATTCCCGATTTGACATATTGTGAGAAATGGTACGGGAAACTCCTTACAATTAGTCACTTTGATAAGTTTATCAAGGATAGAAATATTAAATTTGGAGAGGAAATCTTCATTAGAAATAGTGCATTGGATTCTTTAATCAAATCGTTTGACAAGAATAGCAACAAGCTCGAACTGCTGATTGGTAATTCCAAGACGTTTTTGATCCACCAGAGTGGATTATATTGTATAGACAATCATGCTAAGTAATGACAAAAAACTAATGAATGTAACATTAAACAAGCGACCGTGTAAAAAATTTAGTTCTCGTGTCTCGCATGACCTTGCATACAATGTTTACCTTGGATGCTAGGCAGTGCATGTCACATCGTGATTTATGTGCAGTAGCAGTAGTCGTCTCCGACATAGTAAAAAAAAAAAAATAAAATAAAAATAGTGGTGTCGTAAATTCTGAACAACGAAAGCTTCTCCGATCTTCTGCCACGCAAGAGTTTTGAAATTGAATTTTTTCCGTCCACGAACCCTTTTGATCTCCAGAAGTAACCAAGTCAACAAAACCTTAGTTTATACAAACAGGCAGTCAGAGAGTTTTCAATCTCAATCAATCAAATTAAAAACTAATCCTGCTTTAACTCCTCCCCCCCCTCCCTACCAGCTGCTTTTTTCTTTCCCCAAATCTATTGTCAATTTTTTAGGTTTCTGAAAAAGCATTGCCCATTGTTTCATATTTAGCTGTTTACTACTAACGTTCCTATTTGCCCACCATGCCAACTCCTGCTGAAATTATCGCTGCCCGTCTCAATAACGAAAATCTTTATGACGATGCTGTTGCTGAAACTCTTGAAGTTCCAGCCAACAATGAAGAAGCCTCCGCCAAACGCTCGATTTCAGACGAAGTAGCCTTTCCTACTTTGGGTGGGAAACAATCCAGTTCCCCATCACCTGTGCCTCAATCTATTCCATCTTGGGGCCCAAGTATGAAGACTCCGGTTAGTGTTAGCTCGACTCCAAAGTCAACCCGTTCTCCAACCCCAAGGGTCGTTGGAAATGGTATGAAGTCCAAGGTGTCTACCATCCAAGAAGCCTTTGCTTTGAACGTGGAAGACCAATTGAATGTTGCACGCCCTGACTTTATCAAGATTTTGACCTTTGTCAAGCAAGAAACCAAAACTAGTATTGAATGTACCACTTCTCAACACACCAAGAAGAGAACCTTTTTAATTACTGGTCGTCCTGAAGAAGTCAAGTTGGCTAAGAGATTAGTTATCAAGAAATTAACTAAACCAGTTCAAATTGCTTTCACTGTTCCTGCCAAGTTGAGATCAAGAATTATTGGTCAAGGTGGTAAGAATTTGAAGCCAATCATTCAAGCCAACGAAGTCAAGATTGAAATTGGTGATGAAGAAGAAGAAGAAGTAGAACAAGAATTAGCTGATAATGTCGCTGCTGATGAAGACCACGATGATATCTTTTCCAAGACTGTTACTGTTACCATTGATGGTGATATTGAAGGTTCTAAGAGAGCCAAGAACCAAATCTTGGCTATTGTTAAGGAAGAAACGAAGAATTTGTCCACCAAGGTTCCTGTTGATGAAATCATCAAGCCATTTGCCCAAAAGGCTTTAGAATCTGTTGTTACCAAATATGCTGATCTTGATTTTGCTATTCCTGATTATAAGTCTGAAAAGAACAATATTGTTATCGTGGGAGACCGTGATTCCGTGATTGAAGCCAGAATCGAAATCAGAAGTATTTTGGAAAAGTTAGCTGATAAAATCACCGTTGAAGAAGTTCCAATTCCAAAGGTTAAGCACCAATTCTTACCAATTGATCAAATTTTAGAAGAAGTTAACGTCTTGATTCAATTACCAAAGGAAGGTGAATCCAATGTCAAGTTCATCGGTGAAAAGAGTAAGATTAAATTAGCCCAAGAACAAGCTAGAAAGACCACTTCTCAATACAAGATTGAAGTGTTGGATATGTCCAAGGCCCACAGAGGTAACTTGAAGCATGTTAAGGCTGTTGCTGCTCATTTGAATCAAAATGGCGTTTTCAAGGAGATTGCCCAAACCAATGATGTCAAGATTAATGTTCCTGAAATTGCTTCGTTGAGTGATGAAACCTTATCTTCGATTCCAATTGAAATTGTATCTAAGGGAGATGATGAAAAGATCAAGGTTGCTAAAAAGTCCATTGTTAATCATGTTAATAGAATTACCCCTGATCAAACTCAATTGATTCAAGACATTGACGAATTCTTATTGGGTAAAGTCGATGAAACTATCAAGGATGTTGCCAAGTCTACCGGTGTCAACTATGTTGTCTTGGGTAAGAACATTACTCTTTTCTCTGAAAAGTTGGAAACTGAAGAAGCTGAAGATTTTGAAGAAACCAATGCTGCTGAAGATTCCTTCAAGAAAGTTGATGAAGCTTTGAATAAATTAAGAGAATTAGCTACCAAGTTACAAACTGTGGTCCTTGAAGTTGACTCCAAGGATCAACAACACGTTTCTGGTCCTAGAGGAACCACCTTGAGATCTATCTTGAGTTCTGTTGAACCAAACTCCATCACAGTCAAATTGCATTCCAATGGTGAAAAGCAATCTGATAATGAAATCTTTATTCGTGGGTTTAGGGAATCGGTCAGTGCTGTCAGGAAGGACATTGAACAAGTTATCTCCGACGCTCAAGAATTCAAAGATGGATATACCGCCACTATTCAAGTTCCTGCCAATGTTATTTCTAGAATTATTGGTAAGAGTGGTGCTAACTTGATTTCCCTTCGTGATGAGTTTGGTACCAAGATTGATGTTGCTGATGAAAAGGAAGACAACAAGGCCAAGAATGCCAAGGTTGATGTGACAATTACTGGTATCAAGAGAAATGTTGAAGAAACCAAGAGCAAGCTTGCTTCTATGGCTAAGAAATGGGCTGATGAAACCTTGGTTAGATTGAGAATTGAACACCAATATCACAGAAGAATGATTGGTCCTCATGGAATTTACATTAACCGTTTACAAGATAAGTACAACGTCAAGATTAGATTCCCATCATCTGACAATGTCCCATCTAACTTTGCTGACGCTCCAAAAACTAAGGATGAAGTCACCGTCAAGGGTCCTTCCAAGGGTGTAGCCAAGGCTGAGGAAGAATTAAATGAATTGTACCAATTTGAAAAGGAAAATGGATTTAAGCAAGTCATTCAAATTCCAACCAAGGCTGTTGCTAGAGTTATCGGTAAAGCTGGTGAAACCATCAAGGACATTGCTGATGGATCTGGTGTTGAATACAAATTTAACCGTAATCAAGAAGAAGAAGAAAAATCTGGATTTGCCGAAGTTGAATTGACTGGTTCAAAATCTGCTCTTAAGGAAGCTTCCAAGAAGATCAATGATATCATTGAGGAAATTGAAAACTTTGTTTCTACTACTATTAAGGTTAATCCTATTTACCATAGAGATTTGATTGGTCAAGGTGGTTCGGTAATGAAGGAAATTATTTCCAAAGCTGGTGGTGATGACATTCCTAGAAACAAACATTTCAGATTGTTGAACATTCCAAATGAAGGTTCTGGTAGTGATGAAATCACTTCTCAGGGTGATAAGCAAGTCGTCGAAAAGATTATCCAACAAATTAAAGATATTGTTGCTTTGAAGGAAGCTTCGGTTACTGAAGAAATCGACTTACCTAAGGAAAAGCACCGTTTAATTATTGGACCAAAGGGAACCATCCGTCACAGCATTCAAGACGAATTTGGCGTTACTGTTGAAATTCCAAGATCAAATGAAGAATCCACCATTGTCAAGATTGTTGGTTTACCAGAAAAGATTGCTGCCGCTAAAGAAAAGATTGAGGAATTGACTAAGGATGACTGGAATGTTTCTATTGATGTCCCAAGTGTATACCATGCTTTGGTTAGTGAACACGGTGCTATTTTCAAGCAATTGAAGTCTGACTTTAATGTTGAGGTCACCCATGGTAATCTCACAAGACAAGCTTCAAAATTGTCTTCAGCATCCACTATCCCAACAGCACCTGAAGAAGCATACCCTACTGACTCCGCCAACTATTTGTTCACTATTGTTGAAAATGATGAAGAATTGAAAGATGATGGTGTTGTTATTCCATGGAGACTCAAGGGTGAAGAAGCCAGCACAGCAAAGGCAGCCAAAGTTATAGAAGATAGATTAGCCAATGCCAAGAGTGCTAAATTCACAGGATGGTTCTATTCTGCTCAGTCATCCGCCTTTTCCAAGATTATCGGACCTCAAGGTTCTAAGGTTAATCAAATTAGAAAGAAGTCTAATACTTTTATTACCATCCCAAGAGCCAACGACAAGGAATCGAAGTTTATCTACTTGGTTGGTTCAGAAGATAATTTGAAGATCGCTAAAGAAGAGATCCAACGTTTATTGTAATTCCATAATAGAAAAAATAATACGAAATTCTAAGAGAAAGGCTTGTGCTTTGTTGTTTTATTATTAGTTATTTTTGTTTTATACATATATATTTGCATTTTTAGAAAAACAATTTATATAGCAATTTACGAGTTAGGTTATACAAAAAGGGTTCGAAGATCATGCCATACACAAAATTGGATCTCGTGTTGTAAAAACCTTTCTCCAATTTCACACGGAAGACTTGAGATGATCCCATTGGACAAACATACGACAATCTGGAATTAGTCCAACAAACAAAGAGCAACGAAAGGGATTGTTGCAAAAATAATGGCTCGCCAAAAGAAATGAATGGAGCTACTTAGCCATGAAAATCAGAAGACTTTTCGTAATGACAGACTTTCTCGATTAAAATAATACCTTATGCATGACTATAAGGTAAGGCGGGTACAATATGACACTCTGTGCATGAATGATTCCTATTATTTTGTATATTGTATATTGTATTAGGCGATGGAAGTATGTATTTGTCGCATGAAATTATATTTTCTTTTGTTTGGCAGCCACAGTAATTTAACAAACTTTCTGACACCAGAAATGCCAACTGTTGCAACATCTCACGTGACCAGATTCGGACAAGATGCTTGAATTACTTTGGGTTTTTGTCACTATAATCGGAACAATCAGCCGGGATTTGAAGCATATGCAACAAAGATGCTTATGCTTTCGCTTATAAAGCTAAGTCCCCTAGGGGAATGGCACATGTAGTCTATAACATTGCCATTATATAGTAGTAATTGGTGTGACTCTTTTTTAAAAAGGGGTCTATAAACACGATGAGATTTCACGCTAATTTCAACTGATGACCCGCCCTATATTTTCGCCAAAGGTTCGTATAATATAGCTTATCATGAGATGATTTCGCCGCCACCGCATAACCACAGTAGCAACATGTGCCTTTAACAGACCATTTAGATCCGCCACCGCAACCAGGGTCAAATAATATATTGTTTATCTGCAGCCATCTTATTGTTTAACCTGCCACAGAATTTATTTTTTACCACCAATGCCGCTTACTATGTCGGAAAATTGCCGTAGTCAATCTGGAAAAACTCCAGAATTCTGCATATAACCTAATCATTGCAAAAATATTATTTAAAAAAAAGAAACTTTTTTTTTTTTACCAGAGGTGTAACATACTTTTTGATAAAGTCTAAAATTTTTCTTTGTTTTGGAATGTTATAAAAACTTGAACAATTCTGCTGTTTCTTGTAAGAATTCGTTTATCAGAGACTACTACAGTTTACGCATTAGCCATTTATAGGTCAATTGAAATAATCTAAGATGGCTCTTTCAGATATATATAAGAATTCTTCGGAAAAGCACCCAGAGCAAGATACTGATGCTCACAGTCTTTCTACTGGTTCCGAACAAAATGTCGGGGTTGTCCAAGTCGATAAGAATGTCAAGGAAATTGGTGTCATCTCTGCTGCTTTCCTTATGCTTAATAGAATGTTGGGTGCTGGGGTTTTCTCCACTGGTTCCACCATTTTTGCCCTTTCTGGTTCCGTGGGTACTTCCCTTATGATGTGGTTTGCCGGTACCATTATTGCTCTTTCTGGGTTGTTGGTTTATATGGAATTGGGATCTGCCATTCCAAGAAATGGTGGGGAAAAGAATTATTTGGAATATATGTTTAAGAAACCAAAGTTCTTGGTCACTGCTATGTATGCATCCTATGTCTTCTTTTTAGGTTGGGCTGCTGGTAATTCCATTGTCGTTGGTGAATATATTTTAAATGCTGCCGGTAAGGAAGTTACTCAATGGAACTCCCGTGGTATTGGTATCGCTGTTATTACCTTTGCCTTTTTAATCAATGCCATTCATATCAAGACTGGTTTATTCCTTGCTAATGCATTGGGTGTTTTCAAGGTCTTTATTGTTTTGTTTATCACTGTTACTGGATGGGTCGCCTTAGGTGGTGGTATCAAGTCTAACAACTTCCAACCAACTCACAACTTTACTGATGCTTTCAAGGGTACCACTCCAACTGCTTTTGGTATTGTTAACGCTTTATATAATGTTATTTGGTCCTACGTTGGTTATTCTAATGCCAACTACGCCTTGGGTGAAATCAAGAACCCACACAAGGTTTTAAGATTAGCTGCTCCTATTGCCTTTGTCTCCTTGGGTATTATTTACATGTTTGTCAACATTGCTTATTTTGCTGTTGTTCCAAAGGAAGAAATCGCATCTTCCGAAAGAATCTTGGCTGCTGCCTTTTTCAGATATGCTTTTGGTAACAAGGCTGAAAAGGCTGCTTCTGTTTTCGTTGCATTATCTGCCTGGGCTAATGTCATGTCTGTTATCTTCTCCCAAGGTAGAATTGTTCAACAATTAGGTCGTGAAGGTTCCTTGCCATTCTCAAGATTCTTTGCTACTTCAAGACCATTTGGCACTCCATTTGTCGGTTTAATGCAACATTGGATTGTCTGTATTGTCACCATTGTTGCTCCACCACCAGGTGATGCTTATAACTTTATTTTGAACTTGATTTCTTATCCATTGAATGTTGTCAACACTGTTGTCGCCGCTGGTTTACTTTACATCTACTACAAGAAGTCTAGAGGTTTAACTGAATGGAATCCACCAATTAAGGCCAGTTTACCTGTCGTCTTTTTCTTCTTCTTGGCTTCCTTGTACTTGATTGTTGCTCCATATATTCCACCAGTTGATGGTCAAACTGTTTACAACTCCTTACCTTACTGGATCCACGCTGTTGTCACTTGGGGTGTCTTTGGTATTGGTTTAGTATACTGGTTAGTCTGGGTTAAGATATTACCATACTTTGGTAGTTACAAGTTGGTTGCTGTTGAAGTCTTGGGTGACGATGGTTTCTGGAGAAACAAGATTTACAAAGTTTCCAAGGATAGTGTCGAGTCTGAAATACATGATGCTGAATTGGACAAAGCAGAAGTTATTTAAACACACCCATATTAGTCATTTTCCAGATTTTTCAGTTCTTTTAATGTTGATTTTTTAGTTTTACTCTTCCTGTTAATAGTCGCATATTTTCTAGAAAGTATTTTGTTTAATAGACACAAATTATAGTTTTATTCATCAACTTCGTTAAATACCTACTTCCTTAAAATCTCTACGATATATAAAAAAAAAAACTACAAAAACAAAATTAGCTTCACTAAAACCCCTTGATATTTATTAGAATGTGTGCTATGTACAGAAAAAAATATGCCGTATGTGAAATTTAACTTAAATCTTGTGTCTGTGTCCCTTTGGCATATGTAATGGTGACCAGATACCTCTAACAGAGTCGTTGTTAGACATAACCTTATGGTTGAATTTGATCAACTTATTACCTGAACGTTGACTGTATTCTTCAAGCTTTTCCACAATCTTTTCTGAATCCAAATTAGCAATATCCACTACTTGTGTGGTATCATTGTTATAGTGGAAGGTCAAGGATGGATGTCCTGACTTTTTCACAACTTCAAAGAAGGTATACTTCTTTTGTCTTGCAATATGGTCTAATTGTCCACTGGATAAAACTTGACGTAATCCTGTAGAAGAACCACCCCAATTACAGTATTGAACAGTGATTCTGTGACAAGGGGCAACAAATGCACCAACACCATTACGTGCCAACGATATCTTAGGTATAGCTTTGATTGGCATGTTTATATACTCGAATGTAGATGGTAAGCACTTGGTTGGTGCTCATGGTTAAATGAAAAAAATTTTCTACTATAGTTTTTGGTTTTTGAGAATTGAATTTTTTTTAATAAAGTCACGTGATGAAAGTAAATCTCTTGAATTTGCTGCAAATAGGGATAGTATGCAATGGTCTAGAAGCATGAAGATAATATGGACTACAAGTATAACTCTGAATACTCGAGTCTTATTTACTAATTAGTAATAGACATTAAATATTAGCAATCATCTTTTTTTAAATGCCTCGTTCCAACGAGATTGTACAGCAAGCAAGACAAGCAAGGTTAACTTTCATTTTCAAAGTTTAAGTAAACATTTATGACTCTTGGTGTAAACCCGAGAAAATTAGCACAGAAGTCTTTTCAATGAATATATGTATAGGTTTATGCACATACTCAATTTTATGTATTTTGTTCTTTATTGGTATTTGCTCATCATTAAGAATGTTTGATCCATTGCTACTTTATTCTAGCCCATGAATTATTAGCATTATAACATTTCTTACACTGTGTAATACTTCCAGTTCTATTTTATATTCTTGGGTTCTTACTATAGTTCGTTTTTGCTCATTTACTGTGGTTAAAGTGTTTGCTAACAGCTAACAAATGCCTTTGCAACCACAGTTCTGTTTCGAGAAACGAAAAAAAGCAACCTCGCTCTCACTTGCCTATAGGGACAAATAGCCGCAAAAAAAGAAAACTGAAAAAAAAGAGTCAACAGACATATTTTGCCTGCAAAAAAAAAATAAAAATAAAAAATTAAATTCAAATGAAAAACTTTTCATTATGCAATAACTAATGCTAAACTATACCCAAATTTTAAAGTAACCCGTATTGTATATAACAACTCTGACAATTGTGAACTAAAAAGAATAAATAACCCAAATGTAACCACTAAACTGAACCCAATCTTAACCTAATAAAGAATAAAACAAAGACCACTAGTTGGGGATTTGGCACAAATCTTTATGGCTATTAAATGAAGTAATAACAAACTTTGTAGGGACTGATGCGTGAGTTCTTGGTGGTGACAATGGAGTTGTAACCGGAGCAGTAATAATCCTTGGCTTTTCTTGTTTTACTTCTTCGGTCCTTGTTCCTCTTACATTACTATCCTTGCTTTGAAGCTTGTAGTTAACATTAAATAGTGGAGGGAGTGAAATCACATTGACTTCGTGGTTGGCTGCAAGCTTAGCTTCAGTAAATTCAGGAGATGAAATAGGACTTGGATATGGTACTGGTTCAACCTTAGTACTTTTTTCACACTTGACTTGAGTTACTTCAGTTTTGATTGGGGTGGCCAATAATGAACTGATATTACATTTGGTGGATCTAAGAGTGGGTGATTTGGTGATAGAGGCAAGTTCCTTAGTGGTAGCTGGCGCAACTGGTGCAGCTTCTGGCCAACAACATTCCAAGAAATTTCTAGTACAACCTTGACACTTTCCATTTACCTTGTCTTCATCACACTTCTTCTTTCTTTTGCGACAAGTTAAGCAACCTGTTTTAGTTCTTCTCTTTATATTACTATCATCCTTCTTGACCTTGGTAATCTTCTTTGTGGCTGTGGTAATGGCACTGGAAGTTACGGAAGCAACATTAGTTTTGTTGGATTTTTGCTTAATGCTAATATCTAGCACTTGTTGGTATGATCTATAACTAGTCATTTTCCTATAAAATTAAATTGTGAATGATAGATTCAAGCTGTAATGAATAGCGTGAAAAGTTTTCCAATAAATGGTTGACACATTTTGCCTTTTATTTATATATTTGTAGTGGTCACATTAGCGTGTGTCTTTAATTATTGAATCAGTGTAAATTTTTCCAATTAGGAAACTGACATCGAAATAACCGCGATGGTGAGTGATTTTTTGGTTAAGTGAGAACGAAGCTTGAGTGAAAATGGCAATCGTGTGCGGTAAATCTTTCCATTTACAAAAATATGTAGAAAAAAATTCCAATATGGGGCACTTTTTTCAAACAATCTCAAAGTGAATTGTTGCCGTTTAGGGAATGGTGACTCTTTTTTTTTTTTACATATGTTTCCTTTATCCTGAAGGCATCGTACAATTCAATACTAGAACTATTACTAGCAAGACTAAGTTGTTTCCTGTGGCTGCAATATTATTTGTGAACCAGGAAATGATAGATTGTGAAAATCTATATAGTTCAGTAAGTGTAGGTAGAGCCTAATATTATTGAATTCTCTTGTAATCATTTTGTTATGCTGCATTAAAATGTCGCACAAAAGATTCTCAAAATATGGTAGCATGCCATTGTAGGTCGTTCTGTGTAATCATTTGCAGTATGCAACACTTGATTGCACCCAAACTAACCATCTAAAAGTGAGGATTTATTTACATGACAAATATATGATATGTTAGTCACACAAATGTTATAATTTAAAGAGGTTACGGTATTATTTATTGAGAAAATCATACAAGTAGTGTTTTTTTTTATTCCATAAAGCTAAGTCTAACAAGTAAATCCAGAAAATATTTCATTCAACATATGTATCTTTTCCTTTATTCTCTTTTCTCCACAGCCCTGTAGATTTGTGATGAATATATGCTAAAGGATCATCAAGATTCCCCGACTTGAGGAATTTCCTTCCTGGTTGCATACACGTCAACGGCAAAACCATAGCATCAGATATGACTATAGGAAGTTTTATTCCTATAAGAAATTCATCATCAATCAATTTTTCATAGTTATCAAAATCTGTCTGGAGGACATTGTTCAAATACTTGAACACAAGATCGGTCAATCTGCCTGGTCCTCCCCAGTTCAAAACATCAGTACCTTCATCTTTACCAAGTAATGCGGTCAATTGTCCTGTCTCTTCTCTCCAGGAAGTATGTTCAACGATACTGTCAATAATTTCTGCAAGCATTGGATGTCCCTTTTTAGCCAAAAATGTCCAAGCTTCAATTTGCACCCTACGTGCGAAAAGATTCGCCCAATTTTTCTTATGGTAATCAGACTCGAGTCCAACAATTAGTCCTAGATCAATTGGTTTATCCAAATACAGTGGTTGACTGGGGATCCAGCTGCTAATGGGTTTCAATAACTTGGTATCAATATCAGCATAAACACCGCCTAATGCATATAAGAGCAAGTAACTTGAGAAATCGCACCTGTGCATGGTCTTAGGCATGATTTGGTACGCATGGGTTATTTCAGGAATATCAGCATACAATTTAAGTACCAAAGCATCTCGTTCATCATTAGACATTACACGATGTGTATAGTCGGGACTGTTGTCGAGCCAAGTTTGATGAAATTCTTTAAACCGCTCCGGGAAATCTGGATCGTCAAGTCCAACTTTCCACATTTTAAAGATTTGTTTAGGGATAGGTTGGGTGGGGTCATAAGGATACAAAGCCTTTAACTTTTGAAGAACTGTAGTATTATAAGGAATAATTCCGGGATTTTTTGGTTGGAAATTTAATCCAGTTGTCTTATAGTCCGGGTGTAATTCTAACTCCTTGAGGAATTCTACTTTTGGCGACCGATATTGAAAATAGGATTTCATTTGTAAGTCAGTGTCAAAATGAAATGACAGGTAATAGTAAAACACGAATATAACAATAGTACAAACCACAAGAAGGGTGTTCCTGGAGTTCTTACGACCCATCGAGTTCATTGTTTTAAGTAACTTGATCATGGTAGTGTAATTATTTGTAAGTAAGGATGAGTTTGACAAAACTTCATTTGGGAAATTGAGCGCAATATAAACTTTTCCAGATTCGAACCTTTCCAGACTAATACCTTTCCAGATTCATACCTTTCCAGATTCGGATATGTGATCTGAGTTTATTATTTATGTGATGCAGCACCTACAAAAATTTGTCTTGGCGTTCCACCAATATTCTCGAGAAAAACATATCTGGTCCTTTTCTATCAAGATGAAGGTTGTAGTCATTAGTTTCGATACAAAGTTTAACCTAGGCTTAGATTATTTAGCTAGAGCATTTAGAGAAATCATAAGTCAACCTCATAGGTTTGTATTCACATCAACGCAGTTATCTAGTCAAATCTTCTGGAACAATTTTTCGATGCGTGATTGTTATTGTAATTTTTTAATTTGTCACTATAGGAAAAAAAAATAATTTGTAATTTGTAGTGCATGATGTGTGACGCGTGAGCTGATTTGTCTACGTCATAACTATATAGAACTTGATAAAATCAAACGATTTAATGCTAGATTGCATAGCCGTAACTAGCAATATTATAAAGAAAATGCGACAATTTCTCTAAATCCTGAGCTAAAGCTTAATGCTAGAAGAATATGCCAAGGAAAAATTAGTAACACATACGTTATAGGATTGCTGAATACACGGATATAGAAAATCAATGTTAATATTTAATGAGCAAATCAAATCATGAGCCTTGTAGCCTATGAATATAGAGAACGTAGCAAAAATATTAAATAAATACTGGGAATGTCTTATAGAACATACATCTTTTTATCTACATTGTTATCTCTCCACAGCCTCGCTAATTTGTGACAAATATATGCTAATCGATCGTCAATATTTCCCGACTTGAGGAATTTCACCCCCCCCTTAGTTGCATAGATGTCAATGGAAATCTCATTCATATAAAATATAGACGAAATCATTGAAAGGATATAAATGGATTTAGAAAACAAAGACTTTATTAATGTGTAACCAAGCGTTCTAGTATTTGGATCAATAGGAATCAGAGTAAAGAAAAAGGTTGGCATTTCTTCAAACAAGACCTAGATTTATAGCGGTTTTCATAAACAGTTTGTAGTATCTAAAAAGAAAATAAAAAGAAATTGTGGAATTTTATGAAAAGCAACAACTATTGGTCTTGTTTAGTTGTCTTTACAGTTACTTTCTGGTTAACACATATTAGCAACATGTTATATTTTATTGATCAAGACTAGTCTCTGTTAATAACTGGGTTTGGGGCGATGGTCCCTCGATGTAATTATGTAAATGAATTTAAAAGAAAGGAATTTAATAAAATTTCCGCACCCTTTCATGCAAAATGTATTATACCAAAAAAAGTGGCACCCAGAAAGAGTAATTTGCTCTTCAAATCATCACTAATACATGCTATAACCAAATGGAAATCTTAATTTATGCAAAAACTACATCATACAATAATTATAAAGCAAAATAATAGGAAATAAACTAAAAAGAAAAGTCATACCAATAGGTTTTTTCTTAAAATCATGTGATAAAATAAAAAAAACCAAATTTTTGTAAAACGGTCCCTTGGCCCAGTTGGTTAAGGCGTGGTGCTAATAACGCCAAGATCAGCAGTTCGATCCTGCTAGGGACCATTTATTTTTTTTTAACTTTCAGTTTAGTTACAATTGTCTTTTTATCTTTGATGTATCAGATAACTAAAAATTTAATTAGTTTATCTAAACATTGTACAATCTTTTTAAAACTTGAAAAAATGTTGCGTATTCTTCAAACCATATTTAAAAAAGACTATTATTCTGCATCGCAACTAAATCTGAATAAAACTCTCTGCTTTAAGTATACCTCATCTGGTCTTTAAATTTAGTTTCTTTAGAAAACATTGTTGTGGGTTATTTCTGTATGTTATACGTATAAGAATTAGATAAATATTTAGAAAAAGAAGGACTTAAATAGATTAACTTACATCTATACGAACAAAAGCTGTCACAAAGCGACTAGATCATAATATAATTGTTTATTTTTTTTTTAACAAAAAAATCCCTACAGTTTTAAATAATTTCATAAGAGTTCTATATTTTTAAATTCCACAAATTCCGTTTAAGTTGGCTTAAGTTGATTTAAAGCTTGCTCTAAATCACCAACAGCATATTCTTCCTTGTTAAGATCCTTGATATCAGAGATTGGACGTTCACCAATTACAGAAATTCTGTAAGCGTGTCTCACTTCTCCATCTTCGGTGTCAAAGGAAGCTGAATGGGAGACACCACTGTTGTGGAATAAAGCAACCTTTCTTTTTTGACCTCTTTCCCAGTTGACTCTCAATTGAATATCATGACTCTTGACAATATGGTTGTGCAACCAATCTAACAAATTATCAGATTCTTCTTGCTTGAGTTCAACAATACGACGACCAAAAGCTTTGTTAATGTAAAGACTCTTTTCACCGGTAACAGGATCAAGTCTGACTAATGGGTGAATATTGGAAACAGCCTTTCTTCTTTGAACACCACCTTGTTGGGAAGAGTTTGCAGCTTGATCTTCAGAAGTGTGCAAAACATGTAAACCTTCTAAGAATTTTTGGAAAGCAGGAGATAATCTGTTGAAAGCTTCAACGGTATCAGCAAAGACAGTATCACCACCATCACCAGATTCAAGAACTTGGAAAAGTGTGAATCTACTAGGAGTGATTTCGTAGGAGACATCAGAATGGAAACCAGTGTTAGTTGTCTTGTGGGCAAAAATTCTGGATAATTCTCCCTTTTCAGGTCTTCTGTAAGTGATATGTAATTCAGGAGCATCTTTTGGAGCACCAGAAGATGGGTGAACATGTAAGTTACCAAAATATTTACCGAATTCAACCACTTTCTTTGGGCCTTGTTCAGCAAAATCTTGTTCATTGAAAAGTAAAACCTTTCTTTGAGCAAGCAACAAAGCTAATTCATCCTTGGCTTGGTCGTTCAACTGAGACAATTGAATACCATCAATTTCAGAACCGAATTTTGGAGTGATTCTCTTAACAGTATAGTCACCTCCTTTTGGGAACAAGTTTGGGAAAGATGGGTCAGCTCTAGTAGCTGGGTCAATATACTTTTCAAATTTCAAAGATGGCAACTTGACACTTGGGTCCCAAGTTGGCAAGAAATCTGGGTATTTAGCTTGTTCTCTGTTTTGCTTGTTGATGACCAAAACACCATCAGCATCAACTTCATCAAAATCTTTGTTGAAGTGAATATCGGAGTTACCAAAAGTTTGACTCATGATTAAATTTAAGTTTGTTTGCTGAAGGGAACAAAGAAAAGTTTAAATTTGAGAATATCTAATTCATTTATATATCTCTGTCCGGAAGGATATCCCGGTGGAATATGTTAACCACAGTTTGAAATCTAGAAATCTAATATGGTTGCGCCATAGTTGATCTCATTGTTTGGAAATTTTGCAGTCAATCACGTGATGAACCGTTTTTGTTTCTTTGTTAGCACGATAAATTACCCCCCGCTTAGTCCCGCCACAGTAGCATTGTTAACATTATCTTAAAGAACGTTTCCACGGATTACAAATATGATTTCCTAAAGGGGTTAAAAAATGCGGTCAGACCAGCGGACAATTGGAAAGTCGGACATATAGGTATTACGATAATGGTCCTATATAGTTACAATAACGCAAAGAAAGTGGGACCATAATAACATGCTTCAATTTTACAAGCTAAATCAATAAAACAAGAATACACAAAACTAAAAATAGAAAAGAGACCAAGTTAAATTATTTGAAGGTAGTTTAAGCGTTATCCAACAAATAATTTGTAGCGGCTTCTAAATTCCAATTTTCCTTCTTCAATGCATCAGTTGCAGTTTTTTCATCGAAGCCCATACCTATCAACTCTTGGATTGCATACTGATTCTCTTGAGATGGTTTTGCAACCGCATCTGTAGAAATCGTAGGTTGAACATCGCCACTTGAAACTGGATTCACTTCATTGGTTGCCACATTTGCATTTCCGAACCCGGCAAACAATTGCTCCCATTCGTCATTGCCTTCGGCTTTACCATCTTCAACTGAAGTGCTTCCATTTGTGAAATCAGGGGCATTAGAGTTGGTAAATTCATTAGAAAGACCCCCAAAGTCATCTCCTGCAAAATCTTCAACTTCTTCATTATCAACTTTTGCAGCCTCCAAATCATCAAACTCATTGGCAAACGCATCGTCGATGCCTCCTTTATTCACCTCGGGGGTAGCAGGCTGCAAATTATCAAATGCACTATCAAAATCACCAAAATCTGGTGCCTTTAACGCTTCACCAGGAGCAGCAGCAGCTGCAGTTGCAGCAGCGATGGTGGCTGCGTCGGCAACCGGGTGAGTAGCAGCAGGTGACGACAAATGATCTACTGCATCATCAAACTTCTGTTCTTCTTCATCTTCAGAGGAATCACTTTCTTGATAATCGAGTTCCTTGATTGGAGGGAACTCTTCACTCTGATCACGCGCCTCTTCTGAATTGACTATTTCAAAAGATTCATGTCCAGAAGAACCCTTATCACTACCTTCACCACGAGCTTCATTGTCAAAATGATCAGTATTAGCCGTGTTTGGAACTGTCTCTTCGTCATTGCCAATATCTTCAAGAGTTTCACGGTCACTTATTTCGTCAATATTATCATCTCGTACAGATAAAGCAGCATTGTTTTGAACGCTTGATGTCAATGAATCAGTTCTTTGAACACCAACCAAAACACCAGGCATACCTACCATACCACCAACTATACCGGCATTACCAGCTTGAGGGAATTGGAAATCTGAGTTACTAGGGGAAGTTATTGGTGTTTCAGTCTCATCAGCATTATCAGTTGCAATTGAAGAAGTAACGTTTGTATGAGTATCTTCTGGTTGAGAAACAGACAACTCTGGGAATCTCTTGCTAATATCTTCATCGGCAGTTTCAGTTTGAACAGAAGTTTCATCTTCAGCAACACTTCTGTCACTAACTTGTTCTGCGGATTCGGTTGGTTCGCTTGAATCCTTGTGATGAAGCTCACCAGCGATTACACCAACAGCAGCTCCAGCGACAGCACTTGCTGCAGCTACAGGAACAGTAGCAGAAATACCAGGACTAGCAGTAGTTGGCTTACTTTTTTCAAGTTCAGTTGATCTTTCGAGCAATTCTTGTTGTTCACGTTCACTGGCAAGTCTTTCTCTTTCAGCGTTATCTAATTCCAATTGTAACTGTTTGTAAGATTCTTCAATTTCAGTAATATGTCCTCTTAATTCTTCACATTTAACAATGGATACTTGTACTTGAGATTTCTTGACAGCAACTTTATTTGACAATGATTGATTCTCGGACAGTTTTGTAGCAACTTGACTTTCAAGTTGGGAAATCTCAGCATTATAAGTTGCCAACCTTTCCTTCAACGAGGTATTCTCCTTTTGTAACTCATCCATGGCAGCCTGCTTTTCATTTAATTCTGACGACAATGAGTTCAATTTGGCCTCAGCAATAGATGCTTCTGATCTCAAAGCTTCAGTTTCTTCCTTGGCAGCTGCTAAGTTGGATTCTACTTGTTGAACTTGTTTAACTTCATTGTCATACGAGGATCTCAATTGCTTCAACTTGTTTTCAATATCTACTTTAGTACCTAAAATTCTTTGAAGTTCTTGTTCTGCCCTTGTCTTTTTTTCTTGCAAGTTAGAAGTTTGACCAGCAAGTGATTTGATTTGGTTGGAGAAATTAGCAATATCAGAAGTTGCTTGTGACAATTGACCCGATATAGCTGGATCAGCCAATAAATCATCATTTCCTGCGCCAGCTTGTTGTGATCCAGTTCTATTAATCGAGATGGTTCGGGCAGGTGGAGGAGGAGTAGCTGGCACAGAAGTAGCACGCTTTTGGGGAGGTGGTGGAACACTTCTTAAAGCATCATAGTTAACTGTTCTTTGTTCCTGTTCTTGCACTACAGGTGGAGTAGGAACAGGTGACAATTCTTTAGGTTTTTCCTCCTGCAACAAATTATCAACCCCTTTATTTTCATCACCAGTATGTTTCAGCATCAATGATTGTCCAAAAGTTGATGTTGGTTTGAACGAGCCAGTAAAGTTAGGACGTGCTTTTGCCAATTCTTGACTGTGGCTCAAATCACTACTAGATGCACGTTGTTGCAAAGTTGGTTGCGGAGGAGTAACAATTGATGGAACAGGTGGAGTACTAGTTGTTGAACCAAAGATATCTACCAAGTCATCCATTGAAGATTTTGGAACTTGTGGGCTTTGAACAGCAAGACCAGGTTGAGCTGCTGGTGGTGGTGGTGGTGGTGGTGGTGGTGCTGACTGGCTTGGAAGAGCTGATTCAACAGGTGCCAGTGGTGCGCCAACTGGTTGAGAAGGTTCTTGCAAGGATGAAAGAAGGGCATCAGGGACTATATTAGGCAATTCGCCACCAGCCAACTTTCTATTTACCAAAAATAATGCAATAGAAAACTCCAAAATTGTAAAGATACCAGAATTTTGAATATCTGATAAATCCCACACGGTGGCCAAATCTTGTTGACTCAATTTCGAAGTCATCAAGAAAGAGGCAACTTGGTCAGGATTCAAGGATCCAGTTTTTTCTTTATCAAGGTTGTTGAAAATTGATTGGTATTGTTGCTTCATTGCTGGAGTTACGGCCCAATCATTGTTCACTGTAGCGGTGGAAACATTTCTCGTGGAGGGAGGAGGGTGTCTAATAGCAGTCAGTTGAGAATTGATCGAACTATGAGACACTTGACGAGCTTGTACTTGTGCTTGTGGAGTACTGTCTGCTTGTTGATCAACTGATTGCCAAACTGAATCAGGAAGGAAAGGAGGTAATTGTCTGATTGAACCACTGAGTAAGCCTTGAATCAAGTGCATGGCAATGGCAAAACTTCCAACATTTAATTTTCCGGTATTAAATCTATCAACTAATGTCCAAATTTGGCCTAAAACAGGTGTTGGCAATTTGGCCTTCAACAAAATTTCTCTTGCTTGTTCTCCTCCTAATTCACCTTGAGCAGAACCAACGGTTCTAATAAACAATTGGGAGAATTTTTGATAGTCTGCAGCGCTTAATGGAGCAATTGCAGAAGCAGAAGGAGGAGGTGGAGGTGGTGCTTGAATACCAGCGCTTGGTAAATTAGAAAGAAAGGAACTGCTTGTTGATTGTGGCTGTAAAGTCAAGTTGGCAAACTTTGGAAGAGGACCAGGGACATCGGCCAATCCAGGAGTTGGATGATGGCCTGCTTGGGTATATCCGATCAATCTCATTGCGTAGCAGAAACCAAATTGATTCAAGAATCCCAAATTGTCTTGATCAGCTATTTGCCAAATTTCCCCTAAAATAGCTGGTGGTAGGCCAGAACTTTCAAAGGTTGATCTTGATTTCTCTCCGGTGATGATACCAGTGTTTTCTGGATCCAAAGATTTAAATAATTGCGTGTATAACTTCTTCTCATCTGGAGTAAGCCCCACTTTGAATGTAGGCGGTGCTAAAAATATTTTGGGTTAGTAACGGAACCGGCGGAGATAAGTGCGAAAGGCCTGAATCAATCAAAGAAACAAGTTTTGTATCACATACCTTGAGCGCTACTCATGATGATGGTCAACTAAATAACGTAAATGATTTTATAAACAATTGTTACTTGTCGAAGAAACCAGTTTTAACGTCGGAATGTTTAGGTTAGTGAATTTGCGCCGATTTGATTAACGTTCCTTTTTTCCACCGCGATATTTTCCACTTTGCACGACCCTCCGGACCGATAATTTGGACAGCTGGCTCGGAAGTAACTAACCACATGATGTAGCAATATTCAAAGAAGCGTCATGCATTGTGCAAGTGTAGAACTGGTTTATAGTTTCATTTAAGGGAAGAGATAAACTAGTGGCTTAAGCACTGCTACTTCTGGAGATATTGATCCACTACCCGTGATTTAAGAAAAGGGGAACTTGACAGCGGTGCATAGTAAAGTGATTGTTAATGCTTAGATAGAATGTTGGATATGTAGCTATCTCAAACTAAACACTTGTAATCTCCCCATATTGTATTGGTTTCATTATTTTGCAGTAATTATAGTAGGTCAGACGACATTTCATTATGTTCTCAATGTCGTTCCCCAGTTAAGCAAAAAAAAAAAAATAGTCTCATAACAATCAATCGATGAGGTCTGAATATTTTTCTTATAACAAAATTTTCTAAGCATTATTTGCGAAGACATCTAGTCTACAAGAGAACCAAGAAGAAGAAGAAGAAGAAGAATATCAATCCTCCTTTTCTCCATTCTTTACAGATACACACATACATATATATACAAACTAAACAATGAATAGAGGAAGAGGCGGATTCAGAGGTGGCCGTGGTGGTGGAAGACCAGGTGGTTTTATTCAACAAGGTCCACCAGATACCGTTTTAGAAATGGGTGCATTCATGAAGGCTTGTGAAGGTGACATCGTTTGTCGTTCTATTAACGTTAAGATTCCTTACTTCAATGCTCCAATTTACTTAGAAAACAAAACCCAAGTTGGTAAAGTGGATGAAATTTTGGGTCCATTGAATGAAGTATTTTTCACAATCAAGCCATCTGAAGGTGTCAAGGCTGATTCCTTTAAAGAAGGTGACAAATTTTACATTGGTCCAGATAAGTTATTGCCTTTAGAAAGATTCTTACCAAAGCCACCTCAAGTTGGTCCAAAACCAAAGAGAAAGTCTGCTGGTGGTAGAGGTGGATTCGGTGGTGACCGTGGTGGAAGAGGTGGTAGAGGTGGCTTCGGAGGCCGTGGTGGATCCAGAGGTGGATTTGGTGGTGGCCGCGGTGGCTCTAGAGGTGGCTTCGGCGGCCGTGGTGGATCTAGAGGTGGCTTTGGTGGTGACCGTGGTGGAAGAGGTGGTAGAGGTGGATTTGGCGGTCGTGGAGGTTCCAGAGGTGGAAGAGGTGGCCGTTTCTAAAAAAAACATCTATCTGAATAACATTAAACATTCTGTATAATACAATATATCGACTAGAAAAGTCTCTTTTTGTTTTGATCAATTCATTCAATGCATAACAAGCTATGTACAAGCAGTAAACTATCTAAAGTAATCCACAATTTTGAAGAACGGAGCACCTTATCTCTTTAGTACCAAATGCTTCCGGGACATATTTATTAACTCTGGCATTTGTAAAGAATATCCTAGGAGACAACGCCATTTCCAAGGTATTAGAATCAAATAGGATTTCCTTGTAGTAATTCACGATATTTTCATTAATTTTTTCCACATCTGGTTGTGACCCTTGTTTGATTGATTTTCTTGGTATAAATTTGTAAATAACTTGATCAACCTTGGTGAAGACCAAATCAAATGGAACACCCTCATTCACTAGGTGGTCAACTATATACATATCTTCTTCTTTAACACCTTCAACTGAATCTACCAACACCAACACTTTCTTAAGTTGAGTACGATGACTTATATAGTCGATAACTGCTTTCCCTTGTTTGTCATCTCCAAATCTACCATACCCAGGACTGTCGACGAATCGAAGCTTGCTTCCGATATTGAAACAGTTCAACGTTTTTGTATATCCAGCGCGAGAAGACACATACGCCAATTCCGCACTTTTGTTAACTCCCTTTTTATTACCAACCAATAAACTATTTACCAAGGAGGATTTGCCTACATTAGTGTGTCCCATGATTAATACCTCCGGAAGCGGACGTAAATGCCTGGGATTAATTCCGAATGACTTTTTGGAGTTTGCAATAGTTTCATCGTATTCAGTTTTGTTATAGGGGTCCATTTCTTCGTAGCGTTCTTGTCTTGCTTTGGAAAGACGTTCATACTTGACATCCGGAATCTCGTCATAGTCTGCTAGTGTCCATTCAAGTTCAACTTTCAGATTATTAAAGAAGGTTTGTGATTTCGTTATTTCAGGAGTTGTAAATTGTTGGTATTCAGGTGCTTTAAAGATTTCATTTAGCTTTGAAGGAGCAATGATTTCCTTTATCCATTCCTTTGACTTTTGTGGTTGGATAGGTATTTTCGGCTGTACCGGCTTGGGTAACGGAGGTATTGCAGACACTAGGTAGTCTATTGATGCACACCTTCTGGATATCAAAGGTTTGAAAACGGTTATACTCCTGGATATCATTGGTGTCCTTGCTTGAATTGACTGTAAAAGCGTTGCAAAAAAAATTTACATAGAAAAGAAAAAAAAAAAGAGCGTGTGTGTGAGTGTGAGAGATCTCGGTTACTAGAAATGGAAAATTGTTATTTACGTGGAGCTTTGATCAGACAACATTTACCACCAACCCCTCATACAACGCTAAAATGGTTTCAGTCCGACTTCCAGTGCTAGTGTGTATGTATCTTACTTAGTTTGGATCAAGGATCCTATGTATACACAATGATTGACGCTTACTAACAAGAAATATTTAGTGTTTATTCTTACATTGGTAGGAGCAGGATATTTGGGATTTGCTCTGATACACTTGCCATACGATAAAACAATTCACTTCTTTACATTTACCATACTAACCATGGAATTCTACTTGATATTCAACACCAAACACAAAACATCCACAATACTAAGGCTAATCACTTTTCTTGTATGTACATGTGGTGCCAGCATCAGTCTGGAAATCATTCAAAATGTCGTGAACCCAAGTCGAGTCTTTGATGTCTATGATATTTTGTTCAACATGGCAGGAAGTTTATGGGGGTTGATAGTTTGCTGTGTAGTTCAAGACTGGAAAATGCAAAGAAACAAAAAGTTGAAGTTTAAGTATAAGACAAAGACAACGGTGTCAGTATCGCCGTCGTCATCGATAACAAAGAAACTAGAAAAGGTGTGATTTTGATGTAATGGTGCATAAGCAAGTTTGCCTATCACTAATTTCGTGTAAGCAAGGTTTGCTATGACGAATTTCGCTAGTGGTATTTTTTTACTAAGCTTACTAAGCTGACAAATCCGTGCGACATAAAACGGCGCCATATTTATAGCATTATTTCAGCACCATTCGAGAGCATTTAATTTTTGTTTAATCCATACTTTACTTCGATAATTATAATAATAATTATAATAATAATTATAATAATAATAATAATAATAATAATAATAATACTATTTGCAAGGTCAATCACTATAACAACATGTCAACAGAGTCTAAATTCTACGGTGGGATCGTGTCATATGATATCCACACTTATTGGAACAATAACATTGACGCCGAGAGAAAATTCGCCTACGAATTGAGAGAAAAAGTCCTCAAGGATTTCGCTGACGAAATTAGTAAAGGTGAGATTCGTGTACACCAATTCTGGGAAAAGCCAATTGGGCCGCACCCAGTCAACATGTGGGAATTGGATTTTAAAAGTCCAGAGATATTCAAAGTTATTGTTCCTTACTTTCAATTGAATCACGGTAACCTCTCAGTGTTGATCCATCCAAGAAGCGATAAGGGTGATCTCAAAGATCACACGGACCATGCATTATGGCTTGGACATAAGGTTAGATTAGCAACTAGTTTACTTAAGGATTGATTTATATAGGGGGGATATATATGTATGGTTTAAATAAAAAAGTTTATGGCGAAAACTGCTATTCTCTTTGTAATCTTGGCAACATTTCGTTAGGAATTCTGAAATTACTGAGGCTATTCGTTACTTATAGTTGCTATTTACTCGTAAATGTACCTGTTGTAAGGGCTAGCCGGCAGCGTACATTTTACCGCTACACGTTTGGTGCCGTCAGCACTTTTTTTTTTATTATTTTTCTTCCCTCTGGGGAAGAGTCCGCCTACCGGCTTAGCCCTGAGAATCAATGCGCACTGTTTTGATTTCTTCTTGACATCTGTCACTCTCGTGTTGCCACAAGTTTTATACTTATGTTGTAAATATCAAACCATACCAGCATTACAGCGCGAAAACTAATACAATAGACCTATAGAAGCGAATTGATTATTACATTGACGTCTTTTTATTAGTTGGAATTTCGTCTTATTATTTTTCATTCCGCCTCTAACCTCCTCCCCCCCCTATATACTACAATACGCTGTTATGCTTGATCAAATTGATACTAACACCGACCACCAAAATGGAACCACCAAAGAGAACAACAATCATTTGGAACCACTGCTGCAAGAACCTAATGGATCTAAAACTGTAAATGAAGAGGATGGACTCTTGCGAAAACTTAGTCATCTGTTGAGTCGTCAAGAGTTATTCGTCCCAAGGCACGGAAAAGAACGAGGTCGCTCACAATCTCCATTAAGAGAGACCCCCGATATTTCAAAGATCTTCAAGACGGTCTCTAGAGAAACAAGATCTGAAAGAAAGTCTGAATCAGATCCAAGGCGATCAAGGTCGTTACTGGATTCACCGCATATCGTATCCAACCCGTTTTCGTTTTTCAATAAAAATGATGACAAGAATGAATTACGATATCGTTCAGACGAGGAAGAAGAAGAACAACATATGAGAACTTCAATACCAGAGATACTCTCATCACCGTCTCTGATGCCCCCACAGGCCCTTAACCATGAAGACTTGGATGACGGCCATTTCCATAGACGAGAATCTAGAATTCCCTTTACCCATTCACAATCATTCCAAAATTTCTTTCCTTCAATGTTTGGAAGACCAGGTTCTCAATACGAAACTCCAGTAAATGATGGGCACGATGCCTTTCATCTAACTCCCGACTTGACCAAACAACAGAAACTCAAAAAGAGGTGGCAGAATTTCTATCGTAACCGAAAACGTGACAGAAGAAGACCTAGTGTGAATATAGGCTATATTGACGAAATAAGAGAAGAGGCAGAGAAGCAAACTGGTGTACGTGCTCAAAAGCTAATTGGTGGCTTAGCCCTCGGTGGTCCAGCAATAAACTTAATGGCTTCGTGTTTATTAGAAGACGAACGAGGAATCTCGCGAGCACCAATTTTGTTGTCATTAATTGGGTTGAACATAAGTGATGTGTCCTTGAGTGATACCACCAGGATTAGGAAATTCAAGATAGATTTGGAATATGGGGTTGGACCGCAAAGAATGAAATGGTGCATTGAAAGAAATGCCAAGGATTTGTTATATTTACATTCAAAATTCAAGTTTGAAAGTTGGATTGGTAATAAGAATAGCCAACTTCCAAAATTCCCCAAACCACCATTCAAGAAATCGGAGATGATGAAATTGAAACGGACCAGAACAACACAGACCCAACACGCCACAACTACAGAAGACCAAGGCGGAGATAATGACAGTGAATCACTGTTTTCGTTAATCCCACGATTGGGATTTGGAAGTATTTCATCCATGACGTCAAATGAAAATAAGGGACAGCCACCACCGGATGAAGCAGAAAGCCGGAGAAGAAATGCTCAATATGTCAAGGATGTTGAGCTGTATCTAAAGGAATTGATTCATCTTGTTTCGTTAAAGCCACAATCTAATAGGTTATTTGTATTTTTCGAAATATCTCCCATTTCATCATTATTGAGTTATGAGACTGGATATGTCGGGAAACAAGGGGTGGTTCATATAAGTGGAAGTGCACGATCACAAGGATGGAGAGTAGGCCATTTCAAAGCTAATGATTTGAAAGGTATGATTGACAGACGGTCGGAAAAGTGGATGCTTGTTCGTAATTCCTATGTCATGTATGTATCGGACATTAATTCAACTTCACCATTGGAGGTGTTTCTTGTTGATTCTGATTTCAAAATAACTTCAAAACATGAAGATCATATCACGGAAGATGTCGAATCAGACTTTGACGATTCTTCACTTGTCCAAAGAAGAATGGCGTTACTCGAAGATAGTGATGCTTCCAATATTGTATTCCCTCATTTGAAAATCACGTTAGAGAATTCCGAACGTAAATTAATTTTGAACCCCAAATCTGCCAAGGAGCAAAAGTTATGGATCTCTTCACTTATGGAAATGAAGAATTCTACAATTTGGTCAGAAAAACATAGGTTTGGAGCATTTGCTCCTGTTAGAGAAAATTGTTTTGCTCAATGGCTTGTTGATGGTAGAGATTACTTTTGGGCCGTATCATCCGCATTGGAAATGGCCAAGGATGTGATTTTCATTCATGATTGGTGGTTATCACCAGAAATATATTTACGAAGACCAGCTAATGGGAACCAACAATGGAGACTTGATAGAATTCTTCAAAGAAAAGCCAAGCAAGGGGTTAAGATCTTTGTGATTATCTATCGTAATGTAGGATCAACTGTTTCCATTGATTCATTATACACAAAGCATTCAATTTTATCCTTGAATGATGAAAATATTCATGTTATTAGATCTCCTAATCAATTACTTCAAAACACATACTTTTGGGCTCATCATGAGAAGATATGTATCGTTGATCAGACCGTAGCCTTTGTTGGAGGAATTGATTTATGTTATGGAAGATATGATACACCTGATCATGCATTGGTTGATGATTCCAAGATTGATTTCCAAAGCCTTGGTCCCGAAGATATACCCACCAATGATGACGTTGTGAATTTCCAAACATTTCCCGGTAAAGATTACTCCAACCCTCGTGTCAAGGATTTCTTTGACTTGAATAAACCTTATGAATCAATGTATGATAGGAACATCACCCCAAGAATGCCATGGCACGATGTCCACATGTTCACCGCTGGTAAGTTAGCACGAGACTTGTCTCGTCATTTTGTTCAACGTTGGAATTATTTATTGAGACAAAAGAGACCAAGTAGATTCACTCCACTTTTGACACCTCCTCCTGACCTCACTGATGAAGAAGCATTGATGTATGGAATGGACGGGACCTGTGAAGTTCAATTGTTGAGATCATGTGGTAATTGGTCGTTAGGATTAAAAGAGCATGAACAAAGTATCCAAACAGCCTATCTTAAATTAATTGAAAGTTCAGAACATTTTGTATATATTGAAAACCAATTCTTTGTTACTTCTTGTTTAATTGAAGGTACCGAAATTCAAAATAGAATCGGGGATGCATTGGTTGATAGAATTATCCGCGCACATGAAGAAGGAACAGTTTGGAAAGCAGTTATTGTCATTCCATTGATGCCTGGGTTTGAATCCCAAGTTGATCAAGCGGAGGGGTCGTCTGTGCGTGTTATCATGCAATGTCAATACATGTCGATTTCTCGAGGAGAAACATCGATATTTGCTAAACTAAGAAAGAAGGGAATTAATCCTGATGATTATATTCAATTTTTCTCATTGAGAAAATGGGGTAGAATCGGTGTGAATCGTACTTTAGTTACGGAGCAGTTGTACATCCATGCCAAGATCATGCTTGTTGATGATCGAGCTGCTATTATTGGAAGTGCAAATATTAATGAACGGTCAATGAGAGGTGTTAGAGATTCAGAAGTGGCTATTATTGTCAGAGATAAGGAAATGATTGCTAGTACCATGAATGGAGAACCATATTTAGCTGGTAAATTCGCCCATACATTGAGAATGAGATTAATGAGGGAACATTTGGGTGTTGATGTAGATATTCTTGATGTTGTCGAAAGACGATTCAAGAAGTTTGAAAATCTTGCACGATCAATGGATGATTCCACATTTGAAACCAACAAGTTTAAGAATATTGAAAACAGATATTTGTCAGCCATGGTTGAAATCGCATCCAGAGATATTTTGAATGAACCCGAGGGAACAAGAAGATGGAGGAATTATTCAATTGCTTCTGAATCCAGTCTCAAAACTACCAAGGTTGAATTTGAAGAAGAGGATGAATTTGATTTACCACCTCCTATGTTTTTACCAATTTCTCTTAATAATAGAACTGGTCCTCATGAAGCTAATAAAGGTATCCGGGACAAAAAGAAGCATTCATACGATAATAGAGTTCAGAATAATGCGGGACATAAACAAGATGTGTTTGGTACTGGTCTTGACAAGTATAAAAGTAAGTTGGCCAAAAGAGCTAGATTAAACAGTGGAAGATTCCTTAAGGATTTATCGGTTAAGTTTATAAAATCCAATCCAGTAGGTTCATTCTTGCCTGATATTGACCATGTTCGTGAATTTTTGGAAGCTGATGATATCCATATGACTGATGAGATGGATGAAGAGTCTGAAAGAATTATCTCGGAAAGAAACAAGGAAAGATGGTTGTTATTAAAGAAGATTTCATATTTACAACGTGTTGCCAGTAAACAAAACCGTAGCAACGAAGTGGAGAACAAGAGGAGAATGTCTGCTGGTATGGCTGCTCTATACAGCAATCTTCCAAAAACTGCTGAATCAACCGAAATGCTGACAGGCACTCCTGATCCAAGTGATAAAGCGTCATCTGATGGCAATAACATTAACAGGCCTGGTATTTCACTTTATAAAAAGTACCCAATCGTTTCATTAGATGAGAATTCCATTAAGGATTTAGTCAAGAGTATAACCTCTTCTGAAGCCAATGTTTCCAAATTTGTTGATCCTTATGGATTTGAAGATCCAGTCGACGATGAATTTTATGATTTCCTTTGGAATGAACATGCTAGAAGGAATACCGATCTTTTTAGAATGGTTTTCCATAGTCAACCGGATGATGTTGTTAGTAGATGGTCCGATTACACTCATTTCACCAGTCTTTATAGCACATTTATGAAGGCTCAAGATTTAAGTGCCGATTTAAGACAAGAAGGAACAAGAGAAGGCTCGCAAGAAGCGGAAGAGGTGGTTGAAATTGAAGAGGAAACAGAGAAAAAGAATATCAAACCAGAAGATCTTGGACTACTTGGTAAAGTCCCACCTGAAAGGGAGGAAATTCCATCACCTTCATCACCAGAATCCAAGATGAGATTTAGACTAGGTAAAAGAACTAGTATTTCTCTTGGCCTGCCAAAACTCGAGAATTCAATCCCTGCTGAAAAGGTTGGAGAAGTGGAGGAAGAAGAAACCAAACCACCACAAATCGAAGAACTGGAAGAATCTCCTAATGATTCGCCAAATGAGCTGGATGAATCTCCTAACGAAGAACCCGTGTCTCGAGAAATAAGTGGCGAGGCATTGAAGGAAAAGACAGCTAGTAAACTGCCACCATTACAGAAACCATCTGCTTCATTTTCAAAAGCACATAGTCGTACTAGACGTAAACGAGCTGGTACGTATTTGGCAAGAACCAAAATGAATAGTGGAGAGATTATATATGAACGTGATACTGCGGAAAGATTATTGAGTGAAATCCAAGGGCATTTGGTGTATTATCCTACTGAATGGTTAAATGTTGAGTTAGACAACAATAATTGGTTCTACAATACCGATAGGCTTCCGCCAATGGAAATTTATGACTAAACTAAATAGAAATTGCTTTTTATATAAATTAATTTATCGTCTCGTATAGAAAACTTCAGGCGCGCCATATTTTTGGTACACGTTAGTGGAAAATGAAGGAAGAAAAAAAAAATTGGGCTCAATTGACCTCCAGGACTCCCCGTTGGACTAGGTGAAGTTGTCAGACAGCCAAGATGATTCTTAAACTACTTTCATACCTTGGAACCGTGGTTGGTTTCTTATTCCTCGTGCTTTCTATAGCGTCAGGATTATACTACATTTCCGAATTGGTTGAAGAACATACCGAACCCACCAAGCGATTCTTGACCAAGTTAATATACTTCATAATTGCCGTATTCGTATTGCTTATAATATTTGATGGATTCCCAATTAAACTCACATTGCTTTCCATATTCTCATACTATGTTTACTTGCAAAACCTTAAACGATTCCCATATGTTGAATTGACCTCACCTATATTTTTGATTTCCTGTGTTTTGGTGGTTGCCAATCACTTCTTGTGGTTTAACCACTTCCACACCCCATACATCCCACCATTAGAAGTGAGATTGAAGCCTAATTATAAACCACCACATATACCTGAGTTCGTGGAAGTATGCTCCTTCTTTGGGTTGTTGGTGTGGTTTGTTCCATTTGCGTTGTTTGTTAGTTTGAGCGCACATGATAATTTGTTGCCTCACCATGTCGAATCTACTCAAGATACTGAACGCAAGAAAAAGAACGGGTTAGCCAAAGTTGTGGTTAGTCGCATAAGGGACTACATCTACGCGATTAGTAGAAAATTGGGATACGAATTGGATCCTCACCATGGTACAATCGTATATTGATAAAAAACAAAAAAGATAACTATGTAAAATATCTGTAAGTAACAAATACACAAAAGAAAGAATAGAAAAAAAAAATGGTCATTATATCATTAAGCTTCCAAAAACTTCTTTACTGGTTTCCCGATATCGTTCAAACTCAACAAGAAAGTATCGTGTCCGTAGTTACTAACATCCGTACCCAACTCATGGTATTCAACATCCCCTCCTTGACTATTGTCACGAAGGACATTGGCAATTTCCCGTTGTTGCCATACTGGGAATAAAATATCTGATTCAACACCAAATACTAATACATCAGTTTGGGATAACTTCTTCATACCTTGTTTCAAGTCTTGTAAGGCATCTTCAACAGTTATTGACGCACGTGATACCTTTTCACTATATGGTTTCTTTGGCACAATTGATGAGGTTTGTGGGATATAATTGCTATTTTTATAATAGTTTTCTTCCGCTTGCTGTCTGATGGCCACTGCTTTAGCTCTATTTTGGTCGCCTAAATCAAATAAATCCATGGCCTTCAGGACGTACAACCACGAGTTTGCATCATATTCAAGACAAAACTTTTCCCCAGCATGATCCAAGTATGTTTCCACTAGGAAATCTGGACACAATGCAGGTGGTTTTGATTCATCTGCTCTATTTCTTCCAAATCTATATTCCCATTCAGGTCCAGATCTATATGTCACGGTAGCGATCTCACGAGCTAATTTCATACCTACATGTGGGGGAATCTTGCCATAATAAAAACCTCTGTTCCAATTAGGATCGCTCATCAACACTTGTCTTTGGGTGTGTCTTAATGCAATGGAATAAGGATGTGATCTGGCACATCCACTGATTGATATAACTTTCTCAACTTCATCCGGGAACTCCCAACCATAAGCTAGTGATTGCATTCCTCCCATGGAAGCACCTACTGCTGCATGAATCTTTTGTACTCCAAACACGTCCCTAACTAATTCTCGTTGGGCCCGTACCATATCGTTAATGGTGATTATGGGGAATCTAGTGGCATATTGTTCATTGTTGGATGGATCAATTGATGAGGGTCCAGTACTTCCATAACAGCCTCCAAGAACATTTGTGCAAACCACGAAAAATTTATTGGTATCTATATATAACCCGGGGCCAATAAAATTTTCCCACCATCCTTTCTTCGGATTTCCTGGATGAGATTTAGCATGAGACGAAGCTGATAACCCCGTCTGTAATATGATTAAATTTGACTTGGATTCATTCAACTTCCCCCATGTTTCATATGCAATTTCGTATTCTGGTAAATGGCCGCCATTATCCAAGAAGATAGGTTTTTCCGAACGGTATAGCTTAAATCCGGTTTGTTCGAAATTATATGCTGGTTCAGGGCCTGATTCTAGGGTATTTGCATGTTTTTTTAATATTCCTAAGGAAAGTTCCTTGTTCTTACGTTCCAATTTATCCAAACATGGGAATGTTAATTGTGGGTTAGAAGCAGCATTGGCTCCACTACCAGTTACTAACGGTTTAAAGTTTAATGTAGTAGTGGAAAAAAATTTTAATGTCTTCGGAAAAACTTTAGCTCGGAATATAATGCCAGAACCTTGTTTGGGTATTCTGGTTAACATTATATATGAAAAATATTGAACTTATACTGTACTATGGACAAACTTGAGCTTATTAAGGGGTAATACGAAGTTTACAACTTGAAATGATTATTAATAAACTTCATCATTGATCATAAGGCACAATAATAGTGGCGTCCTGCATACCAGAAATTGATCAATTTCACGTGACCGCAATTACGGGATTTGGAAGCATCTTTAAATAAATATTGCTGCTGCCAGATGGAGCGAGGGGAGAGGATTTAGATCTGAAATAGACTTTACATGGTACGTTTTTACTACGGGGAAGCTTTTTTTTTACTACACGGTATCATCTTGAAGAAGCATCTTTCTCCCGTATTGGAAGATTTTAGACGTACTTGATATGTTGAATGATTCTAGTGGGGGGGGATCTAACAAGCTTACAAGATCAATTTCTCGAATTTTCAATTTATATTCATTCACATAAGCAATATTACTATAAAGGATAACCAGATTAACTGTGTGTATATTTGGTATATTGGTATATTTGCACATTATATGTTTATCAGATTGAACATGAATTTTAAGTCGTGCACCACCCAATAAACCGGCTAAGAAAAACCGATCCGCTTGTTACTTAAAATTTAATCTATTATAAGACGTGTCCATATGCCTATGCACCATACCATTCAAGATGGCTAATCTTTGGCTGTATGTTTTTTGGACGTATCCCATCGTGTTTGTTTGCTCGATTCCATTGACTTTAGTGCTCAAACAATACAACGGCATAGCAGCCAAATGGATATTTGTTAGATTCCTTGAACAATTTGCAGTACGAAATTTAGGATATACATGGTTTACGTTGTTATTCTGGCTGAATCTACTATTATATCGAACATCTGCGGGAATTGAACGGAAAATATTAATTCGGTTTGCAAAAGTATATCTCATCAACACTGTTGTCATTGTATTCTTGATGGAATGGTTCTTTGGATCTCCTATCTTTGAGCGCATAAGTGTGTTTTCTGGAGCACATTGTACCATTGACAGTATATATCGAGAATATGCATGTGAAGGTGCGGGTGGTGAATGGATGGGTGGGTTTGATTCTTCTAGTCATTATCTATTCTTGATTTCAAGTAGTTTATTGATTTGGTATGAATTGATTAATCATTTAAGCTTTCCATACTCGGTGTCTTCGCCATACAACTTTCTTCCTAGCATAGATATAGAACGGGGCTATCCAAATGAAAGACAAGATGTAGCTGGAGGAACATCGTACACGAGGACAATAATCATAGTTTCATCATCTGTGTTTATCCTGTTATGGTTTTGTCTGTATCTAATAACGTCGATTTTCTTTCATACTATTCCTGAGAAGATTGTTGGGTTATTCTGTGGTTTATTTGTCCCAACTTTATTACCCATACTAGACAAAATTTAATTGTAATACATTAGTCATCTATTGATAGGCGATATAGAGATATATTTTTTATAGACAATGATTACTAATTATCTACTGTGTAATAGCCGTGTACGGACTTTGATGACTGGTATACATTACCGCTATACGTTCGTTCCCGTCATGCGGTTTTATTTTTTTTTCGCAGTAATCGCGCACTGCAATAAAAGAGCAAATTTTTACTATCTGTTGCAAACGGCAGAAATATCGCAAACCCTGAATTCGGTTGCCAGTTGCTTCTCCACCACTCCATCTTCCCATTTTCCCCCATTACATCATTCATAACACAAGCTACTCAATAATTTCAGTTGGGCATAAATTTCTCAACAATTATAAAACTAGCCCGAAATTTCCATACTTCTCAATTCAAGAAAAACCGTCTACACATCAGTCAACATGGAAACCTTCTCACTATACCTTGCTAATATCCACTGTGAAAAGTGTGAAACAGCAATCAGTCGTATATTATCAAGCATGTACTCAATTGTCAATCTGAACTCACCCGAAACTTTAACAAACAAAGAAGTCATACTCAAAATTTCCAGCAACGAAGTTAAGATCCAGGGCAACCGCAATGTAAATTTCCAACACGATACCAAACGAATCATCAAACATTTCGAAAAAGCTGGATTTAAAGTAACATCTTGGGAGATAACTAGAGGCAATGATATTGTTCTGAACTCACACATGGATACCGAAGACATGTCAGACCACGACGAAGGATTTTTTGATCTTGTTGGATTCTATCAAAGATTTACCAGCTCAAAATCAGAAAAGAAACATTTGAAATATTGTAAAGTGTGTCAGGATAAACATGCTGAGACTAATAAACAAGAACTGTCTACGGATACTTCTAGTTTGGAGACTATAGTGGTGGACACTCCCACTAAAGAATTCAGAGCTTCATTTTTGGTTAAAGGAATGACGTGTTCTGCATGTGTACAAACCGTTTCCGACACGTTAGCTTCGATCTTAGGTGAATCCAGTACCAAAGCTGCTACAGATGAACCAAACTTTTCTGTCAATTTAATTCAGCAATCAGTGGTGGCTATTATTCCAAACAAACAAGTTGTTAATAAAATTATTGATGGGATCAATGACTTGGGGTTTGACTGTAGCTTGGTCGAAGTGCTTCCAGTACAACGAACTATTAACACTAGAGTCACAGCCATAATCAGTGGTATGACATGTGCTGCGTGTGTTAACTCCATTGAATCGGTGGTCAACCAACTTCCATTTATATTAGAAAGTGGTGTCAATTTAGTTACCAAAACCGGTCAGTTTGTATTACAAGATGACGATGGATCCAATATCAAAAAATTACAAGAAACAGTAGAAGATTGTGGATTTGATTTTAGCCTTGTTAAACAAGAAAAAATCAATTATACTTCAAGTAAAACCAAACCTAGAACAATCAATATTAAAGTTGATGGTATGTTCTGTAACCATTGTCCAGAATTGATTATGAATTACTTGTCAAATTATGGTGATGCTGTGGTTATACAAGATCCAATCAGTTTAAAGAATCCCTATATCAAGTTCACATATATACCAACTGAAAACACAACTGTAAGGAAATTCCTCGGCGATTTAAACCATATTCATGCCAAGGATGATAGTTATGAAATCACCGATTTACCAGGTCCATTTGAGTGTGAGCTTATTCGACCAGTTTCCATAGATGAACAAGTTAAACTTCTTGCTAAACGTGAATTACTTGGCTTGGCAATCAGATTAGCAGCAGCCACTGTGTTTGTCATCCCTACATTTGTATTTGGTATCGTTGCCATGTCATTATTACCCAAATCCAATAGATTCAGAATGTGGGTAGAAGAACCTTTGTGGACCGGAAATGTCTCGCGTAACTCTTGGATCTTGTTCCTTCTCGCCACTCCAATCTACTTCTTCGTGGCCGATACGTTCCATAGAAAGGCTATTAAAGAAATCAGATCGCTATGGGTCCACAAAAACTCATTCACGGCTCGTTTACTCAGGTTTGGATCCATGAATCTTTTAATGAGCATCGGAACCAGTGTGGCTTACTTTGCCAGTATTGTACTTATTGGATTGAGTTCCCAACAGAAACCAAAGACCCACATGGGATTCCATACTACATATTTTGATTCGGTTGTATTTTTGACTTTCTTTTTGTTGATTGGGAAATTACTTCAAAGTTATTCAAAGAGGAAAACCGCTGATGCTGTATCTCAGTTGGCCAATTTGCAAGAAAGGCAAGCTACATTAGTTGATAAGAGTGGAGATAATGCCCAAAGGGTTGACATCGAATTGTTGGAGGTTGGTGATTATATTAAGATTGGTACCGGTGAATCACCACCAGTGGATTGTGTCATTGTTGAAGGTAATGCTGAGTTCGACGAATCGGCATTAACCGGTGAATCTACCCCTGTGAAACATTTGACTGGACATCAAATATTCTCTGGTACTGTGAACATTAGCTCAACTTCAATTGTAGCTAAAGTTACGTCGTTGGAAGCCGATTCGTTATTAAGTCAAATTGTCACCACAGTGAGAGACGGTCAACTAAGAAAAGCTCCGATGGAAAGAACAGCCGATTTAATAACGGGTTCATTCGTGCCTGTTATCATATTCTTGAGTATAATTACATGGATCATCTGGATAAGTTTAGGTTATTCCGGAGCATTACCCGAGAGCTACTTGGATATAGATATCGGTGGATGGACAGTATGGTCATTGGAATTTGCCATAGCCGTGATTGTTATTGCCTGTCCTTGTGGTATTGGTTTAGCTGCACCTACAGCATTATTTGTTGGATCTGGATTGGCTGCAAAGTATGGGATTTTGGCTAAAGGAGGTGGTGTTGCTTTCCAAGATGGAGCCAGTACTAATGTAGTCTGTTTTGATAAAACTGGGACATTGACGAAAGGTGAATTGACAATTACTGATTATTCATTCATCACTAAACTGGATGTCGATAAGCAGTTTGCTTTGCAAGTCACCAGAGATTTGGAAGTTGCTTCCAACCATCCCTTGGCTAAAGCTGTTAGGTTTTTTATCGACAGATTTGGTGGTTCATTATCTGGTAACAAGATTCCCCAAGTTGAGACTGTTCCTGGGAAGGGATTGAGGGGTAAGATAGTATCCCAGGAAGATGATGAGCTATGGAAGGAGTATCAACCTGAAGAAGCTATTCTTGGGAATGAAAAATTAGTTGAAGATTACGGAGTGCACTTAACCCAGTCCCAAACCGAACTCATAACTGAATGGAAAACTGGTCGTAAATCAGTTATTTTAGTTGGTTTGAAATGTGAGAAATTATACAAAGACAAGTTCTTCCACTTGGTATTAATGATGGCAGCTCGTGATGATATTAGGCCAGAAGCTAAAAAAGTTATAGAATTTTTACAAAACAAAAACATAGACTGTTGGATGATCACTGGTGATAATCAATTAACGGCTGAAGCAATAGCTAAAGAAATTGGAATCAAAAATGTTGTTAGTGAAGTATTACCCGATGAAAAAGAATTACAAATTAAAAGAATCCGTCAAATCAAAAATAAGCCGGTTATAGCTATGGTTGGTGATGGTATTAATGATGCTCCAGCAATGGCAAGTGCTGATGTTGGGATTGCTCTTTCGTCAGGCGCTGATTTAGCCATTACATCAAGTGATTTTATATTATTAAACAAATCATTCCCTTTGCTTTCATTAGTAACATTGTTTGATTTATCAAGAACCGTGTTTAGAAGAGTTAAATTTAATTTTGGATGGAGTTTGGTTTATAATATGATTGGGTTACCTATTGCTGCTGGTGTTATTTATCCATACCATAATTCAAGATTGGATCCAGTTTGGGCCAGTGCTGCTATGGCGTTATCTTCCGTGAGTGTTGTTTTAAGCAGTTTGGCATTGAAATTTTACAGACCCAAATTCAAAGCTAGTGATTTCCAAATGGATGAAAGTGAAGTTATAGAACCCAAACAGCATTTTACTTAGTTTATCATATTTGTATTTTAATACTTAATATTTATACAAGTTGACTTTTATTTTTAGGGGAATCGTAAATGCATGTAGTTTCGATTTTTGTCATATCATCGTAGTAGTGCAGTTGAATGCAAAATTAGCTAAATACTCCCTTGTCGAATTTAACAATCATAACTGTAACGTTATCAGTAGTTGAGTTGTCCATAGCTAATTGACATAATTTCTTTGCTGCAGTTTTAGGGTCATTGCCTTGAGCAAACAAATCTGCAACAAGTTTACAAGCTCTAGAATCAGACACAACATCCCAAACCCCATCACATCCTAAAATCATAAATTCATCATCAGCAGTTATTTCCGTTGATGTTGTAAATGGTTTACCTATAACTAAATCCTTCATGTAGGAATCACCTAAAGATCTGGTTACTGCTAATACACCATTGACTCTATTTTTTAATACCAAACCTCCTACATCTCTTATTCGATTTATTTCGTAAATGTCTGAAGCTTTGTGGTCATACGATAATCGGTATGGTTTACCTAATCTACATAACACAATTCTCAGATCTCCTACGTTGGAAGTGTACAACATTCGTTTGTGGTTTTTTGTAGGAACAAAATCAAATACTTTGTCAGGTTTTTTGTTTTTGGCATCAGATCCCAGATTTGATTCATTGTTTTCTTTGGACTCAGTTCTGGCTTCTGTGCTTTCTTGCGCTTTCGCTTGGGTATTTTCTTCTGTGTTTGCTTCGCCATTTAGTTCCCATCGTAAGACGGCAACTGCGGCAGTGCACCCGGACGATCCAACACCCTCCTTCTCTATTAATTCATCAGCTTTTATAAAACTTCGATAAAGATTATCCTTCATATCTTGTTGTTCTACTGTTACTTCATTCTCTTCGCCTAGATCTCCGATTTCGTCCTCTACTAAAGTATGTAAATTGTTGCCACACCATCTGGCAGTGTCTTTGCCAGCGTGGCCGTCAAAGATGGCAAAATAACCCCAATCAATCCGTTCGGCGAAATTAGCAATGTAGGTATGCACATCTTCCATTTTATTTCTGTATGTTGTGTTTTTGTTCTCCGCTACTCCCACTTTGAATGATAGTCCGTAGAATGGATCAACATTTTCCTCACCAACAGTACTAGAATTGGATGATCTACTTGGTGGTTTATTAGTAGAACTTGCTTTCAAAGTGTCAGATGAGGATGTGTCATCTTCACCCTTCTCTACACCCATCATGTATTGTCACTACTGTGTTTAGAAAAGGAGGGTGATTCGATTGTTTCAGAAAGAATGATTGATCTTGTTGTGCTAAAGTTTTTCCCCCCTTTGATTTTTAAGTATGCGTTGCTAAGTTGCTGGGTTTGAGCCGCACCAGACAAAACAAAAAATTACGAGACCAACCAACAGCAACTTGAACCCTTAACTAGGAATAATTATAATCGGTACTGCACGAAATAGCCCATGCTGCTGCAGGAAGGGAGGGGGCGGGGGGAGTAATTAATCGAATTACTATTACGAGCAACTATGACAAATTAGAACAAAAATTTTCACCTGCAATCTCATAAATGGGACGCGCATCTAAGATTTAGATTCAGATCCAGGCTGTTCTAATTCTGATTTTCCTGTAAGAAAGTGTATTGCTGTACTTACAGATGAGTATATTCATTGTCCAAACAGACGCTTTTAGTGAAAACTACTTCGTCATACGAGATCATAGTAACAGGGGGTAGTGTTACCCAGTGAAACGCGTAACCTGTAAAACCTGCTCTTTTGTTTACTTTTGAGCTAACCTGTAACTTTATTCTTAATTCGCATGTGCTAAATAATAATTACGATACAGCGAGGAGACGGAGGAGGAGGAGGTTTTACGTATTTGCCCCTCGAGATTACAACTTTGATTGTTCTTTTAAAAGAAGGTTCTTATCAACATCTATCACAACGATGCCTGCTGAAATCCCATATAAGCCTAAGGGCAAACCTACAATTGAATTCATTGATTACAATGGCGCCAAGTTCAAAACCGTATTTTGGTCTGTCCCGGAAGGGGTTGCCAATAAGGGAAGATTGATTTACGTTCATGGATTTGCCGAACATGCAGATCTCTACACGCAATTCTTTGATGATTTAAGCCAACAAGGCTACGAAGTTTTCTATTTTGATCAAAGGGGTGCTGGTGAAACTTCTCCTGGTAGTTTAGTCGGTAAAACTGACGAATTCCATACGTTTGATGATTTGGATTATTTTATCAAGTATAATTTAGATGGTGTGACCGACAAAACCAAAAAGTTTTTCTTGGTAGGCCACTCAATGGGTGGTGGTATTGTACTTAATTACGGAATTAGAGGGAAATATGTTGATAATATTCGTGGAATTGTCGCTTCTGGTCCTTTAGTTAAGTTACATCCAGAAAGTGAACCAAACTTTGTATTGAGAGCTTTGGCCCCAGTTATCAATAAACTTCTTCCAAGCATGAAATTTGATTCTGCTTTGAATTTTGATAATATTACAACTAATGAATCCTGGAAGAACTACATTATGAGTCATGACAAGAAGTTGATTGGTACAATTAGACAATTTAATGATATGTTTGCTCGTGGTGATGAATTATTAGTTCCTGAAAAAGTCAAGAAATTTAACCCAAAGGTTCCAGTTTTGGTTATTCATGGTACTGAAGACCATATCAACGACATTGAAGGAACTGCCAAATTTTATGGGTTACTTCCTGATACTGTTGATAAGAAGTTTGTTAGGAATGAAGGGGCTAAACATTCAAACTTCATTGAATCTGAAAAACTTTATAAAGTTGCTCTTGATGAAACTGTTGCCTTCTTTGATTCTCATTAGCTTATGTCTTTTAATTTTTTTAATACATCCTCCGTCTTTCTCTCTCTGTGTGTGTATGTCTAGTTTAATATGTATACCACAATAGAGCAAGAGTTTGTGTGTGTGTGTGCTACCAGTTTTTTTTTCCGTAAATGATAACGTCAACATTCACCTTGTCACGGCTGAGCAATAGACTACATTTTAATATAGCTGTACTACCACGTGTTACTCTGTTGCTATTGCAAGGTCCCCGTATTTGAAATACATTTCAAATAAGCTTATATGAAAGGAATTGCACAAGATCTGTCAAATTAATGATTGAGAGTCACTGCACGTGATATGTTTTTTTTTTTTTTTTTTTTTTTTTGAAGTACCAGATTTGCAAACCAAATAAGTCAAACACTTCAGCCTTTCCCTGGATCTAATACCTTTCAAGCACTTCATCAAGTGTATCAAACAATCGTTTTCAGTCGTGGTAATATTATGAGATACATATAAAACCATGGGTTATACAATTAAACAAAAAATAGATATATGCCTAAAGGCAGAGTCAAATCCTCATATGACCCAATCTGATCTTGCAACATGGGCTATGAAACAATATGGAGCAACTAAGCCACCTAGTCAAACCACCATATCGCGAATATTAAGTTCCAAAAATGATTTGATTGCTTCTAAAGAGGCTGATTTTCAACTAGTTCGTCGAAGACAACAGACAAATCCGTTATTAAGAAGAATATTGACTGAATGGATCACTCAAGCTATATGGGAGAATATCCCCGTAACCACGCCTATAATTCAACTGACTGCAAACGCCATTTGGACGAGATTGCCTAAGGAAGAGAAGGATGGGAACGGAGTGTTTAATCAGAAGTGGTGTAATCATTTCATTAAAAAGTTGAACATAAATCTAACTGGAAGTGAAAAGGATAAAGCCGAGAATCCCGGTGGGTACACACTAAACAAAGTGTGGAAACTTGATGAGAAGATTGAATTGAAACAGTATTTGGACTTGTTAATAGCGAAAGAACACTACACACCTCAAGATATTTTTGTGCTTGATGAGTTTCAGCTATTTTATTCATTGCCGTTGGACCAGATCTTCGATGTGTCATCCATTGACAAAGGATTGAAACAGTCAAGTTCTTCTACCGAAAACTCCTTAACTATAATGTTAGGATGTAATATCGATGGTCTGGAAAAGCTTTCTCCATTAATAGTAGGAAAGTATGATAAATTTGATGTTTCTAAAAGCACCCATTCTGGCTTAAAAAATATCTCAGTTGATAGTATTTCCCAACCAGCTTTAATGAACAAAATAACAGAGGCATACAGAATCTTTTACAAGTCAAATACAAATAAATGGATCACATCATCCATGTTTCAGAACTATTTACTTACGCTTGACCATAAGATTGGAAGCGTTACACCGAATAGAAAAATCTTGATGTTATTGGATGATTCATCATCGCATAGGATTATAAACCTCAAGTTCGAACATATTCGACTAGTTTATTTAAAAAATGATACAAATCATAAGAATCCATATAGTACAACCTACAGTGGTTCCAAATTTGATTATCTACCCATGAACTTTGGTATCATAGAAGAGTTTAAGATATTATATCGTTTACAACAATATCTAGAAATGATAAATCTCCAAAGAAACAACTCCAAGGTTGACAAAATGGTAAATAGTTCAAGCCAAATCGACCTAAACAAATACGATATATCTTCAAATACGCCAGGATTGGAAGTGCTTTCAGAAACTGACTATCATATACCCATGATTCGAGTAATTGAATGGATCACACGTTCCTGGCATTCTATAACCCAAGAAAGAATTTTTTCATCGTGGAAGAAAACTCACCTTTTTAAACTTGCAGGTAAAGATTGGCCCAGTGAGAAATCAAGGCCTGCGGCAGAATATTCATTATTACCTTTGAACACCCGCATGAGCAACTATGATGAAAGCAAGAGTTACAACAAACTTGAAGAAATAATGAGATACCTTAATGTAGTAATACCCTGGGAAATAGATGAATTACTAGGATTAGTGAATGAACGAGGCAAGGTTACCCTCAGCTATGCTTCAATTACGGAAATTATTGGAAGCTGTCTTCTGGAGTCTTTTGATAGTAAAGTGAAACAGAATAAAGAGGCAAAATCCAACTTAATTAGTGACCAATGGTACCCAGGCGTTGGAGAAAGCGATGCTGCAGCTAACAATTCGTTGTTTTTCAATAGCAAAGCAACCACATTTGAATTTCCATATCAAGAAGAACTGAGATTGATTGAAAATAACCTGATTGAACAACTACTTTTGAAAGCACCAAGTTTGACTCCTGCAGATTTGGAAACTAATTCAGTCCAACATCCAACTCCACTACTGTCAAGGTTTACGTCAGTGAGCCCAACAGTATCTTTAACGACAACTCAGATCCCGCAATATCCTTCCAATGAAAGTCTGTTACGAACCAAACATAAGCTTCCAGAAAGTTGGTCTGAGATGAACAAGAAAAGACCCAATAATTCATTAAACTATCACTACTTACCCCTGCAACCAAATGGACTGGTACAATTGCCTGAAGCTGTACTTTCGGATCAAAGTGCACAATATAATACCATGGATGCTACCAGTGGGTTTCTGCAACAATCTCGTCAACAAACCCCGACATCCCTCGGAAAGGCTGATTCGCAAGATATATTGCAATCTGGAAAGCCAGATTTGATTAACGAATTTGAACTAATTACATCGTTAAATCGAATTCTAGAAGCCTCAAGTTCCAATGCATTGAAATTGTCACCTACAACTATAGAAGAATTGAATTTTAATCTACGAATGATTCAATCGAAATTTGGCAATAGCTCGGAAAATTCTTACAACTCGAGTTTATAGGTTGTAGAAATGCATAGATGCTTTCCTATTGGAGGTTCAAATACAATATTTATTCATGAAGTATGTTGCCTATATACAAGGAGAGTTTTCTTTCTCTCTCTTTCTTTATTTTTTTGCAAAAATGATGTTTGGATAACCTTGAGGTTTAAACAGCTTCACTCAGTTGAACTTCTTCTTCAGTTATTCCAAGTTCTTTGGCCCTTTCTTCCAATTTTCTTCTCTTTTCAGCTCTGGCTCTCTTTATTCTGGCTAATTCCGCTTGAATTTCATGGGGTTCCTTAGGAACTTGATTTAAGGTAGATGGATCAGGCCAGAAACCAGGTAAGTTAAATTTAGTATCTGTATCTAACCCAACATAGTACATGATACAAATTGGTGTTAATAAATACCATCCAAACTAATAGTAGTGCAATGTTAGTAAATTTTTCAAACCCCTATACAGAAATAACAAAATAATGAGTAATGTGACATACCTTTGCAGTTTCTAATTGTGTTCTTGTTATTCTATGGATAAACCTTTGGTAGCGAGATGCCATTACGTGCTCGTTTGTGTTACTGGGTATGTGTAGTGGAACTATCCGTAGTAGTTATACAAAGAGAGTTAATCCTTTGAAATTACAATGGTTTGATTTTTCTTTTCTTTTTACTTTGACCAGAAAAAAAGTTCGTGCAGACGTTACAACAAAGCAGACTCCCACACTTAGATTAGACTAAACTATTATACATTTACCATGAGTTCAGCGTACACCGCAATTGAGGCAGACGAGCCCATCAATCAAACTCCATATTCCCAGCCGCAACATACCTATACCACTTCACCACCAGCCAACACCACTCCAGCACCAACAACTGCTCCAGCACAAGGACAACAAACAACTAACAATGTCCCTGAAACATGGGTAGAACGGATAAGACAATCCTCGCATCCTATAGCCTTACTTTTCTACATGTTTTTCAGATTGGCTCCAATTTTTATATATATCTTTGGGAACTTCTTTATAGGATTCTTTACCACGCAAAATAGATTTATATTGCACTTTATCACCCTTATCTTGTTAGTTTCTGCTGATTTTTGGAACTTGAAAAACATTTCTGGAAGATTATTAGTTGGATTAAGATGGTGGAATGAAACTAATCCAATTGAAGGTCAAGTAGGCGAATTTGAAAATGTGTGGGTATTTGAAACTGCTGATCCAAACAGGTATATTAACCCAATTGATTCAAAAATGTTTTGGTTGTTGTTATATGGTCAACCAATTGCATGGGGCGTTCTTGGATTATTGGCCGTGTTGAAATTCCAATTTTTGTATTTGATGTTGATTGCAATTTCAATCAGTTTGTCAGTGACGAATGCATTGGCATTCACCAAATGTGATAAATTTGGTAAGGCCAATTCTTTTGCTAACGACCTTTTTTCAAGGGCTACTGGTTCAATGTTCTCAAGGTTAAATCCATTTGGTGGGAGGTAACGAGTAAGTTCTCTTTATATATTTCTAGAAAATAAACTTAATCTTCGTCTAATTTTGTTAACGCCTTCTATATGTGGACGGGGGATATCGCCTCTCTTTCTAATTTCAACTTTCGGTGGTCTTGAAATAGGGCTTGGTGGATCTTCAAAAAGTCCTAAAATATCTTCTTCTGCTGATTCTTTCCTTGGTTTGCATTTTTGTAAGAACTTTTCTTGGAATTTAACTTTCCACCATGATTTATTAGAACCTGTAATAGGCAAAGTCTTGAATTCAGCAGGTGGAAGATTTTCATCATGATTCTGGTTTGTTTGTGCTGATGTAGGTGAAGAAACAAGAGTTCCAAAATAATAATGATATCCTCTGTGTAATGAAGCAAACTTTGCTGTCTGTTTGTTTCTTTCTTCAGTATCTATCTCTTGGCCTGATGCATTATCAACTGTGATTGGTGGTGAGAAATAACTATCCACAATGTCATAAATTATTAAAGCGTCTGTTTCTTGAGAAGAAAGTTCAGATTTAACGGGATTGTACTTGAATTTATGGGATAATTTTCTTTTAAGACTATTAGATTTCCTTGTTCCATGATCCAATTCGGGTATTTTGAGTTTCTCCTTTGACTTTCCTTTCTTGTGACTCATGTTCTGTCTCCTTGTGATAAAAGAAGTGCTGTTTTCTTTGCAATGGGAGTTTACTTTTTTTTGTTTTTTTTTGCAACTTTTACTTCACAAACATAGATTTCAAATTTACTAGATAAACACAATATACAAAAAAAAATAATACTAATACTAAGAATAGAACCAGGCTAACTTAATGAAATAAAGACTCCATCTTGATGTCTTGCAGTTAATTGACAATTCTTCAAAGGTGGATAATGTCTGTGATCTCTTGTTTCCAAATTAGGGAACATTTGAATTAATCTAGTAAGAACATATCCAGTTTCAGTTAAAGCAAATTGTTGTCCCAAACAAATTCTTGGACCACCATTGAAAGGTAAATAAGCCCAGCCTAATTGATCAAGGTGTTCCCATCTTTCAGGAATGAATCTTGTTGGGTCTTTACCAAAGTACTTTTCCATTCTATGGGTAACGTAATAAGAATATGCTACAGTGGTACCTTTGGCAACAAAGACAGGAGCGGTTCCATCAGGACCACCACCAACTGGTAAAGTAGTATCCTTATTAGGCACTCTGAAATTGACAGCAACTGAAGGATATAATCTCAAAGTTTCATTAATAACCCATTTCAAATATTCACATTGCTTTAATGATTCAAAAGTAATCTTGGAAGTATCATCCTTACCAAAGGTTTGATATATTTCCGCCTTTAATTTTTCCCATACATCAGGATTTCTAGCTAATTCAAACAAACAGAACGATAAAGTACCGGCAGTAGTATCTCTTCCAGCGAGCAAGATGTTAAGTAATTGATCTTGTAAAACTCTCTTGTCCTTGGTGTATTTAACCAATTCATACAAGAAAGTGTAACCATCTTTGGATTTTTCTTCAAGAACATCAGGAGTCATAGTTAAAGCCTTGGTAACAAAAGTTTGAATCCAATTGTGAACTGTCCTGTTTGCTCTTCTAAACTCAAAACCATCAACTAAGAAATAAGCTGCTTGAGAATAAACTCTCGAACCAAGATACTTTTGAGACAAATCAAATGCCCGAGCAAATTCCAAAACTTCCTTACGAGCAGGTAATCCAATTGAGTCATCATGCAATGAGTGCACAGATTCACCAAGTAAAAATTCAGTAGCAGTATCTAAAGTTAATCTGAAGAACAATTCTTGGATGTCAAATTTATCACCTTTATATTTTCTAATATGTTTAGCCAAAGTTTGAACATGGGGCTCAAGCTTTTGAACATGAGCAACTTGTTCACGAGCAAATTGAGGTCTTAACAATTGACGAGAATGCTTCCAACCATCACCATCCAACGTGAAAATACCATCACCTAACAATGTTGCAAGATGAGAATGTCTCCCAAGGCCAAATTCATTGAATTGAGTAGCTAACATTGCCTTGATATTTTCTGGTTCACGAGTGGCAATAACTCTAAGTCCAAATAACTTGGCACTAAGGGTTCCGTTATATCTATCCAAAATTGAAACAGCAAAATCAAGTAATTCCCCCGATTGTTTAAACAGAATTAATGTATAGGCCAAAAATAATCCCAAAAACCCACCTTCTCTAAATCTTGGAGGTTCTTGTGTTCCATGTTTTCTTCTAAATCTTTCACGCTTAATATGAATGGCTAAAGCATATACAAGTATACTACTTATAATAATCCCATACCAACTAGTGAAAAACTTCACTGTAGAGTTCAAAACACAGGCAGTTGAAATTTGCATTATTAAACTTTAAGATCCGTTCAATTACGAAAATTTTGACAAGATTTAAGGTATTTACTGGGTTATTTTACCATATTATATATTCTAGATCCAAAAAGGTTGCAAAAATTATCGTTCCCCACATTTGACATCTAGACAATATCCAACAACAGTAATTAGATAATGCATTTACTCCTCTAAGGGGTCCGTTTAAGTCTCATGTGCATGTGGAAATTCCTATTTTGTAGTTGCAAATTGTTAAAATTAGATAATTTTCGGACTTGGATCACAAGCATTTTTTAGGGCTGCGGGGAGTGTACCTATACCCCACAAAATTATGCAAATAAAATACCTCAAAGTGGAACTGAATAGCCATTGTTTAACCTTAGTTTACGCTAACGGAGAAGTGTTTCCTAGGCTAATCGGAGTTGCCTTGCCCGCTTTAGCCATGAAATTTTGTTGGAGGCGGGTGTTAGGAAAAATAGAAATCACATGTATGGTCGTTCCTAGCAACATTGTAAACAGTTATAATGTTTTACACAAAGCTGAAACACAGAGCAAATAATGACGTATCTAATTGAAATTTGAGATCTATCCCTAATCAACCTCTCGTATATTGTTTATGTGTAAGCAAGATCGAGCCAGAAAATGTACAGGGGCAAGGAAACTTTATTTTTGTTTTTGTTTTTTTTTTTGTCAATCAACACTAGAAAAATCACCCAGTTACACCAGGAAACTGTAGTCTTTGTATTTCGTCTATTTATTGCTTATTGAACATTCGTATACATAGATAGAGTAGTTGCTATACTTATCTGCATATGATTAGCACCACAAATCGTGTCCAGTTTCAAGGGGTTAAGAACGAACAAGAATGATACACAACTAAACCGTTTTTCATAAACAATGCATAACGTGCACTATTGTTTTCCGAATTAGGAAAATAACAATTCTAGACGGGTCTGTAGAATACGATCTAATCGATTTGGGCTTTTCTATTCCTAGAAGCATTTACGTCAATTTCCTTTGTAGTTCCTTTAGATGCAATAATTTCTTCATGTGAGTTTCATATGACATATTATGTGGATCACTCGTTAAGTTAGCCTCTAACTGCAAATCAGTATTTTCATTGTTTCTTAAAAGTACAATGGTTTCAAATGTTTGGATTATATTTGTCATATGATCGACCTCGATCTCTTCTCCTTTCAATCTCCGCAACTTATACGCCTGTGAAGTTTCTTTAGATTGCTGATAAATGATTCGTAGTATGATTTGATTAAGAATCATGTTCAAATCGTTATTTTTAGAAAACTCAATCACAGAGTCATTGAGCCCTGGCACTTTGATATCTTTGGGCATTCTCTTAAGAATAGTAATTGGATCATAATATGCATTTGAAGATTCATCTGAATTTTCAATTAATGCCTTGATGAAATCCGGCTTTTCCATGGAATAATCCAACAAAATATTCCATGCCTCTTTGTCGTTTTGTCTTTTGGCAAACTTAATGGCCATAATTGGGTCATTTAGTCTTGTAGTTATAAGTTCTAATGCCTTTTTGTTTTGGCCAATTCGACCAAGGAGATAAACTAACTCTTCAATGTATTCATTTTGTTCACATATATTTATAGCTTCGTCGATATCATAACCAGTATTTTTATGCAAGAATGGAAGTAGGGATTCTCTTTTAAATTGAGAATAGAGCTTAACACGTTCATTTCCAAATGGTGCAACCAAATAACTGTCGATTTCATTAAGTTTTTCCAAATAGAAGAAACTGATGAACGGCATTGAGCTAAATAATTCCACAATCACTTTTGGACTAACTTCTAAGCGTTTATCCACTAAAGTTGAAACTATATCGGAAATTTTGGACTGTATCTTACTAATTGGAAGTGTTTCCAATTCATCCTTGTCAAATCTTAGACTTATTATATCTGGTAATTCATTAATGAACTGACTTAAAATGTGATTTTTGGAGAGATATTCAACAATATTGTGGTCTTTCAAATGAACCATATGTGGTATTGCTTTTGCAGGCTCTAGCGACTTGTCGTAGAGAAGTACAAGACTTTTCTCCAATTGTGATGAATCTTCTGTTCGTACAATATCCTCAAGTTGAGACTGTATTTGCTTCACATCATATACTTCGATGTCCCATTGAGTTATCAAATCATGAAGCTTTTCTTGGTTCGTGTTTATCCAATATTTGAGTATTTGGTTATAAATATCCTTTGGTAAATCTGATGTAATTGGAATTATATCAGTAAGATCAATGATATGGCCACTATTTATATAAATATTACTCCAGATTTCCCATTGATTTACTATTTCCTTGGCATAGGAGTCATCTTGTGTGCTACTGCTGGTAATTGTGCCACTTCTGGTCTCATTGTCCTTAATGTCCTTAATATCTAAAAACTTTTGCAAGTACTTACCAGCAGAAACCCAATCATCCTCCTTAATCAAACTGTCAACATACTGAATTCCATAATTCAACCTCTTTATTGGTGATACTAAATGTTCACTTATTTCCCATGCGTGCAAAAATTCTTCTGTTTCTAAATACCAAGACAATCTATCATTTAAGGTTAATTCTTGGGCAACTACTGCATCTTTAGCACTAATGATATAGTATTTTGTCAGTGTTTCTATATGTGAACCGAGAGTGAAATCATTTAGGCCCAAATTTTCCACATTTTTGAGCCCTAATTCTTCTTCAAATTCTACCTCCCCCGTGACTGAGTTAATTAATTTTAAATCAGGATTGTTAAACTGGAGTTTCCCAGTGGTGTCGTCTAGTGTAGGTGGGTCATATGAAAGAATCATCCATAAATCGTCAGTAAAACTTGTAATACCACAGATTAAACTATCCACTTTGAAAATATGTTCAATCTCAACTTCTTTTTCTTGAATATTTCTGAATGATATACTTGCTGTTGAGGGTAAGATCTTACTCATACCTGAAGATGTCACCTTTTCGTCTGAGTTTTGTTTGATAGATATCTTTAATGACCATATATAATTGCTCCAGGCAATTATAATTCTATTTGGGTCAGGAAATGTCACTCTTGGCCAATATAAATCACTTCTTGGGGAATCTTCTGGCTTGTCAACAACCAATAACATTTGCTTTAGACTGAAATTGTAAATATTAATACCCTTATCGTTCATCCAAAATAGTAAATCATCAACTCTTTCTAATGATACAATTGGTCCGGAACCTTCATCTAGAACCACGTCTGTTCGTTTACCCATCCAGCTCCTATTGGATAGTATTACTTTCCCACTCATTCCTCCAGAAATGAAACTCCTATTAGTGCTATAATGTTTGTCAAGCACCACGGCATGAACTGGCCTTTGGAAATTATACGCTACTATATCCTTTTCGTCAACAATTGAACCGATGACAACAGTACCATCCATTGATGCAGTGGCAAAGTAGGTCCCATCAGTATATATAGACAAAACGGAAGCTCTATGAGCTTTGAATGTTCGAATAGGTTGAAAGTCTGGAGTTGAAATGTGAATCACTCCGGAATGAGTGGCAAATATAAAGTATGAATCGTGGATACAACAAGTAGATACTGGATCCTTATTGAAGAAGTTTGGAGGAAGCTTGTTTAAACGAGTGTATTTAAGTTTTGGAGGGGAGTCATCCTCTTCATCCAGGTCTTCCTCCGACAGATTGTATTCATCATGATGAATCAATTCCGGTGCGGTATTCTTTTCGTATTCATTAGGCACTGTATGAGTCTCTTCTATGCTGTCTGGATTGTGCTGTGGCATTGACTGCTGTCTAAGGACCATCAGGTTAGTGTTGCCAAAAAATCTCATACTCCAAAAAAAAAAACAAATGACATCCAGAAAAAACTAACGCCAACTTACATACTAAACTAAGGCAAACCAACTAATAGACAGAGAAATGTTAGTGGCAAGTAAAGGAGTGTTAGTTCAATGTGATCCTTCCATACGGGCATTGATTTTACAAATTGATGCAGAGAGTCCTGGTATTGTCTTGGAAGAATTAGATGACACACATTTGTTGATACAGCATGATAAGGTTCAAATTGTCAAGAATGAATTAAATAAGCTTTTGTCCAAGAATATTTATAACCCATTTGATGAAGAATAGTCTAGTTCTATTGAATAGAGCAAGGTATCAGCTTTTAGCTGTATAATATGGCATATTGGCTATTTACAGAATGATCTGTTGAGTCTATATAGAATCAGCTAAGGGTTCGACAGCCTTGGGATCCTCCGTTGTGAGTTCACTTACTGTGGATTCCTCTGGCTCCACTTCTGTGTGTGATGTGGAAACTGGAGGTACTAGCTTAGCTTGTACCAGCTCAGAATCTTCACCGGCTTCGGCTTCAGGTTTGTCTAAATTTGTTCCGGGAGAAGGTGATAATTCACTATTTGGATCAACCAGTATATCAGCTACACCTTCAACTATATTATCAAGTTCCAAAATATCTTCGTTGAATTCTGGCTTATCCTCCACTTCTTCTTCATATACATGAGTTAACAAATCATTTATAAACCCATACATGGCGTCAACCTCCATTATTTCACTAATTTGTTGTCGCGTTTCACTATCCATTTTAGATATATTTGCCGTCAACAGTTTATAGTAATTTTCATAGTTATTCAATACCACATTTGATAGATTATTCATTAAGAATTGTGTCACTGCCAAGTCGTTCAATATCATTTTGAACTCGTTGAAATATAACGGAATCTTCATAATCAAATTATCTTTAAATCTATGGGTAACATCCAATGGATTCTCAGCGGTTTGTATTGGATCACAAATTGTAGTTGAACACAATGTTATAATTTCAGTTACCAAATTATTCAATTCTAATTCAATTTCCAAGTTTGCATCAATCATATTGTTGATAATTTTAGGAACTGTCTTTTTAGCCAAGTCTAAAATCCCTTTATTGTTTAAACTAAAACTTCTAGCTTTAATCATTTGCCAAATATCGTTCAATCCACTTGTGAAATCAATTGAATAATCAGTTCTAGTATATTGAATATCAAAATTATTAATTTGGCTTCGTAATGTGATTAAATTGTTCAAATATGCCAATTTACCATCGAGTTTCCCCATATGTGCACTGGCTATCTTAACAAATTCTCCTTGCAACAATTCAATACAAGAATGAACAATGTAGTGAGCAAGGTCATCGAAAACCACCGAGTTGATTAGCTCATAAATATTGGATAAAAGTGTTAATGCTTTTCCTAATGGTAAATAGACATCAGGAAATAAGTTTTCAGTATATTCCACGTCTAATGTATTAACTTGCTGCTTTTCTGGTTCAAGAGAAACCTTTCTGTTTCCAATCTTTAAATCTTCTGGCTTGGGTTTGTACTTTATTAATTTGTCATCAACATACTTTTGGATTCTGAAAATTAATCTACTCTGAGCATCATCAAGAATTGGCTGGAATAATTCACCATATTTGATTACTTCAATAGCAAAGTAACTGGCAGTGTCTTCTTCGCTATCAAATTCGTAATACTTTTGTAGCAACGTGGTCAACTGACACAAGTTGGAAATACTATGTTCTTTCAAAATAAGTAATCTTGTAACGTCGTACAAAGGTTCAAGTAAATTTTTCAAGAATTGATAGAATTCTTCACTTACAACAGTTACCATTTCGTCTTGCACAAAAAATTGTCTATATAAGGAATATTCCTTTTCAACAATCTTTTTGAAATATGAGATTTGGTCTTGGCACGTTTGCACAAGGTCATGGTCTGACTTGTGAAATAATGAACGGATATTGGAATCTTTTTCTATATATGTTTTCAAAAGATTCAATCTTATGTCGAAATAGGTACCTAATATTTCTCTGAGTAACCCGTTGTATTCCTCATGAGTGTAAGTTCTGGCCACAATTTCTTTAAATAAACTATTGAATGAACCATTGTCAAATTTCAAATAATCATTAAACTCGTTATATATCAATAACTCGATAGATATATTCCTGGCTAACTTCCTCTTAATACTTTGATCCAAGTTCCTTAATTCGTGATTTAGAAAGTTTCTAATTAATGTTAATCCTCGGGTCATACATTGCCTGAATCTACTACCGTATAGCTCTGCCTCTTTGAAATTTGTATGTTGGTTAATAAACACTAAAGATTCATCCAACAGTTTTAAAATTTCGTTGACAAAATAGTCTCTCTTCTGATGCAATAAATGGTTCCCTGATCTTGATAAATGTTTTGTAATTGAATCTAAATGTTCAAAATGCTTTAAATAGGTGTTTATTTGATCATACTTGTCAGTATAGCCTCTTTGTAATTCAAGTAAATCATTTGCTTCTTTATCGAATTCGATTGTGTCGCTGGAAATCTGGTTGTACTTCACCAACAAGGTATTAATACTAGCCAAAAGACTGTCTGTTTCATCAATAAACTCCCCAATTTGCTGTTGATTTCTGACAATATTGTTTTGAAAATTAAGGATATTGTCAATTTGTAAATCATTAATATGTTGAATGTCTTGAGGTTTTAAAACAACGTCGTATTCATAGGTTTCGATATATTGCGACCAAACATTGTTGCTTTCCTTGTTAGTAAATGGAAACATTGGTAAATCGCCCAGATGTATGCCATTACTGATAGTAGCATCTATATCCACCGACTTGGATCTGGCTGTCCGATAAGTAGTTGGTTGTATGGTATCATCTTCTCCTAAATTTAGATGATCCTCAGTGCTTGAAGGAACATCACTAGCAATCCTTTGAACAATTGATCTACTCCTACCTCGTGTCATTGACAAAGACATGTTTGATGGTTCTATGTGGTTCTGGGTTGCCGCCGCTCTGATTAAACTTCAAGTGGTTGGACTTCTTTTCCAGTGCTGCCAAAAACTTGAAAGTTACAACACACACCTTTGGGGTTTGTATGCAGGAGGGTGCTTTATTATATTTTTCTAGTTTTTATATGGGCAGGCTAGTTTACGCGTCTCAGCACAACACTTTTGGCTGCCACTTTAGGAGATAATATGGAGGACAGTCGAGATGAAGTTATAAACTCGGACGATCTCTTGACTGAAGATTCTGCTGATGAATTAAAGGACTTGGTGAAAGAATTTGAAGCTAAATATGAAGCATTGAAGCAACAGAAGGAGCTAAACAAGCAAAAGAAACAAGACAAGGTCAATAGAACAGAAGTTCCAAAATCACCTCCACCTAAACCCACTAATCACACTCTTGTTGCTCCCCCTATTCCCAAAATGACTCCTCGTATTGAAACAGTTGTCATTGAACTGAAACCCAAAGAAAAAGCAAAGTCCAACTTCTTGAACAAGTTATATGATGCTAATTTCCAAGTGCAACTTCGTCAGATAGACTACGATAAGAGAAGGTTCGAATTTGCCTTGTCAGAATTTAAGTCTGAAGCATTTGATGTTGACGAAAAGGAACCAATTACAGGTCATTTCCTTCGGAAACGATTCATATCGGCAAACCAGTTCCAAGAACTTATTAAAGCAACTGACCCCGAGATGAAATTTCTTAAGATAGATAAACTTTTAGCAAAAGTCAACAAAGCAAACAATTTTGCAGAACCGGTATATACTAACTGGTGCTTGGTTGGAATGGTACTAGCCAAATCAGAGCCCAAAATGACAAAGATAAACACGAAATATATGAAATTAAAAGTAGGTAATTTTCATCACTCGGTGGATTTAATGCTTTTCGAACAAGCATTTGAGAAGAATTGGAAAATTCAACCTGGGAACTTGATTGCCGTGCTTAATCCAATTGTAAGCAAGTATGAGATTGAAAAAAAATTCGGGTTTAATTTAAAATTAGACAACAGTAATGTTTCCAGTATTGTTGAAATTGGAGCATTACGGGATTTTGGGTATTGTAAATTTGTCAAACCTCCTAATATTAAATGTCAGAATGTGATTAATCCAAAAGAGGCAGAATTGTGTGATATTCATCTCGATATGAAGTATAAGCATAGTGGAAGAATGGAATTAAATGGTGCTGTGCAAATGAGATCCCCCAAGAAATTTAAGAAAACCAACGAAAGTGGTAGTTACTTTAGAGACTATAATGAAGATACGGTTATAACTTCGGGTGGGGCGGCTCCAGATTTTAAACGATTCCAAGATCCAAAAGTTCTACAAACTCAAAATAAGAGAAGAAAACTTCTTGACCAGAGAGCAAATGAAAAGTTGGAAAAGAAGCTAAGTAAATTATCGTCAAATTCTTCATTAAACAATCTCAACTTAATCAAAGGTGATAACATAATTCCAAAACCTTTGGAAAAGGTAAGAACCCAGGGATTTCCCAATTCAATGATCTCGCAGATTGGATATGATCCAACATCTACTCCGAATGATTTGAAAACACCTGCTCAGAGAATGAAAGAAAACTCAAGACTTCAAGAGTTATACGAATTAAGTATGAAAAACTCCAAATCCAAGTCATTGACGACCTCAAAACAAGACCAACAACTTAAAGTTGATAAGTGGAAATCTAACATTAAAAGTTTAAAAGACTATGACAAGAAGGTTGTATCTAAGCCGTTAAATTTATCACAACCTTTAACTGGTTTAACTAAGGGTAGGCCCAACATGGTTCATGTAAAGAACAAGCACAATCGTGTAGTGTTGGATGATGACGATGATGATGTCGATGATGATGATGATGATATAGACATCCAATTTGGAAATGACAAAATAAAGAACCAATATTTAAAGTTGGTAGAAAACAGAAAGGCGTAGTTTAGGAAAATTTTATAGAGCACAAATACATGTGACAATATAGCTTATAGAGTGTGATTTATCGGTATAATACAATTCTATAAAATTAGCTATAATTACCAAACTAATAAATCAATCTATTCAAGACCTACCCAAATATCACCATAATAAGCGAACAAATCACGAGCACTTTGCGGGAATTCAATCAATGTCCCTTCACGTGTATTTGTGCCACCACCTTCAACCTTACCACCAATGCTGGAATATGCACACCACATATAAGAATTACAATACTCGGTTTCCATATGCCATCCCTTTTCAGGTTCTTCTTCAGTGTTGGTAGCTCGGAATCTGATATCAACTGGTGGGATAACTGCTTGAGATATACGAAGTGGGGCATAATAAAAGGTTTTAAATGCATTAGCATCAGTTAACCATTTTAATCTTGTGTTTTTCTGATATTCTTTATCATAATCAATCTTACTGGCTTGACCACAGAATTGGAATCCTGAATTGATCCAAACTAATGAGTGGCCATCTTCTGAATTTATATGACCAGGGTGTGGTGAACAGATTTCCTTGGCATGTGCATTAGTTCCATCTTTCCTTACTCTGTCAGCTTCTGGAGTAACTTCACCGATTGCGGCTGCAAAATATTCATTGAATTCGTATCTTTCATCACCACTGACAGCCATAGCTAACCAGAAAATTTCCTTATCACCATGGATTCTTTGAGTAACTGGTTGGTAAAAGTTCAATTGTAACATCATCAACATGGCGTTATAATGTTGCTTTCTATTCAAGACAACTAAACCGGATTCCATGTATTGGAAAGCACCTCTGAAGAATTCACGATCCAAGGTATGTTCAGTTATAATAGGAATATTAAACATAACAGAATCAATGATTGATGGAGAAATTTTCTTGAAGAAATAACCATCTGAATCCTTTCTGTCTTCGAAACTGGATCTGTCCTTATAGAAAAAGGCACCACTTTTCTTATAACCACTTAATTGGAAAAAGAATTCGGGGTTCTGCATCATGGCAGTATCGGCATCAACCAAAATGAATTCTTCAAACGAGTTGAAAAGAGTGGCTAAGAATTTGTTACCAAAGCCTTTGAATTTATCTTTGAATTCGTTGTTAATCACATTGTAAGTGTTTACGAACCAAACATCTTGCTTTGGTAACCCATTTTCTTCTGCAGTAAGATAGTCATCAGGAAAGTAATGAGCAATTTTCGCAAAAGATCTTGGCAAGGAGTTGAAAGGTTCTCTAGCAGCAGTAACAATTTTTTCTTTGGTTGCAGTAGATAATTTGTCATAGTAAACAATTTGAATTGGTAATTTGTTATTCAAAGCACGTAATAAGTGAATTAATCTAACTGTGTCATCAGCATGTTTGTCACCGATAGATAATACGATCCCCTTACCGTTACATTGGTCTCTGAATTGACTTAAAAAGTAAGGAGATTTAGATTTACTAGCTGGTTGTGGCTTACCTTTGCGGATAGCTTGTAAATTTGGAGGTTGATAGTAAACATGACCTTGCCAACTTTCATATACAGGAGGTTCAAATGAAAGCCATGGATAAACTCTGTGTTCAAAAGTTGATTGCTGCAAGTTGATTAAAGATTCTTGTTTGGTTAATTCGAAAGATGGTAACCTTTCACCTTCACTTGCTGCCAAGGCACTAACAAGATTATGTTGGTTCTTGATAAACTTATCCATAGCTTTAACTTGGGTGGCATTATCGTTACTTATGTAACATTTGTTAAAAATTCGAAGTGTGGTGACACCATTCACAACTATTTGTTCATTAAATCTTGTCAGGTTCAACCAGCTATTGTATTCTTGTTTAATATATTTCTTAAGGGCTGGATCGTTGTCGTTAATTTGATCTTCTGGTTTGTCAATCTTCTCGGAATATTTCTTCTTAATCTCACCACTATGAGCACGATAATAATCTTCATAAGCAAAATCGTCTCTGTAAATCAATTCCAAATCTTCATTAGGGTTGAAAGCCCAGTTGTGATCGTTCAAAAAAAGATTTCTGAAGTATAACTCACATCTATGTTCAAAATCTAAGTTTCCAAAAATAGAGTCAATGTTGTGGTTACTAAAAATAGTATTATAAACTTCGGCATGAGCATCAACCCCTCTAAGATCTTTAGTTTTTAAGTTGTTTTGTAATAATTGAATAGTGAAATCATCTTTAATAGCAACTGGGCTGCCTGCCTCGGTGCTGGATAATCCTTGCAAGTCACTTTCAATTTCCAGTTGACTCATTTTATATACGACTTCATCATCGTATTGGTTGTAAATTGAGGAATGGTGAGGAGGTGCTGTAGAAAAAGCACTAAGAGTTGTTTTGGCACGGGAGTTTTTGAAGAGCCATAAGTTGATTGCCAACAACCAAATAACAATAATGGAGTAGATTATAAGTTTCTGACGAGATCTATTTATATGGATTTTCTCAATCATGATGGATCAATATGCGTATATATGTGGGATCTATTTCAGATCTGTATAAGATGTATTCTGGTATAATATGGGTGTGTATAAAATGTGGCCTCTGGTGTGGTTGTAAATTCAGAGGATGCAAAAAAAAAGAAGAAAAAAAAGGATCAAAGCGAACGTGTGGTTGTATGGGTATTATACGAAGATATGATTGAGATGTGCAATAGCGAATCAAAAAAAAAAGTAAGAAAAAGTTATAGTAAGAAATGTAATACAAGGCATCTGTTTATATTTATACATTCACCACCCTTGAGGGCTTTTCTAATTTTATTTTTAGCTCCTTGTGTGTTGATTGTTGACTGTCTTAACCAAGGCGTTGAAAGCTTAACTAGTTTTTTTTTGCTCCCTTTGCGTCATTGTGTAAATAATTTCTTTTGTCATTGTTCTAGGAATAAAAAAATATTTTTGCAATCTTTCATCAACATATTTTGTTAGCATGCGAAGCAACGTGGGCAGTTTTACATATTTTTATCGCCAGTTATTTTCAACCTGATTCGATGAGATTAAGCATTGACAGTTGATAAAATGAAATCGTGATACCAAGCAGTTACTTCCTTGGTCAACAAGTTCTTTCAGTCAAGAAGAATTCACACGATGTTTAATTCCATTACAATTTATTCCGTCAATAATTGCCATGACTGACGAAAAATAAGAATTTATGCCTACTACCTTTAAACCTTAAATGTGTAAAATTTCATCGTAGTGTTACATACATACAATTTTATTTTATTTTCATCGACATGAAATACTAAACAAACGCGTAGAAGCTTATGAAGTGGGACCTTTTGCCACTATATAATAACAAATACTGGTGAGGGAAGAACAAAATATTTTCAAAAAAAAAAAAATAAAACTGCAAAAAAAATTTACAAACGAATGTCAACAGCCAAGCCCACCTGTTCGAATATTCAGGGATTTAAGGGCTTTATCTTTCACAGTAATTATCCCTATTTCTTGGTAATTGAACCCCCTCTCCCCCTCTATCTATAACATATTGTGTAATTTATGATACTCCACAAAGAAGATATAGCAATCATACTGAGCCACATTGTAGTTTAAAACAGGTGTGCAAAACATGCCAGCTGGTAATGGTGCTTGACAAAGCAAACACGCTTCAAAACTTTCCCTGCCCCCTACTCTCAATTCTTCATGATATAGTAAAACGACGAAAACGGTTGAAATATGAAGAGATCGGCTTATCAATTTACCCCCTTGTGTAGCATTCCATTATGATCTCTTAACATGCGCGTTAGTCCACGTGCTACCTAGATTACTTGGGAATTGTTTGTGTAACCTTGCCACATGTAATAATCGACAAACGACGGTATTCCCAATTAGGAATAAATGACTAATCGATCTTTGAAGGGAAGGTAATTGTTATCTGTATGAATTGATAATGAAAAAAAAAAAAAGCAACAATATATTTTTATGCATTCAAGGATCTATTAAGAGATTACCGAAGAGCAATTTTAACTGTCAAAATTGCAGTTTTCTCTGCATACCTAGTTTTAGCATATTGTACATATTCCAATGAGTTTGAATTGCAACCTTGGTTTTGAGATCAGTTTGACTAAAAAGAAATTAAACTATACATAGAAATGGTTAAAACATAGAAGCATAGTAGTTACATCATAATAGAAATGCACTAAGAAACAAAACAGTAACTACATTTGAAAATGTCAAATATGAACCAGATCCTTCCTCAATATTTGAACAAGTGGCACATGGCAAAGCAGAAGTGGGTTCAGCTGTTGTTGTTGTTGTTATTGTTGATCTGGTAGAAGAAATACTCATGCTTATAGTATTTTTCAAAGTTGAAGTGGTGGTATTATCTTTGTCACAATTTGAAGTACAAGGAATAGAAACTCTGGTGGTGGTACAGGACCTCTCGGAACATTTAATTAACGTTAAGGTATAGTATCTGGTGGATAATGGTATTGTGGTATCAGTTGGTTCATCATCATTCGAACAAGTAATTATAGAAGTGATAGTTTTACAGCTAGAGAACTCATTACATTCAGTCATAGTTATGGTTGAATATAATGTAGTTGTCATTGTATTCTCAGTTTCGGTACTGTTTGGACATTCTTGGGAATCAGAACATTGTTGGGTAGGATATACTGTTTCTATTTCTGTCAGAGAAATTGTTGAATCATCAGTCAGAGTTTCATTAGAGGTACTATCTTTGGTTTCAGTTGGAAGGACTTCATCTGTTTTTGTTGGTATAGGTGTCTCTGTATATTCAAATGTAGTACCTTCTGTTGTATTTTCACTTGTAACTAGTTCTGTTGGATCTTCGGGGGTGAAAGTTGGTACATCAGTATCTGTTTTGGTACCATCTTCAGTGGTTTCAATTGAATTTCCTGTAGTTTCACTTGGATTAACTGTATCTGTAGGATCTGTAATGGTAGGACTAACTGTATCGCTTGGCTCTGTAGTAGTTGATTCAATCGGATCTGTCAGATTTATGGTTGGGTCAACAGTATCAGGAGGATCTGTAGTAGTCTCCCCCTCAGTGGTGGCTTCAATAGCACAAGGTGTGACTATTCCAACTATATCGGTTGGATTATCATGCACAATAATAGTGACAGTAGTGGTAATATCACGGTCCCAGCATGTTGTTTCTGTGATGGTAGTATGAGTAGGGTCCGCCACCACTACAATTGCAGTTTCACCAGGCTCAGCACTAATTGTAGTATAAGAAGTTGAGATACCAATATACGTCGATGTGGTTGTGATTGTTGGAATCGGAACATTAACTTGAATTGTCATAGTTTTCCCTGGCCCGGTTTCGAATGGTAGTGTAGTTGCAGAGGTCGTCGAACCAGTATAAGTTTGAGTGACGACAATTACTCGTTGGGCAGTAGCACCAGTCATCCCATCATTTGATGGTTTCCAAAGAACAACCTCATCATTCTCATGTTCTTTGTCTTCTCCTTTGCAAGTGTATGTATTAATATAATTGACATATGTTCCCGAAAACTGGGGATCAAGAAGAAAAGCAGTAATGAATGGTCTATATCCAGGGGGGATTTCTCCATATTCCACTGTGAAGGAATCTGGTCCACATTCTATTGAGGCAATTAGGTTTTGAGCTGCGGTAGGATACATCCAATCGTTAAACATGTTTGAAATATGTGCTTTTGCATTCAGACAATCAATAACTTCAGAGGTCAATGCCAACTGAATTCCTAACTTTCCCGATTTATACCCATTGGGACAGTTTCCTGCCAACAAATAGTCTTGAAACCGGTTCAAGTTGGGAATATATTTGTGTACATAAGCAATTTTGTCAAAATCATTGTCGGTATCCTTTTGAAAATTCACAGTAGTTGAAATTTCAGTGTTTCCATCATTGAATATGATGGTATTGGTACCTTCATGAAAACGTGACGAACATTGTAAATCAGTAGCTGCTCCAGAAAGACCGGCATTAAATGTCACGGGAAAAGTTGCTTCACCAGAAACCGAACCAGCAGAAGGGACTTCGTTTATCACACAACTGACTTCAGAATATCCCAATACCACATCTCCTGGTTTAAGCTGGCATGAAGCATAATCAATGTTGTTGTGGCTTAGTTTGAAGGTTTTATCAGAGGTGGGGAATTTATAAACACATGGCATATGCAACGTAAAAGTATCTCCAACTTGCATAGTTGATTGATCAATGGTCCAGCCAACTTTAACCATCCACTTGGGGTTTATTGGAAGTGCAAAGGGAAAATCACCACCATTTTCCCATTCGCAGGAAATAAAATCAGTGAATACTGGACTGACTTCAGCTGCAAAAATTGAACTTACCAAGAATAAAAGAATAAAATATAGCATCTTTGTTAAAAAAAAGAGAGATATGAAATAATGACAGGTGAACAAACTTGGGTTCAAGCTAATATCCAAAGATATCGTGGTCTATTTATGTACTTTTTGTTTGGGTTTTTTTTTTACCTTTTTTGCATAGTGATTCATAAGTACAAATAGATTAGGATTCTCTTGAAATCCTTTAATTTTTATTAGTTTTTCATTATATGTTTGATTTTAAGGTTGCAGAGCATAAATCTCAAGAATATTTTGCAATAATCCCAAGTAAAGCTCACTCTATGTAACTTAATAGAAAGGTTGTTTTTGTATTCCAAACTTAGTACTTACAAACCTAGTTAATTCAAAATCATTTGAATGTCAAAAAAACTGGAACCATTTTTGAATTTTAATTTTTTTTATTTAGATGAAATACAGGTAAGCAAGCTTGATTTTTGCAATTCATGCAGTCTGGGTAAAAAGGTTCTTACAACTAAATCTGTCAGTACTTAAATCCAGTTTTGTTACCGCCAAGTGAAACCTTCTTCTTTCGCCTTGAAGGAGAAGTTGAGGTTCATAGTTAGATTATGTCATTTCAAGTTAAGTACAATACTGACTTCATAATTACAACTTGTTGTTGGTGTTTTATTATTAAATTTCAAGAAGCTCATTGGAAACGCACTGGCGGTAATTTTTGCACCCATTGCTTATTAAAGCATCATTTCTGGTGATCACAAATGAAACTTCTCATATTGGGGAGGTTCTAAATTTCAAGTTATAAAATGAAAGACTTCTAAACCCAGTTCAGCTTTAATACCTTTCGATCCAGTCACTCATGCTTGTTGTGCTTCTGTAGTTAAGATTTTATGACATCATCGCCATTCTCGTATTCAGTATGTTATTAACAAATGGAACCCGATAGTTAAAATCGGCTTTAACTGTATTAAGTGAATTAACATTTTACATTAATGATTATACTGCTCAATTAAACCATATACATGGTATATTCCGAATAAATGATTCTGTTCATTCATAGTAGATATTTGCAACCAGTAACTTTCGTACTTTTTACAGAACCTCCCTCAATGCAAGCTAATTGTTCAACGTTATTTTTATCGTCTTTAAACGTTTCTTTAAAAAATATTGAAGGGAGATATTTTGGAACTAATTTTGGTTCGCACGATGTTAATATACTAGAGTTATAAAAAAGTGTAGTTTTGTTTCTCATTAATTCCGAATGCCTTCCATGTATCCATATTATAATTTAATACAATTCTATCGGATATTCGGAAGCGTGTCCATTGTACAGAATGAAGTTACTTAGTTGTGCGTTACCGAGGTTGCCTAGATCTTTTATTGGAAGCACAAAATCTGATGAGCCGCATAGCAAGTAAGATCCCCCCCGTGCGTTATCTAAATTTCTTATCGGTTCCGAACCTCAAAAGCTCTCATAACCTTCTACGTAAATGCACGAAGGGCTATCGAACAAACAAACCATCTCATTGAATCCCCTGTGGACCTGAAATATAGAAGAGAATCGTGGTACAAAACTACGACAAGTAATTGTTCTCAATTTCTCGCATTAGAATCCAAAAATATATTCTTATACAAAACACGATATATGCCTATATAGAGTCTCTTTGATTTAAAGATCATCAAGTTGTAAATTTCCTTCTAGTAATAAATAAATAAATAAATAAGTTCTTAATACAAAGCAATAACCAGTTATGCTTTGATCTATCCTCATATTTGTCCTCTAACATCTCTATTGTATACTCTGATGATTCCCGAGGATGCTAGGTTTTAAAACTAGCTAATTTATGATAGCGGGCTATCACGCTTAATTCTTCGCTAGCAAAGACCCAAGTTTCTTTTGTTCATAGATGTTATAGCATATTGAGAAAATTAAATCAAATGCAAAGGAAAGGACGATGGGGACTACCACTATTAATATCAAGCTCTGGCTAACTTTACATAACACAAATTCAAATAATGCAAACATCCCTATAATGTAATGAATAAAATTATAATAGGAAGTCAGCAACTGAATAGTTTCGGTTGTTATAATGTTCAAAAGCAGGATCATCTTGATAAATGTGTCGTTGATATTTTACGTATTAGAGTAAGATTTACTTTTTGGTTGTACAGAAATGTGGGCTGTCCGGGTTATTTATATTATTAACTAAAGAGAATATGGTTTGCTTGGATTATTATATAGATTTTTTACACCCCCAAAGAAAAATAAATTAATTCTATTTTTCGCATTGTTTTTCTTTATCTCCCGAGCCCAATTCGGAGTAGGACGGAGTATTTCTTTTTTTTTCTTTATTTTTCAAACCTAAAATGTGGTGCTTACCCGGCGCACATGTGCACCAAGCCATTATAAACATGAAAAAATTTTTCTATAACGACACCACAGCTATCCTTCTGCCCTTGTACAATGGAGAACCCTTGTTATTTAGCAATTAAACACAGATGTGTATGTTAAATTTTCGAAAATGGAAATAGCAAACAAATTATATCTATTAATTTTTATGATGATCATAACTTTAACAAACTTATCTACATTATTTGAAATATCTATGTAACGAAATAAAGATAATCTGATCTTGTCTCAGAATGAGCACATCACAGTGTTTATCGGAGCAATTTTACTGGTATATTGGTAATATCAGTCTAGAATAATACTTGCTTGCTAAAAAATTGAATAGTGCCAATTTTACTAACATTAATTTATAGCATAACATACATTCTATGTTGGCATCATCTTATTAATTGTCTGATGAACAGATGGACAACTCAACATTTTGCTATTTAAACCATTTTTATTTTACAACCATGGCTGGAAATTCACAAGAGGCCAAGAAGAGTTACTGAGCAACCATAATTAAGTTGTTAACATCCTATTTTGGTATGACCAGTAATTGTTTGGCTTAATTGTGGAGCCAGTTTTGAAGCTTTATAACTCTCGAAAATTTAAAAACTTTTACAGTGATCTTCATGAGTATGAGCTAATATTCCATTTTTAGCTTTCAAAAGCAATCTCTTCACAAACACTTAGCCCTACTATTTGTGTCTCCTGCACTCGGTTCGTGTCAATTTAGTAACAGCGCGCCTCCATCTCTTGTAGTTTTTCTGAAGAATTGCAGCTTAATTCATAATATTGTGGTCTTGGGATTTCTCAGCTTTATTCAATCCAAAGTTCTAATAAAGTAATAGGCACATATACTGGAATAATCTTGTTTGTCAAAGTTATCCTTATAAAACACATATATCACTCTTTATTGGATCTACTTGGCATTTTCACTAACAAAACCAGAAATATCCGGTCGACCGATTCCTTGGCTCTTAACCTTGGCCAATGTTTTGACTACATCATTGTCCTTATAAGAATTTCCTCCTTCACTTAGTTAAAATAGTAACATTGATTGCGATTTTACTTTTCTTCACAGGAACCTTCTATATTTATGAGATAACCAATTGTCATAACCAGTAAAGTCGAGCTCATTAATTATTTAAAATCTCTCTCTCTCTATCGACCCGAAATTCATTTTTTGTGCGGGTAGAATATATGGCTGCAAAAACCAACTCCAATAAAAACTGCGTCTTTACAAATTGTGAATTGGAAACACATCTTAGAAAATATCTTTATTATTGGAGTAATTAAATCACTACTTTTGTTTAAGGTATAATTCGCAACTATTAAATTAACGAGCCAGCTGATTTTGCAAATAAAACAACTTGATTTGGCAAGATTTTTACGAACTTTTTAAAAAATTAATAAAATATGATAATATATTCAATTTCCAGTCAATTTCAAAATTAAAAGTCCTAGAAGATTATTTAAAACTATTACTACTGCATTATTTAGTAATAAGACCAATTTACTTTCCGTAGGGGCCAATTTTTACTTCCAAAATATACTCTGATATTTTTAACAGTTCCATAAAGTCGAAAATTTACTCAGAAAAAAACAGCCTGGTTAGCTCAATCGGTAGAGCGTTTGACTCTTAAGTTAGACATCAAAAGGTTGCGGGTTCGACCCCCGCATCGGGCTTTTCTTTTTTCCTCCATTTTTGCAACAACATTTACTTGTATTTTGGCTAATACTGCTAACCAGCACAAATGGAAATTTGAAGATCTGCAACGTACTTTGAATATTTTGTACTTAAAAAGAGTTTAAAGTGTAACATTACTAGACACAGTTTTGCAGCTGTGGTTGGCACGTGACATGTCAAAATCGTGTATTGGAGTTGCAAACTCCGCACAATTTTGTTGCAATCAAACTAGAGTTTCTTTTCATGTTTTAGAATTCATAAGAACGGCAGGCTTTGTCAAGGGGGAGGGGTATTTCCTGTTTATACCATAATCTGACAAGTTTTGACTGTTTCGTACTTAATAACTGTGGATCGATTCAAACCCTACATAAACTTGTGCTTTACGAGCTTTGGGATTGTAACAAGGGTCTTATTTGAACCTTTATTAGCATTAAAACTTTTTTCAGCAACTTCTAAACAGATTCAAAGTTGTATCGTCGCGAATGCCTTTCACATCTATGGCGTTTTTGCTTTCTTTCCTAAAAAAATAATACTCCACCTTAAAAAAATGACTCAGTGAAATTTTTTTTTTTTTTTGACTCAGCTCCAAAGGCCTGAAGAAAAAAAAAAAAAGATACAAAAAGAACTTTCGTTTTATAATCACAAGATATTTTGCATCACTAGTACATATAGAGCAAACGGCTATGAGCAAGAAGCAGACAGAGAAAATCTCAGAGGTGGACCTAACAGGAACTTCAGCAGCAAACCATTTTCCGGCAGGTCATATGGAAGATGTCAGTTCCGATGAGAATAAAAATTCCATTTTTCATTCCATGTTCCATTACCTTGGAGTAGCTTCCCGTAAACTTGATGCCTTAGGGGTTGAAGCTAGAGGTATCGAAAGAATCGAACCTTACGAAAGATCAACCAACAGAACCAAATTATTAATTAGTGTCATGGGTCTTTGGTTGTCAGCATGTGGTGGTCTTTCTTCTATGTCTTCGTTCTACTTGGGTCCACTTTTGTTTGGGCTTGGGTTAAAGAATACTATGATTGCAGGAACAGTAGGTCAAATATTAGGTTGTGCCATTGCTGCGTATTGCTCCTTAATGGGACCTCGTTCAGGATGTAGACAAATGGTTAGTGCTCGTTTCCTTTTCGGGTGGTGGTTTGTTAAGTTAGTTGCGTTTGTCAGTATTATTGGTGTTATGGGTTGGTCAGTTGTCAATTGTGTTGTTGGTGGTCAGATTTTGGCAGCTCTTTCAAATGAAAAAATCCCAGTGTGGGCAGGAATCATTATAATTGCTGGTATATCACTTGTTGTTGCAATCGGAGGTATTAAGCAATTATTGAAAGTGGAAACATTCTTAAGTTTACCAGTTAACTTTGCATTTTTATTATTATATGTTGTTGCATCTAAGAAATTTTCCTACTTGACTTTAGAAGATGCCATAACCGATCCTGCCACAATTAAAGGTAATTGGTTATCATTCTTCTCATTATGTTATTCCATTACTTCTACTTGGGGCTCTATTGCTTCCGATTATTACATCATTTTCCCAGAAAACACTCCAGATTTGGAAGTATACACCATCACATTCATTGGTATTGCAGTGCCAACTACCTTTGTTGGTGTTGCTGGTTTATTAATTGGTAACGTAGCACTTACTTATCAACCCTGGGGAGATGCATATGAAAAATTGGGAATGGGTGGTCTTTTAAACGAAGCATTCAAGCCATGGGGTGGGGGTGGAAAATTCCTTCTTATCTTGATTTTCCTTTCTTTGATTTCCAACAACATTCTTAACACATATTCCGCTGCATTTGGTGTTCAATTGGCTGGTAGATTCCTTGCTCGTATTCCCAGATGGTTTTGGGCATTTGTATTAACTGCCATCTACTTAGTTTGTGCCCTTGTTGGAAGGGATCAGTTTGCTACAATTTTAGGTAATTTCTTACCTATGGTTGGTTATTGGATCTCGATGTATTTTATTATTTTACTTGAAGAAAACACAATCTTCAGAACTGATAGATTCAAGTATTTGTTTAAATTCGAATTTCCTGCAACTGAAGAGCAAGAAGTGGAAAAGGAAAGAAGTTATGGTACTTCAGAATTACGCCGCAATCAACACTACAACTTTAAGATCTGGAATGATTATGATAAATTGACAAGAGGCTTGGCTGCAACTGCTTCCTTTATCATTGGTGCTACTGGTGCCGCTGTTGGTATGTCGCAAACTTACTGGATAGGACCAATTGCTACTAGAATTGGAGGTGAATATGGTGGTGATATCGCTATGTGGTTGTGTATGGGATTTAGTGGAATTGTATACCCCGGGTTACGTTATTGGGAATTGAAAAAGTTTGGCCGTTAGGTTAGACTTTTGCTGCATTATTTAAGAAACTAATTATATGATAATAGAGTTATCACCATTCCTAAGTCAATAATATTTTAGAACCTTGTTTATTACAAATAGCAAGGATATAGATTTATATTTCAACGAACTGGTTCCGTAATGTTTAGTATACTCATAGTCGACCCGTTGATAGCACTTAATGTGGGCGAGGAAGGATATTGTTACAAATAAATAAGCAAATAAATATTACCTTTGCTTTGCAAAGGCTTTTCAATAGCGGCCCACCTTTACAGGAATATTAATAACCACATTATTCTTGGATTTCCAGTCAAACTTAACCACCAAATGTAAATAATACAGTCTTACCATATGACAACTTTGAAAATTAGGAGTGAGATTAAACCCACCGTACACGTTCCTGGTTCGAGATTTGTCACCCAATGAACGATACATTCCTTTAAGATTCACCTTAATTTCTTTGTTCAGGTATTCAACTTTTGGAATAGCGAAATTGGAATAATAAATATGAAATCTGAGTAATTTCTTTAGCCCCGAATTGTCTAACTCATGGCTTAATCTATACAATTCACCCTTCATTTTAATAATAGGGTTAACTACTATGTCATTGTATTTTCGATTAGAAAACGATTCAAATAACATGGAATCATCGATATAAACGGGACAAGAAGCATACGTTTTCCCGGTAGCAGCAACCAATTCGGCACTGATAGACTTTATAGAAGGAGCTTCTCCACCTTTGGTCGACTTAAACTCTATCGGTATGCTCAAGGTTTGATTCAAGTCAGGGTGGCCTGGAATGGCGGGGACATATTTAACTTTAAGACCTTGTAAAAGGTTGGCATCAAATTTAACACTGGAAACTTTGCTATTTCCAGTAATAACCTGTTTATTTTGCAATGGGGTTATTCTCAAATTGCACATAATTTGATTAAATCTGTCCTTATTAATGTAGATAGTTTCGTCTAATAACTTACTCAACAAGGATTCATAGTTTGTATTAATATGTTCTTCGTTTGTGTACTGGGGAATGATTGAAACTTCTTTTTGAATTTCTCCAACATTGACATATTCACAATTCTCTTGCCGCAATATATACCCAGAAAGATTGTACTTTACTTCTGCATTGCAGAACATTGTGTAGTGTGTTGTAGGAGGAATCTCTAAATGGTTAGATACATGAGCGCACTCGCTATCTAATAAATAATTGGGAATTCTAAAAGTGAATGGGTGCTTGTGAATCAGGTTAGCGTCAATATGAAGGAGTGGACAAATAACACTATCAAAGTCAACCATGGATAAGAAAGTTTTAGCTTTGGTTTCGGCAAAGGATATACTTCCCTCAAGCAAAATGTATATAGTGGAGAAGTTAATTGGAGAATCACATGTGTTTTGAAGTATGAGATGGCCCAGAATAGTTTCTCCTTGTTTATAGTCATGATTTGAGGGTTGATCGAAGCGAACTTCCAAGCTGATTTTGTTAGTGCTGGTCAAAGATTGTAATGTGCTTGAGATTGAAGTAGCCACCGAGACTGTCAGGGGGTTAGAGTTTTGCATCAAGTCCGAAGATTCATCATGAAGCAGACTGTAGCTAGGAGGACCTGATAAGTATTTGAATTTGTTATGTACAACTGATTTATACATGTAATATGACGGCAACACATTGCTTTCTTCAGGAATACTGAGGATACTTTGCACATCATCATCATCATCATCATCACAATAGTAAGGATCTTGAAAATCAGGGCGGTTAAATTGTTTGCAATCATAAGCTGGAGCACACATTGTTGTTTGTAATGGATCAGTGGGATTATTGAGTAAACCTTTCAAACTTCCCAGAAGATGAAAAACCAGAAACATTGCTGTTAAATAAGGGGGATCTTTCTTTTCTCCGGGACAGAGGATTTGATTTAGATTTATAGGAGTAAATAAACTCAGATACAACTATAATTTTTTTTATAGCCGCTGGGCATAGAACACAAAATCAAAGTTTGAGTATTTATAATCTTTCGATAAGCCTATTTTATGATCCCATTTATCCCGAACAGGTATCTACATTGGTATACAGCAGGGCACAGCCTAGTGGCTTCTTCTTGTTTCTCCATAATCCCGATTTCAAAAAGGTGAAAAAAAAATAATCTTAACAAGCCGGGGGAAATTTCGCAAAACAAACCTCCCGAAATAATATTTTAATACAACGGTTTTATGCATGATATGTGAACAATAAGGTGGAGACAATCTCACGATGAAACTCCAATTCCTACAAATTTACACCAGGAAAATATCGGGTGTACACGACAGAATCAAACCTTTTGTGGCTCGTTCTAAGTTGAAGATTCTAACCAAGCCGTTCGAAGATGCCAAGGCTAGATATTTCTAAGGATGTGGGGTAATGAAAGGAAATAAAAAAAAACCGAAAGCAAATGCTAACCTTGTCCAACACGGACCGACCCACTTGAGTTATTATCGTACCAGAGTATTGGCTAAGCTGTGTTATATAGCGTAAGTAACATAGCCACCAACAAAGATCTTACTAATTAGTAAGACCTATGCATTCTTAGTAATCAAAATTTCTACTCCACTTACGCCACATATAAATCTAGATTTGAAAAAAAAAACAAACTTATCACAGATTAACAAATCCAACTGAGCCCCTTATTGAACTTTTATTGCTCAGGGTTTTGATAGTTTAAAAAGAAATCCAAGAACCAAATGAGAAAGGGTTAATGACGTCAAAGAACTCGTGTGTGTATCTCTTTTGTGGCTTATTTGAGGTTAGTACAATCTCTTGATCTCCGATTGAGCCTTGCGCAAACGGAAAGCGGCACAAAGACGGAGTTGAAACACCGCCCCCTTGGTATATTTCCTTGCAAGAAACAAATATACCACTCGTCTGTTTTTCCTTATTTCAGCAAGTTTTGGCCAATGGTAACAACGATCTAATAAATAAACGCAAACGCTTTAGCTATTTGATATAGTTCAGTGACAGATACAATGCGGTTGTTTTAGACCAAGCTAGAAATTTAAAAGGAAATCCCCCTTGAAAACTTTGTAAACAAAGTACCTTCGAGTATGATCCAGTTTTTAGAGATTAAATGAAAAAGAGCTTCTCGAAATGAGTCAAACTTCAGATTACCCCTGTTAAGCTAATGACTATTGGATTTTCAGATTGTGGATTTTTTTGTTCTATCGAATTTGTATATTTCCTAAACGATGACTCACGCACCCTTACCTAACTTACACCTCATGCATGCAAGATGAAAAATGACTATAGTACTAAAACGGCTGTTTGTACTATTATAAAAGATTAAAGCATTTGAACAACCAATCATTCGAATGGATCTATTGTTTTGACTCTGCGTGCATATGAGACAATATCATGTGATAGGCCAGATAATATTTCTCGTAAATTTTGTTGATGTATGTTCATCTACTAATATAAACTACTGTTGGGATATTGTGGCTAATTATTCAATATTTATATCACAATTATGTGTTAACGGGGTCATACCACATCACAATTAGCTAGATGATATAGTTATGGCATTGTTTAACACTAAATGGTGATTTGCAAATCTAGTTCAGTTTCAGCTTGTTTGACTCGGGTTCATGTTCCCGGTTAAATTGCGAAATAGAAACAGATAGAACCAATTTGAGCGCAAAAAAATAAATTCCGCACCTTTGTGCTTAATAATCCAATTTTACATTCTATTGTTAGACACAGAAGAATTAGTCACTTGAGGCGGAGAAACAAATAAACAGTTTACAAATAAAATCCGAACTTTTCAAAATTATAAATAAACCAAAGGTTTTATCCCTTTGTAGTTTTTTTTTAAACTCTATATTTGAACGTATTCCTTCATATCCAACCATACCCTCTTTTATTTTTTAATTATGGTTGACCTTTCCGAAAGCACCAAGCTGGGGTTTCATGAATACGACAAATCTGTCAATAAACCTTCATATGATGAAACCGTAGGAAGCATTTTACCTTCTTATTCCATGTTTACGAACACTATTCGTATGAATGCCACAGTTCCAGAAAATGAAGAAAGGGATGATAACCCACCCCCAAACTACCAGGATACCCCTTCAATCACGTCAGATGATCATGGTACTTCCTTATCTTCCAGTTCCCACGCGCAATTATCGCTCGGAGCAAGCGATTCCGCAAACACCAGATCCACTACTACTGAGGAAGACGACGATCTCATTTCCAGTTTAAACAATAACTTCATTATTGCTGATGAAAACACCCACGCTTGGCAGGAAACGATTTTAGATAATATTCACCGGTTGCCTAATTTGACATTTGCATCTCACAAGATTTCTGAAGCCGTAAAGATTGAAGTTTTTTTCACCAAAGATATTTGTGAGATTGGTAAGAAGCCTGAACATGTTGATCCATCATTATTCGAATATAAGCAAGGTGATTTGTTGAATGGGTATATTAAGATCAGAAACACGTCGGACAAACCTATACCATTTGATATGTTTTATTTGTTATTTGAAGGTAATTTCATGATTGCCAACAAGAATGACAAGCTGGATAGACGTCCAGTCCGGATCCGAAAATTCTTGGAAATGTTCGATTTTTACGGAAGTTGGAACGAAGCACATATTAACAGGTTGGTCACTGATTTTGGTAACCCTTACGAATGCCCTAATATTTTTGATCCTATTGATGGCACTTTCCTAGCATTTGGAGACAAGAAAACAATTTTTCCCAATAAGGTTTATAAACGGATTTTCACATTCAGGATTCCAAACAATTTGTTAGATTCTGAATGTAACGAACATAACTTGTCCAAACACGTTGAATTACCTCCTACAATCGGTATGTCTCGTTGGGAGTTGGCTCATTTCCCCGACAGAGAACATAATAAAATCAAAGATTTTTCATTGTTGGATACTTCGATAAGTTATGGGGTCATGGCGAGATTTATTGGTAAAAAATCCACATGGGAAAAGGATTTCGGTAAGATTAATACCAGTGCATATTCAATCGACAAGAGATTAATTAACTCCAAGGGTGATGAATATACTATTTTAAAGGAATTGACGAATTATGTGCGTGTGGTTCAAAGAACTAGGATTCCTACTGATAATGAAAGATTGATGAAGTTGTTGGAAAATAAATTAATGTATAACAACTTGATCAGCCGAGTTAAAGAGAAGATTGAAGCTGGTAAGCAAATGATAAAATCAATTGAAAACAATGAATTCAATGCTACTGTAGATATCGGTAGGCAATTGACAGAAACAGAAATAGAGTTGGCAAAATGCAAACAAGCATATAGACGTGATGCGTACCGTGATATTAAAGCAAAGAAGATTGTGGAGAAGTATGATATATTTTTACCACTCATGAAAAACTCTATAACTGGCACCAAGAATATTGGCACCTTAAACTTGTCTACTCCAAAACAAGAATATTGTGTGTGTTATATCCCTCCATCTAGATTTAGAGAAAAGCCGATAGATGATATAGTCCCTTCATGGAAATTTGATATTCCCTTGGACTTGTCTGTTTCGTTTCCCTTGGGAAGCAAGAATTCCACTCCTCCTTCCATCAAGATGATTTCGGCTGAATTAGCAGTACTGACTATTCGTTCTCGTCGATTACCTATCCCTATTGAATTCAACCATGATTTAATATATAACAAGCAAATTGAAAATAACAGAGGATTCAAGGATGAAGATACATTCCAAAACAATATTATCATACCTTTCCAAAAACTTTCTACTGAGTTGTACACTTTATGTAAGACTTTAGGAGCTGATAATTTCAAAGTAGAGAAACGATTGGTTGATGATTTAAAGGCAATATGTGAATTGGAAGAAAAGAAACTTAACTTGAATGTTTCAGATATGAAAATTAATAATGCGAAATTCAATTCTAAACTAATTAAATGGGATATTAAAGATAATACTGCTAAAACTTCTATAAACGTTGGTGTTAATTTAGAAAGTTTGGTTCTTAAAGGATTTGAAGGAAGCCCAACTTTAATGAAATCTTATGATCGTTTCAATTTGGTTCCAGATTTCCAATCTTGCTTTATGAGTAGATTATACCATATCAAAGTGACAATATTATTGTCAAACAACGATTATGTCAGGATTAAAGTTCCGGTTAGAATCCAAAAAATTACCACTTAGCGAGGCTAGACCTCTTGTATTTAGTTATTTCCTTTTACCTTAATATGCATAATAAATTTTAATTATAGAATCGGATTTTTCTTATTGCCACAGCAAGCAAAGAACTAACCCGAAAGTTCCCTGCAGGTCAAAGATCCCTTCAGCAGTAATTTCAGTTTACTTATTATACACTTTTAGCTGAATCTACTAAATGCATCTCGAACTGAAGCACTAAAAAAAAATCGGCCGAACATTTTATCAATCGGATATGTGTCGGATCCTGAGGCTATGAAATAGAACATTCCAAAGGGTCCGCCGCTTAGAAATTAAATCGTACTTCAAAACAATATTATCTATTATGTAAACAACAATATAACTGAAATTTCTACAAGCAAATGTCATACGCTAAGATAGGAAGTGTGCATGATTTTGTACACCCTCGCCCCCCACGTAAGCCTTCCCCGCGAGGCAATTTAAAATTCATCATTTATTTTCGCAACCGCAATAATATACAAGTTTTTATACTTTATTTGCTTTTTATAAATCCCCCCTGTAATCCCCATCGTAGCCTATAAATACCTTTAGATTTCGCTTCTTCTTTCATTTGCTCATTTCTATCATAGAAGTCAATAACTAAATACAATATGTCCGGTTTCGAAAAAATAGTAGCTGATTACACTCCTTGCAAAGCTAGAAACGCTGGCAAGTATGGTAAAGAAGCTTACAGTTATTCCCCATGTGGGTTCCATAACAATGCAACTAATGATACTTGTGATTTAACGCGTGAATCAATCCTGGACCATCCAGATTATCAAGGATTTGGACTTAATATGGCCCAGGGAGCTCCTGGAAGTATTGCAGGTTCAGATTTTGGTATTGGTGACAGACGTGATGTCATTCGTGGTAAATCAATTTCTTCAAATACTGATTCCAGTTTAGGCATCGAATTCCAACAACGTTATACGTATTCCCCTTGTGGTGACAAGGATGAGAGTATTCCTCTTTAGTTAGTAACTAGAGTGTATGCAAGATAGTCTGTTTTTTTTTTTTTTTGCGTGTTTTAATATACAATTGCATCTAACTACTACATCCACATTGTAACATGGCATATTCATCTCCCTTTTGGCCTTGAAGTATCCATGAATTTTCAAGTTCTTTCAATTCATCTCCCCATTTACTCTTGTCAAATGGGTTCAAACTCATTTTTTCCAATTTCTTAAGGTGCGTGATATTTTCCCCTCTTGATTCTTGAGCCTGGGCAATTACTTGATCCAAAATCCAGTTTCTTGGTAAAAACAATGGATTATAGTTTCTTGGATCTGGTCTGGATTCATATGCTAAAGATTTAACTTTCAAATCTTGATAAGTAATTAACCATTCAGCGATCTCCTTTAACAAGCTAGACTTATCATGTCTAACATTGTTGAAATCAACATCCTTCAATATCTCATTCTCAGCAATTGAAACATAGTCTGCTTGGTCCAAATTAATATTTTGCAAAGTCAAAAAGAATAAATTGAAATCAGTCTGAAGCTTAAGTAAAATTTCCAATAAAGGAGCAATTAAATTTATTTGATGGAAATCTGGATTTTTAACATCAATTAATTCATGAGCCAAACCCAATCTATTGAAAAATGTCTCCACGTATTTCTTGGTGAATGCATATTGGAACATATCTCCACCAACTTCAATAATCTTAGTGGCTCGTTTAATAATTGAATCTTCCCATTCTTCCTTTACTCCTTCTTTAAACTCTGGCGTATTTACTAATTCAAGCCCTGCACCTATTAACTCAGCCAAATCTTCTCCAAAACGAGTCAAGTTCCACCATATAGCAGTAGGGGTATTTCTATAACCATATCGTCTTTCATGGTCTTCTGAATTAGGAGTATAATTAGGATCATACTTGTCCATGATGGAAAAAGGACCGAAATCAATAGTAAGTCCCAATACCGAAGTGTTATCAGTATTCAACACTCCGTTAAGGAACCCATAACATTGACAAAGAGCGGTTGTTTCCGCATTTCTAACAATAATCTCATAAAACATCTTATCATAATCGCTCAATTCTCCAATTACATTTGAGTTGGAATTAAACAAATCCGTCTTCAAATTTATAATCCTATTGAAATTAGCAAATTTAGTATTATTGAACGTGAACAATTCTTCTATGACGTAATCTGATAAATCTCTGATTCCTTCACGGTCACCTCTCCATCTATACAAATCAAATGAACCTAATCGAACCCAGCTTTCGGCAAATCTGGCCACAATAGCACATCTTTCGGCACCATGACGTTGGGCAATAGTAGATGGCAAGTATGTCAAAGCAAGTGCTCTCGTAGATGGAATACCAATAGCATTCAAGTGTTCAGATATGATATATTCTCTAATTGAAGATCTCAAAACAGCTTTTCCGTCAGCAAATCTAGAATATGGAGTTTTTCCTGCCCCCTTTAACTGAATTTCATATTTATCACGATTTGCGGGGTTTGAAGAAGAAGAAGAAGAAGAAGACGACGACGACACCTTGGGTACTTCAAACAAATTGACAACTCTTCCGTCACCTAATTGTCCTGCAAATTGCCCAAATTGCCACCCTGCATAAGCTTGCGAGTATGGCATAGGGAATCCTTCCTTTTCGAAAGTTACCTTATCTTCATAAAATTCTCCACTTACAATCAGTTGAAAAACAGGGTCTTCAGCTTGTTGAGGATCTAATCCCAAATCCCTCAATGCATTTGGACTGGCAGTAAGGAACTCATATTCTTTTCTAGGAGTAGGCAAAGTCCATGAAAATCCACCACTTAACAAATTTCTAGGTGTATTAGTAATTCCATTTTCATTCTTCAAAGCTACTTCAACTGTAGGGATTCGATTATCAGGCTTGATACGTTTGGTGAATGAAGATGACTTGGGTATGTCAAGCAATTTACCGGTATGTGTCATTCTCTTAAGGATAGTAGTTCTGTTTGAGGAAAACATAAAGTGGTTGCTTATTTCAGATATTTATAAGCAAACAAAAGATGGTTTTAAAGTCCGAAGAAAAATAACTTGATCCCCACTAAACTGCACAGTGGTAAAAACGGATTGTTCGGGTGCCACACGAGATAACTTAATATGAACATGAAGGTTATCAAAACATAACCTAATGAATCTTAACTTTATCAGGGTCCTTTAGCGGTATCCATAATGAGAGATTTGCGATGGCGCAGAGGGGAAGATAACACACGTGCATATACTTACAGCAGCTTGCTGAAAGTACTAACCAATAACCAAACTCAAGAAACAATACATGATAAGAAGCTTGACTATGCGTTTGCTTCAAATTGTTACTGACTTCAATCAATAGTATCCCAGTAAACAAATCTCAAATTGACGTCAAAGATCTGAAACCATTTTTCTTTTTGTGTAGTGTTATCTATTTTCGCGTTATTCCAGGCACATGGTTGCTAATAAATTTGTGTTGCGATTGTTATATTACTTACTATCGTTATGTTACTTTATCACTACTTTCATTATAAATGTGACTTTAGTACCATACAGACTAAGATCAACTCTATTTGTATTGGTTTACTAGATTCACGACACAAAGAGAATATTTAGATTGCTATCGCCAATTGTATTGCGCGTTTAGTCGCGTGTTCTAATTTGATCCCGCCCTTGAAGTAAAAAACGGCTTGCTCGCATAAATCAAAAAAAAAAAAAAGAAAGAAAATACCACACTGAGGCATCTCGCACCACAAATTGAAATTAGCTTTATCTACAATCACCATTTTAGACCATCTTTTTGCCGTGTCGTAATTCTGCATAACTAAGTTTTCTTTTAGTTAATCTTCCTTCTTATCACCATTGTCTATGATGAGACCCAAATACCGCTGGCTATTGCTCATTCTACTATTGCTAATTGGATTACATTTGAGAAGTTCGCAAAGTGGACAGAGTGGTAATAATCTAGCATCCATTCTTGAAAATTCCTTAAATCGTGGCCACACGCAGCGAAATAAAAGACCACAACCAGGAGAACACCTTGATAAACCTCAAGACGAAGCAATACCTAAGAAATCAGGCGGCGGTTGGTTTAGCAAGGATAGATTTGCCCAACCACGACCTCTATCAAGGTTTAAGATTAAGAAAATTAGAGACTATACCATCTTCTTTGACAAGTTGGAAAAGTTTGCTATAAAGCAACCTTCAATTAAGGATAGATACAAGACTGAGAAGGCACATGAAATGTTTTCCACTCATGTTACCCATAATCTCAACAAAGAATATTTGGAAAATGTATTGGATATTTCCGATCAGACATATAAAGAGTTGAAAGATAGTCATCACCGATATGTCACTGAACAGATTCCTAAATTAATCAATGATTATGGTATTAGCACCTTTGGTAACATCCTTCCCTCTGATAAGGACTGGAAGAAGTATCATGGGTCTTCTGGTTATGTCTTGGTTGGTGGTGGCCAATACACTTGGTTATCATACTTAGTCATCAAACAACTTCGTGCCACGGGGGCTAAATTTCCAATTGAATTGTTTATCCCTTCCTTCGAGGATGTCGATCAAGAATTTTGTGACAAGGTTTTACCAAAATTCAATGCTAGATGCAATGTTTTTGATTCAATATTGTCCCGAAAATTAAAGGAAAGATTTGATATTGGTGGTTATCAATACAAGATGTTGGCCATCTTGAGTTCCAGATTTGAAAATGTGTTATACTTGGATTCAGATAATTTCCCAGCACGAGATCCGGATTACTTGTTCGAATCAGATTTATACAGGAAAAACCAATTACTTTTATGGCCAGATGCATGGGCTAGAACCACCAATCCAAAATTTTATGAAATTGCCCAAGTAGACGTTAAGCCTAACAAGTTGAGATACACCGATTACGATGTCTTTATGGCAGGAGGAGTTGAGAATTTAAAGCCTTTGACGGCATATACATTTGCTGACTCTTGGTTCCATGATTTTGAGAACACATTGCCTGATCCTACTTCCGAAACCGGTATGTTGCTTATTAACAAAACCAGCCATTTAAAGACGTTACTTCTTTGTTTGTATTACAATGTATTCGGACCTCATTACTATTATCCATTACTTACTCAAGGTTCAGCCGGTGAAGGTGACAAAGAAACATTTATTGCTGCTGCCCACGTAATGAAGGAGCCATGGCATCAAACATTAAAGCAATTCAAATGGACAGGATACTACAGCAAAAATGATGGAAAATTTGCGTCAAAAGCATTGGCGCATTACGACCCAATTGATGCCATTGAGGATCCAACTGCTGGAGATGTTGATGTCATATTCATGCATTTGTCATACCCTAAATTTTATCCTAATTGGTTGGTTGATAACCATGATTTAATTTATGAAGATGGTGAACATATTAGAATGTACCTGCAAATCAATGAAAATGTAGGATATGATTTTGATTTACGAGTCTTGCAATTCTTCACGGAAGGGTTATGTCATAATTATTATGATGCATCAGGTAAACCCATTGATGGTACTGCAGGCGTGAGTCTTCAAGAAAATTACATGGGTCGGTACCTTTCCTATGTGGCTCAAGATTTTGAGGAGAATACCAAGAGATGTGAGGAAGTCTTTATTCCTCATTTGATGTGGTTAAAGAAAACCGAGGGGCAGGAGTATCTACATGATTTTTATAAAGCAGCAGATGAAGATGATGAGTAAGGAAAATATTATTAATAGACTTTTTTTTTTTGCAACCGCTAAATGTAGTTTTGAGCTTTGAAGTAGAAAATATAGAGGCTTAAGTGATGCCAAATGCCGTTTCTGCCCGGCACTGCGGAGAAAACAAGTGCACTGACAATATCAGAGGGGTAAATAAGTCACTAATAAGCTGAATTATGCGCCTCCCTGAATTTCAAATCACTTCCAACAACATGCCTTGTATTAATAAGTTATACCAAATAGCGACATTTAATACCAGCGTAAGCAGTTGCTTAAATCAGAGACTACACACGAACTCAGCTAGAACTTTATCCAGAAATTTCTTTTTTTTTCCGGATCGTAAATTTGGCATCTCGGAACGGCTTCCCATGCCTGTTGTTTTTGGAATTTAAAAAAAATATTTAACAAATCCCGGAGAAAGCCAAGATTTGCTTCATCTTCCCTTGCTTGCTGATTCAAGATTTGTTTGCCTTTTTTTTTTTTAGAACTTGTTCAATTAGTTTGTGAATGAAGCTAGAATTACAACTAACAGCAACATGATAACTAAGATGGAAGCAGTAGAAGGAATACCGATGACAGAGACAACATCGGATACGATCGTACACAGCACAGAGGCACCAGTGACCAAAGAGGTATCCAAGACTGCCTCAGAAGCTTCAGTGGTATACTTTGCAGAACCAAACTTCGAAGAAATATCAACATTCAGAGAAATTTTGTTTATGATATTCATGTGTATGTCTCAGCTAATAACCCAGGCGGCGGTGGCACAAACCATGAACACTTCTATCCAAATAAGTGAAACATTTAACGTTGGCGATCAACCTGGTGAAATTTCTTGGTTTTCTGCAGCATTTTCCATGACTGTTGGTACTTTTATTTTAATTTCAGGAAGAATAGGTGATATGTATGGATATAAGAAGTTATTCATAATTGGGTATGTGTGGTTTGGAGTATTTTCATTGATGTGTGGATTTGCAGGGTTAACTACATCTACTGTATTTTTCGATATTATGAGAGCATTTCAAGGTATTGGACCGGCCATAATGATGCCCAATACACAAGCATTAATTGGATCATTCTACCCTGAGTCGAAAAAGAAAAATATATGTATGGCCTGTTTTGGCGCAGTTGCTCCACTGGGATTCATTCTTGGTGCACTTTTCAGTGGGCTTTTCACCGTCAAAGTTTGGTGGGCTTGGTCATTCTGGGTATGTGGGATAATAGGTATTGCCCTTGCAGTTGCTGCTTTTTGGGTTATCCCCAAGAGAATAGGCGTCAAGTCTCAAGGTTCATTTGATTACTTGGGCTCAATTTTCGGTGTAAGTGGGTTAATATTTATTAATTTTTCCTTTAACCAAGGTCCAAATGTTGGATGGGAGAAACCTTATGTTTATGTACTTTTGATTGTGGGGTTCTTGTGCATAGGTGTATTTTACTTTGTTGAAACCAAAGTAAAGGATCCTTTAGTTCCTCCATCAGTTTTGAAAGGAGATACTGGGTTTATATTAGGATGTATTGCTGCTGGTTGGTCATGTTTTGGGATTTGGCTATTCTATATGTTCAGATGGGCTCTACTAGTTGACGAATCTGGCCCCATTATGGCAGCCGTACTTAATATAACAACTGGTCCAATGGGATTCATAGCTGCTATTGGAACTGCTATTTTATTAACTAAAATTCCTTCAGCGGTGGTTATGTTTTTAGCCATGATAGCGTTCCTTGTCGGGAGTGTTCTCATGGGAACTAGACCAGTGGGACAAATATACTGGGCGCAAAAATTTGTTAGTTTGATCATTCAACCATTGGGAATGGATATGTCGTTTCCTGCTGCTTGTATATTGTTAAGTTCGGCCTTGCCTAGACGACAACAAGGAATTGCTGGCTCTTTAGTGTCTACCTTTGTCAACTATTCTATTTCCATAGGGTTGGGATTTGCAGGTACAGTAGAACGTTATACTACGTTACATATGGAGCCAGGACTTCCCACCACTATTCATGGCATGAGAAATGCATTCTATATGGGTATGGGGTTGGCTGGATTGGGTGTTGTTCTTTCTACCGTATTTATATTTATTCAATTGAGAAATAGGTCTAGAAATACGATTGTTGAAGAGGAGTCAATTAAAAGTGAATCCGGTGGTGATTCTGAAGTTCAACCGTTCCATTAATTTATAGATTTATAGAGTAATTAATAATTCATCAATTAACGAAAGTTAACCATCAGATTTGTAGGAGAAGAAGGAGAAGGAGAAGTCAAGAAGATTAACTGACTCGGTATCTTAACTTCTTTGAAAATCCACAGCCATTTGCGCGCGCACAGGCACAAATAAATCTAGATTTGATCGAGTCCTGTTTTAAAATGAGTCAGAACATACTCTTTACCACCAAACTAATATGACAGTTCCACCAGTATTAAAATCTCCCTTATCTAAATCATTGAAGATCGCCTTGATCCAATTGAAAGCAGGTGCAGATAAAGCTGCCAATTTAACTAAAGTCACCAAGTTTGTTGAAGAAGCTGTAACTAAGTCCCCCACTCTTGACTTGGTTATGTTGCCAGAATGTTTCAACTCTCCTTATGCAGTTAGCGAATTTAGAAATTATGCCGAATTGATTCCTACTGGAGAAACAACTACACTTTTGTCTTCATTGGCTAAAAAGCATGGTATTTTCATTGTTGGGGGATCGATCCCAGAAATTGCTCCTGAAGAAGGAAACAAAATATTCAACACTTCTCTTACATTCTCACCTGAAGGAGAAATTATTGCCAAGCATCGTAAGGTACATTTGTTTGATATCGATATTCCTAATGGAATCACGTTCCAAGAATCATTGACCTTGACAGGAGGTGATAAGGCTACTGTGTTTAAATTAGGTGAGTTTGGAAATGTTGGATTGGGTATTTGTTACGATATCAGATTCCCCGAGTTAGCTTCAATTGCATCTCGTAGTCCATATAGTTCATTTGCAATGTTCTATCCCGGTGCTTTCAACACCACTACTGGACCTATGCACTGGCATTTGTTAGCCAGAGCTAGGGCAGTCGACAATGAAATGTACGTTGTTTTATGCTCACCAGCAAGAGATGTTGAAGGAGGTGGATATCAAGCATATGGTCACTCTTTAGTGGTTGATCCTTCGGGGAAAGTCATTGCAGAAGCTGGGGAAGAAGAGGAGGAAATTATATATGCTGAATTGGACAAGGATGCAATTCCCAAGGTTAGAGATGGTATCCCTGTACATTATCAAAGAAGATTCGATGTTTATGGAGATTTTGTCGGTGAAGGCAAGGCCAAGGTTAGCGATAAATAGGTCTAGACGTAGTATTTCTAAAATGAACAATATAAGCCCATGGCTTAAATATTTCCTGCCCACGCAAAATTACACAATTTTTAACAATGAAGTTTTCACACCATATTTATAGACAATGTTTGCTAACTTAGTTTAGCTCACGATATTTCCAGTTTCGGAAGTATTACCGGAATAACCCTGGTGATTCCACAAAACCGTTTAATCCGAAAATCAATCCTTGATCCTTTTGCTTTCAAAGTATAAATAAAAAAATAAATTACGTCAAATCTTCTGTGGGGGGACGTTTTCCTTTTTTCTTAGCATAACACATTTTCTTGCAACAAAAATGGCTACCCTTAAATTAAATAACAACGCTGAAATTCCAGTCCTTGGTTTGGGAACTTGGCAATCTTCCCCTGAAGAAGTATACAATGCTGTTCTTCATGCTCTTAAGTTAGGATACCGTCATATCGATACCGCATTTGCTTACGGCAACGAAGAAAGCATTGGTAAAGCCATTCGCGATCTGGGAATTCCCCGTGAGCAACTTTTCATCACCACCAAGTTATGGTGTACTTTCCACAAGAACCCAAGTGATGGTCTTAAGGAAAGTTTAACAAGATTAGGTTTGGACCAAGTTGACTTGTATCTTATGCACTGGCCGGTTCCTTTGAATCCTAATGGGAATGACCCTAAATTTCCAACTTTACCTGATGGAAATCGTGATATTGTCCAAGGTTGGAACTTCATTGACACTTGGAGAGAAATGCAAAAGTTGGTTGGTCACGGTGCTAAGGCAATTGGTGTATCCAACTTTGACGTTTACAACTTAGAAAAGTTGTTGCAAGCAAGTCTGACTACCGTCGTTCCTGCTGCCAATCAAGTTGAATTACATCCTCACTTACCTCAACACAAATTATTAGCTTACTGTAAGGAAAAGGGGATTGTGTTAGAAGCTTATAGTCCTTTGGGATCCACAAACTCACCATTATTAACTGAACCTGCTTTGGTTAAGATTGCTGAAAAGTATCATGTTCACACAGCCACTGTTTTAATTTCTTGGGCTATTTGGAGAGGTACTGTTGTTTTACCAAAATCAGTCACTCCAAAGAGAATAGAAAGTAACTTTGAAGTTATTAAGTTGGAAGATGAAGATGGAAAAATAATTGACAACTTATACAAGGAGATTGGTGTCAGGAGAATTATTAGTCCAAATTGGTATCCAGAAGTGGTCTTCCATTCCGATGATTAGTTTATTTTCTTTTTAATAGACATCCATATATTATACAACGAAGATAAACCAAAAAAAAAATATACAAAAATTATACAAGAAGATAAAGAAGACCAATAAATATGAACGCTATTGTAGTGGTGTGATTTTATTTTCTCTTTAGTTCTCAATCAACTTGACATAATTAGAAGGACAAATACCTATTTCACCATTAGGTCTTCTTGCCTGCCACCATTTACCATCGATATCATCAACCTCTAAAACTTCGTCCTTCTTAAACGAGATCTCATTTTCATCACTAGGATTAGCATCATAACTATATAATGCCTTAGCTTTATATCTGAACGTTACCCCAGTACCTAGTTCCGATTCCGGGTACATGGTATTTCTCTTACTTTGCGTAAGGTCTCTTCCGGGTATGTCAGACGAATTTTCAAGTCCATTCAATTGTGATGATGACATGTATTGTTTAGAAGCAGGTCTTGCGCTTGCCACAGATGAGAATCTTTGGTTGTAAGTGGTGGTGGTGGCGGTAGGTTCACCCATGGCACCTAATTCTTCGACACCGTTATATTGTTCTGATTTATTGATGGCTCTGTTCAAGTTGTCATGAGTTGGACCTTGGTTTCTGATGCTGAAGGAATCAATAAATTGGTTCGTTGGAGATTCAGGGTGCCCTCCGAAATATAAGATCCAAAGTAAGTTCAAGATACTTAAAAGGATGCATCCAGCAGCACAGGTTAAGTTTGCACTGGAGTTGGTGTTGTAGATAAGGTTATTAACTGTGTTTGTACTGTAGACAAAGGCAATAGCTATAAGACCCACAAGGGTAAATTTATACAACTCAATATTATTGTTACAATACAATAATAATACTACTAATATAATCACTGCCTCGTATGCTAGACCCCACCAAGAAAGGTTGGGAAAGTTCTTTTGATTGGATGCAGCAGCACCTGCTATGGATACCACCCATGAGATGATACCAAACGATATGGTTGCTATCCCAAAGGAATCACCTGTTAAATTAGAAAAACTGTATCCCATTGTTTATTGTGATCTGGATCAAAGGTTGGAAATTTGAAGTGGGTATTGATTTAAAATGAGCGTTATACTGCACTATCTATGGTAGACGTATAATTGTGCAAGATATATGTAGTTTATTGCAATGTTGGAGCAAACAAGAGTGGTGTAATGGTTGGTTGAACCTTAAACAGGGGGATATAAAAATAATTTCTAAAAAAAGTTAGCTAGACGTGTGTCTCGTTCAAAAAGAAAAATTTGGTGTCAAATTGAGATAAAAAATATTTTTTTCCTTTTTTTTTTTGTTTTGGTGTTTTTTTTCCCTTTAAAAAAAATCTTTGTTGTGTTCGTCATGTGAAGAAGTATATGCAGGATGAACTATATCTAGGAGTCGATTTCCGATTCGTCTAAAAGTCCTGCTATAAAAAGCTTGTTTTTTAAGTTTGCTGACAACTTATGGGGGAAAGAGGGAGGGAAACTTTCTTGTTTCTCAATCAATATAGTTCATTATATAGGCTCTCCCCCCCCTTAAATACCAACTCTGGTGTTTCAATCACTACTCTAAATTTGATAAAACAAGATCTCACATTGTCCTCAGCCTTCGAATGTTGAATGACGTATGTCTAAACCTTGCTCCATGTTATCTAGCATGTGAAACAATAAAGCTTGGCCTGGATCCCGTATTATTTTTTACGTTATTCTTTTACTTCGTGTTTATTTTCAGTTTGGGTGTAAGTTTCTAACTTGTCATTGGTAACTCATTCTCATATGAAACCAATTGTTTCTAGAATCATGCTTGATTAATCTAGATCATTAATTGTATACCATATCAAGTAAATACACGTCAAAAACATCATATCTAGTCAAAACTCTCGATTTGACGTCAGATACATACCTAATAGGGTATGTTGATTATTTCTGTTCTCGTCTATTTGGGGACCGCCAAGTTTGCTGCAAAATTTGTTCAAATTTATACAATATTTCGCGTAAACTTGCATTTGCTTGATTACGCGTTAGTTTGCAAATCACCGCCACTGATCAAAAGCATTTTCTAGTAAAGCAACTAACATCTATTTCAAATAGATATTAGTGGATGGATAACTTGGAATTTGCAATACCAACACAATTGCCTTAATATGCCACGTGACTTGTTTGACACGGCGTTAATTATTGGACAAGAAAAGACTAACTCCGATTATTTGTTTTGATTTCAGATCTCAGTCTAAATAAATACTAGCCAAGGTATTGTAATTTCATGGTCAATCTGATAAAACTGTGGTAAAAAAACCGGACATTAATATCCCTTGTAAACATATAATTTTAAATCAAGATTGATCAAAGGAAACGGAGATAAATGTTTTTTGTGATACGGAAATTAAACGGCGAATGACTCAACTCCCGAATTATTCCGTAGCCAATACAATTCCTTACTAATGTAACATTATGGCTGGCCAAACACTAATTAACTTCAGCCTCATGTTCCTGAAACTTCCTTATGTGTAACTATTATGGTCATGCTTTGATTCTCGTATTTTTATAAAATACTCCGAAATAAAGTTAACAATCAAATTCCGCAATTATTTTTATAATGCTCTTTGTCGGAGTTTGATTGTTCGCCTATACCTTTCTTTTATAAAGTTCTATGGACTCAAGATTTCCGTTCCATGGAATAACTCGGGAGCCTATGTTGACAAGTGCTACTGTAATCTTCTTTATCCATGGTTATTAAATAACTAGATTACAGATGGGTCGTTGAATGCTTCGCGGCATGCTGCAAAAAAAATTACTTAAATGGTTATTAAAACTATGTAACCCCCTTAACAGCTTGACACAGTTAAAACTCGCCATGACCAAGGATCCCTTTTTAAATCTAGCTACATACCACCTAGTACAAATGGCGTTTTGCAAATATGTAAAATCTAAAACAACAGTTGGTGGAGATCGGGTTTTGACGGAATGATATCTGGAGTTGCTTTTTTTCTTTTGTTGCTAAAATTGAGAAATATACATTACAAAATATTTCCTTTGTTTCATCCCAATACCAGTATCCGAAGATGATTCTCCGAAATATGAGCAATTTACATAGACCTTAAAAAACCTGTTTATTTTAATCTTTCCTATAAATATCAGAAAGAATCCCATCAAATGTTGCAATGATTCATCTTCACATCAAACAATTAGGAATGATTACCACAGCAACCTTAAACAAGCGATTACCTATATTTACAACCTCAGTGTGCAGATATGCCCTGACATTAGCTCAACAGCACCCACCTCCTGCTAATGACCCAAAAACAAGTATTTTTGATATCAGCACCAAAGTTTATAAAGAAACAGACATCGAAAAGCATAATGATACAAAGTTTATTACTCATCCAATCTTTCCCCACCCTTCATTCCCACAAGAAGAATGTGAAAAGGTTATGTTTGAACATCGTGAACCAAAGACTTTAGGTGATAAGATTTCCTATCATGGTATGAGATTTTGTCGTAGTGCTTTTGATAAAGTTACTGGATACAAGAAATTATCTGGTACTGATATTCGTGAGCATGATGGTACTAGATATGAAATGACAGAAGGGAAATGGTTAACTAGAGTTATATTTTTAGAATCTATTGCTGGTGTGCCTGGTTTTGTGGCTTCATTTATCCGTCATTTACACTCGTTACGTCTTTTGAAAAGAGACAAGGCTTGGATAGAAACTTTATTGGATGAGGCTTATAATGAAAGAATGCATTTGCTTACCTTCATTAAGTTGGGAAAGCCTAGTTGGTTTACCAGATCAATTATCTATGCTGGACAAGGGGTATTTGCGAACATCTTTTTCTTGTGTTACTTGGCCAACCCAAGATTTTGCCACAGATTTGTGGGGTACCTTGAAGAAGAAGCTGTCAGTACTTATACCCATTTGGTACATGAGTTAGAGACCCCAGGAAAATTAACTGGGTTTAACGATATGAAGATCCCCGAAATCGCTGTTCAATATTGGCCAGAATTGACTGAAAACTCTTCATTTAAAGATTTGATTCTTAGAATTAGAGCCGATGAAGCTAAACATAGAGAAGTCAATCACACATTAGCTAATTTAAATCAAAAGTCGGATAGAAACCCATTTGCCATGCAAATTGAAGATTATGATAAGCCTCAACCAAATTACGGTTTAAAAGTAACTAAAGGTACTGGATGGGAACGTGAAGATTTAAAGCTTTAGTCGCCAGCCGATATTTATGTAATGTGTTTATGAATGAATATATGAATGTGTATATAGCAACAATAATATGAACGAGATCTTATTACAGTAAAATATTTTTTTTAGATTATGCCCGCCATCTAATATGCACTCCCAACGGGCGGGCCAAAGATTGACACCAAGGAGGAGACATCACGTGCGATATATTTCTAGAATCTTCTATGAAGCAGCCAGCTAGCACGGACCATAATTTTAATATAATTTTAAATTACTCGATAATAAACACGAGGATATAAAGTAAGATAGCTATACAATTCTTTTATTTTTATTTTTTTTTGATGGTTTACCTTGCTGTTTTCTCAACAGTTAAATACAACCTTCAAAAATAGTCATTTTGTTCTTTTCACCATAAAGGAAAAAAATTACTACGGAGAAGCGAGTATCATAACTACTAACAAAGCTAAAGAGCAACAGAAAAAAAAAACACTAGTCATCTCACACAACCTTAATTAGATAACAGCACCTTGTAATATACACCCCTAAAATCAATCAAATATGAGTGAATATGAGGACGTGAATGACCCAATAACTGAACTTCTCAACACAGAACCTCATGAAGACAACGATATCCAAGTGATTAACAGAAGCAACCCTACAAATCAAGCTTCAACCAGTCAAACAAATACCTCAAATAATAGTAATAATGACAACCTATCCTTAACTCCACTTTTAAACCAGGCACAGTTATACACAGGATTCGATAATGAGCATCATGAGAATAGCCACAATCCCGAACCGCCAACAGGGCGTACACCACTCTTTTTACCACAGGATTTAGCAAGCCCATTGCATCATGGACTCATGTCCCAAGATCTTCACAACCAAATGGTAATTAATTCCAACTATCATCCTCAAATTCAGCAATTAAAACAATATCAGGAGTTACAACATCAAGAAAACCAGCAGCCACAAATTCAATTGCCGGCTCTCCCGCCTTTATCAGAAAGTGCGATACCGACTGGAATTTCATTCAATCCCAGAATGTTTTCTCGACCTGAAGACCAAAGACAAATGTTGACACAATCACAACCACCAGCATCTTCAAGTAAGAGAAGAAGAGAAAATGCAGGTACTAAATCCCGACCTGCGTTTGTAATGAAAATTTGGTCCATGGTTAACGACCCGCTGAACCAAGAATATATAAGGTGGAACGAGGATGGTAAAACATTTCAAGTGTTCTACAGAGAAGAGTTCATGAAGAAAATCTTGCCCAAGTATTTCAAACATAACAACTTTGCAAGTTTTGTCAGGCAATTGAATATGTATGGCTGGCACAAAGTCCAAGATATCAGCAATGGTACTTTAAATCAGAATATGGGTAAAGACAAAGGCGGTGTAGAAGAGACTTGGAAATTTGAAAACCCCAATTTTATACGCGACAGAGAAGATTTATTAGAAAGAATTGTACGAAACAAAAGTGGAGAAGAAACTGTAGGGGGTTCAATGAGTGAAGATGTCAATTTGCCATTAATTCTTAAAGAATTAGAAGCTATCAAAATGAATCAATACGTTATAACTGAAGATTTGCGTCGTATCAGAAAAGATAACAAGACCCTTTGGCAGGAAACTTATCTCACTCGAGAACGAAACCAAAATCAAGCTCGTACTTTAGAAAAGATTTTGAAATTTTTAACTACAGTTTATGGAAACTCAAATGCTGGTAAAATTCTTGAAGTTGACCAAGGTCAGTTTAATCAAATGATGACACAATACAAACCACAGCCCGCGCCTCGTCCACCAACAGCTCAAACATCTGCACCCAATGGTGCTCCATATTACCGTCCTAGATTAATGTTGACAGAGGATGCACATAAGCAAACTAATAGTCCTCCTTCCGTTCAAAGCACTCGCCCTGCTCGGGTTCCATCACAGGTCGATTCTACGCCAGGTACAATTGAAGAAATTATAAGGAATTATGATACCGATAAGAGTAATACCAATCTGAATAGCATGTATCAACATTTACTTGACCCTGATCCAATTGCCTCACTTTCTTCGCCTAGACAGTTATTTCCTGAATTGCATGGCAGTAGTATGCCTTCAGAACCTATACATCATACAAACTTTGGTGTCGAAGAAGTAGAGGATGATGATATGATCAAAGGATTACAACAGAATATAGATAAACAAGGTCAATCCATTCAGCAAGTACAAGATTGGATTGAAAGATTGGCCAAGCAAAATGAGAATCAAGAGGATCCGACATTACGGAATGGCCAGGAACACCATGATGATGACACTTTTGATGTTAACGAGTTTTTGGAGGGCACGGCTACTCCGGTCAATGTACCTACCATTATTACTCCTGGACTGAATGCTACACCTAGTGAAACTAGAAAACGGTCAATCCAGGAAGTATACGATGGAAATGAGTACTAAGGGTTGTGTACTAGAAAATACAGAGTATTTATATAATTTGTAGATGTATATATTATTTGAAAGTAACAAGGTTTAATATAGCAAAAAAATTAATGGTTATGAGTTTTTGTGAAATTCACTTATTGTCTTAAGATGAGCCCTTTGCAAATTCATCTTGCGTTTTGTGGAATATGCATAGTGGGTAAAATCATGCCAGGAACGGTTGCCAACAGAGCTCATAACAGTCGGGTTTATTAATTAATTCTGTAAGATTGCAAAAATTTCAGCGATGCTCAAAAAAAAAGAAACGCCGCTTGCATGGATCCCCAAATCAGTTCAACTTGCCATACTATTGTTTGGTTTTGTAGTGAAGCAAAGTTGACCAAATATTGGGACTAATGGGGGAATTAAATCGCGCAAAGTAGAGAAAATTTTAGGGTCTAGAAGAGCATAGCCGACCCGGGAATCATTTGAAGAAGTAGACTGAAGTAGGTTGTAAACTGATTGTAAAGAATTTATCATACGTCTTGTACTGTTACAGGCATTACTGTAAATATTGCATGATATTTAGTATTTCTGTACATCTGGAAAACGCAGCTTCCACGCAAAGAAAACATAGAAAATTGGCAAACGCAAATCGCATGCGAAGAAAAACTCCGAGCAGAGATCACAAAATTTAATTCTTATCACGTCATTCTACTACTTGCTATTGCTTCTACCATCTTGTCCGAATAAAGGCACAATTAACCCATTAGCACAATATACTTTTTTGTTGGTGATACACTAGCTCAAAGACAATTTTATATCTTTGTTTTGATTTATAGCAATAACTAATTTGAAGGCTTAAAAGCTACCTTTCTATGCGCAATTTATTTTGAAATATTGAATTCAACTCACAAAAAGGGTCCCCCAACACAACAGCATAAACCAACACCACTAGTCTGGAAAAAAGGGAATCAAACTAATAATATTCCATGTCTTCAGGAGTGTTGGATCTAGGAACGAGAGTTCCCCAACAGAAACGAGTGTATAGCAAGGGGGGGTGTCGAGAGTGCAAACGGCGGAAAATCAAATGTGATGAAGGGAAACCATATTGTTGGCAGTGTTTACGATTGCGAAAGGAATGTAGCTACCCAGAAGTGGGCGAAAAGGTTCTTCGAGTACTGAAAAAGAAGCAACAGGAACAAGAAGGGGATCATCCGCATGGTCAAACACAGCCTCAACAAATGAAACCCGAATATGAAGGATCTCAGTTGGATCACAGAACAAGATTCCACGAACAATCACTAGAACAGGGGCAAGAACAACTTCCACGACCAATGTATCAATCACCGGCAAGTGTCATCATGCTGCCAAATAACCTGAATTCTCCAAATGTTACACCGGTCCAAAGAACTTCTCTGCCGCACCAACTAGGAGTACCTTTTGGTCAACACTATGTGGGCCAGCAGTTTCCACATATAATAGCACCACACCAACAACAACAACAACAACAACAACAACAACAACAGCAACAACAACAACTCAACCACCCACCTGTTATCGGGTACCCACTCCCTGCCCCATCCCTTCAACAACTTCAACATCTCCAAGTTCCTCCTCGTGTGGTGGGACAGATATCTTCTCCAGGAGCGCCATTACCCAATACAGGATTCCCCGTACCACAGCCACAACCTATTGTTCCCCACTCAGTAATCAGTCAACCAAATCATTCACCTATTGCTACAACAGAGACTATCCACACGCCACCAAGTGGCGGAGGTTACTCCGGATTTCTTCCCAGTTCTCTCAAAAAACAGCCTGTATTACTTCCACCCCCGCAACCCAATAGTCAACTGACACCTCAATCACCATATAAGGAACCGGAACCTCCCACTAAAAAACTAAAACTGGACGACAAGCAATATAGCGGAGCATCCATATTAAGTTTGCTAAATGATACAAAGGTATCACCAAACTCGGATTCGAGCGTTAGTGGGAAAAGCAATGGTCATTTAACTGATAATATCACAAGTACTCCATCTGATGAGGCTGCAATGTTGGAGCTTTTCAGCGAACAGGATTTAAATGTTCTTGCTATGGACTTGAATAATATGGTGAGTGGTCTAATGTACGATATGAATTATGAAAACAATCAAAGCAATACTGAGACTGACTTTGAGGATGTATCCACCTCTTCAATGGAACCTTCACCAATTCTCAGCAACCCAAGTCAAATTGTTAGAAACCTTCCATTAACCTGTATTCGAGTAAAGCGAAAGAAAGATTTAATTTACCTTGAAGAATTTTATAATGAATTCGCAAATATTATCTTACCGTTTAGTTCGTACGATGAAAAGACCCAATGCTATTTCAATCCTGCTCGTGATATGATCCTTAGAAACGCTGCTGACACGAATTATCTACTAGCAGCAGTTTTAGCAATCGGGGCGAGATGTTTATTCCTTAGAACTAAAATTCAGAAACACGAAGAAGTATACTGTGTATATTTATCGCGGTGTTTGCAATTGTTAGGCCCAGCTTTAAGTGCAGATGATAGACAGCTAACCACCAATATTGAAAGTGTGCTTTTAACAGTATTATTATTAACCACCACTAACGCTTCCAATCCAAAGCAAGACTGGAGACCTCATCTTAAAGGTGGAAAAGACCTTCTATTGAAGAATTCCATCAAAAAAATTAAAAGTTCTAATGTTTTGATCTTTTGCAAGAGTTGGTTTGTTACATTGGAAATCCTTGCCGGTATAAGTTCGAAACATGGTGGAACTCTTCAGACAGATGAAGAAATCGACTTGTTGATAAACTCAGGTGACGAGCATGAACAGTTTGTTTTAAGGGAGATTGGAATAATCGTTGAGAACGGATTCAATATTATGGGAGGTTATCATAATGACTGTTATGACCACTTCCGTGACTTGCTTAAAATCCTCAATAGAACCAGAAACAACCCAGGTTATAATCCTCAAGATTCATTTGAATATATGAGATTGTTTTCTAAATTTCAAATGCAAACAGAAATTGAATTTATTAACAAGAAAGGGTTGCTAACTCCAGAAGACTTCCCAGGTCTAGTTCCAAACAGGTCACTTATCGATTCGGTAACAATAAACAGCAAGGAATTTGTCATTTCTTGGATGGATGTAAGCCACCAGTCATATACCATGGCTTCTTTAATCACACTCCTTTGCAAATGTTTTCAAGAACCTTATACAGCACCTCAGATTCAATTGTTGACAAAATCAATAGTCAAATTTGTATCATATTTGGATAATATTAGCGATATCGACCGAGATGGGATTCCAAACCATCAGATGAAGAGTGCTTTAATGATGTTACAATGGCCAATGTTTGTCGCGTCAAATAATTTAATTGACGATGATTTGAAATCGATAGCAAGTAAGTTTTTCCAGGTTTCATCCCAAATCGGGTCTGGCGGTGCTACCATTGCATTAAAAAGAGTGAGTAAAATATGGTTGAAACGTGAGAATGGTCTTAGTACTGAAGAGGATGAAACAGAGCTCGAGGATCTTGTTGCATACTGAGGTGTATAAAATAACTTATTTATCTTTTGTTATAACTATATGTATTATTATTGTTCAAGTAATGTGTACCAGTTCATTTGTCCACTGGATAATTTTAGCCTAGTTTCAAAACTAGATTCAAGCTCTTCTTCACTTTCACTGTCACCTTGGTCTAATTTGAATTCCAAGGAAGTGCTGTTTTCTGACAGAGAACAACAACCAAGTTCAGTGCAGCTTATAGGCAGCCAATCCAATTTACCTCTACTTTTAAGATCTTGTAGATACCATCCAATTCTCTCAGCTCCCAACCTTGCCCCATCTAAGTTAGCAGATGTTGGACCCATTTTCAAAGATGCATTCTTGCCCAGAATGAACAACGGGACTTCATTGTTCCACTGCAAGTCATCAGTTAAACAAGGGAAACCACGAACTACTTCAATTGGATTTTCCTTTAACACGGGACCAAGAAAACCAAGAGAGTTAATATCAGCTGTAATACCAGTTGCAAAATAAATATAATCAACATTTTCTAAACTTATTTCCTTCATTTCTACCGATTTGTCCTTTTTCTGTACTTTTGACTCAAAAATTAAATTCCAACACTGCAATTCCCCGTTCCACTCTTGGCATCTAATGGTGGTATGTGTTAACCAGTCGAGATTTCCTGATTTAACGTGTTGGTTCAATTTCTTGTAATATTCAGGGTTGATGGAACCACCTTCTCTAGCATCATTAACCATTTGTGCCCGTTCATCATCGGTGTCCAAGATATAAAAAGCTGATTTCTTAACGTTCTTATACTTGGTAACCCAATCCAAATGAAAGTCAAAATGTTTGATCTTTATTTGTCCACGAAACAACAAATATACTTTATCAATTCTAGGATCTTGACATGCAACATGTGCCAATTGAGCCGAGGTTAAACCTCCACCAGCAATTACAATACTTCTCAACCCAACTTTAGGTTTCATGAATATTTCGTCCCCAAGAAATTTAACTTCCTTTGAAAACAAATGTGTTGTGTGACAACTACCAATGGGGAAATATGGATCAGTGAATGGGGCAATAGGATAGTTGATTTGGCCACGATGACCTGAAGTTACAATGCATGATTTGCAGCCAAATACTTTTCCACTAGCAGTAGTAACAACCATCCCCCTTCCTGATTCATCAGAGTTTTCTAATTTGATTGATCTATACGCTATAGAAACTACTTCATCCTTCTTTACAACACTTTCCAAATTATACCTAGTAATTATATCATTGCAGAAATCACGAAATAATGGAGTAGAAGGACGGTAATAGTCTTTCCAATCTCTCATATTGATATCAATGATTCCAGGTTTATCATGAACCCCACTGGTTTTTCCAGTTGGTAAAGGAACTTTCTTTTCCCGCTTCCGTTGCAACTTTCTCTGTTTATGCTTGGACCATTCCTTCCCTACCACGTTGGAAATCTCCATCAAATCCTTCTCCCTTTTATACATATGGGCAAAAGTTACCAAACCATCAATATTTACAGGATCTGGATGGAAAAACATAGGTGAGCGAAGGTACGGAATTTGACAGGCAGAAAATTGTGAATCCCATTGGCCCATAAAAGAATCTCTCGTACCATCCAACACCAATATATCACTTGCTTTGAAGTTATTACATTTATAATTTGTTTTAGATTTCTTCTGTAATGAGTGATGATGAATAAGATTAACTCTGCTTCCTCTTTGCTTTAACCAGTGGAATCGTTGATGTTCATCTTCAGTGTAAATGGACCCGGGACAACTTTCACATAGGCGCGTGGCTGCTGCGAGCCCACAAGGTCCTGCACCAACAATGATTATTTCACGGAAGTTTTCTTCTTCAATTTCAATAATTTCTGAATTCATAGCTAATCAGGTTGCCAATTACCCAATTTAAAGCCAAGGTCGTTCCTTTTTATAATACACCAGATTGACTGCAAAAACGAGGCAAGAAAAAAAAAATAAATCAAAAAAATAAAATGTAACTGCAACCCGAGCCACCATAACCACTACAGTTGCAACCATCAGGGTAGCAAAAACAAATACAATAAACTTGCAAATACAATCTTTTAAATCTTACCAAACTATACAGTACCTAAAAATCCTTGAATAATAGCCAAAAGTCCAACAGCTCCTGGATCAGGAACACCACCTTCTGCCTTAAACTCCTGTTCATTAACATAACTTGCACGACCAAACGAAGCATGCAAATGCTTGGTTGATTCACAACCTTTCTTTGCACTTTCAACAGCTTCCTTCAAATCACCAGTCTTTTTCAAACCATCAACAAATGGTTGCAAGGTATCGACCAATGTACGTCCACCAACTCTTGCTCTAGTATACTTGAACAAACCGTCATATAAAGCATTATGGAATGCATCGCCTAAAGCAGAGACAGATATTTCTTGGCTCTTTTGCAAATTTTGTGCCAAAGCAGTTAAGTAGATTGAATAGAGCCCACCCGAAGTTCCACCCATACTGTCTTCTACCAACTCAGTAATTCTAGAAACCGTGGCCACTGGATCAGACAATCCGGATTTGAAATCTTTATCATTATCCAAAGCGTTCAATATGGCATTGGCTCCCTTGGCTAATGTTTCACCACAATCTCCATCTCCTACAAGGGTGTCATATTTTGTAATATCTGGCTCTTGTTCAAGCAATACTTTCATCGCATTACGTAATTGTGTCTCAAATTTATTTTCATCGATTCTAAGCTTTGAAGTCACTGCAACTTGATGTTTCATGGGGGATTCAACATATTCAATCGGTTGTTCCCATAATTTGTCATTGAAAATCTTTGGCTTCCATCCTGGTGCATTTGTAGGCGCATCCAAATACTTCAAAATATCATCTGAATTGAATATAATATCTTCCTTGCTAACATTTGTCAAGTTTAACAAGGTAATTGAAAATCCAGGTGAGTTGAACGAGGTTACAAAATCACTAACGTATACTCTCTTTGGCTTCTTAGAAAATGGTAAATTCTCAATAACATGTTGAGTAATGGCAAACATTTCAAAAGAAGAACTGCCACCAATATTATTGATCAATAATACATAGTTATCGTTCTTCAAGTCAAAATCGACATAATGTCTGTCCTTGTCTTCTGGAGAGACCAATTTATGAAACATATCCTTAATCAATTCATTGATCTGGGGAATTGGTTTAATTTTAGTTCCAGGTTCATTATGAATACCCAAACCCAACTCTGCTTCATCAGCTTCGTTAAATTCAATCTCTTCGGTTTTACCTGGCACTGATGTACGATCTAAACTTGCAGCAAGAGTTACTAAATTGCTATTAACAACGCGACCTAACTGCGCCACAGTGGTTAAATCACCACCTTTTTCAGAATTTACGGCCGCTCCCAAAATTTTATGCACCAAAGATGTTCCTGCCAATCCTCTTCTTCCCACCATTTTGTTTTGTTCTCTACCCACAGCAACATCTTCACTGACATTGACCACTTCGACCTTGTAGCCTTCACTCTTTGCTCTTTCAGCAACCAACCCAAAGTGTAAAACATCACCGGTGTAATTCTTAACAATGATAATTGTTCCCTTGTCCTTGTCAGATTTGGTTTTCACGGCCGCCATGATTTGCTTGGTGGAGGGCGAGGCAAAAATTGAACCACTGACAGCAGCATCAAGTAAGTTATGTCCCACATAACCGCCATGTAAAGGTTCGTGCCCTGCACCACCTCCGCTTATAAGAGTAATCTTTTGGGAAGTTACCGAATGAGGGTTGAAGACAACTTTTTCAGAAGGAATCAATTGCACTGCAGGATTGGATGCAACCAAACCTTTCAATTGAGTTACAACGATATCTTCGTCTTTGTTGTATTTCCAATGTTTCAGTAATGTCATTGGTTGTTATTTGTCGGTTGTCAAGCTAAGGAAGTGTGAATTAAAATTAAAAGGGTTGCTAGCGTGGAGAATTTTTAAGGGGAATTTTTGAATGCGCATTCCGCTATGACATCACATGTTACACAATAGACAAAATAGCAACCGTTGGTTAACAACCAATTGGTGGACCATCCAACTCTATGAGAGACGTCATTATGCATCTGGAGCTAAATTGTGATATCACCATCGTTTAGCTATTTGTACTTGTGATTGTGTGTGTACCAAAATCACCTTAGGCTCAGCAAAAGGCTACTAAGCAAGAGCATTTCGGTCCAACATAAACAATAGTACGGTAATTGATTAGTAAACCTTAATGTTGATATTCGGATTAACAAATCGTCAATCAAGATTCTCAGGTTTGCATTCGTAAAGAAAGATCTTCTATTTGACAGAATTCAATAGAGAGGACAGGTTCCGCTTGCCTAATTAGGCAGGAACGGCACCAAACAATTGCGCTCCCGCGCCCCGACAAAAATCCCCCCACCACCGGTATTTCGAACAATTTTGTACTAGTTGAACAAATTGTATTTAAAAGGAAGCCAATGGGTTCCGATAAAGTTAAGAAAGAGAATAAGAGAGGGTATAGTCGAGGAGGATGCCGAGAGTGCAAACGAAGGAAAATCAAATGTGATGAACAGAAACCCCTGTGCTCCCAATGTTCAAGATTGCAAAAGCAGTGTTCGTACCCTAAGGAAGGAGAGAAGGTGTTGCGAGTTTCGAAGAAATTCCTTGAAAGCAATCCCAACCCAGTGGTAGAATCCAATCCAAAGCCATTTACAATACAAATGTACCTGGGACCAGATGACTTTGGAAAGGGGGCCAAGAAACGAAAGATTATGAAGAAAACTAAAATGGTACACACTTCAGATAATGGCGATGCACCTCCAAAACAACTGAAATCTTCCTCTTCCATATTCAATTTGTTGAATACGACTAGTGGTACCTCTCCATTACAACAGACAGGTACAGATGTCAATGCAGTAATAACCGGAAGTGCCACAAGCATGGTCCGAGGCAGTCCATCCAGTTCAGTTTTGGATTACTTGTATAATGACGACGATTTGAATTTAATTGCAGCTGATTTAAACAACATTGTTAGTGATATAATGTTTACTTCGAATATGAATATTGAAAACTTTCAAAGTTCAATTGAAAATGATCCAAGCTTCTTGTTCAACCCGGCACTTATACCAGAAGAGACTTCAATTCCAGAAACAACCCATTATGACAATGCAATCCCCAAAAATATTCCTTTAGATTATATTAAATTAAACACCGATGATGAAAGACGATATCTCAAGGATTTTTATGATACTTTTGCCCTGCAAATATTACCATTTGGAGCATATGACCCAATCACAACGCGATATACCAATCCACTTCGAGATGTGATTTTGAAGTATTCTTATAAGGAACCTTTCTTATTATCAGCGGTTCTTTCCCAAGGTGCCAAAATCTCCTCAGAAAAGACCAATAGCAAAAAGGACATTGATGCTTATGGATCATATTTATCCACTTGTTTGAAACTTCTTGGTCCAGCATTGAGCCGAAATCGAGACAAGAAAGTAAAGGACGATTTGACATCAAATGTGGAAAGCATTCTTATTACTGTATTATTATTAACTTCCTCCAATGCATCCACTGCTAAACAAAGCTGGAGACCTCATTTGAAAGGTGCCAAAGATATCATCATGAAAGCTACACATAGTAAAATGGGGCTGTCCAAAGCGTTAATTCTTTGTAAGATTTGGTTTGCCGATTTTGAGATTCTTGCTGGGCAAAGTTCTCATTTAGGTGGTACTTTGAAGTTGGATGAAGAATTGGATTCTGTAATTAACTTCACTGACCCATACGAACACAAGGTTTTACAAGAGTTTGGAATGATTCAGCCTAATACTTACAACATTATGTTTGGTTATAATACCGATTGTGTTTATCTCTTTCGAGATCTTTCTAAGATATTGAACAAACGAAGAATCGAAGGCGATGAGTTTGTGCCAAATGACCTGTTGGAATATATCAGATTGATAAGTGGCTTTTATGAGCAGTACAATCGAGTCTATATAGATAGAAATTGTACCATGAGCTATCCACCTCACCCACTTCTTAATCTAACTGACACCGTGCTGACAGAAATAGGTCCCATCCATATAAGTTGGATGGATATAACACAACAAGCTTACTCGCTTGCTGGTTTAATTACTATATTTACCCAGGTGTTTATGGACCCACCAGATTTACCTCACATCAAGGACTTGAACGATAAACTCGTTTCATTGATCACTTGTTTCGAAAAGTCTAAAGATCACATGAAGATGAGGTTTCCCTATGGATTCCTGATGATTCAATGGCCTATATCAGTTGCCGGTGTCAATTGTACCGAGAATCCACAAAAGCCATTGATTGCAAAATATTTCGAAATCTGTGCTAAATTAGGATCAAGCAGTGCTGAGATTGCTCTCAAAAGAATCAAAAAATTGTGGGAATTGCGTGAGCGAGGTGAGGAGTTCCCTGAACTTGACGAAGATGAGCTGACCAAGATAGACAGTGTAGCATATTAACCTTTATTTTTTTGCATAAGGTATGTATAATTATATAAATTAATTTTGAAATATTTCACACCCATTGCGTCTAGCTTTCCCGCGCGTGCCATCCGTTTTGGGTGATTGTGATTACATAATCAGAAAAAAATGCCATCGGCAAGTATTTCCCTTTTCGCATTCTTTTTCCGCATGATGACTTTAATATTAGCAACACACATTTGTAAAGGTTACATAAACTTCAGGTACACAACCATATACGCTACACAACGCGGCCAGAGTGCATGTTTGCAAGATGGAGAGTGTTGATATAGAGAGATCACCTACGGTGGAACCAGATGGAAACGAGAGGAATTCAAATAAGACCAATGGCACTAATAATGGCTCGAAAGCCAAACGTTCCAAGACATTCACGGGATGCTTTACATGCCGTTCACGAAAAATCCGATGCGATCTTGAGAAACCAGCATGTATGAAGTGTACTAAAGCTGGATTAATCTGTTCAGGGTATGATATCAAACTCCGATGGTCATTGCCTATCGAATTCAATTCGAAGAATGGAAGTGCATATTCTAAACTGGTAGTGTTCAAATCAAAGAGTAAGAAAAGTGCAAAAGGCAGTTTGGATGAGGACGATGAAGAAGAAGGCAATGGTATGGATTTCTTTCAAAGAAGACAAGTAGGGTTTGTTGTATGGGATGAAAAACGAAATTGTAAACCATATGAGACTTATGAAGATATGGATCGAGATTTAGGAATATTGCACAACTCGGGAAATGACCAGCTTGTGAATCTGGAGGGTAAAACAAAACTATTGGGTCCATTTGGAGTATTCAAAGGTAAAGGAGCGTTGAAACGAAGTCAAAGCAAGGATAGATCCGAGAAATCTTTAAAAAGGCAAAGGGGAATTGAAAAGAGTGCTAGTCCGTATCCGTCAGAGAAAGCTGCAGGAACCCCTCTTAATAAATCACTTCTTCACTCCTCGGCTAGTACACCCACCACCACTACAGGAACACCAGGCATGTCAATGTATATGGACTCTACTGCTCCTCATGATCAGCTTTGGTTGTCCAATGAATTGCGAGATGATGCGTTATTAACAGCAGCTGCGTTAGATACCCAATTTTTAGACTTCATGAACGCAGGGAATAATATACTACCACCAAATACTAACCAAAGAAGCTACAATTCTGGATACAACTTTAATAATCCCAATGATTTGTTGAATTTGGTGTTTCATAAAAATCAGAGCATGAGCGGGCCTGCTCTTGCGTCACATACACAACCACAACCTTCCAACAGTCACATGTCCATGTCTAATTTGCTCAATGATACCAATTCTTCAAATACGATGATTGATCCTACCAACCAGCATCTTTACTATTCAAACTATAACGACTACTACTATAACAATCCTTACTCAACCAATGAGACTTTACAAATTCACTTGCATGCGTCACCGAAAGTTAATGCTGACGATGATGCAGAAACTACTGATTTAGTGGATGGAGAAAACGCCCATTCAACCCACATGCCCACATCTATTATGAGCATTGTACAAAGTCCTCTCAAATTAGGGTTTGACTTATCATTTCCAGCCACATCTTCCACATCACCTCAAGTGGGTATTCCTACAACCGCATTACAAGTGCAGCCATTAACACGATACTTGTTGAATTACTATGTGAACCAAGTAGCTGATTTAATGACTGTCATTCCATTAACTGAAAACCCATGGAAAACAATTTATTTTCCCCGAGCATTAATGGCAATTGGTGAATTACTGGCATTGGGAAGAACCTCCACGGCGAAAAACGCATTGTTGAATGCATTACTTGCAGTTTCAGCATTCAATTTGCAATCCAAGTTTCCTAAAAACTCCCAGCCCATGAAGTACTATTTGAATTTGGGGATTGCATTGAGGAACCAAGCTAGTTTGTTTGTAAAGCAATTATTGAACACCAAAAGTGATACTCAATCAGGGATAGAATATTGTTTATCTACTGAAAAGTATAAGGATGTGTTGTGTGCCGTCATGACTATGATTAGTGTTGATTTAGTGTGGGGTACCATGCAAGACACCGGGGTTTATATTACTTGGTGTGGGAAGGTTATTTTGGCCAAAATGGCTAATAAGAAGAAGCTTTCATCCAAGGCACGTATTCTTCATCGGATCTTCCTGTCTTTGAAGTTGATTCAAGATTCTACATGTTTAGCATTAGATAGTATCAAGGAGGATTTTGAATCGAATGTGGGGAGTGGATATGACGTGAATGGTGACAAGTTTGCCAACACTGCCAGAAACACGGCTCTGGGCAAAGCAAGAATTGATTTTATTGTCAACAACTCGTTTAGCTCCGCCACGGTGCCTTCACCTTCAAAGAAGAGTGCCTCACCATCATTTGTAAACAAAAAATTGATCAACACCAAAAAGAATGACGAAAATTTTGCAACAGATGCCTTGTATGGGTTGCCAAATTCATTAATTATATTGTTTAGCGACACTGTGGAATTGTTGCGAACAAAGATCTATTATAAAGAGACGAAGAGGAAATTACCCGATTCATTCCCCACACGAGTCGAGGTGTTGAATAAAAAGTTGATCAATTGGAAATTGGATTGGGAATTGTATCAAAATCAAAATGACAAGACAACCACTACAAAAGCCTCCATTGTTGTAGACGATGATCTTGAAGATGACAACATGAACAATGTAGAAGTGGAGCTATTGAGCGATTCAAAGAAGAAATTTTATTCTCCCATGCATCAGGCAACCTATCATCATATCATGTCATTTTATCATGCATTAATGATTTATTTTAATCGGTTAATTCAAGAAATCCCGCCGGTTAAATTACAAACAAAAGTCGCCAAAACATTGAACCATTTGAATGCGATTCAAAAATTAATTGCTAAGGGCGAGGCCGCCATTATTCCATTGTTTTGGCAAGGGTTCATTGCGGGGTGTGAAGCAATTTCATTGAATTTACAATTGGGATTCAAAAAATGGGGGGCTGATATTGCCCAATATTTAGGAAGTTATTGGGGTGCACGGCAAATTATGCTAGAGGTATGGAGACGAAAGAGAATGCATGAGGCACGCGACGATTGGGTTAGCGTGGTCCAAGACTGGGAAATGAACCTAATGTTGAATTAAACAAATAGGCTTTTCTATAGAAAATTTTTGTAATATATTAATGAATAATGGAATGTGAATGTGAATGTGTACGTGAATATGGTGAGCGTGAATGGGACAAACAAAAAAAAACCTCATTCTAGATTATGCAAATATCCACGATGTTATGTATGAGGGGCAATCTTGATGCAGCATGTAATTTGCTGTTTACGTTTCAGATTTGTGTGATGTTCTGGACCTGAATTGGGAATCCAACCCTTTACAATTCTTAATCAAGACGCGCAACGCGCGGTCAAGCCAATAAGAAAATTTTTAATGTTTATTTTTTAACAATAAAAAAAATTGTTACCTCATTATTCTCGAAAAGGTAAACAAAAATAAATAGCCGAACACAAAAATAATGGATTGGAGGACAACGGTTTAATTTAATACTATCCACACACGAGCAATGTTTTTATTTGTAGCTGAAAGGGGGGAATTTTCTAGTATGGGTCGATTTCACAAACATAAAGAGGCTCAGGAAACTAATAGTTCGTACATGTAAACAAACAAACACCCTAGCCAATTGAGATTCACGTCATGACATTTCGCCACAGCGATTCGAATAACTATTGAAAACGGTCTAGACGGGTTGTCATGTAGGGTCCCCAATTACCACAGCCTCAAATGTTCTAGACAAGTAAAATATGCCTCACCTTTAGTTAAAAAGCTTATTGCTTGATTGGGGTAAATTGAATCTTGGATTGAGCCAAGAATAGGAGGTGTCGCTTCAAGTGCAGGAAAAAATGACGGCAACCATTCGTAATTGCTACATTCATTGTTTCAGATTGTAAATATTTTTATTTGCAAAAATATTAGTTCATGTTGGATTTTTTTTTAGTATTGTTGTTATTATTATTATTATTATTATTATTATTATTATCTCGTGTTTCAATTTCTACCCCATTCGTGTCATGAAATTCAGTGCCTTACATATTCCAACTTGAATACACGAGAAATTCCTGCCTCGGGTATATAAAGACGGTAGGACCCCTCTTATTTCATTTTCTTATTCCTCCTTCTTTTCTTAACAACAATAAAAGTTATTCTATCCAACCCTTTACATTCGTTAAATATTACTACTAAAATGCAATACAAATTATTAGCTACCGCTGCTTTAGCCTCCACCGTTGCTGCTGCTTCTTCTGGTGTCCCAGCCAACTCTACCGAAACCGTCACCGACTTATCCACCACCTTAGTCACTATCACCCACTGTGAAGAAAACAAGTGTTCCGCCACTGTTTCTCCAGCTCTTAAGTCTGTTGCTACCGTCACCGTCCAAGGTGTCGAAACTGTCTACACCACTTACTGTCCATTGACTTCTGAAGAAGCTGCCAAGTCTACTCTTTCTACCATCACCACCACTGTCGAAGGTGTTGAAACCGTTTACACTACCTACTGTCCATTGACTGAAGAAGAAACCGCTGCTCCAGCTGAAACCCCAGCTCCAGCTCCAGAAAAGGAATCTTCTGCTCCAGCTCCAGCTCCAGAAGCTCCAATCACCTCTGTTGTTGAAGCCGTCACCACTCCAGTTGCTACTGTCAGTGAAGCCGGTGAATCTACCGTCTACATTCAATCTACCCTTTACACCTCCCTTGCTAACAAGACTGCTCCAGTCTCTGAATTCGAAGGTGCTGCCGGTAAGCAAGCCGTTGCTGGTTTCGCTGCTGTTGCTGGTTTAGTTGCCGCTTTATTGTAAGCGTGTTAAACTTTTTAAGAAAAGATACCCTGAAAAGAAAAGTTTCTATTTATTTTCTTTACTAATTTAGATTTTTAGTGCAGTTCGGTTTTTTGCGGTTTAGTTACAGAATAATTGTATATATGACAAATGTATTCTACTATTTGTTTATATTAATACTATAGTACAAACCATGGTTTATATAAAATTAATTAATTGTCTTCTGGAACTCTAAATCTCATCTGTTGCCCTTCAGAATAGATGAAATTCAAGGTAGATTCAAACATGCCTTGGGAAGTTAACTCCAAATACTTCTTATACAACATCAATGCAGTGTAGGCGTCTTCAATGGAATCATGATTATTACTCTGCACCTTCTCTTTCAACAACACATATGCCAAAAACTTAAGACCCAATTGTCGTTTGAAATCGCTCTTGTAATAAAACTCAGCAGTGTCCCGTATTTGCTTTTTAGGAACTTGTAAATTAATACAACGGAAATCATTGTACAACCCATGGCCAACAAACACAACTCCTAAATTCAACAATAACCAAAGCTTACGGTATGCGGTTTGTAAAGTGACCAAATTTTTAGCCGACCTAATAGGGTCCAAGTCCAGATCTTCAATCCCAGAGAAACTTGTCAAATAATCGTGGATCTTGGCTGTGTGAACGACATAATCATCAATGAACGCAGTTTCTTCTTCACCTCGCAATACCGACACTCTTGCCAATGAAAGTATCTTGGGTTTGATCAATTTCTTAAACCCGTCATAATGCACTTCCAATAGTTCGGGATTCAATAACACAAATTCAGCATCAATGGCAACAAGTGTATCTGCCTTAGGTGCTTCTTGCTTCGTCAACAACTCATACTCTTTTTTGTAGCCTTCCCTAATAGTTCCCGCAAAATGATCCCGATAAAGGATAGAATCGTTCAAGTTAGGTAACTTGCCAAATGTCTCTATATTGAAATATTCAAATGGAGTTTGGGCAATAGATGATTCTTGATATATGACAACAACCGGTTTCTTCCACGGAGAAGATAAATCAAGCACTTCTTCCTCTGGTATAGGCATAACCAAGAAATCATTAAACAAATACCATTGGTCTAACTTCACAAATGTGACCAACCCATGCATGCCCAAGGCAAAGTCAGACAGATGGCTTATCTCACATACAAATCCCAACAAGTCATATTTGGCACTATTGGCCTTGTCAAATGGACTAATCATTGACTTGAAACTAAACTTATCCTTCTGGTTTACCGCGTAGAACTCGGGGATTATCCACTTTCTAAACCCATTTATCAATTGAAACTCTTCATTGGAAAGATTCACATTAAGTACCAAAACTGGAGGTAAACTAGTAATAGTGGTTTTTATTTCAAGGCTATGTGGATATGCATGCTGGTGTTGTTGACATGGTACGAGTTTCACTTGATTCATGGAGTATTCCAAATATGTTAAAATGTTCACATTACGACGGATATTGGCCAATTGGGGTGGTTGCTGGGCTGCGGTAGTATTAAGATGAGGGTTAATCAAGATACTCATTTTGTTAAGCATGTTACTTGGAGGTGTAACTAAATCCAATGAAAGTATAGATCCATAACTCTTGTCATACACGGGACAAGTGCTTTCATTGCCTCTAACTTCAACCATATATGTTAATTTCATAATTTCCTCAATAGAATCCTGCGATTGTACGTGTAAATCACTGTTGATTTGACTGAGCAAAAACTTATTAAATGAAATAATCAAGTTTCGAACGTCTAAAGAATTCAAATGGTTCATTTCGTCAAGATTAATGAGGTGATGGGCAATTGCATCTTTGTTGTGTGTCACAACTTGAGCAAAGTTGTAAATCTTAACATTATTCCCCTTAGCCTTATCCATCATGTCAAACAAATATCCCAATTCAGTCAAGATAGATGAACCCTCTGTATTAACCAAAATCGTATCAAGATCACAGGGCAACCATTCATTCAACAAGTTTTTGACAATCTTGTTATAAAACACAGGCAGAAAACGATATAGTTGTAACAATGAGTTAATGTATGAATTGTCAGTGTGGTTTTCCAATCCACAATACAATCCATTTGTTTTATTGTAGAATTCAAAATCAAAATCTCGAACACCGAAACGAGAATATTGAATTTGTAAGCGCGAATAACAATTGGGAATAACAGACAGATTGGAACTCTTATATTGAAAGATTGACTCATCAATAATCTCAGAAGCAATGCCTGGAATTTCTTCAGTTCCATTCTTTTCTGCACCATTGCCATTCCTTTCACTTATAAACTTTGGTATTTGAGACTTGTTCTTGATAGCAGTTTTCCCCTCGACAATATCAAACTTCTTCACGATATTCCCCGGTCCATATTTAGCCTTATCATAAAGCATGAACCTACCTCCATTTCTCTCCGATTCAAGAAGTAAATCAGCATTGATGCCTTCAGGTGCTCGAGCAAATTCCTTGACAAATTTCAAATCTGATGCGTAATTAGATAACAACAAATCCTTATAATATGGCATTCCAATACATGATAATGGAACATTATCATCGATACCAATCTTATTTTCCTCGAGGGTTGGGTCAGGAATATCCGGTTCCTCGATAGCCAGGGGGAAATTGACAAAATCCTTGCTTGTAACACCACTAATATTTGTAATTGACCAAAGATGCAAATTAGAATAATTGTCATTAAACAAAAGGAAGTCACCGTTATCACTAATTTCAAGGTTGTTTAAGGATGCAGCACCACTATCCGAGAGAGTGTGCATTTGATTATGAGGTGGAGACAAATCAGCCTGGTAGAGATATACATTGGTTTGATCAAACATATCAACAAATTGTATCTGGCCTGTGCTTGAAGAAACGATGACGATATTAGGTAATTTCGGATGGAATCTCACTGAAGTAGCACCGGCAGGGAATGGAATTGGTGCAATTGCTCTCATTATTCTTGTATCATAAATGTTAACTAGAGGGTCAACCACAAAGTCACTCTGTGGTGCATGTCCATGATGATGAAAACGCTTTGGACGCAACGAGTATCCACAAGTAGCGATATAGTTTCCTCTAACGTCCATATCGGAAATAAACCCATTATGTGAATTGAATGTTTTTATGGAAGTGTTGGACACGGGATCAAAAAGTTCTAATGATCCGTTACCCTTGGCAATTGTCAATAACTTGGAAGTGTTCTTAACCATGGAGACGTTTCCGTCGTGATTGAATGATGTAAGTACTGTAGGTTTATGTAAATCAAACTTCATCAATGACAACTTTGTTCCAACCACAACATCATTCAATGAATTACAATTGAAAGTCATTGAGTTTAAATTAGTGAATAAATTATCATGAAAAGAAGCTGCTGAAGCGTGAAACTTGGGGATTCCTCTTCTATTATTAAATGCTATTTGATTCTTCAGTAACGATAAAATCCCGTCTTTGTGAGGAAGCAACTCAATCACAGGATTATTGATACCATCACAAGTCTTGAATTTAGTATACGGGAACAATTGAATACTTCTCTGATACGGATTCAATGTTGGATTTGTTTGGGAACTGGTCAAAGACTTAGTATAACCAAAGGAATCACCATACCATATGAGATTCTGCATAGTATCGAATCGCAATGCAGATATAACTGGATTGGAGTCCGGTACTCTTACCCTTCCTGGTCCATTGGGTGGCCATGCTGGTGTTGGCTTTGTTGTGGGTATTCGTGCTATTTCATTCCAGCCATCCATTATTGAAAATTTCTATAGAGTGGTAAGGGTGGAGGAAAAAAAAAAAACTGAATGGTTTAGTGAAAAGGAGGGTTGTAGTTAAATACTCTATTGCTTCTGTGATTATTGAAACGTGTTGGATCTCCCTCCTCGCAGTGTCAATGTTTGATTGGGTTTGTTGCTAATGTTGTATTACTAGCTGAGATTTGTATGAAGAGCCCTTTTGACATTGACACCCACTGTTTGGGCGTGTACTTTTACAAGAAAAAATATATGCTGATAAAACTATATGCAGGATTTATCAAACGCTACCAGGCACACTGGTTGAAATGCAAGTGTAGATCTTAACATTTACGCTTGCTGTAGTGAATGAGTCAGCCCCCTTTGCATAACTTCACCTTGAGACTTGACAAACATGTACTAGGGGTAGTTTTTTTTTTTTGGTGGATAGAACCTTTTGTTTCATAGCAAAGTTTACTTTACTTTAGATCAAAAAAGTGCAGATGATACCTGGCAACAATTGCCTAAGCTGATATTTACATAGCAAACTAGTGGTTCTATTTATGGGTTTAGCTTTCGAGAAATAAAATATGGGGTAGTCAAGGCGGGGCAAAAGAGTTATTCCATATACCCGCGAGAACAACAATTAGGTAATGGTTGTTGCCTAAATTTAAACTTCGGAAAAGTTGCTTGCATCCGGTTGCTTAGTTGTGTCATTCAATTTCAAGGGAGTTTCGGATTCGGCAGAAGAACCCCTTTATGTAACAGTCTATCTGTAGATATCGTACTTTTCTAGAGTTTGCTTCAAGTCGTGTTTACAACGTGGTGGTAACTAACTGCTCCACATTTGGATATATCACGTGTGGTAACAAAACAATCAACTGTGTGGGCTATCACTTTGTTTAACTTTCAGTCGGTTGTTACCGGGAAAATTCATAAATAATAATCTCCTCAAAGAAGAAGTGTGTGTCCTCCACTTCATGGTTAGCGCACACTTCTGGAAGCTTCTTGCTGGTCACAGCCAACTTTTGTTTACACTTAGATTTCTTTTTGCCTTGTAATGTGTCATTCAAATCTAAAAGGATAACTTTCCTGTACATATGCCCCCAAAATCTATTTTAATTCCGAGGAGATACGCAAGTGCGGACTGCTGCGGTAACAAAAAAAAAAATACCTGATAAGCACGTCCTAAAAAAGAAATGTTTATGTTTTTGTGTAACGTACGTATATGATTAGTCAAGGAACGCAATAACCACCACGAAAGCAAAACAAATATAAATATAACCACACGGGACGATTTTGTATTACCACATCTTTAAACCTTGTTCTTTTTTTTAAAAATACTAGCTAGCAGCCTTTTATTTGCTATTTACCAAGTGTCATTACGCTAAGATAACTAGTGTTCTTTTTTCCCTTATCAGTTGTTTTTTTTTGCCGCTACCCACAAATAGACGATCAGAGACTTGACGTTCTTTCGTTTCCACATTCATAACATACATAAACATCAGACCACTCTATTATGTTCAAAACCCAGCTCACTTCATACTTGTTCCCTCAATGGTTCAAGTCTTCTAAACAGGAACCAGTTGCAGCCACAATACCTGGCCCAATTCCTAAAAGTTTTACTATATCCAATAATGACAATAAATTAATCAACATTTCCATGAAGGAACATACTGCAGAAGATGAGTTTATTGACATCCTGTATAAGCAGTTGAGTTACGCCGAAGTTGCCGAATTGGCCAAAAATAAGAAACAAAAGACTAAGGTTGCTCCTGTTCCTAACCAACCAAGTGCAGGTAAAGTGAACGCTAACCAATTCAAGACCTTAGCTACCGAAGAAGATGACGATTTTGAAGATATTGCAAGCTCCCCTTACGATGCATTTAAATCTGACGAAGAATATACAAAGAGTAGAAACTTTAAGAACAAGCAATTTGAAAGTGTTCAAAAGAAGAAACAAAGAAATGCAGAAAACAAGAAGAAGTGGAAGGGACAACAACAATAACAGATGGCCGATAATATTGCAATACTTAGTTTTATCCTACCGTGTGTTGTTGTATATTCATTTGGTTATTTGTTTAAGAGGGAGTAATTAAGTTTGCTTTCTCTATTATTAGAATATCTACACTTTAGTTTATTTTTTTGTTTCAACATTATTATAAGCTCTTATATATAAATACAGAAAACTTAATATTCATCAAGAATTGGACCTACGAGAGTTATATCGCTTGTATGGAAGAGATAACACGTTGTCTCTTGGTTCACATGTGGGTATTTACTGTCCCTCGGGGGGTCTCCCCCGCGTTTTGGGTACCACACGTTTTTTTTTGTTTTTTTTTTTTGGCTTCCACTAATTCCCGAGAATAGATAAGGCTTACCACAAAGACGTGACACGATACAATTCAAAAGTACTTGATAATGCACGGTATTCAAATTCATAACATCTAAAAAGCAATATATAGCCAATAAAGAGCAAACCATCTCATGAAGATACTAAAATATACGAAATTTACCTTTAAGCTTCCCGTGACAATCCAACAAACTCTCATCAGTTACACATTGAATAATGGGTGATTTCCTTATGTCAAACAAACTCACGGGATTTTCCACTTTCCATTTTCCAATCTTGAACTTTCTCTTCTTCTTTCGAAACCAACCTCTAGTAGTAACAATTTTGATTGTTCTTGTTTGCACATCTGAAAACTGGGCCATATAAGGTGTAATAAACATCTGTCCCACTTTACCTTTGGGGACATTACACCCATACCCCAAAGTCACAGCAACAGCCCATTGAAGCTCAAATTTCTCTTTAAATTTATGGTAGTAAACAATGAGGTTAACTACCCGATCAGAGTCCACCGTTTCTACCAACAAAAACGCAGTACCTAACCCAAATTCAAGCGAACCACCGTCCCCATACCTTTGGTTCAAACAATTTGTCAAAGGGAGCCGAGGGCCAACTGACACAATTGGTTCTTCAAAAGATTTAATTTCTATCCACTCGTCGTCCTCATTCTCGATATGGTCTCTTAAATCATTCATTTTGAATTCGTTACCTCCAAATCGTTCGAGCATATTCATTCGTCGTTTATTCACAATGGTTGTACCCAATGGATCACCTTTAATCTTGAATACATTATCTATATTTTTAAAATCGGCTATGTTCAAATTAGCAAAGCTGTCCACTTCGATTACGTTGAAGTCGGACGCATTCGGGGTTATCCCTAGTGGGTCTACCTGGATTGTATTAGCAAATATACAGTTGAAAAATATCATGATTGAGATTATGCTGTGTATTATAAGAACCATTTAATAATCTAGCAATAGCATTATACATTACCTCATACGCGGTCACAAGAGTCTGAAAGATGGTAAAGAGTATCCAACCTTATCAAAATTTTCATAGTGAGGCGAGTGGTTTTATTTAAGAGGGGGAAATTTTGGCTGCTAAAACCGTGGGCCATACTTAAGCTTACGTGCGAAATATTGATACGCAGGTTTAATATGTGTACCATATCAAAATATAAGGCGGGGTGAACCGTAAAACAGAATATACAAGGGCATGATTAATAAACCATTAATGTCTCTATTTTTAATTAACCAAAATACATAAACAAAATAAAATGTAAGATATATGCAAAATGCAGCTGTTTTTTTTTAAAATGAATGCACCTATTGGATCATAGCTTCATATTGTTGGGCATCAACATCCACACGACTTTCGTACTGGCGAACTGGCTTTCCAATAAATTCATTCCACCAGGAATCGGCCTTGACAAGCCCAAGTTTACCTAAAATCACCGGGAAGTTCTTGTAACTATTGAATATAAATTTCAAAGCTTGCCAAATTTCATCGAATGCCAATCTTAATTCTTGTTTAAATGTACGCTCAGAAGGAGGAATCTTGGCAATTTCTTCAATTGAATCATGAGATTCTTCTCTTGGTTCCACTGAAGATGATTGCTCTACCTTTTTAGCCGATTTCGCAGCTTCTGGTTGAACTGGTGCTGATTGAAGTTCAGGTTCTGACTTTTCAACTGGCTTGGAAGTTTCTGGTAAGATAGGCGAAACAAATGGGAATGCAAAGCCTGAGTTTGTATCAAATTTCTTATCCATTTCTTCAGGTTTTGAAATTCCCAAGGCAACATTTCTCACGTGTTCCAAATACATTTGCTTGAAGTTGTTGATAGCTTCAATAGATTTGGACAATCTATCCAAAGTATTAACCAATGCCACAATTTCAATTCTTCTGAATTTCAACCTGTCTTTATTGTTTGGATCTTCAGATTCAAACAAGATTTTAAGTGCAGTACCATACCCAATGGTTTGAATCTTCCCCCACATTCTGCATCTGTCACAACCAACACAATCCATAATGGCAGAAACGTTCTTAAATCTGGCTCTGAATTCGTTCTTTAAGTTAGGATCAACACCTGGACCAAATAACGTGGACGTGTTGAATAACAAGTTGGAAGAGAGAGCAGGGATTATATCATCAAATAACAACTCGTCATAAACTTCAGCCTTGTCAGTAAAGTTGTTGGCTAATAATTGCTGTTGTTGGACTGGTGTAATGTCATCATATCCCGAAAGAATGAATTCTTTTAATGGCAAAATTTCATTTAACTTTACCAAACTTTGAGAAACTAAAGCAAAATTAAAGTAAATATTTGCTAAACGTTCATTAAAGTAACCAACCCTTTCCATGAAAATTTTCAAATTTGGATAGAATTCACCAGTTACCGAGTTTAAGTATTCATTAGATAAATGAACTGCGATAGATGCATGTAATCCGGATATCACTCTATAAAACAAGTTCTTTTCCACACATTGCTCTTCTTGTTGTCCTCCAATCATAGACATCGGATTTGTGTTTGGGAAACAGTTTTCCGAGTAAATTGCTTTCCAAACGTCAAATGATTGATTACCACCATATCCGGTAAACCTTTCTGGATTTTTCTGCAAATCTACATAAACACATTCATGACTATCGTCAATATGGCAATAATCCAAATCTTCACAAACCTGGACTTCTTCGGTTTCTATTGGATTATCAACTTTATCGTCTTTTCCGGGCAATTTTAATGCTCCTAATTTGAAAGGTTTGAATTCTTCATTGGTTACTTGGGTCCAGTTAAATTCCTCATCGATTTCAACAGCGCAGTTTTCCGAAGCACAAAAATGTTGGGCATCCCAAAATTTACACTGTTGTTCAAGATCTACCTTGAAATATCTGAAATATGTAGTCTCGATTAATGATTTAAGGTCGGGACGTATTTGACGATTCAAATTGTCGATGTATGAAAAGGTTGTATTACATGAAGATGTCACTTCTTGGGAACAGAACTCGGGTGAATCAAAGGGACAGAAGCTGGCTTTAGGATATTGGTGAACTGTAGCAAGCACCAGCAGAATGAATACATTGCTCAACACTAGTGTCAAAAATGTGTTGAATTTCATGGTGTTGTTCTGTTAAAGATGTGGTTGGGACAAGCGATAGCGTTTATAGATTATATAAATATAGTTGAAAAAAAAAATCTGTTTACCCCTTTTGCGGTTTGGTTAATTTTGTTGCCTTACTTTCTTTTATTTCTTTTTTGTTGCTTAGAATTTCCTTGACGCAGTAGTAGATTTATCACAGCTAAATCAATAGTGCAATCAACAAATGTAAATACTTATTGTGAATAAGGATATAAACAGAAACGACTGATACAGCAAGAAGAATAAAGAAGGTAGTAAAGCAGGATTTTAGGGCTTTATAAGAACAACGTAATGATGACAAATGAGTGCATTTTTTTGCCGCCATTTTCGGTAAGTAAATTGAACACGTCAGATTCATCTTTATATGCAGTCCGCTTGACCCTTTCCTAACCACACGATGATTATGTAATACTTTCTGCGAAACATGGCTTTCAGTCATGCCACGTAAGTGGGTGATTAACTCCGGTTCTGTGGATAACTCCGCCATATAACTAGTAATCTTTTACGAGATTTTCTGTAATAGTAGTAGTAATAGTAGTACACGTGAACTTTGATTGCTGACAAATCCGACTAATTCTCTTCTATCTTTCTCTTATTGTTTTCCAGTTCAAGTTCTCGCAACTAGATTTAAGCGATCCTATAATACAAGTATGAAAAGTATCCTCTCGTTCCAGCGCAAGATACTGGTATATTCAACTAGTTATTAGAAAGTCATCGAAAACATGCTTATAAAGCATGAAATCAATTTTGCAGCCGGCATACTGAAAGATTTACTACATGTTTCCCTATAAATCTTTTGTTTCAAATAGCTATATATACTAAGCATATCTCTTTATAATCCGAGTTTAAATCTCATAATTAATTTGTTTATAGCTATTCCCTTCGATTTTATAATGATATCTGTCGATAACAACATGGCGTAACTGTGGATATCTTAATTCATCACCCTTTAACAAGTTTCCAAGTATTGACTCATACATAAGATGATCATTTTCAAATCCTGGTACAGGTTTACAAATTTCGTCAAAAGAATCAAGTACAAATCCGAAGTCGAGTTTCACACCTAATAAAAGTCTTTGCAAAGATCTCTGTTGTCTCGAGAGAAACCTTTGTACTTCGGAAATAGGAAAGACTGAAGATAATGAACTACTGAAGGCCATACTAATCAAACTATTCTTCTGCACTAATGGAAGCATACCCCTTAATACTCTGTAGTTCCCAGAAACCAAACTCAAATGTTTCAAGTTAGGCAAATTTTCAAACAACCATTGAAATTGTTCAAATGGAACTTGTTCTTGCTTTTGAAGTACATCCACCTCTAAGCTTGTAACTTCTTGCAAATTGATTATACCATCTAAAGCCTCGAGTTCTAAACCACTCAAGTCCCAAATACGCAAGGTTAATTCTTTTATGTTTAAAGGCTGCTGGAATTTCTCCACCATTGGCTTCAATTCATAGCCTTTAAGTTCTTCGAATTTAACCCGCTTGAGTGCTTTCATGTGTATAAATATTGTGAAGTCTAATTCAGAAAGTTGGTCGGCTTTAAGCATCAAACTAGTGATGATATAATTATCTTGCATAGGAAGGTTAAGGGAAGGAGCAATCATAACGTTGCTTATCTTGGAGATAATATGATCCATACCTGGAAGTGGATAAACATTTCTCCAACCAATACGAATCCAATCACAATTTTCCTTCATCCATTTTGTCAAACCAACATTTTCAATGGGATCATGGATAACGACTTCTTGGACGTTTTGCAACAATTCTACTCGTTGAATCAATAATTTGCTAAACTTTTTATCTGAATTAACAATTGTGTATTTGCAATTGAACCAAGTACAAAAATCAGTTTTCACTAGTAAAGGAGACAGAATCTCTCCTTCGCTAGTTAAATAAATTGACCGGTATAAACTTTTGATTGCAATTTCATTTAACTGCTTATTGATCAACAGAACTGTAATTTTGTTTTTCTGATTAAGATGACTCAAGATCAAGTATAACACTTCATCAGGTAAGCAAAGGAGTGACGACTCGGATTTGGGTGGTATGCTTTGAGTTTTCATGTCCAGATAAAGTTTATCTGAAGTGTAGTAAATTTCTTTCAAATTTACAAATTTAAAGGTGATCTAGTTGGATTTGTGTAACTGTATGATCCGCATTGTTATTGTTGTCTCTTGCAGATTTTCTACATGCATGAGCTGCCAATTCGCAAACAGTGCCCTGATATCAATTTAACACAAATTGTAATAACCAACATGGAGTTGAATTCATTTGCTTCAGAATTGCTTATAATTAGATAGAATTACTACTTAGATCTGGTGGATTGTTCTTTTTTTTTGTTGTTTGCCGATTCAAACATGTTTGTTCTCCATGCAACTACAATCATCATTTTAAACCTTAATCCAGGGCTAAGGTATAATTACGTTGCCGATTCTCTTACTCTAATTTATTCTAATATACAGGCTTTACAAATAAATTACCAAATCTTTTTAATCAAACTTAATTTTGGTGGCCTTTTTGGTCATGTCAACATCTTTAAAGAATGCACCATAAGCATTATGGGTCTTTTTCTTGGTATGACCACCGAATTTCAATAATTCATCAGGCACAGGTTGATTAGCTGATCTTAAAACATTACATAATGCACCACTCAAATGCTTTTCTTCTTCAGTGAATAAAGTATGAGCAATACCGGTTTGACCTGCTCTACCAGTTCTACCAATTCTATGCACATAATCTTCAACAGTTAAGGGGAATGTCAAGTTGATAACAACCTTAACGTTAGGAATATCTAACCCTCTAGCAGCAACATCAGTAGCTAATAATAAACTTGATTCTCCAGATTTAAAAGCACCCAAAGCTTGGGTTCTTTGTTGTTGAGATAAATCTCCGTGGATTGCAGCAACGCGATAGTTATTTCTCTTTAATAACATTTCTATTCTTCCAGCTTCCTTTTTGTATAATGCAAAGATTAAGATCTTGTCATCTTTATGACTACCAGATTGATATTTACGTAACAAGTTCAACAAGATCTTTTCCTTGTCAAATCTTTGAACAACTTCGACAATTTGAGTAATTCTCTTGTTAGCACTTAATTCATCACGATCACCAATACTTACTTTAGCTGGGGTCTTCATGAATGTATTGGCCAATTCTCTAACTTCCTTGGGCCAGGTAGCAGTAAACATCAAAGTTTGTCTGGATTCGGCCTTGGTATTACCAATGATTGCTTTGATATCTTCTTCAAACCCCTTTTCCAACATTCTATCAGCTTCATCCAAGACCAAGTAATCGATGTCACTCAAATCAACAGCTCCATCATTGATTAAGTCTAATAATCTACCTGGAGTTGCAACGACAACATTGGCATTACGTAACTTCTTGATTTGGTCATCCTTGGAAACACCACCATAGATTGCAACACAGTTAATTGAGGTATTTGCAGTCAAGTCAACTAAATTGTCATAGATTTGTAATGCCAATTCTCTGGTTGGTGAGATACATAATACTCTTAATCCAGTTTTATTTAATGTGATGATGTTGTTGATAGCTGGAACACCAAAGGCAAAGGTCTTACCTGAACCAGTTTCAGCAACACCAATAACATCTTTACCACTCAATAAGTATGGCCAAGCAACGGATTGAATAGGGGTTGGCTTAGGGAATTTGGAAATAACTTTCTGTATTTTTTCATTCAATTCAATTTGAGAAAACGATAATAATGGTCTGAGATTTAAGTTGAATGGGTCTTCAATGGTGACTTCATTAGTGGCTAAAAAGGAGTCGATTTCGGATTGCGGTAAGTCAGTTAAAGTGGATGATTGAGTGTAACCTACCGAGGCTTGAGCTTCTCCACTGATAGTGGTGGTTACTTTACTCTTCTTTTCCTTCTTTTCTTTCTTATCCTTCTTTTCTTTCTTATCCTTCTTGTCCTTCTTTTCCTTCTTTTCCTTCTTGTCCTTCTTGTCCTTCTTGTCCTTCTTGTCCTTCTTGTCCTTCTTGTCCTTCTTGTCCTTCTTGTCCTTCTTGTCCTTCTTGTCCTTCTTCTCTTTCTTTTCTTTCTTTTCAGACTTGCTCAACTTGACATCTCTTTCAGCAACATCTTCACCATCTTCTTCGTACTTTCTCTTCTTATCCTTTTGATCTTTGGCCATGTTTGCTTTATTAAAAAAAGTAATAATTAACTGAAAAATTAATACTTTATTCTTATTGTATAGGAAAATTTTTTATAGTAGCGAAAAAAAACGTTTCTTTTGGAGGGGTCAGATAATGAGCCGCACAATGAGGTTCGATATCGCGATTTTAATTGAGACATATAAGGAAGGCTCTTTGCGTCGGAGCAGAAGTTGTTGACACCTTACTAACTCTTTAGTGGTACCTTTATCCAATAACCATTATTGTAGAGGCAGCCACTTTGATGTTAATTTAGTTGCAATTGGTAGCGTGGTCACTAATCTTTATAGGACAACGTGTAGTTGTTCCAGTCTTATTTAATCACAATTGGAATAGGTATTGCTTGTGTTGAGTTGTTTCACACCGTCTCAAGTTAGTAATCGCCTACTTAACGTGTTATCAGGGTCTGCACAAGTCTCTGTTTAAATATTGGGTTGCCTCAGTAATAAAACAATTATAATAAATCTTCAACACCTCAAAGAAAAGGTTAGTTGATACATGTTCTAGTAATTCCATGACAATATAGAATATATTTTGATTGTTGGTGTGATGGAAACTAGATCTATCAAAGTTGGTTGCAAAACATGTTGCTAATACTTGACGAAATTTAGCGAATATTTTAAGAATCCACAATCAGCTATCTAAAACTCTTGACAAACATACCACTAAAAGTATCTTTCATAAAATATATGACCTGATTTGAACTAACCACTACTTTCCTTAATGAATATAAAGACAATTTCTTATTCTGGTTAATTATCACCATGTAGGTTGGCTAATTAGTCGGTATCAAATATACGCAACATTGAAAACTCACTGCATTCACTAAGTAAATATCTGCACTAAGATTTTTTTTTTTTTTCACCTGATTCACAATTGACCACGTCAATTCCTTAGACCCAAGTCGCACCTGTTTCACACTATCTGAAAAAAAAGTTCACCCACCAACGTAACAACAGACCCTCCGCGTTCTTTATCAAACTAGCATTTAACAAACCACCATAGAAGTTCAATGTCTGGTAGAAGAAGAGCATATCCACAGCCTCAATATGCTGCAGGACAACCTGCCGCTATGGCTTCTCCTCAAATGAACCAGTTCCAACAACCGCAACAACAACAACAACAATATGATCCGCGTGGATCTTTTGGCGCCGTTGGCGCAGCAGCAACAGCAGCCCAAGCTGCCGCTTATGGGATTGACCAGGCCCAGCAACAATTCCAACAAATGAATATTGGAGGAGGAGGTGCTGCAGCACCTGGAATTCAATCTCCAAATTCCGGAGCAGCCCAAGTGAATCAATTCCAATACCAACAACAATACCAACAACCTCAACAATCTCCAGCTGGTCAAACTCCTCAGCTCGGCTATGATCCATATGGTGCCCAACCACAAGCATCCACTGGATATGGCCTGGCTTATGGCTCGGTTGGAGGACAAGCTGGTGGTTCTGCTGCTATTCCCTTGAATCAATTATACACCACAGATTTGTCTAGGGAATTACCACCACCAATTTCTGACTTATCATTACCTCCACCACCTTTGGTATTACCTGCCAATTCCACCGTGATTCCTAATTCAGAAACTGCCAATGCTAACCCTGATTATTTCAGAACCACTTTGAATGTTGTTCCAACCAACAGTGGTCTTTTGAAGAAGTCTAAATTGCCATTGGCTTTGATTGTGAAGCCATACAATGCCCTTAAGATTGATGTTGAAAATATTCCAGTTACATGTGATACCACCATCAGTAGATGTCGTCGTTGTCGAGGTTACATCAATCCATTCATCACTTTTGCTGAAAACGGAAGAAGATGGAGATGTAACTTTTGTAACTTATTGAATGATATTCCTGCCGCATTCGAATACGACGAAATTAGTGGAACCAGCAAGAACAAATATGATCGTGTTGAATTGAACCATTCAGTCGTGGAATTTATTGCTCCTAAGGAATATATGGCCAGAGCTCCTCAACCTGTTGTTTACACATTTATAATTGATGTCAGTGTTCATGCCGTCCAAAGCGGATTAACTGGAACTATCACCAGAACTATTTTAGAAAGCTTGGATCGTATTCCTAATCAAAACAAAACCGCCAAAGTTGCCTTTATTGGGGTTGATTCAAACTTGCACTATTTCAGATTTAATGAAGGATTAGACGGAACTGAATTGATGATTGTCAGTGACATTGAAGAACCATTCTTGCCATCACCATCTGGATTATTGGTTAATTTAGATGAAAATAGACAAGCTATTGAAAAGTTATTGTTGGATTTCCCTACTTACTTTGAAGATACTGCCAATCAAGGATTTGCTCTTGGTCCTGCATTGAAGGCCGGTCATAAGATGATTAGTAACATTGGTGGTAAATTGGTTTGTTTTGGTGCTACTTTACCTAATATTGGTGAAGGTAAATTAAGCGTCCGTGACGAAGTTGGAGTTTCTGGTAAAGCTAAGGAAGCCAAGGCTCTTTTAACTGCAGCTGATAGTTTCTATAAATCTTTTGCCGTTACTTGTAACTCATGTCAAATCACAGTTGATTTGTTCTTGACATCTCTGGCTTACCAGGATGTGGCTACTTTATCCAACTTACCTAGATTTACTGCTGGTCAAACTCATTTCTATCCTGCTTGGACCAGTGCCAAATTTGAAGATGTTACTAAATTGTCCAAAGAAGTTGGCGATCATTTATCGCAAGATATTGCTTTGGAAGCAGTCTTGAGAGTGCGTGGATCCACTGGAGTAAGAATGACTTCATTCTATGGTAACTTCTTCAACAGATCTTCTGATTTATGCTCATTCCCTACTTTCCCAAGAGATCAATCGTATTGTATTGAAATGAGTATTGAAGAAAACCTTACCAAACCAGTAATTTACTTCCAAGCTGCAGTATTACATTCTACTTGTTTTGGTGAAAGAAGAATTAGAGTTATGAATCTTGCTGTTCCAACTTCTCCAAGATTGAATGATGTTTATGCATCTGCCGATCAATTGGCAATTACTAATTACTACACCCACAAGGCTATTGAAAAGGCTTTGAGTTCTTCATTGCCCGAAGCAAGAGAATATTTGATTAGCAGAGTAGTTGACGTTCTTAATGTATACAAGAAGGAATTAGTGGCTGGAAATGTTTCAGGTGCTTCACCATTACAAATATCTACTAATTTGAGAATGTTACCATTACTTTTGTTTACCTTGACCAAACATTTAGGGTTCAGAGCCGACCGTGTTCCAAGTGATCATCGTGCTGCCGCCTTGAATAACTTAGGATCGTTGCCAATTCCGGAATTAATCAAGTCCATCTACCCTTCAGTCTATTCATTGCATAACATGCCTGACGAAGCTGGATTACCTGAAGTAATAACGACTGAAGATGGACAAGAACAGGCCGTGGGTGATATCGTTTTACCAGACCCAATCAACGACTCCAAGGCATCTTGGGAAAACTATGGATTGTATTTGATTGATAATGGTGCCGAATTATTCCTTTGGGTTTCCGGAAATGTTGTTCCAGGATTAGTTCAAGATTTGTTTGGTACTGATAACTTATATGCTATCCCTACTGGTAAGACTGAATTACCAGAATTTAGTTTCGAAGAATCAGAATTCAATTTTAGAGTCAGAGCCATTCTTAACAAAATTAGAGACAATAAGGATTCTATTGTTTGGAAGAATCTTTATGTGGTTGTGGGTGGATCTTCCAATGAACCTATTGAAATCAGTCAACAGAGGGACTTGATGGCATTAAGAATGTGGGCTTCAAGTTGTTTGGTGGAAGATAAGAGTGCTACCGAACCTTCATATAGAGATTTCTTGACCAGTTTGAAAACAAAAGTTAGTCAATAGTTTTTTCTTTTTTACATTTTCTTTGTTATATAAATATATAAATATATTCATTCTAATTTCTATCTATTTATGAGTGAAAGTGAATCCAAAATTAATCGTTTTTCATATTCTGTAGTGAACATTTCCAGTACGGCATTCTTTAATCCTTCATAGTATACTTTCAAGTTCTTTGCAATTGGTCCCACTCTAGCCATGGTTGATGCAATATTCTTTTTGAACTTATGATTCAATTTTGACCAATATAAAGCATAAAGTAATTCAACTTTATAGTGAGTCAACACAACATGCAAGATTGTTTGATCGTCATCCATTTTCCAACCAGAAAGGATGGCATTCAATTTCTCAAAATATTCCTGGGATGTATCCTTGACTTCTTTCACTATGGTGGTGAAGTTACGTGGCGATTGTAACGCACGAGAAAGAAGGTTGACATTGATAGTCACCTGTCTAGTTATTGTTGCCTTATCGAAGATTAAAAAGAATTCGTTTGGATCCAAAATGTATAACGCTTGTAAGTTGTTGTTTAATTTCCTGTTCCCCGGATGGAGAGACGTCAAATGAGAGAATTCATTGTTGATTAACTGAGAACATTGATTAATTAAGGATGCTCTTCGAGCAGCTTCAATGCCTTGGTAGTCGCGGATAAGCTTCACCAGTAAGATATGCGTACTTGTATCTTCTCCAGAAGCACTCTGATACAATTGTCTGATTTGAGAATGGAGTTTTGCCAAGCGAACAACATCCCCGTGGGAATCGTCGACTGAGAAGTTATCACCTTGTTCCAACTCCTCAAGTTGTTGTACAAGTACAATGAAGAAACTGGCACTGCGTAGCAAGTTTAAAGTTTGGTGAATTCTCTTGAGAGCATTGTTTAATTTAACTGCTTCATCATATGGTTGGATAATTTCTTGTTTGATTCTGTTGAAGGGTGCATTTATTCGTTCGAGTTGGGGATTAATCTGGTCAATGAGGATCGATTGGAGATTTTCAATGGTAGAGAAGTTAATCACAAGATCTTCATAGTTGTTTGAAGCAATCGAACTCATACGTTTGTTACATTCGTCCACATCAAACTTAAGTTTCTTGATTGGCGTGGCTAGATCGAGTTCGGTGTTGTCACTACCGTTAGTGCCTAGTAGAAGCTCATTAGCAAAATGAATTGGATCGAAATCTGGTTCTAGAAATGCTTCAAAGTCCTCAAGAACGTTAGATGTAGCAGTTGTCATTGCGTGGATATGTTTCTCGTTGTGTTTGTGGGTTTTTCACACACACTAATTTCTAACGTGTACTGTTTTTTTTTGTTGGTTCTGTTGACACAGTTTGGTTAATACCAGCTTACGTTCATTATTTATACACCTACAACTACTCAGTTCTATATTTTGGTTTCGATGGAGCTGCTGGTTTGTCTTTGGAGAATGCTTTATTGCCACCGGCTGCAGCCTTAAGTTTCTGTTTCTTGCCCCCACGCTTGTGAAACATTTTCTTCTTCAACTTCTTTTGCTCAACCTGCAACTTCTTTGCCAATTGGACACGCTCGATTCTCCGTTCCCTGCAAGCAATCTTGGTTTCTCTTTTCTTCTTTCCTGGCCGTGATTTTCGTTTTTCTTTATTTTTCACGAGTTCTATTTGGGCGTTGTACTTGTTCAAATCAATACATTTCCATGGTCTAGGATCATCACTAGGATATACTGGTTCTATTATTGATTTGGCATCCAACGCACATACTTCAAACTGTCGACTTTGATCTGGGGTATATTTTGCAATATAGTATGATTCGGGACGTTCTTGGTTGATAACTTCTTCTTCTGCCTCCTTGAGCGAAACCTTCATTGGTTGTTTTGGTTCATCTGCAGCTTTGCCGTCAGTGCTACTACCACCACCACCACCACCACCCATTGAAAACAACGGAAACTCAAACTCTTCTTCTTCTTGTTTCTCCACCTTTGATTCATTTTCTTCTACTTCTTGAGGCTCACTTGTGTCAACTTCAATGAATTCAAAATCAAGGTTTGGTGCAGAATATCCTAGTGATTCTGTTTCGGATTCGTACTCAGACTGCGAGTCATCATATAGATGTGACCTACTTATTCTAAAGCCATGTTAGTACTAATCCTCCAATTCAAATATCATATAGCATCTACATACTTTTGTTCCTTCATGCTGTCCAACGTTTATATACTCATCTCTTAAAGTACATTGACATTTTATTTTTCAGCCATAATAATTTTTTTTTTCTTTAAACAAATTATAATAATTCAAATCTAAAAGAACTAAAGAAATAACTAATAATGCGTAGGATATCTAAAATAATATATACAGGCAATAAACCTAGAGTGTCGCTACCATAATGGTCTCGTGGATGCACTGACTGTCCGTAAAATGTCCTTTCTGAAACGTAAATGATGTGGAATAAACTTATCAATCGAATGTGCATCAACAATAACATCTAGTTCACCATCCTCGAGGGTCATGTTCTTCTTATCCACAATCTCGTCAAATGCGCACAATGAATCCAACAACACTTCAATTGTTCTCGAATGCAGCTCTGACCATATACTGTTGTAAACCAAGGGATACTTTTGTTCAAGTACAGGCATTATATCGTCCAATTTCATGAAATGAAGCAATAAGTTTTGAAACTGGTCATGTCCCTCTCTTCTCAATTCAAGGATTGATTTTTCACCTTTTGGATCAAGTCCAATAAACTTGAAGAAAAGCTTCCAAATCTTGGATTTGTTAGCCAAATCAATCACCAGACTGGGTGGCACTAACTTATGAATCTCATTCATCAAGGTTGATGTCAATAACGAAATCTGCAAATCAACCACATATTTTTCGCCATCAATGCAAAACACATATAATGGCAGGTACTTATAGATTGTCGTCTTGGTTGGGTTTGAATTAAACTGCTTCAAGTTCCTTAATCCTATAGGGTAATGTTCAATGGTTTTTGCTCTTCTCATAGCAACCCGTTGCTTTTGTACTTCCATAGACAATTTCTCAGCCTCTTTGATCAATCGGTTACGTTCTTCTTCCTTCAATTGAGCAATACGCTTCTCTTCTTCAATACGTTTTTCTTCTTCCTCCTTTCGTTTCTGTTCCTTTTCTCGCTCTGATTTGAGAAACATTTCACGTCTGGCCCGTTTCTTAGCCTCGACCTTTTCTTGCCAGATTCGTGCTTCTTCAGCATTCTTAATCTTTAATTCTTCCTGTTCTTTAGTCAATGGTGGAGGTGAAAGAGATATTGTTTTAATCTTTTGAAGTTGTGGAGGAGGCGAGATAGTAGCGTTACGGGAACTGGAATGTTCTTCAGCTTCTTCTTCTGGTTTAAACATTTCTGGAGTCTTAAGTCGTCCTTCCGATTTAACTCTTTTGATTGAGGAGTGCATTTCATCAATGCTTCGTTTACGTTTGATTTCGCGTGATCGTTTAGGTGTGATAGGTTCCATTTCTTCTTCATCAATATCTTGCATTGAATGGTCACTGAATTCATCATCTTCTTCCTCATCTTGTTCATACTCTTCTTCCTTTGGCTTTTCCTTTGTTTCCGCGTTTTCTTGCACTTGTGGTTCACCCCCCTTCAAATCTTTCTCAATTGTTTCTTCTTCCTCATCATCTTCGGATGAAACTTGAACCGAAGGAGCACGGGAACTAGCTCTTGAAGCTACAGCAGAACCAATTCTTGAACCAAGCCTTGATGCGACACTCACAGCAAGCGCATTACCACCTCTCTTTTCAACATACTTGGCAATAAGCTCAACTTCTTTAGGATCAAAATGAACTGACCGCAGAGCAATATCCAACGCATTGAAGCCATCTTTTCTTCTGGTACGTAACGGATCAGCATCCTTAGACAAAAGCAGCTCGACGACGTCCAAATGCCCTCTACCGACACTAGCCAAAAGTGCTGTTACCCCACATGGACTCTCAGTATCTATATCATAGGGAGTTGGGTTCAAGCCGAGAATAATATCCACCAACTCAGCGTGGCCATTACGTGCCGCAAGAATAAGGATATCCGGTTTACTATCAAGGCTGTTTCCCAGGACGAAATAATTGGCAGTGATTTCCTTGGCGTTTTCAGCAGCATACTTGTAGATTCCCTTCTTCTTAATGAGGTCAGCAAAGTAATTATCATTAGGATCTTCAACAATTTCCTTGGGCGTCGATGGACTTGTACCTTTACCAACACTAGCCTGTGCTTTCTTGTTGAATTCAGTGACTGCTTCCTCCAATACTTTAATTGTATCATCATATCCTTCTTCATCAGCATGTTCATTGTATATCTTGGTCAAGGCAGTAAATCCATCAAGATTGAAAATCGTGGGGTCAGCACCATGTTTCAACAAAATCTTGACTGTTTCCAAATGTTTATTTTCCGCAGCGTCAATAAGCGGAGTTTCACAATCACCAACTTCATCAGCCTTGGCATTGACATTGGCTCCATGTTCAATCAAATATGCCACAATATCAGCATGACCCTCCAATGCAGCTTCATGAAGACAAGTGAAACCGCAGAAATCCTTTTCATTGGCACTAGCTCCACGACTTATGTAATCAATAACATCTTCGAGATTACCCTTTTTACAAGCTCGCTGAAGGAGAGTACGACCGCCAGCATCTCGCTTGATTTTGTATGGTTTCCTGGATTTAGATCCACGAGATACACTTGAACGTTTTGATTTAGGTTCTTCTTCTTCTTCCTCCTCCTCCTCCTCATCTTCTTCTTCATCTGATTGATAATTATTTGCATCTACGCCTGCTCGCTTCAATTTGTGACGTTCTTCATCATAATCCTTTTTACGGATGAGTCTACGAACCTTATTGGTACGAGGAGAACTTGTAGAAATAACAGTTTCTGCTTCGGATAATTCGTTATCCAGATCTGCTTGATCGTCATCAGAATTCTCTTTAATATCCATATCCTTTTGTTCTTCATTCTCCTCCTTTGTTTCTTCAGCTAGTTTTTCCTTTTCCTTGCTAGTTACTTTTTCATCATGCTTCTCTTCTGTCTGTTCTTCTTTTATGACCACCTTGGAACTAGCCAATTCTTCAAAGTTAAAATCGGTGTCGGTGCCCGTTTCAATAGGCGACAATACAGATACATCAAGGAATGATTCAGATCTCGTCAACTTTATTTCAGGTTTGGCTTTATCATCTTTGGACTCTTCTTTATTTTGCTCAATTTTGTTAAAGTTGATTGATTTCTCAACTTCTGGCTCATCATTCTCTTTCTTATCATCCGATTTTTCAATTATAGGTTCGCTGGTAGCGTCTTCATCCTCAACCAGGTTCAGATTTTCTGACACACCATCATTTGCTTGTTGTTCTTGCTTCTCTTTCTCCACTTTAGGTTCAGTCTTATCATCAAGTTTCTGTTCTTCGGTTCGAGGTGACAACTCCTTTTCGATTACAGGTTCCAACTGTGATACTTGTTCATCCTTCTTCTCCTTTGATGACTTCATATAATCCATAAAGGAAGTCTTCTTGGTGGCTGGTTCATTCTTAGTTTCTTCTTGTTTAGGAACAGCAGGTTCCTCAATTGGCTTTTCTTCATCTCGTGATACCCTTCTTACCTCATTTGAAGAAACTGAAGACTTGCGTGATATTGATTCGCCATAGGAGCTTTTTCTAGACAAGTCAACTGAATCTCGTCTTGAGTTTGGTCCAGTACTGTCATAACTAGATTTTCGTGATTGGTTAGCTGAATTTATGTCTTTGACCGTTGGTTTAGTTTGAGGAATTTCTGGTTTTGATCTTCGTTCGTCACGATAAGAAGTGCTCACCGAGGGTGTGGTTGGTGTGTTTACCGACGATAGGGTTGATGGAGACTCAGTATTAGACTTGCTTCTTCGTTCATCTGCATAGTTGGTTGATACAATAGGTCCTGTAGGAGTCGACGCGGCGGCGGTAGGTGTGGTATTGGTATCTATTGGATCTAACCGTTTCAAACTAGAATAGGAACTAGCTTTAGAAGAATACTTTTGCCCATGTGATGACGAATGATGCGAATATTTCAGGTATGAATCATACCTATCTCTTCTTCTTCCACCGTAGTAACTCAGTCTGTCACGGTCACGGTCGCGGTCACGGTCGCGGTCACGGTCACGGTCACGGTCTTGACCATTAGGGTTATTTGATGGTGTACTTCGACTATAGTAAGATCCTCCAGTTGATGCACCCGACTTCAGAACATAGGATGATCCAGAATTATCGTATCGTGATCGATATCCGCTGTTGGAGCCATTACCTCTATCTCGTTGTTCTCCACCACCATAATAATCTCGTCTTCCTAAATAGCCAGTGGGTGATTTGCCGCCACCACCGCCACTACTGCCACTGGCACCAGTTGCATCTCTTACAGTTCCAGAGTATGAATTTCCTTTAGATGTGGATGTATTGGCCGATGATGATGAGCCTGATGCAGCAGACGATTGTTGCTGCTGCTGTTGTTGTTGTTGGGCATTGTTATCTTTCTTATATCGCGACGTATAGTAATGATTATTTCGATTGTATGACATCGCTATTTAAACACACTGTATAAGGGAAATGGAAACCTGATGTATTTGGTTATTATCAGTGTGTTGCTCAATCGTAGTAACTATAAACTCGTTGCTGTTTGTTGTTGTCTGACGGTTTTACCCCCCTTTGATTAAAATTTTTCTTTTGTAAATTTTTTTGTTATGGTGTTTTTTTTTGTTAATGACCAGCCATTCTGCAGTAACAGAAATTGTTGCAAAAGTAAATGACAGTTGTTTTTGTATATACACTAGAAATACATATTGTAATAGCAGTAGAGGTCAAAATATACTTAAATAGAGGAAAAAGTGAAAGTAATACCTTAAGCAACTTTGTTGGGTTAAGAGGGGTAATTGCAGTGTCAACCGTTCACTTGAGCACTTTAAATCGGAGGAGGAGGAGGAGGAGGAGGAGGAGGAGGAGGAGGAGACAAATTTAACATTCAATGCTAAATAGCCATTTCTACAAACTACTTCTAGTAACTTTCATATCTTCTCTAGTTATGCATCGATCATTACTAATACAATTACACTATATGTTTTTCTATATCTGCATTGTTGATGGTGAGTCAAACAACAATGCACTAGTGGTCACTTCCTTATGACATAGTGAATCGCCAAACTCCATTAACTCGAAAATCAAGCTCATATTAGGACATATTCGATCACTTCCATCGATGATATTTCCACCATTCCTCACCAGCATACACACTTCGCGGTTGCCGTTTGTTCCATTCTTTAATAACTCATAGGCATCATTGACACCGAGTGTGAACTTCATCATGTAGTAGGCAACTACAACACATGCTGAACGACTCACTCCACACTGACAATGGATCAAGATCTTGTATCCCATGTTATAAAAGGCATCTATTTTGGTCATGATAGGCGCAAGGTCCTTCAGAATTTGTGAGGTATGTAACCATGGCAAGTACAAATACTCTCGTTTTCCAGGAATTGGATTTAGATAATTTGCACTCATATCCTTACATTCTTTCGCAACATTTATCACGAGGTTGTATTCGTTTATGTCAATCTGTTTCTTACTCGTTAGCGGATCAGAATACAAAAATATGCGGTTGTTGAGAACACTTCGAGGGCCATTGGGGTATGCATCCAACAGATTTGATTCTTGTAATTCCTCAGGGATCATTTCTTTATATGTGGTGAATAGACTTTGTGGAGTATTGGAAAGCATGGAATCGTTATAATCTTCATTTGTGGTCATGGATACGCGGGCCAATGCATCAGTTAAACTTCTTGGTGTTTCTGGAGAAATTCCATGTAGTTTTAAGGGGCTTGTTAAACGTGGTGGTGTAGATAATGGAGATCCTTTCATTCCTGGAGCAAAAGGTGGTGCTGGTGGTGGTTGGACGGTGGAATGGTCAAAACTGTCATTGCGGTTGGCCATAAACACGTTCATATCTAGTGATTGAGACAGGGAGCGGTTGCTGTGTCGTTTATTGGGCCCACTATGTCTTCTTTGATCAAGTTGTGGAGGTGAAGAAGGTGGGAATCTATACTCGGCTGGTGTGTTTGTATGTACTTGGGGATTCAATGCGGGAGGCATAGTTGGAGTCTGGGTAACTAATGGGGTGGTCATATCGTCATGGAATGGTCTCAACGTGACTGCACTTGTTCCATCGGGTCGTGGATAATCTGGGATGGACAAGGATAGTTTTGTAAGAGGGCCCGCTGTTATTATCGGACCGTGTTTGGTAATCGATGGAGAAGACATGAATGACGAGGACGATGATGCTGAAGAATTTGAACTGTGTAAATTTAACGATAGATTCTTCATGTTCCTATTCAGACTTAGTGAGCTTGGTTTGCGTGAGTGCTTTGGTGAATAATTGACTAATCCGATTGGTGGTGGTGATGTCAACAGCGACGATGCTGACGATGAGGAGTGACTATGGTAGTCATATTTTAGTTGTGGCGGTTGTGGTTGCAGTTGCTGGGCTGTGTTGGGATGATGTGTGGAAGTATAGTTGGCATGTAGCTTGGTTCTGGTTTGTTGTGGGTCGTATGGACCCGGTACTGCCATTCCTGAAACGTGTATGATATTATTAAATGCAGATTTTGTAGGCGACGTTGCTGTAGCTGTAGCTGAGGCTATAGGTCTATTGGTTGATGATAACATAAAGTGACTGGTCATAGTTGTGGTTCAACCTGTTCTCTCTCTCTGTCTCTCTTTCTTTCTTTCTTTCTTTCTCTCTTTCGTGTTGTTGTCGTGTTGTTGTCCTGCTCTGGTGTTTCAGTGTTGGTATTGTTGTAGTCAATTGCTGCTTAGCTAGATGAAACGACTCCTCCCACGAACTATTGGTCCAGATTATGTCCTTTGCACTTGACTGACTTGGTAAAAGAAACCAGTTATAAAGACCCCTTCAAAATTTTAAATGAGATTTTTAAAAGGCCCCACAGAGAATAAAAAAGGGAATCTTACTATATGAAACTAAATATTCTCTTGTTACAACAATGAGTGCACCAAATTTTTACCTTTTTTTTTAGATTCTTTTGCAGCGATTCCTCAGGGCTTAGGGCAAGAAGACACGGTTTCGAAACGCACAGTCTTAGATTTGATTCCAACCGTTATGGGTGTAGATTAATGTATGACAAGTAAAGGACCGATTCAAACTCAGTTGTGACGTACAACCGTCTTACTAATGGGATCTGGCTCCATATATATGATTGACACGTAAAAAAATATATTTCCCAGAAATTAATAAAAAAAAACGCACATCGGCGTTACTGTGTGAATGGGAATTTTAATCTAAAACAAAAAAATAAATTATTTCCCTAATCATAAATCTGAAACATATTTTTTCTTTTTTTTTTTTTATTTCTGTTATTTCCTAAAAAATATTACCTTATTTATCATTCGTTTTTAAGCGGTCACATGATCCGTTTCCTCAGCAACACACAATCGTGTACATTTTCTTGTGACGACATAATGACGTATCTTTTCTTTGATTATTTGCATGTTGTTGTCACGCCGCGTTTCAACAATTACGTCTTCAAACAGTTTCCAGGGGAATTATCCCCCTACGCGTATCTTTATCAATAACATCATCTAACCTTAATTCTATTCTCGTTCTAGTTTCTTCTACCGCAATCCATCGTCAAACAACAGGGTCGCATGTTTCTGCATAGAGCCGCGTTTCACGAGAAAATCTCCTTTATTTTAAGCGCCTCAACATTAAAGAACCCATCAAACTGTAAATCTAAACGCGACTAGATTTTTCTATTAATTGACAAATTCACATGATGTAACAAGATGCTATCTTTGGAGAACGATTGTGAAACTAACTACAGCAGTCAATCAATCAATCAATCAATCTGCACATTCATTCATTTCATATACACATTTTACTCTCATACATTCATACATAAAACCTTCTCTCCTTCCCCCCCTTTAATCATCAGGAGGACCAAACTCCCCTTCGAAAATAGTTGCACCTGCCTTGCGCCTATTCTCAATAATGACACATTCTTCCATCTCTAATATCACCAGGGCCAGTGGTCGATCAAACGGGTTAGGGCGTAACATCTTATTTACTAACCGATCCAAATTCATCAGATCACCACTAGTCAAGAATTCCGGCGCCCATGGTGGAATCAAATCACGAGCTGATGCTTTATTCAGCATACCGCTGGAACTACCCGTAGTTGCCGGAGTGCCGCTGGTGATTGCAGTGGCGGGCGGATTTAACTGTGTAGTGCTATTATTGACAGGATTCTGCGGTGGCATCGTAAATAAATTACTAGCTGATGAATTAATAGTTAGTGAATGCGTACTGCTGATATTTGTGGTTGAACTCAGCAAACAATGGTTTGATTCACCACCACAACCACCGGCGCTACTAGCATGGTGATGTAAAAACATCGAGATATTATCACTTGATAATTGTCCTGCATCACTTAAATCCCCACTTCGTAATTTTCTCCATGGAGTTCCATTGTCAGGTAAAATAATATTCGCAGCAATTTCCAAAATGATTAAACCAAGACAAAAAATGTCGGCAAAGGGGGTATAAATTTTATCATTGATCAATTCAGGGGCGATGTAATTCCGATCTCCTTCTAAATCAAAATCTTTCTCTAAAATGGGTAACTTGGTAGCCAATCCGAAATCTCCGATTTTTAGTGACCCTTCAAAAGTGATAAAAATATTAGCTGGTTTCAAATCTAAATGTAAATAATTCTTCAGATGTATGAATCGTAACCCTGAGAGAATTTCAATTAATATTTTCCAAATTCGGAACTCATCAATTCTATAATGCTTGTTCTCTTCCAAGAAATCAAACAAGGTACCACCTTCACAGAATTCAGTCATTATATAGTAATAATGATTGAAATCCCATGCTTCTATAAAGTAAACCAAATATTCCTTCCCCTCTTCTTCTTCCGATGCGCCATCTCCAGAGACGCTGGTCAACGCCCTTAAAGCATCAATTTCCCGTTGAATCGCCTTGCGTTCCAACTTGCCTGAAACGGGCCGTTTGCTTCGCTTAATAGCTAATTTTTGGTCCTGGATAATACATTCATAGGCAATGGAAAACTCACCAATACCAATAGTTTTAACATTCTTCATTCCAAATTTCTCAATCAAATGATCATCTATTTTAGAAGGCACTGGCAATTGAGGCATCTTTTCGTCCACATAAAGATCTTCAGTTTGAGTCAATTCTTGAGGATGATACTGCAAAGTGGTAGTGTCATCTTCGTCAATTGTAGTTTCATGATGTAAATTATGTTTCCCGGTTTGTTTTCCAGAGTTGCTCTTGAAAAATTGTAAATTAGTGGGAGTGGAAGGTTCATGATCACCATTACCATTGTCATTAGCAACATTAACCACTAAACTATTCTTACATCTGGTCAAAGGAGGGGTATAATTGATTTTATTAAACGGTTTGTTTGCTTGGTTATGACTTTTAGTGGGGGTTTCAGGGACACTAGTCATATCAATATCATTCAACTCTAGATCGAAATCATGATGGATGACATGATCAATTTGGGTAGTTTGTGGAATTCTGAAAAAGCTTGAGTTATTAAGGGTGCTATGTGCGCTGGCGTCATATGACTGGTTTCTTCCTACTTCAATTGAGTTGTCAGTATGCTCTTCTTCAATAATGGTGAATGATGAAGCGCGTTTGCCTGAGATAGTTTTATGGTTTGTATTCAACAACATTAATGGATTTCTTTTGATTGGTGTTTCCGGTGGTAATTTCCGATCAGGTATATGTTTTACATTGTTCTTTTTGATCAATCCCGAAGAATTGAATGCTGCTTGTAATGGTTTGACAAATTTATACGAGGGAAGCCTGTTTTCCTTATCATCGAATAACCTTGGGTTTAACTCGCTCGAAGGTTGAATTGTATGCATCTCTATAGGTTGTGGAAGGATGTGATTTGGCGACAGTAAATGCTTAAGTGGTTGCTCCTGGTAAATTGTAGCACTGTTACTAGATATTATAGACAATCCTGACGATTTCCTAGTTTTTGACGGACTATCAAAATCTAAATCATCATCATAATTTTCAAAATTTTGGGAAGACTGACACGGTATTTCCGCTGTTTCGACTCCAACAGCGGCAGCTGTCAATAACGGTGTTGAAGTGATTGGAGAATGGGTGGTGTATGGAGACTGGATAGTTTTTCTTAATTTCGTGGTCTTGGATTTATCAAATGAGAACCTTGGTTTCTCAGGAGTAGATATTCTAACTGGTCTATGAGGTGACATAATTGCATCTTTATTTGCATTCTTGAACATCTTGAACCCCTTGAGTTTAGATGGAGAGTCTGAAGACTGTCGTATTTCTTCATTTGCCGAGAATAATGATGTGGATGATGGATGTGCGGCGAATGTTCTACTGGAGGATGGTGATGGTGATTGACTGACTAGTTTATGGGGTCGTTTGAATTGGTTATTCTCTATAGGCGTTCTTGCGGCCCGGGGACTAGGTGTACCTTCGCGAAACCCTAGTGACAGAGTCTCGACATCAATGTTATCTATTTCTATTTGTGGTTGTATATTAGGACTGATAGTATGGATTCGTGGTGTAGATTTTACACTGATGGTGGAATCAATGGAAAGGTTAAAAAATTTGGATGATCGTTTCATAGATGATCCCGATGTTTTTGATGTGTCTTCTTGATTATGTCGTGGCGGAGTTGGTATATATTCATTAGTTATTCGTTTCAGTTTCAGTATATTCAAGGAAGGGTCATCATCATATTGTTGACCTTGTTCAATCATAAAGTCATCATCTTCTTCGTCGTTTTCCAAATCATCATCTGTTATTACATCATCAAGGTATGTATCAATACCATCGGCACTGTATAAGTCCTGTTTGACATTAAATGGGGGCGATTTATTTATAGTTTTCTTTCCTATCTCATCTTTAGAATCATCCAAGATTAAACTGTTGAACGATCGAGAAAATTGGGTATTGGTAAAGTATTCCAACAGACTGTTATTCATGGAAACTTGTGGTGAATTGTGTTCAGTTTTTTTGGCCCGCGATCGCGTGATTCGAGGATGGTGCTGTTGTTGTAGTGTAGGGTTGGCTGATACAATTGCATGGTTCAATTGAAGGTGATGATGTTTATTATTTTTGCTTGGTGTTGATGTTAGATTGGGTGTTGTTGTCTTTGTTGTTGTTGTTGTAGTTGTTGTGGATGATGACGATGCAGTCACAGCACCCGCTAATCCTTGCGGGCGCTGGTTAGTCATGGTAAAGTATATGTAAACCTATATGAAAACCTTTAGAATTTGGAGGCAAATGTATAAGGTGAAAGGTCACTTGTAGAACAATTGTAACTGAGTGAAACAACTGCAAGGGGAGTAAAATATGAAGAGATGAAAAATAAAAAGCCTTCGTACTGGTTGATTATTGAATAATCAGGAAAATGGGAAAGGCAACCAAAGAGCAACAGGGAAGAGCCTTTGTATTTTGCCAAGGGGGAGGGAGGGGTGTTGTGTTTTTCTGGTGTTTGTTTTTCATTTCCGCTGCACTAAAAAAAAAAAGTAAACAATCACGTAAAATTACGCGTAAAGTTTTAACTCAAATAGACAAGTTTCAAACCAATGTATTAGTTTTGAAGTTGTTTTCGACAAGGATGAAGTAGTTTGCTTGGCAAAGATAGATCAATGTCTACTATGGACTATATGGATCTCTCATGTTTAGTCTTACTTTACCTGTTTAACTTAGCAGTTCATCTAAGATTTATTTAGATCTTGGCGTGTTTTGTGTCACGCACATTCAACAAAGAAATAATTCCAACAATATAAAGCAACAATTAGAATGGTTAGAATCGTCAGAATAAGGGTTTACTTAAGTAATTACAAAATTACAATTATAGCCGTAGAAAATGGATTGTTGTTGTTTTGTCTATTGCAAGTTTTAATTTCATGCCCAACATATTCCAACGATAGAACAATAGATGGTCAGCTGATAATGGTAGAGTCAATTTCTGTATTGCCCATATTCAGTCATGCTCAGTTGCTATATTTATTTGGATTGTAGCTATTACTTCATGTTACTATATTAACTGCACAAGAGCCCTGGACGCAGACAAGAAGAAAGCGCGTTGCTTTTTAATTATTTTACTAAACTAGACAATAGACACCAAAACAACAATCGCTATCCTTATGCCCCTTAAATAGGCGGGAGTTTAATACTGAAAATATTGAGTAGCGAACAATACTAGTTTACAATACAGGTGCTAGAACCGACTTCGGAGGTATCCGAAAAAAAAAAATTTTCATAAAACAACTACGCGGTAGTTGATCATTTGACTATAATATATTATAAGATAAATACGATCAGGTCGATTAAAATCTTACTTATTCCAAGATATGGGGGAACATGGTAGAAAGTCTGCTTTCTCCTCGGATCTTGAAGTAAGGTGTGAAAAAACCTTGGTGTAGATTTTTTTTTTTACCAAGAACTTGGCAGTTTTATAGTGTGAGTGTGAATACGTAGTGCTAGTAGCTAGCTTGGTTTAATTAAGAAGTTAAAAAAAAGTATTATCCACTTATGATTAATCTCTGAAAATACAAGCGAAATAAGGTAAACAAGAAGTATTAGGGTCTCTGTTTTATTCAAGTGCTTATGCAAGATAAAGTACCAGATAAAGCAACTGATGAAGTAGATAACTTTGTCTCGGCTTTGTAGGTTTAAAAACAGACAACATAACAGCAGAACTAAAACAGCCACAAAAGATCCGATGTAGGTTTCCGATAGTTCGGGTCATTCCGAGAGTGAGAGTGTGGTTGCCTAAACAACCAGTTCGCATCGTGTTCGGATATAGCCACAAAAACTGTGAATGTAGTAGAGTAATTGATGTCTTAGTAATGTTTGCAATTTGATTGGCCAAGAAAATTAGTAATCACAGCAATTTCAGTGGCTTGCCGCGGGCGAAAAAAATATTTTGTCGTGCTGCATCACTTTGATCAATCAGATTAGAAAATGTCGCCAATTTAGGTTTCAGTTACGAACGAACCTAAAAGCTTAATTTTTGTGTGATAGAAAAACCTACATATTTATGATTTTAGCCGAAACCGACAGCCCTGGGTAAACTCATTCTATGTAGCTGTCGGGTGATCCGTCCGGGTCAACTTACTCTTTTACTTAACTGCAACATCCAGCTTGTTGTCTTCTTTTAGCGTCCTTTAATGACTTTTTATCAACATATACAAACTGACAGAAACGACGTGCAAGAAGTGTAGACACCAAAATCGCTCCAGTTTAGTCTGGTGAACATTGACGAATGTATCGTATCGATATGATGATACATGCCGCTAATTCAAGCCGATTGGTAACCTTGCTTCAACTTAATCTGGTTGAAACGTCCCAGATCTAGAATTAGCCGAGGACCGACCTATCAGGACGAGTAAATACAGAGCTACGCCTCTATTTCTAAACATGAAATGTAACTTGAAAAAAAAATAATGCCACTTCAAACAAGTCCGCCAGTTATTAGGAAATCATGCAGTAAAAATTAATGTAAAACAAGTTTATTAGAGGCCAGTAAAAAAAAAAAAAAAATAAAAAGAAAAAAAGAAAAGACTAGGAAACTTTATAAAGTAGCAAAATCAGAAAAATCCAATTTTTATTAACCATTCCCTTTAGAATTGGCTATTTGGCTCTTGATCAAGCACAAATACAGTCTGGTTTTAACATTAATACAATCTAACAATCCCCTGAACTAGCGAACGCGTTATTTTTTACAATTCAACAACAGCTAACGTAGCGATAGAACCACCTCATTGAAAATACTTAGTAATACAACTATACGTTCAATTTCAAATATATAACACTAACAAATATTACTTTTATATAACAAGGTAATATCTCACATAGTTGCAGCATCACCGTGACAAATCTACACACACTGGCAGTCGTTCCAAGTTTACTTTTAACCGTCTTCTGCTACATCTTATATACCAAGCCAATATCGTCAAATAGGCACTACATGCTTCTATAACAATTACACCCATCCAACCATACATTTAAAATCATGTCGAACACGGTTTCAGAAGACGCAGGTTCTATAAAGTCCGAGCCTACGCTAAATATTCCTGTACATAAAACCAACAACCAAGGACCTCGGTCCCCAGTACAGCGACAGCAAAACTCTCCACCTCAACAAAGCACACCTTCGCCCAATCTTCAAGGAGCTGTTTCTCCTAATTCATCGTCTGACGGCCAGCAGTGTTCGAATTGTGGCACAACAAAGACTCCCCTTTGGAGACGTGCACCAGACGGAAGTCTTATATGTAATGCCTGTGGGCTATACTTACGGTCAAATAACACCCATAGACCTGTGAATCTCAAACGACCTCCTAATATCATCCCAATACACAAAGAAGAGGAAGGTTCATGTAAGGGAGACGGACGTTGTAATGGTACTGGTGGGTCCGCTGCTTGTAAAGGGTGTCCTGCTTACAATAATCGAGTAGTGGTTGCTAAGAAGACGTTGGATAAGTCTCCTAAAAGTGAAACCACTACTACCAACAATGGCGGTGAAAATAAACGCAAGAGCCCGGATACAGCAAATGCAGGCGAAGATTCACTTGCCATTGCCTGTTTCAACTGTGGTACGACCATCACTCCACTATGGAGAAGGGACGACTCGGGGAATACTATTTGTAATGCATGTGGATTATTTTATCGATTGCATGGGTCGCATAGACCTATACGAATGAAGAGAACGACCATTAAACGAAGAAAAAGAAATATTCATCAAGCAGATAAAAGAGAAGGAAGTGAAGACGTCCACAGCGATGCTCAAACCCCTACATTGGCAAAACTGGAAATGATGTCGCCTGCTCTAGAACTAACACCAACACCACCACCATCTATAATTGGCAGACTCCCACCGCTCGATTACCCTAGACCACACTCAGCATTCCAAAGGCCAACCCCACCGCCACACTTTCAACAAGGTGCACCTGCACCCTTCCCCTCTCAGTCATTCTATCCACCTTACACTGGAGAAGGTAAAATCCCCAATGGACCAGGTCCGCTACCGGGGCCTTCTCCATTTGGCCACTTTTCCCAAATTGCAATGTTACCACCACCCTCGCTGCCTCAGGTTGCAACTAATTTCGAACAAATAAAACTTCCCGCATTAAAGCTTGATCTGAAATCTCCAGTTCCTAAACCAGAGGTCAAGGGAAAATGTTGCGACTCATGTAGCGGCAAGAAGAGCACCACTCCTTTAGCGATTGATTTCACATCAAGCTACAAACAAGAAAAGAAAGATACAGACAGTGGTATAGATAATAAGAGAAAAGCTGCATTGTCAATAGGTGGATTATTGAATGGTTAAGTTTTGTATATATAATTTAAATAAAATACAGCATAAGTTTCAACGAAGTGGCATTTTGTAGCAAGCAAAGAGTTTTTTAGTTGTTAGTTATTTCAAGTTAATTATAACTTTTATTTTGCATTTTTTTTATATGTAGAGCAATCCATAGAAGGAACTCGGTTAAAACATCTAGAAACAATCAAATCTTATTTCTTATTATGTTCCTGGTAGTCATAATAGAAGTGGCGATGAACCTTATTTATTGTTTTGAAAGACCAGGAGCAAGCTATACATACGAAAGGAAACTCCTTTATATGCATGATGTAATGGTCATTAAGCTCCTCGGCCAATCCAAAAACCCTAAAGCAAACATGGCAATAACTCCGATTATTGGCCTGCCACACTAGCAACTCTAGAGTTGGAACTGGAATCATGACTCGAACAGTATTCTTAGAATCGACATGACTACCAGCATGACAACGTACTTCTTCTAGTTCTAGATGTTCTTTCTTGCATTGATCAGATATACACCTGAACCCCCTGTTGACTTTTTCCCAGCAAAGGCCGTATATTAGCCAATCAGGTTCTTCTAAATTTGTAACTTGGGGGGATTATGAAGTGCACAACGATAAGAAAGGAGTCCGTGTCATTAAATACCCTAGCACAAATTGTACATTTAATTACTTTTTTCAGAACGCTTCTAGAAGCACAGCACTTTTGTTCAAACCTAATAGACACCTTAGTTTTGTCCCAAAACTGTTACTTGTAGATCAAACAGAATACCAGGGATCTTCTTTATAGAAGTGGAACGTTTTATAATACCACGACTAGAGAAGTTCTTTTGAACACGAATAGCACCCGAGCTGCTCTTCTGAACATTTGCAATCTCTGCTGCACCACGAGCGTTGTTTTGACAGATTCCATCTTCAATATCAGCACTGAAGCTCTCTTGAAAGATTTTCTCATTCCAGTACCAGCTCTAACAAAGATATTCTTATTTAATCTCCTCAGTATTTCCAAATCAGTGCTTTTCATGGTTGTCTTTAATGGCTAATTTCTCAAACTTGGGTCAAAGAATCTCTTGAGTTTCATTTAGTGCTAGTTGATTAGACATACTTTATTGATTTAATTTCTTTTGATATACCAATCTAAAGTAAAATAGTGGCAGACAAAGCAACAGCCAATACACCAAGGTTATTTTGACAGCCAAAGGTGTTAAGAAGTTCGTACAGTATTTATTTAAATAAGTAAAGACTGCGCTACCATAGAGTACATCCGGAAATCCCTCTAACTATCTAATATACAGTGACCAAATAATATCAATTCAAGAAACAAAGAGCCAGCAAGTAAGAAATTGGCCGTGTCTATAATTGTATAGCATTTCTTAATGATAAATATAGATAAAAAAAAAGTGATATGAATAATTGTTTAACTACGTACAAATTTTGTTCTGGCGGGTGCAAATAAAATTTTAAACTAGATAGAGTACTTCTTCTTTCTGCTATAATTTAGGGGGGGGGGGGAATATTATTTTCGTACCAGTGAGACAAAAATTGTTCCACCCCTAGAAGAAAGAAAGCTCTAGTTTCTTGTACGTCCTGGAAGGAACAAATTTATCGCACGGTACAAACATTTTTTTTTACCCTTCGCAGTACTGATTTTTGTAACACCGCACTAGTTTCAAATGCAAAAAAAAAATTAAAACGAAGACCGTGCCATGGGCAAAACAAATCACAACATTATTGCTGTGAATTACGAAAACCGATCACGTGATTTTATGCAATTGCAAAATATGAAAAATAAAATTGATTGTCTAAGATTATACATTGATATCTTGTGCTTTCTATTATACCAGCTGTTGGTTCTTACATACTTCATACAATTATCATGTCCGACTCTGCACCACAGATAGATAACTCACTCACACGTAAGGCAAAAGATATCGCTGCAGGATTTGTGGGAGGTGCTACCCAAGTGCTTATCGGGCAACCAGCAGATCTTGTCAAGATCCGACTCCAAACCACCAGCAACACCTCCTCACTCTCCATCATCAAGAACGTTATCAAAAATGAAGGAATATTTGCATTCTACAAGGGAACACTCCCACCGTTGTTTGGTGTTGGTGTTTGTGTATCACTTCAATTCTACGGGTTTCATGAAACCAAACGTCAATTGTTACAATATTCAGGCCAAGATAAATTGAATCTCTGGCCTCAGACTTATATTGCTGGTGCCATGGCTGGGGTGGTTAATACCCCTGTGGCTTCTCCGATTGAGCAATTACGTATTCTCTCGCAAGCATCAGAGAAGAAACTTTCACTTACAGAGACCGTCAAGAAGATATATGCAGAACATGGCGTTTGGAATGGGCTCTATAGAGGAACTGGAATCACCCTTATCCGTGAGATTCAAGCTTATGGTGTATGGTTCTTGACTTATGAAACCTTGATTTCCCAAATCATCGATTTGCAACATTACAAATCAAGAGATCAGATCCTGACTCCGGAATTGTTAGCCAGTGGTGCTCTCGCCGGGAATGCATTGTGGCTTTCTTCATACCCTATAGATGTGATCAAGTCTAATGTTCAAAGTGACAAGTTTGGAAAAGAGAGTAAGTTCTCGGGAAGCGCGATTAAGGCAGCTAGATATATTTATCTTAATCATGGATTATTGGGATTTTGGAGGGGTATTGTTCCTTGTTTACTTAGAGCAGTTCCATGTAGTGCTGGAACTTTCGCTAGTGTAGAGTTGGCTTTACGTCTAATGGGATAGATAGGGTATGCAATAGATAAACATACAATTTAGGGAGAATCATTCTTTCGAATAAAACTGTTGTTTCGATGCAATTTGGGTGTTGTAGGTGGGGTCAGAGTGATTTCTTCATATCTCACTGTGATTGATCCCACCTCTGAATCACTACGTTTCAAAACAGTAGGTTCAGCTTTTCTGTTGAGCCCCAAAACTCTCTTCACAACCAATAAAAGAACAGTACATACTGCTAATACTGTTGCTGCAATTATAAATACCAAACCAGGAGTTTGAATAAGTACGGAATATTTGTATATCGTCAAATAGCACACGGGCATAACCAACCCAAACAAATTCTTGAGTAATGCCATGGCACCAAACAATTCTCCGATCTTAGATTCTGGGTAAAATTTAACAATCAGAGAATTCAACGCTGGACTAATCAATGATCCAAATCCACAAAACACGGTAAACGCAAAGAAACTAATAGTGGTACTGGAAATAGAATATCCAAAGAATCCAATAACTTCACAGATTAACCCCAATAACGTCATTGAGAAATCGACCATATCAAATTGCTTTTTGAAAACCTTGAATCCGAAGCCATGTTGAAAGATCCGATGATTGATCACAGGTGAAAGTAGGATAAGTACAATGGCACGACTGGAACAACCAATGGCTAACAAGTGACCAATATCAGTTTGATCCCAACTATACCTGTAAATCCCATATAAAACATAGATCTCAGCAAATGAAATGGCAAGAGATCCCAACATGCAATCTATAAACACAAGTGAGAGAACGGCAATTCTGTCCTTCTTGATTCGATGTCTGTTCTGTGCAGGCACCATATCAGTCGGGAGGAGCAATAACTTAAGTGGCTTGAGAAAGTTTATGCTGTCGAGGAATCTGCTAGTCCAATGAACAGTCTCATGTTGCAGCATAATCAGTGAAGCACTGCTCAGAATGGACATTGTTCGAGATTTCCGTCTTGCTTTTTCAGATCTTGACTCCGGAAGAACAAATATAGCAACAATTAATACTATGAATAGTATTGTAACTTCAAATTTTAATGGAAGGAAATCGGACTTGGAAATAAGGACAACGGTGCTAGTTGGAGAAATCTTGGGCGACAAAGAAATTATGAGGTTCCCTACTAATGGACCAATACTCAACCCAAGAAACAACGATGCTATACTAATCCCCAAGGAGTAAATACGCTGGTGTGGCTCAACCACATCGGAAATATAACAATTGGCCAATGTTATCAAGGCAAGTATACCTCCACACAAATTCGTCAAGATCTCGCATGCAATCATTAATTTAAATTTCAAACTAGTGAAATGAGACATTAGCAAGAATTTGCAAGTTCTGCCTAGAAAGAAACAAAGAAGCATCAACACAACAAACAACTTTCTTCCAAATTGATCCGACAATGGAGCCACTTTCCCCAGAGCAATTAAGGTGATGATGGAGGACGAAATTGTGTAGCCCAATTGTAAATTAGACATAACTACTTGGGCGGATTCCTTGGTGCACTTCTCTTCACCCAAGTAGTTACATGCCAACTTCATTGTGATGATCTGACGAGTAGATTCCGCACTCGAATGGGCAAATGCAAGCAAAAACAATATACTGGCAATCATAACAACACTGGGACGTTTTAGCCAATGCATGGATTTGTTCAATGTTCTCTGTTCTCGCAACCAACGAACGTCTTCGTTGTCGTCGTCGTGGTCGTGAAGACTGTCCTCTTCAATTATAGCCTCATAGACGTCATTGGCTGAGTTCTCGAGCTCAACTGACGGGGTGATTGCCATAACTGCACTCATTCGCCTCTCATGGGGGATGAGCTGCTCTGTTTCAGACAGCGATCTTTCATCGGGCATAGTAATTTTAGGGTATATAAGAAAAAGCACAGAAATAGGAAATAATAGCAAACAGTTCTCCCCTTTTATATAATTTTCATTGAAGAAGCAATAAAAAAAACAACCCTTATCTGGGAATATGGTTAGTAACCCGCAGATATATTGTTTGGGCAGCCACGACAATGAAACTGTTGCCGTTCGTTGTGTATGTTTTTTTACCCCCCCAGAGAAGAAATTTTAAGCCACCGGAATTACCCAGCCACATAAAGCGGAGTTAATCACCAATGGTTACCCTCCCCCAGTAATTTTTTCATCGGGTCGGACACCAAGTACAACTTGTTCAGTTTCCGTCCTGACTCTATCTGACATGGAGAAGGATATAGGAACAAGCAGAATCGGTCGTAAGTGTTTCCTAATTCGGCAGGCCTCTTGGAAAACCATTACAAAATTAAATTACGAAGGGCTGCAAAAGACTAAATTTGAAAGATATTACTAATGTATTTCTAAGATTGCTATGCCGAACCTCCTTTCAAATTATTTCTCGGGATATGTCAGGAAATGATTCTTCTTCCGCGTAGCAAAAAATACCAATATTCATACTGATCTAATGATATTGACGGTTACCATATGTCGAATAGTGATACCAAGGCACTAGAATAAATAGAATCTTGTTCTATTTTGCGATCCACTTGGTATAGTTTCAATGGTCCCCAAAAGCTTAAAGCTTTGTAGATTGCAGCTTGCGGAAAAGACATTTTCCGTTTCATCGGTAGTAATATTGACATTGGAATTCGGCTTTGTCCAGGCTACTAAATCATTTTCTCATTCTGCATAAACAATGGTAACGTGGTTTCAAAAATGTAACCATTGAATCATAATGCAAAAACCTATAAAACAATATCAATACCAGTTGAACCTTTCTAGAGGTTTATTAGTAAGGTATTGTCATGTGATTGTGTGCACGTGATGTATTTGTCACGTTCTACATCCTCAAATTCCACCTCTCTTTTTTTTCTAAGGCGAGGCAATAGAAAAGAGGAGTAAGCAAAGAATTAAACTAACACAACACCAAGAATCACGTACCAACAAGATGATAATACATTCTGCAGGCAAGAGTAGATTGGCGCCACAATCATTTCTACTTCTCACACGAATGTTAGGAAGCGGAAAACCCTCTGAGAACATGGTGTTGGCAGAAGCATTAAATTTATTACAACGATCTAGGGATCAGGATCAGGAGGTAAATAGCACAAACTATAAGCCTTCGTTATATGACAATATTGTCAAAGGTCCAGCGCAAGAACAATACAGCGACCTAATTCGAACTCCTAAGATAGAAAACCGCAAACAAAAACAAAGAATCAGTGATCAATTTATTTCGAACTTATTGTCAGGTATTAAGTCAAGTGAAGTGAGCGATGTGGCTGGAGCTCTTGATTTCGCTGACCTTTATAATATGAATTCACGGGAATTATCATTATATATCAAAAGCGTGAAGCTGGAACAGAAGTTGTTTGAGATTTTGGAGACGTTTTATTACAATGATCGGTTGACCTTTAATGTATTGAGCAGTATTGTCTTGAACAAAGCATTAGTGAACATTGACAAAGCTCCTATAGACTTGGTGAATATTAAAAACAATCGATTATTGAAATTGGACCCGCTAGGGATAACTATGTTCAATATCGTATTATTGGGGAAATACCATTCATTACACCAACCTATGACTGTCCTTCGCAACTTGAAACAAAACTTCAATGACGTTTATCTTCCTTTGATTAAGAAGCATAAATTGTCTGCATTCTACGAGAGGATAGTATGGAGATATACTTTTGAGTTTTTAAAACAATTCGACGAGCTACATTATTTGCAAGAAATCAATCGCGTAAAGTCTGGTTTTGTAATTTTGGAAGCAACAACGAAATCAAGCACACCAATTGCTAAGTATATGTTGGAAACGTATGGGGAATCATTAACAGAATTACAAACTATTTTTTTGAAGATATTCACTAATCCTTACATAGAACAACGTATAATTAAGGAGTTGGAGTCACCAGGAAGATCCAAAACATGCATTGCATTACAAAAATTATCTGTAAAACACCACATGTGTACTTTGAGTCAAATTCCAAAGGATCAATGGTCTAGACGAGCATGTTATGCCTTGGTTGCCGATTTAGAACAATTTATTGTTGAACTGTTGGAAATATCGAATGACAAGGAGTTGCAGGGGCTTGGTAATGAGTTGAAGACATATCACATGAAGATAATAACGAGTCAGCAAAGCGAAATATCGGAAAGTAAAGAAGCTTTAGATGATTTTTTTAATGTTCTCCAGGTTAAGGAGGGGTAAATAGAGATAATGATATTTATGACATGAATTTCTGTAAAACTAATGTTGTAGAGAAGGGAACTTGTGATGTTTGCTCATGCTACCAATTTGAAAAATTTGACAGTTGATTTCTGACATTGTATACATCTTTAATGGTTTTCTACGATTTCGGTAACAACACATAGGATTCTTCAGGATCTTTGAGTAGTGTCTACTAAGTAAATCTAGTCTCCGTTATCGGGACCAATCTAACTTTTTTTGTTCCACCTCGCTAAAGTTTACCCAAACTGTAGCATATTGGACAACAACAAAAAAAAATATTTAAACTGTCGCAAATTCCCCAGAATTTTCATCTCCGATAAACTTCAATAAATCCATATCAATACCATGAAGGTAATTACAGATAAAGCAGTCAATGATTTCTTAAATAAGAATCTCAACAAGAAATCACTTCTTGAACAATTTCAACCAGCATTACTTTCTGGTCTTGTGGAACACGCAAGGGACCCACATAAGATTGTTCCTCCACGAATTGCCCAGGCTTCTAATAACCCTGATTCGGATACCACACACATATACATGCCCTGTATATCCCCCAAAGAAGTTGGGATAAAAGTTATTAGTGGTGGTCCTGGAAATAATACCAAGGGTTTGGGGTTCCAGGGATGTGTGTTGATTATGAACGAGATCACAGGAGTATTAGAAGCCGTGCTTAATGCAAACACATTGACTGCCTTTAGAACTGCTTTAGCTAGCTCTTTAGGATTAACCAAGGTAATTGATGTACATTCCCTGGAGATTCTTCCTGAATTGACCGTGTTTGGAGTCGGATTGCAGGCATATTGGCATGTCAAACTTACATTGGCATTGTACGAAGGTAAAATCACCACCGTTAATATTTTAAATCGGACGTTAAAGAATGCAGAAATCCTAAAGGAAAAATTGTCTGCTGAGTTTGGAAATATCAAATTCAACAGTTATCTGTATGAACATGAAGCACTGGGATTCATTCCACGTGTGCAAAACAGTTCAATTATTTTTGGATGCACCCCGGCAACTACCCCTATCATTAAACAGGACTATTTGAACAAGGACAAGAAATTTCCCAAGTTTATTTCATTGATTGGTTCGTATAAACCTCACATGATTGAATTGGATTTACAATTATGCAAAGAACTCAAAGCAAATGGTGTTTCGATTATTGTTGATTCAAAAGAGCATACATTACATGAAGCTGGAGAGTTGATCCAAGCAGGATACACTGCTGAGCAATTAATTGAAATTCAACAATTGTATGAACCACAACAGCTAAATAACACAAAGATTACTGAGGATCTGTCCAATATTACTGTTCAGAAAATTGTTGGGCTTTCCATCATGGATTTGTCAATGGGGAAATTAATCACGCACGCGATCACAAACGAGGACTCGGTTTATATAGAGGACTTCTAAATATAGTGTTTGTACAAAGTGACTCAAAAGTGGTTTATACCATCTTGACTTAAATTTCTGTTTATTGATTTCCTGCATATAGACCGTGCACGTGTGTTGTGGTTGCCAGTTAACGCTCTTGTGACAGATAATTTTTCTTTAATTTTCTTTTTACAGCAATCTGCCGCCTTTTCTGTTATAATAGAAACCCACACATACAACACTCGTGTTTGCTGTTGTTGGTTGATTTATAATTCTGGCGATCTTCTCCCTTTTTTTTTTCTTTGTTTTGCTTCTAACTAATCCAAGTGTCTAACGAGTTTCCCGATGCTGCGTTCTAAAGAAAACCTGCCTTTATTGGGAGGCGAAAGCTTATCGTGCTACAATTCCAAAAAAGATAAAAAGAAGGTCTACTTATCTTACCTCCTTAATGTTGTTACCTTATCCCTTCTTGCTTATTTCTTCTTGATCCCATCCTCACACAACCATGACAACAAGAACGGAGGATCTTCTGGTGCTCCGCCACACGTTGATCAATCCAAGAAGAAGAATATCATCATGATGGTCACTGACGGTATGGGGCCTGCTTCTATGTCAGCTGCTCGTTCCTTCCGTCAATTCAGAGATGGTTTGGCAATTAATGATGTCCTCACCCTTGACAAGTACTTGATTGGTTCTTCTCGTACCAGATCCTCCAGTTCTTTGGTTACTGATTCTGCTGCCGGGGCCACTGCCTTTTCCTGTGCTTTAAAGTCTTACAATGGTGCTATTGGTGTTAGACCAGATAGCTCTCCATGTGGTACCATCTTGGAAGCATTGAAGTTGCAAGGTTACTTGACTGGGTTGGTTGTTACCACTAGAATCACCGATGCTACCCCTGCTGCTTTCAGTTCCCATGTCGATTTCAGATCTCAAGAAGATATGATTGCTCAACATCAACTTGGTGAATACCCATTGGGAAGAATGGTCGATTTAATCTTGGGTGGTGGTAGATGTCATTTCTATCCTTCAGGTGTTGCCGGTGGTTGTCGTGCTGATAAAAGAAATTTGATTGAAGAAGCTCAAAGAAACGGAACTTGGAGTTATGTTGGTGACAGGGCCAGTTTCGACCAATTAGATGGTGGTCACAATGTTAGCTTGCCATTGTTAGGTTTATTGGCAGATACTGATATTCCATACGATATTGACCGTGACTCAACGGAACATCCTTCATTAGCCGAACAAGTTAAGGTTGCATTGACTGCACTTTCCAAGGCTACCGAAAATTCCGAACAAGGATTCTTTTTGTTGATTGAAGGTTCCAGAATTGATCACGCTGGACACCACAATGATCCGGCTGCTCAAGTTAGAGAAGTTTTAGCTTACGATGCTGCTTTTGCAGAAGTCATTAAATTTATTGACGAATCAGATGTTGACACTGTTGCTATTTCTACCAGTGATCACGAAACCGGTGGATTGGTCACCGCCAGACAAGTTTCAGAAGAATATCCAGATTATTTATGGTATCCTGAAGTATTGAACAACTCGAAGCACTCGGGTGATTTCTTGGCCCAAAAGATTTACAAGGCTAAAATTTCTGACGAGAAGAAGTTGCACAAGTTTGTTACCAAGGAAATCTTGGAAGCTGACATGGGTATCACCAACTACACTGAGGATGAAGTTAAATCCGTCGTGGAAAATGCTTCTAATCCAGCTAAGTTGTTGTATGTTCTCAACAACATCTTGTCACTTAGAGCTCAAATTGGTTGGACTACACATGGACATTCTGCTGTTGATGTCAACATTTATGCTTACACCAACTCTGAACGTTTGAATGCCAAATTACATTCAAAGGAACCATATGTTGGTTTAGCTGGTAATCATGAAAACATTGAAATCGGGGCATTTATGGAATCCATCTCTACTGCTGATTTACACAAGGTCACTGAATTGATCCAAGACACTGAACATTCTCCTAAGAAGAAGGATTCTTTGACAGCTGATGAATTCCACGCTAATGCAGTTCAATATTAGGTTTTTTTTTATAGAATAGGATAGATTCACTCGTTTATCTAGCATTTGTTATGTTGCAATATTACAGTTATACCCGCATTACTATGTTTTCTCTCTTCTAATAATATGTTGGAACAGTCCTCTGTCTTACAATTGAATGCTTTACAACACAATACCGGATAAGAACCAGTGCGGGGTTTTGTAGATGTGTTTTATTTGTAAGCAATGACTGTGGATAGGATTTACGGTTTCCGGGGGGGGCTTGTACTCAGTTTTATAACTATAGATCTGGGTAGAACGCCCTTCTAGATCCGTATTGTTGCAACTTCCCGAGGAAGCGAACTGTAAATTTACAGGTTAGATATCCGAATAACCTGCAAATTCACTGGCAGGAGATGATCCGTGGCTACCTAAACAAAAAAAACTAAATAGACAGATAAGCGTGTGCGCGTCAAGGTCATCCGAAATCTATAGACAGAAAAAAAAGCAACAAATGAGGGGTGACCTCCGATTGCGATGGGGCGGACACGGACGGTCATGCTAGCAATTAAATTGAAGAGTAAAGTAGGGTATTTTTCATTGCAATGACTTCGGAATATTGAGGGATTGATTTAGCTATGCTGGACCAAGCAGGATGTGCTCATTGGAAGCTTTAGATAGTGGTTAAAGGATCCGGAATTGGGGGAGTTTGTCTGGCTTAGTAATTTCAGTTGCCACAACGGAAAAACGGCTGAGGTTTGTGCGCAATTTTTTTTTGTTGTTGTAGGCAGCCATACCTTTGCAGCAGGTTGCTAAAAATGCAATTCCGACGGATAAATTTTCAACTATTGTAGTTAATATATAAAGTCATGTAAATAATCTTAAAAATGAAGATTGAAATTAATTGAACAGTACAATCATCACAACATGTCTAATATGCAATCTTCTGACTCTTCAAGTTTTGAAAGTGTCAAACACGAAGAACCATTAGAGTTCCGTCCGGATCTCGATGTTCAATCTATAAATTCAGAAGTATCACGTTCAGTTACAAATGGATATACCAATCAATTAAAGATGGTACGAACAGAAACAGCAAAGTCTATGCAAGAATTAGGGGTCTCGTCAGATATACCGGCTCAGGAATTAAATCATCCTCCTGTGGAAAATCCAATTTTCCCTGAAGAATATACCTTGGAAACCATGACTGGGTTAGTGCCGGCCCAAACATTACAATCTTTAGGTAGAGTTAAAACAAGAGCCACTCTTGGGAGGCAGGAAACCAGGATATCGGAAGAAACTTTGGAAGAAGTTGAAGCTATTGATCCTGAAATTGAATTTGTCACCTTCACATTAAATGACCCAGAAAATCCCCACAATTGGCCAATGTGGATAAAGTGGGTTTACACCGTCCTTCTTATGATATTTGTTATCTCTGCCGCCTATGGTTCATCGTGTCTTGCTGGTGGGTTATTCACAATTAATGATAAGTTTGGTGTATCTACAGAAGTTTCTACATTGGCAGTTTCACTTATGGTTCTTGGATTCAGTATTGGTCCATTAATATGGGCTCCATTATCCGAACAAATCGGAAGAAGACCTGTTTATTTCATTTCGTTTGGATTATATGTGATTTTCAATATTCCTTGTGCATTGGCTCCAAATATCGGTGCCCTTTTGGTTTGTCGATTCCTTTGTGGGGTGTTTTCATCTTCTGCTTTGACAAATGTCGGTGCTAGTTTGGTGGATATTCACAATGAAACCAGATCTTTGGCAATTGCCTTCTTTTCATTTGCACCTTACTCCGGTCCAGTTGTTGGTGGTGTTGTCAATGGGTTCATCAGTGTCGGAACCGGAAGATTCGATATTATTATCTGGGTTAATATGGCATTTGCTGGTGTTATGTGGATTATCATTTCTTTAATGCCCGAAACATATGCTCCTGTTATCTTAAAGAAGAGAGCCAAGAAATTAAGAAAAGAGTTTGATAATCCAAAGATTATGACTGAACAAGAATTCTCACCATTATCATTCAAAGAACTTGTAAATGACTGTCTTATTCGTCCCCTTAAGTTTGTCGTTACTGAGCCTGTCTTGGTTTTGGTCTGTGCATTTGTTGCCTTAATCTATGCCTTATTGTATGCCTTCTTCTTTGCCTATCCATATATCTTCTCCACCTTATACGGCTACAAAGATGACAAGATTGGTCTTATGTTCATTCCCATTATTATTGGTGCCGCTCTTGCATTGACCACTACACCTGTCATTGAAAAGCAATACGCTGCATTGTGCAAGCGTAGAAAGCCCGAACCTGAAGATAGGCTTTGGGGTGCCATGATAGGTTCTCCCTTCCCTTGCATTGCCTTGTTTATATTAGGAGCTACTTCATTCAAACATATCATCTGGGTGGGTCCAGCCTCATCTGGTATTGCATTTGGTTATGGAATGGTGCTTATTTACTATTCTTTGAATAACTATATTATCGACACCTATGCTAAGTATGCTGCCTCCGCATTAGCAACCAAAGTGTTTTTGAGATCTGCTGGAGGTGCTGCTTTCCCTTTATTTGTCACTCAAATGTATAGTGGATTAGGACTACAATGGGCTAGTTGGTTGTTGGCATTTGTTTCCTTGGCGATGGTGTTAATTCCATTTACATTTTATAAGTATGGGAAAAATATTAGGGAAAAGTGGTGTAAGGAAGATTACACTATTTAAGCTTATAGATATATAGATCCTTTTAATATTAATTGGACTAAACTTACCTTAAGTTCACTTGTAGTCAACGCAACTAGTCAATTGTAAACACTGAAAGTGTTGCCAAATAAAACTATAAAGAATTTGACGCTACCAATGTGTTTTCCTTTAATGGGTAGAAAATTGTGCGCAAGAGAATTAAAAGCAATGGTAGGCTCTTTTTATTTTGGCAACAATATAGATCAAGTATGAACAACCAATGTCAACCCTAGATATAGACAAATTGGTGGCATCATTGATATCCTCTAAGATCAAAGAGAGGAATGACGCGCTTAGTTTGCTAGAAACAATATCAATTTCCAAATTCAAACTATCACTGGATCAATTCAAGATCTTGACCCAGGCTATTCTCAAGCTAATTGAACATGAATCAAGGGTGTATTACAACAACAAGTCCTCTCCAGTTGAACTGAGACTATCACTATCTTCTTATTATTTGAGATTACTCACCGAAAAGTCAATTGAGGATACAAGTAAGACGTTGAGGAATCGAATATATATTGACCTTTGTAATGGCATAATGGAGCACTTCTTTATAGAGAGTGGAATCCAGCTTGAACCTTGCTCAATTGATTTCATGAAGACCATATCTGCCATTTTGAATGTTGGGTATGTGAAAGAGCATTTGAACAAGAAAAGTTGGGTCACGATTTACAATTTCTTACTTGATATAATAGAGCAGAGTATCATTAGTGATGCTGATTCACTTTCTTTGTCTAGACTGAATGAAATGTTGTTTGTTGAGACATATAATGCACTTCAATATTTATTACAATGTGACAAGGATATTTCAGTTAATTATATCGAAATATATGAAGATAACAATTATTTTCGTCTCTTGCTGGCTTTGGATAAGACAATACAAGTGTTGAAGAAAGAAAATATTGCTGTTATAATGGTATTCCGAATTATAAATAAGTTGATTATCACCATATCCACAGTTAATTTCAGATTTGTCAATAAAATGATCAAATTGGGTATTCAATTAATGATTTTCTTCAATGGTACTCAATGGGGAAAGCTTCATGAGCAATTTTTAATATTTATCAATTTGCCAGCGACTCACAAACTTATTCATTTACATCATTTGCCAAAGCTTATCGGTGAAGGGTTCATACCTGGAGATATTTTAGACCCTGGCTTACTCGATCAAGAAGACGAAGAGGAATCCATCAAATCACAAGTAGAACAAGGGGACATGAACAAAGAAGAGGTATTGTTATATCATATTCGAATACTATTACAGAATTTAATTAAAAGGGCGTCAACCTCTGACTTTGAACTTAAGCCTAATCAGATTGGCATTTATCTTCCGGCTAAATCTGTACAACTCAATCATGACGATTGGTTTCAATTCAAATCTGTATACCTCAAGTCTGAAGATTCTAAATCGTGGATGTTAATATCAGGAATAACGAAATTACTAGATACTTATTTTGAGTTCAAACTGATTTTGCAAGAAACCTCATCAGATCCAAATTCCTCACTTTTTGGAAACTCTATGTTTATTGGAAATTCAAGGAATAAACGACAAAAGTTAGAAACAATAGGTGATGCATTGAACCATTCAAGGAATATCACAGAGTTTTGCAATCGTTTAATACACTCCAAGAACTCGACAGAGCACCAGATTTTAGGTTTGAAGATAATAACATTTCGCCTTGAAATGCAGAAGATAGTTTATAATCCACAATATAATAAATCTTCCCAACTTACTGAGTCCACAACTAGTACTGAAGTCACAAAAACTTTCATCAATAGTAATACCACTTTAGATATCTTATTGTCCAATTCTGATGAAGGAGATTTTAATAGAAATGTCATTTTTAAGAACATTCTTGGAACGTTTGATAATGTCAAGTTAAATTTCTGGAGTCTTCTTGCATCTCGTGCTATTATTCTTGAAGAAATATGGACCGAAAGTGATACTCGAACATTGCCACAATATGTTGGTCAAATATTGAAATTATGCTTTTTACTTATCAAACAACAGCAAACGGTAGCGATGGCATGTAACTTGATATTTCTAATTGTATTTCAACAATCCAATAAACTAAATGAACTTGTTGACGACTCATTACTAATTCAATTGGGTTCTCTTATCGACTTGGCTGAAATTAGTGGACCTTGCAGTATATCTGAAGAAAGCTTTCAGTACTGGTTTGCAATCTACAAGTTGTCCATTGATGTAAATTTACCAAAGAAGGATATATTGGCCGTTCGAATTCAAGATTGGCTTTTATCCAAATGGGAAGGTACATTACAAAATCAAGATTTGGACATATTGTTTTATTCAAATATAGCTGAGTTTGTCTATTGGTTAGCTGGAAATCAATGTGATTATAGAATAATTAACTATCTTCATCAGTTGTACAATGGTAGCAATAAGGAGGTTTTCTATTTTACTCAAACATTCAGAGAATTGGAATCGTGGTTGTTTTTAGAGCCAGTCTATTCTACTCCCCATATAATTTTTGACTATAATATGGTGAGTTTACCAGGAAGCATAAGCCTTAATCAAATTTTTGAAAAAGTAACGGAAACATTTAAATTATATAATTCAAGCGATGTTAGTAACAAAAGGTACCTACAATGGTTGGCAATAACTCAGAGAATTAGTGACAAATTTAAATTAATGGATTCATTCTGCAGTTCTACGGATGGTTTAGATTATCATTTGCAAATGGGCATAGCATACTTTCGTCAGCAAAATATTAGTGCCGGAGAATGTTTGGATTTGATTGAAGTTATTGTCCCTGAGGATTTAGAATGTTTTGAGATGTTTGTAAAAGCGGGTATCTTTGAAAAACTTGTAAATTCATTTAAAAGTGAAATATACTCAAGAACAACCTCCAAACATAAAGTTAATGCAAATCAAACTCAAGAGGATGGATTTGAAAGAGAATTTTCCGCAGTTAGAGATGCAAATACGCCTTCAACACCTGCCTCAAATGAAAAGATGGTGAATTTGTTGCAATTGAAATATATGAAACCCCATAGTTTGAAGGTGTTAGAACGCTTAGGGAGTTGTTATAAAACCCCTGAAGAATTGATTAAAGCTCTTGTGAAGTACTTGGAATATTTGGAAGGTGTTGATCTTTTGCTTGCAGTTTTGTACTGCGTTAAATCTGTTGTGCCAATTTGCACTACCATTTCAACATTTAGTAAATTTATCACAACTATTGGAGAGAAATTATTAGGTAATCAACATCTGGAACGGAATGAACTTGTTTTAACACTGATTCTAGATTTAATGAGTTACGTGGTGGAGAATAACCAGGCAGAGAAACAATGCAATGATATTTCCAAGTGGCTAATACAATGTGGTGAACGAGAGCTTATACTAACAGAATCATCGGTGATAGCTTACTGTGACTTGTTGGTGAAACAATATAAACATATGGAACCAGCAAAGTCTGAATTATTTCATCAATTTGCTAAAGCAACAAATAATGTTAAAGTCAACTTAGCCGACAATATAACTGTTGGTACTATATCTGGAAGCCAAGAAGATGATCAGGAAATAGTATCCCTCTATAATAAGCTTTTTGAAACTTTTCCTGACCCTCAACAATCAGTAGAAACTGCTGGGACATATGCTTTATTTTTTACAAGGTTATCTTTGAAGTCTTCAAGTTTGTTTTATTGTTCTATTTTTAATCTTCTTCAATGTTCTAGATTCAGCTTTTTCATGCCATATTTGGAAGCGTGTCTTCAAACAATCTGCCAACAAAGGCAAATGAAGGGCCCATTAGAATTGTTCAAAACAGCCAAACTTGATATTTTATGCTATTGGTGGAAGTTAGATGATATTGAAAGATTCCCATTCAACTTATTTGATTATCCTGATCTTCAAACATTTTATAGAGAGAATTATAGGGAACTTTCTGCAGTATCCATATCTACATCTCGAAACATAACTGCAAAGTCCAATGCTGATTTTATTGAAAATTTAGCCTCATTGAAGAACACTGACTCAGCAACACTTGTTTCGGAAAGTTTGTCGCTAATAGTTCTGGTAGCTTACTCATCTCAAGGTATTAGAAATGAGGTGTTTGATATAATTCAGCAATACTTCCAGGGCTCATTCAAACAAGAATTTAAGGATAAGTTGTCTATGATTGTACTTGAAATTATTAAATTTACTGAAATTCCCGATAATAAAGAGTTCACTGATTACTTTAGAGGGAATGAGCTTGCATCTATTTTCGAGTCTTCATTCACTAAGGTTGACCAGGGAAGTGTTGTTATCTCATTCAAATCTAGTTTAGAGTTAATTAAGAAGTTGGTTGTCAAGTATCATGGTCTGGCAAATGATTTTTGGAATGTTAAACAAGTTTACTTTTTGATCCGAAGAGTTTCAACCATTTTAAGTGTTATCCAGAATCCAGATCAAATAAAGATCGCACTTACTAAGATTAGCTTAATTCTTGTTCTAGGAGGGTATGGATCGATCGATCTATATGTGACTCGGTTGCTCGTTAGTATAATAAGGAATTTACCAGTTGAATGTTTCGATTATAAACCATTTGTTTCATCTATTCTCGTTTGCTTTCATGATTTGTTTCATCATAAGTATGAACAGGAAGAATCGCTCCCTTTGGTTATCCAAATACTTGAGCTCTCATTCAGTTATGCTGATATTGATAAGGATTTGGTTAGATATATCGAAGTATATACTCGAGATTTCGAGGGAATGAATTCAATTCGTCAATTCTTGGATGGTATAGTTGAAATTTATAAACAGAATGATACATGCCCAAAATTATTGCATTCATCAATGTTGGAGCTGTGCTTGGAAACATTAGATTTTTGTCAGAAGGATGCACTGGTATTTATAAGGCTCATATCTCATATATTTCCTTATGTGGGAATTTTTGATCATGCTGGAGATCGGTTACCCGTGGTGGAAAATTTGTTAAGGATTGATCAAGCAGAATTAAAGTATTTCAATAAAGACTTCAAGATTTGGATTGCTGACTACCTTTCTCAATTTTACCTTGGAGGTGGGGCTCTCCAAGAAATTAAAGTTCTAGATAAGGATGAATACAATGGAATCAAAGGAGAAGAGTTTGAAAAGGAAGTGCTGTTCTTTGACTTTATTTTCGACAAAATTATTGATCAAATTAGTGGATCTGATTTTGACTCAGCAGCATGTGCGGAGTCTATATTAGGTGTATTGATTATGAAGTTTCAACACAACAATAAGGAGTTTGAAAAGTTTTTGAATTTTAAGGAGATTTACAAAACGTACAAGGACCAAATTTTATCAATTGATTTTCATACATGTGCCCTTTTGAATGATGAATTGGATGTTGACTATTTGGGTGATAGTTTGTCTGATATAATTGAAAATCTTGAACTGTTTCTAGAGGCTGACTTGGAATTGTGGACCACAAGACTTTACTTGGTTCTTCTTCAAGAATTGGCACCTTATACTAGCATTGCTCCTTTATTAAGTACATTTGTCATCAAAGTGAAGAGTTTTGCCAAAGAGTCTTTAGCCGAATTGATTTGTTACTACCTTGTGTTAAAAGGCAAACCTGGAGAAAAGACGATTATTTCTATTCTAAATGCATTCGTAAACTCGCATAATAGTAAAAGGTCTGTGGCCAGGATATTTTTGAAGATTATCACTACAATTAGGATAGGAGCTTATAAGAATTTAGACAAGTTCTTGGATGTATTTGAAAAGGTTGATGTTTTATCTTTCTACAAGTTGGCTGTCAAAAACAAACATTTCCGAACAGCAATGATGTTATTTGAAGATGCAGTGACACTAGAACAACCAGGAGCTACGTTGGAAGATGAATATCCATCATTGCGGACAGTTTATGAATCGCTTGATGATGATGATTTGATCTATGGATTGCCAGAAAAACCAAGTTTGGAGTATGCTATCTCCTTAGAACATAGACATGGGTATTCTGCTGAATTGCTTCAATACAGTAGTGCGGGGTTTGACTCGGACATTACATTAACAGGGAAGTCTACTAATTATAACATCGTTGAGTCGCTCTCAGAAAATGGTTTACTTGGTGTATCAAGACTCATTAATAGAAGTACGGGTTCTATTATTAACTGTGCTGAACCTTTTGAATGGAGTTGGAAACTCTCACAGTGGGATTTGCCAGTGACTGGAACTGCCACGAAAGAGAATGAAGTGATTTACAAGACCTTGAAACAGATACATGATTATTCTATTAATGCTAATGACTGCCAAAACATGGTATTGAATGTTCTTGAGAATAAACTACCTAGTTCCGAGAGCAATCTTAGCATTAAGGAATATAGAACACAGATTATCCGCTGGATGAAAACCATGAGTGAAATTTCTACAATTTCTAGTATTGTAAACTATCAGGATGGTAAATTCAGCAAGTTTGTGAAGTCATACAATCAGCGTACTCGATGGTTTGAAGATTCAGATCTTGAAATGTCGGAAAATATAATGTTAGCTAGAAGAACTGCGTTCCAGCTCCTTAGCACGAAGCTAAAGAAGCCTCGATCTGAATTGACCTCAAATTATGATCTTTCAAAAATACATTTGCTGGAAGATGAAATTTGGCTTGGGTCGTTAAATGATTTAGTAAGATATAATAATTTAACTAGGCAGGCTGGTGAACTGCAAAAGATGGTTACTTCTACAATGTTGATTGATGGAATAAGCAAGTCTAAATTTGACAATGCGGAACACTCACTTCGGCTCAATGTGTCTAATTTATGTATGTATCAAACAGCCCAAATGCTTTGGACACAAGGCAATTCCAGTGTACCTGTTTTAATGATGAAAGAGTTGTATGATCGTGGGGGTGTTGATATAAAGGAAGTGGGAATCCTGATTGATAAATGCTTGATAAGGGCTAAGATGGTAAGTTGGATGTCAGAGTCTAGACAAGAATTATCCTCAAATATAATGGAGAAGCATGTAATGCCCGTTGCCAATATGGCACTTTCTATGGCAGATATACAACAGGCTGCGAAAGTCTTTCAATTGTTTGCCCATTTCTGTGAGGCGCAGTATAAATCCAAGTCGTTGAACGAAGCAATTTCGAAGCTTGAAAAGAGAGTTGCCAATAAGCAAAAGGAAATAAATGAACTTAAGGATCACTACGGGAAAACTGCAGTTCCAGATTCTGAAAAGAAGACAGTACAGAAGTTTTATTCGAAATTAAAAATGCTGTTCAATTCAGAAAGTATGGATTTGAAATCACTAGTACAGAGTAGAGATCTCTTTTCGACTAAGGCAGTGGAGTATTATTTGGAGAGTATAATTGTCGGTGACGATGTAGAAGAAGATCTAGATAAGTTTTTTGCATTGTGGTTGGAGCAGTCGAGCAATGAGACACTTAATTCAAGAATTAAAGCTAGTATTCTTTCTTTACCAAGCTTTAAATTGATAAATTGGTGTATCCAGTTGATCTCAAGATTGACAAAAGATGCTACTGAATTCCAGCTGATTTTACAAGAGTTGATTATTAATATGTGTGTCGATCATCCGCATCATTCTTTATACTTGCTTATTTCATTGAGAAAACACAAACAAACAGCTGAAACTACATCTAACCCGTTGTTACTTTCTAAATGTAGTGCTGCGGATATTATTTGGGATGAATTGCTTCATAAGGATGATCATGTTATAGAGAACTTATTATTGCCGATAGAAAAGTTCAGTGATGAGTGTGTGAAACTTGCGGCGTACAAGGCTAATAAAGGTAAAACTTTAAATTTAGAGAAATTGAATGTGGGTAGTTACTGGTTGAAGCAATTGCCGTCTATTCCACCACCAACCAAATTCTTAAAAGTTGATCAAACAAAAGCTTATAACAATGTTCCTGTTCTTGTAAGTGTGGAACACAAGTTAACTATTGCAAGCTCTGGTTTAAGTTTACCCAAGATTGCAACATTTAATCTTTCAGATGGTACACAGCATAAAATTTTATTAAAGCATGGCACTGATGATTTGAGACAAGATTCAATTATGGAACAGGTTTTCAATAAAGTTAACAATATCTTTGCTCAAGATCGTGAATGTAAAAAAAGAAAGTTAAGAATTCGAACATATAATGTGGTCCCTCTTGGTCCGCAATCAGGTATAATTGAGTTTGTTCCCAATACAACCGCATTGATAGATATTATTAAACCATATCATGATGCTCATGACAGGATCAAGTATGAGAAGGCACGAGAAATCATGAAAGCTTGTCAGTCTAAAGACAAGTCAGAAAGATTGCGTGAATATGAAAGAATTACGGTTGGTTTAGAACCAGTGTTGCGTTATTTCTTCCAAGGAACATTCTTAAATCCTGATGCATGGTTTCTGAGTCGAATAAAATATACCCATGGTGTTGCCACCTCTTCTATCGTTGGATATGTGTTAGGTCTAGGTGATAGGCATTGCAATAATATTCTTTTGGATAAGAATTCTGGTGAACCTGTGCATATTGATCTTGGTGTTGCGTTTGATCAAGGGAAAAGGCTTCCTGTCCCTGAGACTGTTCCATTCAGATTGACTCGTGATATAGTGGATGGATTTGGTGTCACTGGTGTTGAAGGGGTTTTCAAGAAATCATGTGAACATACATTGAGGGTGTTACGACTGAATAGAGATCATATAATTTCCATTTTGGACGTGTTGAGATGGGATCCATTATACTCGTGGACTTTATCTCCCCTTAGAAAGAAGAGACTTCAAGATGATGATACTAATGTTGGGTTCCAACCTGAAGAAGATGGTTCTGAAGCAGGAAGAGCTGTACAGGTAGTTGCTGATAAGCTAACAGCTGGTGGGTTGAGTATTGAAGCTTCAGTTAGAGAACTAGTACAGGAAGCAACTAACCCGCAGAATTTAGCACTTATATACTTTGGATGGTGTCCTTTCTTTTAGATTTATAGAAATATAAAGCGCTCTTGTACAGCCTCTTTTTTTTTCGCACCCATAAATTTAATCACGTGGTCTTTTGCTTATCGGAAATACTGGAAAAGTAAATTTCCATACAATGGAAGGTCCAGATCAAACATCAACCAGACAACCGAGTCACGAAAGAGAATAGAATTGAATACAAACATGGTCAACCACAACAACTATACCTTGCTCAATTATCTAGCATTCAACTACGCCGGTTTTGCCTGTATATCGATAATTGTCTTTTTGTCGTCAACACAGCCTTTTTACATCAAGGAAGTACTCGAGCTTGAAAATGCGAAGATCGGAGGTGTAATTGGAATTCTAGGTTTCATTGATGAATTGACGCTGATGATCTCCGCACCATTCATTGGGGCATTGAATGACAAGTTAAATACTATTCTGGGTGGCGGATCCCGTATTGTTCCCAGCATTGCCTTTTTGGTTATTTCCATAGCCTTGGCTGGATATTCGGTTTGTTCAAAGTTTAGTGAGTTGATGTTGTTTAGAGCAATATTTGCACTTGGTGTTACTGGATGTATGAGTATGATTACTGTATTGTTGAATGAAGTAGGAGATTCAGATTTTAAGTTAACATTTAAACGTAGGGAAATATTACTTGGCCATGAAGAAGAAGAGGAAGAAGTAGAAGCTGAACCAGAAAGAAAGAAAAATGGGAAGTTTTCGGCATTGATTGGAATAAGCACTGGTATAGGTGCTATATTTGCAGTATCCGTTTTTGTGCCTTTGCCTATTAAATTGGGTGATAAATTCCAGTTAGATATAAAATCCAGTTTAGAGTGGGCATATTTGGTTGTTCTGGGGTTTGCAATTTTCTCGTTTATGATTTTGATAATTTGGTTATACAGAACAAGAAGCAATGTCAATTCAACACACGAAAACTACTTTGAATTATTACGCCATGGATTCGAATTTTCACGTATCAACCATCAGGTGAAATTAGCCTATGCAGGTGCGTTCGTTGCTAGATCAACTACAGTGGCCATGGCTGTGTTTATTCCACTCATGGTCTACGACTGGTACTACAACAAGGGACAGTGTAAATCAAACGATCAAAATACAGGAAATTTGACTTGTCACGAAGGGTATGTATTCTCGGCAATCTTGACTGGAATTGCCCAAACTATTGCCCTTGTATCTGCACCATTTTGGGGATTCTTGATTGACTTCAGAAAAGTCAAGTCGAGAAGCACTCCATTAAAAGTAGCTGCACTTTTTGGGCTAGTGGGGAACTTTCTTTTTTGTTTCTCTAATACTACGAACCCAAAGACTGTGACTTGTTTCTTGAGTGTATGTATTTTGGGTGTGTCACAAATTGGATTGATAATTAGTAGTATGAGTGTTTTAACTGGTATTCTGGATGTGCATGAAATTATGGGGTCATTGAGCGGGTTTTATAGTTTCTGTGGAGGTTTAGGGATATTGAGCATTACTTTACTTGGCGGATTCCTTAGTGATCTTTGGATCCTAGGTCCATTCTTTATCTTGGGAACATTCAATGCGGCATTGTTGGTGATTTGTCACATAAATCGTGATGAAAAGTACCAAGGCGAATCACCTTTATTATTACTAGGGTAAGTAAGTGGTCACGTGAGTTAAATTCAGGTTGTTGCCCCCCCTATAAGGAAAAGCAAAAAAAAAAATTTTTTTTCTACCGCAAAGAAAGCAAATTGGCGCTCATGTACTAAAAATATCGCAGGGCATGCACGCTGCACATTTAAAAATTCAAGCCGACATATCTTACGACCAAAAAGGGCCCAGTACAAAGGTTTCCTACAACCCACATTAACAAAAGTCATTTTATAGATACCAGAACCGGAGAGAATATCATTATGATAGAGGTACTAATCACGCTAGTACCATCTCTCTGCTGGCTCCTTTATAGGTTCTATTTAATTCTCCGAACCCCGGTGGAAAAACTTGTTGAAGATTTAAATATTGAAATACCACACACGCCTACTATTTGCATTGACTCCATCGCGGAAACATCAGTGGTGGTTCATTGGAATATAGAGATCCGGTATGACGAGAACTTGTATTATGTATTGGTGATAAATGACCGTGAAGCCGCCACACTCACGTCGACCAGTTGTAAGTTGAATAATTTATCAGCCAAGCAAGTGTACCAGATTCAGATTGTGGCTATTAATTCAATTACTAATTTCCGGTCATTAAGTAAGCCTGTTTTTGTTCTGACTTTTAACAAAGACGACAAGGAATTGGAATTTTCCAAGGATGTTAATTTTGATGAGGATATTGTGGAAAATATCATAACTAGTGGTGCTGTTTCCAGTGCTGATGACACCAGCTCTAGTGCTAATGATGATGAGTCTTCATTAGAGAGCATCACCATTGATCAAATCCAAAGCATCACCAGTGCTGAATTGCTCAATGACTATTTGAGTAAGTTCCAACATGAATTAGTCAAGGTAAACGCGGACTATAGACAATTTCAACAAACCATTTCCGAAGAACATGAACATTTACAACAAGAGTTACTTTTATACAGACATGAATTGGAGGAAGAATCAGATAACAAAGTTAAGAAGGATCAAGATGTCAAGTCCTTGGAAAGATCCAAGGACGTGTTAACTTTCCAAAAGTCGAAATTGTTGAATCAAGTCACGGCAATTAAGAATTCTCTTGTATTATTCAATACTAAATTCCAAGAGAATGAAGCCAAGATAAGAAAGTTGCAAGATCGAAACCAACTAGCATTAACTAATGAAGAAAAGGAGAAGTCAAAGATTAATAAGAGTATAGCCAGCGTTCAAAAGTCAATTTCCAAGACCAAGGAAGAAAATGAAAAGATTGAAGAAAACTTGAAGGTGTTGTTACAGGAAAGAAAAGAGTCGATTGCTTTATTAAACCAAATCAAACCCTTGGTTGAAGTGTTCAACCAAGCTGCTTCGAGTTCGCATAGTAGCACTCCAGCTAGTGAAGTGGCCCAATCGCCAAACCCAGTCCCAGCAACTTTGGCAAGTTCCACAGGCATTTCCAACACTCCAACTCCACCACCAATACTTTCCTCGGGCGCTACACCACCGATTACTGCATCGGGAACAACCACTGTAACCAATCAATCAACTATTTCCTCAACACCCTCAATTTTCAACAAGGACGGTTCCATTGCCAAACCCGCATTTGAGGCACTTGTTCAAATCTTTCAAATCATGCCTACTTGGCAAGACGAAATCATGCACGAAATCAACCAGTATCAAGAATTGGAACAAGCATGGCGTGATTCATTTAGAACAGAGATCAAAAAGTATGTGGCGGTGCATCAAGCATTGGAGATTGCTAAACATAACTTGGATAAGAATTATGTTCCAGTGAAGATGAATGAGTATTTGGCGTCTATTGAGTTTGGTGGGTTTGCTAATGCATTACCTAGACCAAGAGCTTCGAGTAAACGGATTTTCACACCTCCGATTGACGAGCTGAACTTAGTTGGTAATATGCACAATAGTGGATTTTTCAATCATTATGGGCAAGTTTATACTGACAGTGATTCCGATGTGGGTCAGAAGGTTTCCCCGTTGTTTCAACAACCACAAATTGTGGAACCGGTTGTGCAACCACTTCAACTGTCACAAAGATCTATTAACCATGTAGTTGGTGATTTCGGTGGTACCGATTACAGTTATCCTTCTCCGCCACAACAGCAAGCACATCCATATATAAGTTTAGAACAAATTAATGCTCAAACACATATGGAAATGGCTAGTTCTTCGCTTGACGGACAATTATTCAAGCATACCCCTACATTGAGTCATAGTTTATTAGAGAATACTGCAGGGGCACCAGCTACATCCACGACAACCAACGCCACCACTACCACTACCACTCCTCCAATGCAAGGGTTTCCTTATGATGATCAAATTTACACTAGTAGTATTGCTGCTCAATCTCCTTTAGGTCCTACGAACCAAACCCAAAATTTGTTGAGTTACGGCGATTACAATTCGTTGTTGTATAGGTACAACTCGCCTACATTGGCTCCTGTTAATCATGAAGTGTGGAATCAACCTGCCACCACTAATCCTGGTAATTCTGCCAATACGTATGGATTTTTGGCTACCCCCACATCAAAGTTATGGAGTGACAGTAGTAGTATCACCGGCAGTGCCAGTCAAGACTATGAATTTGGACATAATCGTACTGTTTCTGCTACATCACAAATCTGGAGAAATGAAGCTACACCATCTTCAAGTCATCATAATTTCAATTTGGGTGGTGTGGGCAGTGTTTCAAGTGGCGCTGAATTTCAACCATTTGGGAAGAGTATAATGCAGTTGTCGAGTTCAATGAATAACAATAACAACAACAACAACAATCCCAGTCTTGTCCTCAGTCAGAATTTAGGGTTGTCGGAGTCACAAGTGCTCGGTAATACGAGAACGACCCCGCCAGATAATGATGACAGCCGAAGAGAACAATCAGTAAATCTGATAAATTTGGGTTAAGTATTTTCGGTTATCGAAGGCAAGGCATGTCAAACGTTTCTCCAAAAATAATTTACTAAAAAATTTTAGGAAGTAACTAGCGATAGTGGGGGGAGAGAGGGGGTTATTTAGTTTGTAGAGATTAATAAAAGTGATGATGTTGTGCACCCCGCTTGTAAGCTTCTTGTATATTTGTATGTTTTAATAATTTGTTGGGAGAAAAGGAGGAGGGGGGGGTAGCAGATTATGCCAAACGTACATTGAGGAAAAAAGTTCAAATAAAAATAGCAGCACCAGTTGCCATGCTCTAGCCACAGTTACAGAATCGGGTTTCGATTGTTTTCGTTTCGGGGTTTAACCCAAACTATATAGGGGCATCACTAGCAAGGAGTTTGAAAAGCGCACAAAACAAATTGACGCGGCATACCGAAGGTAGCCGGATTTTCCCTGTCTTGCGGCACTTTTACGATCGCCCGTTGACCGTTGCGTGAGCGCCAGGGAACGAGAACGAGCACATTGTGCCTAATTGGGTAAGGCTTGCGGCAAATGTGATGCACAGAACCCGAAAAAAAGAAACCAAAGGGCCTTGGCCATCGGAAAATTTTTCCGTTTTCTGCTGCAACTTCTCAGGAATTACTAAGGTTGAAAAAAAAAAAAATAATAATATACTGATGTGTCATCGAAGGGAGAGGGGGATTTATTGTGGTGTGCAAGAATTCGGGATTTGTTTGGTTTCAGGATGGTACTGTTTAGATTTAAATACCTTTTTGTATCTTCTTCTTCTTCTTCTTTCCTCTTGCTTGCTCTTTTCTAGTAAATTTGTACATATTTCTTTTACTTTCAACAGCAGCAAACTTAGCACAGCATTTAAGGTGGCAAACATATCCACTATACACACATAAAATTATATATATATATAAAAAAAATTTTGCATTCAATAATAATAAGATGACCCTTGACGAAGAAGAAAAGTTTACCACCCATAATGAGTTCCGTAGTGACACATTCACCGTGCCCACACGTTCAATGATTGAAGCTGGGTTTGTTAATGCCACCTATGGTGATTCCGTCTATCAAGAAGACGAGGTAACGTTGGCCCTTGAAGCCAAGATGTGTGATCTCACCGGTAAGCAAGCTGCTCTTTTCTGTGTTTCTGGTACATTATCCAACCAAATTGGGTTACGTGCTAACTTGATTCAACCTCCATACAGTGTTTTATGCGACCATCGTGCCCATGTCTTTTTACATGAAGCTGGTGGATTGGCTACTTTGTCACAAGCCATGGTTCATCCGGTTGTTCCTGCTAACGGAAACTACTTGACTCTTGAAGATATCGTCAATAATGTAACTTTTGAAGATGGGGATATTCATGCTGCACCAACCAAGGTCATTTCATTGGAAAACACTTTACATGGTATAATCATGCCTGTCGAGGAAATCAAGAAGATCAGTGAATTCTGTAAACAATACGATATCAGATTACATTTGGATGGGGCTAGATTATGGAATGCGTCCGCTGCTACTGGAGTCAGCATTAAAGAGTACTGTTCCCACTTTGATTCTGTGTCTCTTTGCTTGAGCAAATCCCTTGGTGCTCCAATGGGATCAATTTTAGTTGGAGATGAAAAGTTGATTAGAAAAGCCAATCATTTCAAGAAGCAAAATGGTGGGGGGATAAGGCAAGCCGGTATCATGACTGCCATGGCTATCCATGCCATCGACTACAATTTCCCCAAGCTTGCTCGTAGTCACGAATATGCTAAGCAAATTGGGGATTTCTGTATTGAACACGGTATCAAGTTGGAATCACCCGTTGATACCAACTTTGTGTTTATTGATTTAAAGGCTAACAAGATGGATGCCAAGATGTTGATTGACTTGGCTAGAACCAAATATAACGTCAAGTTGATGGGTGGACGAATCGCTTGCCATTTCCAGTTGAGCCAAGACAGTGTGGATAATGTTAAGCAGTGTATTTTGGAATGTTTCCAATACAACCAAGAACATCCATATGAAAATGATGGTAAGAACAATAAGAAGATGTACAACTTTGATGCCATCAGAAAGTAGGTCTTCAACATATATACGATTTAATTTTACGATTTGATAACTTTTCTAATAGAATACCTTTAGAGTACTTAGAATTGTAGAATAGCTGCAAACTGAAACCTGCGGCATAACGTGATTTCAAGTGTCACGTGATGTGTTTCACGTTTTAAACCATGCGTGTAGTTGACAGGGAAACCTCATGAGTGTGCAAAAGCTTATCTTGCTGGTGATGCTGGTGATGCTCGTGCTGCTTGTGTTTTTGGTTGTCATGGCGTCTTTCGGAGTTAGATTCGTACATATATATATATATATTGGTAGCTGGGTTACGCCTTGAATTTCAATGTATTTTGGTAGAGATTTGAAGGAAATAATAACGAAACACACAAGCATAGTACAAAACCCTGCATAACTAAACAATGTTAAACGTAGGCCATCAAATATGTCATTAAATCATAAATTATGTTATTCAATCAACTTGAATCATCCATATCAATCAATATTGGAGGCCACCAGTAGCTATATATGTATGCTCTCGTGACTTGTATCACATGACTTATCGATGCATGTGATAATTAGAGCAGCCCAAAAAAAACAATAAAAATATCGTGGTTTTTTTGCCATGACCCATGTGGCATTGTTTTTGTTGCCAATCATTGTTACAGAAATTAAATTTTGGCGGCTAGCCATTTCACGTTTGATCTTTACTCGTGTTATAAGCTTACGTGTTTCCATTCAGCCAGGCAATTGTTCAGTGTCCAGTCACACCGTACCAACTATTTATTTGCTTTGTTTTTTTTTTTTGCTAGAAGAATTTAAGCTTTTTTAGACTTTCAACAACATCCCATCGCAATCATAAATGTCATCAATAGATAATACCCGAATGGACAACTCTTCATCCAATGCATCAATAATGGAGGTTGACGAAGATGAAGATGCCATTCTTGACGCAGAAGACGTGTCTAGCTCGTCCTCTACTTCATCACAAATAGACACCATCAAACATTCTGCCCCACCGCTAGGACGAAGCGACTCCGGATCGTCCGTCAGCTATATTGACTTGTCCAAGCTCTTGTTTGCCAGTGACTTTGACTTTGGCTTGAATATAGACCACATGAGTGACTCCGCATTGAAAAAGTTGAACAATATGAAACGTAAAACTCAACAAACCTTGACCAAGTACAACAAGAAACAAAAGAAGAACTTGGAGTTGGACAAGTTGCAAGAGATTTTCAACCAGCGATTGGCCAAGTTTGACGAGAGAATTCACCGCAATTTGCAGAGCTCCCTGACGGAAAAGCTATTCTATGCCGTGTCGATATTCATTATTGCCGCCGCTGGGTTCGTCATTGGGAAGTATCCTATATACTTTCCCCATTTCCATACGGCTATCTTTGTGGTGTTGATGCCAATTAGATTCTACACCTATTTCAAACAATCGTTCCAGTACTACTTGGCCGATTTATGTTATTATGTCAATATGTTGCTTATGATTTTCATATGGGTGTTCCCAAACTCCCCCAGATTATTTGTATCCGTGTTTTCGTTATCTTTGGGGACATTATCATTTGCCGTGATTACATGGAGAAATTCGTTAGTTTTGCATTCCATTGACAAGACAACGTCATCGTTCATCCATATCATGCCGCCAGTCACCATGTTTGTCATGGTGCATGAACTTCCTGAAGAATATGTGAAACAAAGATATCCGGGAATAGCGGCCATTGACAACTGGAACTTCATGTCTGCGATAATCATTACATCTATTTACTACACCATTTGGCAAGTACTGTACCATTATTTCATCTCCATTCGTAAGAAGGACCAAATTGAAAACGGGAAAGTGACCTCGTTCTCGTACTTGCGGAAAAAGAACCAAAAGACGATTTTGGGGAAATTTGTTAATGGATTGCCATACCTCTGGATGCAAACGCTTGCATTCACGTTGATTCAGTTTGGATACCAGTTGTTGACCATGATGTTTTGTCCGATTTGGTACAAGTACAAACATGCCTGTGGGGCGTTTGTCACATTTATTTTCATCTGGGCCGCATACAATGGTGCCACTTATTATATTGATATCTTTGGCAAGAGATTGGAAAAGGAAGTGGAGAAGTTGAAACGGGAGATTGTCAGTTTGCAACAAGAGAATGAAAAGTTGCAATTTTCTCCCTTGGCTAAACCTCAGGTTCCTGATGATGACGTGAAGCCTTTGGGCGAAGTGATGGGATAGTATAAGTATATAGAGTATAGAATACCACGATGTTTTACGTACGCCGAGTGCACACGAGATGTATTTCCTAGATATCGTTGTCCTTCCCCCCACACCCACCACCACCATTACATGTAGCTGTCGTGCTACCAAATAAATTTCCGGGTAACGATTTCTAAAATTTTTTTTCGTTTTCCAGCACCAAAGAAAAATGAAAAAAAAAAAATTTAACTGGAGGATACAAGGTATAGTACTTGACAACACACAACCATGTTCAAGAATACATTGGGCCCGGTGTCTATAATAAGAAGATGTTTAAGTACTTCATCACCTGTACTTGAACAAACCAGCTCCAAGGCCAACAAACATGCCAAATTGTTATCGAAATACTATACACCAGATTTACTCAAGTCGATTCAAATCACAGAATCGCTTGTTCAACCAGAAGAGCTCATCAGTTTAAAACTTGCTGGTGGCCGTGCCAGATCCAAAGTCGCTCCTTCAAACGAGCGTTCCGACTATTCCATGTCTGATCCAGCCTGGGACGAGCCAATACTATATCCTAACCAAGCCGGTTCCCGCACGCCATACCCACCTATCCCTAATGTCAATTCTCCAGATGACACAGGGTTGATTTTGAAGTTCGACAAGGCTGTAAGCGACGAGCCTAGAAACCAGAGTAAGATCAAGAGAACCAGTGAGATTGCCAAGGAGTTATCGAAGTTGTTGAATATGGACGAGGCATACCTTAGAAGCTTGGCTGTTCGTCCCTTGGTGATGAGACGAGTGTCGCACAAGACCAATAAGGGATCCATTCCGGGTTTCTTTGCCTTGACTGTCGTGGGTGATCGTAATGGGTCACTTGGGTTGGGTATCGGTAAATCCTTGGACGGTATGAGAGTGGCTGTGAGTAAAGCCCATTGGAATGCTATCAAGAACTTGCAACCTCTTAACTTGTACGAAAACAGAACCATTGTTGGTGATTTCGAGTCTAAGTTCCATGGTGTCAAGATGAGAGTCAGATCTGCCCCAGAAGGTTCTGGTCTCAGAGTCAACCATATCATTTATGAAATATGTCAAGCTGCTGGTATCAAGGACTTGGGTGCTAAAGTGTACAAGTCGAGAAACCCCATGTTAATTGCTCAAGGGTTTGTCAAGGCTTTGGGTCAACAACAAAGTATTGAAGAATTGGCTGCTAGTAGAGGAAAGAAGATTGTTGATATGAGAACAGTTTACTATTCTCAATAGAACTGCATGTAAATAGTGTATCTGAACATAACTTGTAACTAAACTATGCCCCTTCGTAGTAAGTGTTGTTGACTATCACTTGGATGGCCAGTCGTGTGGATTGACCATTTTTTTGCATGTTTAAAAAACCTTTGCTTTGCCACAAACTAAAAATTTTAGGAAAACCCTAAATCATACGCAAATCATAAGTTAGCAACTGTTTTACCTTTGTTGTTATCTTGCATACGAGTCAATTCAGAAACGTTACAACTTTTCTTAGCTAATATATCAATCCTAGACTTTTTTTTTCTCTCTCTCCCTTGGATTCCATCGCACATTATCTCCACTAATAGAAAGACAGCATTAGCATTATGGTTGTTGACACCACATACTATGACCTTCTAGGCATTGAAACCACCGCTACATCACTTGAGATCAAGAAGGCATACAGGAAGGCTGCCATCCGTCTTCATCCCGATAAAAACCCCAATGATCCCACTGCTGCTGCACGGTTCCAAGAAGTGGGCCAAGCATACCAAGTACTTAGCGATGACACGTTGCGGGCCAAGTATGACAAGTTTGGAAAGCAAGAAAGTATCCCCACTGAAGGGTTTGAAGACCCTGCTGAATTCTTCTCTATGATTTTCGGCGGGGAGGCCTTCAAGGAGTGGATTGGAGAGTTGAGTTTGTTACTGGAGTTATCCAAGAGTGCCGAGTTGGCTGGATATACCGATGGTGAAGATGACAAGAAGGAGAAATCTGATGGAGACAAGACCGAGCCAGGTGTGAATGAAACTTCGACCGAAGGAGCTACAACTTCCACTAGTGGAACTACCAACCCATCCAAGGACCAATTACTCCTTTCCCATACCACCCATGACGAGTCAAAACTTACAGCTAAGGAAATCGAAGAAAGCAAACGCAAGGCTGAACTAGAAAAGTTTGAAGAAGAATGTCGTCTTAAGAAGTTGGAAACAAGACGTCAGCTTGCGCAAAAACTCGTGGAAAAGCTCCTGCTTTTCACCGAAACCGACATGAAACAAGATGTGATTGATTCATTCCAGACTAAAATCAAATACGAAGCCGAGTCACTCAAGATGGAGAGTTTTGGATTGGAGATTTTGCATACCTTGGGACACATTTACAAGACCAAGTCGAGGATTTTCTTCAAGAACCAAACCTTTTTCGGCTGGGGTGGATTCTGGTATAGTGTGAAGGAAAAGGGTGGAGTTGTCAAGGATACTTTCAAGACTGTCAGCTCGGCATTGGATGCTCAACGAACCATGGAGGAGTACACGCAAATGCAGCAAGACAATGAATACCACGCCAAGAAGGAAGCTGAAGAACAAAAGGAGCAAGATCCAGAAGAAGCCAAGAGTGCCGCTGAACAAGAGGTGAACAAGTTGGAAGAAGAGCTTGAACATGTGAAGCAGGAAAAGGCTGAAGTTGAAAAGTCAAAAGAACCTATTCCTAATAAACACACCCCAGAAGAGTTGGCGGAAATGGAGAAGTACTTGATGGGCAAAGTGTTGGCCGCTGCTTGGTCCGGATCCAAGTTTGAAATTCAAGGTACTGTGCGTGCTGTATGTGACATGGTTTTGGAGGATAAGGAGGTTCCTCTTGAAACTAGGGTGGCTAGAGCCAAGGGATTGAGACTTATTGCTGATGTGTTTATTGCCGTGAATAGAACTGAGGATGAAGCAGAAGAGGCTAGAGTATTTGAAGAGTTAGTGGCCGAAGCCAGCAAGAAGCGAGATCGTAAAAAGCATCATCATAATGATGAAGATGTTGCAAAAAATGATGTTCCTGCAGAAGCTGGTGCCATATGATATTGCTATATAGTATTTTAAAATTTTCAACTATTATATATAACCAATAGAAACGAAACATAACGTATAGAAGGAAAAAAAAAGTAATCATTTGAACAGTATGACTGTGCTTGCCGGCTTTGCGCCATTGTCCTTCACCATAAGGCATTTCAGTCAGAGGCTTATTAAAGCCAAATGTCAAAATGGCATCAAGGGTCACAAAATGGTACTATCACGTGATTGTAATCTCCCATTGTACTCTACGATGGTCTTGCCCATAAAAGGTACTCCATTTTATCAGCAACGTAGCGCTCTTTCTACTACTACACCTTACAGAATGACTTCATTAATAGAGAATATCAAGTCCAGATCACACGAGTTGGATCCATGTACTCAATCCAACTACACCCAATTTCAAGTTAAGCACACCACCTTAACCCTTGGTGTTTCCTTTGAAGACAAGGTGTTGACCGGTACTGTTGTGTTTGAATTAGTCAACAAAAGCAAGACCGATTCAGTTATTCTTGACACTGCCGCATTAGACATTTCTCAAGTTAAGGTCAACTCAGACGTCACTCCATTCAAGCTTGCTCCAGCTGTTCCAATCTATGGTTCTGCATTACACATTCTGATCCCCACTAACGATTCCACCGTTAAGGTTGAAATCGATTTCCGCACCACTGATAAATGTACCGCCATACAATTCATCGCTGGTGACACTGGTCCATATGTGTTCTCCCAATGTCAAGCCATTCACGCGCGTAGTCTTTTCCCATGTTTCGACACTCCAGGAGTGAAGTCTACATACACATTCACGGCCAAGTCTCCTTCCCCATGCACCATGTCTGGAAGACCTCGTGCCAGCTCGGAAGCTGGGGTATACCATTTCGACCAGCCAATCCCTATTCCATCCTACTTGGTGTCATTGACCTCCGGAAACCTCCTCAAGGCACCCATTGGGCCAAGATCCGATGTTTACTGTGAGGAACCAAACCTTAAGGCCTGTCAATGGGAGTTCGAAAAGGATATGGAAAACTACATTCAAATTGCTGAAGCCTTGATTTTCGACTATGAATGGGACAGATTCGATTCCTTGGTTCTCCCTAGTTCTTTCCCTTATGGAGGTATGGAGATCCCCAACATGACCCAATTGACACCAACGTTAATCTGTGGGGACCGTACCCAAACCAAAGTCATGGCCCATGAGTTGTCCCATTCCTGGAGTGGGAACTTGGTCACCAATTGCAGCTGGGAACATTTCTGGTTGAACGAAGGGTGGACCGTGTACTTGGAAAGACGTATCTTGGGTGCTATTGCTGCCAAGGAGAGAAACTCGGCTGAGTACGGGGAACAAGTGAGACATTTCAATATGATTATTGGCTGGAACGGATTAGTGGAGAGTGTCAATGGCATGCCTGCCAAGTTCACCAAGTTGGTATGGGACTTGCAAGGACAAGACCCAGATGATGCGTTCTCCAAGATTCCTTACGAAAAGGGGTTCTTCTTTTTGTTCCATCTTGAAACTAAGTTGGGTGGATTGAAGGAGTTTGATCCGTTTATCAAGCACTACTTTAAGAAGTTCAGATATGGATCATTGAATAGTGCTCAGTTTGTGGAAACGTTGTATGAATTTTACGAGCCATTGGGCAAGAAGCAAGTTTTGGACAGTATTGACTGGGACACTTGGTTATTCAAAGAAGGTGTTCCTGAATATCCAAAGTTTGATACTACTTTAGCCGATCAAGTTTACTCATTAGTTGACAAGTGGGTCGCTTATGTCGAAAAGGGTGGAGAATTCACCTTCTCAGAAGCTGACGTGCAAAGTTTCGAAGGTGAACAAGAAATGTTGTTTTTGGAAACCTTGGTGGAAAAGTTTAAACAAACTCAAGTCACTCCTGAATTGATCCGTAAGATCCCAAGTGTGTACCCAAAGTACTCTGCCAGTGGTAATGGTGAATTCATTAGTCGTTGGAACGAGTTGTTGATCACGTTTGGAAAGTACAGTGCTGGTGAAGAAGTTGTGCAAAAGTTTGCAACTTGGTTAGGGTCTGTCGGAAGAATGAAGTACGTTAGACCAGGTTACAAGTTACTCAGCTCCGGTGTCAGTCTCGAGTTTGCCAGAGAAACATTTGCCAAGTATGAACAAAACTACCATCCAATCTGTCATGCCATGGTCAAGAAGGACTTACAATTAGTTTAAACATATATATTAATATACACACATATCGGGTATAGCTAAAAGTTTGCTTCTTTCTTAAAATTGTCTAATCTCTTGTGGTGGTCTTGGATAAACTTGATGACCTTCTTTCTATTTTCTCTCAAGATTTCGTTACCGCTCACATCAACAGCGTCTAACTTCATCAATTCTTTCAACAACATCTCTTCAAAATAGTTGTATTTAGCTTCAACTTCTTCTGGCTTCAAAGTCTTGTAAGTGTCCAAATAAGTATCGATAGCGGGAACATACTCCGATTCAACAAAGTCCAAGATCCCTTGAATTTCACGGTTGGCCTTTTGTGCTTTACTCAACTTCTTCTTTGGTTTGCCTTTCTTCTTGCTCTTCTTGTCCTTTTTGTCGTCACCGGACCCCAACAAGAGCTTCCCAAACACAAAGAAGGTACTCAATGTGATCAAAGTGATGGACACGGTCACAGACGACACTTTCAACTCTTTGAATTCACTTATTACATCCTCGACAGAAGTGTTGCGAAGATGTTCCAATTGCGGAACAACGTACTGGTGGTAGTTCACTTCTGCCTGTTGCTTGAGCGAGTTGGCGAGGTCAAGTAGTTCACCTTGGCTAGGGATTTGCGAACAGAGCTTGTTCAATTGAGCGTGCACTTGATCCATTTGCTTGCTGTCTGATCAACAGGTGTTGTCATATGGGAAGTGTGAACAACAAAAAAAAGACAAAGAATTTTCAACTGATTTTTTTAGCAGGCGTTGTTGGGACGAGCCGCAGCGGAACAACTCACGTTCACCCCAAAGGAGTTTATACGATAAGGTATCTATTTACTACACAAAACTAAATGAATAATTCTCCGCTGAAATCGCGACTGGGCTTTAGTTCACCTACTGGCTTCGGTTTACTGTGCTTGTTGATGGGCGGTGCAGGTTTCTTAATGCTGATGTCTATCGGTTGTTGTTCCTGCTGTTCCTGTTGTTTTTGCGGTGGGGCGCCAGACGTAGCCAAGCTCTTGGGAAGTCTTCTCTTGGGTCCTTTACTACGTCCCTTTCCTGGATGTGACAACTTGGCTTCGGTCTTTGGACTGTCATTTGCTGGCTCCGTCTTGACTCGACGTATACCTGCTGGGCTGGGTGCTGGTGGAGTAGCTGGTGCGGAATTTACCCGAGATAGCAATCCATTCAACTTGCTCTCGAATGTTTCAGCTTTCGCCGGTTCAGCCGGTTCTGGTTTGGCCAATCTGCTCAACTGATTCTGGATAACTTCAGCATCCTTGTTGGCATAACTGTTCTGGCCCTTGGCTGGCTTGGCTGGCTTGCTGAGACTCTTTAATTGCGCTTGAAGTGCTTCGGCATCTTTTCGCGCATACTCGTTTTTAGCAGTTGGCTTCAATGACACTTTTGGACCATTGGCCACCACTTGATCAAACCGTTTCTGAAACTCAGCAGGAGGTGCATTGTAAACGGCAGCGGGCTTAGGTTTAAGCGGAGGTGGAGGAGCAGTCAGTTTCACAGTTTTGAACTTTACCAAAAATTCCTTCTCTTCTGAGCTCTTCTCTACTGGCTTTCTTTCTGGCGATTGTGATCGTAATTTATTCAACTTGGAATGGAACTCAGATAATTCGGCACTTTCTGGAGTAGAGCTCTTTTCCGGTGAGGCACTTCTCAACTTTGCCGTTTTAAATTCAACGACTTTCTCGGCCGAAGATGCGATTTTCTTGGGCACAGGGGGAGGAACAGGAGTTTTTCTCAATACTGTTTCCCTTCTGGCGATAAATTCAGGCTCTTTTTCCTGTTCTGGTTCCTCCAACACTTTGGTGCTCTTGCTCTTGGGGATATTGCTCAAATAGGCCGGTTTTTCAGGGAGCTCCCTTTGAACGCCGTTAGTTCTGCGAACAGCTGAATCGATCCAATTTCCTTTCTTGGTGCTTATCTTGCGTTCAGGACTTGGGTTGGCAATCTGGGCCAACAGCTTACTGCTTTCGCTCTTGACGGCAGAACTTATCCAGCTGGTTGGCTTCTTGGCAACAGGTGGTGGGCTAGCCTTCAGTTCTGAGCTTTGAGGAGTTGATGTGGTGGTTTTGGAGTGTGCAAGCGATGAGAGCCAGTCAGATTTGTGTTTGGGTGGCAGGGGTGGACTTTCTGATGTAGATAAAGTAATTGTAGTTTTCGAATTATCCAATGTTGAAGTAAGCCAGTTCTTTTTAGTGGGTGATTTAGAAATTTGTGAAAGTGTTGGGGATTTGGTAGGAACTTTAGGAGTGTCTGTTGGGGTCACAGTGGTCTTTGAATTGTCTAATGTCGAACTAAGCCAGTCCTTTTTGGCTGGTGGTTTTGGTGTCTGTGAAATGGTTGGTGACTTTGCAGGGGGCCTAGGAATGTCTGATGCAGATGAAGTTGCTTTTGTTTTTGAATTGTCTAACGTGGAAGTAAGCCAGTCCTTTTTGCCAGGTTTGGGAGCAAGCGACGGTGATTTGGAAGGAACTTTTGGTGGTTGTGTAGCAGAACTAAGGTATGTCGGTTTCACTGTTCGTATTGGTGGAGGAGGTGGCTTTTCATCATCATCATCCTCCTCCTCCTTCTCCTTCCTTCTCTCTTCTTCTTTTTCTGGTGGCTGTGTTGGTATTGATGTGTTTCTCCACTGTCCTCTTGGCGTGGCCTGTAATGGTGGTGGAGACGAAACTTTAGTTCCACCCACGGCTGGTTCAGTTCTCTCAGCTGGGTCAGATGCATATACTCCTTCGGGTGTGGTTCCCTGTTTGATCAATTGTTCCATCTGACCAAATGATCTCATCCCCAGGCCTTTTTCGGCACGAGGCAAGACAGCAGGAGTAATATTGGGTTTGGGTTTGACAACCGGTGGTGTCTTTTCATGCTTTCTCGCCACGGGAGTCAACAAGTTCAAATTGAGTTCTTGAACACCACGGTTGAACTTCAATTCAGGGATATCGATAGGGTATGAACTCTTCAGAGTTGACGCCACACCCTTGACGGGTGATGGTGTGCGCAGGTGTCTCAAGTCATCAATGTTTCGCTGAAGGTCTCGTTGTCGTTGTTGGTCTTGTTTAATTCTATCCTGCAGGAGCTGCGAAAGACTGGATAGGAAATCATCGACCTTTTTCTGGGATGGTGATGTCGACATGGGCGATCTTGACTGCTGTATTGGAGTACACAAGAGATTGGATCGACGAGAAGGATTTAAAAACATTGACCATGTTATATGCAGGAATGCTGATTTTGGTTGTGGAAGGTGATTGTGATTGTGATTTCCTAGAAGGATAGACGAGACGAGAAGGTTTGAAAATTGTTTGCAAAATTATGCAAAATATGAGCAATATTTGACAGAATTTAACTAAAACCTAAGCCAATTACTATGACATGGCTTAACTAGCTCAATTGCGGATCAATTACACCTATACCTCATAAATGTTTACTTCATAAATTCTTACCTGTACAAGAAAAAGCTAACTAAAAGTACTGGAATAACTTCATCAAAGTTAAAAGTTTTGACAGAAGGGGAATTATCAGAATACTGGAATGTTCCCACATCACAAACCCATCTCTCCTGAAAATTCAGATCCCATTCGATGTGACACAGTATGTACAATAATTATCCGCTCCAATGATCTCCGTTTGACCTAATAGGAGTACAGAACCGGATCCTTACTAATCAACCACCATTGTTCAAACCTTAATTGTTCCATCCCCCAAACTAAAGTGGAGGTGGGCCTCCAAGGAGGGCGCATTCCTTCCGGTAGGTTGTTCCTGGGTTCTTCACTGTTACACAAGCATGCAATATCCGGAATAACAATGCATACAATGAATAAACTCCAAGGTGGAACAACTAACAACAACAATAGGACGCAAGATGAATCGGTATGGAAAATTGCGAGAAATGTAGCGAAATTATTTTTGGTGCCTTACTTTATTTTATTTTTTTGGGGGAAATCACTGCGGGATCGAACAAGTGGGGAGACGCCACTGTCGTATACATTCGGCTTTAAACCTTTTCTGGGCTATATCTTATTCTATTTTTAGTTAGGCTTTCATAGTAAGTGGGTTGATGGGTACTTAAACCTGATCTGTCGTGGTTAGCACAAGAAGTGTCACTGGATGAACTATCAGAAATATCCGAATTACAATAATACATCAAAGGCGCATCCCCGCAAAAAATATTACCCTCGGGGCATAAGGGAAATTGTTTTTGTGAAAATATTTGCAGGTAAAAAAATATTTGGTTTTCACAGCCAAATATTCCGAAGCTATTGTTCCGAAAAATAATGCCAATAAACCCAATTTCAAGCTGTTTGAATGACACACATTCCCGTGGAGAAAGCGGGCGAACTCCCAGTAAGTCCGCCAGTCCTACCCCCAGTTTCCGTAAACTATAAATACACATGTAAATTCCCTTAACTTGTCAGTTCAGTTTAGTTTCTCCATCAACTAACCATGATTCTTTCAAGTGTGGTCAAAACTGCCATTGCATTAGCAATGCTTGGCTATAGTGCTGCTTCGCCTACTCCATCTCTGAGTAGTGTTGCTGATTCCCACCCTACTGTTCCTAACGAATTGACCCTTGGTGTCAAGCAAGTGCCAAATATTCTCAATGAAACTGCCGTTGATGCTAACCAAGTTGCTAAAGGTTACTCGCTTACTAACGTCACTGCTACTCCTCGTGGTCTTACTGGGTTATTGAACTTGAAAGGTGCTACCAATATTTACGGTTATGATTTTGACAAACTTAACTTGACTGTCACTTACCAACTGGACAACAGATTGAACGTCCGTATCGCTCCAGTTAACTTGACCGACGTGTACATCTTGCCAGAACTGTTGGTTGCATTGCCTAAAGTTGAAGGTGATGTCAATACATTTGAATTTGAAAACTCCGATTTGATTTTCAGTTACGACAGTGAAAATTTCGGATTTGAAGTCAAGAGAGCTTCTACTGCCGAAGTCTTATTCTCCACCAAAGGTAACCCATTGGTGTTCTCTAACCAATTTGTTCAATTCAATACCACTTTACCAAAGGGCCATCAAATCACTGGGTTGGGTGAATCTATCCACGGCTCCTTGAATGAACCAGGTACCGTCAAGACCTTATTTGCTAATGATGTCGGTGATCCAATCGATGGTAACATCTATGGTGTCCACCCAGTCTACTATGATCAAAGATATGATACTGGAACTACTCACGGTGTTTATTGGAGAACCTCTGCTATTCAAGAAGTGGTTGTTGAGGACCAATCGCTTACTTGGAGAGCCTTGTCTGGTGTTATTGACTTATACTTCTTTAGCGGTCCTGATCCAAAGGATGTCATTCAACAATATGTTAAGGAAATCGGTTTACCTGCTATGCAACCATACTGGGCCTTGGGTTACCATCAATGTCGTTGGGGTTACGACACCATCGATGATGTCAAGAATGTTGTGGAAAACTTCAAGAAGTTCAACATCCCATTAGAAACCATCTGGACTGATATCGATTACATGGACACTTACAAGGATTTCACTAATGATCCATACAGATACCCTACTGACAAGTACCAACAATTATTGGAAGAACTTCACTCCAACAACCAACATTATGTTCCTATTTTCGATGCTGCCATTTATGTTCCTAACCCAAACAATGCCACTGACAACGCCTACACTCCATTCCATGCCGGTAACGAATCCGACATTTTCTTGAAGAACCCTGATGGAAGTTTGTACATTGGTGCCGTGTGGCCTGGTTACACTGCCTTCCCAGATTTCTTGAATAACAAGACCCAAGAATACTGGAATGAGCAATTCAAGACTTGGCACGACAGAATTCCATTCGATGGTATCTGGACTGATATGAACGAAGTCAGTTCCTTCTGTGTTGGTTCCTGTGGTAGTGGAAGATACTTTGACAACCCAGTCCACCCACCATTTGCTGTTGGTGCTCCAGCAACTTCATACCCATTGAACTTTAATGTTACTAATGCTACTGAATGGGCCTCCATTTCCTCCGCTATTGCTGCCACTGCATCTACCCCAGTTCCAGAAGCCACTTCTTCTTCATCTTCATCCATTGATTCCAAGAACACTCTTGCTCCAGGTAAGGGTAACATCAACTATCCACCATATGCTATCAACAATGCTCAAGGTGATCACGATTTAGCCACCCATGCTGTTTCTCCAAATGCTACCCACGTTGACGGTACTGTTGAATATGATATTCACAACTTGTATGGTTTCACCCAAGAAAAGGCCATTTACAATGCCTTGCTTAACATTGCTCCAGACAAGAGACCATTTATTATCGGTAGATCCACCTTTGCCGGTGCCGGACACTATGTTGGTCACTGGGGTGGTGACAACAGTGCTGATTATGACATGATGTACTTTTCCATTCCACAAGCCTTTTCCATGGGTCTTTCTGGTGTTCCATTCTTTGGTGTTGACGTTTGTGGGTTCAATGGTAACACTGATATGGAATTGTGTTCTAGATGGATGCAATTGGGTTCCTTCTTCCCATTCTATAGAAACCACAATGTCCTTGGAGCCATTTCCCAAGAACCTTATGTCTGGGAACTGGTTACTGAAGCTGCCAAGACCAGTATGAACATCAGATACTTGTTGTTGCCATACTACTACACCTTGTTGCACGAATCCCATACTAGTGGTTTACCTATCTTGAGATCATTCAACTGGGAATTCCCATACGACAAGAAGTTGAGTGGTATTGACAATCAATTCTTTGTTGGTGATGCTTTGGTGGTTACTCCAGTCTTACAACCAGGTGTTGACAAGGTCAAGGGTGTCTTCCCAGGTACTGACGAAGTCTACTACGACTTCTACACCACTGAAAAGCAAAACTTCAAGAATGACAAGAATGAAACTCTCGACGCTCCATTAGGTCACATTCCATTACATATCAGAGGTGGACACATTCTTCCAACTCAAGAACCAGGATACACTACTACTGAATCCAGAAAAAATCCATTCGGATTGTTGGTTGCCTTGGACAAGGATGGTAAGGCTGCTGGTAAGTTGTACCTTGACGATGGTGAAAGTTTGAATGTTACCGAAAGCTTGTATGTTGATTTCGTCGCTGGTGACAATGAATTGTCTGTCAGTGCCTTTGGTGACTACAAGGTCGAACAACCATTGGCTAATGTTACCATCTTGGGTGTTGACAAGAAGCCAGAAGGTGTCAAGTTTGGTGATTCCAAGGTTAATTACAAGTACGAAAAGGGTACTGTTTACATTACCGGTTTGGAAAAGTACACCAAGGAAGGTGCATTTGCTGAAGAATTTACTGTCTCTTGGTAAGTTAGTTTAGATATTTTCGTTTACACGTAGTTTAGAATTTCGATCGTTATATTTCAATAAAAGTTTACTATAAAATTTTTGTTGGTATCTGTATTATATTTTTCACAGCCAATGCACTGAAGCAAAAACAAAAAAAAATAAGTGCAACCATTTTTCAAGATGAGCATCCAACAACAATAGCCATGTCGTTCTCATTTGGGTTCACCAACGACGATCTCAGCGGAGATGAACTAGATCAATCAAGCACACCTTCACAACCGCCACAAGCTCGTGCTCTTGATACACTCGTCACCCCAAAGGAAAACCTACCACAACGACACACCCTCGCCCAGTTATGTTCCACATTACTCAACGTCCGTATCACATTCGACAATTACACCACACCAGGTGGTAACCTCATTTATCGTCGTGAGTTATTCGACGTGAAACACCAAATTATGAGTGAAGACGAAGGGAGCACTCAACTTGGAGAGATGTTGCTCGATGAACAAAGTGATTTGCAGAGGAATGTGTATGAAGGCGGGTTCAAGAGTTGGGAATGCGCTTATGATGCCGTGGACAAACTAGCACTGGGTCAGGTTGAGATGAGCAGTGTGTTGGAGTATGGATGTGGAACCGCTTTACCTTCATGTTTCATTCTTTTGCGCAAGTTCACCAGCGGTGATAAGAATAGTTTGAGAATTACATTGAGTGATTTCAATTACGATGTGCTTAGATTGGTTACACTTCCTAATTTGATTATTAACTGGGCCTCTACGTTGCCAGTGGAAAAATTGCATGCATTGACTACTAGTGAAGAGAATCCTGTATTCAACAATGACGAGGTTTTACTCACACAACAATTAATACAGGAGTTCACCTCTGCATTGAACGAGTTCAATATTGAGCTTGACTTTATATCGGGTGCTTGGGGAAATCAATTCAATGAGTTGGTTACATCTCAGACTAGTGTTGATTTCATGATTAGTTCGGAAACGATATACTCTCCAGATATCTTACCGGTAGTTGCCGAGTCGATAGTGGAGATACTCAGCCGGACTAATGGTACTGCCAAGTGCATGGTTGCGGCCAAGAATATTTATTTTGGAGTTGGCGGGTCTGTTATTGAATTTGTCAATTATTTCGACAAGGTGAGCGAGAGTAAGTTTATCATGGAGGTGGAAGAAATTAATGATTCACAATTGAAGAGATCTTTAGTTATGATTGAGAAGAAGTAGTAGCAATAGCTCTACTAAGGAAGTTTATAGATTATATTATAATTCATTACGAAGTAGCAGTAGAACGATGTTGTACCCATGGCAAAATCAGGCGATTTCTGCTCACGTGACCGTCGATGAAGCCCAACTTGATTTGATACCATCGCTGCAACGGCAAAGATAAAGCACGTAATGTGTGTGTATGATGAGTTAGTTGATGTAGTATATCTGCAATGTAGTCATGGTTATATAGCTTCAATAAGTACTAGAAAGTGGATGTGGCCAGTGATTGCAGGAATACGCGACAATTCCACTTTGATATTCAAAGGCCGGCGACACTGTAGATACATATCTCTTGCGAGAACCACCTTGAACAGACAATTCAGTTAGGCAAAACTAGCGATCTGAGTCAAGTGACGTATATAAAAACATCTCCAGATACCTACTCATCCTAGCAATACTAATTGCTTACGTTCAGGTGTATCATCACTTGTCAATTATACACTAGTCAAACATGAGAAGTCGTGCGTCCACCAAAGCTGAAATATCCAATCAAAATTTTCACTAATAAGAAACAAACACAGACAGACAGACAGAGAAAAAAAAAGGAAGCTCCCTCTTAAAGACATATCTCTACCAGTCTTTTTCCCTTTTTATATTTCATACCAGTGTTCAAATACAAATGCTTTCTAGATCATTACAAAGAACTGCCGTTAGATTCAACAGTACTGTTTCCAAGTCTGCTCCTCGTGCATTATCTAATGCTTATGTTAGCAAGTTGGAAGAAAGATGGACCCACTTGGCTCAACAAGACCAACAAGCATTGATACAAGAATTAAAGGCAAGAATGGAATTACCATGGGGTGAATTGACCAGTGCTGAAAAGAAGGCTGCTTACTACATCTCTTTTGGTTCCTGGGGTCCAAGAAAACCAATGTATAATCCTGGTGATAAATCCAAGATTTTCTGGACTGTTACTGGTACTGTGGTTGCTTCCATCATTGCCTTTATTGGAATACGTTCCTTGGCTGCTCCTCCTCCACACACTAACACTAGAGAATGGCAAGAAGCTTCTGATGAATACTTGAAGTCCAAGAATGCCAACCCATTCTCTGGTTACTCCCAAATTCAATAGGTGTACTACTATATTACTACCACTATATCACTACTGCTATACTACACTTGACACACATTCCATCGCATGAACTCAGTTACGTACAGTTTCATCAGACTTCCATTCTCTCTTTTTTTTTATATATATTTTAGGGAATGCAAGTTCCTTTAGGCAATCACTTTGCAATTTTATATAATAAAACATATGAACTAATATTTTGCGTAGCTGCCTTGTAGAATGTACATGGTAGAATGTACACGGTAGAATGTGAACGGTAGAATATGTACGGTAGAATGTGCATACTAGAATGTGCATACTAGAATCACATTAGGAGTATGTTACATGCTACATGTGTAAGTACAAGTGTACGAAAGGTTATGCAATTACTATAAAAATTAGAATTAACGGTATGGGGCATCAGCATCAATACAGTATTGTATTTCTTGTTCCCACTTGTCACCATTGTCCAACAACTTTTCCTTATTATACAACAACTCTTCTCTGGTGGCAGTAGAGTATTCCACATTGGGGGTTTCCACAATGGCATCGACAGGGCAGGACTCTTGACAGTAACCACAATAAATACACTTGGTCATATCAATATCATACTTGTAAGTTCTTCTACTACCATCGGCTCTTTCTTCGGCTTCAATAGTAATTGCTTGCGCAGGACAAATGGCTTCACATAATTTACAAGCAATACAACGTTCTTCACCACTAGGGTATCTTCTTAATGCATGCTCACCTCTGAATCTTGGTGAAATAGGACCCTTTTCAAAAGGGTAATAAATAGTGTAAGGGGCACGGAAGTACATTTCCAAACAGACATACATCCCTCTAGCAATTTCACTTAAAAAGAAAAACTTGGTGGCTTTAGATAAAGCACCTTCGCTTGATTCTTCCCATGTCTTGGGACGGGGCTGTCTGAAGCCTTTAGGCCAGACTGCTTGTGTGGAGCCACCGGTGGTGAGGTATTCAGTACGTTCTGGTGCTAATGCTGGAGCAAGGATTCTGGTACTAGTAGAAAGGAATCTGGCATGTCCGATTGGACGTGTTATAATCAGTCTCAACATTATATTTGATGCAAAAGATATCTCCCTGGTTGCTTACTGTTTGATGATGGAGATACTATTTATTTATTTTTGTCTGTCTGTAGTTAAAATTTGCATTGCCAGTGTAAGCAGAAAAAATTCAACCTGTCATTGGTGGAATTCCGGGGTACTGCATATAGCCCGCAGTAACTGCAAAATTTCCAGTTGTTGGTATACCCTCTCTTGGAGTTTGTTACTCTACTGGTATACTCTCTATTGCTCTGCTGGTATGTTTCTACTACTGTGTGTTGGTCTGCTAGTATATCTCTATTACTGTGTGTTGGTCTGCTAGTATATATCTATTACTGTGTGTCGCTCTGCTAATATATCGCTATTACTGTGTGTTGCTCTATTAATACCTACTGCTCAACTGGCATATCTCTATTACTGGGTACCGCTCGATCTACCACTTGGCACCAAACATAGCAACATTAGCATCAGTTACCTTCTCAACTTCACTGAACTTGGTCTCAAACACTCGTTTGTACGTCATCAGTGACTGTTCCACAAAACTATTGCTCCATTCAATCAACCGATCTACTTGCTCAGCAACATCCCATTTGCCAATACTACCATACTTTTCCAACCCAAGTGCAATCCAATCCTTTTCAACAATACCCTCGGCTGGAGAGATCTGTCCACCTCCATTGATACACCCACTGGGACAAGCCATGATCTCCACATAGTCGCATTTCGAGGGGTCTGCTTCTTCTGAAGTCTTCTTTGCTTTAGCAGTAGATCCACCTCTCCCACGACGTCTGGCTAAAAGTGCATTAGGTTTAGCCACGGTATTCCCCGGCTTTAACTTTCTCACTAGATTCTGGATGTTTTTAAATCCGTTGACAATACCAGACGAAGCAATCTGGGTGTCTTGATACATCAACCTCATTTCGTAAATATCGGCATTTCTCCCCTTGACAACTTTGAATTCGAACTGGTCCGCAATGTAGTTTTCCTTACTTATTAAATACTGTTGATAAAGCCTGAGATAAGTGTATCCATATCCCCCACTGGCTGATCCAGAGTCATTGGACCAGGCATACTCCACAAATGGCCATTTATTGGGTGCGCTTTCCTTATACACTTGACTTGTATTACCAAAAGTGTAGTCTTTCGCTATCAAGTCATACCCCATTTCTTCAATCAACGCAACAACCTCCCTCGGAGTAAGCACACAATCAACATCGCTCGTTCCTCCATCGACTTCGGGCCGGGCACTCTCCAACTTCTTATCGAAACAAGGCATGATTGTCAAATGATACACTTGGTTCCGGGGAACATTTAGCTCTTCACTGGTCAAGTTTTTTAATATACATCCAGTAACCTGCTGGGGTGATTTAACATTCGATAACCGGGGTATTATATAAGGATGGGTCTTTTCAGCGTATAGCACCCACCCGGGGCAGATTGACGACAAGGTAGGTCCTTCTGTTTTGTCCATCTTTCTTTGAATCATGGAGTTGGACTCGTTGACAAGCGATAGTTTCCTCCCGAGTGATGTGCCGACAATATATCTAAACCCCATCTTTTTAAGTAAGTGAATCAATAGCTGGTCTAATTGTTCAACGTCAACATTGTATGCTAATGCAAGCGATGCCCTTGCCTGGTGAGAAACGCTCGCCACAAACACTTTATCAGTCTCTAGCGCTTTGAGGAGCTCCTTATGAGAGTGCTGGGCCACGAGGACTTCTTCTGCAGAGGTAATACATCCAGAACAAGCAAGGCAATCGGCAAGTGAGATTTGTGCTGGGGCGAGCACCAGTTTTGGTTTAGCGTCGATTTCAATTTCGAGCTCATTAGACTTGGATGGTGTTTCTATGGGTTTGATACAAGCTACACCCGGTGATATGAAGTCGTTTAGGTCGTCTGCTGATAGTAGGGCGCTCATATTGTTGACGTAGATAGTTGTAGTGTGATGAGTTTGCTGATTAATTAATTAATTTTTTCTGGTTTGTTTTTGCCGCTATCGCGCTGCAAAATTTGCCAATTACTAATAGCTTACCATGCATACATTGCGTACAATACATACAACATTATATATAGACAACCTCCTGTATAAGGTATAATATCTCATATTTTACAGCTATAAAACTAAAGTACATGTCTACTCAGTCTCTTCAGCAGACATATCCCCCAATTCGAAATCTTCTATATCCACCGCCTCGTACTTTGCTGGAGCAATTTCTCCATCTTCATCATATCCAACCAATCTCAAGTATCCCCAAAGCAACCCTTGGAACCACAAGAAGATCATAAACGCCGCTGAACTAACCACTAAAACATATGCGGAATGATCACTCCCTAAGTCATGCACCAACTGCAACTGTTCTTCGTTTGCACCCATAAACATAATCCCCGCTAAACACAAGCAAAAGCAGGGAAAGTATTGGAATTGTAAAATCTTCCCACTAGGAGAACACGCCTTGTCCTTTAACAACAACAGAATCTCCATGATCCGCGTGACACCGGCCCCCATTAACGCAATACCAAAAACGGCATGCACTTTTGTCAGGATCATCAAGTGTTGCGAATGTGCCGACATTGAGTATCCAGTAAATATAAGAAGCAAGGCAGGAACAAACGACCGGTTGTTATTACGCGACAAGAACATTCCCAAAAGACCACCGGCCCACCAGATGATTCCCATGGACGTGTGTTGATAGTCACCCATTGACCAGCCCTCCCTACCCCATCGATGCTCGGTAAATGTGTTGACAATCCCCCATACCATCATTACCGTCGAGTCCAAGAATTCTTGGGATTTCATTTTGCCTGCACCTTGTGAAAGAAGTTGGTGTTTACGGATCCAAGGCACAACTAGCACGAGTGAAAGCACGAATGAGTACGCGATAAATGCCGATCCCATTATACCATGGGCTATACACTGCCCAGTGTGTCTTCCGTAACAGAATCCGAAAAGTGCTACTGGGGCCATACACACTCTGACCCAACCAGTTAGCACCACCACCACGGAAAGCGACTTATAAAGCTTGGACATTTTGCTGTACTCGTTAGGGGACGCGTACTTGGGGTAGAACTTGTTAATCACCAAGTTTGTCCCGTTGATGAATGTCCCAACGAATACGGTCACTCCAAGGAGCGCACTCAAGAACCAACTTGTTCCCTTGGACGTTCTGTTCTCGTGGTTGTCGATGTTGTCGGGGAAGTCCAAGAACAAAGTCTCAAACACGGAGTAGCCCGCTGCGATAAAGTGGAGAACCAAAGACCACGATAATCTGTTGGCAATGGCAAACACGGCCGATACGGATGGGATGATAAGCAAGATAAACAAGGTGAGGATCCAGTGGAATGTTTTCGAGCCCGGGTTGATAGGGTGGAACTCGACCTTGGGCTCGTCCATGTCCATTTCCATGGCGTACGCCATGGCTGCAAGTGTGAATAGTGCGAACATGCTAGTTCTTCCTGTTGCCTTGGTGATTTGCGTAATCGGAAATAAAAATGAGTGTTTTTTTTTCTGGGCAACTTCACAAGATCTGTTCTGTTGCATGTTGGTGTTACTTGCAGCAGAATTAGAAGGGGTGGGGGAGGTGTGTAACGAGTATATAGTTGCAACTGTTCTAGAACAGCTTCATTCACCAACACGTAACCCCAAACTCATAACCTATAGACCTCATTGCAAATACGTTTTACGTTAGCACAGAGATCTTAGCATAGCAAATTGTGTAATCACTATAACATTTCACTACTACTACTACTACTACTACTGCTGCTCTAACGGCATCATCCAAATTGAAATGATGCCAGATCATCAACCCCGACGATCGTACTCCTTCCGCCAAAGCACGTCCTCGGAAGTTAAAACGGTGATTCACTGTAGATTCCGGAAATGGACCAAATTTATTTCTGTTTTGGGAAGGCAAAGCAAAAAAAAAAAAAAAAAAATAAAACTCAAACTCAAAAATCAACACACTTTAATTTTCACAGTGGCTCATACATTTAACGTATACTCAACTTCACGTACTTGCCTCATAGACTTAACTCACTAATAGATCACGGTAGGATGTTGCCGTTTAATATATTAATACTCATATTGGGATCTTTGATCTCGTTCTGTCAAGCAGGCCCTACACGAGACTACGACACCCACAACTACTTCCTCGTGGAACTAAACACCACGTCCAGTCAGAAACCGTTACTTGATTTCATCGACAAATACAAACTGCACTACACCTTTGACCACCAGTTACCGTTGGACAACTACTACGTGTTCAAAATCAACAAGTCTCACCCCCACAACTCGTTTCTTGGAAACTTGAACTCTCACCATAGCGACTTGATGAAGCGTCAGCAGGGATACGAAGAAGTATACGACGATTTAGTAAACACAGTCCAGTCGGTACACTTACTTCCTCCTAAAAGACTCGCCAAAAGAATGCCGGTGCCTATAGACAACGAGGAAATGAAGATAGTCAATAAAGCCAGGGATGACCCTATCCCGGAAACAGCGAGCCAGAAACTCGCAGAACTCGCGCAAAAGCTAGACATCAAGGACCCTATCTTTGCCGAACAGTGGCACTTGTTCAACACCATCTATCCCGGCCACGATGTCAATGTAGCTGATTTATGGCTCGAAGGGAAGTTCGGCGAGGGGATCGTCACGGCGATCATTGACGATGGGCTTGATGCTACCAGTGACGATTTGCGGGATAACTTCAACGCCAAGGGATCCTGGGACTATAATAACAATGGACCATTACCTTTGCCCCGTCTTTTTGATGATTACCATGGTACGAGATGTGCAGGTGAGATTGCTGCAGTGAAGAACGACGTTTGTGGTGTTGGTGTGGCGTACAAGTCGCAAGTCAGTGGGATCCGTATCTTGTCTGGATCCATCACTAGTGCCGATGAAGCAGCAGCTATGATTTATGGATTGGACACGAACGACATTTACTCGTGTTCGTGGGGACCAACCGATAACGGACGGACCTTAGCTGAGCCAGATCTCATTGTCAAAGAAGCCATGGTCAAAGGTATTCTCGAAGGCAGAAAGAATCGAGGGGCATTATATGTGTTTGCCCTGGGTAACGGAGCAAGATACGGCGATTCATGTAATTTCGACGGATACACCAACTCCATCTACTCCATCACTGTTGGTGCCATTGACTATCTGGGTGCCCACCCATCTTATGCTGAAGCATGTTCGGCCGTGATGGTGGTCACGTACTCCTCAGGGTCTGGTGAACATATTCATACCACTGATATCAAGAAGAAATGTTCCAGCACCCATGGAGGAACCTCGGCTGCAGCACCATTAGCCAGTGGGATCTACTCCCTTGTTCTCTCTGCCAATCCAGAACTCACCTGGCGTGACGTTCAGTATGTCAGTGTATTAAGTGCTGTCCCTGTCAATGAAGACGATGGAAGCTATCAAGTGACGGCATTGGGAAGAAAATACTCACATAAATATGGATATGGGAAGATTGATGCTACAAAGATGGTTCATTTTGCTGAGGAGTGGAAAAACGTGAAGCCACAAGCGTGGTACTATACCGATGTGATCCCCGTCAAGGAAACCATCAAGTCTGGTGAAAACAAGGTCATCAAATCCAGCATCACCATCACGGAAGACGACCTCAAATTGATGAATGTGGCCCGGGTGGAACATATCACCGTCAAGGTCAATATTGACTCCACATTCCGAGGACATGTCGGTATGAAAATCATTTCTCCCTACGGAGTAACCAGTGACTTGGCTACATATAGAAACAATGATGCCGCAGCTTCGGGATTCAGGGATTGGACATTTATGTCGGTGGCCCATTGGGGTGAAACAGGGGTAGGTAAATGGCAAGTGGAAGTTTATGGAACCGAGGCCACTATTACGTTTAATGATTGGCAATTGCGTATATTTGGGGAGAGTATTGATGCTGATAAGGCTGATAGGTATGATTTGAAAACAGATTATGCTGCTGTTAGAAGAGCTTTACAGAATAATCAGCCGGAACCAACTACCACTGAAGAATCCACATCTTCGGAATCATCCGAATCTACAGAACTTTCTTCTTCCTCGACTACCTCTGAATTATCGTCTGCTACTTCATCTTCGAGTTCATCCATTGAAACAACTACTACTACTCCAGCCAAACAAGAAACTGAATCACAACCGGCCACCACTGAATCCGCAACACCTACTGCCTCAGAAGAACCGGAACCAACCGATGATGAAGGCAAGACTCGAGTGGGAACCGATCACACCGGTCAGTACTTGATGGCTCTCGCCATAGTTGGATTCATCATGGTTGTTCTCTTTATGAGATTCCACAAATCGCCAGGGTCCTCCCGCAGAAGACCGCGTCCTCGGGAAGATCTCGAATTTGACATCATACCCGGTGAGGACTATTCCGATAGTGAAGCCGATGATTCGTTAGAGTTAGGTGGATACAGACGTGACTTTGACGATGAAGACGATGAACTTGATGGCGACCAGGGTGCACGCGATGCTCTTTTCGATCAGTTTAATGCCGAGACGGTGCCTGATTATGATGATGCCATGTTTAGAATTGGCGAAGAAGAGGAGGAACCAGATAGGAAGAATGACGATGAGAGCAGGGACGACAATGAGGATACCCGATTGATGGGCTCTAAATAGACTTGTACAGTGAATAAACTAGTTCTAGCATGTAAAAGTAGTTGTAATCACCGAGTGAAGCTGGTGGGGGGAGGGGGGGGACAGTCTCGATTGGGTAAGTCCGAGATTGGTGCACAAAATCTCATGTCAATTTTCAACGGTGGAATGTCGCAAGCACTAAAAGTGGGGAAGGCGCGCATCTAAGGAAAAATAGAAGGAATGTAATTCCGTAATCGGACCAATGGTTAGCTATGCGACATTGGCAGCAGCATCAATGGAAGTAGATAAAGTAGGTAGTTTTCGGAACTATGGAATAAGGTGGAGATAAACTAATTCGACGTCCATCTTCCTCGGTTAGATCCTGTTCCTGTAGTTAAGAAGAAAGATGAAAGTTTTCATCTAGTTAACAAAGTCGATGAAAGTATCCTGATAAAAGACCAAGGCTGTAACACACTGGAAAGTAACCAACAACTGCTTAGCAAGTAGCAATAAATTACATATATGAAATATTGCAGCCTTAGTATATGTGGTCTCTGTTAAATTTTGGAATCGTAATTGTTATTTCACGTGACATGATGTTGACTAATTATTACATTACAGTTACAAAGGTACACCAACGCCAAGGCATAGAACAAAGGAAAAGTGATGATTTTACATACTATTGATTTGTATAATCTATCGATATGTACGAGGTGCTAACTAAATATTCGGAAATGAAATTAAAAGCAATTCATATTGGATTTTACTAAGGAATCATTACTACTTGAATCATATATTTTTTCTGCCATTAGTAATGAATTATTGATGGTGCTCGCCTAGAACCCCCTCACCATCCCGTACCGAACAAAAAAAAAAGAAAAAAAGCACCTGCCTGGTGCGATCCCCCATTACATTTTTTTTTGTCACTGAAGTTTTCCGTTAGCGCACAGAACAAAGCCCAAAAAAAAACTACTCAAAATTTCGATAAGAGAGGAAGGTGAATCCAAAATATGACACTATGGGAGTTCGCCGTTGAGAAAAAATTAGCATGTAACACATAATTAAACGCTTCTCTATGCAACAATTAGTACAAAATACACATCAATTGAAGTAGTGTATCTATGTGTCGTACATGTATATCTTCCCCTCGTATCGAGATTGTTTTATTTGCCATTCGCAACTAACTTTAAATGGAATTTCACATTTACAGTTTTGCCGCAGGGACGATACCACGGTTGCTTACACCTTAGTAAGAGATTACGTTATATGCGAATTCCCTCTTTTACCTTTCTGATTACAAATTTCGACCACAAAGCAGGAAAAAATGGGAGGGACGGGAATATGGGAAAATCAACAAAATCCAAAAAAAAAAAAAAAAAAAAAACAATCATTGAAAAATTATTTCCACCCACCGCAATACTAAAAATTTATATAAAGATTATAAATAATTTCCGATTTTTCAAGTTTACAAATTTCCTACTTTCTTTCGACTTTTCTTTCTTTTCTTGTTGATTCTTTAATCTATCAGTAAAGTTAACTTTATCCGCCGCCAATTGAGTCCATACCGTTCCCAACTGTTGACTTAGACCATACGTATATATCCCCGTTGGTCCCTACATATAATTTTCGCCCCTGCTCCCTTTACGTCGGAAAAATAGATTCCCCTACCCCTCCCTTAAATTTTTAACCCATTTGAAAAACTTACGGTCAATTGAACATACCACTTAATAAATAATGTCATACCACTCTTTTGGAGATTACACTACCATTGTCGTCTTTGGTGCTTCGGGTGATTTAGCCAAGAAGAAGACATTTCCTGCTCTTTTCGGATTGTTCAGAGAAGGTCATTTGCCAAAAACCATCCAAATCATCGGTTACGCCAGATCCAAGTTGGAAGATGATGACTTTAAAGACAGAATATCCAAGAACTTTAAAGGAGCGACTGAAGAAACCAAGAAGGAGTTCTTGAGCTTGGTTTCATACATTAGTGATCCTTATGACACTGATGAAGGTTACATCAAGTTGAGAAAGGCATGTGAATCCTATGAAGAAAAGCACGGTGTTAAAAACCCACACAGATTGTTCTACTTGGCATTGCCACCTTCTGTTTTCACTGTTGTTTGTAAACAATTGAAGAAGGAAGTTTATGCTGGTGAAACTAGAATTATTGTTGAAAAGCCATTCGGTCACGATTTGGAAAGTGCTAGAGCTTTACAAAGAGATTTGGCTCCTTTGTTTACCGAAGAAGAATTGTACAGAATTGACCATTACTTGGGTAAGGAAATGGTTAAGAATTTGTTGGTTTTAAGATTTGGTAACACCATGTTCAGCGGCATCTGGAACAAGTCCAACATTGCCTCTATTCAAATTTCCTTCAAGGAAGCTTTCGGTACTGAAGGTAGAGGTGGGTACTTTGATTCCATCGGTATTGTGAGAGATGTCATGCAAAACCATTTATTGCAAGTTTTGACCTTGTTAACCATGGACAGACCAGTTTCCTTTGACCCAGAAGCTGTTCGTGACGAGAAGGTTAAGATTTTGAAGGCTATTGAACCAATTGACACTGAAGATTTGTTATTAGGTCAATACACCAAGTCTGAAGATGGTACCAAGCCAGGCTACTTGGATGACGACACCGTTAAGCCAGATTCCAAGTGTGTTACTTATGCTGCTTTGGGTCTTTCCATCAGCAATGAACGTTGGGATGGTGTTCCTATCGTTTTAAGAGCCGGTAAGGCCCTTGACGAATCCAAGGTTGAAATTAGAATTCAATTCAAGCCTGTTGCTAAGGGTATGTTTAAGGAAATCCAACGTAACGAACTTGTCATTAGAATCCAACCAAACGAGGCTATTTACTTGAAGATCAACTCCAAGATCCCAGGTATCTCCACCGAAACTTCCTTGACTGAATTGGACTTGACTTATTCTACAAGATACTCTAAGGATTTCTGGATCCCAGAAGCCTACGAAGCATTGATTAGAGATTGTTACTTGGGTAACCACTCCAATTTCGTTAGAGATGACGAATTGGATGAATCTTGGAAGCTCTTCACCCCATTATTAAAACACATTGAATCTTCAGAGAATGATATCCCATTGGTTAAGTATGCTTATGGTTCCAAGGGTCCAGACCACTTGAGAAAGTACTTGGAAAAGCACAATTATGTCTTTGATGAACCAGGTTCTTACCAATGGCCATTGACCTCTCCTTCGGTCAAGGGTAAGATCTAATGAACAATTTGGTTTTTTTAAATAGTTTTGTTGACGAAATAGATAATGATTTGTTGTATAAGCTTGTAGATTTTAAGTTCCGGGGTTGTTTTGACAGCATAACAATACATGAGCATACATGCATGATGCCGACTGATGCCGCGAAGCTCATCGGATACTCATACCGAGAATATTTCCGCAATAAAGCTGCCTCGCTATAGGCCGGCGGTGGCGGCGGCACATCTGATGCTCGACCCTAAACTATCAGCCTACCTTGTAAGAGCCACACACACACACGCGCCAGTACTACATACTTCAAGAGTAACTCACCATTTCAATGTCATCTATGTCCATGTTCCCAGTAGGAATTCAAGGCAAAAATTGATTCAACTTTATTGAGGTTTAATCAGACATCCATGGAAGGTCTATTCAGCGGTCACCGACATACATTTAGATGGGTTCTAGTCGTATGCTACCGAGGAAACTGCGAATGTTTATGGTAAACTTTCATCATCTTAAACCTCCACATAATTGGATCAATTTTTGTACCACAAATACTGCTGGAAACTTTCCGAAATAGATGAGCACCAAAATCATGAGAATCACAAAATGTCAAATCCATCGACATGTTGCGATTGACACCCTTGCACTAGCTCTGCACATCCAACAAATTACACGTCAATACAAATGAATCAGAATTGTTAAAATACTGGCAAGTATAAGTCCACAAATATCACACGTCCCAGAAGGGGGACGTGCTAAACGATAAAAGGGACGGTTTTCAACCCTGTCGATCATAGTCGAATCAGACTGGGAAAGAAGTAGACTCAATTTCATCATATTCAAATGTATATCCCGTTAATTTGTTGAATGCAAGAAATAGGACACCCTACCATGAGAGCAGTTATTTGGATTCATCAAAGGGGATAGTCTTTGATTCCCTGGATAAACACAATTAAATTCTCTCTGGTTGTTGTCTATGTTTGCTATTTGGTTGCTAAAGAAAAGAAGATGAAGTTGTAGAAATAAAATTTGACTAGAAAAAAAAAATTTTCCTGCTGGTCTTAAATACAAAATTTGGGATGAGAGTTACCCGGTCTTCAGCCGACATCTAATGCGATATGGAACGTTATAGAAAACCCTAAACCTATACCCACACAGATTTTGTAAAATCTGCTAGTGCAACATTGCAATTGGGAGTTGCGGCTTCTAGAATATTCTCACTAATTTCACCATCACAACAGTCTTATACCCACAGTATATATATGTGTGTGTATGATAAGCTCTCCCTTCAATATTTATATTTACTCTAAATAAACCAAAACTTACAACAAGATATATATACATACATATATATATATGTGTGTGTGCGTGTGTATAACCCACATATTAAACCCAAATACCCAACTTACTCTTTTATTGGCTTTCTCAGATGTGATGCCTCTTTATAATTGTGATGATGCTTACCCGGTCTTCTTTCTCCACCACGTCTAAACGATGGTGGTGCAGTAGGAACAACCGAATATTTCCGTTCTCTAAACACAACCCCAACTTCTTTAATATTCTTTTGATGATCTGGCTCAGACTTGACAAACCAATCTAAAGTCTCGTCGTATTCATACATGGTATAATCAGTACCATAAGGCTTCAGCTCAAGACAGTACAATGTGTGTAATGGAACATCCAATTCTCCAATTGCCGACTTGTCTAAATTCAAGAAATAAGCCAATAAAATACGCAACACCACACGGTGTGATATAATCAATAAATGATCAGTGGTACGTTCAAGTTCGGTAATTAATGGTCGCAATCTAGTAAGAACATCCAAATATGATTCACCTCCAACACCAGGGTATCTATAACTCAATTTATCCTTTAACCTAGCTTCAAATTCTCGTGGATGCTTATGTTGTATTTCATCATAAGTCATTCCTTCAAATTTACCACCTCCTAGCTCATTCAACATTCTCATTTGCTTAACCAGGTATAAGTGTTCATTGAAATATTGACCAGTTTCAATCGCACGGATAAGCATAGATGTCCACACACAGAAATTAGGTTCAGTAGGAATAGAATCCAACATGGCAACATCCTTTTCATTGAAAATCATAGAGTTATACTTTGATTCCAATTTTGATGAAAATCTTTCCAATTGTTGTTTTCTAAATTCAGCCCGCTTGACATTCATAAATTTGGCCAAAGTTCTAGCAAATCTATCACCACGTTTAGTCAAATGAGAATCACCACCAATACGACCAGTCAAGTTATCACGAGATTCACCGTGACGAGTAATCCAGATTTGACGTTCACAAAGGTTGAAATTCAACAAAAAGTAAACCGTTTGTGATGACAAGAACCCTTGGATGTTATAACTGACAATCTTTTTACCAACATCAATGATTTTAACATATTGGAATCCGGGAATTTGTTCTTCAGCCTCGTCAATAGTTTCATACGCCTTTTCATAATTATGCAATCTTCCAATAAAATCATTAAGGGCAACTTCAGGGTCCATGTTTTTATAATCAGGACCACTCAACTTTAATCTGATATTGGATTCAATAATATTAGGATCATTACAAATACTCTCCAAATACAAAACCTTCAATTCTCCATTGGAACGTTCTTGAATTCTCTTAAACACCCGTCTTCTTCTTGATTTTGTCGAGTTTGTCGCGTCGAAAATACCAACTGATCCAGTCCCATTAATAACATAATCCAATAATTGATCAAGAGTATCCATAGCCCATTTTTCACGAAGAGCAGTATTAGCTTTATTTTCTGGTGAGAAAAATGCGGCATCGTGTTCCTGCTCTTCTTCTTCTTCGGCGGCTTCTTCGTGATCTGGTTCTTTTGGCGATTGCAGATTGACCGGGGTGTGATTATCAGGAAGTGGGTTCTTTTCTGGCCCAGCATTATGTTTATCCTTACGTCTAGTGTTACCAACATTGAAAACTCGACAATCGTGTTGTAGCCAATTTAAATATCTAGTCAATTTATTAGTAATGTATGATTTTCCTCTAGCTGGTAATCCAACCATAACAATAACCAATTTGGAACCAACATCGACTTGAGCAATCTTCCCATCAGGTGATATCTTGGAAGATGTTTGACCTGGGATGTTCAAAGTATATGTCTTTCTGGCTGATGGTGGAGGTTTAGTCATTAATAAAGATTTAAGTTGTTCAAGAGAAGGGGTTTTTTCAAATTGTTCCTTCACTTCATTAGGCACATCTTTTAATAACGAGTCTCTAATTTCTTGCTTCATTTGAATTGTAGGGGTTGAGGGCGAAGGAGTATTACTGGCACTAGGGGTATGTTGAAAGTTCGTATTCGTGATCTTGAATTCTGGAGGCATGGTAATGGCACCAGTGCTTGCAAGTGCAGCAGCAGCGCCTTCAACAGCGTCGGAATCAGTTTTGCTCAACTTCTTTTCTTCGTGGATATTATTGGCTTCGGTTAATTCAGAAAGGTTCAAATGAGAAATGTTTCGGGTTTTTCTCAATGGAGCAACGTTGTCTGCTGCTTCTTCGTCTTCCTCATGAATAGTTGAATGTTCTGGTGCACCATCGTCTTCTTCGCTAGATTGATATCTGGTTACTGGCGATGCCATGGACGACACGATTGGAGTATCCGTCAATGGACGTTTATTAAACTCAGGCAAAAGAGAGCTAACTGAGCTAGTTGAATCACAGGGTTCTAACATCTGAGAATCTAATGACTTGCTCATGGCCAACTTTTCACCTCCATAACTAGCGAATTTCCTTAATGCATTACCAGATTTACTTTTATGTGCACCTCTTGTGTTTGTGGTACTATTGGAGATTGTCGGAGATATCGTAAGTGGTGAAGGAGTCACACTCATTGTGAATTGGACATTCCTGAAACCCGGTTGACTTGGTGAAGTTGTAGTTTGTGATTTCTTGAGACCTTCATCATTGCGTATAGTATATTCATCTTCATAGTCGTCGTCGTCGTTATCGGACGAGTTGGCCGAACTGCCGCTTGAAGAAGTAAACACTTGTGATGAATTTATGGAATGAAAGTTTGAAAATGAAACCTTTTTAGACGCGGTTCGTGAATGACTCAAAACTCCATTACTTATTGACTTTGATTTGTTACGCGACCTAGGTGTCACATTTCCTGAGGACGATGATCCAGCATGTTGAGCTGGCGATGTGGCGATATTAAAGTTGGATGCAATCAACTTTCGTATACTTTCGCTGGTAGGTTGACTGTGATGGCTATGGTGTTGGTGTGAAAGTGACGGTGTGGAAAGAGGGGACGGTGAAGATGACACATCGGCAGACGAAGCGGATGAAGACGCTTCTGTTGTTACTGCAGGTATTTCGCCGTTATTGTGTGGCGCCGCAGGTGAGTTTGTGATGGGGGATGACATTACTTAGTCAGCTTTTGATGTATGCAGTTGTTCTATAGAAGTATCGTAAACCACAACAGGAAGGAAACAGGAAAAGAAAACTTTGCTGCCTAAATTTTACTTCTATATTTATTGAAGTATTTTGCCATACAAAAAAAAAAAAATAGAAAAATTTAATACAGTCAAAAAAGAAGACAATTTTCCTGCATGCAACCACAGTTTTTCTTTTCGGAGTTTTTCCTTCCTTGATAATAAAATTGCAGTTTTGTGATAACAAATCAGGCCCATTGTATACGTGTCCCTGGGTAATCGGATCGGAGATGCGCAATCCCAGGAGGTTTATGTCGTCATAAGTCAACCTGAAACAAGTATAAAGGAAGTAAAAGCGGTATTTTAACAAAAAAGCACAAACTTTCATCCGATACGACGTGGGTCAACTAGCATGGGTGTACTTGCGCCTATTTGCCCATTTCAGGTATCAATTTTTGTTTTGTTTTTTATTTTATTTATTTTTTTTTTTGTTATTTGGTGTTATCTATTTTTCGTAATGTACAAATGGTGTGGTATTAGTGTGTGATACGAAAAAGGGCTGCGTTGTCTGGGTTGCTTGTTACTGGTACTACCGGAGGACTAGGGTACACATGTGGCAAACCACTGTGGGATAAAAGGAGAGAAGTGGGGGAGAATGAGGGGAGCCATACCAAGTGAAGCCGAGAACAGAAGAGGGGAGGCCATATATAACGCCGATCTTCTCTAAGAAAAAAAAAAAAACTTACCCACATGTACAACGAAAAAAAAGAAAAATACCTCTAGAGGAGGGGGAAGGGAGGGGGGTAGATTGCAAATAAGCCAATCGCTACAATTTTTGCTATCGTGGACTTTAACCTTCTCTCGTAATATTCTATTATGCCACACATTCCCACTGGATACGTTTACAGATCAAAATCTGGAACAACAAACTTATAAATGACAAACTTGCTACCGCGACCTCTAGCGTGAACTCGCAGAGTTCTGAAGGTTGCCACAGGAAGATTGGATGATGAGTCAACTCACCGGGCGAGGGGCATGAGTTAAAAAAAACAAGGTTCTGGCTTCTTTTGCTAAATACTCCGGGTAAGCTTCTCGTTCCGCTCTAATGGAATTCTACTCCCCTCTCTATTTCTTCCGCACTCGCTGGTTCTCTCGGTGATTTTTGTGCGGAAGTATTAAATATACAGCGGAACTACAGTGAACAAAGTAGAGGACTCAATTTACACATGTGGAACATTGCCTAATTTGGATAGGTTCCCCCCGGAGAGGACACAAAGTGTTTTTATTGATTATCTCCAGGTACGAGAATAATTTTTCAATGTATTATCTTCAGTTGTATCGGTCTCTATTTGTAATTGCTAGCTCGTAAGTTATTGGGTCTAGACTGGATTTATTTGTGCAATCGGAATTGCCAGATGTCAATCTTATTCCTTGAACGCAACACGCCATTCTTCGGCTAAATATCCAATCGCGTACACGTTCCCCAACCTCACTGGCGTCTAATAACGAGGCGGTGGCCCTATAGTGGTATCACGCGATTCTCTTGCTTCTAATCTGGTACTCCTATTTACTTTGTGACGACAACCTATAACTACAAGCCCTGTACTAGCATACCATATGCGCTAGAAAGTAATACATAAAAAAAAGAACTCCGCCGAATTTGCTCGTGCACGACCTGTGCTAAGATTGACATCTAGAAGAACCAGTTGCAACTCTAATCTATTTAAAAGACAACACCATCGATCATGACTTCAATTCGACCGAAAGATATCCCTTTCGCATTACATGTGCCGAGGGAGACATGCATATCAAAAAACCTTGAAACTAGACGAAAATGTATGTGGTCACACTTTATGCCTCAAATGGAAAATAAATTAGAGAAAATGAACAACGTTAGTATATTAACGAGTAGTCATAACCGGTGCCTATTTCAAGTGTGTGTTGAGAGCTCTTGTTATACTATAAGCCTCGACTATGGCCACACCTCAAAACTATGTGTGTATGTGAACAGGGTTAAATTACGATATTGTTTTGTTTGACTATTTTTGGAAGAAATTTGGCTGAAAACATCAGAAAAATAATCTCATTGGGCACAACAGCAACCACGCTCTCAACGGAGTTGTGAAAAAGTTCCCGAAATTTCATTTCTTAAAGAACTAGAATTGGTTAAGCAACCGCTTTTCCATTTATATATCTAAGTAATTTCGCCAACAATTTAACGAATAGGGAAAAGTAGATGATAAAAATAGATTGAGGCCAAACTGCATGGCTCAAAATAACCTGGGAAAATCTACGTCATCATGTGATGAAACACAAAGTATTTTATCTTACGTTCTTTCTCTGCAGAACAATCGTAGTACAAACTTGTTCCTATTATGTATTTACCTCACGATCGCACTATTCTGCTCTATATTTACGTCATGATGTAAGTAAATGCAAGTTATATTGATTGGGTTTTGTTGTTTATGCTTGCTCGGGAAAACCTCTCGGCATTTGTTCGGTGGATCGGGTGTAGAAATTTCATGGCAAACAAAGACAAGCAAACAAAATCCGTCAAGCAAAGCTAAAAGGTCTAGAGCTGAGTGTGTCAACAAGTTCTAGATTTTCAGCAAGTTTTTTAGTTACATCTAATTATACGGCCTTCTAGCTATAATGGCAATTAGAACAATTGAAAATTTTCAACCCATATTCACACTTTAATTGTGTCTTGATAAAGAAGCGGAGAAGAGAACAAAAACCATAGACCATCCAAAAAAATCTCTGCAAACCTTTGTATTTTTTAACTAAACTTTTGTTACATGCAAGCAGTTTTTATTTTTTTATTTTATTCTATTTTTTTTTTTTTTAGTAGCCATGTAGTAAATGAAAATTACGTTACATAGACGGACATTAGTAGCGTACGCATATCCATTGCTAATTATATCCAAAATTGGGTACCCGGACCACCAAAGTAATGTTAATACTCTGGATAACCTAAAATACACAAAAATCAGTCGAAATTAGATTGGCTTAGTTTCATTTATAAATACCTATCATAACCGCGTCAAGGAAGAATATATCCGACCCAAGCCTTTCCAACTAAAATGCTTGGTTTTGAGTGATATATAACTTTCAAAAGATTCACAACCAAAACTGTCTTTATTCAGTCAAACTTTTTTAGAGTTATACCCTTCTGTGACAACTCTGCCTCATTGTTATAAATATATTTAAAAGTTAAATACAATTAGGCAAGTGTAATTCACAAAGCTGAATCTTAATGCAAGGGAATCAAACCATACCTGCACTCGCAGCAAAGTGCAAAAAGCAAAAAAAAACCACTTATCCGGATACGGTATATGAAGAACAAATCAAATCAAGGTGGAAACTTTTCTTACTGTATTACAAGGTAATGTATCCAGTTGTCCATCGTATGTGTGATGTCTTCTTTTTTTTTTTCATTTAGCTTTATTCTATTACGAGTTAGTTTGTAGGTTTTTTTGGGCGTGTTACATATCCAACCGATTCCATTCCGAGTCTAACTTAAACTTCCATCTGTTGATCAATATGCACTAGAACGACCGAAAAATCACAAACTAAGTGCGCATATTAATGTGCACACCTTACAGAAAAATTTCACGCCATAATAGCAGTGAAAGAAAGTAAGTGAACAATAGGTCCAGACAAAAAAAATAATAAGTTTTTGATTGTTATTGTTTTTTAAAAAAATTACCATGGTAAATTATTTTTTAGATTCAATCCAAATTGAAAAAAATAAAAGCTAAAAATGGAAATTGAAATTGCCATCAAAGATTATTAATTGGGGTTTTGTTCTTTCAAGATAAGCTGGTAAAGATATTGTTAGCGGTATACAATGACCATGGGCTTTTTGTTAATGCGGGATTAGTGACATACATAACCCGAAACATACAATACAACGCAAATGAAACTGGTTAAATCTTATTTTTTTTAATCCACCTGTAAGGTCTTTTTTTTTATTTTTGAAAAATTGTAACTTTTTTTTTTTTTTAAATCATGTAAATGAATTTTTAATCATACAATTTTTCATGCTCAGTTTTTTTTATTTTTATTTTATTTATTTTATTTTTTTTTTTTTTTTTTAGTTCCGAAAAATGTGGTTTTGGTACTTACACTAGTGCTGCATTCATTATAATATTTTAAATATATAAAAGTAGTTTTAAATAGCGTTCGAATTCTCTTTTCTTCCGAACACGGTCTTTTATATATTAATTCAAATTACTCAATTGCAACAAAGTTATACCTCCCCACCAGTGAATTCTTTATAAAAACAGTCGTCGTTACCCAGTAGCTAACTATACATACCGATCCCACAGCCCCCACATTTTTACTACATACCACAGTTAGCAAAGGCAACCACGTTTGCATAAGTCACATTCACATTCACATTCACACCCACTAGTCTCAATCTCTAAACCTTTTCCCCCCCTTTACAATTCACAATGTCTCTGGATTGTCCACCAATCTTTGAAAATAGCTCGGCCACCACCTTCTTTACGACCAGTGGTGGCAACGGTGTTAACAATACTAACGAGCCTTTTGACACAACTTATTATGGAGACAACCAGATTGATAACTTAGTTGGAATGAATACCCCCCAGAATTTCAGCAATATGTCTTATAATACCAATGCTACTAATACTACAGCAGCCATGCCAGAGTCATTACACATTAATGACGAGATTTTCTTCAATAACTATCAGTTATCTAACCAATTTCCAGGCGGTGTTGCCAACAAGCTCAACTATGACGAAGAATCAACTGGCAATTTGTCATCCTCAAATTCAATCAACAATTATCTGAGCCATAACCCCTCGGCTTCCGCTTCTTCGCAGTCGTCGTTCTCCCTGAACTCGTCTACGGGAGTACATTCCACTTTTCAAACTTCAGCCACAACTACACCCAAAGTCGGTTCCATGCCTCAGTTTGGAAATGGTCCAGGTAAACATGGAAGGCAAAACTCCTCTTCGATTCCAATCGACCAGTTAACTTTATTGAGTTTGAGAACTCCTCTGGTTTCAGGTCCACCTCAACAGCAACAACAAACCCCACAACAACAGCAAATACAACAACAATTGGCTGGGATTGCTCAACCATCATTTATGTTTGATCCAGTTAGTAATACCTCCTCGCCAAATGCTGATGATTTCCTCCAATCTCCCACCAACTTTTCCTACTCCCAGGCCGCAGCAGCCGTAGCGGCCGCAGCAGCAGCTATTCCTACAATACCAGAAGAACGAACCATTAATCCAAGACAATTATTTACCAAGTTGAATACTTCAATGAGCTCGCCTAGTTTATCAACATTATTTACTACACATAATTCGCAACAACAACAACAGCAGCAGCAGCAACCGCAGCAACATCAACATCACCAACACGCGCATCATTCACAACAACATCTGCACCAGCAACATATGCAAGCTCAGTTGTCTCCCCAACAACCACAAGCGGCTAATTTTCCCCAGGCACTTTCTGCACAAATTTCACCAACTCAACCAACAGTGCCTTATTTCATGCCGCAACATACCCGCAGTGTATCTACTCCGCAATTCGACTTTAAAGTTGATGACGAGTTTTCGCAAGCAATCTCTTCGTGGCTCAATGGAGGTTGGGTCGATGGGTTGAATCCGGAAATAGTCAACCCGGTTAAAAAGAATAGAATGTATAGTACTGTCAAGGGAAGAAGAAACTCGATTCAACCTCAAGTACACGTTCCTATAATCCATCAGGCTCAGCAACAAGTGCAGCTGCAACAACAACAACAACAACAGCAACAACAACAGCAATTGCAACCACAACCACAATCGCAGCCAATGCAACCAATTATGGATTCAATGAGTTATGCATCGACTCCAAATACATCACCTACAACTTCATCTCTGAACTCCGACGATGAAGACAAGAAAAAGAAGAATAAGAATAAGAAACGGAGGAAAAGTACTGCGGCTGAAATTGATCCATTGGCTACTTCACCAGCTATATCTCCCACTTCAACCAGTGACGATAAGAATGCCGCCAATTCTAGCGCATTTCCATGTATGGAGTGCGACAAGCAATTCAAGAGAAGTGAACATTTGAAGAGACATATTAGAAGTGTTCATTCCAATATTCGTCCATTCCATTGTAAATATTGTGAAAAGAAGTTTAGCCGTCTGGATAATTTAGCTCAACATTTAAAAACCCATTATAGAATTGATGCTGAAGGAAATAGCCATGTTATTATTAACCCAAGTGGGAATAGAAGAGAAAAGAAGAAACTGCAGTAGTAGAGCGAGAAGAGAATGATATGTTATGATAAGTGTTTGTTATTTTAGTTTTGTTATTTACATTTTTTGGGTGTTTTTTTTCATTATTTTTTGTTTCCAAGTTGTTTTACTTTTTGATACCTTATGATTTTCCGTTTGGTTTGCATTTTTGTTCCTTTTTGTTGATTTTGGGGAATTTTCTATTATACATTTTTTAGTTAGTTAGTTATTTTTATTTGGTTTTTGTTATACGTCGTTGTTGTTTTATTCAAATATTCAATATATACTTTATTATTAGTAACACCGAGATCGTGATCCAATCGGTAACAGACTTGTCAAGTGGTTACATCACCTGACATTTTTCATTACTTTTTTTTTTTACACACTGTGCATTAAGAGCAATGCATAGAGACGACTTATCTCCACCAGGGCTTGCAGAAACTTGTCAATAATCGTCAGATGCACCCAGTGAATACAAAAAAAAAACAACGGTATAAAACTTCCCATCGTCTATTCCCACATGCTTGGCTAATTATTTTCTCGTAACAACGAAATGGTATTAACAACCATTGTGAAAATAGAGATATTTCCGGAACCACTTTTTTTTTCTATTTAGATAAATAGACCAGGACTAGACCATTACGAGGCTGGGCCCTTAGAGAATAAAGAAAAATACGTTAAGGACACTACTCACAAAGACCCACATTACAATTGATTACTAGAACAATTGTGAAAATAAAATACATAAAAAATCTCAGTCATAAAAATAATATTTTACCTCCACACTTTACCGCCTCTGTTGCGATACACTTTTTCAATTGCTTGTGAAAAAACTCCGACAGAAGATTGTTATGTGGGTCTTGGCAAAATGTGTATTATTTTCTAGTAGAATTCTCTCTCCTATATTGGGGGGAGTTTGCCAATTTGGCAGCTGACATAGCGGAAATGTTTCATGTCTGACTGTCGGATGGAGTTAAGAATGAAACTAAAAACCACATCATGTAACACTCATTGTTTGGAGGAGGGGAATAACACCTTGCGCAAATTACCCCAATTGCAATTATGTCATCCTTCAAATTTGTAGCATTTCTTCAACTATTGTTCTATTTGATTACTGTTCTCGGGAAAATTCAAATTATTCCCCACTAGTATTACTAAAATGGGACAGATATTGATCTGAATGGGAGCTGAAATCCCGCCAAGAGATTAGAAATGCGGCAAAACCTTAGAACATGCAAATATGAGCTCTAGCCCTATACGTTTGCCATTACAATACCTAGACCATCAAGCCATTAGATCTACTTTAGACTATGCAAGAGCCCGCCCTTTCTGTATGGCATTCAATATCTTGACTCTTCTAGAGTAACAAGAACTATGCAAATCACTGGGAGAGCCAACTACTCGAAATCCCCTATTTTCTTCATAGCCTTCTCATTTGAAAAGGGTTGACGGTGCAAAAGGACACAGATAATTAGAGGTCAGTTGTAATACCTTGAAGATTACATGTGGAAGCAGCGCAACCTGTGGAGATAGCAAACTGCATTCATTCAAACTTTTTGTTCATATAGTGATTAGTTAAACATGGCAAATCTAGTGCATCGCCCTGAGAAGGACCTATAAATTAGTATGTATTGTAGAGTACTGCGATCAATCCATTATCACAGCCAAGATATCAAAGAACCATAATGGTGAAAATCCAGAAATTTCCCCTTGATTTGGCAGTTGCAGAGCATTTGCCTAAACAAGTGACTAAGTTCGGAACTTACCTCGGAATAGTTTCTATGATACATTAGGAGACAATATATTTTGAGTCAGAACAACGATGAATGTATTAAACTCATAAACTGCTCAGCACAAGCCAAAGGTAACCCAGGTTGCAAAAACGGTATCCTTACCTTGTTCTTTGATTGATGGTTAGTATAGATAACTTGGTTGTCTGTATCAAGGAATCTGAGCAAAAGTTTGTTGCAACAAGATTGATTTTCGCACACCAATCAAAGCATCCAAAAAAAATCTTACTGAAAATCAAATTTCTTCACTACCAACCACTACTTTAAGACAAACAACATATACAATGGCACACAATCCTTGGGCTAAAAGAGATGCTTGGAGATACGAGGGTCAATTTACTCGTTACAACAGATTTAAGAATACTTTACCAGGATTAGGTATTGGTACCGCTGCATTTCTCTCCTACTGGGCTTATGAACATTTCATCTTAAAGAAAGGTCATGATGAACATGGACATCACTAAACTTACGACTTATTTGGGCATTGGTTTAACTATTATATGTATATACTATAATAAATACTAAAAGTATAGATTTCTATTTACAGGTGTAATTCTACAATTTTTCTGGTTCTACGTCATCAACAAAACCTTCAAAAATGGAGGGACCAGCTTCGGATTCTTCTTCAACAACACTTCCTTCAGGTGCTCTTGAACCCCTACCGGCTTGCAACATCTTGGTTTGTTGTTCGGCAACCTTGGTCCAAACGTCAATGTATTCCTGTTCATGTTTGACGTTTTGTGCCAAGTTTGTTTCTGGGAACACTGCGCCATACATGATTGCTTCTTCTTTAGCAACATGGCTCTCCATTTCTTCTCTCATTCTCAACTTGTAGTATTCGAATCTAGATGAATCATAAGCTTCAAAAAGACTGTATTTGGAACCATCAGGTTTAGTTTCGTTATTCAAGATATAAATTGTTCTTTGGACGACTGATTCCCCATCCAAAGGTTTGTGCAATTGTAACATGTTCTTCCAATTACATTTGGAGTTGTCATCTCCCTTAGTTTCGATTAAAGTCTTTGGTCTGGCCAATTCCCATGGATGTTGTCTGAAAAAGACATCTCTTAATTCGTCTTCAAAGAACTTGATTTTTGGGATTCTAAATGCGTCAGTGTTTTTTAATTTCAATTCTGAACGAGTTAATCTGGTCTTGTAAGTTTCGTGTACGTTAGTACGGGTAGTTTTGTTGACTTGTTTGGCAGAGTCTTCAGATTTGTAATTCTTTGGTTGCTTGACTAAATCGGTGATTGGTGGGTTGTCCAAGACAACATTATACCAGGCTGGTTGTTCAAGTTGCACTCCCTTCTTAAGGAAATGGGATGTACGGTCTATTATGCCTTGAGTAGCTTTTGTTTGAACCTTCATTGGTGATTTTATTAGTACTAGATCGTTCCTTAACTTGACGTAAATAATGAAAAAATTTTTTTTTTCCTACCAAAAGTTGCACTGGTAAATTTTTCTTAGTGTTTTGAGCTGTGCTGCAACATTCAATCATAGGCTATACCACTTAGACTCAGGCCATTACAGCTGATTTGGAAGCATACAGCTTGACACACCATCACATTCACATAGTTCGGAGGAAAATTACATGGAGAATACAGGATCAATATAGCATGATATGAATATTCTACGAAGAACTATCCTACGAAGATTCACCAGTACACCGGTACGACATCATTCCCAAGAAACCTTTAATACCCATGTCAAACAATTCATCAGCCGTGTTGCCAGCCAGCAACAAAACAACAGCGGACTGGTACTAAAATGCATAGACTTACTCATAAGTAAGCACCAACAGCGATTAATAACCGTGTTCAAGCTACCATCTAATTCAAGCACAACTACAATTAAAGAGAAACTACTACAAACTTCAGCATATGGTGGAGAATTAGCATATCAAAACGCACAGATACTCGAACAAAGAAAGCATATAATGAACAAGAACTCGGTCAAGATGACCAAGGAGTATGGGAAGTTTATTAAGGAACTATATCCAAGAACGAAAAAATCAGATCCCATATTCAGAGATGTAACCAAAGAATTCAATGTTGTCAACAACTCAATCAAGTATTCGTCCATAGTGTTTCACGAACGGTTATTCCAAGCTTATATGAGCCTTCCTAGCCCTCGAGCATTATTCATAACCTCAGATGACTTGAACCAATTAGTTCAAGTTTTCTTGTATGCATCGAGAAACTTCCATAGGTTGAATACCGAAACTAATATCAAACAAAAGCCTACTTTGGCTATGCGAAAGTATGCCAAACGAAAGCTAGACCAGAGGAAAGCCTATAGCAATATGTGTTCCAAGATATTGCAAGATATAGTTGAGGCAAAACTTCCGTTAACACCCACTGAACGAATCAAAATGGTGCAATTGTCCTTGTTTAAGGATAGACAGAATATTGCCAAGTACTATGACCAGGAGGTTCAACACCTGCATTATGAGCCATTAAAATATCGGAAATTTAACTATGAAACTTACACCCAGTTGAGAAAACTGTTACCACCTGGAACAAACTCAAATTTGCTTCTTTTAGATTTAGCATTAAGAAATAATGAAATGGAGGTGGTTGAAGAAATTTGGAATTCCAATGAGTACGTGTCTGGATCAGGGGTGATCATGTTGCTTAATTATTTCCAAACTAAATTAAACAAACCCGATACGATTGATTATTTAATTAAAATATTGCATGAGATTAACAGCATGAAATCAGTCAAAGCTGCAGTCATTGACGAAGTTATTTCATTACTAACTAAAATGGGAAGGATCAATCTCGCGCAAGACTTGGTTCAAGCTGCATACTATTCTAAACTAGACCCCAAGAAATCATGGGTGCATTATTCTGAACGAGATTATTATGCTTGGTGCCGATCAATATACCACAGATTGATGGCCATTACCAAAGATTATGAAGTGATTGCAGAATTGCACCCAAGTATAAAGACGTTTCTCAGTTTAGCTGAATATCATTGTTACACACCATCAAGTTCGTTCAGCCAAGTTAGAGATGTTCTCAGGCTTATGGACAAAACTACAGATATTCCCACCAGCCAGGTTTTCTACAAGTTAATTCTTAAAGGATTTGACATTCATAGTAAGATAAAGGATAGACAAGATTGGACGATTGATAATTTGCTTCAAATCACCTCGGAAATTATCGGAGAGGTGAATACAGTCAACTCCCACGAAGCAATCATGGATTTGATCAAGAGTGGTGACATTGAATCGTTACAACAGCTAGAACCAAACTTCCATGTAGCATTCAAGGAAGAGGAAACCAAAGGTGAAGTGAAGACTTCAATTCTGGCTGATTTCCTTGACATCATACTAGACATATATGTCGTTACTCTTGAAAGTTACTATCGAGCAACTGAAGATGACAGGTATAACGATGCAATTATGGAAATAAAGAGGATAAAAGAACAGCACACCAGGAAATATCTGATTGCTATGCATACAACCCATGAATACCTGAGAATTATCTATGATGAAACGGAGACCAAGAAGGCATATTTGATTGAAGCTATCAACCGAGTGAGCGATATTATCTCCAGGGAGGATGGATTAGAAGATTAGTGCGAGGAGGAAGAGAACTGAAAAGTGTACATATAATGACCCTGGTCCCAGGACCACTCTAGTCCCAGGACCACCCTGTATATATAACGATTAGCATTTAATAGACATTATTTATTGACAGAGAGGTAACAAGTATGTATCACAAAGGTACTGTTTGTGTCACGTGAACACGTCAAAGACGTCATTGTGCCTTGTACACAGGGCTTAGCGCAGGCCAGATGAAATTCGGTGGGAAATTTCCCACCACCACTAGCAAGGCCAAGTTTACTACACGCGCGGAAAAACTTACAACCAAAATTTAGGCAACCAAGTCCATCCCCCCCCTGTTTAAACTTTAATTCTTAATTGTAATTGACCGTTACAGCTATCAATTGAGCTTAGCTATACCACAATGGCAACTCCCCAAACTAATGAATCAGGGGTAAGTACTTGCTATTGAAGTTTGTTTTACCTTGTATATATTTACTAACTACTTTAGACAAAGAGTCCTGACATTGGCACTGGATCTGTCACTGGATCTGTCACTGGATCTGTCACTGGATCTGTCACTGGATCTGTCACTAGGTCCGCCACAGGTACCGGCACTGCCGCAGCCAGCGTTGACCAATTATCACTCAATCCAACTCTAGACTTGAAAAGAAAACAAAGCACAAAAGCTGCAGCTGAATTAACTCCAAGTGAAGATTTAGACATCTCCAACGTCAAAACTAAACCAGCGCCAAGAAAACCAATTGAACCAACATTCAGAGGTTGGAAAGAAGTTGGTAAATATGAAGAAAACGACGCCTTGACTGAAGAAGACGAAAATACCGATTTGTTATCTAAAGGTTCTTCAATTGATAGCGTTTTACCCCCAGTAATCTATGGTGACTGGTACCATAATGCTGGTTATTTGATTGTTGGTGGATTGTTATCTTGGATCGTAGGATGGTTTAGATTTTCAATCGCTCCTGTGTTTTTCATCATGGTTGTATTTTCAATCTTGTATCGTGCTTCCGTTAAAAAGTACCGTGGTGTTTTACGTGAACAAGCTCAGCGGGAGTTTTCCATCAAAAAGATTGAAACTGATTACGAATCAATGGACTGGGCTAACTACTTTTTAGAACAATTTTGGGCATATTTAGAACCTTCCATCTCCCAAATTGTGTGTGATCAAGCAAATCCTATCATGGCTAGTAACCCATATGTGCCTGCTTTTATCAAGGCACTTTGGATTGATAGTTTCACTCTCGGTACCAAACCACCTAGGGTTGAATGTGTCAAGACCATGCATGGTACTGCTGACGATGTCGTTGTTATGGACTGGGGGTTTTCATTCACCCCAAATTCTTTAGTTGATGCAAACTTTAAACAGTTAAAGAGTAAAGTCAACCAGAAAACCGTGGTTAGAATCAAGTTATTTGGTGTTAGTATTCCCATTACTGTTTCTGATGTCTCATGCAAAGGTTTAGCCAGAGTTAGAATGAGAATGATGACCTCATTTCCTCATGTTGAAACCATCAATGTTTCCATGATTGAACCACTCGACTTTGATTTTAATACTAAAATTGGTGGTGAATCAAACTTTTGGTGGGAAGTGTTATCATTACCTGGGTTATATCCATTTATTAATGAAATGGTTAAGAAATATGTTGGTCCTATGCTTTTCAGCCCTCTTTCTTTCCAATTGAATGTTCAACAATTATTATCTGGTAATGCGTTGAATTCTGCTATTGGTGTGCTTGCTATTACAGTTGATTCTGCTAGAGGATTAAAAGGATTTTCTAGTATTGGTAATACTTTAGATCCATACTTGACTTTTGGCTTCAAATCTGATGTTTTGGCTAAATCTACCACCAAGAGTGATACCAAAGCTCCTGTTTGGAATGAAACTTTTTACTTGCCTGTTACTTCCTTGTCTGAACCATTACACATCTCGGTTGTTGATTTCAACGATTTTAGAAAAGATCGTGAAGTTGGTGTCATTTTATTTGATATTGAATCCTGTGTTGATAATCCAAAACAATCTGGTTTGTCTGCTCCTTTCTTGAGAAATAATAAGCCTGTTGGTGAATTGAGTTTTGCTATTCAATATATGCCAACTTTGGAGCCTATCAAACAAGCCGATGGTGCTGTTATCCCACCACCCGATTTGAATACTGGTATTGCTTCAATCACAATTGAAGAAGCAAAACAATTGAGAGGAGGCGACAAGGGTGTATCCGCTTATGCCGAACTTAAATTGAACAATGACTCTGTGTTAAAGACTAATTTGATTAAGAACTCCAATTCACCTGGATGGGGATCATCAACCGAAGAAATTATTTTCAACAAGGCCAAGACTAGAGTTAAGGTTTTAATTAAGGACAAGAATGATCGTGTTATTGGACAAGTCAATACTAACTTGAACTCCCTTATTGATGCTACTCAGGTTGACCAAACCTGGTTCCCATTGAGCAAGGGAGGAGAAGTTAGAATCACCACTAATTGGAAACCGGTCTCTATCGAAGGTGGTTCAGCTGGTGTCGGGTATGCTCCTCCTATTGGTGCCGTTCGTATTTCTATCAAGGATGCGGAAGATTTGATCAATTTGGAAACAATTGGTAAAGTTGATCCATACGCTAAGATCTTGGTTAATGGTGTTGAAAGAGCCCGTACTGTTGCCTGTGAATCTACCTTGCACCCCACTTGGAATGAAATTCATTATGCTACTGTCACATCGCCAAATCAAAAGTTGACCATTGAAGTGATGGATGTTGAAGCCCATTCACCAGATCGTACCTTGGGTTCATTTGATGTCAAATTGACTGATATTATTCAAAAGGATGAAACTGGTCATTATATTGAATATATTGACACAAAGCCAAGAACTTCCAAGTTGATTCATAAAAAGGGTATGAAAGGTTATGTTCATTATTCGATTTCGTTTTATCCTGCTATTCCAGTGATGAGTTTACTGGAAATTAAAGAAGAGGAAGAAGAGAAGAAGAAGGCCGAACAAGAAGCTGCTGCTGCTGCCGAAGCTGCCAAGGCAGAAGGTAAAGAACCTGGTGCTAAGCCAGCCGCCAAGGAAGATGACGATGAAGGATTTGGTGATGTCATGGAAGCAAAAGAAAAATTAACTTTAGAGCAATTAATTGAACATACTTCCGGTGTTTTTGTTTATGAAATAATTGACGGTACTTTAAGTAAAGATGATGTTTTCTTGCAAGCATTCTTTGACAACAATATGTTTAACAATTTTGTCACTACTGAAATTAAACGTAAGAAAGCCAAGCTTGGACTTACTGGTGATGCTGTTATCCCTGAACTTGAATGGTCACAAGCTACTTTCAGACTTGTTAAGAACAACGATGACAATAGAGCTGCCAAGGCAATTGCTGAAACCTCTATTCCTACCTTGCAGTTATTGAAGAATGCCTATTCTAAACCAACCAAGATAAAACTTTCTGGTGCCGGTGAAGCAACATTTACTGTCCAATGTTCATGGATTCCACTTGTTTACCATGCTGGAATTCCTCCACAGGATAGTATCAACAATGCCGGTATCTTGACCGTTGAAGTGCTTCGAGCCGAGGGACTTCCTGCCGCTGATTCCAACGGGAAATCCGATCCATACGTGGAATTGTTTCTTAATACGGAAAAGAAGTCTTTCCACAAGACCAAGAAAGTTAAAAAGACACTTAGTCCAGAATGGAATGAGAGTGGCGAAGTTGAAGTTGCCAATAGGTATGATTCTGATATAAAATTAGTTTGTATGGATTGGGACATGGCTGAAAAGGACGATTTGCTAGGCACAGGATATATCCATTTGAAAGAGTATGACACTACACGTGGTCCTGTGGAAGCTGAAGTACCATTGTTTGGCGAGAATGGTGAATCTGCTGGTAAAGCGTTTGTAAGACTTTCATTCAAGACGCAATTTGTTATGAATGTCAAGGCCAGAGGTACTGCCGCAATTGGCTTAACTACTGTGGGAAGTGTTGGTGCAGGTGTTGGTAAAGGTGTTACCAAAGGTGTAGGAACTGTAGGTAAGGGAATTGGTAGTGGAATCAAAGGAATCAGAAGAGGATTGCGTTTAGGAGGAGGCAGTAGTGGTAGTGATTAGTTGTTAACATTTTCTATATAGTCAATTTATACCATATGCGTTTAAGTATGAGACATTTTTTTTTAAAAAAAAGTCGTCACGTGAACAAATTTCACGTGAGCGAAAAATTGGGATGAGCATTGAAAAAAATTTAAGCTGATTTTCAAATTGCCCTTTTTTATTTTACAACCCACCTTCCCAATCACAACACACAAGATGGATATTTCGAAACCAGTTGGTTCAGAAATCAAGTCTGTGGATTTTGGTGTTTTGTCTGATAATGAAATCAAAAGATTATCAGCCAAGCAAATCACCAATCCTACAGTTTTTGACAACTTAGGCCACCCTATAAATTCTGGGCTTTATGATTTGGCATTAGGTGCTTTCCTCAGAAATGTTTGTACCACCTGTGGTTTGGATGAAAAGTTTTGTCCTGGACATATGGGTCATATCGAATTACCAGTCCCTGTTTACAACCCATTGTTCTTCAACCAATTATACATTTTGTTGAGAGCTTCTTGTCTTTACTGTCACAAGTTTAAATTGAATGCATTGGAAGTTCACAAGTACCAATGCAAGTTGAGATTGATCCAATACGGGTTGTTATTGGAATGTGTTGACTTGGAAAACATGTTGGCTAAAGGTGCCCAAGAAATTGAAGACGATGACGACGACAATGATACCCTTGATCAAAAGACCAAGCAAGAATTAATGGAGCGTCGTGAGTTGTTTGTTAATACTGCTATTGCCAAGGCTCTTAGTGAAGGTAGAACCAGCGAACGTGGTGTTGTCACTGCTACTGTTGGTGAAGAAAGAAAAGACACCATCCACGATTTCTACAAAAGATTGTTGAGTAGACCAAAGTGTGACAATTGTGGGATGTATTCTCCAACCTTCAGAAAAGACGGTTTCACCAAGATCTTTGAAAATGCATTGACCGATAAGCAAGTCAGTAATAACCGTGTCAAAGGATTACAGCGTCCTGATATGATTAGAAACACCAAGGGAAATTCCAATACTTCTTCGGGTGACAACCTTCCAAATATCAGACACAAGGGAGGTTCCAAATATGTCTTGTCCTCAGAAATTAGAAACATTATTAGAGCTGTGTTTACAAATGAACAACCTATAATTCAAAAGGTCTTCCATTCCAGACCATACCAAAAGGAAATTGTCAAGGGTGATATTTTCTTTAGACAATGCATTTTGGTTCCACCAACCAGATTCAGATTACCTTCTAAATTAGGTGATGAAATCCACGAAAATTCCCAAAATGAACTTTTATCCAACATTCTCAAGACCTCTTTGTTAATCAGAGATTTGAATGATCAAATTTCTAACATGTACCAAGAGAAATTGAGCGGTGAACAAAAGAAGATTATTTTCAACAGATTAATGAATGCCTTTGTTACTATTCAAAATGACGTGAATGCGTTCATTGATTCCACCAAGAACCAAAATGCACCAGCTGGTAAGGTTCCAAACCCAGGTATCAAACAAGCCTTGGAAAAGAAGGAAGGGTTATTCAGAAAACATATGATGGGTAAAAGAGTTAACTATGCTGCTAGATCCGTCATTTCTCCTGATCCTAACTTGGAAACCAACGAAATTGGTGTTCCACCAGTTTTCGCCAAGAAGCTAACCTACCCAGAACCAGTTACTTCTTATAATGCATCTGAATTAAGACAAGCTGTTATAAATGGTCCTGATAAGTGGCCTGGTGCAGTTCAAGTGCAAAACGAAGATGGTTCTTTGGTTTCCTTGATTGGTATGAGTTTAGAACAACGTAAGGCTATTGCCAATCAATTGTTAACTCCTTCCAACGGTGCATCCGTTGTCAACAAGAAGGTCTATAGACATATCAAGAACAAGGATGTGGTTATTATGAATCGTCAACCTACTTTGCATAAAGCTTCTATGATGGGTCATAAAGTTAGAGTGTTACCCGGTGAAAAAACCTTAAGATTGCATTATGCCAATACTGGTGCTTATAATGCCGATTTCGATGGTGATGAAATGAATATGCATTTCCCACAAAATGAAAATGCCAAAGCTGAGGCCTTGAACTTGGCCAATACCGATAACCAATATTTAACTCCAACCTCTGGTTCTCCATTAAGAGGGTTGATTCAAGATCACATTTCTGCTGGTGTTTGGTTGACTAGCAAGGACACTTTCTTTACCAGAGAAATTTATCAACAATTAGTTTATGGATGTATTAGACCTGAAGATGGCCATACCACTAGAAATAGAATTATTACTGTTCCACCTGCCGTTTTCAAGCCTCAACAATTATGGACTGGTAAGCAAGTTATCACTACTATTTTGTTAAACATCAAGCCTGATGGGGTTCCTGGTGTTAACTTAATCTCCAAAAACAAGATTAAGAGTGACTATTGGGGTGCTGGATCTACTGAAAACGATGTGATCTTCAAAAATGGTGAATTACTTTGTGGTATTTTAGACAAGTCCCAATATGGTGCTTCTCAATACGGTATTGTCCATTCCTTACATGAAGTCTATGGTCCTACAGTTGCCGGTAAGGCTTTGAGTGTCTTGGGTAGATTATTCACCAACTATATCATGATGACTGCATTCACGTGTGGTATGGATGATTTGAGATTAACCAACGAAGGTAATGAATGGAGAAAGGAAATCTTGAAACAATCAGTTGATATTGGTAGAGTTGCTGCTGCTGAAGTCACCAACTTGGACCAAGATACTTCCAATCATGATCCCGAGTTATTGAGAAGATTGGAAGAAATCTTGCGTGATGATAATAAGCTTGGTATTTTGGATGCAATCACTCAATCCAAGGTTAACACTATTACTTCTCAAGTTGTTTCCAAGTGTGTTCCTGACGGTACTATGAAGCGTTTCCCATACAATTCTATGCAAGCTATGGCTCTTTCCGGTGCCAAGGGTTCCAACGTTAACGTTTCTCAAATTATGTGTCTTTTAGGGCAACAAGCTTTAGAAGGTAGAAGGGTGCCAGTCATGGTTTCAGGTAAGACTTTGCCATCATTTAAGCCATTTGAAACTGATGCTCGTGCTGGTGGTTATATCAAGGGTCGTTTCTACTCCGGTATTAGACCTCAAGAATACTATTTCCATTGTATGGCTGGTAGAGAAGGTTTGATTGATACTGCTGTCAAGACTTCCAGATCTGGTTATTTACAAAGATGTTTGACTAAACAATTAGAAGGTGTTCATGTCAGTTATGATAACTCGGTTAGAGACGGTGATGGTACTTTGATCCAATTCCTTTACGGTGGTGATGCAATTGATACTACTAAGCAATCGCACATGAATCAATTCAAATTCTGTGCTGACAATTACGACGCGTTATTGGCCAAGTACAACCCAGGTGATATGACTGACAATTTGGATGTTGAAGAAGCACTTTCCTACTCCAAGAAGGTACGTAAATCATTGAAGAAACAAAAGGAATTACCTCATTACGAACAACAAATCAAGTATGATCCAGTAATGAATGTTTATAACCCTGCTAAATATTTGGGTTCTGTTTCCGAAAAGTTCCAAGATAAATTAGACGCCTTTGTTAGTGAAAACTCACAAATATTTGCCAAGAACAAGGAAGAAGCCAAATCTACTGGTAAGTTGACCGAAAAGAAGTTCAGAGCCTTGATGCAATTGAAATACATGAGATCTTTGATCAACCCAGGTGAATCAGTCGGTATTATTGCCTCGCAATCTATTGGGGAACCTTCTACACAAATGACATTAAATACTTTCCATTTCGCTGGTCACGGTGCTGCCAATGTGACATTGGGTATTCCTCGTATGAGAGAAATTATTATGACTGCTTCTGCTGCTATCAAGACTCCACAAATGACCTTGCCAATCTTGGATGATGTTACTGATGATCAAGCTGATGCCTTCTGTAAATCTGTTGCTAGAGTTGTTTTATCTGAATTCATTGACCGAGTCACTGTTACAGAAACTACTTCTCAATCTGAAGATGGTACTAATTCACGTTCTTACGTTATTCATTTGAAATTCTACTCCAAGCAAGAATATGAGCAAGAGTATGATGTTGAACAAGAACAATTGGAAGATGTTATTACCACCAATTTCTTGCATGCTCTTGAACAACAAATTGTCAAGGAAGTCAAGAAGCAAAAGAAGCCAGATCATTTACCAACTGTTGGTAAATCTGCTGGTAAGACTGATATGGAGTCTGTTCTGGGTAGAGTCATGGATGGTACTACTAATGATGACGAAGATGCCGAAGAAGAAAAGATGCGTGGTAATGTTAAACAAGCTGTTTCTTATGATGGTCCAGATGATGAAGAAATTGAAACTATGAAGAAAGCCGAAGAAACCAGTGATGAGGAAATGGAAGATTCTGATTCTGACGATTCTTCAAGTGATGAAGAAGAAGAAGATGTTGACATGAAGCCAGAAACTGCCAAGAAATCTAATGAGCTTTCTCGTTCTGCCAAGGACCGTCAATCTGAAGTCATTGCTTCTCATAACATGGTCACCAAATTCAACTTCGATGATGATGAAGGTGAATGGTGTGAATTCCAATTAGAATTAAACGGTAACGAAACCCAAAAGTTGTTGATGGTCAATATTGTTGAAGATTTGTGTCGTCGTGTTGTTGTCAGAGAAATTCCACGCATTGGTAGATGTATTCGTCCACAACCAGATGCCAAGGGTAACAGACTCCTCACCACCGAAGGTGTCAACTTCAAAGCTATGTGGGATCAAGATGATTTCATCAATGTCAACAATATCACTTCTAACGATGTTGCTGCTGTATTACATACTTATGGTGTTGAGGCTGCTCGTAACACTATTGTCAATGAAATATACCGAGTTTTCGATACCTATGGTATCAGTGTTTCTTCTCGTCATTTAGATTTGATTGCTGATATGATGACCAGAGAAGGTACTTACCTTGCTTTCAATAGACAAGGTATAGATAGTGGTACATCTGCATTCATGAAGATGTCCTATGAAACTACATGTCAATTCTTAACCAAGGCCGTCTTGGATGGTAACCGTGAAGAATTGGAATCTCCTTCTGCAAGAATTGTTTTAGGTAAATTATCAAATGTTGGTACTGGTTCGTTTGATGTTTTTGCCCAAATACCAAAAGGTAATTAGTTTATTTTGTTTTATTAGTATTTAGTCATATAGATTTAAAAATTTGTACATTTGCATATAAGCTAAAGTTGTAGGTAAACAAAGTGAGGATTCTTGTTGATTTGAATCATGTGCGATTATGTTGTAGTCCCTTACTTTCTTCAGTTTCCGGAAGTCTGTTTATATATTCAATAATTTTTAGGAAGGTACAATTATGAAGACCAGTTGTCCTAGGCTAATATAAAAAAATGGGAATCTTCTAATAGTCTTCTGATAATTGTAAAACCACTTTGCAATGTTCGGGATAGAGAGAATCTTAGTGCTAATTCTAATATCATTACTTATAGTAGTACATAAAGATCCAAAAATAAATGAAGAGAATAGTCAAGTTTTGACAACTCCTTTGTCTACCAAGTCTGCTAAAGAGCATAAACCATTGTCAATTTTGTCTTTACCTGATGTGATACTTACATTAATGTTTGACCATCTTAACCAGATAGAAGTTCTCCATGTTATGACAACACATTCAAGATTTCTAGAACTTGGGAAAGAGAAATTGTTTAAATATATTTACGTAAACCAAGGAGAACCACTAAAAGTCTCAGGGGACATTCATACTTCTTTCCATACCAATTTTACCATTATTAACAAAGCTAGAACCTTTAACAAGTTGTATGAAGAGATGAAATTAAGTCTTGTCAAAAAGGTTGTACTGTTCAAGAACATTACTAATCATTACACCTGGTATCGAGAATTGTTGTTTATATACCCCCAGATTACAATAATCATAGAAAATCCGGATGATAATAATAACACTATTAGTCATTTGCAGAGTGAACAGGTTAATAAACTTCGAGTGTTTACGTTTGATTATTCATCAGTATTCCAAGAGGGCAATGATCAATACCTTGCACGGGTGAGAGAATTAAACGTGATAAGAAACTCTGCATGTAAACAGAATTTAGAACAGATTTTGCGTATGCAAAATCTCAAGCAGCTAAGGCTTCATGAAGTATTGGACATTGTTCATAGAGTAATGAGATTGAAGGGATTTAGAAAATTACCTATTGAGCATTTCCACATAATTTTTAGTCAGCCCTTGAGGCAATATTATGTCAGAGATCTAGGAACAATGTTTGATTTGAGTAAGCTAAAATTACTTGACCTTCACTTTTGTCTGGAGAGACCATTGCAATATACTTGTGAATCTGATTTAAAGAAACTATTATCCCAGGCAACCAGACTTGAACATTTATCATTAACATACCAAAAAATCGACTTTATTAAGTTAATTGGTGCGTTGAAAGCAAACTCTTTGCAAAGTTTGTATTTACGAGTAGTTCCTGGAAATTTTGAGCCAGTTCACACCCAATTTCCAATGGATAAAATCTTGAAGAGCCAACGTCAGTCAATTGAAAGAGCCCACTTCAGTTGCAGTCGTTTTCATTACAGCTGTTTCACTGGGTTGCAGCAATTTGATCGGATCTATAAGAATGGGGATATGGCTCGGGGCCCCGAATACCAGAAAGCAGGATTCCAGGGAGTAATCGCTATCCGCAAACTCTTGAGAACTGGTTATCCCAAGTTGAGTCAGATTTTATTAAATGAACGATGTTACTTTATCAAAAGTTATTCAGATGAACGTAGCGAAGAAATAACCTGTATTAATTAGCTAGCAGTCTATTCTATGCTCTCAGATATAAAATGCTTCTATAGATACTATGATCCCCCCTCCTTAAAAGACATATACTTGAAAGGTTGTATCTGCAGAATTGCTTAATTTCAAAATTCTACTCCCTGATAATTTAAACTGTAAGATTCTCTAAATCTGAAAAATATAGGCGGCTGGGTTTGTAAAGATTCATCTTTGAGTCAAATCGTTAAAATATAACCATTCTATTTCTACACACATTTGGGAAATTATCCTTCATTTACCCCACAATATTTTTTCAATATGAAACTAGCATCAATTAACATACAATATAGATAATACCCGGGGAAAATATCCTAACAGCATCAACTCTTGAAAGCAACCTACAAATGTTAAAATAGTAAAATATCTATATTAGTTTTTAAAGTCATATAAATTGAATTAGCTGCGAAAAAAATATGCCGCACTTAAACATTGTAAGCAGCAATAATGAAAGCCAATACAAAGGAGAACTTAAAACTTGGCTTTTCCAATACCAACTTCTTGACATCGATCTTTTCCCTTCCAACGGTGATGATATAGTTCCAAGGAATGTTTATGATGTTTCTTGATTCTAAAAACTCTACAAGGAAATAACTCGCCAAGGTAACAAATAAAAATACCGAGGAGAGTTTACCAATAATTATACCCAAGAACATTCCAGTAACTGATCCGATTGTCAATTCCTCATAGTTTAACTTGTTATTGAATCTGGATTTGTGATATTGGGTATCTGGAGTCGGGATTTGGATCCTGGTTTCTGGAATTGCAATCGCGTCGTTATAGATCAAACTTGAGGAATAAGAAGATACAAGCGAAGCAGTCAACAATGTAGCACTTGTACTAAATAACAATCTCAAAGGTGAGACTGTGGAAGCTGACCTTCTTGTTATATTAGACACGGTAGACTTTTGGGAAAACTTGGCACATCTTACAATTGCTGTTAATTGGGGCTTGACAAATGATGAGTATGAATATTTCAATGGTGAGATGGCAAGTGCTCTTTTCGTGGCCAATTGCTGAAGGAATAACATTTTCTATAATAGGGTATTTCTATATTTTAAGGTTTCAAACTTAGTTCTAAGCTAATTTGCTAGAAGAATTGTTTGTTTTGGTTACTAGACGGAAGAGCAAGGGGGGCGTGGGGATAACACGGAATTTACCCTGGAGTTAAAACCGGGTTCTGCATAGTACACTGGGAGAGGGGACAAAATGTACTTACCTGAAATTTGTTGGCTGGGGGGGGGGGGAGGGGCTTTCTAGCAATAATAATGAATTTTTCTACTTTGAGCTGGTGGTCGTGTACTTGCAGAAAACAAGAGCATTCCTGCATGTCAAGATCTCCTATACCAATAAAGTCGTGTATATTTACCAAGAAAAGTTTATTGTTCGGAACATTAAAAAATAATATCCATGGGAAAGGTCGTGGATTTTGGCAGAGAGCTTGTGGAGTAAGTGAAAATAAAAGCCGTGTCCAATTTGGGTAAGTCCATTTCCAGCCATAGAGTACTAGTAGTTTATATAACAAATGTGTAAGAGAAAACTAAGAAAAAAATTATTATGTAATATTATCGGCGGATACGTATCGGCAAAAGATATTAAAAAACTTGATCCGCCTCTTCCATTTTCATTCGAAGCAACGTTGGAAATACAATTTATTCCTCTTTTCAAAGCCGTGGACTTTGAGCCGCCTTGTTGTGGTGTCTGCCAAAAAAACCTTCTCTTGAGCTTTTGTGTGTTTTCTAAGCCAGAATGTTGATAAGTTCGGGGAATTATTACTGAAAAAGCTCAAAAATTTCCAACATGTAAATTAATGTGCGCACAAGAGGTAATTATAACCTGCAGAATAAACGCATCAGCAAAAAAGAAATTCGATTTGCATGTTGAAATTTTTTTTTACATGTTAGGATTTTGATGAAGAGTATTGTGCAGGAAAATTGTAAGGCAGAAATGGCTTGCCCTTTAAAATTTAACAAATTTCCTCATTATTACAAAATCTAACTTTTTTATTTTATCTATTTTTCATTTCTCCTAGTCAGAAAGATACTAAATATTTTTGAATTTACTTACATTTTATAAGTTTCCTTTCAATTGATATAAGTCTATCATTAAAGGATTTCAATAGTAGCCCAGTCTACCGTATTTCAGCTTCGAGTTCAACCTTCGTTCACATAAGATTTCCACAAGGAGTCATAAATACTTGAGAAGAAATTTAATATCACACGCGTTTTCAACTAACAACTGGAATCAGTATACTTGTTAAAGCCACTACTTAACACTACTGATTGACACCCGGTATTACTTCCAACTGAATACCAACGTATATTACTTTCCCATTATTGCAAAAAAAAAAAAGTAATAATTTTTTTGGTGCAGAGGAAAAAAAGAGAAAAAGCAGCAACATTTTTTTTTATAGAGCCAAATTTCCACTTTGCAACAACAAACAATGTTTACCTCCTGGCAAGAAACCATGTTTTTCAACCCCGAATCTCCTCAAGAGATTTGTCCTAATATCTGGTTAGGTCCATACAGTTCGTTGTCGGGGTCATTTCTCGTGGAAAATCCCATGCAGATCATTATAAACTGTGGGACTACCTTGAAGTTTCTCGACTTGGTTGAAAATGACAAAAGTGTTGCTATTTCATCAGATGTGATTTTATTAAGTCTTGACCCAGCCTTTGACTCAAATCATGAATTAGTTGACAAATTCAAACGCCAATTCACGAAAATATTACAACATTACCTTAACTTTTTCTATTTAGAAAATCCCAAGTCCGCGCTTTTAATGCATAAGCTACCACAAAATTCAATTGAATTAACATCACCAATTATTTCAGGAAGTAATTTGAAGTTGCAATTTTTCAATTTGATCAGATTAATGACATTATTTAAACTGATTAACCCGTCATTACAAATTTTGGTGGTATCTGACGACGGAAATAGCTCACTTTCCACCGGGTTAGTCATTGCCTATTTGATGGATTGTTATAGGTACAATGTTGCCAATTCCTTCAGATTGATTCAACATCGTCGTCCAAGTGTTCGTGAATTGAATAGCAACTTTTATGATGATTTGTTAATTATTGAACACTTGAAGAAATTTTATGTGGAAAATTGTGAAATTAAAAATTGTCATACCCCAATTGCCACCACAAATTATATGTTAAAGAGAAGAAATGACGAATGTGTAGAGGACGAGGACGATATGGTGGACGAAATTTTAGTGGGCGGCGGGGACAGAAAAAGAAGATTTGTACATTAGCACTGTGTGCGAACAGCCATAGTTTTGCACCTCCCCTGTGTATTACATCGCTACGCGTGGCTTGCATAAGCCATAGTATGGCAGTATATTTTTATTTGCTTAGTTTATGTTGTATTATTATTTATTTATGTACATGTTATTTATACTTTTTTGTAGAGAGCCTTGACCATGGGCTATAAAGATCCGAAGGTGAACTTTTATTGTGGCACACTTAAACCCACCTTGTTGGCGGTCTTTCTGACATTATCTTCTTGAGACATAGTTAATCCTGGGTTATATCTTTCTAATAATTCAATATACACCCGTTGACTGTTTAAGAAAGTAACCATGTTATGTAAATTTTGTCTTTGGTGCACACTCATTTCCTTCTGTTGAACGTAGTCTTTCAAGATATGACTGTCATGTAATTCCTTATGTTCAACTGCTTCTGTAGTTTCATTTAACTTTTTCAATTTTGATTCCAATTCACGGACATCTTTACCTTGTTTTATCCCAGTAAGTTTTTGGTAACTTAATAATGCAATTTGCTTTTCTCGCTCACGGGCTGCTTGAACTTGATGTGCCTTATTTTGAATAATAAGAAGTTCTTCAAGTAAAGTTTTAGTCAACTGCTTGACAGATGGGAAAGTTTTTGAATAAATAGACATGGTGTGGCTTGACAACTTGATCTACTATTAGTCTCATTTTCATACGTTCGAATAAAAGAAAATTTTAAGGAATCTTTTTGCTCCATGCACGTGATGAACATCATGTGATATAGATAATGCGGAATGGGACTATTCCCCTTGCTATAGTCTCTTTCTTGATAGTGTTCAGACAACAATTATACATATCATATTGTGCAAAAAAATATTGGTTCTACAAAGAAACATATATTCGTGCCAGTTATTCAAACAATATTCGCACCACTTATCCTACTACAATATTGGATTCCTCGAGTTCAAAAAAATCTACCTTGGTTATTCTAAGTATATCAAGTTTTCCTTACATTGCGTTTTATGTTTTCACATCTACTATTCAATTTATCTAGTTCTTCTAGCAAACGCTGAATTTAATGCAACTTTCTTTGAAAAGTGAAAATATTAATCAATGAACAATTTGGAATTTGTATCTTTTCTATTCTATACTAGCCGTATAATTACGTTTTGATCTAATACTTCAAAAACATATAAAGTAAGTACTCCATCTCAGCGATATAAAGAAAATATACCTATGTTGTCTCATGTAGGATTATTTTTTAGGTTATCCTTTAGTATCTAATACCGGTGTATAAACAGGAAAGGGTATTGTCAAGAACAAGCAAAAGTGTGCCCAAAACAATCTCGGGGGGAATAACTTGGTGGAGTGTAACGGTTGTTTCCAATTTAATACCGATTGTTATTAGAAATATTGTATACCACAACTAATTTTTCTAGGGATACTTTGTTATGGAAAATCTAAGTTTGCAGGTATAAAAGTAGGATCAAATTTTGCTCCATGAAATTATTAAATATTCCTTAACCAAATGTTGCTCCCAATATTATGTAATTGTGTTATTGTTCTAGTCTTAATAATTATCAAACAGCAAGCAGGAGTACTATGTAGAAGTAAACAAGAACAGAAGCTGGAATTGAAGCTGGAATTGAAGCTGGAATTGAAGCTGGAATTGAAGCTGGAGTTGATACAATTAGTTAACGAAGTACGTCAAATTAGACAAGAGATTGAAGAAATCAGAGTGAAGAAGCCCAAGCTGGCTATAGAAAAAATAAAGATCACGATCATGTCACTCCTGGATGATATCTTCCTTAATGTACTAAGATATCTCAACCAGATACATGTGTGTCGTATTTGCACGATCAATTCCCGGCTCTATAATTTGGGAAAGATCAAGTTGTATAGATGCATTTATTTCCACATTCGAAGTTTAAATACTATTCATATCTCGGCTAATACTTATACATCGTTCTATACCAACTTTACTATTGTTAACAAATGGAATACATTCCCTTGGATTTCAGAAAACTCAAATATTACCCTTGTCAAAAAAATGGTTTTTAGAGTGAATGGATTACTATTTGATATAGTAAAGACACAGTATCCTTGGATAGAAGTCATAGCAGAAGACCAGAATGGTTATTACCACTCGCAATACCCTTTGCAAGAATACCATTACACTCAACTAATATTATCAAGGAGAGTTGGAATTCCTTTCCTTAATGGATGTCAAGAAATGCCATGGGTGAAGAAACTTACAATATATCTAATTGTTGTGCCAGAACAGAGTTTAAATGAAATTAAATATTTATCTGGGTTGGAAGATCTTGGAATTGATGTTGTAGATACAGATGACTTAGAGGAACTATGTGATATTGGACTTGGAGATATGCCTATCAAAAAATTAAGGATTCTGGTTTCAGAATTGATTGACATGGAGGAACTCCAAGAGATAACTGAAATATTTGATTTGGAAAAGATCACCATGTTTCAGTTACATTTATGGGACGAAGATACATATCCAGAAAACTTCAATCTGAGTATACAGAAGTTGCTTTCTGCCTTGGTAAATGTCACCAGTCTTTCGATAATATGCCAAAACATTGATTTTGAGAAGGTTCTTGAACTGATGAAACCAAATTCATTACATACATTGCATTTAAAGATTGTTCAGGTTGGCAATGATATACATACCTTCCAACTAGAGAACATTTTGAACTATCAAGAACATTCACTACGGAGGTTATATTTGAGTAATAACAAACAACGGGATAAGACTAAAATGTATGGTCTACAAGAGTTTGAAAGAATTTACAAAAAAGAGACCAAGCCCCTCATACCCAACCAACAACCTGTTGGGATTTTTGAAATCAGAAGGATGATAGATGCTGGAAAGTTCCAGAAGTTGAATCGGGTGTTGATTAATGAGAGCTGCTATTTTATTAAAAGACCTTCAAATGGTATGATTCATCTTGTTCCATGTAATTCTCTTATTCCTGATAATCCTTAAGCAGAACTTCGTTGTGTAGGAGAACCTGTTATAAGAAGCTGGATCTGCTTGACTAAGGGGGGTACAGAACTTGGCATTTTTATATCAGTATTGCCTTTATAAGTTCTAAAAAAGACCGTACTACGGTTTTTATAGATGCCAAGCTAATCCATGACTGGTATCTTATGACCAATTAAACTCTTTGGCACAGTAGCGAATTCAGAGATATCCAGTTAAACCCAGTAGTTGATACTTGATTCAGAAAAAGAATTGCTACCTGAGTAGAGAACAGAAGAGAAGTCTTGTCTGTAGGCCAATCACTGTATACCAATGCCAAAACAGAGTAGCACTTCAAAATAATAGAATATTGGCAATATGCTCTTTTTACGTAATAACCTGTAATGGGATTTGATATAGTTGATATTATCAACGGATAATCGCGTTCTTGTTCTACCAATTAATCGGCGACAAAATTTCCATCAAAGTCCGATTTCCGAGATCATCCTGTCACAAAGAAATTTATCCGTCGGCCATCGCCGCCAGCCAATTAAATTTCGCGAAATCCAACCATGGGGGAAAAATTGCAGCACTAAAATTCGGTGCCGAAGGGGGGAGTGCGAAATAGCATAATGACAATAGGAACCGTGTGGTAAACAACTATTGTGTCAATTTGAAGCCCAATTGAAGTATGTCATTTTCTGATGTAGACCGATTTACACGTCGGTGTTTTACAGTGAGGTTTTTCCGATGGGCGTGTATCAGAGATAACATGTCAATGAGATTAGTTCTTTGAATGTGTTTCAAGAATTGTATAGTGTGGATACAACCATTATACTAAAGCTAATTAGAAGAAGCATTCAATTGCAAATATCAATAACTACAACACGACGTGTATTTTTAGCTGAACTACTGCAACACACACATTGCGTTAATTTTAATGTTTCGTTGGAAGTACAAAAAAAAAAAGAAAACGCAGTTTGTTCGCATCAGAATTTCAAATTTTTTTTTCGCACTGAATTTTGCTCGCTTTTATTTGAAGCTCCGTTTTACTTTCTTCTCTTCTCTTCTCTCTTTCTCATCAAGTGCTTTCTTGCATCAGAATATACCCAACCACATATCCACCAATGCTTAGATCCGTCATTGCCCAAAAGGTATGTTTAATAATTGCTCAATTCTCCTGATCTGGACCAATGCAATCATCTGTACGGGGTCCATGAGGGGGGGGGGGGGATCAGATGTGGAGCCCTCCTTCCCCTCCATAGTGAGACATAAACACTATGTGGAAAATTCTGAAATTGTTTTGAACCGCTAAATACTAACTGTAATCAATAGACTTCTGTCCGTTGTCTTGCTTCCTTTGCTTCCCCAGAATCTGTCCTCCCAAAGAAATATGGTGGTCGTTACACTGTCACTTTAATTCCAGGTGATGGTGCCGGTAAGGAAATTACTGATTCCGTTCAAACTATTTTCAAGGCTGAAAACGTCCCTATTGATTGGGAAATCGTTGAAGTTAGTGGTGTTGAAAGTGAATCCGGTCACCACCGTGTCGACGAAGCTGTTGAATCCTTGAAGAGAAACAAGGTTGGGTTAAAGGGGATCTTATATACTCCACCAGGTGGATCCGGTAAGTCATTGAACGTTGCCTTGAGAAAAGAATTGGATATTTTCGCTTCTTTAGTTTTGATTAAGAACATTCCAGGTGTCAAGTCCAGATTAGACGGTATTGATTTCGCTTTAGTCAGAGAAAACACCGAAGGTGAATACTCTGGTTTAGAACATCAATCTTACCCAGGTGTTGTTGAATCCTTAAAGATCATGACCAGATTCAAGTCTGAAAGAATTGCCAAGTTTGCTTTCGACTTTGCTAAGAAGAACAACCGTAAATTGGTCACTGCTATCCACAAGGCTAACATTATGAAGTTAGGTGATGGTTTATTCAGACAAACCGTTAAGGATGTTGGTCAAGATTACTCTGGTATTGAAGTTAACGATTTGATTGTTGACAATGCCTCTATGCAAGCTGTTGCCAAGCCACAACAATTCGATGTCTTGGTTACTCCAAACTTGTACGGTTCTATCTTATCTAACATTGGTGCTGCTTTAATCGGTGGTCCAGGTTTAGTTCCAGGTGCTAACTTCGGTAGAGAATACGCTGTTTTCGAACCAGGTTGTCGTCACGTTGGTTTAAGTATCAAGGGTAAGAACTCTGCTAACCCAACTGCCATGATCTTGTCTGCTGCTATGATGTTGAGACACTTGGGTTTGAATGAACAAGCCAACAGAATCTCCAAGGCTACTTACGATGTCATTGCTGAAGGTGAAATCAGAACCGCTGATATTGGTGGTACTGCTACTACTACTGAATTCACTGATGCCATTGTTGCAAAATTGGCTTCTGCTTAAATTTAAAAAGACTATAAAGAAATATTTTATAGGAAACAAATGATGATGATGTTGAAGTATAATAAAGTACTTTTTTTTCATGTTTTATACTTTTTTTTATATACTTTGTAGTTGATATACACAAAGAATAAACCATTCAAATAGAACTAGAGCGTAGACCAATGAGATCTGATCTGGCTGTGAAAGACCAGAGTTAAAATTAGAATAAATTACCACCTGCATATAAACCACAAAATCTTTTTTCGGGTGGTGCGGCCCCACGCTAATTTGCAATGAGTCAAAATTTGGGCTTTTTCTTTTTCTTGACTCGAAAACGTTGGTGCAACCACCATCACCTTTAATTGGCTTTCTTTTTTTCCCATCTCGTCCACATCTCTTTTTTTTTGAAAAGTTTCTACCAACATTCATTCAAAACTAGCGAAAATATGTGTGACGTTGTTCTTGGTGCCCAATGGGGTGATGAAGGTAAAGGTAAATTAGTCGATTTATTATGTGACGATATCGATGTCTGTGCCAGATGTCAAGGTGGTAACAATGCTGGTCATACCATTGTTGTTGGCAAGACCAAGTATGATTTCCATATGTTACCCTCCGGGTTAGTCAATCCTAAGTGTCAAAACGTTGTTGGGTCCGGTGTTGTCGTCCATGTCCCTTCCTTTTTCCAAGAATTGGAAAACTTGGAAGCTAAAGGGTTGGACTGTCGTGACCGTCTTTTCGTTTCCAGTAGAGCTCATTTAGTGTTCAACTTCCATCAACGTACTGATAAGTTGAAGGAAGCTGAATTGTCCGTCAATAAGAAGTCAATTGGTACTACTGGTAAGGGTATTGGTCCAACATACTCCACCAAGGCCTCTCGTTCCGGTCTTAGAGTCCACCACTTGGTAAACCCAGCACCTGAAGCTTGGGAAGAATTCAAAACTAAATATTATAGATTGGTTGACTCCCGAAAAAAGAGGTACGGAGAATTTGAATATGATCCTGAAGAAGAATTGGCACAATATGCCAAGTACAGAGAACAATTACGTCCATTTGTTGTTGATTCTGTTGTTTTCATGCACAAGGCTATTCAACAAAAGAAGAAGATTCTTGTTGAAGGTGCCAATGCTTTGATGTTGGATATCGACTTCGGTACTTATCCTTATGTTACTTCTTCATCCACCGGTATTGGTGGTGTTTTAACCGGGTTAGGTGTTCCACCACACAACATCAACAAGGTCTATGGTGTTGTCAAGGCTTATACCACCAGAGTTGGTGAAGGTCCATTCCCAACTGAACAATTGAATGAAGTTGGTGAAAAATTACAAGATATCGGAGCTGAATATGGTGTAACCACCGGTAGAAAGAGAAGATGTGGTTGGTTAGATTTAGTCGTTTTGAAATACTCCAACATGATTAATGGATACACCTCTTTAAACATCACCAAATTGGATGTTTTGGATACTTTCAAAACCATCGATGTTGGTGTTGCTTATAAATTAGACGGCAAGGTCTTGGAAGGATTCCCAGAAGATTTGCTCGAATTAGCCAGAGTTGAAGTTGAATACAAGACATTCCCAGGTTGGGAAACTGACATTACCCAAATCAAGAAGTATGAGGATTTGCCAGAAAACGCCAAGAAGTATCTTGCATTTATTGAAGAATATTTGGAAACCCCAATCCAATGGGTTGGTACAGGTCCAGCCAGAGATTCTATGTTGGAAAAGGAATTGTAGTAGTGTTATCAAGCATTTTAAGTTAGGTTGATTTAGTTTTTTTTTTATACTTGTATAGCATAATTAATGTGCTTCAGAATATACTTGGGGATCGTGCCATGATGCCTGGGTGACGTGATTCCGGAGCTAGAAGTCACGTGATACCACTTTGCGGTAATAAAGTTCAATTTTGTGGGTGATTGCCACCACCCCACAAAACACCACTCTGGCTAAGAAAAAAAAAAGCCTTGGATTACAATTTCCCCTTCACCCCCTTTTCAAAATAGAAAACCTTAAGCTAATACAAAAACACTTTAATTCTTTTACATGCTATTGTGACGTACAAGTCTGACTATATCATTTGCTACTAATTTAATAGTGTTACGACCGAGTTTTACAATTGTTGCTATCAAATCAGAAGGTCATTCAAAAATATCTATACTATTGTGACTAATTACTTACCCAGCAATCCATTTTAATTTGCACGATTTTGTATTACAAGTAGATCAAAAGTTATCAAATCCTTTAGTCTATTGTTTTCGATCCCAAATTACCAGAGTTATACGAGAAGACTAAAAAAAAAGACACTGTATCGTACGGAGGGTTTGAGATAACAAAGCACAAGCATACAGTTTGAAGTTTTTTTTTTTGTTTGTGTTTTATAATCTTCGTCGTGTTTTTTAGGGGTTGTCTTTTTTTTTGATTTGTCTTCTCGAAAAAGTGTCTTGGTTGTTTGTGTATTAATATTTATCCTCAGACAAAAGAGTTATTATGGATTTACTACTTTCAACTCAAGACAGAGGCAGCATCAGAGGTATGTTTCATTTATTTTTTTGTGTGTCTTTCGAGAAAAAACTAACACCTTCTAGTTGTCCGGTTGTCTAAGAAAACCAGTGATTCCTTGGATATTTCCATAAAACACGAGTTTTGTATTGGAGGAAGGGAGAATTATATTCAAAAGATTCTTAATTTTAAATTCCAGCATAAACCTCATATGATTATTGCCAGAAAGAATGGGTTAATTCAGCTTTATAAGAAAACCACAGACGATGATGGTAGTTCATACTATCAGTTATGTAAAGAATGGAAGAATTCTCAATTGAATATCCACGATACTATAGTCTCTGTGGGATTTTTGAATCAACAGTATCTTTACAGTTGTTCTCGCGATGGGAAACTAATCATCCGAGATTTAATCAATGACGATGCTGACGAAGGATACAAGGTCTATTTAATCCAGTCTCCAGTAGCTGACATTGCTATGAAAATGAAAAACAACATTACTATGCAAGTTGTGAGTTGTGGTAAAAACAATGACGTTAAAGCATATGAAATCTCTATGGATTCCCGGTCGAGTAAATCTCCATCTCCTCCAATGACGACATACCCATTGTCTATAGACTTGAGATACATAAGTTTGAGAAATCAACCATTGCGTCGATCACTCACGAGTTTGAATCTTAGAGATGAGTATACTCCACCTACAAGAGGTGGTAGTGGTTCTCCCAACTCAGATCGCCAAGTTTCCACTCTCAGTCCAATTTGGAGTTCGTTAACTCATTATCTGGATTATGTATATAATGCCCATTCTCTTGAAAAGATTTCCAATTGGATTGTCTCGGTTGCAATAATGGGAACAAATATACTTTGTGGAAGTCAATTTGGGAAATTAGTATTGTATAATTTAGCATCTGATGGATATCCAATAACCACCTTGACATTATCCCAATTCCCCATATTGAATTTGAAACCAATTAGTGATGATTTATTAATGTATTCTGATTCAATGTGTAAAGTTGGAATTCTTCGAGTATCATTAATGAAGATTGTTTTACAATATGATGATTTGAAAATAGGTCCCATGAGTCATTTCCAATACATCTTACCTGGAAGTATAGGCACTTCCACCACCAAAGGTCATCGAAGAAAGATAAGTGGTGGTGTCAAGTTTGATCCAATGTATGTTCTCGCAACCACCTTTGACAAGCGAATGGTTATTTATAAATTATTCGATAATTCAAGGTCCGAGCTCTTACTTGATTGTAAATTGGGAGATTCTTTAATTCCATCAGTTAGTTTATTGAACAAGAATCGACTGGATTATGAAATGATCCATTCTATATTTGGCAATGATGATGAATTGAGTGATTCTAGTGGATTGGATGAAGAACTAGTTATCACTAAGAAGCGACGGTTATCGGTAATTCGAGAAAAGTATGATAATAGAATAGGTGAATTGGAAACCCCCAAGAAACCGAAGCAACAATTTGTGAATATGCTGCGGCATGGTTCCATTGAGGAAGAGTTAGCGGAGGGTGATTCAGAGCTTTTGGAAGGAATTTCTACACGAACGTCAAAGACAACACACGAACATAATGAATGCGACGAAATTCACGATGTAGAGTTTAAATAGATAATTTGCATGGTTTTATTTTAATGATTTGCATAGTATTTACATAGTTAATTTAACGAGAGACACCTTGGATTGAAAATGAACAAATATTAATGTAATTATGTATTATGAACCACAAAATTGTTGACTGAACCAACAATCCTAACTTATACATCTTTCTAACGTATGGTTCCGCCTGTTATTAACTTACCATTAAACATGACGGGTTTAGGAAGTGGAGAGCAATATTCCTTTTGGGTTAACTGTTTTAGGTTGGGAAGTGTGTTCCAACGTTTCATCTTGGCGATTTTAAGACGTGGTTTATTCACTTTCTTAGGAAAGCAATACTTTAACCTGTATGTTAATTTACTTAGGATGGTAGTTTTATCAACCTTGGTGGAATAGTAGTAGTAGTTTGGATCAACGTTTTGTAAATCATTAGCGTCATAAAACAAAACCGTTTCTTCATATTTTGGTAAATTGAAATATGGGTTGAATGGGATTGGTGATTGACTATACGAAGTGCTTGGAAGTTTTAGTCTAGTTGCTTCATACAACTCCTCGATTTCTCTTTTCTCTTCCATGATTATGTTGAATAAAACTAGTTGGGTGCAAGTAGAAAGTTTTGTTTGGTTGCAAAACAAAAAAAAAATTCAAGTCCACAAAAGAACCAAAAAAAAAAAAAAAAAAAAACGATTGAAACAACTAATCACGTGCACACTCTCCTAACAAACTTCAAAACAAAAATTGCCCACCCACAATGTCTGGAGAAATGTTGCCACCAAGACTACCCAACAGTGCCAATGTCATATAAATTAAGTGCTACTTTAACTGGACACGAACAGGACGTCAAGTCTATAGCCATTGTGAATGATTCACAATTGGTTTCAGTCCTGAGAGATTCAACCACGAGATTTTGGACAAATATCGCCAGTTCCAATAATGATTCCACTATTGTATTACATTCTCCTACTACCAGTTTTATAAATTCTGTCAGTTATATTAGTGATAGAGGGTTAGTTGCTAGTGGTGGACAAGATGCCATGATTTATTTGAATGAAGTCGGTGGCGAAGAGAAGGATTCGTATCAGTTGATTGGACACCAAGGAAATGTCTGTGCTTTGCATTATGGTCATGGTCAATTGATTTCGAGTTCTTGGGATGCCACTGCAAAAGTATGGAACTTGGAGGATTTTTCCGTAAAGTTGGATTTGAAAGGTCATGGTTCCTCGGTTTGGGACTGTAAAGCTCTTTCTGATAACAAATATTTGACTTGTTCTGCCGACAAGACTATTCGATTATGGTCGGGAAATCATGAAATTAAACAATTCAAAGGTCATACTGACGTCGTTAGAAAGTTACTTGTATTACCCGGCGAAGAGCAGTTTTTGTCATGTTCCAATGATTGTACCATTAAATTATGGGATATTGCCACTGGACAAAACTTGCGCACTTTTGTTGGTCATGATTCGTTTATTTATGATTTGGGATTGTTACCTAATGGAAACGTTGTGTCTACCGGTGAAGATAGAACTGTACGTGTTTGGGATTTTAATGGTGGACCAATTCAAGTAATTACCTTGCCTTGTATTTCCATATGGTGTGTTGATGTGCTTTCCAATGGTGATTTTGCAGTTGGAAGTTCTGATAACCAAATTAGGATATTCACCAATGATAAATCAAGATATGCACCAGTTGATGAACTTGTTGAACTTCGTAAAGCAGTTGAGTCCTCGGCCATTGCTGAACAATCACTCGACAATTTAAAGAAGACTGATATTCCTTCGTATGAAGCTCTCGCTCAACCAGGTAAGAATGAAGGATCCGTGATCATGGTCAAGAATGACGAAGGTGTTATAGAAGCGCATCAATGGTCAGGAGGTCAATGGAATAAGATTGGTGATGTCGTGGGTTCCGCAGGTAATAAGAAACAATTGTATAATGGAGTTGAATATGATTATGTGTTTGATGTTGATATTAAGGAGGGTGCTCCTCCGTTGAAATTACCTTATAATGCTAATGAAAACCCATATGTAGTTGCCGAAAAGTTCCTTGCTGAAAATGATTTGCCTGGTTCTTATGCTGAAGAAGTTGTAAGATTTATTGAGCAAAACACCAAGGGATTTAAATTGGAAGAAGGAACAGAAAAGGAAGTTGCTGCTACAAAAGAGCCTGTTATTGACCCTTATTCCGATGCATATAATAGACAGGCCAAGTTAGAACATGAGTTGAAGGTTATACCTCAAAATAGCGTTATCTCATACAAAGATTATAAAAAGGACCAATTACTTAATGGATTGAACAAGTTAAATGCAAATCAAGAGCCGGCAGTTCAATTCAGTAGTGATCAAATTTCCACAATTACTGAATGCTTAACCGATTTAAACTCAGCTAATGCTCTTAAATTGATTTGTCAATTTGGACGTCATATTATTAAAAAATGGAACACTGGATCTAAACTAATTGGTTATGATTTAATTAGAATAAGCGTTACTCGAGTCACTACGGTTGACTTAATAAATTCAACCGAAGCAGCTGAAATCTTGTTGGATGCAGTAATTTCTGGTATTTCTGATGCTTCAGCAGAGATAAAGACCGGTACAACTGCTTTATTGATGATGATTTTAAAGGTTGTTAACAATGTGATTGGTACAGTTTTCTTTGTACAATTGTACATTGATCCTGAAGGAGAAGTATACCAATATAATGATTTGTTTAAACAGTTCCTCAAGAGCTTAGCGACAATAATCGGAGAGACTTCCCGCGAAGCTAAACTTTATAATACTACCATGACAACAGTCGCTACATTGATTTACAATTTCACAGTGAACCATATTAAGACTACTGGGTTAAAAAAGAATCCAAAGTCAAGTTCAATTATAATTGAGTTCTGGAATAAGGTGGGTGCACAAGTTGCCGAATCAAATAGTGAGGCTGCCTATAGGTTGTCTATTGCCTATGGGAACTTGAAATATGCAAAGGCATATAGTGATAATGTTCCACCTACTTGGTTGGCTGAAGTTGGTCAATTATATGCTGTGGAAGCTGGAGAACAAAGATTTATTGAGTTAGCTCTGGATTTAAAAAAGTTGTAGGAGGTATACATAGATATAATATACTAACTTTATACAACAGACTACGTAGCATATTCCCGATGAAGGTTGTATATTATTAACTAGCTATAACTTAAGAAGTATAGAATAATTCGGGAACTTTATGAGTATAATGGACTAACTTGTGCGCCAAATCGAGGTTGAAATTATCAGTTAATTCAGTTACTGAAAACACGCGAACTGAAGAGTCTCCCGTGGCTTTACCAATAATTTCATAGTTCTTATTGATTGTTATTGGCTCTCCTTCTGGAAGTTCTAATTTAACAGGACCATTGCTTATGACTATAGCAGTGTTGGATGATTGGTCATATGATTCACATTTACCAAACAAACTAACCACTTTGTTTTGATTGCTAGCGAGTAAAGTGCTGTCGACTTTTATGTTTTCCATGGTGAGTAAATTGTGATAGATATCAGTGTCTGTTGCTGGATGATTGTAAATGATTAAGGAACTAACGCGTTTTTATATTTAGTTCAATTCTATTTTTTTTGTTTTTTTGTTTTGTGAGTGTGTCGCGTTGACCCAGTGTCGCAAAACAAATAATGTCGCAATTCTCGATGTCTTTAATTATATGTCTACTATGTACACTTAACAATTACATAAATCATGTAAGAATTCACCAGCTTTACCCTTTTCTTCAGCTCTCATTAAACTTTCACCAATTAAGAAACCATCGACATTATCTTCGTACTTGTATTTCTTGACGTCTTCAACAGTGGTGATTCCGGATAATGCCAATACTAAAACTTCACCCTTTCTTGGAGAGCTTTTTGCAGTATCAACTAATGAACTAGTGGTGTTTAAATCTACATCAAATGTGGTCAAGTTTCTATTGTTAACACCAATAATCAATGGGTCGTTCGTGTTACCATTGTTAGTTAACTTCAATGCTTGGCTTAATTCAGTAGAATTGTTAACTTCAACTAATGGAACCATTCCTAAAGACAACGAGTATTCGTACAATTCTTGTAATAACTGTTCATCTTCCAACATTTTAACAATTAATAAAACGGTGTCTGCACCAGCCAATCTTGCTTCTAAAATTTGATACTTTGAGAATATAAATTCCTTTCTTAAAACAGCTGGTCTCTTGTAAGTTTCACTGTCCGGTTTGTCAATAACTTTACGAATTAAAGTTAAATCATGCAATGAACCCTTGAACCAATTTGGTTCAGTCAATACGGAAATTGTCGAACATCCGTTATTAGCGTAGGTTAATGCTTGGACACCTGGATGTGCATTGATATTAATATTACCTTTTGAGGGAGAAGCTCTTTTAAATTCAGACAATATTGGTGTTTGTTTCTTGTTTTGGGTGTATTTAAGACGATCATAAAAATTAATTGCTGGTGGAGCAACACCCAAGGATAACTCTGTTTCCAATTGCTCAAAGGACTTACCCGGTAACTTTTCAATTTCTTGATAATCCAATTGTCTTTGCTTGTAAATCTTAGTCAAGATATTTTCAGACTTGCTTATATTATTTCCTTTTGTTATAGCATCATTTTCTTCCCAAGTTCCTCCATGGACACCCAACAAGTTGTCAATCATTAATTGTCCACATTCAGTTAAAATAGATTCAGGATGGAATTGCACACCTTCAATAGTATATTTCTTGTGTCTAACACCCATGATAACCTTTGGTGAAGTTTCAGTCATGGCGGTAACTTCTAAACACTCAGGCAAAGTTTTTTGAGAACCAGCTAAAGAATGATATCTGGTAACTGCAACCGATTGAGGAACATTTTCAAAGAATCCCTTACCATCATGACTAATTGTAGTAGTCTTACCATGAACAATTTCCCCAGCATATGACACATCACCTCCAAAGACATCAAAGATACATTCTTGACCCATACAAACCCCGAATATAGGTAATTTACCAGAAAAATGACGGATTACATCACTGGAAACACCAGAATCAGTTAATGGATGTCCTGGACCCGGAGATATAAAGATGATATCAGGATTAAGTTTTTCAATAGTTGGGATGTCAATTTTGTCATTACGGTAAACGTCAACTTTACCACATTTTGGTGATTGGTGTAAAAATTGATATAAATTCCAAGTAAAGGAATCATAATTATCAATCATCAACACATGTCTCTTGGATTCAGTCATTTTTAATGGTTGGGTACCTTTGCAGGTGAATATTTTCAAGATTGTTACTGCTAACAAATTTTTTTTTCAAATCCCAAGCGATCTTTTACTGACTCATTTGCGGGAAATGTTTTTTTTTTTGCAAGTTATTCCATTTTTGCAGTTTTGCGCAGCTGCTGCAAAATCAACTTATACAAAAGGCAATTAGGCGCTTTTGCTTACTATACAAATATAAATTTTATATATGGCTAATGTTACAACCGGTATTACTTTTCCTTTCGGCAATTTTCTATTAATTCAGGAATACCTCGGCGGCATTTTGATTCAACTAATTAAAATGAAGATGATGAAGAACGCGGCAAATGAGAAAGATATCGACGATAACACAGAAGACGAGGACGATAATACTGATGATGCTGATGGCGCTGATATTGCTGATGATAATATTAGTGTTGATGAAACTGATAACGATGATAATACCGATAATGTCGAAAACCTTGAAGATATTGACAGCCTTGAAGAGTTAGCCAGTCTTGTCGATGTTGGAAATATTGAAGATTTTGATAGTATTGTTATTGGTAATTTTGAAAATGTTGAGGTTGTTGATATCATTGATGCTGAAGAGGAATGATATTTTGGTGCTGTTACAGGCATGGATGTTGAGGTAGAAGTTGGGGATACTGATTGCGACATTGTCAGAGTTGAGCTTTTTAGTGTCAGTGACAAAACCGAGGATGGTGTTTCTGACATAGCAGAAACCTGTTCGTTCTTCAATTTCCTTCGCATCTCAGCATAATCAGCTTTTAAATCAAATTTGGTAGCTTTGCTAGCATCAATACTTTCACCAAAAATCCGCAATTGCCAATCAACAAAAGTGATAGAAGTCTCACCATACACTTCTACTTTCCATTCACCTACGCCAGATTCACCCCAATGAGCTACCGACATGAACTGCCAATCAAGAAATCCAGACATTGATGCATCTAGTGGTCTATATGTTGCCAAATAACTAACCACACCGTGTGGTGAGGTTAACTTCATTCCAACTTTTCCTCTGTAAGTAGCTCTGATATTAGTCTTAACAGTGATGTGTTCCACTCGTGCAACATTCATCAACTTCAAATCTTCCTCTGTTACTACCACGCTAGATTTTATAACTTCATTGAGGGATGTGACGGCTTTCTGAACTTCTATTACGTCAGAATAGTACCATGCTTGAGGTTTCACATTTTTCCAGGTTTCTGCTAAATGCACCAATTTAGTAGCATCCAATTTTCCATACCCATATTGATGAGAATACTTTCTTCCTATAGATGTAATTTGATAGATTCCATCATCTTCATTTACGGGAACAGCAGACAACACGTTTATATATTGAATATCACGCCAGGTGAGTTCGGGATTCACAGAAAGAGCAAGGGCATAAATTCCGCTGGCTAATGGTGCTGCCGCTGAAGTTCCTCCATGGTCTGCTTCTGTACATTTCTTATTAAGATCGGTAGTGTGGATGTGCTCACCTGATCCCGAAGAATATGTAACCACCATGAGAGCTGAACATGTTTCCGAATATGGCGCGTATTGGTCTTGAAAATCAATAGCTCCTACCGTAATTGTATATATTGAATTTGCATACCCATCAAAATTACATGAATCACCATATCTACCCCCATTACCCAGAGCAAACACATATAATGCTCCTTTAGAATCACGCCCTTCAATGATACCTTTCAACATTGCCTTTTTAACAACTGGGTGAGGTTCAGAAAGAGTTTTCCCATCGTCGATAGGACCCCAAGAACAGGAATAAATATCGTTTGTATCCAATCCATATACCATTGCAGATGCTTCATCGGCATTGGTTAACCTGCCTGAAAGAATTCTAATTCCACTAACCTGGGATTTAAAAGCAACGCCAAGGCCACAAAAGTCATTTTTGACAGCTGCCACTTCACCAGCACATCTAGTTCCATGATAATCGTCTGGGTGGCGAGGAAGTGGTAAGTCACTATTATCATTAAAGTCCCAAGATCCTTCGGAATTGAAGTTATCATGTAAATCATCACTTGTAATGTCGAGTCCATCGTCAACCACAGCAATAACTACTCCTTTTCCGAATTTACCTTCTAACCATATATCAGCAACATTGATGTCATTTCCAGGATGGAAAGTGTTAATCAAGTGCCATTGTCTTTCAAACATCGGGTCTTTGATTTCTAGCCGTTTTGTGACCTCTTCTAGTTTCTGTTTAACCAACTCGATCTGTGGTCTGTTTTTAGCTTCACTGCTAGATTCTATGTCGTGCGTATCGACGGGAACAGATTCCCTTTTAACTAATCTCTTGGGGGGAAGTAAATGAATCGATTTCAACGCATCATTGCTCATAAAATCGTCATATACATCTTCAAACCCAACATCGCGCTTCATCAATGGTTGAACATCTTCTGTAGAGTGCTCTGAATTCAAGTTTCCAAGGAATGTATTATGAGGATGCGACTTGTTAATCTTGAACACATAATAATTATCTAATGGCAACTGATGGTCAAACGTATAGTGCAGCTTGTATTTCTCAATGAATTCAATCAATGGCTTCTGACTGGTGGTTGTATCTAATTCTACAAGAAAATAGTTGTTATTTTCATAATCTCTGGGTGGCAATTGCTTCTGGAATGATAATGCAATCAAAGATACGGCAGCCAATAAACTAAAAACTAACATTGGTATAAGGGACAAGGTGGTGTACAGTTATTCATTATTTGAATACCAGATAGGCTGGCTAGTGGTAATTTATACTCATAATATTGAAAACTAACTGTAATAAAACCATTTCTATTTTGATTAATATATGTTAGTTTTAGGAAATTTCATGGAAATGATAAGACGAGTTGCATGACATAAGGTTTTAGTCAATAGCTACCAGAATGTATTAGCTGTTAAATCTTTTAGTTTTGCAGATCGCGTCAGGTACACTGCAAAGGCATTAAAGTTGATTCTTTATGGATACCTCTTCTTGGAAGTGGATAAGAACTTTGAAGGTGAGATTCAAACCATTACTTGTTGTCCCCTTATTCGATATACACTTTTGCTGTCGCAATTTTGACTTTCTCTATACGAATAGTTCATAAGTTTAGCCATGCAGCAAATAGATCATAGCTAACGAACATTTTACGGATTTTGCCAGTGCACCTAACCGGATGAAAAATTACTCGATTAGGAATGAATCAGTTTTATTCGATATTGGACTACTACCGCCAAAACCAGTGCTTCCAGCCCATTAGAAATTGATTCAGTCCTTCTCTGATATCAAAATGATATAATTTTAGCAATTTTTTTTTGAAGTTGCATATGAAACAAAGATTAATGATTTTCAGTTCTTTTCGATATTGCGGGGGGATGATCTAGAAAATAAGGAAGATCTGGTTTCACGTGACTGTGCCTCCTAACAAAATTTTCTACAATAGCTAGGATCTATAATCTCTAGTCTAAAACTAATATAAAACATGTTTTTAATATTGATATAAATTTACATAAGATCGTATGTGCTTGAACAGTTATAATGTGATGCTAAATTCTTTGGAGGTTTCCTTATTACCTGGTTTATAACATGATTTTTTTTCCTCTTACTTCACGCTGAGATAGATCTGATTCGGAATTGACAGGTTAGTGATAGCTGTAATAGCTTTGTTGTAGTATAGTAATGTCTAATTTCATCTTTTCTTTTAGAAAAAGTTCATTTTTCTAACTAAAGTCGGTGAGGGTTGACTCCATCGGTCCCGGGTAGTTAATTCCCGTCTGATTCTTTTGTATTGGCAGGTGGCCTTGGAATACATACTGGAACATCTCTTTTCTCTTTTAGAATTTGTACAGGGGCACTGGCGACGAGGGCCACGAGAAATAATATTGGTAATATTGAACGCATAATATAAATTGTAAATAATTTGGTTGGGATTGATCTAATACACAGGTGGTATAGGTGGACTTTGAGGTACTATTTATAATCCAAGGCAAATCTAATGACGTATGCTACACGTCTACTTCGAGCTACATTATGGGCGATAAGTCATGCATATTTTTTCAATATTATCAGGTCAATTTGCAGCTATTCTTTTATTTTTTTTTTTTCTTACTTAAGTTTTGCGTCGCACTTGAATTTTTGCGTGATCACATAATAAATCGTAGAATCCTCTCTATTATCCAGAAAAAATGACGTTCTGTAAGGGGAAAAAACGCCACTCACCTACTTAAATGAGACTATTTTTTAGGCGAACTAAATGACTATAAATTGCGCCTCGTTACTTGGAGTAGTGAGTAAAGGTTGCTGCATCTGCACTTTGTAGGCTGTAATATTTTTTGCTTAGATTTAGATTCCAGAAAAAGAAATCTGGCAAATCTGGAAAATCTGGAGGTTATCCACTGCTAGTAAAAGCTCGCTTGCCAAATGCCAAAACCAAGCAATGTTTAAATAGAAACTCAATATTTATAATTCAGAATTTGAATACAAAAATCTATAAAGTAACTTAAAGTGGTTTAGTATGCAAAAGTGATACACGCTCTTGATATATCATAGCATGTAAAAAATACTACAGTAAGTACTAACCTTTTACTTCTCCTCTGGGTGTCATGACATAAATTTAAAGTTTTGGATCAAATCCCTATATTCTATAGTTTAACATGATTTTTCTAACCATGTCCAAAATATTCGGAGAGTCAGGAACTAGATTCTACTCGGAAATAAGCTGAGAAATAATTCACTTATTTAAACTTCTTTTGGTTTTAATATTGACTTAACCTTCTTTCCGTTATTTTCTTCAATGTCATCTTTGATTGAACTGAACGATGAGAATTCTTAGAACAAGTCGAAATCTTATAGAGCTATAATGTTACATATTATACACGTTTGCAGTTTCCACAGCTGCAAAGAAAATATACAATGCTTTATTCGATGGTCTATAGCCATTGACAATGTCAAAGCCTTTCTTCTAGTACACCTATATGGAACGAGACAGCTCAAATATGGCTATTGGTGATCATTGAAGCTTCTTTCTATTTCTATTCTTGCAGCTTCCAGATAGTGAAGTGCTATTGTAGTTTTAGCTGTTAATTTGGATAAGATATTGTATCAGTTTGTCTTATCTTACAATAAAAAAGATAGTTAGGAAGATAGCAATTGCTAGTGATATTGATGTTAATACTGATAAAGATGACGGTTCCGATATTGATGATGATAATGTGAATGTTGGTGGTTCGGATATTGACGATGATAATATTGGTGTTGAAGATATTGCCAATGAAGATAATACTGATACTGTTGCTAATGTTGATAAGATTGATGACAGAGATAAAGCTGATGAGGATGAAGACAAAGATTTTGTTGCTGTTGTTGTGGGGGATGAGGATGAAAGTTCAGATGAAGATTGTTGGGAAGATTCAGTCGAAGGTTCAGGAAGAGGAGATTTTATAGATGATACGGGCAAAACTTCATATTCCAGTACTTTGAACGATGATGATATGTATTTAATCGTTTCTGTTGTGGAGCTTGATTTTGGCTGATCATTCGCGGGATTCTGGTTCTTCAATTCCCTTTGTACATCTGCGTAATCAGTTCTCAAACTAAATTTCGTGGTTTTACCAGCGTCAATACTCTCCCCAAAAAGTCGTAATTGCCAATCAACAAAGGTAATATCTGCCTCGCCAAATACTTCTACCTTCCACTCACCTACTCCAGATTCACCCCAATGAGCCACTGACATGAATGTCCAGTCACGAAATCCGGTGCTTGCGTCATCTAATTTTCTGAATGTTGCCAAATCACTAATAACACCCTCTGGGGAAATTAATCTCATTCCTACAGCTCCTCTATAACTGGACTTTATATTAACTTTAACTGCTGCATGTTCAACTCGTTCAAGGTTTGCCAACTTTAAATCTTCTTCGGATACAAAAACACTGGATTCAATTACTTTCTTATCATATGTAATAGTCTCGGTAACTATTATTAGATCAGAATAATACCATGCTTGTGGTTTCACATTTTTCCACTCCTCAGCAAAATGAACCATTTTGGTAGCGTCCAATTTTCCATACCCGTATTTAGGAGAGTACTTTCTTCCTATAGATGTAGTTTGATAGCTTCCATCGTCTTCATTGATAGGAACAGCAGTTAGAACAGTGATATATTGGACATCACGCCATGTAAGTTCAGGATTTGCCTCAAGAACAAGTGCATAAATTGCACTGGCTAATGGTGCTGCGGCAGAAGTTCCTCCGTGGTCCATGGAAGAACACTGCTGGTTGATATCGGTAGTATGAATGTATACACCTGATCCCGAAGAGTACGATACAACCATAAGGGCTGAGCATCCTTCTGAATAATCGGGATGCAGCCCCTTATAATCAATCGCACCCACTGTAATTGTGTATATCGAGTTTGTATAGCCATCAAAATTACATGAATCATCAAATTTAGCCCCATTACCCAGAGCAAACACATATAATGCTCCTTTAGAATCACGCCCTTCAATAACACCTTTCAATATTGCTTCTTTGACAATTGGGTGAGGTTCAGATAGAGTTTTTCCATTGTCGGTAGGACCCCAAGAACAGGAATAAATATCGTTTATGTCTAATCCGTAAACCATGGCGGCAGCTTCATCAGCATCAGTCAAACTTCCCGAAAGAATTCTAATTCCACTAACCTGAGATTTAAAAGCGACACCAATACCGCAAAAATTATTTTTGACAGCAGAAACTTCACCAGCACATTTAGTTCCATGCGAATCATCAAAAAGACGGGGTAAAGGTAACGGTGAATTATCATTAAAATCCCAAGATCCTTCAAAATTGAAGTTATCTCGTAAATCTTCACTAGTACTATCGAGCCCATCATCAACTACAGCTGTAACTATTCCTTCTCCAAATTTACCCTCGAGCCATAAGTCAGCAATGTTGATGTCGTTTCCAAGACTAATGGTATTGATTAAATGCCATTGGTGGCCAAAGGTTGGGTCGTTAATATTTAGTTTTGAGGCAACTTCTTCTAGCTTCTGTTTAGCAGGCTCTATTAGCTGATTTCTTCTAGCTCTGCTTATAGCATCTAGTTCAGCTGGGTCTACCTGAACTGGGCGTCGTTTTTGTAGTCGTTTTGGAGGAAGTAAATGAACCGACTTTAATGCGTGATTGTTTATAAAATCATTATAAAGATCATCGAACCCACTCTTGCGATTAAACAGGTGAGCAAAGTTGTTTGAGGCTAAATCGACAAGGAAGGAGTTGTGACGGTGTGTCTTATTTATCTTGAATACATAATAATTATCTATGGGTAATTGGTGATCAAATACATAATCCAGCTTATATTTTTTAATAAAATCAAGTAACGGTTTTTCACTGGAACTTGTATCTAATTCAACAAGAAAATAGTTGTTATGTTCATAATCTCTTTGTGGTAGTAATCGTCGTTGTAAAGATATTGAAATAAAATATAAAAGTAGTAATATGGTATACAATAACATGAATGAAATATGTGGATTGTTGAATCAATAATAAACATGCCACCCTCCTCTTATTTATAGTCACGAACCTACACCATCAACAATGAGACTACTTTACAAACTGATCATCATAATTTGGCTTACTAATCCTTGCCTGATACGTAAGTGGGATGGCTTGTGATAAAGTTTGCAATGATAATTAAATATATGCACTGAGTGTTAAATTTTCATCAGATGGGTGCAATTAACAATGGCCGTTGCAAGAATTCATATATGCTACAAAAGCCGTCGATTGTACTTCAACGGCTTTGCCTCACCATGTGGAAGATGTTTTTATCTGACCTGGATTTTCAAAGCATCTTTGTAGCCAACATTGGTAAAATGCTTGATGCAAATATATCATTTTGGTGCAAAAGTTCTTTTTCTGCCTGATCGCCTATAGTTTGACTTACTGGGTGGGCCAATTCATATAATTGGTTTCCTGTACTGCATATAAACATGTCTTTCGATATCTTTTTTGCAGTTTAGATTTACCTAACCTTATGAACACCATGGTATTGGTAGTCTCAAAAAAAGAATGATAGCCTGGTTTTTAATTTAAGTATATTTCTGGTAAGATGCATGGGAAAACTTCTATTAAATGGTAATTTTATGAAGCACTTGTTATTAAACAAAACCAGTCAAAGTTGAGAAAAGTATCGTTTAAAACATTGACTTTCTCCACTCAAATGATAGTGCTGGATTCAGTTCCAAAAAGCCGAACAGTGATACAGTAGAATTTCTATTCAAAGCTAGAGTTAGATTTTTGGAACAAGATAAATAGTTTATAGATTGATGTGGTATAGTAGTATCTGTTGTTCCAAATATGTTGTACCTGTGGGATTTCTCAGGAATATCTGTAAAAATTTGCAGAAACTTATAAAACTTTTTATAAACCTTGTCACTGTAGAGTTCGATGCTCTCCGACAAATCTACAACAAATGGACCAAAGAATAATCGCTAGAGTAAGGATTAATAGATACTGATATTCAGAAACTGTACTCTCAGTTCCAATTATTTTTTTTTTACCTTAAATCTGGGGAACTAAAAACAATATATTTAAATTATATTATACCCTTCGCGCCTATATGGAAGTTAAACCCAGGGAACGTTGTGCATACTCGTATAGTTTGTTAGCTTCTGTCGCAGTTGGAATGTATCTCTTTCGTCTTTTGGTATTGGCAGATGAGAATTAAGCAGTGAAGATAAGAGTGAATGTATGTAAATTGTAAAAGAATCATACTTATGCAAAAGCGAAAGTTTAGATCAGGGCTCAGAATAAACCTAGGGTCATGTTTATTTTTCATTTATTATCAGGTCATATTTTGCAGCTAATCTTTTTTTTTTTTTTTTGGAACCATTATCAATCTTGCACGATCATTGAATTAGTTGCTTTCCCGAAAAGGCATCACAAGAAAAGGTTATTATCACAGTTTTTAGATTTATCTTTCAAACAAAATATTATAGATCATCACTACAGATCTACAATTACGATGAAAAGATGTAAAACTGAATCAGATTTTCAAACTAAAGACTGGAGGTTAGTCTTGCAAATAACGATGATGAATTAATTAGTCAATATTAGTTTGAAGCTTCAAATTCTTACACAAAGGTTTATTTAACAGTCTATAACGGTATACTTATTTACTCTTGTTTTTTGGACACATCCACACGTTCATATTTTACACCTTTTAAAACCAACGAACTGAATAACTCTAAAATCAACATAAACAACGAGGATAATATTGCCAAACAATAATTTGAAATACTAACCCCAATATCTAACCAACTTCCTTCAGTTCTAACCAAGAAGAAGAAATTCAACGATAGGAAATCACTAGTTGAAATAATTAAACTTGAAATTGTAAATTTTTCGATTTCTAACTGATGATTCATTATTCCAAGACATGTAGATAATAAAACATATGGAATGATCAATTTTAACATCAATAATGCCCCCATTGAGAATGGATCAAAGATAGGAATCAACCGGTACACTGAATCCAAAGAAAATGACGAAATCAGTGCAACATTACCAATACCAAAAAATGCAATTTGTAAAAAGAAGAAACCAATGATTGCAATTCTAATAACTTGTAACCAGTAACCTTCAGGTAACCTACCTGTTTCTTTTTGAGATTTAACAATAGATTCATGAGGGATTTTAAGCGATTCTTCAATAGTCAACCACTGCAATAAAACTAAAGAAAATCCCACATAGAACAATACTTCAAATGAAATGGCAAGGATAATAAATGTAGGCGTAAATGTTAAAAATATAATCAACAACCTTAATTCATAGTCTGTTGAAGGGGCTGTTGAGTGTAAAATTGGTAATACAAGAATAGAAACAATAAAGGTAATCCACCCAAGTATTTGCGACAAAAGCGGTAACCCATCCCTTGCTTGCAATGAAATAACCGAAACATTGGTAGCATACAACATTATAGGAATTGCTAGAATTTGATACCAAATTAATTTCCTTTGAATATAATCAACTTCTTTATTAACAAAAACTTTTTTTGCTCCCATAATTGCAACAACAAATGACAATATTCCACCAATGTTAATTTGAGTCAAACTTTCAACCTTAACCGGGTTGGAATTTGTGAAAAAACACATAAAGAAACAACTTGCAAACCATGAAATTTTTAATTTATTATTTATCAAATTGGAACCGTTGACAGCCAATGGATATAACCCAACTAACACAAATATAACAGAAAATATAAATCTTTGGAAAAACCCGTAGGCAATTGCTTCATACATTCCAATAAATATAACAACAAGAACAATTCTGGTGAAACTCGAAATACCATGTAAGAAGATATCTACCCCTTGTTTAAAATACTCCTGCTCATCTAAAATAGTGTACCAGAAATATAATGGGAACCAAGTGTACATATAATAATTAATTGGAGAATTTTGATAGTATAACAAATAGTTAATCAGGGCAGAAATAGCAACAAATATTCCAATTAAAATATATGATGATTTCAGTTTATACTTTTCCAAATCCAGTTCGTTCAAAATGAATAATTTTAAAAAGATATTAAATGAATAAAGAATCCATCCAAAAAATCCTAATGTGACAATTGAACGAAGTAATGCCCAATTATAAGTTTGTAAATATGTCAACCCTTCTAAAGCTTTCTTCATCAATTCTTCAGCGAGAGAAATTGCTTGATGTTCAATTTCAATTTTTAAATCTTGAGCTAAATCTTGATTTAAGGTTTCTATCAACTTTTCAATTTCACTAGTATAGTTTGTAATTGGTTTTTCTTCGAATGGATTGAATGGTTTAAACTTAAATTGATGATCTTGTACTTCATCCTGCTTAACAATGTATTGTTCAACAATTGCTAATGCATTGGCATATAATGCCTTAATTTTAGTAGATTGAGTTGCATCTAAATAACCCAAAGGCAATTCTCCAACTGAATTTGCAGGGTATTGTGCCCCAATTAAATATGCCATAAGTGAGGCAATATCGGCTTGATTAACATCAAATCTTCCTAAATGATCAAAATCCCAAGTATTGAAATAATCTTTCTCAAATCCACTATTAATTGGATCTTGTATGACAGCTTGCAGTTCAGGTAAATCCGTTAATTTCTTTGGCTTATTTATCCCTGCTCCCCATGCAATTAATGGAGTACGTGTATTATCAGGATGTCCATCACCGTGAGATCCAAAATCACTCATACCATGGTCTGCAGTAAAGATAAACGCAGTTTGATCATCACCAAAGAATTCGTTGATTTTAGGAACCAATTCGGCAAGTTTCGTATCAATATATTCAATATTATCATAATATTCTGCCGAATATGGACGATATGCATGCCCAGCAGTATCACAACCTAGTAAATGTAAAAAGAAGACATTTCCATCTTGATGTAATTCATCATGTAAAGTTTGATTAACTGTCAGATTGGCTAATAAGTCGTCAAAATGTTTAAACACAAATGAGTCTAATTCAATTGAACTTTGAGTGAAATCTTCAAATTCATGCCCATACATACACACATCAATTCTGCCCGGTACAACACCATCACCATATGCAAACATTGGCAAGATATCGGGAGAACCAAATGAATAAGTATGTTTGGATTGATTAAAGAATGAATCGAAATTCACGGGATTCTCTTTCCAACCCTTGGTAACAGCGGAGACATCTTCATAGAAACCTGCAATCATGGCCACATGCCCCGGTCTTGATTCCGTTGGCATTCTAGTCTTTGAAATTCCCCAGGTACCATTATTTTGAACAATTCCACGTAAATAAGGAGCCAAGTACTTATCTTCACCTGTCTTTGGGTGGGTTAACTTTTGAAAAGTTTTGTCAGCACGTAATCCATCACCAACTATAAGGAATAATCTTTTGGCAGGTGGAGTTTCAGTTGACAAATGGTGATTCATACCGTGAACCAACGGCAGAACAAAATAAATGTCAAATATTGACCATAGGTATAAGAAATGGAATAATACCCCTATAAATACAAGTAATTGTCTGTTCTTATTCATTGTTGGGGAGTAATTTACTGGTAGATCAACGTTGACACGTTTGGTTGTAAATATTATACACGAAAAAACAACTATTGGGAATGTCGTATTTTTTTTTTTGCGCGGGATTTGGCACCACCAAGGTTGGAAACACGTAAATAATGTCGCTATATATGACATTTGTTATATTTACTTGATTGGGTATCACATACTACAATTATTGAAAAGATGTATTGTATTATTCGACTTAGGAATAGTTCTATGTATCTACATTTGAAGAAAAATCCTCTTACTTTTAATGACTGCTATATATATATATTTATACTTTCCCATATGTATCCAGTTTTATCATTCTCATCCAATCACAGTTTTGTTTATAAACACACATGGTATTAGTGAATACCCGAAGTGCTTCCGTAAACTCTCTATTAACTTCCAAATCACGTTGAAGACATCTTGTATAAACATCCATATTCTCATTTGTATTGATCAAATCAAAATGTTCAACATCTCTATTTGTTCGTTCAATTTGATACTGGACAATTAACCTTTTATACTCTAGGAATTCTTCTTGATACCTCTTTATTGAATTGATGTATTGTTGCCATCCATGTGCACTTATCTGGGGATCTAGTACTGGATTTGGTGGATTTGGCGGCGAGAATGAATGAACGGCAGGTGAAGCATGCAAATCAAGCATTGTTAATTTGGTGGTTTTAGGTACATGGGCATGAATTGTCGTTTTATTTAATGGAGTGTGTAAGGTTTCCGCTTTGGAAGATCCATCGGAATATTCTGCTGCTGGTCGTTTCTTGGAACTTTTCAAGGTGGACTTCCCCTGGACTTTTTGATGAGGTAAACTGTTTAGTAAATCACTGAAATCCAAGGTTTCTATATTATCACCAAGGTTTCTTTCCAAGTCATCCATATCAAATGATGGTTTAAATCGTTTATTTCCCAGTTTAATATCGGTAGTAGTGTCGGGTGCTCTGTTTGGAGTACTTGGAGGATTAAGCTTTGAACGCTTGGGTGATCCAGATCTATTATAATGTTTTGGTTTAGGTTTAGGGGGTATATTTAATTCAGCATCCAAGTATTCATAAAGCTTGTTGACCGTATTTTGGGTTTTAACTTCATCACTACTATCCTCATCTTCTTCATTTATCTGAGGTGTGGAATACTCACTGGCTTCGTCAGACAAAGACACATATTCAGGGGGTTGGTTATTCTCCAGTATATCGAAAGATTGGTCAATATCATCCTCCAGATACTGTTGTTCAGATTCATCTCCCAGGGATAATTCATCTTCAACAACAATTGGATCACTTGAGGTACCAAATGAAGATTCTGGAGTTTTCTGGTGACCATTTCTATATTGACTATCCAATGGATCTTCCATTGCATACCTAAGACCTTCTTGTTTGGCCTGGTTATAGATTGCTTCCTTTTTTGCTGACTCATACATTTGTGCCAACCTTTCTCGTTCTTGCAGTTTTTGCCTTTTCTCATAAGCTCCTTTTTCAAAATCACTTTGTATGTCCCGCTTCTTCTGTTCTTGTCGACGTTGTAGTTCTTCGAAATCTGCTTGTCTTCGTAGCTTCTCTTCTTGCTGCTTCCTAAATTCCTCAGCTTGCTGCTGCCTCTTTTTGAACTCTCGCTCTCGCATCGCTTCTTCAGCCCTGGCACGTTCCAACATCTCTCTTCGCAATCTTTCTGCTTCGGCAGCAGCCTGTTCTGCTGCTTTTTTTTGAAAGTCGTTTATATTGTCATAATAATGAAAATATGAGTAGCCACCATACTTGTTGCTCAGCCGTGTGGAAGAAGTAGTAAATTGGAAATTTTGAAACGAATCAGAAGCGGAACTCGATTGATTGTTGTTATTGATATTCTCCTTCTGCTCCTTAAGTGTCTCGTAAGCTTGCTTTATTTTAATAAACAATTCATGATGATTTTTATCGGGTGTTTTATCTGGGTGATACTTTAGGGATAACTTCTTGTACGCTTTTTTGACTTCCTCTATAGATGCTGTGGGTGGCAACCCTAGTACCTGATAATGTGGCTGTAGTGATGTGCTTGATGACATCTAATATGAATATTTGAATGTAAGTTACTAATTTGTAATATAGGAATGAGACCAGCAGCCAAAAGTTATGATTTGGAGTGATATTTTTCTTGCGATAAAATATAATCAACACAATTGGTAGCTGCAGTTTTCAAGCAACAACCAGATTGATAAGCTGACCTGGGTGGCACCTTAAGGTATTGTGCATCAAGAAGGTGCAGAATGAAAGTGAAATTAGAATGTTTATATCGGGGAAGAACATGTTTGGGTAATTTCCAGTATTCAAAACCCAGGCGGGGGGGAGAGTTGGATTGCGGACTTGAAGCTAGTCAAAAACTTAATTAATTTCTCTGCAGTTAGTAGCACTAGCAACAGCACAACCATATTCGTCAACAACTTTCACTGGCAACATTTAGGACTAAGGTACGTTATTGGTTGATACTTCTTGCATTTCCAAGTTTACAGTGCTCAAACGAAACATGAAGATTCTTACACAGCCCATTTGACTCAGAATCACGTGCGGTGCGTAAGATTTCGATTTACCGCTTAGGGAAAAACGGTAAAAATCAAAAATCAAAATAATATTTGACAACAGCCAACATTTCACCACTTGTTCATTAGCATCAATCGAAACGTAGTTGATTAAGCTAGGCTGGTAAATATGACATTCACTCATTCTGTATCTGCTGATGGTAGTCATATCTTCCAGAACCTTAATACTTCAAACTACCTTCTCCTTACCAGTGACGGTAGTATCGAAGTTTCCCAGACCATCCCTTCAATTTATGACTCCAAATTGTCAACCGGAAACCATTCAATTTCTTGTATTATCGGAGTCATCAAACTCAAGATTAGTTCATATGTTATAATTTCTGATCAACATACAATCACTGGTTCCATCTTAGGTAACGAAATTGCTAAAGTGGAATCATACAAGATTTTACCCTTGGGAAATAATCAATTTGCTAAATCAAATGCCGAAGAAGCTGAATATTTGAAATTGTTGAATCAGCATTTATCCAATGCTACATTATATTTTTCAATTGACAACAAGTACGATGTTACCAATTCTCTTCAGCGCCAATATACTACTGCTAATTTACAACCTGATCCAAGATTTATGTGGAACAAATTCTTATCAACTAGTTTGATTGAAAATGGTGCTAATGAGTTTGTTACTCCTTTGATCTATGGGTATTTCAAATCTCATTCAGCTACTTTCAACGGACCTCATTTGTTGGACTTTGCGTTGTTAACTCGTAGAGCTAATTCTAGAGCAGGTACCAGATATTTCAGAAGAGGTATTGATACTAATGGTAATGTTGCGAATTTCAATGAAACTGAACAGATTTTCACTGCTGCTGATAACCATGTTTATTCCTTTTTACAGACCAGAGGGTCGGTTCCTGTTTACTGGGGAGAAATTAACAACTTAAAGTATAAACCAAATTTAGTAATTTCTTCAAAGCCTGCCTTGCTTGCGACTGAAAAACATTTCACAGAACAAGTTGAATTGTATGGTGATAATTACTTGGTTAACTTGGTCAACCAAAAGGGTTATGAGTTGCCAGTTAAACAATCTTACGAAGCTGCTGTTGATAATTTGCCTGAACATTTAGCCAAGCATATTAACTATATCTATTTTGATTTCCATCATGAATGTAAGGGTATGAGATATGATAGAATTAATTTATTGTTGGAAAGATTGATTCAATTAGGTTATACCAGTGATAACTACTTTTCTTATGATTTAGCTGAAAACAAAATCCTTTCTGTGCAAAACAAGATCGTTAGAACAAATTGTATGGATTGTTTAGATAGAACCAATGTTGTTCAAGGTGAATTAGCGAGATGGGTTTTACAAAACCAGTTCATTAAACTGGGATATATTGAAAAGGATACTTTGGTTACTTGGAATAAAATTGACCCCAAATTTAATCTTTTCTTCCAAAATTTCTGGGCAGATAATGCCGATGCAGTTTCATGTGCATATTCTGGAACTGGTGCCTTAAAAACTGATTTTACAAGGTTAGGTAAAAGAACTTATAAAGGTGCTTTGAATGATCTTTCCAATTCGATAACAAGATATTATAAGAATAATTTAAAGGATGGAAGTAGACAAGATTCTTATGACTTGTTTTTAGGTAATTACAAGCCTTTTCAAGATTCTATAAATTCACCATTTATAGATAGAAGACCAGATTACATTCAATTGTTGCCTTATTTAATGGGTACTTCATTATTGGTATTATTAACAATTATATATTATCCAAGAGGTTCAATCTTTGATTTTAAGAATTTGGTTATAATTGGTGCATGTCTCTATTTAAATGCAAGAGGGTTGTTCTATATGTTGAAAGATGGATATCAATTTGTTGATTGGCCAAAGTTGAGTTCTTTAGACTTTTTGGAAAAGGAAGAAATTGGTAATGGATCAATTAAATATAGAGAAACTGAACATTTCAAGTCCGTGGGAAAGAAGAAGAATTAGAGTTGTTTTATTTTTTTTTTTAATTTGTTTTATATTTGTTTATATGTTTGATTTTAGAGTAACCCATTATGAACTGTAACCAAATATTGGAAAGATAAACTCAGCAAGCAACTTTAAGCTCAAATTAGAAGTACCTTGCATCTTGTCGTTTGTCTGTTTCTTGGATTCATATGGTGGTGGCTGAGATTCCAGATTCACATCACTTTGTTTGGACAAATATTTCCAACATTGGCTCGCATTTTGCAACCAATCTTCAATTGAAATTTTAAACTGACATCGACTTGTGACCAATTGATGACTCATTAGATTCTGTCGGAGGGTTCCAATATCTGTTATGTATCTCTGTGTACTTATATTATGAAATTCAAGAACAAAAAATTTATCTAGCTTGATCGTGTTTGCACATTCTTTCCACATATTATTAACAAGAGTTTTAGTAGGTTGATAGTTATATTCTTCATCTCTAAGGACCACTATCAAAAGTGCTCGATGATCATGGCAGTTTAGTTTGTCAATCCTCAGTTTACCAAATAAATCTAGGCAATTTTTGAATAGTGTTTTTAGTTCCAAATCAAAATCTTCAGTTGAAATCTTAGAAATTATGAAGACATCAGACATACAAGCTTTAAATAACTCAGTTTTCTGGAAATTTTTATCTTTATGATGTTCGCCCACTTTTGATGCTAACAATATAAATCTAAAGTCTGAGCCATTGTAATTTCTAGTAGCATCAGTTATGCTCCCCCAAATTTCACCTCCTTGAACTTCATTAAGATCACATTTTGGAAATGCTGATCCAAATATAGCATCTAATAGGTTTGGTTCTTCTAGATTCATTCGTCCAACCAAACTAATAGTGCAATAATTATTGGAGTGTTTATATCTTCTGGACAATAATTTACTTTTTGCTCCGTCTGGAATTATTGGGAATGCTGGTTTTCTTGATTGAATGCCTACCCATCTTGACATTATGTAACCACACTATGATTTTATGCTTGTGAAATTAACAATAATCTTCCTGCACTATTATGGATGGAGTTTTAAATTTATAAATAAATGCAAACTTGCATATCAAATTTCTTGCATTGAAGTTATTGTGTTTGTTATAGGTATATCCAAAAATTAGAAATGAAGGAAATGCTTTGTCTGCGGGAATGTAATCTAGCTTCTATTATTAAAATCTTCATTGGGAAGGTTTCCCAAAAAGAAAATCATACTTCAACTTACAAACGTTCTATATTGTTCTAAGAACCATTTATCTTATTTGTCTATGAAATTTATACTTCAAATCAAATCAGTAATTATTGACATTTATAGAACTAACCAGAATAGTTAAGTACGCCTTTCACGCTTATTCTCCATAGAAGTATTGAAATTAAGCAGTATATTAACTAACGACTATTTATCGTAGCCAAAATTGGCAAATTTAAAGTAGTTGCCAGCATGGCTTAATTTTCTGGAGTAACCATTGACTTGTGTTTCTCCTTAAAAGTGATCAGTGTCCCATTGTTAACTTCTTTACCGAGAAAACATCTTGTAATAGCACCAGTACCAAGAAAGTCTTATACAACTCGGTATTTGAAATTGATCCGATCTCCTTGTATTATATTTAGATATAAATTCCACACCCTTTTCTGAATCATAAAAGTTTTCTAGTCCATCAGCTATGGTAAGCCAAGTTCCTTCATTCTTTGGATCACCTTCAAACTTGGAATTTGGAAACTTAGTTTTGAAAATGATTTACCAGAATTTTGGCCATTCTGACTCCATTGCTCCCAATAAACTTATATCATGGTAAGTTTTGCACTAATCAATATCTTGTGGTATTGGCATAGTTCTTATATCTTTGTAATGAGTATTTCTTTAGAGAATTGGTTGGATAATCTTTTCCTCAAACTCTGTTGTCGCCTTTTCCTTAATCTGCTGTTCCTCTTCTTTACACTGTTTGAGACTCGATTTTTTAATCTATTCAAATAATTTCATGTTATGAAATAAATTCTTGAAGCTTAATTAGTTATAGAAAATAGTTTGAGCGTTTAATAAATAATTTCTGGCTTAACTACAGTAGAGGTTATGGTCAACTTTCAGAATGGAAAATGCAAGAGTTTGTTAGATTTTGGTTTGTTCATACCTACGATATCGTTGCCTATGTATCAAGCTATTACCTACATAAAACGATTCTGCATCTAAGAACATTCAGCTTTTCATATCTCTGTTTAATTTGGCTCTTTTTGTGCCTACAAACTTGCTCTGAATTCAATTAACTGTGAATTAAATTTTTCACTTTAATGACCATCTGACCGGAATCCTAAAATAGCAAAACTAAATTCGGCAATCAGTTTTTCAGTCCGACTAAGTGGTACATCTTTTCTAGTCTGTTCCTGGGATTCATACGGAGGTGGAGTTGTTGATAAATATTCCCAGCATTTGCTAGCATTTTGCAACCATTCCGCAAAGGGAATTTTAAACTCGCATTGATTGGCCCGCAAAAACTGATTCACCATTAGACAGGATTTTATCGTATCTATGTCCTTCATATAGTTTGTTGGACTTATTGTATGAGACTGGATGACAAAGTAATTGTCGAAATCAGAGGTGTTATAGATCTCTTTCCAGATATCTCTGACTTTGGATTCAAAGGCATCGATGTCATATATGTTTCTATACCTAGAGCGATGGACAACCAACAACAATGCCCGATGGTCATGACAGTTATACTTATCAATTCTCAGTTGACCAAATAATACAAGCGTGTTCTTGAAGAATACCTTGAGTTCGTTCCAGCAAAACTCATTCTCGGAGTTACTTGAAAATATATAGACATCAGCAACACAAGCTTTAAACAACTCGGCATTCTCATTGAACTTATCTTTGAATCTGCAATTGTTCCATGTGGAAACCACCCCGGCAAACCTCCGTTCTGGTGACCGAGCAAATGGTTCCGTGATACTAACCCAGATACCACCATCTGACCCTTCTGGATTGAGCAAGTCTCGATTGGGAAATGAGGTCATGAAGAGGACATCCAAAAGGTTGGATCCCTCGGGGGTTAATTTTCCAATCAAGCTGATAGTGTGATAATTCCTACACTGGTTTACTTTTCGAGAAAGCGACACTTTGGGGAACTTGCGGCAGTGGGATACTATCTGGAACGCTGATTTACGGAGACGTTTCCGTTTACCAGCAGATTGAAGCTGGGCAATTACACTACCCAAGGCCATAACTTATTGTACAAGAAATAAAGATGAAGAATAAATTCTTGAATTGTCTGAAAATTCATCCACAAGATTGGATTTTAAGGATGCACATGTTCATGCATATCAATTGGTTTTAGGAAGTTATAAGAAATTAACAAGTCTATACATAAACTCTAAGGAAAACTTACAATCAGCAATATTGCAAACTTGATGTAAATACTTCACTCTCTTACCTCATACATAAAGATTCAAGTGTGTGTGTGTGTGTGATCAGAATAAAACACTTACAACGTTATGAAGTTGTTCCATGCCAACCTTGGCCGCGAGTTTTGCTGGATTGTTGAGATTTAAGGGAAAAAAAATTGTTCTGGTCAGCAAAAATATCAAACTGTTTCATTATCTAACCAGATTGACACTAATGTCAGACATATTAGAAAAGTCATTAGACGAGATAATCGGAGAGAAGAAGAAAGATCCACGTCGTGGACCCCGCCCTGGTCCACCTCGTCGATTCAGAGGAGGTCATGCTTCATTTTCCAGAGGCGGTGGTGCACAACATGGCAAGATTCACAAACAAAGACCAGCAGGACACCATGGACATCCTAAGAGACTCAACTACTCTTCATTGCCTAGAGACATTGCCTCGCTTGCTGGATCCAGACCAGTATTGCGTGTGAAGAACATCCACCCCGATTTGAATGGGGAAGACTTGTCTCAGTTGTTTGGCAATATATCTCCAGTTGACTTTGTCAAGTTTGATGCCGAAAATGATTCCAACGCTTATGTTTGTTTCCACAATGATAACGCCAAGAATAATGCAGAAGCAATTGAAAAGTACGATGGTAAGAAAGCCATGGGAAAGATATTAATTGTGGAAAATGCAGTTTCATTGGCTGATCGTATATCGAGCCTTCCAGTAAGACGACAACCAGTAACTCCTGCTGCTTTGAAACATCATAAAAAGCCAGTTGGCAAAGGTAGAAGAAGGAGTAAACCTTCCGTGGAAGATTTAGACAAGGAATTGAACGCTTACATGAATGCTGATGCAGATCAACCAAGTGATGCTATGAATGTCGATTAAAAACAATTAAAACGTATAAACACTATATATATAAATGTAATAATAAACAAATATAACTTTTAACCCATACCTTGGGTGGCTTCAACCAAGGAAATGTAGAGATTCTTGGTTTTGATTCTAAATGTCTTTCCGTAATACAAGAAAATGACAATGGAACCGATGGTGACAAAGTCGATCACAGCCAAAGCAATATAGGTGTTTGCAGTTCCGGCTCCGTCCAACCAAGGAGAACAAGCAAATGTGAAGATACAAGCCAAAGTATTGTTGATAATGGAAACACCCACCATACCTTGAATAACAATTTCTGGGTAGGCATCCATAAGATATGACATGGCAGTATCACCAATTGAACCCCATCCAAAACCAATCATACCTAACCCGACGTAGATAACTTGCCATGGCCATTGTCTTTCAGCACCAACACCAAACATGATTAAACCAGCAGGAGAAATAACCAAGGTGACAAACAAAAGGTATAATCTATATTCTGGTTCCATTATCCCGTTGTTACGTCTAGCGATCCAAAGAACGTGTTTATCGGACAACCAACCCGACATCAAACAACCAATAACGGCACCAATCAAAGTGGCGACATTCATGACTGCAACCCCAGTGTCAGATTTGTTCCAAGGAGGATCGTAAAAGTAAGTGTCTTGAGTAGTCAAGAAAAATGTCATGTATGAATCTTGTAAACCCCATAAAATACCAGATAACCATACAGCGGGCAAAGCAAAGACTTTGAAGTTAAGTAAAAATCTTTCAATGTATTGCTTGAACCCATACCCAATCAAATAAGGAGAAGGAGTAATAATCTTGATTCTTTGAAGATATGGCTTTAATTTTTCATCGTTAGATTCAACATCAGTGTTGGTTCTAGCTGGACCAGTGGATGGACCTTGTTTTTCAAGCACGGCCACAGCGGTCTCTTCATCTTTGTCCTTCTTGGTTTCAAAGTCTTCCAATTCAAGAGAAGTGGCATCGACCACAGTTGAATAAGCAGATCTGTCAAATACAGTTTCTTCACATCCAAAGATAATAACAATAACGGTGATACCACAAATAATGGCACCCCACCAGCCGACCCATCTGAAACCTTGGTTCATGGAGATGATATGAGCAATTAAAGGACCCAAGAATGAACCAATAGAGGTGGCCATAATATAGACGGTCAAAACCGACCCTAATTGATGTTGAAAGAAGATATCTGATAATGATTGTTGAACTTGGGCTTCGGCACAAGCTTCCGACATACCAACAAACATTTGTGACCAAATAGTATCAGCAGTTCTCCTTGAGGATGCAAACCACACACAACCCAAAGTACCGACAACTAAACAAATAATATAAGTGATTCTTCTACCGTAAAGGGAAGAAGCAGGAGCAAAGAAAATACAGGACCAACCAATGAAAATAAATAAAACACCAGCACCGGTGTTCATGGCATCATAGGAGATACCGTAAATTTCATTCAAGGAATCTTGAGCGGCACCGGCATCATTGGAAGTGGCAGCGGTTAAACCAGTAATGAAGGACACCAAAAGGAAGTGCCACATCTTACGAGAAGTAGACCAATTCAAAGGGTCATTTGGAGAGTCAGAAGGTTGTGGAATAAGAATTAAACCGTCCTTTGTTCTTTTTAAAGGCTTGCCTGAGCAATCAGAAGACTGATCGTCAGAGTACAAAATGTTAACTGTACCGGGGATGAAATTTTCATCGTAATGATCAACAGAAAGTGGGGAACTCATGTTGTCAAATCAAACTAGGAATATATTATTGTAACAGCAAAAAATGGGGAATCTTTTTGTAGTATTTGGTGGGATAACTATGGTGGAGGGGGGATGGGGGGGGGATATGGGACAAATAAATTAGAAAAAGTATAGGATAAATAATTAGTTAGTAGTAAGGTTATGTCAGTTCAAGAAGGACATTATGTGACTTAAGCGAGGAAGTGATGGAAAATTGAAAGTAGATATAGATATATATGTGTAATGTGAGTAATTTTAGTCCGTTATTGTCCCTATCAGACGTGCTTTATTAAAGATATCCCGTTAGTTGTTTTAAAAAGAAAAGAAGAAGAAAAAGAAATTGAAAAAAAAATTTTTCATTGTCTCTGTGGATGAAGATTTTTAATATTGGTACAAAATTAGGTCAGTAGATGCGCCTGAGTGATTGAGAGAAAGCAAGAGAGAGAGAAAAAAATAATTTTGTATTGTTGTCAAGAGGAGTCAGCGACTAATTTAGATAGCAATTTCCTCATGCAGCTTGAAGTCAAATTATTATGAGACACTAAGCGGGAGCGGGGCCGGTGAGGATATGAAAAGTCCTCGGAGAAGACAAATTTGATTGCGAAAATATGTCAAAAAGTTTAAAAAGTTTATTATACACGACCCTGATTTAGTTTAGTGGTCGTGTGAGGAATTTCTTTTTCTGAGGCAGCCCTTCCAGAACCCGCCTGAGCTGAGCTGAGCTGAGCTAATTAGCTATACTAATAAACTACACCAAAACCACACTGCAAAATACGTCAACTTCGTATGATTCATTAAGGTACCATTTCAAGCAATATTATTTAAACATTTGTCATGAAAAATTCCAGTTGGTGCGCAATAGCAATTTCCTTATCTATCTCATAGATAATGAAATTAATAATCCATTGTTCATATTAAGATACGCGAATGTCCACACTTACAATGAAATCAAACATACGAAGCGGAGATATGTGCAAGAATGGTAACTATTTTTGGAGCCTTTCGTCGGACATCGACTTCCTCGAGAGTTTTAAGTGTGGAGAACGTGAACAATAGGGCTGTAGAACAATCAACGGATAAACCCACCGAAATCCGCGAAGGCCAAGCTAGCTGTCAATGTCAAACGCTCTCTCTTCAACCAACAAATCTTGGCGATGAGTGCTTCCTTGGCATCACTGGATCCTATCATCTAGTCTAAATTCCAAGCTCACGCCGCTCCTCTACCCCTCCTCCCACAACTTGTATGTACAATTGGCAAAGGTGCTGTCTCTGGTATCAACTCCAGAAGTGGTGGGGGGAATCTTGATTTTTTCCCTTCGTCGAAAAAGATCTGGCCAATATGCAGTACTAAAATATTGGAGCCTATTATAGTATATAAAATTGTCAGAAATTCCATACAGACCCATTGTATAGTTCATGCTACGTGTCTTGACTCAATTTTTCAATGCAATTATAAATAGAAATCCTGGACTAGCTAGTTGACCATTACGTCATTTACCAGCAACTTACAGTTTGGCTTCGCTTCCCCAAAATTTTGCAGTTCCTTTGCTTAGTAGGTCGTGCACTCTGTACCAGAAAAATGCTACTTTGAAGGTAAATAAAATTTATAGGGCTTAACCACACTGTAAACCGTCACCGCTTTTCAATACATTCACAAGACTAATGGATCAGATCAAAAAACCTCTCCTTGTGACTTGTGATGAATTGAATCAAATCAAAGGAGGAGTTTCTCAACTCCAAGCAACCTTGAATTCCACTGTTAGTAAAGCTCCCACCGAAGACCAATTCAAATTGCTTTCTGCTCTTGTACAAAATCCCCAAGATATAAAAGGTGAATCCAAATCAACCATAGATAGAATACAGCAATTACTAGCTACTCCCCAAACCAGAGTTGCGGTGAGATTACGTCAATTGTTTGATTCCGGCCAATTGCCCTTGATTGAAGCTTTGTTGAAGGTTGATTTCAAATCTCCAAATGCTGACAGGTATCTTGCAGATTTCTTGGAGTATAATCCAAGACTCCCACAAGGAGACAGTACAAAACCATCTACTGTTTCCAGTATGTCTGCTTCGTCTAACTCTAAAGAGTATTCCTATCCACCACCATTACCACCAATTCACAACCAAACCCTATTAATTAGAATAACCACAGATAAATCATACAGACAACCTTCAGATTTCTTGGAACTGGCAATCACTCATGATTTCAACAAGAGCCATAACGCTAAATTGGCAATTGGTGGAAGAACAATAATGGAATTGGTTTTATATGAAATTCTTGATGAAATGCTTCCTAATATGTATGAAGATGATTTGTTGGTTATACGATCTAAACTTATTTCTCCTAGTATATTAACCAAATTGGCATTCGGATATAGATTGGTAGATCATACCAAATATAGTTTATCCACTAGTGTCGACTTTGATGAAAAGTTGGAACTCATCTCAAAACTTTTCTTGAGTTATATTGCTGGATTAAACATTGAAGGGTATTCTATTTACGAAATCAAGACTTGGATTAGAAAATTATATGAACCTATGATTCAAGATATTTTAACTGATTATACCCCAAATGCAGGTGTGGCATTGATTGAATTGAATTTATTATTCAAACTGGTTCAAAACGTGTACAAGATTCCTGACGATAATATTAAATACGAAATTATTCAAATTGAATCAGATCCCTATGTCGCCCAAGTTTTAATTAACGATGAACCGTTGGGCGTGGGTACATCAACTATAAGTTTTGAAGAAGCCAAGACAAGAGCTGCAAGTGATATATTAAATGATCGTGAAAGAGTTGCAAGAATTATAAATATATTGTTTGAAAACTATGAAAAGCTGTCAGATGTAGAACTGAAGAGATTAAGTGGTAGCCCAAGTCCTACTTCTGCTCAAGAAGAGTCGCCAAATTCCACTCCGCCCCTCCCACCTCAATCAAAATCTCCTGATGCTGCACACGTACAATCGAAACAACCACCATTAAAGATGTTATTGCATACAATCAAGACACGGGGTAAGCCAGAACAACATTCTGTTGATCCGTCTGCTCCTCAACCTTATGGAATGGTTCCTCCTCCATTTGGAGGTGCTGCTCCTCAAGCACAGCTTCCAGCTGCAACCACTCCACATTTAACTGTGCCAACTGTTGGTGGCATAGCTCCACCTACACTTGGACTCGAAGTAAAGTACGGAATCGATAGTAATGCTCGAAATAAATTGTATGCGTTATTAGGTGTAAATCACATTATCCCAATTTACGAGTTTCATTATGCCGATAGTGGTTTCCAGGCAATTGTCAAAGTGAATGATAACATTCTCGGAGTTGGGTATGATATTAATAAAAAGATAGCTGGTCAGAAGGCAGCCATGTGTGCATTGACCAACACACAAGCTTTAGTTCAATTAGGTGTGGATCCTAAATGATTGCAAAAAAAAAAAAAATCTTTTTTAATTGTCGGTAATAAATCGGTTTTATTTGTATATGTGTAAATTGTCTGACCAATCAAAAGTCCCGGATCTAATTGGTACGTAATAAATTAATTTTTTTTTTTTGGTGTTTCTATTATTTGAGTTTCGGTTATCCACTGGTCGGAAATCAATTTGTCTCAACGCTTTTCTTTGTTACTGCCCGTTGAATAATTTTTCAATGCATCTTCGAAATTTAAATAGTTCACCACATTTGTCGGAAGAAAAAAAAAATTTCATAAATCTCTTCTTTCTTTCTTTTCTTCGACAATCCTTATAACTATTCATATAATTCAAAATGTCTGATCCAAGAGTCCCAAACTTGACTGTTAAAGATTACGCTTCATTTGCTCTTGCTGGTGCCATTGGTTGTGGTGTTACCCATGGTGCTATGTGTCCAATTGATGTCGTTAAGACCAGAATTCAATTAGAACCAACTGTCTACAACAAGGGTATGTTGGGTTCTTTCAAGCAAGTCGTTGCCAACGAAGGTGCTGGTGCTCTTTTGACCGGTTTAGGTCCAACCATCTTAGGTTACTCCTTACAAGGTGCTTTCAAGTTCGGTGGTTACGAATTATTCAAGAAGAACTTTATTGAACTCTTGGGTTACGACACTGCCAAGCAATACAAGAACTCCATTTACATTGGTTCTGCTGCTTTAGCTGAATTCTTTGCTGATATTGCTTTATGTCCATTGGAAGCTACCAGAATTAGATTGGTTTCCCAACCAACCTTTGCTGATGGTTTGATTGGTGGTTTCGGTAGAATCTTGAGAGAAGAAGGTGTTGGTTCTTTCTACAATGGTTTCACTCCAATCTTGTTCAAGCAAATTCCTTACAACATTGCTAAGTTCTTGGTTTTCGAAAGAGCTGCTGAAGCCATTTACGCTGCTATCCCAACCCCAAAGAAGGACTTGTCCAACTCTACCAACACTTTAGTTAACTTAGGTTCCGGTATTATCGCTGGTTGTGCTGCCGCTATTGTTTCTCAACCTGCTGATACTTTATTGTCCAAGGTCAACAAGACCAAGAAGGCTCCAGGTCAATCCACTGTCGGTTTATTGGTTCAATTAGCTAAGCAATTAGGTATCAAGGGTTCTTTCACCGGTTTACCAACCAGATTGATTATGGTCGGTACCTTAACCTCATTGCAATTCACCATTTACGGTACTATTAAGAAGGCTTTAGGTTGTCCACCAGCTGTTGAATTATAAGCTGATTGAATAACTCGTTACTACATTTGAACTATTAGGATTGGCTTGTATCATAGATTTTTCTTTACCAACCTCAATTCACATTTTCTATGTAGTGTTTTGTTTATATTTTTATTAGTACATAAAACCAATTTCATTTCGTCAATAGATCATTATTTTGTAATGTGATAATAGTTTGCAATTTTTTTTTCTCATCGCCGTATCTCCGAGATTCAAGTTTGTCCGAGGCGTGTTGTAACACATGCTATATATAACAACGTTCGCTAATTGAAGTTCCACTTCGTGTATCACACATTCAAGTGTAACCCACTGCCAAGCTAGTATGAGACTTCCCCCGAGATTAATTCCCCAAGATCTTGTGTTGTGCTCTTAGTCCTCCCCGGAGAATTCCGGTGCGTGATTAATAAAATTTTTAACACACTTGAAAAAAAAAAAACCGTGTGTGATGTGTTTGTGACGTAACTAGGAATACGTGACCGGATGTGGTCTACTACACCCTCGGAATGAGAACGTGCTGAAACAAAAGAAACGTTATTTACATTTCGCGATACTGGGGAAGTAAACGTTTAGCAATTGGTTCATTGATCGACTATAATTAGTAAGGCATCATGTGCTTATGTGATGAGTGATGTGATCCACAAATTGGCTAGGTATGTACCAATATGGGCTATGTTTTTCTGATGTTCTAGCAAAAAAGGCAATATTTTTCTTCGCTATTCCCAATTGGCTATTTATTGCTGCAAATTTCATAAAACCAGAGTACAAAAGTGTTTAGATTTATCAGCCTTTGTAAGAAAAACTAGAATATAGGTGTAACTTAACACATTACTATATTAAATATCTAATTAAACTGAATCCTGATCAACTTTACTGGGAAGTTTATCTTCAAACACATCATCAAACTCGTTACTAACTGGAATTGTCTGTCTTTGTCTATCAATAAAGTAATTACCCACATAAACACAAGCAGTTATAAACTCCATCGTGGTAGCCAATACATATTCATATGTTACAAACTGAGCACTTAACCCATTCGCAGTATAATTTGACATGTCGTAATAATTCATCTTCGTAATGAAAATAGAAATTACTCCAAAGATCCCTCTGATGGTGATGAATGGTGCTACTATAAAGATACTGTAAATATTACAGTGTCTTACTCCTTCTTTGTAGTAAACATAAATAGCCAACAAGATTGCAATTAAAGTAAGGGAAAGGAACATTACCTGACCAGTGGTTCTTAATGCCTTGGCAGTTATGATCTTGTTTGGATCAGGGTTTGAAGGATCCTGGCCAGCTAAAGTAGACCCACCACTAATTACAAGAGCATTGGCCGGGATCAATAATATATGAAACACACTAGCCAAGGGGAATCGTGCACGTAATTTCTCTCTGATCGTAGTGGCACGAGCTAAGTTCTGTTTCTTTTGTTCTTTACTTGGTCTAAACCAAGATTGACCAAATTGGTAAAGTTGTGCATTGGCAATCAAATGGAAAGAACAAAGCACCAACACAAAGTAACCTTCAGCACTAAATACAAGGTACGCGATTAACCATTGCCAATGTTCATAGCCCAATGCCGAAAACACCACCCCACACATTTGACCACATACTCGGAAAACCCCGTATACTAAAAGCGAAGTATAGATTGATCTGAACCCCTTTTCGGACACAATTTTGATTGTCAATGAAAGATATATCACATAAAGGACAAGGAAAATCGAAGCAGCAATACCAGAATTTCTATCAACAAACGTCATTGTATTAAAAAAAAGCGTTATCGAATAAAACTTCTAAAGTACAATAAAAGGTCAATGGGATTATGCCTGATATAAATATGATCGAAATCGAATCATGAAGAGAGGGGGCACCTTTATGGCCCCTTTGTAAACTCAGAACTAAACACACAATAATTTTCTTTTTTTTTTTCTTTCTACAACTGGTATAAGGATAACAATGGTCCCTAATTAATATTTAGCCTTGGTCTATAATGTAGGCGCGGTATCCCAGTTGGGAAAGGTCAGCCGAGTAGTGCACCATTCAATAATACCGGACTATGGTCCGGCTGACTCCAGAGACAATGAAATTCCATGCAACAATTGCGTATCTGTATAATTCTGATAATGTTTAAGGGTTTCAAGAAAATAACTATGTTTCTTTTGATACATAACGTCATAGGGTAAACTTGCCAGATCTTTATTTTAAGTATAAGCTTCACGGGCCGCGTGTAGAAAAACGTCATCATGACATAATAATCGTAAAGCCAAATTACTAGCCACGAGGTTTTTCTTGGCATGTCTTGCAAAGCATCTTGCAGGTGGTTGACTTTTCGCTTAATTGTAACATTTACGATTAGTATCACTTTGTTAATGCAATTACATAATTAGGTCGTATCCATAAGAAAAATAGATTAGCCTTCTTTTTAAATGGACCATGTGCTTCAACAATGAGAAGCAACATGAATGGTACGATTCATCGCTAAGCCATAATATAAAAATGGTAATTGTGTTCCGTTCTCTTATAGTTGTTACTTAGGTTCGTTTCTGTTCTAACAACACCGGTCCGTTTCCAACTTTTGAGTCTTCGCAAAACCTTGCTCAATTGGGGATCATTCTTCTATAGAAGCGCCTGATATAATTAACGATTAAATTTGCTCAACAAACGCCCTCTCCCCCTTATATTTTTGTATGAATATTCCTAATTATAATGTTCCTGCTATTATATATTCCCCCCTCTGAGATATAATAATTGCGAAATTTTATGCGAAAAAGGATGGATAATAAAAATTCAGCTGGGTGATGCTACATCGATCCGTAAAATAATTTATTTCAGGAAAAAACCCATGACCCCTATATTAAAACCCCTCATATGATTCTAGAATTATCTAGGTCCTAAGTCAAGCTTTACCCAATTGGTATATACCACAGTCACCATTGAAGATATATCAATTGATGTTTGGATGCAAATTTTATATGCACATCCAAACCTATGTCTTCGGATTTTTTTTTCTGCGATGATTTCAAGTATTTTTCATATTATACCTTGCAACCTTGATACTGTTTGATATCAAGCTTGAATACGATGTCCAAAGTTTATAAATCAAGTGAATATATTTCTGAATCAGATTTATCTGATGACGAAGAAGTTGAATTCCAACCACCAAAGCATTTCCACATCCATGAATCCAAGGCGAAATTAGACATCAAGTCAATTAAAGATAAAGAAATCTGGTTGATTAAAACACCAAAGGGATTCCCTATATCCGAATTGAAAACCTTGCCTATTTCATTCACAGCCACATCTTTAAAGCAACATCATGATCCATTGAAATTAAAGAATGGATCTAAATTTAGTATCGATGAAGAATTATTGGCTAATCCTGAAACCGGTAACGCTGGAAAACATTCAGTGTTTGTTAAACTGTCTTCTAAGACTCATAAATTGAAACCTAGTGGTTTGGGAATCAGCAGGATGTATAACATTAGAGAATTGGTTACTATTCCAGATATTAAATATGAAGATGTGGTTATACCCCGAGAAAATGTACCTCGAGTTGATGATTTGAGAATGAGACATTTCCCAACCGGGTATGGTGCTGGTGATTACAAATTTGAAGGTGACGAATCAGTACTGACCGAAACCAAGCCAGCTAAGAGGGACAGAGAAGAGAGCAAGGCGGAACCAGAAAAGGAACACAAGGAAAAGAAGCATAAGAAAGACAAGAAGGAGAAGAAGGAGAAGAAAGAAAAGAAGAAGGACAAGAAGGAAAAGCATTGATTCTTGTTCTTTTGCATATATAATTGTAGCTAGTTTAATGAATACAAGTATAGACTCATTAGCAAGAGTAGTGCGCTTTGGCTCAAAAAGTTTTTTGTAAAAAGCTGGAAGAGAAGTTGCTACAGTAACTGTCTATAGCTACCTGGAAATACACCGCATACCATGGGAGCATCGGCATCAAAACCAGGTAGAAAGCTTACCAAAGTAGTCTCTGAAACTGCCAAGGCTAAGCCTTTGAATCGAAGTACCAATGTCAACCCTCTCCCTTCACAAACTTTAAAAGATCGATTTGAACAACAACCTATATCACAACAATCTATTCCTGTTGAGCCAACCAGAGAGGAGACTGCTCCACAAATGACAGTACAAACTCCACAACAAGATGCTCAACTGCCAGCATTTAGATCTACCAGTTCATTTGACCCAAGTTTCTTATCGAAAAAGTTAAACAAGCAAACCGTGATTCCAGAAGGTAAAGATGGTGGCGACCCTCATGTAGAAGGTACTGATACATACCAAAGAGGGTTTGTTGATTCTGTAACAAAATTAGGTAAACATGTGCAATCAGTTGAATACAATCCTTTAATGAACAAAAATGTGCTTGCATTGAAACAATTACAATTCAGAAAAACGATATCTGAACAAGGAGAGAAAGAATTAGAGAGTGAAAAGAATAACGAGAATGGAGAAGAAATGTTTAAAACCATGGTTCATCCTCATACACTTACTGCTATTTTGCTGGATTTGAAGGATCCAAGAATGACTCCCGAGTCCATTACTAAAGATTACCAATTACATCCAGACTTCTTGAAAGAATTGGGAGATAGATTTAAGATTCCAACCACAAGAAAGCCAATCGAAGAAGAAAAACCAAAAGAAGATGAGTTTATTAGTGGCGTAGAAGTGGATTCTGCCATGCAATTTGAAGAACCAGAATCCAAAGTGGACCGTGAAAGGTTTAAGAAATTGAAGAGTAGACTTGAATAGTTAAGGAGTTGTATATAGTAAGTAAGATTGTATGTAGAATTAGTATCATTAATAGACAGCCACAATGGTTGGGAGAGCAAACTATATTTTTCCAGGTTCGATTCCGAAAAACGGGCATACTAAAAATTGTGGGGGGTCAAACCATTTCTCTCTCTCTTTTTTTTTTACAACTACAGATAAACCTCGAACAAGCAATGAAAATCCCAACAAGTTCAAAAGAGATAATCATATTCTTGAAACAATTCACTCCCTGTGATGTTTCTGATTCTTTAAACAAACATGGTGTTGCCAGTGGAGGATTCATCCCTAACCTTATCAACTTTTCACCAACCGCACCGGGGGAATCTGCTGTGGGGAAAGCATATACTGTTCTCTATGCTCCCAAATCCGATCCCAGGCCTGCAGTGAAAAATGCATATATTGATTCAGTTCCTCCCGATTCAATAGTAGTAATTGGCCTTCCATTGGACCTTCAAACTACTACAGCTCCTTACACGAAAGTCAACAATGCAATGTACGGTGGCTTAATGTCAACTAGAGCTCAATATAGTAAAGCGAACGGATCAGTTATCTTTGGAAGAATTAGAGACTTAGATGAACACAACGATTTGAAATATCCCGTTTGGTCGTATGGAGTAGGAACGTCTGCTCCGGGCTCATTATTAAAAGTTGTTGGAATAAACATTCCGTTGCAAGTTAAAGTTCACGGGTTGAGTCAAGACGAAGAAGTGATAACGGTGAACCCTGGCGATTACATCATTGGTGATAAAAACGGTGTTGTTAGTTTGCCTGATGATGAACAGTTACCTTCTGTATTGGAGTATATTCCCAAGCGAGTAGAAGCTGACACAAAAGTGAGCCAAGATATTAAAAATGGGAAACCTGCAGCTGAATCACAGAAGTTCTGGCGAAGTAAAATATAAAACCTTACCATTTTTTTACAGTTTTGTTTGGTTACATAGAGTTGTCTAGCAGAAATGCCAATGTTTTTAATTTAAATTTGGTTGTAAAAATAAAAATCACTTGATCAGTAAAAAAAAAAATAAGGAGTGAGCGAAACTGTGTGTGGGGGGTGGGGAGGACTTTGCTGTAAACTGCGGCTAAAAAATGGCAACCAGAAAAGCCAAATTTCAACTTCTTTAGTCTCCTTAAAAACTAATAGGACAACCCGTATATACAGACGAGCCCTATACCTTATATAACACTACCAAATCAATACCATGCCAGTGGAGTTTATTAATAGTAGTTCACAAAACGTTGGCGATGTTGATTTCAACGAACTACGTGTTTCTATCATTGGTAACAAGGACCTAAAGTACAAGTTGGTTGGCGATGTTGAATTTATAAGCAGACTAGTAGATGAATTCAACCAGCTGATCTTGGAAATAGTCGAAAAGAAGAAAATCGCTATTGGAAGTTCTGGCGGAGTGGTTCAAAATTTCCAATTTTTACACGAGTTGGAAAAGAAGGCGGTTATTTTAAACATCTTGTGTACCTTCATAATAGAAGTCAATACTAACAAAAATGACAATATCACCAAATGTCTTAGATTGATGGAACAAGTTATTAATCCCTTGATCCATTTGTTGAACTATTTTGTGGAAAAGTTTGTTCCTCAACTATATATGCATCCTCAAATCTATGCTGACGGCAATGATGAAGACGATGTCATTAGAAAAGTTGAAAACTTAATCGGTTATAGTTTGGATATATTGTTGGGATTATCCAATATAAGAAACCATAATATCAACTCGTCAATGTTGTGGAGATTCATCACGTCATTACTTATCGTAACTGACGATTCGTCGATTTCTAGTACTGCCACAACCACCACCACCACACAAAACATATTTCAAATCAATTCGTGCTTATTGATTAAGCTGTTGAAGTTGGTTCCATTATTGTTGAGTCAAGCTAGCTTGAGCAATAATTCCATCACTACTTTGTTAACTGCATTGCTTAATAGACTTTCCAAAGAATGTGATATTATAATTGCTACCCATTTCTTGGACATTTCCAAATCAAGTACCCTTTTACACCAGTTGGCGTTTGAAAATTCTTGTTTACCCAATATTGAATTAAATAAACCGTTGTTGCGTAGAGTAGTTGACGTTAATTTGTTATTGGAGTTGATTGTTTGCACGGCCCAAATCTTCAGTTTCCTGAAATTTAACGATTATGACATATTAATGGCCGCCCCTGATACACAAAGTAAACTGTCATCAGAAGTGGTGTTATCAATTAACGTATATTTGTCATTGTTATTATTGGTTAAATACGAAGATAAACAATTAAATCTTGCAGCATTGAATTTGATTTGTTTCTATTTGAATAACTTGCGTCCTGCGAAAGATATTGATGATGAAATGATATTTAAAAGTTACAAGAAATTGTTACCTAGGATTATTGCTATGTTAGAATTAGAAGAGGATTTCACTGGTGGTTCAAATGTCAAGAAGCACGACAAAGACTCAGCAAATACAGCTGGAAATAACCCATCTACAACTGCAACGGCTAGTAGCAACACAGCAGCAGCTGCTGCAGCAGTATCATCATCAACTGCCTTGAACACATCCTCCCTGAGCAATATTCTCTCTAGTGCATTCAATAAGAAACAACAATCACGTTCATCAGGATTATCGTCAGAGTTGCCAATATTCTTATCTTCTCCTGGGAAAATCTTGGCTGATTTATGTGCCCAATATCCACTATTGAATGATGAAATTAATGATGCCAATATAGATTATAAATTGGTCAAGAAGTTAGAAACTAATTTCAAATCAAGTCAATTGTTGAAAGCACTCAAGATTTTGAAACGCGATTCCAAGAACGGTAAAGTATTGGTGGATTTCACATTATTATTGACGGTTGAACGCGATGACAATTGTCTTGCTGATTTGTTATTGTTGTTGAGTGTGTATACCAGTGGCACTGAAGAATATCGAGCTAGGATAATAAACCGTCCTCAAGAAAACGTCAAGAATAACAATAATATCAATTTGACTAACATTATATTTCAAATTATTGATAATTACCATTTTTTGTTAACTCAAGTACAATTGATATATAAATTACTTTACCCTAAGAAAGGGAAACAAAAACCAATCATTCCCAAGAATGATTTGCCTTGGTTTGGAAAGAACTTGGGGATTATTCGTTCTTTGATGGATTCGGCTATTTACACCAATTGTTTTTATTTCATTAGATCTTTATCCAGATCAGTTTCGTCATTAAGAACGTTTTTTGTTGAATGTAATGCATTGACTAGTTTTATTTCTGATGAAACTAATGCCAATACTGGAACCAAGATTATTCCTCCAAGTACAACTGGTTCTCATTCAATGGCCAGTTCAGGAAGTGTAAGCATTGGTGGTAGTGCATCATCGGGTATTTCTTCATCAGCATCTTCTTCAACATCACCAGGTGGATTGATAATTAACTTGTTGGAAATTATTCGGGTATATGAAAATCTTGACCAGATGCTTGATTTCTTTAACAATTTGAATAAACGCAGTGGTGAATCTAACAGCAGCTCTATGAACAAACGAGCTCAAATGACTAATAAATCGATATGTATTGGGTTATTAGCTAATTTCATTTTAGATTTCAGCTCATTTAGATATGCAATTATTGGATATGAAAACTTCCTTTCCAGTTTATCGATAATTTATCAGAATTCTTCCACTGATTTCGACAAGTCTTTGAAGTTTGATCAATTGACCGAAGAAGAAATTTTTCAACGGAATGAAATTCAATTGAAGATTTTACAAGTGATTAAGAATTTCATGTTTAATGAGACGACCGAGAATAAACAGGAATTGATGGATTATTTTGCGCTTATTTTCATTTTAAAAAAGGCAAGTTATGGTATAGGTGATTATAACTTTGATGCAAATGAAAGTGTCGATATTACCAAGTTGAAGCTTGAACAGAAGTTGGTTGCATTTGATATTTTAAGAAATTTCACAGCAGGATCACCTAAGTTCAATACTGTGTTAATTAACACATATGAGCAAGAGTTTGTCAAAAGTGAAGGAAATGGCAAACTTCCTGGGAAGTGGTTCAAGTTTTTAAGTTCAAATATTAGAAATGTCAAGTTATTTATTCCTAATGCATCACCCAAGGAATCGTTTGATAATGATGAAACATTGGTGAAATTAATTGAGAATGATGATTACGTTAGTTTAGTGAGATCTATTAACTACATCGAAGACCACAAGTATACAATCATCGACAAGATCAAGCGAGAATTATTCCCTAATGATGAATTACTAAAGATTTGGTTGAGATTATTATCATTTTTCATTCCCGAGAGTTTGGAAAAGAAGTTTGATTTAAACACCAAGATTGTTTTGAATAGTAACTTAAATTTGATCAAGTCTTCCATCACCTGGATTATTCTTAATTTAACCTGGAAATATTCTACTTATACATTCAATGTGCACGATTACACTGATTATGAAGTTTATCAAACCGTGGAAAGTTCCCGACATGTGACCACCAATCAACGGATATATATTGATGAATCGGATGACAATGACGAGAAGCGAGAAAAGGAGAAACCAGAACCGGAAGAAAGCGATAGTAATGACGATGAATTGTCGGTTAGACAGCGAGCCAAGTATCTTGACAAGTTGGGGTTTACGGCTGTGATCGTCAAGTTGATGAATTACTATTCAAAACAGGCGTCATCCTCAGATGAAGCAAAGTCGGGCAAACCTGGTACTAGTTCATCTTCATATTCTGCATTGACTCCTAAGCGATTTGATATCCAAAACAGTCATGATATTTCTGAAAAGTTGAAGACCGCGTTACGACAAATTACTAGTTTGTTGCGAACCAAGAATTCAGGTGTTGGTGGTTTGATTGGTAAAAAGTCTATGGGAATTAGTAAGAATGAGATTAGAATACGATTGAATGAGGACCGTAACGGAGTTGAAGTTGTTGAAGAGCACGATGAAGAGGATCCTGCGGTTTATAGAAGACACCATAATCGAAGGAGTCATGTTGAATCTGAAGAGGAGGATGATGAGGCAGAGGAGGAAGCAGAAGAAGAAGAAGAAGAAGATGATGATGACGATGACGATGACGATGAAGATGACACTGAAGCTGGAGTGGGATTATATACTCCTAGTGACGATTTTTATTCAGATGATGATGACCCGGTTGAAAATTGGATATGATGAAAGTTTTAGTCTCGATTTAAATACTTGATTTGTAATAAATATTTTAGTTGTAAATGAAAAATATAACGTCTTTATTTGACTTTGTCACAAAATGGTGTAGGATTTTGGCAGTTTAATCATTTTGGATGGGTTTTGTGTAATATTATTAGACTATGCGTTTGAGATGTGTTAAATGAGTGATTTCGAAAATTTTCTATTACTAATTTAGCTATTACTAATCGCGATGAGGTAGAATCAAAAGCAAGGATTGAGATTGCAATCTGGTAGTTGCTATATACGACAGAATTTATCCCATTGATGTGGGTGGTATCAATGATGATCTGGTGTTCATGTAGGTACCGGAAAATAATTTTGCTTTTGTATGTGGGAAAAATTATTTTTCCATAATCATCGAACACAAATGGAAGTTTGAAGCTGAGAATCAATGAAATTTCTTTTTTGAACGAGATCAAAAATGTGTATTTTTTATGTACGGTACTCGCCCATAAATGTGCGTCACCTAGGTGATTTCCGAAGAATGTTGACTCGACCTGCATGAACATGAGCATGCTGGCGAAACCTGCCACTGGAGGCAAAACAACTGATGAGGTGTTGCCAAGGTTTGTTGTAATGTGACCACCGTCCAATCGTGACGTGAAGAAGAAAAAAAAAGAAAATAAAAAAATGTTCTAGTATGTTCTAGATCAGCACATAAGTCACGAAACCTCTCCTGACTGGGAATCATCTCGTACTAGGGGGCAGATCTTAAAAATAGACCAAAGAGGGAATTACCAGACAAAACTGGAAAAATAAATATGACGCATATGCAAATAATAGAATTTCTTTTTCATGTAAGGCTCTCGGTGGAAGGCTTATTTCTTTTTTGCCCAAGCTGTTAATTACATACGGGTAGCTAATAAGCCTGAGTTGATGTAAGAGTGCATAAAAACAAACGCAAAGCAAGTAAAAACCGATTTTAATTTTGTGTTTAACCAGATTTTATTTTCCAAAACAATAAAACAGACAGAAAATAAAATTCCTGAACCGTTCAAAACTGCTAAAGAGAGAAAAAAAAAAATCGGTGCACATATAGGCAGAACTACTTGACAGCCAAAAAAAGAAAAACAATCTCTCTCTCTTTTTTTTTTTTTTCTTTTGTCTCATCCAGCAACGTCACCCGTAGTTTACCCTTGACACATTACTTACATCCTATTTGTGAAACATTTCCCAGGGCTTTTCTAATCCAGTTGATCTAAACTGACTGTGCGAAAAAGCCATCATCATCAAAAACCCACAAGAGAAAAAAAAAGGTAAAGCCAAACGGACAGAAAAAAAAAAAGGAACCACCGCCAAATTTTTTTTTTTTTAAAAAAAAACTTCAAACGAACAACCCACACATTTTCTTCTTCGTTTTTGCATTTCTTGCATCTACATATTGCATATTATTAATAGACTCTCGAGACATACTTACGGTTACATATATCCGCCACTATATCGCTACATTACACTCATCCATCTTCATAAAACACATCCACAGCCACATATTATAAACTACAAACTAAAGCATGACATCAATGGAAGGAGTGGTCCAAGGAACCGACATGGATAACCATGCCGCTACGAAACAGCATCAACAGCAGATATACAACACGGGCAAGCCGAACCTCAAGGAGAATGACAGTCAAGTGTTGACCAAGAAAATATCAAGACACAGTGATAAGGACACCACCACCAAGGGAAAATACACACTTAATGATTTCCAGATCTTACGAACACTAGGAACCGGGTCATTCGGGCGAGTGCATTTAACACGATCAGTACATAATGGGAGATTCTACGCCATGAAGGTATTGAAGAAAGAACGAGTAGTTAATATGAAACAAGTGGAGCACACCAATGACGAACGGAAAATGCTCAAGTTACTGCAGCATCCATTTATAATAAGAATGTGGGGCACATTTCAAGATTGTCATAATTTATTCATGATAATGGATTATATAGAAGGAGGAGAATTGTTTTCATTACTAAGAAAGTCCCAACGGTTCCCAACACCTGTGGCCAAGTTTTACGCTGCCGAGGTGTTTTTGGCCATTGAATATTTGCATAATCTAGACATCATATATCGAGATTTGAAACCCGAGAATATCTTGTTAGATAAGAATGGTCACATCAAATTGACTGATTTTGGATTTGCCAAAGAAGTTACCGATGTCACCTATACCTTGTGTGGTACACCAGATTATATTGCCCCTGAAGTAGTTGCAACCAAACCATACAACAAATCGGTGGATTGGTGGTCTTTTGGGATATTAATATTTGAAATGTTAACAGGTTACACTCCATTCTACGATCCAACGCCAATGAAGACCTATGAAAATATCTTGAACGGTACCATAACCTACCCTGATTATCTTCCTCCAGATATCCTCGACTTGTTACAGAAATTAATTGTCAAGGATTTAACGCAAAGGCTTGGTAATTTGCAAGGTGGATCTGACGATGTCAAGAACCATCCCTGGTTCAAAGAAGTTATTTGGGAACGATTGTTATCACGAGACATAGAAACACCTTACGAACCACCAATCACTTCTGGAATTGGCGACACTTCTCAATTTGATAGATATCCCGAGGACAAGGATCTTGATTATGGAATCAGTGATGTGGCTGATCCATACGGAGAATTATTTCAAGATTTCTAGATACTTTTCATTTTCATTTTCTTTCTTCCATTGTATAATTTGTGCATTATATATTACTTTTTACCTACGAACACGCCTCAGTAGACGTCATCCAATCACTCTTTAAGAACTCATCAACACTCATACGGCGTTTAGGATCAACGTCTAGCAATTTGTAAATAATCAACACTCGGAGTTCATTCAATTCATCACCTTCTTCTTCTTCTTCTTCCTCTTCCCCATTTTCCTCGTCTTGTTCCACTTCTTGTTCGATACTACTGCTATCATCAACACTGGTATCTACTTTAGGTGCCAATTTACAAATATCATCAATGGCAGGAAACTTGGACTTTTGTTTAATCAACCATTCCTTGGTTTTGTTATCATAGTCGGTAATCATGCGATTTTTAACATACATGTTGAACATTTTATCATGGAAATCACGCTGGTGAATGGATGGAGTAATATGATGATGATGTTTAAGCTCGGTAGTTTGCCAGAGATATCCAGTATTTGCTCCACGAGCCAAGAATCGGCTTTCAAAATCACCGTCTATACCTGAATAGTAATAACGTCTGATGTTTAGTAATACAACTATAAGTACTCCGAACGCCCAATAATCTTTGATTCGTGATGAGTATGGCTTTTTAAGTTGGTGGGAAATGTGTTCTTCGGGAGCCATGTATGGGTTTGATCCAATCGGGCCCTGCTCTCCTGGTATTAACTGTTCATTATTGTCATACTTTGTTTTAAACACAAAGGATTTCCCGAAATCAGACAATTTCAATGTGATTCTTGTTTTATCGGTTTGTATGTCTTCATATGTTAGTAGAATATTTTCTAATTTCAAATCGCAATGGGCCACACCATGGTTATGCATATACTTCAACCCCTTTGCTATTTGTTTGATAAAGCAGTCAACTTCGTATAATGACATGAATGTCACTGGTCGATTGGTTATGGTGTGTCCTGTAGTGAAATAAGTAAACAAATCACCACCTTGACTGCATTGCATCACTTGGCTTAGCTTGATATCTCCATCATATTGTGTAACCATTAAATCGACAGTTTCAACAATATGCTTATAATTCAATGTCGATGCCACCACAAATTCCGAAAGTATCCGTTCGATGAATTGGCCATCTGTTTCCTTGACTTTTCTTCGTTTGAGTTCCTTAACCACGAATAACTTTTGTCTTGTGGTGGGGATAGTATTTGTTTTAATGCTGGTGGTATTGGGGTCAACAATCTTGATGACTCCATATGCTCCTTTCCCGATAAGATTCCTCACTACACCGTATTTGTCATACAATGATGAGGCCTTGCTGGGACGTAAACTGCCTGTATTCTTTTCCTCGAACAATCCCGTCAATTTGGTTGACAACAGGTTAATCAATTGAATTTGACCATCGTTAATAGCTGATGTTTTGTCATTCATGGAACTACTTAGTTTGTGAATCTTGATATGATGTCCTAATAATGAATAGGTCCGTTTTGACTCTTCATTAGCCGCCTGGGCTAATTGTTGCTGGTTGGCAGTCATTAACGAACTCATGCCACAATATCCCATAATTGTTGATAAATGCTTGGCTAAATTGCCATTGGATGATTGGAATCGGGGTTTTATAGGGTGTAAATGATCCTCTTCTTGTTCGTCGTCGCTGTCTAATTCTTGTGAGTATTCACCATCTTCGTCATCACTACATTCATCGTCGTCGTCATCATCATCATCATCACCATTGTCGTCGTCATTTTCGCCCTCGCCCTCGCCGTGTTCTTTCTCCTCATCTTCATTCTCATCTCCTTCTCGTTCATCAATGGTGCTGACTCGTTTGTGCAAGAAAAGTAGCGGTCGTACTGGTGACTGCAGTGTAGCAGACAATTGCGGGGAATGTGATCTGGACCGTGATGGGGAAGACGTGGATGTTACAGAGGTTGCTATTGACGATGTGGGAGATAATGGGGAAGTATCAATTAGTGCCACTTTTGAGTTTGTTCGAAAGAACGATTTGAGTTTACTGGTGGTAGCTCCTCCTCCTCCTGGCTTGGCGCTGGTGTTGGAACTAGTTGATTGCATTGAATGGATTGAATTGTTTGATTTGACTGACGCTATGGAGTTGGATCGGGACGGATGACCACCAGCTGGTTGTAGTTTCGATTGTTGTGGTGGCGATTCCTCCCTTTTAGATCGAAATAACGGCATTGGTTACAAAACGTGAAACTATGTACATGCAAAACAAAAGTGCAGGGTGTAATATACTTTGGAAAATCAAGGTTGTGAATATTATAGATGTATTGTAAGAACCAATAAGGGCTAAACGATAGGGTTGTAAAGCAAGTCAAAAAGTTTTTGTAGCATCAGATTTTTGTGTTTGTTCTGGTAGGTTAGAAGCCATTAGTGGTGCGGCGCGTGGGGGGATACTACTCCCTGAGGCTGACGTTCACTTCCAAGCTTGCATGGGAGTGCTTTAAAGCTGGGGAAAGTGAATAGGAATCGATTAGGAGAAGTGGGAATTGGTATTGAAATTGGGTCGTGTTCAGTTTTCCTGGTTTGGTTCAATAAAGTGGTGGCCAAGAATGCTCATTTCAGCCAAGCAAAGCCAAGCAAAGCCAAGCCAATCTCAAACTGAACAATTGGTGCTATTGTTTTGATGGGTTGTACGGCTATCGTTACGGATATTATCTGGTTCTGACATCTCCAAGAACCTAATTGGGATGTAATATACAAGTAGCTGTATAATCTGCCAAAATAGATTCCTAGATTCCTTGATTGGAGTCCTCCCAAGTGCACATTGAACACTTTCCCCGTTTACTTGAACTGAAACAGATTATCCATCATCCATCATCCATGTCACATCCCCATTAATCTGGTGTCCTAGGGTTACAGGGTAAACATAATTTTGTGGATGATACCACAAAATCTACAGATGGGGCCCAGCGAAGAAATCTGAGACTAGTTCACATGCCATATACTATCCTATTCGCGATTTCAGATACTTGGCTTGTTCTATCTTTAGTCGCATATATCGGTTATGCATTATGTCATTTGATGTAGCATTGGTAACTACAAAAAATAATAAAAACGAGTTATTGACACGTTTCTGGGGCCATTTTTGCATCCATCATTTTCAAGGGTGGCATCAGTCAAAAAGTAAAAATAAATAACTGAAAAAAAAAAAATACTGCGAACATACGGGATTACTATTTAAAAAATATTCGCGTTAATTTATTGGACGTCTTTGTCCTTTATTTCCAAATCTAGTAAAATTACCCGTAACCTTTTTGCAATTACTACCAACGGTATTTTAAAATAACTGTCTTCGGGAATCAGCCAAAGACAGGAATAGTGTGATCATATTGTATGGGTTTTGCCCTGGAATTTGGATATCCAGGGAATCTTCCATTATAAGTAGTGAAAGCTGGGTACTACGACTACTGTAACCCCATTTGCGTCTTGGTAATGGTATTAAAATAGAATGCATGAACCCTTAGTGGCAAAAAAGCAATTCACATGGTGTTACCACAGAGAAACGCATTGTCAGGTCAACTTGAGATGTTACTAGAACGGACCCAACAGATAATCCGAGATTACGAATCCAATTAAACGTTTGTCCTGACTGAGACAAAGAGGGGATTTTTCGTATTTGGCACCGCCCAATGGGTATAACTGATGGGGGTTCCAGTTTCACCCAAGAATTTCGGATCTCAGTATTAATCTATCTTGCGTGGCCATAGCTAAGATGTAAATAATACCTCCGAACTAGTTCAACTCCTCCTATTCACTACAAGAGTTTATTTTTCACAACAGTGATATATTTTATATGTTGGCTTTACACATTTATTATTTTCAACTCCTTTCCAGAAATTTTTTAATTCTTGCCTTTTTATTTTTTTAATTTTTTTTTCTAGTTTTATTTTTGGAATCGCGTTGACTACTAATTTTTCTTTTTTTTTTTGCTGTTTTTGTTCGTCTGTCGTCTACAATCGGATTTCTCTTAACTTCAGAATTGTTTCACTTGCTTTCGATTTCTAGTCCAGATTTCCAAACAACACCCGTTTCTTTCCTCTTCACGAATCATCCCTCTCCTCTGACTTATCAAAGCAGACATCCCTCCCTTCGTCACACACGCATTCACTTACTCACTCATCACAGGTTAGAGGTATACCATGACTAGCATCTATAACTCCGATCTAAAGAACCACAGACGAGCACCACCACCACCACCACCCCAACCGCTATCGTCATCACAACGCCAATTATCATCAACATCCATACCAAACGGTCCTCCCCTAACTTCATTTGCACCAACCCCCAAAATCCCCAATGCTGCATCTAACAAACCACCGCTTATAATCAACAGTAACTCCAAAAAGCGGAACTATGGCTGGGTCCACGTCAAAGACGATGGCTTGTTCACCTCATTCAGGTGGAACAAACGATATGCTGTACTTAATGATAAAACTTTGTCTTTTTACAAATCAGAATTGTCACCGACGGAATTGGATTCTCCCAATACTACTCCCGAACTGGCGTTCCTGTTGAATTCCATCAGCAACATCAACTTGAAACCAAACTATGGATATTCCAAGACGTGTCAGTCTTTTGAAATTATAATTAAAAACACAGGGAAAACAATTTTAGTATCGGTAAAGCACAACAGTGACTATTTGGACTGGCTAGATGCATTCACTACGAAATGTCCTTTGGTGCAAATAGGTCAAGCTTCTCCAAGTGCCTCTTCCCCTGGAGCATCACTAGCCACCGGTTTGTCAAACTCAATCGGTAATGGAAGTAGTTCTAGCGGAAGCGTCACAACAACAACTGCAGTGTCTAGTCCGATAAATTTCACCCATAAAGTTCATGTCGGTTTCGATCCTGCCAGTGGAAGTTTTACCGGCTTACCCGATGCGTGGAAAAGTTTGTTGCAACATTCTAAAATCACCAATGAAGATTGGAAGAAGGATCCTGTAGCTGTTATCGAGGTATTGGAATTCTATTCCGACATTAATGGTGGTAATACCCCTATTAGCTCCCCACTTGTCAATGTGACCGACAGTGCTAATAATAGTTTCCAGAATAATAATAGTACCTCTAGCAGCAACGGTACTAACTTGCACGAGTGGACTAAGCCTCCCGCCACGAAAACACCGGTTTCCCTGTTATCATCACCTACCAAACAACAATTCAAGCCAACCAGAGCCGCTCCTAAACCTCCAACCCCATACCACATGTCCAGAACTAACTCATCTCAATCCAGTAGTTCCTCTTCCAAGAAATCAGATACCTCATTCAAAGGTCCAGATTTGGTACCGGCCAGAAATGCCCCTGCACCTCCACCTTCTGCTCCACCAGCAGGAACAACGCAACCACAACAAGTCCAACCATCTACTAACAGTTTACATGCTAGTGTAGGTATTCCAAGACAAAGCCCTCCAATATTGCCAGGCACCAGAAGTGCGAGCGATGGAAGAATTCGTCAAGAAACTCAACCTGTTCAAGAAAGAAGAAATGAAAGTGCTCCTACCAAGTACCATACCTCACAACCATTAACCACTTCTCCCTCCACATCATCCCTTAAACCTTTCCACTTGAAGCAACAACAGCAACCAACACAACCTGTACAGCCTAAAGTGCAGACTCAAGCTAAGCAACCTCCATATCCAGCAGGTACTTCTCACTCAGTAACTAAACCATTGGCTCCAGTCAGTCAAAATGAAGCTACGAGACCATTGCAATCCAAGCCAAAACACGAGTCTCCAATCTCATCAAAATCAGTAAAACCCTCACTTGCCCCACTTAACCCTAACAACCATCCAGCACCGGGTGCCGCCAAGTTAGGCTCTGTTGGCACCACTTCCGCAGTTAAAACACCTAAACAACTCAAGAAAGAGCGCGAAAGATTGAATGACTTACAAGTTCTTGCCAAGTTGAAAACCGTGGTCAACCCAAACAACCCTACCCCATTGTTCAAAATTATTGAAAAGGCAGGTCAAGGTGCCAGTGGTGCCGTGTACTTGGCCGAGACCGTAAACACCGGCCGAAAAGTAGCGATCAAACAAATGGATCTTAATGTCCAACCAAGGAAGGAATTAATCATCAACGAAATTATGGTCATGAAGGACTCTCAACACAAGAATATTGTCAACTTTTTGGATTCGTACTTGAGGGGGAACAACGACTTGTGGGTGATTATGGAATACATGGAAGGTGGGTCTTTGACTGAAATTATTGAAAATAATGAGTTTAAATTAAGTGAGAAGCAAATTGCTACAATCTGTTTTGAAACCTTGAAAGGGTTGCAATTCTTACACAAAAAACACATTATTCATCGTGATATCAAATCGGATAATGTCTTGTTGGATGCCAAGGGTAATGTGAAAATCACTGATTTCGGGTTCTGTGCCAAATTAACTGATCAAAGAAATAAACGTGCTACTATGGTGGGAACCCCATACTGGATGGCGCCTGAAGTTGTTAAGCAAAAAGAGTATGACGAAAAGGTTGATGTGTGGTCATTGGGTATTATGACTATAGAGATGATAGAAGGAGAACCACCTTACTTGAACGAGGAACCATTAAAGGCTCTTTATTTAATCGCCACCAATGGAACTCCAAAGTTAAAGAAGCCAGAATTGTTATCCAATTCAATTAAGAAATTCTTGTCCATTTGTCTTTGTGTGGATGTCAGATATAGAGCTACTACTGATGAATTGTTAGAGCACTCATTCATCCAAAACAAGTCAGGAAAGATCGAGGAATTGGCTCCATTGCTAGAATGGAAAAAACAACCTGCTGATCAAGAAGGTTTGTAATTTGTAGACGATTTTATATTTATTTTAATACAAGGAATAATTCAAATAATTTTACCTAGCACGTCAAAATAGAAGGGCATCTTTACACGAATTATCTGTTTTTTGGGGTTACTCCTTCATATTCCGGATCAGACTAAGCCTCCAATTCCATATTTGCAACCTAGGTGCACTTGCATTGTCTCTTAGAGTTCCCTTGGAAATTCTAAGCCTTATCTGCTTACTTGTTTGAACTGAAATGGCAAACTCCTTTCTTTAAGCCTCCCTCGCTAAATGTGGTAAAACTTACTTCGCCACATCATAGTGCTTTTTCTCAGAATCAGACCATGCTAAGTAAAAACAAGAATATTCTTTCTCCGTAAACACACAATTAAGCTTATACAGCTAATATTGTGTGATTTCGAATGCCACCAAGAAAACACCATTTTATGCTACAAATGACACATCTTAAGTCAAACTTAGATTCCAACGGTCACCAATTAAGGTTTGACCTAGACTCTAAATCGTTCCCTAATATCATTTACATTTAGCACCTCGATGCAAGTCGACGCCTTCTAAAGGCATGTATTTGCATTGGTTCCTTATTCAACGAATCTAGGTTCACTGGCAAGCGGAACCGGGGAACCTACACCCCCCTCAAGAAAAATTTTAATTTTTTTTTTTTTTTTTTTTGAGAATTTATTTTTTTTAGTGGGTTCTGCATGAACATTTAGCCGAATTACGTGAAGATATTTTTCAAGTGGGGCACAATTTAGTTGAGTAAAAAATAATCACCAATTTATTTTTTTCGTCCCACTAATATGCAATGCCGCCTAAAACCAATTCTTGTTTTGCTAATTTTAGTTATTTTATTTTTGCATGGGCACTTTTCCCAATAAATAGCGCAATGGGGATTTCGTGCATAAAAATCTCATTTAATTCAATTATATTTTCTGAGGCAGTGGCATAATAAGATGTTCCTGCAAGTGAAGGTTGCTGGACCCTTTTTAGACCATAAAATTAGATAAAAATTTTGCGATACTTTCAATCATTACTGTAAAACAAGATATGTTTCCAAATACGGAAAAGCGCCAGCTGGAAGAAGTTTCTCACACGGATGCAAGTAATAACCACGGTTGGGAACACGCTCACACCTATCCCCGGGCAAACTTTTCAGTGGACACTTTTTAGGGGACTGCCTCCCCCCCTCCCCCCGCCTTCTTACATATTTTCATATTTATTAGTTCATGTACATGAACTGGGTGGGTTCATGCATATACTGAAAATATTTGTAATAATGCCTTTCAAGGTCCCCTCACCTGTCCACATGTTGTTTTTTTTTTTTGAATTTACGCTATAGATAAGGGGTCTTGCAAATGAACCTTTGACTGGGGTCAACCATTTAGGTTAGTTTTGATAATTACATTTCCCAACTTACTAGTTAAAAATCCTGTCTTGAACACCCTTGTTTCATGGAAATTGAAAAATAAAAATAATCACCCAGTTTAAGATTTAAAGTTGCCCCTTACTTTTGGAAATATGTCTTAAATTTCTCTTAAATTTCTCTTAAAAAGCTTATCGAAGCTTTTCTAAGTTTCGTTAATCTCTGAACTCTAAGTTAATCATAAAACTGTATTACCGCAAATAAAGAAAATCGAATTTAATTAAAACACATAAGAAGAACAGAAAAGTATATAAACAATATAAAAAACACTCCCACGATCAATTTCATGCATTAGTGGAGTACAATGAACTGCTCCCTCCGTTCCCATTAGAGTCCTCAGTTCCACTTCCACCAACTGTAGCCAATGTACTCACGGGATAACTGGATGAAAATGACCGACGGCGAAGTGGATATTGGTACGATGCTGAAGCACCAGCAGTAGTACCGGCAGCACCTCCACCACCATCATACGTGGTGCTAGAGCTCAGTCCACCATTATTGCTCAAAGCTAATGGAGTTGCACTGGCAATATACCCACTTCCATTGTAATTACCAAATGTAAAATTTTGACCCGCTAACAATGACCCTCTTGAATTTGTATTGTTACCTATGCTCGCTTGACTCGAGGTGGAGTTTCTATTGTTGTTGTTGTTGTTGTTGTTATTACTACTCCTATTGTTGGATGTAGAAGTTGCAAACAAATTGGATGTAGCAGCAGCATTCAGTGTCGTCAGATATTGTTCATAATGGTACTGGGGACCAGAAATCGTCTGCGGGTAGCTTTGAAGATAGGGCTGGTAGTGCGAGTTTGTGTATAATTCGTGGTTTTGCGCTTGCATAGACCCACTAGTTCCTCCCGAAGTATGCAAACTTGTCGGCGGTTGAAACAATGGACCATACTGCAGTTGGTTCAATTGTTGACCAGATTGGTTATAAGATACTGGCTGGGTTGGGGTAGCAGATTGTTGTTGGAGCATATAATTATTATACACAGGCACAACGGTCCTTGATGAACCAGAAGAGGCTGTCCCACCACCAGTGTAGGTCTGTTGTCCGTTGTAGCCAGTAAATGGATTGCTAAATGACATTTCAGTTGATATTTGACCTCTATCTTCTCTCTTGACCCCATCAGCAGGAACTGGTAGCATGTATTGCTGTTGGAACGATTGGGTGGCTTGACCATTGGCATATTTATCAAACTGTAGCGAGTTGGATTGTGTTTTGGTGTAACCCTGAGATGGTTTTTGCAAGAGGGACATGTTTTGTAATTGATAATTGTTATCCAAAAAGTAGTATGCTTCGTCTTCAATGGGGATTTTCCCACCTAAAGAACTATTCTTGACTGCATTCCACAAATTTGGATTTATAATTGTGTTCTTCAAATCCCCTTCTGATGGACGTTGTAACTTGCCATTCAAGACATCATCGGCGTTGTAATAACTTATTAAATGAATTGTTTGTTTTTCATCCTGTTTGTCAATGTGTAAATCCTTGGTCCTAGTGGTTAATGAGAGTGTCTTTTTTATTAAACCTTGGTCTTTGAATGCATATGAGCTTACCATTGGACCACCCAACAAGCTCTTCTTATAATCGTTGCTGTTGTATGAGACAGATGCCGGGATGGTGTTGGCAGTTGTACTAGTTGTATCCAGAGTTAATGACCCCAATGTTGGTGATTTAGCGGTATCACTACCAAAATCTGTCAGGGTCAAATCTGCACTAACTTTCCTCTTCTTCTTCTTTCTGTCGTCCTTTTCATTCAATGTTTGTTTGTCCAATTCACGGTATACAAGGAACCGTCCCAATAACCTCGAAGGTGACCAAGCAATTCCATCTGTCCATCGTTTAATTCCTGAATGCTCTTCAATAAATACAAAAACATTGCCTGATTTGATTAATTGGGGCCGCTCCCGTTCGTGGGGACGTCTGGGTACCAAGTCCAATTGTTTATCCAAGATCTCTTGTATAATGAGTAACGCGTCCTTGGTTGAGCCCACGTATCCGTAGTAGGATGGGTATAATCGAGTAGATGACATTGGGTCAAATTGTATTCATACAATTGTGGGATAGATGAGAAGTTGGAAATTGTGATGTTTATGTCAAGACTGGGGAAAATTGCAACTAAAGTCTGAAACAATAAATAAAACTTGGTTGATTGATGAAGTAAAGAAAGAATTGGTGAAGGAAACTGGTTCAACTTATTTGTAATCTAAGTGTCAAACTTGTTGTTTAATTTAATAGTTAATGTGGTCTACCCAAATATTGCCAGGAGATAAATGTGTGTAAATACTTCTTGGCTTTTTTCTGTACCAAGTCAAAGAAAAATTTGTTCTAAAAGGGTGTTGCTGAGGGTTTCGTGACGTGGTGGACTAATTAAAGATAAACCCTAATGAATATTTGGTTATATCTTGCTAATAAACGTTTATACTATGACTATAGGACTTTTTTGCAATAAATGTTGGACAAGAAAGCAAAATAGGTTTCCGTGTGAAGTTATATACTTTTTTTTTTTACTCTAATGGTAAATTTATTTTCTGGACTCTTTTTTTTTCTAATAATATTATTATTTTTAAGGTTTTGGTTATGTATGTTGGGCAATAATGGGCAATTTTATTTTTGAAAGTTTAATAATGTGGGTACTAAAATTTTTTTTGGAGCTATACAATTTTCTATTGAGCAAGGTCGGGGTGTTAGTATTAATTTAAAATAAACGTAATTTTTTTTTTATATTTTTTTATTTTTTAGTTTTTATTTTTTATTTTTTCGTGGACCATACCACTTAAAAAATAATCATGCATAAGTAACACCCTCTAACACAAAATCGAGGATTATAATCCAATCGGTTTGAAGCCTTGATCAAAAAAAAATAAATGCAGCGGGAGGAGAAAACCATGAGCCAGTGCATCTTCAAAGGAGTAAACACATTATGTAAAGAGGAATTGACTACTAGCCAAGGTAGATGCCCGTAGCTCTGAGAATGTGCTCGGGAAGTTCGGAGTAATTTGCAAGAGATGTAATAAAATACAGAGATAAAATTCTTAAATACAGCTGCATATCTGGTCCCTTTGGGTCCCTTGAACTCCTGCTGCAACATTTCTAATAGCAAGGGGAGAATTTTCTGATCCAATAAATGCCTCGGAGTGGATAAAATGAGTAAAGTGCTAGTGAGCAAAAGTGAATAGTTGTATTTTATTGCAAGTTATGACGAATTGATAACAAAATGCCGAACTTGGTTTAAACTACATACAATCTTGTCAAAAAGAATCACCGAATATTCTTAACTTCTATTCTCCTCTTTTTCAGTTTGGGAAATGAATATGGTTAACATTTCTGTTATATTACTTGATGGATATAGAGGGACAAGAAACATTTACTTGGTTGAAATATTTTACTTCTAGACAAAAAAAAAAAAATAAGTTTGTCTCAACATAAGCATAAACACAATCATCCCTAAATATTTTCTTGATCTTTTTCTTGATTTAGTTTTGTTTTTAAACTTAAGATATAGTGATTTACTTATCACTAGTATGCCAAGCAATATCGCCTTATAATTGCCCTTGTGATTGCATTTCTTGGGAGCCAAGTGATGGCATGAATGGGCTTTGAATATTTTCATTCTCGTATTTTTATTTTTTTGTTGTTTAGTTTTTATTTACATTGCAGAATGACTTAATCATAAATGTAACACATTTGCTGAGAAATTTGCAAGAGGGATTACATGATCCAATAAAGTAATGTGATGGTTAATTTAACTTTCTTGGTTCTGCTTTGTGTACTCTTGGACAAAAAAAAATTAAGGTTAGGTTCTATGGTCAAAACAAATACCAGATTTTCATTTAATTGAGCCTCATTCGGCGTTCTTGTTATTAAATTGATAACGAATATGAGCAAATTATAATTATCATATCTTTCACTTGACAATAGAAAGATCCTTCACCATCGCGAAGGAATTTTAAGCGAATTTTGATACCTTTTGAACAATGCAACGAAAATATTTTCGGGGTCAAGTTTGGGTTCACTTGCTTAGAAAATAAAAATTTCAACCAAAAAAATAATTTGGGTCCACAAAAGTGAAATTAAAGTTTAATGGGACGAGAAAATGTCAAGTGTTGACTTCTTGAATGATTACTGTCAACACCAGATACACTTTAAGCTATTTAGGACAACTATACGAAAGTCACACGGATATTTATCCAAATCTTCAAAACAAGCATTTTGATGCAAGTACTTTTGTTGATGACCCTCAAAAGTATGCCATTTGTTTGTTGGTTACCTTGAGGTCCAGAAAATTACGTAAGATATTATTTTAAAATTGTGACTTGGTTTTGTGCGAAAAAACTAAATATCTCCACTTTGTCTAAATTTGTTGGTTAGTTTGATGTTAGTAAAGGAGGTGAAAAATATTTTCATGTGCTGGTACGAAGACGATATGGCCTCTGTAGCGGTAAGTTACTATTCCAGAGTTCTTGATTTTTTTTTTGTTTGTTCTCAGATTTAAGGTTAAGCTACAAAGATTAGATCGAGGGAGCGAGACAAGGAGAGACAACCACTCCAGCAACCACTACTTAATAGCATGTGTTGATTGCTGGTTTAGTGTTTGAGTTGCTGACGTTGGGTGATTATTGGACAATGGTTTGAGAATACAAAATTGGTTTTATATGGTTAGAATAAACGAGAGTTAAATCTCACTTGCTGAAAATTTCATAGTTGCAATTGTTTAAAGTGTGAATCTAAAAATATATAGTACGAACGACAAGTCTTTGACGGCTTCTAGAACGCCCTTGATAAGTTTCTTTACCATTTTTGATCTATACAATGATATATTTTTTTTACCATGCAACATAACGCCAGTCAAAGCATTCGTTCATTTGCGCTTGGATATTATATAGTCACTGGCTAGGGGTTACAGTCGTTGTCAAAGAACTTTGCATAGTTTTGCATACTTTTCTAGCCAGGTCCGACCTTCATCATAGATAATTTTCGAGTTATTGCTGGGACAACGGGTAATTAGAATGAGGTAACTTATAGCTTATTACTGAATGATTACAGAAGGGGGAGGCGGGGGGTAAACTTACCCAGGATTACTTCTTGATTTGTCTGGTGCCACGGCATTTCTAGAAGTATCAATCCCCTACCGCGGAATTTGAAAGATATTCCGTAACAATAACTCCGGAGAATTTCAACTTGATCTAGATGCATATGCAACTAATCATACTATGTATATGTCATATATCTCGACCAACACGACTTCACAGAAGTTCAGAATAAAGCACTTCAAATGTTTCTCTTCCACATCCACTCCGGGTCATGCCTGTAGATGTCCGATTACGCCAGTTACCAGCCTCCGTAGAAAATCTGGTTTCTCTATCAACTTTGTTAATTCATGCTTATAATTATCACTACTGTAATTATGATACATGAATTTATATGATATTAGATAATAGTTTAGATTTATCAGGGACAATAATTAAGAAATAACTTTTGAGTTATATGTGTAGGTTTGACCGCAGGAGTTAAACAGGCACAACCCTTTCTTGGTAAAATTATTGCCAATCTAAGCAAGGCTCCCGAAACACGAGGGTCGTATATTACTAATTTAAATTAAATTAGTTTCATTTATGACAAAGAAGTGGGGGTGTACCTATTTGGACTAATGTTTTTGTTTTGGTTCGAGGAGAAATTTTGGTGCGATTTTTTCGATCGTGTGGCTCCGGAAATTGCCTCCGGGCCCCAAGAACAATGGCGAAGATTCTAAAACCAAAACATTGGAATAGATAGAACTAACACAGAACCCATAATCCACAGATGTCACCATCACAGAGAATATACTGTAACAAGATATAGAAACGGATACAGAAGAACTTTACGTGCTTTTATACCCCTATATTGGGAGGCTCAGCCCTTGGCTGTAAGGTTTAAAAAATGGGGTAGGTCTCACGGATTATATTTTTTTTTCTGGTGTCAATACAATAGTCTCACTTACTGGGTATGGATAAAGATAAGTAAGTCCGGAAAATAATAACAAACAAAAATAAAATACAACACTGTGGTGGATTAATTTTAACCCACAAAGAGCCAAACAAGGGAGTGGATCTAGTCTTTCCTATTCCGCCTTGCGATTGTTCTCCTTTGATTCTGCTATTGGCTGAGCAGCAAACAAATAAACTTTTTTTTTCTTCTATCTTTGCTTTCTACGTATCCCTACGTGGCGATGCAGGAACTGCATAAGCGCCTAGATTACGGTTTCCAACTGTGGATCTATATCGACTTGAGTTTAAATTTAACCTTTTTTTTTGACACAGTAGCATAGCAATCTGCTGCTGGACCCCTTGATTAAATCCTCTGCTCGAGGAGATTCAAGAGACGTACATTTACCAAATGTCTTGTTTAAGAAAGGACTCGCTCGAGGCTCTAATGCCCCCTACTGCACTCACCCCCTCTTTCCCCCCTATTGGCTTGTCTAATTTATTTTTTTTGTGTTATATTGTTTCCAGCCTCCCCTATTTCTCATAAGATTTATTTTTTTTTTTGGTGGCTATATAATCGGGGCGTAAGCTAAAATAAAAGCAAGGCTATTTCTTCACAAGATTGTAATTAACTCTAAAATAGGTTAAAATTTTATCTTCTACTTTATTACTTATTCTTTATAAGGATACGTTTTGACCATTTGGGTTTTTTTGCACTTTAATCCACCAGGAATTACCACGGATACCCCCTTCTCTCCCTGAACCTTACATTACACCCCCCCCCCACATTAGAGATATAAAAAGTTATCTAATTGATTTGACAACCAAATCCCAATTATTCGTACGGCACAAGTTAAATGCTAAAAACAGAACCACTTGATTATCACAACCATCTCCCTCCATATCGATCATTGCTCAACCCAAATGCACAGTACGATTATCAAACACATTCTTTGGTACCATTGTCCCAGAATGATTTGAATGTATTGCGCACGAGTTTCCAGACCCCAACTAAGGAGTCAGGGTCTACTTCTAACGGAGGGAGTTTTAAAATGAAGTACAAGTCGTTATTGAGCGATGTGGGAAGATCCATCTCTTTGAAAATGAGCAATCCCAATTTGATGACTAGTGTTGCTTCTGTAGTTGGGTCTAGTGGCAAAGCTGTTGTCCTTGCAAAGAAGGTCCAACAACAGGCTGCCGTGTCCACTTCCAAAACTCAACAACAGCCCCGTCAGCCATTGCAATTGAAGGATCTTCCTATTGAAGTCTTGGATTATATATTCTCGTTGGTTGATTCCAAGACTGACTACAAATCATGCATGTACACCAATAAGATGTTCTACCAATTGGCCAAACCTTTCTATTATCAAGATTTGTCATTTGTTTCCACTTATAGGTTTGCTCAATTCATTTCCTACCTCAGATTGAATTCTAGTGTTGGACAATACGTCAAATCTGTGGATTTGTCAGGGATAAAACCAGGATATGAAGAAGATGCCCAGGAAGGAGAAGACGATGTGAATATGAATGATGCTCCAGCTGGTAATAGAGAAGGAATAGAACGAATACATGATGCACCAGCTAGAGAAGCTAGTCCTGAACGGGCTGATTTGGAATTTTCTGGAAAAAATGAACCTACTCCTAAAATCATGGCTGGATGGAGAGATTGGAAGTTCAAGAGCAATCCGTTATATTCAGTTCATCCACTGCCACCAAAATTAACCAAGACAGCTTCAAATGTCCTGATTGCATCGGCAAAATCAACCAAATCTTCCTTGTCAACCAAAAGATTATCCAAACCATTCAAATTATTCAGATCTAAAAAGAGAAGAAGATCCATCACCACCACCACGAACACGACTTCAACTCCAAGAAAAACACCCAAAATCGAATTCCTTGACTTGCGGGCTCAAGATCAGGCTCATTCCAACACATTGGCTAGAAATGCCAGCCCTCATCCATTAATAAACAAATTCTTGATGAATTACTCCACTTCTAAAGATATCCCCATTGGCTATGTCTTGCATTTGATTAGATTATGCCCTAATGTTGAAAGACTCAATTTAGGTAATCTTTCCCTTTCCATTGATTATGAAATTAGTCGCTCTGTGGTTCACAAGTATCAAAATTTCGACTTGATGAATAACTATCCCAAGGATATAATTAAACGAATTGATGGAATTATGCAAGGAAATGATGATGTTCGTGACGATGTGTTTTCATTTGATCGAGAAAATACTGATATCTATTCAAGGTTTCCATCACTTTTCAAATCCAATCAAGCCCCACCTACTTCCTGTGCATCTTCTGTTTATTCAATCACCACATTCTCAAAACCAATCAATATCAAATACAACAGTTTGTTACCACCATTACCATCTACTGTATCCGATATTTCCTATATCAACAAAGGGGATGGAAAAGTGTATCTCTCCGACTTAAATCTTAAATCTATCAACAATATATATTTGAAGAAGATCAAGGAAGAAGAGCTATTATCAGTTTTGATTAGAATACATGGAAAGAAATCGGTTACCTCGAACAGCATATTCAATTTTACAGGGGACGTCAGCGGAAACTTAAAATATCTCAATTTATCATCTATGATTTGGCTTAACCGTAACATGATTGAAAGTTTTTTTGAACAGTTGCTTATCAAGAATACTTGCTTTGAACATCAAGATAGAATCATCGACGACGAAGATGATTTGTCTGATGACGAGGAAGAAGCAGATTTCTGTTGTCATGAGTACAAACAAGACTTGATTGTTGACTTGACTGATTCCGGAATGTACAAGAATCTCGCGTGGGCTAAATGTATCGACTTGAATACACTTTATGGGTGTAAATTAGCCAGTAAGATTATTCGTAACGAATTATTAGCTCCATTTGATGAGTTTATGAGAAGAGAACGGATCAGAAGAGGAAGAATCGGGGAAAATTACTTGGCTTAGTTCTATTCTCTATATCTAGCTGAATTATTATGATTAAAGAAAAGTAAATTTTTATTTTTGTTTTGTAGAAAATTGTTTATTCAAAGTATCTACTTATATAAAATGCAAAATTAGGTGTAGTTGATTTCAGCAACCAATGGGATGTGATCCGACGGGAATTGCTTGTTGGGGAATCCCTTGATCGGACAATTGGAACAATACTTTTCATCAACTTCACTTAAAACTTTAACTATGTCAAACCCGTTCTTGGTTATGAATATGTGATCTAAAACATCGGTCAAACTCGACGTGTAACTTGTGAAATTCAACTTCTCTGTTTTTATTAAACAGTCGTAGATGTTAGCGAATTCAAATGGATTGTCTATTATTCCATTCTCGTCAATCAATGGGTTGTTAACTCCATAATCGTGACCGGAGAATTCAGGAGATTCCTTAACATCTATTCCGTCTGTACTTAACAATTTAAACACGTCAGACTTCAAATTTGAATTTAAATCTCCCATGACTATTATATGAGCTTTTGTCAAATCGTTACCGTCGACATAATCACGTAATTCATTCAATAATAGTTTGGTTTGTAATGCTTTGACGTCATTATATTGTGGCGACCAGTACAAATGGGTGTTGGCGACATATACCGTCTTGTCAGCTATTTTGTCATGTAGCTTCAAAATTAATGCAACTGTATTTCTAGGGATTAACCGAGCAATTAAATCCTCGGTCATTTGATATTGGGATTTGTTTTCCAAAACATGTTCACCAAAATTTATCTCTTTGGTTTCGACAACATCAAATCGTTTGGTATTTACAAACACACCAACACCGTCTATGAAATCGTTGGATTTACCTCCCCAATAACCTGGTAATGATTTCTTAACAAAGAAGCTCTTGTAATTACTATCAGGGAAGTTCTTGGACCAATACTTGTCATATACGTAATATTCCATTTCTTGAAAGCACATTATGTCACATTTGAATTGGGAAATGGTCATATTTATAAGTGGGAACCTATAATTGGGCCAGTCTAAGTATTGTTGTTCCAAGTATCCAAAAACCTCATGCCACGTGTAATGTCTTGACAACAAATTATATGACATTACCGATATTTTATTCTTGGAGTCGGCTGGAGATGGACCTAATCGGACCCAGCGACGGTATTTTGTGGCATCGTAATTGTCAGGAATGCTGGGTGAAGCGGGGGACTTGAAATCAAGCTCTTTATTGATGATGGAATATGGTCTATTGGCACTAAGGGTGGAGTTCATGATGGAGGACTTGGTATGGGTAAATGAAGGAATGATCTTTCTCAAATGTAATACCATGCACTTGGAGAAAGCTAAATGTTTCTTTTAGCAGTAAAAGTAAGCAGTGTCTAAAATTAGAATGTAAAACTGTAGAATGGTGTTGTAAATAGTGAAGCTGGTTGAACGACTTTGGATGGGGTATTTATAGTTTTCTGGGAGGGAAATGCAAGTAGTACGTGTTTATTGTGGTGGTTTATCCAGTCGGAGTTTAGTTCAGATAACAACAAAGCTAATCAATGGGTAATTTAAAAATAAATGATTCTATGATTTCTGAAATTAGCCCTAATGCACGGGAAAGGGGACACGATTCCAGATTGTTCAGGTTATTATTAATGCAAAAGAAAAGAAGATTCAAACAAGGAAATCTCCAGATGTCAAAAAAAGTAGTTTATTGTTCTCAGCTATCAACAATCGGCGTAAGGCGTAGTAATTCACTGGAACGTCAATCCAACTTTCGTATGGTCATGCTACTGCATATAAAAAAATGACGGTGATATTTATTTTTTGCTCTCTTTTGTCTTTGCGGGACCCAATTTCTTTTTTTTTCTTATTTTCTCCATTGTTCATTTGGTGCGCATTAATGGAAGATTTACGGCGTTGCCGGGTAGTTACAAACTAATCACTTACAGATGGGGGGTGCAGCCATTAGATAACTTTGCCTGGTTATCCCCCCAAAAAAAAATTTAGCAATTGTAAATTACTTGTAAGACGATAGAGTACGTAATCAAGAATGTGTCAATTTCTTGTGTCAACGCTTCCGCCTGAGCGGGAGTCGATATTATTTTTGCTGCAAAAATCACAGCAAAAAAAAAAAAACCAAAACGAAAAATAAAAATAGAAATCAGATGATCAAAAAAATTCATTGTCTCGCCTACTCAATAGTATGATCACTCACATCTAAAGTTTTAATCGAAGTTCGTTCCAGTAGATTCTACTTGCTCATATATCATCACCTGTTTTTCATATTCCACGTTTTCCCTCATCGGCAATGTGAGCGATTTTATCCTTACATATTTACGATATCTATCGGTAGTACTTCGCCGCATTACGGGGAATAATCCCCGCCATCTCCTATCATTTCAATTGTTCTTGCTCTGGTCGTTTCTTTTCTATTGACTACGTTTACTTGATATTTGACTAATTTGAGGGGTATTTTATTTACTGTGGTTAACTCTTAACTAATCAAGCACGTAATTTATGTGTGCAAAGAAATTGGCCACATAATCAAAAAACTTTCACATGGACTGGTATTACGTGCCAGTAACCTCTCTTTTTCTATCAACGTCACCCTGCATAAATAAGATCTCCACATTTACACCCCCTCCTCTCCTCCTCCCCAGTGATATGCATTTTGTGGGGAAGGGGTGGCATTTGCTTTGTTTTTATTCTAAGTTTGACAGTTCTGAATAATTATCTTTTTCTTCTAGAATTCGCTTATAATTTCTAAGCACATTTGGGGCACCGCCGATACATTACGTCATTTATGTTTAGCCATATTATGACTGCATGACCGCATGATTATATAATGCATGGGAAATATCCCAAATGTGGGGATCCTCTTTTGCTTCGTTATCTAAAGATAGATGATCAACACTCCCGGAGTTTTTGAACTTTGCATTAGTCATTGGGTTGGAAGGACTAGATCTTTTTGTTTAAGGATTGAAGAAGGTGGTCTCAATGCCCACAAAATCAATTTTTAGTGGTATTAATTTATAAAGTTTTCTGTATAGATACCTACTTCAAAGTAATCAAATATAAAAGAATCTGTCATATCATAATTAAAGTATTTAAAAACACGAAAACAAAAGTAATAATCAAGTAAAGATTAAACTTTTAACTAAAAAATTAAAACAACCAAATTAACCACATTAGATAATAAAATAGCTAAACTTGATGTTGTTAAAAGTGAACCAACTCCAGCTTCCATTACTGTAACACTTCCACCTTTAACCAGTGATGTTGATGATTCTCTAACTGTTCCTCTTCCAGTAGTCTTGTCATCAGTTTTTCCACCTCCAATTGGATCGTGCTGGATGCCAGAAGTAGTGGTACCAGATCCCTTATCTGTTGCAATTACAGTAGTACTAGGCACTTCCAATATAACAGTTATAGTCACGTCAACATCAGGATTATATGGTAATGTAGAACTTCTAGTAGTCAGACCAGTCCAAGTCCTAGTCCTAGTTTCAGTGATTTTATCGGGATCATCTTCAGCAGGGGACCCGCTCTTTGCTGGAAAGTATTCGATAATAATAGCGGTCAATCCAGGTTCAGCAGTCAAAGTAGAATAAGAAACAGTATAACCATCATATGTTTTGGTTATTGTCATAGTAGGAACCGGAACTTCCACAATAATAGTCATTGTTTTGTCAACATCACTGTCAAAAGAAACTGTAGTAACATGGGTAGTTGAATCAGTCCAAGTTCTAGTTTCAGTAACAGTTGTAGGAGCTAAATCAGGAGGTACATCTGTCCGAGTGGTACTAGTGTTAGGTTCTTCTTCTTGGTGGTCGTCAGGTTTAGTTCTAGTGGAACTTTCTGTCTCTTCGCGGGAAGCTGTAGTTCCTCCTCCAGGAAGATCTGTCGGTTCTTCCTGAGGTGGGATGTTACTCAGTAATCTATCATCTTCTGTTTTTTGTTCAACTATAGATTGAGTAGATTCCTCATCTATGGTGGTTTCATCAACAGCATCAGTAACAGGTTCTTCTTCCTGTTTTGTATTAATTGCAGATTCCTCTTTGCTGAAGGATTCACTAGCTGTCTCTTCTTCCTCGCTTACTGATTCACTAGCTGTCTCTTCTTCCTTGCTTACTGATTCACTAGCTGTCTCTTCTTCTTTGCTGAAGGATTCACTGGTTGTCTCTTCTTCTTTGCTGAAGGATTCACTAGCTGTCTCTTCTTCCTTGCTTACTGATTCACTAGCTGTCTCTTCTTCCTTGCTTACTGATTCACTAGCTGTCTCTTCTTCCTTGCTTACTGATTCACTAGCTGTCTCTTCTTCCTTGCTGAAGGATTCACTAGTTGTCTCTTCTTCCTTGCTTACTGATTCACTAGTTGTCTCTTCTTCCTTGCTTACTGATTCACTGGTTGTCTCTTCTTCCTTGCTTACTGATTCACTAGTTGTCTCTTCTTCCTTGCTTACTGATTCACTGGTTGTCTCTTCTTCCTTGCTTACTGATTCACTAGCTGTCTCTTCTTCCTTGCTGAAGGATTCACTAGTTGTCTCTTCTTCTTCTTCTTCTTCTTCTTCTGGGTCATCAGGAAAGGCTCTCGAATATTCCACGTGCAGAGGATCAACCTGTCCACTGCAAATATAATCAATCACAAATCTGACTTCAGTTGAATCACTTGGAGGAAGATTTGCAGATATTAAAATAAAAGGATATTTTCCATAAGATAACGAGTTATATTCAAAGATATATTGTTCTCCATTACAAGTTCGCTCTCCAGAAGTACCTTCATAATAAACAGGATATCCCCAAGCATTCAACAAGTCAGTTATTCCTTCCCTTGCTGTTGAACAATCCAACCCACCACTATCAGCAGTAACATACATGCCTAAGCTTATCATCGAGTAACCATGTGCACAGTGATTATCTGAAAGTATTATATCTACCTTATCCAGTGAGTCTGACACCCGAAACTGTTGGTTGTGGCCACGGTCATCAGTGCTTCTAAATTCCACCTTGGTAACAAGAAGTTCATTATCTTCATAAATAGTAAAATCATTGATCCCCTCTCTAATCGAACCAGCACATGAGATATCTTTGGGATCTTCAGTAAATCCAGCATTAAATATAATTGGAACTCTCAAAGTATCTTCAACAATAGTATCCTGTTCTATCTCATCCAGCAAGGTACAGTGCACTAAAGATCTTCCAAAGTAAATACTTTCTAATAATAGATCACAAGTACCATAAATGATAGATTCACCAGTATCTGAATTAGTTGAAGTCAAACACAATTTACCGACCCCAGTATCAAACTTGTAAACACAAGGAATTTCTAGAGTAAAAATGTCTCCTGGACTCATAATGGAACCGTCAATTTTCCAACTTACTGATGCCCACCACGTAGGAGTAAATGGAGTATTTTTCCAGAATAAACTCTCTCCTTCCCACTCTAACGACTCCAATGATTTGAATAAATGAGTGGTTTGAGATAAAACAGTTACCAATGAAAATGCCAAAAAAACTAAAGATGATATCATTGTTGCTTGTTTAACTTCCATAACTTGTTTCTGCGAAAGGGCTTTCCATCACTTCAAATCTCTTCCCTTTTATAGTAAGTTTCTGGAAGTATTTTAAAAATGAAACATCCAAGAACTCGGCATATTAGATTTATGCTCAGTGCTCATTTGCAGCCACCACAAATCCGTGAATCAGAAATCGCCGAGTCAAAAATTTCTCAAGGCACATATTTCTTGCAGCACATATTTTATGTCCTTGCTTTAAACAAGTTTAATTTGGGGTGTGATTCTCTAAAACATCTTATGCTGTTTCACCCACAACCCATTTTATTTTGGTAGCTTGCAATATTTCTTTAACTCGTCAAAGAAGTAAACATGCCCACCATAGGTATGTTTACAAGCGTAGCTTAAAAATATGCTTTATTCATGATTAAGCTATAAACTAAACATCGCGTTAGGGTTCTTTATTCTGGTTGCTTTGTGAATTATTTTAAATTATAGTCGTGATATCTGTTACTTAAATTCAAAGTGGCATGATCTGATTGGACCAGTGGTGGTTATGGAACTGTATAATTTTAACGTTTTCTAAAAATAGACCACAACATTATACCCAATATTTATACCTTTTTTTTTAAAGTTTATCTTCTAGATTTGAAATAGTAAACAATCTTTAGGAATTTTGTATTAGAAAACCAATTCCATTGAGTTAACAACAGTAAACAACACTCGAAGGGGCTATAAATAGTTATGAGAAAATAAAACTTTCAACTACTTCGCGTCTGACATAACTGATCAAATGTAAACAATGGTTTTTGTGCTTAAACTACCCTCTGAACAATGTTTACGTTTACAGATGTTTTTTGTTTTCTTTTTTGTTGTTTTTTTACAAAGCACGAACAGTTCAATCAAATTGAATGATATCTATATAGATAGGCATCATAGTATAAAGATCCATAAAAAACACCTTTGCTCTATTTTTTGAAGAAGCACTCTGTATGTTTTTTTATACACATTGGTGTACGTATTCTTTTTAAGCCTGACATGGACAATTTTGGATTCTTGGCTCATAATACAAAATACCCTATTTCTTGTTTAAATCTACTTATGTATCGAAAGATTTATAGGAAATATTGGCATCAATAACAATATTTATTAACAGTACAAACATATATATTTCAAGCATGGTCATAAACATATTTATAAAGACTTTCACTTCATAGAGTTAACTAAAATACAAGAAAGTTGATCAAACAGGCAAGAAGAATAACCAAATAGGGGAAGCTAGAACTAGAAGCATTTCCCGATTCAATCTCTATACCCTTTTCAATTACAGCATCTCTAGTTGGATCCGTACTTGTAACAATATTCTCTGTATCACCCGAGAGGTGACCCTCAAAGGTACCTACAATTTTCCCAGATTTAGTACTATACATGGTCTTCAGCTCATCATATGTAGCAACCACGGTAGCAATTGGAATCTCAACAGCAACAGTTACATTGTCATCGATATCTGGATTGAATGGTAATGTAGTGACACGTGTAGTCAAGCCAGTCCATGTACCAGTTATAGTAACAGTAGTATGGCTTCGTATACTATTTCCAGCCAGATCAACATTATTTGACAGTTGTATCGGACGATATTCAATAACCGTAACAGTAGAACCGGGTCCATCAGAAATGGTAGTGTATGAGGTACTAGTTCCTCCATATGTACTGGCTATTGTAACAGTAGGAGTTGGAACTACTACTATCTCTGTAACTGTCTCATTAACTCCAGAATCATTGGATAACGTAATCAGCTGAGTACCTGAGCCAGTCCCTGTTCTAGTTTCAGTAACAGTTGCTGGTGAGTTACTGGTAGTGTACCTGTTCAGAGTTGTACTAGTTCCAGATTCTTCCCTTTCAGTGGATTCACCAGATGCTCTAGTCCAATCAGTTTCACCTTCAATGATCAGCAATTGACTCTCAAAAGTATGTTCACTTAGTGGTGCAGTCCATTCTGTTTCTTCATCTTGGTTGGAAGATTCAATTACCGTAGAAATCTCTTCGGAGGCATAATCAGGAACAAATTCAATTACCGTACCAGTTGATCCAGGTTCGGCAGTAATGGTAGTATAAGAAGTTGTCTTTCCGTCGTATGTTGACGTTTCAGTAACAGTAGGAACAGGGACTTGAACAATAATAGTCATGGTCCTATCAAGATTTGGATCAAAGGTGACTGTGCTTACTTGAGTTGACAGTCCAGTATATGTTTGGGTCACTAGATCAACCGCATCCACATCGGGACCAGGATCATCATTAGCATACGTACCTGAAATCAGGCTTGTCGTCCTATAAGCATCACCTCCCCCATCGCAGTTGTAAATGGTTGATAAAGTTATGAAATATGGCTGACGATTGGGAAGTTTCACCGATATATAAATAAAAGGAAAGCCCGGAGGTACACCTCTGCGAAAATCATAAGCAAAAAGCGTATTATCACAAATTGGAATTGGTTCTAAAAGCTTCTCAAAAGTAGTAGGAGCTCCCCAAGCATTCAATTCATTAGTTATTCCCACTCCCATTGAGTTGCAATCAAATCTGCCGCCAGGTGTTTCAAATTCCATGACTAGACCAAGAAGGCTGAGACCTTCACCACAGAGATCAAAGTTATCATGTACCAAGATTAATTCTGCTTTGTTCAATACTGATGATTCCCGAAACATTTGGGTCCTGCCTTGGCCAAATTCTGCCTCGGTTGAAATAATAGTATCTCCATCTGAGAAGGAAATCATATTAGTCCCTTTTTGAAACATAGAAGCACATACCAAGTCCACATTTGATCCTGCGAATCCAATATTAAATATAATTGGAACGTTCAAAGAACCGAATACGTGAGTCAGAGCTTGTACCTCTTCCAGCAAAATACATTGTAGCTCTGAAAATGAAACCACGACATCTCCTGAAATTAGATTACAAGCAGCATAGGTAATAGGATTACCAGTATCTGGATTTACTGTAACCAAATCTAGTTGATCTTCCAGAGTAGCAAACTTGAAAACACACGGCATGTGTAAGGTAAAAGTGTCTCCAGAGTTCATAATAGAACCATCTATTTCCCAACTTAATGATGCCCACCAAGTAGGATAAGCTGGCATAGGTTCCCCTTTTCCTTCCCACTCTAGAGAATCAAATGAAGTAAACACTCCAGTGATTTGTTTAGACAAAGTAATTGACAATGAAAAGGTTACAAGTATCAAATATGATATCATTTGTTTTGTTTTTGTTTCGTTAATTATCCAAGGGCATTTTCTTTCCGTGGAAAATCAATCCTCTTTTATAGATGGTAGAAACTTGGTTAAAATATGAAACAATTCGGTACTTAGTAGTTTTGATAATAAACCCGGGGCACGTTTGCACAGCAGATGTAATCATTGAATCAGACGTGATAGTGTCACAAATTCCTCATAACCAGCGCGTTCATTTTTGCTTAGCATATCTTTTACCTTCTTGTTTAAGAAGAAATTACACGAGACTGGATAATAAGATCTCATGTTGAAATGCTACAAGGTTAATTGCATTTCAATCAACTTAAATTTTTGTTCTGTTTTGTTTTGTCTCAAAGTAACATATATTTATGAAGCCGTAAAAAGGGATATTTGGGCATGTAATAAATGCATTCACCTCATGCTTAAAAACTGAAAACCATCATGCATTGTTGTTTAGGTTAGGAATATATAAGACACATGTCGCGTCATGTGTTTGTTATTTTTGTCTATTTCATTCAACCAAAACAAGCACCAGATATGTGTTGCTTCATTCTATATTTCGCGTTATTTGAGTATAGCCATAGTGGTTATGAGAACACACTTACCTCTTGGTATGTGCTATTAAATATAAATATTATAGTGCAGGTCCGATAGTTTCTCCTTTTAAAGTTTAGCTCCTACACCTTCAAAAGGTATTCTTTTTCGAATTTGTAATTAAGAAACTTCCTTCTGTTGAGTTCACAACAATTAAATTACGAAAGGGTGTTTATATTACCGCGAGTAAGCTGATGTTAAAATAGAAGTTTCAACTATTTCTTATTGTATATCACTAATCCAACCGAGATTACCTGGTGGTTGGGAATTTCTACACGAACAAACTCTTTGTTGAAAAAGTACAAGTATAAAAAAATTATATTTACAAAACATTCCACATTAATAAATACTGATATCAGCAGAAAATCACAACTTGCTAGCAAGCTTAACTAATTCACCAGCACTAACAATGGTGACCTTTTCAGTCAATTTACCCATCTTGGATTTTTCAGCAAAATCCACAGCTACTTTTGCAACATCAGCACCTTCAATTGGATGTAACACAGGAGCAAAAAATGTACCCTTAGTAGCTCTTCCAATAGTATTAACAGCTCCATTGGCCCATCCATGAGCACTTTCTCTCTCACCAAGTAATGCTCCAGGACGAAGAATCACAGTATGTTCAAATCCAAGTGCAATTACATCATCTTCCAACTTTCCCTTTGTTTGAGGATAAAGGAACCAAGATTTGGCATTGGCACCAATAGAACTAACCAACACTGCGGTTTTAACTCCATTTTCTTTAGCTGCTTTGAAATTTTCGTAATTGATTCCGTAATCGATTTTTCTAAAATTCTCAGCTGAGCCTGCTTTGGCTCTTGTAGAACCTAATGCCGAAATGAAAGCATCAATTGGTGTGGATTTGGATTCATTAGCAATAACTTCTGGCCACTTGGAAGTGTCTGGTTCCTCAATGACAGATATTTTGGAACCTTCTAATTTGGAATGGCGTCTGATTAATGGAATTACTTTTTCAAAAACTGAGGACTTCTCACCGTATTTAACAACTTCTGCACCAACGAGTCCAGTAGCACCTAATATAAATAGACTCATTTTTAGTATTTAATATTAATTTAAAGTAAAAGAAAGATGGCAATTAATTAAACTTGATAATTGTGGTGGCAATAGGGAGTATTTATGTACAATGAAACAAAAAAAAAATAATAAAATACGGAGTTAAATTCGCACAGTTGAAGAAAACCGGGAAGATTCCCTAATCAAAGTAAAAATTGGTAGAAGTTGAATAGTACAACTGTCACTTACGCCAGCAATGTTTAATCGGAAGTGTGATATGATTCTTTGAGAGAATTCTAAAATCGATGCTGTACTCCGCAAACGAAGTTATAACAAAGTGGAAGGATATATGTTGTACCTTTGGATTCCATGAACAAAAACTGTCAAAAAACATCCCAAAAATTGAGGACAGTACATAGAGTTAGGTATATATCAGGATTAAACACTAATATAGACTCAATTTAGTTCTAAAGATATGTCCTGGGTGTTTTGTTGTTTGTTTTTTTTTGAATATCGAAAGGTTTAGATTTAGCTTGCCTTTGAAACATATTCACTAAATGCCAACTAAATCAACTACTAACTACAAAAATATTGAATGTACCAGACATCAGGTCATCACCATTTCATGGATCAGCCTGACCTAGTGGAACTAGCGGCGACCTCTAATAGCGATGGTTTTAAAGCTGGAAGCGTTTCCAGTACACTTGCGTGTCTGAAACTCACTTGGGGTTAATCTGGAAAGTTTAACCCGATATCTCATATCTGATTAGCTCCTAAATGTTAACGCTAACGGCTTATTGATACAAGAATCAGTTAAGAAATCCCGTGAAGAAGAAAGGAAATACAAATGAATAAATTTTGCACATTGAAAATTTTTTATTGTATTGAGTATTGCGATTTCCGGGTAACCACGCAACACTTAAAACAAATCGGGGCTGGGAAATTTTTAGTATGAATGATATTTTTCTGGTGCCTTCCAAATGAAACATGAAAACACTTCTTCTTTCTCTGTGTTCTTTATTGTTTATACACCAAGGGCCAAACGACATATTGCACATCATCATCGAAATATATGTCAGACTTATCGGCGCAACTTTCTGCATTCAAGAACAAGATCAAGAGTGGACCTTCGGTAACGGCTGCTCGTAAGCCAGTTCTTAACAAGGTACCTTCCCCCATATCGAGTCCTGTTAAGAAAAATGGCGATACATCAAACGGAGTAGTCAAACGAAGTGGTGCCAGCTCATCTGATTCTATGACAGAAGTTTTAAAACGGCAAAAGTTATCTTCAAATTCCATTGGAGAAATGTCAGGTTCACATTTATCCACTCAGTTACATTTAGCTGTGGAATTCATTAAAGAGCATGATGCTCCTGTTCCAGTATCTAAATTGCAAAACTATTTGTCGTTTGATATAACCCACACCTTATTGCCATTACTTCGGGAGATTGATAGAGTAAAATATGACGCTAATAATGGCACTTTAGAGTACGTATCATTACATAATATTAGAAGCGCAGATGACTTGTTAGAATTCCTAAGACGACAGACCACGTTTAAAGGAACCTCAGTAAAGGAGTTGAAGGATGGTTGGGCTGGGTGCTTGACTGCCATCAATGAATTAGAGGCGGAAAACAAGATTTTGGTTTTACGGAATAAAAAGGAAAATGCCCCTAGATTAGTATGGGCCAATGCAGGCGGGGAATTGGGTACAATCGAGAACGAGTTTAAAGATATGTGGGTTAAGGTTAAACTTCCTGAGCCCGATGCTTTATACCAGGCTTTATTAGATCAAGGATTAAAACCAACAGGTGCTGATCCTAATTTGATCAAGAAGAAGCCACAACAGCAAGAAAAGAAGCAGAAGAAGGCAAGAAGAGGAAGAATTACAAATGTTCATATGAAGGGAATCTTGAAGGATTACTCTCAGTTAGTGTAGACACGTTTGCAATTCTCAGATTGCTAAAGATATATTTTTATATATTTTCAAATGAGGGAACTTCTTAGTTGAAGTATACCTTGTTTGAGACGGAGGAGAGGTGATTTCTATTCATATAAACTAACACAGGTATATACAAGATAATACAATAATGAGGAACTGATTATGTGTATAAGACATATTAGTCTGAGATGTGCGCGTCGTTCAGTATATTTCAGCACCTGCGATTTTTTTTCCCCTTCTTAGAACGCAATAGAACCAGCTCCTTCGATTTAACGATATCAACGTGGAAGATCATCATCCAAGCAATTAAAACAAGTACATAATGTCTGGTATGTAAAAGATGATGAATAATAAGAACGCTCAATAAGCTGTATTGATAGGGGTAGGGAAACTTTTCACTGCACATCTTACGTGAGCTTGCGTTAGCACATCTGATGTTTGGCAACAAAGTACTAACACTCACATTTCAGTCGACTTCAACACTGTTGCCACTGAATTCTGTAACTTCTACTATCAACAATTCGATTCTGATAGAACTCAATTGGGTAACTTGTACAGAAATGAATCCATGTTAACTTTTGAAACCTCCCAATTACAAGGTGCTAAGGACATTGTTGAAAAATTAGCTTCCTTACCATTCCAAAAGGTTAGTCACAGAATTTCTACCTTGGATGCTCAACCAGCTTCTCCAAATGGTGATATTTTAGTTATGGTTACTGGTGAGCTTTTGATTGACGAAGAACAAAATGCTCAACGTTACTCTCAAGTATTCCACTTGATCCCAGAAGGTAACTCCTACTATGTGTTTAATGATATTTTTAGATTGAACTACTCTTAGATCTGTGTTCTAACTTAATATATATATCACATTTAATATAAACTAGTTCCTCTGTGTGTGGTAAAAGCATGTGCCTTACGGTTGCTTGGAGATCTCACTCCCTTTCTCCCCCCTGGCCAACCGAAAAATTGACAATGAATTTACTACACGAAGTCGTTTTAAAGGTAAACAATCCAGCGAACGTAAACCAATATATTCAACATGCTGGAATTAAAGTCAGATTCACCAGTTCCGACTGAAAAAGACACAATTGAAACCGATAATGATTCAATCACGAAGGTAGATACACATGAACCACTAGTCCCACCACGGCCCCCTAAGACCAGGCCACCCAAGAAGGAAGCTTCAGCCGACATTCCATCCCCAATTGAACCCGATCAAAGTGATAAACCAATCCCACTGATTCCTGAACGTCCAAAATCAACTAGTGTCAGAGTTGCTACTCCTGAACCTGGCACTATTCCAATTATCCCTAAACGCCCAGAGAGCAAAACTGGCGCGTCTAGCTCTCCTATTCCAGTTATTCCTGCTCGTCCAGAAGGGAAGAGTAGTGTTTCTTCGTCTCCAGTTCCAACTATTCCTTCATCTCGTCCAGTAAAGCAAGTTGTTATGGCACCTGAAAAGAAAGAAGAGGTTAACGAAAATGACGGCTCCACGACTCCCAATAAGATTCCTGAACATCATGATGTCACTGACCATTTACATTCAACATTGAACACAAGTGATGCAATTGACTTTGATGGAGATACAACTCCTGGTAATTCCAATACTAAAATCACATTTAAGGATGAAGTTGATGACGAAGCCCAATTAAGATCGGATACTTCTAGTTTTGACGATGATGTTGAAACTGTCAAGGATAAAGATGTTGATAATACCGAAGTAGTTGGTGAAACCGACGAAGAAGATACAAGGGAACAAGAAGTGTTTCAACAGGACGAAGAACCAGTTGAGAAACCAGAGGTTGACTCTGAAGACGAGACTGAACCTATTCAAGAAGAACAAAAAGAGGAACCAGCAGTTGAGGAACCTAAAGAAGCAATTGAAGTTGACAAAAAGGAGGAAGTTACTCAAGTAGAAAAGGCAGAAGGCCAAGACAAGCTGAAGGAGGTTGTCGAAGAACAAGTCAAGGAAGAATCCAAGACTGTGGAGGAAACTGAAAAGCATGTGGAAGAAGTCAAAGAAGATATCGACCCAAAGCAAAGCGAGATTACAGCAACAGTTAAAGAACCAATTGCAGAAGTGAAAGAGACACAAGAACAAAAACCAGTTACTCCCACAATTCCTTCTCGTCCACCTAAGAAATCACCAGAATTGGCCAAAGTCGCTTTGAACGAGCCTAAACCGTCCATACCACCACGTCCATCCAAGAATATAGAAAGCCCTAAACCTCAAAAGGCACCTCCTCCAAAGCCCAAGAAGTTATCTTCAAGAATTGCAGCCTTCCAACAACAATTATTTGAACAATCTTCCAATGATGCTAGCAATGCACCACCTCCTATTGCAAGAAAACTCACTTCTGAAAAGACTGGCTTTATGTCCGGGGTTGGAATTCCATTACCTGGTATGTTTAATCCTTTGCAGTTAAAGAAACAACAAGAGGCAGCTAACGAACAAGAAGAAGAAGAAGAAGAAGATTCAAGTGCTGTTGAACGTAAAGTGGAACCTGTTGCTTCTGCTAGAAGAGCAAAGGGACCTCGCGGAAAGAGATTGCCTAAGGCATTACTGGAACCTGTGAATATTGAAACTGAAAGTAGATTCAAATTGGAAACAGGTGAACTCTTTTCACTTCTGTTTACCAAGAAAGAGGAACCAAAGGAAGAAGTGAATGAGGAAGATAAAGACCGGCTTGAAGAGGAGAAGGATGTGGTAGCTGATGAAGATATTGCTGTTGAAGAATCATCTAAAGGGAATGATAATGATATCAATGACGTAGCTGGAAAGCCAGATTTAGTCGATGAAGAAATTGACAAGGAAGATAGCACTTCATTCAGTGAAATTGAGAAAGAAAACGAAATTGAACCCGTAATTGAAAAGGAAGAAAAAGAATCTGATTCTACTGAATATTCCAAGGAAAATAACCAGGTTGTGGATCATGATAATGTAGAAATAGACGAAGAACCAGAATTACATGATACTGCTGAAGATCTGAAGACTTCTGATAAAGAGCAAGAACAGGAATCTAGTGTAGAAGAAGAAGAAGTCATATCAAAAAGAGTTTATCTGGAAGGAGAGGTTGTCAACGCAGAATCTGGTAAAGTCGGTGAATCCAGTAAGGAGATTGACGAAGAAGATGAATTAAAGTTCAATTAGGTTTCAAGTGTGCATGGCTTATGGAGCAATTGGTTCCCCCTCCCGCCTCACGGTAGTGGGCAGGGGGTAAATAGAAGCTACATAAAATTGAATTATGAATTCGAAAATTATTCATTTGTTGCTACATGTAGATATTTTTTATCACTTGGTTTCATCCCTGACCCGTGGTCTATCCTTGGGATATCTCGGTATATACTCCGTAGATTCCCTTTTATCTTTGTTTATACTCTTATCTTCAAATTTTCCGATTTCTGATTCCTTGGCAGAATCATTCGTTAGCTTTTCTCGCAATGCTTCTACTCTTTTATCAATTTCATCTTCATCCATATCTTCGTCTTCTAGTTTATCTCTCAATTCACTGCATTTCACTTCGATACTTCGTAAATCGTCATGCCTGAGAATTTCCTGTTTTGCTTGCTGACGATTTATCTGCTCGATGATCAATTTCCCCTTTGATTCTTGCTTTGTTTTGTTTAATTGGCTTTGGCGGGATTCATAATATCCCAGGCGTTTCTTATTGCTGGCCAAATTCTTTTGCACATACCCTGAAGTGCCTGACCCTCGTGCTGTCGGTAAGCCTATTCCATTGTATGACATGATGTGTAAAGTGTGTGATGTAATCCCTGCGGCAACGTAAAAGGCTTGGTAACCCTTTGTTTCTAAATATTTTCTACGAGTATCCACAGAAACAGGTATACCACCTGGTGTGGTTTCTTTAAGATATGGCAGAAAATAATTTTGGTTAGAGAAGAGATTACAAGATTAGAAAAGACAACACAAAAGAAACAACACAAAAAAAAATTTTTCGAAGTCCAGAACAATAACGTTTCATACACAATGGCTTGTTTCATGGTACAATGCTGGGAGGAGAGTGTCAGATCATTATAAGTGATCCTTTAATTTAACTAATACGGGATAAAACACGCGTTTACAAATTTGTGTCAAACGCATACGCCCCGTTTTCTGATAGATTTTTTAAGGTACTTTATTAATTAAAATTTTTTTACAACCACCCATGCATTTCCGCTGTTTTCATTGTCTTTGGGTCAACCTTCCTGTATAGTGGGATACCTGGTGCTAGTTTTTGTTGATTCCTTAATCTCATTCCCAACTATTTTAAATGCCGGCTTGAGCCTCTTTTCACTTTGTGCTATTAATTTACTGGATCTAAACCTGAAATAGATTCATTATAAAGGATCGAATTTTTTTCCATCACACTTTGTTCGATTCTTCTTTTACTCGCCATACGTCAGAAGAGATCACAAGATACAAGCTGTCTAAGCATAGCATGTCCAAAGCATCACTACAAAGAATGCCAAGAAGTATATCACGACTTGTCATTATACTAATCTTTATTGCATTTTTCATTTTTTACCCTTCATATAATGTCACCAGCACATCCCAATCTCCGGCCAGTTGGAGTTTAGTCAACGATGACACGGCAGAAAAGGAACAATTGCAGCAAGAAATGCAACTACTGAAACTTTTGCAAGATGAGGTTGATGTTGAAATGGAGCAAATTTCAACAAACGTCAATGAAGAAGACGACGAAGCTTCAGAAATAACCTCGTCTGCTCATGCGTTTTGGAAAAGAATATTCAATATCTTTGATCAGAATAAGATTGTGATCTCGGGTGATATAAGTCAAGCTATTGTATACACCGAAAAGGATCGCCAGAAGCAAGGTGCTGCCACTAGAGAGGCCTTGCTTTCTCGTGCTAGCATACACCTTGCGGTAATGGAGGAGCTTATTGAGAAACATAGTAGTATATCCAAACAATTGCCTTCAAAAATTGCCCAATCTACATACAAGAAGAATTCCAAGGGTGTTGTTCTTATTGGGGGCACCAAGTTTTCCTGGCTTTCATACTTGGCTATAGTTGCCCTTCGAGAAACTGGATCAAAACTTCCGGTCGAATTAATCATGCCCACCAAAAATGATTTCGAGCGAGAAACTGAATTGTGTACTAAATTGTTACCTCCTTTACAAGCAACTTGTGTGGTTGTTCCTGATGTCTTGGGTAAAGCAGTTATGAAGGAACATGCTTTTTCCAAATATCAATTCAAAGCCCTCGCATTAATGGTTTCCTCGTTTGAACACATACTTATGTTGGATTCCGATAATATAATTGTATCCAATCCAGATCCAATCTTTGAAAGCAAATTGTATCAATATTATGGTATGATTACCTGGCCTGATTACTGGAAACGAACCATTTCTCCTAAATTTTATGAAATTGCTGAACTTGAAGTTAATCAACAAAAAAGAGTTAGATATGGAAGATTCCCCTTGTACACTCCTCCTAACGTAAAATCCAACTTGATGAATGCTGAAGAAGAGCAAGTTCCTTATCATGACTTGGAAGGAGCCATTGCTGATTTATCCACCGAATCGGGACAATTGATTATTAACAAGAGAAACCACGGAAAAACATTACTTCTTGCGCTTTTCTATAATATTTACGGTCCTGATTTGTTTTATAAACTATTCGCCTTGGGTGAACAAGGGGAAGGTGATAAAGACACGTTTGTCGCTGCTGCTTTAGTCTCGGGACAACCATATTATCAATTGAAGTCATTCATCAAAACTTTTGGGTACCTTGATGATGATAACAATTTCCAAGGTGTAGCGATGGGTCAAAAGAATCCAATTGTTGATTATCAATTATTCCAAGATCTAATTGTCAAGCCATTTTCTGAGGATGAAATCCGAGATTTATCCATCCAGGATCAAATCGCCAGGCTTGAAAAACTCGAAAACGAACAGTTTCATAACAATAACGACAATCCATTATTTACTATCCACTGTAATTATCCAAAGCTTGATCCATTGCAGTATATGGAACGTGATGATCTATATGATAAATCCAATAAGAAGCTTAAACATAGGCTATATGGTGGGTTAACATATCAAAAATACATCACGAATAAAGACGGGAATAGAGTAATGGCTACAGTTGATTTTGAATATGAACAATGGACACATATGCAAGATATCTTGTGTATTCAAAAACTTGATTTTGTTCATTTCAAAGACGCCAACATGGAAGAGTTGTGTGAATTGATCAAGAATCAAGTTGAAGTGTTGGCATTGTAAGGCTTGGGCTCTTTTTTTTATAGAGATATAATATTATAACAAGCAGTCATTCTATTATAACAATACACTCTACTTTGTATCTAAAACTTGTTGAACTGAATCAACAACTGAATCTTCAAGAGAGATAAAGTCAAATCCAACAAGGGCTTTAGTTCTTGAATTGTCATACTTGTGAGAACCCTTGAGTTGTTCTTCACTCTTCTTCAAGTCACCTCTTGGAATAGGCAACTCGGGGAAATGTCTGTTGATATAATAAGCAATCTGTTCATTACTAGCAAGACTGGTAATCATCAATAATCTCTTATTAATAGCTTCATCCTTTTCAAAAGCAATAAGGTGTGCCCGAGCGACATCTCTAACATCAACGAATCTACCAGCAAACACTGGGATATTATCGGTAGGTTTTAACTTCAAAACCTTGTTGACAACCTCAGCCGACAAGTTTAATTGGTTCTTATCCTTGATGGCATAAGCCTGAGGACCAAAGACGAACAGGGGATTAACGAATGAGATAGCAAACTTTGGCTTCTCATTCTCTACGAATTCAACCGCGGCCAATTCAGCAAACTTCTTCGATCCATAGTATCCATTCCTAGCATTGAGTAAACTTTCTTTGTATTTGATTGGATTCCAACTATCTTCATCATAAACCTTATCCTTTTCGAAATATTCATCAAACCCAAAAACAGCACCCAAGGAAGAAGTGATGACAACTCGACCAACTTGAGGAGCATAGGTTTTGATTGCGGTAAGGGCATTCTTGGTTCCTTGGATGGCAGGGAGGATGATATCCCGTTCGATATCATCAGCTTGGAATGTCACTGGGGAGGCAGTATGAATAAATACAGTAACATCGGGGTGTTTCTTGAGTGCGTCGTCGAATGCACCTGGTGCACTGATATCACTAACTACTTCATAGGAAAACTTGTTCGATTGGGTTAATTCTTTAAGGTACTCTCCCTTGTTGGCAGACCTAACTGATCCAACGACAGTATGTCCCTGTTCAAGAAGTTGCTTAACTATGTGTTGAGCAATATATCCGTTAGCACCGGAAACGAAAATAGTAGTTGTGGAAGTCATTTAATTAATTGATTAATGATAATTACAAAAAAAAAGAGGAAAACATGTTTGAAAAGGAGAGTATCATCTATTTATATCCCTTCAATGTACTTGTTCAGAAATAGCGAAGCTAAATTGTTGCGGCATCAAGTACAATTATAGCACGGAGATAGTCCGAAGAGTGCCAATCTCCATTGTTATAATGACAAATAACAGTTGTATAAGCCTATCGGACTTTATTAAAACGGCTATGTCCGCGACCAAAAAATTGGTAGCATTTGGTTGCTTTTTTATCTGACTAATTATGGTGGCTTATATCAAAAATGTTTTGATTAGTAACAACCCCTATGACGTTAGAGCCTCATGTGTGGCAGGATATGATAAGGATAGGATTTGTCATCTTATCTTTACAGGCATAGTAAAGCGGGGTTTGTTTGAAGGAGATTATGGTGGATAACTTGTTTAATCTGTTGAATCGAATAGAGATATGCTAAATTGTTTTAGTAAGCAAATTATAAAGCAGGTTGGATTACTGAACTTGCAGAGTTGGTGCTTCCAACTAGTTTATCCGGATCTACGGAAATTCTGTTGTTATTAAGGCGTACGGAAGCAAGTTTTGGTCAGGACCATAAATGCCATGTCGACTTGCCAATTAAAATTAGCTAGATTTGATATTCAGAAGGGGGGAGGTAGACTAGCTCTGGTATTTCAATGTTTGCTCTTGTTTTACTCTAATCTTGTGGGGTTGGTTTGTGTCATTTTTCGCAGCCATGACGAATATGTTTCTCATAGTTCTTTGTTGCAAACGAAGATACCGTATTAGGAAATAAGCTATATACTTGCTCAAACAGAAGATCAGAGGTATATGTAAGAGTCAGAATGCAGTGTTCTTTGCTGGTTACTGGGACCAAACTGAAACACAAATCAAAACCTAAAAGCATGGTTGTTCCTGAAGATACGGATGGCAATGTTGGCTCATAACCTTATTCATACAACAACCATAATTCACGAGCACGGCTATGTCGCCTTTTGGTCTTCGTTACCAGTTACCTAACACGAGGTCATTAAAGATTTGAAACTAGATAAAATTCCAGCCAAGAAAAAAAAAAAAACCAGTTGGTGGTGCATGTATTCACTATCTTTTTCCCCACGATTGCCGTTGTTCCCCATGGGTAATATAACAAACAAAAAAGAAAAAAAGTTTAATTGGGAATTTAGCCTATGGTGCAGATAAACCTGACAGTATCCCACCCATGGGTCATCATCGGAGGGATGCACTGGGTATGGCGGATGAATTATGAAATTTGGTGATCATTTAGTGCCGTGTCAGATGAGCGATTTAATAATTTATCCGTTGTGATGATCGTATAAAATAAGACGGGGAGAAGGTACCACAATAGGAAACAACGGCATGAAATGAAAACACACCGTGTAATTTTGACGTACTTAGGCTCATTTAAAGTAGCTCCCAGAAAATAAATCTCCAGTTGCTAATTGGTGCCTACTTGTAACCAGGCTATGTACCAGGTGTTTTACTAAGAAAATTGATGATTTTTTGGAGAAATGTAAAAAAATATCCAACTTAGACAACGAAAAAGAAAAAAAAAAAATAACATGACTTAAAAAGAAATAGTGAGTAATCTAAAAAACCTTACTTCGCAAGCACAGACCGGAAAAAAAAAGAACAAAACAAAAAAAGAAAGGTTAAAAAAAAGGGTATCCTGGTATAACCAGGGAAATTATCAAGACATTTAAGTTCAGTTCCGGAATTAGATGATTAACTTTTGCAAACAAGGATAAATTTAAACCTCTGTGAGCTGTGAAATTGCAATGGACACTTTTCGATTGTTCCAATAATTTTTAACCACCGCATAAGGTCTATGCATGATATCATTAGGTTAAATTATTAATTAATCTAATAAAAATTAAATAATAATTCTCACACCAAAACGGGTCCAGATTTTTTAAATTACTCGACATTTTTTATTTTGCTTATAATAATACAGAAAAAAGTCGGGCTTTTTTTTTTACACACACGCAAATCGTATATCATACAATCCCCACCTTAGCCCCCACACTTAACACAACCAACGTCCTATTAACACGTACTTCCTTTTCAGTTTTAGACAACATTTATTTCGTGACTTTCCATGTTTAAAATCCCCTTGGGAACGTCTGCATTTTCTGATACAAACAACGCTGTCACCAGCAATAATAATACTTTACAACCCACGTTCGTCCAAACTATGCATCCTAGGAGTTTTAGTTTTGATAGAATAAAAAGTAAAGTAACAGGGAGGCATGACGCCACCCTGGAAACCAACACCAATAGCAACAGACGCAACAGCATGGCCACGGTTCTGCACCAACCGCAGCAGCAGCAGCAGCAGCAGCAACAAAACCAGCATCTTGCATCTCAACCAAGTCCCACGAGACGAGCACAATCAATATCGTTCATGCCACCACCGACAAGATCACGCTCCCGATCCATATCGAAAACAAACCAGCCTACGCTTCACTTGAACCCGTTCAAATCAACCACTAAAGAACTCGTAAAACAAGAAACAGCCCAGATAATCCTGAAGAAACTTGTCAATATGTTGCTGGATTTAGGATTACAGTACCCGATCCCATTAAGGACAACCACCCTGGGATCCCCTTCTAAATCCATCAAGATTTACGTGGCCAACACTAATGACTGTTTGTACTTACCTCCAGCTAGTTCCACCAGTTTCACCTACGAAGATGTTGAAAACGGTGGTGCTGTCCCTATACTTGAAGACGACGACGACGACGACGACGACGACAACGTATTTGGATCGAGAGCATCAGTTGACTCCCCCGTGTTGGGCACATCCGAGCCGGAACAGCAGCCTACTTTGCATTCAAAAATGAAATCGTTCAAACTGCCAAACTATTTGTGTTCGAAAATCGATTCCGAACATCCTATACCTCACACATTTGCCGTGGTTATCGAACTCACCAAGGAATCCACCACAATTAAAGATGTCACTTTTGAGTTTCAATCACTCACACAGATCCTTTGGCCTAATGGTGATCTATACAATAAGGCATTTGCCAAGGAAAGTTTTAAAATCGGGTCCTTGCAATGGAAAACAAGTTTGTCCGAAGCAGACTACTATATCAACAATTTAAATTCCAACGAAGTTAAACTGAAAAATATCACGCCGGAAGATTTAGCTAAACGAACCCGAGAATACCACTTGGTGGACATTCGCGAATTAGACTCGGCTGGGTTGAAGGAGTATAATGAACGTGCCTCAAGTTCTTCGTCATTCTTAGACCTTCTGGAAACTACTTCAAACACTGGCAATTCATCAAGCCATGGTGATTCATATAAAGCTGGTCTTTATGTGTTTCTCTTACCTATTCTCCTACCAGAACATATTCCAGCTTCGATCATCTCAATCAATGGTACCCTCGCTCATACACTTTCTGTGAATTTCAACAAGATTAGCGAGCGACTCAATCGGAAAATTAAGGTTAATGCGTCATACAACTTACCTATGGTTCGTACTCCGCCAAACTTTGCTAATTCAATCGCAGACAAGCCAATTTATGTCAATAGAGTATGGAATGATGCTGTTCATTACATTATAACATTCCCGAAAAAGTATGTCTCATTAGGTAATGAACATGTAATCAATGTGAAATTAGTCCCGTTAGTTAAAGATGTCATTATCAAGCGAATCAAGTTTAATGTATTGGAGAGAATCACTTATTTGTCTCGCGATTTACGTCGTGAGTATGATTATGATAGTGAGAATCCATTTTTGGCCCATGCACCCTCAGATAAGGTGCGTGAACGAGTTATTTCATTGTGCGAATTAAGAACAAAGAACAAGAGTTCATCGAATGGGTTTACTGATCCGTTCAAAGAAGAAGTAATTAAATGTCCTGATAATAATTTGTTATATACTTGTTATGAGCCAGAAGACAAAATTGGAGAGTCTCCACCTGCTTCACCAGGAAAGCACAGAAAACACCTGCATGTAACTACTCAGAGAGCTATGATTGCATCTCCATTAGATATTAATATCGCCCTTCCTTTCTTGACTTCAAGAACAGATAAGTTAATGATGACTGCTTCTTCGCAGGATGACGAACCTGATAAACCAAGATCAAGACGAGCATCGCTTATAATGGACGGGTTTGAATCAACCAAGGAATCATCGGTGATTGGTACTTTAGAAACCAATTTAATCAACCACGATGAAGTTGGACCTCATGAATTGATCAAACCAAGTTCTTCAACCTATGTTTCTGACGATTTATCTGTTAAGCATCGACCACCAGAAAACATCCAAAAGGGATTCACTATTCTTTCACGGGCACTTTATCCTGATTCCAATTACCGTCATATTCAAATAAACCACAGGCTACAAGTTTGTTTTAGAATATCCAAACCTGATCCTAAGGATAATTATAAAATGCACCATTATGAAGTCGTCGTGGATACTCCATTGATCTTGTTGAGTTCAAAGTGTAATGATGGATCAATGCAATTGCCAAAGTATGACGAGATAGATATAGCTGACATTGTTGCTGAACCAGCCAGTCCCAAGATATCTTTCCGCACGCCAAATTATCAACATAACGGAGTTACAATCAAGCAATGGGATCAAGATGTTACACATGAAGAGTATTTGCCCACGTTTGAAGAGGCGGTGAAGCAACCACTGGGATCAAGCACCACACCAAGTCCCAGCCCTGTGGTTAGATCTATGTCTATCGAGGAAGATCCATTGAGTAGAATACCCTCGATTTCTTTGCCTCCTGGCGTGAACAGTGATCCTCCGGCATATGAACCGCCCAGTGATAAACTCATTGATGAAGTTGTGAGTTCCTCGAGCGAGGGGGATGGCATGCCTGGTCCTTCGCGAATGAAGGCAAGTTTATCGAATTCGTTTGCCAAGAAGATCGAGCTTGAGGATGATGGTAGTATTGATTCTAACTTGTCATCGCATTCTTCTGATGGTTCGTCGTTCATTGTCGGCACGTCGGAGTCCTCAGTGCAGGACACTCCTGATTTATCGGCGAGTTTATCCGCACCACCAGCGATAAATGTCAGCTCACCTGAGGAAGGTAATGAAGAGGAAGAAGAAGAAGAAGAAGAGCTGCTGGTTGTTTACTTAAACGAGAACAATGCGAGTAAGGTGATGAACAAAGCCATCAGTGAGTTTGCCATTGATGATGACGACGAGAGACGTGATGAAATAATTACTAGTGTTGACAACAGCTAGCTAACGATGTCATGACGATTTTATAGAAAACAACAAGAGTATTTAGATTTTAATGTATAATGTTTCATATCAATGTTTCATGCTCATATTAGCATGTGTTGCTCGTATAGTTTAGCAGCAGCTGTTAAATTTTCGCACCCTATAAATATCAGGCCATCGAACCAACAACAGCTCGAGCATTTCCAACCACAGCAGCAGCAACAACAACAACAACAACAACACAGTCCATGTCTTCGTTATTACCGGCCAATTCAAAAGTAGCAGTTCTAGGAGCAGGTATCCTGGGCTTGTCATTCACTTATTTCCTCAGCAAGCTCCGTCCTGATTTGCAATTCCACGTATTTGAAAAATCAAGCAGGCCAGCTGGATGGATCAACTCATCTTACTTGCACGTTGACTCCTCGGGCCAAGACATAGTACTTGAAAAAGGACCACGAACATTGCGTGGGATCAAGGACGGTACGCTTATCATTCTTGATATCCTTCGTGAATTGGGATTACTGGATGAGATTCAAGTCGTGCACGCCAATTCGCCGGCTAATAAAAAGTACATTATGAACCAAGCCGGTGAGGTTGTGCAGGTTCCTAACTCGATAAGTACCTTGTTCAAGTTCTTGACGAAGGTCAATGTGGTTGATCCCAGTTTGGTATGGGGTATTCTTAAAGAACCGTTTGTGAAGCCAAACCTTGAAGATGAGACTGTGGAACAGTTTATAAAGAGGCGGTTTGGCAGTGATGTGCTAACGGACAATGTCGTGAGTGCCATTTTCCATGGTATATATGCCGGGGATGTTGGAAAACTAAGTGTTAGTACTGTTCTCCCCCAATTGAAAGATATGGAAAGAGAATCAGGATCAATTATAAGACATATATTGAAACTAATGAGAGCCAAGAAGAAGGAAACAGGGTTATCATCTAATTTACAAACTTATGAAAGCTTAATATCACCCAATGCAAACTTTGTTGGATTGAAAACCCAAGCAAAAAATTGTCCAATGGTTTCATTACAACATGGTTTGGAAGTATTGCCTCATCAACTAACTGAATACTTGGCTAAACGTGATAACATAACTTTCCACTACAATACACCTATAACTGAATTAGATCCGGTAAAGGGAACAGTCAATGGAGAAAAGTTCAACCACATTCGGTCAACTATAAACGTGAATCTGGTTGCCAAGGCATTACCCAGCACCAATTCACTTGTTCCTCATTTGAAATCTGTTAATTATGGTACTGTATTCTTATGTAACATTTACACTAAAGGATCCAACAAGTTGATCCCGGCTGACAAAAGCGGGTTTGGGTTCTTAGTTCCAAGATTTAGAAATGTCCATTCAAACCCACAGGCTCTTTTAGGGGTGATTTTCGATTCTGAAGTGGAAAAAAATGCCGTTGGATTGTTTAACAAAATTGACAAGAAGGAATTAGATTATGATAAGATTACAATTATGATGGGAGGGCACTATTATTCACAATGGGGGATGCCTTCTCAATCTATAAACATAAAGATTGTTAAACAAGTTCTTGAAGCTCAATTGAAGGTTGACTTGTCTAAATTTAACATTAGGGTTGTCGATGGAGACACTGTTGAAGATGTCAAGGATAATGACTTAATTATTTCGTGTAATTATCACAGAGACGCTATTCCACAGTATGAAGTTGGGTATGTGGAGACTCATCGTGAAGTGGATCAAATCGTCAAGGATGGCCAATACCTTCTTTCCTTTGGCGGGACTGTATTTGGTGATGGATTGGGTGTGCCTGACTGTGTCATCAATGCATTCAAAGATGCTTTAAAATTACGTTAATCTTCTTCTTCTTCTTCGTAGCGAGGGACATCTTCATCCTCGCCCCCCTCTTGTATATGCCCCAGTAGTCTAGTTATTACTTTAGATTCATTGACAGAGTAATTGATAACTAATGGCTTATCAAAGAATTCCTCCAGCTGTAGACTGCGTAAAGCAACGGTGGCCAGTGGTATGTCTCCAAACAACACATGGGCGAATCCCTTTCGAATACGGATCTCTATGACGTCTCCGAATGTCGAAAATAACAAATACAAATTGTGTTTAAGTAGTTGGCGGTTAATTTTGTCATTAAGGTTCTTAATGTAGAGACATTGTGATGGTTTCAAGTTTGATGGATCGAGCTTTGTTTTCTTGGAAGTGTTAGCTTCCTTCTCTGATGACTGCTGACGCTTCTTTGGTGGCATTGTAGGGTGGATGATGACTTGATAAAGAAGGTTTGTGTATGGGTAACTTTTTGGTTGTAAAAAAAAATGCCATTACACGCTGGGATTTTACAGGTTGGGATTTTTACAGTTTGGCTAACATGTAAACTGTTTTTGCAGGTTGGAAATCTCGAATTTTAAAGCTCACATGTCTTTACCTTCGGTACTTTGAAAGGCAGCACTAGACAGCCTTCTCAGAATAGAGCATATTAGAGCATTCTAGATTAATACACTCGCTTGAGATACCCCATGATACTATATCCAAAATGGCCAAAGAAAAACGAACAAAACCATGTTCCAACTGCAAAAAGTCAAAGGTTAAATGCATATACACAGACAAATTACCCTGTGAACGATGTATCAAAATAGGACAAATATCCAACTGTCAGTTTATTCCGAAACTCCCCTCTTTAAAGCTCCCCAGTATTCCACCAGAAACACACTCGGAAATATCTTTTCCTCCACTTAATCCAATCTCACTAAATGGAATGGTCCATCAGCCACAATATACCACCAGCACCGCAGTGCATCACCCTGCTGAGTCATATTTAGTGCCTGCTCCGAGCCAACCACTCATTCTGCACCCCTCTGGCAATATGTGGCAGACTCAGATCGAGAATAGAATGAACTCGTTTGACCACAAGATTAACGATTTGATGGAGATGCTCAAGGCGAATCAACAGTTTGTAATGGAGATGCAGCAGCAGCAGCTCCAACAACAACAACAACAACAGCAGCAGCAGCAGCAGCAGCAGCAACAGAGAATACCGCAGCATACATATCAGCTGATTCCATTACCTCATTTTCAGCGTACAGTTCTGCCTAGTGCTCTTCCGCAATCTAGATACTCCACCGAGGAGCCAGAAATACCCAAACAAAACACGATACCGAACCTAAATGACACCCCGGAACCATCTAGAAAACGAGCAAAGCTAAATCATACCTCACCCAGTGACTTCCGAGATGGGTACCTCTCCAAGCAGGAAGCACATGAATTGTTCACCTTTTTCGATACCAACATCTCGCAACAATTATTTGGATTTGAAATATCGAAATTTACAGTAGACTCATTATGGGATTCGTGTCCGGTATTAGTATGTGCCATTTCAACAATTGCATCCATCCATCATCCCCAACTCTCATCCAAATCGGCCCGATTACAAACGTACTTGCATGAACTATGCAGTCAGTTGCTATTCCAAGGGAAACCCTCCAATGAAACAGATGGATTGAATACTATTGTTGCGTTGATATTGTGCAGTTTCTGGATGTCCGACTCGCAAATGTTCACCGGGTTGGCACTTCAACTCGCCAAAGAATACGGACTTAACAACCCCAATTCCGACAATAAAGATCGCTTGAAAATATGGTACTTGTTATACGTACTCGACGGACAGCAGAGTCTCACATTCAACCGACAACCATTGGTAAATTCCCGCGACTACTCGTTAGTCCACAGTCGAGAGCTTCTCTTGACTGACACCACGAAAAAGGTTCATGGAGCAAGTAAACAGAAGATCAAGGACAAGCCGCGAGATCAGGAATTGGTGGGGTTCGCACACAAGCAGAAGCTCACTGATATGAGACTAGTCTCACAAGTCGAGTATAATCAGGCCTTGAACGAAGCGTTCAAGGGGAATGCCTGGGACTTGCTCGCGCCTTCGTCGTTTGGGATCCCGTCCAAGAGTAACTTGGAGTTGGACAAGTGGATGGTGTCGTGGACGGTCTTGCTTGCGCCAGGGAACTATGGTGCTGTATGGTCGACGAAATCTACCTTGATTTATTACAATTTCGCCAAGATGCACATTAACTCCTCGGCCGTGAGACAGTTGCAAATTGATCCTAATGATTACACTGGGCCATTTCCGAAATGGGATAGTTCATGTTCAACTCCTAAACGTCTTGAGGAGGTTACCCGCGAGTATGCCGATTCCGATTCCGACTCGGATTCAGACTCGTCAAGTCAAGAGGACGAGTTTATTTCCAACAAGGAGTTGCTTTCGCCAGATGAAGCGGTGATTAATGCAAACATTGCTGTCAATGCCGCGCAAACTGTGTTGAATTTGGTGATTAACGATAAAGATATCGTGGATAATTTAAAGTACATCCCAGTGCACATACACATCATGCTTTACTATGCGGCATTACTATTGATTAATCCGCCGTTGCAATCAAACAACAAATCAGTAGAGTATAATCCGGAAAGCTACTATCGAAAACTATTGGACAATTTGCGCACGATAAATATCCTAAAGAAGAGAATTTACCTGAACTTGCCCATCGATGCAAAGTTTGGATCACGATTAATACGAAGTTTAGAAGATATCGAAACAGACAAACTAAACAAAGTCAAACAGTTTGTCGATACATTGGACAATGGCGAAGTAAAGGACGACTTTAATCGACTCATCAACACCCTAGTTGAGTCAAGTGATAACATAGAGATATTGGCAGAGAGCACTAGCAGTAGTGCAGGATCTACACCGCGGCCCGAGAAGATCTCGGCCTGGCCTGGTTCCAATCATGGACATCCTTAATATATATGTGTGTATGTATTGTAGTTTTACAATAAGAATGGTTCTTGTAATAATTCACTAGCGCCCGCTCTTTCAATTGGATCCCATATGAATATTTTGCCGAGGAATCGTAACAAGGTTGATTTATTGTAGGGTGACATGGTCATTCCGGGTTTGTTTAATCCCATGACGATGTCTAGTCCCCTAGAATTGACTTTAAATTGTCGTTTAATGCCAGTTGCAGCACTTATACTATTCACCAATTGTAAATTAAGCTTCCCATTGATATCGAATATCTTGAATAATAATGTTCGTTTAAGTTGTTTTTCATTGGGTATACTCAACGAGTTTTCCAAGTAGTGGTTGTCGCCATGTGATCTCGTTAAATGACGTCTCATTCGAAGTATAGTTCCACTTTTAGGTGATCCAAGAAGCTCTAGTATCAATCCAACCTGTTCAATTTCGGACTTGCCCGGGAACAATGGCGATCCCATGAACAACTCGGTAATCACACATCCAAACGACCAAATATCGATTTTTTCATTGTAATTGCTGCCAAGGATCACTTCCGGAGCTCGATAAAATCGCGATTGAATGTATGTGAATGATGTTTCATTGGTATAGCATGCTGATCCAAAGTCTATAAGCTTAATAGATATGTCGGTGGAGTTAGGTGTAGATGGGAGTTTAATCATGATATTCTCCGGTTTTATATCACAGTGGATTATATTATATTTGTGCAAGTACTGTATTCCATTCAAGATCTGCTTAGTAAATATCTTTATTATGTCAATGGAAAGTCCTTGAAAGTTGGTTAGCTCGAGTAATGTATATAAATTAAGGGATAGCAACTCCGTAGCAATGCACATATGACTTCTAAAGTTGAAATGAGTAATATACCTCAAAATATTTTCATTACTTTCCTTCTCGTTCAACAACTTTAATAGTTTAATCTCGCTGACAGCCTGTAAAGACCAGTTCAAGTTGTTGTTGATGACTTTAACAGCCACGGTTGAATTCAATTTATGATCTTTGGCAAGTATGACATTTCCAAATGATCCATTTCCCAACGTGTCTAATATTTGAAATCTATAATTGATATGGTCCTGCGGTATAATTATATAATGACCTTTATTATCGTCAAACCCAAAATTGTTGGCGCTGTTTTTGACGTCTATTGTTCGGCATTCAGTAGGGACGTAGTATAGTTCTGACTTTCGAATTATTTCTCCGCGTTCATAGATATTCAATGAATTCATGGGCACTTGATCAACGGGTATTGGTGAATTCAAAACTGGTGGATCTTCACATTTGAACAAATCGGGTTGCTTTCGAGAGAGGATGTTGTATAACTCAGGTATGTTGCTTATTTTCGGACGGGTGCGTTCTGGCGACAGTAAGGAAAGTGAACGGGGATTACTTATAGTTCGTGGGGGTGCTTCCTGTTCATGTTTGGGGTATAAGCGATTAAACACATTATCCGATGAATTCGAAGCAGTTCTAGTTGGTGGGTTGAAATGTGTTGCTGTGGGTAGTTTTATTGGGGATGCGGCATTAGGATGGTGATATTTAGTCTTTGGTTTCGTAGGTGAAGATATCTCGAAATCAGATAGTATGTTGGTAGCTTGCGATAGCTGTAGCTTAATAGGCACGGTATTGGAGGCTAGCCGTCTTGGTCTTGATGTTTGTGACAGTTTCCTCTGTTCGGACCGTTTCCTGGTCGGCACAACAGGTTTACTCATGGTTAATGGATTGTTGGTGGTGTTGGTTAATGGGCCTATATTCTTCTTTTGCTGGGAGGACCAAGTTTCTCTCATGAATGAGAATTGGAACTGTTTCTTCAGTCCCTGTTGTTCCGACATGGGATAACTGATAATCCGATGGTCCTGGTGGTTTATTGTGCTTTTAGATTTGAGTTCATTGGATATGGCACGTGATGGTGTATGTGGGGGGTTGCTTAGTTGTGGAGTAGGTGGGAGTGTTGATTGGGGAGTTCTTCTGTGCGGTTCACTGTCGCGTGTGGGTGTTGGGTATAGATGTTGCGGGTATGCTTTCTTCCTCCTTGTGGGGGATTTACCAATATTGATCTGAGAGAAACGGTCTTCAAACTCAGTCATGGTAACATCGACGTGTGGGTGGGTGTATATATAAATCTATATATATATATATATATATATGCGGCTGTGGGAAGCAGTGTACTGTTTTTAACTAGTTCTATACGTAGTTATGTGGTTTATTTCGTTCTATTGAGCAATTTCCTGGAAAATAGGAGTATTAGCTTAAATCCTGGTGTTCTGTCCATCCCCTTGACCTTTGTTGACAAATTGAGCGGCGCACGCTGTTCAAATTTTTTTGTTCTGTTACACGTAAAAATGCTGCTGCTGTTGCTGCTGCTGTTGCTGCTACAGTAACCTCAAGCTTATGAATATTAAGGAAAGAACAGACAAACATGAGCACAATAACCAATCCTGATATGTACAGTACAAGATGTATACTATTGCTATCACAATTACTACATATAAACGGCATAAAAGATAGTTCGAAATTAGAATCTTGCAATGAAGATCTAATCCAAGATATTCTAAGCCAATGGAAAAATCATGCCAGTACAAAGTTAGATCCAGAGTTGGAAATCAAAGTCACTACTCGTGCTCAATTACGGGAATTGTATGGGAATTTGTTGCTGAAGTTTGATGTAAGTGATACTGTGGAATTGGCTAACCATGTGTATTTCTTTAGAGTGGATGAATTACAGGCTGATATCGCCAAGTACAAACTGGAATTCACGGAAATATTGAACGAATAGAAAACTGCCACCTGTTGCTTGGCCAAGTGTGGATTGTCTGGGCTCTACAAGATCAACTTGGAAATGTTGCATTTTTTTTTCCTTGCTAGAGGCGAAGGTAGGCTCAGGGGAAACAAGTGTAGTCTTTCACTTGCAAGATGTGCACATGGGACTGTCCATGGGGCTGTCATCGGAAGCAGTGGTCTACAATGCGCACACCAGATGATGTCAAAAGAGTCAGCTACGGATCTGTCAAATCAGATTGTGATTCGTTGTGGGTAGCCGGCTTCAGTCTGTTTTCTATTGAAGTATGGATGTAAATCTCGTTAGTGGAGCACCGAGGAGGGGTAGTCATGGTTTACATGTGATATTCATTCGCTCATTCATTCATTCGATTATGTCCAACTGCATAAATACGATGTTAAAACTCTAATAGTTAAAATAGCAACTTTTAATAGATTAACATTTTTTCTTAAGCTCTTCAACAAGAGTTTTACCTGTGCTACTAATCTTTCAACTTTAGGTTCTTTTTGGTAAGCCTTCATCATTCACTTGCTTTTTTTTTGGTCTGGGGTAATTTCTAACTTATTCTTCTGGCTGTTCCTTTCAAACTACACGCCATGTCAGAACAACAGGTCGGATTCAATCAGCAGAACTTGGCAAATTCGTTGCTTAAGGTGTATCGGTCCAACCGATCCATCCTTTTAAACACATCATACATCATACTTATGGCAACCGCTTTTGCCGGGGCCACCTCAACTACATCAGCCAGCAAGTCTACCGAGGAGGAAGAAAAAGAAGAAGCCAACATGGGTGAACCAACGAAGAAGAAACATCCTAAACTTTCCAAGCGATCATTGAAACGTCTTGCAAAAGCCATTGTTCCTACGTTAACTGATAAAACTATCTTGTACTTGTCAGGACACATGGTATTATTGGTCATTCGAGCTATTCTTAGTATTAAAGTTGCCAACTTGGATGGTCAGTTGGTGGGAGCCTTGGTTTCCAGAAGACTCAAGGTGTTTTCCAAATTGTTGTTATACTGGATGTTGATCGGAGTGCCTGCCTCATTGACCAATGCTCTTTTAACCTGGTCAAAACAAAAGTTGAGACGTGCCATCAGAATTAACATTAATAAAGATATAATCGACAACTACCTTCCTGACAACTTGGATGCAAACTATTACTCCTTGATTCATTTAACTGGGAATAAAATAAGAGACCCCAATCAAAGAATCACCACCGATGTGTCCAGATTAAGTGATGATTTATCCAGTTTACCTGGTCAATTGTTAAAACCCACCCTTGATTTAATCCTCTGTGCTCGAGAATTAAGCAGAAGTGGGGTTGGAAACGGTGAAGGAACATTAGCACTTGGAATGTTGGCCCATTTCTCTACTATCGTGCTTAGATTGTTTGCCCCGCCTTTTGCTAAACTAGCAGCAGAAAGAGCCCATTTAGAAGGACAGTTGCGTTCATCCCATTCCAAGATTGTTTCCAATAATGAAGAAATTGCATTTTTACGTGGTCATGTACGAGAATTAGATTATATCGATTATTGTTACTACACGCTCGAACGGTTCCTCAAGGGCGAATATTGGAAGAAGGCTATCCATGAGATTGCCCAGACTTTTATCGTCAAGTATTTCTGGGGTGCTGCGGGGTTAGTATTGTGCTCTGCACCTATCTTTATTAACAAATACTTGGGTGAGGAAATCGATCGGAACCTGGCTGGTAATTTCATTACCAACAGAAGATTGTTGCTAGGTGCATCCGATTCACTTGACAGATTAATGTATTCGCGGAAATATTTACTTCAAATCATCGGGCATGCCAGTCGTGTTTCTGATTTCCAAGATACCTTGAATGAGGTCACCTCCAGAAAGAAGTCCTCGGGCAATGTCAAGTATCAAAACGATCAAATCACATTTGATAGTGTACGTCTTTTGACCCCTGCCGACGTCACCTTGATTCCTAATTTGACATTCTCGATTAAAAGCGGTGATCATTTGTTAATTGCCGGACCAAACGGATCGGGTAAGTCATCCATGTTCAGAATGTTGGGAGGACTCTGGCCCGTCAAGGAAGGAACGATCACCATTCCTACCTCCGCTGACATGTTCTACCTTCCACAACGAGCATACCTTTGTCTGGGAACACTTCGTGAACAAATCATATACCCCCACCCACTCTCCAAACAAAAGAAATCCACCGAAGAACTTAAGGAAATATTAACTTTGTTGAAGCTAGACGAGCACATTGACGAATTGGATGAGGTCAAGAACTGGGACGAGGAGCTTTCCATCGGTGCTCAGCAGAGATTGGCCATGGCAAGATTATACTATCATGAACCGAAATTTGCCGTCTTGGATGAATGTACCTCGGCTGTTTCGCCCGACATGGAACAGTTTATGTATAGGCATGCGCAAGACTTGGGCATTACCGTACTTTCAGTGGCTCACAGACCGGCATTGTGGCATTTCCACAGATACTTGTTGAAGTTCGATGGTAAAGGTGGATACTATTTCGGTAAATTGGATGCTGAAAAGAGATTAAAGTACGAACAAGAACGTATCTTGTTGGAAAAGAATTTAAGAGATTTGCCAGTGTTGAAAGAAAGATTACTAGAATTGAAGATGGTTTCAAACGTACAACATGAAAAGTACGGTCATTAGAACTAGCTAGCTTTATATAAATGCACCATTATCTTGTAAAGCAAGTTTCCACGTAGGACCCATCTTGAAGTAATCCTGTCAATACTCCCGGGAGAACCTCCACTTGTAATGCTTCAAAGGGGAATTCTTCTCCGTCAACGGATATATAATGTTTCGTGCGGTCATTCACTTTCGGTATTAGTCTATACCCGAGTACTTTTGCATGCTTGACTTTATCATTATGTACATGAGTTCCTTCTTCAACCAGAAGCATAATTGACGTGGTTTCCATAAATGATGCCTTTGAATCAGTCATCACCATATCCATAGATCCATCATTTGGTAATGCAGCCGGGAAGAATTGTGCTGAGTCAGAGATATATGGCATTTTCCCCACATACAATATATTCAAATTATCGGTGATTTCAGCAGATATGTGGGCCCAATTATCCGGCACCGGTTGATCCAAATCAGGACCAGTGACGGCAAGATTATCCGCGGTGACTACTGGTAACTCTTCATCACGTTGGCTCAGACTAAGTTGCATGTGTGTTTCCACATGGTTGATAATCTCGCGCTTGTCCTTTGTCAAGAAATTAACATACAATTCACAAGGATACTTGGCCCCACTAAACACCTTTTGGGCAATACCTATTTGGAATCTCACTGGGCCCATCCAACGTAAATGCTCGGTACCTATATCTGAATCAGCAATGATACCATAGCATTGTGTCAAGAACGACAATTTGGTCTTCTTGGCTGGACCTGAACCCTGAGTCACCGCCATTAAATCCAACTTTGTTCTTTTGGCTTTCAACATCTGAAATGTCGCCATTCCGGCATTATTACTCCCATGAGTACTCAAACTAAGCGCGTTACCTGACCCACAGGGCAATTGTGTAACGGCAATCTTGTTAAACGCCTCGGCGCCCTTGTCCTCTCTGGCAAAGAACCCATTGATTACTTCATGAGGGATCCCATCCCCAGAGCAACATGCAATGATGTCATACTTGGAAATATCCAACTCCTTGGCGATATCAGTGGCATGGGTCTGGTACTTAGTTTCCTCGAGGGTGACTTTTGCTCGGGCGGCTTTCAAGATGGGATAGATTTCGTTTTCGTAGATGCTGACGGCTTTCCCTTGCCCTCCATGGGGATTAACAAGGACAAGAACTGAAGGACGTATGATGTGGTTCGTGTATGCTTTGTCCAAGATATATTCTGACAATTTGTTATTATTATAATTCTGAACTTGAACCTCGAGGGTGGCGAGCTTGATCGAGTCCTTGGAGGTTGGATACACATACGTCAAAGTCACTTCATCGTCATTGGCACCTGGATCAACGTATATTATGTTTCTAAAGGGTATGTGGTCGTGAAAAGTCTTGATGGGTATTGGTTGTCCGCCACAACAAAATAGAGAGTTAGAACTTGGTACTTCGTGGTCGACGGCCCATAATGATTGTTCGGAGATCTTTACACCGTGATCATCAATGGTGACTTGAGCAAGATCGTTTCGGGCGTATATCAATCTTTCTGAAGACATGGTCATGAATGGCTGGGTCTCTGTATCGTCTTGCCATGTTTGTGTTCCTGGCATTTTCTTTTTTTTTTTTTTTTTTTTTTGCTTTTTTTGGGAATCGTTCTTAGTAAATCATAAGGAGGGGAGGAAACTATAGCACATCAAGCCTATAGAGTAGATTAGTTAAACTATAAAGAATATGACTCTGTTGGGCAGAATTAAGCTAACCGAATTTAACAGCTTAAATAAGATTTAAGAATGGTTTACGAGTTAGCCTGGGCAAATTTTTTTTTACTTGGGCGGTGGGTCTATTCTTGGCTGCATAAAAGAAGTTTCTGTAGAAATATATTAATCGACTGTGCTTCTAAAATTGGGTTAGAATTTCATCACTGGCTCTCCTTGTTTACGTGCAAATGTCATTGTTCATTGAAGCAGTTGACTTGACAAGGATGAACAAACCGGTCCACCCGAGAAACAAAAAAAAAGGTGGGGATCTTGTGAAATTGCTACAAACCGTTAGCGGAAGCCTTGCAACTGGTGGTTATATTCTTCGTAACTCAAACCTTCTTCTTATTTATAAGTAACTATTTCTTTCATGAGCATCGCAACTCAGTATAATCGTCCGAGAATGTCAGGACCAAATGACCCCACCCAAATCCAGATATATACCCACAATATCCGGTGCGATACCAATAACCGCATGGACAACGAACAGCCATGGTCAGAAAGGAAACACGGTGTGATTGACCTAATCCAACGAATGAGCATGGTCCTTCCTACTCTAGTCGGCCTACAAGAAGTGAAACACAACCAAGTCAAGGACATACTCAACATGTTGGGTCCGGAATGGGCATACTTTGGTGTCGGGCGTGATGATGGGGAGACCAAGGGGGAATACTCACCTATTCTTTTCAAAAAGAGTGACTGGGAGTTGTTATATGGCTCAACTTATTGGTTGAGTGAAACTCCTGATCGACCAAGCAAAGGCTGGGACGCAGCACTTGCCCGCATCGTCACCAAGGGCATATTAAGACATAAAGACCTGAACAAAATCGTGAGTTTCTTTAATACCCATTACGATCATCGTGGTAAACAAGCTCGAGAAAAGTCATCGCTTGAAATCATGTCGTTGATGAATGATGATTTGGGCACCAGTGTTCTATGTGGGGATTTCAATAGCGAACCACATCATGAAGCGTACAAGACATTAAGTAAGTCCTTAGTGGAAACATCTCAAAGGTGTAAGGAGAGAAGAGGGTTTGAACATACAGTTACTGGTTTTACTCTTGGTAAGAAAGAATCAAGCATTGACTTTATTTGGGTGCCACCTAATATCCCTATCATTCTCCATGAAGTGATTGATAACAACTGTAACGGTATGTTATGTAGTGATCATCGACCAGTCAGAGCAATAATTGAGATTTAGAACTTATTTTGGTATGCTTGGGTTCCTGTGATATCCAAACAGCCTCTTTGAAAATGGCGAGTTCTATGATGTCATATACACTTCAAGATGATTATGATGATGATGATGATGATCTTGCTAAATTTTCTTATATTTGTCCAATTTGCTTGCTCATTCACTATCCTCCCATTCAAAAATGAAATCAAGCCCAACCTCAAATACCTCGCCTACCAATCTGGTACCAGATACATTGAAACAGTAGATTCACTCTCACAAATCAACCCCAAAAGACTATTCAAATATGGTGTTATAAAACTAGGAAACAACTCAGCAGTCTTCAGCGAAGAACTTGCATATTCCACCATGTCAGCCAATTACATACCCGTGTATGAAAAGCACCAAGACTACTCAAAGCTAAAACACAAAAAGCATAAATACTACGAAGTAAGTTACGACGACGCCAGAGCAGTGATAGAAATAAGCAAGTGGAAACCCATTGGGAAGTGCGTGATTAACCATTCCAATGAAACGGCGGTTTATAGTCAAGGTTGGCAGATCGATATCAGTTCAAGTTTGAATTTCAGGATTGACTTTGCAGCTTTAATAACTACATTTAGACCAAACGCCAAATCAGAACTAGCACTAACGAAATCGATCGGTGGCGGGCTAAGTTGTGATGTGGAGCCTGGCAACTCGTTACAATTTGCCTTGATAACTGAACTGTATAAAATCACTGGTGTGAAACAGCGAGAAATTAAAATAACCATGTTTGGTCTAAAGGCAGAACCATGGGAGGAGGTGCCACCCTTCACACGCATAAACCGGAAAAACATCCAAGTTGCATGTTTTACCGATAATCAACTAGAAACATGTGAAGAAGACGACTTCTAAACATTTATATATATATATTTTTGTGTGTGTGAGAATCTATATAGATAAACCTATTATTCATCATCTTTCAAGTCACTACCAGTTAAAACAAATGGTTCAGGCATAGGAGCTTCTGAAATATTCAATTGTCTAACCGTCTTGATATATTCAACCTTTTCTTCCGGTTTGGTGTCTTCCAACACTATTATACCACTGGAACCTCTATACTTTCTAACTGGAACAAATCGGTCATCCTTGATAAACGAAATGTAGTTTGACTGTAATGGCAACACTCTAGTCAAGTTTTCAATCTTGTATGGGGTCTTGGAATAACGAACTTGAACAGGTTCATCGGATGGTTTGGTTTCCTTAGGCTTGTCTTCAGACTTGTTAGCATCTTCAGTTGTTGTCTTCTCAGTCTTGGCCTTGTCATCTTCATCAACATCCATCTTGTCCTTTTCGTCATCATGTTTCTTGGATTGCTTCTTCTTAGCTCTAGTCTTAGCCTTAGCAGTAGTGGACAATACAGCGGTAGCCAACTTATCTGGTTGTTTCTCCTTGGCTTCTTCAACCTTGGCTGGATATTGGAAGTAATCACCATTGGCATGACAATTGAGTTCAAATTTAGGAGCCTTCAAATCCCCAGTAACACCAATGATTGAAGTTGGAGTAAATGATAATGATAAAAAGTGAGCCAATGGGAACCAATACCATGATTGGACAAACATAGTCAACCCAACAATAGCCTTAATGTTTAACGTGTTGGTTTGGGTATTTTCCAAATTAATAGTGACATTTCTACCACCAGCATCTATTATACCTTGGGCTAAAGTAGCACCAAACTTGGCCAACGCATCTTCGTGTTTATTCTTAATGGTGTCAGCATACTGCTTAGTAAACTGTTTAACCTTTGGATAAATAAATTCATTTTGCTGAATTAAAATCATGGCAGTAGCCATTAATGCACTTTGTCTGACAAAGTCAACAGGATCTTTAGTCAATGGTTCCAATACTTCAATAGCGGGTGCATATGCCTTACCAGCACATGAAATACCTAAGGCCATAGCAGTACCATATCTGACATGAGGGTTGTGGGACTGGGATAACAATTGGACAATTTGTGGAGCAGCGGTATAATCACGAATAAGAATAAAACCCAAACTCAACACAGAAGCTCTTCTAACGTCGTCACTTGGATCAGACACAGCATAATGCAACAACTTCTTAATGGCACCATTGTTACCGGTTCCAGCATATGCCAAAGCAATGGTAAATGCCCCACCATATCTTAAAATTGAAGATTCTTGACTCAATAATTTATCAATGGTTTCATTGGCTTTTTCTTCACGGCCATAGTTCAACAATGCAATACCAATAGCTAACCCACGAATAATATTTTCATGCTGGGTTTCAAGAGCATAAGTCAACATATCATGAATGGCACTTTCATTACCAGATCCCAACATAACCAATCCCATGGCAAATGCAGCAGCCTGACTTGAAATTGCCGAGTCTGAATACAAGACAACCTTCAAAGATTCATAAAGCAGCTCACTTCCAGTGGCCATACCGGCAACACCAGCACCTAAACAAGCACCATGCAACATGACATCGTTATCATTGGAACCAGCAGCATTTCCGTGCTCATCAATAAATGATTTCAAATTACCAATAACTTCTCTTCCATGACCGGCATAAATCAATCCCAAAGCAAATAAGGAACCACCTTTGGTATGGGCAGCACCAGAAGAATTAGGCAAGTATGGTTTCAAAATGTTACGACCTTGGGACAAGTTACCCTTGTGAATAACACCAAGAGCAGCAGTGGCAGAGAATTTAGACCAATTAGTAGCACGTCCCAACCATTCCAAATTCTTTCTAAAGAATGAATCATCGGTGGTCCCGGCATGCATAAATGCATTGGCAAAAGTAACTGCAGAATGGAAAATAGAACTTCTTCCTTCCAACAAGTTCTTGGTCTTGTTCAAGATGGAGATATCAGTGTTGTTGTTCTTAAACAAAAAGGTATTGTCTAAATCGCAGGTTGGAACTCCGGACAAGATGTTCAAAAGCTTCTTGGCAACCACGTTGGTAACTGGGTCAAAATCTTTAGATAATTGGTTAATGACGGTATCGAGTAATTCTTGAGATGCTGCATTGACCAAATCAAAAGCCGCTTGATAAGCAATCAAATCTTCGTCTTTATTTATCAATTCTTGGAACAATTTAATCGCTATGCCTGAGTCATTCAATTGAAGAATAATCTTAACGATGGTGAAAAAATCTTGATGCTTCTTTAAAGTCAACAATAACGCAATCAATGAGTTCAAAACTTGGGTTCTGAATGAAGTATTGGCAATTGTGGTGCTAGAACAAACCAAGACATAGTTTATCAAAGCCAATCCGTGTTCTTCGCTCAATTCAATTTGATGGTTCAAAATAGATTCAACAACATCCAATCTATACGATTCCAATGCTATACCAAGGATCAACTTGACTTCGTTGGAGTTCAAACACTTTTCCAACATCTTCTCGAAAATTCCAGTCAAACGAGGATCAATTTCAACCGAAGGGTCAGAAAACTTCTTTTGCGACAATGACTTGTAAAGGTTGATACATTGACTGACAATAGTTTCCATATATTGAGACTTTTCGGCGATGTTGAATTCGTCACCAGCATACAATGAATATTTCACTGAGGTGTCGAAATCACCTAAGTTGTAGTACACCTTGGAAATGATCAAGGCAGCCATTTGTCTCTTTTCAAATGACTCGTCTTCATACAATTCTTCCAAGTCGGTGATATGATTGGCGATTTCTGCCCATAATTGATCAACCACTTGGTTCAATGAAGACAATGCATAAGATTTCAAGCTGTCGTCTTGTTCACTTAACAATGCCAAGTATGGGGCTGCAGATACCAATGCCATGTTTGTATTTGTTTTGTTATATACTTAACTTTTGCGTAGGTTTCTTGTTTTTTTCAGATTGGATTGTCAAGTAGCTTGATGAATACGGTGTATGCGGTGGTTTTTTGGGTGATTGTTTAATTGATGTTGGTTGTGTTGTTCTAAAGTGGCAACCAATTTGGCCAAACTTTTCTCACTGGTGTCGTTTTGTTGCCACCAGAAAAAAAAAAAAAAACAATGCGTATATGCAGGAGGATCTGATGCTCCTTTTTGTGAGGGTTACCCGGTCTATTCTATAAGGTTACTGGTTTTATATTAAACTATTTATATATATCTTCAAAATAAGGAAAGTGCAGGAATTAAAATTAAAAAAGCAATGTTGTAAACATATCTAATATAACAAACGAGTACCAATCTTGTATGGAGTTTGTTCCAATTGTTCGTATAAAGTCTTGATATCGCTAAGATCAACATCAGCAATATCAGCCATCAAGTAAGCAATATCACCTTGGGAATCAGTAAATTGCTTTTCAATGTTGTGGTTAGAAAGAATGTTGTTGACAGTTTTCAAGACACCTGGAACATTGTGATGGACATATAAGACTCTGACAGTGTTTTGTTGGTCCAAGTCTAATGGTCTCAATGCAACCTCTGGGAAGTTAACAGCACCTTGAGAGTTACCTTCGTTGATGTATTTGGTCAAGGCAGTAGCAACTTCAATACCAATGGCAGATTGAGCTTCTTCGGTAGAACCACCAATGTGTGGGGATAAGATGACGTTTCTTAATGAACATAATTCAGAAGCCCATGAGTTTAATGAATCATTGAACAAGTCTTCACCGTTCTTGGCCGGTTCGTTTGGATAAACATCCAAGGCAGCACCAGCAATCTTACCAGCCTTCATAGCTTGGACCAAGGCACCAATATCAACAACAGTACCTCTAGAAGCGTTAATAACGTAAGCGCCGTCCTTCATGGCAGCAAACTGTGGAGCGCTCAACAAATTCTTAGTTTCTGAAGTGGCTGGAACATGCAAACTGACAAAATCGGCTTGGGATAACAAATCGTCCAAAGTAGTAACTTGCTTAGAGTTACCCAAGGCCATAATCAGGAGAATATCGTGGTAAATAACATTCATACCCATGGCTTCGGCTAAAACAGACAACTGGGAACCAATGTGACCATAACCCACAATACCCAAGGTCTTACCTCTAATTTCCCAACATTTGCTACTGACCTTGTTCCAAGTACCAGTGTGCATTTCGATGGAACGGTCACCCAATTGTCTAGCTAAAGTGATGATTTCAGCGATGACTAATTCAGCAACCGATCTAGAGTTGGAGAATGGGGAGTTGAAAACAGCGATACCGGACTTGGCAGCAAAGTCCAAATCAACTTGGTTAGTACCAATACAGAAACAACCGACGACAACCAAGTTCTTGGCGTGTCTCAAGATCTTTTCACTTAATTTAGTCTTTGATCTAATACCAATAGCATGAACATCCTTGATTTTTTCAATCAATTCATCTTCTGGTAAGGATGATTTGTAGAATTCAACTTGATAACCTTGAGTCTTGAAGATATTTATAGCAGTGGTGTTGACATTTTCCAACAACAAGATCTTGATATCACCGGTTGAGAATGGTTTAAGAGCCTTGGCTGGTTTCAATGAAGAATATTGACTCATGTATGATTGAGTTGGAGACATGGAAACTTCATGAGGAGAACCTGAGAGATTCATAGCTTGTTGGAAAGCATTGGTGATTTGTTGTGGGGATGCCATTATTGTGATGATGAACTAATGAGTGCAAGTGAGTACAATTGATTCAAGAAAAGAAGAAAGTAATAACATCCAAGTGGTTGAAATATTTGAAATTTTTTCCAAGATGGTTTCGGAATGAGTAATCCTAAAAGGGGGGCAGAACAATGACGCACCCGTCACCGGCGTGCGTAATCATTCAAAAAAAAAAAAAAACATTGCACGTGATATCAACAAATTGGTTAATTAATTAATAAAATACCCATAGTTACATGGGTACTATATAGGGGTATGATTTGGCTTAGACCTCTTTGCCAAGTTACCATCAAACCCCGAAGCATAAACGCGGAAATACATGTTGATTTGGTCTTTTTTTCGTCGTATTATGATTCATTTATCAGATGATTCAATGCTGTTTGACTCCGGTAATTTTTTTAAGCCATTTTTTGACTTCGCGTTATCAAGACTTATATGCACACTTTAGTAAACATTGGCTGACAAGGCAAACACCGTGATGATCTCATAGAATAGATGTATTCAGTTGCGATGTCAAACGGTCTAAAGCGGTTGGGACATATCTTTCCGGGTGTAGTCTGTGGGTGACGTCTTTTTTTGACAGTTCACGTACCGGTTCGTGCAACGGCCAAATTTGCTGCGTACTAGACATGTTTGTACCATACAGTTTGCTCGTGTTTATAGAAGTAACGACGCGTAATTATACTTGAATGGTCTCTACATGTTACAATTACTATCTTAGAACCTTTTTTTTTTTGACTAAAAACTCTGCAAATTGTAACTTCTTTCGTGGTGCTAACTTTAACCTAATCGTAATAGGGAGGCATTTACATTATAAAAGTCTAGGGCACTAATTTATAAACGAAGGAAGTGTGCTGGGATAACTGAGAAAGTACACAAGTATTCGTTGGTTTGGGTGTGGAATGGTACAATCTACAACGCGGATCGCAGAGACACTGGAAGCCCATCTTGGAACTCTCGAGACCCTATACTGGCTGCGTGAGCTTAAAACAATAGGTTCATCAGACTTCAATCATAGAATTATCGACTCACCATAAGCCTACAGTATTAGGATTCACATCTGATAGTTTTAGTTTGTTTAGCTAGCCTAAAGCCATGGGATAGCTTGTCTGTGTTCATTGGCTTACAAGAATACAATCCTAGGTTTTTCACAACCCACGGCAAGAGTTATTTCCACAGTGTACCAAAATCAAAAGTTAGCATGGCAACAACCATAGGCTTGTGAGACCCACTAAAGTATTTTCAGCAGTCACATTCTTGAACTAACCACTCTATTGTGGATTTTATAGCTTTAGCACAAGATCGCTTGTGACAGTTATCAATATATACGAGTATTAGTGTCGTTTGTATGTTATTGAAGGGTCAACTCTCAAGTTGAATGGCTAGTACTCATGGAAGTAACCAGCACTCAACAGTAGTCTATTTACTACTCAGAGGAATCTAGTGTGAAAACTGAATACACTCGTGTAAACTGAACACTTGTGTTCCATAGCCGAATACTTGCGCGCAAAACTGAATACTCTCAAGCGCAAAAATGTAATACCTCATGCACAAAAGCGTAATACACATGCGTCAAAACTGAACACTCCAGTCTTAAATCCGAATACACCAGCTGTAATCCGAGCACTCGTGCCATTAAACCCGTATATTTGACCCAATTGGGACTAACACCGACATTTACGGAGGTCAGCTCAGAGTGCGATTTTTAAACAAAAGTGCACTGCCATGTAGCTGTATAATATATAACCTTAATATCATTACTTGTTACAAATATGATGGTATTAAGCGTTATTAATGCACTAACAAGTTATGTGAACGGCAAAATATGGTAACCGGTCTTATTAAAGTTTGTGAGGGGGGGATATACAGTAGTGGAAACTCAGTACATGAGAACTCATCAGTGTGTGTCAGTTTGGCGGTCTAGAATCGTAGGTAGCCAAACTTGCCACCAATAAATAAGCCAAACTCTATTGGCTTATTGATTTTCGGGGCGTTAATTTTAACTTGCCTCCATGAAACCCTGTTTACGCGACTTGTATTTACGTTTGGTAAATATTCAAGACAAGGAGGGATTCGGGGAATTATGATGTCATAGCGCAGGTGTATTTAATAGAGTTTGCCCCTATCGCTGGAATATTTAATATTGCTGTCGTAGATGTAGTCAGTAGAGTATAGGCCTAGCTTTGTTAGCTCTCGTATATTCGCTCGTAATTATTGTCTATATCCTGCCTATTTAGAATTCTCTATGATGAAATGATAACGTCTGATCAAAACTGGTTATAAGGAGGTAGGTTAATAAGGATGGCAATTTGTGAAACTATTTTAAGTAATTGTTTGAAGTTTTGAAATTATAATTATTTTTGTCAAGAATTTGCGTTAATTTTGCAGCAAATCCTTCACGAACTTTAACTTTAATATTTTAGTAGAAACAATGTCGACATAACAACCTTAGATAATAGATGGCTTCTAGATCACCAGTTATAATTGTGATAGGGTGAGCAAATATTTCCTATTACATCTTCTACATAATTTGGACGCCAAAAAAAAAAAGGAACCTGCTGCATATATTCACATGCGACTGCAGAACACCGAATTCAATCACCAGGCTCAACAAAATCCTTCCATTACCCCGACATTTACAAGTGACACTGTTTGATTGTAATATTACGCTTTTATCCAGTCTTGTTCTAACCAATTGTATTGTTCAAATTACTGATTTTTAGTTTCCCTGGGTATCCCATTGTTTGATTTCGGCTGTTAAAAAAATTTGTTTGGGTTTTGAATTTTTGGCGTCATATGCACAGCTCGCGCCTCGTCTAAATAAAGTTTGTTGTCAATACCACGATAAAACACCGTTTAACCGCTCTGCTTACCCATCTTTTCTTTCTATCATCGGTCGAATCCACAACAACGCAGGAACTATCAACTTCCAGATCAATTCTTGAAACCAAGGTGAAGCAAGGTCATTGTTATATGCAATAGCCATACGCGTTTTTTTTTCAGATTTAGTCAGACAGCCAAAAAAAAAATAGACCAATAACAAAACAATAACGCCCTGCCAATCATTTAACTTTTGGAGACGCCCCCTCGTACGATTCAGTTGGCAACACCCTTTCCTTTCAATTTACGACCGAACGATACACCAGCATTTTTCATCTGAGTTGATCTTCAAGAAAGAAGATTTTATTCCTTATCACCAAACCATAGCATAGCATAGCAAACCGATTTTTTTTTTTTTGAATTGCAACCAAATACAACCGACATCACATCCGTCTGAAGAAGCCACCTTGCATTAACAAGTCACATAAACGCATTAAATACAAAGAATATATTTCCTGTTTTAGCAACCAGATATTTTTTGAAAAGTCACATTTACATTTGAAGCAGTTGATTTACACTTCACGAAAGCCGTTTATATATTTGACTCAATCCTAAATTGGTCCATTATCTTCTTCACCAACTTGCTCATTTCCAACAGAGACGAAGTATTAAGCCGAGGTTTTGATAATTATTATTTAGATCGAACCACTACATATTTTTTTTTTTTGAAATCCACCGTCAAACAGTTCTTTACCCCTGAGAAGATTACGTAATGACGTCCAGTCAAGGCTTCGCTGAGTCACAATCACCCAGACTTGGCTCCCCTGGTAATAGATCCACATCATCGTTCACTTTCCACACTCCATTAAGCCGTACTGTGTCCAATTTTGAACCAAATATTTCATATTCAAGTATAAGTAATGCCAGTACAACCACGATTAATATCGATAATAGTAATAGTAACTGCAGCACCAATGAGAACAACCCGATTAAAGTAATATGTCGTGTTCGTCCGGAGAATTCCTGGGAAGCAAGAAAAGGTCGTTCTATCGTGGGGTTTCCTAATAGCGAAACTATTTCCATTCATGGGCGAGATGTTACCAACACCTTCACATTTGATCGGGTATTTGACCACAATGCAAGTCAGTTGGACGTTTATCAGTATTCAATTTCCGAAATCGTGGATGATGTGTTTAATGGATATAACGGTACCGTTCTAGCTTATGGACAGACTGGTGCTGGTAAATCCTATACTATGATGGGATCTCCTTTAGACTATAATGAAAAGGGGATCATACCTCGTATTTCGGAGGAAATATTCTCCCGTATTAACAATGGTTCTCCTGATATTGAATACACAGTTGCTGTTTCATTCATGGAGATATACATGGAACAAATTAAAGATTTGATTTGTATTGCCCATAATGATAATCCTGAGTATAAATTTGAAATCCACGAGGATAAAACCAACGGGATTTACGTTACTGGACTTTCGCAACAATTTGCCAATTCCGAAGAAGATTTATTAAGGATATTAGGTGAAGGTATAAAATATCGATCAACTTCAGCCACAAACATGAATCTGGAAAGTTCCAGATCACATACTATATTCGAATTGAAATTAACCCAAAAACACATAGAAACCGAGGTATCCAAATACTCTAGGTTATTTTTGGTTGATTTAGCTGGGTCTGAAAAAGTGGACAAGACCGGGTCTCAAGGCCAGACTTTGCAAGAAGCAAAGAAGATTAACTTGTCGTTATCAGCGTTAGGAAACGTCATTAATTCATTAACTGATGGGAAATCTACTCATGTACCTTATCGTGATTCCAAATTAACGAGAATTTTGCAAGAATCACTTGGAGGTAATTCTCGAACTTCATTAATCATCAACTGCTCTCCATCGTCTTTGAATGAATTGGAAACAATATCGACTCTTCGATTTGGAACCCGAGCCAAGTTCATCAAGAATGAAGCCCATGTTAACACTGAATTGAGCCCTGCAGCATTAAAGAATAAAGTCAACCAATTGGAGAAGTTGAATGAAAACAATCAAGCTTACATTAAGCAATTGGAACAAGAATTGGATCACTGGAGAACAAATGGCAATGCGTTAGTGACGTCGCCTCTGCCATCAGATCCATATCAAGCTTTAGCTTTCTCAAGACACGCTGCTGCTTCTACTTCTCCAAGTTCTCCTGGTACACAAATGGTTGTTCGTAAGTCCTCTATGCATTCCAGATTACCTGTATTGTCACTTGCATCTACCATGCAGACTGCAGTTCCAAATAATGATGAAGTGGAAAGAAGGGATAGAAAGATTGAAGAGTTGGAAAATATTATCTTGAACTTGAAGGTTCAAAATTTACGATCATCACACAACGAAGACTCCAAGATGTTTGCTCTTGAGAATTCCTTACACAATATAAGCAATAAGTTGAATGAAGTTGAATTGATTAATATCAACTTGCGCAAGCATTTATTGATTAGTGAAAAGATTATTGAATCCCGTGACAAAAAGATTCAACGGTTGAAAATGGCCTTGAAGGACCAACAAATGCAAATATCTCGCGAGGCCCTCAGTTTCAGAAACCGACTTGGAGAAATCCAGCTTCGCTTGGAAGAATTGAATAAACACAAGCAAGAAGAATTGAGCGTTCAAAAAGACTTGTTGATGGCTGAACGTGGCCGAATGGCTACTGCGACACCTACTGCATTTGCTAATGAAACTCCATTTACTAATGACGACGTGGTTACTATTTCCGATGTTGATCCTGATCCTAGCTTGATAGATTCTGATGATGAATCAAATGAGTTGAGTGCCGATGAAAGTAAAGAAACCATTGGCGACAGTCCAGAACTGTATGAGCAAGAGACCATACTTGATGATAGCCACTCACGCTCAGGACGTGCTCTGATTGGTGTTTCTTCTCGAGCATCCACTACAATAAGTAAGCTTTCCGACTATGGGTTCTCGATATATCTGTCGAAAAGACTCAATTCACCCCGCAGTGAGAAAACATCAATTACTGAACTTGAATCTGATATTATTAACTACCAGCATGAATATGTTTCCATTGGTGATTTTTTAAAAGAGAGCAGAAAGAAGTTTCTGCAATACAACCCCAGTCTTAGATCCAGTCTGACCATAGGTGAAGACAATGGTGGGGATACTTCGCTGATGGCAGATATGTTTGACGAAGGTCCCAAACAACCCAAGAAACACACTCAGGGGTTCAATTTGAAGATTGTCAAGCCGATGAGGAGCGGTTCTTTGGGAGTGTTTCTGAAGGGTTCAAAGGTTGTATGACGATATATGATATACTTTCTATAGATTTGCTTAGGTGTAAATTAGCTATTTTTTTTTTTGGAACATAATGTAGATTTTGCATATCAAAATGAAGTACTTTAAAGGAAAGAAATTAAGGAGCAGCTTAACCTGCTGGTATATCCAGTAGTAATTATGTGGTATTGGTATTTCTTTTTAGTTTCGTTAGTAGTAGGATTAGAGATTAATGGTGACAGTGATAAACTGTGGCAACCATTAAGGGAAGTTTTAGTACAACAAACCCAAGATAACGGTATCTTACGGACGTTTGAAGCTGGCGACTCCGAACAAGTGTCGTCGCGTGAATTTGCCAATGAAAAGGAGTTAATAAACTCACGATTCTGGAAAAATCTCCAGAAAAGAAAGGATAAAGAGATGGCCAAGTCAACAGTCATTCTAGTAAAAGACACCAACACCGTGTATCACTTTGATGAATCTGAATGGACTGATGAAGTAGGTGCAGATCATGAAGTAGAAACTGCTAGTAGCCCACGAGAAATCACCCTTGTTGAAATGAAGTTTGGGTTTTTGAAACCGTTTGAATATACTTTCCCCTTGACGGGGTGTATCCGTATGAAAAAGGGGATTCCAACCATGTACCAGTCTTATTCACATCAATTATACTTGACTTTACCGCCGGAGATATCTGTCAGGACCACGGTGATTCTCTTGTCTGCCCTGGCTACTGTTGGATCCTACGGGTTATCGTTGAGTTATGAAAAGGATTCATCGTTGACGTGCAAAGCATCACCAGGGAAACGGGTTCAAATATTTAGAAAAGAACGATATGCATTGTTTCCCAAAGCAAAACTCAGGAAGGTCAAGTTTAAGACTAAGTTCAAATCAGGTATTTGGAAGAATGTGTTTACCAGTTTAAAACACAAGAATCTCGGATTGATGTTTCTTGATTTGACCAAGTCTGAGAAACCATATTGTGAAGCCCGGCCAGATAGATTACAATGCCACCAACTTGGTTCGAAGAAGGGGGCATTTGCCGATATTTGAAAGAGAAGTGTATGGGCCAACCAAAAAAAACATACATTATTATCTATAAAGTATAAAAAGAAATAAAAAAGATATCATAAGGGTCTAACAGTCTGAAGTATATAAAACAACAAGTTCCACTATGGCAGTATTTCCATTATCAAGGGTGGTTGTGGAGATCTTTGTGCTTGTAGTGTAATCGCCCACGGGGATGACGAGGGTTGGTTCCAGGGTAGTAGTATCAGTTTCCGAGACTGGGTCATTGTAGAGTGAGTATGAAGAAGCAGTTGTTGAACTAGAAGCAGATGAACTTGAGGAGGAAGTTGTAGTGGTGGCTGGATCATAACTGTTTGTTTGAGTATTGAGCACGGTTTGGGTAGTTAATTGACCATCATCATTGGTATATATGTATACTGTTCCGTAAATGTCTTCTTGTGCTACGAAAGTAGTGACTTCTGTAGTGTGTGGGGTAGTGGTGACAACCGTAGTTGCATCATAATCGTCAGCAGTGGCCAACTTGAATAACGAGAGTAATGTAAGTGAAAGTATACTAAATTGCATCGTATTGGTATGTTAGTTTAATAAGATAAGAGTAACAAAGAATTTTAAATTGGATCAAGAGATGTGACCCATTATATATGACAAACCTCTTAACCAGCAAAGCAAAGAAAACGAAAACAATGCTGCGAAATTGTTCGAACTATGCAACCACAAAATCTAAAAAATAATCTTGCATTAACCAAAAAAAAAAAAATAAAATAACCAGCATTGCCGAAATCAAGAAATCTGGAGCATGGTTCAATTATAGTGTACAAGTATCAAACTTTCTAAGTAGTAATGGAGATATATTCAGAAGTTTCTTATAGATTTAGATTGTAGCAGTTTTCTGCGTATTGAAAGGGACGCCTTCTAACTGGTTAGATCATAGATCATTTTTATTGAATCAGTTGGTTGCGTACACATACACCTTACGATACGTTACGAATATACGGCATTGTAACCACATCAACAATACACGTAAACCAAATATTGATCCAAAACAACAATCTAGCCAGTTACACAAGCAAGCATTATTTATGGAAATACAAGAGTTTAATTTTGTGATCATCATATGGATTGTAATATTTCTTGTACAGAAAACTACCTAATTAAACGATGGTTGCTTAACTGGAACTGGCTGTTCCAACTAAATCAGACTTCTTGGCTAGTCAAATTTTCCAAATTGGATATGTCATTTAAATTTGACAAGATTTGATATGAAGATGTCATTCATAAAGACAACCAGCCATCTTGCACTAAGCGAAAAAAAATCATGCTTGCAAAAAAAAAAACAAATAAATCTTGGATCTTATAAATATCGAATCATTTCTGAATACGATGCGGTTGTTTATCCGTATTCAGGTAAATGCTGATTACCGAGAGATTGATGTAGCATCAAGAAGTACTTCTTCGGGATAGCAAGTTATGTCAAGCTGTAAGAGCTGGTAAATCTACATTGCTTTATTATTTGATAGCAGATACATGCACTAGGTGTACGTCTTAATATGCATTAGACAGATGTATTAACACTAAATTTAGATACTGGTTGGTCAAGATCTGTGCTAGGAGATATCTCCTTTCATTTATGAAATATATGATCATATATTTTGGTCAGGTATGATAATTTACCTGTTTAGGAAAAGGTGTTTCCAGCCAAATGTGCGTACTTTAACCTTTTCGAACCAGCTTTATACAAATTAGACTATCAAGAACAGTAGTTTTATTCTCGGCGTTGGCAGATTCTGATTTGAAACAGGTGTCGAGTTGTGTCGAGTTGTGTTGAGTTGTGTTGTGTCATGTCGTGTCTCTTACTAGGTGGGGTGCCTTCCTACTGATCATTTTCTTGCACAGTAGTCCTTCTCTTTATATCACCAATACTGTCAACCAACTCAGGAAACTCCTTGCCCAACTTGTCCCCCAACACATCTCTCAATTTAGCAAATGCCTCCATTTTCCCCTTCAAGCGCGCATTACTCTTAGCTGTAACCTCAATAAACTCACGAGTGTAAATGTCGGGATTTCTTCCGTCTTCAATGTATGAAATAACATCAACAGGAACAGGATACTGGTTCGTGTATGGGCTGGAAGTCAATCCTGACAATTGACTAATGATTTGGTTGACCTTGTGTGTCAGGGCTGTGTGCGATTGGGGTGTACCTTGGTTGTCATGAACCAACACACCTAGTTCGATTAGTGACTCAATCAATGACAGGAGTTGCTCTGCTGTGGATATTAATGCTTCATTGCCGGGCTTTTCTGAGTCTAATTGTGCTGTAGTCATTATGTGGTGGTTTACAGTGTTGGTTATATGTCGGTTTACAAATTTTTTTTCCAGGTGAATTTGAATTTTGGCAGCCCTTTCAAATCTTGTACTGGAAAGCATACCATTTGCAGTATATCATGTTAGTCACATTCAAATACAACAGGGACAAATACAACCAGTTGCTAGAGCAGTCTGTGTCTAACACTTCACCGTATGTGAAGGAAGAGACACCATCGGTGCTGGGTAGTACACCCCCAGTTTCCACACCCACGAAATTTGTTACGCTCCATTATAATCTGGGATACATGACATCCCCGATAAAGTCACAAAGAAGAAGTCGAAATAGAACACCAACACCACCGAGTCTTACACCTAATACCACACTCCCGTTTCAGAAATCATTCAGCGTTATTGATTCCAGCCCGATTAAGATATCCAAGGAGGACACGGCCGACATGCAGGAGCAATGTTCATATCAAGATGCCATAGAAAGCATGGCGACTTATAACGAGCAGTATATATTGAATCCCAGGAATAACGACGATATACCTTCGGTTATTGCACACAATCAACAAGTTGAAAAGGCGTGGTTTAACAATATCAGAAGTCTAGCAGATAGGTTACATCTATTACGAGAGACGTACAGGACAGTTCAGATGTTGAAGAAGTCAAAGGTTAATAGGAACGGTTTAGTTGACGAGTCAGCGTATTCCAAGCTGACTACTCCTAGAATTGAAGATAGTCCTAGTGTTAGTGTACCTCCAACAACTCCTAGTTCAAGGTTGGTACCGGAAACAACATCTGGGGTTGATGAAGATGAATATGAAGAGATCGATGGGTTTGAAGAGGACGAAGATAGCAGTAACACCGATACAGTTACCCCCAAGCGTAGTGAGCAACTCGTGTAATAATAGTAGTTTCAGTGTATAGAAAAATAGACAACCAATTCACTCCTGAAAAACAAAAAAAAATTACACCAACAATTAACCTGGCAGTCCATCATCATCGTCATCACCACCAATCAATCACCACCATGAAGCCAATCGTGTCATCATTCCAAGCATACTGTTGTACTATATTATCAGCATTTGCCATAGTTATATTATCGGTCATTGGGTACTTGTTCAAGACAAACAGTGAATCGTTCATGGGGTCGATAAATGATCCTGAAGATGGCGAGGCCGTGGCATCCACTGTATTCGGTGCTGTTTTTGTCTACTTGGCATTCTTTGTATTCTGTGGATCACAAGTGTGGTTGATAAAGAGACAAGGAAGAATACAACTATAATCTATAACACACATACACACTCACTCACATCTATCTATATATATAATTCGTCAATTCTATAGAAAAGCAAATATACACACGTTTACACTCGAGGTATACTTTCCTTACCATCTTTCCAAGTAACATCACCCTTCCACTCACACATATCAAGTACAAGCTGTCTAACCAGATTGACTTGCTCAACACTAGCGCCATTGTTCAATGCGCCCTTCAAGTGTCCCTTGAGTTGTGGATTGACATCCTGGGGAATCATACAGGCAATTGCTGCGAATGAGGTCTCCTTGCCGGGTAATATGTCTGTATAACTGAGCAATGGACTGTATATGTGATGGAAGATGTAGTTCCACAAGTCTGGATACGCATTGTAAATTTGTGTTTGCACTCGTTGGCTTATCTTGGAGTAAACAGCGTTCCAAAAATGTGTTCCTCTATTAATTTCAAGCGACAATTGATCGACATTGATGGAGTTTGGAGTTACTTCACTAGTGTCCAGTTCAAGCATAGTAGTTCTATGAACAGTAGCCATTAAGCATTTTGGTGTTGCTGCCTTGAGGGCCATCATAGCGTTGATTGACTTGGGCATGCCAATCATCACACTAATCTTGAGAATAACCTCTCTTGTCTGGTCGATAAGAGTTTGTTGCATTCCAAGAACATCGTTCCTGGAACATAGCAATGGCAAGTCTTCAGATACTAGTTGAGGAACTTCATATGATGGATCCTGTTGTGCTCGTCTCACGGTATCAATGCATTGTTGGGCGAGTTTCACTAGATCAACGGCATTCAAAACTCGACGTTGCAATGCGAAATAACAAATCACAGGTGCATCCTCAGGCAAGTTGAGTTGAGATATACACGCAATAGCGGGAATGTACCAACTATCCTGGATATGTTCATACGAAGCCAACTCAGCTAGTCTTTCTGCCGTCAACATGGTATCGGGGAGAGAGGGAGTGAGAGAGACAGAGAGAGAGTACATGAAATTTTTTGTGTGGGGAGGAGGACTGAAAAATTACACTATCTAATTTATACACCTACAACTTGGCTACTCCTTCTTTACCACCTTGCCAATGGACACCACCGGCCCAATCACAAATATCAAATGTCAACAGTCTAACATCATCCAACTCCTGTTTAGTGGCACCGTTATTCAACGCACCTTTCAAGTGTCCCTTCAACTGGGGATTAACATCCTGAGGAATCAAACAGGCAACCACACACATCGACGTCTCCTTGCCCAGAAGGATATCAGTATAACTCAATAACGGAGCGTAGATATGATGGTAGGCAAAGTACCACAAGTCCGGGTATGCCGTCAACATCTGCTGCTTGATCCGGGTGTTGATCTTGTTGGTGTACACCGAATTCCAAAAGTTGGACCCGCGCACCAACTCCTTCTTAATCTGTCTAACGTCGATAGACTGCTTGGAAATGGGCCCGTCAATAGTGTCTGTGGTTGACTGTTGTTCGAATGACGTGCCGTCGAAATCTTCACTGACGATTGACGACGAGGGGATCTTGCCTGGGTGGACGATAAGGTTACGTTCCGGGATCAACCCGGCTTTCAAGGACGTAGGCGTAACCGTTTTCAAAATCATCAATGCATTGATCGCCCTGGGTAACCCTCCAAGGGCCACACTCTTGAGTATAACTTCTCTGATCCGACAAGTGACTCTATCCTGGGTGGCATGAATATCTTCACTTCTTGAGTACTTAAACTTCAAGGGCAAGTGCTGGGTATACACCAACAAATCGGGCAAGTTGACTCCGACTCCAGTCAAATCAGCATACTTCTTAGCCGAGTTGATCGAATCCTGGGCTAGTTGAAGCATGTGTTTGTCAGTAAGCACGCTGTCATCACTGGGAGTGTCCAACAACTGCTGGCGCAATGCAAAGTGGTAGAGCCGGGGGATCTCCTGGGGTTGGTTGACAATGGTGAGACACGCAGTGGCAATCAAGTACCAGGTATTGTGGAGACTGGGGTAGTTGTATGCCAATCTAACTAGTCTTTCGGCAGTGAGAATTGTCATGGTTGTAAAGAAGAGAAAGTACACAGAATTGTTGGATTTTTCTTGTGCTTATGTGGGGAAATTTTTATCCTCGGTGGGTCGGTGGGAAATGTTGAGCCGCACGATATTTTCCATGGATATTCCTATAACCTATAAAAGTTTACCTACTTTCTAATACTGGAACTAATCCAGCTCTTGGCAATGCCATCCTTAGCACGCTCTCCTTGTTCCTTAGTCCAAATCCCCATAGCCCAAAAATGTTGCAAGCTTTTAAACATAGGCGCGACCTTAGCGTTGAACTGTCTGAATGGAAGACCGTTCCTGGCCGACAAGTCTCGGGGAAACGTATCCAACAATTCATTCTTGGTTAATTCCTTAATAGGATGGTCTTCCAAGAATCTATCTACTCTATAATTAGCTTCTTCTGGTGATGTGGCCATTCGATCCGTCGAGCCAGAAGTAGTTTCCCATGGTCGCATGGTATTATCCAAGGGGATCCAACGATCGAACCGTCTCCACGCATCGGAATTCACCATCTCTTTAATCCGGGAAACTGCTCGTTTGAAAGCAAACTTCTCATCATCACCAGTAAATGCTTTCAAGTTCTTGTAATTCTTCTGGTTCACCTGCTCATAGTCGTCGTAACTCTTGGTATGATCGTGATCGTACGTACTCACGTTGGGACGATATGGATTCATCATGTCTATACTTGTCCTAGCAAACATTTCCTCGTCCTGCACTTGCAAGTTACTAGTAACTTCCTTGTAATTCTCCCGCAAGTATTCCATTAACTCAGTGTTATCCTGGTGTAGCACATCCGGAAAGAAAAGATGATCGATGTCAACTTCACAGCGAATGAAAAGCTGGCACTTCGATTCATAAATTGCATCTAACAAAGTGATGAATCTCCGTGCTTCGTTCTTCTTGCTTGCGGTCATTATTGGCACATTATCGAGGATGATGGTTTTGTAGTGCGATGCAATTGTGATGTAGTCCGAGGAGGAGTGTAATCCCTGACATATCTCAGCAAAGTCAAGGTATGCTGTAGTGTCGTTGAAGGTTAACGGGATATTGATTTTTCTATTGTAAACTGTGATTGTCGATGGACGCCCTCCTAATTCACCAACACTAGAAGTGTCACTCGACAGACCAGTTGCTTGCTTGACTAGTTCAATCCATTGGGTGTTGTGCTGGGCGTTACCTCTCTTGACGATTAAGTTAGGCTGAGTAGTCGAGTTTGCTGCAAAATAACTCCGATAATCCTTTTCAGAATTAATATCCACACTATGGCACCTCGAATTCAAAATCAGCAAGAACCCTGTAAAATTCTTGCGATGGAACAGATTCGAGTACAAGTCCTCGGGCAACTTATTCGACGTGGCCACAAGCACGCCACCCAACTTGAAATAGTATGTAAACAAAATCTTGACAATGTTGGCCGCGGCGATATCCGGAAGGACAAACTCGTCCAAGATCAAAATTGTGTTCTTGTTGATCATCTTCTGGGCGATCTCGTACAAGATGAACTCGTTCTCCATAGTATAGCACTGCAACAGTTTCCCATTGCCCATAGTGCTCGTTAACATTCTCTCCTGTTGAATCTGGTGCATTTCACTAAACACCCAGAGGATGAAGTTGTTGTAATGCCATCTCATCTTAGATTTGTGTGGTAATGAGGCGGCAAAGATGTCCATAAGCATCGATTTACCACTGCCGACCCCACCATTCACGAGCAAACCCTGGGGCGAAGCGAACGTGTGCAAGTGGTCCTCATCGGACATGTACTTCATCAACGCCTTCTTGTCGGTGTCGACATTACTGAACAAGTTCCGAATAGCGGTGTATTTCAAGGGCGAGAACCCCTGGGCGCGTGCTTCGTGTTTGGCATGCTTGAGTTGGATCTTGCGGATGAGTAAACTGAGATTAATCAGAAGCTCTTCGGGCGGGGTATAGTCGACTACTCGGTGGTAGAGTTTCTGAAACTCCTTCATTACACGGAGTTGGCTCTCGTCCTTCTGGAGGATGCCATTGTGGATGTAGTTTTGGTAGATGATGTATGGGTCAGTTATGGCAAGCCCGACTGAACCTGACTCGGGGACGTGTATTTGTGGTAATCTTCCTTCCACACCTTGGTTTCCCGACGTGTACTTGCTGTAAAAGCGCAAGCCTCTTATTCTTACACGGAACGACATAGCTAGCGAAGAGAGAGAGCAGACCAGAACAAGTTAAACGACAATGGATGAAATTATTTATGTTGCAAGACACGATCAGATAAGAAATTTTTCAAATCTCCGATCTCGGTAAGATGCTAATTATTAATTACGTTATATGCAGTTATGTATTCTATCGGGTGGTATTCATCCTCATCGGACATGTATACCGATGTGTAACCTGTAGTCACATTGCAATAGTTGCTCCCGACTCGGATATGACGTATGCTACTACTACTACTACCACTACTACTTCCTATTCATGCTCATCTGGGCAAACTTCCGATCCAAAGAATTAGACAACCCATTCATCTCCTCATCAGTACGTCCATACAACTCAGACCACCATTTGACATCAGCAAAATTAAAGAAAATCACGTCGTCCAGTTTATAACCCGCATTGACAAACTCACCTGGCCGACTGTTGAAGTAGTCCCACACCGACACGGTACTCTCGTGCACTTTAAACACTTGATACAATTCCCGTTCTGAATCACAAAGAAACGTCCCGTATTGACACGAATAGTAATGGTAAAACAACCGTTTCAAGAATCGACTATTGAACTCGAATTTCGACGGGTGTTGTCGTAATATCTGGTATACACAATCCAAAAACTGGTGGAAAACAGGAGATTTGTCAGTGCTGCCACTGTACACCGATGCCATGGGGATATACTTTTCGTCATCAGGAGCAGGTGAACTCAACCCACTCTGAGCCGAGTTTTTGATATCCCGAGCTGCCTTGGCTGCTCGCTGAAAGAAACTAGTCACACTGGCAGCAGCACCACCCAGGGTTTCTCCCTCATAAACGGAACTTTCAACAGAACTCTCGGAAGCCTGGTCGGATATTTCTGTATTGCTTGACCCATTGGTTTTCACTTCCTTCTTGACAATCGCACCAATACAACCGCCATGATCGGCCCTGGTGGCAAACTTGAACCCGAAACTGACCCATTCCTTTTCAATGAGTACCATAAACCCCTTGATTGTTCTATAATATGGATCAAGACACAATTGTGCCAATGCTGATACTTGTGACGTTCTATCCCAACCATCAGAACAATGTATTATAACATTTGTGTTGTTGAAATGGATCGACTTGGTTATACGGTCCACCGACTGAAGTATAAGGGAAAGTCGGTGCAACCATTGAGTTTTCGTAAGTTGCTGTTGTAATAAAGCACTACTACCGGCTGATCCAGTAGGATACTTGTCAAGATCATTCAAGACAGACGTCAACTTATTCACAGAATCCCTCATGACATGAATGTTGTCAATATTACAAAATATCTTCTCCACATGTCGTAAATTGGTTTCGGGAATCTCATCAGGCGAACCTTCCTTCTGTGGAGTCTTGCCTCGATAATTTTCAACATTCTCTGTTCCTGCTCCTAATGCATGTTGTCCTATTGCGTTGGTCAACGGACGTAGATCGACTAGTAAGTTTCGTTGTGGTTGGTTTTGATACTCGTCCTCTTCCGACATGTTGTATTCTCGTTCTTCTTGCTGGGTCTTGAATATCTCCCCAATCAACTTCTCATCTTGAATTGATCGATTCTGCAAGTTTAGTCCTACCAATGGCTGTGCACATCGGGCAATCACATTCCCATTACTTCCACGGTGTTTATATACTATCGCTGGTATTCTCTGTTTTGACCGGAACTTACCGGCATGTTTCAACACATTATCTGAGATTGAACTGGGGACAACAATCACTTTAGGATACGACGGACAGAACTTATACTCTTCGTTGATATTCGTTACTCTCCAGTACTTTTCATTCTCAATCAAGTTCAACCGGGTATACTCTTGAACTGGATCGTACAAATCCCACCCTCGAACTTCCAACGCCTGTTCCAACATGTTTGGTCTGTATTCATACGCGTACAATGCCTTGATGTCATTCTCGCTCTTGCTCACCGTGATCAAGCTGCTCATTTTCGCAAACACCTCACAACAAATGGCATCATTTAAAAAGTCAAATGAATAAAACGTAAAGTCTTTGCACTGGAGACGAATATGTGATGCAGAATAGTGATCAAACTCATCAGATACAACTGGAGGTGTAGTGACATCACCGTTGACGTTGTTCATCCATGAGGATCCGCGAGCCTTTGACATTCGGTCAATTATGGGATAACATATCCAGATTTCGCGTGGCGTAGATGATGTTGGTGTGGTGAAGGAAAAAACAAGGTGATATGTAGATAATATGAGTGTTCCGCGGATGTGGTACCCTCTCCGGTTTAGGATGACATCATTCACGGTGGATATCTTGAGTGGATCCATCGTAATGCAACGGTGTGCTGTAGGTTGTCTGGCTGTTGATGGGGGATTTCCTGTGCTTATCTTTTTTTTTTTGGGGGCAACATCTGCTACCAATTACAGAAATAATTTATTACTATGTATTAACTACAACCCTTCAAACTTACGGATCCCATGCTCGTGCTTCTGCATGTTACGAAGCTGTTTAGTAGTCATCTTCTTTTCCTTCAACTTTTGTTTCTTCAGTTTTGGTTCTTCGGCGGGCTCTTCTGGTTCAGTCTTTGTAAGTTTGTTGATGTCGATCACTTTACGTTTGGGTTTCGATACTATTTGCGAGATATCCGTACGTTTTCTGCGGACTAATTGTGGAGGTGGTGCTTCCTCCTCTTCATCAGAGTTCAGGTCCAGGTCTGCATCTTCTTCGTCACTATCATCTTGTTCGTCGTTGTCTTTGTCCTTCTCGGAATCATTGTCATCATCACTATCTGAGAAATCCAGAGGGCCCAAAGAGTCGCTTTCAGACTCTTTATCAACATCAGAATCACTAGAATCACTATCTTCTTCTTCTTCTTCACTCTCATGCTCAGCTTGCTCAACCTCTCTGTTCGACCAAATCTTCAAAGTGTCCATACCAGCACTAATCAACCTATAATCGTAATCAATATCTAAAATACCCACCTCATCAACAGCACCATGCTTTCCTCTTGCACTAGAATGAACTCGTGTCTCCGCTACTTTTCCTCGTTTGTAATTAACTCTATGCAATAACCCTTCACTGTCACCATACCACACGGAATTACACATCTCTTCATCGTCGGCATTCATGGTAGGGACAATTGCGTCAATTGAGGCCTCCTTATTCACTTTGATACGCGACAACTGGTCCATGAATTTATTCTTGGAATTCTTCCATATCGTGACGATCCCCTCGCCATGGCCTACCAATACGGTATCATTGTTGTTTTCCGTGATGTTGTCACTAGCATAGCACATCGAAAGAAGCTCGTCCTCTTGATCGTCTGACTGGGTAATTATTCCCTTTCTTATATCAATATGGGCAAGTGTAGTCGAACCCAACGTGAGATAGTGATACGCCGACACCGTAGGCATGGCCATGATATGGTTAATGGCATCATCATGGACAGAACTCACTTTGAATTTTAATTTCCCTGACGTTAAATTAGAACTGTCGTATACTAAAACATGTCCATTCTCAGTACCGGCCAATAAGACCGGATTGCTGGTGGAATGACACAATTTCGTTATGGAATCCTTAGGGTTGGGGTAATCTCCAGTAACAGTGTGTTTACCAACCACTTTCCCGGTTTCCGTGGCAGCCTTCTTGATAATATTGTCGGTTCCGACAGTATACACAAACTCACCCACAGAATTCTCCAATGGGTCAAATATGGCATGACGACAAGAACCCTTGTGACGTTTCGTTTTCCAGTTGGTGCGAACTAAATCATCTTCAACTTCGGAATGGTCTTGGATCACCTTCCACCACTTCTTACCCAGTTGAGAAACTGATTTGTTGATGTAGGGCAATTTCCCGGCTTCATAGGCCTGCTTTTGTAATTCAAGAATCTCTTCTCGTTTCTTGATCAGCCTTTCTTCGAGTTGTTCGGCATCATAGGAGTTACAGTAGACATGTCCGGTAGCTAACCCTGAGAGGAGAATTGGTTTAGTTGGGTGGGATGCGATTGTAAATAATGGATCTTTGTAGTTGATCTCGACAATTGGAGACACTGACGATTCTAATACTTGTGCTGCATTGGCTGCATTGGATTTCTTCTTGGCCATGGTTGCTTCGATGAGATGAGATGACTTGAAAAATAGTATACTCAGTCTGAAAAAAAAAAATAATAATAATATACCTTTGATATATTGAGAACATACACCAGCAAAAATCTCCTTCCGTGTAAAAGCAAGATACTCTCATATAAAAGTAATACTACGGCAGGGCTAAATATAATGTTTATTAAACAACTATAAAATCTAAAAAATATCACCAGTACCAGCCAAATCTTTCTGTTTCCGTCTATTCCAATACTCGCCATTAAACTCCCAGAAAATATCCCCGGTAACTGGATGCTTCTTCTTGACAAACCAATTAGGAACATATGGCTCGCCACTCTCCTCTCTCTGCTTTCTCGCCTGTCTTTGCTTTACTTCTACCCGGTGCTTCTCGTCGGCGGCTCTGTCGTAAAGTCCGTCCTCCATATCTCGCTGGTCCGGTCTCAATCTCGAATCAGTTGGTGCCAAATATGGCTTCAAGTTATCATCAATCCCATTCAATGTTACAGCAAACGCAGTCAAGTTGAATGGCACCTTAGGTCTAGGAGCAGCCTGCCACACCAAGAATTTCTGGCCCGAGAATGGATCATTGCTCGTCTTGCTCTTGGCAAGGGCAGATTCGTCCAATAACGAGTTTCTTCGTTGTTGAGGATTAGGTTCGTTTCTCAATGACTCCAGGGTGATTTTCTTGGCATAAATCTTGGAGTTCCAATGACCACCCATGGCCCAGCGTGGCACACCATCTTTATCAAGCGCTTGACCTGACAATTGATACGCCGACGAAGCTCTCCATCCACGTTGTTTCATATCGACAATAATTTGATCACCGGTGGTGTGATTAGTGACAATCTTTTTCCCGTAATTGTCCACAGTAGGGTTCCCAAGCATGATACCGACAACAGCAGTATTGACCTTCTTCCAACTGTACAATTCCTCAGCGACACGGTTCCCATTCTTGTCAATTACACCATTGTCTGGTCTAAGCACACAGAACATCTTACCTAAATGCTTAAAGTCAAAGGAACGACCGGTGAATTTGGAATCAACTGCATTTTCACCATAGTAATCCCATTTGGGCGACTGAGCAGAAGTGGCACTAATGGGTGGATGGTGACTCACTTGTTCGGCAACCATTCGGTAATGTTGGTCGGGACGACAGTATTCAAAAGTCTCACCTAATAATGGATTGAAAGGCTTGGCAATTCTATTAATGGTGGATGCGTATTCCGAAGCGGCAAAGGCAGCCACATAGATTAAACGCAAGGTGGAATCATCATAGGTACAGGCAGTATCCAACAAGCTACAATATTCAATATCTTCCGATAAACGTTGCAACAAAGAGGTAGGTTCATTGAACGAAACAGGTAAGGTCATTCGGGTCATATCTTTACCAATCATTGATTTCAAAATACCCCATAATCCAACCTTGGGTCTATTATCTTCATCCATGGCCAACTTCGTACGATGTGGATTTTCATAACCAAGGAATGACCCTTCAGCCTCTAGCTGCTTGGCCACTTCACGTTGAGCAGGATTAAGATTTTCCAATTCTTTGTCTTTAATGGTTCCTTTAGGTTCAACAGCTTCCTCTTCCTTTAAAGTTTCTTCCTCCATAGAAATACCAGCGAATTTAGGGATAACGGACTCGGAATCACCAGACAAGATCTTGGCCACAGTAGTCTCTTCTTCTTCTTCTTCTTCTTCATCCTCTTCAAATTCATCAGCATCAAAGAACTCATCGTCGGAATCCTCACCGAGGATCTCCCCAATCAAGTTGGTTGGAGCCTCCAATCTCAAATCCACTTTATCCAACTCGGGAGCTGCTTGCAGTAATACTTCATCCTTGGATACAATTTGTGAAGGCATGGGTGATGCCGCTGGTGGAGGACTAATAGGGACGGATCCCGACGCAATCAACTTCTTTAATTGTTTCTTTTGGTCTTCGTACTCCGATAATTTAACTTCACGATCCCGCATTTCATTTTCTAATTTACGGATCGAATTTTCCCACAAGCGATTCACTTCAACTTGTCTGTCCAATGAATGTTTCAATTTCGATTCACGAAGCTCAATACCTGAGTTATACCTGGTGAACAATTCCAGGATATTGTTTAATGCGGTTCCACCGACAGTATAAATTTGATTGGTTGGCTCAGCATCAAATTGCTTAATCAGGTTAAACAAGTCTAAAAGAGAGGTGATTTCCACTTCTAAAGACCGTTTGGTAGTGGCGATTCTATCATTCAACGAGGACATGTCTTCACTAGATTCAGTATCACTATCATAATCATCATCGCCAGCTTCCAAGTCGTAAATATCATAGTCAAACTCACCTTCGGAGTCTTGGTAACTGTATTGGTCATCAGCAGAATGAGCAAGGCCAGTGACAGAACTCTCCTTGATCTTCTTGAGGTTGTTCTTGAAAGTGCTGGAACGACTAGGTGGTTCAGCAATCAAATCGTCTTCCGAAGCAAAGGAAGCAACCGAAACCTGACTTGGAGTTCGCTTATGCTTGTTTTTGTCCTTCTTGCCAAATCTAAGACGGTGTCTCTTTTTCTCGACTGAATCTCTAACTTCTTCTTCAAAACTATGAGCACGATTGTCAGCTTCGTGAATGGGGGAGGTGGCTTTAATGGTAGGAGACCCAGGAGCAGTAAGATGGGTTGTTGAGATGTTGGGTGTAGTACCTGTGATTGAACCAGTGGAAGTTCTTGTTGCTTTCTTCTTGAGGTTATCTCTGGCAAAGGTAATGGCATTTTGTAAAGTCCATACCCATCTATTAGTTTCAATTGGATGATTAGCCTTTAAGTGCCATCTCAACCCATTCTTGCCAAAAATTTCAAACTTCAACTTTTCCGAAGAATCTAAGTGTAAAGTAGCATATCCCAAGTTGATCGACCCACGACAGGCATTGTTTGTATCGTCTTGATTGGTATAATATGACAAGATTCCAAATTGGTCAAGGACAAAGTATCTCAATTTATAACCGGAAGTGAAGTTTGTCCATTTGCGCAAGTATCCCTTATAAGTAGGAGGACCGGCCTTGGCCGCACTAGTGCTGGTTGACACCGGATCCATGATATTCTGCTCTTTGGAAGAAGTCTTGAGCAACTTTTTCAACTTGTCGTTGTTGTGAACTAAATCAATGGGCAATTTGCCGCGTTTGTCACGCTTGAATGGGTCACCGCCATGTTTCAAGATCCAATCGCACATTTCAATGTCGTCCTTCTTGATGAATTCATGCAACACGGTATTGCCGGTTTCAGGGTCGGCGCCATTGATATCCAACAACTCGGAAGCTCTTGGGTTCAACACAAGCAAGTTTTCCAAATTCTTGAAATCGCGATTACTGAAAAAGTTGCGTAGTTCAATAGCCGACTTTTCCACAAACTTTGCCCGTTCAAATTGCATGAGCTGGGCAATACTCAAGTCCTTGCACACTTCCACTGGCTGCTTCTTGTCTAGATTGACAATGGTGTCGTTAATCAGTGGCAAGCTCAACAAGTACTTGACAATGTCTAACCGGGAGGCAATAGCTGCCAAGTGCAACGGGGTGTTACCCTGGGCGTCCTGAGCATTGATGTCAAGATTGAACTTTTCGGCATTGATAACGAGATACTGGATGGTCTGCAAGGAGGATACTTGTACGGCATAGTGAAATATGGTTTCTTTCAACTGGAGTATGTCCTGAGTTTGTAGTGTGGTGGGACAACTGGATAGGTCATTGATCACGGCATCAATTTTGGCAACATCGGCACTTCTGAGCGCATCCAAAAGCTTCAATCGGAGTAAAGACGCACTTAACTGTTCAGACATGGTGTGTTGGTGTTGGTGTTGGTGTGTGGTGGGGGAGTATGTGAGTCCAGTGGTCTGTCTATAACTGATGAATTGGATGATCTATATATAGTTAAGAGTAGAATCTGACAAGTGTCACAAGTGTGTTGCCCAGTGGAGAAAGAAAAAGCTAAGCCCAAATGGCAAACAAGAAAAAGAAAAAAAAAAAAAAGAGGCCAGAAATTTTGTGCCTAAGAAAAAGACACAACCAAATGAAATGACAAATGATAGACACACAAACAATTGCAATATCAACAATATGAGTGTGACAATCTGGTCAGATATGTTTCGAGATGATTCCCATGACAGTTACTAGTGTAACTATGTTATGACTAGTAGGGAGGAGTAGATCTCCAACCCCACACACCTTCCCTTCCATCACACCATCACGTGATAGTTTATATGGGAAACCATAAATTGATTCATTTCTTAAAAGGGCAAAACCTAATAATGGTTTGAAATATTTATATGAGATAATGGATAAGGTTCGACTTTTGTATTCCGAGGTTGGAGAGGCAATTCTATGGGTGGTACTGGTGTAGAAGCTTGCTGGTGATTTTATGATTGCGAAATCTACATTTTACGATTGCTGTCTTGGCTGATAATGCGTGCCTGGTTTATTGCTGCAATTTTGCGAGTTCTAACCAATAGGATTGTCGCTGGAATACGCTGGTACACTTACGACGACAAGAGGTATACACTACAATTCAAGGTTGAAACTGGTTGAAATTCTATGTAGGTAGGGACCACAAAACCGGTTACACTTTCTACACATGCACACGCCCACACGCCCACACACAAACTCCCCCCAGGCCGAACCTCGGTCATATCATTGTTCAATTCAGCATCACCATTGACACTGATCTTTACCACTTTGGGTAAGTAACCATCTAATAATTGTTATTTTGTACAATGGCATCTTGCAAGACATGAGCTGCGAATTCGATGTAGGTTTGGCTCGGCTTTAATAGGTGTATGAGTAAGCTTTGTGAGCCACACCTTCCTAATTGGGACAGTCCCAATGATTACGAATTATCTACCCCAACAAATTTAGTGAAAATTTGTCCTATCAAATCAACTACAAGTGCAAAGTATACCACTAGTTAACATGTCTATGAAATTAAAAATCAAGTCGTTCTTTGGCAGCAACAGACAATACGCCGTGGTTGGTGCTAGTAATAACCCAAGCAAGTTCGGGTACAAGATCCTACTGTGGTATGTGAGTCACAAATTACCTGTGATCCCCATCAACCCCAAGGAACAAGAAATCCTTGGTCAAGCCGTGGTCAACAACATCACGGCTGTTTTACAAGCTGTTGGTTCCAAACAAGATATCTCCACCCACAAGACTTCTACGGTTGACGGTGTGAGTATTTCCTTCTTGACTCCACCAAAGATCACTTCGGCAACTTTGTTGGAAATTGCTACTGTTCCTGACTACAAGAGCATCGTCAAGGGATTATGGTTCCAACCAGGCAGTTACGACCAAGAAGTTTTGGATGTTGCCCAGCAAATTGGATTGTCGGACCTTGTGATCCAAGAAGACGAATGTATCTTGGTTCGAGGCGAAGAAGGCATGGTCAGTGCTAATTTATAGTATCAGTACGAAGTTACCTGTTAATATCAATATTAATATAAATATATATATATATATATACACTCACATAAACACATATATACAAATTGAAAACCTACTATAGCATTTTCTTTATATAATCACCCCAGCTCTCGTCGATTTGTTCGGTTCTTACTGACGAAGACAGCGCTTCCGAACCGGTGGCTGTAACTGTTTCCGCTTCAAGCACGGAGATTTTGTAGGGGAAGGGGGAGCTTTCTAGAGTTGTGATAGGTGGAATGTGCTGTTTGTGCCTATCTACCGAGTCGATTATTTTGATAAGATTAAGCTCGAAACTTTTGATTGACTTTACCATATTGGTACTGTAATTGTTATCTCTGGGGTGAGTTGCTGGTGGTTGGTCAGTTTGAGGTGATGATGTTTCTGTTGGTCTCTGGAATGTCTGGCTGCTCAGAGCATCACTTGTGTGTACTTCGTCGATTGGTAAACATTCGACGTTAATAATCCACGATTCCCACGCCTTTAAATTGTCACTAGTTTGTGTATCCACTTTGCCGCCAAACCATCCAGTTTTCTTCTTGATGTGTCCATCCTTATCAAGAAACTGAATGTTTACCACCCCCTTCAGAGGCAACCTCCTGTCAAAATTCGATTTAACCAATTGATTAATTCGTTCATCTATAAGGGAATCCAAATCGGGCAAATTGACAGCAATGGGGTACGTTATATTGAGAAACTCGTTTGTGGCGGGTGTGATAGGTCCAAACAATCGATTGAAAAATACCGTCCACATTATCCCTGCAAATTGTTAGTAACACGTCCTGATGACACATATACACTTAGTTATACACACGCACACACACCTTTTAGCGATTCTCTAATCACTGACCGCTCAGCAATTAAATCAAGGACAAACTCCATTGTTGACTCTATTGTGTTATTAGTATGATGATGTATTTACACTCTATTATCTAGTTCATCTATGAATTGTATGGGGGTGATTGGTGAACAGAGTAAGTTTAAAGAAACAGCTGTAGTTTGTAGTTCCTTGTTTTTGTGTATGCCCCGCGCGTGTGACAACGCCTCCTAAAAGGGTTCCGCATTTTTTGGGTGCAACTGCGACTTGCTATACGAGTGTGGTCTACTGCGCATATGGACTGTTCTAGTTGGCAGACTGTGCTAGTTGGCAGACTGTGCTAGTTGGCAGACTGTGCTGGCTAGAGATAGATCACAGTAAAGTAAGCTGTCTACGCATATCTACCAGGCAATAGCTACAGCGATATTAGCTATCCAAGTTAAACTTAAACTTAAACTTCCAACAATTATAAAAAACTTAATCTAGCAGATTGAGGTACCGGTCAACACAACCTTGACAACAGAATTGTTTGCGAATAGGGATGTTGCGATTCTCAAGAATATCCCACCACTCAAATACCTCAGCCACAGGTTCAACCACAATTAAGCTACATTGATTACACGTATCTCTCTGTTTTCCCTGGGCTATGGCCTTGGCCATGAGCGTGTGGAACACCTTGGGCGTTTGCTGTTTCCAAATCCTCGTTTCCTTGTATGTTATGTCGTAATTTGCTATCTTGTCCAAACACAAGCTCTTCAATGAAGGTACCTTCGACTTGTGTGGTGATAGATAGTTTATGCTAGTTCTGTGATGACATTCATGAGTTGATAATGTGTAGTTGCACTCTATGGCGTCGTCTTCGGGTATTCTCATCAACGGATTAGGTCCAGCCAGGAACGTTTGAAGTTTTGGCAAATGCAATAACTGGTATGGCAACCAGGAGATTTTGTTTGTACTCAACGTCAAATCCGTCAAGTTGGTTAATTTTTCAATCAAGGGAGGAATACGACTGATCTTGTTATGTCGAAGCACCAACACGTTCAACTTGGTAAACTTGAACAACGAAGGAGGCAACGTCGTGAGTTTATTGTGGGACAAGTAGAGCTCGTAGCTGGGGGATGCAGTATCGAATATCACCAAGTTGTTCAAATCCTTAATTTCATTGGGGAGGTCATGGAGGTTCATCGACTGCAAATTGATGACCGTCTCGATACTCTCAAATGCCTCCAAGATGACCAGTCTCGCCTTGTTGAAGCCTGTGTCTTTGTATTCATCGTCGGCGTTGGACGAGGGCAAGTCGTTGAAACTGACTTTGAACCGATTGAACCGATCAATGCCAAAGTCGGCATCAGAACTAATGTTTCGATGGGGTAAGATCACATCGGGCTCACTGGGTAAATTATGGATATGCTTGGGCGACTCAGGAACCGCATGTGTTGTGGTGGAAAAGTCAAACTCCGACATCAACGGGATTTCAACGGGTGGTGAGCTGGGTGGTAGTTCCTCGTGATCGTCTATTTCAGTAGGCAATTCAATATCTGCTCTTTTGATATCATCTCGCTCATTAAAACTGGTCAACTTTCTCTTAAGACTGGGAACTATTCTATCACCTAGTGGGACTCGTCTATCCAGTTCAGGTGTGACCAAATGGGTCGTTCTCGTGTGGTATCGACTAGAGGCATTCTCATCAATCACAGTTCTTGCCCGTGGGGTAGTGTTCAAAGGGTTGATGTCATTGATGACAGAACTGGTGAATGCAAATGGAAGCAATGGATTATTCTTCTCCATTGAAGTGGATAGTTGCAAAAAGGTTGTGAGTGATAACTACGTAGTATTGCTGTTGTGGCTGTTAAATTTTTGTTGATGTTTATATAATCTTTTGAGTTCTCGGGCAATCATCGGAAATACCCTAATTAGTATGCAGGAGTGGTACAATTCTACCCAATAATTAAATTTCAAGCAACTTGCTGGGAGTGTGGAGAGAACGTTTACGTGTTTGTGCTACTACATGATCTTATTGTGATGTTGATTGTTTACTGGTAGGCTAACATTAAGGTTTATACTTTATAGTGCCAAGTATAGTTGATGTTGTCATTGCAATTGAGACACAGGGCCCCCCACTGAGCAAATGTTCTTTTTTTTTTTTTACGCGTCGCGCAGATGCTTAGTCAGTACTAAAACACTCTTTTGCACAGGCATATCCTAATAGTATATGGTCGTCTTTATTACAATTGTAGCATGACCATATTCTCTATAGGATAAACCTAAACTGGGGTATACACAAAACCCTTTTGATAGAACTTGGTTCTGTCCAGCCTTGGCATGGGATGGTCTCCAGAAAAGAAATGAAATGAAAAAAAAAAACAATCCTTTATTTTACGATTTAGATTTCCATACAAACAAACTCGCTAATTCGATACAATAACACATCAAATATAAACATATAACTATGTAAAACTTGCAAAAATTAAAGATCAGGTCGTACCCGGATTCGAACCGGGGTTGTTCGGATCAAAACCGAAAGTGATAACCACTACACTATACAACCGAATAGTTGCCTTTCTGTTCCATAATCGCACTAGTGCGATTAGAAATATGATTACAGCTAAGCAGTCACACTTGCCACGTGACCATGTTGCAAGTACTGCACAGCGTGTCAAGAGTGACGCGTGTTGAATAAGTTTGGTTAATGTCACAATAGTGACATTTGCAAACTATTTAAAGTGAAAGTGTTCACTTTGTGTTTTTATAGTTTCATATCTCTTTTCTCTAGTCAATCTACAATTGCTCAAGCATCTAGAATCGAGCCTCGGTTTAGATAATCTGTTCCTGTATTCCTGTGTATATAATACGTCTAGCTACCTGTCATTATAGAACACCAAACATCGAATTCGCCTTTATGGCCAAGTTGGTAAGGCACCTCACTAGTAATGAGGAGATCGTCAGTTCGAATCTGGCTGAAGGCATTTGAATTATTTTTTTGACTACATTGCATATATTATTACTATAGATCTTTGTGTTGTATTAATTGTTTGCGTGTTTTGTACCCATGTTGGTGGACAAAATTTTTTTTCGGCGTTTCATGGTGCAGTGCACAGAGATGCAATGTCGTGCACCGCCCAAAACTACACGAAGGGCAAAAAAAAATTGTGCATCGTTGTTGGGCTGGAAAAGTCGGACCGGGACCACGGGAAGCTAATCTTGGTTTTGAAACAAACAAGATCACAATTACATTTGCATCAATCTAAATTTACGTTTGACAGCTAAATAATTATACGAAAACTATTGTAAGAATGCCTAAAAAGGTGAAATCCGAAAGTGGGGAGCTGAATAGAGGAGGAACTGATAGTCCTCAGGCACCCCAGCAATCATACCAACAATATGCAGAAAATACTGCTTATTTACCTACGCAGCAACAGCAACACCACCACCGTCATCACCAAGAATCTAACTTGCGCGAAGGTTCTAGATTTGATTCCCCTATAAATGACCAACAATTGAACCAACCATCTCCCCTGGGGCAATCTTATTTGCAGACCCTGACTCAGCTGCAACCGCAACCACAACCACAAACCCAGGCCCCAGAACTACCTAGACCAACTATAGGTAAAACTCAAGGCGCATTTGCCGCCTCTCCAGGCGGGTACATGCCATTTCCAGCAATGTTGCACCCATCGGTACAACATTATCCTCAACCACCTCCTCCTGTAGGGCAGCCTGCGCAAGCTCATTCACCATCGGCAGTTCCTTCCATGGGTACCTCAGGCCTAACATCTACCGTTCTGTTCGGTCTGAATCCTCTGACAGGCATGCCTACCCTGGCACCATCTCCTGTTGGAATCAGTAATTTTAAAGGAAGAATGAGAGTTAGTAAGGCCTGTGACAGATGTCGTACTCAAAAGATTAAATGTTCTGGTACTCACCCTTGTAATACCTGTGTTAAACATAAGAAAGAGTGTACATTTTCTACAAACTATCATGCTAGTGCTGCTGGAAGTACCACTACCAATACTGGATTTTCTGCTAACGGAAAGAGTACCTCTGATCACCCCTTGAATAAACGCCAGAAAACTGTGATGAATGTTGAACCATTTGGATTACCCCAGATGGATAGAAACCACGACAAGGAGTACGTTGCTCATCTTGAAAACAGAGTTCAATATCTTGAAAGTTTGTTGACTCAAAACATGTCACAAACTTTCCGAGAACCAAGGATTTCTGAACCTGAAAATGTCCAGGTTGAAGAAACATTATTTGCAAGTAGTAGTAAATGGAGATTTTCAAGACGCCATCAGAATTTACTTATTGTGGAATTATGCCGGTCAATGTTTGCTAATTTATCTGAGGAACTGAAGAAATTAGTGACTATTCCAAGAACTCAATATTTTGGTTGGAATATGTCAGGCGTGCATTATGTTAATTCCGATGAGTTGCCTCCTATCCCTGATTTTACTAATTGCCCTAAATTCAATCCTCAAGAATTAATCGATTATTACTTTCGTGAATTGAATTCATTATTTGCTGTCTTACATGAAACTGTATTTAGAGAACAGTACCAAGCATACTATAAGCTATTACAAGAACAACAGTTGAACAAGTCAAATGATAGAGATGCCAAAACTAACCAAACAAGATTGTTTAGTGCAATATTATATCTTGTATATGCTTTGGCTATACGTTTCAGTGAGGTACAAAAGCCAAAGGGTCCAAATATTGAGATGTTACAATTTGAACTGAAGTTATTCAAATATGGATACAAAGTTGTATCCATTCTTAGTTTTGAATGGGAGTCATTTGAACTTATCCAAGCATGGTTATTGATCGGTCTTTATCTTAGAGTCACCCACCGTCAAACTTCTTCTTCTCATGCATTTGACTCTGCTATAGTTATGACTAAATCAATGGGATTAGGGTTTGAAGAAAGCAACCCTAAAATGCTCGCCTGTACCGCGTATGAGCGTGTCAAGGCCAACAGAATCTTTTGGTGTGTTTATACGTTTGACAGGATCTTTGGATTGTTGACTGGTAGATATTGTGGTATCAGAGAAGAAGATTTTGATAGACGATTCCCCAGTTATGATGACTTTAAGATCGATACATTTAAAGATGATTGGATGACATTCCCGGCTATGGCATTGCTACATGTTGCAAGAATTGCAAATTTTGTACATACTGCGCCCAATGACAATCCCGACTTGATCAAATATCAACAAATCAATACAGAATTGGCTAAATTACACGATTGGTTTAATTCTAATGGATTTAGAAATGATTTGTTGTTTAACAAGGAAGATGACACAATCAGTTCTTTAGTCAAAGCTCAGGTCAAGTTGCACTATTACGATTTGGTTTTATGTATTCATGGGAAAATCTTGTTTAATTATATCGGAAGAAGAATTACAAGTCATGGATTGAAGATTGAAATGGTGATCGATGCAAGTAATGGTGTCCTTGAGGTATTGGATAAAGTTAATAAAGCCGGGTTGTTATACACCCCATGGTATTCTACCTTGTTATTGTTGTTTAACGTCGGAGTTTGTGCTCTTACGCTTATCAATGGAGGGGTTTTTGTGGTACAAGCCCGTGATCTTCTCAAGAACACTATCAGATTATTTACAATATTACGGAAATCACCAGTTAGAAATGATCAAGGAAAACTTGTATTTAGAGAAAGGTTCAAGATGGTAAGAGAGTGTATTTGGGCACTTAAAATGGCCAACAGAATTTTGACCCTTCGTATTCAAGAAGATATGACTGCCTTGAACAACATTGGAGTGGACCATGGATCATCTGAAGTCAATAAACAGACATTTACCCAATTAGGTGTAAATTCAACGGAGGTGAACAAGAAAACTAATAATGAATTCAATAAAGTTTTCGAAAAGCAATTACATCGTAACGACGACGAAGACGAAGATGAAGAAGATGAAGAGTTTAGACCACGTGAATTAAAAACCCCTATCCTGCCCAACCAGGAACATGCAACTCCTTCGTCAATTACTTCTGTGGACAATAGCTCTGCATTTGGTGGCGTTAATTCAGGAGACCCAATTGATTTTTACGTAAACAACAATGGCCATGATTTATTAGGCAATATTCAATGGTTTGATCAATGGATGGATTTTAATTACGATTTTGGTGAGCAGAATGTATAACTATGTATGGATATATAACCTAGTTTAGACAATCCAGTTACTAAACCGTAAATAAAACGTGGAGAAGATCTTGAAAAGACCTTTATTATATTTTGCATCCAGTTTTTTTTTTTATTTCCCGGGTAAGATTCCCAATTTGGTTATCACGATAATTGTTGCGAGAATTGACGTATTTTTTCCGGTGCGAACTCAGACCGCGGAAGGTCCAACAGACTTGCATTTACAGTAGTTAACATTGTTCCTTGCTTTTACCCCATGGAGTAAAGCAAGTGGGGCACAATAAAAATACAATAAAGTGTTTGCTATACAATTAATTGTAGATTTATTTTCTAGAATACCCATGTTCTACGCTCCCGGGATACTCGCCCAATGTGGTACTGTTACTCCGTAAAAATAATATCGTGATAAAAAAAAATAAGATGTGCAATTGTTCCGTGCTTCTCCTATTTACATAATCAACGAAGATTTTGGTTTTTTTTTGTATTGTTGATTGTTTAGTTTTACCGAAGGGATGGTAATGCGGATATATGGAGTTTCGTTAAAAAATTACCATGTGAAAAAAAAGTGAACAAGTAGAAGAAGTGGAACTAGCGGAAGTAGCTACGGCTTGATACTATTTTTTAGCAATGGAAACTATGTGGCTTCACACTTCAAACAATGATAAACATGTAGAGCAATTTCTCTCTCCTCCACTGACACCCTGTGTTTAGTTGATGCTCATTAGTCATGGAACGCGGCGCAAAATAATAATATTTTGTATGTCGATCTCATTAATAATACATATCTGGCTTAACTCAAATGGGAAGCCTTACCAGATGGCAAATATCAACCACAGCGTGGCTGGTGGATCATGTCGATGCAACATGGACTCACAACCTACAAAGGGATTAAAACCCATATTGTGTAAATTTGTTACAAGTTAACTGTGTAATTGTGCTTCCTGACAGGCGGGGGTCACGGAATGGGGGAACAATAGGGGAAATCCACGCCTTAGTTCTAAGGGATGGAGATAGCGATAACGAACGATTTAGCGTTTCACCCCCAGGTGACATGCATGCAATGTTTATAGTTTCACATGGTTACACTTTAGTCATTTGTAAACAAAACGCCAGATGCAAAATAAATTCCACGGTGAAAAATATAGGTGTTTTCAATGCATACTAAAAAAAAAGAGCAAGGGTGGTGGAGGTGGGCGTGCGGGCGCAGTTACAACAGTCCGCGAACGTGGGGAATATATCGTAATCTACAACAATTTCCTAATCTAAATTAAAATGAGCCAATTTTATGGAAATACCTGCCTTGGAAACTTTCTCTGGTTATCAGTACTAAAATTAGGGGAAACTAAAGATAGTGGGAAGGTGAACAAAACCAGAGATAAAATGAACAAACAAAAAAAAAAAACGTCTGGACTTTCTTTGTTTGATATTTTTTAGGAAAACCAGAACTAAAAAACAATACTAAATAATTATGCAAAGACCCCACCTTCCACCCTCCACCTGAATTATTCTAACTAATGCCCCATAAAAAATTTATTGTTTATTGTTTCTCCCCGATAAACTCCAACAGCTTAATTATTGAATTATTTTCGCAGGGAAGCTCGGAGGTATATTACCAACTGTGGAAACACAAGGTAGACCTCCTATAATCGGGAACACTTCCTCATCCCCTCCTTCTCTCCCCATTTAGTCCCCAGCCTGCATAACCGTTAGTGGAATCTTTTATTTTTATTTTGTTTTGTTTGTCCCCATCTCGGAAAAATTTTTCTTTTTATTCGTATGCGGCAATCAGGAAACGACTAAAAAAAAAAGCAAGCACAGATGCTAATAGTTATTGCGAGCAAGTTGTAAAACTTCGGTTAATATTCCAAGATTAAACTAATGAGATGCTTGTGAATTGCATGAGCTATTTTAAGGCCGCTAACGTAAGATGATATACACAGAAAAATGACACCATGTGATAGGTATAGGGGTTACATTTTTACCACATTTCCTTTTTATGCGGTTCGGAAAAACTATCCAAGTTTTTGTGATCCAAGTTACATAAAAACTGTGGAACTGTCCCGATTAGGAAGGGCTCTTCCAAACAGAAAAGAAAAAAGAAACGAGGGAATTTTTTATTTTTTCTGTGGTGTTTAATGCCGAAAATATAGATAACACGGGGGTGGAACCTAGTTGTTGTTAGGGAATAATAAAATATTTAATTATTTTTTTTGTTTTTTGGCAGTACTTACTCTGAGACATTTATTTTCTGGATATTTTTCCAAATGAAGGCTTTTTTTTTCTACTTTTTTTTTTTTTAAAAATATATTTCCCTGTTCCAATTTTTTTTTATTAATAGAAATACTGAGAAAGCGGATATATAAAGATTGTGGCCTGCCCTCGAATTTAAACTGTAAGTTTTTTTCCCTAGTCATATCGAATTATTGGTAAAAAATTTTAAAAATGATGCAAACTAAAGAGAAGAAGAATAAAGAAGATAGACCTTATAAGTGTACATTCTGTGAAAAAGCATTCCATAGACTAGAACATCAAACCAGACACATCAGAACTCATACTGGAGAAAAACCCCATGCTTGTACATTTACTGGGTGTACTAAACGATTTAGTAGATCAGATGAATTGACTAGACATTTACGAATCCACAATAATCCAACTAATAGAAAAAGAAAGAATAAAAATGAAGTTGTAAATGTCGTGGAGCCAATTCCTATTGGTTACCAACAGCAACCAAATGGATATCCAGTCTATTTTGTCCCACAACCTAACGGATATATGCAACCAGTTGTTCCCCAGCCACAACCAGGACAAATGATGCCAATTCAAGTCCAACCAATTCACATGCAACCACAACAATTACAACAACCACAAATCTCCAGACCTCAATCAGCTCAAGCTATTCCAATTCCAAACCATTATAAACAACAAGGGACAGCTGTATTTTCATTACCATCTTCCCCAACTAACTTTGTTCAACCACAACAACCATACCCACAACAACAAGTGCAACAACACCTTGCTAGCACAAGGCCGATGAATATGTCCAGAACTACTTCTTCTGAAGGATTAAAGTTACCACCTTTGAATCATTCACCACCTACCAGATTGATCTCTGTGGAATCTAACTCTAGCATCGGATCAATTAACAATTCTAGCGGTGTTTTCAGCCAAGCTAGTTCGACATCTCATTCATTAGGCACTTCTCCAGAAACTGCTTATCCACCAACAGTTGGCGCTACTACTCCTTCATTTACTAACTTGAATGATTACTTCCTGAGTAAAAACACAAGAATTTTTAATGCTAGTTCCACTTCCTTAAGCTCGTTAACAAGCAAACTTAGAGTTTCAAATTCTTCCAACAACTTAACTGCATTGCCAAGAATGATTACTCCTTTGAACAAGTCAAGTTCTCAATCTTCAAAAATTACAAAACAACAATCTTCTACATCATTAAACTTGGAATTTTTCCAACAATCTCAATTCAGAAAATCACGTCCAAACTCACCAACAATGGGCAGCAAACGTCAAGTACCTACTGGACCAACAACACAACAAGCACCATTTGTAATTTCACCAAACGATACCCCATTACAAACTCCAATTCAATCTCCACATTTACGTCCGGCATCTGCTGCTCCTCCATCTACTGGTTTCGATAGATTGTTGATTGCTGAAGCCACAGAAAAGTTGGCCAGTATTGCTAATAAGGGAACTACATTGCCTCCAATTAGATCTGTGTTAAGCTTCACTTCCTTGAAAGACTATCCTGAACCAGTAGTTCAGGATAAAAAGATGAATTTGAATAACATTTTACAATAAGCGGGTTTTACTACGTTTCGGTTTTGTATATTTTGGGTATCTTAATTTTGTATATGGGTAGGAATTTCTTAATAAAAATTGTATTATTATTATTATTACTGTAACCATTTTTTCTTTGAAGATGTAGAGAAGATTAGAAAGTTTGGGGGTGGGGTTTGATGATGGAGGAGGGGGCGGGGTCTTTTTCCGGAAATTTCTATTTGTTTTCAAGTTTTTCGGATAAAAAGAAAAAAATAGTTTCTTTTTTTTTTCGCATGTCAAGCTGAAAAATAAATTTCTTTTTAGGATCAGATTTGAATGTTTATGATCCGACCGGGAAAACTAAGCTTGCATATAGCTAAAATAAATAAAAAAGATGAATGATTGTAATTGAGTTGTGCTTTGTATGCCTGCACCCCTCTTACTAATCTGTATATTGTTCATATCCCCGGAAAAACTAACACATATATTGGAGGCAAAACAAGAACAAAAAAAAACCGTTATGTTTCATTAAATTTCCGCTCTTGGACCTTCTAGTAATTTTCCGAATTTCCCCAAGAATAATAAAGAAAATGATTAGAAAAAAAAAACTACAAGAAAATAAAGGTTTTGGCAGTACCCCAGTAGATTTTATGACGACGTCGAACTTTATGCGTCGTCCCCACTCTAATAATTTTTCCTCGAGTCACAAAGTTGGAAGATTATACACCTAAGATAAACGACCTTGTCGGAGCAATACCACGTTTTGTGGAGATATCACTTGGGATTATTCCGAAGTGTACAGACAGTTACCTAGACTATTCACCTGAAGGATCTTATAAAATATGAGGTTAGAAAAGGATCTGGTCGATATAGATACGAGATTCGAGATATTTCACACTTGGATATTATGTAGAGATCGGTTACACAGCAATTAAGTTGTGAAAGGTGTACCAGCTGCACCACCTTCCAGTGGCATCCTTCTATTTTTGACCTTCTTTCTCGGTCAAATTTCAAACAATAAAAATCGGAACGGCGAAATTGATACAATCTAAAAAAAACCCCAGATTGACGTTGGACCAAATTTTCAGCTGGAGTGCATATTAATTTTTAGCTTGCACAGATTTTTTTGTGTAATTGAAGGTTGAAGCGGAGAAATAATTGCGGGCTAACATATTGAGTGAATTTATTAGGGCGACCCCAGTAAAAATTGGCACCGCAACCAAAGATCGAGTGCCGCATTTGCTTACATATATGTGCATATATTCGAGATGTAAGACACCAGCCACAATTACTGCAACCATTGAGTATCTAGACTAAATCTACAGGGTTATAGAGAGTACATCATACATTTCATTTACTCATGCTCTTGAAACAAACAATAAAAAAATAAAGGAAGGTCACGTATCTGCGGACATTGAACTCCTCCCCTCACTTACACCTATTAAAATAATAATTTTTGCCCACACATTTTTTTTCTACACATCCACAAATTGCATCCTTTTAGCCAATTGAACTTTTCTCACTAACAAATTGTACAAAAGAAATTTTTGGTACGCAAAAATGACAGGAGGGGGGGTGGAGGGAGTTTCACAGTTGCCATGGGCCTGCTTTCATGCAATTCTTGTGATATCTTGGCCCTCCTCCACCCACGCACAAGACATCACACGTTGATGACAATGCCTGTAAACGTTTTACTTTCTATCTTGTGTCCCAAATAATGTGTAAGTTTTAAATTATTGCGAAGTTTTCCCAACGCGGAGGAAAATTGGCTTTAAGTATGGCTTTTGTGTAATCTCGGATGGGCCTTACTTGGGGCAAGGGAAAATATAATAATTTATTTTTTTTTGTCTCCTCCCCCACTGGTTTTTCAAACCGTTATAGTCTCAAAAGAAGTTCCAACCGTTCCTGGATAATTGCAGCGATGAAATTGAAAAAAAAATTTCACTGGGCTCAAGATCTGTATAAATAGGGGGTGAGATCTCCTCGATTTCAAATCAATTTTTTTCAATTCTCTTTCTTCACTACTCTTAAAACAGTAACACTTAATAAATACAGAAAATGGCTACTATTAAATTATCCTCAGGTCACTTGATGCCTTTAGTTGGTTTCGGTTGTTGGAAGGTCGACAACGCTACCGCTGCTGACCAAATCTACAACGCTATCAAGGCTGGTTACAGATTATTCGACGGTGCTGAAGATTACGGTAACGAAAAGGAAGTCGGTGACGGTTTAAAGAGAGCCATTGATGAAGGTCTCGTCAAGAGAGAAGAATTATTCATCACCTCTAAGTTATGGAACAACTACCACGACCCAAAGAACGTTGAAACTGCTTTAAACAGAACCTTATCCGATTTACAATTGGACTACGTTGATTTATTCTTGATCCACTTCCCAATTGCTTTCAAGTTCGTTCCATTAGAAGAAAAATACCCACCAGGTTTCTACTGTGGTGACGGTAACAACTTCCACTATGAAAATGTTCCATTATTGGACACTTGGAAGGCCTTGGAAAAGTTAGTTCAAGCTGGTAAGATCAAGTCTATCGGTATCTCTAACTTCCCTGGTGCTTTAATCTACGACTTGGTCAGAGGTGCTACCATCAAGCCAGCTGTTTTACAAATTGAACACCACCCATACTTACAACAACCAAAGTTGATTGAATACGTCCAAAAGCAAGGTATTGCTATTACCGCTTACTCTTCTTTCGGTCCTCAATCTTTCTTGGAATTGAACCAAAACAGAGCTTTAAACACCCCAACCTTGTTTGAACACGACACCATCAAGTCTATCTCTACCAGATTAAACAAGACCCCAGCTCAAGTCTTATTAAGATGGGCCACCCAAAGAAACATTGCTGTTATTCCAAAGTCTAACAACCCAGCTAGATTAGCTCAAAACTTGGACGTCACCTCTTTCGACTTGACCGAAGAAGACTTCAACGCTATCTCTGCTTTGGACATCAACTTGAGATTCAACGACCCATGGGACTGGGACAACATTCCAATCTTCGTTTAAGTTTGATTCTAGTTTATATATATAGTTATCGATTAGCATTAATAAAAGGAATCTTATTTAATTGGTTAAGTGTAGCAGTACATGAAAGGATATCACAATTAAATTTAATCAATAGTAGTAGTGGTAGGTGAAAGCAATAGTGGTGATAGGAGGTGGTACTAGTTGTGGCAATGGTAGCAATATTAATTGATACGGTAGTACTGTTGCATTAAGTAAGGATGTCCAATGCAAAAGTCACCAAATATTAGCTAGATGAGTCCCATATATATATATATATGTACAATAAAAGCAGACCACAAAAGTGGGCTAACAATAATTGAGTTCAAGTGACATAGTTAACTATGGCAAATGTAAGCTTGCAGATAGTGGAGGAAAATTGTCATATTTAAATAAAATATCAGATTGTTCTTCGGATTTAAACATACGCCTTAAGCTTAGAAAATATCGGTTTTAGATCAACCCATACTAACGGTTGCTGGATATTATTTAAACTCCACTGCCAAAGAAGAAGGTCAGAACGAATCCGGGAAGATTTGCGGAAATAATTTTGCAGGCGTTAGAACATAAATGTACAAGAAATCTCCTGATGCTCAATATTTTATATTGTTTCTGTCAAATCAGTTTACAACATGCACTTAAACAGAAATTGAATAATATCATGCTGCAAGTCGGCAAACAGTTACTACTTCTTGGACCTTCTTTTGGCTGCTAAAGAATTGAAACAATTCCAACCATGTGTTATAGTGTTTTACTTTATTTACTTTTAGCTCGGAAGTTTAATTAGTATACACGCCGTGTTTCTTTTTATTTCCTCTTACAATCATATACAATTTGCAAGCCAGTCTCCGTTGACAAGAGCCCCCTTTAATTATCACCCATTCGAATGAAATTTCAATTAAATAGAAGAGTCCAACAATAGAGGGATGTCCAATAAAAATATTAAGGTTCAGCCAATAACCGAAAATTTTTGTGAATTCCACATGATCACCTCTTTGCAATGTACATTTAAAATAAAATACCTCATAGTTAACAGACACGCCTCTGTAGTTTCTTCATAACGGATATTCGTTTCGACCTGAGTGTTTCAGAAAACTCTGTAGAAACATGTTATTACGAGGTGCATCACCAGGGAGGTTCTCACGTGCTCCCATAGTTAAGTGAGATTTTGAACATACGATTTTGACATAAGCAGAAAATATAATAATTTATTTTCTCATGCACTCCACTATTTTCGTAAAGGGTTTTTTGTTTCAAAGTTCTGCAAGAAGTTCCAACCGTTCTTTGTTGGTTGGAGCACAGTGGTATGAGGTGGAGGTGGAGATGGGGAGGACGAATTTTCCTGCAATCTGGGGAGCTCAAGATTCCTATAAATAGAGGTTGAATTGGCTCCCGATTAAAATCTATTTTTTGCAATCTTTCTTTCATCATTACTACTTACAAGTAAAACACACCCAAACAAACAAACACAATACAATAAAATGTCTTTTAAATTATCTTCAGGTTATGAAATGCCAAAAATCGGTTTTGGTACTTGGAAGATGGACAAGGCCACCATTCCTCAGCAAATTTACGATGCTATCAAGGGTGGTATCAGATCATTCGATGGTGCTGAAGATTACGGTAACGAAAAGGAAGTTGGTCTTGGTTACAAGAAGGCTATTGAAGACGGTCTTGTTAAGAGAGAAGATCTTTTCATTACCTCCAAGTTATGGAATAACTTTCATGACCCAAAGAATGTGGAAAAGGCTTTAGACAGAACTTTAGCTGATTTACAATTAGATTACGTCGACTTATTTTTAATTCATTTCCCAATTGCTTTCAAGTTTGTTCCATTAGAAGAAAGATACCCACCTTGCTTCTACTGTGGTGATGGTGACAACTTCCATTATGAAGATGTCCCATTATTGGAAACCTGGAAGGCTTTAGAAGCCTTGGTTAAGAAGGGTAAGATTAGATCACTTGGTGTTTCTAACTTCACTGGTGCTTTGTTGTTGGATTTACTTAGAGGTTCTACCATTAAGCCAGCTGTTTTGCAAGTCGAACATCATCCATACTTGCAACAACCAAGATTAATTGAATTTGCTCAAAAGCAAGGTCTTGTTGTCACTGCTTACTCTTCATTTGGTCCTCAATCTTTCACTGAATTGAACCAAAACAGAGCTAACAACACCCCAAGATTGTTTGACCACGAAGTTATCAAGAAGATTGCTGCTAGAAGGGGCAGAACTCCAGCTCAAGTTATCTTAAGATGGGCCACCCAAAGAAATGTCGTGATTATTCCAAAATCCGATACTCCAGAAAGATTGGTCGAAAACTTGGCTGTCTTTGACTTTGACTTAACTGAAGAAGATTTCAAAGAAATTGCCGCCTTGGACGCTAATTTGAGATTTAATGACCCATGGGACTGGGACCATATTCCAATCTTTGTTTAAATTTAATGTTTTGTTTAGATTTTATAGTTTTCACGATTGTTGCACCGATTGAATGAATTTTTGATGAATATTATACTTATAACCAGCAAGGTCAACGGTTCTTTTTACTATTGATATATAAACTAGAAAAATACATATAATTTTTTTTACAAATCTAGATCGAATCTAATACTGCTTCTCTTCCTAATACCAACAATTTCAATCTGGAAACAAAATCATCACGTTCTAAATATGCACCACACAATCTTCTCTTGCCTGTGAATTCGCTTCTAGAATGGAACACTCTCCAATTATCGAAAATCAAACATTGGCCAGGTTTCATTTGATACCAAAATTCATTCTTTGGATCACTGATAATGCGGACCCAATCTTTGATAGCCTTATAGAAACGAGGAACATCATCAGGATTATCCCAGTTATCCATGGTTGATCTATCACTTTGATTCCATCTCACCTGGACTAAATTACCTTGACTGTCGAGTTTAAACACTGGTTGAGGGACATCTGGTTGAATGCAAACCTTTTCTTCACCGGCAGAATGAGCAGGGACGGGGATCCGGCAGAGTAATTCATAGCTGTCAGGATATTCTTCTTTCAAGATCTGGGAACATTTGAATGCGTCCACTAATGAAGTTGTACCTCCAGTACCGTCATGGAACAAGAGATGGAATAATTGTAATCCTGGAGAATTAGACCAATAAGTTCCATCAGTATGAGAACTAATATCGAAGTTTGTGTATGCGGTATCAGCCTTGGCCAAATCAGAAGTGAAATCCCAAAATCCCCCATAATGGGTTGGTCTTATATAATTCAATTGTTCACATAATTTTTCAGTGTCTTCAGGGGTCACTGGAACATTATTGATTAAACAGAATCCATATTTCCAGAGTTTCAAACTCCAATCCTTAATAGCCTCTTCATTATCGGTTTCTTCAGAAGAATTCATGACATTGGAGTACTCAACTTGAGGCAAGTCATTCTCAATATCGGCCACTTGCCATAACTGGCGGCTTAATAGCTCGGTTTCTCCTTTTAATTTCTTCAGTAATGGAATTAAACGTGGATTATAGGAGTGAACTCTTAACCAATGGAAATCATAAGTTGATAAATGATCTTCTTGATTCCATACAATGTCAATATCAGAGTTGCCCACGGTGACGTTCTTGGGTGCAATGTGATCGTCGATAGTTGCAGCACTGGCAAGTTTTTGTTTAGTTGTAGGAAAGTAACATGTTGAACAATGGCAATTGTCGCGGAGCCAAATATAGTGATATTTGGAAGTTTTTCCGTCGGACCAAGTAAGTTCAAGTTGGTCGTTTCCTTGATTGGTTGCAGTTACTGTAAAGTTCATAATAAATGAATTGATTCGTGGAGTAGAAACACGTTGAGTCAGAGTAATCCTTTTTTCTTTTTTTTTTCCGCCTTTTAAATGAATCATTTGGTTGATTGGTCTACCCCACACTCGGTCGGCTCTTTCTGTTTATGGAATCTTTTCTTAGATTTTTGACCCTGGATTTGACACACAATTATATTCTAGGTGGAGTTGACATTTTTTCTTGATACAATTGGTGATAATTCGTTTACTTAGTGAGCATATAAATTTTGCGTTTTGTAAAGCATTTATTTAATCTGCATAAATTTATCCCAGAACAAACCTACATTGACATTTTAAATTGTACTCCATTGACTTGTTAAACAATCAAAAATGTAGTTAGCATCCAAAACTGTAGTTTCTTTTCAAACAGAACAAACAATAGGTTTCTATTGTGTAGCAAACCAAAGAAAATCTATCATAAATTAAACAAAATCTATTTTAGGAAAATACATTTGATGAAACATACTATCCATAGAACACACATACTGACATCACTATCAATTACAGTCATGCACAACTTTTGGTACTAGCAGAAAGTCACTTTTGCCACCATAAGTTGATGTATGAATGCGGCTCCTTCCCAAATAAGTAACATGGTCCTGTGCGACTTATCAATTAGTTGAATGTGATGATGGCCCAGACAAAAATGAGCAGTTTCAGGGGAAATACAAAACTATTATACCATCACATAAAAACGCAACAACAACAAACCAGACAACTAATACATCAAATTGAACTTGCTACTTTAAGCATTCTACACTTTTTTTTTGTCAATTTATTTTGCTAAATTTTAACACTGAATAGCTGAAGACTTTAGAAAAAGACAATGTCAACGGTTGTTTCAGAGCCTCATCTGCAACCACCCCAACCTTCAGCTATACCTCCTGATCATAGTCCCTGTTCAGTCACTCCAAGTATCAGTATTGATGAAACAAAATCTGCTTATGCTATACACCTGTCGTCACTGAACCCTGATTGGGTCAACATGGACTCAGATACCCTTGGAAAATCACTTTATAAAAATGAGGAGCTTCCTTTGAATGACAACATCAGAGGATTGAAAGCTAAAGCCATAAGGGAAGCAACTCAACGGAATACCAATAGCGATGAAATTTTGGAATTGTTGAGTGAGTTACTGAGGTCAACTGATGGATTAATCAACAATGAATTAAGATCCAAAGTTTGGCCTGTCTTATTAGGAATTGAAGATAAAACAAAGTCTAATACGTCTGAAGGATCTTTATTGGATACAAATGGCGGATTATTTACTAATGCTTCACCATTTCTTGATGAATTGAATTGTATTGACTTGCCACCTCACAAGGATGAAGATCAGGTCAAGTTAGATATCCAACGTTCCTTCACAATCTTGAACCATATACAATCATTACAGCATCCACCTTATTTCCCCAGTGAGAATTCTTATACTACAATAGTTAGTCCCTCTGATGTTCAAAATCTCAAGAAATACTTGTCGAATTTGATTATCAAGTTGTTAAGGAAATATCCTTGTTTGAATTACTACCAAGGATATCATGATATTGCCAGTGTGATTCTATTAGTGTGTTACATCCCTGGAAATGATACAGAAGACAAAGAAAAGACAGAGAATGATAATGAATACGACATTAATGAGGAACTAGCATTTAAAATATTGGAAAAAATAACCCTATTTCACTTGCGAGATTATATGGTTCATGATATAGCATTATCCATAGACCATTTAAGGTTGATACCCACCCTTCTCGAAAACCTTGATATTGAATTATTTGAACTAATCAAACAAACTTCAAATTGCTATGTCCAATCGGATGGGCTATACTACGATTATAAGTTTTACCAAGGTATATCATCAATATTGACTATGTTTTCCCATGATTTATCCAATCTCACTCAAATTCTAACTGTTTGGGATTTTAGTCTAAGTTATAATTCGGTGCTAATTAATATGTACTTGTACACTTCAGCATTATTAATTTTCAAAAACCGGATATTTGAAAAGTGTAATGTTGAAGAACAAGATAGAGAAGATTTGGATTATGAAGACATTGATTCTGATTTGGTTCATAATGCAATTTCTCCCACCAATTTGTTTGATAGCTTAAGCGATGTCGATTTAATCAAGATTTTAAACAAGACCAGAAATATAGTTCAAGATTTCCCCATGGATAAACTAACCAATTGTGCAGATACATTTGCCAATTGGTTTAGTGAATATAATAAATCATCGGTGCTTTTAAACACATCCAATTTATACATTCCCAAAAGAGAGAAATTTACAAAGTATCGAAATTTAATAATCAACACAATTGGCGACGATCCTATAGAGTTGACCAAGCTCGTTGATTTACAAGATTCGGAGATTTCTCGACAAACTTCCGATGATTTGGCATTCCAGCACAAGATCCTTTTACAACAAGAAGAGCTCAACAACTCTATAATGACGGACACATCTGCAGGACAATCGGACATGTTTGCATCGGACACCAATACATTACATACCTCCTTATCAATACACCGGATCACATCATCGATGCTATTCAAGAAATTGTTTAGTCGTGAAGATGCAAATGAAGACGACAAGAAAGTCATCAGGAGGAGGAAGGATTCGTGGGTTTCCAGGAATATATATAAGATAAGCATAACCATTGGGTTCATTGGCATTTTGGTACATTTCTTATTAAAAAATAATCCTCAATACCAAAATTTACTATCGAAATTATTTAATGGAGGCCGTAATGCTATTCCAATAGGAAAATTGTCTCCATTGGTTATACTAAACTATGAACCGATTAACACCATCACCAGTGAGTTGAGTACCATTGGCGATGAAATATTTGGAGACATAGGTAATGCTTTTAATGAAATGTTTTGTTTTATTAAGGAGTCAGAGATGGTAAATTCAGGGATATCTATTGGGCAAGTTGGGTTGGGTAATTTAAAGAATACAATTTATGGATTTACGACGTAATAGACAGATCTAGTCTTTTTCTATTTTTAATTTAATTTTAGTTTTTAATTTTAATGTTACATAATTATATCCCTTCAAAGTCAATTTCGTAGACTAATACTGCATCAGTGTAGGTTCCATGACCCCAGCCTCTGTTACCACTGGCACTTACCATGAACCTTCCAGTTTGATCCACATACAATTGACTCAAAGTACCACCGTTATGTCCAGGAATAATCAAGAATGGAGTAGCTTGTTTCTTGACATTAATGCTGGTGTTGGCCAATGAATCATACAAGGACAAATTATATAATCTGATATTATCATTGGAGCCACAAAGCAAGAAATTACTATTAGGCATGGTGGAAATGGCACTGACCGGACCACTTATAGTGGGGAATTGTAACAATTTGGAAACATTAGGGATGTGCGTGTGTGAATGATGATAGGTTCCCGCACCATGGGTAGCCCGTTTATATGGCATACGGATGGAAAACTCTTCCACAGTGCTATTCCGTCGACCAACGTAGATGTATTCACCGTCATTGGACCATGTCAGCGTCATACACCACGGTGGGGTGTTTTCTGAGACCCCAAGACGGAGTACGGGTTCGGGAGTACGGACATCCCAGAGATTGATGGTTCCGTCGATACTTGATGACATGAATATGTTGTCATTGGTGTAAGTTTTGGTATTGAAACTTGGTTTGTGGGTGACAGATTTGTCTTGTGCTTCTTGGATAGTTTTCTTTTCATTGTCCTTGTTATCATCTTCATCATCATCTTCTTCGAATAATGAATCAATCTCACTATCGTCATTCTTTTCTTCGTCATCTTGGAAAGTTAAAACCACATCTCCCAAACCTTGAGGGCGGTATTGGATATTGGAAATCTGTCCAGAACTTCCGGAGAATTTAACAACCGTTTTTCCAGTATTTAAATCCCAATATCGGATAGTCTTGTCCCAAGACCCACTCAAGAATTTATCCTGTTCTTGATTTAATCGTAACACACTTACGGCATTGACATGTCCATCTGAACTCAGCTTATTACCTTCAGCTTTCTTACCATGACTGAAATAATGGTGAATTGCTCCTTCATTATATCTCATAGTATATAACGATATCCCACCTGATAACAACCCAGAAAGACACCAGTATCCATTTCGTTCCACGTCTAATGAATATACTGGATTCACTTTCGGTTCATAACTGACTGACCCTGTTGAGAAATCACTTTCTTTAAGTTTAGGATTGGAACTCATTAGTTGTTTACGAGTTAATGGTTGTTCGTTTTCCCAATATGAACAAATAACACCTCCATTAGTTAGCGAATCGGGAAGATTATGCTTCTGGGCAGTGGTAAGAGGAGCCTTACCTTGGATTGACGCTATGAAATCGTATTTACGAATAAACCCATCTTCTCCACCTGTAAGAATCCATTTTGGGCCTGCAGTGAATGCAAGGGAATGACATTGGGAGGTGTATGGAATAGCTGTTTGTGGAACTATATCGAACTCAGTGGCACGTTTAGCCTTGAGGATTACTCGTTCTCGGAAAGTTAAACTAGATTCATCTATTTGTGGTGATGGCGATTTAGCAGGCGCCGGAGTTGGTGATTTAGGTACTGCTTTTTCCTTTTCTTGTTCTGGTTCTTGTTCTTGCTGATCGTTAGAATCCGCTTGTGGCTGTGAACCAATCTCATTATCGTCCACATCCATTTTGTCTGATGATGGTTCCTCCTCTTTAACTTCTGGCTCTTGAAGTTCTGCTTCTGTCTTTTCAAGACTTGATATTGGGACTTCTGGGGATGTAGGTGCCGGGGCTGAATCCGCCTCGGGCTTTACTTCACCTAGTAAGAAGTCATCTTCGTTGGAGCGGTTATCATCTATAAGTTCGGAAGGTAACGACGTTGCTTCAATCTCCTTTGCTTCTTCATCTTGGGTTTCTTTTGCGTCTTCGAATTTTTCAAAGTCGTCGTCTTCACCATCGCCATCGCCATCACCTTCCTCTTCTTCTTCGTCGTCTTCCTCGTCTTCTTCTTCTACTTGTTCTTCTTCTTCTTCTTCTTCTTCGTCGTCGTCCTCTTCGTCTTCTTCATCTTCGTCCTCACCTTCTTCACCGTCTTCCTCCTCTTCGTCTTCATCATCTTCGTCCTCGTCGCCTTCGCCATCTTCGTCATTCATGTCCTCGTCGTCGTCGTCATTTCCCTGTTGCACATTGTCATCCATGTTGTAGTCTTCTTGTTCTTCAGGCTGCTGTTCTTCTTCTTCTTCCTCCATATCTTCATCGTCTTGGATGTTGAAGAGATCATCCTGTTCAATTGACGCCATTATATGTATTTTTGTGGGGAGAGATTGATCGTGTTGCTGCTTTGATTTTGACTCAATTTATGTTTATTTTAGGTTTATTATTTTTTTTTCAGTGCGTGGAGAGAGTGTAGCCAAATCTTGAGTAGCTAAAATGGAAATCAACATAACGTCTGCAATTGTTTAAACAACTCAATTGGGAAACTAGAATCAAGATCATCTAGCTAATGATCATATTGATTAATTACCCACACGCAATTGCTATGCAACTGACCTTTATAGCAGCAGGAAACAAGTATAACATACACAGAAAAAGAGATGAGATGGACAATTGAAAGTACGAAACGTGTATTTTTAAACTATATAAACAAAACTAATATATAAACAATTTGCTTTTAGTCAACACATTTATTCGTAGATCCAACCGAATAAAGCTGGCTTGTATTCAACCAATTCTTCCTTCTTGAACCATAAGGCAATTTCCTTTTGAGCAGATTCAACAGAGTCAGAACCGTGACAGACGTTTCTACCCATGTCAATAGCAAAGTCACCTCTGATGGTACCTGGAGCAGAAGCTAATGGGTTGGTGGCACCCAAGATAGCACGACCTTGCTTGACAACATCCTTACCTTCCCAGACAGTGGCTAAGACTGGACCGGATAACATGTAGGATAATAAACTTGGGAAGAATGGCTTTTCTTGCAAGTCAGAGTAGTGGGTTCTCAAGAGAGATTCGGTTGGTTGAACCAACTTGATACCAACTAACTTGTAACCTCTGTTTTCGAATCTACCTAAGATAGCAGAGATTAAACCTCTTTGGACACCATCTGGCTTGATAGCAATAAAAGTTCTTTCGTCAGACATTGTTGATTATTTGGACAATTGATGTAACTGATGAAGAAAGAGAAAGAAAGGGAGGAAATTAATTTTGAAATTTTTGAAAATTTTTCTAACGACTTATTGGACAACAAAAAAAAAAAATAAAACCTTCCATCGTTTTACTCTGCGTGCGTGCGTGCGGGCGGTACTAGACTCCGTGTGTAATTTTTACCATCAACCATGCCCAATGACACAGAAACAAAGTGGGACAAACAGACTGTTACACAGATATGTGGTGTGATCGATACTACGTAGGCAATTTTTACTGTAATTAGTTCTTTTTTTAATTAGTTTGGCTAGAGCTTTGGCTACTCGCAATATTTAACACCCATGTTTCAGTTGTGAAACTAGTGCTAACATTGCTATGTACTAACCCAAATTTCAATCATTACAAACGACATTTACTCAGTTGTTTTTATGCCAAGATATGATTGAGATCTCCATTAATTTCAGCTGTGTATTTTCCATGAGTTCACCATATCTCCACGTTTAGTGCAGTCCCACACAGAAAAGATATAGCTAAGCTCGATCTTTGTTCTTGATACTCTCCAACCAACAAAATATAAAGTGCGCGCAATCAATGTTGCAAATTGCCACCCTTCTTTTTCCCAATCATTTTGGAAGTACAGTACAACTAACATCTAATGGTTTTCGATTCAGAAATTCTCAACTACAAGGCATATGCCTATAGTGATGCCAACCATCCCGTGGAATTGGTTGATGATTCAATCAAATTAGTCAAGTCCGCCAGTGGCGAAGGTTATACAGTCCCTGCAAACAACATCCTCGTTAAGATTCATTATGCGGCACTTAACCCCGTCGACATCAAATTGCACCACTTGGCATTTGGAATCACATCATTATTCAACCCAAAAAAGGGGATTGGCAAGGACTATTGTGGGGAAGTAGTTGCTGTTGGATCTGAAGCCAATACCACTGTTAAAGTAGGGGATTTCATCCTGGGATTGTATTTCCCCGTTCATGCCAAAGGTACAGTCAGCCAATACCTTATGCTAGATACTACGAAGAAGGACGAAAGAGTTTTCACCACCGTTGCCTCAAACCTTTCCCTCGCCGAATCCGCCAGTTGGCCATCCGTGTTGGGAACCGCAATGTGCATGCTTAAAGGACTTGAATTCAAGGATAAAAAGGTACTTGTGTTGGGTGGGGCAACTTCGGTGGGAAGAAGTGTTATTCAACTTTTGCGTAGTGGTGGTGCCAAGGAAATAGTAGCTACCTGTTCTCCTCGTTCGGAAAAGATTGTTAAAGAACTTGGGGCAGCTTCTACAATCGACTATCATTCAAACTTGCTTAATCCAGTGTTGGAATCCGTTAAAATGACAGGCGAGTTTAATTATGTTATTGATTGTTGTGGTGGTGATGATTTGTTTAGCAATATATCAACAATTTTACAAAAAGGAGGCACATACAATACCATTGTTGGTGATCGTTCAGGATCCTCCGTTTATATCATGCTTATTTCGATATTTATGGGAATGTCTAGAGTCATTGCTTCTAAGCTTGGATTTCTCTCTTATACCTACAATTATTTGTTTCTAGATCCAGGGTTCAATTTCCCCGAAGAAGCAAAGAAACTTCTTGAAAATGGTGATGTTAAAGTAGATATTGATCATATTTACAAATTTGAAGAATTTAACGAAGGACTAAAGAAATTGGAACTGGGAAATTATTCAGGTAAAATTGTTATCCAAATCACAGATCATTAGAATAATACAATTCTACTTATATAGCTTGTATTTAGTTGAAACATTGAAATAGTTGATTTCTTTCTCTCCTCGTATTTTAACTCCAATGATCCACTCATTCCTTTTTTTTTGTCATAGGTCTCTCAATGCTATATACACTTACATACAACTTTTATCAACCAAGTCCAAGCCACAGAAACAAAGCTATTTGCTAACTATTTTGCAAGTTGAATTTGTGTCTTTGAAACGACATTTGACTTTATAATGCTCAAGCTTAGGAGTACACTCATAATACCAGGATTAACTATTACTAATAACAAATCCCCACTTCTAGTGGCTTCCACAATTTACAGACATTGTAGATAAGCTCCATTGCAATGATATATTGATACCACTGGAGCTATGTTCTATAGATTACTAATAACTGAATGTTTGGTATTACAGTCAACCCCCGCGCAACCGTGTTAACCATACGTATACTACTTACATAGGTTCACAATTACTAAGCAATTGGTTTGTAAGCAATTCTACTTGCTACTGTTTCTGCTGGGTGGCTTTTTTTTTTGCAGCTACTCCACCTGTAATGGTTGCACTATATGATCGTAATGGAGATAAGATTGGATAGGGAATACTTGCATTCAAGCAGTCTAACTCCGGCCATAAGCTTATTTCCGGGTGCAAAAAAATATTATGCAGATACGGTATTAACATTACAAATCAGCCGCATTTAACCACTAGTAGTGATATCAAACTTATTTGCAGCTAAACTACAGTTTAATAGTAGAATTAAATTGGCACTTTTTGTTAGAATAATACATTTGTAAAACTATAAATATGTATTCATCGCACTTACTTAATCATCTTTCGTTCTCTTCATTCATCAATTAAAACAAATCAACTTAATTAAATACAAAAAAAAATACTCCATATAATGACTTCCACCTCAGTTTTCGTTTCTGGTGCAAATGGTTTCATTGCCCAACATGTTGTCAAGGAATTACTCTCTAAGGGATATACCGTTATTGGTTCAGTCAGATCAGAAGCGAAAGGTGAAGAATTAAAGTCTTTGGTCAAGAATGATAATTTCTCTTATGAAATTGTTGCTTCACTTACTGAAGAAGGTGCTTTTGATGAGGTTCTCAAGAAACATCCTGAAGTTACTGTTTTTTTACATACAGCTTCCCCATTCTCATTCTCAGTTGAAGATGTTGAAAAAGATTTAATGAAACCTGCTATTAATGGTACTCTTAATGCCCTTAATGCTATTAAGAAGTATGGTCCTCAAATTAAGAAAGTGGTGATTACTGCTTCAGCTGTTGCAAATTTCGGTTTTGGTCCTCATTTTGATGCTGAAAAAGTCTACAATGAAGATGACTGGAACCCAATTACATATAAAGAAAGCTTGGAAAACTCTTTCTTTGGATACTTTGGTTCGAAGAAATATGCTGAGTTGGCTGTACACGATTTCATGGCTAAGGAGACTGTCAATTTTGATATTTCTTTCATCAATCCACCTTATGTTTTTGGTCCTCAAGCTTATGTTGTTAAGGATAAAGCTAATTTGAATCTTTCTAACGAGGTCATCAACCGTGTTGTTAAGTTAAGTAAAGATGATACCATTCCTGCTGAAGGTAGTGTGTTCGTTGATGTTCGAGATGTAGCTCGTGCTCATTTAGTTGCTTTTGAAAATGATGAAACGGTCAACAAAAGATTGCTAACTATTGCTGGTAGATATACTCTTGATACTATTGCCAATATCATTAACAGATATTTCCCCAGTACTACAGTTCCCAAAGGAGATGAATCAAGAAATGACGAAATTTACAAGAATGTTCACAAGTATGACAATTCAAGAACTAATAAGCTTCTTGGATTTGAATATACATCTCTTGCGGACACCATATTCGATACTGTTGAACAAATTTATAATGCTTAGGCTACTAGTATAGTTAGATGTTAATAGTTAATTGAATGTTTTGGTACTGAAACACGAGTATAATTTTAGATGCGCGTAGATTAGACAACACTGAGACCCTGTTTAAATATCAGGCTATATCTGCTTATCATGTGATAGGTAATAAATCACTGTTAGTATTTGACAAACCTAAAATTTCGCGACCTTAGCCACACCATCGGGCTACAGTTGACACATTTCGTGTTGCAAAAAGTTAGACAATGGAGATTAACACAAAATAAATGGAATCACAATTAAAGATTTGGCGATGTTTTTATGGTTCAATAAGCGAAAGAGATATAAAGTCTCAATTGGGACCAAATCTGTAAAACTATAGTGTTGTTTTTTTTTTCAATACAAAACCGCGACTGTAAAATAAAAAATATATTATTGCATTTACAGGTTACACCTAGTTTAATTGTTTCGTATGCAGGGGATTTTTTTCCAATTAACCAGATCTACAGATTGGCACGACCTAAAATGCAAACACCAAGTAATGCTCCCCTTTTTGTTTACAAACAACCAAAAGTATTTATTTTTTTTTTTGCTTTGTTCAGAGCCACGAAAAATCCTTGTTTAAACGCCAACTGGGAAAAGGCAGCAATTCACCACACTCCCGTCGGATACTACTAACCTGTAAAGAATTTATCACTTGTTTCCATTGCGACTTTGAATTTCACAATTTCAGTTCAATCTTCTTTCTTTACCTTTTCAAATTATAGAGTGTCAATACCAAAACAGACCGTGTCAAACAGACCTGTTACCCATACCGTTATCAAACTACTTACCCTATTCACCTTATATTACAAAAAAAGTTTATAGAATCTAACAGCCAAAAAAGTTACCACTACCTCCTCCCCTCAGCATACCACTTGCCTTTTGTGTTTCAGAAATACCCACCCACTACTATTCATTCTTTTATACTACCACCTAATATAGTGTCATTCCTTTGCATACCCTAATACTTTTTTAGCTTCAAACAGTAATCAATAATGGCATCGGTCAAAACTCAGTTTGAGGATCACACCTTTAATGATACTATAACAGGGACGCCTACTACTACTAGAACGACAACAGATTCGGCGTCCCAAACACCCACTCCGGCTAATGTCGACAAGGTCGTTCAATCAGTGACCAACGCCACCAAGAGATTGTCACAGATATCCACCATCACCAACAATTCCAACAAAAAGAGGAAATCTCAAAATAAGATTGGTCCTTGGAAATTAGGAAGGACTTTAGGTCGTGGTTCGACTGGAAGAGTCAGATTGGCAAAAAATATAAACACTGGCAAATTAGCTGCTGTTAAGATTGTACCTAAGTCTAATTTTAAGAAGTTGGAAAACCCCAAGTATAAACGAAACCAAGATGATCAGGATTCTGGTTTACCCTATGGAATCGAGCGAGAAATCATCATCATGAAATTAATATCTCACCCAAACATCATGGGATTATATGACGTTTGGGAAAACAAGAACGATTTGTATTTAATCTTGGAATATATCGAGGGTGGTGAATTGTTTGACTATTTAATCAAACGTGGTAAGTTGCAAGAATTTGAAGCGATCAATTATTTCAAACAAATCATAAATGGTATCAACTATTTACATCAATTTAATATTTGTCATCGAGACTTGAAGCCAGAGAATTTATTATTGGATTTCAATAAAAACATCAAGATTGCTGATTTTGGAATGGCAGCTTTGGAAATCAAGGAGAAATTGTTAGAAACCTCATGTGGTTCTCCTCATTATGCATCTCCAGAAATTGTTGCCGGTAAGAATTATCACGGCGCTCCTTCTGATATTTGGTCTTGTGGTATTATATTGTTTGCTCTTTTGACTGGACATTTACCTTTTGACGATGAGAATATTCGTAAATTATTGTTGAAGGTTCAAAGTGGGAAGTTCAACATGCCTCATGATTTAAGTTGGGAAGCAAAAGATTTAATATCCAAGATGTTAAAAGTTAATCCTAAAGACAGAATCTCAATTGAGGATATCTTACTCCATCCACTCTTGACAAAATATCCTGATCCTCCAACGCCTTCCTCGGTAACTGGCACAACTTTAGATTTAAAGAATATGAATATCAATCCGATTGAATCTATAGATAAAATTGATCAGGAAATCTTGAAGAACTTATCAACATTGTTTCACAATTGTAATGAACAAACAATAATATCAAGGTTGATGTCACCAAACAAGTGCTCGGAAAAGATGTTTTATTATCTTTTGATGAAGTATAGAAATGAACATTTGTCAACGTCCAGCTCCATGGACATCAGTGATGAAGCCACTGATGTTGGCTCTGCAAGAAATTCCTTACCTAGATCCACTTCAGTAATCAAAACTACCGTTGTTGACGATGCTACTGGTGAAGTCCAGACACATACCATGGTGAAGAAAGTCGAGAATTCTACCTCAATCTATTCCAATAAGTCATTATTGAACAAAAAGACGTTGTTGGATAATGTCAATCATAAACAACACCCAGCTTCGAATTCTGTAAATAAGAAGAAGGTGGTTCATAATAATCAAGTCATATATTCCAAATCCAGAAACGCCTCATCTAGATCTTTGAGATCCAATAAGTCTACCAGCTCAACCAAAAACTCACAACCATCACCTTCATCTTCGGAAAGTGGAGGAAGGGTGCTGACTCCGATGGTGAAACTTCCTATGCAACTGCCACCTAATGTTCCTTTACCAACCACTCCTGTTCGAGGACCAAACAAGCAAATAATCAAACCAACCACCATTGAAACCACAATAAGAACTCAAAATGATAAGGATTCTATGAGGCGTAGACTTACTGGAACTTTTGGCAATAAATCATTGTTGAATTTTGAATTGATTTGCGAAGAAGTATTCTCCGGTGATGATAATAAGGAAAATATGACCCCAGCTTTATCGACGAAAACGGCAACACCTCCACCAAAAAAACAAGCAGCAAACTACAAGGAGCGGGAAAGCTCTTTGGCTCGCCGAGAACGTGAATTGGCTGAAAGAGTTAGATCTCAGAACGAAGCGAGAGAACAACGATTGAAGCAAGCAGAAGAGACAGAGAGAAAGTTACAAGCACAACAAGAGAAAAGAAGATCACTAGCTAGTATTGCTGAAGAACAACTCGTTGAAAAGCAACGAGCTGTTTTCAATAGACTACTCAATCGTCAAAGCACGAATGATTTTGCTAATTTGGTTGGCGATCGCCGTTCAGTTACTGAACCCCCTGTACACCTGTTGGATCCTAAAGTTAGTTCGTTGTTACGGGCAAGAACGCTTGCTACTCCAGTCCCAAGAAAATTTGAAGCTACTGGGAGTGAAAGTCCTACTAAGAAAGTGTTGAATAAATTAGGAATTGAACTTGATGTTACTGAATCACCTGCTTCTAATCGATTCAAAAAGACTGGAAGTTCTAGAAACTTAACGGGAATTTTGAAACCACGAGATTCCAATTTACCTTCTCGAGTTCCATCAAAAGGTTCACTTTTGAAAGTATCCACTTCCAGAAACTTGGCTGGTTATTTGAAATCTGAAGCAAATGAAGAAGAGCCTGATGAAATAGCTAACATAAAGATGACTGAACATTCCAACTTAAGTCAAACATCTTTTTATAAGTCTTTGGATGACAAGAGGAAGAGCAGCACAGTACCTATTGTGGAAGAAGAAGGCGAGGAAGAAGATGTTATTTCTTATTCACAAATTCCTGAAACTTCTTTGCCAAACCCTAGATTTTCCACATTCTCCTTTGGTGGGTTGTTGTTATCAAAGCCTCAAACAGCTACCAATGAAGAAGGTGATTTGACAATCATGCAAAATACCTTAAGCTCTGGTGGCACAGTAGTCAGAAGGTCGATTTATAAGAATTCATCTATTAGAAAATCATCAACTATCCTCGGGTTAGGCATCAAGGTTCGTGACCAAGAACAACCTGAACAACAACAACAACAATCACAAATCAACCAAAAGCAAGTGAATGTTTCATCTTCTTCAGAAGAGTCCAAGAATACTAGAAGATATTCAAATGACGATGCAGATGACGAATTATTATCTGATTCAAGTACTGTTGATACAGAATTCTCCATAGAAGAGTCAGCATCAAAGCAGCCTCCACCTCAAGTTATCCCTCGATTTGATTCTGGTCATAGTATTGTTAATTCCAAGGAAACTTTGATCTTGAAGAAACATGACTCCGACACTGGAATGCATGAAGATACTACCATTCGTTTGTATGAAAGCTATGAAGATCTTACTGATAAGAACTCTTCTTTTGTTGCAGCAAATACTACTGGATTTGACCGCAATTTTTCAGTTCCTGAAGTTACTGGAATCATTGATGAGCTGGTTGTGGATGATACTGCTTTCAATGATAATGAAAGTGGTTTGTTGAATGCAAGACTCTCTACTGGTATTTTCAGCACAAGTGGTATTCCTAGAAGTCCAAGAGTTGAGTTATCAGAGAGATATGTTCAAGAAGAAGAAGAAGAAGACGATGATTATGTTGATGATGAAGAGGAGGACTGTGATGATGACAATGAACTTGAACCGGTGAACACGTTCCAACAACGAGAAGAGAAGCGGATGTCTGTCCAAGCTGAAGAATCTAGTAAGCAAACTAAGAGAGTTTCAATTAGCGAAAAGAAAGAATTCATTTCAAGCACATCTTTGCAGCAGTATGACACAATAGTCCCAACTACTTCTCCCGGTGTTATGATCAGAGAAGAGCTGCCACTGCGAGTTCCTAGATATAAGAGAATGTCATTATATCCAAAAAGAGCAGCTCCTAAACCACCAGTATCAGAGGAAACTACCACCAAGTCTAATAGATTCTCGTGGATTTCTGTCAATACCGAAGAGAAGACAAAGAGCAATTGGTTTAAGAGATTCTTCCAATCTTTAACTGGTGGATCAAAGAAGATTGAAAGCACACCTAAACACGCTCCTAAAGATATTGAGGTTGTCGATTCTTCACTCTCATCAGATGAATTGATGCAAGTCATTAAAAATCAATTAGAATTAAAGAAATTAGAAGGATCAATTTCCACGGTTACTATTGATGAAGAGTTTGGAATGATTTCTGGAGTTATACCCGCAAAGTATTCCAGTGGCAGGAAATTGAAATTCACTATTGAAGTTATTACTTTTGCTCAAAGTTCCAGTTTACATATTATTAAAATTAAGGGTAATGACAAGGGATTCCAAAATTTTGTTAATATTGTCACGTTCGTCATTAGACAAGAAGAATTCATGAATAGAAAGAGAATGTCCAGTCGAGGTACCACGGCCACTAGAACCAGTGGTAGATCAGCTGCAAATAATAGAAACTTAATTACTGTCAGAGAATAAGGTGTGGCACTTACATTACTATTTAACACTAGATTTTTCCATTTTTTAATATTGTTCTAGCATCTTTAATTAATCTTTTTTTTGTACATTATCAAAATACAACATCATAAAACAAGAATCTATTTATATATCTCCTTGTACATGCAACTTTAGTTTCTTAAAGCTCTTAATCGTTCAGCCAATTTATCTTCTTTTTCTTCAGATACAGTGTTTGCTACCGGAGCATTGATTTCCACTTGAGTTTCGTTCAATCCTTGTTTCATTTCAATACCAGCTTCATCGGCAACTTGACTCAATAATTCATCAACTTGATCTTGAGGGGTAGTCAATGCATTAACGTTATTAGTAGTAGCTTCGTAATAGTTGGTAGATGCATCCAAATCTTCAAATTGAGTTTCAAACTTATCCATAACTAAGGAGATACGTTCCAAGTTCATTGTTTGTAAAGCTTTATCCATACCTCTTATAACCTGACCCATGTTCCCAGTGACCGATCTCATGGTAACTGCAGTCTGGACCCTCAGAGCAACTGCATCAATCCTAGAAGCCAATCTCAAGAGATTGACACGCTCGTTGGCCTTACGAATAGCGTTCTGGGCATAGAGCTGGGCAATGTCGTTGTTTCCCTGGACCAACGCCTTCTTGATTTTAGCCTTTTCTTGAGTCTCTTCCTTGGCTGCTTTAGCAGCCTGTCTGCTCAACTGTTTGGATGTAAATTTTAATTGGAACAAGGATTGCTCTAAACCTGACATGTTTAATGGCTGGATACCTCTATAATGTGATGGATACTTTCTACTAGTGCTTGGTATTCTCTTATCAGATTTCTTTTTTTGGTCCACACTTTTCTTGCGAGGAATATGCTGGTATGAAATATATCATGAGAACTAAAATAATAACCAACATGACTATTTCAACCATTCCCTCCCCTTCCCCCTTCCCCCAGAGCAGGAGTTCTACATCTTGTAATACTTTTAATATGAATCACCTCCCATTGCTAGCCTTAAAAACACTCGTGCTGAAAGAGTGTAGATCTAGGAACTTAATCGCACGTGATACAAAACACATATATGCAGGAATATCTAACTTTAACTAAGTGGGAACTAGAGACATACTATACAAAGGCATAGAATTGAGCCATATTTGAAACTAATAATAAACTATTAGACATCAAATAAATTTCTGTGAATGTTTACTTTACTGTGGCTTGATAACAATAGTTTTTTTTCTGTATATAGCGTAAAAGCCTTACCTGCCCCCACGAGTCCTCGAGGATCCTGAAAAAAAAAAATACTTCAAAACGTTTTTCCTATTTGAAGTAACCAGATACCCGATACCTATCCAGATGTCAGCTCCTTGTCACTGCAAACACTCCGATGATGGAGCCAGCAATGGGAATGCATTAAATGTATTATCTCCTGAATTACAACAAGAGTTCAAAGACTCTAATCATCCAGCTAATTTGATTTGTGAATTATGTAGATTGTTCTATGATAACAACTGGGTAACTGGTACAGGAGGTGGTATCTCCATCAGAGATGTGGATGGTGAAAATCCAAATTTGGTATATATTGCACCTTCTGGTGTGCAAAAGGAACGTATTCAGCCTTGGGAAATGTTCTTAGTTGAATTGCCTGACGAGAAGATCTTGCGTACTCCTAATGATATCCCTAAGGAATTAACCAAGTCATACAAGTACAAGCCTAGTGCATGTACCCCATTATTCATGAGTTGTTACACCATGAGAGATGCTGGCGCTTGTATCCACACCCATTCCCAGCATGCAGTCATGACTACTCTTTTGTATGAAAATGAAAAGGAATTTACCATTAGTCATATTGAACAAATCAAGGCATTGCCTAAATTACAATATAATGAACAAACAAAAAAAGTGGAAAAAGTAGGTAGCATGGAATATTATGACAAGTTGGTCATTCCAATTATAGAAAACACACCTCATGAAGAAGACTTGACTGATTCCTTACAAGAAGCCATCAAAAACTATCCTGGAACTTCAGCTGTGTTAGTTAGAAGACATGGAATCTATGTTTGGGGAGAAACAGTTTGGAAAGCTAAGGTATATAACGAGGCATTGGATTACTTGTTGGAATTGGCAGTGAAAATGAAACTTGCTGGTATTCCACTTGTTAAGGAAGATTCGTAAGAATTATGAGCGTGTATTAATGTATATGTAAATCAAAATATTCGTAAACTTCGTCAGAGTGGATTTTTGGTAGTTTTCAATGTGGATGCTTTCAATGTCAGCCAATCAATAGTGGCATATTTCGCAGGGTCTATCTCTCCAACGCAGGCAACTTCTCCTCCTCTTATTATGTACAAACCTAATGGAATTTCCTGATTCTCTTCGTCGACATCTTCTTCACTGTACAAGATTCGTTCTATACAATCTTGTAGTATTATATTTGTTGAATTGTCGTATCCTTGTAAGACACCTTCAAAGAATCTGGCATCTGCTGTTATGACATGGACTTTCTCTAAATATATTTTTGTTAGTAAAACTTTCGAATCAATTACCTAGATTGACGTCTAATCAATTCACATACTTCCCATGAACTCCTTGAGATCAGACATTATTGATATATCGTTGGTATGTACAGTAGTTCAAGCAAGTTGGATCTTCACTAGGTTGTTTTTTTTTTTATTATTTTTCGTTTGGTGTATTTACCTTTTGTATTAGAAAAAAGTGCTGCAAAACTAAAATCTAATTTATTTGGCAACACACGGGTGAAGAGATGCAAAGACCAGATCTACACATGGAAGAAACAGATTATTCCAGCGATTATGAATCATTTTTTTCTCTTAGAGAGGACCACAGGGCAAAGAGTAAGATATCTACTGCTAAAAGCCCCCAGAATAAGAACTCTTTACTTATACAACATGCAGCTAGATTAGAGTTGGAATCAATTACTTTGAAAGAATCCATATCAAACGCAATAAGAACCATTAAAGAAGTTCCAGTTTCTGAAATACTTGATATACATGCCAAGGTCAACCATATTAAAAAGGAAGTTGGAGAGTTGAATGTTTCATACAAAATTGATCAGAAAACTATGAAAAATGCAAACCAAGAATTAATTACCATCAAAAAGGAGTTGACAGAATTACTGCAAAAGCTTTCTAAAATCAGTCAGGCAACAGAGATAAGTAGTAATACTTCATCCAGTTATTTTAAACAATTTCATGACTTTAGATTGAAAACAGAGGACAAGTTCGATAAGATCATCCAAACGAACAGAGAGCTAGCAAAATTAAATAAAACTAGTACCAGAGATATACCGGATACATCATCTCACCAATTGAAAGAGATGCATAAATTGATGTTGAATCAATCAGAGGGCCATACGAGAGAACTTCAAGAAATCAAACAATTTTTAACTTTGGTGCTTCCACGAATTATTAACCTTGAAAACTCTGTACAGTTGTTAGTCAATGACCAGTCTCAGGAGAGCCATAGCTATAATTACAATATTAATGCTCCTTCTGTTACTCCTGCCAATTCTAGAAAGACTTCGAGGACCAAGAATGCCATTACCAAAAAAAGGAGACTAATCTAAGCTCACAAACCTTCCATATACAGTAGCTAACTCCGAGGTGAGTTTCCAAACATGTACTCATCACTAGAGGTTGTCACTAGAAAAATAACTCACAAAAAAAAAAAAATTTTTTTATAATGCAACATGAAGCCTGAAATGGAAAAGAACTAAATTTGAAGTGCCGTTAGGCTAGTGAATTTTGTGAATGTCAAATTCAAGAAAATATCCTGGCTATGGCATCGGAAGTTGCACTATGAGTCGCATTTTTTTTTTGAAATGGCATTTTTGCAGTCCGACCGTTTTGAGCGAGCATTGCCGTTTCTAACTTCCGTTTCTAGAAAACCACGCACGTATTACATAAACCGCAGCCAAAATTCCAATGACATACTACGGTATTTATAATCGGCATATCATGGAATGAGTCACATAATTCGTGAATTGCCCTGGTTTATGAATATAAAACCGTTTTATTTTTCGCTAAGTCATCTTTTTTATTGCTAGTACATATTTTATTACGTGATGTTTATAGCATGTAGCTTTAAATACCAAGAATATTTCCTCTATACATAGAAATATTTCACACATTGTATATTTTAAAAAAGCTCAGAATTTTCACATTCAATCAAATTCTAGTATAGTAGTAGTTCTAACCTTATACAAAAATGAGTTCGGACAAACAAGACTTCTCGTCAATTGAAGAAATTAAACGTTTAGAGACCCCACCACAAGAGAAAACTGGAGTATGGAGCTCTTTTATAGATTCATTCAAGCCAGCAATACCCACACAAACATTAACACATGCCCATGCCGATGGTACTGAGAGAGAACTTAGTGATCTCGAGAGAATTAACTTGAATTCCGCAAATTCCAATTTAAGTAGAAAATTGTTGTCAAGACATTTACAAATGATCGCTATAGGATCATCCATAGGAACTGGGCTATTTGTTGGTTCAGGTGGAGCATTGAGGACTGGTGGGCCAGCAGGTATTGTTATCGCATGGGCTTTAACTGCATCCGCAGTATTTGCAACCATGCAAGGTTTGGGGGAATTATCAGTTACATTCCCAATATCGGGGTCATTTAATGTTTTTGCAAGTAGGTTTATTGAACCAGCAATTGGATTTGCGGTTGGATGGAATTATTTCTTGCAATTCTTTGTATTATTGCCATTTGAGTTGATTGCAGGTGCCATAACGATCAAATATTGGAATAGTTCTATAAATTCGGATGTATTTGTGATAATATTTTGGGTATTCGTTGTGTTCATCACCTTGTTAGGTGTCAGATGGTATGGTGAAGCTGAATTCATGTTCTCAATGGTCAAAGTTATTGCTGTGATTGGATTCATTATTCTCAGTGTGGTATTGATTTGTGGTGGTGGACCTTCTCATGATTTCATTGGTGGAAAATACTGGAATCATCCTGGACCATTTGCCAATGGATTTAAAGGGGTTTGTTCCGTCTTAGTCACTGCAGCCTTCAGTTATGGTGGTACAGAAATGGTAGGATTAACAGCTGCCGAAACTCCTAACCCAAGAAAATTCTTACCTAAAGCTATTAAACAAGTTTTCTGGAGAATCGTTATCTTTTATTTGCTTTCAATCACCATGATTGGTACATTGGTTGCTTATGATGATACCAGATTAATGGGTCTGAGTAGTGTCGACGTCACAGCCTCTCCATTTGTCATTGCCATTGTTCACGGTGGTATCAAAGGTTTACCCAGTGTCATTAATGCTGTCATCTTGCTTGCGGTATTGTCAGTGGGTAACTCTTCCGTATATGCCACTTCAAGATCGTTAAACTCTTTGGCAGAGCAAGGAATGGCACCTAAATGGACAGGTTATGTTGATAGAAAAGGAAGACCATTAGTTGCTATTTTAGTAACTGATGTTTTTGGTCTCTTTGCTCTTATTGCTGCAAGTGACAAGCAAGAAGAAGTATTCAACTGGTTAATGGCTCTCTCTGGATTGAGTTCCATTTTTACTTGGTTATCTATAAACATCAGTCACATAAGATTTAGAGCTGCCATGAAAGCACAAAACAGATCAATCTCAGAATTGCCTTATGTATCTCAATGTGGTGTTTGGGGATCTTACTATGGTGCTATTTTAAATGTGTTAGTTTTGGTGGCTCAATTCTGGATTGCATTGTTTCCTTTAAATGGTTCCCCCAATGCATCCGATTTCTTCCAGTCTTACTTAGGTTTGCCAGTTACTATCGCCACTTGGCTTGGTTATAAGTTATGGAAGGGTGATTGGAGATTGTTTATTCATGCTAAAGATATTGATATTGATACAGGTAGAGCACATGTTGATTTAGATCTCTTACAACAAGAAGTAGCAGAAGAACAGGCTGCCTTGGCTGAAAAACCTTTCTTCATTAGATGGTACAGATTTTGGTGTTAATTCCAATATATTATTACAATTGAAAAGAAATTGATAGATGTAATAACTATTCTTGTATAGAGATATGAACAAAAAAAATAAACGAAAATAGGGCATTTTATTTGCTAGTAAATATCCATCTTGTACGAACTGTCGAACAACAGCTGCAAACAATTTTCGCTTCTTACGTAGTCTTAATGATATACCTCGATGTTTTAGAATTAATATTTTTCTTTTTCATGTTTAATAATAATTACAATAACTATTGCCGTTTGAAAAACTTTACAGCTATTTAAAGACAAAAAAACTTACCTTAATCAACAAAACCAAGATATTCAAATCCGTTCTGCTGCAATTTTTTGATGGTACCAGTGAAACAACCCATTTCGTAGAAAAGATATGTCAACATATAAATACAGTGTGTATTGTATGCTAATAGGCACCAACAACGTGTGACTGTCGAGGAATTTATGGCAATTTCTCAAGTACATTTCGCAGTTGCAGCTAATAAATGATTCTTAAAATATATACAACTATTCATTGACAGTTTAAAGGATGAAAACGGGGAAAATAAAGACTACTCGCAGCAAAAATGGATGTGGATGAATTTTTAACTGCTTTTCATAACGGATTCAAAGTCGATCTGTCTCACTTCAAATTGATCATTGAAGTTCATCAAATACATCAAAATGACAAATCCTTTAAGAATTATCGTCAAGTTTTCTATAACTTTTTAGACCACCACTCCCAAAAGACAGTTGAGGGATATCAACCTTATTGAGTTGTTTTGATAACGTTTCTGTTTGCTGGTTCTTGCTTCAGTCAAAGCTTATCAAGAACTTCGAAAGGTAGAAGAAAGACCTGGACTCGAAGAAGCAATAAAAAACAGCAAACAGAAACGTTATCAAAACAATTATAACATGAAAACTTTCCAACAAGGGAAGAATTACGATTGGAACAAGAAGACCAATGGTAAGTTCAATTCCAGAAACTCATCGAATACAGCTAAATGTTATCGTTGTGGAAGTACTAAACATCTCCTTAAAGATTGTAAAGTACCAAAATCTGAAGGTTCTAATGGAAAAAATCTGTCAAATTCAAAAAAATTGTTGGAGTCCCGGGAAGACCCAAAAATCAACCTTTCTTTTTCGGAAACATCGTTGAAGGTAAACACCAACAAGAAAGGTACAAGAGTAGAAAGAATCTGGGTAAACTTAGAAGGTATTTCAGGAAAACAACCAGCATTACTTGATTCTGCTTGTGGAGCAAACTTCATTTGGTCTAAGTTGATACAAGGACTTCCAACTAAAGAATGTTCACCCATTTCAGTACATGCAGCCGACAACACCTTCATGTATACAATAACTAGCTCCATCGAATTATTTTGGATTGACATAAACAAAATCGTTATTTTTTATGTTGCTGATATTTCGGCATATCCAGTAGTCTTAGGAGCTGAAATTTCTACACAGTTTAGATCATTTCCAAAATAATTCAATAAGACTAGTTACTGTACATATAAATGTGTTATCAACTGAAGATATCAAAGAGGTAGAACAACCTGATCATAGTTATGAAGAGCTTTGGTTTGCACAACTTAATACAACAGATGATATGAAGGAACAAAATTCAATGAAAACTGGTAAATATACACCACCATCAAATCCAATGGATCCAGTACAAAGTGAACAACAGAATTTAAGACATCAACATTGTCTGAAAGAAGTAATGGAATTCCTTCAACAATATTTGGATAATGAATTTATTTCTGTTAGTAAATCACCATGTTCATCACCTACTTTGTTTGTAAAGAAAGCAGATGGCACTTACAGATTATGCGTGGATTACAGATTTTTAAACTCAATCACAATTCCAGATAAATTCCCTTTACCAAATATTGAAGATCTTTTAAATGAAGTATCAAATTGTTCATATTTTTCCAAATTAGATTTAGCTCAAGGTTACCATCAGATAGCAATTGCCCCAGAGGATAGATACAAGACTGCTTTTATTACTCAAGGAGGTTTATTCGAATGGAATGTTATGCCTTTCGGATTAATGAATGCTCCAGCTACATTTCAAAGAGTTATGAATTCTATTTTTCAACCATACTTATCAAAGTTTGTCTTAGTTTATTTGGATGACATTTTGATTTACAGTAGATCAAAGAAAGAACATATAAAACATTTAGAAATGGTTTTTAAGACACTAGCTAAATGTCATTTCGTGGCAAAACAGAAAAAATGTGAATTTTTCATGAAACAATTGAATTTTCTAGGACATACAGTTACTGCAGAAGGTGTTAAAACAAGTTTGTAAAAGATCTAAGCTATTAAAAATTGGCGCCATCCTAAATCCAAGACACAATACCAACATTTTGTTGGATTTGCATCGTATTATAGAGGATTTGTTAAAGATTTTTCCAAGATTTTTAGACATTTGATTTTAGCTGGAAATAGTAAAATCAGATATAATCACCCTCTGGTAACAAAAGCTTTTGAACTGATTAAACATGCATTAATGAGAACACCTGTTTTAGTACCCCCAATGCCAGATGCAACATATATGATTACTTCAGATGCATCAGATCATGCTATGGGTGCAGTTATTGAAAAACTTGGTGAAAATGGAAAATCTTATGGTGTTGTTGCATATTATTCTAAATCACTTGCTCCTGCTGAAAGAAACTATGCAATTAGAGAAAAGGAATTACTCGCTTTAGTTCGAGTTTTAGAAAGATATCATTTGTTGTATAGCCATCACCTAATTATAAAAACTGATTATCAGTCCTTACAATATTTGTTGAAACTGTTTAAACAACCAAATCAAAGACTTTCAAGATGGTTAGATACTCTTAGTGATTTTGACTTAGACATTCAGTACATCAAAGGAAGTACTAATAAGGCTGATGCTCTTTCGCGACAATTTGAAGAAAGTTTGCAAATGTCAGCGACATCAATTGAAATTATTAGTGATGTACTAGGTGCAGAATTCTTTGATCAAGTTAAAGCATCGTATGTGGATGATGAACGCACGTGTGAAATAGTTCCAATCCTTAAAGATAATTTACCAATACCTAAACATCTTAGAACTATTATTAAAAGATGTAAGTTGAAGGATGGATTACTTATCTTTAAAGGATATGATGGAAATGGTCTTGCAAAGGAAAGGTTATGGATACCTACTCCAGAATTGCAAAGACAAGCTGTTGTTGCACATCATCAGAATTTAACAGATTTACATCTAGGTGCTTTTGGTACATTCCTGTCAATGGTAAAATATTTTTTTTTGGCCAAATATGTTTGAAACTGTGAAGAAGTTTGTAAGAACTTGTCCAGTATGTCAAAGTATAAAGCCGCGAAATCATTCACCTTATGGTCTTCTTCAACCATTACCAGTACCTTTAGGTCGTTGGCAATCAATTACAATGGATTTTATATCTGGTTTTCCAATGGTACAAGACTGTGATCAAATACTTGTTGCTGTGGATAGACTAACAAAAAGGACTCATTTTATTCCATGCCTGAAACAAATAGATGCTACTCAAACAGCTGATTTGTTTATACATCTATAAGTTACATGGTATGCCGGAAGAAATTATTTCGGATCAAGGTTCAACTTTCACTTCGGAATTTTGGAAACAATTTCATAGAACGTTGCAAGTTAAGTTAAAGTTTACATCAACATTTCACCCACAAACAGATGGACAAACGGAAAGAGTGAACAGATCATTGAAACATTTGTTGAAAGTGTATGCCGATTTCAATGATACGACATGGGAACAGAAATTGCCAATTTTGGAATTTGCTTACAATAGTCATTATCATAAAGCTATTCAATGTACACCATTTGAAGCAGACTTAGGGTATAACCCAAGAACACCTCATGTTGATACGAGATTGTTACAATTTATGAATAACCCTGCTCAGAACGTAGATCCTAATGCTTTAGGTGGATCTCAACTTGCTGAATATCTCAATGATCAATATAATGTTCTTCATGATAATTTGGTTCAAGATCAATATGAAATGGAAAAGGCTTATAATCAACACAGAGAAGGATTGATTCTCGATGCTGGTCAGGAAGTGTCAGTTCGCAAGAAAGCTAATATCTTAAGATCTAAGCTCAAGTGGACGAAACAACAACCTTTATATTTTGGTCCTGACAATATTTCAAAAGTTTTTCCGAATAATGCAAATATTTATCACATACAGATTGATGGATATCAACAACTTAGTTTAGTAAATGTCAAGAATTTAAAGCCATATTATCGAGATCTGTCTAGATATACAGAAATCCCACCAACAACAATTGCACTGCTCAAGGCATTTGCATTAGTGAATAATATTATATCGATTGTGGGAATTGACTTTTTTCAATAAAACAATGGCACTTACATTTAAATATTGTGATATATTTCATGCTGTTATGTTTAATTATGATCAGGCAAGATCTGTTATTCCCCCAGCCTACTGGGTGGAATTGGAACGAGTTTATCAACAGTCGTTTTCCATGTACCCTGAGGATTCTTCAATGGAAGACCTACCTGCCGATGATATAAATGCACATTCCACGAATACTAACCATAGGTTGAGATTACCTAGTCTTAATAGCTAAAATTTTATTTGATCCGATATCGAAGACACTGAAATGGATAAAGGACTTCAGTGTATAAGTATGTATTTTTATTTGTATAAATGAATGATTTTTTTTAGATTAAAAGCAATTATGCACACACAAAAAAAAACAACCTCCTGATAGGTTAGAGGGGTGCGGGGAGTTTTGGTCCGATAATGTTCTCCACCTAATTTTTTGTTTTTTTATTGAACAATTACGGCTTTGGTTGCAAAAGTTTGGAAGTGTAAGCTGTAACTTTCCCCCCGTAAGAAATATGACTATGTTCTGGTGTTTTCATTTTTTTTCACCTAAAATGAAACTTGCGTTGTCTATGTCCGTATTCATGTCTGAAAGCCTCGATAAATTCATTGTAATCCATATAAATCTTTTCCGGAATTATTTTGCGTGTTTCATCGATCATTCCCAAGTAATATGGACGGAAGAAATATGTTAACCAAAGGCCAGCTCCGTCAACCAAATGACATTCGGCAATTGTATTTACTTCGATAATTTCAATTTTCCCGTTGTGTTGTACAAAATACGTGAGACAGTTTCTTTCCATTTGATTACACACTATTTCAAACCATTTGAGGGTTTTTGCAGTTCCATCAAATATTTCCGAATATCTAATCAGTGGTTTATCACTTTCTAGATTCTTTTTCCTTTGAATATCAGCAGCTGAAAGTGGACGTCTATAGTTATTAGACCAATTCCGGTTATTGTTATTTCCTTGGTAGTTCTTTTTGGAATTATAACGTTTCTTAAAGGCCATTCTTAGTTGTTGTTTATCCAGGATCAATATAACCAAAGCGGCAGATACCAACTGCTACAAGGGTGACTGGTGTAGGTAAGTATAAATGTTAATATAGTAACTGCCAGTAAAAGCGCTAATATGATTGTTATGTGTGAGGGGAGTGGAGGAATCTATTGTCTAACTAATCTATCTACTAATAGAATAAAAGGAGGGATTGATTCTTTTATGATACTTTTTCGATACTTCTTGAGCTTCTATTAATATTTCAACTAGGAATCCAATCAAATTTATATTTCATTTTTCTAAGCTATCAATGTCTAGCTTTTCCCACCAGGCCATGTTTTGTGTCGACACTTCAACTATCCTTATCCTCAGACCATAATATTAAGATCAGCTCATTTATCCCTAGCTTATTCTCCGCAGGGGCATTTTACTGTTTTCCTTTTTCTAATATCTTTTCTTGGCTTTCTGATTCTATTGGTTAGTTTAGTGAACATGTTTGATTGGTTGCTTCCTGGATCCCGTGCTCTCTATCTCACAATGCCATCTTTATCATTACACAGAATCTGTAGGATTATGTGCTAGATTTAAGAGTTCATACTCTAACAAAAATTTAAAAAGCGGCCTGGTTAGCTCAATCGGTAGAGCGTTTGACTCTTAAGTTAGACATCAAAAGGTTGCGGGTTCGACCCCCGCATCGGGCTTTTCTTTTTTCAATTCATTCTTTTTACTTTCTGTGAGATAGATCATAAACACAAACACTTTACCTTGAGAATATCTCAGGAACGGAGGAAACTATGTTTCTTTTGGTCTCAGATCAATTTATGAATAGGCTAGACACACTAAAAGTTCTTTCACACAAGAAAATATATCATACTATGAAAGTTGGGCTATTGGTTGCAATTATTTTTTCTGGCTAGCAAAGGTAGAGTACAGAACAGATTTTATGATCAAGGTTTTAAACTCGTACGATGGAAATGCAATCAAGGTTGAAGCTTTACTATCTTAAAATAAAACCAGTTTGTTCCTGGGATACGCCCGAAACAAAAAACTTTCATGAAAGTTTCAGCCAGGAAGTTTATTCAATACAAAGTATATTTATTCACAGGAAACAAAACTGCTTGATTCCGCTTATTATTTGTAACTTTCTTCTTTAAGATAGCAATCAATTTATAATATTAAAACTAATTTAAGTTTCATAGTTAAAATAAATGAAAGTCAAATTCATCTGAACTACTATGGATGATAAAACAACAAGTATATTAGTTATCCAACGAACACTTGGTTGGTTCCCTTAAATGATATAAAAGTTAAAAACCCAAAATCGGGGGTCCTTTAGTGATTTGGGATATCTATTTTATCAACACCGGATTGTTGCGAGTCTTAAAGAAAGGATTAACTTTTTGTATAAATCTTGACCAAGTTTTGAATACATTCCTCCCTAGCCCATCCAAATTTCTCCAAAATATGTCATTAAATTCTTAGAAGTGTCATTAAAAGTGATTACCTGTCCCAATATAGGTTTATCTTTATTTCCAATACTTGAATGTGCGCAATATAATTTTCTAGCACAATACCTAAAGTCCTGAGACCATCCACTTGTAGGGCCGTTGCTACTCGTCGACTCTAGAGATATTGGAGGAATAATTCCATTGTTTGGTCTGAGTAATGATTCGTAAAATATTTTAAGTTTATCTGGATCACTAGAAAACCTATCACCGTGACTTGCTTCTGTTTTATAATCTATAATACCTTTATCATCTCTGTGACAAAATTGAAAACCAGAATTTATCCACAATAAATGTCCATCATGGGCACTTAAATGTGCTGGGTGGGCAGAACAGACTTCTTTAATAGAATTATTTGTATCTGTGAAGTTTCCAATTGCAGCGGCAAAATTAGGTTCGAATTCATAGGATTCATCACCATTGAACGCCATACCTAACCAAAAATATTCTTTCTCTCCATATACATTTTTATCTACTGGTTCAAAGAAACTTAGCTGTAGCATCATAAGAATAGAATTGAAATGCCTTTTCTTGTCCATCAAAACCAACCCTGATTCCATATAATGCTTGAAACCTTTAAAGAATTCTCGATTTAACGTGTGATTTGTCATCATGGGAATATCAAATATAACGGAGTCTATTAAACAAGGACCCAATGATTTAAAAAAGTTAATTGAACTTTGGGTACGGTTATCCCAACTTCTATCCTTGAAAAAATAAGCACCAGTTTGTTTATATTCTTTGATGTTGAAAAAGAATTCGGGATTTTCAAGTATCACACTATCACTATCAAGAAGCATATATTCTTCAAATGAATTGAAAATATTTGCTAAAAGTTTTTTATTAAAGCCTTTAAACAATGACCAATAAGATGGTACTATTGTATTTTTAATATTGACAAACCAAATGTCTTGGGGAGGCAATCCCTTTTCTGGATTTATGTAGTCTTCTCCGAGAATATCAAAAACCTTATCAAATGAAGGTGGCAATTCAGTAAAATTGCTACGAGCTGCATCAACTATTTTGTCTTTGGCTTCCTGTGAAAAATCTTCATCCACAAAAATTTGAATAGGATATTGATTCTTTAGTGCCCTCAATACTCTAATTAGTCTAATCAAACTATCCACGTGTTGGTTTCCAATAGTTAAAACAATACCCCTGCCCTTGAATTTATTTTGAAATCTATTTAACCAATATGGGTTGTTGTAAGGGGAAGCCGAGTATGGAACGTCAAAATGAACTACCCCAGACCAATCTTCATAAGTAGGCGATTCTCCTGATAACCAAGGATAAAATCTTTTCTCAAATGTATGAGTACCCTTAAGGAAAGACTGAGTGGATTTTTCCTCAAATAATGAAGCAAGCCATGACTTTGGATGCCAACTTAATTGATTAGTCGATGTTGTTCCTATATAACACTTGTTGAATATTCTAAAATTCGAAAGAATATCACGAACCTTTTGTTGATTTTCCTCTAATTGGGTTTGAGAAAATTCTGCTTGTATAGATTTGAGCAGTTTTGACTTGCCCTTTTCTTTTCTAAATTGATTGAATTCAGGTGAATTAAACCCCTTTAAGCTTAATTTGTCATTAGGGTCAAAATTCCAATTGGGATCCAAGGAATACAAAGTTTTAAAATAAAGCTCACATTTTTGTCCCGAGTCCAATGAAAGGAGTACATCAATATCATATTCTTGAAACAAAGAATTATATACATTCGACTGGTTAATATGGTCTGATGGGCTATCATTTTGAATTTCATGTTTTAATTGTAAGACTTTCTCAGGTTCTGGATGTATTAAACCGTTAGTGGATATTAGTTTCACATCTTGTCTAGCTATAATCAGGAAGAGAAATAATATCCATAAGAGAAAGATACCAACTATAATTATGCTATTAGTACGTCTTCTGAATAGCATTAAAATTACAAAACTATATCAACATATAAGTAGAAGAGAATTGAAAATACCTTGGACTCTTGGAAACCAAGAAATAAAACAAAAAACTGGAATCTTACTCGATGTAGAAAAACCCAACAACTCATGGTTTAAGGTTAGCCGCTACTACATTCTCGGGCCAAGAAATAAATGCGAAATACTGTGATTTTAAGCGGTTGTTGCAATTATTTTTTTATGATATTTTATCACCGACAAACAAAACGCAAGTTTTTTATTTTCAGAAACATTGTAAGTATAGTAATAAGCACGCCTGCGCCTCTTCAGTTTTGGTTTCTCTTCTCTGAACATATATTAGAGCAAGGATACGTGTTTAATAGAAACTTGATATTGATGCTCTATATAAACCCAGCAGATTCTCGTCTATAGTGTGCACTGATTTGATTATCTTGAAAAGATTTTCACTTAACCAATACATGTCATCTATGTATCCTAGGATTTAGAAGAACCATATCTTGACCTCAATAGCTTTTGTTGACAAAGGATTTTGATTCAAGAAGCATTAGTTTAAATAATAGATGTTTTAACGAGTTTAGTTTTCAGGCGCTGATATTTTTAGTTGACGATACAAGCAGATTTTCTGAGGCGTCTTTATGAATAACCTATATTATCTCCGCCTTATTCGCACACTCATTGTAATATTAATTAATATTACAAGAAATATCGTATAGGGTCAGTCTGAAATGAGAAGAATGTTTATTACATATTACTAAAAATTTAGTAAAGATCTACTTGTAAATAACTAACCCATCCAAATCTCTCCATAATATGACATTAAATTCTTTGCGGTGTCATCAAAAGTTATAACTTGACCCAATATAGGTTTGTCTATACTTCCAACACTGGAAACTGCACAAAACATAGTTCCAGCGCAATATTTGAATTCGTCATTCCATCCAGTAAGAAACTGACCATTTTTGCCTTTCATATCTAAAGACCACGGTGGAATAATCCCATGACTTGGTCTGAACAAGGATTCAAAAATCAGTTTAAGCTCATGTGGATTGCTTGGGAACCTACCATTATGACCTGCTTCCACGTCATATTTTACCTTACCTATACCTGCCTTATGGCAAAATCGAAAACCTGAATTTAACCATAATAGATGTCCATCATGGGCACTTAAATGTGCTGGGTGAGCAGAACAGACTTCTTTAATGGGATTATTGGTGTCTGAGAAGTTTCCAATTGAAGCTGAAAAGTTTGGGTCAAATTCATATGATTCATCTCCATTAAAAGCCAAACCTAACCAAAAATATTCCTTTTCGCCATAAAATTGCGAACTTATTGGTTCAAAGAAACTTAGTTGCAACAGCATAAGTACAGAATTGAAATGTTGCTTCTTGTTCAATAATACTAATCCGGACTCCATATAATGTCTAAATCCTTTAAATATTTCTCGATCCAAGGTATGGTTTGTCATCATGGGTATATCAAATACTACCGAGTCAATTAAGTTTGGTCCCAAAGTTTTTAAAAAGTTCAGAGACTTTTTTGCACGAGCTTTCCAAGCTCTGTCTTTATAAAAATATGCACCTGTTTGTTGGTATTCCTTGATATTAAAAAAGAATTCGGGATTTTCAAGTATCACACTATCACTATCGAGTAGCATATATTCTTCAAATGAATTAAAAATACTGGCCAAAAGTTTCTTCGTAAAGCCTTGAAATAAGTTCCAATATGAAGGAACAATTGCATTTTTAACATTGATAAACCAAATTTCTTGCCAAGGTAAACTTTCTCCTGGTTTTAGATAGTTCTTACCAAGAATATCAGATACATTTTCGTATGATTTTGGTAACTCTGTAAAATCGTCTCGAGCTGCAGAAATGATATTATGTTTAGATTCTTGGGAAAAATCCTCATCAACAAGTATTTGAATAGGATATTTATTCTTTAATGCCCTTAATACTCGAATTAACCTTACTGTGTTATCAACATGCTTATTTCCTATAGTTAAAACAATCCCTCTACCATTCAGCTTTTCTCTGAATATATTTAGCCAATAGGGATCATTTATAGCAGAACGTGAATTTGAGCCCGGAAGATCAAAATAAACTTCCCCATTCCAATTTTCATAAGTTGGAGATTCCCCCGATAGCCACGGATAAATTCGTTTCTCAAATGTGTGGGTACCTTCAAAAAAGGAGTTTGCTGGTTTGCCTAGACCAAATGAGCCATGAAGAAACGAGTTTGGATTCCAATTAAATCTATTATTTGTTGATTTTATATAGCATTTATTGAATATTCGGAATATTGAAAGAAGACCACGAATTTTTGGACCATTCTCTTTAAATTTCTTGGTGGAAAATTCCTTCTCTAAATTGTTAATCGGTTCCTTTTTGTCTTTTATATAATTTTGAAACTCAGATGATTTGAAGTCCCTTGTGTTAAAGTTATTACTAGGATCAACGCACCAGTTGGGGTCCAATTGATGTAAAATTTTAAAAAACTGATCACACCTTTCATTAATACCCATTGAAAGTAGTGAGTCTATATCATGATAACCTAACAAGGCATAGTACAATGTCCAGTTGTTGTTATCTTCAGAAAAGGAATTGTGGAATATTTGTTCTTTCAAATCCAGAATTGCTTCAGATTTTGGGCTAGGCAATATTACCTTTTTGGTAGATCCAAATATTAACCCTGGCTTGGGTCTATGTAGCAGGAGAAATGATAGGAATAATAGAAACCCAACAACTATTATAGCTGCAAAACGTTTCCCATGTGCGAATATATTGTATCTTCTTCTCGTTAATCGAAATTTAAATAACATCGAAGAAAATGTTTCGATTGTCAGAGTTTGATAATAGTAATACTAATTAAAATATATAAAAGATTCGGGGGACTCCTTTTTCGAGGGTTTTCTATACATCCGATTCTCGACCACACGTTCATGTCACAAAATCTGTAAAACTTTTTTAGGAAATAAGTCGCGTGTTACACAAAGATAATTCCGTAACACAACAATAGATATTAGCTTAGCGATACAAACAATGGCTATTAAATTAGTAGGATGTCCATCCTCATAAAGTCGCCCTCTATATTCTAGATTTATACACGAGGCAATATTTGTGGACCTATATTCTGATAAATTTTGCGAATATATTATTGCCTATATTTGTTTATAAGTAGGGTAAGTGGCTACTATTTTCAGAGTAGTAATTCCGGTTTCCGAAAATGAACTATGGGAAATTGGTAACCGCATGGGAATTGTCTATATGGAAAAAAGAGAATTTTCTTGGTTTCCAGGATACTACCATAGATCACCAAGTATTATTAGTATTAAATAATGTTAATCAGTAGTATGAAGAGGGTTACTGACGATGTCTCACGTATATAGCTCTGGATAGGAGATATTGCATATGTTGTCAAAAGCCGACACATAGAGAATGAAAAACTTAATCTGGGCCAATTCTAAACTGGGCATGTTCTAGGTGCAAAAAACCAAGGTTTATTTGAGAGCGCCTCTTATGCCCAGGTTTTGAGATTTCAAGGCAAGACATGCCAGGTTATGTATGTTTCTGTGTGCTTGTGGGGAGGCAATTTTTTTACTCGTAAACTTAAACAATGGTAGAATAAAAAATTGGCTTTGTGATATAAATACACAATAGTCTGGAAAAAAATATGACGCATGTGTGGAACGATGAGAGAAATGTACTACGTGGTGTCAAAGGCAATGGTTCCAAAACGTGGTATCCTTGAAAAAACTTCATCAAAATGATTTATCTCTGGTTATATGGCTCATACTTTCTGCCAGAAAATATAACCATATTTTCTGGCACATTCCTCCCAAAGGAAACGTAGTTTTCGCAGTCTAATTATTTTAGATAATGCAGATTTTAGAACATTGCATTTAGTTTTGTTCTAATTCAATTCCAGTCCATTCACATGATTTGTTATCTGCATGATTTTAGTGCAAATTGGTTTAAATACAAATTTAAACTTAGTTGCTTTTATACATTTTGTTTATGTTTCTTTTATGATCCATTTTTACTTTAATTTCACGTGTTTTGTTTTATAACTAATTGTTATCAGCAAGCAGTGTTTCCTCTATACTCCACAATGCCACTTAACACAGATATCATGAGACACAATATTGATTATTAAGCTTAATAAAATAAGACACAAGTTATTTATAGGATAAATGTACCAAGAGAAAAATTTTAAATTTCATTGTTTTGAGTAAATAGATTAGACGAACATTCCACTATAAAGTAGAAGTTTTTTGCGAGGCAATATGGTTGCATATGCAACAGTTTTATTATGTAATTATATATTCGGAAGGGATTGTTGCCCACAAATACACATATTGTTAGATCAAACTTATATAATTAACCACAATGTACAACCAAAGGGAAGTCGATCCAAGGTAACACCATCGTATAGAATAAAAAGGTTCATTTTCAAGCTATAACTACATATTCTACATTATAATTAGCCTCATAATGCATGACTATGTGGAAAATATAACTAAGTTTATAGCGAGTTCACAGCACAATTACAAATCACCCGTTCTCAATTCGGAGAACGATCAATTCGGAGAACGATCAATTATCAATAGTCCTGCTTGTAGAAATCTTCTGAGCTGATAAATTATGTAATTATCATTGAAGAATCGTAATTCTATTTGTTCAAAACAAGGTCACAATAAAGTGCCACATTTTATATCATAAACACGATCCTGTTATATTTAGAAAAAAAATGTGCTTAATGTAGTTTATTTATTTATTATGATTAGTTAATTCTAAAAATACACTGGCTAAACCTGTTCTTTTTCCTCTTCTATTACTTCATGATGATACATCTTATCATCATTTGAATAAAATTCAGTAGTTGGAGTCGAACCCTTATTATCACTAGCCGTCCAAGTTATCTCATCACTATTATAGGGTGAGCTTGGCATATTCGGTACAATTCTTGCCAAATTATTATCTAATGAAGTAGTATTATTCTTAAATGTTTTCATCGGGGGAAAATTCGGATGATGATCAACCATATCTACTGGTGTTAACTCATCTTTTTCAAAAAGAGAAGAAATCCAAGGCGACGAATGATTAAAAGCAAGTATAGATTCGAAATCATCCATACCGTTCGAAGGAGGAGCTATATTCTCCTTATCTTCATCACTATGGTCATCAACGGGGTTAGGGGTAGGGTCCATGTTTATAACTCTTGTATTTGATTTTGTAGCCATAACCGGAGGTGAAATCACGGGATCGATGTCTGTTAATGGCCCTCCAAACGAATTAAGTTGACTCATTATATCATTTATATCCATTGGTTTAATTTGTGATGATCGACGTTGGGCAATTGCATCTAAACTGGAAGATGTAGTGTTGGTATTTGCATTAGTAGTAGTAGTATTAGTTGGCTTCTCTTTATATTTTTGTTGTTGTAAATACTTTTTCACCACTGGTTCTGGTCTCATAAATCCCTTATTTCTCAAGAATAAATAACATGCATTACATAATGGGCCAAACATGCCTTCGTAGTGGCGTTTATCAAATTCCAGACTATTTCTCATGGCCAAGATCTTAGGTGCAGTGGCCGAGGATGTTTCGAAATATCGCCATGTAATGGACTCATTAGTGGCACAAGTAGGGTTCGTACAAATTAAACCATGATTATGTGGTAGCTTTGAACGAGAAATCGTGTGAGTTCTTTTAGAATCAAGTTCTTCTAAGTCCGGAAGTGATTGAAATGATGACGATGGATTGGGGTTTAAGTTTGTATTTTCTTCTCCGACCTTTTCGTCATTATATGGTGGCTGTTGTGGAGTATATGGTGAAGGCTCATCGCTGTCATTGTCATCACTATCATCGCTGTTGTTGCCATTCTTTGATTGCTCTAGCTCACCTGGCTTATATTCCGGATCAGAACTATCGCCTTCTTCTTCAATAGGTGAAGATATTGCCGGTATAGGCTGATGAACCATTGATCGAGTTCTCATAGCGCTAGGATATCTTGATCTACTATTTGGTAGTGGTTTATCTATCACACGTTCTTGTAAGAAAGGTGCCAGTTTAAATCTATCTTGTACTGACTTAGAATCGTAACGCGATGGCACATTTGAACGATCAGAGTTCATAATAGTGGCTTGTCTTGGGGTAGGTGGTAATGGAGTGAATATAGGAAGAGATTTAGTACGAGTTGCTTTAGCGGCAGCAGTGTTGTCAACATGATGATTGAAGGTTCTTTTAGGCGGATGCTGGTGTGTGTTTTGGTATTGGTTATGGGTTTCATTTGGTCGTTTCCTGGTCTGTTGTTGTTGTTGTTGTTGTTGTTGTTGCAGCTGTTGTTGTGGTTTCGCAAACTGTTGAGAATCGGATTTCTCTACTGTATGTAACTTCAACCTAATTTCCAATGTTAGACTCGCCACCGACAGCTTGTCACCAAATAAGAAACTAGCACTTAGATTGCGACATACTCGTCCTGGAACAAGAGTTTTATCCTTACTATTAACCAAACTTGTCAACAGTCCTTGTGCGACAAACGGTTCATCTGGTTGTTCTGTTAAATCTTTATAATAAACAGCATAGTCTTCATTATGCAAATGAAAGTTCTCTGGTGAATGGTTTAGTATTTGTGATATGCAATGACGTAAATCGAATGCACCAAGAGTGATAGTTTCATCATCAGATGTGCTAGGGAGATCGATTGTTTTGACTGAATATTGGGACTTCAGACGGGATAGAAAGACCGTGGGGTTGTTATTGAATGAATAGAGTACCTTAATTTGCATTCGTTGGTGATTGTCATTGTTTTCGTCGGTCATGATGGTGAGCGTGAAGTATAAACAACGACTGTATAAAGTATAAACAACAAATGAGTAATGTTAAATATGGGTTGTAAACAAGTGTGGGCCAGGAGAAAAAAAAACAAATGATGAAATTGCCAAAAAAAGGAATGACCTGCAATGAGAATTTATATATGGGTAGGCCGGGACGGGTGAAGACCAATTGTGGTTGGTAGTGTAGGAAAGTAGTAGATGGAGGGGGAGGGAAGGATATGCAAGTGGGCCAATGCTAATGTTGTGCTAGATATCTGCCTATCAAAGTATGTTGTGATATCTTATGATTAATCTGAAGTGGAAACGAAAGAAGAAGCAAAAGAAAAAGGAGAGCCAGAGGATTAAAACGAAAGTTTCAATTTGGCTTGTCTGCCTGTCTGATATTAGCACAAGTTACCGGAAAATCAAACTGCAAAAAAAAATAAAAAATAAACAACGCGAAAAATGCAACGCGAAAAAACAACGAACAAACAAGAAGATCTCAGCGCTACCAGATTTCAGGTGAAATATTGACAGACGATGCCAATAATACACAAACACGTATATCACTTGACACAATAAATTACGCGATGACCGTGTCAACAACCCAGGTACACTTAAAACAGCGGTATTTCAGAAGGAGATAATGTCACTCAATTCTACATTGATCGGTAGTAACAATGTACATCAATAACAATTTCGTCTACCTTAACTATGTACAAACTATATACAAGGAACATACTACTCCAGATTTCAATCCATACCGATTAATTTTCTAACTTCTTCAATGTTTTTAGTGGCAATCTCTCTTGCCTTATCTCTACCTTCATGACAAACCTTCTCTAAATATACACCATCCTTCATTAACTCTTCAAATAGTTCTCGTTGCTGCTTAAATTCAGTCACGAGCACATCTGTCACGTGATCCTTGAATTGCTTATGGTCTTTAACATAAGCCAAATCTTCAACCACCTGTTCAATTGACTGACTTGTAACTCCACTTAATATGTTGATCAAGTTTGAAACTCCCGGTCTTGCTTCTGGATCAAAGTAGACTGGGCCTTGAACCGAATCAGTGGTTGCTTTTCTAATCTTTTTCGCAATAACTTCTGGTGCGTCCGTTATATAAATGCAACTACTTTGATCAGGGTCAGATTTTGACATTTTCTTTAATGGGTTTCTTAAACTTAAGATCTTCTTTGATGGTGTAAGTAAGGTCTGTGGAATAGGGAAGAAGTTTGTCTTGTAACTGTTGTTAAAATTGATAGCAACACTCCTACACATTTCCAAATGCTGAGACTGATCATCACCAACTGGAACATGTGTACTTCTATAAATCAAAATATCTGCTGCTTGTAATATAGGATAACACAATAGCCCTGCTTTTGTATGTTCCAAAAACTTTAATTGATCCAGTTCGTCGTCACCCAATTGTCTGGCTTTCAGCTTCCATTGGGTCATTCTATTAAGGGCACCCATACTAGTAAGACAAGTCAAGTACCAATGCAATTCCGCATGTTCAGGTACTGAACTTTGATGGAACAAAATACATTTCTTGGGATTAAGACCACAAGATAAAATTCCGGCCATGGCTTCATGACGATTTGATCTCAATTCACCGGCAGGTTTGACACCAGTGGTTATAGCATGAAGATCAGCAATTCCAAATATATATTGGGTTCCTGGTGATTCAGTTTCAGATAAGGTTTTCCATGATTGGATTGCTCCTAAATAGTTACCAATATGGAATTTTCCAGTCGGTTGAATGAGCGAAAATACTCGAGAATTGTTAGGAAGGTGTTGATTTTTGGATATTTCTTGGACTGTACGAGCTGCTTTGCTCGCTATGGTTTTACCAACTGTCATGGAGCGGTTAATGGCTAACATGTTTAATGAAAAAAAAAATTTGGTTATGAAAATTTGAATTTGAAAACCGAGACCACATCGCTGCTACCATATTACCGATTCGCTACCATGTTCAATGGATGGCAATGTAGAACAGATAATGCTGTGGCCGTTACGAGGGGTATCATACTTTTGATAAACGCAGGGGGTTATTCACAGCAGGTAATTTGCAAAATATCCTTCAGATATAAGTCAGATGCCTATGTTAGTCATTTATAACCTTCTACTGGACAGATTTTTTTCTTTTTTACAGAAAACTTCCCAAACTAAACATACATTCCAACTGTGTCGGGTGCTGAAGCTAAAGAGCAAAAGATATTGCAAGTATTCTTTATGTATATTAATGAAATGAGCACTCTACAGATATTACTCTCACAATCGACAAAAACAGCAAGCAACCGTATACTAGTACAACTATTGTAAATAACCCTATTTATCGCTCCTCCTGTCTTTGTTCAACTTCAATAAAACCTCCATTAACATTCAGGACATTAATACCCAGTTTAACCAACCTCAGCTCTAATTTCATTCTTTGCAAATGTCTCCATCGATTCAATTGAGAGTATTCATGCAATTTGAACCCAAACACCCTTGGAACATACGTTTCCTTGGAATGTATAGGTATAGCATTGGGAAAGTTTTGGAAAAACATTGCAGGGAAGGAAGTACCGAAATAAGCCCCATCTATAACTGCATGTCTATTAGATTTCGGATTGAATAAATCTTCACATTTAGCACAATATAACTTAACACTAGCAACTCTTGGAGAATCATTAAGCCCAATAGGCAACAAAGGATGTAACTGACAGTTTATTCTTGGACAATAGCCAAAATCTCCATTTCTAAATTTTTCAAACATCTTGTTAAGACCTCGGGAAGTCAAGATGTATCTGGCATGAATTAATCCATACAATATGCGAGCATTGTGTTCAAGAGTATCACGTTGGTCCTCGGGTTGACTATCTAAATCGATCAAGTCAGTTATTATATCAATAAGGGTAGGAAGCTTGGATACTTCTTGGTTCAAACCAGTGAGGTTGAACCTATCTCGAATGTATTCATCATCAATATCACAAAAGTATTCGTTACCTTTTATACCGAGGAATAAATCAATCCAATATTCAGTAAAATCAGATGATGAATCAGTTATATAGTCAGCCATGATGTATGTGTATATGTGTGGTGTGTGTGGTGAGAGGGGGATGACTCTTTGGTAATGGGTTGGCAACTTTTGGTTGACTTAAATTTTTTTTTTTTTTTCTTTTGACTTTCAATTTGGTCAAAGGAAAACAACCACAACAAAAACATTTGCCAGAGAGACCGTTGCTCCAATTTGCATCAAACACAGGAAACACCCCAATGAAGCTATTACAATTCCCGTTAGGTCACTTCAATACAGTATCAGTCAGTCCTGATAATACTAAACTCATAGCTGGAGGTGACTCCGTGTTGCAGGTGTATGACATGAACGGGTTAATTAAGTATGCTCAATTGGATCCTGCACCCAAACTCGACGACCTAAAGACAATCAAACCAGTGCGGACAATTACATGCCACAAGGATGCTGTGAACTGTGTTCAATTCTTTCACAACTCAGAAGAATTCATATCTGCCGATACAGCAGGATATATCTATCATCATACGTCTTCATCAGCCGTGCAAATATATCCATTTGGAAGTAAAACAGCAGTTGCAATTGTCGACCTTTCAATATCTGCCGATGACAAAATTCTAGCGTGGTCAACAACATCAGGTGAAGTCAACCTATACTCCTTCCCCAGCCACAAATACCAAAGGCTAACATCGTCATCCTCAATTCAAAGAAGTGTTTCCTTTGATCCTACAAATAATTACTTGGTGACTATTGGTGACGACACGTTGATTCACGTGTACCAATACACCCAATCTCCATACAAGTTCAGGCATATCAGCAAAATATCTAGATTGCTCAACAAAAACCGTCGTAATGTCAAGTATAAACGAATTTCGTGGTCTCCTGAAGGTGAATTGGTTGCCGTGCCGACAGCATGCAAGAACCAAACTATGGTCATATCATTGATATCACATACCAATAACTGGAACACGAGTATCAGTTTAGTTGGCCACGACCTGACCTGTCAAGTGGTTAAATTTAATCCAAAATTATATGGCGAGGATGACCTGGTATATAGCGTTGTTGCTAGTGGAGATGGTGATGGAACTGTATGTGTGTGGAATACAACCAAAGATTCGCCAATTATTATTTTGAAAAATGTTGGCGATGATATAAAAGATTTGTGTTGGGTGGGCAGTAATGCGGTGGTTTGGTGTGGTGGAAACGGAATCTATGTTGGCAAATTTGAACAGTCAGAGTTAGGAGATGAAGTTGATGTCAAAGCATTTGAAAGATTAATGAGTTTACAAAAGTCATTGGTCAAAGATATCACCCATAAATATGATGAAAATTATAAACGAGGGGCTAAAGAGATTGATTACATCGAAGAAGTCAATGGAATAGATATCAGACATGAAGAGAAAGAGGTTAAAGTAGACGTTGAACCAACAAGTGTGGTACCTACTGACTCTGAATCATCCAATGTCAAAGGCAAAATAACCCCTCTGGTGCTTCTTCCACCCGATCCAACGGCAACACCTCCACCGACTGATATTCTTGATTCAGCAATGTCAACCAGAAAATCTCCAGCAAAAACTAAGTCAACTAAACCAGCTCCATCAGCACAACCAATAATTACCATGAAAAATGGGAAACGTCGTATTCAACCAATGTTGATAAGCTCAAACAATTCAACTCCTGTATTGGACCACAAAACAACAACCAACACATCTGCACAAAAGCCAGTCACCTCCATGGAATTTGATAAACCCAGTACTGTAATCAGTACTGACCATGTCAAGAAACGGCCAAATCAAGACCAACAACAGCCAAGTAAAAAGCGTCAACAACTTGAACCAATAAAATTCATTGGAACTCCAATTGTGAATCCAAGCACGGCAATTTCGCAAATTCGACTTGCAACCCCAAAAATCAGACTTCATTTCCAAAGTAAATCTGGTGAATTGACACTTGATATTAAAAATGGTAGTGGTAATGAAACCCAACCTTCCAGGGTAACATGCATTAAAAAAGAAAAGCCAGTCTGGACTGATTTTTTAGCAAAACATGTGGGTTTGGTTACTTCTGGTAATGATTTCTTTGCCATCGCATTAGCTGATGGAAATATTATCATATATTCACAAATTTCAGGGATAAGAGTGTTCCCTACATTAGTGTTGGGAAGCCCAATTTCATTTTTAGAAAGTTGCGAAAATTACCTCATGGCTGTCACTAATATCGGTGAGTTATTTGTCTGGGATATACTGAACAAAAAAAGCGTGTTGACATCAACAATTACCCCATTGTTAGATTTAGGAAAGTATGACGATGATGGATTATCAAAATCTGATCATATAACATTATGTGCTATAACCACTACCGGGATCCCCTTGATTACATTATCCAATGGAAATGGCTACATGTACAATACTTCTCTTGCCATTTGGCAAACAGTTTCTGAATCATGGTGGTGTTTTGGAAGTCATTATTGGAATAGTGCAACTACAACCACACCAACAGATTCAATCATCGATATGTTGGAACATCATACCAATGAAGAAATCTTAAGAAAGACAAGAACCGGTAGAGGTAAATTATTTAACAAAATTAGTAAGAATATGATCATGAAAGAAGGGTTTGAAAGTTTGGAAAATACAATCAGTATAAACCATTTGGAAAATAGAATCAAATGTGCGGAAATTTTAGGGGAAAAGCAAGAGTTTAAGAAATGGTTTATGATTTATGTTGAACGATTGTGTGAGTTGGGATTGAAGGTGAGATTGTTTGAAGTTTGCCTGGAATTGTTGGGACCAAACGAGTCACAAGGTAATGGGTCAAAAGAGATTGCAATTATGAACAATGGCAATACCACTAGTTCAGAGTGGAACCCAAATATCTGTGGCTGGGATAAACATACTTTACTCAAAGATATAATAACCACATGTTCTATCCATCGTGACGCACAACGTGTTCTTATTCATTTTGGAGAACTACTTGCATTGGTTTAGCATCTGTCATAAAATTATAAACTTGAAAATATTTGATAAATCTATATATATAAATCATTAGACATATTTCGTTATAAATTTAAAACAATTTAGTTTTTCATTGTACCTGATTACTTTCGTTATCTAGTACATTCTTAAATAGTAAACATTAAAGCAGTCACATTTTTTTTTGTACAAGGAGAAAATGGTCGGAAGGATATTTCCCTATAAAATATACAGAGCATATTCATCACTATGTAAGCCACGGTATAAATAATAGCGAATGTCAAATTGATGGTGAAAGAAAAATACTAAAACCTATAATTTCTCCAAAATTGATATTGCTTTGCTGCATTGTAAGTTAAACTAGTTCAACAGATTGATTTATTTGTGGAGCTTGAACTGGTGATAATCGCCTTAGTTGTAGTAGTCTCAAGGGTTCTAGTGCTTTGCATGGTATCAATGAGTTGTGTGGTATGGCTATTTATACTTGGTTTCCTACCAATTCAAGAGAAATATATTTAGAAGGGGTTAGATCTCAGCATAAACAACGAGTGCTAGTATGCGGGTAGGATGTTGCAAAATACTGTATATGGTGAAACTAGAAAGTTAAACTTGAAGTGTTTAGTCGCCAAGAATATACATGTATTATGAAAGTGAAAAGGAGATTCTATATCTACAGTTCCAAGCACTTCAAGATACCTAGGGCAACACACCTAAAGTTATTTAATAATAGTCAAGTTTTGGATTTTAGAATAAATATTAGTTGAGATCGAATTTGTAAGTAAACTACAAAAATATATATACCAAACAGTTGTATATCATTATCATAGTTTTATTTTATTACATTATAATCTTGTTAGCTATTTTCTGACCTATACCATATGTAAATTGAAAACATTGCATCTCACCATATAAACCCAGCATAATTATTGGTGTTAATTTCACTTATTCCACCCCTGAAATAGTATTTTGGCGTAGAAATAGTAGATGCTCATACAAATAATATATATCAAGGGGATTATGAATACGAATATAAGGAGAATAATCAATAGTAGCAGGAGAATGGTCTCACTCCAAGAAGGAACATTTTCGTTCTTTTGATTCTTTTGTTGATCCGAACATTGGTTAGATAACTCTTGTAATTCTACTGGTGGTTGATTCAGAGAGCTAGTGGCTGGAACAGGCACGAATTTGTAAGACGTGTCGGAGTGGTAATCATTTCCCATGGTTGCTTGTAATAAAATATATGAGTTCTACATGGTCAATTGCTTTATTCTTTCTTGTCTTTATATTTTATCTTAGAGTTGCAAAATACTGCGACAAGATGCTTTTACAAACACTATAGCAAGAATAAGCAAGAGGTACAAAAAAAATAAATCTAATATCTATGGAAATGTGCTTAACAAATGACTCCATAGGACAAGCTAGTAATTATAACAGGCAATTTTCACTTTAATGCCATATGAAGTCCGTATAAAATCGATAAGCAAATTTGCCAAGCAAGTAAAATAAGGGAATTATAAGGGTCATGAGGATAACTGAAATCCCAATGATGCCAATGAATATCCCACAACAGGTACCGAGCATTCCTTCGTCATAATTTGTTGTATTCTGACGCATACATGAAGATTCAGACTGGGGCTGAGGTTGAGGCTTGGGTTGAGGCTGGGGTATCCTTACTGCCGCAGGGGGTAATTTCGTTAATTCTATTGCTGGTGCTGCATAAGCAGGGGGTAAATTCAGTGAACCAGCGACAAAGACAGGACCTACAAACTCGTGCCCCGGTGGGCTTTGGTAATGGTTGGTCATTTCTTGGCTCTTTTATTCCAAGAAAGAGTAATGTGGGTTGCAAATGATTTCTTTCCTCAATATATAGTTATAACTTGCCAACTTTATGTTATGCTGCAGAATAACACATAAATCGATAGTGGTTTTAGGAAATAACATCTACATAGTGATATAATATACCGGTAAGTCTTCTATACTATATACAAATGCGGTCTATATGTACACTTTACAACTTAAAGACATTTAAGCTATTCCAACCTTTCTTTCCTAATAGTCCTTTAACTTCACCTTGCTCACCAATATCTAACCGTTTGCCGCCTGCCAAATATTCAATGTATCCATCTGGACCACACACAAGACTGAATGCAGCTGGTTTCTTTTTCTCTTTCTTTGTAACATTTGCTTGATCTAAAGCAGTGTCATACCTCACACCGCGATCTTCTTTAGTTTTGATTTTACGTGGTGGAGTTACTTCTTTGTCTTCGATTTGTGGTTGAAGAGTTTCTTTTAGTGGATGGTTTTCAAGGGCTTTTGGAGTCAAGTAAGTTGGTTCCTCAGGTGTAGGAATGTCTTTGATTGTAATTGGGTTGACTTTGTCAATGTGGGTGGTTAGTCTTATTCTATCTAACTTATCAAGGAAAAATAAGAATCTGGATAAACTAGGACCAAGTTCTTCTGCACCTCTGGTAGAATAATGAACATTTACATGTCCCAAGTATGGCTTTCTCGAGAAGAGCACTTGTAAAATTGGGGCAATCCCGGTTCCACCGCCATAAAAGTCAATTGTATCTATATCAGGAAGTCCATTTTGTTGAATTATGCTCGATCTAAAATTTTCTGGTTCCACTTTTGAAGGGATATCCTTGAAGATAGGTCTTGAATAGTGCAAGTTTAATGGGTGACGGGGGAACTTGAATTCAAAGTAAGGACCTCTCAATTCAAGTGTGTCACCTATTTTTTTTGAAGTGATATATTTGGAAACTTCGCCATCGTCATATCGTTTAATGTACAAACACATGGTACCCTCTCTATCATATTCGTCAATATCAGGATCTATAACTTTAAGCAAAGGCAGTCTATCACCAGATCTAGTGTATTCCGATTTCATAAAATATAATGGGAGAGGAGTATACCTTCTCACAATATTGATTTCCGGTTGCTTTATATCAACACTCCAAATTCCACGACTTCCATTCCAGATTGACTTGTTTTCATAATCACCGCTATATGGCATTTGCCAGGCAGTGGTTGTTGGTTGAATCTCAATGATCATGTGGTTATCATCGATGATTTCTTTATGTAATACTTTGAATTTGGTGAAAGTGTCAGGAGAGAGGATATCATTAGGTTCAGGATCGTCATCGAGAACGTAAATCTTGATAACGTAGGCACCCCAGGCAATGGCTAATACTGTGACTATTTTTGGGATATATCTCGTCCATCTACTAATAACCTTCGGCTTAGTGGTTAATTCAGTGAATTCGTCCTTGTTAGGAAGAGTAGGATACTCATAAGAAAGTCTAGTGTGGGAAAGTTTTGGAATGTATGGCTTGGTGTCTTGTTTAAGTAATGGTGTGATATGGTTGTCTATTGGAGCTGGGGCTGATTTAGTAGTGGATGAGTTTGTCTTTGCTACTTGATTATTCTTCTTGGGAACATCCGGTTTTGTTGAATTGAACCGTACATTACGTCTTAGTATTCGTCTGAACATGGTCGGTATACTTTGTAGTGAAAAGTAAGGGAAAATTTTTCAGCCATTTTTTTTAAAAAAAAATTGAAGCTTAAATATTTCTGGCAACACAATTACTATCACCAATTACCATACCCATGCAACTTCTCCACTCTACACAAGCCCACACTGGCCCAATATGGTCAATCACCACACATGCTACCCTCCCACTCATAGCCACTGCCTCCCAGGATAAAACATCCAAGATTTACTCGTTAACATCGCACCATAACTTGCTTACAATTCTTGAAAAGACTCATACGAGATCTGTCAGATCGATAGCGTTCAAACCACCATTGGACAACTTCGACTTGCCTGTATTGGCAGCTGGGTCATTTGATTCCACCATATCAATTTGGGGGATCGATGAGCCGGAATTTTATGCTGACGTCGAGTCAGAGTCCGATCATGAAAGGATAATATGTGATCCTAACAATGAATGGAACTTAATGGCGTTGATTGAAGGTCATGAAAATGAAGTCAAGAGCGTAGCTTGGAATCATCAGGGTAACCTTCTTGCCTCGTGTTCAAGAGATAAGACGGTGTGGATATGGGAAACTGATCAAGAGACTCTTGAAGAGTTTGAATGTATTGCCGTGTTGAATGATCATGAACATGATGTTAAATACGTATGCTGGCATTCTACAAGAAATATCTTGGCTAGTTGTTCATATGATGATACTATAAGAATATATGCCGAAGATGACGACGATGAGTTTGCATGCGTGGGTGTGTTGAATGGCCACGAAGGTACTGTCTGGAGTTGTGCTTTTGAGAATCCAGCTACTCCTACAGATAAAATAAGATTAGCTTCAGTAAGTGATGATTTAACTGTGAGAGTCTGGGTTGGCACCGTTCCTGAACATAGCGACAAACAATTACCAAGTTCAATTAGACATAATAAAGAGATGGTCTGGGAACAAGAGTGTATACTTCCACAAGCACATGCCTTCCCTATCTATTCCCTCTCGTGGTCTGCCACTACAGGTAAAATAGCTTCATGTGGGTCTGATGGTAAGATTGTAGTATATAAGGAAGTTGACGGCACCTGGGAAGTTGAAGCTACCCATGAAGCAAGTCATGGTGTGAGCGAAGTCAATTGTATATTATGGGGAAAGTTAGATGATAAGGAGATATTAATCACCGGTGGAGATGACGGATGCGTAAATTATTGGCAAGTATAGAGACTATATAATTATTCCAAGTAATATAATAAATGCAGTAACACCAATTAAAATCACCAAACAACACAACATTCGCCCATTCAGCCTACGTTGGTAACGTTCAGCTCGATGTAACTCATTAGAAGCCTGATGTGCATTTGTGTTATAACTGAAGATATTATTTTCAATGGAGTCAACTTGAAATTGTTGTTCTTGGATAATCGAGGATAAGTTGGTGAATATTTCATTGATTTCAAGGGTATCGGTGTGGATTTGTTGAAGTTCACGTTCTCGCTGTTGAATTAAAAGTGATTGTTGTTCTAGCTCTTCTGCATTTATGGGCTCGTATGTGATCTGCACTTGTGTCTGCTGCTGCTGCTGTTGCTGTTGTTGCTGTTGTTGTGCAGAAATTTGTTCTTCTTGTGATCGAGATTCTTCTTGGTGCTCACCAGTTAAACTTTCATATCTCTTTTGCAAATTCTTGAAGTTGATCAATGCGTCTTTAATTAACTTGATCTGAATCAGTTCTCGCTGACGTAAATATCCAATAACTTCAACATCTTCCTTATTCCGCTCCTTATCCGAGATCACCAGGTTGATCAGCTTAACTACCTCATTAACCTTTTTGAAACTCTCAGTAGTCTTCTTGAACTGTTTACTCAATGCATCTCCAAGCTCAATCTGACCATGTTCATACGAAACCAAATCTTCTTTGATCTTGGAAATCAAACTGTGGTTTATATGATGAAGTTGATTCTCAATGGTGGTAGTCAAACTATCAAACTCAGGAAAATCCTGGTATTTGTAGGATTGGTTTGTGCGTGTGCTTTCTAAATCAGTATCAAATGGATTATTAAACGACATGGTGTGTATGGGTATCTCTATTGTGGCTCTATAAGGAGTGTGTGGTTGATTTAGCCGATAACAATTTTTACTTTGCCACTTTTTTTGTACAACCATTTCTTCATGGTGCTACCATGTGGAAATTTTCAAGTGCTACCGAAGATGAGTTATGATAATGGTAATTGCCTAAAGTTCCTGCTTTTCTACAAGATAAGAGATTATTAAAAACTTTCAACAACTACAACGACTAATCAAGTCAAATTCTAATTCATTAATATTGTTCTATAAAATATAAATATTAAAAATACTCTTCATGTCAAATCTAATTACATAAAGCCGCTAGGCTTTGCTTCTAAAGGTTACAGTAGTGTTGTGCATTTACTCTTGTTCAGAGATAAACTTTTCACACTCTAAAGCAGCCATACAACCAGTACCAGCAGAGGTAATTGCTTGTCTATAAATCTTATCTTGGACATCACCAGCAGCAAACACACCTGGAACAGAAGTGGATGCGGTACCTGGAACAGTCTTGATATAACCAGTTTCATCCATGTCTAATTGGCCCTCGAAAATCTTAGTAGCTGGAACATGACCAATGGCGTAGAATAAACCATTAACAGGTAAATCTTTAGTTTCACCGGACTTGTTGTTCTTGATAGTTAAAGCATTCAATAATTTACCATCACCCTTAGCTTCAACGGCGTTGGTGTTCCACAAAACTTCCAACTTGTCATTGTTCAAGACTCTCTTTTGCATAATGGTAGAAGCTCTCAATTGGTCTCTTCTAACTAATAAATAAACCTTGGAACCGTACTTGGTCAAGAATAAAGCTTCTTCACATGCGGAATCACCACCACCGATGACGGCCAATGGCTTGTTTCTGAAAATTGGCACGGCACCATCACAAACGGCACAGGCAGAAATACCTTGTTGCCAGTAAGTTTCTTCACCTGGCAAGTGCATACGCTTGGCACTGGCACCTGTGGCGATAATGACGGCATCGGTAGTTATTGGTTCAGCATCTTCGTTCCATTCAGTCCACAACTTGAATGGCTTGGCAGATAAGTCAACCTTGGAGATGGTTTCAGTTATAATGTCAGTACCAAATCTTTGTGATTGTTTCTTCATGTTTTCCATCAATTCGGTACCATTTATACCTTCTGGGAACCCAGGGAAGTTTTCAATGTCGGTAGTGGTGGTTAATTGACCACCGGCGGCAATACCGTTGGCAAGCATACCTTCGTAAAGAGTTGGCTTAATTTCAGCACGGGCCAAATAGATGGCGGCAGTGTGGGCAGCTGGGCCAGATCCAATAATTGTGACTTTGTGGTGGGTCATTGTGTATGTTATTATCAATTGATTGAGTGATGATTAAGAAAGGGGGGGTTTGGAAAAAGTGGTGAAATATTTCTTTGCTTTTATAGTTTTTTTTTTTGCTAACGCGGTGTTTGTTGATTAGAAATGGTTCCGGTCTAGACTTCCGATGCTGACACCAGAAAAAGAAATTTGTCAGTTGCTGCACGTGATTTGCCGATGATGGAAAAGGGTTTTTGTTATCATATGAAACCGTTCCGGTCTAGCCTGTGGCACTGATGACCTAATATTATTATTATTACTAATTTCGTATATTCAAAAGCCTAATTCTCTATAAATTCTTTAACTATAGGACACCGTTGGATGACTGGATCTAATAATACATTAGTCATGAACCATTGTAGTCCCTTGCGTCGTTCTTCGAGCCAGTGATTAGCTAATAAGATCCGATCGAAACTAAACGAGTCGCGAGGTGGCAACCCGGGAATGCGCACATTGCTGCTAGTGTCATCATGTCTAAAATAATCCACTAGCCGTGACCTAAATTCTACGATTTCGTTATATCGTTTATATTTAATGATGCTGGAATAGTCCATGTCGTTCAATGTGATCTTGATGGCCCACACCATGTATGATTTACCGGCTGTCCCTTGTATGAGGTGATGTTCTCCCACTAACACATCAGTGACATGGGTGTTGGTTTCTGTGGGATCGTGATGTTCTAAATCTTCACCGTTGTGAAGCTCAATTGGTACAGGAAGAACTTCGTTAAGCCGTGATATAGAATTGGATTTACTTCGATTCATTGTCACATGTTACAAGTCCCAAGTGCTGCTGCTGCTTCTCCTCGTCTAAACTACCGCGATTGTGGTAGTTTTTCTTTGCTGTTGAGTGACCCTCTCTCTCTCTCCTCCCCCCCTCCCCAATATGTATCACGTGATAACATTAAATCTAGACTTCAAATCAAAAAAATTTAACAAAGACTTGCTAGAGTTGGATAAGTAGTAGCTATAAGATGGATCCAATAAAGTCAAAATATTCTCTTTATAAACGACTTCTACATAAATTCCAAGCACGTAGAGATATTCCATTCCGAAGAAAGTTCTTTATTGGGTATGATTTACACGGAAACACATACTGGGAATTCACAATTGATGGTCAAGTGAATAATTTACGTCGGAAGTTGGAACCATATAGGAAACAATTCTTCGAAGCTGATTATTTCAAGACTATCCCTCCACAATGGTTGCAATGGTTGCGAAGAACTAGGAACGTTCCTCCTACCCTTGAAGAGTTGTTACAGGACGAATATCGACAGGCAAGAATTAAAATGTTGGCACAACAAGCGGACCAGAAATGGATTGCCGAGAAGGAGAGGTTGGTTAGGGATCAAGCTGTAAGGTTGGCCAACGAATTAGATAGAGTCAAACGTGAAAGTGGGAAAATTGATGAACCAATTCAAGAAAAGATAGAAGCTAACCTTGAAGAGAAGGTTGATCCCAAGAATCCTTGGCTACAGGCAGATAATGCTGATTCAAATCCAATTGCATCAGCTCATATTAAACCAAGAAAATAATAGACATAGAAATACTGTATATAGAACAAATTCATTTATTTCATATTAAGTTTCTTCTCCACCATATCCACCAATAAATCACTATATTTTTCCAACATATCTTGGTGATGTGGTTGATTAATCGATTCAAGCATCTGAACAAGTTTATCGCCAACTATCTTTCTATCACCTGAACTAAGCAAATTAACCTTCTTGTTAATATCCTCCAATCGATTCAATATACCGTCCACAGGAGATGTAACTTCATTTACTACGACATGCGGGGGTTTCTTTGTAAGCACTGGTGTTGATAATACTGGCTTGTTAGGCAGGATAGACTTTAATGGTGATTGTAACTTAGGCGTGCTGATACTAGCAGCAGTTAATCTAGCACTAAGATTAGGGGTGCTCAGTCTTCTTGTAATTATCTTAGCCGGTGGTAATAAGGTTTTTGCTGGCTTTAAAGGAGATGGCTTCTCCAGTAAACGTCGTTCGGGAGATCTTACTGGTGATCGCCTTTCCAGAGCAAGCTTCTCCTGTGATTTTGGCAAGATCTTTCTTGAAACTTGCTTGTTAATTATCGGAGAAGGAGTTTCAATTTCGCTTCTTTGTGGCGTTACCGCTGGTGCCTGTAAACTCCAAGTAAATAAACAACCATCTGATCCGATGGACACAAGTTTGGTGCCATGCATGAACAATCCCACTATTGAATCCAGATGACCCCAAACAACACTTATTTCCGATCCACCATTGTAATTAAACACCCGGAGTGATTTGTCAGATGCCCAACCAATGAGATACTGTTCATACTTGATGAAATTTTCAATCTGAATGAATTCATTAGTTTGCGAATTGATGAATCTAACCATTCTTGAAAATTCAATCTCTTCTGATATGTTGTATATCTGCACTGTCTTGTCTGATTGAGATACTATAAGTTCATCATCCAATATATTCATTGTTATCGGTGTAGCTTTCAATGTGATTACCTTATCGTGAGTCATTTGTACTGAGTCTTCCAGTTTATATAAAGAATGCACGGAAATGGTTCTATCTGAAGAACATACGTATATTATACCTTCATGATGTATGACCTTAAGCAAATTACCCTGGTGAATGGGTACTGTTTCCACTAACTCATACTTGCCTTGATAATTGCGGAAAAATTGAATCATTCGATCACGTCCAATGCTGCAAATCATCTCTATTTCTTCAAATGTGAAAGCGATTATTTCATTAATGCTGGAAGAATGAGCTTTCGTTTGGAAGATAGTAGTATACTCTTCATTTTCAAGTTTAGAAATGTATAACCCTCCATACTTGTCACCAATTATTAGTTTGTCATTAAATTGTTCAACTGCTGTCATTGAGTTGGCAAGAATTGTGCCACTAGGTAATTTAAAGCTAAGCAAATCCTTTACGTTTAAATCTTTATCGATCTTCTTGATCATCCCTTGTTTGGAAAACGCAAGAAATTCATTGCTATGCACAGATACCCCACCAAGATCCTTGATTATAGATTGTGTTAATACTATTTCCGCATTAGATTTCTTATCGATAAATTTAATTTGTTCATCATCATTCAAAACTAACAACTTATCGGTGGAAAAATTAACAACCTTTATTATTGGTTTCACTGGTATTGATAGTTCTTTGGAAGGACTTAGTAAGCTTACTCGACGACTAGGTGATGCGGATCTGCTCGCAGTTTCAATCTGCTTTAATTCAGAAATCTCCAAGCTTGTAATCTTATAGTCGCTAGTGCCAAACCATACTTTTTCCTGATCATAATCCAATGATCCAAATTCTTGTTCTGGACCCTGTAGACTGTATAGTTTTGGAACATCACTATTTAGTTTTAATAAAATCAACTGGTTCACATTGGTAATGACTAAAATCTCATCATCATTCAATACACAGGCATCTATGAAATTTGAATTTATCAAATTTCCAAGAATCACATTCTTCCCCCGAAGTACATTTGTCTTTGCATCATGATCAAACTTCCACACCTTAATTATTCTCAACCCTAGAGTGATTATCATATTCTCATGCCATAACAACCTATTCACCACTGATGAACATCGATTAGAACAAACGAGAGAAACACCCATCAGTAACATAGTAGTTGTTATTTTCCACACATTGATATACCCGTCATTCACCACACCTAATGAACACAACCATTTCAGGTCAGGAGAAAATACCACCAGGCTTATCCCGAATGAATGTTCGTGGATCAATGCAATAGGGTTCTCACTCAGATTAGGTGCAAGGGAAAATAAAAGAATTCTTGGCAGGTATCCTATTTCTCCTAGAGCGAGGAGTTTCCTATTAGGTGATATAGCAATGCAGTTTATTGATCGAACTTTATTCTGAAGTTTTGATGGCGACGAAGGGATGTCATCGGTGCTGGAACCTGAGGATGAGTCTGTCCCTACGACTAGTGGAGAGTCGATGGGGTAGCCGTAACTATCTCGTACAATGTCTGAACCAGGAGCATATGCTGAACAATTGTTGCTATTGGCACAAAAGAACCGCTGGGTAGTTACTTCATTTGTAGTTCGGTCGATGTGACACACAACAACGCCTCCGCTGGCAGTGTAGGCTACAATATCTCCCTGGACGATAAATTGATTGGTTGATTTGGCCGATGTACCGATTATTCGGGATGTGCTTAAACTAGGAGTGGTTCTACTAGAATCTATATCAGTCATTGTTGATATTGACTTTCAAATGAAGGAGTAAAGTGTTGTAGATAGCAAGTTCAGGGGCCGTTTGCGTAGTTGGTTGCAAGTTGATCTCAATTTTGGAAAATGTAAACAAAGACTAAAACAGAAAAAAAAAAAAAGAAAAGTCGGATACGACATTTCCAATATGTCGCGAGACATCTTAAACTATCTATACCCATCGAGCTTCTTATTAGGCAGCTACAAGTTACACATGGCAGAAGAAATCACACTCTCGATTGAAGAGACGAATAAACTACGAGCTAAGATTGGGTTACCACCGATTCCTATCCCTAAAGCCAGTCGCAAAGAAGATGATGTGATCGAATTGTCACTTGAAGAGACTAACAAGTTGAGAATATCAATTGGGTTAAAGCCTATCCCAATAGAGAGCAATCAACCAAAGATACGACAAGACCTGGAAACTAGTAATCATTCATTAACAAGTCGACAGAAACAAGATAATAAACGAGCTTATGAAGAGGAAGACTCTAATAAGAAAACTATACTTGATGAAGCACCAAGTTCCACCGATGACTGGCTTGAGAATTTGGGAAAGTCGAAACAAGAAAAACCCAAGAAACGACCAAAACTAGCAAAACAAGTATCAGAACTGGAAACAACTCAGAATGTCAAGATTGGACATGGGGGCAAAGAATTACGTCAACTTCAAGATAACGATATCTTTACCTTACAAGATACTGAAGTTGGAGATGATGACGAAGATGTGTTAACCAATGAGAAATTACTACAGAATGCGAAATTGAAACGAGATTTAGCAGAGAAACGAGAGGCAGAGACTATTAAGTTCAGTGGAAGACATCATGTTACTCATGATACTGATGAAGAATCTGAAGATGGTGATGACGAGTATCTTATTCAAGACAAGGTTGTAATTGGTTCTTCGATAGCGTTGCCTGAGGTCAAGAAGAAACATGTCAAAAATAAACCGACAATATCTAACTTATTTGAAGATTTAGACTCGATAGACAGGAAAACTTCAGCAGCTCCGATTAAAATGAAGAAAATTAAATCCAAAAAGAAGATGAAGAACCAGTTTAAACCAAGAATAATAGATGAAGTAGAGATTAAACCGGTTGAACTAAGCAATATAGACGTACATGTGGAGGACGACTATGAACAAGAATTACAACAAGCTTTATCTTCAGCCCGAAAAATTAAACAAAAGAATAGATCACACTTGAATGCTGAACAGATTGCGAATGAAATTGCCAAAAGTAAACGATGGCAACTAGAAAATGATGTTGTTCAAGGTGATCTGTTTCTGCGTGTGTACGACGAGACCAATGAGTTTTTGAACAATTTGGATTCTAGTTTATTAATCAAGGACTTTGAGAAAGAGATTAAGCAAGAGCAAGAACACTTGATTAAGCAGGAAAATGAACCGCTTATCAAGCAGGAAAATAAACCGCTTATCAAGCAAGAAGATGAACCGCTTATCAAACAAGAAGGTCCAGAGAGCAAAGAAGATGAAGACGAGCCAAAGTTTAACGGAATAGCAGAAACACTTAAGTTTCTTCAATCCAAAAACATCATTGCTGAAAAATCTCAGCAAGAGAAATCACAAGATCTTGAACGGGCAGAAGCTACTAAGCAAACAGAATTACTAAAACTTAAAATATCAATTGAGGAGAGAATACTTCGACAAGAATTAGAAAAGGATAGTGCATATATGCGACTTCCCAAGAACGAAAGAGCTACTCGATTAGAAAATGAGCTTGACAAACGACTTCGTGAAAAAGGAATATTTATTGAAGAGCACCATATTAGAAATGGGCATCGTAGAAAGCGTGATGAGTCAGCTAACGTTAAAGTGGAGAACAAACTCAAGTTGTATAATCCAAAAGTTTCACTTACTTACAAAGATAATGAGGGAAATGTTTTAGATACAAAACAAGCTTATAAACATTTGTCTCACCAGTATCATGGTACGGGAATTAGCAAGAACAAGCAGAATAAGTTGAGAAAGAGAATTAAAGAAGAGCCATTGGAATTCGGTAGAAATATACTATAGCTGCACCAATGTGTCATTTGATAAGTATAGAGAGGAAGCTAGCCAAATACTCATATAGTTTTTTGTAGATATGTAATGAGTAATTCAAATAAACTGTAACACATTAAATGTAAACCATCGAGTGAGTTGCAAAAAGTCAGCCACAGAATTGCGCATAGGAAATTACACAAAATAATCAAAATGATCTAACCTATCTTTTTGATCAGATTAAAAATATTTCTTGAACAAGGAATCATGTGGTCCGAATTTCTTTTCTTGGCTAAGGTTATTTCTTTGCATTTATGTAACCACCACCTCCTCCTCCATTTTGTAGGTCAATTTACCTGGAGTAAAAGTTAAAAAAAAAAAAGAATTTCAAGTAAAGAGGGGAAATTAAGGGATGAGCAATACATAGTATCACCTAGCTACTAGGGACACACTCCGCGTACAGAAAATGTCTCATCTCTTCACTGGTTATTGTGTTTTGTAAACATAACCCAAGCATGATGTGCTCATGCAAATCTCCCCAAGGAAGGTGATTTATTAAAAAGAAAACCCAGAAAATAAAATCATCTGGCTGATCGGAAATAATCTCATAGGCCCTTTTTTTTCCGAATAAAAAAAGCCGATGCGCGGGAAATGACGCAACGAAATTCAGCCAATTGGACGATTGTTCTACCACTAGGAATTTGCGGGATTCGAGTTTAAATGGTTTATGTTTCAATCATTCACCTCAGTATGGCCTGTTGAAACAAATGTGCAAACAATGATAAAACCTTCCTGATTGGGACATTACATGATACAACTTTTGATGCGCATTCGTAATTTCCATCCAAACTGCAAGTAATTTGAGTTTACCCGCCACTCTTTTGGGCAGGCGGAAAAAGATCGAGGAGTTTGTAGATGAAAAAGATAAAAAAATTTTTCTCCGTAGAATTAAACTCTGATTGGCACAATGAGCGATTATTTTATTTTTAATTCCATTATATTAATAAGCCAAGAACCATAATTTGAAAATTTATAACGGTTGGTAAACTCTTTTCCAAAGATTACTTTCCTTAATTACGTTTTCTTTGCTTGTGTTTCTTCTAAATTAGCATCCAGCAATAGCATCGGTAAAGTGCGGCATTGTGAAATTTCAATTTTAGTTCCGATCTATTTACAACCATCTAATACCCACCTGCTACACAGCAACAATGCCCAGTATGCCACAACCGAAAACCGTCAAGTATGCTCCCGTACTACATAATGATTCATCAATAGATATCACTGTACAAGAGATGGAACACTCCTCCCTGGTGTTCTCCCCTCTCCCTTCTCCATACTCACCCACCCTTTCTTCCGCATCTTCCGTGGGCTTCACTTCCAAGTCTTCACTACTTCAAAAGACAACATTGACAATTCAAGGAATGACATGTGGGGCATGCTCTGCTTCGATCACCGAATCATTAAAGTCGACTCCTGGTGTTATAGACGCCTCGATCTCCTTGATTACCGAAAACGGGTTAATCACTCACGATTCCAGCATCATAACTGCACAACAAATCAAACAAACAATCGAAGATTGCGGATTTGATGCCCAGATTCAATCTTCTACTAATATAATGAAGGAACAACCGGTAAGCACCGGAATGGAAACCGTCATATCCATCGGTGGTATGACCTGTGGAGCTTGTTCCGCTGCCATTACAAATTCTCTTGAACAAACATCTGGAGTCAAGTCGGTATCAGTCTCCTTGATTACGGAAGAAGCATTAGTGAAGCATGATAGTTCTGTATCCTCAGTCAACTTGGTTGAAGCTATTGAAGACTGTGGATTCACGGCGAAATTGGTTAAATCGTCACCTTTGGGCAGCCGCAACAACAGCAGCGATATTCAAGATGAAGAAGACACCAATCTTCAAATTGTTGGTATTAGCAGTGCTGTTGATGTCAGTGCGTTACGTTACAATATAGAGGCATATTTACACAGCTGTCCTGGTGTCATAGAGTTTGTGCTTGTGCTAAGAAACAATAGTAATGATATTACCCAAGAAGACCAATTAGAACAATCTGAAGATAGCACGGTATTGACTGATGAAATATCAATCAAGTTTCAACCTTCTGCCGTTGGAATAAGAGATTTGGTTGACGGTTTGAATGTGATTGAACCTGGTGTTGAATTTGTGGTTATGAATTCCTTGGATCAATCTTCGGCCGCTCAATTAAAATTATTATCTAAGGTGAAAGATATTGAATACTGGAGAAATAATTGTATCAAGTGTGTGATATTTGGTTTGCCCTGCGTTGTTCTTGAACATGTTGAACAAATGGAATTCTGGAGAAGCAAGCTTGTATTCCCTGGTCTTTTCTGGGTCACTTTAATCCAATTTGTTCTTGCATCTTATATTCAATTCATTCTTGGTGCCGTCTTCATCAAGAAATTTATTGCTTTTGTCCGTAATGGATTTAAAGGAGCCAGTATGGATGTTTTGATTTGTATCTCCACTGTGGTTTCGTACTTGTTTTCCTTAACCACAATTACCCTTAGTGTTTGGTATGGGGAAAAGGAACATCCTCCAAAGGTCTTGTTTGACACTATGGTTATGATTATCTTGTTCATTTCCTTGGGTAAGTTATTAGAAAACAAAGCCAAGGGAGCCACTTCTACCGCATTGTCCAAATTACTTTCATTAACCCCATCTACATGTGTCATCGTCAAGGACGTAGCTGATTACCAATTATTCATGCAGCAACAATCAGAAAAGACTTCTGCTGGTGCCATTCAAGATTTCGCCACCAGAACAATCAGTATTGATTTGGTTCAACCTAATGATATTGCCATTGTTTTACCTGGAGGTAAAATCCCTGCTGATGGAACCATTGTATTTGGAGAAACTGAAATTGACGAATCATTAATCACAGGTGAATCGCTTCCTGTCCATAAACTCCGTGGTGATCCTGTTATTGGTGGTTCTGTAAACGGTCCTCATTTAATCCATATTCAAGTTTCTAAAACTGGAAAGAAATCTCAACTTCAACAAATCATCAACCTTGTCAAAGATTCACAAGTTAACAAGGCTCCAGTACAAAGATACTCCGATTACCTTGCTGCTAGATTCATCCCTGCCGTTATCTTGCTTTCTATTGTCACCTTTATCTTGTGGCTGATTGTATGTTACACGATCCATCCAGACAAGTTACCAAAAATCTTTGTTAAAGATGCCAATGGAAAATTATTTGTCTGTTTGAAATTGGCCATTTCCGTCATTGTAGTTGCATGTCCATGTGCCCTTGGTTTAGCTGCTCCTACTGCTGTAATGGTCGGTACCGGTGTAGGTGCTAGCAATGGTGTATTGATCAAAGGTGGTGACATCTTGGAGAAAGCCACTGGTATTAATGTCATTCTTTTCGATAAGACAGGAACTTTAACCACGGGTGAAATGTCCCTCGTTAGCGCAACTCCAAAAATTGAAAACTTGAAATTAACTGTGAAGGACTGGTGGAACTTGATTGGATCAGTGGAGTGCAACTCGGAACATCCAACTGGGAGAGCATTGACCAAAATCGCCAAGAATCAGTTGAACATGAATTTTGACGAAGATCAATTTGATACAATCATTGATGAAGTCAAGGTTGTTACTGGTGCTGGTATCCATGCCAATGTTCAATTACCTTCTGGTGACAAGTACAATGTGCAAATTGGTAATCACAAGCTAATTGAAACCTTGTGCCCTCAATTCTTACCTGATGTTCAAAAATTAAACTTGGATAACTCAAACAACACTTTATCACACGTGATTATCAACAATCAATATTGTGGGTACATAGAGTTGAAGGACACCCTCAAGGATGGTTCTTGGGATGTAGTACATTACTTACAGCGTCAAGGATATATTGTTGGTATGGTTACCGGTGACAAACGAGGGGCCGCTTGGAAAATTGGAAGAGAAGTTGGTATTCCAGAATCAAATATCTTTTATGAAGTGTCTCCAATCCATAAAGATGCCGTTATAACTGATCTCAAGAACAGATTAGGTGGTAATGATAATGTCAAGGTCGCCTTTATCGGTGATGGTATCAATGATGCTCCTGCATTAGCCAACGCGGACATTGGTATGGCGATTAGTTCGGGGACAGATATCGCCATTGAAAGTGCTGATGTTGTTTTGCTTGGAAGCAGTAAGAAACAACAGACCGATCTTCACGGCGTCATTAATGCCCTTCAGATCTCCAACGCCACATTCACTAGAATTAAGGTAAATTTTGTGTGGGCTGCCGGGTATAATTTCCTCATGTTACCTTTTGCCATGGGTTGCTTCCTTCCGTTGAATGTGATGTTACCTCCAATTGCCGCAAGTGCGGCTATGATGTTGAGTTCCGTTAGTGTGGTTTTAAGTTCATTGTTTTTGAAGAATTGGAAATCTCCTGTGATTTCATCAGGGGCTAGAGGTAAGGAAGATTTGGAAGCTGGGACAAGCACGTTTAATTTAAAGACTGGTACGCTTGAAGAATTTAATGAAGTCAAGAGAACTCGTGGGTTTAGAATTGGTAGATTGTTTTCTATGTTTAAGTTCCACAAGAGAGAAACGAAGTTTGTGAATCATGAATATGAATTGGTGCCTACTCAATCAAGAAATTAAGTTGTATAGAAATAACCTTGTTTATAATGTCTGAACTAATACTTTAATAAATGCATAATTAATATTACAACCATAAGTTAGAATAGTATTTTAGGAACTGTGGAGCATTCACGTGTTTTTCTGTCATATTAGTGTCTTTCTGTGGCATTCTCTTGTTCTATTTCTAATTGAAAACTTTCCTAAGTGTCATCATTTGCATCATCTTTCCTTATTTTGGGAGCATTTCAAAGAAACCTTTAAATATTTTCGCAAAATTTTGCACGAAAATTTCCTTTAATTAAATGTGTTGCAAAAATATATAAACACCAGGTTGTCTTACGATCTTCATACTTGCCATTTTTCTTTTCTTTTCTCTTCTTTCTTTCTTTCACCACAAGGTATTTGACTTTAGCTAACTATGAAGATTCAAAACGTGCTCATTGCCTCCGCTTATGCGGTCAACATGGCATATTCTCTCACCATTGACCAACAACATGTTGCTCAAACTACCAATGTTGCTAAATTAACCGAACAAGAGCTTGAAGCCTTAGGCAAGAAGTCCAAGAGTTGGACTTGGTCAAAGGGTGTAGAAATTGGAAAGAAAGACAGGAAGAAGGGCAAGAAGAAGAAGAAAGGAAAGAAGAAGAAGGGGAAGAAGAGGGGTAGAAGGGGTAGGGTTACTAAAAGCTCTATTGGCGACGACAGTCTTGAATTTGATGACGAAGTTGTGTATGAGCTCGAAGGATTGGATGATTCTATCACTGAAGTTGAAATCAAGGAGACTATTTTTAACTCTGTTGAAAAACGTGGTCTCATGACTTCTTTTTGGAAGGTTTTCCATTCTAGTAAGCAAAGTGTTTTCGACAAGATTTCTACATTAAAGGCAATTTTGTATGATCTTGACCGTATTAAGGAGGAAGAAGCTAAAGAAGGTTATGATTATGAATATGAAGAGGACGACTTGAAGAAATTTGTTCTTTCTCAAGGTCTTCTTTATGGTGAAGATGACTATGCCCCTAGAAGAATTTCTACTTTTGGAGATGGCTGGCTTGCTAAGCGTGATAGCGAAGCTGAAGAAGTTGAGGTTGTTGCACAAGGTAAACTTAGTGATTTGAAGAATAAGTTTAGTAAGAAGAAGGGTAAGGACAAGGATGACGAGGACCCTGACTGCCCTGAAGGAAAGCATAAGGACAAGGATGACAATGATACAGGCAAGGACAACGACGATGAGGATCCTGATTGTCCTGAAGGAAAGAATAAGGAAAAAGGCAAGAGCAGTAAGTTGGATGGTCTTAAAGATAAGTTTAAGAAGCCTGATATTAAAGGAAAATTGCCTGATATCAAAGGTAAACTTAAGAATTCGGATCTTAAGAGTAAGCTCCCAGATATTAAGTCCAAATTAAAGAAACCAGATATCAAGGGCAAGCTTAAAAAGGTTGTAAAGAAGCCTGATTTTAAATCTAAATTTGGTAAAGGAACAAAGGAAGAAGAAGATGATGATGACGAGGAAGAAGAAGATGATGATAAAGACTGTGATGGTAAAGATAAAAATAAAGAAGACAAAGCTGGAAAGGCTTCAATTGATTTGAAATCTAAATTAGGTGGCTTGAAAGGTAACAATGGTGGAAAAGGATCAGGAAAACATGACAAGTCTTGGCAAGGCGAATGGGATACTGATGATGAGTCTGACTGGGAAGACAACAAAAAGTCAGGAAAAGGAGGAAAAGAAGGTTGGAATAGAGGTTCCGGGAAAGGTAATAAAAATCAAGGAGGAAAATCTGGAAAGGGCAAGTCTGGTTATGAAAAGCGTGGCGCTGAAGAATTTCAAGCCCAAATTGACTTAAAGTCCAAGTTAGGTGGCTTGAAAAGTGGTTTTGGTAATAAGGGTGGAAGCGGTAAAGGTGGAAAGAATGACTACGACTGGAATACCGACGATGACCTGGATTGGGAAGATCACAAGTCTGGTAAGGGTAGAAAGGATGGTTGGAACAGAGACTCTGGAAAGGGTGGTTGGAATAAAGACTCTGGAAACGATGGTTGGAACAGAGACTCTGGAAAGGGTGGTTGGGATAGAGGGTATGCAAAAGCTCTCAATGATGGAAAGAATGGAAAAGACGGTCATTCTGATAGAGATAACCACCCCGGAAGAGACAACCACTTTGGAAAGGATGGTCACTCCGGTAGAGATAACCACTCCGGAAGAGATAACCACTCCGGAAGAGACAGTCACTCTGGAAAGGACAACCATTCAGGTAAGGACAACCACTTTGGAAAGGATGGTCACTCTGGTAGAGATAACCACTCTGGAAAGGATGGTCACTCTGGAAGAGACAGCCACTCAGGAAAGGATGGTCATTTAAGGAAAGGATGGTCACTCCGGAAGAGATAACCACTCCGGAAGAGACAGCCACTCTGGAAAGGACAACCATTCAGGTAAGGACAACCATTCAGGTAAGGACAACCATTCAGGTAAGGACAACCATTCAGGTAAGGACAACCACTTTGGAAAGGATGGTCACTCTGGAAAGGATAACCACTCCGGAAGAGACAACCACGTTGGAAAGGATGGCCACTCTGGAAAGGACAACCACTTTGGAAAGGACGGTCACTCTGGAATAGATAACCACTCTGGAAAGGATAACTATGGTGGAAAACATAGTAACAACAATGATAAATCTGGTAAGGAAAAGTCTGGACATATCTATAAACGTGAAGAAGTTCAAGCTCAAATTAACTTAAAGTCCAAGTTAGGTGGATTGAAAAGCGGGCTTTTTGACAAGGGTGGAAAATCCAAACATGATAAGGATAGCAATAATTGGGATGATAGATGGGACTCTGATGATGACTCTGATTGGGATCATGACAAACATGGAAAAGGCGACTGGAATAAGGGTTCCGGAAAGGGTAGTTTTAAACATGGCAAAGGCAGTGATATAGATGGTAAGTATGGTAATCATGGCCAAGATAATTATCGTCAAGGAAAAAATCATGGTAAACACGATTATAGTTGGGAAGGTAGATGGGATACTGAACAAGGATGGGATAGTGATAAGCATGGTAAGAATGATCAATTTGGTAAGGAAAAGAGCAGTCATTTTGAAAAGCGTGAAGCTAATGAAGTTCAAGCTCAAATTGATTTCAAATCGAAGTTGGGATCTTTGAAGAAAACTTTGGCTAACAAAGGTGGAAATGATAAGAATAAAAACAATAGTGGAAAAAATAAGCAAGGTAAGAACAACCATGAGTGGGATACTGATGATGACTCTGATTGGGAAGACCACAACAAGTCTGGTAAAGGAGGAAAAGACAATTGGAATAGGGGTTCTGGCAGAGGTGACTGGAACAATCGTTCAGGAAAGGACGGATGGAACAAAGATTCCGGAAAGGATGACTGGGACAGGGGTTTAAATAAGAATAGGGATGGTGGAAAACATGATAATTTGAACAGAAAATCCGGAAAAGATCACAATGATGTAAGCAAAGGAAAAGATGGATGGAATAATCATTCTGGAAAAGATGATTGGAACAACCATTCGGGAAAGGAAGGTTGGAATCACCATGGAAAAGATTCAGACAACCATGACAGGGACAACTATGGCAAAGATGGTAAAGATAATCACAACAATCATAACAACCACGGTAAAGATAATCATGACAATCATAACAACCACGGTAAAGATGATTGGAACAACCATTCTGGAAAAGATGGTTGGAATGATCACTCTGGAAGAAATAACCATTCTGGAAAAGATGATTGGAACGATCACTCTGGAAGAAACAACCATTCCGGAAAAGATAATCATTCTGGAAACGACCGCTGGAATAACCACAGAGAAGATGTAGATAATCATGATAAACATGGCAAAGATGGTTGGAACGATCATTCTGGAAGGGGTCATGATGATGGAAAACACGAAAACGATGGCTGGCATAAGGGATCAGATAAGAGTCATGACAATTATGGTGACCACGACAAATTTGGCAAGGGAAAGTCTGGTCATTTAGCTAAGAGGGAAGCGGAAAAAGTCGAAGCCCAAATTGATTTAAAGACCAAGTTAGGTGGTTTAAAAGGGGGATTTGGAGATAAAGGTGGAAAAAATGGAAAGAATGATAAGAATCATAAGGATTGGGATTATGATGATGAAACTGATTGGGACGAAGATAATAAGCACAAGTCTGGAAAAGATGGTTGGAACAAGGGTAAAAGTGGTTCCAAGAATAAGGGTGATTATGGTAAACTTGTCAAGAAAGAAAATAACATAGCTCTCGTAAAGCGTGATGTTGATCAAGAAAATGCTTTACGTGATTTGAGAAATGTTCTCTGTAAGATTGAAACGGACCAAGTAATAGACAAGCGTGATTTAGTAGACAAAATGTTGGTCAGAGTGTTCCATTCATTAAAGAAGTCTGGTTTGATTAATGATATTATTAGAATGTCTTTGACAGATGATGAAGTGAGAGAATCGGTAGCTTCTATCACAATAGAGTTGCTTAGAGCTGATGTAATTTCTTGGGAAGAAGTCTTTGTTGCTCTTAAGGATTCTGGTTTGGCTATTGATGTTGTTCGCTTTTCATTAACCGATGAGGAGACTAGAAATGGATTGGGTGAATTGGTTAAGGAAATCCTACCAGATTTATTAGAATCCGGCGCTATTGATCCTAAGGATTTGGTTAGTGGTCCATCTGATAAACACGGAAACAAGAATCACGGTAAGTTCAAAGACCGTGATGATGACTTCGACAACCACAAGAAAGGCCATAAAAGAGATGATAATCTTCCAATCGAAGGTGCTGTTCCAATTAGCCACCCAATTGCAGATTAAGGGCTGCTCCAAATATATTAAACAGTTGTTTGTTTTTTTTTACTCGAATTAAGTATAATCTTTAATATTGTTATTGATTTTTCCTCTATATGTTTATATGCCAGAATACCCCAAAATATGAATAATTGTTAGTTTGTTTAATATAGCTATTTGTAGCTGCTTGTAAGGATTAACAGATTAGGAACGAGATAACTGCTGTAGTAAGTGCCGATCAACGGTACCCCACTCATAAGACTACACAAGAAGTGGAGAAGTTATCAATAGGAGATTATAGTAAGATTGATTTAGTAATTTCAAAGAATATTTATTGCGATTATACACTAACATATATCTTACAATAATAAAGCACCGGCAGCTATAGCAACTGCACCAACTGCAAATTGTCTATTGGCATTACCTTCAAAACTAGAAGTGTCAACCAGAATGGTGGTATTAGTAGCGTTATTTGTTTCTGCATTGATGACAGAAGCAGCGATGGTGAACAAAGCGATAGCCGATAATTGCATTGTTGAAAAGAAAGACAAATAGTTGGAATATTTTTGAAAAGTTAAAAAAAAGCAGTATAAAACGTAAAATCAATGGATGGGGAAATCACCCCAATTTATAGTTTTACACTATCCAATGATATTTTCGAATTTGGAACGTAGGTGCCTGATCCGGGAAACATACACAGATACGAAACGCACAATCTCTTGTGTAGGATTCATTAGAAAATTTCTGCTTTTCGCAATCAATTGTGTCATAAATTATATATTGTTCATGGTGCAGATGACTACATGAACAATACACAATAAAAGTAAGCGAGCTGAAAAAAATATTATGACGAATTTATAAATGGACTATCATTATTTAAGTTCTTATTCGTCGCAATTAATGAGGCGTTTATTAAATTCAGATACCCGGAATCTCTTTCTGAATGGTATATTGGTCAAAAAAGGTGAAAATAAAAGTATACGCGAATTAGGTTTATACCATGGCCCAAAACCCTTGAGACTTCTTTTGATGAGGCACCAAGTGTAAACAAATTGCCTCGACAAGATAAATCACCCGAGGCTTTTACACGAAATAGAAGAACCCACGGATGATTAGTTCTTTGACGATCACTTCCCAGGATCTGTGGCAATATGATTCTACACCCTTCTCAGTCTTTCGAGAACATCGTTTCCTGATTCGGTAGCGGATATTTAGCCGCGTTGCATTGGATGCCCCAAACGAGTTGAGAAATTACTGTAAAGAAAAGATATGCGGCTCATAGCCAAATCTCAGTGGGTGTAAGCGTCGGTTACAAACACATTTACTTTCGTGTAATTAAATGACCTTTATTATTATTCATTTTACTCGTGAAAACTATATACTATACAACCCATATTTCTAAAATTCTGATCTTGGCGTGACATTCTTTCTTGAATACCAACTTACAAAATCTCTCAAAGCCGATCTTACTTTTCTATTATCCTTATTTGGCAATGCAGCACTGACTGTATTTATCAATCGGTCAATTTCTTTGCTACTGGAATTAGGTAAGCCAGTAACTACTTCTCGTAACCATTGCACTGGTAAATTACTAGTGCTTGGGTCAGCTGTAGATGCCACAACCAAGATTTTCAAGATTAAATCATTGACATCTTGTTGGACATCATTGTGGAATCTAAATATTAATCCGTTCAATACCACACGTAATAATTCGCATCCATTATTATTTAAAATTAAGAATCTCTGCACTTCAGCTCTTAAAGGTGCAGGATCTTCATCGTCAAATAATGAAATTGGAGGATGAGGCATTCCCCATGAAATAAAATCAATCAAGAAATGAACACATGATATTATCGGATCGAATTCATTGATTACTGTCAAAGTCAAATTGACAGCGTTCAAAGTGGATGTTAATAATTCAAAATTTGAAATGAGCTTGAATGGGTAAAACATTAATAAATCATTCATCATTCTAAAGAAATCTTCAATGACATCAGGAATTTGTTTCAACTGTTCTTCATTTTGTTTGAGGGATAAGATTTCGAAAAAGTTAAAGCATTGCTGCAATCCAAATTGATGAATCGATTCTTTGGTTTCTTGGTTGGAATAATAATCATCACCAAATTCACGAATTAATACTCCAGATACCCAAAGATAACATCCAAAATTAGTAGTTTTAAACCCCGAGACAAGGAGATTAGCTAAATCAGCTAAGATCTTGTTTAAATGGAAACTAAATGATTGGACAGCCAGTTTAATTAACTTACAGTTAGATTCACTAATTGCAATTGAAGAGCCGAACTTACTGAGCAATTGAGATGAGATTGGGTATATTTTATCCATAAACAATTCTGCAATTGGATATGGGTTGGGTGAATCAAAATCAGGACATTTCAATACTTGAACAAATATAGTCAATATTTCAACTTGATCAGCAATTACTTTAAAGTTTGGAGTACTGTGATTTGAATCTTCGATCAATACATTTAACGTAGGAGTAATAAACATTTCCAAAGTCTTGTACATGTTTTCTTGGGGGATCTTGCTAATCACATGAGCCAACCCATCAACTAATTCAAAAGTTGATTCCAAATCCAATTGATCCTTGACTTGGCCATAGAGCATATATAACTGTTCCAAATAGTTCACCAATAACACCGAACAATCTTGACAGAAATACATTAATGCTCTTGAAGCAGCAATTATAATACCATCATCTGTAGTACCTTTACTAACCTCGAATCCTTTTGTAATGTAGTTCAATTGTGGTTCCAAAAATTGAGGATTCTTGGAAGTCCATTCAGAATATCTTCCCAATACTAATGTAGCAGCGTATCTAATCTTTGGATGTTCAGGTAATTGCACAAGGAAGGACATTATAACTGGTAAGATGGTATTTTCCTTTAATGGAACTTCCTTAGCCATTGCTCTCATGGAAAACAAAGGAGCTTCTAAATGTTGCCATACAATTGGAGCTTCTTGTGATAGTACCGATTGAATTTGTCTGAATGGAATTTCCAATGCCTTGGTGGCACCAACTATGGCGCAACAATCTTTCAAGACATCTCCCATCTCATATCTGAATTCTTTAAACTTATCTTCTTGTTCTTTGTCACCTTGGAATAAGTCGCTATCATTAGGTCCAACAGGATAAGATAAATGCAGAATGATAATCACAATCAATTCTTGATAAATTTCGCGTAATTCTTGTTTTGATTGTTCAAATTTTGGCAATGTGAGTAGTTGTTTTAATAAATACCAAAAATAAAAGGTATATTTGACCACATCTAAATCCTCCTTGTATTTACAACATTGTAACAAGATTTGACATAATGGTTTGAAATGGGCTGGGTTCTTTGCAATCAATACATGCCATGCTTCACCACACTCGACATATAATCTGGTTAATGCTGGGATAGCTTCGGGGTCATCTTTCATAGTTTCCAAATACTTGTCCAACTGCAAGATTTGTTGGTATAATGCATCAATCAATTGTTGATTTTCAATATCCCTCGTTTCATGTATAATGGTGACAAGACATTCAATTGCTTTTTCAAAGGTCTCGTCATTGGATAAACTTTTAAAGATTAACGAAGTCAAGGAATCAACATGTAAGATGTTTTCCACAGGACATTCTTTAATCCAATTGTTTAAACAGTCAAGAATTGCCGAATTTAACGAGTTGTCGCCTGATTCGGATAAATTCTTTAATATTAACAAGACTGGTTCAACATTGCTTGTGATTAACTCGGTGGTTCTTTGGTTGAATTCGTCATCGGTTAAGTTAGTCTTTTTAACATCGGATAATTCTTCTGGTAAAATCTTCAATACTTCTAATAAAGTAGCTATCGTAGTTGGTGCAGATAATTTGCCAATTATTTCATTAACTGCATTTGACCAAGTTAAATATTGTAAGGATAAATGAGACAATGCAATGGCCAATTGAGTACGGATCAACCGTTGGTTGGTCTGGGAATACTTTACTAACAATTCCAATATGGACTCTTTTAGTTGTGGATAGTTGGTTTCAGGTAATTGGTGTAAATCATAAGTAATTTTAGATCTAAGTGTTTGAGCAGCAAAAAGTTTCAATTGAACGTTTGCGTCTTCACCGTGCAAAACAATATGAACAATTTCCCATGCCTCTTGTGACTTCTGAAAGGATTCCAAAAATTGAGTAGCCTTTACTTTGTCAGCTTGGACATTGGTACCTCCATACATTGCATCCAATGCATTGTTCACTTGATTTAATGTTTCCGAAGATGAAGATGACATCTTTCTGTATACTGGGGTGATTGGTTTGATGGTGGTTAGAACCCAAGCATTTCCTTCACTGAAAAAAAAATGCACACAACAAAATTTGAGCTCAAGATATTGGGCTATTCTGCACGACCTTTGACCACAAGGTTTAGACAGCAATCCATATGAAGTATCCCCTAGCAAAGACAACAATGCTCAATTGGAAGTTAGAAGGAAAATTTTGAGATATGTTACACCAATATATTAGAATAGGGAGAATTGTAATGTACATACAAGAAGAGAAATTGGCCACCAAAGAAACTGCTAGAACACCCCTCCCCCCTCCCCCCATTGAGACTCTTGTATTGTTCAGCTATATTTCCATAAATCATGGTACAATTCAAATGAATCTGTTAGCAGATGAACATGATCCGATATTGCGTATCATCTGAACAGTTGATGATAACTGTATATGTTCTTTCGAGCATCCAAGTTGCTGTTAAGGTATTGAGGATATGCGCAGAATCAAAGTTGATACATTAATTTATTGAAACGATATCACTTGATCAAGCAAGCGAGATTATAGGCATAGATCGGCACCTTACCTCTCACCACCTACCATTAAACATGTCCTATCATACTACCGTCTTTGTGTGTCAATAATTTCCGTTTTATTTTTTTTTTTTCTTAATTTCACTGAACAATCACAATAAGAAAAAAAAAAAAATTTCGCGTGGTGGTTTTGCCCTGTGGTGGTATTGACTTTTTGGGTTTGTAACAATTGACTTTTCAATTTTGATACTGGTTTTGAATGATTCGTATTCAACGGCCCAGATCTTTTTTCTTATTACATCGTTCGTTTGTAAACACTTATACAACTATATCCATCATGTCTAGACCTATTGTTATTTCTGGTCCTTCCGGAACTGGTAAATCTACTTTACTTAAGAAATTGTTTGCTGAGTACCCAAACAAGTTTGGATTTTCTGTATCAAACACTACTCGTAAGCCAAGAGCTGGTGAAGTCGATGGAAAGGATTACAATTTCTCCACCGTGGAAGAATTCCAACAATTAATTGCCGAAGACAAGTTCATTGAATGGGCTCAATTTTCAGGCAACTATTACGGTACTACCATTAAGGCCGTCAAAGACGTTGCTGAACTGGGTAAGACTTGTTTGTTAGATATTGATATGCAGGGTGTCAAATCTGTAAAGAAGACCGATTTAAATGCTAGATACTTGTTTATCAGTCCTCCTTCCATCGACGAGTTAAAGCAAAGATTACAAGGTAGAGGTACTGAAACCGAAGAATCTTTAACTAAAAGAATCGATGCTGCTTCTGCTGAAATGGAATATGCTAAAACTGGTGCTCATGATAAAATTATCGTCAATGATGATTTAGAAAAGGCTTATGTTGAATTCAAGGACTTTATTCTTGCCAATGAATAAATTTGTTTAAAGCTTTTGTATAAAATAATATAGACTGTCGTAATAACAACTAAGTCAACTAGATATACTCATGCATCAACTCTAATTCACTGCTATTTATACTTGTATCTTTCAAACCCCGATGTAATTAGCTCATTTTGGTTTAAAAACCAATCAAACAACATCTCTGAATATGTCACGTGATTGTTCACTTTGCAAAATCCGCCACCACCACTGCACCGCTAACCACCGCTATCTTTCTCCTCAATGGGAAAAAAACCGAAAAAAAATGCTAGATCTTACATTTTGTAGCAATTGGTTGATCCAGATAAAACAACTATACTATGAGCACTAGACTACCATCATCTGTGAGTTTTGACGAAGAAGAGTATGTGCAATTGTTTTATTTTGCCTCGAAAGATCTCTACTAACATAAACACACACCAGAGAAGAAGACTTCTTTAAGAAAATATGGGCCAGATGTAAAGAAAATCCCTTTGTTCCCGCGGGTACATTAGCTACAACCGGTGCCATTACGTTAGCTGCTTTTTCAATGCACAAAGGTAATCGTAAGAAGACCAACATATATTATAGATATCGTGTATTATTCCAGGGGTTAACATTGGTTGCATTAGTTGTTGGGGGTTTATTCTTCCAAAAGGAAGCTCAAGGGTCCCAAAAGAGTAAAGAGGATTTATTACGAGAAAAGGCTAAAAAGAGGGAACAATTATGGATTGAAGAATTGGAAAGAAGAGATGCAATTATTCAAGCTAGAAAATTAAGATTACAACAATCCAAGGATGAATTAAGGGAATTGGCCAGGGAAGAGTTTGAAAAGGAAAGATTACTTGAAGATACTGAAAAGAAACAGTAAGCAAAGCATGTGGATATCTAAGTTCGACTACTGCAAATATGTACATAGTATTGAAAATAATGCAATATGATTCAGGCACATTCTATAAATTTGTATTATCACACACTACGCAAATTAACCTTCTATTAACTCTCTCGTACAAAGCTCCAACTTTAACAAAGATAATTCTGTAAATGTGGGAAGATTTAAAGTTTTATATGCTTGCGACATATTCAATGGAGCTTCATTTTTAACCTTGTCTACTATGTCTTTTCTTAATACTGATAACTTGACATTCAGATCTGCAATAAACACATCTGAATTCCATTCTTCAAACTTGGACAAGTTTTTCATATTGTCAACGGTAATTATTATAGCATTAGGATTAGTTGACCTTATAAACTTTGTTAAATCACTCATAATGGAAGACTTCACATGGTTCAATATTACAAACTCATAAGATCCAGTAATAGTTTCATTATCAAGCTCCTTTAAATTACTATATGTAACATTATACTCCTCCACTAGCTTACTATTGTCTTCACTGACATATAATATCCGATCATTCAGATCACATTCAAATCCTTCTAGTACTCCAATAACATCGCAAAATGCAATATTCCCCTGAGGACATTCTTCACTTATTCTATTACTTATAAAATTAAACAACTCGTCAAATCCACCACTTGGACTATTCAATCGAAATGTTCCAGGTGTAACCGATGATACAACCTTACTTATATTAGGAACAATCTTATAATATTCTTCTCCGTTATACTTGGCCCGTTCTTCAGTAGGTAACAACGGAAATTCAGGTCGAAGTTCATGTTTGGTTCGGTGTTGTAGGTGGGATAGCACCATGGACAATCTTGCTTGTGCTGACATTAGTAATGGCTGCCAAAAAATAAATAGGAAATTTTTTTCGATGTATGTAAATGTGAATATGCAAAGACTATACTGAGTATGGTGATTCAGTTGTTGTATATGTCCCTGACAAAGCTGGAAAGAAGTATCGCTAGTTGCTGATAGTGGTTATTAGGTGATGTGGTCTGTTATCTTCAAACCAAGATGAAATCTCTATTATATAGAATGGCGTTTTTTTTCATGTAAGGTTCACATCATATCACGTGATTTTCTTGAAAAGTTATAACCGTGACCTATATTATCTCATCAATGCAATCTACACTATATAACCTCTGTATACAAGTGTTTCATTTAGACCAATAGTACAATGTCTATTCATCAGCGTTACTTAATTTATACAATTTAATATAATCAACATCTAAATCATCCATCATATCAATTATACCATGGTTCCCAATATGATCTTTGTCACTGCTAGTAACACCGGTCAGTTCAGAATATAATGCCCGAACTGAACTTTGAATCTTGATAGACCCTTCCCATGCCACTAAATCGCTTAACGATAATAATAACCCGGGTGAGAAGTCACTATACCATCTGTGGTTCCACACTAATAATTTTATAATACTATCAAGAATCTTCTCATTCAATTGGTTCATTAATTTTGTATAATTGTGAATGTTGCTTGCGCCTGATGAACTCTTGGTTAAAAGTTTTGATCTTTCCATAACATAATATCTCATAATTTCCCTTTGTGATTGAGGTGAGAATCTTCCGCTTAACGCATTACTGAAAGCAATAGATCCTTCTTTGAAATGCTTTAATCTATAGGCGATTGAACCAAGAATTTCCCATTCCAAAGTGGTTTTTTTGTATTCCATTTGTTGGGCTTGGAAATGTAAGGATTCAGCTTGCCACATGGTGTATACTCGTAAATCTTCATACAACAACATAAACAAGTTATCCAACCATCTTTCACATAATCTCTTGCGTTTAAATTCATCTTCAAATGAGACAGCTTCTGTGGTGACGGCATCAATATCAACCGTGGTACTATCGTCAAAGTTTTCTTTTTGAGGAGATTTTATAGCCATGGTGGAAGAGTTATCTTCCTCATTGACTGTTTCAGTAGTTTCTGCAACGGTCAAGTTTTCAGCTCCATTCAATGGTTCCTTGGTAGTTCCGTTATTAGCACTGCTCACACTTCCTCTAATATCTTTACGATATTCTTCTTCCATAACAAATACTTTAGCTCTGTACTTCAATAAAGCCTCCCAGCCGGTCTTGACAACAATATCAGTTAATAAATCATAAGCCTTAGCATAGGTGGATTTTAAATTGGTGGCAGGCAAATTGGTTAATTGTGCATCCAAATTTCTTTGTTCGTAACTAATTTCATTACTTTGCAAGTTAGATACTTCATCAAGAGTGACATCTGTTGGAGAAGGCAAATGTAAATCTTCACTTCCATTCTTGAGTGGGACAATACGTTTTAATTGGTATTTTTCGCGATGGGAATTCATAGGGCAGGAGTTCAAGGTTAACAATGCATTTTCAAAATCTCCTAATCTGATATAACATTTAACCAAGATTGACCATGCTTTGAAATCAGAAGGTGATGATTTAACCGCTTGTTTGGCTAATTCAAGCGCCAATTCGGGTTTCTTCTTTTCCAAGACATATTCAGTTTGCAAAATTAATAAATTGACATCACGTTTGTTTTGAGTAATACCCTCATTCATAACTTTAACTGCTTCAACCTCATCTTGTTTTAATAATAATACTTGAGCAATTAAGGAAATTACACTAGGTTCCTCTTTTTGTAATCTTTCGAGGATTTCCAAAGCTTGATCATAAGTTTGAGTCAATTCAATCACCTTCATAAATCCATCAACAAGATAATTGTTTATCAAGGTAGGTTGGGGGAAATCCACTGTACATCCTAACTTGTATCCCTGAAAGAACAACTCCTCAAATCCTTGCAAGAAGTTATTCAATAATTCTTTTGAGACAATACCATTATTGAATGGATTAATCTTACGGACTTCCACTAATCCACCGCCAACTTTGTTCGTATCTGGATCATCATCAGATTCTAATACTGCTCTAACAATCCCACAAACAAAAGTTTCTAGCCAGAATCTGTCCAATTCTTCAGAACTTAACTTATCTTGAATCAATTTTCCATCATAGTTAACAACAACAACATCTAACTTCCCAGGAATGTGGACAGTAACTCTCATATCAACTTTGCTGAAAGCATTATAACTGCAATAGCTCAATTCAGGAACTTTCCAATGCTTCTTATCACCAAACCAGTATTGTGACTTTGAGGTCATCAAATTGGCCAAACTTTGTAAATGAGCAGCAATTGAAGCAACATTCGAAGTGTCAACACCAGTAAAGTACAAGAACGTACCAATTTCGGTTTCCTTTTTAGAATTGAGCTGATACTTGTGAATGTTACACAAATCACCAGGTCCCAAATCAGGAATTGTCAAAAGACGGGCGGTTCTTTCAACTAAGGAAGATCCAGGGTAATCTTCTCTTGCTTCTGGAATTGATGCTATGGATGGTGGTAGCATTTTCACTGGTTGTAAAGCGATGATTCCTTTGTGAAACGTGTGGTGGTGGTTGTAAAAGAAAAACAGTGTTGTCCTTTTGCGTATTTTTTTTTTCTGGTGGTGGTGGTGGTGATTTTGGCGAACTACTCCGCCGTAGATCCAAATATAGATCGACCAAAAGTAAACCAGGCGTCCTTTTACACCAAAGGCAAGAATTCATTGAATAACGTCAAATTTTCTATAATACATAATTATAATATAAACTTACAAACTGTAAATAAGATTTGCTCTCTGGCTTCGTCATAATTCAAGATTTGGCCTTCTTTTTAATTCTTTCATCATCCAAATCTGGCTCTTCATCAAGGTTTTCCCAATCCTTAGCGGTCAAACAATACTTTTCAGGAGGCAAATTCAATCCCCATTTAGGTATAACTGGGGGCAATGGTCTTGAATTTCTTTCCTGAGCCAATTCCAATAATAATTCTTTCGGTGGAGTAGGTTTGAATTGATAGTTACTTCTAGCAGCAATGGCTAATCTTATATCATCGGTATTCACTGTAGTATTTGAATTAGGGTTTAAATTGGTGTTTGTATTTATTGGTTTAGCGTGATCGTTATACACTAAAGCATCACGAAGTACGGATTTGGTATATCTATGGGCAAAATCCATTAGTTGAAGTGGGACATGATCTTGATAGTTTTGTATACCTTGTGTTGCAAAGATAAGATGAAGAAGACGGACATCTCTTGGAACTATGGCTTCTTTTCTCTCTGGTTGCGGTTGATTGAGGTCGGTTTGGGTGGTAGCTGGTGCTTGTGCTGGTGCAGTTGATGGTGGGGCAACTGCTGCTGCTGCTGCTGCTGGTGTTGTTGTTGTCGTACCTATAGCTGTTGCTGGTGACAGATTGATTGTAGCTTGTGCTGCACCTCCACTTGATGCAGGTACACTCATTGCTTACTGTGATTGATATTGATTTTATGGTTTACTGAAGGTATAAAGTAGCAACATTGAGTTGGAATTTTTTTTTTTGTTGTTTTTTGTTTGTTTGTAGTTTTGTTGCTCTCTTTGCTAAGTCACCACATTGATAGACAAACTTGATAAGTATGTCCAAAGAAGCAAGACTAAAGGAAGAAGTCACAGTACAACCAGATACCGTGAGTATACCACCTCCTGCAAATCCCACATATACACTTTATCCATTTGCATATCTTTCTCCGCGCACATCCGACCCATTCAACAGTGCTCTTCTCATTCTTAATCAAACTATACAATCAGGATTCGAATTACTCTGGCAATCAACAACAATACATGTATGTGCTGATGGTGCTGCTAATCGATTATATAACCATTTTGAAACCAGTGAATTACGAGACAAGTTTATTCCTGATTATATAGTGGGAGACTTTGATTCTCTTGAACCTGAAATTGGACAATATTATCAATCTAGAGGGACGAGACTAATTCAACAATCTTCACAGTATAGTACAGATTTTACCAAGTCCATTTATACTATTCAATTGCATTTCAAACTTGGCAATATTCCCTCTGAGGTGGATTCCTATAATGGATTAGGCACTCTCTGGGAATCGCTTGGCACTAAGGATCAGCTTCCTATTAAAATATATACTATTGGTGGTATAGGTGGTAGGTTTGATCAAACTATCCATTCAATATCTCAATTATACATTCTTCATGAGGTGTATCCACAACTCGAGATATTCTTTATTACTTCCCAAGATATCATATTTCTTTTGCGAAAGGGAACAAACTATGTCCAGTATGACAGTAGGAAAATATTCAATATCAGGGATAAAATACCGCCATGTGGATTACTTCCGCTCAGTAATAAATCAATCGTTTTAACTACTCATGGATTAAAATATGATGTTACAAATTGGAACAGTGACATGTTGGGTAAAGTAAGTAGCTCAAACTGTGTTAGTGGGCTGGATGGATTTATAGTGGAAGCTTCGGATGCAATTGTAATGAACATATCTACAAATTACAAGGACCAGGGTATATAAATAGACTGTATTAGCATTTGCAATAATTATAGAATCACGTGATGTGTTCCTGCATGTAATCGTTTTCGCTCTGATTTGGAAAACCAATGAAAAATTTATTGAAAAAAAAATGTAGCTGTAGCAAATAGGTTGTATTGAAGGTATAGAAAAACATACTATGTTTAGATCCTTACTTAGAGTACCTCGCGTAGGGGGATTAACCTCATTTGGTACTCGATACTTATCATCTATAAGTCATGTTAGACCCATGATGCAATTTGGTCAACAACCATCATTTATAATCCCTGCAATTTTACAACAACAACCATGTATAATAGCACCAGCGCAACCTAAGATCGGAAATTTGGTCAAGGATTTGCAAGAAAATGTTGATGAAGATACTATGCATGCTGATTCAGTGAAGAGAAAAAGAAAGTTGAAGATGAAAAAGCATAAGTTGAGAAAGAGAAGAAGGTTACAAAGATCATTAAAGAAGAGGTTGGGTAAGTAAGGAAATAGTGTGTGAGTTTCGTTCTTGATACGAATGGCCTAGTACTGATCCATCTGAATAAATGTGGTTTGATTGGTAGAAACTGCTTTTTATTCTTATAGACGATTCACTTTCAAGTTATTCTTCATGTTGGTTTTACAGCCAATTCTGTACATATTAACAATTAATAAACAACTACAAATCGTAACATTCTATTCACTCCTTTGTATGAAACATTAGTGCATTGCTCGAGCAGCACAATTCTTTACTCCAGGGCTATTTCAGGCTAAAATCCTGGTTTATAATTACAGGTACAAAAAAAAAGAAATGTTGCCAAAAACTTTTCCCAACTTCTTTCTAATATCTGTAAAGCATTCACAATGACCAAGATCACATTTGTAACAGGAAACGCCAACAAACTTAAAGAAGTGGTTGCCATTCTTTCGTCAGGTCCTTCTTCAGCTAACGGAGACGACTCTCATTCTGTTGGTAAATTCACCATTGTCAACCAATCGATAGATCTTGATGAAATTCAAGGATCAATTGAAGACGTGACTATTCACAAGGCCCGTGCTGCTGCTGATACAATTAAAGGCCCAGTATTAGTCGAAGACACCTGTCTTGGATTCAACGCATATAACAACTTGCCTGGTCCATATATCAAATGGTTTCTTCAATCCATAGGTTTACAAGGTCTTGTCAATATGTTGCAAGGATTTGAAGATAAGTCCGCCAATGCAATTTGTACTTTTGGTTATTGCTCAGGTCCAGGTGGTGAAGTCAAATTATTCCAGGGTGTGACTGAAGGTAGAATTGTCCCAAGCCGTGGTCCTACTAACTTTGGGTGGGATTCCGTGTTCGAACCTAAAGGGTTTGATCAAACCTATGCTGAAATGGATAAGTCAGTAAAGAATACTATTAGTCACAGATACAGAGCCTTGGACAAAGTGAGAGACTTCTTGATTTCTCAAGAATAACTTCATTGTATAAATTTTATTAAACATCATAGAAGCATAAATATAAATATTAAAAATTAAATTGAAGAGAAAAGAAATAGTGCAAATGATGATTCAAAACGTAAATGGTGAGGGGTCTAATATAATAGGGCATGGCATATAAAAAATGTTGTTTGCGAACTGAGCCTTTATGCAAATGCAATGTAAGTCAAATGGTCATGCTCAACCAAATATTTCCTTGATCTTACCTAAAAGTCCCCCTTTCTTTCTCTGCTCTTTATTATGGGAAGTGACAGCATATAAATTTGGGACATCTCCACTGCCACTAGAACTGCTGCTCTTTTGGTGAGAAATAACGTTTCCGAATCCACCTCTACCCACAGAAAAGGTATTGTTCGAAGCAATAGCTTTAAGTTCATTATCGCCAGGTGGTGGGGAATCAACATCTTGTAACTTTCTAGCTAATTGTGGATCGGAATTACTAATCATATTTCCATATCCTCCTCTACCAGTTGTTATTTTTGATGTGGTTAATTGTGGAGTGTTTGATCCCATAGGAATTAATTTGGGGGAAGGTATTTGACTAGAATGTTGCATATTTCCTGCCCCGCCTCTACCGGTAGAGTAATATACTCGTTTATTATTTGATGTGGTCTTGGCTAATCTATGCTGATCTTCTGCAACTGGGTGAGATCTAATCACGGTTATGGCAGGCAGTTGATCCTGCTCTGGTTGTGGTTGATGTCCAGCAGAAGTTGAGGGCTGTATGTGGGAAATATTTTCTAAAGTGGTCATGCTTATCAAACTGTCTGTATTGCTTGAGCTCTTCCTCGAATGTACATGTAATGCTTTTCTCGGGCGTATATGCTATATACTTCTTATGCGAATGCGAGACCTAAACAAAGGAATATGGCTTAACAAAGTGAAAACTTTTTAGTGAATTAGTAAAATAAAATGACAACTTCGAAATATGAGAGATAAGCTAATTTAAAAATAGGATGGTTTCTTTTTTTTTTTGTGGGTGAAATTTTATGTTGTTTTTTTTTCTTGACATTTTTTAAGAGGCGGATAAAAAAGCCCAGGGCTAACGGAGCCATAGTAAAATAAAAAACGCTGCGGATTTAAATGTCCGGACGGATTTTCTGGAATCGCCACAATTAATTTGCTTGCTTTATTTTTCTTACACAATAGTTTTTAGTTCCCCCCACAACCACATTGCAATTCGGAGTTACCACCATCGCGTAATTAAAAATTTTTACTCATACGGCATCGTTGGATTCTGTGGGGTTCACCGCCAGAAGTTATGCCTTAGCCTATTGTCGAATGGAAAAATAGTGCAGGAGGCTTTTGAAAATTATTAGCGAAATTCACGTGATTGGGCCGTACCGTTTTTGTGAGTAATATTCAATAGTTTCTGGAAACATGTAACTTGATTACAGATTAAGAGAAGTTGACATCTAGGTCAACATTAACCATGGGTATGGAATTCTCAATTCGATATTTTTTTAGCGAAATAACTTGTTAAAGCTTTATTCAATTTTTTTTTTTTTTGCAAAATTTGTAATTATTCCGAATAAAACAACACAATTAATCAACATCTATAAATATGTATGAACCTACATAATCATTAACAAATGATTGACAATCATTCACAGAATCATCAAACTTACTTTCAACTTCAGCTCTTGAACTTAAATCTTCAGATTCAGTTTCTTCGTTTTTAACATCTCGAGTTTGTTGCAATTCTTCCTTTTTATCTTCAAATGTTTTTGTAATGAAAAGCAAAGCCCCTACAACTTCTTCATTTTCAGCCAACGCCCTAATCAGAGGTTCAATTTCCTCAACCATTGTTTCAACTTTTACAACTGGTTCACTAAATCTTAACACACGGGGAGGATGTCTAACAGTAGCCGCTCTCCTCGGAATAAAATAGTCCCATTGGCTTATTGTATTATTCTTCAACAAATTAGCATTTTTGTGAGTATACAACGGAACGATCTGGGCTTTATTGGCATTAGGTTTATTCACAGCTACATTTACCATTTTCTTCTTCCAATAATCATAAATATCAGAGGTTTTCTCTTTAATATACTTTATCCATTCTTTTCTTCTGCTGACCCTTTTCAGAAGGTGAAACCCAGTTTTAGAGTCAGCTCCACTTAGCTCACTGGATAAACTCATAATACTGTCCAGATCATTAAGTTTACTTTGCAGCACCTCTTCAAGTTTCCTCTTCAACCCTCTATTGCTGTTCTCTTTCGCGTTATCTTCATTAACAATGAAAGCTCCCTGGGCTACATGTGAATCAACGGGAAACTCAACAACAAAACTCTTTTCAGCACCAAAGTTAAAATTTGGATAAAAAGATAATTGTCCAATTGATAATTGCTGTTCAAACGAGGCATCATCTTTCAAGATGTTGACACCGTCCAAATAATCATCAATTAAAAATTCAGAATCAATAGTATAATCACCAATCAGCTTATCAGTCCCTACGCAAGAGCTTGCTTCACCAATACCTTTACCGTATGTATCCAATGTTCTTGCTGGTTTCTTGTACATCACAACCTGGTTAGTTGTAGTACCAGAAACGGTTCGTTTTGTAACTCGAATAGTGGAGGTTCGTTTAGTTGGTTTTATAAGAGTACCTTGACGAGTGAATTGCAATTCATGAATCTTAAAAGGCAAGATTGGCTGACCTTTTTGAATCAAAGGGAGAGTTTCTTCGGGATCAAAAGCAATGGCATCATCAGCTATTTGGTTGATTGATCTAATTACAGGTGCTTTGCTCAAGGCTTTACTAGCAGTATCATCTAATTTTGTTAGATGCTCCCCGCTTGACATTCTACCAAGTATATGAAACCGTGTCTTTATCAGTAGTTATTCTTTGTTTCCAGGAAATGATTGAAGATATATATTTATGCTAAAAACAAGGTTAATTAGTTTCAAAATACATTTTTTGATATGTATGTGGTTGCAAAAAAAACAAAAACAAAAACAAAATCAACAAAAAAAGAAAAGAAAAAAGAAAAACATATATCATAGGAACACATAATATGATGTTTGATTGATTGGTAATGGTTTACATGGGAATATATGGATAATAGGAACAAGCTCAACTAGTATATGTAGCATCCAGGTAAATCTTAGCAAATGTGAGCCATATATAAACATGAAAAGTAAAAGAAACCATGCTTCACTAATTATAGCCTATACCTTCTCAAATTTTTATTGTTTCCGTAATGAAATTCATTGAGTAAAACATACAATTAATTTCTGGTTGTTTACTCTTTAGATTCAGAATAACAAAACTTATATTAAAACGAGCTTCCAGCAGTTGATTCAAATTCTTCCTTGGGATCAAAAAAATCCTTCAACTTTTCTGCGACTTCAGACTTAGCTACCTTAATATGAGCATGATTCAATTCTTCTTCACTCTCTTCCCCTTCATTCCATTCTTTTATCATCTCATCAATCAAGTACTTACATTTGAATTTGACAACATTCAATTCATTATTCTTTTGACACACCGTCAATACTAATTTATTGAATTGTTTCAATAATTTATAGTAACCAACTTGAAAATCTTCATTGCCATATGAAATGTTCACATTTGGTAACATGATTGGTTCAAAGTCTAACCAATTCAGTAATTGATAAAGTTGTACCCCTGGAGATTCATCAACTGCTAGTTTAAAGTCAAGCTCATTAGTTTCAGGTTCTTGATCACCATTTTGGGGAGAGGAAAACTTTGTCAGGGAAGAAATGGACTCATTTGAAGGATGTTCAGGCGAATTCATTCTCAAGATAGATGGCTTTGATTCGGATTTTGATGAATCCATAATTAATGTTTCTGTGGTTACTAAACTTTTACAACCAAATTACAAAATTTGACAACCACCAAATAAAAAAAAATAAAAAAAATAAAATCTCTATATTAAATATCTAGTATACACAAGCCCAGCTAAACAAATTTAGAATACATCTGGTAATCTTTCAATAACATAAGCATGACCACCAACACTCATCAAAGGAATACCTGGAACTTTTCTTACTCTTCGTTTTAAGTCAGCATCATTAGTTGCCACTATATAACATTTATGTTGCATGACACGATTAACCAAACAGTCATCGGCATAAGTACCACCATGGGTACAGCTTAATCTTTGGATTCTTGGATCTTTAGCCAACTTTAACGCTATTCTATACTTTGGACCTAACTTTTCCAATTCAGCCATTACACAGTCTGTGATTATTGGTATACATTTAGCCATTAAACAATCCATCAAACCTCTCACGATATCGATTTTCTTCTGGATAGAAAAATTAATAAAATTAGTATCTATAAGTACTTGATATGGTGGTTTTATAGCTTCGTTATATTTGAAAAAGAGGGCCAGGGAAACTTGTGGCACACTTCTGGTCAATTCCGGATCATCTTGACTGGATTTCTTATTGGTGGTACTATTGGACTTAGTCATTCTTGCATCTTTCTTGTTAAGTGTACGCTTAACAAGAGCGAACTTTCTCGTCTTTTTGGCCTTTCCCATGGTTTTTTACTGTGATGAATGAATCGGTTAGTGACCTTATGAGAGATGAGCTTAAATATTTTGTTACTTTTTTTTGTCACAACTTTTTTTCCTGCATCTTGTCTAAGACCATGCTACCAATTACAAGACCAGATTTCAGAAATAATAGTTAGTATCTTATTTGAAACCACATAGACAATCAGCTAGTATGCTTTTTTAATCTGATTTAAATATAAAGTTACAGATATCATATTCAGGGGTAGCAAAGATTCTTTTTTTTTAAATATTAAGGCTGAAACAACTTATCACCAGCAAGAATCTAGATCATCAAGTTGTAATTCCTTAATCACCGGCACAACTTCCCAGGTTTTGCGGGGCATGGTTGCAAGGTTGCGAATGTAGATATTGATATATAACCAATAATAATGAGACTCTCTTGTATGACTATCTTCAACCCCAAATATCGTAAATTATCTTTTTTTTTTTTCAAAAAAAAAATTGCTTTTAACGGATAGGTTTTTACTCAGGCGTAGGATCTCAAAATGTACTACGGGTAACCATTACCGAAGCCAAGAAGAGATATTGCGGAGACAGCTATTGTCTGACAAATCACTTCAAATAATACAATGCAAGTGGTCTACCCTTGCTAAAAACTTTAGAGTGATGCATTGTTGGTTAAATCGAAACAAGTGAAATTGTGCATGTGATCGTAAATCAATGTTAGAACTCTGAAACACAAGGAAAGCTATAGGTTTAGCTTTGAGTACTACTCCTTATTCACAGTTAATAGAAGGGATTTTCTTTGTTGCAAACAACAACAACAACAACACAAAATCTGTTCCAATATGCGATTAAATTGGTTGTTAAGTAAACAACATGAAGTTACAATAAATATGCACCTTCAGTCCTTGCTATTATATTATGCTTGGAATCTCTTTTCCCCCCTCCAGCACAAATGGCCATGGTCATAATTGTAATCACAATGTCATTCAATTTCAGATTAGATTATTCATTAATGATTCCCCCACCAACTGCACCACTTACTAGATATGGCTTACCCCTTAAATTAAACTATTGTGTAATAAACTCTTTAAATGTAAGTGGGGAGTGTATGGCTGCAAAGCCCAAATTTTAGCACGTCTTTGTTAGGCAGGGTGCGAAAATAAGAAAATTTCCTATTTAGGTATCAACTAGCTTTTCGAGTTGAAACATTTTTGTCGTAACAACACCCATATCTTCCCATCACCCCATAAATATGGTATTACTTCTCTTATCAAATATGACTTGCTATGATGTTTTAGTGTGGAATTATCAATTATTCGTAAAAAAAGGAACGGTCGAGATGCATTGGTGTATTTACCATCCGAGGAACAAGATTAACGTAGTTACTAGAAACATGACAAAGATCTTGATGGTGTGGTTGTGATGTAGAATTCTGGATGTTGCCCGTTTCTGAAGTAATTACAGAAAAGAATAGTTTTGTAAAGTGTAACTTAACTTATTTCTTGGGGGGGATCTCCACTTCTAGTTTTTTGGACCCAATTAGGTAAATCGATTATTCAACAAAATTACCATTCCCAATTCCTTATATAAGCTTCAGCCCAGCCCTATAAATATAAAATCTGGAATGTTCCCGTATTTAAGCTTTGACGGTATACGTTGTTTATTTTGCTACCACCCCATTTAATTTAGTATACACACAAATATGACTTCCTCAGTAGCTGGACCTAAATATCGCCCAGCCAGAATTCAAACTCTTACTGCTGATCAAGAAATTGTTCTTAAACAAGTATGGGCATATTTTTTCAAATACTTTGGGTATCCCCTCGACATAGACAAATCAGACCTACCTTTCAAGGAATGTTTTATTGCTTCTACCTCCACCCAGCATTTTGATGAGTCCCATACCTTGCATCCTTTGATCTACGTTCCTACCAGAACTGCAGCTTCAATAACATCAAGGAAGACTACCGGATCTACTAGGTCGAGAAGAAGTATGTTTAGTGGGAGACGGCGTAGGAAATCAGAATCTTTCTCTGTAGAGGGAGTAAAACCCCCTCGTTCTCGCCTTCCTCATAATTCTAAAAGAATGGTACAGATTCAAACGCAGTCTTCATTTGAACGATATGTCCCTGTTGATGTGGCAAGTGACGAATTCTATTATACTTATGCCCATCATTATAAGCGTGCTTTTGAATATAGCGACGACTACAAAAATCTTGTTGATGCAGATGGACAGTATATAGGATCCGTGGAAGAGGAAACGCTGAGTCAGGTAGATGAGTTGGAAGAAGATGGCGATATGGCAGGCTCTGTGTATTCCCTTGAGACGTTTGTCACGGCTGCTAGTTCGTTTACGGATGAAATGCCAGTTCATAAACCAAAGAAGAATCCTTCTATAAAGGCTCCAAAAAGGGCGGTATACAACTTGTATAATGGTGGTAGAATTAAACCACCTGGTAAATTCCCCCATCCGAGCTTTATAACCATGAAAATAAACAACAAGATTACAGTACAGCCAGTTGACCAGTTTAAACGTACCATGAATATGCACCACACAGTTCGCCACGATCGCTCTTTGCTTTCATGCTTTCGCCGATATGAGATACAGCTGATCCATACTGCTTTGAATACCTTGTTGAGGCATGATTTGCTTGATAATTTTGTTCTTCGCTTTATTCGAGCCAGAAAATGGGATACTGAGAAGGCAATTGCTATGCTTACAAAGACGCTTGATTGGAGAATCAATGAATTCCCGGCAGATAATTGGGTTATGGAAGGCGATGCCCCTTCTTACTTAAAAGGTATCAACCAAGGGTTTGTAAAGAATTTCACCAAAGAAAAGTCTTGGATTAAGGGAAGGGACAAGAATAATAATCCAATTTTCACTTTCCAAGCTAGAAAACATTTAACTACTGATGCTTCAGTTAAACAAAACCAACGGTATGCTGTTGTTATGATTGAATGGGCTAGATTAATTCTTAAAGACGTGAGTGAATCAGTTGATACGTTTACTATTCTCTTTGATTTAACCGGATTTTCATTGAAGAATGCTGATTATTCAACAATTAAATTCCTTGCTGATTGTCTTGAGGCACACTATCCTGAAACATTAGGTTTTATTCTTATCCATAATGCCCCCTGGATTTTTGCAAGTGTGTGGAATATTATCAAACATTGGATTGACCCTTTAGTGGCAGAGAAGATCCACTTTACTAAAGATCTTAATGAACTTACACGATTCATTGATATAAAGGCAATTCCAGATTATTTGGGTGGTCAAGATCCTACTAGAGGCCGCTATCCTATTCCAACTGCCAGAGATGCATTTCCTCCCAAGCGGAAGGATGCAGAGTACATTCGATTAATGAAGGAAAGAGATCAATTATACTGTAGATTCTATGAAACTACCAAGAAATGGATTGAATCGACCAATCCTGCCATTTCTGAGTTATATTTAAAAGATAAGTTAGCTTTGGATATTGAGTTGGCCAAAAACTATGTTTTGTTGGATCCGTATATTAGAAATCCGGGTCTTTACGATCGTGATGGAACTTTAACCATGAGTATTTGAGTGAATGTTTATTGTGTAGAGATATTAATAGTAGATTTATAAAGTAATGAAAACTTCTTTTGTACCTAGTTAATTTGAAAAAAAAAAAAACATGTAAATATTCTAGAACCTATAGTCTAAAATTAGAAGTAGTAGTGAGCGTATTTGCTGTAGCAATCCCCCAGATAAAGAAAGTGGAGGTTTTCCAAAATTTAATACAATGCAAAGTACATACTCCTCACTAGAAAAAGAAACAACAATAGATAAGATATTAAGGAAAACCGCTCTAGATAATAAACTCTATTACGTAACCAATTTGTTAGAAGTTTCACTAATTAGATTGCTAGCATGGTAACAAATTCCACATCGGCTCTTCGGACGATAATGATAACCTATTTTGTGTTTACAGTTTTGTTACCAATCTCCGCTTTAGATGTAATCCAGTTTTGTTATTGTTCACAGTCGTAACGAGTACTGGACAAACTGACGCGGGTGTTTTTTGTGTTATGGTATCTTGACAGCATCATCTGATCCAGAGGACGTGGGTTTGCATCCACACATGCAGTATTATTTTTTTAATGTGCGTAATTTTGCAAGTTTTAAACCCATGCAACATTTGTCTTGTTTAGGCATACAAGCCAGATGGCTCAAGAAGCAGCCAGGTGGAGTGAGATCAAGTTCACCAGAGTTATAATTAGTGGCGAATACCTCGGAAGAGTACTTTCACAATCACAAGGAGTTATTGTCAAGGGACCCCGCTAATGCTATGCCCCAAATAAAGAACAAAGGATGAGACCAAAAAATTTCCCATTTAGGTAGTATCTTTTTATAATTAACAATCTGACGTCTATATCTTCAATCCAACAATTCAGTTAGCTCTAATAGTCCGATGATATGTGTTATGAGTTATTTTATAGTTTGGTTATATGTGGTATGAGTTATATTACAGTTTATATCGTTGTACAAGACCTAGAGTTACTTTGTTTTCTAGCAACAAAAACAGCATTCCCAGTAGCTTTGCTGAGAGAGCGCGCACATCGGGTGTGTGTGCGTGTTGAATTTAGTGCGCGTTGGCCGATCGACACAACGGCTACATACGGTTTGTAACTACTCCCGCTAGGTAGTGAGGAGAAAATGGTAACAATGCAACATATGTAAATGTTCCATTGGGTTAGTCTGACGGTTTTAGCAAGCAAAGAAAAAAAAATTCACAATTTCTGAATTTGTATGTCGACTTTATTCTTACGATCTCCACATCTTTTGTTAAACCAAATTGGGTAATATTCTAAATCTCCCTCAATTAATTCTGAGACAACTCGTATATAAAAGCCTAAAGTTTTCCAATATTAAACTTTTTTTTTCATTTATATTATACATTGATAAGGAATTCTAGCAATGACAATGACCGCCAAGTATAGGCCAGGGAGAATTCAAACTCTTAATGCTGAGCAAGAAATCATTCTTAAACAAGTGTGGGCTTACTACTTCAAGTACTTGGGGTTACCAGTTGAAATCAGCAATTCAGATATAGCTTACAAGGAAAGCTTTATAGCTTCTACTTCCACTCAACATTTTGATGAATCAACCACCTTGGCACCTTTGGTGAAGGTTAATACCCGTGCTTCAGTTACATCCAAGAAAACCAATAGTTCAAATAGGAGAAGTATCTGGAGTGGGAAGAAAAAGAGCGACGATAGTTCCATTGCTCCTGGGGGTAAGGCACCTACCTCCTCCCTTCCATTTAATTCTAAAAGAATGGTCCAAATTCAAACACAGTCTTCTTTTGAAAGATATTCTCCTGTTGAAAAAACTCCTGATGATTATTACTATATTTATGCCCACCATTACAAGGCTGCTTTTGAATATACTGACGACTATGCGAAGCTTTCTCGTAACAACCAGTTAGAACCAGAATATGGACAAGGTTATGATGACGACGATGATGATTACAGCTCTGATTATTCCATTGAAACATTTGTAACTGCTGCCACATCCTTTGAATCAGATTACAAACTTAATGGTAATACGGCTAATGGGTCAATGTATAAGGTGTATAACGGTGGAAGAATTAAAATCCCTGGAAAAACCCAACTGAAGCGTCACTCCACTATCATGTCCAGTAGTAAAGTCAAGCAACCAGCTGATGACCAATTTAAGCGTACTATGAATATGCAATTGACTGTTCGTTCTGATCCTTCGGTATTTAAATGTTTTGGGAGGTATGATGCCCATCAGATTATAACGGCTGTCCATAAAATGGCTAGACATGATTTATACGACAATGTTATGCTTAGATTTGTGCGGGCAAGAAAATGGGATACCGAAAAGGCGATTGAAATGATGTTGAAATCAATGGACTGGAGAATGAATGAATTTTCCCCTGATGAATGGGTTATGGAAGGTGATGCACCTTCATACTTAAACGGTACTAACCAAGGGTTTGTGCGTGGTTTCACCAAGGAAAAATCTTGGATTAAAGGAAGGGATAAGAATAATAATCCAATTTTCACCTTCCAGGCCAAAAAACATTTGACTACTGATGCCTCAGCAGCACAACATAAACGCTATGCTCTTGTGCTGATTGAATGGGTTAGATTGTTCCTTCAGGATGTTAGTGAATCCGTTGACAATTGTACTATTTTATTCGATTTGACAGATTTCTCGTTAAAGAATGCCGATTATTCGACTATTAAGTTCCTTGCTGAATGTCTTGAAGCACATTATCCTGAAACTTTAGGTTTCATTCTTATCCATAATGCACCATGGATTTTTTCTACCGTTTGGAATATTATTAAGAATTGGATTGATCCATATGTTGCCGCCAAGATTCATTTTACAAAGGATTTGAATGATCTTTGTCGATTCATTGATATTGAGTTGATCCCTGACTATTTGGGTGGACAGGATTCCACCAGAGGTCATTACCCAATTCCAAATGAAGAAGATGGACATCCACCTAAACCCAAAGACGCCGAATATGCTAGATTGAAAAGGGAAAGAGATCAATTGTATTGTAGATTCTATGAAACTACTAAAAAGTGGATTGAATCCACTAATCCGGCTGTATCTGAATTATATTTGAAAGACAAGATAGCCTTGAATATCGAGTTGAGTAAAAACTATATTAAGTTGGATCCTTATATTAGAAATCCAAGTATTTATGATCGTGATGGCACATTGGCCTTGCGTATTTGATTTTGAGATGTTGTCAATTAGAGTTTGTTGTATAATGATGTATGTTAATCTTTTTATTTATAGCATAAATATTAGTTGTGTTTGATTTGTAAGAAATACAAAAAAAACAATATGTAGATACATTGTAGTAAAATCATATTTACATATATTAATACATAGTCATATTAAATTGTTATATATATTTAAGTAGAAACCTTGTTGTTTTGAAATATTAATTGATGATCGAATGGTTTCTTCTCAACCTCACCTCTCTTCCAACTTATCAATCTTTCCTTGAGGAAATCCACTTCAAATATTCTCATTTTCCTTTGGTATGAGTTATCCTTAGTAACACCCGAATCACCAGTTATCCCATTATAACATAACCAAATTGAACCCAAATCTTTCCGTTCACCTAATATACAAGCATCATTTTCGTGTTCATGCCCAACGCTAATCACCAGGTATCCACAAGTTAAAGCATCGTCAATAAACTTGGAATTGTTCTCTTTCAATGGATGTTTTTCATGATAAGAACCGACAAGTTTGAATTGACCCTTTGGACGGTATTGTGGGATGGGGTAATGGAAAAAAAGGAGTTTATATGTTGTCATTCCTTTTGCTTTGTGGTTGTTGTTCATCCTGTAGAGGTAGTTTATTTGTGAGTCTTCTATACGCTGATTTTCTGAATCGAGAATTGAAATCAATATTTGCTGACGTGGTGGGTTTACTGGTTGGTTGGTTGGTTCATACCTTAGCATGAGATTCTGGTTGGTGACTCCATGCAAATGGTTGCCTTTATTGTCATAGGAATTGAGACAGTTGGGTAAGGTAGAAATAAAGCGTATAATGGAAGCTTTAATGTCCTTGTAGTTTTGGTAGTGGTCGGCAGTGATATCATCACCAAACGTGAACAAAAACTTGAGGTTGTGATTGAGAATTGGCTGTAGTGACTTCAAAATAACTGATTTATAATCTATAGATCTTGAGATATCGAACAAGTCTCCAGTTATAACCACTAAATCTGGTTTTTCTTCAATTATGGACTCATCAATAAACTTAAGAGTACGCAAATCCAGAGATCGAGCTTCCAGAGTACATTTTCCGTTCTCGTCAGGGGTACATCTACCCAAATCTTGACCAAAATGTAAGTCGGATAATTGCATAATTTTGAATCGGTCTTGAGAACTGATATTTACAAGTTCCAGCTTTTTAATAGTGTCAACCGATTTCTTTTTCTCAAAAAAGTCTTTCTCTTTATCCTGACTAAGTTTAAATACTGACAATATTGGGTGGATAGATTCGTCATTAGACAAATGAAGGGTTGAATGGTGTTCCCTAGAATCAACAAGGTCGTTGGTTCCGAATAATGCTTCTATTGACCTAACCAATGGTAAATCTTTTGGTATTTGTTTGGACATATTTATAACTATTGATCTCTTGTATAGTTTGAGTTCACTAGTTCCCCCTGCAACTTCTTCGTAGTCTTCGTCCTGAGGAACAATATCCAAGTCAACAATTGCTCTGGTTGTCGACTTGATTGGTTGCTTCTTCACTATGACATAATAACTGTACATGGACGTCCTCAGTACCTTTTGAGTGTAATAGTTCAATTGAGGGAGGATTTGTTGGTAACCACCAGGGACCTTACACTTGTAATTATTACATTTCAATATTCTGACATCAGTTATTACATTTGCTATTTTCTGGTTTATTCCTTGGTCTTGTTCATCAGGATAGTCAAGGATTTGTATATCTGGGGGAGTAAATGGTTTTGGCTGTAGAATGTAGACAACCGATGAGAGTAACGCTATTAGGAACAAGGACGAAAAGATTAGTTTCTTGTAATGCCTGTTCATATACATTTTATGATGTTGTCGTTGTTCCAGCATCTTTTGTTGGATATAATGTAGCGGATCGAACGGACCGCGAGTAGGTTGGCGATGTATGGTGGGCAAAGGATTGGATGGGGTAGGCGCAGTATTTGGCTGTAAAAAAGGCGGATCTTAAATCTTTTTGTGGTGGGAGCGTACTAGCTTTTGTATAGGCTAATTCGATTCGAATTTGTCACAAGCTTCCGATCGCTAGTAGTAAGCTAGTAATGTTGAATTACGTGTTTACAAAATTGAAATGGGTTTACCTCCATGAAAATCGCTCGTAATTTATAAAATTTATGGTTTTACAACAAAGCCTTACAAAGAGGTAACAATAACTTACCGCCTTAGCGCGAAACAATCAAAGTTTATTTATAGCTGCAGGGCCGAAAGAGCGCAAAAAAAAAAATCTTCTTAGGTTCTAGACCCTGTGGCATAGCTTTTTAATTGAAATTCATGTGGAGTAAAATCTTACCCGTAAATACTCCCTGAAATTACCACTGTACGGTTATGATACCAAAAGGCTTTAGAAATGTTATTTGACTAGCTTTCTTTCATCTAGAAACAGTAGTCTTTACAATTATTAATGAAAGAACCCGTTTCTAAAATTAACCCTGGTCTTTTTTTTTAACTACAGTCGAGAAACCTGCATGTAGTTCTAGGATCGCAAGGCTTACCTTTTTAAAATTTGGAGCCTATCGTAGACGAAAGTTTCCAAATTTGCTGTGGTGCCAAGCGTTTGACGGCTTGCTCAACAATTTGGCGCAACAATTTGGCGCAACAATTTGGCGAAACAATTAGATACGAAAACTGTCGTAATTACCATTAAGGCCTAATTATTTTGTGTGTAGAGACGAAGCGATGGCAACCCATTATACATAAAATCGCATGTTTTTACATAAAATAAATTACTCATAATGTTCTTTTACATGAACATTAATATTGCATATTCTCCTTATTTAGTACCTTTCAAGGCGTGGCAATACGAGAGAAGCTTCAGGAATGGAAGCACCATGTAAGTTGAGCTAATTTGTATTACCACTTGCTTTACTTGGGTCTAGTTACTACTGTTTTGGTTCTTCCCCTCTCGCTTTTGTCCCTGTTAGGAGAAAAATTAGGGTTACCTAATTGGGGTAATTATAATAAAATAAAAATTTAAAATTACAAAAATAAGTCTCTATACATGTTTGGCTGCAAATGGTATAACTCCGATAGATAGCTAAGGCGGTACAGGTTATACTATCTAAATTACCTAGGCAATATAGGGGAAAGATTACGCGTGAAAAGCGCGATTAATGGAATGTCGAACCATTTTATTGACAGCTAAGGCGTCCTTACCGTTAATTGCTCGCGCATTACACGCGCATTGCTATGCCAACAAATCTTTAAAAATGACAACCGTTTAACTAGATTGGTCTAGATCTACAATTAGCCGAAATAAGCCATAAAAATGTTTCTTTGCGTATCTAACTACTATATTACATATTACTTAATCCTCTGGTTCTGGGCTCTTTCTCTTTTTGTTGAGTCTTCTTTCGAACTCATCTTTGGATTCACCAGCTTTCCATCTTAATTCATAAGCTGGGTGTGATTCTAACAAGAAGTTAGGTTCTGGTCTATCAGAACCGAAAAGTTGTTCTCTAAATGTTAATGGATGGTCAGTTTCAGGGTAATCTTCATGGAAGATACCTCTAGCTTGTAATTCAGGAACCAAGTATTCAACAACATCTTCAAAAGTTCCTGGGTTGATAGCATAAGTAATGTTGAATCCATCAACATCTGATATGTCAACCCATCTTTCAATTTCATCAGCAACTTCTTGAGCAGTACCCCAAAAGACTGGACCTAACCCACCAACAGTGATTTGTTTGGCAATATGTTCTCTGGTCTTTTTAACATTTTCAGGTTCACCAGGAGCCGTCTTGTTCCAAAGTTCCAAGAATGATTTGACTGCATTGGTACCAGTTTCGGTAATGTCATCACCATAATTGTATTTACTGATATCAATACCGGTCCAACCACTGAATAAAGCTTGTGCACCTTCAATATCACCATAACTTTGTAATTCCTTGTATTTTGCTTCAGCTTCTTCGTGAGTGGCACCAATAACTGGGGTGATTAATTGCACGAATTTAATAGAACCTTCAGGACGACCATACTTCTCCTTGGCCAATTTCTTGATTTCAGCAATATTTTTACCTAAAACTTCAGGGGAGAAAGTAGTAATGAATACAGCTTCGGCATTCTTGGCAGCAAATTCTTTACCCAGCTTAGAAGTACCAGCCTGTAAGATAACTGGTAATCTTTGTGGAGAAGGATGGACAATACTAGGACCAGGAACAGTGAAATTCTTACCTTCATGGTTAATTTCTCTAATTTTTTCTGGATTAGTAAAGACACCATCACGTAATTCAACAGCATCATCAGCCCAAGAACTCAAGAATAATTTGTAGATAACTTGGATATATTCTTCAGCTCTGTCGTAACGTTCATCATGAGGAGGTAAGCTTTCACCATTTAATAAGTTACGGGCGGCACTATCCAAGTAACCACTAACAACATTCCAACCAATTCTACCTTTAGTCAAATGGTCTAAAGTAGCCAATCTTCTATTCAAGTGATATGGGGCTTCAGAGATGGTGGAAAAAGTACAACCAAAACTTAACTTTTCAGTAACCGAGGCCATAGCACCCACAAGGGCACTAGGTTCAATGGCTGGGAATTGGGCACCACTGGAAGCAGCTGCAGTTAAGTTTCTTGGTCCGTTGTAAACATCATAAGCACCCAAGACATCAGCAATAAACATGGCATGGAATTTACCCTTTTCAAGTAACTTGGCTAAATAAGTCCAGTATTCCACAGTATCGAAATTTCTAGAGTTATCCTTTGGATGTTTCCAAAGACCGGGACATTGAAGCCCACTGCAACCCATTTCAAAGGCATTTAAAATAAGTTGTTTTTTCTCAGTTTCGGGTTGAGTCATTGTAGTATAGTAGGAAATTTGGGGGTTTTGATTTATTTAATTGATTTTAAACAATTTTTCAAAAATTTAAACAGGGGCACAAGTCATTATTTATATTTTGAAAAATTTATGACAAAGGGAATCATCTCTCGTTCATGTCTGGTTTGTTAATTTTTGCAAAATAATAACAGAAATTGTGGATGCAAAATTGGTACTGGTCACGTGCTTTGATAACAAAGTGCAAACGTTGAACTGATTTGACGGCCGCCACCGGTGTATTGCCGGTGTCACAGCCCGAGAATTTTTTTTTTTGACAAACTGTGGCGTTCAACCCGAATACCAAGAACAATCTAATATTATGATCCCATGATTTATCCAGGAACTAAAAATCAGATGATTTTATAAACGATGCAGTATGATCTCATATCGATCAAATCAAATATTCTTTTTCCTGGTGGTTGTATATCAAATGATCATAGACAGGAACATTCTTGCAAGTGAATCGTACGATATAACCGAAAATCCTAGATGAATTCGGCTCACTTTTTTTGTAGATGATGCTATGGCCACCTGTGAATGCAAAACCTTAAAGAAAACGTATTCACCAATCAATAAACGATCATATTGCATGTCGTAGTTGTAGGACTTTTTTCAGTTGGTTCTTTGTGCCTGGGTTTTCCTGATGATTTTCAATGACAAGAAAACAATTGCATTTTAAGGGGATGTATTACAAACTAGTTGATGACCTAAGAATGTAATAATGTAATTAGCTTATATATAATCTGGAATATCCAGGAGTGTCGTATCACAACCCCTTTGAGTTTTGTTCTTGCAATCTATGCTACGGATTATGCTTCGTATAAGTGTATGATGTGGGGTCGATGGTATTGTATACAGGTATAACGTAGAAGCCTTGACGCGCGTTCCATGCGCGCGAAATTATAATAAAAGTGAGACAATTCAGGTTGGTACTGGTAGTTTGTAGACAAATTGCCCTACCAATTAATAATTCATGATGACAACTCACAGAGAATGGCTTTTTGATATTCCTAATGTCTTCCTGAAGATATCAAAATGGAAACCTTTGACTCATTGAGAAGCTATTTCCTTTACAACTCCAATAGCCAGTAGGTATAAAAGTCAACTAGTAATAGATAAGAAAACAAAGTTTGTTCTGGTTTCAAATTCTAGAATTACAATTTCATTTTTGGTTTTGCTTGGACCATATCACTTGTGCAGAACCAAGGGGATACTCTAAATCATCACTTGCATATATGTATCAACCGGCACTTGAATACTCTGTTTGGTGGAGTTTTCATGTTACTACAAAGAGTTGTGTCTTTTGTATATTAAGTTTAAGTGTATTTGCAGCCAAATATTTTTTTTTCACAGACATCTTCTCTTTGAACATTCATAAATTAATGTTGGTATTTGACACACCAAGAATGGAATAGAAGGATATTATGGGACTGCTGAAACAATATATGTGAATATCTATAGCCTGTAGGGCATTTGGCAGAACTATAAGCTCTTGCTCTTGCTGTTATATGCAGGTACTTTATTTACCTATTGAAAAAAAATTATGATTCATAATTCCTGTTAAAAAAACAAGTGTTTTTCATTTACAAACTACAAGATCAGCTATCATTATTAGTCAAACATGATAATCAGCTATGGTGACTGGCTGTCCTCGTTCCTTGAGCACTATTTTCCCCGTCTTCCTGAAGATATCCAAAACTGCATCTATGAGTTGCTGACAGGTAATGATTTGCTCAATTTATATACACGCTTCCGTAATGCTGCCGTCCATAGTTCATTGTCGAGTTATTACTCTCAAGAAATCCTTTTTATTCCCTGGGGGAGTTCATCTTCTTTCTCCAGACGGATGGATAATAACAAACGAATGTTACCTATAATTCGGAACAACGACGACGTAATTCAATTCATCAATGAGTTTCCCAAAGTAATTCCTAACAGGTTGCACATTCACTGTAATAACTATGGATTTTCGAGTATGCAAGATATTTTGGATATGTATGGCGATAGAATTTATCAAATAAAAGAACTAGAAATAACCTTGGCTGGTTACATCCTTCTTACACCTAACAAATTCAACTATTTGTTATCATTTCCTAACTTGACAACCTTACAGCTTTACAGCACTCGCTGGGAAAAACGATTAGTTAAGAATCTGATTCCCATTAATCATCCCACCCTCAGAAAGCTTGAATTTAGCCAGTTCGTGTATGGCGTTGGGAATGACAATGTGGATTACTATATTGATTGGAGTGGATTTGAATTTCCCCAAAATTTGCAAGAACTTAGTTTGACAGGCATAGCTAATATTTCCACTATAACCATTCCTGAAACAACCACCCATCTCCATTTTAATTGTGCTAAGATTGGTGATATAGTGTCATGTAAGAGTATGCTTGAAAATGTAACTGAGCTCCTGTTAAGATGGTGCAGATTACAAGTTATCGATCTTGATGTTTTACCAGCGGGTTTACGCATATTGGATTTATCATACAATCGCATTGGGCGCATTGTGGGCAATTATAAAAGCGCATTGCCAGAAGACCTTCATACCCTAAAGTTAAATATGTGTACATTGGATGATGTGGTATTAGATCATATAAATGAAAATATAGGATGGCCATCTCAGTTAACCCGACTCGAAATCTCATCAAACAATTTCTCCAAGATTGACATTTTAGAAAAATTACCAGAAACATTGAAAACTTTGTGGTTGTCAAGAAACCATTTAAAATGGGATGAAGGTGAAGTATTGTTTACCTTTCCCCATTTAACTGAGTTGTGCTTACATCGTTGTGGTATTTGTGATTTGCAAAATTTTCAATTTCCTTCTTCGCTCAAGAACTTGACCTTGTGCTTCAACGAAATAGAAAATATACTGTCTTATCAAGGTTGGAATAACCTTGTAAACTTACATACATTAAGCCTTTGCAGATTTTCAAGACAAAATTTGAATGGTTGGATCGTCCTTCCCAACCTTAGAGAACTTCATTTAGCTTATACTGAAAATGACCAGTTAAATAACAAGTTTGGTGTCTCTAGTGAAAATTATAATCTACAGATTATAACCTCAGGGTGTCGCTATTGTAATAGAAACACGTAATAATCATTGTCCCCCTGAAAATTTTGGACTTTTATGCAGTAAAGTTCAACGATTTTGTTTCCCAACCATATTTTACGACCTTAAGTTGTTATAGACGCATATAAAGGTGTGTGAAAAAAAAATCGTTCAAGTTTTTTGGAATGGCAGTCACAGTCAATACTTCTAAAGGCTCCTGGAGGGGAAAAGATGCAAATTGTACAAAGTGGTTTATATTGTGAATTTGAGGGGTGGGATCAATAGAGCTTAATTAATATCCAAACAGCGATCAGGTTTAACAATTATAAACTAGATTATATCTATATACAAAATTTTAGGCATGACATAGAATATATGGACAAGAGTTCTAAACCAATTATAGCCTTTCTTCTTTCAATTCAGTTCCATCATTCTTTAAGATGTTATAACCCCAGAAACCAATAACATTAAGCACACCCACTCTCCAACCATTAAACAATCCCATTTGTTTAACTCTTTCCAAGAAAGTTGAAGGTGTATCTTCATCTTGTTCTGCTTCGTTGACTTTTCCATTAAATTCAACAATCAAGTTCTCTTGAGGATTTTCAATTGTAATTACCTTCATTACATCTTCTGGCTTTGAAGTTAACAAGAAACGTACTTGTTCTTTACGTAACAAATTCTCCACAGGTAATTTAATAAAAAACTCCATAATTAAGGAAATTAAATTGACAAATGTGTAAATGTTTGGCGACGAATAAGAATCAATATTGAACTTGATGAATAAGATATATGGAGCTATTTTGCGGAATATACTTATTGAAAATTGATGCAATATAGTAAGGAAAACAACGGGAGTTGGTGGATGAGACAAGTAATATACGGGGAAATTCCGTATTGATTCTCTTACTGATCTGGTTGATTGAATAGTTTGTTCCACTAATTGTGTGATTTCATCTTCTTGTTCTTTTAAATCACCGACTGAGCTTTCAACCAGTTGAATCTTTTCTTCCTCGTGTATCACTGAAGCACTAAATTGTGTAACCATCAATCTCACTCTGATTAAATCTAATGGTACTAATATCAATCCTGTTAAAACACAAGCAGATACTGAAAGCCACAAGGATTTGAATGGATCATTAGAATGGGTTAAATCAAGGAAAAATGGATCAGGAATACCCAAGAATGGCGAAATAAATCCAGTGATCCATGCTTCAATTGTGTGTGACAAGGTTTGATAAATAAATGAAGCGTTAATACCCCGGAATAATGCAAATGGTCCATCTTTATTTACAATTGCCGACATTATATCCACGGTATGTATAGATTTAGGTTGGATTTTGTTAATTCGTGACCCTGATCTACGTTTACTTTTCTTTTTCTTTCTCACTTCAGAAGTATCGAGAGATTGTCTCGATTGTTCATTTGACCAAACCAGTTGTTCAATATTGCTTTGGAAGTAATCAATCACATCGTCATCTTCTTCTTCTGTAGTATAAGGAGCAGGTGATGAAAACTCACCCATATCTTCAGCCAACAATCTTCTTGATTCAGACAAATCTGGTGTGAGTTTCTTTTCTGGACTTACAAATTCAAACTTCCCCACTTGTAATACCAATCTCACAATTTCCAATGGTTGTGATAACAATACCTTGGTATAATTCTTGATGAAATTCCAAAATAAGTTCTTAAATAATTCTGCCAAGTTATGAAGATCAAAGTATTCATTAAATTCTAAATCGTAAATATAATTCTTGTCCTTAAACATTCCAGCACCACCATGGCTATCACCAGAAAATCCAATTCCAATCCCACCACCAGTTCTTCCTAACGATTTCAGTAATACTCCTGATCCGGATCCTCCTTTATTGATTGCTCGGTCAATAGCGCTAGCAGAAAATTTTGCCGTTATTGGTTTGTTAGTTTGGGTATCTACCAACCCAACTCCGGTCTTGAATATCACGGAATAACCGGCATCAAATGAGTCATGGTCATAATAAGGTCGCAACTGCAGTGCGTTGACCTGTGATGACATATTGTATTGCTTTATTGTGCTAGATGTAGCAAAAGAAGTTTGTAAACTTTATCTGGTGGTTTTTTTTTCTTTTGCCTTTGTATTTTTTTTTACTACCATATTTGTGGACAGGGATCAACACTACAGAATTGAATCTAAACAGGAATAAATATGAATAATTGAATGATTAAACTAGATTAGATAATTCAGAGTTAACTTAAGCTTTCATTAACAGGTTAACCTGGTGTTATAAGTAGAAAGAAAATGTCCCGTTTAACAATTAGCTTTTATACATGCAATTCTATTTAATAATACAAAGTAATATAAATACACTCCTCACTTGCTCAATTCTTCAGATCTATTTATGAGAAACTCACCTAAATAACGCAATGGATCTTCTGGTTTAGCTTGACTGACTTCTTTCAACCCTTCTAGTAAATGTTTTGTTAAATGTTCGTTAAGGTATCGTCTTACAGAAGATCCACCTACTATCTCATGCATAGGTTGTTGGTTTGTCAATGGTGTTGTATCCATTGATGATTCTCTTGATGGTTCTAACTTTGGTCTTCTTTGTTCTTGTTTGACCTGTATGTTGTCAACATCAGGTGTTGTTGTTGTGGTGGTGGTGGTTGCTGTTGCTGAGTTTGCCCCCACGCCATTACTGGTGGTAGCTGTAACCGAAGTTGGTTCTGAGTTATTTGTTTGCTCTATCTCTGAATTCATGAGTGCAAGAGTGCTTCTGATCGTTATAGGTCAACACTTGGTTGTTTCGTTTTGGTTTTATCTCCCAGATGGTACTGGCGATTTGTATGACTGTGAAATTCTGACACCCAGAAAAAAAAACACAAGAAGTTGTGATCATTTGCCAACCGATTTACTAAAGGCGTTGCCAACATACACTTGGAAAATGGACCCATTTAACGAAGTTAGAGACGATGCATGGAAAGCTATAGCTGTTTTAGAAGAAATAATAGGTCAACGAAGATCCCAACCAGCCTCAGCTGACGTTTCTGCACTCTCGCAAGATTTCGATAACAACTACCAAGAACTTCTAGAAATATATGAAGATTTACAGCAGGCTATAGCTATAAGTGAGTCACAACCACAGCGATTCAATCTCTCACCACAAGAGCTTCTGAAGAGGAAACATATCCTTGTTGATCTAGACCGAAGAGCTAGTGAGTTGAAATCACAGTGGGATAATGTCAATTCCAAGTTACGAGCTGTGACTACCATGTCCAACAGAATAAGTCAAGATGGTAATATGATCTCTGAGAATCCCTTTGCTGACGCTGCTGGTGAAGGGTCAGGAATGACACATTTCCAAGAACAACAAATGATCCAAGAACAAGACTTACAATTGGACAGCATTCATGTGACAATGCAGAACTTAAATCAACAAGCTCAAATAATGGGGAATGAATTAGAAGACCAAGGATTTATGTTAGATGATTTAGATTATGAAATAGACAATGTTGACAATAAGTTGCAACGAGGTATGAAAAGAATCAACATCTTCTTAGAAAGAAATAAAGAAACTGCCAGTAATTGGTGCATAGGAATCTTAGTAGTGGTACTATGTGTATTATTGGTGATTTTGATCATAGCATAATTATTTAGAGTAATAGAAAATCTACAATATTACCAAATACTCATATTCTTATAGGTGCTATGTAAGATCTTACCAAATACAATTAAACCCTGGAAGTTGATGATTGAGAATTCTATCCTGGTAATCCATTAATCCTTGATAAGACATTCAAGTGAAATACTTTTGTTCTGCTGTCTTGTATGGGGAACGGTAATGAAATCATCATCAACAAAGTTGAAAATAATTTCAAACACAAAATAAACCTTTTCAGGTTCCTTGAAGTTCAGTATACGCACCTGGTATTTCTTTAATAAACTTATATGACTTTTGATAAAGGACAAATTAGGCCAGGGATAGTCGAGATCAATTTTGTTTTCTGGATAATACTAAAATTATTAAGTAGTAGAATTCTATAAGATCAACATAGTATTCAAGCAGCTTGATCTGATACATCAACAAGTAGAGAACTGCTTGGGTATTGATAGGTTTCTTTGGGTCAATCTTTTCCATGTTGGCTTTTGATTAGGTTTGTAGATACATTTTATAGAGTTGAGGGTTGTCAAATTTAAGAGTAACATAAGCCAAGAACAAACCAATCTCCTCACTAGAAATGTTTGTCCCTTTTCTCGGATGATGATTTACAAATCTTGAGATTCAATGGAAATCGATGAGGTGTCAATTGCACTCTAAGCGTAGTGTACGGGGTTGTTGAAGAAGGAGCTGAATACGTTATTGTAACAACATCTTTTTGGTTAGAATTTTATACGAATATGAAATGAAATGAATTTCGTATTTGGGTAACACTTTATCCAAGTGTTTCTGCCATGCTGAGACAGGTATCATGTTATAGAATTCGTTATATACGGCCTGAAAGCCAACTATACCTTTTAAATATTAAATTCTTTACATATTCACCTACTAACAAAATTCACTAGAGAAATAATTGAAAGACAATAATTTACATAAACTCACATCAACCATCCAAAGCATAGCCAAGATCAACATTTTCAAACTCCTTAGCCAATATCATCAATTTTTCCTTCAACATAGCCAAGTTTTCATTATCTGTTTGTAAACGAGGTAGCCATTCAGCAACACCATGTTGAAGAATACCCTTGGCTCTGAATTTTCCTAGTTCGACATTTCCATACGAACCGTGGAGAGTAATTCTCTTATTCTTGGCGATATAGGAAGCACGGTGTAAGATGTTGTTGTTGTAAAAAGCAAGATCACCAGGATGTAATTCAACTACCAACTGGTTAGTGATATATTCCTTTCTTTTCAGTTCATTGACTGTCTTGTCACGCTCTTCTTCTGTTCTCAACCGTTTATGTGATCCAGGCACGACAATTAAACAACTATCGTCAGTCAATGCCAAATTGAATTGAGCTCCAGCATAAGGGTTCACCAACAATTCTTCAGCTTCTTGTTCAGGAGAAACCTCTGGTTTAATTGTATCTCTATGCCAATCCAAATCAAAATCAGTTAATGGGTTAATTAACATATTTAATAACTCCATAGATAATCCTGACTTTTCAACTTGTAAGATATCTTCAACAACGTTCAACATTTTCTCATCAGCATAAAGGTCGTGGAATGGACGTAACAATTCATTTAAATCGGGATGTAACAATCCAGAAACTCCCCATATATCAGGACTAAAGTTCTTGGGCCATGGTGGGAATTGCTTGCCACGGGTTCTCACATGGGGCCAATTACCTTCTCGAGCATACTGGACAAGATTTTCAGAAGCTTGCAAATATTTGGTAATTTCTTCTGGATTAAGGAATCCACGAATTACTGTGAACCCTTGATCTTCGATTTCGTCGTGGTATTTATGAGGAAGGACTGTTGGCATGTTATTTGTGCTTTGTTTGAGCAAGAATCATCTAAAAACTTGTACTTCCATCACGTATTTATATCGATCCAATTACGTAGATAGCATTAGTATTTTCAACGGCGATATCAGAGTTTTGTGGGGCTTTTTTTTCTCGGTTACACCCATTGTTAACTGAAAATGTAACATGAACTGAACCTGGGGGAATCAACACAGAATACTCATGAAGGGTAAATATAACCGAAGGTCTGGTAAGTTCGGATCGAATTAAAAGCTATGGTTATGTCATAAGTTGATTTTTTTTTAGCCCTAGAGCAATGTATGTACAGCGCGTTTAATTAATTGTAACCAGGCAACATTGATTGTTGTCGGCGCATATTCCCTGTCTGTATTTACGTTCGGAAATGAAACACTTCTAGTTGTTACTTCTACTCTGCAACAGTATTCCTGTACATATTTAGGTTGAATTGTGCATTAAACAATCACTAGTACATGTGGAGAGGGGGGGGGGGTGGAATGATTTTTTTAGGGATAAAAATTACGGCAAGGAACTGATAATAACTGGGAAAATTCCACAACTAAAGGAATCTAATTCTTCTAGGCTATTCTTTCCATCAAACATCAATTATGGCAGGTAAGGAATTCAAAGCGTCAATTCGGAAAGTCACAGATAATGCTGTGACGGTTTCCTGTCCCTTTAGTGTACTCTGTTTCAATTTTGGTGCCAGGATGTCAATTTTGAATTACGATGGCAACCTTGTGATTTGGTCTCCATTGGAATATCATGAAGAGACATTCACTAAAGCTGTAAACTTACTAGTTGGAGAAGGTAGTTCATATCAAGTAAAATATGTGATTGCCATTAACAATGAACACAATTTATACGCGCATCAATACAAAGAAAAGTTTGGGGCCAAGATTATTGCCTGTGACAAGGCTAAATTGAAAAACAACGTCGAAGTAGACCATAAAGTGACAGAATCACTTTTGGACATGGTAATTCGTGGTGATCTCTGGCAAGAGAAATTGGGGATCTCTGATTATTATTTTAAGGACAATTTGGAAATGATTTGTATGAAGAGTCACGTTACCAACGATGTTGAATTATTTGAGAAAAATACTCATACGTTGTATGTCGGAGACTTGATTATCAATTTAGGAGCTCCAGGTACAACCACAGGTCAAGTTGAATTAGAGCAATATAGTGAAGCCACCGGGTACTATAAGGGGTATAATCCTCACGGGTGGTTGTCGTTCCCTACGAGATATCTTCAACCACGGAGTGCTGTGGGAAGCTATCTAGCTAATTATTTCGCCCAAACGAAATCTCCTGAAGGTGCTGAGTCAATTCGAACAATATGTCAATGGGATTTTAGCAAAATAGTTGTAACCCATGGCAATGTCATTGAAAAGGAAGGTAAAGATGATTTTAAGAAGTTGTTCTCTAGTGTATTTACATAAATAGGCTTATTTGTATATAATCCATTGTTTCCCCATTCACGTGACTCGTATTTCTGCGAAAGAACCCCTTGTACATGAAATTGTGAAGGGCTCAGTGTGTGTCCATGGGAAAATAAACACCACTTTCTTCCTGTAGTACTAGCGCTCAATCGCAATGGGATATCCAGAACTTTTAAAAGTAGTGACCAAGAAACTTTCTGACAACATAGTCACCGTGTCATGTCCATTCAGTTTACTCAATAAGCTCAATATTGGGGCAAGAATGACAATTTTCCATTACGATGGAGATGTGATTGTTTGGTCACCTTTGCCATACAACAAAGAAATCTTAAACAATGCCATCAAGGAATTGACTAATGAAGAATACACTATTAAATATGTTATAGTTGTGAACACTCCCCATAACATGTGTGCATCAGAGTATAAACGACAAATTCCTGGTATTAAATTGGTTGCCCCTGCACCAACTAAAGTTGATGTTGACATCGACATTAAACTAGGACACGACAATGCTCTCAAGATTATTAAGGATGAGATGTGGACTAGTGAATTAGGTATCACTGATCAATCCTTTATTAAAAACCTTGAATTGGTTTATAACTCTTACCATAAGAATAGGGAGTTGCACTTGTTTGAAAAAAATGCCAAGACTTTGTTTGTAGGAGATCTTCTTTTCAATTTGGGAATACATGGAACAACCACCGGTACTCATACTTTAGAGCAATATTGTCCTGAAGTTGGCTATGAAAAGGGGTTTAATCCTCATAGCTGGTGGTCATTTCCTACAAGATACATGCAACCATTTAGTATTATTGGAAGATATTTAATGAATGATCTGCAAAACATCAAAAAGTACCCTGAAGAAACCAAGAAAACTTTAAAGTTGTTGAATTCTTGGGATTTTAAAGAAATTGTCGTTCTTCATGGTGACGTGATCAAGAATGGTAAAGAGGCATTTGCTAGTATTTTCGGTAGTAGTTTGAATTAGCTTTGTATATTACAATATATAACTTTTTTGCTATTGATTTTATTTTGTGGAATCTACACTAGGAGATTCTGACATTCGTTCTTGTACGTGTTTGGGCCAAGTGCATTCCAAGTGTCGATATTGACAAGCATAACAAATGGGCATGGTCTCGTCACACTTCTTTCTACAACAATAGTTAGTGATTGTTCTAATGAAAACAAAATTCTGGGACTTACCTTCTCTTTCGACAGTTTAAACATCCATCCTTGCTTCTAAACCTGGTCTTGACTATATTATTCAACTTTATAGGTTTCTGTTCAAAGCCGTTTTTTTCATCCTTCGCAGCAATCAAGTATTCTGGTTTCAACGACGGATTCTTCCTCTTGGTTTTGGAAAGTGACTTGGCATCAAGAACTGAAAACATCGGTGATCATTGGAATAGCCTGGACTTCTACAAGTTGTGACGGCCAACTTTCAAGGCAATGGTTTAAGGTTGTTATCTATATGTGGAAAAGCGGGCGGGAATTTCCTATTTCGGATAAAAGCGCAAACTATCAGCGGAAAATATTTCTATTTTCAACTATAGCGAATCTGACATATTAATATTACATCATAACTTGTTTATTAATATCGTGCTACTCTACACACCTACAAGAAATCACCATTCAAGTATATTTCCATCTCCAAATCAGGCTGGAATTCAGTATACAAAGTTTCAGGGTCAGCATCTTTGTACTCACAATATTCTGCTACTTTATCCTCGATAATCTTGAGCGATTCACCCGGTAACAACGCAGCTTGTGCACTTAATTGCACCTGACAACTCTTTTCTAACAATGTGAACAAATACGCTGCGGCGTCAACGGTGCCACCTACGGTTAAAAGTCCGTGGTTTTGTAAAATCGCAGCTTTACCATCCCCAATTGCCTTGGCAATTTTGATCCCTTCTGCTGCCTCTAATGCAACCCCACCAAAATCACTAAACACAGAATGACTCTTGTAGAATGCGCACACGTCTTGGTTGATCATGTCTAATTCCTTACCCATGGCCGACCATGCCTTACCGTATGTTGAATGGGTATGGCATGCAGCATTAACATCAGGTCTCTCCTTGTGTAATGCACTATGAATGGCAAACCCAGCCGCATTAATAGGTGCTTGGTTTCCATCAGGCAACACATTCCCGTCTTCGTCCACATGAACCATATCGCTAGCTTTGAGAAGTCCAAAGTGTTTGCCCAAGGGGTTGATCCAGAAGGTGTCGGGGTCGATGGGATCACGGATAGATATGTGTCCTGCTGTTCCTTCGGTATATCCCTTACGAGCAAACACTCTGAATGCACCGGCCATATGTTGCAAGGCCCATTTACGTTCTTCTGATTTGTCGGTAAATTTGGGGAGGGCATATGGGTGCTTTCCTCCTTTGGCGATGTTGTGGGTACCACGAGTACCTAGGTCATATGTGGATGTAGTGTCAGCTGTTGTTGGCGACATTGTGTATAGTTTGTATGGCTTCTGTATGAAAAAAAATGATGAACTATTTGTTCAGTTTTATATGTAGATGGTTTCCATTCCCAATGAGGTTATAGGCGAATTGCTGCGATAAAAGAAATTTTCTAAACAGGAAATTGCCGATAGATTTGATAAGTTATACGCAGGATTTTTCAGCTTACAATGTAGCACCATCGCCAATATTGCTCGAAGGAGAGTCGTCGCTTTTGCGAAATCGTACTATTTAGGCCATCCTTATCGGAAGGGCGGCAGAATGGTGGGGAGTGGTATCAGCAAGTTTGACAAAGGATCATAACCGAAACAAAAAGTGTCGAATCGTTGCAATAATTAGGATTTTGTTTGTGAAATTCAGAACCCCGAGACTAAGCTAACTTGGTTTTTTGAACGTGAATAATATCTTATTCTGAGATTTGATATCCTTTAAGTTATAGAGAGATAGAGTCTGTCCCTAAGGGTTGGTATCTGATTTAACGTTTTTGTTTTGGTCACATCTCCACTCAAAGTTCTTGGTTTTATTATGTGACCTGCGATATCTGGAAATATTAAAGACCATAGTATTACATCATCTTGACAGGCCGTCACTTGCTTACAGTAACAAACGTTTGATGAGTTTTGTCTTGTTCACGCTGATTATAAAGGATCTGAAGCAATTCACGATAATTTCAAGGTAATTATTTTCAGCAACCATAATTCACATCTGAAATCTTTCTCATCGTTTTGAACTGGAATTGAAATGGTATCTAATTCTCGTTTATCGTTCGGAATCATGTGAATCTTGATACTTTGGATCTGTAAGTGATCTGTTGCTAACCTACCAAGTTCGTGAAAGAGATTTAACTAACATACATCGCGAAATTGACGTCGAAGCACGTCATATATCCTAAACTTAGGTTACTCGAGATCATAACCATACTGCACCCCGTATCTATGACTCGTGGACACATATCCGTAGAAGACTCTTATCACAATTATTTTTTAAATCGCAATTTGACACTTCCGGCATTTACGGGTGGAGATGAATTTCTGTAATATTTTAACAAGACCGTGCGCATGTATCTCCCCAATAAGGCTGGTAGGGTGCATTTACGGTGATTATAATTATATTATGTAAACGATATAATTGCTGAGAGACTCTAGGGTTGGAATTAACTTAAAACAAAGACATGGAAGGTAGTTTGGTAGTTCATTTCGCGACGTGTGAAACGAGCTGCAATGGGGTGGTTTGGGAAATCTTCTACGGAACCGTTTACTATGCAAAGCGACTAAAAGTTTTTCTTTTTGTGATATTAAAATACTACAATAACCCGTCGTGCATTTGTGGTGAAGTAAGCTTCTAGAATTTCTGATCCAATGATGGCGATGGGATAAATTTCACCCCGGTTACATCATAAATACCCAAGCCCTGGGATCTAGCGGCACTTTCACTCTGCAATTCACACACACGCACACCCCTCCCCCTCCATCGTGTAAATTATTATTAAGTTATTTTTGAATGATATCTCTCATTACATATTATTCACGAATCGATGGATAAATTTCTATTTTCCACATGTGGGTTAACTACTTTATTTAGACGGGTTTAGTTTATTTTATTTGGTCCATTTAGCCCGAGAAATTCGAGACTCAACAAGATAATGGCAGATCGTTTCAAATTATTTTCTACTGAGCCACTAACAAAGACCAAACCTGTGGTGAAATTAGATTTCCACGCCAAGGACAATTGAGAATTTAGATTGTAATTATAAATCTGGACCGCCGAAGTATGTATAGGGTGCTACCCTATACAATAAACTAAAAGTCTGCTAACTTTTTCTCGGTTATAATTGCACTCCTGTTTCTGTTAAACCTGCTCCTGATTATAATTAACGCTTTGTTGTTATTGGTGGGTTTGCCCTGTCAAAAACAATACGAGAAAATATCACAACAAGGGGACCTGCACAGTTTTGCCTTGATAGCAAATGTGAATATTTTTTAGTCAGATTTTTTTTTGTTTTCCTGAAAAAAAAATAAAAAAAAAAAGCAAAAAAAAAAAAGGAAAAAGAAAAAAGGGAATTTGCTGACAAACTTTTGGGTAAGATAATAACCCTTGGATAATAAAAATCACTTATAACTTCCCACCCCGCTTCCTTCAGTGCCCCCTTTCTTAGTGATATAACTTGATTAAAATAAATAAAATTATGCCAATATAACCAAAACGGTTTCAGATAATTTTGGCATTTTGTTTTTCTTGTTTGTTAGCGCTGTTTGACCATATACAAATCTGTCAACCATTAGAGTTTAACCGTTTTTACGTGACCATTTTCATAACCGTTTTCACAACCATACAAGTTACACCGCTATAATGATCTCAAAAGCTCCAGTTAGAAAGAGAATCAGAAGACTCCCCCCTGAAAAGAGACAAAAGGTTTCCACTGCCTGTGATTCATGTAAACGTAGAAAGTTTAAATGCACAGGGCAAACCCCCTGTGACGTATGTGTAAGAAAGGGAACAGAATGTACATACACTATTATCGATAAACGTTCCTTGAAGAGTGAACGCATGGCCAAGAAAAAGTTGGAAGAGGAAAATCAATACCGTCGACAGTCCATTGAACTGGATGAACAGGACGATCCATTTAGAAAACAACTGTTTCTGGATACGTCCCTGATTCAAATATCCCCTTCAAATATGTCCAATGTGTCACCTCCACATGTATCACCTCCGCAAGTATCACCTCCTCCTCCTCCACACATGGCCCAGCAAATCATGCAACAACAACCACAATATCTTTCACAGGTTTCACCATCACTACCTCCTCCTCCACCTCAACAGTACCAACCACAGCCATACCAACAACCTTATGCTCCTCAATATGCACCACAATATCCACCTCAACAATACGCACAATACCCCCAGCAATATCCCCCACATCATCAACAACAACAATACCCACCTCAGGTTCCAGTAGGCTATCAACAACCTCCACCACCACCTCCAATGCAACCACATCTTCAACAAGCCCACCAATCATTACCACCACAACCCTTGTATGATTCCAGACAACCAAGTCAGCAAATATCCCCAACCAGTATCTCTGACATGCAAGAAACGGTTTCTGGAGTCAGCAAACAACAATACAGCGATCAACCACATTCCACCGAGTTATACCTGCAAATTAAACTGGCGGGTCAAACTCCGGCTGGCAACCCTGGTCTTATTCCCCTCCAATCAGAAAATCCTCATGGTATTTTGACCCCAGAAACCACTCCAAACTCAAACTACAACGGCAATGGACACTATATTCCTAAATCTTTACAACCATTATTGTCGTTCCCCTTGGATAACGAAGAGGATACCCCTCCACCGGAAGAAGATGAAGACATGACCAAGAAGAAATCAGGTGACAAGAAGAAGGACGGTATCTCCAACCAATCTGGAAAATCTGCAATTTTATTAGTGGACAAGTCGAATACATTCAGATATATGGGAGAGACCAGTCCATTGTCTTTGTTGTATGAAGCAAGAAATATCTTTGTCCAATATGTCGGAAAGACCAAGCTTACCGAAGACCTTCGTGGATGTCCTGTGATTGACAAGCCGGCACCTATTAGAAATAGGGTGTCTATTCAATTACCTCCAGTAGAAGAGCGTGATTTGTACATTAACAATTTTAAGTGGAATATCAATGATACATTTTTCATTTTCGATATGGATAGGTTTTATAAGGAGATTGTCGAGGTGGTTTATCGCGATCCAATGAATGAACATAACAAGGCGGTTTTGATTATCTTGTACTTTGTCTTGGCTATTGGTGCGACTTATAGTGATTTCAGTAATGGTGATCCAGAAGCAATTAAAGGTGCTGCTTATTTCGATAGTGGATTGAACTTGTTGAAGGATGTTGTTGAAGATTCCGAGATTTGGGTTGTAATCAGTCACTACTTGCAATTTCACTATTACCAGTCAATTTTAAAGAAGTCTACTGCGTGGATACATTTAAATCTTGCCATTAAGTATGCTCAATCTATTGGATTGCATCGAAGTTTTGTCAATGAACAATTCTCTAAGAAGTCGTTTGAGACGGAGTATAGAAAGAGATTGTTTAGAAGTCTTTATTCTTCGGACAGAATCAGTTCGGTGTTTATTGGAAGACCATTGTCTATCAATGATTACGATTGGGATGATCCTACCCGATTCAAAAGCTCGAACTTGCCATTAACTGCGTTGGACTTCAATTCCAAGTGTCAAATTGAACTCACCAAGATATGTACCTTGATTGGTCGTATTGTCAGTAATTTCTATCGTGATAGAATAATTGACATAAATCGAACCAGAAACTTGGCCATTGAATTAAAGATGTGGTCCAAGAACCTTGATCCTGATTTATCCATTGAGAATATCTTGAAACCTACTGAAATACCCGATAATGAAGCTCATGGAAACACGCAGATTTTGTTGATGACGCACTTGTTGCAGTTGTATGCCGTTATGTTGTTGAGTCGACCATTCTTTATGTACGAGGCTGTGTCGGCCATTAATGCCGAGTTGAAGGATACCATCAAGGATAAAGAGTTGGTCAAGGACTTCCGCCAGGCTGCTACCAAGAGTTCCATCTTGGCAATCAAATTGATGAACCACTACATAAATACTGCTTTCAAGGACTGTAAGCGTATGGAGTGTTATATTATCATCACTTGCTGTTTCTACTCGTCCATTATGATCAGTATTACTATTCTTTCTGGTGGTTTTGAGCATGAAGGGTATTCCGAAAGTGATTTGATTGACTTGTTAAAGAGTGCCAAGTATGTCTTGAACCACTTCTCCAAATGCAACAAGGGTGCATTAAGATATGCGGAAATCAGCACCGATATGATTGACGCTTTGGTGCATAGACACGACAAGGGTGGCAAAGCCAAGCACGACACCGATAGTGAGAATGAGAGTGTTGATAGTGAAGAGCTCGACTATAGAGTGCTCAATGACTACAATTTCATTGATGACCCCAATAACAATATGCAGTCGTTGATTGAATTCCAGCAGTTTTTCGTACCGCAGGAGATTGCGCCTACTGGTGGATCCGTTGATGTGAATACTACCATGCCTTATGACTATGGTAATTATGAGTTGTTCTTTGGTGACAAGTATTAAGATTAGGACCTTTTAGTTTTTTATGGATGTTGTTTATTTTGTTTTATTATATATATATATATATTATTTTATTTCTTTTATAATCTTTTTATATCGTTGATTTTAGTTATTCAATTCGATAGGTCGATTTATACTGTTGCTTGTAGTTGCCTGATGATGAGAGTCTCTCGTTGTGGTGGGTTTCCTTGCCACGGCACAAAACCGAAAAACGCCAAAGAAAAAGAAAATACGATTTAGGGAATCATTGAAATCAACCCACATTGTTGACGAGCCAAAGTAACCATGCGATTACTCAGACTACTGTTTCTAGCTGTGTTGATTCGGCTTGCGGTTGGATCACCAGGAGATGACTTGGATGATTTCCAGCATTGTATTGAGCAATGTCGTCAACTGACTTGCCAAGAGGGCCATGTTCACTATTACAACCGGGCTTGGCTGTTTGTGGAGATGCCGCTTCCCTTGCATCTCCAACTCTTGGGATGGACGTGTGATCTGAATTGCGACTATCAGTGTCAGAGGATAATAACCCAGGAGAGGAAGGATAGAAACGAGGAGGTGTACCAGTTCCATGGCAAATGGCCCTTTCTTCGCGTGTTTGGGATTCAGGAGTTGTTCAGTGTGTTGATGTCGCTTGGAAACTTATTTGTGGCGTATTTGGGATTTAGAAAGTTGTGGAGCTGTGTCACCAATACGAAATTGGGCAGTTTGCGATTTCAGTTTGTCAATGCGTTAGTGTTGAATGTGGTTACCATGTTTGCGTGGATATTTTCGACCGTGTTTCACATCCGTGATTTCTTGGTCACGGAACATTTGGATTACTATTTCGCTGGATTGACTGTCTTGACGGGGTTTCATGCTGTTGGAGCTCGAGTGTTTTCCTTGTATCGCCCAGATCGTGTGCTTTTACGGTGGTCGTTCACCATTGGATGTATCTCGGCCTATATGTACCACATCCATAGGCTAATCACAGACTGGTCATATACGTACAACATGAGAGCAAATATATTTATTGGTGTTTGGCAAAATGTGTTTTTTGCATTGTTGTGCTACACGCTTTACTCGAAGTATTACTGGTTGGAACAATCCGAAGAGAAGAATTTATGTCATTTGAACTATATCCATTTCAAACAAGTCATATTACCAAGTTTCTACTCCAGCAGTCCCAAATTATACTCGTTATATCCGTTGTTGCTATGCACTATAGTTGCCCTTGGTATGTCGCTTGAAATATTCGACTTCCCGCCATTCTTTTACGATTTGATCGATGCCCACAGCTTATGGCATCTAGTGACAATAATTCCCGCATACATGGGCTGGTATGATTGGATCATCTGGGATATCTCGGAGAATGTCATTGGAGAACTAGTTGAACTTGAAACAAAGAAGAAGAAGGAATAATCGTGTATTTTTATATACATATATAGTTAATGTATCTAATCGCTCATATCATCTTCAGGAGGGACGTATGGTGGAGGCTTGAAGAACTCTTGATCTTTCTCGACAAAGCTCTTGAATGCTTCCTTGTCGTCTACATACTGGTATAAATATTCCAATTCTAAATCGTGGACTTGTCTTCCTAACATCACCAACGAATGTAATGGTTCGCCTGAGTCGTACTCGCTCAATTCTTTCAAGGTACCGGCTTTGAACTTTTGGCTAGGGGAACCTAATCTGGAGATTGCCACACATGGGGTATCTGGAGTATAAGCTTGTTCTTGTCTCTTTTCTTCAATTTCCAATAATTGACTAGCAGCAGTGGCGATGTCCATGTATCTTGGTGGTTCATAGATCAATCTTCCTCTGGCCATGTTCTCGATACTCTGTTCCTTGACTTTAATATCCAACAATAACAACGTGTGTAACCCGATCTTTCTGTTTTCCATGACTTTATCATAGAACGAGTCAGGCTTCCATGTTTCAGTGAAGAACACTAAGGAGACAGTTTGTCCAAACTTGTACAATTGTAACCCACAGGCACCCACAGCGTTCATCACCGAAGCATTGTGGATACATTCAACGGGGATGTTCAATTCCCTAGCTCTGATGATCAAGTCGGTGTGGGTAGTGGCGCCAAATGGGTCCCCCACTACTAAGAAGGCAATGTCGTCTTCTTGAGCACCGTCCAAGATTTGGTCGGCGCCAGTCTCGACGAGTTCTCGGTCAGCGAGGATCACTTCCCTGCCGTAAAATTTTTCAAGTGATTGTTGGTCTGCCGCCATCAATATGGAAGTGTATGCTTCCAAGTAGACCCTCTTACATTTCTTGACAGTTTCTAACCCACGCACGGTGATGTCAGACTCGTAAGATAATCCTAACCCAATTAAGTATAACATGTTGTTTGCACCTTTATCAGTATATTCTAGTTAATTTTTTTTTTTTATTATTATTTTTGACATTATAAATGAGATGATCTGCGATAGTGAAATTTTTCAGTATATCAAACACTATAGTCATATGGCCACCACACGAAGAAGTACAAAAGTTAAACGAGAGAATAAGAATTATGATTCAGATATAGCGAGATATAATGAATTGATCCAGCAGGAGTTGGATATTCCTCCGAGAAGAGCCAAGGGACGCAAACGTATACTTGTCAAACGAGAACCCAGTGATGCTATTATTCCTCGGAAAACTCGATCTTCTACTAGACGAGTGAAAGCTGAACCAAGTGATGAGATTACCTTGCCAAAACCCTTAACCAAACCCAAAAAGAAAGCTAGTCCAAGGAAGATCTTGAATTTGGTCATACCCAAGAGACCAGGATACAAATCTCTCGTATCTAAAACTATGGAACAACCAAAGAATGTCAACTCTATTATCCCACCAAAACTTACAGACACAGTACCTACTACATTTCAACAAAAAGTACGATTAGATTACACCTACCCTGAACTAATTAAACTCATAAAATCAAATATATCTAATAAAAATCCCGAATTAAACACTATTGATGTTTCGTTACACCATAATTTGGTCGCCAAGAACATTGAACATGAAGTGCAACGGTTTGCCATTACAGATGACCATTACAGCTCTTCCAATTACAACGCATGCCTTGCCAAACCATTTGTTAGTGACCTTGATTTATTCTTGGAATCGTGGAATGCTGGTGATGACAAGTCTAAACTCCAAGGAATACCACTAGTTTAAATATCACATAAATGATTGATGATTTGAAATAATAACGACTTTTCAGAATCCGGTGCCTCCAGTAAAATCAAGTCTTTCACCTTGGTTTCCAAATCATGAATTAGTTCAAGAGTATATTCTAAAGATTTGGACTCGGTGATCATATACCGTATGCTTTGCTCAACTAACTCCGGTTGGTTCTTTCTTTCTTCACTAGTGGTATAAGTGTGTAGTAGTTTATAAACAGGATTCGATTCGTTGCTAGTTCTTAAACAATGTAAAATCGGTAAAGACAACTTCCCTTCGATTAAATCCTCACCGGCTATGCCCTTCATGGCTGAATATTTGTCGTCTACTAAATTCAAGTAATCATCTCTGAGCTGGTATATAATTCCAAGTAGATTAGCAACAGGAATCAAATCAAAGCCTAAACTTGCGTTAGAATACAATGTGAGTAATTTAATCGACAATCTAAACAATCCTCCAGTCTTGTCTTTAACCATTTGTAAATAATCTTCAATGTCTGGTAACTTTTCAAGCTTAATCAAATAGTCTCGCCAATAAATATCCAATCCTTGTCCATGATGCAAATTTAACATTTCATCAATCAAGATCTGCAGAGTTTCAAATTTATACTTATCCACTTCCTCACTATCTGCTACACCTGTGAAATACTTAAGTGGTAAATCATGCTGGGCCTTTTGTAACGCGATAAAGTACATTAAATTACCGCAGTTGATTGTTAATGGAATGCCAAATTTCGTATGGGCAGCCGGTAATCCTCGTCTATACAATGACGAATCCTCAATGTCATCAATCAACAACGACGAGTTGTGAAAAATGGAAATTATCTCACCAATCGCATCAAGCAACAGCCTATTGTCAATCTTGTAATATAATTCATTGAACGCATTGATGAATTTTGTTCTCACATTCTGATTATTTCCTGGGATTTCCGCTAAATAGTTGTATGGTTCAAGGATAGGTTCATGGGATGGTCTACTTATGTATCCAGAAACTGGCTTGATGATCTCGTTTATGTCTATATCCATGGTGTGTTGTAAACAAAGAAGTGGCAACTGGCAGCAAAAAACTTGGCAGCATTTTTTTGATGAACAACTGGTGATGTTTTATGTGTGCAGGAATTCTGTGTTTGGTAGCGGTGTCTATGACCTGGTAATAAGTATATGTTTACAACAAGAATGTTAGGTGGTTGACATGAAATTGAAAGCGGGTTCCTTCTGCTGGTTACTTGTTGAGGAAGATGTTTAAAGGAGACAACAATATTCAAGTAGTTAGAATTCCTATAGTCAGTTGAACCACAAAACACCCCTATGTGACATTCTTTTAAAGTGCTGTTTGATATTTATTTGCCATAGTAATAGGTGTCAATCTATTGCATGGTTAGCAAACAGATTCATTGGATAGTGATACCCTGTAGAATAATCACTGGTGCCTACCATTGGTTATTCGTCAAAATAACCTTGCGTAATATTTAACGGGCATTTACTGATGGTGCAATAGCCACCCACCTATCACACCCACAACAACCAAATCAATATGATCAATCTAACACTGGAAGGTATTCACTTGGCTGGAAGATATTCTACAACTTAGATTTGTCGGTATAATCTTAATCTTACCTGTTTGTTGTTGTTGTTGTCTGTGTAAAAGAACTTTGGTTGTAAAAAGAATAACCCCCAGAAAAAAAAACGCTTGACGTAAGCAACAATTAATCCCACGTCTCTCCGGATCTTACAACTATACATATATCATGGATGCACTCTGGACAAGTCTACCACCAGTAACACGCGGATGGAACATTGCAATTGTAGCCACGTCTACATTAGTTACACTAAAGAAGGTCAAACTAAGCAGTCTACTCTTTCAACCCGAACGAGCATTCACTAATCAAATTTGGCGATTGGTATCGTCTTTCTTTGCATTCGGCGATCTATCCATGAATTTATTCATGGAGATCTGGTTTGTGAGTAGTTCAACTCGGAGAGTCGAAGATGCATTCATAACTAATCTGAGCATGTTGCCTCAAGTTGTGGACTCATTTGATGCCGAGCAACGGAAATTACTCCATGATTTCATTGAACGAAACAAGACCATTGACTTCTTGTATTATTTGCTACAGATATGTATTGCTATTGTGTTGCTGGCTACATTTGGATATTACAAACTCGGAATAACCTTGCCGCAATTAGGAAAATTGTTGTGTCATCTGTTGATCTACATCGATAGCAGAATCACCCCTGAAGAAGTGTTGAACTTGTTTGGGATCTTCCAGTTCAAAAAAGTGTACTACCCCTGGGTGTGTGCGCTGTTGGATTTGCTAGTGGTTGCAGTGAATCTACTCGATATAAATTGGAAGTGGTATGTTGAAGTCATACTTAAACCCTTCATTTGGTTTTATACAGTAAGTTATGGATTGGGACATTTGTGGTGGGTATTGCGAGACTTTCTCTTGCAGGAAGTACATAATGATCAAAATGACAAACGAAGATTGTTACGCCAAAACACATTACGTGAGTTTAAAGTTACACGGTTTGATTTAGTTAAAGAAGTTCTTCTGATGGTGTTCTTGCCACCATGGTACTGGGTAGTTATTTCAAAAATTCAACGACGTAGATAATAAAAAAAAATATACACATCTATAACTTGGCCGCTTTTAATCTCGCAGCAAGAACTAAAGACTGTTCAATCTCATACAATCTGTGAAACACCTTGGCAAAGAACTTGGAAGCTACCGGTCTTCTAATCTTGAATGTAGGAGTAACCACATCTCTTTCAACCGTCAATGGGTTGATCTCAATATGAATATTGTGCAAGATTTCAAATCCGCTCAACTTATCTTTGACGTTTTTATTCATAATATGCAAGAACTTACTCTTGGTCTCCACCTTGTTTAATTCCTCGAGTAATTCTTCTGAAGACATGGCGATTTTATTGTATCCAAACTCCTCATTAAGAAACTTCAACCCCTTTTCATATTCAATACCGACAATCCCAACCAAGTACGATTTCAATGAATCACCATGGACATACAACTGAGTAATCATGGGGTTGGAAGACAAGTATCGATTTTCAATCTTCTCGGGAGAAATATACTCACCTTGTTGTAACTTGAAGAAATTCTTGACCCGATCAATAATCGTGATTCTCCCGGTTTTTCCATCAATACTGGCAATGTCACCAGTGTGGAACCACCCTTCTTCATTAAATACAACATCTGTCTCGGCTTTATTGTAATAATAACCCTTGAAGATCTGAGGACCACGTAACAACAACTCCCCTTTCAATTCTGAGATGTTATAGCCCATATCTCTCGCGTTTCTCAACTTGAACTCTCCTGTAGGGCCAATGCTTCCACAAGATCCCGGATTCAGCTCATACGCGTCGGTGGCAGTGATTGCCCCGCCTGATTCCGTCAAACCGTACAATTGTCTGATTCCAATGTTTAAGCTGGCCTTGAGAAATATCAAAGTAGATGCTGCTACAGGTGCCGAAGCGGTTTGCACCCATTTGATATTGTCAAATCCCACAAACTGGCGAAGCTCCTTGTACGGACCGAAATTGTCAAATGTGAAGTCAAATCCAGTGGAGCCATCAGCTTTGCTTTGTTCCTGAAGCTTATAGTGGATGATCTTGTTGACTTTCTCCTGATCGTTAGGGTTTAATTCTTTGATCTTGACCTTGATCAACGCTTCCAATCTGGTTAGCAATCTGGGAACGATGGAAAAGTATGTTGGCTTAAATACTCGTAAATCATCAATTAAATCATTGAACGAGTTTACATCCTTTCTGCCAATTGTCAACTGAGGGAATCCTAGGTAATATCCACCACATAAAGCAAACGAACTAGTTTCTCTCTCGTAGATATGAGTCAACGGCAAGAAAATGAATGCTTTGTCGTTAGGACCAGCATGGGGTTCAAAACATAGCAAACAACTGATATATGCTGCCGCCATAGACTGTGGGATCATGGCCCCTTTAGGTTTAGAGCCGGTTGTTCCTGAAGTGAAAGAGATCGTGTATAACGTATCTGGATTGGGTGCGAGTTCCTTAATGGGGTTTTCTCCCCCAATTTCTTCAATTTGGCGCAAATCTTGAATGGTGACTCTTAATTCATAAGCAAGTTCGAATGATTCAGTAGGGATTAACTCAGCTGGATCCATACTCACTATAGAAATGAAGTTTTCAAGCTGTTTAGGAAACTTCTTCTTTAAGTCCAAAAGCTGGGGAATCTTGTCCATCGAACAGACAATCATAGGGGACCCGGTTAATTCCAAGATGTACTGGGTAACTTCTGGACCTAGCGTGTCATACAAGGCTGTGTTTGTGATTGAAAACGACGAGCACGCCAAATCAGACAAGATCCATTCCATACGGTTCGAAGCAAAGATGGACAAGATGAACGAATTAGCCTTTTCAATTTCAAAATCGGGATTGTTTCTCCCGGTTGACTTTGTCCCATAGTTCATCCAATCACGTAAATGGTGGTCGATCTTCTTGTGAGCCACCAATTCGGAGTTCTTGAATGGATTGGCTAATAAGGATCGTATAAAACCAGCCCCGATCCTCTTCTTCTTCTCGTTGACTTCGCCGTAAGTGAAGTACTTGAACTCAGGAGCGGATTTCTTGTTGACATAGTCGTATGGTCTGGCTCCAAGACACGGTTTATTCTTAAACAATTCAGCAGCATTAGCAAACAACTTGTGATGAGTGTTCAAGTCGGGATGAATGGTTTTGACGATCCTGTTGGGTATCGCCTTGTTGCGAAACACTTTGGAATAGTTGGCATTCCCGTTGCTTCCCTTTACAGCAATACTATCGCAAATGATGTTGGGTTTCAAGGGAAGATGAGAAACTGCGACTTCTTTGGAGAAGTCGTGGGCGGAAAATAACGAATCAGACATGTTTGGTTTAGTGAGTAAAGACATGATAATTTCTGGTGGAAGATTCCCTATTTATATTGTCTATGAGTACCTGAAATTGTCGGTCGGTCCAAGTTTCGATCTGACCGATATTGTGGAGATAAAGTGTAGTGGAGAAAATGTCAATCTCAATACATAGGCCGTTAAAACAATGGCCACAAAATCTGGGCCCCCGCAAATTGAAATTTTGCACCACCGGAAATAATGCGGAGCCTTCCGTGGGTAACCTTGTCAACAATAGACTTTAGATCAAAGATAACGAAGAGCACTGCATAAATCCGAAGATTGAATGCCCTTCTAGAAGATTTAGGCACCATGTTCATCTTTGAACAAGCCTCTTGCGGAGAAACAAAATAAGAGGTGGTTAAATTGTTTTCGGCTACTTCTCGGGTTTAGGTAATTCTTACCACGGTTACTCTTGACAATCACTCTTGTCCAGTTACCCCTGATCCATCTTTCTCCTTTATGAATGTTCACCCTTTCCTCCCTCTTCCCTCTTCCCTCTTGGATGTCTGTCCTCCTCCCCAGGAAGTAGAAAGCATCTATGGAGTTCCCGTTTGTCAAGTTATGTGAGGAGTATTTTCGTAGGATTTGGCTGAAATTTTCATCGATTTTAAGTATACCGTTTTAGTCACGATCTTGCTCCAAAGAACAAGAAAACAATCACATTTAGCTCTGAAAGAGTGCATAGTCAAGTCGAGCTAATCAAAGAGGATAATCAATCTTCAGCAAATACTCAGTACTACGCGCTGGAACTGGAAATGTAGTGAGCTCATTTAAAAAGCTCTTGCACTTGTAATGCACAAAATATTCAGGAAAGACAAAACGACAAGACAGCTATGATGGCAGTACAAATACCTCCCCCCCTCCCCCCCCTCGATGGGATGGATATTTAAAACTATCGGCAATGGAGGGTTCAACCCCTATTAAAGCACCCAACAACAGTATACACTGGCAAATCTAAGGAAATCAATGGTTAACTTGACCACAATTACAAATCATAAGGCAATAATGAATCCTAGGTTCTCCATACTGCAGAAAAATGCAGGTTCTCAACGCTAAAACAGGAAGAGGCTAGAAAGTCTACAAAAATCATAGGTTTCCAAGTCTGCAGAAATTGTCTGGATGGTAAGCCTACAATTATAGATTAGTCAGCCTCCACAATTCATTGGTCACAATTGTAGGTTTGTAAAACTACACCACCTTTTACCCAGGTAAGAAGTAACACTAATTAAAATTTCTGTACAATCCAGTTGTCAATTAAGTCATCTCATCTACCATTTCTGCCAAGGGGTTCTTGCCCGAGAACACATACACCTGCCATCAGCGCCACACCTTACGTCACTAACCACTTTAAAATGACGTTGTCGATACAGACTGATCTACGATTGAGAAATTGCAACCAAATTTAACTTCGTTGCTGGTTATACTGCAAATACAAAGGAAGGTTGATCCGACCAAACAGAGCTCTCGTGGCTCTATCACTCATTCAAGCTACCGCTAACTACTTAGAAAACATCATATCCTTGCCATCCGATCGTACCCCTCCTTCAAATAGACCAAAATGGGGTGTAACTATATATGAAAAGGTTGCTATGTAACACCTAACTGGATGGGTTGATTATCGGCAAGATTTTTGTGTCGCGGGCTAAACGTACATCCGCCGCGGGTGGATTGTTTGTTGAAATTTTCGGTCATCCCAATGGGGTAATTCATCCATTTTGATGGTGGGATCACATCCCAATGGGGTAATGATTCCAACCATCCCACCTGCATAGAAATGCCGAGTTTGTTGGAAATTTCCACTTCGCGTACACCTCCCCACTAGCGAGCTTACTAAAACTATCGTAACCCAGTTCTAGTTGTGTTTGCATCATGTTTTAGTATAAATAGGGACAATCCCCAGACGTTCCAGTCGCTACCCCAGATATTTTCTAACTTTAACAACTATTATACATCAAATAATGACCGTGTCTGATTTCGATGTTGAAGCCACATTGGCTAGATTAACTTTGGAAGAAAAAGCCAAGTTACTTGCTGGGATTGATTTCTGGCACACTGCTCCTATTCACAGAGTCGGGATTCCTAGTTTGAGATTCAGTGATGGTCCCAACGGTCTTAGAGGTACCAAGTTTTTCAACTCGGTACCTGCTGCCTGTTTCCCCTGTGGAACTGGGTTGGCTGCTACTTTTGACAAGAAGCTTTTGGAACAGGCCGGTGTGTTGATGGGTGAAGAAGCCCACCACAAGGGTGTCCATGTCATCTTGGGACCAACCATGAATATCCAAAGAGGACCATTGGGTGGTCGTGGGTTTGAATCATTTTCCGAAGATCCTTATCTTACTGGTGTCGCTGCTGGTGCTATCATCAAGGGTATTGAAAGTAAAGGTATTGCTGCTACCCCTAAGCATTTCGTGTGTAACGATTTGGAACACGAACGTAATGCCAGTGATTCTATCGTTACTCAACGTGCCTTGAGAGAAATTTATTTGGAACCATTCAGAATTGCCTTGAGAGATGGTAAGCCAAGTGCCTTGATGACTTCGTACAACAAGGTCAACGGTACCCATTGTTCCCAAAATGAACACCTTTTGCAAGAGATCTTGCGTGAAGAATGGGAATGGCAAGGTACCGTCATGTCCGATTGGTGGGGCACTTATACCACTAAGGAATCCCTTGCTAATGGTTTAGACATTGAAATGCCTGGTCCTACTTATTTCAGAAAAGTCGAAGCTATTTGCCACATGGTCAAGACTCGTGAATTACACATCAATAAGCTTGATGATAGAGCCAGATCAGTCTTAAGATTAATCAAGGTTGCTCTCCAATCCGGTATTCCTGAAGGTGGCAAAGAAACCACCCAAAACAACACTCCCGAGACCAGTGCTTTACTTCGTAAATTAGCCCTGGATTCCGTTGTCTTGCTTAAGAACGAAGGTAACATCTTGCCATTGAAACCAGAAGAAACCGTCGCTGTCATTGGTCCAAACGCTAAGGTTGCTGCTTACTGTGGTGGTGGATCCGCCGCTTTACGTGCTTACTATACCACTACACCATACGACTCTATTGCTGCCAAGGCCAACACCAAGCCAAAGTACACTGTCGGCGCCTATGCCCACAGATTGTTGCCTGCTTTGGGTCCTCGTTTAATTAACCCAAAGACAGGTCAAACCGGTTACAACATGAAGTTCTACCTTGAACCAAGAGGCACCCCACAGAGAACTTTAGTTGACGAATACAACTTGGATATTTCCTTGCTTCACTTCCCCGACTACTACAACAAGAAGGTCAAGGATAACTTGTTCTACATTGACTTTGAAGGGGACTTCACTCCTGAAGAATCAGGTGATTACGAGTTCGGAGTTACTGTTGTCGGTACTGCACAGCTCTTCATTGACGATAAGCTCGTGGTTGACAACAAGACCAAGCAACGTCATGGTGAAACCTTCTTCAACGTCGGTACTGTCGAAGAGCATGGTATTATCGAGCTTGAAAAGGGCAAAACTTACAAGGTTAGAGTTGAGTTTGGATCGGGTCCTACTTACACTTTACCTTCTAATGGTTGCGAGTTCTTTGGTGGTAGTATTAATCTCGGTATGGCCAAGGTTATCGATGATGATGATGAAATTGCCAATGCTGTCAAGATTGCACAATCTGTCGATAAAGTCGTTGTTTGTATTGGTTTGAACCAAGAATGGGAATCGGAATCATTTGACCGTCCCCACATGAAGTTGGAAGGATACCAGGACAAATTAGTTGAGGCTATCTTGGCAGCTAATCCTAATACCGTGGTGGTTAACCAATCGGGTACCCCAGTTGAATTGCCTTGGGTTGATCAAGCCCCATGTTTGCTCCAAGCTTGGTACGGTGGTAACGAATCCGGTAACGGTATCGCTGACGTGTTGTATGGTGATTCTAATCCAAGTGGTAAGCTTACTTTGTCCTTCCCTAAGCGTAACGAAGACAATCCTGCATTCTTGAACTTTAGAACTGAAAGAGGAAGAGTGTTGTATGGTGAAGATATCTTTGTTGGTTACAGATACTATGAAAAGTTGGGTAGAGAAGTTGCCTTCCCATTCGGGTATGGTTTATCTTACACCACATTCGATTTCTCCAACTTGAAGGTCGATGTCAACCAAAACACTCTTCAGGTTGCCGTTCAAGTTGCCAACACGGGTAAGCTTGATGGTTCTGAAGTTGTCCAAGTATATATCTCCAAAGACGATTCTGACGTGATCAGACCTGTCAAGGAATTAAAGGGATTCGAAAAGGTCCATTTGAAGGCTGGTGCCAAAGATACTGTCGTTATCGAATTGCCCTTGAAAGACTCTGTGTCTTTCTGGGATGAATACCAAGACAAATGGTCGGTGGAAGCTGGTGAATACCATGTTCTTGTCGGTAACAGCAGTGACCACACTCCATTGCGTGCTTCTTTTACTATTGATCAAAGTTTCTTCTGGAAAGGTAATTAGATTATGTTTATAGGATTCAATTCAATATTATATAAATTATACAAAAACAAAACAAAACAAAAAAACTATACACCTTATTGAGCTTCGTTTCTTAAGTTGGAATGAACCTTGATATCCTTGACTTTACTAATTTGTTCGCTTAAAATACCAGGAACTTCCACAGTTTCAAGCTCGTCCACTGAAGCCACGGACTTTTCTGACTTCTCAGACTTTTTCGATTCTTGAGTGTCACTTGGAGTCATAACCAAGTCGGAAAAGTTAATCTTGGCCGAGGAAGCTTCATCATCCACGGCAGTTTCGTTCCATTCTTCCAATTCCTTAGCATGTTCTCTCTCAATGGCATATTTGACTGCTTCCAAGACATTATCACACATATGCTTTGGCTTGTATTTGGGCACAGTACCTTCTTGGTAAACACCAGTCTTGACCAAAATGGAATGCCATGAACTATCGTGAGAATTGGCAAAACGAATATCCGATTCAGGAGTGTCACCTACGAAATAAACTGTAGAAGCAGGTGGCAATTCCAAGGTAATCTTATCGGTCTTTTGTTCCCGCTTGCCGACAACCTTATTGATTTCGTCATCGGTATCATCGTCCGAGTCGGAGTAGTGATAAGATTCCAATTTGCTCTGGTTGATAATTTCTTCTCCTTCTTCATTAATCAAAATATCAGCCTGGCTGGCATTTGGATCGTGAATCGACAACTTCTTCAAATGTTCATCCAACACACCTTGTCTCCAATGGGTCAACACCTTATTGGCAAACTTGAACGTACCCTTTTGTGGCTTACCGAATCTGTTAACCTTCAACTCTTGCCCTGTGTGTTCACGGTACAAAGCGGCAATGGAAACTTGTAAAGCCCCCATACCGTATCGGGACAATTTATAATTGGTAGCCCAGATGAAATCGGAATGGGCAAAATAAATCTCGGGTCCGTCGTGGTAAGTTTGCGACTCGGTTCCCATGACACCGTCTTTACTCAACAACAACTCCAAAATAATTTGTTGATCGACAGCCCAGTTTCTCGAGTCGGCAAACACGAGAATGGCCTGGATTTTGATCTTCAGGAAATCAACGTCTTTGCAACAGGCAATTTCATCAGTGGTCAAATCGTGGTAAGGTGACACGGCTGGGTTCCACTTCATAATGTCCAAGGGGGTGTACACGTTCTTGAACCCGTACGATTCTGCTACTCGGCGACAGGTGTTTCCGACACCACCGACAACAAGCACGGTGTCGTACACGTCAACCAAATCCTTCATAGGGGTGTGACCTTGGATGATTTGGTCTTCAGTAATAGTGGTTTGCAACCTTCTTGATAAATCATCAGCACGCTGTTTCTCAGGCTTACCACCTCCGTTGGTGACGAAAACATATGGCACCTTGATATTGTACTTGTTTTCTCCATTCAACAACTTGATAGCGTCCACGGCCTGAGGGATGGTGTCGGGACCACGCAAGATGACCCCATCGATATCAAAACAAAAGGCATAAGAGGCAACACGCTCGTGGTCAATCACAGCCTTCTTCTTTCTCCTGATGATGGACGAGTTTCTTGACAACTTAGCCAAGGAATCCACCTTCTTCAAATTAGTGGAGGAGCCCTTATTGGACAAGGAAGGCGACGATGTCAACTTGTGCAAACCAGTTTGCCATTGGTTCAAGTCGGACAACGACAAGTTGGACACTCTGTGTTTTCTCAATGAGGGTTGGAGCTCATCAATACCATCGTTGTTCAAGTAGGATTGGAATTTGGGCGAAGCGAGGGCGGAGCCAGAGGCAGAACCTGGGGCAGAATCGATGGCGGAGTCAGAGGCTGCACCATCTTCCTGAACTATGAAGTTACCATTCGACATTGTGAAATATATATATATGTGTGTGTGTGTATCGATCTATAAGTGGACGGGGTGGCTTCCAATAAAGTAAAGTGAAGTAAAGTATAAGTGAGATAAGCAACTGCAGATAAGAATACACTTGTTGTAATTGCTAATTGTTGTTAATAATTGTAGTAAAACTTGTACCTTACTAGCAAAAGAAACAATGATACTTTAACTTGTTTATATACAACGAGAAAGAAGCCAATTGAGATGTGGTTGCCAAAATAACTCCCGTAATTTCAGGACACACTAACCCTGAAAAGAGCATGGTCATGTAAGGGTCGTGCACAAACACAAAAAAAAGAATGACATAGAAGGAAAAAAAAACATGCATAACGCTTGAAAACACGCCTTACGGATTTATAGTGACGTCACATTATTGCATATTACGTATCTGTTAGTAAATGCGTGGTGGTAGTCGTTTTTTTACACGTTTTAGGTATAACCTGTAAATCTTATTGTTCCCTAACCAGTCAAAATGATTCCATTCCCATTCCCAGATTTTCCGCCAAGGATTATCCGGCTAGACTCGGAATTCTATGCAGTACGCCTAGGCTAACGATTACGGTGCCTGGCTAAAGCAATCATGTTTGAGTTATACAATTGAATGTCACCCACTTACAATTCGTACATCATTGCCATAGGCCAAGTCATATCAGCAAGAGTAAGCTGAAGTTTAAAAGTAGTCAGTAAATGTGTTGGTTGATGCAACCGAGAACAACCAGATGTATGCAAGATTGTTGGTATGACGTAATTTTGTGTCCACAAAACGGCCATGTGTAATTACAACCATCACAATACGCTTGTAAGTTCCTAATCAGGTCATTTAGCAATTGGTAACCCGGGATTCGTGTAAAATATTTCAATGCACAATGGCGAGAGCCAACGCATTATGTCTGATTTGACATGATTCGATCGTTCCTTCTCATCAAGTCGTTCTGAGACAATGGCACTATCCAATACATTGTTCCTGTATCCCATACTTCCATCTCTAATCACCGTTTAAGCACATTATGCTATGCATAAGGATAAGGTATTTATCCCAAAGTGGGTGGCCGTATAGGTGGCAGGAGACGCCTTTCATGAAAACAAAGAAGTAAAATTGGATTAGGAAAGCGGTAACTGGAATGCCCTTGGAGGATATATGATTTTTCAAGCTAAAGTGTATAATTAATCTGTGGCAAATTTCGGAGAGAATGTTTATATTTATATTTATATTTTATGTGTATACCTAGTATGTATCATCCCTCGGCAGGTGACAATTACATTTTTGCTTCGATGAAACTGGTCCACTAGGTGGGTATTCTAACCGATTTTGTGGTAAACTACCTTCAACGACTACTGGTAGCCGATAAAGCCACCAATAGCACCTTTGTTCAATATAAAATAAAGTAAAAGTATAGTTTTCTCACTCACAAAAATCGCATGTGATTGCGATGACTACGCTTATTTGCACTGGAAAAAATGTGGGGGTAAAACGAGGGGGGGTGGGGAGGTGGAGGAGGGGGAGGATGTCTTACATCAATCATAAAATTAGCATGTGATGACGACTCGTTGTTAGTTCCATGGGCAATATGCAACACCGTCAATCCACTTTTCTAAAATTTACCCAGCCAGGCAATTTAAATGCAATTATTATCCCAATTGAGGAGAAGAAAAGACAACAGTGCCCCTAGTACCGTATTTTGATCTCGCGTTGTTACTCTGTAAGTATTTATAAATAACCTAAACAAAGATCTCGTGTTTTTGTTTTAGATCTTTTTCCAATTTTGCATTAAACAACATGATTAGTGTTCGAGGCGGCTTGCTCATTTTGAGCATTCCCCTTAAGCTTCTTTATGTGCTTGTCAAATATCCGTTCGTTGGTGGAATCACAGAAAAGTTTAGAAGCAGCTTAATCAACTCGTTGAAGCTTCAATTGTACCGGGCAGCATTGGCGGTGCCAGTGAGGGACAGTGCCTTACTCTCAATCCTTTCCAACTACTTCCTTATTAACAAACTCATGAAGTCGCTCCATCCCCACTTGTCAGACTTGCCCAACTACGGAATCAGGTTTGACCAGCAGAGTTTCTGGTTGGTCAAGGCACCTTACAGGTCACGAAGTGACCCCATTTTGATTTACTTGCATGGAGGAGGATACTATTTCGAAACCATGCCGTCGCAGCTCGAATCAGTATTGGCAATCTATCACTTGCTCAGTCCCGAGAAGCGCCGCAAACTCTCAGTGTTGCATCTCGACTATAAGCTCGCAGCTCAAGGATATCCTGTTGCAACACAAATGTACCAATTAGCCGAAACTTATGCAAGGCTAGTTGCTGTGGGCAACACCAATTTTGTGCTCATGGGAGATTCCGCGGGGGGTCATTTGGCAATCACGTTCTTGCAATTCATACGACACTCGTATGCCACATCCATGCCGTCCCCAACCACGCTAATTTACCCCAAGAGTGTGATTTTGGTTAGTCCCTGGTGTAAAGTCATGCCTGGAGACCACCAATTTTCGCCGGGTTGGTCTTACTACGACAATTATCGTCGTGACGTTATTCAATACCATATTTTCCACGAGACCCATCGTCATTGGGATCTTTTGGGAGATACCGACCATCAAGCTCTCATCATATCTCCAGGAAACCACCCGTATTCTTATTCAGACTGGGACTCGATTCCTACTTTAAACAACGAGAACTACCATGTGTTTGTCGTGGCAGGGGAACACGAATCATTTAGGGACGATGTCTTGGAATGGTGCAAGTACGCATTGAAATGCCCGTTGTATGACATGCACCAGAATATCGATTCCGGAGGCGTTCTCGATCCCAAGAAACACGAGTATATAAGACAAGATGAGCCCGGCAAGTCCACGGTGCAGGTGTACGTCGAGCCATGGGGGGTTCATGATGCCATATTCTACTTCGAGAATGTGATTGTGAGCAAGTTCAAAAAGAACCATGCCCTTCTCCGTCTAGATCAAGTCGACCCTACTGAATTCTTTGGCATTTACCGTGTGGTCAAGTTCTTGAACGAGACCCTAGAAATAGAAGATTATGTATAGAAATAATATCTCATTAATAATATATATGTAAATACAAAAAAAACTAAAAAGTCTACATGTCTTCAACATTATCACCGTACGCTTGCTTCATCCGAGCAATCTTCACCAAGGGACTCAACGAAGACACATCGTCACTTTCCAAAATAAACTTGTCTTGTAATAATTCGTCTGCAGTGGCTCTCTTGTTGAAGTCTACTTGCAAACACCACGACAAGAATTGTTTAATTTCTGCACTCAATGCTTCTGGCTCTTTCAAAGTTGGTGTTCCGTTGGTGGCAATAAGATACAATGCTCGCAATGGAGTCTCATTCAAGTATGGTGGTTCTCCTTCAATCATTTCAATCATCATAATACCAAGCGACCAAATGTCAACTTTAGGACCATATTCTTTACGTGACACCACCTCTGGCGCCATCCAGTAAGGCGTACCCACCATAGTAGTCCTCTTTAAGTTGATTTCATTAATCTGCGCACAGAATCCAAAATCTGTCATCTTGATATTACCGTCAATATTCAATAATATGTTATCACTCTTGATATCACGATGAATGACACCCTTGGAATGCAAAAACTTCAACCCCTTCAAGGTCTCGCGACACACGGCTCCAATTTGCCCCTCGGTCATGACACTGTGGGTGACGATCTCCGTTAAAGATCCACCCTCCATGTATTCCATAACCACCCACAAGTCGCCTTTAACCAAATATGAATCGATAAAGTTGACAATGTTGGGGTGTTTACTGCCCTTCATAACCAAGATCTCATTAATAATGAGTTCCTTCTTGGGCTGTTGTTCCAAATTCATCTGCTTGATAGCGACCGTGTTTGTCGGATTCGTCTTTTCATGTGCAATATAGACACCTCCACTGGCACCTTGTCCGATCTTGATCAAGTCGGTGTAGATATCGTTGGGGTTGCCGGGACTGCAGATCGATTGTAACTTTGCGATGATTTGCTGATTCTTGCGTTTCTTCTCCTCGCGCTTACGTTGTGAGATGATCGCCGCTTGTTTAGCATCACGCACAGGAGCATGTTTTTTATCTTCAACCTTCTTGGGTTGTTCTGCTTGAGGTACTGGTTCTTCGCCCATGACATCATCGAGGGCCTGCTTAGGCGTGGTTGCCTTTTGAGAAGGTGTGATTGTCTTTGGTGTAGGTGGTGATGGCGCTGGATGCAATTTGGCGGTAGTTGCTGCAGCTGCTGGTGGTGAGCTAGGTGCCGGTGGTTGCGGAGGTGGTGGTGGGGCACGATGAGCCTTGAATTCTCCACCACGTTGTTTAATCATTGGTTTAGGTTCAAAACGAGCTGTTGGCGCCACAGGAGCTGTCGTTGGTCCATTTCCATTCTTATGTGGTTGTAAATTACTCGACAATGACGAAGAGTGCGATTTCAGCTTGGGGATCTTCAGTGGTAGGTTAGGCACCGGCGGCATGCTTTGCGGATTAAACTTGTCTGATTTGCGGGATCGTATCGAGAGCGATGAGATAGATCTGCCAATAAGTTTCATCTTGTGGCTGGAAGTAGGCGACGTGTTGTTAGGTGATATGGGTGTAATTGATGGTGTCATGGCTGTGATTGGTGTAGCGGTAGCGGTAGCTGGAGTTATGGTGTCAGTTGGTGAGGTAGGCACCTTAGGTACTGGTGTCTTTGGTGGTCGTGGGGCTGGTCTGCTAGGTATAAATTGTGCTTCGTAATGAGATGTTGGTGTTTTGGGCATCTTGGGGGTTTTCGGTGCTTGGGTAGGTGTAGGTGGTGCTTGTGCAAGAACTGGCTTTTCATACTCTTCCTGCAAAGACGAACTTGAGTTTGTGTGTTGGTCAGGACTGTCGGAATATCTACTGGCAAAATTCGAAGGACTAGAACTGTCGCCGATGGACCAACTGGAACTGCTCTTATTCTTATCAAAATGGAACTTCTTAAACGCATTCTCATCCGGGTTGTCGTTGGTGTCCTGGTAAAATGCAACAATGTCCATGACCGCTTGTGGATGTTGTTGTTGTTCCACCTTAGTGATCCCACTGGCCGAAAGTAACTTTTCCCATTCAATAGGTAAGCCAGTGTATGAACCATTATCATCAACTCCCACATGTGCCACATGTTTCGCATTGAATGGCGTACTGATTTTCATATTGATCTCGGGGGATAAAGGATTGAATCCCGAGGATAAAGACGACCCATTGGATCCCAAAGACGAAGTAGACTTTGTCTTGCTAAACATCGACGATATGACATCACGTACTTTCCCTGTCTTGCTCTTCTTGTGTATAGGCGTGAATGATCCTGATGAATGGGCACCACCCATGGACAACAGCGGAGAGTCACCGCGGGAATAACTGGAAGATTGTTGTTGTTGTTGGGGTGGGAACTTTATTGGCTGTGGTGGGATGGGTGTGATTGCGGCAGTTTGATTATGGGCAGCACTACTGGATGGTGTGGTTGTGGTTGTGGTTGTGGTTGTGGTTGTGGTTGGTGGGGCTGGTGCTGGTCTGGGACGAGAGGTTACAACTACCGTTGCATTGGTTGCGTTTGATACTAACCGAGACTGGTTTGGAGATTCAATTGACCTCGATTGATCTTGGAATTCTGGTTGGTTAGGTAAGGATGGTGTGCGTGATGTAGGAGCTGGCTTACGAGGACTTCCCAACTGTGGTGCTTGCTCGATATTAGGCGATGTGTCAACTTCGTCGTCTTTACTGCCACTGGTAGTTGTTGTTGTGCCGGTTGCAGTTCGATGTATACTTCCATGATGCAATAAGTTGGTGGCCACGGTATGACCACTTGACCTTGTATCATTGTACTCGTTATTAAACATATAGTCGATATCCGCCCGTGGTGGAATCACAATATTGCCAGCGGCAGCGTTACCAGTGCTGTTAGTCGTTGTGGCAGTTAATATACTGGCGGCACCCGATTCAACTCGTTTTGGGTCTAATATCGAATGAAACCCAGAAAGATCGCGCGATGGCTCAGGCAAGGAAGTGTCACCATGACTCGACATGGTTGTGTCGTTGTACAGATGAGGTTGTAACTTGTGGTCGGTGGATGGCATTACCGGTACCGCCAGGGCCAAGGGAGATTCGCGTTGTGGATGGCGTCTAGGGATTTCAATTTCGTCGACTTCAGCCGGTGCTTGTTTGGCGATGGCGATGGTGGCATCGGGCGAGGGTGATTCATCAGAAGCAGCGGTGGTTAAGTCGGCCAAGAGTGATCTTATGGGTCTTGTGTTTGGCAGGACGTATGATTCTTCATGGGCTTCTTCGTCAAGATTGGTGGGGATTTGGAGACTATCTTGTGATTTGGTCAATGCATTAACATCTAATACTCCTGGTAAACGTGTTGGCATGCCTTTGATGGGTGTGCTTGCTGTGACTTCATGCTCCTCGTCCTCCTCCTCTTCTTGTTCTTCTTTTTCTTCCTGTTGAGGAACTGGTTTTCGTACTACTTCTTCCTCCTGTTGCACTTGCTCAGCGTGGACTTGGGGCACTTGTTCTGGTTCAACTTGCTCTGGCTCAACTTGCTCTGGCTCAACTTGCTCTGGCTCAACTTGCTCCGGTTCAACTTGCCCTTTTGTCTGTTCTTGCTTGACATCCTCTTTAACTTCCTTGCTTGATTCATCGTTTAAATCCTCTCCTCTGGCTGGTTCCTCCTCGTTGGTTGCGTCCTCTTTCCTGGTGGTTACCTCGCTCAACGGCGATGTTTCGTTGGACAACTTTAATTGATTCTCCTTGATGGACGAAATACTCCTATCTCTCGACAATGGTCGTGGCACCTGGTCCTTGGCTTGCTCTTCAAACAACTTTATACGTTCATGTATAGGAGATCCCAACTTCATCGGAGGCGGACTCGTAGCAACCGCGGGTTTATCGATAGTTATATGTTCCGACAATTGATATGAAGCGGCAGTAGCAGTGCTTGTGGCGGGCGGGATAGTCTCCTCCATAGTAAGCGTATTAATCTATTGTAAGCTGTGCGTGACTGGCAGTTTTGTAAAGTGTAGTATGTTAAAAGAGTGTGAGTGTCTGATTTATCGTTTAAAGTTCAATAGCAAATGGTCTGGGACGGGGTATGCGTTATGTCTTGACCATGCGTTTGGGTAACTGTGCGCTGAAGACAATTTTTTTTTTTGGAGATTAAATAAAATTTTAATTTTTCTTGTATATTTATTTATTTTATTTTTTTTTTTCTTTCGGTTCTTCTTTTTCTTCAACCTGCCCAAAGTTGTGATGTCACTGAAGTTTAATGTGGATGTCTGTCTTTTCCCGTATTCAGTTATGTCAATTAACTAAGTCAGCCTGGTAACTAATACCGTATGTTTTTTAGTAACCAACCGTTTTAGTGTCGTTGATTAAGGGAACGTTTTCTAAAAGAAAAAATGTCGGGTTTGACTATCCTCAACCTTTTTTAGGTTTGTTGTTTTTTTAAAAAAAAAAATCCAGACAGAGAACAAAAAAAAAAATAAAATATTAAATTTTGTCTGGATAGCTTGAAACAATAGCGCCCTAAGAAAAACTTTATTATTTGTCGCGCTAAAGAATGTCGTTGCCAGAAAATTGTCAGTAGATTTGTTGTTATTTTTTTTTTTTGTCTAAACAAAAAAGTTCCCGCCAATTGTCATTCATTTCATGCCAGTGGCTAATTCAATTCCATTCCCTCAATGCATTCACAAGGCAGTGGCCGATAAACTTCTGTAACATAAGTACCCGTAGACCTCCCCCCCCCATTGTAGCAAATCTTGCGTCTGGCTGAGTTATTTCGCTAAAAAGTTTATCCTTTTTCTTGGGGAGGGTTAATGTGGCTACCACGCCTGGTTAGAATTTAACTTTGTTGTTGTTTTAAACAATGTCGACGCGCAATTGACTCAACTATTGCCGGATACTCCTTTGTTTACGAACAACAACCGTACAGATACACTCGTAGGTTTAAATCTTCGTTGGATCTACAAAGATTGTTTCTTGTTCCAGCTTATTTTTTTGTCATTACTTTGTACTACTATTACTACTATTACTACTATTACTATCTCTTAGTCTTGCATAAAATCACGCTCTGTTTCACCTGTCTCGGAAATTCCTTTGTTAAACAGTAGCACAGTTTCACCACTTGCACTGTACTTACTTGCAGGGTGTGCAGCGTAGTGTCCGAACCGGCAATCAATCACACTTGCAGTGGCACTACTATCTGATTCAATCTGATTCAATCTGCTTCAGTCTGCTTCAGTCTGATTCCGCTCCCCGGCACCGAGTGTCTATCTATGTGTTCCTCTCTTCCCCTTAACCTCGAACTTCCCCAGATGCTCCTCGAAAACGTAATCATTCTTGGTCAAATACTGTTTAACAAATCGTCTAATGACAGAAACACCTCCGACAGAATGTATACCCCTCCCCGTAATCAACGTGACCGCTCCAGTCCCCGCCAAATGCCCAAACCTGCCAAGGTTCCCGTCTTGCTCCCGATACCTCATTTCCTCTTCCCACCAATGATTCAACACCATTTTGGTGAGCGTCATGGCCTGCGTAAGTCTAAGCATGTGCAAATCAACCACACTGCTTTCGAGATACTTTCTAAACTGGTCTTTTTCCGAGGTGGTAGCTTCAGCTTTGACCCTTTGGTAGTTGGTGAATTTCTGGGACACGGCCAAATACGGGTCGTTGCTTTGCCGTTGATGACGCGCTGATGACGTAATCTTCGGTTTACGATTATACTGTGGATGGCTGATTAACTCAGTGGCCAATGCAACTGCCTTGTATACTTCCCCTTCGAAAAACTCAAGCGCATTAATCAAGATTTGCCTATCGATGTTGTGGAATTGGGGATTGCTATCGTATAACGTCCAGAACTCCTTGGCTTCGTCAGACTGAGGGTTGTACTTATATGTGCTCTTAACCCTCGTTATTACTGCTCTTGGCTTATTCCTTTTCTCGCCACCTCCACGTTGAACGCGTCCGCCTCCGCCTCTGGGATACACTTTCTTGTTGACCATAGGACGACAATTCATAATCACCCCAATCAATGCATCATGGTATTGTCCATTGCCTAATCTTACATGATGGATAATGTCTGCCTCGTCGACGGTGTTTTCACCAATGAATTCCTGGATCTTGTGCACATTGGCATCCATAGTAAACCATTCGTTGCTGGCCTGCTGAGTGGCTTGTTTCACCGGTTGTAACTCATGCTCACCTGGACTAATCAAGTGGATCACGGTTAACTCTTTGTCATTATTATATTCTTGTAATTTTTGATCAATGATATCAAGGGAAATATTGGGAAATATATCGTGGATCTCATAAACGCCATCATCATATTGTGGTTCAACCAGGGATTCATTCTCATATTGCGCCTTCAACTCCTGTGATTCCATCTCAATAAACAACTCATCGAGAAGTTTCTCAATGTCATCAGCCAACTTGACGCGGAACTTCAAATCAGTCTTGGCAAATGTTGGGAATAAGCCTGATAACTCCTCCACTAAAGCAATAAATTCGGCATCATTGTCAAATTCATCATACACAAACTGTGAATACTCGTCCTCTTCCAAAGTGGGTTCGCGTTCGGAAGTAGTTGATGAACTCGTTCCTTCTTCAAGCTCAGAAGGGGCTTCCGACATGGTTTGGACGATTTGATCATCGACTTCAGGGAGGGAAAGTGGATCGGGTGATCTTCCTTTTTGGAGTAGGTCTTGTAATTGTTTGTCCTTTTTCTTTTTCTTTTTCTTGGTTTTCTTTTTGGGTTTCATGAGTTGTGCTTGTGCTGGTTTTGGTGATTGTCCGTTGTGCTCGGTAGAGCCACCAAGAGTCATTGAATGTGTAGATTGTCCATTGAAGGGTTTACGTTGTCTATTTACAGGGATAGGAGTCTTGCTAGCAATAGGTGGTACCTTCACGGTTTTCTTTTCAGCCACGGCCAACATTTGTAAATCTTTCATGAGATCTTCCACGGTATCTTGAAAATATTGTTGATCCTCATCCAAGACTACTTCTGGTGATATTACCTCTGACTCTTCGTGTATCTCTGCTTGTACTTCTTCTTCCTCCTCCTCTTCTTCTTCTTCTTCGTCTTCACGTGCGTTTTCCTCCCCCGTTTTGTCAGTTTCGTATTCCAGTTCTTCGCTACTCTTCTCAGACAAGTTCATACTCTCATTGTCAGATTCACTTTCAATCTCAGCCGGCAAGAATAAAGGGTAAAGCAACTCTCTTATCTCGTCCAGTTTCTCTGGTTCTGGACTTACAGTCAATTCGAGTGAAGGCTCGGATGAACGTTCAGTGCTTCCCAACTTCATGACGGTGTCATAGACAGATCCTTCACCAGTCTCGTCGAATAGAAAACAGAATGCAAGTAAAACCATCGACTCGTCACCTTTCACCCGTCGATGAACCATATCCACAAACTCCTCCTTACTAGAGGTTGTAGCGGGAATGCACTCCCGCAACAACTCACGAGGTGTAAACGTATTCAAATTTAGAGCAAAGAACTCAATATTTTCGTTTACTATAGTCAGGAGGTAATGCCATATCGGATCATTGATGTCAAGTCCCTTCTGTCGAAGACGATTAAAGTCAATTGATTTTAGCGTTTTGGCAAGGTGTGACCACGAAGAGCCATACTGGAATGGCACATCATAAGGGGATGTTGGCTTGGTAGTACTAGATTCCGCTACATTCAGAAACGCTAGTCTGTCTTTACAACTTTGTGTCTGGGCAATCTGTCGCAACATCGTTGTTTGCAAACTAGACAGACAATTTACTGTTTGTCTGCCTGTTTGTCTGTCTGTCTGTCTGTCTGCTGGACCGGAAAAAAAAAATACTGACAAGGTTTCGTAAATTTTTAACTACTACTATAAACATAAACTTCATAAACTATTGTCTCGTTTCCTAGTCCGGATACAAATCGCCTTTAGTGCACTGAACCATCTCATCATTTCCTCTTCGTTATTACAACGCACTCGAATGCGTTTTAGTGGCGTTATTATAAGCAAGTACCACCAAGTGTCATGGGCCACTGTTGCACCTGCACTACTAGGATCGCGTTGTAGTTCAATCACATCACATATTTCATCAATGCTGAATGACTTCCGGGGTCGACTGTGCGGCAGGTCGTGTTTGTAAAATGAAAGATTGTGTGTGGTGAGTATGAGATAGTACGTCTTCCATTGATGGTTGTACTTGCGTTTGAGCACTTGGAGTGGTCCTTTTTCTATAATGTATTCCTCGTTCTGTGTGTCCTTTGGTGTGAGTGGTTTGGCTTGTTTTGGGGGTTTTTCGGGTTTATTGTGTTCTTCAGTCTCTTTCGGAGTGTCTAATCTTGTAAATGTATCCATGGGAACAATAGGTTTGTGTGTCAACAGTGGCGATAGACCTGGGGTTGCCTCCGTCATGTCAGAACTAAACTCATCAGCAGTGACACCACCACCACCACTGACTACGTTATCACTAATCCTCATTTCACTCGGTTTCTTTTTGTGTTTATTTTTGATGGAATGCACCGGTATATGCGGCGACTGTTCCCGTTCATCTGACCCTGGCACCTCTTCAATCTCCTCTCCTTCCAGATCTACATCGGCATCATCATGCACATCCATAGTGGCCACGCCAGCCAGTAGCGCCTCTTGTCCATCCTGGTCCTGAAAATACAACTCCAATGCCGTAATCCAGTCGTTGTACACTTTCTCATCGTCACACTTGAAATGCAACACTTTGTCATTGGTGTATATCGCAAAATGGTTGCGTTTCCCGTCGGGTATCACATTGTAACTGAGGATCTTTATCCGGGGTATCACTCTACGAGGTTTATATTCCGTGGCGTCCTTGTAGTAGCTGAATTGACATTCCCTCAACACCACCCATTTCTTCTTCCATTGCCCCATAGTCGATTTCTTGTCGAGGTATGACGACATGAGGACTTTATTATGGTCGATCGGATCGTACGGACACGTCCATGTTTCCGACTTTGTGTGCGGCGGCCGTGTTATATACGTATCTATACGGGTAGTACTGGCCATGCTTGCTGGTGCTAAACTAAGAATAGAAGACTAGTGAATTTTGGCTGTCTATTTTCTGCTGACTGGTGATGTGATTACTGAAAATCACGTTTATAATTTTTTGTTGTACGAGCTGAAAATGTTGGGACGTTTCCGACACTAAAATGCCGTATACGATGGGAACAGAATGGCCTGTTTGAAGAACATGAAGAAGAAGACGAAGAAGAAGAAGCCTCTTCAGTAACCAGGTGTTTTACGATGGAGGAGAGGGGGGTGGGGTGGGGTTTGACTCAGTTATGTTAAGCATGGGCAGTGTTCCATCTGATTATTTCATAAAGGGGCGGGGGGGGGCTTTTTTTCCACGTTTGTGTTATTGTTTGGATAGCCGTTAGTTTGACGAAACACTATCGGTGTTTGTAGCTAACTAGTTATATAGCTAGACTAGGTAAAACCTAGAGTTCTAGATCTGTACTCAGCAAATCTACTCCTGATTTATCGGGAATTTGATTGGCTAAACCTTGCCCAGGGCTAAAGTATAATTTCATGCATGGTTTAACTTTGTAACACTGGTAAGCATGTACAACTGGTCTGGTGTCATGACGAAGTAGTCGGTTGTTTACTAACAGTTAATAAATAGATTCGTTCGAGAAGATGTTTGCCAAGACCGAAGGATTTTTCAAATTGACAACATTCCATTTCTGGGCATATTCTTATATGTCTCAGGTCTTGTGCAACAAAGTTTTTAGTCATTCGACAAATTGCTGTTGCTTGGTTTGTCAACTATTTGTATTTGTTAATGTCTGCTATGCAACAACTGCCCCTGACATAATGCTAAGCAAGGACATACTACTGCTACTCCACATAGCAAGATAACGGAAGTGTTCCAGATTTAAAGTAAGCCCCCGCCTCGTGTTTCATGTAGCCATTCAACAAAAAACACAATCAATGTCCACCCACCAACTCCGTGTTTTGAAAACAAGGATAATCTACACGATATATAGACAATAGTCCTCCCTCCAAGGTTCAGCCTTCGTTGTGTTACCAATATATTGTTCCTACGGGTTGATGGAAAAATAGACTTTTAAGACCTTGTGCTTTTAATCTTTATTCAGCTTAATTATGCACAGTGGGTTATAATGATACTTTTACAACCTTATTTATCATCGGTAGTAAAATGACAAGTCATCTCTATCCTATTGTGACAAGCCACAGTATTGGCTGTATAACATATACTTACTTCCAACACAACACTTTGCAAACAAGTCAACGTAATCTGTTCCTTTTTCTAGGTTATCTAGATGATATCATAACTCTACATAACACTAGATTATACTATTATAGTAAAGCGCCGTATATCAATCAAAACATTGCTTAAATTGGGTCACTTCCAGGCAACACCATTGCCAAAAAAAAAAAAAAAAAAAAAAAGAAAGATCAACAACCAACGAAAAATCTCACAATCTTTAATTTTGGCAACACTTTTCTAAGCCGAATCCACTAGATAACACAATATTAGACCCAGTTTTACTTCATACAACATTAGACATTGCTACATAGCACTCATCATAGACGTTTCAACCTTAATCTAATCTATTTAAAACCATAATATGCCTTCACTTACTAGCAACGGCGGCGGCACCGACTCGCCTTCCTTATCTCCCACAACTAGCAATGTGGAATCCACCCCCAATGGCTCATCTCGAGTACCCCCCGTGCCTCCCATCATCGTCCTTTCTGGAGCATCTGGCAAAAACACACCCGTGGATGAACTAAAAGCAGAATCACTCCCGCATCATCTCGTGCAGACCCACAGTGACTCAGAACTAATCACCCTCAAGCAAAGTTCCAAACGACCAACAAAATTGAATCGGGCAAGGACCGATTCTGACGATGAAGTCAATTCAGATGATGACAATGATGACGATGACGACGACTTACTAGACTATTTAAAACACAGACAATCAGATGATTACAAGTATATCAAGTTTCCCATACTTGAGCAAGAAGAACCACCTAGCAAATTCTTTCACAACTCCGTATCCTTCGACGATATAAACCTCAGATGTGACACTGATGATGAACCGGAATGGAATGACGATCTAGGCTGGGATTTGTTCCGATTGCACAATGCCAAGGGGAAGAACGTCAAGGGTTACTCCAACAATTACTACTACTCATCGACCAGAGGCCGTGACTCGTTGCGATCTCCTTCTCCCGGCGGAGGTACCTCCCCCTTGGCATCGCCCACACGAAGAAATAGCAGTCCTGAAAACCTAGTGGGAAGTTCAAGCATCAGTGGAGTGTTTGATGCTGTGGATGGAGTGCCCGGCGGATTCATCGAGTATCCGTCCCAGCCGATCACCCAACGGAAATGTTGCTCCATTTCCCGTCAACATGTGCTCTATGAAGCGTTATACAAGGGTAAGCTTCCATTCCTTCCGAAGTTGCCCAACAGATCCATCCTTGTGTATGTTAGTGGAAGAAGACACACCTGGGTTGCCCTCGACTGGATCTTGACCAAGTTTATAGAGAATGGAGACAAAGTGATCATTGTATCTTCCGTGAATGCCGATATTCTCGAACGGAGAAGAAAGAGGGGCCGCAAAGGATCCACATTCACTTCCCCACCCAAATTTGGCAGTACCACCGCACCGTTAATGCGTGTGCGTCAACGTACGGTGCCTCACAACATTCGAAACATTGCCCTGGACATTATGGATTACGTCTTGACGATAATTGACCCCAAAGTGATTGCTAAAGTCGTGGTGGAGATTGTGGCTGGGAAAACCAAGGAGGTGTTGAAGGACTTGTATCGGTTGTATGAACCTAATTTGGTGTGTACTGGTACTAAACCCAATATTAAGACTGGGGCACCCTTGAAATCGTGGACTTCGTCGAAATTGACTGACCGATTGGTTAAGAACTTCCCGTTGCCCGTAATTGTCGTCCCTGCAGTCAACATGTCGCAATTTGAATTGGAATTACAGCTGAGATTCGTGGATGCCATTCCCGAGGAACCACACCATGCATTATCACCCAAGCTTGAAGAGAGTGTCGGTGATGACAGTTCGATCAACTCCTGTGGCAGTAGTGGTGATCCAAGTAGTCAGAACGACCAAACTGACCAGTCAAGTGCCGGTAGTTACAGTTCATACGATGAGATCTCCAATCTTTACATTAATTATAAGCGTGACGTGGAAAGTGAGCTTGATCAAGCCAGAGAACTCCCCGTTTCGGCCAACTACTATGCCAATTTAGCCAAGATTATTTCCGACAAGTCGTCCAGTTTGTGTTCGGATATCGTTGATGTGAGTCCTGACTTCCGTGGCAATGGGTCGAAACTAGCACGAGCCATCACTGGATCAAACTCATTTGGAGTTGTACCATTCCGAACCAAATCATTGTTGGGTCCTGTTGAGGACACCACACCCAAGTTGAGTTTCAAGGAGGTCAAAGAGCAACTTAAGAAGAACAAATTGCAAGATGATGCTCAGTACTTGAAGCCAAGAGCCACCTCGTTGAAGTTTGCTGATGACGTGAAGCCGAATGTAATCAACAAGAAGAACTTGGGTAAGATCAGAAGTCATGAGGTTACGAGTGCACGACCCAAATTGGAACCGAGAAAGTCTCACCCTGGTGAACTTAAATTGAGCCAACTGGAGGACATGTTGGTTACTGAGAAAACCAAGAAGAGTAAGAAGAAGGGATTTTGGAAATCGTTGTTTACATAGATATAGAATTATACAATATATTAATCAATATGGATTTACCGTAAGTTATTGTTAATTATTATTATTTTTTTTTTTTTAGTTTTTGCGCAACACAAAGGTGAATAACCGTAATCTTATTGATCCATCAGCGGATTGTTCTTGTTAAGTAAGCATGATCAATCTACTGCTACTACTTCTACTCCTACTAGGTTGCTTCCAACCAGTATTTTCGATTATTCAAATAGATAATGACACACTATCTGATTTTGACTTGGCTCAACGAATAACTTCAAACAACAAGTCCACTGGTCTTCAAGAATTCACTCCTATAATAGACACCATAGTCCAGTCCGATGTCAAGTACTACTCCTTCGATGTCAACACCACATCCGGACTCGGTGAGTTCTACGAATTGTTAGTCTTTATCACGGGGAACATATGCACCCAACCAGCAGGGATCCCAGAAAACGACACTAGTTTGGCCGTGTACTACTCATTCAACTCAAGTATGTTTGAAGATAACGAATACGGACAAATGAGCTTGTTCAGCGATGGATACATGCAGGCATTAGCCGACTTGCCCATTGGGCAAGTGCAGACTACGGAAGGATACCAGCCACCCACGGTGTTATACATTGCCGTGCGAGCACCTGAAAATACCAACAGTAGTGCCAGTTGGACATACCAGATCGGGGTGTCGCAAAACGACTTGGTGTTTCAGTGGGATGACAGAGAATGGGTTAAAGTGTTGGACACGGACGATACTAGCGCCATTGTCGTGACTGGTAACTTGTCGATCCTGGAGCAGTACCGCCGTGACAAGACCATGCCGTATTCGTTGTATGTTTACTCGTACGGTATGAAAGATTATTTCACGGGGTTGAATAACAGTTGGTGTGCCATTAGGAACGGACCAGCGTTAATTGGACCCGACTCTATTGCTACCAGTTTTACGAATTCTTTAGACGGGACAAGACAGCAGTTTGTGGTTACTGGGTTGAATGCATCGACAAGATATATTGGCTATGTCGTGGCCGGGTCGATTGGTGCGACTACTGGAGGGGTCGTGTTTCATCCGTTTACGTTTGAAACGATGGAGAACGATGCGTGTCAGTTGATTTACGGGTTGGAGTTTTGCACCCAGGTGGCATACAGTGTTCCTCGACCCCAGGGTGACCCTCTGGTTAACATCACCAAACAACTCTACGATAACTACACTGAGAATCTTTACACGAATTTCAGCAAGGCGCTTCAACAAATCCCCTGTGATGCTAAACCAGACTCGGTCTTTTCTAATATGAAAACATGCAATGATTGCGCCAACGCTTATAAAGACTGGCTATGTGCGGTGATGATCCCGCGATGCTCAACCAAGAATATCACAGGGTATCAACTCCGCGAACCAAACGACGGACGAAATGCATTCATAAATGACGTAGTCGTGCCTAATAAGACATACTTTGAGGTGTTGCCCTGTGTCAACACCTGTTATGCCATTGTTCGTGATTGTCCTAGTGATTTTGGTTTCTTGTGTCCTACCAAATTACCCATGAGTTATTTCTGGGATGTTGATACTGGCGAGGGCAATGAACAATGGCCCAGTTGTAACTATGTGGGTAAAGTCGTTGCTATTCAGAGCAGTCGAGCTTTCAAGTTGGTGCTTAATTATGGGGTTTTGTTGGTATTGTTGCTTGGTTCATATAGTGTAATTTAGGGGGTGTTTGGGGGGGTGGAGGGGGAAGGGTCGTGAAAAAAAAAAATAGAATAAAAAAAAAAAAATTTACGCGTCTGGAAATATCAAACTTACTCCTTAACCAGTTACAACCTTCCTCCTAATCATGTCAGACACATTACCATGGTATGTAATCAGTATAGTATAGTTTCTAGTAATATCATGCTAACACATGCAGGATTGAAAAGTATCGTCCAGAATCTCTTGACGACATCTATGGCCAGCAGGAAATCATCACCACCGTTCACAAGTTCATCCAAACGGGGAAATTACCCCATTTGTTGTTCTACGGCCCACCAGGAACAGGAAAGACATCGACCATTATTGCTGTTGCCCGGGAGATCTACGGAAAAAACTACAAGAACATGGTGCTTGAATTGAACGCATCCGACGATCGAGGCATCGACGTTGTTCGTAACCAAATCAAGAACTTTGCCAGCACAAGACAGATATTCAACCAGGGAAACAGCTTCAAGTTGATCATCTTGGACGAAGCTGACGCCATGACTAATGCAGCTCAGAACTCGTTAAGACGTATCATTGAGAAGTTCACCAAGAACTGTCGTTTCTGTATCTTGGCTAACTATTCACATAAGCTAAACCCAGCGTTGATTTCGAGATGTACGCGATTCAGATTCCATCCCATTGACACTGAGGCAATCAGAGAAAGAATCAAAGTGGTCATTACAAAAGAGCAGGTGGACATAGATGCAAAGGCTGTGGATGCGCTTGTTCAACTCTCGAAAGGTGATATGAGACGAGCATTGAATGTGTTGCAAGCGTGCAAGGCAGCAACCGCAGGATCGATAGACTTGGATATGATCTATGAATGTATTGGTGCACCCCATCCGCAAGATATCGAAACGGTATTGGACTCGATTCTCAAAGACGATTGGACTACCGCATACATCACTATAAATAAATTCAAAACAACCAAAGGGTTAGCATTGATTGATTTGATTGCGGGGTTTGTTGATATTTTGAATAATTACAAATTGAATAATAAGACAAGGGTTGGAATATTGAAGGGGTTGAGTGATATCGAATATGGAATTTCCAAAGGTGGTAATGATAAGATTCAAAGTAGTGCGATTATTGGTGTTATCAAGAGTGCTATGGAGAATGAATAGTGTAACTGTAATAAATGCTTAATCAGACTATCGTGTAGCTTGTTTATAGTGGCGCTGTCGTCGTCGTCGTCGTCGTCGTCTATACATGAGACCTGTTAGCGCATAGGAATGTGTAACAGTCTTGAACAATATACAACATGGTTTTCGTCTAGTTATCGGAACAAGTATAAGGCTCACCCACGGTGGTCCGTCTACGCCTAGACTAGTATGAGTGTAATAGCGCCGTCTGCGTCAATTTGCATTAATTCACATTTGTAATCTGGCTGCAAATTCGGATTACCGTCCGGATATCTGAAACTGAAACCATGTGTGTATATTAGAATTTCAGATTAACGAGGTTGTAGCGTATGGAAATATGACCCTATCTCGTGGGGGGATAACTCCCATTGTTCGCCATCATATTGTTTCATGTTCTATACGTAAATATTTTGTTCGTGCTCTTTCCATAAACAATATCCACGTTTCCCAAACAAGAACCTGAGATTTGTTCGATCGGGAATCCGTTTGTTTAGCTTTGTGTTTTAGCTCGATACAGGATCTGGTGCCTGTATTGTTCGAGCCTTATCATAAGGGGGTTTGGCATAAAATTTCACATAATTTTTTTTCTTCAATTATAAAAGTCAAGTGGAAAAAATAAGTCTAAAACCGTTAAAAATATACTTTGCAATTATACCGAATTGTCGATTGTAACTTATGCTTGTAATAAAGGTTATTTTAGCAGTGTATGCATAATTCCATGATTAACAAGTCATTTTTTGAAATTTTGAAATTTTGACAGGTTGAAATTCCTCTGCAAAACCTGCTTACTCCACTTGAGCTTTATTGCATGGCTGGGCAATCTTGAATTATAAACGTGTTAAACTTTTAGTTTAGTAATGAGGAGAATGGGTTGCTTAGCTATTAGTCCTGAAATTCGGCACTAATTTCACAAAGTTACACATTATTTAGATCTAGACATGGGTTACAATCTCAACACTCACCCCTCCTCCACTTCTTATTCGAGAAAGTTTTGTGGGGAAGGCCCACCGCAAAAACACTACCGATATTAAATTAATTGCTTTGGGGGTATTTTCAGTATAGAGGGGTGTTATTTTCTTAGCTAGGCTTATGGAGGGTAGGGGGTGTAAATAAATGATTACATTTACGCAATTGAAATTTCAAGTTATGCCCCGAGTCAGATAAACCCAAGAATCTGGAGATCTTTGAGCTTGCTCTTAATCTTGTTATTGTAAAACACCCGACAAGCAGCAACGAGGCGACTCAAACATCTGGGGCGTAAGCTGTTCTTAGAATCTCGTGATTCTTGAAAGGTATATACGGAAAGTCTACCACTGCTTGTATGAACCTTATATGTTTAACCCTAGTTTTTTTTTTTTTTTTTGCCAGCAAGTGTTGCATTTCCCTTGATCATTACTAATGGATTATTTTACATTTCCATTTCGGTAAATTTGAAAGGTAGGATTTGCTGAATTCAGGGGTTGCACCTAGGCTTAAACAGAGGGGGAAAAACAGGTAACGGGATAAAACCAGAAAAAATCTTGGGCAACAACACACAGATAATTTCATTTTAGTTCACCCCTAAAAGAAACTGCTATACAGAGGGAGAAAAAAAAAAATCATCATTCATTTTAATCAGAAAAAATGTAACTGATCGCCAATCTCCTCTTGGGCTAAAATCGACGATTTGAGATCTGGAACTGTGCACAAGGTTATTATTGTCTCTCGTAATTTATTTGGAGTGGGGGGGGTGTAGAGTGTGATTTAATTCCTAGATTTCATGTAGGGTTTATGCGTGCAAAATGAAACGAGAATCGTTACATTTTCAACTTTGATAAGATAAACTATGTAATTGTCTTTTGCCCATGACACCTCTTGTTTGGTAACTAATGCATTCATGCAAGTTCTCACCTGCTAGATTCCACTCGGGGCAAGAACTACGATCTTAGAATCAGTCCATAATATTCATTACATCAGTATTTATGTTTACAATGGAAGTATTTATCCGGGAGTGCCTACATAAAATAATCTTGCATATATCCCAACATAAAAAAATATATCCCACAAAAAATATTGTTCTTGAAAAAAACCAATTCCCAACTAAACCTCATAATCTGGGCGTATATCCAGGTAACCTTTCTATACAAATCTAGCCACAAATACCAGCCGAATGAAACGGGGGTTATGAGAAAAGTGCAGGATTTATTATTTACATTTTTTTAGATATCCTGAAAACACTTTTTCCCAACTAGTGGCAAAATATGCTATTTTGTCGATTATTCGTAGTAGAATACCAAAAATCATAAAAGCCGAGGTAATTGGTTTGACGTATTTACTCCATGACCAGCCGCTCATGTTTGATTTCGTTTCCATTTATTCCGATACCCGAACGAAAAGTAAAACATACGAGTTGTTGAAGCTAATTAATCCTGGGTCATGTATTATGGTCATGACTATAAGGTATTCCGTTATTGAGAGGAATTTATTTTTTTGTTAGCTTCTAGAAAAAAAAAATATTATGCTGGTATAATGGATAAAATTTCATGCATGTATTTCTTTTTCCATTACCTTGTCTATTGTTTGTAATGTTAAAAAATAAAATTTGTTTATCCTTATGCATGAAAAAATAATAAAATTTTTCAGTATAGCAGCTTACTTATTTGGTATGAGCTAGAAAAAAAAATTTTAAAATCTGGGCTTAACTAAGCACAAAAAAAACAAAAATATTTTTTAAAACATAGGAAAAAAAAAACTTATACGGGATTATAAAAGTATGTAAAAATCCTCCGGTTATTTTGAAAAATTTTTCTAATTCCCCCCTTTCTCTAGCTTTGCTCCAGGTTATAGTTTTCGGTTTTGCTTCAACATATTAAGGTCGAGATCAACTGATTAGCTGCCCTTACATTCATAACCATTGATTACTACACAACCACTCCGTGTTAAAACATAAACAAAAAATTTTTTTTCACTACTTCCTGTTTTACTATTTTTTTGCATTAAATGTCTGACTCAACTGTCCGTAAGTCTCGTCGTACAAGAACATTATCAGAAAAGGCTCAAGGTATGACCAAGCCAATAGAACAAGATACTGAAGAACAATCTTTTAAAAGAAGGAAGTTGTCCCAATCTGAAATTATTGAAGAACCTACTGATAAGATCGATCCAGTGGAAAAGTTATTAAGCTTGACGAGTATAAATAACGATTTCTTGGTTGAATTAGAATCATCTTCTTCCGAGGAAGAACAAGAGGAAGAAGAGGAAGAAGAACAACACAATGAAATTGCTTCGGTCAACTTCACCAAGATATTACAAGACAATATTCGAAATTACTACTCGAGAAAGCTTCGAATGAATCAATACAAAGATAGTTTTGCATTGTTGAATAGTCACAGTGAATCCACGACTATTTCAACTGAACCAATAAGTCCTATAAATAGTACCAACAATTCAGTTCCATTCTTTAAAAATGTCAACTTTGGAAGTTCAAAGGAATATACCATTGATGATTACTTTTCATATGATGACGAAGAGTCCACCGAGACTGCTACCTCACCAATTGCATCTACATCTACATCGGCTACATCTAGTCCTACTACTACTGCATCTTCATTATACATTCCTAAAATCAACCAACGATTTAACTATCGTCAAAATCATTTGAACTTAGCATCATCAAACGACTATGGCGCCGCTCCAATGACAGCCAGTCCTTCATATTCCCAAGACATTGTCAACATCTTGAACAAGAGATGTATTCTTACTGGTAAAGCCAGTGAAATGGTTTCTACAGGAAACTTTTTAATCAATGATTTTTTCTTGTAACTGCATGCATGAAAAAAAAATTTTTTTTTGTGTTTGTTTAAACGGGGAACAGTTTGCTTATTTTTTTTTCATCTGCATTATAAGAATTCTTGCATATTTTTAACATTCTAATTCTTCTTGTTTCAAAGCTTTTTTAGTTATTTATTTATTTATTTATTTCATAATTAATACATTATTTCTGACTGAAACTCAACGTGTTATCTGTAGATTGAATTGTTGTAGACACCTCCTGACAGCAATAGAATTAGTTGCTTTGCTCTGAAATGGCTTTGATTATATGTTTCATACCAGACACAAAGCAAAGAAAACCGTTTTCATTCAATTAGATTTTTTGTTGTAAGCAAACAAAAAAAATGTCACACAAAAAGTGCCACCCAAGAAAAACTTTTCTTTGGTTTTTTAGTCAAATCTTTTTTTAATTATGCAAAGAATCTCGAAAAAATCTTTTTTTTGCTTACTCCTTGGACCTGTGATTGGGAGGGGACCTGCCCCGAACAATGGGGCCTTGTAAAAATTTGCCGCAAAGTCTGAAATTTTTGTGTCAGAAACAATATACGACATTTAATCAAAGTCTATTGTGAAAAATTTTTATGACAAAGAAAATCGATCTCACGCGACACTGCATTGTTTAAGGTTTTGCCGTAGCAGTGAAAATTTTTGCAAGTGTATTGTTCGGGTACCCGCCTTGGCATTATGTAGCAGGGGTCACAAGACGGGAACTGGTAGACGAAATGGTAGTAGGGCTGGTTGTGATTTGAATCGGTTACTAATGTTATGGTTATGCAAATTACCGTGTCGGCTTTTAAGGCAAGTACAAGCAAGATCCCATGAAAAACTATTTGGCTTTGATATGCTGTACCCCTGACTGTAGCCAGTGACAACACCCTGATTAATTTATTTACGTGTAAAAACAAGCTTCTGGTCAAATCTCTTGGTGTTAGGGATATGTCCACATCAAACAAACCCCAGCTTGAAAGGCATTACTTTCTTCAGTTGCCTGATAAACTGTATGTCACACTCACGAGCTTGCTCAACCAAAAACAAAAGCTAGCATTAATTCTAGTGAATAGACGAGTATATAACAGATCATTTAAGTATTGGTACCAGTTAACCTATTTTTCACACCGCCAAAATCCCCTTGTTGGTAAAAACCAATAAATTCACCTGGTTCAATTGCAAATATTCAGTAATTAATACACACAAGAGCTTTCTTAAACTACTTGAAATTAAAAGGGAATTGTTATGGATTGTTGACGTTATTGTGTTACTGTATCAAACGAGTATCGCTAGGTGCGAAAGTTAGATTATGAAATAATGTATGTGAATTAGATTGAAATGAAACGACAATGCACCAAGTTCACAACTTAACATCGTTGATTTGATGACTAATGTGGTTATACCTTCACATATTATAATGTCCAATGAAAGTAATTACTGCACTACTAACTAACATTGACCATTAATTTTTTTCTCCTAAATACATTAGTTAAGCTGGATTAATAATGGTTGAAAAGTTGAAAGCACTCAAAACAGTTTGAATTGCGAAATTTTGTGGAAGTAGGATGTAATTGTTATCATTCATTCAAGCAAGCATAAAACGATCATCATTACATTTTATAAATTTTTTGACAAGATGAATCTTGAGCGTCTAGGATAGCTATTCAAATTAGGTGAAATAAATACATTGGAAATAAGCAAATTCTCAATCGATTCACTTCATTACTCACAATTTACTTGGTGATTTACAAACATGGCTAACTTTTACCATTTATTTCTAAATTCAGCTCGATTGAAATCATACCTTCACTTAGTGAGCCCAATACATTGATTTCGTTGATAATATATACTTTACCACAATTGCAAGCAACCCAAACGTAAAAATTTCATCAGAATCAAGACTAATCAATACAATGATCTTTGCTGGTCATTTCAGGTACAGTTATTACAGATGATTTAATTTCATCTATACAACTTGTGAAGATCCTAAACAACGTGAAACTTACCAAAGCTTAGTTGGTTAGTTCTTGGGTGATGATGTTGAAAGGTTCTGAAAGTTATATTATATAGTTCCAAATCTAATTATGAAGCGGAAAGATCATTGGATGGATTTGTTACTACATCAATTAATCATTAGATTTTGCAGATCTCTTCTCTAGTTTCTAGGTTTAAGTTTTAGGAAATATCAAAAGTAAATACATTAATGCTTTGATATACTTACCATTTAGCTCGAGGTTATCTTTGATTTTTTTTATATACATCGAATCTTCTGAATAGCAGTTATTGGATTATAACATAGAGATAACTTGTCAATGCCACCTTTAAAAAAAAACCCTTACCAGGGAAACAACCAGGGGTCCAACTTATGGGACTCTCAGATGAAACCTGAAATTCAGTTAATCATAGTCTCAATCAGAAATACAAATTAGCAATAAGGTCAATAAGTAAAAGAATGTATCAAATTAAAACAATGAGGTTATACTGTTGAATCTATTTGACCGCAGAAAACCATATAAAGCTAGTGATAAAAAATATTGGATATGCTCCATTCAATTGTAAGCACACTATTATTTCTACCTTGTAGGGGGTTCAAGATACTATGCAATCAACTTAAGAAATTATCGCGGTGTATTAACGATGTTGTATTGAATCAAGACTATTATTTTCTATCCGAATATCGGATAAAAGAAATATTGCCTTGGGTTAAGTTCGTTTGGAATAGTATGATTCTGCAGATAAGACAGCATGAAGTTGATTTTACAGGTAGTATTTCAATTTCTGGTTTTAATACCTTACCTCCACACAGCCATTGTTAACCTCATTAGCTAACGATTTATTAGTTGTTAATATCGATCACTACGATTTTTCCTCAATTTCAAACTCAAATAGCCTTATATAAACGAGAGTTGTCCAAATTGGCGGAAATGCATTAAGAGAGTGCCTATTTCCGTTTTTGGTGAGCAAATACCTTGATAAAATTGGTTGTAACAGTTGACCATCAACCTCTCCAATTTCTGAAATAGGTGAATATACTTGGAATCCGCAGATATCGCTAGAATGGGTTGTGATAAACCAGTGCCGTAGAATTTACCTACCCCTACAGAGCCTTATAGAAAGCATTATGTACCAGTGATTACCTGATGGGGATCTAGGTGAGGAGATTAACGACTATCCGTGTTTGCATTATGTCATTATATCGAATAGCCATTACAACAGTACAAGGGATATCTGGCCGTTTTACTGTTGAACCAAATTATTAGGACCATAAATGAAAGTATTACCATAATTTCTTCATTTAGCTAGTTCTTTCTATAACGGGATCGATCGCTCGGTATCACTCGTACGATATTATCCTGCAACTGTTATTAAAGGAACAAGGCTTGGTTTGCAAATAAAAAAAAAAAATAAATCTGGCGTAAAAATTGCACGGCATATGGCTAATTTGTAACACAGTGGTGTGGACAGACAGGAAAGACAAGCCACCAGATCCTTCTTTACTTCTTAGCTCTACTTCTATAAATACCACTTTATTATAAACTAAATAAAAACGTTGTTTAATTTAGCAGATTACACAAATTCTCTGTCTAATTTCAATCAAATCACAAAGTCCAACATTGTACCTTCTTTTAAAAATTTTTTCTAGGAACTGATCTTATCTAGTTGTCGATTTCCTAATTGGGAAAGTTTCTTCTACCGTCAGTTAGTTTTTCTGTTACGTGGGGCAAAGCAAAGTAGCAACCAAATCCGAAAAAAGGAAACACCTAAACACTATAACTAACTATTGGCCACATTGCATAACCACGCAATAAATCATGTGGTTGATTACGTTTTTGTCCATATATATATTTGGAGGTATAACCTTCATTCCTGGATTGATTATATTGGTACTATACCTTCATCCAATATACAAGAATGACAAACAAGACCGAGAAGAAACCAAGCCTTTGAAAGCAGGTGAAATTGAAGAATCAAACCAATCAGGGCTTGAAAGCTATAAAGCAGGTTGGATATTCGTTACTCGTGATTATATTGATTCACCTGATCAAATTAATCTGAATACTCAACCAATAACTGAATCAAATGACAATAAATCGGCTTATAGTTCGTTATATAAGTTGGTTAGTGACGATGCAACAACCCTGATGTTGAGCAATAACTCACAATCCACCGATGTCGATGACTTGTCAATTAATGAGTCCAAGGAGACTTTAGTTCAGCCTGCAGCGCCACCTGCTTCGAGTGCTACCACCACCACCACCACCACTACCACACAGCAAAACATACGTTCTTCACAACGAAGACATAGATATTATGCCGTGTTAAAACACGGAAACTTGTTCTTGTACAAAGATGAAACCTTAAAGGATGTTAAACACGTTATTGTTTTATCTAGCTACTTCGTTACGATTTACCCCCGAGAATTATCCGACGCCCAGTTTTTCACAAAGTATTCCGCAATTGCCTTGATCAACCCAAATAAATTAATACTTACTAATGATGTTGATACTGCCACTCCACCAAAGGGGTCATTTTTCATATATTGCGATATTAATTCAGATAAGGAAGACTGGTATTTTGCCTTGATTAGGGCTACTAAACACAATAGTGAATTACCGGATCTGTTAAATCCAAGCACCTTTGCCAAGACTTTACATTTTAATACCAAGGATATGATAAATCTTATCCAGACATTATATAGCTCGGAAGGTCAGTTGCAAACAAAATGGCTTAATGCGATTATTGGAAGGCTTTTCCTCGGATTGAACGGAACCAAGGTGATGGAAGATTATATTCGAACTAAATTAAGTAAGAAATTAAACAAGATTAAGACTCCAGGATTCTTGGATAAATTCCAAATTAAAGAAATATCGCCAGGTCATTCGGCTCCATTCATTACATATCCTAATTTACAAGAGATTAACCCTGATGGTACAATTGTCGTGTCAGCATATGTATCATACACGGGAGGGTTATCAGTCACTATATCAACCAAAGTTAATATTAACTTGGGAGCAAAATTCACAAACCGGGAGGTTGATATTTTATTAAGAGTTACCCTCAATAGATTTGAAGGACCAATTTTAATTAAGATTAAACCTCAACCTTCGGCAAGAGTTTGGTATACTTACAAGACTGAACCAATCATGAATATTAACATTGAACCAGTTATTAGTGCTCGTCAAGTTTCGTACAATATAGTCACAAATTATATGGAAAAGAAACTTAAGGAAGCCATCAGGGATAGTTTGGTCTTACCTCATTGGGATGATATCGTATTCTTTGAAACTACGGAGGAATTATATCGTGGAGGAATATGGGACCCAGCTGCCTCGGCGCCTTCACCCCCTGAAACACCAACTGACCAAAGTTCAGAATCAACACCTAGTAGATCAGAAGAAGCAAGTATTGATAGAGATTTAGACGATGATGTTGAAACAAAATCAGAACTATCTGTTAAATTAGCCAATCAAAAAATGAAACTTACAAACACATTAACTGACATTTCTAAACGAATGAAAAAGAAGGCTTCTTCTAGTAACGTGAATGTCATTTCTTCTGAGGAGTGCCAAACTACAATAGCAGTTCGTGCATCACCAGCTTTGAGCACACTCAAGAAGATCGGTAAATGGTATTTCAAAGACGAAAAACAACAGCGGGACGAGAGTTATACACCTCCAGAAATGATTCTGAACAGAAGACCACCAAGGAAATCTTCAAGTGTATCAACGACAACACCTCCAAATGGCTTTGATTCCAAATTTTCTGAACATCCATCACCTTCCTATGATTTTGGGAAGTTAAACCACGAACGTGATGTTCACTCGTTAACTACGAGTTCATGGCCCGATAATATTTCCGTGATGTCTGGTGACGAAGTTTCTATCAAAAGCGGCCTTTTAGTAAGTGAACCAACCGTAGGGTTAACTCAACCATTAACTCCGAGATCTCATAAATCGATAAGGAAACCACCATCTTCGCCACCGCCTCCATTACCTGAAGATTTATCCAAGGAAGCCACGCCGAAATGTGAAGATGTCCCCACCACAATTGAAGATATATCCATCCCAAGATCTGAAGATATTTCTTCTCCGCAGACCATAAATGGTCAACCTCTTGTACCTAGCGAAAACAACGGGAAGAGTTCACCAGTTACAAACAATACTATATAGATTTTTATTTAGGTATACTTTTCATATCCACGAAAAAAAAATTTGTTCTTTTAAGTAACATCTAACATCGTGCAATTTCGCAACTTTCATTCTCTAGATTATACTAGCATTTAACGTCTATAGGGAATTCACACGCAGGTTGTAATATATGTCTATCTGTACAATAGTGTATCTGCCTGTCTAATCATGCATCTTTTTGTCTAGTAATATATGTACAACTTATCAAGATGCAATGGAAAAAAAAAATGAATATTCTCAGGTTTTTAAGGGGAGGGGGGGTATAATTAGAAGGCACAATTACAACAGTCACGCATGTAATATATTACATCAGTCACGTCATTATGTAATCTATGTTTTTCATACCAGAAATCAAGAATATGCAAACATAAGTACATCTCTATATACCCTTTCCTTTTTGGATAAATTACATTTTAAATTATGGTGCAGTAGTATGCATGTCTAGCAACTCTGTTATAATTATGGTTGCTATAATTATCAGGCAGTTTGGAAATGATCGATTGTATTTGAGGAAGAATGAAAAGCTCTAGTTTAAACATAGCAAAATTTCTTATTGTTTTCCATTAGGAATTGAAGGAGCTATACATCATGAAGTTATCAAGTGAGAAACTCGATTCAACTTTACAACAAGTATTACCAGTTTATGTACTACCCGAAACCATGGAGCGACCCACATCACAAAAACTACTAACATATGAAAAATCACAGGAATCATTATTACCTGAAAAATCTGATGGTGTCCCACATAGCGACAAATGGTACCAGAATTGGAACTGGAATTGGACCTTATGGGATGACTATTTCCAAGTAGAAACCTTCTTAGTAGCCATTTTTACGTGGATTACCTTATGCATTTTTCTGATAGAAACACCAGTTGGAGAACACTACCAGTTTCTGTTCAATATAAACTTTGACATGGAATCATTTGACAGAACCATTGAATCGATTCAACTGATTTTACGCACACTATCCGTATCGCTTTCTAAATCTCAATTAAAGCAGATTTTAATGGATATCAATCACAATTGGTTTAGTTATACTACAAACCAATTTTCAAGATCTTTCAACAATGGAGTAATAATCAATTGGAATTACAAACAAGGTCCCAATATAATTTTAAGTTTGTTGCAAGTTTTTAGTGATGAGGCAAATTACGCTTTTAATGAGCCGTTCAGCAGCAAGTATCTTGAAACAATTAAACAAATGTGCGATGATCCTTATAAGTTTAATTTAAGCAAATTGTCCCATTATGATGTATGTCAATTACATAAGATCAACAGTGAAGGAACTTTAATCTATCATTTTGGAACAATTTATCGCTACTTGGTGTTCATCCTATTGGGAATATTGATGTTTGAACAAATGGTGGCTATCTTTAAGTTTCCCATCAGTGAAGTTGTATTCATCAAGAAAATTGTCTTGGGAGTTATTCAGTCAGTGTTACTCTTTTTTTATTACAAATGGAATGTAATGAATGCTCTACTTCAGGATTTCTTAAAGATAAATACAATTGGAATTTTACAAATGAATCATGGGATATTCATATTAGCTATTGTTTGCTTGCAACTAACTACCTATTGGGTTTTCCAGAGTGAGTTGATCAGATTGAGAAATACTCAAAAGGAATTTCCTGTATCTGCTAATATTAGAGCCTTGCAAATCTGGGGATTGTGTGCTTTCGCAGTTTGTGGAGTAGTACCTTTAATAGTCTTAATTTTTATATATTAAATGGACTTATAACCAAGATGTGCTCTATTGTTACTTCTTTTTTTTTGCCACAAAGCTAACCCTTCTTCTAACCTGATTGACCCCTAAGATATGGTTCTACAAATATTTATTCCATCGTTAGTTAATCTAATAACTCTATAACACACACTGTATTGTATTACACATATGCTGACCAACCAGCGTACATCTGTGCTAAAGTTTCCAAAGATGTAGCTTCCTGGATTAAAACATCAACCTGACCATGAATATTCATTGGTAATCCATCATTACCTGTCAACCCCCTAATCTTTCTTCTAACTTTACTTAAATGAATACCTGGTTTTTGACCATTTTTCCAATCTAATAAAGGATCATATAATAAAGTTTCCAAGATATTCATCAATGGTGGCTCATGTTGTCTCAATAATTTAGCAGTTACTTCACATGAAATCCTAAAGTTTCCTTCTATCCCACATATACCCATCGCATCAATAACATTTTGAGTCAATCTAAATGGTACTAATTCCGGACATGGTAATGTTTTACCCTTTTCGAATAAGCAATCAAAATCAATATGTAAAACAGCCCCGGTCTTTTTGAATAACAATATATTTTCACAATGTCTATCACCTAAACCAATAATATATCCTACCATTGACATAACTGCTGTTGATCGAGTGAATGAGTTTCTTGAAATATACCAGGATGTTGGGTCAGTAAAATTTTCAATAAACCAATTATGCAATACTGGTGGATGATCCTTGACTATATGAGTAAAAGTGGAAACTAAATCATGCATTGCTTTATTACTAGTGTCACTACTCCTCTTACTTGCCTTTACTAATCTTTGAGCCTCGTCAATCTTCATAAATACTTTACGTTCTTGTAAATGTTTACCCATTCGTTTCATCTGTTCATGATAAACAGCCTTTATAGTCTGCACATCATTAACAAACTCGATAACCCCAATGTTTTCAGCTAGTGGGATGACGCAATAATTAGGAATACTCAATCTTCTCTTCCTTGCTTCGTTACTTGAAAGTAAAATCCTATTAACCATGGTGGTGAATTCCACTACCTTTGCATCTTTTCGTGTATCATCTGATTTAACCATTAGTTTATAAGAATTTGAATCTGAACCTCTAATTGTAATTTGTCTTGGCATTTGTAATGAATGGAAAATGTTTACCAAATCCTCACATCCATTGAATGTCACTGTATTTGCTTTAGGGAAAGCGGTGAACCTCTTAGTGTTTTCATTTGGTAGTCTAATTTCAAGATTTGAACCTACTGGAATGACCAAACCTTGATATGTATCATTCAAATACAGAATCTTAAAGTCTCTCAGCAATGACATCTTTCTAGTTCTGACAGACTTGCTTATCTTGAACTGGGCAAGTTTTATTAACCCAGAGAATAATTCATTAGCATCCTGAATAGTTACTCCCAATTCCGACTTAGCCAAAGTCACTTTTTGTAAAATTGATTCAATTCGCAGTTTACGTTTGGAATCACTTGATTTAGCATGGGATAATACATACCATAAACTTTGCCGAGGATAATCCTTAATTATATTACCAACAATTACTGCTAGTCTTTCATATGATTCTGTATGATCATGGGTTATACGGGACAATATTTGAGTTATTGCAGTATACCAAGTGTAATTTGGAACAGTCTCAGTAGCCTTCTTGATATCTTCTACTATTTGATTAAGTTTTCTTTGAGCTTCAGAACTTCTACTCTTCAGTGCGAAATCAAGCCAAATTGTGACAAGTTTAGGTAATGCTTCAAACACAAATGAATTTCCCACAGAAAGCGATTTTATGAAATGTCTAATTATCTGTTGTTCATAGTATCCAGTGGCATCCTTTGAAGATTCCATAATCTTGTTATAATACTTCCCTAGGTCATAATAAGATGTTTCCCACAATGAGTTGAGGGTAATTGCTTGATTATATTCATGGATAATTTCACTTGTCGATAAATGATTGGATTCATCTAACCAATTGGCATATTGAAGTTGTGTGCTAGCACTCATATTACCCAGTTTTATGATTTCAGAAAGTAATTTGATTGCTTCAGCCTGATTTCCTTGAGACCATAATAAATTTGCATATTCAATATTGGCCGAACCCTGTTCAAATCTCATGGCTTGTATAATAGTCCTTGTTGATATATCCAACCGATTGTTCTTTCTTGCAAGTTGTGACATATAAAGTAAATTATCTGAAACTTTTGTGTTACTGTCAAATACCTTGTTACCCACATTGTGCAAGGTTAATATCTTGTATTGTACATCAAAATCTTGATCAACATTGTCTAACCTTGATTTCAACTTACTTTCTTCTTCTCCCGCCACAATCAATGTCAAATCATATAAGGCATGTAATTGATTCATAAGACCAATATTCCTATTAAAGCTTGAAGATGTAGAAGGGACAAGTGAATTACCGACAAATGAATAAATATGGTCAACCGACTTGTTAAATTCCAGTTCATTCTTTCGATGTAAGAACAGCAACGCTTTTGATAACTCATAATTGATAATCAGTTCCGTGTCTTGTGCATTTCCAATTGAATCTGAAATTTGCAACCACTTCTCAAGTTGTTCAAAGTTGCCTGAATATGCAGCTGAGCATAATCCAACCAATGCCCAATCCAAGGGAATACTCGTCAAGTCCTGTGAATTAGTTCTCGAAGAAAGAGTTAATAATACATCGTCATACAAACCATGATCATGTAACGACTCCAATAACTTAGTTGTATCATCCAACACTTTAAATGATTCGTGAGCTAGACTCCAATTATCACTGTATTGGAACGTGTTCAACTTTTCTTGTAAATTACTTGTGGAAAATTTCTTTAGTACCCCATTCAATGCATCATAGTCATTGATCTGAGAATACATTGATTGCAAAGTAGTTGCAATATTCAAGTCTCCTAAATCTTTTTCTTCTCTATAACACTTCTCCAAGTATAAGATTGTCCTTTCATATGAATCACATTGAGCAGATTTTATAGCAATCAAATCCATAGGAATAGATTCTAGGAACTTGTTTACCAAAGTTAATTGTCTTTTTAATAACGTAAGATCTCCGGCTGTGAATGTAAGATATTGGGTAGTTTGAGAAACCCACTCACCAAAATAATCCAAAACTGAAAACATAGCCTGACAGCATAATCGTAACAGTTCAATTCTATCGGGAGAACCACCATTGATATCAACATTAAGCAAATGTAAAAACTCCTTCTTTAAATCTTCAATTGCAGTATTGTTTATAATATGACTCAATGCAATATACTTTAAGACATACTGGCAGATTTCAATATCTTGATCTCTAACTAGCATTGAGCATGTTTGAAAGATGACTGACTTATCTGAGTCCCCTTCTGTTGGTCGATTAAGTAAGTTCAATGTGATATCAACTAACCAAGTTTCATATTTCATTCCAAGTTTAAAATAAGGAAATTGAATAGGAGTGTACTTTGTATTTGGTGCCACGTATTTTGAGTTTAACAAGGGTGTCAATGTTGATTTTGCAATATCACTAAACCTATCCCATGTGCCAATTTCTGGCAAATCTTGCTCTAGTATTTTGGGAGTTAATTTCATAACTTGAAGAAACTTCTGCATTGCATAAGCACTGAATAATTGCTTACTTGGGTCATTTGAAGACCAAAACATTTTCACAATCTTTGTCTCTATGAAATCAATTAAAAAGTCAGTATTCTCTTGATAGTCATTGAAATCGTGTATAATCACCAACAGTTGCTTAATACGTTTAAAGTTGAACTTATTCGAATCTAAAGCACCTATTATACCAAGAACTTTTGCGCATTCACTAGAAACTTTCTTGAACTTATAGCTTGTATCTAAAATGGTTTGAATAAGCTTAGTAATGGCCAGCGTAAGAGTGACATCTTTGAAATATTCACTCTGGCATATATGCTGATATTTTTCAATGTAATTGGTTAAGTCAAATAAAGCTTGTTTAACAACGTATTCATTAGATGTTTCCAATCTTCTGGTGAACTCAGATAATATGTCAAGTATACTCAACAGCTTTTTCTTAAACTGAATCAATGGAGTAAAATCATAATCTTGAAATGGGAGTGACAAATAATACAAGGTGTAACTCTTGTAACTATCCTTTATTTCATGGTAAATCTTAGTTAATATAGCAATAGATAATTTCCTGGATCTATCACTAAATGTTTTGAACTTTTGGAAAATCAAAGATATAATTATATCAATTAATGAAATCAACTGGGAACTAGGTAATCTCTTAACTAATTCATTCCAACACCTTAGGGCCAAGTACTTGAATTCTTCACTGTCATTTTCTAAAGTTGCTTGCAAACAAGTGGAAATTTGGCCCAAAGCAGTAGCAACAGCTGATATACTGGTAGTTATGATATATTCAATCGCTTGTAATGAACATTTCTTTTCTAAATATGGTTTAGTTCCTCTAATATGATGAACGTTTTCATGAAATTTCTGGACAAGCTCAAGAATGTATTCACTTAGCAAATATTCAATATGTTTGATACCGCCATCTAAAGCCACTCTCCTTTGTTGCATAGCTATTTTTGCAATATATTTCAAGGCTGAATTAATCTGGGCAACATTAGTTATAGTCTCACCCTCACTCTGTATGTTTAATAAGACATACCAAGTAATATCACCAATTTTTGACATTAATTCCGGTAGTTTTAAGATCTTAAACTTTGGACAGACATTAGTTAAAACATTCATTATATACTTTTCATTAGCACCTTTAGTCAAATAGTACGCAATTATTCTAGACTTGTTCTTACTTATTAACTCCCACTTGGTCAAATTTGCAGCATTGGCTATTTCTTCAATAAAATCATACTTGTAATACTCCAATAATCTTGGGATTGAATGTTCTTTATGCCTTGATAAAAAGTAGCTCTTACTAACTCCCAGCAATTCAATTATCTTTGTGAATATAGCCAGGTTTATAACTACGGTATCGGAAATGCTTGGTATATACGGAGCAAGCAACTTTTGAGGGGTTAACTTTTTAGCACTGGCGATACTAATTATCCCATTATATACGTAATTAACATGTTGATCATTAGGTAATGCAAACAATGAAATTAGTTTCACCAATAAATTAAATAACCAATCATCTGAACTTATAATGGATAACTCAACCAACGCCTTTATGCTTGATTCACCAAGATGTCGATTATGTGAACTTGTTAAATCAATAGACGATATTTTGGTTAGTATGACCTTAAAACATTCATCGTCTTTATTAGCTTTGATTAAGTATAATGGAAATATTCGGGTTATCAACATTCGTACGTCTCTATTAATGTGGGTTAGCTGTTGAATCAAGAATGAAAATAATTGATCTTGTTCTTGTGGTGGTGAATAACTGGCAAATAAATTAAAAACAAGTATTAAAAAATTGGTACATAACAAAGCATTCTTCTCAAGTCTGTTTACATTGTTCCGTATGAAATATTTCAATATGATATCCTTATAAAATTTTGAAATTTCCCCTTCAGTTACACTTGATCTATTCGGATCAATTACATCATAGTAGTTCTTTGTTAATGGACCATTTCCACATTTAGTACACTCTTTTAATACATAATTATAGTCATTGTTTAAAACACACGGAAAATGACCCAATGCAGTAATGAGCGAATACATTGTGTAATCCGGATTCAAATAATGATATTTCAAATCGTCGGTAGTTAATTTCTTGATGTAGTTAAGCCAATCACTAGTCAGGAAAGAGTTCGGTGTAAGAGAGAGAGAAGATGTCTTCCTCTTAGCCCTATTTTTGTATCTTAAACTTGGATCTTCTATAATTATGTCAAATAGTTCATACAAGTGTTTCAAGTAGTTATTATTATCCAAAGTGGTAATCTTTAATCGTAAGCTCTCCAATATGGGATCTTCAAAAGAAGTTGCAATTTCTTCGTTCAAGCTGGATGTTTGGTACATATTGATTATATCTGTATTGTTTTCATTCAAATGATGGTGATATTTTATAATATGTAAACTCTTTGAAATCACTTTAGGAATATCCTTCAGTAGCAAACTCTGAAAATTCATATAATTGTAAAAATTTTCAAGCACGCCTTTTTCCCAGCATAAACAATAAACTTTTAGTAATGATAAGCTGATTGTGCTATTCACAGTCTCGTCTGGTACATTAGAATTGAGATATTCCATTATCCAACTTAATAAAAGACATATTTGTTCCCAAGTTACCACCTCATTACACATTAAATTATTAGTCTGGTTTAATAACAATATTGATTTCAAGTCATGATATGTAGTATCAGTTACGATATACCATAATTTCCTGGCAAAACTTGTGAGTTTCAATTGATAACTTTGTGAATTAATAAGTAGGGTCTGTGAAATATCAAAGTCGTTTACTATTGAAAATAAATGGGTGGCTAGCACTAATTCGTTGTGGATATTCTCTTGTTTAAAACAATGATTCAAATTCTTGTCCAAAATATCTAACAAGCTCTTTCTTAATAGTTTTATAAATTTAAAGTTATGAAGTTTGGTACAAACTAAGTTTATAATGTAGATAATGAAAGACTTCAACTTATTCGATATCTCCGCTTTGGAGCTTGCAAGATGCGACAATGCAAAGGAAATTGACCACTCATACAACAAAGGCTGTTCTAAGTCAGGCACATAAATCAGTTCATAGTCTTTATACTCTAATTGGACATTAAGCAAGTGAAGTTTCCGGGATAAAACCAATTCTAATATGTTAAATAATCTGATGACTATGTCTTCTTCGTCAGTGAGCAATCTTTCGTTAAGGAATGTAAACAAATACAAAGTTAATTTCTTGAAATCAGCTGATTCATCGTCAACATTTCTTTCCACATCATCAAGGAATTGTGATAATTCAGAAGAACTGATTCTAGTAGTCATATCATAGTCTGTTACTTCTTACTGGTTAGGTCCTGTACTCGTATTTTTTTATACGCGTTCTTCTTTTTTTTTAACTATTGATCTGTACTTGTATCTGGTAGCGCATGCAAGATAACCTGCGCTACCGATTGGAAGCTACATGCTAATATAGCATTTTGACTTGGACCTGTATTTCTTAATCGCTTTTGAAAGGGATGGAGGCTATGGTAGCAAGATATGATGGAAACGGCTCCAACTGAGTTTGTAGAATTCAAATGGCAATATTAAGCTATATTAGGTAATCTAACTCTAATAAAAAAAATCACACGAGAATCCCGGCCTTGAGACCTTAGTGGTAATGCTATTTATACCGTTGCGTGAGATGAGGTTCAGATGTCAAGAAGCAGGTGCGACCAAAATATCCTTCAAAACTCAAAAAACTGTATTGTGTTGTCATCACAAATATTTGTTGTCATTACAGGTCCTGCATTGACTTGCATCTAGTACCGCTATTGCCTCCCCCTTTCATAAATTGTTAAGCTCTGATTTTCCCTCTCTATTTTCAAGGGAAAGAATAAACCAGATATGAGGCGCTTTCCGGCTTGTCTAACTCTCTGGTTAGAACTTTAGTTGTGATTTCCTCGCTTTAATAAGGAGTTTATATTTACAAAAAAATGCTGCAAAAATCATACAGACGATTGCATAATCTTACGTATTCTTATTGTCACGTCCAATTGGAAACCAGTCAAGAATGACAACTAGGCACTTATTCTATCGATGTATGATTGACATTCGTCCTAGTCAGGCTACAATCGCTACTAAGGGCCATGTTTCTGTATGGTCTAAATTTAGAATACAAGGTCTATTGTTACATGCAGCCAACATACGTACTGTTGCCCCTCTCTCCCCTTTACCAAAGTTTATTAATGTGTATTTGGATATCTTATATCTAGTGCAAGTACTGTACCATATACTCTATATAATGCGATGATGTTTGTCGTACTAGTGGTGCAGATGTTCGACAAGTCAAGTCAATTCCTTTTCAGTTAAACACCACCTTTGCATAAGTAAACAAGATAGACACTGCTGTCAAATTTAAACTCGTTGCTATCCGTTTACTGTCCATAATTTATTGGTCGTTTAAACAACAAAATGTGAGGTTCAGGAGCATGGGTCTCGTAGTGTTCCCACCCTAAACTTTGAGTAATGCCCAATCCTCTCCATTCTTCTTCCAATAATATTCTTAAAGTACCTGTTTCACTATTGAAGTAATCTTGTGGTATAACTTTAAGCATATTCTTGGGTAACATTACATGTCTATATTCATGGGTGTCGTCATTATACCTTGGGCTATAATGAATCATATCTTGAAACTCCAATACTTTTGCTCGTTCTGAGTCGGTTAAATATCTAGGTTTGGTCATTATTTCTATATGGTTGAAACGCGTCTATGGCTCCCAAGGGATAGTTCGGTCGTGTAGAAATTAACGGTTTTCGGTTCAATAGAAATTTTTCCATTGGCATTTTTTTTTTCCCTGCTTTAGTTTGCGCAACAATTGGAAAACGAAAATCAACTGCGCAATTTCTACCCCAGCTGCATCTCACCATTTTATAACACCACATGGGACGTCAGTTTCAAACCACATCTACAACCATTTGCTTCTTTTAAACATCTCTAAATATTCCATATGATAGTGTAACACCTTATCATGTCAAAACACAACGGATTAATAATAAGAGGATCCGATTTGGAGAATCTTGATAAGAGATATGCCACATTCACTCAGAAATTTAAACTACTTTATTTGATAGACGATGCTCCCGACAATTTGGCCCCAATAATAGACTTCTTACAAGATAAGGATCCTAATTGGAACAAGTACACAATTATACAGTCGAACAACTTACTTAGAACCGATATAGAGTATGTGGTGGACTTCAATCACTTGGTCACCCTTGATATCACCACTTTAACAAACCACCTTTATATCCTCCTCACTTTAGACGTCATAAACTCGGACATAGCCTGGAAACAATTTCATCAAGTTAAGCATGTCCTTCAAACAAACGATACTCCGTTCTCCCTTGCATTGGAAGTTAATGATACTAAATTAGATGTAGAAAAATTGCATTTTTGGTTAACTGAAACAATATCATTTGTATCGTTCCCAGCTACATTTACTGCCCTGCCGGATTCCATTTTCAAACTTTTCCAGGAGAAAAGTATCCCTGTACCTTTGTTAATCCTAGAAAACGAACGATCATATGAAAACTTCTTGTACTTGAAGAACACGTGCAAACCGCTTTCACAATATTATTTACAACCTTTACAACCATTGGTGGAGGATTTGCTGTTGGGAATATATAAACAATTTGAATTGGATAAAGTGAAATATGATCAGTATCAACAGGCTTTCGAACTAGCTATATCCGATTTATCCGCGCTCAACCTTGACAAGATTAAAATCTTAATAATTGGACCTGGCAATGGGAAGTTATTGATTAAATTATGGGAACTTGTCAAAAAGTCGATTGATAAATTCCATATAGTGGCCATTGAGAAGAATCCAATTTGTTTACCCACATTACGAGAGAAGAATGTTAAACTTTGGGATTGCAAAATTGAAATAATTGATCATGACATACGTGACATTAAATGTGCAGATTATAACTTGATCATTTCGGAATTAATGGGATCGTTTGGTGATAATGAATTGTGTCCAGAAATCCTAGCGCAATTTGACAAACCGAGACCAGACTTGATAATGATACCCAGTAGCTACACATCATACATTCAACCGGTATATACCCCGTTCAAAATTAAAACAATCTCCTTGATCAAGCTTAGTAACTACTATGCTTTGGGTGAAGAACAACAATTATGGGAATGGGAGCATCCCGGAGACTTCCAACCAAATAGAATCGCCAAATTATCATTTCCTAACAAGAAAGGATATAAAGTATCTGGTTTTCTAGGATGGTTTACCTGCACATTATATGGACATATAAACATTCAAATTCATTCTCCCCTGTTATCGACATATTGTAAGTCTTGGTATCCAATATATTTTCCTGTTCATAGAACAAAAGTGAAGCCTGATCATAATATTCATTTAGAATTTAAACGGATCAACAATGGTGAAAATGTTTGGTATGAATACACTTTTCATGGTAAGGTTTATAACGAAAATGGGGTAGATTATTGTATGAAATTATTAGATAATCAATAAACATTTTTATCGCATAGGTGATTTATCTCTGTTGTAATTGGTTGGTCTGTGTGAACTGCTAGGTCTATAGCTGTCTTTTTCTGTTCTGTGCCTTTTGTGACCCCTTTCAGTGTCTATGTCACGACTAGATCTGTACCTTTCTGAATCTCTATCTGGTCTATGTCTAGTTCTATCTGGGGTTCGCTCACGTTCATCCTCATACCTATCTCTGTGTCTGGATGTCTCTGAATGTCTTTCACGGTCAGATCTGTGTCTATGCCTATGGGAATCCAGGTGTTTTCTTGATGAGTGATGATCTAAATTTTTCAGTTTATCATCGTGCTTCTTCTGGTTCATTCGTTGTAACTGCTGTTGTTGCTTGATTCTGAGCAAAGGGTCATCGCTCAAGTCACTACTACCACTTGGTTTACTTATTCCCACACCGATAACTTTATTCAATCTGTCACTTGAACTACTCTGTATTGTCCTCTTAAATGAATGATTGCCCTTTAACAAATTCTCGACTTTGGATTTACCTTCAGTAAACTCATTACTACTTTCAATGAAGCCAGCATCATTCTTAACCTCCTCTTCTTTTTCTTCGAATGGAACATCCTCATACATCCAGTTCAACTTACTCAACTTTAACCTTTCAGGCTTCTTTAAATCTTCAAGCTTGAAGTTGTCACCATATTGTAACTTCAAAAGGTTAAGATAGTCTTGTTCTTGTTCGTACTCCTGATTCTTTTGTTTGATCTTTTGTAGTTCTTGCAATTTAGCCTGCTCTTGATCCCATACCTTCTTTTGGTTTTTTACAAGAGCTGGATTCCATGATTTCTTAAGGTTTAAATCACCAGCCATCGTGTATCGCTTCGTATATGTAGTTGAGAATGGCAACAGACGTTATTTTAAAATAAAATAAAAATGGCAACCAAAAAAAAAAATAATTTGGTGATGCTGTTTACATGAAATTACATTTAGACACTCGGAACCGAAAGAAATACACGGAATCACGATCACATCAATCAGATGTATTTACTAAAACAATAGAGAAAAACTATATAATGGGAAACAATATATAACTCTGAAAGTTCTGCTACTGCCTTGCGCAAGGTAAGCAGGAACCTTTCCCTAGATTCAAAAACAAAAAAAGAACAAAGATATAACAAAAACAACTAGCATGTTTTCAGTCTTGTCTACTATGCCTTCAAATCAAAAGCGCACTCAAATAGACAAAACCAAAATGGTATCTGCTCCAAGCATTTCGCTTAGAAACCATGAATCTTGATATTCTTTTTTGGTAATTGTAATTGAGTGGTTAAGAATTCACTAACTTTAACTCTTTGATCACCTTGCAATTGGATAACTTCACCTAATTCGTCATCCTTAACAATGTTACCATTACAAGCAAAATCTTTCTTTAAAACCTTTAAAATTTTCTTTAAATCATATTCATTTGGAACACCTTGAACTGTAGTTAAAGTCTTTCTACCATTACGTTGTTGGATTCTAATATGAATGTAATTTGTTGGTTGAGCTTCTGAATCACCAGTATCGGCGAATGGATCAAATGCAGTTAAGTTTTGGATAGTTGACATATAATAGGGGTTGGGTGTCTCAAAAATGTATTTCTTTCTCTTTCCGGTGTTGTTCTTAAAATAGTTACTTGTAGCTAGTACCTGTTGCTTAAAGTATAATAGTGTTAAAACTATTAATTCGAACTTATTTAGATGTGTTTCCACAAGGAAAAGGAAGGAGAAACAAATTAATAACTCAAAAGAAAAAGAAAGAAAAAAAAAATTGCTGACCGCTGCTGATTGTTTGTTTGTGAGCGTGTGTGGTAGCATCGCCATTTTCTTTTTGGTCGTGTACTTTGGAATAAACTCGTTTCAACCGTTGAACTTTCAGTATGCAGGTAGGGATTTTTAGTTAGCGATATGCTTAGCAGTAACAAAGAGGAATTGTTATGTTTAATGTAGTCAACCCGCGTAGAATGTCTATTTCTGTTTGACTAAAAGATAACAATATTCTTGTCCTGTCTTGGAATCACATTATTTGAACTTAAAGACATATCCGTTTGTTGGCGAGTACTTCCTTGCACGACCAATTTTGAATGATTCCGAGAAAGATTATACTAGAGTAAAAGCCATATATAGTAATAAACTATATTTAGTTCTATGGATAACTTCAACAAATGAGAGTATCATTGTGACAAATTGAAACATTAACGTGGTAGCGCTGTTCGGCTAGTAGTATCGTGATGGTCATCGGGTTGAATACCCCAGGTTCCCTGTAAGGAAATCTAGCATTGCATATTTAGCAGCAAAAATATGCCAGCCGAGTTTTTCGTTTGTGGTGGACTAAACTGCACGGTTGTCTGGTGCACTTAGTGGGGTAGTTTGAGCCCTGAAGTTGAGATCTTGGTCTTTATCACTAACATTTCCTATTTTAGAAATTATATTGTTTAATTGTTACAAGATAATATGTGTCTCGTAACTCTAATTCAAGCACTTCTTCAATTGCTTTATTCCTAAATAGGCTGTTACAGTCGCGAGACCATGATATGACGTACCGCAAAAATCACAATAGATTTAGTTTTAGACTTGGCATGTGAAAATAGTTTCATTTTTGTTGGATTTTCCATACCCAGCTGGCAACGTCATTTATAGAGGAGAGTACTAGTTGAGTGATTCAGAGAATATAGTTGTGTCTCTAGTACATGCCACGAACCATAGATCTACAAAATCAACTACTTTTAGAGGTTAAAACACGTTGATCAACATATCTTTGCTTATGTTAGCCATTCACGTGATTGGCAAAAAAAATTTGGGTAAAGTGAAAAAAAAAAATTTGTTGACTTATGTTCACTATGCGATTTGCTTATAGTTAAAAAAAAACCACGTATAAATATACCAGTGAATAAACTTTTTAATATTAAGCCCCTCACATCAACTCGATTTGTAACTGACTATCAGTCCTGCTTCAAGCTTAGTTATATATATATATAAAAACATTCCTATCTCAGTGGTAAGACCGATTCCCCTTTTATCCGATCAGCAATTGATTCAAAGCAAGTTTGCCATCCTTTCCGCTATACATACATATACAATACGTTAGACAAATAACACTTGCTTACCACTTAATTTTCCAAAAAGCTACTACTCCAACATATTCATATAACATTAGATATAATGGCTCAGAGTTCAAAAAAGGATAACTCGGTTGTCACTGAAAAACCTGACACATCTTCTAAGACCCCATCGATAAATAATGTCAAAAACAGCAAGCCAGAAAAAGAGAGCCTGAAGGTTGTTGTTAATGAAAAGGAAAAGAAGAAGCAAGCATTTATTACCAGAACCATCTGGACCTTCGTTATGATTGGTTTGTTTTTCTTGTTATTATCATCCGGACACTTTGCTCTTATTCTTATGGTGTTGCTTTTCCAAATCTTGACCTTTAAGGAAATTATTGGTTTAGTTTCTGAGCCTGCTAGGGATAAAAAGATCCCTTACAATCGTTCTTTAAATTGGTATTTTGTTGCTGCTACTTGGTACTATCTTGATTTTCCTTCCTTTGTTGATTTTTTTCAAGATTCCATATATTCAAACAAATACTTGACATTATTGGTATTGAACCATAAGTTTATCTGTTATTCCCTTTATATAGCGGGATTTGTTTTCTTTGTGTGGACTTTAAAGAAAGGTTATTACAAGTTTCAATTTGCTCAATTATGTGTTACTCACATGGCATTGTTATTGATTGTTTTCCAAGCTCACTTGATCATATCCAATATCTTGCGAGGTATTATTTGGTTCTTTTTACCAGCAGCATTAGTCATTGTTAATGATGTGTTTGCTTATATCTGTGGAATAACATTTGGTAGAACTCAATTAATTGAAATCAGTCCAAAGAAGACTGTAGAAGGTTTTGTTGGTGCTTGGATTTGTACTGGTATTGCCACTATCATCTTCTCATACATCTTGTCAAGATCTGACTATATGATCTGTCCTGCTCAAAACTTATCCACACATTTATATAACTACCCACACTGTGAACCAAACCCGGTATTTATTCCACACATCTATCAATTGCCTCAAAATATAATTGATTTAACCGGTTGGGAAATTATATCGTTCAGACCATTATACTTCCATACTGCCATCTTAGCTACATTTGCGTCCTTAATTGCTCCATTCGGTGGATTCTTTGCAAGTGGGTTAAAGAGAGCATTTGGTATCAAGGATTTTGGTGATACTATTCCAGGTCATGGTGGTATCACTGATAGATTTGATTGTCAATTCATTATGGGTTCCTTCACTTATTTGTATTATCAAACTTTTATATCCAACAGCAATCTTAATTTGGGTAAGATTTTACAGTTGGCAATTATTAATTTATCTACTCCACAATTGATACAATTGGTCAAGAGTTTAATGAGGTATTTGAATAGAGAACATGTTATTCCTGATGATAATTTAAGTGCTATCTTTGATTTATTAGAAGGTTAACCCTATAGATACCAATGCTCGAATTGAAATATCTTCTTTTTGATGCCGTTTGAATCATACAGTCATATTTACTTCAATAGTATATATTTTTATAAGTCTTTAATTTGTATTGTAATTTTGCAACTGTTAACTATGTGTGTTACTCGTTTAAAAAAAAAAAAATTTTTTTTTCTATGTTGGACAAAAATAACCGATCACGTGCTCTGACTTAGCCAGCCATTTTTGCAACTTGCCATACTTTCCATTTTCATGCATGGAAATATAAGTAGCAATGTTGGTCGTGTAGAATTGAAATTGACGAAGGCTTTTATGTTTGATCATGCAATGTGACGGGCTAATCTACGTAGATCTAAGAAAAGCCACATCGGTGTGCGACGGCATTTCGTGTGATTTCAGATCTGAGCCAGTTGTAGTGTATAGATAATGGAAATTCAAGCCTATCTATCAAACTTGATCTAATGTAACCCTTTGATGTAACATGTAACTCCTCTTTAGAACCTTTGCCACAAATCAAACACAAGCTTCCCTTCAAAATCAAATAAGACATCATTTCTCCAGAGTACAAAATCTAATTTTTGTTAATTTCTAGTAATTCGTCTAGAACATGCCGTCTATCTTACATTTAGACACATCTGGCATTAGTTAGGTTGTCAAACTTAATGCATTAATTAAACCATAAGCCTGCCGATAAACTAATTGATGAATCATGGTTGTATTGCCTAATTGGGATGGTGTTGCACGCACCGTAAATTTTTTGTGCGACTATACGATTTTTTTTTGCAGTAATAAAATATCAAAGGCTGGTTTAAAAAAATAACACTTATGATACCACATCAAGTTATATTATTTAACTTTAGCGAAATGACATATTATCGAGTCACAAGGGGGAATGAATGATCAATGTAAAAAATACAACTGTGAAATTTGATTGCCGTCTATTGTGATCCTGTAATTTTATAACTCTTTTCAATTAATTAACCAGCGATATTGAGTCGGCTGATGATCTGAATTTTGCAGTATATAAAGTGGTGGTGATCCCACCTGTCATTTCAGTTTTAATCATCTACAATAAAAATAACAACTACTTTCTTTAACATACATTCCTTACAAACCTACATTCCACACACTCATTAACACAACATGAATTACATTCTTTCATTTATATTTTTCATTCAGCTTATAACTGCAATTCCACTTCCACAACCACCTGTGGTTGTTGTGACACATTATAGTACAGCACCAACTTTATACAAAACTAAAACTTATATTACTGGAACCACTACAGTTTATTTACCTCCTGTCGGTATCATAATAGATGGTGATAATACTATTACTTCTACATTAACTGAAGCACAATGGAATACTTATCCTTATACCTTTACTTCTGTCGTCCAAAGAGATCAAGTTGATCCTACTCCTACCCCATCTCCTGCCCCTGCTCCTGCTCCTGAACCAACTACTACTACTACCCCCACTCCTCCTGCTCCTGCAGCCGAATCCAGTTCATCTGATCCTGCTCCAAAAACTACTTCGGCCTCAACTGATCCTGTTGCTCAACCAACTCTGAGTTCTGCTGACCCTGCACCTCAAGCTACTCTGTCTACAATTGATCCACCAGCTTCATCATCAAGTTCATCTGCTGCAACTCCAGAATCTAGCTCTGCTGTTACTCCAGAATCTAGTTCTGCTGTTACTCCCGAATCTAGTTCTGCTGCTTCTATTCCATCCTTAAGTTCTGCCGCTCCTAGTTCGTCATCAAGCTCAGCACATTCTGTACCAGAATCATCTGCCAGTTCCACCAGCCAGGCTCCATCAAGTTCTTCCTCTTCAAGTACCACTGACCCAGCCTCACCAAGTACTACCTCCTCGAGTGGCACTAACCCAGCACCAGCTCCATCTGGAACTTCTTTAACTGATGATATTGCACCACCAACTGGTATTGTTTACTCCCCATATGCTAATGATGGAGGATGTAAATCTTCTGATCAAATTGTTGCCGAAATGAAACAAATTGCCAATAAAGGGATCAAAAATATTAGATCATATGGTACTGATTGTCATTCAATTGACGTAATGCTTCCTACAGCTATTGAATTGGGTATGCTGGTTAACCAAGGTGTCTGGATTTCCCAAGATGGAGTTGATTCAATTGATTCTCAAGTTCAACAACTTATTGATTATGGTTCTCAAAACGGATGGGGTGTATTTCAATTCATTACCATCGGAAATGAAGCCATTAATTCCAATTTCTGTACTGTTGACCAGTTAATTAGTAAGATTTCAAGTGTTAAATCACAATTAAGAAAGGCTGGATACAATGGACAAGTCACCACTGCTGAACCACCAATTCAATTTATTCAAAATCCACAATTATGTACTGATTCTGACATTGACATTGTATCAATTAACCCACACTCATACTTCAATGAAAATATCGCCCCTGCTGATGCTGGTGCTTATATTATGGAACAAAAGGGTCAAGTTGTTGATATCTGTTCCGGAAAGCCTGTCGATATTACTGAAACTGGATATCCTTCTCAAGGTATGACCAATGGTGTAAACGTACCAACTCCTCAAAACCAAGATATTGCTATTAAATCCATCATTTCTGCCACTGGCGGTGACTGTACTATTTTAACCGCATTCGATGATTTCTGGAAGGAACCTGGACCATATGGCATTGAACAATCATTTGGTGTATTACAATTATTCCAATAAAAAAAAACTAACTTTCAAAATAATTAGACATCCTTCATTTCTCGTATAGTTAATTTTTTTTTCTTTTATAGTTTTATAGTTTTAATGATATTTATGGTTTCATCATTTGTAACTTTGTCAATAAGATTTCGTTAATGAAAATAAACCCCATTTCTTAAAAGTCAATAACCTTATTAGGGAAAAACTCATCAATCAATTCCAAATAATAAGGTTTCAACTCTTCAATATCATATTGTTGGTCAATTTTGGAATACAAATCATAAGTATTGAAAGCTCTTACAGCTTTCAACATTTCTTTATCATGGTCATCCATTAAATAACTATAAGCATATTCTTGATGCCAAGGGTAGAATGAATGGTATCGTATCATAGCAAGAGCTTCTTGAGGTAAGGTTGAATTATTCTTTGCCACATGATACATATATTCATCATGGCCCCAGCTTAGCATTACTTTATCCAAGCCACAATGTTTGGAATAAATACCGTATTTGGTATTATATAATGGGTTTAAAAAGTCAGGATTCACTTTAAAACTATCGGGGAATATAATCCGTTTCAGGAATTTACACCCTACTGGGAATGTATCACCCACGACATCCCACTGTCCTTTCGAATCAAAGAAATATAATAATTTACCAAGATCGTGAATCAATCCCACTAACTGAAACCATCGTGGTTTCCCGTCTCTTCTTATTGCTTCAGCTGTTTGTATCGCATGATCAATTTGGGAAAGCTCAGTGTCAGGATCAGAGTCGTCAAGTAACTTGTTCAACTTTTCTAACCCTTCCCAAATGGACATTCGTGCTCTAGTCTTGGTTTTGAAATTAATTCTGGCTTGAATATTGTACGCTACTGTTTGTTTCTCGTGTTGTTCTTCATAAAATTGTTTGACCCGGTCACATGCTAAATCATACTGGCGGAAAGCTTTAGTATCGATATTCTTGTAATATTCTGATGCAATATGCCAGTTCTCATTGGCTTCATCTTCCTTTCCACTGTCATGTAGTTCTATTTCTTCTTCAATACTGGGTTGTTTCATAGTTGATGCCCCTCTGAGTCCATGTTGCATTCGGTTGATATTGAGGATTTCATCATCTAACTTTTCGAGTATATGGCCTGCTACTTTGCCTTCCTTGGCAAACACCTCTTCTGCAGAGTCAGTAGGTTTAGTAATGGAGCCCTTGCTTGGTTTCTGAACGGCCATTTGTTATGTTTTTGTAGTTGTTGTTGTTATTCTAATTGTTAGTAGGAGAAGGATTCTTGCAACACTACAGAAAGAAAAAAAAAAAATTTTATATAAGGAGATTCAATCTGTTACAAGTTTTACAACCAAATTTTCTAAAACCAAAACAATTTTTCATTTATACATAAAACTATCTATATTTCTCTGGTAAATGCTACAGGGATATCAAAGCCTAGAAGAGGGCTGCTAACATTAAAAGAGGAATAGTAGTCCAAAGAGCAACTCTGCTTGAATCAGCAACAGCAGCACCTTCATAACTGTAAATTGGGATAGTACCATTACCAGCAGCTGAATAAGCGCCGACAGTTGGTACAGCAGATTCTAAAGTGGAAGTCACTGCGACAGTGACGGTTGAAGTGATATCACCAGAAACGTAGGTTTCGGTTTGCTTGGAAACTTCAACGGATGGTTGGGCAGCTTGGGTAGAACCAACGGCAATAACACCCTTGTTGGTTGGCAAGGCAGCAACAGGAACGGTCTTGGTGATTTCTTGACATTTTTCTTCATGACAAATAGTAGTTACGGTAACAGTGGATGGAGCAACAACAGTGGCGGCACCAGCAGCAGAGCTAGGAGCTTTAGTGACAGTGACATCTTCATTAGTCAATGGACAATAAGTAGTGTACACGGTGTTGACATCGGTAACAATAACGTAACCAGTAGTGACTGGAGTAGCAGAACATTTGTTTTCAGAACATGAAGTGATAGTAATGACAGTGGTGTGGATATCGGAAACAGTTTGGACACTTTGAATGGCACTGGTTGAAGAGTTACCGTAGAATCCAGCACTGGAGCTTGGGGCAGAAGTTGGATCTTCGGAAGTAGTTTCAGCTTCAGTTGAAGTTGGGTCTGCAGAGGTAGTTTCAGCTTCAGTAGAAGTTGGGTCTGCAGAGGTAGTTTCAGCTTCAGTAGAAGTTGGGTCTGCAGAGGAAGTTTCTTCAGTAGAAGAAGTTTCATTACATTCATCAACGTTCAAGTTGTCTAAAACGTCTCTGACTTGGTCAATGTAAGCACCATCTCCATTATAATCTTTGAAGGCACCAGAGGCGTCCCAAAGGGAAACACCAGCAAAGTTGTCATCACACTTAATATCATCAAGAGCAGCAGCTAATTCCTTTGGAGTGACAAATCCAGTGATTGCGTCACTTGGAGCACCTGGAACACCAACAAATAATTGAATGTTTGGATTTGGAGCAGATTCAGCAAATTTTTGCCAAACGTCAAAGTTGAAATCACCAGAAACTTGACAGTTGTTGTTGTAGAATTGGATGAACAAGTAATCGAGAGGAACATCAGAAATTAAGTCGCCGACATAAGTATCAGGGTATGGACATTGTGGAGCAGCAGATAAGTAGTAAGACTTGCTAGAATCTTTAGCAAACTTGGCCTTTAAAGCAGTGGCTAATTCTGGGTAACCAGTTGTAGAGCCTTGTTCGATATCGAAATCAAACCCATCAACAACAGCATCATCGAATGGTCTTTCATCATCGTCACCACCACCAAACTTATTCCATAAAACGTCAGCAAAATCCTTGGCTTCGGTAGTGTTGGCGAAACCGGTTTTTCCGACGGCACCACCAAGGGATAAGAGAACCTTCTTACCTAAACTTTGACAGGTCTTGATGTCTTCACCAATAGCACTACAGTGTAATAAGTCACTGTCTGTGAAAGTACCACCACATTGGTTGGCAAAGTTGACATTCAATGGGTCTGGGAACTGGTTAAGGAAAGACAATAACACGATATCCATGTTGGTATTTTGACAGTAGGTTGCAAGTGGCTCTTGATCGCCAAACCCATTTTGTCCCCAATAGACAGCAATTTGGGAGTCAGCTAAAGCTGTTGCTGTCAATACAGCAGTAGTTATTAAAGTTTTAAATGGTAACATTTTATTATTGTTCTTTTACTAGTTAAGCTTGGTCGATATTTTAAAAGATAGACAATAGTTGGACAAGCAAATTTTAACGAATGACTGTAAAGAACAAAGTTGATGCAAAAGAGGGAAGAAAAATCAAAAGAACAGGAACGTCATTTGAAAAGGTCATTTGGCGCTAGTTTTATAGGAATCAGACACACTAGTGGCAAGGCTTCAAATCTCGAAACTCAAAAAAAAATAAAATAATAATAAATACAAGAAAATTTTAATTTTTAAAATTGTTTTGTTTTTGTTTTATATTTCATTTGAAGCGCCAATATTTACAACCGTGTATGCATAAAAAAATACTTTATTTTTTTAGATAAATTCTCGCATATATATTATTTTACGAATTTTCTGTGTCAAAAGAAAAAAATTATTAGGGTCCTTCTCGTGTACCGTGGTGTATAATGCTGCACATCTGCTTATATATTCTGACATTTTATAAGGTAGTCTGATCTCGAATTTCATATTCCGTCATTAGAATTGATGCATTAGCTAATGAGGTTGTTAGCGGGTCAAATGTTTTTTGATCTGACACTTTAAATATTCTCGTGTCCAGGGCGTTAGCGACCCTTGACGATTTCGATTACTCATAACCCCTATATAAAGTATAAAGTTTTAACAATGCTAACTACTTATTGGAATGTGATAATAGGAAAAAGTTGTGGTTGCATTTCTGGTAATAATTATTTAATTGAATGCGATAATAACATATTGGGGGGGTTACATTCCCCGTCATAATCAATGAGAAAAGTTTTCCTTTTGGGGGAAGTATTGTTCTGTTAATATAATGTAATCTCAATAGCATACGAGTTAACTAGCCACTAAAAGTTGCTCGGTCTTAGTTAACCCACCTTTCCCATTTTGTATGAAGTACAAAACAGTATAATAAATTACCAAAAAGGTTAAATAATAATCACGAAAATTAAAAAAATTTTTGCTTTGCCACAAAAAATATTGTTTTACCAACTTTGGGATGCTCAAAGCCTACAGTAAATTGAATCTATTTGTAAGCCCTTTTGGAAAGACATTATAACTCAAAGGCTTAGATACAGTGGCAAAAGATGACTATGCACTGATTGAAGGGCATGCGTATTTGGTTGTCATTCCAATGATACCCTATAAAATCTTTCCTCCAAGTTTTTAGATCTTCCAAGAAAAAAAAAGCTGCATAGATAGAAAACAATTAAAACCTCTTGGCAGAGTACAAAACAAGAGTGGTGTAAACACTTGTCGTACGACCGGTTACTCGGCATTTCACAACTAATCCTAGGACACATCTTGTCCCTGATTTCCTGAGGAGAAACGCCAACGTGGGTATTCGCTTAAGGAATTCGTCTTACCGATTTAAAATAATTTCTAGGAATAAAGGGGAAGTAATGAGATCAGGTAAATCTTTCGAGTGGCTTTGGAAAGATTTTATCAACAACTTTACATCTCGTATGAGTCAGTCCCGAATTGGAAAGAAATCCTCCAGATGAGAATTATTTTCTAGCATGTATAAAATAATGCACTGTCGAGGTGAAAATTTTTTTCCGCAATTTGATTTAGGGGCATATGTCTATATCTGGACAAATTGTACTTCGGATCAATTCTAGAAAGCCTCAAACCCCATGTAGTATCATCATATCAGGCGGTTTCCTGGCCATGAGCCACTTCACCCCTCAAAGCCTTGAATATAGTGAGTAATAAAGCACGTGGCAAACCCATTAGTAATGTCTAAACACTAACAATTGGACGCGCGCGTTGGAGTAAACATTCGCTTAATTTAACCACTATTTTGTTGTCTGAGCAAAGATCTAAACAATGGGAGTTCGGATTTATTTCATATGGTAATTATTTCGACAGTTATAATTGAAGCGAGCGTGTCGATCCCGATGTGCCCGAGAGCAAAGGTGTAAATAATATCTCAAATGTCACGTATTAGCCAACCATGTCCTTTGCTTCCTTTTGTTGACCGTGACGGAAAACCAAAGGTTCTCAAGTTTGCCGTGAACACAAAATCTATATTTCAGACGCCTGTAATTGTTGCCTCAGGAATATTTTGAAGTGGACTATTGGAAATCTTGCAGTTCTGTAAAGGTGGAAAGGTTATTAGGTCGTTCCTTTATATCTTGATTGTCTAGTTTAGATTTTTCGTGCCTGAATATTATCTCATCGATCTACTCTCTTTTTCTTTGCAATGGAAATATCTCCCGCTTTTCAAAAACGACCAGAACTATAGAACAGCAAAAACGCTCTATAATTAAGGGTCATCTAGGATAAAGTCACACACTATGAAAATGTATGATTTAGGAAGCTGTCTCGAACCAACAATGATAAAATAAACCGGATAGGGTTAAGCTAAAATAATGGCTGCGAAACGATAATATCTTTGTATAATGTTTCGTATCTAATATTGTTCTAGGAACCATACTTACACAAGACATGTTTCGCTTGCCTCAATAAATTAGAAAGCTGGAACAGAATACCAATCAAAATTCAATAATGCCTCTTCCCAAATCACGACAGTTTGTTCGAAATCAAAAGAACCTCTATTCAACTTTTTTATGCCAACAGTTTAATACTTGGGTTTCTTATTTGAGGTAAGATTTGATTAATACAAGTATATGAGGAATGACAAATAGCTATTATTGTCCCTAAAACTACATTCACGACCTTATTATATTTGATAGATTTTAGTAAATCTTCAAAAAGTGTATTTCATTATATTTTTCTTAAGTAAATTAGGCATAAAACTTTATAAATAACGAGGTTTCAATGTATTCTTATAGTTAATTAAATCTCATTTCAGTTAACTAAACTTTTTTTTATTATTTTTATTCAAAAGCAAGCTTCAGCTATAATTTGATCATTTATTGGGTTTTTATAATTTCTTTCATCATTCCGCAAAGTGCCATGTCGTGTAAAGTGGTGAAATATTCTCTTCACCTTTATCATAACATTCGCACACACACATCAAAAATTTTGCAACCAATTATAATATGTTTCATAATGTATATTTTTTTGTATTCGCTATTTGGAAATCTTCTTTTCAGAACAATACCAGTAATTTTGAAATTTTGTGGATAGGATAAAAAAAACATCTATTCAAACTGTTCTTGGTCTCATTCATTTCTTTCCTTTAAATCTATCTAAACAACACAGAATTACTATATTATATACAAGATATGTAACTCACAATCAACAAATTTTCAGATGTGGTAGCAAGTATTTATTTTGGTTGCATATCTGATTAACTAACCAAAATGAGTATTAAGACAATTGAAAGTATTTATCTTCAGGGAAACCATTGAAATAAAACTCCAACAAAGAAAGACTGAGATACATCACTAAATAAGAACATTCTTTCTAAGTTTCTGACAGTGTTTTTCGGAACCTTGCATTAGCTTATCCATTCCAGTATCAATGCCCGAAGTGGCAATCTAAGAACAAGCTAAAGTTGACCAATGTAACATATAAAATTAAAGTTAATATATCGCGTAATACAATCGTATTCTGAAATCAGAGCTTTGTTAATGTGTCATTAATTCTAAATTAAGTTGTTCTTGTGGTAAAAGTGAATCCTCTGCTGTTTGTGTGAATAAGCTTTGGCTTTCCTAAAATTTAAATGCATCCCCTCATCCTTGGCTAACTGTGTTTGATGGGCACATAAAATATCTTTTTATCGGATACATTCTTCATAACATCATCGACATTTGCAAAATACGTAATGTTAATTCCTTTACACCGATGATAAATTTAATACTTTGGGTTGTTCCTGGAATCTCGTGATTATCAGTCACATGATCATATACCCTCAGAATTAAATTTTTTGAGCAAAATTTTGAAAATCGGCTTCACTAGCTCAGTTGGCAGAGCGTCAGTCTCATAAATTTGGCGGTAACGTCAGTCTTGTGAAATCTGAAGGTCGACAGTTCGAGCCTGCCGTGGAGCACGATTTCTTTTTTTCTCCTATTCAGTTATTACAAAGGATTCTTTTTTTTTCTTTTTTCTTGCCTTATATCCCCTTCTTTAGGATCCAAGAAGGTTATACGTCTATTACGTAATAAGTTGTAATGTGGTTTTAGTTCATGGTTACATTGTAGTGCGTTACGACAAAAGCAACCATAAAAAAAAAGAAATACATTGTTCCTGTTAAGCGCATAAAGTGTTAAACTTCCATCTCATTTTTTTCTATTTTTTTTTTTGAGCTAATTAAACGGCTAACAACTTATTCATTATTCTTTAAGAAGGGAAAGTCACACTAATAACTTGCATAAAAAGTATTCAGGCGTTTAGAAGTCAATCACTTTAAATACAGCCACAGAGAACCTGATTTCAAGTTCTGAAATTTTTTTTTTTTTTAAAATAATTACATTAGCAAATTTCCAACTATGTCTCAGTTATCATCACAAGGTAGCAATGCTATCATATATTTATCCTATGCGTTCATGTTGGCTACTGGGTTATTCTTAGCTTGGAAATATACTTCAGCTAAAGATTTCCTTCAGTCCAATGGTACACAACGAGGAATACCATTGGCATTAAACTTTATTGCTTCAGGTATGTCTTTTTATTTTTATTTTATTTTGTTTTTCATTTCAACAAACTTTCTACTTATCGAATACCAGGAAACTTTAACTTGTAAATTGAACATTCACAAACTGACGGGTGTCCCTATCTTTCCAGTAATGGAAGGAAAGGGCCTGAGAATATACCGTACGAACTCGATCAAGCTAATACTTGCGTGAGGAAAAGTTTGTGTTGAAAAAAATCCGAGGTGGGAAATATGTTACTAACTCGTAAAATAAAGCCATGGGTGTGGGTATTTTAACCACTTATGCTCAAATTGCAAACATTTCCGGGTTGCATGGTCTTTTAGTATACACTTTATGTGGTGCCATCCCTATTGTTGGGTTTGCCGTGTTTGGGCCCCTTATCAGACGTAAATGTCCTGATGGGTTTATCTTGACCGAGTGGGTCAGAAGAAGATTTGGGGTGGTTACTGCATTATATTTGTCATTTTTCACCTGTTTAACCATGTTCTTGTTTATGGTTGGTGAATTGTCAGCCATTAGTGGTGCCCTTGAAACTTTAACTGGGGTCAATGCTCTCGCAGCAGTTATTGTCGAATGTGTGGTTACTACTATCTATACATTCTTTGGTGGGTTCAGAATCAGTTTCATAACCGATAATTTCCAGGGTGCATGTGTATTGATCCTTTTGATTATTTGTGCCGCGGGCATGGGCTCATATATTGAAATTGACCCTTCGAAAGTTGGTCCTAGTGGATTACTCAAGAGTAACAAATTAGGTTGGCAATTGGTTTACATTCTTTTTGTTGCCATTGTCACTAATGATTGTTTCCTTTCTGGATTCTGGTTAAGAACCTTTGCCAGTAAGACCGATAAAGATTTATGGATTGGTACTTCCCTTGCGGCATTTGTCACTTTTGTGATCACTACTTTGGTAGGAGTTCCCGGTTTCCTTGCTGTTTGGTCAGGTGATTTAACTGTGGGTGATGACGAAGGGTACAATGCCTTCTTTATCTTATTGGCCAAGATGCCTAGATGGCTTGTGGCCTTTGTGATTATTTTCTGTGTTGTGTTGTCAACGTGTACGTTTGATTCATTACAATCTGCCATGGTTTCAACTATTTCCAATGATGTTTTCAGAAACAAGCTTCAACTCCATTGGACTAGATGTATTGTTATTCTTGTTATGGTTCCAATTGTTGTTTTGGCAGTCAAGGTTGCTGACAACATTTTGCAAATTTACTTGATTGCCGATTTGGTATCTGCCGCCATCATTCCAGCTCTTTTCTTGGGTCTTAGTGATTCATGGTTTTGGTTCCTTCGTGGGTTTGATATTATGTGTGGTGGATTAGGTGCATTACTTGGTGTGTTTATTTTCGGTACTGTTTACTATGGAAGTGCAAGAGAAGGTGGGAAATTATTGTTGATTTGGAATGGTATTTACAGCTCCGAAGATTGGGGTGCATTTGGAGCTTTTGTCATTGCCCCATTTGGAGGTATACTTATAACTTTAGTGGCCGCTGGGGTAAGAATTGCTGGTGCTTATTGTTATAGTAAGGCCACTGGCAAGCCATTCACTGCGTTGGAAAGAGTTGTTATGGAAGAAGACGAAGTAGAAGAAGTTTCTACGACTTATGGATCGTTAGAAGATCACGACAAGAAGATTGCTACAGAATCTCCATAGAACAAGTAATGTATAGTAAATTAATATGTAAAATTGACTGTTCGTGTATCGTACCAATTTGCACCACCACATGTGGGGCGATGTGGTTTTTTTTTTTTTTTTTTCGCAATTGGGATTTTCTGATAAGGAAATCTATTACTGGATTTTTACATATGAGTGTGGCAAACCGTAACAAACTTCCAGATGTATTCCTTTGACGTTCCCTTTTCTAAACGACTTGTGCAATGTATTTGTGCCATCACTTGGTGTTTGTTCTCTGGGGGTCCTATTTTTGGGTTTGCAGCCCTTAAACCTGTGCTTATCAATGAACGTGTGTATGAATATTTGTGTGATGAAACTACCCATTTAGTAATTGAAGGGAAAGAAGTTGTATCCAAATGTACCGACCAAGACTTGAAATTGAATATGATGTTCACTGTTGGCGCTGTGGTTACCAATGTTTCTGCCTTGTTAATTGGAAGAGTGTTGGACGTGTACGGCCCTAGGGTTTGTGGGTTAGTCGGAGCTGGGTTCCTTTACTTGGCTTGTTTCATTTTTATTTTTGCTAAATCATTACCTGCGTGGTTTGATCCATATTTGTTTGGTTATGCGGCCTTGGCATTGGGTGGTCCATTTGCCTATATTTCGTCATTTCAATTGTCAAACTCATTCCCAGAAAAAAGTGGGACTATTTTGGCGTTGATTACTGGGGCATTTGATGCTTCATCGGCGTTGTTTTTGATTTATCGTATTCTTTATAATAGTTCTGGTGCTAGCTTCACTTTGGAACTGTTTTTCACATTGTATTTACTTGTACCTACATTCATCACCGTTGTTGAATTTTTAGTCATGCCTGCCGAGTCATACCAAACCAGTCCAGACAGCGTATTGTGTGTTAATGATGAAGAAAACGTGTCACATCTTTCTCCAGTAAACTCTGCTGGACATCCGCAACATTCTCTTAGTTCTGGACAAGAAATCAGAGAAACGTCGCCATTGCTTGCATCTAGTCACCACCGTCATGACTCTATTGGAGATGCGTTGAAACAACCTTATGAACTTGAAGGAGAAGAATTCTTGATGGAACACACTGGTGGAGTATTTGGAATCTTACATGGATACACAGCTCTGGCACAAATCTACACTTGGTGGTTTGGTTTGATTTGTATCTTTTCCACTATTCAAATGTTGAGGTTGAATTATTTTGTGGCTACGATAAACACGCAATACCAATACATTTTTGGGTCAATTGAAAAGGCTGAAAATCTTAATTCGTTCTTTGATATTGCCTTGCCACTTGGTGGGCTTATAAGTATCCCCTTTATAGGTTTATTCTTGGACAATTTTTCTACTGTGATTGTTTTAACCGGTTTGCTTGCAATATCACTTGCAATTGGGATTTTGGGGTTTGTTTCCAATTATGCATTGGCAGTTATTGGCGTGTGTATGTTTGTTGCCTACCGGCCTTTATTTTATACTACAATTTCCGATTTCTGTGCCAAAGTATTTGGATTTGAAACATTTGGTACTGTTTATGGAACCATCATTATGCTTAGTGGTATTTTCAATTTCAGTCAATCTTGGTTAGATAAATTGACCCATACTACATTTAGAATGAACCCATTACCAGTAAATGTGGCATTAGTAGTTGTCACTGCGATTTCAGGTGTGATTACAGTGGTTTATGTTCATGACCAGGCAAAGAAGTTTAACGCTTCCAAGAAGGTGCCTGTTAGAGGTTAAGTAGATAGATATTTTTGTACATTGTTTAAAATAGACGTTTATTGTTTACCACGCGCTCTCTAACGAGTGTGGTGAAAACTGTACGAAACTCCATATAAAAAAAAAAATTTTTGGGAAAAATAATTTATTCCCACTTGCAACAACGTCTACCACACACCATGAAGATCCTCCTAGTCACACTCCTACTCTTAGCAGTAGGGTATTGTTCCATTGGAGATACATTACCTGAGTTCCAGACATGTCTCGAACACTGTCAATGCACCGATAGCTCGTGGCTATGGTCGTGTGAATCCGTTTGCAACTATCAATGTCAACAATTGATAACAAATCAACGGGAGAGTATAGGGTTGGAAATGGTTCAATTCTACGGTAAATGGCCATTTATCAAAGTTTTTGGAGTTCAAGAGTTCTTTTCAACGTTGTTCTCCCTTGGAAACTTCTATGTCAACTATCACAACTTGTTCAAGCTTCTACGTCAATATCGTCGTGGTGGAAGTGGATCAGAATATCAGGTCATGTACTCTCAATATGTGATATTATTAGTTGCCAGTTGTATTGGATGGATATTCAGTACTGTGTTCCATTTCCGTGATGTTCCCTTGACTGAAACCCTTGATTATTTCGGAGCATTTGCTATAGTATTATCCAATTTGAATGCAATCACGGTTCGTTTCTTTCAATTATATAAACATACAATCATATTGAGGATCTGGCAAGCTTCATTGGTAATGCTTTATATTTATCACACCACTCGTTTGCTTGATTTCTGGGATTATCAATACAATATGCAAATGAATGTGTTTGTGGGATTAACAGCCATGATACTATGGATCGCCCATTCCTTATCTAAATACCGAGAATTTCAATCACATTTCCATATATATAATAATTCGATACAAATATTACCATATGAGACTAGATTGCTTACCAAATTGAATTATTTGTGGATTTCCAGATCAAGTCTTATTCCGCTAATTCCAATATTCAATAATATTTTCTTGCTTGGCGGTCTTTCATTCGAAATGAATGACTTTGCTCCCATTGCAAGATTAGTGGATGCTCATAGTTTATGGCATTTGACTACTATATTTCCTAGTATTATTTGGCATGATTGGAATATTTGGGATATTGAGCTGTTGAAAATGGTTGACTCAATGAAATAGATACACAATCAAGGATTAAATTTGGAAAGCACTTACAATTCAGACTTTAGGTTCACAGAACTTAGACCTGCTAACGTACCAAGAGGTCTAGGTGGGCTAGCTAGAGGGGGGCAAGGTCGGAAGCTCTCTACTTTGCATGATGATGGACTCAACTTTGTTTCATTATAGACTATGTACAGATTGTAAAACTATTTGAGATTCCTAAATACTTGCATCCAATCCTGATAATAGCATTTGTCATTCAACACTTCTGTAGTTTGTTGCCGTATAATATTCTCCACTGTCTCTTCATTATGAACCCAACTATCCAATGCATCACATTGAGCAAACTGCTCTCTCATTTTATTCTGATGGGCACGTAAGGCGTATGGATCGGTACGTAAATCAAACTTTTTATCTAATTGGGCAAACGTTTCTTCCGTCTCTCTCGTTTGAGCATTGACTCCTTCTTCACTTTGTTTTCTCAACTCTTGGGAATAATTCTTGCAGTAGGAAATCACCTCACCACGTCTCTTCCATTCGCTGGCAACCTTATTACGGAAATATTCACCACAATCATCCACCTTTACTTCATTCAAGTGTTGCCTGATGGTGTCATCAGTCAAGTTTCTTGAAGCTCGAAGAAATGCCCGGATTCGGGATGAGGAGATACAACTTTCGGGAGTGAGTAAATTTTGCTGGGGAACACCCATGTTTATGTTCAAGTGTTGATAAATATTATTGTATACCTGCTGTATCCAAGTTTGTCGTGATTGATCGAGAGAGAAAGGTTGGATTGGTAGGTTTGCCATCCGAAAAACTTATGCAACACTTTGACTTGGCTACTGTGCAGGACAACAAATAATTCCAGGTATCCAAGGTACAAGTAGGGACTGTAGCTTAGACTATGTAGGTGGTATCACTATATCTCTATTGTTACTTATTTGTTGAAACAGATAAAGTTGGATTCGGTTAAGATATGGGATAATTGTTAGGATATTACCCGGAATAATACATTTGCTGTTATTTCTTTCTTTCTTGTCTTTAGTATGTTGATATGGATCTTACCTGGCTCACTTTACAATACAGTAACTTATGCAGCCAGTTGCATCAATATAAATATCTCGTGCAAACTCTTATAGTTCTATTCAAATGAATATTGTTGCCCTTAGGATAGTTTACTGCCCGTGAAAAAATTTAAACAAATTTACGGGTGGTAAAAATGTTGCTCATACTAACATTAGCTGTTATTGAACTTAACCTTAGCCAGAGAAAATTTATGAGAATTAGCTTACAAAAGTAGACATTAATTTTTTAAATGTGAAAATATTATTAAAACTACTACTATGTGATGAATGTGTGGCAACGATGACAAGAATACATGTAATACTTTGTGGATCCCCCACCGTTACACAATATATAAATAAATAACCTAACCGTGAAATTTTAGCCCTATTATGTCGTTATATCAACCAAAAACGGAAAGTGGTATCTCAAAACAATGCTTGACTAAAAATAGGTTTGCTTTCTGGGATGCAATTTTTTTTTTTTTCTAGAAGAAAAAATAAATAACACCAGGGCTTAAATTTCATGTGACGTAAAAATGTAGCAACGAATATGACGAAATGGGAATGACTGAAATACCAATTAAATGTGAATAGGGTTAAAAAAAGTAGCTTTCTGAGGCTTAGGTAAACATGAAAATGAAAAAAAATCCTAGGTTTTTACGTTTATGACGTAAATTCGCAGTACTTTTTATTTTTCTTTTTCGGACGACAGGTAAAACAACGAAACTTTGAATGCAAAGAACTAAAACGGGTTTTTGAAATGAAGGACGTAGTCAACATATGAATTGTAGGTTTTTGTCCATATGTATGACTCTTGATGCAATTTGGATTTTCTGATTGAAATCAGACCAATAATATTGATTATACTGGAGTTATTGGTTTTGATCTTTCCTTGGAGATTGTTCTTCTTCTGAAATATGACCGAATAAATTTGTATAAAGTTACCGAAATAACTAAAACAATTAATAATCGGAATATATTTTCAACTTCGAACAAGTCTGATAAGTCAAATGAACGTAAATCATTAAACATGTGACATATGCTAGATTTTGGTGGCTGTGTGGATGACTTGGCATAAAATTGGTGCTCACTCAATAAGAGCTTATCACTAGTTGGTGAAGGGATCATTCTGATAATTAAGGAGTAAGAAAAGGCAATCCTAATGTGTTGTGAATTGAAGTAAAGCGAAAGATCGAAAAGAAACTTGTGAATCAAAAAGATGTGTCGATATATTTAAGGGGAAGATCCATCACTTTTATATTTTTTTTTTTTTTATTTTGCCCACTGTACAATTATTATTTCTTTTTTTGGATTTGAAAATATTGATTTAATTTTTTTTTTTTTTGGACGTACATTTAAGCGCCAGTGGATATTTCACGAATTTTCCAATCTCGTGTTTCGTACAGATTGCGCTTTTGCTCTTGCAAGCTAAGATTTACTTCCTCTACACTGTTTGACGATTCGTTAACTTTTGACGATACAAGCAGATCCTCGTTAAGATCTCATTCAGCCATAAAACAACAAGTGATCAGCGACAATGATCGGACCTAACCATTCCATTGTTACTTTGTGTTTGCTGAAAGTTATTAATAGAAAAAATAAAAACAAATAATTTTTGGCTGTAAAAAAAAAAAAATTAACAACTCTTTCGTCATGCAAGTATGCTTAATTTAGATTTCGAGATTGGTTCCTTTCAAGATTTGCCGATTATGTAATAGCACTCGGCTCACCATGTGGTCATATAAACAGACTCTTTCCAAATTTCTAATTCTGAAATTTTAAGAACACATGAAATTATTCTATAACTAAAATTTTCTAAAAGTCAGACTGGCACATATTCAACTAGACACCTCACGTCACATACTATTCTCCACCAAACTGTCACAAGAGATCTAACGAGTGTGGTTACAAGCAAGTGTATGAAGCAGTTACTTATGAAAGATTGGTTAGGACCATTTAACTGCATTGCATTGCCTTGCAGATACCATGGTTAAGACAACGTTAGTACACACAAATGAAATGTATTTGTTTTATTGGTGAAAATCACTTCCAGTACAACCAAAATCTTGTGCTGTGAACTATGAATTCAATAATTTTATCTTTCGCTAGATGGCATGCAAGTATCAGTCGCTGTGATCTTCGTGGTGCTGCCAAGTATAAAATCGTCTTAATGCCAAGACTGTGGATTTAACAATTCATTTTATTCTATATACTAACTTTTACACCAGCAAGGCATAATTATCACGGATTCTATCCAGGCATCAACTCACATGAGCTTGCTCGTTAGATCACGTAGTTGGGGCTTAACAAGGACGACTCATTTTTTTTTGCATAATTCAACCCACCAAAAAAATATTTTATTTTTGCTGCCCAAGCCACCTCCATAGTGTGTTAGAGCTTGGTAGCAAAATTCAACCGATAATAATATCCCTTTCCCCAATTTCACATCCTTGATGAGTTTACCCCTTGAACAGTTTATCCTGTTGCAAAAAATACCTCGCTGTGAAATATTCTATACCCCTTTTTAAATCATAAATAGCACACGACCTATTTGAGAAATGGGGTCAAGAAATGCTAATTTGAAGTTCCAAATAGATCCGTCTAGTTAAACATGGTAAAAACATTTCTTTTTTTCACAAACTTGTCCAAGACTTTCTCATCCATGTAACAACTTGAATATGATATTCTTGCCTTTAATGTACGGATAGCAAAAAAATTTTAAAAAAATAAAGCTGATTCTTAATCAGAAGAATTCCGATACCGGGAGTCGAACCCGGGTCTGCTCGGTGAAAGCGAACCGTGCTAGCCGTTACACTATATCGGACTTTTTTATATTTAATTTTTCCGATTTTAAAATAGATTACGTAAAGTTCTCGAAGCTATATACAGGACTTCCGGTTAGCTGATTAACCATGTGACCAGTATTGCTGTTTAATAAATCTATAAATGGGTTAATAAATCGTTTACTAGGAACATTTTAAAGTTTATCTGAGCTTCTATAACTGTTTTATTTAATTCAAATTGCGATTGTGTTATTATTTTGTTGATTTTCTGCTCACACACTTTTCTACAATTTTTAGCCAAAACTTTCCAATAATTGCACAACTGGAGAACATTGGATTATGATATATTACATTAATGGTTTTTTTTTTTCATCATCTAAAAGCGTAACCTTCTTTAATACCAGAGTAATGAAATCTCTAATGTTAATTTTGGATAATAGATTCCTCAGCCGGCAAGTGTCATAGAGCATAGGATCCCCAGCCTACTATCATGATCTTGCCAAACCTATAATTATAGGATCATCAACCTATAAAAAACCTCAGATTCTGAAGCCTTCAATTTCTAAGTTGAGCAACGCAGTAATAGGTTTGTCAAATCTCAATTGCTGGTTCATCAGCCATCAGAAGCCGTACTTTTTGAAACTTTCAGAGATGTTAGGTTCATATACTGTCAATCATAAGTTAGTGAACCCATTAGCACACATTTATTTGGCTTAAAATTTTTGAAGCAAGTACACCAAAATACCGATAAGCTTTAAAGCTTCTTCAGGAGTATTGCCTTTGCTTCCAGGCTATTGAGATACTAAGTTAAACTTTGGGTAATGAGATTCAACTGGTGCAATCAACACTCAGAGGCTGTATTTTGAAGTTGCTCGTGAGAAAACCAAACACTCACACCCCATATCCGAATACACAATCATAACAACTGAATAATTGCTGGCGAAACTGGATGTTCAGGCGCAAAACTGAATACTGTTATTTTTAACTGCGATCATAGCAATCAGACCCGCCCCCCCAGCACATAGTGCGATTTCTGAACAAACAAGATCAACAAAATATCACATCTGATATGGTATACATATCTTTACTATTTCCTCACTTTTTAACCTTTTGAGGATTCTCAAACAGCAGCTTCGCTTGTTGTGCATTCAAGTTAAACAGTGAGTAACAAGTGTTTGGACTGATCACTAACATGTTCAATTGTCAAAGAACTGGGGATTGGAAAAAAAAAGCAGCTAAATCTAGTACACCCCTTCGTTTTGATTTCTTTTTAATACTATATGACAATTATCCACTCCTTAACCAATTTGAATCAAACGTACAATATCAATTTGCACCCATGATTTCGAAACGGTTGTACCACAATTGTTTCTCACACGACTTTTTTTGAAATTTTTTTTTTTCCTAACGAAAACTTTTCAGATTTCTTCGAAATGATATTGTATGGCAACAGTAGCTCCCTAGATAATAGAATAGACCATGATCAGAACATCCATACGTAGGATTTCCAACAAATCCATACCCTACGAACCAGTTCCTAAAAACAAGTACAATGCCCAAAGATCGCAATTTAATTTCAAACCGCAAAAGACCTCGGGGTTAGTTCATAATCCTCCAGCAGCAATTATTAAACCATACATGCAAACCCCCAACATATTCTTGCCAGCCAACGATCCAAGACGTCATTTCAACACTGCTCCTTCCCAGAATTTCACTCAGCAAGACCTTGAATATATGCCAGTTCTCAAAGAATACAAACCCCAGGGCCAAAGAGATTATAGCATTACTGCTGAGACGATTGATGCTATTAAGAAGTTAAAAGAGAGTGATCCTGAAAACTGGACCCTTAGTAAACTCAGTAAAGAGTTCAATATAGAAGCAAGAAAACTTGTGCACTTCCTTAGACCAGATAAGAAGGAGAAGATTAGTGAACACAAGATACTTTCTGAAAGAGCAAGAAGAAAAGAATTATGGTTAAGAAACGAATACTAGAACTGCCATAACATGCATGTACATAAACCTCAAGCATAGTCTGTAAATAGTTTATAATACTAGAGTATTGAGTACTTATTCTGTAGATGTGAAATTTTTCACCGTTCGCGCACTACTTTCAATCCTTCAAAAAAAAATGTTCAGTATCAACCAACATCAACAGTAGACCACCACAACCCAATACAATGTCAGCAGTATGTATTGAACTTATCAGATCTATCTAATGGAAACTCTACTAACGCGCGTACAGCAACAAACACAACAACAGCCCCAGGGCCAACAGCAAGAACAAAAGCAACATAGAAGAAGAAATAATCAAACACCAAAACAAGAAGGACCTAAAAGAGAAGCCATTTTAGACTTAAACAAATATAAACACCAAGAAATCAAAGTTAAATTCGTCGGTGGAAGACAAATCACCGGAGTCCTTAAAGGATTTGATCAATTAATGAATTTAGTATTAGAAAATGTCAAAGAACAACTTAGAGGTATGTATATACAGTCAATTGCCATTAGATTTAACAGCCCTTACTAACACTTTCTAGACCCTGAAGATGATACTGTATTAACCAAAGAAACTCGTGATCTTGGCTTAGTTGTGGTTAGATGCACTTCCTTGTTAACCATTTCCCCAGTTAACGGGTTTGAAATTATTGAGAATCCATTTGTACAACCACAAGAACAATAGATTAGTGTGTTTAGTAATATAAGATGTATTATACTACAATTGTAGAGAGTTCCATAGTACACATCGTACACGCTGTACGCCTGTTCGTAAATATGAAAAAAAATGTCTGGCTAACCCCATCTCAAAAAAAAAAAAACACTGAATCAGACAAAAAAAGATAAGCCACTTATAACCAGTCACCAACTACACACGCCATGGCAGAAGCAAAAGAAGTAGACAAGAACGTTATCTTACTCCCTCAAACTAACCAATTGATTGGGTTATACTCGATTATCCGTGATCAAAGAACTAAGAGAAGTGACTTTGTCTTTTATGCTGACAGAATCATCAGATTGTTGGTTGAAGAAGGGTTGAACCAATTGCCCGTTGAAGAAGCAATTATAAAATGTCACGGAGGCCATGAATACAAAGGAGCCAAGTTTTTGGGTAAGATCTGCGGTGTATCTATTGTAAGAGCTGGAGAGTCCATGGAAATGGGGTTGAGGGATTGTTGTCGGTCAGTGAGAATTGGAAAGATTTTAATTCAACGTGATGAAGAAACAGCCTTGCCTAAGTTGTTCTATGAGAAGTTACCTGATGACATTAGAGACAGATATATTTTCTTATTAGACCCGATGTTGGCCACCGGTGGGTCAGCTATGATGGCCGTGGAAGTTTTGTTATCTCGTGGGGTTAAGCTGGAACAAATCTTCTTTTTGAACTTGTTGGCTGCTCCTGAAGGTATCAAGGCGTTCCATTCCAAGTACCCTGACGTTAAGATTATTACTGGTGGTATTGATGAGAGATTAGATGAAGATAAGTATATCGTACCAGGTTTAGGTGATTTTGGTGATAGATATTACTGTATTTAAAGGGTTACAAACACTTTGTATGGATAATGTCGGGGTTTTCATGGTATTCTTGTGATGTGATCCACATTTTCTTGAATGTTGACAACCCAGCCAAGATTGACCCTCCGATCCAGGTGGAATATTTTCGTTCTGGGGGTGCAAATATCTTTAGTTTCATTTTCGTGTCATAGCTTGCATCTCTATCTTTATTCCATATTGTATTATTAGAACTGTCTTGTTGATGTTGTAATTGTTTTAATTCTTTTAATAACCTGTCTCCGAAGTTCTTAAGAAGGGTGTTACCACCAGAAAGAATGATGTTTTGATACAAGATTGGACGCAAGTCCATATCGGTTTTGGAAATGGCCAATGATGTTAATTCGTGTATTCCTGGTGACTCGTTCCCGATTAATTGAGGATTGAATAAGATTTCTGGAGCTCTAAATCTTTCGACACCTAATTGGATATTATGACCATCCGGGAGTTTATAAGATGCAAACAAATCAGATGAGTCGCCCGGGGCATTAGTTCTATAATGGACGCGATACAATTTTTCATCTCGTGTGGGATCTTTAGATATAAAACATGAAGACTCTTTAATCAATCTGACAATTTCCAATTCTGAGCTACTCTGTAAATTTATCCCCGACATTCGTCTAAGATTGAATGATAAATGTTCAGTGATGTCCCTTCCAGCAACATCCATTCGTTTAATAGACGACGGCAAGGAAAACCCTTCATATACAGGGACAACGTGACTTACGCCATCACCACTATCTATAACTACACCGGTGGTTCTCCCCGAGGCATACAACGACAACACTGCTTGGATAGACACATAAATGCACGGAACATTAAACAGTTCAAACAATATCTGGCACATTTTGTTCCTATTATTTCTCGGATTCAACGGTGCTTCCGTGATAAGCAACGGGTGCTCCTCGGCGTTGGTCTTTAAATCTTGCGTGTATACATTATACCACAACTTTTCCATATCGGCCCAGTTGGTGACAACACCATGCTCAATAGGGTATGACAATTTTAGCAATCCCCGATTTTGTTGGGCGACATCGCCCACAAATACTTCTTCCTTAGTGGTTGGTTCATCTGACATTAATAGCGATCCAGCCATGATCTTTTGATACTTGGGTCGACCGACAATGGCAGATGCGTATGTTTTGGGTTGGTCCTCGCCGGCAAACCCAGCCTTGATATTCCCGGATCCATTGTCTATCACTACGGGTTGATTGTATAGGTTTCCTTCCATGGTAGGGTGTGTCTTGTGTGGGTGTGATTGGAAAATGTAAACACTGGATCAGATTTTTTTTTTTTTGTTTTACAACCAAAAATATTAACCACCAAACACGTAAAGAGCAGACAAGACCAATAGACAAACAAATGCTGCACTTAAATTCACTTACATCGACACAAAAGACTCAGTTGAGGAATGCATTTGCGTTAATAGACGGAGAGACCAAGGATTCAGTCATCACAAAGGACGATTTACGCAAGTTGTACTCAACCTTGGGGTTACCACCACCCACAGAAGACCAACTAAACAGCATGCTAGGCGATGAAGACAAAGGGATAAACTTCACCCAGTTTCTGAACATCATGGCTAAGGAGTTGCTGAAGTTTGAAGACAGAGCCGTGATATATGAAGCACTCAAGACATTCACCAACGACGAGAAGTCAACCGGATTAACTATTGACCTACAAGAGTTTAAAGAAGCCTGCTGTTCAGTACAACTAGGAGAAATCGGATCAGGAGATCACCGATTGTCGAGATCGACATTTGACAGATTGGTACAAGGATTTGTTCAAGAACAAGTCAATGGTAAACAGGTTTTTTTAGCAACCAAGTGGTTGGATGCTTATATAGACTAACTAACTAACTATACAATATGCACGTACACATAAAATACTCTCTATGCAGCGGGATACACCCTCTATTGATCCACAATCAACTCATCACATCCCCAATCTTCGTAAGAGCCATCAGGCAAGTATCTTCTTATAACCAAAGGCACTTTTCTTTGAGCCAACTCCTTCATGGCAATTTGCAAAGGATCGGTCTCACCTTCAATGTCAACCAACACAGGGGCATTAAGAGATATTTGAAGGGCCCGGGTACCCAAGATTCTAGCTCGTTCGTATTTGGTCATGTAGGGAGTGGTGGTTCTCTTTTCTTTAGGAATAGACAACTCCTTGGCAGTCTTCTGTCTGGTTTGTTGCTGTTGTAATGCCATGGTGGCATCGTCTGGTCCTAAACCACCGTTGACTATTGTTCGTCCATCTGCAGCTTTAACATCGGCGGTATCAGCTCCATTGTGTTCTGGTTCTTGAAATTCTTCATCGGAGAAATGATCTTCTTGATCAAAATTGTCATAGTGTTCTGCACCTTCGTTGAATGCGTTATCTTCGTAGTCGGACATGTCTATTGTATTTGCGTGTCTATGATAATGTTATAACTAGTATGTTATATGCTTGATATTGCACATCTGAAAAAAAAAAACATGAAATGGAAAAAAAAAACATTTGGCCAAAACGCACGACCGGTTATGAACAGAACAGATTTTGCAATCAACTGTTAAAGCTTACTTAGACATCGTGTATTTATTACGTAGACTGTTTATATTTTGTATTATGTATATAAATGACAACTTGGTCACACTATTTATAAATCGCTAGCATAAGGTAACACATCAACATCACCAATAGCAACGTAGTTGAAGTCACCCAATGGAGCTTGGGCAGCTTCAACCTTGACATCTGCAGGAGACACCACAGAGGATTGTAAAGCCAAAGCCAATTCAGCAGACTTGACGGCGTTGGTCAATTCAGAGTTGGCAACTGAATCGACAATCTTCTTGGCTTGCTTGATACCTTGGGCAACTTGGGCACCGGTACCGGAAACAGAAACAACAAACAAACCAGCATCTTGGTATTTGTAGACTTGGGAAGCACCACCAATCTTACCCAATTGGGTGTTGGCACTTGGTAAAATGGCAGAACCAATGGCAGCGGAGAGAACTTCGTATTTACCGAAATCAGCTGGCTTGATAGGAACACCAATTAAAGCAACGGATTGACCGCTGGCTCTGATTCTGGATTCTTTACCCTTGAAGATTTCGACTGGAGTGGATTCAGAGGCACCGGCTGGTAATTGGGTCAATAAGGATTCTTGAACAAAGCCGAGTAAATCTTCGCTGTTGGCACCGTCAGCAAGAACGGAAACGTTACCGCTCTTGAAGGATTCTTGAGCAAATTGTTGAACTTCTTCACTGGAGATTGGGGTGGTACCATCGTAGAGCAATGGGTTACCTAACCCCTTTCTGAAGGATATAGCGTGTAATTCTTCCAAGGCATTGTAAGCATTGTCGAGTCTAGCGGCTTGGTATTCGGCTCTGGCGGCTGGCAAGACGACTTCAACGTATTCGTGAGGTCTGAACTGAGTACCGGCCAAAACGTTACCCAAGGCTTCGACATAGTATGGTAAATCAGCCTTTAAAAATTGAGTGTTTAAGATCAAGGCGTCTCTGGTAACTTGACTGGAGAAAGCACCACCCAATAATTCGGACTCTCTGGCAAATCTCAATGCTGACTTGGATTGGGTGTTTAAAAATGTGTATTTGGATAATAAATGAGAAAGACCGGATTTGGCACCATTCTTGGAACCAGCGTTTTTAACAACGACGGAAAGGGTGGTCAATTCAGAAGCTGAATCTCTAGCAGCGACCTTGAGGGCGCTGGCAGCAGAACTATAGGCACGACGGGACAACATATGGTAATTATTTCTGGGAAATTGCCTGGTAAATAGTACCAACTACTGGAAAATCAACTTTAAATTTTCACGCTTTTTTTTTTCTGTGCAAGATTTTTGGTTAGCCAATACAAAATTCACAACACTTGATTGGAAGGTTTGTTATCACGTGATACAACACTCTGTACCAGACCATACAATACTATGTATGAATACTAACTACAGTTAGCTAAAGCGTTACAAAGATTACTATGAACATCTATATCTGTGCCAAGTTCAACTTGTGGACATCTTCAATCTTGTTATCCAAGGAATAGTCGTAAACCAACTTGCCCCAGAGTAAATCCAAGATAATCAACACATGAACAACCCCCCAAATCAAACTTATACTATAAAAGAAATTAGAATTACCTGTTCCTAACACAATCCAACAGTAGTAGAAGATTGGAAACAACAACAACGAAATCAACATGGTTAAGCCAATAACATAGGTGTATCGGCAATATGGGAATATCGTTACTTTGAAAATGGGTAATATCGACAATCCAAATCCTAAATCTCCAATGGTGGGGTAGGACTTGGTGAATGATAACCAAATGTATACCAATACGATGGCCAAGAACGAGTCTCCTAACTTCTTGTTTGATCTGAATTGGAATAATCTGATGGTGATGGGAATGACATAGACCAAGGTATAGATATTGAACAAACCAAGGTAAAATGGCGTGAAAAAGTCAAACATTTCCGTGAATATGTACCACCACAATCCCACATTAGGAGTGATTTTCTTTAATAAGATGTTTGTCAAGTAACATTGGTCGAGGAAATTCCACGACGATGTACACGTAAAGGAGGACATAATGAGCAATGCCACCGCAGCAAAGTATATGGCAAACCCTTCAATATAAACCCGGTGGATATTGGTGGGGGTCATGGCATGAGCAAATGCTATAATTGGTGGTAATAAATACACCGAGTTGAAGGAAAGGTATGTAGAAATACCCAAGGCAATCATTGATCTGGGGACGTTACCTGTGAATATGACTTGGTAGATCGATTCCATAAGGAACACCCAGGTAAACACAATTGTCGAATGGGCCAAGTTGGTCAACACAATTAACGGGTTAAACAAGTAGAAACTGGCAATGATATCATCACTAAACCGTTCATTCTTCTTGCCGTATCTCTTGGCTGAGTAAAAGTTGTACCACCGGTTAATCTGGATTAATTTCCAGGCAATAAACAAATCGCACAACGTGTACACTAAATTGAACCATACTTCTTTAAACGGCAATGACTGGAATACGGAAAGGATAATGACTAGCAATGGTGGATGATGGTTGACGCCTCCGTCATACAAGTCAATTCCCTGTTGTAAATAGTAGAATGCTTCTTGTAATGATTTGTATGAGTTTATGGGTGTGGATAGTTCCACGGTTGATCCAAGGGCTTGGACAACCAGTGGGATGAGTGAAGGTATCAAGAATCTGAGAAGACCCCCAATTACAAACACCTGGGTTAGTTTTTGCATGGTTGCTATTGCTGTTGCTTATAACTATGTTGAACAAGTGTTTGGTTGTCAAATTTTCGCGTGTTGTAAAAACGACATACAAAATTTCATAACCGCAGGCAACACCAGCAAAGAGAAAAGGAGAGAGAGAGAGAGAGAGATAGCACAGCTTACACATCATGTCAACAGTATGTATCATACAACACAGTATGCCAGCAGCTTACTTGATTACTAACACACGCAGTTTCAACCAATAAATCCCAAACCATTTCTCAAATCGTTGATTGGAAAACAGGTCATAGTCCGCCTCAAATGGAATAAAACAGAATATAGAGGAACATTAATATCCATAGACAATTACATGAACTTACAATTGGACCAAACTTATGAAATCATATACGAGGTAGAAGATGGAAACGAAACCAAGAAAGAAGAATCAATTGGTGAGATATTCATCAGATGCAACAACGTCCTCTTTGTAAGAGAGGCCAAGAGTGAACCACAAGAAACTGAAATTGAAACTGAAACTTCAGTAGCGACTGAACTGAATGGAAACGAAAACGGAAACAAAGAAATGGAAACCGATTAGTCCTTGTATAGTCTTTGCATAGTCTGTATTAGTATACTACTAGTTCAATGTATTATAATTTCTCACCAACAATTTCTCTCATTTTTTTTTTGTTCATCTGGAAATACCAAAAGTTTGATATCTTTCTTCTTTAGCCAAAAGCATGTCCGAACAACCAGAGGTAGCTCCCTATGGAGGATTCATAACCAGAACTCTCGACGTAGAAAAAGAGAGAGAAGAAAAGTTGAAAGAACAAGCTATTGAAGTCAATGTTAATAGCCACACTGAAATCATCAGACCTGAGGCCATTTACATCACTGGTGTAGACAGTTTATCTACTGATGACATCAAGGCATTTGTCGATTACTACTTGAACTACAACGTTATTGAAACTGTCAATGAAGACGAGACAAAGAACATCACTTATGAACCACTTCCGTTTGATGACCAAATCCAATTCAAGGTTGAATGGATTAATGACTCATCCGTCAATATCAGATTCGATACTCACGAAGAAAGTGCTAAGGCTTTACACAAAATTTCCATCACACAAGGTAATCCAGATGTAATTGATACAGACGAACCCCCTGTAATTTCATTTACCGACCCTCAATACATAAACAACATTATTCAATTGCGAGAATCAAAACCATACACCCCTGTTATTCAATTCCGTAAACAGCAAAGCTTGGTGAATAGATTAGGGGTCAAGCCAGAGGCTGAAACAGAAAGCACTGAAAAAACTGAAAACACCGAAAACGCAGAAAGCGCTCCTGTCGAAGAATCAGCTATGGAAGAAGACGAATCTTCGGTTGTTCTCTACACCAGACAATCATTCCAACTGGATAGAAAAGTCAAGAATGCTGCTCAATACTCTCGTTACTACTTGATCCATGGTGAGCCGGAAAGAAAGCCTTATAGAAAACACAAGAGAAGAAGAGAACCCAAACCTGAACCTGTCGAAGAGCAAGAACCAGAAGAGGACTTGTTTGCCGACAGATTATCATTTATCGAAAATAGAAAATCTCGAGAACCTTCCGCTAGAGCAGAACAATTCGATAATGAAGAAGACTTATTCGCGGACAAATTAAGACAAAGGGAAAGATCAAGATCTCCAGTGAGATCAGCCCAAAGATCTAACTATCGTCATAGATCGAACCGTTACAGAGAACGCTAGACGTTTGTACTATTATTGTATCAATCTTGTTTAATTTTACAAAAGAACTGAAATATATGCAAAAAGTAAAAACACTCTTAATTACCCTCTTGTCCAAAATCATCAGTAAACTTGACATGTTGAGCAATATCGGCCTCATTAACTGTTGGTCTATTATTCTTAACTGCCTTTATAAAATCTTTAACTGTCAACGGAGGCTCCTTCAATTCGTCGGTGCCAATTTCCATCCAATTCATTTCTCGTGCTCCTTCGTCTCCTGGAGAACATGGAGTTAATCTCTCCTTGCCATCTTCGTCAATAACCGGTTTGAAATGAGTTGCCTGCTGAATCTTACGAATTGGTTGCATCAATGCATCTCGAACACACACGGCAACATCATGACCGGAATAACCGTCCGTCATTTCAGCCAATGTTCTTAAATCATGTGGAGTACATTCACAAGGAACTTCACCAATATTAATCTCAAACATTCTTGTTCTAGCTTCAACATCGGGCAAGGGGATGTAAATTCTTCGTTCAAATCTACGTCTAACAGCGGCATCCAATTGCCATGGGATATTAGTGGCCCCTAAAACCAACACCCCTTGCGAGTCATTACCCACCCCATTCATTTGCACCAATAATTCCGTCTTGATTCTTCTCAGGGCTTCACTTTCTCCTTCACCTCTAGGTCCACATAAGGCATCGACTTCATCAATAAAGATAATCGAAGGTTTGTTTTCTCTGGCCATGGTGAATAACTGTTTGACCAATCTTTCTGATTCACCCATCCATTTAGAAACCAAATCTGACGAAGAGACACTGAAAAATGTCGAATTGGCCTCAGTAGCCACGGCTTTGGCTAAATAAGATTTACCAGTACCAGGAGGACCATACAACAAGATCCCCGAAGTTGGTTTTCTATTACCAACAAACAACTGGGGGAACTTGACAGGAAGGATAACTGCTTCCTTCAATGCTTCCTTGGCACCATCCAACCCGGCAATATCTGACCAACTAACATTAGGCTTTTCTGAAAGAATAGCCCCGGCCAATGCCCCTCGTAACTTCTTGGTATCGGCATCATCTTCATCGCCTCCACCAGCGCCATCCTTCTTTGCGGCCTTGGTCGATCCATTACTTGAACTCTCGGCCGAGTTCAGCTTATTCTGTTGCTTTTCCAAATGATCTTTCAATTGCTCTGCCCGAGTCAAGTACTCGGTGAATTTAGACTTGACTAGCTCCTTAGATTTGGGGTTCTTCTCGTACTTGATTGCCAACATTAAATAGTCTAACCCATTGTAATACAACTTGTATGCTTCCTCGTATCGGGTAGCTGTGTCGGCATCAATCGCCTTTTGCACTAAATCAATCCCCTTGCTCAAAAAATCAGATGCTCCCGACATGCTATCACGTAGTAAATATGTTTTAATGTGTCAAACGCCCCCCTCATTCGCCGAATGATAAACTGAAATCTATCTGGAGAATCAAAAGGGAAAAAAAAAGAAATCACAAAGTCATGTGATACGAGTCACATGGAGAAAAGTGCGGCGCATGCGGCGCACGCGGCAGAGAACCTAGCAGGTTCTAGAATGCATAATTTATTTTTTAATGAATCAAAGTCGTCACAACTAAAACATGACCATCATATTTTTTTTGATAACCTCATCCCCTCTCCCTCCTCCCCCCTTTCGAAGGTGTAAATAACAACGGAGATCTCCAAGATATAAATAGGACCAATCAGGTTGTTCGATTTTTAAGCTATTTAAGGCGGGACACATGCAATAACCACCTGTCGGACTTCAGAACAGCACATGATGTAACAAAATGGAACCCTAAAAATAGAAACATGGCAAGATAACTTAGATGTATTTTTTCTTTTCTGTCGTGTCAAAAATAAAAAAAAAAACTTTAAAGAAGAGTGGGCTTCCGGATGTTCCCCTATCGGGTGGTTCCGTAGATATCGGGGGGGGGGTGTAGTAGTCATATGTTTCAACTTGATTCAAAGCCTCTGTATCCGAGTCATGACTCACAATCTCCAAATCGATGCAAGTAAGATGAAGTCACCTTGACAATAGATACGCAAAGAACAGATGCAAACAATAGCACGGAGTAAAAATTTAATACAAATGGAAAGATCTTTCTCCAGGTGGGGTGAGTTTGGGGCAAGGGGCGTAACCGAGAGGAGTATAAGTGATCAAAAGGACTAATATTTTTTTGTTGCAACCTAGTAACCAATTGCCCTATTGGGAAATAGTGTAGGAAAAACTCACCTGACGAAGCCAAGACCGAAAAAATATCCAAGACAAAAATCAAACAAGTCACGGTTGCAAACTTTAAAAGTTTCAGTCATTATATAATACTATTATTACTCATCGCTTCGCTTGGCAATCTTGATGGCATTCGCGTATTTGCACATATATAGCCGTGGATTTCCTCTTTTTTCAGATTTTGCTTTTCCGTAGGAAATATTATTCAGTACATCAATTGACTAATCATATACAGAGTAGCATTTGCTACAACCAAAATAATAAATACATAATATTAGCATGTCCGAGTTACCACAAGATTCAAGTTCATCAATTTCACCTCGAAATTCGATATCCTCCAAAAAGGACGATTCCAGTGAAAATTCAGGATCAGAATATGTTGAACCATTGACCAATCATGAAGAATCGGAATCAAGACCACCACGTAGATACTCAATCACATCATTCAATTCCCAAAGGAGTTCAGGATCACTTTCAAGATTGTCAAATTTAACTGGTATTTCCCAAGTGTCGTCTGTGATTAGTGCCATTCGTGATGATAGGTTATTAGATGCTGATGAGGAAACACGGGCAAGATACGCAGAACGTGGTCGCGCTGCTTCCATCTTATCAGCAGAATTAGACAAGGCCACCATACGTAGCTTAAAAAAGAGAAAGTCAAGGGAACTGCTTGAAGCTGGTGCCCCACCTAGTGCTGAGGTTTTAGAAGAAATAGAAAAAGTCGAAGAAGAAGAAGAAATAGAAGAAGAAGGTCTTCCACCTCAGGATAAAGGGTTTGCATGGTTCGTTGCCTTTTGTTCCATGTTGGCTGCATTCAGTACTTGGGGTGCCAATGCTGGGTACGGTGTTTTCCTTGGATTTTATTTAAACAATAATGTGTTCCCGGGAGCTACCAAGTATGATTTTGCCTTGATTGGAAGTCTTGTTAAATTCTTGGGCCATTCATTATCAGCCGTGGCTGCCCTTATTCTTAAAGTCCTTGGGTTTAGACTTACCCTTTTTGTGGCTATCATTTTACAAACATTGGGATATATGCTTGGGTCATTTGCCACCAAGATTTGGCAACTTTATTTGACCCAGGGTTTGCTTGTGGGGCTTGGGTTTGTCCTTGTATACATCCCGGCTTCATTGGTGCTTCCTGAATGGTTTAAAACTAGAAGAGCTACTGCATTTGGTATTTGTGTTTCCGGTACTGGATTAGGAGGTGTGGTGTTTGCCCTTTCCATTAATAAAGTCATTGAGGATACAGGTGGGTTTAGATGGGCTCTTAGAATGGTGGGGTTTGTTGTGTTGGTCGCAACTATCATTTGTGCCTTTGGTATGAAACATAGACGCAAGCAAAAAATCACCTTGAAAGAATCATTATCGGCAACATTCATTAAAGATACCGTCAAGATTGTGTTTGACTTTAGAGTTTTCAACAATGTCGGATTGATTTTCCTTGTTTTATGGTATGCTATTTCACTTATGGGTTACACATTGATGATCTTCTCCTTGTCTTCATATGCTATTCTGGTTGGGTTAACCCCACACCAAGGGTCAAGTCTTACTGCCATCCTTAATGGATTCCAAGTTGTTGGTCGTCCTTTGATCGGGGCCGTGGCAGATAGAATTGGTCGTGCCAACACAGCTGCAATTGTCGGTGGTATAAGTACAATTTTGATGTATGCATTCTGGATTAATGCTTCCAGTTACGGCTCCTTGATTGCATTCAGTGTTTTATCTGGGATGATTATTGGGTTTGGTACTTGTTTATCACAACCATTATGCGCTGATATTCTCGAAGACCATTTAGAATTGTTACCTGCTGGTTGGTCAGGTTTGAACATGTTTGTGTCCCCAGCCGTGCTTGTCACTCAAGTGATTGCTTTATCGTTAGTTAGAGAAAATAACGCTAGACCATACTTGAACACACAAATCTTTGCTGGTGCCGGATTCTTAGCATGTGTCTTTTTAATTTTCCCCGTTCGGGAACACTTGATTTCCAACGTGTTAAAGAAGAGACTTGCTGCTGCCCAACAGCAATTGAAAGATATCAGACCAACCACGGCTGCTGGTTATTTAAAGGCCAGTGCCTTTGAAGAGAGCGATAAGTTGTTGGAAGAGGAAATACTACGTGATAGAATCGAAAGATATAATCGTTTGTTGGAAAGAAACGTTCTGGCATACCTCATGAGAATGGTGTACCCAATCAGAGTCTAGAACAAGCACCCCGATCTATACGATTTAATAGTTTGTATTTTTATATAGCAAGTTTTTCAATTTTAGTTTATTTTGTTATAACCAAAACATACATAAATATGCAGCGACGGGAAGTGAAACCGATATACAAAGGTTGGTTCCTTTCGAGGTTCAGTCAACCTTTTACCCCGATTGCAACAGAGATCTGTTCCTATTGTCTCCGACAACCTTCCCCTCGATTAAAAATGACTAAATTGTGTCATGGATCGCGAACTATGGCGCGGAGTAACTGTCGGACAGACGTTCCGAGGTTTATTTTATAGATGGCATAGTTGCTAACGAAGTCAAAGACTAAGCGAGTCGGAGATGCTTAACAAACAGGATTATCATTAACTCTGAGCGATGATAATGCTGATCTGAAACCTTGAGAACTCCCTTCATACCCCGGTCATACCCCCCATGAGTCATTTCTGGGCATTTCTCGACATATAATCTTTTTTTTATCATTCTTTAGTAAATCGTTGGCGGGTACTTAATTCCGTGGCTGCATCGAGAAAATATTTCTGGAAATAGAAATATTACTAAGCGCAAAGACATATAAATAGAGTTATAATGCCTCGTTATTCTAGAAATCTCGAGAGGAAGTTCCCTCGTTTTTACAAGCAAAGACATTAGTTAGCTATGTCACTGTCTGATGAAGAAGTTCGTTCGTTAGGAAAAAGAAGTGAATCTATGATGTCGGAAGACCTTCATAGAATTACCCCACTCCATTTGACCACTTCAAGGTCAAGCCGTGCCTCACTAAGTCGAATGCGCTCAAACCAAAGTGAACTTACCCGAATTATAACGGGTATTCGAGACGACCTTCAACTAGACGAAGCTGAACGAGAACAATATCGAGAAAGAGGGGATCCTGAATACATTTTGGCCAGTCAGTTGGATTTGGTCCGTACTCACACTAGACCTAGATCAACTGTTGACTTAGAGTCAGGCAAGAATAATAAAGAACAAGGCACTGAAGTGATAGAAAGTATACTGGAAGACGAAGAAATAGACGATGGTCCTCCTTTAGATAAGGGTATTGCATGGTTAATGGCATTTTGTGGGATGTTGGCTTCCTTCTCCACTTGGGGTGCCAGTGCTGGGTTTGGGGTGTTTTTAAACTTTTATTTATCGGATAACACCTTCCCAGGAACATCTGAATATGATTATGCCTTGGTTGGTGGTACAGTTATGTGTTTGGCAAACATGTTATCTCCATTTGGAGCATTGCTATATAAGATGCTTGGCTTCAAATTGGTTTGTCTCATTGGAGTCTTTCTCCAAACCGCAGCATACATATTAGCATCGTTTGCAACAAAATTTTGGCAATTATATTTAACTCAGGGGGTGGTAGTTGGTGTTTCATTTGTGTTGATTTTCATTCCCATGACGTTGGTCTTGCCCACATGGTTCCTTGAGCGCAAGGCTACCTCCATGGGTATTGTCGTCTCTGGTGCAGGGCTAGGTGGTTTGGTTTTCTGCTTGAGTATCAACCAAGTCATTGAACAAACTGGGGATCAAAGATGGGCATTAAGAATGGTTGGGTTTGTAACATTATTTGCATCTTTAATTGTGGTGATTATCTTGAAGCCAAGAAACCAGAAACGGACACCTTTAAAGGAAGGATTAAGTCCAGAGTTTATCAAGAGAAATTTCAAGCTTGTGTTTGACGTTTCCGTTTTCAAAAATAAAGGAATTTGCCTTCTTGCCTTTTGGTTTGCTATTGCCCTTACTGGATATACATTGATGTTATTTTCCTTGTCGTCATTCGCTACCCTGATTGGATTAACTCACCAACAAGGTTCCGTATTAACATCAGTAATGAATGCAGCACAAACGGTTGGTCGTCCTTGTATGGGGCTTATTGCTGATAAAGTTGGCCGGTCAAACTTTACAGGAATATTGTGTTTGGTCAATGCAATTTTGTTGTATGCTTTTTGGATCAATGCTACCAGTTACGGAGCATTAATCGCATTCAGTGTTTTGATTGGTCTCGTTATCGGGGTAGGTTCTTCAATGGCACAACCTTTACTTGCAGATGTCCTAGAAGATAACCTTGAGAAACTTCCTGCTGGTTGGTCCGGGGTCAATTTTGTGGTTGCACCTTTCTGTCTTGTTGCTGAAGTTATTGCATTGGCCTTGGTTACAGGTGGATATAGACCATACTTACACACACAAATCTTTGCTGGGACATGTTTCATAGCTTGCTTCATATTACTTTTGTTCATAAGAGAGTTTCTTGTCCAGAGACTTTTGTCGAGAAGATTAGAAGCTTCGGAACTGAGATTGAACGAGATCAAGGGAGTTGCTGGGTACTTGAAATCCGAACAAACTTCGGAACTGTTAGAAGGGGAAGATAGAGGAGACGACGATGACAACGAAGAAGAAGAGGTCTTGGTTGACAGAATGGATAGGTACAACCGCTTGTTACAAGGAACAGCCACGGGCTTTTTCTTGAGAGTGGTGTACCCTATAAGAATATAAACCAACTTTGCATAGAATTATTTATTTCTTTCTCATTTATTAGACTTAATACTACAGATATCATTAACTTTGTAAATATGTATTACTTTTTTTTAGACTATACATTAGACCGGTTTCTAAAACACAACGTTATTAAAGTACACATGGAACCCCATCCTAATATATATTTATGTATGTGTGATTAATGAAATATAAATGAAATAAAATATACGCAACAAATATATTCCCTTAACGGTTAGACTTGGCAACTCTTTCCAATTCATCCTTCTTCTTGATGGCGTAAGAAGTAGAAGAACCCTTGGCAGCGTTGATCAATTCTTCAGCTAAACATTCAGCAATGGTCTTGATGTTTCTGAAAGAAGCTTCTCTGGCACCGATGGTCAATAAAGCAATAGCTTGGTTGACTCTTCTCAATGGAGAGACATCAACAGCTTGTCTTCTGACGGTACCGGAAGAACCAATTCTGGTGGAATCTTCTCTAGCACCAGAGTTAACAATGGCGTCAACTAAAACTTGGATTGGGTTTTGTTCAGTTAAAACGTTGATGATTTCCAAAGCGTGCTTGACGATTCTGACAGCCTTCAACTTCTTACCGTTGTTTCTACCGTTCATCATTAAAGAGTTGGTTAATCTTTCAACAATAGGACATTGAGCCTTTCTGAATCTCTTGGAAGCGTATTTACCAGCAGTGTGGGAAACAAAGACTGGGGATCTGATTTGGATGTAGTCAACTAAGGAAACATCGTTGACTTCAACATCATCAAAAGACCACTTGTTGAATAACTTAACTTCTCTTTGAGCTTCTTGAACTTCAGTTGGAATAGGAGTAGCTAATTCAACTAATTGTAATTCTTCTTGAACGACTTCTTGAGGTTGTTCTTCGTATTGTTCTTCAACGTCAGACATCTTGTATAGTACTGGAGTGGTTACTGCTTAAGACTAAGAAGAGGTTGGTATAAATTTTTTTAGTTTTTTTTCTTTACATTTGGTGAGAGGAATCGAAGCTTTTTTTCGCGTAAATTTTTCACCAGTTACCCGGAAAATCCGTGCTGGAAAATATGATTTTCGCACCTTATGTACTGAACATTTCAGCATGTTTACCGATTTAGGGAATACCTAACCCTAATTATTGTCACGTGCATCATCCTTGAATTCAAGCATTACCAATAAACTTCAATAATGTTATTATTTAGTAGCGATAAGTGGATTAAATACAGTAATAATCAGTATAATGACTACCACTACTGTTTTAATTGTTAGTAGATACATATAAGAGTGTATAGGGTTATAAATTACCTATTAATAACCAATTTACGCTGTAAATGAAGTTCTACAAAGAGTATTTCTTACAAATATAGACTCCAATAGGCAGAAATGTATCTGAAGGAATCGCAACTGGTGTATACTTCTTGTATTAGACCATAGAAGTTTGTATTGCTGGTCCATTCTACCCCTGCTGTCCCAGTTTTCATTTTGCAATTTGTTGATCTCCCTTCACTTCCCTGCATGTAATGCAGCAAAAATTTTTATCTCAGAATTTACCTCATCAGCCCAATTAGGAAATGTAATGTCTGGCACGGTGTGTAATTGTGAGAATGGTAGCTCCGATATTTATTGCTTGCAAAACCCACTGCTTGAACATGTATAGCAATAGAGAGGCAATATGCATAGCTATGCTTAGACAAATAACAGCTGTATGATTTACTGTGTATTCCAATTTTGTAGCTGAATGTGGTAGTGTGAAACCGAATACTCCAGTGAATAACTGGATATCACAATCCGGAGAATTGAACATTCCAGCAGAAGACTGATCACTCCGCTACAAAACGGAACACTCCAGCGGAAAACTGAATACCCGAGCATATAACCGAATATTCGTATATTGAATCCGAACAATCCACCAAAATTGTACATAAAATCCGGTGGTTACGGAGCCCAGCCCACTTCGACCCAGCTCAAAATGCGGTTTTTGGACAAAGTATACGAAACATAATCATCTCCATTCTAGCGCTTACAGCGTTACAATATTGCTGATTGATATTCTTGTTTAAAAGATACAAGGTATAGCTTTCATTAGATACTATTTATGTGTTAATTCAAGTGACATGTGGTTATCTGATTTGAATGCTAAAAGCTCAGCAGGAGGTTGATACACACGAAAAACCATTATCGCATGTAGATCAGACTATAGTCACAGGTTCATCAGTCTATAGAAATAGTACTTACCTCAACTTGCAGTAATTCTAGGTTTCTAACCTGACAATAATAGGTTTGTAAACCCATTAACACATATTTATTTGTCTCAAATTATTGAAGTGAGTATACTAGAATACAATCGTGGCTTTTATAACTTTGAAACATCATAGAGGCTTATAGTTATTGATAGGTATAAGCATTTTCTTTGTTTGTATGATATTTAGATATTAAGTTACACATTGAATAGCGAGTATTCAATTGGATTAGTCAATGCACATGTGGCGTGTGTCAGCTACTCGGAATTTTCCAGTGGTAAAACTTAGCACCACACTAAGAAAACTGAATACTTGCCGCGATAGCCGAATACTCCTGTGCGAAAACCGAATACCCCACTTACAGGGCGATAACTGGACACTTTACGATCCAATAAGCCGACGCACCGATCCAGATACAAGCGCAACTAGATCAATTGGTTCATAAACCCGATATGTCAATTCGTAATTTGAACAATGAATCAAAGCGGCCCGGATTGAATGATCTAGCCCTTAGAACAATAGCGAGATCGGGATTCACAGTTGGAACTCCGGATAAACAAAATTCCCAAATCCCGCCTGCGAAAAAATGACAATGGGGTTGTAGCCGCCAAGAAGGAAAACTTAAAAAATATTCCAGAAATGCCGTGCCAGATTTGCTAATCAATTAATTAGTAATTAATTGCTAAAAGGGCTAATATAATCAACAATCTAATGCGGAGAACGGCTAGCAAGTTACTGAGTCATGGTTTGCCAGCGGATATGCATGTAGGTGACAAACATAATCAGAACGCAATGTAAGTGTATGCAAGTTCATTCCGAAAGGCACGAAAAAAGCATTTCATTGCTTGAAAACGTGATTGATAAGAGTTTGCATTGTTTATATGGGACCCCGCAAGACGGCGCCTAAACCGGAGGTAATGAACAATGCAACCCTATGACACAAAGGATTTGCGGAATTACACAGCTAGTGGAGTTAGTCATAGAAGTAATAGTCATCAACTCTCCACACACGCACACTCATATAAATATGTCCAAATTCCATTTTTTTTTTTCAGATTTTTCAGTTGCTACTTCACTTTATAATTATCAAACATGTCCTCCATAAATAGCAATACTCCTGAAAAGCAAGGATCGCCGGATATCATTAAAGATCCAGAGTATTTCATCAGCACTGAATCACTCGACAAGTCGTCGCCAGAAGAACAAGTTGAGCAATTAGCTCAAGACCTTGGTATAAATCAAAAGAAACTCATGTGGAAAATTGATCTTTGGGTCGTTCCACCATTTTGTCTTTTATATTTCCTTTCATTTTTAGATCGTGTCAACATCTCCAATGCTAATCTTTATGGTTTAAGTACAGAATTAGGGTTGGTGGGGAACCAATACAATACTGCCTTAACTGTATTTTTTGTACCATATGTGTTTTTTGAAGTTGCTGCAAATTATACCATCAAATTTGTTCGTCCACACATCTGGTTATCTATTTTAGTTTTGTTGTTTGGTGTCTTATCCATTGGTATGGGATTTGTTCAAAATTTCGGTGGGTTAGTTGCTTGTCGTTTTTTGATTGGGGTTACTGAAGCTTCTACATTCCCATCCATTTTCTATTTATTGTCTACTTATTACTCCAAGAGTGAATCGCAAAGAAGATTCTCGGCCTTCTTTTCGTGTACGGCATTATCGGGTGCTGCCTCCGGTGCCATTGCATATAAAATCCATGACTTGGATGGAGTCCATGGGTTATCCAGTTGGAGATGGATTTTCATCATTGAAGGTATTGTCACTTGTGGGTGCGCAGTTATCTTGTTCTTTTTAATTGCTGATTTCCCAGAACAAGCCCGATTCTTGAATGCAAATGAACGTGAGTTTTTAAAGAAAAAGTTGGAAATTTTGTCTGGTACATCTTCCGCATTTGAAATCAAAAACAAATTAAAGGATGTGTTGAAATGTTTCAAGGATTGGTTGATCTGGTTGCCTGCATTATCCTACTTTGGGTTGATTATTCCTTCTTACGGGTATGCTTACTTTGCTGCCACTATTATTAACCAAATGGGTTACACTGCCGTTGACGCTCAACAGCATTCCGTCTACCCATGGCTTTGTGCTTTCGGTTTGATCAATATTACTGCATTTGCTTCGGATAGATTCCAAAAGAGATTGCCATTTGCCATTGCCTCGTGTGTCATTGCCATTGCTGGTCTTGCTATGGTTTTAGGTGCTACCACTGCTCCTAGAGTGCGTTATGCTGGTTGTTTCCTTACTGCATCAGGGTTATATACTGCCATGCCATTAGTTGTCTGTTGGGCTGCTTTGAATAACGGTTCTCATATTAGAAAGTCAGTCGGTACCGCCTGGCAAATTGGATTTGGGAACATTGGTGGTATCATTGCTACATTTATCTTTTTAGCCAAGGATGCGCCAGTTTACAAGCCTGGTTTAGCTACTTGTATTGCTGCTGTTTGTTTCTCGATCATGTGCTCTCTTGGTTACTTCTACGCTTGTATGAGAATGAACAAGATCAAGCAGACTGATGCATACAAACAGGAATTTGCAGCCATGGAACAACGAGAACAAATTAATGCCGGTGATAGAAACCCAAGCTTTAAATATTTGTATTAGTAGAAGAAGCAAAAAAAAAAAACGAAAATAGCTTATGACGTATGAGAATAGATAATAATTTACGAATAATTTAGTAATTGCTGGCATGGCCACTTTTTCTGTCACGAATCTCGGGCTGCAAACCGTAGGCATGATCCTGCACAGCCACTTTGGTATGCTTTGAAGAAATGCCCTTATGATTGGTTCTAACTATAGATGTTTACAGTTTGTAAATTGGTAGACTTGAAAATATGGTATTGTGAAGTAGCTATCCTTTCTGACAACTTGTAAATGCCAAAGAGGTTGGGTACCTATGTATTGTAAACGTAAATTGCGGAATTGCGATTAATTACGAGGGAGGAGATCACAAAAATAGTTTTGCAGTTTCCGTATTTCGTTTACAGGTTGTTCCTGAACAGCCCTTTTGTTGTCATGGGAAAAAAAAAACTAAAACTAAAACAAAAACCAGGCTGAAGGAAATGTGGGTCAAGCATAAATCTCGCAAAGTATTTTACCATTGGAAGTTCATCAATCGTCGTAAATAACGAATCTTCTTCTTTTGTACAACTTATCTTTGAATTAATACTTATACCATGTCTAAACAAGAATACAATCCACCAACTGGTGCTCCTCCAAGCTGGGCTCAGGGCAACGACGGTTACGTGCCACAAGCTCAACCAAGTTATGCCCCACAAACACAAGATAGAGGGTACAATCAACAACCAGGATACGGTGCTCCACCTCCACAAGGTTATTATCAACCACAACAGGGATATGCTCCTCAACAAGGCTATGCACCACCACCCCAAGGGTACTATCAACAGGCACCCCAACAACCCATGTACGTCCAACAACAAACTAAATCAGGCAATGAAAGTTGTTTAATGGCCTGTTTGGCAGCATTATGTATTTGTTGTACCTTGGATGCCATCTTTTAAACTAGTCGTCCAGTGTGTATGCTCCGAGTTTGCCGGGGCTGTGTGTATGTGTGTGTGAACAAAAAGTGCCGCTGTGCTTTGGCAGTGGGTTATGGTTAAGTGTTTTATTTTTTTTTTTTCTATTTCAATTCGACTACTACATTACGGGTCTGTCTAATTTGCATGTTTGTTCAGGTGTGTGGTGTATACATTGATAGAGCAAATCTCAGTGTGATAGATTGTTGATTTTTTTTTTTGACCTGCTTTTGTTGATACACTTACGGGCAACTCAGCTTGAGATGTGTTCTATTAATGGTTTCCTCTTTTCAATTATGTCGTTGTTTCAATAAATATCGTTGCATTATTTATGTATGTAGTAGTTTAAAATAATATTGATTAAATCTATATAAAAGGACTAATTGAATAAAGATTTCAACACAATGTTGTCACTAGATACTTCTACGATAGTGTTGCCCAATTCATCTTTGCCCAGAATCTTACCATCACCTTTAACAACTGACAATTCTTTGTCATTGCTGTCCAACACCTTGACATAGTAAGGCTTAGAAAACTTACCTTCAACTTTAATGTCGATATGGTGTTCCTGGGACTTCTTAGCAATAACCTTAGCAGCAAGTTCATCTGGTGTTTCTGGATCTGGGATTTCAGTAACGGCACCAGCTTCGGTAACGTCATAAATGTTAACCATAAACTCTTTATTCCAATCGTAGACGGTACTCTTGTGATTAGCATACGGACCAGCAGTAACAATGATAGAATTTGGTCTAACTAATAATGGAAGTGATTTGTAATCATGAACTTCATCAAACCATTCTCCTGAAGTGGTTGATCTCACCTCGCCATCTAACCAACCATACCAATCACCTTTAGGTACATAGTATGTCACATTACCATCATCACCAGTAAAAACAGGGGCTACCAACAAGGAATCACCAAGGAAATATTCGGTATCAGCAGTCACAGCAGTTGGATCGTGGGGATACTCTAACATTAAAGCTCTCATTACGGGAATACCAGTCTTGTGAGCTTCAATAGCAAACTTATAAAGGTATGGCATCAAGGATAACTTCAATTTGGTAAATTTACTCAACACCACACTAGCTTCATCATCAAAGTTCCAAGGAACTCGGTACGATGTACTTCCATGGAGTCTTGAATGAGAACTCAACAATCCAAAAGCACACCATCTCTTATAAATAGCTGGGTTAGGATCACCTTCAAATCCCCCGATGTCATGAGACCAGAACCCAAACCCAGAAAGACAAAGACTCAACCCACCTCTAAGTGTTTCTGCCATAGCTTCAAAGGTTGATTCACAATCACCACCCCAGTGTACAGGATACTGTTGCCCACCAGTAGTAGCACTCCGGGCAAATAAACAAGCTTCATTCTTGCCAAGTTTCAGTTCAAGGGTTTCAAACACTAATTTGTTGTAGAGCAAGGTATAGTAGTTATGCATGGCTACAGGGTCAGATCCATCGTGATAGCGAATGTCCTTGATGGGGATTCGTTCTCCGAAATCAGTTTTGAAACTGTCAACTCCCATATCTATCAACTTCTCAAGATGGGATTGGTACCATTTGCATGCATCTGGGTTGGTGAAATCAACAATCCCCATACCAGCCTGCCACAAATCAGTCTGGTACGAAGCACCATTGTTGACCTGGGGAACGTATCTAATCAAGTACCCCTTGTCGTCAGCTTCAGCAAATAACTTTGATTCTTGACCAATGTAGGAGTTAATCCACACACATATCTTCACCCCGAACTTCTTTTTCAATTCAGCAATTGACTTCTTAGCATCGGGGAAGTATTCTGGGTCAAATTCAAAATCACACCATTGGAACCCCTTCATCCAGAAACAATCAAAGTGGAATGTTCCCAAGGGGATGTTTCTGTCTTTCATCCCCTGGATGAATGAACTGACGGTGTCAATGTCGTAGTTTGTCGTGAATGACGTGGTTAACCATAATCCAAAAGTCCATGCTGGAGGCAAGGCCGGCTTCCCAGTAAGATCAGTATACCTTTGTAAAATAGTTTTAGGATCAGGACCATGGATAATGTAGTATTTGATACCTTCACCTTGGACAGTGATATTAACTCGGGTAGTTCTCTCTGATTGAAGTTCAAACACCACATTTGAAGGAGAATCAACAAAGACACCATAGCCACGGTTGGAAAGGTAGAAGGGGATAGACTTATATCCCCACTCGGAGGAAGTACCACCATCTTCATTCCAGACTTCAACTCGTTGACCATTCTTAACAAATGGACCAAACTTTTCTCCCAATCCAAAGAGCTTCTCGCCAACAGATAAGTGAAGCTGCACTGTCATATACGTCGTAGCTTTATCTGCAGTAGCACCCTGCTTTTCGAATCTGGTGTCCCTAACAAACCCAATCGACTTGTATCCCAACTTGGTCAACACCTTGTCCTTGCCCTTGAAGTCAATTGCAAATGGTTTGGACGTTATTTCAGCAGCAGTACTAGCACCAGCATATAAGGTGTTGACTGATTCATCCTCGCTAGTGACAACATTTGCCCTGTACAGCAGCTTTTCGTCTGAGTATTTCAAAAATTTGGGCTCCTTGTTGTTCTTGTATGTAGAAACATGATGGTATGATTCAACACCGACAATTCCCTCCCTTGGAGAAGACACAATTGTGGAAATAGTAGGGCAGTTCAAAGTGTCACCCCGGTTATTGATGCGTCTTGTAGCAGCAAGAGAGTAGATTTCTCCATCAGAAACCACCGACTTCAAGTTTTCCAATGCCCAGTCGATCCTCACACCTTGTTTCAACTCCCACATCCCGCGGGAGAAACGAGTGTCTGACTCAACGTGACGATCAATTGAATAGTGTTCCATTGTAGAATTTTGTATGTAGTTTGAAAGAAAACTATCAATTATTTTCAAGAAATGCTAGCACTTAAGTATTATCCAGTCTATGGCGGTGTTGAGATATGGTTAATGGTGGCATTATGATCAAACAAAGGAGGGGCATGATAAATCCCGATTGATTTTTTGAGTTGTGCCGAAATTTGCATATACCGTTGCATAGTACGTTGGAATTGTCCCGATGGAAAGGTGGGGAAGAACGACATTATCCCGCATTCGCAAAAAATTGTAAACTATGGGGGTGTGTGTGTGTGTGTATGCACGATGGGTTATTCCCTTGCAAAAATTGGGTCGCAAAAAATGCAAAAATAGACGCTCGCAAAAACGGAAAAACTCGCAAAAATCTTTATGTGTTTTCGCAACAATTTGCAAACCTCGCATAAACTCTTGAAGAAGGTCGCAAAAAAGTTTAATTTTTGCGAATGGGGAAGCAACGATCTTCTCTCACTTGAATTAGTCTATCCTATACCACGGCTGTTTCGCAACAATTCCAATCTGTCTCGCAAAAACTTCCCCGGATCAATCCAACAATAATTTCCCCGGACTTTAATCCCTTGCACTGCATGGATAATATGCTTCGAAGAATGTGGGGCGCATTGTTGCAAAAATAGAATGTTGTAACCAGTTAACGCAGGGCTCATTATGTAGTGCGTTTCAAGGCTGATCCTCTTTTTGTTTTTGTATTTTCTTTTTGTGCCACCACCACCACTACTACCACCACTTGGTGTGTATCGAGGAGAACAATGGCAAGTGTAAGTGGGGATGGTCCACGGTGTTTGTTCATTGGATACTGGAAGTTGTTGCGAGGTGGGCTGGATCTGAAATCGGAGGAGATTCTCCCAGTTCCCCACTCTCGTTTTGCAGTCAAACTGAATGTTCCAAAAACACAAGTACAACTATGAGTTATTTTAGAACTTTAGATTGCTTACCCCACGGGCGGGCTATGGCAAAAGAATTATTGTGGGCCATACAACATAATGGCTAATTTGGGCAGATACGATTTAGGAAGATCCCATAAAAAATATTTTCTATTTTATTTTTTTTTTTAATTATTTTTATTTTTGATGACATTTTTAAACCTCAACGAACGAGTAACATACTACAACTTTCAATATAAAAGGACATGAAAATAACCTATGAATGGCAAGTTTTGATATCATCAATACGAAATCATTAGCTTTCAAACTGAACTATTTCACGAAGAAACTAAAATCGCTATTAAGAATGGGTAAAGATCTCAAAGCTCAGCTGTTCGATCATGTTGAAGATGCTGGTTCCGACATCTCCTCCAGAAGAGGATCCGACCAGGAAATATCCCCTGATGGCAAGTCTGTCATTGATGTTTACGAACAAGCCAAGCAGGGTGTTACTGATGAACATGATATGACCTTAAGAGAAGCATTCCGTGATCACAAACCAGCTATATTTTGGGCTATCGTCATGGCTGCTACTATTATCATGGAAGGGTATGATAACATTTTGACTGGTTCCTTCTATGCTTATCCTGAATTCAAAAAGACGTTTGGTGTTCCCACAGTCGACGATGATGGCAATACCACTTATGAAATCAGTACCAAATGGCAAAGTGCCTTGGGTTCTTCTTCGTCTGTTGGTACAATCCTTGGTGTTTTCTTTAACGGGTACTTGGCTGAACGGTTTGGTCACAGAATGGTTATTAACGTTAGTTTGATATTCATGGCTGCATTCATCTTTATTGTCTTCTTTGCTAGGTCCATCGAGGTCCTTGTTGTTGGTCAAGTCTTGTGTGGTATTCCTTGGGGTATCTTTGCCACCATTGGTATTTCTTATGCTTCAGAAATCACCCCGCTTGTATTGAGAGGATACCTTACAGCAATTATCAACTTGTATTGGGCTACTGGTCAGTTCATTGCTGCTGGGGTTTTACAAGGATTGGTTGGTCTTGATAGTAAATGGTCATACAAGATCCCTTATGCGTTGCAATGGATGTGGGTTGTTCCTTTGTTTGTCTTGACTTATTTTGCTCCTGATTCACCTTGGTACTTAATCAGAAAAGGGAGAATTTCTGATGCTGAACATGCTATAAAACGATTAGGTTCCAAGCGTATTGCTCACAAAGCAAAAGACTCGTTAGCATTGATGATTAGAACTAATGAAATTGAAGTCCAACAAGATAGAAAGAACAGAGAAGAGTTGGGCGGATGGAAAGGGTACATTGAGTGTTTTAGAGGCACAAACTTGAGAAGAACAGAAATCATGTGTATTTCATTTGCTGGTCAAGTTCTCTCTGGGTCAACTTTTGCCTACTCACCCAGTTATTTCTTCTCTCAAGCTGGTTTAAACTCGGATCAAGTCTATAAGTTGAATCTTGGTACTACTGGTATTGCCTTTAGTGGGACAGTCTGTTCGTGGTTCTTATTGAACAAATTTGGTAGAAGAACAATTTACGTCACGGGTTATTTCTTCTTGGTGTTGTTCTTGTTCCTCATTGGTGTGTTGGCCAAACCGGCTGAAACTAATGGTGCTGTTAAATGGGCACAGGCGGCACTTACCATGTTATGGGTGAGTACATACGCATTGACTATTGGTCCTTTAGCATTCACCATCACGGCCGAAACGTCAGCCACCAGAATCAGATCCCAATCGGTGTGTTTGGCAAGAAATGCATATAATTTGGTGTCGTTAATATCTCAAATTGTCGAACCATACCTTATTAACCCAGGTTCAGCTAACTTAAAGGGGTTGACTGCATTTGTATGGTTTGCCACCGCATTCCCTACTTTGATCTGGTCATTTTTCAGATTGCCTGAAACTAAGGACCGGACATACGCTGAACTTGATATTTTATTCGAAAGACGAGTCCCTGCCAGAGAGTTTGCCGCTTATCAAATCGATGTGGCTGATATTGTCCAAGAAACCGTTTCTGAAGTGCCAGTCACTGAGAAACAATAGATGTTTAATTCTTATGTGTTTATTTTCTGTACTTAATCTATACGATGTTCAATTGACTGTTTTTGTAGAATCTCCGAGTCTAAATGGAGGAAATTCGTAGCCATGATCAAATCTGCCAAAAGGACACAGATACTGTTGATGAAAAATCCAATGTATAACTTGTTATGGGCTGCTAATTTCCCTGTGAATATTGGGCCGATGCATCTGGCAAATGTCTTTCCGATGTTGACTATCCCCATGACCTTGGTGATTTCCTCTTTAGGCATGATGGAAGTTAATAATACTTGACGAGGAACAACGTCCATGGTAGTTGTCGTGTAGTACAACATCAATAACCCAGCAACAGGTAAATAAGTATTGAAAATTGGCACCATGCCAAAGAAAATCGCTGAAGGAACTTGCGTAAACAAAATGGCCTTGACAGGACCTAACAACTTGGCAAGGTATGCGGAAGGCAAGGATGAAATGGCATTGATGGAATTGGTAAAGAAGAATAACGTTCCTAATGCACTGGCACTTAGGAGCAATGTTATCTTTAAGTAATAAACCACCCAGGCCGATGGCATGAATCCATACCCTAACGAATCAAGCATGAAAATTGCTAATAAACGAGGTAAGTAATAACGAGTAGTGTTGGACAATCCTGACTTAATAGAGCTGATCTCTTCGTCTGGAGTAGCATCTACTAATAATGGTGACTCTTCATCGCTATCTTTGTCTTGCTCTTCAATGAAATTATCAACGTAAACTTCGCACTTGTTACTTAAAAACAACATCAATGTCAACTTGATCAAGGAGAACCCAGCATACAACACGAAAATATATCTGTAACACTGTTCCATCTCATATCCCCACGCTTGGTTCATATAATCCACCAAAACCCCACAAACCAACGATCCCAAGGCCGCACCCGCGGTAGCAAACAACCCATGGAACGCAAAAATCTCTGGGCGGTGATTATGCGGCGTCAAATGCGCAATAGACGCTTCCTCTACTGACTTGAACGGCCCTGTCTCATCTCCTGAGGGCGAAATGACCCCAACAATAGCTGCAGCTAATAACACATAAAAGTCTGAGCTTATAGCAAACGTGATCCCCGAACCAAACATCATCACGGTTCCAATAATCATCACTACTCTCCTCCCAATCTTGTCTGCATTCCATGTAAGATAATATGAGATGAGTGTGTCTCCAATTAACGTCAACGTCATGAATATCCCGATTCGCTCTTCAGATATATCAATGGCTTTTAAATAAAGTGTGAGCACTTGGTTAGTGAGACCATAACTGGCCATACGGAAGAACACCGAACTCCATAGGAGTCGTATATCCAGATTAGACTGTCTGAGTGATTTAAGTAGATGCATATTGTTGATAACGTTGTTCTGGGGTATAAAAGGTTGGAAGTGGGGGAGAGGGGGAGGTGGAGGATCGGCTTGTTCTTTTATAGAATTATTCGCTCCTGCATACAGCGCAGGAAAAACAGTGCTAAAAAAAATAAAAATAAAAAAGAAACGCGACAATTACGCAAATTGACGTATTTTGCGATGACTTTAAAAATAGCACCAAGTTATAATGACCAGGTAGTGAAATTAATCCACAAAAATAATTGGTGAAATAACCAAAAAAGAAGAACCCACGCCGGGAGTCGAACCCGGAATCTTTTGATTAGAAGTCAAACGCGTTAACCATTACGCTACGCAGGCGCTTTCATGTAAAGATAATTTCAATTTTTCAAGACACCAATAGTGTGTAGGTAAACAATATGTTTTCTCCTTCTTAGATCTTTAATCTGGTAACTTTGATAGCTCCAGATTTAGTCAAGGAGCTGTGCACATTTTGGTTTATGTTATTTGGATAATTTATAGTTAGAATAAGTTAAGCTATATTAAATATATATATATATATATCCATTCGGGTGCAAAATAAATTGACAGATTAAGAAAACCTATTAAATAAAGGTTGGGAAAACATTGTACCAAACTAGTTCAAACTACAAATGCTTGTTATAATTCAGATTTTGTCATTAATTTTCTATAATAAATATCGTAACTAAAAGAAAAACTAGCACCAGAACTGGTACATTCTATAATAAAGTGGTTGAGATTTAAGATGTTCTTTTTCTTCTTCAATCTCTTGACGTAAAAGATCAATGTCAGTTTCTCTCTTGCCTCCATCAACATCGATATCTTTGGCACGAATTATCAAAATCCAATTCCTGGCAAAGAGCTTGTGACCAAAATAGAAAACAACAATGATAATAGCACCAAGATATGTTTGGAAGAATAAAACAGGACTTGGCTTTTGACCAATTGGGAAAAGCGCCAACCAAAATTGAAGAGCCAACACAACAAAATTCATAATTAATCCATAATAGGCCCCCCACACACCAGTGTTTGAACGGTATGGTAATTCATGCAATGATCTATCTTGAGCTCTCATTCCCAGTCTAAATCTGATAAATGAAAGATTGATACTTCCCCATGTGAACAAGGTAGAAAGACCAGATAAGGAAACCAACCACCCGAAAACTTGGTCCTCATATTTAGAAGCAGAAACAAACGATAATAAACCAACAATAGCAGAAGTACAAATCCCAGCAAGTGGTCTTCCCTTACGGTCAACATAAGTGTAAATCTTTGGTGCAAGGCCTTGTTCACCAAGAGCCAAAATAGTTCTGGAAAACCCATAAACTGCAGAGTTACCAATGGATAACAAAGCAACCAAAATGACAACATTGAAAATTGAAGGTAAAACCTTGATACCACCAGCTCTAATGGCAATGACAAATGGAGAAGCAGAAGCATCACTGGAACCTTGAGCATCGAGCAATTGAGGAGAGTTGGCTGGGACAAGGAAGGCAATCAACATCAAAGTCAACATGTAGAAAATCATAATTCTCCATAAAACTTGCTTGATAGCCTTGGGCAAGACTTTTCTTGGGTTTCCTTCGGATTCACTGGTGGTTAAACCAACCAATTCAGTTCCTGCAAGGGAATATGTAGCTGATAACAAAACTGATACAACCCCTTTAAATCCAGTTTGGAAAGGTGGATGCCAATTCTTACCTCCGATATAACCTTGATCACCACCACCACAAATCAAGACAACAGCTAAAATATTGAAACCAACAACACCCAATAATTTGATAATGGATGCAATAAATTCAGTTTCACCAAACCCCTTGTTTCCATAAAGATTCAAACCAATGATTAAAACGTAAAATATAGCAATCCAAACAACACTGTTAATACTTGAATTCCAAAACTTGATAGTCATGGATGCAGCAACCAACTCCAATGGAAGAACAACGACCCAAAACAAGGCATAGTTCCACCCCATGGCAAACCCCCAACTTGGATCGACAAATTTAGCAGCATAGGTAGCGAATGAACCTGAGACCGGGTATGCTGAAGATAATTCCGCTAATGACTGCATGGTACAATACAAGAAGGAAGACACAATTGCCCAGGCAATCATTAAACTGGCAGGACCCCCAACCTTCAAGGCTTGACCGGATACAACCAAAAGTCCAGAACCAACACATCCACCCAAGGCAATCATTTGCAATTGTCTCTTTTTAAGTGTTTGCTTCAACACAGGGGCTTGTCGTATTTCCTCCTTGTCGCCATTTTCTAAATCACGGATAATAACCACGTCTTCAGCGCGTTTGAACGAGTCGGCAAACTCGCGCCATATTCCTGGTTTGGATTGGTTGGCATATGTTAATTCATGGGTATTGGAATTGAGAGAAGATGAAGATTCGATCTTGGACTTTGATTCAGTGATTGAATCAGTATTATGTTTTATGTCACTCATGCTTGAGTAAATGCTTATATTTAAAAGTGAAGAGAAATTACAAAGAGACTTAAAAAAATGGAGAAATTACATTGACTTATATACCTCTTTGTTTTAACTGAGGAAACTATTGTAGGATGACTGATATTTGCCAAGCGAAACATCATGATACTGTTTCTTTTTTTTTTGAAATTTACCTTTCTTTTTTTTATTTTTTCAGTGCGATACAGGGATAAAAGTTTGCGGCAATTCGCCAGGAATGTGCGGCAATATGGGCTGTCGGATAAATGGTATGCAGGAAGATCACATCAGTGGATCGCGCATACAATGGAAAAGTACCAATTTTAAGCGAATATTTTTTGTTACCAAAAAAAAACGCCTACGCCCCCCCCTCTCCGGTGCTGCAACCTTTGCATCCCCCCGTCACCGGATCCCGGGCGAGGGGACCCATCCAGATATGACTAACATATAAGAGTCATATAGTTGCATATGCATTATCAGTTTGCCATTGTATTGTGGTAACGTGGTTTCGGACAATCCAGTATTGGGTGAGAATAAATTAAGAAGTAATTGCTTGTAATTTAGAAGATCACTCAATTTTCCCCCTGTCACTTATTCCTATTTTTAAATGACAATCTGTCTATTTTTGGGTATGCCGGCAGTTTAGGAATATCTGTTTTTCGGTTTGGATTGCCTATTTTAACTGATCTTTTTGATAGTTGAGCTCGGTACTAAGAAGGTATGGTTCATTGCAAATGTATTGACCTTTTAGATCAATGAAATATCGTAATTTGTAACAATTGTAAACATTATCAATGGTTCCCGAGGGTACCTGCAAAAATGGGGATGGAAAAAATATTTGTTTTAATTATAAAGTTTCTTTTGTCTCTTATTTTTATTTTTTTTTTTACTTGTCCCTGTCACATAGTAAAGACAAACAAATCATTTTCTTAATTCTGTGTCTTTACACTACGAGTTTGGATTTATTCCAAGAGTAATTAAAACTTATGAAAAGGAATGATCAGAGTTACACCACGCTGGGTTGTTTCTAAGTAATATTATGTTTTCGTGATGTTTTCAAATCTGCAGTATATCGAATTTAATACTAAATTCCAATCTTGACCTTGATAAAAGAATTATGGCTTTGACTAAATGAACAATACATGGAAATACTGCAAGTATTTCTGTATCAAAGGGCGAATAAATATCTCTACAACAAGTTTTGCATTTTGGCCAATCATCAATAACGTTCTTCGCTCCAACTTGTTCAATACTTCTACAAATAGATTCAAAGAAAATTAAAGTAATTGTTAATTTATAAAACAAATATGTAAAAAAAATCAGCCTGGTTACAATCACATTAAAGTAGCCAGGTCAACAAAATAGCTAAACAGAGTAAAACGTCGATGGAAGAAACGATCGAGTTGGCTGAGGATGCTTTCTCTTCAGGTGTGTCTGAGGATTCCTGGTGTTCAGATCTTCCTCTGGAAGCTAAGGTTCTGTTCACACCAGGAGGTGGGAATACCTCAATATCTTGATTTCCTTGACTGAAATCTGATTGTGCTAAGGATACTTCTTTGTCACCTAAATCAACCACAAAATATATGCTTCTTAATACATCCATTGCCAAAATTAAGAGATCATCATTAAAATTGATTCTAAAACCACATGCATCACCTGTGCTGTCGTGAACTTCCGTATAACCTAAGCTTTTTGCCGGAACTGTGATTGTCTTACCATCAAATTTAATCTCAAATTTTAGATTTTGTACTTGAGAGCAATCAGGAGAACCAAATACTCCGTTAGAATCGATATATCCGGCTCCTTTTATTTGTCCCAACAATGTTTCTAAAAACAGCTTGGGGAACAGTGATGTAGTGGTTCCTGTATCCAAAACAAATGCTGATTCGGAAATACCTCCAGACACTTTGGCATCATTGATATTAATATCTATTCCCAAAACATTCACTCTAATATGTGGCTCAGTTTCATTATAGACAATGGGAACTGTTTGTAAGTCTCCTAAATATTTCGAATGATCAACTGCTCCGAATAGGACTGATCCAGTTTTATTAGGTTTATTCAAAAATATTGAATATGCACTTCTGTTGGTTATCCCCTGATTTTTCAATTCCACGGGAAAAGAACGGCCAGTCGAATTTACCCTTGGGAAACTTATCCCTAAGATTCCTACCTCCAGCGAAGCTCCATCAGCGAGTCCAAAACCAAACCCTTTAACAACGACATCTTTACCAAGAGAAATGTCATCTTTAACATAGAAGCCATCTGCGGATTCTTTATCGGCGTATTCCATGTGAAATGATTCCTCTGTTTTATTGAAAGTTTCAGACCCCTGAAATGAAAATGTTCCATGAGCTTTACAATCTGGGACTTTGCCGGTAAGTGGGCTTGTCTTACACGCACCATTGGAATCCATGACCCATAATACGCTTGAACCTGTGTCAACGTCCACCGTAACTCTATCTCTGTTTGAACCGATCTGAAGTTCAGTCAACATTTGGGATTGCTTGTCGTCTTTTAGGGACATATCTACAGCATCCCTTTTTCCAAACACATCTCTAGAGACATGACTCGGATGTATTTCTAAACTAAAATACCCCGGCGACGCAGTTGCAAATACTGCTCCACATAAAACCCACTGTAATAGCAAAAGTTTGAGCATTTCTTAATATTTCTTTTGTAGTTGAATATTCAACATGATATCGAAAGTATCAAATGAAAGAAAAATCTACCCAATTTATATAGAAGCTGATATAAATAATCAGACCACCTTGCTCGTTGTTGTATCTAAAATCATCTTGGCTGCCCAGAGAAGATGCAAAAAAAAATTGTAAGGTTGTCACATAGTCAAGACAAATAACTTGTTTACTAATACCACGGCACTAATTTGGAATTATACCAAGAATTATTTAACCTTATGAAAAAGGAATGTTCATAATTATAATATGTGTGAGAACATGGGGTATTATACTTTAAAATTGGATTGATTGACGAATTTAACTTGTTTAGTCAATACTGTAAACTAGTCAATTATCTCCCCAATTTTATAATTTATATATTCTTCCTTATGGAAATTAACCTGCGAAATAAATACATTTAAGATTAAACTAGAAAGCAATTATAAGTGTAAATTACTAGAGTTAACTTTCAGGTCACAAAATTCTATCCTTTATTATAGTCGTTTTCTTTATTTTCGTAGTTTAGTCGAATATTATCTCAATACGAAGAATCGGGGTCAAACCACCATTCTATAGGATTAAGAAAATAAAAAAAAAGTTCCACTATAGAACAAACTGAAGTACACTCCACAGCAGTCGTATGACTACATGATAGTCCCTATTGCAATACTTTTTTTACCTCTAGATTTTTTCTGTTGTGGCAGGAAGGATAACAGAACCTAAGCTAATCTTTAGTTGTATTACGTAGTCTCGAAGCAATACTCTTTGGTTCAGTTTGTGATGATTCAGAGAGGAGATCCTGATTAATAGTTTGGCATTAATTGAGTGATTTGGGTTAGTTGAAATTTTTCTTGATATTTTGCAAATATTTTATCAAAAAAGTATTTGAGATAAAAGAAAAAGCTTTTGCTACTAAAATTACCTCGTATGATCAATTAGTCAAATAATCCCATTTAACCAAGAAAGCAGAGAATGAAAAACAGACTTTACAGTTTCGTATTACTATGGCCATGTGCTGGGAGAAACTCAATGTTTTTCCGAAGTCAGTCCAGGGCACCTAACCACTAAAGACAATTATAGCTGTAATGTAAAATATTATAATATTTGTCAATATTCAGATGAAACAAGTGCTATTACTGAATTTGAGGTATACCTTTGCTTCACTAGCAATTGTGTCTTGGGGTTGGGGAGAGGGGCAATTGTCACTTTAGAGGCAACCTAAAACGCTACTGCATATAAAACACAAACATTACGTCAGAGTCATACACACGAACACCGAGGAATATTCAACTTCCACCACTCAGCCAATTGTCTTTCTCGCTGTAGCTATTCAAGAAGAAACTAAATGGATATGTCTGGATCAGGTAATTAGCGTGTGATCAAAGGATGGTTTCAAATACTCCGAACTGCGAGGACGGCTATAATGGGAAAAAAAGAAAGTGGGGGGGGGTTTCAGGGGTAAACTTGCTATACACCCCCCCCAATTTTTTTTTTTTGGGGTTGACAAAATCACTATTGCTCTTGACTATAAAACCTCAATTTCATTCATGAATTAAGTAAACTACACTCTTTTTCCATCTAAAATCGTCTAAAATTGTCTAATTGAGATCTGAAAAATGCCATCAATTGAGTTTCGCCAAACCAATGATCCAGAAAAGATCAAGCAAATGTACACATTGTGTGGTTCACAATGGAGTGGGAAGTTGACACCTGAGGAATATGGTCAATTGATGTTGGAAGACCATCTTGACTTTATAAATGAGCGAGGCGGGAAACTAGCTTCATTTTACCTCGAAGATACCACCAATGGAAAGGTTGTGAGCACGGTAACCGTGAGACAAGTCCCTGGTTTTTACAAACCAGCGGATAAATCCAATGCTATTTCGTCGATTCCTGACCCCGAACTGTTTGGAGTCAAGAATATTACGGTGTTATTAGTTGGATACGTGTTTACCCATAAAGACTACCGAGGGAAAGGGTTGGCTGAAAGGTGTATCTCCCTGGCTATTGAGTATACTGAACGGGAAATAGTCAAACTGTATGTTGCTGGAAATGGTACTACTATTCCTGATAGCATGAATGTTGACAGCTTCAAGAATATGGTTCTTGATAGTGACGGCAACGTTGATTATGAATTGGCAAATTATTACTTGGGTAAACAATATTTTTGGATGTTGTATTCTGGTGTCAATACCTACTACCAAAGATTTGGATTTAAAGGGTATCCATTGGATTTTTATAAAATTCCCACCTCATTGCTAACTAAAGCACAAGAAAAAGTGATTGTTGAGCTTATAAAAGGAAGTACCAGTGATGAATCAGAAAAGTTGATGGGTAAGAGTCTCAAATTATTGAGGGCCGACAACCAATCTGATCAAGATATCATAAAGTTCATATTGCAAACCAAAGAATTGCAAATGATTACGGAATTGAATAAATTGACTTTCCACCTGAAACTTCAACATAGTCAAAAATCGTCTTCGTCTTTACTTAACATGAAGGATGCATTGTCCATGACTCCTAAACCAGACTCTGGGTCCCTGGAAGAATTTGTGTTGGGCCATGCAAACTCATATCCCCTGCCAACTATGACTCCACCATCAGTGCAAAACAATCAAACCATTCCAAAAATTGCAATTAAACCATCTTATGAAACGTTTCAATGGAATGTACGCGTTGAACAATGTGATGCCCAACCCAAATACAACCCGGATAATCCCCACTCTGTGGATTTTACCAATATCCAAGGTGCGATAATCACCAACGAATTACAACAAAGATCATACTACATTCTTTGGAATACGCTTATGCATGCGCAATTTTTTATTTTAGGCATGGGGGAAATCAAGTTTGATACGGGACATCCAAGAAGGAGAGGGTCTTCACTTGCTTCATTATCGGCACTTAACGAGTTGGGTGGATACAATTTCCAAGACCTTGATATCTTGTTCAGTACCGCCATGTATGTTGCCAAACAGAGAGATCACAAACTCGAACATATTCTGGTATCGGTGAATGACGTGCCAGACGAGATTCCCGATGCTGTCATGTATGATTTTTTTATGAATTATCTCCCAATGACAACATCTTTTGAATCACAGGAAGTGAATCAACTGGTACAAACAAAGGACCGAGGTAAAGTTGAACTAATCAAGAATGCTGCAAAACAGATGGAATTTTTGCCAATGTTGAAGAAATTTGGTACTAAAAACCATGAATTTGATTTGGATTGGATATACAGTGGTATGTTGTCATGGGGTTAACGTAGCTAGATTTATATATTTTGAATACAAGTTGTATTGTGAAAAATTTGTAAAACTGGGTAAAACTGGGTAAAACTGGGTAAAACTGTGTATTTTGATATGACTGCATACAAACGTATAGGTGTCAGATGAGGCAAAATTGTACGGCATCAAATATTTTTTTTTTTTGCTTACATTTTTGGGGGGGTTTGATTTTTTTTTTTACTTTTCTCTTTTGCTACCATCTACTGATTTAAACTTTTAGTTACAAATCCTCGAGCCGAGGCAAAATACATTATCTGCATAAAGATATACAGTCATGAGTAATGGAAATTCCAGTGGTCCCAGACCTGGAACTAATTCGTTAGGAAACTTGGTCAACGTCGCAACCAGCATCTCCCAAGAATTGCATCTTATTGACTCACAACAAATCAAACTGGAAAGACAACAACATCAACCATCGCCAACACCTTCCAATCAGTCTCATGTTCCTTCGAGATCACAAACACACACCCCACAAGTTCATTCACAAACTCATTCCCCTTTGATTCAAGGAAGCAGCAACTCATCTCATAATGGACCGGTACCTCCGTTAACCAGTTCTTTATCACCACCATTGGCAAACTCTCCAGCACTGCAAAAGGCAGGAAAGCCAAAACGAATGGCATGTGTTGAGTGCAGGCAGCAAAAGTCACGATGTGATGCCCTGGAGAGACACCCCGAACCATGCACCAGATGTTTCAAAAAGGGATTAAAATGTGATTTGAAATCCGACTACAAGAGAACTTACAAACGAGCAAGAATAGCCCAGATTGAACGTGAATTCTCTGAGTTAAAGAAAACATTGAATTCCACCCAAGCAGCAGAATTATTGAATAAAGTTCCCTCATTAGCCAACATAACGAGCCCACAAGAATTTGTATCAAGCCCTCAAAGTCGTACTATCATCCCTAATCCTAGTGCTATACGACATAGTCAAGTATGGAATAATAATATTAACAACAAGTATATTGGTGGTACTCCATATGTCCCACTTGCAAACTCACCTGGTGCAACTATGCCGGCACAATCTCCTCCATACCCTAGTCAGCCACCATTGCGAGATAGTTTGCATAACCCTGAACAACCTCATTCAGCATTGGCTCGTCCACCAATAGCCACACCCTACGACAGACCACATCATGTATCATCCTCAGAAACAAACTACTCCATTCCAAACACCCCATCCATTGCAAGACCAGTACCTGAACCAACTGGCTATCAAGGACCAGTAAATCGTGAATTGCAAATCACCATGTCCGAAGCTGCCATGAAATGCGAAGAGAAATCCGTGGATTCAATCACATTATCACCAGAAACAATTAAAGCTCTCTTTTTAGAATATGTGGAGAGATACCACCCAATTGTCCCCATTGTCGATGTGGAAATGGGACCAGAAAGAATTTATAGAATATGTCCCGCTCTTTTCTGGGTGATTATGTTTGTTTCGTTAAGAAGATTTTACGAAGACACTTCATTATTGGTGCAATTATCACCCATTGTCAAGGGAATACTTGCTGAAATCATGATCTCTCCCATAACAAGATATAACCCATTTGAGGAAGACGAACCTACCCTTAACGTCAGTTCTGTATATTCAGTACAAGCGTTCTTACTTTATTCATACTGGCCACCAATTACTTCTTCATTAAGTGCCGATTCATCTTATAGTACGGTCCTGACGGCATTCTTTCAAGCCATTCGAATCGGTTTGCATTCGCCAGTGTCTATGTCCGACACCAATATCAATTCCAGGACTCCTCAGCAATTGACCATGGCCAAGGAACAAGCCAAGACATGGATAGTCAGCAACATTGCATCCCAAACCATTGCTACGGCCTTCGGATTCCCAGCATGTGTACAATTTGACTCTTCGGTATGGTCATATTCTCGTCCTGACCGAGGGATAAAGATTCCACAAGCGATTCAATTCATGATGGAAATTGCCTATTTTGAAGATCAAATGGCAAAATCTTTGAATTCTAACCCCTTGGATACTTATGGTTTAATTGATCCTACAGAAAGATTACCATTGTTGAAATTGTTAACAAAAAGATTGGATGAGTTGGAAATCAAAATGTCACATGAATTACCTTATGAAGATGCATTTAGAAAATTTCAATTATTGTCAACTAGAGTCCATTTGTTAACTTATTATTTCATGGATTCTTCAAGAATTGCTGATTTTGAATTACAAAAGGGATTGGTTAAACTTTATAATGCCGCCATTGCTTTAATAAACCATACGCGGGCCTATCAAGCCAAAGATAAAAAGTTTATCAAGTATTTACCTGGGGTTTATATTTTGAATGTTTGGCAAGCTGCTTGTATCATTGGAAAGCTTATCCATTCAAGATTGAAACTGTTGGTCGATACGGGATCAGGGAAACAGAGTTATGAAGCAGCCATTGCCCTTATGGCCAAGGCTTCCATATTAAAGCATGATATGGCCTATCGTGCTAGTGCAATCACGAGAAACATGTGGCAACTTTTCCGAACATTGGATGAAAAGAAAATGAGCAGTTTGAGTATTGACATTAGAAACAGAATGTCTGCGTCCGTTTTCTTTGATTGCTTGTACCTTTTGAGAACTCAAGTGGGTATGACCAAATTAAATCGCGACAGCAACAACATTGCGGAACAAATTGATCATGAGCAAGAAGAAGCAGTTGTTTCTTATGATGAAGACGAAAATAGCTCAGGAGAATCTAGTGCTTCCGAAGAAGCAGTTGAGGCAGAAGAGAAAAATGAGGGCAACCCTAGTGCAAAATCCACCCCTGGAAGCACTACTTCTTCATCGAGAATACGGAAGGCAAGATCGTTATCTCATACTGTTGATGCCGAATCAAAAGCAAGAAAGATTATCATGACTATTCCATTAGATCCGCAGCCTATCTCTGTCAGTGGTGGAAAAAGAAGTTCCATATTCAAAGTGGTTAATTCTTCCAATGATTCTTCACCACATGTCAACAATTCCTCGGAAAAGAGCTCTCCAAATGTTACTAGACAAGCTGAATCACCAAATAATAGTCGCTTGAGCAGCTCTAATAACAACAAACCCGCACCACCATCTTCTTGGAAACCAGTTGAAAACAAGGAAGAAGTTCCAGTATTGCCTAAACAAACTCAAAAACAACCCCAACAATATCCCCAGCAGCAACAGCAGCAGCAACAACAACAACAATATGTGCAAGATTATCAACCCCAGCAGCAATTTTCAGATATGGTATTCAACGAATCTCCTATACAACTAGGCTTAGAAAATTTGGAAATGGACACTTTTGATCATGATATGCTTTGGAAAGATGTCGATAGTGTCATGAATGATTTTGGTTTCCCTACAAGCTAACTTCAATCTATTCTGTATATTTTACTTCTCTAATAAATATGTAATACTACTTAGAATCAGTTTCATCTGTATATTTAATTCTCTGTATAATATAAAATGTAATACTATATATGTATATATATATCTCTCGCGCTGTTTAAAATTTGCAGCTATGGGATTTTTCGGGTCGTGTGCTAATGTCAAAAATGACACATTGAAATTTTTTTTTTTTTATTTTTTTCAATAAAGAAAATTTTTTTAAAGCCTAAGCAAATACATTAATCATCATCGTTAGCACATAACAACTAATACATTAATTATGTCTGTATATGACGATATTGAAAACGCAACTCCTGACATTGTCATTGGAGGATCTGTTGAACCAGAAGAAGAATTTCAATATGAACACGAAATAGAAAGTGACAATGAACACCAAGAAGGTGAATCAGCTCAAGTTGAAGCTGCTGAAGAAACCAAGACCAAGAAATCTGTTGCCTTTGCCGGGTTAGACGAAGAAGAAGACGAAGAAGCCGCCAAGAGAGAATTTGAAGAAGGTGGTGGATTACCTGAACAACCTGAAAATCCAGATTTCTCCCAAATGACTCCATTGTCTGCTGACATTATCAATAGACAAGCCACCATCAACATTGGTACCATTGGTCACGTCGCCCATGGTAAGTCTACTGTTGTCAGAGCCATTTCCGGTGTTCAAACTGTCCGTTTTAAGGATGAATTGGAAAGAAACATTACCATCAAGTTGGGTTATGCCAATGCCAAGATTTACAAGTGTGATAACGAAGAATGTCCTGCTCCAGATTGTTACAGATCCTTCAAGTCCGACAAGGAAATTAGACCAAAATGTGCCCGTCCTGGATGTACTGGACGTTATAAGTTACTTAGACACGTATCATTTGTCGATTGTCCAGGGCACGATATTTTGATGAGTACCATGTTGTCAGGGGCAGCCGTTATGGATGCCGCTTTACTTCTTATTGCCGGTAATGAAAGTTGTCCTCAACCACAAACATCTGAACATTTGGCTGCTATTGAAATCATGAAGTTAAAGCACGTTATTATATTACAAAATAAAGTTGATTTAATGAGAGAAGAATCTGCTTTAGAACACCAAAAATCAATCATGCAATTCATTAGAGGTACCATTGCTGATGGCGCTCCTATAGTTCCAATTTCTGCTCAATTAAAGTATAATATTGATGCTGTCAACCAATTTATTGTCAACTCCATTCCTGTTCCAGTCAGAGACTTTTCTGCATCTCCAAGATTGATCGTTATTAGATCTTTCGATGTCAATAAGCCTGGTGCAGATGTTGATGACTTGAAGGGTGGTGTTGCTGGTGGTTCCATCTTAACTGGTGTTTTCCAAATTGGTGATGAAATTGAAATCAGACCTGGTATTGTCACCAAGGATGATAATGGTAAGATTCAATGTAAGCCTATTTTCTCCAATATAGTATCATTATTTGCTGAACACAATGACTTGAAGTTTGCTGTTCCAGGTGGGTTGATCGGTGTCGGTACAAAGGTGGATCCTACTTTATGTAGAGCTGATAGATTGGTTGGTCAAGTTGTTGGTGCCAAGGGTAACTTGCCATCTATTTACACAGATATTGAAATCAACTATTTCTTATTGAGAAGATTGCTTGGGGTCAAGACCGAAGGTCAAAAACAAGGTGCCAAGGTCCGTAAATTAGAAGTTGGGGAAGTTTTGATGGTTAACATTGGTTCTACCGCCACTGGTGCCAGAGTTGTTGCTGTCAGAGCCGATATGGCCCGTTTACAATTGACTTCTCCTGCATGTACCGAAGTCAATGAAAAGATTGCTTTGTCTAGACGTATTGAAAAGCATTGGCGTTTGATTGGGTGGGCCACTATTAAAAAGGGTACGACTTTAGAACCAGTTGCCTAAATGACATAATTCTACATAGGTTTTGTATTTATAGTTTCATTCATATCATTTTACTACAAACATTTGTGCGAAAAAATAATTAAAATTAACGAATACTATCTAGTGGTTTCTATTTGAAAGTCCCTTCAAGAACCTGGGCATTGAATCAACTTCCATCAATCGATAAAGATGGTTACTGACTTGAGAGAACAAGACAGAAACATCTGATAAAAGTTTGATCGATTCGTCATGAAGTTGAACGAAGGAGCTTATATCGCTCGTCGGTATATCCTCCTCAGTGTCTGTTTGGTTCGGTTCATTCAATAAGAGTTCCGAAATATTACTCTGAGTCGTACTAATAAAGATGTCTGAAATGCTGGCTTTTAATTTATAAGCAATATTAACAACGGAAGGAGCTCCATCGCTCAAATATGTTATAAATATCTGATATGCCAAAGTGGAACATGTTCTTTTAAGCTGTTGCAATCGCCTGTCTATTTTTTGAGCCACCATCTCATCTCTAAAACTTCTTTCATGCACATATTTCAATAGCTTCTTATAGTTATTCAAGATCTTATCAAAATATTTTAAATGCATATACGCCTCAAGATTTTCCAAACAATACTCTCGATTAAGATGCATTCTAAATTGCAATCTCATTCCCGGATCCTTTAAGATGTCTTCTAGAGTGAGTTGTTTGCCAGAATGTTTACCAGTTAGGAACTCAAAATGAGCCTTGGGGCATTTATCCCATTGACTTACCAGAAGTCCCAGTTCTGTTATGGTATAATACAGGTTTCTGGTACTAGAAAAATGCCCACCCGACAGTTGATCTGGTGCTATTTGCTTGATTAGCTTATTCTTTAAAATCGAATCAGCAATATCCTTTGCCTGCCTTATGTTTAATACATCAGTACAATCCAAGAGCCACTGACAGATTGCTTTACCACTCATACTATAATCAACAACCAATTTTTTCTCTTTTGGTAAATGGAAAGTTTTATCTTTAAATAGTCTAACACCAACTGACGATACATAATACTGAATATGTGCATCCGATTCAGGATTAGTAAAGTAACGATGATGAAAGGGGCTCACCTCATTTTTACTTGTTTTTGACCAACTGTTTGGTTGTGGTGAAAGTTGGCCTGGGCTCATAGAGGGAGCTGATCGAAATTGAACAAAACTGAATCCTTCCACCTCTTGAAAACTCTTTGCAGTTTGGAATTCTGTACTTAATCTATGATCTTCTGCTTGACTACTTGGAAGTGGATCTTGTTCATTTGACAGGCTCCAAACGTTAGGTTTGGGTCCCATTAGACTTGAAAACAACAAATGAAGAAGATATTTAGAATATAGAACCTTATCAGACTCCCAATCTCTTTCAAAGCAAAATAACTCCATGCTGTTGAAATTACTATTCAAAATTTCTGGAAGGTTACACTTCTTCATACCATTTCTTTCACAAAATGCCTGTACAATCGCCAATCCCTTTGGTGTGGGTTGAAATACCATATTTCCAGTTAATTCACTTGCAGTCCGTTCAACAGGCGAGTGTAAAAATTTCGACCTGTAAAATTTCGATAGAAGTGATAAGGAAACTTCTGGATGTAGCTTGTATGAAATACGGGTTACAATTTTTGATACTTCAATAGATATACTCATATCTTTCATCTTTTTGACAGCAGTATTACAATCAAAACAGTATGGAAACGTCTTGGTAAGTGAAACAAACCTTTTAGACTTTATGGATTTCAAATCAAGATGGATTATCAACATAGCAAACATATCTTTGATATCCCTTTCGTATATTTCTCCATTAGGTGCTATTCGGAACTTATTTAGAACCACATCGTGGAAAACTGGACTTGATCGTATAGATGCCAGTATAATCATTCCTTTCGAACATATATCACAATTGCTAGAACTACTAGCATCAGTTTCTTCACAAACTGGGGAAAGTCGTTGATAAGTCTTTTCATTTACAAGAGTAGACATTGATGTATAAAAAAAAATTATCAATAAACACTAAAGTATAATCACTTAAGAATATTGAAACCTTAAGCTTATATTTATAGGATTACCAATGTAGCATAATTTGTTTCAATATGTTTCAAATTCGATAGAGGATTATGGATTACAACGTTGTTTCAGAACTACCCTCTCTGCATGTTTCACATAATACGATCATTTATTTTTCACGACATTTATTTTGCGATTTTACGACATCTTTTGTGAATTTTATTTTTTGTTTTCCTTACACAAGTGAATTTTCGTTGTTTACATCTGGTATATTTAAATTACTTCGCAGGAAATGGCAACATCCAGGCATCTTGTCGAAGAGGACTTTGAAGGAGAATTTGGACCAATCAAAGAGCTTCCTGCAGCTGAAACAAGCGGTATCAATTTAAAAAGTGACCGAGTTGTTAGAGCCAAACGAGTTCGTTCACGATCCATTGAAAAGGAAGAGAAGAAGTTTTCTAAGATTAAACATATAAAAATCAGGAATTCTAATGAGGATATAGCAATAGAAATTGATTCAAGTGATAGTGATACCAATCTCGAGCCAGCTAAGCCAATAATAAAGGTTTCGCCAAACTTCAAGCCTAGAAAATCTGAAGCCGAACCCGAATCATCTAAAGCTGAACCCGAATCATCTAAAGCTAAACCCAAACCCAATGCAGCAGGAGCTGAAACTATTAATCACGCTGAAAGCCAAGCCTTTAAATTACTGGATAGTGAACTTCAGAGTGTCAAAGCAAAGTTGCTTTCGCAATTGAATGGCCAATTTAATAATCTCAAAGATTCATCTGTATACGACAAATACAAAGAAGTATATCGGATCCTTGAACTGTCAATAAGGGATAAAGAGGGCCATTCTGCACTAGTGGTGGGTCCAAGATCTTGTGGGAAATCATCAATTATCAACCATGCTTTATCAGAATTGGGGACCAAGTACCAAGATCAGTTTATTGCCATCAGATTAAACGCATTAGTACATACCGATGATAATGTTGCATTGCGAGAAATCGCACGGCAATTAGATGTCAAGCTTCGAGATCGTGGTGAACAAATAGACTTTGGTAGCTTTGAGCAAAGGTCAATTAGTGAAACATTTGGAAACATTTTATCCATACTACAAAATAGCGTTGAAGGTGGTCCCAAAGAACAAAGATTATCAGTAATTTTCGTGATAGACGAATTTGAAAAGTTTACTCTGAACCATAAACAAACATTATTGTATAACCTTTTGGATTTATCACAGAGCAGTACCACTCCAATCTGTGTTATTGGGTTATCCACTAAAGTGACAACAAGGGAGCTTTTGGAAAAAAGAGTGAGTAGTAGATTCTCCCAAAGAATAATATCTATTATGCATGAATCCAGTCTAGAATCTTATTGGAAAAATGCAAAATTGGCATTAACATTGAAATCTAGACCCAAAGATTCTGATCAACTGATAAATTTCTCTAACGGTTGGAATGAATACATTGAAAACTTGTATCAGGCACCTGGTAGTTTGTTAGGTAAATTAGTCACCCGAATATTTTACACGACTAAGGACTACAAGCATTTCAACAATGCTTGCAAATTCGCAATATCTCGCTTATCATTGCAGTGCCCATTTCCTCCAGATACTGATTTTGGATTCTACATTTCTCATTCCGTGGGAAACAACATTCAATCTTTGATAAATTCCCTTTCCAATGTTGAACTATTACTAGTGATTGCAGCAGCTAGATGGGTTGAAAAATATGAATTACAAGCTATTAATTTTAACTTAGCCTATTCCGAATACAAAGAGATGATGAAGAATTTTAATTTGAACACCACGGTTTCAACCTCAACCGAGAACAGACTCACAAATAGTATTCGAATCAATCAGAAAATTTGGTCAGAAAAGGTATTACGTAATAGCTGGGAAACTTTATACAAAATGGGCCTCTTGTTAGATGCAGGAGGTATAACTACTAACAATGATGGACATATCATTTCAAACATAAACTTAAACAAAAGTCTCATCATTGAAGATAACAGAATGGTGCAATTGGATCTCACATTGTCAGAAGTTGCACTGCAAGTAGAAGATCTGGTCGTTTATAAAAGGTTAGCAGTATTATAGATGAACTTGTTAGTAGTAAATGATAGAATAATTACAGTCAATCTAATAGATTCTAGTAACACTTCTATTTTCGATGATATTATATTATTACTTAAGGTAACCCATTAAAACATTCACCTGCATATAAAGATGTCTCCACGAACTTAATCAACTTTTTTTTCCGATTTTTCCAAGTGCCACCCCTTTATTACCAAACCTAGACTATGTCAACAGAAACAATGGAAACCCCTGACAAATTACCAGACTCTGTGCTTAGTTTACTCAAATCGAGTAGATTCATTCACTTGGCTACATGTTTAAATGATAAACCTCATGTTTCATTGATGAATTACACTTTCTGCCAACAAGGCGACAAGCAAATAATAATCATCTCAACCCCTACAAGAACTACTAAATACCAAAACATGTTATCCAATCCCAATGTCTCAATTTTAATCCATGACTGGATTTCAGTGAAAGATACTACCGAATCCAAAGAGCTGGTAGCCCAAAGACGCAACTCTCTTTTTGAATTACTTGCAAGCTTCAACAAAAATGAAATTAGTCGAGTATCTGTTATGTTAGATGGTAAGGCTAAAATACTCGATAAGAACAAAGACAGCGAAACATTCAACTTTTACAAGTCTTTGCATTTGAATAACCCAAAGATTGATGAAAATCAAGTAAGAAATTACATTGAAAATGAAAACAATGCATTGGTATTAATCGAAATCACTGGATGTAAGGTCACAGATACCGACAACAATATCGAGGAATATTAAATATACTTTTAAATAATATAAAAATAGCAAACTCTTCTTTTCAATAGATATATTAAAACGCTTTTACTAAGTTAACATAGGGCAAAAAAAATGCCGGTCCCAGGAATCGAACCTGGGTTTAGTCGGCCACAACGACTTGTACTAACCACTATACTAGACCGGCTATTTTTTACAAAAAATTTTCAAAAATTGATACCAATATTGTCATAGTATGGTAATACTTAGTAATCTCGTAAACTGGATGTTTTTTTTTCAAAATATTAAGCTTTCATTTCCAAGTTTCAAAACCAAGAATCATAAACATATGTATCTTTCTTCTAAATATGTTCATTGTATGCCAAATTCTGACTTTTCTGTTACTATTACATTTAGCGCTTGAAAAGAAAACTAAAACATTTTGCACCCATTATCTTAAACGCAATAATTAATAAATCCAAAGCTGCTTACTTGGATAGATATATAACGACGATATTTAACAAGAAAACATACTGATGATTGGGTGTTCATTTTCAATAAATAAATTGTATGTATATATTAAAGGGTAATTCTAAGAAGGGGTATGCACCAAATACGCGAGTTATGTATATAACGGAAAAGGGAAATCAAGATTAGTGGAATAATACTAACCAAATTCAACCTCCAAAAACTGAATCCTTAGTGTACATTTAGGATCTTAAATCGTAAAAGGTTGTTAGAAGCGATAAACAGAATATTAGAACCTCTATTTAAACAGGACAAAGTTTTCAAAGAAGGCAAATTTTGATTTCTTTTCTTACCAAAGAGCTTTAGTTAATTTAGATGCAAGTGATTTATGACTTAGCCTAGAACTAATCAAACGGATATTTCCGTATGATAGTCTAAACACTAGAAGATATTTTATGCATTTGGCAAAATTGATTATCTATTAAATGTGAGTAATCCTACTTATGAATGAACCATAGAAATCAGTACATTGGTTATACTTCTGGTAAATTCCTGAACCACTGAGGAAACTTAACAAACCCTCTTCAAGCTAATAACAAAAAAAAACAACAACAATAGCTCAATACTTTCTATTGCGTTACACACACGTCACAAACCATACCAAGTAAATAATCACCTTTGGATTTGCATGTAGAGGACAGGAAAGTGACTGTATAATCCAATACTCTTGCAACCAAATGGGGGATAAAGAATCACGGCTGTTCCACAGCCGCAGGATTAGTAATAGTTACTGCGGTTCAAACTCAGATACATCTCATGGTGCTCACCGTTATGGATGATAAAATTGCCGCTGCATACGTCTCTTCGGTATAATCGATTACTCATCTTGGCAATCTCTCTAGGCTCTGCTGCTACCGAGCCACTACTACCAAAAATAAACCTTATATACATATCTTAGATACATAAGCTGTAAAACAACACTGTTAACAAAGAGGAACACCAAGACACAATGGTACACACATTATATAGGGTGAAATGTTTACTGAAATCAAGTCAGATCAAAATACAAAATAATAAAGTCTGTACGGCCATTACGTAGTGAGTGTGATCAAAGAATAGTAATTGCCCTTTTGTATCCACATAAGACGACCTACCAAGATAGCCATAGCAGGGATAAGAGAATAGCTACAGGCTTATACGTATTTACTAGAAATAATGGATCCTTCCTATCAAGTGTATGGGCAACACAGACTTATATTTTATCATAACAAGGAACTTAAGTCATTCAATCATATGTCCCATGCTAATACTCACAAACACATTACAGGCACAAAGAAACCACAAGATCATATAATAAAACACGTCGATTGGTACTTTTGAAGCTATTTACCCTCAGTTTATACAATTAAATACCCAAATAACTACAGAAAGCTATTTCTCATCTCTAATCTTATAAACTTAATATAACTAAAAAAATAAATATTCTAGCCCAATCTGTGACTCTAACTATGTCCTTGTAATACTAGGACTAGGTCAATAATACAAAAGATACCAATAATTCTATCAAGTTCATCTAACAAACTTAGAGCCAGCTGTAGAACAAGAATTCTATACAAGCTTCAAATATAGCCTAAGTACTAAACAACTATAACCTTACATGAAATCGGCAGAATAACTTAAATAATCAACCTTTACTAACAAGCAGTATTTCGAACATTCCTTATTCTTCACACTACCATAGCAATTATCCATAGGAATCATAAACCTACGGAAGCTAATCATTCCATTCACCTACGTAAGTACTACTTATATCAATCCAATATCACGTTTACATCTTATAATAAATATACAATCGATCCAATATATACTTCTTACTTATCTAACTAAATCTATACACATTTAAAGGACAGCTCCATCCTACCATCATACCAATCCTAAAACCATACAAGATATCAAGAATGAGGCAACAATTATAAGGGGTGATGGCTATTCTAACAAATACACCTTCAAATCTAATACTGGTACTATCAATACCAAGATCAAGTTCGATTAATTGCTTGTCCAGGTATGTTTCATCTATCAAACTATAGTGGTAATAGAAACATTTCCTGTGCAAATGCTATAATAAAGGACACAAGGTCTATTTGGATATGAAGAAATTGTAATTGTTTGTACATAAGTATCTTACATACAGAGTAACAGCTGGCTCAACATGTGGAATGAAATAGTATATTTAACATTACACAAACATCAGAATATCAAATAATGTATTTTGGCTAACAATTTACTTCTTTAATAATTAATGAAAACATGCAATAAAGTGGATCGATTAAGCAAAGTATTAATACCTTTTTACATTCTAGCAATTGTAGCCAGTGATAGATTGGAAGAATATATAGGAGTCTAATTGTTATCTTGTGGATTATAGTAGCTTCAAAGCTCAAAGTTCTATTGGTGCTAATACTCTCAGACCATACTAAGACCGAATGTAAGAACCATTTTAGTGATGGGATAAGAACCCACACTTATTATTTAATGTTAACTGCAAACATATAGGGTACATATTTTTCTAAACTACTGTAGTTGTAATGTTTTACTATGTACTTAAATGGCTGACGTATAGATCATCGTGAAACCAGTTCAACTTGAAAACAGTACTTACAAATTTTGTTAAATGTTCTGTAGAATACTCAAGGATAATTCGTGTTTGTGGGTGGAAAATAGTGTTTGTTTCTCCTGCAAAACTGCATTCATAGTTGGATGTAGTTATGTGTTATATCAATAGCAAGAAGTTTGTTGCTAATGGGTTGCAGCTTATATCGCCTAGTATTAGTAACATAATTGGCATATTTATCAGTTCCATGTATTATGGGTTGATATGGAATGAAATTATTCAAAACCTTTTGGGATTATGTCTGTAATATATTTATAGTTAAAGCCCTACAAGTTTGTATTAGATTATTAGTTGTTAGCTTGAGGTGGTAATATGGTTTTGATTGATGGATTGGTTCAAGTTTGTTTTTAGGATGTGGTGTACATTTTTCACGGTAGAGCGGTAGTGTGAAGCAAGTTGTATTTACTTTGGGACTTTAAATTCTGAAGCCAATTTGTTTATTCATCTCAAATGCGTTATTAAGTTTTGGGCTCTTGTTTGAATATGTAATAGATTTGGTTAAGTTTACATTGATTTCTGGACTTGATTAAGGGATGTATGATTGGTTGTCTGAATATCTGCTACTAACATTTAGTGTATCATATTTATAGCGCATTGATCTGGATAGTTTGCCTATATTTTCAGTGTTGCTATGATTGAAATGAGCATTCTTTTTGATTTTAATTCTACACTCGGGGTAGAATCAAGAATGTGTTAAGTTACGTTTAGTATATTTGTGTTTGTATTGAGTAGTTGCTATAGCATAGGGTTTAGTGCGGTTATATTGAGAGATTGGAAGTGCGAGGTTTGTGTAGTATTATTAAATAAGTCTTGTAAGTGGTCATAGAAGTTTATTATTGTAGTTAATTTCTCAGCTTAGAATATTCTACAAGGTTTGACTTATTCTCATTTATTTTGCAGAACGTCTGATGTATTAGTATGACATTTATGAAATTTTCTTGTATAATGTAAATATTTGAGTAGTTTGGGATATATTAGGGACGTATTTACCGGATGATGCGTTTTAGTATATCATCTAGACGGCAATGAGCTTAGTTTTTAATTCTGTGTATATAATAGTTAGCAGGGGAAGGATTGTAGTTGTACGATTTGGTATACTCTAGTGGATATGGCATATTTCAATCTACGCTACGAAGGCTTCTTCACAAATGGGTGTAGGTAGGCTATTGTAGGATCGTTACATGTTGGAAATGTATATATTCTGTAAGTGGTAATAATCATACTCATATGAAGCACTGGTATTACCATTCTATATATGGCTATGTAAATCATTTATCATTGACCGGATCGGAAGGTTCTTTGGTTTCTTCTTTAATTATGTTCCATCCCATTCGCTGGTTTAATTTCTCATATTTAGTTCTGTCTCTATCACTCACACTTGGTTTAATAGAAGACAAAGCTCTGTTGAAATCATCCATTATAATTTCAACTTTACTATCGGGTGAATCCTCCTCTAAGAACCCTGAAGCATCTAATTCCTGAATTTGCTGATTCTTGAAGAATTTCTTTTTCAACGCGATGATACCTGCTTCTTTAACTAAGGATGATAAGTCCGCACCAGAGAAATTTCTGCATCTCATATCATTAGCAACTTCTTGAAGGTTAACATCTTTTGAAAGTGGTGTACGGTTTGCTCGCACCAAAGTTTTTAAGATTTCTAATCTTTCCTCGGCGCTTGGTAATTCAATGTACAAAGTCTTATCAAGACGTCCAGGTCTTAACATTGCTGGATCAATCATGTCAGGTCTATTTGTTGCACCAATTACAAAAACTCCCTTTCTATCATTCAACCCATCTAATTCAGTCAATAATGTATTGACAACTCGGGAGCTTGACTCGGATAACGAAGAATCTCTTCTTGGTACCAATGCATCTAATTCATCAAAGAATATAATACAAGGGATAGAAGCTCTAGCTCTTTGAAATACTTGTCTCACTGCTCTTTCAGATTCCCCGACATACTTATTTAGAAGTTCGGGTCCTTTAACGGATATAAAATTTGCACGAGATTCATTTGCAACAGCTTTTGCCAACAATGTTTTCCCGCACCCCGGAGGACCCCACATAAGTACTCCTGATGGAGCGGTAATACCTACTTTCAAGTACAATTCGGGCTTCTTAATAGGTTGAACAATACACATGTGCAACTCCATTCTTATGTTAGAAAGAGCACCAACACTTTGCCATGTGACGTCTGGAACTGTAGCAAATCCCTCTCTCTTTGCTGTAGGTTGAATTGTAGGTAATGCTTGTAAGAAATCTTCATAGGTGATTGAAAGAGGTTCTAATTGCTCCTTGCTCAAAGGGTTTGGGTGTTTGTCTAAGAATTTCTTGATTGTTGAGAGCTTTTCATAATCAGATTTGCTGCTGAAATTATCAAGTAGTTGATTATCGATTAAATCATCAGCTCCTGTGCCATCAACCTCCATCGAATCAACATTATTTTCTTGCAAGTTTGTTTCCTCATGCTTCTCGCTCAAACTCTCAAAAATTCTCTTAATGGCAGCAATCCCAGCTGCAGTCACTAAACTTTTAAGATCAGCCCCAACATATCCGGGGGTTAGTTTGGACAATTCTTTATATTTGAATTGAGTCTCATCATGGAGCTTGATATTTTTGGTCATAGCTCTAAGTATCGAAGCCCTTTGCTCTTCGTTCGGAACATTCAAGCAAATCTCTCTATCAAATCTCCCAGCCCTACGAAGAGCAGAATCCAATGAGTCAGGTCTATTAGTAGCACCAATTACAATAACAGGTTTACCATCTGTCTTATCCAAGGTAAGCTCATCCATTAGAGTCAAAAGTTGTGCAACTATACGTCTTTCCATTTCTCTTTGGGCACCACCGTCCCTTTTTGGGGTGATCGCATCAATCTCATCCATAAATATAAGACATGGTGCTACGGTCTTTGCTTCTTCAAACAATTCTCGTAACTTCTTCTCGGATTCCCCTGACATACCTGAAACAATTGATGGTGCAGAAATATTGATAAAAGGAACTTGCAACTCTCCAGCCAAGGCATTGGCAATAGTAGTCTTACCACACCCTGGTGGTCCGTATAATAAAACTCCTCGTGGTGGTTCAACTCCAGTGGCTGTGTATATCTCAGGATGCAAAATAGGAAGACCGATCAATTCAAGCAATTGAGTAGTGATATTTTCTAGACCTCCAAGTGAAGCCAAGTTTGTGTTTGGTGGAGAATAGTCTGCCTTTTTCTTTTGTCTTTTTGTTGATGACTTAGATGATTCCTTTTGTCTCTTCTTGTTATCTTTGGAATCTGATGATATTTCCTTGTCGGTTTCGCCATCTTTGCTCTCTGCATTCCACATTGCTACTACTGACTTGTTCAAAGAGTTTGAATCCTTAACTTCCATTAATTCGTGCGCTGTCTCTGCATCTGCTTCGCTTTCTTGGCCGCTAACTTCTTCTCCTGGTGGCCCAAGTCCTAATTCTTCCTGTTCATCATCCCTCACTATTTTCAAAATTGTGCTTATGGTCTTCTCCAATTGGTTCTTTTTCATTCTTTTAAGTTGAAAATCCTTTGACTGGACGTATGATAAGACCTGTGTTATTGTTAAATTATTGGCTGATTCCATATAAGTAAATGGATCTTGAACGGCATCTCCGCTCAACTTTTCTTTATTTTCTGCAGTCTTTTCGTCAAGTAAGTCATGGATTAAGTTGTAGATCTTCTGATCTATAGGTCCAGATACAACCGATGATTTGGCCATTTCACCTTTCAAGATTAAATCTAGTTGTTGTCGTAATAGTCTAGAATGTCATCAGAATTTTTTTTTTTTCAGTTCTAGCTCTTCTCATCTTGGCCTTAAAAAAATAGAACACTACTTTGATCAATAGTCTGTGTATCAAATCAGAAGCAGCAATGGGTTTTACTAAAGAAGAACAGTATTCGTCCGATGATGAACCTCTTGATATAAATACAGTAAATGATAGTGATTTTGATGATGATGAAGAGGAGGATATGAAGAGCAAAGTTTTCAGTTTCAAACCTAAAGTACGAGGATCAGCCAATAACTTGGAGGATTTAGATGAACCATCCGATAATGATGATGGTCTTGATGAAGCATCTGATGATGACAATAAAGATGACAGCGTCTATGATAATGAAGAAGTTGCAAATGTGCAAGATTCAGAGTTGAACGTTTCAGGTGGCGATGAACCAAAACCCAAAAAGAATAAGAAATTAAAGAAGTTAACATCTAAGGAACTCGAAAAAGAGCAAAAAAGAATAAGAAAAACTGGTGTTTGTTATCTATCTAAAATACCTCCATATATGAAGCCTTCAAAATTGAGATCTGTCTTGTCAAGGTTTGGAGCTATTGACCGTTTGTTTTTAAAGCCCGAGGATATTGCAGTATACCACAAACGTGTAAAGTATGGTGGAAATAAGAAGAAGAATTTCACTGAAGGTTGGGTTGAGTTTGTTAGTAAAAGTGATGCAAAGTTATGTGCGGCCACATTAAATGGGAATAAGCTTGGTGGTAAGAAGACTTCTTACTATTACGATGATGTTATGAATATAAAATATTTGCATGGATTTAAATGGCTCGATTTAACTCAACAAATTGCAAGAGAGAATGAAGCCAGAGAAGCCAAACTTGCAATGGAATTATCACAGCAGCAAAAACTTAACAAGTCATTTATACATAATGTTGAAAAATCGAAGATGATCACCAATATTCAAAGGAAAAGACTGGCAAAACAACAGGATTCTAAGCAAGAAGAAGATGAAATTAGAAGAAATTTTAAGCAAAGAAAGGTTGCAAGTACACGTAGTGCTGCAAAGGAGGAATTGAAGGAGAAATCGAAACCAAACGAGAAATTAAATGATATTTTATCAAAAGTGTTCTAAATAATACATAGTAAGGAAGTTTCATAATACATAGACATGCATTCATAAATCTCTAATGCTGAGAACGACCACTAGCTCTTCCGTTATTTCCATGACCATTGTACGCTTTAAGTTTATAGTGTACAAGAAAGTCGTACCTGTTTTCTAGCTCGACTCTGCTCTTGCAACCCAATTCAGACATTAATAATGGGCTGTTGATTGCTTCTTCTCTGTCAATATGTTTCAGAAGAACGATTTTCAACAACTTGTCCCATTTAGACCTGGGCCACCAGTTCGAATGTGTTGTTGTATGCTTGTAGCCTGTATCAAGAGTAGTAACTGGATCTTCAATTGATGATCTGTTTCTTTTTCTTGAGGGTCTTTCCACAAGTGGGGTGGAAACTCCCAACATTTCTGGCATGTCTGACCAATGATGAACTTGTAATTCTGGTTCCTCCTCTGAAGATATCTCGTCGTTTTTGGTTTCTATGGGTGGAATTTTCACATCTGCATTGACTTTAATATGTGGTTTCTTATTTTTGCTCTGCATTAACGAATTAATAGTGTCGTTTACTTTTTCAATTATGATTTCTCTTGATACATCAGCAAGCACACCTGGCAGCTGGGTTCCGCGGTTGTCAGATCCATCTGTCTGTATCGGATCAGGTTTATGGAATGAAGGTTCTTCAGTAATATCAGACGACGCCCGTTCGAGCATTTTTCGAATTTGCTTTCTTGGTCGTTGTTCTTCCAGTGGCTCTAATATCAATCCCAACTTCTTAGCAGCTGGTGGTGAGAGTGCACTATTATTAAATTTCAAATTGGAGGGAGGAGAATGGGGCAACTCTTTCTCGTGGGTGATTTTGCTAATCCCGTTAACAGCTGGCTTATCGGTTTTGGTTGATGTTTTGTCAGCCGCCGACTCCGATGCAACTATAGGAGGATTACGAAGAGGGCTTCTCCTCAAAGTTCGAAATTTGGTATAATTGGTAGTGCCAGATCTTTGGGGTTGAGGTGCTGGTAAATCAAAGCGCCCAAGATCTAGACGAGTGGTCGATACGAGACGAACTGGTGTTTCGATTTCTGTGTCATCAAATTCTTCTTCATCATCCAGGATATTTGAGTATGAAAAGTCTTCCTTACCTTTCTCTGGCCTGTCGTATCTCATATCATCATCCATCTTTAGATTAAGGTGGTTTCTATTTTTTTGGTTGGATCTACAATTTTGCGTTACCTTTGAATATATAGTCTATATTATTTTATTTTTTTTTTTAAAAAAAAAAAGATCGTAAATTTAAAGACGCGTAAGGAAAAAAAAATACCCACAAGAGTTTTCTTAATCTACCGGATTCATCAAGTCTCCTAATACATCTGCTATGCAAGAGTCTATTTCAACATTAAATAAACCATATGTTCTTTCATATTGAATTAAGCTCAAAGAATCAAAAAATAATCTCAACTTGGTAATCAGATCGATTTCTCTCACCCCTTCCAACAACGGATGTAAATTATCTTGCGGTTGTTCTAATGATAGTGGCAGATCCTTTAAATATGTAAGATCGTGTTTTCTTGAAATTTGATCAATAATTGAGCCAGTAGGGTTGTCAAGTGGTCCATTGAAAAATTCCGTATCGGTACTAATGAAAAGCCACTCGTTTAAATTGAACTCATCATAGCTGCAAAGTAACAACTGATCCAAGAGTTTACAGCCATTCAAAATGAGTTTTAAGCTCTCTTTAGATAAAGCATGAAGTTCTTTTGTCAGTTTTTCTTCAATGGATTCAAAGATTGATAAAAGTTCATGGCTTACAGTTGCCCATCTTGGTAACAAATGCAATTCATTAAACTTTAAAACTATTGCGCGGAATAGGACGGAAATTTCAGCTCGAATGATCTCAGGACAGTTTCCACTTAATAAGGCTTCGATCTTGTCAAAAATTGAATCTAAAAAGTTAAGGAAGAAATCAATTGGTTGGATTAAAATAAGGTATGAGATCCTTTTTAATATAAATACCTTTGCTTCAAGCTCGGAAGCCTCATTCCAAACAAATAGGTTACTAGGTGACAGTCCAGAAGATGTAGTAATTCTTGAAATCATATCTCCAAGTTTTTCTCGATCATTTGTGATCCAGGCCCCCAATATTGAATTCCATATAGTGAGTTTATCAAAATCAGTCTGAAAGAAGCTGTTGTCCATAAATAAATCTAAAACTAACGTCTTCCAAGTTTTGTTTGGGTGGTGTTTGCCAACAATTTCCAATAAGCCAAGAACTCGTAAATTGATATTTGGAATCTTTTTCAGCTTTATTTGGGGAAGAATGAAACTGTTGATCAATGTATTCAAGGATTGGGTAACCTTATCTGTATCTTGACAAATTTCATCTAAGAATGGTATAATTTCTGTAATTGCCTCAATTACATCCTCTTGTTGAACCGTAGAACTTTGCACGCTACTAGAATCTTTTTTGGATTCAAGTTCGATTTCTTCTCGTGGATCTGAATGGGCTTTTGTTACTGCATTCTGGAACAAACGCGTAAATACATCAGCCAATTCCTTTCTATTCTTTTGATCCCGAACTTTTGATGACTTTAACTTCATCGATAATACCTTGCAAATACGTAAACTGTCGGGATATACATCTTTGAAACTTCCAGGATGCAATAAAATATTCTTGAAGAAATTTATGGATAAATTCCAAACGTCAATCACGGTATCATTATCAATGGCATCAAAGAAGGACAATAAGAAACTGGAAAGTTCTGTTGTTGGAATCTGCGTATACATGGATGATCTCTGCGCTTGGTCTAACATTTGAGGATAGCATCTGCTAATGATGGAGTTGAACAAGTGTGGCAATGTGACTTGAGATCTTCCACCATCCAAAATATTTAAAAGCTTGAGTGCTCCTGGGGATGCGCCATTTAAATCTATCAAGGATTCAATTACTTCTTGTCTTTCAAGTTCAATTAAAGCTTCTAAAAGTTTCTTGGCTCTAAATTTAAGCTTATGGGAAATATAAGTTAATGATCTATCTGAATAATATTTTGCACCATCTGGAACTTTTGGTCTCGAATCACACCAGTACCAAATGTGAAAGCCAGCTCTCAAAGCCTCTTGGAAGCATAAGATGATCGAATAACGCTTATTTTGCTCTGTTGTTCTAAGTTCAGGAGATTCAATTTGAAATACCCCCAGTATCATATTATTTAAAAACCCATTTTCTGCCGCTCCTGATGGTCCTTTTTCTGCATTTGACCTAATCGATGAAGTTAGCAAGTAGCTATGAGTGATTGATAACAAATCCTCCAATCCTGTCACCAAGATATTGACACATGAATTAAGATCCTCCAATTCAGAAAATTTCTCAAATGAGGAGAAGTTTTTGAATATTCCTTCCAACTTTGCAATAATGGTCCTGTTCAAAGTAATAATTACATTAAATATTGAATCACCAAGTAAATAAAGTGATCTTGTGAGCAAGGTAATCCAATTTTCTAATAATATCGAGGTCTTGGAGTTGGTAATACCTTGGATGAGGAAAGTCACCAAAACCGGTTCATTCTTCTCTTCTTCAACATTCAATAAATTTAATGGTAAATGAAGTTCCTGGGCAAGTTCTAAGAAATGGAATAAGCATTTCAAAAATTGCGATTCAACTAATTCAATAGTGTAGGAAGCAACATTTAAACCCAAATATACCGTACAAGTACCAATGAGTAAATTGAACAATTCATTAAAACTTTTCTCGTTACCAGTGACTAATAAAGTAAGAATTTTCAAGCAATGCTCCATGCTTGAGTAGTAATTATCCAACAGGTACTCATCATTGAGAACTTCATCAGTCAATTTCAAATGAAAGAACTTTTCGATAATACTCAAAAATAGACTCTTGTAAGTAGAAATGTCCCATTCATTTGATCTAAGCAAATTCAACTTATTACTGTTATCCATTGCTGCAAATTCATTGCTGCAACTTTCCCTCAATAACTTCGTATTAGACTCAATCACCTTGATAATTAATCCTAAATAGTAAGCAAACTGGCCCAAATCATCATCAATTGTCAATGTCTTTCTTTCCCCATGCATAAATGTAAAATTTAAAATTGGATTACTGAGCAATTTCAATAATCTGTTGGCTCCTCCATTCTTGATTATTCTTCTAAGGAAGTCATGAATTCCTAAATTAGACTTTTTGTCGGTTTCCGAAATATCATCAAGCAAAATCTGAAGTGGTCTTTCCAAGATCGTATCTCCATCATTAACTGAAGCTGAATGGGTCCATAACGTCTCCAATGCCGTTATTCTCTTATTAATTGGTAACTTTAAAAACAATTCCACTACACCGGCTTCAATACTGTGAAACGGGTAACTAGTTCCCATTTCATATATTGTCTTCACAGCTTCCACTTGGTAGTTTGCTGGTTCTGAAGAGTAAATTGAAGTCCATAAATTCGAAATAATCGCCTTTAGTGTCTTTTCTTTCTGTGCATCCGACATTGATTTAGATATGTTACCAAACGATTTTGCAATTGCATAACTAATGAGAAGTCCTTCTTGATTACGGTCGCTCTCTTCGATATATTCTGGCACTTGAAGTTCTAGCATCTTATTAACAAGTTCCGAATCTAATTCAAGGCTGGTCTCATCACGAGGTACAATATTCAACATCTGAACAAGTAAGTTACTAATTTTAAAACAATAAGCAGTATTCAGCATGTATTGAATAAACTTCTTCTGCAACATATCAATGACCAAAAATGAAACCTCGTTGGCTGAAAAGGGAACTTGTGGATTGTCATTGTTGAGCCTTCCACGATAAAATCCTTTTATCTTGCTCACAATATCGATATAGGTATCATTGACCTTTTGATCTGCAATCCCGTATGCTCTAGCTGGAACCAAATTAAAAAGCGTGTCTAATATTTCCAATCTCTTTACATTGATATCCAGTTTTCCAAGAAGACATATTATTGCCAATGGTGCATGTAAAGTGATCATTTCTTCCTCGTTGAAATTGAATTCTTTCAACACAAAATCAAGAATTTCTAATTTTGATTCATCTTCTTCTGCAACTAATTGTAAAATGTCGTTCCATATATATGTTGATTCAATACCATCGAAAAAAGACAGCGCAGATACCATCAAATCTTTGCTTTCCTTATTCTCAAATGCAATGTTCAAAAACCTTGAAAATAATCTTGGTGTGATAACTGTGCTAATCTCCCATTTATCCATGATTATTGACAAGGATATCTTAAAAGCTTCAATCTTGGATTTTGTAGAATCAGATTCAACCATTTTCAAAAGTCCCGAGGATAATGTTTCCAATGCATATTTGGCGAAATATTCTGTTCTTGGGATTCGTTTTTGATGATCACCTTCTGTATCTGGACCAAGAAGATAATTCCAAAGCCTTCGGTTCAAACTCATGTCCTTTTTCAAAGTCACTCGGCAACAAGACATGAGAAGCATTTCTTTATCCTTTGGATATACCTGTGAATCAAATATACTGCTTTCCAATGGTATATGCGAAAGAAGCAAATCAAAAAATCCTCTCACGACTATTATATCACTTGCTGAATCGATTGTAACTGGAGGGTTTATGGTAACTGCAAATGCTCGAATAAGAAGCCCTGGTTCCGGTTTCAAGCACATTTTTGCTTCTTCAGAGAGTTCGTGATTTCCTTTGCTTTCAGTAAATCTAGGAAGATTCCTGTTACACCAATGTAAAGCACCAAGTCTGCGTTCAGGGTTGCTAATTATACAAAGAAACATACTTTGCCAGAAATGGGAATCATTATTTAACTTCTCTTTAAATTCCTCTGTCAATTGCAAAATGTCATTAAAAGCTTCTGAATTTTCATCGTCTAAACCAGAAAGTAAGCTTAGTATGAACGGTTTGGATATGTTTCTTAAATGGTCAACGTCTAATTTTGCCACGATATGATCTTTGAAAATTCTAATTTGCTGAGGCTTGATCAGAATGGATGAATAAGAAAATAATGGCAATAACCCTGGTAACCAAACACTAATATCTTCATTCAAAGTTTCAATGGGCAAATTTTCAAAGATAAACTCGTAAATGCTCAATGCCTTTTGGTGAACACCACTGGGAAGTCTCGAGGATAAACATAATGACAACTTATTGGAAACCTGCAGTGATAAAGGAACATAATATTGCTCTTGTACACTTGGATCTGGGGTGAATTGAAGTGATTTTTGTAATCTAGAAAGAAATGCAATGTAATCCGCCCACTCCTCAAGTGCGTCAAATGATCCAAGGGCTTTTTCCACCAGTTGGAGGTATTTCTTGTCTTTGGATGACAATTGGTGAGTCTTTGATTTCCTTGATGTAACCAACTTTAGAACACTGTTCGGTCCTTTAGGTGAATCCATCTGACTTGGTAGGTTTTTAATATGTGTAAGTTGGAAGTTGTTAGGAAGATCTAGATTTTGCATTTTCGAATTGTTTACGTATTTTAATTTCTGCTGGCGACAAAAGTACACGACCACATTTCCAGCCAACACTTGCCAAGGACTAATACTTCTAATTCTATGTATATGACTATCTATATATATATATATATATATACTTGTTGATTGACTCACTTATTCACTATTGAACAATATCATGGATGAACTTCATCACATCAACCAATTCTTGGTCATCAGCACTATGGGCTACACCCTCGTAACCGCGGAAAGTATAATTGTTAAAGCCTAAGCTCTTGTAGAATTCACTTGTTTGTTGGCCATAGTCAAACTTGATAAGGGGATCGGCCTTACCATGACCTTGGAAAATTGGAGTGTTGAAATTGACACCCAGTTTTTCGTGTCTCTCTAATACGTCATTCTTCACTGGACAGAAACCAGACAATGCAACTACACCACCGATTTTGAAATCCAAAATGGAAGCAGTGGCTAACGAGATAGCAGCACCTTGAGAGAACCCACCGATTATTATCTTTTCTGGTGGGACACCGTGGACTTCTATTTGTTCCTTAATTAAACTCTTCAAAACCTCACAACTTTTGAAGAAACCAGTGACATCTTGTCTGGCATTAGGATCTCCAAAGGCGTAAATATCAAACCAAGCTGGCATGACGTAACCACCATTGACTGTAATTGGGATCTGTGGTGCGTTTGGGAACACATAATTGATGGCATCTGAGTTTTTGATTATCTTGGTTTGGTTGATCAACTGAGGAAACCATGACCACCCTTCACCAGTATCACCTAATCCGTGCAAGAAAATCACTGCACCTTTAACAGGAGTCTTTTGAGAAGAGACTCTGATTGCGTTTATTAAATTGCTCATTATCGGACTAAAAATAAAGAAGATACTTGCAACAAAGAAGATGAAAATGTATAATGGATTATTCAAGCTTTTCATTTCTCTATTTTATTTTTTTTTTTTGTTGCTTATTGTTTCGCCCTTTTCCGTGTTTATCTGATGAAACGTGTTGCAAAATCAATATTGAATCTTTATAGCTGCTTACTATGAAATTAGTAATAAATAGTAATTATTTATAACCATCTAAACCGAAGAAATAATGGCACTGCTGTCGTTTTCCTTTTTTCACGTAATAGCTCGTGTCGGCTAAAGTCTTTTCCTACTTTTTTTTACTAACATGCATCAAATATTACTAATCAGTTTGCAAAAAAAATGCGGTATCCAAAGTAGTCATAATTATTCCTGCTTGTGCTGACAAGATGTATCGTAGCTCGGTTCGAAGATTGAAACCTGTGACATGGACTATATTTATATTTTTACATGAATTAGTTGCACAATTTGGCAAAAAAAAGTATGTATATCTTAAAAGTTGCCTATATTTTGCACAATTTGCTGCAAATTTTTCCAAATATTTTTTTTTGAAAATGATTAAAGATAATAATAGACATAGATATATGCTTCTTCCTCAAGATGATTTTTCTAGGACCCCTTCGACCATTTGACAACAAGAAGTCCTATATTATAAGCTCCCAAAAGTCTCCTTTCACTAGATCAAATGCGAGCGTTACAATTGTTTCATTTTACTTTAACTTTTTTTTTTATCTGCTTGCTTTGTTTCTTCCAGTAGATGCGAAAATAAGGCATAACTGTTCATCTACAAATGGCAAAACTCAAAACCACTGGCAAGCCTGGTCTATACATTGATAACTCACTAGTGTATTCAACAAACTAATTATCGATAAAAATCACAGAAAACAAATTGAATAAAATACGGTATTCACTGTCTGTAACTATGTATTGTATTGCATTAGCAAACTTTTCCTATCCAATTCCACAAGAAATCACATATATCTAGCTGAAGCTTCAGTTAGCAGCACACCAGGGCACTAGTCGTAGAGAGTATACTACAGTAAACATTAAAAATTATGATTTAGATTTGAATTATTCATTTAACTATTATGTACAAGACTAAGCACTTAATGTCTCTTCCTTAGTGATGCCAAGATAAGTAAAAAGTCTATTCCATTGATCCTTTTTATGTAACATAGCCAAGATTAAAACCGCAGGAAGATGCCACACCGAACACCAAAACAACTTCTTTGCATGAATACCAGCCAATGCTAATCCTTCACTAGTTGGTTTGTGACCTTCACGATAATTATATTGTTGTTGCTTCCAGAATTGGTAAGCCAAGTAAGTCAACCAACCATTAGCAATGGCTGAATCAAAGGGGAAAACCCAATCAGTTACTCCAAAGTAACTTAATCCAAAACAGAGAGGGAACATTAATATAGAATAACGCAAGGCCACTCTTGCATTTAATTTTGGATTTTCAGCAGCTGCCATAACGTATCCAGCCTGTTTATATTGTTCGGCGATATTATGGGAAAGCGCATTAAAATGGGGGAATTGCCAGGCATATAAAAGCCCAGCAATACACCAAACCCCAGGAAGGGTTAATGGTGAGGAAGAAGCCCATCCCATCAAGGGAGGAATGGCTCCTACAACAGCTCCAACCCAGGTGTTAATGATCGATTTTCTCTTGAGGGAAGTATAGATCCACGAATATAAGACAATATTAGCAAAACCCAATATAGATACAGTGGGGTTCACACCAAACCATAACATGGTACATCCCAAGGAACCTGTCAATGCGGCAAAATTGTAAGATTGTAAAGGAGTAACTAATCCACGGACAACTGGTCTACCTACAGTTCTTGGCATTTTCCTATCGAATTCAGGTTCACGGCCCATATTGATGGCATTGGCGGCCCCAGAACATAATGCAGTACCCGCGGTCAAAAATATCAATTCTTGTAATGTCACGGAATACGGAGATATCGCGTAGGAACATATAGCACTTAAAGTGACCAATACTGTCAAGTTTGGTTTAGTTAATTTGAGATATGCGGTACTTAGTGATTTCAATTCAGATTTGGACTTTGGGATAGATACTGGGTCTGCAGTCACAGTTTTGGCTTCCTTTGGGGTCACTTTAAAGGGAATTTTCAGTTCCGGTGGTATCATACTCTGCGAAGCTTTTGCTTCTGGTTCTTGACAATTCAAAATTCGACTGGCATTTTCTATTATATACGAGGAGTCTGATGATCTTGGTTGGGTTGTAGATAATGGGAATCCCTTCTGAAAGTTCCGTACCGTTACTCTTCGAGAAAGTAGTTGATTGCAAAGAAAATTTTGTTCAATTCGTAGCCTCTTTGTTGAATTTTGAAAGAAAAAGTTGAAATTGTTGATACAATTCAACCTTGGAATTGGTGCCATATTGTAACAGCTACTGTTTTATTTCAGTCAATATAGGTACTCACAACGCGGTCAGACCTATTAATATATACAAGTTGGTAATGCTATGTGTATGCCTTGGATGAGATCCTTGAATCTTTTTTTTTTTTTTTTTAATACGAAAATTTGATTTTTTTTCCTTGCACCAATGAGTGGAGGTTGAGATCAAACCCCCACCAGAAAAGAGCAGCAATAGTAACAAAGCCAAGAATTATCAAGTTATATTCGTTGACATAACCAATCTCTAATATATGTAAATAGTTTATGAGATTTATGACTACTCCAGAAAGGGTTTTTCTGGAAAGTAAATCACGTTGACATGAAAGTAAACTGGAACAATTAAAAATCGTCAATTATTGCCCCATTTTTGGTCAAGAAGTACGTACGTTTGAATCGAGGCTAGGAAATGCCTGTGTTTTCAAACATTAGCCATAATCTTCTTTAGATTGTTAGAGTTTCGTAAATCTCAGCATATCAAACCAAACAGAAACAAGAGTCACAACGAAGAATGTTCTACTCAAATGGGAAATTCCTATGGAAATTTGCAATCTACCATAAATTTGATATTGCGAGAAAAGGCCAGTAAGTAACGAAGATTATAAGTTTAGAACTACAAAAATACTAGCAGTAATAACTGCCGTTCTCACAGCAACATGCTACGAAAAACAGTAGACAGTTAAATGGTATGACACGATTGTGCTTTACAATTTTATTGTCAGAAATGGACAACCTATGGATTACCGCACTGATCCAAGGGACAAAGAGGGCAAACTTGAAACATCCATTAAGCAATTAAGGTTGGATGTTGATGCGCATGGTAACTTCTCACATCCAATCCAGATATTGTTCAGGCGATGAAAACTGCAACTAAACGTCCAAGACCTTCAATATTGAGCTTTAGCTTTAGTAGAGATGGAGGGGTCTGCATTATTCATAGAATTTGTTTCTAGTTGTACTTGATCTAACTACTAATTCTATACGCTAACTGTTGGCTTTTCGTCAATTTCAATATCAGGATTAGAATCTTGAGATTTCTTTTCATTCAATTTCTTATTCTCCAATTTATTTTCAATTAAATCATGGAAGGCAATAATTGCTCGTACTAAAGTGCTAATATAAATAACCATGAGCTCGTCATTGGTCTTGATGGTGAAGGCAGTGGCTAATGGACTGGTGGCTTCGACATTTCCCTGTTGTACCAAATTAGGCAATAAATTGAACACATTTTGTAATTTGCCCAATATAGTATGATTTATAGGTAATTTCTTTTGATAGACTTTATCCAAATAATTGGCAATTTCTCGAAGCTTTTGATGCAATCCTAATAAAGATTGGTAAGTTTGGGTAACTTTCAAGGATAAATTGCCAGCAGCTTGATCTCTGATATCTCTTAATAAATGTTCAACCCCGATTTCTTCCGCTTCTTCTGCTTCAATCAATGAAGGAACATGAACAAATGTTTTTTCTGCAGCTGAACCATCATTCTTGATATCTTCCACGGCAAAGTATGCATCGGTGGGAATACCAACTTCTCTTGGTTGAACATCGACAATTAACAACAAGGGGTTGGCAGTATATCTTCTGAATACATCGTTAATCTTTAAATCTGATGGTTTCAACTTAGGGCCGGAATGGTACCACCCAATCAACTTTTCCTTGGCATTGATCTTCTTGAACATTTCCCCCATTGAATCTATAAAGTTGTGGTCTAAAAACCAAACACTGGGGTTTTTTTCGTCTTCTTCAAATGGAATGGCATATGAGTTAGTGACCTTGATCTTATCGGTTGAGTTATCACCTAATATGACACCAACGACTCTCTTCTTGGAATCTTTGGCCACACGGTTATAATGATCAACAACTGATAATAACACCAAGGGTGATACAGCCACAGTTTTATTCAAAAATGTTAATTCGCTAGTACCGGCTACTGCAGTTGACATCTTGACTTGTATTATTTATAGTTATTAGCTGAATTGACACAATGCTTGTTTGTAAATAAACGTTTGTATGGGTTGTTGTAAATTGGTTTGCCTTCAGGTTTTTTTCAGTCGCCAAAATAATCACCAAAGATTTGGCGTGTACCTGTTCAAAAAAAAACCCAGTATAAAATAGCAGCAGCAGCATATTAATAATCTGGGTGATGAGGAGCCTCTACTTCCTATAACAAGACTTATACTACCATGTTCGGACAGATCGTGATAGGGCCTCCGGGTTCTGGTAAATCAACGTATTGCTATGGAATGTACCAATTTATGTCGGCAATAGGACGAAAACTGTGTATTGTCAATTTAGATCCTGCAAATGACCGATTGCCATATCCAGATTGTGCTCTTGATATTCGAGATTTCATAACTTTGGAAGACATAATGGAGGAGCTCAACTTGGGTCCCAACGGAGGATTAATGTATGCCCTTGAGCTGCTTGACCATGAAGGTATAGACATGTTTCTTTCCAAGATTGACCAACTTATCCAGGACAAGAATTACATATTGTTTGACTGTCCCGGCCAAGTCGAACTATTCACGCATCACAACTCTTTATTCAAGATATTCAAGCGGTTAACTCAAACTAAACGAATGAGATTGTGTGTGGTTTCTTTGGTTGACTCAATTTACTTGACTAGTCCCTCGCAATATATCTCGATATTACTATTAAGTTTAAGATCGATGCTCCAGTTAGACCTACCCCATGTCAATGTAATCAGTAAGATTGATATGTTGCGGAATTACGGGGAGTTACCCTTTAGATTGGACTATTATACTGAAGCCCAGGATTTAGGATATCTAACACCACACTTGGAACAAGAGTCCAACACGGTATTGGGGAAAAATTACGTTAGACTTACTGAGTTGATTGCAGAATTAGTTGAAGAGTTCCACTTGGTTTCATTCGAGGTGTTGTCCGTCGAAAACAAGAAGAGTATGATTAACTTGTTGAGTGTGATTGACAAAGCTAACGGATACAGTTTTGGAAGTGAGATTGGAGGAGACTCGGTATGGAGCGAAGCAACAAGACAAGGAGGATCTGGCGTTTATCAAGATGTAGATATTCATGAACGTTGGATTGAATATAAAGACGAATATGACAAGGAAGAGCATAAACAAGAAGAAGAATTGAGAAAACAACACCAAGAAAACGACGTGGAAATGACCGAAGAGGATGAATGGGAGGCTGCATTGCAAGATTGGGAAAGCAAACGTGGAGGCCAAGGCGCTCTTCTGAGGTAATCTGTACATACAACTTTATAGAACTTTATAGAAGCAATATGTCGTGTCTGGCACAACTTCACCGTATTGTCTCTATATATATTTTTTTGCGTTGCAAATTATAAAGATGAGGTTGACTGGTATGACTAAGCAACATGGATCAAATAAACGATGAAGACTATGCTGCTAGCTTGACTAAGCAAATGGATACCACCATATCCAACTTGATCAAAAAGCGAGATGCATTACAAACAAAAATCCAGGAATATCACGATGTTAAACTGGCAATTCAAAGCTCCAACAAAGAACCACTTTTGATCCTGTTGGGAGCAGGTTATTTCACGGAGATGTCCAAACCGGAAGCAATAGTTCATCTCGAAGGTACCATATCGCGAATGAATGGCGCAATTTCTGAAATATCTAGTAATATCAACCACGCAACTGATACAAAAAAGAAGTTTTTACTTTTCAATGATTTCATTAAACAAAATGGATCCCAGGGGAAGGAAGAAGAAGAAGAAGAAAAGTTGAACGAGGAAGGATTACCGTTTATGGATATTCAAGAGGAGATAGATGAAGATGGAAATGTCATCAATGTGAAGATCAATGATACTCCTGTGGATAAGCCGGTTGATTCAGGGGAGAAGTTGAATGAAGAAGGATTACCATTCATGGACATACAAGAAGAAATCGATGATGATGGAAATGTTATAAGTGTCAAGATTAATGATGCTCCTGTTGATAAACCTATCTTGTCGAGTAAGCAGCAGGAAAAAAATACAAGCCAAACCATTGCAGGAACAAGCTATATCGAGGAAAAGATAGAAGATGTTGCCGCCCCAAGTGTCTCCAATAAAGATAATACGGAAAGTGAAGAAACAACCGGGGAATCTTCTGTTGATCAGATTCAAGAATTAATGGAAGATATGGGATTAACCACTAAATCAGAAAAGCAAATGATAGATCAAGACGCACTTCTTGACAAGATCGATGAATTGGAAATTGAAACAGATCACAAATTTCATTTGAAACAAATTGTACTTGAAGAATACAAAAAATTGCAAGATAGCCAAGAGTCTGAACAACCACAAGACAACCAAAACTACGAGCAACCGCAAGATAAATCCTTGGCCATTGACAAGTATGACGATTTAATTCAATTGGAAATAGTTGCTGATGATTTAAACGACGAGCAAGATGTTAGTTATGCCGATGATGAAGAATGGGATTTTGAATTTGACGAAGACGAAGATGATGACGATTTGGCAGATGAGTTATTATATGGAAATCATCCAAGCAGTGTCTTGGGAGCTTCTGCTTCTGAAAAAACCAATGCATTATTATGGGAACAAATCAGAAAATTAAGAGAAAAAGGCGATGAAAAGGAAGAACCAAAGAAGAAGAAATCAGTTAGATTTGCTGAAACTTTAGAAATCAATGAGATTGAAAACATTAGTGAAAGTTTGAAGAATCCCCCTCCACCTGAACCTAAGATGTCATTATTCAAGCAGAATAGAATAGTACATAAACAGGTTGAGGAAAAAAGTGAAACTGAAGAACCAGTAAGCATAATGGAGAGTACCATTGTTGAAAGGGAAGTGGTAACTCCAAAGCTGGAGGTTGTTTCTCGTAATATTATCGAAAAAGAAGAGCCATATGTTGAAATTCCCCAGAAAACCAAACCTGTGTCCAGATTTAAAGCCGCAAGAATGGGGACAGCTAATGATCAAAAGAAAGCAAATATAATTCCGATTCCAACTGTAGAGTCAATTTCTACTAACCCACCCAGTAACACGTCAGTTAAGGAACAAGTAGTGGAGAATACAATTATGGAAAATACCATTGTTGAGCATGGCATAGAAACAAAAAGCGAAATTGTATCAAATGACATAGTTGAGTACGAAACTGATGAACTGTTTGTTGAGGTTCCCAAAGCCAAACCAATTTCCAAGTTCAAAGCTGCAAGATTAGGTAAGACCACAAATACTTCCACCAAAACTGTACCTAGAGATGAAGCAGCCAAGATTCCCATTCCCACTGTTGAATCAACCAGTAAACCCGAAGAAACAACAACAAATGAGCCAATAGCAGATGATTCTACTGAGATTGAAATCAAAGAAACTCAATTAGACTATAGTTCCTTAAATCAAGATATGGATACCATGGCCAAAGCATATATCTTGGGTATGTATGACGACGACATTGCAACTGAGGGTCCTGTAGTTGATCAACTTGAAGATTTTGAAATCTTGAATCAAATGATTGAATCCATGCCTTCGAAGGAACCTGCCAAGAAGAAGAAAGTGGAAAGGAGTATCAATTCAGATATGCAGTTTGATGAAACTTTGGATGAAATTGGTATGAATGAAATTGATTCTGCTGAAGAAGAAGAAGAAGAGTATTTCGAAGAGGTAGACGATGGTCCTATTCTCGCGGAGGATATAGTTGAGAAGGAAATTGATTCTGCTGATTTTGATGACAATGAAATTTTAACTCTGGAAATTAATGAAAATTATCACAAATTGAGAAATAAGTTGATTCTTGATCAGAATGGGTTCAAGAAAACTCAGCAGGAATTAGAAATCGAGCCGGTGGATGAAGAAGGGAACCCGATAAAAATCAGCAGATTCCGAGCTGCTAGAATGAGAGGAGGCATAAATGGGTTAAAATAGGAACCATATAGAGAAATATTAGCATATTATCGTGTGTAACGTTGTAGACATTGCAGCCAACCGAGGTTCAACAATCAGCTCTGTAGTATAGATGACAATGAAAGAAATGATTCCATTTTTGACTTTCCCCGTAAAAATCGACCGATAGTCGATGTTCCTACTCGGCTATGTCAGTTACGTCTTTGTTCTCATGTAAAATAAATGATTTTGTGGGGTACTTCAAGGCGAATAGGGGGTGAACATGAAACGATAAAAATGTCTTATACCGGTGTTTATTTCAAGTTGCTAGTGAAATAATTACAAACACGCAATTCTGAACCCCCACAATTTGGGCTTGGCACATATAGACACACTTCAAAAATATGACATACAATGGCCCAGATTTTGTACCCCAGATATTCCAGTGTGTTACTTGCAAGACATTTTTGAATAGCCGGGGGTAAACCCGAGAACATAATGAAATTTTTTTTTTTTCGATGTATATGGCTTCATCTGAACTCCGAAGAAAATAAATTTCGGAGTATGGAGAGAGGGTCTTTGGGATGGACTTTGAACAGTTCTTGGTATGTTTGCCCAGATATAACGTGTTAGATCAATTGGGGTGAAGTCCGTTGTATTCGATAGTATGAATTTGCAATTTCATTAATATGAAACAGAAATGTAGGGTGAAATTTTCACACCAGTACTAGTCTAAAACTCTCCGAGCTATTTGTTTCACGCTTGACCAATAATAACGAACCTATTAATCTGACGACATTCTGGGGTGCATGCGTAAAATCTCAAACCGTTCTGCAAATCTTATCATGCTATTATCGGTGATAAAAAGCCTCAAAGTAAACAAGTGAATATTTTTATTTTTAAACATTGATTTTTATTATCCGGGGAAATTTGCCCAAAAAAATTCCAAAAAAAAAACTCCAGCGTGTTATGTAATTTCATAGACTCATAACAAGTGTAATTGTGGTTGCAAGTCCTGTGAGGTAATTATAACTGAGGTAAACATGCGGGATTTGGCCATATCCCATTGTATATACCTAATAACTTATGCTAGGTATGAATGGATCAGCCGGATCAATTATCTGACGTGACTTGACCAATACCCCGCTATTCTGCCCCACGTACTCTAACTGAAAAAAAAAGAAAAAAAACAGAAACATGCAGCAAAACCATTAAGGAGACTGTGATAGCGAGCAAATTTTGTTTTTTGACAATTGACGTTCTATTCCCGTTTTTATATAGCCACATATATAGATGATGTAGCCAATGCCACGGCACTAGCGAACTAACACAAACATGTTGGATCTGAAGCTAAATTAATACTGTCCGAGTCCGGGAATTAAAACCAAAAAAAACCTTGCAATATTGCTAAGCGCTGGGAATCAGTTTACCGTGGAAAAATAAAAAAAAAAAACCAGAAATTTCTCTATGATTTACGGAAAAATGCGACCACCCCTAAAGCATAAAAACTTAAAATTCTGGAAACAAACTTCGAAGTTATGCCAATTTATAGTTGAAACCTTCGTACAATTTACGTTCCAGCGGCTGTTACACTTGTAATGCAGGTGTACAATGGAAATTCGCCTCTAAATACAAAAGAGGGGATTTGCTGGATGATTTGTTGGCAGGTATGAAATAGTGACTTTTTTTGTTGAGGACCAAAAAAAAAAAAAATAATAGGAAAGTTAATATGCACTACCGTTTGGAAAATAGAAAACAAAGAAAAAATAAAAATGAAAAAAAAAAATTACAAAAAATAATGTCGCATGTCGCGGATTTTAAAAGGCGGCGGTAAACGAATAAGATTGACAACAGATGGGCTAATATATAAAGAACAAGAATTATCGTTTTTTTTTCCACCTCAATTGATCTTTTTCTTTTACTGTTCTCTTCTTTTCAAATCAATTGAAGTTCTACCTTTGAATCATTCATATATATATATACATATAGATCTACACAATGTCGGCCCTTTTAAAGCAAAGAGTGAGATATGCTCCATATTTACAGAAAGTCAGAACTGGTGAACAATGTCTTGATCTTTTCAAGCATGGTCAATACTTAGGTTGGTCTGGTTTCACTGGTGTCGGTGCACCAAAGGTTATCCCAACTGCCTTGGTTGATCACGTTGAAAAGAACAACTTGCAAGGTAAGTTAGCCTTCAACTTGTTTGTTGGTGCCAGTGCTGGTCCTGAAGAAAGTAGATGGGCAGAAAACAGCATGATCTTGTCAAGATCTCCACATCAAGTCGGTAAGCCAATTGCTGCTGCTATTAACGATGGTAGAACTCAATTCTTTGACAAACATTTATCTATGTTCCCTCAAGATTTAACTTATGGTTACTACACCAGAAACAAGACCAATGGATCAAACTTGGATTACACTATCATTGAAGCTACCGCCATCACTGAAGACGGTTCCATTGTTCCAGGTCCTGCTGTTGGTGCTTCTCCAGAAATGATTTCTGTTTCTGACAAGATTATCATTGAAGTCAACACTCATACTCCATCCTTTGAAGGTATTCATGACATCGACATGCCAGTTCAACCACCACACAGACAACCATACCCACACACCACTTCAGATTACAGAACTGGATTGACTGCCATCCCAGTTGACCCTGAAAAGGTTGTTGCCATTGTTGAAAGTACCTCGGGTGACAAGGTTCCACCAAACACCCCAAGTGATGCCCAATCCCAAGCCATTGCCAACCATTTAATTGAATTCTTGGAACAAGAAGTCAAGGTTGGTAGATTACCAGAAAACTTGCATCCATTACAATCCGGTATTGGTAACATTGCCAATGCTGTTGTTGAAGGATTAGCCTCATCAAACTTTAAGAACTTGACTGTGTGGACTGAAGTCTTGCAAGATTCCTTCTTGGACTTCTTTGAATCTGGATCCTTGGATTTCGCTACTGCTACTTCCATCAGATTGACTGAAGATGGTTTCAAGAGATTCTATGAAAACTGGGACGAATACTCCAAGAAGTTGTGTCTTAGATCGCAAGTTGTTTCCAACAATCCAGAAATCATCAGAAGATTGGGTGTTATTGCCATGAACACTCCAGTTGAAGTCGATATCTATGCTCATGCCAACTCCACCAATGTTATGGGATCAAGAATGTTGAACGGTTTAGGTGGTTCTGCTGATTTCTTGAGAAATGCCAAGTTGTCTATTATGCACACTCCATCTGCCAGACCATCCAAGATTGACCCAACCGGTGTCTCCTGTATTGTTCCAATGGCCTCCCATGTTGATCAAACCGAACACGATTTAGATGTCATTGTTACTGAACAAGGTTTGGCTGATTTAAGAGGTCTTTCACCAAAGGCCAGAGCCAAGGTTATCATTGACAACTGTGCTCACCCAGACTACAAGGCTCAATTGCAAGATTACTTTGACAGAGCTGTCTTCTACAACACCAAGAAGAAGTCCTTGCATGAACCACATATCTTGAAGGATGTTTTCAAGATGCACTTGAACTTCCAAGAAAACGGTACTATGAAGTTGGATTCTTGGGATCAAAAGTTCTAAATCTGTCAATAGCTTAATCTTATTTGCTTATAGATAAATTATTACATATAAATAAACGACGCGTGTATGCTAATCAAACAGTTTGACATATAAAAATGTCGTACCCTTGTAGAGTTAACTTTGATGAGGAGAAGAAGAAGGAGGAAAGAGGAGAATGTGTGCTATACGATGGAACGATGAGATGTGGTTGCCTGAAAAATTTCCCCTCCTGGCTTGTGTGAGTATGAAACGCGGAAATCCGCATGAAAGGGGAGGGGTAAACCAAAGAATGAAACCGTATTATTTTTTTTTTTGACGAACTAAAAATATATCAAGAGATATGACTAAAGTTAGCAAATCTAGGTCAATAGAAGGTTCAATTAGTAATACTAAAGGGGTAATTTCATTGCTACGCTTGACTGTTTAGTTTGCAAGATAAGGCGTCCTCCCACGTTAGCAAGTCATTCGCTTGTAGTGCACGCGCACTGGACGAGGGGAGGGGCAGATAATGTGCCAACAAAAAAAAACAAACAAAAACATTGTGTTGCTAAAAATTGACACACACAGCGAGGCTGAAGGAGGGGATTGTCCCGGGATAAACCTGTCCATTCTCCCTCCCCCCCTCCAAAAAAATGGAACTTGCATCCGAGGGAGGAGTAATGGTGTACAAAATTGCCATTGACCAGCGGTGTCCATATTAACCGATTGATTAGTCTATTAAGCCAATACAATTTCGCTGTAGTGGTTCTTTGTTTGCAAATAACGCGTGTTCTTTGTTTTGCAGCCAAACGTCAATGTAAACTCACTCTCTCTATGTATTTGAACATGCAATTACGATATCTTGTTTCTCTAACAACAAATATCAATTAAACACTTTTATGAGAGTGTATGACTAGCCAAAAAAAAATGTGTTAGTTACATCAATTAATCCAACAAAAAGTCCCACCAGGAAGTCTAAGCTTCACGACACCGCCGCCACCACTACTATCACTCCCCCCTCCTCAACAAAATGTGTTGGGAGCTCTTATCTTGCAGCCAAAAATATAAAATAGTGCCAAGAACTGCACATAACAACAATAAGATTTAAGTTATAACGGCGGAAATATATTACACTATATACATGATCATGCTATGTCTTTTTCCCTTGCCAATACTTAACCTGTTTCGCCCAGGCATACTTTACCGATTTAAATAACCCTGCCGTAAACACCCCTCGGATAGCTTGTTTGATCGAACTTATTTGTATAGTACGGCTTATGATCTTGGTGATATGTTTAGGCAAGTCATTATCCTTGGCAATATATTTGATTGATTTGTCATAATATTGCTGATACAACTGGTTTCTAAATTGGTGTGGCAATGTACTTATTAATCTAATCTTATTGTTGGTGTTGAGATTTTTCTTGAATGTTTTGTTCACCGGGTCATTGTCGAGTATAATCAAGTAATTATTATGAATGAAAAACTGTAATATTGGCTCATAAAGTTTCTTGAAGTGGGTAAATTGTTTATTGACAATATTCTTTACCTTGTTTGGATTCTCTCCTCCAATTTTCATTCTGAAATCTCCCAAGTATGAAAGTCGGGTGATTTGTTCGTATAACTCCAATTCGGTAAACTGACCCTTTTGAATAAGAATTATCGAAACTGTCATTGCATTCTTTAAATTATACTGATTAAGAAACTTTATACGCGTATCTTGATCTTCAATGATATTCACGGGTTTCTGCAATCTTCCTGCAAAATAAAGCGAATTCCAGTCACATAGATCAAGTAACGCATTCTCGGTAGATATTATGCCATACTTGATTAACTTGTTATTTATCGATATGAATGGGTTAAAGTATATTCCTGTTCCTTGGATAAAGTTGATTATCAGCAACAGTTTGAATGAATAATGACTGCGATTTTGTTGAAGATTGACTCGGTGGAACTCATGGCTATCAGGAACAATATGAATGAAATCTAATTGTTGACTACTGCTGGTGGTGGTGGTGGTGGTGGTGGTGGTGGTGCTACTACCACCACTACTAGTACTACTTGCAGGAGCAGAAGTTCCACTAACCTTCGGCAAATCATATCCATCCTGTGGTAGAATACCTGATCCATACCCAATAGAAACGTCAATTGGTGCATTGAATGTCTTGACAATCTCTTCCAACTCATGCTGTCTGTTTATAAATGTTTCATCAGGAGTTAATTCTTGATTAGTTGCACGGAAATCCTTGGGGATAATTAATTTGCTGAACCCAGAACTGCCTTCTGAAATAATTGGCTGGTAGTACTTGTCTGAATATGGTGTTGTTGAAGGAGCAAATGTTATAGGAGGAGTGGTAGTTGGTTTCTCCGAGGATGTATTCAACAATCGTACAATCAACTGTAGTTTATATTGATGTTTGATTGGTGAAATATAACATCGTGTGAGCATGCTCAATCTCTAATTATGTTGGATATGCAAGTGTGTGTGTGTGTAGTGGGGGGGGGAGGTGAAATTGTCCAAGACTGAAAGCACTAGTTCAATTGAGTGTGTAAAAACGTAACCAAGTGGTGTTTGATTTTTTTTTTTTTCTCACTAAATTTTTTAGGCTCCATCTCACGACCACTTTCTCGTCGGCAGCCAAACTTTCAACAGCGAGCCGTGATCACGTGTCACAAATAAACCGATACACGCGTCATGTGACACAAGTCAGATGATAAACAGCATGTGACGCAAGCCACCTGATTTCACTCACATGACAATGAGTCACGCCGTTTCCGGTGGTGAAAAATTATCTTCCTCCCCCATGTGTTGTTGAACTTATAGAAAAAGTTGCTCAGACTTAACCACTTTTTCCTTTTACTTCCAGTAGTAGCAGTATGTCCTCGCAAACATATAGATCCTCCCGTTGTTCAGTTGAACAACAATTATCATTTGAAGATGTTGTCATGACCGGTTTGGCCAATGACGGTGGTTTATTCTTACCAAGTGCTATCCCAAAGTTGCCATCAGATTTCCTTGAATCATGGAAAGATCTTTCCTTCAACGAATTAGCATTTGAAATTTTGAGATTATACATTGATCCAAAGGAAATTCCTGATTTGGATTTGATTAACTTGATTGCTAAGTCTTACTCCAAGTTCAGATCCAGTGAAATCACCCCAATTAGAAAGATTGACGACAATTTGTACTTGTTGGAATTGTTCCATGGCCCTACATATGCATTCAAGGATGTCGCCTTACAATTCGTGGGTAACTTGTTTGAATACTTTTTAACCAGACGTAATGCCAACAAGGCCGATTCCGATAGAGAAATCATCACCGTTGTTGGTGCCACCTCGGGTGATACTGGTTCCGCAGCAATTTACGGTTTAAGAGGCAAGAAGGACGTCTCTGTGTTTATCTTGTACCCAACTGGTAGAATCAGTCCTATTCAAGAACAGCAAATGACTACCGTTGAGGATGCCAATGTCCACACTTTAAGTGTCAATGGTACTTTTGATGACTGTCAAGATATTGTCAAGGCCATCTTTAGCGATAAGGAATTCAATGACAAGTACCACGTTGGTGCTGTCAATTCTATTAACTGGGCCAGAATCTTGGCTCAACAAACTTACTACTTTTACTCATACTTTCAATTACAAAAGGAATTGACTGCCAAGGACTCCAAGGATTCTAAAGTAAGATTTGTCGTTCCTTCAGGTAATTTCGGAGATATCTTGGCTGGTTACTATGCTTACAAGATGGGATTACCAGTTGACAAGTTAATTATTGCCACTAATGAAAATGATATCTTGGATAGATTCATGAAGAGCGGTGAATACTCCAAGCAACAAGAAACCGGTGTTAAGGCTACCCACTCTCCAGCCATGGATATCTTGATTTCTTCAAATTTCGAAAGATTATTATGGTACTTGATCAGAGACAATGTCACCCATGATGACTCCAAGGCCGGTGAAACGTTGAATGACTGGATGAAGCAATTGAAGGAAAATGGCAAGTTTACTGCACCAAAGGAAGTCTTGACTGCTGCCAAGTTAATCTTTGACTCTGAACGTGTTGACGATGAACAAACCATCAAGACCATAAAAGAAGTTTACACTTCCCATCCTGAAAACTACATTGTTGACCCTCATACTTCCGTTGGTGTTGCCACCTCATATAGATTTATTGCCAAGGATGAACCAAGTGAAAACATTCAATATATCTCCTTGTCTACCGCCCATCCTGCCAAATTCTCTGAGGTTGTCAACAAGGCATTGGATTCCTTTGACAATTACTCATTTGAAAAGGATGTTTTGCCTGATGAACTAAAGGCATTAAGCGAAAAGCCAAAGAGAATTAAGTTGATTGACGAAGCAAGTGTTGAAAAGGTTAAACAAGCAATCAGAGATGAATTGAAGTTTTAATTAGTGTATATACTCCAAAAAAAAAGGACTAATTTCGTATATCACTACTTTGTGTAATACTAATCTATAAATATCTATTAAGCATCTTGCTTCTTCTTTACTTGAACCTTACCTTCTACAACTTCAACTTGATACCCAACTTCTTGTAATACTTTATCGTCAACAGTACGTTTAGCTTCCAAATCGGCGACCACTTGCTGGTTATGTTTATTATCTTGTAACAAGTATTTTAAACAAACAATGGCATGTTCCTTGATGAATGGATTGTTGTTGTCAATAACACAGTTGGACAAGATCAACGCTAATCCACCCAATTCTCTAACTTGTTCTTGGACTTCAAACAGTTCATGGGTTAAGTACGACAATATTATAATTATTGACGATTTCACGGAATTGTAGGTGACACCTTCAATCTTGGAGTTTTTGATTGTTACTGGTTTAATTGCATTATGAATTGAGCCAAACACGGATATGAGTTGTTCGAGGAATGTCGGGTATTGCGCGAGTAACTTCTTGAAGATTTCGAACTTACCCAATTCTGAAAGAATATGTAAATTGACGGTAATCACTTCTTCAAGTTCGAAATCTTGCAATATGGTATCTGGAGTTAAGGTCTTGGAGTAAGTCAAGAATACTTCGATGTTCCATGAAATCAATGCTGTCAACTCATAGATGTTCCATTGATCTCTTGTTTGAACCACGGTACTCGTCAATTCTAACCAGCTGGTCAAATCAGTGTGTCCAGCATGAGCTATCCAGGTGACGAAACTTTCATGGGTTATCACATCATAAAGCAAGTGGATGAACATCTTTGAATCGTGATCCAACTCAGTAAAGTCTATAGTTAAGTACAATGAGTATACGCATCGAAGGATGTAGTTTTCGTCAAGTTTCAACACTTCTTGAAGTTTAAAGTTTGTGAGTTCGTTGTCCTCGGTGAACAACTGCCTGAATAAATAATGGACAATGGGCGACTTAAACACATTTTTGAATTGTACTTGTTCAAACAATTGGTTCACTTCTGCAACGAGTTCATTTCGGGGGAAATTTGCAAGAATTTGCCAATACACCAATTCTGTCTTGACATTCCAATCCTCCACTGGTTCCACTTTGGAAAATCTGACAAAACTTGTAATAACACTTGTGTAAATGTCATTGTTAGTCAACCTGGGTGCTATATTTCGAATAATCAAGAGTAGTCCACGATATAACCGGATCGCATCAACTGATTTGTCAGGACAGTATTCAAGAACTTGTTTAATTTGATCAACCGGGAGGAGACTTAGATCTGAATTAAGGAGATCACTTATTGCACTTAATCTACTGGAAAGATTTATGAAGTTGTTGGATTTCAAATCTATAAGCGAGTCTTTTATTATTGAGTTCATGGTAGGCTAGCAAGAGCAGTAGATCTCGATTTAGTAGATAGTAGTAGTTATTTAATTTATTTATTTTTTTTTTTTTTTTTGGCTGCGATGTTGTCCCAAAATTACATCCAAGAAAACAGTCAACTCAGTTATACCATTAGCCAAGCTGTTTGGTGATTAAAGAGAAGAATTCTCGGTATATACTTACATATTGTTCTAACGTACAAATTATGGTCTTAAATAATTTATGTGTGAGAAAAAGATGTTTAAATCTGAAAGTATATTTAAAATCTTATACAACGTAACTATCTATCTAATATTGATCCAATGCAGTCTGGTTCTGGTATAAGTCACAAGCATGTGGGTTTTGCAAACAATATTTAGGAACCAAAGGAGAGGCAGCGTGACCCAAAGCCACCAAGTATTCTCTAAAGTTGAGGATTCTCAGGGTCAACAAATTAGTTCTCAAGTGCCCTTCATCATCACGATTACCACTCCAAGTGCTTTCTGCTAATGCAGCGGTTCTGGGCCAGATCTTGGAGATCAACACAGTGGAATCAACTTGTTCGGACCATAAGGCAACTTCCGCACCAACGACGTGTTGTGCTTCTTCAGCAGTCAAATTGGCCGTAAAATCGTAATCGTAAATTCTTTGCCAGGTCTTGTATGGAGCACACCAACTACCACCTTGTCCGTTATTGAAATCGTCATTATCTGGAATATCAACATATCTTGGATCATTGGTGACCCATCCACCATAACCACAGTCTAAATAGAAATGCAGGGCCAGCGAAACAATGACATCGTACCCTTGCGAAGTCAAATTCTTGATGTTTACCAAATCATTGTTCCACGACTGCAAAATGATGTTTTCGGTAGGTAAAGTATGAGCACCTTCCGGGGTGGTGATGATATCTTCCCACATAATCAACTTCCTATCTGCAGAGACATTGAAAAAGATAGGCAAGGCTTTGTCAACGTAATATTGAGTCAAATCGTTCATTGTTCTGTTCTTTTCAAACCAGTTATCCATGATCAAGGGGGACATGTAATAACAAGGTTCTTGCAATTCATCAGCGCCAACATGGAAGAAGTTATCAGGGAAGATGCTACTCAATTCTTCGTAAACATCCGTGATAACCTCGTAAGTTTCTGGCATCAAGATGTTTAATTGACCTGGAGGTGGTTCAACAGCAGTATGGTTAGCCCAAACGTCATTGGACCACCAAGAATCACCACAAGTAACAATGTCAGGGTTGACCTGGCGCCAACCGGCCCTGGCATGACCTGGCATATCCACTTCAGGAACGATTCTCACACCACGCTCGTAAGCATAGTTAATAACATACAAGATATCTTGCTTGGTGTAAATTTCACGTGGTGAATAAGCATCATTGATCATTTCTGGGTATGAATTCAACGCCACGGGCCAACTTTGAGCGTCAACCAAGTGCCAATGCAAAGTGTTTAATTTAGCAAGGGACATAATATCAATTTGTTCCAAAATGGAGTCGATACTCAAGTAGTTTCTTCCTGAATCAATCATAACCCCACGATGTTTATATTTAGGATAATCACTAATAGCAACCGATTGTTCAATGTAAAAGGTGTTGTTTTCATAGATAATCAATTGCTGTAAAGTAGACAATGCATGCAAGGCCCCCCAAACAGTAGGAGCATTAATGTTGATTTCCGAATCAACAACATCAAGAGTATAGCTTTCGTCGACACCATATTGCAAATCAGCATCAAAATCAGTAATGTCAATATTGACGGGAAATCCAAAATGAAGTGGCTTTTGGCCAAACGCAAGGCCTCTCTTGACCACCGGTGGGCCAGGGAATGGGTCGAAGCTGGGAATTGGTTCTTCAAAAGTGGCAGGATACCATTTCAACTTCTTGACTGCATTGACGGTTCTATAGAACGCGTCTTGAATAACGGAATTAGGCTTCTTGACATTAAGATCAAGACCATCCAAGTTGATCTCAATTGGCCCATCACCGTACCAGGAGATGTTTCTGGGGATTGGTAATGGGTTTACCTTGACTGCCGTGGCAACACAGGTAAGTCCCAAGACTTGAAGCAATAAGTTACCAGCCAACATTTGTTAGTTTTGATTGCTGATATAGACCATGGACTTGTGGATGGCTGGCTGGATGGGGGGATATTTGCGGTTGTATTTATACACTGCTATTGGAGAGAAATTCCGAGAGGCGACATACAAATTGATTGAACAATAGGGTTTTAGTGTGTTATCAAAGAAAGAGACAGTAATATTAGTAAACATTTGCTTTTGATAATGGTGCGGATAAAAATGCAACGCAAAATTTATGTTACATTTGATTGTTCTCTCGAGGCACCAAAAACCTGGAGAAGGAATTCGAAACATGGAAGGTGATAGGAGACAGGAATGACAACAAGAGCATTCCCATTGTTCTCGATCGACTTGAATCATTGTAACATCATTGTAACATCGATTGTTATCTGATCAGTGCCATTCGGGTAGCTGCCTCGTTTGAAATTAAAGACTCACCTAAATTCCTAAACAAGATCAACACAAGCCAAAACAAGCAGTCAAGCGCAAAAAATATGAGCCAGGTGAGGAATTTCCCGACGTAATTCCAAACTGTTTACATGTTACAATCTTGATATTTACGACGACAAGTGGGTTTTAGTTGTCACTTGCTGATGTTGCAATCGTGAAGGACCCACCATTTTGTGGGGTTATCAGGGATTTTGATCTTAGGGAAGGGGGGGGGGGGATTAGTCCATCCGAGGACCCTTTGCAAACAATAGATACACTGTGTGATGTGATGTGATGTGATTTTTCTAAGAAAATGACAACATCAGCATGAAAATTGCAACCCAACGAATCTCATCAAATCTATATAGAAAATAAATAAAAAAAAATGCTGTTCTGGATATTTCCGAGAAACCTTCCATAGAAGATCCCAGCATTAAGTGAATAGTTACGACCCTGGCTATAACCGCTGTACTCTAGCAAATCAAAAAGTTAGCGAAAGTAAGCAATAAAATAGAACGGCCCGACTCGCCACGGCTAAAGTTACCCGACATTAATGTACAACAGTATTTCCGGAGGACCCTTACGCATCTCCACGGCTAATAACCGTGAAAAGTGCCGCAATAGCGTGATATAAATTAATATAACGATTTATCACATTTACTCTATAAAATATAAATTCATTTATAACATTTCCATAAAAACCAATCCTTCATGTACAATAATGATGCAAAATAATAAAAAAAATAACAGCGTAAGCAACAACAATAAAAATGTCTAGAAATTGACCCAATCTATAGTAATAATAATAATAATAACAATAATAAAATATCATCTAGAAATGAAAAAAAAACATAAGCAACATTGACTCTGTAGTAAAATTTTTAAGCAACCTCAGTAGGAACTAATCCATTGGCACCAACATTATATTCCCGTAAATAATGGCAAGGCAATTTAACCAAACTGGCAGAACTGGTACTAAAACTTCTGCTACGAGTACTCTTGACCGTAGACAAACTAACCACGGAATTTGTTCTGGAAATAATCACATCCGCAAGGGGTGAAGTTTCGGTAGGAATAACAACCAGTCTATTTAACCAGGGATCATCAACATTTAATGCCTTGATGCATCTAAATAAATGGCGGTAATGACGACGTGGCGATCTAACCTTTTCCGGAGGTGGATTCCACTTGTAATCAGACGAAGACGAATAGCTCACAGAATAACCCATTCCAGTAGAATGATGGTTCTCTTCACCATCGGAATGGTTACCATCTGTTTCATGACGTAATTCTTGATTAAATTCTTCATCATATTCATCATCCTCTTCTTCAAATCCCTCATGCTCCGAGGGAATTACATCTTCGGAAGCTTCCGGAACATGGGTGGGAATTACCGCAAGGTTAGGCACAGAAGCGGAACGCAGAACCGAAGTTTCTGAAACTAATGCAACTGGTGGAGTTACCACGGCAGCTGGTTCTGCTTCAGCTTGTTGTTTAGACAACTTTGATCTCGATAATTTCTCCTTTAATTTAGATAATCTTCCTCTAAATGGATCAGACAGGGATCTTAATCTGCTAGAAATAATCGCGGTCGCTGAGCTAGCACTGGAACTGGTGCTGCTACTGCTACTGCTACTGCCAGAAGATTGATTTCTTCTTCTTCTTCTTGGAATAGTTCTATATTTCGGATCAGCACGTTGTTCAACATCTAAAGAAACTCCCATTCCGACACTAATCAGCAAATTCCAGTCGACGAGTTCTTGTGGATTATCAAATTCAAGCAAAAATTGTTCAGATTCCGCTCTCATTCTTAAAACATTCTCCTTCTTGGTATAATCACTGGCTAATCCAATCTTGGCATACTGTAATGAATAAGATCTAACCAACTTTTTCGAGGTTAACAACCCCATTTGTTTACAATACAAGTGAAATTTTAAATCATATTGATTAGTAAAATGTGAGTTAATTCTCTTCAAATAAGAAGAAATCTTTTGATCCAACATATTAGGACGATAGTTGCAAATGGAGGCTTCGAAAATGGCCGGGATTTGGTAAAAATTCAACTGGGTAGAGTTTAATTCCATCAACAAATATTTCCACAGTTTGTGGTTGGATAATTCATAAGGGGTAACACATTCAACCTTACGGGCAACTACTCCTATTTTGTATACTGTGGGGGTATATGCAGGGGGGCGTACACTAACATTAGTAATCGCAAAATTTTCTGGACCGCAGGAGGGTAAAAAAGATTGCACTGGGAATTTGGGACAGCCGCCTGGTGGTAATGTGTCGTAGGCAGGCGGGAACACTGGTACAGGTTCTATGAGTTGCAAGTATTCATCTTGACTGGAACTGTAAAAGTCATTGGAGGTGATTGATAATACAGGTGAGGGGGAAGGGGAAGGTGGTGAACTACTTAATTCGGCAGCAAGGGACAAATCACATGATGAAGCAGACAATGAAGAAGTTCCTGATGAAATACTCAATCTATGATCTGATTCCAGTGACAGTGACAGTGGCAGTGGCAGTGGCAGTACTTCTGGCACATGTTCTATTTGTTGTTGTTGTTGTTGCTGCTGCTGTTGCTTTTGTTTACCTTGTTGATTCAATGAAATCGGTATCAATGGTTGGATGTTAATAGTGGCTGGGCGTGTAGTATTGGAGTAGACATATGGGCTTGGTTGATGATCTACTTCAGTAATCATAATGACATCTGAAAATTGAAGCTCGTTTACAAAAACTTAAACAGAGGCGATAATATGAAAGTGAAAAAGAGCAAAAGGCAAACTTAAAATAGTTTTTCTACAAATTTGTGAATAGTTGATTAGTTAAGTATTCACCGTTGCTTAGTTTAGGGGTAATAATCTATTCTGACAAAAAAAAATATTTTTTATTGTGTCAAAATGGCAGCAAATTGCAATTAGATATAACCTAAAAAATAAAAAAAAAGAAAAAAAAAAAGAAATTGTGATCTAGTACGTCAACAAAATTATAATAGCGGTTTTTTTTTGTTTGAACGTACGACCGACACACCCGGAAGCTTATCTCCATGGAAAAGATATGAGCCATTTTTACTACCGAGGTATTTCTGGGGTTACTTTATCACTCATAGCCCTGGCAAATCTTCTAACCAGTAATGAACATGCATAGGTATCTGAATCAAAGGGGAGAAGGAAATTTCAAGTTTCCTAACTTGGGTTCTTTTTTTCTTTACTGTGGTGGATTTCCGGGATTAATTTTCTTTTTTTTTTTATTTTATTTTTGTCGAAACAAAAAAAAAAAGTGGGACCTCTTTCACCTTCTCAGTGCGATAAGCGGTTATCTTTCCCATGGGGTGGGAAATACACCCAACGAAAACTAGAAAATATTACGAAATGAAACAAAGTAGAATGATGTCAACCACAACATGTCTCCTTTTTTCAAGTCATTCACGTAAACCATGTTGCCAATTTTTGCATCTACTAGCCCATCAGGGAACGGTTTCTTTTTTTTTTTCTCTCTCATGCATCACTATATTTATCACCAGTCACAAAATAAGAGCACGTGAGAGACTTTTCACTACCGATTTAGGAAGGCTAATTAAATTGGTCACAATACCTATGATCCAGGTTACAATATTTCTTAATTATCAGTAAACAACACAACTTGCCAGCACAACATTAATTATAACCAATTAGAGTTTTTGCGACTAATGTGGGATTAACCTCATCTAACATATACGACGGACATGAGGGGTATAACCAAAACACAGCACCGAATCGAGAGAAGATTTAGGGGAACTACCTCCAAAATAGTCCTTTCTCCCACAAAATAAAAAAGAACTTTTGTAAAAAAATACGACACACTTTTTTTTTTTGGTATGTTTTTGCGTTCCATTTGCCTGTGTTGGAAGGCCCATTCATACTTGCGAAAAACCCCTCCTTCCAACTTTCCCCACCTCTCATGAAAAACTTCCGGCACCACTTCTCTTTTGAAGTAAAACCTTGTGCTTGTGACGTTTTTGAATTAGATCCCCTCATCAAAAATCGAAGCAGCCAGGGATCATATTTCAACAAGGTTGTAAACCAGGTCGGTTTTAAGGATACTGTGTATGTGCGCGTGCGTGGTTTGCAAACTGGCCACAAAAGTATAAAGTCGATCTATATTAGGAAAATTTACCGCCACACCGGCTGTAAATTTCTGCCAGCGAATATTTCCCACCGAAAAAAAAAAAAGACAAGCCGTCCCCAGGAGATCTACCTACGAAAACCGATGACCACGATCGCTGGGTTAATGAATTTATGTCGGCAATTTCTGATGCATTTCGCCCTGGCTGCCTTTTTATTCCATCGCTTATTTTTCTTGGTTATCATTCCTTTCTGAAATCGGAGAGGATGGGGGAAATGCGACCCGTATCTAACCGGTAACGCGGGATTCGCAATCCACTTGGAAACACCGGTTTGAGCAGGATGTACAATCGGTACTAACTAAAGCAGACTAAGGGCTTATCATTAGATTTCCGGGACATATTAATTAAATTGGGTCGCGAAATCGATCCATAAAACAATGGCGCATTGTTCGTAAGTTTCAGATTTAGCGTCTGCAAGTAATTTCCATTGGCCTTATTTCCTATTGGGTGTATTGCTGTCAGTGCCACGAAAAATTTATATCCCGGTGGCTAGTACGATACTAGCCTTATCAATTCCAACATAACACGTCCATTGGCATGACAACGGAGTAAAATAGCCAAAGTTGGAGTTGTAGATCTACGTTCTTTGCGAGAACAATATAATGTAAAACAGTTGTTCCCTCGATAACTATGACAACCGTGCACGTCTGTGATTGCCCCACTTGCGTTTCAGAAGATAACCGTTTGTGGCTTAAGTTTCACCATTTTAAGATATAGTTGCCAAAAATATTGCGCTCTCTAATCATAACCTCATGCAATTTATAAACCCTTAATCAGCTCATTATTCCTAGATGCAACACGCTACCACAGCACATTTGCAAAATCAAGCAAGTATAGTATCGTAAGAGACGGATTAATCACTGGAAGACCATTGGATTGTCAAGTTTTAGTTGTGTTACAGTTCCAAGGTTACCACCCACCCCTACACACCCACAAAAACTAGCATTGGAAGGAGATGTGATTGCAACCCCACCAAATTTACTACTTCAAGCTCCACAAGTAACCTCTCTTCCATCGCTTTGCCTAATAGAGCGAATCAAGATTAATTTGAATTTGAAAAAAAACTCCTTTTTCAAACTTAGAGAATCTAGCAGAAGGCTGAATATCTGAACATCTATATTTCTATTCAAAGTCTATGCTAACTATTTACATGCACACCTTATAACTTTTCTAAACCAACGTCTGCTCGCTTATCTTCATATTTCAACTTTGCCTCTTCACGTTTAATATGAAACAATCTCTTTTGGAATGCCTGGATCATAATATCACTCACCTGAGGAGCAAACATAAAACTCAAGCGATCATACAAGGGATTTCTAAACTTGTAAACCAATTGAAAATCAATCTTACACTTGTTTTTATTACCATCTACCTCATTGAACTTCCATTTAGTTTCTAAATTCTCAAAAAGATCCAATTCTAAACTGGTTGCTTGGACTAATTCGCCCGGCACACAGTTTAACTTGCATTCAAACCGTTCGTTGATGTCCTTCCAACCTACTTGAAGACCGGCTCTTGAGGGGGTATTTCTCGAGCAACGTTCAGTGATGAATGATTCTTCAACGAAGGGAACGAATTCGTGGTATTTGGCCACATCACTAACTATATCGTATAGTTGTCGAGGTGTGCCGTTCAAAGTCCGAGATATTTCATATGATTGCGGTTTGGAAGAGCCAAAGAAGGTACGCCTAGGAAAGATAGCACTGGTGAGTGGTCGAATGGGAAGAACTGGTCGTATTCTTACAAGCATGTGGTGCGTTTTGTTTGCTAGGTGTGGCTGGGTTAGTTGGTGGTTACCTTGGATCTTGCGATATTTCGAGACAAGGAAAAAAATTAGCATGGAGTTTGCATGAGTTAGTTGCTAATTGGTAGAATAGCGAATAACGAATATCGAATAACAAAGCTACTACAGATGAAGTTTAAGATCCACTTAATATTATACAAATTTTATATTTATTATATGTAAGGTGAGTGTGTTATGGGTTCGTGAAAAATAATTTAGATAGTTTTAGAGAAAACAAATCATATTTATTGAGCACGGGTGTAAACAGCTTGCTTAGAGTGCTTTAAAACTGGGGTGATGATACCATCTTCTTCTAATTGTCTTAAAGCAACACGGGCAAGAGAACCTCCAATCTTTAATCTGTCAACTAAAACGGAAACGGAAACGTATTTGTAAGTTGGGACATCCTTCAAGATTCTGTCGTATTTTTCTTGGTCTAAGATGACAACGTGTTGGGCCTTGTCCTTAACCTTACCCTTATTCCACTTCTTTTTACCCTTCTTACCACCGGCTAAAGCGGCAGCAGCCTTAGCAGCCTTAGTTTGTTGAACCTTTGGAGCCATTCTAAATAGATTGTTAGTATTTACTCTCGATTTAATGTGTGATATGTGGAAAGATAGGTAGGTATCTAGGTAGGTAGCCAGGTAGTCAGCCAACTAGATGGATTGCGTGCAGTAGGATCTGCTTGGAATAGTCATTCATTTAACAATTTGGATAATTTGATAAACTCTTTGGTGGTGATATTGACCCACTTAAGGAACTTGCCCCTTTTACATAAAATTTTTTTTTCACTTTTTAATGTACATAATAATTTGAATGTGACGCTATCCTGATGTTGATTCGATCAAAAGCTCTTTACTGGCACACTCATTTCGTCTAAGGCATGTAGCTGTGGTGGAAATAGACATAGGCATTGTGGTATTACAGTTTGAACTCATTGGTCGATATACACCTCTCAATGGTGGAATTCCAACTAGACGTACTAAATCCTATTGGTTGGATCACTCTTTTTCATTACACTGGTTATGACATTTCTGATACACTCTACTCTATCACACGTTCTTTCACTATATGAACATACTTTTAATTGACGATTCTTACTAATAACAAGAAAAGAGAAAAGAAGAAGAAGAAGAGTTAAAAGTGTATTATAATAAAGTTGGTTAATTTTTTTTTTTCGCTGTACTGTGTGCCCATTGCCATAGTAAAAATTGTTAACTATGAAAATTTTTTTTCTCCCTCGTTTGTTTATATGCAGATTACACCCATTCTTCAACTATACTAACAAGTCACATGACACACCATTTTCCGATGTATGGGAAAAAGGTAAATGTCCCAAATGGACGTGCACGTGATTGGATGCAATTCTAGGGCCGCAACCCTAATGGTTTGTTTACGTCTTCAAAGCAATGCACTAAATTATTGGTTTGTTGGTCACGAGTATACACACACACTCTCTCACACTCAAGTTGTTGATACTTTGGCTGGCCCTACCATACAATACATCTTCAGACAATGGCAAAGAGAGGAGCTGGAGAACAAATCACTCGTGATGATTTCGAAAAGGATCACGAGGCCGGTGATCATGACGATATACCAACATTGGCCATGAAGGCATCCGATGAAGTGTTGGCTACGAGAAAAATATTGAAGCCTAAGCGAAGAATAGACTCTAGTATACTGAATAATATTGGATTCAAGGGGTTTGGTGCATCTGCCGGTAATATACCAGGTAATACCTTTGGATTTACCAAGACTGATACTACTTCTTCCAATGACAAGAATGCAAAAATTAGAGCATTGAATGAACAATTTGTCAATGCAATCAACCAAAAGAACTTGCCTAATTCCATAGTGGATTATACACCAATTGCAGAAAAGTACATCAAGTATTACAAATCTATTACTGAAGGTGTCAGTCTGGTGCCTGCGCCTAAACCACAAGCAACTGCTGATGCACCAGCAAACCCGTTTGCATTCAAGAAAACACACACGCCTGTTGCCGGAGAATCTTCTAGCTTGTTTTCATCCCAACCTAAACCAACCCCTTCTACTGCTGGACAATTCACTGCCCCAACTACCACATCATTCCAATTTGAACCAAAAACAGAAACCAGCAAACCATTTACATTCTCCGCAGGTGCATCTAAACCAGCAGATGCAACTCTGGTTCCGAAATTTGTATTCCCACTGAAGGAACCAGAAACTAAACCACAAGAACCTGCTCCTAAGAAAACCTCCAACGAAGTAATAGACATTGATTCAGAGCCAGAGTCAGATTCAGATTCAGAAGACGACAATATGGAGACATCCAAGCCTGAAATCAAGGTACAAGGTCCTCAATTCACATTGAGTGCCAAACCCTCAACTAAGAATTCTCCATTTACTTTCGATCCAAAGAAGTTGGCCAAAATCAATGCTCCTGATTCCGATGATTCCGACGATGAAGTTGTCATTAAGGGTCCTACTTTCCAATTTAATAAGCCTATTGTAGATAGTGTGTTCAAATTAGGAAAGTCTGACAATGCTGACAAGGAGAAGCCCGCTTTCTCATTTGGCGCAACTGCAAACAAAGAAGTTGCACCTTCCAAACCTGAACCGGCAAATGATAAACCTGCTTTCTCATTCGGATCTAGTGCACAAAAGAGTGATGATAAACCAGCATTTACATTTGGACAAACTGCCGAAAAGAAGGACGACAAACCGGCATTCTCATTTGGACAAACTGCCGAAAAGAAGGACGACAAGCCGGCATTTGCATTTGGACAAACTTCCGAAAAGAAAGATGACAAACCTGCTTTCTCATTCACTCCATCAGAAAAGAAGGAAGATAAGCCAGGACTTTCATTCGGATCAAGTCAAACCACAGATAAACCTTCATTTTCATTCAAGCCAAACAGTGAAGCTAAGCCGTTTTCATTTGGTTCATCTGCACCTGCTGCTAATGACAAACCAGCTGACAAACCAGCATTTTTGTTTGGCTCAACGTCTGCCGCACCTAGTGAAACTAAAGACAACAAGGCTGCTGCATTTTCATTTGGATCCCTGAGCGAAGCTAAACCATTGTTTGGATCAACCACCGAGAATAAGGAAGAAAAGCCAGCAGCGTTTTCATTCGGTGCTAAGCCAGCTGTCTCTTTTGGTGGTGAAGCTCCAAAATTCAATTTCGGAGGTGCTAGTTCTGCATTTGCTAAACCTACCGAGGACAAACAGGAATCTAGCGAAACCACTCAGAAGCCATTGTTTAACTTTGCCTTTAACCCATCTAAAAACGGCAGTCCATTTGGAGGAGCAGCAGCAGCAGCAGCAGCAACCACCAGTTCATCTGCAGGTACAGCAACTGAAGGAGGTGACGATGATAAAGTTCCTGAAGAAGAAACCGGGGGAGATTTCACGCCAGTTGCTCAATTATCATCTGAAAAGATGGAGCACGTTTCCACTGGTGAAGAGGATGAAATAGCCCTTTACACCAAGAGATGTAAGTTGATGGAGTTGGACACCTCCAACACTGAAAACCCATATATCAACAAAGGTGTGGGAGACTTGAAAGTGTTGAAACACAAGGAAACTCAAAAGTCAAGAATTTTAATACGTGCAGATGGTGGATTACGTGTGTTGTTAAACACTGCTATTGCCAAGGGTATCAAGTATGAGAGCATGGGTAATGGATCCTTGGTTAGAATTCCTACCGTTGATGCTGCTGGTAAGTTTGTGACGTTTGTGGTTAAAGTCAAGACCCCTGCTGATGGAAGTGACCTTTTAAAAGCCATTACTGATGTTCAATAATGTATAATTATATAAAGTGCAGAAAAATGTTTATTTAATCATTTTAATCGTATCTATAAATTCATATTCGTAACCGACGTTAACTCCATTATCACCAAGTAAAGTATGCAAAATCTCTTGGTCTGTTCCAAATAATTTATGCTGGATTTTCTTCATGTATCCGAGAACCAATTGGATTATGAATTGTTCATTGTTTTCACTAAGCAAGACGATATCAAGGATGTGGCTCGACAAGTCAAATGAAAACAAATTGGTGCATAGACCTGCCACCAAGGTGGGCAAGTATGCTAATGGTTCAACATTCCGGACTTTGAAATGAGTATACACCCGATCCAACTGGTCCTTGAATGTCAACTCATATTCATAATGGATGTAGTCTGATATCGAGCTGGCGATTATTGGTTGATTTTCTGGTGCAGCCGTAAGATAGGACAACATCATGTTGGGTAACTTCATTTGGAAGATGTGACAAAGAGTAATTAATGTTTTGTACATGCTGCCCTTGTACGTTCGATGCAAAATTGCTGCCAAGTTGGGTAAGCCAGAAATGGCAGCGAGGGTGGAAAGGTCACAGCTAGTTTGATGGTGCCAATAAAGCATGAAGGCAACAATGACCTGGGTAACTTTGTCAATAGGGAGGTGTATCTCGGGGTAAAGGTGTTCCAATTTCTTGGAGATGGTTTGGAAGATGGTAGTCCATTGTGTAAGGGTATAGTTGTGGATACTGCAGTTGAGTTCTGTCTTGAGGCCATGGTTCAACTTCAGAAGTCGTTGTATCAGTTTCTGATGGTTTGGATTTCGTTGACACATATCAACCTCATGCTGTAAACGTTGCGATTGGATAATCCTATCGTGGATCAACCCAACTTCGTGAAAGTAATAATCGCAGAAAGTGTCATTATATTGTGACTTTTTAAGTTGTTGGGACTTCCACCATACTTTGGCTCTAACTTCCTCATCAACACCACGCCAAATGCACTCGTCAATGTTCTTCAACTGAGTGTCCAAAGTCAGCTTGGCTTCCAAATATGGAACCCAGGTTGATATAATATCTTTCTGTCGTTGTTTGTTCAACTTGGCAATGGTTTTCAATCTCCGCTGTTGGAGTTTGGCTTCAGCCGAAATAGCATGGTTTATGAGATTTCCGGCCTGGTGCTGGTGTTTAAGTTTATCATGAGTAGATTTAGGGGGAAGCCATGTAGGGCGTGTATAAGTTTGGTATCTGGTTTGTTGTGGAGGTGTAGGGCGGGTCGGTATCTCGGGCAATGAAGGCGACTTAGGAGGAAGCCTAGGTAAGGAGCAACTTGGTTTCGACAAGGCTGGCATGGAAACATTGACCTTTTTGAAATCAGCAAGGATCTTGCTATGTTCAAGGAACTCATCGCATATTCTCGCCGATTCTGATTTGAATGCAAGCTCTAGTTGCATGTTGTCTGCTTCTCCCCAGTCATCTGAGGAAAGACTCTCACTGGAACTGAATACACTTGATGCTGCTGTGGATGTTGTCGATGCGGTGCATGTCAGGAAACGAGGGCAGGGGATATTGAAAAGACTATCCATGGGATCTATTAGTTCGTCTTTAGTGTCAACATAAACCAGCTGGCGAGGAAGTGAGTTAAACTGGGAGGATATGGTGTGGTTTATGTTTAGCTTGCGGAGTTTCAACCGCTGAGATGGGGTAAGATTTGCCGGGAGTGGGTTGACTTGGATGGTGTATTTGTCGTAGGGCATTGGTTTTCGCGGCATAAACTGGGGATGCGCAAATGTTTCCGATAATGAGATTTCTTCGAGGCAGTCGTCGTTAATCATCTTGGATGATTGAAGTGGATGAAGAGAAGGTCAAGTAGAACAAAGAAACAGGAGGATTTATATCGTTTATATGGAATATGAAACGACTATTTCTTTAGGTGGCTCGAGTAATAAAATTATTAAAAAATATGAAACCGTAAATAACCGAGACGCGGGAAGCATGTTTTGCTTTTCCCCAAAAAGCGCACAACTAAACAAAGCTAAATTTTTTTTTTTTCATTTCATGTCAAGGGGGCATCTAACCAGGCGTAATTATTCCATTTTCGTTAGATTAGATTGTTAATGTTGCTCAAGTGGCATACACTTGCATCTGCCTAGCTTTTTCATGGAGTTTTCTCCAAGATCAAAGCTATATACTTTGTCGTGCATTGTTCTTTGGCTCTTTTGTTGACAGGCCCCTTTCGCTAATTAGACTGCGCGACAGTCATAAAAATATTTCGCTGTGTAGACGACGCGTCTAAATTGAGGTGTGGCATGCAGGAAGAATATATGCCCATTTGCCATGGTTCATACCCAATTCAAACGTAGGTACAGATTCTTATCTATCACAGGAGTTATGTTGTGATTCTCTGCGTAGATGCAATTTGCGGAGTAAGCGCTCCTTTCACAGTCTAGATTTCTCTATAGCCGTAAACTGTAGGTGCGTCACTTTACAACAGTTGTGTAATTGAAGATCCTCTTGTGCATCTGCTGCATTATGACGTACATGCACCTCCTTCAACTACAACCGCAAACAATGAGATGAGTGAAATTCATCAACACTTTAGTGTGTTTATTGCAGATTCATGTTGGATAATGTCGCCCAGCATAAAATGTAACCATGTACAACCCTCCCTCAATGATCTTGTAATTATAATTCCTCTTTACGTACAAAATTGAAAGGCGGCAGCCAAGGCTATGTGAAATCCCCATTTAAATTCTTCCATTTATACTATTTATATACAAGATACAATTACATTAGAGTCCAAGAATTATATACATCTAGACAAAATTACTTTTGATCTTTATCCTTTGGTTGCTCCATGTTGAAGAATTTGCCCAAGAACTTGCCAATTCTATCTAACTTGTTAGGATGTAAATCCTTCTCATCGAAAGTTTCCGCTGCTGCTGCTGCTTCTGCGTCTTCCTTATCTTGAGCTTCTTCATCTTCGGCCCGTTTCAAATGAGTTCTCTTGGCAGTCTTGTCATTAAATGCATCGGCCAATGCCTCTAATAATGCAGTTTGGGTGGCAGTTTCTGGAACTAACGTCTTGACATTCAATATCACATCCAAATTACCCCTGTTATCCATGTTTCTATTGATTGGTACCCCCAAGTTAGGAATACTCAATTTTCTGCCGCTCTGAACACCTGGTCTAACCTTTAATCTAACATTGGATCCATCCAAGGTTGGAACAATAATTTCCCCACCTAAAGCGGCAGTGGTCATCAAGATGTTTTCATCAATGACTAAATCATTACCACTACGTTTGAACTTAGGGTCTTTACGGACATTGACACGGATAATCAAGTCACCTTTACGGGTACGGTTGTATGCATCTTTGGTGATGAATGGTGCATCACCTTCTCCTGGAACACGCACACGCAGGCCGTCTTGAATACCAGCTGGTAAATCGACAGAGCTTGATTTAGGAACTTCACGAACACCTTGACCATGACAAGTGCCACATTCATCCTTCTTGGCAATGGTTACACCGGCTCCTTGACAAGTATTACATGTAGAAGACATTTGGAACCCACCTAATATGTGGGTAGTTTGTCCTGAACCATGACATGTAGGACATGTTGACTTTTTAGCCCCCTTCTTTAACCCTTCACCGGAACATGTATTACATGTATCCACCGCCTTGTAATTTATGGTAACTTTTGTTCCAAAGATGGCATCTTTGAAAGAAATTGACTTCAACACTTCAATGTTATCACCAACATGTTCAGTAACAAATTGGGCGCCGCCACGAGCACCTCCTTGGCCAGCTCTGCCACCCATAAATGCCCCTCTAAACAAATCTTCAAAATCAAATCCCATTCCTGCAAATGGATTTCCCTGAGCCCCACCTTGACCCCCACCAAATCCACCAAAAGGATTACCTTGACCAGCATAAGGGTTGGCATTACCATTAGCATCAAAGGCCAGGGCACCAAATTGATCGTATTGTGCACGCTTTTCCTTGTCTCTAAGTAATTCATACGATTCTTGAATCTTGTGGAATCGTTTCTCGGCATCCTTTTCTTTGTTCACATCAGGATGGTACTTCTTGACAAGATCGACATAGGCTCGTTTAATTGCCGCTTGATCCGCCAGCTTAGATATCCCTAAAGTAGCATACGGATCGAAGTTGAGTGCAAGTAATGGTCTAGATGAATGGAATGACCGGATGAATTGTCTATTAAGTCTAGTAATTATCGTTGGTCTCATTATTGAATCATTGAATAAAACTAGGATGAGGATTATTGCAACAGAAATTTCCAGAAGAAAAATTTAAATGGGTCAAAAAAAAAAAAAAAAAAATTTCACAGGCGTCACGTGCATTGGAATGACTGTATGGTGCTACCACTTGCTTTGACTGCGTTCAGGTAAATGTATTTTAATGGGTTGGCTAACATGTGATTCCCGGGTTAGGAACCTAGGGTTTCTGCAAGTAGTGGAAAGCACGGTTTCTATAGACCAATGAAGCTTTGACCATAGGCTAATCTACCCATGGTGTTTGTTTTTACCTGTGTATCAATCACCTAGCAAGCTTTTAGTATTCGGATCAGATAACCACAAGATCCTCTTTAAATTGACACATAAATAGCATGCATTCAAAGCTACAGGCCGTACCTTTTAGTTTAGGCAGTATGTGATGGTGTATTAAGTCTGTATCCGTTAGAACAGCGACAATGGTGTTTCCTGTGCTTTGTTCAAAATTGGTATTCTGAGCTGACCTCCGTAGATCTTGGGGTTTAATACACGAGTGTTTGCTTATGACGCACGAGTATTTGAGTATGACGCACGAGTGTTTGTGTATGGCGCACGAGTGTTCGATTATGACGCATAAGTGTTCAGTTTGCGCGCAGACCATTCAGATTTGCGCAAGAGTGTTTAGATTTGCAGAAAAGTATTCAGCGTTGGCGCAGAGTGTTCAGCTTTGCGCCGTGGTGTTTAATTTCCCACTGGATATTCAGTTTATCTCAATGGTCTCTAACAACATAAGGTTCGTTCGTAAAGTAGGAGCGTCGTATGTATGTATAAACAGAGATAAGTTTACGCTAGTGGTCCCAATAATCAATTGTACATGTCTTATTAATCTCGATTAACACACACTTTAATAATCTTGCCAAAACTCAAACACAGCTTTGAAGAATCTGCAACCCATCCCCACATCTTTATACCCACACATTCCTCTAATGCTATGCATACTTAAAATAGGTAATCCTACATCAACAATAATCCTAGCACCATTGATTCCACGACACCCATTGCTCATGATTGGCCCGATTGTTCCTCCTGATCGCGAATCGTTTCTTATATGAAATTGCTGAAGCTTTATTCCCGGTAAATGGGTCATTATTTGCTGAAGAAAAACATAAGATGGTGAATCACTAAGTACGTGAAAGTTGGAATCTAACTTTATGCATGGCCCGGTATTGGGAAATGGTGCGTGGTTTTTAAGGTAGACTGACTGGAAGTTAGGATTGAGCGCATGTGTTACATCACTTGAGATTATAACCGTATTCGTGGTAAGTTGTGCCAATGATTCGGTGACGGTATGGCTTCGGCTCGATACTATCGATTTGAAAGTATCAATGAGTAATCCACCACCTGCACCAGTACGCGTGGCACTACCTATTTCTTCATTGTTGGCGAGGTATACTCCAGCGAGTCCTTCGTATGTCGATATATCGAGTTTTTGATAGAATTTCTGACTGAATTCAATAAGACCGTAGATGGCACTGTATGAACAGAGTCTATCGTCGAGACTCGGCAGAAATATGAACTCGTTGGATAAACCACCCCGTTGTGCTGGTTGGACGTCATCTAATTGCAAGTCAATATCTACAACTGATGATATTGGAACATCTGCCAATTTGCAAATGTATCGAAGCAAACTTAATGAATGACGTCCATAAAATTTACTATTTTTCTCTTCTTCGCTAGCAGGTTCTTTTTCTTCTTCTTCGGAGAGGTATCCCATCACAGGAACCATTTTTGTTTGTTTATTGTACTGATCAACTTCACCAAAATGAGGAGCTAGCGAAGGGATGGTTCCAATTGGATGCGGGAAAGAACTGATCAATTTCCGAACAATCTTTCCATCGGATTGCCTAACAAGTATCGACCCAGCAAGACCCAAGTCCCGATTAAGCCAAAGCTTGTTCAAGCTTCCGGAATAAGGTGCAACGCCGAGAGTTTCATATCCTTCTGTAGTACCAGATAATGATCCTCGTGGGTTGAGCTTGACAGTTAGGGCATCAACATGGCATCCAACAAAACAACTACCGTTTTCTGGTTTCCACTTACCTCCAACTATGAATGCCACCAAGCATTGATCATCACGAGAAGTGAAGTAGTAGCCAGGAGGGAGGTCATCGACAGTTTCGGTTTGAGGAATGAATGTGAATCCATTGTTCTCAAGAAGGGACTTAAAGTGAGTAATCACATGATAAGTGGTTGGGCTTTCGTTCAAGAATTCCATAAAGTGGCTGGCGTAAGCATCATAGTAGTCTTGATACCGGTCATGGGGCGCTGGCGGAGCTGGTGGAGGTAACAAAGGAGATGATGCGAATTCCGACTCTGATGGAGTTTCAATGGAACTGATTGACGTTGTGCTATGTTTTCTTGAATGCATTGGTGGTTGCTGGTGGTGGTTATCATATGAGATAAGTTGAAATTGTTATCCCCCCACACATAAATTGCGAAAAATGGTGGAGGGATTCACAAAATGTCACATGACTCGTGGTCACCTGACAGGACGCGTATATTATCAAAAAACTGCCAGTCAACTTTATCAATATTTACAACCCACTACTTTCTTCAAAGCAACCATGGAAGCGTCTACAATCACAGTGCATTGGCATAACGACAATCAACCAATCTATGCCATAGACTTCCAACCAGGCTCAACTCCAAGATTAGTCACAGGTGGTGGTGATAACAATATCCGAATGTGGAATCTAACCACCAATTCTGGATCAGGCGAAGTCAACAACCAGTCGGTGGAATATCTCAGTACACTTCGCAAACATACCCAGGCAGTTAATTTGGTTCGTTTTAGTCCTGACGGAACCTTGCTTGCTCTGGCAGGTGATGATGGAACCTTGATGCTTTGGCGATTGTGTGATGGAATTGTCAAGGACTTTGGTGCTGACGAAGATGAAGACGACGACGATATTAAAGAAAGCTGGAAAGTAGTGGCCCAATTTCGTCTGGGCACTTCTGAAATTATGGATGTTTGTTGGAGTCCGTGCGGGAAATATTTAGTCAGTGGATCCATGGACAATACTGTTAGAGTGTATCAATTGTCCATAGGCAACGATGCTGATAAAGTCACGGGGAAGTTGATCCAGTCCTTGAAACTGCATAGTCATTATATCCAAGGGGTTTACTGGGACCCCCTTGATGAATACATTGTCAGTCAATCAGCAGATCGGTCTGTTAATGTCTACAAAATTATTCGCAAACATTCAGCCATAACTGATATCAAATTACTCCATAAGTTTTCTAAATATAATGGAGTCAATCTCTATCATCCAGAATCACTCCAATCGTTCTTTAGGCGGTTGACTTTCAGTCCCGATGGAAGCCTTCTTATAACACCTGCAGGAATTGAAGGCGAGTCCGATAACAGTAACAATGTGGTTTACGTATATACCAGAGCCAGTATAGCACATGCTCCGGTGTTGAAGATTGCCGGGTTGTCAAAGCCTGCAATAGCTGTTGCATTCCATCCTTATAAGTTCCAAGGTGAGAGTAGAGCAGTTAAGTTGGAGTATCACATGGTGTTTGCGGTAGCTACCCAAGACAGTATAGTGGTATATTCAACGGACGAATTTAAACCGTTGGGATACGTGTCTAACTTACATTATAGTACTATTACTGATTTGAGATGGGATGTACAAGGACTGAGATTGGTTGTTTGTTCGACAGATGGATTCTGCTCGGTTATCAAGTTTGATCAAGGCATATTTGGTGAGAGATACATTGAGCCGATACCGTTGACTCAGCCAGTACAGGGAGATGCTTCATTTGCAGACGCGCCCAATGTTATTATAGAAGATGTTCCAACACCAAAAACAGTCCCAAGCTCGCCTGCTCCTGAGGCTGCGACTGCGACTGCGACTGCACCGGCTCCTCTGGAACCCACCATAGATACATTCTTCCCTAAGAAACAAAAAAAGAGGATAACACCAACGCTTGTATCATAATTATACATATATACATAAATGCACATTCTATAAATCAATTTCATTTCTTAACTGCTTTTCTAATCTCTTTCTCGCATTAGCAATCATCTGTTGTTTTCTTTGAAGAAGAGTTTGACCTTCGTACCCGGAATCAACATCAACATTATACTTTTCCAACAAATTAACTGGCTTGCCAGAAACTGCTTTTGTTGAATTTGAACTTGATGAGCCAGTTTCCGGTTCAGCTGGGGGAGCTGGTGAAGGAGTGTACCCTGGTGGGAATGGCAAATCGCCCAACTCCATATATCTTTCCACTGTCAACTCTACCGATCCGGTATTTTCTAAATCGTACCTGATTTGTTCACGAGTCAAGCCAGGTGCGATAGTTTGGACAACTTCGATCATTGAATCGGTCACTGGTCTTCTATTTCTACGCTGGGAACTGGTGGTGGTTGTGGCGGATGCATTAGCTGACGTGGTCGCGGCTGTAGATCTTGATGCAGTTGGTGGAATATCAAACTCGTTAGTTTGTGGAATAGGTGCGATCAACCATCTTAAGAAAAGAAACGCGATAGCTAGAGTTGCTATGAAGATGATGGTGGAGTAGTCCATGGTCTGTTTTTACGACTTGAATGGCGTGGAATAAGAATAGAGAAACAAAATCAACGCTTTTTTTTTCGTTTGACTTTTTGGTAGATGTTGCCATTAGAACGATAAATAATATACACATGTGAAAAAGCACAAGTAATTCTAGCATGACTCGATTAGACAAAGTAATTCGGCCATTACCCAGTAAAGGTCAACTTAAAATCATTGTCTTGGTGCTTCACCTTATACAAAAACCCGGTAATAATTTCATTCTCTTTGCTTCCCAACGCCATAAAGTGACTCTTTAAATGGTTAGCCAACTCAGGCTTTGATATCCTTCCATTGGCTTCTCTCTTCTTGCTTCGTTTAGAAAAGGTCTTTTTCCCAATTTCACTATTTAAAATATCAGAGTTGACGGTTTCTGGTCTGGGCAAATTCAACCCATACTTTTCGTTATATCGCATCAATACTGCGTCATCAAATGCTTCAAAGTCAAGAGGATGGATAGGCTCGCGATCCTGGGGCCCATTGGAATTTATGTGGCGGGCAAGGTAATTCTGCTGGGCTGCTTGAGCTGCTTGGTTCTTGGCCTTTTGTGTGGATTTACCAACATTGGTGCTGTTACCATGGGTGGAACCTCCAGGTATTGTGTTGTGACGGCTCAGTTCTGATTCAGATGCTGACTCTCTGTGGCTTCTAGGGGGCATTGTTATACGGTTATGTGGATGTTGTCTGGATGTTGTGTGGATGTTGATTCAAGATAGCGATGGTAAATACCGCCCGGTTCTAAAATTCAAGTTATGCGGAATGAGGCCGAGGAGCAGAAGTGCGGGTAACCCGAAAGTCACGTGGCAAATATATCCTGTTGTCTTTCCAATCCATACCAAGTGATACGAATGGATGAATGGGTGAAAGGGCTAATCTAGAGTAGTACGCTGGATCTTATTATCATCGTCAAGGTTGGTATTCATTTACGAGTATGGATTGTATACGGAAATAAGCTTCTTTTTTTTTGAACCCTCTTTCTTGGTCGAGAACTGGATATATTATACCAAGAGAAAGTGTTGACCTGGTATTTCATAGAATGTGGAGATGATCTGGTCTTGCGTCATGTCTATAATAGGATGATGGACCTTCTAGACCCTCGTAAGCTGAAGTAATGAGGTCATTTAATTCATATTTGATGCATGTTGCTTTGACACATACCGCGAATCCGCGAAGCACACTAAAAAAAAACAGTAAACTTTTTTTTTATTTACATTTTGCCAACTACAATTGGTGGGTCCTAGATGAGCACTCTATTAAAAACTATCAAATAAATATTAGACTGAGTATATATATATAACCAGAAACGAAATGAAATCATTAAACTATAAACCAACATAAAACCGACTTAACCCTGATAAAAAGCAAACATATCATTAAAGAACCAAAGTCAACGCACCAATACCCGAAAGTAAAATTGCATATTTCAAACTCTTGTAGTTGGCTACTGTAGTCGTGGCCATGCTATGTGCTGTTGGTGTTGGTGTTGTTAAATCTTCAGTTTCTAAAGAAGTGGCTATAGCACTGTTGGATAGGTCGCCAACGGCAACTATTTGTGATGGGCCTGCAGAAACTAGAGTACCATGGTTTTCTTGCTTGTATCCATTCACTGTTGCCCTTCGTAAGTCAGTGAAATATGACGCAGTTGCTGTAGCATATGTGCTTGGTAACGCTGTGCTTATAGATGTGGCTGAGGAGTCAATAACTAACCCTGTCATGTTAAATACAGGTGGTTGTGTAAAATAAGATGTTAATGGGATAATAGGTTTTAGTTTAGAAAAAAAACTGGACAGTTTCCAAAGTTTATATATGGATTTCTGCTGCATGTCAACATTCTGTTTAGAAGTTTAATTATTCCCACTGTAGCTTTGTTTAAAATTTTGGTTTGAAACTGGTTGCTAATAAAATTATTTTTTTCTTTGTTATTAATGTGTCATGTTTTCAAGGGGGTTAACACAACCCTTGTATACTGGGTATATGTCTAGTTGTGAGCAATCATAAGCAACTCTAACATGTCCAGTGTTGTCTCGATAGCTCATGCTCCACAAACTAGCCCGATGTGAGTTAGATCTACTCTATTTCATATGATACACCGGGTTCTGTTCCTATTGGTGTACCTGAATTATTTTTTTGTGTTAATTATGCGACCTGCATTTTTGAACAAAGCCTCGCAGAAAAAATAACACCAGGTGCCCCTTTTCATTATGTACTCACCAGAAAAAAAAATCTAGGAAAAAAAAAAACAAAACATTACATCATATGTCTTCAGTATAATGTTGCACAACAATGCTACACAAAATGGAGAAAATTCCTCTGCAAACAATGAAAGTTTCAGAAAATAGCACATCAAGTGTCACAATCACGCCGCTCCTCGGGAAGTCTTTCGTTAAATAACACTCTTGTGACTTTATATTGGTTAAAGCAATACAGAGCAATAAAACGCGTGTCTTATCCGAATGTTCCTGGTTGTTTATTCTCATTTTGTATTATCTTGTTCCTAATGTAGAGCAGAGTGTAAACCTTCATATGATCTTTTCTACAGATTTACTTCTTTTAGACATTTTGGTAGATCTGCGTCGTATGCAGGTACAGAAAATCAGTTAGTCGATTTCCTTGTTTTGGAGATTCGTGTTATTTTTTTTGCAATCACACATTCCCGTTGTGAACAAAATTTTGACGGGGAGATCATTCAGGAACTTATATCTTTACCTATATCGGAAGTTTTAACCCGATAAACCATTGTTTACTTTTGAATCGAAAGATCGTTATTTAACGAACACGATTCTTGTTTACGTTCGACCTGGTTGGCGTATACCTAGTATTTGGCCACTACTGGTGAATATCTGCGTGTATATACTCTCCGCTTATGATTTTCAATTGTTATATACCCCATATAGGAATAATTAGTTTATTTTTTTAAGAAACAATACGATTTAGCGATCTCATAAATTGGTTGTCATTGCAGCATGTTGAGTGATGCAGCAAGGCCGGAACGGTCAGTTACTTTCCCGGGTAAATTACAACGGCCAATAGTGCAACGGACAATTGGTTTTCTGTTTCCTGTAGTGTTTGATTAACTGACATGGTTCTTGCTAGTACTTGATACAATCTTTTTCCTAATTGGCTAATCTAAAACAAATCTGAGTGGGTTAACAAAGTTGTCATGTTCTGGAATGATGGCTTATGTCAGTGAAGACCTCCCACTTAAGAATATGAAACGAGTTATTTTTTATGCGTATATGCTTGACTCTGGATTTCTTATAAGGTTTTAGATATTGTGAAACTTGTATTATGTAAGAGTTATCTAGTATGTATATTGAGAAATATTTTGCAAAATTTTTGGGAAAAAATCAACTCACATATTTTTTACATTCCAATCTCTGATGGTCAATAATAACGAATACTCCATTCAAGCAGCCAGTCACACCATCAAGAGTAGAAATCATCCTCTAAATTGGGACTATAGTGATGTCCCCCCCCCACCAGAGACTAAGGAAAGTTTCACCTCAATTTGGAAGCAAGATGATAATCCCGAAAAAGTAATACTACTAAATTGAGAGCGCAGCCAACGTAAGGAGAGAACTAAAGAGAGTTTCAACCGCAGTGTACAGCACCTACCTAGACTAAGATGTTTCAAGATTAGAGAAAGCGGAGATTGCGTAGAGCACCTATGTAAATCGAATGGTGGAGATCCCTGAAACAAAAGGGTAACTAAGAGCTCAAATTGAGAGGAAGGACAACCAAAAAAAAGAAAGTAGTTCCAGAGCCAACGCAAGATAGTGCGTCTGTATCTCCGATTCACCATCTAATAATTGTAGCTCCTTCGGTCCACAGTTTACCAGACTACAATTGTAGTTCTGTCAGCCTTCAAAAATCGGGTATTAATGAGCCTACCATTGTGCCTACTTGATTCAAAGGACGGTAGACCTACAAAAAAAATTATGAGCTGGCGAACCTACGAAAATTATAGGTTAAGGAACCTACACTTCTTGTAGGTTGGCAAGATCACGAAAATCGTAGCTTTATCAGCCTACGAAAACTGCCGGCAAAATTGTAGGTTCGAAATTCTACGGAAGCCATTTATACTCTCAACATAGTGGCCGTATAATTAGGGTGGCCAGTTGAAAACTTTGCTCAGAATTGAGTAATAAGTCCTTCGTTAGCATTTGACTATTGTAGGAGCATTGAAAAATACCACCCAGCAATTGGCCACTAATCTAGACTCTGTGGATACAATAAACATTAATTGAATGAAAGGAAATACTCAATAGGACATAGCAGCATATTTTCTCTAGATCAATGTTTTTCAAGAGCCCTTGAATAATTCATTCAATTCTCATAACAGGCGATTGTCGTAATACACCTACAATATATATGAGTCAGCTGGTTCCTGCCCACTAGAACAGTATTGCCATTGATAAAGACCACGATTACATACAAATTAGTGTTTTTTTACCAAATTGCACGACCACTTCGTTTTTTCAGTTGTTGACACGAAAATCGAATTTTTCCTTTTTGTCAAAGTGTTCAAATTTCAACCACATCAACCAAACAAATCTAAATCAATCAATTCCCAATTGAACTATAAAATATGGTTGTTCTTGCTGGTTCTATATGTACACGTGGTGGTAAACCACTTGTGTCCCGTCAATTCCGAGACATATCTCGTGATAGAATCACTGCCCTTCTCGCCAACTTCCCCAGCTTGATTTCCAACTCTAGTAGTCAACATACTAGTGTCGAAGATGACAACGTACGATACGTTTACCAACCATTAGAAGAATTCTATATTGTTCTCATCACCAATAAGACCTCGAATATCTTGCAAGATATCGACACATTGCATTTGTTTGCGTCCACCGTGAGTAACTTGGTTAGAAATGTCGATGAACGTGAGATTTTCGATAGCGCATTTGAAATAATTGGAGCATTCGACGAGATTATCAACTTAGGATTCAAGGAAAACTTGACCTTAAGTCAAGTTCAAACTTTCTTGGAAATGGATTCCCATGAAGAAAAGATTCAAGAAATCATCGAACGTAATAAGGAATTGGAAGCTACCGAAGAAAGAAAGAGACGTGCCAAAGAAATACAGAGGAAAGAATCTGCCAAAAAGAACATGGAACTGGCCTTTGGTCAAGTTAATGCTGGTGGCTCCATGGGATATGATATGTATCAACAACAAACCCCATCTTATCAACCAACATACCAACCAGCTCCTGCCGTGGAAGTTAGTCAAGCTGCTCCTGCTTTAGCACCAAGACCTCCAGCAAGAGGTGGATTGCAATTAGGGAAGAAAGCTGGGTCTGCCAGACAATCACACGCACCTCCTGCTATATCAAGAGGATCAGTTTCTAATCCTACTCAAAGTGCTGCTGAACCATTGCTTGCTGCTCAACCACCAGTATTTTCCCATCATACTAATATTCAACAACCTCCTCAAATTGCAACTCCAGGTTCGTTCTCGCCTAGTGCTTCACCTGCTCCAAGTACCGGTGGTGCTGGTGCTGGTAAAGTTCCAAACAACGGTATCTTAATCACTATCAATGAAAAAGTTAGTGCTCAATTATCTCGTGATGGATCAATCATATCTTCTGAAGTTAAGGGTGATTTACAATTACGTATCAACAATCTGGCCCTTAGTAATGCCAAGATCTTGTGTAAGACTGGTGACAAGAAACATTTCAAGACCCACCCTAATGTTGATAGAAACTTGTTCACTAGTGGTAGTGTCATCAGTGTCAAGGACAAGAGTAAAACCTTCCCTGCCAATGATCAACCATTGGGTGTTTTAAGATGGAGATCTGTCGGTAAAGCTGACAATTCAAGTTTGATTCCAATTGTAATCACTGCCTGGGTCAATGTTGATGGTAGCGGTGTTGCCCATGTTACATTAGAATATGAATTAACCAGTGAGTTTATTGATAGTCATAGTGCAACTGAATCGCATGTCCAAGGAGTAAGAATTACTGTTCCTATAGTTAGTGATGATGTTCAATTACAAGACGGTGGTAATGATCAAATTTCATATGATGTTAGTAATGAAGGAATTATTTTCCAAATTGGTGAAATTTCAATCGAGGATCCTCAAGGATCATTTGAGTTTACTATTCCTGTCAGTGAAGAAGATGATTTGTTTCCATTGGAAGTACAATTTGATATTGTTAATACTGGAGTTGTTGAAAGTGATGTTTCACTTGGTGGAGTTTCTATTATTGATGTTGTTGCAAACAATGAAGACGAAGCATCATTACCATTTGATTTACATTCACATGTTACTTCCGAGAACTATATTGTGCAATAGTTGTTTGTTTTATATTTGATACATAAATACACTTTTCTATTACTTCTAATGTAAGCCTATATAATCAATGATACTCCGCTTAATGCGATTGAGAAGCGACAGTGTAACCGTTCAACTTCATTCAATTTATTCAACTCTGACAATACTTGATATCTTGGGTCTTTTAATCGCTCAGCTTGTTTCTCTCCACACTCAAAATTAACTATTGGATCCTTGATATGATTAACCACGATGTTTAACCCTCGTAATGGTTCATCATTATCAGGGTCTAATTCTATACATAGTTTCCGTAGTTGATTCAACTCATATACGAGGTGGGACGGAGTAAGATGACCATATAGTTCATCTTCAGGGACATTGCTCAGATTAGAACATTCCACCACTATGCCCTTTAACTTCTTGCTAATGATAAAAGGAGCAACTGCCTTCCATAATGCCTGATTACGGTTTAGTTTGGAAATGATATCTGATTCAAAGTCACCAAACACAAGCAAGGAAGCACCCGTGATATTGTGCTTGACAAGGTATGCTGATGACAGGTAGTGTTGTTTGTGGGCAGCAGCACCATTGGTGGGGATTGCAATGACTGATCTCCGTCGATGATCATCAAGTTTGTTTAATTCACCATGGGAAAGCTTGAACATGGTTATCGTGTATACTGAGTTGTTTATAAGGGTTGGTTGGGTGAATTGGACGGGTATGAGATTGAGGATTTCAAAACTGGGCATGTTAGGCCAGATAACCCCGTTGAATAGGTGTCGTTGAAGGGCGTCTATCGTATGCGACGAGCCATACACTTGTTTCGTGGGTGAGTTGCAGAACCCAGCCGAGTTGATGACTAGTGAAGCAACATGGTCTAAATGTGGATGGGTTATCAAATATGTCGACACTAGATTGAATATAGTTTGTGAATAGAACATGGCTCTTCGTTGGGCGAGTTTGGAGAATGGTGTAGTGACGGTGACTTTCTTATGATAATAGTCCGATATGGGATGGCTATCAGGGTAGTAATCCAATAGTTTGCATTGAGGCTTTTGTGTCGCTGTTTCATGATGGATGATATCTGCTAGCTGACCTATCCCACATCCAGCGTCAATGCATATAAGTTCATCGGTTAGTGATTGGTCAGCGATGATGGTTTTATAAGGGATGTGCAGTGGCTTAACTAAGATGGAGCAGGTTGATCCTTCCAATGGACCACCTGAAGATCCCAAGAAGGTGAGTTCAAAGGACATGTGTGTGAATTGATTGAAGCGTAATGATTAACGTAGTCTGTGTACTAGGAGAAATACTCCAAACTATATATATATATATATATGAATTGCTAGTATCTATTTACGGGGACAACGACTAAAAAAAAAAATATAATCATTCACAGAGGACAAAAAAACAATAAAATGCGCTTGTCTTTTTTTTTTTAAAAACGGTCGCTGAGTCTCGCCACAAAAATGTGTAATCATTGTGAAAATGTGTAGATATCAAAGGCGGAGTAGAAATCACAAAAGTTAAAAAAAGGTCAAAGTTAATTAAATGACAGCACATACCTGTCACATCCAAGATAGGGATAACTATAATCAGGTAAAAAATCAAAATTGAATGAAATTTGTGAATTGCTTTTAATCTATTTTTTAAATGGAACGTGCATGTGCATTCTAGAAACATGCAATGGAAAACTAAAATCGAATCATTATCAAAAAAAATACCGAAATTTTAACCGGGGTTTACTGTACGCACCTACCCTTTTCTATTTGTGTATTAAGTAAACATGACAATCACTCCCTGATAATAATGCGCGGGGTGCTTCCATGCATTTTGTTTTTTTTAAAAAAATAGCCTGAAACATGCATAACCTAACAGGTACCAACTTGCATAAATTAGGCTTTCAACTAAGCTAACTCGGAGATTGAAACATGCCAGTGAAGTTCGTAGGGGGATTTACTTAAGCCCGGTTTCATAGCTATTACTTTATGGGGCAGTTGTGTTTGTGTCAAGTTGACATTTGCGCTTACACTTGCACTTAACTACTGTTCAAATGTAGCAACCTGGCCCCACCCTGTGTTTTCTGTTGGGTATGAGCTGTTCAACGTGTTTCTATTGTTTGTCTTCTTGGCAACGCGTTTAAATTGAAGTACGGCCAAATCAAGTAATTACGTCTATTATTTGTTATTATTCAAACCAGGAGATATGTGCTTCGCGTAATATTTTTGATATAAAATAGTATGCGCTATTTCACATGACTAATAATTAGTCATGTTCTACAATTGTTTCCGTATGGTAGATTACATTACGCTGTGTAAACAGACCACTAGATATAGAAAACATACTCTTGTTTCGATCCGATCCATAATTTTACTAGAAAATAATCCAATTTTTTTAAAAAAATAGTAATGTCAATAAAAGAACATCAAACTCGTATGGTAGCGTCAAGATTAACCTGGGTGCGTTGGTTCGACTTGTCAATAGCTGTCAGATATATATATTCGTATCTATTATACACTACTATTGTTGACTACTTCCGTACCCTCTAATATCTTTGGCGAATCTCCAGCTTTGATTCTCAACCTTAACTTCCTTGGTGAATTCAAACACCACTTTGCCTTCCTCATCCAACTTAATAATGACTTGAGAATACTTGTCTCCAGATCTAGCATCACGATAAAACAAAACTCTCATGGAATCTTCAACTACTTTTGTAATTTGTTGTTCATCAACCTTGACATAATCTTTATCTTCCGGGATTAAATTTCTTAATAAAGGAATAGCCAAATGAGAACCAAACCCAGTGGCTATGGTTGATGAACTGTAAGTGACACCAACTAAATCAACATATTTCAAGAATGGAGTTCTGTCTCTATAAAACCCACCAACAATAATAGAATTCCACAATGGGTTCATTTTCGATCTTCGATTATACATTACACGAGATAAATATTCATGAACATTAGCAGCACGAAGGTAATCTCCACCATCATTATCATAAACTTCTTCCAGAGTTTCCAATTCATCCAAGATTCTCTCAATTTGTTGCATATCGGACACATCACCAGAGAGACCAACGACGGTTTCTGATCCAACCTTGATCAATCTCTCAATATTAGAGAATCTCAAAAGAGATCCATAAGACCCGACATTGTCGGCAGCCATGATTATACCATTGTTGAATTTCAGGGCAATTACTGATGTACCGGTGATAATTGGTTGTTGAGTATGCATCTTGGGAAAGGCATCGAGGGACGCATGAGTGGTATTGTCAGGAACACCAGCATTTGCAATTTGGTGATTGTATGCTCCGTATGTTTCATTGCTGGGTCTTCCCCATTGGAATGGATCGTGATTCATTATATGTCAATTGGTGTTGTTGTAAGTTGTATGGGATAAGGTGGCGACTGTTCTTTCTTTCAAGTTGCCCGCGCAAAAAAAAATCAACCAAAGGCTGTGTATCTATATGCAGTACATATACATATAGAGTGGAAGGTATGAAAGATGCAACATCTATTGTAATATATACAATCTATATATTCCTTGCAAGAAATAAATAAACATAAAAAGTTTTTCTATAATGACTTAGTAAACAAACTCAGCACCACCACTAAGAACATTATCAATTTCACTGTCCTTAATGGCCTTATATCTGAATCTCAATGGCAATTCACTTCTGGAGAAATATTCACCTTCGGCTGGTTGAATAGGGTTTGGGTTATGGTATGAAGTAGTTCCACTGGCTGAGCCTGGAAGTTGGCCATTTGGAGCCATTGGATGTGGTTTTACTGCACCAGAAGTAGCTTCTAGTTTGTGTTAGTATACATTGGTTATCGTTGGTTTTGAGGAATTGTTAATACATACTGTGCACGTGAGGACCACCAACAAACTTTATGGATGGGATATGTTTAAGTAATCTGCTGAATGCCTTCATGTTGTGTATATGTTTGAATGTATAATATACCAACTTTTGATTTGTTGGTTGGTTTTTTCTTCCGGGTGAATTTTGAAATCCCATCACCCCCCGGTTCTTGCGAAAAAAAATAGCTCAGTTTCTTCCGGGGAGCGACGACCTGCATATAACCATGGCACATATCGAGACGATTGCAAAAACAAATCACATTTTACAAATACAATTCGGAATCACCACTATGGCTATTACATTTGTTGATCTTCCAGATCATATTATCCAAAGAGTGATCTACTTTCGCTATGTTCAAGATGAGTCCTTCATTCATCTCTTCCCATTGTTCCTCACCTGTCAAGCCCTTTACGCATATTATCACATGTTGTACACACTAAAACCAATCATAGCCACTGACACAAAGCATCCCCACGCCGTTCCCAAACGTGTTCTACAAGGTATGAGTAATGATTTAAGGATGAGTATTCGGAAAATGATTTTGTTTCTTCCTGCCACTATTGATTTACATCGATTCAATTTAACTAGTCTCACCCTAGATGGAGGATTTGCATGTTTCTATAAATTATATGAATTGCCAAATACAATCACTAGTTTGAAGTTTGTGGTTAGCAGTTCCAAGGGCTATCACAGGTGGAAACTCGATTTTAGAGAAGTGCCATTCAAGTTGGTAGTGTTTAAGTTTAAATATTTATTATGGGGACTGAAACTGTCTTTCCTCAATCCAATGGCCATATTTACAAGTCAATTTTCTGCACCACCATTGCAATTATCACTTTTTCTTTTGCATTTTATCACTTCTCAAAAGGACACCCTCAAGTATCTTGATATTGAAATGTTCTCGATTGGATTAATATTTGGAACACGTACCTTTCCTATTTTTCCAACGTTGAAGTTGGTTAAAGTGGATCAAATGAGTGAAATGAATAAGCCGTTTATTTCTCAAGTGTTAAATAACGGTCAAACGGTTTTACTAATTATCAATACACTCAAGTCAGAAATTATTAAATTAGAAATAAGTGCCAAAGATTCACTGGTATCTCGTGAAAAGTTTCACATTGAGGATAGAATTCTCTCTAGGCTTAAATCTCAATTGGCTATTCCGTGAATAGTTTTGCAATTTGCTGACGTGCACCAAAATATAGAACAAAAAAAAATATATATATATGTAAAAGAAAAAAAAAAGCATACTACGTAACTAAATAGCCAATCAACCCAACTAATGGACAAATTATCAAGGACAATCGACAGATTCCAGGCCAAGATCGAGTCTGGTTCATACTATGAAGCCCACCAGACACTTCGTACTATAGCTAACCGGTTCATCAAAGGTGACCAACCTATATTAGCCATACAACTACTTTATCAGGGTGCGTCGATTTTGACGACCCACAAAGAATATGCCTCTGCCTCCGATTTAATCAGCTATATAGTTCAAGTATACTCTGATTTCGGATTCAGTGTGGATGAAAAAAGTGCCAAGATGAAATTGATTGATTTGATTTCAGGATTGCCTCCTTCAGAACCAAGTCTTGTTGAATTGAGTACCCAATGTTTGAAATGGTCTCAATCCAGCGGGGAGGTTCCACACAAGTTTGGTGATTCTCAATTACATCATGTGTTTGGATCAATGTTTCTTAAACGTGTGGAGGAAGAAGAAGAGGAGGTTGAGGAAAATAGAAGTAAGTATTTCGCCCTTGCTGAAATTCATTTGGTGTTGGGTACCGTGGATAGTGTTCCTTTATATACCAATTACTTGAGTCAATGCAGTAAGGCTAATCCTGATGTTGATCCAGGGGTATTTTTATCCAGGGCTATTATCAATTATTTGTATTTGAATAATGTCAAGTTTGCTCAAGATGCACATGATTTGTTTATGAAGAATGTGGAAGGTGGTGTTCCTTCCAATGGAATTGTTTACTTTGATGAATACCCTCTTCTCAATTTTGTTCAATTGTTATTGGTTTTATTCAAGAAGGAACATGCAAGTAACCTGTCTCAATTTATGGGATTGTACACTCACTACAAACCTTTATTGACCAATTATGGAATATTATCAGCACTTGAATATTTAGGAAGTACATATTTCCAATTGAGATTGGGACAAAAACCACAAGGTAACATGTTGTCAAGCTTAATGGGCGATTTATTCAAGTAGTCTTCTATTAGATAGGTATATATATATATATATGAAAACATTAATAGCTATCATCTATACCCTCAGTAGCATCCTTTACAATTGACGACAGATTCAATGCAGTAACCAATTCGGGTCGTTTAGCCTTGAGTAACTCATGTTTAGCTTCGGAATAAGTACACCACCGTCGTTGTCTAGTCTTCAGTTCGGGCCATTCTTGATCCATTTTATCCACTACCAATTCAAAAAAGTGGAATTCACTTTTGGGTACAGCCACCTTGGGATCGAAATCTCCCTTGATTACAGGAGCGGCTTTACGTGAATCAAGAATTACTGGAAGTTCAGAAACGACAACTCCTTCCACACCGGCCTCTTCCCATGTTTCACGCATTGCGGTGTCGACTAATGTTTCATCATTTTCATGTCCTCCCTTAGGAAGCACCCATTTTCCAGCATGGGCAGAAGACAGGATCATGATCACTTTGGTACGTTCTGGGTTAAGACATATGCATCCGGCCACTATCCTCGCTCCGGTATCGGGATTGTAGCATTGATTACTACGGCCAGTTCTTGACTCCATCGGAAGCGTTTTTCCTGAACGACGAACACTTGAAGGAAGTGATTCACTGGATTCACTTGATGATTGCATTGACTGTTGCTTGAGAAGAACAGTAGGTAATTATTTAGCAATCTGGAATTTTGAAAATACTCTCTCTTCTCAGTGACGACAATGGTGGGACCATTGTGCAGGACCAACCTATACAGGCAATTTCCTAAGGTTTTTACATTTACCAAAATACACCTGATGTACCTCGGTTAAGTGTACAAGATTGTAACTTACATTTTACTGGGTTTTGGTTTCTAATTTGATGTATGTTTGAGCAGTGCGTTTAACATTACTAGTATGTTCATAGTTAAGACCATAGTTCGCAAAAAAAAATAACATTCAAACCTTAGATCTTTATTGTCGACTTACTACAATTCATAACCCCATGAAACTTTCGCTATTTCTTCCGTTTTTAGTCCTAGTCAATGCCCATGGAGACCACTCTGGTCATGGTTCTGATAAACCAGCAGTCAAACCACCACAATTAACATGGGCACAATGGCACATGGCGCAAGAACATAATCTCGACGACTATGACGCAGCCACATTCTTCACCTTGCACGACTTGTCAGGAAGCCGAGCTTGGTCGAGAGCTGACATACTTAATATTTACGGATTGATTAATCCTCGTGTGGGAGATGGGTCAGGAATGGGGAGCCATGGAAACAACGAGGAAATCTCCAAACAAGCCAAGGATAAAGTTGTCAATACGATCCTTGGTTTAATTGATTCGAATAAAGATGGACAAATCAGTTGGGATGAATGGATCCAATTCTCTGCTAAAGGAGGCGAATTGCCTGATTTAGGATATGGACCGGGGCATCATTTAGATTTCGAGAGCGAGTATGAGGAACATCATTGGAAAAAGTATCACATGAACGATGATCCTGACGTGTTGATCAAGCACAAGGAAGATATCGAACATGAATTATTACATCATGAACACGAAATTGAAGAGACTCATCATAAAGCTCCGCAAATTAGACAAGTTACGAAAAACTTCTTATCCAAGATCAACTTACACAACCTTACACCCAGGTATACCAAAAAGTGATTTATATTAGTTTATATAATCTGTATAATACAAACATTCATTGCAACGTCCCGAATGCACATTTCCTTAAACTCTGAAGCTCACTAGTACATGCCTTGGTATTGCTGTTATTAATCCGTAAGCATGCTTCATAAACTTGTAGCTTCCCGGCGCATTCCCCCTGGATCTTATGAAACGAAGGAACGGCTGTCCGGATGCATTTAGCCAACTGTTGTTGCTGTTGGGCACATTGGTTTGGATCAGGTTCGGGAAGAGTCATGCATTGGTGGAATGCAAGGAACTGGTGAGGACAATGTCGAGCTATGTCTTCAAGCAAGATCTGATCAAGTAGTCCCCCTTTCTCAGATACCATGGTGTGGCTAACAAAGAAGAGAAGGTGAAAGATTAGCAGAAAAAGATCTGAGAAAAAAAAAAAAAAGGACAGTAAATAATAAGAGGGGTTAGACACAGTGATGTGGGGGAAGATTACAAAATATCGCTATTGTCAATCTTGGGAATGTGACTGTTATTTAATCTGACAACGACATTTCTCATATTAAATGTAATTTAAATCACCATCATCATAATCTATTTTCATCTTTAGCTTTAGTCTTTCCGTTTGACCTTAACCCTGAGTGGGGGAAAAAAAAAATAACCTTCAACATTTGATTCAATTCCGTTACATATCAAAAGCAGCAGTTTGTACAACATGGCCCTCTCCCCACCGGTACGAAATACGCTTCTAGCACTTACATGGGTCCCTGTTCTCCACTACATCAACAAACATTTCTATCAACCATACCAAATCCGGGGAATATCAATGACACCGACATTCAATCCGGGAACAACCACCACCACCAATGACATAGTCCTTGTACGCAAATACAACTTGCGAAAACCCACATCGGTAGACCGTGGCGATATAATCATGTTTCGATCCCCAGAAGACCCCGAAAAGTTGTTAACGAAACGAATTGTCGGTATGCAAGGTGATACCATAAAACCCAGAGATACCTATCCTAAACGAGAAGTAATCGTTCCTAGAAGCCATCTCTGGGTCGAAGGAGACAACTTGGCCCATTCGGTTGATTCAAACAAGTTTGGATGTATTAGTCAGGGTTTACTCGTAGGGAAAGTCATTATGGTCGTTTGGCCATTAAGTCGATTTGGTTGTGATTTACAAGCAAACAACTAGTGTAAATACATTGCATTAAACCTATATATATATAGTTAATAGAGATTCTATCTACCTTTACGTGCCTCATATAAATGCATAAATAATACCGGAATAAATGCCAATGCAGCCATTAACCCGGCCATCAACCCATACGCTCTAGTAAACCCCATATTTTCAAACATTATAGGGTAGTAGAATGGTCCGATAAACCCTAAAGTTTGTCTCATCATCGTCATAAACAAGGCAACCTCACTGGCTCTTGTAGGAGTAGTATCCATGGAATATGCAATCAAGGGCGAGGTCAAGATTTGGAACCCGAATGCGGAGATTGCCAACCCAATTAATGGAGTGATGTTCCACTTGTGTTCAGCACGATCAATCTGGACCCCAAATTCAACTATACCAATAATCGAAGTAATAAATCCGGGATAAGTGATCCATATCCGGAATGAATTCCCACAGTTGTTTTTCCTACCCCATTGTACCCATTTATCACTTAACCAGCCACCAACTTCACCAATAAGTGACCCGACAATGAATGAAAGAAATTGCAACCCAAGCGCTTGTGGACCAAGTTGGAATTTGATATACATAACTTGAGGAATCTCGACATTGGTGGCGATATTGTCATGCATAAAACAGACTCCATATGCCAATGCAGCAATGAATACTCGCCAATTACCAAACAACTTAAATGGAGCAGCAACAGTAGGAAAGTTGAACTTACGCTCGGGGATGATCGCTGAGAAACTAGTAAGCTGCTTAAATCTGTTGGGTTCATTCCGAGACAAGTCCTCATAATTGTATAAGGTTTCCTTTCCCAAGAACACATAGAAGAAAATCTGAACAAAATTCATCACCGTGAACACCACAAACACATATTTCACATCTTGATATTGGGCCACGAATCCCATGAATAATGCCCCGGCCATGGTTCCTAAATTTACCATTAATGCCCACACACCACTTCGTGACCCTCTTTGGTGACTGAATGTAGTTTCATGAACGATGGATCCACCCACGGCTAAACCAGGAGATATGAAGAATGCAACAAGACATCTCATGGCCATAAGCGTACCATAAGTTTTGCTAAACACACATCCTAAATTAAAACACATCGATCCCACTACCGACAAAATCAACAACTTCCTCTTTCCGTATTTGTTCATTAAAGGCACCCACACCAAGGGGAAGAACCCCAAGATGACAATTTGTGCTGAGGTCAAGTATGCAATCTGACTGGTGGGTAATTCAAGCTCTTCACTTAATTTTCCAAACAGGGGCACCAAACCCGATGCAAAAAATGTTCCAAAGAACCCATGGGTAGCAACCATACCTAATTGTAAATGTTTAAACCAAGGTGACCAGTTTAATGGGTCATCATCATTCATCGACGGTAAGGGAACGAGGTCATACCGTCCGTGTTTGGCTATAAGGTATTGTTTGTGAGCTTCACTAAGGGTGGTGGTATCCTCTTCTTCCAGGATGATATCTATTTTAACATCGTTAGATTTTTCAAAGTCTGTCATGTTTGGTGACTATACTTTCAATTATGTACAAGTTCCGACAAACGAACGAATATTTATATTCTATCTACACACCCCACACTTCAAATAAGGCATGAAGGATATTATTACCTGGAGATGTTGAAAAAAAAAAATGAATTTAATTGCTCAGTTTTTCGGTCTCTATAATAAAGCAAACAATGGAAAGTCAAAGATTTAGGCCGATGTGGAGACCAAACAAATGTGGGGTTTTGTTATTTGCATTGTTGAGCTTTGTACTTGAGATATGAAGGAAATGCACCGAATTACTTCAAATCACAAGGGTGTAATTGTTTGCCGTGGGGGGCTTGGAAAATATCTCGAGGACAGGGGCATTGTTTGATTTTTTTGTATTTCCGAGTTTGCAACTCCGATAGATTAGTAATGTGTAATTATACAATGGACTGTTCAAATCTTGCATATCTTTTGTGATATATTGTTTCAAAGGGGAAAACGTAGATCTCGTGGAAGATTCATATTATCCTTGGTGTAACTTTTTCTAAGTTTGTTTGAATGTTTTTATGTGAGTGACCAAATTCTGAACTGTATTCATTTTATAATTAAGAATAAGATCAATACACCTTACGCCAATCAAGTTTGTTGTATAGCATAAACAAGCGGGACTATAAATTGTCTAAGATTTAGTAATGTGGCCACGGGTAAACATTTTCCCAATCTCGCGGAAATTCTTTATTCCGGAACAATGGGGGGAAAACATTTTTGTGAACTTTTAGGGACTACTCAATCATTCGGATTTCCCTACTGTAGCCGCTAGGAGAACAGGAAACGTATATTACACGGAAATATATATAAATGTCCACTTACCCCATCTTCCAGCATTTCCGAAACCTTGAAAATTTAGTTTGCGCTTAATTGTAAACTCTTTATTTTTGGGAGGATTACGAATGTTATTTTCTTCGATTAGGATCTTAAAACCAAACTACAAAATTAACATGGTATTACCGAATTATACCAATTCAGTTAAACTTGTATAAAAGTTGGTTGTGAGTGTTTATTGAAGTGATTCAGACATATTTTGTATGAACCACTTTGTTCCTAGTCTTCAAATTCAGTCTTAATCTCTATACAAGCATCAGTTTCGGATTTATGTTTATTACTTAATTATTATTATTTAATATATACACTTAGACTGACTTTTGGTCAACATTGACAGCATCCTTATGGTCATAGACGGTTTCGGTTGTGATTTCAACATCACTTCCACCATCTCCTAATTGAGAAACATCAAATCCATTGGCTCTCAAGTAGTTGACAAAATCTTCGTCTTCACGATTAATAGCATCTTGACCTACTGGAGGACAGAAAAACAAAGCTAAACAAGCACTGAAGATACATAACCCAGAACTGAGATAGAATGGAACTTGTAATTGTAAATTAGCGTCGGCATTCTTGGCATAATGACGTTGAATGACTGGGAAAACATAAGTACCCACGAAAGCACCCAATTTACCGACAGCAGCAGCAATACCGTAGTATTGGCCTCTAATTGGGGTGGCTGAAGTCTTGGAAGCTAATAAACCAATATTGTTACCTGGTCCAAATTCACCTAAGGTAGTGAAGATACCGAAAACAACCACAAATCCAGCAACGTGTTTACGTAAACTGTTCAAACAGGCAGACATGATGAAACCAATGATACCTTGCAATCCAACACCAATGGCTAAAGTCAAACGAGGACCAAGGTAATCAGAAACAAAAGCACCGGTAAATGAACCTGGCATATAGAACAAGTTAAAAACAACATACCAGCCCCAAACTTTCCACAATGCTTGATCTGGAATAACTTGGGCAATGATAAGAGACGAGAAAGTACCAAATGAATACACCGAGAAATCATAAATAAACCAAATCAAGGAGATGATGGTTAATCTGAACCAGTAGAACTTGATAATTAACCACCATGGGAATTTAAAGTATTGGACCTTCTTCATGTGTAACTTTTGGTAGGAAGAGGAGTTAGTCATCTTTAATCTGATAAAGAATAAGGCTAATGGAGGAATGACACCTAACCCGATAGTCAATCTCCAAATAACTCTTAAATGACGTTCACTGAAGATCCATAACAATACTAATGGAACAAATGAGGAGATAACGAAACCCATATCAATCATGGAATTGGTAAACCAAGCGAAGTACCTGTTTCTCTTACCAGCAGGTAACATATTAGCAAACTCAGAAGCAATAACTGAAGAAGTTGGATATTCAGCACCAATAGCAACTCCCAAGAAAAATCTGAACGTGGTAATAGCTGCGAAAAGACCAAATGGACTGGTACCCCAAGTTGCAACAGCACATAACAAGGTGAAAATTATCAACATCACATTAGCATACATCATACCTCCTTTTCTAGCAACACGATCAGAGATATAACCGAAACCTATTTGCCCAATAACAGTACCAACAAAAGCAATAGCACCAATATTAGAAATTGCATTAGATTGGGTGAATTCTTCAGCGTAGATCATCAGAAGACAAGACACAACCGTACCAATAGAATTATTGACATACCCATCGGAGAACAACCCAGCACCAGAAGCGAAAGCAGGCCAAAGATTATTCAATTTAACTTTGGTTTCGTGGGGTGCATCGTCATCAGCTTGGAAATCCTCGGCGATTAATTGCTCTTGGGTCTTGTTAAGGGTAATTTCCTTACGCAAGTGTCCAGCCCAGCCAAACACAAGGTCGTTGACAGAATGAGGCAAATCTCTTGAAGCCATATTTGGTGATAGTTGAACTTGAAGTTAAAAAAAAAAAACAAAACCATTCCCATGGAGATTCGTCAAATCTGGCCATTATTTATAGTTTTCAATTCATATTTATTGAATAATTACAATCAAAAGTCAATCATGATTGACCTGGCCCACGCGATCTAAGATCTCTCGTATTTAACAATATAGCACTAATGCATGCATGTGAAAACAAGAAATATTAGTAGTGCGTATGAATAAACGAATTATTACTACAACGTGTCGTGGTAATTAAAACGTGTGTCATTCCATTGTTCTCGGGAAGAGTCGCCATAAGATTCGTTTAATTGTTTGGACACGTTCTTGCAACTACAAGACCGCCTCATAACAATCATCGCGTTCAAGATAACCACAGGGGGGGGGGGGGGAGGTCACTTACTGGTGGAAGACACGAAAACGGGCTCATGATTCCTTGTGAGAGAACAATAGTTGTTGTAACTTGGTGTGTTTATTTCCTTTTGGGAGAAACGCCAAATTCGAAAAGTTTATTGTGATCCTTGACCTTAAAAGGCTTCAATAAAGTGGAGTAAAGTGGGTTATAACACCAGGCCAATATGGTTATCAAATTATATTCCTTTCTTGGTAATTTTTCAATGATTACTGGAAAAATAATTGCAGAAAGGGTTCCGGAAATTATTTAGCCTTTTCCGATATACCCTAACATTACAATGTAGTTTTAGAGCTATTTAATCAAGCCTAACACAATAACAAAGACAATATGCAAGCTCAGTAAGATAATCCAGAAACTAGCTTCCAAAGTATAGAAAATTACCTTTAGTCTGTACACTTTGCAATGGCTTGTTTTGAGATTAGAACACGGCTGAAGATTTTCAGGAAACAACGTGGGAATTTTTATTTTTAAACAATGGATATTATTAATTGAATGTATTACCTGCATATGCATAATTAAAGCAATGATTTGCATATGTATGCGATTGTTCCGGTGTATGGACGCAAAAGAAACGTTTGAATAGTTAAAAGAAACAATTTAACTCAAGTTTGTGTTTTCAAGTTTGTGTCTTCGCTTATGTATTTGGTCTTCGGTTGGTCTGTTAGATCACCAGGGACAAACTTTTTCATTGATGATAACACTTGCCCTGCATAAAAGTTTAATTAATGTAAATTATTCCGATCACTGTATTTTAACTAGGTTACCTTATAACACAAAACTTAAAATTTCGAGCCCAGTCCCATCGACACGCCTGTAACATTTGACTGCAAAAAAAAAGTGAAATTCTCTTGGCAACTAACACGATAGTCACATTGGTGAACAAAGACTAGACAAAATGCAACCACAATACCTATTTCCTCAAGGTCCGCTTTTCGCATTTAGGGATGTCCTTGTACATTAACTGGACCTTGCAACCTGATTGGAGCATAAAACTCCAAGGTTTCCAAACACTACACCTAAACTTTTTCAAATTTTTTTTTAATATTAAAATAAATACATAAATAATACACAGATGATTAGTATGACTCTTGGTCAATATTTACCCTTCCCTTTTCTTCTTTGTTATCGTCACTAGATTCTTCTTGGACTTCAACGACACCACCATCTCCTAATTGAGAAACATCAAATCCATTGGCTCTCAAATAGTTGACAAAATCTTCATCTTCACGGTTAATGGCATCTTGACCCACAGAAGGACAGAAAAAGAATGCAATACTGGCACTGAAAATACACAAAGCAGAACTAATGTAGAATGGAACTTGCAATTCTAAGTTAGGATCAGCATTGTCGGCATAACGACGTTGAATGACTGGGAAAACCCAAGTACCAACAAAAGCCCCGATTTTACCAATGGCGGCAGCAATACCGTAATATTGACCTCTAATTGGAGTAGCAGAAGTCTTTGAAGCTAATAAACCAATGTTATCACCAGGACCGAATTCACCTAAAGTAGTGAAAATACCGAAAACGACCACGAATGCAGCAATGTGCTTTCTTAAGCTTCCCAAACAGGCAGACATAATAATACCGATAACACCTTGTAAACCAACACCGAGAACAAAGGTTAAACGTGGACCAATGTAATCAGCAGCAATAGCACCGGTAAATGCACCTGGAATATAGAATAAGTTGAAAACAACGGACCAACCCCAAGTTTTGTATAATGAATCATTAGGAATGATTTGTCCCATGATAATGGTGGAATAAGTACCGAATGAGTATGCAGAGAAATCATAGATAAACCACATCAAGGAAATAACAGTCAATCTGAACCAGTAAAACTTGGTAATTAACCACCAAGGATAGTTTCTGTAACTAACCTTCTTCATATGCAATTTGGTGAATGAGGAGGAATTCTTCATTCTTAAACGAATGAAAAACAATGACAAAGGTGGAATAACACCCAACCCAATAGTTAATCTCCAGACAGCTCTTAAATGACGTTCACTGAAAATCCACAATAAAACCAATGGGACAAATGAGGAGATAACGAAACCAGTATCAATCATAAAGTTGGTGAACCAGTTGAAATATCTGTTTCTCTTACCAGCAGGTAACATATTAGCGAATTCAGAAGCAATAACTGAAGAAGTTGGATATTCAGCACCAATACCGACACCTAAAAAGAATCTGAAAGTAGTGATAGCAGCGAATAAACCATATGGAGTCTTACCCCAGGTTGCAACGGCACACAACAAGGTAAAAACAATCAAGATAATATTAGCAGTCATCATACCACCTTTTCTAGCAATACGATCTGAAATATAACCAAAACTTAATTGACCAACAACCGTACCCACGAAAGCAATAGAACCGATGTTGGAAATAGCGTTGGATTTTGTGAATTCATCCTTGTAAATGATCAGAAGACAGGAGATAACGGTACTGATGGAGTTGTTAACGTAACCATCGGAGAACAACCCAGCACCAGAAGCGAAAGCAGGCCAAAGGTTTGTCATCTTAACCTTGGTTTCAGGAGGAGCGTCTTCATCATTTTGGAAATCTTCAGCAATCAATTGTTCTTGGGTCTTGTTGAGAGTGATTTCCTTCTTTAAATGTTTGGACCAACCAAAAAGGAGGTCAGAAACTGAATGTGGTAAATCTCTGGTAGCCATTTTCTTACTGATGTGAAATATTCAACAAACTGATTCATGGGGGGGGATTTTCATGATCAATTTATACTGTCCTAAAACTCGATTAGAAAATTATTTTTTAGTTCTTGGAAAGTTGAAAAATGGCACAAAGCGGAAGATAAACAAAGGACCTACATTGCATTAAATTTCGGCATAAGGCCCCAAAAGACGTAAAATGTACCTGCAACTAGCAACGTGTTTGATGCAATATATGCAACATTTGTAAAAGCCTTATATTTGATGCTCATCGTTGATACACGTTGCGCTTGATATTGCTTCGATTGCTCAATGAAACACAATCTAAAACCAGCATGAAATTCCACCTTGATTATTCAGCCTACGAGGAAAAACAAAGCATATTTCCGTAAACCTAAATGTTGGGTTACTTTTAATGCATATTCTCCATTGTAGAAAATAAATTGTTCTTATCAACACCTTTGATTTTGATCCCTACCAAGTTTATCTCGTGATATTACCTATTCCACATCGTACATTACCCTGATAAACCAAGATGTTTGTTCATATTCGTTAATACTTACTTGATTGGTATTCGTCAATACCTTTGCTCATAATCCCAAGCTATCTTTTTTTTACTAGATCGGGGTAATAAACCTCATGCCGTTCCATTCTGCGAAAATATTTTATTTTTCATATTTGACAGGGGCGGAATTGTTAGTGGAGTAACGGAATTATTATTTTTTTCCTCATTTTTCTTTTTGTTTCTTTGCATTTATTAGTGCGGCAACACTCGGGACAACTAAATTAGGGTCACATGACCCTTAAATTGATGCAATTGACCCTAACACCAGATTATACTTTGTTAAAACCACTCAATTAAAAAGTAGATTTAACATGAAACCCTTCATAATGACATCTACTTGTTGCGATGACCATAGAACAAAACGCGATGAGCTTATCGGTTATGGAACATCGCTTAATGTTATTTTTTTTTGGCGATCGGACTTGGCAGGTAGGCAACGTGGGCAGCTCGCACAGTACGTAATTTAATGACGTATATGTAGACGCACGGAATAATTCCGCGACATGGAATTAAACAATAACTAGGTGATTTCATTGGATATATATCTAGGCTTATTATACGAAGCAACGTGTGCTGTAGATCTGACCCTTGTTGGATATCACACGATTATGTGGCTTCGAGAATTCAATTGGCGGAATCAAGCAGATACCCAGAAGGCTTCAAGTCTATTGCAATTGATTGGGTGGGTAAATTGCTGAATGCGGAATTGAGAAGATTAGACAGGGTCCACGTTGTTGAATCGACATGATAAACTCCTTTTTTCTCGGATTTATAGTTATACCAGCCTTTCTCCTTCGAGGGTTGTTTCTAATTTGACTCTGGATTTATATCACGGAATCTCGTGCAAACATGAGAAATATTTTTGAAATATATACTAGGGAATTCTCCGTTTAGTCTCATCGTGTTGAATTGTAAATCTATAGTTGCTGATAATGCGTGTAACTTGTGGAAACAGCGTTATGGCTTGAAACATGGTTTGCGACATTATGAGAATTGCATTATCCTGCGCATTTCTTGCTTGAACTTTCGTATAAACACTGCATTTGCTTGACAAGAATATCTACAAATGTTCTAGGATGTCACAACTCTTATATAATGGCCTCGTGTCAATTTGCAACCAATATCCAAGCAAACACAATACTAATATTGTGTAATTACTGTCAATTTATGATCTGAGTGCATGTGATTTTTTTCGAATTTTGTGTTCGATAATTGACCTTCCTTATCCAACAAATGTGATAACAAATTGCATGCATGTGAAAACGTTTGCATTATCAATAACCGTTGATGTATTATGTTGGGTAATCAGTCTTACGAGGCTTGACTCATTTCTGTAAATTAACGGCGTAATAATTAAATTAGAATTGTAGATACGTGAATAAAAACAATGAAAAATATTCTGGGCATTTTGAGTTGAAAATACTTGCGAGCGGTGGCTAATGTCAATTATATACAGTTTTATACTTATGTTATATGTTCTAATAAGGTTATACAATCTATCTCCATTCAACACAGTAGTTTAAGGTTTCTCCAGCCTTGAATGGAACAACAGTAACATCAACATTGGCAATAGCTTCAGGGACTTTATTTTCACGCTTGACCAACCATACAGATTCACCCTTGTGCTTGCTCAAGATGGCATCACTTAATCCATAGAAATTGATACCGTTGTCACTGACAAAGTTCTTTAAGTTTGCTAATTTATCAGCCTTGGCAAAGACTTCAGCAACATAAGCAATGGCGTGACTTTGGGTGTAGACACCAGCACAGACAGAAACGTGTCTCTTTTTGGTGTCAATTGGGTGTGGGGCGCTATCGGATCCGAAAAAGAACCATGGCTCTCCACTGGTTGCTGCTTCCACGAGAGTAGCTCTATCCTTTTGGAATTTGGCAACTGGCTTACAGAAGTTTATAGGGTTACCTGCCCAATCATCAATAATTAAATACAAATGATGGGCAGTAATGGTGGCACCCACGTAGATTTCATCACCTGGTTTATAACCAGAGTTTATTTCTCTGACTAATGCGACGGCATCAGCAGTGGTACAATGTTCCAAGACAATCTTTAATTGTGGGAAGTCTTGATGTAATTTTTTCAAAGCGGGTAAGAATCTTGGTTCAGCGTTAATAACGTTGATATCGTTTTCCTTTTCTGTGGAAGGTTTTTCACCGTGGATGTTTAAAATAAGCTTGTGCTTTTGCATGACTTCAAAAAGAGGATAGAATGAACTAAAATCATTAGGGTCAACTCCATATTTGGAGTTGGTGGTGACACCAGCAGGGTAACATTTGATACCGTGGACTAATCCTTCTCTGGCACATTCTTCAATTAATTCAGGAGTTAATTCTTTGGAAAGGTAGAAAGACATTAAGAAAGTAGTGGACGGAGACAATTCTTCAAGCTTTTTCTTGTAGTCAACCACTTGTTTCTTGGTGGTGATTGGTGGAACCAAGTTAGGCATGACGTAACAGATAGCTACACCACCTTCTCTGACAGTAGGAGTGATTAATTCAGACATGGATTCATCACGAAGATGAACATGCATATCAGCAGTGATTCCTAATTCTATTTCTGACATTATTGTGGAGGGGAGTTGGCAAGATAAGGTCTGAATGAGAAGTGAAATTGAAAAATCTACAATTTTTTTTTTCGTTCTTTTGTTGGCTCATCTTGCGTCATCTCCATCCGGGGGGAGGGAGAGTGAATCAGAATGAGGATAAATTGTATTGCCTAAAAAAAAACATATAGAGTATATCATTACATATGCGTAAAAGTCGTAATCATTGATGCTAGTTCGTGTTCGGGTCCGGGTTGGCATGTGGATTCGGCTGAACTTCAGTCGCTTTCAAGTATTTGTCTCACCTTGTCAGGTTTGGCACCAACAACTTTCTTTACAATCGTACCGTCTTTAAAGAATAACGTAGTAGGGATGGAAGTAATGGAATAGTCAGTGGCCAATTCAACGTCTTCATTTATATCTACTTTGAAAAACTTGATGTGTTTGTCTTCGTATGTTTGCAGGTATTCGTCTAAGATCGTGTTCATCTTTTTACAATGACCACATTGGTCAAAGAAATCAACCACCACCATGTTCTCCTCTTCATCAAGAGCAGTCTTGAGTTGTTTTTTAGAAGTTAAGTTTTCTAACATTGTATTTGTTGTAGAATTAAAAAGGGAAAGTGTTAAGTGAAATTCAAGAAAAACCGGATTAAAATGACCCTTTAAATACTGTTTTGCTGTTATTTTAAACTCATGCTGTACTCTGTCCCGTAAATAAACCTAAATTAATAATATTTTTACCTAATTGGCTTCTTTTAAGACAACAAAGTCATGAAATTGAATATAAACTATGAGAATAGGAGGGGAATGGGCGCAAAAATCCATGACAAAAATAAAAATATGAATCTCACGCTATTTTTTAGACACCCCACATTGCAGATAGTGGAATAATGTCAACAAAAGAGCAAGGAATATGGGAAGGAAAAAAAATTTTTTTTTTTTATTTCTAATCTGTCAACATCAAACGTTCGTTTGGATATATAGGTTCGGATTAATGCCATATTGCAAGGGTTTGTGGTGCTAGAAGTCGGTGGGGAGGCGGATCATTTTTCCACCCTCTGCATGGAAGTGTTTTTCCACCTTCGATTTACGTAAGATGTGTAGTTCCTTTTTCCTGTAATCAGTTGATATTTGTAAAAACCTGTCTTGATGTTACTTTCTTTTGAGTATGAGAAACTGAAGGTGGATATTTGTTTGTTGACGTTCGGTTACTAAGCCGGTTATTTGCATTGACACAGCCCTTTTAGCAACACCAATAAAAGCCGACTATGACTAAGCGGGAACCATCGGATAATTTCCCAACGCAAGGAATGTTTAAATCTGCTTCAAACAATAAGTTATGCCACCCCCTCATTTTTAAGTGGGACCTTTTTGAATTTAGTGGAAAGTGACACAGCCTTGTTCAGTAGGCTTTACGTCATGACAAGTTTTGTTTCTCGGGGTACACTTGGGATGCTCCCCGGTGGTTACTAAAGTTTCTTATTCACCGTATATGTGAGATGTCGATTTGACAAAAAGGCAGTTTGATACAGTTGCTTTGGGGGATGTGAAATTGTGGAGTTTCGGGATTATATAATAAGATATTTTTTAAATGAACTGGAGCGCAAATTCTAATCTTGTTGTAATCAGATCCAATACTTCAAACACTTGATTATTCCGATTAACTTGTATTGCTTAGTAATGAATATTTTGGGTATTTTAAGTTTCCCCCCCTGTTGAATGTTGTTGCAAAAAAAAAATGAGGGCGATCAAAAAAAAAAAAATAAACCCTCTTTAGAAACCAGCCATCAGAAAAAAATGGGAGCTGCTTTCTTAGAAACCACACAAAGTTGACATGGGTTCAGTATTTCTCCCTCATTTAAACACAGGCTGGCATGTCGACCAAGCGATCCTTTCTGAAGACGATAGATTAGTGGTGATACGATTTGGCCGCGAAGAAGAACCAGATTGTATGATCATAGACGAGATTTTGTTTTCCATCTCAGAAAAAGTAAAGAATTTTGCTGCTATATATCTTTGCAATTTGGATAAAGTTCCTGATTTCAATCAAATGTATGAACTAGATCAAGATCGGCTGGAACCTTATACGATAATGTTTTTCTTTCGAAATAAGCATATGATGTGTGATTTTGGAACTGGTAATAACAACAAGCTTAATTTTATGATTTACGACAAACAAGAATTAATTGATATAATAGAAACGATATATCGGGGTGCTAAAAAGGGGAAAGGTTTGGTTGTTAGTCCCAAAGATTATAGCACGTTACGAAGAGGTGGATGATAAAGAAAACGTTGTCCAATATAAATATATAAATTATATACAGCCTATACGTCCTTTTTTTTTAATTGTCAAGATTTTGTGCATAGAAGAAATTGACACTTAATAATTTCAGTCCAGGTGCATTCTTACTAATCCAATCTCTAACACCACTGCTTGGAACACCTGTACCCCAGTTTGGTCTATCTGGAGGTGCAGTCAATGCATTGGCCAGGGAGTCTTGTTTATATAATAAAAACACATAACGATGTTTTCCGGTTTTTGGTGGTGGGCCTGGACCCATGTACTTGACTAATTCTCTACCTTGGCTTACATCAATTTTGTGATTGATTTGTTCGCCTTCTTTAGCTTCTCCATTAGTCAATTGCAAATCAGTAACTAACCAATGAAGATATTCTGACCACTTGTGATCTGTGTTTGAAGGAGCATCCGGGTCGGTCATAACCAAGATAAACTTGTCATTTTCGGTGATTGATTCAATTTTACCGTCCTGTGTAGGTGAATTGAGAGTTAATTGAATCTCGGGAACATGCTGAGTGTTAGCAACTGGAAGTTGGTTACCCAAGGTAACGTGTTCATCCTTACTATATTCAATGGTCAATAACCCTTGAGTATCGAATTCGTCAACAACTTCAGGGATAACTTTGTGTTTGGTGTATGATTCATCCAAGGATTGAGAAATGGTAATCAATGGCATTTTTGATTGGGCGAAAATTGGGAGTCGACAGAAATAATTGTTGTTCAGTACGGCAAGAGCAATTCTAGGGGTAGTAGTAGCAATTGGAAATCTTGTTCTTAACAAAGTTGAAGATCTTCTCAATAGCATTGGAAAAAAAAAACTTCAAGTAAACTACAAAGGGAAATTGTTTGGTGAAAACCAAGGGTATTTATAATTGACAACAAAAGGGGAAGGCGAATATGGCACAGAAAGGTTGCGGTTATTGTAAGGGGATGGGGTAAAAGTTTAAATTGTACGGAAATGGGAAAAAAAAAATAAATTAAATACAAAAAAAAACACGGAACAATCTGTTCGACGACATTTGTCGTGGATCACCCGATGCTACCCGACATTATTGATCAAGGATCAAGAACTATATTGTGATGTCTACTATGAGGCGATAAGTTACAGCACAGCTTATTTAAACAAGTTAGGCTATTGTGGCTTATTTCTCTCGGTTTTTACCATCATTAAACTATGCGCCCAGAATTTGGCGCTTCTACGCTTATAATCGTACCATCGGAATTGCGACTCGGATTTTCGTACCAAACTTTTAAAGTGTATTACGATAAACTACTCTAGTATACAAAACAATTAATATTACAAGTATAATCCAATGTTCTTACCTCTCCCTCAGTAAACTTTAGTAGTTCGCTTGATATGAATCTACTTTGAAATTTGGATAATGACCATCTCTACTTTCTTCTACTTGGTGAGTTGATCCACCATTAGCTGGAACTGGTGCTTGAGATATCAGTTCTAATGTAGGCTGAGGAGTAGGTTGATGGGATGAGTGGTGTGACGCGTGATGAGAAACTGGCTGTGATTGAAGATGTTCATTTTGTTGCTCCTGTTGCTGTTGTTGTAACATTTGCTGTTCGTGAACAATATCGGATTCAACTGTTGGTGGTGGTAGGTGCTGTGGTGGTAATTGTTCTTGTTGTTGAGAGGACGACAGGGTTGCAGCAGGATGAGTATTGTACCCATTTGTCCTTGACAGAGGGTATGACTTCTTTGGTTTCTCTTCTTCTCTAGGAACAACATCAATCAAAAAGTCAAACATGTCACTCTTGGTTAAAGCAGCTGCGATATCGGATTTCTGTAATGTCCTTCTCTTGTTTTCTTCAGCATGGATCCAAGCTCTCATGGTTAATTCAGTAATAAACACATCACAACCTTTAGCAAACAATATTGGTGCTTCGGCACTAATCATTCTCACGTCTTCATCTGTCTTCATTACTTTTTTGATTCTAGCCAACGGTAACTGATGATTTTTAAAATCGTGTTCATCATGTTCAATAGAATTAATGGTTTCTTGCCAATACTGCATCATCATATCACGATATTTCCCAGTTAACCCCTGAGCAACATTATTGAAGGCATCCATAGGCTGTTGTGCGGCTGCTGCTGCTTCAGCAGCGGCTTGGGCTGCTAGTAACTCAGCTTCATCCACTATAGGGTGTGATGCTGGTTCTTCCTCCTGTTCAAGTTCTTCCATATATTGATGGTGCTGAGGTTGCTGTTGCTGTTGTTGATAATGTACTAGATCTTCATTATCTAAGTACGTGTTTTCGTATCCTTCCATTTTTATATCTTGCTATCTTGTTATTGAGTCAACTTTGTTGTTTTAATTGCGGGTCCTTTCAGCTTTCTTTTTTTTTTTTCACGTAGTTTTTTTTTTTTCGGTCCAAAGTTCCGGTTCTCTTGCGACCCCTTAAACCCCCATTGATCTTACAGATTATTTACACATGTGAATTGATTGAATTGCAAAATATACATCTACTTAACTGCAAGAACATGTTCATCGAATCTAACTGATTTTCTTCTCTCACCAGAAACTTGGTTCGGTATAGCCAATTCAATACCTTCTTCACCAACACTATCCTTGGTTTCATTCAACATATTTCTAATATTTGCAGCTGAAGCGGGAGCATTACATGAAGATTTACGACGATGTTGTTGTTTTAAATCCTCCTTACATTTCTCACATCCACAAAGGAATCCCCAGTTGACTCGTAATTCTCGTTGCCTTTGTTGGACAGTATTTTTTGGGTTGACATATGTTGTGGTTAATTCTTCACCCGCTCTGATATCTCTAGCTGCGTAAACTTTTAAACCATCAGTGCGAAGTAATTCGGTTTCAACTGATGTGTTAGGGTTACAATTGTGATTCAAATGGGATTGGATTAAGAAAACATTGGAGTCTAAATTGTTGATGTTGTATGTTCCCATCATGTACATGAATTCTTGATAATCGATTGGATTTGAAGGGAAAATACGAAGGAATTTTTCATAACCCAACTTCCATAAGTTTTCTTGCTGTTCTTGAACAAATAATGCCCCACCACTCAAAGTATCGAATGCACCTGCAGATGAGTTTAAAGCCTTGTATCTGATATCTTGTGATACTCTGGCCATAGCCTTAAATTGCTTTGCCTTGGTTCCAGATTTATCATTAAGAATATCAGCATAGATCAATGTGATGGCATAAAGAGCATTCCATTGGTCTTCCAAACAGTAATCTTGCATATGTAAGAATGCCTCAGGGTCAAATAATTTAGATCGTTTAGCATTTGGATTGTACACATTATGCTTTAAAAGACCATGCAATACTCCATCCAACTTCTTACATTTGGTTCCACACCAAACTTCAGCACAGACTTGACAATCTAATCCTCTCAATACTGTGTTTCCTTCACTTTGTTGTAATAATCTCCCACAATGAGAACAAGCAGTTCCTGATTTGATCAAGTTAATGTTGGCCAAAGGTGGGATAAAAAATAACGGTTCTTCTTCCCAGATTAATTCACCTTTGGCAATATTATGTTTTGCATATAACCCCTTACCTCTTTTAGAAGTCATCACTATTTGAACCTTGGAAGGCAATTCGATATCAGGAGTATTTTCAGATTTGATTTCAGATGCATATGTGAATTGTTCGTTAGATGAAGAGCTCAATAATCCAAACTTTTTCAACAAGGTTTTGACTCTCTTCTCAGAAACAGACCAATTTGGATGTTTTGCCTTGACTAAACCGTGCAATTTGGTTATTCCAAGTGATTCAGTGGCGGGATCTTCCTTCCAGATGGCAATGACAGCATCGACGATTTGACGTTCGTGAGGAACCACGGGACCTGTTTCTTCAGGTTTTGAGTCGTTTATTGATATCACCTCAACGTTTTTAGCTAAGGATTCCTGATCTAATGTCATGTTGTGGGAATATTTCTTACGTACTTCTGCAGATGAATTTGTTGTGGAGAGAAAATGAAAACTTTTTTTTTTTGTTTCTCCGATTAGGCAAAGGGTCTGAAGATGAGATTCAATCACAAAATGAGGCGATCAGGTCATTTTCCAAAAGACAGACAAGGATTTAACAGAAAAGGGCTTATCTACTAGTGTGAAGTTTAATTCTGATCTTCCGTTTGCATTTTTTTTTTTTTACAATGCAAGAAGGGTCCTGCTAAATGGATTTTCAAATGTTGGATATTTGCAACAATTTTGAGGTGCCAGGGGAAGTATCAGTGGCTTAACCGTTTGCAATACAACAGGTATGGGTATTAGTAAAGGGTAAAATTTCAAATTACTCGAATATTAAGCGTCTAGCATTAACCGTATTTGTGTATTTTCATAAAACTTCAAAGACTTAGTTTATTAGCATATCCTAGATAGGTTCCGAATTATCAACAAAAAGGATATCATGGCACAGAAAACTGTTCAACTGAACCATCATAGAAGGAGAATGTTATTTTATTAAATTTCGACATGATGGTCCATGAAGTTTTACATTTGAAGACCAAAAAATAGAGCCATTCTATAAGTTTGAATGAACTATCATTGAACAATTTTGGAAAAAAAATTGTTCGATACAAATATATTCCGATACCGGGAGTCGAACCCGGGTCTGCTCGGTGAAAGCGAACCGTGCTAGCCGTTACACTATATCGGAGTGATTTTCTTCAAAATGTTTTTTCGTGTTTAACATGCATATTTGTTTGACTTATTTGATATGCAGGAAATGTTTGTATTATAGTAACAACCATACCGAAGTGAATGAGGTTTAAAAGTAAGTTTTATTCAATATTTTAAGTGGGAGTGTCTGCATAAAGAATCAAGGTAAGTTCTATAGTAGTTATAGGTAACTAATTCCAAGTTAAAATAACTTGTAATTGCTTCGTAAGTGGAAGGGTTTAAAATCAATATGATGATCTGGTAAATTCGATCCGCCCGATGTATAGATTACATTTATACTGTCTTGAAATGAACCTGTTGTCTTAGATCATATCACAAATTGTGACATTGTAAAGAAAATGAAAGTATACTTGGTAACAGTTCATGGTTCATCTCTATTTAGTGCCTGTTGGACAATGTAACTTGAAGAGAAATGGTTGCAAGTTTATGATTATAAATCAAATAATATACTTCGAATATCCTGGATTAGTTTATTCTATTGATAATTCTTTTCTGTTAATTGTAGAGAATAGGATAATAAAGTAGAAAGTTTCTGCCGTTTGCACTCTGGAAGAAACTTCTGTGAATTTTTTACTTACCGTTTCGCAGAGAATGTTCCTGTAAGCCTTCGCAGCACTACTAATACTACTACTACTACTACTACTACCCTAATGTCTATTACATCTCATTTAAGTTTTTCCTGTTTGATCCTACAGTACAGCAAACAAAGTGGCTGGATCGTATTGAAGATTTATGTTTCACAGCATTGGACACGTAGTCTAAAGAAACTAGAAGTGAATGGTTTTATTCAGGATGGGAAATCACTTACAATTTGAAGGTAACAAATATGACTAAATACATTATACCGGTTGTCTTTTGCAATTACATCTAATTGCATAAAATTGCAACGGCTGATAATTTTCGCTTATTCAAACAAAGAAGTCCACGTGGCAAGGTCATCACGAAAACAATTGAAAGTATCGGTCGCCAAACACTCCCCGCAGTGTCAAATGGGAAGAAATTCCGTAAGATTGCTGCCAAATTAACTTTTCTTTGTACAATTCATATCCTGTCACTTCCTGGGGTGTTGTTATGAGTGGTTGGGAAGTAGAAGCGTGGTTGCGACATTGAATGTCATATTTTCTGGAGTGTCTAAAAAATTGCCAAGTGTCGCATTCATCGTCAAATTTACGAGGATCCTGCGTCATGTATTATTTTCTTTTTTTTTTTGTTTTACAAAGATAAGCCAAGCAGCTATCTTTCACGGATATTCTATTCCTTTCTTTCGTTTTTAATCATTTAGTAGACATGTTTTCACTATTTTAGGTGAATAATAAACACATGGAGAATCCCTGAAATTTCAAACTCAAATCATGATAAACTTTCGTTGCTTTAAAGTTATTCCCCAAGATGCCCTCGTTTCTTTTTTTTTCCCTCTGTTACTTTCGAGACCACAAAACAATAGCCCCATTTATAAACTAAGAAAAACAAAAAAACTTTTCTTGTCCCTTTCTTCCTAACTTTTGCAATCAAACATAGTTGACTAACCTTGTTCTTATCACTAAAAAGTTTTCATATTGAGCTTATCTACTGTTGTATATTATGAAATTAGAGAGGTGATAGACTTTCCCGATATAAATAATCCTATAAACCACACACATTACTTATTACAGTAACAAACAAAATGAAGTTTGCAAAGACTTTAGAACGGGCTCTTTCTGCAGAAGAAGTCCCTGAAGAATGGGTGGAAGCAGCTATTCAATACAAGGCTTTGAAAAAATGTATCACTAAAGTGGTCAACGAGTTGAACTTCTTGGGATTAGAGCCAGACACCCTTAAGTTGTTGTTTGAAGACCATGAGGACCTGGGCAAAATTGTCGAAATCGATGAAAATGAAGCAAAACCTTCTAATCCTATTATTGCTGAATATATCCTTACCAAATCTCAAGAAGGGCATGAAATTAAACCTATGTTAAAGTTGACTTTGGATTATTCCAATGAGAATTATTCCGATGACCATATTTATGAGTTAGGAATGCAAGTAAAGGAAAAGATTGAAAGTTTGTTAAATGATGATCCTGCACAAACACCAGCAGTTGGAGGTTCTAATGAGGATGCCGATATTGAACCTATGTTCTTGGATGATAGAAGTGTTATAATTGAAGAAACCGATACTCTGGAAAAAATCATTGAAATTAAAGAAGATGGGGATGCATTAAAGGTGGTTGCTAGTAGAGAAAACTCTGTTTCTCCTCCAGCATCTCCCAAGGGAGCTCCTCAAGATGTCTCAGATAATATTGACCAGGTTTTATTATCTCCTGCAGTTTCAGCTATTTGTTCACCCGTCTTAACACCATACTTGCGTCACCAAACCAAGAAGAATGAAATATTCATTATGTTGAATTCTGATTCTAAATTTTTCAGAATGTTGGATGAAGAATTGGAGAATTTAGACAAGTTAAGACAAGTGGAAGAAGCAAAGATCATCAATGAAGTCCAGGCTGTGGCTAAACTTGTGAATCAGTTTAAAGACAAGAAATCAGAATTGTATAAATGGAGAGAATTATTCCGTATCTATATTGATTCCGAAGTGTGTTTCAAGTATAATGAGTCTTCATTGCCTTCAGCAGAACGAAATGCTGAACAGGTCAAGAAGAATCTTGATCAATTTGTTGAAAATGTTGAGAAATCGGGTGCAATCACCAAATTTAAAAATAAGGAGAGTGTTACTACATTTAATCAGTTTATTGCCATGAACTATCACTTGTTTAAAATCCTTGAATTTCAATCCATTAATAATGAAGCGTTCAGGAAAATTCTTAAGAAATTTGACAAACAAACTTCATTAGGAATTAAAAACACCTTCCCTAAATTAATCTCCAATGATCATATTTTCATGACTGGTATTTCATTAGCACAAACTATCTGTTTTATTATTCAGAATTCTATTTTGGAATTGATTCCACAATTAGAAGACTACTCGTGTCCAATCTGTATGAGTATTGCCTATAAGCCAATCCGCTTAAGATGTAATCATTTATTTTGCGTTCGTTGTTTGGTTAAAATGAAACAACAAGATAAGATTAATTGTCCAATTTGTCGTCGACCAAATGCAATCTTAGAAGCTGATGGTTCAATGTTGGATATGGAATCGATGGAATTGATGAAGAAATATTTCCCAGTTGAAGTCAAACAAAAACTTAAAGAAAGGGATAAGGAAAGGTATATGGAGATGACACGTCAACCTAATAGTCAAAAGTGTGTAATTATGTAGATGTATGGTTTGGTATTTATTATTTATAGAAAAATTGTTTAATGTGATATTTTAATTAATTAATTATAGTCTTCATTGTAAATAGGCTTGATGTTTCTGTTGCGAGGTTCTTTGTGTATTTACATTAAACCCAGTTCTTGTCAAAGCGAACTATAATCCATTGCAAGTGATAGTTTACTTCTGTTAGAACACCCTCATTTCTTTGAATATTTTATAACTCGATGAGTCTATGTCATTTTAGAAGATTATCTCGAAGTTCAACCTTGATTTGGAGTCTCCAATTGCTCGTTATATTCTCATCCTTTTTTTTTTTTTTTTTTTGCAGCCCAACCAGCATGAATATTCTAACTTTATTCAGACTTTAAATTTCCTGACATCATGTCAGAGTTTAATATATGATATCTTGTATTATTCACCTTTGTACTTCGACAAGAAATAGCTGTTTTGGATAGTTAAAATTTGTTTTTTTTGAAAATATTTTGCAAAAAGACCATCTCTATAAAAGAGTTTGAATATATATTTTGGAAATTTAATACAAAATTTTATTAAAATAAAAGAATATCAATACCTCAATAACCAGGTAAGATCATCATATGAAATTAAGCAGAGACATAGAAATTAATGTTTTAGTCCCAAAAATGATATTAAAGTCTAGCAAAAACTTGGTTGTGGTGGTTATATTGGTTATTTGGAAAAATTGAAACTGCAACACGACACAAAATCTATTTGAAAAAATTTTAAAAAATTTGTGGTCCCGTAGTGTAGTGGCTATCACATCGGATTCTGATTCCGGGGACCTGGGTTCGATTCCCAGCTGGACCTTAGAGAAATCTTCAACTTTGTCTTGGAGTTATGTTTAATTTTTTGCTGAATCTTTATACAGTTGTGATTTGAATAGAACTAAATATTGAATAGAGCTTATATACCACATACACATATACAATAAGAATAGTACAAAATAAAAGATATCTATTAGGAACCAGTTGACTTTTTATTTAGGTTTTTTAATATCAACGATCGTTATTCGTAAGCGCAATTTTCACTTAGTTAATAGGTGCTTCTTGCTTTGGTGCAGTTTGCTTTTCGTCAACGTCCTGTTTATGCTTGATTTGTTTCCCACTTTTATCTGCATATGCAGCCCTTGCATTTTTGACTATTCGGTCAACTTCATCCTCGGCAGAAGGATCAAAAGCTGCTTCTACTTGTTCAAATATGTCCTGATCCCGATCAGCTGGCTTGACAGGTTGTGCAATGCCCGCAGCGGCCCCCGCAGCAGCAGCAGCAGCAGCACCAGGAGCACCAACAGGTTTAGCGGCAGCGGCATCATTGGAGATATCAGCTTGGTACCCCTTAGTAGGGGCCTTTCCAGCAAGTACTTGTTGTTCACCTAGTTGTTTCTTTTTACCTTTACCGGTTCCAACTAATTTATCTTCATCACTTCCAACAACAGCGCCTTCGTTGGCAACACCACCTTTTGGAGCTTCCGCGACGCCTAATCCCTTTTCTCCATGGGAGCCATGAGCGAAATTACCAGCCAAATCCTTGTTTTCAATTTCCTTGTCGGCCTTTGAACCAACGGCGTCATTAATTAGTTTATCCATGTTGACATTCGCATTATCTTTTATGGGGGTTTTCTTGGCACTATTTGCTTCTGACGAGACAATCTCATATTCTGGTTCCGGAGTTGGTCTTAAATCTTGGGAGACCCACCACATTAATGTTCCAAATAAGAGAAGCATGATTAGATACCCACCTAGTTTTCTTCTCGAGTTGGTAAAATACACAACTGGTTCTTTGAGATTACTATATGGGGAATGCTTTTTCTTTGAGGATGGTTTCATATAGTAAGGTCTTGGTAGACCGTTATTTTTATAACTTCCTTGCATGATAGGTTATTAGAGTACTTTATAAGAAGGCAAGGTTCGTTTTTACGTAGTTATATTAGGATGTTGGAAGCTGGTTGTTGTTGTACGAACAAAGAAGTACGTGGTGGAAATTATCCCCAAGCGGTATTTTTTTCTCTCATTCGTTGAGTGTGATTTTTTTTACATAGAGTACAAAGCAAAAAAAAAATAAAAAAATTTGATGGAACAACAACGCCATGAATTTACGCGGTAAATTTTGTGGTGATTTCCTACCGCGTTTGGAATTAGCAACCTTAGCAGGTGTGCTTTGAAAATGGGAGATAAAGGTTCTAATTAAGATATAATTTGTAAGTTATATCATTTATTACTATGTTCCCAAGAGAGTTCTTGAACAGGGTTGTTGGATTCTTTTGTTCTCGAAGGTCTCCCCGCTTAGCTTCCTTCGACCGATTTAACCCTGCTTACATAACCTTCGATCAAAATACAACAATCTGTTAAATTTGCAACTCTAACGACAAGCGAATCCGCTACACAAACTCGTTAAATAGGTTCCATGACAGTACTTCATGTTGTCGAATATCACTGGTTTAGGCACACGACCAGTTAATTCCGAGACAAATCTCGAGCCCCCTTACAATTGTTTTTTTTCGGATCGGTGCAAAATTCTTTTTTTGCAATTATAAAGTTCATAATTAGCCGCTTTAAACTAATTCCAATCTTATACACAATTCTACACATGATTTGGAAAGTTATATTATTAATCGGATTAATACAATACGCATGTACGACCCCACCTGCATGTTTTCTAAGCTGTATCAGTGAAGTCACTAGATCTTTATGTGATTATGGATTACCGGATTTAACATGTGCTTGCAAAAATGAAAATTCCCTAACTGGATGTCTTGTTGATATCTGTCCCTATGGCACGTTCTTAAGCGCCAGAGACCATTTCATCGGTACTTGCTTAGAACATGGCCGGCCTTCAATTACAAATCCGTTCCCGCCACCTTCAATATGGCCGGCTAACAATGCACAAGAAGTATTCCGTGAGGTGAATGAAGAATATGACGATATCACCCAAGGAATTTCTCAGAATCCACCTCCAACTAGTTCAAGCATGTCAAGTCAGATAAACCAACCACATAAATCTTCAGCAAGAGTTCAATCAACGCCTCATTATCCACCTCCAAAATACCTTTCCCATTCTGATGTTGTTGATGATAATAATGATGATTCTGATTATGATCCTAATGCGTACTTTCAATGGGAAGATACAGATTCTCTTGATGAGTATGGAAATTTCATCATTATTAGAAGACCAGTAAACGTTCCAAAACAATTCCGAGATCCACGAAACGTTGGTAATTCAAGAAGAGTGTTCATTAGATATTCCAGCGATCATTCTAATAGACGAGTCAACATTGTCAATCCTCATACCTTAAAAGCAAAGGAAACACCCAAGCAACCGAATAAACTTATCAAATATACCATTGATACACCCGAAGGTCAATATCGAGTTTCGAAAATACGGTCAGGAATGTATTAACTCGTTTATATATTATTTTGTTCAGTTCCAAATATATTCTTGTGTGTTTTCCTGTCTACTTTAATGCTGACGATGGTTTCACGGGGCACACTAACCAAGCCAATTTCTCTGACATGTAAGTTTTTGTTGTTTAATCTGTCAACCGAAGTTTCATACACATTTGAAAGGAGTAAGTTTCCAAATGGATCAATTACAGTAAGTATTCCTTCAAGAATACGCGAGTCAACTACTCTGACGTGTAAATTGGCACCAATGAATTGAGCAGGAGCTATAGACGACATGGTAAATTCAGTAAAGTACGAGTAGAGAAGAATATGTAGATGAACAATTATGGTTGAAAAAAAAAAACCAGTCAGGCAATCAGGATTACCCGACTTTTCAGGGTTACCCTACTTGGAGGCAACCACTATAAAAGACCATCCCAGCGAGAAAAAAATTCATGGTTTGTATTTCCTTTCCTTAACATCAATCGCAGATTCATCCTTCGCTAAAGAATAATTTAATCTTGTCAATATTAAGTTAGTTTGAAGGTTCACCAATGAATGCAAGCGTAGACCAACCAATTAAGTTTGGAGCACGTTTCTGGGCGCCCGATGTTGACAAACTCCGTGGAACATTGGGAATCAGTTGTGACTATAAATTTTGTTAAAGAGGAAACTTTGATAGTAAACCTTTTAGTTTAATGAAGTAAACACTAAACTCTATGCCATTGTAGTAAGTATCATTTTGTCATATGCTGTTTCTAAAACGTGAATGCTTAATTAAAGTTTCGTTTTGTCTAGGCCATTTATGTGAAAATTGGCTGTAATAATTTTTTTTTCCCTCCCTCCCCATTTTCTAAAGTATTCCACAGTGAGTTATAAAACTGAATGTAACTGTTCACTTCTTCAATCTGGTAGCTGAACATGGATATCGATACTCAAGTATACGAGCTCACAACTATTCATAAAGAATATGAGTCGTTCTTCCCCCAGTGCCAATTGAAACTTGGCAATGTGTCCGTGGCAGCCAGAAGTTATAGTGACAATGGTGAATTACTTCCTGCCTCCAAGGACAATTATATCTACATACAAACACAAGAAGGTATTGATTTGAAAGTATCCGTGGAATTACGAGGATGGTACCAGCTAGGTGCTCCTAAGAAAAGCTATGAAACATTTGAAGGATTCATGCAGGCCGTTAGTCCTAGTTTTCAAGTCAAGTTTGGAGATGAACTTTCTAATAAGTTGCTTCAAGTGCTACAACAGAGTTGAATATACCTTATTTATTATATACACGATTACTATTAGAATACAAAGTTATTTATCCACACCATAGAGTTAACTACTTAGTTTTGTGAGTTTGGGTTTGCTTAACTTCTTCAGATCTCTTGTTCTTAAGGTAAGCTTCAACATCATTGACATCATTCGAAGATTCTCTAACGTAGTAGTGTTTGTTTCTTGGCAAGTATTGCTTTGGTTTTTCCACAAGTTCAATAAATCTGATATTAGGGTTGAACACTGGGATTCTGAGTTCAGAAGCTATACGCCCGACTTTGGTTCTTATCAAGATATTCCCTCCTAAATTGTATTGACCTCTCTTAATAGCAATGATTCTACCACTGACATCACTTCTATCCATATAAGTAACCCTGATAATGTCCCCGGCACGCAAAGTGTTGATCAAGTTGGTTCTTTGTCCAGTTGGATCGTGCTTCTTTAATAATTGTTTATGTAAATAAGCCATGGCATTTTCACCGTTTCTCTTTTTTGGTAATGGTTCAAACACAGTTGGTTTAGCTAGTTTTAGTTAGTATAAGTCTTAAGAAAGTGTTGGAAAACTGTAATACATACCACCTTTTAATGGGACAAAAGTTCTTACTGATTGAACAGCAACACTGGCAGCTCTGAATCCAGTTCTTTTACTGAGTAATCCAAACATATTTGTAGTATTGATGTGGGTGTACTAGTCGTTGCTTAACCTTCAGGTTTTTTTTTTTCAGTATTTTTCAGATTTTTTTTTTTGGTGCACTTTTTGTTAGTACTGAAAATTACTCGGGATCGAATTGGCTGCTACAATACGAGTAATATAATATGACTATTTGTATATCAACATTCTAATCTACAATGAAAGTAATGTACATAATGCGTGACAAAAAAAAAGGATAATCTAGAAACGAGGGCGTCTTTTTCTGCCTGTGAATTTGGAATCTTCGGCAACTTTCTTCCCTCTTCTCCTCATAGTTTCCTTCTTTCTATTAATAAACTCCTTCTTGTTCTCCAATTTCCTCTTTAACTTCTTATTCATCTTTCTGTCGGTTTGTTGAGGAGCATCCATTTCAGCACCAGCCAAGTTGATTTGACGATCAGACATACCGGCCGTCAAGACTAAATAGTACTTCTTATGTCTCTTTGATTCAGGATCATCAATGACCAACCCACCTCCGAAACCAGCAACCTTAGCAGCACCCATAATCGATTCAGTTTGCGAATCATTCATAGGGTAAAATTGTGCCACGAACTTCCCTCCTCTTTTCAAACTGGCATATAACGTATTGAAAAATGTCAATAATCTCTTCTTAGGGTCAACTCCAGCAGTATCGGCATTACATAACCATTGAATGGCAGAAATGGAAATCGCAGCATCAAAAGTCCCAGCACGGAATGGAACCCCATTACCTAAATCAGCAAGAAACAAGTCTCCTTCCACGTCACGGTCTAACCCCGTGGCCAACATGCTAGGTGATATATCTAACCCGACCCAGTTATATCCTTCTTCAGTCAATATCTCTCCGGAGAGACCGGATCCACACCCAAGATCCAATATGAAGTGGGGTGTGTCTGGCTCTAGATTGAGGAGCTCCAAGGCTCGCAAGGTCATCTTGGCTTGAATATGCTGCACACGAGTAGACGATGTGTATTTGAATGATTCAGTATCATTATAGAAAACTTCTGGTGGAGCAAGCTCTTCAGGTCTCGACATATTGGTTTATAATGTGATGCTTTGCTTCGTATGAATCAATGCTTGATAGAAGTTGATAAATAAATTCAAAAAGAAAAAATTAAGAGATGGTGTCACGTGAGAAGTCCATAACCGAATTTTTATTATTTTTTTTAGCAGCCAAGATTATAGTAAGTGGAAGTGCTTTTGATAACGTAATACATCCTAGTAATGTTGTCCAATTAGCTTGTATAAAAGTTGGGTATTTCTTATTCCTCATATATACGTTGAATACAATATCTTTGGTGTAATCACAATATTGTCCTGGATGGAAGTAGTCACTCTTTGAACAAAAGCGAGTGAATGCAACATATAATTCAGACCTGTTGAACTAGTTTACGTAGTTGGTTAACGAGTCTATCAAAACATCCCGATGTAAAAGAGGTACCAGCTTGTTTGGTTTTGTTGGGTTCAGCGGCGTCCTATTCTTTCTTTCTCAGACAGCTTTTATTTACTCACCAAGGTGATTTCGCTATTTTTTTTTGTTACAACGCGTCCAACAAACCAAACACTGAACTACTACAAGCCAACGATGCCCACTGCTTCAATTGACTGTTCCCAAGCAAAAGACATACTAAACTCCGATGGGCAATTATTACCGCACCAAGATAATCTAATATCAACACCCTTAGGTCTAACCATTCTAGAAATCCAGGGTGAATTAAACCTACCTACTCATGTCCCCAATGTCGCTATCACCGAATCCAACCGAGAATACATTGAGAATTTCATAAAAGTAGACGAGATATACGATGCTGTGAAGTTTGGAAGACTTGAAATAGACGCTGATGAGACCAAAGTTACGCTATTCATCGGTAAATCCCAGCGTCTAATAGGGAATATTGTTAAACTAGACCATCCCTTGGCGGTTTTACGCGTGCCTGTAAAAACAGACGACATGACAGATGACGACGAAAAGATACGACTTGTTGATATAGTGAAAAAGAAAATGATTTTCAAACAACGTCCATTACCGATTATGTAACGACAGAGAAAAAAAACTAATACACATCTATTTCTAAAATTTGGCCTTGCCCATATTTCTATGATCCCAATTGACATGAGAGCTGGCTTCAAATCCAAAATTTTGAGGATCTACAACAACCAAGTTTTCATAAATCTTGATGATGTCCTCCTGGCTGAAATGAAGCTTGTTTTTCATATAATTGGTGATACTGCCGTATTTCTTCATAAACAAGCCAACAGTAGCCAACATGGCTTCATATCTGGAACTAATTAAGTTTTCAAATCCGTCTTCTTCAACCCTCCAGTTCTTTCTTCCGTGAGACATGAGCAAATCAAATCCAGCTCCGGAATCACCCAATTTCTCACGCAATTTCCTGACGGTTTCTTGGAATTTACCTCTTAAAATAGGATGATCAGGTCTTAAACCCACCGTGGTCAATTCGTATTCTCTGGCAATGGTATTCTTGTCAACTCCTGCTAATAACAAAATCAACATTCCCAAGATACCAGTACGGTCCTTACCAGCAGTACAATGGAACACAAATGGCTGGTTTTGATCGCGAATGAATTCAAACACGGTCTTGTAGGCAAAAGTACCAAGTTCTAACATGTCTTCATACACATGGATATAAGTCGACCACGAAGTCATGAGGTTAGTATATCTCAATGCAATGGCCTGGGGCGAGTAATCATCATTGGTGAACACAGGAGCATGTATTCTTACAATGCCATACTGCTCTAAATTTTGCGGATATCCATCTTGTTTAACCTCCCCATCGGATCTCAAATCGAAAATGGCCTTGATCCCCAAGGTTTGTAACGTTTCTGCTCCCTTTGGAGTCAATCCAGAAATATTTGCACACCTGAACGCAACATGAGGCTTGACGTAATAGTTTAAATGAGCATGAGACTCCCGAGCCACGGTATCCAGGCGTAATTTGAATGTGGGTGAATGGATTCTCCATCCTCCGATATCCCGGAAATTATTCACACCTTCAACTTCTTTCCAACGAGATACTCGACCAATAACATTGCTGGTGCTTAAAAATCTTTCCATTTCGTTTTCTGGCAGAAGATAGTCTATTATGTAATCAGAAACAAGGGCATTATAGTTGATAACTCCACGTTTAATGGGGTAATTATGGGGATTGAATTCATGAATATCATCATCGGGTCCCATTTTCGTGGTACCATAGAAATTATGATCGGCGTCAGGAATAACTTCCAATCTATGTGAATGACGACCGCGATTCAACACATTAGCAAAGTTGGTAAAATCATCTACAGGGATGATATTATCCTGAAGGCCATAAACAGACAATACAGACCAATCACGGGATAATTGGTACAAGTTCGAGAAATCAGGAATAGCAAGACCATAGATTTCCCGTGCAGCCAATTCCATTTCCTGGAGTTTACCATGTCTAAACATCTTTATAGGAATAAAATCGGTGTCGGGAGAGAAACTGTACCGGTCCATCACCGAAGGCAGGTCATATCTAGTTGAGCAGTTTACCAAATTGGGGACAATTATTGCTCGTGGGTCGCCTCGCTTCAATAATGCGTCCTGATTTTGGGCCCACAAGAACATGGCCACACCTCCACGAGAATGGGCAATAATCAGTGACAAAGTCAAGTCAATCCCAAGGGTGTTCTTGGTACCATCCATTAAGAATTCAACCAGGTCTTGGATATCTTCTAGGTCTTGCTCCAACTGACGGCCTACTAATCTATCGACATTGTCTGCCGAGTCTCCACAACCCCGGAAATCGATCCGGAGGGAGTAGATTCCTAATTCGGCAGCAAGTCTATGGGCAGTAAGTTTCTGGTAACAATAGTTACGATGTCCTGCTTGGCCATGGAGGATCAATGCTGCTTTATGGGTGGCCGGAGCAAAACCTGCTTCAAAGGGATTCTTGGCATCAACGGAATGCGGTATGGCAAGTGTGGCACTGACTCCTTTGCCTAATCTTACGTGAACTTCTCGAGGTGGCGGTGGATTATATCTACTTGGTGCTGTCATTAACAAATGAAAAGAGTCTAAAACGAAACCAGTCTAATAAATAAAAGTGGATAAAGATAGCTGTATATGTATAAAAAAGTGGAAAAGTAAATTTATCCGTAACAGAAAAAGTTGTACCGAGCTTTAATTTGACACCCGTGGTAAAACTGAGACAGAATTTACCTAACTGAGAAAATATAAAAAAGTGTGTGGTCTTAAATCGTGTGTGTGTGTGTGGGGCGAAAGAAGACAACGGTTCACATGGGGGTTAAGCACAATTGGGCCAGGTCGGACTATGCTAGAGGTGGGAGGTGGGGGGTATCCCCGCGCCACAGCATAACTTCACATGTGGGTGGAATTGGAAAATTTGTGCTGCAATTGCGGCTGTTTGATTTCTGTTGGGGGATATCCAAATTTGGTTGCTCCATGTGAAACCTAGTTAACTTTACTGAGAAGTAAAAAGCTTACTGGGGTGTTTATTTTATAGTCTGAGTTGGTTCCAGAGCTCAGTTTCTTACCACCACCACCACCACCACCAGCTGGAACAAGTTATTCGTATCGGAGGTTTGCTTTTTTCTCGCGGGGGAAGGGCAGAGAGCTACCTAATTTTTTCCTCTTTTTTTACAGCACTTTTATTTACAACACAATAGACGCCACCACTGGCAACATACTATGAATCACAATGACAATAGGGACGCGTACTCTCAACTAGGCAAATCTCTTATCCAAAGACATTCCGATCAGCTCTCTACACAACTAGCAGTATTCCAGTCGGCCCTCGTCAACTTCGCCAATAGTCATGGTGACGAGATCAAGCTGAATGCTGAATTCAGAAACAAATTCACACAAATATCCCAACTGATTGGGTTGGATCCATTAGAATTGCTACTATCTACAACCAAGAATACAAAAAGTAGTAATTTCCATGTGGCATTGGCTGTTCGAATTGTCGAAGTTTGTCAACTGACACGAGATCTTAATGGTGGATTAATCTCACTTAAGGAATTGAAATCAATCTTGCAGGATACCCATAATATCAGTATTGAAGTCAGCGAAGGTGACATTGAACAAGCATTAGGTATGTTGGATACATTGGGAAAGGGATACCAAGTTTTGACCATAAATGATAAGAAATGGCTCAAGTTTACTTCTGCCAATGGGGATGGGATTTCCCAAGATGAGAAGAAAGTATATGAACTATGTGGATTTATGGGTGGATATGTCACTTACAGGTTATTACGAGATAATTACGGATGGGACAAGGTAAGATGCAAGACAGTTATAGAAGAAATGATTATGAATGGATTCCTTTGGGTTGATAATCAAGGATCCAAGGGCGAATTACAATTTTGGGAACCCTCTTGGATATCTAATTAATATTACACAGTATCTACCTGTTCCTCCTCCTCCTCCTCCTTTTTTCTCAGCTTTCTTTCCAACCATTTGGCGTTGGCAACTTCAAAATGCTCACCACGTTCCCGATCCACAATTGGAATGTAACTTGCAAAGGCACGTCCGGCACCATCACCGGTATTCATCATTTGTTTGTTATGCGTTTGAATTGCAGCCTTATCAGACAAAACAATCTGGTCCATAATTTGCGCCATCTGAGCTTTTATTTGATGGTCATATACCAATCCTTGGAACAGGGTCCAGGACCATTTCGATTGGTACAATGCTTGCATATCACTAAGACTCAACCATTCCATTTCTGGGAATGTGCAATCATACAATACTAAAGGAGCATCGTTGGCCATTTCAAATTGAGGCTTGGTGGGGAATTTGTCAACGTCCATCAAATCAGACACAATGGAAACTGGTTCCAATCCTTGTCCCACAAGAAACAACACAGCCACCATACATCTGACTTGATGCCAAAGAAATGCCGAACCTTTCAAGTCAAAACAATACATGTCTGGTATACCATCTACCGGCATTATCTTGGCACTATATATATCTCTTTCGTATCTAGATATTTGTTTACTTCCATCGACTTTACAAAAGTTTCGGAAATCGTGAGTTCCTTCGTATAGTTGTGCAGCTTGATTCATCGCATCAATGTCTAGTTGTTGTTTAAGAAACAAGTATTTGTAGTGACGTGACTCACAACTGAAACGAGCATCAAACTTAGGAGGCGGTCTTAAACTTATGGCTGTTATTCTGATGTCTGGAGGCAAAAGTGAGTTCAATATCGTAGCGTACTTCACTTCTTTCACATCGTTGCTGGAATCCGCTTGTTCCTCTGGAGTTAAAGATGAACGAACATTTAATGATATAACCTGGTTCATAGCACTTACACCCTTGTCTGTTCTTCCACATCTCGAGAACTTACAGCAATCCACCGTAGGCTCTTTGATCAATTTTGCCTTGTGCAAGGCATCCAATATGGTGCCTTCAACAGTTGGCAATGGTGTTTCTTCCTTCTGGTAAGCTAAACCGTTGTAGTTCCATCCTAAGTAGGCAAACCGTATAGCTACGAAACGAGTATGGTATTTAGACCAGTCGAATTCTTTTTGCTTCTTTTGTTTCTTTGCTGGTGCACCAGCAGCGCAAGATTCAAGTTCAGTTAATTTAGCGATTAATTGTTCTTTGGACCAGGAGGAATAGTCTGTCATTGTTACTGGTGGTGTGCTAGTTAATGCCCGTTTTACCATCTTCCATGACAACAGTTTTGTTAACATAGACGTTGTTTCTGATGTTTACTCATCTAACATCTCGGACGAGGTTCCAAAAAAAAAAAAATTAGACCCATCGCATCAACATTGTTTTGCAACGATTGTACCAACTATGAAGACCAAGACTGAATCCCTTGCCTGGGAAAACTTACGATATGATCTCCATCCATGGCTACGTTCCGCAATAGAGTCTCTTGGTTTTGCCACCATGACACCAGTGCAAGCATCTACTGTTCCTTTGTTGAGTGGAAACAAAGATGTCGTAGTTGAAGCCGTCACTGGATCAGGGAAAACCCTTGCATTTTCCATACCGGTGCTCCAAAAAGTCAGTGATAGAATCTATGGACGTGGTGGTGGTGATAATGACGATGATGACGAAGACACTGTTGAACCGGTAAAACGTGGTCATATGTTGGCAGTGATTTTGTCCCCTACTAGAGAATTAGCAGCTCAGATCCAAACAGTTATTGATGGGGTTATTGCATACCTCCCTGAATATCTCAAACAGATCAAGACTCAGTTATTAGTTGGTGGATCACTGACTGTTAGAGACGATTTGGATTCGTTCCTTAAAGAGCAACCGCAGATCTTGGTGGGTACCCCAGGGAGAATGTTGGATTTTCTCAAATCAAACTATGTCAAGACACAACTGGTGGAAATTGCCATTTTGGACGAAGCAGATAAATTGCTTAGCATGTCATTTGAGACTGATGTGATTGATATACTCAAAAGATTACCTAAACAACGTCGTACTGGGTTATTCTCAGCCACGATTTCCTCAGCTGGTGATACGATTTTTCGAACAGGTATGAACAATCCAGTCAAAGTGGTTGTCAAATCCAAGAACATCACCGGTGAGCAATCGTCTGCACCAGCATCATTACAATTAGCATACATGATGGTGAACCCGGAACGGAAATTAACCACATTAATCACATTGCTTTCCAATTATCAGTTCAAGAAAGCGATAGTGTACTTCCCCACATGCACATCTGTAAAGCACTTTTATTCCATGCTTAACTACCTCAACTGTGATCAACTAAAGTTCCACTCCCTTCACGGTCAATTATCCACCAAATCTCGACTCAAAACATTATCCAAATTCACCGAGGGTGACACAAACGTAGCCAAACACATCCTAATGACCACGGATGTCGCTGCGCGTGGGATCGATATTCCTGACGTTGACCTCGTGATCCAGCTTGATCCACCTACTGACCCAAGCATGTTTCTTCACCGATGTGGACGTACCGGCCGGGCCAATAAAGTCGGGCGAGCGATCGTGATGCTTAATAACGATAGTAATGAAGAGGATTATATTGGGTTCATGGAAGTCAAGGGTGTTACTCTTTTGCAGATGCCCGTTCCGGAAACTCCCAACCATGCTCTGATTCAAAACAAGATACGAAAGTACATGCTTGAAGACAGGGCTAGACACGAGTTAGGAGTCAAGTCGTACGTCGGGTTTGTCAGATATTATTCCAAGCATGTGGCCAGTTCGATTTTCAGAATGGCGGTTTTGGATTATCTAGGTGTGGCTAAGTTGTATGGATTGTTACGATTGCCTAAAATGCCGGAAAGTAGGTATGTGACTAACATGCCCGAAGATGGATGGTTAGGTGAACCTATAAATATGGATACATATGCATATGCCGATCAATTAGCTGAAAAATCAAGGTTGTCTACCTTGGAAGCCGACAAAGAAAAGAAAATTCAAGATGCTAAAAGAAGAAAAGAGTTGAAGGTCAAGAATGAAGCATGGTCTTCCAAGATGGAAACCAAAGAATCAAGACAAGAACGTAGAGAAAAAGTCAAGCGTAAGCGAGAATTGATTGAAAAGCAACTTATGGAAGAGGAATCAGGCGACGAAAAGGAAGCAGTAGAAGATTGGAAAGATATTGTCCGCAAGAATAAAAAGAGCAAGCTGGGGAATGGCATAATGCAAGGTTCATTTGATGATTTATAGCTATATATATACATAGTAAAAATTTCTTTCTTTTCTTTCATTACAATGGATCAATCTTAAACCTTTCACTGGTAGATTTGACTCCATCAAAAATAAATAAGTTATCCAAGGGGATATACTGAGACGTGGTCAATTTCAACACTTCTTGACTAGCAATTCCACCCATTAAGCTACATAAATTATGGTAATTCCGAGTGTTATGCAGTAAAATCTCCTGAAACACGTTTGCAATCGACTGAGGTAATGGATTGGCTTGGCCGAACATCTTGGTGAAAAGATGAATAAATTGGGGAAGATCATCAATCTTGGGGAATCTTTTGTATTGGTCAACAAAATGATTGAAGGTCAAGACACCGAAATAAACAGCAAGGGAGCTGGTACTATCGCCATCACGGAATAGCTCTTCAACTAACTTATCATTGCTTAAGTATTTCGATCCAATGGTGACATATAATAATTGAACATTCTTACAAAAAGTAGCAATGGATTCTCGGGAAATTTCTTCCCTGGGTCTTCGCAAAGTATCCAAAATCGAGTAAACTTCATTAGCAAATAATTCTTGATCTTGTAAAGCCTTTTTATGGTATATTTTTTGCAATTTAATATAATTATTGGTATCCAGGGCCATATCTGGTAACTTTCCCGGTAGTGGTAATTGGCCATTATTATGGGAAACAAATTTGTGTAAAGCAGCAACATAAACCCAGAATATAGATGTTGTTGGTGTTAGTTTACGTTCTTGCGAAGTGAATAATAATGATTTAATTGAATCAGGGATTTCCGTTTTCTGGAATGCCCGATGGTAGGAATTGTAAGCTTCAATGAAATTGGTTTCCAATTGAATATTTCTCAGCATTGACTGAATGAGATTTCTAAACATGGTTTTCTCTTGATATGTAATTGGTGGTTGGCCATTATGCTTTATTTTCCATTGTTTTAAAGCTTTGATGAATATAACAATGTAAGGAACATGGGCATGTTCGGTGTCATCCAATTTATCTAGATCAAACGAATCAGAAAATTCTTGTAACTCCGGCCAAGGTTTATCGATTCGTAAATCATATAATTTTGACGGATCATGGGTCTCAATAACATTTATTTCTGTGGCTATCAAGTTTAGGGATCCGTAAAACCCCACGGAGTTGACGATTAAAAGTGGAATTTCACGCGACCAAAGGATGTCAATAAGTCGTTTCAAATGAGGGATATAATCGCTCACAATCACGACGCTGAATTGACCCCAAAAAGTGTCGGGTTCAGCAAAAATTTGTTCAATTGACTTTATAATAGACGAGCCCTGAGCTTCTTGGTTCAACTCGCTTAAGTTGTGTTGGATTGCACTAGCTATGGGGGTACCTAAATCCTCTCGTTTCAAGAAGAAGTTACTCAGTAAATCCACTTGAGTAACTAATCTATTGTCAATAATGGTAAACTTACCTATTCCGGGTAGAATTAAGTTTTTTAATATTTCCGAACCGGTTGGGGTAGCATTCAAGAGGCAAATGTGGGAGTGCTCTAATCTTGACTGTCCAGCAGTTGCCCATAACCGTAGCTGTCTGTCGTATCTAGTCTCTTTATCGATAACGACCATCTTAGTAAAACAAATAAAGATTGATGGATGTAGAAAAAGAAGAATGTTGTTGATTTAAAATATGGCAGCCAAAATTTCTTGAGTAATCAAACGATTAATTTATATTTTTTTTTCTTTTGGGCTGGAGGTTAGGCTCTTTTTATTTTAGGCGAATTTAACTTAAATTTCATATTTTAAGCAGTCGAGCTCCATGACCAGAAAGCTTTCTTCAGCCGCCCCTTTTTTTTTTATTATTTTTGAAAAATATGTTTCTATTAGTAATTATAAATAAAGGAGGAGAAAGTCTCGGTTAATGGAGAATGGGGTGGAATAATCTAAAAGGTTTGTGTGTCCAACCAACATTTGGTGACACCCTGGTTTACATGACGATTTTGGTACGAGATAAGGAAAAAACGCACCTAGGCACGCGTCACAAGAAATTAAGCGTTAATTCTTGTCCGTAAGATGCGCTTATATGACAGGTATCTGAAAAATCATATAGTTTTTATTTCCGGATGGAGCGAACCATAATCCTATTTAAGATTCCCGCTTTACATGGGAGGTTTGTGCGAAGGGTTACATTTTCTGTTCATACGTATAGTCAAACCAGCAATGATACGGGCTAAAAAAAACCAGTGGCATTGTCAAATGGTTATGATTTTTAATTTCTTTGTTTACCCCTGTTCTATTTCAGGGGTTAGCTATTGTCATAGCCAAGTTGTTTCTTCCAGAATAGTTATCGCCTCGCGTAAACATTAGACGTGTCTGTTTTCGGCTAAATTTGTTCCACAAATGCGAAAATATTTGCAACCGAATTGCTCATTGCATTGACGCGAATCCAACAAGACGTGGATGGTACAAACTGCGTGTAATGTTTAAAAAACAGTTACATCTAGCTAAATCTCTGTTTTCAGTTTTATATATTTTCAGGTTTTTGCTATAAGGTTAGACTGAAATAAAGTAAACTTTTAGCTTACGAGGAACTAGTTCGGAATAAACGAGGTAAAGCACCGCTTGATAAATGCAGGCAGAAAACCGCCTTATCCTTAAGCTATGAACAGACTCGAAAGTGTGAAAGCACGGGAGCTCGCCTAACCCTCTTATGTTATTGGTTCCAGATCAGATTTGACTTTAATCTGATTTCAGACTATCACAGTTGGTCTGTTGAAGACAGCAACATTACAAATTTATATACCAGTAGGATATTTAAAGATGGCCAACCATTGCCTTGACCAAAAAAAACAATCGCAGTACAACTTTATCGGAATAAAAACAATAAAACTGCTACATCACAATGAAAACCGTGTTAGGGGGTGAAAAAAAAATTCAGGTAACATAGAATCACGTGACGCATATGCCTAATGTGGAAAGTTACATACAACGTGCATGAGAGTCTAGACGAGAAAACAGGCCAACGCATACTCAAATTAGTTTTGCTATCATAGAAAACACAAAACGGTTTTCTGCAAAACTATTATAGTTTAATAACCAAAATTAGTGTAGTGACCAATGCAGACTGCTAAGTTTCTTATTTATACAAGAGAGCCCGCACAGAAAGCAATAACAATGAATTGGTAGAAATTGCAATTGCTGCAATTGACCCTGGCCAAGCTATCGAAATAGAACTTTGAAAAGCAAGTCCCGCAATTGGATAAGTTTTATACAATGGAATCTCATTATATACAGAGACAACAACAGAGAAGATCCATTCAACCTTTCCAGCTTTTCGGAAGAGAGAGAGAGAGAGTACTTAAAATTTTTTTTTCTTTTTTTTCTTTTTTTTTTATTATTAATATTTTTCTAGCGTTTTACGATGACCCGTAGGATGTAATTGCCAGTACAGTAGAGACGGATTGTGTGCATGATTCACTTAGCTCATGCTTGTAACTAGATTCAGAGCATCAGGAATATCTGCCGCACAGCATTTGAATTAATTGATGTTTTACTAGCTGAAAATTATTATGATGGCTATTGTTTTTGTATTACAAACCAGTGGCCACCACCAATGAGTGAAAAATTTTTTTATTTTATTTTTTTGCTATTATTAAATTTTTTTTTTTTTTTTTTGAGATGAAATCACCACCTCTTCCCTCCATTTGCAAAAATTTTCACCGTTATATATTTAATTTGATTCCCAGTCTTTTTTTTTTTTTACACACATTCTTTTCTTTCTTCTTTTTCCTTTTCTCTCCTTGTCAGAAACGAACATTGGAAAATGTCTGCTGCTAGTGAATCTAAATACTCTACAGAAGTGCTTTCCGAGTTATTAAGCAAATTGCAAATTGCTGAAAACAAGGATGAAGCCGCTTCCAACATTTCCTCCTTCTTAAACTCTTCAATTGTTGAACACGATGTTCCAGTTGAATTCTTTGAAGACTTGAAGAAGCAAGTTAATGCTAAGGATGCCAAGGTTGCCATTGCTGCTTTAGATGCTTACACTCACATTGCTTCTTCTAACGCTTTGGCTCCATCTGTCGAACCATACGTCGTTGAATTAGTTTCTGATGTTGCCACCAGAGCCGGTGACAAGAACAAGGACCTCCAAACTGCTGCTTCTGCTGCTTTATTGGCCATTGCTTCTGCCATCACCCCAACCGCTGTCAAGGCTCTCTTGCCAAAGTTGGTTGAAAACTTGTCCACCACCAACAAGTGGACCGAAAAGGTTGCTATCTTGAAGGCCGTTTCCCAATTGGTTGACACCGCCAAGGACCAAATCGCCTTGAGAATGCCTGAATTGATTCCAGTTTTGTCTGAATCTATGTGGGACACCAAGAGAGAAGTCAAGGAAGCTGCCACCGCCACCATGACCAAGTCTACCGAAACCATCGACAACAAGGATATTGAAAAGTTTATTCCAAAGTTGATTGAATGTATTGCCAAGCCAACTGAAGTTCCAGAAACCGTCCACTTATTGGGTGCCACCACCTTCGTTTCTGAAGTTACCATGGCTACTTTGTCCATCATGGCTCCATTGTTATCTAGAGGTTTAGCTGAACGTGATACCGCTATCAAGCGTAAGGCTGCTGTTATTGTTGATAACATGTGTAAGTTGGTCGATGATCCACAAGTTGTTGCTCCATTCTTGAATACTTTGTTGCCAGCTTTAAAGGGTAACTTTGCTACCATGGCTGACCCAGAAGCCAGAGATGTTACTCAAAGAGCCTTGAACACTTTAAGAAGAGTTGGTGCTGTCGGTGAAGGTGACGCTATCCCAGAAGTTTCTACTGCTGGTGATATCGCTGTTACCTTGAATGAATTCACCCAATTGGTTGCTGACAAGAACATTGCTGCCAGATTCAATGTCGCTCAAAACTATATTGCTGCTATTGCCGGTGATTTGATTGACGAAAGAGAAATCCAACCAGAAGCTTGGTTACACAACATCTTGCCATTTGCCACCATCTTCTTGCACGAACAAGAAGCCAAGGAAATCATTGAAGAATTCAGAAAGAGAGCCCTTGACAACATTCCTCAACCACCATCTTTCGAAGATGAAGAAGATGAAGGTGAAGACTTATGTAACTGTGAATTCTCTTTAGCTTATGGTGCCAAGATCTTGTTGAACAAGACTCAATTCAGATTAAAGAGAAACAGAAGATATGGTTTATGTGGTCCAAACGGTGCTGGTAAGTCTACTTTGATGAGAGCTATTGCTAACGGTCAAGTTGAAGGTTTCCCAACCCAAGAAGAATGTAAGACTGTTTACGTTGAACACGATATCGATGCCACCCAAGCTGACACTCCAGTTGTTGATTTCGTCATTGAAGATGGTGAAGTTGGTTTAACCAAGGAAGCTGTCCACGCTAAGTTGACCGAATTCGGTTTCTCTGAAGATATGATCAAGATGCCAATTCAATCCCTTTCTGGTGGTTGGAAGATGAAGTTGGCTTTAGCTAGAGCCGTCTTGAAGAATGCCGATATCTTGTTGTTGGATGAACCAACTAACCATTTGGATACCGTCAATGTTGCTTGGTTAGTCAACTACTTGACCACTTGTGGTATTACTTCTATTATCGTTTCCCACGATTCCGGTTTCTTGGACAATGTTACCCAATACATTATCCACTACGAAGGTTTCAAGTTGAGAAAGTACAAGGGTAACTTATCTGAATTCGTCAAGAAGTGTCCATCTGCTCAATCTTACTACGAATTAGGTGCCTCTGACTTGGAATTCAAGTTCCCAGAACCAGGTTTCTTGGAAGGTGTTAAGACCAAGCAAAAGGCTATTGTCAAGGTTTCCAACATGTCTTTCCAATACCCAGGTACTTCTAAGCCACAAATTCAAGACATTAACTTCCAATGTTCCTTGTCTTCCAGAATTGCTGTTATTGGTCCAAATGGTGCTGGTAAGTCCACTTTGATTAACGTTTTGACCGGTGAATTGTTACCAACCACTGGTGAAGTTTACGTTCACGAAAACTGTCGTATTGCTTACATTAAGCAACATGCTTTTGCCCATATTGATTCCCACTTGGACAAGACTCCTTCTGAATATATTCAATGGAGATTCCAAACCGGTGAAGATAGAGAAACCATGGACAGAGCTTCTAGACAAATTTCTGAATCCGATGAACAAAACATGAACAAGATCTTCAAGGTTGAAGGTACCCAAAGAAGAATCCAAGGTATTCATGCTAGAAGAAAGTTCAAGAACTCTTATGAATATGAAATTTCTTGGATGTTGGGTGACAATGTTGGTATGAAGAACGAAAGATGGGTTCCAATGATGTCTGTTGACAACACCTGGTTGCCAAGAGGTGAATTGATGGAAACCCACGCCAAGTTGGTTGCTGAAGTTGATATGAAGGAAGCTTTAGCTTCTGGTCAATTCAGAGCTTTAACCAGAAAGGAAATTGAAGAACACTGTGCCATGTTGGGTTTGGATGCTGAATTAGTTTCCCACTCTAGAATCAGAGGTTTATCTGGTGGTCAAAAGGTTAAGTTAGTCTTGGCTGCTTGTACCTGGCAAAGACCTCACTTGATTGTCTTGGATGAACCAACCAACTATTTGGATCGTGACTCCTTAGGTGCTTTATCCAAGGCTTTGAAGGCTTTCGAAGGTGGTGTTGTCTTGATTTCCCACTCTGCTGAATTCACCAAGGACTTGACTGAAGAAGTCTGGGCTGTCTTAGACGGTAGAATGACCCCATCCGGTCACAACTGGGTCCAAGGTCAAGGTTCTGGTCCAAGAATCGAAAAGAAGGAAGATGAAGAAGACAAGTTCGATGCTATGGGTAACAAGATTGCCGGTGGTAAGAAGAAGACTAAGTTATCTTCTGCTGAATTGAGAAAGAAGAAGAAGGAAAGAATGAAGAAGAAGAAGGAATTAGGTGATGCTTATGTTTCCGAAGATGACGAAGACTTCTAAGCGAACGGTTCATTTGTATTAATGCTAGCATAATTTGTATATTTTAAATAGTGTTTAAAATCTTATTGTTTTCTTTATAAATTACAGTTGTAGTTCAAATAAAAAAAAAAAATTAAAATTTCCAGTTATTATAATTACAAAAATTTTCTCAGCGGTTATTTGCAGCCAACCACAATACCCCAAAAAAAAGCCATGATTATTCTCCTATTGATACTTTCATTAGTATTATGTTCCAATAATTACAGTTATTCCTACAATACCAGATCTGTTGTTTTGGATAATTCTCGACTACTATACAAAAATTTCAGTCAATCTGTACAAACATGGAATGTTTCATATGCTCCTTATACCATTCTATGTCCCTCAACTTCCCTCATACGACCAGCTGACGATGTAAGTAAACTAATAGATCTATTAATACAAACATTTACTAACTTGTCAATTAGACACTTTGTGAACAGGAACGAACATATATGGAAAATCGCAATATCCAAACTGAAGTCCACCTCAAAAACCTATTAATCCACAACAAAATACCCCAATTTGACGTTGAAGAGTTCTTTACTGGTAAAGACATTCCAATCACTATAACCATAGCTATTTCTGGAGGTGGGTACCGGTCTATGTTAACTGGTGCAGGTGTTCTTGCTGCCTTGGATGAACGAAGCAAGGAGAAATGTCAGATAAGTGGATTACTTCAAGCAACTAGTTACATTGGCGGGATTTCTGGAGGATCTTGGCTTGTTATGAGCAACTTCATCAACGATTTCAAGGTTATTGAGGAAATTAGGAAAGAAGGATGGAACTTACAAGAACTGCTATTATCCGGCGTGCCTAATTTTGAACCTAGTGGAATACAAAGACATATTGAAGAAAAGGCAAGGGAGAGGAATTCCATAAACAAAGAACTTGCAAAACAACAACCTGGAATTATAGGTACCTTTCTTAAGTTCTTTAATTTCAGATCAAATCTGACAATACCTGTTCTGGAGAAAGTCCAAGAAAATTCCATATTGTATACTTGGATAAAGGGATTATTTACTAGAAGAACTACACCCTCCATAGTGAATACCCCTACAACTAACCCATCACTTGTGAATCATACAAATGAAATGGCATTGAAGGAATATCTCAAATTTTACAAAGAGCTACTCATTGAAGTCAAGGATAAGAAACGAGCAGGGTTTCATACCAGTTTAACTGATTATTGGGGACGTGCGTTGGCACGCAAGATATTTACAACTGCAGCCCGAACACCAGGCGTGACAATGACAGCAGCCACCAACATCCTTTCATCATTTCAGAATTATGAACAACCATTCCCTATTATTGGAACCGTGGAGAAGGATCCCACTGGTGGCGATTCCACGAGTGTTGACTCTCATTCATTTGAATTTACTCCTTTTGAGTTTGGAAGCTGGGATCTGTACTTGAACGCATTTATACCCATGAAATACCTTGGAACTACGTTGAAATCGGGAATCTCTACCCAACCGTCCCCGATTGAAAACCAATCATACTGCATTTCCGGATTCGACAATGTTGGATTCATCACCGCAACCTCCTCGAGTTTATTCAACCATATATTTGTCTATGTTTATCAAATGCTCAATAACTTCCAAATAGAAGCCACCATTGCTCTTGAAAATATTTTGAAAACATTTGGGTTGAGCTCACAATGGAAATCACTAAGAAGTCCCCAGTTACATCCTGATTATGCCCTATATTCTCCTAACCCTTTCTATTTATATGGCCCAAATACGACCATATCCGACAGTCCTGATTTATATTTGGTCGATGGGGGTGATGATGGACAGAATATCCCCTTTCAGCCATTCCTTCGCCCTGCCAGGAAAGTGGATATAATACTAACTTATGATATGAGTTGTGAATTACACAATTTCCCCAATGGAACCGTGTTGACCAACACCGCCAACCGGTTCTTGCACGGTAAGTATCAGTTACCGAGATTTACACTACAACAAAATGGAAATCTGGTTGCAAAGTCAATATTTCCTAAAGTGCCCACGCCACAAGAAATCCTTAGATATGGACTAAGCACACGACCCGTGTTCTTGGGCTGTGACTTGATGCGAGATTATGAGACTGTGCCCACAACATCTAATAATGTCTCCAATATTACTACGAAAGAGATACTTTTAGACTACTTCCCACCGGTGATTGTTTACACGGCCAATTCCAACTATTCTTATTTCGGGGCCAACAGTTCAACCTTCCAATTAAGTTATACTGACTATGAGGTTGATTCCATGATCAATAATGGGTTTAATATGGCAAGTTATTTAAACTCATCACTTTACCCTGTGTGTCTTAATTGTATTATACTAAAGAGGCAGTTTGACAGAAGGCAATACAACAAGGAAAATACGTACATTCCCAAGACTTGCTTGGGTTGTTATGAGGCATTTTGTTGGGATCGGGCGCGATTCGTCTGACGTGTACTCCCAGGGGGGAGCAGTCACCATAACAAACACGCAGAAAGGCAACTAACGCACAAACAAAAAAAAAAAAAGAAAACCGAACCGAAGAATCACTCTTTATTACTCAGCATATTAATAAGATCATATAAAGTTATCATGGCCGGAGTAAGACAGATTAAGATTATTGGACTTACATTGTTAGTCATTTGTCTTGTGTTTATCCTTCATCGTACAGGTTCGAATGCTGCTTCGTTGGTGCATGCCCAGGCTAGCGACCAACTCCCTCATAAACAAGCCACTAATGCTGGTGGATCAGCTCCACCTTCCAAACCGAATAATCTCGTTGAAGATTTTGCCGGTTCCAATAATGATGACAAGGTGGATGAAGCTATCAACCGTGAAATCAGCAAAGACAGAGAAAATGACCTACCAGCCAAACCTCAAAATGGTGGGCCTTCAAGTAATGAACAACTGGAAGTATCGGAAGAGTTTGATCCTGCTGCCGAGTTGATCAAAATTAGAGCATTATCACCCATGACTATATTTTCCAAGTCATATTGTCCATTCTCCAAAGCCCTTAAGGCGTTGATGTCAACAACGTATACCATTACACCCGAACCTAATATTGTGGAATTAGATAAACATGAACATGGAGCTCAATTACAGGATTATTTGGCGGAGAAATCAGGAAGAAGAACCGTGCCTAATGTCTTGGTTGGGACTTCATTTGAAAGCAGAGGTGGAAATGACGATTTCCAAGCGTTCCACCAAGAAGGAGAGTTGATTAAAAAATTGAAAGAATGGGGTGCTGGTAGATTAGAAGTAATAAAGAATGATACCCCTTCAAACGCTTAGGTTTGCACGTTTGAAGTTTTGCACATTTGAAGTTTTAAGCACGTTTAAACTAATGTATAGTTGAAAAAATACACATTTAAAGAACTAATGTAACATTAATAATAATACTAAAAACCCTAAAAATTATAAACACTATGTTATGTATATATATACTCAGTTTGATTTTGGGGGTGATTTAGAACTTGGAGAACTTCTTGGACTTAGAAGAAGTAGCAGCAACCTTCAAGACATTGAATCTAACAGTCTTGGAGAGAGGTCTACATTGACCAACAGTGACGACATCACCTTCGGAAACACGGAAAGCTGGAGAAAGATGGGCAGCAACGTTCTTGTGTCTCTTTTCGTATCTGTTATATTTTGGAACGTAATGCAAGTAATCTCTTCTGATGATGATGGTTCTGTGCATTTTGGTGGAGACAACAGTACCGGTCAAAATCTTACCTCTGATGGAAATGGTACCAACGAAAGGACACTTCTTGTCAATGTAGTGACCTTCAATGGCGGTCTTTGGGGTCTTGAAACCTAAACCAACTTCCTTGTACCATCTCTTGGTCTTTCTGTTGGCCTTAGCCTTTGGGTTGGTGAAGATGTGAGGTTGCTAGAAATAAGTTAGTATTATGTTTTTTTTTTTGATCAACAGACAGATATCGTTGAGAATATAATGAGTTCCAGTGATGTAAATACTTTCAATATATTTCATGTTCATAATAATGTTTCACTTTAACTTCTTGGTGATTATTGGCATGTATGTAAAATTTTTTTTATTCAATGTCGTTGTTGTAAGCTTATCCAGGTCAAGCACAGCTATTCATCTTGTTGGGATATTCTGATCACATCAAATTTTTATATGTCACATCTCATTCATACATGGATCTTTCAACTCTAGTAAATCTCGACTGTTCTTCGGTCATTATCGCATTCTACTATTCCCATGTATCTCCCGGTATTCTGTCTTTCATGTTTATGATATTCTACGAACCTTTTGGAAAGCTCTTTCAGATTGAACGGTTAATTCAGTAGCCATCTTGTGTCTGTTCTGTTTCTTGTCTAATCAAGAAGAAAGACTTAAAAAAGTAGTGAAAAATTTTTTTGTATAGTGAGGAAAAAAAGAGACTACAGTGGGAAACTCGCACAGTTAGCGAGAACAGAACGGTGGATTGGTAGCGCCGATTTTTTTTTATTTGTTAGTGCTACTGTGTGCGCGCAGTAGTAAAGCAGTGATGGTGGTCGAAAAAAAACTTTTTGTGTGACGGGCGTGCGCCACACAAAAAATCAGAATAATGATACTGCATACGGGCTAGGGCTTCAACCCTAAACCACATGACCCAGTTTCATGTTCATATCAGCCACGCTACCAAACACATACCACGGCATTGTTTTTTGGTAGGGGGTTTTTGTGAGATATGCTGGTGGTAGCCGCTTTCAAAAAATAAATAACGTCGTAATTTAAAGTGTTGGCTTTCCCAATTAGGAAGTGTAAGTAGTGAGTAAAACAACAAGGCTTCATCCATTCCACTTTTCCAAATAGATAACAAATACTGCATCATATACATAGTAATTCAACAGCACACTTTCAATACATCACCCACACTCATTCAATAGATTCATTCATATGCGATGAACACCTCAACCACTAATAACAATAGCAACAACACCAACAACAACAATAGTACATCCCGCATATCAACCAATAGATATCTCAACCTACCTAAATTCACAATTCTCCATCCACCCAACCCTCGAATATCATCCAGCAACTCAACAACCTCACCCAATGACCTGCACAATATTACCAACAGAACCATAAGCAGCTCTTCGTCAATAATGAGCACCCCTAGCAATAACATTAAACGAAACCGATGGAAGCAACAACAACAACAACAACAACAGCAGCAGCAGCAACAACAGAAGGAGCAGAAGCAGCAGAACAAACTAGATAAGCAAAAGAAGGGGATACTGGCCAGCAAGACTGGACGGTTGGTCAAGTCCAAGCTTTTGAATTTGCACCAATCGAGTAAACTTGTGTTTGATGACAAATCACTCCCCAAGATTTCCCACAAGAGTAAGACCATTGGGTCTAAACAAGAACCCGGACCGTATGATTATTCTATATTCACTCATTACAGGAATGGCAATGGCGATGTGGCTCCAGCTACGAGAGAGTCCCAAATAAGAGCATGGGAGTCTAGTGAGAGAATAGCTCAGAGTGTGATATTCCCCAGTTCGGACTCTGAGGTGGATGATTTGGAAGAAGAAGAAGAAGAAGAAGAAAATCAAGAAGAAGGTGTCGTTGAATGTCCCATTGTAAGTATTCCTGGATACACTGTTGGTGAAACAAAGATCATTTATCATGCATACACACATCCAAAAGTCGACGAAGAAAGAAGGTTAATGGAACATCGGCATAAAGTTATGAGGAAAATGGATAAAGAAGCCGCATCATCATTTATGGCTACCAATTCATTGTTGACGAAATGGAAACTACAAGTATCACAGAAGAAGGAAATATACAGTCGGATATTTGGCCAAGATAATTTGATGAACGGGGAATACATGACAAATAATGCTACATATTCCAGTGTGGACAATCCGCGTAACTTGCAAAAGACATTGGCTGAGGATAAGCTTGAGATTACGAATTTGCTAGCTGAAGAAAAGGAGCATAATTTGATTCAGCATGAGATACGGCACCAATTTAACATGCATGTATTGAATGATTTTGAATTGAAGAAGAAGCGAAGGAAGAATTCCAATGGGTCTAGTAGTTCTGAGGATCATATTGATTATGACCGATTTCAATTGTTGACCAAGAAGAAGTTGGATAAGATTTATCAAGATAATATTGTGGAGTATGAAGATATAATACAGGAAGAGCTCGATAGAGATGATGATGATGAGGAGGAGGAGGAGGTGATGGAGCAAGAATTGTTGAATTTCACCACTTCGTATCTACGTAAGAGAGTAAAGGAGGTGGAACATAGCTATTTATAGACGTATACTAATACATTATGACTAAAAGTATAGCTGATATAGGTATTTCCCGGTGGCGGGCATCGGGATTTGCGGCTGAGAAATCAAAAAAAAAAAATAGTAAGATCGCAGTCGCATTTTTCAATTAGTAATTTTTTTTTTTAGATTCCCCCGTTTCACACACCTTCGCCCCCACCAAATGTTGTTCCCCCGTTTATCCCAACAGTTTCTAACCACAACAACAACACGTCTCAGCTTTATATCTCGTCAATTGACCTCATCTTCATCTATAATGGCTCCTATCAATCCTATTCGTAATTACGACTTCCTCGTTATTGGAGGTGGCAGTGGTGGTGTCGCCTGCGCCCGTCGTGCTGCCAAATACGGCGCCAAGGTCTTGCTTATTGAAACCAAATACAAGAAATTAGGTGGAACTTGTGTTAATGTCGGTTGTGTCCCTAAGAAGGTCATGTGGTATGCTGCTGACTTGGCTCATAAGAAGCACCACTTGAAGGCTTATGGATTAACTGAAGAAACTCAAGTTACCAACTTTGGTGATTTTGCTTGGGGCGCTATCAAAGAAAAGAGAGATGCCTATGTCACCAGATTGAATGGTATCTATGCCAACAACCTCAATCGTGAAGGCGTTGACTACTTGTATGGCCATGCCAGATTCAACGAACAAGGTAATGTCGAAGTTAAGTTGACGGGTGAACAGGAAATTTCATTTTTGGAAAAGGACAAGGTTTATCAAAAGGGCGATTCGTTTGTCTTTTCCGCTGACAAATACTTGATCACTTCCGGTGGTGCTCCAATTGTCCCTCCTCAAGTCCCAGGTGCTGAATTAGGTATTACCAGTGATGGATTCTTTGATTTGGAAAAGCAACCTAAATCAGTTGCCGTTGTTGGTGCTGGTTACATTGGGGTTGAATTGAGTGGTATTTTCAACAGTTTTGGTTCAGAAACCCATTTCATCATTAGAGGTGACACTGTGTTACGTTCTTTTGACGACATCATTCAAACTACAATCACCGACCATTATGAGCAAAAGTTGGGTATCAACATGCACAAGCAATCCGGGGGTGTTGTCAAGGTTGAAAAAGGTGACAATGGCAAGAAGATTGTTCATTTAGGTAATGGAAAGGTTCTCGAAGTTGATGAATTAGTTTGGACCGTCGGAAGACACTCATTGCTTGATATTGGATTAGAGCATGTTGGCGTTGATGTCAACCACAAGCACCAAATTGTTGTTGACGAGTATCAACAAACATCCAACCCCAAGATCTTCTCATTAGGAGATGTTGTCGGTAACTTTGAATTGACTCCTGTTGCCATTGCTGCTGGTCGTAAATTGTCCAACAGATTATTTGGTGGACCACAATTTGCCAATGAAAAGTTGGAATATGAAAACATTCCATCGGCTATTTTCTCCCATCCTGAAGCTGGGTCAATTGGATTATCTTCAACCCAAGCTATCAACAAGTATGGTTGTGACAATGTCAAGGTTTACAATTCCAAATTCACTGGGATGTATTTTGCTATGATGGATAGCGATGCTGACAAGGCACCAACTGTTTATAGAATTGTCTGTGCTGGCCCAGAAGAGAAGGTTGTGGGACTTCATCTTGTGGGTGATTATTCTGCAGAAATCTTACAAGGTTTCGGGGTTGCTATCAAGATGGGTGCTACCAAGAAGGATTTCGACAACTGTGTTGCTATCCACCCAACTTCTGCCGAAGAATTAGTTACCATGACTTAGACTAAATATAGTTTTTATTAATATACAATTTTAAGAACTGAATATGTAGTTGGGCGGGTAGGATGTGCTCTGTTGTGATCTATTGTGATCTGCTGTGCCCTGCTGTGCTCTACTATGCTCTGTTGTGCTGGGTTGTGCTGGGCTATACTAGTGTTTAGGAACACTAAACACTATCTTATCTTGGGACCTCTAATTGGAGGCTTTGGTTTGTCACCCGGTTTCATAAAGAACATAGGAGCATTCTTTAAGATATCAGGAACACTGATGAACCGAATCATACTTCCACGGACAAACACTTGATTCATATAAGTTGTATCTCCGGTTTTCCCCTTGGTAATAACAACATCGTAAAGGGACAAGTTCATATTGTCTTCGTTTTCTAAAAGCTTTCCGCGATAGGTGTCACCTGTGGTTAGTTCAACCGATATCACATGGCCTTGTGCTTCATTGAGAAGTCGTACTGGTATTCCTGCTACTGACATTATTGTACAAACCTTGAAGGATAGAGTAGTTGTCTTGTGGGAGATGGCTGGGATTTTTTCAAGGTGGAGTGAGCCAACGGCAATGTCGCAAACACTGGCAGGTGGGAAAAAAGAGAAAAAAAATGTCGTCATGTTACTCCAACTATGTGCGCGCGACTTTTCTCTGCGGGCCATCTTGATTTGTACTCGTTGGTTGCAACCCCTCCCTTTGCAATTTCCACATGATACTGCTTGCTTTCTGTCTCTTTCTCTGTATTTGTGTGTATATATGTGTGTATATATACGTGTGCATGTATGTGCGTGTTAGATAAAACATGTGAGAATACTTGTGGTGCTGCCCTTGTGAGGGGAGAGACTTCAAGATGTTCTCAAAGTCCCCACCAACTACATCCGTGAGGATATGATTTTGGATGAGCGTTTGGTTCTGCTCTATTTCTTGCCGACTCTTGCTGCAAGATACATCTTTCTTAACACATTCCATCATGAAACAGACAGCCCTTCTCTATCATGTGCTTGTTTGCCATGGCTGCAAGGTTGCAAAGGTTGCAAATTGCGAACCAGCCTGTTTTCCGATGTTCGGGTTTATCGGAGGTAAAAAAAAAAAAATCAAACCCCAGAACAAAAAACTGGCAACACACAATTACACTAACCAGACCATCATGCCTGAGTCAGCCAAACGACAAAGAAACCGTGTTCCTGTATCGTGTCTCTCGTGTAAGAAACGTAAAGTCAAATGTGATAAGGCAAAACCTGCATGTGGTGGATGTATAAGACAGGGTGTTGGCCATCTATGTCAATACATTGATCCACCATGGTTAGGCAATAACAATGAGAATAAAGGTGAAACCGTCAAAAAGGAAAAGGTGGAAGAGAGCGAAACTTTCAGGTGTATGAAAAATAATCAAGACCGCGTAATCCTCTCCCAGCGCAAAGAAATCGACGATTTAAAGCGGAGGATTGCCGTGTTGGACCAATTGGGTCCACGGGCTCATCTGGACAAGGAAAAAGTTATCACCGTGCTTAAGAAGTTGAAATTAGCCAGTAAGGATAAAGTTGAGATTGATGGGGATTTTGTGATTAAATGTGATAGCAAGGTCGATGATGATACCGTTTACATTTATTCTTGGATTAATTTGATAAAGTTGGACCCGCAGTTGACTACCCTTTGGTACAAGATTACCAATTTGCAAAAGATTTACCACATGTACAAGATGAATATGTTGAAGCGAGATACCAAAGTGCAAGAACACAAAAAAAGGAAAATTAATGAAATTGACTTCACATCGGTGGGAAGACCAAGTGCCCATCGGAACTGTCCCGTTATTGAATGCGATTTCAATTTGATGGATGACAATAAGTTGACTCCAATTTCTCGAACACCCACACCAGTAGACCACCATCAAAGTTTACGAAATAACTTGCTTCTGCTTTGGGATTTGACTTTACGGCTAGTTGACAAGTTGGATTACAAACAACTATGTTTTCTTCTTGAGTATTACTTTGGTCAAGAGGAACCCAGGTTGCTTCTGTTTTATAAACCTGAAATCCAGTCTGTGTTTAAGAAACACGGTGATAATATACTGCTAAACATAGACCAAGAGCTAACCAGCAAAGGAGTTTATTTATGTATGCTATCCATGATTGTACTTGAATCGTTACATGAGTTGCAAACAAGTCAACCACCCCAGTTTGTTAGTTTGTTTGGATCGGTTTATCTTAAATACACTTTACGTTCAACTATAAAGCTGCTTGTCAACGACTTTATAACGCAAGTTCTACCCGCTCAAACGTCATTAAGCGTGCTAGCATTAACCATGACCCACTTGCAATCAGATCCACAATCTAAATTCACAAACATATACCCTATCTTTCTAAAATCAGTGCTACAATCACATTTATGGACGGATCCTGAGTTGATTCACTCTACACGAAAACAACGGAATGTGAAGATCCATGCTTGTCAGTTATGGAGCAACGCAATTCGATTAATTAACAGGCTTGATCTTGGACTTGCCACCTTCAAGTCAAATGATGATTTGATTAAACTCCGCGAAAAGATTGAAGCTAGTGAAAGCAGTAATATCCATGTCAATTACCTAGCAAGTGTCAAACACCCAGGCTTGAGTATTTCTTTACAAGTGCAATATTTAATTGCAAGAGTCAATCGAACAGTGCAACAAGCTATGAATTCTCTGGTCACTACTATGCATGATCTTGAATCGTGTATCAATGCATGCACAGCACTAATGAACGATCCTGGGTTGGTTAAATTGCAAGCAACAGAAAAGACTGAGATTACCAGAGAGTTGCAATACTTGAGATGGTTCCTAGGTTATTTAGTATTGCTCCAGGAAGAAGAATACGATATTAAGACTAATACTTTACTGAAACTATTTGAATATTTGTATCAGTTTGTGAATGATCTAGTGAATGGAACAAGCTATGAAGATGCGGTTGAACTATTGACAAGGTCAATTCAATGTATAGTAGGATTACTAATCCGAGCTAAGGAGAACGATACAGAGATTTCCATTATGGAATATGGGACATTCAAACCTAGTGTGTTCTTATCAGAATATATCATTCCTCGAGTCAATAAACTTATCGATTTTCTAGACAGCAAGCTAGCCCACAAAATGAGATTAACCAAACTAGCCAAATTATGGAAGTTCCATCTTACATTTATTGGTAACAATAGCAAGGCAGTAAATTACGCCAAGATTCATGCCCAAGTGCCTGGATTCCAAGACAAGTGTCCTGTAATACACGAAGAGCAAGAGACTAGTAATATACCTATCAAACAAGAATTTACAAGATGCCCAATTTCCCAAATCACCTCACCTCAAGATTTGGAAATTGAAAAGCCAAGAAAACGGAAATGTCCCTTTGATCATCAAAGTGTCAGGTCCAGTCCTGCACCATTTACCGAGAGTAATTTACGAGGTGACAAGTGTCCATATGTTCCTCCTCCTCCATCTGCATCTACACGTACTACATCTCCTCTAAGACCGATTGCTCCTGCTATTCCCACACAACTACCACAACTATCACCACCACCACCACCACCACCACCCTCTCCTCCTGCACGTACCCCTTCTGCTTCTGCGGCTGGTCGTGCTCCTGCTCCACGTGCAAATCCTCCCGTAATTATTCAACCAGTGGTGCCGGCTGTGCCAGAATCACCGAATGAAGTAATGATTGTAAATAATGAGTTTGAAGACATGTTTGATTTTTCTCAATTTGCTGACTTAGATTTGGATTTTTTGATAAATGAGAATTTTACCGAAGTTATTTAGAAATACTAGTTACATTAGTCAAATAGTCAATAAAAAAGTTGAGGTAAGTCTTCTTTATTACTGTAAGTTTTTCTTGTGATTTTTTTTTGCAGCAACAAGAAGTACACTAGCAATACAAGTTCAACATAGGTACAATAGGTTAAAACAATAAAAGGTCAGTACTTATTACAAATTGCTGAATAGAATTGTGATTAATAGAAACTCCTATACTCAAGATCGAAACAACCTTCCCAGGGGATTTGTTGACCTTGGGATTAGATTGCGAGTTCGGAATTCATTCTTTTGTTCTAGAACCGAGATGTAGAACTTAGAAATGTGACCTAACTTTGTAGTAAAAGATTTTTCAACCTCTTCTCATCCTCTCCAATCATTCAAAACTTGTATCCCCAAGTTCCCTTGTCTACTTAATGCCTACCCCATATTATTTAGTCATTCTGCATTAGTGTACACGCTACCACATGCCAATCATGCGATTTTGCTCCGTGGTAATTCTTTTTTTTTTTTGATAAATTTTCAATATAAACACTATGTAATTTTGACAACCGTGTTGCTTTGCCTTCGATATCACCATGTATGGACTTAGAACTATCAAAAGCTCTTTTCCCAATGCTCTGTTCATATCCAGCAGTTGTCGTGTTGTTCCCAGACTCACTATTCGCAACTTGTCCTCCACCACCATACCCAAACCACGGAGGAATCGGTGGTTACTACCAATAGGATTAGCCCTTGGATCTACCGGAGCAGCCACACTTTACTATACCAATGATCACTTCAAGCATATAGTGCTTACATTCGACAGAGTTGCCGTTGTAACTATTGCCATGGTCCGGTGTTTCCTGTTGTATAAGCTGGTACTTTCCACTGAATTCAGCACTCCAGAAGAACGAGAAGCTGCTTTAAGCAAGACTCATTTGCGTAGTGCTCAGATCACATTACGAGCCTTGGAGAAGAACGGTGGGATCTACATCAAACTAGGACAGCATATAACTGCCTTGACTTATTTATTGCCTCGAGAATGGACCGACACTATGATTCCATTGCAAGATCAATGTCCCAGAAGTGAGTTGGGCGAAATCGACGCCATGTTTAAGAGCGATCTTGGATATTCTATTCTGGACTTGTTTCAAGAGTTTTCCCCTGATCCCGTCGGTGTTGCCAGTTTGGCCCAAGTTCACATTGCCAAATTAAAAGACGGGCTGAGCGTGGCTGTTAAGGTTCAACATCCTCTGCTTAAGGAGTTTGTTCCTATTGATGTATACATGACGAAAATGGTGTTTGATTTAATGTACGTTGTGTTTCCAGAATACCCCTTAACCTGGTTGGGCGACGAAATGCAAAGTTCTATCTTTGTCGAATTAGACTTTGTTAAAGAGGCCGAGAATTCTAAACTGACTGCAGAATATTTCCACGATTTCAAAGGTGTAACTGCATTAAGAATCCCCAAGATTATTGAAGCCCAACCTAGAATTTTGATTATGGAGTATGTCCCCGGGGCAAGATTGGATAATTTGCAATACATGAAGGATAATGGAATAGATACCCTGGAAGTGTCAAGTTGTTTGTCCCACATCTTCAACAATATGATATTCACACCTGGGGTTGGATTGCATTGTGATCCTCATGGTGGTAATCTTGCCATTAGGAAGTTGGAACATAAACAACCAGGAGATAAGCACAACTTTGAAATCATATTGTATGATCATGGATTATACAGAAATATCCCAATAGAGATGAAACGAAACTATGCTCATTTCTGGCTTGCTGTGTTGGACAACGATATACCTAAAATGAAAGAGTATACTACCAAGTTCACTGGTATAGAAGGAGAACAAAAGTTTAGGATTTGGATGAGTGCCATCACCGGTAGAGCACCCGAAGTTGCCTTGAATTACGATATTAAAACCAAGAGGTCAGTGGATGAAATGTCAAGCATCCAATCTCAGTTAAACCTGGATCTGACTATTATTGAAGACTTGATGAGTATTTTGAGTAGTATGCCGAGAATTGTATTACTTATTCTCAAGACTAATGATTTGACTAGAAATTTAGATGAGAGTTTACAAAGTGTGTTAGGTCCAGAAAGAACATTCTTGATTATGGCTAATTATTGTGCTAGATGTGTTTACGAAGAAAAAGTCGAGGAAATCGATAACAAATACAAAGGGGTTAGTTTGAGCAAATGGGTTGAACAATGCAAGAATTGGTGGATGTACCAAAGAAGAGTAAGCATGTTATTCTTGTATGACTTTGCCTTGATGATAAAGAGAGTAGTATCATTGTAAAGCTGTGTGTATGTATATATATTTTAACTGTATAAAGTGCCTATTTATCCTCCTTCATATCATTCCTTATTTTGTCGAGCAAATTGTTGATTCTTGGTCCCATTAAAGGTTGTCCTGTTCGGGTATGTTTCGAGAACCCCGCTTTCTTCATCTCTCTTTCTTTCTTCTTTAATTCCAACTTCTCTCTCTTTTCCTTGACTTGCTGTAATTTTTGCGCTCTTGCTTCTTCTTTTCTTTGCTTAGCAAGTTGAGCACGTTCGGCAAAGTTCACTGGTTTCTTCTTGGGTTCAACTTGTTGTTGTTGTTCTTGTTGGGTTTCTTGCGGATCAGGTCGTCCTTCTTCCTTTAATAACTTAAAATAGTTCTTTCTGATTCTGGCACGATGGACAAGGGCTCGTTTTATATCGGCTGTTTTGGATGCATGTCTATCCGTATATTTCTTTGATGATTTACGATCTGCTGGCATTGGAAGGGATGTTGGGATATAATCAAACGAGGAAGTGATAGGAAGAGCTGGTTGCTTGAGATGAGGAATCAGAAAAATTAATGTCGCAAATAATTCAAGCAAATACGTTTATGCCAGCGCTACCATATATCCACAGCGTTACTAATGTAACGGCTGGATATAACCAGTTCTTCCTATGGGGATATCATGAGTATAAGTCAAGTGCCTGGTAATCTTATGGTGGCAATTGATTATGTGGAACTTATATACATACCCTTACAACCAATCTGCACACAGAATTGTATATGCTTGCTCAGATAGACTGAAACTGACAACAACTTTGAGAAATCCATTCCAATTGGAAGATACTTACCACTCAGCACTTACTACTTGTAATACTGATTTTATATCCAATGTTCACTCTGGCATTTAAAGAGTTAAGAAAGAAAAGTCTGTGGCAACACATTTTTTGTTTACATTGTTTTTTTTTTTTTAAGAGCGGGAGCGTCTCTGTGTTGCAAAACTTCTTATACAAAGTAGACAACCTTAACAAGCAAAATTTCCTCATTAAAAGAACCAATTATGGAGGTTCCTGTTATAAATTCACCCAATGCTGAAATATTACCTGATGTGTCCCAACCTCAATGGATTTATTACATGGAGTTTCTTATTGACTACAGCAATCATTCAATTATGTCTCCAGAAAATGTAACTCAAGATATCAAACAGATAATTGGCCCACAGCGCTCACATTTGATCGAATCTATGTACCAAAAGCTTGTGAGTATGAGTTCTTTTATGATCAATAGACCAGGATTATTTCTGGTAATTCAACCTAGCAACTATTTGATCTGCTTCAACAACACAAATCTAAACTGGAGAAATTATACAGAAGCTGAATACAACCTTGTCCATGGTAAGATGGTTGTTGGAACCGAGTTCGAGATAAATGGTAGAAAGGTATTAATATATCTGGATCCAACATACATTGTGGAAGCTATACCACGAGAAGGTCCCTCCCAACAAACTATTGCGTATTGGGATTTGGAGAATGTGGATAATGTGGTTGAACATTGTTCTCAACTCATTGGATACACTCCAGCTATCCAAACTCAAATATTAAGCTCATGCACAAATACAAGAATGGCTATTGGAACCGGGTTTTATCACTACGTTATGGGAGTATATAGGAATAAGTTTCTGAACCAGAATAAGAATCACCCTGTTTTTGAAAACGAAGCAGGGTTCGGGAATGTTGATCTCACAAACATCAAAGTGCCTTCATATCTAGGAATGTTCTTTAACATATTGGTTGAGTCTCTTCACCTGAACTTATTTCCATCCATGGATGATAGGGTCAGGTCCGAAATAATATATTTGTCAAATTCTCCACCACAATCAGAACAACATTTGAGACAGCTTTTTATGCTTTTATTATCTCAAAATTGTTCGCTTTTTGTGGAGCATCTAGTTCCCTTTTTAATCAACCCAGAAGATCATAATCTTTTAAATGACGCAATTGAAAGGGTAGAAACTCTAATGAAGTTCATAATGATGTTGTTATTCTTAGAAATTGACTCCAACGTGTCAAACATAAAGTTTGAGAACGAGTTATCCGGGTGGAACACCCTTCAGCTAATATACCGTCAAATTAAAACCTCAAGCCTTCCAAACATCCAACAAAATTCACCACCAAATTCAGCAAACCCATTCATGCAATACTCGGTCTCTTTACCGGCTAGATTTTCACATTATGGAAGTAATAGAAACTCGGTAGTACCAATCGCCTCTATGATTAATCAAGAAGAATTGAACCAAGATATGGTCCCCGAAAGTGAAGAACCTGGAACAACATCAGTCGAAGACCAACAAAGGAGTATATTTGTAACTGATGGCGGTATTAATTCTGCATGCAGAGTTGTTTTGGAAAAGTTCTGGAAACTTGAACACGCAAGTGGCATTTTCCATTGCCAATGGTCTAGGTGCGGCTACTTCACCCACTATGAGGGAAATATTCAAGTCCATATAGTATCACACATGAGCCAAAGTTCCCGGGACATGTTGGACCAAGGTATCGACCACCACTTAGATATTAATTCCGGGACCATCACTTGTTTATTTCATGGCTGTGGGGTGACACTAGATAATATGGATGCCGCTAGAAGGCATATTGAAGAACATGGTAGCTTGGTAAAGGATTTGTTCCGTAAATGTGTGAATTGCCACAAGCAGTACAATAAGATCGACCTGCTTCTAGCACATATGATATTTCAGTGTGACGAAAAAAGCAGTCACCAAATAAATTGCTCTTGCACTGAATATTGGCTCGAAATTAATAATTAGCTCCAGTAAAATCTAAGTCATGGCGTTGCTATATATTTTTTTGTTTTGGATGCTATATAATAGTTATGTGCTAAATAATAGGTCTAGTAATAAATGAAGAATCTAATGCATTGTAATTTTTGAACTACTTTTTTCCAGATAAGAATTTCCTTCGGTTTTGACTATTAAGATGTAAAATGTCATGGTTTTCACTAAAATTTTTGAACATTACAGAGAAAGAGAATCAAATAATGGAAATATGAAAGTCATGGCGGCTGCTTCTGTATAATTTTCCAAAATCTTACATATATTGGCCATATTAGCTTCAACAACTAATAGATTGTAAACACTCAGGCCACTAAGTTCCTTTCGGCGTTACCCTACTACTATCACTTCTTGAATGTAATCATAGTTTTGCATATTTATATGTTATTTCTTTTCAATAAATATGATCAATTACTATTGTTGATGTCTTTCGAAGAGTCGTTGAAATTAATTTGTCATTGGCTCTTACATGTTACAAGCAAGTTAACTCACGTTTATGTTCGATGTAATTCTACTTCTATCCAATTCAACATTCTTGGTTGAACCTGATAGATATAACTCGGGTCCTTTGAGAAAGCAAATTTTCCTTAGCTGATAAGAGTTATACAGAATAAATCATTTGGAGTACCAGTTTTCCAGTAATCTCAAACCTAACCCAACACAGCGTGCACATGCACTGATATATTCAAAATGTTTTTCTTAAAAAGAAATATCTAACACGGCTATTCCCTGGACAGATTTATTGATATTGACTCAAATGTAGCCAGATGCATCACATTAGCGAGACTTGGAATTGCTGATTCCAATATACATAGAATAGCATGACATTTACTATAGTAATTCTTGTATAAACATTACCATTGTTTTGTCTTGTGTTTTTAACCCAGATACTAATCGAAATCATCGACTTGGGCAAAGTGCTTGTTCCGGTCGAATTTAAACTTTACAGTAATTAACGGGCATGTAATTCATTCTTTTGAATCTGTACCCCCGTGGGATCAAACATGGTTTAGAATCTATAGGCAACACTATCTGAGCAATTAAGTCATCTTGGTAAAGATCTAATCGTACCATACTGGGGGGAATATAGTCTATTCTCACTTTAGATAGTTGGCAACGGGATAATTTCAATACCTTAAGGTTGAAGTTGTATTTATTATTGAACAAAGGGAACCGCAGGGTTACCTCTTTGATTCGATTATTCAGTAAGCAAAGGTATTCAAGGTTAGGGGGTATAACCCAATTGTCCAAGCTGGTAATTGAGTTATAATCGAGGTCTAAGCGTTTCAAATTAACAAGCTCTTGCCAAGCACCGTATGTTAGTATGTTATGAATTCGATTTAAAGGCAATGACAAATCTTCAAGTGATGATGGAAATTTCAAATATTTTAAACGAGGAAGTCCACAGAAACTCATATGCAATATTTTCAAGTTTCGAGGGAATTCAAATCTGGTATTTTCTTTAACCAAATTCCAATGGGTGTTTGATATGTTCAAATGCTTCAAACTCTGTGGTAGGTTACTTAAATTAGAAAGATCTTTGAGTTTAGTCCCCAGAATAGTCAAGTGAGTCACATTTAAGGGCCACCCAATTGATTCATTCACAAATTGTAACGCTTCATCATTTAGTTTATGAAATTCTAATTCTAGTTTCTGCAAATTGGGTGGCCATCTCTTCCCATAAATCTTATTGAGGGGATTCCTGGATATTTTTAAATTGGTTAGTCCCACTGGCAAATCATCAACCATGAGACATTCCAAACCAGTTGAATGGAGTTCAAGAACAGTCAAATTCTCGGGTAACTTATTTCTTAACTCATTCGAATGTTTGATTTTAGATTTAGTAAAACAAATTCTGCCCACCTCTGCAGGGATATTTACTGTAGAAATCTTAGCCCTTGGTAACTCAAGGTTTTTCAATTTTTGGGGAAATTGTACTCCCAGCCAATCAATGACGTACAGGCTAGAAATCCTAATCAGGCTAAGTCTGGGATGATGAATAAACCTCGAATTGTTAATAAAAAAACGTCGTATCAGCTTCAAGCTTGTTTGTTCAAAAACCAAGTTTGTCAAATTATCAAAGGATAATAAGAAGTTCAAAAAGGCAATATTAATCTCGTAATTTTTTAATATGATACTCATTTCAGAGATTTTACTGATCTTATCATGGTACTTGGTTAAAATCGCTTTAAGATTTTCGTAATCTAAAAAACTAATTTCAAGAACTAAGGTTTTGGGGATAACATCAGGATAAGAATCCATGAAATGTAGTATTTTATCCATCCCAACAAACGTGACCCGAGTTGACTTTTCAAAATGAAATAGAACGTAGCTTCTCAGGAATGGAGTTACAAAATGAATATTACGATAGTAGTTGGCACGAGCAACCAGACGGATATTATTATTGGGGAAATCCGTAACAAAAACATGTTTCTGTTTTTGCGTAAGCAAGTCCAATATAACGTTAATGATATCATTGGGAAACAGTTGGAAGAACGTACTAAGGAAGTTAATTAACCATGTGTCATTGTGGTTCATTGTAGTTAGATCTTTAACTGCTGGTCAAAGGTATTCGAATGGAAGGCAAATGAGTTCTTTAATTAGTTGCATTTGCTGCAAGGGTATGTAAACTAGAAAGTTTCCTTGCGCACGAATATACCATGGATGTGGAAAGTGCAGGTGGAAAGTGCAGGTGGCATTACAAAACCCAGCTTCATTATCTGGAATGCTGCTTGAAACTAGGTTCGAGTTTCCATCAAAGGGTCTAACATCACCTTGATTATATTACACGTTAAACTTGGCTAGGAGGGGTAAAACGCGTGTAGTATATACTGTACTCCTGTCCCAATATTGTTGGTCCTTTCTAGCTGTGTTAGTGTTCACAACGAAAACCGAGCGTATACGATACCTCTAGCCTCCTTACAGTGACACGACATGTAATTACGATGCACCCTGGCTTATGAACGTGAGCAACACCAGCTGTGGCTACCAAACGCTTATCAATCGTAAATTTTTGTTCTTCATTCAGATCCGAAAAAATCGGCAACCTTAATCTTACAACATACACGTATGTCCTCCCTCCCTCTCCCAGTAACCAGCCAATGAATACATAACCATGTCAGCAACAGTCGCACATAGCATACCACCCACCCAGAGCGACTCTAAATCAGGCTACCTTTCCGTCCCTCAAAATGCAGCCCTACATAATGGCGACACCGGTGATCTCACACATGAAGAATTTGAACTTCAAACAGTAGACTCGCTAGATTTTGAAGTTGAAGGTGAAGGTTCTTTAGAACAGCCCGAGGAAACAGGACGATCAAATATGAAGATGGCTTTTATGAATATGGCAAATTCCATCTTGGGTGCCGGGATCATCGGCCAACCATTTGCATTCAAAAACAGTGGATTAGTTGGTGGGATTGTCGTTATGATATTACTAACATTGTTGATTGACTGGACATTGCGTTTAATTGTCAAGAATTCAATCTTATCACAAACAAAATCTTACCAGGACTCGGTAAATTACTGTTTTGGACTAGCGGGGAAAATTTTGTTACTAGTGTCAATTTGTTCCTTTGCCTATGGTGGGTGTATGGCATTTTGTGTTATTATTGGTGATACTATCCCTCATGTGTTGAAAGCATTCATACCGAAACTGATCACTGGCCCTGGATCCCCCATTGCCTGGTTATTTTATAGAAACACCATCATTATCTTGTTCACGGCATGCATCTCCTATCCACTTTCCCTCAACAGAGACATTTCGAAGCTTGCCAAGGCTTCTGGGTTTGCCTTGGTAGGGATGTTAATCATCGTGATATTAACCATTGCCCGGGCTCCATTTGTATCCCTGGAGCTTAGAGCCAAGTTAACCTTGCCGGAATGGACCGTCAATTACAATATCTTCCAAGGGGTTTCCGTGATTCTGTTTGCCCTTGTGTGTCACCACAATACCATGTTCATTTACAACTCAATGAAGAATGCGACACTCCCAAAATTCGCCAAACTCACCCATATATCGTGCATAGTGTCTATGATTTTCTGTATGATTATGGGAATCAACGGGTTGCTCAATTTCGGAGACAAGACCAAGGGTAATCTCCTAAACAACTTCAGATCGGATGACAATTGGATCAACATTGCCCGGTTCTGTTTTGGACTAAACATGTTGACCACCTTCCCACTCGAAATCTTTGTCGTGCGTGATGTCCTTAAGGAAATCATCCTTGCCAAGCATGCAAGCCAAGGAAGTATAGCAGAGTTGGAATTATCATCAAGACAGCATTTCTTCATCACCACCTTTCTTGTATTTTCGTCAATGTCAGTATCATTATTCACGTGTAATTTAGGTATGATTTTAGAATTAATAGGAGCCACCCTGGCGTCTCTAATGGCATTCATTATCCCACCATTGTGTTACTTCAAGTTAAGTTGGCAACAACAGGATTTTGTTAATTGTTCACCAAAGGATAAAAGGAGGTTTATTATTTATAAGGCATTGCCTAGTGTTGGTTGTGTCGTGTTTGGAGTGTTGGTTATGTTTATTAGTAGTTTTATGACTATAAGTCAGGCGGTAAGACATAAAGGTGAAGAAGGTCATTGTGTCATTGATTAAGAACACTGGGCATGAGAAAAGCGTTGAGAAGATGTCCAGTATACAGAACCCATCTTATAAATAAACAAACTAGATATTAGGATCATTCATGTACTTTTTACTTTTTTATAGATGTATTAACTGTTATATAATCTATTATACAGTCTACTCATCTTCGTCATCGCTTACAACAATACGTTTTCTCTTGACATGAGCAATCTCTTCATCATCATCATCCGCAAGTCTCTTAGCAGGGGCAACCTCCTGCCTCTCCTCCTCCTCCTCCTCGTCAGCCAGCCTCTTGGAAGAATCTGTAGATGATTGAGGAGCATCTGACATAATATCATCGTCATCATCATCATCGTCATTGACAAACAATTCACTAGTGTCGACTCTTCGTTCAGGCAAAACACCACCATTCTTTTCAATTTCCGCCCATCGCAATTTAAACTCGGCCAACTGTCTACCATCAACGATACCACCACTTTCACCAAGCAACGTTCTTAATCTTTCTTCACGAGCAAAAAACTCGGCATCCTTTTCATCATCGGATTCATCATCAGAGTCATGCACAAATTCAGCTGAGTTGAAAGTACGCGTGACAGGAGGGAGTCGTTGTCGTTCACCAGACGTACGATGATGTTCATGGACACGCTGTGGTCTTTTCTTCCTGGCGTGGCCTTTACTTCTTTGAGAAAGAGATTGTTCGAGTTCATCCAATGCGTCTAGTTCATGGATGTTCATTCTTTCTCCTGAACCCGGCGCTGTCTCAAACGCAATGTCATCACCTTCACCATAATCTTCCTCTTCATCGTCTTCCCTTGCTCGCAAGAAGAAGCTAGGTTCTTTACCATCGTCGAATTCTCCATGTTGATCCTTCCACTTCTTGATCAAATCAATAAACTCAGTAAGTGTGGCGGTTTCCACCGAGGTTGGCAACTCAGGATTCTCATCCATAGTAAACGGTAAATCAAACCCAATCAACTTTAAAAGAAGACGCAAGTTCCCATTATTAATAAACAATCGCCTGTGAACTCCTGGGTTCAACTCGGCAATCGAGCTATCATCAAGGATCCGTTCACTCAAGATCCGTTCTAGTTCAGATATTATCCACACAAGCAATGCCAACTTATCCTCCCTCTTCAAGGCCGATACCAAGATCTTTACTTGTTCATCGCGGTTAAAATCCCGAACAAACTCAAGCTGCTTGGCCAATCTCGGACCGCGCGTGTTTGGTTCCGGCTTGGTATATAACTCACCCGTGGCCAAGTATATCTTGCAACTCAAATCTTCCATACGCGGGAACAACAATTCAATAGGCATGGGGAATCGCTCAAGCGCAATCTTGAACTTCTTCATAAAGTAATAGATGAATTCGTCGACTCTGGCTCGCGACAGCCCGCGCAAATCATGATGCAATCTTTCGAGCAACTGCATAAAATCAAGTCTATACAACCCTGTGAAATCCTTACGCACGACAAACAATCTATGAAAGTACTTGAAACAGATTTTTATTTGCGACGCATCGAGATCATCGTACCGTGACAAATAGGCAATGTAGGCGTTCACGATTGAAGTATGGAAGAATCTTGCTTCTGTGAGCTTGAAATCAAGTTTACGTTCCTTGGTGATTTCCTTAGCAGTAGCAGCATCCTGCTCGTCATCAGAAGCATCAATAACATCTTGAAGTGCTTCGGGATGTCTCTCAGTATTCCGCTTGGACTTGCTCTTCTTTCGCCTTGATTGGATATAAAGTTCAACATCTTCATTGGCAAAGGTTTCAAAGGATTCAAGCAAGGTGTTGACCACAGAAACAACTACTCCAAGATATGCTGGTGAATGTTTTGCTGCCGTTTGTGGGATTTGGGCAATAATGTTTACAAAATCCAGAAAACTAAACAACTTTCTAATGATCCCCTCGGCTAAATCTCGATCAGTTTCATCGGCATCTTGTTTCCCAAATAATGAGTTGGATATCTGGATTAACTCCCTGAAACAAAGCATGGCTACATGAAGTGAATTCCAGGATTTACTGCCGAAACTATCGCGGAAGTACGACGTTAATAAGATGAAATTAACACTGGAAAGTGCTGCTCCCACACTTCCATAATCCTGAGCTTGTTGTAGTTTAATAGATTGTTTTTCATATGAAAGAAACCAGGAAATCGTAAAGAAATAACTTGCCTTGGTGTACTCGTCAACCACAGTCATATCACTAATTGTAGTAAGTCTTGAACTCATGGTTTCAATTAAATTGTTAAAACAGCCACCAGAAAGAAACAGCTTGACAAATTCATGTAGTATATTTCTACCAGTTGTGGTCAAATAGACAGGGTATCTGCTAATAACATACTCATCAGAGTCATACTTGAAAAGAGTTCTATTTTTCCAGGTCTTGGACTTGTCAAGTTTGGTTAATGTCAGGGATGTGGTGAAAAGTGCTTCTTGACCAGAAACAACATATGGATTTGAATCGGGAGCTTTTATGGAAAGCAATGATCCAAATCGACCATGACGGGTGGACACGGTTGCCGTTTGCAGCTGTTTACGTTTGGTTTCTGAAGCAAGAAGGTCTTGAAGTTCCATCCCCGCGGTGGTGGATACCGACTGAAGCGGTTGTGATGGGTTTGTGGGATCTTTTGGAGTTGGTTTTTCTAATAGTTCCGAAACAGACAACCCCTTGACTAACAAGTAAATGCATTCAAGACAGATTTCTCCAAACATATCCTTGTCGAATTCAGTTCCTATAGATCCCGAAATGGTAAGCAAAAGCATCAAAACCTTATTCTTTTCAAACACGGAAACCACGTTGTTGATGGAGATATCATCGGCGGAAACACCGTTGGGCAAATCATCAGCAACAACTACTGCACGATGGCTCAGTTTACTTGAGACTGAAGCATTGGCAGGAACGATAGCCACGACATTTCTTACTAAATACAACACCAATTTCAAAATTTGGTTCTCTCTTGGCTCTCTATCCAATCTCAGTTTCTTAATCACAGGCAACACCAAACGGATAACACTTTTCAAAACTGCCCCGTTCAAATACAGCAATATCAATTTCTTATATCCAACCTGCACTTTTCTTACTTCAGTAAACAACAATCGCTGCAGTTCCAGGAGTTCGGCACCGAATTCAACGGGCCACGTTAACAACACGAGCAATTCAAGACAAGCCAATCTGATTTTCTCGACTTTGATTCCGGTTTTCTTTTTGTCAAACTGGCACATAATCACAATCAAATCCTTGACCAACCCAGAATCAGCACATGCCAAGGCAACGGCATAGTTATTTTGTCGCTCATCGACAGCTCTAATCCATCGTTTGATATCCTTGAGACACGCCAATGCGTCATGGCCGAGCTTGTAGGGAGGCGGGGTGATGTTGGAGGTATGGTCTGGTCCACCTAATGCTGAACAAAGGACGGCAATGTGGGCACGAAGAAGTTTTTGGGCTGGTGTTTGATTGGGCTGGAGGGTGGTGGTGAGCGATCGTATGCGGTCGTTTGCCAAGTCTGGCTCGTTGGATTCATCCTGGGAGTTGGATTCTTGTATTGGCTCTTCGTCGACTATGAAGTCTCCTAACTCTTCATAGGTTTCGCTATCCGAACTCGAGCTCATTTGGGTATAGGAGTTGTGGTTGTAAGGATGACTAGAGATGGAAGAAGATTATCAAAATAACGCGTGCTTGTGTGTGTGCGTACTTTGCATGAATAGACGCGCGCGACAGGAATTTTCTGCGACAAACAAACAAACAAACAAAAAAAGCATTTACGACATTGACATGAATATGCGACACAGATCAATAAAGAAAAGAAACTCAGTGAAGATTGGTAAGTCAACTAAAAAGGTTATGGGGCTAAATTTAGAAGCGGTTTAAATATATCTGACGAATAAATCAAGATTGAAAACTAAAAGAGCTATCACAGATCGACGTATAAATGCTTATAAATAGAAATATATCTGTCCTATTTAGTCAACTCGTCTGGGGCTCAGCCACTTCTTCCTATGACCTTACTGGTTACTCGATCTCAAAATGGAAGTAATTATTCGGCTACATACGGTTGAATTCTTGACCTTAACCTGAAATCAAGTTAATTGAGTTAAACGACCACGTGCTGGGCGTGTTTTTGCTGGGCTGTAGTGGTAATGTATTCCATTTATAGTTTCTAAGATTGCTGTCATTGCATGGTGCTTGATCTAATTCCCACTTCTGACCTAGTTCTACTTAGTTCCCGTGTAGTCTAATGTCAGTGTCCAACAAGATAGATAGCCTAACAGGGAAAGAAAACTGACTCGGAATAATAGCTGTCAGCAAAGGAACAAAGTGGTGTGACGAAGTGCGAGTTTGATAGACAACCGTTGTTTCATGCGGGAATGACATTGTCATGTTTGGCAAGATGTTTTGTTGAACAATGAACCAGTAAATTTCTGATACGGTTGATTAATGCACAGTCCCGATTCTGAGACTAACTCCGGTCATTGTTTCGATTGTCCATACAACAATATCGAAAGATACTGTTTGGGGGAGAGAGAAGAGGGATCTACAACACATATACGAGATTTCGATATGCCCAGCAAATTGCCTGCACCCTGACAGTGAAGGATATAGCTGACTCTTGGCTGAATCGCTAATTCGCTAATTGGCCAACTGTGCAATTTAAAGTTGTGGGTAATTATCATCAAAGCAAAAAAAAAAAGGGGGGTATGAGCTCTGGACCGATATTACTACTAGGCCGTTGAAAAATCGTGAGCATGGTTGTTTTGGCAACACCGTGTTTCAGCTAAAATATTAGTACATCACTACAAATAATATAATTAACACAATAACGTCATTTTAAACATCTTTTAGCGATTGCTTGGTCAATATTACTTGATGAAGATAAATTGATAAAGCGGCTTATTGGGGGTTTTTTCACGCTTAACTATTTTTCTTTTTTATTTTTTTTTTTCTCCGCACTGGAAATAAATACTCGAGGTTATAACAACAAACCCCCCCCCCCAAATTGCTATGACCATGACAGAACCAAACATGGATGGTACTTCCCTCTTCAAGAAACGCAACCGTGTTCCTGCAAGTTGTTCTGTCTGTCGGAAACGTAAGTCCAAATGCGATCGGGTGAAACCAATCTGTGGATCATGTCGTAAAAAATCAATCGCTCACTTGTGTTACTATGAACCCAGTGGGAGAATGAGTTCACCACCACCACCACCTGCAAATGAATCAAGGACGTTGCTCAGCATACCACCACCCCCTCCACCACCGCCCTCGATGCAACTCCACCAGCCTAACATGTATCATAATAGACCTGTTCTACTTCAGCAACCGTACCTGCCCTCACTTTCTCACGGATTGCAGCAGCAGCAGCAACAGCAACAACAAACACAATCTCAAAACCAAAACCAACCTCCATCTATCCCCATCCCCACCACACGTCTCATGAGTGACGCATCCACAAAATACTTTAGTCCACTTATTCAACCACCCCAGCCTCCGTCACTACCCATCCCACAATTGTCGCAACCCAGCCAACCAAACATCAACACATTAGTTATACAGGACCCCATACCGTCGATTTCAGCAGTTTCACCAACAAATCTGACCGTTCCAGTTTCCAAATCACAATCTGAATCAGTAGTATCACCACCAGTACCCACCCCTTCGTCGACATCTTCCTTTACCGGTTCTCAGCGTCGCAGTTCAGACACAGCCATGTTGCCACAACGAACGATACCCTCACTCAAGCCGCCCGATATATCACCCAGCAGTTCCCATAATGGCATCAATGAATCGTTCTCATCATACACTTTAGTGCTGATTCCACTTGGTCCTAATTCTTCACTTCAAGTTAGTCCCGAGGATCGCATGAATGTCTTTACCAATGCCAGTTTCTCTATGAATTTGGAAGGACCGATATGGCAACAACATGGAACACTTAGTTATATCGGATTGACCAAAAGCGATCCGTTCATTAAGCTATTCCGAAACTTTACCGTGATCTTATTGAAGGCAGGTGGCATGTCGAAATTCCTCATGAATGAACGCAAAAGACGAAGTGTAGACTCCAGCTCCGCCCCCATGGGTCGCAGTGGCAGTGAGAAGTCCAATGGAAGTTTCAATCTGGTGGATGAAAACGACAACAAAAGAATCCACTTGGATTCATTGACGAGCGTCAGTCCCTCTAGTTCCCACAAGGATCAACAACAAGATTACGACAGTGACAAGAAACAAGAACTGCTTGATGGCGCGCTTGTTGCTGAAGACGTTTTGATCGTATCCAAGATTGTTCGTAACAACGTTGACGAAGTCAAGAATGGGAATAGTAACCAACTCGACCAAAGCACTCCTGGAAGCATGAAGAAGAAACGCCGACTCGATATTATGCCTGCGCTTGAATGTTTGTATTCGGGTGAAAAGAAGGAATATTACCGTATAGTCGAAAAGGCCATTGTGGAGATATTACCTGCTAAGATGAACTTGTTTATTCTATTCTCGAGATTCTTCAAGTACGTGCACCCATTCATTCCAATTATCGATGAACATGTATTGCTAATGGATGTGAACTCGCCCCTTGACCACTTCCCCGAATTTACAAAGGATTACCATACGCAAGTAAACATCAAGAGTGATGACGATTTACGCATCATGGGAATACTTTTGCTAGTAATGAGACTAGGATACATGAGCATGATCCATAATGATTCGATGTACAACAACTACAACGAAACCGAAGCGTCAATAGTCGAAGACATGAAGCAAAAGGTTGATTCCAAGACGTTTGTCCATGTAATCAACTTGTGTATTTCCGATGCGCTCATTGCCACGAGATCTTCCTTCAAATTGGTGCAATTATTAACGTTGCTTTATTTCTATCGACAAGTTGCGCCTGATGATTCGCATGGAATCGGTGGTGCGGATCTGCATATCTTATTCGGAGTGATTATGCGCCATGCCATGTCGATTGGGTTGAATCGTGATCCTACGTTTTACTCCACTCACGAGACTATATGTAATAACCTGGCATTGATTAAAACGTGGAGGTTTTTATGGTATTATCTTGTCATGACTGATGCCACTAGTGCTATTCATACTGGAACGAATTTGAATTTGATGAGTGTAGAAGTAAGTGATGTACAAGTGCCCCGGTATGATAATGACAAGACGGGTGGATTAAACCAGGTGATTGAAAGTTTGGAAGGAGTGTGTCGATCATATCGCAATATCATCAATAAGATCAGCAATGTTAGTCAAAAACCAAAGATAGTCGACATCTTAACTGAAACTAATCATTTGGAGAAGTTGTTTTTTGAAATCTTTGGCAAGGATTTCTTTCGGGATGTTATTTGTAAACCGGCTAAAGTTCCACCCACGCCCAATGGGTTTGATATTCGTAGTGCCGAACATGAAGACACTTTGGTCAAGGTATTGAAATACTGTTTGTTTATTCAACTTCGGACTAATCTTTCTGGGATGTACTACATGGTTGCAATCCACTACGAAAATGTATACAACGAGTCAAAAACCCCGTCGATGAATGCCGGAATTGAATTGTTTAAGATATATATCAAGAGCGTGGTTCAACTAGTGTATATCATGTCGTATGTTCTCGACAACTCGGTGGAATTGTTTGGTAAAAATTACGACTTTTTCTTGACATCCCAGAATGAACGGTACATGATTAAAACCCACTCGTTCCTTACATCTTTCTTTGTTCGATTATTGCATCAGAAAAAGGACCTTTCGTTTCAAGTATTTAAAGACCCGACGATCCAGCCACGACTTAATGTTATTGACAATCTCTTCACTATGGTTCTTGTGGAGGCAGAATTGTTTGTGGGTAACTTCAGGAAGTTATCGCGAACGTACATCAACTCGTACCGGTTGTATATCATCACATATATTATCCTCCGGCAATGTATCGAGAATCCTGATGTCTTTTTTGAACGAACACTCAATGACCACCGGTTCTTCCACCATGGCACCAATATGATTGAATTCTTCACTGTGGGTGAATTGAACCGATTGTGTAAGTTATGTGGTGAGTTCAAGAGCGCCAAGGAACTGCAGGAGAAGTTGAAACTCGAAAGAAGGATGCAACAGCAAGAAGTGAGACCATCCGTGGTGATGACACCAGCCGAGATGAGTACTCCAGGTGGAATAAATGCCGATATCTCCAACATGTTTTATGATGATGATAACAATGACATATTTGATAATTTGCCTACTGAAGTCAAGAATGAGATGTTTGATCCTACCATTTCCAATGACGAGTTCTTGCGCTTGTTTGATATTTGTGGGGATTTAGCTGCGATTTTCGAGTGATTTACTTGTATATTTTTAGCATATGATATAGTTTCAGAATAATGGCTGCAATAATAATAGCTGCAATTTTCAGTAATCACATGCGAATGTTAAATAAAAAAAAAAAGGTTGGGGGTCTCGGCGATATGATCGGGGTTTACCGTTGCGCCCGCATTAGGAATTAACACCGAACAGAAGCGACCATTCCGATCCGCCATAAAAAAAAAAAAAAAAAAAGAATTTCGACCTATTTCTCTTTCTGCTTTTCTGGAAATCAACGTATACCACACCATGCAAAGCTCATTCCAAGTGGCAGAGAAGCGTAAACAGAAGCGGAACAGGATATCGCTCTCCTGTATCAGCTGTAAGAAGCGAAAAGTCAAGTGTGATCGCGGCAACCCTTGCCAAGCGTGTGTAAAGTATCACGGAGTTTGTGAGTACCCGATATCGGTATGGACAACGGCATCCCAAAACGAACCAGGGAGCTCATATCAGATCCATGGGTTTGATGCCACAAAGGTAAACCTGCCTCCTTCTACACAACCTACGCAACAAGTGCAAGTGCAAGCTCTGCCACTGCAAGCTCTGACATTGCCTCCTCCGCTTCCGCTACAACTGGTAGTGGTGCAGCAGCAGCAACAACAACAACAACAACAGCCACTACCACCGCCACCACCACCACAACAAGCTATTACTGCCTCTCCTCTGGACTCGGCTGCAGTTATCGAATCACTTAAGCGAAGAATAAGCGAAATTGAACTGTCTCTAGGACATCCTTCTACCGGACATAGTCCATTCAGTACTGCATCCAATGACTCCGTCCTCCTTCCACCGATCAAGAAACTCCACTTCAATTGGAATGAATACAAGTACAATCCAGATACAAACCCAACATACATCGGAATCAACCCCTATGCCAATAACACAGAGACTATAAACTTTTACGACGGATACACCCCTTTGTTTCTTCAGGATAAAGCCAGAACCCACAACTACGGTCCGTTCTCGTGGATGACTATCATGAATAAAGACCCGGGATTACGTCGCCTTTGGAAGTTTGTCCAGAATGAAAGCTTAAAGAAGATTGAACAGCATTTAACAAGCACACACAGACATAAGCAAATACCTCATGATGAAATTGTGGCGGAAGTGGCAAAGCAAGACGCTAATGCAGCCGCATGCTTTGAAATCAGTGAATCGGAAGTTGCATTCAGAGACAAGGCAGTGGACAGAGATGGATACAATGATTTGAGATTGTACGGAAACGTTACAAGAAAGACTAGCAATTTGAGAGGTGCACCGCTGGATACGACGGCAAATGCCGCCTCTACTAGCGCAGATTCCACTGCTTCTACTTCAAGATCTAGCAATACACCTGCTCCTTCGCAGAAACAGATTCAGCGAATGGCAATGAACAAACACGCCATAGCTTTAGGACTTACTTTATATGAAGGGAAAATGGATCAAGAATTACAGTTAATTGAGAAAATCACAAAGATTCTCCCCAAGCAAAAAGTTATCTGGAAGTTGATCCACAAATTCTTTAACTCGGTGTATCCATACATGCCATTCTTGGATGAGGGCTATTTCGTTACAGAAATGACCCGAATATTAGGTCCTGAAGAATCCAATGATAGACAACTTGAATCACTCAAGGTCGAGAAACGGTTGGATTTCGCATATATTGGTATCCTTCTTATTGTGCTCCGTATTACATATCTCCTGCTTTTCTCCAATAGAAACGGCGTAAACCAACGAAATTTAGCCACGACAGACCCATCATTCCAAGCCCAGGAAATTAAATATCTACTTTCAAACCCGATTGATATTGATGTTATCGCCATGGCTCAATTATGTCTTGATCAGTTTGATATTTTCCACAAGAGCAATATCGTCATTTTGCAATGTGCATTCTTTATGAGGCTATACTATATGTTTGCTCCTGAAGAAGGTGATGGTGCTGATGGAGGAGATTCGCAGATTTTCTCGGGGACAATCATCCAAATGGCATATTCAATGGGGCTTAATCGAGAACCCGACAATTTCCCTGATGTGTCCAATGATGAAAGGTCAAACAATATGGCGAGAAAGATTTGGTTGTTTTTGATCATAGGTGACTTGATCCAGGGATATCAGTACGGTAACCCTATGAGCATTGACCAGAAGTATTACGATACGAAATTGCCCTATTATAAACCGGGAAATGAAAATGTCAAAGATATCGAGTTGGAGAAACATGTCATTAGTACATTTGCTTATTTTGAAAAGTATTACCTGAAGTTAGTGGCGCTCTTGGACGTTGGTATTGACGTGAGAAAGCATGTCACCATGAAAGAGTTGACTGAGTTGATTACCGACTTTGAAATTTCGTTAAATGACCATTATGGATTGTTGAAGTTTTTCCTCGTTCCATTCAAGCAAGACAACTATACTTATCCATTCATTAAAGCTATGAAGTGTAAGAATTACATCAACATGAAGATGTTTCTCAATACCATTCTATTCCATTTATACTTGCATTACGAGAAGTCCGACACGACCTTTGCATTTTTCTACTTGAAGAAAATCCTTGCTAGTCTTTGTACGGAGTTCATCCCATGCATGTTTCAATTGATTGCTGATAATTACTTGAATTTTGGTCCTGTTGCGGATTTGTTTCTTAATCCGACCCTTGAATCAATGATTCATAAAGCCACAGTTATCATCTCGGCCGTGCTTGTCCGGGTCAATTCCAGCATCTATAAGCTCAGATATGTTGAGACCGACAAGCATGACGACGGATTGTGGAATAGTCCATCGTATAGACTTCATTATGCCAAGCTCGTAAAGTTTTCGAAAGTGCTCACTCGAATCATGAAATTCTGTATTGCTGCTATTTCCAGGTTGAGTCAGAGGTATTATTACGCTTGGAGATTGACGAAAGCGCACGGGTACATTGGAACCATCATCATTGGAACTGAGTTTTACAAAAACACCAAGCTGGATCCTATATTGTTGATTGATCTAACCAACGACCAATTATCTGAGTTGCTTAAGATCAGTGAATTGACATTGAAGAAGTATACCAAGCATGTTGACATTTTCAATGAAGACATTGACGTAATCAACGAATGTGCCCAATCGTGCTCTCCACCACCAGAGATACTTGGAGAAGAACCAGACTGCTCTCACAACAATGCGCCACCTGTGAAAGCACAACCTACTCCTGATCCACATAAACAACATCTATACAATGATTCGTTTGCATCGTCGCTGGCCTCGCTCAATGATGAGGATTTCGGATGTTTGCAAAACGACGAGATTGACAAGTTGTGGTATCAAATGGCGGCCATGAAACAAACAGGACCAATTTCAACTCCAAGTTCCAATTTTGGAAGCAGTGGCTCGGAGAATGGAAACTATAGTAATGGTAATGCCAACAATATCAACCAGAATCCTGTGACTGCAAATGTCAATATGAGTTATCCTGTGTTTGGCTCGCCTGCTGGGTTCAATAACATTATGGGTATGGGTATGGGTGATGGAGAGGTTGACTTGTTTAATGCTCTCTCGGTTGACCAATTGTTGGGGTTGACCAAAGACGGTAAATGGTAATAGAATGTATTCATAGTGTAATAGTAACAGCCGTATTCATATTGTAATAGTAACAGCCTATTCTTGTAATAGTAACAGCCTATTCTTGTAATAGTGACAGCCCTATTCTTGACATAGTAACAGCCTATTCTTGACATAGTAACAGCCTATTCTTGACATAGTAACAGCCTATTCTTGACATAGTAACAGTCCTATTCATAGTGTAATAACCCTTAATAAAGTGTATGTGCGGGTAACCTCGCATCGCAGACTATAAAAGACGATTGAAAAAAATTTTTTTTTACAGTAAACTCTTTTCCTTAGCTTTACTTTCTTCCTTAAGTAACGTTCAATTAACAGATGAAAGGTAATGGTTATCTTACATTTGATAATTGGATTTCTACTCCTTATGTGAACTAGTATTCACACGATAGAAACGTTTATATGACGACAAAACGCTGTGCACCAGTCTGAGTACTCATTGCATGACAGACCAAAGTATACCCAAATTTCTGATTTACGTTTCAATCGTCGTGATGATTTTTCAAGTGGAGTAAGTGTAGTAACTGTGTAGAGTGTGCGCTGTTGCATAGGCGAAGGAGATGAAGATTGCTTTGCAGTTTCGTAATTCTTTGCAAGTGTGTGTTATTATTATTATTATTATACAGACACGCCCAGATTGCCAGAGATGGTACAACTGAGTGCCACTATACAATGTTCGTAAACAACAAGGAAGAACTCCTCATGTAACCAAGCAGCGTACAGTATAATCCTTCTTGATCTCAAGAGTTCAAAAGACAATGCGAGGTAGTGCCCCAGTACCGACTTAATCACATGGCCCAGCCCTGATAACATTGTTGGAAACTGGCTCGATTTGGCTAAATTGATTAATCCAAGATAGCGCGATATTCATAGGCCGATTGGAGAGACAATTGAATTAGCCCCAAACGGGAGAACTAAAGTCTACGTCATAGGCGTGTTTTGGCACCCACCCTTTCGACATGAGATATTTTTTTTTCTTGTTTAGCATGCTCTCCTTCCAGCAGTTTGACACCGTTTTTGTATTCAAATTTTCATTGTGACAGTTTATGTAATATAACCCCATTCGGTTTAGTAATGATTCGCGTGTGTCTCATGCACTACGAGTAAAAAAAATTATTTTTCATTTTTTTTTGTTTCAGAAATACGACTGTTAACTTTGTAGTTTTGTAATTTTTTTTTTCTGCATGCATGGTTGGGCATGGTGCTTTTTCGTTGCTATGGGAACAATGCATCTGAACAGATGGGCCAATAATCTTCGACCCACATCAGCTGGCCTTCGGCAGATAGATACTTGTGCTCTACTCGTCAAATACGATAATTAATAAATTGCCCAGCAGTTATCTTGCTTTGAGAAAAATCGACTAATTTTTATGGTTTGATTTGACCATCACGGAAAATAGTACAGAAGGGGGAACTGTCGTGAGGGCTGAAAATTTTGAGATCTTGGTTGCAGAGAAGGTCTAGAATCTTTTAGTCTATGAATCTTAAACTCAGCCCAAATCTTCAACCCCTGTTGCAAATGCGCGTAGATATGTTTGTTTGGAATGTTTTTAGCGTGATCTCCCTTTGTTCCAACGTCTCAGTTAAGAAAAAATTCCTGTTTAGGAGTTAAAGTTTTTATTTTTTAGTGCACAATTTATTTTTGAAAACGCACCAAAAAAAATTTTCAAGGGGGAACGCAGGAAAGGGATGTTGGGATGTTTTCATGTTTTCGTGGGTGGTCGTGGTGGTCTTGGTACAAAGTCGCGTGGGAGAAATAATGCAGTCTAAGTCCAAGACAATGGCGGGGGAGAACCAGATTTATTAACCGAAAGGGAAGTTTTTGTTCTGGGACTATGTCAAACAGTGTGATAACAACAAACACTGGGTGTGTACTTATACCCAAGGCTGTGTTGTGCTTGGGAATCCAATAATCCGCACCTAACCTTGACAAGCTACACTGTCAAGATTGACAAATGTTTTAGCCCGTGCTACTGGTTATATCCAACATTTTCTCTCTGGATTCATTCACATGGAGGTCGCCCATGTACGTACATGTTGCACCATATTTGAATTTGCAGATCTACCATATCAAGTAAATTTCGGTGGCTGGTTAAATTATTTTTTAAGCTGCATTCTATTACACAATGACACCGCGTACTTTTTTTTTCCCTTTTCCACCAATTTTATTTTTTGTCTGTTTTCCATTTGATCCCAAAGGGGTATAAACCTGTGCATTTGAAATAATATCACTATATTGACCCCAACAAGTAATATAATTATAAATAACCACCGATTTCCAGTATCGATATCCTTTCTGTCTTTTCTCTATCACTCATTCATCAATCACTTTCACACCCCTCCCCCCTCCTCCTCATCATGACTTCCGCTCTTGACTTGAAAGCATTGCAAATTTTCGTTGCTGGTCCTGTTACCCAAGACATGATCCACAAGCTAGTGGTTGCTACCCTCCAGGTCATTCCATGCAAAGACACTAAGAACCAAACATACACCTCCACTGACATGAAAGTCAAACCATTGCCTTCCTTGATGACTTTCTTGACCAAGTTGGTTCGCTACACTAATGTATATACTGGTACCCTCATGGCCACTTTAGTATACTTGAACAGATTAAAGGCCAAATTACCAAAGAACGCCCTGGGGTTACCATGCACCAGACACAGAATCTTACTCAGTTGTTTGATCTTGTCTTCTAAATTCCACAATGATTCATCTCCAAAGAACATGCATTGGGCTAAATACACTGACGGTTTATTCACTACCCAAGACATCAACTTGATGGAACGCCAATTGACATTTTTATTAAACTGGGACTTGAAAGTCTCCAACGACGAAATGATTGAAAGCTTGGACAGTCTCTTGGAACCAATCAGATACGACTTGGTCAGAAGCTCCAAGGTCAAGAAGTTCTTGCAAAGACAACACCACCATCACAAGCAAGCTCCAACTCCAGTTGCTGCAGGTCCAGCCCAACCAGAGTACAACTATCCATCTCCAGCAAGCACTGTTGCTACTACTACTACTTCTTCTTCTTCTCCAATCTCAGTCACTCCAACCCATTCGAGATCTTCATCTACAGTTTCCTCCCTCTTCCACACCAGATCGAGTTCCACCAGTTCAATTTCTTCGGTATCTACCAATGCAACTACGATATCTACACATGAATCATCTTCTGAAGTGGATCCAATAATTGAATTTGCTGCATTGAAAGAAGAAATGGAATTGAAGAACTTGTTGAAACAGTTGAATTCCGGTTCTTATGCTGCTCAACAAATGGCTTATGTGTACAATTAGGTTATGAAACATTAGGGTTTTATTTTTGGGTTTATTACATTTTTCTTTATTTTGGGTTTTTTACTTGGTTTATTAGGCGTTTGGTATTATTTAGATTTGTTTAGCATTAATGGACATTCGTGCAAATAAAATGCCAATGTAGATTCGGAAAACATATACATAGAATAAGCAAAGTCTGATGTTTAGAGTTTAATCATTTGGCAACCTACCTCCACTCTTCAACAAATCATGAAGTGTGGGGCGTGAATCATTCAGAGAATAACCTCCACGATTACCGCCTCCTCTTCTTCCTTTAGCCAGATTCCCATTTCTTGCCCTTCCTTTAGCCAGGTTCCTACTTCTTGCCCTTTGTTGATCACTTCCGCGACGTCCTCTATTCGACCCAGAACAATCTCTTGGATCTCCGTTACTATGCTGATTTCCTCTTGACGAGGGAGTGGTATTGCTAGAAACACTTGAATCATAAGTGTAATCATCACTGCCATGGCCATTGCCATTGCTATTGCTATTGCTATTGACATTGCCATTGCCATTTTGATTTCTCAGGTTGTTTGGATGGTTAGTATCATCGTCGTTGTTACGACTTGGAAACGTGTTTTCATAGCTATTGTCTGATCTTGAATTTTGTCTAGAGTTATTGTCTATTCTTCTTTCTCCGCCATTACTAGCAGTAGAGTTTCTTCTGTCGGCGGGAGGATTATAAATTGAGTTACGTCGTGGTGCCGATCCAAACACTCTTGCATTGGAAATAGCAACGGTGTTGGGATCAACAGCGTCGTATTCCTCCCCTGAATTGCTCAGTTTCCTGCTCATTGCAAGTTGAATGAATTCGGCTGCGGACTGAAATTTGTCGGCTTTTGGTGCAACTTGCAGAGGCACTTGTTTCAACCGGTCAGGATGAATGGTAGGGACAGTGGGACGTGCTGGGAGATGGTTACTATCGTCGTCCTCAGAGTAAGGACGTTTTCTAGGCGGGTTAGTATTTGGTCTGTGATCTGTGGAGGTATTTTGTGCATGTGTAATATTTCTATTTGGTTGGTATCGATCAATAGTTCTTGTTTCATCAAATCTGCCATCAGATCTGCCATTAGGTCTGTAATTATCCGAATAAGATCTATCGGATAATCTGTTGTCAAATCTGTTATCAGATACTCTATCGTCAAATGATCTATTGTCTGATAGCCAGCTATCAAATGATCTGTTATCAAATAATCTATCCGATGTTCTACTATCTGAACGAGGCTTAACATATTCGTAAGTTTTACTGTCATAATGATCACTTCTAATGTTCCCTCTGGTATCATTATATTCTCCATTTCCTCTCGTGTAACTGCCAGTAGTTTTGGATGCATAATTATTGGAAGTTTGTTGGCCAGGACGATAACTATCAGTTTCAGGCCTGGATTTCTTAAGTGGAGGAGAGGATGGTCGAGAGTAATCAACGACGGAATTGATGTGGTTCCAGGATGCAGCTTTGGCCTGTGAGTCAGGGCTACTAATACTATTACGAGGACCTCTTGGAGCTGGGGCTGCTGGAGTGGTAGGGGAAGTACGAGATTGAGCATGATCTGGTTCCTGGGCTTGCCCTGATGTAGGATAAGTCATTGCAATTGGAGTAGGTGCTGCAACCTTTGACATGTTAGGTGAATCTGCAGGGGTAGATGTCACAGGGAATTGCTTCTTGTTTGCTGGTTTATTGGCCAGCTTGCTAGTCACTGGTTTGGCGGGAAGTGCTTCTGGTTCCTGGAATTCCTGGGAACGAATATATGTGTTTGGACCTGGTTTGTAATTCAGATTAGGTGGAGCACTCAAGAATTGAAGTTGTTTATTGGCATTAACATTGATTGAATGAGCAGGCACAGATATTCTTCCTGAAATAGTCTTGTATTTGATCACGACATATTCCTTCTTGTTGCTTTTCCACTTATGGTACTCTTCCGCCAAAATTTTGCAATATTGTTTTTGAACAGGGAGATAATTGGTGCCTTTCAAACACCTAAACACAACCTTGAATTGGAATGGAAGGACCTTGTTTAGGAATTCATCAATAATATCATCTTCTTTTGATTCAGGATCAATTTGTAATCTATTCCATTGGGTTTCTTGTTGTCCAAAGAATTTCAAAATTTCACACGCAGACCCTAATTTGGATTCCAAATTCAGCCAGAAAGAGACTAATTTACGTTCAATGACTTGTTCCACAACCACAAGCGGTTTATTCTTATCAAGGAATTCCAAAATGTCCTTCATTCTCGCGTTTTTCCCACCCAATTGACGTTCCAATGCTTCAATGAATTGGGGTCCAACATTGAACAAATGAATGACAAAGGTATCGTCCAATAATTCAAGCAATTTACGATATTGTTCGATATTCCCATAGGCATTAGTAATACCTAAATTCATAACACATCGTTCTTTAAGTTCAAAATGTTCAGGATCACGGAAGTAAGCCAGGACGCCACGGAAATGACGAAGACCAACAGAAATGTACTTCAACCATTGTTGAGGGCTAATTCCCAGGGGAACAGGTTCCTTTGCATAGGCAGGAATAAAAGTCTTGTTGATTTCATCCTTCCAATAGGCAAACAACTCCGAGGCTTCTTTTAGAAGACGGGTATTTTTGACTGCGGGGTCTTCTACTTCTTGTGACACGGTGTTACTAACATTTGCTGATGTATTGGCAATAGTAGAAACTTCAGAAGAGGTGGGAGGAGTTGAAATTTGATTGGATATTGTTTGATTTAATGCGGGAGATGATTGATTGGAAATAGTTGCAGCCCCATTGTTGGGGGCAGTCACGGTAGTGTCGTCTTTGGGAGTGACAGGAGCTGTGCCATTGCTGGTGCCATTGGCACTAGCAGTTAAAGTTTGATTTGTGTTGGTGTTATCATTTGTGGTATTTGCTCCAGGGTCAACCGTGGTGGTGGGATTAGTGGTGGTTGGAAAAACGACAGAAGACACCACTGGTACGGTAATTACATTCGATTTGGCAGGAGGTGGTTTTGATTTTGGACTGGTGTCACCATCACCAGTGAGATATTCAAGACCATTCATAGAGGTTCAAGAGAGAAAGAGATGGATGGATGGATTGAGATGGATGGATTGAGATAGATGGATTGAGATAGATGGATGGATTGAGATAGGGTGGAGGGGAGTGGTGGTCAGGTGTATATTTTGACGAAAAGGATCTAAGCTAAAATATTTTTTATAGGTGTTGTTTAAAAAAAATTGGTGGTGGGTGGTTTTAACTAATGAGGGGATCAGTCGATAATAAAAACAAACTAATCAGTTGGTATTATGAAAATAGAGTAACATGGTGTGCCAGGGCTAAACATCTGGAAGTTTAAACCAGCAAATTCCAGAATTGGTCTGGCATAACATGACTATGTAAAGTAGTATCACAAACGTAACTCACGATAGCTAAGTTGGCTGCAACATTTTCAGTGGGGGCTGTAGAATCTTCCGTTTGGATAGCTGATTGTACCCAGAATGTGACTGATCTTTCTTTCAGATTACACTATCACCAGCTGGTTGGTTGTGAGGTTTATTTGGTCTGAGCTTTGCTGGGTATGAGCACAGGGCTATACAACTAAATCAGTCTCGATACACCCAAGAAATTCCCAGAGTTCTGAACCTGTAACGAAAAAGTTGCGTGGTTGTTGAAGCATTTCATTTTGAAATTACACGAGCTGCAAAAAATAACATTACTTAATCTTTAATACAGCCACCACACACACACACACGAGCGCTCTATAAAATATTCATAATCAATTTGCTCATTTAGAGATAACGAATTTTAGTGATTTCCGATTGCTTCTCCGTGATTTGCCCAAATGCACGACCGAGCCGTCCAATCTCTTCTTGGCTTTGAATGCCTCGTTTTCGGCCACTTGTATTCCTTCTATTTACCCGGTAATTTTGATTTGCGTTATACGTCAATGTGTGTCCTGTGTGTGCGTGCGTGTACTGGGTGACTGTGCCATGATTCGACGATGTAAGATGATGTGTGTTCCTTGTTCGCTAAGGCAATGGTGCCGTATTAGTTGTCCATTTGCACCGCTATCCCCGAACCTGGACTTTGTTTTTCCTGCATATAATCGCCAGCTGCTACTTTTCTTTTTTTAATTTTTTTGCTGTGACTAAAAAGGACCTCCCACCTTTAGTGTTGTAAAAACCCTCAACTTTAAACCTCCACTATCAATTAGAGTTTCTATATTTAATTACCTTATTTATTACTTTTTCAAATTTAGCATCATTCACATTAATGAAACCTATAATAAGTGCAACCACCAGCAGGAGCATATCGAGGGTGGGTAGGGCTACACCATCAGTTGTGGCTGGCTATAACCCCTGCGTTCACACGATCCAACCCCACCCTCAAATTGTATACAACATTATGGGCTACCGCCGATTCTTCAGCAACACACGCGCCTTAAGGAAGGATGAGAAAACACTCAAGAACTTGGCTGTGAATCTACAGAAGGGCACCCTCTCCCAGGAAGAGGAGCAAAAGAAGAAGGCAAAGACAACCAAGGACGCGGGCTCTGATGAAACAAGGATGTCACCAGAACAGACACTGGCCCAGGCACAGACACAGACACAGACGCAATCACAGAGACAGACACAGGCGCAATCACAATCACAATCACAGACACAGACACCAGCACAACAAGCTGAACTGGTGCCACAAGACACAAGCTCGCCAGCCCAAGCACAAGTGCAACAAGCTAAAGAACTGAGTAATACCGAAGCGATTCAACAACTGACTGCAGGACAATCAGAAGCTGCTGCTGCTTCACCTATACCTCACATGAAACCAATAACAAAGCAATCCACCAAACCAACACCACTCCCCAAGACCCTTTCCAGCATCAAATCACGTCGCGTTCCAGGCGTAGAAACTCCCAGAGACAAACTAACCCGTCAACTTATGTTTGATGCGTACGACTCACTTGCCATGGTCACTTATGATGACTTGAAGCTCCAGCATTTATATAACCCTGATGGAAATCCACCTAAGCATTACCTTGATCGCCATGCCCTTCTCAAATCCATTCCTGATAAAATCAATATAAATGATCCCGACGATATGAAGAAGGTGTTTGACATTTATGGAAAGCTCGCACAACTAGACGACGATAAGGGAATGCATGAGAAACACTACCGATACCTCTTGGGCCACCTTACGGAATTACAACGTATTCGTCAACAATACAATCGCATAGATCGGAAATTTAATAGATTAAGAAAAGGCACGGTTGCCCAGACAAGTTTACTGTCGAGTGCATTTGCAGCTGATAGGTCAATCCCGGAAGTTCCTTATAATGTGGTTGGGTTTGATCGGTCAATCCTGGGTATGCCTATCCATGTAGGTAAACATAGAGAAGAAGCCGTGTTCCCCAAGGAGTTTATTGAAGACTTGGCTAATGTTAGTGCTGATGGAACCATTACTTTACACAAAAACGATTGGGATTTCATGGAACCAGATGATAGAGTTACCCGGGTAGATCCCAGAAGTGTCCGCAGTATTAACGATATGATTCGTAAAACCACAACCACTATTGCATCTCCACCCCCTGCATCCGCCTCCACCAACACTGATCTTGAAGATCATATGCAAGAAGAGAATTACATTTATATCCCCTCCATCAAGAATTATAGAACGTTGGATTATGCCTTTGACGAAACCAAGCGAGTTAAACGAGAAATCCTGCTGATGCAAACGTCATTGATAAACGAGTTTCAAGAAATGCTTCGACGCACATTCCCCACCGGTTTCTACATGGGTCTCGATCTTCAATGCAAGCTGAACCAATTCTCCCTCATTGATTCCAAGACCGATGCCCGTATGGAACTCCCCATGATTCCATTATATGCCAAGTTCGTCACGACAAAGAGACTGAAGCGGAGATTGTGGAACCATTTGTTTAAGTTGTTCCTTATCAATGTTGATGAACATATCCAGAATGTTATTGCCGTGAGTGAATTCCAAGAACGTCAACTTGACAAGTTCATCCTGAGAGTCAAGAAGAATATCAAGCTTGCCATTCAGTTCAGGTGTGATTTGAAATCAAGCAAGATTCATGTGAAACGCAATGTTGATGCCGTATTATTTAAACCATACCTGGATAGAAATTATACAAGAATTTATTGGATAAAGCCTCCACATGCTAACATAGGTATTAGAAGGGGAGCCATGCGTGTCAAGTGGATGAACATTGAAGACGTTTTGAACAAGAAGAAGCCAGTAACTAAGCACCACCAGCATCAAGACCAACCACACCATTATCATCATCATAGTTAGTTTTATTAGTTTCGTAGTTAATTTATAGATAGATTTTTTGCAATGCACGACTTTGTAATTACATGCAGGAAAGAAATCACCATGTTAAAATTTTTTTTTTTGGGCTTCAAGTAACCAATATTTGGCAACCTATAACAGTTGACCATACCTCACCTCCCCCCCCCCCTTCGGGCATATACATATATCATAATATAACATCATGGCTTATAAGAAAGTCGGACCACCACCAAAGGGACTCCCCCCTCTTCCACAATTACGTATCAGAAGACCTGTGAGTGCAGGATCCCAAGCTAGTAATCCATGCACACTTGCCATGTCCACTTTGCTCAACTGTTGGGCTTCTAACGGAGGTGATGGCGCTGCTGTCTGTTTACCGTTCGCTAACGATTTGAAAAAGTGCATGGAAACTCAAAAGAGTGACCAAGGTGCCAGAAATAATATTAATTATCATACTGCTAGATTGTATCCTAAGTTGAAGGGTCGTCGTGATTAGGGAAGTTGACATATTGAAGAAGTCACCTCATGGGCTTCTGTCGGTTGTATATATATATATCATGAGTTACGTTACAATATAAATAATTATTTGAAAGAAAAAAAGACAGACCCTAATGGAATCTGTGGTGTAAAATTAACTATACAATCTATGAGATTACTTGAAAACCTTACCATCGGCAATTTCTCTCTTTTCACCGTTAACAATAACAGGTTCGTCCCAGGCGAACATGTTGTTGATGAAGTTCTTGGATTCTTCGTTAGAAGCGTCCAACTTGGTGAATTCATAAGATTCCCAATCTGGAGCAACATCGAAAGCTGGCTTGTAGTCTTGACCTCTGACCAAGAAAGCACCAGTAATACCGTTGTTGTTGTTTTCACCGTAGACAACCATACAACCGAACATGTACTTGGTGGAAGCAGACAATCTGTTGAAGAAACCACCAACCAAGTTGTTGGACATGAAGGTTAAAGTCAATTCGTCGTTGTATCTGTAGTCAACCTTCCACAAAGACCATTCTTCTGGGTCGTATTGGTTCTTCCAGAACCATGGAATGGCGGTTTCTCTGGTTTCTTCGTTAGAGTAGACTCTCTTCCATTCATCCAAGACGGCCTTTGGCTTACCCAAGAGTTCCAATGGGTGCTTTGGCTTTGGAGCCTCAGCTGGAGCAGCTTCTTCAGCAACTTCCTTCTTGGCTTCCTTCTTTGGAGCAGCAGCAGCTTCTGGCTTCTTTTCCTTCTTTTCCTTCTTTGGTGGAGTGTAGACTAAGGCTTGTTCAGGAATGACAAAGTCAGCAAACTTACCTTCAAAGAAAGCGTGCTTAGAGACGGTTTGGAACCATCTGGCAATGGATGGGAACTTCTTGGCGAATGGCTTAGCAAAGATAGTCTTTAAACCATCAGAGATGGAAGCAGCAACAAAGAAATCAGCTAAGGTGGCACGTTCACCAACCAAGTAAGTGAATTCAGATAATCTGGCTTCCAAGATAGCAGCAACCTTTTCAGCGTTGGCCAAGTGTTCGTCAACTTGCTTCTTGTTGTATGGGAATCTACCGTTGATCATGAAGAGAGCTTGGTATTGAGCTGGAACGAATTCTTGGTTAACCAAGGACAAGTACTTGATGATAGAAGCGAATTCTTGGTTGTTCTTACCTAAGAAACCCTTGACTTCGTCCTTTGGAACTAAGGAGACCAAGTAGTTGGAGATGGCTAAACATTCGTGTAACTTGTAACCCTTTGGACCAATGAAGGCTGGTAACTTACCTAATGGGAAAGCACGGTTGAAAGCTTCATCCTTTTCAGTCTTAATGGCAACATCCAAGCCGAAGTGCTTGACAATGTTGGCATTGACGTAGGATCTTGGAGACATCTCCATAACATATAAGGTACCTTGAGACATGATTGGGTATTTACTGTGGTTAAATAAAGAAAAAAGAGAGGAAAAGAGAGGAAAAGAAGAAACTTGTATGAAAATTTTTATTTGCAATCGGCGGTTTGGTTCCATCACGGAAAACTGTCAGAAAAAATAAAAAAAAAAAAATCATACGAAGCGACAAAAAAAAAAAAAAGAAACAGAAAAATTTTTCCAACAGGACACGTGATTGAATTGTTTTGGTGATTCTCATCAGGTTTAACCAGATGTTAGTGGAGTACTTCAATTGTAGATGCTAAGATATCAATTGATCAATCTGAACAGTCTCAGTAAGCCATATATCGCAATTCTCAGATATATCACTTTCTACCAAGCATTTGTTGCTGAAAAAAATGGATGGGCATTTCCCACGAGGGAAGTCATTTTTGTTTTTTTACACCAATTAAAATTCACTCAACAAACTCAACACAAAACAACTTCCAAAAATTAAAGCCTGTTATACATGGTATAACACAAAGCAAAAAAAAGAATGCGATTTCTGTGGATCGAACACAGGACCTTCAGATTAAACTGTGACTGAATCTCTTCAGTCTGACGCTCTCCCAACTGAGCTAAAACCGCCTATTGGATGAAGGGTCAAATTTTTAGAGAAATTTGCCAAGATGTGTTCACTATATTTTTTTGTTACAAGATGTAAGTTTTGTAGACTGCGTAATGTATCTTTGAGTGCAAATGACCATGTAGCTGCATGTTTGTTATGATTGTATATATTTATTTATAAGTTTAGGTTGTTGTTGTGACTGGTTTTGAATCTTTGGTTTTATCCAAATTTTATAAAAAATTGTTGCAAAATTTCCTAAAATTACTGCAGATCTTTTAAACAATTTGAATAGACAACAAGCATATTGGTAAACAAAAGAAAAACATAACAATATATAAGAAGAGACTATTCACGTTTGTATTTCTTAGAAGGAGGAAAATCGATTATATTATCAAATGAGTACACATCATCAACTTCTTTGCCCGAAGTGGTTTGACAAAATGAGGTTTTCTCTTTTTGTTCCAACCGGCCATCATCAGCAGAAATATGCATGGCAGTTTTCGAGGATACTACGTCCAAGCTCGTAGGAATCAATAGTTTATCTATGTCTAGAACTTGATTACTATTCTTCAATTGGAAAATACATTTTTCGTTTTCCAATTCCATAATCTTGGAATTTTGGGAAACAACTGAAGATCTCAATAGGGTCAGCTCAAAAGGATGTTACTGTTCCAATTTCTCAGGAGTTTTTAATTTAGAACGGTTTTTATCTTGAGATTCCCTCAATTTATCAATTGTATTTTGCAATTTGATGTTTAGGGAGTTCAAATCAGTTACAAATACAGTATGATCTTTTCTAAACTTATCAAAATCAAGTGCCTCCTTTTGTATTTTATCCAATATGGTGATAATATCAGCTAGAGAAGACTTTTGCAATTTTCCTGCTTCTTGCATGTTATTTTTCACTGTCGTGAGCTTCTCAAACAAGTTCCCTAATTCTTCATTACCGGTATCCTTAATAGATTGAATCATCTCATCCAATTGATTTTCTTGAGTTTGCAACTGTTTCATTACTTCAAGTTTAACCAGTTTATTAAATGTTTTCCATTTTTGAATAATTTCCTGTTGGATCTTGTTCTGAAATTCACCAAAACGACTTTCATAATGTAGCGTAACGGTTGTTAGCGTTTAGGTTTACTAAGTACTTGGTAGCATCCAAAGACATGTTATAACAAACAATATATAAATTCGCTCTAATCCCTTAAAATCTACTATTATTATATAAAAGAAAACTCCCTGATGTTTATATCAATCTCTAACTCGTACCATCACATGTAATTCCATGATTTTTTTGTTTAGTCTCCCATTCATGTGAAACTAACATGTACTGGAATTTTGTTTTTGTTTGGGTTTTAGCTGAGAATTAGAAAAATATTTTGTTGTAAAGCGGAACACTCGTTGCTATGAGTTCTGACGAAAGGGGGACTATCTAAGACCACGGAATTTCATGTAATGGTACGATACAGAGATTAATATAAATATCACGGATTTTCTCTTATATATCGTTTGTTATAGTAGATCTTTGGACGCTACTGAGTAACTAATAAACTTAAATGCTAGCAACCGTTACGCTACATTAAGCACCAATTGAGTAAGACGCGCAGTTTTCCCCAATTTAGTCAATTAGATTAGAAATCAAAAGAGAGTTAAGGTTGTTCTAGCTCATTAGGCTTTACTATATTTTATTTGTTGACAATAAATTATCATCATGTCATCCGATCAAAACCAATATTTTGAGATAAACAAAAACCTTGTTGAACAATTTATGGAGTTTATCATTAATCTGGGTAGAGAAACTAAGTCAAACATCAAATCTAGTGTTTATAAGAACTGCGAATCGATAATCAAAGATTTTCTGTCATTGAAAAGGTACAAGAGCCAAAATTCTGATAGAATCGAACATTGGGAAATTTCATACAATAAGTTTAGGATAACAGAACCAGAACTATTCAATGCACTATGTGAATATCAAACTTTTGATCGTGCACCCAAGCAGAAAATGGAAGGAATTATTTACACGGGAGAGGATTTGAAGGTTTACGTTGAAATATTGAAAAAGATTCTAGATAAAATAATATTGAAGAAAATCCAAGGCCTGGGATACGAAGAGGAAAAGGATATATTTAACACAATGAGGAACGTTGTTAAGACTGACAGTAAAAACTTTCCCCATATTAGACTTGAAAATGCAATTAGAAAAGTAGATGCTAAAGCTAGAGATTTCTTATCATCATCAAGTCTTGATGATGCATTTGTAAAAATGAGAAGTTTACGGTCTACAGGTCCTGATCCAGCTTACAACTTTATTATTAAATTCAATGATTTTTTTGAATACATTCTTATGTTAAATTGGATGATTCAAACAAAATTAGTACACGTAGCTGCTAATGTATTGTTACCTACTTATGAATTGCATCTACAACAGATTGAAGACGGTAAAGTTCCTACTGCCTACATGAAACCAAATGAGTTTGCAGAAACAGTAATGAGACAGTCGGAATTCATAAATTTGACAAGTAGAGGTAGACCCCTCAATATTAATCTATTACAAGCCGGTAAAAGCCTCTCGACAAAACCGATAGTTAACGGGTTGAACAATCTAGACCGTTCTGACAAAAATGCTACTGGTAAGAAAAAGAGAAATAGAAATATGAAATATTTAAGCAATGTCAAAGGCGATAAATGAAAACGATATGGATATGCGAAGGACAATAAACAGACAAATTTTGAATATCGATCCTCAAGCAATGATGAATAACAACTTTCCGTCGATGTGTATAATGATAAAGTGTATAAGATATATTTAATGAAACACACTAACTTAAAATCAACATCGACGGAAAATGGGATTAAGCTATTAACCTACGAATCAGGTGCAAATATATCAGTCATTAATGATATTGAGATACTATTTGATCTTGAAAATATTCTAGTAGAAATTTTAACCGCTAGTGGTGGTGAAATGGTTTCAGAATTGGTTGGAAAATTACACCTTAGGGTCAATGATATAGATGTGGTGTTAAAACAGGTTTATCATTTATCAAAAGTTACTCAAAACTTAAGTTCCTCCCGACAGTTATCCAAACAGGGAGCGGTTATTTTATATGATGATAAAGAATTGTTCTTGTTTGTAAAATCAAATGGCAAACTAACTTGGATAGCAACAGTTGATAAAGAAAATGGATTATTCCGTGATTTTACCAACGCGAATAATTCTTTATCATCATGTAAAATAACCACTATTTGACTTCATTATCTGAGTTCTGGGCCAATTTCTGCTGCAATGAAGCAACAGTAAATTTTTCCTCTGATAAATTCCCTGATAATTCATCAATTGTGGCTTCCAAGTTCTTAGTGATTAATTCCTGTTTCTCTAACTTCACCTGATTCTCAGATCTCATGTTTGTTTGCGTTTCTAACTTTACGCTCAAATCATGCAATGCCAACCCTAACTTTTTCAATTTGGATCTGAATCGATTTGATTCCTCAACCAATTCTGCTTGGTTATCACCTTGCTGTAGCTTCAAACATCGAATCTCCGAAATTTGGTCTTGAAACTGATTAGTCTTTTCCAAAGCCAAATAGGCAAGTTCTTTAACAGTTACTAAGGCGGCATTTGTTTTTGACAACTCTTTGTATTTCTGATTCAATTTCTCATTGTTTGCATGCAATTGGTTTTGAAGTTTAGCATTTGCATTTTCCAAATTAATAATTAATGTGCCATACGAGTTAGAGAGTGAACACCTCCCCCCTATCTTGCTTCATTTACTACAGTTAATCTTTTGGATAGATCTCTTTAAACATGTTTAACATATTGTGTGGTGTATTTTCTTATAGTTTATAAAGTTGGTTGCAAAAAGGATTGATTTGCTTACCATTTTTTTGAGTTACGAAAAAGCCAAACTATAAGAGTGAAGGAGATTAGAACAGGGAAACATAACACACATCTCAGTCAACAGTAAGCATGTTTATCATAGAGAAGATCAGAATAGGTTTTGAATATTAATATATCGTTTGCTTTTAGCAGTTGATTTGATCTTAATTTTCATGGTAGTAGAGTCAGAGCTTCTAGTGGGAGATGATCTTGGTATTGCTTACAGTTATTCTTTGAGAGAACAGGAACAACTTCGTACTTGATCACTCTAAAAGAGCCCTGATCTAGCAATTAAACTAATTAGCCAAGGGTTAGTTACAAAGGGAAATGTGTGACCTCCTATTAAATTTTATCACTGATACCAAAAGATACGTGGGTTGTTCCAATTGATGAGGATAATCTACAAAACATAAACAACCCACTACGCCAAGTCTTACTAAATGTTTTAGAGTCATTGTTTACAGTTGACGTCACTTTCAGGTACCATAGAAGTTTCCTTAGGGGCTAAAAATATAATTGTGCAAGTACACGACCGCAAATAAAAAGATCTAAGATAAAATAAAGTCACACACATACACATATCACATTTCAAGCTCCTTCAAGTGGTAGTTATTCATCACCAAGTTACCAATTTGTCACGGAAGATCCCTTCCGAAAGCTAAATCTCTTTTTTTGGAGTGAATTACGTACCAGAAGGAAAAGGTCAACCAGCCAACGCACTCTCATAACCATTGTTATAGCAGCTCCCCTAGGTTACCATTTTCCCCTTTGATATAAACTCACACATTTCCCTAAATTACGAGGAACAAGACAATAAATTTTAACTCCCCCCCCCCCTTAATATCATTCTGAAACATATCAGACAATCAGCAAGTATTCATACTGAGGTTGTTGTGAAGGCAATATTATCACGGGATTGCCCAATTTTCATACTTATTCATACCGACACTCGCTCCTGAATTTTTTCCTTATTGAGTAAAGGTGCTATTAATAGAACAGGTGAAATTATTTTCATTTACAATCGTTTTGATACCCACTTGTGTCGATAATGTTCAACCTACCTAGGCTAATAGCCATACTAATACTACTACTATCGTTTGCATCCACGGTGCTATCGACGTTTATCGAGAGTCAGAGCTGTGGGATTTCAACCGATGACTTTTTGTTAAAGCCGTTTATAATAGACGTTTCCTTGGATGAGGATGAGAAGAAACTACGGTTTTATTTTAATACAAAGGTAGCACCACATAGGGCTCTGTTAGCGAACTACAACTTGTCGGATTACCTCATCAATGATGTGGACTATAGATCGAACAAATATACCACGTTCCATGTGGAAATAGCCTTTATGGGCAAAACATTTATAAATGAAAACAAAAGATTTTGTGATATGATTGCGGTGAAAGATACCCCAAGTTTCAAAGATAGTCCCCGATTCCCGCCACCTGTCCCCACCACCACACCCCTCACATTTGGAAACTATAACAATACCATGGTTTCGAAACGACAAGACGTGGAACCATCAAATAACACCGTGGATGACGAACCCATATCTGAAATATTCAGTAATTCCACCGGTCAATTAGTTCAATGTCCATTATACTATAATGATTCAATTATGATTTATTACGAAGCGGATATAAGTGATCATTTTCATCGGCTTGGTTCTTACCTGGCCCGATTCTCAGTAGTTTCCAATGGAGAGGTGTCGGGAATAATAGGATGCTCAAAGACATACATCACTCCAGTCCAACCCGAATCTGTTTCTAAATTAATTGCCTATGGGGTTTTGGTGTTGATTGTGGTGACTGCCATTGTGAATTTGTTCACCATTGCCTATTCATGTTATCAAGAATCGTCAAACCCACTCTTATTTTTGGCATCTACTATTTGTAACGCGGACTTGTTGAAACAAGTGGATGCGTCTATCCCAGGGATAGTCACATATTTACAATTTGCATTGTTTATAGGAGGATTGGATTTGCAGTACCCCGGTTTTTACCAACCTTTGATTGCCCAGATTCGCTGGTGTGCACTTCTAGGTTCAAATATTATTAAATCACTGTCGCGGCAATTGCAACGGCCTTCCAACCAGGACAGCATTTATGTCACAATTGAAACGGGACAATTATACACATTGAGTGTGTTTACAACTGATTCTAGCATTGATCACACTTGGCCTAATTTTATAATATTGCTTATTATCGTGATTATTATTGTTATTGGATTTGAGCAATTGTTTATTTTGTTAAAATTATTTATGGATAATTTAAATAAGGACGGACAGGCGTTTTGGATGAAAAAGAAGAAAAAGAATGCTAATGGGAATAAAAGAAAGGCATTGGCGGAGAATTTCTCGTTGATATCAAGAAACAACGGATACCTTATGGTTGGACAAGTCTTGCATTTATTCTTGTCGATTTTTGGCATGCCCTTTCTTGTATTGACGTCATTTATGTTTTTAAAAGCGAGAGAATTGAACGGCAAGCAAAAATACTTTCCTGATTTGATCACATTGAAAGACCATGCATTTTCATTCACGACGTCGTATGATCAGATATTCCTTCCTTCAACTTATTTATTGACTAATAGCGATGATGATCCTATTAATTTCGGTGATCATTTGCGTAATTCAACATTCCTAAATTCTACATTATTGAATTCAACATTGGGCACTACTCAATACACCAGTATTCCTGTGCCATCAGTTGTATTTGGTTCAATATTATTCACCACTTGGATCGCCCTTGTGTTGTACTTCATCATTAATTACTTGGCATCTATAAACAAGAACCCTGGTCGGTTGTACACCTCGCTCAAGACGATTCTTCTTTGGGCATTCTACTACAATGAATACAAACCGCAACGAGTCGCTGCGGTGGCATATGACATTTTCTCACTTGTGTTTAAACTGTTGATTATTGGACTTGCGCAAAACCATGGGATCGTCCAGGTTGTATGTTTGATCATCATCTCCGTGTGTGATTTAATGGTGTTGTTTGTTATTCGACCACATTTTGTGGGGTTGACTTTGTACTCGTGCAAATGGATGTTCCCCATGGCGCGCTTCCTCAATTCTATGCTTTGCATTCCTTTCATTCGAGAATTGGAGATTGGCGAGTCCGTGCGTTGTTATGTCGCGTACGTTCAGATGTTGATTCATTGTATAGTGGCGGTTATCTTTGTGTTGCAGTTGTTGTACTGGTTTGTGCGGACATGCATCTCGATTTATCACAATATGAAGGATGAGAATACGGATATGAATGATGCAGGCGGGGCCATCCAGGGTAACTATGCTGACGAATTCAATCGTGAGTTCGAGTACAAGCCCGTGGTGTTGACGCAACTGCCTATTGATCGTGTTGCTCCTATAGTTCATGAGATTGAGGATGACGATGATGACGATGATGATGATGAGGAGAACTACTATTATAGAAAGAAGAGTGAGCAGATCTTGGCCAGGATGAGCACTAGTACTAGTACCAGTAATAATACCGGTGATTCTTCGACTCCACGAGCCAATTTGGCTAGTGTAGATGAAGAAAAAGAAGCAAGTACAATGACACCAGTTCCAGAATTACAAGTTGGTAGTTTGCGTAAACACGTGGATTATAAAGTCAGAGAGGGTGATCAGATCTACCAAAAGTATTTCATGGATGCGATTGATCCTGAGATTAAGGAACTTTGGGATTCCAGAAGAAAAGAATGGGATGAACGGGCCAAGAGTACTAGTGAAGAAAATGAAGTTGGTGTATTTGATAAGATTAGGAAGAGGATTCCATTTTTGAAGAAGAAGGAAGAGGAGGAGGTGATGGAAAAGGGATTCCATGTAGTCCGTCCTAAACAATTAGTTGTTAAGACGGTCGAGGAGGTGAGACAGCAACAGCAGCAACGCGAAGAAGCAGAGAGAGGTAAGCGTGCTGTGTTGCTGGATTCACAAACAGATGATAATTCACTGAGTAATTTGAGTTACTGAGTGGATATGATTAGATAGATATTTCAGTTCGTTGATTCGATCAATTGCGCAATGTGGATTGATTGGTTATTATAATGGGTTTTATTATTATTATTATTGGTTGAATCTTATTTATTTCTTTGGTATATATTTAATGGATTTTTAATTCTTTGTACGTTTGGCGTTGCTAGATATATCTTCGTTGCTTCTCTTTTTCAAGATGTTTCTGATGAGTTTGTCGTCGTCGATGGTCTTGACCAGTCCATCTAAAGTATTTGCTAAAGTGGCATCTACGTCTAAGCAATTGGAAAGGGATTGATATTCAGACTTTAAAACAACTTCAGCCATGCTCTTGCGCAAAGGTTCCTTTAACTCTTTGTCATATGGTTCTTTAGCAATTGGTGGATACTCATTGATTCTAGCTTGAAGGATCTCAGTATAATTCTTGACAAACTCGGTAGTCACCTTTTTCGATTCCACCAACTGATAGCATTTCTTGTATATTCTGGTAATGTTTTGAATATCAGCTGTGATTGGCTCTTGCTTGTGGATCAATGCAATTATAGTAACTAGTTGAATAAGGAATACAAAGGTAAGATTGACTTCTTTGCTTGAGTAACAATCATACGATTCAGCTACGACTTCCGGCTCGTCATCTTCTTGCTCTTCTTGCGAGATTTCCGTGATTATTTCCAATAAATCAAATACAAGTTGCTCTGACAAGGATTTTGAGAAATGACTGGTGATTAGGGTGAGGGGGATCTCACCGAAGTCGTATTTGGACCCTGTGGTTTCAACATACCCGTACCGTCTCAAAATTTCACAGTTTGGGTGATCAGAGTATGTGTTGTATACTTGTTCGCCTTTCTTGATTGGCTTAATGCATGTCATTACGAGATCTTGGTTCTTGTTGTAGGTAAGAATGGCATTGTTAAGGTGGGTGTCTGCGTTTAGTGTGTCTGCTAATGGAACCATGGACTTTATGTATTCCACTTCTTCTTCTTCTTCTTCATCGTCTTCGTCTTCGTCTTCATCCTCTGTACCCTGGGCAACATCGAAAGAGTAGGACATGATGATGGTGGCAATCTTGGTGAATTCTTCCATGGTCATACCCTTGAGTTCTTCAAGGTTCCACTGATTGACAATCGCAACTAGTCTCTCATACATCTCGACTGTCTTATCCTTGCCAATACGATCCAACACTAATGAAGGCTTCAAATCCAGTAGCTGTTCGTCATTCCAGAATAACAACTCGTGGAATTCAAAAGTGTCCAAATCAGGCAAAACATTGAAGTAATCGGTCCATTTACTTTCCTTCCGTTTGTATTCATACAACAACACGAGAATCAATGCATCCCATTCATTCTCTAAACCAGCGAGTTTGTCAGCGAGTTCTGGTTGGTCCTGTACGAGTGAATTGTTGAGGGAATTAATGAGGACCGTGCGGGGGATAGTGAAGAGGGTTTCGTCAATCTCGATGTCTTCCAATGCAATGATCCCACGTCCTTGATTGGCGGCTCTAAGGTCGGCGATTTGCAATTTAGGTGATATGGTGACGTCATTCTCTTGTAAGAACGCTATGAACTTGTCTGTTCTTGCCGAAAAGTCTGCCATTTTGAAGTTAATTTTGCAGTTACTCGAGGTTCGAGATGAGTTGAAATTTTTCAGAGCGCATCTGATAATGCCCCACTCTAATTGCGCACACTTACATGGAAATTCAGTCTACCATAAATTGTATTTCTATAAAGTTACTTCTTAGGCATACACTCAGTTTCAGACAACTGCTTAACATATAATCTCGAAGGAGCTCTCGAGTTTTGTCCTTCAGAGAGCCTTCTTCTTCTCTTGTAATTATCATCACTGGTAGCCACAGCAATCAACTCATCGCCATGGCTCAAGCCAATCTTGACAATACTCTCGGGCTCACCCTCATGACTCAAGAACTTGGGATACTGTCTCATTCGCTTGCGCTTCTCACAGTCCCACAAACATATTGTCCCATCTGATCCACTGGTGAACAATGTACTGTACTTTTTATTAAATGCGATTGAGTTCACAGGGTAAACCAAATCGGCACCCGTGGTTTCATCCTGGTGGCGATGACACTTGAACGTGAATCGTTTATGTTGCTGGATCTCAGGTGATGAGTCAAAGTACTCAATGGAAACTCGTCCGTCAATGGTGCTCAATGCAAACCCTTCGTTGTTGGGGAACGTCTTGAGGTCCTTGATTTGGTACTTGAGCCCGACCTGTCTGGTCTGCACGGGTCTGTCCAACTTTCTAAAGTCGTAAATCTCAATCATGTTGCTGGTCAATCCACATGTGAGATATTGGTCTGACACATCCATGGTGAATATCTTGGCTTTGTTCTGGTAGGTCTGTACCAGTTGGCGTTGTCTCTGGTCAATCAACTGTAATTTCCCGTTGAAAGTAGAACAGATGATTGAGTTCAAGCGGGAGACTTGGCAGATATTGTTTATCCCGCCATTAATCTCGTTTTCATCTGGGGTACTGGCGATATTGCCGCCCAATTTCCCATTCTCGAAATCTAATTCCCGCACGGTCCCATCCAATAACCCAGCATAGGACACCGTGGAAGTAGATAATAAACACAAGGGGGTGTCACTAGTGTTGAACACTTGGACGGGGTCAATCGGAGGTGGGGCATGGGGGACAAGCAAGTCTCGCAATTCGTACATGAATATTTCATTGTTCCAGGTACTCACCAACAATTGGTCATGAGTTGGTGTAGGCGAGAATTTCAAATCTGAAATGATGTCGAGTTCCTTGGATGGAGTATTTAACTCGATGAAGTGTGGAGGTATGGTCATATCTATGGTAAAATATAAAGCTTGAACGATGTGATAATTGGTTGTTATTTGGGGTGTAGATGAAACGACGTGATTAACACTCATCCTTGAATGACCCAACGAATCTGGGGTGATGTCGAGTCATGTGACAGTAAGCACGTGTTGATGTCATGTGATCGGGTTCATGTGAACCATGTCCCACCACCCGTGATTTCCCTCCCCATGACTTTCCTCCATGTCTCCCTCCATGTCTCCCTCCACGTCTCCCTCCACGTCTCCCTCCACGTCTCCCTCCACGTCTTTCCTCCACGTCTCCCTCCACGTCTTTCCTCCACATCTCCCTCCACATCTTTCCTCTACGTCTTTCCTCCACATCTTACTCCACACCTCACTCCCCCAATTGCTTCCTACAGCCCAGTCAATGCAACAATTATATTATCTCTATAAACTATATCTATACAAACTAATCCTTCTTATGCTTTCTTTCACGACTTCTCTTGGGCACTCTGGCCAACCAGAAGAAGAGCACAGTCAAGATGATATTAATGGCAATAAACGCCAAAAAGATCCCCCAGTTTCTCCATCTTTCACTGAATATGGAATTGACACTGGCCAAGAATTGATTGGTGGAGTCCATTTGACAGAACTCACATTGTCCCATGCTATTGGTACGAACGTACCCACCAGCAAATTTAATATATGGATCAAGGAACAGATCACATGTTTGGCCACTTGGTGGATTGATAGTCAACAACTCATCTGGTGCACATATGACATTGGTATTGGCTAACCCAGTGGACATAATAGCTTGGATAAGATAAGTCATTGGGTTACATCTGTACATGAAGATCCAGAAACCAGGTAAAGTATCAGGCCCGGCCAAAACACCACAGAAGTTCAAACACATAGTGAACAAAAGCACAGCGATATTAGCCGCATTATCAGGTAAATCCATAAACGACATCACCAACTGACCCATGGTGGAGGTGTAAACGTAGAAAGAACTAAGCAACAACCACATCAAGGCACCACGAGAGTTCACAGCATTGGTAGGGATGGCATTACGGTAAAGACCAACAGGGTAGTACCAAGACAAGAACGACAAAGTACCAACAACGGCCATGTAGGGAATTTCAGCGGTGATTTGACCAGCAATGAAGGCAAACCAACTGAAGGTTCTCGAAGGAGCTTCTCTCACTTCGTAAACATCACGATTCTTGACAAAATAAGGCAACATTTGTTGAAGTAATGTGTTGAATGGCATAAAGTACAAGAAAATAGCAAACATTTGATTCTGTAAGCCTTGCAACGAGTTATTGGCCTTGAAGAACGAGAACCCACTGAATAAAGCAGTGGCAACGGCCAAGAATGTCTTGGAGTAGATATAACCAGGAGATCTCCAGTGATGAACAATAACACGGTGAGTAACAATCAAGTATTGTTTCCAAAGAGGAGCAGCATAAGTCAAATGGTCTTCAGGATCGTCAATTCGAGGAATCTTAACCAATTCTCTTTCCATGGTATCCAATTCAGCTTGAACATCTTGGAATTCACTCGAGTTTCTCCACACTTGGAAATAGTCTTGCTTGGCATGGGAACCAGGAGCAGCACCCACAACATGCAACATCCATTCAGCAGGGTTGGCCTCCTCAGGACATGGATCAGCACCATACTTTTCAAAGTACTGAATCAAAGAGGAACAGTTCTTACCTAAATCACCAAAGTAAACAGTTTGACCACCTTTTTGTAAAAACAACAATCTGTCAAATTCCTTCATCAACAAAGCTGAAGGTTGATGGATGGTACACAAGATAGCTTGACCGTGATCAGCCAACTTTCTCATCAACTTACAAATAGACCATGCGGTTTGGGAATCCAAACCTGAAGTAGGTTCATCAAGGAAAAGCAACAACTTTGGCTTAGCAACCAATTCAACACCAATAGTCAATCTCTTTCTTTGTTCCACATTCAATCCTTCACCTGCAACACCAACTAAAGCGTCAGCATAATCAGTCATTTCCAACAAGTCAATAATGTAATCCACATAACGGTCTTTTTCCTTGGATGGAACTGAATCAGATTGTCTCAACGAGGCTGAAAATCTCAAGGCTTCTCTAACAGTAGATGCTGGCAAATGCAAATCTTGTTGTTGAACATACCCAATAGATCTTTGGAATGAGGAGTCAAGGGAATGTCCATTAACCATTCTAACACCATCGGTAATAACACCAACAGTAAGTCTTTCCGACAAACAATTCAACAAAGTAGTCTTACCAGCACCAGAAGCACCCATCAAAGCGGTAATTTGACCTGGTTTAACCCATCCATCAACATGATCTAAAATGACTCTGTCTTCTTTCTTAATCTTAACTTGATAAGTAAGGTCTCTCCAATGGAAGATTTCCTGGCTACTTGGCAATTCATTGTCATCACTGGTTTCACTGGTGTTGTCACCAGCCTTGATGGCTTCAGTAGCGTCCCCATAACTGACCTTTTCCAACTTCCCACTTTCGGCATCCTCCTTATTCTTACGTCTGTGGTTCTTCAACGAAGATCTAAGGAACAAGACAATTTCCCCCTTTTGCATAGCACCCTTGTTGAACTCAGTCAACATGATGTAAATAATCAAAAAGGCAACGGCAAACAAGATAAGAATACCGAGGTTTCTCCACTTGTGGGCATTGTCGTAAGCATAGGCCAATCTCAAATAATTGGAACCGTTCACAATATTATTACCTGGTACGGCACCAACAGTAGAACAAACACGGTTGGCATCAGCAACGTTTTCAAACCCTGGACCAGTAGGGACAAAAGTGGCACAGGTGAATTCACGATCGTGGAATTCGTTAACCATAAGCGATTCAAAAGCATAACTGACAGGATTAATGTATCTGATCCACTTGGACCATCCCAACATCAGCGGAGCAGGAATGACAAACCCAGTATAAATAACCATAGCCAATAAGAACACAGCAGCTGGGGTCATGGCACCAGCAATGGTGGTGAAGATGGCACCCAAAGATCTAAACAAGTGCGACATAACTAAAGTAGCCCAGATGTTGATCAACCAATAGAAGAAGAATCTTCCTGGGGTTCTTCTGTAATTAACCATAAAGTAGAAAACAAAATTGAATGCAATGGAAATACACAACTTGACTGGCAATTCACTGATAATACCCGCCAAAGCGTCTGCCGATGGTCGATAAAGGGCATACTTTTTGTGCTTCTCGACAATAGGTCTAGCTTCGAAAAGACTCATAATTTCTAAAATACACGAAAAGGCATTATACAAAACAGCAAAGAACATGGAGGCACCACGGTAGTAGAAGGAACCAGTCGTCTGGTCCAAATTGAAGAAAACTGACGATAACACCAACGCCATCACCACGTTACCAAAGATACTAACCAAGGGGATCGATGGGTCACCTTTCATTCTGAGAAAGTTTCTATGAATAATGTATCTGACTTGCATGGGGAATGACACGGTGTAGGAAGTCTTTGGGTTGGTGTGGTTGGATTGTCTGGCGACATGGGAATCATGGTAGATTTGCTTGGTGTTTTGTTGTTCTGAGGCAACGAAATACTGGTCAATGTCATAGATTAATTGGGTATATTCGGGAGATTGTTTCCAGTAGGCTTCAAATTCAGCTGGGGTCTTTGGAACCTTGTGTTCGTAGCCATACACTGGTTCTCTTTCAGCAGGGTTGGTCAAGGAAGTCAAGAAATCGGCGGTGGTTTGACGTTGAGGACAGTGCCATCCCATTCTCACAAAATAGTCTTTGGCCTTGTCGGCTTTACCGAAATATATTTGATGACCTTCATACAAGACAACGACATTGTCAAACAAGTCATAGGCGTCTTGAGAACATTGGTAAATGGCGATCAAGGGAGTGGCTTCCAACACGGTAGCAGAAGTCTTTAATGCACGGATGAACTCCAAGGCGGTAGCAGCATCCAACCCTCTAGTGGCATTATCCCAACATTGAATATTAGCACCACTCAAAGAAGCTTCAGCGATAGAAACTCTCTTACGTTCACCACCGGAAACACCACGGACGAAATCGTTACCAACATTGGTATGTCTGGTATGGGACAACCCATAGGTGGCCATGTAAACACTGGCCATATGCTTGGCGTAGGTTTCTCTATCCACGTCCAAACCTCTGTTTTGTGGAGTTCTCATTCTAGCAGCAAACTCCAAAGTGTCACCGACTGACAAGTGGGGGAAATGAACATCGGTTTCAGCCGAGTAGATAACGTCACCTCTAAAGTTATGCTTGATATCATCTTGCGACAACCCGTCGTATGAGATTTTCGAGTTCTTGTCAACATGGAAACCATAGGTGCTAGCAGCGATAGTCTTTAACAAGGTGGAACAACCAGCACCAGGTCTACCCAACACGACAGTGACTTCTCCTGGTTTCATGAGAGCATCCATAGGCTTCAAAATGTCAAAGTATCTGGACTCATCGTCTGGTCTAAGATATCTGAACCCTTCAACAGCCATCTTCCACATGGCATTGGTGACGGTGGGTTGGTAGTCGGAGTCGTTAGCAACACCATAAGCACGCAAATCACGATAGGCGATCCCCAAGGTAGAGGGCTTGTAGTAGTCTGGTTCCGATTCGTATAATTTTCTCAAATTCTTGACCCAGAATTTAGCATTGAAGTCGTCTGAATTAGGGTCTAATTGGGTGATTTCTGGGTCGTCTGTGTATGGGTTTATCCCTGGCACTTGCGACATATGGGTCAAGTACTTGTGCAACCCGGTGGCCGTTTCGACATCGGCGGTGTCAGTAGCGTTGGAAATTAAAGAATCATTGGTCAAGGTTCTGGCCAACTCTTGAATGGCTCTGCCAGTTTCCGAGTTGAATCCTTGGTACTCCACCAAAGAGCCGTCCTGACTCAGTATACTATGTTTATCTGGTTCCAGCATTGTAAAACAGAGAAACAAAGAAACAAAGAAACAAAAAAACTTGTAAACTTGTAAACTTAGAAAACAGTTAAGTCACGAATGGTAGAAACTTTCTAGAAAAAGAAATAGAGACATTTATGACTATCTTTATAACACTGTTTGGTACTAAGAAAAGTTGGTGGTGAAATTTTTGTTTTCGTTTGCTTAGCCCCGACGGATCCACGGGGGTATTTCCTATTTCGGCTAATTTTATCTCCATGAACAATGCATGCGGAATCAAGAAAAAAAAGAAATCCTTCCGATGGGCCATATTTCCATTGGGGGTCACACACCCAAGCTCCCTCGGTGATTAACATCCCGAGTGCTAATTCGCTGTGTGCAACTCCCTAAAAGATCGTTCGCTCTAACCAACGTCTTAAAGAGGCTAAATTCGTAAACAGGCATGGGGCTACGGCGCTATGGTGGCAACCCCAAGGGGGGGGTGTGTGTGTGCAGTGCGCATGGGGCGAGATTTTCGGAACGTACTTTTTTATTCCGCTCGGGCGCAAGCTCGGTGGTAATGGGGTTTTGGTTTTTGGCATTTGTGTAGTGCTCGCAGATCCAATTTCACATGGTACAGCCACAGCGCACACCAAGCTATCTATACGACGAGATTATAATCACAAAACACTTGGCGTTTGTTTGTTTTTGTGTTGCTGTGAGTCAATCTTGCTTTGTGGACTTAGGATAAACCCGTTTGTAGTTAAATCCGAATATTTTCTAACTGAAGCTGCGTCTCCGTCCCGTTCCGTCGTTTAAAAGTCGGCTTATATACAGGCTGATTGTCGTGTAGTATCTTGCAATTGAAACGTTGAAATCGATAAGAAAGGAGGGGGTGTCGCTTCGGAATTAATTCGGGAGCGCAAACCAAGGTGGTGTCCCGCAGATGCTAGCTAATCTAGAAAATGTGTCAAAATTGCACCCATGAGAGGGAATCACAGTTAGTTCCGAGCTTTCCATTCTCTATTCTCTATTCTCTCTTTTTATTTTATTTTTTTTTATTTTTGCAACTAAATAATCTACGTATACTTTTCCCAACCGTGTGGCTTCTCCAACCCAGCAGCCTCATAATACTTGTTCCCACACGAGTATCCCCTGAATGTAAACTCCCGTCCTGGATCACAGGAACATTTATGGTCTTGTCTAAACTGCCCATCTATAGGACACAGCATATATGGTCCATGTCTATACCCTACATCTTCAAAAAAGTGTATCTCATCCTTAGACAAGAACAAACTCGCAGCTATTGAATGAATCGGCGCGTCTCCCCATCTCTCATAGAAAAACCCACCGGTCTTATCCAAATGCTCAAAATATCTCAGATACGCTTCTCCTCGCCAGAAATTTAAATTTGCAATTTCAAAATTGGACCAAAAGTGACAGAGGTTGTAGGTGTTCCCATTATCGTTGCTTATAAATGGAAGCAAATTATCTGCTGCAAGATATTGCGGGTTTTGTTCAATGAAGTTCTTGGTGTGTGTCCATAAAGTGGGTATAGTCTTTCTAAACTCCTTGATGGATATGGCAAACCCATAAGTCTTGTTATTCAGCTCCATGTATTTAAACACATCATAGTCCACATCACAATATATGTCAATCCCCGGTTCCACACGCCAATACCAGTCATAATCACGTAAGAGTTCATGATGATAGAAGAACCCACTTTCGTACCGGCACATGTGTCGATACGACTCCGAGTCGCCATAGATGATATTCTCCTGTTTCATCTGCATCCGGGTCTGTTCTGCCTTTTTCAAGTCGATAAAGTCAGGATAGGACCAGTGTTCCTTGGGTATGTGTCCATATTTCGCCGTTCCTGACACGAGCGCCGATGTCAAGTTTTTGAATTCTTGCGTGAACTCGACGTCGTTGAGGAATACCCAGTCATAATTGAACTTCAGGTTGAACCGGTCCTCCACCTGGCGAATGGAGTGGATTAGGTCGTATAATTCTTGATTTCGGGCAAGCGCAATAAATACCGCCCGGGGTCGTGTCACGTCAAACACTGCACTATGTCTGTGGTAGTGTAGTACATGTGAATGCTCCTCCTTGGTGAGAACAAGAACGAGTACAACGGTAAGTATCCCTGCTACTATGGTTCTACCTGACAATAGTGGTCTCATAATTTGTCTACGTGGGGAGGGTGGTGGTGGCAGCAGCAGCAGTAGTAGCCTCGTAACCAGGAGATAATGTCCCAGAAAGAACACCCAGACTATTTATATTATGTGAAACTGTCCATTAGTTGCTCACGTTGATAACACAAAATCAGTAATTGTATTCTTTTAATTCTGGTCTGAAATCTAAGAAAAGAAGTGGTAATTTTTCTGGTATAGTCAGCATGCCAAGTGTATACAGTCGTATGGTACGACAATACCTCTTGCTGGACTGAGTGTGCCCATTAATTGCTTTTACTTGGCAAGAGAGTACTACATGGGTGATCGAATCTAGATCTGTAACGTCTCACCAGATGAGTCCACAAAAAAATCTACAACAATATCAAACGAAAAAAAGAAACCAGTCGCTCCTTTGTTAGAACACAATAGAGTGCATTCAGTTATAACACACATTTCAGTTATTTATAGAAAAATCAATTACATCATGGGAAGGTGTGAACTGCGAGTATGAGCCTTGTTGTTGTTGTTGTGGTGGTGGTGGTGGTGGTGGTCACCAACTCGTGAATCAAGCTATTTTCTTGAGGCAGATTTGTTCGGTATTTCTCTTGGCAAAGCAACTAGGTGGTAATGGTTATCGCATAATGTCTTCTCGAAGATGTTGGAGAAAATCAGAATCATAGCTGCTTTGGATTTGGATAAAACAGCATATAATGGTCTAAATTCTTTCCAGGGGACAGCTTCTACGCTAGTCTACATTCACTGAACATGTCAATCCTAAACCACATCTCCTCGTGATGCATCTAGTCATACATTATATAATTAATGTGTATCTCTCAGAGAAACGATTTCGTTTCAAATGTTTTTTACCACTACATCTTGTCAGGATACTTATTAGGTGAGGATCTCCGTTGGAAATAGCAGCTTCCCCGATAATCTTTCGTTTGTAGATGATTTGATGGAATACACCATGTCAGTGCAGTTGGTATTTCTCCTCACATGCATATATCTCCGGCAAATGAAGTGCCATCACTTAACTGCAAAAAAAGCTTTAATGATTAGAGAAACTAGGAAACCTCAAGGGGTAAATTCACATCTATTTATAATTGAGTTTATCAGGCGTGCGGGATTTGTTGTGAACCCCGTTGCAATGGTGATCTATGCATACACATTTATGAGTTAAAAAAAAAAAAAACAAAAGCAAAAAAATACAATTTCTATCAATGGGATCTTCGCTTCGAAATGTTTGGCTACGTACGTCGTATCTACTATCATGTTGATACCTTGCATGGACTCAGCGTACATCGGTTTCTCTGATTTACAGTGAAATATACAAGTATTACCATATATACCGAGGATGTTAACTACCATTGACAAGAAATTTCCCGCTTTGGATTTGTCTCAATCGAGTAAATCACTGTAGTTAAGCCATGAGCTCGTCTCGCTTGAACATTTCACTTGTAATTCGTCTGTTGGTTTCGCCAGTTGTCCACCCATCAACTCTTTTGTGTACCCTTTTTTCGCAATCACAGCTGCAATTTATTTCCCAAGTAAGTAACTCTGAACAATAGCCACCGAAACAATGACGTATTGACATTTGACATATAAGGGATGCCTCGGAACTCTTCTCACCTAAATATTAGTCTCTTTTTCCTTAAGTCATGAACCTGCCATTATGTCTATTGTCATTACTATCCTTCGCCTTTGCACTTCTAAAACTTGACTTTGACATTGAGAATATACCTGTGCCGACATACATCGCCAATATCACCATTGGATACTTGAAAGAGCCGGTACTGGTAACTCCGGAGTTGGGGATGGGGGTATACTTAATAACTCCCGAGACCCAATGTTTTAATGAGCAGTGTTTAAACTATGGGACTTATTCTCCACAGTATTCCCGGAGTTTCCACAATTCGTCCAAGGTAGTGAAAAGCCCTCCGTGGCAGGGCATACTGGGGAGTGACAACATATACATCGGAAAGCAGGAGATTAAACAGGCGGAATTGGTGGTTGTTTCCGAAGCTAGTGCTGCTTTAGGACAACTTAGTCTTGAAGAAATCTCTCAACAGCTAGGTTACAATTCATATTCGATATATACTACATCACCCAGTAAAGGAGTTGTCTTATTTGAAGCAATAGATAATGCCAAGTACTACGGACTTCTAAAGAAAATTCCGATGGCTAACAACAGGTTGAATCTAACAAGTGTTACTATGACCAGGGCAAATCACACAACAGCTTCATTAAAAAACAAACAGGCGGTGCTATCGACAAACTCGATATCTTCATTTGACAGTGGGTTTATAGACAACGTCACCAAATTAGTCAATGGTCGTTACCTAGAAGATAGAATCATCATTGACTCGTGTGATGTGTTAGATGATGTTACCATCGAGCTTAACTTTCAGTATAAACTTATACAGGTCCCTGCAAGTACGTTGGTGCATGTGGACATGGGAAAATGGTGTGAGGTTAGGATATTAAAAGGGGATAATGTTTTAGGGATTGATTTACTCAGTAATATTTACATAAATGTCGACTATACCCAGCAACAATATGGAATTGCCCAGGTGAAATATACCAATGAATCCGCGGTTGACACCCTGGTTACTCTGAACTCGATAGGAAGCAAACCTGATGTTTCGTGGGTAACTTACATCTGCTTAATTTTTAGTTTTATGATCTCGCCCGGGTCCTGATCGGGCTCAACCCAGGCAAACCCCTCGCCGTGATTTTTCCAATACTCAAGAAAGAGTAGCTCCAGATTCAAATCGCATAATACCATTCTTCGTTTGTTGAGTTCACTCTTGAAGAACTTTTGAATGTTGGATATTTCCTCATTGGGTAAATGCGTCCATGGATGGGCGTTGGTTTCCACTACGGCATCAGGGAGTTCCACGATGTAGTTATCCACGGTAAATGTCTTTAAATTTGGTTCTGGTCGCACTTTTGAGTAATGGAAGTTGATTAGGTTTGTCTCGTTGAATTCTTCCAAATGGGTTATGATCTTGTTGGTAGTTATTAATTCATGTTTGTGTAAGTAATTGTAGAGTTGTGAATTGTAGAACCGAAATTTTATTCGGCCAAGATTGGATATTTTCAAGTTGGCCATGCTAGACACTAGTGCTGTGGATGATATGTTTAGTAACATCCACGCGAGTAGTGGTATGTCTGGTAGTAGTGTCGATTGTAGAGCGAGTACGCCAATGTTTGCTAGTGTTGCTGATACTACTAGTTTCATGAGTCTGGATTTTCTGTAGTCCAAGTATAGGTCGGAGTTGACAGTCTTGTCAATCAAATTAAACCCATTAAAGTAGTCGTTCTGGTCTAGTATTCGACTGAGGGTGATATACACTATGGAAGTATCTACATCTTTCTTGTGAGTTAGCTGATTGCGAAAACTGTCACTGGTGATCTCAATCAAGTCTTGGACGTTACTCGGTTTCGGTTCAGTTAGCAAGTACTCCTTGACTACTTGCACATCATCAAGTGCATCCCTGCGAAAGTCATGAAACAACAACTTTTTCAAGCCAGATTCAAGCTTTGCATTAGTAGGCGTGGATAGTTCCAAGTTTAGTCTAGTAGGAGCATAATTTGGCAGGGTGTTAGTTCGTTGTAGGGTGCGATTAGCCTTGACTAAATCTAGTAGTAGTTGTTGTTTTATCGGTGTTGTACTTTCGTGGTATACTTTGGGCAACTTTTTTATCCTCGACAAGTACGTGTGATAGTTTAGAGGATGATGCGATATGTTGTATAGACGAATAAACCGCATGTTATGAACTCACTGTGTTGGTGACGGTGGTTGGTTGTAAGATTATTGTGTCGTGCACGATTTTTCTTCAACAGACATCACCAACATCAACAACAACAACACTTGAATGTTACTGTAGCATCAACATATGCCAAATACACAAGTAAGCATACCACGGTCAAACAGTTGCTAGTTTGATCTGTGCTAGGCTTAGTGTAACAAGGTAAGTTAAGGTTAGAAAACCGGTTATGTGTGTGTGTATATATGAATTACTTTTCCTAATTGGGACAAATCATAAACACACCAGATTCAAATATATAGTCGGTTAAAAATTTCTTAACCGCAACAACAAAATACATCGTAATTCTGCTTCGACAATCGTCATGGCATCAAAAGAAGATCTTCCACATCAAGACACATCAGCCCGCAAACTTCTTGATCCGACAACATCAACAATCCCTCCCACGGCCACGACACCAGAGACCATGTTGTCAGGGCAATCCCCACCCTCTTCGCCCCTGGATGCACCAAGTCACCTCAAAGCTGAGGAGGAGGCTAATTCGCCCTCTCCACCCTCGGTGCCCAGTGCCTCCATGAAACCACCAGCGCTTCCATTTACGTCGCCCACCACCATCACATCTCCTTCTCCCGATAACAACTCCAAGTTCAGAGAAAGTATCATGTCGACCATGTCTCAGTACTCGGGTTTGCCCAGTGACGAAGCCGCTACCAAGGTCCACATATTCTCGTCCAACAAGGTGAGGTATGTCACTGATGAAGATGACCAGCACGAGCGTGAGCGTAAGCATGAGCATGACTTCGAGCATGACCTCGAACATGACCACGACAATGAATCAATCAAGCTTGGGAAACTAGTCACAAGAACCAGCCCCGTCAAAGAGGAATCACCCAGTATGACCTACCTCACCAGCGTTAAAGAGGCCATTCCAGCCAGATCACCCAGACGGCCCTTGAGTGTGCCACCCGACAGCATGCCGCTCGACTTGAGCCACAGCCTCCCGGGCCCAAAGAGACACTCAATGGTCACGGACATGAAAAGACGCTCGATCCAGATCAACGATGGCTTGGAGAAACTCATGCACGACGCCCACTCAATAACCTCCGAAGAACCAGAAGCGTTAGCCATTAAACCCACCATATCGGCCCAGACCGAACCTATACCTCCCAAATCCGACTTGACCATCACGAAAACCCGCGAGACTAGTTTACCACCACGTCCCACCCTCGACAACATCCGTCGTGCACGAGATTTCTCCAACAGCTTGCAAAAACAGAGCGAGTCAGAAAACGCCGAGTCGGACGAATACTACGACATCGAACCAGAGATTCAAACCAAGGCTAAACCAGTGCACAAGGCCATCACCCACAAGAAGAAGAAAAAGAAGAATAAACAGTTGCCCTTCAGCTACACCACCTTGGTCAACTTGTTGCAGAGCATGAACGGGACCGTGATCGGCGAGGAGTTTAACCAGTTGCACATCCCTGCCCAGGAGAAACAGTTGATTTCGCAAATCATTGACTCGTTAAGTAAGTTGACTTCAGATATGATTTTGGATGAGACAAGGTACGAAATTGGCATAAAACGATTACAATTGGCTTTGAATGTTTTGGAAGGGTTTACGTAGCCTGTTTATACTACAAATATAGGATTATGTTATTCTAATATGTAAGAGATTCTATCAACTCTTCTCCAACTGTAAATAACTTATAAAACTATTGCCGATCCGTTCAAGCAACTCTTCAAGGATGTTCCCGCTGATCAAAAAGTCATAGTTCAACTTGAACAAAGCAACACTGGTGTCGTTCTTCTTGGTCTGTTCCAAGTCATTAATACTCTTGAAGATCAACTCAAATAACTTCTTAAACTTGAGGTTCTTGTCGATCAAGTTATCCCGAAGCGATATCTTGACCAAGTTCCTCTTTTGCTTATCAAACTTGTTGTTCTTGAAACTTATATTGACGGTGATTTTGTCCTTGATTATCTTCTTCAGATTCGTGCTGGAACTGATATGGAAAATGAACTGGATCGAGTTGAGGGTGTTTAAAGTGACATCAAAGTTCAACCTCGATAACCCGTTACTCAATCGGAAGGTTTGTTTGTTGACCAACTTATTGATGGTGGTAATGGCATTCAAGATTGGATTTATGGTTTGCAAGTACTTGATTATTCCAATAACGGATGATGTATTGGTTGTGTGCAAATACCTATTCAAATATTCTAGTATGAGTCGCAATTGTGAATTCTCAGTTGTGGTGGTTAGTTGAATACACATGGTGGATTCTTCAGGAAGGAGGATAGTCAAGTTATTTCCATCAATGTTGATTGTGATGTCATTGATTGTGTTGGATACGATTTGTATGTGGTTGTTGTTTAATTGGTCAAGAATCTTAATAAGCTTGTTGAATTGGTTGAGATTATTGAAAAGTTTGGATAGTAAGTTTCGTTCAGTCATAGTGGCAGTGGATAAATTCACCGTGTCTTTAAACTCAAAGTTTTCTTCAATAATGGTAAGATTCAACTGGGAATAGTCCTCCTGTATTATCGACAAGTTTCGCAAGTTTCCAAACAAGGTAAGATTCATCTTGTGATCACTCAACAACTGGATCTGCAAAAACAAACTCGTGGAGGAGTTATTAATTGGCAACAACTCATCATTGTAAATCATAATTAACGATTGATAAATAGTTCCCTCGACACTAGGCTTTTCCTTAATACCAAACTTGGCCAACACTTTACGTTCTTTATCGGCATCCACCTTGAAGTACTTAATATGTTTAGTTTGCAACTCCTCGATGATCATATGGTCGATAATCATATTGGAGCAAATGGTAGCCAACCCGGAAAAGAACCCGTAATTTAATTCCAGATCATGCAGGATCTTATTCTTCCACTGTATCTTCCATTCTCCCTTGATACTCTTAATTCGGGCCACGTACCACGCCACCAGGTTGTTGATTCCATTGATGGAGTTGATCAAAAACCACGAGCTGGGCCACTTCTTGACTCGGTAGAACTGACATTTTCCTGAATTGCCAAGCTTACTGAGTTCAGTTTCACTGAGGGTGATTATGTCGTTGTTTATCCATTGGCTTGTGAGTAACTTGTTGTTGATTTCTTTGGTGTAAACCAAAAGTCTAAGTTGGATGATTTGGTCGATTATGTTATTAATTAGGTCGTCCTCGGAGATGAACTTGCTGGATGTGCTGGGCGCAGTGTTGATCTTCTTGGTTATGGCTTGCTGAATTGTTATTGGGTCGATAAAATAGAAATATCCCGTAAGTGGATTAATTGCAAATATCGTCGACTTGTTATGGGATAATTTGACAAGGAGCTGATGCGAATTGACTTGGCTTATTTCTTCAGGACTCAATAACCCGGCGAGGCGTTCAAATACACTACTCATGAGTAATTCTGCATGCTTGTTGACAATCACATTCAACATGACATCGACGTTTAAATCGTGTGGATGGTCATCGTTGCCTTCATCGTCATCGTCATCGATAATCACCTCTTCGTTATCCTCGGGCTGTGACTGGATGAATATCTCCGTCATGTCGGTTTGCTGGTACTGGCCATTCTTGAACCATCGATAGTTCAAATTGTAATTCCGGTCTATTCCTAATTCAATAAATGATTTATAGTTCTTGGATAAGTAGTGGCTGCTCCAGTAGTTGAGTATTAGTGAGTTGCGACCAATGGAATAGTTCAAGTCGATGTTGTTTCGCCATTTGCTGTTGACCATTAGTTCTTTTATCTGCTTGGCAATGAGGTATAGTTTGAATGACATCGAGTATTTGTGGAGAAGTTCGTAGACTTCGGTGAGTGATGTGGATGTGCTTGTATTGAAGACTGTGTTGACAATCTTTTCTAGTTTCTTGTATGATTTCGGTGGGAGTTTTGTGTATGAGTTATGAGATATGGATAAGGTTTCCTGGTTGATTCCAAAGAGGAACTTGAAGTCTATGAGGTAGAATGGTGATGTTTGGCTGATGGTGGTTATGACAAGTTGGTACTCGTTCGGAATGGTTATAAAACATTTCCCATCTTTTATTTCATAATTGTTGTTGAACCTCGGGGGCAACTCCACATCATTCATCAATGCAAATCGGATGGTCAAGACCAAGTTCAACTCTTTCAACACTTCCAAGATCTTTTCGCTCGACACCACGTCGTTGTCCGTGCGTAGATATCCATAACTTGCCAATTGGGGTCGTTGTTTATACAACACCTGCAAACTGGTGATCAAGTCGCTGTTGGGCAATTTTGTGCCATAATTGAACTGGCTATTACCAAACTCGGTGTTCATGGTGTACAACAATTGATCGTAACTAAACTCCAACTGTCTGAGCCAGTTGAGCAAGTCTATAAGCTTAGACACGTCGGCACTGTTGCTGCACCACTTGACAAGCGTGTACAATTTGACGAAATCATGGCGGAGAGAGATGATGAGCTCCAAGAACTGCTTTTTCCGCTTGACGTCGTTTGATTGATCCGCAGCCAAGTTGTCTATGGCGGTGGTGAACTGCTTGTATGCCTCTTGGGTATGGAAATGGATAATGGAGGAAAGTGGGAGAATGTTGGTGGTAACGTGGGGAAGTGGAGGAACTTTGCTGGTATCTTGTCCATTGATGTCTTCATTCATCTTGTGCATAGTCCAAGTTAATTGATACAACGACAACTAAGCTTTTAACACTCTATGTCGGATGGATAGTGTTGGCTGTCTGGCTTTGGTTTTTGTTCAGCTTGGGCTTTTTTTTTTCGTTGGGACAAAAAAAAAAATGCGACATAAATCCTGCAGCACGACATTCGTTGTGCGACATTTCTCTAACCACTCTGGCTTGACAACAACAACAACAACAACAACAACAACAACCCTCTACTGGCAACTTTATACATAGACCCTTTCTAAAATTACATCATTATCATTATTCTATACAATTGTATTAATCTATTTGCTAAATTCAACAACGTCATCAGGAACACCATGTCTAATCCATGCATATTCTGGCTTAGCAATTAATTCAACAACATCAATTCGTTTATCCTTTCTCACCAAAAGCAAGTCCACAATCAGCTTCAATTGCGTGATGATCTTTTTGATTTCCATTGCTAAGTCATCGGTATTGGTCAAATAAGTGTTCACCCTATGCCAATCCCAATCTATCGTCGCTATTCTATGCGCCACACTGTTCTTGGAACGTTTACGTTTGAGTACTGAAGGTGACACACCAGGCGATTGTGTCGTTGGGGGCAAGTCAAACGGTAATCTGTTTTCGAGAATCGAAAAAATCAAAACACCAATTGACCAGCTGTCACTTAGTTTCCCATTGTACTTTGCTCCCAAGAGCACCTCTGGCGATATATAGTCTTGTGACCCACATCGCGTGTCAAGCAATTGATCAGGGTGTTGTAATCGCTTACTTAATCCGAAATCGGAAATGTTGACAATTGGGTTGGTGTCGGTCAACTGGTCAATGCTGTCATGGAGCAAAAGGATATTTTCTAGCTTTATATCGCGGTGGATTATATTCTTGTTATGGAGGAATGCAACCGTGAGGATGACCTCACACACTATTCGTTTAATCAAATGCCAGTATTGTAAATCATGTAAATAATTTGCTTGTTTGTGTGATAACAAAAAGTGGAGTAAATTGCCACCAGGACAATAGTTTAGGAATATTAGCTGTTGGTTGTGTACTTGTACGTTTTCATATTCCTGGTCAGACACAGTCATTTCTTTTTCGTCCTTAGGGAAGTTGCAAACGTCGTCGTTGCTTATATCGAGGGTTATGTCGTAGTCGACAAGACTGGTGATGCAGGGGTGGTAACTTACGTGGTATAATACGTTTAATTCTCGTGATACAAACGACTTGAAGTTGGAGACGTGTTTTTTGGAGTCGGCGGGGATGCTTATTATCTTGATGGCTACGAGCTTCCCCTCGCCTTCGGCTAATATAACATTACTGAAGTTTCCCACACCCAATTCGTCGACAAATTCAAACTCAATGCCTAGATGCGGAGCCACAAACCTTTGACTATACCATTTGGAGCTGGATGGCGAGGTGGGCGAGGTTGTGGGGGTGATTGGCGACTCGGTATTTGCCCTCTCTGGGTTACTGACAAATCTTCGTCCCTTTTCGTTCAAGCTATGGTGTCTAGATAATTTATAATCACTGACGATTCTAGGTGGGGAAATCATTCGCGGCTGACTAAATGTCTCCCGCAAGGAGTCTGTGGTGGTGTCATAGTTTATAAATGAGTTGGTGTTGATGATGGGAGTGGGCAAATGGGTGATTGTTTCAAAGCGCGAACTTACGCTGCTAGTGCTTGCGGGACTGGGGGTGCTTGTGAATGGCTCTCCTAATTTCCCATTGGAGGGGACCTTGATTTGAAGATCCTTGGGATGGCGCTTCGCCAGGGGTGATATTGGATGGTATATATTATCTGAATTCATTGTATACTTGTATCGTGTGTTTTGAGATCTGGGGCGAATGACGATTCATAAAATACAGCCAAATCTGAAAATTTTGCCCTAAAAGGGGAGGGAGGGAGAAAGGAGAGCGTAAATAAGAATAAATCTTGGGGCTGGTTGTCTGGTACGTGCAATTACCGTGGGGTATTAATCTATGAGGTAACGTGTAGTAAATTTGCCAATGCACACTGGGATTGGCAAATTTTTCTTGGTGGTGGGTTGTAAATTTAAACGGGCGTGGGCGGACTTTGCGATGATGATGATGATGCTTGCCAAAAAATGAATGACCCTATAAATTTATGATGGAATGGTGGGGGACACAAAAAGTTCTATAAATAAAACCTACAGTAAAATTAAAAGAAAACAGATTATGACAATTTCATTTCTTTTTATGATGATCAGCGTAAACGCAAACTGACACTGACACTGTGTGGTGGCACGCAGGTTAAAACGAAGGTTGAATGACAAAGAAATTTTTGATTAAAAAATAAATGACTAATTATTTTTTTTTTTTATCATTCACCAGCAGACACCCAGGCGGTTTAATTTTTTTTTTTTCACTTCACCTTAGATAAGTCAATTTTACTATCTTAGAGATAACGAATATGTCAAAGCTTGCCGTCAATTGCAGCGATAGCTAACACTGTATCGGTTGTATGGTATTGTATAACAGCCATATCTATCAATTGCATCGTCAAATGGTGTACGTTTGTAACTCTTACCCCACAGTTTACAAACACGAAATGTTTATCCGCTATGGAGGCTGACACGATCCAGGAAACCCCAAGAATTGACTCGAGGGGGGCGAGCCTCAAAAGATGTCAACATTGCCTAGCAACAGTCAAATCCCACACAAAACACCCCGCGCAATCGACATTTTTTTGACAATCTGTCCAAGTACAATGTCCACATCTAGTTGCAAATTGGTGTCTTGTTCGTAACTGAAAATGTAACATGAAATCGACAATCGGGTAACATGGAAAAAACAATGCATCTTAGATTATTTTTCAACAAGCGATTCCCCAATTGAGAAATGAAAAATTAAAAAATCGCGCATCTGCTGAAAAATGTCATTTTGTGTTATCGACAATTCTATTGTTCAAACTATGTTGGGTTTGATTGTTCCCGGCGTGGTTTTTGGGGCGTTTAGCCTTGCGATCTGGGTACAATTGTCAACAAAAGATTGGAGAGATAATGGGAATGAACATTACTGAATTGGGAGAATGATGTCCCCAGTTGGGAAATCTTTGACAGTTATCTAGTGCCAATATACGAGGCGCTCAAGAGAAATTGCAAAATTTCAAATGGAATTCTATCTTGTGAGGCTAAACCATTGTTGGTATCGGACTGACTGTTGCAATGTTGTGATGCATTAGTGTTGTTTTGCATTGGCATACGACCGAACTGTCTTTACATGAATATCAACTATATATCTTAGCAACTTATCTTCAAGGCTATACTTGTTAGGTTGTGTTTCGTCAATGTTCAGGCACACGCACAGCCGTTATTCCCTCCCAGCATTCGTCTCTAATTTGGCTGGTTAATTTTTTTTATTTTTGCCAAGAATTACACAAAAATTAGCCTATATAAAAAAATACCCTAAAACCCGATAATCGGGAACTTAGACTGAAAATAGTGAAAAATATCAATTGAAATAACTTGTACTTTGTAGGATACAATTGAGGTGAAATCTGGTTTCTCTGTCTTGCAATTACTTTCACCCGGAGGTGGGGTATATGTGTATCGGGCTAAACTTGTTGATGAGTTTTACCTGCAGTACCCCCCAATTTAAAACCTTAATTTCTCTGTAACTGCAGCGCCTCAACATTCAATTTAAGCCAATTATGGATATTCCAAGCAGGTTATAGCTTCACACAGGACTTGCCAAGACTAGCACAGTTTTTTAAAATCTGGTGTGTGTGGAGAGGTGCAGTTATAATGGTGAGAAAAAATTATAATATTATTACTGATAATTTTGCAGTCAATGAGGCTTGTTGCCATCATCTAGTTCTCGTCTATTGTGCGACATGTGAAACTTAGCACTTTGCCCGTCTATGAAATGGGCTTAGACTCGGTTGCAACGGATAATGTAGATATTGAATTTTGTTTCCAAACCGTTTGCTCGGAGCTAATTTACTCGATGACGATGTGCAACAGGAATATTGTTCATTTATAGGTAGGGCTTTCAAATTAGTGCTTCTCTAGAAAGAGAGGGCTCTGGAGGATGTGTTCCGGGAATATTGGGAAGCTTTGGTAATGACATCTACAATAATCGGTTTATCCATGTATGAAATGTTGAATATATAGCATGATAATAGTAGCAGCAATAGTAGCAGCAATAGTAGCAGCAATAGTACTAACAAAAGTACCAACAAAAGTACTAACAAACGCAATAACAAAAGTACTTACAAAAGTAATATCAAACGCAATAGCAAAAGTACTTACAAACGCAATAACAAAAATAACAATGGTAATCCAGCACCACAGCAATGTCCCCGCATACACCAGCATAAACCTGGCACTGTCCAATCAAGCCACCAGCACATTGTCGATCCAATCTGGGGACCTGGCGATCCATCGTGCGTCTAACAGTCATCTGTTATTGTGCGGCTCGTAATCCACGTGATTTACGAGATTTGTGTTTTCTCCATTGCGCACGACCTCCCACTTTGGTCAACAACAATTTTTTGTACGTGTCGAAAACCAACCACACCATATATTTACAACCACTCACTTTACACGTCGTGATTGCAATCAATTAGCACATCAAAAAGTTTTTAATAGAGGGTATGCAATGAGTGGGACAGGTCCACCGTATAACAACAGCGAAAGCTCATTTAGTCGGTTTAATGATCTGCCATATTTGCAATATCAACAGCCTAGACACCGCCATCATTCCAACGCCCATAGCTCTATGATCGATGAACAATTGGACTATGCATTCAATTCGCTGCACCATCAACAGCAACAGCATCGTGCTAGTCAAGCGCATAGCCATTCTACCTATAATCCATACCAACCAAATCAAGCTAGCGCCGTTGAAGCCGAACAGGATTTGGACAATTTGTTGGATCAGGAATTGGATGCATTGGTGAGTGGGGACGAAGATGACGGCGGGCACAAGGAACATCTTGACAACTGGATGAGTGAACAACAACAACAAGCACCACCACCGCCACCACCGCAAGACTTTGAGGAGATTCAGTATGAAAGTACAGAAGTTCATGAAGATCACCAAAAGGAGAATTTCCAATATCCTCCTTACCAACTGCATCAACATTCACTGAATCCATATGCACCACAGCATGATTACCAGGAGAATGCCTATCAACAGGAACAACAAGAGCCAGTTCATCAGGCGTCTAACCCATATGAGCCTCAGCAAGATCACCAAGTGGTAAATTCATATGAACCTCAGCAAGATCACCAAGTGGCAAATTCTTATGATCCTCAAGCGGTACAAGAAGATAACTCGTACGGACCTCAAGTGGAATGTGCCAACGATCAAGTGGAACAAGCCAACGCCCAAGTGGAACAAACTAACCCTTATGCACCCCAAGTGGAACAAGCCAATTCTTATGAACCCCAAGTTGATCAAGCTAATCCTTATGAGCCTGGAGTGGAACAACCCAACGCCCAAGTAGAGCCAACTAACCCTTATGCACCCCAAGTGGATCAAGCAAATCCTTATGAGCCTGAAGTGGACCAAGCTAACGCTCAAGTGGAACAATCTAACCTCTATGAACATGAACATCCACAAGAAAATCACTTTGAGCCTGAACAAGCTCCTTATGAACCTCAGCATGATGAACCACAACAATTTGACGCTTACGGACAAGACTATCATCCATATCAGCAACAACCAATAGAGGAACAAAGCAAACAAGCTGAAGAACCTAACTTTTATCCTCAACAACCTGCCGAACATCATGCAGAACAAGCAGCCGAAGATGACTTTTATCAACAACAACAACCTGTACTTGATGTTGAACATTCCCAAGAACAATCAACACCAATGGAATCTCATCATTCCAGTAATTTAGACGAATTGTTTGCCAAGGACGATGCAGACGATTTCCTTGGCAGTATTAGCCAACAAGAAGAACCCAAACCTGCTGAGACCCCTGCAGCATTAGATAAATTTGCTAATCTCGTTTTAGATGACGATTTATTGTTAGATGATGACTTTTTAGATGAAGATACAACTGTTATTCAAACACTTGCATCAGAGCAGCAGCAACAACAATCACAGCCAGAACCTGTCCAAGAACCTACTGCTTCTACCGCTGTTCCAGTTGCACCTGCTACTCTGCGTTATCAACCACCAGCACCACCAGCACAACCGGTTCAACCACAACAACAATATCAACAACCAAGTCAAGCAACATTGCCTCCTGTACAACCAGTTCAACCAAGTTTACCACCAGTGCAACCAGCTCAACATCATCACTCGTATATTCCTGATGCAAGTGTCAAACCCAACTATGTGGTCACCCCAAAACAACAAACCGCCAATGAATTTGTCAAGAATCTTGAAGAATCGAAAAAGAAACACGATGCTTATGATTTCCCTGACATGTTGATTCATCAAACTATTAAGCCAGCACCAAGACATGTTACTTCAAACAAGTATGCTCCAGGAGGAGGAGATCATGCTGTTGCCCCACCGCCAGTAGCACACAGTTCAGCAAATACTTCACAACAATCAGTTCCACAAGCAGCAGCAGCAGCAGCAACAACAACAGCAGCACACCCTCCACTGGAACCACACAAAGCATTTTTTGAAGATTTACCACTTGATTTACCACAGCCTGCTAGAGCTGCTCCTGCTAGGCCAGTTGCTTTACCTGTCAAGTCTCAACCACATGTTCCACATCAACCTGCACAACAAGCCCCACCACCACCAGCACAAATCGCACAACCACCACCAGTTAACCCATACAAACCAAAATCAGGAACTTCGCCAATTGTGCAACAGCAAATGCTTAACCAAGCTCAACCAGCTTTATTGCCTAAACCACCAGTACCAGCTGTTCTTGGAAATGCCTATTTACAATCTCAACCACCAACGGGACCACCGCAACCACCTCAACAACAACAGCCAGCGTATGGGCGTTCTCTGACTACTGTTTCGGGAGGATCTTCATATCAACAATCTCCACAACCAATATATGCTCCACCACCTGGTCCACCTGCTGCGGCTGGGCCACCACAAAAGTCATATGCTCCACAAGCATATTCTCCAAAAGTTCCACAACCATTCCCAGTTGTCTCGGGTCCATCGACATCGGGAAACATTGTACCACAACGTCTCAACACCAATGTTGGTCGTAATCAAGGTAACAACTCGGCCACGAGTCCTTATGTGCCTAAAGCTGGTCCCTATGCTCCACAAAGTCAAACCCACAATCGTACCCATTCCCGTGCTAGTAGTTTGATTGGTGGTAAAGGCAAAGAAGTGAATCCGTATGCTCCAGCATTACCTCCTGTGGATGTGAATGCTCATCATGAACAATTGTTGCCGGTCAGAACAAGAGGATTTTCCGGTGCTTCCAGAAGTGGTAACATTTACAAGTCAGGTAAAGTCATGTCCAATGAAGAACTCATGCATCGTCAATTCCCCATTTTCAATTGGAGTGTTTCACATAATGTCGTGGCGGTTATTCCTAGTGCCCATTATGACCAACCACCTAGAGTGTCTGTAAAGCAAGTTGATGGTATTTTCAAAGATCGTGAGGTTTATGCCGAGTTCCCTGGTCCATTGATCAAGGGAAAGACCAAGAAGAAGGATATTGAGAAGTGGTTGGATGTTTCGGCCAGGTATTTGCAGCATGTGAACAAACCTGATGAAGCATTGTTGAATCAAGTTTTGTTGCAGTTGGTTAAGCATGATGGTAATTTTAAATCACCTGAGTTTTTGCGTGGAGTATGTCTGATTTTAAATCCTGCCATTAATTTTGAAGCTTCTGATTTACCAATTTCAGGAATTGTCGGTGTTGGTGCTACTAATGCGTACAGATTGGATAATTCTGGTGTTAATACTGTGTTTTCGTTGATCCAAGCCGGAAATATGGAAAAAGCGCTTGAATTCACTATTTCCCGTGGTGATTGGGCCTTGGCTTTAGTCATTGCTAATTTCAGTGGACCAGAACGATTCGCCAAGATTGCTTCGGAATATGCTCGTAACAGTTTCCCATTCCAGAAATCAAACAATAAGGTCATGCATATCATGCCGATCATATTGAAGGTGATTGCTGGTAATGTACAAAGTGTCATTGAAGACTTAACGGCTGTAGCTAATGAAGGTGAGTATGCCAATATTCATTGGCGAGAAATTGTATCTACTGTTGCCATTAGTGGATCGGTCAAGACCGGAGAGTTCTTGACTGAGTTTGGAAAATTCTTGAGCAGTCAATATCATAACCAAATTGGATGCGATGTGTCATATATTTTGGCTGGATTATCATTTGGGAAGCACGCTTCGTTTATGGTTTTACTTTCTGGGGAGCATTCAATGTATACTCAAGTGTATGAATACATTTTGACTTATCAAGGCACCATGCCTGCGGTGCCTTTCCCACATTTATTATCGTTGAAATTGAAGCATGCTTCTACTTTGGCCGATTATGGACTTACAACTGAAGCTCAAAGGTATGCTGACTACATCAACAATGCTATCAAGACCATGGGAAACAAGTCACCATACATTGGTCCTAATTTAGTACTGGAGTTTGAAAACTTGTTGATGAGATTGAATGAATCAGGATCAAGTGAACTGGGTTGGTTTGCCGGTAAGATGGGGAAAGTCAACTTCTGGGGACAAATTGATAAGTTTATTGCTGGTGGAAGTAGTGATGATGCCAAGCCCAAGAAGACGAGTGATAATGGTGTGTTTAGTAAATTCAGTCCATCAGTTTCGAGAAACACTTCTACGGTTGATTTCGGTGCTTTGCAAAGTTCGTATAATCTGCCTATGGCTAGAATGCCGGATCAGTTTGGGTCTCAAGGAAGTCAACAACCATTCAATTCTGTGTCGTCGGCCCCAGTTCGTCCTGGTGAACCTAATAGACAACCATCGCTGAATTATGCACCTCAACTTCAATCATTCCCATCATATGCATCAGCACCAAGTAAGTATTCACCTGGTCAAGCACAACCTCAGGCACCACAAGCACAGGTACAACCAAAGGGGCCACTGAAGTATGCCCCTAGTAATTCATCGCAGTATAGTCTTCACGAAACTACTGAATCAAAATTACCACCACCTCAACAATTGCATGATGCTCATGTCAAGACTCATTCTCCATTAGCACAAAAGGAAGCTTTGAACTATCCTTATGCTAATCACTATGGATCAAGTGTTTCGGTAGCTAGTCAGTCGAGACAGCAGCTGAGCGCTATTCTTGGCGAAACTATCAATGAAGTGGCTGTTCCACCTCCTGTTAAACAAAGCCATACTGCCCCACCTCCAGTGAAACACGATGCCCCACCTCCAATGAAACAGAATGATATGCCAGCAGCAGCAGCACCACCACCACCAATGAAATATGATGCACCACCAAGAAGAGTAAGTCATGAAATAGCTCCACCTCCAGTGAAACAACATGATTCACAGCCACCATTGAAACAAAATGCACCACCAAGAAGAGAAAGTAATGAAATTGCTCCACCTCCAATGAAGGAGAGTCATGAAGTGCCGCCACCAAGGAGAGAAAGTCATGGAAATGCACCACCAAGAAGAGAAAGTCATGAAACTGTGCCACCACCAGGAAAGAGGCCATCGGTTGGAGAATTGCCACCAAGAAAGAAACAATCAGTAGATATTCACCGAGATGACATTCCTCCTCCACCCCCTCAACATAAGAAGACTCAATCAATTGAACAAGTTGCGCCACCTCAACACAAGAAGACTCAATCAATTGAACAAGTTGCACCACCTCCAATTAAGAGAACATCTGTTGAAGAAGCAGCTCCTTACAAGCAAGAAGAACAAGTTGAGGAAGAACCAGAATCCGTGCAAGACGAGAAACATGAGGAGGAACACGAGGAGGAACACGAGGAGGAACACGAGGAGGAACACGAGGAGGAACACGAGGAGGAACACAAGGAGGAACACAAGGAAGATCAGAAGGAAGAACAAGAAGCATCTCTTCCACCTCCACCAAAGGGACCATCAAAACCTGCCAAATCTGCACCACCTAGAATCAATCCTTATGCTCCTAATGCTGCTGCCAAACCAAAGACTTCAAGAAACAAGTATGGACCACCAGCTACCGCACAAGACTATTCAGCGCCTACTAAAGTGGATGAACCAAAGGAACCACCTGCCAATTTTGATATGTTTTCATATGGAGGATACAATGTAGAATCACCAACAGCTGGTAAACAAGAACAACCAAAGCATGAATTACCAAGAGTTGAAGTGCACAAGGAAGAAGAACAACATGAGCATGAAAAAGAACAACAACGCAGAAGAGATCCTACGAGAAACATTCCTAATGTTGACGATAGCTTTGATGAAATTCCTGGATCTCAATTGCACACCCCAAAACCACATCCTTTGACATTGAATCAATTTGGTGGTCCATCGCCGGCTGAGTTTGCTGCTTCTTATCAAGAGCCATCTAATCCGAAGTTTGGATTTGATGGATTCCCCATCCCTGGTTCTCCTGAATATACTACTCGAGCCAACTCGGTGATTGGTGCTAACCCACCACCTTCTGGTCTCTTTTCATCTCGTCTTTCTCAATCGCAACAAAGTCAATTGTATCAACAGTATGAGGTTGAAGATGATACCGTGAAGGACTATGTTCCAATCGCTGAGGATGAAGATGAAGATGATGAAGATGTGAAACTTGCAAAAAAGAAACTCCAAGAGAAGCAAGCCAAGTTGAAGAAACAACAGGAACAACAACAAAGAGAACACCAAAGACAACAGCAACAACGTAGTCAAAGAGGTAAAGGTGAAGATGGACGTTGGTTTAATTTCCTTGGGAAGAATAATGACGGTAAACCAAAGCCTACAAGAGCTAATTTAGGTGAGAAGGAAAACTTGTTTTACTATGATGAAGAACATAAGCGTTGGTTAGATAAGACTAAGCCGGTTGAAGAACAATTGAAGGCGGCTGAAACTCCTCCGCCTCCAATGATGAAGAGAAAGGCTCCTAATGGCCCATCTCCTCTTGGTGCACCTCCAGCTACTGGTCCAGGTCCTGCCCGTCCTGGTAATGCACTTGCTTCGCCACATTTAGTGGCAACAAGTGCTGCTAATGAAGATGGCGCGGCTCCTCCAAAGCCTCAGCCAAAGTCTCAAGCAAACACTCCAAGTTTGGCTACTGCAAGTTTGGATAATTTATTGGCTATGTCTGCTGGTGGATCTTCAACTGGTAAGAAGGCAAAGAGGGGCGGAGCTAGAAGAGCACGTGTTAATGTGATGGATTTACAATCATAAGGTTTTAGTTGATAATTGCTAGATTAAGAAACAAAAAATAGGTTTATTAAAAGATACTAGAAAAATGTATATTAAAAATTAATTTTATGAATGTTGTAACTGCTTCGGGACTCTACTTTAATCGTACAAAGCCTTGTTAATTATAATTTTAGAAAGGTGGAGAGTTGTTGAATTGTTAAAAAGTATTTCAAACAAGGCTTTAAAGCAAACGGATGGAATTTAAATTTAGGTTTTTTTTTTTTCTTTTTGATTTCCCATTTTAGCAACAAACCGTATTTACGAAGAGTTGCAAGATATAGCCAAGTTTGTTGCAAAATAAAATGAGCTATATAAAAGGATGATAAGAATCTATCCAATTGATCTAAGTGCTATTACACAGTACATATCATCCAATAATATCACAAAAAATGATTGGATACATCGCTTTGTTTGCTTTAACTGCTTTGGTTCTTGGTGAAACCACCGAATATCCTCCAGCATACAAGAACACTATAGCTAAAAATGTTGGTTTGCCTGGTAATGAATATTCGACAGTTAATTTGAGTGACTACCTTAATTATGGGCCTAGTCTGACAATTTCAATTGACTCCAATGAGGAATATTCATCTTATCCAATTGACGAATCTTCTAGTTACTCTTCAAGAATTTATTCGACTGTAAATGACTGGGCAAACTCTTCTTCCATTGAAACTAATAGTTACTCAACAGATACATATGTTCTCAGCATTGGTACTACCATGAATTATCGCTATTCTTACCCAAGTTCAGCATGCAATGCTCTTACTACCGAAACTATCTATATTGAAGCATCTGAAACTGTGGTTGTTACTGAAACCACTACAACCACAGTTGAATGCGAAGGAACTACAACTACTGTTGCAGTTGACGGTTCTGGTGGTTGGATTGAAGGAAATGGCAGCCAAGGAGCTATGACTACCACCGTTAACCGTGATACTTATACTTTAACGTACACCTATACTGATGCTACTACCACATATACCACTATTTACACTACTGAAGTATATGACACTGGCTATACTGCCAAATACCAGAATTCAACATCTGGATCTAATTCGCGGATTGGTTCTTCGTCAAGTGAATATATCGAATCTTTCATGTATGACCCCTATACCACAGAATTAAGTGAATATACCACTTCAATATATTATCCTACTACTTCTTCAGAACCAGAAGAGTCTAGTTCCATGTGGGTTGACTCTTTAGCTAGTGACTATGTCTACCCAAGTAGCTCTGGCTATTACCCATCTGTATCAGATTCAGAACCAGAATCACTTTCAACTGCTCCTTATTCTGCATATTACTACAAGGGTTCCACTATCTACTATTAGCTTGAGATTTAGAGGTTGTATAGTGTTATTATAGAAATAGACTATCTAATTTTTTTTTTGAGCTTAAAGGTATGTAAACCGTTTGATCTTAACCCACTGTATTGTTCAAATATGGAGCTTAGTGGGTAGAAGATAATCACTGGAAAATATTTTATAAAAACATGATAACAAAGAGACGGTTCAATGGTGATACTTTGAATAAAAGAAACAAAAGTCGGGGAAGCCCATTTTATTTACGCCAAAAAAAATTATTTCTACAAATTTAGAACCCCGATTATTTTTTTGCAACATATTTTCTCTCACTACAAAAGGTCACCAAAGCCTTGCCAGATTTTCATTTTCAAAGACTATCTTGGTTCTATATTTAGCTGTGTTTTATTTATAATCAAAAAGATGCTTGCTTTGTAGTTGTTATAAACTTGGAAGAGAATACATGCCTCATCTTGGTGAAAATATCAACTATAACTATAAAATTTGTAACAATTATTTGAAAACATTCCATTTTATCAGCAACAAAGATTAATGATTAATTGTATTATATACTTTTACCTAGCTGTTTACATCTACGGTGCATCATACTCATCTCAATTTTCTTCCAAAAGTTCTTCAATATACTCAAGTTCGACACATTGGGCCAACTCATCTTCCACAAGATCTAGCACTTTTTCCCGACGAGAACGTACTACAGTCACCAAAACCACCATCATATATGTTCCAATCACAGAAACTAAAACTGTTACTGAAACCACTACATTAAATATTTGCAATCAAAATGGTCCAGGTGTTGCAGGTATTGATGCTACTGGCCATGAATCTAACATTCTTGGAAATAACGCTGAAAGCAGTATCCATGTGTCGGGACAAAGTGGATCCACTACAAGGATTTTCTCCCAAGGTGATCAAAACGGACAATCAGGATTTCTAATGGTGGTTCCCACTATAGGAACTCCAGAAACTCATCCAAGTACCTCTGTTACTATTGGCGTTGAAAATGACAAAGTGTCTTCTGTACCTACTATCAGTATAATTGACAACAGTGCTCCAAACGTATCAGGTGCAACTAGACCCTCTCCTGAAAATGCACAAATTATCTCACCCATCCAAACTATCCAGGGAGTCTCCACTAGTGTAGCCAATGTTGTTCTTGAGGGTATTATTTCCTCTACTACTACTGCTACTGCTGCTGCTGCTACTACTGCATCCAGTCAATATGAAAATAATTGGGGGGTACCAAGTATCAGCTATGGTCAAAATAATCCAGCAAATCCATTTTTTAATTTACCTGGTGATCAAATAACTTCAACTTCGGCACAGACTTCTTCGGACATTACTTTAAACATTAGTGGTGGTCAAAGTAGGTTTACTACCACTACTCTAGTTACTAAAAGTAGTCAAAATGACACGTCTACTACAGCCAACAATAAAAGTTCGGAAAGCTTTGTTACTTCTAATATTAGCAAGAGTCGCAAAACTATTCATAATGAGAACTCAACCACTAGTAGACAAATCAAAGTTTCTGCTACCGATTCCAGTCAAGGAAATCATGGAAATTCTAACTCAATCACAAGTAACAGTTATCGAGATACTTCCTTTAGCACCAATAGTCAAAATATTATGAGCGTTTCAAGTAACAGTCAAAATAGCCAAGTCACGATTAGTACTCGTGACTGTACACTTATTAATCAAAGTGGGACAGTTCTCCCTACTAGTAGTGATATTATGGAGCAAACAGGACAAGATAATGGTGGGATGGCTAGTACATTCGGCTTTGGTGGAAGTGATACCTACTCAATTATCACTAGTGCTAATGATGATGGTACTTATGGAACAACTAGTTCTATTCAACCTAGTTCTTCAGATATTAGCACAGCTGAACAAGGTGAAAATAGTGATATTTTTGTTACTGCTAGTACATCTAATGACAGTCAAGAAACTGGGAGTCCTACTGCTACAATAAGCAGTGAAGAAGGTGATGGTAGACAATCTAGTACTATTATTTCTACAAGTGAAGGTGGAACTAGTGGTCAGAGTGAAAATGGAACGTCACTTTCCACTGACAATGATGGAGAGGACAGAACCGATCAGCAAGCAACTACTAGCGTTTCCACTACTGCTGGAGGTGAAAGTGGAACTGGTGGCCAAGGTGAAAATGATAAAACTATAACTACTAGTATTACTGGTGATGGATCAGGTGGTACTGGTGAAAGAGTATCTACTATTGGAGAAGGTGGTGGTATTGAAACTACAGCAGGGGGAGAAGGTGGAAATGGAAGCGGATTTATCAGTACTACAGCAGGAGGTGAAGGTGGGAATGGTGGAAACTTTGATACTACTACAGCAGGAGGCGAAGGTGGAAATGGTGGAAATGGAGGTATCGGCGGTGCAGGAGGAGAAGGTGGAAATGGAGGTGGTTTTGTTAGCACTACAGCAGGAGGTGAAGGTGGAAATGGTGGAAATGGAGGTATCGGTGGTGCAGGAGGGACTGGAGGACAAGCTACAACTACTGTTACTACTACAATTGGGGGCGAAGGTGGAAACGGTGGAAACGGTGGAAACGGGGGTATTGGGGGAGAAGGAGGAACTGGAGGTTCTGGTGGAAACGCTGGTGTATTCTAGCAACGAAGATATAAGATGAAAGAAAGAAAATATCTATTAGCCTTGGTGATATTAATCAAGAATGAAAGAGAGAATGAGTTTGTTTGGAAAAGTGGCCAATCTTGCTGCATAAATTCATGTTTATTTGCAGCTACTCTGTTCATTTTTTGCAGTTGCAACACATGGATTTTCTCGAAACTAACACTTCTATTAGATCGAATTTCTTCTTGATAAACATGTATAGCTCACATGTTTAGATTTAATATAACAAGGATATTAGACCAATACTGATTCCTGTAATTGTAAAAAAAAAAATATCACCTCATGACGATTGTCTACGCATCTGATATTCCGCTTTCGGAGTTCTTCGCAAAGTCCGGAAATATTTTCTTGTGTCGTGGATTTTTGTTCGTCATATTATTTTTTTTTTCGGAGAAAGAATAACCGCGCTTAGTTCCATCTGATCTAGATCTAAGTTCTCCACTTGACTTAATTCTCCTTCTCTTTCCTTCATCCCCACTTGAGTAATGTTCCATCTGTACGATGGGAACAATTACCTAATTAGGGTCCGCGGTGTTTTTATTAATAAGCGCATAAACGGCTTACCCTAGACAGGTGGGGGATAAGATGGTGAGGGGATATCATCCTTTTCACCATGACGTGAAACTTATCTCGTGCAAATTGTTCGGATAAGGTTCGGTGCCATTTCTTTAAGCTTTTTGCATGCTTGCAGTTTATACCTTTTTTTCCATGTTCACATTTTTTGTGTCCCGCTCGTCCAGTCACATTTCTCCTCCCCGCCTGTTTTTCCCCACAGTGAATCCCCAGGCGGAAGATCACAGAGATTGTAGATGATGCTGCCCAAGTATCAAATTATGTGAAGGGTTTTTGCTACACATACAATAAATATAATCACATGGATTTGTTCTGTTTACCTTCCCGATAAGAAGGAGTTTTATCTATACCCCACCTTGTTTATATCTGGAAGAATGTTTATGTATCTATTTTACGTAGTCCGAGGCATGCATTAGGGTTTTGTATACAGGAAGCAAGAGCTATTTTAATAAAATTATATGCCGCGGGCTTTTTTTGCAGACAGACACACAAAATTATGACATGACAAATAAAAAAGTGTAAAGATTAACATTATCATTATTATTATGTATTAACATATTACTATTACAACCTAAATAACCCAAAATTCTAGATAACCCAAATAACCAAGAAGTAAAAACTAAAACCCTTTTTAAAACCATATGTCTGTCTATTTTTGTTTGTCATAAACACAATCAGACTTTTTCTTATTACATCCTTCACATTTGTTTAATGTGGCATTGTAAACACATCTGACTTTTCTTTTGCGGCATGAGATACACGAAGATTTGCGACCAGCGGCAAATTGTTCTTCTGGTAACTCTTGCTTCACCGAAGCAATGGCCATAGGAGTAATTGGTTTTAATTGTTGTGTGATTGCCAGTATTATTGGGGATGATTTTGGTAAGGCTTTCTTCTTGATGACTGGTTTACTCTTTTTGATCACAGATGGGGTGGTCGTAGTCATAGCAGGAGATGTAGCAGTAGACAGTCTCTTGTTACTCATGATGTCTTCCTTGGTGAATCCCTTGGAGAAACAACAAGGTAATTGTTTCAAATTACAACTGTGACAACTCTTGAACTTAATCAACTTGTCATTAGTTACAATCAAATTGTATTCTTCATTAATAGGAATAGATTGACCTTGGGCAAGTGCATTTAATTGTTCTTCAAGGGCAACGTTTGGGTGATGAAGGGCAACTGATTGTAATCCATTTTGTTTGGCAAGAATGATGATGTCAGCATCACACTTAACCTTTCTTAATCTACAAGAATCACAACTTGGTCCTAATCTTTGTCTTCTTTTAGTTCTGGATTTCATATTTGGGGAAGATGGTGATGACATTGAAGCCACCGAAGAAGCTGGTGAACAAGAAGGCAACGAAGATATGGCTGAAGTCAAAAGACCCAAGCCATTAGAAGGTTCCATGTTTTGCTTAATTAAATTGGATTCAGTGAGAGGATGGTGGTTTTGGGTTGGAGTAATGGACCCGCTGTGAATCAATGGTGCAGTGGTGTAGTTAGAAGGTGGTGGTAAGATCACGTCATTTGTATTGTGGTGATGATGATGATTATGGTAGTGATAATTATGAATTGGTGGTAATAAAGACGATAAAGGTGGTAATGAGATTTGTGTCTGGGGTTGTTGTTTCGGAAATGTGTTGTTATTATGACCAATGCACTGAGGATTGTGCATGATCGAATATAATAAAAGATCAGACATTATTAAAACCCAAATTAAACAGTAATAACCAGAAACGAAAGCATTTAAAAATTAAAGACGAAAATGACACTACTTTTATATGTTTTTTGCAGTTGCAGTAATTTAATTTTTCTTTTTTTTTTTTTTATTACAATTTTTTTTTTTGAATTAAAGAAATACCCCTCTTCAACCAGGAAGACACAAAAAAAAGATTTTTCCCCCTCTCTCCCCCCAAGAATAACCTATTCGAAAAGCAGGTAAATAATGTGCACACAAAACGACAATTCAAGTTTACAACAACGAACTTTGAACTCCGGAGGCCTTCTCCGAGGTGCGACGACGGTTTGACTTTTGATTTTGCCTCATTCATTTTTCTTCCTTCTCCGGGATCTCCATGGGGGAGTATGCGATGACTAAGTTTTTTCTCTCCTTTCTAAATTCTCTAAACCATACAGTGAAAACCCGCGGGTTTGTTGAATTTGATTTCTCCTCTCGCGATTCCCCTCTCTGTATCACTCGTCGTATAACTTAAAAAAGAATTTTTCACAATCTCAAAAATAAGTCAAGGAGAGGGGGGGGGCGAGGTTGCGGTGAAGAGGAGGCGCTAAACTAGGGTCTAGATGTGCTTTGTTTGCTTGTTACTCGGTATATCCTCCCCCATCGCTTCGGCTTCCGAATCGTCTTTGACTAACAAGGAAAACCTCGGAACAAAATCCGTGTGGTAAAGGTGGATTCCAAAAATAGAGAACTAAAGAGCGGCGAAAAAAACAGCAAAGAAAAAAAAAAATACCTTGGAAGTCCCTCATATCAGGAAGACTCACAAGACAGCGTCAAACAAAGACTTACATACAATTAAATTATCCACAATTATCCGACCACGCGGACGATGTCGGAATCATTTTCATGTGCTGAAAAAAATATTTTTTTGGTTTTCGAGCAAGTCCGAAGCAAAGGAAAGTGGGAACGGTTTGTTGTTTATTGTTAATGGACCAATAGCACCCGTAGTAAGGAGGGGGGAATCACCTTCTACAGCTGAAAGCATTTAGTAGGCAGACGATGTGTATTGGCTCAACAAACGGCTTCATACCGAAATAACACATTCACATGTGGGAGGCAGATCAACAAATTCACAACAGCTACATTTCGGAGTCTAGTTCCGTTTCGGAGTACCCTAATTAAATTGCCTTTTCCGCTACGACTGGCTTATGTGAAATATGTCAACAATTTTTCTTTCTTTTTTTTTTTAGCTTCTCCGAAATCCGAGAAAATTGTTGATTTATTTTTTATACATAATAAAAGACGTTGTGGTCCTGCATGGCAAACCCTGAGTTGCGGCCTCCTCAATTCACTTTGATATGAGGGGAGGAGTTTAAGCTAGTGGAACCGAAAAATGAAAACTTCTCCTCAATTTCAAAAAAAAAACATGCTAAATACAAAAAATCATCATAGCCGTGGGATCTTAAGTTTTTTTGTTAGGAGTAACGGGCTCACATTACAAAGTTGTCAAGCCATATCGCTTTTGCTCAACTGATTTTTTGATTTTTCCGGCTCGTCCCGAATTGTTAAACGTCTTCATTCTTTTCTTGTGTTAAACCATATCTTTAATCATCCTTGTCCTCCTATTTTAATATGACTCACGACTAGTTTCTGTTGGGAATCTGGTTTACTGAGGAGTATTCTTGTAGGAGAAACAAGTCCGATAGACTAAAGAATAGGAGGTAAAGTCCGAGGAATAGCCATAAACGCCTCCGTCGTTCCTCCCCTCTCTCTGTTACGTAAATCATTTTTTGGAGAAGGAAAAAAAAACCAACCTTTTCCAGATTAGACAGGTGTCATTTGAAACTTTGAAAGCCATACAGGTTTTTATTATTATTATTATTTATCTTTTTTTTTTAGTCCATTTCCGAAACCTACGTTATCACGTGCATGGCAATATCCGTTTGTTTTGGTTGTTCTTGGATGGATATCCGCTCGGACTAGGTCTGAAATATCCATGTAACATGGTGTTACATATGGTGTTACAAATGGTGTTACATTCCTGATATCGGAAATTGGGTGGTTTTAATGTAAAATAGTTAATCTCCAACCGAAAGTTTAAGAAGGTGCATTGCAACAGATCAGGTCATTAATCGTGCCGCTCCAAAGTCCGTCTTAACTGGAGTTTTTTAGACAGGTGCTAATTCAACCAGAGATGAGTTCTCCGGACCTCATCGCGAGCACTACTTTAATAAGCAGGTTTCTATAGTCACGTTCTTTTGATCTTAACAGTATATTGTTACAATCAATCGTATGATTGTAAATGCCTTAAGGTTTGAAGCGAAAAAAAAAAAAAAAAACTGTGTTGCAAAAAGAAAAATAAATTGGCTGCTTTACAGGCATTTGATTCAAGTGATTGCCTTGATCCACAGTGAAACGGTTCCTTTATTTTTTTCTTATCTTGTTTGATAGTTTATTTGGAGGTGTATTCCTGACTTGTACAATCCTAGTTATGGTCTTGCGATATTTCCATTTTATCTCGAATGATCTGTTCCTGGATCTTTAGTTGGGGATCGAACAAGTCAAATCTTTCCACGTGACTAATTTTATTTACGTCTGTTCCCAATTAGGAAATTCATTAACGATAATTAAACCAAACAAAAGTAAAACAACCAAAAACAAATTCTTTCTTCGACTCCGAAGGAGACAGAACAACACTAGACATGGAGATGGATATGAATATAGATATGAATATAAATACAAACATAGATACAGTGTCTATGAACACGCCGACAAAAAAAATCAGGGAGTTGACATTAGCATCGCCACCTCCTGATTATTTGAATAGTCCCACATCTTCAATTGCAACATGTATGGTTAATAAAGGATATTCCCATAAGTTGACTAATAATGTGCTTTCTGAATTGAATGATCGAGCCAATGAGATTTCCATGATGATAAATTCTCCTCCTGAGAGTCGAAGCTCGGAAGGTTCGTCGGGTTCATCTAGTTCAGGCAATAGGAGTAAGCGATTTAGTATAATTCACAGATCGAGATTCAACCAAATGGAATCGATATCACAACACTACTCAGTTCATGATTCTTCTTCCAATAAGAGAAGAAGAACTTTGAATGGCAAGGATGAAATCGTGGCCATTCCTATCCTCACAAACAAAGAAGATGAAGATCAGAGAAAGGATTCAATTAGAAAGATCTCGCCGGTTAAAATGTCACTGACTAAAATTTCGCCTTCTAAATCACCAAATAAGATATCTCCTTCTAAGATCTCACCTTCCAAACGGTCAATGAATCTACATGCACAATTGAATGAAAAATCAATCCAGGTTTCCGACTCGGGATCACCTAGTAAACGAGAATTTATAAGACCTACCGGTGTTCCCAAAACTCGAATTGGTTCTTTGGAGTTATCTGGAGTCAAATCTTTACAAAGGAAGCTGTCAATACCTCAGTTGCAAGACACTCATACATTAAGTAAGAAACCTTCAATACCCCAATTACAGAAGAAACCCTCGATACCCCAGCTACAAAAGAAGCCTTCGATACCCCAATTACAAAAGAAGCCTTCGATTCCACAACTTCAAAAGAAACCTTCGATACCTCAACTTCAAAAGAAACCATCCATTCCCAACCTCAACAAAAAACCATCAACATCACAGTTGTACCATTCTCCTCTGCTTGCATCCCGAGTATCATCAACCACAACTGCAAGTACAACTACCACAGTAACGGCAACCACAACTACAAATTTAATGCCGCCACCGCCACCACCACCTCCTCCACACTCATACACGCACTCTCCTTCGCATAAAACAATCTCAAGAAAGTCATCAATACCCCAATTACAAAAGATACCCAACTTATCCCGAATAAGTCCCTCCAAATCGTTGAATCATAATGTGTTACATAATTCCACAAATATACCCAAATCCAGATCTGTAACTATACCGGAACCATTCTCGCTTTATGACAAACCTACAATTTCATCGTCACAAAAATCTTTAAATAAATTTCAAAGGTTTAAGGAAAAATTTAGTTAAATTTAGTGTAATATACAAAACTGTCTAATATATATTAGCTTGTATTTTAATCTCTCCACCAAGAGTCAAAATTTGACTGCCGGTCCATTTAGCCCCAGGCTTTAAATCAACCATAGAAGAAACATGACCTGGTTCGACACAAAGCATGTTTTTCCAACCATCCTTAGGAGTGAAATCTGCCATACCGGCACTCTTGTTGATCCAAGGGTTCCAAACCACGGCATCTGGTAAGTTTTCACGGTCAACATTAACCAAAACCTTGCCCAATTCTATAATTTGTAATGTCTTGTCTTCGTGAACATCCTTGTATACTCTGTCAAACTCTTCGTGGAAGCCAATGGCTGGAGCTTTTTCAACGTATTCTTCACCCAAGACCTTATCAACAACTTGATGGTCAATTAAGTTGTTAACTAGCGTATCGGTGATGTCAGGAATCTTGAAATAGGTGTGGAATAACCAATTGAATTCAAAGGCATCCTTACCAGTGTTTTCAACATCAATTGAAGTAACCAACTTGTCCTTGGTTAAACTAACAGTCAAGATCAAAGTGACATCATATTTACCTTCACCCCATAACTTATAGGCCTCAGGGTCGACATTTTCCTTACCTAATCCAAATTGAACCGTGATGGGGTTTTCACTAGTTTGACCAAGGAATTCCCAAGTGGAGTTTCTAACAAATCCATGTTGAGGTAATTTGAAAGTTGGGTGGGTTTCATCCGATTGTTTTCCAAAAACTGGGAATACCAAAGGAATACCACCTCTGACTGGTTTTGAGCCATCTAAATGAGCACCTTCAGACAACCATAATTTTTCTTGAGATTGATTTTTCCAACTAATGACAGTGGCACCGTATTTAAGAATGGTAGCAGTGTTTGTTGGGTCAATTGGGTCAGTGATGATGACGCGGTCTTCGAGTTCTTCAACTGGCATGGTTAAGTTGTGAGGAGAAACACACTTTGTATTGAAAAGAACGTGGTTGTAGTAACAGTCAAAAAAAAAAAGCAACCCAGTGGGTTGTTCGCGTGGAATAATTTGGCATCTAGTTATATGCAGGATTATATTCATGTTGAGAATTATTATTAAGATTTGACTAAAAATTGACACACATGATGGTGCAAGCAAATCTTATTGTTGGGGGGTATTACAGAGGATAGGTGGTATTCAATGGAGTAGGTATCATTGGGTTGTGTAGAAAACAAAGGCAATAGTGTGGTTTATTATTTGACATTATTGTGATGATATTTTTGTAAAAATTGGTTGAAAATATATACACTATCAGTACTTCGACTATAAGTTGTCACAAAATCTTCAACTAGTTGTTGAATAACTAGAACTAACTAGCCACAGGGAATTTCACCAAAAATGAAGATTAATGTATCCACATATAATCCGTTCGCGCTACCACATACAATATTGTTTTTACTTAAACAAGCTTGTAATTCAGCATCGCTCCCGGTATATAACCCTGGCTCCTCGTCGCATCACTCAGGCCAGTCACCCGGTTAGCTATTTTGCTTTTACATGAAAAAGAGAATCTCCTGATAAAAGCCCTGTTCGGACTTGTCGGAAGGCTTATCAAACTAAAAAAAAAAAGAAAAATATACGGCGAAAGTCCAATCGATAAGCAAGTTTGGATCATTCAGAGAAAACAACCACATCACAGAATAAATGCCAGCCATATACAACTTGCCCGATCACACCGATGCGCTTTACAAAATTATGTCATTCGAAAATACCATCTCGGCTATGAAGTGGCTGCTCGGATTTGCCCATCACATGATCAATGCGCGCTACCATTCTCGAAGTCATGACCAACACACGATATTTTTTTTTCTGCCCCTATTCTGAGAACCAGAGAAGCAAACTAAAAAAATAATCACATTACCGAATAAGAAAAAGGTACAAATATGGTAGCATAACCAATCAAAGTGGTACCATGATCTGTTCTTTTTTTTTTTCTCTCTTTAACTTTTATAATTAGTAAATTGACTTCAAATAAGCACTACTATTGATTCAATGTCGTTGCATATGAGCGATTTCACCATATTGATGGTGAAAATGTAAACAAAGCTAGGCATGTAAATGAAACATGCGGCTTAGAATTAATCTATTTGGTATTTGGTCGTTTTTCCTTAAAATATTGCCAAGTAAAGCGATGGCGGGTACATAGATGTTTACAGTTTCAGTCTTTGTATTCACCAAGGTTCAATTGTTGATATATTTTCAGCCGGTTCAAATTATAATAATCAGTTTGTTCCGTTTCAACTGATATTACTTGCATCATCACTTTCTGTTGACACCGCCAGAAAGTTTAAACCCGACAAATAATAAAAAATAGCGCACTATTTCTTTTTTTTTTGTTCTTTTTCTTTTCTTTTTTAAAATCTTCTCTTTCTCTGTCTCCTTGTTATTGACAAATAAAGAAAATCGGCAACATCACAACTGCTACTATTCTTCTCTTTCTAGCACAACCGCAACCACACAACACAGCATTAATACATCGGATATACGTCAAGCAATAGGTAAAAGAAGTTGAACAACCCACAACAACCGGAACTCACGGAGTATATATAAATATATATCAACAAATACTATGGCTCGTATATTAAGATTAACAATGTTACCCCTACGTCCAATCAAGTTATTTCAGAGCTACTTCCTTCTGGAAAAGGCTCCAACTACAACTTTACCAGATTTAAACACAGATACCAGCATCAATACTTCCATCCGCAAACTTCAGCATCACCAATGGTCGAAGGGGGAAATACTCCATTATGGGTTCTTGACTTCAGTTTTCTCATTTGTATTTATAATATTACCAGTATCATTTTTAGTTAAATTCCCAATTGCTATTACATTCATTCTTTGTTTATTGGTTCCTGCTACGTCCCAGTTTTTCCTTCATGCATTACCGGTGTTTGCATGGTTGGCCTTGTATTTCACTTGTTCCAAGATTCCAAACACCTGGAAACCTGCTATTTCCGTCCAAGTGTTACCGGCCATGGAAACCATCTTATATGGTGATGATTTATCCAATGTTTTGGCCACAATAAACACCCGTGTGCTTGATATTATTGCATGGTTGCCTTATGGTATTTTACATTTCAGTTTACCGTTTGTTGTTGCGGGCATTATCTTTTTATTTGGCCCTCCAACTTCGTTACGTTCATTTGCATTTGCATTTGGTTACATGAATTTATTTGGGGTTATTATTCAAATCCTTTTCCCCGCCGCAGCTCCCTGGTATAAAAACATTTACGGATTGGAACCTGCCAATTATTCCATGCATGGATCTCCCGGAGGATTAGGCAGAATCGATGCTTTGCTTGGAATTGATATGTACACCACTGGGTTTTCCAACTCTCCTGTTATTTTTGGAGCTTTCCCATCCTTGCATTCGGGATGTTCCATTATGGACGTGTTGTTCTTGTGTTGGTTATTCCCTCGTTTCAAACCACTTTGGATATGTTATGGGTGTTGGCTTTGGTGGAGTACTATGTATTTGACCCATCACTACTTTGTGGATTTGATTGGAGGTGCCATGTTATCCTTTGTGGTGTTTGAATTCACCAAGTACAAGTATTTACCTGTATGCGACCCCACCAAGTTTTGCAGATGGTCATACACGGAACTCAAGCATATTAACATTAATGAAATCGATCCATTATCACAAAATTACATTTACCAAAATGATGATGAAAGCAGATTATACACGAGAATTTATCCTGAACAAGAACCAGCTGTGTCTGGCTCATATCCATTGCAACCAATTATCCCTACTGGGCCCATTGTTGTTCCACCAATCCAGGAACAAGTTCAAGAATCGTTTGAGATGGCTACTCTTAGAGGTGTTAATGAAGACGACGATGAAGTGTCGTCGAATGCTTCTAATAGCCCTTCGGTTTTTGAAAATGGACCTCTTTATGTTTCTTCAAATACATCATTAGATGAGATGGAATCGTCTACATCCAATGGAACTAGTCTTCCTACTGTTAAGAAATCAGTCAAGACAAGATAATAACTAATAGAATGAGAAATTTGTATAGTAAATTCGTTTGATGAAAGCAAAAGTTTCACCTTAATACTAACCCAACCCTCAATAACATTACCTACCAATTTTGCTTTAAAGAGAACCTGTCTTAATAATTAATTTTAATTTAATTCATTTATAGAAAGTTTAATGTTTGTAAATTCAAAATATGCTAAGATTGTAGATCTACACGTTGAGCTGATCCAGTAGGAACATTTTTCGAATAACATGAATGTTCACGTCGTATCAACATTCATATTGTGAAACCAAAAGACAAAACTTATTTTTTTTTTTTTTTTTGCAACTATTGGTCTGTGCAAGAAAAAAAAAATTAGCTCAATACCTTGAAGTGGTGCCATATACAACAAACAATCAATTTAATATAAACATATCAAGAAAAACCAAGAGTGACCTAGAATATAGAATATGTAAATAATTTACCTGACTCTGCTAAAATAACGCGTCAAACTGTTACACGCGTGCAATGTACTGCAAAAGTTTATTCTTGAAAAAAAAAAAAAACTTGGCACAACCATCTACGGCAATCGCGTAGTAAACTACATTGCCATTGTTTGAAATAGATCGAACTGCTTTTAGTCTAATAATGATACGACTGTGCATAACTGGTACTATTATGTAGCCTGTACATAGCCACAACTTGAGCTCTAATAAATTTTATTATGTGCCCTGGTAAGTGATATGTCGTTTTTGCCGGAACAGGCAATACCTGGGTATCACTACCAAACTACATTGAAAGGAGTCGAAAGGGGGAACTTGTACAGAAGAAACACGGTCTTGATTTTAATTTTTTTTCTTTTTGTTCAATTAATCCTCTTAGGGTAATCCAAATCCAATGTAAGAACCAATGATTTAAAGAACTGGTTATCCTTCGATATTCTGTGTGAATCATGTCATATCCCGCCTCTCACTCCTCAAACTGCAATGCAATTACTGTTCTTATTATTCTCACTCGTTTCCCTCCTGGCTTGCTTCAAAGTCGGGACAAATATTAATAATGTAAGCTATCAACTAACCACCCATGCAACTACAGATGAGCTTGTGTTGGATAGTAATGATGGTTTGGATTTAAAACTCGATCAAACTTTATTGAAAGTAGGTGATACCATTGTTGGTGAAGTTGATATATATTTGAAACTCATCTCAAATTCAACAGGTATAGGTGAAGTTGGAACTTGGTCACTTGAAAATGATGAGTATTTGGTTTATTCGAGGCAATTGTTTTACTGTGGTACTGAAACTCCTTATCATATTCATACTATCCTGGGGGATAATTGACAAGAGTTAATCTTGATGGTTCAAAACGAAGTTCTCGAAAATTATGGTTTTGATGATCATTCTGATACAACAATAACATCAACAATCACCCTTACAGTCACTAATTACTCCTCATCAACTATAAATTGTGCTACTACTGAAGAAAGGCTTGACCAAATAGTATTTGCTGAGGAAGATTATATGGCTTTTGAAGCAAGTGAAATTACAGAGACTACTACAACTACAGTCACACTCATCAATAGCATTACAACAACAGCAACTACCTGCACCAAATCTTTAGCTGAAGAAACGCAACTGAATACATTCAACCATGACCAACCATTCAATATCATTGGCAGTTACAATGACACTGAATTCTTGTTCACAATTAATGGAACCCTGATCACATTAAGCTGTGAACCTGGTGAATTCTCACTTGAAGAAGGCTATCTTAAAGTGGCAAATGAAGCTGTTCAAATATCACATGATGGAAAATTGGTTATTGGTGGTGAAGGTTCTTTGGGATGGAGTGTTGTTGATGAGAAGCTAATGTTGACAACAACAACAACCAAGTGTAATACCACGATTTCTCAAGCCGTTGAATTTCAAGTGTGTAGGGAAGGTAACATGTATTGGGTTGGTATTGGTTCAGATCCTGACTGTGAATCTATCGAGGCAGTATTGTCACAACTGGCACACCAACAGCAAGATGAAACTAGCTGTAACAATCAGGATGCAGGAGAAGTTTTGAAAAAAATATTATTCCAAGGAATATTAGAAGATGATTATGTTACATTAGATGATACACCTACTGAAACCCCCACGCTAGATTTTTATTCCACTACGACCGTAACAAAATCAGCAACAACAACCATAATAACTGCATGTAGTGGAAAAGAAGAACATGCTGCTTCTCCTGAATTATTGGCTGCTGATTCAGTATCATTGGAACCAAATCTTTATACTTCAGTCACTATAACCTTAACTATCTTCAGTACTGTTCCTGATGTCATGTCTACTCCCACTCCTAAACCGGTTACACCAACTAATCTGCTGAAAGAATATGATCCCATTGCTTATTTACTTGAGAATAGATCTGTTTCTATAAAGAGGATAAACAAAACTACAATTTTATTTTATCTTATCGTTCATGCTTTAGTTCAAATGTTTATATGAGAGTTGTGTGTTTATCTATTGTATAGTTTTAATGTTGTATTATGTTTTCTACAGAAAAATAGTTGGTTGCGAAAAATACCCATGTTTGAATTAAACCTTTCACCATAACTTTTTTGTGAGAGATACGAATAATACAACGAATGAAAACCTCGACATTCAAACACTATGTAGTTGTGCTTTCACTGATCCCCCGGGTGTATATCAAAAAATAAAAAAAACTTTTGCTAGTTAAGCAAACTTTCTTGTAAAAGACAAAAAAAAAAAAAGAACAGCCAAGACTTTTTTGCACCCAAATCTGCCTAAAAAAGGTATTTCAAACAACCCACCAACGCCACAACAATTTTCAAGAAAAAAATCACAACAATACTAACTAGATCTTCTAAAACTTAGTAGTAGAATGTGACAAGAGATAAGAATTTAGGTTATTTTTAGTATTTCTGCCTGCGCCTTTGACGTTTGCATTTGATAGAATTTTGGGCAAATAAAGTTTGCTTTGATATACATATGTAATTATGTTTACAAGTACAGTAGTAGACATAAAAGTAGATATACAAGTATTTGAAAACATAGCCAGGAAAAATATTGAGTACTTTTGTAATTCTTTAACCTTTTCTCTTTTGGACAACCCGCATAAGTATACATATGAAAGTCATGACTTTAAAGAATTACAATTTTTTTTTTTCCAGCTCCCAAATTTTATACATTGGTGGTAGAATCAAATGTTTTACATCTAATGAATAAATTTTTCTTGGAATCACACGAAATTATTGTTTGGAACGATTTGCCATTAGTATAGTCGTGTTTAGATTTGTTTATTCATTTGTTTACACTAAAGACACGTGGTGTAAAATTCTTGAAAAGTTGCGTGGTCATCTGATTGGTATTGGCCGTGTTTACCTGGTTGTGTATTAACTATAATGTTTAACAAAATTCAAGACATTTATCGAGTATTACACAATCACGGCAAAAAACAAATTTACCAAAGTAGAAGGAATTTGACCAAATATGGAAGAACTAAACCTACCACGCTATTTTGCTTCAGGTTTGTTTTCATAAAGCCTAGAAATTACAATCTTATTACAAGATTATTGCAAAGATACAATTTGTTTACCAAGAGATTTCTATAGTAAATATCGCGACTATTTTAAGAACTGGACAAGAAATTCACCCACAACTTGTTTCAATAATTGTAATCGTGGTTTCTTTTCTTGGTGGGTTACTTTGCAAAATCCAAGAAATTGCAAAATTATTGCACAGCTACTGAGAAATACTACCCAAATACCAAGATATTTATTGATATTCACAACACCTATTTGGAAACTTGTTTTCATAATCCAAGACTCTTATGCCACCAAGTGTAGTTATTTAAAATCACGCTTTTTTGGGGGGTTATATTGTAAATACCAAGAGATTGAAACAAGATTAGTAAGGAATACTGTTGCATTTTGTATGACCAACAAATTTGAGCAATCCAAATTGTATAGAAATATCTTAGGTATAAATGTGCCTTGTAATCCCCCTTGAATTGTCAATCTCTATTTCTTACTATTTTATCATCAACTATATTTCTTAGCACTTTCGTTTAATTTTACTAGAAATATATTTTGCAATCATGAGATTATCATTTGTTGGTACGGCTCTTGCTGCCTTATCATTAGCCCAGGCATTGCCATTTGCAGTGTTCCAGGGTCAAGGGAAATATTTAGCTGTTAAAGAAGAAGGTATTCCAGGAGGTGAAAAAACTACATCTGTGGTCCTTGAAGTTGTTCCTGATGGTGGCTACAAGCCTAAATTTACCTTAGTTGATGGTAAGTTGAAACACGGAGAAAAGTTCATTTCCTCAAGTACCGATACTGTTGACATCCAAGATGGATCACCTGTTGCCGAAAATGTTAAACTTGATTGGGTTGATGAAGCAAAAGCTGTTGGTAAATGGCTTGTTGAAAACGGAAGATTGACCTACAGTTTTCAACCAATAGATCCAGAAACTAAACAACCTGCAAAAGGTGGGGACAATATGGTCCTCCATCTTTGTGATGACTTGAAATTTAAAACGAGTTGTAATAGAAATGCTGCATTTGATATTGACATTCCATCATCTGATATTGTTGTTACTACTGATGATGGAGATAGTTATTTCATGTCCCATAGTTCCAATTCTAAACTAATTTTAAGCAAGTCAACTAGGTATTCTTACCTTTTGCAGATCAAAGAGAATGATTTAACTATTACAGTTCAAGGATCCACAGAAGCAGTTTCGACCGCAGGAATCACTTGGACCATTGACCTTGAAGACGGTACTTTGAAACCTTCTAAATTCTTATCTGTTTGTCCTCTGAGTCCAGAAATAGTTGATCAGAATGTTCCAGGTTGTAAATATCTTTCGTTCAAAGTTCAACCACATCAACCTGGTACAAGTGACGGCCCAAAATCGATTAAAATCAATTATGGTTTGAGTGATCTGGGCTATCTTTCCTATGTGAAAGTTGACGATGAAAATGTCAAGAGAGATGATAAAGAAGTTCCATATTTTTCAGTTGGAGAGTCTAGTCCTGATGAATATTTCTTTTTGGAAAAAGATGCCCGACTCTTTATTAATGAAAATGCAATTGATTTAGTTGATGACGTTTTGACATTAATAAAAGATTTAGTTCCTGAGGATCATGAATGGATTCTTGTTGATGGTAAATTAGAATTGCATGAGTGGGCTAATTCTACGGCTGTGCTTTTCTATGTTTGCAATGGTAAGATTGTCTCTACGTGTGGTGGTGCCAGTAGTCTTAGAATCAGTTCTATTGAACTTGTTGATTATGTTGAACCAGAAGAACCAGAACCATCAAGCTCTGCTGAAGAATCTATGTCCGCCGAAGACAGCTCGTCCACTGAAGACAGCTCGACCATTGAAGACAGCTCGTCCATTGAAGACAGCTCGTCCATTGAAGACAGCTCGTCCATTGAAGAATCCACATCTCCTGAAGACAGCTCGTACACTGAAGACAGTTCATCTGTAGAAGAAATCACTTCTGCTGAAGAAGCTTCATCTACTGAAGAACCACAAGAATCATCTACTGAAGAACCACAAGAAACAGAAACCCCTACTCCAGAGGTTGATCCATCAAAACCATTCAAGCTCTTTATCAAAACCAAAGACTACACCATTAATTTCCATGTTGATAATAATCAAGTGGTTGTTGGTCAAGAAGATCCTGCTGAATTTATAATTCAAGAAGGAGGTGAACTTACTGCTGATGGTAAATATATTGTTATTGACGATCAAGGTAAGCTTATGACTACTGATGATATCAACAAAGCTACTAGAATTTGGTCAATTATCGATGGTAAGCTTGATTTGACAAGACCTACCAAACGTGCACTTGTTGAATTTATTATCTGCAATGATGGTAGTGTCTATATTGGTGGTTCAGACGTCCAGTGTGAAATATATCCCGTCCAAGCTGAAAATGTGGAAGAATCTTCTAGTTCCAGTGAATCAGGAACCACTGTTGTACAAAGTACTGATGAACCACAACCTACTGTTGTACAAAGTACTGATGAACCACAACCTACTGTTGTAGAAAGTACTGATGAACCACAACCTACTGTTGTACAAAGTACTGATGAACCACAACCTACTGTTGTACAAAGTACTGACGAACCACAAACCACTGTTGCTCCAGGTACAGAAGAACCCCAAACCACTGTTGCTCCAGGTACAGAAGAACCCCAAACCACTGTTGCTCCAGGTACAGAAGAACCACAACCCGCTGACTCGGGTGCTACTCAATCTGGTACTGACACTGAAGGTGGCGAAGTCACTGAATATACAACCATCACTACCGATATCACCATTACCATCACTGATTGTGACGAATCAGATAGCTGTTCAACCACTGAATCTGTCAAGAAAACTACTATTGAAACTTACTGTCCTATTACTGTTGCCGATAATGTTCACACCATCACTCTTACTAGTTGTGTTGAAGAAATTTGTATTGAAGTTACCAAGGTTATTGGTCATCATCATCATTATCATGATACTGTTTCACATTTAGTGGCAAACCCTACTAATGCAGTGCCAGTACCATATGTTGCTAACAGTGGTAATAGTGCCTATGTCAAGAATTTATTTGCTGTTGTTGCTATGATTGTGCCAATGTTAATCTAATCTGTGTAATTGTTTTGCTTATTATTGTTTTTTTTTAATTGTTTAGTCTTTGTTTTGACTGATTGTGAATTGTGTTTTTTTTTTCATCAGCAAAGGTTGAAATAGTTTTGATTATTGTGTTTAATATTTATTCAACCTATTAATAAAGCTTCTCTTATACCCTAGAAAAGTTTCAATGATAATAAACATCGAAAATTTAAATCCTCCTTTAAAGCAATGTAAGAATATTGGAATACTAAAAAACAAACAATTATCCAATCACTCAACTTCAACTCTATAATTGCATAGCATTGTGGGGATTTGGTTGCTATATGTAGTCACATTATTCGTTGATATTATTCTAAGTTATATTTATAGTAAAGGGTTGGTTGAATGGCCTCAAAATGGAAAAAAAAATGAAATATGTTATTTAACAAAGATAATTGTAACTATACTTTATTTATGCAAATTAAAGACTCGAAGTCAAGTTTGTCTTGGTCATGTGTTCAAAAAAAAGTATACAAAAAAGTAATAGTTGATAATAAGGTTGCAAATGGATACATTATAGCACAAACAAATGATTTATCAAGGTCATATTTATATACCAATAGATATTCTGTTTATGTTGAATAGTTGAGTTCGTTGTCGTTCTTGCGCTTTTTTGAGCAAACCCAAACGTTGTAGGGTCCTACACACATTCCAAGAATTAAATTAAATGTGTTGTTAGCTGTTTTTCACGCTTGGCTATACACATCATCTTCGACTTACAATATTGATGGCAATAGCATGTATATGATCAAGCACATTGTAGAATATCCTTTTTTGGTTGCTAAAAATATTCGCTATTGTTTAGTCGATAAATTGTCTGCATCCAGGCTTATGTCTGCTACTGCTGCAGCTACCAGTAAAAAAAAAGCTATCATGCCAATATGCACCAGCACGGAAAACTCGCCGACCATCAAAAAAAATAACCTTGCCGCGTGCATATTTCCATGTTCGAAATTTCACGTACAGGGAAAAATAAAAAAAAAACTTTCTAAAATAAAACCTTCATAACCCTGAAAAAAAAACGCTGATGCTAAAGTAGTGGAGAATTAAACGTATATCTTACAAGTCAAATCAAGTTTCCCAGCCGATTAAATCATCAATTCTTTATTATATATATATATATATATATAAAGAAAAACAAGTTGATTGTAAAAGTAGACATATTTAGATAGATTATAAATCTCAGGCGCACGCACCCACCCACCCACCACGCACACATTGCATAAAAACCAAAAAAAAAAAAATTCTTTCACCACATTCCATTCAGTTCCTTAACACCGAACAAGCAAACATTAGCCAAACATTGACTAAGATATATCTACATAGCACGATATAACAACAGTGAGATAATATAGACCATAGATACTTTGGAATGCGTCTGCTGGGTATACTATTTATGCTTCTGTTGTTGCTAGTGTCTGGCGAGGTAATAGCGACACAAACATCGTCACCGGTGACAGCGGCAGCAACGGCGACAACAACATCCACGGATATTATTACCACAGCTACCAATACTCTCCAAACTACATTACCTCAGCAACAACAAATGACATTGACAACATCAACAATCACCACAACCCTTTCCAGCATATTTACATTCATACCGAGAATCTTTAAACGAAGTAGTTTCAACCAAATTGAAAACTTTACCAAACATGAAATATTTGTTCAACGAGTATTGGCCACATCATCATCATGTGCATCCATAGCATTATGCTTAGTGGCATTCTATTTTTTGTTTGCCATTGATCCGAAACGACTTGTGTTTCGCCATCATTTGATTTTCTTTTTGTTGTTTTTCGATTTGATCAAGGCAATTATCTTGTTGTTGTACCCTACCCGGGTATTGACCCATACCATGTCCTATTACAATACGCGGTTCTGCCAAGCGGTGGGGTTCTTTACTGCTACTGCCATTGAAGGGGCCGATGTTGCCATCATGGCATTTGCCGTGCATACCTATTTACTTATATTCAAGCCAGAACTAAACACGAAAGTTAAACATTCAACCACATCAAGAATAGAAGGGGGGTTGTATCGATATAGAATCTACGTTTATACCTTGTCGATCTTCTTGCCGTTGATTTTGGCAAGTATGGCATTTGTCAATGGAACCGGGTACGCCTCGTTGGTCACGTGGTGTTATTTGCCCTTGCGTCCATTATGGTATAGAATGGTGTTGAGTTGGGTTCCAAGGTATTGTATTGTCATTGCCATTTTTGTGATTTATGGCTTGATTTATTATCACGTTATCACGGAATTCAAAACCTTGGGTGGGGTGTTTACCACGTTGCATAGTAATGCTAGACGAGGAACTGGCGAGATAAAACCCGATAAGCCAAGTTTCTTTTCAGCATTGTCGTACTTCTTTGAAACTATCAGGAATTATATATTTCCCAAGTTTGTGTTGCCCGATAATGCCGAAAATAGCACCAATTTAACCATTGTTAATCTGAGAGTACCGCTGAAACATGAAGAGTCAGATGAGGAAAGTGGGAGTGGCAGCGGTAGTGGAAGTAATAGAGATGAAGAACAGCAACATGAGCAAGAGCAAGAAGAGGAAGAAGAAGAAGAAGAAGAAAATGTAATTATCCCATTCCCTAGTAGAAGAGGTAACACTGAAGCACAGCATCATCAAGCAACTGACGATTTCACCAATCCTGACCTTCATCAGGCCAATTTAGAAAACTTTAGAAAACGTCAGCGAATAATTCAAAAGCAAATGAAGTCAATCTTTGTTTATCCGTTTGCATATTGTTTTGTTTGGTTATTTCCATTCATTTTACACATCACTCAGATCAACCATGAGGAAAAATACGGCCCTATTTATTGGATTAACTTATTGGGAGCATTCATGCAACCATTCAATGGGTTTGTTGACTCCTTGGTGTTTTTCTATCGGGAAAGACCATGGAATTATACCGTGCTGAAGAACTTCGAGCGGGAGAATAAACAACGGGTGGATAATATCATTGAAAACAACCTTCATAATAGCCATCATTATCATCATCATCACCATAATCATCATAGCCATTATCACCAGCACCAGCATCACCATCTGCAAAGTCAACATGATGATGCTGAATCGGTATCTACTATGGCCACAAGTGCACGAATTGCCAAGAACTCTCTTAGTGCCAGCTCTGGATTGGTTGATTTGAAACAGTACAAATTTTGGAGAATCTATTTAAACAAGTTCAAATTCCCGTTGTACAAATTACCCACCGAGGAAAACATTGCTGAATTTCAGAAGAAGTATATTGAAAAACGATTATCAGAAAAGGGCGTCAAGACCATACATGGTCAGCATGTTCCTCATCCAAGTTTAGCGGAGAAATACAAGAATGATAAAGAAGATAAAGGCGTCAGCGCGGGCGTTGGGGCTTTATTCACATCAACCACTCATGATTTCTCCAATGTGCTTTCTGAAGATTTTGGGGAGAATGATTTCCATACAAGTTTAAACAAGTTTACATTCACGCATGGAAATACCCCGAATAACACTAGAAAAGGCAGTGCTTTTTCGAAAGGGTCAAGATCGGATGATCCATTACATAAAAAGAAATCAAGTACACCAATCCCACCGAAACGAGCAACCTCATCACCGGTCAACATTCCCACAACCACTACTACAACATCAGGATCATTTTCGTCTGTGCCTGAACATTATCATAAGACATCTCCATTTGTTGATGAAGATCAAGAAAATGGTGAATTGGACTTTTTGGAATTTCTTAAGAAAGGTCCACCAGTATAAACATATAGCATTATAAATATTTGTGTATAATTATTAATACAATCTAAATCTAGATATTTACTAGAATAGCCTCATCTCAAATCGGATACAATGGGATAAACCAGCCGACAATTTACTAGATTGGGTGATGCGCCGCATACTGTCACAGATTGATCTAAGAAATTTTAATTTTGTGGATGTGGCCACTACTTAGTAACGGTCTTTTTTTTTTTTTTGCTTTTGTGTCGTTTATCTCACTTCACTCCCCTCCGATCCCCCACAAATTTCAAGTTCCGTTTTACCCCCTTGTTTATCAATTGATTGATTTGCTGTTTTAACTGGCTGTTGTTTTTCGTGATCATCCCGATCTAGCTTCCGACAATTGCTACGTCCATCCTTGTTGATACCAATTTATCGTCTCCACCCCACATCGCACCGGATTTCCTTATCAGGAGTAATCACCAATGTGTTTGTTAATTCAATTACCATTTGAATTGATAGTGCGAGTGTTGGACTACATACCCCGTGATCATCTACTTAGCCTACTCAATGTCAATGCCTATTTGGACACGATTATCATCCATCATTTATTTCCCGTTGCTAGCATAGACTACATTGATCCCCACCACCATAAACACTATATTCTTGATTCTAAAGGTGTAGTATATGGCAACGGGAAAGTAACATTCAAGCATGTTTCCCTGTTTATCAAGTTTTGCTGTCGGTTTAAGTATACACCGCGTCGGATTGTGATTCAGGACGTGTGTGACTTTTTGCAGTTGCACGTTCAATATGACCATGTCTTGAAGTGTGTAGGTAAGATCGAGGTTAGAACAGATACGCTGAGGGATATGCCAGGGTTAGAGGTTAATTTAAGGCAGATTTTGCTGTTGGGGTATGAAAATTTATATTGTTTGAGGTTGAATAAGGAGTTGTCTTGGGACGGGATGTTTATTCCCGAGTGTACAAAGGAGATGGAGGTGTATTTTAATCAAGATTATTCTCCGTTAGTTCCGGAAACTGTAGAAAACCTCCAAGTTCATGGCATAAAATTAGAAAATGTCAGACAATTGCCTGGCAATTTGCAACAGTTGCAAATTTTAGGATTAGCAAATTATGAATTCAGGACCCAAACAGTTTCTTTCCCGCCGTTGCTAACCCAATTAACATTATTTGAGCATCCTCTTGTGCTCAATCTGATTGATATTAGCTATCTTGATTATTTGGCCAAGTTTGATTATCATGGAAGTTTGCATACCAACGAAATAGTTTCCCTAACACAGGTAAAACTACCAATATCCTTGAAATCACTCACATTGACCAGCTTGAAACTTGAGGATTTATACTCGTTGGAAAACTACACCAATTTGGAAAAGTTGGTAATTGTAGAATGTCCCGTGTTTCATCATTTCTTTACCGATACAATATTTCCCCATAGTTTGAAGTCATTAACATATGGCCCTAATCAATGCGTACAGGTAAATGAAGTATTTGCTAGAAAAGCCGTGGAATATCCCGATCAATATCACAACCTGCATTTTATAGTAGATGGAAAATTTAGACTACCCCAATTGAAATATCTCCATCTTGAAAATCTACCATTTATTAGAATAATTGCCTCGAAATTCACCCTTCCGAACAGTTTGAACCGGGTTGTGCTTCGAAATATCGGTGGGTTTATGGATAAGCTTAGTAATTTAATATTGCCATTGAATTTGTACTCATTGACATTGAGAGATGCCTCTATTGAGTTTATAAACGATATGAAGTTTCCTTATAAGCTACATCATTTGAATATTTCCAAGAATTTCCTAACTTCGATTGAAGGTACCAATTTATCCCAATTGAAATATTTGCAAGATGTTGATTTTCTGTATAATAAGTTTACCACTACTTCAACATTTATCAACAACCTACCTCAAGAACTAACCAGATTGAATCTTCATGGAAACAAATTGAATAAATGTATTCTCAAGGACTTGTATTTACAAACGCTAGAAGTTGAATTTTCTAGCTCACAATATATTGTCGGAAACGATAGTTTTATCCTTCCTAAAGATATTAAAACTTTGCAATTCTGGGCCTGTCTGAATATCAAGTTTGATTGGTTTATTGAATTTCCAGGGAGTTTACGAAATATTGAAATTCATCAGTTAAAGAGTAGTAGGATAATACTTAACAATGGTAATTTCTTTAGTAAATTACCTTCGGGATTGCACACACTCAAGATACATGATGTGGTGATTATAGAAGAACAGCCTATTCGATTCCCATTTGAGCTACAGAACTTGAGTATATCGTGTTCATTTAACCAGGAGTTGATTGACAGGATTGATATAAGTAGTTGTAATCATCTTAAATCAATAACATTGAGTGGTGGGCATGTGCAATATTTCAATCTTGATAAAATCCCACCAACTCTGATTGAGAGAATCACATTACAAAACATGGGGCTTTGTCAAATCTTGGGGAGTTTCACCAACTTCCCTAAGCTCAAGCATATCAATCTTGAGAAGAACAATCTTTCCAAATCATTACGACAATTGACATTGCCGAATTCATTATTCACGTTGATACTAAACAAAAACAATTTGGATAATCTATCCATCGCAATTGATAATTGTTCTCGGTTGAAATTTGTATTTTTAGAACGGAATCCCAAATTAGAACAATGTGTTTTGCAGTTAATGCTGTTGGCGGATAAGTTGTATTGTATCCTGAATGAATTCGGAGCAATTTATTTATCGTCGCCTACTAAAATTATAAATTCCAGTTTGTTTCAGGAAAAGTTTGACTATTTCGATAAGATTATTAAGGACGCTGATGTTTTATAGCGTGCATAGGATATTAGACGGTATTATGTAAAAATATATATATATATATATATATATTTGAAATAAAAAAAAATTTTTTTTGCACCCGATAAGGGTATTATTTGTATAGTGTGCGAATTATACAATGAAACATTCCCAATGACTAGCGCGGTGATAGTAAGCAGGACGACGTAAGGATAAGTAAACGAACTTAGGTTTTACCATATAATGTGTAATTTTAAAGGAGCTTCTATAGCAAATGTGTCTAGGTTGTGATATTTTTATTTTTTTTGTGCCTATGACATGATGTTCAACCTTGAAGTTTAATTAGCTTCTGCCAATTACCTAAAGCTTAAACTAAAACACCTAAATAAGATTTACCTAATCTAATTGGTTCTTCAGTGTTGGTATCCCTGTATCTGTACTAGATGTTATAATTGTCTAAATGACGCCCCCTCCGGTATCACCCAGCTATGTAATGACCAGGTAGTACACTGGACAGGCGAAAAAGTTGCAAGCAGCTATTAACAACGGTATGCTAAGCCGCACTAAAGCCGAAGTCCGGATCGGGAAGCAACCCGAACCGGAAATTTTTCTTTATTGCTCTGATCACGCGACACATTTATGAAACATCATTCGGAATTTATCTGGCAGCATTATACTTCTCCTCGCTTTAAACAAATAACGGTATAAATAAGCAACAAAATCCGTCTGTGAAGGCAAACAACTGTAAATGTTCTAGTAACAAAAATTCTATCATGTCTTCTACAAATCAGAATCCACATGACCCTGAGCAGCAACTGCTGCCATCACACAAGTACATAGAAGCAGATGCGGGGGATGGAACTCGTGCGCATGAACAATATTTGTCGGGGATAAGTTTGGCTCTTACGTTAGCATCATGCATTACATCGCTATTCTTGGTCGCATTGGACCAAACTATTGTTTCTACAGTGTTAACTACCGTTGGGGATCAATTCAACGGGTTTGATAAGGTGGGGTGGTTGACTGCCGGGTTTATGTTACCCATGGCATGTCTTGCACCCAGCTATGGGAAAATTTCAATTGCATTTGGGAGGAAATGGACTTTATTTGTTGGTATTATAATATTTGAAACTGGGTCGTTGATTTGTGCGTTATCTAAATCAATGCCTATGTTGATTGGTGGGAGAGTTATCCAGGGTGTAGGTGGTGGTGCTATCCAGGCCACGGTCATGGTGATTTTGACAGAGTGTGTACCTATATCAAGAAGACCCCTTGTGTTTGCTTCAATTTCAATTGTCTATTCTACATCAAGTGTATTGGGTCCTCTTATTGGAGGTGCCTTGACCAAGGTTTCATGGAGGTGGTGTTTCTTTATAAATTTGCCTATTGGGGGTGTTGCTCTTGCCGTGTTGACGTTTGGGTTTAAACCTCCAAAGACTGTGGGAAGCATGCGGGAAAAGTTGGCCAAGATTGACTATGTGGGTACATTTCTCCTTGCCTCCGGATTGGTATTAGTTTTACTTGCATTGACATTTGGGGGGATTGAATATCCCTGGAGATCAGCGGCAATCATTGTGTTATTCACATTAGGGGGCCTTGTGATTATCACCTTTTTCATTTGGAATTTCAATTATTCAAAGAATCCAATCATATTAAAGGACTTCCTTTACATAAATCGCGTGCTTGCAGCAAACCTCAGTTCCATGTTTAACTTTGCCTTCTTTATTGCCAACTTGACATATTTGGCCCTTTATTTCCAAGTCATATTCAATGCAAGCGCACTTCAATCGGGGATATATTTATTACCCATGGTGATATCCGTGTGTGTGTCATCGTTTTGTAATAGCATGTTCATCAGTATTACAAAGCTTATTAAGCCAACAATGGTTCTTTCCGGGTTGTTGTCACCGGTAGGAACGGGTCTTTTCTTGCTCCTTGGTAAAAGCTCATCCTTGGGTTTAAGAATAGGTATCCTTATTGTCTGTGGTATTTCCATTGGGTTACAATTTCAATCTTCGTTACTTTCAGCACAATTAGTGTCCCCAAAATCGATCCCTGGTGCCCTTATTCTTGTTACAGTTTTCCAAAATTTCTTGAAGAACTTGGGAGCAACCGTGGCTGTTAATATTGCCCAACTTTTATTTCAAACTACCGGAACAGACTATATCAATAATTTGACTGAGTCATTACCACGGGATTCTATGGATCATCAAGTATTGATGAAGTTCACGGCAAAGGAATTGATTGCAAATCCAAGATTAATTCAATATTTACCTGATCTGACCAGGGAGTTGTTATTAGATCAGTATATGAAAGCATTTAAAAATGTGTTTTATTGGGGATTGGCCTTAGGTTCTGTTTGTTTCGTATGCAGTTTATTCACAACTAACAAGAGATTACCTAATTTGAAAGATATTGATAGAGGAGACCAGACACCAGATGAGGATGATGATGAGAAAGAAAATGAAAGTGGGGGTTCACGAACAGGTTCGGAAACTTCTAGTGGTACTGTGAGTCCACTTTAAAATATATATATATATAGTGATACATGAATTAACTTTTCTATTAACATTTCTAGCTAAAGCTGGAGGATTGGATTGGCAACTTGCATATACTGTTGAAGCTTGTCACTTAATTGCGCCAACTTTTCCTTAGCTTCTTGTTCTTCATCTTCATATTCTCTAATAATTTTCGAGGTATCATTTTCAAGTTCAGCGTACAGTATTTTCAACTGTTCACAGGCTAGAAGGGTTTTCTCGATCTCGGCTATTCCCCTTTCATATTCAATTTTTGAAGCATTGAATGAATCATCAGCTTGTTTAGATCTTACTTCCACTAATTTATTCAAGTCGGCTAATTTTGTATTTGTATCGACAAATTGATGTTCCAAATTCTTAACTTCTTCTTCAAGTCGTTCCTTTATTGGATTTAAATCATTGATTGCATTTTGAACATCTCGTATGGTTGTTTTAATTGAATCGATGTCATCATTGCTTTCTTTAAGTTTTCGACTCAAAGTCAACAACACATGTAATTCTTGTTCCACGGTTTCTATTGATCTGATGGTGGTTTCATAATTGTGCTTAACTTGTTTCAACCTTTCAATTTCTTGTTGTCTGCCCGCAGCTCGTGATTTAGAATTGTTCATCACATCTTGCAAGACCTTGATATCCGTGGACTTGACTTCTTGTAATGACTTAATCTTGATCCGTTCAACTTCGACTAATCCGTGCAAATCTTCGAATTTTTGTTTAAGGTCAAGCTTGTTTCGTTCGTATTCATTATATTCCTGTTCCAAAACTTGTAAAGTCTGTTGTAATTGCTCGACATCACGTTCAATCAACGCATTATAGGCATTCTGAGCTCGTAATTTCTCCTGGCGTTCTTCGGGGGTCTTGCCGTATTTGTCTTCCAATTCCTGTTTCACATTCAAAGCAGCATTGTGTTCTTCTTGGACATCTGCCAATTCCTCCATTTTCAAATCAACATCATGGGCGATTTCTTCGAATATGGGCGACTGGTGTTCTCTAAATCGAAGATAATTCAGTACCGCACTCAATATTCTTTGAGTTCTTAGAGGGTCGGGTTTAGCAACATCAAACAATCCAAAGTCGTGAAAGCCCGAATCCTTCAAGAACTTCCCAAAGAATTTCGTAAGCACCATATATCGGTTCATCACCATTTCCAGTTCATCCACTTCGCCCTCGTCTTGCTGGTCACCATCACGGGCTATTCTTCTTGCTACAGTTTCTACTCGACCAATAGGGATAGCTAGACACTGCTCAAGCAACTGTTCGTATAACAGGAACACAAACAGTGAAGTGGGTTTCTTGATTAGTTCCTCGTTGACTTCAAAATAACAATATGCTAACAAGTCGGCGATTTCTGCTGGTGGTAACAATGGGAAAAGATCATCTCCTATTGATTCATACTCGGTTCGTGCTTGCTGCAGTGATTGCTGTGAGGATATCTGTGATGAAGGTTGGATTGTGCTTCTTCTTCTAGCTTGGCTAGGAGTCATTCTCCTTGGTGGGGCCATTGTGTGGTGGTGTGTCTTGGTGGAGTAAGTTGTATGTTTTGATTTCGGTTTTTTAAAGCCGCAACAAATGTGTTTAAGTTTTGGTTTTTTTTTGCAAGACTCAATGGTGGGTTGTATGCAGGAATATCAATGTTGCAAAACACGTCGATGGACAAGGGTGGGTACTTCTCAGAAATAACGTCTATATTGCTGGGATGTTGTGGGAGTAAGAGTTTCAGACATGGTTGTAATGTTCCTGTACTTCCTGTGCAAGCTTCTTTTTTTTCTGGTTGAATTTACTTAGAGACTGAAATTTATAAGGTAACATCATATTTCTATTTCTATTTCTTCGTATATACATAAACTTTCATCTAGATTCGTTCAGCAGCCCAAATGGCTCCTTTGCAAACCGTTTTTATACCTTCAGTCAACAACTTGTATGGTACGGCCTTTTCAGCATCGTTTTCAAGGGCAATATCCAAATGCTCCAATTCTTGATCTCTGAATAACTTAATGTTTTCCTTCAAACTAGTCAATTCTTCTGAAACTATGGCCGTGGGGGTAACTTCACTCTTATCGACAACTTTCCCTTGCTTGTCATAAATTGGCACGTTATACTGATTCATCAATACTCGTAATTGTTCATTGTAATGACCACCAATGACAGTCTCGACAGCGACAGTACATGCCATGGCTGCCTCTTTACTAAGCAAGGCCGTACCCATCCCCATTCCAATAGCACCTACTTTCCACAAGGGAGTGATCAATGAAGGTCTAACTCTTCTGCGCACTTGTAAATCGTTGAAGGTGTTATGATGGTGTATTTCCTGTTCTCGCATGTGGGTAAGCAAGGGCTTCAAGTGGGGGTATCTTGATGCAAGAACTAGTATTTGACCCAAGTATATGTAATTGGCACCCAATTCACCAGCCTGGTCTACTCGGATTACTCGGTCAAGATAGGCTTTCTGGGCAGGGGATAATTTTCCATACGTGAGTTCATCACGGGTGTACTTCTTGTCTTGGGGTTGATCTTGTTGTTCTGTGACTTGGAGGAGTCTTGATGTATTTGACAATTGTCGGATGGAGGCTAGAGCCTGTCTTTTGGGAATTGATCTGGAGATCATTGGAGGTGGTTGCTGTGGAAAGAGAAGTGGTTGATGGTACGATATTTTTTTTTTTTTTTGATTTTTTTTTTTTCAGGGTTGAAAATTTACGACATTGTCTGGAGGAATTTGACTAAGTTGGTTTAAAAACGAAGATTCATTAACATTACAACTATACACAAAACGACATGGTAACAGAAGGTGGTGTTGATCATTCATTAGTTCTAAAAGAGCTAATTATCTTAAGCATGGAAATCCCAATTTCAAATGGAATTTCCTGAGTATCTCTTGAATTAGTTACCGGTTTGAATTCATTTGAAGGAACTTTCAAATGTTGAAAGAACCGATTGGGCACATCCTTGATCAACAACCATTCTACGGGGAAAATACCCTTCCATCTAGTTTGTTCAACCCAAATATCACTGGTCTTGGTATAGTCGATTCTCGATTTCATTTCGGCAATGCCGCAAAATTTCCCCAGGGAATTAACCAGGAAAAATAAGAATATCTTACCATCGATGTTGGGATTACCGGTCACTTGTAAATCCTGGTAGGCTTTGTCCAATCTACGGTTACCTAATTCTGTCGATGTCCAAATATTGTTGGTAAATGAAGCATTAACATCAAGGATATTGTATGATTTTATAACAAAGAATTTGGAGTTTTGTGGCACGGTGAACACGGTACCTTTGTAGGTTCTGAAAGTAAGGCAGTTTGGTGGAGCAATAGTGATACTATTGTTAACGGAATTGGAAGTTGTTGTAGTCATATTAGCAGGAGAATTGATCACATTAGGATTGCCTTGGTAGTATAATCCTTGATTAGCAGTTAATGGGCTAGTAGGATCTGAAGGGATATTAGTGTAATTTCTGTCATCATTAAATTGGACCTGATTAAAGTTAATTACGTTATTGGAAGTGACAGTTTTAAATCTAGAAGACCAAATGTTAGTTTTAAAATTCAAGGGAACATCATCAATCTCCAGTTCGATAGACATTACGGTGGTTAATGAACGGGGAGTACAGTACCTAACACCTACTGAGGATAGCGAACCTCCATCTCCATACCCACCAACACTGCCACTAGCAACACTCATGCTGCCAGATCCACTAACGGTTCTACTTCCTGTGCCAGCAGTAGTAGCAGAACCAGAAGAAGATTCGGATGCTTCATCAGGGAAATAGTAATAATCAAAAGTAGTTGGAATTGGATCGAAATCGTCAAACATTGGGTGGGAGGGAGGTAGGGGGGGTGGATTGAGGCAGTGTGTGTAAAGTTAAATATTAGTAAAATGCAAAAGAATATGTCTTGTATTTATATTAAAATCTCTCAGATTAGAAAATTGTGGAGAAGGAGAAGATACAACTGAAACAGAGTTTCACTTAGACGTGTGGGTGAATCTGAAAGTGAGGAGTGATATTTTTACCGTGACTCCTCTCCTCCCCTTTGTATTTTCGTGTGTGTGGTTAGGTAGTGCAACGGATTATTATACCGTGAATGTGGTGGTGGTGGTTGTTGTTTTTAATATGTCCCCTGTTGGTGGTTTTTTGCAACCATCAAACCTGTAAAAGTGAACCTGTAAAACTGTAAGGTAGGATTTGAAAAAAAATTATTGCAGGAAAAGTATATTACATATTACACTTTGTAAAGGCTGACTTACATACGAGATAAACAAATGGCATATAGATTACATGAAGTTAATGAAGACTTCATAAAGGATAAACTTGATAAACAAAAGCTGTCATCAAAGTTTCCGAAAATATTCAAAACGAATGTGGACATCACGAAAATCACCAATTGGCCTGCAATTAAGAAATGGATCCAACATAGAATTGACCAACTAATTCCTGATGATGAGATATTTGTTGAGTATGTGTATGAATTGATACGGTCGGATTCTCCATGTCCTGATATCAAGGCTATACAGTTGCAAGTTGACGATTTCTTGGGTAAAGAGGATTCTCTTGAGTTTTGCACTCAGTTATGGCAGTTGCTAATAGATAGTGAACATGGGAAATTGAAAGATAACAAACAAGTGAAGGAACAGCCAGTGAAGGAACAGCCAGTGAAGGAACAGCCAGTGAAGGAACAGTCAACGAAGGAACAGCTGGACAGGAAAGAAGAGAAACAGGTACAGGAACAACATGAAGCCAAAATACAATCTCCCAAGAAAACAAAAACAAACTATAATAGAAGCAGTTCATACACCTCCAAAAGCAACGAATCAACAAACAAGACATCATACAGAAGCCAAAATGACCGAGACTATAGACGAGATCGCGACCTACCAACATACAAAGCCAATACCCACGGACAACGACAACGAGAATCGCCTGACGAAAGGTATAGAGACGAAAGAAGAATACGAGCAAGAAAGGGAAATTAATAGAGTATATATATACAATTCGTATATCGTAACCATTCATTCCTAAGTATTACTCATAGTAAATGATTTGCGTGTCTCTACCAAATCAAACTGAAACTTCACAGAAAAAAAAAGTGTGTGGCCAACTTTAACAGAAGCGATTGTCACACACCCTTTTTGTTGACAATACAACTCTAAAACATCACAACAAGTACAAACCATGTCTGATCAGGTACCAATGGATCAAACAGGTCAAGATGACCGCCAACAGCAACAGCATCACCACCATCACCATCATCATCACCAAGATAAACAATCACAACAAGTCCCAGTAGACCCAAGCGGGAATCCCGCCAACAGAATCGGAAAGTATCAAATCATCAAGACTTTGGGTGAAGGTTCGTTTGGTAAAGTTAAGTTGGCCCATCATTTAGTCACGGGACAACGAGTTGCTCTTAAAATCATCAATAGGAAAACATTGGCTAAATCAGACATGCAAGGTCGTGTAGAACGAGAGATTTCCTACTTGAGATTGTTGAGACACCCACACATTATCAAGTTGTATGATGTGATTAAGTCCAAGGATGAAATTATTATGGTTATTGAGTATGCCGGTAAGGAATTGTTTGATTATATCGTCCAACGTGGTAAGATGCCTCAAGATGAAGCTAGAAGATTCTTTCAACAAATTATAGCTGCCGTGGAATATTGTCATAGACACAAGATTGTCCATCGAGATTTAAAGCCAGAAAATTTGTTATTGGATGATCAATTAAATGTCAAGATTGCTGATTTTGGGTTATCTAATATCATGACTGATGGGAATTTCTTGAAGACCAGTTGTGGTTCTCCAAATTATGCTGCCCCGGAAGTTATTAGTGGGAAATTATACGCTGGTCCCGAAGTTGATGTTTGGTCGGCTGGGGTTATCTTGTATGTCATGCTTTGTGGTAGATTACCATTTGATGACGAATTTATTCCTGCTTTATTTAAGAAGATTAGTAATGGGGTTTATACATTACCTAATTATTTATCACCGGGGGCTAAACATTTATTAACGAGAATGTTGGTGGTTAATCCGTTGAATAGAATAACCATTCATGAAATAATGGAAGATGAATGGTTTAAACAAGATATAGCCGACTACTTATTACCACCTGATTTATCCAAGAACAAACATAAGAAGATTGATATTGATGAAGATGTGATTAAAGCACTTAGTATGACCATGGGATATGATCGTGATGAAATCATAAATGTTATTGAACGTTGTAATAAACTGAATGCTCCACAACAACAATCCAATGAAATCTTGGATGCTTATTTGTTGATGAAGGAAAATCATTCCTTGGTTAAAGATTTAAAGCAATCTAAACAAGACAAGATTGATTCATTTTTGTCACAATCTCCACCGCCAACATCATTCACTCCAGGGTCTACCAGTTCTGCCCCTGGCGTACAACAATCTTTAACTTACCAAACATTGGCTACTGTTCCTGATTTGTCACAATTACCTACATCAACAATTGCAATTTTACCATCATCATTACCATCTATCCATCGGGCATTCATGATGGAATTGAATCCAAATCAGTTATCCTCAAACATAAACCCTACCCCTACTAAAAAGCTGAAGACAAGATGGCATTTCGGGATACGGTCAAGATCGTATCCCTTGGATGTGATGGGGGAAATATACCGTGCCTTGAAGAACTTGGGTGCAGAATGGGCCAAACCTACTGAAGAAGAATTATGGACCATTAGAGTGAGATGGAAGTATGAAAGTGGGGATGCAATGCAAGAAAACACGCCTAATTTAATGAAGATGCAAATCCAATTGTTCCAATTGGAGCCTAATAACTATTTAGTTGATTTTAAATTCGATGGGTGGGAAACCTCCACGGGCACCCCGCAAGATAGCTTCAAACAGGACTTAGATGAAGTTGGTTCGTTTTCAGCTTATCCTTTCTTGCATTTGGCTACTAGATTAATTATGGAGTTAGCAGTTAATAGTCAAAGTGGATAGTCTTATATTCTGTGTATACAAAAAAATTTTAGAAAATGACATTGGACCAAGTATGTGCATGCAAAAAAAAAAGAATAGTAGTTAAACTTTTCAATTAAACTCTAATTCAAGAATAAAAGAAAAAAGAAGTACTGGTACGGAATGAACTTTGTACTGGTAGAATCATGTCCAAAGTACTTTGTAAAAAGAATATAGAAAAAAATAGTGACTCCGACGCGGTTCGAACGCGTGCATCTTTACGATAGTAGAACTTGAGTCTACCGCCTTAACCACTCGGCCACAGAGCCCCTTTTTTATTCAGAAAATTTCTTGGTTTTTGTGACTGTGTTATAGTCACGTGACTTTTCAATTTGGGAATATCTCAACATTAAACAAGTTCTTGATAATAAATATTATGTAATTAAGTGAAAACCTGGTTAATACTTACTTAAACATATCTATTTGCGCTAGTTTTGTTATTTAATGGGTGTTTTTTTAAATTTTTGTAATTTTTGAAAAAAAGTTGCAAAATATCTATTCAGAAAGTTAAAGGAAATATACCTAAGCCAGTTCTAGGACAAATAGAATACAATTAGTCAATAATTGGATTTAACACCAAAACAAACAAGCAGTATTAGACTCAAATATCATATATCATACCAAATTTTTATAAAGGAACATTGCTATAAGTTTGTTTGCAATTTTACCATTGCAACCAAATAGTTCTCTACTATTTCGGTGTTAACGGCAAAATTTCTAGCTATACTCAAAAGTAAAGGAGAAACTATACAAGAGGAATATGCTATAATAACTAATAGTCTTGTCGGTTATGCTCAGTGGCAGTTTTTCATTGAAAAGGAGAGTACTGAAAAATATTCCTACAAAAAAGGTTCTGACAACTTTAAAACAAGGCGATGGCAAAGACTATTTTAGATCATCTAGAAATATTCTCATAATAGTCAGTTATACGTTGGCAGTTCATTTAAATTCCGCAAAAGAGCAAAATCAAGAAACACTAACCACGAGATTTATTTCAAAAATGGTAGCGCTTACTTCCACAGGCAAAAGAAATATTGAACCAATTTAGCTGTACTGCCTTTTAAGTGAGAATTCCACATGGCAGGTGAAACAGGAGGGTACTGGGTATAACCCTCCCAAAGGAATATCCTCTCTGCTACATCCAGCATGTCCTCGTTCGAAGAGTGGCTCGTACCATGCTAGTTTATGCAACAACATTGTACAAGGTTTGTTGAAAGAGGGCTTCGCACAAGAGTATACTGAGTAACGCCACGGATGAAGCTAGTTCACTCTATTCCAATCCACCATAGTAATACCACCTTCAAAGCTCGTCCCGAATCGGGGTGGAATGTAAATAAATCAAATATTTTCGTGAAAGTAGTAGAACTCTCATTGTAAGAAAAAACAAATTCGTGTTTTACTATTTCCTAAAAAGGCAAAATTGCGGTCATGTGATCCATACATTAACCTGAGCATACAATTTACTAAACAATGCAAGCCTCGCTTGAATTTCGCATTTTTGTGTCGTTGCAACGACCCCCTTTATAAATTGGCGTTTAATTAGTTACATATTAATTGAAGCCAAGCACAAAGCCCTAGCAACGACCCCCAGGAGGGAAATCTTTTGTAGCTGTGCAGTTTTTTCTTGAGGTTCAACTTTCGTTCCAAAGTTCTACACAACTTCTTCTTTACCATTTGAATAGAAATAACTGCTGTCGTCATCTATACCGTCAGTTTTTCGCAACTCCACACTACTTATTCCCAAAACCATCATCTAAATTTTTCTCTACAGGGCTGTTACAAAGCAAGGAGGGAAAGTCACACAATCAGAGCACTACAAGTTAAGACCACCACACACAGAGACAATTATGATCTCGCTAGACTTAACCCAGGAGGACCTTCCCACTGATACCAGCATCCGCTTGAATGAAGTCATCAAATGCATTGCTAAAGCCAAAAAATGCACCGTATTAACAGGAGCAGGGATATCATGTAATGCCGGGATCCCTGATTTCAGGTCCTCAGATGGATTATACAACTTGGTGAAACAACGACATCCCCTGAAGATCACCCGGGGTCAGGACTTGTTTGACATTTCATTGTTTCGGGATGAAATTTCCTTGAGTTTGTTTTGTACGTTTATGGAATCTCTATACAAGTCAAGTTTGAAGGCCACCGCCACGGAGACACACAAATTTATCAAAGTGTTGAAGGACAAGAATAAGTTGTTGAGATGCTATACCCAGAATATCGACTGTTTAGAACTGACTATGAATTTAAATTTGGGGATAAATTTGAAGGAGTTTGACAATAGCAAGTTTAACGAAGTGTGGAAAAACTTGGATGTGGTGCAGTTACATGGGAACTTGCATAAACTTTCATGTACTTCCTGTTTCAGTAATTTCGATTGGAATGAAAAGTTTCAGAGTATGTTGAGTCAAGGGTTGAATCCTGAGTGTTCGGTTTGTTATGCAAAGTATGAAGAGAGATTATACTCGGGAAAGAGACTCACGGGGAATATCGGGGTGTTACGTCCAGATATTGTATTATATGGAGAGAACCACCCACAGTCAGAATTATTATCCCAAGGGCTTAATGTTGATTTGAGAAGCAAACCGGATTTGTTAATTATTATGGGTACTTCTTTAAAAGTCGACGGGGTCAAGCGATTAGTTAAATGTTTAAGCAAGTCTATCCATGAAAAGGGAGGCAAGGTGATATTCATAAACAAGACTCCCCTTTCCAAGCAATGGAAGAATGTCATTGATTATGAAGTTCTCACAGATTGTGATGATTTTGTGAGAATATTAAAACGCGAAATTCCCGACTTGTTCTTGACCCAAGAACAACTCGACAGTAAGAAATTGAACAATCCAATCACAGAACAGCTTCCAGCTGTCAAACGAGAACCAAAAGTAAAATCAGAGCCAAAAGTAAAACAAGAAATACCGAAATCCAAAGTGAAACGAGAAGTCAAAAAAGAGATACTAACTCCGCCAACCACCCCCACAAAGAAACGTTCACCAGCACCAACATTGAAACGGAAAAGAGCTTCCACCACCAAAGACCCTGCTTGTAAGAAACTTAAGTTTGGAATTGCTACTCCGATGTCGTCATTTAGTGAAGATAGTAGTCGTCTGACCAGCGAAGAAGCCGAGGTTATTCCTGTGGACAGTAGCACTGATGATGACAAACCTTTGAATACCATTAGTCGGTCTAAGTTGAACCGATTGCCTACGAGATCAAGAGTAAAACAAGAGATTTCTATATAAACATTTATAGCATTTGTAACATTAGTACCATATTAGTAACTGAGCAATTTTCATATGCAAAAAAAAAAAAAAAGGAAAATGTCGTAAATTTCTGGAACAGTTTTTTAAGGAGAATGCAACATATCTTAATCCATAAACATACGAACCTGTCATTGTCAATACAACCACAATTGCCCTTCTACTCACAGACGTCCGTAACCTCATTGTTTGCTGGCCGCAACATCCCCCCCCTCCCCTCTCCCCCCCACAAAAAGGAGCCACTGCGTTTTAATACTTTGCCACCATGGATCAAGTATCAAACATCTTAGGCAACATCCTTTCCATTGAAGAAGGACTGCCTGAAGTAATTGACACCAGACCGAAAACCATCAAACGAAAATCACTCGAATTGGACTTTAGTACGTTTTGGAATTCCGATAAGAAAACCGAAGAGGACAGCGAAGAGAATGAAGACGACCTGAATATGTCTGTTGCCAGTGTTCCACCCGCCAATTCCGGCTCTTCTTCATCGCAATACATGGCGGATAAGTTGATGGAGAAGGCATTAGCCATGATAATCCCTACTGAAATCCATGATTATCAAACCACAAAAATCATCGAAGATAGAATTGCCATACAGAAGCAACGACCAGGGTTAAGCTTCAACATTATGCAAAAGAATTCAAATATGTTGCACCAGCGGAACTCGTCCAACTACGTCATGATCAATTCAATTATTCAGTTTTTCAACTGGGATGACACGTACTTTACCATTGGTGTCTTGCTAATCATCACCCATATAATTCTCAAACCGTTGCTATTAACAGTTGCTCCACTTGTGTTTGTCCTTGCTAATGTCATCATCCCTCACTATTTACTTGTTTACCCTCCCGACGCCACTCAGAAGTACCTTGATGTGAACCCAGTACCGGCGAATTTGCCCTTGGGGAAATACAAAATTGCCAAACCAGTGCCGTTATTCTCGCGGGAATTCTTTTTGAATTTGACCGACACCCAGAACTTTATGCGGTACTATATTGACAGTTATGACTTTATCGTGTGGATAACCCGGGACTACTTGTACTTTAAGGATGAGCAGGTGAGTTCGTTGGTGTTGCTTTTGATGTTGGGCACGATTATCATGAACTTTTATACTGTGCCTATCCTTTTTGAGTTTGCTTTGAATCATGTTAGATTTGTCAAGATTAGTATGATTTTGAGTATTTGGTTGTTTGTGATTATGTTGCATCCCAACAATAGAGGTTCGCTTCTTGAATGGCTATACAACGAGGATACCCGATTGAATTTCCAAAACTATGTAAATAAAGTGGAGGCAAAACTTATCGGGCTACTTGAAGAAAACGAGCCCGGCTCAGAGGATGATTCAATCTATGTTGAGATTTTCGAGTTACAGAAACTTGATTTGGGTACCAAGATTTGGGAATTTATTGGATTTACTCCAAATTTCTATACTGCTAACACATCAACTAGACAATACAACAGCAGTATATCCAAGGATGAAGATAATACTCCCGAGGGACCCAAATACTTGAGAATTCCACGCAAGGACACATTGAATGAGATATTGCCCCCCAAGACATACGAATTCGTCGGATCCTGGACTATTGATTATAATGTGACATCCTGGGTCGAGCAAAACTTGATTAAGGACCTAGTGATTATTGATGATGATGAAAAATGGGCTTATGATTATACCGAAGATGATGAAATCACCACAGACGTGTTTCGAAGAAGGAGATGGATTAGGAAGGTAACCAGGTCGAAAACAGCATAAAATATTACTTTAGGAAATCCATAAGATTAAGACTTTTCGTTTCGGTTTTCTGTTTCTTCTTTTCACTGAGTAGCGATGATAGATTAAGTTTTCTCTTTTTGGCGCGATCTTTTGACTTGACATTCTTGACGGATGGCTGCTTGACCTGATTTGTATGGTCTGGTGTCCATTCCGCCTTGAATTCGACTTTTTCTCCCACAGGTTCCTCCACTTTCTTGTTTTTCTCTTGGATTAGAGAATCATCATAGCTTGTATGGCGACAGACTGTACAGCGATATCGCAACCTCCTCTTGCCAACATTTTCCCCTTTCTTCTTCTTAGGATATGCTATGCGAATAGATACAGTCAACCCTGGAATCCATAAATTCCCACAACCCTGACAAAACTTGTATGTTAATAAAGGAGGAAGGTTGATTTGTTTGATTAAATTGTGTCTTTCGAAAAGAACAGAGTAGTTTTGTGATAGTGGAGAAATTGCATTGGAATGAGCTAGGTCATACAAGTGCAATGATGTTATTTGATTTGGATTTAGTGGCTTCTCTTGTGACATTGGTGATAAGAGCAGGATCAAAACACGGAATTGGTTTTGATAAAATCAGATATGATGATGGGTTGCAACATTTTTAAATTTACGCGCAGAGTGTGTAAATCGTGGGATGACACCACCCTTCTTTAATAGTTGCAAATGATTGACAACCCACACCCCAGACAAACAGATGGAGCTGTGTGAATACAAGAGAATATCTCTATAATGAGAGGCCAAAAGATTGAGCTTGTTTTGGAACTATTTCCAAACTAAACAAAAAAAAGTAAGACGATTATAATACATGGCGTCAACACTAAATTTAAGTAGTAACCATTATCCCTCTGCTAATCAATCCAGCCAATTGCACGAAGTGCAAGAGAAACAGGAAGATTTTATGTGGCAAGAAAGGAAATAACGGTTAGGTGCTTTATCCATTGTTTGAAATAGACGGGATCAACATAATCGGGATACAACGACCCATTGACTTGAGGAACATTTCGCAAACCAATAATATTTCAACGATTTAGCGAATTACACAAGCACACACACAAACACATATACGGCCCAATGTGACACAATCCAACACAATTATCAAAATGTAATCGGATGACTTATTGGAAGTAGAGTATTGGTTTATTTTCTTGAGGCGGGATTACCAAGAATGGAATACAAAAAAAAAATCCTAGATATTGATCACCTACCTGTCTCATGGTGCGCAACACCTCAAACTAATTTGCCATGCCGAATTAATCTAATACAGGACAACTCCTTCTCCTCCTCAACCTCCCCACCTACTGGATGAGCCACAATGCAATCATATGTACTCCTCTAATCATGCTATCAAAATCTTCAATAAAAAAAAATATTCGTAATGTAATCATTGCGAAACCCTGTCCATTCGCAAAAGTTTCCTTTTGGATAAGCCGAACGTGAAAACAGAATTTGATTTGACTACAGAGTCTCCGCATTGTTAATCCAACCAGTAACATACTGCAATATATTAAATAGTAAGCAAATCTAAATCACACACAGACAAAGCCTCCCTGCCGCCCCCTTAAATTTTGCAGCTTTTATTCTGCACACGCGCAAGGTAATAATACGAACAAGGTATTACATCCAAACATCAGTAGAAAGTGGTTGTCCGAAAATCGGCTACACAAAAACCAACCAATTAAACCTTGACAAAATTAGCTTAGTAATAAGCACTAACCCGATAAGCGGAGTTTTACTAGTGTGCAGTATCACCTACAAGGCGTAACATTCTTGCAGGCGGGACCCAATAATATACCCGAATTAGGATTTATCGGTGGTTACCATATTTCACATTAGCTTTAGCTCATTCATTTTTTTGACAACACATTTTAATTTTCCTAAACCAGGTTTACATCATGATCATGACCCAGAAGATGAATCAGTTACGATTAATCATCCCCGATGCCAAACAGGGCAAAGTCCTCAAAACCTGTGTCCGATGTCGTCAACACAAGACTAAATGCGATGCCATAACCACCAACCCATTCCCATGCTCCCATTGCTTTAAGAAGAACTTGTCATGCAAATTAGACATGGTGACGACCAAGCGAACTACCCATACCAACGTAGTCAATAATGAAGTGTATGAAAAATTAACTAACGAAGTGGAGGATTTGAAAGTGGTGTTGGATAAACTTATAGAGAGGAGGAACAATATGGTCAAATTGTTGATTCAACGAGGGGCAGCTATACAGAAAGAAGCATCTGCTTCGGTAGAACCAGAATTAATCAAAAAGAGCCCAGAGAACATGACTCCTTCTGTATCACAAATACAGTCTTGTATTCAGACTCCTGAAGATATACCCATGACTCCAACAATCACTGCCAGTCCAACCAGTGATGCTTTTGTCATCAGCACCAACAAATCGGTTGCGCCCATTGCATTAACTCACAAACAAGCACATATACTATTCAACAACTATGAATCGAATTTCAACAAGTATTTACCGATATTCCCTGATGAGTTCTTCACCAGTTTGGATTTGGTTAAATTCAACCAAGAAAACGAATTATTGTTTTGGTGTATTGTATTCACCAGTTACTTGAACAACCCAATACCCAACTGTAGTGATAATTATAAAGTTCTTGCCGAACACATCAAGTCATTAGTGGTGGAAAAGTGTTGGTTTCAAACTCCAAGATCGGTATACGTGATATCGTCCTTGCTTATATTAACCACCTGGCCAATACCCAACAACAGTGGGAAGATCGGCGACCACTTGGCCATCAAGTTCATTCTGACCATGAAGTCACTCTCATACCAATTTGGATTACACAAACTAGAATTCATTGATGAGTTTAGTCACAAGACTAAAATGAACATTTCTAAAGATATAAACTTGAACAATTTAATAAGAGAAAGAATCTACAAGTTCATCAATATAAATTCAAACTACTGGTTAATCAGCTTAGGATTGTCCAACAACAACTACAATGGATTCACACAGGACTATATCATTAACAAATCTTCAAATATCGACATATACAAGGACACATCCCCCTGTGACCATTACATCAACTCGATGTTGAAAATCTCCATGATCCAAGCTAAACTCAACGAGAACATGAATGTATTATTAAACGACACCAACGAATCAATCATGATGATGCCTAATCAAATCAACACCACCAAACTTATCAATTTCAACATGTTTGAAATCATCTTGAATGACTTGTCAAAGATGTTGGGCAAACACGATTATCTTGACAATTTAATCAGCGTGTCTATTGAATATTCAAAATTGCAACTATTCATTTATTCTTTATCACAATCGGACATAACGATACTCGAGTATAAGAAGTACATCACCAAGATTGTCAATTGCAGTTTCACCATTCTTACATTGGTGAAAGATTTGCAATTCAATCAATTGCCAGCATATTACAAACTACCAATTGAATTCTCCCTTCTTATTCTCATTCGAATTTTTAAATCTCCAATCTTGAATTCATACTCGGATTATCAGTTCGTCAAGAACTTGATTAATCAGTTCTACAAAATCATATTTAGTGATTCCAAGTGGAGGTTCATCAATTCCAAGTTGGCCAAGATTGTGAGTAAGTTTGATAAGTTGGACAATTTGTTTATCATTGATAAAATGAAGGATGTGAATGGTAACCCGTCGTTCTTTTTGGTTAATAAAATGAAGAATTATTTGTGTTTTAGCTTGAACTACGAGTTGATTTGGTTGATATTTGAGCGTGAGAGAAGTGACAAAATGGACGAACAAAGCAAAGGAAACAAGGTTATAAATTGGGATACTTTTGGGATTAGTGATGATAATTATGATTTTATCAATTATATTAAAAGTAACGAATCAGTTTTTATATAATTAATAGACATATATCACGGGAAATACATGTAGCAGCCTCTATAATAACAACAGATATAGATTGTATTTACGGTTGTGGAAGATGCGTATCTTCTCGTAAATACGATTCGGCTAGCCAAATTTGGCAACCAATTTTTTTTTTTAACTAAAATTTGCATTTATTGAACTTGATTGAATTCAGGAAATCTATTCCGAAATACAACCCATTCAAAAATTAACCTAAGAGATAGTGAGCTTGTGAATCACTAACCTAAAACCATGCTATTACAAAGTATTTTCATGTAAACAAACTGCGCACAAGAGAAGGTCATTAATATTAATAGTATATCTCAATTTTTACATACTATGTAGCCTATACACATCCCATCCCCCTTCCTTTTCAACTCTATAAACCAGCAAATAATTAACGATCTAACCACTGACGATTTAATTTCTTGTTAAAAACAAACGGTTTAGTAATCACAAACACAATAAACAATAGTATGACAGTAATGGTCAACTTCCCCTTGGCAAAACTGCCACTTAAAATATCAAACGACTTCGAAGGTTGAATAACTGAACAGAACTGATTACACTTATTGAAATAACAAATGACACTAGTTGATTCAAACCTCGTAGGTTTAATAAGAATCTTTCCTGTTGGGTCTAATTGATACTTGTGATTAATTGCTGGTGGTTGGGCCAATATTGGATCATATGGAATCACACTAAAGTCATTCAGGTAGTCTTGTCTAGTCAAAACCCTATCATCTATTCTTCTACTGTTGAGGACAAATTTGGGGATTTCTATAAGTTGGCCAGATTCAGTGATTGCAATAATTGATTTTGTGGTTATTCCATAAATGGTTTTAGATGAGGCAATGTCTAAGATTCTTTCCGGATTTATGAATGATTTTGTTTTTACAGAATCAATAGACAAGTCTCGGTCAAATACTGAATTGGAGGTTTGCATTGGTGGCTTATCAAATAAATCCACAACATTAATTCTTTGTTCGAATCGTGGGGAGTTGATAAAGTACGAGTAAACAATCCAGTTATCATCCATGACAATCTTTACTGAACTTAAATCAATGATTTCTTCTTCAGGATGAGCAGAAACATGCAATAGATTACCAGTAATACCGTCAATTAAATACAACTTTAATTGTTTGTCGAATGTTAGCACTGAAACTAAATTTGGATTCAAGTATTTATACAATACCGATTTGTCAGCCAATGGAATACCCACGGACGAAGTAGTTGAATCAGGATCAATACTAGCCATGTTCACAATAGTTTCACCAAATCTAAACTTCCATGTTTGTTTAGCTGTGACTTCACCATGAGGAATGAACTGTCCGGAAATATAATTCTCACCCTTTTCAACCAAAAAAGAATCTTCGGAAACACTATTAAGAAGAATAGTAGATTCACCACGTAAAGCAGCCGTCCCTCTTACTTTAACAATCTCAGTATAATTCTCATTCCTGATCCGTTCAATAATCGATCCATCAGAACTATCAAACACAAGCACAAATCCATGGAAGATAGCAATCAATCTATCCTGATCTAATTGATCCAATGAGATAAATTCATCATGAATGGGTACTGATTCCCAGGCAATACCACCAGTAGATTTAATAGCAACTAGTTTCTGATGAGAATCATCGAAAAATACAATATACTTTGTGAATCCAAAATCTTCGGAAGATTCGTTCGACGTTATTCCATTCTTAGCTAATGAAACTATGAATTTCCCAAGTTCGGCCAAGTGTCGTTTGACTCTGGTTAACCAATTAGTCAAGATGTACTTGTTATCCACTTCTAAAATTTCATGTACTTGATGAATTGTTTGTTGTGATTCTGGTGGATTGATAATTATGTAAGAATTTGAGTTTGAATAGTATTGATAATGAGAAGTGATTGGTTTGATTAATTGACCATCAAACAAACTGAATAATCCTCCATTTAACTCATTATCAATTGAAAGTAATGCCAATTTATCCTCGTGAACAGTTAGAAAATCATGAGAAGTGCTATGGCTAAGTTTAATGGTGAACTTCTTGATGCTGTTTGGGTTCTTGGTGATTAAAAAGTCAGTCAAATCAAACACATCTTTGACTCCAATTGAACTAGAAGCCACAATTAAATCATTCAATGGAGAATTTAACAATTCAACACGTGAAGCAGACTTTATGTGTAAAGTATCCACCAATTCGACTTTCTTAGTGATACTTATAATCTTGATCAGATCATCCAAACTAGAATATAAGAAATTTTCATTGATAACTTGTAAATTCTTGAATGAATCATTTTCAATTCTTGTAAATTTCTTCTTGCGTTCATTCAATTTGAAAACTTGATCGTTTTCAGTAATGATTATTCCTGACTTGAAGTATTTAATTGATCCTACGGAAAATTCAATGTCAAAAAGAACCCTACCTTTTCCAAATTTGAGTAATCGTGAATCGTTAACTATCACATATGCAAATCTGCCATTTGAATCAACTCTAATTGTTTCCACTACTTCAAGTTCGAGTTTGCTAACCGAACCAGTGGCATGGTCAATGTATGCTAACCTACCACTCGAATCAACAACAAACACACCTTGACCTGCATCAGCAATATGAACTGGACTTGCAGACAAAGTAACAATATTCAATGCACCATTTTTAGAATCTACTTGATATATGTCATGGCTTTCTTCATTATAAATATAGACTTTTTCTTTAGTAGTGGACAACTTACTAGATCCCAAGTTATGAATATGAATCTGCCAATGCACAGCATTATCCCCTTTTACGTCAATACCGACCAATTGGTCGGATGTGCTAACTCCAACTAATGTATTATTGCTTAGTTCAAATTGAGTCAATTGTCCATATAAATAATTGATGATTTCTTTAGAAGTGAATGCATCAGAAAGCAAAACTGCATGAACAAAGGATATGAGTGAAAGTATCAAAATCAGACTGAGAGCTTTCATGATGTATCAATTGAAAGTCTTGGTCTGAATACTGAGTCTATGTGAGATAGTGAAACTAGAGAGTTTGTTGGTGGCTGCCATTTTCTTTTTTTTTTTTTTTTGTAAAGAGGGTTTTAGAAATTAGTACGGGAAAAAAAAAAGAGCTTCATTTGGTAAAATCCATGAACCAACAACGCTCAAATACAGTTACGAATCATTGACAAACGCTAGCATCAATGTCTATAATTAAACAAGTAGCATATGGAAGTTTATTTGTTAAGCGGGCCTAGACCATTTCTAGATGGCGATTCCAATTTCGTCTTTCCCCTCAAAATTCTTGGCGCAGTTATCTCATTTTAAGGCGACGTACACCTACAAACGAATCACAAGGATCGTCAACTGAAATGTTTTTGGAGAAAAAACATATAAAGTGGTAAACTTCGTGCTTTATCAAGATTCATTTTTTTTTTTTTGCAGTAGATATTTTCTATTTATTCAACTATTTATCATGGATTATCGTGATATTTTGCTTATTCTTTTAGCGTGTATCTGTACGTATAATTGCACTTACGCTAAAGTAAGTCGTGACTAACCTAAATTTTTAGTCCCACCAGCCCCAGTCATTATTAAGAAGGGATGTAGACAAGAAGTATTTGTTAATATCATGTGGTGGTGTGTTTTCATATTATTTGCTATAATACATGCCATGTATATAGTTATTACTAATCCATATGAGAATCCTGTTGATGTTCAACACTATACAATCTATAATGTACCAACTCAATCAGTTTATACTGATATTCCTCAAGACGATGTTCCTCCATATGAAAAAATTGACGCGAGTATTGTACCAAAAGCAGAACAGGAAGTTGAAATAAAAGAGGTTGCAACTAAAGAGCCAAATGCAGAACCAAAGGATAAACAAATCACAGAACAAAAAGAATAAAAAAAAACATATTAATTATTGCAAAAGAGTCTATGATTTACTTACGAAGTCTTTTGTTGGAAGCTGTAGTTTTTTTGCTAAGAAAACAAAAACCTGTTTTTGCAACTATTTTCAGCAGGAACTGGAAATTTAATCTGAATATAAATATGTAAATAATATACTTGTAAATAAATCCAATCATGTAAATAATAAATAATTGTTAGTAATACCCATTATACGTTTACACTGCCCTGTAGGTTTATATACCAAGGCGTAGCATTCATGCATATTCATGCTTCACAGATACGCAGCCTGCATATAAAGATTCATTTACGAGGAGTTCCGTAATTGTATGGCAGATTTATATAAATAGATACTCTGATTTAATGTACAAGAATATAGAATGACCGATTGTTTTCCTTTTAAGAAAGAATTGATCTATCTAATCTATTATATGAACAGACACTTATTAAATTGATAATACAATGGATTCGAACGATTGGTTACTTATCATTTTAGCATTCTTAAGTATGTATATTAAAACTGCAGAAAATCGCAGCATGCCTAACAAAAACTCTAGTTCCTCCAATCCCAGTGATTGTTAAAAAAGGGTGTTCAAATTCAGTCTTTCTTAATATTTTATTATGTTTATTAGGAGGGGTATTCGGTATAATTCATGCTGTTTATGTAGTTGCTACTAATCCATATGAAAGTCCTTATTATGATTTTGAAAGTTATAGAAGTTCCAGTTGTTCATCAAAGAGGAGTAGCAGTTCTAGTCTCCCACACCCCAATGTATAATCCTTCACATACTCCCTACAAAGTCATAATTTAACCCGATTACTGTACACCTCATTTAATTACCTTGTTAACAACATGTGGATAATATCTTGAATCCAAAAAAGACAAAGAGGGCAGGAATTGCCTGATTATATATATATAAGTCATTACAGATCTTATTCTGTGAACGGTTTTCAAATATTTGAACAGTTTCATACTGGCTTGGTAATTGCAACTTAATCTTAGTTAGCAATAAAATTAATGCCAATATATACTAAATTAGTTAATGTTAAAGGTGGAGATCTATACTTTTATGTTTATTTATGTATGATTTGACTCTTCGTTATTAATAAGCATGGTAAAAAATAAAATAAAATAAGAAGACAATGTGATATTGTCAACAACAACTACAGCTCATGTTATAAATACTAAAATTGGAAATCCACAAGGTTTAGTTAGTATGAATTAACACTTAACTTAATTTAATAAAAAAAAATACACTTGTATGTTTTAAAGCTTGTGTAACACTGTAAGTGTAAACTGGCAGAACTTACATCTTAATTTGGTTTTAAAAATAAAAGGACACTTTTAGAAACGAATGAGCATTGCTTATTATCTCTGAGTATTTGTCACATATGTATTTCATATGATACGGTAACTAGTATCTATGACGATTTTACTCTGCCTTATTGGTCACAGTTTCCTGCATGTGGTTCAATGTTATAACCTGATACGCAACCTGCATAGAAAATATAATGATGATTTGCAAAAGGTCATGTAAATGTTTAGAAGCAATTATATAAATAGATAGTACTTCCTCTAGAAACATTTACAGATCTATTCTACCGCTTTAATATAAATTAGTTAATTCAAATCACAATGGATTTCCGCGACTTGCTACTTATCATATTAGCAATTTTCAGTATGTAATATCTTAAAGTTGCAGCAAATCACAGTATGACTAACCAAAAAAAACCTCAAGTTCCTCCAATTCCCGTAATTATTAAAAAGGGATGCACAGGTGCAGTTTTCATTAATATTTTATTATGGCTATTACTAGGGTTATTTGGTATAATTCATGCTGTATACGTGATTGCAAGTAACCCATATGTAAAGCCTGATGTTGTTTCAGTTGCTCCTTCATACCATGGAAGTTATAGTGATCATTCTTATAAGAGTGGGAGTTATAGCAGTGGACATTCTCATCCAGGATACAATCATCTACAAGGTCCTCAACCAGGATATAACCCACCTCAACCAAGTTCTAATCTACATCCAGCAGTTTATCCTCCCCACAGTCCTCCTGGCTATAATTCTCCTCCTAAACAGTAACATGGGTATGATGGATCTGTTGAATCAAAAAAAGAGAAGATCAGTATAGCGATCTCATGTTTCTCTCTACCTCCTACAACAGCAAGTTCTTGAATATTTTTTTTTTTCATTTTTTTTTCTTTGACATAGCTAGGTTAAATGAGTTTTCATAATTAGTAAAAAACAAATATTGACAATTATATTCTATACTGACTTGTAAGTTAAACCTAATAGTTAATATCTGGACTATATATACACTGGTGTATGTTTTTTAGGTTTTTACTTTTTAGAATTTCCTAAAAAGAGATCATACTCAGTTGATGCAACCCCCCTTTGACAACAGATACGATGATCGTAAAAGAAACAAGCCAAACCATTAAGTTACTTTGCAGTTACAGATGTGAACTAGTTATTATGTCCCTGACTCTCTGACTCCACTTCCCAGCTAATTTGATGACGTTTTTTTGATCAAACAAGTCTATAAAAATAAATCAAATGGGTTTTTACCCAGATTATATAGTTACATCACACCACTTGTTAACAAGTAAGTTCATTGAGAGTGTTCAACCAAAAAATGGGACTAGAAGTGGCAAAACAGAAAGAACAACATTTTCCTTTTCAGGGGAAACCATCGTGATTTATAGTCTAAACTTTTTGTTGTGTGAGGACAAAAATAAAATGAACAAATCAGTCGATATAAATCCGCCAAATCTTTCTCTCTGCAACCGCATGTGGGTATACTAAAAAGCCTGTCATTTTCAAATGTCTTGAGCAAGAGTTCTCAGTTTCATATATAAAAAGTACCAGCAAATATAACGTGATATCAGTTTAGAATTAAGCAAACTTGCATCCTATGAGATAACGGAGCTAGTATCCACGTTCATCTTACACTGCCTTGCTAGTCACAGTACTTTGATATATTTGTGCATGATGTTTCAGTTCATTGTTTATTTTTCTTGATTCATTACCAATGGAGATGTAATTAATTTGGAAGAAATTATATAAATAGATAGTACTTCCTCTAGAAACATTTATGGATCTATTCTACTGTTTCAATATAAATTAGTTAATACAAATTACAATGGATTTCCGCGACTTGCTACTTATCATATTAGCAATTTTCAGTATGTAATATCTTAAAGTTGCAGCAAATCACAGTATGACTAACCAAAAAAAACCTCAAGTTCCTCCAATTCCCGTAATTATTAAAAAGGGATGCACAGGTTCAGTTTTTGTTAATCTTTTATTATGTTTATTAGCATGGATAGGTGGTGTAGCTCATGCTGCATTTGTTGTTGTTTCAAATCCACATATAAAGCCTGAAATTATTGTTGTTTCTCCAACAAATCATGGAAGTAATAGTGATCCTTATTACAAGACTGAAAGTTATAGTAGTGGATATCCTAACCCAGGTTCTAATCCTCCACAAAATCCTCCTGGTTATAATGCTCAATTAGATCACCCTAAACATGAAAATGGGTTTTATGATGCCATTGAAGCAAAAGAGGGTAAATGAATACAGAAATTTTCGGTCACAATTTATAGTTTACAGAGGTAAATCCTTAAATCTTTTTTTTTTTGTTTATTTTTTTTGCAACCGCTTGTGGTTTAGAACCAAGAGTCTTTCAAGTTTTATTTAGATCCCTTAGATGAAAATAACATTAAGCTAGAACGTAATATCATAACAAAAATAATATACAATAATTGTAAGTTAATGATTAAGATCTAGATTATATGTACATTCATGTATGTCTTGGTTGTTTGTTTTTTTTAGTAAATTAATACGAAAAAAAAAATCCGCCTCAGTTAATGTAAACCCCTTAATAAACAACGATACGTTGAACAAAGCGCAAAATAAATAACAAGCCACACTGTTGAGTGAATAAATAGAAATCTAAGCTATTTTAAAAATGGCGAAATGTATAGTGCTGTTTATTAAACTGGTATACCCCGCTTCTTGCAGGAAGCAGATGTAATCTGGTCATAACATCCTTGGCATTTCTGACTCCACTTCATCATTCATATTACTGAGATGATTACCAAAATGTAAAGATTCTTTAAAATAAGATGAAATAGTTTCTGTATATACAATAAATTTAATTGCACAAGAAAATCATACCATTTTCTTAGACGTTGCATGTACAACTTCACGGTCTTGTGTAAATTTCAACATCACAACAGCTAAGCCAAAACTTTGTCCGATGTGGACCTACCTACATATAACTTCACATCGCCACCCCCCTTCGTGTTTCATATCTGAATACCATCTCACCCAACACAATGGACTATCGTGATTTGTTACTAATCATATTATCATTCTTCCGTAAGTATACCAATTGATCTCCCGGAGCCATCACCCAACTAACGAATAAAATTAGTTCCACCAGTTACAGTAGCGATAAAAAAGGGTTGTACGGAGCCAATGTTTGTTAATATTTTCTTGTGTTTGCTAGCATGGGTCTGTGGTATAGTTCACGCCATATACGTGGTAGTTACCGATCCGTATGATGATAATCCTCCGTCGTACCAAAGTGGTGGCTATATAAATGCACCTCATTCAGATACGGAAGAAAGGTATTTTGGTGGTATGGATGTGGAACTAAAAGGTATAAATCTGTTCACATATCTATAACTTACAATAACAAGAGTTAAAACCTCTTTCTTTTTTTAAAAAAAAATTTTTTTTTGCAACTACTTCGCAATAGGCTTTGTTGAGTTACAATACATCTTCACGGGTTGAGGATGATTGTAACACCAAAACACAATGCTGAAAAATCCTAATACCTAATAAATATTTACTACTTTATAATTCAAACTAGTCGACCGAGCTTTATATGTGTATATTCCTGTGTAAAAATCCACGATTATTTTTGGCTTGAGAGTGTAATCAAATGTGAGTGACAGAATCGTCCTGCACATTGAATACGTCACATTTAAGTTACGAATGCACACCACATTAAAGGTCATTTAAATGATGTAATAAATCACATTTAAGTTACGAATACACACTACACAAGCGTCCTGCACATAGAATAAACCACATTTAAGTTACGAATAAACACCACAAAGAAGCCATTTATATATTGCAATAAATCACTTTTTGGCATCTACTTATTCTTTATAAAAAACATTACACATTTATCTACTTATTCCAAGCTTACACAAACATAAACCTACCACCATGCACTTTTGTGATTTTTTGCTTATCATTTTGGCTATCTTCAGTATGTATATCGTGTGAATTTGCAACAAAAAGCACACCACACCTACTAACAAAAAAATATTTTTCAGTTCCTCCTATTCCAGTAATTGTTAAAAAAGGTTGTACAGGTTCAGTCTTTATTAATATCTTATTGTGGCTTCTAGGAGGGATTTTTGCTATAGTTCATGCCGTGTACGTGGTTGGTAGCAATCCTCATAGAAGGAAGCACGGTTCTCAGACTTCGTACCGTCATCCACTAGCACAGTATCCTGTACAACAAATATATGTTAATCCTAAGTGATAACCAAATTATGTTGCAGCTGGACTAAAGAAGTAGCTTACTATTGACATTTTCATCTGTTTTTTTTATTTTTTTCTTTTCAATGTCAAACTATAAACGAATCAATTCGTAAACAGATGTTACTTACGTTCCTTGCAAACACAAAAAAAATTAGTTTTGAGGTCATTTCTTGCAATAAAACAATACTGCATACAAGAAAGGTTCAGAACAAAGAATAAAAATGGCAAGATAAACCTTTAACCCTAAGGGGCAAAACTAAATTTAGTAGTTACTTATAGCAACTTACATTTTTTTTTTGTTTAATAAATCAATTCTTCTACCTAACTTACTTATTACAAGACATATCGTACAAATTATACTCCCATGCACGCTCGTGATTGGTTACTTGTTTTCGTAGGATTCTTTTGTAAGTATAGGACCATCGATAATTGCTATATTAAAAGCTAAGTTACTAACAAAAGTATAGTCCCACCAATTCCCGTAATTGTCAAGAAGGGATTCTGTTCTGCTGATCTCTTGATCAATATATTGTTGTGCATATTAGGATTCTTCCCCGGATTATTACATGCTTATTATATCATTGCGATGAATCCTCATCAAGAGAATTATATTGCTATTGGCTCTGGTGAACAACGTGTTGGCGATTATGGAGCTATCAGCTCATAACTTATATCACACTGATATGATATAGAGGGGAGGGGTCACACTTTGTGCATTAGTAGCATTCACCTACCAGGGTAACCCGGATTTGAAACAACTTTATTTAAGGAGAAAAATTTGCAACAAAAATTTTCTACTTCCCTTCTCTACAACAACAACAACAGTGTATAGAATCAATACATGAATATTTCACAATCAATCTGATGTAAAAATCACGCATAAACTTAAGTTGGCCGATACAGACACTGTCTATCTATTTCAGAGCCATCGGTTTCAATGTGTCAATATGCGAAGAATAACTAATATCATCATATAGCGAATAATGATTAGTTCCAATGGTCAGATACTGAAGAGAAAGGTAATACTATTAAGGTCCGTCGAGCTTTAGCCATATTTCTGACCATCTAGATAGGATTCGTTCTGAATTCTAATTCTGGAAGTGCCAGTCTGTATGAGCATGACTATTTTTGAAATCTCAGGTCTCGATACAGTTCTTGTATTGAGAATTCACTTGGTATTGATGGAATGGGTCAAAAAAGCGGGAGTGGAAATAGAGAGCTTGTGGGTTTGCTTGGGTTCGATATTCGTTCTGAATGTCGAACTATCTGGTGAATACCTTGCTTTTCTTTCCTCTCTTTAAGATGTGACAGGTTCCAGTGTGGTATCAAGAACGTCTGCCTTCACGGGTTTTTTTCTGTAAAGACAGTTATCTTCTATCACAAGGTTGCTCGGATTGTCTGACTGGAAATTAATCGAACGAGTGGATTTGTGCTATATATAGTGCAAACATACCTACTCCTTCTGGTCTATATGTTTATTTACATTTACTCTATCTAAGTGCTTCTGCGACTACATCTTCTTCAGTCTTGAGAGCAGCTTTTGGTCTGCCTCCTCCTTTTTTCCATAACCATAATGCTTCAATGGCATAATTTCTCACGGATAGGTTTCTCGTTTTGGATTCATCACTAGCTTCAGTTACCGAATCAACTATTCTCAACTCTTCAATGAGATCCCAAATCATAGATTCGAAATTATTGGCCATTTCTTGAACTTGTTCATCAAATTGCTCATTATCTGTTTTGGCAATGCTATAGTGATGAGATCCTAGCTTGTAAAGAATTCTACCTAGGGTCTGTATAGCAATGCATCGTTGTCCAGGAAGAACTGATCTAGACAAATGTGCCAATTCACTAAGAGTGTATCCTGCCAAATTTGGATTTTCCGAATGATGGTGTAATCCCATATATGTAGGAATGTCTTGCTTGTCATCCAGGTCTCTTAATTCCACGATATCACCCTTGAAATCAAATCTCATATCGGAAATTGATTCATATGTAGTGACCACAGTTTCAGGTGCTGGCTTCATCCATGATAGTTTCTCTGTCTCAATAGGTAAATCAGGATAATACTTTTCATGAAGCTTTGTGTCAAAATCGGGATCATTAATATCAAGATCATCAGATTTTGGTTTTGGGAAATGAACAGAAACTTGTGGTTCTTCTGGATTTATTTGATATTCTTCAGGGGCGATTTCGTCAGGGATGAGTTCGTTTATGTCAGTCACGTCTTCCCATCCGTTTGGATCCAACTCTACTGATTCGTCTAAATCTTCATATCGGACTGTCTTGACTGTTTGGTCGAAAGAGACTGATTTCTTGGAAGGGTCTCTCTCTTTGATATCCTCAATGGGTAAGTCGTGAGATATTCCTAGCGCCTTATCAACATCCTCCTTGTCTAATTGAGATAAATCACTTAATCCCTGGGGTGTACGAACAGCACCAATCCATCCATTATATCCTTCAGCATGTTCATGCCTGTGTTCGTGTTTATGGTCATGGTCATGGTCAGATCTCTTTTTAGTTCTGCTTAGTAAACTTTGGACCAATTTGGGATCAAGTCCTTCGAGTAATTCTTGTTGTTCGGCAAGAATTTCTTGTTGAGTCATTTTAGACATTGTTTCAAGATTTTCCCGATGGATTTTCTCTGCTTCCGAGAGGACTTGCACTTCTGGTTGTGTTTGCTCTTGCACTTGATCTGCTGGGGGTTCCGATTTGGTCTTGTCTAACCTTTGCTTCCATCGTGATACTTTCTTTTGCTTGAGTTTTCCTAATTCTGGAAATCCACCCGTAGATACAGGAACTGGTGCTTGAGGAGTTTCCGTTTCGTGTTCCACAATTTCTCCTAGAAAGTCCATATTGCTTACAAAAAGAACATGTTATGAAGATGAGATTAGATTAGTGAGCAGAAGCAAAAAAAAAAAAAAAATAAATAAATAAAATCTATACATTACTGTTTACCATCAACTGCTTCCTTCAAATAACTGGGAATAGAACATTCTCCCTTGGCTATCTTGTCATCAATAAACTTTCTGAAATCATCACTTACATAATTGGAATACATATGATACAATCTTGTCAAGTATTCTCTCTTGCCTTGTTCTTCGTCGGGTTCTCCTCCTATTCCCTCTATGAGTTTCCTTCGCGCGATAAAGTAAAGTGGAATGTCCAAGTATGGAACCGCCAATGCATAAAACGACAAAAATAATCGCAAATTAGTGTAGTACGATTCAGGTAGGCCATGATTTCGATTCCCATTGAACATCAAATTAATCCAGTTCTTTTTGACCCCTAAATCAAATGGATGTTGGTAGATGCTATATTCCACAACATATCGACGATCTCCTGATTTAGCATTAACAAAACGGCGCCCGCTTTCGAATCGTGGTGCTGTTTTACTCTGCAAACACCATGCGACAAACTTGCTTTGCTGTTTGTTTGGTTTTTCTTGTTCGGAAGTGTTATGGGCAGCCCATCGGAGATAACGCTCTCTCTGTTGTTTCGTAATGTCATCAAGAGTGGTTATATCACAGTTTATATATCTCACATGAGCAATAAACAATGCACCGATCATGATTATCCAGAATGCACATAATACAAATATGGCAATGAAATTATGATCAAGTCCCCGGGCTATACTTGTTCGAGTGTAACATGCAGTAAATATAATATCATAAAAGAACAACACCATGAACCAAATCATATACTTTATAAAGAACTCATAGTTTGTCTGGCCAAGAGATGTGCCGATCCAAAGACAATAATGATCAAACTTTAAAACATTATACCCCACATCCTTCAGGTAAAATGTGCGGTCAATCTTGATGGAGTGAGTAGGAGCATCGTAGTAGGGATATCCCAGTTCATCGCAAAAGAACAAGTCCGGAACGGGAGTTAATACATCATCATCTTCATACTTGCCCGTGCCTAATATATCCAAAGGTGGGAACCGTGGAGACTTTCCGGGTCCGATAAATACAACTAATCCCCAATATAAGAACACCGTGAGTTGTAAAACTCCAAATATTATCCAAAAAACTATTGCCACAGCATGACTGTGGTGTATGTAGATCTCTTTATATCCTAGTCTGTATCCACAGGCATAATTCATATACCCGAATCCTAGGATTATAGCTATGGGAACGGCGGTTTTGGCAATATGGGTTTGACATAGAGCAAACTTACTGACATCCATCATTATGACATCTCTTTGATTATTGAAAGTAGAAGATTCTATAAAGGACTTGCACTAGGGATTTTTAAATATATATTTATATATTGCTATTTCATCCAGACAACCATTCAAATGTCAGGTTGTGTGCTAAGGTCGTGCGCGGGGTAAATATCTACTATAACAATGAATAGGTATGATTACGAAGTTTAGGGGCGCAGATGTTGCATTATTTATTTTTGTTGTTAAAGTACGAACTTGGTCATCAGTTTTAAGAAATGCAGGAGCTGAGTTATTTAGTTTGGTTGTGATTGTAGTTAGTTGGCTTGTCACTTTGTGAAATAAATACCTCATTGTTTAAGTGAAGGATGATGTATCAGACACCGAGAAAACTTCCGAGTATGCATTTTACATTATCTATTTCTTCTTTCCTTCTTATAACCAGTCTATGATCCAGTTGTACGTTTAGTTTTTGGCTTTTAGAAGATTTACTAAATATGAAAGAGGGATCGCGATCATAATGGATTTGTAAAATAGAACACAGTAATAACAATTTCTTGATCTGTAAAATAAATAAATACTTATAACTAAGTATTTCAAAACGTCAAACTTCTTTTATTTGGCGGAGTCCAACAGTTTAACAACTACATGACTAATATAGTCAATCACAGCAGTATAACAATCTTATTTTCCAAGTCAGGTTCTTTTTACGCAAGTTCCTCAATGTCTGAACCTGACTTCAAAGACTAAACAATTAAAAAAATAATAATAATAAGCAAAACAATTACACAGATTAGATTAACATTGGCACAATCATAGCAACAACAGCAAATAAATTCTTGACATAGGCACTATTACCACTGTTAGCAACATATGGTACTGGCACTGCATTAGTAGGGTTTGCCACTAAATGTGAAACAGTATCATGATAATGATGATGATGACCAATAACCTTGGTAACTTCAATACAAATTTCTTCAACACAACTAGTAAGAGTGATGGTGTGAACATTATCGGCAACAGTAATAGGATAGTAAGTTTCAATAGTAGTTTTCTTGACAGATTCAGTGGTTGAACAGCTATCTGATTCGTCACAATCAGTGATGGTAATGGTGATATCGGTAGTGATGGTTGTATATTCAGTGACTTCGCCATCTTCAGTGTCAGTACCAGAGTGAGTTGCACTCGAGTCAGCGGGTTGTGGTTCTTCTGTACCTGGAGCAACAGTGGTTTGGGGTTCTTCTGTACCTGGAGCAACAGTAGGTTGTGGTTCGTCAGTACTTTGTACAACAGTAGGTTGTGGTTCATCAGTACTTTGTACAACAGTAGGTTGTGGTTCGTCAGTACTTTGTACAACAGTAGGTTGTGGTTCATCAGTACTTTGTACAACAGTAGGTTGTGGTTCGTCAGTACTTTCTACAACAGTGGTTCCTGATTCACTGGAACTAGAAGATTCTTCCACATTTTCAGCTTGGACGGGATATATTTCACACTGGACGTCTGAACCACCAATATAGACACTACCATCATTGCAGATAATAAATTCAACAAGTGCACGTTTGGTAGGTCTTGTCAAATCAAGCTTACCATCGATAATTGACCAAATTCTAGTAGCTTTGTTGATATCATCAGTAGTCATAAGCTTACCTTGTTCGTCAATAACAATATATTTACCATCAGCAGTAAGTTCACCTCCTTCTTGAATTATAAATTCAGAAGGTTCTCCTCTATCCACAACCACTTGATTATTTTCAACATGGAAATTAAAGGTGGAATCTTCGGTTTTGATAAAGAGCTTGAATGGTTTTGATTCGTCATCCACCGGAATTGGGTTTCCTGGATCTTCTGGATCTTCTGGTTTTTCTGATTCTTTTGGTTCTCCTGGGGTTTCTGGTTCTATTGGGGGTTCTGATTCTTCTGGTTTTTCTGATTCTTTTGGTTCTCCTGGGGTTTCTGGTTCTATTGGGGGTTCTGATTCTTCTGGTTTTTCTGATTCTTTTGGTTCTCCTGGGGTTTCTGGTTCTATTGGGGGTTCTGATTCTTCTGGTTTTTCTGATTCTTTTGGTTCTCCTGGGGTTTTTGGTTCTATTGGGGTTTCTGGTTCTTCTGGTTCAACATAATCAACAAGTTCAATAGAACTGATTCTAAGACTACTGGCACCACCACACGTAGAGACAATCTTACCATTGCAAACATAGAAAAGCACAGCCGTAGAATTAGCCCACTCATGCAATTCTAATTTACCATCAACAAGAATCCATTCATGATCCTCAGGAACTAAATCTTTTATTAATGTCAAAACGTCATCAACTAAATCAATTGCATTTTCATTAATAAAGAGTCGGGCATCTTTTTCCAAAAAGAAATATTCATCAGGACTAGACTCTCCAACTGAAAAATATGGAACTTCTTTATCATCTCTCTTGACATTTTCATCGTCAACTTTCACATAGGAAAGATAACCCAGATTACTCAAACCATAATTGATTTTAATCGATTTTGGGCCGTCAATTGTACCAGGTTGGTGTGGTTGAACTTTGAACTCAAGTGCTTCACAACCGTTTTCATGCTTAGCAACGATGATTGGACTCAGAGGACAAACAAATAAGCTTTGAGAAGGTTTCAAAGTACCGTCTTCAAGGTTAATATTCGGAGATGCAGGGATCAAAAGTTTTTTTATGGATCCTTGAACTTTAATAATCAATGAATCTGTTGCGCCCTGCAAGCGATAGGAATACCTAGTAGACTTGCTTACAATTGCTTTATAATCAGCATCATGGGACATGAAATAATCACCACCTTGAGTAGCAACAATATCAGATGATGGAATGTCAATAGAAAATTCAGCATTCTGATTGCACCGAACATTAAATGATAAATCATTACAAAGATGGAATTCCTCAGATGAAACTATTTGACCACCTCCAGGATCCTTAATTTTTGGAACTTTCATTTCGAAAATGTAAGTCAATTTTCCTGACTTATAGGACCATGTACCAAAAGCTTTTTCTTTTTCCACCCAATCAAGTTTAGTATTCTTTAGGTCTAGGTTCTTTAAAATATCGATATTTATGGCAATGAACTTATCTTTATATTTCAACTTTCCTTCTGCTAAGGTAAATTTAGGTAAATCATCATCAAGTACATTTTTGATGAGCATAATTGTAGATTTCTCACCTCGTGTCTTACCTTCTTGAACAGCTAAATATTGGAATGGTTTCCCTTCAAGGTACATTGCAAATGGCAATGCCTGTACTAACGATAAGACAGCAAGTGCTGTACCAACAAATGATAATCTCATGATTGCAAAATATATTTCTAGTAAAATTAAACGAAAGTGCTAAGAAATATAGTTGATGATAAAATAGTAAGAAATAGAGATTGACAATTCAAGGGGAATTACAAGGCATATTTATACCTAAGATATTTCTATACAATTTGGATTGCTCATGTTTATTGGTCATACAAAATGAACCAGCATTTCTTGCTAATCTTGTTTCAATCTCTTGGTTTTTACAATATAACCCCAAAAATAGTGTGATTTTAAATAACTACACTTGGCAACACAAAATTCGTGGATTATAAAAACAAGTCTCCAAGTAGTAGTTGAGGGTGTAAAGAAATATCTTGGTATTTGAATAATATTTTTCAATTAGATTTTCAAGATCCTTTTTTGGAAGAGATTGGTTGCAAAAATTCTTGGTTGTCTTAAGTCTTTTCCAAAAAAGTTTTCTTAGCACACAAGGTTTTTTTTTTTGGATAACCAAACTGGAAGCTGAAAGGTTCTACTATACAAATTTTGAATACTCCAGTTTCTACTCACCCTATTGTGGCATCGTAACAAGGAAGTTGAATAGCCGCGGAAGGTTTTATTCGCACGATGGTATCTTTGCACCCAATTTTTCTGTTGACAAAAAGATAATATAGTATTAACATTATGCACTAAATGAACACATCTTATATATAAGCACTTGAAATAAAGCATAGAATAGAACTGTGGTTTAATTTATATTCTTTATAAACGCACATCCATAATCAAGTAAATAAGCAATAGGATCATATGATTCAGGCAGAGTAAGAAGGTTTGGCAATTTTAGAAGCGGAAATAGACATGTCATCAGGAACAGCGTGGAATACAGGCAGGATTATATTAATTGATGTGAGTAAATCCCACTCCAATCCAATGAAACTAGATCAGTACAAAGCTTATTTTATTTAGCTACCACTAGCTATTAGGATTGCTGGTCCTGGTTTTGTCGCTGCTGTTGTAGAATAAGGATCTAGCGTGTGTCTTTCAATAGCTGGATCGTATGAAGCAATAAATTCATATTCTCCATTGTGGCCTAACTGCTCAACAACATGGAATATAGACAGCCATTGTTTATTTTACTTGTGCAATAGCTTATCGAAAGTTATCGAATGTTTAAGATTTTGTAGCCGCAACTGGTAGCACAATTTCACGTGATCACAAAATTTCCTGAAATTATTTACACCCATCAATTACACTAAAATTTATAATGGTTTGATTAGAAATCATCAATTCATACACCTAAACCACACACCGAAACCATGCTAGAAATAATAGAAGGCAAGTATAATCGATCAAACTATTATCATACAATTACTAACACTCATTCAGATGAAGCACTTAAGGACATGTGTCCGATCTGTAAGACCGATAAATATTTATCCCCCAACATGACCTTCCTCATTAACCCCGAATGCTATCATAAGATCTGCGAATCTTGTGTAGACAGAATATTCAGTCTAGGCCCCGCACCATGTCCTTATCCTAAATGTGGCAAGATTTTGCGTAAGAACAAGTTCAAGCAGCAAGTGTTTGATGATTTGAGGATTGAACGAGAGATAGACATACGCAAGAAAGTGGGCAATGTATATAATAAGACCGAGGAGGATTTTCCCAGCTTGAAAGAGTATAATCAGTATTTGGAGAATATAGAGGAGATTGTGTTTAAATTGAATAATGATGTGGATGTAGTGGAAACCCTTGCTGAATTGGACAAGTACGAACAGGAGCATAAGTTGGAGATCCTTGAGAAGAATATGAGGGAGAGTGAAAAGAGTGCCGATTTGGTGAAATATCAAGAAGCTATGGAAAGGTTGAAGCAAGAGAAACGAAAGATTCAAGAAAAGATGGATCTTGAAGATTTGAATTTCCAACGAGAACAACAGCAGAAGTTGCTTGATAAGATGGCCACTTCAAGCGAAACAACGGAAGAAATATTGAAACAATTGGAGGTTCAAAAACAATCCCGATTAACTTCTAGGCGTAAACAATTACAAAGTATAAATGAGAATCTCGACCGTCAATTCAACAGTGCAAATCCATTCCATAAACATTTGCCTGAGGAAGTACAAACTCCGTTCACGCCGTTCAAAGGTGATCGTGATCTTAATAAGAAATACACCATGTTGCCTGTTCTTGATGCCGAAGAAATAATGGATACCGACAATTCACACGGAAGTTACTACGATCCATATATGAACAAATTAGCAAAGGTGAAAGAATTCCTTGGTGCTGGTTGGAGATTAAATCATGTATACGAACGTGCATTAGATGAAGCGTTTATTGGATTAGGTTGTATAATAGAACAGGAGAAAACACTGGCAAAGCCAACTCTTGTATAATAATAAATTTATATATCTATGAATCTAGCTTCGGGATGGTAATAAACCGGACAAGACCAGTAAGACCTCTTAACATCATCCCAAACACTCTTATCGTTGGATTTCAATGTAGATTCAGGAACCTCTACTTCAGTGAACTTAACATCCAATCCATATGTTTTCAAGTCAATCTCCACTAATTGTTTGTAAACTTCGTAAATGACTTCACGATCAGCACCTAACCCATTAAAGAATGAAAACACACCGTGAGGTTTTAACAATCCAACTACAAAGTCAAATAACTCCAACATGTCTTGATAATGTTCTGAGAATGTATCGTAATAAATCCCATTGAAGAATACTCCTTGAGATAATAACTCATCTAAGTTATCCTGCCATCTTCCTTCTAAGATTACAACATTTGGCTTTTCATACCAACCATCGTCCTTTAGCTTCTTAAGAACATCAGGGTGTGCTTCACATATATAGTGTTTAGTAGGATGTTGGTGTTGAATCATAGTGTCTATAATACCCATTCCAAAACCAATGTTTAAAACAACGATTTCTGAATCCATTTCCTTGGTATCACCATCGAGAATAGCACCTTTAAAGAGGGAATCACATCCAAGTTTCATTAAATCGGATTCCCATGCCATCATTACTCCGTCTTTTCTGTCTTTGGTGACGAGAGCATCGTCAACATATTCTAATTTGGTATTAAGATACGATTGTTGGTTTTGGGATGGCGCATCTGGTGCGTCATCAATTTCACTATCTTTGCTTTCCACAACTACTTCGCTTTCAACAGTTTCGTTCTGTTGAGCTTCCACGTCTTCAGGATCAATAAATTCCACATCATAATCACTTACTTTTCTCAACAACAATTCCGCTCTCACCCCAGCATCAACAATCTGCAGATACAATTTTCCAACATGCTTCAACCCTCTTCTAATCAAAATACAACCAGGAGTCTCGTTATTGACATCGGTAAAGCACCAACCGGCTCCATACTCCAACAAAATCTCAATCATTTTTTCCACAATTTCTAATTCCTCATCAGTACAACCCAATGGAACATTCATGCATATTAAATGCAATGGAGTAGTAGTGGTGCTGGGAGTCTCTTCGATGCCATTGATATAATTAGCGGCTTCTTCAACGGTATATGTTGCAGGGATCCCACTTTTGAGGTAATGATGTAATTGAGTTATGTAGCTTTCATCTATTGGTCGGGTAGAAAATCTACACAAGTCATGTAAGTCGGACATTTTTGACTATGAGATGGTGTTGGTGTAGTTGTAAATTTTAAGGTCATCGTGAAATGTCGCGGAGATCAACTTTGAGAAAAAAATGTCTCCTTTAAAAAAAAAAATAAGTTAGCAAAAAAAAAAAGAGAGACATTCTTGTAATGTCATCATTACAAAGGTGTGACAGTGTAGAAGAATCAATCCCTGCTAGATCAGATTGAAATAGTCAATAGTACATGAAAATAGAGAATACTAGAAGAAGTATGCTCAACAATAGTTCGTAAATGTTGCCAAGGTTAGTTGCATTTACAACATACCGTCAACTACATTGACGATAAACAGTTACCAGGTATACTAATGTGCACATGCCAAATCAACACCATCTGACCAATAGAATTCATTATGTTTTTTCAAGTTAGATTAAAAACATTCCCCATATATAATAAATCATCAGATGCAAATACTTACCAGCAAAAAAGCAATCCCTTTGTATGCGGATCGGAAATTGGCTATATAAACAAACCTTATATTCCTAGTTACATAACCCCACCGCGGTTGTAATTATCATCAGAAACCCCCAAAGTATCACAAACGCAATTTAATTTCTCCGAAAGCACCGTCAAGCCTATGTTTTTACCCCACTGATAAAAAAAGAAAAAGTCATGAGACAGATCTCGCAAACCACTATTCCCTCTCCTCCCCCCCCCCCCTCTCTCATTCTCATATGCTAGTTCATGTTAGATACAACCGACTGCATTACAGCTAAAGATTTTACCCTTGTACTGCAATATCCAGCAACGTTGAGACAAACGAGAGACAGATTCACAAGGGGCAATATTTTTGCAACTTAACTATAAGGGGGTAGCAAGAGTAAAGCAACAAAGGAAATAATTGTGGATGTGGTTTAGTCACGATTTCTTTGTGACTAGTCAGGGCCTTTGTGCGGTGGCCACAAACGTTTGGAGCGTAACACTTGTACTCGTGCTATTTCGACCCATAACATACTCAAGCAAAACCGGTCCTGGTGAAATAATTAATCCCGAAGTTATGTATGTTGACGCTGCAAAAAAGAGCAGTTCAACCTGACCGAACTTGCAACAAAGTACGGCTTCCATATCTGGAAAACAATGAGCTGCAGTAAGCGAGTCATCCAAAACAATGGATCGCTGCAGCGTAAAAAAATAAAACAGGTGTTTTTTCTGTCTGGAGAAGTCAACTATACAGGACACTTTTTTTTTTATTACTTGTCTTTGCAAAAAAATCATACGATTTTCTAATTTTGATTTTCTTTTTTCTTTTTTTTTAGGAAGGCACATCCATGGAAGAATTAAAGTTTTATTATCCGAAATATCTGGGTTTTACCCGTACATCTAAACCTAAATTAGGGTAATGACTCCTACCAACCGTGTATGACTCGGGCACAAAACGATTGTTTTTCTAATTGTAAATCAGCCAGGGGTCGAAGCCAGGTTGACTTCCAGGCTTTGTTTGTCTTTTGTTATATAACTGTTCCATGGGTAAACGGGAATCGAGATGCGCAAATTTGAGGCGATCTAAGCCCATTGTTGGAAGTTAAACGATAAAAAAGTTAATTAATTGGAAATGGTTTTATCCGGATTGGACCATATGCAGAACCCAACTTCATGTACATAGCCTTTTTCCATTGACTGTGAAATAATCCCCCGAATTCCTCCGTAAGGCATTTAGTTGCTGCGCGCAAACAAAATTTACGATCTTCTCTTTCAAAAACTAAGTTGCAAAAAAAAATATGTATCCATTAGCCTGATATTTTGCACTATTATTAAGCCCAATTAGGAAGGGTAATAATGAACCTAGTTCTTCAGGAACAGTACTTCTAGCGAAAAATATTGGTTCCTTCAAGTCCTGCGGAATTAGGTTTCGGATCATCTATGGAACTACGTATCATGTTAGTATGTACCGAAATCGTAGCGATAGATGGGGTACACTAGGAGATATCTTCGGAGGGGGTAAATAATATGCTTAGAGTAGTGTTAACGCAACAAACGTAAGTGAACACCTCTTCCATAATATTCATATTAATTGAGGCGTTATCTGGGGTCATGTTGAACTTCACTTGCTGCCAGTGCAACCCAATTGAGCTTGAGTAAATTAACTTTTGCCTAAAAAATAGAAGAAATATTTTCATGCATAGTTTAGAACAAAAAAAAAAGAGCCTTTACAGGTTTTAACCATTCAGGTCCCCTAGGTAATCTTGTTTTCTAGCTTCGGCCGGTATCCTCCTACCGATCATCCATAATAGAAGAACTTGTGCATGGGATTGCAGGAAAGAAATTAAGACAAGAGTTTTGTGTTGGGAAGTATATATCATTCATCCGCTGTATGTCATTAATTTTTATTCATTTGCATGAGTACGTATGAGCTCTGTTATAGGCACTTCCAGGAGTTAATGTATGTACCTACATTACTGGGTTGGGGTTAGTTTTTTTTAACCTTTAATTACCGACGTTCCTTTTTTTTTTGGTAAATTAATTTAATATCTACCGTCCGCCCCAGTTTTTCGGGTTGCTCGAGGTGATTAAGAATATTATTTTGGACCAATATTTGATAATATTTTCACCTTTCATCCTCGGTGGAAGGCACCAGGGTGGAATTGGTTAATTTTATACATGTCATTTATTTTTTAGTTTAAAGTTTTTTGGGTCACATATAAACCTGTTCCGGGGGAAAATTACGAAAACGCAAATAAAAAATAATAAAATAATATGCTTAAAAAATAAAAATTGAACCCAAATAATATTTGCTGAAAATAATAAATTATGTTTTTTTTATTTTTATTTATTTTACCAAAAAAAAATAAAAAAAAAGGAAAGTTTCACTTTAAAGTTTTGGCTACATATAAAACAGATACTTAAAGATCTAAAAGTACCTGAAATTGACAAAAATTTGTGAATTCCTTTTCTTATTATTGACCTTTCTTTCCAATCTTTTACCTTGTTTGAAAAACAATTAAAGTTACGTTAAGAATATTCATTCCAAGTATCATAACTTTTTTAAAAAATTTCTTAACTTGTTCCCCGGTGGTTTTTTCTTTCCAAAAAGATTCTTAACCATATTTCAAACGGAACTGCCCTTTAACCCATTGTGCTTACACTCCCTGCATTACCCCCTAAATTTCCCAAGGTGACCGGTTCTTTCAACTGTCAATATAACCTGGTATATATAACAAACACAAATAATTAACTTGTTTCACTTGATTAACAACTGTCCCATATTTGTCTTTTTTTTTTTGAATCAATGTCTTTTAAATTAAATGACTATGATGCGTTCTTAACGTCGTTATTCGATAAAAACAACCAGAAAGTGAAGCTAGAAGATGCAGATAAGCTCCAAGTGAGCCCCCAATACGAACAGCTTGAGCAGGCCAATAACCAATTGCACAACCTGGCCATGATGCAACCACCACTGCAACCTTCGTCATACACTACGGCCCAGCAGCCACTGCAACCACCATCCAGAGACGAGATGATGATGCGACAGCACTCCTTGCCCAGCCAACACCCAGGGCATATGAACGAAGACGGGCCATTCCCTGTGGATTTCGATTTCGGATTGGTGGCGCCAGGATTTGCGTACACAACCACTAATACCAACCGTTCTAAATCGCTTAGTTTCACCATTGGGAACCACGGTGAACCCTATGCACAACCACACCATCATCCTTTACAACACCAGAATAACCTTGACGGTTCTGGAAATGTCACTGAGTTTATGGCAGAAATGAGCGCTGAACATAATAATGGTCCTAGAAGTGTCGAGAATGACAACTATAACAATTTCAATGACATAGAGAATTCCCGCGAAACTCCAAATAATATCTTTATGCAATCCATGAACCATAACAACAACAGCTATACTTCCGACTTTGGTCCCATTGACGAACAACTGTCTAGTGTTATGATTAATCATGATTCGTTATCGCCTATTTCTATGGGCAACAGTGGATCGCCCGCCATGCATAGTGATCATAGTTCTAATAATATCTTGGGAATGCAACATTCGGAGCAATTGATGAGGCAAGCCACATCAATTACATTCAATAACATAGATGATAGAGTATCTCCAAAGATGAGCAAACAATTCCCTGCTACTGCATTTGCACCCACACTTTCATCAAGTAGTACAACTAAGAAAACCAAGAAACAACCGCGGAAGGCCAAGAGTATAAGTGGACCAATCAGCGGCCACAATTCTGGCGGCGAATCCGACTTGTCACCTACATTGAACCATCGTCATCCGGGTCGCCCTCGTGTAAAATCAGCTCACAATGTCATTGAACAGAGATATAGAAACAAGATAAACGATAAATTTAATGCATTACAAAATTCTGTGCCTTCTTTGAGGATATTGGCACAAAAGAAAGAACGCGAAAGATTACAAATGAAACGTAGTAATACTGACAAGTACGACTCTTCGGATGATGAACCGATAGATGAATCGTTAGTAACTGATGAAAATATCGATTTGGAAGGGTTGGAACCAGCTAGAAAATTAAACAAGGCCACTATTCTTGCTAATTCAATTGAGTATATCAAGTTCTTGGAATTGAAGAATAATAAAATGAAGGCGGATCATGAGGCTTTGTTGAACAAAGCCCGCATGATGGGAATAATAATCGATGACGATTTGGATAATGATGAACAATGATTGTATATTAAGGAACATGATGTAACATGTTGACCATGTTTTGTGTGTATATTTAAAGGAAGTTGTATATATGTTTGGGTTTTTATTTTAGTTAATTATTTATTGGTACTTCTATGATAGAAATATAACTTGTATTGTATATATTTCAAGTTTATATATAAGTGACGATAATACAAAAAAAAAAAAGTTTGTAGTGCCATTTTCTATTACTGCAAATTTCAAGTTGCAAATTAAGCGAGCAACCAAAGTCCGGAAAAATTGATGGTGGCTGATCGTACAAACAGCAAGACGCGTGATTATAAGCTAGGGCTAGACGCAAGAGAGTGTACGATAGAGGTAGGGAGGGATTAAGTCTTATGATGTTATTCTTTTTCTTCTATTGGGAATTATCTTTCGTATACATTTGACAGTCTGCTATGATCTTACATATAATCTGACGTACGGCACATTATTCCGTAACAGTACATACACAATGGTATAGCCTCCTCTACACCCCCTCACGTATAGATTATGAATCTTATACGCTCCCTATACGTAGGGAATAGCTTTACTGAGGTGATATTAATAGGAAGGTCTAATACACATTGCCAACTTAGTCCTCGTTCACCCTCAGTTGGCAACCCAGCCATGTTACATTTAACTTGATTCTCATACGATGGAGGGCTAAACGATGAACGAAAAAAAAAAACGTTATTTTTTTTTTTTTTCTATACGAAGCGCGCCGTAGGAAAAACACACACCGAGCGTTGTAATTTTTTTTTCCAACTTTTGAATAAATCTCCTTATTTTTGACGTTTCATTGTATAAATACTCTGGTGATTCTCGTCTTTATCGTCGTATACTAGTTTCCACTTCAACTAGATCAAAACAACAGAGAGAAGAGTTAACAACATGGCATTAATCGACGCAATTAGTTACTTCACTTCACTTAGTGTTGGTCAACAAATTTCCATCGTCCTTGTTGCTCCCTTCGTATACAACATCATATGGCAAATTTTATACTCGTTGAGAAAGGACCGTGTTCCTTTAGTATTCCATTGGATCCCATGGGTTGGTTCTGCTGTCGATTATGGTCAGAGGCCATATGACTTTTTCGAAGAAAACCGTCAAAAGTATGGTGATGTGTTTGCCTTTATGCTTTTAGGGAAGATTTGGACCGTTTATCTTGGTCCAAAGGGTCATGAATTTGTTTTCAATGCCAAGTTACAAGAAGTTTCCGCCGAAGAAGCTTATAGACATTTAACCACCCCTGTTTTTGGTAAGGGTGTTATCTACGACTGTCCAAACTCCAGATTAATGGAACAAAAGAAATTTGCCAAGTTTGCCTTGACCACTGATTCGTTCAAGAGATATGTTCCTCAAATTAGAGAAGAAATCTTGAAGTATTTTACTAGTGATTTCCACATGAAAGAATCAGATTCTGGTGTTGCCAATGTTATGAAGACTCAACCAGAAGTCACCATTTTTACCGCTTCAAGATCCTTAATGGGTGAAGCTATGAGAAATAGATTCGATAAGTCATTTGCCAAGTTATATTCTGATTTAGATAAAGGGTTCACTCCAATCAACTACGTATTCCCTCATTTACCATTGCCTACTTACTGGAGACGTGATGAATCTCAAAGAAAGATTTCCGGTACTTATATGAAGGAAATCAAACACCGTCGTGAAGTTGGTGATATTGATCCAAGCCGTGATTTAATTGACAGTTTATTGGTTCATTCGACTTATAAGGATGGTGTTAAGATGACTGACCAGGAAATTGCCAATCTTTTAATCGGTATCTTAATGGGTGGTCAACATACTTCTGCTGCTACTTCTGCATGGTTCTTGTTGCATTTGGGTGCTAAGCCAGAATTGCAAGAAGAATTATACCAAGAAATTAGTGCTATCTTAAAGGAAAAGGGTGGTGACTTGAATGATTTAACTTATGAAGATTTACAAAACATGCCTTTGGTTAACAATACCATCAAGGAAACCTTGAGAATGCACCATCCCCTTCATTCTATCTTCAGAAAGGTTATGAAGCCATTGTTGGTACCAAACACCAACTACGTTGTTCCAAAGGGTCATTACGTCTTAGTTTCTCCAGGGTATGCCCAAACCAATGATAGATATTTCCATGATGCTGCTGACTTTAACCCAAAGAGATGGGACGAAAAAACCAACTTGGAAAACCTCAAGGCTATTTCTGATGCTTCTGGTGAAGTTGATTATGGTTTCGGTAAAGTTTCCAAGGGTGTTTCCTCTCCATTTTTACCATTTGGTGGTGGTAGACATAGATGTATTGGTGAACAATTTGCCTTTGTTCAATTAGGTACGATTTTAACCACTTATATTTACAACATTACTTGGACTTGTGACAAGGTTCCAAACCAAGATTATACTTCCATGGTTGTGTTGCCTGAAGCACCAGCTGTTATCCACTGGAAAAAGAGAGAAACCTGTTTAGTCTAAGTTTACATAGTGACATTAAATATATGAGGTAAAACCCATAAATAGTGTAGATTTCATTCGCTGGCGATGTCGCTCCTGCACCGGCGAACACTTTGTTATCTTTTTCTTTTTCTTTTTTTTTTTTTTTGTTTTACGAGTCGCTCAATATTAAAACATGACTCTTTAAAATTTTCATACCCTATTGCGTCGAGAAAACTTTGTTTCTTTCCATAACTAAAGAATGTCGCTGCAAATAAGACGATTCAAAATCAAAGTCCCTGCCTCATCAGCTAACATCGGTCCGGGATTCGATGTTCTTGGAATCGGGCTTCAACTTTACCTTACCCTTGATGTGACTATTGATCCTAGTCGTCTGTCCAACTCAGACCCAAACAATGTTGTACTTAAATACGAAGGTGACTTGGCCGAAAATGTTCCTTTACAATCTGATAAGAATTTAGTTACTTCATCAGCATTGTACGTGTTACGATGCAACGGATTCACCCAATTTCCAAATGGTACTTTTATCGACGTGACCAATCCAGTCCCACTTGGACGAGGCTTAGGTTCTTCTGCATCAGCAATCGTTGCCGGTGTATGTCTTGGTAACGAAATAGCCCAGTTGGGAATGGACAAGATCAGAATGTTGGACTATTGTCTCATGATTGAAAGACACCCAGACAATATCGCTGCTGCTATGTTGGGAGGATTTGTCGGCTCATACTTGAATGAATTGCCAATTGAAGAACACGATGCTAATTTACCCTTGGAGTATATCTTGCCTCGATCAAGTACACCTGTGGACAAGATTGTCAATTCTCCACCACCAAAGAACATCGGGGAATACATGAGCTACGACTGGTGTAAGCTGATCAAATGTGTTTGTATCATTCCTAATTTCGAAGTCAGCACCGACAAATCGAGAGCAGTGTTGCCAGAAAGTTATACGAGACCAGACATTGTGTACAACTTGCAAAGAATTGCCATTTTGACCACGGCATTGACCCAAACCCCACCCAACGAAAAGTTGATTTACCAGGCCATGAAGGATAAGATTCATCAACCATATAGATCAGGATTGATTCCAGGTTTGCCAGAAGTATTACAGAGTGTTACCCCAGAATCTCACCCAGGTTTATGTGGGATTTGCTTATCAGGTGCTGGTCCAACTATATTGTGTTTGGCTACTAAGAACTATGACGAGATTGCAAAGACCGTGGTGGATATTTTCAAGAGGGATGGTGTCGAATGTGATTGGAAGGTGTTAGATTTAGCTTACGATGGGGCCACTGTCGAACAGATTGTGTAGATTTCAATATAGAATATAAAAAGTTGTTGTATTACTCCCTAATTTAAATAATTATGGCAACACATGAGTCTATTTTGGCAACACTCATGTGACATCGAGTCACGTGCATAAATATCACATGACACATCGCGGAGATTGCCCAATTAAAAAAGTCGCAGAAATTGCAAATCTCAGTCAACAACACCATTGACCACAGTAAAGAATGGTTGCTAGTAAAGTCGACAGTAATCCTGATCTCAAGACTAAGATTCTCGCCGAGACCATAGTCCCTGAATCAGGAACATATCCTGTTTTACTCACCAAAGTTGAGATCAATGGTGGAGAAACCTTCTCTCCCGTGTTCTTCCGGAAATTGCTCTCACCCTTGATTGATGATGGTGATTATACCTTGGCGCAATTGACGAGCAATATCCTGAAATCACACCGCAAGTTGTTGCAAACTGGTGTATTTCTGGATTTGTCAGTCACTGTTCAGCCCGATTTCTATAGTGGACTCCCAGATGTTGTTGACTATAACAAGGAAAAGAGTTTACCCACCAAGGTCATATTTGATTTACTGACCATTGACTTGAATTTGAGTGAAGGATGGTTCAATTTCAATAACGAAGAATATATGAATCTTCGATTAAACTATTTAAACAACAATTTCAACGGAAATGCCGAGATGGTCAAGTTCGATGTTGACTATAATCCGTACAAGCCATACGATCATTTGATCTCCAATGCCAAATTCTTGGCTAATTTGAACAACCCAGCTTATAAATTCCTTGTTGATTTAACTCACTTGCATCAAAACAATCAAAGCTGGCAAGGAGCCAAAGAAAGCGGAGCTGGTGGAATTATGGGGTTGGTCCATAGCGGAGACAATGCCTGGGATGTGTTTACCGGGGTCGCATTAATGAAAAGAACAATCACTGCCGCTGAAGAACTTGAAGATTTTGAAACTCCTCAAGCCACCGTTCCTCAAGGTGAATACTTGAAAACAGCATTAATCAGTAACTTGTCCTATAACAAATTAGCCTATGTCAATGAACTCACCAAGAACTTCCCTAGTGGTGGGTACACCTGGAGTTTATCCAATGAAATTGCATCATACCAAGGAAACTCATCGGCATTCCTCAAATCAGCATTCTCATACAGTTTCTTCAAGTCATTCTTTAAAAATTTTGTCACGACACAATTGTCGGCTGATGTGGGTGGAATTTTCTCTCACGACGGAACATCCATCCATCATTCCGATAAATTTTATCTTGGTGGGTACGATACCTTTCCTGGTTTCGCCAAGAACGCAGTTGATACCAATGGAGGTACACAGTTCTACAAATTACAAGCTACAACATACACTAAACTCCCACATTGGTTGCATCCTGTTCCAGCTTCGTTCGATGCCAATCCATTAAGATTGTATGCTACTGGGTTAGTTGGTAATGTCACTGACCTGAACATACTTGATGATGAGCGTGGAGCTGTGAGTGCTGGTGTTGGATTAAGGTATTTTAATAATTGGGCAAGATTCGATATGGGATATTATGTAAGTCTGAGAGTAGGATCTGATTTAGGTGGTGTCAAGGACGGGTTAAAGTTTAGTTTGTCTATTGGTGGATTAAGTACGTGAATTTTAGTCATTGGCGTGGCCCTAACTTAGAAGGGGGAGGAGGAGGGGGGGCGTGTATCATATAATTTTATTGTGTAATAAAATAGATTCTGATTATTTAATTTAGCTAATGCTACTCAAATCCTCGGGAATGTCTGCTAGTTTCTCGGCGGTGTCAATGAGTTGATCGGCCATGTCAACTATTTCCCATGGCTCAACTACAGTAACCCGGTTTTCCAACTGGCCACTTTCGGCCTTTTCAGCAAAATCAACAACAATTCGTGCAACATCAACATCCATGCATGGATAATTCCCTGATCGAAGAACAAGTGGATTCCTAGACATTCTACTCAACCATTCTCCCAATGTGTTTTGCCATCCAATTTGCCCTTCTTTTCTAGGAAACACCATACGAACACGAATAATAACAGTATGCTCAAATCCTAAATTTTTGAGATCCCGCTCTAACTCTCCTTTAGTTCTCACAAAATCAGATAATGAATAAGGGTTAGCATTTTCTCTTGAGATTAAAATCAAAGTTTTGACTCCGTTTTCTTTAGCTACTCGCGCTATAGAGTAGTTAATGCCGTAATCTACCTTGTTGAGCACTTTTGCCTTTCTGGAATTTCTAGATACTTCTCTGGTGCCTAATGCGGAAATTAGTGTTGTAACTTCTGGGTGTGAGGATATGAAATCGGGCCAGTTGTCGGGGTTTTTATCCACTAAATTGGTGATTCGAGAATCAAGACGGAAATCATCCCTTCTGGTTATTGGGTACAAGGTTTTATAAGTTGGAGAATTTGCAAGATATCTCACGATTTGGCCGCCAATGAGACCTGTAGAACCAAGGATAAATGCACTCATTTAAGCAAATTTAATGTAGCTATTGTTTATATAAGCAAGAACAAATAGTTATGAACGATAGAGTATTTTGCAGTAATTTATAGTTGAATGATTTTTTTTTGCAATTTGCAGTACAAAAAAATAAAGAGGAAAAAGACCATAGCTTGGGATATCAGTGTGAAGTTCTATTCAGACCCTTCTCTCTACAGGATATACCTTTTCTTGTGGGTGGAGAGTAACCGGTTTAGATAGACAATATAGTAGCACAGCATGTAAAAAAGATATGAGATCAAGTTATGTTATAGTTTAAAATTCTAAGTAAAGTATTCTAAGCATCTGTAAATGTGCTGCTCTTGTGATGTTTATGCAAATTAAAGTAAAATTATAAGCACTTTCTATGCCTAACTAGTTATTAACTAATTTATTAGCAAGATCAACTAGTTGATGAGGCTCGACTATAGTCACTCCCTTTTCCAAATCTCCTTTCTCGGCCCTCTCAGCAAAATCAACAACCACTCTAGCAACATCAAAGTCTTCAATAGGGTTAAGCAATCTTCTAACAGGAGTATTCTTTGCCACTCTACCAAACCACATCCCCACTTCACTTCTCCAACCAATCAGACTTTCTCTTTTGCCCAACAAAGCACCAGGACGAATGATCACGGTATGATCAAACCCTAGTTCTTTAACATCACGTTCCAACTCTCCTTTGGTTTTCAAATAATGGAACCACGAATCGGGATGAGCACCAACGGATGAGATGAGAATCATGGTTTTAGTGCCGTTTTCCTTAGCAGATTTGGCCACAGAGTAGTTAAGTCCGTAGTCGATATCATGGAAAGCCTGTTTTGATCCCGCTTTTGTGATGGTGGAACCCAATGAGGATATTAACGTAGTTGTGTTTGGGTGGGATTTTATGAGACCTGGCCAGCTGCCGGTGTTTGGTTCAATTAGCAAATTGATCTTAGGGCAAAGGGAATGGTCAGTGGGGGATTTTCTGGAGATGGGGTATAAGGTGGAGAATGCAGTTGATTTTTCGAGGGATCTGACGATTTGAGTCCCAACAAGACCAGTAGAACCGAGTATAAATGCACTCATTATGAAGCAAAAGGTATAGATTGGATAGGTTAGAGAAGAAGGGAAAAGCGAGTAGAATGTAACTTGGCAGTAATTTATAGTTTGACAGATTTTTGCAATTTGCAACAGTACAAAAAAAGAAACGAGTAACAATTGAAATTTTGCGGCTCGGAATATCTACGGCGGAGGTCCGTTCCGATGTAGCATCCGCCGTTGAAGCCGCTTTCCTTTACCGTGATGGAGACTGGTTCTTGCTCCGGAAGTGACGGAATAGTTACACTCAAAGTGAATGTGAATGTGAAAGCCAATAGTGCAACATGCAACGAAAGAACAACCCCTGTACTCAGCTAGCCAGAGCAGTATAGTAATTGCCAGCACCGTACCGATTGCTAATCAGCTTGATTTCGTTGCATAACACACAAGTAACGGTAAAATAACCCAGCTTTTATATTAAGAGAACCTTATAAGAAGCTTACATTGACCGCCATTGGAGATTTCTCAACTCTGTATTCTTAGTTAGAAAGGCTGGTCAAAATTTTCCTTCGCGTCTATAGTGAAAAAAAAAAATTACTGTAATGAAATGCACCGCGTCTGTTTACTCTTGCTTCTTCAAGCATAAACATGGGAGTAACAGGCCTCTTACCACACCTCAAAGAAATCCAAACGCCAGGAACTCTCGAAAGGTACAGAGGTACCACGCTCGCTATTGATACTTACGGTTGGCTCCATCGAAGCGTCGTATCCTGTGCCCAGGAGTTGTGTATGGACATACCCACTAGAAAATACATTACTTCAATCCTCAACAAAATCGACATGTTGAAATACTTTGGAGTGACTCCCTACTTTGTGTTTGATGGTGCTCCACTCCCTACCAAGCTGGAAACCAACCTCGAGAGAAGCACGAAGAGAAAGCAAGCTAGGAAACAAGCAGAGATGTACATGAAACAGGGAAAAACCAAGTTGGCATTTAAGGAGTTCATGAAGGCCGCCAGCGTCACACACGCCATGGCAAAGTCCATCATGGTGGAATTAGATAACCTTGGGATTAAATATGTCGTAGCACCCTATGAAGCTGATCCGCAGATGGTTTATCTCGAAAAGATCGGCGTGGTTGACGGGATACTTTCTGAAGACTCCGATTTGCTCGTGTTTGGATGCAAACGCTTGATTACCAAGTTGAAAGACGACGGAAGCTGTGTGGAGATTAACCGAGATGACTTTGGAAAAGTCAGACTGATTCCCTATTTGAGTAGTTATACCCCAGAACAATTGCGTCTTGTGGCCATGCTTTCCGGGTGTGATTATACCAAAGGTGTCAATGGGATAGGGATAAAGTCTGCATTTACATTAGTGAGAAAGTATAACAATCTTGATAAAATAATAGTTGCATTACAAAGTGATGGGAAACAAGTCCCGGAAGGTTTCCGAGACGAAGTGGATTCTGCCAATTTAGCATTCCAATACCAGAAAGTTTTCCATCCCCAACTACAAAAATTAATGACCTTGAATGAGTATCCAGACAGCCATGATTTAGATATGGAGAAAGTGGAGTTGTGTTGTGGTAAAACTTTTGATGATGAGACGTATACCAATTTGTGTAATGGTGTGATTAACCCAAATACCCATGAATTGTTGGTTTCACGAGAACAATCATTGACTAGTTTAAAGAGTAAATCAATGACCATGAGCGTAACTACCACTTCTACCAGAACAACAGTTGCTGCTACAGCTACACCAGTCTGTCCACATTCAGACAAGACTAAACGTTCAATTCTAGACATGTTGGCTCCAAGAACACCAGAAAACCGACCATTTAAGCGGCCCAAGGTGATGCCTCAACCGCAAGAAGTGAAATTGTCACCAACTTCTAAAAAGATAAACAAGTTGACATCACTGAGTCCTGCCGAGGGTAAAGCAAGCAAATTTTTCACAAAGTCCACCGTATCACCGGCAGCCACAATGGTGTCAGAACCAGCACCAGCACCAGCACCAGCACCAGCACTAGCACCAGCACCAGCACCAGCACCAGCACTAGCACCAGCATCAGTACCAGTACTTACCCCTGCATTTGATTCCAGTATGTTATCCGATTCAGAAGTTCCCGAAGACTCATCACCTTTGAAGGTCAACACAACATCTATCGAAGATATACTTAGTGATGAAGACGTCAACGAAAATGAACACCACGAGAGTTCAATGAATAGCAATGGATTCGAATTGAGTGATGACGACGAGGAAGAAATTGAAGAATCGTCACTTAATACTTCTACAACAATTACACAAGACTATGTATCTAAATTCAAAGTATTACGGGAAAGGTTTCTGTGTGATTCTACATATACTGGAAGTGTCAATGTTTTAAAACCTCGAGGTACAAATTTTCCTACTAAGCAGGCAGTTAAGTCAACTGAAGCAGTCAAATCTAGCTCAATGACTCCAGTCAACACCAAGACAATGACAACTTCTGTCAAGACTACAATGTCAACCTCGGTCAACACTACCAGCATAGATATAAAACAATTTGCATTTAAACGATAGACTAGCATCCTCTTAATATACAAGCACCTATTGCCAATTTCGACAAGTCATTTTGAGTGTGAGTAAATTTCGCATCATTCAACTTGTACACCTTTTTAAATCTCTTGAAATCAACAAGATCAAACAACACTTGGTCGTTCAACTCACTTTCTGGACCAACCAACTTGGTCAACTTTTCCGATACGTCTTCGTTCGAGTCCTCTTCTATAATCTTAACTACGATGGCGCTGTCACAGTCTTCACGAATACCAAAGTTCTTAAATGCATCCATGATACTATTCACAGGACTCAAGTTCAATATGATTTCCGCATTGACAGTCTTGGCGGACATAGTACCACGCAGGTAGTTCATGACCAGACGGTGGATGGCTTGTTGTAAATGAGCTAATGAGATGATGTGATGAGCATTAAGGAAACAGTAATTGTATTCCAGGTTTTGTGAAGCGAGGTTTTCCTTGATGGTTTGTAACTTTTCACTGCTTATATTTTGATGGAGGGATATGTAGACTTTATACTTTGGGAATTGTGGAAATGTGATGTACATGGCTGAAGTAGACTGATCAATGGTGTTGACTAAAAGAAAACAAAAATTTATAGTTTGCGACAAAATTAATGTGTCAACCAAAAGACTGGTGTGTACTCAGATCAACAACAACCATGAGTGAAGAAGCACCACCGGAAAGTGAAACCATCGCGGAAATTCTTTTCAATAATGTAACGTACCAGGATGCGCCTGATGAATCACAAGACTACCTGCACGTGGAGCTACTTCTACAATTGACACCCCACAGTAATAAACACTATGTCCAGTTCCAAAGCCACAACCGACAGTTTATTAACCTACCATCGGATGAGAATCAGGTGTATCGATGGAATGGATCGTGTATAGCACTCGCACAGCTGGCCGTGCTTGACCATTGGCTGAGTCGGAAAGCCAAACAGACCGGCGAAGAAGCTGGCGGTGGACGTGGACGTGGTGGTGGTGGTGGCACGAGCATGTTGTTTAGTTGGAGTTCAACCGACGCCAGTATAGAAGCACGTAGGGCAAAACTCAACAAGAAAGGTCCGCGAAATAACAGCGTCTCGACGGCACCAGCAATCTCTCCTACTGAACAACGAAAGATTGATATTTTACAGAAGTTGAATATATCAGGATCAACCTCGGACTCTGCTGCCAAATTATCAAGAATAGTGGAAGCAGAGTCAGCAAAGTTCATGCATGCACGTGTTAAACATATCAGAACACGACATTCAGAACAAATGAACAAGTTGATTACTGAACGGAAGAAGAAAGATCATGAGTTGCATCTCCAGAAATTGAAGCAGATGGAGATTGAACAAGCCGAGTTGGCAAGGGCACTTGCGCAACAGCCACCAGAACTGAAGAGTAGCAGCAGCGGTGGTGGTGGTGGTGGTGGCGGCGGCAGTGGTGGTCTATTAGGATTGTTTGGGTTTGGTGGAAGTAATTCCACTGTAGGTCAAACGAATAATCGTACTGCTAGTTCATTGCAATTGGAACAGTTGGAGCAGGCTCCCAAGACTACCAAGACTCCGCCAGCAGATGATCACAAGGGTATATTTGGTTTGTTTGGACTGAAAGAAAAGGAGAAACAAACAAAGTCAACCACATTGTTTGAAAGAGGCAGTCCTGCTCCGGCGCCTCCTCAGGACGACAATTTCATTCGCATTGACGATTTAGAAAAGGCATTAGGCGAATCTTCAAGCCAGCTACAAAACATAACAGAAGACAATCAGAAGAAGGAAGAAGAAGAAGGGGATGACGACGATGACGAGTTTTCGAACTTTGCAAGTGCTCCATCGATGGCAGTATCGTCGACGCAACAATCCACCCATCAATTCTTGGGCATTAGTGGTGAAATTCAAGAAACAAGACCACAAACCCCTGAAGATAATTTGCTAGATCTATAGACTGTAATCAACCAACCACGACCCTTGTCGAACCATATGTTCAATCTAATATCGACCACCAGTGTATATCGGATCATATATCCGTATTAATCCGAAATCTCTAGCGTCACGTGACCAAAGGTCTAGACAATTTTTTTTTCACTAACAAAATCTGTGGTTACAAATGAAAGCTATCACATAACATACAAGGACATAACCCCTCCCTCTATAATGCTTTCAAGAACATTTAAACGTGCTGTGCGGAACCTATCCACCGCCAAATCTGCTACACATCCCCAACTTGAATTGACAACCCTCACCAATGGACTTCGTCTTATTACAGACTCAACACCAGGTCATTTCTCGGCTCTTGGCGCCTTCATCCAAGGTGGGTCTCGATTCGAAGATCCCGCAGCTCCGGGACTTTCCCACTTGTGTGAAAGATTAGCATGGAAGACTACAGAAAAGTATTCAGGTACGCAAATGTTGGAAAACTTGTCAAAGTTAGGTGGCAATTACATAGCAGTGGCACAAAGAGATACCATAATGTACCAAGCCACCGTATTCAACAAAGATGTGGACAATATGCTTGAATGCATTGCACAAACTGTCCGTCATCAGCAGATAACCGACCAAGAATTTGCTGAAACCGTCGAGGGGGCCAAGTATGAAGTCTCTGAACTTCAATACAAACCAGAACTATTACTTCCTGAGAAATTGCATTCAGTAGCATACAAGAACAACACGTTGGGATTACCGTTTTTCATACCCCAAGAAAGACTCGGTCTGATTAAGAAGAATGAAATGGATCAATATTTCAACAAGTTCTTCCAGCCACAAAACGTCGTCATTGCCATGATTGGTGTCCCCCACCAAACTGCCCTCGACCTTGTCCTCGCAAACTTCGGTGACTGGCACAACTCCTCCTCCACCACCGCTGCCGCTCCTAAATTAGGTACCGTCAACTACACTGGTGGTGAAATCGCCCTTCCTCATACCCCACCACTCTATGCCAACCAACCGGAACTCTACCATATGCAAATCGCATTCGAAACTAACGGATTCCTTCACGATGACATGTATGCCCTTGCCACCTTGCAAAAGCTTCTCGGTGGAGGGTCCAGTTTCAGTGCTGGTGGGCCAGGTAAAGGTATGTTTTCCAGGTTGTACACCCAAGTTTTGAACAAGCATCCATACGTCGAAAACTGTTCTGCGTTCAACCATTCATATGCTGACTCGGGGTTGTTTGGAATCACCATCAGTCTCATACCTGATGCCGGTCACATCAGTGCCCAGATCATATGTAATGAGTTCGCCAAGGTTTTGGATTCTAAGGAAGGATTGAACGAAAAGGAAGTCACCAGAGCCAAGAATCAACTTACTAGCAGTTTGTTGATGAACGTTGAAAGTAAATTAGCCAAGCTTGAGGATTTAGGAAGACAGATTCAAATGCAAGGAAAGATCACCAGTGTTGATGAAATGGTGGACAAGATTAGTGCATTGACCGTTAAAGATTTACGCAATGTCGCTGAAAAGGTATTCACTGGTAACGTAGTCACCAACGGTATCAGTTCTGGTATTCCTAGTGTCGTCATGCAAGGTGACAGGAGCCTGTTTGGCGATATCGAGTTTGTTCTTCGTCATTACGGATTAGGTAAATATAACTAATAGAACACATGTAAATAGAAATCTATTACTTTATATATATAATATACACTACTGTTTATAGACCGAGTCTTTGACGCAATTCCAAAATCTCCTTTTGAGCAAGCAATAACTCCCCTCTCATTTCACTATTGGCTCGTTCACTAGTCTTTAATGCCAAGTCCTTGTCAATATTCTCTTGATGTAAAATCTCGATGGTGCTCTTGTAATGATTGACCTTGTTTTGATAATCAAAGTTTTCATCATTGTATCGCTTAGTCAATTGCGTTTCATGTTCCACTCTGATTTCAAGTTGCTTCACGTTTCGTTCAAGACTCTTGATGATCTTGTTGGCTTCATGACCTTCAGAAATGGCAGTGTCAAGTTGTGATGATAAATCCTTAACTTTGGTCTCCCAGAATTGAAGTTGTTCATTGCTGTATAATTTTTGCTGGAGATCGGACACTTTACTATTCAATTCAGAGTTGGCCTTTTTGAGTGACAAGTTTTCCTCATTAGTAACAAGCAATTCCTTACGTAACCTCTGTTGATCCATGTATTCAGAAGTAGAACTGATTTTTGATTGGTTCAATTCCGTCTTGATTTGCTCTGAGTCGTCACGTTGGTTCTGCAAATGAGTCCTCATTAAATCAAGCTTAGCATTAGTTTGACTAAGCTCGGCGGTCTTGTCATCTAATTCACGAGTCAATCTGTACACTTGATCACCCAATTCTTCCTTTTCTTGAACAAGAGAATCACGTTGGGTGGTGACTTCTTCAATCAAGGATTTAAGTGAGGCGGTTTGTTTAGTAAAGTTGGCAATCTTGCGTTCATTTATAAACTTGTCATCTTCCAATTGTCTAACTGAGTTGGTCAAGGTTTGCACTTGTGCTTCAAGTTTGTCTTCACGGACCAAAGCTTCACCTAGTTCAGTCTCCATTTCATTCTTGGTACGTACCATATCTTCATAATCCAATTGAACCTGCTTATTTTCCTTAATCAAACTTGTTTCTGTCTCAGTCTTGAAATTGAGCTCTTTATGAAGGTTGTTGATTTCTTCCTTGAGTTGCTCCGTGACTTCCTTGTTTTCATAATTATTCACGTGGTAATCAATCTTTTCCTTAAGGATCTTAATTTCATCATGGGCTTTCCCTAATTGGAACTTCTTCTCCTGAGCCAATGTTTCCAAAGTACCAACTTTGCCTTGGAACTCTTTGAGAAGCATCTGAGAAGCGCGTGATTCCTCTCGTGCCAAAATCAACTGGCTCTTGGCTTCATTCAATTCCCGTCTCGAAGCTTCTTCATGACGTTTAGATATCGTTACTGCCAGTTCTGCCAACTCTAACTTCTGGAAATACTCCTCAGCTCGCTTTTTATACAATTCCACACCATCGTTCAAGTCTTTATTTCTCGACAACAAGTTCTCATATTTGACATTCAAATTAGCAATCTTGGTTTCGTAATCGGAGATTGACGTACGGAAGTTGTTCAGTTTAGCAGCATAGAGCTCTTCTTCACTATCCCGAAGCAATGATTTTAACCGGAGGATTTCCGACTTGGAATGGTTGAGCTCCTCGCGGGTGGCTCTTAGTGTCTTGCTTATGTCTTGGTAGATCTGTACGAAATCGGCATTGACACCACGAAGAGCGTGGTTGGATAAACTCATGATACTATCACTTCGCGTGAAACTGTTGTCGGCAGAAGTAGGAGGGGAGTTGGAATGTACCACCAATTCATTGATTTTCGACTCGAGATCGCGGGCACGTTTCTCAGACTCTTGATACTTCTTTTCGTAATCGGTAACGCTGTTTAGGCCTCGGGTAGCTTGAAGCTTATTCAATTTCTTTTGTAATTCAACAGCATAGGTCTCTGCACGGGCGAAGTTCCCTTGTTCCTGACTCAATTTGAATTTCAAATCTTCAATTTCACGATGTAAAACATCCAACCCGGCTGAATCTGTCTTTTCACCATACGCCACTGATCGCCTCTTGACATCAACTTTGCTGGATCCATTGACGCGTTCTTTAAGTATGGACAATTCCTCGGCGATTTTCCTGTTTTCAAATTTCTCGCGACGAAGCATGGCTGACAGTTCGTTGAGTTTGAGTTTCATGGCCTTGTATTCTTCCATGATGGAGGGTGTAGCTTCTGGCACATTCTCCTTTTCCTGTGTTTCAAGTTGGGCCAATTTGGAATTGAGGAAGGTGATTTGGTCATTGGCTTGCTGTTCTAATTTGGCGTGTTCTTGCTTGAGTTTGTCGTATTCAGCTTGGATCTCTTGTTGTTGTTGATCGGCCTGGGTGAGTTGCTCAGTGAGTCGTTCAATCTCGGACAAGTTTTTGGATTGGGCGTCTTTGACTTGATTGAGTTCGGTGAGTTTGTTTTCCAGGAGGGCAAGTTTATCCTTGATACTGGCTAATTCACGGGTAAGTTGGTCAATTTGTTGCTTCTGTTGAGCAATTTCCAGAGTCTTGGTTTCCACTTTAGATTTGAGTAAGTGGACTTTTTCTTTAGCTTCATCGATCTTGGCATCATATTTAGTCTTGTAAGACTCATTTTTTTCAATCTTCAGGTTCAAATCTTTGATAGTTGATTGATAAGTAGCGATTTCCAGGTTGAGTTTGGATATAGTTGACTTCAAGGTAGTTATTTCATCCACAAGAGCTTGGTGTTCCAGTTTCGATGCAGTTTCATGTGTCTTTTTGAGATCTGCAATGAGTTGGTTGAGTCTACCTACTTCCCTTGTAGAATCAGAAAGTTTACTTTCATGAGATTGCTTAAGATTAGTCAATTCCTTCAGTTTGGACTCGGCCAATGATTTCAATTCCCGTTTCAACCTGCCTAATTCGTCCTTAGCCAGGGTGTGTAAGTTAGACAACAGTTCAAGTTCTTTGATTTTTCCTTCGTGTGATGCACTCAATTCAAATAATCTCGTGTTTAGCTTGTCCTTCTCGTCAATAATCTCCTTGTTAACATGCGCCATACTGGTTACTTTTTCTTCCAAGTCTTTGATAGTAGCCTTAGCTTTGATTGCTTCTGATTTCAACTTGTCGAGCTGACCATTCTTTTCATTCATTACCGAAGCAGTCAGAATAATCTCATCTTCGAGTTTACTTACTTGTGTCTTTAAGATCTGATTATCCTTTTCCAATCCTTGTTTTGTACCTTCCGTCTCTTTAAGCTGTTCGGTGACTTTGTTCAAATTATCTTGAATTTCCCGGGTATCCAACACTTTGCCAGACTCTTCAAGCAACGGTTTTATATGGTAAAATAATTCCATCCAGTAACTGCCACTCTTGGCCTCCTCCACTTTCTGCATGGTTTGGGCGACAATCTTGGCACTTTGGATCTGACGGATCTGATGTTTTATCATGCGTCGTTTGGCGTTCCCCCTGATGATCTTTTGCAAGTCGGTAAATATCGCCTTTAATTTACAATCACGAAGTTCTTCGAGCTTGGCAAGGATCCCATTTTTGAAGAAGATCTTGGTGAGCCCCACTTTGTACACTTGCTTGTCTAGCCCGGTATGGTTCAATATCATCTCACTGGTTTCTCTCGGTTCATGGCGTAATTCTAAGTCATGCAATATGGCATAGCGTGCATTGAAGTCGTCAAATGTCATTTTATTGGGGTATCCTGCCCGTGTGATTCTTATCCCTTCCAACACACCATTACATCGCAATTGGTTGACCACGAGCTGTTTGTCAAACATTTGTGGCGATTTCTTCAAGTTGGGGAGAATACATCTTACAAAATGGGGCTCTGTGATGGAAAGTTGGTCCATGAGGGTTTTAAGTTGATCTTTGTGTTTCTGGGATGCAGTTTTGAGTTTGAAGTTGCTGATTCTCTTGGAGGCCACTTCTAAATGTGGGTCGCTGCCAAACATGGCGGCAATGAAGGAATTGCTAGAGTGTGGGAGGAGTTTGATAATTGATTCAGAAACAGGGTCGGTGTTCTTTTGCAACCAGTTGGTAACGTTATATTCCACTTTTCCAGCATAATGATGGACAATAAACCCATTCTTGAATTTGTTTTCTGAGAATTTAGGATGGGACTTGTTGAAATTTTGAGAAAGCTTCTCCATAAAACTTTCATCGGAAGATTTAGGCATGATGCATTCTTCATCAAGCAACTTGAAGATCCCCATGGGTGTTTTCGTCTCGATAAGATCTATGGTTGGTTGTAAATCCTGGCCGAAATCAATATAGTCCCATTCGATAGCTTCACGAAGGTATTCGCTTTGTTCAAGGATAAAGGAGTGGTGGTTGAAAAATTGTTGAAGTTTTTCATTGGTGTAGTTGATGCACAATTGCTCAAAACTGTTCACATCAAAGATTTCAAACCCAGCAATATCAAGAACTCCAATGAGGTTATGATTATTGTCGTATTGTGGGTTTGTGGTGTGAAGACCGGTGTTGATTTTGTCGATTATGAATTGGAAAAGACGTTCGTACAAATACTTGGCGAATGCATCAATGATGAATTTAACTTCCAGAGGACGTTTAGATTTGACAATGAATTCACGGCCAGCTTGGACCTTAGGACGGGACAAGTTTTCCACGAGCTCTTCCTTTTTGATTCCTAATAATTGGGAAATCATGGCGAGGGGAGACTCAGGAGTGAAGTTTGCTTGGTCAGATTTCCAGCTGGTGAAGTCAATGTTACCCAAATGCAAGATAATAGCCAACACTTGGTATATGAATTGGGTTTCTTCGTCGGAGAATCCCATGATGGTGAATGCTTGTTGTAATAAGTTAAACTCTTTGAAGTCGTCGACTTGGTCAATGGACAGGTTGTTGAGGTAGTTGTAAGTGGTGATGTCCTTGTTTAAGCCTAAGCTAGCCAAATTGTCATAACCCTTCAAGAATTGATAAAAGATGTGGTAGTTTCTTTCATTGCTTGCTTGGTTAACCACTCTTGATTTTTCTAACAAGTAGTATTCTATAGTAGCTCCGGTTATATTTCCATTAATCGAGCTGAAGTAAATCTGGATAAACTTTCCAAATCGAGAACTGTTGTTATTTTTGATAGTCTTGGCATTCCCAAAACTTTCCAAAATGGGGTTAGCCTGGATGATTTTACTATGTATATCGCTTGCCTCGCCTTCGCTTGAAGTAACCAACGATAAATACTGGATGATTTTCTTTGTGTTTTCGGTCTTACCAGCACCTGACTCACCGGTGACCAAGATACTCTGGTTCTTCTTGTTAGATAGCATGTTCCTATATGCGGCCTCGGCAATGGAGAAGATGTGAGGTTGTGGTTTATCGCTCTGATGGTGGTGTTTCAACAGTCCGCGGTCATAGATGGGCAAGTTCTTGTATGGGTTGATAGCGACAAGGAACAATCCCGAATAGGTGTAGATCAAGTCGTCCATATACCGCAAGTACAAGTTGTAAACGACACTGGGTTCGTTCAAGTGCGTGAGTTCGGCCATGTCATTGCATTTATTGAACTTGTCCGGGTTGCAGCTTTCCAATGTTGATTGGTCCACAATACGATGGTTGTCTGAGGTGGTGGCAGCTGCAGCAGCACCACCACCACCAGCGGTTGGATCAATGATGACTTTGCATTTATTGTTGTCGAGATAGTCGGAGACATATCCCTTGACGAATAGCTGGTCGGGATCGGGGATCCATACCCAGTTTTTACTAGTAGAATCCATGTGCTTGCACTGCTGACTAGCTTTATTGGGTGGTGAAAACTCTTTAGGGTGACGACACTTTGTTTGGGTAAACAAAAAAAAAAAAAAATAGTGGGTGAGTAGCTGGTTGTGTGCAGGACGCTTATAATGTATCAGACGCGTTAGTCAGATCAGGTTGGATCAGCAATCTGGTTAGTGATAGTATAGGCTTGGTGTTTTGGAAAGGTATGGTGTTGTGTGGTCCGTCTATGTCGAGATCAGATCTGTGTGGCTTGTTATGTGGAATGTTGTTGTCGGTTGTTGTGTGAAGAAAGAATTTTAACTGGACACTGCCAATTGTTCCCAATTGGGAAATGGCTGTGCTGCAGATCTAAATGTAAACAATGGGCAAAGACAGGGCAAGACAATGCGCGAAACAACAACAGCGACAACGACAGCAGCGCCAGCATGGCGACAACGACAGCAGCAATAGCTGCAGGAGCAGCAACAACAACGACACCACCACCACCACCACCACCTCCTCCTCCTCCTCCTCTACAACCACCCCCACCAGCGTCTCCCGCTACAGCTGCCCCGCTAGTCTATAACGTCCTCTGTTCAATACAACACTTTCCATATCAATCAAAAATTGTTCATTAAAACTTAAAATATCTAAATAAAGAAGTGAATCATTAAAATACAAATCATGCAAAAAATACTAAAACCCATTATACCCTATACCTGTCTCTGTACCAAAGGTGAAGAATTGTTCTTCATGGGCGAATACTCCTTCCGCTTCATGATCTTCAGTTTAGTCCGGATGGGACCAGCTCCCCCAAAACTAGCCACACTAGCATGCGTGGGGGTGCTGTTATTACTACCTCCGCTCTTGGAGAAAACACTGTATTGTGAAGTGGCACTTGGTGGTGTCAATGGCGCTGGGCCAGAGTCCATGGCAAACGGACTTTGTGGTACCGCCAACATTTCGTTGTTGTTGTTGCCAGCAAACTTGTAGTAGTCCTCCTCTTGTGGGAACTGTAAAAGCACTTCAACAATAGAAAGGGTCTTGGCATTGATCTGGTCAATGTTGGATACAATCATGTCTTGATTCTCGTAAAGTTGTTGAATAAGATAGACGTAGCGGGAATGGAAGTTGTTGATCACTTGGATGACTCCCAATGGCTCATATTTCTTGGAAAGCACATCGGTCACTTTGCTAAGTTGTATAAGCAACATAAGCGCAATCTTCTTCACCGTGAGTAAAGCTTCGTCATCTAATCCGCTAAGAAAAGCACCGTGGACTTTAGGACGTTTGTTTTCAATGTTGTCATCGTAGATGCTTATATCGGAGTCGTCATCAGAGTCGTAGTTATTGTACACTTCTGAAATCAACGCCTTTAATGCATTGGAGGCATCAGGAATCTTCAACATGGAACATGCAAGTAGGTTAGCAGCAATACCCACTAAGCTAGGAGTAACCGACAAGAAATACTTGTCATATAATGACAATTCGCAAAGAAATCTCCCCACGGCGGTGATGGCCGACACAGTGCTATTCTTGCCGTTCCCCTCCACCGTCTCGTTATATTTACAAGGAGTAACGTTGGACACATGGGAGCACTTGATAGCCAACTGTAAGCAATCTTCAAGATTAGGGTACGACAAGCTCCACTCAAGAGTACTCAATATGTGTCGTTCCATCTGAATAAACATCTCCTCATCATAGGCACTGCGACACATAATCGTCAACTCCTTCAACGTGGGCACCCGCAGCTTCTTGTCTTCGTACTTTCCAGCAATCCACAATGCCGTGCATCCCACCAATTGGTAGTGTCTCTTGAACACGATTCTCTTTGCGCAGTATCTGTCGATGATGTTGAGGCAGAGAAACAATGTGTGAGGTTGCAATTTGAATGACGAATGGAGCTCAATCAAGAAGTCGAGCAAGAATGGTCTCATGAACCACTGAATTTCGGGCTGGAGGTCGATCATGGCAGGGTTGACAGCAGCAAGTGGTTCAAACTCGGCCAATGTTGATGTTATATCGTCGAAGTATTCTCCCATTAGTTTCTTGTTGGCTTGCGACTCCAAGAGCTCAAGCATGAGATGGTATGGTTTTGGTCTGATATGGGAAGGAGGCCCATATTTAACTGGGAAGGTCAAGGACATGGATATGGATGTGAAAGGTGCAATGTTAGAGGTATTAAAAAATGACAACAACGAAAAAGGACGTAGAAGTAAAAGCGAGTGAGATCTAGTCCTGTAATAAATGCAAAGTATAAAAAGGATAAATGAAGTAGAACTGTCTGTATGTCTGTCTATGCGTTTCTTCTTCTTCTTCTTGGTTATTGGAATCTACTGGTGTTTTATAAAATCTCGTAGCCTGAAAATAAAACAAGAAGTTTTGCAGTGTTTTTGTGTCGACAAGTCCAAAGGAGTAGAACACTGCAAATCGTACATAAAAAATATTCTTTTTTTTTTTTGGGATAATTATACGCGCGTAAAATACATTGCATCCACGACATTTAGCGTGCTTTATAAAGGGGGGAGATAAATACAATGTTGACCCTTTTTTTTTTGTATGTATTTTGTATGTTATTTTTCTATGTATTTTCCCACTACGACATTGAATATCACCACAAAACACCAATTTGCTAGACGAACATAGAAGCCACCACTTGAGTGCGTTTTTATTACCGTGCCTAATTGGGAATAATTACAATATCAACAATGAATGTTTGCTATATATCACAAACATCCCGCTAACTCTTTGGTATGTATCACCCCATGTGCAACACTCGACCATACCAACATCACACTCTCCACGGTTACTCTCCCACTTACCTACTCTTCCACTCAGCCTCTCGCACATCATCTGAAACAGCACATCTCAGATCGATTTAAAGGAGACATAAAATGCAACCGAATCCCCCCGATTTTTTTTCTTTTAAAAAAAACCGCGACTTCTTTGTTTATCTGCACAATTACCGCCTGCTCAAAGGGTTGAAAAAAAAAATACAAGACGCGCGCGCGCATATGGGCGCACATTCTCCCCATGCTAACCGGCTCCCTCCCACACACACACACACCCGTCGCCCTGATTTTAAACTATTCCACACGCGAATTGATAGGATATAATATACACGTTATCTTTGACGAGAGCCCCATTATTTTGCAATTGCTGTTTCATGCTAGTTTTTTTCAATTGTCTGAGAATGGGAGATTAATGCGAGGGAGGGGGGAAGGAGCAAAGGGATGAAGTGGGGGTACGCATGTGAAGCTCACTCCAGTTACTGCAGACGCATTTTGATTCAGGTACCAGCATCATCCATCGTAAGGAAAAATTGCCGAAGCGCTCCAGTTATTACCTTATTCCAGGTAATAACTTGATTTGATTAAACTTTCGTAGTGATCATTCGAACCTTATTTATATTCTTTTTTTTTTTGCAACTTTTTCGGGGAAAATTACATGCTAATTAACTTATCTTCTATTCTGGGTGTTGCCATGCATGAAATCATATAAACAGCAGAGAATCATCTATTTATCCTAGTATAGATTCATACTCACATCTTACTGACAGCAGGAATGTACGACGTAACGTCAAACAATCGTATAGTCAAACCATCTAGCGGCTGATTACCCTCATTGTTGCAAGGCGCTACACATAGACCCCACATACACCATCAAAACTGCGTTTCACCCAACTATTGTTAAAGTATATGTACCAAGAGATGCCTGCCCTGCATAATCTCCGAGCTGACAATGCAATGCACCCTCTTTATAAGTAGTCCAGGCAAATGTATACCCCCAACGGTCGTGTCGTATAGCCAACTCAAATTTGCCATGTGTAAATCTAGACGTTACACAATGCTGAAGTTGGACTGACTGGCTCCAAATGCCTTCTACAACACAACTATCTCCGCCAGAGAGGTGGGCTGTTGTCGTTGTCACCAGAACATGTGCATTTCAAATCTCTATAAAAGGCGTGAACTTGTCAAGATTCTCAGTACTGAACAAATCTACATCACGATGTCTGCTCCTGTTTTCCCTTCGAGAACTTGGCTGGATTACAAGCAATTCAAGAATGGGTTCCTCCCTGGTAAACCCACTTTTAAAGAAGACCACTATCCCAGTCTTAAAGGTAAAGTGGTGCTTATAACTGGAGGGAATTCGGGAGTTGGTTACGAAACTGTCAAGTCTTTGGCGGGGTCAACCAAAGCGAAAATATACATATTTTCCCGAAATGAAAAGAAAACACTTGCAGCAATCAGGCAAATAAGACAGGAGGTAGCTCAGGAATATAATGTCACCAACCCCGATATCAACTTTATCAGAATGGACCTCAGCGATTTAGATACTATTAAACCGGCAGTAGATCAATTTCTATCCCAAGAAGCAAGACTAGACATCATCATCCACAATGCCGGGGTCATGAAGCGGCCCATAGGTCCAAAAACGAGACAAGGATACGAATTACAATTGGGAACTAACGTAGTTGGCCCCCATCTCCTCCAACGTCTTTTAGATCCTATTCTCATCGACACCTCCAAGATGAACCATCCTGGTGAATCTCGTATTGTCTGGATATCATCCACAGCCCACCATTTTGCCCCACTAGGCGGTGTCCACTGGGACGATATTAATTTTGACCACACGAAAATTGGCAAGTTGTACAACGTAATGGGCTACGGACAAAGTAAAGCTTGCAACATCATGCAAGCGAGAACATGGTCACGAAAACACAGTGCCGGATCACAAATCATTTGCTCTTCAGTATGTCCCGGATTCTTGAACACCCAATTAGCAAGAAACTCGTCATGTATCGAACGGGCCATCTTCAGTGTAATATTGCATCCAAGAAGATTGGGTGCATATACTGTTTTGTATGCTGCGTTTTCTCCAGAAGTGGAGGATGGTTCATTCAGTGTTTCTTTTGGAGTGCCTAGTCAGCCAAGAAAGGATCTTACTCAAGATGATGCCTGTGATAAGCTTTGGGACTTCCTTACCAAGGCCACTGATCCATACATGTAAATTATGATTTTTATAAATGTATATGGCTTAATCAGTTTACGAATTAGTTCTTGCAGGAGTAACTTATCTAATTTGCAACCATTTTGAAAATAAAGAACGGCAATCTACGGCAGGATCATGTATGGTGGCACCTTATAGCAATTACCAGAAAAATTCTGCTCTACCATCTTTTCTATTGAGTATACTCTATTTCTATAAAGTGGGTTTGATAAGTAACCCATGGTTTACCAGAATACTGTATCAATTTACAAAGAGTAGTTATAGAACTAAAACAAAACTATAAATTAACCAGTTAAGAAGTAATATTAGTCGAGAATTAAGAAAGGTTTCATCTTTATTCCGTCTTTCAGAGCAAAAAAGGGACTTAAGAACAGCTAGAACATAAAGAGAGGAACCCTCTAATTGAAGAAAAAGAGAGACATTTCTCTTTTTTTTTTGGTTTTGCCGAGATCGGAATACGAGATAAAATAAATGCATGAAACGCACATTTACGGGCTCCTAACCTATCACGATTTAGCCGAGACTTTTCTTGATCTCGACACTAAGAAACTGTCGCAAGAAAAATATGCCGTCGCACACAACAACTGACGAATGAACGATTAGGTTGCAAGGAACTACATACGTTAATCGCAACCGTCGTTTCATGTAACTATTGTCAATTGGCTTAAATAAGATCTCAATGGCAACGGTTTTATAAAATAGAGACGGGAAATTGATTAGAAAAGCGTCAAAAAAATTTCGTTCGACTTTACATTGAAAGCTCAAAAAAGAAATCCATAGTAAAGAAGGCTTAAATTAGTCGATATATCACTCAGGTACTGCTTGGTATAATTAATATTGAATGTTACTTATTTATGTTCGACAGATCTCTGCTTCCGACAGTGGAATGTCTATTTTTCTCTCCAACGAGCTTTTTTTTTTTGCAGCTATAAACGAACTTGACCAAGGCTAAAATTTACTATTCTACTATTCTGTCAGAAACTCAAGTAAAACACAATGTTTAATATTGTAATATCCTGTAGAACTTGGCAAAGATTGGGAACAATACCAACATGGAATTTTCACTGGAAAATTAACCTTCAGAGAAGACCAATATCCAAGTTGTGAAGAAAAAGTTATTATAGTTATTGGAGGGATCACTGGCATTGGATACCAAACAGCTAGAACTTTGGATGGGTTTACAAAAACTAAGGTATATGTTTTTTTCCAGAAATGTAAAACAAAACATTAGAGGCAATCAAGAAAATCAAACAGGAGGCGGCTAAGGAATACAATGCCACCAACTGAGAAATCAACTTTATTCAAGTCGACTTACGTGACTTGGAAAGCATCAAACTAGCCGTTGAGAATTTTGTACCTCAAGAATCAAAATTAGATATAGTCATACATAATGCTGGTGTGATGATGCCACCTATAGACTCCAAGGGTAAACAAGGCTACGAATTACAACTAGGTACAACTGTTATTGTCTCATTCCCCCTTCAACATCTTTTAGACCCGATCGTCATAGCCACATCCAAAAGTAATGCTGCTGGTGAATCATTTATTGTATGAATGGCTTCTACTGCACATCAATTAGCCCCGGTAGGAGGATTTTACTGGGAAGATGTTGATATTGAAAAGTATAAAGCTTCCAAATCTGACGAAATGATGGTTTATGGACAAATAAAAGCAGGTCATATAATGCAAACCAAAACAAGAACTCGTAAATATAATACTGGGTTACAAATAATTGGTTCATTGGTATATCCCAGATTGTTAAGTACTGATTCAACAAGACATACATCTTGTTTTGAAAGAGCAATCCTCAGTGCGATACTGCACCTGAGAAGAATGGGGGCATACAAACAATTATACGTTACTTTTTCCCCAGATGTAAAGGATGGTTCTCATAGTATTTCTTTTGGAACTCCAAGTCACGCAAGAAAGAATATTATTCAAGATGAAACCTACAATAAGCTTTGGCAGTTCCTAACCAAAGCTACCTATCCCTACATCTAGACGTGTATAAATTGTATAGACTCTTGCATATAGATATCCAATCAGGTGTTTTAATAACCCCTTTGAAACTTCTAGCGAATCACCGCTATTTCCTCGGCATAACGAACGGAACATCCACAATATTTTTTAATTTCTTTTTTTTTTTTCTTTTCTTTGCAGCCAAGATCGGAAGAAAGATTATTCCATGGAAAATCAATACAACTCTCTACGGCATCTTAACGCATATTTACGTCAACAGAGTTCCTTAATAAACCCCTTTTCAGGGAATAAATTACCCGCCAAGGAAAAATTGAAGATGCCGTTGTTAATTTAATTTGGAGGGGATTATGGCGGAGCAACTTAATTTATGATTACAATAAACCCCATATTACAAGCTAGAGCCAGACAATAGAGGAGATAGCTTGCATAAATATTATATTATTATCTCGCAAAGTATATTTCAAGTGGGCTTACAAGAGGGGTCTCACAGTAAATTTATTCGACGGCTACAAATAATTTGTATTAATGTAAGGTTTGTATGGTTCTTACCAAACTTTAACCAACGGCGCTTCTGCATATTCTATCTTGATACTTCCGTGGGTTTACAGGATCTAGTTCTTGAATAACGGATATCACCAAAATAAACAGAAATCTAATACCATCGATAAAGGAACGTTATCAAAAAAGAAATGTTTATTTTGTTTAATTTCTTTTATTTCTTTTTAACTAAGATCAAAATACGAGATAATATTCGTGTGAATACCGATAATTTACGGGCTCTTAACCTAACCCCCTCCTATTGTTTGAAGCTTTTGCACTCCTATATCAACATCTTTTATCAAGATCACACGCTTTCTGATGAAATCTTACTACTTTCAATGGCTATGGTCCATTTTATTGAGGTTTGATTGCATCATTTGTTTCTGATACCAAGAATGATCCGTAGAAACAGAAACTTACATCTAAAAAAAATATATGTGGTCAGGGAAAAAGCATCATCGGTCATGCGTCAACCTGCTTTTTTTTTTTTATTTTCGCCGTGTAATATTTGGCTTTTGCAGTAAAAAAAAAGCAGGGGTTATTGAATCATGTAGCTTCATGTAGAGTTCAGCACAAGAGTAAGGAACGACCTACATTGATAAGTCAAATCTTACAGAGGTCTATTATAAGATAATTTCTTATCTCCTCTTTTTTTTTTTCTTAGATTTTAGATCAGTCGTTTTTGCAACCTAGGCTGCACAAGCGACACTTTGTCTACCACAAACTCTTCTCTTTATACTTTTCTTTAATACACAACGTGGTATATATGGTAACAGCATAAATAAAACGGCATTTTCTCCACATTTTGCAACACAGGAAGAAGGTTGAGCCACAGAACCATAGTAAACAAATCTTAAAAAATAATATTTTCTGGCCCGGAATTTCTTTTGCCTTGCTACATATGCAACTTATCAGATTGGATTATCCGCAAAAACAAATAAACATCACCAATGCCTAACCATCGGAAACAGTCTATCCTCGAAGAATATAAATACACCATGAATCCTTGTTCAAATTGTTTAATCTTTCTCTTGTCTACATCAACCAACCACTAAACAATGCAACTTGTTTCCTTATTAACTTCAGCAGCCATCTTATCTACTGTCGCTTCCACTCCAGTCAACGTTACTCGTACTGGATACATCTCCCTCCCAATTAGTTTGGACGGTGCAGTTTCCCCACTCGGACAATCCAAGGACGAAGTGTCCTCGACTTTGTCCCTCAAGGAACAGCTCTTTTTAACCGATCTCCAAATTGGGTCTTCGGGAGAACAAGTGACTGTTGTTGTTGATACTGGTTCGGAATACCTTTGGGTCATGGATTCCAATGTTGAATGTGATGACGGCAAGAATGACTGTCAACAATATGGTTCTTTTTCAACTGGGAATTCCAATTCGTTCGTTAAGGATGACTCCATGGGTGAATTTGAAGTTGCATACCTGTCAGGACAGAAAACCACGGGGTACTGGGCTAAAGATGATGTCTCACTCGTTGGTGCTTCTCCAGTCAAGGGTTTTGAATTTGGAATTGCTGAAAAGACTTCATCCAAGTTTGGTATTTTGGGATTGAACTTCCCAAGAGACCCAAGCAAAGGTTACAGTTTCCCACAACAATTACACGATCAAGGAATAATTTCACGTAATGCTTATTCTGTCTTTTTGAATTCGAAGCTGGCAGGTCAAGGTTCGATCATGTTTGGTGCTGTTGATCATAGTAAATATGAAGGGGATTTAGTTTCCGTTCCTGTTCAATACAATGAAACTTTCCCAAGAATTTTAGTCAATGCTAGAATTGATGTCAACAACAACGGTAACTCAGTCAACAACGGCGGTAACGAAGTCGGTTACATCTTGGACACTGGTAGTACTAGATCCCGTCTTCCATCCTCATACTTGAACACCCTCACTCAATTACTTGATGGTACTTATGATGAACAATGGCACGGTGTTTCTTTCGACAGTTGTTCCAAGCTTGATTCTGTCGTCTTTTACGTCAACTTCTACGGAAAGACAATCTCCATCCCAGCCAAGTCATTAGACTATGGTACCCAAGGTGGAAGATGTTTGTTGCAATTGAACTTTGATGACGATTTGCTTATCTTGGGTATGGATGTTTTACGTAGTATTTACTTCCTTGTTGATTTGGATGACCGTGAAGTTCAATTAGCTCAAGCCAAGTATGGTGATGATAATGCTGATATTGAAGTTTTCCAACCTACTGGATCAGAACTTTTGGCTAGTAGTAAAAAGGATGCTAAGGTTCTCGAACAAACTTCCGGTGGTTCTATTATGGTCAACCCAATCAAGGCTGTAATTGTGGGTTTATTATTGGTTTGGTTTATTTAGATTTGTATAGATACAATTGTCTTTATTATATGTTTGATTTTTTTTTAAAAAAATAATACTTGATGTAGACAGCTCCTGGATAGTACCTACCTTTATTAAAATAAAAAGATCTATATAACTTAGAAAGCTCCTCTACCTCTACCTTGTGGAGGACCAGCTTGTTCTTGTTCATCATTTCTAATAGTTTCATCAACAGACAACAACAAAGTGGCGGCTTCGGTAGCACTTGAAATTGCATTTATCTTAACCAAAGCTGGTTCCCAAATGAAATTTTTCATATTATTACCCACCAGTTCCTTTTGGAAATCAATACCATACCAGGTTTCACCCTTGGCATGTGAACTTCTCAAGATATTTAATAATTCAATGGCATCCAACCCCGCATTTTCACAAAGTTGTCTTGGGATAACTTCCAATGCTTTAGCGAAAGCACTTATGATAAGCTGTTGCTTTCCAGCAATAGTTCTGGAATAATCACGTAAATATTTAGAAAGTTCCATTTCAATGGCACCACCACCAGCAACAACGGTATGGTTAGAAATGGCTCGCTTGACAATCATGATGGCATCATGCAAGGAACGTTCCACTTCAGCAATGACTTGTTCGGCACCCCCTCTCAAGATCAATGTACATGTCTTAGCTTCAGGACATCCCTTGAAAAGGTTATATCTGTCACCACCAATTTGGACCTCTTCAAAAGTGGCACAAGTGCCGAGGTCAGCAGGAGTGATGTCGGAACAGGTAGATTGAACGTTTCCTCCAATGGCCTTGGTTATTCTGTCCATGTCTTCATGAGATATTCTACCAGCACAGAATATGTTTCTGTCAGCGAAATATTGGGTGGCAAGATCACCAATTGGTAATTTTGAAAGCACAATGTTGGCACCGGTGGAGGTGATTTCTTCTAACTTATTGAAAATGATTTTCCATTCGGCATCGACTATGGATTGGTAATCTTTAACTTGTTCAACTCTGACTTCGGCATTGTCCTTTTCAGCCTTCAATTCTAATTCGACATTAAGACAGACAATCTTTGGGTTGGTGAAATATTTAGGTTGTTGTTCGAAACCAGCGTATGAGAAGGTCTTTTTGAACGCGACACCATCGATGAACAAGGAATCTTCAATGGATCCACCAGCAACTTTCTTAATCCCAATTAACTTTTCATCCAATTCCTCTTGGTCTAAACTTAATACGGCGTCAACCACCATTTTAGTGAAAAAATCAGAATTGTTACTAATCAATTTGGAACTCATGGCGGTCCTGGCACATCTTTCCAATAACTGTCTAAATTCGTCGGCGTCTTCCTTTCTAACGTCGACGGCCAATTCTTCAATCTTGTGCATACACAATTCACAGGCTTTTCTAAACCCACGAGTGATCAAATGGGAAGAAACGCCGTCTTCAATAAAAGTCTTGGCTTCTTTCAACAACTCACCAGCCAAAACAGTGACGGTAGTGGTACCGTCACCCACTTCTGCGTCTTGAGATCTCGAGATATCAACAAGCATTTGAGCAGCGGGATGGACAATATCCAACAACTTCAAAATGGTGGCACCATCATTGGAAATGGTGGTTTTACCCTGAGAGTTGACGATAAGGATATCACTTCCAAATGGGCCCAACGTTGGTTTTAAGGTCTCTTGGATGGCAAGACACGCGTTTATGTTGGTAAGAATTTGTCCTCTGCCTTGGCTGGCGTCGGTACCTTCCTTAAGCACAACAATTGTTGGTGTTTGATTGGAGAAGGCCATGGTTTGTCTACTTGGTTATGGGGATCTGTTGTAAGAAAATGGTTGCCATTTTTCTAAACTGTTCAGAAAATTTTTGACCATTGTAATTTTTCTGTGCACTGGCGCACGACCCCCATTTTTCCCACTAGAAAAGTTTTTCAGATTATCATCAAAGACTTTGCAACAATCTTGTCCACAGTAAAGAAGACGGAACATGTTTAGACAAATAGTCAATCCATGTGTTCAGCACATGTCAGTTAGGCACTATGCCGGCAAGGCCCCGGAAACCACAGGAAGAGAAGTGCAGCTTCTGAGTCGTCGTGTAATGAGAAAGATCCGTATGGGTAAAGCTCGTCCAGCAATTTTTTACCAGTTCGATACCTTGGTGGAATTAAGTGACGGAAGTGTTATAAGACGTCGTTCACAGGCTCCTAAGGATGAAATCAGAATGCTCGCCGACCAAAGAAACTCGTCATTATGGAACCCTACCCGATCAGATTTGATTGTCGATCAAAGTCATACCGGTAAGGTATCCAAGTTCAGAACTAAATATGGTGATTACGATAGAGGCGCGGGTTCCGAAGAAACAAACACCACGAAGAGCGACTTGCAAACAGAAGAAGAAAGAGAACAAGCCAGAAAATTGGCCGCCGAAAGAGAAAGAGAGTTCTTGGAATTCATGGGTGAAGGTGCCGAAATTATCACTCATGGTAAACTTTACGATAAAAAGGCTGACAGAAAGAAGTAGACAATGTGTGGATCTTGTAAATAGTATTAATAAATATGCTAGTCTATATACAGTTTAATACCTCTGGTTTGAACTGGCGTTCAAGAAAGCTGTGCTTATCATGTTGTTTCAACATCTTGACTATACGTTCTATAGTCCATCCGTTCCTTCTATATTCGGATATTGCCCATTGGAAACTTTCACTGTCCTCGTGTTTTACAGCTTCAATGGACAAGGTTTGTAGTATTTGTGCAGTGTTTTTCTGGGAGAATTTCAATATCTGGTTAAACTGGAGTGGCATTCCAAAGTGATTGAACCGAATTGGTTTCTGTGACTTTCTCACCTTCATGTAGCTCTGAATTGCATATCGAATGTCGAGTTCGGCTAGATGGTTAAACACTTCCACCGTGAACTTCTCGTGCACACTTCTATCATTACTTCGTAACATCTTCATACAAATTTCTTCAAATGCAGGTTGAAACTTCAGTTCATGGTCTGAATCATACTTATTGGCAATGTACTTGAATATGGAAACATATGACAACGCAGTAACATTCACATTATTAATCTTGCGTACCATGGCTAATGCTTCAGTATGTTTATCGTGACAAAGTAACTTTTTGATAATCCAATTCAACTCTTTTGGTTGAATGCCGGTTTGATGGTTGAAGATATTGTCTATAACTTTATCGGTCTTTGGTTCGTCGTTACGATGCAAGAATACTTTAAGGAACAGGGTTAATGTCAGCCGTCGAAGTGGATGTGTTAGTTTAGGGATTAGCGAGTCAAATTGGGATATATACTCGTCTCTTGTTCCATAGAATTCTAGCTGGAAGTCAACCATGGGGTCAGTGTCCAATACCTCTTGTGGTAGGTTCGTCAACACTTCAAGTATTAACTCGGTGGTTTCTGTGCTGTGTAGTAAGTTGAGAAGTGAATGCATACATCTTTCAGGCTGTACAAGCGAAGCTACCTTACTCCAACCAGCAAATGCAGATTCACAATCACCATTATTTAAATTGACATCAATAATCTGGGTGGCTATCTCATTCAATTGGGTTTGACTTATCTTTTGTAATTCCTCATTAGTTATCTTATTATACATGTAATTGCCAAAGTAATATCCATGAACATCTGAAGTTAGAAACTTCAAAATCATGGCAATTTCTTCATTTTCGACCTTAACTTGATTCATTACTTGTACAAGGCAGTATGAATTAACAGCAAAGTCTGCTTTGTTTGCACATAAAGCCATGATAACAAGCCTTACCATTTCATAATCTGTCTTCCTACTCAGGTTAAGTTGCAATAGAAACAAACTAGCCAACTGTAACTTCAGATCCCGTATACATGCAGTAATAATTTCTCTGCACAAATCTTTCTCATTCCTCGCCTTGAAAGCAAACACTTGTAATGCAGATAGCAATTCAAAATAACGCCATACATTCTTGCCTGAAGTGATCAACTCGACAATATCCTTCAATATATATTCCTTGATTACACTGGTATGACCAAACTTTTGCACAAAACTCTGAATCCTGTCATGATATCCCAAATCTTCAAGAAATACATTGTTAGACTGCTGATAAGTATGTACTAGCTTATTATGAAGCTCTAGGGCAGTCGCAGGAAGAAACAGTTCACTAAATATTGACTCTTGCTTGGGGTGTAGATTAGATGATGTCGTCGTGATTCGTCGTCTGAGTATTTGGGATAGTCGTATATGCGATCCTATATATATTCCCCTCCGACTGAGCCCCCTCATACTAACAAGTTTTCTATAGATCGTCTATCGTTGGTGTTGTTTGGTTACGGGCCTTTAAAGCTGTGGGAAATTTTTTTGCAGAAATAAAAAAAAAAAAAAAAAAAAAAGAAAATTAAAGGTCACGTGAATGATGAGAAGGTCAGGTCCAGCAACCAATGGTGATATTTGGTATAACTGACAGAGTATGGAGCTGTTACAAACACATTCAAGTATTCAGGACTTAAACAGATAGCTAGACATCAATCATAGGCTAAATTTAGACACAATTTGCAGCCCTCGCTGAACTTGGTCAATAGTTTAAACTTCCGCTACCATACGCAGGACCATTTTCCGCAACACATAAACCTCACTAATGGCAAATATCAAACTGTTTTATATGCATTTCTAGTCTATATAACCCTACAATCAAACCCGTACATAACCTTCTCAACATCTCTTTTGATATCATTCCAATCTTGTCTTCTTTGAACAAATTCGTAAATTTCCTCTTGTTTGAAAATACCATTAAACTTGGACAAATCAACAATTAGTTTCCCAATCGCTTTCGAATCTTCACCTCCAATCAAGTAGATATTAGCTACTTTCTGCAAGGATTGATATAATGGAAGCACTAATCTCTTGTTGGTTTTGATTTGAGTATACATAAAGTCATAATACAGATTAACGTCACTAATCAAGTTGGGGGCGCCTTCAACAGACACCGTCTGTGATTTGATTGTCTTGACAATGATTTGAAAGAATCGTTCCGCGATTTCTTGTTGAAATACATCAATGATTGACTTTTCAATGTTATTGTCTATGAGTAAGTTCATATTCTGTTCAAGAAGTGTAGTTGCCTCCTTGGCGGCAATGGTTGGTTCACCTGTGGCTATAGTCGTGTATTGATTAGTTAATTTTTCATCGTATATAGACTCGATTTGTTTGGTAAGTAGTTCAATACTGATGTTGAGTCCATCAGCAACATAATTGTCAATTAATGTTTCGATACGTTTCTTATTGGTTAATGATGGGTTGATTGCCGCGTCATCAAAAGTAATTTCCAGTTTATAAAACACGTCAATCATGCTCAAGATAACATCGGCCATGTTAATAACATCAAAGAATATAAGTAATGGTTGATTATCGTCTGATTGGGCCAAGTATTGCAATACTTTTTGAAATCCTGGCTTTAAATGGGTGATATAGATCGTGTCTATGATGTTGACGAATATCTCGTGGATCGACAGAAAGATATCGTTTCTAAGGGATATAATCGTATACGTTTTGAATAAAAGTAATCGCTGAATGGAACTGGATGCATCGTCTAAAATCGACTGGATAAGTGTAGGGTCGAACACCGAAGAGTCAAATGTTCTACGTATTGGTTTATCCGTATCAGTGTCACTTTTCGATGAAATTGCAAACACATTCTTGAAACTGGTCAAGAAATCACTCTTTTCCTCCTTATCGTTGCTTTCTTCGTCCACTTGGTTTGCTTGTTTCCATACATTGATTTGTCCATTGGTGTGAGTTTTCGTATACAGAACTTCTTCTCGGATATATTCTGCTATTATAGATTCGAAGTTCATGTCAATTAGCCCAATAATAGGCATATGATATTCCAGATCTTCAATCTTGTCCACAAGATCAATGGTGAGCTTGGAGTAGATTGCAGGAATAAAGGTATTATATAACTGACATTTTTTCGCTTGTTTGATTTGTACAACAATATGATCATGAAGTTGGTTCAGGATTATTTCTTCACATACTTTATACATGAGGGGAATTTCCGGTGGGAATATCCTGTGAATTATTGAATTTTGTCGATTAAGTATATCAGCAAGTTGGTTCACAAGTTGGTCTATTGCTTTTTCGTCTAATGCATATGCTTTGCTTTCCTCTTCCTGCTTGAAATACTCTATGCTAGGCATATCGGTACTATCCATTTTCTGCAAATAAAAGTCAATTAACCCTTGCAGGTTATTCAACTCAATCAAAACCATAACAAACTCCTTCATTTGATCATACTCTTCAAAATCAAAACACAAGTCAACTTCTCGCAACAACGCGTTTTCAAACAATTCAAACAATTCGTTGATCTTATCACTGACAAGTCTCCGATCGCTGGTGTAATCGATGTTATTATACATATGCAAACCACGTAACATCTTATACTGATCCATGGGAGTATTATACTGTTTCAACATTTTCAAATCGTTAAAACTCTTCAGTCTGATGTCCTTGTAATAAGGATACAAACATCGGTGGATCTTGAGCATTTGATACTTGGCATTCCGCCGAGATTTGTAGATGTAATCCACACAAGTCAATGGATCATCCAAGAATCTCATGACATCCGGATTCTTCTGAATGGTTTCCTTATTTATGATTATTGCGTTGTCCCATACTCCTAGTGAACGCAATAGTGATACCCATACTTGTGGGTCATTTACGGCTCGTTGACAATTTCGCGATACGTGGCTGAATGTTATTAGGTCAGGTATGGCAAGATATTGGACTATGCATTGGGCCACCAGGTAAGGTATAGCCTCTGGATTATACACTTCAATGTCTGAATTCCAAAGAAGGTTGGGCATGTCGGTATGTAAGTGTTTTTTGGGAGGAGGGTGTATATGACTAAATATTAACGAAAGTTGGGAATTAACTAGGGTATAAACTCAGGGTCCACGTAGATATATATGCTGGGTCAATGCTGGTTGTTTAGCGGATGTCAATGGTTCTGACACACTTTTGGAATATCGAATATAGGACCTTGGTCGATTGATCGGTAGTGTACACACCGATTACCTGGGTATACTAAAGCAACAGCTACTTGGTGTTGTCTAATCTGTTGCCAAACAAATCACACACGAAAATCAATACCAAAAAAAAACAAAAAGAAGCTTAAAAAAATTTTTGCAACAGAGACAACCAGACAGCACAGACTAATCAAACCATTTAAGGTACATACTACATATACTAACGCATCATGCTACGATGGAGGAGACTACTGCGACTATTCTTACCACGATGTCGCTGTTATCCCGCACACACCTTAATTTTCCCACTTGTATATAGACATTATTCAACTACCCTAGGGGAAAGGGTATCCAACTACATCACTAGCGTAATAAACCAAATACCGGCACTGCCGCATCCATCTACAACAGAAATAACCACCATGATCGAGAGAATACCGAATCTTACATCCGAACTAGCCACTACAGTCGACCCTGTACGTAAACTCTTTCTTGTGCTCATGCAAGATCCTGTCAATATCGATCCGCGAATTTATCTCCATTTCATACAAGATAATGTCCAATTACTTGATCCCCAGACAAAGCGATTACTCATCAAGAGGTTATTGTTTCATAGGATGTATGGCACGGCATGGGAGTTACTCGTGGGGGAGTTTTCCAGTTTGAATGACATTGAAGAGTTTATCACTGTTTGCCACACATGCATAAAGGATAATAGTATCATGCTTGTGGACTTGGTGATATCAATGCCAGAATATGATCACAAGTTTCATGATCAAATCATGGCTAGTATGGCATATAATTTTAAAGTGGAAAGACCAATTCTAGAACAAATATATCTGTTGTGGAGACAAGGAGATGGCGACTTTGACAGTATTACAAAGAGCATATACACCGATATCTTGTATTTGAAAGTGGCAGTTAGGAATGTTGATACTCCAGCAGATATACTAGTCAAATACCCCCAGGTGATATCAATCCCGGGCTGGTTGGGCCTGTTATTTGAACCCAGTCCAACATTTCTATCTCCTAACGAAGACAAACGAATTAGAGTAGTTGCACACTTGCTTAGCAAAAAAGTCCAATTCAATGACGCGGACGCCGTTCATATAATCAATTCAAAACAAGTTAAACCATACGTGGTATATCTGTTGTATAAAGGCACCAACAAGTATATTCAAAATTGGATAATGGATGAAGTGATGAGAACGTGCAAGTATCCCCAATTCACTATCGTGTTTGGGGAATATTTGAGTCAAATCCCACCAGATTTACTTTTGCGAGGATTGACCATTCAGCGTGATAATTCATTTGAAGATATGGTAAGTTCGGTGAATAGATTGATTAAATCAAACACTTTTGATGAAAAAATGTTGATTGAATTGTTCAAGACTTTACAAATGAATAGTACCCAGTTCCATCTACTCTTACGAAAACTCAGAAAGCGTCCCTTTTTAGCAAGAGCAGTAATTGGACAATACACCCGGGAAAACCCACCAGCAAGCGAGTTGATGTTGGCAACCACATATGTAAATAACAAACAAATACTACTTGAATTATTCCGAAGAGCAACATTGGATTTGGAGCTTGATCCTGCATTTCTTACTCAGGTATACAACAAACTCATTTATGTCACCATGACCAAACAGCATAATCTGAATTTTGATACTTTTCACAATACATTTGTGGAATCGTCGTATACTCGACGAGCAGAATTCCACAACACTATACGAGCATTAGCACAAACCTTGTCGTTAGTAGATGAACAAAAGTTAGCCACCATATTAAGTGCATTGATAAACTTTGTGCAAACCGACCAGTTTTATTATCGTGGAGATACTCATGGAATAAATTATCTAATTAGGGACATAATCAAAGAAATTATTCGATTTAAACAAAGACAAGACATGGATTTAGTTGCATTTATGAAACTGGTTGTTAAGAAAGTCAATGCTAGTCCCAAGTCATATCTTGTATATTGGTATTTCAAACTACTAGTATTGGAAAATCCTAGAAATGCATTTAAATTGATTGACAGTGATAATAGTGAGATTGGGAACTATTTCCCAGCTTTGGTATCAGGGATATTGAATCTGGCGAGTTTAGAATCGAACGCCAAGGTTAAGGTTCTTGTTGAGCTTATCAATTATGCTCACGAGAAAGGATTAGTTCAGCATTTAAATGTGAAAACTGCAGGTGAATTAATCAAATTAATCAAGAGTAAGTCAATAACTGCCGACACAATCGACTTGGTGTATCTGTTGGACAGTAAAGTTTTAAGAACAGCAATCAGACTACAGCTTGCCAAAATAAAACGATAGCATATTTATTTAACACATAGACATCAGCATAAATATAATACATAGAGAACTTATATTATCTCGTCATTATCATTACTGTTATTATTGTTGTAGTTTGTTTGTTTCCGTCGCATTCGTTTATTAGTAAACCAGACTCTGATTTGCAAGGGACTTACTCCACATTTCTTTGCGATTAACTCACGTTCTTTCCGGTTAGGCGATGGATGGTTGATGAATACACTTTCCAAGAACTCTTTGACAGAACTATCCAATCTTCTTCTTGTCTGCTTAGTTCTGGAAGAGTTGCTAGATGTCGCTTGGACGTCATCTTGATCTTGGTCTTCGTCATCAAGGGTGTTGCTGACAGAAATCGTAATTTTGCTTAAATGAAAATCATCAGGGGTAAGCGGTCGAGCTTGAAATGAGTAATTTTCATGTTGTGGAGTAAGGATATTCTTGTATAAATTCCGGATATAGAACTCGTTCTGGGGTTCTACAGTAGATGATAACTAATAAAAGATTTGGTTAGTATTTGCATCTCTTGTGTGAATACGGAAGTCAGGATTAACATCGGTATATACTAAAAAGCGGAATAGTATTCATCGTTAGGACTTTTTGGAAATGGCTTCTTCTGTCAAAATAACACCAATGCTTAGCTAGGAAGATTCAATTACCAGCATAGTTCTGGTCGTGCTGTGACAAATTATTTATGATATGAGAGTATTTCCGCATGGAAAATTTATTCCAGTACGACAACACAGGCACAGCAACACATATGAATGGTAAAGCCTACGGGGTTACGGACCCAATATCAACTGCAAACCCCACTCCAAGAGAAAACAGTCTTAATGACTCACTTATTCAAGAGCTAAAGAACCGTGGGTCATTTGAAAATGAACTGGCTACCAAAAAACGAGCAGAGGTTCTTGCATTATTTCAGAAAATGGTTCAAGAATTTGTTTACACAGTTTCAAAAAGTAAGAATATGAGTGACGGAATGGCTAAGGATGCAGGAGGAAAAGTTTTCACATTCGGATCTTACAGACTAGGTGTTTATGGTCCGGGATCAGATATTGATACTTTAGTAGTAGTTCCAAAACATGTTACAAGAGAAGATTTCTTCACCGTCTTTGAACAAATAATTCGAAAAAGGCCAGAACTACAGGAGATCGCTTCAGTTCCAGATGCATTTGTTCCAATTATCAAAATTGAATTTGACGGGATCTCTATTGATTTAATTCTTGCTAGACTTAACGTACCCCGCGTACCTTTGGACATGACATTGGATGATAAAAATCTTTTGAAAAATATTGATGAACGAGACCTTCGATCATTAAATGGAACTCGGGTAACTGATGAAATTTTGCAATTAGTTCCAAAACCAACTGTATTCAAACATGCATTACGTTGTATTAAGCTCTGGGCTCAACAGAGAGCTGTATATGGTAATGTATTTGGTTTTCCTGGGGGTGTTGCCTGGGCTATGTTAGTTGCACGAATTTGTCAATTATATCCCAACGCTGTTAGTGCGGTTATTGTCGAAAAATTCTTCAATATTTATACGAAATGGAATTGGCCACAACCAGTATTGTTAAAACCGATAGAAGATGGTCCACTTCAAGTAAGGGTATGGAACCCCAGGTTGTATCCTCACGATCGTCTTCATAGAATGCCAGTTATTACACCTGCTTATCCTTCGATGTGTGCTACTCATAATATTACTAGTTCCACCCAGAAAGTGATTATGTCGGAGTTAGCAAGAGGAGCGGAGGTGATGAACCAAATTAATTTGGGCAAGAGTTCATGGTCAGCTTTATTGGAGAGACATGATTTTTTTCACAAATATAAATTTTACCTTTGCATAGTTGCTGCCACGACGTCTTCTGACGAAGAGCATTTAAAATGGAGTGGATTAGTGGAAAGTAAATTAAGACATCTTGTGCTAAAATTAGAAGTTACTGATGGCATAGAATTAGCCCATCCGTATGTTAAGGATTTTAGCGATTCATATATTCTTGGAGAAAATAACCATATGGATGTGATTAATTCGTATGGAACGTTGCTGGGTGAATCTTTTCTTAGCACTCTCCAGAAGCCAGAGCTGGGTGATAATGAGGCAAAACAGATACATTTGACCAAGCTTTTCGTTGGGTTGGAACTAAAATTGTCAAAGCCAACCGAAGGTGTTAAGAAATTAGATATACAGAATCCTTGCTCGGAATTTTATGGTGTATGCAAGAATGCACCCACCTATAATGAACAAATAAATTTTATTCAGATTAAGAATGTTAAACTATTTGACCTTCCAAGCGACGTCTATATCGAAGGTGAGGCTAGACCTATAAAATCAGGAAAGAAAAGAAAGAAGAATGTAGATAGTGATAGTCAAAAAAGACCACGCAGCACAATGTCTCCTCCGCCTGTTTCTGTGGATAAAGCCCACTGAAATCCTATCTAGAATTTATTTTATCTAGAGATTGTATATTTTAATTAAACATATATATATCCTCAACAGTCCCTGAAAGGATTGTTTCATTTGCTCTGTTACTAAGATCGGTGTTATTGTTCTCTGCTTCTATATCTAACATTTTGCACAACCAATTGACGAAATTATACTTCGCACCCAGGCTCAATATATACTGGTTATATGATTCAGTATATTGATTCCAAATAGCTTTATTTGGTTCATCTATCCAAATTTGTGCTAGTAGGCATGAAAGTTCTCTTTGGTATTCCGGGTTTGATATTGATTTTGTGTAGAAAGATCTAAATGCCATGAACGAGTTAATAGGTTTCAATTTTAATTTAGGTCGTAGCTTTTTTCTCTTCTGTTCCTGGAGTGGGGCCAACTCTTTTACTATATTATATCTTAGTAGTACTTTTTTCAATTCCTCACTGGGTTCCGGAAGTTTTGGTAGGGGCATACTTCTGAATTCATAATTCCCACTTCGCTCTGCTAAACTCGTATCAAGGCGCAAAACATTGCGCTTTCTCTGAATCTTAAACAAAGAAATAAATCCCTTCGGGATAGATCGCTTGTTTGTTTTTCTTCTCTTCATTTTGCTCTATAAGAGAATATTCTCTATTTAATTGTATGCAACAGGTTTGTGTGACAGTTACAAGTTTAATGAACTTCATATGAATATCGTTTGTACGAAAAAGATTATACAACGGTATGTTCTGCTCTTTTAATCAGGGGTCTTAAATATAGCTCAATATATTACCTATATAGATTAACCGTGTACTTCAACTGATATATTTCAAATAGATGCTGTGGTAGAATGTAGTGTAACTATACGTTTAAATATTACAAAGAATATATTAAAACACAAATAAGATAAAATAACAAACAATTATATGAAAATGTGGAAATTTGGTTCAAAGAAACACTAAAGGGAATGAGCCCACTTGAATAGACTAATAACCTTTAAACTTTAGAGGTCATCCCCTCTTTCTTGTGTAATACAGATAATGGCGTTGTGAGCGCACCATCTCGCACTAATCAACAGATCGAAAATATACGAGCTGCATAAGCAAGATTTCGATCTTTTGCCTGGCAATTTGTTCATGCTTCCAATAAGTTGAACTTAGGGCCGTACTTCTGGTTAATCTGTATGATCAAAGTCCTCCTAATTGTGAGATACGTATCTTAATGAAACTAACGGTGGTTTCATCCTGAAACTGGGCTGGTTGTGGATCTATCTAAACAAATGTTGAGAGTTAATTTGATACTAGATAAATAATACATAAGATATAACTAACTATAAATACCCTGTGTAATCATCTGAAACTGGTCATACAAGCGCGTGTACATGCTTCCAAGACTTTTTCCTATTAACATAGCATCCACGTACTCGTCTGCTTCATCTCTTGATAGTTGTAGTTGTAATCTCTGCTTAAGTAATACACTGGTGTTGTCCCCATTGTTGAAACATGGTAAGCTTGAGTCTTTTTGCATTAATTCAACAATATCTATAATTTGATCACTATTTTCACGTAAGGAGTTAAAACACTCCTTGCATAACATCACAAATTTAGCATAAGCTGGGCTATCCAAACCACCGAGTAAGTCGACATATTCTGAAGTGAGTTTGAAGGGAGCAGCTTCAAATCCAACACTTCCTGGAGAATTTGAAAGTAGAAATCCAAAATCTATATGAATTATGTGTCCTTCATTGTCGACCATGATATTTCCATTATGTCTGTCTTTAATTTGTAAAATATAGCATATAATAGAATAAGCAGCCAAGCTGCTTGCAAAGTTATCCTGTGCTTGTTTGAACTTGGGTGAGTCATGCTTCCCAAATAATCTTTCGTAGTAATCTAATAGAGTGATGATTCTTCCTTTTGAATTTTCGCCATTTTTTACAGAGATTTCAGTTAGTGATTTCTTGATCGAATGGATGGACATAGCATTTGTGATAGTCTCAACCAAACCTGTATTTGCACTAGTTATTAAAATTTTCATTCGTTTAGTCCAGGCACTGATGCCATCAGCTTTCCAGATGTTTGAAATCATAGTGATCAATTGACAAGCAAATGCTTCCTGAGGGAGGTCGTCACCATTTTTGGCGATTACCGAACAGATATCCCAATTCTCTAAGTGTCCGTAGGCACTAGAACTTCTAATTCTCTCCTTTTTGACATTCCAGTCTTCTGCTAACTTGAAGTCATTTTCTAGTTTTCGTTGTCCTGCACTTGGAACATCACCTTGTAATTGGTTGAACTGTTCATAATTGATATATTCAAACTGATCTTGAAGGGCAATCATAGACTCAACGATCCTCGCCTTGATTGCAAGTGATTGGTCGGAGTTTGCTTTTCCTGCACTTTCCAATTGTTGTAACATTACAGATGCTATCCTCATTTGATCTGCTAATACTTTGGTAGACATTTCGGAGGTATTGATTGGATTAGGTGATAAAATCTTCGGATTGTTATTTTTTACGCCGTCACTAGTGACTCCTGCTCTAGAACTTCCAGAACGTTTCATTGACATGGGCAAGTCTCCCAAATCGGCTTCTTCGTGATCAGGGGTAAGAACCCGGACTGGAATATCAATATCTTTCAATGCGGAGCCATGGACCTCGGTTTCTGAATTAGCAGATGATCTCAGAAAGTCTCCAACTTTTGATTCAACTTGGATTCCACCTGCCCTCTTTGCAATTATCTTTTCGTTATACTCAGTAAATGGATTAAAGTCAATTTCATCGCTTAAAAACTCGATAAGAAGCAAAAATGGAACTCTTTCAGCTGAATTCAAAACACAGGCTTCATTGATGCTTAGCTTGAGTATTTTATGATATTTCTTATTCTTATTGCTAGTGAAAGGAAGCAATTGTGGAATGTCTATTTCGGAAGGAAGAAGCGTGTCATTGATAATAGACAATTCTGCTCGCAATGCAGATAATCTGGCCTCTTTTGGAACTTGTGAGAGTCTGATGGATATATTTTGTAAAGCCATAATGAACTGGGTTTCTTTCTTAGTATAATTTACTTGGAGAACTTTCAATAGTTGATTATATGTAGGAACGGAACTTGACTTAGGAATATGTATGCTCTCTGTTAGCCTTTGCTCAGACAGATTTGGAGAAATCAAAAGTGTGGATTCGGACTCTGCAAGTGATAAGTACGGTCCGCTGCCGCTTTCTGACATTGTTGACAAGTTAGGCAATGAATGAGAGTTCATATTGTACACCTCTCCAGAATTCAAAACATGGGAAGTGAATTTGGATCTACCTTCAGTTATTGGCAGTGCAATATTTCTCTTCTTTGATTTTATAATGGTATTAATTCTCAAATTTTCTTCAACGGAAGAATATTTCATAGGAGATGTTTTGGTATTGGTCATTTCAAGTTTTAATAATTCTTTTTCTAATTCAATACTTATTTTGCGATCTCCATCATCATCTGTAAGCATTTCTGATTCGTCAGACAGCAATGATATGCTGTTTTTCTTGGTCACTATACGCGGAAGAGAAGCGGAGCGATGATGCAGCGGGCTCTTATTCGCGGACACAGGTCGTTCATCATCCGAGTGGGACACAGGGTTCAAATCCGAGGAAATCCTTGTGTTTTTCATTGTTAGATTTCTTGTTAAAGACTTCTGAAAGTTTGCCAACTTGAACACAAATGATCGCTGCTGTTTTCCTTGCGACTTTACCAATGCTGACGCATAATCGTTGAATCGAGGTGCCGCAACTGATGCTGCAATAGCACCACACAATACCAAAGCTGGCTGAATATTCTCTCGAAATTCACTCTGCTTCATATGAGGACTTTCAGCATTAAACATTATATTTTGCAATTTACTGATGATGTTTCGCACAGTTTGAAAAGAATATGATTCAGGGTCATTTCTCAATTCAAACACGTACGCCTGTAGATGCCAAAATACAATCAAGCTAAAATGTGGAAATCTGGAACTGTAATCGAGCAAGAATTCCTCAAGAGCCATTGAGTTGGTTTCAAATGCAACTAGCAATTGAACTAGTTGTGGTATGAAAAACTCTAATTCGTCGTAGCTATATGTGCGAAGCTTCCGCACAAGCTCATACTGTATACCTATATGGTCGCGGTAGTTCTTCAAATTATGTATGCATTGGAATGCATTAAATGAGGTGGATCTTATGGTATCTAAAAGCATGGCATGTTCGTTTGGAGACTCCATCTTTGCATGTTTGAAATGATGAGGTGTTTGCCGTGAAACTCTACGACGATAATTGATTTTCAACGAGTTTTTATTATATGCAGTACATTATTCTAAAACTTACACAACAAACTTAATATTAGTAAACAAAAATATCAGAGAAGTTCCGCTTCTGCGAAACAGTTCTATTCATTCTATATAATCCATTGAACGCCACTTATTCCTATCTAGACCTCTTCGTGCTTCTCAAAAGCAGGAATATGAAATTTTTCCTTGAACATTTGTCCAGGAACAATAGGCGCAATGTCAAATAACCGCTGTTGCAACGTCTCAGGACTGTCGCTCAAACTAAACCTCTTGTAGATGATATATTCAAGGTCTTCGGCACCTTGGTCCGAGTCATCCACTGGTCTGAAAAGTTTAGGGTGAAACTCGACCCCCTCTTCTTCACGCTTCTTGGCTCTCTGACGTTGTTCATTCTCGACTTTGAATTTCTCTTCTGTTGCAAGTGTGTGGTCCCGTTTCGCAAGTGCATCTATGGTATTTTTCCAAAGTTTGCGAGATTCAAATTCCCATTGTTCTTCAAGTGGTCTTACCTTCGGTTTCAAAGTTGATGATTTGTTTGTATCAAAGAGTATCTGCTTTTTTCCCGTTTTAAGATCTCTGATTTCCATCACATCATTCCACTTTCCAGAAACTTGATACAAATGCTCTGAGGTTTCTGAATTCTTTACAATTCCTTCAATAGCATCATATGTTCCACTTATGAACCCTTTGGTTTTAAACTCAATTTCGGCCTCGAATCCAGTTTTAGCACATTTCACGTGCATGCGATCGCCAAGTTCAGTCCTCATAGTTCCAAAAAGAATACCTCTGCAGTACACGTTAGGTTGATTCATGACGTACAATTCATCTTCCCACTTGCCAAGTGTTACGTGGCCACTACCCTCCATAATTGCTGCAGATGAGTTTCCTAAAAATCTTGATTTCGGAATCACCACTCCATCCACTCTAAGCTTCTCGGACGGAATCAAGTAAAAATATGAGGATTTGGGTGGGTGATGGGAAGTTTGTTCAGCAATATAATAGGCAGATTTTCCATCTTCGAGATTGTCCCAATAGCATGAAAATACTTCCCCAAGAACTGGATTTAGCGGTTTCTTAACTGCTTTGGGTGCAATATGCCAGCTAGCTAAATACCATCGAAGTATACCAATAAACCTTTGCAAAGGGTCAGCAGTATTATTAGCTTCTAACAATAAATGAGGAATTTGGAAAAAATTGGTGATTCTTTCGAGCATAGACTTCTTTTCCAATATAAAAGTTGGAAGGGTAATTTTAGTCAAGTCCATTCCAGGTCTCAATTGAGCAATGATTCCTAGTAAGATGTTTTGACCCTCGTTGTCAACTTCATCAATATCATCCGAATTCTGTGTTGATGTGTTCTTTCTATCATTGCTGATATGCTCCTCTGCTGATCCCAACAATTTCAATTTATCTAACTTTGAAGTTAATCCCATCTTTGTGTGCTGTTGAGTTTAATTGCTGAGTTTAAAATCTGTTCAATTATTATCGTAACACCCCTCGCATTTACCTCGCTGTTAATTACTTGGTTAATGCACGACCGATCAAAATCAAAAGTCCCCCTCAGCCTGAATGAATTGCCCTTAAAAACAAGGAGGTAACTGTGCCAAAACGGAGACTCCGGAAGGGTTGTACGAAATTGATAAAGTAAAAACTTTCCTAATATAGGCATATGCTGCTCCATATTGACCTTACCGTTATAAATTCCCAATTGGGAAATTGGGTGCTTACCCCGCCTAGTAACTACCAGGTACAATAATTAGTTCTATTGAAGATAAATAATGCTTATGATCTCCTAGTTAGGGACCGTTTGTAATTCATTGATCCCTATTTTTAATTATATTCTACGAAGAGCAAAGGAATTAAGTTTACGTAAATAAGTTTAAGTTCTTATCATTGTTTGCCACAGTCATTGAATGAGTAGATATCGGTATTTAACTTTTTAGTTTTTGAGAAGAATAAGTCAACTGGAATACTATCTCTATATAGAACTAACATTTTTGGACTGTATCATCTTTAAAGCTTTCTTTTTTTTTGAGCACTGACGCAGAGGCCATAGCCAGGCGATTCATGTGACAAATTTATTGTGCAGAATGCGCGTATAATTTGTATGTTTTTTGCTTGCTTAAGTTATCTTTGCGGCATGCAATATCAAGAGCACAATGAACAAAAATATAGGTACACTAACCCAGATTAATCAACGATTATTAATACATATTTCTACTCTTTCCACATTCCCTGTCTTTGACCCGGAAAACATTAAAGAAGAGATTGATAGTTATATCTCTAAAGTGAAATTCATAATAGAAACGGAAACACTTGGGGAAGATGAGAAGGACCTAATACGTCGTATCAACGGCCATGCAAAGGTATTGGAATGCATTCTATCTGAAAGAATTGCACTTCAAGAGAGTTCTTTGGGTATGTTACGGGTCGAGGAAGCTGTGCAGGAAGGAGCTGACCTGTGTAAGCGGGGAAGTCGTAGGTTGGTAAAACAACAACTAGATATATTGGAGAACTGGTACAATCAAAACTTACAGCATCCATATCTAACGAGAGAATCGATTATAGAATTGATGAATTTGACGTCTCTATCGAAGTCGCAGGTACAAAACTGGTATGTATCGCTTCATTATTATAGACTACTAGTACACATTTTACTAATAAGAATTAGGATTTCCAACAGACGGAGAAAGGAGAAAAGGACAGAAATTGATCCTGACCTTGCTCCACTTTTATTGTAATTTTATATAGTCTAGCACCAATAGTTCCACAATCGGATGTATACAGGTTTCAATCGATTTGCTTCCTTTTCTTCGGTCATTTCAGCTTGTAATACTTCGACATCGACAATTCTTCTACCTGACTCCAAGTCAATATCAGCAGAACTCAAATAAATTCTCCAGTTTCTAGTATATAACTTGTGTCCTATGTAGCAAATCAATATGACAAAAGCTCCAAGGTAATTCTGAAAGAAAGATTCTGCACTTGGCTTGCCATTACTGTGAAGTGGGAATAAAGCAACCCAGAATTGAGCAATTAGGACAAGAATAAGGAATGCCATTGAGTATAACGACCCCCAGATCCCAGTAACAGAGGTAAATACCAATTCATCGAGAGATCTTTTTTGGGTCCTCATAGCTCTTCTGAATCTAAAGTGACACAAGGCGATATTAAACCATGCGAAAACAGTTGCTAATCCAGCGACACTTAATAACCAGTTAAATACAGTACCTTGATCTTTGTAAGCTGTAAGGAAGCAAAGTGCTCCAAAGATAGCGGAAATTCCCAAAGCCACCAATGGACGACCTTTACGATCAATGTAAGCAAACCACAGAGGTGCTAACCCTTGTGCACCCAAACTTTGAATGGTACGTGAACATCCAAAAACTGATGAATTTCCAACTGAAACAACAGCGAATAAAATACAAGCATTGAAAATGGAAGGAAGAGCTTTAATACCGGCATCCTTAATGGCAATGACAAATGGTGAAGCATTGTTTCCTGAACCACCAAGTAAATCTGGGTGGTTATAAGGAACCAACAATCCAATGAAAGTTAATGTCAAATAGTAGAATAAAAATACTCTCCAAAAGACTTGCCTAATGGCTTTTGGAAGCACTTTTCTTGGATTATCGACTTCAGCTGCTGCCAATCCAACCATCTCTGTACCGGCAAGGGAATAAGATGCTGTGATAAAAGTAGTTGCTACTCCTTTGAATCCATTGGCAAATGCACCGACTTTCCAATTCTTGTTCCCAATAAATTCATGCTTTGGACCACCTCCACAAACTAAGATAACACCCAATATAATGAATCCAACAAGGGCGATAATCTTAAAAATTGTCAAGTAGAACTCAGCTTCTCCGTATCCTTTGACTCCAAAAAGGTTAATAAGAACAATCGCAACGTAGAAAATTGCAACCCAACTGACTGGATTTATAGTTGTGTTCCAAAATTGCAAACACATTGCAGCAGCAACTAATTCCAACGGGAACACAAACAACCACATGATAGCATAGTTCCACCCAACAGCAAAACCCCATGATGAATCGACAAATCTAGTTGCATAAGTAGAAAATGCCCCATTAACTGGGAATGCAACACATAATTCCCCCAATGCATGAACCACACAGAAAACCATGGTTCCAACCACACCCCATGCAATTAATAAAGCGGCTGGACCACCCATATACAATGCTTTCCCACTACCGACTAAAAGTCCAGTCCCTATACTTCCTCCCAATGCAATCATTTGAATATGCCTATTTTTTAATTTTCGATGTAAATCTTCACCGGTGGTACCCAAGTTGGCCCTTTCGATATCCGAAAGATGGAGCTTGTGTGATGATTCAAGTACATCAGATACCTTGTCGGCTCGCCTAAATGAATCTTTGAAGTTCTGCCATTTTGAGGCGTCTTGTGGAGATTCTATTTGAGGACGGCCATATTGTTCCATCAGTGACAGGGCCGAGGATTCCTCGATTTTGCCGTGTTCTTTACTCATATTGTCGAGAATTAGATAAGGAAAGTTATATCTGTCTCAGATAGCAAGATTACAATCAAGAAAATCTTACTGATAATAGAGAATATGGGGAAATTGTAGGAAATATATAAAAAAGAAAGAGAAATTTCTTTATTAGTTTGCATCATCCGAGAAACAATACTTGGAGTCATTTCTTTTGCCTGATCAAATTGAAGATTTTTTTTTTTTCACTGTACCGTTAATTTCTCCAAAAAAATGACTCTTTTGCTAGGCAGTTAGAAAGGAAATAACTAAGCTTGGCACATAATCGGGCCGCTGAAGTTAAAGAATGCAATGTAATTGGTAGGTGCAAGTGGAGAAAACAATCTCGGGGCGGATTTTTCGCACGGCATTATCATAAAACCTCAAGGCAATTGCAACTTTTGTGGTGAATTTTTTTTTCCTGTACGTCTTCTTAAAAGCGCTTGTCTTGAATCCATTTTCCCCCTTGTCTATTCTCATTAACACTGAAAGAACATTCCATCAGATCAATTTTGAAGGTTATCAAAGCATGAGATCTGTAAGTAGTATGATGTAATTTAGCGGTCACTATGTCATGACCAAATCAAGCCACTCGTTTAAAATAAAGCCGCTTTAACGGAAAAAATCGATTGAGGCTGGTGCAAATGTCGTCGTACACTATGTCGCACTAATGTCGTGTCCTCATTAAAATCCGTTAATCTCAAAAGATGAAAATATAGGAAGAACTAAATAGTAGAATTATGTGAAACAAGTTTCAGAGACATATCAAAAGGGGGAATCTTTGATTATTTATAGTTTACTCGAATTATTAGCCGTATGTAATCTGTTATTAAGAAAAAAAATTTAAACGTGTTGTGAACCCGCGCTTATTTACGGTTATGTTCGGTTATCTCAGGGACTATGAACGTTTGAGCCTCACGAAAATAGTAACAAAAAATTAATGTGGCCATAGTATAACATTTAACTAGACTAATCCGAATATGTAATTCACGTACAGCAAACTATTTTGCTCTTGATTGATGTTATTAACATATTTGTTTAGATATTTCTTTTTTATGATAGTACTACACATTAGTATCTTCGCAAAATCTTGCGAATTTTTTTGCGCAAAAATTAATCCGTATCAACGTATTTATCTAAATATGAACGAAATATTACTAAAATAGTAGAACAATAGCTTGAGGTAAGGGGTGTATTTTCTATAACGGTGTGATATGTATCGAAGTATGTGTTTTTCATTATGGGTGACTTCAGTCCCCGCCCAAAACTTATAATCGATGATAGGGGATTGTATGTATGATAGGGGATTGCATGATGAGGGTTAAAAATATTCATTTAAAGATAACACAGCAAATATCAAGTTTTTAGTAAGGTGTAAAAACACACCAAGATGAAGTTGTACTGCTTCTACTACCAGATATGAGGCGTAATTTACGACTACTCAGATCTAAAAAAAAATAGTTCGGTGGTAATTTTCCGAGACTAAAGATGTTACGAAACGCTACCAGAATGAACCTTGGCAGGAAAGAGAAAATAATGACATTAAAACGGTATCGTTAAAAATATTTTCTATTATTCTGTCAATCATTATTTGAGTGGTTGTAGATAACAGAATACGAATTCCGGAAATAGAATGTTCAGAACGATTAGTTGGTGTAAAGAAGTGGGGTGTATCCACCTCCCCACTTTTGGCTACGGACTTGTAATAAATGGCTTATGATTTAGTTCGGAAAAAACTTTATTGTTCAAGGTACGTTTCTGCCACACATACACAATGAGAGGTAAGAACCACTTGAGCGCAGCCGCTTCAAAACGTTGATAAAACACTTCTCGGGAGTATTTCCAGAAGAAGTGGATTTCTATTTTATCTTCTATCCACACAAGACACACTTTCAAGGGATGTCCCATTGACGTGATACCCCTTTTCTATGCGTCTCGGCAATTCCTTTCAAGGAAAGAATTCCAGAGTAATTGAAATATCATAAAAAAAATAACTATAAAACTCACAGGAACAATCGGGTTTATGCCACCCCCTCCGGCTTTGTGATAGGAAATTCCAAGTGGATTTTGAGATTGGTTTGGAAGAGTCCTTACTCATTTAGGGAGCAGATTTTGGTTGTTTTGTAGTTGTGTTTCAATTTTATTAGAGACAGAATCAACTTCTGGTTGGTCTGAAATGGGAGCTGGGATCAAAAAACAAACTCAGAGAGCGCAATGAAGCCAAGACCGAATCCTTGGATCTAAAAAATTCCGTGTTTAGATCGTTAGCAGCCATGCTTAGATCCAGAACGCAGCAGCGCCTCAGTTTAAAAAAAAAAAAATTAAAGTTAAATCCGAAACGAGCGTTTTTTTCTTTTTCGGTTGCTTAGAAATTCAAGTCCACTTGAAATCATCTTTGTTCTAGTCGCTAATACTTGAACTTTTCTTAGACACTTCCCATCCTTCCGATATAAAAACAACAGGCTAGCCACTTCATATTCGATAGTTTGACTATTTTTTCATCTGAAATTTGCTATTGCATACAATTATATATTATTTAAACAGTTCCCCCCCTAATGTCGTTTGGCCAAACTACTCCCTCTTGGGACTTTGATTCTCAAAGCCATATCATCGACACAAATATGGTCCACTCTGCTCTTCAGTTGAACCAAGAGAATATTAATATGTTCAATAACCAACAACCAGCTGAAGTACCTTACCATCAGCCTTATGGTAATATTCCAGTTCAAGCAACACTGTCTCAGTTTCCAGATTGCGAAGTGATTGATTCTATTTTATTTGACCCAGAAGATCCCAGAAACTATGAGACGATCCCCCAAGATATTCAAATAGACACTTCTAATGAATCGTCACCTAATCTTGTCAACTCCATGGTGTCACCACAAACGTCAGATACTTCTGGTATGGGCGGCTATGAAACCAAGGTGGTTCCTCTGAATGGGCGCTCTCCTTCTAGCTCGTCCGAGTCTGACAAACCAACAAAAAAATCAAAATCCAGAAGACAGTTGCTGGATGAACAAGACGCTGCTTTGATAGCTAGAGATGATTCCGAATTAACCGAGGAAGAGTTGCAATTAAAACGTAAGGCTCAGAACAGAGCTGCCCAAAGAGCATTCAGAGAACGTAAACAAACCAAATTAAAGGAATTGGAAGCAAAGTTATTACAAAGTGAAGAGGAAAGACAGAAATTAGTTGAAGAATTAAACTTGATCAAGAAGCAGAACATTTCCATATCGACCGAAAATGAAATTTTGCGATCTAGTAAGATTAGTCAGGGTGGCGTTAATAGTTCCATCAGTCAAAACAAACCAGTAACTACTTTCAATTTCCCTCAAAATCAAGATGATTTCATAGAACGTATAGTCAAAGGAACAGTACATCATGTGTTCCCAGAAAGCAAGAACAAAGTTTACGATAATGACGGTGATAAATTGTTAGCTTTGGGTGCCGTTTGGGATTATTTGCAAATCAAAGCAGAAGAAGCTAATCTTGATTTTAATTCTATTGATATCAACGAGATCATGGAAACCTTGAGAGGACATGAGAGATGCCATGGGTTTGGACCGGCATACCCCTTAGACTTGGTGAATCAGGCTATTCAATCCAGTCTTCACCAAGCCTGAGAAACGAAATTGATTTTTGTTTTGTTTGACATTTATAGTTTGCATTTTTTTTTTTGTATAAAGTATTGTAATTCAAATATTTAACTTAATAATATAAGGGCACATTTTATATACAGATGTAATTGTAATCTCCACCTTGGGTCTAATATATGGAGAAACACTACAGAAAAATCATGGTATGCCAAAATTCCTTGTTTTTGATAATAAGCTTCCCGCTAAATATGAGGAGAATCTTCTAGAAATTTTTGCGGGTAGTTTTTTTTTTTCTGGTCTTTTGACTGCCAGTTTAAAAAGGCAGCCAAATTTTTTTCAACACCCAGACTACCCCCCACCTCCCTCCAACAGCAATATCCCAGTGATAATGACAACAGCAGACGAATACAAAGCAGAAGGAAACAAGTACTTTGCATCCAAAGAGTTTGAAAAAGCAATTGAATCTTTCACCAAGGCAATTGAAGCCCTGGCTGAACCAAATCACGTTTTATATTCTAATAGATCAGGATCTTACGCCTCCTTGAAGAACTTTGGCAAAGCTCTTGAAGACGCTGAAGAATGTGTCAAGATCAATCCAGCCTGGGCTAAGGGTTACAACAGAGTTGCTAGTGCTCACTTTGGTTTAGGAAACTTGGAGAATGCCAAGGACTTTTATCAAAAGGCTTTGGATTTAGATGCTCTGAATGCTATGGCTAAGGATGGTCTTAAATCAGTTGAAAATGCCATTGAAGCTAGAAACACTCAACCTGATATGGGATTAGGTGCTATTTTCTCTGATCCAAATCTTATCACTAAGTTGAGAAACAATCCAAAGACTGCTGAATTAATGAAGGATCCAGAATTAGTACAAAAGGTTTTGAACATTCAATCTAATCCAAAGGCAAATGCTACTCAATTGTTAACTGATCAAAGATTGATGACCATCATGGCTGTTTTGATGGGTATTGATATGGACTTGCCTGATATGCCACCACCACCACCACAACCTTCGACATCTGCACCTGCCAAGGAAGAACCTAAGGAAGAGCCAAAACAAGAGCCAAAGCAAGAATCAAAGAAGGAAGAACCTAAAAAAGAAGAACCAAAGGCTGCTCCAGCACCAGAAGATGATCCAGAAGATGTCATTATGGAAGATGCTCCACAAGAAAACCACAAGGAAGAAGCAGATGCCGCTAAAGCTGAAGGTAATGCTTTATATAAACAAAGAAAGTTTGATGAAGCCATCGCTGCTTATGAAAAGGCTTGGAATTTAAATAAAGACATCACCTACTTGAACAACCGTGCTGCTGCTGAATTCGAAAAAGGTGACTATGATGCTGCTATTGCCACTTGTGAAAAGGCGATTGATGAAGGTAGAGATATGAGAGCAGATTATACATTAATTGCCAAATCGTTTGCCAGATTAGGTAATACCTATTTGAAAAAGGATGACTTACCAAACGCGGTCAAGTACTTTGACAAATCTTTAACGGAACATAGAACACCTGATGTATTGAACAAGTTGAGAGCAACCCAACGTGAAATCAAGGTACGTGAAGCTAATGCTTATGTTGACCCAGAAAAGGCTGAAGCTGCTCGTTTGGAAGGTAAGGAATATTTCACTAAGGGTGACTGGCCAAATGCCGTTAAAGCATACACTGAAATGATCAAGAGAGCTCCTGAAGATGCTAGAGGTTACTCTAACAGAGCTGCTGCATTAGCTAAATTATTGTCTTTCCCTGATGCTATCCAGGATTGTAACCTTGCTATTGAAAAAGATCCAAACTTCATTAGAGCTTACATTAGAAAGGCCACTGCTCAATTAGCAATGAGAGAATACTCCAAATGTATGGAAACATTGAATGAAGCTCGTGACAAGGATTCTGCATTAGGTGGTAAGAATATTCACGAAATTGATCAATTACTTAACAAGGCCATTTCCCTGAGATTCCAAGCCATTGAAGGTGAAACCCCAGAACAAACTATGGAAAGAGTATCCAAGGATCCTGAAATTGTTTCTATTTTACAAGACCCAGTTATGCAAGGTATTTTAGGACAAGCTAGAGATAATCCAGCTGCTTTACAAGAACATATGAAGAACCCTGATGTTAACAAAAAGATCAATATGTTGATTGCTGCAGGTGTTATTCGTACCAGATAAATGGGGTAAATAAGTTTGTTTATTGTGTATAAAATTTAATTCAATTCGGAAAATTAAACATCTCAGATTAATATATATATATATATATATAAAACAAAAAGTAAAATCATATACCCAAATTATTGTCGAAAAAGAAATTGGGTAAATTATTCATCTGATTGAAATACATATTTTGCATACCATCGGTAGTGATATAATCAGAGATAGCGTCATAAGATTCTTCAATTTTGCTATCAACGGTGGGGTAGCTTGATGCAGGGGTAGGCTGGGTTTGAATATTAGATGGATAATTCACCGTTGATTTACCAAATGCTGGAACCTGAGTTGGACCATGGGTAGACATGTCAGGAAGACGCACGTTTGGTTGTGTTGATACTGTGGTATTAGTGTACATGGGTGATTGGTTATGACTTTGTGAATTTGTACTCACGCTCAGTGAAGCACTTGAGAATGAATTTCGGAAAACGACCCCTATAGGAGATGAACCAAATACGGAGAATAGCTTGGATTTGAATTCTTGTTTTGACTTGTATAAATCAGGAAACATAGAATAAAGGTCTTTGAAATGCTCTTGAACCCGTTCATTAGAACTGAATACTTTTGAGCCAGTTTGATTTTCAAAATGTCGGATGACGACTTGCAATAATAACATAATGGCAAACCCAACCGCCAAATCCTTCTTGGCACATAAGCTCTCCAAGGGACTTTCTCCCATTTCCATTGTTATTTTGGAATACTGCATTGTGTATTCGAGTAGTAAATTGATATCGTTGATAGCCTCGGGCATGTTGGGATGATTCAAAACTGAAGCAGAAAGGATAGTAAATGCAGCACACGAGAAATATAATACCAGACCAAAATATGTTATAGTAGTATTTTCAAGTGCAAACTGTTTAATTAAAATTAATATTGTCCTAGCTGAATTCAATGATATATTTCTAAACTTTGTAAGGCGTTCATCATCGTAATCAATATTTGGTGATTCTAAAGCAGCAGGAAGCCTATTAATGATCAGCAAATGTAAAAAGTAGGTCACATATATCGTGGTCAAGTTTTCTTTTAAATTAACAGGCATCGAAGGCGGAAAGAAATGAAACTGGGGATCATTATAAAAGCGTGGCCTGTCCAGTTCTTTGAAAAGAATAGCTAAACGAAACATCTCATCATTTAACTCTTCAATATTGGAAGCCAATACTTCAAAGTCTTGCCCTTGGTCTGCCGCCGTAAAAAGCAAGCTATACGATTTTGCCCTTATCCTTGTCAATTCTAACATGGCATAGTGATTAACCAACATGGGCTCTTTTGCATATAAGAAGTCCATCACATTTGGGTTCTCCACAGAAATGTTTCCAATGGGTTCAAAGTCTGGATATTCTCGTGACATAAGCCGTTCAACTTCATATTCAATATCAAGGTTGACATCACTGCTGCTAATTATTGGTGGTTTTCCTGTCCTATACGCGGAATCTGTATCATAATAATAGCAAAACCACCAAATTCTTCTTCGTCTTTTTTCATCATGGGGATCAAGCTTATAAGATTCAAGCCGATGCAAACCCATATACTGAGCAAATCTTACTGCAGTAGACACAGGGATATAATTAACAGTGCTCTCAAGCCAATTCGAATCAATGTACATAACCAATAGTAAAATAGCTTCTATTGTTTCTAAACCCTCACTGATGACCGAAACAATATAATAATAATAAATACAATTTTGAAGTAAAGTGTCTTGAAAATCCCTTAAAGCTGAATCCGACATCGATGCTAACCCAGGAGGCACTTGACGCTCCTCATTATTGACATATTTAAGGGAATCAATATCAATTTTACTAGTTATAGCAATCAATAGCACTGCCGACATAAGGAATAGTTCAGATATAGTGAATCTTTTTCTTTTCTTTATATTCTTCTCTGATAAATTTTCGTAATAATCAGTGAACATTTTCATTGCCCGTCCTTGATCAACAAGGACATTGGCCAGAATTATAAGCGGGTAATACTCTGCAACCAACTCATAAGCAATCCTCGAGTCGCTAGGAAATGGCGCCTCAATAAGTCGCTTTCTATTTGTTTTATCAACAACTTGGGGTGTAACCCATTTTTTCATAAATGAAGCTACTTTGGTCCAGAGTATATATGGTAAATTGCGAAGGGGAGTAATGATATTAGAACTGGTAGGTCCTAGTATTGTTTCAATATAATCGAGCGATTCCTTTCCGAACATACCTACGATTGAATGACTTCCAACAAACAGAGTCAAGACACCAAAACTCACATAGTCTTTCCGTTTAGTTGCTGGAATAAGAGTGGAACTATCTTCTTCTCCTTTAACTGTTGCAACTATCAAATCGCTCTCATCACTATCTTCCACGTGTTGGTATTTTATCTGGCTTATTGGTTCGACGTCACTCTGTTCCTCATCGTCCTCTGGATCGCTAGTTGCCTCTGATAAAGTGCCGTCGTGACTAGTTGCGTATTCCTGATATTGACTTGAACGTGAACTTCTCCGTAGTTTTAATTTGTCATCGTTGGAACCAGTGATCATGTCCAACTTATCTGTCATGCGAAATATTGCGTCTTCCAAAGTAGACAACCTTGTATCTATCATATCAAGGGTCTGAATGGTCAATTCCTTTTTGCTCAATTTCTTGGGAGGCTTGGCCTTGGGAGGAGGTTTTGGTTTTTTCTTTGGTGGTCGTTCCGTATAATGGCACTTTGATTCTCGCGATTGAAGGCAATTACTACAAGGGTAATTCCCATCGCATTTAATCTTCTTGCGACGACACTTATCGCATGCAACCCTTATACGTTTTCTCCCATCAAGGGGATGGCTATGATTCTCATTTCCTTGCAATTCAATTGCTTCTTCTGGCAGTTGCAGATATGAGGGTTCCGCGCTGGCAGGTGTTAAATTTATATTTCCAACTTCCATTTAACTAAATGATAGTAGAATACAGTGGCGTAGTAAGTAGTAAAAAACAGACTTCTGAAAAGTTCTTGCGGGTTGTTCCTTTAAACTTTAGAAATATCCCCAGAAAATTCAATTGAAGATTAGTAAGAAATAAATAAAAAAAAACAAAGATCTTAGACAGCTTAAAAATGTCAATTCCCCCGGAGATGATTTGCATCACCAAGACTAAAGCTGTCTCCCCCCGTTTGGGGCGCCGCCTTTAAGCCCAGAAGAAAACGAAAAAAATAACAATGAAAAAGAAACAGAATAACTAGTTGGAGGTCATGTACCTAACATTGATGACAGGTTATTTATTTTCATGTGACAAAAACGAATAGTCATGCACCTCAGCTCTAAAAATAACTAATCTTTAGTTCGTAAAGGTGGAAAACTATGTTCAGGGGTAAACTACTATTGTAACACGTTGTTATGGCTAGTTCATGACTTCGTATTATAAAGACCAAGAGGAAAAAAAAAAATAATTACAAAAACCAAAAAAAAACTAAAATAAAAAAAGAATGATGCATAGAATGCTCGGTCGCATATTGGATTGGTTCGGTAACAAAGATGGTTCATGCAAAGGCAAAATATTTATCCATTATTGCAGACTCTAAACTGATAGATGTGTAGCAATGATACCCTCAAACAAAAGTCATTGGTTATATTATTTGAAATAGATTTATACGAGGCGTTATAAAGCTTAATATAATATGTTTGCAGGTCATTGAATAAAAAATCATTCGACGATTAAAAATGTTCTGCATGATCCCGTCCCAAGTTACACAAAAGCGGATTCTATTTAAGTAACGATACATTTTGACATCTGCATGCATCAACAATAATGTTCACGCAAATTTATCTCTTCTATATGCACAATACAAAACACTGTGTTCGTCAAGATTACTTTGTACTCCAAATTTCACTTGTAACATAGAAGAAACCAAAGGTATACTAAAATGCTGCAAAAAATCACGAGAGAAATTTCTTGAAATATGATCGGCATACAGATTCATGTACCGCGGTTAAACTTGCTGAAAGTGGAGAGTTGTCAGTAGCCAACAGGCATCTGATCTACAGACAAAAAGAAACGAATTACAATTAACGTTTGAACATGGATGTTTTTTTTTATATTTTAAAAATATATACAGTTATAACAGCTAGTTAGGCAATGAAAAATCGTTTTCCGTAAAGAAATTTGGTAAGTCATTCATTTCGTTCAAAATCAAAAAGTTAAAAGCATCGTCATTGACTTGGTTAAAGTCAATATTTTCTATGTAATTATCTTTGCTTGGTCCTGCACCTGTATCAAGGAGATCTGACAACAAAGGCTTGACCCCAATATCAAATGATTCTGGTGACGTAAATTCGGTATTGTTTCCACTAGAAACACTATCGATATTAGTACTGGAGACCGACGAGGAACCATTGGGAGTATAAGCGGGTTGTACCTGGCCATCGTTCGCCTTGTTAAACACTTCAGGACATACGTCACTTATATTCGTCAAGTGTTGCTGTAATCCTGGAATTTCTTCAACATATTTGTGACCGATTTCGGTTTGCATGGTTGCAACTAAAACTCGGAGTAGTAACCTAGCTAAAAGATCACATAATACCATCTTATTGTCCAATATCTTGTAATCAAGTCTTTGTTTTTCATGTACGGCAAAATAGTTCATACTAACATTAATAAGTAATAAACAGTCCAGATGCGTAGTAGGAGCATTTGATAGTACCATACAATTTCCAAGTAAACTGCTAAACGCCACAAGAGGATACGTCATTGCTGAAGACAAGCTCGACTTTGGAACCGTTGACTTGTTAAACCCAACAGCCAAATGAAGAATAGATCTGGCACTATCCAAGGAATTATTACCGAATGGGATCAATCTATCATCATCTAAGAAGAAATCTCTTTGAAATGGCACTCGGTTAATTGATAACGAGTGTGAAAAGAATGATAATTGAAATGTAAATGAGTTATACATCGCCTTTTGTGCATTTGCCCCAAACGTTTCAAAGAATTGAGCAAGAGAAAATGGTGTTTCCCTTCGGTAATGTAAAACAGGCCTAGCTTCTGGTACCATTAAACTCGATAACTTCCTTAAATCATTATTAAGTGCTTTCAAAGAACTAAATAATTCCGACGTGGTTATTGCTGATGGATGTTTACAGTACAAACTCCTGTAACTTCTGGTCCTAATTCTATTGAATATCAAGGTGAAATATGCAAAATAATATTCCACTCCAAATTCAAGATCTTGACTAACTCCCAAAATCCTCGATGAATTCTTAAGATACTGGTCATCATCAAAAAGTGCCATCGGCACCGACAAAAAGCAAGGATCGCTCTCAGTCAAGGTAGAAACATCTTCCAAACTAAGCAGCATTGGTTTACCACTCTTGTACGTTATATCAGTTCCAAAACATTCACAAAACCACCACAATCGTCTTCTCAACATCGCTTCTTCTTCATCTTCGTTTATAAAACTTTCAACCCGATGAAGACCAGAATCCTTGGCTACCCTTATAAGGACCGATGCCAAGATATAATTGACATGGAAATCGGTAATAAAGTTTGCTTCAACGTATAAAATTAATAGAGAGAGACCCTGGACAGTTTTTACACTATTCATAGTCTTTTTCGAGACTTTATCATACATTTGAACAGCATTATTAAAATACCTGGTTTTCAAATTGAATAAATCTTCACCAGATCTCATGGCCAAATTTGGAAATTGAATTGGGTCAAAGATATCTTTTTCGGATACATTAACCAAGCACAATGCGAGAGCTGAGTTCATTAACAAATAGTTACTGCTTGTGAAGTCTTTGAGAATATCCTGGTCTCGTTGTGATCTTCCATAAAAATATATCTGAAATAATTCTCTCACTGTGCTGCATCTGCATAGGAAATTAGCCAAATTGATTTTATCGTAGTAGAATGCAAGAATTTCAAATATTAGTCCTTGCTCAGATTCGTCGAAATAAGCCTGCATATCGACAACTGGTTTAGGTTCATTCAACAAATCATTCGTCTCATACACGGCGTTAGTGATTGCCAAAGGAATCTTTCTGAGTGGTGTGAACAAATCATCATTATCCTTGCCTTGAATTCTGCCTTTCATATAAGCAATAAATTTTCCAGAAAAAGAATAAAAAATGGAATGAGATCCAAAATATTGCATCATTCTTCTCTTTATACCCTTTGTAATACAGTCTTCACAATTCTGCTTTTCTGGTGGTTGCAATAACTCTTTCAAAACTAATGGGTTTCTCACTGCGTGCTCATTTTCTTCGAAGTTGTCGTCATCCATGTCCTCATCGCTGTTGCTATCTTCAGGAGAGAATGAATGTTCACTATTTCCCTGTTGCAAATCCAGAAATTCCTTGGTAAAACCAGGTCTAGCGTCCGAATCAAGTCGGGTTATTAATTTGGTTAACAACCCTTCCATGGCACTCAAACGTGCGTTTAGTCCTTGTATGGAAGTTGGACTGTGACTCGACTTGGCAGCAGGCTTGGGTTTTCTAACTCGTTCCCTGGGTTCCCTGGTAATAACAGTATATGTACATGGTCGATTCTTTGAAGCACACTTCGAACATGGGTTCTCTCCATCACATCTTGACTTACGTTTACGACAGTAGTCGCAAGCAACTTTCGTCCTCATTCGCTTTTCGTCTGTGTTGTCCGAATGTTCCATAATCTATTAGTAATACTCACTTAATTATCAAAGTTAAAAAAAAAGGTGAAAATCCTATGGTGTGAAAATATGCCGTGATCAGTGCGTAAGCCGTATGGTTTGACACTTCAACAACTTGGTTCTGCAAAGAAATTCAGATGGCAAAAATTTGTATAAATTTATCTCCGACTTTTTACACTAGAGGGAGCGGGACGGGACAAAATTGGATCTGGTTGGAATTTCAAAAATCTTTCACGTGACTTGTAAAAAAGTCGTGTACTTTGCCACAGATAAAGAAATTTCCAAGACACGAAAATTTTGCAAGTAGATCTGGATTGAGGTTTTTAGTAATAACGGCCTTTGTAGACAAGCAAAGAGAAAAAGAATGGTGACAAAGAAGGCAAGTCCAATCTTTGCCAGTAAAGAAGATAGTAACTTCAGAGAAGCATTGAAGCTTTATGATGCCAAACAATACAAAAAGGCATTGAAATTAGTTGAAGGAAATTTGAAGAAGCATTCTCACCATGCTGAATCTTTGGCCCTTAAAGGCTGTATTACCTTTCACATTGGAGCTAAGCAAGATGCAGAACCATACATATTGAAAGCAGTGGAAAAAGAACCCACAAACTACTTAGTTAACCATTTGGCAGGGTTATATTACAGATCAGTTGAAGATTATCACAAGGCTGCCAAATGGCTCAAGGCTGCCAATGATAATGGATCACCAAACAAACCTATATTAAGAGACTTGTCGTTTATGCAATCCCAAATTAGAGATTACAAGAACTTGAAGGAGTCGAGACAACTTTATTTAGAGCATCAGCCTGGTTATAGAGCCAACTGGACTGGATTAGCAGTTGCTCAGCATTTGAACAAGGAATATCATGCTGCTGTTTCTACTTTAGACAAGATTGAAAATATCATAAAGGAGCACCTTACTGATGCTGACATGTATGAACAAAGTGAATGTGTTTTATACAAGCATCAAATACTTAGCGAAGCTGGTGACTACGAGAGAGCACTCAAGGCTCTTGAAAATGATAAAGATAGTATTAAGGACATGTTGTCCTACATGGAATACAAGGCCAAGTATCTTCTTCTTTTGGGTCAAAAGAAGGAGGCTTCTCTAATCTATCGTGAGCTTTTAAAGAGAAATCCAGACAATATTTCCTACTACCCCTTATTGGAAACTGCATTGGACACCACTTCTAAACCAGAGGAGCTTAGACTTAAATTATACGAAAAGTTGGGCAGATATTACCCACGTTCCGATCCTCCAAAGTTCATTCCATTGACTTTCCTTTCATCAGAAGGTGATTTGTTTGCAAAGAAGGCCAGAGATTATATTATCCCACAATTGTTAAGAGGGGTTCCAGCCACATTCGTCAATGTCAAGCCATTGTATTTAAACCCTAAGAAATCACAAGTTATTGAAGAAATTGTATTGGACTTTTACCAACACGATTTACCAAAACTTGAAAACCCAACTGTTGCCGTGTGGACTGAATACTTCTTGGCCCAACATTACTTGTACAAAAATGATTTAGATTCTGCCGACAAGCACATTGATCTTGCATTAGAGCATACTCCAACTTTGGTTGAATTATATATCGTCAAGGCAAGAATCATCAAGCATAGAGGTGATTACGTCAAGGCCAGTGAAGTCATGGACGAAGGGAGAAAGTTGGATTTACAAGATAGATTTATCAATTCTAAAACCACCAAATACTTATTACGTGCTAACAAGGTTAACGAGGCAATTGATTGCATTTCCTTATTTACTAAATTGGATGAAGATGCAATTAATGGTTGCAAGGACCTCCACACTATGCAAGTCAGCTGGGTATTGGTTGAAAGTGCTGAAGCTTATACCAGATTGTATCATGAATATCAAGCAAAATTGAACGAATTGAGAAATTGTGAAGCAGAAGAAAATGAGGAATTAACTCAAGAATTGCTTGAAAATATCGAAACCTACAGAGGTTTGGCTCTCAAAAGATTCACTTCGATTGTTAAGCTTTACAAGATTTTCTACAATGACCAATACGACTTCCATTCTTATTGTATGAGACGTGGTACCCCAAGGGACTACATCGATACTCTTAGATGGGAAGACAAAATTCATTCTACTCCTATCTATACAAGGGCATTGAAGGGATTATCTGAGTTGTATTTTGAATTGTATTCCGAGTCTTTGAATGACAATGAAGAATCATCTCAAGAAGTCAAGATCAAGAAGACCAACAAGAAGCAAAAGAAAGCCAAGGCACAAATGAATAAGAAGAAAACTGAATTTATCGCTAGAGTAGAAAGTGAAAAGGAAGACGCAGATCCATTGGGTGCTAAGCTTTTGCATGATTTACAAAATAGTGATGTTATTGAAGCATTATTTGAATTGTTTAAATCTTTGATAGAAGAAGGCAAGGATTTGGAATTGACTTGGAAGGTTTTATTCAAAGTCTACTTGATCCAAGGGAAATACGTCTTGGCACTTCAAGCGGTCAAGAATTTGAATAAGGTTCTCAATCCTTATGGCGAGAAGAAGTTGCGTGAAATCGGATCTAGAGTTGTAGAATTGGCCACAACATCCAAAAATGATGACAAGGCTAATGCAGCTATTGTCAAAGTTGTTGAAAAGGGATTACACTCTGCATTCCCTGAATTCGAACAATTATCTACAGACGAATTTCTTGAACTTTACAATCAATAATGTATATAGCAATATATAAACCATTAGGCCATTGTACAAAAATCTAAGAACTTAACCAATTGTCGACCTGTCCTCTGGCAACAGTTCCAGCCAAGTTTAATGTTTGACGTCCCATAGGGAAGTAACTCACGGTATACCAAAGTGCCGCGCCTAGTTGTATTACAGCAAATATAATCGACAACAAGGTACTTTTCAATGAGACACTGCTTATTAAAGTCAATATAATACTTGAAACAAAAACCACTGTAAATATGAGTCTTGTTGACAGGAATAAATGTTCCATATAAGGTTTAAAACCTTGCAACACTCCAAAACTAATCAAAAAGAAAATCGACCCTAGTGACCATAGGAGGGCAAATTTTCGAGGTTTAAGGGACAATATCGGAAATAAGAATATACAAATTAAATAGCAGCAACAAGAGCCCCCGAACGTGAGAGCAAATATAAGCATTCTGTCCCATCGAGAGAGTTCAAAATAGCCTGGTTCTGAAGTAACAATTTCTTCATCTTGTAATTGTATTGAATTGTCCGAGAATGGGTTCAATCTATTTAACGTAGATTTGAACGAGCTTGGTCTGTCGGACTGTGTAACTGGAGTAGGGAGGGTATCGGAATTTTGACCCAATCTCGAGTAATTGGGTTCATTGCTTCTTGTGAATGATTTGAAGAAACTCATACTTTGGTTCTTGTATAGTATTTCCCCACTGGGGTGGGTTATTTTTTTTTTTTAGTTTTAGTTACTGACTGTGAATTACTTGGACTTGGTTACTGTGTTCTTTTTTTTCTGAGTATAACAAACGAAAGAGTTAAAAGTTCACTTTCTACAGAAACCCAGAAGATTCAACTGCAAGTTAACAGAACCATGTCGACCGTAGCAGCTTCAAGTTCTAATCAAGCTGAACAACAGTTTGTCAATACTTATTTGGATTTCTTATCCTTGTCAAAGGATGCCAGTCCAGATCAATTTAATTCCACCCAAGATTACGACAAAATAGAATCATTAGGACCTAGTTTACCGCCATACAAGTACAAATTCCCAAAGGTTGTATCCGCAACCAGTGAAAGAACCTTGACATTGAAGTTCAAGTCTATCAAACCACCATTTAAATTCACTTCTGAGTTACATGATATCCCTGAATCCTTCACTATTCATCGAGTTAAGGAAGCATTAATTAAGGCCCAGGACGTATTGAATCAAGCAGGTGCCAAACCAGACAATTTAAAGCTTATGTTGAAGTCAAAAGTTGTTCAAGATTCGTCCACATTAGGAGATGTTAGTCCAGAAGATGAAGTCAGTTTCAATTGCATGGTATCTGCCCCGATTGCTACAACCAAACCAGAGGAGCCTACTAACGTAACTAGTGCTGGCACCGTCGCTAGTTCTGGTGCCACCTCTTCTACAACTACTACTCCATCTTCTACCCATTCTACAACAACTACTACTACCAAAGAATTAGATGGAATTTCTCCTGAAGCATGGCAACAAATATACTCTGTATTACTACAAGACTTGAACGACCAACAAAAGGCACAAGATATCTTGTCCAAATTCAAACAATTAGCTTAGACATTTCTTTTAATTTTAATATATATATATATTTATCTACAATGAATACGCAACATCTCACAGGAGCACACCACCGAAAATTTATCACACTCCTTTTCTAAACACCAATACTAATTCTTTTTAGCATTCCAACTATTGTATTTCTTCACAAGCAATTCATTAAGGGAATGACCTGGCTGTCTACCAACTTGTTTCTCATACAGATAATAAGAAGCTACCCCAACAGCAATTCCAAACAAAGGATCTAATGTCCTTGATATCAAGTAAGGGTATTGCATGACCTAACTGATTCGTTTTTTTCTTTTTTTCTTTAAATCTATCCAGCTTAAAACTTACCAAAACTGATTTGTCTCCTCTCCTTATTGTTGTAGAGTTCTGGTTAGCAAAGGTCGTGTAGCTATGCCCAAATTCGGCGTAACCCGACAGAGAAAATTTTCTATCAATTTTTTTTTAAAACGTTCACTAATTAGAGTTTCCCTAGTTTGTTTTGACCAGGTGTTTTAGTAATATACAATAATGGCTGCTGTTTTCCCAAGAACTTGTTACAAATGTGGTGAAGTTGGTCACTTAGCTGACAACTGTCAACAAGAAGAAAGATTATGTTACAACTGCCATAAGCCAGGTCACGAATCTACTGACTGTCCTGACCCAAAGCAACCAACCACCAAACAATGTTATTCTTGTGGTGATGTTGGTCACGTTCAATCTGAATGTCCAAACCAAGCTCAAGGTACCAAGTGTTACAACTGTGGTCAATTTGGTCACATTTCTAAGAACTGTGATTCCGAACAAGTTGGCGGTGCTAGAAAGAAGTTTTACCCAACTAAGTCTGCTGCTGGTACCACTTGTTACAAGTGCGGTGGTCCAAACCACTTTGCCAGAGACTGTCAAGCTGGTGTTGTCAAGTGTTACGCTTGTGGTAAGACCGGTCACATCTCCAAGGACTGTACTTCTTCTTCCGGAGGTTCCAACTACGGCTCAAAGACTTGTTACAACTGTGGTAAGAGTGGTCACATTTCCAAGGAATGTACTGCCTAGATGGTGATTTTGTTGATTTGAATATTTGAAGAAGGTATCAGGAGTGGTGGAATATTTGCATTATATTTTATTTTTCTTTGCATCATGAAAAAGAGTAGTGGGGAGTGTATTAATAAAGTTCCTATTGTATAAAGATTGTTGAAGAATGATTCATGATGCGACATTTCGGTTGTGATGTGTAGTCCAACTTCTCCAAATGATTTCTTTAGTTCCAGTTCTTGTCTTTTAAATTTAGTTTATAGTTTTTATGGGTTTCTTTTTATATATGGTAATATTATGTATTAGCATCAAGAAAGAGTTTTATGTAGATATTAGTGTTTATATATATATATTGGTGTAACTATTAAGGTAGCCTATTTTGGAGTGGAGTATTTTATTGTGAAATTTACCTACCTTGCAGGTTTTCTTATGAAACGTAGATGAAAAACCAAAGTCCAAGAATGGTTGCTAAAAGGAACAATCTTCCGTTACTGGTAGTCAGCAACCATAAACTATAGCCAATGGTGTAATCACTCAATGGTCGGATGATTCTCTGGATAAAAAAGTCATATTTTGTTGGCTTCAAGTATACTGGAGTTGGTCCACTGACAATTTCAAATTCACTATTTTCAGTAGCCACAATTTGAAGGTAACCCGAGGGAGTTATTATAGGTTCAGGTGGTTCATAAGGAATGGATATATGAAGGTAGACAGGTCTATGATCGGACATTAAGAGCGAATCGATGCAATCATATTTGGAAACAAATGGGACCCAATATCTTCTTAAATGAGTAGAGTCTCGACGCAACCTAAGCAAAGGAGTACTTTCTCCATTGTCATCTTTGGGTGAGTCATATGAAGATTGATATACAATTCGATCACACCAAGACGGAGACCTCTTGTCATTGTAGATTGCTGTATTTATATGGAACTTGTACGTGGGTTGAAATTCAATTTTACCTTCTGAAAATCCCAATAACACTTCTCCGTTTTTCATACCTTTTGTTAGTTCATCATACTCTGAGTGTAAGAGATACGGGCTTTCATTTGTGGTTAATAACGATTGGTCTTGTAACGAAAACAACCGTTTTGCTTCCACGCTGTCCTTTGTATAACTACTAGTTGTCCTATAATTCATATCACCTAGAATAAACGTATGGTTCCCTCGCTTAATCAAACCAAACCCATCACCAAAATCTAGCGATCTCATTATATTTTCATGATCCTGATTTCTCCTCTTATAGTAATACTCTCCTTCGAACGCACTGAGATGTACACAAGCAAACGATAATTCAACATGATCTCGATGAGAGTACTTTCCTCCTGGATGGTAACAAACTCTAACACCAACACCTCCTTTCAAAGAGGAATTACCGTGTCCGACACCTGCACTGGCAAGTCTAATTCTTTGAAATTTCAGTGGGAATGGGCTGATTATAATTAATCCAGTAGCACCAACATGATTAATAGCAATTGTTTGAAATTTTATCCCGTCTTCTTCAAATGCTTCATTCAAGGCAGAAATAAACACCTCGTTGTATTTGATCAACTCTCTATTAGCCTGGACTGAGAAGCTTCCGTCAAGAGTATTACAAAATTCCTGGAGTCCAAACACGTATGCCTGACATAAATCAGTGGGAAAACTGTCTATTAACTTGGATAAAACTGAATCACGAACTAATGGTTGCTTATTACAGTTATACGTGAATAAATAAAGTGGGATTGGAGCCCTTATGTCTGACATAGTACCTTGCTGTCCCTTGTAATTGATTGTGGGGAGGATTCAAATCGGGGGGTTTTTAAGCTTGTGTAGATAGGTAATGCTGGGGGGAAAGAGACGTACAAGCGGCTCAACCAGATTTGCTAAATTTCTCTGCGCGGGATGAAGTGAAATGTGTTGCCAAAACTTTTAAAGTAGACTAGACAACACGAAACACCAAACATGAGTGGATTCATAGAATCGCAGAGAGCTGCATTAGAAGAGCTTGATGTTATTGAAGAGGCGATCTCATCAAGACTAGGACGTGATCCTCATTTGCTCCCACCCTCTCTTCGCCCCAAGAAGGACATAATAAGCAAACGAAAACCAAAGAAAACACTGACATTGCGGCTATCTTTATTACAACAATCAGAGTTGCGATTCTTTATTGAAAAGTACCATAGAACTCATTCATCGCTTGAGTTCTGTCTTGCCAATGAGAAACTCGTATTACAAAAGCAATTAGCAAACGTTACTGAAGGACCCAAACAATTTGCCAAATTTGACCAAATGATTCTGGAGATCAGCAATAAGGAAAGTGACCACCCTAGTGGAGCTATTGCTGAAGATCCAAGAAATTTATATTCTTCCTTTTCCAGCATTACCCGGGACAAGGAGTCACACTCGCAAGATTTGAAAATCAAGGTGGAGAAGAATACAGGAAAGCAACGAGAGTTGACAAAGAGAAAGTTCATTCTCAGTTCAGTCGCTTCTCATCTTCAAGATTCAATCGAAAATGAGGGATATTTAGATTTGTCAGGCGTTCATATTCAGTATAATTCCCAATTGGCCTCCACTCCAATATCATATGTGCAATACTTGTATACTTTCCAGAACTTGGAAGCACCAGCCAAGGGAACTCCATATGTTAAATATATCAGAGACTTGGCCAATCTTTTGGCAGAATCTTTCAAGAATTTACACCCATTAACAGATTTAGATCAATTGGAGAATGCATGGAAGCAAGAATTTCAAGAAACTAACCTGACTTCCGAAGGACAGGAAAACGAAAAGGGTGAGGTATATTGTAAGGCGTGTGATAAGTTGTTTTCCAAAATGAGCGTGTACAAAGGACATCTTGATGGAAAGAAACACAAAAAGAATGCAGCCAAGAGCTCGGGTGATAGTGCAAGTGTGGATAGTTTCGATTCTTTAACTTGGTATGAATTTGCAATAGGAAAATTGGTAAGCGTACTCCAAACAGATATTGAAGCAGCTAGAGCTCATGCAGAACGTATTGCCAATAGTTCGGAACGAGAACTATTAATGGAGCAACAAAACCTTGAAGAAATAGAATCAGAATTCACTGACATTGGGGATTACTCTGACTTCGGAGATAACTCGGATGAAGAGTATGAAGACAATGAAACTTTCAAGAATCTTCCTCTTGGCCCTGATGGTGCACCTATTCCATTTTGGCTCTATAAATTACAAGGACTTAATAAGAAATATGTTTGTGAGATATGTGGAAACATTACTTACAAAGGGAGACAAATATTTCTCAAGCATTTTAGTGGTGTTAAACATCAATATGGTCTTAAATGTCTCGGAATTGAAGAAGGATACATATCATTTTTCAAAAATATAACTAATATTGAAGAAGCTCGGATATTATGGACGAAATTTAAACGAGAAAAACGGGAAAAACAAGGTGAAATAGACAATGCTATTGAAGTAGAAGATGATGAGGGTAATGTTATGTCCGAAAAGGATTACTTAGATTTAAAGAAACAAGGTCTTTTATAGAATTTGTATAGAAATCAAAGAGCCTCTTACGCTACCAATTCCATGACCCAATTTTTTTTTTTTTTTTTGCTTTTCTTTGAAGAGCAAATATTTAAAGGTTGTAGACTACTAAGTGTATGTTCTATAGAACTAGTTTGCGACGCACACCATTAAAATCCATAATAATGGATGCATCAAGAGGAAAAAAGAGATTACATTCTCCTGGCGCAGCCGATGTGTCTCGAGATGTGTATGGATTCAAAATGAAGGCTCAGGACATTGTAAAATCTAGATTGACTGCCTATGAACAAATGGGTGGAGAAAGTGCCGCCGACAAGAGTATTGTGCCGTCCAAGACCATAGAAGAAGAGGAATCTGAAGGAGCTAGTTATATTATTGATGGAAGATTACGTCGAGTGAACCCATACTATTTTACATACTTGACTTATTGTAAAATGAGATGGAGAGATCGCAAATTGATTGACGTTTTCATAGATGAATTTAGAGACAAGTCTCCTGAAGCATACAAAAAAGCAATTGGTGAAGGACATGTTACACTCAATCAAAAACCAGCAAACCTTGAAACTATTATTAGAAATGGTGATCTCATCAGTCATAGGAGTTATAAACGGGAACCTCCAGTTACTTCAAGACCTATTAAGATAGTATATGAGGATGATGATATAATTGCTATTGATAAACCTTCAGGAATGCCTGTACATCCAGTTGGAAGATATAGATATAATACCGTGACCAAGATTTTCCAACATGAATTTGGAAGAATTGTGCACCCTTGTAATAGATTGGATAGACTTACTTCCGGACTAATGTTCTTGGGAAAATCATCAAAGTCAACAGATAGGTTTGTAAAACAAATAAGGGAACGGAGTGTCAATAAGGAATATATTGCCAGGGTGGTAGGAAAATTCCCTCCCAATGAAGAAATTGTCGTGGATAAACCTCTTAGTACATTATCACCAAAACTTGGATTAAACGTGGTTGATGAAGAAAATGGAAAGGAGTCCAGTACTGAGTTCAGAAGAGTTTCATACGATCCAGAGACCAATACTTCTATTGTGAAATGTCACCCATTAACCGGAAGATCTCACCAGATTCGAGTGCATTTGCAATATATTGGATATCCAATTGCTAATGATCCAATGTATTCAAACCAATTTGTATGGGGGCCCAACATGGGAAAGAATGGTGAAGCCGATTTTAAGCAAGTTATGGAAAACCTAGATAGAATAGGTAAAGACCGAGGAAGTTCTAGTTGGTTCCATCCAGAAGAAGATGGTGAGATTATAACCGACCAAGTATGTCCTATATCTGGTTTACCAATTTATTCTGATCCTGGACCAAACGACTTGGATTTATGGTTGCATGCCTACCGCTACGAAGCAGCTGATAAATCTTGGTCTTATAAGACCGAGTATCCTGAATGGGCATTGCAATCTCTGAGAAAATTCATGAGACAGGCCATTGAAGAAGCTAATAAATGTGGCGAAACTCAAACCCAATTTAATGTCGGAGCTGTGTTGGTAAACAATGGTGAGATTATATCTACTGGACATTCTAGAGAATTAGAAGGAAATACCCATGCCGAACAATGTGCATTGGAAAAGTACTTTACCAAGACTGGATCTAGAGAAGTCCCTATTGGAACTGAGATTTATACGACCATGGAACCCTGTTCGTTACGATTGAGCGGTAACTTGCCTTGTGTAGATAGGATATTAGAAACAAACATAAAGACATGTTTTGTTGGTGTCGTTGAACCAGATACCTTTGTCAAGAACAATACTTCAGTTAATAAGTTAAGAGAGAACAATGTTGAATATGTACATATTCCAGGGTATGAGGAGGAATGTCTTGAAATTGCAAAGAAAGGACACGAAAAAATAGTACATTAATAACTAATTGCATAATCTATATAATCTATTCGTCATAATCATCTTGATCTAAAACGACTTCTTTTCTAGTGTATACATAAACATTTCTCCTGTTTCTAGTAGTTGTATGCTGTAACGGGCTTACATCTTCAGAACTACTAGGCTGGGGTACAGGTGCTGCTGCTGCTGCTGCTGCTGCTGCTGTTACTCTCGAGCTTGATTCAAGTACTCCTGATATCGATCTCGAGTTAAAAACTGGTTCTTTCAATTGAGGAACTATTTCACCATCACGAATTCGCGCAGCTATCGTCTGTGTGGAAACACTCACAGATCTAGGAATTGCAAAACCAGCAGCAATTATACTATCTGTAAATGTTAAAAAGATATTCTTTGATTTCTGAAGAGCCAGGATCACCTTTGCAGATTTCGTACTTTCATCATTAGCTTCAGTTACGGCCACATCCCCTCCACTCTTTTGAGGCGAAGGTTGAACACTTTGGTTTAATAGTGGCCGTGAAGAACTGGCTTGTCGACTTTCCGTTTCAGCACTAATAAACGTTTGTTGGCCCTCTCCTCCATTGTCGTCATCAGAGTCATGTACCAACTCTTCAACAAACAACTCAAACCTGTCTAACTCGTATACTTCATCTTCGTAAAACCGTCGGCCAAGAACACCTTCTTTTTCTTTCATTTTCATAAGTAAATTAAACTTATTACACCATTCCCAGGGTATAACCACACAGATCATATATGTAACCACAGAGAATATATCTGATAATTCATAAATAAAGGCATTGGACACATCAGTAATGAAGAATGCAACAGGACTGTAAATTAAAATCACAGTTAACAAGGTCAACAACCAAATACTTTTATTTGCAATAATAAATTTATACTTGGTGGCAAAGAATACAGTAATAATGGCAGCATAACATAGCCCCATGGCGATTCTAACCAAATAAATAAATGCCGGAAGAATATCACCTGCTTCATCATCCAGCCTGAACCTGTGAAATATCGATACTCCCCAAATGGTTTGAGAAGTTATTGATGCAATGACACCAACGTAAAAGGTCAATCTCTTATCACTTTGCCTCAGAAAGAATCTCATAATGACCTGCACTTGATTGATTTGAAGTAAAAGTATAATAATAACGTCTATGATATTTATTGCCTTGTTGGTGTTGAGTTCGGTTAATAGTTTGGCACCATGAAGGAATGCATTTCGTTGTTGGTTATGCAAAATCACAATAGATTTGACAATAACTACGAGAATGTAAACTGATGATAGTAGACTTGATGCTTTTAATAGCATCGATGGTTTGATACTGTAGTTGGTAAACACAAAGATTGTAAGAAACCATATTATTACAGCCAGAACAGATATGGCATACACTATCGGTACAACACTGTAGGAAAAGTGGCCTCTTAAACTATGCTGAGTAAATTCATTCCATGACTCTCGTACTAATGGTAGTGGCTCGGAGAATTTTTCTATAACCATTCCTGTATTTGTATTCATCATGGGAGTTGAGCCCAAATAGCAAAATTGTCGATAAATCGCATTTTGAATATAATGTACTGGGTTATCATAATTATTGGAGACTAACATTCCCTCTGGTAAGAACATATCCCTACAAGAATCATATGGCTCTTGTCGCCAATTTTGTCTCCAATACATCTTGGTTACGCCGTTTTAATATAAATGCCGTTGATTTTATAAAATCTATTTTGTCACTTTTTACCCATGTGAGTTATGTTTGATTTTGTATGTGGTAAGGTGTTCTGGTCATATAAAAATTAGCAAGAAAGATTTCTTGATCTGGGTATTACTCTTTCCTGCATATCATCTCAAACATTCTTACGTAGTTCCTTTTTTTTTTTTTTAGTGCCTTGGATTCCTGTATATTGCCATTGTGATATACTTCCACAAAAAGAAATTCTGCTAACGACAACTGCCTACGATCCCAATTAACGTGAAATTCAGTTGCCGATCTCAGTCTTTCCTTGTAACCTACTTGAAACATCAGTAGGTTGGAAGCAGCAGCGAGCGATAGCAGGTGAAACTATTTGAAACATCCCAACAAAAGCTAGGCAGGTAGGCAAAAAAACAAAAAAATAACCGGAAAGTTTTGTTTACTATTAAAGTCTATTTGGCAACACTGAGCAATCCAACAATTTAGATATGGCCACAACGCAATCGACCAATTCAGAGGAGGCACCAATAACACCCAAAAAGAGCTCAATGCTTCTAGATCCCAATGAATACAACAAATCTGACAATGCTGCCAATTCGCACCAAAGGAATGACTCATCATACTCAAGAAACTTCTCCTTGATTGACATGTATGGAGAAGAAGCCGCCAGTTCCCCCACGGGTCCTGATTCTAATGACCATGGGAGCACATCGGATGAACAATTGGATTACCAGATGCTACAAAGCCTTGATGAGTTCTCATTTGGTGAGATCTCTACCGATCATAATGTACTGCAGCAAACAATTACTCAGATAAGGGACACGCCTACGCCTCAACCGCCTCAGCATGATGAAGATGATGATGATGAAGATCGTCTAGAAATCCGACAACAATATGTTATCCCTACATCTATGGGTAACGAGACCAAGATACTAAATTCTCCATTTGACAGATATGGTTTTAGGAAATCTTCTACACATCATGGATTCACATTGGAAGAGTACAATGATTGGTTTAAAGAATACTCCGAGTACTCATATCGTCGCAAGAAGAAATGGGAACTCCTTATGAAAAGTCATGGTTTACCAATTCAAGAAGATGATCCTGTTCCAACAAGATTTCCACCTAAATCAGATAAAGTTAAGAAGATGATACGTAAAGGGATACCTCCAGAATGGAGAGGTAATGCTTGGTTTTTCTATGCTGGTGGATACGATAAGTTAAACCGCAATGCTGGCGTATACCATCAGATTGTGGAAAATACCAAGAATATTCATAATAAAGATACTGAAGTTATAGAGAGAGATTTGCATAGAACATTCCCGGATAATATTTATTTTAATGAATCAATTGATGCTAATGGAAACACGCTAACTGTTCCACTCCACTCAAAAGAGACGCCGTTAATTAAATCACTTCGTCGTGTATTAATTGCATTTGCCCATTACCAACCTCAAATAGGTTATTGTCAATCATTGAACTTCCTAGCTGGTCTTTTATTGTTATTTATGGAAGAAGAACGAGCCTTTTGGATGTTGGTAATCTTGACCGAACGCATAATCCCCAAAGTACATTCTGCTGATTTGGAAGGTGTTCACACAGATCAGGGAGTGTTGATGTTGTGTGTAAAGGAATATATCCCTCAATTGTGGTCTATTTTAGGAACTACTTTTGAAGGTGAAAGGTTATCAGACGATCAGATCTTGTCCAAATTACCACCAGTTACGTTAGTTACCTCCTCGTGGTTTATGTCACTCTTTGTCGGGATTATGCCAACAGAAACAACGTTGAGAATTTGGGATATACTTTGGTGTGAAGGTTCCAAGACCGTGTTCCGTTTTTCCTTAACAATATTGAAATTATGTTTAGATAATCCTGAATTTGATGGTGCCAAACATTCACCAGGTGGAGAAGCAGATCAAATTGAACTCTTTCAATTTGTTCAAAACTTTCCCAAAAAAATTCTTGATTGTAGTAATTTGGTTGATTTATGTTTCAAGAAAATTGGTGGATATGGGTTTGGTTCACTTTCACAAGACGAGATCAACAAATGTAGAGAGTTTGTTTCGAAACAAAGAGAAATGATGAATTACAAAAGGAGACTTAGCACGAAGATGACAAGTGAGGAACGTTACACTTTAATGAATTCTTCAGATGGACAATTGGATGGGAATAATGATATACATGACGTTTATGGTTTTCATAGACCAATAATGGGTGGAGTGGTTTGGAATAGAAGCATAAGTAACAAGATGAAAAAGACATTCGCGAAAAGGAATTCAAGTAGATCAAGTACATAAAAATACACAGTTATACACTATTAGTCTTCAAATATGTCCCTGTAAACGGCATCACTGGTAATTACAACATCTTTCATGGCTTTAACATCATGAACTCTTATAATGTCGGTATTTTGTTCAATACATGACGTTACAGTAGCACCGGTACTGAAAACCCTTTCAGTTGGAGTTGGTTGTTTGGTGATAGTTCCCAAGAATCTCTTTCTTGAAGTTCCTACCAACACAGACATACCATTGAAACTCAAATATTTGTGTTTAACAACCAAATCATCTCTTTCGTTGATTTGAATTGAGTATTTCTTGAAGAATGAAGCATGTTTAACCAAGGCAAGATTCTGTTGAACATTCTTGGCAAAACCAACACCGGGATCAACAATAATTTGCCACTTTCTAACCCCACGTTCAAAAGCCTTAAACATTTGATGAGCCAATTCACGGGAAACTCCATTCAATAAATTCTTAATATTTGGAGGTAATGAAAGTTCTTGATGACCTTGGGTTGGATCAATGACATACTCTATGATATCATCATTGGTGTTGGACTCGTACTTTGTTAATTTTGACATGGTTTCAGGAGTACCTCTAGTATGGTTCATAATATAAGGACATCCATACTTGGCAACCACATCAAAGATTTTCTCGTCATATTTGCCCATGGAAATATCATTGATAATATCAGCCCCAGCGATAAGGCACTCTTCAGCAACTTTTGATCTATAAGTGTCAATGGAAATTAAAACATTAGCCAATTTTTTATTCTGGCTTGAACGGATAGCCTTAACAATAGGAAGAACTCTCTTGACTTCCTCCTCTTCACTTGGTTCTATGCTTCCTGGACGGGTAGATACCCCACCAATGTCAATGATGTCAGCTCCATCCTCAACCAACTTTTCAGCACTTCTGACTACTTCAGCAAGGGATTTATCAAAATTCTTTCCTCCGTCACTGAATGAATCAGGAGTCATGTTTAAAATCCCCATGATTAAAGTAGGATGCTTATTGTATACTTGGTCGAACTTGAGGGGATTGTTACGAGCCTCGAGCCTTGGAATAGGTATGAATTGAAGCAATTGCGATGATTCCTGTAATGATTCGGCAGGAGCATTAGCAAAAAGTTGTTGTAAATGATTATGGAATGGTTCGGCACTAATTGGGTGTATTTGATCAGGCGGCAATAATTCACATAATGGTTGTAAAACAAATGTTCTCTCCAACATTGATTTGTGAGGTACTATCAAATCAGGAGTATTCAACAGAATATCATCATAAAGGACAATATCTAAATCTATCTCTCTAGGTCCATTGTCAAATTCCTTTACTCTGTTGATATGTTTATATTCGATTTCCTTAAGAATAGCTAACAATTTGTGAGGTGCTAAATCTTTGAATGATACTTTAACCACACCATTGTAGAAATCAGGCTGGTCGAGATAATACATTGGTTTCGAGATATACAAAGATGATGTTGATTCAACTTGGATATTGTATTGTTGCAAGAGAGTCAACGCCCTTTGAATGTTTTCAACTTGATTCCCTGTATTTGACCCAAAAGCAATAAATGCAATATGGTCTCCTTCATATGTGGAGGCGGTAACTTCTTCTACTGGCATATTAAAAGCTGAACTAGGGGCTTGGGTTAAAACAAGCGGCTGTGCGTCTTTGAATGTTTTCTGGTTCATATATGAAGATACACCGACACCTTCAATGTGACTAAATGCATTCGGCTTAGTAACCTTTACAAATACTGATTCGATACCTGCATCATAATTTTGGAATATTAATTGACCAATATTGGATACCAATGCTTCAACCGTCTTAAAGTTGGAAGATTCAACAAACACGACAACATCATTGATAATCTCATGAAAAAAAAGGTTGGAATTGTCTTTAAGTTGGAATTCCAAGTCAATATCAACAATCTGTTTCTGTAATCTTTCAAAAGTAAATACACCAACAATAGTCAATAGTCTTAATTTGTTAACCTTGAAGACATCTAATCCATTATCCAACCCCAAAGTATTTCTCTTGAGATAATATTCAACGCTGTCAGCTCTGATTTCGGATTTGTTACTTCTAATAACAATCTCAACACTCAGACCACCACCTTTCTTTCTGTCAAGAGTAATTTCACCAACTGCCTCCCCTATACTTCCCAATGACTTGAAATTCTTGTGCTCGTTGGCCTTCATAAACTCAGTAATATTTCTGGTTATGACTGCATAATTCAATGAATATTTCAAATTATCAGTAAGTGAAGCTTGATGGAAATCAGTTTTTAATGCAATTGAGATGGTTATAGGTTGTGGGGTGGGTCTATTCCAGGCATCTTTCCCTGTGATTGCAGTTGCAGCAATATCCTTAGCAAAAACAATATCAGTATACATTGTATGAAATGTTCGCTTTGGTGACAAGATCGGGAGATTAGATGTCACCGACTTGAGCTTGGATAAAAGTAAACGTGAAATTGTCAATTTCAAAGTGGGGGGACTTCTCTTACAAACGCAACGGTAGTACTTACGGCCAGCGTTTGGTTAACAATTGGTTGTCTGAATTTTTTGCATGAAGATGCGCAGTTTTTCTTTTTTTTGAAAGGTATATCCGGGGGGAGGGGGGACAGAAACTTTATTGCCGATCTATCAATTCTATAAAATAAATACACACTTTTCACTAACCAAGAATTTGTGCAAGAAGTGAATCTTTCATTTCAGATTCTTGATCCAGAGAGGACTCGTCGCTATCGTCCAAGTCAAACTCAACTTCCATGGAATCAGCAACTACTATTCCATAATCAGTAGTTGCACTTATAATTTCCTCTGCCTTCTCAAAATCGCACTTCATGTCTTCCATAACCATACGAATTAAGATTTCGTTGGCGAGAACATATGTACAAAATCGAGGTATAGTCCAATAGGAAACTGTCCTATTGGTATTTGCAGATCTTTTCAATTCTTGTTGAAATCGGTTGCTGATTAAAGTTCCAATTATTGATTGTCTTTTTAGTCCGTAGTAGCCTCCATAAAACAGTTCCCAGTTAATTTGAAATTTCTCAGTACCACCCATTGTTTCATGGATTGACTTATCTCTCTGCTTCTTTGCTAGATCGTAATAGAATGACGGCGGAAGTTTCCCTCTAAGGATCTTAGGGATTATATCAATGTGTTTTTCCGCCCGCTCTATAAGTTTCTTTCTTGACAGTATTGAACTAGGTATATCCATATCTTTATATTTTTCTTTGACCGTATCGATATTAGACTGACTTCTTTTCGATAACAGTTGTAGAATAGATGCATTGTTGTCCTCCTTTTCAGATTCCGCGCTTGACTTGACTTTGTCACTATTATTCTCTTCATCACTTGTTTCATTGAAGGTTTCAATGGATACAGGATCATCTTCAGATTTGCTTGTTGGTTGGGGAGACGTTGAAACTAGCTTTTCAATATCTATCAACCCCTCATCGTCACTACTATCACCAGCTGCGGGATACAAATTTCCAATAGACTTCGAAATTGAGCTCTCTAATACATTTTCCAGACTAGCTTGGTTACTAGGTGGTTCAGATTGGTGAATATAAGCTTTCCTCTTTTTATGTTTCTTGTAAACCGGGCGATCTTCAGCTGATCTTTTAGAAGGAGAATAGGGCTCCTTTGAAGTTGGAGCAAAAATTGGGTTTGCCTTTTTCTTACTAGTAGAACGATCCAAACTGCCGAATGACTTTTTGGAATTGTAAGACATGTTGACCTGGGGCCTTTGCAGTGAGATGATGTTACGGTTGCCAAAGTAAACAACGCGTGTGAGTAAAAACTAGAGATAGAAAAAAAAAAAATTTTGTTGTGATTGCAAAAGGTAGAAACTTTAAGGTACGAAATTGCAAAATGTTTGAACTATATTAAACTATATATTGAAATCAACGATGTTGTTGCTGTTGTTGTTGCTGTTGCAACAATTGTGCTAAAGCAGCAAGGTTTGGATTACCACCTTGTTGCTGTTGTTGCATCATAAAATCATTAAATCCTGGAGGTGGAGCTTGCATGCCACCAGTTTGTGGATAGGCAGGTAAATTAGGTTGTTGAGGTTGAGGAGATGAATTACCAAATAATCCTTGCAATGGATTGACAGATGATTGTTGATAAATGCTGAAATCTGGTTGAGCACCATGAGACATTTGGATATTGTCTTGTGGGAGCAAAGTAGTCTTGACATATTCCTCATCCGGTTCACCAGGTCTGTTAGACTTAGGTCCATTTCTGGCTGAATTGGTTGGCATTTTCTTGGACATGGCTTTGGAAGAAATACCAGAACCAATTTCAATATCAGGTTCATCGATAACCATACCACTCAGCATTGGCTGACCACCAGTTCCACCCCATTGAGCTTGAACAACCCATGATTTATCAGCTTCTGTTAATCTTTGGATTGGAATGATGGAAATACCATGTTGATAGTTACAACAATCTCTTGGTCCAAAACCAACACCCCATCTAGTTCTCAATGGCAATGAATTGTCCTTGTTAAAGGAGGTTATAACTTGTTCAGCTTCTCTTCTAGAATAAACCTTAATAAATGCGTGTTTTCTTTCACTGTTTAAAATAACGGATTGAACTTCAGCAAAAGGTCTTAAAGCATCTGCCAAAGCACGTTCATCCATATTTCTTGGAACACCACCAATAAACAAGGTTCTTGACAATACTTTGAGCGAACCTTGTGGTAATGTTGGGTCAAAGCCGACATTTCTTGGGCGATAATGTTGAGAGCCTGGAATATTCAATTCCCCACCATTTTGTGGCTGAGGAGCTTGGTGTTGCTGTTGTTGTTGTTGTTGTGGTGGTGGTGGTTGATGTTGTTGTTGCTGATGATGCTGTTGTTGCTGTTGTTGTCTATGTTGTTGAATTTGTTGAAGTGGGTTTGGAGGCAAATGTGGATTTGGAGGTAAATGTGGGTTTCCATAAGGTTGAGATCGAGGAGGAGATCTTGTTCTTTGGTATTGATTTGAAGCAGGACCACGGTTTGGAGATCTTGATCTGTTTCTTCTACCACCATGACCGTTATTATCATGAGTATCACGGCTACGTCTTCCAGTGCTATAATCATTGATTTGTGGTTGTGGAGGAGGAGCTTGACCACCATTTTGCATTTGTTGCAACATGTTGAAAATCACTTGTTCGTTATTAGCAGTTGGTGGTGCACTATGAGGTGGTCTTTGTTGGTAGTTGACAGGAGGCTGAGGAAGATTAGGTGGGGCTGCTGATGAAACAGTAGAACTTGCTGGTGGACCACTAAGAGCAGATAATTGGGACAAGATATTACTAGCATCATTATTCAAGGCAGTATTTTGACTTTGTGGCGTGTTAGATGCAGAATTAGATTTTGCTAATGATGCAAGAGCCAGTAAAATACTAGTAGAGTCTTTGGCAGCACCATCGTCTGCTGGTTTCACTGGTTCAACTTTCCGTCTTGGAGGTGTACCTGGTGGGGTAGTAGATGCAAAATGCTTATCTCTAATTCTCTTGATAATATCAGGAGAAAATGTACTGCCTCTTTCCCAAATATCTACCAACTTACTGATTTTGATATTTTGAGATGAACTAATCAGCAATTCTAATGCATCATCAACTAATGATTCAATTAATTCACTAATCTTGAAAACTGCCGATCCGAAGGTGCCTTCTGGTGCCAGAGAACTAATTTCTTGATTTTCCTTTCTGGCTTCTTCCAAGAATCCTCTCACAATTGAGTCAACCACATATAATGTACCTAATTTGTGAGTTGAAGGAGCCGCCTTACAATTAGAATACAAAACTGTTATTAATTTAGACTCTTGGGCAATTTCTTTGAAGGCAATATCTGTCAACTTCTTGATTCTAGATCCAGAAACCCCTGGTGCTTTCAAGGTTGGCAATTCTTTCAAAATCGATTCAAATTCTTCAATTCCGGACATCTTCTTCCTGTTTTAAAAAAAATACTTCCAAATTACTATTACAAAGAATTAAGTACAATACGAAATAGAAACCTACTCTTTTTTTTTAACAAATGAATGAGCGATGGTGTAAGTAGTAGGGATGTGGGTAAGGTTTGTTGATTGTTGACACTTAGAAAATGCTAATGATGTTACGATTCTAAACAAAAGCTTACTGAGTTAATCTACTCTGATAATTTTTTTTCCAATTTTGTTGATAATCTGAACTTTCTAAACTTTTTCGCCACTCTTGTCTGTGATACTTCCTTACCTGTACTGGAATACTTCAAATACACAAAAATAAGAAATATGAAGATAAAATATATGTGGAAAATAGTTTGGTTGAGATAGCTTTTGATTAATTAATCTCTGTCTGAATTACCTATATATTGTAGTTAGATGTAGATAAACAAAAGTGGTGTGAATGTCGAATTTTTTTTTGGGAGGATTTGCGCCAGCTTTTTATAATCACCAGCGAATAAAGTTTTGAAGGAATGCTCACAAAAAAAAACAGTTTGGTTACCCGGATCTTGACTTTGCGTGCTGAAATTTACTCAGATAACGAGTAAACTATATTTTTGAAAAATTTTGACTGTGCTTTCAGCAAATCGTTAAATTTTCTTAAGAGCATTGAAAGATCAATAATAGATATAGATATTCAGCATTACAATGAGGAGTGTTTGGGTTACAAGGGCGTCTATAGCCAGGGCATATTCCACACAAGTGCAACCAGTTATTTCCCTGACATTATTATTGTCTAGAAATCCAATTATAACTCAAGAACCATCAAGCTTCGAGAAACAATTTTACAAATACCAAAATGAATTATGGAGAAGATTAATGTGGACCTTCCCAAGTTGGTTCTTCTTCAAGCCAGGTACTGTTGCCGAGCAAAAATACCGTAAATTGAATAAACCAGCTACCCCGGACAATCCAAATATAGAATTCCCAAGAGGTAGACCTGAATTGAGACACAACAGAGATCGTAGATTCAAGCAAACCATTTCAGTCCCAAAGAGTTATGAAGATAAAAAGGGAGAAACTAATGCTGCTAGTGAAACTGATGATTTGGCTCGTAAGATTGTTCCAAATTCTCGTATAACAGAAGCAGATTTGAAGAAGGACCTCGCTAGTTTAGAAAGAAAGTTAAGTCGTACTTTATACTTGATTATCAAGGAAAAGGGAAGCAATACTTGGAAATTCCCGAACTTCAACGTTCCAACCAATGCTGAAGAAGTTTCTGGATTGCATGTCGTTGCTGAAGAAGGGTTATACAAGATTGGAGGTGAAAAAATCAACTATTTCAATGTTTCAAATACTCCATGTCATGTATTCAATAACTTGCAAGAAAATAAGAAAGAATATTTCATTAAATCGCATATATTATCCGGTATTTTTGAACCACAAGAGTCAGTTGCCGAATTCAATTGGTTGAGTAAAGAAGAATTGAAAGATGTTTTACCAGCCGAGTACTACCAAGATGTTAGCCACTTACTTAATAACGTCTAGGTCTTGTAAATAGAGACATCTTCTGTATATATATATATATTTAATACAAAAATTGAAATGATAACTATTTAATATCTCTATGCTTTTTTTTTAATTTGGTTATCTCGGCGTTTATATATCCTTTTTACCTCTTATTGCTTGTTGGGTCGCATAGACTGACCTGTCTATAAGAGTACCAACCATAAGAACACCAGCAATGGAACTGATAACCCCCAAAACAAATCCTGACCAAGTCTTTGCGTATTGCTCTTTGTTGATTATTTTCAATGGTGAGATATCAAAGTGGAATTCAACTCCAGGGATTCCACCTCTAGCATGTAAGGTGTGTTCGTGGTCTTCATCCTTGCCTCCAGTTAATGGTCTATCATGAGTAATTACCGAGAATTGATTGGTATCCAATCTCTTGGATTGGTCTAAAGATTCAAATCTAGTAGCAACAACTTTCAAATAGTATGAAGCAACATGGTGCTTCTTATGAAGCATGAATTGGTAACCATCCAAAGGATGAACCGAATTAAGGATCTCTTCTCTGGCGTCATTTGATCCGAATGACAAGTGATTTATAATATGGTCAAAGTTGAATTTATCTTGATACTTGCCATATAATGAAACATCATGAACATGTCTTCCATCACTTGTGAAAGAAGCACCTGGTGCAAAATCCATAGTACCGGAAACACGATTAATTTTCGCTGAACCTTTGATTCTACAACCTTCGTTATCGTTAATTCTCTGACGTAATCGTTTAACATAACCTTCTTTTTCACATTGCTCAATATTTTCACCGTCAAAAAAAGACCATCTTCTTTCGGCATAGGCTCTCTTGACACTATAACAATCATTACAACAGTATTGGTGCTTCTCTTGAGGAAGAGCACCATAACAAGATCCACAAGTCTTAGGATCGCCACCCTCTGGTAAACCCTTTACAACTTCACTTAATGGTCTATCCAAATTCAAAGCAGGGGTGTCGTCTGAAATCTCACGAACAATATTACCTTTGTCTTTAATTAATCTAAGCTTTTGGAAACCAGCATTGATAATATTCAACTGCATATCCCCAGTTTCGTCTAATAAATCAATCAGAGCCATGTCACAAGGAAGGTTGATAAATGAAATATCAAGATTGATGACTAACTGCTTGTTGATATCACGATCAACCACGAGTTCAGGACGAGTTATCACGGTCGTATAATCAATGTATTCGTTTCTAATTAAGACTAAGGTGATTAACACACAAAGCAAGGTGATAATCCCACCTGACGTGGTCCTTATTCTTGCATCATCGACCGTCTTGGCAAAGGCGTCGAGTGATAGCAACCTTGGTCTAGAAGCAGTGGCCATTTTCAGTTGTACTCTTGTAGCAAGATCTGGTTGTAAAATTGGCTAACTACTTTTTTTCTAAACTTCGACGTGGCACTGTTAGTACTGGGTGGAGTCCGAATTTTTTTTTTTATTAATTAGGTTCCGGGACGGGAAGAGAGAGAAAACAAAACATAACTGCTGGCAAGGTAACCAAAAGACAGTATACGAATAGACAATTGAAATGAGTACATCAAATAAAGACTTTTTCAAACGATTTATATCTGTCCCAGTTAAGGACAAGCCACTTTCAGGATATACATCGTCATCAACGGAAATAATTGAAATTAGTATAAACGAGTGTGGAACTCGATTGGTTGCATCTCGAACTGATAAATCTATTCGAATATGGAAATGTACCAGTGACAGATTATTGGATCCGATAATCATAGAAGATGCACATAATAGATCGGTTGAATGTATAAGTTGGGACCCAAAAACTGAATATACGTTTGCAACTGTGGGTCGTGATGAGTGTATAAAAATATGGCGAGGAAATACTGGTACTTTAGAGCGAACAATTAAAATTGCTGCCGGTGCTTCTTTAAAATTGGTCCGTTATTCTTATGACGGGGAATTGTTACTTGCTGTTGATCGCGAATCTAATGTGTATGTGTATTCAGCCGGACAAAACTATAAATTGGTGAATGAGTTTCAAGTGCTGGAATATGTATACGATCTTAGATGGTTTAATTCTAAACACAAGTTTTTTATATGCGCATTGCATGATGGAACCTTGCCTGTGTATGAAGTGAGTGAAGATGGCACCGAATCTAAATTGAGAACTACGTTGACTGGGCATCGATCTTCGGCTACAACCGTATCTATTCTGCCGCGAGGAAACTACATTGCCGTTGGAGCAAGCGAAGGAGTAGTTAGTATCTGGGATTGTTCAACTATGCTTAACGAAAAGGTATTGACCTCTATTGACGAGTCGGTGGCACATATTGACAGCAGCAGAGATGGTGCATATGTGGCAGTGTCCTATGATAGTGGGTCTAATTCTATGGTATACGAGTCGGACAGTGGAGAACTCGTATATGAAATACCAAACAGTATGTCGGGGCAGACTACATTTTCTAAGGTTTGTTGGTTTCCAAATAAAACTGCGTTTGCATACAGTAGTGATCTCGGTACGACATTGGTTTACATGAAGAAGTCCGATAGAATAGGGGGAGGAAGAAAACTAAAGTAAAGATGTATAAACAATATGTATGCAAGTTATAGAGACAATATATTTTACCGACAATTTTGCATAAAAATTCTGCAAATTTGGTACGAGACAAAAGAATTACTGTATGCCACTTGACAACCCCGACAATAGACCATCTATCCATGTATCTTTGTTAATAGATAGTTTGCATGCTAGTATAAAAAGAACAAGAAAAGTAACGTCACAATCCGTATGTCAACTTGCAACTTGTTGTTTCCCAGCTCATAGCGAACTAGCCTCTCAACGTTATCAATCTACAATACGTCGCAAAATAACCCATTTCACTGGATGTCAAATTTTTTGATTGTTAAATAGGAGAAAAATTTCCAAACTCAGTAATTAAATTGAACAAAGAATTTACGCGTCGCAAACTGGAATTTTCGCGTACCTTAGTTAAGTAAAAAACGGAATTTAGGCTTTTGAATAACTTTCAATTCCAAATCCTGTCTTCCAGATTCAATTAAATGACAGTCGTTACTTGCTGCATTCTTGCTTGAACGCCTCGATAATTTCCAAGAAATACGATATGCACATAAGGATATGTATTAAAACTCGGCACTTACCCTCGTCTAAGTATGTACTATGGTCGTGTATATCGACAAAAAGCAAAGACAATGAAATTTCCAATCCCCTATGAAATTTTTTGTTACCATTTGCTTTGTTATGTTTTTTTTGTATTTTTTTTTTTTAAACTTTTTATTTTTTTACATTGTCAGCGAAAGGGCTAGGAATAGTGCAATATTTTTGGTAGTTAGTGAGAAATACACGTAACTAAAATTTAGAAAACTGAAATCATAAGCTCTAATTTTGTGAAAATTTTTCTCTGTAAACTGTACTAGCAAGTAACATAGAGCTGTCTAAATCCTTATATGTAAGACGATAAGGGTTATGTTCTGGGAGCACAAAAAAAACTTTTGCGTTCTTTTTAGGGAGGTTTCTGGTTTCAATTTAAGTCAAACATTTGCCCTTTTTAATTTTCAAACTTTTTTTTGCTTTTTAGAGCCTTTTTTTGAACTTACCGCCAAAAAAAAAAAAGAAAAACAGAAAATACAGAACAACAAATTAGACAGCCAAAACATTTCTGACTAAAAGGTTTTAATTACGTACATACGCACATACACACCTCCGCATATCCTTGTGGCTTTATAATCCATTAGAATCCAGTGTATTAAATTTAGCTTACACTTTTCAGTTCACCCTGGTGTAATATTATTATAATTATTCTTTTCCTTGTATTTTTGCTAGTGTTGTCAAAAAAAAACTATCAACACTTGCGGTCGTCGTCAACAACATTCAACTTAACTACCAATATGTCATCCTCAATGGATCAACTACCACACGCCTTCCGGTCGCTTTCTACAAGCTCCAACTTATCTCACAACTCGTCGTCGGCCTCCATCACAAGAATAAACCTGGCCCCATTAAATAATAACTTTAATAAACAGTCTTCAGGCAAGGATCATCTTTATTACCAATGCGAGTCGTTGAAACGAAGATTGAAAAAGATCGATGGAATGGAACCATACCTTCTGCAAGCATTCTCACAAGCTGAAGAGTTAGCTGAACAACAGGCGCTTGCGTTATCACAAGAATCGTTTAATGGTGCTAATTCAGCCCTGAATAATATCAAGAGTAATCGGCAATCAATGCAATCTTTTTCAAGCAAAGGATCATACCACTCCGATGGTTCTGGCTCTCGATTGAATAACCATTTATTCACATTCACCGCAGGTGTCCTTCCCGCCAATATCAGTGTTGATCCCGCTACCCATTTATGGAAATTGTTTCAACAAGGTGCCCCCTTGTGTCTAATTTTCAACCATACTATTAAGGATTATCAAATACCCGTGATTAGTAGTGACGACTTGAGAATTTGTAAGAAATCGGTGTATGATTTCTTATCAGCCGTGAAATCCCATCTTAACTTTGATGATGAGGATATGATTACTATTTCTGATGTCTTTTCCGATAATACAGAAGATTTAATCAAGATTATAAATGTGGTTAATAAATTATTATACGACTATGGACTTTCCAGCTCCAATGCTACATCTAAAACTGATTTGAACGATAATTCTGACTATGCTAATGATATTAATGTTGATGTTATGATAACTGCCGAAAGATCAAAGGTGTTCCGAGAATTGGTGGATACAGAACGGAAATATGTCCAAGATTTGGAACTATTGGTCAAGTACCGTAAAGATTTACAAGATGCAGAGTTGTTATCGTCAGAACAAATCAATAATTTATTTCCAAATTTAAATGAAATCATTGATTTCCAACGTCGATTCCTTAATGGGATAGAATGTAATATTAATGTTCCTATTAAATACCAAAGAATTGGATCCGTTTTCATTCACGCTTCACTTGGACCTTTCAAAGCTTACGAACCTTGGTCAATCGGGCAATTGACAGCTATTGATTTAATATCTAAAGAAGCAGTAAACTTGAAAAAATCTTCAAGCTTATTAGACCCTGGATTTGAATTACAATCATATATCCTTAAGCCAATTCAAAGACTCTGTAAATATCCCCTTTTACTTAAGGAGTTGATCAAGAATTCACCTGAATCACAAGATCTGGAAAATAATCATACAGCTTCATATAATGAACTATTAGTGGCTATGAATGCCATGAAGGAAGTTGCCAACCAAGTGAATGAAGCACAAAGAAGAGCAGAAAATGTAGAATATACTCATAAATTAATCGAACGTGTTAGTAATTGGCGTGGATTCAAGTTATCGGATCAAGGTGAATTGTTACATTATGGTAAAGTCGGGGTTAAGGACGGTGAACTTGAACGTGAATATGTGGCTTATTTATTTGAAAGAATAATTTTCTTCTTTGTTGAAGTAGATAAATTGAATGGCGAGAAGGAGAAAAAGAACAAGTTTGGTCTGAGAAAGAAATCAACTTCTAGTGCCACTAGCTCAAGTTTGAATTTACTTGAATCATTGAATTCAGTCAAGGATGATTCTCCATTGGAATTAAGAGGAAGAGTATACATTTCCGAGATCTATAATATCAGTGCCCCTAACAATCAAGGATATTCCTTAGTAATATCTTGGTCTGGCAAGAAAGAAAGTGGATCTTTCACGTTGAGGTATCCTTCGGAAGAATTCAGAAATCAATGGGAATCATGTTTACGCGGACTTAAAACCAATGAAATCAACGAGCAAGTGCAAAGGAGATTACACGAGTCACAACTTGCTAGTGAAGATTCTTCAATTTACGAATATACTGGCGGCTCTCCAAATGGTATTGGGTATATCAATGATTCAAGGTCTTCCAGTGGATCTTTATATCATCGTCACCATTCCTCCTCTTCAACCTATAGTATGATGAGAAATATGAGAAAATCTTCAGAATTGAATTCGAGATTTTCTGCTGTATCAAACACCTCAACTTCAAATAACACCACAACTGCCACATCACCTACGTCAGATACAATGCCTTCGGTATTTGAAATTACTATCAAGATGGTTTATAATAGTATTGAGATTCCTGAACCATTGTCTGTACCATCACTGATTCAATTCCATGAATTATACCTGAAGATTCTGAGTAAAATTGTCGCTAGTAAGGCAGTTAGTGATGATATCTTGGTCAATAAGTTGAAGTATAAGGATGAAGATGGAGATTTCGTGGTTATGGACACAAACGATGATTGGACTCTTGCAATTGATATGTTGGATGAAATGAATGACAATGGAAATACATACGAATTAACTATTTGGGTATCATGATCTTTTTTTTTTATATTATTTTATGTAATTATTGATGTTTCTAAGATATAGAATGGTTTTATATTTGGAGTTTTTAGAGGTATTGTTTTAGCAATATATAAAAATTTGTATGAATGAAGAAGCCACTCTTCATTGTAAGTGTTGCAGTAATAATGCGACCGAGTCAGAAAGCGATAAGAAAGCGGCTGCAAATTGCACCGGCCAGAAGTATTCACTACATGGTTTTTTTATTTATCAAAGCAAGGTTATTTTCATATTAAAGGTATTCAATTAGTCTATCACCCTTGACATAATCAGATGTTTCAGTGTGTTTGCAATAAAACTGATGTCACCAGATGATAAATTGCACTAATTTCATTCGTCAGTGAAAAATAAGTCATTTGGTCAGAGTCACCGTATATGCAGGAGGTGACTAACAATTTTTTTATCACCTTCCAAAGCGCATCATATAATGAAGGTGTGGTGGTGCTTTTTTTTTCAACCCTCCCCTAGTTGTTGCTTACCTTATTTCAAGAGAATTTCTAGTTATATCAGTTCACAGAAGAATATGGCATCAAGGGCAATTCTAATCAGATCAACAAGACTTCTTGGAAGGTCGTCGTATAGTGCATTAAGAACTCCATGGAGATTTCCAACCAGATCATTCACAAGTACATTACCTAAATTCCTAACAGCGGAGCAATTGGAAATTCTTAATCAAGAAAGACCAAGTGATCATGTTGACGTCTGTATAGTTGGTGGTGGACCTGCAGGGCTTGCAACTGCAATAAAGTTGAAACAATTGGATAATGAAAAAGGTAGTGGTGAATTACGTGTTGTTGTTCTTGAAAAAGCAGGTGATTTTGGTGGTCACACTGTTAGTGGGGCCATTCTTGAACCTGGTGCATTTTTAGAATTATTTCCTGATGCACAAGATTTAGTTGAAGAATCAGGTGGAATTCCGTTACCTAAGGACATTGTAACTAAAGTCACCAAAGATGGTATGAAATATTTAACTGAAAAACATACATTCCCCTTGCCTGAAGTACCTGCATTGGCAAACCATGGCAAGAATTTTGTGGTTAGTTTGAATAATGTTGTCAAATATCTTTCTGAACAAGCTGAAGAACTTGGAGTTGAATTATATCCTGGTATTTCTGTCAGTGAATTAATCTATAATGAGCTGGGTGATGCCATTAAAGGGGTAGCTACTCAGGATATGGGTATTGCCAAAGATGGAACACCCAAGGATTCATTTGAAAGAGGTATGGAATTCCTTGCTCGAGTTACAGTGTTGGCCGAAGGATGTCATGGATCTTTAACTAAAAAGGCGATTTCTAAATTTGATTTACGTAAAGATTGCTTGCCCCAAACTTATGGATTAGGAATTAAGGAAGTCTGGGAAGTAAAACCGGAAAATTTCAAACCTGGATTTGTAGCCCATACTATGGGTTACCCACTTTCATTTCAAGAATATGGAGGAGGGTTCCAATACCATTTTGGAGATGGGTTAGTTGCTGTGGGTTTAGTTATTGGTTTAGACTATGCTAATCCATATGTTTCTCCTTATCAAGAATTCCAAAAGTTAAAATTACATCCATATTACAGTAAAGTTTTGGAAGGAGGTAAATGTATTTCATATGCTGCTAGAGCCTTGAATGAGGGTGGATATCAATCTATTCCTCAGTTACATTTCCCAGGTGGGTTACTTGTTGGATGTTCGGCCGGGTTTGTTAATGTTCCTAAAATTAAAGGAACCCATACTGCCGTTAAAAGTGGTATTGTTGCTGCTGAAGAAATATTTAAGATTTACCAAGAACAAGAATTCGAACCAGTTGACGAAGACACTTTTGACGATGAATACAAGGCTCTTGACTTGAGCTCTTATGAAGAATCATTTAAGCAATCGTGGGCCTATAAGGAACTATACGCGGTTAGAAACGTTCGCCCTTCATTCAATACTCCTTTGAGAATACTAGGAGGGTTAACACATTCAGGATTAACAACCTTGATTACTAAAGGTTACGAGCCATGGACTTTGAAACATAAACATACTGATTCATCCATGACTCAAGATGCAAGTAAATTTAAACCTATAGATTATCCTAAACCAGATGGGGTATTAACTTTTGATATTTTGACTTCAGTTTCAAGAACTGGTACTAGCCATGATGAAGATGAACCATGTCATTTGAAAATTCCAAATCAAGATGAACGTAAACATGCCGAAATTTCATGGCCAAAATATAAGGGTGTGGAGCAAAGATTTTGTCCTGCTGGGGTTTATGAATATATTGAAGACGCAAACGAACCATTAGGAGTTAAATTCCAAATCAATAGTCAGAATTGTATTCATTGTAAGACATGTGACATTAAAGTGCCTACTCAAGATATCGACTGGGAAGTTCCTGAAGGTGGGGATGGACCAAAGTACTACATGTCTTAGACATTTCTTAGTATAGATATGATAAACTTTTAATAATAAACATTTTAGTTAATAGCCGAATGATGTATAATATTTTTTTTAAGTTTATAAAATGTTTATATAATATATAAATATATTGTATAGTTGTAATGAATTAAACCCCCAATAATAGAAAGTAATATAAAAAATTGTTGCGTATGAAAATGTTAGCAATAAAAAAAAACATATAAAAAACTTTCATACGGAAATCCTGGTAAAGTACACATAAGGGAAACGTAGAACTCTCATTTTCATAAGACATAAACGTCATTAAAAACATATTCTTTTAACTTCATTGTTCATTAGTTCTTTTTCTTTGTTCATCACCCTCTTTTTATTTTTTAAATAATTTCTCTATGAGAAAAATTTGTCTAGATCTGATAAACTAATATCTTCAGGTGTAGCAATATCTTGAGTCATAAACCCTGATCTAATAACATTCAACCATTTCTTGTTGGCTGAATACCCTTCTGAACCTTTATCAAGAGAACCAGCTGTTGAAGATGGGTTAGAAATTGCTTGTAAGGCGGCAGCGTGTAAAGCAGCAGCAGCGGCAGCAGCGTTTGCACTATGAGAGCTTGGAGCTCTAGAAGCTCTTGGGGCAGCAGCTGCAGCGGTTAAAATTTTGGTTTTCTTATTGGCATTACTGTTGTTGTTGGCTTTGTGAGTGAACGACAAGTAAGACATCGATTTAGAACGTTTACCACTCTTGTGTAAAGTTTCAATCAAATTATCATCTTCTTCTTCATCAGTATCTGCAAAAACTTCAAAGTCCAATTCAAGATCAGAAGTTTCCTTATTATCGTCTTCTTCATCATCATCTTCTTCTTCATTCTTGAAAGTAATACTAAGTTCTGCCAAGGATGCAGCAACTGGAGCAGACGAATAAGGAACAAACAAATTACATTTTTCAATAGGACTGTCCAAGAATGTATTCTTGGTTACACCTAAATCAAACATAGTTTGTCTTCTTGGTTTGGCCAAGGCTTGTTTACCAACTTCAAAAGCATCGTCATCATCATCATTTTTTAATTCAGCCTTGTTCAACTTATATTTAGAACCACCAGATTTAGGAGACTCTGATTCTGGAGAAGTTGATTTTGATTCTTCGACAGCAGCATTTTCTTGTTGTTGTTTAAGCTTTTGTTCTTCCATTAACTTTTTGGCATGAATATGGAAGTCATCAGCTAAAATACCACGGTAAACATAAACCATTCTCTTTGGAGATGCATCTGCCCAATCTCTTGATAACGCATACTTTAAACTTGTATCACCTTTTTCAACACGTTTAACATAAGCATTCAATTTAGCACTGACTAAATTAGAAGTTTTAGTAGACAAGTTAGCCATATCTGGATGTTGCTCAATCAAAATATCACAAATTTGTTTGACAGTCATACCAGCACCTTCAGGATCCTTTTCATACAAGATGATGAAGATAGCATATAATACATCATCCTCTAAGGAAGGATCATTGGTTTGTTCAGGCTTTGGTTTTTCACCAGTAACCGGAATGTTTGTGGATACACCAGTGGCAATCGGAGCACGAGAAGTATTTTTAGGCTTTTTAATCTTTTCTGGTGGTGCATCTGAGTCATTTTGAGATGAAGGCGGAGTAGATGTAGTTGTTGGAGGGGTTGTTTCGCGAGAAGAACCGGTTTCCTTGGCGCTATCATTATCATTCATTAAAGAATCTGGAGAAACACTTCTCGGAGGACTGGGCGAGTCTTCATCTTGGGAGTGCGGTTGCGGAGACAATAATTCATCTTCTTCCTCGAGATCAGCATCACCAGCAGCCTCGTTATCGTGTTCTAAAACATCAGGTAAAGGATTCTTTGATAAATGAGCAGCAATACTGTTCTTTCTTGATTCAACAATGTTTAAACTAGCAGGGTTGAACGAAGGAGAACTGTGCGTAGTAGTAACTGGTAAAGCAATTGGTCTTTTGTCAGTTAATGCCATATTGGGTATATATATATATAGCTGTGGATGTTTTTTTTTCCGAGTGAGTAATGTAGTTAATAAGACAATTTGAACAAGTTATAAGTAAAAGTGTTTGGTTCTAGTTTTTTCTATTCAAGTATTAGTTAAAACCTTGAATAACGTTACCTTTCTAAAATCAACAAAAATGTAAAACCAAAAATAAAAAACACACTAATATAAAAATGGATCAGTTAAACAGTAGCAATAAAAAAAACAGTTGATCCTTCTTTCGTTAAACAAACAATTATGACAAAACAAAAATATACAAAAAAACCCGTGAATTCGTAATAATTAAGTCGTAAATATAAATGATGGTTTCTCTGGTTTAGTATGATCTGTTCATATAAAACTAACAAATTGCCAAATAAACGTATGAATATGAAAAAAAATACAAGCACCAAATGAAGATTTAACAAGCTTGGAATGGATAAAGGGTTGGTTAAATGGGAGTGCGAATAGTGGTGGTTGTCAAATCTTAAAAAGAGTGCTGGTTGTGTATGAGGGTCAGCCAAATGATAATTAAACCTTTAGCTGGTGTCTTGTAATGAATGAAGTGTATCTTTCAAATAAGTTTCCGGATGAGATGGTTGCAGAAACTTTTTTGGGTGTATTACAAACGTTTGGTTATAGCCAAGGATCCTATTGTTGTTTGATTTCTTTTTTTATTTCTTCTTTATGAAATTTTTACTAAGGTGCAACCCACAAGAAAGCAAAAAAAAAAAATTAAAAACTTCTGGTAAATCCTTTATATACAGGAATGACTCTAAATGCAAAATTGTATTAATATCAAAAATCAATTGTAAAAAAATGATAATAGTTAGTAATAAAAGTAAACGCTTTGAAGCATAACGAGGGTGTGTTGTGTTGCAACAGCCAGTAGAATACACTCTATCTCTTCAAGGTTGGAATAGTTCCATCTGCCATCCCATCTTCAAGATTGTTTGTAAGATTTTTCATAGCCCTCGTGTATGGTATTCAAAATGTACTTTTAACTACTTTTTCATGATGGAAAATATCGTACTTTTTCTAGCAAATTTGAGTAACAGACAGATGAATATCAGTTAAACAAGTTTATATTCAATTGTTTGATGAATATTCTGGAGTATCTTTCGACAGTCAAAAAGACTTTTAGGGGGGTAGATATAGTAAAGAGGAAGAGAAGAGAAGAAATTAAAAAAAAAAATTGAATAGGAGTGCTAATGAAAAAATATAAACATCTGAAAAAATGTGTGGGATTATTTTTAATCTAATCAAAAATTGTGTGGGAAAATTCTTAATTTATTTTTAATTAATTTTGTTTAGCCATAGAACGTGAAAGAAAGAAAAGAAAAGAAAACAGACACGTGATTTATATGCAGGCATAAGACATATCTCATCATGCATACGTATCTAGTGACTGCTTTTTTTTTTCCTCAAAGTATTTCTCTTTGGTTAATCTCTCTAATTTTTAACTATATTAGGATAGATTAAACTGGGTAATGAATAAAAGTTCGGTTGGAATAGTTCAGGAAATATCTCAGATATTTCTTAGTTAAGTTAATTGATGATTTTGTGATATTCTATTTTTTTTTCCGCATATTTGGCCAGACTTGTATTTTCTTACCCACTGCGTAAATTTGAATATTCCGATATGGGGCAAAAGCAACCGCACCGGCAATTACCTGGAAAAAAAATAATTGCCGTGACGTGAAAATTTTCACCTTCCCCTTCTTATCTTGGGATAGAAAAATTAAATTACTAATAGCCCCACTTTTACACAATAAAACGAACAAATTAACATCTACTAAGGATGATGCCTTGGGATGTTCGAATATATCAATTAATTCAATCACGTACGGCACAATGTTTAGAAGATAATTCTTTTATTAATTAAATCAGTATGATAACGTAGGCTAAATTTTATAACTAAAACCTACAAATCACATGACCAGGGTTAGGGTTGCAACCCTTGCGTTTTAATTGTTGTTATTTTTATTTTTTTTTGCATCCAATTTACACGTTCTCTTTTTTTTTCCGCTTATCTTTAACCCGGAAAAATAAAATATATCCAGGGTTTTCAAAGGGGGCTAACAATGGTGGAGTAGTTTGATTTAGTTATCGATGAACTATGATTGGCGAGAAGGCTATTGAGACTCCACAGTGGGAAATAAACCGAGTTTCACTTCTCCTGATATTTTTGTTTAGGGTTTCTGCTAGGAAGCAATTTTATTCACATTTTGAAGGGGGTTTCAAAGAAAAGCTTAAACTGTGGTAAAAACACCATAAAAAATCTCTATTGTTTAAAGTCAATGTCTCTAAAAATAATGAGCAACTATTACCAAGTATTTTCTCGCAAGGAGAACACATGTGTCAGTGCACGTTTTAAGATTTCAAAGCACATGGGGTAAAAAATTAGTACAAAGAATTGTCAATTTTACAGGTAAGAGATTGACGAATAAGTTCTTACAATGTCACAAAGAAAGTTCATTGTCATATTTTTCTTAATTATATTCTCAGTCTAATTCAATTTTGCCATTTTGAGCCAATTCCAAGCTCCGCCTTGTTTTGGCCCAATCTTCATGCCAATACATGTCGCTATAGCAAGTCTCGACATTGTCCGTGTTTGGAGGTATAAACCAGTAGTTTAATGCAATATGACCATGATTATCATCATCTCCAAAACTTGAAACTTCATGAAACCAACCAGCAGGTAAATATAACATATCACCTGGTTCTAACCAAACTTTGAACAGATTAAGTTCAAGAAACCCAGGGAAATATTCATTTGCAAACGTTTCTAATTTGTTTCTAATGTCTTTGTTGTCAATTTCATCAAGGTGTAATAAAGCTGGTGGGATTTTTGAGAAATTAGGAGGATCTAGATCCGTTTTGACCCCTTTCATTTCATTTCTTTGTTTAACTTCCCATTGCAATTGCTTCAACAATTTCGACTTTTCCTTAGAATCTTTATCGTCAAGACCATCCAATTTCCAACGAATTATCTCTTCGACTATAGCCCCATCATCTCGAATATGTCTCCAATGAGGTGCATTCTTGTCGACTTCATAATCGATTATACCACTATCGTATAATCGGTAAATTGTCCCTACAGTATACAACTTAAAAGCATCAGCTGGGCTATACAAGGTGAACCTTTTCTTACCTTGAACAACGATATATAAGTTATCAGCATGATCATGATGTAATCCTGACGAGGATCCAGTTAAATCACCCGGAAGTTGTTTTCCAAGCCCTAATCCTGATTTGTCTGATTCATCAAGTTTGAATTCTTTTGAAGAAATGTTTGAAGAACCCATCCAAAGATTAATCTGCTGTGGAATTAACTTTTCAAAACATGGAGGAATTGTAGGAAGGATGTCTGGAGCATTAATTAGATTGGTCAACGGGGCTTGGTACATGTCTTTAAGTCTGACAAGAGCTTCGGATTTAGTGAGACTCAATTCCTCGTCTAATATCGAATCAGTAGTGTTTGAATCTTCTTCAAAATCTTCTTCAAAATCATCTCTAAGGTTATTCATATCAATTGATGATGTTTCTGAGAAATTATCAGAGAATTTAAAATTAATATTTTCCCCTTGTTCCTCTTCGTCATCATCGTCATCTCCTTCTTCCTCTTCCCCAAACTCCTCCTCGTCTTCATCATTGTCTTCTTCCTCATCAGATTTAGCATCAGGATCATCAAAGTCGTACTGAGTTGTCAAGTAAAACTCATCATTACCCAGTTTCACTTCCTCAATTAACTTCCCCAATCCAAACTTTACTCTTTTTTGGCCAGATCCAAATCCCAGTTGATATTTCTTTTCAATTTGCAAATCATGATGATAATGTAAAGTAGACTCAAGATTACCAAGTCTGAATTTATCCAAGGGAATAATTGATTCAGTAAGCTTAAACTTGACTGGTTTTCTAGGAGCTATAAAGTTTTGGAAAAACTCACCTGAACTAGGGAGTTCAGTAAGAACAGCCAACTTGTCTCCTTTGGAAATAGTGTAATTGATATATGATGAGGATATACCCTGCTTTAACTTCTTTGGTGGGGGTTGTTCTGACATTGGTGATGTGTTGCAAGTTTACAAGATTAAAACATTTTTTTTTTTCAGTATATGGGGAGATTTTTTGATGCATTTTGCGACAAATCCATGGAAGTTTCCAAAACTGCAATTTTAAGAGGACAGCCTATCAATTAACTCTAATTATAGCTAGTTATCACAAGCTCAATTTTTTTGAATTTGATCACGTTGAGTTTATGCACATCTAGTGATTCACTCCCTAGAACAAGGATCTTGCAGGAACTTGACTAAGCCTAGAGCCAAAGACGCAGGGGTGGGAAACAGTGGGATGCATGAGAGAGCCGGAGTAGTGAAGAAACACTAGTAGTAAAGTCAACAATATCCTTGTTTAGCTTTCACAACTTAGATCATTCAGGGGTTCTTTTTTTTTATTCGTGAAGAAGTCACCGAAAGGGTACAGTGTTGCTCAATAGATCAATACATCACTTGCATGACTGGATCAAAAAAAAACACAGCTTAACGTACAAATATTTAACGGAAATGTTTGTATTGACGGAAAAAAGTCAACTAAAAGCTAATATATATACGAGTAAGTAAAAGAATAAACCAAGCAAACAAAAAAATGTATTAAATATAGGCATCATAAAAAAAAACCAAGGGATACAATAGCATATATATTAAACAGACGTCTCTAGCAAATGTTTTCTGTTCAAAAAGTAGCCAAATTTTAGCCCAAGCAAATGCATTACCTAAAGAAGGAAGTGATATGGTGTAGAAGACAAAAACCAAATAAAACCAGTTAAATGAGCCAAGCTCCTTCCACCAGATTCACCGCCATGTTTATGCAAAAAGATGTTTAAAACTCAACGAGGAATGAAGAATATCCCCTTTGACTTTTTAAATTCATCATGTTCAACCTTCTGATATTGTTCAATTGTAGATGTAGCTATTTCCAATTCGTCGATAGAATCATATCCTCTTTTTTTGTTTGGAGATGACAACGAAACTGGTGTGATTGTTCCTGTAATCTGGGGTGTTACGATAGAAGTATTCACAACAGCAGTAGGAGCAACAGCAGAAGTAGTAGCAGGAGCAACATTGGTACCTGACGCATTTACAGCAGTGGCATCTGCAGTAGTACCCTCATCATCAGGCTTTTCCAGCTTGAATCTTCTTGGACTGGTACTATTAGAAACTGGAGTTAATGGTAATGCAAATGTAGTTGGTTGTTTAATTTCCGGTATTTCAACTTTAGGTGTTACTGGAGGATCCAACAAAGTCATTAAAGAATCAATAGCACATTGTACTAAAGACTTCATTAATTGGGTATATTTACCTTTTTCTGAAAAGTACTTGATTTCAAGACTCTTTGGAGGATTATCAATAATCTTGATTAAATTTTTGAGGAACCCCTTGGTAAATAATGATTGAAATGAATTTATAGAAAGAATTTCATCAAAGTTATCAGCTTCATCGCCACAAGCATTGCTTTTATACTCGTCGGTTTTCAACAAGTCATTATAGAAATTTAATAAACTGATTAAGTTAACAGGAATCTTCAAAGTCATAATACTTGCCAAAATTGCAATCAAGGCAATTTGGGACGAAGTGTAATCAAAATAGATATTAGGATAAAATTGAAACAATTCTCCAATGTAGTTTGACAACAATTTAATATTATGAATTGACTTTCTAATAATGTCGCAAACACTTGGATTATTATTGTTGGAAATCAAAAGATTCAAATATAGATCAATAAATGCATCAAAGGTTGGACTATTAACCATCCATTCTAAAGATTTCAAAATATGTTTTTCCATTTCAATGAATAATTCTTTGTAATAGCTATCAACACAAATTTTTCTTAAATCATTCAAGGTTGGAATTTTAAATTTTGAATCCAAGTTCTTACAACTAATCCAAAGTGATGTCAACCCCAACAATTGGTAATGTTGTTTCTTAACAATACGAGTAGAACAATATCTGTCAATTAAGTTTACCGTCAATGGGAAGGTTGATCTGGATAAATTTAAAATGGTAATAACTTCCATAAGGAAATCCAATAATAACGGCCTCATACCTAACTTAATTTCTGGTTGTTGTTCAATCAATGTCATTGAAGGTAATGTCTTAGATTCAACTGTAAGTAAGTGATGTAACATTTCCATTTGGTAATCACATATGGTTGTGGAATGACATTTGAATTCCATGGATTGCAAATTAAAGTTAGTGGACTTCACTTGTGAGTTAAACAATCTAACTTGAAGGAAGGGATCTGGTGAATTTGAAATCATCTTGATGTATTGTGATTGTTCTTGTATGTTATGTATATGTTTGTTTAAAAAGCAGCCAAAATATCAATGGTTGTAAAAAAAAAATGAGTGGTGTCAAGTGTCGTAAAAATATCAGTGACGTTAAAATGTCGTGTGTGCTAAAGTCGTCCGGGTGTCGTAAATTATGAAATGTCTTTTTTTTTAATTTGACGAAAAAAAAATTTTTTGTTTAAAACTGCAAAAAAAATTCTTCTCCTTTTTTTTGAGATCGTTTGATAGGACTGTATATAAGATAATTGTCTTTATTCTTGAATAAGTACTTGTTCTCCTTATAATCAACTATAACCAAGCAGATCCTTTCTTTTTGAAAATGAATGCAAATGACTTGAACGTAAGCAATTGGGTTGTAGTTGGAGGGTATGTTTATATTGTTATCCTTATAATTGTGTCAGTGTAGAATCAACTGAAGCAAGCAAACAGGATAATGAATTGAATGAATGAATATATGAGAATGAAATAAACGAATGCTCTAAATGTTAATGAACTGTCTTGTGTAGGAAGATATATGTACTATGTGGTATAAGTAATATATCAATGCTTGTTAAAATGCCCGTTTTTTGTTTAAATGAATGTAACTTTTTTTTTAATACAAAATGAGGACCCCGATTTTAAACCTTCAATGCAAAGAAAAATATGACAGAGTTGTTTTTTTTGATGATATTGTGACGTAGTAGTGGTGTGAATGTAAGTTCTAATAGTATTAATGACTTTATGTGAATATATGTCAATGACTGTTAATGGAGGGTAAGTGAAGGTAATAAGGTGAAGGGAGAGGAGAGGGTGGTAGATGTATTTTCAAATTATGAATAATTAATTGGAATTATCAAACCTCACCAAGATATCAAGAGAGAAATAATGGAAACAACAAACTGCTGGAAAGGAACAGTGAAAGTATGAAAAAGTTATCCAAAAGGAAATTGTAAAAAAGGGGAGATAGTTTCGATATTAAATATATATGAAAGACACAAGTAGCCTCGATTGAATTTTAAGTTATTCATTTTATTTTATTTTATTTTTATTTTTCTTATTTTTCAATAGTTTATAGATCGACAATTTCTTTTAAAAGGGAAAATTTTATTAAGACATAGTACATAATATACTGCACATATAATATTTTTTTAAATATAAAATATAAAATATATCGACGCCAACCACAAACACAAAATTGAACTTGAAAACTTTGAAAAAATATCCAACATACAATTGAAAAGGAGGTGGGGTACTGTATATAATCCACACACTAAGCGAAACGACATTTTATATATTGCTATTTGAATTTGTCTCCTTTTTTTCTTTTTGTTTAAGGTTTCACCTTTCTTACCAGGATTTTTCCCTTTTCAATTAGTGATTTTCTATTGTTCTAAATTGTTTCAATATTATTTCAGGTATACACTTTTTAACATTTCATTAAACAATTGGTTTTTTTACTAATTGATAGGGCACATGCACACACTACTGTCCCACACACAGTTTTATATTATCTAGTTGAATGCTATGTAAGATTTTTTTTTTTTCAAATTGTACCTATTGTACTATAATTAACCACCGCATAGCTTTTCTTTTTTCAGCGATTCTTTTTGTTCGATATCACATACTGCTACCCGGTGCAAACTTCGAAAGATAAAAAATAACCATTAAAGAAATGTCGTAGGATTTAAGTTTTTTTTTTTTACAAACCTTTACAGGATTTAAGATATTTTACATAGGATGAAGGGTTACTAACCATAGATCAAGGATACTGGTAGTTGTCAAGCCTCAGTATTCCATATTGACGGCCATCAATATATAATTGAACTAACATCCGACCGTCTACATATTAAACGACTGAGGCAGAAAAAAAAACTTACGATGGAGCTATAGTAATCGCAAAAAATCCTTTGACAATCGGTTGCTATAGTGAAACCCGGAAAATTAAAAAACTTACAGTACAACGACGCACATATTTCCACATTGTCGCAACAACAACCAACCTATCAAATTGAGATCAAATATGTTCCAAGAATAGTTTGAACGAAAAGTCATTGTAATATCTTCCCCTCCCCTGAATCGAACAGTCCTCGTCTTCGGTAACGTGGAAAGCTGTTGAATATACAACCAAAGTAATTGTGATGGGTGTGATTTTCTTGCGTGGGGGTAATAAATTGGGTGTGCAAAATGCAAATAGCGAGAAACGGGAAACTCAAAAAATATAAAATCAGAAGCTATTTTTCCTTTTTTTTATATATGCCTATTTTCAGTAAAAGTTAGTAGAAACTTGCCGCTTTGCGAAAGTGGCATGGGTTGACTTAGACGGAAAGATATCTAAAGTATACCAGTCTAAATTGATGAAGTCTTGCATCGGTAAAAGGGTTTTATCCGAATTGATTCGGTTGTTGTTTTGCAGGTTTAATTCTTGAAATTCACAGAAAAAATTATTTTCACTCCTCATAGTACAATTGCGTTGTTAAGCATAAAATTACTTACAAATGTAACTAATTACTAAAAATAAAAGATAAAGTAAATCTGTCTTCAATTTCCCACACTAAATCAGTAGTGTTAAAATAAATCAACGTGAGAGCAATAATAGGCCTTAGCGTAAAGTGGCATAAATCATTTGACGATTTGTCATTTAATTCTTTTAACGGTGCACATTCTTAGCCTAGATGCAGTTTACAATGGCGAGATTTTCATTTGATGGTTGGAAAAGTTCTCTAGCAACCTAGAAATTGTCCGATCTTTATTATCCTGTTACTCGAGAAACCAAAATCCGATGGTGGGCGATCTTTTTTTTTTTTTGCAGTTTAAGAAAAGAAAAATCTACGTTTTTTTTCTCACCATTGTTTTACTTGATGTAGTAATAACAACGGCCGTCAATAAGCAAGATTGCCGATTGCAATCATCACAAGCTGACAAGAGGGGGCGTTAGATTTAATCGAGAAAGTTTCTCCTTACTTACCCCCCCTGGCGACCCCTTACCCCTTAACTCTACCTACTTAGGCTAGCTTTTGTGTCCTAGAATCGGAAATATGTAATACGTTTTGTGGCACATTAAATTAAAACTGTAACTGTAAGTATAGGGTTTGCGAGAGTGGAAAGGGATACAAAAAATGTCGTCAAACAAGCTTTAATAGGCATAGAATTATTCTAGAAGGGAATAATACCCTAAAACCAAGGTTTAAGTTAACTTGAAATTTGACTAAATCAAAGCTACAAAAGAAAAAAGCAATAAAATATTCTGGTGGTGAGCGAGTTCTAATTATAGCTGATTGTGTATGCAATTAATTTCAGACTCAAACTTATTGTTCCGGTGATAACTCCGACAACATAGTTTGTGTAAATATTAGCACGCCTCAGAAAATTTACTTCGTACTAACAATGAATACAACGTTGTCTCTCTGATATTAGACTACGATTCTTAAATTTAATAACAATACGCAACCATATATGGTAAAAATATCATGCTGATTAGCTAGACGGAATTGGGATGAAACAGGGTAAATATCAGGATTACTTGTGTGTGCACCAAGCTGAATGGGATCAACAAATCTTACACAGAAACAAAACCAAGACTTTTACACCCGAGCTACCCATTATTAATTTTTCTCCTATATAAATTTGTACCATGTTGAGTAGTCACAGTAACTGATTCACAAAATCTATAAACTGTAGCAACAAATTAATAACTCAAACAAAACACTGTTACCTCATCTCATCTCATCTCATCTCATCTCATCTCATCTCATCGCATCGCATGATCACAACTCGGTTCTTTTTGTAAATGTACAAATATGTCTTCAACAGTCCTTGACTACCAACACAAATTGAACAAGTCACAATAAACCAGTTCACATAAGTAAGTTTGTAGCTATACTCAAACGGTACAAATTGCGCCTTGTTTGAAGATAAAAAATATCAAATTCCGTTTATAAGATACGAATTATGATTTGTGTATAAAACAAAACGCCAAGGATGTTTAACTTCTCATCTAGACTGTATTAATAAAATAAGTTCATAAAATCAAATGCCAAGAACCGGCCATTTTGACATGATACACTGGAAGCATCAGTGGAACAGCATTCTGTTACATGTTAGGATTACGTCAACTTCATGTACGTTTGACGTATAGTTTATAAACCTTTTGTATCAAAAGCGACATTATTATTTCTGAGCAATATGACAAACAAATTATTATTATTCTTCTTCTTCTTACGTAGAATAAAGCACCCACATTTCACAGGCATGCTGATCTAGACAGTCTCCAAGAACATTCGTGAATATATGAGGCACTACATAGATTTAATACCTGATCGTACTGTTTTAAAAGCCTCGCAACTATTGTTCATTCATGCCAGGAGGCGCCCAGCTACGCCTTTGAAGATCATTTGGGCTTAAGCATTAATCGTTTTTATCTGTAAGGAGAACGTCATTTCATGTACCTTTAATTGAGGTATAAAAAAAGGCAGCAGAACTTATTGTTCATGCAAGGTACGCTCTGTCCTTAAAGACATTGTAATCCACAACACCAATAGAACCAATACAGGCGTTTCAATTACAAAACGATCCTGAGATATGAAATATGGTATTCTAGATTCAAGTAAAAGCCTGTAACAAGTGGAACAAGAGACTACAATCTGTTTGTACAATATTCTAGAACTGAGTAAAACGGTTCGTCGTAAATGAAATTAAACAGAAATATCACGTTATTTGACATTATTCTAGAAGTGGTGGAGTATGCACACCTAAATTTAACATTCTAATTTATTACAGAATAAGTTCCACTTTAACTTTCGCGCCATTCTCCGTTAACAACACAACCACAGTTAACACCGTTTCCTGTTAACTTCTAAAACATATGATCTCGTAAGTTGTAGAACAGCCAATAAATTTATTGAGAATCTTTGCTAATGTTTTAGATAAATGTTTAATGAAGTAGTAAACTAGATTACGCAGTTCTGAACTTGAGTGGGGAAAAATTGCTTCTAGAACACTAGTTTGTGTAATATTTAGATTTTGTGTAATATTATTCCTTTTTAAATACATATATTAACATTAAATTAGTACTAGCCCGGGTATTATCAAGCAAGCTCGTACATAGAAATGTATCCTCGGATATTGGTATCAGTGGCTATAATTAGAATTTGTTTTATGTTTCAACGTGAACAATAACTGCTAATGCTAACTTATTTCTCGAACCCGAGAACTCCCTGCGTGTCTTTAAGACTGCTGGTCATAAGCTTACAATAACCAAACGAAATTATTTACAGAAATGGAAAAACATTGTTAGGAAATAAAAATTCCATATTTATCCAAACTCACCAAAAGTATTGGTTGGTCAACACAATAGAAAAATTAGACGAATATCAAAAAGCAAACATTGCCTAGAATGGTGCATATTCAAAAGTATAGTAATTCCATTGGACATTAGCGAATCTTTCAAGATTTTCTACAATGAAAAATGCCAAAACTTTTAAAATATATCAAATTGCCGCCAAAGTAGGAAATAGTAATTTCATGTGTTTCTATGGTTGAAATAACCTCTCGATAGCAAAAAAAGGGCAAGTATGGATGTACTCTTTAAGTAGAGAAATAGATCATAATCTTCCAGCTTTCTTTGAATTCAAGTGTAACAATCCAAACTATTGTTTTGTCTTAATCCAGGCAATTATCGCTTTCTTCTCTTCCGTACTTGCGTATAAAGGTACAAGGGCATTTCTTCAAAGTTTTTAGATTTCACTAAGTACAACCCGAACTCAGGATTACCACTTTCATTATCATGACCAGTTTATCATATATTCTAACATACATGAGCTAGCTGGGATTCCTACAATTTACCCAAAATTATGATACCATCCAAGCCTTCCATTGAAATATGCTAAACTGGTAATTTGATGGAATATCCATAGGGTTGGTATGTCATATGGTCCAAAATATTCAATTATGAGTTATAAGTAGAATGTGACTAACAAGAACTAGCAAAGTTGAGACTAATAGCAATATCCATGATTATTACCAGCTAATCTATTATAGTATGGATCCTAATAAAGTTAACAAGATTGGCAAGCAAAATATAAGGTGTTAACACCCAGAATATTAAAGCTAGGGACCACACTATTAAATTTGTTAAAGGATGCAAAATAGTGGTCAATAAATAATGAGACTAATTGGATAAATCTCCTTCTAACACCTATCCTAATCTATTGGTTTCAAAGACCAAAGTGTGAATAAATAGTATTCATAATATTCTTAGTTCTAATCTATCACTGTGCAAGCTTATCACAAGATTGATTAACAGTAACTAATCTTCAACTTGCTGACATCGATCTATCAGCAGTAGTCCTCCTAACCAAACTCCACTTGCTTGAACGAATGTGAATGGATTATGAATCTTTTACATATTTTGTTTCTTTATGAGTCAAACTACAATGCTATCTTGAAATCATAAGAAGGTAATAGATATAAAACATTCTTGATTTAATGATAAATTGTTAGACTTTATTCCAACTGCATCACTCCTTTTATTACTCTTGGTCTCAGACATTACGAGTTTGCGTCTGCGTCTGCAGGTTAATACTCACCCAATAGGGTTAAATCTTCGAATAATAGTTTATTCACCGTATAAATTTGAACAGATGATCATTTAGCTTAACACGAATTGCACCTAGATAGTGAAAGGTATGATTATATAAAAACGTTAGTTCAATGCTCTAACTTTGTATATCTCGTTGTATCATTTAAATCAGATGGCCAGAGGTCAGAAGTTGCAAACGTGGAATAAAATAATTGTTTTCTACAGACTATATATATTCGAACTTTGTAACAACTACGTAACCGTTACTTCTTTGGAGCTAGAAATTTGTCCCGGAAGTAAAGTGTCCACATTATAATGTCCGGATGAGACCGGCTGGAAAAAGTCTTTGGAAAAAAAAAAAAAAAGAAAAAGAAAACGGGTGAACTCATCATCACATTCAGTCAGCACGTTTCCACTCAACGATGTCAGAACAACCAATAACCAAAGAGCAATTAATTCAGCGTCACAAGAAAGAATCCAAGGATTTAATAGCGACAATAACTGGATTAAAAAAACAAGCTACAAAAAAGACGAGAAAGAATGTCAATGCCAAATGTGAACAATTACAACAAGAATTAGAGACTAAACATAAACAAGAGCTAGCTGAATTAGACGGTAATCCTGTCAATGCAGAAGATGAAGAAGTCACTCCTGAACAGCTACTTGCCCAATTGAGCCTAACAGAAGAACAACCTCAACAACAAAGCTCCGAAACTGCAACTAATGATGTTCCGCCTGTACAGAAGAAGAGAAACAGACAACAAGAAAGGTTAAATCGAAGAAAAGCTGAAATTGAAAGAATAAAAGCGGAAGCTGCTGAAGAAGCAGCAAACACTATTGATTACCGTCAGATTGAAATTGACTCTATGAATCAACTCTTGAGTATAAACAACCTTTATTCATTTGATATTAAACCCGATGGTCATTGTTTGTTTGCTTCGATTCAAGATCAATTAAAAATACGTCATTCCATCGAGAAAACCATTCAGGATTTACGTGATTGTTCTGGAGAATATATCAAGTCCCATCTGGATGACTTCATTCCGTTTTTGTTTGACGAAAATACAGGTAGCTTGAGGGATATTGACGAGTACATAGAAGAATTAACAACAACTGCTATGTGGGGCTCAGATATGGAGATTTTGGCCTTAGCTAATACTTTTGAATGCCCAATAAGTGTGTATATGGCTGGAGCTTCAACAATGACAATAAATCCAACTGGAAAAGCACCCGAATTAAAGTTGGGATATTATAAGCATTCGTATGGTCTTGGTGAACATTATAATTCATTAAGAGATTTACCACGTGAAGACAAAAATTGAGGAAGCAATAGTGAATCAACGGAATTAATTAGACCAACAAAATCATACACTCAAATTTTGCGGAACAAGTCCAGTGAATAAGTGATAAAGATGATGTCCACACTTTGGAGACAATGATTATAAGCTCTTACTACTAATTCATCTACTACGAGTTCAACTCCCAGAGCTTATTTTTAAATAGATTTTTGTTATTAATAGAATGCGACATTTTTATGTAGGCAGCGCGACATTTGTGGTTTGTAATTTGTAATTTCGTATTTATTCATTGGAAAATTATTATTTTTATTTATTAAATTTTGCAGATTAAGCGAATCTGCAAAAGGTTCTAATTATTTATTTTTTTAGGTGATGCTCTTATGATACGGTCACGTGAATTTCTTTAAAAATGTCGCATGGCAAGGTGGAAAATCAAGTATATTTTTCTTTCCATATTATTTTTCGTGCCACATGCATTATGCAATCTAATCTCGTAAAAAATTCTTTTATCTATAGTTCGATTTTTTTTTGTTGTTCTTTGGATACAGGAAAAAAATTTCAAGTTTGTCGACGCTCACCCCCTTCATGCAATTACGCAATCTTCAAGGTGAGATGCAATAGTCAAGAATTATAAGTTTATAGATAAAGATTGCAGGTAAGATCAAATTGCCTATAGCAAATAGAATAGCACATCACATTTTGCATATGCTAAAGCTAAGGTGATCCAAATAAGGATTTTCTAAAATTTCTCGGGGAGCCAGCCGGGAATAGAAAAAAAAATATTTCACAGGAAAAAAAAATATCCACTTAACAACGGTAATTATCCCCCCAAACAAGGAGCATTATTCAGTTCCATTTGCGGGGAGTCAACTTATGATTAAGGCCCCCTCCCTGTTTCAAGAAACTTTATTGATATTTATAATAACAAAAGTAATGTGTATTATTGGGACTTCACTATAAGCTTAATCAAATGGGATCTTCTATGCATATGAAATTGATTTACTTGCTGTACCTCGAGTATTATTCTACTGTGATATCTTCCTAACACGTAAAAAAAAGGCTAGTTGCTGTAACATGCAAATTTTGTAATAAACCAAAAAAAAATTCCAACCCTATTGTTAGTAATACCACTTATCACAATAGTACTTGAGATAACAATTATTTCCAAAATGATTAGAAAAAAGTTGCTCGCGTCCCTCCCCCCCCCCCTTGGTCCATGACTTGGGGGTGATTCAAGATTAATCGGCCTGCCCCTTTTACTTCATGCACCCCGGTAACTCACGTGATACATACATAATGCACACAAACCTTGATCTGCAAGAGGAAATATTCGTCCAACCTTAGTGGTAATCCCGGGAATAATGGCAGGGGGGGTTTTATTTTTCTAATAGAACTCGAAAACAATCGAAACGTTTCTGGAAAATAATTTATTAGAGTACCTATGCAGGGATTTGACTACTAATCACACTTCATTGTCCGCTATATACAATCCAATTGGATAATAGCAAAGTACAAAGCGATATTATGCAGATTTATAAATGAAATTGGCTCATAACTTAGATACACAAAATTAACTGTCATTACAGTTCTACATGATTGTGAACCCTTATCTTGAAAATGGGATATTCGTATAAAGTTGTGAGTTTTTCACTTCCATATGAAATGCCACATTGCATTATACTACCCATTTATGCAATTGTTTAGACGTGTTTCGCCGAGGACGGTATACCTTTTTTTTCTTGTCTCTGAAACTTTATGCTTGCCTCCATTGTTTTAGAATTGGATCAACGCAACTTGATACATTCTAGATGTCTAGATTTTGAATATATAGAGTCACTAGTATATGTGTATGTGGAGGAGACGAATCATAATATTTTGCTGGTTTGGTGTGATTCAATTTACCGGCAGGTAATGTCAGGTGATGTAACAATTGAGCAGGTATCACAAAACAGGAACGATTTCGGAATGGGGAAGAGAGCCGTTACGAATAAAAAATAATGTCTACGCACCCACATACCCACACACCCACACACCCACACACCCACACACCCACATACACCCTCTCAGTATATTAAATCTCTAAATTATTTTGCTATATAATCCAATCACGTAAATGCAAGAGATATAAAATACCTTCTATGTGTTAAGGATCGAGTTTCTCGATAACTTACCCAATTGTTTAAGTCTGTTATCATCATCAATAATTTATTGAAGGGATAGTGAACTAACGAACAATAAGCTTGTGGAGTTTCTCCCCACTTTTTTTTTTTAACTGGTTTATGAAATTTCGAACCAAGTCGAACGAAACGTCAATTGGTGCCGTGTTTATAGTGTAAATTGTTCAAGAATATATTGTGTTGTTCGAAATAATGTCCCATTCTCTCGGGGAAAAAAAATACTCACGTATTAAAGATTAAGCCTCATGAGGGTGGACCTATCCAATTTAAAACAAGAGCAATTAATTGAAAAAAAAAAAAACTATTGACAATATAACTCTAACTAAGTTTTGTACTTAAATGATCTACTAAACAACTGGAAATGATCCATAATAGAAGGAAAGATAACAAAAAGAGAACAAAGCTTAAGTCAGGTCGCTATGACGACAGAAGAGTGGGGCTAGAGGGGTATTTCAGGTCTAGATCATTCCACCTTAGTGAATTATGATATAACTTTAAGCTCTATAATTTCTAATTGCTTCATTATTTTGCGGATAAGAAATTTTCCACAATTTTTCGAGAGTAAGAAAATAGGGAAAAATTCTTTCAAAAAGGGGGGGTGGGGGCGGAAAATTACATTTTGTACGACATTTTCCTGATTTCAAAAGGTGTTACTTGGTGTCTAATGAAATTTTTAAAAGGCGAGCAATGCGCATAATCAAGATGCGTGGAATCAGAAAATATCAAACTAAAAAATAATTTTCTGTAAGAATTCATCGCGGTTGTTATGTACGACATAACTTGACAGGAAGGATAACCGAGTGATGCACAGGTGTAGATTTAACCATGACACAACGCACAGAGTAGATTCAATTTAAATAACTTTCCCTTTTCAGGGATAATAGATAGCCTTGGCATAATCTGTTCTTAATGACTTAGATTATTCTATGATTCAACGCAATTTACTGCAATAAGCAAGATATTATCACTGCAATCATTCACTGTAGATACCCGCCAGTACACTGCAAGCATGGCATGATATAACACTAAAGTAACATATTCATACATAAGAGGGCAAACAGTGACTTTTAACTGACCACAATTCATTTTCAACAATTACCTGTGAAATTTTGCCAAGAATATGATAAAAAATTACAATAAATTATCTTTGTAATGCAAGGTATCCCAGTTACATCTTCATCTGCATTACAAGTCTTGACTTGAACACTTTACTGTCTGGGACAGTTTGTTTAATCAAGCAATTACACCATGCACAGCTACATGGAGATTTCGAATAGGAATAAATCAGATTACATTGGAACCAACAGAAAACCATTCTTGTTAATTGTTTTATCTGACAATATGCGGCTCCGATCTTTCTTCTTAATATCTGAATTTATTATTCTCGGCAAAATGCTAAAGTCTTGACAGCTTATTTCTCTACAAGTTCAATAATATAACCACCACTACGATATGTATAATTTGAGTTAAAGACTAGTCAAATCAAAACCAAGCCACTTCCCTTTCAATATCCGAACCTCCTAAAATTTTCCAATACTCTAAATTTCAGTTATTAGCTCCTTTCAAACTAACTAGCTATGGAAAGCTTAAAGAGTAAAGCTTATTTGCTGTGTAAACCTCTATATACTACAAAGTCTGATGATTTTCTTCGATATGTTTGAGCTCGTCGTCCAACTTCCTGAATAGCACATTCCTTTTTCACTCAACATTGAACGAATTATATAGCCAAGAAATTTTCAAATTTGCCAACTACGAAAAGGATATATTTGCCAAGCTTTGCCAGCGTTTAACCAGCCTGAAACGGTCTTGTGTTTTTTTTTCCATAAATGCTATGTCTCCTGATACTTTGTTTCCCAATAGAGGTTTTATGTTGAGACATACAATAGTATGGTAAGTTGGAGCAATTCATTACCCTATTCAGTTGCTTGATCATCATTTACATTACAATGAGGTTGTCAATTAAAACTTGAGAAGTTTTATCCTTTTTTTTGACTTCAACACTGACCAAGAAGGTTTTTCATTGAAACAATAGATTATGCAAAGCTTTTGCACTTTTACATATAGTGTCTCTAAGTGATTGGAGTATGGCTTACACTGGAAACAGCCAGTCAGGGTATCCAAGGCAATTAAGCCTGTTCCTGAGAAGATAAAGATACTTTAATTCATTAATTTAGAATATTTCTAACTGAAAAGAGCTTGAATAATTTGAGTTACACCTATATTAGCGAATAAATTGCCGTTTTGAAGATAGCTATTGCTATTATTCATGACAATACCTATTATTCAGAAACCCTACCTTAAGCCCTCTCCTTAAGTTTCGCCATTAAGCCAAATAGTTGCAAATTCGAATCAGCTTGATTCAACATTAAATTAGTAACTTGAAGATATATATAGATCTCCCTTACATTGATATATGTTTCCCTTCTATATACGTGTGAATATTTAATTCCTTAAAGGTGCTTAGCGCTCTTTACCGCAAAAAAATAAAAAAGTAGACCATTTTGTTTGCAGCGAGTTAATTACTGTGGTGGAACCAATGTAAAATCAAGGAGAATATTGATTAATACTTAGATGGAATAATAACTTATCAAGCTGCAAAGTGCTATTCTAGTGAGCATGTCCTTTTGCTGTATACTTAGCACCAAAACTACCATCAGAAGAAAATTAAGGTGGAATCTCCACTAAGTAGATTTCCAAACCGGGTAGAGTTTCAATTCGTAAGTGCTGGAAAGTTCTTTTGATGAACATGGAATTGGTTCTCGTTAGACAATTCCTAATTGGGAGTATTTATAACCATATCTGGTATATGTCTAAAGTTAGGCTAGCAATTGACACAATCAGGTTTAAATATGCGAAATATATGTGTGCGATGGAAAATTATAACTGTACTCTCTTCATTCTTTAATTGTAATTCATAATTACAATTATTTTACTCTTTATTGATTAAAAAATTGCAAGTACATTGACCATTGAAACAGTTGTATAGATTTGTTTTGCAAGTATGAATTCTTACTTGGTTCTGACTTGAACAAAGGATACAATTTTTAGTTTGCAAAGAAACAGAATTTGATGAATATAAACAACCAACTAGGAATAGAATTCGCCCTATTCGACAGAGCAAGTTACTGTTTCGGCCAATCAATTATCTTATTTCACCCAAGAAATTAAAACAAAAGATACAATGATCATTGTTGTTTCTACAGATGCATTTGCATTTGCATTTGCCAAGTCCTTGTATCGCATGATACCAGTAGCGTGAGAGACTGCAGAATAACCGCGCTAATTATACTGTATTGCGATATAGTAAAAGTTAAATAATAGGTTGTCCAGACCATTTACGAAAAAGTCTATTTCAGGTGAACCTCTTTAATTGTTCTATAGTTTTTAACCTGCAGGATATGCATGTCTTTCATTTTATTATTTTAATAATTCAAACAAATAGACTGTTCTCTTTTATACACGGAACAGACGAGCTCGATACGAGAAAGTAAAATGCCTCAAACTCAGTAAATCGGTTTGACAGCTGCAGAAAAGGCTCATTTTGGGCTGCTTAGGATCTGCAATTTTTAGCTACAACCAAACATTTCCAAAAGATCAGAATGGTCAGGATAATTGGACTAAGAGTTCTATTTGAGTCTATCATAATTTGTATTTTAAGAATAGTACGAGTCTTGTTACCGAAATTCAGTTACCACTAAAACAATGAAGCGCGTTTCTATCTGAAAGCAAATACGTCAATGGCTTAAAAAAAACAAACAAAATAAAGTTCACCCCTCGCTAAAATTGTAAGAAGCGCAATGGTATTTTTTTCTTGGCACCAATACGCAAATTTTAATTTTTTTTTACCATGTTTCTATACTTCAAGAACAAAAGTAATATCAATGAACCATACAAACCAAAAAAATAGCTAAAAGGAATGACAGGAACAAAGTTTTAAGCGCTTGTAAATGGTATGACAGGTAATCTATCGTAAATAAAGGCGAAATTGCATTGCAGAACGTTATATGATGCACAATTTATTAAATGCAAATGCTCGTCGCCAAACGAAATAGTATCCAAAACCTGAAATTGTCGTTGTTTCATCTTTAGGTGTCAAAGCCATTATTTGGAGTTTGATAGGAAAATTCCATTGTTCTTTTATTTAGCACTCTGTGCATAGATTGCAAAAATGGACTTGCAAAACCATGTTGACGAGGTAGATTCAAGGGTCTTGAAGCTGGAATCATGAGTTCTGACAATGGGATTTGTAAAAGAGATCATAAAAGAGTACCAGAAAACATAGAATATAAATAGAGCACTTAGCCTACCCAAATTTTGGTTCTTATTCTATACTTCCTTCAACAACTGACTAAATGTTAAAATTTGCCGTTTTTACCATTTTAGCACTTGCAACAGCTACTGCTGAGCAAGTCAGTGGAATTTTTACTTCATTTGACTCTTTGGAATGGGAAAAAGCTGCTAATTATGGCTATGCAAGTCCAGCTTACCCAAGTTGGATAGCTACTTTATCTTGGGCAATCAAAGGGTCCAAGGTCCTGGCTGGTGATACATTCACCTTGACTTTACCATGTGTTTTCAAGTTTACTACTACCCAAACTTCTGTCAATTTAAATGTAGGACTGACTAACTATGCTACTTGTACCTTTAATCCTGGAGATATTGTTGTTGCTTTTTCAAAGTTAGATTGTGTCATGTTGGACACTGTTACCTCACTGCTTGATGCTCACGGGTCTATCAATTTCCCAGTTGCTTTTAACGTCGGAGGTTCGGCATTGAGTACTGACTTAGAGGACTCTACTTGCTTTGCTGATGGCGAAAACACTGTTTCATTTTTTGATGGTGACAATAAACTTTCCACTCAGGCTATATTCTCAGGAGGTTCAACTGACGATCCTGAAAAGATTGTCTATGGAAATAGAGTGGTTCCTTCCTTGAATAAGCAGCAACATTTCCTTTTAGGCGGAAACTGTCCTAAAGGGTACAGCTCTGGTTCTATTGGTTTGGAAATTAAGAATCTGGGACCTAAATTTGATTGTGATTCCATTCACATGAAGATTACCAATTCTTTAAATGCTTGGTTTTTACCTGAAAATGCAGATGATGATTTTGATTTCACATATACCTGTACTAGTACTTCTTTTGTTGTCGATTATAAAAATATTCCTGCCGGTTATAGACCATTCATTGATACACTTGTTGACATAGCTAATGGACAAAGTATTACCCTCAATTATATTAATAATTACATATGTGATGGTAGCAAAACCACCACAAACAATGGAAAAATTATTGCTTGGGCTGCTTACGAAAATAACGTTGCTGGTGGGAATGGTGAAGAGGTGAAAGTTGTCACAAGTACGTATACTGGACTGACTACAGAAGTTTCTACCATGCCATTTGAGACTTCCAAAGATAAAACAATCACAATTGTTGTTAATGTACCAGTCCCAACTGTTACTACTACCACTACTTATGTTGGAATTTCTACATCTTATACTACTGAATCTGCTTTACCTGGTTCAACTGCAAGTGTCATAGAGTATGAACCAATTCATACTACAACTACTATAACCACATGTTGGAACCAACAATCAACTTTTACCAGTATTTATTCAACAGATACCTGGCCTACGGATACTGAGCTTGTCATTGAACCTTGTGAAAGTTCTAGTGAAAGAACTTCCTCCACCGATTCCATTAAACCTTCAAAAACTCACACTTCTTGTACTGATAAGACCAAGCCATCCAAGCCTCATCAAACAACTTCGTGTACCGATAAGACCAAGCCATCCAAGCCTCATCAAACAACTTCATGTACCGATAAGACCAAGTCATCCAAGCCTCATCAAACAACTTCATGTACCGATAAGACCAAGCCATCCAAGCCACATCAAACAACTTCGTGTACTGACAAGACCAAGCCATCCAAGCCTCATCAAACAACTTCGTGTACTGACAAGACCAAGCCATCCAAGCCTCATCAAACAACTTCGTGTACCGATAAGACCAAGCCATCCAAGCCTCATCAAACAACTTCGTGTACCGATAAGACCAAGCCATCCAAGCCACATCAAACAACTTCGTGTACTGACAAAACTAAAACTTCTAAAACTCATCAACACACTCCAGGTACTGAATCAACCAATTTTAATGAAGAATCCTCCACTTTTGGAGATAGCTATTCATCTGGTGATTTAACTTCTGGTGCTGAAGAATCATCCACTGATATTGACTCTTCTTTAGTTCCATCTAGTTCTGAAGAATCCACCACCACTGACTATAGCTCATTTGGAACATCTTCTACTGCCGAAGAATCAACCGTTGTTCCATCCACTGATACCGATCAATCATCCAGTATTGAACAAAACTCATCCGATGTTCCATCTAGTGAAATTAAAGAATCATCTACTACTGAATTCTCGTCCAGTGTTTCAAAACCCCCTGGCCAAGAATCATCAGAGGTCCCATCTACTGGTGTTGAAGAATCTTCAACTGTTGGTTACTCTTCTGGTGTTTCAACTACCGGTGCTGAAGAATCATCTACTGAATACCATTCATCAGATATTCCAACAACCACTCCTGAAGAATCATCTGATATAACAACTTCCAAACCACATCATCAAACCACACCATGTACCGATAAAACTAAGAGTTCCAAGACTCATCACACTCAATGGAGTGAATCATCTACTGTAAAGGACGAATCCTCAAGCGTTTCAACTTCTGGTACCGAAGACAATTCATCGGTTGTTTTATCTTCTGGTGTTCAAGAATCTAATAGTGACTACCCATCTAGTGTTGCCCCTTCTATTTCTGACGAATCTAGCGCAGAATTCTCCGTTACAGCTACTGCAGGTGAAGGCTCATCTGTTCCCACTATTGGCACTGGTGTATCATCTACTAATGATCACACTTCTGAAATTACCTCCAATATCGTTGAAGAATCATCGGGTTTTCCATCTACTGCTGTCGATGAATCATCAAGCGTTGACCACTCCTCTGGCATCCTAACTACCGGCAACCACGAGTCATCTTCTGTTTTCTATTCAACAAGTGTTCCAACTTCTCCTGGTCAGGAATCAAGTGATACTGAAGAATCTTTTACTGTACCAACTAGTGGCTTTGAATCTTCGGGGATTCCAACATCTGGTACTTCTGAATCATCGACCAATCAATATCCTTCTAGTGTGATTACTTCAGGTTCTGAAGAGGAATCCACAGCTGACTCCTTGTCTTATAGTGCTACTTCTGGTGTTGAAGAATCTTCAACTGTTGGTTACTCTTCTGGTGTTTCAACTACCGGTGCTGAAGAATCATCTACTGAATACCATTCATCAGATATGCCAACAACCACTCCTGAAGAATCATCTGATGTAACAACTTCCAAACCACACCACCAAACTTCGTGTACTGATAAAACCAAGACATCTAAAACTCACCAACATACCCCATGGAGTGAATCCAATACGAGCATCCATGAATCATTCACTACTGGCACTGAAGAATCCTCTGATAATACCACTGGTGTCCCAACTACTGATGTCCAAGAATCGTCCACAATTCCACTTTCAGATACCCAAGCATCTTCCAATTTTGTTACCACAGATACTGATTACACTTCCGATGTCCCATCCAGTGATCACCAAGAATCATCTACTGCTAACGATAATTCATCCAATTTCCCAACCACTGGTATTGAAACCTCGAGTGTTGAATCAAGTGGTGTCCCAACCTCTGGTGGTGTCCCAACCTCTGGTGGTGAATCAAGTAGTGTTGAATCTTCTGGTTATGAATCATCTATAGTCCCAACCTCTGTCGCAGAAACCACCGGTACTGAATCATCTGGCGTTGAATCATCTGGCATCCCAAGCTCAGGTGCTGAATCAAGTAGTTTCCCAGACTCTGGTTCTGAATCTTCTAGTGTCGCAACTTCCAGTGTCGCAACTTCTTGTGCTGAAACTACTGGTGCTCCAACTTCTGGTTCAGAATCCAGTGGTGCTTCAACTTCTGGTGCTGAGTCAAGTGGTGTCGAAACTACTGCCATTGAATCTTCTGGTATCCCAACCTCTGGTGCTGAAACATCTGGTTCTGAAACTTCGGGTTCTGAATCAAGTGGTGTCCCAACCACTGGTATTGAATCAAGTGGTGTTGAAAGTACAGGTGCTGAAACATCTGGTTCTGAAACTTCTGGTATTCCAACCTCTGGTGCTGAGTCAAGTGGTATTGACTCAAGTGGCGTCTCGACCTCTGGTATTGAAACTTCTGGTGCTGAAACTACAGGTGATGAAACTAGTGGAGTTCCAACTACTGGTGTTGAAACTACTGGCGCTGAATCAAGTGGTGTCCCAACCTCGGGTACTGAATCAAGTGGTGTCCCAACCTTGGGTACTGAGTCAAGTGGTGTCGAAACTACTGCCATTGAATCGTCTGGTATCCCAACTACTGGTACTGAATCTTCTGGTGCTGAAACTTCCGGTATCCCAACTACTGGTGCTGAAACTTCAGGTGTCCCAACCTCGGGTGCTGAATCATCTGGTATTCCAACCTCTGGTGTTGAATCAAGTGGCGTCCCAACCTCTGGTGCTGAATCATCTGATGTCCCAACTTCTGGTATTGAATCTTCCGGTATTCCAACTTCTGGTTATGAAACTTCTGGTTATGAAACTACTAGTGCTGAAACCTCTGGTGTTGAATCAAGTGGCATCCCAACCACTGGTATTGAAACCACAGGTGTTGAAACTACAGGTTCTGAAACTTCTGGTATTCCGACCTCTGGTGCTGAAACTTCTGTTGTTGAATCAAGTGGTGTTGAAACTAGTGGTGTTCCAACTGGTGGTGTTCCAACTACTGGTTATGAAACTACTGGTGCTGAATCAAGCGGTGTTGAAACTACTGGTGCTGAATCAAGCGGTGTTGAAACTATTGGTACTGAATCAAGTGGCGTCATAACCTCTGGTGCTGAATCATCTGGCATCCCAACCTCCGGTTCTGATTCTTCCGGTATCACAACCACTGGTGCTGAAACATCAGGTGTCCCAACCTCTGGCGCTGAATCTTCTGGTATCCCAACTACTGGTTCTGAATCTTCTGGTGCTGAAACTTCAGGTGTACCAACCTCGGCTGCTGAATCAAGTGGTGCTGAAACATCTGGTTCTGAATCAAGTAGTGTTGAAACTACTGGCGCTGAATCAAGTGGTGTCCCAACCTCGGGTACTGAATCAAGTGGTGCTGAAACTTCTGGTGCTGAGTCAAGTGGTGTCGAAACTACTGCCATTGAATCTTCTGGTATCCCAACCTCGGGTTCTGAATCAAGTGGTGTCCCAACTTCTGGTATTGAATCTTCCGGTATTCCAACCACTGGTGCTGAGTCAAGTGGTGTCGAAAGTACTGGTACTGAGTCTTCCGGTATCCCAACCTCTGGTTATGAAACATCTGGTGCTGAAACTTCAGGCATCCCAACCTCTGGTTTAGAATCTTCTAGTGTCACAACTTCAGGTGTCCCAACTTCTGGTATTGAATCTTCCGGTATCCCAACTTCTGGCTCTGAATCCATTGGAGTTCCAACTTCTGATGTCGAATCTTCTGGTATCCCAACTTCTGATGCTGAAACTTCAGGCGTCCCAACCACTGGTGCTGAAACTTCTGGTGTTCCAACTTCTGGTGCTGAATCGAGCGGCGCTGAAACTACCGGTGCTGAAACCACTGTTGTTGAATCAAGTGGTGTCCCAATCTCTGGTTCCGAATCCAGTGGCGTCCCAACCACTGGTGCTGAAACCACAGGTGTTGAAACTACTGCCGCTGAATCAAGTGGTGTCCCAACCTCTGGTGCTGAATCTTCCGGTATCCCAACCACAGGTACTAAAACTTCTGGTGTCCCAACCTCGGGTTCTGAATCTTCTGGTGCTGAAACATCTGGTTCTGAAACTTCGGGTATTCCAACCTCTGGTGTTGAAACTACTGGTGTTGAATCAAGTGGCGCTTCAACTTCTGGCGTCCCAACCTCTGCTGCAGAATCCAGCGGAGTTCCAAATTCTGGTACTGAATCTTCTACTACTGAATCATCTGGTGTCCCAACTTCTGGTGTTGAAGAATCCAGCACTGATAACCAACCATCTGGTGTTGCTACTAGTAGTGCTGATGAATCGTTTTCAACCGGATCACCAAATGCTACCCCAACTGATACAGAAGGAAATTCATCTGATGTTTCAACTATTGGTGCTGAGGAATCTTCCGGTGTAGCAACAATTATTACAGGTATTGAATCTTCAATCATTATTTCAAGCAGTGAAATCCCTATTCCTACGTTAACAGCTATTGAATTTGAAGAATCATTACCAACCAATGTCTCGAGAAATGTAACTATTTGGGAAGTTGCAACTGTAACTTCAACTATGACCATTAAACAGACAACAACCAAGCTGGATACAACTTTCACTACTGGACTGGAATCCGTAATTACATTTACCACTATTAGGGGGCCAAATGAAACTCTTGTTAGTACTACTGCTATAGTAGGAGACAATGACTCGTCAGTAAACAACCCAGAAGAATCTCAAAATGATGAATCTAGCTCAAATGATAGTATTGACAAACCAGATGGAAACATAAAACTCCCTGAAGATAGTGCAGCCAGTGACAACGATGCAAATGGAAAGCAAGCTGATGCAAATACACCACATGTTGCTGCTGAAGAAAAAGCTGGGCCACATGGTAACGGTGAAAATGGAAACCAAGCTGATGTGAACACAATCAATGATGCTGCTACTACAGATAATGGAGCGGGTGACAATGATGAAAATGGAAATCAAACTGACATAGACCTGACAGATGCTGGTAATTCTGGTCCTGATGGTAGCGGTGAAAGTGGTAGTCACGTTGACGGAACCAACGATGCTGCTACTACAACTGCTGCTGCTGCTGCTGCTGCTACTGCTGCTGAAGGAAATGGAAACGAACTGAATCAAAACACACCAGCCTTGTCTCAATCATCAAGCTTCAATCAACCTAACTCAGTATCTGAAGTGGAAAATAGTGGTTCCAAGTGGAATGCTCCAATTGCTATGTTAGTTTTGATTAATTGCTTATTGTAATCGAAATTTTGATTTGATAGTTATAATTATACCCTTGAATTTTCTATGTATAACTTCAATATATTTTGTATTTGTATCTAATATCTTTAGAACGGAGTGAAATCATAGAGTATATACCGGTTATTTTTTTAAAAAATATCTAGAGAGCAATTCCATGACCAGACCTTCTAACATGTTGTAATATGGCAAAACATCTAGTGATAATGCAATGCTATCATAATGTCGCGAATCAAAATGTCTCATTTATTTTCAAATCCCATATGTCGTTCTCTTTGCAAAAAAAGAAATTTTCAATTACTACAAAAAAAAAAAGCCAATCATAATAAATATTACTCTAATCATCATTAGTTCAAGCAAACATGGGTTGGTTTTGGGCAGATTCAAAAGCTAGATCTATAAACGATTCAGTAAGCACTCCAGCATCCTCAGGATGCCCTATAGATCATTCTTCTTTTATATCAGCTTGTCCCGTTAAAGGAAGTGGCGGCAACAATGAAGAGCTTAACCCATTAAATAACATGCCAGTAAACCTTTCATCGCAACGAGCACCGGGTCAAAAATTAGCATTGTCAACTACTCGTACATTTTCAACTATTCCTCGTGGGGAAACTGAAGATAATGGTGTGTGGGAATATCCATCTCCACAGCAAATGTTGAATGCTATGTTACGTAAGGGAAAAGGTGATGGTATTCCTGAGGACGCAGTGGAATCAATGGTTGATGTTCATAATTTTTTGAACGAAGGTGCCTGGCAACAAATCTTGGATTGGGAAAACAAATATACTTTAGAAACTAAGGTGGAACCTCGATTAAAACAATTTACTGGTAAACCACACGATTTATCACCACGAGCACAATTATTCTTATGGTTAGGTAAATTTTTCCCTGAACAGTTCAATACTCAGCCACCATTTGATAGACACGATTGGACAGTTTTAAGGTCTCAGGGAAAAGAACAAGGTTGGAAAGAAGTCAGATACATTATAGATTACTATTCTGCACCTGATGATGAAGATACAGGAATGCCAGCTTTTATGTTGGATACACGTCCTGCTTTGGATAATTTTGAAAATGCTAGCGATAGAATTATTCGTTGGGCAAAACCAATATGGAAGAAGGCCATGGGTGAACCAGATACTGATTAATTTGTATATATTTATGTATATTTACTTGAATGAATAATGTTTTTAAGTGCTTAGTATTAGTTGTTGTCATCTTCATTGTAACGGGATTCCTGGAACTCTCTTTCTGCGCAATATAGTATATGTGCTATATATTTGTAACCTAAGTCTGAAACTACTAGGCTGAGCTTAGCACTGAAAGAGAAGTTGGAGTTTGTCAAAGTAGCTTGTGAAAATATACAGGTACAACAAAATGGCTTCTAATATTAATTAGCTTTATCTATTTACAGGTGTAACTCGCTTTGAGCTTGGGCCAACAAGCTAGCAGGTACTTCATACTTACCATTAAGACTCAAAATCATTTTTGGTAATGAAGTACCAAGAGTTCGAAGCTTAGCTTCGGCTAAGTCCTTAATCAATTTTTCAATGAGTACATTATTACCAGTTCTCTTGGCATGGTTCAACAAAAAGTAAAATGTGAAAGCATTTGGAGAAACATCTTGTTCTTTCATTTTTTCATAAAATTCAAATGCTAATTTTGCATCACGGTGCAAACTTCCATTAATCATTAAGTTGTACAATCTAGCATCAGCTTTTACATTTTGAATCACATATTCAAAAATATGCTCAGCTTTTCCCAACTCTCCAAAACTTAATTCGTTCTTAATCATTGACGTATGCAATGCATAATTCTTTGGATCATTTTGCATAGCATGATTATAAATCAGTCTTGCAACGGTAATATTTGTTTTACTCAATGTGTCAACCATTGAGGTAAGTGCAAACATATTAAATTCAACACTTTTAGCTTTTTTAACAAGATCCACCACAACATCAATATCAGGATCTAAACCTTTATCAAATTGTCTCTTACAATAACAATCAATTAATGTGGATGTAATAGCGTGAGTTTCCACAACCTTGTTTTTGCGCATAAATTCAACAATACCTTCAACGGCTTTATAATTCTTTTCTTTGACATAATGAGTTAAGAATACATTAATTGCGGTACTTCCTGGGATATAACCGGATCCATCTTTAAGATACTCATCTAATTTTGCATTAGCTTGATCAATTTTACCGTTCAATACCATTCCAACTAAGATCCCATCTTTACCATAATTGGTCAATGAAATACCACTATATTGCGCAAGATATTGATCAATTTTTTCCGGGCAGTCAAAGTTGGCAAAACCAGAAATGATTGATGAAAATAATGCTGGAGTCATGTTAATCTTTGACGATTGAATAGTTGCAATTACTCGTTCAAAATTTTCAAGACTGGTTTCTCTACCATTTGCAGCAATCTTTTCAGGCGATGCCAATGTAGTTAAAATGATAGACCAACCATTAGCGGTAGGAATAACCCCTCTATTAAGCATAGCCTGGAAAATCTCAAACACATCGTCGGGTCTATCAGTTTGTTGGAACGCATACATGATTTTTTCTAATGTTGCACGAGAAACTTGCTTGTCGTACTTTGCACAACTTTGTTGAATATCGTGATAAATATCCCAAACTTTTTTTGAATCTTTGGCTCTCATTGCATCGTTAAGTAGATGGAAAATCTTAGGGTCATCAGGATTAAATTCTCGAACGTTTTGTGCAACAATTGCAATTCTGAACTTTTTATATTCAGCTTCTTTAAAAACTTGCAAATTTTCAAGACTTTGTCTAACACGATACTTTTTAGGAGCTTTATTTTGTTGAATTAACTTTGTGATATGCTCGGTTGTAAAACTAACTTCTTGCTCGAGACATGATTGGACGTAACAGTAAACTACCAAATTGCTAAAATCATAGATTTTTGCTTCATCTTCGTTTCCTGATACTCTAATACGGAGTGGTTGTTTAACTTGAGAGTATTCAAGGAAGTTAACCCACAACTTTATAATTTTCTCATACACCTTCAAACGGTTTTCACTAGATTCAATACCTTTGATATGTCTAGTTGCCATGTCTATAAAATGAGTATGGTTGGCAATTCTTTGTTCAACCAACATGTTGAATAAATCTTCAATGGTTTTGTTTTTACCTAAAAATGCTTCAGGTTTCAAAGCCTTTCTAAAAAGATCAGTGGCTAATGGTGAAAATGTTTGATAAACTTCACGTTCTGACATACCTTCTTCAATTTGGATTTCACGAACATAAGTAATACCCTCTTCTAAAATTTCATAGGATTCACGCAAATCAACAGGTAATGCCTTAGAAATAGTTTCGCCAATTTGAGTAGTAATGTCCTTCAATTTAGCATTGATGTGTTTAGGAACTCTTGCTTTGGTGTTTTTAGTTTTCTTGAGTACTTCTTCAGGCTTGATGGTTTGTTGAGGGACTTTCACAGCCGATGAGGCTCCAGCAGTAGATTGAAATCGACTGAGTATGACTGGGATATGTCTAAGCTTGTATAAACTACCCCTTGAGATCGTCCTACTAACGGACTGTCTTAATGGGATCATATTCAGGTAATGAAGCGACAAGTGTTGTAAATATTTGATCTTACATTGTTGAAAATTTTTTTGTTAGCCAATAGTGCGAAAGGTTGGTGAATTTTTCGATTTTGCAACAGTCACGTGCCAGTTTCTTCAAGCACAATTGAAGAGCTTCCCCCATGGAAATATCACTTCCTTTGGATAGCTATAGATCTTTTTGTTTTGTCTTTGATCGTGTAATAACTTACTTTTGACCTATCACGAGGTCTTTTGTTTGCTTACTTCAAATGGTAGAAACAACTTTCAGCAAAAGCCTACAACCAATTGAGAAAGAATCTAGCAGATGAACAATTTTGAGTGAGAGATATTTCCAGTCTTGTGTGAATCATAACTTTGGAAAAATGTTGTAATACTAAATTAGGCTAAATCTACAGGATAACAGCTGTTTCCAGAAACTTTGTGTATTGAACAATACTATAGAAAAGAAATCATGTCATGATAATTATAATTAGGAATTATGATAATCTAACAACAAATAAACACCATATATAAAGTATCTATCTATTCTATTAGTTAGTACTTGACTTTGAAAAAAGTTCAATGGTTCCTCAAGTAAAATCAGATATCTTAGTTTTCTTATCATAAACAAAAAATATCAACTGAGCTGGGTTATAGCATGAGAGTCCGAGACTCGTTATCATCATTGTACAAGAGTGACTCCACCAAATGTTAATTTACATACCATTTTATGATTCTTTCCGAATTCAAGCCCGTTGAACTGAAGAAGAATTGAAAGAAATATGTTGAAAAAAAAAAACTGTGCCCATCACTTTAATATTTCGTCAGAGAAAACATCCGGGTAACCATGGATTTGACAGAAAAAGGGCAATAAAATAAAACCACAAAGGATATAATATAGTTCACTCCACACATGAGCACCACCAACGACAATAATAGCAACCCCAAATTGTTCCTGTCAGGACCATCAACGTCTGAACCAAATGACCTCTCATTTTTTAATTATCATGAATTTCTAGTTCCTCAATCAAAATATTCCCTAGTCATAAATCATTACCCGAACAATTACGCCAGTTCTAATTCTACTACACAGTTAAATACAAGAATAATACGAATACCACGATGTTACGAAACTACTGAATTCTCTGATTTGATTCCCCTGTTTTCTTTGTACTATCCTGGTAAAGAACCTGGAGCAATAACGCAAGAACACCTTGATGTACAGGGAACTTACGATGGAAATATATTTGGAATTACTTCAGATTTTCGTCTAGAAATTAACTCTAACGAACTACAAGAGATAGTGAGGCAAGTAAATCAATATTTATATAATGCCTTCTATCCATATAGTATACCCACATTATTTGAAAACGTATTGGATCTAATCACGGGAGGAATGTTTTCTCAGTTATCAAATCTTGTTGGTGTACGATCGCACACCAAGAGAACATTATTACAATTGGAACAGTATATTACGGATGTCAATAGTAAGTTTAAAGAAAGAGAAATTGACGTTGTTATAATTTCACCTAGAAAATCAGGATATTTATCAGTATGTATAGCTTTTTGCTTTGCAAAAGTTGGAATACTACTAACATATAGTTTAGCTTGACATTCAATTACCCAAACCAACTAAATAGATTAGATATTTATATGCACATAGTGACGAAAAAAAAAAAAAAACCAGTCCCGCGATGGTTTTTCCAATTCCTGTTTGTAGTTCATATGCTAAGATACTTCAATATGAATGGGGTATTTGCAATTTATAAACCATCAGGTATATCATCAGCGAAATTTTTGGATCGTGTACAAGCCACATTCACTGAATCAAAAGTCTTTGCTCACGATTTACAACAAGCTCGGGCAAAGATCTTGTCTGATTTAAATACTGACAAAAAATGGAGAGGTGGACGAGCAGAAAAGAAAGCTAGCAGAACAAAAGTAAAGATTGGCCATGGTGGCACTTTAGATCCATTGGCTAGTGGTGTTCTAGTGGTAGGTGTTGGATTGGGAACTAAAAAATTACAGTTTTATCTTAGTGAATGTCGCAAAACATACGAGACCAAAGCTTTATTAGGTATATCTACCACCACAGGTGATTCAGAAGGAGAAATTATAACACATAATGAAATTGATCATATAACCTCTGAGATGGTTAAGGATGCCACTAAGAAGTTTATTGGTGATATCAAACAAACCCCACCAATTTTTTCTGCATTAAAAGTTAATGGAAAACCACTTTACGAATATGCAAGACAAGGCTTACCATTGCCTACCAGTATTAAAGTTAGAGATGTTACAGTTTATGATATTAAAGTTTTTGAAGATGATTTATTGTCAACCGATCACGAATTCAAGACATTGGTTAGCGAATTGGACGAGAATGGTGTTCCCAAAGAACATGGTTTAGAAAATAATCCTACTTTGAATGACTCTCCGTTATACTTCAGTAGTCAATACCTTGAAAAGTGTGAAAAAGAAGAGGTTTCCAGTGAAGTGGGCAAACCAAAAATCTTACCCTCGGATAAAGACTTGCCAGAAAAACTTCCTATGATTCATTTTTCATCTGATGTTTCATCAGGAACTTATATTAGAAGTTTGATTAGTGATATAGGAAGAGCTTTGGAATCTTCGGCATACATGGTTGAGTTAATTAGAACAAAGCAATCCGAATGGGAATTAGGTAAGAATGTCTTCACGATTGAAGATTTCGAGAAAGATGAAAGGATCTGGGGAGCTGTATTAAAGAAAGTATTAGACGATGGTGGTAAAGACATTGATTTAAAATCTGAATTTGAGAAGATTGCAAGTGAAGTTGCAAAGGAAAGTCCAGAGCAAGATTCCCACCAAAGTAAAAAACGATCTATTGATGAGGTTGAAAACTAGAAGGAAAAAAAAAATAAATAGACCTCTCAGCAAACATACTTTTTACATAGACCATAGAGATACATACAATGACAATAAGACTATTCGTAAGGCAATTTGGTAGAACAGGTTGTCGTCATCTATACACAAAAACAACCATTAATCCAATATTTTTCAATCTTGAAATTCCCAATCACATTAGACCTACTTCCGCACTTGTATTATCAACACCATCAAACCTCCCCCAAGTAATTCAAAATGCAATTGATTTATATCAGAAACATAATTTACAAATCATAGTCGCTGGCGTAGATAGTATTGTTCCAAATTCATCAAGAAATGGAGTTTCTGAGGTGTGGACGGAACAGCCATTGACCATTGAGAATTCATTGTTATTATCTGAACGAGATGACTTAAATAAACCACCTAAGGAAAGCGATGGTATTCATATTGTAACGGCCAAGAAGAATTGGAAAAATATTGAATCCAATTTGAGAATTAATTTTAATACCAAGATAAATGCAGATTTAAAACTTGCAAATACAATATTTTCAACTGGATCAATTCTAACTCTATTTTATTTCCAGCCCGGTAACCTCATTGATTCCACTGGAAATTCCGGCCAACATTTATGTGAGTTGGAAGTCACATTACCTCAAGATCTGGTTTCTGAAGAATGTCAAATTACATTTAAAGACAACTGGACGCCATTATATCCAGATCAAGTATTCTCTGTCACAAATTGTATTGGAAATCTAGTGAAGGCAGTTGACAACAAACCTGCTAGTGAATTTCTTGAAAAGAATCAAAAGTTAATGTCAATTGGATCTAAGGAAACCCAAGTTTATGTAAAATTAACCAATCCAAATTCCACTGTGACTGAAAGATTTAAAATTATTGCCGGCGGTGGCGGTTGGGGAGCCAAGGCAAATATGATTGCGTTATCTCCCGAGGCAAAACCTGTAATTGGAAGTAAAATTGAATTCTTTATGATTACTCCCCAGGATAGATATTCTAAGAAGTACGAAGCTATTGAAGACTACAAGAATGCAATTACTTTACAAACGACCTATGAAGAACAGAACTATGTAGAAGAAGAAGAAGAAGAACAGGAGCCAATTGTTATGGAAAATGTAGTAGGTTGTGGTTCGGAATCGGGTTTTAAATTTAATGGAGTAATTCATAATTCACCTGGTGAACAAGTGCAAATTCATATATAGGCACACGTGAGAAAAATATTTTCCCCACAAGAGACATCTCGTCTTCTCCTCTGTATATAGAAAATGATAAAATACATCAAGGGGGATCTATTCAGTCATAAATCAATTGACATCTCTAAATCAGTTATTTTGGCACATGCATGTAATACTCATGGTGCTTGGGGTGGTGGAATTGCTGCAGTGTTTGGTAGGCAATTCCCTACGGCCAACACAAAATATTCAAACTATTGTCATACACATTCAAATTTATTAGGTACAACTTTGCTAATCCCTGCAAATGACAATAATAAAATATTCATTGCCTGTTTGTTTACATCGGATTTTTCTCAAACACCAACTGAAATTGTTGAATACACTGACAAGGCGCTTGAGGACTTATCTAAACAATTAGCTAGTAGTGATCTTGATTTTGAAACTGACCAAGATCATCCTATTATTAATATGCCCAAGATTAATGCTGGTATCTTTGGTGTTCCTTGGGAATTAACTGAAGGTGCACTTATGAAACATACAAGTTTAAATTTTAACGTTTACGTCATTGATTAAGTTAGACAGTATCCTTCTATGAGATACTTGACGGTACCAATTCACAAATCAATTGCTTACTGTCGAATTCATCTTGTGATTCTTGGTGTGTTTTTTTTTTTTGTAAAAGAACCAATTCATTTCATTGAATCTCGAGTGCTTGCTTCAGCAAACAGTTTGCCGATTTTTGTTTGAGTTAATATACAGATAAAATGCTTTCTGGGTTTACCTAGATGGATGACTGTAGTAAAATTGTTTCACTTCAAGTGTTGAGAAATATCCTCACAAACATACTGTGGGATACTGTTTTTTTAAAAAAAAACCCCATAATAGTACATTCCATGAATTTTGCATTCGTTCATATGCATCCTTCAAGTTTATTACAGTTTAACCAGCGCTGTAGGGACCTCTTTTGTAGACATTAGACAATTGCCCTTTAACTCGTTAGAAATCAGTTGTTTATAACTAGTGCTTATTCCATGAAATTTTTAGTCAATCAAATTCTCAGAATACTGTGATAGAAAGGATAGTAACCGTGCTGAAAGTAATATCTGATGAAAACACCACTTATGTGACTACTCGCGCATTACAAGGAACCGAGATTCTTCAACCGGTTTCAAATATTGAAAATACTGGCACTCAAAATGCTGAACCCCATTCCTTTACTTTTCCCAGATCTACACAAGTAACGTCCAAAATTGTTCAAGCCAGTGTAATCATGGGAGATCCTGATTTGGAAAGTGGCTATCCAGAGGAATATATCACATTGTGGCCTACATTTGACAGCTCTAGTAATCAACTTTCAACCTACTCGTTTGCTTTGTTCGTAGGGTTTGTCATTTCTTTCTATCTTGTTTAGTTATTGTTATGTAGCAGATACTATTGTTGTTTTATAAGTTGCAGGTGCTGATACCATTAGTATCTGCAAATTAAATCTGGAGATATTGTTTTCTAGGTTTTTATATAATGGAAATTTGTTATCAAAATCCCTCAATTACTACAATAAATTACTGTTGTGTATATCCAGTAGAGACTTATCCTTCATGTTAAATGCCATATTTCGAACCTGTACTAACGCATGCCTTATCAGCAAACCACCCTCTATTTCGCCAGGGAGGGGGGGAGGGTCTTTATTTCTGCTTAATTTCAGCCAACATTATGCTAATTGAAACCCAAGATCATGACCAAGATGGGTATGCCGTTGGTGATAAAACTTGGTATATTACCTCTATTCTAATTCTGCATTACACCTTTAGATAAAAGATATAAACAAATCTAAATTGTCTCAAAATCGGCCCAAGGTTTGTGTGTTACCCGGACAGATCCTATCTCTAAACTATAACACACTACAATATACCCATTGTGCAGGTAAACGTACTATAGAATAGTCATCAAGTTAGCGATACACCGTCATCAGCTATACTATATGATTGTTCCACGTCTATGTAAATTGTTCAAGTTAACTAGTTGCAGTCTGTCGGCGATAACAAGTATAAGTTTTGCCATCCATAGTCGTGCGCACAGCCTATTTTTCTCAAAGTGGACAATTTGTCCACAACAAAACCATACAGCCTCTTTTTTTTTAACCATAGTCTTCCCCCTTTTTCCTCTTATCTGTTCAGGCTGTGATCAATTGATATTTGAGAAATATATACGATGGATGAGACTTTAATTGCTACCATTAATAAATTGCAGGATGCATTGGCTCCATTAGGTGGAGGATCATCTTCCCCAGTTGATTTACCACAAATTACTGTGGTCGGTTCACAATCTTCTGGTAAATCTTCAGTTTTAGAAAATATTGTTGGAAGAGACTTTTTACCTAGAGGTACTGGTATTGTCACTAGAAGACCTTTAGTTTTACAATTGATTAATAGAAGAGCTGGTCATTCCAACAATGATCTTATCAATATCAACTCCACTAAAGAAAATGGGGAAGTTTCGGAAAATAATGCTGATGAATGGGGTGAATTTTTGCATTTACCTAATAAGAAGTTTTACAATTTCGAAGAAATTAGAAATGAAATCGTTCGTGAAACTGATGCTAAGACCGGTAAGAACTTAGGTATTTCTCCTGTTCCTATCAATTTAAGAATTTACTCCCCACACGTTTTAACCTTAACTTTAGTTGATTTGCCAGGTTTAACTAAAGTTCCGGTAGGGGATCAACCCAAGGATATTGAAAGACAGATTAGAGATATGATTATGAAGTTTATCTCCAAGCCAAATGCAATTGTTTTATCTGTTAATGCAGCAAATACTGATTTGGCAAATTCTGATGGGTTAAAATTAGCTAGAGAAGTTGATCCTGAAGGTGCTAGAACAATTGGGGTTTTAACTAAAGTTGATTTGATGGATGAAGGTACCGATGTTATTGATATTCTTGCTGGTAGAGTTATTCCCTTAAGATTTGGTTACGTTCCAGTTATTAATCGTGGTCAAAAGGATATTGAATCCAACAAAACTATTAGAGAAGCATTGAAGGATGAACGTCAATTTTTTGAAAATCATCCAAGTTATCGTGCAAAGGCTCAATTTTGTGGTACTCCATATTTAGCCAAGAAGTTGAATGGTATTTTATTACACCATATTAAGGGTACTTTGCCTGATATTAAGATGAGAATTGAACATTCTTTAAAGAAATATCAACAGGAATTGACTCTTTTGGGTCCAGAAATGGCTGAATCACCAGCTTCAATTGCTTTGAGTATGATCACCCAATTTACCAAGGATTATAATGGAATTTTAGATGGTGAATCCAAGGAATTAAGTTCACAAGAATTAAGTGGTGGTGCTCGTATTTCATTTGTTTTCCATGAAATTTTCAAGAATGGTATAAATGCATTGGATCCATTTGATCAAATTAAAGATGCGGATATTAGAACAATTATGCATAATACTTCTGGTTCTGCTCCTTCCTTATTTGTTGGAACCCAAGCATTTGAAGTTTTAGTTAAACAACAAATTAGAAGAATGGAAGAACCTTCCATAAGATGTATAAATTTAATTTTTGATGAATTGGTTAGAATTTTATCCCAAATTATCAGTCAACCTCAATATTCAAGATACCCTGCATTAAAAGAATTATTATCACAACAATTTATTCAATTTTTAAGAGATGAATTAGTTCCAACCAACAATTTTGTTGTTGATATTATTAAGTCCGAAGAAACTTATGTCAATACTGCCCATCCTGATTTATTAAAAGGGTCACAAGCAATGCAAATTGTAGAGGAAAAATTCCACCCTCAACCACAAGTTCCAGTTGATCCAAAAACTGGTAAACCATTACCACCAACTCAAGCACAAAAACAGCAGCAACAACATCCTCAAGAGCAAAAAGATGATAATCCGAATGGATTCTTTGGTGGGTTTTTCTCTTCCAAAAATAAGAAAAGATTACAATCAATGGAAGCCCCTCCTCCAGTATTAAGAGCCACGGGAACCATGACTGAACGAGAAACCATGGAAACTGAAGTTATTAAGTTGTTAATTTCTTCCTATTATAATATTGTTAAGCGAACCGTCGCTGATATTGTTCCAAAGGCTATTATGTTGAAATTGATTGTTAGATCTAAAGATGAAATTCAAAAGGAATTATTGCAAAAGATGTATAGTCATCCTGACTTGGAAGATTTGGTTAAGGAGAATGAAATGACTATTCAAAAGAGAAAGGAATGTTTACGTATGGTTGAAGTTTTGAAGAATGCCAGTGAGATTGTATCTAGTGTTTGAGTGATAGAGTGGTAAGATAGAAATTTAACTTCATTTGTTTTGTTGGTTGATCTATATATATATGTTTTTTAATAATAATAATAGTAGTAGTAGTAGTATCGTTTGGATGGATATTTTTAGTCCTGTGTGTAAGTGCATAGGGATCATTTGTATGCATTGAGAGTAAAAGTTTATTACTTTGCGTTCGTTACAAGTTACTCAATTCTCCCATATTATCTCTCTGATATGGTAATCAGGAGGTAGTATGGTGATCTCCTTTATTTCATGAACTTTGATCAGTTTCCCAGAGACAAGTTGTAATTACTCAAACAATGTAAATGACAAGTAAATAATTTGATCCAGAACAAAACTCGTGTGAAAAATATTAATCCAAAATTTTTCAGATCGAGTACAACCAATTAAAAATCGCGAAAGTAAATGCTAGATCATGTTTGTTTTCGTCTGAATGCAACATGTTTACTTTCGTCGGACAATTCCTAGAGAAATTACTCCTTATTTGCTATAGTTGCAGTATAGTTACATCCAATTTTAACCGTTGCTAGATGCGTGATTTTTTTTATGTAACATAAGCCTGTGCGGCTGGTTACAAAACTGACACATTGTTGTCCTATCTGTATAATTAGGGTTTAAAAACGCAGTATTATTTCTTGCTAGTTCTAGCAAAAACCAATTATATAATTTTCAATTGCTGACTCCGAATGAAATTATACTCTAAGGCGGGTGTGTTGCCTAGTGAAGTCAGTAAGAATACCCCCTTCCCCCACTTTGTTGTGGTGACAGTATACAGGAAATCGTCAAGTGAAAAAAAAAAAATTTTTTTCGTTTGTTTAGCAAGTCTTTTCACTGGTGTTAAACAAAGGCCGAAAAAAAAGGAACAAATGAAAAATTAAACTTGACTCTTTTTTTAAGATCTTCTTTTCCTCACAGATATCTGTAAAAGTTCCAACACCACAAACTCCCGTTCAAACGAAGCAATAGTTTACAACTACAGCCACCTAAGCTTTAACGTATTTTGATTTATACAAGAGAATCGACATAAATCAAAAACAAATTCTAAGATCATTTTAGAGCAGAAAGTTATCTCCTATAGTGTGAAAATTTTCGTTCAAGTTGATTAACACAACTTTATATTCCATTACTTCCGTTTAATCAGTTTATGCTTAAGAAGAAGCGACGAGATTACTTTTTCATTAATAGACTAATTGAACCAGGATAACATTCATCACATTTAAAATTTGAAACAGAATTTTCCAACTAGTTTCAAATTTAATTCTACAAGTTACTAAACATCACCCAGCCTATCGTGCTCGCCGAAATTACTTTTGCTAGAACCGTTTCAACCTCGGTTATCTGTTGCTGACATCGCTAATACATTAGAAAGTTTTTGCAAAGCAAGTCTAAATCATTTACCTGACACAACAACATCATCATCATTACACAACCTAATTAATAAAACTTTGAAACGTTTCTTGCTACTTCTCTCTTCGTTTCAATTTCCGTTATTAATTATACCCACCCATCATTATTCACAAGAGTAAGTTCCAATCCAACCCCCAATCCACATCAAGAAACATCATCCTTCTAGTTTCTTACTAAAAAGAAAAAAAAAGAAAACCCAAAAAAAAAGACTATAATTTAAAGACAATAAAAACTAAAAAGAAAAAAAATTCAATATTTCAATGGTAGCTCCTGCTTATTTTCAAGACACTTACGTTGATCATGAATTATCTGCTAATTTAGATTCAACTTTTGCTTTCGAAGGTCCAGAAAAACTTTTAGAAATTTGGTTTTGGCCTTCTGAAACTCAATTACCTAAGGACATTCCTGCTGATGGTATTAGAAGTATTCCCTTGGAATCCTGGGTTAAATTATTAGATTTGGTTAATTGCAAAATTTTATCAATGAAATCTTCTAAGTTTATGGATGCTTATTTATTAAGTGAAAGTTCATTGTTTGTATTTCCTCACAAGTTAATTCTCAAAACTTGTGGTACAACGACTACTTTAGCCTGTTTGGATGAGTTATTCGAAACCGTCAGAGAAAAAATGAATCTTTTGTTATCAAGTAAAGAGATTTACAAGGTTTTTTATTCAAGAAGATCATTCATGTTTCCTGATAAGCAACTTCTGGTTCATAAAGATTGGAAGAGTGAAGTTTCCCTTTTAGATAAGCATTTTGCTCACGGAAAATCTTATATTGTTGGTAATTTTAATAGTGATGATCATTGGTATTTGTATGTTGGTGGATATGAAGATCATGTCAATCCTCATATTCAAGCTAATGATCAAACGTTTGAAATCTTAATGACTGAATTGAACCCTGAATGTGCTCATAAGTTTGTAACTTCAAGAAAGCCAGGCGTTGAATCCTTGATTAAAGATGTAGTTGATGAGCATGACTTGGGCCATGATATTGGATTAGAAACAATGGTTGAAACAAGCTTGGATGAGGTTTTTGAACCTACAAGAAACTTCACCTCTCATTTGCCTTCTCCTTCTTTATCCGGTATTTCCGAATGTGAAGAGGAAATTCAAGTAGTTAAACAACCAACCAAGTTTGAATTCATTCATGATGCCTTTTCATTCACACCTTGTGGATATTCATCCAATTCAATCTGTTCAAATGTTCCTGGAGGTTATTATTATACTTTGCATATCACACCAGAGTCAGGATGGAGTTATGCATCGTTTGAAACAAACTATCCATTTTCGGATAAATCTCCAGTAGATATCATGACGGTCATTACCAGAATCTTGAACATTTTTGAGCCAAGAAAATTTTCAATGACATTAATCAACGATTTATTGAATGATAATTCAAGTTTATTCATGTTAAAGAATAGTGATTTGATGTTGAAGGATTTGGGGTATAAGAAACAAGAAAGAGTTTTGTATGATTTGAAAAATGAATATAGTTTATTATATTTAAAATTCGAAAAGACCTAACCTTTTCTTGTTTCTTTTTTTTTTTGTTTGTATTTGTTCGTATATAGCTAGTCAATTATATGTTTAAAGTACAGTTTTTTTTGTGAACTTTGTAGGTGTGATTGATGGTTATAATGAGCATGGAAACTATTCTTTGAAAATTTGCTTAATATTTCCATAAAATCATACAAAATCTACTAAAATTGAGACAATAATATTTGACAGGAAAAAGTTTGTCCAACGTACAGCAACGTGCATATTTCCACTTCACCAAATTGAATAATATGAGCGTTGTTTGTTATGCTCCATTTCTCTACGTCAACTCTACTAGTTTGATTCACCTTGGGTGCGAATTAGTATTTTAGGTTGCAAACTATCACGTGCACTCATCACTTTCGGGAATTAGAAATCCATGTTTTCCAAAGATGTCCGGGCAAATCAAAAAAAATATAATTAAAAAAAAAAAAATAGATCTTGAAACAGCCACAATTGCTTATAGCCATGACGCTGATGGACTACCTACCTACCTATCTGGCAAGATTTAATGTGCAAAATAAATATATTCCTTTTGAAAAGTATATACAAATTATATATTTAAAATTGTAAATGATTTAAAGAAGTAAACAAATAATATAATAAAAAGTTTAAAGAAACAAAAATCTATCTCAAAAAACATTAATCATAAACTAAATTGTTTACTTGAACTTCTTACCGAAGACAATCATTTGTAATTGATCGTACAAGGAGATAACACCGGCACCGGCAACACCTCTCAAGATGTTAGCACCACAACCCTTGAATAAGGAACCAACACCTTCAGCAGCAACAACCTTCTTGAAACAGTCGAAGGCACCAGCGTACTTAACAGCTTGACCAGAAGTCATCATCATTCTTCTTCTAACGGTATCTAATGGGTAAGAAGCAGTAGAAGCACCAGTGGTAACAGTCCAACCTAACAAGAAAGAAGCTAAGAAAGAACCTTCTAATGGACCAACTAAGACAACAGGCTTAAGGGAATCGTACAAACCGAAGTATAAACCTCTGTAAACAATAATACCAATAACAGATGGACCGAAACCTCTGTACAAACCAGCAATACCATCAGAAGCTAAAGTCTTCTTGTAAACATCAACTAAACCGTTGAATTCTCTCTTACCGTCACCCTTAGAAGACTTAGCATCGTTAGCCAATCTAGTTCTAGCGTAATCCAAAGAGTAAACGAAAGCCAAAGAGGTGGCACCAGCTAAACCACCGGAAGCTAAGTTACCAGCGAACCATGGCCAGTAACCTTCATCCTTCTTGAAACCGAACATAGCCTTGAATTTATCCTTGAAGGCGAAGTTTAAGGCTTGGGTTGGGAAGTATCTGATAACGTTGGCAGTGTTACCTCTCCAGAAGGAAACAACACCTTCTTCAGCAGCGGTTCTCTTGAAACATTCAATGATACCATCGTACTTCTTGGCTAATCTACCTTGCTTGATCATTTCATCTTGGTTTTGAATCAATAATTTAACTCTTTCAATTGGAGCAGCGGCGGTCTTGGAGACAGCGGCAGAAACACCACCCATCAAGAAATCAATTAAGAATGAGGAATCCATCTTGGTTATTAATGTATATGAATAGTTTGTCGAAGATGTAAAACTTGAAGAAGAAAAGAAAAAAAAAGAGGAAAAGAGAAAGATTAAAAAACTTTCAATCGTTAGGGGAAATGACCATAATTTATATAAAAGCGTCGAACGTCCAAACTAAAAAAAAAATTTACTGAGTGAAAAATTTTTTTTTGTGTTGATATTATGCACTGTACGCAAAAATAAAGAAAAAAAGAAATTAATAGAAAAACAATAAAACTGGCCCGTTGGTGTTTTGTTGAAGAATGGATGTTGAACGGTGAATTTCGGACATTTCTCCGTTCATCTAGCAACAACAGCAAAAAAAAGAATTGTTAATCATCAAAGTCGCAGAAAATACTCAATTTTGATTTGTCAAATGAGAGTCAACGATGCGCAGAGCCGGGTAATTTTTGTAAAAGACCGGTATTGCCTCAAATAAAATAGAGGTTAATTGTATCTATTTTTCTCAAACGAACCCTCGGAAATTTACCTAAGATCTTGGCTCGATACAAGAAAATCACTCATCTCATCGCAGGCGTATGCGTTACTTCCTACACCTTTTAACGTTCTCCTCAAATGAACCCCCTTGGAAGTCAATAGCACTTACTAGTTATCTCAATTCTACCTACTAATAAAACCCTATTTGACTTCTTACGGCGCTTTGATCCGACGGTACAATGAAAAAGACACATACACATTTACCGATTTAACAAAAGGGGCGCGAAAAAAAATTTTACGAACCGGAAATCTGTTAACAATGAAGATGAAGGTGAATTCAACACCTAAGGAACCGAGTAAATGACAAGCCATACACATTTTAAATGTAAAGGACAGACGAGCTTAAGTTTGAAGAGACTTTCTACCACATGTTGACGTGTTCATTCAACTCACCCCATATTTTATTATTGCTTTTTTTTTTTTCTTGTTTCATAACCGCTCCCCACCTCCCCCACTTTCATGTCCCAATTCTCTTATTTTTCATCCAATGAAAAACCACGCTTATCGCCGGGTGAAAAAAAAACAACAAAATAAGAATAACACATCGCTCAAGTTCGTCAATTAGAACACACCTCTTTTCTATATATGCTTATCTCCAGATCTTGATTCTTGTGAGATTATATTCCGACATCAAACTTACAAGCGACACGCGGCACAATTTGAAATCATCTTAAAAAGAAATAAAATTTAATTCCACATTCTTGCTTGTTTCAAGCCGATCTCTGCCGGGCAAGGCAATTACGGTTGCAAAAAAAAAAAAAACTAGACAAAAAAAGAAAAGTTATAACATCTATTCTAATATACAGAAATATAATATACAAACATACATGTACAAACACAACGTCTTATGGCATATGTTGACCCCTATTTTCTTCACTAATTCTCGAAACTTCACGACGATGTTCGGAAAAATCCTCCATTGCAATTTCTTCAGTTTGGATTGGATTAATTGAATCCATTTCTGGAAGATAAGTATTACTACTATTTTCACTACCCTTTTTAAACATTCTTAAAAATGATCTTCTTTTCGATGGAGAAATTGATTGACCTGGTGGAGGGGTAGGTGGAGGAGTAGCCAATCGTCTGCTGAAACTAAATTCTTCTTCATAAACTGTATCACTTGCATTTCTTGCTTCATCTGAATCATTATCGACTTTCTTACTTTGGTGACTACGTCTAGGCGATGAAAAACTCATCCTGTTAATCATGTCCGAAGTATATGCACTGATTTTAACTCTGTTAGGGTCAGTTGGATCATAGTCGAATGGATATGCATCAAAATCTCCTCGTTGAACACATTCTCTAATAATATCAACATCTCTTGGCCAGAATATTCTTTGAACGAAATCATAAAAGAATCTTGGGATAAGACAACAAAGTACACCAACAAAAACCGTAGGCCAAAATCCTGGAGTACCAAAAATTTGTGGTGCAGCCTTGAAAAATTCTCCACTATAAGTATTAATTGTCCATAATCCAGTCCAAATAAAGATAATCAAAATGGAAATTGCCACAATCAATGAACTTAACCAATCCCATCTAAATTGGTGGAAAAGAATGTATAAGTTACATGAAATACAAGCAATACATGTAACAATGACCCCCATCCAGAAACGGTGATCTACTGGTTTACCATTCATACCAGCAAATCCAATGGTATATAACAAGTATGGGAAGAAAAATGATATAGCTGATTGATAGATCCCATCAATACAATACCACCAAAATTTAGCTTGGGTCATTTCAGTTCGAAGGATACCACTTCTATAAATTTGTGGAACTAATAATGATACTTTGGCTTCAACATCTTGGTCGAATATACCCAAGAAAATTACCGGTAATGAGGTAAATGCCAAATTATAGAACATCAAATATGTAAATTCAAACAAATAGGTTCCATCAAAATTATTGTAAATACCATACCAGAACAAGGCAATATTGAAAATAACATTCTTATAAAAGAAACTTGGAATCATTTCACTAAATCTCAAGTATGACCAACGTCCATGAGTTAATAATAACTTTGCTAAGAATCTAAATTGACCGATTGCATAATCTGAAGACATAACTGCTTGTCTACCTTCTTCACCAGCAATACCCACACCAACATCTGCTGCTTGAATCATAGCAACATCATTAGAACCATCACCAATTGCTAATGTCATGACATCTAAAGTGTCTTTGACCAATTTAACAACCGCAGCCTTTTGTGCTGGAGATACACGACAACATAAAACTGCACGACATTTCTTACATAACAACAAGAACTTTCTCTTGGTATCCGGATTCAAAAGTGCCATCTTAAGAGCATCACCATCAACAACGACCCCGAATCGTTCGTCTGGTGGAGTATGATCTCCAATAGCAGCTTCTTGTTCTTCCAATGAACCTTCCATTTGGAAATAATGTCCTAAATAATGTGTGATGATTGTATCAACAACTTGTTGTTCTCCAGCTCCAGAAGGAAATCTAATTCCTAGCCTATTAGTATCTTCTGCACTATATCCAGTTTTGATAACCAACAATTCCATTTCATTACCTAATAAATTACACGAAAACCCGATATTGATAGCAGTTTCGACTTTATCACCAGTCAAAACCCATAATTTTATACCAGCCTCAGCCAAAATAGAAATTGCATCAGGAACACCATCTTGCAAACGATCTTCAATTGCAGTACCACCTAATAAGGTCAATTCACGTTCAATGGAATCAGCAACAACTTCCATCTTATCGTCACGGTCCTCCAAACTTGAAGCAGCAATTTGATGACGTCTGTTCCATTCGGTGTATTGTTCCCATGATAATTCACGTACTGCAATACATAAAGTACGCAAACCTTCAGTTGCAAATTCTTCCAAATGCTTAGATGTAGTTTCCAATAATTCAGGATCATTTTCGGTCTTACTCAATCTGCTATAGATGATCGAATCAGCACCTTTACAGATAAGAAGGGCTTTAGCAGGTTCATTTGGAGTAGAACCAGGGATCTTGATTATTGAACTCATTCTCTTTCTAGTAGAATTGAATTCTAAAGTATTCAATACCTGGTATTCTTTAGTAACGCCATGAACGTTAATTAAGACACCCTTTTTAGTATTACCTTTAAATTCGAAACCAAGAGATCTAGCAGTACCAACCAATGCGGCTTCATCTGGAGATTGTGCTTTGAGTAATAATTTTTTAGGATTCTTTGGATCCTGCTCACTCATCACGGAATGACACAATGCTAAACATAACATGAAATGGTCCACCGAGTTTTTCTGTTCATCGCCACTAGAGCCAAGCATATCATCCAAGATTTTCAGGGATACAAATGTAATTTCATCATCATAAGTGGTGTTATTTGATATCTTGTGAAGCTTTTCAATCATTTGTAACTTATCTTTATTGATCAATTCACGTTCAACTGCAGCTTCAGTATCAACATCAACACCTAATCTTTTTCTTAATCCCATAAGTGCTTCAGTATATGCTCGACCATATGAAACTCCATTAATAGTACATTTCTTAAATTCCATAACATTTTGGGTTAATGTACCTGTTTTGTCACTAAAGATATATTCAATTTGTCCCAAATCATCAGAAATCGACCAAGATTTTGGAGTACATGGGAAATCTAATCTTGGATAATACATTCCAACATCGGAATATATGAAGAATGCCTGTGCTGTTTTAATAATTTCAATGGTAATATAAAGAGAAATTGGAACCAAGGATTGATACAAGATTAAAGCAACAAAGAAACCAACCAACCCATTCAAAGCTGGTGTTCCTGCAATTGTACCAAATTCAAAGTAATCTCGTGATGTTCCATGGTGTGTATAATAAATACCGTTGACCAATCCTGATATGAAACAAATAATGAACAAGAATATGAAATTGAGAATAACATAGTAATTCAATTCTCGCGACATACGTGATTGTTTTGTTGGAGTTATACCAGCATTAAGCATGATCTTGGTATCATCACCAGTGAAAACAACTATACCAATAACCCACTTTGTATTTCTTAATGAACATCCACGTAAAAGTAGGTTGTTGATTGTAATTGCTTCTTGAGCGTCTTCAGCACCGTTATTGTCGTATTTCAAATTACCTTGATAAGTATATAAATTGGCATGAGGACCTTCTGAATCAACTTGGAAAGAATGGTTAATCAAATCATCAGCTTTAGTGATTTTTTGTTCGATTGAAGAATATTTCATGGCTTGCTTAACCTTTAAATTGGTTTCACCATCGAGATTCTTGGTTTCAACATAACAACAATTATCATCATCACTAGTTGCCAAAATAACCACATCTGCAGGAATTTCATCATTGTTGTAAATACGAAGAATATCACCAACTTTCACATCTTTCCAATACTTCTTTGCAAATTTAAGTGTCTTTTCACTTCGTTGATACTTATGAGATTGTCGACGTTGTTGTTGAAACAGCTTACGTAAATCATCGCTGAATGGGTTAATATCTACTGAATTTCTTGGTGAAGCTTCAATAATGTCACTATCAAAAGATCTTCTACCTGGCTCTTCAGTAATATTGTGTTCTTCATTGTACTTTTGTCTTAATTTATTTGCTCTGCCTTCTTTGGTTAGATTACGTTTGGAAGCTCCCCATATCCTAACCATTAATCTTGTATTTGCTTTCTTAAATCTTCTCCAGGCTGATACCTTTGAATCATTACAATTTATATTATCATAATGATATTCACTATCGAAATTGATTTGAGATAATATATGAGTTGTTTGATTGTTAACCTCTAAATCAGTGACTGTTCTTCTTGAATCTTCAATTGCATCTTTGATGGCGGTGATAATAACAATGACGATTAAAGGAACAGCAGCTAATACAGGTGAAGGAACACCAAAGATTGAAAAAGCACCCAATATAATCAAGAAAAGGAAATAAATATTTGCAACATTGTGAAAGAATTGATGTGAGATATTTTTAGGTAAAAAGGATAATGGAGTATATTTGGTTGTTCTAATTTTATTTCTTGGATACTCTTTAATAGTTTTACCTGATTCAGGGTCAACATAGTCTGCTGGTAATGGTCTATTAAATACAATTGTTCGTTGTTGATGCTTTTTATTCTTAGGATCTTCTGCTTCAAGGTCTATGTTCGAGTCTTCATCGTCTGACTCTTCGTGATGGTGTCGTTCAGGGAAATCAACCGAATGAGTATTTGGTTTTCTAAATGAATTCAACCTAAGGGAGTGACTTCCATGCTTTCGTTTGTTGTGAGGATCTAGTATTCGTCTAAGGGTTAATGATCTTCCAACACCCTCCTTTTTAGGCCTTCCGTGCTTGTTACGCCTAGTACCCCATCTAAGTCTTTTTGTCTTGGAAGGAGATTCTTCCGCATCATCATCTTCTCCGTCATCGTCTTCTTCAACTTCGTCAGCATCAAAGCTATTTTCAAAAGCTTCTGTGGCAAATGGAGATTTGGGTTGTTTGAAAATATCATCCTCAGGGATCACTTGATGTACGTCCAAAAAGGGTGATTGAATTTTACCACTCTTCTGATTGCCATGTGCTGAAGATGGAATATTGTCGTCGTCCAATTTAAAACGTAAAGACCCCTTTCTGGAATTACTATTGGTGTTAATTGGTTCAAACCTAGTATTATCAATTCTTGGTGTAGGAGGTACTGAATCATATTCCTCATCGGTGAATGCGCCGTCTATATTGTTTTGCGGATTATTGAATGCGAATCGATCCATAGTTGGTGATGGTAAGATCGAAGAAGCATCATTGGAAAACGAATCCTCTTGATCAAGGAAAGGACTCTTGTTATTTTCTTGAGACATATTGTGTTACAAGTTTAAATGATGATCTATATGATTTCCTCGTCTCCCGTGTATTCCTTCAAAATTTCTATAAGATCTCAATGAACGGTATTACGAACCCAGACTCAATCCACGAGTCAATGACTATTCTTAGATATAAAGCTAACCGGCCTAGTCTATTGTAACTTAAAGTCAAGTACAACGTGTGTTATAAAGAACGAAAAAAATAGTTTTAGTAAAGTTTTTTGTCAGCCATAACCAGGGGTTGGGTTAGAAAAAGAAAAAGCCAAAAATATAAAAAAAAAAGAAAGATTTTCTCATGAACTTGTTTTGTGTAACAATAGGTTCGGATATAAAAAAAAACCTGATTTAGTTCGATATATCACTGATATCTTGTCGGCTTAGAGTCATGTAAGGCACATTTATTGAGATTCTGTTGGGGGCTCTCATCTTCTTTCGGTAGAATAAATTTCTGACGTACGATTACGAAACATGCTATTAGTGTAAATTATAATTCTTCCACCGTGTCAAAAAAAAAAGGTTTTTTTTTGTAAGAATTCGGATTCGGCCGTTCAACCTAACTTCCCATTGTTCTCATTATCACTACGATTAGAATTACGTAAGGAAATAACCGCCCCCCCTGGGATCTTACAGAAAGTTTAAACCGTTTGGATTAACTATTCAGAACAAAATTTTAAAGGTTAAAAGGGACCGTGTAATGCACAGAGAACCTAATTCTTGGCGTATAAAGTCGCGTTTCACCGTTTTCGTTGAATAGAAAAACCTTAAATTTGATTCAGATCAGGATGACAAATTAATTAAAACGCGGTATTAAATTTACATGACACAGTAGAAAAAAAAAGGAAAAAAAAAAATTACACTTATATACATATTTAATTTATCTTACGGCCGAGCCTAAAAATAGCGCAAAATTAAATTCTAATCCGATCTCTCCAGATTTACAAAGGCAAGTATGTGCTTGAAAAATCCGCCCGCTTATCTAGATTATTGCATTGTAACTATATAACTCAGATATACGCTTCCTAAATATGCGAATTCATTAGTCATTGAGATTCTTATGCAATATAAAATACTTTCTATGAATCTAGTTAACTTTCATTGTACAAATTCTATTCCCTATATATTCTGAATAAAAACAGAGTTTTGATCTGTCAAAAACCAACAGATTACAAACCATACAGAAGATATCTTTAACCATGCCAATCTACTACCAGAGTCTATCACCTACGCATTTTCTCAAATCAATTAGAATGCTATCCATTACTATCATTAAAGCAACACTTTTCTACTTCCCCCCAGTCTCCAATATAAAATTTGAAGTCATTCTTCAACTTTTTATTGGTTGCAGAATCTATTCATCAACAATAGGAAAATTACCTTAGTGTAAGGTCTAATCTTTCTTGGTAGCATACTTTAATGTCCATTCCTTTGCAATTTCAATAGCTCTCTTTTCGTCCTTCTTCCAATCATCGGCAACATCATTAGCTAAAGGATCGTCAGGATTAGGTGCTCCCAACAACGCTTGAATACTTAACAAGATTGTTCTAATTTGTAACGCAGGTGACCAATTATCCTTCAACACATCCAAACAAATTCTACCTAATTTATCAATATTGGGATGATAAATCTTGGTCAAAAATCGAACTTTTGGTGCACACATAGGATAATCATCTGGTAAATACAATTCCAAATTGAATACTCCATCAGCATATGGGGAATGATTTGGACCATCAATGGTTACTTCAAAGTATCTGAGGTTATCTTCAGAAGGAATAGCAGTAATTCCTGGAACAGGGTCACTTACGAGACGCTCTGTTTCTTTAATGATTCTCTTTGGAAGTGCAGCCATGTTTAAATGGGTAGACGTAAAAACTTGCTATGTGTATTTCCTTGTCAAACTAGCGTTTGCTTTTTCGCCCTCACTTTCATACAGAAGAAAGGTCGTGCGAGGGCCAACCTCTACCAATTATTTTTCAATCAATACGCTACCAGCGAAGAAAAGCAGCACGATGGGGAGTTTATCGAAGCAAGGTTACACGATAACCTATCCTAATCAGATCAAATAAATCCAGGCATGGTAGCATCTCCACCACCACAATCGTTTGGATCCAAACTCTTTGGGGTAGTACTTTCTTTAGCAGTAGGCTGCTTTGTCATATCCAAGTGGGGACCAGATGAAGACTATTTTGTAAAAATACCTTATACTCCAGAAGAAATTGAACAACGAAAGAAAGAGGGTAAAGGATTTAGTATCAAACTAGTGGATAAAGGTACAACACCTTACCCACGTAAATCTGAAATAAAATCTGAAGCACAAAAACTTGCATTGGAAGCTTGGAGCAACAAAGTTGGTAGAATTCAAGAAGAAATGTCAATACTTTATAAAAAGAGACAGAAAGAGCTTAGAAGGAGAGCTGTTGATAAGTTGATCGAACAACATAGGAAAGATTAATACTTGTATATAGAATTTTTATTTTTTCAATTTAATAAAGCTTGGATGGGAATAGACAGTTGAAAAAAAAACAAATGTAGCAAGAAGTAAGGTCCAATATTAGTTCCTAGTGCTTATACATGAACTTCAAGCTGAAAACTCTCTAAAACTTCTATCCAACATAGAAAACTTCTGAAATCAATTAGTTATCTTAATACTATGAGGGACAAAACTGAAAGTGACGGCAACTGAGACTGGGAAACTGAAGGGTAAAGGGGTACTTGTGGATACAAACGTCCTAAAAACTGTAGATCGATACAAATCAACGTAGCAATTTACATATATATATATATTTCTCTGCTTCTGTCAAAGGTATAGTCGAAATCAACCATATGCGTTTACCCAAGCTGCTTTGTTTATTATCCTTCAATATGAGCATCCTCCCAATCTCTATTATTGACTCAGAAAAGTGGTACTTCATCCACATCATTTAAATAAGGTTGATTTAATAACAGGCAACTATTCCTGACATTGTAATATTACTTTATACACTAGAAACTTCTGTGGTTGTAAAAAAAAACATTTCGTGGTAACTACTTCTGTTAGAGCTTGTTTTAGGAATGAAAATGTAGACAAGACTAAACGAGTTCCATAGCTTTTGATATTCGGAGTAGATTCAAGGTTTTCCCATTTGTTGCAATAGTGAGTTCTAAAGAATGATCACCGTCATTTAATTTCAAGTATAGATATTAACACTGATTTCTAAAGAATTCAAATGTACTCCTCTGCCTTAACATTTCAAAACCACCCGAGCCAAGATTATTCATCTGGGGATATCACAATACCCTAATTTACCTGCAACTTCACTCCTTGATTTTAACCTTTGACCACCTCAGTTCCATGGAAATGCAACCTCCAAACCAATACCGCGGATTAAATTTTTTGTGTATACTAGTGCCATACACTATTTCACCGTCTACTCCGATCATGTGAAATATTGTTTAACAATAGTGACCCCCACTGTATTGTCCAATTTATTTCGCCATTATATTAACAAAGGAAGATTGCTAGTGCCGATTGCCTCAAGATTTCCTTATTAAGCTTCAATAGACTAATTAGGCAAGCCTCGGTCATGTCTAAATATTTTTCGATTTGTGTCAATTCTCTCTAAAATTCTCCTCAACGAATAATCCGCCAGAAAGAAATAAGGTCCTTGTTCTCACAAAACAATAAATCCATGACAATATGACTTCCCCATCAGGTTAACTCCACGAACAATCACTGCATATTATAGCCTCAGGGCAACCTCCATCCGCCCACAAAAAAAATATTAATACCTTTGTCTTTCGAGGTACAATGAATATTTTATAATCGCGGAAATATGATCAATTTCCGTTCTTGGCGAGTGGATTATATTCGACAATAATCAATTCCACTGGTTAGATAATAACAACATGACGAGTGTTCCAAATAGCTTACATTGAGGTATTGAACCTCCTTCTATATATACAAAAAAAAACCTGTTCTCAGATTACCACAACTTTTGCCAACACTTTGCCTGCCATTGTTTGGTGTTGGAGTTGAATCTTCTATCATAAATGCACGGCGATTTCTAGATTGCTACTTTCTGAATTTGTGATATATTTTTTAGGTGTAGTCCGCGTACGTCCCCGAAAAGCCCATCTACTATATTTTTTGAGACTGAATAACAAAACGATCTTACGTAAACCCAATCACATGAAAATTTCACCGAACAATGGGTACGGACGATATTGTGGGGTATTATAGTCAACTAAATCTCAATTGCTCGTTTACTGCTGATTGTATTGAGAAAGTAAACAGTCAGCATTACTAATTTATGCCCCTTTTTCATTAAATTGCCATTGATCAAAAGGTAAATAGTAAACAGAGAGAAAAATTCCTATTTCTCTAGTATTGTATAACAATCAATTGCACAATTGACTTGTTCCTCTGAGTCCTTTGCTTATTCGTCTCTATAGATATCTCTAAGTTTCGGCAAATAACTTCACTTAAACCATGACAATTGAAGTCTATCAAATAGACTTTACCTTACGAATATGTAACTCGGTTATTTGCTAAAGGATATGGTGCATATACGCGGAACTTCCAAAAGGCACCCAAATATGTAAGTATAGGCGATAATAATTTCGGTTTATTCAAGTGGGGCAGAAGGGTAGGAGATAGTTTGACAATGACGGAGAGCCCTATTATAAAATCTTTGGTGGGGTTTTCCAGGTGGAATTAAAGTGGACAATGAAAAATAAAGGACAAATGGATTAAGTGGTGGAACTCAGGTTCAAGGCTATATCCTGATGGTACCAGGTTTACACATGTTGTTAACAGAAAAAAATGATATATTTGTACACACCCTTTGCGTTAGTTACTCTGGCATATCAGAGTTGTAAAGGAAGGTGGTTATGATTCACTACAAGGTTTGTAGCCAGCTCCAGCAAAAATTAAATTACGAACTTCTTGACACAAGAAAAAATATTTTTTTGGTACAACCGAAAAGCTTTTCGCAGCAACCTATACGAGAGTTCAATGTAACCAATTCATATACCCAAACGTAGAGTAAGTGTGTTTCGAAATGCTTGTTGTAACTAGATACAGTATATATTATACCAATCTGGGAAAAAGATGTTGTTTCCAATGCGGTATGCTGTACATATATGTAAGATTAATAGTTTCAACGGCGGTCAGATTCTGACGTAAAACACAACTAAAACATTGACTTAAACTTCTTGTCTTATCTCCAAGGGGTTTTCTAAGTTACCATTACAACCTCAAAAATTTACCAGTACGAATCAAATTAGTTAGTCTCATGACTAAGGGAAGTGACACAAATTTTTTGGTTTGAAACATTCATTGTCTACAAAGTTTCATCTATTTACATACTAAGTCAATTTAGAATAGACTCCCATCACACCACGATGTACAATAGCAATTAAGGATTCATGCAAGCAATTAAGGGAAACAATTACATCACTTTGTCTGATTTACTATTCCTCGTCTTCCGTTTAATATCCGTATGTTTGGCATATCGAGGATATTATATTTTTTTTACAAACTTTTTAGTGTGGTAAGTACTTTGTTGAAACCTATTGTTCACAACCTTCTATACCCAAATAGGAAAATCAACATTACAAACCAAACAGTGGGTTTGACACAAGGAACAACACCTGTATACCAAACAGCTGAATAATTCACCAACGCAATCTCATCCATCCACTTTTTGATTGCGCAAATTAAAACAAAAAAAAACATCATCTGATTTGCAATGGGCTAGTTAAACCATAGCGGACTTCATATTGCTTCTCCGAGGTATTTCCAAGAAAAAAAAATAGTCGCTAATTAGAACCCCAATATTACTGATTTCCCCATATTACTACAGAAAATAACACTTTTTCAACTAAAATGAAACACTATTGTCTGTATTTTGTGTTTAATGCCCCTCATCAACGGTATTGTTCTATTTTTTTTTGAATATTTTTTCAGGGTTATTTTTTTCGCAACAGGTCCAAGCACAACTAAACAATGAGATGGTCTTTTCTACTCCACTTTAGAGGTTGTCAGAGAGGGGCATTTTAATAAAGTCCGATCTTACGTAAAAATCATGTGAAAGCACAAAGTATTAGTAATTTATTCGTTACACAAAAACTATGTCCCATAAATTCCCCTCGATCTCTGTACTATCTTGCCCCTACGCAAAGTACCTGGACGTCAGGCTGATGCATGTCGGTTATCATGTTATACTCAATACTTTGACTAGGCCACATAGTTAGAGCCACATATTCTAAACTTTAATTTGTTATCACGCTACATGGTTGGGGTTATTCAAAAACCTTAAAAGAAGAGTGATAGTATGATCTTTCCGGATCCTTACGTCGGTCAACTATTGCAAAAAAAAAAAGACGAGAAATTTTACTTTTACTCCTCTTGACAATCCGCATCCCCGGGTAGTAATTTCGAGCTGGGGTAATCTATTGTTTAAATGTTTATAACTTTCCTATCCAAGTTATTGATTGTGTGTGGGCGGCCCATCTCTACTTGTTCTCGGTAGCCAATATAAGCGTTGAATGCCGAATCATGCATTTAATTTATTTCATCTAACAATAACGCAAAAATAAAATTTAATAATAAAATTTAAAAAATATAGCTACATCAACCTCTTGTTTTTGGGGGAAATTATTAACCTACATTGTCGTTTGGATTTTGTAGACAGTTTCTCCTGCCTAATTAGGACCTTATCCAATTAATTAAACTATTATTACTTCTAATAAGGAATCTTAAACCTATTGTTTATTTTTGAATTTTGCTGCATTTGCATAGAGCTTATTAACTCAGATTGCTCGATTTGGTAATTCAGATCTAAGGGTGTATTTCATGAGCTGGGGTAATTGATTGTTAAATTGTTCATATTGGCCCTACTCAAATCATTGATTGTACTTGATTGCTGAATTAGTTAAATTATGTTACTTTATTCAGGGTTGTGAATGCAAATGTTGAATGCCGAAATATGCATTTAATTTATCACCTCTAAGAACAAATAGTAATGCAAATTATTTCTGTGTTTCAAAACATGTGTAGTAACTTCGCTAATTTGGTTCCATAATATGTTGCAGAACCAGTAGGCGGTTCGATCCGTATTACCCTAGTTCTGTAACGGAGTCGATAAAAGTCCCCTCCTGCCTATTTAGGACCCTTTGCGTATTTTTAATTTATTTTTTAGTCATAGTGTGGAACCTTAATTTTTTTTTTATTTTTTATTTATTTTTTTTTTCTTTTTATTTTTTGCTGCAGTGCATTTATCAGAAAATAAAAATAAATTAGCTAAAAAATAAATGTAACTCCAAGTATAGATTCAATTATCGAAATTGGGGTTTTCAAATCTGTGTCACCACTTATGCCTCTTTTCGATAAGTATATAACCTGGCGACTATTCCCTTCCAAAATAAGATTCTGTTATTGCTTTCATACTGTGACTATTTCGAACAACATTTTCCTTTTATACTTAAAAGGGTCTATAATACCACTAATACTATAACGTTATAATGAATACCAAGAAGTATGTACTAGCATAAAGACTCATACATTTCTAGAATCATATACTAACATATATTTATAGTACCATTTTACCACCTGCTAACGGTAAAAAATTATGGAGAGTCAAGAGAGCTTCTCTGAACGAAGATGGTGATGAAGCTTCTCAAACATCAATGGAATGCTTGAAGAGTTCATTGAAAATTTCTGCTGCTGCCGCTGCTGCTACTGCTATAAATGGAAAACCTTCGGGCAGAAGACCTTCTTTGAAGAGACCAAAGAATATTCCAGGAAAACCAAAGAATTTTGTCTTTGTTGATTTATCACCAGTTAAATCTGAAGAACAAGAAAATGATGCTAATATCCAACCAGCAATTGGGCAACATGGTAACCTGCCAGTGCAACAATTACCTTCTCCACAAGCTTCTGATAGAGATTCTCAGGTATTTGATCATCCTATTCAACTGGATGACTCATTCTGTTTATCCTCAGTTGACTCTGGTTCACCTACCTTTTCATCTAATGACTCCATGCTGGATATCACCTCACCTGAATTATCTCAAACTAATACCCTAGGATTGGGTATAAATGGTATAGATTACCTCCCACCTGACTTGACTCCAAATTCTGAATCATTCCCAACCCATATCTTGTCACAGCAATTATACGGATACCAAAAGGCAATGATTCAACAACATTATCAAATTCAACTCTTACAACAACAATTACAAGAACAACAAAGAAAGCAAATACAATTACAAAATCAACAATTACAACAAGAATTGGCTAGATTGGCAATGTTGTCACCATTCCCACAATTTCAACCACAAATGCCATACCCTGTTGCTACCCCAGTAACTACTCCTCGTGAAACTACCAAAGTAAACAAGAAAAGAGCAGAAAAGAGAAAGAGTTTAGATCAATTCAAATCATACAGTGGTCCAAAACTGGTAAGATCTGCTTCTGATGGTTGTATCAAAAAGGTTAGACATAATAGAAGTAGCAGTGATTATAGACCAGCAAGTATTGGCACAATTACTCCACCAACTTCTGCTGGTTTCACTGACACTCCTATGGCTGTAACTGATTCTATGATCAACGTTTCTACATTTACTGCTGACAACATCGACCCATTCTTGATGGCTGATTCTGGTCTTGACACAACCTTCAGTTTCCCTGCAGCAACTTCATTCGCTGATATGGTTGAAAATTTTGATACCAAAGACATTAGTGCTGCTTTGTTAGAGGAATGTGGAGCTGATCCATTATTTGGTGAAAGACCAGAAGCTACAGATTACCGCCAATTTGTATCAATGTAAAAGAAGTACCTGACTGTTGCTTGCTTTTTTTTTAAAAGGTTATTTCCTTGTATTATACGGTTACATTCAGGATTTTGGTTTTTTTTTCTTTTGAGAAAACCATAATTCCTTATAGATTATTTTTGGTCAAAGATTGGATTACACTTCACCTTTTTCCGTTTCAATTCTCGAATTTCAATTGTTCATTTCTATTTATTTACATAGGGGTTTATTATGGTATTTTTTTTGTTTCTTGTATATTAACTAAACAATTTGAATAAATTTACAATATAAAAAAAAAAGTTATAGTACAAAAATTTCACAACCAAATTATTATTTAGTCTCAGCTTGGAACTGGCAGGCCCACACGAGACATGCAAGTCGTAAATATCCTTACCGTGTTTATCCCTAAAGCCCAATTGGGTATTATTGTCCTCCCTTATTAGTCTCTTGGTGTTATCAATTAGGACAATCACGGGTTGCAGCAACTACTTGAATAGGAAATTTTTGATTAGATTTTTGCTCACACATTCACAGACGTTACACAAACCTACCCCAACTTAGTTTTTACTTCTATCCGAGACACCGTTCAACGGTTAACACCTCGGATGATTATATCCATTATCTATGTTTCTTTTTTTATGTTATTGTGAATACAAGTACTACACACAATTGATTCAATTTTAAGCAACCATATTTTCTAAAAAGAATTTACCCCACATCTAGCTTAATCTTGCAGGATTTCAAATATAATAATTGCTCTAATGATTCTAAAGTGTGTTAGTTTCTCACTAGGATTGCATTCAATTTTATTTTTAAATATGGAACCTAAAGAATCGAATTTAGGACGACCCGCATGAACTCTCCGACCATGGAACCCCACACCTGCACATAATTTGGGCGAGATCATACATTTCCAGATGCACAATCGCCAACATAAAAGTTAAAAATAAACCTTCAATAAAAAAAAAAAAACCTTCCTGTAACATCCTAATAATATACTACAAAAGTCAAGTCGTAAAATAAGATTTGCGAGGAATGCCTCCGAAAAAAAAGGTCACACCATGTTGTAGCACGGAGGAATAATATGAATATTTCTTCTTTCACCCCAGTGCTGGTCCAGAGCTATATGTGAAAACAATATGTATCAACGTCAAAAAAAAAGACATTTGAAATCATTCATTATGCAAATCAAGATCTAGTGATTGGTTACATCCTCCTATGGAAACCACATGTCCCTAAAGGTCGGGGACTCTCTTTTGGGGTAATTTTTCCTGCTTCTCTTCTTATTCAAGGTCCCTTTTTAGTCCATACGGCTCCATTTTATGGTAATCCAAGAAATAGTTGCTACAAAAAAAAAAAACTAGGGAGTTCATGCATGTTTCTTAAAATGCTTGGTTGAATGTGTGCCAAGGTTGTGCCATGGAATTATCAACACTTAGAGGCTAGTTATAACTATAATGTTGTCAAGAGTACTGTTAATTAGCAACCAGGAACACGATCTTGAGGCCAAAATAGAGTGAGCAAAATATATCGCAAAACAATGCAAGTTCGGTAAATATTAAAAAAAAAACGTTGTCGCTCGATCTGGTTTGACGATATAATTTCCATCATCGTACCCCGCATCGTATGTGGGATTAAGAAAAAACTGGCAATTTTCTCCAACCTTGCTGTTTTATGCAGGTACGCTAATTATGTACATCATCGATCAGGAGCTCAAAACCAGCCTTTGCTGCAAGTTGAAGTAATGATAGAAAAGATGCAAAATCTCACACTGTCACGCTTCGGGAGCGACGGGGAGATAGTAGACAGGTCAATTCTTCAATACTGTCTTTGAACATGGATAGTTCATTGAAATCAACCAATCAAAAGCGAGCAAAACTTGTTAGAATTACAATAAATAATGATCTGTATTAAATTACTAGAATATTTGCTAAATTGCCCTCTTTATATGGGAACTGGATGTTCAAATAGAAGAATAAGATAAGGTTAGAGAAGGTATAGAATGTTCAATATTTTTTTTTGTCCCTTCTTTCCTTCCATTATAATCTATTCAATTGGGTAATTCTAGCATTATGGTTTCTTATCCTATCCTTAAGTGAAATAGATTTACCTTTATTATTCCTGAATTGACTAGCAAACTTGATTTCTTCTTCTAATGGCTCTATTTCTGTATTATTAAACTCTTGTCCCTCCATCGCATCAACTACACTACCCACGTTTTCGTACTTTGGTTGTTGTTTCACTTGCTCCACTTTGTTATTATATTCCTCTTCTGGATCTTCCCTTTCCTTTTCAACATAAGTGACTTTTTCATACGGTTTAAGTGAGGGAATATAATCATTTGCCTCTTGAGGCTCAATAAAGTCATCTTGATCATCACCAACCATGCACTGTATTTTGGCATCAAATGTAAAACTAGTTAATTTACAATAAGTATCAACATCCACTACATCGCTTTCTCTACCTCTCCTCTCGAATTTCTCATAAGTAGCTTGCATAAGAGCACTTTCATAGATTTTTTCACTGACATGATGCCACCATTCTGTATTCAATGGGGACTCAGGAGGCCAAATTTGATCAGGATCATAAATATCTCGTGCACTATATCCAAACTCCCACACTGGTTCAGCTCCATCATTATGGAATGTGGTCTCTAAATTTGTATAATAGGTGAATGAATTGACAACACTAAAACTTAAGCCATCAACGGCATAATATCTCCAACTAGGGTTCATTCCTGCATATGGGCTGATGGATGGACCAATCAAGGCATGATTAATAGCGTTAGTGATTTGTCTAGTATCAGTACCATCGCCGGCATAATGGATCATGAAGGTATCTACTTGAATATTGCCAAAGAAGATAGCGGCAATTACTTTGGGGGAAAATCGTTCAATTATTTGGGCGAATATTTTTGTTGGTAGTGGGAGTGATTGGTGATTGGTGGGTAAATGGGCCAAAATCCACACTCGCTGGTTTTGCTTTTCAGATTGGAGCAATTCATCAACCAAGAACCTCCATATTCCAAATGAATCTAGGGAGAGCATGTCCCAAAATGCATATAAGTTCTTGACATTCCATACATTTGAATTCAATGAGATTATCTTTAGCCCACGAAGAGTAGTCAAGGCAAAGCCAATTTGGGAATATCGAACTTGTTTTGTAGCATCAAAATCAATCCAACCTAATTCCAGCCAAAGATCAGACAAAAAGTCAAATTGCCATTGATAAGAGTTGACATTTTCTGTCAAGTTCTTTTGTGGCAATTGATTGATCGGGAAGATGTCCCGAACCCCGAAGGTAGGTATAACCGGAACGGAGTCAAGATAATGTTTTAATATTCTGTGGCTAATATCTTGTGACTTTAAGACTTTGTGTTTGGTTACAAAACTTCTGTCTGAGTGATCAACGGTGCCGCCTGTGAAAATGGCAAACTCAAATGAAAGGTGATTTTGGTGTAAGTCCCTAATACATTGCATAGTACTATTCAACAACAAAGCTGGTACATCACATGTGTATTCCCCAAACTGACGTGCTGGTGACCAAACTGGTTTTTTTAACTTGGTTATATCTTGATAATTACCTTTGACGAAATGATTCTTGCTATAACTACTGTCATAATATCCACCTTCTAAATTGTCATTAACAACAGGTGGGAAATTGTCATTACTACATCTAGAAGTGCAACATAGACTTTGGGAACAATTGGCTTCGGCAAACATTTTGTAATTCAATTGAAGATTGATATCACTGATATGCAACACATGGAACAAGTCTCCATTCCCTTCAGGAGCAGGATAAATTCTTGGTTTTGGAGGCCACCAATTGGACAAATCAACAATAGGGGTTTCTGGTAAGATATTACAATGCTTATCATGATAATAACAAAAGTAATCACCGTCGGCGCCTGAAGGACTCATTAAACTAGCCATTTTTGTGAAGTCATTTCCTGTGCTTGAATAATTTGCATTTGGATATCCATAATTCATATGACATTGAATTTCATCATGACCAGCTTCAATACACCAAGTTGTGAAGATTTGAGGAACCAAATCTGGGCGAGTAAGGGAAAGGAACTTTGCAACTTGAAGTCTTGTTTTGCAGGTGTCACATGTCTTTAAATCAGAGGCGGCGTCTATGTTGTGTAATTCTTGGATGGCTCTAGTTACTATTTCCTCATCGTCTACTGCTAATTCGGTTGGCGGGTAGTAATTGTTGTGGTTTTCTTCAAGAGCATGAATTGAATGTAATAATAATGATACTAATAACCAAACTAATAACATAGTTAGAACTTGATTGATACAGACTCTAGAAAGTTGTTGCAAAACTTAAAACTCCTATTTATTTTTTTTTTTGTGCCTGTGCAAGATTGCTATCGTATTTCCTACCAAAAAAAGGGAAAACAATAAGACATGTGGGCAGTGCCAAATGAATACAATGACACCAACCAAGTACCAATAGTCACAATCATTGAATATATGAATAATACTATTATAATTATATAGGATATGTAATAAAACAAGCAGTAAGAACAAAAACTAAAACAATTTTAAAGTTGGAAACGGTGCAGGTGAAACTTGAAATTCAAACTGTCAAGTGCAAACAACCAATTTGGTAATCATACAGATTTTTGAAAATAAAAATTAAAATAATACAAGAAAGGTGTATTGTTTGTTGATGTGTTGGAATTTAAGGAGGTGTAGTTTTGTAGACCGGTAAGAGGGGTGATATATGTGTGTGTGTGTGTGTGTGCGCAATGACCAATGAAAATTTCGTGCGTAGCACAAGGAATGTCTGTATTGGATTGAAACAATGTTGTTCCTCAAAGAAGGGCTTCAAGGGACGCAAGTCTGGCAAGAATATGGTCAGAGTTTTCTCTAGACTCAAATTCAGTCTTGAACAATTCGAGAAATTGTCGATTCAAATCACGTTGTCTTATCAAATGATTCTGATTCATTTCACTAACCTTTCGAAGATGATCCTTTGTAAGTCTATCAATCTCTTTCCTAAATGTCTCATTCTCATTGTGAATCAGTTGGTGTAACTCAATTGTTTGTTTCAAGATTAATTCCAACATGTCAAGTCCTTTGGAAAAACTGTCTGAATTATTGGATGTGCTGGAGTCGGTGAGATTGTTCCTAAGATTTTGGATGTGATCAATCACGACATTTTCATTGGAACCCAGTTTTGGTCTGATTGATACTGGGGTGGTGATTGAGGATGACAAGGGGGATTTTGGGAGGTGTTGATTCGAGTGGATAATAGGGGAAGTAGCATCAGCCAATGAGCTGTCAATGATTTGTTGGATGGAGGAGGAAGACATAGACGCAGACGATCCGCCATGCAAGGGACTGGCATTCACGCTATTACTATTGGTGTTTAAATTAAACTTGATCTGCTTAATCTTTTCACTAACCTCGTGTAAATCATACAATGCATCTTCTAACTCTGATAACGAGCTATCAGGGATAACTTTTGCAAAATCGTAATAACTATCACGTTCTATCTCCTCTAAGGTTGAAGGAACAGTATGGTGTTGCTGAATGCCCGAACTCTGGTGATTACGTCTGGTAGTTGCCTTTTTAAGGGCTGCAGCCAATTGACGTTGTAATGTTCTGATTGTAGGTACAATAAAATTGCTATGTTTATTCTCATGGTACCTTATCTCGTAGTACTTTTCTTGAATCACCTCCCATTTTTTGGTCTGACTCCATGCACGGTTACCAATATATTTAAAAGGTTTGATTTGAATTATCAAGTATAAGATCAATTTAATGTCTTGGCTTGATAATTTCGTCCTGTGAGGGTTTTTTATTGGTGGGTTGGTACTAGAAGCAGCTAATGCCTGACTTGCTGTTGTTTCCGGGTTGGGAGGGGGAGTCTCTATTAACCCTCTCGATCTGAACGGACCAGAATCTGTAGTGGGTGAAGTGACTGTGTGAGATTCTACTGACTGGTCACTGGCTGCCTCGGCACTGCCTCTGCCATTACTATTAGTGTTGCTATCACTGAAAACATTTGCGGCAGAGTCCGTTGTTGTTGGTGCGGCTGCGTCTATGTTTGACGGTTGCTTGCCAATTGTTATTGTCTTTAATTTGGGAGACTGTTTAATTGGTCTTTCAGGCAGATTGTCAGTTCCCATTTGGTTGTTATATCTGCTTTTATTTCGTGGTTGAGTTTGTCGTTGTGGGCTACGTAAATTGATTCCAGTTTGTGTACAAAGATTTCCTTACCGTATTGGGCAATCCCCTTTGTGTCTTGTGATTGGATTGGCTGAGTGAATTCAAAGATTTTCAAATTGACGAAGTAATCTGGTTTAAATTACTTTCGTCTGTTGTAAACTCAGTGGGGTCTATTAACCAATATGCGTGTTTTGCCAAAATGATTGAAAAAAAAAAACAATTTGGTGTTACCCTAACTATAAACCACTAGCAAGATATAAAAATTAAAAAACAAAAAAAAAAATAAACAAAATTAAAATCCAGAAAGCAAAAAAAAAGTGCAGGAAAAGAAAGTAAAAATAAAAAAAAAGATTTCCAGACCGCAAGAATTCGGTGAAGTGAGCAGTTTAAGTGCATAAGTGTGAAAAGTCCGGATAAATAGATGGAAAAGTTAATCATGAATCGCGCACCAATAAGACACTTTTTCCAAATCGATTTCTTTTTATTTTTTTTTTAAAGACAAAGGAATTTGGATATTAGTGTCACTTCTTTTGCATTCTAAAATTACTTGATAATATTTGGGGTAGGGGAACAATTCCCTCAAAATACGTATGTGGGAACGATGAGGGCGGTGGCTGGCAATTTGAAAGGCATTGTATTTTTTACGCATTCTAACTTGAATGCACACCGCACCAGAAATAATATAAAGAACACAAATAGAATATAATGTATCATGTCAGACGACCATTAATCAAGTTATGATGATCCTCTACATACGTTGGTTTAAACTCACTTTGATCTAATACCATGTTACATTAAAGTTATGTCAAATGCCATAGCAAATGTTATTTTCATTGTTAAAAGAGAGGGGTGAATTTAGTTTATCAGTAGGTATCGATGAAGGAAAAGAAAAAATAACGTATATTATTTTCTAGTTAAACTTTGTACTCCCGTATTTCAAAATATGGAATTTCCACCAAAATTCTTATCAAAATAACGTGATTTTGATCAATGAGATGCGTCTTGAGATAGGGCATCAATAGAAGCCACGCGAGTGCCGTGTCTAGATACTAATCAGAGTAGCGGCGAATGTAATTGGAGAATTATAATGATTCACGCGAATTACAATTTTTATTTTCTTACAAATCCATGTTTTATTTTTGTAGCTTCTCCATTGTTCCAAGCAAGAAAAAAAAGAATTGACAGGAGAGAAAAAAAAAGTCTAAAACTTACACAACTTAGTTGGCAAAGGTACTCTTTGGTCCGCGTGTGTGGATGGTGTCCGGAAATAGTACTCCATCCGGAAGTGCTGAGATCCCAACCAAAATAACAAACCAGTTTCTACTAGTTTTTGGTATCATCAAACAGAATCGGAGTGGCAACCAACTATTCCGGGGGACATTGTTCAGGGCGAGTGAATATTTTTGTAAAGGCGGACATCATTGTTAGAGACGTCGAGATTTTACACACATGCCTTAGCGTGTATGGTATTGTTATTAGGTATAGAAAAGTGTATCTGACACCCTATTGGTTTTCGAAGCAGGATACTCCAGTAGCTAGGCACGAAATATCGCTTTTCCTGGAGGGGGGGGGAGCTAGCCTCTAGTGCACACTATTTTGTGAACTATTTACTAGGATCTTAAACTAAAAATTCAATCCAGCAGCAAATGAACTAGTGATACTCCTAATATCATCCTCGATATTATCAGCATTATACCTTCCCGTTTTATCGTAATTACCATTCAATTTGTCCAACTTACTGTAAAAATTAGCACTGATGGAACTATTCTTATTAAAGGATGCATTATTGTTTCCAAGAGTTGGCCATGCATCCACCCTAGTTCGGCTTCCTTCATTAATTGCACTATTATCGTACGATAAAACACTAGCACTGTCAAAATCAGTCATTGATTGTAAGGTAGAAGCAGTCCCAAATTTAGGTACCTGTTTTCCAGGTCTATGACTGTACTTATTGGCAGAAGTTACGGTATTATTTAATTGAACCATGGATAATTGTAAATTGTCCAAAGGTCCATCAACAAGACAACCCTTTTCTCTAAAGTGAACCAAAAGACAATTCCATAAACGGTTACGACATAATGCTCGGGGATTTCCCAATACAATTAAACCATACTTTGCTCTTGTCAATGCCACATTCAATCTTCTGGGATCTGACAAAAACCCAATACTTTGGGCATCGTTGGCACGAACACACGAAAGGATAATAAAATCCTTTTCACGACCCTGGAATGCATCAACACTGGTGATTTCCACATCAAGATACTGATCTCTTTTATCCAATAATGTACTATTCATCAGCATAAACTGGACAAGATAAGCTCTTTGGCCTTCATATGGAGTAATAACCCCAATCTGATCCGGAGTAACCCCATCTTTAAATAATCTGGTAATAATTTTTTCGACATTCATAGCTTCAACACGATTCAAGAAAGAATTACCAGATGAACTCAATTCTTCACGTCCATAATTGGCCCAAAACATCATGGGAGTATCAACCATTGGCCAAGGGAATGTAGCATCTTCAATTAATCTATCGTCACTGGTAACACCATTCTGTAAAGAGCCTTCGTAAAACATATTACTTGGGAAATCAGAAAGACATGGGTGCATTCTATACTGCACTTCTAATCTAATAGGAACATGGCCCAAGAACACTAATCTCTCGAAAAGTGATTGTTTCAAACCTGCGTCTGCAGCTTTACGGTCCAAAATTACAGGACCCAATTGTTGATGGTCACCAACCAAAATAACTTGTTTTGCCCCTTTAACTATTGGAATAAGCACTTCTGGTTCAGAAGCTTGGGTACTTTCGTCAATAAGAACAGTTCTAAACTTAAATTGAGATAATCTTTTATCGGCAGCTCCCACACATGTACAACATACAATATCACACTTGTCTAAAAGTTTCAGTTCGGAATTTCTTAAATTACGGAAATAAATTCGAGAATCTTCCACGGATAATTCCCCAACTTCATTTTTCAATTTGATCAACTTTTTAAATTCACCCTTGGCACCTTTGTTAACAAGATTATGTAATGCCAAATGACTGACGGAACTATCGACATCTTCACGAGATTTTGCGGTCAATCTAACTACTTTCAATCCGAGTAAATCTAATTTTTCAGCCAAATGATCAACTGCAACATTAGATGGTGCACATACCAAGATTTTTTCCTTATTGAGTTTAGAAAGATGATAGATAATAGTAGCCGAAGTGACGGTTTTACCAGTACCTGGTGGACCTTGGATTAAGGATAATGGACGTTGTAAAACTGTACGTACAGCATTTGTTTGTGATACGTTCAATTCGGTTAATGCTGGATGAGAAAATCGCTGTGGTAACTCAGTATCAAATTCAATTGGAACAACTTCGTGACCTAATAACTTATGGTAAATATAGGAAGATACTGAAGTTTCATCGGTTGCAAAATCTTTCATTGCTTGTTGCATTCTATCATATGAGGTTCCCTTCCAAACAAATTCAGCAGTAAAATCAGTAGTTAAATCAGTTGGAGGGGTCACTTTAGAAGGATTCAATTCCAAAGTAAATTCTTCTTGATTTTTGTTAGGTAAACGCAAGATATACCCATTGCCTTCCCATGGTTCTCGTTGAAATCCACTGTATCTCAATATGATTTCATCACCAACTGCAACTTTCAAATCACTATTTTCGTAAGTAGATAATGTAAACGATGCTAAATGTCTATTATTCAATCCAAGAGCCCATTTAACTTGGATATGTTCCAAAGCTTGGGATTCTTTTATATTCTTGTCGTAATCAGCTTCGAGTTTAACCAAGGGCCCAAAAGATCGTTGATACTGGAAGGCATCATTATATCTCATCAAAATGGGTAGGACCTCTTCTTCTTGTTGTTTATCTGTATTTTCAATATCATTGATAGTGGCATCTCTATTTAATCTCCATTGAGCTTCTAATTTGGAAATCTGTTGTGGGGTGATCAATTTGGCATTTACAAGGGCTTCTTCAGGTGGTGGTGGAGCTAACCATGACAAAAATTGACGCTCTTCAATCAATGCTTGCCAATGACTTGTATCCCAGTTAATATCTTTCGAATTGGCACATGGTAATCTACACAATATGACAACCACTGATTCTTGTTTAGCACTTACAAATCCCAACATGAATACATTTTTATTTCCACAATTATAACATTCTAATGTAGTGTCACCTAAATCTGAATCTTCATGTAGACTGACTTGATTATGTCGAGACATAACCAAATGGGTGATGATATGGGAACTTGACGAGTCAGTCTTGGCGTTACAAAACCACTTGTTACAGGTGTTGCATTTGACAACAGAACTAGGAGTATGGATGCCACAATATGAACATGCATGCTCATGTTCTTCGTCGTGAGCATGATCTAAGTCTTCAACAAGTGCTAGCTGTTGGTTCATAGCATCAGAATCAAACATTTGGTCAGCTACAAGAGATTCATGATCACTATGTTGCTCACCATCGTTTATGCCATTTCCATTCTGGATATGATCTTGGTCAATTGTTTCGTTATCAGATTCGGAGGAGACAACTCCATTGTCAGAAACATTGGAAAAGTTATCTTCATCTTCTTCCTTACTGAAGTTATGGAATAGTAAATTACTCATAACGTTTTTTATAGATCTACTTCTTAATCTCTAGCGATTTGGAGGGTGGTGAGGAGGGAGGGGGTAATGTATTGAATGGAATTTCCTAATGTTTCAATACATTTAGCAAAATACTGGTTGATTTTGATAAAAGTTGCCACTTTTCGGTTTTGATCTTGGTTGATTACTTTTTGTTTATTAAAGAAAAAAAAATTTTTTTAGAGCAGGAAATCACGGGCTGGTGACCAAAGTCACGTGGTGTGAACTCTGACCTACTGTTTGGATTGTTTGGTAGCGCCGGTAAAGCTCAATATGAGCTTTGTTGGAAGCATCTTCCGTATAGTAGTAGTTCCTAGCTCTGAACACTCGCTATGTTGGGCATGTTGAGAAACAGTGCTGAGCTTTTATTGTAATATCTGTAGTTTCCTCTTCTCGCATGTGATAATAATTCATTTACGACAAGTGAATGGAGGCTATGTATGTCAACAAGACAACTGTTAGCATATCTCAAGTACGGTTTGCAAGCTGGCTTGATTTGGGATGATCTTCTGTAATTTTCAAAAATAATTATTTAATGGTTTAGCCAAAATTACTGCGAAATTATTTCAAATCAAAAATCACTCCATTTTAGCTTGAAGTGCGATTAATAGCCCATGGCCATGGTGATATGTCGAGAGAAAATTATTTATTTTTATAACAAGGCGATAGATTACTCGATTGTAATTTCCATCGTCGAAACAAAGGTTTAGATTTGGGCGGAGATATACAGATATTTCTATTGTTTCAAAGTTCAAAAACTTGACGTAAGTGGCATTCGGATTGAAATTAAATCTCCTAAAACAGAAATGTGTGTCAATGTCAACCATATTCAGCAATAGAAGATAGTTAGAAAAAAAAAAGAAGAGAATAAAACAATCCATGAGTTGTTTCATGTGTATATTTTTGTGGATCTTGGTTGCTAGTCTATCCCCTTCGGTTAATGTGCCAGGTTGTCTAAAATTAGCCTAAATTTCACAAATCACGACGCGTCAACGATTACCTAATCTGGCAAGGCACAGCAAACAAGAAAAAAAATTTTTTAGCATTATTTAAACTGACAAGACAAAGGGAAACAAACAAAATATCACATAAACACTGAGTAAACAAAGGGTAGATATCACCTGAGCATAGTTACGATTCTTGTCTTGGCTATTATGTGCAGTTATGTAGTAACTGACAAATAAAATAAAAAAAATACACGACAAACACAAAGTTAATCTCTTTTTCTTACACTTGTGGAGACTTTTTCTGAAAATATTTAGACGAACGATTTTTTTGTATTTTTATAGTTGAAAAAAAAAAATTCTTACTACAAACTTCGAAGTTTTTACCTTATCCACAACCACTATCACAAGGCATGAATAAGCACCCATCACCGTTCCACAAGATCATATCACGAAGTAAAGGAACGTTCACCGGTCGTAACTTTCTAGTGTCCGCGGATTCCGTATCATGGACCCATGTTCACACATTAAAACTTACCCTGGAGGGACAACTTTATTCCTATGATGAAGACGACACCAACCAAATTTTACTACTCCAATCACTACAAGCGTGTTACATTCAAATCTACCCTAATATCAGCACATCTACACTCAACTCGTCAGGGTCAAATCCTTCATTAGGCACGGTGCCTGAAAATTCTGTAAAAAAAGGTTTTATTCGAAAAGCGGCAGAAGCAGCCACAGCTACGGCAACCACCCATACATCAGATTTAGCCGTGGATGAAAGCCAACTACCAGTCATATTCGTCAAGACATATGACAATGATAAACTCTACATCAAGATTCCTTCACAATCCAACTTTGGGTGTCTCCTCGCCCTGCTTGTTGTCTGGCAAAACTTGCGTCCTCTGGGGTTGGCAAAGAAATGGTATTGTCAGAATAAGCATCGTCGAAATTTACCCCTGAGTGAATTATTAGTTTGTCGATTCAAGATATATGGACCAATTCCTCCTAAATACCACCGGAATTTGAATATTGTTCCTGGTTACCCTGCACCCGTATACCAGGCTAGAATTGAAGATGACATATCGGGAGTAAATGGTTCTGGAACCATGACTTCAGATGTTAATGAAGGATGGTTTTATACCATGGGTGCATTGAACTCCAGCGGAGTCCTTAATTTCATTAGTGAATTGGATGGAACGTTACTTTATTCCATAGATGTTAGGCAGATCATGTCCAGTGAAATCCGAGAAGTACACAATTCAATATTCAATAATTCCAATGTGTTGTTTATCGGCCAATTAAAAGAACTAAGACACAATAACGTAATCAAGACCATCTCCAATTTGAGTGCTGACCAATATTCACAGCCATTTTTAACCCGAGACGGGAAGCCTGTACCTAGTAACCAAAGAATTCTTATTGAGTTCCCTTTACACATTGATTTAGAAGATTGGTTTGTTGGGTTGAATTACTTTTGCAAACGAGAATACATTGGTTCATTCAATGATAAGACCAAGCATTTAGGGGGAGACGTTTTTAATCCAGTTGCTCCTGTGAAGTCTAGCAATCTGTTGGTGGAACCACCCAAAATGTCTGAATTCACAAAGTCAAGTTTCCGAGTGTCAAAGAAAATCTCGATTGATATCATTGAAGCCAAATTTGACAATATGCCTTATCGTGCTTCAGGTAAAATATATGCTGAAACGAGAATGTGGGGATACCCTTGGTCAAGAACAGCTCCTGTCAACTTCACCGCCAATCCATTTTGGAAAGAACATTTTCTGACTGATTTACCCATATCTACTCAAATGATCCATATCTTGATCAAGAGATGCAATAACCGTTCCAATATTCCACTGAGTTCGGACAAGTTAATAGGGACAGTTTATGTGACTCCCGATATCCTCACCAATCAAATCAACTCCAGTTCAACTATTATAAACATGGGAGAAGCAGCAAATGGCAATAGCCACCTTGCCACAGGTGATATCGTTCGGTTGACCATCCACGACTCAAATAATATCCCCATTGGTAAACTTGTGGTTGATGTCAATCTTCGTGAGTTTCATATTCTTTCACCAGCACATTTCAAACCATTGGAGAGGATGTTGGCAAACCCCACCCCCATGAAAGATTTGATCCAATTTTGTAATAAGCATGTTCCAAGTTCTGATTTTGAAAATGTCAGTTTGATACTTTTAGATATTTTCCAAAGTTTAGGTGTGGAAGATGCCTGGTTTAAGAATTTGATTGAAACTGAGTTGGTTCATGTTGATATGACTACGCGAAAGAACTATCATAAAAGAAATAGTGATCAAAATCCAAAGAAGCATGAACGAGGATTACTGTCCCTGACTAACGTTTTCAATACTTTATTCCGTGGTAGTTCGATTTTCTCGAAATCTCTTGAGAAATATAATCTTCGAATTGGCCAAGAGTATCTCGAAAAAGTATTTGGTGACTTCTTTGTCAAGATAAGCAGAGAGAATAAGAATTGTGAAGTTGATCCAAGATATGTTAGATTACAGGAGCGTGCTAGACGAAAGGGGAGAACTGTTGAACAACAGCAAGAGCTGTCATCGGATGACGACGAGGATGAAGAAGACGAAGAAGAAATAGACGATGACTATATTGATCAACTTGTTAATCAGAACTTCAATAATTTAATGAGCTATGTGGAAGAAATTTGGTACAAGATCTACATCACTTCCAATGATATTCCCAAACAAATTAAGCTTCAACTCAAAAATTTCCGCACCAAAGTTGAATTGGCCTGTGATCCAAGTGACCATACCACAAGTTTAAATTGTATCAGTGCTTTTATTTTCCTTCGATTCTTTTGTCCTGCTATTCTTAATCCAAAATTATTTCATTTGACCAAAAATCATCAAACTGGTACCGCACAAAGAACCCTAACCTTAATTGCCAAGATTCTTCTTAATTTGGCCAACCGTCAGGAATTCACCCCGCTTAAAGAACCACACCTTGTTAAGATGAATTCCTTCATCACGAGCCATACCGATGAAATTTATGATTATTTTGATAAGATTACCGACCGGAAGAACGATTTCAATGAGAGGATTCTTAATTTAAGTCATGATGTTAAACGATTTGATTTAGGATTAGATGACCTGACTAGCAGTGAATTACCTACCACGCCATATTTGATTGACAAGTATTTACGGCTAACAGAAATTATCCATATCTTGGACTATAGCAAGAATTCGCCAGGAACAACACTTACATCTTCGCCTGCGAATGGACACGTGGAAATGTTTAGAGATATTAAAGTAGACCATGAAAGAAATGTATACCAAATTGGATCGCTTGAGTTTGAAAAGTCCGATTTCTTGGATCTTGCGGGAGATAATGAAACTGAAGGATTTATCAAATCGCTTTGTCAGAATAATGAAGAGATTTTCTCGTTTATAAGCTCGAACATCACCCTTCAAGATCTTCAAAAGCAAAGCACAAAATTAATGGCGAAAATCCATACCTTGGAAAGATACCTTGATTGTAGTGAATACCCCATCAATTTCCAACTGGTTGATCCATTATTATGGGATCTGTTCACTTATGACATTTTGAATAATCGCGTATACTTGGATACAACGAGAAACTGTATTATCTCCGTGGATGTACCACCCCCACCACTGCAGTATAAACGATTGGCTGAATCCAATGCATTGGCCAGTCTTAAGCTTAGATTCACAACCACCAGTAGTAATTTCAGAAATTCTATGGTGGATAGTGATTCCGTAAGTCGGATCAGCTTATCGTTTAGTAGTCATAGTTTGGGTATAGGACGTGGCTCGAACACCAAGAATCCGTTCAAGAAATGGTTGAGAAGAAATTAACTTTTAAGATAATTGTTTATAACTTTTGTATGACTATGTATACCTGTATTTATTTCTTTTTTTTTTTTCTTTTTTGCACCCATTGGTCAAAGTGAAAGCTTCGTAAAATAGGAGAATTTTTTGACGCGCGAATAAACTTTTTCGTTAAAAAGAAATGTCCGTGTTATCCAGTTCGGCCGATGAAACATGAAATTTGCGTGAAAGCAAGTATAAGGAGCAAATGTTAATTTTTGTTGCTTCAGGCAATTCTTGCTTTTATGTGGAAGAAGAACACGTTCGTTTGTGCAGTTACATGATCTATCATTTTCGTCTAATATTTATCTCGTGTTGAAAACGTACACAAAACCCAAGAAAAAGAACAAGTGTCAATTTAACTAACACACATCTTTTCCGACACCGCCTACATTTTTATCACCGACGTTAGTGATAGGAAATTTTTTTTTTTTTCTGCTTTCTTTTTATTTTTTTTAGATTCACCCATCAACACTTTTTTTTTTTGGTCAACAAACATCCTGATACACATTTTCTTTTTTTTTTTCCGTAACTACTCATCTGGTAGATTCAAATCATACTAATCAAACCACGTTCTGTGTTTTACCATGACCACTATATCTGAAGAAGAAATCCTTGCATCATACCCTCAAGTCAATGCCCCTACCGATCAAACCGGGTACACTTCTAACCTCACTGAAGAGCAAAAACAATTAGTCATTGACTTGCGTAAGCGACTTCAGGAACTTGGATATAAGAGCAGATTAGATGATGCTCTGATGTTACGATTCCTCAGAGCTAGAAAGTTCGATTTGGAAAAGTCTCTTGAGATGTTTGTCAATTGTGAAAAGTGGAGGGAAGAGTTTGGTGTCAATACTATTTTACAAGATTTCCACTATCAGGAAAAGCCAATCGTGGCCCTGATGTATCCACAATACTACCACAAGACTGATAAGGATGGTCGTCCTGTTTACTTTGAAGAATTGGGTAAAGTTGATTTATACCAAATGCTTAAAATTACCACTCAAGAAAGAATGTTGAAGAATTTGGTATGGGAATACGAATCTATGGTTCAATACAGATTACCTGCTTGTTCCAGGCAAGCTGGTTATCTTGTAGAAACTTCGTGTACCATTTTGGATTTAAAGGGTATTTCCGTTAGTTCTGCATATAGTGTCATTGGATATGTTAGAGAAGCATCTAAGATTGGTCAAGATTACTACCCAGAAAGAATGGGTAAGTTTTATTTAATCAATGCACCATTTGGATTTGCCACTGCGTTCAAGTTGTTTAAGCCATTCTTGGATCCAGTCACTGTTTCCAAGATTTTCATTTTGAGTTCTTCGTACCAAAAGGAATTGTTGAAGCAAATTCCACCACAAAACTTGCCAACCAAATTCGGGGGGTTATCTCAAGTTACCGATCAAGAATTATTGTTGAATGATGTGGGACCATGGAGAGATCCAAAGTACATTGGTCCTGAAGGCGAGGCCCCAAGATCATTCCAAACATAAACTTGCTTACGAGGGTAGCATACAAGTGAAGTTAATAGAAAGTGAGCGGATCAAGCTTGTGATAATAAACTAATAATACCAAGTCGGCCAGTTGTATAGAAGATGATACACCAGTTATTTTTATATTAATATACATATAAACTTAGTGATTGTTCGTAATAATACGTCGTACGTATTGCAGATAACGATGTGTGCATTTGAAGAATAGACGGCGACGTAAGGCAGAGATGCGTCAGTTTTGGAGGTGAATTTGAAAAAAAAAGGGGGTAAATAATGAGCACTTGAAATATAAACAATTGCTTTTCTAATTATAATTGGGATGAGGCTAACAAGTTTTGCTTTCTTGTGTAGATTTCTGTCGAGTCCTGTGCAGTGCTGTGAGACTAGTTCAGATTAGCAGCTACTGCATTAGCTAAGTGTATATAGACTTCTGCCAATGCAACCAGACAGTGCCGACTACGGAATTCGCGTTCGTTCCAAGTCTGGGAATCAACAACGCGAAATAATTATAGCCAAGAAGTAACACACAATGTTATCATTGTCAATTGAAGTTGGACCTGTCGTCACTTTTTTTCGATACGAGATTTCACAGTGGATACTTATTACCACAAAAGGATATATATACATAATTTATTCGGTATAATAACCATACAATTCTCACGGGATTAAACAGTTACAACATGGTAAGTCCGATTTGATATCGGATGTCGTTCAACTAGAGCTCAAGAACTTAGTCTGGTCAATCCCCACCGAAATGGTTCGCCTCGCAGTTTTCTCATCCCCTCGCCCCCATTGTTCTCATCAAAGCCTGAAAAAAAAAGAAGAAAAATAAAATCATCTTCCACCAATTCTAGATCTTTCTATTCCTCATCATGCAAATACTCTATACCCTATATATACTACTTAGTCTAATAACCACAGTAGTAGCTAAAACTCATACATTCCATTGGAATGTATCTTGGGTGATGGCAAACCCAGATGGTCTCCACGAAAGACGTATGGTTGGGATCAATAATGTATGGCCTCCACCAACAATCCGCGTTAATGCAAATGATCGAGTTGTACTCCACTTAACTAACTCCCTTGGTGAATTCAATACTTCACTTCATTTTCATGGTCTCTTTGTTAAGGGATTTAATGCCCATGACGGGCCCGAGATGGTTACACAATGTCCCATCCCTCCTGGAGCTACCTTCATTCATGATTTCAATGTGGGTGATCAAACAGGTACTTTTTGGTACCATTCACATACTGGAAGTCAATATGGTGATGGATTAAGAGGTGTGTTTATAATAGAGGACCCTCAGGGGTTCCCCTATGATTATGATGAAGAAGTAGTGTTGACAGTGGGTGATCACTACCATAAAGAAACTCAAGACATTATGAAAAGTTTTAAAACTAGGTTTAATCCTACTGGAGCAGAACCTGTGCCTCAAAATAGTTTGTTCAACGAAACCAGAAATGTTACTTGGTCTATTGAACCCGAAAAGACTTACCTTGTTAGAATCGTCAACACGGGGTTGTTTCCATCGCATTATTTGTACATTGAAGATCATAGTGTTACAATTATAGAAATTGATGGTATAGCCGTGGAGCCGTTTGAAGTAGATTCATTATACATCACCGTGGCTCAGAGATATGTCGTGTTACTCAAGACCAAAAAGTCTATCAACAAGAATTATAGAATTGTGAATGTATTGGATCGTGATATGTTGGATTATGTACCTCTGGATTTACACCTTGTATCTACAAACTGGTTAGTTTACAATGAGTATGTTCCCAAGCCTGATCCATTACCTTATTTTGATTTCGACACCGTCGTAAATGCATTACCCGAATTCGATGACGATCAATTCAAACCAAAATCAAAGCAACCACTTTTACCTGATCCCGACATGGTTATCCAAGTCAATTTCACCATGGATATGTTGGGTGATGGGATAACATATGCTCTTTTCAATGGAAAGTCCTATACTCAACCTAAAGTCCCTACATTATATACTGCCCTTTCAAGTGGTAACTTATCATTCCACCAATCAGTATATGGAAGTAACACCAATACCTTTGTGATCCATGGTGATGAAGTCATAGATATTGTGTTAAACAACCATGATCCTGGTAAGCACCCATTCCATTTACATGGACATGCATTCCAAGTCATATCTAGATTTAACTCCGATGATGAAGACAATCCATTAGATTTTGATCCAAATAATTCCACCATGACAGACTATCCTGAGTTCCCTATGGTTAGAGATACAGTTTTGGTCGATCCTAACGGGTTCCTTGTAATTAGGTTCAAAGCTGATAATCCAGGGGTGTGGTTTTTCCATTGCCATTTAGATTGGCATCTTGAACAAGGATTAGCCCTTGTTTTGGTTGAAGCACCTGACATCTTACAGAAAACCCAAAGTAAAATACCGCAAAATCATATTGATGTATGTGATGCCGTGAATATTCCCCACCTTGGTAACGCCGCAGGAAATCGGGATTTCCTTGATTTGCACGGTGAAAACGTCCAAGCTGATTGGTTACCTATGGGATTCACTACTAGAGGTTACGTTGCAATTGTGGTTTGTGGGTTGTTTGCAATTTACGGTATTTGGAGTATTTACAAGTATGGTATTGAAGATGTCAGTAAGGATAACTCAGCAGCAGTTATCTCCAAATTGTATAAAATTTTGGAAGAGTATGACAGTACTGCTAACCGTTAACGGAGGATACCCCACACAAAATGGTGCGGATCGGTTGCTATTACCCTCGCTACATATTGCGGCAAACGGCATCCGCCTAGGAAAAAAAAAGTTAAAATTATCTGACAGATAAGACCATGAATTTTTCACTATTTAAATAGTTGAATATTCCTGTTTTTCTATATATATATATATAAGATTGCATTTAAGAATAATGACAAAATACGTGATCGTAGGGTATGTTGAGTTTACATGTGTATTCTTAAGGAACTTACTAACTGTCTAAGCTCGGGAATAATTGGTCTTTACACCACATTCCAACTTCTCGAACATCATATTGCACCCCATGAAATCACCGTAATTGCGGAATACATGCCGGGGGATGAGTCCATTAATTATACTTCACCATATGCTGGTGGGAACTTTTCGTGCATTACTGGTGATGATCCAGATACGTTAGAATTCGACAAATATACTTATTTAAACCTTCATCGGATTCAAAAGGTGCTTGGGAAAGAAGCTGGATTGGACAGATATCCTAGTGTTGAGCTTTGGGATCGTCGTCCTGCTCCAGAAAAAATTGAGAGTTTACTGAGTTATTTAGATCAGTATGACGTCATTACTGAAAAGGATGAACTAGACGGAGCTGAATTCGGAATCAGGTTCCTTAGTTGGAACTTTAACTGCCCTAAATTCTTAGCTAATTTCCAAAAATACTTGGAAAAGCAAGGGGTTAGGTTTGTTAAAAAGAGATTGTCCCACATTGTGCAAGCCTATGGACCAAGCACTAAAACTGTCATCAATTGTTCTGGAATTGGTGCCCGTACCTTGGGTGGTGTAGAAGATAAGCAAGTTTATCCTACTCGTGGTCAAGTAGTGGTCATTAAGGCACCACATATCATGGAGAACAAAATGAGATGGGGTGATGATTACGCTACGTACATTATCAAACGTCCTTACTCTCATGATCAGTTGATTCTTGGTGGGTTCATTCAAAAGGACAATTGGACTGGTGACACTTTCAAGAGTGAAACTGAAGATATACTTAACAGAACGACTACTCTCTTACCTAAGATCTTGTTGAAGAACCCTGGTGGTGATAAGGTTGAAGATTTGGAAATTTTGAGAGTGGCTGCCGGATTAAGACCAAGCAGACATGGTGGTGCCAGAATCGAACGGGAAAGCTTCGATGAAGGAAAGGTGTTGATTCATAATTATGGTGCCAGTGGGTATGGGTACCAAGCGGGATTGGGTATGGCTTATAAGGCTGTCCAATTAGCTGTAGCTAAAAGTAAGTTGTAAGTTGGAAATAAAAATAAATATATATATATACATACATAATCTGTTTGTCTCCATTTTGTTGTAAATCTTGGCACTGGCAAAAAAAAAAAAAAGCCTCACCCACAAAAAATAAAGGGTGGCCAAAAAATTGATAGCCAGCTATACCCCCAGATTGTACTATACAAGCCTAATAGATTATGTCGGCACTCTTTGAATGGGCGTTTGGTAAAAAGCTCACCCCGCAAGAACGACTTCGTAAGAATCAACGAGCACTTGAAAAGACTCAGCGAGAATTATCTCGTGAAGTAACCAAGCTTCAGCAACAAGAAAAGAAACTTATCAGCGACATCAAGAAATCTGCCAAACAAGGACAAATCTCCAGTGCCAAAATCCAAGCCAAGGACTTGATTAGAACCAAATCATATATTTCCAAATTCAACTCCATGAAGGCGCAATTACAAGCTATTTCATTACGTATTCAAAGCGTAAGGTCGAATCAACAAATGGCCATGTCAATGAGAGATGCCACTAGGTTATTAGGTGGGATGAATCGTTCTATGAATTTACCACTGTTATCTAGAATTGCACAAGAATTTGCAAAGGAAAACGATATGATGGACCAGAAACAAGAGTTTATGGATGATGCGATTGACGATGCTATGGCGTTGGATGAAGATGAATTAGGTGAGGAGGAACAAATTGATGAAATTTTGGGTAAGGTTCTTGATGAGATTGGGGTTGATTTGAATGCTAATTTGAAAGACACTCCTAGTGCTATTCATGCGGGAGAACAGCCTGAGTCCAATGCCAGAGTGGCTGAAGCCGTGGGTGCAGGTGGAGGTGGAGGTGGAGCTGATGAAGACGATTTACAAGCTCGTTTAGATAGTTTAAAGAAGTAGTATTGTAATCCTATATACACAGTTCTCTAGTGAATGTACTTCTTTTCAAGAAGATAGTCTATGATTTGTTCGGCGGCTTCTTCAATAGAAACACCAGAATGGTTCTTTAAATGAATTTCTGGTTTTTCTGGAGCTTCATATGGAGCACTGATACCGGTGAATTCCTTAATGACACCTTCTCTGGCCTTCTTGTATAATCCCTTTGGATCTCTTTGTTCGGCAACTTCAATTGGAACGTCAACGTAAACTTCAACAAATGGGATGTTGTCCTTTTCGTGCAATTCTCTAGCAACTTGTCTATCAGCCTTGTAAGGACTGATAAAACTAGTAATCGTAACACAACAAGAATCGCTGAAAAGCTTGGAAACTTCAGAGATACGTCTAATGTTTTCATTTCTGTCAGCTTCACTGAATCCTAAATCCTTGTTCAATCCGAATCTAATATTGTCACCATCCAATCTGTATGCATTTAAGCCTCTAGCCAAAATAGATTGTTCCAAAGCACAAGCAATGGTAGATTTACCACTAGCTGATAACCCAGTGAGCCACACAGTGACACCTTGTTGTTTTCTCAATTCAGCACGTTCGGCATGGGTCAAATTTGGATGCCAGGTGATATTAGTAGCCATTTTTTGTGAAAAATATTTATCTATATACTAAAAAAACTGTGGATTTTGCGATTTATAATCATTGTATTGAAAACGTTGTTGAGTAATTGCAAAAAATTTTGACTTTATCAGGGGTTAAGTGATTGCACGTGCACCATTGTAATCCCGTGATTGTGTTCACGTGAATTTGTGCACGTGCAAATATACACGTGATTGTGTTTAAATCATTGTCACTCACCATTCGCAAAAAAAATTTTTTTTTTTTGATTGAATATCAGAAAGCTCGTTACCGTACAGGCTTGAACTACGTTATACCATATATACATGTACTACGAATTATTTGCGATTGCCCGTATAACGGATCCTATCAATAAAAGCAGAGATGCTAAGCGTATTGCTACCACCGTGGGACGTTTGATCCTTGCCAATAGAGGGGTAGTCCGTGATATAATCAGTATTGGAGACAGGCCATTACCCAAGATTATCTCCAAGGATCACGAAAGACATTTCCAAGGTTATCAATTCACTATGGGGTTTGACTGTTCATCTAATGTTCAAGAACAACTTTTACGTACATTAAGACAAGATCCTAGAATCTTGAGAGCTAATATCATGAAACATGATTTAAAGAGTAAACTTAATCCAGGTAATTCCATGCAACAAGCATTGGATTCAGTTGCTAAATCATAGGTTTGTTTATCAGGGTATGACATGAGTTAGATGGAGGCTTGTATATAGAAATAGACTAATAAATGATTAAGTTAGGAATTATCTGTAGGAGACAAGCCAAAAATAAAAAAAAAATTAAGTAGCTGTAGATGAAATGAGTAGGTTTAGACCAGGTTTGAAATACGCCTTTTTGAAGTGCTATATTTCAGAGATGTTAAATAGTGAATTAATTGTTTTTGGTCTTCATTCTCTATGAGCACATTATGTGGTGCATACGTGAATGTTTTATTGTCAAGAAGCACTATGATACACGTCTGTATTATGGACCCCTAATCAAACAGGGTGGAAAAATACTTCCCTTTTCAACCGTATTTTTCACCGTATAGCTTCTGTATATTACTGATGATATCGATATATTTCCAATTATTATCTGACATCTGCACTGGGGCTATGTTGTCCTCACCACATATGCACGCTATTTAGTTAGTTATTTACAAATCTCACTAACATGGTAAGTGTATTTTTTAATAATAGTAATGTGAAACTACCGTCTCAAGTGAAAAAGTTAATTACAGTTCTATTATAGGACTCAAACTATATTTCATTCTGTATACAAACACGTCTTTTAACAAGCTGCAGCCAATAAAGAAAGTGTAATTCTGCTTGATGGCAGTTGTTAATTAATGCCCACAATTTCTCACTGCCAATAAAGTTTCATGTGAGTATGAGCCGCAATGTGGCCTAATTAGGAAAATCGTTTTATTTTCAAAACAAGAGCGATTTTTTTTTTCTTGTTGTCTGTTTAGATCTGCTTTTGGAATTTACTTTATCAAAAATTTTCCAATTATATGGACCAACGGTTTGATGACCTGTTTTTGATACTCACTACGTTGCAACCAAGTCAATTTACCTTACCCCAGAAAAACCTAAATCGAGAAATCACCAAGGGAAGAAGACAATTTAGGAAAGTTTAGATTCTGCCCCGGTTATAAGAAACACCAATCGCAAAATATCCAAACGCCGTTTTCAATTTCTTTTTTGGCACTATAGATAAATAGCTCATATATCATACTGATTTCGAATTACTCCATATCGCCAACTACATACATTCATTTACATCGCCATCGTCTAGACAAAACCAACGCCACTTACCACTACCGAAGCTAAGATTCCGCCCACAGAAAAAAAAATAATAATAATAATAATTGTCTGATCTTTATTTTTTTCCCAGATTTTTGTTTGTTTTGTTTTGATTTGATAGGTTTTTTTTTATTTCTCACGAATTCCACTAGACAGACAAAGCAGCAACTACCAAGACAGACCCTAATACCATCACAATTGATTCGTTTTGTACCCTGAAGATGCATGGACTTTCTGAGAAGGAGAATGATATCCCCTTCTTAGCTCAGGATTTGATGGTGCATCCCAACAATAGTAATGGTAGCATATCCAACCAAACTCCGAATGGTACCAATGGCAATTCTCCCAAGCGTAATTCAAATTCACCACTTTCCCAATCCAATAAAATAAATCAAGTTTCCCCCTTTCGCAGGAAGCTTCAGCAGCATCACAAGAGTGCCAGTCTAGGTGCGGGACCTGAGTCCGATGCAACAACAACAACAACAACAACAACAACAACAACAATCAACGAGCACGTTCCTACAAACAATTTGCAGGAAGACTACAAGACTTTGGAACGGCAATTTACAGATACCTTATTGAAATATAACGCCCTTCATGGTGAGAACGCAAGGTTGGAGCATGAACTAGCTGTAAAACTGGCCGAAGTGGAGACACTTCAAGAGAAGGTGAAGCATGTGGAAGAAAAATTGGTGGAATGTCAATTCGAAAACACAAAACAGGCAGATATGTTACATAAGCAGATGGAAATGTATAAAGATCTGATTGATGATTTGCAAATTAAGATCATTAATCTCACTGAAGAGTTGGAAATGAATAGGAAGGTACAGACAGAGCTGGTTCTGCATGACCAGAATGAAATGATGCACAAATATCACAAGTTGGTACGAGATTATAAAGTTTTGTCTAGCGATTTCGAAGTGGAAAGATCTTCTAAGCTGGCCTTGATTGAACAAATAGAATTACTCTTGCGAGAAAAGGATGTTCTTAAACAGCAAGTTGAAATGGCCTCACAATATGACGAGGATTTTGACACACAAGGTGAGTTTTTGAATGATTTTGATCAGCCAACCCATAACATGACCCAATTATCCAATGATGAAGACCCTGCATTACCACATCATTCAAGAGGAATAAGTTTATTGGATGATATAAGCCATTCATCACCAATAAAGTATGATACTTCACATGAATCCCTTCATGTAGATTCTAACTTTCAATTTCCATCACGTTCAAACAGCATCCAACAACAACCAACCTTCGATTCTCGAACTATATTATCGCATTCATCATCAAAAAATAGTAAACTCCCACCTTCACCTGATCCAAATTCCAAAAACCGAAAACGACAGTCTTTACCCACTCCTTCCAAGCGGATGCTGCATATTGATGAACATGGAGAATTCGTATTGAGTCCGTTTAAACTCCAAGCTCCTCTGTTTGAGTTTGCAGAACCTAGTGCTTCCCGTACTCTGTGTCCATCGATATCAACCGTTTTGCAAGCACATAGTGCCGATGCTAAAGCAGGGCATAAGCGATTTAACAGTCATGATCTTATTCCTATTCTGGTTGAGTTTGAAAAAGTAGACCAGTCTACTGGAGTGAGAAGTACGTCCATGCCGGAGGGAACATCGCGTCCAACCCGAGTATCGTCTGCTGAACAAAGACAGCAAGGATTCGATTTAATTCCCGAAAGTGAGCATCATCGGGACGAAGCATTGTTTGCATTGAATGGAGGTGCACCAGATACTAGTTTTCGTTTATCGGAAACTGCCTCATCTTCAAAACGATCTAGTTACATCTCGGATGACAAGACACGACAAGAAATCATGAAACTTAAATTTGAACTTCAATCGTTGAAGTTGCATAATGAGAAGTTATTATCATACATTGGATTTGAATTACAAAAGCAAAAGAAGAATATTAAGCGGTTGTCGAAAAAGCAATCCCAACAATCGCTCTTGGCGGCAGCAGCAGTTGCAGGATCCCCCAATAGGAATTTTGAATACTCTGATGCCAAATTGATTGAAAGTTCGCGTGATGTTCTCATTAATAAGAAACGGGTTTTACGATCGGTTTCCATAAATGCAATACTAGGTAATAATTACAATAGGTATGATCGGGATAGTATTGAACTTAATGAAAGAAATGCATTTAGTAGTCCTACTTCTCAATTGGATCGAGATATTTTTGATGAAATTTATGACATTGACTACGAAACAGAACTGGATCTGTTAGAACAAGAAAAGAAAAAGACTATCAAGAAGTTTGCTTCTGAAGTGTTTAGTAAACGAGGATTATATTCCCTTAGTGAAGATGAAGTAGACGGTGAAGACGACGTTGATGACGACGGTCGCGATGACGAGACTACATGCCAAGAAGAACTGTCTTCGCCGTACACTTCAGACGAAGAAATAGGGATGTTTAATCAAATCAGGTATTTGGTTACAGGTAATGATATATACCGAGGCAAGAAAAAGAAAAAGAACCCTCATTTGGTGGATGATGGGTTAAAATTTAAATTCTTGACGATTGCCTTGGGTATCGCTATTATTGCTGTAAAATTGACACCCCAAAGGAGTGTTAGTTCAACTGCCTAAAATTTTGTATTATTCCTGTTTATGGTTGTTCATGCTTGATTATGGTTTTGCAGTTAATTTTTTTTTTTCAGTAATTTAAATATTCTATAGAATTTTTTAAATGTAATATACAAACTTAATATATGTGGTTACAAACCATGTTGAGGTGATTACAAAAGGATCGTCCACCCTGTGTAATTAACGCACCTGACGGCCTTGCCTTTCGATTCAGAAATTTTTCTCCTATTTTTATTTTTTTGCACCCAATTAGGTGTCAGTACAACCAGGGGTAATCACGCAAGGCCATCACGGGGCTGAAGATGTAGGTTGTCACTGTCTAAAAGACGCAGGAACCAAAAGATAAGAGTTTTCCTGTGAGTATTAACAAACAATCGGGCAATATCCCGGGCCAAGCAATGGTTCACGTTTAGTTATTTTAATTTTTCTTTTCTTTTTTGCTTGTCGCTCCTTGTGATTTGGGTTAGGAGCTGCTAGGGTTTTTCTCCATGGTTAACCGGGACAGACAAACAAAAGAAAGAATGCAAAATTTCTGATGTTGAGCGATGAATATTTTGATCTAATATTTTCTGATTCAAATCCGGGGATATCTGATCCGTTCGTACGTGTTAATTAGAAGGCTGTATAGTGGGTGATTCAAAATACTCGCACTACAATTATAAAATAAGAAAAATTACAGAAAAGTGGTTCCACTTTTTTTTTTCGATATTTTTTGGTGGCTCAATAGCCGTATCGGGGAACACATGCTAGGGTCCCATACAAAAAAAATTCTAACATCTGGTTACATGAAACTAAAAATTGCCGCCGTAACTTGATGGATTTTCGGTCTGGGTTTCTTTTCTAGATAATCTCTCATGATTTGATATTTATATCGCATAATTGGCTTGAAAGTTTTAAAATTTGGGAGGAGGGGGTTTCTTTATATACTTCTGTTATATTCTGTGATTTCATTCTTTAACAAACTTTTACTACGACATATTCATTGCTAATAAACAATGGCCCTTCGAAACTACTTATACGCCAAACACCAACATGATACAGAAATAGACACCCTTATAAACAGAGATGCGGGAGTACCCCAGGGAAATCCAACTGATTCAAGAGGCCATATCGATCGATCCAACCGTATCAAGGTTAACTACAACCATACACGTCGTCGCATACACCATGCTCCTGCTCGAAAAAGCCCAGATGCTCTGGTTGAAGAACTCACCTCGGAAGTTTCGGATATGAGCATAGAGGAAGCTTCGTCAGATCAGATGCCAGAAAAGAAGAAAACATGCAGGGCAGAATGTAATAGTTGTCAGTGCAAAAAAGAGGCTGCTGGTTTAGCTAACGGTTTTTCCACAAATTCTCATGGGCCTGCCATTGAAGTCGAGGTAGGAGAAGGGGAAATCGACTTTACTAATTCTATGTGAAAATGCTAGCATTTTATCAATAGGAACTTACATTCATTCACTTCATGCCCTTTGATATGGCGTTACTTTAATAATTAGTATGGCAAACTTGTTCTCTGGAGAATATTTAGAAATTTAGAAAAAAGGGTATAGAAAATGGGATATAAACACCACATATGTTTGGTTGGTTATATATTCTAATCATAATTACATAAAAAATTTAATAATACAGAGTTATAAACATAAAATTACAAAATTTCAATAAAAAAATGAAATTGAACTCACCTTTCTTCGTTCCATCTCTTATTCATCCCGCCTCTGGGCCCCAGTAGCTTACTTGAACTTCGCGTTACCCTTGTTAAAATACCATCATTTATCTGATTTTGACCCTGGTTTGAGGTTTGCATCATAGATCCTTGCCCGGTGATTGATCGCATAAATAACTCATTGATCTGTTGTTGCTGTTGTTGTTGCTGTTGCTGTTGTTGAAGTTGTTGATGTTGTTGCTGTTGTTGCTGTTGCTGTTGCTGCTGTTGCTGCTGTTGTTGTTGTTGTTGTTGTTGTTGACGTTGGTGTCGCTCCTGTTGTTGCAACTGCCCATCCTGTCGCAATTGCAAATCATCCATGGTTGGCTGGTTCAAAATCTGAGAAATTCTTTGTTCTGGTTGCGAAACTTGACTACCAGATGGTGTAGGTAACGTCGGAGCTTGTTGACGATGGAGCTTCTGTTGCCTATGGTGCAGCAGTTTCATTGCGGTTGGAACCATCAACGGTGCACTATGGGTTTGTAAATGCTGTAAATTGTTTTGTATAGCTACACCCATAGGAACTGGAGACTGCAACATGGATTGTGATGACGGTGAGAGTCTTGAATTCTGTTGTACATGCTGTTGTGAGTGTTTTTGTTGATGATGGTGCGAAGAATGAAGCAGTTGCATTGTGTGGTGATGTTGCTGGGTTGGTGGAAGTGACTGCGACTGTTGTTGTTGTTGTTGTTGTTGTGGTGGTGGTGGTGGTGGTTGCAGCGGTTGTTGTTGTGGCTGCGATGGTTGTTGTTGCGACTGCTGTTGTCCTGTCGACCCTTGCTGGCCAGATCGCATATTTATAATCCGTTCATTGAAGAATGAATCTTTGAAATCTTGAAAAATCTTCACAGTCTGAGGATATTCATATTGATGAACATGGAAAAATCGATCTGCAAAAACATAAATAAATCTTTCAATGTCGGAGGCATTAATAGCTCTATTCAAATCACTGATACTTTCAGGTCTAGGTGTACTTGAATTAGAATGCTGTTGTTGACTAGGAGAAGCACGTGAATTGCTATTAACTCCCTCATAAGTTTGAATCCCAGTTCTATGACTAGTAGAAGTGGTGCTAGAAGGGGTGCCCCTTGCTTGTTCATACTGTTGCCTTTGTTTCTCAAAGATTTTCTGTTGATATTCAAGATTACTATCACTATATTGTTGGTCCCGGTGTTGTTGTTGTTGTTGCTGTTGTTTCTGCTGTTGCTGTTGTAGTTGCATCTGTTGGGCTTGTTTTTTTAGCTGTTGCTGTTGTAGAAGATGTGTTTGATTGTGGCTAAGATATTCGGATTCAGTTGAAGAAGAAACTCGCAGACTAGATGAATGTTGTTGGTGATGTTGGGAGTGCTTTTGTTTTTGATGAGTCAGATGCATGACCTGATTCTTTCCATCATTGTACATTCCAAAACTTGAGAGACCAACTGAAGCAGCAGTATTGGTGAAACTTAATCCTTCTTGAGGTTGGAACTGGTTTCTAGGTGCGGAATTGTTTGAGTCGGTAGTTGTTCGAGGTGCAGCTGCCATCAAGTCATAAGTTACTTGTTCAATGTTGCTGTTATTGTTGGAATAATTGTTGGTCCGCTTATTACTTCTAGATCGTGATCTTTCTCTTGTTGGCTCCGAACTAATTCTGGCTTCTTCCACCACTACAGAGGGAGAATGTTGGTCTTTGTTAGTACCACCATTTCCAGTTTCAGACTCGGGAATACCCATAAATTGTGGGTCATAATTCTCAGCATCTTCTGAGGTTGATAATGCAGGAAAAGAAGTATCATTGACTTCTTCAGGATCCCCGGCTTCTGCAGCTGATGTCAGGGCAGTATTTGAACTAGAGACAGTGGTGTTTTCTCCCTTCAGGGGTCCTCGACCTAGTCTTTTCTTGCTAAGTCCATGCCTTTTTTTAAACTGGCTTAACCATCCATGACTAAAATTATTTAATCTTTTGGGATTATCGACCCCATATTGGTGCGCGTAAATTGCCCAATGTTCTCGTAAAATAGGTTCAGTTATCGGTTCATTTCTTTCTAATCTTCGTTTAACTAACAAGTCCATGGCCTGATTGATCCTCTCGTATTTAAACCTGGCTCTTCGTTTACTATTCTTGAGGAATGGGGCACCATCACTATTCATTCGCAGTCTTAGTTCTTTCTCAATCTTGAGCCATTCACTTAGGGATGACGTGGATATAGAAAACTCATCCTTGAACTTATCTACTGTTTCCAGCTGAGGTCGTTTTGACAGGTGATAAAAGTCAAGCACTTGGATCTTTTGAGCGAGGGTGGCTCTAGGAAGCTTGGACGCGGGTGACATGGATAGTTCCTTGCTTATAGAAACGAGAAATAAATAGCAAAGGTTCAGTCAGGTTGACTGATGCAGATATTTGTAGATTCCTATATCGTTGGGAAAGGATAAGGTGTTTGTGACAAACCGAAAGTTTGTTGTCAATTTTTTTATCTTTAAAATCGAACGTTATGATTTAATTTTTCCACTGTCGTATCGATGACCGAATTTTTTTGGGGGAAGAGAGTTCTGATAGTGGGTGTATATGACTAGTTAATGATTGTAAAATGTTCTTGAAAGACAAAACAGTGAGATCTAATGGTAACAGTAGAATGCCGATGTATTAGCCAATCTAAAAAGACATCCAGTGAACTTTCCGACCACACTTTTGTTGGAGAAAAGCCGAGAAAAGTGCGGGATAAGGAAAAACTTGCCCTTGTTTTGTAGCACCAAAAAGTGTTGAGTTGGTTGTACCGGGTCTAGAACAAATCTAAAGCGATTCCATTGTTCTCTCTACATGACGTAAACAAATAGCTAATATCGGCTCAATATAAAACAAAAACTGTATATTTAATTTTCTTGATAGCTACAAATTTGTAATAATAAAAAAAAAAAACAAGGCACTGTGTAGAGATCAACACTTTATCTAGTGGGTGGATCTACTAACTTTTTCCAAAACTGATTCGTAGGCAACTTCGGAGAAGTCGGTACCTTGAACATCAGCGGCAACACCGTTTAATGCTCTTCTCAAAGCGTCCTTAGAAGAAGCGTAAACCATCTTGGATCTAACTGGAGCAGTATCTGGAGACCAAGTGAAGAAAACAATCTTGGATCTCTTACCTTCACCACCACCAATTTCGTATTCGAAATCGTAGATGGCGTATTTACATTCATTTTCTGGTAACTTTTCCAAGAATGCATCATAGTCGGTATCAGTAGAAGTAGATTCAACAACAATTTCAGTTTTGTTATCGTTCAAGGAGAAAATAATGAACTTGAACTTCTTTCCTAACTTCAATTCATTGAAGGTTGATAAAGCATCATCAGAAACGGAAACACTATATTTCAACTATGTTAGTATATGTATCACCAATGGAGTTTGTTGTTGTTTTTTTGTTGTTGTTGTTGTTGTTGTTTAAAGAACATACCCTGATCTAGACTAGAAAATGTGTTAGTTTTTTATCATGAGAAAAGTTGACCAGATTAACATCCACAATTACTGTACAAATAGCCCTACAATATTGAATGAACAATCATCAATTGAGATTCAGTTAAACATACCATTGTTTAGTATTGATAGTTAATTTGTTATATTAAAGTTGTATTGAACAATTGATAACAAAAGGAGGAATTAAGGATTTACATTTCCAATGTTACTTTTTTTTTATTTGACTGCGCAGTTTTTCGTCGCTCGGTTTTCGAAAATGAACTGGTAATTACACGTCTCTGTATGCAGTATTGTCACGTGTATTATACTAGACGTGAAACACGGATGATAATAGTGATCTTTTTCAATGTGCACGAAGATAACTTCGACTCCTGTTAGTATTATTTATATATTCATATTCCTTTAAGTTGAACTTGTGTGAGGGATATTGAAATTGAGTCCTTGTGTTATCTTTGACCATCCAAAAAGATGAAACAAAAATGAATGTTACATTTGTTCTCTAGACCAATATTTGTTGAACAACTGCTATCGTTGATTTTCTACTTTTGGTTGGGAAATTAAGTGAGCTAGTGGACATGCGTGTATTATTGGAAGCAAATATAGTCTTCTATTTTCAATAGCCTCAATTGAGATTTTGCAAATTATCGTAGTAACAAAAAAAAAAGACAGAGCAAACAGTAGATAAAGTTTGGTGAAAACGATGCAGCACCAAAGATGTCTTTTGAGTAAATAATCAGTCATCAAAGATGTGCCTAAAGTTACAAGTGAATTGATGAAAGAAATATGAGAAATATAAAAGAATCAAAATAAGGAACTAAAGTTTTATAGTATTATTCTAACCAATTAGTATAGATGAAGACGAGTACTGGAATTCTCATTGATGATCAAGATATGAACGTAATGTAAACCTAACCCAATTCGATATTAAAAGCATTGTACCTGTTATTTTACATGTTCTTCGAGAGACTAATTCACCACCTGGCATTTGTGCATCCAACATGGCTGCAGATATTGTACCACAGCTAAAAAGGTAATACGCAACGTTGAAAACGATAACACTGTACCAGTAGAATTCCAAAGTTGCGTATATTAGGTAGTTTTTCCAAAATTCATGTAACACTAAACCAATATTAACAACAACGTTTGTTAGTTTGTGACTATCGACATCTTGAACCAATGGATCTGCAGCTGGTTCTGTGTTCAATGTACTTACCTCGGTGCTATCGGGATCGAGGAAATATGCAAGCAGAATTAAAATTATACCACACAACATTAATAAACTATAGCATTTGATTAAACAGCTTTGTTGTTTATCAAAAAAACATCTGTGGATTTTGATAAGCAACCTTTATTATGAACTCTAATTGACTTTCAACTGGTTATATTCCAATAATTATAATCATTTTCTTTAAACTGGTGTGGGGCGGGGAATTGTGGGCCGGAGGTGTTTTTTTTTTTGGTCCTGAAATAGAGCCAAAAATGACGTCATTGATTCCATCCTCATAGAACCTAAAGGACCTATACTATGCCTCAGTTCTATTTTACTTTGATTCCAATGATAATATTTTCTTTACCATGTGCTATAGTATACAATGGTTGATTGCCAGGTATATAAAATACATGAAAATGGTTGCAAATTTCTTTTATTCGTATGACCATATATATATACTAAGTGACAAAATCGTACCATTTTCAACAACTTCATTTACTATTTGACTTGGTAAAATCCAATACCAAGACAATTGCCAAAAATTAAATATGCTAATCAATATTTGGCTATCAATTTGTAGCTCCCATTGAATAGATCCAATATTTGATCTGTCTTATCAGATGTAATGTTCTGTAACGCATAATATGGCGATACATGCAATTACCATGACTTTTACTAATTGATATCTCATTTTATTAACTTAGGGGTATAATATTGAATGCCTGTATATACAAATAAATCGTTTCTACTGGTTCGGATATATCAAATAGGTAATTAGTACATTTAGTTGCAAATATTTTTGGAAAAAAACTAGCCAAAAATTTGAGAAACTGTTGATTTTTGAAACTTTTACTAAAATTGGTTATAACAAAAGAAATAAAGCACAACACTCAACTAAAAGTACTTAAACAGTGTTTAGACCCCACATGAATAACTTTAAATACATTTAATACTCCGTAATGGGTTTAGAGCTTCCGTAAATCGTTAAATATTAAAATAATTCATAAATTTTGTATGGGAAATTCGAACTGTTATTTTTCAACACAGATAATTTCAAACCACATCTAACTCTCTCAAATTGAATAAATCATGTTTATAAACATTATTATTATTGAAATTTTACGTCAGATTATATATTGGAAGAATAAATCCCTAAATAAGGATTTTCATGCTACAGTACCCAAAAGACACAAAATTTTTTTTCGAGAAAATTTGCCGTGTTTGTCCGTTTGGGCAATGGAGAATTTGGCCGAGCTCGACCGAAAAATTTCGAGCGGGGCCGAGTTCGAATCACGCCGAAGAAGAATGATACGATGGCCGAGTGGTTAAGGCGAAGGATGCAGGTTCCTTTGGGCTCTGCCCGCGCAGGTTCGAACCCTGCTCGTGTCGTTATTTTTTTTTGCTTTTTGAACATTTGCGATAGTGTATGAGATAGTACTAATTAAGATCTTTCAGATGAGCTACTTCATTGCATCTTGTTGGAAATATTTCAGTCTAGTACGAGCGTTTAAAACTGTTGGGTAATTTTCCACCTTCGTCGTCAAAGAAAAAGCTATCTGGACCAATGCAGGTAATCTTAGGTCGAAGGACTTGAATAGAATAGATCTATCTATAATGTAAACACGAACAATCTCAGATGAAACTTGACAACCGTGATTATTTAGTTCATTGTTTACATTTTTCGATATTTTGCAGTCGTCGCAATGTGACCATCATCTCCAGAACTTTTTTTTTTTCTTGGACGTAGCTGGTGTGCTTATTCAAAAAACTTTAACGATAGCAATCACGGCACCAACTTTCAGATAAATCAAAAACAACATTAATACAAAGACAAATATGGATGACTTGTATGAAATACTAGGAGTCGATTCTCGAGCCTCTGACATTGAGATCAAAAGAGCCTACAGAAAACTTGCATTAAAATACCATCCTGACAAAGCTTCCGCTGAAGAGCGAGAAGAAGCCGAAGCTAAATTCAAGGAAATCTCGTTTGCATATGAAACTTTGATTGATGAGCAGAAGAGAGATGAATATGATAGGTACGGTTCGACCGGGAATGGATTTGGACAGGGAGGAAACTATTCCAGCAACCCATTTGAACAATTCTTTGGTGGTAGCGGTGGAGAATATGGTGGAAATAACTTTCACGATTTCTTCAATAATATGGACGATCAACCAGGTTACAATCACCAAGGACGTCATAATAGAACCGAAGATGCCAGAATCGATGTTGATGTCACTTTAGAGGAATTATATACCGGGAAAACCATCAGAATCACATCGGCACGTAATATCATATGTACTCATTGTAAGGGAGTTGGGGCCAAACCATCGGCAGTGTTGAAACAATGTGCTTCCTGTAATGGAGAAGGACACGTGAAAAAGATCAAGCGTGTTGGTCCAGGAATGATCACTCAACAGTATGTTGAATGTACTACTTGTAAAGGATTGGGAAAGATTTATCGAACTAAAGATAAATGTAAGTCTTGTCACGGAAAGAGAATAGTGGAGGAGACGAAAATATTGGAATTTGAAATCGAAAAGGGATCTCCAAATACTGGTGTCATTACCAAGAAGGGAGAAGCAGATCAATTCCCAGGAAAGGAAACTGGAGATATTATCCTTACATATTCTTGTAAAGAACATGAATCATTTGATAGAAAGCAAGATGATTTGTATACAAAGTTTAAAATACCATTGGTGGATGCATTATCGGGATTTTCTAAACTCGTAGCTAGACATTTGGACGGCAGAGGAATTAAAATCAGTACTCCTAAAGGTAAAGTTATAAGACCAGGGGATTTAATTAAATTACCAGGAGAAGGTATGCCAAAAAAGGAAAAGAAAGGCTCATGGTTTAGCTCAGCTTCCAGCAAAGGAGATTTATACGTCGAAATAGAAATTGAATTTCCTAGGGATAATTGGTTTGTTGAAAAGAACGACTTGTTGAAATTAAGAAATGTTCTTCCAACTGATCTTGAAAATAAACTTGGTGAGCAGGGCATTAATGGCCACACTATACCCGATGCAAGTATAGAAATTTTCACTGACTTCACTATTGTTAAGTCAGATGACTTGCCCTCATACGATGGTGATGAACAACAACAACAACAACAACAACAAGGCAATGGATATGATCACCATCAACAAGAGTACTATTATGGTAATAGTGGGTATGCACAACAACAGCAACCACCAGAATGTGCTCAAATGTAGAGATATAGAAATCTTGTAAATAGATATAAAGAATTCACGATTCTATGTTTTATTCCTATTAATATACACAAAAGTATAACCTCAATCTAATAATGTATGCAAATCAGCTATGGATAATCCCAATTCAGAATCCTCGTCGAAATTGTTGACATTGTCAACAATCTCAATTCTTCCCAAATTAACGTCATGGTGTTCGATATTACTGTCGTCGCTTTCAAAACTCATGTCAAGGGAAACATCCGGAATGCCAGCATTGAGGATCATTTCGTGTTGATTGTATTCGGGAAACTCTGACCTACTAGTGTTAGGTGTGGAGAAGAATTGCAAATCAGTTTCACTTAATGGTTCAATTGGGTATTGTGGATTAAATTCTCTTACACTTGGAGTAATTTCTACTTCATCACCAAAGGGAAAAGCCTTTAAACCAGATCTGGTGTTGACAGGTTGCTTCTTTACCGGATCAACGTTGTTTCTGTTAATATCATCTTCAATGATATTGGATGCATGGAGTTTAGCTGTGTTAGCTGAAAAGGTTTGTTCTAAGGTTGTTGCTAACGGTTGACGCTCAATTGGCTGCGGTTTAACCAAGGAGTCAGTTCTAGTAGTGGATTCTAATTTTGGCTTTTTGACAGCCAAGTCATCCTTGACAGGCTGCAACAATACTCGTTTATTTTGACTAGACTGCTGTGGTTTAATCTCAGGAAGTGACGGTTTTGCTTGAGTTACAATTTCTGATTTTTGACCCAATGGTTTAATTTGTTGTACTGGTTGTTTTGAGTGAATTTCAGGAACATCTCGTTGGACAGTGATTTGATGAGACGATGCAGATGGAGGAGGAATGAATCCCAATGACGAATTGGATTTAACCAATGAAGGTGGTCTAAATGTATCTCTGGCTAATGGAACCTTTTGTCCTAATGAGCTTTGTGATCTATTTAAACTGAATTGATTAGAGTTTTGGTTCTTCCCACCAAGTGGAATTCTAGGTATCTTTGAGATTCTAGGAGGAATCGGCTTAGTATTCTCCTTGTTGACTAGATTCCCAGGAACATTAGCGGAAGCCGAGTTCTCCTGGTCTCTTATATTTACTATACGATTAGTGGACATGGTCTTACCTAGGAAAAGAAGAACTAAATGAAGGAAAGAAAAGGGTTGTTTATTTTTGTTTTCTCCGTTGCTGCCACAAACAAACACAAACACAAAAAAAATGCGTGGGCGTGTTTGCTGCTGCCAAAAAAAAAAAAAAGTTTAGGAAAAAGTACACGCACTTTTTTTAGACCAAAGTAAATGGCTGCCTTTTTAGCATCAGACAACCAAGGTAAGATATATGCCAATATAACCTTTAATCATTAATATAAAAGGATCCAACAATGGCACTACAGTCACAATACATCCAGGTGGTATCTTCTTCAATCAAGGAGTATTCATTCTGGATATATTTAGTGAATTGGGTGTTGGCGCTTATCCTAGCACTTTCGTTTGTGTTTTACTTCCACCGACTATTAGGGGTAGTCATATCCTTCATACTTAAACTAATACTATGGAAATCATCCAAGACACGAGTGAATATCGAATCAGTTAAGATTTCACCGTTAGGAGGTCGTATCTTTTTGAAAAACCTAACCATTACCACATCGGATATGACGGTATCCATCCTACATTTAACTTGTACGTGGCGATACTGGTACTTACGATCCACTAGGCTATCCAGTTATCTATTCAAGTCACAATACCCACAGGATATAGCTGGTGATTTGGCCCTCAAGAACCAAAAACTACATACTAGGTTGTCATGTTTGATTGAAGGGTTGGAGATATTTATGTTCAATAGAACATTTGCTTATGACAACATTATGGAAATATTACAAAATAAAAGCAATAACAAGAGGAATAGTGGGAAACCAGATGAAACTACAGATCTGACTTCAAGTACGTTGTCTGAGGATTTTAAAGGCAATTTGCGATATAGAATCAACGCAAACGTGGATAACAATAGTCATAGCAGCAGTAGCAACAACAACAACAACAACAACAATGTTTCTCCCAATGGTAACGACCTTTCAGTGTCAGAAACCGTGCAAAGCAATAAAACATATTCTGAGACTGGTTCTCACATATTATCAATATTTTTGCAGTTATTTCCCATCAAGATCAAGGTTAAAAAGGGAGCTCTAGTAATGGGGAATGTAACTACACCATCAATATTAGTTGGATCGTGCAAATTCGCTGATGGAGTAGTTGATATTTCAAAATCACCAAACCCTGCAGATTTTTACAGATATGTACATGATTTCACCTTGGACAATTTCCAGCTCTCGATGAAACCAAATATTGCTTACGATAAGTACAGATATGGTGTAGACATTTCAGAAAAAGCCCCCGAATATCAAGGTGATCTTGCCAAGATGAAACGGTATAAAATGTGGTATAAATTTCAAAGAGCCGGCAGTACAGTGAAAGCAAAATTGAACAATCTTTTTGGAATCAATCAACGTAAACCAACTGATGAAAGAAAGCAATCTTTTGATTGGCAGGGATTAAAGAGATATACCGGAGACGACGATGAGCAAGAAGTTATGGGGATATTAAATCCCGATGAACAGTATGCAAAATATAGTTTAATATTGGATTCATTGACTACCAGGATCGTATATTACTATGATATTCCAGGAGTACAACTATTAAAAACTACACGACTACCACCTGAGCATGGAGTTGAAATTGAAATTTCTATGGGAACAATTCACTATGGTCCATGGACAGATAGACAACGTGTACCTTTGCAAAATATGTTTTTCCCACCCGTTTCTAGAGACTCGGCTCCAACAGTTGGATTTTTAGCTCCAGGGTCTAAACGTCAATATTCAGGATTTCAACTTACTTTGGTGGTCAAGGATGAAGTTGTTATCAGGATCCCTACTCGTGAACCCAGCAAGGATAAAGAAATCATTAAAACAACTGGTCTTGCTCCTACCCAAGAATCATCATCGCGACCATTTGGATGGTTAGAAATTAAAATGAGAGAAGGTTCAAATGTACTGTCGTTCACATCATATGTAGCTAATGAAGAAGAAGGCTGGCCCAACTGCTTGAAAGCTGTTTTCACTGAACCAGAAGTTAGATCATCTGTGAATCATGATGTTTTGTTTATTGCTGATTCCCATGAAATCAATGCTAACATAGGACTTCCTTTGGCTTGGAATGGAAAGTGTAAATGGGAATTTGAACAGACCAGTTGGAATGGAAGATTATTCTTTTTAAGAGAACATACACTTTTATTTTCCGACTTATTCACTGATTTTGCGTCGGGAGATCCACAACCATATGAATTCTTTCGTCCCTTTCTTTATAATATCAAATGGAAGATCATGAATTATAAACTTTATCTCAATGTCAATGACTACAATATTATCAATAATGCTTTGGACTTCAACAATAACAAATATCTATCTTTTCAAGGTCCTGAAATCACATGTGATATTGCGATTCCTTTAAATGGAATATTTTCCAAATCAACCACAATTTCATTTGAAATAGACACACCCCATTTTGATCTTATCCTTGATACACCGTCATGGCACACAGCCAACAATTTCATGCAAGAATCAAACGTGGTTGGAAGAAGTAACCATTTTAGAGTAGATGGATGCTACGAATTTTTCAGCTCGATTGAAATTAACACTTCAAATTATATTGAAATCAGGTGTATAGGAGATGAAGTGAGTTTGAAATTCTATGGGTATGTGATACGGTATTTGTTTGCTGTCAGGGAGAATTATTTTGGTGATTTTATCCATTTCAAGACATTTGAGGAGTATACTTCAGCAACTATGAATGATGAAGAGGATTCTGTAGCAGAAACAGTTACCAAGAAGGGGCAAACCGAGGATAATTATTGGAAGATGATTAAAACAGAAAATGATGTTGATGTTATAGTGACATTTCAAGTAAAAAGTGGTCTTATTTTGTTGCCTTACTTTTTATACAGTTGTCAATCCCATATTGGGCTCAGTTTTGACACGTTAGATGTTGATATGAGATTTTGTAATTATTACATGGATATGCAAGCCGATTTCAGTCCAATTTCTGCAGTATTTATTGAGAACTACAACCGAGGAAAGGATGATCCTTTGCTTAGCGTGAGTGAATATTTGACAATGTACTTTGCTTCAAACATAGATATGACAGTTGATGGATTTAGCATTCATACTCAAAGAATGTTTGGTATTCCACCAGATGAATTGACATTTTATTGTAAATGGGACTTTTGTTGTGGTGATTGGATAGTTGACAGTAACCCATTCTTTATGAGGGCTGTACTTACAGGTATACTGAACTTTTTGGTTGGATTTAAGGATTATGAGAATGCATTGGAACCAACCATGCCTACGGTCTATGATACTGCCAATTTTTCCTTTAGATGTTCTAAATTTGCATTCAAGTTGACTCCAGACGAATCAAAAGCTTTCATTGAAATCGAATTGAATGATTTTTTACTAAATTTTAATGATATTGGAAATAGAAGATACACTAATAAGCTAGTTGTACGAATAGCTGAAATTTTGGCACGTATTGTGGAACAAGATGGACAAGAAGATCAAGTTCTAGCAAGTCTTACAACTTCACTCGTTTTTAGTAATATTTGTCAAAAGGTTGATATGTTGGAAAGAAGAATGTTACAACAGTTGCATGCACGGAATAATGATGCCCCATTTCACAGATCTCCCTTTGTACTTTTGGAAGAATACAAAGATGAGTTTTATAGGAAGCAAAAAGGATGTTTCCTTACTCCACTATCGTTACCACAAGCATCAATACCACTTAATGAATCAACTATGCAAGAATCCAAACATTCTAATCTCGATATTGAACCACATTCAGATAGTGATTTTGAGAATGCTTCCGAAGAGTCAGAACGGTTGTTTGCAGGAAAAATGGCACCAACGAATGATTACCAAGATGAAGATTATACCCCTTCTTATTTCGCGGACCCAGATACTGAATATGACAATTATATAGTCGAATTAGGTGACGTGGAGGTTTTTATTTCTCCAAAATCGATTGCAGTAGCTGGAAATGTTGCTAAAGATATGACCGATTTTTCATTGAATAAAGTCATGGATGAACTTGATGTAGCTACTGTAAAAATGTTGAATAGTCTTATTAAGTCAGTTAAATCGGTTAAAAATTTCAGAGTTGTTAATCATGATGTTAGGTTGAGATTTGGGGATTTTGAAATGAACGAGGAGGAATCTACTGCCAAACCCATTGTCAAAGTTCAAGTTGTTGGTTTATCAATGGCGGTTTCCAATAGAACCGAAAGTTTGGTACATGAGGGAAAGAAGTCCATTCTTGAAGAAACTACTTTGGCCGTTCATGTTCAAGAGGTTGCAGCTATTGTCAGTAAACCTTCACAAGATCAAGATGCATTGTTTTTGGTGATGGAAGAAATTGAAGTGTGGCTAGAAAAAAAACAAGAAGGTGACATTGGATCGGTTAATTTTGAAAGAATAGAGTTGGATGTTGATGATACTCAAGCAAATTGGTTAATTGATTACTCAAAAGAAATATCAGACAAGCTTTCAATGTCAACGAAAGAATTTAATAATATGGGATCAAAAGAAGCTGCTTATGCTAATCTTGTCCACACCCTTACTCTAGCCTCAAACAAATTTCAAATTGATAATGATCCCGATGTCCTTACTCGTCCTGCCTATATTCTTCGAGCTAAGAAGGAGCACATAAGATTCTTTGATTCATGGAAGATTATTGCTAGACTTCGGCACTTGTTACAAACACTTCCGTATGATTGGTATCTAGAGCAAGATGCTGTTTTTAGGAGTAAGCAACGGGATCTTCCAAGCAATGCATTTGAGCAAGTTGTAGATATATTTTCAAAGTGGAGAATTTGGGAAGCTAACGAAGAGGAGAGATTAGACTTTTTCAAGCGTGTTTTCATTGGGCCCAACCAAGAGAGCGCCCCAACAACCGATTCACATTTCCAGATAGTAATCGCAGAGTTATTAGTCAATCTTATGTCGTCGAATGATCTGGACTTTTTAAGAATGAATCAGTTGTCAGCATCCACTAGTATAAAAAAGGATCAACAGGATAATAATTACTTTAAAGATATTCAAGCGGTGCTCAATTTAGTTGATTATAAGAGTAAAATTACCCCACACACATTGAATCTCATCAAACAATTCAAAAGATTAAATGACAAAACCGCAGTTCCTGATAAAGAAGTTACAAAGGCAACTGAAGCAACAAAACCAGTAATGAATATAAATTGTGTTGCAAATGTGGGATCGTTCCTTCAGGGAGTATTACTTCCTACTACAACTTTAGAATTAACCGGAAATCAACTATTATCTAGATTTGAATTGACTGGTCTTGGTAATATCCTGAATGCATTTAACCTTGGAGTAATAGAGCTTAACATTTACAGTAGGTTAACACATATTTTTAGCATGCGTTTGAAGGATTTAGCATGGGTAATTGCAAAGTTACAGAAGGAAGCACTAGATGCTAAGTTTGATTTGGGTGAGTTAACAACGCAGCTTTTCGATAAAGATGGAAATTTTCCTTCAATTTTAAAACAAATTGTTCACGAGGATATCAGTTATGTTCGGGGCTTAATTGATTCATTTGATAAAGAAGGAGACTCCAAAGCTGTCAAAAACCACCCAGAGAACAAAGACAAAGAAGAGCATTTTATGTGCATGACCATTGATGTGAAATTGAACAAGTTTATCTATAAAGTTGAAGCTTTGGACCCTTTTGTTATCGGAGGTTCCTTGTTAGGAATTGAGTTTTCAATCAGTAAGATATGCGAGAACTTACTCTTCAACACCATTTTGACAAAAGCCAACTGTAATATAGATTTATTTGGAAATAACATCGTGGAATTGAATGGTTCGGATTTGAGGAATTTTATAGAGCTTGCAACACTCGACGATATAATTTTGGTTAGTAGTACACTTTCAGTTGCAAATACAAGAGCATTTGCTCCAAATTTACTAGTGTCAATTGATCTGGCAATCAAGCAAATTCCGATTTTAGAAAACAAAATTGAAACCATGATCAAACTTTTCGATAATATAGAGAAGCCTAGAAATGTGAAAGTAAAGCCAACTGCTAAGAAGAAGTACTTGTTCAAGGTCAAACTTGCCAATGATTATGTTGGCGTGTCTGCATTTGTTAACAATTCAAAGCTTTCATTTGCAGTAGAATCCACAACCATGGGACTATCTAATGTGGCAATGGATGAAAATGGAGAAGACGGAAATTATAGAGAAGTTCCGTTATTTGGTGAATTTGCCGTTCCTACTGCACGATTTTCGCTTATAGATAGACACATTCCAATTGGGTTGTCAAACTTGCTTGATGTGAATATCGTGGTTAGGCTTTTGAATGATACTGATAGTCGAAGAGATCGACAAACATTGCAAATTGAATCCCAGTACTGTCGTTTATGTTTATCAGAACCAGTAATTTTCAAGTTAGTTTCGATTGTTGATGATATTGTGAATATTATTCCCCAGAAAATACCAACCAAAGAAGTTTCAGATGCTACACCACTTAAAGGTATTACTGAAATTGTTTATTCCAAAATCTCAACAGTACAGTTCCTTTCATATAACTTTTGTTTAGGATGGTTATTTAGTGGTTCTGGAAAGGAAACAACAAAGGACTATCCAGGGGTTATTATTGGAGCAGAGAGGTTCTTTGCCGCTATGGAGGCAGATATAGGAAAGTTTACATTAATGGATGCTTACTTTTCGGTAGCTCACGGTTCTCGTTCATCTAATTATTACAGTACACAATCGGAAAAGGATAATTTGAATAGGGCTTTCTTACCAACGATTCAATTAAATTACACAGTGGAAAAACAAGCAGAGACAAAAAGTGCAAGGATCACCATGCATGGTGATGAGCTTGACGTTAAGTTTTTGTCTAATTCAGTAGTGATCCTTGAGAAATTAGCTGAGCTGGGAGCAAGTGTTCAGGCATACTTTGGTCATAGAAAAAAGACTATCTTGGAACGACTTAGGGAAGCCCGAGAATTGAAGTCAGAATCATCAATGTCGGCAATTAATACGGATTTTGAATCAATTGAATTTGTATCTACTTTTGCAGGATCTACAGTATTGCTTTACCGTTTAGAAAATCAAGATACAACTGATTCTCCATCCCTTTTCTTACAATCACCAGCAGTTAAGATGGCATTTAAATATTCAAGAAAACTGGCCAGTAGCAAACGTCTGATCAAGTGTGAAGTATTCACGTCTTCATCAGATAATATTTTGTATCCAAACTGTGTTCCTGTCGTCGTAGATATGATCACAGGTGTCAAGAGTTTTATAAAGAAGTCATCTAAAGATACAAGCTCTGTAAAGACAGTTGAAGAAGGCAAGGGAACTGAATTTATGCAAAGTATGTTGGAAGATACGGATATTCATCTTAGATTACGATTCGAGAAGCAAATGCTTTCATTAAGTTGCGAGCCAACAGCCAAGGTTGCTGCTATTGTTGGTACTGAAGGTATGTGCATTCAATTAAATACAAATGATGGGCCTGTTCCTGGGGGTACACTAAACGTTTTGCTTGACAATATTTCTGCATCATTGCAACATATATATTCTCGAGAAATTAGTGCATCTGCAGGAATTAAAGGTGCTATTCTTTCCAGTGTATTTGAATTTGCCGAGGTCGAAAGAATGTTTTCATCTGGGGCTCTTACTGATGTTGATGGTTATATTAATGTTAAACAATATCAAGATGTTGAATTATTCAAGGATATTTGGTTCCCTAAAGAATCATTAGAGTTATTTTCCAGCTTTGTTTCCGAAGATGATCCAACAGCCGATACTCACTTGCCCATCTCCACTTTGGCTGCAAATAAGAGTATAAGTTCGAGTTTTAAGCAGGTTTCTACCACTTATGCATTCCCATGGATTTTAACGTTTTTAGTTTCTAATGTCAATCTTAGAGTTGATTTTGGTCAAACATTAGGTAATTTTAAATTGAATGTGGATAATTTTTGGGCGGTATCCAAGAAATCAGCTGATTGGACACAAGATCTTAAAACAGGTATTCATGCGATTACATTAATGTCTGAAGGAAGATTAGGAGGTAATGTCATGGTTGAGAATCTTAATTTACATACAGCTATTTGTTGGAAGTTAGACCTGGGAACAACACTTGATGTTCCATTAATTTTAGTTTCAGGTGGAATCGAAAGATTGCATTTGAAGACATCGTTTGATTACCATGTAATTGCAATTGCTAATTTAGAAGATTTTTCAATGGATATTTATAACAAGAAGAGTGAATATACTCTTGCTAAGGATCATTTGTTTGTAACTACAAAGTTCAAGAATGCTCAAGTATACATTACCACATTGACACCATCTAATATTTTAGATATTCAAAATGCAATTCGAAGAATGGTTCAAGAGAATAAACGGTCATACAGAGAGACCCTTCGTGATTCATCCAATGGAAAGAATATCGGGAAATCCAAAGTGGCAGAGTCAATAGTGACCAAGAAGATCTTGGAGACGGTGAAAAAGTTGGAAACCAAGATCTTTGTGTCTGCTGGAAAAGTTTTAATCCACGTGTATCCATCGTCATTTGAAAACTCAAAGGCATTAGTGGTGCAACTTGACGAGTCAACAGCTAAATTCCAACAGAATGAATATACTAGTGGTATTTCTAACGAATTAGATATCAAGTTCAATGATTTGAAAGTTTCCTTGGCTAATATCGATCCTGTTCTGGAAGAATTTGTCAATAGTTGTACTGTTTTTGAGTTTGTTGAACGTGCAGATTCTGCTAGTGGAGGTACAATATTTGTTTTCCCTTCATTTAAAGTATCCATGAGAACATTCCAAAAGGAAAACTTGATTGAGTATTTGTTCCAATCTACTTTTGATGGCACTGTTGATATTCGTTGGAACTTGGGGTCGGTTAATTTCATTCGTGAAATGTATTCAATTTACAATCGAGCACTTTCGTCGAGAATAGATTATAGAAAGAAGATGGAATCATTTGATGAAACAAACAAATTAGACGAAAGACCATCGAGAAAGTCACTTAGAGGTGAAGGAGCCAACCAAGATATAGACAATGCAATTAGAGAAACGATTGAGAAAGTGGAAACTTCGTCAAAGTACCGTTATGCTGCATTGGCGCCACCCATTATAGAAGCACCGCAGATCAAGGAATTGGGAAACGCAACTCCACCATTGGAATGGTTTGGGTTACATAGGAACAAATTTCCAAATGTTACGCATCAATTGGGTATCATTGCCTTACAAAAACTTGTGCACGAAATCGAAGTTCAGTATTCCAAGATGTTAGGAAAGGCTTGATAGTTAATACTAGTTTGAAATAATTTAATGAAACTTATTTATTTATTAATAATCTAATACTATATACATGTAGTGTTTTAATGGGTCAAGAGCCATCTACCCTTGGATTTTCTTTTCGCGAGAACTTTCTTACCATTTCTGTCTCTAAGTCTGGCCAAGAATCCAAACTTTCTCTTTCTTCTTAATGTAGATGGTTGATAAGTGTTACCAAGAGACTTGAATCTTCTTTGCATTAAACCAATCACGGATTGCAAAGGCGATTGAATGGATGGAGTGGTGGTGGATAAAACTGATGATGATAGAAGGGTAGTGGTTGGTTGTGTTTGAATGGCTATTCTAGAGCCACCGAGGAGACCTCTAGATGTTTGTTTTAATACACTAGCAAACATCCTGTATTTTCACGGTTGAGACTAGCTTTAGACTAGTGCTTTGATATTGAGAATTCAGATTTTTTTTTCACCTTTATGATTTTGTGTGCTGATGTAAACTGACACCAGAGTAAATACAAGCATGGAGACCTCAGGTTATAATCATCTCAAAATTTTTTTGCTGCTAAATAAACTCCTTCGTATCAAACACAAATATAGATTGCAATAGACATGTCAACATTCAGAGCAAGAAGAGCAATTCCTTCGGTTTTAAATACACCAACAGCGATCAGAATAAACGAATCCACAAATATCACCAACTCTGATGCCGAAAGAGCATTAACTGAATTCATAGATGCCAGTGATGCCATCGCAGCTGGATTAGAACAATCCTCTAAAAATACTGGGTTGTCCAAGAACAACGATTCCAGTGCAGTATTAAGTCAGTTGAAGAGAATTCAAAGAAACTTAAGAGGACTTCCTCCATTAATTGCCGAATCACAACCGTTAGATAAGACAGATTCTACCATAGAGCCACCAAATAAGAAGATAAAGTTTGATGAATCTGAGGACGAAACTAAGCAAGAAGAGCCTGTGCAAATACAGGAAGAAGACAATGACGATGTGTTGGAAATAGGATACGACGAGGAAGACGAAGACGAAGACGAAGAGGAAAAACAGCCACAACCTGTAGAAGTTAAGGGGGTTGAAGAAAAGAAGGAAAAGAAAGAGAAGAAACATAAAAAGGACAAGAAAGAAAAGAAGGAAAAGAAGGAGAAGAAAGAAAAGAAGAATAAAGATTAGATAACTACATACCATTTGTAATAACAGCATAGTTAAATTATTGTACTTTATATTTCAAGGGTCGTGTAGAATGCCCAGTAATCCACGCTGTATTTTTTTTTCCCATTGTTTCCTTGTACTTTCATACTTGTTTTGATTTCAGATTTATAACCAAATTTAGTTGTAACTTCAGAAACAGTTATAGAAATAGAGTCTGTGCAGTTCAATCATGAAGAGAAAGAGACCAGCTATACCAGACAGCGAAGATGAATCCACATTCATCAATAATAGCGACTACAGCGCTCTGAATAACGGCCATTCACCTGGGCCAAGCGTGGCTGCACCAGGTTTGAAATCAGAAGGTGATGACACGTTCATGACAGCTGAATACAATCAATCTGACAATACTAACATGGTTTTTGAACATAGCGACATAATAACCGATGGACCTAAGATTCAGATTGAAAGAATTCCTGAAGAAATTGAGAATGGTCTTGTTGATGACGCGTCTGAACCTTCCAACTCAGACCCTGAAACAGACCCTTCAACCCACATGGCATCCATAGTGAATGTCCAGGAGCCTGCGGATGTCTCAGCAGTACTGAAACAAGAAGAAAAGACCTCCTTCATTGCTAGCAGCCCAAATCACCCACCGCCAGTAATATTGCCTATAATTTCCCCAACAAAAAAGACGAGAGAGTCTCTTATAGTAAACTCAGCAATTAAACTGGAGCCCCGATTAGTGATTGACAAGCTTCGTCTCACAAACTTTAAGTCATATGCAGGAGAACAAATTATTGGTCCGTTTCATTCGTCCTTTTCAGCTGTGGTTGGCCCTAATGGTAGTGGTAAATCCAATGTTATCGATTCTATGCTTTTCGTATTCGGCTTCCGAGCTCTGAAAATGAGACAGGGGAAGCTTTCGGAGTTGATACATAATTCAGAAGGTTTCAAACCAGATTTTTGTCAAGTTGACATTTACTTCCATTTAGTTCTAGATGACCCAATTGATCCTCAAAAATCAGAAATTGTACCCAATTCAGAATTAATTGTTTCGAGAAAAGCATTCCGCAATAATCTGTCACTGTATTACATAAACGGAAGAACAAGTAATTACACCGATGTCACCACATTATTAAAAGAGAAAGGAATCGATTTAGATCATAAGAGATTCTTGATTTTGCAAGGTGAAGTTGAATCGATTGCTCAAATGAAACCAAAAGCTGAAGGTAACAATGATGATGGATTGTTGGAATATCTTGAAGATATTATCGGAACCACCAAGTACAAGAAGTTGATTGAGGATAGTATGTTACGAATTGATGAATTGAATGACGTTTGTATGGAGAAAGCCAATAGATTCGATTTAGTGGAAAAGGATAAAGAACAACTTGAAAGTAAAAAGACCGAAGCACTTCGATTTTTGGAATTGGAAAAGAAATTAACTCATGCTAAAAGTATTCAGTTTCAAGTGAATATTTTCCACCATAATAAGAAGATTGAACATCGTCAAAAGGAATTTGATGAGTTAAACCAAGAATTAGAACAAGGTAGAGAAGCCAACAAGGAACTTCTTCAAGGAATAGAGAAAGAAGTTGATCAACAAAAGAAAATTGAAAAAGAGATAAAGATTTTAACCGGTCAAATTGATGAATTGGTGAAACATCGTAAAGAAATAACCAAACGTAACGTTTCCAATGAAGAAAAAGTAAAAAATTTAAACAACAAGTTAAAGAAAATCCAAAAATCCTTAGAAACACTGAAACATACCTTGAATAGTTCAAATCAAAAACTTTCCAATTATGCAGATGCTCAAGCACAATTCAAATCTGAAACTGAGAAATTGAATAATCAATTAATAGAAGAAGATGCTAAGTTGCAGGAAATTAGACAAAGTTTGACTGAAAAAACGTCTGAATTCACTAAGGAGATTGAAGCATTGCAAACCAAGTTAGAACCATGGAAGAACCAATTAAAGGAAAAAGATAACGCAATTCAATTAGCACAATCAAATATTGAAATTCTTCGAACTCAAATGACTAGTACAACAAAGCAACTTGATGAAGCCAAAGAGAAACTTTTAACAATCAAGAAAGAAGGTAAAGAAAAGGAAAATGAATATCGAGAAAATGAAGAAAAGTTGGAAAAGATTAAAGAACAAATTGCTCTTGGTGAAGAACAATGCAAGGTAGAAAGAAACCAAGTAGAAAACATGAAGTCCCAATTAAGTTCATTCAGACATAAAGTACAAGAATCATCTAGTATTGTCCTGACTAATCAAAACAAAAACAAGGTTTTAACCGCTTTACTTCGTCTTGCAAAGTCAGGAAGAATCGATGGGTTTTATGGAAGATTAGGTGATCTTGGGTTAATCGATGAGAAGTATGATATTGCTATCTCAACAGCTGGTGGACCAGCATTGGATTCTATGGTTGTGGAAACAGTAGAAACTGCTCAAAGTTGTATCGAATATTTGAGAAAGAACAACTTGGGATATGCCAACTTTATATGTTTGAACAAGTTACGTTCTTTCAATCTTGCTCCTATACAAACTCCCGGGGATCCTGCTAAAGTTAAAAGATTGTTCGATTTGATTCAACCTACTAGTTCCAAGTTTGCTCCAGCATTTTATAGCAAGCTTTATAATACATTGGTTGCTCCTGATTTAGCTGAAGCTAAACGAGTAGCATATGGTCCAAAGAGATACAAGGTTGTAACATTGGATGGTAAGGTTGTTGATATTTCTGGTGCTATGACAGGTGGTGGTAATTATCCATCGAAAGGAGGAATGAGATTAACTAATTCCCGTGGAGGTACTGAATCTATGGTTTCTGAAAAGGACCTTGAAGAAATGAAGATTAGATTGAATGAAATGGAAAATAAATTTGAAATGGCAAGTGCTGCATTTGAAGAAAAGAATTCCATGTTGAGGAAATTAAAGGATTTAAAACCGGAAACCGAGTTTGCAATAAGTAGACTAAGACTTGATATTGAATCTCTTGCATCTGAAAAGAAGGAGATTACCCAAGTCTGTAAGAACTTAATTGCCGAACAACAAAATATGGAAGAAAGCAACCCCTTTGAACAACAAATTAAGGAAAAAGAGCAAGAGGTTGAGAAATTAACCATTGAACGTAGTGAGCTCAAATCGGAAATGAAGGTCTATGAAATGCAGATTTCTACTTTTGAACAAAAGATTATGGATGCTGGTGGTGTTGAATTGAAGATGCAAAGCTCCAAGGTTGATTCTCTCAAGAATCAAATTTCTATTATTCACGAGAAAACTTCAGGTGATAGAATGACAGTTAAGAAATTAGAGAATGATATCAAGAGACATACCAAGATTATTGAAACGGCCACCAAGGAACAAGAACAAGCTCAAGCTGATTTGAATTTAATACAAGCTTCTCAAGGTGATGTTGATTCTGAACTACAAGAGATAAATGGGAGAATCAAGCAATTGGAGACGGAAAGGGGTGATCGTGAAGATGAATTGGAAACACTCAAGACCGAGCTTGAAACAAAACAGGATGAAATCAACAAGTTTAAGCTGGCTGAAATTGAGCTTGAAAACAAGTTGGAGAAAGTCAACTCTCTGATCAAAAAGCTACATCATTTGATTGAACAAGACAAGGAAGAGCTTGAAGGTATTATTCCACGTGATGCTCAGCCATACTTGTATTGGCTTGAAGAAGAAGAACAAGCTAAATATAATGGAGGTATAATTGAGCAACTTTCTGAAGAAGAGATTCGTGATGTTGATCTTGAGAATGTGAATGCTACAATTGAAGAATTGGAGGCATATATGGCTAATGTCAAGGTTGATATTGAAGTTTTGAAAGAATATGGGACAAAGATTGTTGAATACAAGGAAAGAAAGAATGATCTTAATCAAGCTGTTGAGGAGAGAGATGTAAGTAAAGATTATTGCGAGGATATGAAGCGGAAACGATTAGATGAATTCATGGTTGGATTCAATACAATTTCAATGACTTTGAAGGATATGTATAGAATGATTACTATGGGAGGTAATGCCGAGCTTGAACTTGTTGATAGTTTGGACCCATTCTCGGAAGGTATATTGTTTAGTGTGATGCCACCAAAGAAATCCTGGAAGAACATTTCCAATTTATCCGGGGGTGAAAAGACTTTAAGTTCATTGGCATTGGTTTTTGCCTTGCATACATACAAACCTACTCCATTATATGTCATGGATGAAATTGATGCTGCTTTGGATTTCAGAAATGTGTCTATTGTTGCCAATTATATTAAGGAGAGAACCAAGAATGCACAATTTGTGGTTATTTCATTAAGAAACAATATGTTTGAATTGGCTCAACAATTGGTGGGTATTTACAAAGTTAATAACAAGACCAAGAGTATAGCGTTGGGTAATATTGATATTTCCAATTTCAGTTTTGGAAAAGTGTCAAGTTGAATTACCAAGATTATAGAGTTGTAAATAAATACTGTAACATTATTAATTAAAACTATCTATAATTGTAATCCCTCTAGTTTATCCAAATGCCAAACTGGTTCTACACCAGTAGCAAACCCATCTTCGCCTTTTCTTTTCAATACAAAGTATCTATCAAACCAGTCTATTAAATCAATCATGCAGGTGGTTTCGTTCATTTCCTTGACATATTGTCGTGGTATAATGTCTTCCAACATTTCCGAGAAATGATGTTGTGCTACTCTAAAGGGAAGCCCATATGCAGTGCATAAATGCATAAACATTTCAATGGCACCCCATGGGGCCTTTTCATAGCCTGCAAATAATGCAGGGTTTTTGAGAACTCCACGAGCAGACATGACACCATCCACACCGGTATATTTTGCAATACGGTGACAATCAGCAAGTGAAAACCCATCCCCATTAGCAATGACTGGAATATTTGCTGGAACATGGTTTCTGATCGCCTTTATGGCATCCAAATTAACTGGGACAGATGACCTAGTATTCTTTGTTCTTCCATGGACAGTTATGAAATCGACACCCGCATCAACCACTTTATCTACAAACAGGATGGTTTCATTGATGTCTGGATGTATTCTAATCTTGGTGTCTATGCACACGGTATTACCATATTTTTCTTTTACAGCTCTGACCATATCTGCAACAAGATTTGGTTCACTCATCAAAGCTGCCCCGATTCCCTCACGTACTTGTTCCTTGATTGGACATCCACAGTTTATTCCAATACCATCTACAAATGGATGAATCATAGCCACAAACTTCAACATATCTTCAACGTTATTGACTCCAACTTGGACAATAACACAACGATCTCTTGAGTTGGTAGTGAAATCAGAATATCTGGCAATCTCATTACGTACAAACTCACGTGCAAGTATCATAGGTGTGTACACAATGTCACATTTATAGTGACGTACTAGTTCTCTGAATGGAAGTTTGGAATATCGTACCATGGGACCAGCAATGTATACTGGTCTATTCTCGGACTTTGCCGCTTTGATGACATTTAGTGGTTGATACTTTGGATCTCGTGGCACTCTTTCCGATGTTGTCATTCTGATGTTTACTTGAAGTAGTTTGTTGCAAATAAGCAAAATTTATTTTGTAGTTCAAAAAAAAAAAAAAGAATTTCTTTTATCATCGAAGGTCGTGCACAATGCACAATATCACCAGTTTTTTAAATGTACGTACAAGTCACATTAATGCAAGTATTAGTATGTACACATATATAGTTATATAATACAGAGAAATTACTGTAGAAGACTAGGTAAAAACTATTCTTCTTCAGAACTTTCTGAAGAGGCATCATCATCTTCAGAAGATTCTTCATCATTATTAGTAATTCCCATGAATCCATTACCACCACTACCTCCAGTTTCACCTTCATCAAATAATGCCAATTGACTTCTTAAATGGGCCAATTCATCAATGTTTGTTCCCAAGATTGGCTTACTTCTCTTGTTGGCCATTTTCGAGGATAATTTCTTGCCAAATAAGAAATCATACAACTTCAAAACAGTTCTATCTTCCAATTGGTCCATGTCCAACTCAACTTCATCTTCATTACTGATTTCAACATCATCCTTAATGATCTTGATCAATGCTTGCAACTTCTTGTCAGAAAGATTAGGAACCATTTCTGAAACTTGTTTCTTCATTTCATAAGTCACAACAGGTGCAGGTGGGGTAACCTTTGGTGGGGGTGGATGAGTATCCTTCAGAGACTTGGTCTTTTTACTCTTGGACTTAGCCTTTTGTTGTTGTCTCTTTTTTCTCTTAGCTGCTTGTTGTTCACGCAATCTCTTCAAGTGTTCCTTCTTCATTTCATCCAATTCCTTCTTCATTCTAATCAATTGGTTTTCTAAGAATTGAATGGCAGGAATTTCCGACAACATATCTTCATTAATTTCAACATCATCGTCATAGTCATCATCACTGGCTTCACCATCACTAACTTCACTCTGAGGAGGAGTTGGTTCTGGAACCGGTCTATTAGCCCACTTCTTATCAAACACAGCTTCTAATCTATGTCCCATCATATTGACATCTGTACCTTCAGGATTGAACAAATAGCAGTTCTTGAACACTAAACGAACATCATGCTCGAATTCATCACCATTTTCATATTGGTTATTGGCCAACTTGGTTTGAATGGTACCTAAATCCATTGGTTCCTTAACAACTTCATTATAGTTTGGAATGTTCAAAGCAACGGTATCCACTGGAGATAAGAATGGGAAATTGTAATTGTAATGTTTCTTGGACATGAGTTCCTTAATGGTTTGATTACAGAATCTTAATTCAGCAGCAAACTTCTTCTTTCTTGGACGTACGTCATAAGGTAATTCTTTTGATTTTGGTGGATGGATAACACGTTTTGGTCTATGAGCAGCTAAGGAATCCTTTGATTGTATCTTGGCATCAACACGAGCAGGAGAAATAGCTCTGGATTCCTTGGCTGGAGTTGCAGTTGACAACACCTTAGGTGGGAAGTTCAACATGTGTTTTTCAAAATGGGCTTGAATATTCATAGCCATTTTAGAGATACCGGCTGATTCCCCATTGAATTTCTTACAATTATTAACCATCAAATTGAAATCATCAACAATTTGAGTGGAGTCCTCATAAGCTCCAGCATTGAGTTTACGTTCGATGGTGGACAAATCCATAGGTCGAGGAATGAAGTTGTAATAAAAGGGAATGTTCAACTTGACAGTATCAACCGGATGAATGAATGGGACAGCATCTTTAAGTCTCTTGATTGCCTTTATGACATTAAGAGCAAACTTGGTTTGGTGGGCCGGTATAGGGTTAGCAGGAAGGTTATCCATATCTGGTTCTTGAGGAGGTTTTGGTGCCGGATCTGTGAAGACTGGAGGAGCGGCTTGTGGTTCAGTTGAACCTTCCACTGGTGTTGTAGCTACTGGGGTTACTTCGACCGGGGTTATTTGAGATGCAACTGGAGCTTCGGAAGCTTTATCTTCTTGGTTTTCAGCAGGTGTTTCAGCAGTTTTTTCGTTGACTGGTTCAGGCACACCTTCCACTGGTTGTGCTGGCTCTGCAGGCTCTGCAGCGGGTTCAGCAGGTTTATTGTTTACTTCAACCTGAGCAGATGTTTCCTCGGTAGCCGGTGCATCCTCATCAACCTTCAATCGTTTAGTTTCAGGTTCAATGTCGTTATTATTGAACAAAGAATCAACGTCTTGGTCACCACCATCCTCTTCCAACTTTCTCTTTTCTGGAACAGGGGACGGATTTGGTGGCGATAGAGGATGCTGTGCTAGTTCAGAAACCTCAACTGGTGGTTGTGACTGTACTGCTTCTGGAATACTATGGTCTTCACTCATTTTATGATAGCTTTCTGATGATGGAGTTTGGACAGGAGTACTTGTTCCCACTTCGGACATAACTTTTGGGAATTGTATTAGTTTAAATGAAAGTAATTACTTCTAATGAATGTATGATGGCAACAAGAAACACAATCCGACAAGCACAGTATAGTGGGGGATATATATGTCGGTGGTGTAATCCTTAAAAAAAAATGGCTTGCTGATTATCACGTGATCTAACAATTACCTCAGATAACAAAGTACGGGTTTGCAGCCAAATCCGGGTAATAACGAGGAGGGGGAAAAGTTCTCTGGTCAAAGTTTTTTTTGTAAGCACAAGTGCAAATTTCTTTTAATTTATAACCAATAGATTCAGTATAGCGATAAGCTGTAAATTATGGGAACTAACCTGTAAAACACGCCGAATTTCCAACCAATGAGAATCAAGTACAAACAGGAAAAGTTTTTTTTTTTCTTTTGATATTAGTAAAAAATTAACGGGAATTTTTGTCGTTTTTATATAAAAAAAATTTTGTCCAATCAGCCAGCCAACGAAATCCTCAGAAGAAAAAAAAATTTTTATTTTAATTTTTTTCCATTCCGATTTCCACCCCCCTTTTTCTTTCGAATGGAATGGCAACTTTCTACAATTTTTGACCTTGTTTTCTGGTTATATTTCCTGCCAACTTGTTTATCTACCTGGAGAACAAGTACGGAACAACCACATCATAAGCTCGATGTCATTCAAGTGTCAAACTACAGGCATACCAATTTAAATTATCCAATGACAAATTGGGATTAAAATTAACAATTGATTTTTATTTTAAAAATTATTTTACTTTTTTTTTCTGTTTTGCCACTCGTGACGTCCGGGTAATCCGTTAATTCCGCCTGATTTTCTTCAATTTCACACGACCTTTTAACATTTTGGTCTGCGCGATTTTGCTTGCATTAAAATTTTTTTTTTTTTGCCAGCGCATTCGTTTTTGTTTTTTTTATTTTTCTGGTTTAGGGAGACGTGTTTGAGTAACCTGTAAAAAAAATATAAGCGGTGGGTGAGGCTCATAACTTTGATCTTTCACGGGAAATATAACCTGTAAGGAACCAGCAATATGTCTGGTAAAAGCTATTGCAAAAAGGAAGTTTAAATTAATTATACAAAATCTATCAAAATATACAAGAGGAAAAGGTCAACAGTTCTACAAATGAATAGCCAACAAGTCATTAGCGGAAAATCCCTTATTACACAGTGGACATCTTCTTAATCTTGCAGCCAATCTTTCTTGAGTACAATTTGAACAAAATACATGACCACATACCGTGATTGCAGTATCTTTCCAATTCTTGGAACATACCGAACATTTAGCAATGGACCTTAATGCCTCTATCTGTTGTTCATCCTCTTCAAGTAGTGAACTAGTATTGTTTGTTTTGTATTTTTGTAAAATTGATTCTGTTGATTTAAGCGATTTTTCCAACTTGTTAATTTCAAGCTTTTGTTTATTGAAATCGTTAGACAAATTGGCCACTTCATTAGCTTGGGCAACGAGCTTTTCCTTGCTTCTCGAGATTTCAGTTTCAAGTGACTCTTTAGCAATGGACAAAGACTTGATTGTGTCTTGCAACTTTTGATTCTCTTGCAACGAGTTTTCTTTAATTATCTTATAATCATTCAATGATTTCGTCAAGATTTCAATCTTGTTCAAATAATTCTTTTCTAATTCATTAAGATTCTTGATTAATTCTTGAGATTTGGCCACTTGAACCTTCAATACCTTGTTTTCGTTAGTCAATGAATCTTTAACTCTCATCAGTGCAAAATATTTTTGATCAGCCTTGGTTTTCTCAATAGTAAGTTTCTTGATCAAGCTTTCTGAATCGATTGCAGATTCCAATTTCTTCAATGAAACCTCTCTGGTTTCCTTAAACGCCAATTCAATTTCCTTAATGTCGTTATTCAATTGTTGTATCTTGGAGATCAATTCAGGAGGTGATAACTCGGCAAGACCAGGACTTCCGGAAATTTCATTCAATTTGGATTCAGTCAACAGTTCAATTCTGGCAGCTAATGCCTTGTTTAAATCAAGCAATTCTTGATTAGTCTTTTGATCTTGTAATTGGCTAGTCAAAATAGAATTCTTGGAAATTAAATCATCACGGGCTGTTCTAATTCTTACTAAATCTTGTTCACTCTTGGCTAATTGAGATTTCAAGGAATCATTTTCTTCCAAAATTTCCTTTTCTATGATTGCCTTTATTGAATTTTGCTGTTTTTCAAATTCATTCAATTTGGCAATATTGGCAGCATTTAATTTTGAAAGTTTTCCAATTTGCTCTTGTAACGATTGGTTATTCTTGACAATCTTTTTGTAGTGAATATTTGATTCCAAGTCAGTTTCTTCCAAATTGTGTAATTTATGTTCCAATTCAAGGGCTCTTTGCGTCAGCAATTGATAGCTTTGTGTTAATTCTTCAAGTTGATTTGTAAGGATTGTGTTTGCAGTTTTCAATTCTTCCACTTCACCAGCTAATTTGACAAGCTCGTCTTGATTATCAGTGCTTTCTGCTTGTTTCTTTGAATCATCACTACCATTGGCTTCTTGTTTCACTTCGGGCTGTGCTGATGATTCCTTCTCAGGTACTGGTGTTTCTTCTTTGATACCTTGGGCTCGTTTCAACGACTTGGATTGCAACCGATGAATCTCTTTAGTTAATTGGAGAACCTTGTCTTTAGAAGCATCAAGTCTTGCTTGTAATGCACCATTTTCTTGAGTGAGCTGTTGGTTGAATGCAGTTGATGATGCCAATTTTTGAGAAATAACTTCTAGCTTCTTCATATCTTCTTCTGCCAACAAGATTTTTGATGTAAGAATCTTGTTCAACTGCTCTCGCTTTTGTTCAAGTTTATCATCACCTTCATCAAATATCAACAATAAGTTATGATTAGAAGAACCATCATTATTATCACACAATGAAATAATCTGATCGTACCAGCCAATCAAAACTTTGACTACTTTATTAGACTTCAGGGCATCTTGTTGTAGCTTGGAGATTTCCAGTCGCAATTGGTTGACTTGTTCTCGATAACTAGTCATTTGTCGCCATATGGCTTCCTTCTGGAAATATACTACATCTTCTTGAGTCAAAGGACCAGAGTCGCTCAACTCTTGTAAAGGTTTGGCTCGTTTGAGTGGTGGTGAAGATGGATTAGGTGTTGATGATTCGGATGGTCTTTTTGACATGGTTGGTTGTATCCTATATTGATTCTGCAAGTGGAACCAGAAATGTTAAGGCAGTTGTTAACTCTAGTATTGCCTTTGTAATTGATTTAAAACGTGATGCCTAATCAGCTCAGGAATCAAGTTTGAGTTGGCAACAGCAGCAAATGAAAACAAAGGAGTAATGGGAAAGTGGGAAGGTAAAGAGATACTGTCTACTTAATGTTGTGGGAGTCTATAAAGTACGCGACAGTGGTTGTATGCTATGTGTACCTTTTGTTCTTTGATTATCGGTAAAAATGAAAATTTGCTGGTTGTTTCTGAGATTGTTCCCAAGTTGATTTTTTTTTTTCTCTTGTTCTTCGTTTTTGCTTTGTCGTTAACTTGGAGATATTGGTAACGCACACGACTAACTGTTTAACAAAGCATGATTCCCGTTAATAATAGCATAAGTTAATGGTTGAACATGGCATATCAACTATGATTATCACAATTGGTATTTGTAGTATGCATGTTGTAAAATGTTGGTTGCCAAATTTTAAGTATATTACCTATCGAATCACTTCTGGAACAACAGTCACAGCCAATTTATGGATGTAAACGTATCCATATGCTGCCATGCCTTTATTTCCAATGTAAAAATAAAAACAACTAAATATCAGGGGGTAGCTCAGATATGATGAGCTGATCATACCATTTTAAGTTGTGTCGCTTGAAATGGTATAAAATTGGTGGTAAATTTAAAGTAAGCCACGTTTCCAGCAACATGTAGTACTTACCAACAGTACAGTCTTTCAGATATTGATATATTCTACCAAACCATTGTTCAAAACATAAATCAAATAAATTAGAATACCTATTGTTGTCGCTTATATTCTCAGCTGTGCATTTCAGCTTCCTTGTTTGAATAAAGTGTAAGTTTCCCTATTAAACGAGCAGCAGCCCTTCCTCCCCCTGAAAAAAAAATCTTAGATCGCCTAGATTTGACTCCTCCTCCCTCCTCCCCACGAACCAAGCTAGAATACCATGAAAAGTTCACTCTTTATAACTTTCATACTTTTCTTTACTACGGTCTCAGCCGTTAAGGAATACCTCTTTAAGAAGTGTTCTCAATCAGGATTCTGTCATCGGAATCGTCATTTTGCCCAGGCTGTCGAGCTGGATCCCGAATACCAGTCCCCTTACTCCATCGATGTCAGTTCTCTCAGTTTTGCGGACGATTCAATCACCGGTATTGTCAAGAAAGTGCATGGTTTAGTGGATGTTGATTTTCCATTCAAAATTTCCGTTATTGAAGGCAATTTCCGGTTTCAATTGGATGAAAAGTTGAATAGCGACGTGGTCGACACCGTAAAACATGTCAATAAACAGAGATATAATGAAACTGAAACTTTTGCATTTAAACAAAATGTTGCTTATCATCCATTGACTGGTGATCAACTTGAAGATAAACTTGTATTGAAGTATGGCGATGACCATCAAGTTGAATTGGAGTTCTATCCTATTAGATTCTCATTCCTTTACCAAAACAAAGTGCAATTGACCGTAAATGACAAGCAATTCCTCAATTTGGAACATAGAAGAAAGGAACGCGAGGGTAGCACATCAGAACTTCTCTCACAGGAAACTTCCTTTGATATGTTTCAAGATTCATTTGCCGATTCCAGTAAGGATACTCTCCCACTTGGACCCGAGTCCATGGCCATTGATTTCAATTTCATTAACTTTACTCATGTGTATGGTATTCCAGAACACGCCGATTCATTGCTTCTTAAACATACTAGACTGAAGGATAAGGAACCCTATCGTCTTTACAATGTTGATATTTTTGAATATGATTTAGATTCACGTTTAGCGATGTATGGTTCCATTCCATTCCTTTTAGGTATTAAACTGGAAGTAACTGTTGGTGTTTACTGGATAAACTCAGCTGATACATACATTGATATCGAATATTCATCTTCAAACACCTTGTCCCATTGGATGTCTGAGAATGGATTGTTAGATTTCATAATTATTATTGAACCTACCCCGTATGATGCCAACAGCCAATATGGAAAGATCTCAGGAAATGCCGCCCTTCCTGCCTTATTCTCCTTGGGATACCATCAATGTAGATGGAACTATAATGATCAAAAAGATGTATTGGAGGTTCACAAGAAATTCGATACCTACAAGATTCCTTATGATACTATCTGGCTCGATATTGAATATACAGATGAAAAGAAGTACTTTACCTGGAAGAAAGAGGCATTTCCTAACCCAGGAAAAATGATGCAGAAGTTAGATCAAACTGGACGTAATTTAGTGGTTATTATTGATCCTCATCTCAAGGACGGATACAGTGTCAGTGAAGAATTCATTACCAAGAAACTTGTTATGAAGGACAATTCAAACCAGGCATTTTATGGGCATTGTTGGCCTGGAAAGTCGGTTTGGATAGATACAACTAACCCCGACGCCACTCCAGCATGGGCTGGCCATTTCGCGTGGAAATCACCATTTCTTGCCCAGGCGGCCAACGTCCACATTTGGAATGATATGAACGAACCATCAGTTTTTAGTGGTCCGGAAACTGTAGCACCCAAGGACAACATTCACTTCAACAACTGGGAACATCGTTCCGTGCATAATTTATACGGTATGAGTTACCATCAAGCAACTTATAATGCCATGAAAGCCCGTCTTAAACACTCAAACCGTCAACGACCATTTGTCCTTACTAGATCGTACTTTACAGGGTCACAACGTACAGCAGCTATGTGGACCGGTGACAACATGTCGAAGTGGAGCTATCTTCAAGCATCGATCCCCATGGTGCTTACTCACAATATTGTAAACATGCCGTTTTCTGGGGCTGATGTTGGTGGATTCTTTGGTGATCCTCTGAGTGAATTATTGACGAGATGGTACCAAACCGGACTCTTTTATCCATTCTTTAGAGGACATGCCCACATTGATTCACCACGTCGTGAACCCTGGGTTCCTGGTGAACCATACACTTCAATCATCAGAGACGCTATCAAATTGAGATATGTATTGTTGCCAGTTTTTTACACTGGATTCTACCATGCTTCTGAGACTGGTCGCCCTGTAATGAAACCCATGTTTTACGATGCATTGGATGATACCAATACTTATAAGATTGATGACCAATTCATGGTTGGTGATTCAGGAATCTTGGCTAAACCAATAACTGAAAAAGGCGGTAATGTATCCCTGATTTACATTCCCCAGGGTCAAATCTATTATGATTTCTTTAATGGAGAAATCTCATCCCAGGTGTTTACAAGTGGGTATGTTGAACGGCCAGTGGAATTGACGGACATCCCCATGTTATTGAAAGGAGGCTCTATCATTCCACTCAAGACGAGATACCGTCGTTCATCTAAGTTAATGAAGAATGATCCATATACTTTGGTGATTGCTTTAGATGAAAATGGTCAAGCAAAGGGTGATTTATATATTGATGATGGTGAATCATTCTCATATCAAAATGGCGAGAAATCATATATTGGATTCCAGGCTGTATCAGAAGGTATTAGTGCCAGTGTGTCGGTTTCAGAAGAATTTTCGAGACAGATCGAAAGTGTTACTGTGGAAAAGATTGTTATTGTGGGAGTAAAAGGAGAAATTAGTGCTGTTATTATTGAACAGGAAGGAAAGAAATGGAATGGAAAGGTGTCGGAAAAGGACAGCGTGACTACTATTAAGAACCCCAAGGTCAAAATCAACAGTGACTGGGAAATTAAGTTTGAATACAAACAAGGAGTAGACCATGACGAGTTGTAAATTATTATTATATACATATATCTATGGCTTATGGTGTATTTTGTGTAAGTAATTCTTGAGTACATGCATCTTGGGTAGGCTGGGTTAACCCCTTTACATTGTCCTTTAGTAGGTAATACCGCAACTTTGTTGAAGTTTTTACGATTCTTGACCAGGTTAAAGACTTGGAACAACAAGGACAATTTACACTTGTCGGTATTAGCTGATCCTGGGATCTTGCCATGCATGTCAAGTGGAACGTGGAGTTAGTATTATAGCACAAACTAACCAAGGGGAACCGGCCAAGGAATTCTGCAAATTCGTGTCTTGAGGTGATTTCAGGAACATCTTTAAACACGTCAATATTTGCTTTACATATACAACAAGAAATATCTTCATCTAAAGCCTTTTGTTTCATCGCATCAAAATCATCATCACATTCGTTAATATCAAGCTCATCAAACTTGCCAAGCTCGACTTCGCGGTCAAACTTAACATCATATTTATCAGTTCTCCATGCAAGATAAACTTCGTCATCAAATATTTTTACTTTCAAGTCCATTCTGACAAAACCAGGACTAGTAATCAACAACTTGATATTCGCCAACCGTTGATGCAAACTGGTGCTTTGACTTTTACTAACGCGGTCATCGTGCAGAATGCGACGCGTAAATTGTGGATGTTGCAATGAATGCTCAAACTGTAATGCCGATATTCGCGATGGGAAGTTATACACTATAGTCACCACTTTCCAAGGACGAGATCCTTTACGTTTGGTTCTAAATGCTCCACCGGCCTTTAGATCACCATTGTGTTGACGTAATCGGCGTTTCATATCGGGAGTAGAGCCGACATAAAACGTTCGCGGTTTTGGAATAGACTGAAGGAGATAAACACAGTAAAACTGAGGTGTTGTATGAAGCAGCATCACAACAATGATATGCAGTTTTCGGTGATAATTACGGGACTACAGATCCGAATATCCCCAACTCCGAACAAACCAGATTAACAACTGTTGCTAAAGATCTAGAGTTTATTATTTTTCACAACCTTCTATGCTTAAGCGGCTCTTCCGCAAGAACCCGTCTGGGCTATGCACGACTTGTTGCCACACGGCAAATCAGAAAACTGATGTCAACCAAATTTTAGTCGAGTTTATTTTTAATTAGTAATGCTGCATAGCCCAGGTTTAATTTTATTGTGAGGTAAATTTCATTTCTTTGTGTAATCGAATATGACATTGGAAAATAATAATTTTTTAAGCCTGCTTCATTATCCGTCTTGCCTATATATTTGGGGGTTAGTTTCCGCACAGTCCCCCCCCCTTTAACCGCTGTTGTGGTTTCAATGAAGGCAAAGACAAAAAAAAAAATAAATACAAAAGAGAGAAAAAAAAAAAAAGAAACCACAAAAACATCCAATACGCAGTAGACTCCAAAATTGTCACTTGGAAATTAAGAATTTAAGCAGAAAAGTTTACCATAAACAAAACTGAAGAACGTTTCGTCTAAGTACTTCTACCAAACGTATAGCTAATAGGTTATATATGTCTGATCAAACCATATAATTCAAAGTACAACGTTCTTCCGCTACCCATTATATCACTTTGTCCCATATCCGCAATTAACCTTGTAAATTTAAATGCCCTCATTATGTCAACCGATGATAGAAAACCTAAAAGAAAAACACCACAACCGGGACCAATGAATACAATAACCACCACATCGCTGTCCAACCAGAGTGGGTCAAATGACTTCGTCAAGAAACTTTTCCTAATGTTGGAAGAAGACAGCTATAAAGATATAGTTCGATGGACCCATACTGGCGACTCATTTGTAGTGCTAAACACCAACGAATTCACCAAGGAAATCCTTCCGCGTCATTTCAAACACTCCAATTTCGCCAGTTTTGTTCGACAGTTGAACAAATATGATTTCCATAAAGTGAAAATCTCCAATGAAGAAAGAGCAACTTACCCCTACGGTGACGACACTTGGGAGTTTAAACATCCAGATTTCAGACAGAATGACCGAGAGTCGTTGGATAATATCAAGAGAAAGGGTCCAACTTCGAAAAAGGCAACTCCAGGAGCAAGTTCAGCACTGGCAACCACCAGTCAAGTAATCAACGGCGTTGATGCCGCAGCTTTAGCTCGATGTAATCACAATTATACCCAAATGCTCACCAGCCAGAACCAACTCAAAGACCAAATGGAACTGCTCAGACAAGAAAACAAACAACTACAACAGGAAATCAATATATTGACGAGAAAATACAAAACCTTGGTGGAGAATATCGTGGCTATAAATACTGTCGATGAACGTAGCCATAGATCAATGGGTATATTGGTAAACTGCTTGATCCAAGCGGGGATAAAGATTCCGCCATTGGACTTCCCACCACCACAGAGCCTACAAGGTGAAGTGAACAATAGTGAATTTGGCAGTTCCCTCCCAAGTCTATCCTCACATCTTCTAAACCACAATACTCTGCCACAGCAAGCATTACCGCCAGGAGCCGCACCACCCAATGCACTTCCACAACATCCACAACAATCAATACTACCTCCTCATCTTGCCAATCCTCCACCTCCACCTCCACCTCACCTACAACCTGCTATCCAACTACCGCAACCGCCTACAAATGGAAACCAACCACCTTACATAGCTGCTACGCCGACAGCCCAGGCGATTCCTTCACCAGGTGCCATCCCACAAATGCAGGGCCCAGCAATGGTTCCCCAGCCTCAAGCAGTACCGCAGCCACCTCAGCAGCAAGTCCCACCAATTAGTGCTGCCACTGCCCCTAATGCAACTGCCACTACAGCTAACCCAGTAGCGGTAGCTACATCTATATCGCGACTCGCGTCATCTCAAGAGGGGTCAAAATCTCATTCTCAAACCACATCAACTTCAGCATCTCCACTAGTACCCGGTGCCGGTGGACTTCCTTTGGCGGTTCCTGGCCCTACAGAAGTTTCCGCCACCACCACGACAGTACCTAATGCCAAATTCCACGTTCTTCTCGTTGAAGATGACAATGTCTGCATTCAACTTTGTCGTAAATTCTTGGTCAAGTACGGATGTCAAGTTACAGTTGTGACTGATGGGCTAAACGCGATATCTACAGTGGAACATACCAAATATGATTTAGTACTTATGGATATTGTCATGCCTAATTTGGATGGTGCGACGGCTACGCTGGTTATCCGAAGTTTCGACACCAAGACTCCAATTATTGCCATGACTGGTAATATCGAAGACAACGATTTGGTTACGTATTTACAGAATGGGATGTCGGATATCTTGGCCAAGCCTTTCACCAAGGACGACTTGTATCTGATTTTGGCGAAGCATTTATTGACGGACAAGAGTGAGGGCGCCGCCGTAAGTACTGGGTTATCAGAATCGGCTTTGAAAGGTGCGATTAAACTGGAGGATGATCAAATTGTCAAAAAACCACGTTTGATCTAGATATTTATACCATAACTTTCTTTTTTTTTAAGTTTCTCCTCTATTATTTGTATTAATATATATTGTTATTTGGATAAGTGTTATATTATGTGCTACAAAGTTGTATCATTAAAGTTGATGTGTTCTAGGAAGTGGAGTAGATCTAGATCTAGGATAAAACTAGACTACGACTACCAGTTGCAATTATTCTTGAGCAGAATTTATTTTCCTGTACTGTTGGTAGCAATTTCATGTACTGTTTCAGATGTCACGAACATGACAGTTGCAACTATCGATTCAGCCAATCCTACAAGAGATATTCAAATTTGCACCTATATTTCCGAACCGTAATAACAATAGCTAGCAATATACTGACTGTAATTTAGATGTACCAGGTGGTAATGTAAACTATAGGAGAGCAAGACCAATAAAGATTTGATAAAAGATGCTGATACAACCTTTGTTTCATCCTATTCAGACTTTTATTAGTGTTTCAAAATATGGTACAAAATCAGTCGTTAATGTTCTACATCAGCTGGTGGTTTTGTGGTATTCTTCTGCTATTCGTTTAATTAGAAATGAATCTTATTCTTCGTTATTTTATTAGTCTTAACTGACAACGATTTATCACACCATACGTACAGAAACAATGAACCCATTGAATAGGTTTATATTGAGCACATATTAGTGCCCGCCTCTAATTGTAAAAGGGACGGGAGTCATTATTAGATCTTGCATGTAAACAATGCTATTGAAACCAACGTCGTTGCTAGGGCAATATATTATTGTTCACCACCTTACTATGCAGGTATGAGGATATGTTTTTCCGCTTTACTTGAAGTAACGGATTTACAATTGAGATTGATCCAGTAGAAGAATGACTAAATACAATTTTAGGGTTGATTGCTTTTAATAGGCAGTGGTAGATTGAGTTCTGGATGGCTATTGTTTGATGTTGAAGATTTCGATGGTGTAGCACATTGATCGATGTTGGGTTAAAAATATCGGAAATTTTTTTGCAAAAAAATTTCAATAAATATAAACAGAGCTCAAATTGCAACGTAAAATAGATAAAACACACACACGATTGAAACACCTACATTACAATATCAATCTGTAAAACAGAATACAAGTCTCAAAAGTTGAGCTGAATAATTAAAGCTAAAACGAGGTATCTAGTAGTACAGTGGTTACTCAGTTGTTTATTCTATTAAAGTACGTAACTCCTATAAGACCGAATGATAAGATTATCATTACTTCTCAACGACCTATTCCTTTGTAGTACTCTTCGGCACCACCCGTATGAATGATAAATCAGAAAAAGAGTTACCCCACGGATCTCCCTTATCAGCGGGATACCTTTCCACCTGTACATCGTCAAAATATACCATATCCAAATCATAAACCACTTGCACCTCTTTCAATGCATGTCTATTTTTCTTTTTCTTGACCACTTTAAACCCATCATCTACTTGTTCTGACTTATTGGCAATATGAACCATAGTTGCTAACACCGGATACGTTTCTAGTAGTTTGGCTTTAGTTAGACGGTCCGTATGACTGACTATATCATTGGCGAGGACAAACATTGGTTCATGTGTTTTGAATATTGTTTCCGTAAGGTCAAGTGGGGCATGTGGTAGAAAGTAAAGGGTGGTTGTAGAATTGGTTTTGAATTCTTCTAATGTATCGACGTTTTCAAAAATATCTTTGAATAAGTCTATATCTTCCGGCGTAAACACCGGATCATAAACAGATATATGCGATGCAGAGACATTCTTGGCTAATTCAACCAATAGAGCAAGCTGATAGCGGGCATTGATACTTTCAATAGGTGATCCCAACGCAAGACATCGTATTGTTGTTATACCATCAGATGCTGGAGATAGCGACTTTGTAATTGACGCAAACAAATTCGACTCAGCAATAGTCTTCTGATACTGGGAAAGCGACTGTTTGGTCTTGTCAAACTGGCTAGACATTACTCTTTGCTATTGGTTTCTTGTTGGTAGTTGTTGATCTTCGTAACCTGCATATAACCCACTTAGTGGTTCGGTTTTTTTTTTTCTCATCGCGCAACAGTCAAATAAGAAAAACCAAAAAAAATTTCATCTGCTCTCCCATTGCCAGTTCCAGATTTCTCTTTATGATGTTAAGACTTATCGGTAGTACAATCCTATAATCCAACCACAGCTATCTGTTAATCCTTCTTTCTTACATCAACACACACATAATCCAGTGTAACTAAGAAATATCTCCAGTTTTAAGCAATTGCTATAGTCCATATTCTCCCCACGTTGTCTTCGTCTACATATAGTTCCTCGCTTACAATGCGTAAATGCAAGATTTTTGTTGGTAGTTCCCACCCTGAACTAGGTAAATTAGTCTGTGACCGTCTTGGTGTCGAACCTGCTCCATGTACCCTCAAGAAGTTCTCCAATGGTGAAACCTCGGTGCAAATCGGGGTATCAGTTCGTGATGAAGATGTTTATATTATCCAATCTGGTTCTCCTCATATAAATGACCATATAATGGAACTTTTGATTTTAATTTCTGCCTGTCGCGGTGGTTCCGCTAATAAGATCACAGCCGTTATTCCCCAATTCCCATATTCTAAACAGCTGAAGATGAAGAAACACAGAGGAGCAATCACAGCTAGAATGCTTGCTAACTTATTGATTATGGCTGGTGCTGATCATGTCGTTAGTATGGATTTGCATGCTTCCCAAATGCAAGGGTTCTTCACTAAACCAGTGGATAACTTGTTTGGTGCTCCAACTTTAGCCAGATGGATCAAACACAATATCAAGGATTGGAACCTTAGTGTGGTTGTTTCCAAGAACCCCGGTGGTACTAAGCGAGTTACTGCCTTGGCTGACTCTTTGAAAATTAATTTCGCCATGATCCACACTGATAGAAGAAGAACCCAAGATGGGTATTCTAAACGCAAGAGATTACAAAAATCCAACACCACCATGACTGTACACGAAGAACAAGAAGAAGAAGGTCATGAAGAAGAAGAAGTCGATAATATTGTTTCCGAATTACAAACTGCCAGAATAGTCAAGGGCCATGTAGTCAATGAAGACGAATACCTTAATGGAAGTGTCAGCCACAGCAGAGCCAATAGCACCAACACTAGAGCTAAACCTACCCCTCTTGACAAGTCACATTCACTTTTAGATAGTGATGTATTGGGTGGTACTTATGACGCTGCTGAAAGCGACGACGATGAAGATGAACCAGAATCATTAGCTCAAGAAAAGTTGATCACTTTAGTTGGGGATGTCAAGGACAAGGTTGCTATCATATTGGATGATATGATTGACAAGCCAACTTCTTTCATTGCTGCCGCTGAACATTTACGATTAAACTGTGGTGCCAAGGCCGTCTACCTTATTGCCACCCACGGTGTTTTCAATGATTCCTGTTTAGAAACCTTGACTGAAAGCAAGTGCATTGATAAGATTGTCGTTACCAACACCTATCCAATTGACACTGAATGCATGGAAAAATTCAGCGAGAAATTAACTGTCATTGACGTATCACCAATCTTTGCCGAATGCATAAGAAGAGACCACTTCGGGGAATCCATTTCAGTATTGTTTGACTCGTTAGCTGCCATTGAATAGGCTCAGGAGTTTTATAAATATTTATATTGTTTTGTTTGTTCTCACTTCTGTAAGCTTTCCAACGATGCAGTCACTGGACTGCAGGACATATTCTCCTTGGTTTTAACAACCAGGAATATAGAGAATACTGGACTAACGGAGCGTTGGTATATTGTAAATCTCCAATTAGTATATTCAACTATGCGATGTGTGATGTCAACATATATTGCAGTAGGATGAATATTGGAACATTCCTTGTAGTATAAGTTTTAAGCGCGTATCAGTTTTATCCATTTAGAGAAAAGTTCTCGAATATTAGAGTTTTTGCTTTATAGCTTCTCTTGAATGCATAGCAAATCTATGAAATACTTATGTGGAGTAAAAACCAGAGTAAAAAAATTAAAAAACGACGAGCTCTTATGTTACTACATTCCACTAAGGTTTGGCATATTCGTAACTAATGTAATCTGACCATGGCTGTGGAGTAATTTGTCACTATCGAATGCTGCTAAGGTTATTTTTCAGGAGGATAAAAATTTAATGTTTTGATGTGTTAAAGCGAGGTTGACATTTTGTGGAATGGCCCAATAAATGTGATGTCGCTAAACACGCCAGTTTTACCAAAACATTGCTTGTTCTTTACAAAACTAATTGAGGCTTTAAGTTCAATAACCTTGCACTTAAACCCTGAGATAGAGGGTCTGAATAATTATTGAGTCATATGGTATATTGCCCCTGGCGCGTCAGGGTTGTTGTGCAGCAGACAGACACCACCTTTTTCTTTTTTTGGGGGTGGGGGAGGGGCTTTGCAAAAAACTACAGAATTAGCCACATTTAAAAAAAATTTAAATACCAAGAAATGTTTGCACTTTGCCCGATATAACAATTGTCTCATATATATAACTTATATCTAATTGCTGAATATAATCAACACCCTATGTCTGACTTTTATAGAGCTGCAAATATTTCCAATCAATAGATGTAGATTCATTACACTCCAAAGTAAGAAAAATACTTGTATATAAATGTATCGCAACCAGGGATGTGTTTACTGGGATATTATTATCTGACATAACTTGAAAAATTCCTTATAGCCAATAAAAATGTCTGTTTTTGGTAGTAGAACTTTTAAAAAAGGGGATAGTATCATAATTTTTATGACGAACAATACAACTAAACGATAGTACTAACGATAACAATGCCTTATATGCAAAAGCTAGCCATTAATAGCCAGATCCGGTAAAGTTAAGCTCGTTACCGATCTAAGATATTTTTGATTCTGCAACTATCAGCAAGTTCATGCAGGCTGTATAAAAACATTTTTGTCTGACAAAAAAAATAATCAACGCGATTCCAGGAACCGAATGAACGATTTGTTTAACTCATTAAACAGATGTGCAAAATTACTTTCTGATTTCTTCCATCTAATGCTAACAAAGAGGGGCATTACTATTTCGTTTATAATAAAGGGGCGCACACAACAATACAATGCGGTTATGCATGTTCAAGTATGCTCCTGATAATACAACGCGTTGATTTTTTTTGCCATTTACACAATCAGTTATACATACTAATTAGCACAGGAGAATATAGTGATAGTCCTTGTATTGTACTTGAAACCAGTGGTATTGATGGTAAATATATGTGTTTTATTCGTTTGATTCCTCAAGATGCTTACCATAAAATATTTATCATCAAGGAGATATAGAATGGTCTCATTCAGAAACAAAACCTCGGTTATGCAGAAGCATGTAGAAACATGTACTAATATTCGTATCTAAACTATACTATTTTATAAATGCTAAAATTATTATTGAGGGAAGAAAAGGTTCACACCTGCCCAATTGAGGTTTAGCGAAATTACAGCAACTTCATTTACTGCTATTGATTAAATTATATGGTGCTAATCATGAAAAATGATTGAAAACTTTCGCAACATAAACTAATTGCTCAATACCGTGTAATATTATACCCAGAGGGTGGCTTTACCATTAAAGGCGGGCTTGACTCATGTATCCTCGTCAATATGTTTTATTTGTCTTGACGAAAAAATGTGCACTTTGAAATATTTTTTACCAGCTGCAAAAGTTCCTTATTATTTTTTAACCATATTTACCGATTGCAAACGAATCAACGTTTAGTTCCCTACTGGGATAATCCAGTAAATGTCAAAAAGGAAGATGGTCCCTCGTTTATAAAAAGCCCCACGTCACCCTCCCTTTGACAATTCTTTCTTTACCCTATTAAAAGCAAACGAATATGATTTTGTCGGTAGTACTTTTACCATTATTACTTACGTTTGTATCATCGCAAGAGATAACTGGGGTCTTCACCTCTTTCAACTCATTAGTATGGAACAATGGTGGTAACTACGCATATGCTAGTCCCGCTTCTCCGAGTTGGATGGCCACATTTAACTGGAATATCGATGGTTCAACTATGCTGCCTGGCGACACGTTCACATTAACTATGCCCTGTGTATACAAATTTACAACAACCCAAAGCTCAATTGATTTGGTTGTTGGATCTACCAGCTACGCTACTTGTGTCTTTTCTCCTGGTGATGTTTTACTTACAACCTCGGCCATGGAATGTACTTTATTAAACACTGTCCAAGACCTGACTAGTGCTCATGGAACTGTTACAGTGCCACTTACATTTAACATAGGTGGTTCAGCATTAGATACTGATGTATATTGTGCCAGCGTTTTCAAGAATGGACTCAACACTATCTCCTTTAGTGACGGTGCTAATATTTTGTCTACTCAAGCTACATTCGAAGAAGGTACTGGAACAGACCCTAATGAAGTTGTGTACCGTGCCCGTATTATGCCAACTGTGAATAAATGGCAACATTTTCTTTTAGGAGGGAATTGTCCTTCTGGTTACACATCTGGTACTTTAGGTATGAAGGTTAATGACAATACAGGTACAATTGATTGTTCTGCAGTCCATGCCGCTATTTCAAATAAATTGAATGACTGGTATTACCCTGAATCGATTAGTACTTCATTCTCATTCACAACCACATGTAGTAGTACAGGATATACCATTACCTATAACAATGTTCCTGCTGGTTACCGTGTATTCATCGATACGTTCATTTCTCCTGTTCCTGGAGTCATGACTTATTTACTGTACACCAACCAATACAAATGTTCTGATAATCCTTCCCAACAAATTGACAATTCTGCAAATGTACAATGGTCATTATATTCCAACAATGTGGCTGGAGCAAATGGCCAAGAGGTTCACCTTGTCACAGAAACATGGACTGGTCTGACTACTAAAGTTATAACCAAACCATACAATACAAATGATCCTACAATTACAATTGTTGTCGATGTACCAGTCCCTACGGTCACATACACATCAACTTATATTGGCGTTACTACTAGTTATACTACATATACCGCAACTCCGGGACAAACTGCAAGTGTGATTGAATTTGATCCAATTCATGCTACAACTAGTGCGGCTACTTGCTGGGAAAGTGAGAAAACTTCTACTAGTACCATCATTGGCACAGATTCTGGCACTGACACGATTTTGGTCATTACTCCATGTGAGATAACTAGTTCTACCACGCAGACTCAAGTGTCAAATACTTCCACAGCAAACATCGAGCTGACAACAGAAGAAGAAGAAGAAGATTGTGAAACAGAGGAACCTACTACTGAAGAAGAATGTGAAACTGAAACTGAGTATGAAACTCTGTCAACTGAAGAAGAATGTGAAGAATCATCCACTGAAGAAGAAACAACAACAAATGACATTACATCTTCAGTTTTATCTACTGAAAGTGAATCTACTGAATATGATACTGAGACTGAAACTGACGCTTCGGGTGAATCTTCACAAGTGGAAAGTACTAACGAGTCTAGTAACACTACTGCAACTAATGACGAGACTGTGTCTGGTTCTGATACTGCTACTGACACTGAAGAAAGTGGAGCATCTGGTTACACCATTAGTACTGAATATGATAATGAATCTGACTCCAATACCGCAACTGAATCTAGTAATGAAACTGGTACTGGTGCTACAGGAACCGAAGGTAATGAAACCGGTGCTACTGGAACTGGTGTTACTGGAACTGAAGGTAACGAAACTGGTAATACTGATGCCACCGGCACTCAAGGTAACGAAACTGGTAACACTAATGCTACCGGAACTGAAGGTAATGAAACTGGAGCTACTGGTACTGGTGCCACTGGTACCGAAGGCAATGAAACTGGAGCTACTGGTACTGAAGGTAATGAAACTGGAACTGGAGCTACTGGTACTGAAGATATTGAAACTGGTGCTACTGGAACTGGTGTTACTGGTACTGAAGGTAACGAAACTGGAACTGGAGCTACTGGAACTGGTGCAACTGGTACTGGTACTGATGGTAACGAGACTGGAGCCACTAATGACACTGGTACTGATGGTAACGAAACTGGTAACACTAATGCTACCGGAACTGAAGGTAATGAAACTGGTGCTACTGGAACTGGTGTTACTGGAACTGAAGGTAACGAAACTGGTGCTACTGGAACTGGAGCTACTGGTACCGAAGGTAACGAAACTGGTACTGGTGCTACAGGAACCGAAGGTAACGAAACTGGTACTGGAGCCACTGGAACTGGAGCTATTGGTACTGAAGGTAATGAAACTGGGGCTACAGGTACTGAAGGTAATGAAACTGGTACTGGAGCTACTGGTACTGAAGGTAATGAAACTGGTAACACTAACGCCACCGGAACCGAAGGCAATGAAACTGGTACTGGAGCTACCGGAACTGAAGGTAATGAAACTGGTGCTACTGGAACTGGTGTTACTGGTACTGAAGGTAATGAAACTGGAGCTACTGGAACTGGAGCTACCGGTACTGAAGGTAACGAAACTGGTACTGGTGCCACTGGTACTGATGGTAACGAAACCGGTGCAACTGGTACTGGTGCTACTGGTACTGAAGGCAATGAAACTGGTGTTACTGGAACTGGAGCTACCGGTACTGAAGGTAATGAAACTGGTGTTACTGGTGGTACTACTGGTAGTGAGAGTAAACAGACTGGTGATGTTTCCGAGAGCATAACTGAAACTACGGATGATGAATTTGAGACCGAGTCTTGCGAGGAATGGTCCGAATTGCCTACGGACACCGAAGGCAATCAAACTGACGGGAATACAGCCACAGGTACTGAAGGTAATGGAACTGGTGATAACACTGCCACTGGAACCGAAGGTAATGGAAATGGTGAGAACACTGCTACTGGAACCGAAGGTAATGGTACTGGTAACAACACTGCCACTGGAACTGATGGTAGTGGAACTGGTGCAACTGGAGAAGCTACTGGAACTGATGGTAGTGGAACTGGTGATAACACTGCCACTGGAACTGAAGGTAATGAAACTGGCGACAACACCGCTACTGGAACGGAAGGTAATGGTACAGGTGACAATACCGCTACTGCAGGTCATGAAACTGGATATATTAATTCCACTGGAACTGAAGGCGAGTTTGAATCGGTTGAAACTGGTATCAGTTGGTCAACTGAAAGTGTTTGTTACACTACCAATACTGTGATTAATCGTGATGGTAGCAAGACTGGGGTTGTTATAGTACCAGTTCCATGCGAAACAAGTGAAGGTAATGATTCCACAGTAATAGCCACGACATCAGAGGACGATACATATAATTCTTCTGCCGGCACTGGTATTAATAATAGCAACCAAGGTAACGAAACTGATGAAGATACTGCTACGAGAACTGATGATTACCAAACAAGTGATGTGACTGGAACTCCAGGAAATGAAACTGGAAATGCTACCGGTACTGAAGGTAATCAATCTGGTGGTGATAGTGCCAGTGAAACGGGATCTGCCCAAAGTGGCAATAATAGTAGTACTGGCACTGAGGGTAATGAAACAGATACAGAAACATCTTGTGCTGAATCCACAGAATCATCTACTGAAACTAACGGTAACGAATCTGGCGTTGCAACTTCAACAGAAAACAATGGAACAACTGGTGTTGCTACTGGTACTGAGGGTAATGAGTCTGGTAGTACTGTTGCCACAACTAGTGAATCCAGCTGTGTTCCTTACAGTACTATCACCTTAGTTAACCAAGGTGGTCACACTGATTTGATTATCGTTCCTGGAGATTGTCCAACTACTCAAGTAACATTAACTACTGGATCAAGTGAGAAGGATCATGAAACATCTTCAAATGAAGCATCATCTACATCGACTGGTAATGGGTCTTCGGGCTTCGTCACCACTACTACTACAACTGACAATGAATCGTCTGGAGCTTATACGTCTACAGGTACTCAACCAACTGGCACAAATGGTGATGATGAATCCTCTGGTTCAAACACTGCTACAGGATACCCAACAACATATGAGGTGCCAACTCCAACAGAAGGCAGCAATGAACCTTCCACTGTTACGTCTACAACCAGTCAACCTACTACTTCTCCTCCTGTAGTTGTTGTTGTCGTTAATCGTTTTATGTGGTAGGGTGATATAATAGTTTTGGTCAATTTTTAATTAGAGAGATGGATGAAGTGAATCAATATTACCTAAATTTTGCTTATTGTAATTTGTTAAACAATTGGAATACCTGAATATGTATTATTTAAGTGGTATTCCGCATGGAATCTTTATACTGAAATATATGTTTTGATTTATATAAATCGATAATATTCGTAGAATGTAAATAATTTTGGACGAGGTTTTGAAGCCTAAATATTAACCGAGAATGTTAGAGGACATATTTGTTGTATTGTACAAAGCAAGATGCAGACTAATACCTCTCAGGGTAATACACGAGGTCTAACTGGATGAAATAGACTATAATGTGAGATTTCTGCGGGTAGGATTTATCTGCTGACTGGTTTTTGAGTGTAGCAACATTCACCATCAATATGCACTCTAGTTCTTATTGCTGTTGTGTGATTGCATGGAACCCTCTAAAAGTAACTCAAAATGGGTGGAATGGTATAGGTAGGTGTAAAAGAACTCCTTTTGGTCTAATACCGCTATTTATCTGGTAAGCAACAAAATGTTCTATGTTCCGTATCAGCCTATAGAAATTACTTCTAACCTACATGCGTGAATAAATCTTTGGGTTGAATCCCCCAGAACTTCAAAAGTAGAATATACTCCTAGAATCTCATTAAATATGGCTTGCCATGAAATTGAAAACACAAAATTTACCAATGAATGAGAAAATATTAATCATAACTGTATTGCTGAAAATAGTTTCTTGGACACCTATCCGTTTCACAATTGTGCTCATCTGGTAGCACCATGCCCCACGAGTCCGAGTCATCCCCCAAAAATCGTTTCTCATACCATCCTGCATATAATCACAGGCAATCATCACCAAAACAAATTTCATTTTTGAAATTGTTGCATTTTATCCAATTGACTCTGATTTAATTTAGGTATCCACAATGAGTGACAATACACGCCCAATCCCTGTTCCTAAAGTTCTAAATGCACTGAATCAAGATAGCATTGATCCCAAGGATGTGTCCGTGGAATCCAGCAAGACTGTTTCACCTTTGTCTCTTCTGTTGGGAGAACAATCTTCACTTGTTGACAGACTTCCACCTACTGCCAAAAGGATCAGTTCCAAATCAATGTCTTCTCCAGCCACTGAGCGGGCAATAGCGTCTATTGCCCCCATGTTGCAATCATTCACTCCCAAGACTTCTGCTGAAGATTCAGCATCAAGACTAAACTCTACTTCGGTGTCGTCTGGTAACAACAGTACCGAAAATGTCAATGAAGGAGAAAATGGCCCTGATACACTTACAGTAGAGAATCTTATTCAGAATACAGAACAACTCAAACTTGATACTGGTAAACTTTTCAAAACCATGTCCAATACATCAACAACTTCAAGAAAATCCGTATCTGTCAGTAAAGATGTGGTGAACACAGCCCCTACTTTGCCCAAGATAGGTAAGATTGGAGTATGTGCCATGGATGCAAAAGTGTTGAGTAAACCCTGCCGAAAGATTCTCAATCGTTTAATTGAAAATGGTGAATTCGATACCGTGATTTTCGGTGATAAAGTTATTCTTGATGAGCTGATTGAAAACTGGCCCACTTGTGACTTTTTGATTAGTTTCTTTAGTACTGGATTCCCATTAGATAAAGCTATTTCCTATGTAAATTACCGTCAACCATATTTCATCAACGATTTGGTGTTTCAAAAGGCATTCTGGGATAGAAGAGTGGTTCTTGCCATTTTAGAACATGCTAATGTCCCAACCCCTAAACGTCTTGAAATTAGCCGTGACGGAGGTCCACATTTAGATAACCTTTTATTAACTAAGATGAAAGCTATAGGTATCTCAGATGATTTCTTGGAAAAGTTAACCAATCAAGCTGAACCAGATTGGGAAATGGTTGACGAAGATACTCTTCGTGTTGGTGACCAAGTTCTTGAAAAACCATTTGTGGAAAAACCAGTCGATGGTGAAGATCATAACGTGTATATTTACTATCCTAAGTCTACTGGTGGTGGTGGACGTCGTCTTTTCAGGAAAATAGGTAACAAATCGTCAGAATTTGATCCTAATTTGACTAGCCCAAGAACGGAAGGTTCATACATCTATGAAAAATTTATGGATACTGATAACTTTGAAGATGTTAAGGCATATACTGTCGGACCTGAGTTCTGCCATGCAGAAACGAGAAAGCTGCCTGTTGTTGATGGTATCGTTAGAAGAGACACTCACGGGAAAGAAATTAGATATATTACCGAATTAACTCCAGAAGAAAAAACCATTGCTCAAAATGTTAGTTCTACTTTTAAGCAAACTGTATGTGGGTTTGATTTACTTCGTGTGAATGGGAAATCGTATGTCATTGACGTGAATGGGTTCTCATTTGTTAAGGATAACAATGAATATTATGACATGTGTGCCAAGATTCTTCGTGATTTATTCATTGAAGCCAAGAAATCTAGAGATTACCTTAAGACTACTATTCCACCTTCCACGAAATTACTTCACAAATCTCAATTTGAAGAAAAGGAGCAAAAATGGAGATTCAAAGGTATGGTCAATATTATTAGACATGCTGATAGAACACCTAAACAAAAGTTCAAGTATTCTTTCAGATCTCCATTATTTATTTCCTTATTAAAGGGCCATCTTGAAGAAGTTATCATTAGAGCTGTGCCTGATTTACAAGTTGTTTTAGAGACTGTGAAGATTGCCATTGATAAACAATTGGAAGATTTAAAGAAGTTGAAACAATTGCAAAATGCTCTTGAAAAGAAGATGAATTTCCCAGGAACAAAGATCCAAATTAAACCTTCATTGAACAAGGAAAATCCTGAAATTGTTGATAAAGTCCAACTTATTTTGAAGTGGGGTGGTGAAGCAACCCATTCAGCAAGACACCAAGCTATTGATGTCGGTGACCAATTACGTCAAAATATCAAATTACTTAATCGTGATGCCCTTAAAGAAATCAAGGTGTACACTTCTTCTGAGCGTCGTGTGATCACCAGTGCTCAATATTCCACCATGGCCTTGCTTGGTTTAGACCCTGAAACTGAAACTCTTGCTGATGATTTCCTTATTGTGAGAAAGGATTTGCTTGATGATTCCAATGCTGCGAAGGATCTCATGGATAAGGTTAAGAAGAAGCTCAAGCCCTTGCTTAGACAAGGTGCCGAAGCACCACCTCAATTCACCTGGCCACCTAAAATGCCACAACCATTTGAGGTTATCAAGCGAGTTGTAGAGTTAATGAATTTCCATCAACAAATCATGAATTACAATTTTGAAACTAAAGATGTTCAAGAATTCCAGACCAACTGGTGTTGTGGTGAAGACCCGTTCTTGTTTAAGGAAAGATGGGATAAATTATTTCAAGAATTCATCAGTGTGGAAAAGACTCATCCCTCCAAGATTAGTGAATTGTATGACACAATGAAATACGATGCCTTGCACAACCGTCAGTTCTTACAAAAGGTGTTTTCATTTGATCCTAATGATGAAACTTTATTGACTAGATTGAGAGAAACTTGTGGAGATACAGTCAATTCCTCAGGTTTAGTCAGTGAATATCCTATCAATATCCTTGCCATGAATAATTTCAAAATCCCAACCCAAACTGCCACTGTTCCTACATCAACTTCAGCTGGTTCGCTAGGCTGGGTTCTTCGTGAGGCTAGTAATTGTGCCCATGAACCCAGCACCCAAGAATCATCATCACCTACAAAATCTCCAACTTCAAGCAAAGCCCCACAAAACCCATTTGATCATCCAACCTTTGCCAGACTCCGTGAACTTTATCGATTATCCAAGGTATTATTCGACTTTATATGTCCGCAAGAATACGGAATCAAATCCGAAGAAAAGCTTGATATTGGTCTTCTTACTTCATTGCCGCTTGCCAAACAAATCCTTCTGGATATCCAAGACATGAAGAAACATCCTAAATCCGCCGCTGTGGTCAACTACTTCACCAAGGAATCACACATCTACACCTTGCTTAACGTAATTTATGGCTCGCAATTACCCATGAAGATTGCCAGAAATGCCCTTCCTGAATTAGACTACCTCCTGCAAATCGCATTTGAATTGTATGAGGCTGATGATCCAACTAGTTTATTCGGAAAGAAGCATTCTATTAGATTATTGCTTTCTCCAGGTTGCCACACTCAGGATCCATTGGATGTGCAATTGGACGACGATCATTATATTGGATGTATTCCTCGTTTGAGTTTGACGAGACATTTGGACATGGATATGGTTACTCAACGATTGAAGTCGAGATTCACCAGAGTTAGTTTACCAAAGACTTTTACTCCTGTAAATATCCTGAGTCCTGTTGTTAATCCAAAAGATAATTAAATTTATAGATGTATAAACTAGTTCCTATCAATTTGTAATATAAATCGTGCAAAGTTACGAATCTACATGTAAGCTCTATAACATACATATTATTAAATACAAACAAACAAATCGAATAAGTTATATAATTAGTTAAAGCATCATAACAATCAATAGTACCACGTATCGATCATCAAACGCCTTTTATTTTAAAAAGTTTTCAGCTTAATTAAGCCTTTTCATAAGATTCCCAGTTCTCAAGAATCTTTTTAATCTTCTCAGAACCAGTTAATTCATATACATCTTGGAAGTATTCTTTGGTCAACTCAAATGGCTTAGCAGTCAAGTTAGGAATATACTTGCCAATCAAATCGTTAGGCTTGACACTGCTCTTTGGAATCTTCTTACACAAGAATCTTTGGAATGGCTTGACACCACTTCTCAAATATGAACTGTGGAATGGAACGGAAATACCCTTCAATGGAATAACGGCAAATCCTCTTTCCAAATCAATTGGTTGTGGCTTGGCAATGGACTTCTTGGAACACTCATCAATGATTTCCTTCAAGTGTTGTTTAACTTCTTCCAAACTCATCATCGATTGTAACTTAACAATATCAATCTTGTTTAATTTAAGGACATTCAAAACATTGGTTAAAGTATCCAAAGATCTCAAGTCACCAGCAGCAACATATTGTTGGTTTTCAACGTTATAATTCACAATTTCCAATAACCAGCCGGTAACAGTGGCAACTTCATCAACAACAAATCTTAAAGCAGCATCATTGAAAGTAACACTGACACGACTTGGGTTAATAGCACACATACCATAGTTGGATCTACCCAATTCATCTCTTGGAACAGCAACTTGCATAGTCATACCTCTGTAAAAGACAACATCAACCAAGGATTCAATTGGCATGACATTAGCCAAGGAAGATAAAGCAGAGTATTCACCAAGAGAATGACCAGCAAACATGATATCACTTGGAATTAAACCCTTGCTCTTGATATCTTCATAAGCAGCTTTTTCCATCAAGGTCAAAGCAGGTTGAGTGAATTGAGTAGCAGATAATAACCCAGTTGGAGAAACAAAAGTGTAACTAGTAGTGGTTTCATCAATATCTTTGAAAATCTTTTCGGACTTCAATTCACCATCTTCACCAATAGTTTCAAACATCATAGTTATATAGTTTTCTCTAATCTTTCTACCCTTGGCACCACCAAAGTGAATAGTCAATTCGTTAGGATTGTTTTGAACAATGTCCAAAATGGAGAAACCATAGTGGTTGACGAAATGGACATCAGCCTTGTCCCAAACTTCTCTGGCAACTTCAGAAGAGTTGTACAAGTCCATACCCATACCTTGTTCTTGGGAACCTTGACCAGTGAAAACATAAGCGGTGATTGGCTGTTCAATTTCGGCTTCACCAATCAAAATAACAGAGTCAGTTTCAACATTCTTAGTTTCAACCTTGATGATCTTTCTACCGTTAATCATACCAATGTGTTCCAAAGTGGTTTGTAAAGTGTCATTTGGCAAAACCATACCGACAAAGTCACACTTGAAGGCTCTGACTCTAGCAGCAACATTGTTGGCAGCCCATTGTTCAACCAAGGCTCTGATATTAGCACTGGAGTACATACCGTGGGTAATAGTACCTGGTAACTTAGCATAAGCAGCGAAAACACGGGAAACATGGATAGGGTTGTAATCACCAGAAACAATAGCATAAGGTTCGTTAGTGGATGGAGCCTTAGAAGTCAATTCTTCACCAGAAGAAATTGGAATGACATTTTCAAACTTGACAGCTTCTTCAATAGTCTTACCATTTCTTTGCAAGTAATCAGTGACTGGGTTACCATAAGAAACACCAGCTTCGTAATCGACTTGACCAACTTGAACAACTTCCTTGGTTGGCAATTCCAAATAGATTTGACCGGTGGTCTTGATGCTGGAGTAAACATCGGCAGTCTTGAACTTGTAAGTGGATTCACATCTAAAGGTCAAAGTTTGATTCAACAATTCAACATCTTGTTCCAAGTGGAACCATTCCTTGGATCTTAAAACAGCCAAGTCCTTGGAGTTCTTTAAAGAAACTTGAACTGGAGTTTCAGTGACCTTTTGGAAAGTGTTTTCATAATCAGTGTAATCACCACGGTACAAGAATTGAGAAGTAACTTCCATGACTGGCTTACCTTCACGGTAAATAGTACCAACAACTTCAACTTGTTTACCACTGGCTTGGTTAACAACACGTTTAATTTGAGCCTTAGTAGAAACAATATCATCCTTCTTCAATGGAGCAGCACCAGGAATCATCTTGTAACCGTTGGACAAGTGGACCAACTTCAAAAGATCACCATCAACAGTCTTTGGGAAGATAGCCTTAATGATAGCTCTCCAACCAATAACAATAGCAAAATCCATAGGAGCCAAAGTAACCTTACCATGACGGGTAACAAAGGCATCACAGTTGTTACCAATAGCGTGGGTAAATTCAGCAATATCTTGACCTGTAATAGTAACTTGTTCACCTTCAATAGTTTCTTCGACATCAATGTTCAAGTCATATGGTACATCATTACCAAACCATAACTTCCAGTAGAATTCCTTAATTCTGTCATTTCTACCAGTCATAACTTCCAAGATTGGAGCAAAACCATCAGCTGGGTTGTAGTTGTACAAGAATGGCAAGGCAACTGGAGTACCATCAGCAGTTCTGTGTTCAATCAAGTTCAATTGGATAACATTACCCTTGGTCAATTGGATTTCAACAACTGGCTTCAAGTCACCCTTGACATTCTCATAACCAACCAATTTCTTTTGAGATCCAGCACCAACAATTTCAACACGGGAATGAACAACTGGTTTCAAAATATCGTGAACTTGGTTACCGATGTGCTTAGAGCCTTGAACAATTCTATCAGTTGAGATAAAAGCCTTCAACCAGTCCAATTCAGAACCAGCTAATAATCTTAACCAAGCATCGTGTTCAGGAACATTGGAAGCAATTTCATAAATGGTCTTGTCACCAACAGTAGAAATCTTGACATTTTCAACAACAGTTTCAACAGGGGCAGTAGAACCACCGAAATATTCAACAACTGGAATCTTGGTAGCGTCGTTGGCATATTCGTCCTTAATCAACTTGGCAATGTGGCCTTCGTGAATAGAATCCAAAATTTCACCAATAGGTTCGTTAACCTTGTTGGTGAATTGAGCAGCAACTGGACCGTGCAAGATACATGTTCTTTGAACATCTTCATCAACGACAGTTTCCAAATCTTCAGATTGCCACAAAGAGTCCTTCTTGAAAAAGAATTCAAAACGGTCATCCAAAACAGGGACAAATGGAGCTGGCTTTTGGGTTGGTCTGGAACAACACATCAAGAAGAAATCACAATCTTCTTCCGAAATCAATTGTTGCTTAGCTTGTTCAAACTTGTTGAAGAAATCATCAGTAAATTGTTGTGGAGAAGTTTGTAATTGGTTGTAATTTTGAATTAAAGAAACAGCACCAGAAGCAGTAGTAAATCTTTCTTCGACTCTTCTCAAGAAATCCCCGAAAAAGTTTCTCAAGGAAACGTCAATCCATCTTTGGGACTTCTTAACATACATTAATTCAATTAATCTGTTGGCAACTTCTTGGTAAGTCATATCTTGCAAGTCACAAACACCTTGGGCATTCTTACCAAACCAAGGTTTTTGGAAATCCTTGTTCAATTTATCAATAATGTAATCCTTCTTCTTGTTCAAGATTTCCAATTGCTTGTTCTTTGGTTGGGTGAAAATGGTGTCATCCAATTCCTTCCACAACATCACACCTCTAGTGGCAATCTTATGGATTGGTTCACCCATTTCAGATCTAACAGTGATAATACCACCAGTTGGCTTCTTATATGTCAATTCCCACTTATCATCAGAAACACCCTTACAAGTGGCAATCAATTTCTTAGCTTCTAAAGAAGTTTCAGCTTCCTTGGCAGTCATAACTCTGGAACCAAACAAGATACCATCAAATGGCATGGCTGGGTAGTTGTATTCATTAGACCAAGAACCAGTCAAGTATGGGTAAGTGTCTTCATCGGAACCAAAACCAGAACCAGCAACCAAAACAATGTTGGAACATCTTCTGATCTTGGAGTACATTTGTAAAATAGGTTGATGGAAATCTTCAAAAGAATGGTGACCACCACCTCTACCACCAGTCCATTGCAAGACGATTGGGAAGTTTGGATGAGCCTTTGCAATAGTAATAACTTGAGAAATGGCATCAATAGAACCTGGCTTCAAACCCAAGTGAGTCAATCCTAAAGTTTCAATATATTCAGTGGCAACTTCTAATGAAGGAACACCAGCACCAATGGTCAAAGATTGAATTGGGTAACCCTTGTCTCTTAATTCTTTAATCAATGGAATACCCCATTGCAACATTCTTGGGTTAACGTAAATCAAGTTAATACCTAAACCGTAACCTGGCTTGATGTTTTCAACAATTTCATCAATAGCTGCAGTCATACCTTGAGGAGCAAAATAACCACCACCAGCTAATTCAATGTGGTAGCCAGCATTCAAAGAGGCAATAATAGTCTTTGGATTAACGGTGGTTGGTGTCATACCTGGAACCATTAATGGAGCTCTACCTAATAATTGGGAAAACTTGGTCTTGACGAAAACCTTACCATTGTGAGCAGTCTTGACTAAAGTTGGCTTGTATTCATTCAACCAGTTTGGAGCCCATTTGATTTCGTTATCGGCAGAGTGATGAAAGATTTCTTGCTTGAAACCATATTCATCATCAATTGGGTTAGAATCAAGGGCACCAGCAACAATAATTCTAGCACCGGTACCTTCCTTGTTTCTGTGGGTCAAAACACCTAAACCAGAAACACCACCTGGACCGAAATCTAAAATGTGGGTAGATTGGAATTTAGTAGAAGTTTCCCAGTGGACAGCCAATTCAGTGATACATTTGACGATTCTACCAACTAAAGTTTCACCATTTTCAACAAAGTCTTGGAAGTTTGAACCATCAAAAGTATCGAAAACAGGAATTTTCAAATCAGAAACTTTAAAGTTCAAGTTTTGTTGACTGACATCTTCCAAAATAGTTTCAGTGGCATCAGCCAATAAATGGGAGTGGAATGGAGCAAAGATTGGCAAGAATCTGTTGGAACACTTCAATTTACGTTCGCTGAATGGAATTCTGGATTGATCTAATCCATTTGGAGCCTTTTTATTTCTCAAGTTCAAGTTGAAACCATACAAGGATTCGGGAGGACCAGAAACAACCAAGTTTCTAGCACCATTAACTAAACTGATAGCAATGTGCTTTTCTTGAGGCAAGTGGGAGTTGGTTTGTTTGATGAATGCTTCAACTTGTTCAATGGTTAAATCTCTAACTGACAACATTGGAGATGGTCTACCTTCACCGTGATCTAAAGAATCTTGCAACATGGTTGGTGGTAAAGTAGTTCTTGGATAAGTGATTAAACATCTGGCACCAATGTAGAATAACAAGGAGGTAGCCTTGATGGAGTTTTCCAAGAATGAATCCCAAGAGTCAGAAGAAGCAATGGCAACAGCAGTAACTAAACCTTGAGAGTGACCAGTAGAACCAATAAAGTATTTTCTGAATTCGCCTGGAGTTAATCCCAAGACTTTACAAGTGATAGCATAATGACATAATTGGATAATACAAATGACTGGACACGAAACTGGAACGGATAACAAATAGTCTTGATCAGGGGTGGTTTCTGGGTGTCTTAACCAAGACAAGATATTTAAACCTTGAGTGAAAATCTTGTCCAAAGAAGAAGAATCTTGCTTAACCAACTTGTTCAATTGGGTAGTGATTGGAACAATCAAGTCATCGTAGATCAAATCACCATAAACCTTGTATAATTCACGTAATTCTTCGAAATAGTCATCAGTGTTACCTTGACCACCGAAAATAGCAGCTAATTTAGCATCACCCTTGTGGGCTTGGTAAAGCAAGTTAGATTCAATCTTGTCAATCTTGGTGTTAGACTTGATGATAGCTTGGTAGTAGTTCTTGATAATGTTATCCTTGATCTTGGTTGGAGTGGTTGGGTAAACAACATCGTCACTTAACAAAGTAGCGGCAAACGAGTGAATGTTTTCATTGTTTGAATCCAAGAATCTTGAGTTGAAATCTTGCAAGGACAACTTCAAGATTTGGCCAACAAATTCCTTATCGGCATAAGAAGCAATGAAACCCAAGAACTTGGCATATAATTCAGCAGGGGAACTTGGTTCGTTGTCATCAGCAAAACCTTCAGTTGGTTCAGGCAAAGTCTTTGTGAATTCTTCCTTTAATTGGGAGTAGTTGAAGAACAATTCATTTGGAACTAAAAGGGTATGTTCGATAGAACCATGGACTAATTGGAATGGTCTATGAGAAGAAGTAGATGTAGTCATTGTAAAAGTATTAGTAGTAGTAACGAATTAACAAAAGTGTAATAAATAGTAGTAAGTAAGGGATATCTCTTTTTATATATGAAATCAGCTATAAATGTGGTACTTAGTTGATTTTGCAGTTAAAGAAATAAATCTATGATCTGTTGGATGGATTGATTGATTGTTGGATTAATTCGATTTGTTGAATGGATTCGTTGAATACTCTTCAATAGAAAAAGAAGAAAGAAGAAAGAAAGAGGAAAAGATTTACTTTCGTGTTGTAAAAAGATCCAAAGGTTTTCCGTTTTATAAAAATTCACCAAAAAAAAAATAATTTTTTTTTGTGTTATCTGCTGCCATAATTAAGAAAGAAATTGTTGTGAAAAAAAAAAATCAACAAAATTTTTTTCGCTATATTTTTTAGGCGTTTTTTCCAACGTTTCTTTTTCAGGTGTAGCCTGGAGATAGACTGAGATACCAGATGTAGTTTTACTTATAACAGAGGCGCCTTGAAATATACGGATATGTAGGGTAGGCAGGATGAGACCAGGAAACAGAAATTTTTACATTTTACTGTGAAATTTGTATTGAATACCTCTAATTTCCGCTGGTGATACGTCTAACATATGTCAAATTCTGTCTGACTTAAAGCTCAACAAGGCTAATCAGCCATAAGCACAAGCTCAAAAATATCAAAAGTTTATCCAACAATATCCTTCTTGCTTCCTACACCATACTTAATCTTTAAACACATGCTGCAATACAAACAATCGACCCATGAGGGTAGATGAGGAATGGACTAAGTGGTTAATTTTAGTATTTTTTTTTTTTTTGCAACAATAGTCAAAAATATTTTTCTTTTTTTTGTTTTTGTTCGTTCTGTCGGGTGGAAATTGTTGGTGCGTTTACACAACGTACTTTTTTTTGTTGTCTCGGAGTTTTTATTTTAAACGGTTGAATCCTGCGTATAACTTAGACGCACTTTAACCATGCATTTGTATACAGGAAAGTCCCAACAAAAATTTCTGTTTTTTAATTTTGTATTTCAATAATTTACCACTTACACACACACAAGCCCCATCGAATAACAGTTGGGCTAAACGTTATAGCGACAAATTTGGGTCAGAAATTATCATTCCCGAGTTTCCTGTATACAACAGAAGCTTGGTGTACAACGTTTACAATACACATGCTGTTGGTTTGGCCCAAATAATCAGATTACTAAGATTGCTAATCACCAAAAGTTACAGCCACACATGGAATTATCTCCGGTTTGTACCCAAGAAAGTTTTACCATCAAACCCTACAATTTTGCCACTGTACATGTGATCTCCTTATATCCGGCGACTCTATGTGACAAACTACGTAGACATACTAAGATATTACTGCCACGTCAGGCCAATTTCCTGGTCTCTATTCCTTTAAAGTTTCACCTATTGGCTTATTGTAAACGAAACTACAATTGACTTATGTACGTCTTCATAAGTCCCTACTGTAAATCTACTGTGCACTTTTTGATCGCTATTGTTTTATTTTCTGGGTACTCTTTTTTTTTTTTTTTTTTGTTTTTTTGCAGTCGTAAGAAATCGTTTGAGCTACTAGTGTTTTATCTGGTTGCTCGTCAAATAAGGAAATTCCGGGTGAGACATAACGTCATTGTATGGGTACCACTTGTGTATTATCATTAAAGTGCTACAGCTTTACCTTCTAGTTTAAGATGTCATATTTTATCAAAAATTTCCACAAATTTCTAACAAAACTTTTGCAATATTAATTTCTATATACAGATCTACTTCTTACCTGGTGGCAATGCTAAAACATTATTAACTTGTTTTGGGAATTCTCTTACAATAATTTCACATTTAACTTCCTTACACAAATCCTTCTTATTAAAGTAAGGCACTTTATGTAACAATTCCAACCCACTACTCTGTTCCACAGCTTCAATAGGAACCTGGAATTGAGTCAACGGAGTATTGTTATCAATAACTTCATTAGGCAAAACAAATGCAGCACAACTAATCTTTTCCTGGCCTCTGTTTTCACCAACAATCAACTTATAGAAATGAGTAGGAACAGCAATATTTGGTGGTGATCCAATAACTTCAAATTCCACTCTAAATTTCCCATCGGGACCTTTCTTAGGCAAGTACAATGGACCAGTCATGACTCTTACATCATCATACTTCTTGGTCAATCTTCTGGCAAAATCTTCAAAATGACTCCAGTAATCCCGATTGAATCCATCACCTACTTGTGGTGACATATTAGTCAAGTAAAAAGTTTCATCCATAGCATCTTGGTTGAATTTGGCATCGGCGGCAGGTGCTAAATGACCACGATCATACCCACTACGGAAATAATCTCTTAATCTCCCTCTGAATTTAAATGGAATGCTTTCATCTTCTTTAAACACGGATTTTTTACGATCCCCACTGTTTCCGTTACGTGCAATGGACTCTTTGGTTAAATGCTCAACCACCCAATAAGGATTCTTGAATTGACGATCATAACAACTGACGAATTCACTACGGTTAGCTAAGTCGTGAATAGGACCTGGGAATCCATATTTGAAGAATGATTGAGGGTTGATAGTGGATGGATCAAACACGTCTTTGCCAGGTGGTGAGTATGGCACAGGAAGGTTGGAATCTCCAGTAGGAGTAGATGGAGGAGTTGGTACTTGTGATTTACCCCAAAAGTAAGAGGCAATACCGATGGATCCTATTCCAAATGTGTTTAACAAGTATTTACTCATGGCTTGTCCTGATGTAATATAAAGTTGTGAAAATTTCGGGTAATTTTTCTTTTTTTTTTTATCGATTTTTTTTTTTCGATTGGTGAGATCGAGCGATGTCTCTGAATCCCCAGATTAGCACTTTCTAGCACTTACAAGAGATATATACTTGGTCATATCAGAAAAGAATGTCAAATATATAGTAAACCAAATTGAAACACGTGTAAATAATCTTTTTTGGTTGCAAATTGATGTATTTCATCAACCTACAACATTCCATTGTTTACATCCATGCCTCACCACACAACTGGTGCGCTCTTCAAAACAAACAGATTAAAGTCATTAAATGCTGTAACCTCAAACTTACCCTCCGATCGGGTGACTTCATACTGAATACTAGATATTACAATGTGATGTAAATGAGGAAACTTCAGCACGTCACTATTCAACATTTGTTCTACTCTAGCTTGATAAGTTAGGAGATTTTCCTTAAACCTTGGTGGAGTGATTCTTTGGAAATCATCAAGTGAAAAAGTGTAGTATACATGACTAGCAAACATAACGCGTTCGAGTGTTTGCTCATGTTTCTCAATAATCTTTTGTAATTTCACTGGTAGTATGTCAACCGGGGCGATTGCTAAACTTTTCAAAGTGCCACTTTGGACTAAACCAAGCAACTCATATACCAATTCCAGATTTTTTAATACCATACTTAGATGCTTTAAATTAGTCAAGCTTGAAAATAACCATTCAAATGGCTTCCCATTCAATTCCCAAGTGGGAGATTCTAATTCCAAACTAGTTACTTCGTCCAATTTAACCACTTTAGCCAAAGTTTCAAAGGTTAGCTCCTTAGGTAATGTAAATTCCAACGATAATCGTTTTACCTTCAATGGCTGGTGAAAGTTTGATGTCATGGTAAGAAATTCCTCCTGAGCCCGAACCGTTTTAATTTTCAAAGTTTCAAGCCCTTTCAAATACGGAATAGTGGCCCAATCAATCTCGTCAATGCACACTGGCGAAATATCAAGGCTTAATTCTTTTACGGTATAATTATCCTCCAAGGGAACATGAATAAATGAAGGAATAGCTATATGAGTCAATAAATCAATCTCTCTCATCCCCAACAATGTCTCCGAATCCATCCAAAATTTCAATTTAAGCTCCGAATTAAATATATAAATCAGTTTAATATTATCAACCAACTCCTTGCGTTGCTCCACAAGCTTTCTAAACAGATCATTGGAATTGAGAATGGTATTTCCACAATGGAAATCAGAACATATTTCCCGATCAATCAATATTTCAGCACGATGACCAAAGTTCAAATAAATTGAACAGTATAAACTCGCAACTGTCAAGTTATACAATTGCTTATTGACTAACATCAATGCCATTTTCTGTTTCTGATTGAGACTACGTAAGATGATTGGAAATACATCCTCGGGTAGATCAAGAATCAGAGTCATTTATATGTCAAATGTTGTAACCTATGGCTATCAGATCATAGTTGACCCTTTTTTTCTAAAAATAAAGTTGTGGGGAGAAAGTTACCAATGCGCTACCAAACACCAAAACCCTGTAGGTTTTTTTTTTTATAGATATGCTCTATGAAGTTGCACTCTTGGGTATTCCATTTTGGAACTATTACTTTTTTTGCGTTACTTCATTTATAATTGTAAAAAAGTTCTTATTTTTTTTGACCTATTTTGTTTTGATTGAAATATGAAATCAGGGATGGTAAATAGCCTACCTAAGTCTATCAAACTATTTTTAAATTCATCAAACAGATTTTTACATAAATATTCTGATTTTGGAAGAGAACTCTAGTAGTTAAGCGGGTTAACTTTGAAACTAGAATTTGAGCGAGATATTTCATAATCACAACCATAAACAATTATATTAGATAATTGGGGATACCTCGACGTATCATCTCCCAAGAATCCAGCTATCATGCTTTCATAAGTTAGCCTGCGATCGTTATCTTTTTCTGTTACTTTGAAAATTCGATCAAGGTAGTTGAGGGTAAAGTCAATGTTGCATCTTCCAATAAATAGCTGTTCAATTGTTTGCTCTTGTTTCTTGACCTGCTCCCAAACTTCAGATGGAGTAAAATCCTCAGAAAGAATGACTAATCTACTCAATGTGTTCTCCATAATGAGACTACACACATTGTGTATATTCTTGGCCATATTCGAACGCACTAAAAAACTGTTTAGATTGGGTAAATGTGCAATCAACCAGTCAAAATAGAGTTGTTGAACAACTACGTGTAACACATTATCTATGAATAATTCTAGGCTGGTCACTGCATCCAAGTTAATGATATCAATTAAACATTCGAATTCTGGATGATTGAGTAACAGGAATTGTAGTGATAAACATGTGATATTTAGGCAATGGCTAAATTTAGACTTTATTAATGTTAATTCATTTCCCCAAACCATTTGGAATTTTATTCTTTGTAGACGTTTTAAGTAAGGAATAATTGACAAATCAAGCTCATCAACAAACGTATCGCACAATGGAATTACTATACTTGTAATAGTATAATCGTCATTTTCAAGAACTGGTGGCGAAGGAAGAAAATACTTTATTATCAAAGCAAGGAATGCAATTTCAATTCTATCATAACTGTGAAGGTGATAACCCAAATATAACTTTTCAGGGCATAATTGAATCCAGTCATATTTCTTTGCATTCCAAAGTGTAATATAATAATTGTATGTCTCATAATTCTGAACCACAATCAATTTTACATGCTGCAACAATTCATTGCGTTGATTCAATAGCTTTAAACCACATTGGGTAACAGTGTACTTGCAGTTAAACGAAGTACAGATGTCAGTATTGATTAGAATACCCATTTCAACATAGATTAATTGATATAACCTTTTAACAGCAACATGATACATTCTCTTATTGGTTAACATTAGAGACATTTTATGTTTCTGATTAACATATGACAAAATGATGTTGATTATTTCATCCGGCAAGTTAAAAATTGTAGAAGCTTTATTTTTTGAAGGAATACAAGGCATTAGGATGATGTAGTGGTTCCATTGATGGAGATAATTTTCCAACCAGATTTGTTGAGTTATATGTTTAAAAATTTTAGGAAGTTATGCTAAGACAATAATTTCCTAAACTTTCAAATTGTGGGATGGTGGGGAGATCACATTTGGTTTGCATTTTGTTTTGCAACATAAATATACTTTCAGTTACAACTATTACCATTTCTTAAAATGTATTTAATATGTCCTTTCTCTCAGTTACATGGTGATTCTATATAGAAGATAAATACTAGAAATATCCTCTAGAAATTGATCAAAACCAAATTAAATTCAACGCCAGGCTGCTTTTCAACTCGATAATGACATTTGGATATAACAATATAGAGGAAACCTATTTGTATCCGTACCTAATAATTTAATAACTATTTGCTCATAATTTTTATGCAAATCCAAATCATGCTGAAATTATCGACAAATCCAATCAAATTCACCAACAAGCGTAAAAACAGGAACAAAATCAAGCGCCATGAAAATCCATTCAAGGGATTTCTCATGTTTCCAACTTAATTTTGGAATTCCCAATGCACTGCTATGTTTATAGGAACCAAATGACAAACTGGCTAAGGTGTTCTGGCTGTCCATGGAAAATAATCTGCATGGGTCAGCTGTTGTAAACAGACATGATAATAAATACAAATGTCTCAAAGTTGTCAAGTTTTTGAATAGCCATTCTAATTGTTCCTCTGTTCGATCATCAAGGGTAGGTGGTCTTAAAATTCCAACAATATCATTTCTTCCAATTTGAATACATTTTCCAAGTCTGTGAAATCAATGTTAATGATTTCTTCATTAAATTTCAATGATTAACAATTAAAGGTTGAGTGATTTTAGAAGTTAAGAATCTAAATTCATCAGCAAAAATCTCTTTCATATTAACAGTGTTGAGTCTATTTAAATATGGAATTATTGATAAATCATATTTGTTAACCGAATCAGGTAATAGAAGAGTCATACTGGTTATGGTATAATTCTCCTCTTTGGGGGATGGTAATGTTGTTGGGAAATTTGAGATTCAGACATCAACCTCAACTCTACTTGACAGATTTTCTGAACTTAATCGTATCCAGTCGTAGTTCATCTCTATAAATACTGTTCTGAAAACTAAAATGTTTGAGTCCTTCAGTAACATAATCAATCCAATGTGCCTGGCTAAATGTTTGCGTTCAACGAGTATTTCAAGAATGGTAACAGTATTATTGATAATGGAGCATTTACAATTGAATTCATTGCACACTTCAGTATTAATTAATAAAGGATCATTAGAATTCACATAGACCTTTTCATATAAATTTCAAACAGCCATTTGATACAATTGCTTATTCATCAACATTATTGCAAATTTATGCTTCTGATTAAGCTGACTCGTTATTTTGTTAAAGATATCATCGGGTAATCCCTCTTCTGTGTGTGATTGGTTGTCATTAGTTGCATGATAGGAGTCTTATCAATTGAAAACTTGTTCACCCTCTACAAGTTTATAGATCAAAATACTGAGATAATATGCACGATTTACTGATTGAGAAATCGGATGTGTGCTTGTCCTAATCAATTGGTGCCTGATATATTGTAAGGTTGTCGGTGTTTAGGTTAACTAATTATTTGGTAGCGTCCAAAACTTTACTATAACAAACAACATATAAATTCATTCTATTCCTAAAAATATACTCTTTGTATAAAAAGGGAGAAACATCATGATATTTATATTCAACTCCATATAGTACTATTATATGGAATTCCATAATTTTAGGCAGTCTCTCATTCGTCAGAGCCCACTCTGACTAGAATTCTGCCTTGCAATGAAACTATTTTTCTCATTTTCATCTAAAATTCAAACATTTACACACAATAAATTAAACTGGGGAAGTTAATTGATTGCCTGATTGAGAAATAGACGCCATTAAATAGAATTGATGCTTTGTATCAATTCATTGGTCTTTATAACTCATCTCTCTTAATATTTTATGATGTAGAGAAGTTGCAAGAATATGCTTCAATCTAGGGAACTCATGCGTATTATTCTCTAAAAAGTCAAAAAATTCCTTTTCATATTCAGGAACACGAGAATAATATGCAATGTCAGAAACATTACCAATTTAATATGTTTCAATAACCGTTTTCGTTGTTTAATTAGCTCAACTACCTCAGTAGTATTAACAATTGTGGTTTTGCAATTGAATGAGGAACAAATGACAGTGTGAAGTAACAAAGGTAAATTTAAATTCATGTATACGAACTTTTATAAAGCTTTTACAGCGAAGAAACACAATAGTCTATTTATCCACATTATAGCAAGCTTGTACTCTTGATTAAGATAATATTACTTGAATGGTATAATCATGTGTATCCATAAGTGTGTTCATTTAATTTAATGGTAAATATGCTGTATTTAGTGGGAATTTGATTTATCAAAAGATCTACTTGAATTAACAAGTTATTCATTTTTAGGAAATTATTTGACGAACATTGCTTCAAAAAATATGTCAATGCGTTTTAGTATGCAATGTTCCAGAATATAAGGTTAAACTTTTGGCAGTAGCTTACTTGTATGTGTAATATTTACGGGTAATACGTGTAATCTTTTACATAACTTTAGCTGGGGGGAGGAGGTTTTTTTTTTTGTAACAACATTACAAAACTATTGTCTTCGTTTTCAAAGATTAACGTTTTATTGTAAAGACTTGAATAAGGAAATAAGATACAAGCGGTAAAAGTTTTTTTGTTTCAGATCAGTGTATCAAGTTATATTTGCATCTTTGGAAAAATACTCGTTACTTAACGACCTAAATCACACTTGCTACTATATTTAGTAAGTTTTGATGCGATTTACCGAATTGGGGAATAGTAAAAAATCACAGGATTCTTGTTTACAACCTTGGCGACATTACCCTCCTAAGTATATCTCCGGCTCTTGGTATAGCAAGCATATTATCTTCTGTGCATAGATAAGACCTCGGACTTACTAGGTTAGGTATTACTTGACAATGTGTGTTAAAAAAAAATCGTGCTACTTTTGCAACCATCCTTCATTCATTTAAGAAGAGATGCCTGAAGGAAAACTATAAAAAGGAAAAGTTCTGATCTCAACCTTTCAACCTATTTAACACGTATCATATATATGTAGAAAAATGACCACAACTACAGTGTTTATTTCTGGTGCTAATGGGTACCTTGCTCAGCATATAATCAAACAATTGCTAGTAAAAGGATACAAAGTCATTGGATCAGTTAGATCCCATGCCAAGGGAGAACAGCTAACTAATTCAGTCAAGGATGAAAATTTTTCCTACATAGTTATTCCAATAATTACTCATAAGCATGCATTCTATGAAGTGCTTCTAAAACATCCAGAAATAACAGTGTTCTTACATACCGCTTCACCAGTAACATTTGAAGTTGAAGATAATGAGAATGACCTACTAAGACCTGCGATTGATGGAACAATCAGTGCATTAAAAGCAATAAAGAGATACGCACCACAAATGGAACGGGTAGTAATTACAAGTTCTGCTGGAGCAATATTTGGATTTAATGAATATTTTGATAGTGACACAGTTTATAATGAAGATAGCTGGAGCCCTCTAAGCTACGAACAAAGCAAGAATACCAGTGCAATAAATGGATACTTTGGATCTAAGAAATATGCCGAATTAGCCGCATGGGAATTTATGAAGGAACAGACCCCTTCTTTTGATATTACCGTAGTTGCTCCGGTTTATTGTTTTGGTCCGCAAGCCTACGGAATTAAAGATAAGTCTAAATTAAATCTTTCTATGCAAATGGTAAATACTGTACTCACATTGACCGAAGACGACGATATTCCTGAGTTTGGCAATATATTCGCCGATATAAGAGATGTTGCTCGCGCTCATATAGTTGCATTTGAAAGTGATGAAGCAAGGGGACAAAGATTGTTGGTGGCAACAGAGAACTTTACATTTGATAAAATTGCAAATATCATTAGTAACCATTTCGTTAATGTCGAAATACCACCAGGAAATTTATCAAAGAACGAACGAATTTATAAATTAATGGTTCCAAGGTATGATAATTCCAAGACTAATAGGATTCTTGGGTTTGATTTTATTGGTATTGAACGGTCAATTCTTGATACCGCCGATCAACTTTTAGGCTAAGCCAATCTTTTTCTCTACGCGGGGGCTGCTCGAGTAATAGAAGAATATATATTTTTTAGAGTAACTACTCTTGCTTCTTCTTTTCTCTTTTTGCCTTTTTAAAATCAGCAATTAATTTCAAAACACCAAATAACAAAATAGAACAAACTGGACCTAACAATGGTAAGAAAACAGCTAGTTTATGTTCACTAGGGAAATAAGCTTGTTGAACCATTTTTTTTTCAAAAAATGCCCTTTCAGATGCAACCAACGCTTTTGAACTACTTGTAGTGGCAAACTGAAACTTTCCATGTTTCACTAACTCAATAGCCTGATTGATTTGTTCTAACGATGTATCTGCCGATTCTTTAGTTTCGTCAGGAATGGAAATTTCATTTAAAGTATCTGAAATTTTGACCAAGGATACTAAATTATCTAAGGATTTCTTGATGTTTGAAACAACCAATAATCTAGAAAGAGAATCGATTCTGATAGTTGGGTTTTTTGGTGTTGGTGGAACCCCTAATAATTGATATAATTGTGAAGCAAAGATATTCATGATAGGCTCAAGATCACTAGAGGATAATTTTGCATCTGTCTTCAAGATTGGCTTGTCTTTATTGAAAATAGCCACACCACCCCATTGAGGGATCAAGAATGAATTTGTAGTAGTGTTTTCAATAATTAATGGAATACCTTCATAATTTGATTCTGGGAAATAAAGTAAAAAGTTCATAGTTGGGTTAATATCATAATTGTCAAGATTCCAATCACCGAAATTTATAAATGTAGGTAAATCAGTCTCGGGAAGAATATAACTGGAACTTCCCTTTTGATATTTCTTAGATAATTTAGAGTAATATTGAACTTGAGATGTAATTGTAAAATTGGAAATATGATTGAATGAAATCAACAATTTTTGGAGCTTTTCCAGTGCTTGTTCAATTTCCCAAGATGTTGGATTCCCATTCTCAACCAATAATGAAAATACAAGATTAAACTTAGATGAGTATGGGAATGCGACAGTTGCATGATCGTTGGATTCAAGGTTATCTAATTCATATTTGAAAATTGAATCATATAAAATCAGCGAAATGTACTCATCCACATTGGTGTCTTTGTCAACAAAAACATCAATTTGTCTATCATATAAGGAGATTTCGTAGCTTGGTTTATTAGCTAAATGAACTTTAACCTGATAATTGTCAGGGTTGATGGAATTGACAATTTCAATTGACCATATGTTAAGATCAGGATACCGTGTTCTCAATTGTTGATCATATACTTGTTGATTTCCTGCGGTGATACCTTCATCGGTTGACAAACTCACAGGAATCTTAAAATGTAATTGTGACTTGTAATCAAACTGGTTGATTTGATCAATTGGTAAATGAGCCCTATGAATGGTAGTGGTTCCAATAAATAAGGGTATTCCCAATAAAATGATGGTGGAGAATATAATGACAGCAATGATAGTACGTGTCTTGGTGATAATTTTTGATTCCAATGATATGACAAGAGGAGAATCCTCTGGTTGTTGTTTTTCAACCTTTTGTTCTTCCTTGACTGCACTAGGCTCTTTTTCGTGTTCACTCATTGGTTGGTACTGACACTAAATGAACAACAACTCAAACTATTTGGCAACACTTTTTTTTTTTTTTCTGTTTGGTTCTTTGATTCACTACTTACACTTTTATTTTTCACTTCTTTCTACTATCCTGGTTTGGTTGTAAAAGTAGCACCAAACATGTTTAAGAAAGACCCACAAGTGAAGGCATCAGCTAATATAAAGTCCAGTGATCGCAAGAAATTACTTGCACAAGTGGTCCAACTCTACTCGGTTCCTTCATTGCCTAAGCCAATTCAATCAGAGCTTGTACCAACTACATCTAAAAAGGCAACGTTTAAAACTCAATTCACTTCAGGTGTAATCTACTTTTCAGAACAAGAAATTCCTACTTATTTCCAACCAAGAGATGGATCAATATATCCTACAGTGTATACATTATGGAAATGTCCTTTCTTGCTCCCGCAAATTAAAACTCATCCTCATGTTATTGACATTATAGCGGGTGGTGCAGACTTGATGATTCCAGGAACAATACCACCTTTTGATCCTAGATTAAAGAAAGGCGCTATTGTTGGTGTAGTGAGTGATTCTAAACCAGGTGTGGTTATGGCTGTGGGTGTATTACTTGAGGATATGACTGTGTATGATCGTGTGATTGGAAAGTCTGGGGTTGCCGTGGAAATAATTCATACTTATTCTGACGGATTGGCCAAGTTTAATAAAGAAATCGACGTGGAAATTCCTGCAAGTGTTAATACCGAAATTCCAAAAGAAGAAGAAGAACAACCTGAAACTCCATTTGATTCAACAAGAGAGGACACGCTTTTACCTGAAGGTGATGAAACGCCAGTTGTAGAAGAAGCATATGAAAATTCTCCAATAGAAGAGCTCACAGAAGAAGTAGCTAAACTCACAATAGAGGAAATAGACAACTTCTTTATTAGATCACTTTTCCAAACAATCAAACTTGAAACTGTCGAACTTCCAATTCCTTCGTCAAAATTCATGTCCATGTACATATACAAAAACCTTCCCAAAGATGTTGACTACAATATCAAACAAACATCATGGAAGAAAACTGCCAAGTTTCTCAAGGCAATGACAAAATTACAATACCTCGACACAAAAGGTAAAGATGATGATCTCACAATTATCAAATTGATGGATATAAAATCACCAATTATACAAAGTTTTGAACCTCACAAGATTAATAAACCAAAATCGAACCAAGAAGAAAAAAATAAGAATGATATGAAAATTTCATTGCTTTATAAACCTACATCCAAAGCTAGAATGTTCTTTAACAAGCTTGATTTGAAATATGATGCGATTTACACTGCTAGTGAATTGAGAGGGATGTTTGAAACTTATGTCAAGAAATTCAATTTAGTTTCTTCAAACCCAAAATCGATAAACTTGGACGATATAATATCTAAAATAGTCAATAAACCACTTGGTACTCCAATTCCAAGAGACCAAGCTTTCAGAGACTTCCAGAAGAATTTCTCGCCATATTACCAAATTGCTTCTGCTAGTCAATCGGAAATATTCAAAGGAGAACCTCCAAAAATCAACATTGTTACTGAAATGAAAATTGGTAGAAAGATAATTACCCGTGTTTCTAATTTTGAGAAATTTTATATTAAACCGGGTGCATTTGCCGAAGAATTACGTAACAAATGTTCAGGAAGTTCAACAATTGGACAAGCAGTGCACAACCCTGCCATCACCGAAGTCCAAGTGCAAGGGCCTCATGGTCCTTTAATCATAGAAATCTTGAAATCTAAAGGTATACCCATCCTGGCTATTGACTTTGAAGATAAGGTCAAGAAAAAGAAGAAAAGATCGTAATAATACATTTTTTATATTTTTCATTAATCATTACATAGAAGTTTATACTACTATTTCGATAATATTTCTATAAGGTCCCGCAGTCACAAATGCTGTTTTGGTATGTGGATTAATTTTCAATGGTTGAGCGGGATAATTTCCAGGATAAATATGTGCATTCTTACATTGACTGATATCAAGGTAACTCAAAGGGGATATTCCACTTAATAACGCGTCTATACCGGCTCGGGTAACTCTTACGCATCCTTTCAATACCAACTTCTCTAATTTTTGTAAATTCATGGATATGGTGACTAAACTTGAATCACTGATGGCCAGACCACAGAACGAACAATCCAATTCACGTAAATTAGGGCAACCGATGCTTAGTATTTCAATTGAGATATCAGTTAAGTTGCAACAGAAGTTTAAGTTCAAGATCTCTAAATTCTTGGCCAGATTGACAATCGCATATATGGCTTTGTCAGAAAGGTAGGTACAATCTTTAAGTGAAAGCTTTTTAAGATTAGGAAATGGTTTATACTGCCAGTATTCAAAGCCAAGGTCGGTGATTGTGGTACATCTTGTTAAATCCAAGCTTTCAAGCCTCTCGTGTGCTTGTTGAGCAATATGATTCATAGTGGCATCAGTTAAGTGTTTACAATATCCAAGGTTCAATATTTTCAAATTTTTACACCCAACTTCTTCATCCGGCTCTTCCCACCCTAATAACCGCTCAATTACATTATCTCTTACTTTACGGCAATTACTCAAATCAAGTTCCTGTAAATGTTGTCCAACACTAGGAACACTCAAATCCATGATTGCCATGCCACTGATTTCCCAGTTAGATTTCATTCTAATCGTAGTAATCTTCCCACCCATACCTATTTCATTAATCATGTACGAGAATCCTTCATCAGTAATGTGAAAACAGTTGGATATGTCAATGACATTTGGTCTTGTTTTGACAAAGTCGATAATTGTACATAATACGTCATCAGTGATGGAAGTATTCCAAGGCGTCAAATCAAGAACCGGATAATCAAATGTCAGTAATAAGTATCTCCATTTTTGCGAAACAATTCTAAGTTTCATTAATGTGGGAAGTGGTAAGTATCCAAATACCTTTAATAAAATTTTATCAGGTAATGGTTCATTAGATGCCAAGACGGACGATTTCCTTCTTCTAGCAAGGTGAATACGCTTTTGCATGGGTATATATGGAATCTGCTTGGGCACAGCATGGAAACTTTGGAAATTATTTAATGATGTAGGTGTAGGAGTTTCCAGAAGTTTTCTCTTTTTTGGAATAGGCTCATCAATTGATGTGGCAACGGTGACGGCAGTGGCAGTAGATCCACGTCTTAAATCGGGTGAAGGTGATCTTGAAATAGGTGAAACCAGTCTTGTAAAGTTCCAATTAGGTCTAAACAAACTATCTTGAGATTCAACCGGTGTTTCGTTGGACTTGGCTCTTTCTTCAGCCAATTTTTTCATATCTTCAACTATATTAGGGTATTTCTTGGATAATTTAATCAAAAATTCGGATTTAACAATCATTAGTTCACATTTTATAATTGATCTAACACTTGCTGTCCTCTTTGAGGATGATACACCTTGTAAATGTTTCAAAAAGGACATTTCACCAAAATAGTTCCCAGCATTTAATCTAGCCAAGGGGAATTCAATACTTTCTTGTACTCCTCTGTATAACACTTCAACCTCTCCGCTAACTATAAAGTATATGTTGCAGTTTTCATCGTCACCTTGGTTTAAAATATATTCGAAAGAATTAACAACCATGGGTTCAACATGTAATGCTAGTTGATGGACTATATGTTGGGGAAGATTTTGGAATAATGGCAAGGTCTTTATGAACTCTTGAATAGAAATGTCTTCGTCATATACACTTGTTGCACCAGGAGGGATTTGTGGGCCAGGCACGGCACTAGCCTGTACGGCTAACATCAGTGAATTATCTTTGGGCGTTACCACTCGTAAATTGCTATGTATATGTTGTTCTCTATCCTTCTTGTCTTGCATTGATAATCTTTCTTGTGCTTCTTCCCTAATTCTTCTTTCAATCAAAGGATAGTCACGAAGAACTAAGTTTAAGGCATCTGCAGTTAACACCCCGACAAGCACTTTGGTTCTAGCAATTACAGTTGCTGTCCTTGGTCTGTTATACAATATTCCGATTTCTCCAAAGAAACTGCCGGAACTTAACTCAGCATACACTGATTCACCATCAGTAGATGTGATCCCGACGGTTCCCTTTAGTATCCAATACATTGAGTAACTGGGATCTCCCTTTTTTATAATAAATGCTTGTGGATGGTACTGCATGAGTTTGAGTTGAGTCGAGATTTTGGTATGGAATGACTTTGGCGCTTTCTTAAACAATGGGAATGTCGTTAATAGATTGAACAAATCCGGCGGTATATTGTTGTTGTTTGGTTCTGGTTCATGCTGTCGTATCTTGGGTGGAGCTATTTGTTGTTGTGATAATGCTAACGGTGATGGATAATTTGGTGTAAACTTATTTACACCTCTCATTGTTGATATGTAAAGCCAATAGGTAAAAAAAGACCGAATGTATTCTACTGTTGATTCATTCGATTGCTGTGCTTGAGGAAAACAGGTGACTTATAAAGATAAATCTTACTAATTCGTAATTTCAATAACGGAGTAGCAAAAAAAAAAAAAAATCTATCGGAAAAATAATGCACAATAAAAAAAAAGAAACGGGACTAATTTCATGTATAATAATGCATGGCGGAAAACTTCCATGCATGAACAAAGTCTTCTATGTTCGATTCATAATAACAGTTATGAAATTGCTATATTGTATAAACTAGTTACGTTAGGTTTGTGTTACTTAACTGGACCCCTATTTGACATGAATTTATTTTTAAGTATACATACGGTTATAGTTGCCAACCCCATCTCGGTTGGAACTCATCTTAAAAAGTTCGAATACGGCTAGAAATGGTTCTTTTTTTTTCAGATTCAATGCAACATGTCCAGATTTTCTTTTGTTCTCTCACGCCTCGATGTTGAATTCAATTGCAACTTTAAAAGAAGTGGAATTGCTAAGTGGCGACCCTTATATCTGAAACTGCCCAGAAAATAGCCGATACGAAGTGCTTGTAGCAATAGTGTGATTTGCTTGCTACTGCATCTAGCTCCAGCGCAACAACCAAAACTGCAATGAGGTATCATTTGATCTGGGTCACATGACTGAGACACAACACAGACACTCACATGATATATATCACATGATTCCCTCGCCCCAAAGAAAAAAAAAACTTGGTTGGTTGATATGAAAAAATTTTCAATATAGTTAACCGAGTAGTTGTTAGTAGCGTACACCAAGATATGTTTAAATCGTTAGGTTTGCCTAGTTCTAGTAGGTTACTTCCAGTGAGGTCATTCTCTACTTCCCTCACAGCAAATGCCCCTGCTGCTGTCAAGGCCAGTCGAAAACAACAAAGACTCAAACAAAGAAAATATAAAACCGCACCACAAACCCATCCATTATACTTGCCAGTATCACAAGCATTAAGATATTTACGAGCATTTGCCGTAGGTCAACCTAATCACAAGCAAAAAATTACATTACAAATGGCAGTCAGCCAAGATAAAGGTGCCCATCCCCTCAATGGTAACATTCAATTCCCTAATCCTGTGATTGATTTCGAACCAATTGTTTTCACTACCAAGAATGACAAGATTGAAGAATTAACTAAACAAGGTATTAAATTAGTTGGTGGTGTTGACTTGATCGAAAAAATCAAGGCCAAAGAACTTCCTCTTGATTCTTTAACACATGCATTTGCTACGCCAGAAATCGTTGACAGATTAAAACCATTAGCAAGAACCTTGGGTCCTAAAGGGTTAATGCCAAACGTTAAGAAGGGAACCGTTACTGATGATATTGGCAAAATGTTTCAATTATCTGGTCAATACCCATTCAAACAAAAAGACGTTCATTTAGAATTCACTATTGGTAATTGTAATTTTAGTGATGCTCAAATCTTGGAAAATCTTCATGCTGCTTCCAAGGCAATCTATGGATCAATCGACCCTAAAGCTACCAAGAAGACCACTGTTGGTAAATGTCATTTAAATGTTTTCCAAAGTCCTGGTATTGTTATTGATTTAGAATCTTTACAAGCATAATCCCTACACAACTGTACATAGTAATAACTAATAGTATTCACTCATTGCAACTTCTTTTTGAGAAGTTCATCAATATCAATTTTGTAGAACATAAAACAACCAGTTATGACTATCCAACATGGGAACCATCCAAGGATAACCACGAGCCAAGTCCAACATTGTAAATCGTTCCATGCAAGCACCAACCCTTCAAATAAGTCACTGCCGTTACCCAAGACATTTCCAGCTGTTAATACAACAAAGAAAGGATTGGAAACGATTAAACAAATAATAGTACCAATGTATGCCTTGTCCTTAAAGTCTTGTCCTGTAAACTGGTTCATTAAAGTAGGTACAAAAGTCAAGGGTAACACTAAAATACCAATCATTAATGCAAGCGAAAAATGAACAATAAGTAATGCAGTAATCAACAAACTAATCAACAATAAAGACAAAGAAATCAATGAAAATGTAATTGTCTTGGATAATCTCTTCTTGAAAAATATAGAACCCACTGAAAGAAATCCTAAACTCAGCAATACGAGCAATGATACTGCAGAAACCTGATCTCCTTCACTTGTAGCTACCAACTTAGGGATACTGAGTGCCAACCCTAAACAGACAATTTCTACATAGGTAAATGTTCTCAAGATAAATGATAAATTAGATATGGCTTCGTTTCTGTCAATGCTTAAAATTGCACTTAATGCACTAATGGCAAGACTAACGGCTAGGATAACTGCAGCAGGTAAATAAGTACCAATTGAAATGAAATTCTTTGAAGACATTAACAAGTAAAAGAAAAATGATTGATGAAACTTTTCCAACAAATTGTTGACACTTCTGAAGGTACCATCAACCACTCTACCAAGTTGAGTAATATCTCTATGTTCTTCACCTTTATCTTTGGTTCTTGCTCTTAAAGTAATTGCTTGGATCTGCCAACCAGAAAATTCTTCACATCCATTGGTGTTCTCTTGGGTTAATCCAGTCAAACAAGACAGGATGATACCTTTAACTAAAGTTAACAATCTGGTAGTATAATCAATGTTTTTATTGTCAATACCTTCAATTGAAACTTTGATATTTTCGTGGTAATTGATAACATTGGCTGTATTTAATAAATCAAGGTTAGGGAATTGTCCATTTAATCCATGATAAAACATATCTATAAATTCAAAATAATCACCCAATGTCTCATCATATTCAAGCACAACCGCAGCTTCAATAGAACCAGCGGTTTCATCAAGATCCGTATGGTACGCGTCAACCCATGATCGTAGAGATTTTCTTGAATCTGGTGGAAACACAAACACAATATTCTTACTCCAAATTGACATTCTTGTGAAATATCTGGCCAAACCCATAGCCAAGGCCATAGCACCACTATTATACTTTCCTTCACTGGTGGCCCAAGGAACAACCAATGCCATTGCTTCTGTATTTTCACCTCTTGGTGCATGCATAATTGCATAGAGAGTATCATTAGCGAAGCCATTAACATGGTATGAAGTAGTCAATCCTAGTTGTTCAAGCCATGATTCAAGAATCTTGTTTCTAGAACTTACATCTTGGTCAGATAACTTGGTAATTGATTCACGGTATCCTCTAACTATATTCCATTCACTTTCTCTAAAATATGAAGTGACTTGTGCTGGCATTAACGCATTTTCAGATATATATGTGTTTCGATAATTACCATCCATGGGCAACAGAATTAAGTAAAGTATACTGGACACGGCTAATAAGAATGAACATAGTGGTAGGAACTTGATGATTTTGGGGATCAATCCAAGTTTGTGGATTTTACGTAGCACGGTTTCAGCTAAAGCCATGATTGAATACTCCTCAATTGGCTATCTATAAGTTGCTGTGTTGTTTTGAATTTATTACAGTTGTTGTGTTTGAATTTTTGGAGTTGGAATTTTTTTATACAGGACTTTTTTCCACCACTATAAATCTAAACACGGTAACACTTTTTTTTTACAACCAAATTGTTGCTGCCACTCCATAGAGTCAAACTCAAGAACTACATGAAGTTCACTCAAGATCAAGCTGCTTGTATATTATATTTACAAAGTTGTATATATTTAATTAGTCATCCTTGATTGAAACAACGGTAAGTAAATCCTTTGACAACTGCTAGCACAGGTGTGGAAGTTCTCCAATAAGTTCGGTAGTTTATTGTTCAGAAGCGAAAGGAGATATTAATCAAAATAGAGACATAATGCTAGTGATAATATCCATATTTTTGATGAATAGAGGTGTGCTGTGTAGCCATTGGTTTTACAGTCGTTACCTTTCATGTTCTGTCTCAAAGAACCACTATGTTATTGTTGCCACGATATGATTGGTATGGTTGTATTAACAATAGGAAATCGGCTATTTAAAATATGCTCCAGATAATATTGTACACTTAATTAAAGGCTGCTTTACTTTTATAGAATGTTTGATTCTGAAAGAGAGCAACTTGTGAAATTATAAGAATTAGCCGATACACCAGAAACAAATGAGCGAGAAGAAAATAACTATAAAAAAGAGCTTTTCTTAATCGTTTTCATTCTAGAGTTTATAAAGGCGAATTGTGCATTGGATGTGTGTTCTTTAATAGATTATTGAATCATGTGTTCACTGGTGGCACTGGGGCTAGCACTTTTATGGTTATTCGGAAGCCATGGAATGGTAGCGCGACCAAACTTAAAAAAGTACATAGTAAAAATTTCCTTGATATTTTATCTGGTCTGTGTAAGCAAACTGCTAGTTATGAAAACAATACTAAGACAATATAAACAACTTGTAGCCAAAATAAGGCGATTGCCACTTCCACAGTTAATAGTAAATGAAGCAGTGCAACTAACCAAATACAAATATGTCAGTAACCGTACAACAAGTTATACATCAATGAATAAATTATTAGATGATATTTTAATAGAAGAAAACAATGCTAAACTTACTGAGATATTGGATATACTTTATAAGAAGGACTTACCCACTTGGTGGTATAAGTTTCAGTTATATCCCTATACAAAATTGAAATTGCATTGGCCCTGTGTACATTTAATTGACGAGGTTACCAAACTCGATTCAATTAAACGTGATTATCAAGAAAGACTCGCTAGTCCAGAGTTGCTGGTCGTAAATTGGATGCAACCAAGTATCAAGAATGAAGAAAAGGATTCTAGAAAACTTGAATTGGTTCGAACATATTCCAATCAGACAAGTGAACTTAAGCAAGTACTACAAGAAGTGGATCATCTTTACTCATTTCTAAACAAGAATAAGAAGAAATTAGACATTCATGTACCTCCAATGGAAGCAATTTATGCACCTACTCGTTATGGAACACCTCCACCCCACAAATCCATGGATTCAGAATTAAAGAAAACCATAGTTAATATCAAGAAATTGTTTAATAAAACAAAACCAATATCGATAAAGAAACTTGATGAACTTATAGATTTGACATATACCCAACCACCAATAAATCCAATATTTTACAAGTACATTACCAATAAGAAAAAACAGGATAAATACAACACAAGTAAAGCTATCATAAAATTATTAAGACTGAAAACCCTTATAATTCAAGATAATGACATCTATAAGATTCTACGTGACTATATAAAACACCAGTACTACTATGAAAAGGATACTAACATTTATCACATGAGTAAACTTACTAACTTTTATTCAAGCAAATTGAATAATTTCGATCCGAGTCAGCAAACAAACAATAGTCATTTGTAACGATAAGTTTGTCCGGAACAAATGTTAACGGTGGTATTTCAATTGATGTTTGATTGAAATCAATATCTAGTACAATTAATTCATCAGATAATGCAAATATGCAGTTGTTATTATACTGGTATGATTTGATATTGGTCAACATGTGTGTTTTGTTGTGAGTCAAGTTCTTAATTCCTAAAGAAGAGCTCTCCATATAGCATAGTAGCCATTCCCCTTGTGCTTGCTGTAATGTGAGATTATAATGTGATGGAGGAAGTTCAACTTGAATAGTTTCTTCAAAATGTATAACCGACCTATGGAAATTATTAACACTACTTGTCAATAATTTGAACTTTCCACTTATCTGTTTAATATCATGTAAAAGATTAATATCTGATTTAAACTTTAATATAGAATAATCACATAATTCAAAATATTTTCCAAGCAGACTAGTCAACAACAAATTATTAATGAATTTAATGATATCACAAATCGAGAAATCTTGATCTGTCAGCTCTTCTTCTGATATTTTGTCTATTATTGAACCTTTAACCCACGCCATAAACTCGTTAAACAATTTTTGTTCTTTTTGAATATCAAATATTAATCTATAGCTTGTTTTAATCCAAGATGTACTCATGCTAATCAACTCTTCAATAATATTCAAATTCAACCCAAAATCCTGTTCCTCCGTGTCGTTCAACCAAATAGTTATACCCTTCAAATCTGAAAGTAATATGATCAATCGTTCGAAACTAGTAATAACAAATTTGAACATAACCTGACGCACTTCATCGTACATATGGTTCATAGCTTTGCTCAATCTCTTGTAATTCCTTTCACCCATCGAGTTTAACCAATAATCTTTTGTTGATTCATCAATTAAATTAGTCAATGCTATATTGATCAAGTGGACAGTTAAAGGTTCTTCAATTTCAGTTTGTAAATTATCAAATAACCGGTCCAATATTTGAAAACTTGACTCAATATGTTTATGGCAGTCTTGGAGATTCTTCTGTATGAAATGAAGTAGATTTATTGAATGACTTAACTTGACAAGTACCGTTTGGAACAACGTTTTGTTTTCTAGGTTATACGACAAGCAAAGCAACCTGTGTGAATTATCACGTCTAATTAAAAACATTAACTCTTTAAATAGTTCTCCTTGAGGGGGTAACACTGGAATCCATCCATCTGGTAGTGATATGCTCGTATTCAATTGAGTTTCATTAGTTAAATTATTAAATGTAATGTTAACACTATGGTCATCACCAACTATCATGTAATCCAAACTGCTATTTTCTACCAATGGCAACTTGGGCATCTGGCCCAAAACATCGACATTATACAATTGTTCACTTAATTGTTGAAGGCTCGTCCATTGAATCAACTTAACGTTCTCACTGGTGTGTGTCTGCAACAACTTCCCATCATCACAATCATATATCTTAATACTTGAATCTAGCCCAACACAGACAAACCAATCTTGATTAAAACATATACTTTGTATTGGTGTCTTGTTATTTATAGAATATATTCGTTCTCCATTTGTACGATAGATCCATAATGACGTTTTATTCATGGATATAAATAACAAGTTTAATGAAGGACAAAATGTAAGGATATTGCCATCTGATAAACTGACAAATTTACCCGAATGGATCACTGATAGTGATTGGGTCATGGCATTGGTGATATGGCTGAATGATACAATTATAGCTGTATTTTGTTTGTAGGGGGGAGTTTCATTTTTTTTGTTTTGCTTTTTATGTTGCTGTCTGGTAGCGCGGCCAAGTTGTTCTTTTAAGATGTTGGCAATGTTACGTAGACTCATACCTTGCACTATTCCTTCCCACCATTGGTTTGGACGTGCAGCTCGCTACCTTCAGAATGAGATTATAGTATTACTGTTACATTTTTGGGTAATGGGCTATTCCTCTAATGTAATTGATTATGGTGAATTGAACAATATTTTCACTTTTAAGAGATATTATATAATGTGGATATGCTCTTGATCTACCTGGTTATAACCTGTTCTTTTTTATATATAATAACCGTGTCAATCTTATAACTAATCTGTTAGAGTAAGAGTTTAATCCGAAGGTTCATAGCAACCTACTCTACCACCGCCTATGTGTACGTACTACCTCCCAGAGCTGAGGTGACCGGGCCACATTCGGAGCTTTGGATCAGATACGAAAAAATAAGAAATCAACGGCTTTCCACTTTCACCATCTTAGCTCCAGAAGTGTTCTCAACTAAGCTCACCTCAACTGTTTATTCTATGCAACAATCACAATAGTGAACTCCTCATTTCTAGTAGTGGTTGTGGCCTCTACATGTTCTTTAATTTCTATAGTTTCTTCATTCAGCAGTTTGTACTATTTCTAAACCATCAGCATCATCTTCTAAACCGGTACTTTCTAACTCAGAAGCCACACAAGTTGTAAGATGATCGTACATATATTGGACTAGTTATCACAAGATCGAATTTTCAAATAGACATTCACCCACTCATTTTAGAAACTAATTCCAAAATACTATTTTGTAATACCAATGAATCGCTTTACTAGTGTACTAATTTGTTTTCCTTTTTTAATGGCAAAATTTTTATCATTATATCTAAAGAAATATGACAATGGAAATAAAATATATAAGAACTATTATATTGAATCCTCTAAGATCAGAGCCAGTTCCTTCAAGCACTTTATCTAACTCTTCAACATTTGAGTTTGGACTAATACTGGTATCACCATTTGATGATGTCTTTGCTACTTCAAGATCTTCAGATACGCTAACTGTAGTAGTGTAGACAACTAAAATAGATGATGAATGTACTTGTCCATCTGATACAATGGTGGTAGGAACAGTACTGGTATATTCAAACAAAGTAAGATCTTCAATGTAATCTAGTTGGTTTTGTCCTACTGGAAGATCACCTGGATTATGTTCAGGGATATTCAGGTTAATAGTTAAATGTGATACATCCAAAGTATTTGTCAACTGTGACCTGGTTGATAGTTTTGAGAATCCCGTGGGATCAGTAATATTTGTAACATCAGTAGTATCAATTGTGACTATGGTGGTTACAATGTAACCTTTAATTGTAGTTGTACTCTCTTGCCCTATAGTGTTTTGTACTGATGGGTTTGTGTTTGTCCTTGAATATGGCAAAGTTATAGCTAATGACTGAGTGATAACACTGTAATCTGTTTTATTGGCTTGTTCAGAATATTCGGTAGTCATATTTTCTGTGCTTGTCTCAATTGGAATTCTACTAGAAGAGATAATTTCTGTATCTGATTCAGTTGTAGATTTGGATTCTATATTGGTTTTTGTTGTAGATACGGGTTCATTTGGATCTCGAGAAGATGCAGGAGTAAAATTTGATGTCTCTGATTTAGGATCTTCTGCAAATGTATCACTTGCTGTTTCAGAAAGATCTTGAATTGTCGTCGTACTTGTTTGTTCAGCAGTTGCTTCTGTGTAATCTCTTAGTTCAGATGTCACTTTAGATGGCTCAATAAACTCTTGAGATTGACTTGCATCATTAGTCACTTCTTCCAAGAAACTAGACTGTTGGCTTTGTTCAATGACTTGGGTTTCTGAATTCATTGTAGTCTCTACTTCTGTGGTACCGTCCTCAGTCTCTGAAGCTGTACTAAATGGTTGAATCGTTTCATCTTCGATTGTCAGCAGAGTCTCTTCTGGATGATTACTTGTATAATTGTATGATTCTGTTCTACTCTCTGTTTCCCATTGAGTAGTCTCTGGCTCTTGAATTGTTTCATCTTTTGTATCTACAATTTGTTCGGATTCAGAACCTTGACCCGGCTCTGTACTTATAGCCTGTTCCGTTGACCCAGAAGTTGCAACTGTGGCATCTGTAAGTGTAATAGATTCTTCAACAGTATACTCGATTTTACTAGATGCATCTGAAGATTCTTTGCTTTCTTGCATTGGTTCAATAGTTGGTCCAGTTTCAACAACATCCGTTTGGAGCTGTGTACTCAATTGTTTAGTTTCTTCACTTACTTCAGATGTTTCCTCCGGTTCGCTGGTTGTTTCTTCATAATAGGTGCTGGGTGCATCTTGTGTCTCCGTGGATTCTTCTGTTTCTGTTGTAGTTTTGTTGGCTTCACTAGTGACTTCTTGAGTTTCAGAGGTTGGGTCGTCTGAATAGTTTGTTAATTCGTTTGTATCAGTTGTAGATTCCTCTAGTTCAGTGATTTTTAGTTCAGACTCGGTTCTAATTGAGTCCTCCTCTGTTGTGGTCTCGGTTGTTTGAATGCTTGACACCTCTGGCTCACTTGCTGATTCCTGGTTCTCGATTGTAGATTCAATGGACTCGACTGTAGATTCAATGGACTCGATTGTAGAATCAGTGGGCTCGATTGTAGAATCAGTGGGCTCGACTGTAGATTCAGTGGACTCGACTGTAGAATCAGTGGGTTCGACTGTAGATTCAGTGGACTCGACTGTAGAATCAGTGGGTTCGATTGTAGAATCAGTGGGCTCGATTGTAGAATCAGTGGACTCGATTGTAGAATCAGTGGGCTCGATTGTAGAATCAGTGGACTCGATTGTAGATTCAATGGACTCGACTGTAGATTCAATGGGCTCGATTGTAGAATCAGTGGGCTCGATTGTAGAATCAGTGGGCTCGACTGTAGATTCAGTGGACTCGACTGTAGAATCAGTGGGTTCGACTGTAGATTCAGTGGACTCGACTGTAGAATCAGTGGGTTCGATTGTAGAATCAGTGGGCTCGATTGTAGAATCAGTGGGCTCGACTGTAGAATCAGTGGGCTCGACTGTAGAATCAGTGGGTTCGATTGTAGAATCAGTGGGCTCGACTGTAGATTCAGTGGACTCGACTGTAGAATCAGTGGGTTCGATTGTAGAATCAGTGGGCTCGATTGTAGAATCAGTGGGTTCGATTGTAGAATCAGTGGGTTCGATTGTAGAATCAGTGGGCTCGACTGTAGATTCAGTGGGCTCGACTGTAGATTCAATGGACTCGACTGTAGATTCAGTTTCAAATTCAGAAGACGCCTCTTCAGTAGTGGGACATTCGCCCTGCCAACATTGAAGTGGCAAATCTGCCGGTTGGTCAGGAAAAACGGGTGAATTGCATCCATGATAGTATGCTGCATTTCTTCCTCCTTCCCAAGAAAATTGCAACATGAATTCTGTGGTGCAAATAAATTCATCAATATATTGGACTTTCATCACGTATTTAAAGTAAAAATGGTAAGGCGAATATCCGAGAAGGTCACTCGGATACTGGTAGTAATAGGGATTAAATCCAATATTTCCATCTGCTGATTTGGAACAAGCAAAATAAATTGCTTCTAAAGCACTCACGGGGTATAAATTTGCAATCTGAATCTCAAAAAGTACCTCATATAAATCATCTTGTATCCACTTTATAGAATTAAATTTAAATACTTCAATTTTTGGGTAATTGAATGAACTTGATTGGGCTCCAATAGGGAAATCACAGATGCTAGTTTGCAGTTTCCACCTTCTTGGACAGTTTATTGCTTCTGGTAAATCTGTTTTTGATCTATCAACAGTACCAATCGGGGGATCTTCGGGTGAAATTGGTGTTCCGCTTTCTTCTGAATCCAGTTGCCAACACTGAAACGGATAATCTCCGGTCAGGCATCCATGGTAATATGGTATCAGATACTGGTTTATATCATCATCAACTGGTATCTCCCAAACAATTTGAATATTGAATCCGGAAGTGCAGATTTGGGCACCATTATCTTGAACTTCCATTACCCACTTTACAAAAAAGTGATAAGGTGAATCACCAACTAAATCGATTTTGGGTATACCAAACTCTGGTATTCCCTTGTCATAGATAAGTTGCCAATCCATAGTGTAATAATCTGGGACTTTTATATTACTCAAGGAAATCTTCGCTAAATACGTCGGATCAACTGAATTGTCGATTTGAAATTCAATCATCACTTCGTATGCATCTTCGGTACCAACAATACGCAGAATGTACTTGTATTCAAAAGTTAATAGAGTGGGCACAGTGAAATCAGAAGTTGAAAGTTGTGATGAGGTTTGCCCCAATGGGTAAGGACACATATCGCTCCATCCTGAAGGAGAGGGAAATTCTTCTGTTTCGTAACTATAAGTAGGAAGGAACGAAGCAGTGCTGGGATCTGCATTCACTGTTGCAAGTATTTGGTATACTAATATGTAGAAGAGAAAAATTTGCTGCATTGGTTTGGTTATAAGTTAATAATTATTACAAGGAATGTTCATACTTGAAGCAGGTAAAGATAGCTGATATTATATACTAAACCTGGCCATAATGGCTGTTTTACTAAAGATTGCAAAATTTATGAGGCGTGATCATAAAAAATCCAATTCATAATATTATCGTATATCTGATATTTTCTGTTCTGGTAGTCATAGCTTTTCTTTGTGCGTTGGGGGTTATGAGAATCAGGCGGGAATGCAGTATAATGCATCTTTTTTTTGGGGTGCATAAATGGTGATGTCCCTTGGACTATAATAAAATATTTTTTGAAAATATTTCTTTTTAAAGAGAAGTAGAAAAAGGAACTTTTCAGATATCTCATTAATTCTGCCATTTTATGTTATTGATCTTAAGATTCCCACTAATTTGCATGTTAAAATTATAGATTGAGAATAATTGAAATTTCAAATATCTCCTCAGGCTCACATAACAAGGAATCGTTTTTATTAACGATTGAAAATTTGGACCTTTTGTCATGAAGTTATATTAGCAAAACTCCAAAAATGTGTTTCTGTTTCTGAAGATAGAAAGGTTTTTTAGCACTGTGAAAAGATTAAAAATATTCTTATAAATTCTTGGCAATGGATGATTCTATTTATATACTAATAAATAATAAACAAAATTATTCTAGAAAAGAGCAATCAAGGCGATAACCAATCATGTATAGCATTAAGTTTCCTAGTCGAGATCTCCCAAAGAGGAATCATCAACAGTTCTGAATTGCTAAAGATTAGATTCATTCGCCGAGAAATAAAATTGATGTGTTTTCCTGTAGATGTCATGTAACTTATGAAGCGACAAATTGTCAACAATAATTGCCAGAAAATACTTAGGTGGTATATGACTGAAGCAAAACTCCCAATTCATCCGAAGTGCTTAAAAACACCCTAAACCAGTTCGAGGTCAACGGGTGACCATTTCAATTTAGTAGCACCAAAAAAGAAAATACAACATATTAAAGTAAGCAATTATTTTTTTTCATCCGATTGCGTCTTATTTTAGGTTAGCTTGAATATATGGTCCTCGGCTTTAGTAACATTCTCATTAACAAGATCTATTCCCCTATTATATGAAAAAAAGAAATTAAGTAGTAGAAATAATATTGCCTTTGGAAATTAGATTTTAGATGTAGCACTCTAGTATTCTTATCCTGAATTGAACTTAAATCTTCCAATAGAATTAATCAGTAAGATCATGCATAATCATGCTTAATGGTGTACTAGTAGGAATAATAGAAACTATTTTTCACACATCTTTTCTGGAACAGGGTTCTACGACTGGCTTTGATCAATATTTGACTACATTGATCAAGAACAGAAACCTCAAATCTCTTTGAATCAACTCCTTTGATAATTTACTTATCAATTGTGTATAGATTTGGTCTTGTTATCGCCATGAATTTTAATAGAAAATAATTGTTAGAATGCTGGTTTATTGTTTCATGGTAGGCTTTTGTGACTTTTGATGGATATGTAGAGGGAGTTATTAGACTCGATTTTATATTTATATAGTTTCGTACTAAAGGTAATCTTTGCACAAATAGAAACTTGATTATACTTTTGACAATATTTACTGCAAAATCATGCAAAAAAATGATTGAATTTAAAATATGAAACAACAACGAACTTACAAACTACCGCCTTTAACTAAAATGTGTCATTTTCAAGTTATTTGAAATCTACTTCATGTTTCACGTTGCGACAACTTCATTAAACTGGTGCTTGCTTGTTAAAACCAGGTATTCAGCGTCGGATCCATTGCTTGGTTGTTGCATATCATAACCAAAAAAAAAAACACAACTTGTTTACTCGTTTTATTCTGAAATGCGAAAAAAAATAAATCAGTCAAAACAACAAAACACGTAAAAAAAAATAAAAAAAATCTCGTCAAAAAAAAATTCAAATCAATCAAAAGACTTTATAACACATAAGTCTAACAACTTACATCCATCCAATATGGCTACTTTTGATCAAGCAAACTCGTCAACTTCTGCTTTACGTAAGCGGAAGACGTTGAAGAAATCCATCAATTTCTCCATTATGATTGTGGGAGAAAGTGGAATGGGTAGATCAACGTTAATCAATACGTTGTGTGGAGGCACCTCCAGCATAGTACCAACTTCCTCAACCATAAACCAAGACCCATTCACCAAGAAACTTAGTTTACGTCACGAAAACGTTGAATTAGAAGATAATGAAGGACACAAGATTTCCTTGAATATAATTGATACTCCAAATTTTGCCAATAGTATCAATTGTTCAGAAGATTTTAAAATTATCGTCGATTTCATAAGACACCAATTTGATGAGGTGTTATTAGAAGAATCTAGAGTTAGAAGAAATCCTAGATTTAAAGATGGAAGAATTCATGTGTTGATTTATATGATTAATCCTACCAGTCACGGGTTATCTGCCATTGACAAGAAGTTGTTACTTTCCGTCAACCACTTGGTTAACATTATACCTGTTATTGCCAAGGCAGATTCTTTAACTCCAGCTGAACTCCAATTAAACAAACAATTGATATTGGAAGATTTGAATCAATATGGAATCAACTTTTACAAATTTAATGAATATGAATATGAACAAGATTATATTGATGAAGAAATAATTGAGTATAACAAATATTTGAATAGTCTCACTCCATTTGCAATTATTGGAGCCAATGAAATCAAGGAAGATCAAGGTGAACAATTGAAATTCAGACTATTGGGCAAAAACATGGTTCCAATCAATGTTGAAAACCCTGATTTGAACGATTTTACAATTTTGAAAAATGTCTTGTTAATTACTCATTTAAACGAGTTTAAGGATTTAACCCATGATGTAATTTATGAAAATTATAGAACCGAAGCATTATCCGGTAAACAATTCCAGTATGCTGAAGAGGAAGAAGCATCATCTCCAATTCCTGACCCTGATATTGATACCAGTATTACTCCCGAAGCTCCTAATTACTTACTTAAAGAAGAACAAATTAAGTTAGAAGAAGAAAGATTAAAGAAGTTTGAAGAAAGAGTTCATCAAGACTTGATTAACAAACGTAAAGAATTATTAGAAAAAGAAATGGAATTAAAGGAAATTGAAAAGAGATTAAAGGCTGAAGGTGTTACATTAGATAGTTAGTTTTATAGTTTTTATTGTTAAATCCTTGAAGAAAACCAATCAATTAATCAGATGTTCCTGTAAGTCGCGTCGAATGGTAAATATTGCCTAATTAGGGTTTGTTCTAGAATGCTGCATGTTTGGTAGCGTCAGAAGGGGGGAGGAGGGGAGGAGGAGGAGGTGAGGGTATGTTGTAAATGCATAAATGGTTGCTGTTTTCCTAGTGTTTTTCTAGAATCACTTTGCAAGGTCAATGAATGTAGTTAGTTACACAAAATGAATGAATATGCGTTCTAGGTAACAATAACAGCGTTTAGTCTAAATAAATTGCACTAATATAGCTACAACCAGTTTTTAAGTTGCTTAAAGAATTCATATGGTAAATTTCATCAGAATGTTGCAAGTAACACCCAAGTCTGATCAAGAATTGTTCTAGAAATTGTTCATATTTTAGTGGTAATTATTCTAAAAACCTATAAACTCTACCTAAACATTATAAATTTGATCAACAATATCAGACACAGATTCTTCAAGGGTTATATATTCAAATCCAAGTATCTTATTAGTTTTTTCATTATCAAATTTATGAATAGACTTGTAAATCTCTTCATTTCTGGATTCATCACCCTTTGGAACAGTTGTATCAGGAAACTTCTTGTTAATAATGTTAGCAATAGTATCAAGAGTATATCTTGAAGAAGCTGTGAATAATCTTTGCAGAGCAGCAGCATCATTTTCAAAAGCAACTATATGAGCACGAGCAACATCTCTAACATCAACAAAGACACTACCTTCAGCAGGAATGGAATCACCTTTGGTTAACTTAACAACGGAATTCACAACTTCATTAGAAAGATTTAAATTAGCCTTATCTTTAACAACATAAGCTTGAGGACCAAACACATAAGGTGGGTTGACAAACGAAATATCAAAATTGACCTTTTCCTTAGCGACAAAATCACGAGCAGCCAACTCAGCATATTTCTTTGAACCGAGATAACCAAAGAATCCATTTGCTAAACTTTCTTCATAAGTAATTGGATTCCAAACATCTTCAGAATAAACTTGGTCAGCATCGAAATGAGGACCAAAACCAAAGATGTTAACAGCAGAAGCAGTTAAAACAACTTTCTTGATTTGTGGACCATATTCTTTAATGGCATTAAGGGCATTGGTTGTACCTTCAATAGCAGGCTTCAATAAATCATTTTCAATGTCTTCAACAGAAAATGAAACTGGGGAGGCTGCATGCAAGAAAACAGTAATTTCAGGGTGTTTCTTAAGAACATCAACAAAAGCATCTTTATCAATAAGGGAGGAAACAATTTCGTAAGAGAATTGATCATTATTGATTAATTGTTTCAATTGTTCACCCTTTTCATGTGATCTAACCGAACCAATGACAGTATATCCCTTGGCAAGTAATTGTTTGACAATATGTTGGGCAATGAAACCATTAGCACCAGAAACGAAAACAGTTGTGGAAGTCATTATTGAATGTTTTTTTTATATGTAAGTTAGTTTGTTTATCTTATTGATAATAAAATAGAATGAAAGTTGATTAAACATGGTCTAACCGTCTCATATTTATAGGTACTCAGTATCTACTGGCTGACAAATGTTGCTAATTACTTTTTGCAGCAATTCTTTTTGATAAGTATATCGTTTCCTCATTATTACGTCAGCTTAAAATGATTTGTAATACTATTTATTTTTTTATACCCGGAAATAAACCTGGAGATAACAACACTTTTGTAAACAGGTATATTTAGCACTTATCTCCAGGAAAGCCTCAATTGTTTAGTTTCTAACAAGTATTCCTGCTTACAAACTAATTCAATCACAGTAACAATAGGAATTTAGTTGCTTACAAACAAGTACTATGTAATAATGGATAGATTTGGATGGCAACTTTCCTGAAGCGTGGGTGGGCGGTCGAGTGGGTGTGAAGGAAATTTGTTCTTGAATTATAAGCTTAAACCACGTATATTTGTGATTGAAATCACCCAAAGCTCTGAATTGCTAATAAGAATCGAGAGCGACAAAACAGTTATATTTAATTCACCGAATTACAATGTCAACCAATATTTCGATAGGAGTTATCCTGGACGTCATCCATAAAGCAAGCTCCTCTGGACCGTGTTGTGTTGTAGTAAATCTCGGATAATACATTACTGATTACATTCTATACCCAAAAGGCAAAACATATATTACGATCTATTTAAGCAGTATATTTTCCAACAATTTCATCAAATACTTTTGTCTTTTCAGCAAAATCTTGCAATAATTGGTGATTTGGCTCAATTTGGTATAATTGTTGCAACAATTCCCTGGTATCATTTGAACCAGTTAAATAATTATAACAAATTTCATTAGCAATAAAATCACCACTGGTTACATTCAATTGTCTAATTTGATTTAATAATTCCTGAGCTTCAGGTAAATGTCTCATTTGTAAGGTTAAGGCAAACAAGGCAGTTAATATTTTTTGCTTACCAATTGGATCATTTTCGTAGTCTAAATTCAACAATTCATCATAAAAGTAATATGAATTGTTGATATTGTCGGATTCACCCTTGACTGCCAAATACCAAGCTTCAAAAGTGTGATAAATAATTGAATCACGAATGAAACTTGGGAAAATTTTCAAATGTTCAAATAATTTGGCAGCTTGGTCAATTTTACCAAGATACAAGTATAAATTCATAAGAATCAAAAATGGTTCCAATTCTCCAATATTATATCTGTCCAGGTTAATATATTCGTTCAAAATAGACACTGCTTGATTAACATCTTGTTCATATTTAACCAAGTATATGGCTGTAAGTACAGTTTGTAATTCAAACTTCCCTTGCTTAACATCTTGGAAATATGTAGACAGATCAGTGCCAAATGATTGTAAGTCGTTGTGTGCAGATAATAACTGAAATAATTCTTCTTCTTCAGGGAACAATACCTTACCATGGTCAATCAATTCTGAGGCGTCTTGACCAAGGGCAACAGTAGATCTAATTTGGAATTCCAAAACTTTAAGTTGATACTGACTCGAAAATTGATCAAGAGAATAGGAGATCACTGCATTGTGTTGATTGGAATAGAATTGGTTTCTTATAGTGTACAATTCACTTGAATCGTTGAATTCGTCCATGATGTTGATGTAGTGTTGTTGTTGTGTATGTGTTGTCAATAGTGAATTTTCAACTGTTGTTTTTTTTTGTTCTTTTCGGCGTGGACTAAATTTAGGCACGTCGTGGTTTCTTCAGTACAAAAATCTTTCGGCAGCACCAACACTAAGAAGTGTACACATGCAATATATTCACAAGTAGTGGTTCCATGTCACAAATTGTAGATAAATAGAGTAGGAAGTATTTACCCGAACCATAAAATTGATTAACTTAAAATTTTCTATTTTACACTTATATACAGAAGACTATCTACTACTAGATCTAATCTTGTCCCAAGCAGACTGGTGATCTTCTTGATCTGAAGTTTCAGTTCTAGGTTTATCAAAGTCAAAAATGTCATCATTGTCATATTTTTTTATCTCTGGTAGCTCTTGTTCATGCTTAACCTCTTCTTGTCTGATTTCATTCCAACGAGTGGCGTATTCAGAATATGTATCTTTTGGTTGATTGACCTTTTCAGCCATATTTGGGTCAACTTTAACTCCGTAAATATCTTCTCTGGTAATCAGTCTTGGATCTTTCATAATGGCATTAGGATCAGCACTTGATCTCAAATAGTAAATGTAAAATATAGCCAAAGTACGGTAATCCATACTATCCCAAACTCTTTGAAGCTTGGGATCGTGTACCTCGTTTTGTTTCTGGTTGAATTGATATCTGCCATACATATTATTAACCAAGAACAAATTACCTAAACCAAGAAAGAACGACAAACCAGGGTATACGATAAACCTAGCCCCTGCAGGAACTTGTTTCTTGATATATCTGTAATATACTGTAGGTGATAAGGATCCTGCAATTGTGGCCCCTAAAGTTACGATATTTGATTTACCAACCATATATTGCAAATCTTGAGTTATTTTTAATCGTTCTTCGTGAGTCAATTCATGATCAGCTTCATAGAACTTTATACTGGCTTGAATTTGTTGTGGGTTTAATTTATCAAATAATGGATTGTCTCGAGATGTAGACATTGATGGTGTTTCTTTGGACATGTTTCGGAATTGCTGGAAGAAGAACCTATATTTTTGATTGCTCTTGATATTCGAAGTATTTTCCGGCGTGGAGATTGTTTAAGTGCTACCAATTATTTTCATTGGGTACTGCGAAAGTAGCTACAAAGTTATTACCAATTTGTTTTGTACAAGGAAACTAGATTAACTATATAACAACTAAATCAACTTGTTATCACTTCTCTTTTCTTCTCTCAACTTAACTAATTGTTGAACAACTTCATCGAATTTAACCATAGCATTCTTACCTTGATCTTCAGGAATATCTCTATTTCTAACATTGACAGATTCACTGGTTTCTTCTTCTTCACCAACAATGAAAATAAAGTTGTACTTATAAATTTGACCAGTTCTAACCTTCTTAGATAAAGTGTTACCGGAAACATCGACATCGGCATAAAAGAAGAATTCATCATTCAATTTCTTTTGAAGCTTTTGACCATATTCATAATATTTAGGACCAACTGGAACAATCAAAATTTGTCTTGGTGACAACCAGAATGGCCATTTACCCTTATAATGTTCAGTTAAAATGGCAGTCATTCTTTCAACAGAACCCAAGATAGCTCTATGAATCATAACAGGTCTTTCGTTGGTATTTTCAGACTTGTATTCCAAATCAAATCTTTGTGGTAATTGGAAATCTAATTGAATAGTAGCACATTGAAACCAACGTTTCAAAGCATCACTAATCATAATATCAATCTTTGGACCATAGAAAGCACCATCTCCTGGGTTTAATTCCCATTTACCTTGACCCAAGAATTTGTTCAATGAGTTTTCCAACTTGGCTTCGGCAGAATTCCAAGTTTCAATATCCCCAACGAATTTTTCTGGTCTAGTAGATAATTCCATCTTGAATTCAAAACCAAAGATTCCATAAACCTTTTGCAAGAAATCAAAAACACCACTAATTTCTTGTTCAATTTGGTCAAAAGTACAGAAAATGTGAGCATCATCTTGTTGGAAACGACGAACTCTGGTTAAACCAGATAAGGCACCAGAAAATTCATTTCTGTGAATAACACCAAAATCAGCAACACGCCAAGGTAATTCACGGTATGATCTTTCTCTAGACTTGAATAACAAACAATGACCAGGACAGTTCATTGGTTTTAAACCAAAAGTTTCCTTTTCAACTTCAAAGGAAAACATGTTTTCCTTATAATTTTGCCAATGTCCAGAGGTTTCCCATAATTTGGTAGAATACATGTTTGGAGTAATAACTTCTTCGTATCCTCTCAATCTATATTCCTTTCTTAACATGTCACATAAAGTGTTGTAAATTCTGGTACCATGAGGTAACCACATAGCTGAACCTGGAGACATTTCATTAAACAAGAATAATTCTTGTTCACGACCAATCTTTCTATGATCTCTTTCAGCGGCTTCAGCAAGGAATTTCAAATGCTCAGTCATGAGTTTCTTGTCTGGGAATGAAATACCATAAACTCTTTGTAATGAGTCATTGGAAGCATCACCTAAAAAGTATGAAGAACTGTTCTTTAAAACCTTGAAAGCCTTGATTCTTCCAGAGTGAGGAATATGAGGACCAACACATAAATCAATTAATGGACCACATCTATAAACAGTGGTGGAGGTACCATCTGGAATCTTGTCACTAATGAACTTGACCTTATACTTGTTATATTCAAACATTCTTAATAAATCTTCTTTGGTCATTTCCAAACGTTCAAACTTTTGCTTCTCCTTGATAGCTTTAGTAGCAACTTGTTCTAAGTTACCAAAATCAGATTGGGAAACAACAGTAGCACCGTCATTGATGGACATATCGTAGAAGAAACCATCTTCAGTTGGTGGACCGTGAGATAAGTGAGATCCGTAATGACATTCACAAGCTTCTCCCAAAATATGGGCAGAAGAATGCCAGAAAACGGCCTTACCTTCAGGATGTTCAAAATCTAAGAATTCCAATTTGACATCTCCTTCCAAAGGTCTTGGTAAATCCCACAAAGTACCATTTACTTTAGCGATAACTTGACGTTCGGCAAAGGATTTTCCAATTGAGTTGGCAATATCTAATGGGGAGGTTTCATAAGAAACACCTTCTTTAATTGTACCATCCTTCAAAGTGATTTGAATGGCAACCTTTGGCTTGGAAGCAATTTCTTCATCATATTTAGCTTTCAATTCGTCAAATAATTTAATTCTGGAATCGATAAATGCTGGTTGAGGGTCTAACAATAACGGGTTTTTAGAAGGAGCAGCTTTCTTTTCCTTCTTCTTAGAAGCGACTGGAGCATCAGTTTGCTTCTTGTCGATTGACAATTTTTCAACTTGTTCAGGCAATGATTCAGACATGGCTGGTGAAGAAGAAGACAACCGATTCACTTTGAAAAAAAAATTTTTTTGTGTCTGGTTTTGACTCACAGGGGAAGGAATTTTTGGAAACGTAAACAACAACGTTGTATCAGAACCATGACTGATCTGCAACACCAATTTGACGAACTTGAACTTTTATTTAACCAGAATGAATTAGCTATTGATACGCATATTCAAAATTTGAATCGAATAAGTAGAGATATCTCTCAATTGGATGTAAAATCTGATTTCGATGGTATTCATAATGCATTAAATCTGTTGCTACATACATTTATAGACAAATCTGATCCCAAACAAGATGCAATAACTGAATTGAGGAATTCAGTAGGTGATGGGCCTAGAGCATATAACTTCAATCAAATAATAGATGCTATTGAAGAGTTGGATGTATCTGAAGAGTACATGTTACAATTGAATAGAACAATTCAAGTGTTACGAGATAGTTAACTCTATTGCTATATACATGAAACATAATACTTAAAAGGTCTTTGGAGCTAATGAAACGATCTTGTTATATTGCAAGTCTCTTAATTCCTTGGCGACAACGGATGAGATTCTTGTTCCTAATGGTTCACCATTCTTATTTATTAATACACAAGCATTATCGTCAAACTTAACCATGGATCCATCAGGACGTCTGAATGGAGATCTTGTTCTCACAACAACAGCACGACAGATATCTTTTCTTTTGACTTTGTTGGTGGATGTGGTACCATCAGCTATTGGTTTGGCTTCTTTTACAACAACGGTGATTTGGTCACCTATTTGAGCACATGATTTAGGTTTATGACGTAAGACTTTGATACATTCAACAACTAATGCACCAGAGTTATCAATAACATTAAGTAAGGACTTTAAGTAGATCATAGTGGTTGTATATACAAAGGTGGTAGTCTAACTTTTTTGGTAGAGAGAAATTTTCTTTTTATTTTTTTTTTCACCACCAAAGTGAAAAAAAAATTTTATATACCGGAACATACAACTATAATGATACGAAGAACCATACGACGGTTAGGAACAATTACAAATTGGCATGAATCGGAAATAATCATAGATAGAAAGTCAAAGTTTCAAGCAAGGAACGTGAATATTACATCAGAGTCGGAAATACCTCAGGTGTTGTCACAATTTAAGCAGCAACACAAATCCATAGCTAAGAATGCCAGTCATCCCCATATGTTAGCATGGAGAACGGGTGAAGTACTAGATGGAAAGCAAACAAACATTAAACAAGGTTTTAAAGATAATGGAGAGAGTGGTGCAGGTAGTAAAATCCTTGAGCTACTAATAAAGCACAACATAGTCAATGTACTAGTGATAGTTACTCGCTGGTACGGAGGTACGCCCTTGGGTGGACTGAGATTTAGACATATTACAAACACAACATTAAAAACCTTACAAAACCTGAATAAACTATAAAACCTTAAATATTCTTTTTATCTAGACCTTTATCAATCTCGTCGTCTATTTCTTCGGTAGTTTTTACAATAAAATCGTACACCTTTCTCAAAAATAAAAATTGTAAAAATGCAACAAGAGTCACAACACCAAATATTGCAGCTCTCTCCACTTCAGATTCAACATCTAAAAATGCATAAGGATACTTGGCACCCTTTTCAATATCAATCAAACTCTTTAATAAACACCAATATACCAGGGTCAAAAATACAAGTAACCCTAATGCTGAAGAAGTCTTGATAGTCCATTTAGGCATAAAAACCAAATAGTCAATTAGCAAAGAAACAACTGGCATCAAATGGATAGCCAAATCCGTCAGTAATGAAATACAAAAGTTTTCTGGTGCTGAAGTTAATAAATTCATAAAAAACAATCTTAATGGCCAGTAGATCACAGCAACTATAGTTTCAAGAGCTAAACCTATAGGATGGATATTATTCTTGATTCCAAACAAGATGTTGTTATGTGTGATATGGGCTACAAACCCTAACCCAAACACCACCAACGAATATACCAAGGACAAATTAGTTAAGAACTGCCAATGTCCTGCACCTGCGAGGTATTCCGGTAGTTCCACCGTCATTATATTGGTATATATGCCATAAAAACCAATAGCCAATGAAATACCATCAATAAATGCAATAACTGGATTACCTACTTCTCTTCGAGACATGTTTGAACTGGTTTGCAGTGGATTACATAAGAAATGAAAAAATTTTTTAAAAAGAATAGTATCATGCAAAAGAGGGGGGGCGGATGAAGGTGATAAGCTGTTTTAGTTTTCAAAGTACACGACTTTTCCGCATGTAGCAACCTAGGTGAGTATGCAGGACTAAACTACAACAGAAAGGCAAATGATAGTTCTTATAATGTGGATACATTTAAAAAAATCCAAGTGGATATACAACCAGATTTATTTCACTTCATAGGAAGTTTTACTACAAGCCTGAAATACAAAGGAAAAGGTTGTATGGCTTTAGTATGGTCTTCGGATAAATCTGGAATAGAATTGAAAAAACATTTTACTTGAAAATCTTGAGCATTACGTATTAGGTCCACCTCAACCGTAGATTTATTGTCAGAAGACTATAATTCTGTGTTAGTTACACTGGTCAAAATAACACTTTATAAAAGTACGCGCGCGAGCAGGCACATTTGCACGGGTTATGTCCCCAATAAAAACTTTGCAAATCTAGTTCTGGAACTTGATCTTGACCTTGGTTCTTTGTCTCTTGTTTTGGAAGAAGATCTTGATCTAGTAGGAACTAATAGTGTATTGATCTTTCTACCTCGTTCTTCCGCAACTAAATTAGTATATGAAGAATTTCTTGAATGTGTTGGACTTAAAATTCCTCGTATCTTGGGTTTTTCTCTCGTAACAGGTGCATCAATACTTTTCATCCAATTTTCAAAATATTGTTCTGAATCAATGGGTGATTTCAACTGTTCAACATAATGGTAAGAAGGTTTCACCACAATTACTGGAACTAAAGCACACTCCAAGAAATGTTTTGATGTTGAAGATTTCATAAATGATTTATGTTCTTTACCTTCGTGAGTGCCCACAATCATCATAGACGGAGAATACTCATCTATAGCTTTCTTCAAGTTCTTTTCTGCTTTTCCAATAACAATCTCGTAAATTATGGAAACTTTCTTCATATGATGATCCATGTTCAATTTCTCAAACTTTTGTAAATTAACATTTGCAATTTGTTTATCAATTCTATCATGATGCTTTTCGTTTAAAACTTGGAATATAACTATTGTATCTCCATTTATAACCATCTCTTCAAATAACCATTCAATAGCTTTGAAGGATTCATAATCATTGTTATATCCTGTAAGGAATGTCTTGTTGTTTCTTCTGAATTTAAAATCCGGGTGCTTTACCTTTAAAATTAATGACTGTTTCTTGGTTTCAAGGTTGGTATTATCAAATGAAATTCCTCTCTCAAATGATCTACCTCTTGATATTCCAGGTCGTATTTGACTGCTATTCCCCGAACTGTCCGACGATATAGAAGTACCAGGCTGTGGAGCTAATAATGGTGTGCCAAGATTCGACGATACAGGACTAGTGATTTCTGAATCATAATCGTCGTAATACAACCTACCTAATAAATCACTAGAATTATTTTGTAGTTTATATAATTCAACTGAATCAGTAGATGTTTGATAAAGCATGGCATTTAATCTTGTGTTTATATCTGTTTCATCCTCCACCTCTACCATAGACTTCTTCTTTTCAAGTGGAGCGCCATCCTCGCTGGCCTCTTCTTCAATTGGCGGTTCGATTTTTACTGTCACCATTGGTGTAAGGGAGGGTATGTAGTTGTTTATCTTTGGTTGTAACTTGAAAATGAATTTTACGGCAAAAATTGCCAGCGTAAAATTTAAAGACCAAAAAAAAAAAGAAATACTATTTTGCGCCGTACCAATTTCAAATTGCATGTGGTAGCAACTGGATTATGACAAGGTCCATGTGATAATAAGGGATAGTATTTGAGGAACTTTTAGAAATATCGCAGTCACTGGGACATTGGCAAGATGACACATATATGGGAAGAGTACGGTAGCTATAGAGCATTAAGGAAAGTTGTCTGGTGGAAGAACCCAGGTGGTGCGCCGTAGTGTATCGCGTGTAACACCTCTTTATAATCACAGTTACTGGTGTATAGGGTCGACTTCGTGAATCCTCCGACACTGTAGTTATGCTAACATGTGAAGTTACTGGATGAAAATATATACATTAAACCTCTTATATAGAAGAAAAAAACTCCATGGTTCTCCCATCATCAATACTTTGAATGCTTGTTTTGATATGTGACCCTTTGCCGACTTGCCTATATACACTTATTTAGAGTCTTCCCAATCTGATCTTCCGTTATTGACGCCACTTTGTTTTTCAACTTTTCCCCAAATTCTATCCATTTTCAACCCACCAATGTTATCTTCGATATAGTAGCTTCTCTTGGTTTGGCTTTCGGGCTCGATTTCCTCCCATGTTGAATATGGCATCATCCAATTTTGTTTGTTCTTTGGAGTTAGTTTCAAAGTTTTGCTATTGGAAATGTCTAACAACTCATTATAAGTGGTATTACCAGTAAAATTTAGCTTTTCCATAATTAATTTTTCATCACTAACCAAATTTTCTAAAGTTTGAGGCTTGTTTTTGTCATATAATCGGAAAATTCTGGTAACGTAATCTCTTGTTTTATATTGTACAATTGCTGTAGGTGCCATGGACATTAAGGCGACAGTATATGCGTAAATATCCTCAAGTTGGGTAGAATCCAAGAGTAACTTTGATCCATACATTCCTAAAATTGTGAAACCAATCGTCATTCTCTTTAGTAAAGAAACGTATTTTGCACTTGGAGCTTCATACAATGGCAGATAGGACAATCTATAATACCATGGCAACTTAGTTTTGGTAAATTTCTTTGGTTCTTGAACATATATTGAATCTGAGTATAAGGTTGGCGACCACGGATTGTTTTCGGTGGAGATATCACCAGTATCTATCTGATTGTCCGATGTTCTAAATGGAGATTTAGAAAGTGGAATTGAACTGGAAAACGGTCTGGTTATACCAATTCTAGTAATACACAAGGTACTGCACCTTATTATCTTAGTTGTCAACATCTGTGGTAATTCACCCCTTTCTTAGTACAAGGATTACCCTGCTTAAAAAATTTGTTGCTTTTTAAGAAAAAAAAAAAATTTTTTAAGACTTTGAAAGAAGAAAAAACGAAGCGTGAGAGAGAGAGAAAAAAAAATAGTGTATCTTTGAAACTACTTACTACTAGCACCAGAGAGATATAGATATAGTTGAGAAGTACAGTAAACATGGACTCTGACGCCACTAACAGATTTATTCCGGAATATCGTCGTACTCAATTCAAGAATAAAGGAAGATTCCAATCCGATGAATTAAGAAGAAGACGTGAAACTCATCAAGTTGATTTGAGAAAACAAAAAAGAGAAGAAGTTTTAGCCAAGAGAAGAAATTTCCATAATGAAACCAATGCAGGAGGTGCTGATTCTGAAGACGAAGATGAATACTCTCCTAATAACGATGAAAGTCAATTCTATAATAAGTTAAAGCAAGATTTACCCAAGATGATTGAAATGATACAAGCTCCTGATTTCGATAATCAATTAGCTGCCACCGTTAAGTTTCGTCAAATTTTGTCTCGGGAACACAATCCTCCTATTGATTTGGTTATCCAATCCGGTGTTGTTCCTACATTAGTTGAATTCATGAAGGATGACCATCCAGAAATGTTACAATTAGAAGCTGCTTGGGCTTTGACTAATATTGCCTCCGGTAATTCGACTCAAACTAGAGTTGTTGTTGAAGCTAATGCCGTGCCATTATTTGTTCAATTATTATATTCTAATTCATTGGAAGTTAAAGAGCAAGCTATTTGGGCCTTGGGTAACGTTGCTGGTGACTCTTCTGATAATAGAGATTATGTTTTAAGTTGTAATGCTATGGAACCAGTATTGGCATTATTCAACTGTACCAAGATGTCTTTGATCAGAACTGCTACTTGGACTTTATCTAATTTATGTCGTGGTAAGTCTCCTCAACCTGATTGGAATATTGTATCTCAAGCAATTCCAACTTTGGCCAAACTTATTTATTCCGTTGATACTGAAACCTTAGTTGATGCATGTTGGGCAGTTTCATATTTATCCGATGCTACTTCTGAAGCTATTCAAGCAGTTATTGATGCTCGTATCCCACATCGTCTTGTTGAGTTGTTAGGTCATGAATCTACCTTGATCCAAACACCAGCCTTAAGAGCATTGGGTAATATTGTTACTGGTTCTGATTTACAAACTCAAATTGTTATCAATGCTGGGTTCTTACCTGCATTGGCTCCATTATTAAACTCTCCCAAGGAAACTATCAGAAAAGAAGCTTGTTGGACAATTTCAAACATTACTGCTGGTACTACTGACCAAATCCAAGCAGTTATTGATGCCAACTTAATCCCTCAAGTTATCAGATTATTAATTCATGGAGATTACAAAACTAAAAAAGAAGCATGTTGGGCCATTTCCAATGCATCTTCTGGAGGTTTAAGTAGACCGGATCAAATTAGATACTTGGTCAGTCAAGGATGTATTAAGCCATTGTGTGATTTATTAGCTGTGGCTGATTCTAAAATAATTGAAGTTACTTTAGATTCTTTAGAAAACATTTTAAAGATGGGGGAAATGGATAAGGAACACCGTGGAAGTAGTGTTAATGAAAATGCATTATATATTGAAGAAGCAGGTGGTATGGAAAAGATTTTTGAATGTCAAAGCAATCCAAATGAAAAGATTTACAAGAAGGCTTATCAAATAATTGAAAAGTATTTCTCAGAAGATGATGATCAAATCGATGATGAAAGTGTTGCTCCTCAAACTTATGGAAATGCATTCGGTTTTGGTCTTGATCAATCTCAACAACAACAACAACAACAAAATTTCCAATTTTAACGTTGTTTGTGTCTGCTTTTTTGAAAAAATCTCTAATAGTCTATATATATATATTTCTCTGTACTTTTTCATCCATCTCTGATTATTCGTTTTTTTGCTTTCGTTATTTCGGGGTTCTCTGCATTTCTCTTAATATACATATCTCTTATTATAACTTGTAGGTTGATTTCGTAAACGGGTGTTTTATGGAGCAAGTGTGTAATTATTGTTTTGGTATGGACTAATGATTTGCTTAAATTCTCGCAAATTTGCAACAAAAAAAGTTCAAAAAAGTTGCAATGACGTAAGCAAATGAACATAAACTACAAACCATCATCATACTACCACACAGCCGACCTATTATTAATGGTTGGAATTGAGAGCATGTTCAAGGTTGTTACGATAAGACTTTATTAGAGACTACTCCGAGCATAATTCCGAAAATACAAAACACCAGAAGGAACATATCCGAGCAAATTATGAGGAGTGCAAATGCTACGATAAGAATAATCTCTCGGGCCGTACTTACATCCCTTCCTCAGTGATTATACAGCCACATACAAAATGTGTGTAATCACGCTTTACCAAAACTGTTACCAACTATTGTAAATTGGCCGAACTAACCGAACGGTCAACAGAACAAAGACAAAAAAAAAAGAAATCAAAATTAACGCCGCAACGAGCGAATGACTTTCCTAATCGGGAACGACAACAAGCTAAGGAAAATCCATTTGTGTCCAAATCTTAAAGAAGGGTTTGATAAGTAGTAAGAACAATTGACGTCAAAGAACGAGATTAATAGTATTAGCTAATTCTAGCTATCATATATCACAATTCTATCTATATTTAGCTTGATCAATCGATATATTATCTTTATGTTTACTATTGCGCAGTATCTGCTGATTATGGTCGCTTTGCAATGACCTAAATCGAAAAAAAAATAAATAAATGACATTGGGTCCCACACTGTGTGGGAAGAAAATGCGGGAATTAATTTTTTACCGACGATACCTGACTTATCTATTGGTGTTTGGATGTGATGCTGGAAATTTAATTTCGCTCATTGGAAAATCATCAATTTCAATAAATAAAAAAAAACAACCACCTTTAAAATTTAAACTTCTTTTTCTCTGTTCTTCACATTACAAACTACAACATGAAGTTATCAAACGTTGTTATTGGATTGTCTGCTGCTGCAGTTGCTTCAGCTGCTGATGAACAAACTAGAGAAGTTGTAACTGTTACTGTCACTGGTACTACCCAAACTCACGTTTGGGGAAGATTTGACCATACTTCTAGACCTCAACCAAGTCCAGAAACCGGTACCCACAGATGGGGTAGATTCGACCATACTTCTAGACCTCAACCAGCTGCTGAAACTGGTACTCACAGATGGGGTAGATTCGACCACACTTCCAGAACACAACCAGCTGCTGAAACCGGAACTCACAGATGGGGTAGATTTGACCACACCAAGGGTCCAACCACCACCACCGTTTTCGTTCAACCAACTGACCACAATGATGATGCTCTTTTCGTTCAAGAAAGAGATGTTGCCAATGTTACTAACGGCACTAACCATACCACCTCTCAAGCTGGTTCTGCTGCCTCTGTTGGAATTAACTTTGGTATTGCCGGTGCTCTTGCTGTTGGTGTCGCTTTAATCGTTTAAGCATAATACCTATTTGTTTCATAACTACGTTTTATTACTAAATTTTGTTTGGTTATTATAATACCAATTTCATGTGTTTTTGCCAATTTATTAATAGAGTAATTAAAGGGCATTACATTTTTTTCATTTGTTTTATATAAAGGAATATACAATATCATTTATTCGAGAATAGCAAGACCCGATCCTTAAAACTAGATGTGGATGTAGTTTTTGCTGGAATTAAATAAAGCAGAGAAAGTTGTTACTAGTAAGTTTCTACCTGGAGCAACACAGCTTTGCTAATAAAATTAACCACACTGTCAATTAGACTAATCTTCAGAACTTTTGGCACCAACTATTAGTAATTTTACTGTTTCGTACCTATCGCAAAAAAAACTGTCATGACGACAAGAAAATCTCTTGACTTTCAAGTAAGCACAACCATGCAGAGCCCGTCTCCTTAAATATTACCCATTTACTGATTCCAAAAATTTATAATTTATTGACTCATGTTAGAGTTAATTGTAGTTATGACTTGCCTAGTTATGTAAACTTTTGATAAGATGGAACTATACTTTTCATTTCCCATCCCCTGCCATCATCACCACAACAAACCCAACCAGGATTCTGCAGTTGAAATAGTATGAATATAGAAATAAACACAATTCACAAGTTATTGGAAATACTACCGCTTCTTGATTAAAAATTTCTCAATGAATGTTGGAAGAAGACATATGTACTATTTGAATCTGTTTCATTAGCAATATTTCTGACCCATTGCAAAAGCTTCACTGTTATATTAGAGATGTATTTATTTCTAATCAAATGAAAATCCTTGACTAGTCCAATTCTGGAAACAAAAATAACTGAATCCAAACTCCTAAGGAGTGGGACTCGCGATTTAGTTGTCAACCTGCCTAATTGAGAACGCGAGTTGTTAACCCTGGATTTTGGTGCGAATGTACTAGTTGTTAACCCTTACAGGTTACGCTCCCATAGTAAAAGAGCTTGAGTTGTTAACCCTCATACAAAATTGACCTGACTTTACAGTTTGGAATATACACCTTTTACAGGTTGGATGCCTAACTTGTAAAAATTTCAAAATCTTTTTTCGGGTGCTACCAGTGATTCTCGCGTATTTTTATAGAATAGACCCGCCGCAGGTTCCCAAAAAACGCGTAGAAAAGCTGAAAGGAGAAATATTGTTTACCTGGGGTAACATGGCTGGAACCATTTCGCACTGAGACAATAGACAATAGTACACCATCTAATTATATTTTTTTAATTATACACCGGGTTCGGCTAAAATAGAAAGGGGGTATAATTAATCCCAAACAGGAATAATACACGGTCGACACATTTTCTAGAAACATTTCTATATTTATATAACATTCCTTGAAATATGTTTTTCCTTTTGTATTTTTTTCCTCAGCAATGACGATTTTTGCACCAACCCATGATCTTTTTGATGATGAGTTAGAAGATGACGAATTTAGTGATGTCGAAGAAACTGCGAATACTTATGATCAACCTGTTAGCTCAGCCATAGCACCACTTTTCGATCTCGATGTTGTTAAATTATCAGAAACTTATACTTATGTTGAAGGGCTTTTGATACATACCCAAGGCAGAACCAGAAAGCCATTCCCATTTATTAAAGTACCAACGCCGGCCAGACTAGAGAAGATTTCAGAAAATCAGTTAGAAAACTAAGTCCAATCCAAAAAAAAATGAAGAACCTATTTAGGAAGGTCGTGGCTACTAAAGTGACTTGTTTTCCTCACATGGAGTTGAGGAAGTATGCACCTGCTACTACCGAAATGTATCTAGTGAGAACAGTTGATGGTGTGAAATTAGAGGAGGCAAACCCTGGTGGTTGCATCAAGGTTCCAGTTTATAAACTTTCAATGCAAGGATCCAAGTATCACATAGTTTACATCGCTGTTCCCAATGATGACAGTATACTGAAAGACAACCACATGCAAGTTGATTTTTCTACGGTGGACACCAGCAACAACAACAGTTATTTGTCAGGTCTTTGCGAAGGCGTCGAGTTGACTGCAGAACACATCAGTCTTTTGAAGAAGTTGGACCAGTCACCTACTAGTTTCAATGGAGAAGAATTCTACACCAAAGTGTATGATAATGTTATTTCCAAACCCACGTCTAGGTGCTACTATGTACCCAAGGGTCACAACTCCATGACTTTGTCACCGTTCTTTAATGTCCATACTTCCAATGTCAAGAAGGTTTACACTAGATACTTTGGTTACTTATATGCCATCTTGGTGAACTATGACAAGTTTGACTTCATGAATACTGCTGCTGAAGGGAAGGCACGGGAATTGCTTGAGCTGGTCAAGTATGCTGACACATTTGACGGTAGGTACATTACAATTTTAGATTTGTTTGATTATTTCATGATGGAGAATGACAATATATTAAACTTAGCCCTACTCCCGTTTCTATTGGACCTTAAAACCCACAGGTTGAAAGCTACCGATTTCAGTTTGAAGAAACTCAATGGGTTAAAGAGTTTTTGTAAGCGAGTGCTCTTTCTTAAGAATGACCAAGGAACCATACACAAGTTTGTTGCTCAGTCCAATTTCAGTCAGAGTGATTTCATCGGGTGGGCCAAGTTGGTTCATATTTATCAGGCATTGAAGGAAGAACGGGGCGAATATGTCAAATTCAAAGTGACTCCTGGTCCTGGAGAACTGGTTTACGTCAACGGCACCAATGTTTCTCCTCTGTACTTTAATAAGTTGTACGACTCGGCATACGACCATTTCAGAAAGCAGTACGATTCCATGAGTCAACTTATTGAAGACTACCATACGATTGAAGAAGTGTATGAGCAGTTTCTATTAGTTGGGGACCAAGGAAAAGGTAGTCTTATCTCGGGATTTACCAAGCAGATATTCCTGGTTAATACTGATGTTGACAAGCAGTTGGTGGTTGATGTGATTGATTCGATGACCTTGGATTTGCTAGTACTATGTTATATTCTGGGCGCCAACTCGTTTAGGTTTCCCGAACTCCGATCGCTCCAGTTCAATGCACCCAGTTATGAA